TACATGGGAAGTAGACTAGGTTCTTCAGCCTCGCCTACAATGTGGAGGCTTTGAGATGCTTGAAAAGGAGCTGACTTATACTATATGGGTGTGTAAGCTTCAGCCGACTTTTGGCGTGTTATGAAATCTCTATGGAGTTGATCACCATTAGGTCACGCTAAAGATCAGCTTATGATTCTCGAAATACAACATTTCTACGAAAGCCGCATTAATACGCTTCTCCTCTGGTACAACCCTTACCACCCACACCCTGTTGCGGTTGATTAAAAGTTGGTGTCGGGTTCAGCATGAGGAGTCCAACATTGCATTCGATTCCCCCACATGTGGCCGCAATTGGATGGCATCAAAAACTACCATGCACTTCTCCTGTGGTATATTCGCATTTTGAGATTGGCTGAACACTTCCCCATGAGTTTTGGAATTATCCTCGTCTTCCCGTGCTGATGATTATCGTCATCGACTAAAAGTAAGCATGAGAAAGCGAGATCCCGTGGAGAAGATATCAATATCTCCTCCACTTGGGCAGTCTTTGCTCTCTACACTCGAATGCGGATGAGTAAAAGTATTGAGCCATTAAATGTAGGGATTGCATTAAAACCAAAACAGAACGAGCTTATGTGGAAGCTGTTGGAGGGTCTAAAACACTTTAGTCCACCGAACCATGGAGCGTGAATGGCATGCGTACTTTGAGGCGACATGAACGGGATTGAGTGTGATAGCCCGATGATGGGCATCATCATCATCACCGTCACGATACCGTAGGTATATAATCTCCCTCTTACCCTAAATTCTTTGCTCTCCACACTCGGGTCTCATTGTCTAAAACGCGAGATGCACAAGATTTATGGGAGCGGGTTAAAACTAGAGTTGGTACGCAAGCATGTCGAGATTGCCTTCCCGGCTAGAACGATGGGACCTTTCGAGATATGGAGTGTGCGCAGTTGGAGCTCCTCTCAGGGTATCGAAACTGTTCCGAACGGGCGAAGATGTATTGGGAACGTTGCACTCAGATCGATAGCCATAGGTGTGAGTCTGAACGTAGCTGGGAAACTGGTTGTCGTCATCATCATCCACCAAGGCGCGTCACTGTCAGCGTTCGAGGAGAGGATGACGATGCGGTTCAGGAATATGCATGGAATTAGTGTCTGCTTCGGTCGTAACTCACTCTTCACATCTTGGGCGCGGACAATGTTCTTTGAACGAGATCATTAATTTCTAGACTGACAGCGAGTATCCGGAGATTAGTCTATAAAAGCTACCCACAATGGCTATTATCTAACCCTCACACTTCTTGGCTCTGCACTAAAAGAACCACAACTTCGAAACATGGGGGTGGACTAAAAACTATGGCCCAGTGACGCCATGTGGCCGTGGTTGAGGTCGGAGTGCACCAACAAGACCCCGGCACAGTTACATGAAGAAAAGCAAAGCGCATGTCCCTACTGATTGAGAGTCAGAGTGCTCGACACACACGAAGACGATGAATATCATCAGTCAACTGATGCCAAGAATCATCACTGCTACTTATCGAGGGACATCTTCTGCTCGTACCTCAATGTTTCGACAAGAAATAATATAAATACCGCTCACTTCACTCTATCAGTTCTTCACACTATGTAACTAAAAGACGGCTGTGCTTGAGACCATGGGGTGCAAGATGAAATAGGTGTGGATTAAGAACATGTGGGCGCGCTGGGACGCTGAAGGGAGCTAAAGACTTGACAAGCGCATATTCATGGAGTAGGAAGGAGTGGCCTTGCACACGCGCAGAGTGACCGGACGGGGATTCCGTGATCAACCATGTTTTTTACGACTGATGCAGACGTTCTTCATCATCTCTTATTGCGGCTGATCGTCAGTGCACATATTCCAAAGTAGTTTTATTGTAGTTGTGGCTATATAAGATCGCTTCCCGCTCTACTTCGTTGCTCCTTACACGTCGGTGAGGTGCACTAAAAACCGATACTGCAAGATATCATGGTGAGTGGAGGAAAAAAGATGAAGGATTACGCGATGTAAGTCGGACGGATGGGACTCAAAAACAGAATCAACAGTTCCCATGGAGTTGGAGAAGCTGTTTGAGAGTAATCAGAAAACTCGAAGTCTACGACACACATGGGCGACTGATCATCATCGCAAGAATAAATGCAGAAGCTCGCCATCACTACTTGATGCGTATTCCTGCTAATTTCGGTATCGTGAAGCATCGGTGTTACAACCCAGTGTATAAAGACCGCCCAGATTCCCACCTTGACTCTTCACACTTCGCTGTCCGGCACCAAAAAGACCATGGCAGCATGGCCTATGAGGGCGGAATAAAACTGCCTTCGTTCCCTATGCATGAGAATTCCGTTGGAAGTGGAACGAGATTAAAAGGACTTACTGTGCCCTCCTATGGAGCAGCGGCAGTCACTTCTGTCATAGAAGCTCACTTTGAAGTGATCGAGCATGTAGCAGCTCATCGTCACTCTTCGAGGCTGTCCATCACTAAGCTTTCGAGTCACTAAGCTTACTCGTAAAGATGTAGGCATATGAATACCTCCCTTTGTCGTCCTCTGAACCTGTACATTCGGTTGCTCTACACTAAAAGTACAGACACCTGGAGAGAATGGGAGGCGGTTTCAAAATACTATGGCTTCTTTCCATGTGCGTGTGTGGTTGGAGAGGCTAAACCAGTGCTCTCCAAATCATGAAGGAGACCCTTTTGCTTTTGGATTCTTCGGGTGATCCAAAGATTGTCGATCATGGTCGTACAGCTGGCTGAAACTCATCACTGATTCCTGACGCTGTTCATCGTCAGTGTCTCGACTCAAGAGGCTTTCAGTGCGGTAGTGCAAGTTAATATGCCACTCTACCTTTCGTAGACTTTCTCTCCGCACTTGCTTGTTCAGCAGCAAAACCCGCAGAAGCAGCAAGCCATGGGAGGTGGACTTGAACACACTCGATGACTACTACATGGGTGAGCTGGAAGACACCATAAGAGTGTGCTGCTGAGGAACATGAAGCAGATGAAGATCATGAAGATCGTATCGATCATCGCAAGGGATACCAAGGCGAGCCAACTGCGCAAACTCATCGTTATTGGTTAATGTGGACCATCGCCAGTTTGCTATCGTTAGTCCTGGAGGCAGCATGTACGATATGAATACTACTTCAGATACCACTTCTTGTTCTTCACAATGACTTCTCTACACTGCACTAAAATAGACCTTATATGACACCGTGGGAGCCGAGCAAAAAGCTTCTTACAGAATCAAGTTGGGGGTGAGTTGTGCTTATGTATCATGATATGAGCATTAACTATTATAGGCATTGCGCCTAGCTCGTCTTCCAGTCGCTCCTTGTCAGTATTTAGTTTGTTATCATCGAGAGAGAAAGCGATCACCAATATGGCAATACTATCGCGCAGGCGCCTGTTCGCTCAACGGGGCTTCTAGTACCAGCGCACGGGCGCATTCGAGGCCAGCCCAGTTGCTATTATACTATAGGTAGGCAGGGCTTCAGTAGCGCTATCGCGTATTAGATGCTTGAGACCGGTGGTGTGCATCAATGGTGGGGAGAGCGACAGGGCCCGCAGAGTAATTCTACTGATGAGAATGCTTCAGCCAGCTATTTTGTCATCACCAACCAACATATTATGCGGCGTTTCATTTGATGGACGGCCTACTGCTGGGAAACGTCATATGCAAGCCCCAACTCGTGTGTTGTAAGTCATGCAACTAGGCAACCCCGCGCTAGCTTCAAATGACTATATATCTTGCAGAAGGGTTTGCGGAGTGTATGAAAGATTCCCGAGCCCAGTATGATGAGTGGTGTGCATCTAAAACGCACAAGACATATCGGGGCACACTTCGTCCCTCTGCTTTACTCCCATGATCCTGCAGACTGCAATCTGAAGATCATCCACGCCGTAGAGTGGCGAGGATAAGAAACATAAGACAGCGGCCGCATGACGGATTGCCAGTATCTGTCTGTTCTCCACGAAGCGCGGAGTGGCACAAGTCTCAAGGACAGCAGCCTGCAGGTCACTGAGAAGGATATTGGTAAACTGATCGCTAGCTCCCTCGTAGCACATCTTTCCGAAATCAACTTGGGAGTAGATATAGTTATCACAGCTATGATGCTATTAGATCGAGCAGAAGGAATGGAAGTCCCCCACGTAGATACAAACACATTTGCGTTGCAGAGAGATAATGGACAAGGAGAAACAAAAGGCTTAGATTCTTCACATATAGTACCTGCTTACGCGGTGCCCTGTAAAGCTGCGTAAAGAGGGATCTGAAACTTCTACAGTATACGGCTTCACGTTGTCGCGAGGGGTCGCAAGATCCTGCTCATACAACGAGCCACGCTTAGATGGGCGTCCCCTGTTGTTGATCTCGATGGTGGTACTCAGCTTTGATTGGCCCGCTGGACTCCTCGAAAGGTTTCCTACCGACGGTGATTTGCTCGGCCAATGCACAATTTCGCCAGATCTGGGCCGCGATCTCGCCTCAGATGGCTGATCGATCGTTACTGTTTGTTTATTCGATCGCGATCGCACGGGTGTACGGGGAAATTCATGATATTTACGGTCCATGGATACGAATGGCGCTCGGGAGCGATGGCGCAATGACCGTTCAACCGCTTTGAGGAGACCTTTCACTTGCACGTATTCCGCTGGAAGTTCAAGACGAATAGTTTTGTCATCCGTTTCGACCGTGCTGTGGACTTCACCATCCCTGTAATACATGAGTGCCGTAATATCCTGAGCTAGGCGGTAACCAATGTCACACAGCTGCTCGTGGTTGCGGTGGACTTCGTAGGGGTCGTGGCAGTATGTACAATTTTGTGCATGTTTTTCGAAGTGATAAGCCGCCCAAGCCTGTTCGGTATTTATATACCGCAATCCCGCGTTGACAGGTTCTTTTAAGAAGCCATCCTTTCGAGCTACCTCGGAAGCAGAGGTTGGCATGGATTGTTTTATGGTCGGAAGGACATTGTTCGACAGAATCGTCCGCCTATTCCTCTGACCAGGTGCCGGCACCGAAGACAACTCCCGCAAAGACGGATTTTGTGGCGAATATGAAGAGTGCGTCGGCGGTGGGGGCCCTGAATACTGGAGTCGGGTATGGAAAGGTATGGGGCTGTCAAGTGTGGAATGAATTTCACGCGGGGGATAACCTTTTCGTTTGGACAAGGAAACAGGCCCCCGGGACTTGATTATAGTATCAGGTATCGAAGTGGAATCCTTCGGAGGTGAGCTCCGTAGTAATGACATGGCATTTTGAGTAGCAGCTTCAACTTCTGGATCGTTTGTGAGAGCGTCATCGTACAGAATCGAGGTCGTGGAAGATCTAGTGGGTGGCGGGGGAAGCGAATCGATTCGAGTAAGGTGCTTTTCTAGCTGCCCAAACTCGAAGCAATAGCTTGGATAGGTCTTGAAGCTGGCGGCCCTTTGGTTAAGCCTCTCAATTTGAAGCGATATGTCCTGGAACACAACGGCTGCCGGTAAAATGTATGCGATTTGAGTGACTGTACTTCCCGCAACGATATGACCATAGAGAGCGCCGGTCTCGGCGCTAAAGACGCACGATCCGCAATCGCCGGGATGCAGTGGTCCATCGAGCTTCACAGTGAAGACCTCCTGATAGGCTCCAGCGCCAGGCAGGCGAGTATATGAAGGCGATCCAGACAGCATCCCCGTGATTAAGCCGCTCGAGCCAGTCATGGTAATAATGGATGCAATCTCAGGGATTTTATCGGCAACGTTCTTTAGCGACATATACGGAATCCCACCTTTGGAGAAAGGTACAGAGACGTGAGCAGAGACCGAAAGTATGATATCATCATCCTCGGAGAGAATTAAGGCATAATCCAGGACAGTCGACGCGATGCATAGGTCCCGGTTAGAGACTGCAACCGGGTCTGCTTTCTCTTTGCGTAAGAGTCGTTCGTCTCCAGGGTCAACGTCGCTTGATTCCCCTGCAGGCAAGTACCGGACAATTCTGCCATCGCTGACAGTCTCACATGTTTTGCTGCGCAACTTTTCCGGGGCAATGATACTGATCTCTTCCGATCCTGAGCTATCCAGACTGCCGTTATTCGCCGCATCGTCATCCGAGTTACAACCAGAAGATGATTCTGGGGTCCTGCTTCCTCCACTTGTAACGTCCGCGAGCGCATCATCGTTTTCATCGTCCTCAGCGTCACTTTGGCCCCCGAATTCGCATTCATCATCAAAATCAGCAAGAGAGGAAGGCCAAGGTACTATCCGATGTCCACTCGAGAATGGGTGATTGACCGTGAAGTAATAGTTCTTGCCCTTCGCGCAGAGAAGCCCACCAACCGTGGCCTTTCGATGTTCAACTGATCCGTTCGAGAAGGTTTGCACCGTGATCTGAGGTCCTACTGCACGGTCCAAATCTGACGATGTTGAGTCACTTTGTAATGACGTCAAAGCGAGCTGCTGTGGGAATACTATGTTTGGTGGGAAAGACCAGTGGCCGGTTTCTATGCCTGGGTGTTGGTTGAGAATGCCACTCTTTCTCACCATGTCCATAGCTTCCTTTCTCGGGCCTTTTTGAAAGCATTCAAACATGATTGTCGGCACAGCGGTAAATTTCGATTTGCCAATCATATAGATGGACCATGTGACCCAATCAGCGCCCGGTACAGCGTCGCTACAGCTGTTGAGGTATTCCTTTATCGCTGGAGCTACCTGGGAAAAGGCCTCGCGCGCCGCGCCTTGAGCTCTCCAGCAGAGCCTTCCTTGTTTCTCTCCGTAAAATTGCCCAATGGACTCCTCGGGATTTGGCCAGCGGGGCTTTCTCTTAAGCGAACTCCAGAGTTGCTGGGAACTCATGATAGCACGTGCATGATAGGAAGCCCCAGAATAATGAGATATGGCCTATAGCGCTATATCCGCGATATCAGAGAGTGCAAAAGAAGTACGAAGATACTCAAGGAGGAAGAGTCGGGACGATTGATGAAGGCGGGGCTTGAGGCGTGGAGCAGGCTGAGCAAACCGGTCAACCCAAGTGAGCTGAAAAGCGCGTTGCATCGCCTCGAGCATATGCCCCGCATCCACCGCCACCTTCGTCTACCCCTGTATGCTGAGCAACCATATCCGCTATGGTGATTAATTTGTTACTTCAAGAGCGATGAAATCCCTTTTGGTAAAACTCGCACTAACCTAACGCCTAGTACAGTGACGATAGATTTGGCGACGGGCTTCCGAACGTTTTCTGACAACATCATGATGGATCTCTTCCTTACCGAAGTGGGCGTTCCACCGAACGTTCAGCAACAGGTTGTTGGATGGTTCTTGGACACAGACCCGGCCTCGAGGCCCAGTTCTGGCACAGATCTTCAGCTATATTTCCAATATTATGCGAAGCAAATCTGTCAGGCCCTGCACAATGATGCGCAACACATCTCTGCAGATCGCCACCAGGACATCCTCAGTATCGGGCGGCACTTTAAAGACGGCATTTCAAGAGATGTCATCAAGCAAAGGTTGGCCTCTCAGTACCACGGGCCAAGGCCCGATATCGCGGACTATCTCTGCGAGGGTTCTATCGATCTAGCTGTTCGAGCGCTCTTAATGATCGACATTGGAGAACTGCAGAACGGATTTTGCGGTCGAAGGCTAATTTTTTGGGAGCGCGGTACCGTGCAGGACTTTCTCCACGGAGCCTTTCCGAGCAATCCAGTTCTGAGCGCCCAAGGCGTAAAATTAGGCAGCATATTTCTTGCATGCAATCTCGAACGCATCGCCGGGGTCAAGATCGTGTGGACTACGAACTTAGCGGATCATCTTCGCATGATCGACGAAGATAAGAGACTCTTCATCTTCCATCATGCTTCATTCCTGCAGCATCAGCAACAGTAAGTGTTGTTCGTTTATGCCTTCCTGTATCGCTGGCTATGTGATAGTCCAGAATTCCTCCAATGACACATAGTGGACGCTAGATCGCTGGACATATCTTTGAGATGATTGCACAGTTGGGATTAGCGCATAATGCTGATAGACGTTTCTGATAGTTCCATCTTTCCGAAGGGACTAGTTGATGAAACAGTCCGAACACTCATGCTCTTGTTTCCCAAAGGACACAAGTTTACCGAAACATGGTATCGCAAGATCGCAAGCGTCGAAGCGTTGGACCCTTTTGTCGTCCAGTGCGGATGCCTTCGAGCAGACGATAGACAATTCGAACATTTCATGTATTGGCGCGATAGACTGCTCATCTTGAAGCAAGTCTTCGACGAGTCGCGCCCGGGCACACTCTCTCAATGGTGGAACGACCGGCGCAACGGCGTACAATGGTACACGTTTTGGGTGGCTATACTAATTTTGTTACTGACCATCTTCTTTGGCTTGGTGCAAAGCATCGAAGGGGCCCTACAAGTGTACAAGGCGTACCATCCGACGCCAATATGATATGCCGCATCTAGTTGGACAGCTATTATCGTTTGCAAAAAGGATTCCCCCACTTTCTTGTCAGCTCTGGGCCTTCGTTTTTGCAATTTTCAGCGAATTTGTATATACATTCGCCCTATTAGCTAGCTCAGTCCGGTACCGGTGTTCTAACAGGCTGATTGGCCTGCTTTGGCATATAGCTCAACGAAATCTATCTTTGAATCTAGAGTAGCAAATAGTTGGCTTTTAACTGGGATAGCGAAGCTCATCATCGCTCTCTGTCGAGGTTCATCCCCACAGTCGTGTAGTGAAGCTTCACTGCCAAGATCTAGGTATAAATACCACCACCATTCTCCCACCTTGCTCTACACACGTTGTTCCTTGCACTCGCATTAAAAGGGGAGTTGACCATGATACATGGGAGATGGATCAAAAGACAAAAAAGGACTGGAGAAATGTGGGCGTGTGTCTGGAAGAGATCAAAATGCTCGAGCAAGTCGTTCATGTGGCGAACGGCCTTTTGCGCGCGATGATCAATATCGTCATCACCTCTTCAAAATCATCCGTGTGCCGGCCGATCACAGCACGCACGGAGACGTATAAATAACGCTTTATCATTGACCTTCTTGCTCTTCACACTCCGTTGCTTTGCACTAAAAGGCGACCACTTGAAGTACATGTGAGCGGACCAAAATATCAAGAAGTTTCGAGCCATGTGGGCGCGCAGCTGGAGGACTCGAATGCTCTTTCCTTCTCTCAATGGAGCAGGACGGCTTTAAGCATAGAGTGACCTTGGTGAAAATCATCATCAGTGCTTTAGGGGGATGATCAGTGCTCGAGCTGGTCACTGGCTTGGGATGGTGCGGGAACTTATGTATAAATAGAGGCCCAATGTTCGTCTTCGTGTTCTTCACACATCGTTGCGCCGCACTAAAAAGGAGGAGAGCAGGAGGAGAGCAGGAGGAGAGTATTGTCTATGGGAGGTGGACTAAAAAGGCATGTCCGCGCGCCCTATGTGTGTGTCGAAGCTGGAGGTGACCAAAACGCACAGGATAACGTCACATGAACAAGAATGGTCTGTGCCGTGAAGTGATGATGAGTATCGCCATCCTACTTGGGAGGAATTCATCAGTGTCCCATTTAGGGACTGAGATACAGTGGGGTGATGACTTCGGTATAAAAGCCACCTGCCTTTGCTGTACCTCGCTCCTCGCTCCTTACGCTTTGTTGCTCTGCACTAAAAACCAGAGAAAACGCAGTCCATGGGAGGTGGACTAAAATATGGTGACGACCTTAACATGGGCAAGCTCGAGGGCACTAAAAGGTTGGGAAATCGTGGGACGGCCTCGGGCGCAAGCAGGAACTTCAAGTCTATCCCGATCGTGTGCATAGGGCGAGCTGTGTCAAGTCGTTCTCCTCCTTCTGGCATGATTCAATTTCGAATTTTGAGGACCTGGAATTACTGCGCCCACGTGAGTTCGAAGATGCACACCATTACTGAAACTTGTCGATGCAAATTACAGTAACTCATCTGAAATTCAGTGTCCTGTGGTACCTCAGGCTGAGCCAAGCTGTGCCCATATACCAGTTGCCGCGCGTAGTGAAATTGACATTGATTCGTTATCTGCGTCTATGCATAATGCGTGTATGTGTATGTCCACCCTCTATATTCTCATACGGTCGTAGCCACGAGGCTCAGTACGAGTTCTAAAGCATAAGGTGTGTTTCTCTTCGCCATCCGAGTGGAATCCGTCATTCATGGAGCGCAGAATGATAGCCCAAAGAAGATGGCGTGTCTGGTGTTAATCCCGGTAAGGCCCGCTATGCATCGTATACTTGTAGACAGACATGTAACATGACCTTCGTCCTCAGACCTTGACAAACTTGGTGTGGCTGCCCTCCGCAATGACAGCGCCCCGCTCCCCATCCACAACCTTATAGATGCTGCATCTTGTGAATGCCAAGGTCCCGCCAACCTTGGTCGCTACGCCCTCGATCTCGATCTCATCGCCTTCCCTCGCCGAGCTCTGGTACGTGACGTGGATGTCGGTACTGACGCCGATCTTGGAGCGCTTGTCCCACGCCGCAATGGCGATGCCGCCTACCCAGTCGATGATCGTGGCTGACGTCGAACCATGTATACCTCCATGAGAATTGACATGATTCTTGGTCAGGGTCAGACGCGCTCTTACAACGCCCTTTGACGCATGCGTGAACTTGACATCTGAGAGGACGAGCTGGTAGATTGCACTGTGCGGCAGGCGGCCAGCCCAGAATTCCTGAATGAAGGACAGGAGCTCGGGGTCGTTGGCGGGGGAGGCCATTGTCAGATCGGGAGTTTAGAATTAGAAGTCGTGGAGGATGAACGGCGTCCGACGCGAGATCGGCCCAAACGAAGAAAGAAGCACGCGGAACAATGGTTTCACCGAAGCGCGGGAGCAGGCGCGACCCTGACCCTCGCGTCCCCGAATAAGCCTGCGCCAACGGGCGGCGTGAAACGTTCCTGAGCCAGCATATCCCGCACTTGTTGCCAGATCGCTTGCCCCACAGGCGAAACACACAACATTGCTACGCTGGACTGCTGGTGTCCTTCCTTACCTCGATGTGCGCGCGTGCCCTAGCGACACCATGACCGACCCCCTTGAGCCCGTGCCGAGTCTCCGCGAGCCTCCGACCGACGCACCCGCCGACCCGCTTGCGCCCGTGCCAGGTGCGCCCAATGCCACCGAGAAGACACCTCTACGCGAAGAGGTCTCCAAGGAAGGTGCAAATGCGCCGTCGATAGACTGGAAAGCGCTGTTAGACCGCGCTCTTGTGTTCCTGTCAACTGCGAGCAATGAGACGCTGGGCGCATGCTTGGTTGGTCTGGGCGCAGGGACCTACTTAATATTAGGAAGAGTCGGATTACTTCTTATAGGCGTCGTGGGCGGTGTGGCCCTCCATGCGACGTGGGAAAGTCATGCGCACGGCGACCATGGCGCCGAGAAGAGCCAGGACCTACGGCGGAAGGAACTGGGAGTAGACATTGCGCACAGGGTCCTCTCATGGCGGGAACAGCGAGACAAAGGCAGCAGTCAAGACGACGATGACGCCGATCTCAGTGTGAAGCTGTACTCAGGCCAGGAGTTGGATTTCTCAGACTTCCGCCCAGAGACGGCGGCTGCGCTGACGGAACTGACGGACGCGGTGATACGCGACTATGTCAAGTATGCTCATACTCGCCGTCTCCTCGTACACATGTATATGTCTAATGCAATACAGGTGGTGGTACCACCCCATCATTCCCAACGAAACACTCTTTCCCAATGCTTCTCGACAGACATTGACCGCTTTTTTGATCTCCATGTCTACACACCTATCCCGCAAGCGACCGGCAGATTCATTCGTCGATTTTGTGACCAAGTCTTCGTCATTCATGATCATCTTCTTTTCTGAACTCTCAAATGCTATCTTGGCGAACCCGGGCGAGACTGCGCCTGGAGCTGTGGACTTGTACATGAAGATGAAGCGCGACAGCACGCTGGCTACGATTCTAGACACGGAATTTCAAACAAAGCAACTAGGCGGTATCGCGGAAGATATACTTCAGAACTATCTGGAGCCGAAGACGTACAACTGCAAGCCCGCGCGGGAGTTCCTGCACCAAATCTTGGCGAAGGTGGTGCTGGAGATGATCGTTACAACGTGTTCGAAACCCGAGTGGATCAACGGCTGGATCGTGCACCTGCTTGAAGATGGCGAGCCCGAGCTTATGGAGGCCATCGACGCGGGCGTCGAGGCATCGCCGCTAGGGACCGCCAAGGATAGTGTTGAGCGGCGGCAGAACAGTGAGGAGGTAAAGAAGCACAAGCGGGTTGTGAGTAGGGCGCAGCAGGCAATGGACGAAGCTATGCAGGAAGCTCAGCGGCTGAACCAGATGATTGCGGACGAGGTAAGCTACAAGTTCAACAACCTTCATTGCCTTGATCCTCTCGTGTTACGATTGCCTCCCGTAATCAATGCTCAAGATGATGAATTTTGCTAATGCAATGGTAGGACGCAAAGCGAATGAAAGAGCAACACAATACATCAAACTCTTCCTTGATCGACGATCAGTCCGAGAGCACTACGCAGGGCATAGTCACCCCGACTTCATCACAAAGTGAGACCCTCGCAGAGAACGACATGTCAGCCTTCGGCATCACGAACATGCCTGCCCATGGCTCACAAGAATCCGCCACACCGTCCCCGACCAACGAAAACGCGCAACCGCAGAAAGAAGCTTTCACCAGCTTCGACCAGCTCGTCCCGAATGCTCCTCCTACAGCGCTGGCAGATAATTCACCACTTACACCTCCACCACTGACGCTCCACAACTGCAAGATGACCATATTCGATGACTCTATGCCGGGCGAAAAGGGAATAATTAGAAACAAACCCACCGTGGAGTACTTGATCCAAATCGAACCTTCATTGGACTATTATAAGGGTTGGATGTCTGCAAAGAAATACACCGATTTTGAGACCTTGCACGAGGTACTTCGCCGAATAGCGCAAATCACAGGCGCGAACGGTTTCGTGGAAGCACACAAGGATCTGCCGACTTGGAAGAACCATACCAAGGTATCGCTTCGTGGCGAACTAGAGCGGTATCTGAACGATGCTGTGCAGTACAGACCCCTTGCTGAAAGCGAAGGTATGAAGCGCTTTCTCGATAAGGAGATCGGAAACGGCAAATCGCCCGGCGCAGGCGGCATATGGCCCGGCCAAGCATTCGAGACGATGGGCAAAGGGATGATGAATGTCCTCACTCAAGCGCCAAAAGAGGTCGCGGGAGGCGGCAAAGCGCTCTTTGGCGGTGTAACGGGCGTGCTGGGCAGTGTTGCCACCCCCTTTGGCGCAAAGAACGGGAAGAAACGCGCGGACTCCACAACGAACAGCCCAAGCGTGTCCCGCACGTCGACCATATCCCAAACTACGCCGATAACCAATCGACACGGTCGCGCTGAGAGCACGGTATCAGAGCTTCCAAGTCACATCCGATCCGAAAGCACGATGTCGTTTGCTGCGAAGCGTACATCCACGGAATCTCTTCGCACCGCTAACTCGCCAATTATTGACCAGCAGCCACAAAGAGAGGCGCCTATGGAGCGGCGTCCAAGCTACAACCCCGATGGCGATGGGAAGCGCTCGGGCCCAAATAGTTTGTTCGGTGGGTCAAGAAGTGCAAGTCGAGCGCCGAGCGTGAGGGAGAGTATGGACCTGTCGCCTACAATGGGCGGCGACCAGCTCATGAGTAAGTTTTCCATGTATACGCATGATGAGTCGGAGACTAACGTCAAGCAGACCTCCCCCCTATGCCGTCCGAAATATCAGACGACTACACCGACCCGGTCCACAGTCGACACCCATCGCGCACATCGACTAACTCTTTACCATTCACCGCTGACACCCCACCACCCGTACCTCCTCTCCCACGTCGCCCCTCAGCCATATCTCTCACCTCTTCCAATCCCCCTCCCACAGGAGCACCCACCGCCTCATCACCCGAAGCCAAAGGAAACCACGCGCCACCCACGCCCCCCTCTCCGAGCCTGAAACCACCGTCCTCATCGAACTCTTCTTCGCTACCATCAACGAGCTCTACACGCTCTCCTCTGCCTGGTCCCTCCGCCGCACACTGCTCAACGCCGCAAAGACATTCCTCCTGCGCCCCGGAAACCCGCAATTGACCTCCATCCAGACCCTGATGCAATCCACCATGCTCGACGCAAACACTTCCGATGATGGGCTGGCGTACCATATCCGCAAGATACGGGAGAATGCGCTTCCTACTGAGGCGGAGTTAGACAAGTGGAATAAAGAGTGTGAGAAGAAAGGCTGGGTAAACGGAGAGATGGGAGATGAGGAGAAGGAGAGATTGAGGGTGAAGGCGAGGAAGGCGCTTGTGGAGAAGGGCATGCCGCAGGCGCTGACAAGCGTTATGGGACAGGCGGCTAGTGGGGAGGCACTGGGGAGGGTGTTCGATGCGCTGCAGGATGCGCGGGTCGCGAGGGGGGTTATCTTTGGGCTGATGCTTCAGGCGTTGAAGGGGGTTACGCAGTAGGTGGGATATACACATTGGGAGCTGGGTCTGCATTGGTTGGGCGTTCGTTGTCTGTAGATGGCGTTGTGGGGATGATGGTAGAGATGATAGTATTATTGTAATTTTACGACTTGTTACGCTTGGACGCAGTCCTTCCGAACACACGTTTCTTCTCTGCTGCAGGTCGAGCCACATCCAAAAGAGGCTCCGTGGTCCAGCGAATTCTGCTTCGAGTGGCTTCGTCATGTTTGTGGCCGAGCGATCGTGTTGGGGTGTTGCATGGTCTGACGTGTTGCCCGTTGCACGGACTGCTACCGGTGAGACACGATACCGGTAGCGCCGGAAACTCGGAAGGTGGAATTGGGGGCTACGATTTGGTTCCCCGAAGGAGGCGGCGTAGTACCGGTTGACGTCCTTGCATGCACCGACCACTTAGTAAAGGCACACTACTTACGTCCCTGCCACATTATAACATCTTCTCCACTTTATCAGCCTCACCACCAATCTTAACAATACTATGGCGTCGTTCCTTAGCTGTCCTACTGAGCTCGCAGATACCATCCTTGAGCAAGTGTCATTTCGTGACCTTACTGCTGTGAGCCTCGTTAACAAGAAGCTACACAAATTCGCAACGCCGCATCTTTATTCACAAGTCAACTTCACCATCTATCGAGATAACCCGCGCCCTATAATGCATCTCGCCCGGACTATATTCAATAAGCCTGAGCTAGCAAAACTCGTTAAAAGTGTGCGTTTGCGCGATGGGGAGGAGAGTATTCAGAGTATGTGGGAGCCGGGAGATTGGTACGGGCAATACAAAGTGCCTCTGGCTTCTCCGCCACACCCGGCAGCAGATGATGGGTTACCTGAGTTTGTCTCATTTATTGCGGAATCTGGTCTCTCGTACGCCGATATCTGGATAGACAAACTCCAGGTGGGTGACCTAAATGCCTTCGTTGCCCTGTTAATCTCCAAATTACCTAATCTCGCACGTTTTCGTGTTGGGTATGCGGCTATCCTACCTTTCCTCGGGACGAGGACAAGCGCGAAAACCAAACCAAGGATCGTTTATGACGACGCCTTTCTAGGAAAGCTTTTCCAATCTGCTGTTTTCGATACATCGAATCACGGGCTCTCTCGATTCGAGCACCTAGAAGAGATCTTTTTCCCTGGACCTCTAGAATCGGACCCTGGCCCAAATCCAGATTTTTGCCATCCTCAAGGCCTATTTACTCTTCTTAACCTTCCGTCCATGCGCAGCATTTCAGGTTGGTGTTTCAACCCTAAGACGTTGCCGTTCACCTGGCCATCAGGCCTACCAGACCTTACCAATCTCACGTCGCTATCTCTAAAATACGTTCACATTAATTTCCTTGCACAAGTCCTTGAAAGAACTCGGAATCTCAAGACGTTGAGCTGGGAGTGGTTCTACATACCGGATTACGGCGATCAGTTCAATACGGACACGCTTAACCTCGACAAATTTGTCGAAGCGTTGATGCCGGTGCAAGAGACTCTCGAGGACCTGACAATCAAATTCACCAACTGCATGGGGACGTGGGATCCCGACGTCCAGCGTATCAATGTCACAGGGTCCTTGAATGGTCTTCAACAGTTCACTGGTATCAAGCGATTCTGGGCACCGTTCCAACTGCTGCTTCCGGACTGGGAGTCCAATGCAAATTGGGCCCGCCGGCTGGAAGACAGTCTGCCACGCAATGTTGAAGTCGTCACAGTCACAGATTCTGTTGCATCAACAGATGGTTATCCGTACGATGAACCTGACGAGTTCGCTTTTCTCGGGCGCTGGCTCCATGAAACGGCAGCGACGAGGACGCCGCACCTTAGCGAGGTCATTGTCTATATGTCGGATAGGTCCGGCTTTCTTGAGTCTTACGAAAGTTTTGATATGGTCCACCAGGCATTTGAGGGGACGAATGTGAAGTACAGAATTATCGATGAGGATAAGGAGGTGCGACTATGGGAAGTTGTATGAAGAGGATAAGGAGGTGCGACTATGGGAAGTTGTATGAAGATGATAAGGAGGTGCGACTATGGGAAGTTGTATGAAGAGGCCAGCGAATATGAAGGGGCTCCGTGAATGTTAGTATGTAAAATCCTATGGCTATATATATTAATAGCAAAGCATTGTATTCTACATACGACCATAGGACACTGAAAACTAGGCTTCCCGTCCGCTCAGCCATATATAAGCAGTGTACCGGCGGATTAGTAGTTGCGTGGGTGACCAGCAGCGAATACCCGCTGTTGTATGTTTTTGTTTTTTGAAGATCTTTGTTCTCGCTCGGAGTAGCGTGGTGGAGCGAAGTGGAGCCCGTCGGGGCGGGCGAGTCAGGTGCTTCTACAACCGTTGCATCGCGTCGAACTCGCCTGGAAAGCAAAACCAGGCGAAAATCCTAAGCTTGATACAATAGCACAGCAGGGGAGTAATGAAGCACCAATGTCCAGCACGCCGGACGGCTGTTCTCATTACTTTTGCAGCATAGAAGAACGTCACTTGCTGACATGATTGAGTCGAGCGTTGCGCGGAAATAAAAAAGCTTTCGTGGAATAATCTCCTAATCAATTAACGCAAACGAGGCAGTACAAGCCTACATGCACACTACGATAGGATGTCTCTAAGCAACAATCTCGATATTCTTTCACATGCTTGTGATGAGCGGATGCTGCAGAATCGCCCTTTATGTTACTTTGTGCACCTTCACTTCTACCTATGGCATGTGCACTTATTCAAGTTCCTAACGTGCTCGCGAAAGGCAACTCCCGCCGATCTCTCCAGGTAGTGCATGGATTGAATCGCCAAGCACCACGATGTTTCCTTTCAAAGGCATAATGGATGATGTATGGGACGAAAAATGGTACAGGTGGGAAGTTGTGCATGCCATCTTCGAATGCCCTATCAGAAGTCCCAAACACGAGCGGACCAATTCGATACTAATATGGTCAGTGATGTGAAATCTGCTGAAGAGACAGTAGGGATCTTGCCTTATCAGTGTCCATAGCAGATTTCTCAAACCTTTTATACGCCCCTCGTATTTCCTCGCTATCATATCGGTCAAGAGCCTTCAGCGTATCGATCTCATCCACCAAATGCCGATGCAGTGGTGTTGCAAATGCGTCAATCAAGTTCCTGACTTTCTCTCCGTCATAATCTTCTGGAAGACAGCTCTTGGTATATGCTTCGAACGCTTCGAAGCCGGGCGTGAAGGCGCGGTGCTGTTCAACATTGCCTTCCATGAGGCCCTGTATATGCGTGATACTCTCAACGTCCGGAAAGAACATCTCCTCTTCCGAGTCATGATGATGGTGCATAGACTCGTACCAGCATTGGCAGTAAGTCAGAAAGTCTCGAGCCTCTGTGCGCGGTATCTGTGCGGCTTGGAGATAGATGCTGTTCAGACCGCGGATGATGCCGTTGTGGGCCAGTGCCATCTGGGTGGCAACATAATAGGCCGCGTGGGACGTCTATTTTCTCCTGTTAGGCACAAAAGCAGCGTAGGAGAACGAAAACCTACGTCCTTAGAGAATGGAAGAGTTGGGATAAGAGAAAGCGGTTGGTCTGCCCATTGCGGAGACATCGTGGTAAATTGCCGTAGCGTAGATAGAGACGATTTATGGTGATAGTGGATTGTGACGAGCTCCGCGATTGTTCTTCAATATCCACATTCGAGAGCATACTTATGGCACGCCTGGATTGGACATCTTCACTTTGTCGGAGGCCTGTGCCAACGTTGACTTACGCCCTGTGAGAGACGGACGGAATGTTCTTTCGACTGAATTCCTACTCTGGCAACGATCAACACACACAGTCGGTGCAACTATGGTGTTGTATACTCCAAAAGGTCCAAGCGCATCTACTGTGCCCCCATAATGCCTGTCCGCGGGTTGCGCAGCGTGATGCGAGACCGCAAACAACGCCCAACTGAAGCTGCTTGGTAGACTGCGATGAATTGTGCCGACCCCGAGTCACTAGATTTGGCTGGCTGTCATTGGTCTTCGAGCTGACAAAGATGTACGCCCCGTGCAGTCATCACATTGGCCAAAGTTGGAGCGGGGATCGGGGGCCGACTCTCTTCGTACACCTTTCCACTTCCAGCTGGCACTAAGCTTCACAAGCGGGCTAACATGTTTCCGATCGAGCATACACTCTGAGAGATGCACCGAATCCATGAGAATATATTTACTTACTGTTTGAACACGATGGAACCCTCATCTCATCACACTCAGATCAACACTTCTCATTTCATCGAACGCAAATCTCAGCAACGCTTCTCGACATCGTCAAATCACTGACTTCGCATTGAAATACCAAACAATCGGAACACAAGAAACCGCAAACATGAAGGTCCTTCTCATTGGCGCAACCGGGAATGTGGGCCTCAGGCTCGTCGCTGCACTCCTTACACACGGTCACAACGTCGTTGCATATGTACGATCCGCTCAAAAGCTTCAGTCTCTTCTCCCGGCGTCGGTATATCGTCAACTCTCCGTGGTCGAGGGCAATGCCTACGACTCACACGCAATAAAAAATGCCATAATACACAACGATTGCGAGGCCGTCGTCAACTCCGCTGGAGTCGCGGCCATGGCTCCCTGGGGCAAAAGCGATCTGCCACAAATATTCGCTGCCGTTCTGGAAGGGGTAAAGCAAGCGGGCGCAGAGCGAAAGAAGCCTTTGAGAGTCTGGTTCCTGGGTGGACTGGGAGTGTTGAGCTTCCCAGGTTCGAACTCGATCCTCTCGGACCAGTAAGTACAGCACGAAAGTCTCACACAACGATCTCGAAATTAACAAACTACAGTGTTCCCATCTTCCTCGCTCACCGCAAGAACATGGCCCTGCTTAAGACGCTCCCACCAAATACGGTCGACTGGTCCATGATCTGCCCCAGCACAATGACGCCTGAATCTTCGGACTTCAGCGTACCTACGAAAAGCTCGCACGCAAGACTGACAGCAAGTGCTGGAACGCCACCATTGTGGCAAGATTCCTGGATGAAGCACATTCCGCTGATTGGGAAGTCGCTTGTGGCTGCGATGAATGCGAGTCGTTACGATACCACTCTGGAACAGAACGCGGACTTTATTGCTCATGATTTAGAAACCCGAGATAGTCAGTACATCGGGGCACGGGTAGGAATAATCGACGCATCGAGGTAGTTCGAGGATGAACAGTTTTCGTCAGAGCATGTGTAATTAGCGAGCGTCCTGTTGATAGACTACATAATGTGTTAAATCTTGCGCGCTTCTCTCCGGAAGATTCTCGACGCTCTTTCACGCTAAGAACGAAGTTAGATCTCTGTTGCGAATCTCACTCAGTATCATAGCTTACCAAGCTCGGTTTTTGAGATCGTGACGACGCTCCTCCTGCGGGTGCCGATGAACGTCCACCAGGCGGTGACGTTCCGCTGTTTGTATGACCGGATGCATCCTCGTCTTCATCTCCTGTGTCATCTTGAGTTCGTTCATTCTCCGCACCCCACACATCAGTCTTATTCCTTTGTATGCGATTGTCCATTCCAGAAAGCCGGTTGTCAAACCACTTCCTGAACTCCATGGCTTTCTCATTTTCCAAGTTCGCCATCTTTTTAAAGAGATCGTGCATTATCTTGATACTGTCTTCCTGAATGGTCTTCAATCCTTTCTCAACGGCACTTTCTACCGCTTTGTCGATGGCGTCTTGCAGGGCCGGAGATATCAGGGACACGCTCCGAGGGGAGGGAAAGATCTGAGTTGCGGCACCGTGGGTGCTTGCGGGAACTTGCGGAGTAATAGGAGGAACATTGTCCCGGGAAGGAGAGTCGTATCCTGTTCCAGTGTGCGATAGATCATTCACATACCACGTTTCATCTACTAATTGCGTTTCGGAATAACCTACGGTACCGTCATCGTTGATTCTAGGTGTGTGAAGCTCTTCAGAAGGCGCGGTAGACCTAGGTGCTCGAGTTGGTGTTTCAGGATCGGGGCGGATTGTATTGACGGACTCCTTGCTACCGCTGCTGTGTGCCCTTCTTTTAGACTTATTGGCCATTGCGTGATGGCAGCAGCTCTCTAGCGGCTCTTGGGCTTTTGACTGAGGCAGACCGACATGCTCTTTAGTATTTATGTACATATGTTGACAAAGTCATCAATTGTCATTTGTGAATGAAGCAAACTCCTTGGTGGACGAAGTGACATGTGCTAGACCAAACAAAACGGTGATCTGGATGAGCTCTCGTCATACCTAGCTCTTTTAGTATTCACTCTCGGTTTCAGCTGCTCTCCTTCGATGAAGTCAAGGCATCACGCCGCTGTCTCCTGCGTTCTTTAGTGCCCCGTCGTTCAATTACGACAGCGCTTTACGCATGAACAGAGATAGTCATACACGATATCAAGTCGATAACAGCCATTGACAATCGCAAACCTCTATTGCGCGACCCAGACCTCAAAATTAGCAATACTGCACTGAATACCACGAATTATCCCCGACCAATGTAAAGCAAGCAAGGCAATCGTTGAGAGCGGTCTGTCATTCACTACCACCCTAGCCCAGACACTTCATCGTGACGTTCCCCCCCGCATCCGCATTCCACAGCGCATCCCACCCGCCATTCTCCAGCATCGCAAACGTATACATCCCCTTCTCAACAACCCACTCATACCCCCTATCCAGCATCCTCAGATACCTCCCAACCTCGACCTCCATCCGCGCCGTCACCGTGCTCCCCGGCTCAACATACACCCTCTGAAACGCTACTAGCTGCTTCAGCGGCTGCGAAATCTGACTCACGCGTTGCAGCAAATACACCTGCGCGACGTAGCTCCCGACCACATCCCCCGTATTCGTGACATCGGCTTCGAACACAAGCGTATCTCCCGCAGTGAAGTTCGAAGTGCTGCCAGCAGAAGTGGCGCCTCGGTAGTTTGAGATGTTGAACGTGGTGTACGACAGGCCGTGGCCGAAGGGATAGTACGGCAACGACTCAATGTCGGTGTACCACTTCTTCTTCGCGGTCTGCTTGTAGTTGTAGTAGACGGGGAGCTGCCCCTCGTGCACGGGCACGCTCACCGTTAATCTCCCGCCGGGATTTACCGTGCCGAAGAGCACGTCTGCGATGGCCTGGCCGCCGCTTTGGCCTGGGAAATTCGCGTCTACGACGGCGGCTGCGCGGGAGTAGTATTGCGGGACGGCGAAGGGGCGGCCGCCGTGGAGGACGAGGATGACGGGCTTGTTGAGCGCGAAGATGGCGTCTGCGAGGGCGGTTTGGTTCGCGGCGAAGCCCATGGTGCCGCGGTCGCCGGATTCGCCGTCGCTGTTCCATGCGCCGCCTAGAGCGAGGACGATGACATCGGCATCTTGAGCGATGGACACACTTTTCTCGATGGGAGACTTGCGGTCGACGAGGTTCCAGAAGAGGTAGACTTGGGAGTTTAGGGAGCCGAGGTTTTCGATCTTCTGGTATAGGTTCCAGGTCTGGTATTCCAAGCGGATGTGGTAGATTGTGCCTTTCTTGAATGTGAATGGCTCGGAGCCGGGCGGAGCTTGCGTGCTGTTGTTTATTGAGTAGGAGCGCTCGGGGATGTTGGACAGGATGTTGCCGGCTGTTGTCGACGGAACATCGACGTGCAGTTTCCCGTCTACGTAAATCTTCGCGGTGGTGTTGGCGCCCAAAGCGACCCCTAGCCATCCATCTACGTCGTCGTCGACTGCCGGCACCAGTTCGCCTTCCCATACAACGCTGAAGTTGTTGGATGGCAGACCGGGTGGCGGGTACAGACCCCAAGAACCTACCGGCGTCTCTACCCTCTTCACTATCGGCTGACTAAAATTTGTGTCCGCGTAGTAAGTGGCTTTTAAGCCCCCGGAAGAGCCATTGACCGACAAGTGATAGGGCGGGATAGGGTAATGTGCATTATACAGCCAGGTGTTCGCGCCCATACTGGCCACCAGCTTCCCGCCGGTGCCTCCAAGATGGTTCAAGATGCCTTGCTGGAGGGTTGTAGAATTGGCTACAGGGGCCATCCCGTATTGACCAGAATAATCGCCGTAGTTGAGGATATCACCAAACGGGCCAATCAGCGCAATAGTCTGACTGTTTCCATTGTCTTTGCTCAAAGGAAGGGTTTTGTTTCTATTTTCCAATAGCACGATGCTCTTCTGTGCGGACTCCAAGGTCAAAGGCACATGGTCTTTTGTAAGCTGGTAAGGATCCACGTCATCGGGAATATAAGGATCGTTGAAGAGACCGAGGTCGTACTTGACACTGAGAACCTTCTTGACCTTTCCTCGTAGTAGGGCTTCATTAACGGTGCCGTTGGCAATCAGATCCTGAGTAGCGTTGAGAAGCGTGTAGAGAGGATAATCGTAGAACTGGACCATTCCTCCGGCATTGTAGTATTGTGCGATAGCATCGGCCGGCGAGTCAGCGACCTGGTGTCCGACCTGCAACTGTTTCATGCCTAGTAAAGTTAGCGGGCGCCTCTTTAGATGTAAATCAAGAGACACATACCGGTGTCATCAGCAGTGACGAATCCATCGAATCCCCATTCCTCCAACTGCTTATAAAGCATAGGGTTGACATGGCTGGGCACATCGTCCAGCTCATGATATGCCATCATCACGCCCCTCACGCCGCCCTTATCTACCACACTCTTGAATGGCAGTAGATGCTCCTCAAGCACCTCGCGATTCCCGTGGCCCATAAACGGCGCACCATTGCTGCCACCTTGTGGCGTCCCATGCGCTGCAAAATGCTTCATCACTGGAGCCACAGCATCACTCTCCGCCCAACTTCCATTCTTCGACAAGCCACTCGCAAAAGCAACACCCATATGCGACGTCAAAACCTTATCTTCGCCCCAGTCCTCTTGACACCGGCCCCAGCGCGGGTCCTTGCACAGATCGAGCACAGGCGCAAGACATGCTTGCACACCGATGCTCCGTGCTTCGGCGGCAATCGCTCTTCCAACGCGGTGCACTAGCTCGGTATCCCAGCTGTTCGAAAGCGCAAGGGCCTGCGGAAACATGCTTTGGTTAAAGCTGCCTACACCATGAAGGCACTCTGCCCAATGCAAGAATGGGATTTTGAGTCTCGAGCTCTCGATGTTGAGACGTTGCAGTTCGTTGTAGTAGGTCTTGTTGAGCGGGTACCAGTCGTGCATGTGGCCTATCGAGGCATTGGGCGTGAAGCGCAGTTCGAAGTCGTAGAGGGAGTTGTCTGAAGCAGGGCCGATGACATTGTCGGCGAAGGTGAGGTGTAGCTGTTGGACAAGATCCGGGATCTCCATTTGCGAAAGCAGGTCGTCGATGAAGGCATCTTTTGCTTCGGTGCGACTATCGAGGCGCGGAGAGATACCATGCTGCTGCGCGTGTGCGAACAGGCATAACGTCGAGGATAGAAGTAGCGACCGCATCCTGAACACCGATGTACCAGCAACACGTCCAGTAAGGTATGGTGGAAAACGCGGCTATTTCAACAGTCCGACACCTCCCCTCCTTGATAAACCCAAAGTGGTATTCCATGATAGCTGGGTGTGATCTTGAATTATCCTTGTCGATGCAACGGTGACAACGGGCGAGGTACCGGCTTTGCCTTTGCGGGACCTTGTTCTGTACACGATGTGTCCAAGTGGGGATGTGAGCGAAGCTATGGATGCGATGTACATTGTCATTGCGGGGGAAGGGTACGACTTTCGGCAAAGATACTCCGCTGGTGCAGATCATGCCGGAAACGCGCTGATAGCGGTGATGCTCCGCTGCCCGTACGTGCGCAAACCAAAATGGCCCGGTCGTTCTCTAGGAGACTGCAATGCGCATTGTTGTTATTGTCGAATACGGTGTCGAACGAGGGAATACTCTGATGTCTCAATCAGCTAGACGCACATGAGCGTTCAGATCTTCTATGGAATGTATAGAAAGATCTGTCTAGGCCGTGTAGTATGACGCATGAGTGTTAGATTCTGTATGTGCAGTCGAAAGGCGTGTAGTTGTAACAAATATCATAAGATGGTTGCAGTCGCCCAGTGTACCAAAGAATGAACTGAGCGGAGCGATCAAAAATCCAAGCAGTGAAATAAAGGTTCATAGCGAGCGAAACGTCGACTCCGCGACTATGTTACATGAAGAGCAGTTTGCTGAAAGACTCGATGCGCGAATGATGCTACGCTTCCTCTGCCATATGTTGCGGCGGATCCAGTGGAAGGTTGAGCGGTTTCCTCCCGTACGTAAAACACCTGTCCTTGTCAGCACATCGCCCCCCTGACACTTACTCCGTGATACTTACACCGTCTCATACATGTACGTCTTCTTCGCCCCCAGATACGGCATAACATCTTCAGTAACCCACTTCTTCGCCTTCTCCTCACTCCACCCAAGAATCTTCACAAACATCTTCATAGCTACCGGCTCAAAAGCATGCCTAAGATCCTCCAGAAAGTAAACACCCAATTTCTTCATTTTCTCGCCCTTTGCCCACGGCCCACACGGCCAATACAGTCTTTTCTCTTCGACAGCCTCGAAGCCGATCTCCTGCATCCACCTCTTGTAGTGCTGCACGTTGTTCCACGGGCGCCCAATCTTAGCGCCGCAGGCGGCTATCAGCTCCAAGAATGCGCGAAGCGGGTGTTCAGGCGGGGGCTGTGGATCCATGAACTGGAATGGAAAGAGGCCATCTTGAAGCTCAAGGTAGCCGCCAGGTGCGAGGTTGTCGTAGGCTTTCTGGATGATGGATCGTGGATCCGCAAAGCATGTTAACAGCGCGCGCCCATGGATGTAGTCGAAAGGTCGTGAAAAGTTCCATTCGTCCTCTGCGTCTGCGATTTCGAAGTGGCAATTGGTCGGGACATAGTTAGGCTGAATAGGTGAGAGGTCGGTGCCCATTACGCGTGCGTCCGGATACTGTTCCGCTGTAAGAAAAGTCAACATACTGTATCTGCTGGTGGTGCAGATGGTGGAAAGCTACCAAAGTCCATCGCCCATATGCCGGTGCCGGTCGCTAGGTCGAGAACGCGCTTGGGGCTCCCGATAGGTGCGAGGGCTAGAGCACCGTCGCATGAAATGTTGAAGAGCATATGCTGGAGATCCAACCTGTCTCTCTCTTTCTGCATACTGCGTCAGAAAGTCTGTTACTGAGGGCGGGGGATCTAATTCCTACTTCATCGTTGGGCAGGAAATATTCTGGCGAACGTTAATCAAGGCACCTTAGGCGACGCGTAAAAACCTACTGCCAGACTTATATCCATGATACGTGCGCCCAAATTCCTCCACGGAAGTATAGATATCGCTTCGTGCACTCGTCGTCGATGATCTGGTCCTCATCAACAATTTGTTTTCACATGCCACTATACCGTGACTACACGTACGCATATGTCAGCCCACCGATGGCCGAATCGGTCTCGCTGCTGTCCTGCACCATGTTAACATGTGCACTCCGCGGACCTAACCCCGCGTATCTACTCGTAGTCCGCGCGCCAAGTCGCCGGAACTGATTGACTTACATCGCTTTCCGGGATCAGCACGTTAGAGTATTCGGGCTCAGGTACGTTGGTGCCGGCCATGATGGGAGACAAATAAGTAATTATGCGCGCACAAGGGTGACACGCAGATGCTTGCGGGCCACGCGAGTTTATGGGACGTGTCTGAAGGAGGATCTAGTGCTTTGCCTATTTAGTCGCGCAGTGCAGAAGCGTGGAGTGGACCCTAGTCTAGCGGTCCATACGAGGTCGGTTGTGTGGGGTGCGGTATTTGCAAGATCGAGAGGAAACTTCTTGATTTAAATGTTTGTGTCGCATCCCTAGCGTCGCTATACTACTGCCGCTTCAACTTGATACGGTGCTGGAGCTGGTAGTCTGAGGAAGCGCGCTTGTCATAGACGTTGCGCTATGCAGTCGCTGTTTCGCGCGAGAAAGGTATGCCGCCTTAACGCTTCAATTACAACCGAATATAAACGCTGACCATAGTGACAGGGGTACAGGAACAGATTTGCGCAGTCTAGGAATCTAAAGCATAGTAAAAGCACGGCCGTAAATCATTGCCAGTAGAATGGCAGCTCTATCATGCCGTCATGTCCACGCGCGAGACTCGTGTAGCTCCCAGACCCCCGACCCGAAAGAAAAGGAAGCAGTGCGTAATGAAGAGACAGCGCCTCGTCAAAAGTTTGGATACACTGTGTTACCCCAGGCTGAACGATGCTGTACCCAGAATTTTGGCCCAGTACTAAGTAAAGGCCCTCAGGCCAGACCCTTGAGCTGTGGGTGAGGGGAGGGTGATCGGCCTCTAAGCGCAGGAGAGCTGGGCTTGAGCATGGGGCTGGCCGCCGTGCTCAATGCATCCAAACTGAGCTGACTGATGGCGTCCAGGTTTCCTTGAACATTTTCTTCGTTCAAGTCCAGCATGAGACGCAGCTCGTTGGCCTTCAGAGGGTCTCCCAGTCCGACAATCAACTGCTCCTTGTTCGCGCTGCCCGCGATGTCGTAGTAGAACCAGTGATAGCTTATATCCTCGAGTTTGTGTGGTTCTGCCGGGGTCGTCGTGCGGGCCATGCAACGTCGAATATCCATGCCGAAGACGCCAGAGATGGACGGCTCACTGCCCAGTCCACCCAGCGTGGAGTTCCTCCGCGACAGGGCGCGGGGCACCCTCGCGTCTTTCTCAATGGGTGCTTCATTCAGACTCCTGGAAGCGCCTGCATCCCGCAGCTTTGCCCGCTTAAAAACTGCCTTATGTAGCTCCGTGATGCCCACCACCACGTAGAATTCCTGCTGCTGCTTGGCCAGGTTGTATATCCACCGCTGCGCCTCGGGGTCGTTACACACGGCATGGAAGGCATCGAGAGGACGCTGGCTCGTACGCTGGATCATCTGCTCGGCCGACACCGTCAGGAGATTGGGCTGCCTGTAGATACGGCCAAGCTCGTACTTGGTGCCATAACTAGACATGAAACGGCCCTCATTGTCGACGGAGAAGACATCCTTGTAACGCAGCTGAATGTGATAGTCGTTGAGCTCATCGACAGCTTCGTGGGCTTGCTGCGAGTAGAAACCGTCCCGTTCGGGGTGAAGAGGATGCGTGAGGAGCTGGCCTACGACCACATCGTTGGATGGGAGGGGCTTCGGGAGGAGGCCGTGGAGCACCATTCTGCGTGCGGTTTGTCGGCTTTGGGTTGAGTTGAGTGCGCGACAGTAGAGATGCGACAGGGCAATGAACGAGATGCGCTCGATCTCCAGCGCTCAAAGGGAGAGCTGAGGTTGGAGAGTGGATGTTGGGCGATGCTCAGGGCTGACATGGTAACGTTGGAAAATCTGGCCCCTTGCTCAATTTAGCTAGCGGCTTGGGGGTTGGCACGTTCATGGCTACTGCCTCTGCATTGGACCTCGCAGGTACACAAGAAAGGAGAAATCACTCATCAGCATACGGTAGACGAGGGACGTTGCAGATGAATGTACCATCACGTGCAACCGCGTTTGGGTAGATTGGCCAGCTTCGTCTCTAGTTTCGCCGGCATCGGCCCCATCGCCCCTCATTTCCAAGTTTAGGCATCACGACTACGAGGCTGAGTACTGCGCTCTACACGGCGCTCGCTTACCGAGTAAGTTGACCTCTGGTAGGAACAGATTTGGAGCAATCGGTACCAATACGACTGTCAGGGGCACGAAGGCTGCTTGGTTGGACTCGGGACGTATCCACGTATGAAAACTTGGCTCGATACGCGTCCTACTCGGCCGCGCATTTGCTCGATGCTCAAGGTCAGCTTCGCGTAGTACACGTACGAATCTCGTCGGATTTGTGCTCCGTGATACATGATATGTTGGTGTTGGTAAGAGGCGACTGCTCGTTTTCCTTTTCCGTTCGAGAGCACCCCCGCGTTGTTCCACGGGCGGGAAGAGAAAATGGTTCGCGCGGGCAGAGCACCCCGCTGGTCATGTTGTGTTTTACGTGCCACAGCGTCTCGAGCTCGGTGCAGTAGTAGGCGACATATCCGACACTGCAACAACTACTGCTTGAATCCCGAGCAAACGTGTCAATCCAAGGCCGGCATACGACTATTTAGCCACTACCAATGACTGTATGTGGTTAAATTGTGGGCGAGGCTGGTCAGATGTTGCATGGTAGCCTTGGTAACTGATCAGTCACGAAGGAGAGTCTCCTTGGAGTTATAAGACGATGCTGCATGAGATCAGGCTAATGCAGGACGAGCTCTGCTGGATGGTATTACAGGTGAGCAACGCGGTGTTTGAGATGACATTGGGAGTTTGTCAAGCTCGTAATCGCTGACCGTGCATGCGGGACCGAGCCGCAAGACCGCGGAAGAGGCAGGAGATTGCAGAACACTGCGGCACATGTGCGAGAAAGGTGGCCCCTCTTGCTGGATCAAGCAGAGTTTTCAAGATCGCAGAGTGACACGCATCGGAGATCGAGTTGTCGGCCAGTGGAGTGGCATGGTTGACCGGGAGCTTAGGCGCGTCTGGAATCTGTCGTCGCCTTATCGATATGCGCGCAGCGGGGCAGAAGCAAGCAACGGGGCAACGCTTCTCTCTACAGCCCACTTTCGGTGGATAGCTCGGCCACCAAACCCATCTTCGCATCGCGTAGTAAGCCGATACACGCCTCCAATTGGCAATTCCGACCCGCTCCATGACGTCGGAAATGCACGACAAAGATTTCCCACGTCAACGTCACCGGCGGTCGCTAGACCGGAAGCATTGGAGAGTTCCCACTAAACACCAGTACTTGTACCCCTCTTCAGCCTCTTCTGCCCCTCCTTCGTTCCATCGCTCAATTGCTCTTCACATACTCCTGATACCCCTTCCTATTTCTATCCACATCTTCAACCAACATGCCTTCCCCCATCCCCGAAGCAACTGAGCTCAAGGACCTCCTGTCCCTCAAGGGCAAGGTCGTCGTCGTCACCGGAGCCTCCGGTCCCACTGGTATCGGAATCGAAGCCGCCCGCGGCTGCGCTGAGTTCGGCGCCGACCTCGCCATCACCTACAACTCCCGCTCGTCCGGCGCCGAGAAGAACGCAAAGGAGCTCAGCGAGAAGTACGGCGTCAAGGTCCAGGCCTACAAGTGCCAGGTCGACGACTACGCCAACGTCGAGAAGCTCGTCCAGGACGTCGTCAAGGACTTCGGCAAGATCGATGTCTTCATCGCCAACGCTGGCAAGACCGCCGACAACGGTATCCTCGATGCTACCGTTGAGCAGTGGAACGAGGTCATCCAGACTGATCTGACTGGCTCCTTCAACTGCGCCCGTGCCGTTGGTCTGCACTTCCGCGAGCGCAAGACTGGCTCGCTCATCCTCACTGCCTCCATGTCTGGCCACATCGCCAACTACCCCCAGGAGCAGACCTCGTACAACGTCGCAAAGGCTGGCTGCATCCACATGGCTCGTTCGCTCGCCAACGAGTGGAGGGACTTCGCTCGTGTGAACTCCGTCTCCCCTGGTTACATCGACACTGGTCTCTCCGACTTCGTTCCCCAGGACATCCAGAAGCTCTGGCACTCCATGATCCCCATGGGCCGTGATGCCAAGGCTAAGGAGCTGAAGGGTGCTTTCCTCTACTTCGCTTCTGACGCTTCCTCGTACACTACTGTAAGACGTTCCACTTTAAAAATTGCATAACAATCACTAACGCGGTCGCAGGGCGCGGATCTCATCATCGACGGAGGCTACACCACCCGGTAAACGTTTCGCTACGATTTAACGTGTCATGACAATATATGTTGGGGATAGGGAATTGACTGTATAAAGTTGACCATATACCTGGACGCTAAATAAAATGTTAAATATTTCAAAACATATGATACCACCACATTAATGGCACATCGTGACGTTGTTGCTGCTACCCTCGCGTTGGCCCCTCCACGTGTGTCATCGTCGTAGGGTGATGGTTGTCGCAGGATGGTGCGGTTGACCGGTTGCAGATACGACGAGCGCAATTAGCAACGGCAACGAATACTGTCAGTACCTCGGCACGCAAATGAACTTCGCGCCCCGCTTCGAAGTCAGACCGATGTGCTGAGGTCAAGGGTTTCCTGGGCACGAAGCCGGTCCGACTCATGGTCGCGTGGTCTCCCCCAGACCAGGTTCAGAAGATGTCTTCCCGTGAATCGCATTGCACGATCTGGCTTCCGCGGGATGGCGCCGCCACAAAGTCGGGGAAGTGAATCGACATCTGGGGTACTAGCTCTTTCGTGCGTTGGCGCGCTTTCACATGCGGAAGCGACGCGTCTCGTTGCAGTGAGGACGGACTTCAGTGACAGAAAATCCCCCAGGCTCGCACCACTATCGTAACTTTCGAGACTCTCGTCCGTAACTGTGCGAGCTCTATAAATGCTCATCGACTCGTAGGCATTCTCCGTGGGATGGTTCAGCAAAAGGCAAAAGGCAGAAGGCAACGTTGAGGTAAGCTCAGCGGCCGAAGAACGAGTAGGTAACAGGGGTAGCCGAATATCGAACGTCAGCATTCTTGGTAAAGCGTCAAATTCTGCGCATTGAAAACAGTCACATGGCCCAAAGCAACTATTCAAGATTATCTTGTCCAACCTTACCTCCAACCTGGTTCGATAATACCATAGGTAAGTAGCGCGAGGACCCTCTTTGGGACAGCTGACGCGCAGTACCTTCCTTGACTACCTTCCTACAACGTCATAGTACCTGCGAGTATCCGCTGTCGTTATAAGCGACATTCAATAATGCCGTCCCAGGCATACAGGGAGCCATGTGTAGGGCTGAGTTGACAGGCCAATGCTTACACGCGGGAGGCAGAAACTCCCGCGTGACACTACATTTTGGGTCTTGCAACCGTGGACCCATTCGTCAAAGTGGAAAGACCGTCATGGGGTTTTGACCAACCACACGAATATGGAGCAGCTAGTCGTCCACCTTACACAGTGTAATTTTATAAAGACTCCAGCAGCCTCGCTCGCCTTCCGACACCCTCAAGCCTTGCTGACAACAGCTCAACTTGATCGCCTGTCAACCTTTATTCAAAATGAGGGTTCAAGCTTTTCTTACTGCGTTGGCAGCTACCTCGCTCCATGAGGTGGCAGCGAAGCCTCTTCGACGGCAGGAAGTTGACCTTGCCACTCGGATCGAGACTGAGAAAAAGGCCGCTCTTCAAGGGGTGCTGAACAATTTCGGTCCTGATGGTAGTCAAGCACCGGGAGCTTCTGCGGGCGTCCTAATTGCATCTCCATCAACAGACAACCCTAACTGTAAGTGCGCGCCTTCTATGTTCTCAAACCCAGCGGCAGGACTAATGCCTAGCAGATTACTATACGTGGACACGGGACGCAGCGTTGACCCTCAAGATGGTCATCGACGAGTTCCTACACGGAGACGAAGACCTTCAGTCATATATCCGCGACTACGTCAAATCCCAAGCTATCTTGCAGACTGTTTCCAATCCATCAGGTGCTCTGGGCTCAGGTCGTGGACTGGGCGAGCCGAAATTCTACGCAAATCTCACCCGCTTCAACGGCGACTGGGGTCGACCGCAGCGTGATGGACCTGCGCTTCGTGCGACTGCTCTCATCACCTACACTCGGTACCTTCTCAGTACTGGCATCGACTCAGACAACGCCGAAGCCAAGGACATCTGGTTAGTCATTGAGAACGACCTCAACTACGTCTCTCAATACTGGAACCAGACGGGTTTCGATCTGTGGGAAGAAGTCGATGGGTCGTCTTTCTTCACTACCGCAGCTCAGCATCGTGCTTTAGTCGAGGGTGCCGCCTTGGGAAAGCAGTTGCAGCAAGATGTTTCAGCCTACGAGTCGCAGGCTCCGAACGTGTTGTGCTTCCTTCAGACATTCTGGAACGGGAAGTACGCCGTGGCGAACATCAATGTCCAGCAGAGTGACTTCAGCCGGAGTGGGATCGATGCCAATACCGTTCTCACAGCGATCGCTACTTTTGACCCGGAGGCCTCTTGCGATGATACCCTCTTCCAGCCTTGCTCCTCGCGTGCATTGGCAAACTTGAAGGAGTACATTGATTCCTTCCGCACCCTATATACCATCAACAAGGATGTCTCTGAAACAGGCACAGGCGTAGCAACCGGCCGATACGCCGAGGATGTGTACTTCAACGGCAATCCTTGGTACCTAACTACCTTGGCCGTACCAGAGCAGCTCTACGACGCAATTCAGCGATGGAGCACCATCAACACCATCGCCATCGACGACACTTCTTTGGCGTTTTGGCAATCAGTGTACCCATCCGCCCAGATCGGTACTTATACCAAAGGCGACTCCGACTTCACCAAGCTCATCGACGCCGTCCTAGCCTACGCCGACGGCTTCGTCGAAACAGCTCTGAACTACACGCCCGAGAACGGTGCCCTCGCCGAACAGTACAGCCGCGAAGACGGCACGCCCCTCTCCGCCCGCGAACTCACCTGGTCCTACGCCTCTTTCGTGACTATGCGCGCCGCCCGTCTAGCCGCTACCTCGGACTACGCCCAAGTCCCCTCCTGGGGCGCGCCATCCAGCCCCCAAGTCCCCGACACCTGCACGCCCAGCTCAGTGAAAGGCACGTATGCACCCGCCGTCGCGGCCGGTGCCCCCGCAGACGCCCCAGCATGCACTTACATCGTCACTTTCAATCTCAACGCCTCGACTTTCTACGGCGAGAACATCTACCTTTTCGGCAACTCGACGGACTTGGGTGACTGGCGGGTCAGCGATGCGCTTGCGGGGAGCGCAGCTGCGTACACGGATGAGCGGCCGCTGTGGACGTTCATGGTTGAGCTCCCGGCGGGTGCGGCATTGGAGTATAAGTTTGTGAGGAAGGAGCCGAGCGGCGAGGTGCTGTATGAGGTTGAAGATCGGAGCTTGGGTGTGCCGGAGTGTGGGGATGAGGCGCCAGGAGAGGAGACGGTGGAGGACAGCTGGAATGGGCCGGTTGGGGGGGAGATGGAATGAGTTGGTGGACAGGACTTGAATAGGGGAGGTTGACACGTTGGCATAGAAGGTCTGGCGGGAGTCAGGGACGACAATAGTCTTGGTCTGGGTCATGGTGGCGCATATGTATACCAAGTACAAATAGCTCACGTCCACTATGCCGAATGTCTGTTCGTCCCACTGATATCAATTATTTCTGTTTTAGGGAAACATTGTTTACAGGCGTGCAGGTGTGCTACTGCATTAACATCAGGAACAGCATGGGCAATCTCGATTCGAATGATGTTAACCTTGTAGCGAGGCAGATGGATGCAAAGAGTAGGGCGTATGAGGCTAGCTGATATGGCTGGGACGGAAGTGTTGAGATGGTTGGCAAAATACGTGACTTCGACGCAATCTGCAAAGGTTAAAGTTTGGTGGGCCGTGTCGAAAATACTGAGATTGCGTTTTACTTAGACAACGGTTGAAATGAAGGAGAGTTGTATAAGCTTCTTGTGTAAAAGTTGGTTGTGATACGGGGGTGCTGAAGTTGATGATTTGAGGTTATATGTTGAAATAAGGCCTCTGAAAGTGGTGCCTATAGCTGCAAAATCTCGGTGTACTACAACTTAAACATACGAATTATATAAATAGTAATCATCAGCGTCTCCCGTTCGATCCGAAACAATACGAGGAGCTCGTTTTACTTGAGTAATAGCCCCAACTTAACTCTGCGACACCACAGCGGCAATGTTCAATATTGATATTGCTTATCAGTAGGAATTAGAAGTAGAGCTTTTGCGCTATAATCATGTCTTTCTAGAGATATTCATTATCGTGGTAGACAGTTATTCCTCGTACTAAGCCGGGAGCGCGGCTTCCTTCTTGGCGCCCGCGGACTAGGAGCCTCCGCAACACGTCTCACCCAGGCACCTACGCTTTCGCATCCTCGTTCCCACGCGCACATTTACACGAGCAGGCTCACCCAAGGATGCTCCTATAACGGGGCTATCCACTATGAAGCCGCCCACCACTCTACCATGGATCACTGGGGCGACCCTTGGGCCGACGATGCCGACGTAGACACACACACGACCATCGCGACTCCCGCGGAGGTAGCCACCGAGCCAAGACCGCCGCCGAACGCCGCACATACGCCTGAATTCAAGCCTGCGCCAATTGTGGTGAATGGCTTTCTGGATGATGCGGGATGGGGAAGTAATGCGTGGGCGACGACGCCGAGTCCGCGGGAAGATGGCGATGACGGCGCCTTTGGTGGAAGGGAAGCTGAAAGGAAGCTGAGTTGGGGTGTGCACACTGCGCAAGAAGAGAAGGAAACTATACCAGTGAGGGACGATGATGGTGGTTCCAATGCGTGGGCCACGGCGCCGGGAAAAGAGGATGCATCTATCGATGCAGGAACGAACGGAGTGGAGCACACGGCAGACTGGGATGCGCCTAGCCCACACGATGAGTATACGCGCCCGGACAGCTTACAACACGAAGTAGGGAACGAGTGGGCCAGAATCGAGGAGGTAGTGGAGGAGTCCAAGGTCGTAGAGAATGGCGTTTCGGAAACGTCGGAATCGGCGACGACAATCCAGGCAGAAGACACGCCTGCGCGAATCGAATCAGAAGAACCAATGGAGGTTTCGCGCGAAGACGATACATCTACGCGGTCTTCGGAATCTCATTCTGAAGGTAGCCGTAACGAGGCGGTCACTGAGTCGCCGAGGACATCGGTCGAAGAAGAGCAAGCGGCTGTGAAAACCGTGGAGGCAATACATGAGGATGTAGAGGACTCTTCGGATCTTGGAGATCCTACGGAGCAGCAGGAAGTGACCGTGCAGGAGGTGGAGGATGATTTTGGTGACTTCGAGGATGAGGTGGCACAAGAGGCGGCTGAGACTCAGCTGGGCGTGGAATCGACCTTTGGTCAACCGGAGTCATTTTCTAAGAACATCCAGGACGACATGGCTAGCGATGCGCAAAATCCACCAACAGAAGCCTTTGCGACCATTCCTACAGGTCTTGTTGGCAACTTTACCTTGGATGCCAAATTGTTGGCAGAGTTGTTTCCTCCTGTGAAAGATACTCCAACATTAGAAGAACCGCCAGACGATCCCGTAACGTCTACCTCGGCCCGCAAAGCTTGGTATCGTTTGACGCGCAAGCAGACTATGCGTGAATACAACAACGGAGCTCTCGACGACAACTACATTCGCGTAACATGGAAGACGTCGCAAATTAGATTAGAAGCGACCAAGACTGTAGCGCGATGGGCTAACGAAGACCGCGTTGCGGGACGTGGACCAGGCGCACGAGCGTCGTTCTTCTGGGATACTCCTCACTCTCCAACAGATAAGAGGACCTCTTTTGCATCTCTTCATAGTAGAAAGACCTCAACAGCCTCAGTATCGAAACCTGTCCGTCCTGTTAGCCAAACTGTCCCGCCACTATCGACCGATGTTCCTGCTGCTTTTGATTGGAGCTCACCCTCTTCGGCCACGCATGCAGTCCCGGACAATATTGGTGTGCGATCAACATCCTCTCCTATAACGGCGAAGCATAATGCAATCATGAAGCTACAAAGGCAAACCGGAAGGGCGGCTTCTGTGGATTTATCTTCTCGTCGGAAAGAGCCATCGTCACATAGGAGGACATCTACTGCCACTGAGCTTCGTCATAACGGCGCACTAACAGCGGAAAACCGGTCGAATATCTCACCGATCCAAGCACCATCTAGAGCGAGTCTCGATCCGTGGGCCCCAACGACTACATCATCACCAGTAGCATCCATTCCGGCACCAGTCAGCGACCAGATTAACCCATGGGCCAGTCTCGGACAGCTGGACACGGGTTCTGCTCCTAAGCTATCCTCAACTGCGCAAGACGAAGATGATGATGATGAATGGGGTGAGATGGTGGAATCGCCCGCCGTGTCGACAGTTCAGACGCCCATCTCCACGATAGCACCCACGCCTATTGCCGAGCTCTCAGAACCGCCAACACGTGCTAATACCGTGTCTGCACCTTCTACATCACTGGCATCCGCGCAACCATTGCCACCTCAACCGCTACCTCCGCCAACCGGGCCAGGACATGCGTCTGCTATTGTGCGTTTGCAGGGCACCGTCTCACCTACTTCAGCGCTCTTCGGGCCTAAGGCTTTAGTACCTACAGACTCTGAAGAGCGCATCGGACCACATCTGTTGAAGAAGCGGGACAGATCGAGAGAGGCAACGCCGGAGAAGGCGAAAGCGGTGCCTGTGCAGATGCCGACGATGGACGAGGTACTGAGCCAACCGCCGCCTGCGAACAAGGAATTTATTGAGGGGAATGGAGAAACCGAGTTCTCGGCTACGGCGATGCCTGCACCTCTTCCAGAATCTGACACTGGTGCACCTATTGGCGAAGAAGATAATCTTCCCATCGCTGACTCCACCCCCTCACTAACTCCGGCCTCAGCTGCAGATCAACCCAACTGGGGCGACGACGCCGACTTCTCCATCTTCGAGTCCGCCCTTCCTCCATCAATACCTACCACTGCACCACAGTCCCTGGCAGACAGCGATCCCGCAGATCCCTTGTCGATATTCGACTCCCCTATACCCTCCGAACCATCGGCATCCTTCGCGCGATCAGCACCACGGCCAGCCACACCGCCGACGAAACAGCCCCTCACAAGCGCGACGAGTTTGGCGCAGAGGCGGAAAGCTGAGGAAGATGATGTTGTTAGATCGATTGTGGATGGCTTGCCAGACTTGGGATATATGTTGCGTAGGTGATAGACGAAGAAGCAGGCTTTAGTCTGCCGATAATGTAAATATATAGGCATTGCATGCATAAAAGGCGTTTTGGTGTACTAGACATGAAGGACATGAAGGGTGGGGTTTGTTCGTCATTGGGTTTGGCCAAGTGGTGCATGTAGTTTCAATTGTATGCTTGAGCGTAGTGGTGTATGCTGATCGAACCACGATTCATAGTTAAGTCTGCAAAATCGTTCCTTGACTGGTGTGAACATGCCGTCCATTTACGCACGTTCTCACGCACTTGGCATTTCTACTTCGACGATAAAATTGTTACCGTATCGCCACCTACTCCTTCCCCTTCCGTTTCCTGCCTCTAAGCCCGACTCCCTTAATCAGATCAGCCGCCTTCTCCGCAACCCCATAAACCGTAAACTGCGTCGCCGGCCCCACCAGCGCCGGAATCGCCCCGCATTAACCACCCTCAGCACCTTTGTGTCCACTTGTGTAACATTACTTCCAATCAGACGCATTGCATATTGATTTTTCGCCAGCCGCCGATATTGGCTTGATGGCATCTCTTCGTGATCTCACTTGTACTGCCTTCGACAATCATTAATCAATCTCCAGCTCGGTGACCAGGTCCTGGTGTAATGAAAATGCGGTTTGCTGCCGTAATTGCGACATTCTGCTTTGCATGGTCTGTAGCTGGTACCGGAAATTTAACGGCTCATATTCCAGTCGAGAATACATATCTATTACCTCGACCGTTCAACAACACGTTCAGACATCCATTTGTGGATGCCAATCTATCCGACCCGGATATTACTCGAACGATCGACGCTGCGCGAAGCTCGCCCTTCATCTCGTACGATGAAGAGTTTGATGAGATTCTGGGGTTCTCGCCTCAAGTTCTACTAGTAGCGAATAGCTCGGAAGTATTCGCGTTCGAAGCTGGAGTATGGGTTCCACATCTTAATCAGGTGTGGTTCACTGCTTTCCTGAACCCTACGCCCGGATACATCACCATACTGGACTTGAACACTTCCAAGACTTTCAGGCCGAGTCTAATTGGAAGTGGCGCTCCAGTGCTCGTCAATCCTAATGGCGGATACTACTTCGATGGGCTTGTTTACATCACCTCATTCGGCAACGCAACAACCGCGCCCACTATCGTGTCAATCGATCCGTACACATATGAAACCAAAGAAGTAATCAATTCGTTCTACGAGCTGCCTTTGAATGGCCCGGATGATATTACATTCGCCATGTCCAGAACTACCGGTCAGCCGTGCATGTTCTACAGCGACTTCTACTTCGCCGCAGAAGGTCTCCCAGGCGTTTGGGACGCACCACAACAGCTTCCAAACGCGGTCTGGAAGTTTTCCATGGCGGACAAAAGCTTACAAATGGCTGTATCGCCGCTCGACGTGCAGACGCCTAATGGACTCGCCGTCAATCGCGAAAACACATTGCTCTACGTCTCGGACGGACCTGACTCCGCCGTATTTGGGCAACCGTACAACGCGTCCTCAGGCTCGGCAGGACTTTACGTCTTTGATCTTGGTGGTGAGGACGGCTGTACGCCGCAGAACAAGCGTATACTTGGCATAGCTCGACAAGGGTTTGCCAATGGGATCAAAATCGATGACTACGGGCGCATTTGGACGTTTGAATACGAAGGCGTAGTTGTGAGGAAACCAAACGGCAAGGTCTTGGGTGTATTGAATATCCATAACATCCTGGGCAGGGATAGCCCAGATGTTGCCCCCGGCGCGAATTTTGCTCTTGTGAGCGATGAATTGTACATCTTGGGGTTTTACAAGGTCTGGAAGGTGAAGCTGGGGCAGGTTGTGAAGAGCTGGTACTGAAGCAGTAGCTCGCGTGTTCACATACCTCTTCGCGAGTTACCGTAGGTGTCGAGATGTATCGCCGCTTGGGGACCAAGCTAAATTGACACGTTATTCATTGGTGCACTTTGTGAGGGCAGAGGTGAGGACTATTGTAAGGCGTCTGCACGCTGGCAAGATCCCGCTTTTGGACGAAGATGAGGCTGAAGAGGGTCTTGAAGCGAGAGATTATTTCGCTACAGCCAACAAGGCTGTAATGTCAAATAACGTCGAGGTATATAATAGCGATGCGAAAGTTGTTTGATTACTCTGTTCCTCAGCAAGATCGCTTGTAAGCGTCGCAGGATATGTCGAATCGTTACTCCGAGATACGGACTGCCAGACACGCCAGATAAGCACACCGAACGCCGAAGGATTCGTATTGACCAATGAACCACAGGCAGCCTTCCGCTTAGCGCATAGTGACGAGTATCATATCAGTGTACAAATACAGCGTTTGGCTGTTGATTCGACTCTCGTACTTACATTGGGATAAGTTCCTCGATCAAAATCAATATGAAGCAGATACTTCCTGTACCGTCACCGGTAACCTCTTACTGGCTCAGCCAACCACATAAGTTCAGCAACCTACGATCCACAACAGAGCTACCCGCAGAATGCGAAATCGCAATCATTGGATCTGGCATGGCCGGCATCATGACAGCTTACCACATCTTCAACCAAGCGAAGCAACCGCCTAAAGTTGTAATTCTCGATGCTCGCGAGTTATGCTCTGGTGCAACAGGTCGGAATGGCGGGCATTCCAAGATCAAGCTTTCGACGCTTGCTGGCCAGATCCCCAAGTTAGGTCCGGATGGAGTAGACGAGCTGCAAGCTTTCGTACAAGGTGTCATTGCTAATTTAAAGCAAGTTGCTGAAGATGAAGAGCTGGACTGTGAGCTGGAGATTCGCCGGAGCTTTGACGTCCAACTGGATGATAACGATGCATCTGCCTTAAAAGACATATACCAGGCTAGCAGGAAAGCGGGCCATTACTGGACCAAAGACGTCGGGTTTGTGCTGCCAGAGTATCTCGAGCAAGTAACTTCGATCAAGGGCGCGAAGGCCGCCGAAAGTGTCCCTTGTTGCTCACTCTGGCCGTACAAGTTTGTAACACAGTTGCTCGAGCGTCTCGTCTCGCGGTACCCGGAGCAACTCAATGTGCAGATGACAACACCGGTTACGGCCGTTTCTGTGCTGGCAGACGGAACGAACGCGATCACTACGTCGCGAGGGGTCCTGAAAGCGAAGAAGCTGGTGTTCGCCACGAATGCGTACACAGCAGGTCTTCTTCCACAATTCAAGGATGTCATTGTACCCATTCGTGGTATGGCATCGCACATTGTCCCGAGAGTTCCTGTGCACCCCCATCTTTCCCATACGTACAACATCACCTTCAAACCTGGCCAAGCAGCGGATTACCTCAATCCGCGGCCCGATGGAAGCATTGTCGTTGGTGGAGGAGGATCGAGATTTAAGTCTGACCGTCCGTCATGGTTCGATAACTTCGACGACTCGACTCGTTTTAACAGCGAGGTAGAGGGATATTGGAATGGCTACATGCAGCGCGTCTTCCTTGGCTGGGAGAACAGTGAAGCTGAAGTAGAAAAAGTTTGGACTGGTATAATGGGCAATACGCCCGATGGTTGGCCACATATCGGACGCGTTCCCGGCCGAGACAGTCAATACATACTCGCTGGGTTTAATGGTGGCGGAATGGCCTTTATTCCGACGACTGCGAAGGCAGTAGCGAAGATGGTAGCAGAAGACAGCGACTTCGACTATGTAAAGAGAGAGTTCGGCATTCCGGAGATATTCGCAACGAGCACAGAGAGACTACGACAAGCCTTTACAGAGACAAAATGAAGCCCCGGAGGATTCAGGTGTTGGAATTGTTGTTCGGTAGCTTTCACACCGAGCTTCTGGGCGCGTGTGCCCCGCTAAACCCCTCCAAATGACGCCAGTGGGGTCGGACGCTACCTGTGGCTACCTATCGTGATCTCTCAAGATTTTAGCATCCTGGCACGCGTGGCCCAACACTGTACTCTATCTGTGGCCCCTTCTGCATTCTCCCGCGTTTAGGTAATGCCGTCTCGGATTCAGGCCCCTGACACGATGGGCATGGGGTGGCTGGCTGCCTACTTAACAGTCTGCGGCCCCCTGCGCTCGTAAAGAAAACCCATACGTTCCTCACACGACCTCTCTTCCTTCTACATATCTCATACTATCACAATGTCTTCCGGCAAGACCGTCACTCTTAACACTGGTGCTAAGATTCCGTACGTGACCGTACCGTGAATGCCTACACCAATGTGGGGACGTTTACTGACAAGTCTCTTCCCTACAGACAATTGGGCTATGGCACCTGGCAAGCCGGTCCTGGTGAGGTTGGAAATGGTGTCTACGAGGCCTTGAAGGTTGGCTACCGCCACCTGGTGAGTATTTACGGGCGATGACTCTGGGCGATGGCTAATTGCTGATTGTCAACAGGATCTCGCAAAGATGTACGTTGCCCAGCCGTCCGCCATCGTGCTCTACCCTTCACGCAATCCCATACCTTCACCTCGACACAAAATATCCTGAGTCTAGAGAGTTAAGCTAGACTGCCCCGCGGTGGGGTGGTGGGGTAGCTTGGGAGCTATGGCTGCTTTCTTACGGAGAAATTGAGCTGACAAGATCTTCCACCAACCAGCTACGAGAACCAGAAAGAAGTTGCTCAAGGTATCAAGCGCGCCTTCAAGGAGTTTGGCATTAAGCGAGAGGACGTCTTCATCACCTCAAAGCTCTGGAACACCCAGCACGATCCCAAGACCGTCGAGGCTGCCCTCGATGACACCCTTGCCGAGCTCGAGCTTGAGTACCTGGTATGCGATTGAAATGATGACTGCGGATGGCTATAGAACCACAGCTAACCACATGTTAGGATCTTTACCTCATCCACTGGCCCGTGAACTTCGGCCCGGGCAAAGATCCCCACTCCGACCTCTTCCCTGCGACTTCCGATCCCAACGAGGTCAACATCGACAACTCGATCCCTAATAGCGAGACATGGAAGGCCGTACACGCGCTGCCCAAGAGCAAGGCCCGTTCCACGGGCGTGTCCAATTTCACCGCCAAGTCGCTGAAGGAGCTCGTTGACAAGACCGGTCTCGTTCCTGCTGTCAACCAGATTGAGCGCCACCCCATTCTCCCCAGCGACGAGCTCATCGCCTACGCTAAGGAGAAGAACATCCACATCACCGCCTACTCCGCCTTTGGAAACAATTTCTTCGACATTCCTCTGCTAATTACTCGACCTGAGATCAAGGCCATCGCAGAGAAGAAGGGTGCTACTCCTGCCCAGGTCATCCTGGCGTGGAGCCAGGTCGGTGGACACTCCGTCATCCCCAAGTCGGTGACGGCTTCCCGTATTGCGGAGAACTTCAAGGAGATTGAACTCGATGACGAGGACATCAAGGCCATCAAGAAGTTCTCGGACGAGCACCAGGGCAGGAGGAGGTACAACGTTCCCTACACGGCGAACAAGCCTCGCTGGAGCATCAACATCTTTGACGAGCCTGAGGAGCAGGAAGCTCCCAACAAGTACATCATCTAAGTGGAGGCAGGAGTGTGGTCCTGAGGCGGTCCACTGGTGTGTAGGCAGTTGCCATAGGAGGAAGCTGTTATAGCAAGTACCCTGTGCCAAAAGCTCGCCTGCGAAAGGGATTAGCTCTTTGTATGTAGCGTTGTCGTAAACAATCAAAGGGATACCCAGCAAATGCTTGTCGAATGCACATCGGGTGACATCGCTGCCAATGTACTTGGCAACGCAACTATGCCCAGCCCGTTCCCTCCAACATGAAAAGTGTGCAGCAGACCTTTCGTTTCGGAGCAGGCGAGTCATTACCGACCTGCCTCTTCAAGTAGTCTCCAGCACTAGCTGGGGCTATCATTGGCTGAACGTGCGAACACCACGACTTGCCTGCGATTGCGACATCGCCTCCAGAATCACGATGGTGGGACAATGCAATTTCTGGGATTTAATAAAGCCCAGAAACGCAACATGCAGAGGGACAGCACGCCTGTTTACAGCCAGCGTTCAAAATGGCAGCCATCGAGGCCGCCGTGAAACGCCCTTCCGTCGAGGATGAGTCGCTCCCAACTTCAGAAGCACCATCGACACATGCAGTTCCACGAAAATGGTATCGCTCCAGTCTCTTCAATGCCTTCGTCATCGGTGGTGTGGGCTTCCTCGCGCCAGGTCTATGGAACGCAATGAACGATCTTGGAGCAGCCGGCGCGCTTGATCCGTACCTCGTCAACGCCGCTAACGCTTTGATTTTCGGCATCATGGGTATTCTGTGTCTATTCGGCGCGCCAATCGCAAACAGAATCGGACTGGCGTGGACGCTATTCCTGGGTGCTGTAGGGTATCCCATCTATTCAGGTGAGTAAGTCTTGTGGAAGAGAGACGTCAAAAACTCATCGTGAGTAGCGGGTTTGTACACCAACAACCGCTTTGGCAATGTCTGGTTTGTCCTAGTGGGCGCGGTTGCGTGCGGTGTTAGTGCTGGCCTGTTTTGGGTGTCCGAGGGAACTGTTGCGCTCGGCTATCCTGAACCGGGGAAACGAGGAAAATACATGAACATTTGGTTGTGGTTCCGTACTGGCGGGCCAATGGTTGGTGGCGCCATCGTGCTCGCACTGAACCACGACGCAGCAGCCAAAAAGAAGGGCAAGGTAGGCTATCAGGCCTATCTTGTCTTCATCGCTCTGCAGTGTATCGCTTGCCCACTTGCGCTTGCGCTCAGTCCTCCAGAGAAGGTGCAGCGAAGTGACGGCTCGAAGGTCATCATTCGGGCGGAGAAGTCGTTCAAGGACGAAGTCAAAGCACTCTGGCGCACTTCCAAGCGTAAAGATGTCCTGCTGTTGCTTCCGGTCTTCTACGCTGCGTACTTCAATCAGTACTCCGGAAACTTCAAGGTACGTGATCGGCTTGTGAACTCTCTTCTCACCCGAAGTCGCTGACCAACATCAAGACGTACTACTTCGGTGTCCGCGCCAGAGCTCTCATGGGGTTTGTTGGCAACTTCGGCACTTTGTTGTCGTCCCAGCTGATCAGTATGTTCCTGGACTACAAGAAACTTTCTGTCAAGCAGCGCATTACCTTTGGCTTTTACTACGTTATCGTGTTGCACATCCTCGCGTGGATATACGGCTGGGTCGTCCAGGAGAAATACACGCGAAATCCGCCATCGTTGGACTGGGAGGACTCCGGATTTACTGAAGGCTTTTTCGTGATCATCCTTTGGGATTTCGCAAGGCAGTCGCTGCAGAATTGGCTCTACTACCTGCTAGCGACAAAGACGGACAATATCTCTGAGCTGAGCCGCTTCTCGGGCATTCTGAGAGGCCAAGAGAGCTTTGGACAGGCGGTGTCTTACGGCTTGAACACGAAGAAATGGAAAGGTGGGAGGGTGCCATTGGCTGTCAACACGGTTCTCCTGGGCCTGGCGGTGTATCCGACTTGGCTTGTGGTGCGAGATCACGTGCCTGTAGAGGCGGCGGATGGGCTTGCTGAAGAGATCACGATCAATCGAGTGTCAACCTTGGAAGACAAGAAAATCTTTGCAAAAGGTGAGGCTGCTGGGGCGGGGAATCTATGAAGTGGTGGAGGAGCATCAATTCGACGCGACGACAAAACACGCTAGTTGACTAACTCATAACGAACCTTGGAATACCCCGCGTCACGTCCTGCCTTCCTTCCTTCGTCTTCAATGTCACTCTTGGTGTGCTCTCAATCGCCCATGTGAGGAATCAGCCTTCGCTCGTGTCTGTAACACGAGTTCAAATGGTGCATGTGCTAAGAGCTCCGCTCGACCCCTGATGCTTCGACCGCCCCAACGCTGGAACAGGTACTCTTCACGTGCCAGGCACACACCCTTGGACCAGGCTCATCAGCTCATCACACCTCTTCACATGAACAGCAGATTATCCGAAACGGGATTCATGCTTTCAAGCAGTTGCGCCCGCATGGGATTGCCAACCCGATGAAGTCGTACCCACGTCCTCGCGACGCGCTTAGGCCACCGCGCCGCGCAATCTGTGGAGCCTATTCATGCCTTGAGAAACGAAACACCCTGCTTGGCCAATTCGCCTTCTCGAACATCACGAAACGGGATATCACTCGAACCTCTGTCGGATGTTGATAGCTGTCAAAAGTGGGTGAAACCGCCCTACGTATGCAGTTTGAGCAGCTCAGGCGTCCGCTACCATACGCAGGCCACACGCATGCGACTGCTGTCCGCAGCCTTAGTAGCACCAGTGTTGGGAGTTCTTCCCCGCCGCGTAATCCTTTACGAGAGAGTGTGCGAAAGTTCGTGGCTCTGGTGGATACCATGATATATAGATAATTTGTGATGCCACTGACACAGCACCACCATCATTTTAGTCACTTGATTCTTCTACGACATACAAGCTAGGCCTCTGGACCGTCACGTTCATTTCATACAATCACTCTTTGAACTTTATACACCGGAACGTACGTCATGGTCAACTTTTCTCGCATCGCATGTGCGCTGGCCATCGCTGGTTTTGCCTCATCCCAGTCTCTCGCATCTACAAAGGTCGGCACGTCGACCAGCGCAGCTTCAAGAGGAAGCGGGATTGCCAAAGGCTCAGGTCGTCCAGTCCAGTCCGGAGTTGCTGCTCCCACTGGAGCTGTTCCCAGCGGTCAGACAGGCGCTCCCCTCGATAGCACCATCCGATTCACTACCACCTCTTTCACTTCTTGGTAGCAAGAGAGAAGCACAGCAAAGCCCGCCTCCCCAAGTGAAGACTAGCATTGGTCCTCCGCTTTCTGAGCCTGCCCCCTCTGGAACGGCTATTCCGCCTCCTCCAAGCGATGCGCCCAGTGCTACGAGGAGAGCTACTGGAATTGCACGTCGTCAGGCTTCTCCTTCTTCGCCCGTTCCAGGACCGAGCGGGGACCCGCTATCGAAGCAATCGGGTGCGCGTCCTTCTGGTCCACCACCTTCGGGGGTGCCTTCAGGTGCTCTTGGCAGTGACCTCCAGGAGCAAAGGTTCTCGAAGCTACCGCCTAACTTCGATTCGACCTCTAGTGTCACACCACGTGCTACGGGAGCTGGCAAACAACGTGTCTGAGGGACATCCATGGTGACCGGATGTCCCTGATGTGTGCCTCGTCGTTCACCGGAGCCCGGAGCTGTTCCTGGTCTTGACTTCCATGTTTTCGAACAAGTTGTGTGTGTATATGTAGTCCTTTTGTACGTTTCATGAAGATATGGGAATGGTATTCTATAGAAGTGGTCTGCTTCGGCGTTGAAGACTCGGAAAGACCGTATTTGAGGAGTTGTCACAACAGGAAATGAAATGAAATTGAGTGGCAGTTCTCATCAGTTCTGCACCCTTCCGAGTGCAAACATGAATGACTGAGTTTCTTCACAAGCTACAGTACAGATGCGACTTTCGCTGTGTGATACGGACCGTTTAAAGGGCCAACTCAAGCCTTACTTGATTCGCTTTCGGTCTGTAGGCTCAGAAAACAACCGCCTCATACGTCCAAAAAAACCTTTTTAGCCAGGGCTACAATGCTGGTCGGGCCAGTAAAATAACGTCTCGGACCTCGTATATCTCCTGATCAGGGATAGTGCGACGCGCTTCGGTGCTTCTCCAACAATAAATACCGAACGCGTGTAGGCTCACCACGTGTAGCCAAGCGATACCTTAGGACCCGGAAATAGGACTTAGCAACTCTTTACGGCGGACTGTGACAAGCGGAATCAAGAACCATTTGCCTGTTATGGCCACCACAGCTCTTCTCAGATCTCCACGCACCGTGCGTACGCCCCTCACGAGCGCACTGTTTCGACCGCCCTAATCATCATTCTTATGGTGGTAGCGCGATGCATCCTTCCAAGCCTCACCATGCTAACCGAATGAGGAAGCATTCTGCGCTGGACTACCTCAGGTTCTCCATCGCGATGTATGGTCGCGCTATTAAGCTTTGTGGGTTCCGGACGAGAGATCGAACTCTGAGCTTGTAATGTCCTAACTCCTTTGTGAGGGTGGATCGTTGAGACTCTTAGATGATTGAGGTTGTGTATATATACTTGTAGGTCAATCCAGGAAGACGACATCGCATCACACAATCCTCTACCATACTCCTACTTTTACTCACACTACCAACAAGTCTTTGCATCGATCGCGCTTATTCTCCCGACGTTGGTCTATCAATATCTTCACAATGCCAGCCTCATTCCCCCAACGTAAAATCGGCGGCACGCCCGTCTCTGCTCTAGGTCTTGGTTGCATGGGAATGTCTGCGTCAGTTTTGACAGGCGAAAAGCGCAACGAAGAAGAAATTTTCAACACGCTCAGCACAGCAGCCGATATGGGCATCACTTTCTGGGACACCAGCGACTTCTATTTGGACAACGAGGAGCTGCTCGGCAAATGGTTCAGCAAGACAGGCCGCCGCAATGAGATCTTTCTCGCCACAAAATTTGGCTGCGCACATGGCGACACATTCGGAGATGTGCGAATTAACGGAAGCCCGGAGTATGTGCGCCAGGCTCTCGAGAAAAGCTTGAAGGCCTTGGGAACAGACCATATCGACTTGTACTATGTACACAGGATCGACCCTAAGACACCGATTGAGAAGACCGTTGAAGTGCTCAAAGAGTTGAAGGAGGAAGATAAGATTCGCCATATCGGGCTATCGGAATGCTCCTCACGAACACTGGAGCGTGCATCCAAGGTAGTCAAGATAGACGCTGTGCAAATGGAGTTTTCGCCGTTCGCAATGGAGATTGAAGACACCGGCTTCAAGGATGTGGCACGGAAGCTTGGTGTCACGATCGTACCGTACTCGCCTCTGGGCCGTGGTTTCCTATCTGGAGCGATAAAGAGTAGAGCCGATCTTGGAGCCAATGATCCTCGCGCTCGTATGCATCCGAGATTCTCGGAGGAAAACTTCCCGTCCAACCTAAAGTTGGTCCAGATCTTTGAGGATATCGCGAAGGAAAAGAACGCCACGACCGGTCAAATTGCTTTGGCCTGGGTTCTCGCGCAGGGTGATGGTAAGTGAACTCGTATCCTAGGAATTACAACGACTGACACGAGACTTAGACTTCATTCCAATTCCGGGTACGAAGCGTGTCAAGTACTTGATTGAGAACGCAGGCGCGGTCAACGTGAACTTCACCGAAAAGGACGAGAAGCGAGTTAGGTCAGGCTTGGACGCGATTGGGGGAGCGAAAGGTGCTCGCTACCCTGAAGCTATTCTCGCCGGATGTTTCGGTGATAGCCCTGAGCTTGACAGCGCGTAGGAGAACTTTGACTTCACTCACAATCACTTGATGCTTATGAAAGTCTTGCCTACTCCTGTATATTAGTGAAGTATACGTCGTGCCTGCTCTTTGCAGCAAGGCACTGGTCACCTCGCAGCTCTAAATAGTAGCAAGCGCCCGCCATTGGCACCTTCCTCAATGCAACAATGACTCTGCCTTCTCCATCGCAAGATTACATCCCTTCTCATTCACACCAGCATTCACTCTATATCAGTCTTACCATCGGCAAATTAACGTTCGTTTGTTTACAATATTCCCCAATATACACACCATGAGTTGGCCAACTTCACTTTCGGGCGAGCTCACTCGGAAGCATATGCGGCGGGTCGCTGCCCAATGGCGACGCTGGACGCATTCACATCAAAAGACTCAGGAGGCCGGTAACTCGACGCTTGCCGACTCATTTTGGTCACCTGCAGATTCGAGCGAGATAGTTGAAATCCGGTAAGAGTTGCAGATGTGCTGTTGAACAGGCAAACCGAAACCATTGTCTTCCAGGAGCAAATTTTCTGACACGATTGGTCAGTTTCAATGAACCGGGTCACACGCATCCCGTCACGCTGCCATCAACTATCGAATGGGCTCCTATGCTCGGTTATTTCACCCCCGAAGAACGATTTGTGGCTGCCGACCATCAGCCACGAGCTCAGTCCGTCTCGTTCAGTCCACAAAATTTCGCAGCCTCTACCACGTCCAGAACGTCTTTCAGTCCCTCCACTTCTGTGAGCTCGACGCAATGCACCACTCCGGAAAGGCTCCAAGGCTGCGCCACTCGAGAACACGTGCGTGCCAAAGCCCAGTCCGTCCTGAACGCCTGTCGCCTCGAGCTCGTCTACACAGCGCATCATCACAGGCACAAAGGTTTTCCTACCATCAGCACTAGTGGGAGACTTCTTGAATGGAATGAAAAACCCGGATCATAGAAGGATCCAGACTGGTTGGCTGGTCAACGGCAAAGACAGTGGAAAACGAAGGACTGGAAGCTGATGCCATCGCGCTTGAGACGTGTTCAAGACGCGAGTATGACATAGCGAAAGCCTGTATTACGACGAATTTGAATGTTCTGCAAGCAGGTGCACCTTAAAAAGGAATTGAGTGAGTTCCAATCCTGTCCTCTCAGGTGCGTCGAGCTTCTTTGTTATTGCATAGCGACTGTTAAGCGCGCACGAGATATCAAATCTTTAGACACTTTTCAAGAATGGTGTTAGCCCAGAATACCTGTCTCGTCAAATTGCATACTTCATCATATTCCACAACTGGTCTTTCAGATTTCGGATACGCATCCGTGTGCCCCTTTCTCCTGGACAATCGTCGATCATATGTCCGTCTTCTAATAGCAAATGCTTTTCGATCACTCCACGATACACTGCTTGGCATATGTGGCTGCGCAGCAAATTGCTCTCCAGGTTTTTCCACGAATTACACAACTAGGCACGAGTTATCTCTACGTTTCTCCATACTGGAGCGACACAGACTAACCGGGCAATAAGAGATTGAAAGGGCATGATCGCTCACCTGACTGGGATTGCCTCGGTATGATTTTAGCCTGATAAGGCAATTTCATATATCGCAGAACGCCCAGAGCCTCATCAACCGTAGAGAGGCCGCATTTGGGAACACTAAAGTTTCCATACCAGTACTTCGGTCGCACAGGCCATGCTTAGGATATTGATGCCGGCTCCGGGTACTGGTGGCCGACAGCAATACCCCATGGGATTTAATCAAATCTTTGTCTAGTGCGCCACAACCTCCACATTCCACCAAGGCCGAGCAAAATCCGTGTGGAGATGAATGGCTATTTTGAGCATAAGATCGTGTAGCGGTTGGGAGCGCTTCCGTATCCAGATCAATGCGTCGTATAAAGAGCGAAGGAAGTGGCCTTTTGCTTCCGCTACCGAAGCCGACTATCAATCAGCAATCATGAAGTTTTCACTTATCGCACTTTTCTCCGCCAGCGCTCTGGTCTCTGCCTTCCCCGTGGCAGACCCAGAGCCCATGTTCGACGAGCGCCAGGCTGCCCAAAGCATCTCTGATGCTATGGTTGCTAAGGGAAAGAAGTACTTCGGTACCTGCACAGACCCCGGCCGCCTGAGCGCTGGTTCCAACTCCGCCATTATCAAGGCGAACTTTGGTCAGGTTACGCCTGAGAACAGGTGCAAACACCACCCAAATCGCAAAGGGATCCAACACTGATACTGTTGCAGCATGAAATGGGACGCGACCGAGTCCTCCAAGGGCACCTTCAACTTCGGCAACGCTGACCAAACCGTTAAGTTCGCCACCGACAACAACAAGCTCATCCGTGGTCACACCACCGTCTGGCACTCTCAGCTTCCCTCCTGGGTCTCCTCCATTAAAGACAAAGCTACACTTACCTCCGTGATGCAAAACCACATCAACACGCTCCTCGGCCGCTACAAGGGCAAGATCTACGCCTGGGACGTCATCAACGAGATGTTTAACGAGGATGGCTCTTTCCGCTCGTCTGTATTCTACAACGTGTTGGGTGAGGACTTTGTCCGCATTGCGTTCGAAACAGCACGTGCCGCAGACCCAGCTGCTAAGTTGTACATCAATGATTATAACTTGGATTCTGCGAGCAACGCGAAGACGCAGGGTATGGTGCGCAATGTGAAGAAGTGGATTGCAGCGGGTATTCCGATCGACGGTATAGGATCGCAGGGACACTTGACTGCGGGTCAGGGTGCGAATGCGCCGGCTGCTATGGCGGCGCTGTGTGGCGCTGCTTCGGAGTGTGCGATGACAGAGGTTGACATCCAGAACGCGCAGCAGGCGGATTGGACGAACGTTGTTAACGCGTGCATGAAGCAGACCAACTGTGTCGGTATCACGGTGTGGGGTGTAAGGGACAGTGACTCTTGGAGGCCATCGGGTAACCCGCTGCTGTTCGACTCGTCGTACAAGGCGAAGACGGCGTACAACACCGTGTTGGCTGCTATTAATGCGGCTTAGGGTTAAGGGTGTTTGTATATACTAGGCCAACTGTACATACTTCTTGTGAGTCGTGTAGCCACGGTCTCCTCATTCGTTGTATTCTCATCCATCATTTCTCCTTAAAGAATTCGTCGGAATCCGTCCCCTTCATTGCGCGGATCAAGCCCGCGCCCGCTCTCATGCTTGCTCCTTCTTCCACTTGCCGTGTCCAGAAAACATCAGCGGCCGTCATTCTGACGCTCTTCCTGCGCTCTCTTTCCACGACGTCTAGATGGCCTCGCTTTGCCGAACTGGCCTCTAGCTCGTCCAAGTGCTTCTTCCGCTCCGCATACAGCTCAGCCCTCTCTTTGCGGATGTGCTCCGAGCCTATCGCATGTAGCGCCCACCGTACACCAGCTCGAAATCCAAGGAATATATGTTCTGATGCAAATATAGTGATAGGCAACGTTAACCACGTGTTTAAGCCGTAAACAGATGGATTGCGGAAGCCAAAAACATGCACGATCGCCGCAGACGTCAAGCTCCCAAGCCAAGTCAAAGCCTCCAAACTCGCGACCCACGGTCCAATACCATCATTTCGGATGGGAGCAGGACGCTGGTGCTCGATTGTAATCTTGATGATATCGGCGCGGAGCTCGAACCAATTGTTGATAAAGAAGCCGATGGGGATGAGGGGCCAAACGGGGCTAAAGAGTGCGAGATAGCCGAACTGAAGCACCATCTCGGAGATATCTTCGTGAACATCGTAATGTGCCAGAGCAGCCTGCTTGCGAACGCGACGCAGGAACCTAGCCTCTATTGGATCGTCGCCTCTGACGAACTTCCTTTGCCCACCGAGAGCGAAGGTGTGTGTCGTGCGGTACGTGCGCCACCAGTCTCTAACGTTGTTCTTGAGGTAAGGTAAGGCGAGCTCTTCGATCGCGCTAGAGACTTGACCCGTGACGGTCAGAGTGATGACTTCGTTGCGAAGCTTATTCGCATCGACGTGGAACTTGAAATTTGGTTCGGCAGTTACACCTGCGAGGGAAAGAATGTAAGTTCGCAGGTGCGGGATAAAGGTCTCCCCGAATGGTACGTAGGCGAATGCTGTAAGGAAGATGGGTAAGTAATTAGATATTGACTGCAGCACGAAAATCTTTTGCGTGAGGGACATTTCGTAGTATTCTTCGGTGCGGTGATTTTCGTATTCAGTAAGTCGAGCGGCCAGCTGCTCTAACCAATTGTTGATGAATGGAAGGATGAGGGCAAGCATGACAGTAGGGACGTATTCCTAGACAATGTCAGCGTTTACAAAGTTTGAACCGGGATGTGTGACCCAGACTGTGCCAACAGCGCAGCATTGACCTACCAGGTAGTAATCGTACGGTCCGTCATATCCTTCGACGATGAAGGTTTCGAGTGCGAAAACGGTACCAATCACGATGGTAAGAAACAAAGTACTCAACGCTAAGAACGGCACAACAGCGAGCTGTCTGACAATCCGCTTCCACCTAGGGAAGTAATGATGTACTCGGCCAGCATCATCAACAACTTCTTTTTCGTACTGATATTGAGGCCGGTTGACCTTCAACTTGCCGACTCCTCGTACGTCCCAGCGGATCGATAAATCGACTTCTCGAATCTTCCAGTACTCCAAGAACACAGTGCACCAGACACCAATGACGACCGCGAACACAAGCGAGTACTTTGGCAGGAACGCCCAAGCTAATACACCGGCAACGCATGGAAACGCAAGCGAGAGGAAGTATTCCTGTATGAAGGCAAAGTAAAAGGCTACTTTGGTGCCCCACAGATCGCGTATTTGATCCAAGTCGTCTGAGCTCAAGAAAAACTTTTTGCTCAAGTGAAGGAGCAGTTTCTGGTTCCTGTGAGGGTTGTGGAGAGGGAAAGCGGATGAGACATTCTCCCAATTGCCGAATCCTGGTGTAATGCCCGCACCACCGAGCTCTTTTCGCCAGGTTACGAGATGATATAGTGATTGCAGGTCCTCGGCTTCGTTGGCTCCTGCTACTATGGAATTTGAATTGCCGCCTGGGTGCTTCTTCGTGATCCCATACAGCCAATCCTTGACTCTACCGATGAATTAGAATGGACAAGGTGTTTAGATATTCACTGCAGATCTACTTGCAGTAGATCATCTGGAAGATAACATAAAGATGCAGGCCTTCGAAGAGCGTCTGGGAAATGAGAGAACCACGTACCGTGAGTGATGTACGGTGTTACCGAGCAATTCGCGTGGCGCTTGCACAAATACAAGAAGCGACTCCTCGTAGCCAGCACGGACCTCCGTTTGCAAGCCTACAGATTCCAGGTTCTTTAATAGCGCGGACAATTGCTTAGTAGCCTCGGAGACATCTATGTTTGTTCAATGATACAGACTTAGAATCTAGCCGGTGGACCAACCTAGGCTGTTGTAATCGAACACTAAGACGTATTTGTCGTTGTACGCAATGTAGGCAGAAGTAGGGTCGTCTATACCAAGGGTGTCTGCTCTGCTCAAAGGCTTGATCTGTGGGATCTGCGGGATCTGCAACGGCATTTGGCCAGCATCTCAGCGCGACCGCGCTGATGATTAAGGATGTTGATATGGCGTCGTGTTCTTGCGGCGCGGAGTTCTGACACGACGTACGTGGGTCTTCAGCCTAGTCTCGGAATCGGCACGGTTGGAAGCGGGTCCAAGCTCTCAGTCTGTCTCAAAAGGATGGAGTTGAGTCGATACCGATAAAAGAGATTAGGGGTCAAAGATGTATCTAGGGATGTAGGTAGTCGATGGGTGCGCCGCGAGGAAGATATTGCGCCCAAGCGCTGAGACTCCCTGACATTGTGGGGGCTCAAGCTGACGCAGCGGCGCGTCTAGGACTCGGGAGGTGGTCATCTCGTATCATTGGTTCAACGTTGCATGGCAACTCTCAAAACGAAGCCCATGTTTGTAAGACACACGATTTACAAGTCACATCGTGGATAGCAAACAGCCAAGACGGCAGAAGACCCTATCCACGTGTTCACGTGCGTTCTTCCTAAAGCAGGATAGCGCAAAAGATGATGTAACTAGCTCTGGCGTTGTCGCGACGCGTCGACGAGTCTTTCAACCCAGCCTTTCTTTCACAAATGGACAATAGCCTTTGTGTCTATTTGTAGCAGACAAAGATCAGAGATGCGATACCTGCATGATCTTTGTGACACTTCACAATGATGTGCATACTAATACAGCACCAGATTCCGACATTCATTCAATATACATCGGCACATCAGCACATTGACACCATCAACATAGCGTTATAGCGCTCGCAATCGACTTAGCAATCGCAGCAATGGCTCTCCGAGAAGTTAGCGTTGGACCCAAGACGGCAATGCCGAAGGGCTATGCTTTCCTCAAGAAAGGGATCAAGTACAAGACACTCCACTGCCGCAGGCTTACCCACGAAGCAGGCAAGACAGTGTACGTCGTCGAGAGCAACAAAAAAGTGCTTGGCATTCGCGTACCTAGAGATATTCTGTCTCGCGTTCACGCACAGGCAAACGAAACGCTCCCAGCCCGAAAGCTCGCTACCGAGAAGCGCGACACGGCCATAATCCGCCAAGCAGCTGCCGAGCTCGACTCACAATTCCCTAAAATACCCGAAGAAGATAGGGATCTGGTGTTGAAGCATGGCTTCAAGAAGTACTCGGGCCGAGTTGGACGAACTAGCCTGATTCCTCTCCCGAGGAAGGTGCTGTACGCTGTCATTGCGCACATCAGGCATAAGCATACCAAATATGATAAGCTGCTAGATGGTGGTGTGACTAGGGACAATGCCCGAAAGGCAATTCAGAAGACGGTGCAGGATACACTAAGGAATTGGGGCAATAAACAAGGTAGGAGGTCAAGCTAGTGAGCTAGGCTTTCGCTGACGTTGGAGATTTATCTTGGTACTTTCACAGCGATTGGCTTGTAGAGAGCGAAGAAGATGCCAGCGAGTCTTGAACGGTAAGTAAGTAGTTATTCATCCGTATAATCGAGCTCTGTTGATCTCACTTCAATCCTTTGCTGTCCCCAAATCTCAATTATCAGCCATTGAGTTACAATTGTAAGCTCATTTCGAGCCAGTCCTTGTTATCCCACTCTGTCCATGCCAGCCTAACAGTGAAACCAGGCTAGGAAAACTTGCATTACCTCGACCTCGAGTATGCCAGCTTCGCAAAATAGCCATCTTCCGCCATACCAACAGCTACTTTCGTCGCCTCATCCAGATCCTCCACCGGCAGAGCCAACTTCTCATTGTCCAGCCCTTTCGTCTTCTCATACAGCCCTGCATCTTCTCCTGGCAAGAAGTATCGCGTGTACAGCATGTACGCAAACGCCATCCTATCTCCCCCAGCCATTCTCTTACGCGCATCCTCAAACCTGTCCTTCGCACTCACACGCGTAACTTTCCAGTCCTCATCCTTCAGCTCCAAACCCCGATTCAACGAATCCAACATCTCCCTTTGATTAACCGTGAACGAGGAGACAAACGCAAAGCGATTCCGATAATCACTCAACGCCGTTTCCCCTCCTTGTCCCTCCACAGGCAGCGCAAGCAACCCCGCAGCCGCCCTCCCTACCTGCGCCCACGTACTCGTATTCATCCTCTGGGTCCCCTCATCGAAGAACGTAACCTCCCTCTTCGCAATATCAATCCCGTAGAACCCTGGCCCGGAGAGCGAGTACTCGTACCAAAAGCCGGACACGATGCCAACCCAGGACGACACGCCGAGCTCCTCGATTAGCTTGCGTGCCGCCTGTTTTGGTGAACCCATGCCCACTTCATTGGAGGCAAGGGCGTCGGTATCGCCGCCGTATTCATTGGGCAGGATCCATGGGACCCCGGCTTCGGCAGCGGCATGAATGAGTTTGGACTGGGTGTCAGGGGGCGCGGTGACGGAGAGGGTGATGATAAGGGCGTCCTGGCCTTCGAGGGCGGAGGTGAGGGTCGAGGGTGTGGAGTAGTCGACTGGGATGGCGGTCATGCCAGGAGGGAAGGAGGAGGTGTTCGTGTTGCGGGTTATGGCGGTGATGTTGAAGGTCGGGTTCTTAAGGAGCGCGGCCGAGATGTGTTTGCCTAGTTGGCCTGTTGCGCCTACGATGGCGATGTTGCGGATATGGTTTGATTGAGCCATGGTAGAACAGCAGGAAAGGGTATGATGTGTTCGATAGTCACTGGGGAATTGCAAAAGACGAGGCTTCAGTGCTCTTTGGAGTTGGAAGGGTGCATTGTGGTGCGTTTCTGTAGCTTTATGTAGCCACATCTACATACTGGTTTTTTTTTTTTTCGATCCCCACGCTTAACTCCGTTGCTCAGTATCGTTCCAATCTTTGCAACATCATCTTACGCACCTTTAACTACTTGAGTTGCATGATGAGACTGAACACAAGACTAGGGTAGCCACAACCATGCCCTAGAACATGAAGCGTCCGCAATGTCGGGGCAAAGTGCAACCGCCGAGCCCGACTCAACTAGGTGGGATTACCCGTACATGTATGTTTTCGGGCCCGACATGACTCTAGCGCGACATCTGGGATGCAGTGGTGAGGTGCTTGCCAATGTCGGTAATAGGACGTAAACGGAGTTAAGCATAGCGTAAGTCGTCCGGTAAACTTCAGAGCAAAGTCAAGTACATCATACTTATCGATCGATCGTGAGGTCAGCAGCAAAGGAAAAGGGCAAATATAATGTCGTTTTATGATAAATAGAACACGGCACTATTTCGAACTTCGTGGTATTCCGAACAAGCGTACAACTTGCGTATTTGAATTGTACCTAGTCCATCTATAACTTCGATCCTTCCCGTCTATTCTGAAAAACCTCTGCATCTTTCTTTGCCCATTCTCTCAAGATCTTCCTCTGAATTTTCCCGCTCGGCGATTTCGGTCTGTGCTTGGTATTAGCCCAACCCCTACTGACGTTGGTTGATACTCACACTTCGTCGATGAAAACGACACCTCCTGAAAGCTGCTTGTGCTTGGCGACACGACCCGCTATCCACTTCTCTATATCCCACTCCGAGGATGCGCCCTTGTGATCAGCCTTGAGCGCGACGTATGCCCGCGGTAGTTCTTCGTGCTCGCTATAACTGCCAGTCAGCGTGCGTAGCATCCCAAAACAAACCGATCTAAACTTACAGTTGCAACGCGCAAACCGCCGCATCACCCACATGCTCATGCTCCAATAACAATGCTTCCAACTCAGCCGGAGCCACTTGAAACCCTTTCACCTTAATCAACTCCTTCTTACGATCCACGATCCAAAACCACCCCTCCTCATCCCTAATCGCCACATCCCCAGTCTTCAAGAACCCCTCTTCATCGAACGTCTCCTGCGTCGCGCGCTCGTTCTTCCAGTATCCCATGCATACGTTTGGCCCTTTGACATGTATCTCGCCGCGTTCGCCGGGACCTACCTCGTGCCCGTTGTCATCGATGAGTTTCATAGAGCAATTCGGGTCGATGTACCCTACGCTGCCAGAGCGGTCATCGCGGCCACCGGGCACATGGAGAGCGGAGCAGGTAACTTCCGTCATTCCCCAAGTTTGCACGACTTTCAGGTCCAACTTCTCCGACACCTCGTTCTGCAGCTCTTTCGACAACGGCGCCGCGCCGCATAGAATATTCTTCAAAGAACTTAGGTCGTACTTGGAAGTTTCTGGGCGCTTCGCAAGCATCACAAGTACAGGGGGCGCTGTTTGGATGTGCGTTATACGATGGTTCTGGATGTTTTCGAGGAATTTGGTGTAGTTGAAGGTGCGCATGAAGTAGCATGGGGACAACGTGCGGGCAGCTGATACGATGGACCAGAGCTGGCCGTAGGCGTGATAGAGGGGGAGGAAGCCGAGCCAGCGTTCTTCGGGACGAGAAGAGAGCGAGTAGGGCTGCTCGAGGTTCCGCATGAACATGGATTGCTCGCAATTGGCTATCACGTTTTGGTGACTTATCATGACGCCTTTGGGTAGGCCTGTCTGGAAACCAATGTTATTGAGATGTTCTGCTGGGCTGCGAGCTGAGATTACATACTGTACCGGAGGAATAATTCAAGGCAGCGACAGTAGTACGAGATTGCTTTGCATCCATTCGGTCCCATTTCCAATTGTCGACTTTTGATGCAGATGGCAGGAAGCTGCGCCAGTCTCTGATACCTTCGACAATTCCAGTTTCCTTATCAGAGAAGAGAAAGATGCGATCAGTGGGGAAGCTGATTCTGTTTGCTGCCTCTAGCAGAGTCCGAAGTAGTGGAGGCTCAACAAGAATGGCTTTGCATTCGGTATTTTTGATTTGATAAATCACCTCTACGTTTCAATCAGTGATGTGTTTCCAGTGGGCACCTGCTAACGAACCTTCGACGCCGTATGCAGGATTGCATCCACTATATATGCACCCACAGCCCGATATGCCCAGATACGCAACAGGTACATAAATATGGTTCGCGGAATACATCATGACCACATCTTGTCGTTTCAATCCTAGATTCTGCAATCCAGATCCTAGTCTCTTGACCCATTGTAGAAGCTGTCGTGGCGACAAAGCATTCTCAGTGTTATCGGCATCGATCCATATCGGCTTGTCGGATGCTGGCTTGGTTGGAGGAAAGAGATAGGTGAGAAGGTCAGTCGCCGGGATGTCTATTTGAAAGGGAGATTGCGAAGGCATTGCTGTAGGAGCATGGAACGGGTAAATCAGGAACCAAACCCATGGTAAGTATACCCCAGATTGTAACTGCAGGCTGGCGTCATGGATGGTGATGCCGAGGTGCAAGGCGAGGCGGGGTCAGCACAGACCATCGGTTCTTCCCTGAGCTTCATTGTACAAACATGGGCATCGGGAGCAACCGACTTCGACGTTAACACATGATAGTTCGTTCATCAATCGTTGAGTTCGGAATGGAGATAGTATTTACACTAATAAAAGATTTTCATGGAAGCGTTTCCGCCATTTCCCAGAGCGCCGATGTGCCACAAACGCCTGCGTAGCACCTTACTGCCAAAAGGAAGCCTCCAGCTCGTCGCCGAGGGCATATGCGCCATCCTTCTCGATAATTTCGCGAACCACAACTCCCACGAGGTCCGTCTTGCTGCTAGTCTGCACATCCAATCCGCTGTCCCGCCTCTTCCCGCCCTGCTGGCCTTCATGTCCAACCTCACGTCGCACCTCGTAGTTTCCAGCTCCGATATCGACAAGCCTTGCCCGCTTGTAGCTCGCATTCAGAACCTCCCTTGTTGCAACCACGAATCCCGCCTCCTTGTTCTCCTTCAACCAGGATTGCGCCTTCTCATCCTCCAATGCCTTCTTCAATGCCGCATCCGCATCCTTCAGCAACCTCACGTGCTGAGACTCCGCCTCAATGGTTCCCACTTCTGTACCCTCCTCAGGCTGCTTCTGCACGAGGTGCGCGGCGCCGAGCGATTCGAGGAAGCGGTGGGACTTGCTGTCGAAGATGATAACATCCTTGTACCATTTCGTGCCAATGTCATCGTAGTCGCGGTCCTCGAGCATCGACGGGTCGTAATTGGTGGTCTTAGAGACGAGCTGTCCTACGGGGATAGCAGTGTTGTTCAGCGGTTTGGGTAGGAGTGCGAGGTCGGGGATGATAGAGGGCGAGAGGGGACCCTCTGCGATCTGCGACGACCGGCGCCGTGTGAAGCTCATCTTGACGGCTTTGGATTGGGATTGAGTCGAGCTTAAGAGTGAATTGGCTTGTAATCAGTGGAATTGGGGCGACGAAGCTGATGAGGAGCTGCAGTAAGTGAGGGGTCAGTGACTTTATGTGATCTCATTGTGCGCCATTTGGCGGCAGTGGCCGGACCCAAGCATTGCTCAGGTCACGCTCATGCTACTGGTTGCGGCGAGTGGTGCCTGCCTTGCTTCACTGTGCGAAGAAGGAGGTAGTGGTGTGATGCGTCAGGTGCACGATGCTCGCGTGTCGTGGCCGGACGGAGCCGCTCCGAATGTCAGGATTCGGAGCAGTGAACGAGCGTATTCTCCGAATTCTTCCGCACTAGCAACCATCTCGGGGTACCAACGATGACTCCTTGCATATTTACTTGCAGCTCGACAATAGCACCGCGTCACCTCTGCATCACCATCTCTAGACCATACTTACAACGAGAGGTTGTCTGAATTCATCCGGCTCTCCCTGGGCTAGCTTTGATCGAAGCTCTTGGGTCAGTCGAGACTGGCGTACTTCAGTCGTACCCTGCGATGCGAACGATATATGGACTACTATATGGCATTTGCACATGTCCATACTCTTGAAATAACACTGCGATAAAACTTGGAACACTCAAAAGGAAGTCTATGCCGAAATTCCTCGGAATTCTATACACAATATCCCTGATCACACAAGTAATAATACAGTATCCCCCTTAACAGTACAAATACACTCTCCAGCCTTTATTCGTACACTCGTTGAGCTTTGTCGTTATCGGCGTAGGTCGTTTCCTATTTATGGGGGCTTCCACCGCAGCGGGGGTTGTTGTCTTCGGTGCGTAGGTATCCCGTTGTGAGTTTGATCGATGAGCAAAAGGCAATCATTCTGTCGGACAGGGTGACTTTGATAGTCAGTAATGTATAATGGCAGGTGTGGTGCATGGGGTGACAAACTGCGAATATCCAGGAATGAAGAGAACGAGCTGACAAGAAAGCAGGAACACTTTGAGGGCGAATCGAATGTGATTGTCGTTCAAAGATTAGATTGGGATTAAGATATGATGGTAGCGGTTGGTGTATGGTTTTGAATGAGCTTGAGGCGGGAGCGAAAGGAACTAAACATATTCGCGGCATCAAGTACGGACTTATATATTGTTGCTTGCTCTCTGGGCTTCTCCTGGTGCCTATTCCATGAGCCTCCTTTCTCGTAGCTCAGCCTCCGCGCGTGAAAGAAGCTTGGAGTATTGCACTGCGAAATGTCCGGTGTCTGCTGTGGCTTGGCCGCCGGTGTGGCTTTACTTCACCGGGTGCAATAGCTTTGCCTCAGCCTTGTCGCCTGAACATGCCTTCCGAGTCCTTCGACCAGGCTTGTGCGATCAGGCTCACAGCTAAGGGCAGCTGAGTATACACTGTGTAGGGGACCTTATTCTTGCATCAGTTGCTCAGGCAGACCGCACTCGGAGTGGCCGAACCAAGTCGGGACTTCCGCCAATCATTGAGAAGGTACAGTTCTCCTCGCGGTTGCTATGATTCACAAATCTCGTAAGCTTGGATTTCCTAACTCTGCCGGATCTTGGTTTCATTAGTATGTCGTTTCTTCACTCGCTGTGAGTCTTAGTGAGCAGCGTCAAAAGGTAAACGGCCTGTTCGTAGATGTACTACCCATGAACTTAGATTGAGAGTCTTTTCATTCTATAGGTAATTCCCCCGTCATTTATTTGGTTCATTTGTCTTTCATCCTATCGTTGCATCCGCTAGGTGCCCAAACAGAAGAGTACTCATGAAGGATCAATAGAGCAAAGAAATCGACGAGAGCAGGCTAGAAATTCACTGTCGCCGGTCGAAAAGCAAAGTGTTCCTAGCACGAACTTCAAAAAGTATGTTCAATAGTATACAAATCTGAACTGATTCCGTTGCCTCCTGAGGCTCTTTTCTTGTGGCTGAGCCGCGGCGCGCGTGAAAACGTTGAGGAGGTTACACGGCAAACGGTTGTGTGTGGCTTGACCGCCGGTGTGGCTTCTTCACCGGTCACGATAGCCTTGCTCCAGCCTCACTGCTAGTGACTCACGAAATCCAATCACAGGTTTTCGGAGGGCAACAGCAGTTTTGTATTTCCAAGCCGATTGTAGTGTCTGTCGTAGGTAGCCTCCCTGGAAACTGAGGTGATTGGACGAGGTTATTGTTCTTGAGTGGCGATGCTGTAGAGGGAATTGTGTCACAACGCGTGAGGCTTTTTACCACCAGTGGTAGCGATTCAAGTCTACGAACAAGGCCTTTTTGGCAAGTCAATAATCATCCCACGCCTTGAGTGACCTGGGAAGATCTGGACTTCCGCCGATGGCTCGAAGTGAGCGCTGCCATTCGAAACATGTACTGCTCAAATCGCGTGGGCTTGAGCTATTTATGGATTGGAAACTACCAGAATGTGGTTTCACTAGCACAACTTCCCTCCATAGATTGCGCTCTATCACTCATGCTTGAGACGCCTCAAACACGTATGGAAATCACCATCATAAGACAATATTGCGTGTTTGAAAAATGTACTAAGGGTCAGACAAGTGGTCATGTGTTTCGTGTTACGAGTGACATATCCGTCATTTAGCTAGGACAGTGGACCAGAGGCGTCTTCTAGAAACACACTCAATTCTCGACCAACCGCTCCCATCACCTATCGTGGCAGTCGGGCACACCGCATTTCCCTATAACCATCGATCATCAGCCTTATTGTTGTGTAAGGAGTAGCACTGGTACCCACGAAAGAGCCATTTAAGTCCTTGTAGCCGACGGGCGTCTTAACCGCCATCTCTTGGTTCCAAATCGTCGTGGGGCTTAATACGAAATCGTATACGATCTACAGGTGTTAAATTCGGAAATCGCGAGAAGATTTTATGCGTGATCATGGTGACTGAAGCTGGATATCTAAGTCTGATTGCAAGTGGATAGTTGGTGAAGATGAAGAGGTGGGGTGGGGAAGGTTTGCAATTCGAAAGACCTCCAAGGCTGGACTTGTATGCTTATCAAGTGGGGCTGAGCCACGTGCATGCGTGATGATGCAGACAACGCACCTGCTGCATGACAAGGCTGAATGGGCTGCGCCTTCCTTAGCAATCTCAATAGCTAAGAGTCTCTTGTCGTTTTGAATCGATTCGTAAGACTCCTACCGTCAGAGCCAAAGCGGCACAATCAGGCATGGAAGTCGTGGGAACTGTCGCGGCCCTCGTCGCTCTGACGAAAGACATCGCAATTGTCTCCGACAGCCTCGTGCGACACTTTCGAAGCGCGCCCAAAGAGCTCGTGCGATTACGCAATCAAATCTCTCTTGTACTTCTGGAACTCACCTACCTTGAGCAGTTTAGTGCAGCAGAATCCATAGAAACGTTCCTTCCTCCAGGAGAGCTGCAACTACTGCTCCATGCCATGCAAATTGTAAAAAACGAAATTACAGCTACATATGAAGAGTTACGCCTTACGGCAAAACCAGCAGCGGGTAAAACAACGAGAACAGCGCGATTTACGTGGGCGCTTTTCGATCGCAAGTCAGTGGACGGTGCTCTTGCACAATTGGAGCGGGTCGAATGCCGGTTAATATGTCTGCTGCAACTAGTCAACTTGTATGTCTGTATCAGTCCTGTCCTTCCTTTCTAATTGTCGACAGGCGTATGAATATCGATTTACGTAAAGATAACCTCAATTTTGGAACGCAGATCCTAGACGAACTCAAGACTCAACGGAGTCAGACAGTTTCTCGACGCCAGGAACCCAATGAACTTTCTTTATTAGCTAAGGAAACTGAAATTCAATCGGCAGTCGTGTTTCGACACAACTACACTTTCGTTCTTGCCGACGTTTGGAGTAAAGTTTTTGGTTCTGAGGTGGAACTGACCACATCCAACAATGAGTACCAGCGCGCTTACGATTTCTATGCAAGATTGCCTTTGCCGTCATTCACTTGACGAATGGCCTTTCTGGTGACGCTATCGATGCGGCGTGCGTGGGGTTTTTGGCCCAACGTATCGCTCTTAGGCGGTGGATTGAACTTCGTCAACGTTATACCGATGGATTCTGATATTGTCGCAGCTTGCCGCAGGGGCGATACTGTGGCAGTACGGACACTATTTACAGAAAGACAAGCTGCACCAAACGACATGACAACGGAGCGCGGTACACTAATCTACGTAAGGCATTCGAACGTCCGGAAGACCGTCGACTGACAGGTAGCAGTATGCCACGGAGAGTGGATCCACGAAACTCGTGCAGTTCTTAATTGATGCAGGGGCCCCTTTACAACCGTGAGTAACATCTGTTTCGGGGTGGGACGCCGAAAAAAAACCACTAACTTTCATAGGCGACAGCTTCTTCGGGCAGCATGGCGGCGCCAACCCGACATAGCTCGGACGCTACTTCGGACCAAACGCGTCGACGTAGAGACTCTTTATTTAGACGGTGACACAGCAGCTTCCATTCTATATGGGAATTCCCGCCCAAGACAGCAGCAGACTGAATTTCTCGCGATCTTGGCTAGTCATTCTTTCTCTCAATTCAGTGCACAAGATGCATACGGCTGGACTGTACTTCATCGTGCCGCTGCTTGGGGCACTGCAGCTGACATCACAACCCTGCTGAAATTGGGTACTTTGCGAAGCCTGCGAACACGTTCACTGGATTGGACCCCACTCATTTGCGCCGTGGCATACAGAAACATCGAAACACTGGAAGTATTGTTTGAAGCAGGTGGGCCCTATGAGTTATTCGAGGAAAAGGATATCCGTGGCTGGAGTTTGCTCCATGTTGCGGTAGCCTACAACAACTTTCAGGCAATACTGTATCTTCTCGAAAAAGGGGTTGACCCGGAAACAAAAAGCACAGCTACATCATGCCATGTACCCGAACTAATCAAGGAGAGAAGTGTGACGCCCGGACATATGGCAAGGACTTTTGGAGAATGTGCTTATCGAAAATGGACCGAGGCACTAGAGTCAGCAGGGCGTATAATTGACGTCCGACCTGAAGATATTGACTGGGCTTCGGAGGAAACGAAAGAACTGTTTGGAGAATGCGAATGTTGCGACTCTTGGACATCGTAGTCGCCTCAAGGCTTGACAGCAACCCTTATCATATTAGCGACTTGACGCTGCAAGCGTCCTTGAGTTGTACTAGGCCACATTCAAAAGATCTCGAAGAAAGCCAAACATTTGTATACCGCTTAGAGCTAGACTTGACCCACGGTCTTTCACAGCACATGAAAAGCATCTTGAAGAAAGCAAAACTTTTGTATACCGCTTAGAGCTAGACTTGACTCATGGCCTTTCACACGATCTGCCATCCATCATCTCGCCTACTTCTCTCTGCATGCCCACATCACTGCATCTCATTTCTTCTCGTCCTTATCGTCCTCCTTATGCTTCTCACCCTCCTCCTTTTCGCAAACTTCCCTGAGTCACCCCTGCCCCCCTCACCCATTCCACCACCAACCACCACCTCTCCACCGCCATCATCCCTCTTCATCTCCATTGGGAAAATCATCCTCGAATTCGGCGTCGTCGGTGACTCCGCCGGAGTCTGCACTCCCGAGCTCAATTTCGGCGGCGAGGGCGTCCAGGCGCGAGGGTTGAGGAACGGATTGGGACGTTCTGTGTTGATAGTGAGACCGCGGCGGTTGCGGTTCGGCAGGCTGGGACGGCCGACCGGAACGGTGTACGCGAGAGTGTTGCTGCGAGATCTAGGTGGCGGAGGGATGGGAATAGGCGAGGTCGAAGTAAGATGGTCGCGGCCCTCTGTGGCCTGCTGGGTTGGTGAAGCAGAATCGCCAGTCGGAGAGCTTGAGGGATGGTTGGCATCTTGTGCAGTGGGTGGGCCGAAGCTACCAGGGATGCTGGAGCCTTGGTTGGGGGAAGCGGACATTCTGACGGCGAGTGTATGGGTATATTGATCAGGTATGTTCGATCGGGCTAATGTGTGTTTGCCGCTCGTGCTGGTTTGCCTGACTTGAGGTAGTCGAGTATAAAGTTAGCGATGTTCAAATCCTCATGCACTCGTAACGAATCGAGCAGATGAAGCTTACTTGTGTCACTTGTCCAATCCAAGCAGTGGTGAGCACCTGTGTGTACTTCGAGTCGAGGCGAACAGAGTGAGTACTGGATCGATAGAAATGCGTGTGCTTCCTGTAGGGGCTGTTGTTGAGTTAGCACGGCTCAAGGTGTTGCGCAAGGATCTGGGCAGGTTGGAATGGTTGAAGAAGTTGTTGCTCGGGAAAAGAAGAAGGCAAAGCAAGACCCAGAAGCGTAAATTATATGCGTGCGCACACACCTCCAGGCCCCAGCACGTCATTGTCAGATGCGTAACAATACTAGCAAACGGAAGTTCGCGTCGTTGCCTAGGTGAATATGCTCTGGCTATATCGACGCGGGCTTCCACGTGTCACGTGCGATTGCATTCACTCACGATGCTAGCGCTACCTGAAAGGAATCCCTTAGCTGGTATTGAACACGCATTTATGTATATGGACTTGCTTACAATCATTGCAACTCATTTTATACAATACATCAAGACCGAACCGTGCTTCAGTAGAATATCAAAGACCGAGTCGATATGGAGTGAATTATGTAAGAATATGATAGTCGCTTTCTGTCGGTCAGGAGCGGCTACAACCTTTCGCGAGCGCTTCATGCAAATTCGTACCATAAGTATAAACAAAAGATGTAATCCCAGTACATTGATTGCGCCCGCTAGTCTCAACCAAGACAGCTTTACGGCTTCTATGTCAAACCACAGACGCATACCATAGCATCCGAGCAGAGCCCATCAAACCATCCGGCCATCAGTCTGACTGCTCAATACCTGCAGCCAACGCGATCCCGCGATCAATCTTGAGCTGCCCCTTTGTTATGCTACCCGCTTGCAAATCACAAATAGTCCATAAGACATACATGTCCGTATCGTAATCGCTGTGCACGTCTCCTTTATTGCCGCGCTCTACGGCGCATCAACTACCTCAGCCTCCAGGATGGGCTTCTCTTCCTGCTCGGAGCCCTTCTCAACATCCCCCTCACACTTGTCCTTGGTCGCCGCCACGGTGATCGCAGGCACGAGACGCAACGGAGCGGAAGGCAGCAAGAACCTCAGTCCGTTGTTGTTCGCGGCGGTGGATGTAGTTTTCTGGCTGGGAGCCGTAGTGGCAGGAGCGACACTGCCGTCGCTGGTGGTATTTGAAGCCGCACTGTGGTTGGCGCAGGTGCAGGTGCGACTCGCCTGTTTGCTGCTGCTCTCTTTCTTCGGCACGGGAGTCAGGCGGAGCCAGAGGCCCAAGCCACCGTCGGAATAGTCGAGGTTTGGGCGGGTGGGTTTGCCGATCAGGAATATCATATTCGCGTCGTTACGGGTGGTTCAGGTTCAGGTTCGAGTGGGTTTGTGAGGGTGCTGATTCGCCTGTGGGTGAGTGGTGAAGTAAGTGGAGTTGCGTGAATGTGGTGAGTGGATTGAGATCTATATAATCTTCGAGCAGAAGTTGAGAATTACTTTACCGAGTGGGTCGGTTATTGAGCGAACCTTGGTTCACTCGCAGGCACGAGTACGGTTGATAGGTAAAAACGAAGTGGTGGTACGCTAAGTTGAGGGTAGAACTGTTGCCCATGGGGTAGCACGTGGGCTCGGAATATGGGAAGGCTCGCTGTGATTCGTCTGCCGCTACTTGTTTATGTACGCTTGATAAAGGAGAACTGGGCGACAAAGAATATCTGTCGCGTGAACAAGAGCTACAAGATTTATTCAACACACGTAGTTCGGAGAAGGGTAATTTAGTCAGCAAGCATACAAACACACCATGAACTATGTGTTGAAGAGTGGACCAATACGATTCCGGATATCTACGCTCTCACACTACCATGGTTTGTCCCTACTACTTCACGAACTGCCAACACCCTTAAGATGCTCGTCATGCAACTTCTTCTGCTTCTCCCATTCCTTCCGCAGCTTCTTCGCCTTGCTCTTAAGTACATCAGCGCCTTCCTTGTCCTTGGTTGGCACACCATCGTCGTCCCATGCGCTGTACTCCTCCGTTTTGAACATATCCTTGGGGCTAATCTTCGCCTGCGCGGCCAGCTTAGCTTTCTTCTCCGCCTCTTCACGCTCGCGCTGCTGTTTCGCTTCGGCCTTCTTCCGAGCGATAGCTTCCTTCTGCTCGCGTTCGGCGCGTAGCTCAGCGTCGACGGGTCGCACCATAGCGGGCGCGTTGGTGCGGTCCTCGAGATAGACACCTGCTTTCCAAAGGTGCACATCACGAAGACGGTCAGAGAGCTCAAGGAAATCCTTCGCCTCTGACTTCTGCTGCGAGAGGCGAAGGAGGTCTTCCTGGAATGTGGAGAGTATTTCGGCGTAGGGGGACGGCTGCCGCGTCCTGTTGTTTGCTCGGCTTATCCTTTGAGATGACTGAGTTGAGCGTCTCCTCCGAAAGATCATCCTTAGCGATAGCGCGTTGGCGGACTTCGTCGCGTAGACGAGATGCGGCGTAGACAAACTCTTTAGAGACTTCTGGAATATCGATACCTGACCACCCGATGCCGCCATCATTTGGATCAGCCTTTCCGTCAAGACCGAAGATTCTAAGAATCCTCGTCACGAAGACACCAAGATCTCTTGAGACATCGTCACTGAGCCCGGCCTTGTCGGCCGTGTTCCAATCTTCGATCAATCCCCGAATAGCACGGATAGCGGCAGGGGTGTCGAATGAGTCCGCCAATGCCTCGTGTACTTTTGATTTGGCCGATTCCAGCGCCGCCTTGATCTTCGCGTCCTCTGTACCGGTCGATGTGGTGTTTGGGTGGATCTTGAGATCCTTGATGCGCAGGAAGAAGTTCGTCACGTAGCTCTCGAAGGAAGAGCCCGCTTTCTTCATATCGTCCGTGATCTCTATGCCGTCGTGCCAGCCGCCAAGGAGGAAGATTATACGCAAGCTTCTTGAGGTCCAATCACCACGCGCTAACGCTTCGCGGATGGTGGTGAAGTTCTTCAACGATTTCGACATTTTCGAGCCGGCGATGGAGAGATGGCCCATGTGCAAAAAGTAGTTGATCCATTGATGTCCACCTTCAGTCGACCAGTATGCTTCGCTCTGGGCAAGTTCGTTATCGTGATGGGGGAAGCAGAGGTCAATACCACCACTGTGAATGTCGATTTGAGAGCCTAGGGCCTCCGACGCCATCACGCTGCACTCAATGTGCCATCCCGGGCGCCCTGGTCCCCATGGCGAATCCCATGCAGGCTCGCCTGGCTTGGACGTTTTCCAAAGACTGAAGTCGCTATCTTGGCGCTTACCAGACTTGTTCGTCGAGAGCGCCCCCTCACCGTCTGCCTGTAAGTCGGTGTTCGTCCGGTTCCCAGGGCTCCAACCGGGCGTAATGGTTGTTCTTGACCTTCTCGAACGCTGCGATGTCGAAGTACACTCCATCGCCCGCCTGGTATGCAAAGCCATTCGAGACGATGCGTTCCGTAAAAGCGACGATTTGCGGTACATATTCAGAAACACGTGTGACCACGTTTGGAGGTAAAACATTCAATGCTTCCATGTCAGCGTTGAAACGGTCTTCGTATTTTTTGGTAAGAGCTGTGAAGATGCCGTGGTCGCTGCTAGAGATCGAGGTGCCATGAAGTGAATCGAGGTATGGCAATAGTACATCCTCGGCGCCTTCCCAAAACTTCGCAATATCCTCATTGGAGCTTCTAGACGGTGAAAGTAAGGCGGTCACTGCATTTCCCGCCGTCTTAAGATGCATCTTGATCTTAGCCTCCTTGTCACCAGGAGGTCCTGTTCCATCGACGGACTTGCCTTTGAGGACTGCTGCATATTTCTCTGCCGACTCTTTTTTGAAGTCTTCAGGCTTCAGTCCTGGGTTGAGGAGCGGTAAGTTCTTTTTGATGTAGGCATCGAAGGCCTTGGAAGTTGTGGCGAGGACATCATCCGTAATTTGGGCATGCTCGGATTGGAAATTCGACAATAAGTGCGCTTGACGACCTCTTAAGATAATTTTGTCGTCGATATCAGTTATATTCTGTACGAATTGCACATCAAATCCAAAGTAGTCATTCATTATTCTCCGGAGGATATCATTCGAAGTGTAGTTCCTAGCGTGCCCGAGATGCGCGTCATCGTATACGGTTGGACCACAAGAATACCAGGTGACTGATTTGCCTTCTGGATCTACAGGGCGGAAGGGCGTCTTAGCCCTCACGAGCGAGTTGTAAAGGCTCAGCTTTGATGGCGACCCGGAATGCGGTTCGGCCCATGAAGGTTGTTGCCGGGACGTGGACGCCATGGTGCTGTGTTTCTTTGAAAAAAGTTGAGGGATGGTCGTAAGTCGTAGTCGTACTGAAAAATGACGCACGAGCATTCAGGTGAGAAGGAAGATGAAAGTAGAGGAAAGGAAGTAAGGGTCGAGGACGGGAACTATAGAGTGACCCTACACCGTGGACTGCTGTCTTGAACTTCCTCTCTTTGTATGACTGTATTAATTTCAATTAGTATTCTTCTGCTTTCCCTTCTCCGGGCACGAGTTTTTTGAAGATGACACTCACGACTACAGTTCGATCGATCCAGGTCCTTCTATTGTGTAGGTGGACAATACCAAGAGTATGATGCCTGAAGCCTACAATGTTGGTCGCGAAAAGCCAACCCACTAAGACTTGGCCTGTGGCTACAGACAGAAGGTTGACCTAGATAAGGTAGACGTTGCTGTTGGAGCGTATGTGGATGAGTCAGTGCCCAGGTGAACGTCAGATGGCACAATGGGACCAGGGTCCGTAAGGCCTTAGCGTCCTAAATCTTTGTCCAGGAGGTCGCGCGAGCGTGCAGTGTCCAGGCTGAATCAGGAGTAGATGCACTCGGCGGCCGAGAACGCAAATTCGAAAGAGAGAGCGGTTAATGCGAAGTAAAGTAAAGGAAGGACACGAATTGGTTTCTGTGAGCTGCAGCGGGAGAGTGAGCAAGACGCCAGATATCTTTAGCGCGCAGTGACCACCTGCAGGATCTCCCCGCCTAGCGTGCTCCCCGCCCGCCAAAAAGTTCGAGAACTGCAGCTTCGAAAACTGCTCGACTGCGTCAGTTGATGCGCCCACAGCTTCCATGGCACCCACAGCCTCGCCCTTCCTCGATCCTAGCCCATGCGCGTCTGCCCAAAGCCTTGGCATCCTCCAGCTAAAACGCGATCAACTCATTCCCGTCGTACTGTCCGATGCATCGTCGACCGAGTACGCAGAGGGCAATGTCGTAAACACTCGCTTCGGAAGCTTCACGCACAGCAGCCTCATAGGCAAGCCGTGGGGTACCCAGATTCTCGCCTCGGTCGTGGACACGGGCTCGCGCGGCGGAAGGTCGAAGAAGAGAAAGCGCGAAGCCAATGGCGATGGAAATGCGGCAGAAGAAGTTGGAATCGCACCAGAAGAGCCTGCGAAGGGGGTCGTAAAGGCTGCGACGGCAAGCAGTGGGTTCGCGCATCTTGTACCGCCTACACCGGAGACTTGGACGCTGTGTCTACCACACAGAACACAGGTTGTGTACACCCCGGACTACAGCTTCATCATTCAGAAGACGCGCTTGCGACCGGGGGATCACATCATTGAGGCAGGTGCAGGAAGTGGCAGCTTCACTCACGCGGTCGCGAGGACAGTGTTCAATGGGTACCCTGGGCTGGAACAACCGGAGGACGAAGAGGAGCAAGTAAATGGTACACACGCACGCAAGAGAAAGAGACGACAGAAGCGACACGGTCACGTCTACAGCTTCGAATACCACAAGCCACGCGCGGAGCAACTGAGAGAAGAACTCACTTCTCACGGGCTCGACCCACTCGTCACCGTTACCAACCGCGACGTCTACGAAGACGGCTTCTGCCTTGACGACGAGAATGCACCCAACGCCGATGTAATATTCCTCGACCTGCCAGCCCCATGGCTCGCACTCAAACACCTCACACGCACCCCACCTCCACCCGCAGTGGTTAAATCCATCGCATCAGACCCCTCGGCAAACACCCTCGAACCTTCTACATGCACACCGCAATCCCCGCCCTCTACAAAACCCTTCCGCTCCCCCCTCAACCCCAAATCGACGACCAGGATATGCACCTTCTCCCCCTGCATCGAGCAGGTCCAAAAGACCGTCGCCGCCATGCGCTCCTACGGCTGGCTCGACATCGAGATGTTCACGCTGGAGCACAAGCGCCTCGAAGTGCGCCGCGAGCGCATCGGCCTCGCTGAAGAAGGTCTCCGCGGAGCGAATCCCTCACCCGCCACCGTGCAAGAAGCCGTCCAGCGCCTGCGCGACGTGGAAGACCGCGCGAAGGTATTCCACGGACTACAGAAGGAAAAGCAGGAGCAGGTGATGCGGCGCGCGGAGGCGAAGAAGCGCGGAGAGAAGCTATCTACCATGAAAAAAGAGTCAGAGGACAAGAAGAATATAAAGGTGGAGGGGCTGCCGCCGAGTAAGCATGATAGGCTGGAGAGAGCGAAGAAGGACTCGAAAAGTAGGCCGTTGTTTAAGGAAGGGAGACTGGTGTGTAGGACGGAGCCTGAGATTAAGACGCATACGAGTTATCTTGTGTTTGCAATGTTGCCGGTTGAGTGGACGGCTGAAGATGAGGAGAAGGCGAGGAGAAAGTGGGTTTGAGATACCCTCCTACACAGTCTTCTTGCCTTCTGTGCCAAAGTTTGCACGAGCTATCGTGAACATGTTCGCATCATGCACGAGCGAGCATGCACCTAGGCGGGAAACCCGTCACATGACGCTTTGGTATCTAGGTAGCCTGCAATAAAACACGATACCCACATCCCACTCCACTCCATCCCATGCAGCCACCAATAATCCCATCCACTACCCTCATCTTGATAACCGTCCAATTGCCTTGGTAACCTTCCATTTTTCTCGAACGGCGAATGAAACCCTTCATTGGGCACGGGCAGTTGACGCTATCGATAGCACGTGCGCGTGCCGTTCGAGCCACTCGAGTTATTTATACACCTCGGCGCCGATCCTTCGGCAACACCGTCAAGCCAACCCCATTCTCACATCGTGACATCGAAGTGACATTGACCGTGACATTGACCGTGACATTGACAGTGACATTGACAGCTGATGGTGAAACGCATCAAGGTCCACACTTTCATTGTTTGGACTATCGACTATAGATGTGTATTGTAGGGTGTCGTGATTGCTAAATGACTCGCTATCCAACTACTACTTTCGTATTCAACCTCGATATTGTGAATGGTGCCGTACGGTCGGAGCTTCTGAAGTCTGCCTCTGTGCCAATTATGCTCCAATCAAGAAATCCAATTCCATAGGCAATGTAATCAACCTGGTGACGCTGGACGTGCAAAGGGTATCGATCCCGGTCCCTCTCCTTCGCTCTCCTCAGCCCCATACCGCATCCCTAGCCCTCTTGCTCCCGTCTCGCAATGGGGGCGTGGAAATGACATGCGTCCATTGTTCCACCCCATCGATGAACAGCCGATACTTCAGCAAGCTTTGTTCGCTCGTTTCGGGCGCTGTGATCTCTACCGCACCGAACTTGCTGTTCCCATCCGGTAAATACTTGATACAAACGTCCTCGTCATCAACCTCGCTATACGTGCGGAAAGGCAGGTAGAACATAGATAGTGGAGAGGTAGAGAACTCGTGCACCGTCGCGCTTACGGGCCAGTCTGAATCTTTGGGTGGAGGGAAGGAGGTAGCAGCGAACTCGTGGCGGTCACCGCTTAAGATGACGACTCCGACGCCACGCGTAGAGGACAGCTCCCACGCCGCTTCGAGAATCCGGCGCCTCTCGACGAGGTACCCGCCCCAAGTATCCTCGGACCCGAACTGCCAATTCTTTGTGAACGGGACGCCCGTAACGATGATTTTCCAGTGCACACCTCGCGGTGGCGGCGTCGCGATCCAAGACAGCAGATCAGAGAGTTGGGTGCCGCCGAGCATAGTCTTGGCGGGGTCGTTGGGGTCGGAGTTCTCGGGGCTCCGATACGCCCTGGTGTCGACGAGGAAGAAGTCCGCTGGGCCCTGAACGAAGCTGAAATACGTGTGGCCTTGTCTGTGGGCCGGGGGATTGACGGCTGCGTGGTAGTGCGTGAATGCATCGTAGGCGGGCACGGCGACACCAGTCATATTACCATTCCAATCGTTTTGGATCTCATGATCGTCGATGACATGAATCCAAGGAAGATCTTGGCTGACGGAGGGCCAGTCGGGAGACGAGTAGACCTGGCGGTATTCGCGGCGGTAGTACTCTGCGTCTTTGCCTAATTGGAGCGGGACGTCGGCGTAGATGAAGTCTCCCAAGAATAGCATGAAGTAGGGTTTCAGTTCAGGTATCCAACGAGCCAGGTGAGCGAAGCCTGGGAAGTGCAGAGGATGTTGGAATGGAGTATATGGGACACCTACAGATACGATGAGTATACCTTGCGTGTGCGACCTTGATTCTAATTTTAACTTACGCGGTTTTATGCAACTTGAGTGGAGGAAAGTATACTTGTTCTCTCTGAAAGTAGACAGATGCCCTGGACGTGGCGGAGTGGTGAAGGTTCCCGTGGTATTACCACTGGATGCTTGAATGACGTACTCGTAAGGAGTATTCGGACGGAGGTCTACACAATGGTATGCAGTGAGCATGTGGCTTCTGACATTGCCTTTTCTAGGAAGACTCACGGTCAAGTTTGATGGAAGCTGTGAAGTCAGTGTCACCCGTCAGCCAGTACTCAGGCCGGCTTGAATGGAGCGTCTTCTGCATCCATGACCGCTCGTAGTCGTCGATTGACCGGTAAAGTACATTCACGTCATATGCATACGGCTCTCGCACGAGGATATTCGCGTAGTTCTCGGAAACATAGCCAATACGGCCAAAGCTTGCGTGCTGGTGGCCGTGGAATATTTGGGCGCGATAAATGACGTCCAATGTCATGGCCAGTAGAGCCACATTGATGCCGAATGTAGCCCAGCTCCAGAAGATGGATGATGGGCTCGGTCTGCCCGTGAGCAGGGTCCGCAGGATTTTTGGCTGGCGCTCCTCATACTGGATGTCCTCTTCAACGTCCAGCTCTTGCAGGGGACCTTCATCTGCGCCCTCGAGCAGGTCCACGCGTTCTGCAGAATCAGAGTCGCTGGTATCGACTGCCTCTTTTACAATTATGTTCAGCTCGTCGGATATGATTTTGTAAGGAGCAGTATCCTGGAGGCTGATGAAGAACGAGGGTATGTAGACCAGGGCCAACGCGATAGCAAGAGGCGGTACGATCTATCATTCCTATCGTCAGAATACGAGGAGGCTCGGCGGAGTGTAGACTGACAGATGTAGGTATCTATGGTAATCAATAGTCAGTTTCCGCTTAGAGACAAAACATTGGACGGGGGTTGGAGTGGAGTTCAGGCAGGCGGACAGGGAGCCCATCACGAGCTACTCACCCAGCGCAGGAAGATGTATACGCTCAGACGCAGAGCTAGCGAGCTCACGAGCGCGATCACGTCGCTCACCGAGGCCATTGCTGTAGTCACTGCTCTACCATAGCGCTGCTTGCGGTGTGTTCAGCTGGGAGGACGACGCGCTCGCGCCAGAAGCTGTCGCGTTACTTAGTTTCCTAGTGACGTATCGCTGACCTGGAATGGACCTCAGGCGGGTCACCAATCAACGGGCCGCCACCGCCAATTGCAGCTTAGTCGTCCGCCAAGTATAGCACGACGCGGGTCCAAGCGCCCCATCGAGCCACACGAGGACGGCCAATAGCCTAGCCCTTCGAACTAACACCGAATCCTCACCTTCGACAGAACTTCTCGCGGCGGTGCGCAATGACTGACTCTTCTCGTATTCCCTTCCAAGCTCAACGGCGCAACTACCGCTCCAGGTTTACCGAACTCCCGCACTGACTTGCAGGCTTTTTCAATGAACTATGTTTCATCCTATCGTCAGGCACTGGCTTTGCGGCCTACGAGTTGCCAGTATGGCATTCTTTCTTGGAATGGCACCATGGATCATGGTTTGTATAAATGGTTCACGATGGATCCCAAGGCAGTGGAGACACCAGATCGGCAACCGCTTTCACCACCACTAAGACACTGCATAGAACTACAGCCTATACCTTCTTCATTTAGCTATTCATGTTTCAATACTGCTCAGAATTTCTCCTCCCGTCTTTTAGAGTATTCCTACGCCGCAGTCCACCAATACACCATCTCGTTGTGCCACTATTTCTACCTTTCGTTCTTGACCATGGGGATCATGCAGAGTAGCTTCCCTCCGCCGCCCAAGTGCCCCAAATGTGGGCAGCCCAAGGACGCAAACCACACTTGCTCTTCTAGCGGTGGAACTCCAACCAGTGGATCTTGAGCCTCTAGCTAAACGACTGCTGGGTCACCTCTCAGCCGTGAATACCGCCATGATTTGACAACACTGCCGGTCACCGATATGGCTTGACGAGCACGACCTATTGTCTTTCTCTACGCAGGACGCAATGGACCTCTGAGCGTATGAGCGCCGGGGGAAGCTTACACTTTCCGGTCACCAGACTTCGTCACAGAGCTTCCCCCGGCCCCCGCACTGCCAACCACACCCGCACCGCACCCGCCACCAGATACGCGTGTCGAAGGAACGACTAAGGAACCATACAAGGAACTACTCGGCGGGAGGACGCGTGGAAGCCTTGAGATCTAGGCAGCAGTAGCCAGCAGCAGTTCCAACCGCGAATCGCCATCGTAGGAGCCGTTCCTGCAGCGCACGAGATCGCCGAATAAGCTTAAGACTCATACAAGCTTGGTAAACTATACGTTGAATCTAGCTTGTGAAAAGGCGCAAGGCTGACGTACGGCAGATTCTACTCGGGGCCCGACTTCAGTTGATGCCAAGCCGTGGCTATGTGGCTGAGTATGCACACGACAACACTACACAACTGTAGGAATCAACATCTACAACATAGTGCAGTCACAAGTTGATGTTTCCTATCTGGTAAATGGTCAATGGAGGAGGATTAAATGGTACAGTATTTCCTTGGCTAGTTCCCTTTCTTCCTTCTCAATGACACGGTCTTTCTGCAGCTTGATTTCTATTGCCTTTGTTCTCTTATTATAGCTGGACTGACCCCTACATGAAGTCCCTGGTTGGTAAATGGGCGAGCATTGATTGGATGAGGGTTTTCTTGATAATAGTCCTGGTTTTCATAATTGTTGACGCGTACTTTGTGCTGCTTCATCTCAATTAGTATTCTTCTTCCACCCCAGTCATCCATTACGTATTTCTCTATTCCAGCTCTCAATGATTTCAAATTATTCACGCTCGCATCATTGCACCCGCCATCCCTCAAGTCCTTCTCTCACTTTTCAATTTCAGCTATCATTTCTCGTCCATCTCCTTATCTGTCTGAGTTTTATCCTTTCGATCAGAAGGTCTGCTTCTAATCAGTTCCACAGGCATCTTCCTGCATAAAGCACACCAAAGCATTGATACAATTCTATCTTCAATTGCATCTATTAATCCCCTTATACCCTTTCTTTTAGTCTCCACCCAGTAATACATATCCTGCCCGCCACAATCGTCAGACTCCCTATCAGCATCGCACTCCCTGCCCACATCTGCGCTCCCGTATAATCCCCGCCCCGACTCTGGATCAGTGCTCCTGCAATCGGCGGCCCCACCAGACTCGCAAACCCCACCACACTGAGTCCCATCCCATTCCTCGTCCCCACCTTACTCAAATCCTTCGTTAGATTCGCCATCACCGCTGGGAATAGGCCTTGAAAGCCCGCGCTGAAAAAACCGTACAGGATGGTAAATGCGTAAAGCGAGGCTTTCGTTTTGACGGCCGCCCAGCAGTACATGAGCAGGCTTGTGATGAGGGCGAGCGGGATAAGCGTGTTGTACGGTCCAAGCCACCTGTTCGCGATGTACCCGGGTATAAGACGCCCAGGAAGACCCATGCCGTTCAATATGAGCACGAGGTTGATAGACGTGCCGTAGGAGACACCGATGACATGCACCGCATACGCGCTGATGTAGTAGAAGGCGAAGTAAACCCCTAGACAGACGAGGAACAGGCCGATGGCGTAGAGCGTGTACGGCGCCTCGCGGAAGGCACTGAGTTCGAACAACGGGCCGCTCTTGCGGGGAGGGAGCCGCGGGCGTAGGAGGGAGGTGTAGCACGCGCCCACGGCTAACATGATGAAGCCCATTACCCGGACTGTCCACTGGAAGCCAATTTGAGGGAGCAGCTGGCGGACGATGGTGGGGTAGAGGAGGCCGCCGATGGCGGAGCCGCAGGCCATGACCGCGAGTGCGGCGCTACGGTTGCGCGCGAAATAGGTGGTTACGAGGGACATAGTGGGTGCGAATTGGCAGCCGTTGCCAATTCCGTTCATGAGACCTTGCGCGAGGAAGAATTGCCAGTACTCGTGGCAGAGACTGGTGAGGAAGATGCCAAGAGCAGAGAGCAGCATGCCGGGGATCACAACCCAGTGGAAAAAGCCGGCGTCGAGGGCCCGGCCGGTGAACATGCCTTTTGAGGTGAGTCAGTGTTTGGCTCTGTGAAGCGGAACGAGGCAGTGCCATTTGTATGACCAGTCCAGGCTCTGTCTTGCATGTCCCAGATGGAGTGCTTTGTGCATCTTGATACACTACACATCACGGTATGTAGACTGCTGGACTGTCCTTCAGTATAGCAAAACTTACCGAGTCCAAAATGCCCCAACATCTGCATGCTCCCAATCCAACTAACAGCACTTGCCTCCATCCCCAGCTCCGTCGTATAATAACTCTGAAACACACCAAACGTTGCCGTCATACCCCAAGTATTCGTAATAACCAACATGCCCGCAAACACTTGCAACCAGGCCTTGACACCTCCATCAGGCGGTGGGCCCGGATCAATGACTGACGCATTCGAGCGGGCGGTTATCGTTTTCGTGATCTGCTTGAGCGCGTTTGGTTTCGTTGAAGCAACGCGAGAGCGATGCGTAGAGATTCGTTCAATCTCTTCTTCTTCTTCATATTCTTCTTGCGGAGGTTGCGCTGCTGGGTCATGGTTTCTTATCGTTTCGTCGGCGTCGGCGTTCTCGCCGACATTGTGACCGGGAAATTTATTTCCTTCCTCGCTCTTCTCCGCTGCATGTTGCACACCCTTCTCTACGTCCGATATCTCTTTCTCAGAGAACGTCATTGTGAATCAATACCTTGCGTATGCATCTGTAAAACCAATATGCTTGTTTGGACTGGAAACAATGCTCAAAGCGCGTAGAATATTCGGATGTCTAGAAACACAGTTCGCTCGATTCCACCTCCCAACGCGTTGGGCACCCTAGATACTTAACCTTACCCAGACCGACGACCGACGGGAAAATCCCTCTCCACTTTATTGCAGTATGCATCATGACTCTTCCCATCGTCATTGGCCGGGGTGCTGAAAAGCTTTAGGGTTGGGGTTCTCCGTCGGTTGCGCTTGCGGTTAGGCTAGCCGGTTAGGCGAGATCTACAACAACGCCGACGGTGTGAAGGCCGCGGATAAAGATCACGTGGATATTATAAAGCAACGTTTTCCGTGTGGTGTTGATGAGAGATGGCGAAAGAGTCATCTCAAAAGAGTAGGTTTGAGAGTAAGATGTGCGGTATTTGTCGTGCGTGGTGCAGTTGTTTGCGAACCCGGAGGATTTCTAAGCAGGCGATGTCGATCTTGAGGTTCGTTGATCTGGGGATCACAATGCTTGAGTAGTATGGGAGTTTCCGCGGCCGTGGCCTCGGTCCGTACAGCAATAAACACAGTCGCCATGGTTTACTACCTAAGTAAGTACCTATGTTGTTCGTGTCAGTAGGATAGGAAGGACGCACACTGGGTGTCGTCTCATTCTAGTCCATACTATTGTCCTCCCATGATGTTCTCTTCCAGGCGCTTTCAATCACGTGCTGTTAGGCAACGTTAGTCGGAATACCTTTGATGTGACTTGTTGGGTCGTGTTCTGTTGAGCTGAGGGAGGCTAAGAGTAACTTGTAATCATGCAACATCTCTGCGCATGCCCAGTCGTGACATACCTACCATAAGTAATTCATCAAGCTTTCCTGATGTACGGGGGGCGAACGCCCTTAACCAGAGCAACCAATAGAATCCATGCACGTTCATCTCCAGATTATCTCGCGTAGCGCCCCACCACGAAGGGCAAATACGAGCATGGTGGCATGGGGGTAGGTCAGAACATAAAAGCAGATGTCTGTCGGCCGAGCTCATCGAAATGCCAGTTGACTTCATCATTTGCAGTCACAGCACTTGTAGGGCTACTGTTTAAAGTAGCCTAAATCTTTGTTGTCAGCTCTTCTCGCTAATCCTCCTCGCCCAGTATGGAGAGCCGCGGAATACCTGGGCTAACGAGCTCGTTTGCCCTTTGCGACGACTCTGATGGCTTAGAATATCACTCCAAGAACCCGGTGTACCAAGGGCCAGATGAAGCTTCTCTCTCACTCAACCACGAACCCCTACCCAGCGACTGGGTTGCTAGCCTAGGACCGACGCCTCAATTGGGTCCTATGGACGGAATGCACGCACCCTTCGCGTTTGCCCCCGAGGGGATCTTTCGTGATATTTGGGACCTTGACCCTTGTATGTTCAGAGAACAACTTGGGGACCCTATCATGAATGCGTCCACGTGAGTCTACTTGCTCTCAATCGTTTGCTAAGTTGCGCAGATCCACTGACAACGTTCGGATGGGGTCGACGATATACGATAAGCGCAGTACCTACCTAAGTACCCAGGACTTACAAAACCTCCGTTCCCTTGCCTTTTACGCTCTCTTTGTTGTGCTATGCAAAGGTTCTTCCTCCACCTTTCCATGGTTACAATTCACACATTTGGATTTTCAACGAGTCAATATCATATATTCAACCTATTATTCGCCTATCTTCTGTCGAACCCTCGTTTAGACAGGTTAGTACCCTATTTTACCTTCTACCATGACAAAAGCGAGCTATTCAACAACAGGGACTAACCAATAATAGGGTGTATTGATTCGTTGAAAACTCAAGATATGTGAATTAAAACCGAGAAACTTTTGAAAGGCATAAGTTTTCTTTTCTGTATACTCTTCTAGGCATAATGATTGTTTTTTACGTCCTCTCTCTTATGTTTGATTCTTCTTTGCGGGCACGATGTACATTCCCGCTACACTAGAGTTTCCATTTCCGATTCTTTGTCGAGTTTGTTTCAATTGGTCGAAGACCGACCCACTAATTGCCGACTGAAAGAAGGCTGATGAAGCCATCTCACGATTTTATGGGCGATAGACTATCCATGTCTTAGCTCGGACTCGTGAGATGGGGGGAATGCGGACTCATGTTCACCCAATGTTACGGAAGACAGACTGTCAAAGCACAGGGCTTGATTGGGACCACTCACTCCAGCATTCTCACTTCATGCTGCCACGATCAGCCGGTGTTCTAGATGGACATCCATTTACCGACTGTACACTGCATACGTCCGCTATCCGAAACCCCATCCGAGACGCATTAGACTCCACCCTACAAATCTCTGGAACATTGGAAATGCGGCCGATGCTATAATGCCGGCTATACCTATCACTGAACACATTCATGCTGTGAACAGTGTGCCGATGTCACTGGAGGGAAGCACTCGCGGCACCGGGGGGCCTGCCGAGCTCAGCACAGCTCTTGAACAAAACTACATGGTCGGCCCGGTGTATGGCGCGAGTAAAGTGTGTGGAAGAAGGCATCACGGATTAACAAGGGGCGTAGATTTAGGCGCAAGTGAAGCATTTGGTTGCGCATCTCCGAACAATCTCCTTCGGGGCTTACACATCGAACCAGATGCTATATCGCATCAAAGCGCACGATCGAACTACCAACGTACGCCGAGTATCAACGAAGACATCGGAGAGATCCATTACCGAACCGAAACAAGGACCATATATGTGTGTACCTATCTCGACTGCAACAAAACATTCGGACGCATCTACGACCTTCGTCGCCATTATCGGGGCAGCCTTCGGCGGGGTAATTATCCTGCTGATACCTGGTTCACTTGTCGAATGCCCGGTTGTCGACGAAATGTGGAGGGTTTTCCAAGGAAGGACAAGCGGGATGACCATGAGAGAAGAGCGCACAGAGGGATCCGTATCTGAGCGTTCTGGATTCATCGAATAGCGATCCTTGACCGTGATCGTCGTGGGCAGGTTGCTTTGAGGGTGCACCTTTTCATTCAGTGAGGTAACATGAGGGACATTTCGGAAAAAACACGACTTCATCAGCTACTTATTTTTGAAGCCTGCGACATGGGGGGCACACTGGTGGAGACTGGCGTGTTTGACGAAGTGAGGTATGAACAACACATGTCAGGAGTTACAGAGAGGTTGGATATCATTATCTTAGATTTGCTTTGGAGCGTATTTCGTCCTCTCATTCGTTTCGTAAGAAATTATTCGGTGGCTTCTACTAAGGTTCCGTTTCCTTTGCACGGACGACTTCATGATAAGCCGGCGGCACTTCGCTAGCACTGCTGTCTGGCCTGCGCACCACGGCCGGCACCTGCTGTAGCGGAACACTTCGTGGTGCAGGATCTCTATGCTCCGGTGCGACTGGCGTTACAGCGGCCGAGGGTCTGTAAGGGTTCTTGTAGTTCTTCCTCCTTGTCCACAGCCAAATGATCAATCCCATAAGTACTGATGCCGCAGCCAGAACGCCGACCACAACGCCGACAATCAAATTAGTATTACTCCGACTATCGCCTTGCGTCAGTGATCCTAGAGATGGCTCGGGAGGAGGAGATGGCGACACCTGGGGCGATGGACGCGATACAGTAACGCCGGTCGGATTAGTCGTGTTAAAAACTTTGGGCTGGACGGCTTGCTGCTCGAGCACAGGAAATGGTACCGAGTAATCGTCAAAGACGGACGGGTTCTCCGAATTTGGGAGGGCGAGGATGCAGAGACCGCATGCCTCCTTTGGGAGGCTGGAGTATTGGCCAAGCTCCGGTAGCACCAGATACAGGCTGGTAAAGGGACCGTTCTTCTTAGTGTAATATTGGATATTGTTGGCCTCAGTGTCTGTTTGATGTTAGATTCGAAGCGACATTCGGGCGCGGGCCCTGCGCCAGCGTGCGTACGAACAATTAGAGCACGCATTCTCAATGCTGCCGAGGTTGGCTCCTCTCACGTCGCGCCCTCTCCTGCACAGAATGCAATTCAATCCATAGGATCTGATATCTGTATCCGTAAATGCACCATCGATACTGTCTCCCACGCTGACAACAGCGTCCTTCTCACCCCAGCCTTCGTCTTGAAATCCAGAGCCTACACGTTCTTGCAACGTAAGGTTATGTACAGCAGCGAGTAGTAGCAAGTATACTCCCTTATCTTCAGTGCTGTTGTCGGATAGCTCGTGCTCGGCATTGAAGGCGTTCACAAAGGTCGTATTGAGCGCTGGCGGAAACAACCACGATGTGTTCGGTGTCATCCTGTTCCGGATCGCTTCCGGCTCATCCGTTATATCGTACGAGTTGACAGCGACTGTAGTGGTCGCAGTAGCATCGTAAGTTAGCTGGACATGTCGCAGGCGACGAGCGATGCTTTCGCGCGCGTGAGCGCGGTGAACGTATCTTAGCTAGTGAGGGGAAGCGAAGAACTTGTAGGATGCACATCGTATCCGTATTAATGAGATGATCGAGAACCATGGGGATTTGTATCCCGGTCTCGCTTATCATCCAGCTGCTATTTTGGGCCAGTATAACGTCGAGAGAAAAGGGAACTTGCCTAAAGTTGGGCTAGCGGGAAATGGTGGGGGCGGCTTGAAAAAACAAACTTTGCCTGGCAGCGAAGAGACTAAGAAATCAATAATGGCATTGGACCAGATGCCTCGGCACGGCTTCGCGTTTGCCGGAGGGGATGCAGTGCTGGAGAGGTGGAAGAACGTTCACATTTGAGATGCTGCGGTGATGCCTGCACGCGGTCTGAACCTTACGCCAAGAAGACATATGATTCCTTATCGCGAGCCGTTTCTTGGTCTGCCGTGCCGTTCGGCATTGCTTGGAATGTTTGCTTGGAATGTTTGCTTGGAATGTGCAAGTTATGCCTTGTTGATGTGATAGGTCCGGAAGTGACAACCTCACCGCAGTGAGGGTGTTGTGAGGGTGTGTAAGGTGTATAGAGGCTTCAAATACAGAGGCCAGTCATTGTTGCTTGTGATGCGCAGGCCATTCACCAGTCTTGCGTCAGACAATTGATTCGAAGGGGGACGAAGTTTACTCCGGTCCGCGCTGGAAGAACAGGTGCACTGGAAGGCTTCATAACGTCTGGCGGGTGATTGTACGGCTTAGCATAATTTTTTTCATTCAGAAGCACTTGCATTGATCGTGAAGACGAAAATTGTATTGTGTACGAACACGAGTGGTCTTCCCGAGGTCCATTCGGAGACATTGGATGAACCCTGCGCACGTGCCATCACGCTAAGATCGATCGCGTACCATGCGCTTGCGGGATCAACAAACAAACACCACCAATTCTTATTGCGCAACTACCCACCAAGTTTCCTTAGGCACTTGCGGCCTTGCAAATGCAGCATGGCGCGTACACATTCTTCCTACACAGCGAGTCCTACGCGATGGCGGTCTCCACAACGCAGCCCGCGACGCGACACCTCGGAAGGCGGATCGCAGTATGAGATGGACCTGGACGCACTGGGCCTCAATTCAACGTTCGAGTCGACTGAACTAGACGACAAACACCAGCCGAAAGTGGATGTGGTCGAAACCAGTGATATCGAAGGCCCGGAGGATTTCACAATGAATATGACTTATTGGATGACAGCCGACCTTCCGCTGGCGCAACAGATACGATCGCGAAAAGAGGCACATGCGAACATCGCGGAGAGACACGATCAGGCGCAGGCAGAAGGCGACAATGTGAGGGAGGAAATTCCACGAGGCAGCGAATCTGAGGCAGAACCGCACCCTGCGTCAACCACAACGCGCGTTAATGGCACCACCAAAAGCCGCTCTAGCAGCAAAGCACCATCCGAAGCGTCCATGGAGAATGAGGAGAAGGTCAGAAGCTACCTCAGTGCACTGCCGGATTCAGATCTTGGAGGCAATGTACTCACGTCAACCCCTCTCCGGATCCCTAGGCAGAGCATGCTCCAAGTTCCAAGCCCTTCGCCCGCAAGGGCGCGGTCGTTGCAACCTACCGTTGAAGATTATGACACTCCGCGAAAACCGACTCAAGAAACGGTCATCCACCGCCCTCCCGAACGCATCGCCGAACTCGAACAAGAGTCGTTACAACAACAAGTCGCAGATTTGCAATCGCGCCTGCAAGCACAAGAAGATGCCTCCAGGAAACGGATAACGGAGCTTGAGACGTTGCTATCGTATACGCGTTCCGATCTAGATACCGCACGATCAGGGACCTACAAGCAGAAAGAGCAGATCGAGAGATTGCAGGAAGACAACAGTCGGTTTCAACAGGAAGCCGAAGAGTCTCGTGCGTCTGTCGATGGCCAGCTAAAGGCGCAGGAAGAGGGGTTCAATAAGAAGTTGAAGGAGTTTGGCGAAGAGCTGCGGTTGCAACATCATGCCAGACTCCAGAGCCAACGACAGGAATTTGAACGACAACTGCGGTCGTTGGAAGAGGCGAAGCGCACAGTGGACACAGACGTGGCCTCCAGTGGAGAAGTCATGGCGCTTGTGAAGCATGAGTTGAGCCAGCTGCGAGACTCGCATGAACGGGAACTGCGTGAGCTGCAAGATTCACACGAACAAGAGCTGCAAGACTTGAAAAAGGCTGATCAGTCGGTTGAACAAGGCGATACATTGATTCAAGCTACAGAGGTAGTCGACTTGCAGCAAAAGTTCGCTGCTTTGCAAAAGCGCGCAAGCGCACTGCAGGCCGATCTTGAAAGAGCCGCAGCAGACACTCAATCGGCTCGCGAAGAAGCACTTGCGAGCCGTGCACTCCACGCATCCTCGGAAGGAGCCATTCAATCTCAGAAGATGCGCGCGTCGGAGCTTCAGTCTCGCGTCGATCACTTGGAGTCGGAGATGGCCTCTGCTCAAGAGAAACTCGCGTACAAGGATCAGCAGCTTGAAGACAAGCAAAGATTGGAGTCCCAACTTCAGTCCTTACGCCAAGAGCTTGATGACGCCCAAAGCAGACAGTTAGCAAATGAGACGGATTCCCTAGATGCTCATCTGGAGTCGCGGCTTCTGTCCGTGCGTAGCCAGCTCGAGTCTGCTCGCAATGATGTCAGAGCGAAGAATCAGGAAGTCTTGAAGCAATTCGAGGAATATGAGCGGCTTGAACACCGACTGAACACGGCCCAGGGGCGCATAGAAAGCCTCGAAACAACGGTCTCCTCACTACGACAGCAGCTTGCCGAAGCACATCGAGAAACTGCTAAGACTCGCACTGATGCTGAACAATTAGAGGGCTTGCTAGAAGACGCGAATGAGCGTCTCCAGGATGCACGCGCCGAAGCCAATCGGCGTGTTGCCGATGTAGAGAAGAGACTGGTCAAGTTCAGGGACACGAAAGTGGAATTGGAGAGCAGTCTGGAGCAGTTGCAAAAAGAGCATGACGACCTGAAAGACGACATGGAGATGCAGGTGGAAGCCGTACGCGATAAAGCCGAAGATGCTGTCCGTAAGGCCGGCGCTCTACTCGAACAAGAACGCACAGAGAAAAGGAGAGCTACAAAGGAACTCAAGAAGACGACCCAGCAGCTCGAGCAGCTCCGTGCCGCAGCCGCGCGCAAGTCTGAAGAAGACGACGCTTCAGACGAGGAAAGCTCGATGCTACCCTCTATGCATAACGATCCTAAGGACGCCGAGATGGAGAGTCTACGCCTCCTCGTCCGCAAGCAAGCTTCCACCCTCAAGACCCTCAAATCAGAAATCTCGTCCCTCCGCAAAGAAACAACACGCCTCAAGACGCTGCAAACGGACTCTCAAACTGAGACTATCACCGACCTCCAATGTCAGATCGAGACTCTCCGTCGCGAAAACGAAGTACTGAAGACGGATGCAGAGACCCGTGAGCAAGACTTCATAGCTATTAACAAAGCCATGGACGATCGACTCGCGGCTATGCTCAGCAAGGCTATGAAAGAGCGTGCAAAGACGGTAGTCAGCAAGCGCGACGGACAGTGGGCGGAGAAGATGCAGGGCGAGAGGGACTTCATGGGCAAGGTGTTGATGCGGGAGTGGGGCAGGCAGGAAGTTGGGATTGCAAAGGAGGGCGAGAAGCAGGGGTACCGGTACAAGTTTGTTCAGAGATCCTGAGCGGTGTTCATATTTGGTTTGCATATGCGTGGCGTTACTTGATTTTGGCGCTGGTACGGCTGGGTATGGAACTCCTAAGCTGCAGGCGCAGCTGGCTCTTGTGCGATCTGACGATATGACCTCACGAAATTCCATCTGCTGCGGACTGTGTCCGCCCCCTCCACTGTGTATCAATCATGATCATGACCCCATTCTCTTCATTCTTCTAGTCACATGCTATCCCCGCTCATGTTCATCCACCCGATCACCACTAACGCCATGCCATATCATCTATCCTTTCCTTGACACTCAAAGCAGCCCCTTCCTTGCCAGCTCAATCTTCTTCAGCGTCTCCCCCTCCTTGTACCCGCCCTTACTCGCACACATCGCAATACCCTCTCCCAACTCGACTTTATCCTCGGTGCTGGGCCACGCGCATGGACAATGGTGCGGGAAGTGTACGCAGGAGAGCGTGCCGGGGCAGAGGTACTTGTCGCAGTGTGCTGGAATCCGCATTAGCCATGATTTCCACGAGCAAAGACGAGAGGGAAGGAGGAGTGGAATGGTGGATAACATGACAATGGAGGGTTAAGATAATGAAGAGGAGTGGGGGAGAAGGGGGAGACATACCGTTCTCATACTGCGCCTGGTACCAGCTCGAGTCGCTGCGAACATTCTGCTGCTGCTGCTGTTGCTGCTGCTGCTGGCCGCCGAACATCTGGTCGAAGAAACCAAATTGCGCGGTTGCATTTCCGATGAACATGGCCACGAAGACCAGAACGAGGGCTCGGAGCTCCATGGCGAAGAATTTGCGCGAGGCGGGCGCGAGGTGCGAACACTTGCGGGACTCGAGATGATGCTGTCGTGGAGCTTAGCCCGTCACGTGCTGATAGCTTCCCGTGGACCGTGCCAAGATTTCGCGGTCGTGCAGCTAATTTTTTGCCGGTTCGCCAAAAGGGCAGAAGTTGACTTCGAAGCTTGCACGCAGAAGACGCACCCTACACCTCACGACTACGCCCGTCTCAAATCCGCCAAGTAAGTGCGCTGCGCACTCGTCGCTGAACTGCCCAAGAAAGAAAGAAGAGGGGAACGGGGAGGCACGACGTGTAGACTGGAGAGCAGTCGCTAACCATCGCGATTGCAGGATGCATCTTATGTACACTCTCGACGCCCAGGGCAAGCGCGTCTACACGCTGAAGAAGGTCGCCGAGGGCCGCATTACGAGCTCTGCTCATCCGGCGAGGTTCTCCCCCGATGATACGTACTCGAGGTACGCATACCTGCCCGACGCACGCGCGATCGCGAAGCTTGGACAATCTTGAAGAAAGATCAATGCTAATGCGACACAGGCACCGCGTGACTATCAAGAAGAGGTACAACCTGCTGCCGTTCCAGGCCGGTGGCGCTGCGAGTACGTTGTCACAAAAAGAAGTGTGTTGAAGAAGGGAGGCTAACAGTGCGCAGGCAAGAAGATCGCCGAGAAGTACTAGGATGCGCAATTCGATTTGATTCGGTTCATTGTTGAACTAGCGGTCCGATATTTCATAGGGATACCACGATGGGCGTTTACGGAGTCTAAAAGGAGGCATTGTGTGGATTGATCGCAAATGGCATGTTTTTGAGGCTACGAGCTGGAGAAGTGTGGCTACAGGCAGAGAAGAATATCGATGCGCTTGCAATGAAGGCACCATGCAATTTATCTTATATCTCAAGAGTGACTGGCTTGTGAGGTTTCCGCACGGTTTACACACGGTTGAAGAGGTCTGCATTATTGTATATGTGTTGCCAAGATGGGGAAAGCGCTGTGCTAAAGGCGGTGCTGAAGCGTGGACGACGTTTAACCTTTCAAGCATAGAGTTTGGCGGGCCGTGGTCAATCCTTTACCGCACACTAAACGAAACCAAGTCTAGCGGGATGAACGTGTATCGAGACGTGGTACGAAGACGGAGGACATTCCCGTTGTAGCTGCTGAGTCGGCTCGTAGCCGTTTGAAGAGTAACTAGCCAGGTCATACCAATGTGGGTGAGTGGTTCTGGGGTGGATTCACTCCGCCGAGATATCCGTGGACATGTTATGCACTAGCCGCCGGTCCGACGTTGGTCCCTCGAAGGACGTATACGTGCTGTGCTGTGAGACGCTGTCAGTGGTCGTTACTATGGTTCTAAAGCAGCACAGGCCCGAGTGTTGCTCTCCTCGACCAGTCTCGAGAATTACCGTGACAGCACGATATCACGAATGGACAGCAATTATGCTCTCTATCCGCCGCTGCCGTGAAACCATCGTTGTGATCGGTCTCGCGAGATGCCCTTGGTGTTGCAGTGAAGGACCAGAAGACAGGCTTGCAGATTGGATGAAAGTCGTAGGGGCCTCATGCTCGCCAACTTTGATCCATCCGGCTCTACTTCCGAGCCACACAGGAACAGTGGACACGCTGATGAGCTGGCGAGGCCAAGGGTTCCAGCGTGATGGTGATAGATGGCCCACCCACCCTGCTGCAATGCTGCAATGTTCTGCGTGCATGGTGCAAGCTTAATTGATTGCTCTGCATCGGGGTCCATAGTGCGTGGGGGTGCGTCATGCTTGGGCTCGTAAAGGGTGGCATGTCACCATCGTCATGGTACCATGAGAGTGCTCGGAGGCATCGCATCGGCGCAGGACGGAGAATAGCGATGGCATTGGTAAGCTCGTCACCGTGCTGCGTGACGATCTGGGGAAGCTTCGGCACGTCATCCCTCGTGAGCCAGTGAGGATGATGGTCGTGGGAGCACCGTGGGACACGGGACGGCGCGTGGGTGGTTATGCGGGGTAAGCCAGCCGTGGCCGTCGTCACAGGCGGAGGATCCCGACCACCCCGTCCCATCACCGTCGACGTTGCGTCTCGGAGGGGCTTTCTTGCGAGCTTCGTCGTGCTCCATTCCTGCGCCGCGTCAGTGCGTCGTGGAGAGGGTAGGCGTTGGCGCTGGGCACACGGCGGTTAGTTGCGCAATGAGGCGGGAAGGAAGACGGAGCGACAGGCCCCAAAGGACCCATGGCCTGCAACTTCAACCTCTTCTTGGGGACATGTAATGCACGGGCGACTGTTCTCTTGGGTGCGGCGGCAGTGTCGGTTGTCCATAGTCGTCTGCACGGGCAGGTGATCAGACGGTGAATACAGCGGGACAGAGATCCGATATCAGCCCTATGAACATCCGAGGTATCGAGGACAAGGGCACGCCAGTAGATGGGGACACATGTCGAAACCTGCTTGCCTCTCGTCAGGTACCTTCAGGCACATGCCCATCGCCGCGGGAATGAGGTCACCGTCGAGGTACGAAGGCAGGCGTGACTGGGAACGCACGGGCGCTTCTGCAGAGTGCAGCTGCATCGCTTTGTGAAGGATGCGTGGCCCATGAACAAAGACCCTCGGCCGCGGCATCGTGTATCCTGGCCAGCTTGCAGGGCCCCTCTCTCTATGCCTTCTCCACTCCTCGGGGCCGTATTGTCGCCCGTATCGTCTGGCGTTCCAGCAAGACGGCACGCTGTTGAGGAAAATTTTCGGCGACGCGGCTATCTTCCTTGAGTCAACCATTCCCAGGGCCTATCTTCAGCTTTTACTGCTAGCTCCACCTTAGCACGATCAAGTGTTGATAAACCGCTAAGAGCCCGTACGTCAGCTCTTCCTTCGTTCTGCATGCCCGCACTCTGGCTGTGGACTAGTCTTCCGTATACCTCTATAGTGGTCAGCATCCGCTGCACGCGCAGCTAGCCTTCACCCGCACCTTTCCTCGACAATATATTCTTCACCCCACGCCTCGGACGGCGCAGGAAACCCATCAGGGTCCGTTGCGGCTACGTACGCGAACAACTACCCTAGCCCGCTGGCTAATTGCGGCATCCCGACCTGCATCTGCAACCTATCCCGGAAGCACGTCGCTAACAATCTGGGCCAGTCCCAGGTCTCTACGGCGGCTCCTGCGGCCAAACCTTCGTGGACCTATCGTCGTGACACTCTGCTCCACGTCCTAGATTGCCGCTACACTGGTACCATTAAAAGCCAACTGTAACGGCGCCCGCTCATTTCACTTCTGACGTTACACCTTCTCCCGGAAAAGAGCCTTAAACCTTCCAGTAGCTGGGAATGAACTTCAAAAAGAGTACTTACCGCTGGCCTGTTGGACAAGGTCCGTAAAAAAGCAACACCAATTCACGCCACGCTAACTTTCACAGAGCACATCAACCGCTAAGCATCGTACCTGTGCTCCATTTCCCCGCATTCTGAGCTTTACCGCCATCTTACCTATCACGACCTTGACCTGAGGCATATTGCTTCTTCGGGCCTGCAAGTCAGCTACGCTTGCTTATTCCCACGTTCCACCAGCCTTCTCGAGTCTCGTCAGCCCTGCCAGACTCGGATCTGTTGCATTGCAGCAGCGCACCTGCAGGAACTGTTGCCCACGAGCACGAGACCGCTCGTCATCGGGCCCGCTATTCTTATCTTCCCGTGTTGCACGTAATGGAGTCGTCTCTGACTCTGCTGAGTGCGCACATACAATTTCTGGTATGTTCCCTTCCGTCACTCGTCATGTGGCCAATGATGCATTACGCATTGGCATTTTCGTGTCATCTACTTGGCTTGATTGTGGTTGGTCGTCCTGCGCGCGGCGTTCCGTGAGGCCCTTTTTGTATCCGTCGTCCGGCACGAACATCTCTGCCTAGTCAAGACTTACTAACATCATGCTCACTTTCAAGGATACCCAGCTGGCACTCATACACATCCCATTGCATCTTTACTCGACCTTTCTCCAAAGTATTCTTCGGGTCCTACTTCCCAATGAGTCCTCCGACGGTCAATCAAATTTCAATGGCAATGGCGCTGTGCAGCCTCCTCCAGCCTGGCCTTACGAACATCCCTTCGTGAATATCTCCATAACACCAATTGAGTGTTCGGTGGTCTGTTCTAGAAAACTTGCAAACGAACTCTTCCTCCCCGCACTCGATCGGCTCGATGCGAAATCAAGAGATCAGGTTTCGATCACCTCCGAAGACTATGTGGTCATGCAAGTCGACGGCGAGGGTCTCGATGCAGGCCAACGTGTCCTCGAGCTGACAAGTCCGCTTGCTTTGGCTGGAATGTAAGTCTACAGAGCTTGCTTCTTAGTTATCATAACTGACTGTAGCAAGCTCTATCTTCTTCATCACGACCTACTTCTCCGATTACATACTGGTACCAATACGCTACCGAACTCCGGTCGTACAAGCGCTAGAGGAACGAGGTTTTATATTTGAAGACCAAACGTCCTCCTACGTCAACCCCAGTCACCCCAGTCACCACAGCCGCAAACATTCCTCGCCTGAGTCCTTCGAAGTCCGACCGCCAGGCACTCCACCACCAGCGACGGTATCGGAGTTGCAGACACGGACATTTTCTACTCTCAAGCGCCGCAACATCATCCCGACCGTGGACTCAAGTTTACGTCTGGTGCATTGCGCCGGCCGCAGAGATAGTGCAAACGGCATGAACGAAGGTCGCAATCGCAGCAGTATGACCAACGCAGCAGATGACGCACTCCACCTCGGTCTCATCAAGTGCCTTATATCACCGCCCTATCCCAAATTCCTCTCTCTGACACTCACCGACACCGAGCCCGCCTCGCTCCTCCTCGATCACTCGCTTTCACAGAACTTCGCCCCAGATATCTTGTTGGGCTCCAAGGATGACTTCTTGATTCCCATAACGCTCGACCTCCGCGATCTTCCAATGGAGAGCACTGGCATTATCTGCGGAGTCGCTGGGCGTCTCGTTGGAGGCACGACGGCCCAGCTGCGAAGTCCGGTTGAGATGAGCTATCTGAGTACTGCACGTGCGGGTACCGTCATGGTCGCTGAAGACGAGCTGGAGCGCGCATTGGGCGCTCTGCGCGGCGCGGAGAACGGGCTGTCTACGCCTGACTAGCCGTATTTTGCGTGGGAGTGGAATACGATCGGTCTCTCTTGCCTTAGCAAGTCATCTGCTCCCGTTGTTCGCTTACGGAAGGATGGCTTCACACCGATCAGCCATGGCCGTTGGATCAGAGTGGGGTGCATGAGGCGACTGATTCCTCGTTCCATCGACGATGTGATATCGCGTACATGCGGCTTTTCATCTGCAGAAGTCCACGCTTACGCGGCATGTTGTTGTCATGTTCAGCGCTATGCATCAGCCGCGAGCCTGGAACTCCACGACGTCGAAAATCGCTCGTCCCGATATCCCGATATCCCGCACATGCAAAAATAAACTCAAAAGTCCATGTCTTTTTCCTTACGCCTCATTATGTACGACACGATTTCATGCATGCGCAAACTTTCCTGTTCGGCTTTCAGTTACCGCTCTTGGATAGTCGCCGATGCGACTAGTGGCTTCTTCCGCGGTCGACGAACGGTTCGCCGCTATCTTGAAGTAATTCCCTGTGTCACGCCTATGTGTGTCAAAATTATTTTCGGTTACAGCATATTTGTGCGCAATTTTGGCCATGTGCGCTATCTTTCGATCTCTTCTCTTGTACAATAGCGAGGCATTGAAAGGTTGCATTGCGCATCACATCAGCTGTTGAATTATTGAGTAGTTTCATGTAGCTGCATTTGCAAAGATCTTCAAATCGAATTCGGTCGTTTACTAAGTCTGTCTTTTGTAGCATGGCTGCCTTCGGTGGCACCAAGACGTCTCTGCGTAATATTTTATGGCAAAGTCCGAAATCACTGTGGTTGATACCATCGCAGGAAACGGAACAGTGTTGCATGTCTTGATATACACCACATCCTACCACCCACTACCTACTAATCCCTCCGCCCCCTTTCTAAACCTCCTCGCCATCTCCCTCGCCCATATGCACCCAGTACGCCCACCAAAGCAGCTCCACAATGAGCGGCAAATTCACCACCCAATACATCTAGAACAACCTTCTGCCTGGTAGGAACATAACGCTCATGCTTAGCAGACTGGCTGTTTGTGAATCTCAACATCATATGTATTGTTGTTGTCGGTGAACTTGAGGACCCTGGCGCGTGATGAGTATCCAACAGGGTGTTGAGAGGCTTGAGACTGGGATGCTGCTGACACGCGTTCTGTATGTTCTGCAGGTAGAAGGTGTCGGCTCCTTGCCAGTCGGCAAGAGGGGCCATGCTGTTCCCGTCTCTGGTGGTAGTGACTGCGATGACGCACTAGAGCCTAGATGTCATAGCTAATGCGGAGCGAAGGATTAGACTCTCAAACAACCAATGCGTGGGAACAACCACACGTCATATATAGCGGCATCCCCGTTTAACTACGAAGAGGTTACAAAGTGTGCACCTTGGGGCGAGTGCTGTTTGTGAGGCTTCCCGCTCACAATCTTCGAGACGGTGGAGGGCCCGTACCGTTAAATCCACACCCGGGATGACCCTCACATGTACTCAGGGTATGGATGTACCGGATCTTACCTCCCTCAACCCTGAACGCGTGGCTATCCGGCGACGGATTAGGATCATCGCGATCTAGCCCTGGGAACCCGAGATAGATCACCACTACACCATTCACCTGATCAACCACATACCTCCTATCGACCACATTGATCGTACTCGGAAGCCCCAAATCACACGTATTCGCCGTAAGATTCCTTGTTCCAGTGTACGCGCCGCCCTCCAGCCTAGCACAGGGCGTCCCCCAAGGCACGCTTACATTCTCATTCGCAAAACGGTTGAAGTACGCATCACCAGCCGCCTGTATGACCTCGCGCTTGTCCCTCTTGTCCTGTGGGATCTCGCTCCAGTCTTCTTGGTCGTCCCAGTACTGGAAGCTGTTAGCGAGCTAGCTATTACTGAGCGACAACCGCGGAGGCAGACCTTATACCCCGTCGCATTGAAAGCCCAATCTCCCTGGTCTGTGACCAGCGTTTCAATCTTCGTCAAATACAGGCCGTCTGCTTCGAACCTTGTTCCGATGACGTACGGGTGTGTAGGGTCCATGACGAGGTATTGCGTGAAAGCGGTGCAGAGGACGTCGTCGTAGAAACTACGGTGACTGGTGATATTGAGCGGTTTGCTTAGGATGCCGTTGTTGATTGACGTTGGCTTGAATTGCTCGGTGTAGGTGAGGTTCGGGGCGACGGAGGGGATCTGCCATGGTTCGCCGAGGGATTGGGCGGCTAGGTAGGCGGCGGTCATGTCGTTGAGGAAGGTGCGGTCGCATGGTGTCCCGGATGCGCGTGTGGTGGCTGCGAAAGCCAGAGCGAGAAGGGTTGGTAGCATTGTTTGAAGTGCTTATATGCGCAGTGAAAAGTGTTTTCGTGCTATTCTCATCAAGAACCTGTTGTTCGCATCGACATTGATATCAGATGCCGCCACCTAGAGAATGATGTGGGGAGATGTCCTTGTTATTACCAGCTGTGCAGGCCATGATTCAAGGGACGGCAACTTGTGCATTCACGGACGTGCCTTTCTCCACAGCGGTCAAAGTTACATCCCGAACATGATATGCATAGATGAAACTAGACCTATAATATCGTTCATTGGTCGATATTTGCTGCTCCCCACACGCGGCTATGGCGAGTAATATGTGTGGTCTTTATCCGAAGCACATTGCTCGACGGTTCATCCGTTCAACTCCACAATACCAGGCGTGAATCATACACCCAAGGTCAATAGATCTCGAAATCCACCTCCTTGAGCTTTGGGGTCTAGCATGTCGAATGCTTTGCCGTATGTCTAGCGCTGAAGGTATGTTGGGCCATTGAACGCATAGTGATTGTCGGCTTCACGCAGAATTAATCTGAAGAGAACACAAACTGCGCTGCCTTTTGAAGAGTAAGTCTTGCCAGGCCATTCTATCTATCCTTGGTAGGATACACGCGTTGGCACACCGATGTCATGCGAAGGAACACTGTTGAACGTATGACCGAGCTCTTCCGTGTTGTGGTAGTCTCCATGACACTTCAGAGTTTGGTGACCGCGACCACCATGCCTTATTTAACGATATAGTAGGGCGAGCTTCAATGTCGGTATCGATCCGCATGTAGTGCGCCAGAGAAAGGACAGGGACGAAACTGGTAGGCGAAGGGTCGTCACTCACATCATCAACGGAGCCAAGAAACGCAGAAGTTGCACAGTCACTTTGGGTTTAGCGTCAGTTTTGCACATAGTTCCGGAGTTTACAATTGTACCTTTCATGCCTATTCCGGTTGATACTTGCATCTTGCTTGGCTTCGATTGGCTCTCGAATACCCTTTTTTGGTCCGAAGACGCCATGACGGATGTGGTGTTCCGTTGCTCCCTATTCCTCACGCTCGATGTTCGGCGTTAACGACGTAGCACAAAGGCCCCCAACCGAAAAGTATGTATAAAACATGGTTGTCTATTACGATACCGCAGCACCACGAACATCTTGAGTTCAATCTAAAGCCATGGCGTCTATAGCGAAGACTATAGTTCTCATCACCGGTGGTACGGACCCCTTCCATATCACCCCTACCTGCACTTACTGACCAAAACCTAGCGAACAGCGGCATCGGCTTCGAGCTCGCCGCCCAACTCCTCCAGAAGGGCACATATCACGTACTCGTTGGCTCTCGTTCTACTCAAAAAGGCACAGCCGCTCTCAAAGACCTCCAGTCGCGCGACTACCCCGGTACTGCGGAGTTGCTGCCCCTTGACGTGACTGACGACAGCACCATCAGCGAAGCAGCTTCCACGGTGGAGAAAACGCATGGGAAGCTCGATATTCTCGTCAATAATGCCGCTGTTGCGTTGCCCCCTGGTACAGATCGCGAGCAGCTCCGCCTTGCTTTTGATACCAACGCCACCGGGCCCTGGGTCCTGACCAAGACACTCTTGCCGCTATTGCAAAAGTCATCCGGCGCGCGCATCATCAACATCTCCTCCGGCATTGGAAGTATCGGACGAAAGCTCGATACCACCAGCCCGTTCCATAAGATGTCGGGAGTGCAGTACCGTGCCAGCAAGACGGCTCTGAACATGATCTCTGCGTGTCAGTATGTTGAATATGGCGACTTGGGCATCAAGGTGTCCCTATACGACCCCGGTTTTACTGTGAGCAACCTGAGTGAAAATAATAGGGCGGAAAAGGGCGCGAGGAGTGCGGAGAAGACGGTGGAGAGCCTGATGGAGGTGGTTGAGGGAAAACGAGACGCAGAGGCGCCAGCTTTCCTACACAACACTGGAAGTTACCCGTGGTGAGGAGGCGTTGATAAAGAAATGTACAAATGAATAAAGAAGAGGGTGTTCAATGAGTAAGCGGATATCATAATAGGTCGTCGGCACAGCGTCCCTGTCCTTTTGCTAGAGCCGATCCATGGATGACGCGCCATCACGTGGAAAGTGGATCCGAGGCTGTCGAGATGATCCCTGACCTAGCCCCGCGCTCCTATACTTATAATGCCGACAATTTTGCCCACTGTTGCGCTCATAATTAGAAAAAGAGATTGACTCCGTGAGCACGTGTTACTGCACAAGGTAATCTTCAATGTGATGCGGTCCGCGAACGCAACGGATCGCCGTGCAGCCGCAGCATCTCGTCACAGCCACCAAGGGTACACTGCGGAACACAAACGACGGCGCTTCGAGACAAGGATACAGAGCGCGACATACAGCTTTTAGAGCATATACGAAAGGGAACCTTGACTTTGAAGATTGTCGCCTCAGTGCCGGTGCCGGCGCACGCTTCCATCGCCAACCCTTTCGCCTCTGCTACTCGGGTGACACTACTCCGGTTGCCGACCTATAAAACCCGTAGAGACATCTCCTAGCGAAGTGTTATGTTCCGGTGAGCTTTCTTTTTCTGATGACTGAGCAAGTTTCCTCGCTACCGACGATTCGATGGGGCATTATAGGTACCATTCCTGCTTTGCAGCTCCCTGCACTACCCGCGATAGGCACTTACTACAACAGGAGCTGGAGCAATTTCCGCCGCATTCATAAAAGACATTACTCTGCAGCGAGATGATGCGCGTGCGACACATATCATCAGTGCAGTCGGCACGTCCAGCTTAGAGAAAGGCAAAGCATTTGTTCGAGACAACATACCCTCAGTGCCAACACCGCACATTTATGCTTCATACAATGAGGTGTACCAAGATGCTTCAGTGGAAGCCGTATACATCGGCACGCCACATTCATTACACAAGAAAAATTGCCTCGATGCGATCGCAGCAGGAAAGCACATCCTCTGCGAAAAAGCGTTCACAATCAATGCTCGCGAAGCCGAAGAGGTGCTCGCTGCAGCATCTGCGAAGGGTGTGTACGTCCTGGAAGCGATGTGGACGCGCTTCCACCCACTCGTTCAAGACCTTCGCAAAGCTCTCTTCACAGATAAGCTCATCGGCGACGTACGTCGCACCTTTTGCGACTTCGGCCAAGATCACAAGCTGGGATCTCTAGGACCAGAATCGAGGCTCAAGAACCTTAATCTGGGCGCGGGCAGTCTATTGACGATCGGAATCTACTCGCTGACCTGGGGCTTATTGACTCTAGACGAGCACATTGGGGCAAAAGCTTCGCGGCCCGAGATCTTGGCTGATCAGAATCTGGTCGATGGCGTAGACGTGGCTACAGCGATCATCCTTCGTTATCCTGCAAACGGTCGCCAAGGTATACTCACTTCGACTTCGGAGTTCAAGAACGGCTACGACTTCTGTCGCATCGAAGGCACAGAGGGTTATGTGCTACTCCGTGGGCCGTACGCTTCTTCCCCGAGCGAATTTTCGGTTTGGCGCAACCAAAGTGCTGGCAGCGGTGCTCATACTAGAGGACAGCAAAGCGGGTCTGTTCTTGAGAAGAAGTATGTCAATTTTGGCTTGGGATTGTACCGCGAAGCTGATGCTGTCGCACTCGACATCGCTGCTGGGAGAAGGGAGAATGACATCATGCCCCACGAGGAGACGATGCGCGTTATGCGTATGATGGACGAAATCAGGCGACAAGGAGGCGCAACATTCCCGCAGGATGGCGATGCTCAGACGGTCAATAGCAGCGTGGACTGATATCATCACCGCAACCGTGAAGCTATTAATATTTTGCTAAGAGGAACGAAGAACCAAGCATGGGGAAACAGAGGATCCGCGATGAGATTCCATCGGGTACGGACAATGGATGTGTACCATTTGGTCTCTAGCTGCAAGGCTTCTTCGGCTTGTTCGTGCTTCGCTGATTAGCCAGATCGTTTGTTCGGGATCATCAAAATCAGCCCACTTTGCGATACCGCACAGGGATGTTTCACTCTTAAGCTTATTAGGTATTACGCCTACCTTGCCAAGTGTGCGCCTTTCCAGCAGTTCGGACCGGAGTGGCACAGTATCTTGGCAAATGGTACACCTGTGTAAGGCACAGCAGCTTTATTTCCTATTCCGATTTCAGACCCATTGTTTTTACGTCACTTCTGGTACGGCGTCCGTCCCGCCTGAGAGCCTCATAAACGAACTTAGAATTGCAACTGCTACACAAACGTGGGCGGATAATCCAGTCTTTGCCCTCCTTTTTTAGAAGTCCGAAGTACGGCCTACTTCATTCTCTACCATATCAATCATTCTACAATACAATGCATTTCCTTACGCCTTTTATTTTTGCATCCAGCTTGCTGGGCTTAACAACAGCAGCTCCCAATCCAACAGGATCGCTTAGTCTTGCATCAGACAAAGAACCTTTTACCTTCGACTACACTGCACCGAAAGCCAACTCCAAGAACTGGATCGGTATCTACCACGCGACAGGAGGTGGACCAGACGATGAAAAGCAAGTCTCGGCATCTCTTAAATGGGCTTATGCACCTGATATGAAGGGCTCGCTTACCATCAAAGCTCCCGTTGGGGGCGGCAAGTTCAAAGCCTATTTCCTTGCAGATGATGGGTACAAATGGGTCGCGAAGCCCATCGAGGTGGACGCGAAGGAAACTGGAAATTCCGATGAGCTAAAGATCATGACATGGAATCTATGGTACGGCGGTACGAAAGTGAACAACTATCACGATAAGCAGGTTAAATTTCTGAGCGGGGCGGGCGTCGACGTCGTCGGACTGCAGGAAGCAACTGGCGAGCATGCGAAGCGCCTTGGAGAAGCGCTGGGCTGGAACTATCATCAAGACACCGGAGATAACAGCGTTGGAATCATCTCTCGACTACCAATCATCAAGAAACACGCCAATATCGGTCGTGGAAGCGGCGTCCAGCTTGCACTCAAAGGCGACACGTCGAAGCCGTTCAACTTCTGGTCTGTACATACAGCGGCTTATCCTTACGGACCATACAGTTTTTGCTTCGAGAACAAGACCGGCACAGAAGTTACTGCAGATGAAAACAAGGCTGGTCGGCCTAGTCAGATCAAAGAAGTAGTCGACGGAACGAAGTCGCAGCGCGAATCCAAGGACCCCTTCGTACTGGTTGGCGATTTCAACGCTCCATCGCATCTTGACTGGACCTCCGTAAATCAACCAGCCCACTGCGATAAGAGCTTCGACTGGCCCACATCCAAAATCCCAACTGATGCGGGTCTGATCGACTCCTTCCGCGCGTGGCATCCATATCCGAAAATGGTGCCTGGCAACACTTGGTCACCCATCTACCCAAAGAACGCAGATGACTGGGAGGGCCAGCCTGAGCCGCAAGACAGGATTGATTTCATCTACGGGACTAGTAAGCTTGAGGTGAAGGATTCTGAAGTTAGGATTGCTGGCACCCCGAACGCATACCCTGATTATGAGGACAACGAGTGGACAAGCGATCATCGCTCTGTTATAACTACGTACAAGATGCCATGAAGCATTACGTAGCTATCATGCAAAAATTTGGGTACAGTAGCATATTCCTGGTAATTCTCATTTCTCTGGGAATCGAGATCTCACTGAGGGTCATCGTTTGCGCAAGCGAAGTAGAGATGGTTTCTCATTCGAAAATGTAGTATACATATGTAAGACCATTATCAATCCATGAAGGATTAGCCTTGTGGCTTCGTAACGCCGAGAATGGTGATGCTAGTGAAGCGTGACTACGTGCATCGCTGATGCTCAGAAGATCAGAGAGCGTAATCTACAGATAGTAGGCATGGAAAAGAAAGGATCAGTGGTTGTACCGGACCTGAATGTCATTTTGGTGAAGATAGGAAATGTAACACAATCGAGATCTTGGAAAACTTAAGAGATGTAGAACAAGGGCGATCTCGGAGAACATGGGAGATGTAGAACAAAGGAGATGTTCGACAAGCAGCTGATGCGGTCTTCCCTCACAACGGCCTCAAAGCCCCGCTGCGTTCATTTGCCCAACTGCCGTGAATCTTTTGTCTTGCGCTCTTCCCCCAGAAAGCAATCGGCAACGCGATCATGCCACCCACAAGTTGTAACACCGTAATCTCCATGCCTACCAATAGATGGCCGTGTGCGGCAATCCAGGGTACAAGCGTAAAGCTCATGCAGAAACTCAACAAGTAGCTTCCGCCAGAAACGACAGCCAGCGCTGGAGCAGCCCATCGTGGAAAGGCTTCCGTGACCCATAGTGTGTTTCCGATAGCGAGGGAGACGTAAGAGAGGCCGTTCAGCCCATATGCAACGTAATAGACAGAGTAGTGCCATTTGTAGTGAACTGCTAGGCCGTAAAGAAGCGTACTGGTCGCGCCAGTGATGACAGGGACGATATAACCGATGAGGTAATGCTCAGCTTCGCGGACACCTTTATTGCGTTTCGATAGGAAAGTAAGCGCCTTGCACATCAAGCACCCTGCAAAGAAATAGGCGAGAAGGCTGCCGCAGCCGGAGGAGAAATTGACGAGGGTGACCTTGTACGAGGGTAGATTGTACGGAGGTGCGTCCAAAATCGTTGCGAAGGTGGCTCCGATGAACATCATGCCGGTAAAGTTGAAAGCAGACGCAATAAGCACCCAGAAAATCAAAGGATTGACGGCGCAGAAGAACATTTGTAAGTAGCAGCGACCGAAAGCTTTCCAGGATCCAGACGGGGAGCGAGCAAGGCCGAGACGATAGAGTAGCCCTCGATTCTCCGTGTCAAAGCTGGGAAGATCTCTGTAGATATCGGAGTCCGCCTCCAGATCCTCATATATGGTCAGCTTCTCAGTTGCGCTCTGCATGAGTATCATGCCATCGAAGGCTACCGTTGGTCGCTTGAAGTATGTCTCTGGGTAAAGAAAGAAGGCGAGGACCAGGGCAATGGCAGAAGGACAAGCCCATCGGAAGTAGAACAGATGCCACTCCTTCCCACCTTCGGACAAAATGGGAACTAGGCATAAGGCTCCAGTGCCGAAGAATCCGGCGATGGACCAAAGGGTTGCGATTGCCACGGGTCGCCGGTCGATGAAGGTCATGTCGACAACCATCAGGAAGGCCTATATAAGTCAGTAAGGTGCGGCGTGACGAAGTTGTATGATCTACTGACCAAGCTTAGCCCCAGGCCTTCGCCTATTCCGAGCAGACAGACACATCCCAAGATTTGGTAGAATGTCTGCGAGAATCCAGCTCCGAGAATAGCGAAGAAGTCAAGGAGCGCGGCGAGGAGGAAGACTGGACGTCTTCCAAGGGCAAGACTCAAGGGTACCCAGAGGAATGCACCGATTCCCATGAATAGTGTGGGCGCCGTTGTCAGAGTCTCTGGGGACCAGGGTACAATCATCTGCCATAACACGTAAGTATCCACTCTATCGGCCAGGATGCCTAGTGTCCATAGAAACTTACCTCGTGAGAGAAGTCAGGAATAATACCGTCCATCATCAGACTCACTGCTTGCACAGCGGTGAGTGCGGTAGCGGAGTACCAGCCTACAGCTACCATTGCAGCACACGTCTTCCACGGACTCCAGTTCAAAGGGTCATGCTGACTGTCCGACGGTATTGGTAAATTCAGCGTCTTCCCCTGGCGGGAGATGAGAAAGACGCTGCCCGAAAGATCGTAGGACTCATGCTTGCTCCTCTTAGTGTTGAAGCTTTTGTCAGACTCGGAATCGAATGCAGGATGAATCTCTGGGGAAGCCGATTCAATCTCCTCCACGTCCTCGGATGACCCTACGGGTCGTGGGGATCTTAGAGGTCGGGGCTGAGACTTTGCAAGCTCTGCTTTCTCGTCGACATATATCTCCGGACGCTCAGGAATGTCGACATCAGCAGAGCGATAGACGATGGAGGCGATGTCCATCGTGCTTAAAGAAACAATAAGGAACCAAAGAAGACAGCGGAGAAGAGTACAGAAATGGAACGTGAGACCGGAGCGGCTGGCTAGCTACCTTTTAATCCCTACGCTCCCCAGCCCAAAAACGCAATGGCCTGGTGTTCGTGCCCAGTTCGTGTGTGTGCCCAAGTCAACCAAGAGCGTCCAAGATGCATTTCGGGCAGTTAACGCTCGCCGTGGCATCCGCAGCCCCTCGGAGTCATGAAACAGATTCCAGCTGCTTGGCTTGTGAAAAAGACGTTGGGTAGCAAGGGCAAGCCTTCTGCGGAAGGGCCGGTAGGAGCATTAGTAATTCCACTAAGACACGCAGGTACATCGTGCGGCGAGGATCGCAAAGCCAGCAAACGACCTTTTACAAGAGAGATGGCCCCTGCCCCAAGATTTGCTATTCGCCTCACCATCGGATCGACGGTAGCCAATATCGGCGGCTGCGCACGTTGCGGACCACTGTCCGGGAACCTGTCATTGGGTGACATGGCTCCGCCGTTTTCCCCGCAAACCCTCTCACGACCTGAAACGGCACCGTTGACGGAGGCTAGCGATACACTTAACGGTTTGATTTCTGAACATGGACATTTTCGCGAATTGTCCGACCGCCCGGGTTGCATGAATCTGTCAAGTTCCACTTGAGGTTCAATCCTCCCGCCTGCAGGTACCCTTTGCTTCGAAATCCGTCCGGTTCCAGCTCATTATCATAGCAATGTAGTTGTCGCTTTGCGAAACTACGAAATGACGCAAACAGGAAATTAATGCACGATAACAGCTCGTCCAGGACCATGTGCTTGACGGAATATTAAATCCCGAGACCATCCGCGCCCGGTCCAACCACCATTAGATCGCCAATGGAACTGTTCGCAACCATCTGCTGGCTGTTCGATTGGCCTATTCCTAATTCTGCTGGTACATGTTGACATGTCATGGTACCTGCTCGTACGATGTGCGCTAGAAGTCAATGTCACAGCCCATCGGTTTAGCAGCTTAGGTAGGTTTCGAACAACGAATAGAGGGGATATGGAGTTTTGTGGGCCATTAACGAAGAACAGTGGTCGGAGAAGGTGTAAAACACTGATTGGGTCCGGAAAACGCCCATGCAAACCATGACTGCCCTGCAACGGGGCCGCAACTGACTCCCCATTAATGATCGACAATTTTGAGCTCGGCAGTGTCCGTCGCCCTCGCTGCTCACTACCAACGCCTGCGCCATTCTATCGTCTCACTTCCTCCGAAAAACCATTCTCCGAAAACGATACGAGTCTCTTGTTCCATAACATCGACGAGGTCGGGACACGCCAAGCACCAAAGATGTCTGCATGATGTGGTCGTGCACATTGCCGGTTCTGCGCCTTGTTGTGGTGGATTAGGCTTGCGACATCGATGGCAGACCCAGCTGGGCCAAGCTTTTGGCAGTCCCGAAGGAAAGGAAGCATCGGGAAGTACTCCGCCAGGGGGCAGGTTTGTTGGGTAGTCGTGAGGCTGCATTGATCTTGTGTTGTCGTAAATGAGCCCCGTAAGCTTGGACTTGGAAGTGCTCCATGATACAGTTCTGGGGTATAGAGTGGGTCACATCTCCAGTGAAGAAGGCCACTGCGCGCCCTCTTCAACTGATCCATTCAGAGGTTGCGGAGAGATGTGACAGAAGTGCATCGCTGCTGATAATGTTGCTTCAATATTGCAATGATAGATTGAATACCAAGATGGTAAATCTGCATGAGGGCTGGGCGACTGTCTCACGGGTAGGTCGGGGGCGCATCGCAGGCTGTCCTGGACAAAGCGCGGTGTGACTCGCATTGCTTACCAGACACAGTACATGCCACGTAAGCGATAACCGAAAACGAGCTAACTACAGCGTTGTATATTGATAACCCTTTGCAGATATGACTAACCCATTAGGGGTGCGATGAGGCTTCTCCTCACTACCTTTTATTTAGATTATCACAGGAAACGGGCTGCGCTCCATCTTCAGCTTTGGCCTTCTTGCAGTTGAGCCGAGGCCGTGTGTGCAGCGGGCTTCAATTAATCCGTCTGTTTACATCCTCGGCTCTAGGTGTGACGATCTTGCCGATTGCAATCGTATATGATTCAAGGGGGAAGTGTAACAGGTAACAGGATATGTGTTAGCGCAGGTGTTGCGTGTCTCCGGTGCTTCCGGTGCGGTCGATGCCTAAGGCATACAATATGGCAGTGTCCAGCTCGAAGCTCGCAGCTTGAACTTGGTACCCTATATTCAACATTGACGTCGACTGTGAGCATGAAAGGCGGGTAGATAGGTAGGCAGGCAGGTAGGTAATAGATTTTCTTCCACTATGGTAGTCACGGCTCCCAGTGCACTTCTGCTAGTCACAAAACCTTGGAAGGCCTCCCTGGGGCCATAAGGACCCGCCGAGCAGCTATCTAGTGAGGGCGGTTCTGCAATCTGTTGTTGCCAGCCTAATGGGCAGCATGTCTAGGCGCTCGTCTTGGAAGGCAGGTAATAACACGGAAGGCGGATATGGGCTTGAGGTATGTGCAGACAGGTATACAGCACAATTTCATACATTATGTATCTATGCACACTCATGATGGGGCATAAAGCAGGTAGCTCAACCGTCTACAGCCATATGAGAGGGTCTTTCTGCTGTGCTTGTACCCAAACCCTCATGGTTTAGCACAAATGAAACGTCGTAACGCCTGGGAGGACATGCTTGAAGTGTAATCCCGACAAAGGATGATTCAAAGTATTCCGAAGCCCAACAGAGTTTCGGTTCCTTCCGTGAGGTGCTCTGGGTTCGTTGGCATGGGCGCCTTCGGGTCGTCGGGAAATTCAGCTGTCAGGGACTGCATCGAGATTCGTCGCAACCCCGTTACGCGTAACAGGAACGACGTTGCGGCTAAAGATAGTCGGCCATCTTGATCTAATCAGCTTAGGAACCCACTCAAGTCGAGCGCGTGGGTTCAACCCATTCACCGCCTATTGCTACATGGCAGTGACGGATGTCGAGGGCAAACGCTCAATCGGTGGTATGTAGATTGGTTGGAAGAAGCGACTTGAAGCGGCTAGTGGTTCGTGGAATCAGGTTTGGCCCGTTTCTTTCGGGAATTAGCATGCAGTGTCCAATAACTATCTGTGGACTGCTTTCCATGACCATGCATATACCCCGGCTGCCAACCAACCTCCCATAGCTTCTCGTATAGCTCACTTTCTCATAGTACTGCAGGTGATACGAAAGCAGAGTACCCTCGATGATATCGTCATGTGGTTTCCTATGCTTGTTCAGGGACGAGGTGCGTTTGGCGTCCTTTTGACTCCTCCTCAGCTCAAACAGCGAATTCGCGCTGTCTATCAAAGAGGAAGCCAGAGAAACTGTGCCGATATTTACGCTCCTCTAAGCTTGGTTTGGAAATAATTGTCTCCTGTTAAGATATTTCTACCGTGCTCTCGCTTTGGAAGGGGGGAGTCGAACTGCTCGCCTCACTGCTGCATTCAAAGACTTGTGTCAAGGCGGACGACTGGTCGGTTGGGTCAATTCCTACGTGTGATACGATGGAAAGCCCAATAAAGGATAAGCTGTAGTATCCGTCGTCGTCAAGGCTTTTGTAATTCCGGCTGTGCTTCGGCTGCATACTAAGGAAAAGTCGACCTACCGTCGAGTACGCCATGCTGATCGCAAGATCAACGTCTGTTACGGAAGATTGTGGTGAGCTATCGGATGATGGGTAGCCCGATTATATCATCGGTCATTGGATCTTTGCTTCCCGGTCTCATGTTGCTTGATGAATTCTTTGAGGTCTTTCATGCCGGCTGTTGTCAGCGTCACAACATCTGCTTGGCTTTCATGCTCTGATTCTCGCTTGTTCTGCGCTTCCTCGAAATTAGGAAGATAGCGGCCAGCGGGGAATCTTGGTCACGTTGCATGCTCCTACCGGAATAACGGGACTAGTCCTTTGGGGCTATGCTTCGAAAAGCAGTTGATCAACCCCCCTTGTTGTACGCGATATGGGGGACTCTTGCATCTGTTGGGCACGCTCTCGCGTCTCGTATCCGTTGCAGAGTGCCGAGCACATTCATTCAGACCATCTCTCTCCTTCCCTTCGGACCTTCTCACAGCAAGCCCGTCGCGGAAAGCGAAAGAGGTCATGCTCCTCGTCCACCGGAACATCGGACACGTCGTCTTCCTTTTTGCTCTACTCCTTCCCCGCGACTTTGTGTCTAAATAGCGCCGTCTGGTTTGACCAGAGGCAAGTGCAATGATCGAGAAGGCTGGATATGGCGGTGGGTACCTCAACGTGCCGCAGGTATTCTACCGGCACATAAAGTATTAGGTCAGTGCTCGAGGTCATGTTCGCTGTGCTATCTGGCTTACCATGACTATCACATGTGCCTCGATCGATTCTGAGCAACTGCTCTTTCGAGATCTTCCGTATCCGCATGCTCCGCGTTGGCATTCCCATCGAAATCTGTCGCTCCGAAATCGTGATCAAAAGGATCGCTCTCAAAGCGCGTCGCCATCAAATCTTCGCCAGTGGGTCCTGAGCTAGGTCAAAACATCTCAGCCACTCTGCATACGGTAGAGAGGCTCTGCACCATCTGCGAGCATAGCTTTCCAAAGTCCAAATGTCCTGATAGTCGTCGAGTTTGAACGACCAAGCCCCTCGTCAAGCTCGCGACAGAAGACAAAAATGAGGCAATACGCAAGAAGGCTGTCCGCGCTGATTATTTAGCTTCAATCTATTAGATCTATAGGCCTAGGCCTGGTAGACGTTGACAAAGGGTCCTTACCTGTCAAAACAGGCGTACCAAAGTAATACTACCCAATGATAGAGGACATATTTTATAGAAACCCAAGAACATTGACCCAGAGCCATGGATAGTGAATGCGAAACCTTTGAAAAGCACAGACACCTTCTTTATGTATACAAATACCTGTAAATGTAAAGATACTGGCCATACTGAAGCGCCTTGTATCCTCACAAGCTCTTCTTCCGGCACTGCATCTGGCCTGTAATGATACGATTCGGCCTCCCAATCACCATCAACATAGCGGCCAGCGGGTACCCTTGCATCTGTAGAGCGCGCTTGGTCACATTGCATGCTCGTCCTATAATACCGGGACAAGTCTTCCGAGCTGCTCGCCAGACAGATCCTACGTAAAACCCAACGCAACCTCTCTCCAAATCATCAATTCACGTATCAAACCCCAAACACGCCTTTGCTTCAGCCCATCATAAAGAAAGACCTACTCCACATCCTTATCTATCTTCTCCCGCACCGCACTCCTTATTCCCTTTGTCTCCCTTTCCCCTCTATACAGATGATCCCCATTACTACAGATCCAACCACAAACACCCAAAACACACCTTCGCTTCAGCCCATCATATACATAGGCATACTCACCACCCGAGCCATCCTCCCTTCCCGCACTCCTCAGACTCACATACCTCCCCTTCACCCCCTCTATACAACCCCCCTACGGACAAGGGCATCAAGGCGCAAACACGACGCAGCACATGGCTTCCAGCCCCATCGGTTCCACACAGCAAGAAAACAAGATTCAATACATTCACAGACAACAGAGCGTTGAGATGCTTAACTGGACAGGGACGACCGCCTAGACGGGCTGCCCATCAGAATAGGTTGGCAATAGCTTACGCAAAACACGCCCTCACCAAAGGTGCGAGGCGCGTCCTTTTGCCCCATCGAAGGCTTTTGGGACTATTCACATGGTTGGAAGGGAATCTGTTACCTACCGTACTACCTATACAAGCCCCACTACAGATCCAACCACAAACACGCAGCGCACCAAAAATGACTACACTTATCATTCGTGCACATAGCAGGCTCTGCGCCTCGTTGCGGGGGGTTTGCCTGCTGGCACTTGCAGCAGGCCCAGCGTTTGGGAGGGCCCCATGGGTGCGGGGTGTTGGGGTTTCGGGTGCGGCTTGATGTTGTCATTGTATGTGTTGGATACTTTGCGTTAAGTTTGTTAATCGTGGAAGTTAGGTGGGGGTGGTGGCGGGGTTGTGGGTGGGCTAGTTAAGAAGGATATAGTGATTGCGGTGAAGGGGGTGGAGTGGAATAGGAGAGGAGGGAGGGATTGCAGGGATGGATACCCAGGGTGGTGTGTATTGGGGAAGGGGATGTCATGGAAGCTGGGATTCGAAGATTGCGAGACATGGTCGGTCACTTGTGTACGCTATGATGAAGTACTCGACATGAATGCTAGTGCGGTGCATTGTCGAAGACAAAAACATGACGAATGTAGGTAGGATGTTGTTGGACTGTGCTGGGAAGCGAATGTTCGATTCGAATTTGCACGCACGAGGCGTAAATGATCTGGGATCAAGGGTATGAGAAGTATATACGACCCGCAGGTCCAAGGCAAGAGCCATCCTCCTCACGTCATTTCCAACGCAGTTACCGTATACCACCCTGCTGTCTTTCCTCTCTTAGACCAATCCCCAATCTTGTGGACAAGACGTCTAAGCGCTGGGGACAGTCTCAGTGTACTCGGCCTTCTCGATGATGGGAGCAGGCTTGGGAGTAGACTTCTGGAACAGGATCCACCGCTTGATGAAGTATGGCACCATGACCTTGATCTCGTACCCGAGGTACGTCTTGGTAGGCACGGAGAAGACCTGGTCGAGCTCCTCGAGCGTAAGCTGCTTCGTTTCGCGGACGAAACAGAATATCATGAACCATGCTATTAGATTGAGGCCGGCGTAGAAACCGAAGGCACCGGTGCGCGTCATGACGGTCTTCATGCGGGGGAAGGTGAGCGAGAGAATACCGGCGAAGGTGTTGTTGATGCAGACGGCCCAGGCCATGCCCTGCTCGCGCTGGATGGTGGGGAACACCTCGGCGGAGTATTGGAAGGCGACTGGACCTTCGCCGAGGGAGTAGGCGATGGTGAAAAGATAGATGAAGAGGACGACGGGTCCGATTTTCGCGCCACGGGATGCTTCCTCGGGCTGGAGGAGTGAGAGACCTGCGGCTAGCAGGAAGAGACACATGAGTGGGAAGGTGATCATGCAGAGGGTTCTGCGGCCCTTGGTGTCGATCAGGAAGAGGGTGGGGATCGTGAAGACGACCTGGACAGCGCCGTAACCAAGGGAAGCGTATAGCGCCTGGGTGGCAGTGTAGCCGACCTCTTCGAAGATGGTGGAGCTGTAGAAGGAGATGATGTTGATACCGCACATCTGTTGCGCAAGCATGACGGTGGAAGCTCCATAGTTGGCACGCCTGATCCTGGGCACGGAGAAGCAGTCCCAGAGACGAGTGAAGTAGTTGGATCCGGCAGCGATCTTCTTCTCCTCCTCGTAAATGACGAACGAGTAGTAGTAGTCCCTCGCGGCAATGATGGGATGAGCTCGGAGCGCCAACATGGACCTAAAGGCCTTGTCGTATTTCCCATGCTTCATCAGCCATCGGGGCGATTCCGGGCAGAAGAAGATTCCAATGGCGAGGATGAAGGATGGAATAAAGGCGGAGCCAAGCTGGAGACGCCAAGCGATGCGGCCGGTGTCCTTGACTATGACGTTGGCGCAGAAACCCAAGAAAATGCCTGAAGCCAAAGTTTAGTAGGAGCTTGGTATGGCCAAGGGAAGCTTCTTACCGATGACGACCCACAATTGCCAGAACATGACAAGAGCACCTCGAATGCGGGCGGGGGCCATTTCAGCGGAATAGATGGGCACAGTCGCGTTTTTTGCGCCGATGCCAATGCCCATGATGAAGCGGGCGGCGAAAAGTCCTTGCCATGACTTTGCGAAACCGGAGCCGATGGGCGTTGCAGTAAGACACAGAGCGGTTACGAAGATCTCACCGCGTCGGCCGAGATATTTGTTGAGAGGGTCGACGATGAAAGCGCCGCTGATTGATCAGGTTAGAGAATGCCGCAGGAAAACGTCGCAAAGATGGATGCACTCACATCAAACCGGCAGTCAAGAAAATGATGGAGTTGATGAGTCCAACAATCCACTCGTCGTGACCTTTGCCATCAATGCCGAACTCCTGGGGGAAGGACAAGTTGGCGCCGTTTGAACCGGTCTGGTCCCATCCCTGGGTGGCGGCACCGATGGCGCACAGCCCAATCGAGTACCACAGCATCTTGGGGCCATGCCACTTGTGGTCGCGCTCGTAGATGAGGGCGTTACGCTCTTCCTCATCGATCTCTGCAAGCATTTCGAATCGCTTGGGGTCGCGCGCAACAAGCGCAGCCCGACCAAAAAGCGAGGCGTGCTCAGCCATGCCATTGCTCTCAGCAAAAGCGCGCGCGTCTGCCACAACGGCTTCGCGAGAGCCACGCTGTAGTGAGATTGTCAGCGCCCATAATCACAGCAATGTTACAGCAAAATTGTCAACTTACCTGCAGAGGGTTTTCGACAATGTTCATAGCGACAGACGCCCGGCGACCGGTATCGTCTACCAGCTCCGTCTGCGGCTTGTGCTCCGACTTCTCGTGGAGGGCGCCATACTGCGGAGGCTCGACGCCGGGGTCGTTGATGGTGTCGATATTCTTTTCGTTCTTTTCGGCCATGTTGTCTCCGGCTGATGGCACGAGGGGAGAGGGTGGAACTGAACAACGGATCGACGCAAAAACAGCGGGTACGCAGGCACAATATATAAACCCAACCCCGACCGTGTGTGGCCCATGGGGAGACGGCTCTGGGGCAAGGCCAACCACGCGCGGAGTAGCGCTAGCACCCCGTTCATGAAAGCGACCCACTGTTATTGCTGCTAGCTGATATACCCCATGCGGAGATAATCCGAAGGAAGCTGCAACAGCTGCGTGAAGATCCACATTTCACCGGAAAGCTGACCACCATTGGCTCGACCGGGCGGCTCAGGTCGACGCACAACGTGCGCATTCACCCCGCGCTGGTCGAGTCCCCATCTTCCCATGCAGTCAGCGTCGCTCGAGGCAGCGGCGCCTACTTCCGAGCTCAAAGCCGGGGAACTGGGGTTGCTCTACGCATCATCGGTGCCGGCCCTCTCGCGCTCCTTCGCGGTGCGCCGCTGTAGCTCTCGGGATCTCCGTCTCGCCATGCTTGATGCGGTTGGAGCGGCAGGTCACCGCCGCCTTGACTTGCATGGCGTGTTGCCCGGCCTTGCAGGTGGCATGTTGTGTTTGAGCCGCCTCGGAGCCGGCAACGCAACAAAGCAAGCCACTGACGTACAAGCCGTGAAGTGAGCATCAACGGATAGAGGTGAGCATTAGTCCGCGTCCGGCTAGCGTTGGCGGGCCTGAGAAGTTGTGACAGGCTCACGTGCGTTAGCTGACGGACCCGGGAATGCGCAGGCCAATCAGCCAAGTGGAAAATTTGAAGCCAAGCCGCAGGTGGGGCGCGACCAAGCTCAGGGAATGTAACCTTGCCTTATCCCTAATGCTTGCGCGTGCTTGCTCACATGATATCTCTTGTTTGTTCAACGCCGGCGCGTTACTACATCTGCCTTTGCCACGTCTACCAGCAGACCAGCTATCGGCTTCCAAGACGTTGTCATCTAGACTGTGGACCTTGGCTCCTCCACGGAGCCGGTCATGGCGAGCTTCTTTGTCCCTCACTTTGATGTGGAATATGGGTACATCGACAAGCTTGCTGCCTCACCTGATGCTATTGACAAACCAAGTGGGTCCGCGAAGGTCGTCGAGTTTGAGATCCGTGTCTGGTCTGGACCAGTGTAGCTTGCTAGCTGCGAATGAGCAGGCTCCACGCCCGACTGCCGTGATGCAGTTCCGCTTGCCATGGCCACGGGTTGAGAAAGAACTTCCAAGGGCCAGGACAGCTGTTCAGGCCAGTGGCCCTGGAGACGATTGACCGCGGAGAGACCAGCTCGAACGGCCCATGCTTTGACGAAAGGTTTTGTGCTTCTGGTCATGATGGCCGTCCAGTGGATCAAGATAAGCAACGCAGTGTCATCACCAATCGCTAGAAGCTCGAGAAACTCGGGAAAGATTCTGCTAGGCCAGTCCTGATACTGATCCCATCTTCTAGGCTGGCCTTGACATTCGATAATCCACTTCTCGAGCTCCAGAAACGCTTGCCTGTTGGTATCTGCCGGTCCTCCTTCGTCATTACATTTGTTGATATCCTGGAACACGCTGAAAATGACGAAAGATAAGGAATACATTGCCGACCTGTTCCATAAGTCAACAGTTGTCCGAAAGTCAACGATGTAGCCGGGCGGTTGAGGGCCGCGGAAAGGGATGCCGAGCAATGCGGCTGAACGTTTGACGCATCGACATCCACTAGCACTTCACAGGAGTAGCTGCTAACATACCTCAACTTCAGATCAGGTGGACTAGGGACTGATATACGCGCTTCGGTGAGCTTCCAAAATTGAGTCTGGCGGAAGTACGGTCTTGCTGCTTCTTCGATTTGCAACGTGTTTCGCAGAGCCTGGAGCGTCTCGACAACGTTGAAGTGTCCTTCATCACATTGGTTCTGGCTTCCAAATTGAAAGATCAGCATTATGATCGCAAACGCCAGGACCGCTAGCCAATTGTCATCGTTGACGCTAGGTGTTGTTTCTCGGAAGATTCTCGAGGCGAGGAGTTGGTGTTGGTAGGCAGTCGTTGACGGCCAACGTAGCCCACTGTCGGTGTGGTACTTCATGTGTCCTATTGCTTGCACACAATGCTGCAGGTAAGGATACTTGGGTGCCGCTTCTGCAATCGCTCCAGTCCATAAAGCTATCTCCGGAGAGGAAAACCAGGACCCAGGACCTCCCATAAGACTGTCTAGCAATTCGCGAGTCCTTACACAGTAAGGTGCCTTTTTCTCTGTTGGGCTCGATAGAAAGTCTGGGAGAAAAGGAGGAGAGGCAAAGACTACACAATCCGAGGAGGAGCCATGCGAGTCCTGGAACTCAGGTTGCGTTCCCAGAGCCCAGGAATTCGTGGATTCATAGTCCAGCCCCAAATCCGCCGGCGGTGGAGTGGCCGAGCCTTCATCTATCTGAGGCGGATACTCGCAGTTTTCGTTTCGACGCTGGCAATTTGCGCAGGTAGGCTGCTCCATGCCACACTATATATCGTCAGCACCGTGTGTCTTGCAGTCCCGACCCACACGAGATCTCGTACGTACCTTGACCCTTCTTCGTTTACATTGAGCACATCCATTTCGAGACTTGCGATGGTACACTCGTAGACCCTGTTTCTTTCGAGGCATGCGGACCGGCGACTGGGTCGTAGAGCGCTAAGAGAGTGAACGAAAACCGGAACGTAGCGTTATCGAGGACTTACCTGGAGTCGACAGCCATGACTTTTAAGGTACCTATGGTAAATTTAGGATGCTATCATTATCTCAAGACCTGAGTACTCCAACTCAAATGGTGTTGCAAGGCACGCAAGGCCAAGCTGGATAGAATAAATGCAGTGCTGGCCTCGGAAAAGGGAAAGCATGTAGGAAATATGCCTGTTTGGGGATACTACGCGAGAACGAACAGGGTTCATACGAGCAACCCTGCAGCCACGCAGCCACTCTGAGTGCGCATTCTCCGTCCATTCTCCAACCACCCACGCATACATACCGAAATATTGTGGACCGTCTCAGTTCAGCTTATAGGCACCTTTACCACAGTTTGTCTAGCGGGCAGAGCCTCATCGCATGACGCCCCGTCAATAGCCTAGCTGCCGTCGCCTAAAATGTCAATGTCAACCTCCGAACCCCCTCTTTCTATCGACTTGTCGCCACGAAGTACTAAAATAGAGCGATAACCGGCATCTTCGCCCCAATTGGAGCTCTCAGACCCCATCTTTGCGGGATGCCTTTGGACCCGCGCCGGAACTACTTTTGGCTAGGCGACATACACGAGGAAATCCTCCGGCGTTCCAGCTTATGATGAACGAATTAGCGGCCGCGACTGCCGATTACCGACTGAGTTATGGCTGTTACAACCGTCGTTCATTGAACGAGTGTTATGGACCCAGCATACGGCCGTAATCTACCAGTCTTACGAGACAACAATCTTGTTGATATATCGAGCAATGATGGCGAGTATCTATTAATTGCCTTGTTCGACGCGCTTGACATAGTGAGCTCGCCCATCATCCTGTATGTCGATCACACCTCTACGAACGGCCACAGAGTATTTAGTGCGAAAGAGGAACCTGTAGCACTGGTTACTTTGGGGTCGGAAGCGAAGTTCGCGCATCTAAAAATGTAAAATTTAAGACACTCAAGTTCTAGTATCAGTGACCCCCGTGGGTTTTACTGGGACAGCTTTCCGGCCACAGTCAACATCATAACATGGGTCGAAGAGACCATGAAGCTGACAAAGATGGGCCGGGCTTCTTTCAAAGAGGTTCTTCTTGGCCACTGTATGGGCAACCTCACTTTCAATGTCTATCGCTGGGACAGAACTTCCTCCTCTTCTTCTCGTTGGAGTGAAAGCATTTACCGGAAACCCGCGCTTAGGCTTAGCGGACGGCCTTCACAATGGCGGAACATTCTCGTTTTATTCTAAGACAATGACGTCTAGCCTTATCATCCGTACAAGGCTCAGTCGGGTTTCAAGGTACCTAGAGAGAAGAGCTGATTTGAACTGAGGTCCGCCAGCAGTGACTATTGTGCTATACAAAAGTTTCAAGCCACCTTTCCATAGCTTCCTCGTAGAATTTCAGCCAATCTGTGTACTGTAGGAGGCTGATTATTGGCCTATGCTCTTTGGAACACTTATTTTGATAGCTTGGTGCCCTATTTTAACGTCTACCAGGCCCAAACTGTATCATTTAACGGAATTTGGCCAATAATCTACCTCCTATACTATATAGATTCGCTGAAATTCTAGAGGAAGCTATTTTTGCCATGGAAAGGTGGCTTGAAACTTTTGTATAGCACCGATAACGACATGAACTGGTCTTGAACCCGTTATGCAACGGGACCGCGATCAAGATCATCTCCGGAGCATTAAATGACAGTGAGCCACTTGGGCGGGTGCTGTGAATCACAATCCTCGAATGTCTGGCATTCGAAACCGGGTCATGCTGTGTCGAGTGCATCGTCCTCTAATATATGCAGATTGCACGACAGCAACTCCTACTCGTGCGATTCAGGGTCCGACGGCGATCCTGCTCTGTGTGACTGAATGCCATGCTCCTGGCGTGAGCACAATATCTCCTGGCACTAGTCGCTCGCTTCCCCGCATTCACCTTATTTATATCCCTGTGGCCGTCACTATATTTCCGCAACGCAGTCGGAGCTTGGCGGAAGAACAAGAACATCGGATTGGATCATTTGTTTTCGAAAGAAGGGTTTCGAACACTGTAGGTTCTACGCGCTTTCCTTTTACGGCTATATAACGTCTGTTATATTCATTTGCATTTCCTGGTTGGTGGGATGCTGCACCTGCTTGTAACTTTCTTCAACGTCTGTCGGAATATCTTCATCTTGGTCCCGTCTGGGTCACATCGCTTAGTTCGCAGACGGAGGCTCACTTTGAAGCAGACGTACGATACAGCCGCATGGAGGGTGTGGTGTGTGGCCATATCTTAGTGGGATACTTCGAATGGATGGAAATACCCCTCTTCACGGTCCGACGTCACTACGATCCGGCGACCCTGTCACGAGAGGCTGCGTAGACCTGCTTTCTAGTTAGTCGAGAGTAATATGCGGCGGAATACGTACTTGTGCGCTACGCAAAACTGAAGCGACGATGGCACATAAAAGGGGGGCGAGCTGCCATTCAGTTCGGTACGGTCGGACAGTCCTCCTTGAATACAGGACATCGCCTAAATATGGTCTCCTCTTACGCTATGAAGGCCCTCGTGGCATTCTTCTCGGCATCCACTGTGTCCGCTTTCGGAATTGGTACTCAACAGACCGAGACGCACCCCAAACTGCAGTGGAAGACATGCACAGGGAAGGGCGGAACTACCTGCTCCAACGTCAGTGGTGAAATCGTGGTCGACTCCAACTGGCGCTGGCTCCACACTACCAGCGGCACCACCAACTGCTATACCGGAAACACATGGGACACGTCCTTGTGCTCCACCAACGCAGCCTGCGATTCAAACTGTGTTATGGACGGCGCTGACTACAGCGGTGAGTAATTGACCGAGCCAGAAAACACATCACATGCAAGAATCAGACTAAGAAGTCTTCGCTAGGTACCTACGGAATCACCACCGGCACCGATTCGCTGACCCTGAAGTTCATTACGAAGGGTCAATACTCGACCAACATTGGATCACGTACCTACTTGCTGCAGGACTCAAGCAACTACCAGATGTTCAAGCTTCCTGGGAACGAGTTCAGCTTTGATGTCGATCTTTCACAATTGCCCTGCGGTCTCAATGGCGCGCTATACTTTGTGTCTATGCCGCAAAAGGGACAAGGTACCCCTGGTGCGAAGTACGGAACTGGTAAGACGCATCCAAAAGACTCGCACAACAATCGCTTACTCAACATTTAGGATACTGCGATGCTCAATGTGCTCGCGACTTGAAGTTCGTCGGCGGCGCGGTATGTTGCTATATCCTGACATGACCTACAATGCTAACGTGGCAGGCCAATGCCGAAGGCTGGGAACCATCCAGCAACGATGCAAACGCTGGTGTTGGTCAGAAGGGCGCTTGCTGGTACGCCCCATTCCACACCACCTTACCAATGATTCACTAACCGACGCACAGCGCCGAGATGGACGTCTGGGAGGCAAACTCCATCTCCACCGCCGTCACCCCCCACTCCTGCAGCCCCGAAGCCTACTCCGTCTGCACCGACACAAACTGCGGCGGCACATACTCGGAAGATCGCTACGCCGGAAACTGCGACGCCAACGGCTGCGACTTCAACCCGTACCGCGTGGGCGTCAAGGATTTCTACGGCCCCGGTAAGACGGTCAATACCAACTCTAAGTTCACCGTTGTTACGCAGTTCTTGGGTTCCGGCACGACCATCTCGGAGATCAAGCGCTTCTACGTGCAGAGCGGAAAAGTCATTCAGAATCCCCAGCCGACGGTTAGCGGTCTTACTGGCAACTCGATCACCCAGGCGTGGTGCGATGCCGAGGAGAAGGCGTTTGCGGAGGACAGGTATCCGTTCAACGAGCACGGTAAGTTTCTCGGTTCCGTCTTCAGAAGGCACACCTTCCACCTCCATACATTTCTCGAACCCCCCCGAGTCCCTGGCTTTAGCGCTAACTTTCACACAGGCGGTATGGCCTCCATGGGCCGCGCCGGCGGCGCAGGCATGGTCCTCGTCATGTCTCTCTGGGACGACCACTACGCCAACATGCTATGGCTCGACAGCACGTACCCCACCGACGAGTCTGCCAGCACGCCCGGTGCGGCGCGCGGTACCTGCTCAACGTCGTCAGGTGTCCCCGCTGATGTGGAGGCGAACAGCCCGAATGCTCAGGTTGTCTTCTCGGCGATCAAGTTTGGCCCCATCGGGTCGACCTTTGCGCAGCCTTCTGGCTCGTAGGTTGGTAACAATGGGGACTGTATATAGTCGGTGGTAGGGCGGATGGTCGCGTTGGAGGATCGTCTGTCGTGGGCGTGGGGTTGTCGCTCGTTCGAGTCTATCGCTCACTTATCAATATATTCGAAGAGGCGCTATGTTCCATCGTGTTGCCCCAGCCCCAATCTGTTGATCGATCGCCTGATGCAACAATGTCGTCTAAAGGCCCGCCGCAGACTCTAGGTAAATTCAAGCAACCCGTGATGCAGTGCAGTAACCTCAAGGGCGCGAAGAAAACGAATATATCTTGACACAAGTTTTCGTATTTCGTCATTCCTTATCGTTACGTGAATTGCTGGAACGATTTCAGTGGCAGGGGTGATACCCCACCTTGTGTAATGTTTCCTAATGCTTGGTCCTCTGTAGGCATCAACTCAGCCACGTCTATCATGATGTATACCTTCTCCGATTCAACCGATAACTCATTCCAAACATGGCTTCCACGCCCCAGCCACCGGTCCGCTCAGGAGGTAGGGCTCTTGTGTGGACAGGAGATGAGACCCTCGATGACGATGGGAGGAAGACTTATTCGGTCGCGCTCACATTACCGAGGGCGAGCGGTGATTCGGAAGTCAGAGTCAATCTAGATATCTGCTCTTTCTGCAAACGTTTCGAAGATTTCGACTTGAAAGATATTGAGCCGTCTAGTCACCATTGCCCGTTTTGCCGCTTCATACTTCAAGCCATGAATGAATGCCTACATCCACTGGCCCGATCCAATCAGTTTCAACTCGATTGGTATATAAAGTGGGAAGTGGGCTCGATCAATCCTCTTAGTCTTGAAAATGACACTCCGACTAGTTCTGTAGGGATATGTATGTTTCTCTGTTCCAACTTTGCTCAATTTTCATTAGTAACTCTTTAGATCTGGAATTCGCATCACAAATTCTTACCCCAAATGAGGTCGTTGGAGGCTCACCGGCGAGCATAGCGCTTGCAGCCAACTGGCTTGAGCAGTGTTGCGGACGAGATGCAACGCCTGGGCATGCTCGCTGCCCCAAGATAGACACACACTCTTTCAATCTACCTACTCGACTTCTGGAAATCAGTGGCCACGGTCAGCATCTGGAAGTGCGCCTGGTGGAAACAAAGACCTTAGTAAAGCCCTCTCAGCAACGCACGCTGCTATACACCACGCTGAGCCACTGTTGGGGTCCAGAAGGATCGCCTCGCCTGAAGACTACACCTGGCAACTTACGAGCACGGAGATCAGGGATCCCATGGGACACGATACCTCGAACGTTTCAAGATGCAATACTGTTCACTCATGGGCTGGGGGTGAAGTTTATCTGGATCGACTCATGTTGCATAATACAGGATGAACCCGATCTGTCGGATTGGCGTGGAGAAGCGACGAACATGAGTGACATCTATTCCGGATCATATGTCACCATAATGGCTACCAACGCTGCAGATGCCGGGTCAGGGCTGTTTCAGACTGTGCCTTCATATCTTAAGTCGCAGCCGACGATGCCAGTGAGAGTAGGAGAAGGGTATGAAGGGGATCAGGTCGTTCTCTACGCACGGCACTGTCCAGACTATTGGAAAACCGATCAATATCTTTTGATGAACCGCGCTTGGTGTTTCCAGGAGAGATGTCTATCACCAAGGGTGGTGTCCTTTATGGAAGGCGAGATAATATGGCGGTGCCAATCAGTCGAAGAAGCTGAGCTGAGCAATGTTGGACGTCCGGACAACAAAGAGGAGAATTTCTTTTACTTTGATGGGACGCCCAGGCTGTTCCCGGCTAAAGACCTGCCCTTACTTATCAAACAGTGGCATAAAGTCGTTGAAGAGTACTCCGGATTGGACCTGACTTATAAGGAAGACAGATTGCCAGCTATTGGGGGAATAGCTAAAAGGATGAGTATCGATCGCCATGGAGGTTATTTCGCTGGCGTCTGGCAAGATGCAGCACTATATGATATTTGCTGGTGTAGGCCATACGAACAAAAGACTATGAACGCAGGAGCATGGCCCAAGCGAAACCGAGGTCCTTCATGGTCTTGGGCTTCTGTCGAGGGTCGGGTCGACTTCAACTGGACCCAAGACGATCTCCAGGGTCTCGTCACACTTCATGCTGAGGTACTGAATCTAAGTTGTGACTACGTCGACTCGGAGAAGCCATTCGCAAGTGAGGCAACTGGCGGCGTTCTCAAACTTAGATCCCGTCTTCTGTTGTGCCCGGTAGAGCTATGGAATCTACCTCGTGGGGAATCGGAGGGATTAGGTGGTTGGTATATCTACAAGGACCCGGGTGTCTCCATTGTAAATGTTTCTACGATATATCTGGTGCAGATCAGCCGTGACGCTCGATGGGGGAAGTTGGTAGGTCATGCTGTGAATCTCATCGTTCGGCACTTAGGTCAGGCTGATGACGTGTATGAACGAGTGGGCCTCGCCGAATATTGGTGTCTTACCGAGGAATGTCGAGAATATCCAGAATTTGGACCAGAGAAGACTATCACGATCATCTGATTCGGTGGTATCTCGGGCTTTTGTCCACTCTTCGAGCACTTCAACGTTCGCTATACCCTTCTATTCGCTCAGTTTGGATTTTAAGATGTTATGCAAGGCAAAAGCTTGATCGATTAGTCCTCGGTAGACAGTAAACAATCTTTTTGCGCCCAGTAAGTGATATACAAGCATTCTAGCGACCCTTAGAAACAAAGCAAAGCAAACCACAAACAACAGCGGCTCTTGCGAATCCTACAGTGCATAGTCCTACCAGGCCGCTTTGAGGCAAATCAGATTAGATGTACAATTTCAGCGACGCTTACGAAAATCACTCTCTACATTCCTTTTAGTCCACTTTGAAGCAAAGCATAGCAAATGAAATTCACAATTTCAGTTGCGCTTGCGAACACTACGGCCCAGTCCCTTTTAGTCCACTTCACTAGGGCTAAAGTTCACCCATTCTATTGAAGTCTCGTTTTTGTATGGCACAGAAAGCTGAGTCGCCTGATTAAAGTACAGTACCCTCTGAGATAGATATCATGTATACTTGATTTTACCCTTAAAGGTTACATTCACGTCCTTTGGGCACATAAGTACTTGGGCAGGTACAGATTTTGGCCATAGTGTTCTAAGCAAGGCAGACCAAACCAACAGTTCCAGCGGCCCTTGCAAACCTTGGAATACTGCAGCCTTCAGTCCTTCTCGGCCGCTTTGGAGCCGAATAAGACCAATTAACAAATAGCCACCACACCTTCTGCGTGACACAGCGGACCCCACCTTCGGGCGTACCTCATCCTGAGAGTCGAGCGCTGAGCGTGTCCTTGCCTCCCTGTTTTCTTCGGCTCAAGCAGGCACGATGCGATAAAGACCAGCATTGCCCTCACATCATCATTAACACCAACACACGTATGAATCGACAGAAATTTATTCCCATCAAATATGTACATCAAGTACACCAAATATATACAGCGAACACCCCACCCACCCATCCCAACCACACTCCCCTACGCACGACTCATACGGCTCCTGCTCGCCCACCCCCAAGCACCCACACTCCGCTTACTCATCATGCTCACGCTCTCCGCATAGTCGCTCGTCCCCTTATCAGGCTCCGCATCAGTAGGCGTACAGCTCATCTGCTCGGTGCCCAAGCTGCCCGTCACCGCGCTGAAATGCATCTTATCCTGCGTCGTAGCCAGCATATTCTCGGCGGCCTCCTCCGTCCACCCGTTGATGAAGTCGCCGTGGCTGCAGAACGCGTTGCCGCACGCGAGCTTGATGGGGGCCTCGCCGGACCAGCCGTCGGGGAGATCGCTGCGGAGGTCCCAGCGGATGGAGAAGCGCAGCTGGGGCATGGACTTCATGCCGGTGGGGCAGGAGCCGCCGCGGCGGTCTTTGTACGCCGTCTCGAGGGTGTCGAGATTGACGCAATTTGGGAAGTATAGCAACTGCTGGACGTGCGTGCTGCAGGTGCTGGAGGGGAAACCGTTGGAGTCGAGGGCGACGTCCTCGGATTCGCAGCCCCAGCTGCTCTGGGCGTTGGCGTCCATTTCGGCTTCCGATGTGGCGGTCGCTTTTCCAGCGACCATTTTCAGGTTCTGCGGGATGGCGACCTCGGCGGGGGTCTCGCCTAGGTTGTAGTACGCGGAGAAGCGGAACATGCCCATGGGTTGGTAGGTCTTGCCGCCGTCGGTGGTGTAGAGAGGGGTAGGGACCCAGTAGGCGGAGAGGTCGTTGGGGTTGTCGGCATTGGTGCATCCGGCTTGGAGTTCGGCGGAGGTGTTCGTCGACGCGGTGATAGCATCAGAGCCAAAGATGGAGTGCAAATGAGACTCGCTGTAAGAGCCCGGGAACACAATAGGGTCGATGTTTTTGGTCATGAACGCGCTCATGAGGTTAACCTGCGTATACGCAGTCGCCATCTGAGCGAGCGCCGCAGCGCTGATCAACTTCGAGAAAAAAGGCATCCTGTGCACTTAACGAATGGATCAATTCAAATGAATGAAGAAAAGAGTGAAGGGTGGGGAAAAAAACGAATGTAACGGATGCGCTGAAGAGCTGAGGGCTGGAGAAGAAAAGCATGTTGTGAGGCAGTGCATATCTTATATGGGAGAGTTGGACGGAGGCTTCCGTGGGGCTATCTCCACCCCATGAATGGCAGAGGGACGCATCTCGTCCAGACTCGTGGCTTTCATCTTGGCACTGTTTCGCCTTCCTCCTTCCCAGGTCGACTTTTCTGTCTTGAGATTGCGCACCGCGAGCCGTTCCCGTTCGCTTCCCACAAATCTTTAAGCGCATAAGATCTCGGGAAGTCTTGCTCTCTTTGCATGGGCGTTTGTTACTGGACAGGGTCTGTTATTCGTGGAACCTGCGTAGCGCGTCGGACGTTGACGAAGCGAGGCGCTTAGTTCCCGCGATTGACAGCGTTTTGAAACTAAACGCTAGGCCTGGCTCATTTGGTTTCAAACCGTCGAACAACTTGGCGGGCGTCGTGAAGAGATAATATTGTGGAGATAAGCTTATGCGAATGTGCAGCGTCGCGAGCCTTAATCTCGTACATGTAGACGGCAGGAAAGATAGCTGGAATTCTAGTCCGAGATCTCAGAACGAGAAGCTCCTTGCGGAAAGTGCGCGGGATTGTAGATTTTTCGTTGTACGATCGGTTGACGCTTTGTCCGTCTCCTATCAGGTTCGCGCCACAGGAGCTATTGTTTCGACGCAGAGATCCTTTTAGCTCATCTCCCTATTGAGTAGGGGGATGAGCGTGTGGCAGTAAGACTGTAGCCGAGTCCTGGGTTTGACCCAAGCATGTTGGATCTTTTGCGCGATACATGCGAGAATGACATCTCGAAGATTTCAAGAAAAAAGTCAAGGAGGAAGCTGAGCACTCCAGACACTCAGGGCCGCTGACCATATATATGAGAGAATGTCGCAATATGCGCTATCTCGCTCGAATATGCTCACGTAGTATTTCCATGGGATGAGCGGACGAAGCGGCCTGGGCTTCAGAACTTGTCGATGTAGCGCGTGTCAAGCCATGTAAGCCTTAGGTTGGCAGATCCAGTATTACATGTACCGCTTGTTTATTCGCCAGTCAGGGTTGCCGTTTAGCACAAGTATCTCGTGCCACCACGAAGATTGACCAGAGATCCCCCGGATGGTGGAGCTCGCGAAGTTGGCTCTCCAATGAGACATCTTGGAGTGACTTGGCTATGGTGAGTCTCCAAACTGCTACCCGCTAGTGTATCGCCGAAGTCCTCACTTCGAGGAAGTCAGTTCAGCTGGCGCCTAATCTAGGTCTTCGTACACCTCATTCTCAGTAAAATCATCCTCATCCGCCGCCGCCGCAGCGGCAGCAAGCAAGGCCTGCGCCTGCGCTTCCCAGAACATGGCATCCTCTTGAGCTCCATTCCCTTCAAGCTCCTCTGCCAGCACGTACTCGATGTCACCCTCTTCGGCGTCCATCCAGTCCTCGTCCAGATCTTCGTCCAAGTCGTCAAACGGATCATCCCACAGAACACCGTCATCCGACTCAATCATGACCGTGAACGCCTGCGGCTCGTCGTTGTCGCTTTCGTCAGGGTCTGCTTTTCGCATACGGTCCCACAGCGCGTTGAGCGAACGCGCCACGTTACCTCGCCAGCACCGGACATCGGAATCCGTAAGCTGATCTGTTTCCGGCAGCTCTCTTTGCTCCTCCGGTACGGTAGTCGTCAGCGACTTACCTTTATATTCATCGTCCGGTAATGGCCTTCCCTGCAACCAGGCAGAAGTTTGGGCATATTCAAGATCGTGAGCTCGCTGCTCTGCTTCAAATTCTGCGGCCCAGTTGCGGCGGAACCCAATCTCCTCCGCATCATACATGCAGACTAGTTCTGGGGGAGGCTCGCCATGGAGGACGGGAGGTATTAAGCCAGCCCTCCAAGTAGCCTCCAGAGTGACCTTGAGATTGATGCCATGTTTGAACAGTTTGTAAGCGATGCTGTGACGCTCCCTGAGGGCCTCATCCTCGGCGATGTGGTTTGCCCTTGCTATCGGCATCTCTTGGGTCGCGCCTTGCACGAAATCCAAAGTTCTCAAAGAGGCAAGATACGTGTATGGTTCGTATGGTGGAAGAATTTCGAAGAAATCTTCGTGTGTAGGAGCACCTGAATATGCAAAACGGGTGACCCTGGGGCGAGGGTTCCGGATCTGCAGCGTGTGTAGGTTAGGTGGAGCTTGTGTATATGAGAGGGCGATACTGCGATGCAAGAACGAGCATGTGTCGACACGCAGTACCTTCAGACTGTGAAAGGCCCGCATACCATCGCCAGGAATCGGGACAGGCTTATGGTAGTTCGCATTGAGCCTCCATGCCGGATCATGGTGTACTAGGGTTTCCAGCGAGTGAGCGACGTGCTTCAACGCTGCAAGGGCAGCTTCTGGGGCCCGCGTCAGCCTAGGATTCGCGCTTCTACCCTCGTTAACGTTGTAGACATTCTCGCCCAGTGTGAGGTGCCTGAGATTCTTGGGCGTCGCGAGAATTCTGCCCAAGCTCTTCGGCTCGAGCTCGCACTCATCAAAGACGAGTTCGGTGAGCGGGGTCGACTTCGCATACGGCTCGAGCTCAGGCAGGTCTGATGGTAAAGCGAGGCAGGACACGTGAAGGTGGCGTAGGGTAGGGTGTCGAAAGAGGCAGTGGAAGTCCCCGAGGCTCCAGAAATCGTCGCTCACACCATGTGTATGAATGACAACTGCTATGCGTTAGCGATGCAGCACCAAAAGGTATCTTTGCGGAGGCGAACATACGGCTCTCCAGTCTGGACAGTCCAACATCTCCCGGCTCATTCATACTCCCTGCCACGGCTTTCAAACTAGCCTTCTCCAAGTGCATCCGGAAGTTCTCCATGTCCTTCAAGACCCACTCATCTCCGCCCTCATCCCACTTGTAGTTGTCATACGGGCTTTCAATCTCCCAGCTACGCAGCGCCCGCATGTGCCCAACACACGCATTGAACACGGAACGCTCATCAGCGGTAGCGCCGAGGCCACCGTGGAAACGGTACAAGATCTTGAGCGTCTCAACGGAAGCGACACGATCGAATCGGCGCGTGAATGCCTCGATGATAGCATGGAGATCGTCTGTAGAGAGGAGCCCAATCTTTGTATATATGTGCTTTTCGGCTTCGATCTGGAAGAAACGGCAGGTGCGTGCAAGGGCGCATAGCGTTTGCGCGTCGCTGGCGAGGTGGGACACGACGTGGACGAGGAGCTCGTCGGGGAGGTAGAATAGGCTGTTGGGTTTGCTTCGATCGGTGGCGGCGAGTTGAGGCGAGGCTGACATGGCGGGCTGTGCTTTTCTATTGTGCGACAGTGATCCTGGGTTTTGTGAGCCTGGAAGCAGTGGCGCGCAGATGAACGTATAGTGGTGAGGGGTGACGCGTGCGGTTGGCGCGTGGGGTAGTCCGCGCCAAAACCTGCCAGCTTAAGCTCCAATCTAAGACAAAGCTCGGGACAAACGCCGCGCAGGTTAACCAAGGGGAGATCTATGCGATGAGTACTTCAGGGGAATTGTCACCAGCGCTTGGCCTTCGCTCTGAGCATGACCTTGGTTTCATCGCTCGCCAGGTGCTACTAATTACTATGATAGAAGATGACGCGAGCAGCATGACGGGAACTCAGAATTGCAATTACGCATGAGCGAAACATTCAAACAATTTGTATGGATTTTGAACACTAACTGCTATGGCGCTGATGCTAGAATGTGTCCAAGTAAACCCCAGATCCAACCAGTATGAAAAGTCGGGCGGACCTTGTCAACGCCTAGAATGCAACATGAACGCCGTGAATGATCCAACAGTGAATACCGATGGGATGCAGGGGTATATACATAAGGAAGGTTCGTATGAATGGGGTCTTCAAAAGTGCGGCCTGGCAACAAATTCGATCGGAGGCCTGTATGTGCTGTTAGCCTTGATCCGGAGATTTGTTGCTTGGTGATGAGCATCGCCGTACTTGGTTTATCTGGCGCACCCGTGATATTGCGCAGAGCAATATACCTTCTCCCTGAGCGGGAGTGAGCGCTGTTCTACCGCGACGGATTATAAGATGAGGCTTACCTCGTGAGACAGGTCCCATCAGCCTTGGTCCTCCGAGATTCCAGTAGCGGCGGGACAAAAGGCAAGGTGAAGGCAGAGACAAGGTAGCCAGTCATTAGGGTGGCTTTGAGTCTGTAGCGTGGATCGCGAGGAAGGTGTGTCGAATAACGACGGAGCTGGTTGAGAGCGTGTGTGGCGAACATGTTGAAGTCGAAGTTTGATTTACTACCGCGAACGGTGGTGGTTGTTCAAAGGTGTAGCTGTTTCTTAGGTGCAATGCAGATGTGGATGCTGTGAATGGTGGATGTGGGGCTGCACGCAAGTGGGGTTTCGCGCGTTGTTGATGACTTTCGGCTGCTCCCGAAGGTCAGATGTGAATGTGCAAGCAAGAGAGCGGCAGCAGCTCGTATATGAATGAGGGAAGCCGCAGCTGCCTACGCGGCGGCGCGTATGCTTTAAAGTGTGCGACCAGGGTCCGCAGTACTCACAAGGCTGAAGCGGAGAAGTGCGACGAGTCAGAGCGCAAGGCTGTGTAAGGGCGGTTTGATGCGGCTCTGGAGGAGCTCCTCCTTGTTGACTACGAAGTACTGCGTAAATGGTCGCTGGCGAGTGGCTTTAAATACGGCTTGCTGTGTAAAGCGAGTATGTGATTGGCAATCATACGTGACAGCACAGGCGACGAAAAGCAGCTGCCTTGAATATGTACTGTACTCGGTTGTTGATGTGGGTACATGTGGGCAGCCGCCGCAATGTCAGCCCACCCTCATGTGAGAAGCTGCCCAACTCGGCAGCTCTGTCAGCCCCGGCTCGAACGACGGGAGTCGCTGGTAGGCTGAGTACCTTTCGAGACCGTGCCATCACGAAATCTTAGGCCTTCTTGCGTGTGCGAAACAATGGGCCACGCGTCAGCAGCATTATGCGTCCTGTGATTGGCTCCGCGTTTGGGGGCGTGCGACTTCCATTTCAACCTCCACGAGCCTCGCGCAACATTCTCGTGTCTTGTTATTCGGTCGGCGGGCTGAGTTGCTGCCACGAACACGTTGCATGCAGGGAATAGTTACCGTATAAAGAGTGTATTAACCCTTCTAAGAAGTAAATGTGCCTAATGGAACCTCACTCTTACTCGGAGTCGAGTTCCATACCATGTACTCATACTTATCCCTTCCGCGGCCATTCAGACCAGCCCCAAGCCTCGATCCCACCCATCAGCCCGTCTATCTCGTTCTTGACCTCCTGGAACCGCTGCACTAGATCAGGCCAACCCTCAACGTACGCAGCATAATCCTCTAGGTATGGGAACCGATGGCTCATGTCTAGTCGCAAGCCAAGATTGAGCCAACTATCCCAGTTGTCGAGTGTAGGCTCCATTGTGTGCACACTCTCCAACCAAGCCCACAAGCCCAGCTTGTTGGCGAACACGAGAGCAGAGAGGACTTGCTGCAGTCTCACCCCCTCTGCGTTCTGGATATGAATCAACCTAGGCTCCCTTTCATCTTCGGGCTCACGGTCCCTGATTATCCATTCGTTGGGTGGAATGGAGATAATGAGATCGGTAACCATCGGTTTGAAGCAAAGATCATGCTGTAGTCCGAAGCACTCCGCGACCTCTATAGATTTCTTGAGCGACTTGACATGGTGGATTTCCATCACCATGTAATCATCCCAGCAGCTCCGCGGCACTGCATATCTATGCACAATGTTCACATCCAAGAGCAATTTGCCCCCACTTCCCCTCCAACAGGTATCCACGTCTTCAAGGAAGCTAAGCATTGGATGCAGAACCTCGCGCCGGAGACGGGTGTGAAAACCCTCGCACATGTGGCAGTATATTTCTTGCAGAGAAATAGGCCAACCATTAGGAATTCTGACGTCTCGAAACGAGAAGCGCACCCACCACACATCGTTGCGGTATTCCTCCATTGCCTCGTCGGCGCACTGAACACAGAGCACTTGTCCTGTGACGCGGTCAAGAAATTTCTCGAAGTATTGTTGAGATGTCTGGAGAACTGGGAGAGCTGGCAACCCTTGGTAGTGAGTGCGTGGAATGACTGCCGTGGATGCTGCCAGGCTAGCAGTCTCGAAATGCGGATTTGGTTCCTCCCCTGAGATGGGCGTCGGAGTCTTATATAGCAGTATTTGCAGCTTGGTCGAGCCTTCGATGAAGGCGCGCCACGTCTCGGATACCTGGGAACAATAGAGAATGTCGATATACGGCAACTGGACGAGAATCAATTCCATCAGCTCGTAGATGCCAGCTAGAGTTGTGCCAGCGGATGGGGGAACGTCATCGTGGATAGTCCTGGGAGTGGTACTGTAAGCGTCGTGCGAGAGTTTCGCTCGTTTGTTCGGCGGCATTGTAGTATGTTTGAAGATGTTAGTGGTACGAAAGATAGGAAGTTGAGGAGCGGAGCAAGAGCCATCACCTATATGTAACGAGAAATGAGAGCGTGAAGAGGCTGTATTGTGATCCACGTAGTGACTACTTGCGAGTCAAGTTACGCGCTCGATAGAAGACGACATCAGCAATTGAACCTGATGTATTCGAGTGGTGATATGGTGCACTAATTGCATGTTTGTTCCTCTTCCATTACTGTTGCAGAAATTCCTGGCTCCGGCGTGTTCCACCAGAAGATATCGTACCAGTTTTATCGGAGCTGCCGAGTGATGTGACCAAAATGAATGGGATTTCTCAGTTTTTACTGACAATTTTGAACTATAATTTTCGGTTGTGCAGATAGCATAATCGGTTTGCATGTGGTGAGTTGAGACGCTGAGCCGTGATCAACGGTACAGAGGTGTTTGCCTGCTGAGACATTTCGGAGCTTTAGTGCAACTTAAAACATTGAAGGTTGAGACTTCTTCGCGATGTGTTATTTGACATAGCTTCCGCTCCAATGTGGCAGGCACGTTCCGATAAGCGGTCTGAGATCAACGTTGGAGTGTCCGTAAAGACTGGGCCAGTGCAGATATCGGCAGTATGAATATATCCTTTTCCTAAATAATATCCTGAAGACGAAGATGGCAGAAGATGGTTCGCGAAGGGAAGGACTTCCGATTACGTAATCATCCCACAAGCGCAGATTGGGCACTAGCGCGGCAGTCGTCACCAAGTGTCATCGTTCCTACATACCTTCCCTCCAACCTCTGGGATTCTATCGCTTCGTAGTGTCAACTATTACGTCTGCTTAGGGCCGCATTCATTTCCATTCATTAGAATGTGACACGGTTGCGCAATCACTCTAGCACGAGAAGGGTATTCTTCAGGAGCGATGTCGTCATCCGCTCATGTTGCTACCAGATATTCAACATCACGATTTGATTCTACGCTCGTTCAATAGGCAGCCTAAACATCATCAGGACCTGCAAGCCCAAGCGCCTGCCTTCTCGTTGGAGCATCCGCCTTGAAGAAAGGTTTTTCTGCCAACGCAGTCACACGAGTACCGTGTCTCGGCTCGCTGCCTTCATAGTCCCAACTCGCATTGTGGATGGTGATCCTGTTATCCCAGAGCGCTGAAGAACCTGGAGTCCACCTGAAGCGCACCTGAATGTCAACATTCTTTTCGTACACATCGTACAGGTAGTTCAGGATGACGTCGCTCTCCGCCTTGTCCAAGCCAACAATTCTAACTGTCATCGCTCGATTCACCCACAGAGCTTTCCAGCCAGTAGCAGGATGCACTCTCACGAGCGGATGAATGCGCTCGATGAACTTGGGACCCGCCTCCGGGTTGGTACGATCCAGGTATGGATGTGCGGACCTGTACACAGCTTGTTTCCCATCGATTATTTTACGGAAGTCAGGAGAAAGCTTCTCATACGCAGCGTATCCTTCGAGCGATTAGCTGCAAGTCGAATTGTACCACCACCATACGTACCTGAAGCCCAAAGTGTGTCTCCACCAACTTTTGGAATCGTGTCATTATGGAGATGGGTCACACCGGCCGGTTGACGCTCGTGAACGAGATCGGTATGCCATCTCGACGCGCCACCGGTCTGTCTGAAACTCGCTGGAAACTCGGTCGCCTGTAACGCAGGCCAAATGACGGTCGTTCCAACGACGCCCGGTACCGAAGGAACTTGTGGCTAGTAGGTCGTCAGCGAGAAAAATCATAACAGAGCAGTGCCTCCTTACGTGGACCTCGATCTCTCCGTACCACTCGCCAAGCGCCTTTTGTTGTTGCGGAGAAATGTCTTGATCTCTGAAAAAGACAACACTCCTCTCTGCGATGAGCAAACCGAGCTCATCCTTTTGCTGATCTGTAAGATCCTTCAGCTGCAGGCCGACAATTTCGGTGCCGATATGAGCAGTGAGGTGAATAACCTCTTTAGCTGCTGAAAGCAACGCCTTTTTCTCGGGGTCTGCACGAGACCCTGGGTCTACATGCTCGCGGTCGTAGTCGCGAATCTTGATAACATCATCTAGATATAACGGCTTCGCTGGACGATATGGATAGCCGTTCGACAGATCGATACCCGCTTTCTCGAGCCTCTTACGCGCGGCTTCAGGGAGACCTAAAGTATCTTTCTTTGGTTGAACTGCGTCCTTGATTTCTTCTGAAATTGGCAAAATAAGACCTGGAGCCATGGTGATTGTGAGTCTGATGAGAAGTGATGATGTGTAGGATAATTCCTTGAATCAACTTCCTTGGATTACTGTCGCTCATATACCTTAGTAGTCATACATTGACGCGATCAATTCCATACACTAGCTTGCGGGGTAGCTCCCACGCGATTCCAAACAGCTTCAATCACATCATCGGCTGGGATTATTGCGCGCTCTATTGATTTTCAATCCTTATCTCTTCGGCCCAATGTCAAGTCGTATGCAGTCTACGAATCCGCGAGAGTGGCGTGAGGGCGGAAATGCCGGAAGTTGCCATCGATACTTTGGATTGCGTTCGCAGCGACGCACGCAAGTGGAGTCAATCTTTGAGCCACTCGAGCCCATGTTGGACGAATTGAGCACCATGGAACATCTGTGGTGCTAAAGAATACCTTTGTTGGAATCCGCTCGTGTTGTTACACAAAGTCGCTCAGGCGGGAGGGTGTCAGCCTCCAGTGGCACGTTTGTTGTGTCCTTTAAGCTTGCTGCGGTACACTGAGCAAGATTTTGGCTGTTTTTGCGCTGTTCACCATTACGACATGTCCGCATCAACAAAGCGCGTTGCTGTGATAGGAGCTGGAATTAGTGGAGTGGTGTCTGCTGCTCACCTGAGAAATGAAGGACTAGACGTAACAGTCTTTGAACGATCAAGTGCTGCTGGTGGAGTCTGGTAAGTGTCGTACATCTGGACATTGCCAGCTCTGAAGTTTATTTCTAGGCTTTATGATGAGCGAAGACCACTCGAACCCGCCTACCCTTCCGTTCTGGCGTCTAAAGGAGAGCTCTACGCAGATGATCCAGCCCTGAAACTTACTGAGGCCGAGACACAGGCGGTACGACATGCTCCACCTGGGTAAAAGCATCGCCTTCAAAATAACAACGAGCATTCTAACCACCGACCAAGCGCAGACCTTGCTATGTTGGCCTGAAAAACAATGTTGGTACACGCCTGCTCACGACCACGCTCAATCCATTCCCAGCTGGGACTGAAGACTACGTTAGCCATTCTGTTCTGAAGGATTATATCCAGGATACTGCAGTAAAGACTGGAGTGGAACGTATCACGCACTATGACACGGAAGTCAAGCAACTGTTCAAGATCAACGGCAAGTGGAAAGTCGAGACGGTAGTATTGGAGCGTCGGCCTTCAGGTACCACAGAAAGCAGATCAACAACCTCGGTATGAATCTGATCTCACGAATATAGGATGCTTTGATTAAGCTTATTGCTCTATAGACATTTGACACTGTTTTTGTGGCTTCAGGTCACTACCACGCGCCAAGGGTACCCGATATACCCGGCATTGATGAGTTGAAACGACGATTTCCGACCAGGATACAACATTCAAAAGGATATCGGACGCCCCAGCGCTTCGCAAATCGAAACGTGCTTCTGATCGGTGCGAGCGTATCTTCAACCGATATCGCTCGGGAACTTGGTCCGATCTCCAATACCATCTATCAGAGCCATCGTGGTGGTGCATTTGATCTGCCAGCCACTCTGCTTCCTGATAACGCAACCCGGGTCGAAGAAGTTGTGGCTTTCGACTTGCCAAAGATTAATACCGCGGTGACTGATGAAAACGAGCCACTTCCGGTGACCATCAAGCTCAAATCCGGCCAAACACTATGCGGGATGCACGACATCTTGATATGTACCGGCTACCATATTACGATACCTTTCCTACCTGATCTGCACTCTGACAGCACACCTGCCGCTGACGCATCTCCCACCACACTTGTCACAGACGGAACACAGCTGCATAATCTTCACAAGGATATCTTCTATATTCCAGACCCAAGTCTGATCTTCATCGGTGTTCCATACTTTACAGCTACGTTTACGCTCTTCGAATTTCAGGCCATGGTCGCAGCGAAAGTTGCCGCAGGCAAAGTAAAGCTACCGAGCGAGAAAGAGATGAGAAAAGAGTATGAAGATAGAGTCGCACTCAAAGGCTACGGCAAGACATTCCACAGCTTAAGAGAAAAGGAAGTCGAATACGTCAATGAGCTCCTAGAGTTCGCCAATCCGCAGCTGGAAACGCAGCTGCTTGGGCACACAGAGGTTTGGCATGAGGCAAGAGCGGAGTTGGTCGCTCGGATGCAAGCCATGCGTGCCGCCGGACCCGGTCCTGTGAAGGAGTTGGGCGTGACCTGCGCGTAGGGTCAGGTCCTTTTTAATGCGCAATGATGATAAATGTCTGCTGTTCCTTGTATCGACAACGCTTCTCGGTCTACTACTAAAGTGCAAGCTGCTCGATTACTCGGTGTCGGTCATTTATCTATGGTTATCCCCGGGCACGCAATATGCATAGACCTTTGCGCTACAGCGGTCAGTACTCATTGGTCGCGACTCAGTAATGCGGTACTGCACAACCACCACGTTCGCGTCGTGTCCCCAAAGCAACGCGCCCCAATCGTAGGGACTGTCCCCAGCTCGCACTTGTACCCTGCAATGACGTTTCTCGGCTTCGGCCCGTTGCCATTCACATGGTCGCGGGGTTGTCACGGTGTGGGGAAGACTGCCCGACCTCCAAAAACTAGAGTATTGAGTAATACATGCTTGCTCTTGCGTCAGTGGTAGTGGCGTTCTAGCCCGAATTCAATCCCTCGAAGCTCTTCGGTGGCGAGACCATCTTCATAAACATGAGCCGCATTCTACTATGTAGGCTTGACGTTCTTGGTCGCCGCCATTCAACTGTCAACTGACGATAGCCTACACTAAGATGGGCCACCCTTCATTCCATCCCAAGACGTTAGACTCACCGAATGAGCTACCTCTGATCGTGGAAGCCTCTGAAGAAGTCAAGCAAAAGCCGCGAAAATGGTACTACTATCTGTGGGACACGTTGGACAAGCCAAAGGAAGAAAGATGGTTCATGTTCAAGCTCGATGCAGCGCTTTTGACCTTCGCGTCGCTGGGTACGAAATCGCTTTTGTCTAGACCAATCAGCACTTACCATTTCCTTAGGCTACTTCATCAAATACCTTGATCAGACGAACATCAACAGCGCCTTCGTTTCCGGCATGAAAGAAGACCTTGGTCTCTACAAGAACCAGCTTAATTACATGCAGACGTGCTGGACTGTCGGCTATGTGATTGGCGAGCTGCCCAGCAATATGATCCTTACACGGTTTCGACCCTCGAGATGGATCCCATGCATGGAAATCACCTGGGCTGTTCTGACTTTCTGTCTTGCTCGGGCTAATAATGCGACGACGATCTACGTTCTGCGGTTCTTTATTGGGCTCGCGGAAAGCACGTTCTATCCCGGAATGCAGTACATTATTGGTATGTCTATTGTTCTTTACATGTTGTCAACGCACTCACGTGGTCAGGGTCTTGGTACCGGAAAGAAGAGTTAGCCAAGCGTAGTTGCATCTTCCACACCTCATCTGCACTAGGCACCATGTTCTCAGGCTACCTCATGGCAGCAGTCTACAAGCTCGGAGGCCGCGGCGGAATGGCAGGCTGGCAGTGGCTTTTCATCATCGATGGCGTCATATCACTACCCATTGCCATCGCCGGCTTCTGGTTCATCCCCGACGTGCCCGAAATAGCCAAGCCATGGTACCTCACCGAGGAAGAAGTGAAGTTCGCGCAGAAGCGCATGCAGCTCGAAGGACGTCAACAGCGCAAGCCCTACACGAAAGCAAAGTTCAAGAAGATATTTACATCTTGGCATATCTACGCTTTAACACCTTTGTACGTGTTCTTCAACAACGGTGGTGTGAGTGCGGCACCTGTGTTCCAGCAGTACCTCAAGGCTTCGAAGGACCCGAAGTACACCGTCAGCCAGATCAACGTCTACCCGACGATTCAAAACGGCGTGCAAGTTGTGTCAACGCTGGCGATGGCTTGGATAAGCGACGGCGTGCTAAAGGGAGCGCGGTGGCCAATGATAGTCTTCGGTGGCTGTGTGAACATAATGACTGAAGTATCGTTGGCTGTGTGGAACATCCCTACGAAGTGGAAGTGGGCTTGTCTTTCACTGACCGGAGTGGCCGGCGGTTTATCCGGGTTGTGCATGGCGTAAGTTTCCCTTCCACACACTCTACGCTGGAAACCCTGTATTGACAGTGAAATTCTAGATGGGCACATGAAATATGCACACACGACAACGAGGAGCGCGCCATTGTTATTGCAAGCATGAACGAGATCGCTTATGTGCTGCAAGCATGGTTGCCGCTGATAGTGTGGCAGCAGGTCGACGCGCCGGAATACCGCAAGGGCTTCATCACCGTTAGCTGCTTGAGCTTTATGTTGATCGTCACAGCGTTGACGATCAGAGTGCTACATGCTAGGGAGTTAGCGCAAAGGCGAGATGAGGATCTTTCTGATGAAAATTTAGTTCAGTCGGACAGGGATGAAAGCACCGAAAGAAGCGTGGATGTGAAAGTGTGAGATAGGCAATATCCGGGCGGGGAGATAGTAGAATGCTACCGACGAAGGGCAGTAGAGCTGCAACTGAAACAATCCCTGGGGTTATCTGAGCTTATTTTTGCCCGTCCAATGCTTGCAGTCGTTCCGATTATAAGCATTGGACTTGGGATCGTATATCACGGATACTGAAATAGAACACAAGACTTGCTCCGGGAGCGGGTAAAGCAAAACTTCAAGGTACGCGCTCGGATAAGTCGTCCGGGTCTTTTTGGGATCGAGATGTCTGAGTGCTTGTGTTGTAGGTCTGTTTAAAAAGGCATTTTCCTATTCTGATCAGTGCTGCTAGCATCTTAGTATTGCCGATGGAGGCCATTTGAGGTCTGCAGATGGGACTAAAGCAAAGCTTGGTGCTGCGGGAGTGTTTGCGACGGGCCTACTGTGAGTGCCAAACCTAGGTGATTCCGGAGGGCGTGAGCGGCCTCAATAACCCGCCCAATCTACACCGTCCGCCTCGCCGCGACCCTGAAAGCGGCTCAAATGGATGTAACCTACAAAGAATCTCCGGAAGCATGAATGCAGCCGCCGAGTTTGTCACAGTCCTCGTCTACCACACCTTCCCGCGCTTCGTGACGAGGGTACGCAGTAGAGATAGTGACCACCGCAATACATTGCAGTACTCGTCCGACTCTGCTCCGCCTAAAAGGGTTCAGAGCATGTGGGGCGAGCAGATGAGTACCGAGGCAAAGATTGGGCGTATAATCACGCTGTGGAAGAGGCAGAATAGCTTTGAGAGTAGTGCGTTGGAGTTGAAGGGGAGCCGGGAGAGTTTGGGGCCAGGGAAGGGGCCGCAGAGCGTGGAGGAAGGGGAAGTGCGGAGGAGCGTGGATATTGAGACGAGCTCGGTGCATATTGGAGAAGTTTGAGTCTGGCGTTGCTAGGGCGTCGATACAGGATGCAGTGTTTATTGACTGAGTTTGTTTCTCGCCAGGTTCACTTGCAAACGGCATCGCTCCATTCAACCTCTCTGCAGAATTAAAGGAAGGCACACGGACCGTTGAAGAACCAACCTGACGCGCACAAGCCGCACTCGCCGACGTCTCTCCTGATATAAAAGTCCGCGCGTAGCTGTGACTCTGTTCTCTCTCTCCACCGGTCTCACCTCACCCTCAGCATAACCTGAGTCTTTTTTTCGGATAAGGTACAACAAACAACTTGCGCCCACGACCCACCATGTTTCGGGTGCCATCGTCAACAACGCCGTCGCCTTCGTCAACGCCTCCGCGAAACTCGTCAGATGCGGACCCACAAGGCCGGCTTTTTGCGTCGCCTTCCCGACACTATGCTTCCTCGGTGTATGGTGACTCGTCTCCGCATCAGTTTACTTTCTCGAAGTTTGATGTCTCACCGCGGTCAAACAATACAGATCTGCGCCCTTCAACTTTCACTTCTACAGCAGGTCCACCCGCTGCAGCAAGTGACATTGCTTCACGTCGAACTTCGAACAAGGTGTCGAGCGGCGGCGATTCTCTCTACGCTTCTCCGCCTAGGGCTGCGTCTACATCCGCCGCGCCAGCTCAGGCAATGTATCCTTTCACATGTGAGATGGAGCTTTCTTCGCCTTGCTTTGTGAACACAAAAGGCTCTCCTCATTCTAGTGACTCTGGTGAACAGTACACGCCGCCATCTGCAGCGTCGGCTGAACAAATCTTTGACATGACGATTAGTGGCGGTCCGGACATCGACGAGGCTCCTGATCGACCTCCAGCCTTGGGTCTCAGCTCCATCACTAAAGCTAAGACTGCTCCTGTCAGCAAGAATGATGTAAAGGATCGAATCATGCTTGATGAGCAAGAAGTTGTAAGTACACCAAACACTGCGAACGAACCTTCATGGATATTAACAGCAGTAGCGCCTACATGGGGAACGGCTAATCCTCAATTCGAGAATGATTTCTCTGTTGAGTGAGGCTTGCACGAAGATGGGTCCCGAGGCCTTTGAAATTATTAAGATTAACATGCAGAGCCTGAGGGGCGAGACGCCTAGTACCGTGCAAGAAGAGAATGCGCAACTCCGAGCGGACATCGAATTGTTGATGGACTGTATCGGAACAGAGGAGGACACACAGCGCCAGTCTGAAAAGGAGTCGAAAATGAATCCCAATAGAGGGGTTCCGGATAACTCGTTCACTGGTGTCTCCTATAAACCTATCATCGGAGGCATTGCTGGCAAGCAGCAGCCCTGCTCGATACCAAAACGCGCCGTGCGTTCGTATCTATTCTCACCACCTTCCGACGTGGTATCGAACAACATTGCGCCCGAGGATCAAGTCCACTTGCAACTCATAGCCAAGGACATCCATGAGCTAAAGGAGCTTGCGATGAACGCGTTCGAAGACCGCCAGAAAAACTTCATCGATTCGAACATGAAGGCGATGCCGCGCTTGCCGAAGCAAGTTTCTGACGTTCTTGGAAGCCTAGACGCGACCAACAAGGAACTCATCGAGCTCCTCAAGCCGAAGACACATACGCAAATTCCTGGCGATGTTGCATCTGCAGGATCTGGTGTTGATCCTAGAGCTCGTGTAGAACCTGGTCCTTTTCAGTTTGGGAATCATAACACAGTCAGTGCTGCTCCAGCCCGTTTCACCTTCGGTGACATCACCCAGCCTAGCTTTGGTGCTTCTTCAGCACCGAACGCAGCAGCTCCCGGTGCTGCAGCAGGATCATCCGAGCAAGAGCCCTCGAAAGACGATCAAATCGCAAATCTGGAGATGCAGCTGCATAGACTGCGTCGACTCAAAGAGGATAACTACGAACAATTCAAGAATACCCAGCATGAGGCTGCGAAAACTCTGCACAAGATTATTAGAGAGAAGGATAAGGAGATCAACCAGAAGAATATCCAGCTCACGCGCAAGGATCTAGACATCTCTTTCAAGAATGGTGAGATCGCACGCATGAATGCTCAAGTCTTGAGCAAAGACAACGAGATAAAGCGTCTTCAGGATGAGCTGAAGGTCAAGACTCGCGAGCAGCCCATCCCGGTTGGGCTTCTTGGTTCTTCGAAGCACGTAACTGGAGCTTCTTCATCCTCTGACAGTGGAATCTTCGGCACTACAGCTTGTCCGCCCGGAAAACAACCAGCCTCCGGTTCGTTGTTCGGGAGTGGAAAGGCCGTCGGAGAATCTGTCTTCTACAACCCTAAGACAGGTTTCTCGCTTGGTCCTCCTAAAGACCCAGCACCCGGTTTATCTAGCAGTGCAGCTCGTCACTCTGAGCCGCTGCCTACCTCAGGTCCGCTTTTCGGTGCCCGTAAGAAGCCAGGGTATGGTTCTCTTTTTGCCCACGTCGAGTCTTCCTATGTTTCTCCTTGCGACAATGATATTTTTTATCAGCATCGTGGGCAGGCCACCTTTGCTCAGTTACTCTTTGGCAGCACTTGGAAGCCTTCGACGGGAAGCTCCTTTGCCACCCATGGGGGGCTCTTCAGCCATGTGGCACGTCCGTCTGATGGACAGTACACCCCTGGTTCTGTCCTTGGCAGTGCTGAGTATCGCGACTCCGAGCCTTTCCTAACAACTGGTAGGGCGCTTTACAACAGCCTATCTCATCCACCTGCTGCCCACCGTCCGTTCTCGATCACGGACTCGACAACGTGGCATCTACCCTCTACGGGTGGTGGCTCCCGATTATATGGTGGTTTTATCCCAAACCGTGCAAACCATCGAGAGCGTCACGAAGATGTTGACTTGGGTCACCAGAATCCTCGCACGGCTCAGGCAGAGAGCGGGGAGAGCGATGAGAATGAATTGTAGAAGCTGGGTTGACGGAATCTGTAGGTGTGTATGCTTTTGGCATGCCTTGGAAGCATAAGGCGAGTTTGATAGTCTCATGATCGGTGGGCGGTTGAGTAGCATTGGCCCGCCCGAGGATGGCATTTGACATGGTTGCTCTCATCGTAGAACTGTGCGTTAGATCTTGGCGAACAGGACGATGGCATCAAGAACGGTTTCAGTGATAGTCCATAGTAATGCTTTCTTGGTCAGGCGTTGAGTTTGGCTGCGGCATGAGATGAAATTGCGTAATAAATTTGATTGTGAAATACTAGAAACTTTTCCTCAAACAGAAACCATGAAAGCCGATAGTAGGATTGAATGTCACTCGATCGCGAGGTACATAATTGGACGACGCAGAGCCTCCATCCAATCAACATTGATATATTGAGGTTATCTCGCTTACTAACGCAACGGTCTTGGCACTAAAGCTCCGAGCTAGCATCATCTCCAATACCACCTCCGCAACGGCAACGCCAATTGCCTCCCACCCACGCCCATAATGCTCGCACGCACCCTCCGCGCCCGCAGCGCCGCGCGCGGCCTTTCCTTCTTCCGCGCCTACTCGGCGCCCGCGACCTCGGTCAACCAGGTGCCCGCCAACGACCCTACGAAGCGCGACGTCAAGCCCAATGTCTCTGAGACTAATGCTGCGCCCACCTCATCCGAGGGCTCCTTCGACAAGGTGCTGCAGGAAAGCGTAGCGAAAGGCGAGGAACTGCGCACGAAGCAGGCGCCAAATTACCAGGGCACATGGAGTACAAGCCAACAGCCGAGGGCTGTTGCTATGCAGGGACCGCGATTCGAGCAGACTATCATGGAGGATCAGGTATGCCAGATCTCATTCGTCCCGCGAATTGCGGTGCAATTGAGGCCCCAGCAGCCTCATTGGGGCTGTAGAGGGGATCATGCGGCCAGCAACAAACAGTGGACGAGACGAGCAAGTGACTGACGAGAATGCTAGCCCCGCCCATATGCCGCCATCGATTTGATCCACAAGCAACCCGTCCGCTGGACACACGACCGCGTTGTATCCTGCGACGGTGGAGGCGGACCTCTCGGCCACCCAAGGATATTCATCAACGTGGATAAGCCGCAGATCTGCTGGTGCACGTACTGCGGTCTGCCATTTGTATGTGAACCCCAAAATTATCATCTAAGTCGGTTGGCTATAAGGTGGGCATGTCTGACAAGATATAGGCTCACGAGCACCACCGCGCACATCTCGAGTCCCTCCCGGAATCGCAGCTCTCATACCCGCTCGCACCCAAGGGCGACCCTGCTGAGGTGGATGTGTCGCAGAGGATCACAGATGAGCCGCTTGGACAGCGGTAAGCGGACGGTGGGGTTTTGTCATGTGTACATAAATGTAGCAGCAAGGAAGGCAACGTTCCATTTCACCTTGATTCGGTGTATCACACCCAGACGCTAGCTGCGTATACTGACACCCCAGATGCTTCTTCTAGCGATATTAGTGTCCGCAGTACATCTCGGAGACTTCGCCAATCGAGAATATTCAGGTCTATCACAGTAATTCAGGGTTTACGATCCTCACTAGAATGTGGTCTGGCCGCCGGCTACCCCTTTCAGCTCTCCATCCAAGGAATTAACTTACGGTTCTAGAAATAGACATAGTGAAGAACGCTACTGCTTCGTCTTAGGACAACTTTCTCGGCAAAGCTTACACTTTCAATACGTGTTTCTCATTCGTCGTTGAATATCTCATTTAGACCACAAAGGTGGACCACCACTTGGCCACCCAACGGCTGCTACCGTGCTACCTTCGGCTGACACGATGTTCTCCAGGTCACATGTCGACTCATCCAGTAAGAAATAACGCTCGAATCCTTCACAGCTATAAGATTGGCTTCCCCAACATGTGACTGAACAACATCCCGTCGGCCGAAGGTACTATCAACGGACTACCCCATATTGGCAATTCTGGCAGGCCCACGCCATCACTTCTATGCTTCGTCATCTCGCTTTCGCATTCAAGAGACCCCAAGTATAGCCAAGCTCCGCGGGTATGAAATCATAGCTTCGCCGCGTCCTCCATGAATTCCTCAAGATTGCGTACAGGTTTCGCGCCAGTGCTCGCGAACAGTCCAGCTTTGAAAGCGCGCACGTCAGTAATGATGATGGGTTGCTTCGCATCCGACTCTTGAATGTCCACCTTTTCAGCAGGCTTAACCTCGCCTACGCCGCTCTCTGCAAGACCCAATGCCGCGGCTGCCTCGTCGGCGATCTTGGCAACCTCCTCTTTGCTCAACTTTTGATCTTCCGCGAGGTGCGCTGATATCGCGCTTGGCAGCTTCGATGCCTCGTCGACTCCTTCCAAGCGTGCTTGAAGCTTTCCAGCATCCACGGAAGTCTTCTCCTCATTTGCAATGGTCTGCAGCACAGCAAGGGCTTGTGTCTTCGTCTCGTCGAGGGTGGGCTCTTTGGGCTTAGACTGCGCGGTGAGGTGGACAGAGAGTTTGGCGCGGTGAGGCGAGGAGGGCGAGATGTGACGCGCATAGAAGGCGATCATGTCGTCTTTGGTGATGGTGGAGACTTGGGCGGCGTCGTTTTCAGCTGCGGAGAGTCAGTGTTGGGCAGTTTGAAAGGTAATCTGGCAAGTAGAACTTACATTGCAAGAAGTCATACGTATTCCTGAACATATGATTCCAGAACCTGTTCCCTTCTTGCCCGAGATTCTTCAACGTCTCCAATCTCTTGGAGATAACAGCACCCTTATGTTTCTCAAACTCTTCGTCGCTCATATCCTGCAAAGTCGTTTCGAACTTGGTTAGGAAGTGATCAATACGGCCCTCCAGATATCCGCAGTCCCGCTCGCTCTGGATCAAAATGCGGAACCCAGCGTAGGTGATGCCGGCGGTAGAGCCACTAAAGACGACATAACCGAGCTGCTCGATGGTGCGCAGCTGGTTGAATGCTGGCTCGTCGACCATTTGCGCAAGGATGAATTGCTTCGCGCGAAGAGCGTCGTCCATGCGGTTCCCTAGGTAAAGCGTATATTCAATGCAGTGGTTTACATTGGCAGGATCTTTGAGCGGTTGTGAGTAGATGAAATTGCTGCCTTCCGGTAGAATCAGGCTTCGCTCAATCGGCCATTGGCTCGGAGGGAGCTTTTTCGGTTTGATGGTCTTCTCAACAAGATCGGTGAGCTGGAGTGCGTCTTCCTTGTATAAGTTCCCGTGAGACAGAATTTCAATGTGACATTGAGAGAGGACCTGTGGGAAGAATTGTTGTACTTCCTGTGCAGTGATGGTGTCTAGCTCTTGCGCGAGTTCATCATTCATGAAAGCGCTGTCAACGCGGAACCAGCGAGAGTACGTGCCGACCTGGTGGAATGGCTGGCCGAAGTGCCAGTTGCGGAAGCTACGGCTCGTCTTATCCATCACGATCTTGAAACGGTCTTCTTTAATATCGAGATCCCGAATTTGCAAGAGGACTTTCTCTAGCAAGACATGCAGCTTGTCATTATAGCCAGATACAGAGACTGACAAGCCACTCGCATGGGTGCTGAAGCCGTACACCAGACCGGAGATGTCTGCATCATAGGAGTACTCTACCAGCGCATCGTCAACCAAGCTTGCATACAGCGAAGCCAGGACGGCTGTCCTTGGCGTGACGTAAGTCATCGGAGTGCGAAGGTGAATATGCACATTGGCCTTGGGTACCCAAAACTGGTCGTCCTTCTTCCACCATGACCGCACAGCGTCGTCGTTCCGAATGAGTTTCGGCTGTGTCGCAGGCTTCTCAATCTCCTTCTTGTCCACGTCCAATCGGTTGGGAATAAACTCGTTTCTGTGCGGGAAGTGTAGCTCTTCAGGTCGCGCCTTGTCCTGGAAGGCTTGCCTGACCTCGTCTACGAAATCTTGAGGAATCTTTTCGGCCTTGTATTCGGTACCGTACCACTTTTCTTTCTCCGGCCAGTCTCCCGGGAACTCCTGGCTGACAATTGTCATCCTGAAGTTGTCGGGTCGCAAGTATTCCATGGCCTCGCTGATGCGCTGCGAATCGAACTTCTTGATGACCGAAGGCCCACTCAAAATCTCTTTGCGGCTGTAAGGCTTCTGCATGACGGAGGCCAGTGCACTAGTCGTCCTGCTTGGTGGGCTCTTTTGCTTGAAGCGGAAGCCAACTTCGCTGATTTTGATCTGCTCATCGACGACCCATTCTTGGGGCGGCAACTCGCGGATCATAGCAATGTATTGAAAGATTATCTTTACGATCTCCTTGTAATGCTGCAGGCCGTCTTCCGTCAGTTTGAGACTGATGTTGAAGATACCGCTACCAGGGCAGAGAGACGAGCCTCCAGCACCTAAACCATTCGCCCAACCTTTCGCCTTGATGTAAGCTAGAATGCTACCGGGACCTTCATGACCGATCAGATGGCTAAGATAGCGCGACGGGTGCGACTCGTAGAACTCTTCCTCGTCACGATACAAGAACGAAAGTTCCAGCGACCTTGACTCAAAGACTGGCTTTGCAAATGTCTGGATGAGCAGCTCCTTATCCGTATACACCGATACATCGTCCCATCGCTTTCTCGGCAGGTCCTTGTTTGGTACTTTCGAAAAGATCTCTTCTACCCATTCTTCCAGAGTGTCCAAGTTCTCCTGGCCCAACACAACGAGCTTCATCCTGTTCGCCGAGTAGTGCGTAGCATGGAACTTTATAAATTCATCCCGAATCTGAACACCCCGCGCAATGGGCTCATCGTGCAACGTCTTCCAGCTACCAGTGGAAAAGTGGTTATACGGATGCTTCGGATTGGAAAGGTTCTTGTTCAATTGGTGTAACCTCCAGGTATCACTCTGGAGGTTCTTTTTGTTCTCTGAGTCAACAGCTTTGATCTCACGGTCCACGGTATCTTCCAGGAACAGAGGGCATATAAAAAATTGACCAAAACGATCGAGGGCTCCCCAGAGAGGTGACTGTTCCTTATCTATCGGCAAGTGCTCCTGTGTCGCGCTGGGCGTGGCACTGTTGCTGTTCGAAGGCGTAGATTTAGAGGTAGCGAGCTCAAAGTAGTAATTCGTGGAGGTGGATGCCGTATATGCGTTCGAGTGGCCCGAATATGACGTTAAGTACTTGTTGTAGTTGTTCTCTTCTGGGTACTGTTGGTCGTGATTAGCAATTGCGCAACTCACACATTGTACGACTATATCTGAGACACCACGCGTTTGTGGCAGCCGTGTAAACGTGCTCAAAGATCTACGCCGCCACGTACCTTCTTCGTGCCCATGAACAGCAAGTGCTCCACGGCATGCGCTATACCTGGCATGTCCTCTGCATCGCTGAAGCTCCCAACGTTGACGTCCATGGCAGCGCTGGCCTTGTCGGTGGTCGCATCGTGTATCAGCAGAACCTCAAGCTGGTTCGACAATGTGATTATGCGATACGAGCGGTCGTCGACCTCGGCGCGCTCTAGGTCCTCTATCCGCGGTCGTGCGACACTCCGTCCTAATGGCTCGGCCATGTTGATAGGCTGTGTTTCTCGGCGAGGCAGAGTCGCGAAGAGCCTCGTGGTGTCTATGCGGAAGACGGGGCTAGGCTGCAGCGGCGAAGGTTTATATACGCGGCGTTGGTGGGATGAAGTGGCGGCCGCTTTGTAGCCTGAGGCCGGTGCTAAGGGTAAGTTTAAAGAGCACCCGGTAGGCGGTGACACCCAATGCGCTGGGCTTCTGATGGCAGTGGCACTGAGTCGTGGTCGCGGTGCAGTCCCCAAAAGGTTGGTGCGAATGAAAGCGGGCATCCACGAAGGTACTCGCGGGGTGATTGAGGCGGCAGGGAGAGACCAAGCACGCAAGACTTAGTTCGTTTGACAAGCTCGAATCTCCCTTTGGTTAATATTCACTTTCTTCTTCTATAGAATGGCACAAACGTCGACAATGCCAGGCAGTCTGACAAACACGTAGAATGCGAGGAGGTTGGGCCAGGGCGAATCTGGGGAAATCGGCCGTGATGAGGCTCATGTAAGATGAGCCACCGGCTCGGTTCCGAACGATCATCTCGGCATGCATAAACACCGGGCCTTTCTACCCGAAGACATCATAAGATCCCGAGCGTCAAGTAATCCTGCAATGCATCCACGCTGATCGCCATCATGGTATCTAAACATTTCGAGGCAGGCTATCCAGATACAAAAGGTTTCCGAAAAGTTGTCAAGGTTACGATCATGGTCAAAAAAAAGGAAGGCATGTCCGATGAGGACTTCATCCAGGTTGCTCGCTCCCGGGAGATTTAAGAATGAATGCATGAATGACGCGTTCAGTACTACAATAATCACCATGCACAGCGAGCGATGCCTATATTGCAGCGACATGGCATCATCAGCTACAGTCTTGTAACGATGTCGCATTGGATCTCCGCGTATACTAGGCTAATATCGATAGACCTATCACTTGGGCCGCGATAGAAAGATGATACAGGATATCATGCACAACCAAGCACAGCTACTAGACTACGACGCGATCTGCACATTTGTGTTTCCCGATTACCTGGCTCTGGCCAGGTTCATGTATGACAAGGAAGGTGCAGCCATGAGTGGGGATCATGACAACTTCATGGATGAGAGCCAGATGCGCATGATGGTAGGAGACGAATACATGTTGATAGAGGATGGAGAAAAGGTCGTGTCATGAGGTTTGAGTAGGAACTATATCCTACGCCTCCAATGGGTATCATTCAATTCATCAAAACTTTCTTGGAGACCGCAGAAACGCTCAATATCGCATGCGACCGCGATCTCGACTACCGCGCATCCCTGGAGGACCGGACGGCCTGCGGCCTGGGTTTGGACAGTCGGCCTTCGTGTGGCCAAACTTTCCGCATCCGTAGCACTCTACTTTGCTCATGTCGCGGCCCGCATTTGGTCGACCACCAGAGAGGGAGGTCAGACCTGCAAGGTCCATGTCCTCGTCTATAGGTGCACCGGTCCGTCTAACGGGGGTCACCGCAGCAGCCTTCTGTGCCCTTCGCGCATTACGCTCCTTTGCCGAGACTTCTCGCTTGGTCTCTCTGATGAGCTCCGCTGTAGGGTCGTCGGATTCGATTTCTCCAGAGGACGACTCCGAGTCACTCTCTGATCCCGATCCTGAGCCCTCTACCTTGACCAGATCTGGTTTCGCCTGCTAGCCATTAGCAAAAACACCTTCCACTAGACTTACAGTTCCACGTCAAAAGATCGGACACCATATTGTATATCCTGGGCAACGCAGGCCAAATAACTTCTCCAGCCTCTTGACGTAGTACTGTGTAGAAAGACCACGCACCGCCTTCTTTTTCTTCAGACCGCCGCCAAACTTCATTCTGATAGGTTTGTCCTCCTCTTCCTCATCAGAATCATTGTCCGCGTCAATAACCGCAAAACCCGCCTGTCGAACCTGCATCATAGGCGCTCGCTTGCCAGCATAAGGATCCTTGTAACTCAATTCCCATTTGGTCTCACCAGTATGCGCATACGCACGCGCAAGAGCCTCTTCGCGTTTCTTCTCTTCTGCTGCGAGCGCCGACTGCATAATCTCTCGATCTGAAGGCGCACCCGGTGTGCTTGCCGCCGAACCACTGTTGGACATTCGCATTCTCTTCGACGGCGGGCCATCGGGCGTTGAGGGTTCCGAGTTTACTGACTTGGCGGCAGAGCGCTGCATGAACTGGGCGACATGTTAACTGAGTAATCCCGAATCTTGCACAAAACACAAACCTTCATCGTCATGAGCCGACTCGACATCGTTTTGGGCGTATTCGACGCCATGTTGAGCGATTAACAAGAGTTCACAATGCTGTATGGTTAGTGGGGTAAGTGAGCAAGATCGCACGTGTTGTGGTGTCGCGCGACAATTGTTGTGTGGAAAGCAAGCAATCCGACAACCTTCAATGTAGAGAAATTCGCGCACGGGCGCCGTAGCCAAGCCGGGCGTACGATAGCTCCGATAGGGCTTCACCGTCTAGCACCAGATGCCAGTTTCTCTCTCCGAAACTGTGTTACAATTTTTCGGCAATGTAAGAAGTATGTGGGTGGCTAGGGCTTAGCAGACTTTGCATCCGGGAATCATTGTTGACCCTTAACATTGGTTCCCTGATCAGGTCTGGCAACGAGTGGACTTGAACTTCTTCGTTATGATAGATCTCGAACTCATCATAACGAATCCTGGAATCCTGCTTATCTCACCGTTAGAAATTGGGAACGGCTGAGACATGTTCATGCTCCGAAATAAGCTCTGACTGAGAAGTGTGTACCTCTTACCCTTCGCAGCGATCAGCCTCCGGTACATTGATGAGCCGACGCCGAAGACGAACGTCATCTCATTGATGGTGAGATATAATCTGTTATGATATGCTGAGCAGAACTCAATTCACGAACAGCCACTAGTATCGCGACAAGAGATGCTCAGGAGACCATTTCTCCGAGCGTTCCGCCCACACAATGCCTACGTACGCGCCCCTAGACAACAACGTTTTGCGACCGAACCACCACCAATAGCTCCAAACTCTCAATCGCGTATTGAACGCTTCAATCGCCGGCTACCAAAATTCCTCCATAAATATACAAATGCACTCGGCTCAGCGCCCGTCTCCCACATTACCGCCTTCCTCATCCTCCACGAAATCACCGCCATTGTCCCACTCCTTGGTCTCGCAGCGACGTTCCATTACACGCACTGGTTACCAGGATGGTTCACAGAAGGTGCTTGGGCGTTACAGGGTGTCGAGCGGTTCGGGAAGTACTTCAAGAGGAAAGGTTGGATCAGGAGCGAGGAAGCTAGCGAAGCGGAACTCGAGGTGGAGATGCGTACCAGGGACAAGGCGTGGGACATCGGAGAAGGCGGAGTGAGGTTAGTCGTGGAGTTCGCGACGGCATACACAATCACGAAGGTCCTTCTACCGTTTAGAATCGTGGCGAGTGTTTGGGCGACGCCGTGGTTCGCAAGAAAGACTGTGGTGCCGTTGCTGGCCAAGTTCAAGGACATCTTTCGAGGAAGGAACGGAAAGAGAGGCCAGGCAGGCGATTTGGGCACCGGAGCTACTAAGTCGGACGCCATTTCCAAGAACGGAGGCAAAGGTCTTGGGTGATAACATTCCTCTCTGCTGGTATACCACAGAGCGTTGCAACTAAACCATTAAGTCCATCAATCCGTACGTACAGCACGGGGACACTAGTATTGGTCAAACCTGTATGAACAGCTGGTATACCCGTGTAGACTCAAGGCGTCCTTGTCCATTCCCGACCGCTACACCAGCTAGAACTATAACTGGGATTACTCCAATAGGTTGATCATCTCCTTAAATTTACACTGCATGGACGACTGACCAGGTCTTGTGGCGCTAGTTGACAGAATGGAGCGTGGGCTTTCACCTTCACCGTTTGGCAGGTCTTGCGCGGGGTTCGCTACAGGTAGGCAACGAAGGCATTTCTTTCGTGGTTTGTTCTGCTTCCACCACACGTCACAACTCATTAGGCCATTCGCTTGATTTTGACTTTTTCATTACTGCTGTCTCTAGCCCTCCCATCCCGCCAGATACCCACATTGAACACTGTGGGCCCTACCACCATGTGCTTCGACGACGGCACGAACCACAAGCTGGACATCCGCGAGAAATCTAAAAACAGCTACCGCGACACTAGATATGGCCCGACGCACACGTACTACCCAGCGCAATACTATGCTCGGCCTCCCATCGGTAACTATATGGGCGGCCATCAGCACCACGCGCTCCAGCACAGGCACCAGTACCACGGCCACCAGGGACACAATCATCGTCACTCCTATGCCCTCCCTTCCCGCCATGCTCTCGTGCCCACTGGAGTCAATTATGGGCCTCACAGGTATCATGCCGGAGGTCGGGCTCTAATGCCGAGCAGAACAGCAATGGTAAGCTACACTTTCTTGCTCGCTTTCGTTTGTCCACGCAAAACACACCGCCCGCTCCGTCATCGGTCGAGCCCCGCTTGTGATCGATAATTGAGAGCTTGGACTACAATCTCAGGCCATTGCTGCCTGGTTACCGTCTATTTCCTAGCCTTCACCTTGCCTCTCTCTCCACCTGCCCCGCGACTTCTGCATTTGGCAGTGCTCGTTCACTCTTGCGTTTCCCTTCCCACAACAACCTCCATTTCTCAAATCAACCTCATCCAATTGCAATAATACCGCACCCTACAATCGTCGCAATACAACCCACACGATGGACAATCTCGGCCAGCCCAAACCCCGCCATCAGTACGTACTTTACCCTCAGGCCGGCCGCCGTGGGATCATGGTACACAATGGACAGTATCCCAACGGTGCGCCTTACGTCGGCAGTACTGGCGGCATGGGAATGGGCATGGGTATGGGCATGGGCGCGATGGGCTACGGCGGAATGGGCATGGGGGGCTACGGCTATCCTGGGGTAAATGCTCACATCTCACCTCTCTACTACGGCCCGAACGTCTCTCGCAGCACGTACAGCAACTACGCTGGTTTCATGGGCGGCTATACAGGCTTGAGCTACGGCGTGTCTTCTTATCCCACTTATTCTTACTCTTCTCCCTACATTTCCCCTTACGCCTCCACCTTCGGATACGGGTGTGGTATGTATGCTAACTACTATCACCCGTATCAGAGGACCTACTACGGCATGAACCCCACCATGGCTGGCGGCGCGTATTCCTACTCTTACCCCGGCATGCAATCGACGATCATCCCGCCGTCCACCACCACGTACACGACCGTCACGAACTCTGCTGTTCCCGTCGCGGTGAACCCAATGGCCACGACAACTACGAGTACGACCAGGATGCGTTCGCAAATGCACTCTTCGCCTGTGCATTCGGTTTCCCGCGACGACGTTCAATACGAGAACCGCCGCGTCGCAATGGAGCGCGGCTCCTACGCCCCGAAGGCAATCAAGCCGGCCAGTGCGCATCCGGACGATCCGTTTTGGTGCATGGAGCGCACCGGTGAGTGGCACCTGCGGACTTACTACCAGATCGAGAACGAGTGCTACCCTGGACGCTGGCTTATGGATGCGGAGCACGGTTTCCTCGTCTTTCACCGACAAAGGTAGGCGGACCAAGACGACATGCTGGATCGGCAGGCGGAACTTTGTGATACAGCTTCCGCGAGTGTTGGACAGCTATCGAAATCGGCCATACTCCCTTCTTGCGACCTGGGTCTCGGATGGAGTCCAGGCTCGCTGAATCGACAAGACTTTCGTGCACCATGCAGGTTCAGTTCCTCGCCCGAGGGCACAAGATCCAGGATCTGCTTGGCACACGATGACGCGCTCTGCTTTTGGAAAGAATACATTTGCGGCTCGGCTCAGGATATTCGGTGGCATTGGCAGATGTAGCAACATGGCATTTGCCGGCGTTACGGCTTTATGGTTCGAGGCTCCTTCCACTGGTCCCTTCGAGGACCGTTTCTGGAAGACAGGGACTGGAATGGCATGGTTCTCGGAACTGGCATGAACGAGATGATACCCATTACGACAGTTGATAGACCCTGAACTTCTTGAATTATTTCATTTAGTTTCATAATCAGCCTCTGCCTTCGACCCAACGTTTCTCACCCTCTAGGACCGTCCTCAAAATCTGATCAGCGGAAATGCACGCTGCTCTTCTACTCAGCTACCTGATATCTTCTAATGTGCCGAACCCTTCAAGCCTCCAATATGCATCACATTCACTCAATTCGTGAACCGCCCTCACCCAAAAACACGCGCTCACATCTTCTCTCCCTGAATCGTAGCCACGACCTTCCTACTATGCCTCGCCGCCCTAAACTCCAAATACCAAATCCCCTGCCACGTCCCCGTCGCCAGCCTCCCATCCGTAATCGGAATGCTGATGCTGGCCCCTACCAAGGCGCTCTTCACATGCGCAGGCATATCGTCGCTTCCTTCAGCGTCATGGCGGTATAATCCGCCTTTCCTGTCCTCGGGAACAATACGATCGAGCGCGTCGCTCATGTCAGCCCGAACATCCTCGTCCCAGTTCTCATTGAGGGAGAGCGCGCAGGACGTGTGCTGGATGAAGAGGTGCAGGATGCCGGTTTTGTAAGTTTTTATTTCGGGGAGGTCGCGCGTTATGGTGTCGGTTATGAGGTAGGAGCCGCGTGATTTGGAGGGGAGGGTGAGTGTTTTTTGAAACCTGTGGATGGCGTTAGCTTGGGGCTTTAAGGCATTGGGGGACCGAATGGCGTGGGAATGTTCATGGATCTAAGAGATGCGTACCAGGACATTGTCGGCGGCGCGGTACAGATATTTGGCGCAGAGCAGTAGACGTCAGGCGTGCGAGGTGGCGGCGGAGGGAAGATGTAGTGGTACGGGCTCCAAGTAAGCTTCACAAAGAGGCTGGGAAAGAGTGCGAGGATGAAGCCGCAGCAAATGAGGAAGGTAGTGCAGGGCGAGATAGTGCTGTGTGGTCGTGTGGGTGGCATGTTTGTCGAGATGCGGTTCGCGGGTTGACGTCAGGGTGCGCGAGGTGGGGCAGGGTTCAAATGTTTTGGCGAGTATGCAAGTGCTGAGCCGCAAATGTCTTACAGCGCGTGCATTATTCAGTGTTATTTGACCCTAATGCAGGTGAGAGTAGACTTGAGGGTTGGAATGTTTAATATGGAGCGAAGCCCTTTATTAATCCCACAGAGAATGCTTCCTTGCTTGACCAATGCGCTTCACATTGCAATCGGTGCGTGTAACTGATCAGAGAGCCTTCATCAAACCCTCATGCTTCACAACCAATCCTTCCCCTTTTGGTACACCCGGCGCATCCCCCTTCGATCCCGACCACCCTCCAACCACATAAGCAACCGCGTACAAAAACCCGGCATTACCTGGCATAAACGGCGGCGGCGTTCCCCCATCGCCACCTCTGATCGCAAACCCTGCATCATCAAATTTCCAGTAGTCGTATGCTGTAAGGTGATACATCGCCCTCGACGGATTCCCGATCCTGGCGCTATTGATAGCCAGAACAGGGCGACCCCATCCGCGGATCTTGTCGTCTGTCCATACCTGCGCGACTTTTTCTGCGGTAGCTAAAGCGATTTTAGGATCCACGGCAGGTGTGTCGGGTAAGATGCCTTGGAGCATGATGAGGCTTCGTGGGTCGCCGGTGAGCTTTGTGTCATTCCACCACGAGCTATTCAAGCCGTTATACACGGCATACAAGCCGTCGACTTGCGGCGGGAGGGCGAGGTTCGCAGCGACGTGTGTCCACTTCTCGGGGATGCGTTGACCGAGTTTGTGCTTCCATTCTCGTGCAGCATCGAGACCGTAGCGCCAATATGCGATTTCGTAGGCAAGGTTGCGGGTAGAGTTCGGCGGCGTGTTCTCTGTCACACCGTATGAGGGAGGACCGAGATCGTATTTTCCGGTGCTGTTATTGAGGCCAGCATAAGAAGCCATATAGTTTGCCGTCTCGGTGAGAACGCGGTCCCAACGCTCCAGAGTTTTGCGTGTCGGAGATGCTTGGTATGCCAGGTTAGCGAGATACATGGGATGAGGCTGTTGCCATAGTAGTACGCCGTTGATGTCGCCTGGTGAGTTGATCCCATAGATAGGGTCGGTCATTTTGGGCCAACGAGCGCCTTGCCAGCCCATGGCTTTGGCTCGAGCGAGCGAGGATGGGAGCAGCCTTTCGTAGAGCTCTGGGAAGATGTTGTCGAAGTACTTTTGTTTGCCCCATGTTGCCCAGTGCGCATTATGCCATATAACCATCTCCATGTGAAATTTACCTACACAACCGTTAGTTTCAAGCCAACTGTAGACCAGATCGTCAGCCACGTACCATACCACCCATTGTTCATCAAACCACTCTCCTGGGGTGACTGGCCATTCGCTGCGCTGTTTACCCTCACATGATATTGGGACGTAACGATCCTGCGCAACTCTGTCGCATTCAGATTAGATGACGCAGTGACGTCGACAAATCCTCCTTCTTGCCAATATTTGTTCCACTCAAGCTTATTACGCTTCTGGATGGTTGAGGGTGGAGATGGATTACGCTGGTCAGGTGAAAATTGCGCCGTGAAAATTAGGCTCGACGACTTTCGGGAAGCGGGCTGGAGAGTATAACGATGCGCGGTTGTGGAGTTCGAGCCTTCAAGCTCATTACGTGAGAGTTTTAGAGCCGTTTGTTCTGGCCATCTCAGGTTTGCGAAGTACGACGTTTCCTGCAGCTGGTGCTTGATGCTTACGGAGCCCCCCATTGTCATTCGTCGCAATAGAAGTTGTATGGTTTAGAGGGAAGTCGTAGACTCCTGCGAAAACCTATGCATACTCTGAGCGCCAACTCGCTTGGAAGATCGCATTCGCTCACCTCGTACTTGTAAGCTGTTGTATGAATGGGCGGATACGGAAAATCTAGTTCCACACCCAGATCTCCGCTCTTCAGTAGCTCTGACTCTACCCTGAATGCTACTGCGTCTTCTTCAAAATCGCCTTGGGTGATGACTTTTACATATTTCCCGTCGATTTCGAATGTGGAGGTAATGATTCCATTCCATAAGTCCTGAACCTGTTTCGGTTGAGTGATCTGTGATGCAGAAACTGTAGCGCCTTTGTATGTGAGCCCTATACGTCCCAAGTTGATACGATTGGGGTTGCCAATTAGCCACTGCGTTGCTTGCTTGAGGTTGGGATCCGGCAAAGCGTCGTAGTAAACTTGGCGGCCGTATGTCTCGCGCGGTACGCCGTGGTAGTCTGATGGTAGTTCACTGCATATGGTCAGTCGTCGACCTGAATTGGGCTGTGCAGGGATCTTGCCGCACCCGTCCGCAGGTAGTGAGTCATTATGCCATGCCCAGCTTGACAAGGTGTTGAAGGGCAGGAATGTCTTATTGTAAGTCAGCTCGGTGGGTAACCACAGTCGTGGAAGGCTCTCACCTGCATGCCAGTGTTGTCGACATTGAATGCAAAGTTTCCGTTTCCGATTTGCAGAGGCGTTGTTTCGTTATCGATCAATTTTGTGCGGACAATGTTAAAACGTGATACTATATGTTGTCTATACACAGTCAGTTGTAATCATTGGTGGTAAACCTGTCCACTACCTGTCGATTCGCGCAATGGCAAGAGACGGTGCCAGCAACAGACAGTATCCTGCCGCAACTTGATTCACTCGCATCTTGTCTAAAGATACGATCCCAAAACAAAGGGATTGCGGACAATGGAATATGCGAAGAACCTTGCTGTACACAAGACTAGCTCCCATGTTAATGAGAGCCAACTACATGTAGTAAGTATCCGATCCGGGGTAAATGCGACCGAATGCAACCGACCCCTCATCGCTTAAGGTCGATCGCAGCGTTGCAGGGCTAGCTGCAAACTAATGACTCAATGAGACAAATATTTTTCCGTGTTTGTCCCAAGTAACCGACCCTCAAGCAAGGTCTACTTCGCGACCGCGTCTCCGAAGGATGACTTGAATGCAATCAAGCTTTAGGCCACCCATGACTTCAGCATCTTTAGCAGCCCAGACATCCTCAATGTCCCTTAAAACTCTTTTCAAGCTGGGAAATTTCCTCGACTCGTACATCGCCAAGAATCGCTCGCGGACGAATTGTCGTTGTGTTGCGTCCATGGCTTCACATCCAGCGGTGAACAGAGGCCAAACATGCGAGGACACTAGTGGTGAGTCGACTGGAACTTGCTCGATGAACGCAAGACATTCCTGCACATGCTTGACCGTGGTAGGATTTGGCGAACCCATGTCAAGCCAGACGCGGTAAAGATATATGAATGCAGCGTGGCGATAAGCTTCCACAGTAAAGTTGACGTCTTGAGGTTCAAATGGATTCACTTCGTCCAGATCGACAATCATGTTAAGCAGTATTTGCTGAAGTTCGGCGCCCATATTGAAGTTATCGCCTTGAAGTTCCGACTGACCTGAACATAGCCTTTCCGCTTTCGCTACTTCGTGGAACTTGCTGATACGTGCGACAACTTGCATGATCTTTGCAATATTCTTCATCCTCAAAGAGCCTTCGATTGCAGTGAAATCAGACCCGTGTATGTCAAGAGGCGAAGAGCCTCTTGAAACTGAGGAGAGGATATCGTGGTAGGCGAAAAGACTGTTCAGGAAATCCGCGCTTGACGAGGTAGTATTATTGGACCGAGCTCTTCTTCGTGCGATCATGGCTTTTGCGCCGATGAGATGGTTTACCGCATGCGCCTCTTCCTCGTCACCAAAGAGTCGTGCGGATATCTGCATCATCATCACAGTGGCTAACGTGGGATCTGCGTCAGCCAGGTATGGGTCCTGGATAGCCTCCTGCAACAGACGGATAGCTTCGTGCTGATGTTTGTATGCCTCGAATCGGAGTGTTGTATCACCAGATACTAAAGCGAAGTGCGTTGCGGCCATAGACAAGACTGTTGACTGTAGAGCGCCCCGCGTGTAGGTCATTGATGCGAGATGAATTGTGAAGGAGCTTATGCCTCCATCTTTTGGAGCGGCCGATATCAGGGGAGATAGCTGCTCCAGCCAATAATGCAGAAGTCGTTGGTTTGTATAAGACAAGTCTGGGTAGACGGATGGGTTCACCATGGGACTTAATGCCCATTCGGAAGGATCCAGAAAGGGCGCACCGCTTAATGGCGTTGGTGCAGAGACGACACTGAATACGGAGGCCGGGCTAGTGACAGATCCAGGGCTCTCAACAGATAATTTGTCGATGGATTTGCTCCGCTTCGCATGACGTTTCCGTAGAGCTGGAGCGGAAGAAGTCGCGATCTTCCATTTCCATTGTACTCCGTAACCTTTGCACTCTTTCTTCAATCTCGTGCATCTTCCACAGTTCGGTTTTTGCTCATCGCATTTATAACCCGCTTCTCGACACGTCCAGCATCCAGTTCGAGATCTCGTGTGACCAGCCATGATAAGGAAGTCGGTGTTTGAAAGCGACTGTCCTCATCAATACCATCAATTAATCATCATCTGTTGAGTCGTTCCACTGGACATTACATGCAGAGGGAATACGGCATAGCATTTGATAAGGGTGGGGGTCGTGGGAAGTGGAAGAGTGCACATGCGGAGAACTCTCGAAACTGATCTAAAAGCGGCAAGTGGACCTAACCACGCGACCTCCGTGCAGAGTCGGGCCGAGCAGATCTCGAACATCACGAAAGTCTAGATGACTAGGAATTGCAAAGATTTTGAACTTTACATGAACTTTAGCAGCAACAAAAAGGCAAACACAAAGCTACCAACAATTTACAAATTCATTCATGGCACTGTCGTTCACAGTACAAGGCACCGCACCTGCCATCGGTCCACTTCGAGAGTCGCAAGGCATGCTCATAATCGTGGTCCTAGGGTCTAATAGTCCTGTGAAGCCTGCGTCTCTCTGAATATTGAGTACTCCTTTGCTGCATAATCAAAATATTGTTCTACTTGTAGATCGCATCGCAGCACTCACTCCGTCGGTTCATGATACGCTTGAAATGCGTATCGTCGAAGATGACCAGAAAAGCTGCCATCGTATCGTGTCAATCTGGCAGTAAGCCGAACCATCAGCGTAGGATCTTCATGCTTAGTCGAATCTCGTGATTGCAACAAACAGTGTCACTTTCGCTGGTTTTTTCCTGCGTTCCCACTTCCACCCTAGATAACCTCTGCCTTGGCCTTGTGAACGATCTACTTTGGTGCGCGGCCTCGCCGTTTGAAGCTTTGGTCTTCGCGACTTGACAACTTGCTTGCAGTGCTCGTGTACTATCGCCTTGTTCCTCGAAGGTCGACATATGTGTGTTAGCTGGGACTGACATGACCGAGGTTTCGTATGAAGAGTACTGCCACTTCTAGTGAAGATCACGTTGCCAATGGCGCGGAGTCGGAGTAGTTCGGCAATGTTCGTAGAAGCTGTGATCGAGTTCAGGCTACGAGGCGAACAGATGCATGCATAAACGACAAGAATGGTATATCTATCTGTCAACATCTCTTCTCCACATGCGTTCAACGGGTCGCATAAAACACCACCCAGGCTCGTGAAGATGACATAGTCATCAGATGTGCTCCTCACACAGCCAGCGTACGTATTACATATCCCCGCACCCAATCCACCTACAAATCAAGTCTACCTTCTCTATTGCACCTGGTTCACAATCTCGCTCGCCTTGCTCAACGATTCCACCATCTGCATGCACTCCTTGCGCCGCCTAACAGTGTACTCAGATTCCTTCAGCAAATCATCAAGCTCCTCCGTTTTGTACATGTTCTCGAGCAACTCGCGCTGCATCTCCTCTTTCGTCCACGAAACAAGGTTAAGCATGATGGCCTTAGGGACCATGTCGATCATGGTGCGGCGAACGATATTAAAGTAAGAGGTAATGAGGAGCTCTGTCATACATTAGCATGTCGTTTCACGAGAACAAGATAGAATACGGAACGTACTGATAACCTCGACCTCCTGGACTTCCTTCTCGCTCAGCGTTCCGCTCGCCTTGAGCGTGGATGGTGGCGGCTCCATGGCCGCCATCTTCTTCTTATTCTTGCTGGCGAAGAAGCTTCCGAAAAACCCGCCACCCTCCTCACCGGCCAAGCCCAAGCTTGGGCTTGCCGCGCGTGGCGGCACTGCTGGAGGCAAAGGCTTCCCTGTCTTGGGGTCGACCTGTTGGGGCTTGCTTGCATTGTGTCGCTCATGTACAATTGCCATGGCTCGCGAACCGTTGATGAAATCTGGGTGACCGGTGTTGATGTAGCACGATTCCATAGCAACAAGATCCTTGACGAGCTTGTTCGTGGGGTCCATGGCCTTTTTAAAGAACATGACGACGACTTGGTGGAGCTTCTCTTTGAGACCTGGGTACCGTCTGAAGGTTGACTTGTTGAGGAGCTGGCCAAGGATACGGATCAATTCGTCGTAGACCAGGCTGACGCATTTCAACGAAGGGTCTTCTAAGCGCTTGATTTGCTGCTTTACAATAAGCTCAAAAGCAGTGGTGCCGACGAAAAGCGCAGGTGAAGAACCAGACGAGTTGTAAAGCACAGTTCGAATGTCGACATCCTTGACCTGGTCGAAGGGGTCCACAGCTTTGACACCGTTGGCGTATAACTCGTGGTAGACGAAGGAGATACGTGCGCCACCTGAGAGCTCAGATGCCGATAGCTCCTGGTTGTTGCCCTCGAGGACCCCCCTGTATTCGTTGCTGAATTCCGTGATCATGTTCAATACGATGTTTGAGCTGTTGCCAAGTAACGAGTCGCCCAAGGAAGCTAATTCGGCGGAGTATTTCTGGAGCGAGGAGGCAATGCGCGCTTTGATATCGGGAAGTGTTTGCTTGATGTGCATCATAAGGATCTAGAGTTAAATTAGCTTTCTTCTATGGCCTCGGGTATGCAGCTAGATGCCTACCAAGTTCAGCTTGCGCGCTAGATAAGGCGTACCACAATAGGCTGCCTTGTTCTTGTATGCGCGGTGATTTTCGAAGAACGATCGTTCGTGCTCCAGAGCAGATGAAATCGCCTTCTTATTTTCGATATCACGTTGCCCTCGGTTCACGACTGGAACGTAGCCCAACCGTAGCGGAATGATGCGCCCAGCCAGAATATCCACGACATCGGTTCCATCGTCCATCAAGTCGACCTTTGTGAGGACACCGATTGTCCGCTGTCCCTCAGGGTCCACTTCTCTCGCCAGCTTCAGACCGTCCGAGTTTGCCAAATCCGTATTCGCTGCCGTGACAGCGAGTATAATGGCGTTCGGCTTGCTGATTTGCTTCAGCACCATTTCACGGATTTGGCGCTCGATATCGCGGGGCTGATCGCCAACGGGGACCTTTGTGAGACCAGGCAAATCAACGAGCGTAAGCGTAAGGACGTTTGGCGAGTATATCCTCAGATTGATGGGCGCGGGAGAGATACCGGCATTGCGACCCGTCTTGGACTCGGTTTCGCGCACGATCTCCTCTCGTATCTTGTTGAAGTCGTGGAACTTCTGGCCGGGAATGTGTAGGAACTCGCCCCACTCGTCCACGTTGGACTCTGCATCCGACGTCTTCACCTCTTCCTTCACGCCATTTGCCTGGGGGTTTGCCGATTGCCGATTGATAAGCTGAAGGATAAGCGGTCTTCGGGTCACGATACCAGTTCCTCGAGGAAGGCTGTTGCCTCTATCAGCTTGCTGCCCAACTTCTCCAGCCTAAGGTGTAGGAGCTCCCAGCACTCACAAGTCACGACCGACTATGTTCTCCAGCACCGAACTCTTTCCACTCGACTGCGATCCTACGACAGCGATCTGAGGCAAATCTATAGGGTTTTGGACCTGCGACAGGCATCAGCTTGTGCGCTCTTTATCGTGGCGGTGGGGTTGCGCTGAATGGCATTTCAAGAGAGGCGACGTACCCCTACGGTGGTGAAGACATCCTGAAGCTTGTTTACAAGCGTAATCAGAGTCGGGTCATTGACGTTGATGCTGCAGAGCATTCGTTAGCTGTGGATCCTGTGGTGGTACTCAAGCTCCACTATGGGGGATACCTACGCAGTTGGGTTGACCGACATGCCGGCGACGTGTTCTCTAGTGGTGCCTTCTCAAGGTGTGTGTATGTAGCGGAGACTGTGCGAGTGCGCTGTGGTTTGTAGGAGAGCGTGGGAGGACTCGGGGGTGTTTGGGGTCAACTGTGTTAGGGTGCGCACGCCCGCGGTTTGCGTATCGAGTGTCGTAGCTGCCAGGCAGGGATGCGCGCCACTGTGGCGCAGCACACAGTCGTCACCGCGCCCGTGGCCGTTCACTGGTCGGTGTGCTAGCGTTACAGAGCCTAAGATAACTCGCCCTATAATACTTGCACAAATTTGTATCCTGAACCTAATAGTCTATCGCCGACGTTCACACTAATGCGAGAGCCTACAGGAGAACGTCCAATCACACAGGAAACGAACCTTAAAGGCATGAGAACAGCACCCGGTCGGCCCCCTGTTACCTCACACGGTCTGTTCATGTGTGAGCGTCGTCAGCCAAACTAGGCATCAACATTTGTTCATATACAGACAGCTCAATCTATATCCACCATTCCAGAAAACACGCTATGCAATACACGAAACCTTACTCGTCTACCACAGACGCGAACTTGTCCGTCATCCGCTGGAGAAGTTCCTCGTACTAAGAAATAGTTAGCGGGCTATGCATGTGAAGGCTTGCGCAACGTACCTTTTTCGTGATCTTCTCCTCGCCTTCACCAGGCACCTCGAACTTCATGCTGCGCAGCTGACTCTGCACCTCTGATGTGCTCTCCCGGATTTTTGCCCACGGATGACCCTGCGCAACTGCCTTCTGTGCCTCATCATGGAACGCCATCATGTTCTTCATCATCCATTCCGTCTTCCACAGTGGGCAAAACTGGTCGTAATCAGAGTATCCGTTTTGCTGCAAGAAATCTTCTTTGAGTAGTGTTGCAACGTCCAGAGTAATCTTGTCGCCATCACCTAGGGCAGATTTACCGACAAGTTGCACGACCTGGTCGAGATCTTCGGATGTCGTCAGAAGCTCCTTGATGCGGTCGCGCAGGCGAGGGAACTCTGGGTTATGTTTCGCGTAGTACTTGTCTAGCGGTGTCGTGTACTTGCTGTAACTGAGACTAGTGTTCACAGACGGGAAATGTTTTCGCTGCGCAAGCTTCTTGTCGAGACCCCAGAAAACTTGTACAATGTTGAGTGTACTCGTAGTGACCGGGTCTGAGAAATCACCACCCGGAGGGCTGACGGCACCGACAATACTGACACTGCCGTGACGCTCAGGGCTACCGAGCGCAGTGACGCGACCAGCACGCTCGTAGAAAGAGGCCAGCTTGGCACCCAGATAGGCGGGGAAACCTTGGTCAGCAGGCATCTCTCCCAGACGACCCGATATCTCACGAAGAGCCTCAGCCCATCGTGAGGATGAATCGGCCATCATAGCAACGTCCTTGCCCTGGTCCCTAAAATATTCGGCAACAGTAACTTTAAGCACGTCAGTATTGGCCAATAGAACAAAGATTACGCCGTCAGATCCACAGTGCAGCCAGGTTGTGCTCTAAGGACTTCTAGTTGGACATGGTGAACTTACTGCCAGTGTAGATGGAGGCTTCGCGAGCGGCCACAGGCATGTTGGAGGTATTGGCGATGAGAGTAGTACGCTTCATGATAGGCTCCTTCTTTCCGTTGATGTCGATGGTCAGCTCAGGGAAATCCATCAACACCTCAGCCATCTCGTTTCCGCGCTCTGTGCACATTAGCCTTGCGCATACACAAAGGACCACCGTGGGTGGACTTACCTCCGCAACCAACGTAGACAATGATGTCAGAGTTGGAGAATTTGGAGAGCGACTGACTGATGACAGTCTTGCCGCATCCGAAAGCACCAGGAATACACACAGTACCACCCTGGACACTGGGGAAAAGCGCATCAAGCACACGTTGGCCGACAACAAGAGGCTGGTCGGACGAAAGCTTCTCGGAACTGGGGCGCGGTACACGGACGGGCCATTGGTGCACCATGGTGTATTCAGTCTTGACGCCGTTGAACTCGAGTTCCAAGATCTTCTCGTCTACGGTGTAGCTGCCCTTGTCTGAAAGGCGAGTAATGGTTCCCTTGGCGCGAGGAGGCAATAGGATCTTGTGATCGCTAAGCAAACTGTTCTCGAAGACGCTACCGAAGACGTCACCACCGGTGATGTGGTCGCCGACCTTGTATTTGCCGGGTGTGAAGTCCCACTTCTTCGTGCGGTCGAGAGCGGGGATGTTGATACCGCGGGGAATGTAGATGCTGTTCGATGCGTCGGCAATACTCTTGAGAGGGCGCTGGATACCGTCGTAGATGGTTTCCATGAGACCAGGGCCGAGCTCGACGGAGAGGGGCTTGCCCGTCCTCACGACAGGGTCGCCGACCGTCACACCAGCTGAGAACGATTAGACGATACCTTCAAATTCTGATTCCATAGCATACCAGTCTCCTCGTAGACCTGAATGGTAGCCCTGTCGGCTTCAATTCGAATAACCTCACCGACGAGGCTCTCATGACCGACACGGACCTGCATGCAACATCAATATTTGAATATGTCCAGGTTTAGACTGCACATACGAGCTCGTACATAGCACATCCAATCATGTTAGCGGCTACGATGACGGGCCTTCACATATCAGTATGAATTGCGAAAGCGCGCTGCGGTGACGTACCCAGAGATGGAGAAAACGGTTCCTGCATAAAGGTTAGTATCGATGCTCCAATTTCAAGATATGGATGGCGCATTCACGTACCCGTCTGTTCGTCATCGTCGGTCTTCTTCTGCTGTTTCTGCAACCCCACCGTCGTCAGCCATGGCCCGTCTCAACGCCCCTCCAAACCGATCACTCACAGGTGGCATCTTGTCTATTTTCTCTTCTTGCTTCAATACGTCGACTGGCGAGTAAGGCGGTGGAGTCTCGACGTCGTCGGATTCGTCCTGCGGGAGGAGAATCGGGCTCTTGGGAAGCGGAACGAGCTTGGGGTGGGTGCCTGTCTCGTGGGAGGTGCTGGGGCGGGGTGGCAGCTGTTCTTCGTTTTTGACCTTGCGCACAAGATCTAGGAGGGAAGGTCGAGGTCGAAGACGAGGCCGTAAACCAAGCATGCAACGGCGATAAGGTGGGCGAGGAAGCTCGACAGTCGAAGTACAGGCCAAGTGCAGCAGAATGACGCCGGCAAGAGCTCCACCAAAATGGTCCGTGCGCTGTCTGTGCTCAAGCTATCGCATCGCTTGCACCCAGCACGCCTCAACCCTCATGGCAGTATGTCGGTATTGATGCTTAACATGATGATCATCTCGACACATTGCACGCAAATATGACAATGGTAGCTGAACACGCCAGATATTACTTTCGCAGACTTATACACCATCAAAGATAACCTGGGCATGTTCTGCGATATCCTACCATGGGTACAAAATTACCAGACACCACAATCACCCTGTTCCCTCCACAAAAGCAAGCGGATACCAACTTCAATTCACACATTCTCCTTCTTTACGCGAGCTCGATCCTCTCCCGCACCATCACTGCTATCCGTCCACACATACGCCTCATATCGTGCCTCCACGGTTCCTTCCGTGCCAGTCAACGATTCTGCCAGCGTAGCTATACTCATCATCCTGCGGATTCCACTGTCCCCCTGGTGGGCTAAGGGACTTTTTCTTACGCCCAGGCTGGGCATGAGGCGCGCAACGAGTGGCTTCATGACGAGCAAAGAGGAACAGATGATGGCTACGTTGATTTCCGCCGTAGACCAGATAGCGGCGTAGCTTCCAGACTCTTGTGGAGAGGTTACGAACGCAGTCAAACAGCATTTGAGAGACGGGTGTACTTACTGCTCACGTTCCCCTTCTTAGCCGCCCCATGCACATGCACGATCCTCAGGATCGCAACAACACAAACACTGCCCTCCATCAGCCCATTACCCCTCCCCATCATCTGCAATACTCACAAAAGGCCCAACCCAAAAGGTACCAACAACCCCACCTTCTGCCGTCCCTCCAACTTCAGCCTCCCCAATACCGGCATCGGCATAACCCAGATGAAGCAATCCAGCACAATTCCAAATAGCGAACAGCTCCAGAAATGGTCTTCTGCATCCATACACGTGCCTGGTACCTCGGCTTGCCAATACTTCTGCACGGGACTGCAGAGAAATACGATGCCGAATACGCCCCATGTCATTGCGCCTAGTGTGGCAAGGCCGACAACGTAGATGCAGAGGCGGAAGTACGGCATGTGGTTGAAGAGGCGGTGGTATTGGAAGAGGATGGAAAAGCGAACTAGGTTTACAGCGGTGTGGTAGAAGAGGGAACTAGCGAACATCATCTAGTGGTCATTAGGAGAGGTAGACGGAGAAGGGGCATGGAAGCGTGCCTTCATTATGGTGGTGAAGAGCGAAGCTTTGACTTCGTCGTGCGTGCTGTTAAGGTCGATTGAGAATTCTACAGAAAGCATATTAGTGTGCCGCTGAGTATGCGTAGTCGGTTGAAAGGTTGATGAGCCTACCGCCACCCACAATGCCTGTGAAGGCCATCGAGAAGATCTTGTACTGTCAGGTCTGAATTTGAAAGCTGGACTGTTCGCATACCAAAGCAAGCGTAACGATCACATCCTCCACACCGTATACACCCGAAAGCTTCGCCCTAGAGTACCATCGCAATATTATCGTGAGGAGAGCGAGAGCTGTCAGCACCACCGCCGGAATCAAGGCCTCATAGCCGATGTCTGCCGTCGCCTTCTTCGACACAATGATCCAACTCGGGTTCTCGTGCATATCGAATGGCGCAGGTATTCAATTCTGAACCACACTGAAGGAAAGAACGACCAGTAATCTTCGTAGCTGCCGATGCACCAGTCTTCCATATACATATCGTTCATTTCTTTGTTGTCAGTCTGCATGAGCAAAGTTGGCAATCACGGTGTTGAGCACAACAGGTTCAGGAACGCGGGTCGGCCGGTTACCATCCAGGCGGCATTCAAGGCTCGAGCAGAAGATGGTCCAAAAGCATCAGGGACGGGTCATTGAGCGGTCATACAACGAGGAAGTCTGTGGGATGTTCACCCATGGTGGTGGATTTAATTGCGCGGCCCACAGTAAATTGATTGTGAAGCTTAGCATGTGAAGCTTCCAGTCTGTTCGACGACGCACGTTGAAATCGATTGTAGAGTGGCATGGAAGTCTATTTGAAACTTGAAGAGCTGAATTGGTGGACTGTGTTAGCGTAGTGCGGTGAGCCAAACGTAAGAACCGTGGCCGTTTAGTGGGGCTGTGACCCGAATGTCAAGCATGTCTCCGTCGCTGACCATCGATGTCTAAAGATCGTTTGTGGCGCACGTCTAGATGTGAGCATGGCACGAGGAAGACAGAAGAATCGAGGTCTATCCTGTGGGCCTATGGTGCGCGTGCATAGGTCCTCGCCTGGTCGTGTCAATCGTCGATAGCATTCGTAGGGTGTTGAGAAGCAACATTTGTATCACTTGACGTCTGTGTCATCATATTTTGTTGTGCTCTACTGCTAGTTCGTAGTTCGTAGTACGTTGAAGGTTTATGGTACTCAAACATTACGTGTGATTGCGAGTGGGAGCTAGTCGATCTTTAAGCCTCGTACGGCAGCGGTGGTGTCGGATCGGTTATTTTGAACGCAGCCACGGTACTTGCGGTTTCGGTCCATTTGCATTTGAGTATCCCTGAGCGACACGTGGTATGTACCAATGTGGATGCTCTCCTACCTGGGCATGATCCACCAGCTATATTCCAGATGCTAAGTCTCAATAGCCGCAATCTGTTTCCGGGGAAGTGAACTGGCATTTCAAACCATTTTCCTCAAAAAGTGCAACAGTTTCATCCTTTCCTTCCCATTCAGAGTACCCGAAATTGAACTGCTCCAACCGCGGCACTGACTCTCTCCAATTTTCTTCCCCAACAAACCTCTGTATACTAGGCATGAGGTCTTCCTTGTCCTTTTCGCACGTGTCAAACCATTGAAGATCGTCTGCAAGGCCAATGGAGACGAGGTTCTGCGGTAAGACACTGGCCAGGGCTGGGCAATTGCGGTTGAGCCATCCCAGAAGAACGCAGGCGGGAATGGTCACTGTTTCCAAGGCGGTAAGCTCTTTCAGTGAACAGTGTCCGATGACATATTCATAATCGTCCTCCAAGTCTCCCCTACCTCCGATCAATGGGTCTTCGCTCGACCAATGGTCATGTGCAAACTTGAAGTGTCGGAGGGAGTCCTTGATACACCCCAGTGCAGAGGCCAAATCGTGGGCTTGCAACTTATCGTAGCTCCACATCTTGAACTCGTACTCCAAATGGGTGACGAATGGCGTGTACTCGAGACAATAGTGCAAGTGATTGGGTGGTAGAGTGGAATCAGGTAAACGTAGGACTTGTAAGGCTGAGTATGATGGGGATTCGGCTGGCCATTCAAGCTCTGACTGAACTCCCGATCTTTTTAGGAGTGGAAGACTAATCTGGGCTTGCTTGAGCTCTGGTAGGTAGAAGAGCGTAAGATAAGATTTTAAATCCAAGATCCAGTCTTGTGTATTTCTTGGCCACGATACAAGGATGTTCGACCTAACATACTCAAAACTGGTGCCGAGCCTGATATCTTTCAGGTGTTGAAGCCGCGAGACGCGTCCTGTGCACTCTGTCGGTAAAGCGTACCCATGGAGTATAAATTTCAGGACTTTGTTGCACGCGAGGACGTTAAGTCCAAGTGTGATACTAATGACGTTGGGGCACAGAAGGATAAGTAAGCCAACAACAATGTCGAATTCGTTCGTTTCTAGACCGGCTCGGAACGCTTTACTTAGCCGCGATTGGTCCAATCCAATGCGGCGCATTGCAGCCAGGATCAGACTGCGGTACTCATATGTGTCTGGAGGCGGAGGCAATTTAGGCTTGTTCCCAGAAGGCGTAAAAATACGATATCCAACGCATTGTAGATCAATCCTGCGAACAAAAGTACCATATTTTGGATATTCCAAGATTGAACGGAGTAGTAGATCGAGCCTTGGACATTCGCAACCTGGGTCCGTTTCTGTCACATTGGGGTTTTGTCCACGGACATACTCTGCCTTTTGGATAGCATGCGCATTTTGCATCTTAACTTTATCATTTCCGGTCCATAGCATGGTAACATTCTCGAACACGAGCTCGGCTGTGAGTGACCGGATTGCTTTAGATGTCCTCGAAAGACAGGAAATGTCGGCGCGATCTTGAATTTCACATACAATGCTGTCGAAAATCTCCCGAGGAAGGCTGGTCAATGAAGGCGCGTTGTTTAACGTCATGCTTGATCTCTTTGAAATGTGGCGTTGTTCACGGGGCAGTTGCCGCGAAGTTGGGGGAGGTGGCGGCTAAACAAAGGGTTCCGATGCAGATGAAGAACAGGTTTGATATGAAAATAGTTGAATATAGTAAAAATTGAATTGAGGCTGTAACGGTGAGAATGATGTGCAAGACGGGATGTGGAGACTATAGGAAGAAGTTTGAATGCTGATAGGCAGCAAAAGGATACACAGCCACACTACCGTAAGCTGACACCGGATTGGTCAAAGCTTTTGAAAACCATCTTTCGTACAGAGCTTGGAAACTATGCAGGAAGATGTGCCGTCCGTACCACTGGGCCCCAAGTATAACGGCGCGCTGCGTTGAAACCTTCTGCTTTTGTTAAAAAGAAGAAGCTTTGCACAGAACAGGAGGTGACATGCCAAAGCATGATGTGATATCGCAGAAGATGGGAAATCAATCGCAGAAGATGGGAAATCAATCGCAGAAGATGGGAAATCAATCGCTGAAAGGAGCAGAGGTCGAGTTATGGCAGCAGAGTGCTCTCCCGTGAAATAAGTACGGTGTGATTGAGTAGCTGCGTCATATCTCAGAGAGCCAGTAAATCCTCTTCATCACAGGAGGAACGCATGGTGACCTCAGCTATTAGCATGTGAGAGAAGGCCCAATTCGGTGACGAAGACCAACTGAGATGAGATCACTCGATCAACGAGTGGACGCAATCGATATGTGCAAGGCATCGATTCCAGATCTGTCTTCAAGGCGGATGGAAAACGCAATGTCCCTCGTGTAGTGAGCTTAGATCTTGCGTCATAAGCATGCAGGGCGTTTTCTTTAGTAAGCCGCTGCAAGCCTTGCATATTTTGTCAACATCCTATGATCGAAGGGTATGCACGGGTATGCTTGGAATCGAATTGGAATGTGGGGGGATGACCTATGGTGGCCTTGCGTGCTCGAATGTATGGAAAATCAAGTTGATCCCTGTATGCCCGTTGACCAACAAGCGGTCAACTAGTTGTAGTCAACTTCCGCACGAGTATCTCACTGAACTATCAAGCATTTTCCAATAATGTGCTTGAGCAGTGGCGAGCTTCTTCATGGACTTGAGACTGCTATGCATGAGTGAAAAGCATCCCTCAGAGACAAATGGTTTCTTGCGTGCAAGACGGAATCACGTAGAGAGAGATGCTTACAATGACTGAGAATAGTAGTGTATCTATGGGGCGTTGACGTCGGAGCTACTGCTGACCGGGGTGCGTTAGCGCGGTTTGCCGAGATGCACTATTTGAAATACTCGTCAACACCGTGCGAATCCGCCGCCGCGTTTCACACTGCAGGTGCATATTGTCGCATTTGTTTGACCCGGAATTTGTCAAATGAATCATCGGGTGGCCTCATGGTCCTGGTGACCCTGCGTCTTATTGGCCACCCCTGCGTTCATCGAGTCTCAATTTCTGAATCTGATGAGGAATTATGTTGGACGTGTCAGTTGCAAATACGATCCATGCGCGATATGAAATCAGCGAGGCGATTTGATGTATTTGCAGTAGTCGTTTGCAATGTTTAGAAGGACGGGGCCTGATCTTTAGATATAGTCATGAGTGACTGCATCATTTCGCTTGCCCCCAAACTCCTCGTCCTTTCAGCACTGCCTCTTTCTGAGCGCTCAACATGTCGTCCTCCGGATGTTCGGATCTGCTCTTATCAAATGGTTCTGTATCTTCTCGAGGCACAGCCCCGACACGCTCCACGCACCCCTACTTGACACCTGGTCAAGCATCAACAATCGCTTCCTGGACGACTTCCATCCCAGACCGAAGCCCAGGACCACGCATTCTTACCGATGATGAGGTGGCACAAAGAGAAGCCGCTTTCGAGGCTTATCGACAGCTGAAGCTCGCAATGTTCTCGAGATCAACCAGTCCTTCTAAACCGCGACCAGCTTCCAGTTCCTAGACGACTCTCAAAACGGCTATACGTATGCGTCATGCAACTTCATACATGTCCAGCAAAAAATGTCTTCTCGTTAGACCAGCAGAAGAGACGAAGACGAGCAGCTTCACTCAGTGCTGAGCTCGAATGCTCCGCCAAAAAATTGTTCAAACGACCTTTGACAGACCAAAATGTTGTCAGGTGGTCATGGTACCCTGCGATATTATTAGAGAATAGCGGCTTTCGAGGACACCATGCTCGGCTAAAGTCTTAGCAAGCAGAGGATGATGTTCGGAATCGGATTGCCTTGTCCGTTTCCTAGCTCTTCACAATCTCGGCATTGTTTGGCGCTTATGTTGGGATAGAATGGCGTTTAGGCGTTTACTGGGGCCTGTTTATAAGTGATTTGGAATATATACCCGTTGGCAAGCGAATGTCAGCTAGCTTAAGGCATCATGGCCTCTTCGTACTACTGTGCAGCAGTGCGAATGCGAAAAGCTATCCTTTGGACAAGACATGCCCCGCATATCGTACGATAGTTTCAGGCCTGATGACCTCGGGAGATCCACTTCCACGTGTGAGTGAAGCTTCCAAGGCTGGGAAAATGTTCGTTCAGTTCCGTCGTGAGTCGGAGGAAGGCACCATGGGTGCTTTCGCGCTAATCCCGAAATGCACCTCTTGGCGCTCTCATCTTCACAATTCTTGAGCGCAGCAACACCAGCCGACGACACCCATCACAGCAGCCATGCTGCTCCCACGGATACTTGCGCCCGTCCGCGCAGCAGCCAAATCGCCTCTGATACCCTCCTCGCGCGTCCTCGACGTCATCCGCCACGCCAATGGCTCCGCCGCTCACGCTCCTTCACCAACCCTCTCCTTCGTACGACATGCTACCCATCAGGCCCAAGGACGAGCCAACGGCGCGAAAGATGGACCAGGAAAGCGTTTGGGCGCGAAGAAGGCTGGAGGTACGCTTGCGTTACAGACACCACTGCATTGAAGAGAGGATTGAAGGCTAATGCATGGCTTGTAGGAGAATACGTGATCCCAGGAAACATCATCTTCCGTCAGCGCGGCACGGCCTGGTTCCCAGGTGAGAACTGTAAATTTGGACGCGACCACTGCATCTTCGCCACCGAGTCGGGTTACGTTCGATACTACAAAGATCCCTCGTTACATCCAAAGCGCCAGTACATCGGCGTCGCGCTCGAGAAGACCGACAAACTTCCTTACCCACAGAACGCCGCACGACGGAGGAGGCTTGGATTTGTTGCCGTACAAAACGAGCCCCAGCCCAAGAAAATTGAGGGACAAGCTGTGGTTGCGGATCTGCAAGTTGGCGATGCACCCGGCAGCGAGACGAGCATTCGTGCAACGGTACGAGATTCGCAGACTTTGACGATAGGAAAGGGATATGCGTACCGCGCGGCGAACTGGGACATTGGGCGGGTGGCGGAGAGGGCGAACGTGCAGGTCAAACAGTTCGTACCAGGAGACCGATGGGCGGCATGGCAGAAGTCGCAGGCACGAAAGAAGCGCAATGAGGAGGCGAAGAAGTTGCGCAATGCGGGCAAGAAGTCTGCGAAGCCGAAGGCAAGGAAGAGAAGAGGACCGTAAGCATGTGTATACTTTGGGTGTATCAATACTTGTACAAACGACGACGGCTTAGACGGCCCAATTTGACTACAAATCTAGAGTTTTGCTGTGTCTTTCAGCACTAGACCCCCGCTTTCGATGTCGTATTGCCGGCCTTTCGTCCAGCCCAGCCATCGCCCGAGTGTCTCTTCTCCGCCGGCTCCGGGTATTAGACCCTTCTCATCCCAACCGCTACCCTCGACGCCTATGCCTTGCCCAACAGCGGCTGGTCGCTCTGACTCTCCTTCTTGTATGGCATAACCAGGCGTTGATGTGAGTGTGACTGCGGGTCTCTGGTCGAAGCCTTGCGCTTCTAGCTCTGCATTCGTGTAAACAGGGGTACAGCACGCGTCTGTGCCGTCGAAGATGGCCTCCCACTCAGCGCGCGTCTTCTTCTTGAATACTTCGGTGAAGAAGCCTGTGAGCTTCGCCCAGTCCGCTTTGTTATCGCGATCGCCTGGCAGATCCGAGGGTTTGAGACCAAGGCCCTGAAGCAGCGCAGCGTAGAACTGCGGTTCGATCGCACCACTGACATCGTCAGTATTGTATCGGGCAATTTCCAAGACCAACTCACACAGCCATGTACCTCCCATCCTTGGTTTCATACGTATCATAATATGGTGCCCCACCATCCAGCATGTTCGTCCCCCTCTCCCTCTTCCACACCTCAGTCTTAAGTCCCAGCCGCGGCATCGTCGCCAACACCGCACTCCCATCCACCATATTCGCCTCGACCACCTGCCCCTGCCCACTCCTCTCTCTCGCTAACAACGCCAACAATATCCCCAGAAAACACATTGCGCCTCCGCCCGCAAAGTCCCCAACCACATTCCCTGGTGGATACGGCTTCTCCCCCTTCCGCCCAAACAAGCTCAGCACCCCACTTACAGCAATGTAGTTTATATCGTGGCCCGCCATCATGCTGTATTTCCCGTCTCGCCGGAAGCCCGTCATCCGCCCCACGATCAACTTGGGATTTATCTTCATCATGACATCTTGGGGAGACAGGCCGAGTTTTTCCAGGACACCAGGCCGGAAGGGATCTATCACGACGTCGATTTCTGGGAGGAGTTTCTTGACGAGGGCGATCGCAGCGGGTGATTTGAGATTGACTGTTATTGAGGTTTTGCGGCGGGTAAGCTGATCAGAGGTCGGATGCGACGCGGGGGAGGGGCGGTCGACGCGGAGGACAGTGGCGCCGTAGTCGGCGAGGAGCATGCCTGCGAAGGGGCCTACACACCCAACATTAATGTGTCTCCAATTAATCTTGCGAAAGGAATGTGTACCTGGTGCCAGGCCGGCGAACTCGAGCACGCGAATGCCCGTTAGCGGTGGTGACTGGTCTGCCATGATGTCTAAGGCCTATTGTGTGAATACTTCCCTGGGTACAGGTGGATCAGAGCGCAAACTAGTATAAAAGGGTGCATTGAAGCTATATACATAGTCGACGTCGACATGGCGGATGCGACGCGAAGGACGGTTAAGCACTTCCCGGTAGGCTTCAAATGAACCGAGGCGTTGGAGGTGGGGAATCTGGGGAAGGAAGAGCGATTGGTCGCGCGTGGCGTTTTAGTCAGCTTAGGAACTCCCTGCTTTCATCAACACCACATTTAGCTTTCTAGCAATCGTCTCATACTCTCTTCGTTCGCAAGCTGGGTTTCCAACATGCCTTCGTTGCTATACCACTTTCACGTTCGGGCTTGATCACGGCGCCCATCTACTGGCGTTCTTTCGGTGATCTGCATCCTTCCCCTGTCACAGATTACATGCCCATGCTGGTTGTTTAAGTGGTATCTCTGGCTAGAAAGGGTGTGTAAGTTATATTTTCAGAAATTCGGTTGCCGCGATGTAATGTCAATGCTCTTTGACGCCCTCTCCCGGTATTGCTATATCAGAAAGCAACAATACGACCTAACGAGCGCAAGTGATTTGAGTACATGCCTCCGGCGGGCCTCCTGTCCTTCACGGACACAACGCATCAGGGCTCACAAATCTGAGTTGTAGCAAAGATTCCCAACCCTCAGAGGCAACGACTTCGGCGCCGAGAAAAGCAAGCGGCCGTGTCAAGCACTGGAGAGAATGCCGTTTCTGAGAGAAAACTTTCTGACAGGCCGGTTCCAGGAGTGCTTGAAATGCAGAACAACGAAACCCTTATTCTAGCATAGTAACGCAATGTCCAGATGAATTGAACTGCAGGTACATGTCAATGTGAATGTGCCGATCCTATGACACCGCCCACGCAACCGTGAAAATGCGCGGCCAGCTCTAATGGAGCGGTTATCGTCCCTCTCCGCATTGCTGAATCGCAACCGCCCAATAAGGAAACTCTATGGCTCAATACAAAACGTAAAGAGATGGCGAGATAGGCGGTTGAACTGTCTGATGAATGCGTTGAAGAGAGGAAGAAGGTGCAATCGCGGAATTTTCTATAAGCGCGTACATCAGGCTAACTTGTTCCGGTGCTAGTGCGCAGCAACAGGCCTTGGCATGCGCGTGGGCACACCCGCATAGAACAGTGTTCAATGTGACATGCAATAAAGAGAGCTCGGTTTGTTCTACTGATTGTCATCGGCTCAGTTTGATTGAGAAGCAGCTATCCAAGTCCACCAAGATGGTGTGAATGACTAACGCGCAGTGATTAGTCAGTCAAGCATCTTCCGCATCGCATTACCAACCTTCTGCAGCGACACATTGGAAAAAAATATGTTCCAATGGCTTACACCTTTCGTCCGTGTCAGTGGCATGTTTGAGGCGATGACGTACCGGCAACGCCGAGATACGATGTTTCGGTGCCCAGTTTGTGACCTCTAGATATTCGCCACGCATACCGAGAGGTATAGTCGCTTGAGGCGAAGGCTCCTAGTATATTAGCCTCGCGATATGCTGCAGCCCAGGTCCAAATCCCTCATTATAAGGAATACTAGCATCATGGACCGTTCAGCAAAGACCATCTTCAACTTTGTCAACCTATCACACCCCGACGAACTCAAGGATGAGGAAACTCAGCTTCGAATTCGGCGGCTGGCGATGAGCGAAGTCGGAAGAGCTCGAAGAAAGCCCAAAACCAAACGCGAAAGGAACGAGATGGTGCTTGAGTTTCGCAAACCAGCGGCAACCTCTGCTACCATCGACCGGTTGGGTAGAGGAGAAGTCGACCCGTTTACGCCTTATCCCATTGCTCTGGATGAAACATCACGTGCACTAGTTGCTTCCAGTAAGTTTTAGACGTGCAGCGGTCGCGTAGAATTTTGCATCCTGACCACGGCTGCTGACGCATCACAGTCTTCCGAGATGGCAGTGCGCATTCGCGTCAGCTCCGTGGTGCCTGGTGGCTTGTAGGGTTGAGCGACAAGGCCACCTTCTACAACGTGCTCGCAAATGCCCGTCTGTATCAGCTTAAAGAGTTGACTGGTACATTCGTTCAGAAGAGTGACTTGCTTGGCCTGTCCATGCAAAATCATGCACTTCGTTCAATGACGGATAGGATAAAGGATTCGGAAGGCCATGCCAGTGATGAGATGATAGGGGCTGTTAGCTCCTTCATGTGTTATCATGTAAGTCATTATCTGTTCTGAAGCTCCAAGCTCATCATGGAATAGTACATTCTGGGTGAGTTCGAAGGTTGGGAAAACCATCGCAATGCACTGGCGCGGATGACTGGCTTAAGAGGTGGCTTTAACAACATTGCTCAGGAGTCGCTTCGCATCACAGTTTCCTGGTAAGCTTGGTACATGAGTCACGCAAGTTGAACGTTGTTGGCTGATTTTCTCGACAGGACAGATCTCGTTGGTTCTTTCTCCCAAGACATCCCCTCCATCGTCCCTCTACCGCAACTATGGCAAAATAACTCCCGATCTCCTCCAGGGTCCCCACGACCGTTCAATGATATCTCGCTCAAATGGAAGCAACGCTTTCCGGCTATGATGGACTGGATAACCATCTTCGATGATATTAACCAGCTCATGTCGCTTGACCGGGGCTTCACGAAGGAAGAGAAGCATCTTGCAGAGACAACGGGCTGCTGGATGGAGCCTACCATGGTCCGCCTGCTTGCTATACGACCGCTTATTACAGGAAGCAAATCAGAGAATGTCATGGAAGAGGTTTGTCGCCTCGGCACCATGCTTTTCTTAGCACCCATCTGGCGCTGGCTCGGAGCAAGTCCAGTGTGGACCTTCACCGTCACCCGAAATCTTCTTTCCGTGCTTAATAGCCAAATGGTCGAATGGGGCGAACTCAAACCATTGCTGGTCTGGTCTGTTTATTTCGCCGCACTTGAAACGCGCGATCCGCGAGAGAGGAGCCAGTTCGCCTTCATCCTCGCTGTGCTGATGAACGGATTGCAAATTCGAGAATGGAGTGAGCTGACGCAGGTGGTGCAAAGCGTGCTTTGGGCGGAGCGTATATTTGCAAGCAGCGATGGTAGCCTTCGCGATGATGTTATGAGCATTCTGCGCTTGCCGGGTACTGGAGATGTTACACCCGTGCTGGAGGAAATTGAAGATGAAGAGGCCTAGCCTAGCCGCTTTGAGAAGGACTGCAACCCTGCTCATGCGTCTGTCGTTTGTAAGCTTGACTGCATCACATCATGCATCGGGAATCAACAACATCCGAGCCAACGTACGCCCCACTACTCCCGATACAATGGAAGAAAGCGGGACCGCTGACATGAGGCACTCAAACCAATCACCCGTGCATCCGTACACATGTAGCAATCTAATCTGACCTGCGCTAATACCCATAGCGCATTTTTCGGCCTTCAGCTTTGTCTTGTAGCTGTGCCCCTCTGATAGGGAAAGTCTTGATTGGCGTTGCTTCTTCATGGGCATGCGGTACCTGTCGAAAGCTTGCATTCCGGAACAGGCTCCAATGTGATGCGTAAGCACACTGCGCATCTTTATCATAGGGCTTAGAGACAGATCGAGCCACCGTGCCACCTCCGTACAGCTTAAGTATATAACCGATTGTCCTCGCCATACAACTGCCCCGCCGCATCGTCATTTCACAACACCCATATATCTGAGTTCAAAAGCATCACACATCAACCCCTCTTTTCAACAATGGCCGATCAAACTCCCGATCCCGACTACTTCGTCAAGAGCCAGCAATTCACTGCGCACACGCACCGCGATGTTTACCCCGCTATCAACCCCACCAATTCTTCTCTCTCTCAAAGTGGGAAGGTTATCATCGTCACAGGCGCAAGCCAAGGATTGGGCGCAAGAGTAAGACGAAACATCTTCACTCGACAAGGCTGTATCGCGGACTAATCTTCGTATAGGGGTTCGTACAATCGTTCGCCGCCACAGGACCAAAAGCCATCGTCCTGGTAGCCAGGAACGCAAAGAAGCTGGACGAAGTTGCCGCCAGTGTCAATGAGAAATACCCCAACGTCGACACCCTGACTGTATCGACGGACGTTTCAGATCCAGCGAGTGTAGCAGCCTTGTTCGAGAAGGTCAAGAGCAAGTACGGTCACGCTGATGTGTTGGTCAACAACGCCGCGGTCTTCAACAGCATTGCGCCAGTCAAGGATGTCGACCACAAAGCGTGGTGGGATGAAATGGTGCGCACACTTTCCTCGCTCCTCGCATTGTTCGTTCAGTGCGCCAGTCTTACACTTACCACAGACCATCAACATCTACGGCACGTTCCTCGTCACACAATCTTTCCTCAAATTGCTCCCCGAGTCTGCGCCTGCCAGAATCATCACCCTCACCACCGGCGCCGCCTACGAAGTCTTTCCCAACCTCTCCAACTACGGGCTCTCCAAGCTCGTTGTCTTCGAGCTCATGGCCTACGTCACAGTCGAGAACCCGAACGTTGTCGCTGTCGCAGTGCATCCTGGCATCGTGCCTACAGACATGCTCAAGGACGCGTTTGCGCCGTTCGCTCACGATAAGCCGGAGTTGGTGGGCGGGCTGGCGACGTGGTTGGCTGCGTGGGAGGGAGAAGACCGCAGCTTCTTGAGTGGGCGATATCTGTCTGCAAACTGGGATGTGGATGATTTGGTCAAGAGGAAGGAGGAGATTGTTGACGGGGGCCTGTTGAAGCTCAATTTGATGGGGCAGTTTGGCGAGAAGCAATTCAAGTAGGGGAATTGCGATTCGCAATGGTGTTCGATAGAAGATGTTATGACTATTCTGTGCCGCAACGGTGCCGCAATCTCAGTTTCCTTCCAGAGTACCATATTGAAAGGGCTTTCTCGCACCAGTCTAGATATCCACATCCGCCACGGGAGCCCAAGCGTCTGCATCTCCAAGCCTCTCGGGTACAAGTCCCGCGCTTCCAGCAGGAGTATAGCCTGCTTCTAATTGACGGTGGTACGAAATTTGACGGAGGCGATTCGACTCCCTTGGGGTCAATTGCAGCTGTTTCAGTGTCAGGGGGTAATCGATGCTGCGATTGAGGCACATACGTAAATCTCTACACCTGTAGCCTGAATGGCCATGCCAAGCCACAGTGCCATGCCAAATGGTGCTCCCAGAGCGACGGCAATCTCTTCAATCCGAGAAGTCATACTCGCAAGAACGAGAACCTGTTGCCCGGAGTTGCTTCCGTTGAAGTACGAAGCACACTCTGGATAGTACTCTAATGTATCAGTAGCAGATTCGAGCATGAATTCGATATGTTCGCAGAGACGTGGCTGAAAGTAGTTGCCTTGTTTGCTGATGATCTGCGCTGCGATGAACAGAATGAAGCGAGTCGTTATTGGTGTTCCCATCTTCGTATCAAGTCAGTTTTGGCATTCCTGAAGAATGGGAGCGGCGTACCAGGAACCAAGCTCTCAACATCCACGCACGATGCTGGTCGATTTGTAGCTTCTTGATATTCCACCACGCGAGCGCCAGCTCGACTGACACGGCAATCGCCAGGAAACCTGTCCCGGCCTGGATATCTAATCCGCCGCCTACTGCATGCCTTGCAATCATAAACGCTCCGATAATGCCAGCGAGAACCAGCAAAAAGATAACGTAGCCGTTCACGCGATGAAATTGGATCCACTTTCGGCGAACGGCTGGGACGAATTGGAAGCACACCAATATACCGGCGGGTAAGACTCCGAGTAGATGCATGCGAATGCCGACTTCTGAAGATAAATATTTTTTGTACCAAAAGCATTCACCAGGCAGTGTTCCGCCGTCACCTCCGCCGCACATTTTGCCGTTGAAGTCGAGGAAGTGGAGACGCGCAAGTGAGAAGCCTAGCATAGCACCAGCAAATATGACGACTGAAAGATTTCCATGTTAGTTCGAGGTGAGATGGGATTGGTTTGGTGGTCGGGCCTTACACAATGTAAAGTTATAACCTTTAGAGAATCCGAGAGGGTGATAGACCTTCCGCGCCATCGTAACGAACCCATTTGCCGATAGTGGTAACTTTGAAGCCATTTCCGGGCTCTTTCAAATGCGTCGGTGTGCTTGAGCGATCAAATGCAAATGTAGTTACGTGGCGCAGCGTCCTGCTATTTATCTATCGCGTATCGCTTCGGATGAAGCATCCTGCCAGTTCATCCGACTCTGTCGTACGGCGCATATAGACCTAACACGGGATAGCGTTGCTAGGCAGCCATCTACATCTCGCATCTTGAATCCTATGTTTCGCAAATTCTATAAAGATTGCCCGACTGTGGCATGGCGCGCACATAGATCCGCAAACGGTTAGACCGCCACGGAAGTCGGTGAATGGCATTAGCGTGTTGCGGAGAGTTCTCATCGACTGAAGGTGGAGCTCCTCGGAGTCGACGCGAGCTGCAGTTGACGCGAGTCGAACATTTCGTGAAATGACTAAAGAATTTCGTCTATGCTTCACGAAAAGTTTCGTGAGGTGTGATAGCTGCGAAAGAGGACTTTCGTTGAGGCAAGGCCATCCGTGCATGCCGTGTTGGAGCGATTAGCGCATTCAATATCCTTGGCGATGGCGTTGCCCTAGTGTAGGGCTGGAGATCGATCATCGACTTGCTGCACACGCTCCACCTCATGCATCACTTCGCGATACGCGTCCTTCATCGCTTAAAATATGGTCGGTAGGCCAGGTCGATCCAAAGGGTGTTTTAATTGCCGTCGGAGGAAAAAGGGAGTAAGTTGGCTTCAGAGCAGGGCACATGGGTCCAGGCAACCAGTCCACTCATGACTAACAACTTGTCAGTGCGACCTAGCACGGCCACAGTGTGGACAGTGTATCAAAAGCAAGTTCAAATGCGCCGGATACGATGACAACCTAGACATAGTTATTTATACGCCATTGGGTTCTAGATCATATGCCAGCTTGCAGAGCACTGCCGTGGAAGTCAAGTACATTGACACTTTCTGGGAGTTATTGTTACCTACCATGTCAAGAGCCTCGCGGACTTCCAACGGGGACTGGACTCGGGTCATCAGGGACCGCTATACATCGGACGGTTCTCTCAGAAACGCGATGCTTGCCTTGACTCTTTCAAGGGTCGGCCAACATGGCGGCAATAGTAGTGTCGCGAGGTCTGGTGCTGTCCATTACAACGAATGCCTTCGCGAAGTTGCCCGGAAGATCAATCTACAGAAGGGCGCATGCAACGACGAAGTCCTCGCTGTGTGCCTCATTCTGAGCCTTTACGAAGTCATGTGTAGCCCGGCGTCGCAAGGAGTCAACTGGCAAAGCCACATACGAGGAATAGGACTACTAATGCAGCTTCGCGGGCCGCATGGGTTCACATCCGGGATCAGCCATAATCTGTTTGTTAGCGCCCGCTTGAATGTGGTTAGTCTTTCCGTGACAAGCCATTATGCACCGCTCACCTAAAACGTTTAGATCTTCGCTGCCCTAGTTTCTCGTACAGCTACGTTTCTCGACTCATACGATTGGATGACCATACCGTGGAGTACGGGCAACACTCCCAAGTCACTCTATGATAAGATCGTGGATCTGAGCGCCCAGATACCACGTGTTCTGGACATGCTTGATCAGATGCACATAGCAAGGTCGCATCAAACAGGCGATTCAGAGTCCCTACTGAGCGCCTGTTGGAGAATCGATAGCGAACTCCAAGACTGGCACCGCGAGCTAGTCGTAACCTGCGCCCTGACCCATGTCAGCCCTGCCGGCCCTCCTCACGCGGCCATAGATTTTAACGAACCACTCACAGCAGACACTGAGATCAACCATGAACATGCACAAGCACTGTCTATATATTGGATGACATGCTGCTTCCTGTATACCACCCTCCGACTTGTATGGCAAGCAAGCGAAAACCCGCTATACCTTCTACCGCATCGCATCGACCCTCTTCGATACGCGAGTCTCATCTCCAGATCACTACCTTACTTTTCCGCGCCTAGCGCAGGTGAGGGTCCCTTGGTATATTACTCTATGAGCATAGGCGCTGCACTGCACTGTCTTTCTGTCTCAGGCCAACTCGGGTCATTAGACTCACAACGACTGACGAAGATCTTCGAAGAGGATCCAAGGGGAATTGGAAATCGAGTGGGTATGTTCTTGAAGACACTGGCGGCGGCCAATGTCGAATGTAAGATCAGCTTGGAACCCGTGGACTGGAATTATCCCGACAAGGACGAGGTAGTAAAGCTGGGAAAGAAATGGTGGGGTGGCGGAACGGATGAGGTAACTTTAAGACCGCGGACACCAGCAGCCAAAGTTACTGTAGGACCATGGCAAGGGCCCGAAGAAACAGCGTCGACTGCTCTATAGAATAGAAAGTGACTGTACACGGGAGCGATGCCAAGTGGGCACTGGCTCAGTGTCACACAAGGACAACAATCATCTTCATGCGAAGCTAGAGGTGCCAAAAAATAATTGATAAATATATCTGCGACGCCGAGCCTTTGTACAAATTAACCCTAGCACGTTACCTGGACTTACAGAAGGAATCACGACTACAGAAGACATCAACATCGCCAGCTTCAACGCCAGTCGCACAAACACTCTCTACTCTGCCACTACACCAGCCTTGCTCTTCGTACACACGACCTTCGCTAAAGCCTGGATGCTTCCTTGGGCCAATAACTCCAACACCTGCAAGTTCGCCTCGAACATCCTCGTGATGAAATTGCGCACTTCGATTGCCGTCAGCGAGTCAAGCGGGTAGTTGCTAAGCGGCCGGGTCACATCCAACTCCTCCTTCTCCATCCCGATGACCTCGGCGATCTTCTCCACGAGCCCGTTGCAGACAACCTCTTCAGCTTCGGCGCGGGAGGCAGATGCCGCCGTCTTGAACGCGGCGCTCCACGAGATGGCAACCGGACCAGTAGTAGACATAGCAGCAGCCTCGGCTTCCGCAACAGATAGCAAGTGCTTGAACTTCGCGTCGGTCGACCAGAAGGGACGCATGGTCGCGGTGATGCGCATCCCGGTGATGGCGTGGTGGTTGCACGTGCTTGCCATCTTGCCGGTGATGGCGGCGCTAATAAGGGCAAGCACTTCGGCTTCACAGATTGTGTCGCTCCCCAAGTTGCGCGCCACTTCAGCAGCCTTCTCGGCATCCTCAGCGAGATAACCGGCATCGGAGACGGCAGTTAGGTCGATCGACGCCGCTGGCAGGCCGTGGGACGCACGGTATTGGGTAAGGCCGTTGAGGAAGGTGTTGGCGGCCGCATAAGCAGCCTGTCCTCTGTTGCCGACGGCGCCCGCAGCCGAAGAGATGACGATGAAGAAGTCGAGGGGCGATGAGGCGAGCGCGTGGTGGAGGTTCCACGCTCCCTTGACCTTGGACTCAATGACTGTAGTGTATTGGTCGAACGTCATCTTTTCAAAGAGCACATCCTGATTATGTGGTCAGTAGATGTAGCGTCGAGGCAGGGAATGGTCACTTACGTGCAGCACCATGGCACCGTGGACTATACCTCGGACAGGTGGCAAACCCTCAAGCCCCGATGTTAGCAGAGTGTCGACATCAGCGCGATCTGCAACGTTGCAGCGGCGGATCACGATGTTTGCCCCAGAGGCATTGAGAGCGTCGACTTGCTCTTTCGCTTTGCCATGGACTGCACCACTTCGCGAAAGGAGGACGATGTTCTGTGCTCCTTTCGATACCATCCATCTGGCCATGCTTCGGCCGAGACCGCCAGTACCACCGATAAGCACATATGTTGCATCAGCGCGAAGCATGTTCGCTTCTTCCTTAAGACGCGGTACCTATGACTTGAGTCAGCGAGTAACAAGCCGAGCAAGAAAGACCCAAAGACTTACCAGGACCGTTTCGTCCTCACGCGGTACGATGACAACTTTGCCATGTGGCTCAGCAGAGTGCAAAGCTTGGAGCACAGTCGTGCTTTCCGTTATACCATAAGAGGCGATGGGATGTACAGGCAACACTTTCCCAAACCGGAGCAGCTTAGCGACGTCGCTGAGGACCCGCTTGAGCTTCTGGGGCCGGTCATGCGCGAGCGCAAAGATATCAACGCATGATATCGTCGCACTCTTCTCGAAAGCTACATATGCGAGGTCGTTACAGCCAACATGGATGAAGCGGCCAAACTTAGCGATGCACCGCCATGTAGCACGGAGAACTTCTCCCTCGGCCATGTCATTGAGGATAACATCCACCCCGAGGCCTTTCGTCGCATCGATCAGGTAGTCGGCGAATGACTCGCTACCAGCGAAGTAGATACTATCAGCGGGGATGTTGTACAGCTCAACTAGAGTGGCTTTCTCCTCAGAGTTCCTTACGGTGGCAAATACTTCCGCGCCGAGCATTTGCGCGACAGCAACAGCAGCTTGACCTACAGCGGTTGCAGCGTGATGAATCAAAACAGACTCGCCTTCGGAGAGCGACGCGATGTTGGCCAAGCTGTGGTATGCAGTGCAGTATGCGAGCGGGATCGTTGCGGCCTCTTCGAACGACAGATGATCCGGAAGTTTGAGGAGAAACCGGTCGTGAGCACGAGTAACGGTGGATAGCGAACCGTTTGGAGTGACGGCTGCAACGCGGTCACCGACACTGACCGAGGAGATTCTCGACCCTACACTGGTTACCACACCACTGCACTCCATGCCAAGGTCATCGCCACGAAGGTGGCCCATGGCTGCTTCAGCGTCTCGTACATTGATACCAACGGCCTTGACCTGGATCTCTACTTGATCTTCGGGTAATGGAGTTCGTGATATTTGGTCATCCTCGAAGTGGATTGTGTCGAGGGCACCGGGTGTGGCGATGAAAGCTCGCAGTGGTCGCTCAGCATCCATGAAGTGCGCAGGGGCAGTCGCAGACGGCTGCACCTGTTGATGAACATATTCGTTCATGTCCTGATCGTTAATTATGCGGGGAGTGAGCAGCGAGCCGCGCCGTTCCATGAACTCGGTCTCCTCACCCTGCCGATTGACACCCAGTGATGCTTGCAAGACCTTCAGTATTGTCTTGACCGCATCTGCCTGAGGCAACACCATCTCACCATCCAAGTCTAGTGTGACGAAGTTCATGAGCGTGCCTTCGGAACGTAGAGTCCGACTGAAACCGGCTATCATGTTCGCGTCCGGGTTTTGCGCATTTTGGTACGCGCCTTTGACAACCCAGAGCATACCTTGGATCGTGGTGAGAAGCTTCTTTAGTGCCTCGAAGGTCTCTTGGTCTAAGGTCGATAGAACCGGCTGATCAATCTCAGCAAGGAAAATGCAGATTTTGCTGGTGCCATCGACTTGAGCCAGGGTTCCTGTAGTTGGCGTGGATCCTGTTGCGGTAGTCAAGATGGTAGCTAGCTCACTAGCTAAGCTATGCTGAAGATCGCTGTCTCCGTGTACAATAACAACTTCGGCATCGAACTGAGCTTGTGAATCTTCCTTCAACTCCTCCAGAGCTGGTTCCCAAGTCTGCTTATAGCAGAGCTCTCGGCCACTATCAGCCTCAGCATCTGTGTCTTTCTCGAGGATAGGTGCTGTTGTAAGATCCTCAATAGCGATGACAGACTCAACCGCGTCGATTGCTGCCAATGCGAACATGGAAAGCTTATTCGATTTGACGTTACTGAGCACCGTGCGAGGCTCGCAGAAGGCTTGCAAACATCCTCCGTTGCTGTGAAGTGTAGATGAGGCTCTCGCTGACACCGTGAGCTTTCCAATCGATGATGGAAGGTGAATGTTGTCCAGGAATCCATTGGTGATGTCCAGAACAGGCCAATATGAGGAGATGAGCTGTTCCAACATTGTGGGATGAATTATGTAGTCAGACTCGTAGTGGTTCGGCATGTCAGTCGTAGTGTCAGCCAAGACAAGCTGTGACACGGATCCGGCCTTAGACACTCGACCATTGGTAAGACCTTGGAAGGTGCTACCATAGGAGACGCCGAGGTCTGAAAGACGCTGATAGAGAGCTTCGTTCTGCACACCCTCTCCAGCAGCATCTGCAATTCTTAACAGCTTGGACCTCAGCTTCTGTCTCTGTGCGTCGACGAGTCGTCCACTTTGGACGTCATTGACTTCAGTTTTCTTAGTCTTCACATAGCCTGTGCAGTGCTGAGTCCAGCCTTTCGCTGTTGCCCAGGAGGATATAACGAACTCGGCTCGTAGCCCCTTTGCTGTTGCATGATCTGCTTGAGGGCGCAGAGTCGTGGTCATCTCTAAGTCATCCTCCGACAAGATGATAGGTGTGGTGACATGCAAGTCGCAGACTTCCAATGTGTCGAACTCGATGTTGTCCCAAGAAGCCTTCTGTGCCGCAGCCTCTAAAGCCATGGACGCAAAGCCGGATATTGGGAAGATAGTCAAGCCTTGTACTTGGTGATGACGTAGCCAAGGGAGGTCATCAAGGCGCACAATGTTCCTCCAGGTGGGCTCAGTGTGGTTCGAATACATAGCCAGTGCGCCGATTATGTCGGATCGTCGGTCGTTCTGAAATTTGTGAATGTCAGTGAACCTCGATTGATGGTAATACCGGGATTGGTGGTTCCACGGATATCGCGGTATGTCGGTAAGCACAGCCGGCGGGTTCGTCATAGTCTTGGGAAAGTTGATGGCGCCCATGTCAAGAGCAGCACCCTTGATCCATAGTGTGCCAGCAAGTGCAAGGGCTGTTTGGAGAGCGTTCTTTTTGCGTGCCAAGGCCGATGCATACGCAATCTTACTTGCGGAGGGTCCAACCTACTGGATCAGTATACTTTCGGTCCCTGTACAGAGCATATCTGGACTACTTACTGCCTTGAAAATTTGTTTAATCGGGCCTTGAAGCGCTGCATGAGGTCCCAGCTCAAGCAAGAAGTTTACGCCACTCTTGTGACCGTCGATCGGCTGACACATGCTATGCACCGCTTCATCAAAACGTACAGGGCACGTCAAATTCTGTACCCAATATGTTGCATCGAGCTCCGAAGACTTGGCTAGGCGGCCAAGTAGTGATGAGTAGAACAGCGTGGTTGAACCCTTAGGGTGCTTGACAAAGCGCAAGGATTCGGTATACTCTTTCGCAACTAGGTTCATGTGATGTGAGTGATAAGCAGTGTCGACCTGCAGCTTTCGGGCGAACATTCCCGGATGTACCTATCAGTTAAGACGACAGTCAGTAACGCTCACGTATAGAAGGTATTACGAAGCCTACTCACTTCTTCGATGATTCGTTGAAGCTCGAGAATGGCATCTGTATCACCCGACACCGTGACGCTAGAAGGACTATTAATGCAGGCAATCTTAGCTTCACCTGCGGAACTAGGAATGCGTTCCAACAGGGGAGCAATATCTGCTTGGCCAGCGCCCACTGCCATCATGCTACCATCCAGAGTAGGAAATCTCTCCTTCAGTATTGGGATGAGACGTCCTCTGTGATATGCCACAGTCATTGCATCATCGAAGTCGATGATTCCTGCAGCATAAGCAGCACCGATCTCTCCACTAGAGTGGCCGGCAACAGCTGTGGCGGTTATGTTCCACGTTCTCAGCAAGTCGACGAGAGCCAACTGCACTGCGGTACATGAAGGCTGGCTCAGATGAGCAGCATTGATCTTTGTGGTAGTCTCCTCCTTTTGGAGTTCCTCGAGCAAAGAAAAGTTCGCACCAAGTGAGAGTAAGTGTTTGTCAGCTCGGTCGATCGCCGATGCATAAACAGGGTAGCGCTCGTAGAGCTCGCGGCCCATGGCCCACCATTGTGCTCCTGCAAGTACGCGATGGTTAGTGAAGAGCACTCCACGACGTGTATCAGTCACATCTTCTTACCTTGGCCAGTGAAAATGAAGCCCAAGCGAACCGATTCCAAGTCTTGTTTGACTGGACGGACTTTGCCACTTGAGAGCGCTTCGACAAGATCGACAGAGCTTGACGCAGTCACGGCTAAGCGCCACGGAAGATGTGTCTTGCGCTGCCCAAGAGTGTATGCCAAATTGCTCAACAGATCGTTTTGGAATACCTCAGGACGTTGCTCAAGGTAGATGCCGTAATTCTTCATCACCTGTTCAGCAGCAATCTTGTCGTTTCCGCTCAACAAGAACAACCTTTCAAATGCCTGCGTGTCGATCTCTTCTTTCATGGTCTTTCTTTCGAGTGGACCTTTGGTCAGAACAATATGAGCGTTAGTGCCACCAAAACCAAAACCGTTGACGCTCGCCCATCGCTTGCCTATCGGCCAAGGTCGTTGATTGGTCGGTACCTTTAGCCCCCACTCGTCGAACGGGATCTTCTCGTTTGGCTGTTTGAAGTCGTAATTCGGCAGAATGAAACCACGTTCGAGCATAAGGGCAGTCTTGATCACGCCTGCGATACCGGCTGCTGCCTCTAAGTGACCAATATTTGACTTCACCGAGCCAATGAACAGTGGCTTCCGCTTCGTCCGTCCTTCACCAAACACGGCACGTAGTGCGCCGACTTCAATGGGGTCACCTACTCGCGTTCCGGTTCCGTGAGCCTCAACGTAGCCTGTGTCTGCAGGATCCATGCCTCCGTTTTTATAGACGGATCGCATCAGGGATTCTGAGAGCGGTGAGCTTAGATTGACACAGGTGACAAACATTCGCATACCTTGTGCGGAACCATTCGGCATGGTAATACCTGGTGTTCTCCCATCTTGGTTGATACCACTGCCGGTGATGACGGCTCGAATAGGGTCATTATCCTTGAGTGCTTGCTCCAGCGTCTTAAGAACTATGATACCGCACCCCTCGCCTCGACCATAACCAGTGCCTCTTTGATCAAAGGCAAAGGACCTTCCAGCTTCACCAAACAGCCTAGAGACAAGGTGAGAGTGTGGACGGGGAGCGACACTAGATGACATACCTAGACATGGAATAAGAGATCCAAAACTCCGGTAACATATTGAGATGAACTCCTCCCACGATGGCTGAGCTCGATTCGCCATTTCGAACGCTCTGGCATGCAACGTGCATTGCAACCATACTGCTAGAGCAGGCAGTGTCTACCGTAAATGAAGGACCTCTTAGGTCAAAGAAATGCGAGACGCGATTCGACTGCATGGCGAAAGCGCATCCTGTCGAGGTTAGCAGACACGTCAACGCGCTCCAGTACGTCTACTTACCGGTAGCCTGATGCATTGGAATAGTCTCTGGGTCTCTGAAAAGATCTGCCTCGTACTCGGAGAACGTGCCACCAATGAAGCAGCCAACATCCTGGCCTACGATGGAATGTTTTGGTATCCCAGCACTCTCCAGGGCTTCAAACGTGCACTCCAGAAGGAGGCGCTGCTGTGGATCTAGACTGGTGGCCTCTTGGGCCGTGAAGCTGAAGAACGGAGCGTCGAAGGCTTTAAGGTCTGCCTGTATGAAATTGCCACCATGTGCGTTTGTTGTACCGCTCTTGCCAGGATTAGGATGAACGAATCGATTGCTATTGAAGCGGTCTTTTGGGATCTCGGAGAAGCCGGTTCGAGCACGTGCGCAGAGCTCCCAGAATTCATCAGGCGTCGAAACGTTACCAGGGAAGCGACACGCCATGCCAACGATAGCAATCGGTTGGTTTTGCAGTTCGACATGGCTCTTGCTGTATCCTTCCGTGTAGCCTTCCGTGTACCCATTCGTATATGCAGTCTCGTAGGGGATCGCTGGGGCAGCTGTGTCCAGTACCAGTTGAGGTGCTTCGGAGCTATCAGCGTCTGGTAGCGTGACACCGTTGCGGTGGACATCGTTATGGCCATTTGCAGCTCCATTGGAGTGCTCGTGAGCCACATTTCCATTTGTTGGTTCATGTACACCATTGGTATGTTCGTTCAGTTCTGCATCCAAGAGACTTCCCCGCTCCGACGTGGGGGTAAGAGCGTATGGCGCCATGGCCCGCTTCGGTTTGGTTGGTGCCTGCAACAGTAAGTCATACGATATAGACAGTCTCCGTTGCATTTGAGTGCTTGATACTTACTATCTAAAGACTGCTCTTCAAGAACTTCACAGTTGAACTGACAAGCCAAGTCCTCTACATCTAGACTTGCAACCTTGAAAGTCTATCACTTGCTTGCGAAGAAAAAAAAAGGATCAGGTTTGCGACTTAGTAGCCTCAGTGTCACTGCACTCTGGTCTTATTTTCGGATCTGCCCAGGTCGCAAGCCGAAGCATAAGCTTGTGATACGGGATTAACCGGTTGCGGCGCGCGTCATTTGGCGTACATTCTTCAACCTCGATGCGAGAACTCGTGCTGTTCGGTCCAATGGGTGATTGAGATAGGACCCAAAGCGCACTGAGATCGGAAACCATCTTCTATCTCCCCGCAATGAAATTGGAGAAGCCGGTGGTCGTCATCGTTATCATCTAATCGCAACGGCCGCAAAGTACATGTTATGCCGACCCCAGATGCCGCCGCAGCTCATCACAAACCACGATATTGTCCGTGAAGCTCTAGAACTATAGTGACCGGGCGGGTACTGCAGGAACAGGTAAGGAGCCCGGTTTGAACCCGATGGGGGACTCCAGCAGGACGGGTCATATCGCTAGAAGTGTTCGGGGTAGCGGATCAACGTTGCATATGGGGCAACTGGATGAAAAGATTGGTTTGATATGAGAGGATATGGATCCCTAGATGATATCAAAGATTGCAACGTGAGACGAGGCGACGTCAACGCAGGCTCCTGTCAAGCCTGGCAGATCCCTGTCTAGTGCGTCGTCAGGTAATCGCTACCAAGTGGCCAGATCGGGACACACCGCCGTGCATAAAACCGCCCAACCACATGAAAGCTCAACGCTTTTGTGCACGGACAGGGATGGTATTACGTCGATCGGCTGAAATCCTCCGACGCGTAGCACGACAGCGGCCACTGCCGCCTATTGTCTCCCGTCTACACACCACGTCCATTAATCAGTAACCGCCTTCCCGTGCTGCACTATGCGCGCGGAACTAGGTAAGGAGATGAACCAGCCTATTGGATTCACGATGCATTTCTGAACCCCTTCGCAGTTATTGCACCCCGCCCTGTAAAATGCCTTCCTTCTAACCTAATTGCTACACCGACCTCTCCCTTGCACTGCCAAGCCCGATGTCAGTGTTTCGATGCCGTGGGATTTGTTGAGTGCATAAGATATGTTTGGGCTTTGCTGTAGCGAAGCGCGGCGTGGCCGAGAGATAGAGCCTCTGGAATCTGTGCTCATTTTTCCTCTAAGTTTCCGACTGTACAGTACTCGAGGACCAAGCATTCTCGTCCCCGGTTTTGTTTCTGCATCATGAAACTTTTGTGTTTGCCCGGCGCCTATGGCAGCATTGAGGTGAGCCAAGTCCTACTCGTGTACCTGAAAGCTTGGTTGACGTCTATCAGAAATTCAAAGTGCAGCTTGCACCTCTTGTGAAAGAGCTACAAGAGGACAAGACCGCCGAATTCCATTTCATTCAAGGACCGTACGAGGTAGCGCCACCCGAAGGCTACGAGGAGTTTTTCGGAGGGGCGCCATACTTTCGCTTCATCGTGCCTGAGGGCGAGGAGGCTGAGAAGGTGGACGTTATCGAGCGTATCAGAGATTTTCCACAGTTGGAGACACCTGAGATGACGATGCGCGAGCTTATGACCTACGGTGTGGCGAGGACGGACAAGAGCGCTGCACATACTCTCCAGTACCTGTACGACCTCATGGAGAAGGAAGGCCCATTTGATGGCATCGTGGGCTATTCTGAAGGCGCAACGATTGCCGGTACGCTTCTATTGCACGAACAGCTTTTGCAAGAGAACCATGGTCGAACACCGATGTTCAAGTTTGCTTTGTTCTTCGGCGGCTGGCCACCCATGAAGCCGACGCTAGACGGCATTGTACTCGCAGATGAGAGTGAATTGATGATTGACGTTCCGACATGCCATATCAGTAAGTAGACTGCTGTCATCTCCCATAATGAAGTGACGCTCACGAGGATAAACAGTTGGCTCGCTCGATCCTTATCTGCACGGAAACATGGCTCTGTACAACGTCTGCGACCCGGATTCTGCGTACATTTTCGATCACGCAAAAGGGCATACACTGCCACGAGACAAACACATGGTCAAGGAACTGGGAGACATTGTTAGACGTATGATCGATGAGGTTAACGGTGGTGTTTCGCCGGTTTGATTGTGATTGTGTGATAGAGATTCAGTAATTAGATTTCACGTGCGCTTTTCAAGACAATCCATGTTCCATTGCAAGGAATGTTGTTCAAGGGATGTTTATGTAACAATACCTGACCTTCGGCCCGCGGCCTGTACTCCAATTGTTTTCTGGCATTCTTTCTGTGCACCTTCCATCTTCGACCCGACTCCATATGTGCTCGTGCACCGGGTAAAAGAACCTCATCCTGGTCTCTTATCTGGCGATAGAGGCCTGCATCCGAGCAATCTACTCGAGCAAAGGCCGCAGGGTTCCCTATCAGTCGCATCCGTTGGCCAGCACATTTGCAAGTGTGTTCAATCCTAGAGACACATTCACTCGCAGACTGACAATGTCGCAGCCCGGTAACAGTGAGGCGGCTGAGGCCTCGAAAATGTCCAGCCTTCATGCGAGATGGTCGTCGTGGTACATTTCTTCCAAGAAAACGGCGAAACTGGTCATTGTAAGCTACAAAGAGATGTGTACGTTGAGCCAGTGGTTGACCTGTAGCAGAAGATTCTCTCGTATACGTCGCACAGAGACAAGGTCTTTCTTGGCGCCTCAGTTGTCGCGTCTGTCCTGGCTGGGGGGACACTTCCGCTTATGAACATCATCTTCGGTAAAACGCGACCCGACTACGTCATACCTCACAACAACGTGAACTCTCTAACACGCACCAGCACAACTGGTGAAAACATTCACAGCTTTTGGGACGACTCCCACTGAAGATGGCTCGCGCCAATTTATGCGCTCAATCAATCAATATGTGTGAGTGCGCCCACATTCGCGATACGCTGTGCCTTCCTCGTGCTTTCAGCAACTTGAGCGTTGCGCCTCAGGCTGTACGCAACATACGGCTTCTAGTCTAGATCCCGTGAATTGGTCTTTATGCTGATGCATGCCAGCTCGTATACCGTGTACCTGTTCCTTGCAAGACTTGTTCTGGCTTACATCGCAATGGTAGGTGCTCTTCACATGGCGTTTTCACACTGTACATGTGCAGCAATGCATCAAACAGTATTATTGCCTTTACCTATCAGCCACCAGCTAGTGATCTAGAGAGGCTGAAATTTTCGCACTGCTCAACTAGTGGTATACTGACAATACGTAGCTCGGGTTTCGCATGTGCAGCCTCCGAGTCTCAGCAGCAATACGCCTCTCATACCTAGACGCTCTGTTCAAACAGCCAATCTCCGTCCTGGACGCACTGCCTCCTGGTCAAACCGCAGCCATAATTACAATCACCGCCAATGTCCTTCAAAACGGTCTATCCGAGCGTCTCGCTACTTTGATTCAAGCTATATCCGTGATCCTCACAGCGCTGATCATCGCATGCTACTACAGCTGGGCCCTTACGTTGGTCACTAGTTCAGGCCTCGTGGTCATCGCATTTTGTTATGTATTTATGACACCAATTGTTGTCAAGAGGATCCAGCAGATCCAAGACGTGGAAAAGGAAGCTTCCGGTGTTGCGAACGATGCGTTCCTCTCAATCAGGATGATTGCCGCTTGTGGTGCTGAAAGCAAGGTCGTAGAGACCTATAATAGGCTAGTGGATCAAGCCGCTGCTTATGGACACAAGATGTCTTCGATCGCGGCCTGGCAGCACTCACCTGTCTTCTTCAGCATTTTCGCTACGTTCGCCTTGTGCTTCTGGTTCGCGGTCAAGCTTTATCTGGGCTTCCATTTCGCCAGCGTGAAGACGCTCGTCATTGTGCTGATGTCGGTAATGACCATACTCGCCCACATCACCGCCATCGCTGTTCCATTGATGGCTGCGTCGCATGCTTTGAATGCGGCAGCCATCTTTTTTACTGTCATCGACGCACCTAAACCCAACGCTGGTGGAAAGCGAGACTCCGAAGTCAAAATGAACGATGATATCGTGCTTGAAAAGGTCAACTTTGCCTACCCGACTAGGCCAGATGTCAAAGTTCTCAATGGGCTCGATTTGATGATCCCATATGGAAAGACAACGGCCATTGTGGGCCCATCGGGGTCAGGTAAAAGCACCGTAGTTGGTCTTCTTCAGAGATGGTACCAGCTCGATGGAGACATGTCCACAAATCCTCTGGTATGTTTATGTCCAATCTTCGGCCTCCATATATATATAGCTGATATGGATAGACTCTATTCTTCCGTAATGGAACCATCAAGACGGAAGGCATGAACATCCATGAGATTGACCTCACGTGGTGGAGGTCGCAGATCGGGCTTGTCCAACAAGACCCATTCCTATTCAACGACACAATACTCAAGAATCTCGAACTTGGGTTAGTTGGAACTGAATGGGAGCATGTAGGAACACTCGAGAAGAGACAGTTGATTGAGCAGGCATGCAGAGAAGCATATGCACATGACTTCATCACTGCGCTGCCTGAGGTAAGCCCACTCAGTACACCACTATTCTTGATTTTCTGATCATGGCAGGGTTACGGCACCCAAGTAGGTGATAACGGTATCAAGCTAAGTGGCGGCCAACGCCAAAGGATCGCGATCGCGAGAAGCATTGTCAAGAACCCTAAGATTCTGATATTCGACGAAGCTACTAGCGCACTCGACGTAGCGAGCGAGCGCATTGTCCAGGAAGCTTTGGAAAAGGTGTCACATAATCGGACCACTATCATCATTGCGCATCGTCTGTCTACAATCCAGAGAGCCGACAATATTGTTGTTCTGGCGAAGGGCAGAGTTATACAACAAGGGACACACAAATCCCTCCTTGCGGACACAGACGGCGCTTATTGGAAACTCGTACATGCACAACAGCTCGTACAGGAAGCGAAGGCAAAACCAAGCCTTCCACCTTGGGAAAGATTTCTCACCGAAAAGAGACTCTCAATCCGCACTAGCATAGTCTCCGATATGGAGCTGCTGACGCCAATGGAACTATTGACGATTTCCACAGAAGATGATGCAGACAAAGCCGGCATGGAGGGCCGATTGTTCCGTAGCTTTGGAACACTCGTGATGGAACAAAAGCGCAACTTAGGCTGGTATCTGGTGATGCTCCTGACCGCAGCTGGTGCTGGTTGTGAGTACTTCCATCCTGTGCGCTCTAAACTAGACTGACGAAGTCCTGCAGCGAGCTATGCCATTCAATCGTATCTATTTGCACGACTGATAACGTCGTTCGGTCTATGGGGAGATTATCTTCGCAAGGCGACGAATTCCCTCTGCTTGATGCTCTTTGTTGTAGCAATTGGGGTTGGGCTTTGCTATTTCGTTTTGGGCTGGGTTTCGAATATGGTTTCTACCGTAAGTCATAAAGGTTCTGCGGTCAAATCATATGCTTATCTGCATACAGGAAACCAAGTCGCTTTATCGCAAGGAGTACTTCCGTAATATTGTTGCGAAACCAATCTCCTTTTTCGATAAGGAAGACAATTCGGCTGGTACTCTGACTGCAAGGCTAGCGACTGACCCAACGCAACTTCAGCAGCTCCTTGGGATGAATATGGCGATGGTCTTCATCTCCATATTCAATGTCATAGGGTGCACTGCCATCTCGATATATTTCGGTTGGAAGTTCGCGCTGGTAGTCATCGCAGCCTCCATGCCAATCATTCTAGGAAGCGGATACTATCGCGTTCGCCACGAGGTGAAGTTTGAGTCTCGAAACAACGAAGTCTTTTCCGAAAGTGCCAAATTCGCAACAGAGGCTATTCGTGCGATCCGTACCGTTGCGGCACTCACACTAGAAAAGACCATTTGTTCAAGGTACGAAACGTTGTTGAACGAACACATCAAAAAATCGTTCACTGAAGCACGCTTTTCGATGGTCCTCTTCGCCGCTAGCGATAGCATGGTGTTGCTGTGCATGGCCTTCGCGTTGTGGTACGGTGCAACGCTGTTGTCAACGTTCGAGTACCATCCTCTTAACTTCTTCGTGATTTACTACGCTATTCTACAGGTATCTGAAATCCCTTCTGTATATCAACACTGCTGATAAGTTGCAGGGTAGTACGGCTGCTGGTCAATGGCTCAGTTTTGGTCCGAGTAAGTAACATTCATTTCGAATGCCGCGCCGGCTCCTGACGATCCGTAGATATTGCACAAGTGACCGCGGCAGCCACGAGGATCCGCAACATGAGAGCCGGAGCAACACATCCCCACTCAAGAGTCTCCACACGCCCCACACGACCAGATACAGCTGTTTCCAGCCGTTATAGGATCCCACTTGCCACGATACAAAAAGGCGCCGACATCTCGTTCCGAGACGTTTGGTTCACATACCCAACTCGACCCAACCCAGTGTTGAAAGGAATCAGTTTCTCCATCCGTCATGGCCAATTCGCCGCCTTTGTCGGACCTTCTGGCTCCGGGAAGACGACAATCATCTCATTGCTCGAGCGCTTCTACGAAGCTCAATACGGAAGCATTCTGTACAACTCGGACGACATCAGGTTTATCTCCTTGAAAAGGCATCGTGGGCAAATGTCGCTGGTAGCGCAGGAGCCATCGTTATTCCGCGGGACGATCCGCTCAAACATTCTACTTGGTGTTGATGAGGAAACAGTCACGGACTCCATGCTTCACAGTGCCTGTCGCGACGCAGGCATTCATGACTTCATATCATCACTACCTCAAGGCTATGAGACTGATGTGGGCACTAGTGGGGTTGCTCTCAGCGGAGGGCAGAAACAGCGCCTATCAATTGCGCGCGCACTCGTCCGGGACCCAAGTGTACTGCTACTGGATGAAGCGACGAGTAGCTTGGACTCCGAAACTGAGCGGGAAGTGCAGGAGGTTTTTGAGAGGACCGCAGGAGGAAGAACCATGATCGTTGTTGCTCATAGGCTTGCGACTGTGCAAAGAGCTGATGTAATATTCGTTATGCAGGAAGGCAGGATAGTTGAGCGAGGAGATCATCAGAGCCTGCTCGCTGCTCGAGGTTGGTATTGGCAAATGGTAAGTCCTCGACTACTACTACAAGATGCTCTGTACTCACATTATTGCAGTGTCAAGCTCAGGCCATGCTTTGAACTGGGTTCATACCAGATTGGAACTAGTTTGTGTTCCCTTTGCATACACGTCTACCACGAGGCGGGCGCATTACTTGTTTGCCAAGATCTCTGGAACGCTGTCACATGTAACGAATTCTTGGAATGCATTCCTTCTCAGGAACGTGATCGCGATTCTACTGAGCAATCAAGGGACGTCTATCCTAGCTCACAATGAGGAAAAGTGGCCCGATGTTCCACTGGTGTTCAGAGTGGGGCATCAATGAGTGTACAGCCAACTCACGGCTCAAACACCCCGACGACTAATCAGTCAAGCGAAGATGCCCACGATGTGACGCGGCTCTTCGGCAAAATGCAAGGTCCCGCTATCGGGTGTCTCCAACTATCCCCGCGTCTCACAGGGGTCCCACTGGGCCAGTCCAATTAGCCAATCCTTATCGCGAGTCTGGTATAAACCCCCTCGTCAAATTCTTTCTATTCCCCTCAATCTAGAAGTTCATTTCGATTAGGTCTAGACCATGTTTATTCCCTGGAACTTGACGCGTCGCGTCTGCTCTATCATGATTGCGCAATATTCTCAACACTACTATGCAACACGCACAAATCATCCAGTCGAGTACTATCGATCGGCTGGCTCATTGCAATGCTTCGAGGAAGACAACAACCAGGTTCACCTTATCTCACATCATTATCCTTATTTTTAGCCTACGCCTTCCAGATTGCGTGTATATATCAACGGTCCTTAGCATCTGCTTCTGTCACTCCACTGCCACAGCTTTCCCTGGTCTCCGGATACCATGTGGGCCCAGTTGACGAGGCAGCTCCCAGCGCTGCTCGCGCTCGTTGTCCCCTTCGCGCAACTGCCGCTCTCTTTAGCAGCGCCCAACTGTCCACTCATCGGCCCTGAGTTTCCTGCCCCTTACAACCTCGAGTCACATCCAATTTGGCAGGCCGCTATCCAAAACATCACCAATGTCTTCCAGTTTATCGATGACTCAAATATCACAGGAGTAGACCTGTTCTCCTATTCGCTGCAAATTTTCTCAACAAACCCAGGGTCCCCAATCCTATGGGAGAGACATCGTACAGCCAAGGATCTGCCGATCAATACCACCGGCGTAAAGAAAGTAGATGGTAACACAGTTTATCGCCTTGGTAGTGTAACAAAGGTGTTCACTGTGCTCACGTTCTTGGCTGAAGCTGGCGATGTGTATTGGACCACATCCATCACAAAGTTCATACCAGAGCTAGCTAAGTATGAAGGTCGCTCGAGTCAGCCAGACTTCGATCCAGTAAGAGAGACTGATTGGGACGATATTACCATTGGCTCCTTGGCGAGTCAGGTATCTGGTCTGGGCCGAGACTGTAAGTCGCCTATCGGCCTTGGAGAAAAGATGAACTGCACTGACTCGAGGCACAGATGGAGTTCTTGGTGAGATCACAGAGACTGAAGACGCTCCGCCTGCATGGGAAATTGGACTTCCCGAGCTGTCTAACTCGTCGTTGCCACCTTGTGGAGCATGGCCTCTATGCACAAGAGAACGTAAGGCCACCCCGTACTCGCGCTACCCCAGTCGTGAGGATGGAACTAAGTTTTGCAGAGTTCTTCAAAGGGTTGGACATCATGTACCCTTCTTACGCGCCATGGCAGACTCCAACATACTCCGATGTAGCTTATCAGCTTCTGGCGTACGCTCTGGAAAAGATCACGGGCAAGAATTTCACGGACAGTCTCAATGACCGTATCATAAAACCTCTTGGACTCAACCGCACATTCTACGACACGCCACCTGAGGAGTACGGAGTGATCCCAGGCACAGTCAAGGATACCTACTGGGCTGTCAGCCTTGGCGAAGGTTCACCGTGAGTTACCCCTAGCTATTAATAGCACATGGACTAATCTGTCGTAGAGGTGGTAACATGTATGCATCTGCAACTGACCTGTCAACGCTCGGTCGTGCTATACTGTCTTCAAAGCTTATCAAGCCTGCTCTAACCCGTCGCTGGCTCCAACCCGTCACATTCGCATCTGATTTCCTCGCGTCTGTCAGCAGTCCATGGGGCATTCGCCGCATTCAGCTCGACAAGATTAACCAGCCTCATCGAACATTATCCGTCTACACGAAAGCCGGTACATTCAAACGCTACACCGCCTTCATCACGCTGCTCAAAGACTACAATCTAGGCTTCACTATCATGATGGCAGGCAACCCACCATTGAGCAACTTCTACGGTGCAGATCTTCTTGGACAGAGCCTGATCCCTGCATACGATGCGGTGGCTAGAGATGAAGCAGACAGGACATTCAGCGGCACCTACGTACAGCGCGATGGCGTCAACGGCACGGGGAACTCGAGTATCAGCATCTCCACATCGGCCAGCAAGCCAGGCCTCGGCATCTCGAGATGGGTATCCAACGGCACCGACATGCTCAGCATGGCGCTAGTGCTTCAATCCGGATTATCTGCGGGCCTGCTCAAAACGCCCGAAGCTCGACTGTACTACACGCTGCTCGATATCAAGACAGCGAACGGCACGCGTCAGTCGTTCAAAGCTGTGTTCGAAGACACGGGTAGTCCTGCAGTCGGACAGCAGCTGTGGAGCACGGATTGTGGGTCTTGGGTCGGCGTGACGGGTGTCACGTATGGATCTATGCCGCTAGATGAGTTCATTTTCGAGAGAGATGCGAGTGGGAACGTGGTTAGTGTGGAGAATTTGGCGTTGCGAGCGAAGTACTACAAGGTTACTCAGGAGGCTACGGGTCCTTCTGGAGGCTGGGCCTGGGATGGTGGGAGGTGGAAGGTGGCACGCAGATAATGGGGTTTTTGCACTGTATATGTTATTTGGGTTGCGTCTGTACATACATAAAGTTCTTGTTATATATGAGCTTGTATTCACTCAGTTCCTATTCATAGTTTCGAGATCACAAAGCGACGGTTCAACGTGGGAAACTGCGCTATTGTGACTGCCACTTAACGCTTTTATCTTGGGTCCAAAGGGGATACTACATCTGTTCGGAAAACCAACGCGTACTCTGAGGCTGAAGAGGCGTGCATGATCATTCTATTGTACGCCACGGCAGGACGTTTGCAAGTTTTTTTCTCGTGTTACTCGAGGTCACGGCGCAGGTAATTGTGAGTACCGGAAGTCTTGTCCGACATTGCTTCGGGTCGGTACATCTTTTTGCATTGCATCCGCGACAAGGCTTTGCTTGTGGAGACTTTAATGTTCAGCTCCGGCTCCACATGTCAGCCGTCTTCTCCAGCCGTGGGGTATTCGCAAACTTACCCCGATCCGACGTGGTCCATATCGAACTGATGCTTGCGTACAATACGAGCTGTGTGTAATTCCACACAAACCATACATGGAACTCACCTGAAGGATCTTGTGTTGTCTGCACATCTCCCTCTAGCGCGAGCGTTGTCACCATTTGAGTTGGGGCAATGTGCAAGGATCAACAGTTCCCTACCACCTTTTCTCCACTTCGGTGTCCATGGCACGCCGCCGTCAGCAACTAGCCCCCAAACCGATGATTCCGCGACGGTTAGCCTCCACACCTCGCCCACTTATTTGCGGATGACGCCCCGCATCCAGAAATCCTCCAGCACGCGTCAGGGCTGTGCCCTGCATGCAATCTATCGCTCTTCCATTGAGAGCAGCTCGACAGCGCGGTGTGTGTGCGACCCTGGGTCAGACCTCGCAAAGAGATGCAGGGCTTTAAGATGTAGAGTTCTCCAAGATGTGTACCTCGTCGTACACTCTGCACCTCCTCCACGTTCTCTTTGTGCGCGCACGATGATGTCGCCCTTGTGGCCATACGCGTTGGCAGTCGCTGCGACTGTCAAGGTCACTGCTGCCCAAAGCTGTAAGCCTCACCTGGCGCAGATGCCGAGTTCTCCTTATTGACTTGCAATAATGCAGTTACGAGCACCGGATTCGCAAATGCTACGAATTCTGGCTCCCCTTCGACGGCCAGCTCGACTAGCACGCCGCTGCCGACATCTAATAGTACAAGTGAGTCGCCTGTTCCAGCTGTTTCATCAATCGCGTTGTCCATTTGAGCCATACCTGCCATTTTACAATCGCGTGGTCGATGTGTACTAATAAATTGTATAGACAGAAATCCAATTCAAATCTGCGACGATCTGCAATCGTCTTACTGGAATGCGTCTTATTATTACGAGCCGACATCTTGGACAACTTCAATATCCACCATATACTATAATAGCACTAACTACTATACCACATCGACATGGAGTTGCACAAGTACCTGCGCGGAAACCGCACCGTATGGCAGCAACATCTGCTACGCCGATAGCAAGACGATCCTTACCACAGGCTCCAGTGTGGATGCTGGTGTAGTCACATCGACCTACTCAAGTGGGGAAGATTACCCCGGTCCTTCTCCCACCTGCAGCGTGGCTTTGTCGGACTGCACGAGTCTCTGGAGTAGCTACAGTTCGGCCGACAAGGCGTGGAGCAGTGCCCAATCTATTACTCCTCCACCTGCGGGGATTACTGCTTCGCCCACGGAACCCTTCTGCGATACTTGCAAAGCAAACAGGTGCACGATTGATCGCGCCAATGCTGAATTGTACTTCTGGCCTGTGCCGGCGAATGCCACAAGTCGCGATATGTGCGCAATCAACCCCACATCGACCTGGGCTTCGCGGCCTCCGGAGTTTCCCAATACGACTTGGACAGAAGTCACCACTGGGCCGTACGCCGTGGTCAATGGACATACCTTCTTCTCGGGCAATGTCTACGTCTCCATTTCCTCGATAGAGGCTCATTGGCCATGCCAATCAACTCACACAAGCTATAACAATATTCTAACACTCGCGTCGACCGACGTCTTTACCCAACGTGGGTATCCCATCAATAACATACCATGGTCCCTGAACTATGCCGATTTCAACGAGCCAGTGCCTTACAGTGCCTGGTATGGCGAGCCCGAATGCAACCTGGGGATCCCAGCTTGTTCTGTTGTTTTCCCCGGCGAATATAGACCTCAGATGGTAATGCCTGCTGCCATAAGGCAGATCGACCCTTCGTGGGCGGACTGCTCGCTGGGATTCTTTGGACTTGACGATCCGCCTATTGCTTTGCATGGTGCCGGAAATTTCTTGTCGAGCAGCAGCAGCGTACCTGCGTTGCCTATCACGACGCCGAACGATCCTCCAGGTCCATCATCCACGCCGGCTACGCCTGCTGACCCGCCAGCTGATCCGACAAGCCGACCGACTGCGCAGCCCCCGACGCCTAGCAATGACCCGCCGAGTGATCCGAGCGACCCGAGCGACCCGAATGACCCTCAAGATCCCCCAAGTCCATCATCCACGCCTGGAAATCCGCCGGCTCAGCCAACGAGCCGACCGAACTCGCAACCCCCGACGCCTAGCAACGATCCGCCGAGCGACCCGAATGACCCTCAAGATCCTCAAGATCCTCCAGGTGATCCGAACGATCCGACCGACCCAGGAAGCCCACCAAACAATCCGCCAAACACACCAACAAGACCAGGAAACTCTCCAAGTAACCCTCTGAATAACCCTCCCAGCAATCCAAACAGTCCTGGAGTTTCTCCCAGCAACGGCCAACCTGGAGCGACCCCTCCTAGTAACAACGCCCCAGCCCCGATCACCATCACAGATGCTCCTGGCGGTCCCATCGTCGCAGACCCAACAGGCGGCGTCATCATCAACCCGGGTACCACGCTCCACCCTGGTGATCCTCCACTCGTGATCTCAGGCACCACCATCAGCGCCGCTCCCACAGGTGTCGTCATCATCGATCCTTCCGGCACAAGAACCATCCCGTTCCAGACTGATGCACCAGGCCAAGTAACTATAACAGCAGGCGGTTCGACTCTCGTTGCGGATCCATCGGGTATCGTCGTAGCTCCCGGGACGACACTTCACCCAGGGGACCCCGCGCTCGTCGTTTCAGGCACGACGTTCAGCGCCGATTCTACGGGCGTGATTATAATTGGCCCGAGCGGCACGCAGACAGTTCCGTTCCAGACGGGTGCCGGACAAGTAACTTTCACGGTGGGCGGTTCGACGCTCGTTGCGGGTCCCTCAGGCGTCGTTGTCGCACCAGGAACGACACTTCATCCTGGAGACGCGCCCATTACTATCAATGGGACGACCATCAGCGTGGGGCCGAGCGGCGTTGTGGTCGTGGGGCCGGATGGAGTTAGCAGTACGGTGGCCCTACCGAGTGGGAGTTCAGGAAGCAGTGTGTTGACGATTACGCTGGGGAACGGAGATGTGGTCACGGCGACAAGCTCGAATGGTCAGGTTGTGATCGATGGTGTGACATTGACCCTGGGAGGGCCGGCTCAGACGCTGCCTGGTGGGCAGGTGGTGAGTCTGGGACCATCGGGCGTGGTGGTTGGGACTGGCACGGCGGCTAGCACGGCTATATTTGCGGATCCGACGTCGACGGATGCGGGTGGTCCCGGTGTAACCAACTTCCCCGGGGAAGCTGGCAGAGTCAGGGGGAGATGGGAGGCTGTTATGGTGGTGATGTTGGGTGTGGTTGTAATGATTGTAATGTGATGTGATAGGGCCTTACGCTTAGTGTGTAGGCTATGATGATACCCTAATATGAATGTAATGCTGAATGATCAAATTACTTTTACATCTCTTTCTATCCTATGCTCTCTGATGCTCAAAGCGACCTCTCGATCTCCGCCAGCTCAGCCATGACCTTCTTCACGTTGTCCTTGACCGCGTCCCCAACAGGCAGATACGGCCTCCTGGGCAGGAGCTTCTCCTCTGCACCTTGGATACCCGCATCCACAGCGCTGAACTGACTAATAGCATACTTCGTGCTCGCAATCCCCGCCTTCACCGGGCTCTCCGCCAGCGCCGCCTTCTTATGCAGCTTCAGCGCCTCATCCACCTTCCCTTCCGTATACAAGTCATAAACCTTCTTAATAGTCTTAGGAAACACATTCGAAAAAGCCGCCACACACCCCTGACTCCCCACCGCCAGCCCCCCAATAAGAAAGTCAGACTGTCCTCCAAACGTCGTAAACTCCTCCGGCGCCAACTCAGCCGTGAGTCTAGTAATCTTCGCCACGCTTCCACATGTGAGTTTCACACCCACAATCTTCCCCTTATTTCTCTTTGCGATCCCCGCAATAGTAACGCTATCGAGGTCCACGCCATTACACTGCGCCGGGAAGTTGTAAATCACAATCGGCAAATCGGTCCCTTGAGCTACCTCGTCGAAGAAAGCATTCACCACCTCTTTACTCGTAGCACCGCCATAGTAACTCGCGGGGAGCAAGAGGCCAAAGTCTGCGCCTGCGTCTTTGGCATCTTTCGCATATTCAAGGGTTTGAATGGTGCTGTAGCCGGAGATACCCACGATGAGGGGGTACGAAGGGCCGACGGCCGCGCGGGCGATTTTGACGAGTGTGATGCGTTCTTCGCGCGTGAGTAGGAAAGCTTCAGCATTGGAGCCTAGAACGACCAGGCCAGTGACGTTTTTCGACAAGTAAGTGAAGTATTGTTTCTGAGCTTCGATGTCGATGCGGCCGGTGGAGGGATCGAAGAAGGTTACGGCGGGGGTCCAGACGCCTGCTTGGGGGACTTTGATGGCCATGTCGACTGTAATATTTCTTTGATTTCGTGTTGTATGGGTGTAGCTGTGGCAATCGTGCTTTGTATATGAGTCAAAAGAGTGAATTGAAAGCAAGGAGCGTGAGGTGTTATGTTGATGTTGGGGAAACAGCTGCCCCTCCACCCCACCTTCCTTCCAATCGCGATGTTGTATTGGCGGCTATTGACGGCACCGTTACCGTAGCGCGTCTAGCTGGCGGTAGGGCGTCCGTAGCAGTTCTCGTAAGACATTCCTATTTGTGCTGTTAGAACACTGTCTGCGGTTCCGAGTTGTCGGAGATCTTTCGCCCTACTTCTTACAAATTGAAACGACCTACGTTCAGCAAGCGTCCAGCATGACTGTCGGCCTGTAGGAGCAGACAATGATTGTCAAACTTTGCATCTAGTATTGCAGTATTTTTCCCTCATATTGCAATGGAAAATTATCTTCCACTGGATCACCTGTTCCAGGGAGAACGACAGCATCAAGAGACAGAGCTGTAAGCTGTCGTAAATCTACCCCAATGGTGATGACATCTTCTGAATCCCTGTGAAAAGGCAACCTTTCACCAGGTCTTTCCCATTGCAAGTCATCTCCCTCTCCAATCATCGCTGCTCGACCGACGAGTTCGGGAACACCAGTAGGTCCTAGTCTTAACACAGCTGCCGCATCTGAGTCGAGGAACTGACAGATCAAATCCCCTTCCACTGCATTGGATGGTACGACTCCTGTAGTCAGTCCTGTACCCACGAAAATATTCGAATCGCCTGAAGTACCGTCGTTGAGGGCGACGACATGACGAACCACTTGATCTGCGGTTAAACCTAGAATTGCTCGAAGACGAATTGCTCGAAGACGCTCGGCCTGGCCTCTGGCCCTTCGAAGGTCTGTTTCATTAGGATAAAGAGCTGGGAGCCCTGCTGCCCATCGCTTTAGGCTGCTTGGATAGCCAATGTAGTCGACATGAGAAGGTCCGATGGAACGGATCCGAGACACAATCATACCACGTAGCTGTATATGGTCAGTCAAAGCCAGTACCTCAGGGTTCCAGCTCTCAAAGATTTCCTGATCAGGTTCCTTCCAAAAGTGATAGACGTCTGATGCGGGTGACACGAAGAACGATTCCATCCATTGTCCTGCAAATCGCATCCAATCTAGAGTTACCAAGTTCCTGGTCGTGTTGCCCGACTTGTCTGCATCACATATTCACCATCTGTCGTCCCCGCATCTGCTGTAAAACCATGTCTCTGGATCGTTCTGGGTTCCCCAATACTGCAAGTGCTTCGGTCTTGCATCGGCTTCTCGTGTTATCAAGGCGCGTACAAGGCCAGCGAACTGAACCATGTCTATCTGCTTGTTGATCGCATCGAATATGGACAGGTTCTGCGCCACGACGAAGTCTCCATAGACCTCTGCTACGGATCTTCGATAGTCGATTACGAGATTGTCGTCAATGTAGTCGTTTGACATACCGAAAAATGCATAAAGCTTGTCATGTACGACGGAGCAGAAGTTGTCACTAAAGCTGTTGAGAAGATGGTGCAATGCATATGCGCCACCGTCGCGGTACCTTGATTGACGTAGCTCTTCCAAAGCAAAGACGTGGCGCACCGTTGGGTCGTCAACACGAGAATCGTACCATCGCACAAGCTTGATGAATTCGGTCCATGATATGAACTGGTGTCCAAAGTAGACCGAAATAGACGAGGCCATCCCAATCTCTTGAACAATCCAAGCACGTTTCCAGTACTCCTGGTGCACGAGTCGATAGATCCAGTACTCAACCGGACCTGGATACCGTTTCGCGTGAGTAACTCCATAGTCGTCATGCCATTGCAATGGTATTGAGTTCTCAATCCAACGCGGCGGTTTATGTTGACCCAGCCATAGCAAGACTTGTCGTGCGCGGGAGTACGTGAAAGACATCAGAGGAACCTGACTGCTTTTTTCGTCTGCATCGGCCTGATTGATGCATATCGCATCGACCCATATGACCTGCGCCAGGTCTTTTCGGCGTATAGATTGAAGCGCATGCCATAGATTTTCTCTGATGGTCATGCGCTTGCCATTAATCACGATCCACTTCGAGCGCTTTGATTCACCCCAGGTATAGGATAGTGCGTCGTATCGAGGAGCCTCTTTGAAGGTTACCGAGTGCATCTCTGCTTCTAGCCTTCGTGCATCGCTTCCAGGCTTGATGCGAAGTAGTCGTATACTGTCTTGCGAGTCACTCAAAGGGAGATAGTCTCGCTCCGACCAGGACCTTTTAAAGAGAATTGCGACGTCCGAGCGAATGATCAAGAGACCAATTGCAGCAATGATGGAGATTGTGAGGACGAACCTCCGGTAATGCCAAATGGCACGAACCGATCTGATTATTGCGTGCCAACATTGTTCCAGGATATGGTATTGCGGTTCCTGGCGCAGAAGTCGCAGTTCCCGCTGTCGCAGCCTTGTGCGTTCATTCTCCGTATAGTGAAGACGATGTATGCTGAGTAGCGGGAGACGATCCGAGTCATTCATCGCAAAGAACTCGGTCTGTCCTAGTGCAATTACAGGCTTTTTCGATAGATCGTTGGAGAAGTCCAGGTTACCAGGAGAACTTGATGATCCAGTCGTCTGCGAGCCCACAGCCGCCTTTTGAAAGTATTTGTGGCACAAGGCTGTGCGTGGCGTCTCATGCCAGCTGTTCAGCAACTTGTTATTGGCCAACTGGATTCGTCAGCCTGATGCGCGGGCGCCAACCTCTCACCGGTATTTAGAATAGTGCGATTAAAGCCTGTGAGGAGGATTGAGAAAGAGTGAGGTCTAAGAGTGAGGGATTGTTTAGGGTGGGCGAGCTGGCTCCTTCCTCGAACAAGGAGAGCTTCGAAGCCATAACCTTGGAGCCAAGCATACAGCGTGACTTCTAGTCTGTGTTGCCTAGTTCAGAGCAAGACATCGTACCAGGAAGTGTCGCAAAGGAAGGAGTATCAGTGGAATTTTGGATCGATCTGTCAATGTGATTTAAGATGACCAATAGGGCGGACAATGCAAAGAGAGATATGGCACACTGTACTTATTTTTACTAAGCACATCTAGCAAAGCCGTAGCCTGATCAGGATACAGCACACAACCAAGTTCTCAAATTTAGAGACACTTGAAGTGGCATTTTGTCCCATGTAGATTGTACAGCAGAAACAGAGAGATAACATGATAAAAACAAGAGCATGTTGAAAGGGGACCATCAACCCAATTCGAGGTCCATTTACCCGCAATCCAAATGCCAAATGTCGAAGAACCCACGGAAGAATTATACAAGAAAGGGAAGGTATTCATCCAATGTCGTCGTTCATTAATGTGTTTCCATGAGCGGCAGTCGAAGAAGGACATTCGTCTTCTGTGGGCAAGCTTAGGTATTCATAATTACCTAGTTGCGTCGACGCCGTGCGCAGAAAGGAACAGCAAAAGCGTTACACGACGGTACGCAAAACGATACCATTCAAGCGTCGAAACAATCATCAATGTCTCATGCACGACTGTGGTAGCCTGTTTTCCCTGAGGCTCAATTGAGCAATGACCAAAGGTCTGGCAAAGTACTGTTCTAGCCGAACGGCGCATAGGAGAACATGTTTGCGACGGGAGCAGCCACAAACTGAGGAAGCAAAGGCATTTCGACAGGTGCAGATGTAACGTCGTCATCGTCGTCGCTTTCACCCAGATTGTCGACCTGGGAGACCGCTGGTACGTGCTCATCAAACAGGGAATCGAATGTACGATCTGGATCGTTTTGAGCCTGTGGTGCGGACTTCGTCACTTCTCGAATCTCCTGTTGAATGTCGAGCGCCTCTGGGGCTTCTTCAACGGCATCATCGGCGGCAACTTCTTCGTCTAGCACTTCGATCTCAATCTCCTCAATTTCTTCTGTGATGACGACATCCTCTTCCTCATCGAGTTCAGTATCGCTGGCAGCTTCATGTGCAGCCTGGAGCGAGTACGTTTCAACTTTGAGGTTGCCCTCTTCCTCAAGGTCATCCTGTTCCTCGAGCTCATCCTCTTCTTGGACCGCATACTGCTGGTCGTCGTCAATATCGTCTTCGTCCTCAACGATACGATTGAGCTCTTGTGGTTCGTTGTCGTCGTCGCGGACAACCTCTTCGATCACAAGTATCGGCTCCTCTTCGCCATCGAGCTCAGCATCAACTTCTTCGTCAGCATCGACTTCACCATTGAGGCCGTCAGTGGGCGCAGCCTCTGCGTCTTCTATGTCTGCGTCTTCCATCACAATATCAACATCAACTTCGACGTTCTTTTCCTCTGGTGTTTCCTCAGCAGGTGCTGCCTCGGCATCGATCAGTTGTTGGAGGTGGTCGAAGATAGCATCGGCGAATCTGTCCGGTACCTCGATGGAAGTGTAGCCTCTCTTCTTGCGAGGCTTTGGGGTGGATTTGGTGACGCGCGCATCCTGAGTCTTACGCTCAGCTGGCTTCGCAGGGGCCTTCACTGGGGTTGCTGTCGCACTTTTTGATGGGCGGCCTACACGTTTCTTCTGCTTCGGGGCTTCTTTGGGCGCGGCCTTCTTCGTCTTGGGAGCTGCCTTTGTTTTCGGAGCCGGTGCTGCTGCTGCGGGTGTCTTCTTCGTCTGCTTTGGTGCGCGAGTGCGGGAGGCGCGGGGGCTGGAGCGAATGCCAACGGCAGGAGTCGCGGTCTTCTTCGAGGATGTACGCTTGCTGACGCGCGAAGGGCCAGCGACGCGATTGAGGTCTAAGCCGGACGTGGACGGGCGACCACGACGTTTGGGGGTGGCTGCTGCTTGGGCGACAGCAGGCTCTGCTTTGCGCGGGCGACCAGCACGCTTCTTTGCGGGCGCATCTTCAACATCAGGCTCTGGCGCAGGTTGGGCAGCCTTGCGGCCGCGCTTCTTCGGGGCAGGCGCCTCTTCAACGACGAGCTCTGGTGCAGGCTCGGCGGCTTTGCGACCACGACCACGGCCCTTCTTTGGCTGCTCTTCGGCGGGCTCGATGGCGTGAGCTGCCGTGATGTCCTCTTCGACCTTTGCGCGAGCTGGGCGACCAGGCTTCTTCGGTGTCGGTTCAGGTGCGGCGGGTGCGGCGGTCTTCGCTGCGCGACCGCGCTTCTTCGGCGTATCCTTCGCAATGGCTGCTGAAGCGGCTGTTTTCGCGGCGCGACCGGAGCTACGAGTGGGGGTTGCGGCGGTTGGTTTGGCTGCCTTTTTGGGAGGCATGGTGATTGAGTGTTTGGTGTGTCGGGTTTAGCTATTGAAAATTTCCTAGGATCTAGGTGCGCAAGAAAGGCGCGAATGTCCAATTGCCAAAAGTGACGGTGGAAAGCTGACGATGGTTTGTGGAGGTGTTGTTTCGCGTCGCGAATGTGGAGAGCTTCGAGCTGGCCCAATCGCGCTAGTCTGTGCTCCTTCCCCAACCACGCCCCTCGTTATCGATAGTCGTCGTCATCGCCGCGAGCTTTCACCTCTGAGCTATTGGTGTGTGAGAACAGAATAGGAGAGACACTGCCTAACAACCACATCGCGCCGTCGACAGACGATCACTCGCTATACCATTAACATCATCCGAACCACAATGTTAACGCGTTACCTTTCCATTACTCGCCATCATACTGAGACAATTCCAAGCTCCCCAGCTTTACGAAGGATGGACTAATCATATCAATGACAAGACGGGCTATACGCTCAAGGAATCGTATCCTTTTTGCATCTTCTGTCCGAGTAAATTGGATCAAAGAGGGCAAGCTGCTTTCGATAAAGTGCTCCGGTCTTTGGCATACAGTCTTCTCAGTCAGACCGGCGATTGAGGCGCTACCCTCAGGCAAAGACTTGCTCTGACATCCTTGCTCATTTTTCCTACCATGCTCATTCGTTCCCGTCTGTTGCTTTGCGTTAATTTCCATAGCTACCACGGAGCATGCGGAGTGCATCGCTTACTACGTTTTCTGCAGCCTTATTGCTGCGCATACATAGGCTTACATGTATTGTTCAGGGAATGTGTTCCAAACATCCAATAATGATATAGCCCAAGGCTCCATATTGACTCATCCAGCAAGACGCAAGTACCTGCAGGAGCTGTGAGCAGTTGAGGATCACCACGATGACTTCTCGAAGAGCAAACGCCCCGCAGATAGATGAAGTGGGGCTTTCCGGTCTGCCCAACTACCTGACAGGCTCCTGTTTGAGGGCATGAAAGCTAGTGAGAGGGAAGGTGGTGTGGTGTTGATTCGACAATTGGGTTTGTTCTCGAAGAGTTGCGAACGCTCTGGGCGAAAACGAAGCATGAAGCGCGCTCGCATGACTGCTTAGACAGAGAAGAGCCATGCTACGACCATATAATAGTCTCGGCCGTCCACGAACATGGGAGTTAAAAGAGGTAATCACGGCCCGGCATACACCCGCATATGGCCTGGAACGACAATTATTTCAGTTTCTCAGTCTTAAAAGCTCCGCATAAAGAGCATTCGACCTCGATATCTCATACGCCAGCTCCACCTACTCACTACTTCCACGATGCTCCTCCTTAAATTCGCGGTTGCCTCGACAGCTGCGGCCGAATGCACCCGCGCCTTCCTCAAGACCGCCGCCGCAGACTATCTCGCAGCCCAAACCTCTGGCAAACCCTTTCACATTTACCAACCATGCGGGACCAAATTTTACCTACCTCGAGAACAATGTTGCGCTCAATCCTAATTCCACCAACAGCACCCTGGCCTATCCCCTGAAAGTTGACTACAACTACAGCATCTACGACACCGTCCGCTGCGCAACCTTCACCGAGATCGTTGCTGCAAAAGATCCACATCGGTGCATCATCCACACGCGCATCGAGTACGGACAATATGACGGGAAAGCACATCTGCTTGAAGCTGTCGTCACCGATCGTGGAGACTGGCTGTTTAACGCAACGACCGCTCTGCAGTACATCACCGCCGAATCCTGGGCCCCGATCCCTAAGGAGAAGCAGGAAACCCGAGAATACTTGCAGAAGATTGGCGACCTATACTTCGACCGCTTTGGCAACAAGTCAGTCGTGATGCCGTGGGGCTTGCCTTGCTACAGGGTTGAGGGCGGGCTGTACGCGAACGGCACCATGAACTATACCACTGGCATTTGCGAGCAGGCAATGCCGAGCACCATCATCGTGCCTTACCAAAGGTACGTCGTGAACGAGGAGGTGGGCGTTTTGGATGTCTTCGTAGGATTTCCTGGACTCGATAGGACGCAGGTGAAGGATCCAATGCCGGATAGTCACTTGATGAGAGTGGAGGATCATAAGATCAAGTTTATGCATATCGCGAGTGCGTGCGTGGTCCCTGGGTGTGGAGAGTTTGACCCTGATGATCCGTTCAAAGATACTTGAGGACAGCAACGACAAAAGAAGGGAAGATACGAAATCTTGGAAGCCTGGCAACTCCGCAATATCTATGCTGAAGTGGAAAGGAGGGATTGAACACTGATAGCAGGAGACGTTGCGCAATGGAGCTCTCTCTCCTGGTACTCGCCGCAAATAGAGTCTGTTCCCTCTTTGCTTTTGTCTTCGCGAAAGGTACTGAGGCCTTCCAAGCTCGCCTGACAGAAGTCAAGAACAGAAGTTGAGTTGTCATGCTCAAGGACCCAAGGTGTTGATGATGCGAGGCAAGAAGTGTGCCTTCCTTAGCAGAGCGCACGGGTCTCGGGTTCAAAATAGCCTCGGTTTACCGCTGCAATGCACTCTCCTCGACAATACCCCGCTGCCCGAGCAAACGCGTGTCGTAGAGCCTGACAACCATCCCCACGAATACAAAATCGCAATGGCGTTTCCTTCGCGACCTTTTTGCCAAGAGACATCGGATGCCATACCTTTTACGAAGGTAGCTGCGAATCCAATAGCACCTTCGTCTGTCCGACTCAATATCTTGGGAGCGCTATTGACACTGAATTTTGCTCATGAGCGATAGCGCATCCTCATGCGTGGGGAAGCTACCCCGGATTTTGGAAGGCGACATGCAACACACCCCACCTAGACCCAGTTTCTACTCTGCTCCGCCCCTACAGCGTGTTATTGTCGGAATGCTAACCTATATGGCTGGTGTCTAAGTTGAATATAGAAGCTTGTGGTTTATCCGCAAATCACAACAGCCGGAAGAAATCACAAGCCGAAAGAACCGGGAGCGTGATTGACAGGAACCAGGAACAAATGGGTATATTAATCTGAGTTCGTCGACCTGCGAAAATGTGGGACGCGAAAATGGGTTTCCTCTCTCGCACAGTGACCATTGTGGCCTCGCTGCTATCACTAGCTAGCGCCGTCTCGATCTTGTCGACCAAGACGTACAATATCTCTAACGATGTCGAGGGCTCAGTGCATATGAATGCCCTCGCATTTCAGCAAAGCCCGTTGAGCACTTTCGGCGATTATCAATATGTAGCGTTCTACAAGACTGCAACCGGCTATGGAAAGCACTACGTTAATCTCGGTCGAAGGCGCATTTCACCATCGCTCGGCGATTGGCAATCATTTGCATTCACCGACTACGTTCAGCAGACACTCGACGAGCACAACACCATTAGCATGGGCATTAGCGGAGACGGCAAGATTCACCTGAGCTTCGATCACCACGATGTGCCACTCAACTACCGCGTATCTACGTCTGGCATCGCGAAGACCATCCCGTCGGACTGGAGTATGAGCACATTCGGCGGTTCAGTCCAGCATAGCCTGCCTGGATCCACAGGGCCATGGACACCCCTCACCTACCCGCGTTTCGAGCGCCTTGCAAACGGCGACATGCTCATGGAGTTCCGCATTGGACAAAGCGGAGCCGGCGACTCGTACATCCACCGCTACTCTAGCACGTCTGGATCCTGGAGCGCAGTCGGCAAATACCTCCAAGGCGAAGACAACAACGCCTACATCAACGGCTTCACCTCAGCAAGCGGCAAACTCTACGTGAGCTGGACCGTCCGTGAGACGCCCGACGCCAGCACAAACCACGACTTCTACTTCGCGCTCTCGGAAGACGACGGCGCGACCTGGAAAGCTACAAGCGGGAGCACCGTCGCGAAGCCCATCACGCCGTCAACAGCTGGCATAAAGGTCTTCACCATCGCACAGGGCAAGCAGATTATGAACCAGGAAGCGCAGACCGCAGATGACAAAGGCCGCTTCCACGCTCTTATGCGCGATAATACTTCCGGAACAGCGCGCTTCTACCACTACCTTCGTATGGCTACTGGGACGTTCACGAAGACTGCGATCAACGCTGCGGGTCTTTCTAGCCCGCCTTATCTTGCTTATAGAGGTAAACTCGCCGCCCGCGGGGACAGTTTGATCGCGATTCTGCCGGATGCACCTAAGAATACTACTACGCTGTACGGTGCGACCGCTGGCGGGAACTACCAGGACTGGAAACTCCTGGCTACGATTCAGAATACGGCTGGCGAGCCCGGAGTGGACGAGGAGCGGTTGGCGCAGAGCAATGTCTTGAGTGTGTTCATTAGGCAGGGTGGGCCGTTTGGGGATCGGAAGATTCAGGTTTGGGATTATGATGTGCAGTGGTAGGGAAACAGTAGCCAGCGTAGCCATTACAACATATCATGATTATTATCAGTATACCTCCCTATAAAATCATCGTGCTCACTGCGACGTTGCCATATTCCCTATGATACATATTTGTCGTATCCGTCATAAAAGTCGTCACAGTCATGGTCGTAATCTTCGTAGCTCATGTAGTCCTGTCATCATCGCCCATAGAACGCCACTTAGTAGAGAGTGGGATCGCAGACCCTCTTGTGGACCTTCCAATGCTTCTTCTGGCATGTCGAGCTGCAGTACCTCCTATTCTTGCACTTTGCGCACTGCAACAGCGCCGCGCCACTCTGCTGTGCCTTCACACCGCAGCCACCACACGCATCCGGTTTGGCATGCTGAGCACGAAGCTCTTTGATGATCGTAGAAGTGGAAGAGTCACCCATGCCGGTGTTGAAGAACCCACCTGGACCAATGACGTTCAGGCTCACGAAGCCCGAGGCACCTGGCTGGCGATCCTCGTCGTGCATGGAATTGGCAGTCTCGATAAGATCTTTCGACTCGAAGTCGTACGGAACGCCATTGGTGAAGCCATCCGGTCCGAAGAGAGCCTTGCGCATTTGCATCAAAGCACCGGACATCAAGCCACCCTCGGTGTAGACCTTCTTGAGCATGTTCAGGTAGTCGGACGGGAGAGTGCAGCCAAGGCCCATGGCGCACGCACCGAGAAGAACATACTCGTAGCAAGGGTCCCGGAGAAAGTCCAACCGGTTTGGTGGAGCAAGCATCTTGGCCTTCTTCTTCTCGATGAGGTCGACAAGGACGCCGGAATCAAGGTGATGGCGGACGACGTCAGGATGCGATGGGCCGTATAGGTTATAGTAGATTTGCTTTTCGGCATCTGATTCACCTGCTGCCTTGGCTTTGGCGATTGCTTCCTCCTCTAGCTTATAGAGGCCAGCGTCATGGGTCATTTCGGAGACCATGTCGAGATCATGGTCCGATTGGAAAAGGTCTGCAACCTTATTAGCATGCTCTATGACGTTCTTGTCAGACAGATTACCGTGTCCCCAAGCACCCATGTTTGCGTATGTACTTTAGGTTGTGTGATGCGGACCTGTGAGAATGAGCACTCAATTAGAGATCAGTGACGGCTCTAAGGCGTACTGTTTGTTGATTGTCTTTCGCCTGGAAACAGCGAGCGGTGTCGAAGAGATAGATCAAATTAGTGTGAGTGTATGAGTGTGCAAGAGCAGCGGATTTGAAAGACTGAGTTGTGTCACGCTGTGCATGTTAGGGAAGTCGCGATGACGCGCAGTCACGTGCCAAACGCGTCGCAGCGTGCAGCCTTTCACAGGTTCTCCCACTCCGCCGGCTCATCGCTTCAATTCATGTAGTTCTTCATATATGCTGTTTGAGCCCACATAAGTTCCTGGCTTATACGAGCGGCATACTGTCCATGCTAGAGAGCCAATGTTACTACATTTGCGTACCTATATCAGTCACCATCGTGATGCCTCAGACTATATCACCCTACCATCGGTAGACAATATTCCATCTTCTGATCTGAAATCTTCAAACTCTGAGGAAGTCCGCCACGCTTGGTGCACCAGCTCGAGGGATTGGTTGAGACATGTTGGACGTCTCTGTGCAGGTGAATTTTGGCTATAAGCTTTCCCGCACACTAAGCGTTAGCAAGTATAACGCGATATGCCGTAGCCTAGGGTAACCCGCGTTACAATGAGTGTCTAAAGTTGTGACCTGATAATGTAGATGGAGAGCCAACATCTGAGTTTACGAGAGAGGTTAGGTCGCTTAGTGGGGCTTTTCTCCGCTCGGATTTGCGGATTCGGTTACGACTTCTCCGCTTCACGAGCAGGGATGCTACACCTGAATTAGAAGGAGGGCCAGCCAGCGATGTCTCCTAAACCTCGAATTACAAACCACAGGGACGAGATGGCGATACAGGATCTTTCTTTGGTCCAGGTGGCACTCTATCTGAGTGGCGCGGTCAGTCTTACTACGTCCGCTTGCTACATAGCCCTGACTAACGACATCAGTATCTCGCATTCAGTGCTTGTCGGGCGATTTACAACATCTACTTTCATCCGCTAGCAAAGATACCTGGGCCCAAGATACGTGCTGCGTTTTACTTCCCACATAACTTTGAGCTCGTCGCCGGTGACGTTGTTCATAACTGGCACAAGTTGCATGAACAGTATGGCGAGGTTGTGCGCGTAAATCCGTCGTGGGTTTCGTTCACCGACCCTGACGCATTCCGAGGTGTGACGAGCTTTTGCAGTCGTCTACGTTGATGCATTGGCTGACTATGAAGACATCTATGGCTATGGAAACAGAAAGCCAATCCCGAAGGATCCGGCCGTATACAATACTGGAGAAATGAGAACTCGTGCAGCAAACATACTGTGTAGATAACTGCAATCAAGGAAGCATGTATCAGGACTGACATATCACAGCTTCGAACGATGCAAATCACTCTCGCATACGCCGCTGCATGAGTCACGCCTTCTCCGATCAAGCTCTCCGCAGCCAAGAACCCATCATCAAATCGTACATTACGCTTCTGATCTCAAAGCTGCAGGCCAAAGCAAACACTGATACCCAAGTGGATATCATGCGCTATATCAACTTTACTACCTTCGATATCCTTGGGGATCTATGTTTTGGAGAGTCCTTTGGGGCGCTGGAATCGGAAGAGTACAGCGAGTGGATGGCCAATCTCTTCAAAGGCGTCAAGCTTGTCCCCTTTGTCAGATTGGCCAGGATGTATCCAATCATCGGTTTACCCTTCTGGCTATTGACGAAAATATTTCCGCAGATAATGGCAGCGAGGACCATGCATGAGAACCATACTGTCGAGAAGACGGCTAAAAGGATGGACACGAAGACTGATCGAAAGGACTTCATGAGGTGAGTACTCTCACCTTTTTGTCAGCGAGATGGCTCATATGTGCAGCTACATTCTGAAACATAACGACGAAAGAGGCATGTCGCGAGAAGAAATCATGCGCACCTCAGGCATCCTCATCGTCGCCGGTAGCGAGACGACGGCCACCCTTCTCAGTGGAGCAATGTACTATCTACTTGCAAACCCTACATGGCTCCAAAAGGTACAAGAGGAGCTCGACAATGCGTTCAAGACAGAGTCCGAGATAACATTCGCGCCGCTGGGCCAGCTGGAAGTCCTCAATGCTGTCCTCACGGAGACTCTCCGCATGTACCCTCCTGTGCCTGTCATACTTCCCCGCGCTACCGTGAAAGAAGCCGCAATGGTTTGCGGGACGTTCATCCCAAAAGGCTCTACCGTAGGCGTCACCCACTACGCCGCGTCTCGCTCGTCGCACAACTTCAAGCATCCCGACGTTTTTGCCCCGCAAAGGCATCTCGGTGACCCGGAGTTCAAAGATGACAAGCGATCGGTTATACAGCCGTTCTCTGTAGGACCAAGAAATTGCATCGGCCAGGTATGTCTTGTAGTGTCGCATGAAATTATAAAACTAACGTTCCGAAGACCATGGCGTGGCTTGAAATGCGAGCCATTCTCGCGAATCTACTGTGGAACTTTGACATAGAGCTTGTGGATAAGTCGCAGAAGTGGGATCAGCATAAAGTATTCATCTTGTGGGACAAACCAGCACTCATGGTCAGGTTAAAGACAAGGACACACTAGCGAGGTACGCTGGGCGTAGCAATGAAAACCCTTCCTTCGAATCGACGTGTGGGGAGAAGAGGATCCTCTGGACGCGGGGCGCATTCAGGGGAGAGCGATGTTCTTACTGTGGTTATACGTGACCGCATTTTGGTACGGTAGATACTGTCAACCTTGGAACGGTCTCAACACGTTTTGTCCCACAAGCGATGCAATATGGTAGCGAGCTATTGAAACCGCCCACAATGAGGCACAGAAATGTGATGAAAAAGCACCTCGCTGATCTACTTTGATCCATTGCTCGCATGAAGCTATGCCTATACATATCGCTGACATAGCGCAAATTGCTTCAGCCATGACTGCGCGTTCTGGCGAGAGCCACGATGGCCTGCGCAGTCAGAGCAACCAGGCGAGCCGACGGCAAGGTTCCGGCGCCCCTAAACCGCGGGATCACCCAGTCAAAAGTAAGTTAGAGCCAGCCCTGTTGCGTTCTGAGTGTGGTGCAATGGGGTTGCGCAAGACCGTATCACTGAGCCACTGCTTACATGTACAGATGGATACGTTCAGAAGAGCATACGAAAGAGGAAGCGTAAGTAGCTCCAGCACAAGCAGCCTTTCAGAACCATGACTTTCTCCGCGGCTTCTGATTTCCACGCTTTCGTCACGACAACCCACTAACATCCATAGGTCCTGATCCAATAAGTCCGGTCATCGATATGGTAGTAGCTCGACGCCTATGCGATCGTCTGCAAACAGACAAGCTGAAACACGAATTCTTATCCCTACTCACGAAAGCACACACCGGCCCAGAAAAGGCTCAGATTCGGGGACTAGTGAGACAGGGGAGAATCCTATGGGTGAAGCACGGCGCCGAGCACTTCGAACGCGAGATGGCCAAATGCATCCGGAAGGCTACCGACAAGAGGCGCACCGACGACATCTATGTGCGGCTCACCAAAAGCTTCCTTGACATGAAGGTCGAGGACGCGGACGCGGACGCGGATCGTGCATCATCCTCGATGTCCTTAATCCAGCCAATAGAAGATATTGACATGGTTGATGTCCCGGAATCCGCCGAAGACAACATGGATACGAATTGGATGTCTGAGGCTTAACGAAACCTGGTGCAAAAGGCAAGTTCGACTCAAGACACTCTCCTAGCGGTCTTTAATGGTCTATGCTACGATGATAAGTTGGAGGTGGTTGTGCCAAGGACAGACAGCCTTGGCAGAGATGGTAAACGCTGGAGACGCTGTGCATACGTACGGCCTATCGGCGAATCGGGTCTTCTCCGGTATACGAACAATTCACAAAGATGGAAGGATTGAGCGCTCATTGGTCATCTTCCTACCATTTACAGCACATACTTTACTCTTATCTCATTGGGGGCTTTTTCGGGTGTAAGGCTGATGAAAAGAGCCTATCTCAAGACATTATATTGTTGGCATAGTCCAGTTGGAATGGAAAGAGTACCGAGCGAATGGTTCTAGAATCGGGAAGGGTTCTCACTTAAGCCGCCTAAAACGCTGCTAGCGACCGCATATCGGCCCATTATTCTGCTTGGCAGAGCCGCAAATCTATACCTACTTCAGCATAGAATGACACTAAAAACCCAAAGACGTCGTGTAACTTGGACGCATCCCTACAGAACGTTTACGTACTGAATCCCCCAGACGTCGTCCGCGTGATGGGGATGCGGGGTGACTCGCGCAGACGGAAGCGAGACGGTGTCGCGGTTTTCCAGACACATAGAAATGTGCTAGCTCAGCCCAATTACCCCGGAGTGCTTTTCCCGCTCTGGGGACGGGGATTTCGTGCCCAGGATTGTTATCTGGACTGTGGAGAATCCATGTCATGTTGCTGGTGGCGTAGAGATAGTCCAGATAAGATGACAGTACCAAGCCGTATGATAACTCCCACGGCTGGCTCTAGGCTTGCAGGGCTGGCTATAAAGATCTCTTTCATCCCGCGGGGGCGCAGGCAGTAGACATTGGGAGGTTTCAACAATCACTTCTTCGCTCTCGCCTTTGTACTGGACCCTTCGGTCCTACCTTCGTTCATCATGGGCCATCAAGACGAGCCCAAGACTGATATCTCGCAAACCATAAGCCGCCCTGATGCCGAAGTCGGCGACGTATCAAATTACAAGGTCCAAGAAGCTCTCAACCCTGGCTCTGCGCACACCCACCGTGGGCTTCGACCTCGCCATGTTCAGCTCGCCGCCATCGCAGGTGGCATCGGTGTTGGCCTCTTCGTTGGTATCGGCAAAGTGCTAGTCAATGCCGGTCCTCTCTCTCTTCTACTCGGTTACTTGATATACGGAATTGGCTTCATTTGGCCGTGCAACTTGTGCACTGCTGAGATGGTGACATGGTTACCCATTCGCGGCAGTGTCTTCGGATTGGCAGCGAGATACGTGGACCCGGCTCTTGGCTTCGCACTCGGATGGACATACTTCTATGCAGGAGCAATGTTCGTGTGTACGGAAACTAGTGCTGTAGCAACTGTAGTCCAATTTTGGGATGTCGATGTAAGCCCAGCCGTCTGGGTGGCTATGGTCCTGATTCTTTGCACTTTCTTCAATCTCGTCGCTGTCAAGTAAGTGGACATCTCCGACCGGCTCACGTGCATTTTTAACCAAGGTGTTAGGTGGTATGGCGAATCCGAATTCGTTATGTCGATTACGAAAGTCTTACTGCTTACCGGACTGGTCCTCTTTACCTTTATTACAATGGTTGGAGGTAACCCTAAACATGACGCATATGGGTTCCGTGCGTGGACCAACGGAAATGCGATGCATCCGTATTATGCTGATGGTGCTACTGGACGATTGCTCGGAATAGCAATCTCGATCCGTTTTGCCGTCTTCACCCTTGCCGGACCCGACTTCATCAGTTTGTCCGCTGGAGAGATCCAGAACCCTCGACGCACTATCCCGCGACTTGCACAACTCATCTTTTATCGCTTGGTCGGGTTCTACATCATCGGCAGTCTGGCTGTTGGCATTATCTGTTCGTCGCGCGATCCCGGTTTAATGCTTGCCATCAAAGGAGGCGAGCCTGGTGCTGCCGCATCGCCATGGGTTATCGGAATCCGCAACGCCGGCGTCACTGGCGGTCTCCCTGGTCTCATCAACACCTTGATCTTGGTTTCTGCCATTTCATGCGGTAACGCGTTCGTGTACCAGACCAGCCGTACACTGTACTCGTTAGCGCAGGAAGGTCAGGCTCCGAAAATCTTCCTGACTTGTTCCAAGAGCGGTATTCCCTACTACTGCGTTCTCGCTGTCACAGGGATCGGATGCATTACCTTCCTGGTCGCAGATAATTCTGCCATAACAGTCTTCGGGTGGTTTGTTGACTTGGCAACTTCCGGGCTCATTGTCAACTTCGTCGCCTTCTTCTGGGTATACTTGGGCTGGTACCGCACTCTCAAAGCTCAGAACTTTGATCGCAAGAATCTGCCATATCACTGCAATTTTGCCCCGTATACCGCATGGTTTGGGCTGATATTTGGGTGTCTCATCATCCTTTTCCTGGGTTTTGATTCCTTTGCGCCCTTCTCGATCCAGTCCTTCATCACCACCTACTTCGGCATCGCGTATGCTGTCTGCATGTTTACGTTTTGGAAGATCTTCAAGAAGACTAAATTTGCAGATCCAGCGACCGTGGACATCTACCATGGAAAGGCGGAGGTCGATGCCGAATGCGCTATCTGGGAGGAAGGAGGTTTAGAGGAGAACGAGAAACAACGTCTGTCGGAAATGAGCGTTGTGCGAAGGACTTGGGAGAAGATTTGGTAGAGTCGACCACGCTCTCATATTTACCACTCCTGCTGTAGGATACACCACAAGCGGCGCCTCCGTGAGAATAGATGATATGGCAATCATTGCATCCCACTTCGTGTGAAATTGTGCATTATTCCAAAGGTGTGCAAGAGTCTGTCCGTATGGTATATTGGATTATTGAGCAATGATGTTGAATACGTGAAGAGGAAGGCAGGTAGGACAACATTTGTGGAAGCCACAGCCGATTAGTCATGACGTCTATCCTGAAACGGCCGGCACAGCAATGGCGCAGTCATAACCTTCATCCTTGATCGCAATGCCGCTTGAGCGGCGCAGTCAGACATTTCCTGTTGAACACACAGAAATGGCAATAGGCTACAAGGACCCTGCGCATCTCAACGGTGCGGCCCGTCGCAACCCCTTTAAATACTCGGAGACCAACAATTCGAATATGCGCCCGTGAGGCGTAGTAAACGTTTAAATCGACGGCGAATGTTGGTAACCCATTGTCGACTGATGTACTGCAGTTTCTACCCAGCCAGCAATTGCAGGAAGAACTCCCCGCATACCATATAAATAAATGGCGGTTCACCTTGTCCTCGATTGTGTTTGTTCGAAAATGAAGCTCTAGCATCTCTTTGACTTGACTTGCGACAATTCCCATGAGCAAACATTCCTAAAAATGTATCTTTACGATCATCAAAAGCCTTACCAGATCGATCCCCACGTTCTTGCGGGTTTACTTCCAGGACCCTCGGCAAGTGCGGCTCTGTCAAGGTTGTAGATACATGCCGCAAAATCGTTGAATGTTGTCAAAATTGCAGACACCGCGATTCCCTTGCAAGCTCAGCGGAAGCGCCGGCATTTTGATTTCGTCACAACGTCATGAACAGGCCGTACCGGCGCATGGAACAGCCGCCAGTGCCCGTATGCAGACATTCAAGAGAGGCAAACTCTTCCAGGAAGGCTCTACGACTACGTGTCGATGAACACCTTGAAAGGTATTCCAGATCAAACAGCCACCCATTGCCCGTATGCAGACGTTCTAAGTTAGGCAAACTCTTCCAGGAAGACCCAGGCTCCGTGCCTACCTATCGATAAGTCCCTTGAAAGCCGACCCAAATCGCCTTCCATCAAATCGGTCATTGTTCCGGGATCCTTCCAGACTCGCGGGTCCTATCACATGGGAATGTTAGGAACTTGATGATCTGGATCACACGATGCTTACTTCGCGGACAAAGAGAACGAGCAATCGAACACACATGCAGACCGGAAATAACAAATTCGCAAAATACAGTGCTCGCTGTGGCGACGATTGTGCAGGAGCGGCGTACGGACTTGGAAATTGCGATCACCCTTGTACGCGCATCACGTTCGCCGAGACCAGGGCTCCAGTCCAGCCGACAAAGCAAAGCAACACCGCAAAAACAACACACACTCACTGCCTCTCGCGCGCGTCTACCGCCGCCATCCATCCACACGCAGCATATCCACCCGGCGCACGCAAATATCTCGTCTCGTTTCAATGCCGCTTTCCGAATCTCTCCTCCACTGGCTCATCCCTTCCCATCCCATCCCATCCCATCCCATCCCACCCCTCGTTTCAATCTACAGCGGTATGCTATCTCTCGCTTGCCCGCCTGCAGCCTGCCTCCCTGCCCGCATGCACGTTTCGCAATAGTCCGTCCGTGATTAGCCAGCCCCACACAACCTGACGCCCCGTTTCAACCGCCTCCCGCCGCCGCGACCTGTCAATCTCGAACCCCCGCCGCTGTTTGACACCTGCCAGCCTGTGCCAGGAGTCCGAGACAACCGCTGCCGCCGCGAGATGAGAAAGCTTGTCTCTGGGAGGCATGACGCAAACGCGCGAGATGAGAGGGATTATCACATGCAGGGTGGCGCGCGTGGCGCACGCGAAGGAACCGTGGTAGTACGGCGGTGCCTGGCTTTAGTGCGTGCGCTGCGTGGTGGGTGGGTGGGTAGTCAGGCACCACGTTGTTAGGGGCAGGGTAGCGTCCGTCGAGCAGCTGCGGAGACGCGCACTTGAGGCACCGCACGTAGACTTGCTCAATTATGTATTAGAATTTAACGACGTAGTGTCTTTATGTATGGTACGGGTATGCCAGCCTAGGCACCCTTTTGCCCCCAAATGCCATATCATATGACCGCATGAACGATGCAAGGTATTCGAAACACCCGTTTAATCCCCAATCAATCAATCAATCATTTTTCCTCGATTCGATTCAATATGCAAAGGAAGATCAGAAGTGCGAAAACGCTAGTAAGGAGCGGTAAGAAACATGTGAATGGTATTTGTCTAGTCAAGAAAGATGCGAAACGAAACGAAAGGGTTCGTAGCAGAGTCTAGTAGTTGTACTTGTAGCACATGGGCGAGGCGATGGTGTTCATGACATCCCTGACCTTCATGTTGGGCTTGAGGCCGTTGAGGAAGATGTCCGTGTCCATGGTGAGGGCGGCACCCCCGGGGCCGGTGCCGTCGATGTAGCCGGTGCGGGAAGAGTCGTCGTTTTGCCAGATGCGGAAGTGGCGGTCGACCATGCCGTGGTGGAGCCAGAAGATGGGGTCGCCGGGAGAGGCATAGACGTCGCGCATGACGCCGCCGATGCCGTTGTGGCCGTAGGCGTGCGCGCCCTGCTCAGCGCACTTGGCGAAGTCCTGGTAGTCCTTCAACGCCCTGCAGCCGTTGACGATGTTGTTGTTGGTGTTGGCCGTGTCGGCCGCGTTGCCGTTGCGGGCAAGGCAGTGGTACTGGTTGAACTGGGCCGTGCTGGGACCGATGTTCAAGGCCAGGTTGGCGAATTGCTGTGGCAGGTCAGTCGTACATCCCTCGAGAATTCAGTAGGTGTGCACTTACGCCATTGGTGACGCAGTTTCCGCCGAGGTTGATGGCACCGAGCCACTTGTCGGAGAAGATGGAAGACTGCGAGAACTTGCCCGCATACTTGGTCTCGTCGAACCAGGGGATGGTGTCGGTGAAACCGCACTCGTCCCTCATGACCTGCTCGAAAGCCCACAGGAAGGCGCGGTGCCACACGATGAACTTGCGGTTGTTGTGCACGTTGTCGGTAACGGTCTGGTGGACCTGCACGAAGTCTTCGTAGCGGTTCTTTGAGCCGGGGTAGTTGCCCTTGGAAGCCTTGCCAAGCAGGCACTTGACACCGTTTACAAAGTTTTGCTTGGTGGTGTCTGAGCTGTCGTGCCACTCGGTGCGGACCCTCACGCTGCTGCAGGTGGCAGCGGCGGCGAAGGTGTCGAACTCGGGCTCGGGTGTGGGAGCATCGGTCTGGTTGGCAACCATTTCGGTGATGTCGGAGAGGGAGAGGGTCATGATCTCATGGGTGTTGAAGATGTTGACGTCGAGCTTGGGGCCACCGGTGGGGATGGGCAGCGAGGGGATGGAGAGCACAGCGGCAGATGCGCCGGCCGCGAGGCCGAGGAAGGCGAACTTGGTCATGGTGGTGTGAATTGGTCCTCAGTGTCCAGGGTGCGACTTTCAAGGTCGAATTAAAAATTACCAAGTGAATGGTTTCTTAGATGGTTAAACGAATGGCTGCTCTGCAAGGACTTGCAAGGGCGTTGGACAAAGAGTGAAAACGGAAGCGGAAGGGGACGAGGAAATCTTATATCCATCCCAATCTCCTTTGAACGCTGCGATACGACGCTGGTCCATGCCAGCTCCCCAGGCCATTCCGGTCTTGTACCCCTAGTCGCGCGCGGGTCCAAAGCGCTGCGCATGGATTAGGCTTAGAGCAGCAGCTTTCGATATTGGCGTAAGAGCGCCACGACCTCACACCGCGTGGCGCTTGCCTGCGTCCGGCAGACAAGGTGCAGGGATCGCCTCAGCTTGCAGCGACCTGCGCCCTGAAAGCCCGGATGCAGAGACTCGGGTTGCCGGTTCGCGAGATTTGAGCCACCAAACCGTTCGAAGGATCCCCACTCCACATCTTGTGCCGTCTGGTAATTGCAGGGTATGCACTGCCCCGTTTCTCACACGCACTCTTCTCTGCTTCTCGAAGAGCAGCCTTCACTCAGGAGCGCTGCGGAAATAATCAGCTTCCGCCCGCACGTGCGTCGCCTGGTGGTGACCTGATCTGGCGAGCGCCTCGTCAGATGCAATTTCACTACACGATAGCGCTGAAGCCACGATGCAGCGGACAAGCAACGCTGTTGTCCTTCCGACTTCAGCGCACACTGCGCCGATCCGACGATCGCCGATTCTAAGGAAGAAGGCGTTCAGTAGGCGACGTCTGCGGCTCAGTCACATCGCCAGTTGCTCAGCGTCTCCCTCCGAGCTTACCGTCCAATTCACCCATACGAGCGCGACAGCAGAGTATTCTCCTGCTGCGTGCTGACAACAGCTGCCTCTCCCACAAGGCGGCCAATGACATGCCGCTACGCCAGAACAAGCTTTGCGCCCGGTACTTCCAAAAATACCAGCTGCTATCGATCAGCTCACCACTAGCCCCCGGTACCCTTGAATCGACACTGAACAAATGCAACGTGACAACGTCAAGACCCAACTATCGGCCACGCTGTAGGCGGCCAGTAGTAAGAAATGCCACGTCGAAGGATCCAATAATTATTGCCTAATACGGACGGCTCTCGGCGTTGGAGTTAGATCGTGAATGCACAAAGTGCGGGGTTGTCCTCGGTGGTTATCCTGAGTGACGTCGGCAGAACGTTTGTGGGATGCGCTGCCTAGGAGAGGCTACAGTAGGGCAAGAGGGTCATGGGGTCGGCCTTGCTCTCGTAGCGGTGAGTATCTGACGATGCAGCCCCTGCGCGCAAAGGGTGGTGTTTTCAGCCCAGAGCGGAGTCTGCGGACCCCGCAACATTCTGTGGACTGTCGTACCGTAAATTCAATTTGCATGTGTTGTCGGCCGGAAGGGATTCTTGGTTTTGCTTAGGTACCACTCTTGGTATGCATCATCTGCTCGTGTACGCGGTGGACGGCAAGACGGCTTGCTCTCCTGAGGTGCTCTCCTGAGATCCCACTCGGTGCCGCTGCGAACCAGGCGCACGATCGGCCAAATGTCCCGACTATTTTAGACCGGCTTCACGAGCACCCAGTTTTCGTTTTCGATAACAAGGTCCCTGTTACTGACCAGAGTCCTATTTGTGGGCCAAAGGGTCCTAAATCTCGTGTAGACATGGGGCTTGCCGAGTTGCCGCAGCCGAGGAGAAGTATCGTTGGCTCGTCAGCCGGGTGCTGGATGCTGGCATGGGAGCACAACAACGCCTGCGCAGAGAGGGGCTGATGCCGTACGACGAGCAGGCACGTCGGTCATCAGCCGTGAGCCACAGCTACACCGGGTGGCGCTGGAAGGCGAACGCAGGGAAAGACGCACAGCATGCTCGAGGTCAGGAGGCAGCTGGTAGCAATCAGACAAGGGACAAGTTCGAACAGGTGTAGAATCATTCTTTGCGTAGAGAGCAAGGTACGCGTATTGTTCTTATACACGCACGGTTGAGCACATTTGAGCGAGTTCACGAGTATCCACTGAGTGTACCAAGGCAGTGTCCAACAACGTCACGCTAAGAGCTCTGCGAGAAACACTTGTGAAAACACGACATTGCTGCGCTATAGATGGCAGGAAGGCGCAAAGGACGATACCAGCCAGCAAACTCGCATCAACCCGAGTATATCTATTGGTTCACCTTCGCCCTCCCAATCGCATGCTGCCACGCGCATTCGGGTCTCTCTGCTTGGATCTGTAGTCCACACGTCGTCAAAGCGGAGTAAAGCTGATCACATACCCACGCCCGCCTCCAAATTCTATAGTAAGACTGATTGCATCCGACTCACTTCCAGCAGCAGACACATCACCTGGATCATTCACGAAAACCATCTCAGTCAGCGAAAACAGAGCTGGACGCCTTCACACTCCACTCTACGCCCCTTGACACCTCACCTGCGCCTTCCAACCGCATCCCAGCCAACTTGCCTACTGTAGGCTTACTGAGTCACTCCAAGAACCACGGCTACTGTATCACATCAACCCCACCATAATTACGCCTCGCCATCTCATCTCTACAGCCCCTCAGCATAGGTCTACATGTGTCTTACATGTGTCCAAGACAACGCCCAAGCCTAGCACGTAGCACGACGTCGCACAACACACGCGCGCGCCGCGTACCACAACGCTGATGCGCGCCCCCATGCACGACATCACATGAGATCGGCGCCGCTCCAACGCCTCGCGCGTCCCGACGCCGCTTCGGACCCTCGGGATCTTCGTGACGTGAACGCCTCTCTGTGCGACGCAGTCGGCGCGCTCTGGCACGCGAGGTTGCGCAAAGAAAATGCGAGGACGACGTGGCACAGGGAAAGACTGCGCTGCTGCTACGCTGGAGTGGGACAGTGGAGTGAGCATTCGCGCAGTATGGCAGACGTGGAGAGAAGTGGAAGGGAAATGCAATGATGAAGTGTGCGTGATGTGAAGTGACCACGTCCGATGAGATGCGTACGTTCCCGCTCCGTAATGATGCCGAAGAAGCAAGCCATGAGAGAGAGAGAGCAAACGCAACAAATGCCATGCCATGATATGCCGCAGGTACACAAAAATCCCGAAGAACGCCCGCAGTAAGACATGCTCGTAACGAAAGCATCTCCCGTATCATGCGTGACCAAGAGATAGATCAAGAGGAGAGGAAATCAAAAGGATCCTGGAGATATTATACCACCCGTCGCTCCTATTCAGCTTCCACCGACCCAACCCCTTAGATTCCTTTTATCCAAAGAAGCGCCCAACACCGTTTCAATCATCGTAGTCCGCGACCGCCACGCTATCCGTGTCGCTGATGTGGGGATGGGAATGGTGCGGGTGAATAGCCTCGTGCACGGCGTCCTTGACTATGTTCTCCACCTTGATCTTGTCCACGTGTTCCTTGGGCACCCAGATTAACTGCAACGCTCCGACGACTGCGCACGCAGCTAGGAAGAACCACGCCGCTGCGCTGCCTCCCGTGGCGTACACAACACCCACAAGCGGGCTGGAAACGGTTCGTGCAAGACAGCACGCCGACATTGCTGCGCCGTTGACGCGGCCCAGCACGAGCGGCGAGGGCGTTGCATTTTTGAGCAGGATGAGAGCGCACGGGAAGACGAGGATACCGAACAAGCCCTGTAGGAAGAGCGAGAGGTAAACGCCAGGCGAGACGAGCTTTTCCGGGAGCGCGCTGATGAAGGGGACGATGAGGTAGGTCGTCGGGTATAGGACGATCATGCTGACGAAGGTATTCCAGACGCCTACTTTCTCCACGAAGAACGGGAAGATGACGCCCTGTGTGAACAGCGCGATCAGGCCGTTGACGGCGAGGAAAGTGCCTACGTCGTGGAGATCGAGACCCAAGCCGCCGGTGAAGTCGATGCCGTCCTTGGCGGATTCATCGAGGAGATAGACGGGTAAGTTGGTGATGTACGCCATCTGGTGGAAAGCGATGATGGTCAAGGCGAGCGTGAGCATGACGACTGTTCGGTTGAACGTCTTCTTCGGGCCCGTGGGATCGGGACGAGTGATGGGCGCGGGAAGGACCTCATGGTGCGCAATTTTGATGCTGTGCATCGTACCGAAAGAGTCTCGACGGATATCAAACCGCTGGTCAATGGCTGACGGCATACCATCTTCCATGAATGAAGGCTTCTTGCGGATTTGGCGCAGGCCGTCCACAATGGAGAACGAGCGGGCACGGAAGCTACCACCAGAGAATGCTCGTGAGCGGGAGGCGCGCGAGACAGAGGCACGGGTTAACGAGCTGCGATCGCGAGCTCGTCCAGCATCTCGAGGCAACGTCGAATGACCGTTCGAGAGCAAAGGAGCTCGCTCGTTGATGGTGGGTTCGATGAGGGCCGCTTGTGTCGTCTCTTCAGGCTCTTCCTGCTCGGGCAGCGTCTCTTCCAAGAAAAGGATACCCTGGACGATGGCCAAAACGATTCCGAGGGCTGCTACGACGTTGGGTAGCAAATACGGATACCTCCCAAAGATACCATCCTCAGAGAACGTGCCGGGGTAGTATTTCGCAGGCTGCGCAAGGAAACCACCCATGGCCGATCCAATGATACCACCGAGCGTCCAAACAAATGGTTGCGTGGCGTATGCCTTTGCTGTTCCCGATTAGCTTCACTTTAATCCCGCGTCGACGTCGATACTCACGCTCGTGCGCCGGATTCTTGACCATTTCCTGCACCATAGTCTGCATGATGGCAACATTTCCGTTCAACGCGCCGCCGACAAAGCGTGCCAGCAGAGCAACCCAGTACGTCTTCGCAAAGCCGAACGCAAGGCTGCTCAGAGCCACGCCCGCCAAGCCGACCAGCGCCACGGGCTTCCTGCCATAAACATCGGAAATGGCGCCCCAGCCCAGCGCGGTGATGGCTTCTGCAACAGCATACGCTGAGAGGAGCAAACCCGAGTAAAAGGATGCATCTTTCTCATGAATGCCCAAATCTTTTACCATGACGTACGAGTACGCCAGGATGGAGTTGAACGCAAGGGGCTCGGAGAATCGGCATATTCCTGTGCTCCACCTATCAGCTTCGAGCGGGGCTTGTGGCGCTGAAACGTGGAGCGATACGCACCGACGATGATGAGCTGCTTGTAGGGAAAGGGCTCATCTTTTGGATCTAGAGGCATTGTATGTTAGTTTTTGTCCGAGACGATGTTGAGGCAAGGGACCGCGCGACAGGCTTTTTGAAGAACGCACCGATAACGAGCTTCATTAGCGCCAGGCGCACGTGCCCTTCCCGCCCCGCTCGACTTGACTTCGCTTCCTTCACCGCGGGTACATTGCGGTACGGCGCGCGTTGACCCAGGACGCGCCGTGTATGTTTTCTTAGTTGCAGGATCTTGCGGAAATTTAGAACGACATCGATTTCATCATGTCTGCATCTATTGAGCTCTTTCTGCATACTCGACAGCCTTAAACAGCCTTGCCTTCACCGCCGCGCAGCCTGATGCGAAACTGGACGGGCGCACAAAGCTGCAGTCAGTTACATGGCGGCTCGCGAACCTCATTATGACGTCAAGTACATTTCTGACAGGCCGGCCCATAGCGCCAACTGCGCCCCACGTGCTCGCCTATCTGGACCTTGGAACTACGAAGGAATCGCAAACGGTACGCGTGATCAAGTACCTCCAACATTCCCTTTGCCTCAGTGTCGCAATTATCTATGTTTGCTTGCGCCAGTAGCGCCAGTAGCAATGTATTTCCCCAGAAGAGTGGGGCCCCGCGCTACGAGCGTCATGGGTGCAGACGCGGCTCGTACGTTGCTCACCGCCTAATTGTTGAGTTCGGATGGCGCAAGGATAGTTGAGGCAAACCAACAGATCGTCGGGATTTCCACATGGGTATTTCCTCAAGCTTTCGCACATGCATTACGCTGCGCGAGCCGTGTACACGTCCTTTCGATAGGCTATGTCACCCCACGAGACAAACACGAGCGCCACATTGTCCAGTTTCGCCTTCTACAAGCATCATGACTCAACACTTCATGACACTCACTCCCTATATCGTGACGACACGCCGTCCAACTTGAAGTACCCAGGCTGCAACACCTGAAACACGCCTTGGGGGTCGTACTTCTTCGCCACAGCTTTCAACCTCGCGTGGTTCTCTGCCCCATAACTCGGGATGACATCCTGGAACTGGCTCGCATAGTTCATGTAGATGTACTCGACAAAGAGCCCCCTCTTCTTCGCCTCCTCCACCGACCTCTCAATGATCCTCCGATGCGTCCTTAGAATCCGCTCATCGTCCGCCTCATCCGCCCACATCGTACTCGAATCGATCAGGAGGAACGGCCCGTCCTCCTTCGATAAGCCAAGTGCGTTACCGCCGTGTTTGGCGAAGTTGCGCAACATGGGGATGGTGATGACTTGTAGCGTGATTGCGGGTATCAGCGCGTCGGCGTCAGCGATGGACAAGACTTCTTCAAAGAACACGTCTTTGATGAACGCCGTAAAGTCCCTGTCTAGCTTGAAGGTCGCCGTCCAGTAGCTTTCGCGCAAGCCGTTTGGATTCTTGTTGTTGAAATCCAGGGTTAGATTGGCCAGTGTGCGGACGCTCGTAGTATCACTTGTAGCTGGGATAGCGAGGTACTCAGAGAAGATGGAGGCGTTCGCAATAGGCTTCGCGTGCTGCAAGTCTGCCGACGCGCTCTTGGTATTCTGATAATATACGAACGAGAGGATTTGGGCCGCGGCGACGTCTTGGGGTGAGTTGACGCCGAGGTTGGAGAAGGCGTCGATTGCAGCGGGGAATTGAGGTTCAAGGAGTATTCGTGAGCCTCCCCACATCAGGCTCTGCGGAATGGTCTCGAGGTTGAACCTGGTCACGATGCCGAAGTTGTTACCGCCCCCACGTAAACTCCAGTACAAGTCTGCGTGGCTCGTTGGCGAAGCCGTGATGATAGCGCCGGATGCTGTCACCACTTCAAAGGAAGCCACATTGTCGCATGCCCAGCCATACTGACTTGAGTAGAAGGATATTCCTCCACCTAGGGTCAGTCCTCCTACGCCGATGGCAGCGACGCGGCCCCCAATGACCGCGAGATTATCTGATTCAAGGGCGTGGTACGCATCGAACCATGTGTTTCCAGGCTCGATGCTTGCGATTCTCTTGTCCTCTGATAGTTTTATGTTCTTCATGCTCTCGAACGAAACTGTGATACCGCCATCGATGCTACTTGCACCTGCAAACGCTGCGTGGCCTCCACTTTTGACCGCGAAAGGGCATCGCGTGAGCCTAGCTATCAGAACGAGACTTGATACGTCTTTGGCTGTGTTGGGAGTGAAAATGCAACGAGGGTCCACAGAGGCTTGTTGTGCAGACCAGTACGAGCCCGTGAAGGTATCATAAGCGGAAGTGTTCTGCGTAAGGATCTTGCTGCCAAAAAGGTGTCGGAGAGATGTACACTGGAGACTGGTGTCAGTTCAATCCAAACAGTGCGATTGATTTAAGCTTGAACACTGTATGGCCTCCTGAGTTGACACACGGTATTTGGAACAGCACTGTAGGAAAATGGACGCTTACAGCAGTCTCGCATGCATTTGTTCCTGTAGCAAGTGGATATCCCGACAACGCCGGAACAGTCGACACGTCGACGCCATTATCCAGCAGCGCCTTCGCGACGTCGAACTCTGGTGGTCCGAACGCGTTTGGATCTGATGCATGGCCGGGCGTTCCGATTCCTGCAACGAGCGCAGTCGCTACCGAAAGGGTACCCCGCATTGCACAGACTAGGATCACGCAGAAAGCGACGCAATACTGCGAAGTAAAGTCGCAATCGCGGAGCTCCCGGATCTAGAAATGGAGGGTAGGAGGGAGAGTTTTGCCCCTCTTACATGTAGGCATTTCGTCACTACGCTCTTTACGCCCCCGTTACACAGCACCTTCGGAAGTAAGATATACCATATGCAGGGCACATCATCGTGCATACTGCTCTCAATACACCAAAAGAATGACTCGCCTACCAACTCTACGGGGTGTAGTACGTCTAGTGCTACCTTGGTCAATCTCTGCCCTATAGAATCGCTACATAAGAGGTCCTATTGGCTGCGGAGAGCTCCCCGTGATTGGCTGGGTGAATTGAAGCTTAGGGACAACTGCACCAATATCACCCTATCACCCAGTCAGGTACTAAATAGGGAACTCAAAATCATCCTACGCGCATAAACTTTGCCTAGATCGTGTGGATCATTACTTTCGACTGCTGGTTGTAGATGCTTGTAGACATGTTATATGACTGAGTAAATAGCTGAGCAAGTCAGGTGCAAGAACATCATTTTATTGTTTAGTATAACCTCCTATTATGTGACAGAGACCACCTTATGATACAACAGAGACCTTCACTATGAGTGCCAGCTTCGGCAAGTTGGTGTGTATCAGCTAGCTTGTACGCGCCTAGGGTGATCGCCTCCACTTCGATGCACTATCATGTGAGAGGATTGCGAAGATTGGGTTGGGTGTCTTCTCGAGCACCGAGATTTGCGGGAGACGCCATGGTCATAGATTTGTGGAACGGTCATTTGTTGCTGCACTAGAGATCGCGGTCGATTGAATGTCTTCGGAGCATCAACACAATGACAACACAATGAGAGTCTCGACAACTGTGTGTGTACGATACCAGAGTTCCATTCAAAGAGTACTAGTCTCAGCCTTGCTACAAGGCCATGCAGCATGCCGTCATTGCTGCCTTGGAGATGACAGCGCGTGCATAGGAAGAAGGCGACAGATCGCGTAACTTAAGTGGTAATTTTCGAAGGTATAGTAAGTCTAGCGTTGGAGAGCCAATATTGTCGGCCTCCGAGACAACCGGTGAACGGTGCTCGCTAGTCTTCTCAGGGTGTTTTTCGAGTTGCCCGGTAAGCAAGCTCAGGGCCGTTCGCACAGTAGTCGAACATGATGCTTAGAGGGATTATTTTGCTTAACGGGCGAAGGTGAAGGGTAATAGGAGTATGATGGCCCGAAAAAGTCCACGATAGAAATTATCGTAATAGCGTATGTTCCTGCCTGAATGTTATACATTGCGCCGATGGATGGCTCTTGGTGTGGTCCTCGACACTCTACTCTTACAACTAAATGCGTATATCCAACAAGCTATTGTACAGCACCCCTTACCGGCCTTTTTCTTCTGCTGACTATTCCTCCGACTCCTCTGTATCCTCCTCACAAGCCTGGATTGCTCTCTTCACGTATCCCGCATAGCTATTAGGATCCCCACTCGCGATTTCTGCATTCTCTCTGTGCCTTAGCAGTTCCATAGCATCCTCGCCCTTCCGAAGAACCTCGCGTAACTGCCGCTGCATGCGTTCTGCGTCGTCCGCCATGGGCATCTCGGTGTCCAAAACTGTGCGTGCAGTGCTGAGTGCGTTCCAGATGGGAATGAGAGTGCTCAAGTTGTTGTGCAATGTAGTGAGGGCTTTGGTCTGTAAGTAAGGTTTTCGGTAATCGGCTTCGGTCGTCGCGGCAGAGGCTTCTATCTTCTCAATATCGGCCTGCAATCGTCAGCGTGATGTCACCAGAGAGGATGGGGATTACCTACAGCCAAGAAATCTTTCTGCTTCAAGGCATTCATCAAGCGCAGAGCGTATCGCTTGACCTTGTCCGCGTCCCCCTCGTGCCGGTATGCAAGCTCGGCGGCCATTTCCAAGGGCACGGCAACGACGGCCGGGTGTGTACGAAAGTCTTCTTGTGTTAGTTTGGGGTTGCCCAGGTGCTCTTCATTGTCCATGAGCTCGACGACCTGCTCGGCCATGCTCAGGGCCTTCTTGAGGTCCTCCTTCTCCCAGCCCGCTTGCCACGCCTTGTCCCTTGCACTGCGCAGCACGGCGATGATGAGGTCGAAGTTCCTCAGCCTCAAGCCTGTCGCCTTGGCCCTCTGGACCAACTTCAGAACTAGATGCTGCAGGCCCGCCCTGTTCAGAAGTCGCACAACCATGGCCATTTGCTCCGCTCGCAGACGCAAGCCGGCATTGGCGTAGCCTTCTAAGGCGCGCACAACATTTTCCCAGTCCTCAGGCGTCTTGCTCGCCTTGACGATGGTGCGGAGGTGGACCTTGTAGGCAGGAATGTCCTTGTTACGGTCGAGGTGTTCGAGGGGGAGCGTGACGTCGCCGAGAGTAATCTCGATGGGCTCCTGCTCGAGCTTTGCGCGATTCTCGGGCTTGAAGACGAGCTTCTCTTGCTCCGGCGTGAGGTGATGAGGAAGAAGCACTTTGGAGTTCAGCGTAGAGAGAAGCTGCGAGAGCTCGGGCGACGAGGCTTCGACGAAGACAGGGAGTGCGCCGCGGTGAAGGGCGGTACTTCGCGAGAAGGCGCGCCGCGAGCCATTGGCAAGGAAAGCTATCTGGCTGCTGTCGAGGAGCGCCGCACGAAAATTCCGCCGTATTGAATGCATTGTGTTGTGACGGATGCTCTTACGAGGCACTGGCCGCGAAGTATGAGAACCGCCAAAACTTTTGGCCAAACGGAACAAACGCGCCAAGCCTGGAACATAAACGCACCGACATCGCCCACTCACGTGGCTTCCTTTCCGTCTCTGCTACATCGGACACATTGCCGCAGATTCGGTGCTAGTTTTGAAAACAACACATACCGCCACCATGGACAACAGTGAGGCTACCTCTTACGTCTCTCAGTTCATCGGCCAGCCGCTGCGCATCCACACCTCCGATGGCCGCGTCTTCGGCGGACAGATGAAATGCACCGATAAGGTAAGCCTCCTTAGAACGTAGCTTTTCTCAGCCACCCCGAGGATATCATGCATACATTATTACGGTCAAGTTTCTATCCATTATGCTCATCGCTCATCGCACGATAGGGCCGCAACATCATCCTTGCTCTCACCTATGAGTACCGCGCACCATCAGCAGAGGTCATTCGCAAAGCTGTTGAAGAGTCTGGGAATCCGTCAGCGGCGGTCAACTGGAATAGCCGCTATGTTGGCTTGGTCGTCATACCAGGCGCGCACGTGAAGAAGATCGAGTTTGAAGAAAGCCAGCTTCTCGGTCAGCGAAGTGGAGTAGTCGTATGAACCCTCAACAGAAGCTAGGGTGTGATTTGGATGTTGGCGAACGTTTCGAAGCATTTCTGGCGGTGGTGCCATCATTGGAAGCGACGTATCCATGAGATCTGCTCGCGCCACTTCATGTACACGGCTGGTGAGCAGCGAACAGGTTCCGCGATGCGATGGAGTCAATTGCGTTCGCGCGCCTTCCGCCCTTCATATTCACGTAGGCAGGCCCCACCACTAAGCGAACATACGACCGCGGGATTGTTCGACCGGTCGATTCACCGTACCATAGTTCCACTCATGGAACGTTTTGGGCTGGTGTCAGTTCACTTTCACTCACCTTCGCTCCCTGCGCCGTATGAGCACGAGTGGGTACCATTCACCGCACATCACCGGCCTGCTATTGTTCAGCACCGCATAATAAGCGATCATCTTCACTCGCAGCCTTCAACTGTCTTGCGATCACAACCTTCTCGTCAACCAGACCTCGTTCGCTTCTGCGCACCGTCAAGCCATCACAACCCTACCAATCTGTTACGGAAGACCACCAGCATGGCACGAACCGTAAAGCCAACAAGTCACTCCAGGAGCCACGACAGAATCCGCAAACCCGCCTTGAGCGATGCCTCAGCACTAAAGCCCCACTCTCCAAGTGGTGTCACTAAAACGCCTCTTCGTCGACGTAAGAAAACACATCCGAAGATCCTCGGCCCCGTCGACGCCCAGTATGGCAGCCGCTCCAACACTGAATCTCGCCTGCTCTCCCTTCCCCCAGAAATTCGCCTCGAAATCTGGAAATACGCTCTTACCAACCCCGACAAGCACCTTCGTTACGATACCGCCGCCTTGCGATTCGACTTCTCCCAACTTGGGACAGGACTGTTCGCGACATGCCATCAAATTGCGCTAGAGACGACGTACATGCCGTTGAGGTTGAACAGGCTATGTTTCGACGTGCAGGGATTTCTCATATGGCAGAGGAAATTGGCGGAGGTGGAAGGGAAGCTGGAGTGGGGACTAAAGGTCAATGATGTGTGTGTGCGGAAAGAGAGCGGGAGGAATCAGGTCTTCGGGGATGAGGAACAGTGACTTCAAGAGGAGGCGGACAGCATGGAGGTGCATGCATAGGAATAAAGTCTTAGGAGGATAGCTTGCAAGATGTATCTGAAATTTTCCTGAGCTTTGCGGATACGCTTAAGGCCGATATGGCGTTGAAGGTTCCTGCATATAAATTCCATGACGTAGCCAAATTGGGTTAGCCATCGACCCCGAACCTATGACTCCACTTCCCCACACTTTACATATCCAAAGCTTAATCTCTACCTGTCGTACCTCTACATCTTTCAGGCTCCTCAGTTGGAACGCCTTCCTTTGTCTGGTGTCTCATTTAAGCTCACTTATTGTTGCAACATGCCTCCCTCAACATCACTGCAACGCAACCTGAATGGCAAGACCGTCCTTATCACAGGAGCCTCCTCCGGCATTGGTCGCAGTACCGCCCTCGAATTTGCGCGCACGTCACCCGACAACCTTAAATTGGTTCTCACAGCACGCCGTCTCGACCGTCTGCACGAAGTCAAGAGCCAGATCCAGGAAGAAGTCGGTGATGGGGTTAAGGTGTGCATCAGAAAGCTCGATGTCAGTAAGAAGGAGGCTATTGATGCGATGTTCGAGAACTTGGACGAGGAGTTCAAAGAGGTTGATGTCCTCGTCAATAACGCGTAAGTGCGTTACTCGACTAAAGAGGTGTGCTGAGAGTGGTGGTGTAGGGGCTTTATGTCCGGCGTAGAACGACCACCCGACGTACCAATTGATGTAATAACAAGCGTGTACGCAACTAACGTAATGGGCGTGATTCACATGACACAAGCTATACTCTCGATTTTCAAGAAGCGGCCTGAGGGTGGGAAAGGCGACATTATCATGTTGGGGAGTATGGCGGGGAGAGAGCCTTATGCGGGTGGTACTGTGAGTGCTCTTTTACTAGCTTGAAAGTGGATGAAAGAAGAGCTAACAGTAGGAGATTTACTGCTCTAGTAAAGGGGCAATCAGGGCATTTACAGAGTCGCTGCGCAAAGAACTGATCGATACGCGGATCCGCGTCATGACCGTGGATCCCGGCCAGGTACTGACTGTACGTGCTTCGCTCCTGCACGCGATTTGCTTCGCTGATAACTTGCAGGAATTTAACGATATCCGGTATCGGTTCGACAAGGATAAGGCGGATGCAGTCTATGCGTAAGTTCCGTGACCCGGTTTTGAGCTGATTCTGATTCTTAACAGTGGATGTGATCCGCTCACACCGGATGACGTTGCCGAAGTCATTGTGTTCGCAGCTGGGAGACGGGAGAACGTAGTGGTCGCGGATACGCTGTTGTACCCTTCGCACCAGGTAAGTCCCCAATCTACAGGAAAGACTTTGCTCAACTAACAACATCCAAGGCATCGTCGACGCATGTCCACCGGCGACAGTAGAGTTTTCCTCCCTGGTGGTTGCGCAGATGACGAAGCATGCACGTTGATGTTTCTGTACCTAGGCACTTTTATTATTAGGTTTTCTCTACCGCCCTGTACCTTCCCAATGAGTAGACCAGGACATTTACGTCATGACGTGCAGCATCCCGTTTGCTCTGTCATGTCTTCCAACAAGTTCCTCTCGCGATACCTAACTCTCAGCAAACTCTACTTTCGACAACCCTATACAACCAATTACCAACATGCGACTGCTGCTCTGTACCTGTAAGTGATGAAACTTGGTCTCAAGCTTCCATACTTTGCTACGCGGTACTCATCGCGTGGCCATGTACAGTTGTAGTAACACTGTTCGCCTCGCTTCCCAATGCCTTCGCAATGTCGCCACCCAAGAGCGTAGGCTTCGTGCCCCGCGAGAGTACTGCTTCAACCGATCCTTGCGTCCTCCAAGGCGACCCAGGCCTTAACGCTAGCGTCAGCCTCCAGCTTTGGACCGAGTGCCAGGTAACCCGTAAGACACTCTCCCTGCATCTGCGAGCTGCGTTCATAATACTGACCTACCGCTAGGCCTCTTTCCCATCCCAAGCAACGGCGCCTGGGACAAAGCCTTCGCCGATACATTTTGTCCTTCGCTCTTAGCCACATTCAACAATACCCACTACGACTGTAAGAGACCTTAACCTGCGATTCCTCCACACGTTGCTCATCTTAATACGTTGGGTAGACAGTGGCTGGCTAAATCTGTACAAGTCCTTCAACGCCACCATCGGCAAGACCTTCGCACACTTCGAGCACGGATTGACCAGCACACTTGCCGTACCTGACGCTAATGGTATCGGTGGCCTTGCTTACCTGATCGGCTGGGAGGGCGGGTACCACAATTATTTGAAGAAGGATCTTTGGTGCGTTTAGTTGTTTCAAGCTTGTGCATGGGGCTAAGGTGATGATTGCAGGTTTTCGGATGCTGCTTTTGCACGGGTGGCAACGGTCAATGGAGAGAGACAGATTGTGGAGTTCAGGGAGAGTTCGAATATCCCGAATACCGCGCCTTTGCCAGAGCCGAGAGAGTGGACGTGCGCATTCAAAGATTGAATCCGAGTATGGGGTGAGGGATCAGATGTGCCGGGTGGCGTATGGTATTAGCTCGACTGGACGAACGTGGGTGATATGGTGTGCGGGTGAGCGAGCCTCGCGACGACTAAGAATAGACGTAGCGTTAATGACTGACTGTAGAAGTGATTCTTTTTACAGCAAGGTACGACTAGTATATTTCGAATGGATGCTTACTGCACCTACACATCACCTGCGGGTAGGAGATGTTCGATCAATCCAAGACATCATTGGAACGCCTCCCGAGTGCGTCCGTGACCTAGTCCTCTAGCTTCCACGTAGACCATGACATTGCATTGAATGATTGAATCGAATCAGCACCTAAATCTTCGTTCATGAGGTACGTCATGCGTCCGCGATACGCTCTGCCTGTTCCTTCTGTACCTCCTCGGTTCCCTCTCCCAACGTCTCGATCTTTGTCTTCGCGAACCTCCTCGCCGGGACCTCATTGGTAAAAAGAATGTCCAGCTCTGCGTATGTCCTCCCTTTTGTTTCAGCTTTACCCCTTGTCAGCATTGACTATCTTTTCGGAGAATGGTACTACTTACGCATGCGAAACCAAATCCAAGCATTGAACAGCAAATTCGTGCCAGCCCAGAAGAATGCCGCTTTCGCACCCCAATCCCAGGCCAGGGGACTGAGTTGGCGAAAGGAGACAATGTTCACGAAAGCGACGTTGATCGCGTTGTACACATTGCGTGACAGGATGATGGACTTCGCGCGAAGACGGGTAGAGGGTATTTCTGAAACAATGGTATACACGATTGGGCCGATGGAGAAGTCTGCCGTGGCGGATATGAGGAGCACCATTGTCCCTGCTGCCCATGACGTTGCTGTTGTCTGTTCTTTGGGAATCCCCATGCATCCTGTGATTCTGGTTCCCTTGTTCAGTCTGGATCAAGAGGGAATGGCGACCATGGACTCACATAAGCAGTACAAATATTACACACATGCCGCTGAACATGAGTGTCTTTCTTCCAATTTTGTTCAGGACAAACCAACTCGCGATGGTCCCTACAGCACCGAGGGCGCTCTGTCCCCAGCTCAGCTTGAATGCGTCACGGTCGGAGATCCCGGCTTGTTCGTAGAAGAATGCTGAGAGACCACCGAGAGCGGTGCCCGACATGGTTTGCGCAAGCCAGGTCATGCATACGATCTCGGTGCGGCGGAGGTTCACGCCCTTGAAGCAGTCCCTGTAGCGCGTGCCAGATTGTACTTGCTTCTCCATCTCGTCTGTGTAGAGCATGACTTTGCTGTTTAGTGACACTCACTGCGCGGTAGAGCAAAGACTTACGGGCCATAGCCGCATCTGCATCTCTCTGCGAGAAGCCCGAGCTTCGTGCGAGACGCTTTAGCGAAACTTCAGCTTCTGCCTTTTTCCCGGCACGTATATACCACCACGGACTCTCTGGAGCGAGGTATATCCCGATAGCGATCGGAATCGGCCATACCCACTGTATTGCGAAAGGGATTTTGTATCCCCATTCATCCGTTCTGTCCACAAATCCGACCAATACACCCGCCTTGATGAACTGACCGATAATCCAACAAAGGTTGACAAAGCAAGTAAGATAGTGTCGCAATGGAACGGGACAGACTTCCGCGGCATAGGCTGTTGTCATGGTCTGGAATACTCCCCACGGGATGCCCATGAGGAGATTGCCAACAAGGAAGGTGGTAAGGGTATGGGCATAGAAGGGGATAAAGATTAGCCCGGTCAAGACAATGAGGCCGAGGATAAGGGTCCATCGATATCCAAAGCGGTCAGAGAGGATGCCGGCGAACTAAATTCCTCAATGAGCTCTGTTCATCATATGTACCTGCAAGGGTGGTCTACCTGAAGGCCAATGATCTCGCCAGCGTTTCGTGCACCGCTTATACCATTCTGCCAATCTGGCGGGATCTGGTGTGTGCCGTCTTTGGCGAGGATCCCGAATCTATTCATGAAGGCTGGGTATGCCGCATCTGTTGCAATAGTTGTTAGGTGAACCCTAACATTGTCTAGGGTCCTGCTTACATGATCCCACTACCGAAGTATCATATCCCTCCATGATGAGACACGAGGATAGCACGATCGACCAGGCGATCGCTTTCGGGTACACCCTAAAAGCCGTTTTGAGAGACATTTCACGTTCGCGCTGGTTCGCAGCGTCTGCTTCGGCGACGAGCGTCTACACAGAGGTAGTACAAAGTTCGACCAGCAGAATGACAAGGCATATACCATGAAGTCGTCTACATTGGCGGCTACTCTCCTTGCGATCGTCTCATCAACGTGAGCGTAGTGTTCATGAGTCTTCGGTTCCACGACCTCTTCGACATGTTGCGACTGCTCCTTAGCGCTGGAGCGCGTCAGAACTTGTTCCACTGGCGGTATCACGCAAACTTACATAGCATCATTCTGATGTTCCGAAGGCGATGTTACTGCCATACTTGATCGAATTGTGGCTTTGACACGCAAAGATGCAAGAAGCCCACTGTACATACAAACCAGAGATTAACCTGGCGGGGTAGCTTCATTTAATCATCGTTGGCTGGTTATATGTGTTGTGCAGGGTGGTCTTGTGAGCATGGGTTGGGTGCGGGGTCTTGTGTGATCTTTGCCGGATTGAAAGAGGACGCTCGCATCCTCCTGCTTGCTGTGCCGCGTAGTCAGGTCAGCAAAGATTCAGTACGTTAGGCCAATGTATGCATCTTCGAGCCTCGACAAAGCTGCAACGAAAGGTCAGCATTGTTTACTAGTATACCGGTATGTTAAGTCAGCATGAAGTTAGCTCAATCTCAGACAACTTGGGACGACGATGAATTCAAGATGATGCGCTGAATGAGATCATGGATGGGCTGGATCTCAGCGAAAGTGGGCGTCGTTCAACTTTGTTGTACCTTACGAATGATGGATATTAGTGTGAGACGTTAAGGATTCCGAGGTGACGCGCTATCACGTGAGCGCACAGATGAAATTGGTGCTGAATCAGCATCTCAGAGTACCCCACGTCACATCCCACACCTTCTTTCTGGGATAGTTGTGACTTCTTGAGAAGAGCGAAATCGGATTCCCGGGGCCGTCAATTGCTTTACGTGCTGTTGCACCATGTCTCAGGACGCGCCAGTACCAGATCTGTCGCAGCTCCCGCCCGAGATGCTCGAATTCGCGCTCTTGAAAACCACGGGCGCGCTCGCACCGCGCTTGGGTCGCTTGACTGTGCCTGGGAGGAAGCCCATCTTGACACCAGCGTTTCTCGGGAACACGTCGCGTGGCGTCATCCCGCATATATCGCCGGATAACTTCCGTAAATATGCTGGCAACAACGGTGTATACGTTGCATTGGAAGACTGTACGTTCAGTCTATCTCAACTCATACTGCACGTACTAACATGTCCACACCACAGTCGTAGAGAAACATCCCCAGAAAACGCCTCCAATCTTCGAATATGACGTCCCCGAGGCGCTGCGCAAATTTGTCGCCCTTCCGCAAGATACGCCGCTCGTTCTGGGCGCTCGTCGCACCCCACCTATACCCTCCCCTGCACCGCATACGAACACCGAGATAAGCTTGTTGACGTCTGTGGGTAACAGATCGATAAGTTCCGAGTATTACACCGCCGCAGTGCGGAAGCTGCAACCGGACATTGTGGTTGGCATGGCAGACATTCCCTTTGGCCAGGAAACCATCGGTATCAAGAGGAAAGACAAGATGAGTGATAGGACTGAGGCATGGCTGCGCGATATGGTAGCAAAAAGGAATGCCATTGGGAAAGGCGAGCCGCGGTTCAACATTTTCGCGCCATTACTGCCCATCGAGCGGGACCTACAATCGTGGTACCTCGAGCACTTGCTAGAAGACATGGTGGACAGCATCAGCGGCGTGGCCATCTACGACGCCTACCTGCTCGACGACTTGCCCGACGCCTTGCACCACCTTCCGCGCCTATCGTTCCATGTCCCCGCTAGTCCGCACGAGCTGCTCCGCCAGATCAGCCTGGGCATGGACATCTTGACCGTACCATTCATCTCTGCCGCTACCGACGCCGGCATAGCCCTCGACTTCACCTTCCCGCCCCCCGAGAAGGTAAATGGGAATGAAAGACGGGCACTAGGCATCGACATGTGGCACGCCGATCACGCCGTCTCGGTGACGCCCTTGACGAAAGAGTGCCAATGCTACGCTTGCACTAAGCACCACCGCGCATATGTCCAGCACCTTCTCTCCGCCAAGGAGATGCTCGGCTGGTCACTAATCCAGGTGCATAACCATGCCGTTGTCGAATCCTTCTTCACTTCCGTTCGCAACTCTATTGAGGCTGGCACCTTCGATGCTGATGTCGCAGCCTTCGAAGCTTTCTACGAGCCGCAATTACCGGAGAAGACGGGGCAGGGCCCAAGAGTCAGGGGTTACCAGTTCAAGAGTGAAGAGCATGCCAAGAAAGAGAAAAAGAACGTGAAGAAGTGGAATGGGGAGATAGGTGGGGGTGCGAAGGGGAAAATCGTGCTTAAGGGTGCGCACGGACAGCAGCCGGAGAAGAAGCAAGAGATGAGGGATGTCATCGATGATGAAGCGCTCATAGGCCTTGTGGGAATGGAGGACGAGACGGGACCGTTACAGCTGGATGACTTGAAGATTGAGGACGATGGGAAGGCTTGATACCTTCACTCGATGGCTTCTTTGCAAAGTCGAGTTACCGCGAAGCATTGCTATTCGCACGAACCCTCTGTCACCGCTATTGGCTATCTTCCACCAGATATGGTGTACCTCTCCCGGCGCCATCACCTTTTACGCAGTCTAGATCCCGGGATTAGCTCCGGTACAGCCGATCCTCGTACTTCTGTATCTCAACGCCCAAACCTTGGGACATGCGGGCGCAACTGATACAAATTCGTGTCGCAGAAGGTCGCTATACAGAAGGGCCGACACTGGCTTTCCAGAATAGTGATCAGGGGCATGATGCTACATCGGATATGTATAATAGTACGTTTGTTTGCTCGTGGCTCCTCGAATTGGCTATGTGGTAGAACTACAACAGTCAAGCGTAACACGTAACAATTGATGGAACGGTGATGGATTTTGTAGTGAGTGTTTGAATATCTATGATACTACCTCGTCTCTATCCGAGGATAGGAGCTGGAGAATCCAGATACTAGATACAAGACTCCGGGTTACCAAACCGACTTTATAAGTTGATCTTGCCATAAGGCCATGTGCGCAATCTCAAGCAACGGTATCGTAGGGGATTCGAGCATCTGCCACGATACTGCGCACGAGTTGTAGCACCGCCATGAAAACAAACTCTTGTAGATACCTTGCCTTGTGAGAAGACCACGATCTCCCACCACCTTCTTGAATGGTTGCGCCATGTCTGTGCTGAACTCTTGCTGGGCCACTCAAGAGAGAGGGAGGGGACGAGCAATGCTGTTCAGCATCGCAGTTCAGGCGCCCCAAGCAGAAGCGTCTCTCCAACCACCACCATCTGGACCCCAACCACCGCCATCATCCTTTTTGCCACCACCATCATCTGCAGCACTCGCACTTGTAATCGAACGATCGCTAGCATGCTTTTCAATATAAGCGTCCCAGTGCGAGATAAGGTTGGCGAAGTCCTCCTTCTCGGTAGAAGCGCGAGGGCTGACTTCGCCGAACGGGTTGTTCGAGCGCTGTCCCTGCGCCCAAGGGTCACAACTAGCTTGATTGCCATTGTTGGAGTGTGTAGCGCTGTCATGTTTCTTGTCGCCTCCTCCACCAGTTTTCGTCGCCCCGCCGTGCATCTTGTGCGCTAGGTCAAACGCATCCTGCAAGCTGACCTTGTCCCCGAGTCCCTTGTCTTGAACCCACTGCCAGACGTCCTTCATTCCGGTATTGATGATGTCCTTCTCCGGTCCAGCGACTTGCTCAGGCTCGATCGGGATATGCATTTCCTGCTCCCCCGACTCGACGGTGATCCAATACGTTACGACTAGATCATGACGGACAGGGACCCGGGGAGGCTCGTTGTCAAGCAAGCGGCTCCAAGGGACAGGAGGAGGATCCATAACGGGCCATGTTTGACATTTGGATATGTCATCTTGGCTGTCGGTAGAGACGGAGGCGGCGCTTGGGTTTTGCAATGGCTCGGGCTTTGAGGGACGTTGGGAGATGGCACAACATGCGCACTCCCCGGGATCACACTTCTTGTCCCCAGCGGAAGTACAGCAATTACCCCAATGTTCGCCACTACAAGCCCAGTTGCGAACCGTCTCGTGGGCAGCAGTTGCATCGTCACTCGAGCTGACGTTGTCTTTGTGGTTGCCGACGACGTCACTAGAGCTGCCAGCATCATGACCAGCTTGATTGAAGTTCTGCGCATAGTCATAAGCGCCCCACGGTGTGGTAGCCCAGTGTTCACCGTTCCAAGTTATATTCGGCCGGGCAAGCGCAGCCTTGCGTGCCTCCATTATCTTGCGGTGACCCTTGCGATTCATGTGCGATTCGAGGCCCTCAGGCTGGGCAAGCGCAGCCTTGCGTGCCTCCATTAGCTTGCGGCAATCAGGGCATGGCTGGGACCCGCGATGTTGATGACGGCCGCAATAGTACTCATTCCCGTAAGATATGTCTTCAACAATAGCATCGTCAGCAGGAAGAATCGTGGCGTCGGCTTCGGACGTAGCATCGCCAAGGTTGAGCATTTGATGTAAGAATTTCTTGCTACGGAGGGCGTCTTTCCCGACAGGGCGGCGGAAGTGATCCTTGCGTAGCTCGAGACCCCCAGGCCAGCCTTCAGAAGGAGAGAAGGTATCGGAAGCAGCAGTGGCCTTAGACGTATCGGTTGAATTGGTTGTGGGGCTCGAAACGATATTGTCAGCACCTTCACCAGCGAACTGGAAGCCCATTTTCTCAGACTGCTTGCGAAGTCGTGCCACGTTTTCTTTTCGCTTCCACTCGGCTAAGGTGAGCTCCCACGGCAGGTGGTCCGACAACGCCTTGTGGGTGTCTGCAGGCGACTTGTCTTGGTCTTTCTGAACTTCTAGGTGACCGGTATGAGAGGAAGGCTTGTCGCTGGACATTGTTGCCTTGTTGGGGTCTCGGCTGCTGGGCGAGTCCACGAGTCCATGGAGGAAGGCTGGAACCCGAAGTTTGACGGCCGTCTCAACTGTCTTCTGCGTCAGCGAGGATTCTCCTAGTCTCTTACAATATAAGTTCCGTACCGTTGTTGACGTTCATATTAGCTTGCTCGCTTCCGTTATCTGATTGATAGAACGGTTGGTAATGGAAATCTGATGGACGCAACGGTCGGAAGACGGCAGGGTTGATTGTAGCGGCTTTCTCAGCAGTGGCAGTCTTGATCTGCTCGGAACCCAGTGACTCGACCTTCTTGTCTTGCGTCTGCGCAAGTCAGTCAACGTTAACGTGCTAGCGTCGTCATCGCTTACTAGATCGACAGCGGCAGGACGCTTTGACTTGTTCTTCCTGCTCCTACGCTTCATCTTTAGCTGGGGCATTCGTAGGCAACAGTCCTTAGAAGTGACGCCTTGCTGTCCGCAGAAGCTACAGTAGACCTCTGGCTTTGACGAAGCTGACTGCTTGTGACAGTCGCGGCTGTAGTGGCCTGGCATATCACACTTCAAGCATGTGGGATACTCTTTAAAGCCGTTGGGCGTCTCTGAAAGTGGCTGAGATAACGCGGGGTCGCTTGGTGGGGTGAGAATCGACTCTTCGTCGGAGAAGCTGTCCTCGTACGTGGGTGGAGGGCGGGTGGAAGGTATATGTTTATATTTGGATTTGCGGGGGCCCATGGCGATAGGCGAAAGCCAACAGCGGCTGTTCTGATGATTTGATTGCTAAAGAGGCTCGAAGCTCGCGTTGAGACAAAGAGAGAAGCTCAGAACAGGGCGGGGGAGAAAGTTATATGAGCGGAGTGCGCGAGGTTGACTAAGCGAGAACCGCGGTCACCGGTGTAACAAGCACCGTGCCTACTATTTCGATACTTCGAATATCTCTCACTCACTGTGTTTGCTGTGACGTTACTGGGGAAACCGAAGTGGTGAACTGCAGGTGAAGGCGAAGCACCGCATTCAACTCAGCAACGGCCGGCTCTCATCAATTGTGATCCTCCCCTCGCGACGCCTAAAGCCATGCATCCACGCCCACCAACTCCTCTCCCGCGTCCCTCCATCGACCTCGAGAATCTCATCCTCCCTAGGTCGCCCAGTAACTCGCCTCCACCATCGTGCCCAGCTGTCACTCTTCCTGACCCAAACGCCCTCTCTCCCGTCACCATAAACTATCCAGCCACCTTTCTTAGCTTTTAGCACGAAACCGAGCCTATCACCCGCATAAACGAGGAGGTAAAGAATTAGAACACCGAACAACGTGCAGAAGATGGTGACTATGGAAGTCAGGAAGGTGATGGTCGACACTTGGCATCCTAAACCGCTGGTACGCAACTCGAAGCGCTCGGGTCCAGTGGCGCATATGAATTTGTATCTGGTTGGGGATAGCAGAGGGAAGGCACGCGACAGAGGGTCTATTGGCAGCGGCAGACAAGTGCTTGACTGGTGTATGTTAGGCACAATACGGAAGAAAGACATGTGTACTTGGACTCAGTTGAGGATATGATCAAGCATATGATATCCGGCAATTGTACTGTGCGAACAAGCGAAGAAAGTGGCAGAAGTGAATCGAGCGAAGATAGACTCACAATCGCACACCATCCGCAATGACCTTCGCTACGATGACAATCTCCACAATCGTTGTATCCCCAACAAAGCTCTAGCCTCTCTCTATTGTCTTCAGGAGTGTCTTCCCATCGTTGCCGGAGTATCTCTGTAATGTTGATCAGGTCATCTTTGGACCGGCTCATCACAGGACAATTGGCCGCCATTGAGGTATGAAAATGCAAGCTCGAATGACAAACAGGTTCCAAGTAAGAACCAGCTGCGATGCGCAAGGAACTCTATTACAAGGCGTGCAATGTTAGTGAAAGGTATGATGTTGGAAGGAGGTTGGGATGAGTGGGGTAGCGTAGACCAAGAGTAGCTAGCGCGCTTGCCAACCTCCAGGGATCACGGTGCTTTCCAGAAACATGCCGTACTTTCTTGACGTTTTGAGCATCATCTGAGTAAAATTGCTTGGAGGTCACTCCTTTGTAAACATGTCTAACTTGTAACCCTCCTTCAATCTTCCAGCGCAGATGTTAGACTTATCAAGATGGCATTCGAAAGAGACATTGCACTGAGTTCCATAGCAGACTTCTGTGTTTCTTCGCAGAAAACTTACAACGAAACCCATCTTCGTAATTGAAAGGTAGATCATAGACCCTTCTTAATAACTCATACCAAGCTTGTAAATCCTTAGTAGAATCCTCACGGCGGAACACGAAAAACCCGCTACTATTTTCTTGCAAAACGATAAATAGCATGATTGCACACCTTCCGAATTTCACATGCAAAATACTCGCAAGGTTTGATGCAAGCGGCGTCATATGCGCGAGGATTTCCATGCATTTATGATCACTTTGGAAGACTACTCAAATGTTTTGATATGGAGCGCTCACGGTGGACAATAAACGCATCCATTGACTTCGCAATGACGAGAAGCAATGAGCTGCAGGGCTTCATTCCAGAAGTCTCAAACAGAGTGTCGGTCCTTTGATGGCGAAAGCATGGTGTTTGGGTAGTGACGCGTTCACCCAAGCAAGCAGCGTGGTGGAGACATACAGTAGTGCAAGTGGGCCTTATGCGTGGCCGGATCATGCTCACTCTCATCTAGTATCAGAAGTCACCACCCGAGATGGGCTGACATATAGTTGAAACCTCCCACACAGTTTCATCCTCTCTTCATAGCCGCAGCACCGAGATCACGCTCTCCCTTCGTCCGAGAAAAGCAGTTTCCACATCACACTCCGCAGATGGATCTTCTTTGAAGTCAATCTCTATTCCAATCCTACATATCGACAAGCAAAAACAAGAGTGATATATACAATACAAATAAGCTCATGATGCAGTCCCAGCCTCTACCCTATGCACAACAGGCCTGTGCAGCTTCTATTTGACAGTTTCGATCACTGTAGCACAGCTACCGTGGATTTCTCACACCAGCATTCAGTTTTGTAACTCGACCAGACCGTCTCATCATGAACTCAATTCCAAACGGAGAATTGATCGATGTGCACTGGAAGCTAAGCCATGGCGTTTGGGTTGATGAAGCGAGCGAGAAACTTGCGGCTCTTTTCACGCTTGTTGTCACGCTTGTTATTCCTGTTGCGGCCACCCCTGTTGTTTCCCTGCTGTTGCTGAGCAGCGCCACCGTTCTGACCATTCGCTGCAGTTTGACCATTCGCTGCAGTTTGACCATTCGCCGCAGTATTTCCAGTGGCTGCGTTCGCGTTATTACCTGCGTTGGCGTTGGCAGCATTGCCATTATTCTTGTTGCCTTTGCCGTTCGCGTTTGTGTTCTGCCCATTCTGGGCACCAGTATTACCCGTTGCGGCATTACCCGAGTTTGCATTGCCTGTGTTTGCGTTACCAGTGTTACCCGTTGCGGTGTTTCCAGAGTTGCCGCCTGCTGCAGCAGTTTGGCTCGCCGCAGGTACAAGAGCTGATGAATAGTTAGCAAAGCCTCATGAGTAAGACGTATCGAGGGAAAGCAACGCACCGGAAACACGGCTAGCATCCGCGTTTCCTCCCACTGCGCCAGCCGCTGCGATAGCTGCTATTGCTGCAGGAAGATCCTTCTTGTTCTGGGCAATCTGCTTATTGATGCCATCTAGGGTCTGAGCAGTGGTGATGGCTGGGGCAGATGAGTCATTGTACTCATGGAATGCTGAGAGATGGTTGAAACTTACAATCAGCCGTAGCATTGTTTTCACGGCCCGTGCCGTCAGTCTGCTGGACAGGGAAGCAACCGCCAAAAGGACCGGCGACGGCAGTGTTGCGGCATCGAACAGTGCAGATATCTCCCGTAGAAGCACCGACGCAGTTGAAGTTTTCAGGCATCTGCACGTTGATGGTGAAATCTTGGGCTTCAGCCTGCGAGAGGCCGTTTGCGCCTGGAACGTTGTTGGAAACCTGGAGCTTGACGAAGTTGGTTGCTGCGTTGCTGGTCTCGTCAAGGTCGCATTCGTAAGGGCCCGCGCCATCGGCGTTGACCTGGTGGATGGTGACAGCAAGCTGTGAACCCTGCTGGACTGTGGTCACCGCGTTGGCTGCGATAGCCTTCTCGGTTTCACCTCCGACATCGATGTTACCGTCAATCTCTGTTCGGCCGCAAGAGTTCACAATGTTTTGCTGGATCTCGCTGTCCCTGATGATGGTCGTATCTTGCTGACAAGGGCTGATGCCTGTGCAGTTGCGAGCAAGACTGTCGTCGACCTTGAATCCCTTGCTCTCACCAGACTCGCCAATGGCCGACTCGATGGTTCCATGAGCCTGAACGGAAGAGAAGACAGCGGCAAGCGCCAGGATAGAGGTCTGGTAACGCATACTGAGTTAAATGTTAAAGCGCACAGCGCGACGAATCGAATCGAATAGGCAAAAGAATAAAGAAAGACTAGAAAGAATGGATCTCCAGTATCCCAAGAAGTGAATGATGATCAGTGGATGGTTCTTCCACAACAGACCGCCAGGTATCTTATATTGTAGCCTGAGTGGTCTGTCGAAGTCTAGCTTGTGTGGGCCTCGGGCGCTAAACCACGCATACTTGCTCCTTTCACACTTCAATGTCCCAGCCGGGCCCACTCCACGATGCCACTAGACAATGGAGTGGGGGTTGTAGGTGCCTGCAGAATCCACTTCCTGCCTCAGATGGTGTTCAAAGTAGGGGTGTGTAAGAACGGGCGGTCCGAATCGCCTGACAAACACGGGAATAAACACCAATGCGTGTGTTTCTAAGGCCTAAACACCCATGTAGTGAGGCACGTTGCCGCCGAGCCTCATGCTTCGTGTTTCTGTGCGCCTCCCTGCCAAGCCGCAAATGACGGACATCACGCCATGCACTGTTTGACACTTTGACATCTAGAAGTAGTCGCTGTTCCCGCGCGTAGTGCCGGTTTTGGCATGTGTAGTGCCGCAGGGAGGGTTTCGAAGGCGTTGCTTCGCGTTTCGCAGTAGGGCTCGCTAGCGCCCGCTAGCACTAAAACAGGCTAAGCAGCGGTCCATGGCACAAACACTGCTTGATCTGCGCCGCGAAGCTTAGCACTGACGATTCCAGAATGCGATATGCCTCATGTGGCAGGCCGTTCGGCTCTCATCCGATCAGATGTCTGTGCAGCCGATGAGATGTCGGGTGCAACTGCCGCAGACATGCGCAAACTTTTCGCCAAGGTGTAAGAAGAGAAACATGGCATCGTAGAAGTGCCGTGTCAGAGTCAAGGTTGCCGTTAAATCAACATGACAGCCAACAGACATCAGTCGTCATGCGGAGCTGGGCGAGGAGGCTGGTTCTCGTTGTTATTGAAAGCGGCAGGGGGATGAAAGAAGTAATGGACAAGAGCGCTAAACCCCTGCGTGCCTGTATTGCCGATCATCCTGGCTTTAAACATGGTGGAAATGCACTCCGCGGAGCGTGCTGGTTACTTTTCGCTCACCGTGAGCGTCGTGTTGATCTAGGGTATTATGGTATCTGGTATCTCAGTCGAAGCCCATCCAGCCGCCTTCGTCGTCATCTGAGCCGTCCTCCATGACTTCGTCTACACCATCCGCCCCGTCTTTCACGCTGAAGTCCAATTGCAGCAAATCCCCTTTCTTTTCAATAGGTTGCGCAAGCAAATACTCGATGCGGTAGATGTTCTCATCCGCCAAGCGAGCCAACTCCGATTGTATCCGCCGCACCGCCTTCTCTACACTTCGCAACTCTGCTTCCATGCCCACTCGATTCTCCTTCATCCATCGGCCGTGCTTGCTCAGAAGAGCCTCAATCCACATTAAGTTGAATTCGAGATGTGGCGACTCATCGGCCTGCAACGCCACGAAGCGGACCAGCCGTCCAAGATAAACTCTCGGCAAATCCTTGACGACAAGGGCTATGTCTGTAGTCGGTGTCGCTTCGAAAACGCGGCGGATGAGATTGCGCTCGTTGAGGCGGAAGGCCATGACAAGTGCTTTCAGATACTCCTTTTGGGCAAGGGTCGACAGAGTCGTTCCGGGCGTGACAGTAATGTCGAGATCGAAAGGATCGAATTGGAAAGTCGTGTCCAGCGAGTAGATGAGCAGACCTTCCGTAGAAGCGGCACAGAAGGCTCGACCGGTCGGTGAGAATGCTACAGCTGGTACACGAACTGCTGCTCGCGTTCTTCTTGCGCCCGCTCCGCGCTGGGCACCAGGAAGCGTAGGGTCACGTCTGTTCTCTAGATCCGACTCCTCACCTTGCTCATCCAATAAACCCTGGGGTCCAGCTTCAGTGAGCAGCTTGCTGTTCAAGAACTCCTGCGTACCATCAAGCGAGAGATTGACTGAAACGGTGAATTTTTTGATGAGTACACCAGACTGTACGTCGTATAGGCAGATGTACTTGCTCTTGCCACCAGCAAGTACGCATGTTCCGTCAGCACTGTATCTCACGGTATCGAAAGCTTTGGTTCCAGCAACGTTTGCGGCAGTCCGTCGATCAGTCATTCTGCGACCACCAGAGACGTCCCGTCGAGCATCAACACCGGACTGCTGGGAGGCTTCTGATATTGACCAGAAGGTCAGTTGACCATCTAAGGTAGTGACCGCAAGTTGTTTGTTGTCTGGCCGAACGGCGAGACAAGTTACATCGGCCATAAGCTGTAAGGGCTCGCTCGTTTGTGATCGCGCGAAAATGTTCCACAAACGGACGGTCCTGTCCCAGCTACCGCTGACAAGTGTGCTTCCGTCTGGTGAGAATGCTAGTGACATCACAGGACCTTCGTGACCAGCTAGCCGGTCTAACAACTGCCCAGTCTGGACAGACCAAATGTGAATATCGAACGAATCAAGGGATCCTGCGCACACGACTTCGCCACTCGGGTCGACCGCTAACGATGTGAACTGGATTTTCGAGGGTGCCGTAAATGTTCGGAAGTTCCGGTACCTTATCAGATCCCATGCTCTTACCGACCCATCCAGACTTGTAGTGAATAAAACATTCCCTCTCTTCGCGAATTCGCAGGCTGTGACCGCACCAATGTGCTCTGTGAAAGTTACCACACAGAATCCTGAATTGACGTCCCAAACTTTGATCTTTCCATCGTCGGCGGCAGTGATGATGCGTTGGCCCTCTGGTGAGTAAGCGATCGTGTTCATCACGTCGTGGTGCGCTTGTTGCTTCAGAATGTACGACTCCGACTGCCACTCCCACACCAATAGTTGTCCCAACTTTGAAGCGCCAAATGCGAGCCATTCGCCGGTCTTGTTTATCGCGATGTAATCTATGTCATTTTGCGAAATGCTGATATGATGTTAGCAAGAATGGATAGATATGCAACGTTGTGTACACATACCTAAGGTTCTGTATCTCGCTAAATGTAGGGAGCTCGTGGATGAAGAAAAGGCCATGCGAAAAGCCAGTTACCAGCAGTTTCGTCTCCGGGTGGAAGCTGGCGCAAGTAACGTGGGCGTTGTTCTGGTGAAAGTAGAAGCGCTCTGCGATACCCCATGCCAAATTATTGTCGTCTTCCTCATCCGCACCCTCTGGAGCGTCGTATCGCAACATGTACTTCCAAACGAAAAGCGCGCCGTCCTTGCTAACTGTGTATATCGTTTCTTGATCGGCACTGAACCAAGCGCCCACAACAGCCTGTTTATGCGCCGAAAGCGTAGTAGGTCTGAAACCTTCTTCGGCCTCCATGCTCCATATTCGCGTAGTTATATCTTTCGCTGCACTGAGTAGAAAGCGCGAGTCTCTAGACCATTCGATTGTAGTCACTGTATCGTGGTGCCCTGAGAATATCCGGTGTCGAACGAAGGGAGCGAATTCAAGGTCTCCGTCTGCGACGTCCGGAGTCGACGGTGTCCTCCATATTTCGATATTCCTTCCTAACCCAACTGCAAAGTGTCTACCGTCTGGAGCAAAGACCAGCGTATTTACTTCGCCGCGGAGAGAAAAGTGGTAAAGGACTATTCGGCGAGGGACGTTTGTGAGAATCGCATGACCATCGAGGTCTACTGTGAGGAGGAGGTTCCCTCTCGGATTGAGTGCGAGGCGGGCAATGTTTTTGCGATGCGCGAAGGGAAGCGTGTATGATCTCGAACTGTTGGTCAATTAGCCACTTATCCATTCTCCATTCCCACAAGACTGACTTGACTAGATCAAAAACACTGACGTGATTGCCTACAGGCGAGAGCAGGCACGTGCCATCGGGTGTGAATACAAGATTACCTCTGCTGTAGACGGTGCCCAACAGGTTGGAGAACTGTCGCAATGGTTAGCCAAGACTCACTAAAATGGCGCACGATGCTCACCTGAAAGTCAGTCTTCATTGTGCAAAGAAATAGTGGCGCTTCGTCGCTATCGCATGGCGGCGGGGGCGGGGATGTAATGGTCTTGAACTTTTTTTTGAGAAGGAGCTCGGACCGCTAGTGAAATCCCCCGGCGCGGTTCACTAGCGCGCCTTCCCCGTTCGGGGCCAGCGCTTGCCGAGAGAGGGCGTGCAGGAAAGGGGACGCCCAAATTATCCAGCAGCGACACCACGCACTCCACACCGCACCACCCATCCTCCGAAACAGGTCAGCTTGCCTCACCCCGCGCCCGCAGCTGCACGAGTTCAGGAACCAATTTTCGAGGTGCACCTTTATATTGTAAGCTTGCACATCCCAGCTGCACGGGGGTGCCTCCGCTAATACGCCGCACCAGACGCCCTCTTGACACAGCAGACGCACGCATAACAACACAATGGCCGACTCAGCGTCCCCAATTGGCATTGCCAACGTACGTACACACAGGAATACAGCTCTAGAAACCTCATACTGACCTATATTGCAGCTGCCCAACCAGAGGTATATTCTCAACAATCAGACAGCCGTCCCACGTATCTAACATGAGGCAGGCACAAGATTGTCGCGAAGCGCGGTGCTAACTTCACGATCATGGTATGCGCAGTATCACGAATATAGAAGTGAGGAAATGTTCTGACAGGCACAGGTTGCTGGAGAGTCTGGCCTCGGAAAGACGACCTTCATCAATACGCTCTTCTCCACCACCATCAAGAATTATGCCGACCACAAGCGCCGCCACATGAAGCAGATGGATAAGACGGTCGAGATTGAGATCACAAAGGCAGAGCTTGAGGAGAAATTCTTCAAGGGTACGTGCTACAATGTTCTGCGAGCGTTGCTGTATACTGACAGTGACAGTTCGCTTGACCGTCATCGACACCCCCGGCTTCGGCGACTATGTCAACAACCGCGACTCGTGGCAACCCATCATCGAGTTCCTTGACGACCAACACGAGTCGTTCATGTTGCAAGAGCAGCAGCCGAAGCGCAGCGATAAGATCGATCTCCGCGTGCACGCCTGCCTGTACTTCATTCGTCCCACTGGCCACACCCTGAAGCCCCTCGACATCGAAGTGATGAAGAAGCTTTGCACACGTGTCAACCTAATCCCTGTGGTCGCTAAGGCGGACACCTTGAGCCCGTCTGATCTGGCCAAGTTCAAGACTAGGGTACGTTGCACGCTACACACAGTTACACATGTGCTAATCGCAAAAGGTGCGCGCCGTACTTGAAGCACAAGGCATCAAGTTCTACCAGCCCCAGCTTGAGGACGACGACCAGGCCGCCATGGCACACGCTCAGGGCTTGATCAACGCTATGCCCTTCTCCGTCATCGGTTCTGAGAAGGATGTTCAGACCAACGATGGCCGCACCGTCAAGGGCCGCCAGTATGCCTGGGGTGTTGCCGAGGTTGAGAATGAGGAGCACTGCGATTTCAAGAAGCTCCGCGCTATCCTTATCCGAACCCACATGCTCGACCTGATCCACACGACCGAAGAGAATCACTACGAGGCCTACCGTGCACAGCAGATGGAGACACGCAAGTTCGGCGAGGCGCGCCCGCGGAAGCTCGACAACCCCAAGTTCAAGGAAGAGGAAGAGGCGCTCCGCAAGCGCTTCACCGAGCAGGTCAAGGTCGAGGAGCAGCGGTTCAGGCAGTGGGAGCAGAAGCTCATCTCGGAGCGCGACCGCCTCAACAAGGATCTCGAGGCCAGCCACGCCATGATCAAGAACCTAGAGTCCGAAGTCGAATCGCTGCAGAGCACCATGGGCAACCGCTCGCACGGCCGTCGTTGAGCGTGATCAGGGCGTCGTTGGAGTTGGCTTCAGCTGGCTTGTAGCACGAGCCTAATTACTTTGCATTTCGTGATTCCCCTTCTATTATCTCTCATATGTTTGTAATCGATGTGGTTGTTGGGGTGGAGAGTACCAGACAGCGTTTTGTTATCGATATATTGGCTTGGTATCGCACGGAGGCGTGCCTTTCGATTGGAGCGTTAGTTGCACCAGAGGTTCGGCAGAGAGCTAGGTTCTCGGACTCGTAGATTAATTTTTCATGGTTGCCGCCAGTTGAACAAGTGACTATGCCGTGATGTGAAACCGTGCCCGAGCAACTGCACAAGACAATTACTTCAGGTCCATACCTCCAAACGCTCTGTCTAATTCCTCTCCTTCACTAGGATCGGGCACGCCATCTCGCCGCTCAAGCAACGCGTTGATGCCTACGCGTGTCCGCTGCTGTGTCCCTAACGGTGCCTGCCCGTGTGCTTGCGCGCTTGCCTCACCCATCTCTGTATCCCCACCACCAACATTCTCCGGTCTCAACAACTTCACGTCCCCGTCCAACCACCCCGGCGCAACTCTCCTCTTCTCCGCCAATTCTTCCGCCTTCCGCTTATCCTCCCACGCCCTTAACGTACTCCTAGCCTCGTTCTCGAGACTCTGCAGATGCGATTGCAACGCGAGGCATGAGCTGAGGATCTGATCTGGCGTGGCTGTTGTACCGGAGCTAGAGACGACGTAGGCGGGTGGTTGTTGGGGCTGAGATTGCGATTGTGGGTTTGTGGGGTCGGAGGTAGCGTTTGAGGAGAGGATGCTTGGGGCAGCGTGGAGGAGTTGCTTGTAGGTGTAGGGGAGCAGGGTTGCGGTTGGGAGGGCGAGGAAGGGGATACGGTGAGGGGACTTGGGAGGAGGGGTGCGGGTCTGGAGGTTGTTAGTATGTTATGTACAGAGGGCCATATGTATGTGGAGGTTGGGGAGCTGGGTGGGTGTTCATGGTGGGGGAGTGCGCGGTCTACTGCGCGCATTGCGAGATAGACGCGACGCCGACGCCGCATACAACAATAGAACACCAATTCAAGGCCCCCATACGGCTGTGAATGCGCGCTGGAAGTGCGTCACAGAGGGAGCGAGGCGGCTCTGCGCAGCGTGCACCTTGCGGGCAAGCGCAACGTGGGGATTGGGATTGGGATCGGGATCGGAGACTCACGTTCGTCATGCATTTCGAAGAAGCGTTCACTGAGATTGCGGCGCAAGCGTAATCTGGTTCGGGTAAAGGGCAGCGAGAGTACAATGTTGTAGATCGGAGCGTAGAGTGTAGTGTGGAGGTGTAATGTGGAGTCCGGTGGCGGGAGCTAAGGAACCGCCGTTGAAGTCGTTCGTTCCCTGCAGATGATGCACAGGTGCGGCGCGGCGATTTGCACGTGACTATACTTCGTTGTGGGGCATGAAAGATGGAGCATTCATTTACATGGGATAAATGCCTTTTTCAAGCGTCAAGGAAGGCTAGAAGATGTGGAAATTACCCAGCACCGCAAACATGGCTGAGACTCGTTCAGACTTGAGGATGTTTCAAAAACAAACAACCTGTGTTTCGGGACTACCAGAAACATCTCGAATTGTTACGATTCCCCAAAACATTCTTTATCAGCAGTGAACGGTCGGAAGCGAGTATGGAGTTGGCTTGGGCCGATACAGCTGGAGCTTGATGCCAGCATCTGATCACTTATAGGCTTCTGGGAAGCTAACAGTCGGTGGGCTTGCGCTTCCTCTTTCAAACCCATTCGGCTGAGCACAATTCATATATAGCTGAGCACCAGGATAGTCTGCAGCGCCGTGCAATGCGATGATCTCAGCTCTCAAGACATACCGGTACAGGTGTAAAAGATGTGCGAGAACCAAGACAGCTGAAATATCATGGACGAAACTAGATGCACACAATGGCTGCTTGATATGCACGATGGTAGAGTGAAGTCCACCTTACCTTTATTGCTTCGCCATGGGGTCATACCGTCTTCGTATACCTTGGACCCTGTTTTCGATTAGACAAATTACTATTAAACTTCATGGAATTTACAGCCCAAGGCCGGTCAGCTTCCTCGTCAAAGCATCGTCGATGTTTGCGAGGAGGCCATCACAGGGCCGAGATGGCCTAGGTCGATAGGATCAACGGGATCGCTGCCGAACGTACTGTCCAGAAGGTGTGCCATTCCGCGGTGGGTTTGTCACCAGCTTTCACGTGTCTTGACTTAGCGAGCTCCACCGTGGCGACATCCTATATAGGCGTTTACACACATTGATTACGTCTTGGGGAAGCCAAAAGATTTGCGCTAATCGCATGCCGGAGTCTATCGTGGGCTTCGCCAGGGTACGCGCCCGCCATTGCAAACAACGTCGTTGGAGGTGACTTCCGTGATTGGCGTGCGTCCATGGATCAATTCAGGCCGAACTAGCGTCATGAAGGCGCGTACCTGTCGTAGGTCTACAATTCACAGTCAGTGACCGAAAGGAGTGCAGGGGTTGGAACACCTCTCACACAGGGACTCGGATGCCCTACGTGTGCCCTTGCGCCACTCCGTTCATATAAAGCTGTGTGAAGATGGTGTGCACGGTAGCACTAGCGATGGAAGTGCACGTGGTGATCCAATACCTCATGTTGGGCGTTACGGTAATGTCGGAAATGCCATCGACGTGCCATTCCTGTTCAACAACACACTTGCAGCCACAGTTGATCACGAATCTCATCGTCCAGTTTGGGGACGGAGCGATAGGGCGTTTAAAAGCCCCACTCAAATATGTACTTCTCTCTGCTGCTCATGGATCAGCCAGACGGATGAGAGCTTTGCTAATGAGTTCAGTGGACCAGACAATGGGTTCGCGGGAGCACGTGCAAAGTAACCGCACCAACATGTACTGGAAGCATCGGTATCTCAAAACTGCATGAAGTCCGTGAGTTTCGCCCTGATGAGGAAGCAAGTGCTTGAACCGAGCTGCCAGAGGGGATCTGGACGCAAAATGCCGGTGGGTAGAGGGAACTGTTCCGGAAGATTGCTTGTAAGAGAGAAGATGAAATTACCAAGATCACTGGCAGGATTCGAGATTTGGCATTGTCCGCCAATATCAATATAATCAATTGCCGCCCATTGGCGGGAGCCGATGTTTCAATCCTCAGCGTTTAAAAGCGGAAGAAGTCTGCTATTGACAAGGGGAGACTTTTCATCTGAAGGCCACGCCACGCGGGACATGCGGACCCTGGAATGAGTCCAGAAGCTTGACAACGAGTGCGACAGCTGGGCACGCTGGGCACGCTGTTGGCGAATCTCATGAGAGATTCCAGGAGGATTTGAGGTGTTGTGGTCTTAGAGTGTGGAGAGTAGTTCCGCCTACCACCGTTCGCGGCGGATCACCGCTGCCGGCTGGGGCGCCCAGCGCTAAGCCATCCAGGGGCACGCAAGCGACTCCAAGCCCCCAGGCCTGCCGGCAACTAGGCCTGTGTCCCGTCCTTCATCAATCAACCTCAATCTATTTCGTTCCTCGTCTATTCTAGCGCAGATTGCATGTTTCTTAACCCCCCCATCTGGAGTGCCATGTGATGTCCCAGCGAATAGCAAGCCTGACTTTTCTCAGCCAGTCCTTTACTTTGGAATAGCCTGGCAAGGGTATGTGATGGCGGCGATCCTGGTTCCTGGAGAGGTGCAGCGAGCCTCCGCGAGGGCTGTCACGCCCCTTCGTGGCCCGTGAGATGCACTCCACACCGAAGGCGCTTTCTCACGTCCGGGGTAAAAGCAAAATGTATATAACATGGGAGTTGGGACAGCATGGGTCGGGCCAGTGGCCGTTGACTGCTCTCCTTCCCTCTCGGTGACCCATCCAGTGTGTATCGCTTTGCGGTGCTTGTAACTCAAAATGAAGGGCTTTACCGCTTTCAAGGCAGCTTCGCTGCTGTCCGCTCTTTGTAGGTCCACAAGCTACCCGATAGCAAACTGAACAGTGACTTACAAGTATAGCTGCCCCATTGGCCTTGGCCCAGGACTCATTCACTCATGCTGGCACTGGAATCACTTTCGAGCGTCAGACTATCTCCACCAGCGAGACAACTGGCGGGCTTGAGTGGGGTTTCGCTCTGCCAGCGACTGGATCAGGCAACGCTGAGTACATTGGTTACATTGTGAGTGCTTGAGATCGTATGGATTACGATATTGTTTCTGACTGGTTACAGAAAGGATCTACACCAAGCGGAAAAGGATGGAGTGGTATCAGTCACGCAGGTGGCATGGCCAATTCGCTTCTGCTTGTAGCCTCGCCTGATGGCACAAACGTGAAGACGCAATTTGTTTGGGCAGGGTGAGTGCTATACCCGGTCTTTTACCAAATCATTTGCTGAAGTGTCGCAGTGGATACGTCGCTCCCGATGACTACACCGGCAACGCCACAATTACACAGATCTCGCACACTGTCAGCACCGACAGCTTCGAGTTGATCTACCGATGCCAGTGGTGCTGGGTCTGGGACCAAAATGGTGCAACTGGCTCGCAAATCCCCGATGAGACCCAGGTCATTGGATGGGCTCAGCACAAGGACCTTCCTTCGAAGCCGTGGGTCCAGCACAACAATGGACAAAGCATCTTTGGTATTCCAGTTGCGCCTGCCAGAAACGCTAGTTACTCCGACTGGGTCAAGCTTGGAGATGGAGGCGGTACTCCCACTGCCACCCCTACTGCCACCGCCTCTCCTACTTCCTCGGCCCCTGCCACCCCCACAAGCTGCGCTGGTCAGCCTGCCCCTACGGAAGCCTACGACTACATCGTTGTTGGAGCCGGTGCTGGTGGTATCCCGGTTGCCGACAAGCTTTCTGAGGCTGGCAAGAAGGTTCTACTCATTGAGAAGGGCCCACCATCGTTAGCCCGCTTTGGCGGAACTATGAAGCCTGACTGGCTCAAGGACTACCAGCTGACACGCTTTGACGTTCCGGGTCTCTGCAACCAGATCTGGGTCGACTCTGCCGGCATTGCATGCACAGACACTGACCAGATGGCCGGATGCGTTCTTGGTGGAGGAACCGCCATCAACGCTGCTCTTTGGTGGAAGCCTGTTGCAATCGATTGGGACACCAACTTCCCCTCTGGTTGGAAGTCGGCCGACATCAAATCTTCTGTTGATGCTGTATTCAAGCGTATTCCGGGTACCGATACTCCGTCTACAGACGGCAAGCGCTACAAGCAGGAAGGCTTCAACGTGCTTGCCACTGCCTTCACTGCGGATGGCTGGAAGCAGGTTACTGCCAACGACGTCCCCGACCAGAAGAACCGTACCTTTTCTCATTCGCCCTTCATGTACGAGGGCGGTCAGAGGCAAGGTCCTCTTGGTACCTACCTTGTGACCGCTACCCAGAGGACCAACTTCAAGCTACTCACCAACACCACTGTCAGGCGTGTTGTCCGTACTGCTGGTACGGCAACCGGTGTCGAACTCGAGAGTGGATACTGCGGCACCGTGAAGCTTAACACTGGCGGGCGCGTCATTCTGTCTGCTGGTACCTTCGGGTCCTCGAAGCTTCTCTTCCGCAGTGGTATTGGCCCAACTGACCAGCTCAACGTTGTCAAGAACAGTGTACAGGATGGTCCTTCGTTCATCAACTCGTCTCAATGGATCAACCTCCCAGTTGGCCAGAACTTGAACGATCACGTCAACACCGATCTTGTTGTCCAGCACAATAACGTCTCTTTCTACGACTTCTACCAAGCCTGGACTGACCCTATCGCTAACGACAAGAAGATGTACCTCGAAAGCCGCGCTGGTATCCTTGCTCAGTCCGCACCCAACATCGGTCCTCTTGCTTGGGAGGTCATCAAGGGTACCGATGGCAATGACCGCCAGTTCCAGTGGACTGCTCGCGTTGAGGGTCCCAAGACAGGTGACAACTACTCCATGACCATCTCCAACTATCTCGGCCGTGGTTCGACCTCGCGTGGTGTTGCTACCATCAACGGTGCGCTCAGTATGACTGTCAGCAAGCCTCCTTACCTTGCGCAGCAGGCCGATACCGACGCTGTGATTGCCAGTTTGAAGAGCATGCAGAAGGCCATTGCTAAGTTGCCATCAATTACCTGGGAGGTTCCTGCACCCGGTGTCTCGATTGAGGACTACGTCGCCAGCCTTCCTAAGACCCCTTCTGTTCGCCGTGCAAACCACTGGATCGGTACTGCCAAGGTCGGCACTGACAGCGGCCTCAAGGGTGGAACTGCCGTCGTGGACACGAACCTGCAAGTGTACGGCACCACCAACATCCACGTTGTCGATGCCTCCATCTTCCCAGGGTAAGCTATTCTTTCATTCCTCCAGTCTGCCATGTGTACTGATTTTGCGCAGCCACATCACCACCAACCCGACATCATACATCGTCACTGTTGGTGAACATGCAGCCAAGAAGATCCTGGCATTGAAGTAGGTGCTTAAATGCGCTTTTCTCATGGGATCGGGAGGTGGAAGGGACGGTCGACGCCGTGGCACACTGGGTCTACGCCGCATGAGTCAAAGAATCGATGTTGTTGCTTTCTGGGCAGCAGTGCGACAGAGCGGAATGAACAGACCCGACCCAGTGTGTTAGCGGCTACAGAGATGCAAGGTAAACTTGATACCCAGTGTTCCGTACTGCCTACAGAGCTGACACTCATGCAGAGTGCGAAGAAAAGCATGTGTTGAAGCATGAGTGTTGTAAAAGTCCGTCGGCGTCCCTGTCTGTCGCTTCGATCCTGTCACAATTCTCTTGTATATATTTCAATTCAAAGTTATCAACTTCATGTTCTGACGTACCGCCCGTACGACCGTCCAAAAAGGGCGCAGTCCATCTGTGAAGGAAGTAGCGCGTGCTTAGTCAACAAGGCGCCACTTTCAGGCTCCACACTGCCGCCTAACTTGATCGCTGGGATGTACTTCTATAAGTACAGTGCTTCCTTAAGAGTTTTGGTACTCTTTGATTTCCCAGTGCAGTACTCAAACTTCTGATCGAGTACTGTACGATTGGCCCGCGCATTGCGTCTCTGGTTCGGCCGGTCTACTCGAAGCTTTCGCGCCATTGCGCGTGCGACTTATAATCATGGAATTGCTATCACTGCCACCGGAACTCATTCATAACATCCTCCACTTCGTCGACTGGGACGACATCCTCTCCTTCATTTCGACCACGAAGTACGTCACAGACTCCATACTTTCCAAGTCAGACATATCTCGTCTACGGCGCAACTGTCGCGATCGCTTGTTGTTCTGGGAGACCGAACGTCGCATTGAGCGAGGATGGTCGGTCGAGCCCAACGTCAAAAGAGGTGCCTGGTCCCAGCATGCTCAGAGATACGGTCAACGTATGTACCTATGGCATGTGTCCCAAGATGAAAGACTAGCAGAAATACCTTGCTACACTTGTCTACGCTTCCGGAAACTCGACTTCTTCACGTCGAGCATGCGGTGCGGTGGGCAGATGGTTGGTCAGGCGCTTGCTAGTCGACGTACATGCATTCCCTGCGGAGTGAAGACAGGCTTTTATTATGGCGGGTTGAAGATGCGAGGGTGTTATTCCGTGTGCGAGAAATGCCAAAGTAAGTGGACGCCTGAGTGCCAAGTGAATGCGCCTTCCTGCAAGCAAAGATTTGTCTGTCTCTCGCTTGCGGAAGAGTCATGAGGTATCACTCTACCCCTGTTTTGACTCACACTGACTCTGTACCTGTGCCTTAGGTATCATGTCTCCCTGGTACGGTGCGAGAAATGATCCGGATACCCTGGAAGAGATCCCCGATACCCTGCCGGCACAATATGATGTATCGGCCCACGATAAATATGGCAGACAACCGAGAATCGAAGGCGATGAGTATTGGTGGTGGACATATAGCCACATCTGTGCTCTCTGTGCCGCTGAAGCTGGCTATACGATGGAGCAGGTGCTGAATTCAGAGCCCAGAAAAGATACCTTGCGAGCCAAGATGAAGCAACGAAATAGGCGGAGTATGTTAGCATCATTAGAAAGACGCCAGGACCGAGGGCGGAAGATGAGGGCTTCTCTGGGTATCCAAGAGCCTTGCGGCCTTTTGGACATTGAACGTATGAAGCTGGAGGACGACCCTTTCCCCAAATTTCAGCCTGCGCCTGTTCTCCTGTACCGGGGTCAGGCGCTAGACGAAGAATGGAAGGCGCAAATCCTGAATCACATGAACGGCAAGACATCAGCAGCACAGATCCAAGCGGACATTGATAAGAGGCGTAATACTATGCACCCTAGCGTGTATAGGAGAATGGACATAAATAATCAATAGGGTAAAGGTTATAGAATAGGTACTAAAGATATACAAGACTAAGTGCTCATTATACTATCAAGTTTTCTATGCGGCCTACAGATCTGCGTAAGCACGACAACCCAACGACACGCCGTCAGCACTAGCCCCCACAACGAAGTCTGAAAGCCGCAGGCGGAGACATCACGAAAGTCTCCGATAAGATGTAAATATCTCATTGTACCACGCACAAAACCAGAAGTAACATCTTCCACCATGGCCACCGCCCGCAGAACAGCCGGCCACCTCATTGCCATTGCAATCGCCGTCCTCTACACCCTAGCCGGACAAGCCCACTTCACGGACCGCTTCACCCCCGGCCTCGCTGCACAAGTACTCCATATCACACTACACCTGCAAGGCTTGAAGACTACGCTAATTGCATACGCGTGTCGCAGATAGAAGAAATGACTCCGCGGTCTCACCGCGCATACTGGTTTCTGAACCTCTCGTATCTACAGGTTTTTCATCCCCATCCCTATCACTAGCCCCCGTCAGTATGATGCTCATGAAGTGTAGCTCAAACAAGTTTTCGGCGCCTTCGATCTTCTCGCTGCAGCGGCGCTGTGGCGGTCGAACTCGAGGAGAGTTGGGTTGAGGATGGCGGTTGTGGGGTTCTCGGGTGGGTTGTATGGGCAGTGGTATACGGGTGGGGAGATGGGGCAGGTTGGGGCGTTTCTTGCGTTGGCTGCTTTGGGGACGATGTTATTGTAGGGTCGTGGTGGGTATATTTCCTGGCCTGGAGCGAGGATATGCGCGCGCTCTGTCGGGTTAGGCGCCTGAAAAAGGCGGTGGTTGGTTGGAGTTGCTTGTTGTGTGTGTGCGTATTACAAAGGGCTATGACATGTGTGAATATGTAGTATTTGATGACACTTGGTAGAGTAGAGAGTACACCTGCTTCAGGTGTTGATTGACTATTGTATTGCCCTCTCAATATTAACGCCGATATTATTCTCCAGCTGTCGCGAGGGTAAGCACGCGAGAGGCCGCGGTACCTTGGATTCCGTGAAGGGACAATTCGCAACACCAACACAGTGAGAAGAGAAGCTTTACTCCAACACCCACAAGGCCCAAACGCCAGACCTCTATCGAATTCATGACCAATCCGCGCAATTACCACATCCAAACTTCCGACGAAATCTCGCCACCAATCTTTCCTACACGGCCAGGACCGATTGCCCACCATCAGCGGTAATCCGCTTCCTCATCTTCACTTTCGTCATCGTTCCAGTTCCCTTCTTGATACTGCCATCGACATAGCCAAGAATGGAATTCGGGGAGTAAACGATTGCGGTGCCCGTGGATAAGCCCTCGATGCGCTCCATAAGCGCTTCGCGGTCTGCCTCTGGGATACGAATGTGCCTCTTGATTGCGGTGAACCACTCCGGAGATGAGAAACGGTGGATCACAGCGACGGAACACAGAGCGATCAGGTCGGTCAACAGAGTCGGCTCTTGAGTAGAGACGACCACGCGTGTTCCGGTGTGGCGTTGCATGCGGATGGTATCCACCAAGGCTTGGTTCAGGCCTTTGGCACCAGGAACGTCGAGCATGTACTGAAAGCAGTGTTAGAGACGAAAGAAGCGAGTGAGAATGATGTGGGCAGAATCGTACCTTATGAGCCTCGTCCAACACCACCAACTTGCCGGAAGCCCGAGACTGCAAATATCGCTGCAAGCCGCACCTGAACATGATACACGCAGTATTCACGTCCACGAAGGGGCAGCTCATATCCATAATGGTGATCTCGCCTGGCTTGAAGAGCATATCGTCGCGATTAGTTCCTTGCAAGTCGAGGAACGACTCCAGCAGGTCCAAACGAATCTTCAACATGTTTTCTTGGTCGGGCGAAAACCTCTGTCCCCGCACGCGTTCTTTGAACACCCTGTAGTCGAATCTATCGCTCGTTGTGGCCATCTCGCGGATGATCTGCAGGATCGCACCCATGTAGAGTGGCATTCTGTCTGATTCAGACACATTCATTAGGGTGAGCATCAAGTCTGCAGAAGTTTTAGTAATGTTAAAGCTAAAAGGTGGCTGGGTACATACCAATGTCGAGGTTCCTAGGGTTGAGTTTGAAAGCGCTAACCGTGACATTGGGAAGACGCTCATAAAGCTTTCGAATCCTCCGCAGGTTAGTGTCGCAAACGAGGACGTGGATTTTCTTGACGTGCGCATTGCCCAGTCGCGGAATAGGTGCCCCGAGGAATGCAGCTTCGCTGATGCTGAATCCAGCGCCATCGCCGGTGAAGAGACCGTAACTGAACACAAGAGCGGACAACGGCTCTTGGAGTACACCAAGATTCTTTGAAGGAATGAGACAATTCTCCAGAATGCAAGACGTGGTATGAGACTTGCCGCTGCCCTGAACGCCGCATACGAATGCGGAGAAAGGAACGTTGGTGTTCAGAAACAGTTTCGAACTCGCATTATCGATGTTTTGATCATGCGTTCCCATGAGACCGAACTGGGGAATAAGGCTTATAGTCGACCTGCTCCTGAAGATACCCTCATCTGCAAGTGGTGCATGTCGGATTTCAGCCTGGTGGTCGGTGCCACTACCGTCGGTGAAGCTATCATCGGTCAATAGGACGTCCATTGCGTCGAGGTCAACCATTGCGCCAGCGTTCAACGAGTCTTCTTCTGGTGCATCAGAACTATCTGCAGAATCCGGCGTGCAGAGTGAGTCAGGAGAGGAACGGTTATACTCATGAGAGAGCTTTCGCGTTGGTCTGTATGAACGTCCAATCGCATCTGGCCAAGCTGGCGTTGAAGCAAGTCAGAACGTTCAGCCAGAGGCGGACTCGGTGTTGTTGTCTCGGGAGCGCCGTGTGTTTCTGACCGGGCATGCGCGACGACGGAATTGGGCCCGGTCGCAGTAGATAATGGCACCGGCCTCTTAAGGAAAATTTTCTGGATCTCCCCTTCCATGGGCTTGCCATCACTGTCCAACATAGGCAATGAGTATGGTGCGGAGTCTAGATTAAGACGCAGGTTCTTCACCGTCTGCGAGATAGCCATAGAGCTGATCTGGTCATCGCTGAGACTGACCAAGTGTCGTTTCAACGAGTTCCAGCCCTTGAAAGTACCGTCGGATTCGAATGCGTTCGTACAATAGTGCCATTGCACCCATGCGTCACTACCTCTAGGACCATCCTGAGTTGCACGATTGAAGCTCGCGTCCGTCAGACTCGGATCGAAAGTGGGCCAAGGTTTCGGAAACCACGCACTTGGCCGTTGGCTCTTCTTTTTAGCCATCCCGTCCTCACTCTGCAGTTCTCCCAGGACGAGATCGTGATCAGAATCTTGCGCGCTCCTTTCTAATTGAAGGCGTTCGTCTTCCTTTTGGCAGACTTCCTGACGTCGACGCGTGCGCTGTAGCTGACGGTTCTCTTTTCGCCGTAGTCTCGCGTGTTCTACTTCTACACTGCTTGGTAGTAAGTATAGTGTGTATTCAGCCAGAAAAACGTACAGGAGGGCGATGTGGAAAGAGGTGAAAGGAGATTCTAGAGCTGTCGGTGGAATAAGCAGCCAGTTAAGTATAAAATAAATAAGATTTTCTTGCTAAGCCGGTTGAGTAATGCAGGAGTGAGAGTGAGAGGTGAAGGTGAACAGTGGGTACACAATCACACAGTCAGTACTTCGCGTGTGAATGAGACACAAGGATATCTCGTTGACTAAAAGAACACGGCACTTACTTCCTCGCCACGGCTTCAATATATTCCAAGGAAGTTCCCGCATATTTAAGAGAAAGGCCGTTGATGATCATCCGGCGATTGTCTTCCTGATTGCGGCTTGTAGTCCAGGTCAAGTTTGCAGCTATCGCTTGCGCAGTGTGGAACTTATCTCGGTATCCAGAAATACTCTTCTCAATACTTGCTTGTATTAGCAAACTGTCGGTACCGGTCTCAATATCGAACCGACTGCTTACCCAGCCACCGCATTTCCAATGGTCTCCGTGTATTCTGGACGGCGGCTCTCTAATTCGAGCCTGAAGGAGGTATAATTATCTATGGATTTGCGTATGTACCCGTCTACGTCGACGTAACGAATGTGGAATTCGGAGGTGATCCACTGATCAATTTGGGCTTTGGTGTAGGTCTTTGCAGAAACGGCCGCCTGCTTTGCACTCGGTTTGGTCTCGGCTTCAATTACAGGCGCTTGTGATGCGCTCGAAGGCAGGGTTAGCACACCATGATTCAAAACGGTCTTAACGGCAGCCAGAGAAGATGGGTAGAATGATGACGAAGCAAGTTCTCCAGGCGATGCATATGATCTTGTCGACAAGCAATCAACTCCTGTGTCTGTAGCTGCGGTTTTATCGGCAGCCTTGGCGGGAGTAAACGTCGAGAACTCGAAATCAGCAAAACTCGACCCCCCAAATTCGAATGGTGCGGCCATAGCCTCACCAAAGTTGAATGAAGGAGCCATTGTTTGGGTGGTGCAAGGTGAGGAAGCAGCGGAAGGTGTCGGGTTCGCGCTCTCGCTTCGCTAGTAATAGGAGAAGATCTTTTGGGAAACGCGATCCTGAACCTTGTAATGCGCGTGCTCACGTGATCAGTTTCAATAGGGGGAAGCGTGATTGGAGACCCCACAATTCGACAACCTGTTCCGCATCAGGTTGTTACCCTGCCGTTTGCGAGCCCATTCAAGAGCAGGATTTAATCACGAAGGCAGCAATGTGTACGATCGTCAGCCTTTCGACCGTCCACCGTTTTCGCACGTCGCCTTGACGTGTAATCGTTACTCCGGTTTTCTCCACCGTTCGACCATGTACGGCTACGCATCTTTCACGCCGATGGTATCCTGTCTATGCGACACCATCATTCTTAGCTTCATTTTGAACCCAGGCTGGACTCACTGGCACGCATTGTTGTAGGTGTGAAACGTGGATCTCCGTATCGTAATCTTAGTTGAAAGCAAAACAACAGAATGTGGGCAACCTATATGGTATCTGGACGACTCGAACACTAGATTTAAGCACGAAGAAGTGGCGACCAAGGGGTCCTACTAGTAGGCCGTCACTTACTATTAACCTGACAGACCTGACAACGAGTTCTTCGGCTTCTACGCTGTCTTATAACAAGCTCAAATCCCAATCAATCTGACTCTTCGCTGATTGAGTCTTATGAAGTGTTACGCTCTACTACTTACATACTATATAATCTGCTTCCCATGCTTCTGTCGCCACATTTCGATGACCTACTAAAATTACATACAGGGGTTCATAGTTCGCATCTAGAGATAAGGGCAAATGAAAACAACTTTCTTCTATTTTGTAGATACTGCGCGCTAATTCTCTGCTTATAGATTGAAGTCCTCGTCCGGATTTGCGCCATTGACATGGTTCGGATTCACCTTGTCCGGCCTAAAGTACTTGTACCACATATCCGCCTCCGGCAGCTGCTTCACGTCCTGAGGCTTTTCTAAAATGACGCAGTCAGCAGAATTCTAGACTCCGCTCCCAAAGACAGAACCTACTCATCGCAACGTATTTCACCGGGTCCACCTGGTGTTCCTTCCGCCACTCCGTCAAGGCATCAAAATTCGCAACGCATTGCCTGTTGATGCTCATGTCGGGAAATGGAATGGCTTCTTCATTCACCCAATGCATAGTGATAAGGTTGAGATTGCCGCTGCATTGAATCGTCTGCATCAACATGTCAATGCAGTGGTCCATGTGTATCTCGAACATGACCTTTGGGTCCTGAGCGTGCGGGAATTGCATCCGTGCCTTAGGGTAATAATCTGGGTAGACGAGTTTTCGCAGCATGTTTAGGCAGTGTAGTTGGTGATAGATGTCGAAGGTAGAGGCATATGCGTCGTCGCCGAGACCGTAAACTTCGTCCTGCACTGGTCATTAGGGGGAAAGTTTTGCGACTCAGCAACAGACGTACTTCAAGTTTAGTAGCTGTCGTGGGGTCTTTGCCCAACGCGCGGATCTGGTCCGCTGTGATGGCATAAACGCGCGTGATCTCCCACTCATTCCATACAGCATCCTTTTCTGGGCTGGGTGGGCCACGTGCCACTGAGGGATGATGGTTGGGATACAGTGTGCCATTCATGGTCTTCACCTCTAGCGGGAGATCGACTGCATCGATGAGAGGAGCTGTTCATATCAGAAGCCGAACCAACGAATCTGTAGAGCGACATACAGTATGAATGAAACTGCCTCAATATCGGGTTGAGCCTCCCATCAACGGAAAACTCAATCCATGACGAAGCATACAACGACAGCGTCGCGAGGAAGAACACCGCGTTGCATAAAGTGAGTAGCTTGAACGTTCTTGGTGAGAGACCGCGATGGTCGGAGCTTCGTTCATGTTTCTCCTCGTCTAGGAAGGTTGTCCGTTCGTCCACAGAGTCGTGACTATAAGACATCGTGTATGATTAATGAGGAGTATACATGAGGCTGCGCAGGTTTTCCTCAGAGAGGAAAGGGAAGAAAGGCTCCCTGCAACGAAGTATGATTCGACTTTGAAGGTCGGTATTTGGTGCACTTCCCGTGACGTAAACTTTCAAATTGAAGGATGTTCAAGGAGAGGAGATTCGCTAGTCGTGTCCACAGTAACAGGCGTTACCCATACGCAGCAGAGATCTTGAGCCTCTGCAACATGAACCGGATGCGCGGGGCAGGCTGCAGGTCTGATAAGGCCCACTGCTTGTCGCGCGAGTGCTATCTTCATTCTGCGGGGGTTACGACACCACCGACTAATTGTGAATCGAACATATGCAATTGAAAATCCTTCAAGTTGGCAGTTGACCAGTCAATTCCAAGGCGCCCCGCAGATCTCGAGCGTACTATCAAGAGTCGTTACGCTTCGGCAAGACTCACTAGGCGTAGGATCTAGGAGACCCGTATACGCTCGGCAACCACCCCACCTTCCTAGTTCGGCAGGTAGTCATGCTGTATGATGCCGAGTAGCGTACTCAGCCGTATAGGTGAGTATAGGCTTCTGGAATCAGGTGACTGCATAGTTGTACAGCATCGCGTTACAGCCCAGAAGCTGGTGCTTGGCGACATGTTGACATGCTTGAATTTTCAGCAGCACAATAGGCTGCAAAGCTCAATGCGGTCCAGTATCTTCTACCAAGATGCTATTACTTTGCCTCTTGATGTGTCTTGTAAAGTCAGCTTGAGTATTCCCGCCCAAACCTCAGCCTTACAGCTGCACGTGGTTGATGATGTACAGCTTTACATCTTAAGGCTTACTATGCATCAAGTCCGTCGTATTCCCGCGTAGACGAAGATGACGAACTTCTCACAGTAGGAAGGTGATCATCAGTCGTACTTCCACCAAGCATGCATTGGCCAGTCGTGTTTTGGCCCTCGCATACTAACAAACACCCCTCAAATCCGTCAACTCACCACCTGCCGAATGGAGTTTTCTATCCACCCGTCCCCACGCATCTCGCACGACTACACGCGGAACTTCAAGTGGAAGCACTATGAGATCTTCCAATAACTTGGCCCACACCTGATAATGTTACAACAGGTAGTCTCTGAGTATAAAGAAGGGATACGGTATCTCCCCATCTCAACCACGGCCACACCATACCCTTCGAAAGCTTACTCTTGGACCAATCTTCAACGTCATCATGAAGGTCTCTACGTTGGCTCTTCTTGCTACCGTGGCTTCGGCTGCCCCGCTCCCGGTAAGTCTACCCTCACCGTTTAGATCATTCTATGCCTTCATGCTAGAGACTGATCCATTCATTAGAAAGATGATGCTACGGTAGAAGCCTCGTCCTATGCACCTCTAGTGTATGTAGGCGGGCTCAAGAGGGCCGCGGAGGCTGAGGCCGACTCCGAGGCAGCAGCTACCTACGCTCCCTTGGTGTACGTTGGAGGTTTGAAGAAGAGGGAGGCCGATGCTGAGGCCGACACCGATGCCGCCGCCACATATGCCCCACTCGTCTACGTTGGAGGGCTAAAGAAGCGCGAGGCTGATGCTGACGCTGATGCGGCTGCTACTTATGCTCCTCTGGTGTACGTTGGCGGACTGAAGCAGCGAGATGCCGATGCGGCAATAGAAGCTGCGACAACCTATGCTCCTCTCGTGTATACTGGAGGGCTGAAGAAGCGCGAGGCTGATGCTGAGGCCGATCCTGAAGCCGCGGCGACCTACGCTCCACTAGTCTATGTTGGTGGACTCAAGAGAAACGCAAAAGCCGACACTGGGGCAGCGGCTACATACGCGCCTCTTGTGTATACCGGAGGTCTGAAGAAGAGGGATGCTGAAGCTGACACAGGGTCGGCAGCTACTTACGCCCCCCTCGTGTATACCGGAGGGCTAAAGAAGAGGGACGCTGAAGCTGGCACCGAGGCCGCGGCCACATATGCTCCTTTGGTGTATACCGGGGGTCTGAAGCGTGATGCGGAGGCTGATCCTGAGGCAGTGGCGACATACGCGCCTCTTGTATACGTCGGCGGCTTGAAGAACTAAGCCGTTATCGAAAATTCCGGCACTATGCGGGGAAAGTCGCGGTTCAAGTTCCGCTTTTCATGGTTGCCTGGAGCGAGTCGCAGGCCTGAAAGGGGATGTTAGGTGCCGCACTGTGCTGTTAAACATGGAGGGTATGTCGTGACGAACCTACCAGCAATACTCAAGCTTTCTCTTTGCATTGTTCGTACAGTCATATAGTGGTATGATTGTCTCAAACCTAGTAGCTCCTGCAGAATGTGACTATCTCGCCGTAAACCTCGACGATGAGCTCGTCACTTGCAATGTATGTGTGATAAAGATGCTAGCCCTTGCTGAAACCTTTGGTCGCGCAGTGGGATAAGAAGTGCGCAATGATCTGGTAAGAAAGTGGTCAAACTCTTGTCGCATCATGATCAATACCTTTTTCGGTCGCTCGTTTTGCACGTGTGAATGTGCGCTCTTATTTAAGAAGATCTGGAAAAGCGGACTTCATGTGCGACGAGTGGTTCGAGAGAAGTTCAACTGATGTTTGTAAGATATGAACGTGCGGTTGCAACTCGGCTCGTCTTAAGTGTTCTCAGCTCACAGACACCAGTGACTTTAGTCGGGATGGTGCAGCATCGGCTTGATCCTTGGTCTTCGGGTTTGGCGTCTCCACTCCGTACGAAAGCATGCGTGGAGTACATCTCAATATGCAGTCACGGCACGATGATTGCGCGGCGACACCCACCTGTACGAAAGCGCGTGTATGTGTATCGCCGTATTTGTTGCTACAGACACTTGTGAAATCTGGCTTTAGGTTTGCGTGCAGCATAATACTGGATCACGAATGGACTCGAGGGATGGCACGACGTAAGTCCTGATGCCGTCGTCCGGTGCTGTAATGACTGGACACATGGTGCGCTTTCTTTGTAACCAAATGAAGCGTTAGTGCAAGAGCGGTCCGCCTAGCGCTCACGAAATAGGCTACTGCTTGTCGTATCTATAGCCCGGTAGACACGAACTCAGCCCTTTGCAAGACCACACGAGATTTGGTGTCCTCAATACACATGCTTTCCGACGAGATAGGCGACTATCTTGATGATCAGACGCTGTTAACCTCGTATCTGCAGCCTAAAACTTCAGTGAATGCTGTCTTCGTGTTGCGCTTTAGGATGTACCTCCAATATGTGCGCAGGTCCTCTAAGCGATCTCACCTGTCATAGCTGGCCGAGTGACTCACGACCAACACTTCGAGTCAGCTCTATGCGATAGTTGGTTATATACAGAGCTCTATTATGAGTGTTTTCCGTTTGCTCCCTTACACTCACAATGAAGCCCAAAACTCTCCAGCGAGTCTGGAGAGAAATCAAAGAAGCCAATGCGGATTTCTTTAATCTGCGGACTGTGATATCTCCGGATCCTGACGACGATGCTACACGCTTTTACTTTATCATGATGCCGAACGACGGGGCCATGGCTCACCTCACCTTGGTTGGCACCTTCTACATTTCCGAGGGATACCCGGAGACTCCGCCAATTGTGCAACTGTACACACCTACGGGACGGTACAATGTGGATGCTTACAGGTCTTATCTTGACCGGGAGGACAAAAGATCCAGCACAATGTGTTTCGATATTCTTCGTTCAGAAGCTCAAGGCGGGACCTGGAAGCCACAGTACACTCTCAGCTCACTTTTCGCCTCGCTGATGTCTGCGATCGTCTCCTTCTATGTTGCACAGCAATTTGGGAACGATAGACCCGAATACGTATCTATGGAAAATCTCCGCAAGGTCAAAGAATCGGTCACCAGGACTTATAAGCGATACAAGGATCGATTGCCAGATGTACCCCGAATCCCTTTGGTCGAAGCAACCACAGTACCTGCTACATGCCTTTTCTCTCCTCGAAAAATCGTAGCCGGCAGTCCTGAAATTATCACATCAGAGCCAATATACCTGCAGACCGAATCTCAAGAGGTGCATTCATTTGCCGTTGACCTATCCAGTTTACATCCAGGAATTGTGTTCTCGGTCATCCTGAGCAACTGCAAAACCGACTTGTTGGGCAAGAAATCTGGAACAATCCTCGTACGGAATGGAGTTACAGCAACTGCAGCACGCAAACTTGCCAACGGCACAACCAGATGGTTTTATCACGGGAAGCCGATGAATGACGGAGACATGCGTTTGCATGTGACGATTGGTAGGGAACAGATGACTTTTGCCTATTACGAAGATGGTCATCTATATGTTCATGGGGATAGTCCGGTATCGCGCTTATCTGCGGACCATATTGGCGACGTGAGAGGGATCCCCTTTTATGTGCACATTTACACCAAAGACAAGACGGCGAAGGAGCCAGTCACGATAGACGTGCTTGACATTGGTGGGAAAGGCTATGTGCATGAGTCAGTGAGCGAGGACGAGCGTAATGATTTCGGGTTCGAGCTCATACAATCTTCAGAGGCTGAAGAAATCCCTGAGCATGTTGGAAAGCCAGACGCGGAGGAGCATGGATTGGATGATGGAATGATGAAAGAGTTTTCAGGATTGGTGCTTGAATAGTCAACGTCATGCTTGTTGTCTTTCGATCAGTAACATACAGCGCTACGTCAAAGGTTTGAGTATAGCGTGTTACCCCAGGATATGTAATACAAAAGCTGACTGTATTCGAACTTCTGCGTTAGTACTGCACGAGCAGAGTCTTGATAAGGGTGAACCCTATGTTAGAAGTTTCGTTAGCGGTTGTCTGTCATCGCAATGCTTTAGAAAATTTGCCACTTATGGGGTCTCTTTGCGATTCTTGTGCATTCATGAGTGGTTCTGGCTGTGAATAGATATCGTGAGCTGATGAGTAAGTGCTCTGGCGAATCGCTTCAATATATTGGTTTCCGAATGAGGAAGTGGCAACGCGTTATAGACTCGATTAAGCGGTATTCTGGTCCTGGTTATCTTGAAAAACTTGTGCAACGAGCGTCGCCTGCAGGCGCCACGTGCAGTGTTGTATCGTGTCGCAACCGCGGGTACCTGCTTTCACTACACCATCGCGCTTGGCTCGCTAGTCGACAACCCCACCAACGACCATGGTCAGTCCATCTCCGCTTCACTCCGTCATGGACAGCGAACGCTTAACATCCACCGTCGATGTCATGGATGATTCTTCCACCACATCCCCACGCGTGAAAAGCATGCCTGCAAATGAGGAAGGTGAGTCGCCCGCGGTCTGCGACTTGTCATGTGACCACTGTCAGCACAAGTCAGGCGTTATAGCCTTCCAGACAGCAGTCTGGTAACTTTTCGAACGAGGGAGAGAAATCAGTATCCCAGCTTTTGGGCCAGCATTTCATCGTTCGATTGTAAATACTAACGACTCGCAGCGCGCAGCCAAGTGCAACGGCGCCTCAACCGTCTCACTCAACTCCGGGCACTCGTCGACAATGTCAGCGAAGGTCTACTCCACTGCCCTATTGAACGCCTTTCCGACTGTTGGGAGGCCATGCATCCTCATACCACATTCCGTTCGAACACATTCGTTTCTGCAGAGCAAACAAGACAAGAATTGGAGCAGGCGCGATCCTGGCTCTTGCAGATCATCAGTCTACAAGCCCGCCATTTACCCAAGGGGAACATGAGTCACCTTCTTGGCCACGCCATCGAAAAGCCTGCGAATGTCCGGACCGATATGGAGAGATTATATATGGCGCTTACGGGTGAGGAGCATGGAAGCGTGAAAGAAAGCCTCAAATACGCTTTCTCCATTGTACTGCACTACCGGTATGCCGAGAACCACGGATACACTTTGAAACGTTTGCAAGAGCAGGATGACCGACGTATTCGTCATGAGAAGAAGCGTGGCCTGCCGCGCCGGTCAGAGGAAGCCATCCGCAACCGAATTTTCCTCAAATTACAGTCGGTCGAAGTCAATAACTTCACATGCGCGGTCCCAATCTCTTTCTTTGCCAACTCAACATCCGAGGGTTCTGGCGCTTGCCCTGTCTGCCGCAACGAGTACTTAGACTTTGCTTCGTTCCCGGCTGAGGACCTCATCTCCGACTATCCGGTCAAGATCAAGTACTGTGGTCATATCATCGGAAAGAGTTGCCTGGAGACATGGATGGAGACTCCGCTTGCTGATCCGGCGAAGTACCCACACCGCACCTGCCCGCTTTGCCGCAAGGCGATAGAAGGCGTGGCGCTCCCTGCCCCACCCCAAATGATCCAGCAGCACGTGGAGGAGAATCAAAAGGCCATCGCATTAGCTGATAGGATAGGAATGGAAGATGAGGAGTGTTGGGATGCGCTCCTTGGCTTGATGAGCGAAGAGATCCTGCTGAAAGAGTTGGAGACCGAGGTCAAGAGTAGGATGTTGGTTGTTGGGAAAGACGTGGAGTATCTGAAGAAAGCGCAAATGGTGCTGAGAAGCAAGCTAGAGGAGCTGGAAGAGGAAAAGGCTGTGTGGGGTTTCGGACGCATTCACCAGTCCTGGGCACAGGCCAAATCGGAGTGGGCAAATGCCTCAGTCCGACAATGAGGTGGCCGATTTGGCGATGTCCCTCGACAAGGATCTTACAACACCGTCCCATCAGATCCGAACGTACTATACATGATTAATTAGCTACTTTATTAAGTTTATAGAGAACATTGAGCAATTGGGGCGGCGGAGTGCTGAGCATCGGGCGGCGGCTGAGGTGCCTGTGTAGGTGGGCGTTTCTTTTTCACAGCATTGAACAATTACCATGGGGTACATAGATCAGACACATCATAAGCAATCATGATTTTCGTTGCGCAATACCAACGGATGGTGTTCATGCCCACTTTGAGCTCTTAGATCAGGGGACTGTTCGGAAATCCGCCTTGAGCTCCCCAACTAAGAATGAGGACACAAAAAGCAAAAGTCTACTTTTATGCATCGACTTGAGCTCTCAAACTTTTACCATACGCTTTTGACCTGAGCGTCTTTGTTTAGAGAATGTCCATGGAGCCGCAAGTATCCGCCTGGCAAGAGCGAAGAAGGAGAAATCGATAGACTGCTGGAGTCATTACAATTGTCAATTCCCGATACAACTAGATGAGTAGCTCACAGAGATCGCCTCTGTACCAGAAGATACTGAAATAATTTGTCCGCCATAACAGGGGTTCTCACACGGTGGGTGCGCAATATACTCAACCCTGGTACCGAGCGGTCCGCTGCAGGGCAGGGCAACCCCTACCGAATACCTTTTATATACAGCAACTACAGGCTTCTGTCGGATTTTAACATAGAAGTACACATGTAGGATGCGATTTACTATCAACGTGCATTTGCTCTCAACGTGCTCATTCTGAAGCATAAATGGACTAGTGGGCGATCATGGCTCACGCTATTGCCTGTTTGGCGCCTCGTGAGTGCATATGCGCAAGTTACCCGGCACGGGCGAGGAAAGGTCACAAATTATCGTCGAACGATGTTGGTGTTTAAACAGACTCGCGCCCAATTTATGGTGAGCACATTGCTCGCTCGCCGCTTGGCGATCCATTCAGAATGATCCCACCTTGTCCGATGGCGGGTTGCAGGTGTTTGTCGCACGATAGCGTGTTGGCTCGCCTACACACTGGGACAACGCAACCGCAACACATTGTTTCTACAAGCAGATCGTCTTCTGCGCTTCCGTCGCTTTGTTTGATAACATGAGCCCTTTCGCTCTCACGATCGGCTTTATCAACCGTGTCGTTCCTTCTTCTCTTGTCCTGTCACGACTGCATCTGTGCAGCACAAACGGTACCCTCCTGTACTTCACCTGAGCACCGTGAGCAAAACTTGCTCATTTCTGCGCGCTGTCACCCGTTATCTTTTATGAACGGCTTGCAGCTTTACATCCGTTCCGATTATCCTCGTCAGCTTCATATAGCTTTGGTTCGCTATCCGTCTCTAGCCCTCACGGCTATCGACCGACAACATCCCAACATCCCACACGATGACTATGTCAATGGATATGTCAATGTCAGGCATGGTGAGTCTACTTCCATGTCATGGCAATTGTGGCGAGCGTTGACTTTGATGTGTGTGCGGACAGGATATGAGCATGAGCACCGCGACGAGCACGGCTGCGATGCCCTCGAGCACTGCCAGCATGGATATGGGCGGGATGGACATGGGCGGCGGCGGTGCGAGCGCCTGCAAGATAAGCGTAAGTGACCTCAGTCTTTCGCAAGCTAAAAGGCTGAAAGTATGTTCTAGATGTTGTGGAACTGGTATACCGTCGATACTTGTAAGTCACTGTCGCGCAGCAGTGCGCCGATGCATACCCGCGTCACGACCGGTCATCCCCCAATACGTCGGTCTCAGGTCCAGGTTGTCATGAAATATAGCCAGTGGACGAAATCTTTAGTGCCGTCAGTTCCTATATTGTCTATCCTGGGCCAGCACAGAGGACTCAGGTTTGGCACTGGTGCGAAAGTTGAACTGGACTGCGGCCTGCCGACCTGAAGACTACACTGCGCAAGCTTGATAGCATATATACTGATACCAGCTAGGCTTCCTCTCCAGCACCTGGCACAACACTTCCAAAGGAATGTTTGCCGGCTCATGCATCGGCGTCATCCTCCTCGTCCTCTCACTCGAGTTCCTTCGCCGCGCCGGCAAAGAGTACGACCGCTACATCCTCTCCCAACACACTCGTTCTCTCGCACACGCGAGCCCAGATCCGAGCCCCTCTTCTTCCGACGCCATGAACAAGAACACCGCGAGCGCTATCACCCGCACGGTTCCTCCGCGATCGTTCCGACCCAACGTCCTGCAACAGGGTATTCGTGCTTTGCTACACATGCTGCAGTTTGCAGTCGCGTACTTCGTCATGTTGCTGGCCATGTACTACAACGGATACATCATCATTTGCATCTTCATCGGAGCGTTTCTCGGATACTTTGTCTTCGGTTGGGAGTCGTTCAACGTGTCGCAGGGTAGCAGAGATCGGATGCAGGAGGAGGTGACGGTGTGCTGCGGCTAGAAGGGGGATAAGGGATGACAGGAAGAGTGTGAAAATGGCAACATATTCCGGTTAGCTTTTGCGAAACCTGGCTCAAGCAAGACGTTTAGCACTTCGAACATTTGCTACGAAGGTGGCGACGCAAGAACAAAGTACATGGCACGCGCATCTGGACTACGTGACAGCTACTGGAGGACTTCCTCGGGACAATGCTTCTACACGTTGACGAGTCCACCGGTGAATGGATGTGGATGTACCACTTCAGGGGATCCTCGGAGGTCCCGAGGTCTCCCTTCAGACACGTGAAATGGGTCACCCCACTGGCGTGCTTTGGCTTCTGAAGCTCGACCTTAACAGCCCTCGTTTTGATCATACCCTTGTATGGCATCTGAAATCTTATGTTGAGAACGAGAGACGCTAGAAAATAAGACCACTCTCCAAGCTGCCACTAGCACCCTTGCCAATAATAAGTAGCTCAAGATAGCGAACAGATCACCACCCACGATCTTCTCTGTATCTTGGAGTGCAGTAACCTCACAAATGTTTCCTTCCAACTACAGAGACTCTTCCTATTTCGATTGTGTAACTCCATGACCTCTCCCGCGCCACTTGCCCTTCCCGCCCCACGCGCATTACCCGCCCCAGATCAATCCCAGTCCCTGTATTCACGGCCGCCATGACGCACGCAGAATCCTACCCCTCCAACAAACGCCCTGCACCCACGTAAAGCCCGTCGTATTGCAAACACTCGCCACCACACACGCTCCTGCCTCAAACGCCCAGTGGACCCACGCTTCGTACCCAGACGCACAATCCACGCACCGCCACCGTCTCCGCCAATGAACGGCGGCATGTGAAGTAATGTGCGGGGCTCTCCGGGCGCCGAGTGCGCGGCCTAGCGTTGAGGCACTTGTGCGGGCGTTAGGTCGTCCGCACAAACGGCGCCGAGCGCTGCATATAAGTCTACTCCAGAGCACTTCCTCCCCCTCACTCAACACACCTCGATAACTTCAAACTCACCTTCAAACTATTTCTATAATCTTCGATTTTCGATATCCAACACATACCTTATCATTCATCATGGGTAACTGCGGATGTGCTTCTTCTGGAACCTGCAACTGCGGATCTAGCTGCAGCTGCGACTCCTGCCCTGTACGTACTTCGTATACCCCCACCTTGAAATGAGTCTGACATTGTTCGCAGCACAAATAAGCGGCTATCTGCGACGGGATTTGACTGAGTCAGCTGTTATGGAGTGTGAGTCCCTTCGTTGCGATTAGCGTACCAGGATAGGTGCTAACAGACGCAGACAAAATTGTGTAGTGGTATCAGGGGATGAACGGTAACAGGTGGATGTCGGGCTGGAGCGGAGGCTGACGTTGGGGCGATGATACCTTTGCTATTCACTTGCGGTTGTTTGGGTCTGTCTGCACCTTTTAGATGACAATTCCAATGTTTATGAACATCTCATGAGATGGGATGTACTGTAACCCCTTATGCCGTGCCCGCCCGTGAGTCGTTGCCGACAATGCTACCGGAAGTCTTGGAATGCCTCTTTGTGCACCTCTACGGATCCCCTGAAGTTGATCCGCTGTTCAGGAGCAGATGCCGACCTTTAAAGTTGTCTTAGCTCGGATCTGTTGCAGCGGAGGTTTCTTGTTGCCATGTGCCCACCGCTCTGTAGTTTGGTAGACTAGATTTCTAGCGCGGCACCGCGGTTTGAGGTGCGGGAGGTGCCGAATAATGTCCCGATCACAATTCCCCAACAAAGCTCTTGATCACCATGCGTGGGTCCACTTGTACTGTCTCTGATTCTAGAATACGTTATGTACAAGACCTATTCTGTGTGAGTGTTTTCGAGCTCCAGCAACAGTTGTTACACAGGGATGGCTATCTGTGGCAGGCCCATGAACGGTAGTCTAGAGTTTGGCTTAAACTTTACTCAACAGCTTCGGTCCGTCGGTGCATGTATAGGATTTTGAACTTTAGTTGGGAGGAGTCACGGTCATATTTCAGGATGTATGTATGTGTATACATGACAGGAGTTTGATGAAGAAACTTATACTCTTGGTAGGGGCTCCCTCCCGCTGACAAGTACAAAGGATCCTATATCCTAGAGTAACCCGCGTTATCGCAGATGTCTGCAACCGTACTTCGAAACTATATCATTACTGTCCATGAAAGGGGTTATGGGCGAGAAGTTCGACTTATACCGTCGGCCACTGTGCACGTACACCAAGTAGCAGATATTCACTGCAGCTGAACGAAACAAGGAGGGAAGAATTTGATAGTAAATCTCGACGGTGCTCGCGCATTCTCTATCACGTACTATAGAGTCCTCACTAAACTCTTTGCTATTTCCTCAGCAAGTCGCCACCTTCGGTCCAGGAACAACATAGCTCTTGAAGTCTGGGCTGTAGATGTTCGCAGTGTACCCCGAATCCGTAGCCTTAACATGCCCAGGGATCTTAGTGGTCGGCGAGAGCGTCCCCGACCCTCCCCCCCCGTAACCTTCACCTGCGCGCAAGAGATGTAGAACTGAGGCGGCGACCCAGGGTTGTGGATACCGAGCTGTTCGATACGAAGCAGGTAGTCACCGGGTGCGACGCAGCTTGGGATATTGACAGAATATGTCTCTGTGAAGTTCGTTAGCAAGGTTTTTTTTGATTGTCAAATCTGAGGACTGCAAGGTGAGGTGCTTACGGCTCAAGTCCCATTTCGCCTGGCCGCCGCTGAACGTCGGACCAATCTCCTTTATCTTGAACCAGTCGGAGGAGCCATCAGCGGCTGGGGCGTCAGAGACCTTGGTCATGTAGAAGGAGACGGGGCCCTGGTGGTAGACTGCTTGGTCTGCGGTGAAACTGACTGAGGAGCCGGCGGCGACGGAGACGGTGGTAGTACTGCTTCCTGAAGCGCCTCCTACGTTGCAGCGAAGATTGGTGTCGGTCAATACGGTGACGGGTGAGTTGTTGTTCGTGTTCTTCCTGATGTTCTGGTACTGGGCACCCTTCGCACCGTTGGCGGTGAGGTATTGGAAGATGTCTGAATGGTTGTGAGTAGGTGGTGTCATGGCAGGTTGGGATCGACTTACAGTGGCCTTGCGCAACCTCAGCGAGGGTGGCGAGGAGGAAGGCGGCGGCAGCGAAAGACTTCATTGTGGTATGTGAGAGATGTTTTCTGTGGGCGCATTCATTCGGAGCCTCATCCACCACTTTAAGTACTCTGAGCCCCCCTAGCTCCCAACCTCATAGTACATCACATGGCAGCATCGGGGACTTGTGCATTGAAGTCCTAGATTATAAGGTACTGAAAGCCCTCTACTTCTGCCAAAGCCGCCGACAGACGCCCAGCCACGAACCGGAGCGCCAATGTCCGCTATCGATGGGTAATAACCGGCAGCCTTCTAGAGCATATTCGGTGTCGTGATTATTGAAGAAGGTTGTGACACGGCGCATGTGTGGACGAGCAATCAAAGTATATGATAATCGCCATCCACGCGACTTGAGCCGAGAGCCGCCATGCCCTCTACTGGACCAATGGGCCAAAGAAATTGACTGGGGTATGTGCGTGATAGAAACGGGTGTGGGGGGCATAAGCTGGAGATTCGGTTCCAAGCATAATATATTAATATCTCACCAATATTGAGTATACTGAAACATTAATCAGCTGGCGACCGAGAACAGAAAAGCCGAAGAAGACGCAATGGCATCGACGACGAAAGGATAATCGATCGATCGAAATGGAGACGGCAGAGAACTGTTCTTGGACCATGGTGGTTGGATGAGGCCAAAGTGGCCTTCGGTAGCTGGAAGGCACATCGCCGAATTCCTGGCTCACGGTAAAGATCGTCACTGATGTCAATGACAGGCATTCGAAAGGCTGAAAAACTTCAGATGCAGCAAAGCGATGGCTTGTCGTCGTCATCTGACTCAAGCACGGGCAATGCAAAGGAAGCGGTTGTGGAGCAGTGAGATATTGTCATTCTGGCGCCTTAGAGACCTCATGCGTGTCAATTTCGTCGGCCATTCCCCTCAGACATTGTTTTGGAGACAAGTAGCTGACTAGGAAAGAAGCATGTGAGCGGAGATCCGCGATGTAGGTGGATGAGGAGATGCTGTACTGATAGACGCTCGTGACGCTGTGTCGCCATGCTACACTGCTGTTAACCTTTCATCCACACTAGCAGCGGAAAGAAGAATCGACCCTCTACGCGCTTGTAAGCTACTCTCTTTGTACCTTCTGCCATGGTATCTTCTATGAGTCGTTCGTGGATATAGAAGAGAAACTTCGGCCAACTGTCCCACGTTCCGCGGGGGACGCAGCGACGGCCTAAAAGCGGGGTAGCGGCTTCCCTTGCCACCAGCCTCGCTTCCTCACTCCATACATTTCACCGCTCGCAAAAGCGCCTAGACCTGTTATGTTAGGTACATGCGAAGTGCAAAAAGGCGCGGCTTGTACTGATCAGTAAGATACCAATAGATCATCACTCCTTATCTTTGTCACAGCGAACATCGCAGGCTGGTAGCAAATGTCTCCACTAGCCAACGCTTAGTGCTGGTCGCCATCCGCGGGAGATATAACGTCTTTCAAGAACACTTCTTTACCGAATCCCTCAACTCGTTCCGACGTCAAATTTGCAACATGTCGACCGAAGTTGTCTCCGATACCCCGGCCTCACGCCTTACTAAGGCGGTGCCTATGCACCCACTTGCACCGCTCTCGGAAACAGAACTCACATCCGCAGCAGCGATAATCAAAGCTTCGTGGCCAGCGCACACTGACCTTCATTTCAAGGTTGTGACGCTACAGGAGCCACCAAAAGCGGAGGTCGTTCCGTACCTGGAGGCTGAGCACAATGGAACCCAGCTACCTTCAGTCAGCAGGAGAGCTTTCATAAACTATTACATTCGTAACACAGTAAGCGTACAAGCCTAATCATATTGAGCTTTAGTGACGTTTCGGCCGTGTAGAACAAGTTCCATGAAGCGATAGTTGATCTCCAATCAGGCCGTGTACTCCACAACGTTCTCCTAGGTCCTTTCGTCCACGCCAACGGTGATGGTGAAGAGATCGTGCGTATTGAGAAAATTGCGCTCGAAGATGAGGGCGTCAAAGATGCCATCGCGAAACTACAGCTTCCAGAGGGCACAGTAGTAATCAGCGACCCCTGGATCTACGGTTCCGACGGAGTCAACGATGAGGAGCGATTGTACCAATGCTTCCTATACATGCGAGACCCGCTCAATTCATCAGAAGCCGACTCGAACCATTACGCACTACCACTACCAGTCAGCCCGGTCATCACTACTGAAACCATGAAAGTCATTCGCATCGATACTTTGCCAACAGGTCCTGACAATACGATTAAGCCGCTAGGCAAATGGCCTGTTCATCCAGCAAACGAGTACATTCCAGAGCACCAGACTTTGAGGACCGACCTGAAGCCATTGAACGTGGTGCAACCAGAAGGCGCTAGTTTCTCCGTCACTCAGGAAGGGACATCTAATGTTCTGCAATGGCAAAAGTGGAAGTTTAGGGTTGGGTTCAACCAGCGAGAAGGCATGGTATTGTACGACGTGCGATACGACAACCGCAGCTTGTTCTATAGACTGAGTCTGAGCGACATGAACATTCCGTACGCCGACCCTCGACATCCCTTCCACAAGAAATCGGCCTTTGATCTTGGTGATGCTGGTGCTGGTATCATGGCCAACAATCTGAAACTAGGGTGCGACTGCCTAGGATCCATCTACTACCTCGATGCGGTATTGTCGGACGACAAAGGCGGCGTGGTTCCGATGGAGAACTGCGTATGCATCCACGAACAAGATGCTGGCATCGGCTGGAAGCACACCAATTACCGCACTGGTCGAGCAGCTGTAGCTCGCTCGCGAGAGTTGGTGCTACAGTCGATCATCACTGTTTCAAATTACGAATACATTCTGGCTTTCATCTTCAATCAAGCCGGAGAAGTCAATTACGAGATTCGTGCAACCGGTATATTGAGCACACAACCAATCGATGAAGGTGTAGAGGTACCATTCGGTACTGTTGTTCATCCTGGCGTCCTTGCTGTCCACCACCAACATATCTTCTCACTGAGAGTGGACCCGTTCCTGGAAGGCCAGAACAATCGACTAGTCTACGATGAAGCATTCGCTATGCCACGATCCGATTTCAACCCCCACGGCACGGGTTACTACGTGAAAGAGACAGTCGTCGAGCAATCAGGCGGCTACGACATCGACTATGACAACAATCGCACTTTCAAGATCCAGAACGTGAACAAACGCAACCCTGTCAATGGCAAGCCCATGGCGTACAAGATCCAAGCACCGCCGTTCCAGAAGATCTTGTCAGACAAAGACAGCTTCAACTACAAGCGCGCGGAGTTTTCAGACCACAACATCTACGTTGTGAAGTATCGTGACGATGAGCTGTACGCTGGTGGTAAATATACCAACCAGAGCAGAGGAGGCACAGGTGTTAGGGCATGGGCAGACCGCAAAGAAAACGTGAAGGATGATGACTTTGTCCTGTACATTCAGGCGGGTATCAACCACATACCGCGAATTGAGGTGAGTTTACGCGGCCTGTTTCTTTGAGACGCCCCTGACTTCGGATAGGACTTCCCTGTGATGCCGTGCGAGATCTTGAAGATCCACATGAAGCCCGTAAACTTTTTCGACAAGGCAAGTCTCCTCGATTACCCCTGCATATGAGTGAAAACTGATTGTGTACCCACAGAATCCGGCACTGGACGTACCACCGAGCGAGCAGAGTTTCAACAAGAGTACCTTGGTAAGCGAGCAGCATCACCAGCCTACAACAGAGGCGGTTGTTGGGCAAGGAGGTGCGTGCTGCGGGCCTAAACTGTAGACGATGTCCTAGAAAAGGCAGAAAGCATGCTGCGTAGATACCTGAAAGCTAGATTTTTCTGTGAGATACAAATTGTATGCATGCCAAATGCCGTGTCATCTCCAGTGAATCGACTATGGATCAGGGAGGCTCTTTCAGAGGGAGGTAGCATGCTAACCGATTTGGGCTAAGAACTGCATCAATGTGGCCCGAGCTTCGACGCGGTCGTCGCTCAATCGCATCTCATCGTGAACTTCAAAGAACCTCTCACAACTGCCACCACACACAACCGTCGCCATGGCACCCAACGACAAGGCCGGTCGCGTTGTGTTTATTGGTAACATTCCCTATGGTAAGTCGAATCTAATGGTCGTGCAGCGGCGCTGCCCTTCACTTGTCCTGCCCTCGTGCGCAACAGTTAACGCTTCGCAGGCGGCAATGAGGAAATCATCATAGAGACGCTGGGCCGCGTTGGCCAAGTCCTTAACTTCCGGCTCGTCTACGACAAGGAAACTGGCCGACCCAAGGGGTTTGGCTTCGCAGAGTTCGCAGACAGCGATTCAGCAGCCTCCGCAGTTCGCAACCTGAACGACCATGAGTTGATGGGAAGGAAACTGCGGGTGGATTGGTCGAACGACAATGGCGCTGGCGACAACGCGCCCGCGAACAACTCGGCACCAGTCAATGGACAGCTAGACGTTGCTGCTGCAGCAGCACCACAGTCCTCCGCGCTCCCTCCGCTCCCACCTGGCGCCGAGCTCCAGCCCAACCTTTCGTGTCCAGATTCGATATCTCTCACACTCAACACTCTTCCTCCACCGCAGCTGCTCGACATCATTTCTCAGATGAAGGGTCTGGTCATGACCGAGCCCGCAAAGGCTACGGAGGTTTTCAGGCAGGCACCACAACTCGCCTACGCGATATTTCAGGCACTTCTGCTCTTAAATCTTGTCGATACCAACGTCCTCGGCTCGCTCATCGATCCGGCCCCTCCAGCGGCAGCAGCTCCTCCGCCGCAACCACAACCACCTGCACCGCAGCCCGCTCGGCCACCGCAAAGCTATTCCGGTTACACTCCTCAGCCTGTCCCAACACCGCCGCAAGTAGTGCAGCAACCGTATGGCCAGCCGCCTCAGCCAGCCCAACTGGCTTTGTCTCCGGAACAGCTCGCAGCGTACCAGCAAGTCATGGCATTGACTCAGCAGCAAATCGATTCCTTAGATCCGGCGTCGCGTGCGCAGATTATGGCGCTGAGGCAACAGTTCGCCGCGTTGGCCGGTGGTCGCGTATAAGGATACGACTTCATACGGGTAGTGTGTAAAAATATTCACCAAACGACTTGAAGCGATGGGTCCAGCGGGCTATGCATTCTGTATCATATGGCGTCACAGGTTACGGAGGACATTCTAGATAACAGCGCGGAGTTTGGGCTGGGAAATTGTCTCTTTCGGGCGCTGTCCTCGGATGGGGTTGATCTTGGGCAAAATAGTCTACTAGTTCAAATCGGCGCTTTATGCGGCCGGCATGTCCCCTGGACAATTGATGAGTTGGCGCAGGTTGCACAACATTGCGCGTCTTTCCCAGTGCCAGCAGTCACCTGATAATTACCAAGGTCCTCCACTTGCCCAACAATCGGAAAGATGATTCAAATTCGATTTTGGTCCTCGACGGCTGTCGGTGTTGTTGGAACAAGCTTCCCGCCTGGAATGATCCATCACAGTAGAGTGAGGCTAGCGGGACCCAGTGCATAGTGATCCAGCCTTGAATGCATTCCTGTCCTTTGTCTACAACGACGGTCTTTTCCGTCTGTTTTGATGAAACATCAACAAGCGGTCAAAAAACCATGAACCACAACTGAACGCACAATTATGCCCAATTCATCTGTGTTTGCATGGCCACTGCGCCCAGACGTATCGACGTATCCACTGCGGACATGGTCATTGGCCCAGCCCCCACCCGCAGCTTGCGATCAGTTGCAGGGGCACGTAGCGCCGGTCAACCCTCACTCCAGCTCGGCTCGCCACTGAACAACAACTCAGCTATTCATCGCGCGCATAATCGAAGAGACGGTGGGCAGCTGTCGGCGTGCATATTTCGTGGCCTCTGTCTCCTTGTGCCTTTCCCTATATTGTATAATAACGACATCACGCCGTGACGACTCTCGCGCATCCGTTCTCCAGTTTCGATACCCCAGCATCCCACGTCAAGTCCACTCAAGCGACCGACCGACGAGCGTAATTTTTGCACAGCACACAGCGCATAGACAACAAGCGGTGCCCCTGTTTGAAAGTTGTAATAATGTGGACCCGACGCTCTAGCAAAGGCGATGGCGCGAAGGACCGCGACGATGAGAAGCGCAAGAGGAGCGATTCATCGGCGACGCGTCGATCGAAAACCTCGGAGTCTGTCGTCTCTTCTGCTTCCACACGGAGACCCTCGGAACGCGATCCGCGACCGAGAGCGTCTGATAGTCCCGCATCGAGCTATGCTACCTTTGCGACGGCCAGGGACGACCGCGACCGCGACGACATGAGGTCCAACGCCGACCTGTACGAGAACCCGCGCGATAGCGACGAACCCAGACGACGTCGCCGGGACGATGATGAGCGCTCGACGATATCGCGCAGAGATCGCTCGCGGAGTAGGGACCGCGGCGACAAGAACCGGAAGAAGGACAAGGACGGACGCGAAAAGAAGAAGAAGAGCCGGTCCGAGGCTGGTGGTTCCCGGCCACAAGAGATTGTAGAGGCACCGCGAACAGGGGCCCGGTCTGTTGCCGGGCAGGTTGAGAGCGGAGAGTCTTCGCGATTCCCAGAACAGAACGGACAGTACACGATGTCCGGAGGACTGCCCGCTGGCACCCTGTCATCCCATGTACACAATCAGTTCCCTGGACAGGATCCGCAGCAGTATGCGACACCCTTTATGCCCCCCGGTCCTGTGCACACCGATTCGTTTGGAGAGGCGGCAGACTACTACGGCGACCAAGGACAGTCTGTCCAGCACCAGCCCGGAGTACGGATAGAGCGTCCTTCAGTTATCATACCACAGGACCAACAGCACTTGATCACAGGTTCTGCCCAAGCCAATCCGGTCGCGGATACCGGAGCGGGCGCAGCTGCCGAATTTTACGGCACTGCAAATGCTGAACCACAACGACCCTCGAAGCCGCCGCGGCCATCTTCTATGCCCGGCGCCTTTACTGACGACGAGCCTTTACCTGCGAAACCACCAAGACCTTCTTCTAAGCCCAACAAACCAGGTAAATTGAGCTCCGCCGCTACCTTAGCAGGCGCTGCTGGACTCGGATACGCCGTTGGCCACGAGTCCTCCACCTCTCACTCCCAGCAAACCACAACACACATAAACGGCGTCTCCGGTGGTTCCGCCTCTATGTACTACCAAGGCGAAAATCCATCCACGGCGGCGACGAACGGTAGCCATAATTATAATGGGACCAACTACAATGGGACCAGCAGCTACATTCCCACTTACACCGAAGCGATGGAAGGCATTCCCCCACCGAAACCTCCTAGGCCTGGAAAACCCGAGAAGCAGCCGTCCGGCTCATCCAATGCAGGGCTGTACACTGCAGGCGCCGCTGGACTTGCAGCGTACGGTCTAGCCCATCACAATTCACACAGCCACTCTCACACACACGATCACACTCACACACATTCCATGCCTGGAGGCTTTCCCGGAGAGCATTATGGCGTTTACGGCTCTTCTCCTAATGCTATGATGCAGCGACACGAACATCAGGGACCAGTCTCCAAATTCGCAGATTGGTGGAAGAATTATGATGATGTGCGAAAGATGGAAGAGTACACAGAGTACATTGGGGTCTGCAAGTACTGCTTTGATCCGCGATCTTCGCCCATGGATGCACCTCGTCAACATCACTACAATCGCCGGAAGCGTTCAGGCGAGCTACGCCCCTCTGGAATCAAAGAGAAGCATTCACGTTACGGCTTGCATGAGAAGGCTTCACGAACGTCATTGTCTGGCGACGAGAGGCGAGACAAGCGCAACAGCAACAGCAACAGCGCAGCTGGTTGGATTGCAGCAGGTTTGGGTGGAGTTGGTCTTGCGAAAGCTGGACAAGCACTTCTCAACCGCAACAACGACTTTGACGACACCTACAGCATCAAGTCTGGCCGTGATCCCCGTTCCCGAACGTCTCGTCGAAGCCGGAGCCGCTCACGAGAAAGCAAACACTACTCTTACGGCCGATCAGGGATCCGACACCGAAGCCCCTCGCAAGATCGCATATCGTTCATGTCTACTGGAATCACTGGCAATCGCAAGGATCATAAAGACCGCAAAGACTACAAGGTCGTTCGCCACCATGATTCGCACTCGCGGTCACGCTCACAGTCCAGGAGTCGCAAGCCTGGCATCCTGGGCGCTGCGCTTGGTGCTGGCCTGGCGGCGTCAGCTGTTGGTGCTTCGCGTAAGAAGCACGATAGCCGGAGTCGAAGTCGCTCTTCTTCGCCTGGAAACGTTGTCGTGCGGCGTCGAAGAGATAGTGGTGATCGTGAGCGAAGATATTCAAAGAATCAGCGCTTGAAGAGCAAGTCGTCCCGAAGTTCAGTTATCAGTAGCGGCGCTTCTTTTGTTGACGTTTCACGAACTCAACAAAACCAGGGAGGCTTTCTGGGCGGCTTCTTCGCTGCTCCTGCTCCCAAGGAGAAGTTCAAGGAAAAGCGCCGGAAAACCCACAGCCACTCTAAGAAGAAGAAAGGGTTCTTCAACTTTGGAAACGCATCGTCATCTTCTTCCGACTCTGACATTGCGTTTGGTGAAGGGTTTGTAAGGAGCAAGAAGCGTGCTGAGAAGCGTCCCTCGCGACGAAGTTCGGAGGAAAAGCTCAATGCCACTCTCCTCGGACTAGGCGCGACCGCCGCGGCAATTGCTGCTGCCAAGGCTGGACGTAACAAGGGTCGACATCGTCCTGAGGTTGTTGCCGTTCGCGAAAACAGGCATTCAACGCAAGGTAGGTATCGACGCCAATCCGGTGCTTCTCGCTATGGTGATTTGGATGCGGATGGCTGGGAGGATCTTCCAGATGACGGTACGTCTGATTCAGGAAGCATCAGCTCTGGTCTTGCCTTTGGCGACCATGACTTGTACAAGACTAAGAGCAGGGAGTCTCTGAACTCCAATGGTTCGGGTACCAGCAAGTGGGGTTGGCGATGGGGCAGCAAGAAGCAGAAGAAGCCTTCAACTGAAAGCTTGTACAATGCTAACGCCAACAACTCACTCATCGGTCCTGCAGTTGGTGCTGTAGCCGGAACAGCAATTGGCGCTGGGCTTCATCGACAAGACAGCAGCGCCAGCAGCATTCCTTCACTCCAATATGTGGTTCCCGTTCAGGCGCCCGCCGACCCCAATTCTTTCGATGCCAGACGCACAAGCTCTAGCGCCACGCCCCAACCGCTCATTCATTCTCAGATCGCTCCACTGAGCATCCAGCAGCCTCAGCCAATTCAAAAGGTACCTGGTTCCATCTACTCAACGCAAGCGCCACCTCAGCCTGGCTACGCCGCTCCCAGCGGGCCTCCAGTCTTTTCGCAACCTCCGTACCCTACTGCCTTCGATTCCCCGCAGCATCCAGCTCCGCCTCGCCGCGCCAATTCATCTCCAGTGCTGTCCTCTTCCTGGAAGCGTGATGCTGCCATCGCCGCTGCTGCTGGCGGACTCGCCGGCGCTGCGATCTCTTCTTTGAAGAACCCGGATCGCCCTCCTAGCTCTCAATCTAATGTGCGTTTTGGCTTCACCGAAGATCAAGCGCGCAAAGAGCGGGAGCGCATGAAGAGCCACGACGATGAAGAGGACGAGCGGCGCCGCCGCCTTGACGAAACAGAGCGCAGGGAAGAGGAACGCCGTAGGCGTGAGCTACAACGCCAACAAGAGGAGGCGAGAATCTATCGAGAGGCTGAGCAGGCGAAGCAAGAGGCTGAAATTGCTCGCCAGGAAGCCGAGCGCCGCCGCGAGCAAGAAGCAAATGAGCGCCGGGAACAGGAGGAACGCATTGCTCGCAGGGCCAGGGAGAAAGCCGAGGAGCAGGAGCGCCGTCAGCAAGAAAATCGTGCTGCTGAGCAACGCGAGCGCGAACTCAGGCTTGAAGAAGAGCAGAAGCGCCAGGAACGCATCGAACAAGAACGCCGGATGGAAGAGCAGCGAAAGCGCGATCGCGAACTGGAAGAAGAGCTTGAGCGGAAGCGCCGGGAACGTAAGCGCGACCTCGACTTCGAAGAGGAGCAAAAGCGACGAGAACGTCGAGAGGCGGATCGACGAGCCGCTGAGCAACGGGAGGCTGAGCAGCGTGAAGCTGATATCCAGCAAGACTTGGAACGCCGGCGGCGAGAGCGCGAGGCAGAAGAATACTCAAGCCGATATGAGAGTGACCGAGAGCGCCGCGCTCTTGAGCAGCAACGTACTGGCAGCTCTGTTGCTAGCGATGTTCGACGCAAAGAACAAGAGCTCGAAGAGCGGGAGCGGGACATTGTGCAGCCAGATGTCTGGAAGAAGCCTGCCGCTGCTGCTACGGCTGCTGTAGCTGCTGCTGCGATCACGAGCGCTGCCATCTCGTCTTCGAAACACGATGATCGCCGCAGCAAGAAGAATGAGCCGTCTTCAAGACGCGATGACCGCCGCACCAAGACGATCGAGCCACCTTTGGTCAAGACCATAGAGCCAGCGGCGGTTAAGACAATCGCACCAAGCAATGTTGCTGTGGACTACGCGGACGATGACATTTTCAACCCCGACATATTTAAGAGGAGCAGAGCTTCTCCAATCCGGGAACCTGGAAGCGCGCAAGAGGTTCTTCAAGAGTGGGAGGACCGATACACTTCCAAGCATGACCCGGTGTCGCAGGCAGACTTCTTCGCCCCGAAGGAACTGCTCAACAAGACTTCAGCTCCCGTGGCTAAGGTTGACCCGAACGAAGGAGCTCCTGATCTTCACATTTATCGAGCCCACGATGATCATGACTTCGGCCCGCCACGACGCCCGCCTTACCCTACTTCGTACTCGTTCACAGCGACCAAAGACGGCCGCGGACCAGTGAACGTGCCTTATCAGGTCCCTGAGCTTAATCTCATTCAGCCCACCCCTCCTGGAAGTCGGGCACCCACACCACGCACTGCGTCGATTCCTCCCTCGCCTGCTGTCGAGCCTGTGCCAGAGCCGAAGAAAGAAGAATCTAAGCAGGACGAAGCAAATCGGCGGGGCTCAAGGGTTAGCTGGGGCGCGAATCAGTTCCACAACTACGAAGTCCTTACGCCAGACTCTTATCGCGAGCAATTCGTCTCTGACCGTGATGTCGATCAGTATTCGAGACAATCTCAAGACGAAATCTACGTCGAAGCAGAATCTCCTCAGTCTGGAAAACAGTACACAGCGTACCGGCCGGAGGAGCCAAGACTTCCCGAACCTGAAGTGCCCGCCAGCACGCAGTATGTGCCTGACCAGGACAACGACGATTGGAGCGGTACCATGTCAAAGAAGGCTAGCAAGAAGGACAAGAAGAAGGCCAAAGCTGCCGCTGCCGCCGCAACCGCCACGGCAGCAGCAGTGACAGCTGCAGCACTCTCTTCACGGGACGATGATAGACAAGTTCTTCCACGGCACGACACTGACAACATGTCTATCATGACCGACCCTTTCGCTGATAAGTATGCTGCTTCTACTATATCTGCGGCTCCTTCGACTATGAGCACCTGGTCGACTCCGTTCTCCGAGTCCGCCTCTGATGTCACGGTCATCCCGGCCAAGCCCCAGGGTCCCATTGTGCGCGAGATCACTTCGGAGCCAGAGTCGATGCATATGCCAGGCAGTTTCGACGAATCTGCGCCAGCAACGGAAACGCCTATAGAAGACGAATGGACTGCTCCTAGCAAGAAGGATAAGAAAGGTAAGAAGAAGTCGAAGAGCACTGACAAGGACACCGTCGCGGACCCCCAACCACCCAGGACAATCGAACCGACATGGGGACCTGAGCCAGAGCCTGAAAGGAAGGTCGTAGCTGAGTCAGAGAGCAAGCTGAGCAAGAAGGACAAGAAGAAGAAAAAGTCGTCCATGAGCTATGACGACTACGACTACACTGATCCTCGAGACACGCCCATCACGGTCATCCCTGAACCTGAGCCTGTGATCGTTGATGAACGCAGGTCGGAACCGGGGATACCTGCAGAAGATGACTGGGCTGTTCCTGCTAAGCTAAGCAAGAAAGACAAGAAGAAGTCGAAAGGAGCTGCAGAGGAATTCTTCGGTCAGCCTTCGTCAAGCGCGATCAACAAACGCATAGTGCCTGAGCCTGAACCCGTCGTTGAACCGTTACGAGAGCCTGAGCCAGAGAAGCCAGCAGACGACGAGTGGACCACGTCTGCTAAGCTTAGCAAGAAGGACAAGAAGAAAGCTAAGAAGGCCTCTAAGAAAGGCAGCATCGACAACGTCGATGATAGTGATACCAGCCCACTTTCTACACCCATGGTTGAACGCGACCCAAGAGATGTTGGCTCGACTTTCACAGGTGGTGTCTCGCTGGATGACTCTCGAGGAAGCGGAAGCTCAAGCAGTGCGACCAATGCTGCCATGGCAGGTGGCTTCGCCACGCTTGTAGGCGCTGCCATGAAGCAAGATCAGGACCGAATTGCCTCAGACTTCGAACAGGCCCGGGAAAGCATGGAACAAGCACGGTCTCTCCCTAGCACGGCCTTCAATGACGTAGAAGAGCTGGGCGACGTCAAGACACCTAAGAAGAAGAAAAGGGTATCGAGTGGCAGGTGGTCTCCGACCATAGGCTCTCCACTACGCTCTGAGGTCCAATACGACGATTACGTCGGTTCTCTCGTTAGGCGTCCTAATTCAGACGCCGCTATCAGGGAGGCTCCAAAACAGGTTCCAACCGATCTCGGGCTGAGCCATGTCTTCCCTGCGACAGTCCGAGATGTCAAGGATTCTGGATATTTTGCACCAGACGATCCTGTTCAAGAAAAACCCGCCGATCGCGACTCAGACGAGTTCTTCTCGGCAGGCTCAGACGAGCAACAGTCGGCTAAAGACAAATCACCTCCATCTGACAAGTACTCTGATCGTGAGAAATCATCTCTCGTATCGCCACCTAAGAAGTACGATGATGATGATTTCGACCGCGAAGAGCGACACCACCGTGTCCGCCATGAGACTCGCTCTCGCTCCCAGAGCCGGAATCGTGGCTACGAGCTGGATAACGGTGATTCGCCAAGCAAACGAAGGCACCACCGTAGGCGCGAAACAGATGAACGTTCGGACGATTGGGACTCTCGATCGATGATTTCCGAAGCGCGATCGGAGGCCACGGGTGAACGGCGTCGCAAGCACAGACATCGTGAAAGCGACCGCACTCGCTCACCGGAAGAATATCGTCGCTCAGCTGCTAGATCTGAACCGGGAGATATCGAGGACGAGCGCAAATCTCACAGACGTCGATCAAAACGGGACGACGATGACAACATGTCTGTTATATCCTCGCCGGCACGCTACGATGAGGAGAAGACTTCGAAGAAGGATAAGGAAAAGAAGTCATCTGGGTTATTTGGTTTGTTTAGCAGGTCGAAGGAAAATCTGGCGGAGACCTCCAGCAAATCTTCTAAGTTGAGAGAGGACGAAGAAGACGGGGAGCGTAGGCGCCGCAGGAAGAAGCATAGGGAAGGCTCGGCATATGGCTCTGACGACGACGATGCGCGATCCACCATCTCGTCGTCCAGTCGCCGTGAGAAGTCGCGGAGGAGTCGCACTGACAGTTGGGACGAAAAGGTATAGCACACTTTCTACTCGTTGTACTATTCTCCATCATGTATTATAGACGTTAATATACTGGGTGTTAGGAACGCTCCTCCCGATCACGCAATGACGACGAAGACCAGGCTTTTTTAGACGATCGGGCAGTGGCAGCCACACCACTGCCCGCAGGTGAGACTGCCGCTCGCACTGAAGAACCGCAGGATAGTGGCATGCCTGGCGAGAACCCTGATCGTTCTCTTCCCGTCCTCGACACCGCATCCGCCTCCCACACAGAGGCGCGAGATGTCGAACCTCCTACTACACCTACATTCGATGACCCTCGCGAGTTCTTGACCAAGCTTACTGGCCTGCAACCGTGGCAGCTGGAAGCGTTTCCTGATGAGCTACCTCCACTACCCGTCAGCAGACCAACAAGCCCTCTGCTACAGACCCCGGAAGCATCAAGAAGCCCTCTCAACGAGCGAAGACTATCATCCACATCCGTGCCTATCCGCTTTCGCCGGCCTCCAGGGAGTCCGAGCACAACACGCGACGACCTTAAAGTGGACTTGAAGAACGCTTCCAGCCCTGGTACCTCGCCACTCCGACCACCAGGCCCTCGACATGCGAAGTCGCATTCCGGCGAGTTCGTCCACTCGCGCGAGTACAGACCGCTGTACCTCGTGGAGCGCAACCGCAAGTCTCCCGAGACTATTGAAGAGGTGCTTCCAGCTCTGCCTTCAAGTGGAAGCCCGTCGCGAGCATCGTCGACCAGCGGGACAGAAGACGAGTATCAGTCAGCCTACGAGTCGGCACACGGGTCATCACCCAGCGCCAGTGTCAGCGACGCTTTCGAAGATGCGTTCGCAGACCCGTTCAACTTTGCGGCGCCTTCTTACCATGCACCTGGACCTGAAGTGCAGCATCTCGAGCTTGCGGATCGCGAGATAGAGGAGTTGACAGAGTCGCAGCAGACTACGCCTAAGGCTTCGTCGTTCCCGGCTGGTGTGCTGGATTTCAGGAGGGATGAAGCGACGTTGCCGGCTGAGGATCTGTCTGCTAGGCTGGAGCAAATGCAGCATGGAGAGGCGAAGGGCCTCGGTTTGTCGATGGATGAGCCTGCTGTTCCGCTTGCTTCTTTATCGTCACGGGTGCCCGATCAATTCCCCGGACATGATAATGCCCGCTTTGCTACTCCTTTCATGCCTCAAGGTTTCCTGCCTGCTGCTCCTTTGGCCCCAAGCGCACCCATTGACGACGTGCACTCGCGAGATTTCTCTACATCTCGCAGCAGAGACCCTTCAGCATCCCAGACATCCTCACGTCTACAAGATGCTGCTCTCGGTGCCCTGGTGGGAGGTGCCGCCGCGGCCGTTCTCGGCCATCGCTCGCCAACACCTAAAGCATTCGAAGACGACTTTATGGGCGGCGAACCCGATCAGGACACCATCGACGCCCTCGCGACGGAGTCCGCACCAGCACCAGCACCTGAGCCGGAGGAGTCCAAGCGCCCCGCCCTCGTGCGCGCTCCTTCCTCCACCTCCAATAAAACCAAGAAAGGCAAAAAAGGCTCCAAAGGAAAGAGCATCGACTTGGGCACCGAACCACCCAAGGAACTCACCGCGGAAGCCTATGCCAAGATCCGTGAAGACGATGCTGCGGATGCGGTGGATGGGTGGTTCAGCGCGCCTGTGCAGGAGCCTAAAGTTGTTGAGGAGGAGAAACCTGCGGTGGTCGAGGTCAAGCAGCCAGAGCCTAGTCCGGAGCTGCTCAGGAGGGAGAGCAAAGGGAAGGGCAAGGCGAAGAAGAAGAAGGGCAAGAAGGGTAGTGTCTCTGAGGTGGAGACGCCCGCCGAGGAAACTTTCCACCCTGAACTGCCCGATGAAACCAAGAATGTCGAGGAGGCTGCTCTACCCAATTCGTCTAGGGACGCAGCTGAACTTTATCTCCCCAGCTCCTCGAAGGATGTACCGAAGCCACAAGACACAGGCTACGTTCCGGGCTCCTCCTCGTTTTTCATCCCTACCTTCAACGACAATGAAGACGCTTGGGACCGACCTCTCGGCGAAGACGACGCCACGCTCGTCGGCGAAGGCGCCGGTGTATCCCCCGAGATGCTGTCCAAGGAGTTCCGCCGCCAGAAACTGCTCGATCACACGGTGCCGCGGGGCAATGACGAGATCGCTGTGCAGCGCGCGGTTATCGGGTACGGCGATGATAGTCCGCTGGCGAAGGAAATGCTGGCTAGTAAGCTGGATCAATTCGAACAACCCCCTGTGCCGAAACAGAGCAGTACGCTGTCGCTTGTCGCGCCGACGAGTATTGCAATTGAGCCTATCGCGCACGAGCCCTCGCCCGAGCCCTCGCCCTCACCAACGACGACCGAAGCCGTTGAAGACGTCGTTTCTTCGTCTAAGAATAAGAAAGACAAGAAAAAGGGCAAAAAAGGGAAGCGCGGTAGCCAGATCATCGAAGCCGAGCCTGCTACACTTCCCTCCGAGCCAGAGACAAAGACAGATGCAGATACGATACTACCTGCTGCGTTGTCGACCGCCGAACTCGTCGAGCAGGACGTTCTCAAGCCCGCGTTCGAAGAGGTGCCCACTGCGGAAGAATCCAAACCTTCGTACGACGCAGGCGATGTATCGCAATACCTCGTTCCGTCATCCAGTTCTCCTTCACGCGCGACTACGCCCATCCCATCCACTCTCCCTTCCACACTCCAGGAGTCGAAAGAAGTTGCCGAACCCGCGACCGCAGCCACGGACAAGAAAGCTAAATCTAAGAAGAAGGAGTCATCGCCTGAAGCTACGCCCGGGTGGGGCAAGAGCTTGTTCGGGGCCCTGGGCTGGGGAAAGAAGAAGGCGACTGCTTCTGAGGCGAAGGGGGTGGCTAAGGTGATGCCTGCTGAGGAGGTTGTAGAGCCTAGGTTACCAGCCCCTGGCGTTGGGGAAAGGAGCGCTGGAGCACCTGAGGTAGCTGGGGGAGGTGTTGAACAGTCGAAATCTATCTCCGAGGTGTACGATGCTGGCGATGTGTCTCAGTATCTTGTCGCTGGTTCAGGGGATGCTACGCCTGAGCGCGTGGAGACGCCTAAGGTTGAGAGGGGGGTTCAAGAGAAGGCTGAAGATGTCATTTCGGAACCTGCGGTCGAGATATCCACAGGAGCTGCAGCCCAGTACCTTGTCGCTGGTTCAGGGGATGCTACGCCTGAGCGCGTGGAGACGCCTAAGGTTGAGAGGGGGATTCAAGAGAAGGCTGAAGATGTCGTTTCGGAACCTGCGGTCGAAAGGTCGATCCAAGAGAAGCCTGAAAAGCTTGTTTCGGGACCCGCGGTCGAACCATCCACCGAAGATGCAGCTCCGTTGGAAACCATGCCCGAACCTTCTACACCCATCGAAGGAGACGAGTTTAGACTGTCGAAGAAAGACAAGAAGAAGGCGAAAAAGGGGAAGGCTAAGCGCGGCAGTCTTGCGGTGTCTGAAGCGGCTGAGCCTGAGGCTGCTGTTGGCTTTTCTCCTGCGGAGGATGATAAGATTGTGGAGAAGAAGCTTGTAGAGAGCGACGAGGTGCCGGAGGAGCGCATATCGTTGGAAGAACCGACGTCTGCTGTACGTGCAGAGTCAGAAGCACCTTCCGAGCGCGTTGCCGATGGCTCGCGTACACTCGGCGTGAGCGAGGAAATGCAACCGACCACAGCATCCGCGCAAGACAGGCCAATTGAAATTGTCCCAACGCTTGCTGAAGCTGAAAGTCTTTCTAATGAAAAGCCCGCGGAAGAGCTACCCACCGCCATGGAGCAGCCAATCGAAGACGAATCGACACCTCTATCGAAGAAAGACAAGAAGAAGCGGAAGAAGAGCAAGTCGGTCAGCTTCGTTGACACGATCGAGCCTAGCACCGCGGACGTCTTCGAAGAACAGAAGGAGCAAGAAAGGTCCCAGGCTGAGCCTGAAGCTTCCCATCAAGGCATGCCCAGTGAGGAAGTCCCGGCTCCGATCGACACATCGGCTGAGGATGATGTCACTGCTCCTCTTTCTAAGAAAGACAAAAAGCGAAAGAAGAGCAAGTCGGTCAGCTTCGACGACACCATCGAGCCTAGCACTGCGGATGTTGCTGAAGAGCAGAAGGAGCTCGAGCCTGAAACTTCCTCTCAAGACAAGCCCAGCGAGGAAGACCTGGCTCCGGTCGAGACACCATCTGAGGATGATGTCACTGCTTCTCTTTCCAAGAAAGACAAGAAGAAGGAGAAGAAGGCTAAGAAGGTAGCCAAAGATGCTTCTGTCGGTGATGACGAGCCCTCTATAATCCCTCCGACTGCTGGGTCTGCGACCGAGACCGTCACTCCAATTTTCAGGGAGCAGCCTAGGGAGCTTGGCCTGCCTGCTGGGCCGTTGCAGGATGAGCGCGAAGTCCTTGCCACTGATCAATTCCTTGAGGGAGCTTCAACACCTATGCAAATCGAATCTGAAGTGCCCAGCGAAGACAAGCATCTCGACGCAGCCGCCACGCCGATTCAAGAGCAAACCGAGGATGAGGGGGCAGCGCCTCTTTCTAAGAAAGAGAAGAAGAAGAGCAAGAAGGGAAAGCAAACGGCTGCTGAGCCTATCGTCGCCGAAACGACCGAGGAGCAGAAAGACGATGATACGCTTGTCAAGGTGAATGTGCCAGAACCCGCTGCAACGGATCTTCCTGCGGACCAAGACAAGGCTGAGATAACTACCGAGCCTGCTCAGATCGAGCCTATTACGACTACAGAAGAGAAGCCAGCCGATGACTCTTCTATTCGAGCGGACCCTTCACGCGAAGAGATCTCCACATCTGTAGAAACGCCTGTTGAGGAAGAGTCGACAGCTCTCTTCAAGAAGGACAAGAAAAAGGCCAAGAAAGCAGGAAAACGTGGTTCTGTCATCGATGTTGAACCTAGCACTACAGAAACCGCAGAGACCAAGCTACCTGTGGAGCCGAGCCAAGTCGAATCTTCTACCGTCACTGAGGACAAGCCAGCGGAGGAACTGCCCAGGGCCACCGACACGCCAATAGAAGATGTTCCAATGCCCACGGAACCTTCTCTTGAGGAGGAGCCTACCGTGCCTCTGTCCAAGAAAGACAGGAAAAAGAAGAAGGGCAAGAAGGGCGAATCTGTTGACGCTGATCCTAGCACCACAGAGACCGTTGAAGAGGCAGACACTAAGCTCCCTGTGGAGCACGCCCAAGTTGAGCCTGCCATCACAGAGTCTCTCGATGAGCATAGGCCCGATGTCCCTTCTGAGACTGTATCAACTGAGCTAGCCGACTCCTCTAGAGATCAGCCACCTGAAGAGCTTCCTACCCCCGCAGAAATCCAGGTCGAGGACAAGGCACCGGAAGATTCTACTACACCCGGTGACACTCAAGTCGAAGACGAACCGACGACGCCTCTCTCCCAGAAAGCGAAAAAGAAGAAGGCGAAGAAGGGCAAATCAGTTGATATCGAGCCGGTTGCGACTTCCACTGCCATCGAGGAGCCCGGAGAAACCTCTAACGACCAACATGCTCCCTCCGCGGCGATTGAAGAGCAGAAACAACCTGACGTCACCGAAACATCTGCCATCGACTCGCAGGAGGCGTTAGAACCATCAGATCCCTCACCAATCGAGTCTAGCGTGCACGTGTCCGCCGCTGATCTAGACGCGCCCGTGCACAGCGAGCCTGTGGAGAAACCTGCAGAGGCTTTGGCACCCGTGGAAGACGATGAGTGGGCGATGCCTTCGAAGAAAGACAAGAAGAAGAAGGGCAAGAAGGCGAATGCGGATGATGTGCAGCCGGCTGTTCCTGCTTCTGATGTTGTCGAGAAGGAGCTTGAGCCGCTTGCTGAGTCGCAGACTTCTGTGGTCGAAAAGACCGTCGATGTTGCTTCAAGCGCAGCTGCTGAGGCTTTGCAGGAGCCCATCGCGACAGAGCAGGTTGCTGAACCTGCGACTCCTGAGCCTACACATGATCAAAGTAGTCGCGATGTCCCAGAGCTCACTGAGTCTGCTCCTGCCACAGCTACCGAGCCAACTGCTGATGAGAGTGTCACGGCTACTTCTTCGAAGAAAAGCAAAAAGAAGAAGGGTAAGAAAGGATCGATTACCCTGGATGTTGAGCCTAAGACACCTGCTACGCCGACCACGGAAGAGCCCACTATTGAGGAAAGCAAGGCACGTGAAGTTGCGGAGGAGGTATCGCAACCTTCGGATACCATCACACCCATCGAACAACACGATGTGAAGCCTTCGGACACCACTGAGGGTAACCCCCTCGTAGATGACAAGTCCGTGGCTGCTGCTGCGGAGCCTGCTCTGAACGACGTCCCTGTTGATCATAAGACCACACCTCAACCTTTCGAGCCGGTCGAGGACGAAGAGGCTGGATTGTCAAAGAGAGACAAGAAAAAGGCAAAGAAGGCGAAGGCTAGACAGTCAGGTACAGTCACACCTGTTGTACCTGAAACCGAGCTCGACGGTCGTGGAGTTGCTGCTGAAGACAATGTTGCTACACCCGTCGCGCATGTGGACGTTCAAGATGCTTTTCAAGAAATTCCCGCTGGGCCAAAGATAATTTCACAGGATGTCTCCACTGAGCCTGAAACTGAGACAGCCTCTTCAGAAGTCCCTGCTGTGACTGAGGTTCAGCCTCCGCTTGATGAGTCGAACGCCGAACAGGAACCTTCTGCATCGCTTTCGAAGAAGGACAAGAAGAAGGCTAAGAAGACGGCGATGAAGGGTCCCAGTGAGACGGAAACGTCGCCAGTGTCTACACCTAGTGAAAAGGTGCCACCGCCCGTTGAGCAGACCGTCTTCGACACAACGACTGTCTCTGAACCGCAAGACATCGCCCGGCCGGACGAATCTCTTCAGCGAGAAGCCACTAATCTTGAACAATCAGCTTCGGAATCCACTACACTCGAACAACCAGTTTCAGAACCCACCATCCTCGAGCAACCAGCTTCAGAAGTTCAGCCGGAAACACCTTCCGTTGAGCCAGAGACGGAGCAGAAGGAGGTTGAGGACGCCACTCTATCCAAGAAAGACAAGAAGAAAAAGAAGAAGAGCAAGAGCGTCTCTGTTGTCGAAAGCGAGGCCACGACTCCCACTCAAGAGGTTCCAGAGCCTGTACTGGAGGCGCAATCGTCCGAGCCTCAGACCGAATCACTTTCAGCCGAGCCCGCGCCAGCGAAGACTGAGAATGTGTTGGAAGAGAAGCCCGGGTTCCAGGCTGCGGAAACAGCCGTCCAAGAGCTTCCGAAGAGCGTCTGGGTCGACTACGTTCCCCCTCCAGCTCCAGCCAAAGAGACTGCTACGGCGAGAAAGAAGAGGCTGGCAAGGGAGAAGAAGGAGAAGGAAAAGTGGGAGGAGGAGCAACGCGAGCGGATTGCTCGTGAACAAAGGGAGTGGGCGGAAGCGGCTGAGAAGGCTCGTGCTGCTGAAGTGCCCAGTCAATCATCGCTCGAAGCCGCCGTTGAGGAAGTCAAGGAATCGCAAGTGGTGGAGCAGCCCGCTGGGCCTATATCTGAAGCAAATACCGTGGACCAAGCAGCACCTCTATCGCCAGCCGGTGATGAGGACAAAGACAAATCCTCCACTCCGACGTCCACTGTCGAAGAGCCAACTATCGAATCGATTCAAGAAGGGATTGAGGGAGCGCCGCTTTCGAAGAAAGATAAGAAGAAAGCTAAGAAAGTGAAGCGTGAGTCTGTCGTCGAAGACAGCGAGCCCTCAACCCCAACACTGCCCGAGGAGCAAGCCAAGGAAGTACCTTCGGACGACCAAGTCCCTGTGACACCACAACCAGAGACAGAAACCCGAGACGATCTTATAACGCCAGCTCTTGATATCGTGAGGGACGAAGCGACACCCTCTTCAACTTTGCCCGTAGACGAGACTCTCGAGACCGAACAGACGCCGATCGTGAATACCAAGGATGAGCCTGTTCGGGAAGATGTAGCTGCCGCACCACTGTCCAAGAAAGACAGGAAGAAGGCCAAGAAAGCAGGAAAACGTGGTTCTGTCATTGACAGCGAGCCCTCTACGACTCCCGGGACGCCGATCGAGGAAGCCAAAGACCCCCTCTTGGTCGATCCACTGCCGCCTCCAGATCCAGATCCGCCTGCCAACGAGACGCCTGCCCCCGAAACGCTCGCCCCCGAAGAGCCCAGTGCGCAACCTGAGCAAGTCGAACTCACTGCGCCACTCTCCAAGAAGGACAAGAAGAAGGCAAAGAAGGCGAAACGCGGATCACTCGTCCAAGAGGAGCCTGCCGAGTCGCAGGAACCCGATGCTTTTTTAGCGTCTGAGACGGGTGAGCGTCTCGTTGGTGATGCAGAGCGCCACGAAGGTGGGGCTGCAGACACCATACAAGCCGAGCAGGCTATTGGAAGGTTTTTGGAAGAACCGCTCGCTGAGGAACCTATGGTAGATACGTCGATCGAGGTGGAACAGGGACTGGGACCGGAAGCCATTCAGGCTGAGCCGATAAGCTCGACAACTGTCAAAGATCATGTGGCTGCGCCTGTGCTGGATGGGCTGAAGGAACATCCCGAGGAAAGTCCGATTGTTTCCGCACCAGATGACACTCAGGAATCTCCCGAAGATGAATGGGCGTTTACATCGACAAAGAAAGAGAAGAAGGGCAAGAAGGGGAAGAAGCGAGAGTCTATTGCTGAGGCTGCACCTGAGCCTCCGACCGAGACTGATGTCGCCCTGGCGCATATTCCTGCTTCTGAAACTCTGGTCAAGCCAACCCACGATGACCCCCGTCCTACGTCCGAAACAGTGGCCGAATCAATTGCTGAACCAAATCCCTTAAGCCTACTTGAGCCCGAAGTCCAAGCCATTGAAGGACTTGACAAGGATCTTCAAGTCGAGCCCTCCGAAGCCACCACGGCGCCGCCTGAGGAGGTCATCAACGATGAGTCGGAACTTGCGTCGTCTTCCAAGAAAAAGAAGAAGAAAGACAAGAAGGGCAAGCGCGCTTCGACCATCGAGGAGCTAACACCCGAACTTGCAACCGAGACTCCTTCGGATCAAGTCACCGAACAACAGATTGTCGAAGAGCCTTCTGCTACCGTTCCCGGTCTATCAGCAGCCATTCCCGTGGCAGAGGAGCGCGGCGAAGATCCGAAACCACACGAAGACGTACAAGTTGCTGAACCAATTGAATCCGACGTTGCCCAAACATCTCGCGATATCGTTCTGGAAATTAACAAAGATGACGAGGCACATGAGCCTAACGTGCCCGACCCAACTGAGCTTGCCCAACCTGAAGAGCCAGCAGTCGACGATAGAACGCCACCAGCTAGGCTTTCCAAAAAAGACAAGAAGAAAGCTAAGAAGAGCAAGGATCAATCTGGTACTGCTACTCCGGTACCTGAAGTCGTTACTGAGGTGCAGCCTGAGATTGTTGTGGAGTCAGCTGCTGTGCCTAGCGATCAAGTTCAGCCCGATGCTGCTGTGGAGACAACTCCCGTGGTTAGCGATGAACTTACGGCATCTGGCGATGTCTTGCAAGCAGACGATATGGCACTACCCAAAGACAAGCCTATCGAAGAGCAACCGTTTACCCTTGAAGAGTCAGCACCTGTGCAATCAGAAGAGCTTCTACTTTCGCACGTGACCGAGCCTACAGCACCGCAATTGGAGACGACGATTCCACCCCAGATTGACGACGTCCCTTCGGCCCTCGACGCGTCAAAGGAACCCCAGGAACCAGCTAAAGATGACTTTGCTAGACTTTCAAAGAAAGACAAGAAGAAGGCGAAGAAGTCGAAGGCTAGACAATCGGGTACAGCAACGCCAGTCACGGAAGATGTACCTGAGCCAACTGTTGAGGCCGAACAACCTGTCGCCACGATTGAGGACCAGCCCACTGTACCAACCGCCGAAGCGTCAGTGGATTTTGCCGTCGAACAGAAGGCCTCCGAAGTGCAGAGTGACGATGCTAGTAAAAATGCTGCACTTAAGGAATTGGTGGAACCAGAGTCCGCGCTTCTTGCCCCCGAACCCGAACAAACTGCCGAAACAGTTGCATTCCCTGAACCCGTACAACATTATGTCGATCCCTCTCCTGAACCTGAACGACCTGTGGAAGACGAGTCGGCTTCGATCTCAAAGAAGGCTAAGAAGAAGGCTAAAAAGGGCAAGGGCAAGCTTTCCGAACCCGCAACGCCCCTTGCCGAGGAACCTCCCCAGCTCGAAGCCGAAAAGAACGACCCAAGCTCGCGTACTGAGGCCTCGGCTGAGGAGCCACTCAGTGCTGCAACTAGTGCTAAGGTTGAGGAGACAAGGGAGCTCGTCCCTGAAGTTCCGCTTGAACAAGCGCCAGTGGAACCTATACGGGACATCGTTGAGAAGGACGTACCTGCCCCCGACTCTACAGAACAACGTCACCCTACTTCGACTGCGCCTGGAACCGAGGTACAGACTGAGGAAGAGTTGTCCGGATTGTCTAAGAAAGCTAAAAAGAAGGCGAAGAAGGGCAAGGGCAAGGTTTCGGAACCATCAACGCCTATCGTGGAAACCCCTCCGGAAGTCCAGGCTGAGGGGTCGAATGATGTCGTACCTGCAATTCAGGAGACTGTGGATGTTGTTTTTAGCAGTGAAGTTGCGCCTTTCCCTGAGACTGCAAAATCAAGCTCTGTGCCCGCAGGACAAGACGACAAGATGGCAGAACCCATCTCTCAACCTACACCCGAGCAGGGACAGGCCGCCATCGATGAACAGTCTCCTCTCCCAGCGAAGAAGGACAAGGAAGAGAAGAAGTCTAGCACATCATCGGTGGTTGATACCCCAGTGGAGGAGATTGCTAACGTTCTTGAAGAGCCCCACAAAGACATTGCGCCAGCTGATGTTCGGCCAGAGGTCCAAGACATTGCTACGCCTTCATTTGATACACCGGAATCTCGCGAAATTGCTGAGAATCTCAAGAGCGACGAGGCTCAAAATGTCGTCATGTCTGCCGCCAAGCAGGAAGAAGCTGACGTCGATGAGTGGGCTGCTCTACCTGCCAAGAAGAAAAAGGGCAAAAAGGGGAAGAAGTCGGGAACAGCGACACCTGTTACCGAGACGGATGCGGAACGTCAGCCCGAAGAACAGCTTGCCCCTGAACCAACTATCGAGGACACTGCGGTTGTCGACGTCGTTGAAGAGCCCGCACAGGATCTTTTGGTACAAGGACCAACAGTTGAGCAGCCCAGTGAAGCGTCACAGTCGATGGATGGAGTCGAATCCAAGGCCGAGCAGCTTCCAGAGCCGCAAACCGGGGAGCAGCCACGTGTTGAGCAGCCAATCGAAGAAGACAAAGATGCCAATGATGTTCAACCTGCCATGGAGCCCGTCGCGGAACCCGAAGATGACTGGGCAGCACCCGTCTCGAAAAAGAAGGCTAAGAAGAACAAGCGTAAAGCCTCTCTTGCTACTCCAATCACGGAAGAAGGGCCTCCACCGCCAATCGAGCCCGAATCTTCAGCACAACAAGACCTTACCTCACCGGTCATCGAAGAAGCACAGCCAACGCCAACCGAACCCGAATCTTTAAAGCAAGAGGATGTCGCCCAGAGGAAATTCGAAAATGTCATCGAACCAATTTCCTTACCTGGTGCAGAGCAAGACATACCGACAGTGGACACATCTTCTGCTCCTCCAGTCGAGGCTGATGATGAATGGGCTATCCTTGCTCCGAAGAAGAAGGGTAAGAAGGGCAAAGGCAAGAGATCCGAACCGCAAACCCCCGTCGCTGAGATGAACGAGCCTGTTCTTGAGCCCGTTGACACCACTCGCGAAGTCCCCGCAGAGCTTCATCCCATCGAAGCCGACAAGGATATCGAGCTATCGCCAGCAGAGACGCCTCCTGAGCCAGTGCAGGTAGATCCGATAGAGACAGTGGAAATTGAGAAGCCTGTACTGGAGCGCAAGCTCAGCAAGAAGGAGAAAAAGGCTATGAAGAAAGCTGGAGGTTTCACTCCAGACGATGAACCTGTCGCTGAAGGCGCAGCTCCACAGGAGCAGTCACTTCCAGAGCCCTTGTCTACCCATGACAGTGCCGACCGATCTGCAGGTCCTATTATCGATATTCCTGCCGTTGAACCTCGGATTGAAGAAGCGCCGACACTCCTTAAAGATCAGTCCCTGTCAGACACTTTACCTGCGCCTGAAGCCCAGTCTCCAACCGTCGATAATGTAGCAGAGTCTATCAAACAACCCAGCGACTCTCTGCCGAAGGATGAGGAGGTGGACGACGAATGGTCCAATTTTGCACCGAAGAAGGGTAAGAAAGGGAAGAAAAACAAGAAGGCTAAGGATATTGAAGAGGTCGAGTCACAGATCCATGATCCAGTCGACCTGCCCAAGGAAAGTGTGAGGGAGCCCACCATCATTTCCGATGACCAGAAGGAATCGTTCGACTTCCCCATCATATCACAGCCTTCAGACAACAACCGTGAGCTCGCGGATGACCCGATTGCGAAGTCCAATCTTGGCAAAACCGCACCTCAGCTGTCGACAGAACCTGCCCAAGAAGGCCTTCACCAGCCTGCAACTGAGGCTGAAACTTCTCGTGAGGCGCCAACTACCACACTCGAGAGAGCCCCAGAACCCATGGAGCCTGTTGTCGATGATGAATGGGCACCCATTAGTCGCAAAGCTTCCAAGAAGGACAAGAAGAAGGGGAAGAAAGCCAAAGACACAACTTCTGAGGAAGTCCAGGCTATTATCGAGCCGATCATTCCTGCTACCGTAGAACCTGAACAGCAGACCGAATCGCCTTCCGCCATCGAGCCTGAACCGCAGCTCGAAAAGGCTGTTGAGATATTGCCCACCGAACCGGCTACGGAGCAAGTAGATCTAACCGAGGATGCACCGAAGGAGGAGCAAGACGATGATTGGGCCCTTTCTTCCAAGAAGTCAAAGAAAGATAAGAAGAAGGGAAAGAAGAGCAAATCTACTTCAGAAGCAGCCACGCCTATCATTGAGAAGGAATTCGAGCTACTTCCCGAGCCTGTGGCTGCAGATGCTCTTACCACTTCAACCGACGAAGAGCTCAAACGTGACGAACAACTTCCTTCCTCCGAGCAGCCAATAAGCGAAACGCTTCCTGAGCCTCTTGCTCCACGTATTCCCGAGGATGTGTCTGCTACGAGCGCAATCGAGCAATTCACTATCGATAGCCAAACATCCACTACTCAAAAACCTCCACTTGAGCCGTCTACTACTGATATCGGTGTCCCAACAGACCAAGCTGAAGCGGCCCAACTCTCACCTTCGCTTCAAGCAGTCCTGGATGAACTTACTGACTTCAAACAACGTTCTGAAGCCCTTGATCGACAATTGACGGAGGATGACGCTCCTGAACCTTCCGCTTCGAAACCTCCATCAATGTTCGACGTGGTTAGTAAGCTCAGCAAGAAAGACAAGAAGAAGGCCAAGAAAGGCAAGGCCGCTGCATCTGAACTGTCCGAACCTGTTACACCAGCCGAGCCCGAAGTCGTCATGGAGGCCAAGGACATCGCTCCTGAGCCCGTTTTCGAAGAGGAAGTACCACCACTGTCGCGCAAGCAGAGCAAGAAGGACAAGAAGAAAGCCAAGGGTGCCGCTCTTAGCTGGGATGAGCCCACTGAAGAGAGCACCTCAGCCTCGGCTTCCGAACATGTGGATACAATCAGCGAGCAGCCGGCCGAGCAGATTGAGCAACATGACGCCCCTCAGGGGGCCGCCCTATCGATGCCTTCTGTCGCTGCAGAAACCGACGTGACTCCTCCAGTGGAACAAGACGCCAAATCCATCGAAGCTCCTGCTCTGTCGCGCAAACTCAGCAAGAAAGACAAGAAGAAAGCGAAGCAGGCAGCTGCTGTGTGGGAAGAACCGAGCGAAGAGATCCCTGAGTCCATGCCTGCCTTCGAGAAGAACGATGTTATTACGCAGGACCCAGAGCCAGCTGAAGTTCCAGAAGTCAAGATGACGGAGGAACCATCGCCGGTGCAAGAGGAAGTAGGCGAAGCATCTCCCCTGACACGTGAGCTTAGCAAGAAGGATAAGAAGAAGGCGAAGCAGCAAGCTGTGCTATGGGATGAGCCGAACATTGAAGCGGAAGATCTTGCAACTGCGACCGAGGATCACAACGTTTCCACAGTGGAGCCTGGAGCCATTATCACCGATACAAATGTCCATACAGATGAAGTCCTACCTGAAAGTGTTGAAGAGGTTGAAGAGCCCAAAGAAGATGCCGCGCCACATTCCCGCAAGCTCAGCAAGAAGGAGAAGAAGAAGACCAAAACTGCAGCGCTGACTTGGGATGAACCTGTGCTTGAATCCCCGGAGTCTGCGGCCATGATCGACACTCGCGATGTCCAGCCAGTATCAACGGACCCGCAACAGCCAATTACCGGACAACAGAAATTTTCTGCCACGCAAGAGAACGAACCAGCCGAACCTGCAGTAGTCCTGTCTGAGCGAACCGTAGAGCCGGATAGTGATCTCATTACGCCTCGCGAGCCCGAAACATTGTCGTCGGTCGCACCTCCACCTGCTAGCGATGAATCGAATGTTACGCCTTCGGTTGAAGATGAACCAGCTGTTGCTCCCGCTCTGACCCGCAAACAGAGCAAGAAAGACAAGAAAAGGAAGGGCAAAGAGGCCGCATTCGAGCCTTCTGAACCTGCCACGCCAGTCGAGAAGCCGGCCGCTGCAGCCAAATCTGAGGAGCCAATACCAGCAGAAGTTGATGACTTCGCAGTCCCTTTGAGCAAGAAAGATAAGAAGAAGGGCAAGAAGAAGGCTTCTGCTTACGATAAAAATGAACCTACTACCTCCGAAGATCTGCATGTTGTGCAAGACGATAAGACTGTCGACTCGTCGATCTATGTCCAAGACGCTGATAGGGCCGAACCTACGCAAGAGCTTCCCACTGAGCCGGTGTCCCACTTCCCAACGACACCACACCGATCCATCCCTCTTGCCGATTATGAACACCAAGTACCTGAACCCAGTAACGTCGAAAACGTCGCATATCAAAGCCAGGGGCAGATGTCCGCTGCACTTGACGACTCATCGAAACTACCTGAACCTGAAGCCGAGGACGAGTGGGCACTTCCATCCAAGAAGAACAGGAAAGAGAAGCGCAAGTCAAAGAAGGTGGGAGCTGCTTTTGATGCTGAGCCAACGCAAGTCATTCAGCCAGTTTCTGAGGCGATCAACGCACCAGCGATCGAAGCAAATCCCACCGTGAACCTCCCCGAAACGACATCTTCCAGAGACGGCGGTGTCCCTGCACCTGTCCCTACTTCCACAATGGATCTATCAGAGCCGTCAATTTCCCCGAAGGCATCGAAGAAGAACAAGAAACATAAGCTTGCTGCCATGTTCGAGCCAGCTACACCCGAGGAGGTTGAAGCGTCTAAAGCTGGAGCGTCCAAGGCTGAACATCCGAAGGTCGAGGAAGAAATCGTCCGTGACATCCCTGAAATTATCTCCGAGAGCGTCCAGGTAGAGCGATCTGATGCACCGCAATCGTTTCCAGAACAACCACGCGCGAAGTCTCCGGAACACAACATCGACTTCGCCGCTACAGTCGCGGCAGGGTTAAAGGAGTCTGGCTTCGATACTGACCTAGTGCTCAACGATCCATTGTTCCATCGATCGACTTCAGCTCAGGGAACCCGCGACATCGCGCCTGACGATGACATAGCGGCTGCGCGCGATGGAGCCAGCAAGTCCAGGTTCGGCACTCTGGGTCGTTCACCTTCTCCAACATCTCCCAAGGCCAAAATACCCTTGGAGAAGAAGGACCCTCAACCTATAATGGCAGTCGCTTCCACAAGTGCCCCAACGTTCGATCCCATGGACATCCTCAACGATCCGACCTTTGCCCAACGCAAGTCCCCACCTGGTGTACTCGAAGAGGCCGATCCCGATGAGCTTTGGTCATCTGGAAAGAAAGGGAAGAAGGTGAAGGGCAAGAAGAAGCGAACTTCCTTGGCACAAGACGATAACGGTTCTCCGGCTGTTGAGGCTCCAGTGATTGAGGCTCCCACGGCTGTGCCTTTCGCTGTTGAGACTCCAGCTGAGCCGATCGTCAAGGAAGTTTCACATACACCATCTGGCCCATTCGTGACAGAGCCGACTGAAGCGACACACGTCAATGTTGACGAACGCCAACATGACCGACCCTTACCTGAAGCTACCTTGGAGACGACAGATGACTTCTGGGACGAGCAGCCGAGGAAGAAGGGCAAGAAAGGCAGAGCGACATCGAAGCGAACTAGTACTATAGAGTCAGTCCATGAGTCCGGGACAACGTCAGGTGCAATCACTCCGTTTGAGGAGGACTTCGAGCAACAGCAAGCAGTTGAGAAAGACGCAAGGGAGCTAGAGAAGGCTGTAGAGGAGGATGAATGGGCATTGGAGAAGGGAATAGGCAAGAAGGGCAAACAGGGAAAAAAGAGCAAGGCCTCAGCGGCAGTGGTGGCAGCAGCCGGTGCAGCAGCTCTTGCTGCGGCCTCTAACAAGGAAGAGGGGAAGAATAAGAAGAGAGAAGAAATGGAGCTTCCTCCTACGTTTGATCAGGTTCCAAAGTCTTTGAGTGGTGTCGAGCCGGAGGAGTATCCATTCCCTGTCTTGCCAACATTAGAGGAACATACACGCTCCAGCATCCAGGAAAAGAACGCGAAGGAGGTGGAGGTAGAGGATGAGTGGGCACAGCCAGTCAAGAAGGAAAAGAAAAGCAAGAAATCGAGAAGGAAACAAGAGAAGGAAGAGGAGGTCGATGTCTTTGCGAGATCGCTGGATGATACGACTGACAATGACCGACACGTGTCACGAGGAGATGCCTCTGATCCGCGTTCGGTCGATCTGTCGCTCAAGCAGGAAGGTGCAAGATACGCATCTCACCATCACAAGCGCCGAGAACACCCTGTACCTCCGGAAGCAGAGCCAGATGAGAAGCGTGTACATCTTTCAGGACCATCTCAGCACGATCTCTCACTTCCTGAAGACCCGATATCCTTGAACTCAACGCGCACACAAGACCTTGCACATCCAAGTACAGAACGATCAACTCCGGATATTGCAGCGCATGCTACAGGAATTCGAGGTCACTCACCTGTCATTGAACCTACCTGGTCATTTGGTGATGTACGCGACAGCGGAGTACACGTGGCAGACTCCCCCACAGCAACGAGCGCCCCGCAGCTGCCCACACACTCCGACATCCGCGATAGCGGCTACCATGATGCGGCTTTCGAGACACCCAGGAAGTCGAAGAATTCAATCCCGTCAATTGAAGAGGATGGCCGCAACAAGAAGCGACGTTCAAAGGAACCAGAGACGCCCCGACCTGTAGAGAGTCACGACGAGATGCGATCGCCGAGCCCATCGCTACCGGAGCTTCCGTCTCTCGCAGCAGTATCATCACCCAATGCCGTTGACTCTGCAACCCGGGAGCGATCTTCGTATCTCTTCGATTCCTCGCCTTCAACTCGTCAATATGGAGAGTCTCCACCCACCGCATCGAAGTCCCGCTTGGATAACGTTGCTACCATTGGAGCCGCTGCGATCGGTGCAACAGCTGTTGCAGCCGCAGCATCTGCCCGAAGTGCCCACGATTCGCCTCGGCGCGAGAAGCATGCGCCCTCGGAATCGCACAGGAAGCATTCCTCGCCTGAAAAGGAAGTCAAGCAGAAGGAGCCCTACAAATCAATCTTTGGCGATCCAACCGAAAAGAAACCGGAGCAAGTCCGAAAGTTGTCGACGCCCTCCAACAAGCACATGCGTACACCAAGCAGTATTCTCGACCCTATCAAGGAGGCCAGTCCAGACGAGTCACCTTTACAGAAGAAGCACGCTCGAAAGGTATCGGATGCCGGTTTGCCTGATCGAGAAGTCAAGTCAGCTCGACGAAGCCAGAGTCCTAAGCCTTTCTCTGAGCGTATGAAGTCACCACCACCAGTCACACCGACCCCCACGAGCCGCAAGAGGGCCCCTTCGAAAATCGACACTTCACCACCTCTACAGAGGAAGGGATCACCATGGCAGCAAGTTCATGAGAGTGTCGATCGTACAATGACACTGAGTCCCGCCCGCCGACTTCCACACGATCAGTCTCCATCAACCACTGATCCAATCAAAGTACGGATAGCAGAGCAGCGCTCGCCAAGTGTGTTCAGCGATCGTTCCGTCAACATGAGAAGTCCAAACGACCGCCCACTCAGTGCACTCAGCAATCGATCAACAAGTTCTCTGCGAAGGATTGACAGGAGCAGATCAGGTGACCTTCGATCTGCAGCCAAGATTGGCGAGGCCCGTGCTCATGACGCTAAGTCGCAACCCAATCTCGCAGGCATCGCACTCGCTGCCGGAGCAACCGCAGCCGTCGCCGCGGGTATCGCAAGCTCTAGTTACAATCCAGTGAAAGGCGAGGGCAAGGCTCGTGCCGAAATGCCCGATGTCTACGTAAGTTCAATTCTCTGTCGCGACAATGTTCAGACGATAGCTAACAAAGTTGTAGGAGGCATGGGGTGAGGCCCAAGGCTCGCCAATGTCACCGACACGGCCGCCCAGCGTGCGCAAGCGACAAAGCATCCAAATCATGGATCTACAGTCGCAACTTGATAACCTCGCGGCCCAGAACAGATCGCTCGAAGAGGCCAGACTCAAGGCTGAAGAGACGCTTCAGCACGCCTCCCAGCAGCGTGATGTTGACCAGCAAGTTGTCTCCGAGGCTGTAGAAGCACGTGATCGTGAACTGCACCAGAAGGACATCGACATTGGACAGCTCAGGGATACCTTATTGCGCCTTCAACAAGAGATTGCTAGACTTACTGAGCTCAACAACCAGCTCACGGATGCCAATCGCAACCTTACCAAGGACGCCAACGCGCGATATGCGCAACTTCAATCTGAAGGTCAACTTATACAGGATCAATGGCAGCAATCCACCAGAGAGCTCGAGCAGTTGCGAGCTCAGCACGACCAGCTCACTAGTGGAATGCAAGCTGCAATAGCTGCAGAAATTGGACTTGCCATCGACGAACGCAATGCTGAAATCAATCGTCTGAACACTGAGCTCAAAGGCGCTCAAGAACAAATCAAGAAGCTGCAAAAGCAAATACTGGAGACAAAGCAGCCAAACGAAAGCTTCCTCACGGTACGCGATGAGGACTACTTTGACAGTGCATGCCAACAGCTTTGTCAACACGTTCAGCAATGGGTGTTGCGCTTTTCCAAATTCTCAGACACTCGTGCTTGTCGCTTGTCATCTGAAGTTACTGCAGACACCAGGCTGGATGCCTCAACCCGACAAAAGATCGACACCCGCTTGGACAACGCCATCCTCGATGGTTCGGATGTCGACATGCTACTCGCAGATCGCGTGAAACGACGAGACGTATTCATGTCGGTGGTCATGACCATGATTTGGGAGTACGTCTTCACCAGGTATCTTTTCGGCATGGACCGAGAACAACGACAGAAGCTCAAATCGCTGGAGAAGACTTTATCCGAAGTCGGGCCTACACGCGCCGTGGCTCAATGGCGCGCCATCACCCTCACATTGCTCTCGAAGCGCGAGCCATTTGTCCAACAACGCGCACAGGACACAGAAGCTGTCGTGCACGAGATCTACAGCACACTCTCGACCCTTCTTCCACCCCCGTCGCATCTGCAACGCCAGATTCAGGAATCCCTGCGCAACGTCATGCGCCTTGCTGTATCGCTTTCCATCGAGATGCGCACCCAGCGCGCAGAATACATCATGCTGCCTCCCCTGCAGCCTGAATACGACACCAACGGCGACCTGGTCGCTAAAGTAACCTTCAACGCGTCCCTCATGAACGAGCGCTCGGGACAAGAAACTTCGAACGACGAATTGGAAGCGCGCAAAGCAGTTGTCAAAATTGTGCTGTTCCCCTTGGTGGTGAAGAAAGGGGATGACTTTGGAGAGGGAGACGATGAAATCGTTGTGTGCCCTGCGCAGGTGCTTGTTGCGCGGCCCAACAATAAGAAGGTGGTGAGGGTAATGAGCGGAGCGATGAGTGTGGATAGTCGGAAGAGGAGCGCGATTAGTCTTGCGCCGACGAGCGTTGCGCCTGAGAGCTCGATTATGGATTTGGATATGAGCAATGCAATTTAGAGGGATCTTGCATAGCGATGGGTTGGGTTTGGTTTGGGTGGATCTCTGTATAAGAGGGTCTTGGTTTTGGTTTGGTTCTGGTTCTGGTTTCGGTGGCGTTCTGGCTGCGATACCTCACTGACGAATTTCTTATGTTTGTTTGGGGGTTTTTTTTTGGTGGTTTGTATGAGCGCGCATATACCTTACCTTTAGCATTGTATTTCTTAATTGTACGAATCCAAGGTTCACTACATCTTCATACCATGGCTGACGTTCGAGTGGGGACAAGTCTCATATAACGTATATTCACATAACGGACTCAGAAGTGTCCAGTGTCTCCAGGTCCGGCCAAATCCCGATGAAGGGCCCCCTCACTAGACAGAAGACAGCGTGCAGGTATCGCCACGCCTCATGAGCATCGCCAATCCGTACGACTAGAACATGAGCATGCCCACGCATCCCACATCTCAGCCAACTCAGTGCTCCTCGACCAACACGCCACTCTCCTCCACGCCCTTCTCCCCCTGCGCTTCACTCGGCTGAGCAACCTGCCTCCCGTGCCACCCCTCCATCAGATTCTTCAATCCCTTCCGCAGTCCATACTGCATCCAAAGCGGCCAACTCCTTATCTTAGGCACAACACCCCAGTGGTTCTCCGGCAACATCAAATGCGCGCTCCTCCCCTTCAACACCGCCTTGACAATCTCCTCCGCCACCGTCTCAGGATACAGCGCGCTCCCCTTGAACCCCTCAAACAGCGGCGTCCGCGTGTACCCCTGACACATAACAATCGTACGCACCTTATCCGCTTTATAATGCGTGGCTAGTTCCGCGCTTATCCCCTCGTGGAAGGCCAGCGACGCGGCTTTGGACGCCGCGTAGTCGACCATTTTGGGGACGGGGAGGTATGCGGCTAGGGAGGCGACGGTGACGAGCATGCCGTGGTTTTGTGCGATCATGCTGGGGAGGAATTGCTGCGCGAGGAAGTAGTGCGCTAGGGTGTTCACGTTGAAGGTGAGACGGATGTCTTGTTCGGAGGCGTCGAGGACGGTTTTGCCGCGGGCGCAGCCTGCGTTGTTGATGAGGACGGTGGGGTCGCCGAGGGTTGTGCGGATGGAAGAGGCGGCGGAGGTGATTGCGTCTTTGGAGGCGAGGTCGCATTGGAAGTAGTGGACGGAGGGGGGAGCTAGGTGGTATGTTAGCTGTGCATTTGTGGATTGAGGGTTTGGGACGCACCCTCGTATGTGAGCTTCTGCACGTCGAGGACGGCGACCTTGATGCCTTTCTCTGCGAGCAGGAGCACGATGCTCTTGCCTATGCCGTCCGCGCCGCCGGTCACGACGACGACTTCCTTCTTCCAGTCCCATTCATCGCTCTTCCAGTTGTTGACTACCTTGTCGTCGAGCCAGCCGCTGATGGAGCCCAGCACACTCAGTGCAGCGAGCGACCTCAGGGCGCGGAATAGTGTCTCATTTTGAAAGGCGAGCTGCGAGCCCCGCGAGGTGTACTTTGCAGCAAGAATGAGCGGCACTGTGAAAAGGGGATTGAAAGCCGTGGCCTTGAGAAGGCGCGTGGTGGTGTCCAGTGTCCAGCCTAGGAGCGCAATGTTAGCATTCGTCGGTGAGATTTGGGGCGGCCTCTAGCGCCGAGGCACGGGGGCGAAGAGCGAGGTCGGATCTAAGCACAACTAACCTTCGCGCGCAAGCGTCCACTCGCTCCTAATCGGCATCTTGAATTAATGTGTCAATTGAGGCAGTCAGGTCAAATTGTGCAAGAGAGCCAGCGGTCCGGGTGTGTTTACGTCGAAGGAAGAGCGGCGCATGGGCCCGGCGGGCGATTGTACTACGGCAAGCGGCTTTGACCCTTTTCGATCGGTCAAGAAGGGAAACTGTGAAAATGCGGGGTCGCGAATCTCTCCTATCTGAGAGGACTGGTGCGTTGTTCTCCGTGAGAGCTCGGGGGGTTGGGTTCCGCGGAAGTTGGGTTGTCCTATACAAAACACATTGAAGCGAGCACATGGGGCCATGCCTTCCACCAGAGCACGTTGTAATTTCCGCATGTTTCCAGTTGTGCCTCATGTTAAGGTCATGTCTTTTCGAACGTAAGAAACTATGCAAGATGCTACAGTGAAGCCATTCTGTTGCTTTCCTTGAGTAGGGGTTGCAATGTCAACATCTTATCCCTGTCTACTGTGCTCCTCGTTTATAGGTTCACTCGTTCGCTCTTACTGGTGTATAGAAGGTAGGGCTTCCGGTTGCTTATCGCGCCGACGCGAATCACGTGATCGGGTGTAATTCCGTGCGACTGCCTCATCCTATCGACGTTCGCGCCTGCTTGGCTGGCTAGACAGACCAATGTTGGACACGGCAACGCATACATCTTCAATTCTTGCGGTTATCACTCTCATCCTGCTGTCTGCGAACCAGTGGCGGAGTCTACGCTACCGCTAGGTGCGGGGGCCTGCCTGAGGCTGAGCTGCTTACCGTACGAATATAGCAACAGAATGTCGCGACCTCTTCCCATCACCTTAGCAATTTTGACGACCATGTGAAAAACTTCGCAGAGCCGTCGTAATGGCCGTGGACTCAATCTACTCACCTCTACCTGCGAAGGCACAAACGATTCGCTTACTCCGGTTACTCCCAAATGCGTTCAGCAGGGATATCGAATGCGAGCTTTTGGAGCGTCCTATTGCTGAAGCACGCGATCGTTATATCGCCATATCATACACCTGGGGAAACATAAACGCGACCAAGCAGGTCCTCATAACATGCAACGGCGTCCGGGTCCCTGTCTCTGAAAATCTATGCACGATACTGCGTCGACTTCGACATCCACTTCGCAATGCAAATGTCTGGGTTGATGCTCTATGCATCAATCAAGCAGACACTTCCGAGCGGACAGACCAGGTTGGCCTAATGGGCGAAATATATAGGAATAGTCGCGAAACCGTGATATGGCTGGGCGAGCCAACTCCGAAAGACGAAGACGGACGACGGTTCCGCAGTTCTTGCTGTTCGACTGCGAACAAGATATACCAAGAACAAGGAGGCCCGTTACGACTTGTCTGGCATGGGGGTACTGCAGATGACTACATTTTGGATCAGTATATGCAGGACTGCCTACATGATGATCTCAGTTCCGCGGATGTCCCCAACGATGTCTTTGGGGCATTTTGTCTTATCTCGAGTCTAGCTCAGGGCACCTCGAGCAGAGTGTTTGAGATGCTCAAACACGATGAGAGCCGGCTGTGGGCCAGGTACGATCAAGACCAAAGCTTGTACGACTTGCTATCTGGGGATGTGCATGTCCTAGGCTCGAGAGCAGCAAGAGTCTGGGCTGGGCTTGAACGAATAATGAGCAAGTCTTGGGTGAGTAGCTCCAAGTAACCAATTCTCATTTCAAGTCAAGTCAGGCTACATCATGCATTTTCTAACGACGTAGCAGTGGACTCGTATCTGGGTTATTCAAGAGACCGTTCTATCGCGTAAAGCAACTGTGCATTTTGGGCAGCTTTCTGCGCCTTGGACGATGTTCGCTGAGGCAGCAATCCGATTTGCTCAAGATCGCCAAACCTTCTGTCTGGACCTGTCTGGCGCCTTTCGCGGTCAAAGCATGTTGACTGCGTTCAGCAATACTGTTCTTCGAATCGACAATGCCCGGCAACAGAGCCAGGCATGGCTCGATGTCGACTTACTTTCACTGTTATGGAGGTTCCGCCCTCTCGAAGCGAGCGACAAACGCGACAAGGTTTTTGCGTTACTTGGCTTGGTAACCAACTGGCAAAATAAACCAGCGATGCTTCCCGACTATCGGATGGACGTAAGTACCACGTTTGTACAGACTGCAGCGAACATTGTACGGAGGACGATGTCACTCACAGTTCTTGCGGGTGACTTGGACGCCGTTCTGAATCGGAAGAGAGTCGAGGACCTCGCCTCCTGGGTTATGGACTGGTCTCTACCCTGTCTCCCGATCGAGATTGATAGAGTGAGTTCGCTCGGGCTATACGACGCCAGTGGTGGGCATACTAGCCCTGTACGTCTCCACCAGCAACACTCCATACTAGAAGCTTCGGGCTCCTACATCGACTACATCATCGCTGTGGGTGAGGTCAGTCGACACACTCAGATAAGCGAAACCCTCGCTGCCATCCGAAGCTGGAACTTCGAAACGCAGAGACATCAAGAGCTTCGCGGTTCCTATCCCACAGGATGCACCTACGACGAAGCCTTCTGGAGGACACTCATAGGCGACGTCGTCCACACAAACAATGGCGACACACGAAAAACCAACAACAAGGCCTCCTACCGCAGAGCCACAACCGACGACTTCGAAGCCTACCGCGCCTGGCGCATGTGGTCCCGCTGCATCGCGCGCGACACCCTCAGTCGCACTGCAACCTTCACCCAACGCGACCTCGACGACGGCATCTCCTCGATCCACTACGCCCTCAAGACGGCTACTACCTCTCGCCGCTTCTTCATCACGTCTAAAGGATACATCGGCTTCGGCCCAAGAACGACCCAACTCGGCGACGAAGTGTGGGTCTTGTCAAATAGCAAAGTCCCGTTCTTGCTTAGTGCTACACATACGCCCGCGCAACTTCCGCATTTTGGGCGGCAGCATAATATTAAGAAATGTACGGGTTCGGGGTTAAGCACACTGATCGGATGTGACGCTCGAGACGGCGTGTGCAACGAGCCGCATGGCTGCCGGCGCATGGTCGGTGATTGCTTCTGTTACGGGATCATGGACGGCGAAGGTTGCGCCGCAGCTGGGGAGGCAATGAAGCAGGTTTATCTGGTGTAGTGGCGTGATACACCACACGCAGTACCGCCGAGGAATATTACTGCGATATTAATACAGGATACCCCTTTCTTGTCACATTCTCAATATCATTATTCGGGGTGGGGGGTTTCAATATCGTTTCGTGGGCTTTGAGGAAAGTGATCCGGAGAATTGATATATCAGAAGCGGGATAAGACGTTACGGGAAGGTCTGGGGCGTGCATGGCGAGAGATCCGCGCAGGGAATGTGCGCCGTTATGGGTCGGTCCGATGGGCTGTTGGGGGCTGTACGAGACTTGTCGCGCTGTCAACTGCTGGCTTGGCGATCTCAGTACCGCATACCTACGATGTGAATCGAACGGACGTGTCAAACCAGAACAGCACTGTGACAACTCGCAATCCGTATCTGCCCCAAAAACAAATCGCGTGCTATACAAGAGTCGTATGTACAAAGACTTCAGCACCACTCCCACTCCACTCCCCTTTCACCCTTCACGTCTCCTCAGCCAGGCCTCAAGAAAACGTCCTTCTCCGCTCCAACATCTGCCCAAGCCTCCTCATTTTGGGCTTGAAAGCTCAGGCGTCACAGTGCCCCAACTCAGGCTTTTGCAGATATGTCTCCAGTGATGGTCTATCTTTTAGAAAGAAGTATCTTTGAAGAACAAATGAAAAGATACGCTATAATTTGAAAAGAGTCAGGTGAGAAGCAAGCACCATGAGCTTTTAGTCTTGGTGTTGTGAGTAAGTTACTTTGACCGTGTCGACAGAAGAGACGCACGGTACAGTATGCTTGCTTCAGACTGCTTGGATGTCTCTATGGCGATTTGCTCTACAGAAGAAGAGACTTGCACTTGTTGCGTGTGACGCAAGTGCGTCTCGCTCGCTCGCTCGTAAGCAAGTGGTACGAGAGGGGCGCGTCATCACAAGGTTCTTTGCAATATCGTAGACTACCATAGGTAGCTTCACCGATGAGGTCGTGAAAGCGATGGATAGAGATACGGGTGAGACATTCCAGTACAAACATGAAGTGTGGCTCTGGAAGGGTTCTTGCGCTACGCTTGCATGGTCAAAGGAGCTTGGGGGGAGCAACCGACTGAGGCGTCTGGACGGGCGTGTGGTGCGTAGCGAGACTGGAGCTGCGTGTTAGCAGTAGAGTAGAGAGATTGAGTTGTTGCACGTCTTCTGGATGGACTATGAAGGGAGTCGTGCGCGGTGCTTTAAGCGACTCTTTGTATGAGTGAATCCCTTGATTTGAGTTTGTATGGAAGCTCCACTGAGGCGAGGTCGTGGATGCGGTGGGCTGGACGACGACAGGTTCATGGAGAGTCTCGGTAGACTATTTCTGCACGCAGGATATTTCGTTTGTGTAAAGGACGTAGTGGTGGACGACGTTCTGTTCAATAGTCGCGACTTGGGAAGCTGTCAATGAATCGTACGTTTGAAAATTGATTGTAATTTAACTTTTTGGTTTGGAAGGGAGTACTATCTGCGCAGTCGTATCAAGCTACATACACTTTTCTATCTGTCAAGAAGGAACAGCCAGCTGTCGCAATTTTTTTTTAAAGAGCAGGACTCGCCGTAGCGAGTCTTCCACTAGCGAAATTAGGTTGTGATAGAGTTAGGCGTGGTCGTAAAATCTTGAGTCGCGTCTCGTCATTTAGAAAGACTTTCCGCTCTTCTGGCTATTGGCATCCTCCGTCGTGACACTGACGTGCGTTTGCACCACGATGTCCTTCCCATTCAGCGATCGCTGCGTACCGCCGCTGGTCTGTAGAGACTGCATCTTGATCTCAGCGCCGGGCTTGACAATGTGTTCCTCGCTCTCGTTGTCGAAGGTCATGTTCCTCGAAGCGTCGCGGCTCTGGGGACCCGGTCGGCTGCGATTCGAGGCGCTCGCACCGCCGCCACCAATGGTCACGAAGCCACTTCCGTGCGCGTTGTACTTGTAGGCTTTCCTGTTGCTGCTCGAGTTCATGGTGCTTGGGAGCCAGGGCTTGAGCCAGATCTTGAGGAGGGGGAAGACCATGGGGAGGTTCGTTGTGATGACGGCGATGAAGGTTTCTCGCGTGCCCCATGCGGCTGCTAACTGTCCGCCGTGCTCGGGATCCTGTGCGAGGGTTAATCAGAGGCTGTATCCGATGCGATGGTTCGGCAATCGCAGACAAGGGTCGGGGGAATGGGGCCGAACTTACGACCAGGACGTAGACACTCTTCAAGATCGCACAGACAACGATGAGGATACCGCCGCTGAGCACAAGAGTCGCAGCAAGCTTTTTGTACGTCTTCAAACTCGACTGCCACAGCATAGGCAGGGGTATCACGAAAAGATATATATCGGTCGAAACGTTCCCTACGAACATGACCCAGATAATCGGCTTCGAGACGGCTGCTTGGCAAGTATTTCCCGGATCAGGGTTGATCTGCCAGTAGTGGTTGAACGGTCGACATGAAAGGTAGATCGTAAAGATCAGCGTGACGAATGTTATTGCAATGAGGCCGATTGCAATGTAGATGCGTATGCGATATCGCTTGAGGCCCTCCTGAGAAGAATTCGTCAACGGGTGCCAGTTGAGTATACTCGGTACACGAACGTACATGCAGACGCAGGTAGAAAAACGCAACACAAAATTTTAGCGTCCAGAGCAGGAATGATGCTGAGGTCCATCCTGCTACTTGGATTTTGGCACCGATGAGTCTAGCAGTGTTGTTAGCTCTTGCCTTCCGCATCTGCGCTTCGATGCGCGGCAAAAGAATATGAAGAAACGTAACGTACCTGAGAGTGTATTCGGGATCATCAGGCGAAAGTGCACTCCGCTGTGCTGGGGTCATGCCACTGTTGTCTAGGCCATGCGCAGCAACTCCTACGTTGTATCCGAGACCGCACTGCACGGAATAGAAGATCTGTGTAGAGGACATGTCAGCTTGATGGATACTGTGCCGCATTATGGGGATACGAACCACCGCAAGCCATATTAGGTAGTCGTCTGGACGTAGGTCACGAAAACCCACGGCTACAACTCTCGCATAAGTTCGTAGGATCGTGAAGGAGACGCCTATAGTGTACAGCGTCCATAGCTCTACTACTTGGCTGGAAGGCATTGCGATCGTCGGTTTTCAGATACCCAGGTGTCGTTGATCTGGAGGAGGATCACTTGTGGGCCATGGGACTGTCGTTCACAGGGTGACAGATTGTTCATAAGGTCAGGCACGAGCATGCACTGCCACGTGAAGGAGTTGCATAGAATACCCACTCAACGGGCATAGATCACATCAGTATAGCCAGGGCATCGTAGTGATTTGACAGTGCAGACAGCTTGATCCAGAGAGCTGGAGCCGTGCATCCTCGGTTGATTAACCAAGTGAACCGAAGCGAGTGTGATGCGTGCGTCAGGTTCTGAATGTATGCCGATCTCCGAGTTGGTTGCAGGCATGTTGGGACCGAGGTGCAGATGTGATACAAGAGTTTCCCTGCAAGGACGTTCGACCGCGCGAGACTATCGAGACTAACGCCAACACGGCAACGATCCGAAATGAATTTGCTCCGCAGCCGTCTTCTAGCGTAGCGACGGCGACTCTCTTTTATGGAGTTAGCATTTGTTAGTCGAACTTTAAGAGGCTTCTAGCTTGAATTCTTCGCGAATGGCTACGCGGGCTGTTTGATGAGACACGGCCCGCAGCGCTACTAGCCATCCGCGATGGGGTACCGTTGTATTCTGACTACACATGTCTACAAAGATTGTTGCTGCTTGAAGCGTGGAAGTGTTTTTCGATTCGCGTAAAAAGCGTTTACCAAGGCCAGATCCTCCCGGGCTCGCAGCTCGCGACTGAAATCTCCGAACTTGCATGCATACACGCAACGTGAAAAAGAAAAGGGATAACAGGGTACCGTGTTGGCGGGACGAAGTTACGCGGAACGGAAGGAGCGACCAATGGAAAAACACCGCGATGTAGTAACCCTAGACGCCACAACGCGCTGAAGAGTGACATGCGATCCCCACGGACGGAAGAGTGCCGCCCAATCAATGCAATATATCGCTCGTACGACACGAACGCTAGATCGGTGGTGGGTGCATCGTGACTTCGCTCGCGTTATTTTCTCCAAAGATCTAACGCTTAGCAACATTCAGGAACCCAACTACAAATCAGGCATTCCGCCGAGCAACGCGCAAACTATCGCGAACGGTGCGATCCTTCGTGGCTATGGCGTCTTCCGCTTTCGTGCGCCCAGCCAATTTTTCTTCTTCTTTTGCAGAGCCAGAAGCTTTCCGGAATGGGGTCGGAGCCGCGATCATGTACTCGACCACTACCTCGGTTCTGTATACCCAGGAAAGCATGGTGTACCCCACCCTGGTTCACTTTCACTCGCCTCTGAGGCTCGTGTTCAAGGACCCTTGATTTCCAATTACAATGCGCGCCTTCCTTTCCGAGGGGCCATTTCCCACGTGTGGGAAATTCCCTTATCTTCCAGGCACCCGGAGCTAGAACATCCCACCGTCACAGGAAGCACTCAATCTTCTCCTGCGTTGTTGATTCGTATTCCCACAATGTTTGCTCGCTTCCTGACGCCATTGGCGGCCGCGCTGTCGGTCCTTCCTCTTGTTTCCTGCGGTCCTACCTCGGGTGACCTGCTCCCAAGAACACCTGCCTCGGGCATCGATGTTCAGGCATTTGCGAAGTATCTTAGCAAGAACGCCCAGATTTACGTTCCGGATGATGTCCAATTTAAGACCTACACGGTCCGGTGGTCAAACCTTGATGCACCGACGGTAAACGTTGTGGTCCTTCCTGGAACTGAGGCGGATGTTTCACAGATCGTATGTTCCCCGCTTCCTCTTACTCTTCATGTCGCACAAGCGGCTATGTGCGTCTCGGAGATGTGAGCTGTTTGCCTGACACATTGGCTCTCTGTCATCCCGATACACTGCACGTCTACTGTGGGGGACTCAAGCTGACACTGCTCGTTCAAGGTCAAATTCGCCTACAAGTATGACGTTCCCATTCTTGCTTACAATGGGCACCATGGCGCTCTCACTACGCTGGGAAAGATGGACTATGGCATTGCCATCAACCTGTCTCAACTCAATTCCCTGAAGATCGCCAAGGATGGAAAGACTGTGACCGTTGGTGGTGGTATCAACTCCCACAACATGACTGAGTCTCTTTGGGCAGCTGGAAAGCAAGCCGTCACGGGAACCTGTGAATGTGTCAGCTACTTGGGTCCTGCCCTTGGTGGTGGCCACGGATGGCTTCAGGGCCACCACGGCCTCATCTCGGACCAGTTCGTATCCCTAAACGTTGTTCTTGCCACCGGCGAGGTAAAGACGGTCAATCAGAGCTCTGATCTATTCTGGGGACTTAAGGGTGCCGGCCACAACTTTGGCATCGTCACGTCGGTGACCAGCAAGATCTTCGACATTGTATCCTCCAACTGGGCGATTGAGACCATCGTCTTCGGTGGTGACAAGGTCGAGGCCGTCTACGAGGCTGCCAATGAGTACCTCATCAAGAACGGCACGCAGAGCGCCGATATTCACCAATGGTCGTACTGGATGAATGATGCCACCCTCGATGCTGAGAAGGTAAGACAATCGCTGAGCCTCCACTAAGCTCCGTTGAACATTCGCTGACACTCCCCCCTAGCCCGTCATCTACGTCTATACCATGCAAGAGGGCGTCGACACCGTCGACCCCGTCTACACCCAGCCCTTCAAGGCCCTCGGCCCTCTGAAGGTCACCCCCCAATCCGGCACCTACCGCGACCTCGGCGCCTGGACCAACATCGCCCTCGACTCCCCTCCCTGCCAGGACTTCGGCTTCAACAACCCGCGCTTCCCCATCTACGTCAAGACCTACAACACCACCGCCCAGCGCCTCGCCTACGACCTGTACGCTTCTAAGATCGCGGGCGCAGACAACCCCTACACCAACTCCATCTTTATGTTTGAGGATTACGCTACGGGCGGTGTCCGCGCTATCGACGATCGCAGCAGTGCGTTTGCGTTCCGCTCCGACCGCGTGCTCGCCGCGCCGCTCATCATCTACAACTCCACCGGCGCGGCGGAGGATGCGAGCGTCGCGACGCTGGGGAATCAGTTGCGGGAGATTATCCACGCCGGGACGCAGCAGGCGGAGCTGCACACGTACGTAAACTATGCATATGGCACCGAGACGACGCAGGAGTGGTACGGGTATGACGCGTGGAGGCAGGAGAGGCTGAAGGCGCTGAAGACGAAGTATGATCCCAAGGGGAAGTTCAGCTTCTATGCGCCTATTGCGTGATGACGATCACCGTAGATAGTCTAATGATGGTGAAAAGGCGACGGGGGCTGGGATAGCGCCCTGAGCTGTAATGAATGTATATATGTTAACGAAGTGACACTGTATGTATGGTAGTGATGTGTGAAGTATAACGTTTCCTGATGATACTCAACAAAAAACATAAGAATTGGAAGCCTTTCTGAGCGGACCTGGAATATTGAAAGGTCTGAGGAATGGTTGGTCGAGTGCGAGTAGAAGCGCACTCGCGATTTGGCAATGTCGGAAAATAGAACATAGGTGGTACGACTTTACACTCTAGACCATGGCGTATGTTGACGTTGTTTTCTCGAAAGACGAGATGCATGAGCAGGTTCAGACATTCAAGGGTCGCCTGAGCTCCGACATTGCATATAAGCACTACCTTGGCTTCGAAGACATGCACCATTGACGGTTGACCTTGAGGGTCGCATGCAACAGGCGATCGTAAAGAAAGCGTACGCAGACGGCCATCGACTATCGCACCTCAATTCCTCCAGTCCCTCCATCTCACCTCTCCAACGCATCAAACAATCTCCAAACAAAGGCACAAACGCCAAAGCTATGCATTGATATAATTCTCTATAACATGATATCACGAAAGATACAAATCCAACCCTAAAGTCCAACGAAGCGAAAAAGGGTATACATTCCCATCCCCGTACGAGATAAGCTCTAAACCTCGTCCCCGGTGTTCGTCAGCGGGAAGCTTACAGCAGGAATATGGCTAGGAAAGCGAAGAGGACGGCGTGAACGGTAGGTAGCATGGTGGATGCTGCGCCGGTGAACTCAGATGGCTTGGAGGGCACGGGCGGGGAGGCGGTGCCGGTGGGCTCGTAGGCTGGTGTTGTGGTGTTGTAGGGGAGGGTGACTACGATGGTGGTGCCGGTGGTGCAGGGCGTGTTGGCTGGGGTGCCGGTGGGGAGTCTCGGTCGTGCAGGGGTGGTGGTGTTGCCTGCGGGTGGCGGCGGCGGGACGCTGCTCGATTCAGTGGGTGTGGTCTCCGCAGGGGTGGCGGTGGGACGCTGCTCGACTCAGCGGGGTGGTCTCTGGTGGAGGCGGGACGTCAGAGCTGCTTGACTCGACGACCTCGGTGGTCTGTGGGGGCGGCGGTGGGACGTCTGTGCTGGTGGTGCAGGGTGTGGAGGTGGATTCCGGGGTGGACTCTGGCGGCGGGGAACCGAGCTGCTCGACTCGACGACGGAGCTGCTGGACTCAACGACAGGGGAGGCGTGGAACTGGACTCGCAAGGGGTGGAGGTCGAAGGGGCGGGCGTAGGAGTAGGCTCGGGGGTAGGCGTGGGGTGGCTTCAGTGTAAGGGGAATGGCAACGCCATATCCATACTGACGCCTCTTCAGCTTGAAGTCGGTCACGTTGCTTTTGGGAACATCAGTGAACTTGGGTGTGCCAGTGCCAGTAGCTGCGACACCAGTGCCGACACCAGTGCCGATCGTGCCAACGCCAGTACCAATAGTGCCAACGTCAGTCTCAACAGGGTCAGTGTAGACATCGGTGGCAGGACGGAAACCCTTCTCGGGAGCAAGGCAGAGAGTGGGCATGGTCTTGACCGTGGTGAAGACGGTTTTGTGCTTGCGGATAGGCTTGAAGGGGTTGAGCTCGTTGGTATCGACACCGGGAATGACCATAGGCATAGCAGGAAGAACAAAGTTGAAGCCGAGATCGACAGCCATGGAAACGTTCCACTCGATGTAGACGAGCGACAGCTTGTCGGGCTGAGTGCTGTTGGTGCCGTTGGTGAGAGGGAAAGGTGCTTCGTTCGCGCGCTTGAGATTGCGAGCGCGCTGAGCCTGCAGAGAAGCAGGTGCGCGACGAGTGTTAGATGCGTGGCGGATGGCCTTGACGTCGCGCTTCGCAACAGATCGCTTGCCCGCCGTGAAGCCATCCTTCTTGTCTTGAGCCTTGGCCTCAGCTTCGGAGGCAGCAGAAAGGTCTGTGTCGTCGGTGTCCTCAGTCTCATCACCAGTCTCGGTGTCGTCGGTCTCATCACCAGTCTCGGTCTCGTCGCCAGTCTCGGTGTCATCGGTCTCATCACCGGTCTCGGTCTCGTCGCCAGTCTCTGTTTCGTCACCAGTCTCGGTCTCATCGCCAGTCTCGGTTTCGTCGCCAGTTTCGGTCTCATCGTCAGTCTCGCCATCCTCAGTCTCCTCGTCGTAGCTGAGGTCATTGCACTGAGTGTCAGCATCGTCAATGGTATAGACAAGCGCATCAAGACGAGGAAGGTCCATCTCGGCCTCAACACCGACGTCAAGGACAGACAGGAACTTGAAACCAATGGGAATGGAAGGAACCATGGCAACGGAGACGAAACCGTCAAGCTGCTTCTGCTTGAAGTTGAAGGGGAGAGGAGTAAGGGTTGAGTCTTGGAAACCCTTGACACCAGTCTTGGACATGTCACCAAGGTCGATGCGCATGGTGGAGTTGCTCGGGACCTACTATCGTTAGCTTTGGGAACCCATACAGAAAGAACGACTACATACCTCGAGGTTCATACCATAGCTCATTTCGAAACCGCCATCAAACTCATAGTCGGCCTCGAGAAGAGCCTCGAAGACAGCTCCAGCACGACCGACACCGGGGATGACGAACCCAAGAATGGGGAGCTCGAGTAGGCGGAAAGTGAAGTAACCAGTGCTCTTGGGCTTAGCGCCCAACTCGAAGTAGGCTTCCAAGCCGTTGGCCTTGAGCTCGACGAAACCACCGGTGACAACCTTGCCCAGGTCGAAGTCGACACCGCGCTTGGCCATCTTGTTGCGGCGGTCAAAGGGGTTCAGGTCAGGAAGCTTAGTAGGGATGGGAATGTCGTTGATGATGCTGTTAACCTTGGATTGAGCGGCATCAGCAGCACTGGTAATGGCAGCGACAGCGGTCTCAGCAACGCTCTGAATCTTGGAAGGAGCGGCGTCGACGATGCTGGTAACTGCGTCGACACCCTGGTCAAGCTTGCTGGTAACTTTGTCGACGCCCTGGTCGACCTTGCTCTCTAGCTTCTCACCGGCCTCATCCATCTTCTCGGGGATCGCGTTGATCAGGCTAGGAACAGCGCTGGCGACCATACCGGGAATCTCCTTGAGCTTGTCGGGGATAGCCTTGAGTGCTGCAGTGTCGATCTGGATGTTACCCTGTGAGAGGATGATCTCTCCCTTGGTCAAGCACTTCTTGCAAGTGAGCTCGAGGGGCAAGTTCGCAATGTTGGTAAGGGTGAAACCAACGGGAAGACCAGCAAGGAACTCGTCGGGCCTGAAGGTCTTGTTGGTGACTTCCCAGTTAAGGTCGAACTTGACATCGTTGACGTTGGGGTCCGAATCCTCAGGAACCTCATCCAAGACCGCAGTAGCGTTCTTCGCACCCTTTGCCATGCCCTCGGCGGTCTCGACGTCCGCAGCAGCCATTTCAGCGGTGGCAGCCAGGCCTTCTAGTCGTTCGATTTCTGACAATAGACGCTTGCGGATCTTGAGGTCAGTGTGCTCGCGGACGGAGTGGTGCTCCTCAGTGTGGCCAAAGCCAACCTCGATGCGGTCGAAAGCATGCTCAAATAGGGACTCTGCGACATCGAGCTCGAGAGTCGATCCGTCACGAGATGCCGAAGCACCGTGAACACTACCGATGTCAGCCAAAAGAAGTTCTTCTTTGTATGTAATGACTTACGTATAGACTGATCGCTCGCCCTCCGTGTTGCAGCCAACGTGGGAAGTGATGATGATACCACCTTCAGGGCCGTGGCACGCTAACCGAGCATTCATAGCCGAAGTGGTATCGGCGAACTTAAGGTTGATCTTTCCGTCAACACACTGGACATCCTCAAGGTGATGTTCAATGTCTTCCAAGTTGAGGATCGGCTTCTTGGAAGCAACCTTCAACTGCGAAGCAAAGATGGAGTGACCGTTGTATCTTGTAGGCTCTAATCAATTGTTAGCTGGTATACTCGACTTCTGGAGGAATCAACGTACCCTCAACATATGGCAGCTCATGCTCGAACGTCGGCTCGATCCTGTTTGATCGCTTGTGGGCGGACCTCTTCATTCCCGCACGCAGCACCCTCTCATTGCCAGTAGGAGCACGTGTAGCAACACTTCCTGCCTCCACACCTAGCGACCCGGCCAACAACAGCGCCGTCGCTGCTTTGTAAACGCTGAAGACCATGATGAACTTTGTTTTCAGATGTGTATCTTAGTGAAATGATGAATGATGAGTTGTAGAAAAGACTGTGAACTGAGTACCTCGCAGAGAGTACCGTAAAGAGTGAAAGGACGTAGAGCTACCCTTTCGGGATGAGGCTCTAGAACTAAAGAATGACTGAATGGAAAAAGAGAGAACGCAACACACCCAAGTGCAATGCAAAAAGCCTGTGAGATCACATCCAGCCTGGGAGGGGAGGCCGTTTGTATAATGCGCTCATGGCGGCGCAGTAGGCTACTTGCTGATCCATCGGACAACATCCTGCTCGGTATTGCTTGTGCCCATCTGAGCCAAGTCCAGCTTACAAGGTATGTGCCGCAGGGACTGGATCTAGCCAATGTGCGAACTGGTTGCCCTACAAAATCTCGTGGGCAGGCCGTTTCATGGGTCCGAAACAAGTTAACACCTCGTGCAGAACGTCCGGAGGCACAACCGGACACGCATGCTCACGGCAGCTATTATTGGGCCGAAGTGGGTCGCTGTAGGAAACGGTAAGATAATGGGGAAAGGATGAAAGATCAAACGTGAGCGTCCTCTCTGGCTTCCATGCGGGCTTCGGAGCTAGCAATAGATGAGGACAAGCGCACTCGCTTAGTCTGCCGTGTGGGGTCGATGGGGCTGAGAACCCCGACCTTTTCACTCTGCAACCCCGAGGACGACACAACTCTATGATCAAGCTCATTAAAGGTTCCATCTAAACCAAAATCGTGCCTCGTAGAATTCATCGTTCATATTACAATCGCGGTTATCGAGTTCTTTGCTCGCTCCCTGCTGTTCGCGGCAGGGTGCTGGCATCAGCTGAATTGAAGCTTCGGACATCGCGCCGCCACGGTCTATCGGACTTCGCAGGCTCATCTTAGCTATTTTGCACTCGCCTGCCACAATTATATCTCCGGTCGGATAAGCCTACGCCCGCCTGGGCCATCTAATCTCCATAGCTTTGGACGCTGCAACCCTACGCTGCCAAGCGGTTCGCACAGCCTCGTCACGTTCTCGCAATCTGCAGCACTTAAAACATCCTTATCATCAGCCATCGCCAACGAAAGATCCGTTTCGAACTGTGCTCACTCAGAATGCGAAAACGCGAGGCATCAGCATTATCCGAATGTTGAAGAGCTAGCTGTACGTTCCAGGTCTGCGACGTGTGAATACGGCCTTGCAACAGTGTTAGTTCGCCAAGTTCAGGCAGGAAACCCTGGAAGTATTCGTCTAAATCATCGCACTGCTAGAAGGATGATCGTGCCATACTGTGGGCCTCGTACGAGAACGATTCGAGGAGCTCTTTTAGCACACGACCTCCAAGAGCGTTCTGTGACCGGACCCCATTTGGCCCCAAAGCGACCTGGTTCGACCTGGTGTCTGTTGGCGTGCACAAATCTGCGTCTAGTGTCACAGTACTTTGCGGCTACGCTCACGTGTTTGTCCGGACTTCGCAATGCGCACAGATGCTGATCGCACTGGGTATCTGGAATGTCCGGTATCTTGTCGAACATCGTCGCTTCTATGGACTACCACTTGAGCATTTGAGATTGAACACCAAAGGGTGCAATCACCTCAACAGACCTGCTGTCTTGAAGTTTTAAGCACCTGTCTTTCTTCATCCTGGACCCGGCCTGACTGCCACTCGTAGGGATCGCCGATGATGCCCTTTCTTAACAGCGCGCGATCTCCCAAATACAGCGCAGCCTGGGGTGGTGCGCCTTCCGCTGTGGTGGGCAATTATCGCTCTGTCAAACAATTCCAACATCGCTTCGCAGAACTGACGGCGCATCAACGAATGTGAATGACATAGTCTCCATTGTCATGGCGCTCAATGTACTCGTTCTCGTAAAGGGTAGTTTTTAGCCATTCCTTGAACCGCCAGTACGCCCTTAAGGAATCAATCGTTGCGTCGAACGACCCTACACGTTCATATACCGCGTCTTCGCATCGGACTTGGCGAACAAGCACTAATCCTCCACATATTCGCGGCGGGCTTCCCAAAGAGAGTACAGGCAGAATGAATAAAGGTGAACAACCTTGGGTATGCGAGCGTTGACTACTTGATCGCCTCGCCATGTATGAGGGTGGTGCGGCTGCTCGTGCGCGAGGCAGAGGCGACCATGGATGCCCGAAGTCTCGTGACCTTGGTGATATTGGGGATTGAGGATCTTGAGACCAAGGATCTTGAGGTCGAGATGTTTGTAGCCAAGATCCTTGGAACCGAGGTGCTTGTGACCGAGGCTCGTGGAAACGAAGCCCCTGAGGTGCTGGCGATGAGACTGTTGCTATGTGGCGAGACGGCGCTGAGCGGATTGGTGCACTAGAGGTGCGGAATTGCCGCGGCGGAAGAGGGATCTGGACACGAGGGGGAACTGGTCTGGGGCCGCTGATGTCGCGGGACGTGGAGTTTGTCGACGGCTCTCCAAAATGCTGCGGACCGAATTCTGCAGATCGAAGAAAAAAGTTGAGGTGAATACCTCTATTCTCAAGATAGGAGTCGCGAAAGCGGTATTCTGATTCCGAATCTGGTGTTGATACCAGCTGATTGCGCTCGATGCTTCTCAAGGGGCCCTTTGCAACTAGTACCCTCCGATCGGTTTTGTCTTTCCAGTCTGGTTTGAATAGCATGTACGGTTCTTCTTGAGCAGTGAGCAGCCATTCAGGCCATGAGACTTGAGAATTAAGAGAGGCCCACGACCAGCTCGGAGCGCGTCCAATATCCGGGTTTGCGAGGCGTGCGTCCAATGGGTTCTCGCGCCAGAGCAGACTCCGAATCAGGTCACTTGCTCGGAATCCATGTATGTCGCGGTCCTCTATGCATTTCCCAATGCGATCCATGATTCCCCAAATTGCTGGAAGACGGTCTGACTCGAAGCTCAAACGGCGTCGCGTATATTCTTCGATGATCTGGAACCATACTGAACTGTAGAATCGTGCCTAGTGAAAGGTTAACTTCAAGTCAGGCTCAAAGGTGGTCTCTATTACAGTGTCCTTATCTTTGGAGCTGCTCTCGGTGTCAGCTTCAGCCAAGTATTGTATGTTCTTCCTGATCCTACGTCCATCAACGAGTGTGGACATGGATTTCGGAAAGCCAACTGGCCAAGTTTCGGAAGCCGTCATGCCGCATTCCCAGTACATTTGATCGTTACCAAAGTACAGCACTCTCTTCGACTAGGTGCTTACTTAGTACAGGGTCTGGTCTCTGGAAACAAACTTACCGATAATTCCTCTTGCAGGACCCATGCGCGATCAGCCAGAGGTCCGTCAGTCAGTCCATTCCATGAATACAAGTCCACGACGTAAAATTCGTCGTGTTGTTCATGTGCCCTGACCGTCTCGACTGCAGGCTGTTCACCTGTCCAGAATGTGGTTAGAGGTACTGCTCGTTTGTGAGCGAACTTGTTCATTTCCCGTGTTGCAAATGTTACGGCTGGAAATGGCACAGATTTCAACTTTTGTGATGGGAAAAGCCGATCGTTGCCGTCTTTGGCCGCAGACGCCATGATTGTTAGGACGGAGTTGTCGTAGTAGTCAGCCATTCGATGAGCCTCGTATTCCCAATCGTATTTATCTAGCTGATCCTGTACAATGCATAACGAATCAATCCAGATGTACTGATAGCCCAAATGGAGAGTGACATATAATGCGTCATGAAACAGTTGTCCAAGCTCTTGAATTGGGATGCTCTTTGACAAGTCGTCGAAGTTATTGCTTTTGAGCCTTAGATCTTTTCGGGATTCGGAAGATGGCTGAACGCCCCAGCAGTGGCTCAATGTAAGATAGCGAATTTGATCTGCGAGGCGCAACCGGTCTTGATCCGAAAATGAACGAACTCGAGCATGTAAAGTATCGTCGACTATTAGAACTTCGACAAGTCGTGTAGGTAGGCCTAAAGCCTTGTGCTTTCCTGGAGAGTTGTGAGTTGCATGACATTGAAAGTGGCCCTCTAGACAAGTCTGAAGCCATTTCTTTGCGTCGCTTAAACGTGACCCGAGGTTTCCTGGCAAGTCTCTCGTGAATGGCATTCTTCCCGCTGGTGTAAGTGTTAGGTGGTGCTTTAATGGTGATAAAGCGCGCCACATGTTGTCCGTGAAAACGATCTGGAACCGGTTCATAGCATCGTCTTTGAACAGTGGAAAGCCAGGATGGTCAACTTGTGTTGGGCTGTGACGGAGTCTGGTGCAGATGTAGCACCCTTTCGCAGCCGCATCTTCCTCATGGTCTATACGTCTTTGCTCAAGCTCTTCGGCATTCAGTTTCGTGATATTGAGGCTATTGGCTACGATGTTGAGACAAGGCTGACATAGCCACCCTTTGCTATCGGCCAAACAAGCTTGCCTCGACTCATCGGCCATGTTGCCTCCCGACGGTCGTTTGGGCGGGAAGACTGTCTTACTTATTCCAGGCAAAGTGACGAAATTCAACGTTGTTGGGGGGGAGGGTGAAGTATGACGAATTCGGAGCAGGCTGAAGGCACAGGCGCCCATTGATTTATACGGATTGCCAGGTACACGTCCCCGCACCTCGACAGCTTCCAACCGCAGCGCACACTGTGGCAGGCGCCATGCACGTACGCCACGCCAAACTTGTTATCGCGCGAGGCTGGATCATCTAGGCATCAACGTGATTTGCAGCTATCGCACTGCATTCGTTCGGCCTTCTATCGGATCCTTTCCTCAGGCTCCGAGGCCTTGACCGGTGGACACACTTTCCAGGTTCGTCAGCTCGCATGGTGTGGCATCCTAACCGCGCGCTCTCAATCCAGCCTCGATATTCACCGAGAACTTGCTCTCAGTTGGAGATTGGTTTTCTAAGACAAGGACTCGGGCCGAGCATCATCGAGACATGATTTGAAATTTCGAGCATCTGTTCCACATCGTTCTTTGCGTGGCCTTGCACTCGCACCGCTACATGTCACTGGTCCGCTTTCGCCTGCAATGCGCAGCACCCTGACCTTCCTCGTCATTCGTCGCGCGCACTCGTATTCGCATTGTGACATATCCCTGACTCGCTTCACCCTGCGTAGCTCCTGATTGTATCTAGCAGACGGCTAATCGCCGGAAAGCTCACAGGGTGGTGACCGGTGCTGAGAGATCACTCAAGCCACAACCTTGCCCCGCATCTGCCATGCTGTACTACGAAAGGAAAGCTGAACATATGCCAACCACCTATCTAACCTCAACCTACCTGGATAGCAGCCCGATGCGTTCCAAGGTTTAAGCTGCCCCAAAAGAACTCCTTTCTCCTGCCTACATCTGTCGAACCTCCGCACGAAGCAATGCGCCTTCTACAATGCAACGATAACGGCGAATTTACGTTCACAAAGGACCTGATCGGCGACGACGTTGTCCCTCAGTACGCAATACTGTCTCATACCTGGAAGGATGGCGAAGAAGTCACCTTCGAAGAGTTAAACAATGGCACTGGAAAGGAAAAACAAGGATACAAGAAGATACAGTTCTGTGGAGAACAGGCCAAACGTGACCGCTTACGGCATTTCTGGGTGGACACATGCTGCATCAACAAGTCAAACCAGGTGGAACTTCAGGAAGCCATCAACTCAATGTTCCGCTGGTACGAGAGTGCAGTACAATGCTATGTCTACCTATCTGATGTATCAACGGGGGAGCGCGAAGTGAACGATGAACGGAGTGGGATAGGCTGGGAGCCGGCTTTTCGAGCAAGCAGGTGGTTCACACGTGGCTGGACGCTCCAAGAACTTCTTGCCCCTCGTTCAGTCCAGTTCTACTCCTCAGAGGGCATCTTTTTAGGTGACAAATGTGCTTTAGAGCGAGAGATCTCCGAGATTACTGAGCTACCCACTTCAGCCATCCCAGGGACGAACCTTTCGCAGTTCAGTGTCGAGGAGCGCTTCTCGTGGGCGAAGCGACGCCAGACTACACGCAAAGAGGACAAGGCCTATTCCTTGTTAGGGATATTGGGACTGTTCATGTCCCTGAACTACGGCGAAGGGGAAGAGAACGCATTCCGACGTCTCCAAAAGAAGATAAAGTCTACGAGAGAAGATCAGGAATGTATCAAGCACCTGCGGGTGACCGATCCTCACGATGACAAGAAGCGAATTGAGGACACCAAGGGTGGCCTACTAAAGGATTCATACCGCTGGGTTTTCTACAATACCAACTTCCAGCAGTGGCGCGGCGGTCAGCAAGGCCGGCTGCTGTGGATCAAGGGTGATCCGGGCAAGGGGAAGACGATGCTCCTCTGCGGAATCGCTGATGAGTTAAGGAAGTCACTGGGAGAGACAGAACTACTATCCTACTTCTTCTGTCAGGCCACAGATGCTCGAATCAACAGCGCTACAGCCGTACTGCGCGGTCTGCTATACATGCTTGTCATCCAGCAGCCTCTGCTCATCTTGCATATACGAAAAAAGCATGATGATGCGGGTAGGGCACTCTTCGAAGACGCTAATGCGTGGGTCGCTCTGTCTGAGATCTTCACAAACGTTCTGCACGACCCAAGCTTAGGAGACACGTACATTATTATTGACGCACTTGATGAATGTATAGTAGATCAGAAAAAACTGCTCGACTTTATCGTCCAACAATCCTCTGCATCTCGCATCAAGTGGGTCATCTCCAGTCGCAACTGGCCTGACATCGAGGAACGGCTGGCGAAAGCTCGCGAGGGGACAAGACTAAGCCTTGAGCTAAATGCGGATTCTGTTTCTGCTGCAGTCGACTTCTTTATCAAAGAGAAAGTGCGTCAGCTATCGCAAGATAAGAATTACGACACCAAGACTGCAGAAGCTGTGCAACAGCACTTATCTTTGAACGCAAACGGCACGTTCCTATGGGTAGCGTTAGTGTGTCAGAACCTAAAAGACACTGCAAAGCGGAACGTTGTTAGGAAGCTAAGTGCCTTCCCGCCTGACCTTGGCTCGCTGTACAAGCGCATGATGGAGCAGATAAGCAGCTCAGATGATGCCGATGTTTGCAAGGAGATCCTAGCCTTGGCTGCGACTGTATACCGACCTCTCAACCTCGAAGAACTAGTAGCGCTCGTAGAACAGCTTGAAGAGGAAGCAGACGATCTTTTGGCTGTACAAGACATTATCAGCCACTGCGGTTCGTTCCTCACCCTACGGGAAAACACTGTCTACTTTGTGCACCAATCAGCAAAGGACTTTTTGCTGGACAAGGCAATGGACGACATATTCCCTTGCGGAAGAGAAGAGGTAAACCGTGCAATTTTCTCTAGATCGCTCCAAGTAATGTCTTTCACGCTTCATCGAGACCTTTACAGTGTACACAACCCGGGATGCCTCATTGATCAGGTCACGCCGCCAGATCCAGATCCACTAAGAGCTTCGCGATACTCATGCATCTACTGGATCGACCATCTCTGTGACTTAAGCTCTCCCTTCTATAAAGAAGAATCATTTGGCCCACTAGTCAGAGACAGCATTACCACTTTCGTACGACAGAAGTACCTCTACTGGCTAGAGGCGTTAAGCCTTTGCAAGGCTTTGCCAAGGGGAGTAGTATCAATGACTAGACTGGAGGCTGCAATCAAGGTAATGCTCCTTTAAGAACTATATCTAATAATAAGTATAAGCTGACAGTACATAGGATATAGCCGATACCTCTGAATTACACCAACTTGTTCAAGATGCGTGTCGGTTCATTATGTACCACAAAGGAGCCATAGAGAGCGCACCACTGCAAGCATATATGTCTGCACTTGTCTTCAGTCCAACAGGTAGCCTAATACGGAATTTATTTGGGCACGAGGCGCCGAAAGGCATTGTAGTTCAGCCAAGCATGACCAATGACTGGAGCGATTGCTTGCAGACGCTCGAAGGCCACAGCAACGATGTCCGATCGGTGGCCTTCTCTCATGACGCGACCCAGCTGGCATCTGCGTCCGTAGACAAGATGATCAAGATTTGGGACGCCAGCAGCGGAGCGTGCCTCCAGACGCTCGAGGGCCACAGCGATGAGGTTAACTCGGTGGCTTACTCATATAACTCGACCCAGCTAGCGTCCGCATCCAACGACAAGACGGTCAAGATCTGGGACCTCGGCAGTAGAGCGTGTATTAAGACGCTTAAGAGACACGGCAACACTGTCCGTTCGGTGGCCTTCTCTCACGACGCGACCCAGCTAGCGTCCGCATCCGACGACAATACGGTCAAAATCTGGGACGCCAGCAGCGGAGCGTGTCTCCAGACGCTCGAGGGACATAGCCATCTAGTTAGCTCAGTGGCCTACTCACATGACTCAACCTACCTTGCGTCAGCTTCCTTTGATGGAACCGTCAAAGTTTGGAACGCTAACAACAAAGCGTGCCTATATACGCTTGATGGCCACAGAGGCTGGGTGAAGTCAGTGGCTTTCTCCCATGATTCAACAATGGTAGCATCCGCATCATTTGATGATAAGGTCAGGATCTGGGACGTTGGTACTGGTACGTGCCTACAGATTCTAGAAAGCCATAGCGACTTTTCCTCAGTAGCCTTCTCTCATGACTCAACCCGATTGGCGACGGCGTCGTACAAGATAGTCATCTGGGAAGTAAGCACTGGGGAATGTCTACAAATGCTTGAAGGCCATAGTGGCGCCATCACTTCAGTAGCCTTCTCTTGTGATTCAACCCGGCTGGCGTCGGCGGGCGACAACACGGTCAAGATCTGGAATATTGGCCGCGACGCGTGCCTGGATCTTTCCGATAGCCATGACAGTAGCGTCATGACCGTGGCTTTCTCCCACGACTCAAAGCTACTAGCTTCAGCATCATGGGATAAAACGATTAAGATTTGGGATGCTAGTAGCGGAGCATGCCTACATACGCTTAAGGGCCGTAGCGGTGGGGTTACATTTATAGCCTTTTCTCGTGATTCAGCCTGGCTAGCATCGGTATCAATGTTAAAAACAGTCGGAATATGGGATATTCACAGTGGTGCATGTTTACGAACGTTTGAGGGCCACAACGATTGCATCTATTCAGTAGCGTTTTCCTATGATTCAACCCGGCTAGCTTCAACATCAAGCAATACGGTTAAGATCTGGAACACTGGCAATGGAACGTGCCTGCGCACGCTCGAGGGGCATAGCGACGATGTCTCGGCAGTAGTCTATTCTCATGATTCATCCCGATTAGCGTCAGCCACATTTGATGGAACAATCAAAATCTGGAACGCTGCTGACGATGGAGCATGCCTGTATACACTTGAGGGCCATAGTGACCGGGTCACATCGGTGGCCTTCTCTAATGATTCCACTATACTGGCGTCGGCATCGCGGGATGGAACGGTCAGGATCTGGGATGCGAACAGTAGCGTGTGCTTACGGACACTTGAAGTTAGCATGCACTTGGTACACATCTCATTCGACCACGATAACTCACGCCTTCACACCAATGCGGGCACCATAACAATCGGAGCAAGCTCAATCATACCTACGGCAGATTCAATAGGTCAAACCGCTCAATACAGTGGCCCACGTTTGAGCCCAGATGTAACATGGATAACATGTAACTCGGAAAATTTTCTGTGGCTACCTTCAGAATATCGACCAGGTTCAACCATATTGGGGAATGTGATTTCAGCCATGTCGGGGAATGTGATTGGGATAGGTAATGCGATCGGCAGAGTGCGCATATTCAAATTTGACTCTGACCTTTTCAAAGAAGAATGAGCATGTCAGGATTGTGTATTTTTTTTTGTTGCTTCATATTAGACTAGCGATCAATCAAATTGTCGAAAGGGCGAACAAACGCCTCGCCTGCGCTAGTCAGGAAGATGGTCGACCTGTTTCTGCTCTCCCCTTGTGAGTTTTCCGGCGATAGATGAGTACCATATCACGGTAGATCACACAACCGTCTGCTGGATACAAGCAGGAGCTACACGCTTGAAAGTGATCTAACGCGTATACTTGAGGTATAGCTTCCGCTAAGCGAAGCTGACGCCCTTGCGGTGAGAAAGCTCTCAAAGTGTAGTAACTGGAAGCCGTTTCTGCAAGAGAGTGGACGTGCCTTTGGAGGTGCACTTTGTGGTTCCCTTCACCCCCGCTCTTCAACCTCAAGCCATACAACTCAGTCCTGTACACCTCACCGTGCTGTCGTTCTATCCAATTCTCGCGTCCTCGTGTACCTATTCATGCAGCACAACGAGGCTCATCCTTTGTGTCTCGGGTGACACCTGCCACAGGATGGAGCCTTGAAGCCTTAGGCAGACAGGCACGACCTTCAACCTCGACTTCATCAGGCTCGCCAACATCCGCCTCTTTGCATCAAGATTCGTTACTGTGGACAGCCTGGAACCTGTCATCACGATTACCGGACTCCACGCCCGCTGCCCCATCCAACTCTCCCGTCGTCTTTCCATTTGCGCAGCGAAACGAGGCTCATCCCTTATGTCTCGCATGGCACCTGCCATGAGATAGAACTTTGATGCCTCAGGCAGACAGGCGCAACCTTCCACCTCTACTTCATCATTGGCAAACTCGCCTTAGACTCGCCAACCCCCGCCTCTTCGCTACTGTGGACAGCTTAACCAGCCTCCCGTCTCTGTGCTTCACTGAAACCCCATCTTCAAAATCCACGGCTTCCTCCTCTCCAGATCCAGAATAACCTGCCCAAACAGCCCATTCGCCCAGCTAAACCACTGCCTGCTCCACACTCCCTCCGTATGCGCATGCACACTCTCGTGCATCAACCCATACCCATCCGTACTCTGCACTAACCACCTTAGATTCTTCACTATCTCGTCATCGTCGTCGCTCGTCAGGATGGCCATGATGTTCGCCATCGGCCACGCCCGTCCCGGTAGGGTATGCATACTTCCTACACCCTCTATGATAGGGCCCCATGCGTAGTACGGGTTATCCCGAGAGAGGATCTTCCGCCGCGTGTTCTGGTACACGGTGTCGCTGGCAGGTGTGTAGCCTAGGAACGGCGCAGAAAGCAGGCTAGGCACGTTTGGATCGTCCATTAGGATCGCGCTTCCGTATCCGTCGATCTCGTACGCGTAGATAGGACCGTACTTGGGGTCCTGGATAACAGCGTGGGTCTCGATGCCGTTGCGTATCCCGGTGCTGATTTGGCGCATCCAGGTCGTTAGATTACTGCCTGGAGGCTGGACGTGCGCCATGATGATGGACGAGGCGTTCAGTGCAACGCTGTACATCATGTTGCTGGGGATCAGGTACTGATAGATACAGCTGTCATCGCTGGGGCGCTGGAAACTCCTCACCAACCCAATGCCTCCCCTGTGTGGACTGCCATTACAATCGTTAATGGGTGTCCCGCCGTACGGCGCACAGTACGTGTACGGCGTGTGCTGCCAGTTCCCCTCCGCGTCGTAGCTGTCCATCATCATCGCTTCCGTTATCTCTAGGATCTTCTTGACGGCAGCGATCCACGAGTGTTCACTGAAAAACGTGAAGTCTCCCGTCATGCGCGCATAATCCGCCGAAAGCTGTAAGAACGAAGCCAAAGAGTCCAGCTCCCACTGACAGCTAAACACAGCCATATAGTTGTAACTTGGACTAATCGTATCGCTATTCGCAGAGCTCCTCCTCATAATCCCGCTCTCCACCGGCGCCTGGAACGCATTGCAAAAGGGGTTCCCCAGAATATACCTCGCTTGGAGATTAAGCGCGCCCCTAAACAAACTCGCCAGGCTGCCTTTCTTCTCCGACGGACGTAGCAATGAAGTATACGACTGCAATTGATTCGCCGAATCCCGCAGCCACATAGCCTCTATATCCCCCGTTATTACAAAACTCAACTCCTGCTCTTCTTCCCGCGCCAGGCGCGCTATCTCTTCGTCAGATAGTTGGAACTTATGACTAGCATCCCACTTCACGCTCCTATTCATCACGGGATCCACCTCCTCCACAACCGTCTTATTCGCATACCCCGTCCACGCAACCGTCGTGTCCAGCGTAGACGGCCACGTATTCTCAAATAACCGCATCAAGTCCGGGTCTACGATGACGCTTCTCAGTCTTTCTATCGTGGCTTCGACTTCCTGGCTCTTGAACGTTCGACAGGGGGGGATGGGGCGCATGGAGGAGTTGCCATTTTCCTGAGGAGAGGGGAGGTGCTTTTGGTAGGCGTAGTTTGTGTAGATGGGGCATTGCGCTTGGACGTGAGAGAAGGAGAGGGAGAGGAGGAGGAGCAGGGGCACAGGGAGGGGAACCACATCTTGTGTGGGGGCCGGGCGCCGGTTGGGAGGGTGGGGTCACAGATGCTTCATTGGACTGGTTGGCGTGAGGTGAGACGTAGATGATGATGTTAAGGCAAGCTGAAGACGTTGTAGCACAGATGTTGGAAGACTCGTGCCGGGCGCACAGAGTGCAAGGTGGCTTAATGATGCCAAGCGTCCGCGGCGGGTAGGACGGGCGTTGTAGTGAATAGACAAACGCGCTAAAACGCAATCTCCAACGAGTGCAAAGCGCTAGAAGTAACGACGCTACAATGCCGCGCGGAAGAAATGTGAACCTCGAAGGAGAAAGAGTGCAAAGGTAAACGCGCGAGGAATGTAGTCCTTCTTGGCTGTGGAGCGAACATAGATTAACCAGCTCGCCAAGCTGCTCACATCCCTGCTTCAGATCCTTCCATCTCACCTCGGTCCCTTGACGATGCTCCGCGCAAAGCTTCTCTCGTCCGCGGTGAGCACCCACGCGATGCCCGAGTCGCCCGCCTCTTCCGTCGACACCTCCTCCCACTCGTCGTCCTCCATGTTCATTATCAACGTCATCTGCGTGCACTTTGCGAAAGCGTCGCGTAGCGCGTATTTCCCTCCTCCAACCGCCGCTGTCACAATGCCCGAGATATCGCGCTCCAGCCTTACCGCACCAAGCTCATTGACGAGCCCGTGGTACCCCCGGATGCGCTTCTCGAGGGCACTGGCCAGGTAGGCGAGAGCGACGGTAAGCAAGCGGTCAAAATTCGCAGTAGTAAGTATGCGCTTGATGGGCCTTATGAGCGCGCCCCAGCCCCGATCAAAGCGCGCTTTAACCAGATCTGCATCGTCTTCTTCGCCGTCTTCGCCATTGGCGTCTTCGTCCGAAGGTCTGTAGTTAATCTCGCGGAAGGCTTCTGAGAGGATGGGGCGAACGCGGGGTTTGAGGACGGTGTGGAAGGCGACCTGTATGCCGTCGTTTAGCAGCTCTCCACTGTTTACGGCAAACGAGTGTTCGAGGTTGCGGAGTTTTGTTTCTACGAAGCGGGCGTCGTGGCCGAAGGGGAATAGGTTTTGCAATGGTGATTCGGAGGAATCTTGCGGTTGGGAAGGGCCGCCGAGCTGCTGCTCCACGATGCGCTTGATGTAGTCATTTGAGACGTCCAGGTTGTTGATCAGCACAAGGAAGGCAATGACTTTGTCTTCCGGGGGAAGGCCGCCTTGTATCACAGGTCTGGGATAGCTCTCATCGCGCATCTTGCGCTGGATCATGCCGATAAAGTCTGTGCCTAGGAGACTACCGACTGTGGGGACGACGTTGGCGATGACGTCGCGCTGGGAGGTTGCTAGTGCGCGCTGGAGGACTTGGTTTAGGATGTACATGACGGTGTCGACGGCGGTGGTGATGAAGGGGGGTTCGGCACTGAGGGGCTTAGTGGGATTGAGGTTGAGGCCTGAGGGGGATTGGTCCATTTGGAAGGCTTTTTCTACGGAGCGGCGGAAGAAGAAGGTTGTCATGAAGTTGAAGGGTTCGATTAGATGACCAGAAACCTTTCGGTATAGGTTGCTTGTCGCTAGGAATTGCGGCATTACCAAGCCATGGTCGATGCGATCTTCGGGCTCAGCAGGCTGGGGACGTAAGTATGGTGGTACAAAGAGGGAGTGAAGAACGTACTGCGCATTTGTCGGATATGAAGCGGGAGTAAAGAGCCCAGCGACCGAGCATTAGGGCACTTTCAGCAAGTAGGCCATCGACCTCCTTCATGTCAACGCCTTCATCCTCGCTGGTACGTCCGGCAGCATTGGCCGGTGAGCTGGAACGGGGGGTCCCATTGGCGGGCTTGAAGCTCTGCAACAGAAAGGAGAAAGCATAAGATTTGATATCAGTCAGTTTACGATCAATGTTGCGCTCGTCGTGCCAGGTGTCTAAAACAATGCCACCTTGAACGTCTGCCTCAATCTGCAGACGCTCAATGACCTTTGCCATCATGCCGGGACCATAGTGGCGTTCTACTAGCGGCTCGTGACCGTCTACAATCTGGGCGATGTGCTCGAACAGCTTGGTGAGGGTTTGGCCATAGAAGTAGCTCTCCTGCCTCTGGGATGGCGGGGCCGAATTGAAGTTTGTGCGGGCTCTTGCAGCGACGCCCTGGCACACATAGCGGCCGTATGCATCGAGACCCGTGTCTGTTCGCCCAATCAAGGGGAACAGCTTGAAGAATCTCGTTACGCGCGAGCCATCGCCCTCAGTCGCGGCCTTCTCAAACTCGCGCAGGAACAGGCCGCACAGCGACTCGGCGGCGGCGTTCAGTGTCACCCGCGGCGGGTCAGGCACCTCTGCTGTGGGCACAATCTCTTCCGCAAAGCTGCCGTCTATGACCTCGTCTGGTATTTTGGAGGCACGGCTGAGGTACCCCGCGGCAGTTTCCCAGTCCTGCGGGGCACCCATGGAGCCATGCACACCCAGCACGCATGCCTTCAATTCCGCCACCTGCTCGACAACCTCCAGCGTCGCCTTCACATTTGACTGCTCGTGGTCCAATCGCTTCACGGCGCTCGATATGCGGTTCGCGGTGGAGGCTGCGTCGGACAGCATGCCATTGCTGATGGCGCGGGTGTTGACGACCTGGGTGCCGAGATTGGCGCGGAGCAGATCGAGGCGACCGAGCTCGCGGGAGAGGTCTTTCTGGGAGGCGATGAGGTCGTTCAGACGCTGGGTGACGGCGGCTTCCTGCTGGTGCAGCTCCGCAAGCGCAGCATGGATCTCAGCCACCGATGTGGCGGCGTATACGTCGTGTTGTGCGGTAGCGAGGGTGCCGTTCTCCATTGTCGAGAATAGAACGGCAGAGGCAAAAGCGAGGGCGCTTGTCTTTCCTATGGTACGTGTCGTCGATCGATGTCTTCTCTGAGTGGGCGGTTATGCAACGGTTGCTTGGATGACGACGGCCCACTTGCGCTGCTGCAGGGGCCGCCCGTCGCTCATGAAACCTTGGAAGACGGCTGGCCGCGAAACAACCCCCCGACCTCGTCCCTGTGTCTTACGTCTGACATACTTGCCGTTGCTATACCCACATAAATCGCTTGTTTGTTTAGCATCGTATTCACACGCACAATTGCAGCCGCACACCTACATCCTCCGCTCTACGCTGCGCCCAGTGGACCCCACGTCCAGACCTCCAACGTGCATACGCCGCTGGCACCATTACGAACCAGGCGCAGTTCTCGCTAAATCGAGTACAGCTGAACGTCTGCACTTCAGAGACATAGATACCGCTTTCGACCGTTTGACGGATTTCCTCTCGACGCCCGACGCATTCCTCAGCCTGCTGCGCAAACGGGCTCGTGCGACGGCCTATTGTCAAACACATTGCCCGTTACGTCGAAGCCCGAGTCTGTGCCCGCGAGCACCACGACGAGGCTGGCTGGCTACACGCTGAGACAGACGAACCCGCTGCGCTTCCTACCTATGCCTTCGACGCTACAGTCGCTTCCTTGAATAATACTTCTTCGCTGCCGTCCAGACACCGTGCTGCTGGCTGCGCTGCGAGGAACCACCGTCGTTCCGCACCCGAACCGCGGGCACCCTCCGCGCACCCGCCTCCATGGATTCCGCCGGCCAGCTGCTCCATGATGCCCACCAGCTCTACGACCGCTCCGGTGGGATAGGCGGGGACGCCTCGTCTCGGCCACCCGTATACAAAATCGTCGGTATAATCCTCGCCATATCTTCCGGTCTATTCATTGGCGTGTCCTTTGTGCTGAAGAAACATGGCCTGCTTAAGGCCAACGAAAAATACAATGAAGAGGCGGGAGAGGGCTACGGATACCTCAAGAACGTGTGGTGGTGGTCAGGCATGACGCTCATGATCATCGGCGAGATCTGCAACTTTGTCGCATACGCCTTTGTCGACGCCATCCTCGTTACACCAATGGGCGCTCTGACCGTCGTGGTCGCTGCTATCCTGTCTGCTATCTTCTTGAAAGAGCGCTTGAGTTTTGTGGGAAAGATGGGCTGTGTCAACTGCATTATCGGCTCAATTGTCATCGCTCTGAATGCGCCGCAACAGTCTGCTGTATCCAATATTCAGGACATGAAGAGACTCGTGATAGCGCCAGGCTTTCTTAGTTACGCAGGAGTCGTCATTGTTGCGAGCGTTGTTATCGCCCTCTGGCTAGGGCCCAAGTATGGAAAGAAGACTATGATGGTATACCTTACCATCTGCAGTCTCATTGGTGGTCTCAGTGTCGTTGCGACGCAGGGTCTTGGATCCGCCATTATTGCTCAAATCAACGGCCAGTCCCAGTTCAAGGAATGGTTCTTATACGTTTTACTCGTATTTGTGGTTTCTACTTTGCTAACCGAGATCATTTACCTCAATGTAAGTTTTTCACATCGCCACACCAAATCCGTTACTAACATCTCCTAGAAAGCGCTTAACCTCTTCAATGCCGCTCTGGTCACGCCCACCTACTACGTCTTCTTCACTTCCGCTACCATTGTCACCTCGGCCATCCTCTTCCAAGGTTTCAAAGGCTCGGTTATCAGCATCACCACTATCATCATGGGCTTCCTACAGATCTGCACTGGAGTCATTCTACTACAACTGTCCAAATCTGCAAAAGACGTACCCGACGCTGCTGTGTTCAAGGGCGACCTTGATCAAGTCCGCACCGTCGCTGAGCAAGAAGAGCCGGAATACGAACCGAGAGCAGACACCATCCGTGGCGGTGGTGCCATCCTGCGGTCCATATCCAAGGCGAGGAGCGAGAAACAACTCCAAGAGGCGAAGAGATTGCAAGAAGAGCGCATGCAGCCTATTGGCGAAGGGGAGGCGGTCGAATTCGATGGCCTGCGAAGACGAAAAACCGTGCTCGACCCCAACCGCCCGCCCACGCGAAGCGCTACTATCGTTCAACACAAGGTTGTGCATCCCCCGCTGGGCATGTCGCACTTCCCCGAAGACGATTCCGACGACGACACAGCCTCCTATCACCCAGGTTTCTTCCAAAGGCTGCGATCTCGCGGCAAGTCGCAAAGCAGCACTAACCCTCCACTCGACCTCGAGTCCCTGCCGCCTGGATCGTCTGGAAAGCCCTACGGTGGCGACATGCAAACCGACACCTCGTACAAACCCCACGAGACCACCATCCAATTCACCTCTTTACCTCATCCGCCTCACCCGCAAGATCCCGACTTCGAAGACGCGCCGGGCGAGCTGCATCCTCCGAGGCCACCACCCCACACCGCGAAGCGCCAGTTCTCCTTTCAGAACGTCTTCTCACGGAAGCGCTCGGAGTCTGGCGCCGGGGAATCGATAACGAGCAGGCCCGTTAGCAGGCACAGCCGAAAAGGCAGCCAGAATGTAAAGGACGCGACTGAGGAGGAGCGTCTGGGGCTCGTTAAGGGCGATTCGCGCATAATGGGGCCGATAATTAGCCGTGACAGTCGCGAAGGGAGCCCGCCGATGTACACAGATGATGAGTGGCGTATAGCGAGGAGTTCCTCTCCGGAGCGCGGGCTCAGTCCCGGCAGAGGCCCGAGTCAGGCGCAGGGCCAGGCGTTGCGGCGCGTGGACACGGAAGAGTGGGATCCGGATGACGATAAGGAGTTTGAAAGTAGGAAGGCGTCGGGTGGGGCGTTCATATAAGGGCGCTAAAAAGAAGAGAAGGGAAGAGAGAGGTGATCTGATTCATTTGTGCGCTTGATATGATACCAACGCGCGTGCCTCATTCCTACCGAGAGGATTCTTTGGATACAAGCTTTTCTGCGCGGGTTTTCTGGAAAAGAGCAGGGCGCACTGGTGGTCGCTTGTACGATACGGGGGCGAGGGCATAGTATATACGGGGCTGGACTGTACATGGGATGGGGTGTATATAGATAGTGGAGAGAGAGCGAGTGTGCCGTGGCTTTATGCAGTCATGAGGTAACGACCGACGTATATAATGATATCATCTTCTGCTGCTATCTGTCTCTGTCCTTACCTCTTGCTGGTCTACTCCGCACGAAACACTGCTCTTGGGGCCGGGGATATATTCTTCTCCTAGACAGACTTTGACCCTCGTACCACGCTTAAACTGCTGTTCTGGAAGGAAAGTCTTGGACCGGTTTTCCTGACGTCTTCTTCCAAGAGCCATGTTACTATTCCGCTTGACTGCAGCTTGGTCTTCGTACGAAATTTCAACTTTTACATATGCCGTTGTACTGCTCCTTATCTTTCTTTCACGTTAACGCATCGCCTGTACGCAAAAATCGGTAACGACAGTCGAGTATGGAAGAACGACTACTTTTTCGTTTACGCTTGGATCTTATACAATCTATCGTAATCATTCGCATCATGAACATGACTTCTAATTACCTTGAGAACACTCGATGTGGTAAACTCACGTTCTTTCCAAGTCGTCTGACGGATAACTTCGATAGTAGGTTCTGGCGACAAGGTAAGAGGGATGCAAAGTTACCACCGAGCGTTTTTGTACAGGTTTGCTTTCAATTAAATATGCCGTCGTCGCGCATACAGGTGATATCGATATATACAGGAGATACCGCCGCTAAAATGGGAGTCACAACAGCATCAAGCGCTGGAAGCTCTCAGGCCGGCATCTAGCTGTCCACGCCTCAACCCTTACCCCGGGAAACCCACAACCTGGAAGTTGTAGTTGCAAATATCCGAGCTCGTCTGCACAGTCTGGTTGCTGTAGCCGCCGGCAACCATCTCGCTGCCATCCCCTGTATCCGCACACAGTTAGCAAAGCCACTCATTACTCTCGGGAAGAAAGCAACTCACAAACTTCAAGCTGGACCTTTCCTGCGCCTAGGTTGTCGAACTTGAACTTGTTGTACCCCTCCTTCAGCGTCACCTTGCCAAGCTCCTTCTCGCCGTTGTTGACAACAGCTACAAGGCCTGTGCTGCCCTTCGCAACGAGCACGACACCGCTGACAGAGTCCTCGGCAGGCAGCGGCTCAGGCTTGCCCTTGGGGTCCGCGCTGCAGTCTCCACCAACGGTGAGGGTATGATGCCAAAACGCGCCTTGTACGTTCTTCCCGTTCGTAGGCACCACGTTCGCAAGGTCCGTCTCGCAATTATGCCACGCCTTCGCAAACCCCTTAATCACCTGCTGATACCCCGTGTGGTCAAACCCCTTGTACCACCCCTGCGCCTCGGTGTTCCCCGCGTTAGGCTCGTCCCAGATATTTCCAATGTAATGGCTTTCAGGAGCGTCGTTCCACGTCTGGATCTCGATCATGTCGGGCTGGTTTTCGCCGCTCAGGAGCTCCGCCATGCGGACTTCGAGGTTCTGCTCGCCGCGGCGGTACCAGTTTTGGCCGTCGTAGTGCTTGAAGTTTAGGGGGGAGAGGCCTGCGATGCGCAGCTTGCCCTGAGCGTTGGAGACAGCTTGAGCCCAGACGGCGTCGTCGGTGGTGGACGCGTTGGTTTCGACGAGGCCTGCGGATTGCGCGGGCCAGGAGTTCCAGCCGAAGACGCCGTCGTAGCTGGGGAAGGAGCCGAAGAGGTTGGCGTCTGGTGCTTGGTTGTAGAGGCCTGGGATGAAGAGGATGTTGCCGCCGACGTTGGACTTGAATTGTGAGATTTTGCCATCGTCGAATTGCTCGCCGCCGAAGGTGGTGACGAGTTGTTTGCCGTTGAGGGCGTAGTATGAGGGCCTTGAAAGGAAGGGCTTAAGGTAGTCGACGACTTGGCTGGGGTCGCCGAAGTTATTCACGCCGAAGTCGAAGGAGAAGAAGAGCTTGAAGCCGAGGTCGTCGGCGTTCTTAAAGAGGCGCTCTACGGTTTCGGTCGCCCAGGAGTCCAGGGAGTCTGTGATATGTTAGTTCGTGCTGGATGGTCACGAGACGGGTGCAGTACTGATGTTGAGCGCGAATGCGTCAAGGCCAAGATCCATTGCATCTTGAACATCTTTCTTGGTGTGTTCGTCGGTAATCTCTCCGATCATATAGTGGGCGAAGCTTCTATGGTAAGCTCGACTTTCCAAGGTAAGACATAGCATGTACTTACATCCCCTTGCTTGCGCAATCGCGTCGACTAAGAGGTGCGCTCGGCGCACACGAAGCCAAAGCCGCAAACGCGGCAACGGACCAGCCCGCGAAGAAACGCATTGTGAAAGAGTGACTGTAAACGCGAGAACGAATGGAAGACCCCTAAAGGATCGAAAAGACAAGTGAAGAGAAACGGTTTAGCTATTACCGCCCCATCGCTCCGACGCCATCTCTTATATCAAAAAGAAAAGCGTACCCTCATGTCAAGTGATGTTTGAAACGCCCGCTCAGGTAAGGCGAGCGACTACGCTGCCACGGTAAATTTGACCTATGGAGCTGGCTGTCACCAAGATTTGGCCCCAGCGGGAAACATGAAACTGCGTAAAGTCCGCCACCCGCGAAGCTACCATAGGTAGCTCGTAAACCTCGCTCAATACGGCGTTAGCCTCTCGCTGACGCCGGCATGGCAAGGGATGGTACTGTGGGAATGTGGAAAATGCAATAGGAGAGGATGTTTCAACCCTCGCACGCCGAGAAGTGCGGTGGCATGTTTGGATCCGCTAGCCAATCAGGGCTGCTTGGTATGACTGCAATCCAGCAAGGCCAGTCGCTGTAACATCGCGGTAACAGCCGTGATGTATACACAGCAGGAAGTCTGGCGAACTCGTTTGCTTGAAAGTCCACTGTCAAAGCATCCCCGAGAAGGTGGGTCGAACCCGAATCGCGGCCCTGACGGTGTCCGCTGGGCTTCGGAACCTCCCACTCAATTGGTGTCCTTGCATTGGGAGACGTCCTTTATAGAATCTTCATTCTGTTCGAGCAATTAGCAACGTGCATAACCTCGTGTAATTCGTTCTGTAACCAGAACGATGCGCATGTGGTGTGGGACTTGAAATGGGGTTGGAGTGATGCGCGCAGTGCCGCTGCTAACCAGATGGGGGAAGGTACAGGAACACATTTGCTGATCGCGCCCGCCAGTCCGGACGTCAACCACTTGCAATCCTCTAGGAACCTCAAAATCATAAGAACTGACTTTTGAGCATGTACACATATAACGAGGCGATGCAGACAATTGCTACCTGGAGTTTCCAGCCCCTCATCGATGATAACGGTCTGCACACAAGAATCTACACTCGCCAAACAGAGGCAGACATTCTTGTAATTGAAGCCAAGCGACCCAAACTTACAATGCAAGCGCATGCTTCATCTTCCTGATCGCCCCCCGCAATATATGCGGCACCCTTCACTTGGATCACATGAAGCCGTTCCTACAGAAATTCTTCACAGTCACGATGAGATCCCATCTCTCAGGCCGCAAGCTATACGTTCTTCGATTGCCCTCGAAAATACACTATGAATCGATTATGAGCGGTTTTTAGTCACTAGCAATCTCGTGAGTATCAATTAAACCACAACTTGCCCAAACCATGACAATGGGTAGAGAGATTTTCTATCAGTCCAAACAGAACCCCATGTACCGAAGCATAGTCGATTTCAGTCCCAGGTTGAGAAATCTGAGGGAGAGCGTGTGAAGAATGAAAACGTAGGCGGGTCAAGAAGTGTTTAAATACCTAAGAGAGGCGCTCAGCCTTAGCAACCACAAACAGAACCCCATGAAAGAGGCTTGTGCGGGTTTTGGACTGTCCCAATTTCCTGATAGCGCCCGGATCCCCTTTCTCAATGCCCATAGCAAAGTTTCGTCAAGATTTTAGAAAGCCGGTAATCTCAAACACATGGACTCTATAGACCGCGGAAAAGCCATATGCGCGTTCGTCCACGAACTTTTGCAGTCATATGCAAGCGTTCGGAGTAGAGACATAGGCTGGTGGCAGTGTTTATATGCCTACGTGAAACGAAACCATCACCTAGCAGACCCAAGTAGGAGCCCACGGTTATGGCCTGCGCATAGACGGTTGAGATGCCATGAGCAATAAGGAGACCGCTTTTTAGATAAGTCATCGGCGATAGTGGTGACTCATTAGAGTCCATCATTTCGAGTTGAGGCTCTTTTTAGACCACCAGGGCAAAGCCATAGTGCTTGGCTAGGTGGTTTTGGTCCCAAGCTAAGGAGCTTGAGTGTAAGCGTGTAGAGGGGAGACACAACCGGGTGGAAGTATTTATACATCTCTAAAGGCGCTAGCAAGGCGTTTGTCGAGGTCAGAGGATCACGAGCGGGGCTGGCATGAGGCTTGTGACGGGTGCATATTACATGTATAATTCGCAGACAAACAAACGATGATTACGGTCAGCTGATAGACATGGGCTCGTCTTCCAAAAGTTTTATGATGCCATCAATACTGTTCCATCTATCACAGCCAATTCAACCACTTCTTCAAAGCCTCCGCCGTTTCCTTCGGTGCTTCCTCTGCCCCAAAGTGCCCAACATCGCCTCCAAGAGCATGAAACTCGAGCTTTCCGTCCACCCATTCGCTCCACACCTGGGGAAAATCATACCTCTTCCCAATATACCGCTCACTATACACCACCAACGTCTTCACCCCGATCTTCTTCCCCTTCTCCCTCCACCCCTTTTCAACATCCACATCTACCGTAGCACCAGCCTCGTAGTCCTTGTTGCTCGCATCCAGTGTGTGAGGCTGCTCGAAGAAGCCCCTGTACACAGCTAGCGAGTCATCGGCTTTAAATGAAGTGAGACCAGAAGGATTCTTGCCCGCCCAGCGCAAACACATCTCCTCGCACCAGTTTCCAGGGCCGAAAGCAGAGATGAGGCGGTTCGCGAGATCGACGTTAGCGAGGAGCGGCCAGTGGAAATAGCCTACCACTTCTGCCGGGTTCTTGGATGAGGCTTCCCATTGGACTGTCGTTGGGACGATGTCGATTAGACAGACGCCTTTGATGGCTACGCCGGGGAAACCCTGGACGGCGAGGTGGTGTGCGACTCGAGCGCCGCGGTCATGCCCGATGAGTACGACAGGGATGTTGTCCAGAGACTTGCTGCTCGTGCGTTTGGCTTCTGTAAGGAGGGCTGTTAGAATGGTCGATCCGATAGAGTACTTGGAGTTGTCTTCGATGGGAGCGCTAGCGCCGTATCCGGGGAGGTCTGGGGCGAAGATGGGTGCGTCTGATGGGAGGAGAGCAACCAAGTGTCTCCACATGTACGAGGACTGCGGGTACCCGTGGATGAGTACGAGGATCGGGTTTTGCTCGGATGCTGCACCTAGGCCACGACTGTAGCTGACGACTTGTTCTTTGTTGACTGTCATCTTCTGTAGACCCAAGCTCTTGAGCTTTTCGTCCTGAATGGAAATCGCTGAGGTCGACATGGTGGATTGAGTGAGACTGATAAATAATTGTGATGTACTGAGTCACTACCGACGGGCTTAATCGTAGTGATACTTGTTTGCACGAGTGCAATGAATTGTACACGATGCCTTCAGTCGCTAGCTTCACTACTGACTTTATAGTGCCGCTGTTGTTTGCGCCCTTTAATCGAAAGTGGTGGCTTTGAAATCGAGGTTATGACGTTAGCTTCACAGAGTAGCCGTCGGCCAAACAGCACGCTGCGCTAGTGTATGCGCAACCACGAGAGCTACTCACCTACTGAAGGTGCATCACAATGCGACGACAACAAGGCGTACAAACCTAGAAACCGTAACAGGGTATATAATTTTGCCTGACACATGCCAAATCAAATGATGTCGACAGAGTGGCGCCGCAGTAAGTGCATATCAAATCCTGGCGCCGTCGCTATGCAGAAACAGTTTACAGAAATACCTCCCCTCATTGTTCCCGTGCTAAGATCGCCTTCTCTCGTTCGGCTTGTCGTCTCACTTTGCCCTTCTTGCTGTGTCGGCGCTCGTTTTCTTCCTTCCTCTTGACAGAAGCCAGTTCATCCTTCTTGATTTCGCCAGCCTTCTTCACCTGTTTCGGCACATGTCTATGCCTTGCAATGCGTTTGATCTCAGGCATGTGTTGATATCGCTCCTTCAGCGCGTCATCGTACTGCAGCTTCTGTCGGAGTGCAGCTGACTTGACGCCCTGTCTGGCCGACGCCTTTGCTCTCCACAAGCGCACGTTGCCGTCGTCACTGCCGCTGAGGACGTAGTTGTTATCTGCGCTCCATGCTACCGAGAAGACTCTCTGCATCCGCTGTGTGTGGTAGATGTCGCGTGCGTGGCCTTTCTGGCGTTCCCATAATCGTACCGAACGGTCATAGGAGCCAGAGACCAACTCCTCGCCTGTAGGGCTGTACTCAACGCTCATGACGGCTGCGACGTGGCCCTTGTAAATGTTCAGTGCTCGCTTCATGTTCCTCATATCGAAGGCATAAATGTTGTGGTCCTCATTCGCTACCGCAAAGTTGAATGCCTCCATAGGGTTCCATGCGATGCAATTCGATGCCAGGTGCAGCACTGTCCGATGTAGTGGAGAGCTTGTCCTGAGATCGTACAGGATGATAGCACGATCCGTTGCTGTAGAAGCTATGATCGATGTCTCCACCTGGTTCCAGGCCAGAGCATTAATGGTGTCAATCGCTGTAGGCCAATTCAGTGTCTGCACTGGCGCGCCTGAGGCTCGTGAGATGTCGTATATAGAGACCTTGTCCGACGCGGCCGCGAAGTTTGGCAGATTGCGATGGTGCGCAACCGAAGTGAATGCGCCTCCGTGCCATGTCGCTTTCGGGGGGCTTTTCGAGGGTGTAGTATACGGGTCGAACAGTTGAATTTTCTGGTCTGAACCGCAGGTGAGGAGGTGCTTATTCCTTGTCCAGCACATGCCTTTGATCATGTTTTCGTGGGCTTGAGCCTTCAAAAAGTCAGCGAGAACGAGGAGGGGTTCAGTAGTCGTAATATGTCTCCCGGCCAAGTCATAAAAGTCTTGTCTTGTGCCAACCAGACACATCTGCTGTACTGACGCGGCAATTGCGTACCTGCCAAATCTCTTTGCGCGAACCTTGGTCCCACACCTTCACTATGCCGTCACCGCTGCCGGATGCTAGGTTCTCGAGACTCTCGGGATCTTTTGCCAGGCTGTATACACCGTCGACGTGGCCTGGCTCGAAGTCGCCCAGGAACGGCTGTGCGAACATACGCTCCATCTTTGTCGCATTTAAAGCACGGGTGTATTCCCGCGCGCGTTCGAACGGATGTTGCGTGGGATCCAGATTGCGTGTTAATTTGTTGACTGAAGACCCAGGCGCCTGCGCCGACGACGCAGGCCTGGAGAGCGCTTTGATCTTCATGGGGGTGGTATTATCGTTCGCGCAACTTTTTTGGATGTTAATCTTTCGAGCACTTAGTCCATGTCACCAGCGCTGTTTGGCGTGAAACGAATGGAAGGATCCAGAGATTCGCAGAATTTAAGGTCACGAACGAAGAAAGTAGAGGTTACGAGCGTAAACACGGTGAGGATGTTTTCTGGCGTGGGTCGCAAGAGCAGCTCGAAAAGTTCGCCCATGGATGCCAAGACTCTGGTGCTTTTTGGTGGGGCGAGGCCGCACTAATCGATTCACACTTAGCGTCGGCGCGGCAAAACCTTTAGCGAAGACCGCACGTTAGATTTCGAACCTTGCGACCATTCTCCAACATCAACGACCGCCCATCCACACTAACCGCAGGACAGCAAAGATGAAGTTGTGAGTACAGCCCGAATACTCCAGTGGGAAGATTGCATGCGTGCGATTGGGGATTTGCAGGCGCATTGAGGGTCGCAGGGTATTTTGAGCAGACTGCTAACAACCTCTTCTACAGCCTCAAGGTCGGACGCGTTGTCGTATGTCGCAAACCACTCGAATCGCCTGCTCGCACGAACTTACACATATCTAGATCATCACCCGGGGCCGCTATGCCGGAAAGAAGTGTGTGATCATTTCTCCCCTCGACAACGGCACCAAGTCGCATCCCTTCCCGCACGCCCTCGTCGCCGGCATCGAGCGCTACCCCTCCAAGGTTACCCGCCGCATGTCGAAGAAGAAGCAGGACAAGAAGAGCAAGGTCAAGCCCTTCGTTAAGCAGGTCAACTGTGCGTGATCTCCATTGTGGTGCCTGGAGGCTCTCGGCTAATTTTGGCAGACACCCACATCATGCCCACCCGATACACCCTCGAGCTCGAGAACCTGAAGGGCGTTGTCTCGGCCGACACATTCAAGGAGGTTTCCCAAAGGGAGGAGGCAAAGAAGACGGTCAAGAAGGCCTTCGAGGAGCGCTACACGTCTGGCAAGAACAGGTGGTTCTTCACCCCCTTACAGTTCTAAGCTTTCTTTCGGTTATGGCTGGGCGTCGACGGGCATGGTTTGACAATCGAGATGATCCTGCATGAGTATGTCAAGGGAAATGACCGAGTATGCGGAACCGAGAGAGGTCTGCTGCTCGGGCGTGTATTTCGATAAACAGAGCAAAGAATCAAGGCTTTGGGTCGAACCGGCGATGTTCATCAAAAGTGAGGAAGTGTTTTTAACGCCCATGATGGAATACCCATAGGACAATATTACGATTACAAGAGACTGCACCAGGAGCCACCACGGTGATCTACGACAGCAACAAGGCTCCCGCAATCGTCGTACAGATTTTGCACAGGCCCATCGCACACCGCTAACATTGCGACACGTAGGTTGACATGCACATACACGTATGCATCGGGGGTTGCAGTGAGTCATGATGTTTCTATCCCTAAGGGCCAACGAAAAGGTATCTAAGCAATACTACAAGAAATCATGTACAGGCCGTCCCATGTATTAAGCCAACAAGCCTCCATCCAACCATTCAAACTCTCCGCGCAAGACTCCGCAATGCAAACCGCTGCACCTACTGCTTCTTCTAGACGCACGATTAGCTTACGCTCCTACACGAAAAGCACCAGGAGAAGATTTTGAGCCCAGCCAATATGCCAGTCGACGACGTCCCAGAGCTGTGCTTCAGGAATCACTCACCTCATTGATCTTCTTGCTCGCCTCCTTATGCCCCTTCTGCCAATACTCCACCAACATGGTATACCCATCGAGCCCAATCTTCAACTCCGTACTAATAAGCGCCTTCACGTTCTTCACCACGCCGTCCCCCCTCGTCTTGCTATACTCATCCTGCCACGTCCCCACTACATACTCCCGTCCCTTACCCGCAAGCGCAAACGGCAGGCCCACGATGTCCGACACCGTCTGCTTGAGCTTGCTAGTGTCCTCCTTGACGATGGGGAAGCGCGTGTCTACTTTGGAGAGGCCGCTGTCGCCGAGCTCGTCGGCGCGCGAGAGGTACGGCGAGAGGTAGGAGTAGGGCGTTTGGAGGTAGGGGTGTAGGGGCGCGACGAAGGAGTTGTAGGTTTGGTGGAGGAGGGAGAGGGATTTTGCGCCGTAGGGGTTGGACTTGTAGAATTCGAGGCCGTCGTGGACTACGGGGTAGGTTTGGAGGTGCTGGTCTGGTCAGAATTGTGGGGAGGAAACAAGGGAGGGGTGTGGATTGGAGAGGACGACGTGGGATGGAATGGTGCTCACCGATAAGACTTTCGAGTGCGGCTTGTCGCCGTTGGTGAGTCGCGTAGTCGTCATGTCTCCGTTGACCGTATCTTTCTCGGCGTGAGGCATCAAGTGTGGTTGTTGAGCTGTAGTGCCGTGTGAGAGTTGTGTCCTATCGGGTGTGATAACGGAGGACGGTGTTGGTTTGATTGACAAGCACGTCTAGCCAACATACCTTGTTTAATAGCAAAGGGAAATGACGAATGTGTGGCGCGCGGTCCTGAAAACGGCGGCTGCGTCTCTGTAGGATGTGTTAGTCGCGGCGTGAATGGCATGTGAAAGGCCCTCTTTTTGATTTATCGATAAGGCTGCATGGTGGAGCGTACATGGGTGAATTATTGACCTGCCTGCAAAGGTGCTGCAACGGCCGGGAATTGGTCGAATGTGAGGGGGGGAGGAGCAGCGGAAGAAGGCGGAGTTGCGCGTTATCATAAGCTTCGCCCTTCCTGCAGCCTGCTATAAGGCCTGTTATTTCGTGATTGCCTGCGAAGCATTCCACTGGATAGGCGCGAATGGCGCATGTGAAAGGTGCACGGACCCGCCCCGACCAAACGTCACCTCCGAGCGACAGCCTTGGGCGGGTATCAAATCGCCCCCGCAGGAGGCCAGATTCTGTTGACACGCCGCGCTCACGCGAATACGAGACCCGCGGACCCAAGCCCTACGATGCGCCGCTGGTTGACGGATGCGCAGTTTCCGGTTTCCGCATGCTGACCTCTCAGGCACAACTTGCGGGGTGTGCAGGTCAAACAGCTTCTAGAGTCTATTCAAGGCACCTTGATCGGTGACCGCTGTGCAACACCTATCTATACCGCCATTGCAGGTCTCTGCCCCAACACTTTGACTGGCCGGTTCCCCAGACCGACAAAATTGAGTGAAGGAAGAATGAGTGGGCGGCATGCGATTGTGTCTCTACCGCAGGCAAACCAGTCTTCCATTGGCTCTACCGCAAGCAAACCAGTCCTCAATTGGCGTTGCCGCTGTCTTATCTGCGAGCGCTTCGACGACGCAGTTCAGTAGCAGGGTTTCCAGATTGTGTTTCATTGTGATATTGGTGCGCTCAAGTCCTAGCGATGCGGAGCTGCGTCAGCCGCAGTGGAGTGTCCAGGCAGAAAGGCAGAATTGAAGCATGTGAAGGAAGAAGTCTCGCTTCCGTGGCACGGTTGCTTGGCCTCATGTCTTGGCTACTCTTATCAGAACATTGAACAATCGCATATAGACGCAAATTTTCGCATCTCCGTGATCGTTCAGGTGCTGCCGAACAACGCCTCGGCTTGGAGAGTCAGTGTACACAGTATATGAGATTGCCTAGGCTTCAAAACGTGGAAAGAGTCCCGCTTTGGGTGACACGACGTTGACAATGGTGGCTCGTTCACGCCACTATTGGAGTACCACGGTACTTTCACGTGCCTATCCACCAGCCACGGAGTTGAACTGCATTGCAGCGAAGCGAGCTCAACAGCCTTGGATGAGGCTGCAGCTTGGCTCAACGATCGTGATCGGGTCGTCGCAAAGTTTCCCGGAACGCCTCGCAAGCCCCAAGCAAAGACGATGATCTCGTAAATGCCTGGAGCAGTTACATGCTCGTTTTGGAGGGAAGCCTGCTGAGACTAGCTCAATATTGGATCTCAGACCGACACTCACCTGGCACAAAAAAGGAAGGGCGGTGTGTTGAAAACCGACCTCCAACTGACAATCAGGTGCAAGAGATGATCAATTGCGGATCATAAGTAGAGCGAATTTCGCCTCTGGACTGATATGTGCAGATGTTAGTTGCGATTGCGTTGCTTTCACTAACCCCTTGAACAGAAAAAAAGCGGAGGCGGCAGTAGCCATGTCTCATCGCCACGTATGTCGCACTTCAACACCTGGTTTTGCAGTTACACAATCGTATCAGCGAGATTGCCACGGTCCAAATCAGGCCGCAGTACACTTACCCCTCAACGAGTGCTTCCCGCTCAATTCCGACATGTCGTACCTCAACTCCACGAATAGAAAAGGAACCCCACGACTGGGACGAGAACCCCATATATCCAAGGCATACCCCACTCTGAGAGAAAGATTAAGCACCTCTGCTCAGCCTGCATGAGATTGGACCTATTGCTTGATGATCCGTTGATCCTCGAGTCCAAGGTCATATACGATGGCTTCAAATGCTTGAAACCAACTGTCGCACATGTGAACCCAGCGGCATCGATATCTGCAAGGTCCAAGCTCATGCAGCCCGGAACGAGAGGATCGTGGGCATCCGCAGTGTTAAGTTCCTGGGGAATCGACCACCAATGACCTCTTCGATCACGTTCTGGGCTTGAAAGAGTATCGCGTGACGAGAACACAAAACAGAGGAATACGTGCATCGACATGAGGTTCCAGTGACTACTTACGAGCTGTCTGCGTCTACAAGGGATGATGTCTAATTTAACATAACCAGATCATTGATAAACATGTGCGTATAAAACCACAAAAAGAGCTTTCAGAGCTTTACGTGTTCTTCCAAGCAGAAGGCCCCCTCTACTCGATTGATCGAGATTGTGCAAGACCATAGCTTCGGATTATACATTTCAATTCCGACCTTGGGCTGGGATCCAGTATACCACGCTGAGCTATTCATGGCATTCTAGAGAAGACTCAAACCGTTGCTGTCACATATGAATCGATGGACCAATTGCCGATATATCAGTGTGCTCCAATCAATGTGTTGAAATGCAGTACACACTACCCTACGGCTTGATCTGACGTATGTATGGATTGATGCACTCTGCATCATTCAAGACGATATGCGTCACGAATATTTGAGAGTTCAGCCTATGTAGTGAGCATCGTGGATCACTTAGAATCAAGAACACGAAGATATGCTGTGCTCTAATGCTTGTTGTGTGATACAAATCGCAGCTCCGATGCCTTCTATACGCTGCATATATATTGTGCAACAGGCAGTGTCCGTAGAAGATGGATTGGTTGATGAAGTTATCGTCTGGTGGAGCTCCGGTATTGTGCGGCATACCAATCGAATCATTATCTTCCACGGCACTAAGTTTCTTCATAGCAAGTTGACGCGATTTATCTCATTAAATTTGACATCCAATGCATCGCTCGCATGGGCTGATACAGGCAGACGCAGATCCAAGTCCACAGGAAAGTATAGTTTCAGAGCCCCTCATTACAACATACTGTTAGAGAAAGTGACGTCCTTGCACTTCCCACAATCCATCCAATCGTTCACAAATTCGCCTCAATAGCCTTTCTCAGCTCTTTTGGTCTAGCCCCCGTCACGCCCTCTTGAATATCACCGTCTTTGAAGATACTGAAAGTCGGCATCTGGCTGACACCCAGCTCTTGTGCTATATCCTCCGTCTCTTCCACATCGTATGTGTAGAAGTGAACATTTGGGTATTCAGTGACCATCTTTTGGACTTCCGGAGCTATGGCTTTGCATTGTGCGCACCAAGTGGCGGTGCCTTCGAGGACGGTTACGCCTTCGTACATTACGGCTTTTAGATATGCGGCTTTGGAGTCGAGCGTTTGGATGTTTGGGTCAGACATTTTGGGATGGTGATGGTGATACGGTTTCAGAAGGGTATAAACCGTGTAGTAAAGGTACTCGTAGAATAGGTCAGTGTGGGAGTTAAGGGTTATTGCGTCATCGTTCCCGATTCTAACTATATATAGACTAGACCGCTCAGCTACGCTACGTTGAGCTATAATGCTCACAGCTTCAACGCGTCGATGCGTGGTCTCTGACAAGAACCGTCGATGATCTGGGATTAAACTATGCCTTCGAATTTTCCTCCTGCTCATTGAGCACATGCTCAGAATCCAATGCTCTGTCCATACTCGCATGCTTGATGAAGGCGCTCGCGACGCCAGCCAACACCGCGACGCCCAACAGCACCTCAAAAAGATTTCGAAATGCCTCAGCGTATGCAACACGATAGGACACCATTTCTGCGCTGTCCGGCATCGAGTTCAAGACCAGGATGAACGCCTCTGCGTCTTTAGCAACATGCTCGTCTAGACCCCTTGAAACAAGGTGCACAAGCAGTCGATTCTGAAAAACGGTACCTAAATTGCGGGTACCATGAGTATGAGATCTGAAAATAGGAGCCCGAAAGTCGACATACCGCCAATAGCAACGCCGAGACACATTCCAAATGTTCTCATAAATGTGTACATGGCAGCAGCATATGCGCCATCGCGCTCTTTAGCAAGTGCTTGCAGCGCGAAGTTGAGGGAAGTCAGGACGAGACCATGGCTAGGTCCTATGGTGAGAAAGATCAGGATCCAGCCGTATGTGGGTGTAGTATGCGACAGGATAATCAATAACGCGGTTGAGACGATGATGGTTGCCCATCCGGACCAGATCGCCCAACGGTAGCTGCCCAAGCGCGTCATAAATCCTCCCACGATAATAGAGGTAGGGATGAGGCCGCCGATGATCGGAACTAGGCCTACGCCAGATAGGGTAGGACCATAGGCCTGGACCGACTGGAGATACATTGGGAGATAGTAGAGATGTGAGAACATCTGTGATTGAGTGTCAGGCCCCCGCGGCAATCAAAAAGCGGATGAAAATGAGGATAATGTGAAGGACAGCAAAAAGAAGACGAGACTTACCAGCAGACCTTGCAGAACAGCACACGCGTACGCTGCGGTAGCTGCATGGTCTTTAAACAACCAAACTCTGAGAAAAGGCTGAGGAGCCCCATACCGTTCCCAGGACAAGGTAGCCAGGATACCTACAATTCCTAGTACGATAGGCACAATTGTTCGCCAGCTATCCCAAGGATACTGCGTGCCGCCCCACGTAATACCAATGAGAAAGCTGCATGTACTGGAAATGAACAGAAAGGCACCAAACCAATCGGTTTTCGTGAGTCGGTCCTGAAAGCTCGCACGCTGGGCGCGCAGTCTCACCACGAATGGGACCATACACAACCCTATCGCGCAGAATGGAAAGTTTATATAGAATACCCAGCGCCACGTCGAATGCTCTGCGAATCCACCACCTGCCATAGGTCCAATGATCAAGCCCACTGCCTAGATGAAGTCAGCGCATGTCCACGACATATCCGCTCGCCCACTAGTATAACTTACCCAGGCAAGTTGGATGAGACTATAGTATTTCGGTCGCTGACGAAGCGGGACTATATCGGTCATGATAACGAGGACGAGGGACAGCGCCCCTTCCCCACCGATACCCTGTACCGAGCGACCGGCAAGCAAGGTGCGAAAGTTTTGTGCTACACAGCATAGTATTGTACCGATTGTGAATAGCAAGAGTGACGAGAAGAGCAGTTGGCGGCGGCCGAAAGCGTCGGACAGCGAAACGATGAAAGGCTGGAAGATGGCACATGTTACGAGGTAAGATGTCCCGGCCCAGAAGGTTTCGTTCGCATTGCCGTGGAGGCTTCGTGCAATGGCCTGAGAATGTGAGTCAGTTTGGACTTGCACTCTGGAGAAGAGGTTCAAAAGGACGACTGTACTGACGGGAAGAACAGGTCCAAGGATTGAACTGTCCAGCGAAACAATGAGTGAAATGATGGCCAGGCAGAGGAAGATGAGCCATTCACCACGACTCGTTTTCCACTCGTTCGTAGAATGGTGAGTATTTACGGCGGTATCCTTTTCAGCCCGACCCTCCGATCCAACATCTCGCGAAATTTCGCTCAGAGTTTTGTCTTCGGTTATGTTTGCTTTCCCTTCCATATTGTCTCCCAGTCAATGGTCATTGAGAAACTAATTTGGTTGCAAAAGATGAAGGGCAGGCCAAATGCAACCAGAATCTCGAGAGGCACGTACATTGACCAGTCTTTAGGGTGAGACATGACATATTCCACCGCTCTTGAGGGACCTAGGAACGAATCGAGTGAAAGTAAGACATGCATGCCTTCGTGGCGGCGGGCTGCATCACTATTCGAGCTAACCATTCTTAATGAGGTGAGTAAGCTGTAGTCGGCGATGCAGCTTAATCATTTTCACCACTAAGAAGCCAAAGGATTACACTATTGATTTAGCGCGGTGTAAGTGAGCCTGTGTCAGACCAACCTTGGCTCGCGGGTGGGGGCCGCGAGGTTGGTGATGCTCGCGAACATCTTGGAGGATCTCCTCGCTCAATTCAGCAACCTCTTCGGTATGCATGCCTCCTCTTAAGCAAGATTGAAGTAAACTTCGGGCTAGTATCTGCGATTTTCGGGGCTTAGGCTCGCCAGATTTTCAAATGATTCGCGTCGGCCAAGAGTAAGCTTGCGCTGACTGGTCCTTTGTGCGCCAACCAAGTGCGTCTCAAGAGCTCGGCTCGCGCAGTACTACCACTTTTCGTGATAGCCTCTTTAACCATAAAGCTAGTTCAGATGGGCCAGATGCATCGAACTCGTTATAACTAGGTCCGATCGACCGAAAGCGCGACCATAAAGCGAGCGAAGAAATGCTCGGGATGTTATTCGCAGACCTATCGAACATCTACAGGCTATGGTATAACCACATTGGTTCTGTTATCGGAAGATTCCGTTAAATGGCGAAGATGTTATCATTACAGACCTATGGCTTTGTGTTACATAACGTGTCAGTACATCGATCTACACTAGGTCACCTCCAGTAAAAACCCCACAAACTGGTCAGCTCGCCTATTTTATTACCCTATTGGTTATAGAGTCTGCTTGCAGACCCAATTTCAGGGTCGTGGCAGACCACGACTCGAGTCATCATATGGTTCAGATGGGGCTGAAATGCGTAGGGGTACAATGATAACGACGCGAGGAGCTCAATGAGGGTAAGTTGGGAGCGACCTCTGCATTCAGCCTCGCGCTACTGCCAGCTGAACTCTTAGTGACAGGCGTAGTGAAAGGCAAGAGTGCCTTATGGCGACCCTGGCAGCTGCACGACCAAATGCATCGCGATTAGACGACGCTTAGCCATTATGACGAGACTGCAGCTTACTTGGCAAGGAGGTGAGGAAGAAGCCTAGCCTGTCTCACTGTGCAAGGATTGATACGTTGGATCTATGAAGACAGGTACATAATCGTTACACAGTCTCTCCACATCGACAGCCACGCCAACACATCCACGAGTGCAACTATTAGCGGTTTCCTGCGGCTCGCTGGCTCACCCCTTCGGGATCTTCTGGCCTCAAAAAGTGTACAACATTAGGCCGCTCGCTCGGCTCGATTTGTTTCCCTCTACGTGAATCATCATGACAGTCCAAGCTGCACAAGAGAATGGGTATCGCACAAACGACGTGTGCGAATCCGAATCGGCAAATACCAATGACGTTCAGACGAACAAAATTCCGAGATCACAGCCTAATGGCGTTCAAACGAACAGGAACGGCTTCAAGGACGCCATATCCGAGGACACAGTTACTCCACCGCCTATTGCCATCGTAGGTATGGCTCTGCGGCTTCCCGGTGGAGTCTCCTCCCCAGAAAGTCTCTGGGACCTCCTCATCAATAAGCGAGACGGCCGGAGCCGGATTCCCAGCGATCGTTTCAACGTCGAAGCATTCTACGGCCCATGTGCAAGGAAGGGTGAAGTTGCTTCACAGTATGGTTATTTTCTAGAGGACTCGCTAGAATATCTTGATGCATCTTTCTTCGCTATGTCGAAGGCCGAGATTGCTCAGCTCGACCCTCAGCAAAAACTGTTGCTAGAGGTGGTGTATGAGTGCATGGAAAGTGCTGGTCAGTCAAACTGGCGGGGTAGCAAGGTCGGTTGCTATGTGGGTGTTTTTGGGGAGGACTGGTTGGACCTTTGCAACAAAGACACCCAATCGTTCGATATGTACCGTATTTCTGGAACTGGAGACTTTGCGATATCGAACCGGATCTCATATGAGTATGACCTGAAAGGGCCGAGGTGGGTAACATCGTCTTTCATACTATGCTTAGGACCCTGGTGAGGAACGCAAGCACCTACTAGCTTTTACTGTTTTCTCGATTCGTGTCTTCATTGAAGGATATTGTTCTTGATAAGATCACTCACACTATGCAGCATGACTATTCGTACCGGCTGCTCTTCGGCCCTTGTTGGTCTCGATGAAGCCTGCCAGGCTCTTGCCAACGGCCATTGTTCCTCCGCCATAGTAGCTGGCACGAACATCATCATCAGTCCAACCATGACACAGCATATGACACAGCAAGGCGTCCTATCCAAAGAGGGATCATGCAAGACATTCGACGCTGCTGCTGATGGGTATGCCCGTGGTGAGGCTATCAACGCTGTATACATTAAGAAGCTAGACGATGCCCTAAGAGACGGCGATCCAATTCGCGCAGTGATCCGCTCGACCTTCCAGAACAGTGACGGCAAGACAGCTGGGCTCACTAACCCGAGCTCGCAAGCGCACGAAGACATGATGCGGACGGCGTACAGCATTGCTCAGCTACCAGTGTCACGCACAGCTTACGTCGAATGCCACGGCACTGGAACATCAGTCGGTGATCCGCTCGAAACAGTTGCCATTGGTAAGGTTTTTGGCGGCTCAGGTGTGTATATTGGATCAGTCAGTGTGCCTTGCCTGAGTCTTCTGCAACATAACTAACAGAAGGCTCGAAGGTCAAACCAAATGTTGGCCATTCAGAAGGGGCTTCCGGTATTACAAGCCTCATAAAGGCAGTTCTGGCTTTGGAGAACCGAACCATACCCCCGAACATCAAATTCTCGACACCGAACCCGAAAGGTACGTATGCCTTCAATTGCTGTCTCAGATTTATATCTGACAAAAACGGTTGCAGTTCCTTTCAAGGAGGCCAATCTTCAAGTCCCAGTGGAGCCAACGCCGTGGCCGACTGACCGAGCTGAGCGTGTCAGTGTCAATTCATTCGGGATAGGAGGAGCAAACGCTCACGTGCGTGAGAATTCGAGGAGTACCTACAACAACGTCAAGTCTGACCAGTGAAATAGGTCATATTGGACTCCGCTGCGTCATTCCTAGGCACAGGCGCCGGAAGAAATGCCCAAGCCACAACACCAAGGGATTCGACTCCTCGTCTACTTGCGCTCTCCGCGAATACTTCAGACTCCCTTCGCAGACGTGCCACTGATATTCAAGGTTATTTCGACTCTCATTATGACGGTGTTGATGACATCGCCTACACCCTAGCCTATCGTCGCGAGCACCTACCTCACCGTGCATTTGCCATAGCATCAGGGAAGGATGCCGTGAACTTCTCTAATTCTCAGAAGACGCCCCGCAATGCCCCTACAGTGAACTTTGTATTCACCGGCCAAGGGGCACAATGGGCTGGAATGGGTGCTGAGCTTATTGCAGCTTTCCCTACCTTCAGCGACGACATACTCTACCTAGACAGCGTACTACATGCGCTACCGGATGGGCCATCCTGGTCAATGCAAGGTCCGAGCATATTAATTCCATACAAGATGGCTAAAGACGCTAACATTGGGCAGAGGAGCTGAGCGCCGGGAAGGAAACATCTCGGATCAACGACGCAGAGCTCTCGCAGCCGCTCTGCACGGCACTACAGATTGGTCTAGTGAACTTGTTAGCAGGATGGGGAGTTCATCCCTCAGCCGTGGTCGGCCATTCCAGCGGCGAAATCGCCGCAGCGTACGCTTCGAAGGCGATTTCCGCTGAATCTGCAATTGCCATTGCATATTACCGCGGAATGGTGACGAAGACAAAGTCACGCACAGGAGTAATGGCTGCTGTGGGTCTTGGTCGTAAAGAAATGGCCGGGGTTCTGGTCGAGGGCGTTGTTATTGCGTGCGAGAACAGTCCCAAGAGTGTCACTTTGTCTGGTGACGCCGACAAACTTGACGAAGTCATCAAAAGCTTGAAGCAAGAGCAGCCTGATGTTTTTTGTCGACTACTGCGCGTCGAGATGGCGTACCATTCGCGTGAGTATTTCTTCGGTAGAGGTTTCCGCGAAGCTTTGCAGACTAATGGAAAGATAGATCATATGGCCGAATTCGGAGAGCAATATGAATCTCTGATGGAACCACATGTCCACAGTGATGCACCCACTGCCAAGTTTCACTCTAGTGTGCATGGAAAGGTAGTCGCAGACGCTGGTCGGCTAAACGCGGATTACTGGAGAGCAAACATGGAGAAGCCTGTCCTCTTCTACACAGCTATCAACTCCATCCTCAGCTCCACACAAGGCGAGCCAAACATTTTCTTAGAATTAGGACCCCACCCTGCACTTGCGGGGCCACTTCGCCAGATCTTCCAGGAGAAGCAGCCTACACCCACCCCAACATATATCTCTTCGCTGGCTAGGAACGAGGACCAGGTCCACAGTATCTTATCCACAGCTGGACAGTTGTTCCAGCAAGGCCTTGCCGTAGATTTCAATGCAATCAATGGGCCTGGTAAAGTCTTATCCAACCTCCCATCCTACCCGTGGCAGCACGACACTAGCTACTGGAAAGAATCACGTGTGACCCGGAACTGGAGACTGCGCGCTTACCCTCACCACGAGCTTCTTGGCTCGCGAATGCTGGAATCCAGCGATCTTGAACCGTCTTGGAGGAATGTGTTGCATCTGGATAGTGTGCCATGGCTGCGCGACCATAAGATCGTCGAAGACATTGTTTTCCCAGCTGCAGGATACATAGCCGCCGTTGGCGAAGCTATCCGTCAAACGACAGGGTCTAAAGACTACAGTATCAGAAGACTCGTTGTCAAAAGCGCATTTGTGCTTCAGGAAGGTCAGGCTCCAGAGGTGATCACCAGTCTGAAGCCCATAGCGCTCACGGACAGCCTGGAGTCCGAGTGGTTCGACTTCACGATTGCTTCGTATGACGGTGCGAAATGGACGAAACATTGTACCGGTCAAGCTCGTGGGGGGTCCAGTCAGCCAGAAATCGTCAGGAATGTCGTCGTTCATCCGCGCGCAGTGCAGTCGAGCGTATGGTACCCAGCTATGAAGAAGATAGGCTTGAACTACGGTGCACGCTTCCAGTGCCTGCAAGACATAACCGCGCACCCTATACAGCCCGTTGCCAGCGCGAACGTGCAGGATAATCTGGAATGGCACGAAAGCGTCTATGCCACCCATCCTACAGTAATTGACCAGACGCTCCAGCTCTTCACCGTAGCAATGTCCAACGGCCTGGCGCGCCGGCTCGACAAGCTCGCCATCCCAGCAGTCATAGGCGAGTTATACATCGGTGAGAGTGGTCCTTCTATCGACATGGAAGTGGAAGCCCGCGTGACGCCCAAAGGTGCTATCCATGGATCGGCGTTTGCAGTATCGAATGGGAATCTAGTGCTCTCGCTCACTGAATCGACATTTAATCCACTTGAAACCGATAGTGCCAGCTCTGAGAAACTAGATAACCTGGCAGCAGTCCGGTTAGAGTGGAAGCCAGACATTGACTTTGTGCCTGCCACGGACCTAATCCGTTCGCGAGGCAACAAAGACGAAGCTATCCTCTTGGTAGAAAAGGTTGCAGTGCTGTGTATGATCGAGACAGCCGCACGTATCGCATCGCTCAACATCGCGTCAGGGCATCTGCAGAAGTTCCGGTCGTGGCTGGATATGGAGGTGACACGCATGGCTGATGGCCAATACGACATCGTTCCGGAGGCCAAAGCATGGGTTGCTCTACCATCGGAGGAGCGTATTCAGCTTCTAGAACAAGCACTAGTAGATGCCTCGGCCAATGAAGACAGTGCACCCGTGGCGTCCGTCATTCAGAGCATCCTAGACAACTGTGACGGCATATTCCACGATCGCGTCAGCGGGATAGAGCTCCTGCTGCCGAATAACGGGCTTGCGAGCATCTACACGTTCTACCAAGATATGGTCGACTTCTCCGATTTCTTCGAGCTGCTCGGCCACTCGCAGCCTACTATGCGAGTCCTTGAAATAGGTGCTGGTACTGGAGGTACCACGTCGTGGATCCTAAAAGCGCTTCAATCGGCTGAAGGAGTCCGGCTGTTCTCAAAATATCACTACACCGATATCTCTGCTGGGTTTTTCCCTACTGCGAAGGAGAAATTTAAAGACTTTACTGGTATTGAATACTCGGTGCTAGACGTCAGCAAGGACGTGGTTGAGCAAGGCTTCGAGCTTGAGACCTACGATATCGTCGTCGCCTCGAACGTTTTGCATGCCACACCGAGCCTGCATGGCACGTTGACGAACGTGAAGAAGCTCCTTGCGCCGGGAGGACGTCTGTTTTTGCAAGAGCTGTGTCCAAATCTAAGGTGGACTAACTATATCATGGGCATTCTTCCGGGATGGTGGCTCGGCGAAGCAGACCATCGCCCTTACGAGCCTTTTGTATCGCCATCCCGGTGGGATGAGGAACTCTGTGCGGCGGGCTTCAGCGGTGTAGACAGTGTTGTGTACGATAACGCTGAGCCGCTTCAGATCAATGCCAACATGGTGACGATGGCTGTGCAGACAGAATTGCAGCCAAAGAAAGAGATCAGCCTGATGTACCATGCTGAGAAGAGCCCTGGTGCTCACGAAGTCGCGAACCACTTCATCGAACAAGATTTCGCAGTCACCTGGCAAACGCTCGATCAAAAACCGGATGATGACCAAACGATCGTTGTCCTATTGGACCTAGACGGTCCGTTTCTCCACGATATGTCCCCCGAGAAATGGTCCGCCATCCAGAACTTCTTCTCTCACTGCAGTACCCACTCCAACCATATCATCTGGGTAACGCAGTCCGGCCAGGTCAGTTGCTCAGATCCATCTTACGGCTTACTGCCCGGCTTCGCTCGAACTTTACGCTCTGAACTTTCGCTCGACCTCGCCACATTCGAGATCGACAATTTTCGTACGGACGCCTGGAAAGCTCTAGTCGAGCTCTCGAAAGGCTTTCAACACCGGCGAAAGAAGGAGACCCTCAATCCGGAATACGAGTATGCGTTCTTTGATGGGAAGATCCACACTAGTAGATTCCACTGGATATCAACTGCAGAGAACGACGTGACTGAGGTATTGAACCCGGAAGCTAGATTGGAGATCGGAAAATACGGCTTGCTGGGCTCCCTGGCGTGGAAGATTGTCGATGATAAAGAGACGCTTCACAACGAAGAAGTGGAAGTTCAGATTCGCAGCGTTGGCCTCAACTTCAAGGTAAGATGAGTGCACTACTCTTCTATTTTGATTGCTGTCCTGACCTTCTCTTAGGATGTCCTCGTTAGCATGGGCATCGTAGATGGTCCAAAAAATAGGCTAGGCCTCGAAGGTGCCGGCGTGATCACCAGAACCGCACCAGGTGTTGATCACCTACGCGTGGGAGATCGAGTGTTTGTCTGCGACCTCGGATGCCTATCTACGAAGATTGTGACTTCAGCGCAGTTGTGTGCGCGTATACCTGATAGTCTGAGTTTCGAGGACGCTGCCACCATGCCATGCGTCTACAGTACTGTAATTCATTCGCTTGTCAATGTCGGGGGTCTCGAGAGCGGACAGGTAAGTCACTTACATGGAATTGGGGCGGTCCATATTTGCTGACGAGTGAGCAGTCTGTCTTGATCCATTCCGCTTGTGGTGGTGTCGGAATAGCAGCAATCCAGATTTGTCGCATGCTAGGAGCAGAGGTAGATTCCCCACATGCTAGCACCGACCAGTCCTAATCTACACAGTTATACACGACCGTAGGCAGCGAAGAGAAAGTTCAGTATCTCATCGATACTTTCAGGATTCCACGCAACCGGATATTCGACTCCAGAAGCACGTCTTTCCTACCCAATCTCATGCGCGAGAGGAATGGCAGAGGTGTTGACTTAGTTCTGAACTCTTTGTCGGGCGAGCTTCTACATGCTTCTTGGAAGTGCGTGGCACCATTCGGCAAAATGCTTGAGATTGGGAAGCGCGACTTCATCGGGCACGCGCAGTTGAACATGGACATCTTTGAGGCTAATCGGTCATTCTTGGGAATTGACCTAGCACAATTGACCCTAGAGAGGCCGCGAGTGTGCCAAAGGTAATCGAATTAATTACTTTATTGGCATAGCTCACTAACCCAATTGCAGGCTTCTTGAGCAGTGCCTCGCCTACTACCGGCAAGGTGGGATTGAACCAGTTCGGCCCGTGAAAGTCTTCGATGCGGCGCAGGTCGTCGATGCATTCAGATACATGCAAAAGGGTCAGCATATCGGGAAGATCGTCATCAACATGCCCAGATCTGCGCAGGAACTGCAGGCGCAACCGCAATATCAAGAGACGAGATTCTCTGCAGACACATCTTATCTTTTGGTCGGAGGTCTCGGTGGCCTCGGTCGAGCTGTATCCACATGGATGGTTGAGCAAGGAGCCCGCCATTTGGTGTACCTCTCGAGGTCAGCAGGATCTACGCCTGAAGACACGGCTTTCTTTAAAGAGCTCGAAGCGCAAGGTTGCAAGGCGATTGCTATTTCTGGGAGTGTGTATTCTGAGGAGGATGTCAAACGTGCGATTGCACAGGCTGAGAGACCAATTGCCGGTGTTATACAGCTTTCCATGGTATTGAAGGTAAGTTGATCACTCGCGTTGAATGATGTTCAGCCCTGACAAATCGTAGGATCAGAACTTCCTCAAGATGACGCACGAAGAGTGGGAGACGCCGCTCTCTTCTAAGGTGCACGGAACGTGGACCCTGCACAACGCATTCCAAGATACGGAACTGGATTTCTTCCTCCTCTTCAGTTCCCTCTCGGGTATAGTGGGCCAATGGGGACAGTCCAACTACGCCGCAGCCAACACGTTCCTCGATGCCTTCGTCCAATACCGGCATAGTCTAGGACTTCCGGCATCTGTCATCGACGTAGGGGTAATGGAGGACGTGGGCTACGTCAGCCAAAATGCTGCAGTGCTAGAGATGTTCCGCGCCTACAGCATGCATGGACTCAAAGAATCAGACCTACTTCGTGCCATTGAAATCGCCATCAAGAGGTCGATGCCGGGTCCACCAACGCAAGGCACATACTGCAATGTGGGTCAACTCACCACTGGCCTAGCTTCGGCCAAGTCTATCATAGATCCCAGCAACAGAGCAGTCTGGAAACATGACGTACGTATGGCTTTGTACAGGAACCGCGAACCGGAGAAGCAGTCTAGCTTCAGTACCGCTAGCGAAGGCTTGAAAGACTTTCTAGCTTCGGTAGCGTCTACTCCTGCGATTCTAGACGAGAAAGAGAACGTAGACTTCCTCACGCAGGAGATTGGGAAGCGGATAAGATCGTTCATGATCCAGTCGGACGATCAAGTCGATATCAAGATGTCGCTTTCCGACATGGGAGTCGATTCCTTGGTTAGCATTGAGATTAGAAATTGGTGGAGGATGGGATTGGGTCTAGAAATCAGCGTTTTAGAGATCATGAGCGCAGGCTCGATTGAGAGATTGGGGACGGTAGCAGTGGACGGATTGCGAGTAAAGTATGGTCCCAAGGAGGGTCCGCATCCTGGTTTGGCCATGAAAGCACCTTGAGGAAGATATGCAGAGCTTGGAAGAATGCAGTCGACTCCCCAAACAGGCTAAAAATAAGTTATGTAACCTTGACACATTAGCTAACCATTCCAAGATTGGCGCCTGACGCGCCTGACACTCACCAGCTCACAGCACCGGTGAGGAAACCCCACTTTCTCATCCACGGCGACGCCTATGATAACAGACCTGGCACATTACTGACTATACGAATCGATTTCGATCTACTGTCCTACAATTGAACAAGAACCAGCTCCCTGATCGTCGCGCTATCAGATGAGCAGTGCCACAATGCGGCTCGGCAACGAAACGCGAAGCATGTGTCCTCTACTACGGATACCTGGCGAACTACGCAACCAGATCTATAAATATGTCCTAGTAACTGTCATTGATGAGGCAGCATGTCGTCGCATGTCGGAATCACCGTACCGAGGCAACCCCATTTATCACATTCCCGCGGAATATCACATGGATCAAGCACGGAAGATGAGCCTGCTTCACGTATGCCGTCAAACGCGTCAAGAATACCGTTCGCTGTACCTTCGGTATACTCCATGCCTTTATATGGACCTAGTGCCTGCATATATCGAAGCGTTTCATCCTACATCCACACCTTTCAGTGCGGAGATCGAGCCTTTAGGGTGCAAGATCTCCATAGACAGCGACGTAGAGCTACAATGCCTTGCGAAATTACTCACAACCTTGTACGACCATCCTCAGATTGATTTCAAGTTCCTGGAGTTCGTGGAAGGAGATCCCACCAAGATACTGCAACGCCTCTTCAAGGACAGAGCGCTCGCTTGGAAGACTGCACTCGGTGCGACTGTCAAGGAGATTGTCTTCTCAGTCTACTCTACGTGGACAGGCGTGTTTATGGGCTGGTCGTTAGACATCTTTGTCGATCTGAGTGTCGAAAGCCTGGCTGCGCAGCAGAAGTCCCGCTCACCTACACGACTCGACGAAACTCTCGCCGACATGGGACTGGCACGCACTGATCGAGAGGTTGACGACACGCGCGACCGACATGACATATACAGACGTAACCTGGGTAGCCGCATCAATGTCAGATCATTCGAAGAGCTCGCCGAGTTTTTAGGGCAAAAAGGAGGAGCGATTGACGGACTGCCCTGTAAACTCTCAGACTCTGTTTAGCACGACTCCATCTGCAACAACACTAGGGGGCGACACAATTATTGCACGCTTAGCTCAGCAAGCAACCTTCAAAGTTTCTCCTTCCTAAATGTCTTTCAAAATCTCAAAATTTAACGTAATAACATACCTCTTTCTACAAAGGCTCAATTTCTTAAGATTTAAAGTGTCTTATCTACGCGTTGTTGAGATAGACATGTGAAGGAGGGAGAATCTTGAGGGTGGTTTTGCTGAGCTAAGCGTGCAATAGTTGTGTCGCCCCCTGTTGACAATTAGTTCCTTCGACTACTCACCTTCCCTGGACGAGAGACAAGACCGCTTCGGTAGAATCCATTTCAACCACTTCGGGTGCAGAGTAGTACATGCATTGGCATGAAGAGCATGGCATTGAGCTGCGTAAGCCACAAATCTACACACCTAATTCACAACCGTCCCACTCCACTGCTCGCAATCAACCTCCACCGCACTCCCAACCGCAAGCCCAACACCACTGCTCCCAAACAGCGCCGAAGAAGCACCGCTATCAATGCAAAGGTCGAAGTTGAGGTTCGCTCCATACTGGTTGGTGCCCGAAAGACCGTTTTGCGCGCAGAGAGGGTTTCCGTCAGCTGGAGCACCATTGTCAGCTACGATCCACAGGATCAAGGACGAAATGGGGGAGACTCACCAGGGCAAAGATTCGTCACTTGCACTACGATGCTCGTCCCGGCGTTCGACAGGTTGTTGCCGCTGCTGTCGGTCTCTGCGGTTAACTTCCAGCATGTGCCGCAGCCGGGGCCGGCTCCTGCGCCTGGGCCGACGCCGAATTCGTTCTGCGAGACGGCCGCTGAGTAGCCTGGTGAGGTGTAGAAGCCGCATGCTGTGGTGGCGACGTTGCAGTTTCCTGAGCCCCAGGTGTCCGTCGAGCCGTACTCTGTGAAAGATGCTGTGTATGTCGTTGCGGCGGTGGCTGTTGCGCTGAATGCAGCCGCCGAGAGGAGGAAGATCTTGGAGAACATGGTGAGTGGTTGAGGAACGTGTGGATGAACTAGTGGGTGTTCGAAGTCCTTGATCAAGTCGATGTAGAGAGAAACGAAACGAAACGAAACGATTGAACGTTCGTTCTTATATGGAGTCGGCATTGCTTTCTGTGGAGCCGGTTCATCCTTGCGAGACGACGATCGCATCCTGGCCTTCCATGCTATGTCACCTTTCCCTCGCACCAGGACCACCTCATCGTCACCAATCCTTCTCAACAGACCCACCACCGTCTCGGCTGCGCACAGCTAAGCCTTTGACAAGCTTTTTGGCTCCGGGAGATTAAGCGATGCCATCATGAACCGGGTTCTTGGATGAAACTGTGGGGTTGGGTCAAGCCATCTGGGGCCGCGAAATCTCAAGACGGTAGAAAGCAATTTCGGAATAGACGGCTGCGTTATAGGGCTGCTCAACTTCAAACGCCCATCCGGGTGTGGCCTTGCAGGATTTGGGATTGGCGGTCGATCGGCAGGGACGGGACCAAGGAGGACGTCGATGGGGCGCCGACGTTTCAGGTAAAAAACTAGTGACGACTCGAGCAAAAGCACAAAAACTCCCCTTGTTGTCGAGCCCGCGCTCGCAAACCCTTAGATCTGGACGTCTTGACAAGCCGCACCCTCACCGAAAGTAAAATGCTTGCCTCAACGGCTTCTCAAACCGGCCCAGCTTCTCGAATCCCTCATACGCAAACCCTCTGATGATCGCATACCCCACAATCTCATGATACCCCTTCTCCTCCATCTCCCGCACCACCATCGGAAACTCCGTGTTCTTCAGCACCACCACCTTATCTCCCACCCTGATATCCGAAACCCCCTGGCAGCCCATGCCTACAAGTCCAAATTCAGTAGAGAAGAACGTGCGACCAGAAAGCGAAGTCGCGTTCTCGTAGGACTCGCGGTGGAACGTCTTTTCATTGTGATTGAACATGTTATTCGCCAGGATATTTGGCTTTCCATCTTCCAGCCTCGCAGTCGCAGTCTCAGTCGTAACGCTAAGCGCCTCAGACGACGCCTCTCCTTCTTCGACCACCGTCTCGAACTGTGCGAACATCGCCGCGGCGTTCTCATCATCCGGGAACTGCGCGGCGACAGCTTCAAAGTACTGGCGCGATTCGTCGAGGATCATTTGGCTCAGCGCCTTTTGTCTGGCCTTGTCTTCTGCAATCGTTTTCATTAACGCGTCGCGGTCCACGAATTGTTGATCGCGGTATTGGTGGTAGGAGTCATGCGTTGTGCTGGATCTTGTTTTGGCAGAGTCGGGGAAGGCTCGGATGGCGTGCGCGTAGCTCAGGATGAGTCGCACTCGCATTCGAACCTCCTCCTCGTGCTCGCACGCTGTGATATGGTGCTGCAATAGTTCATAGCAGGGTTGTATTTGCGCAGCTACGCCGGAGTCATTGCTCGGAATCCAATCTGTAGCGCTCTCATTCTGTGCGAAACCCTTGATATTGCGCAACTTGGCAGAGACAACAGAGGTTTGCGACTCGGTGTACTGGCAAGGCAGACTTGGCTTCCTTAAGTGTTCAACCTGATCCAAGAGATTTGAGTAATCGAACAGTGCGGCGCCATATAGGTCTGTGGCAGAGTGATTGCTCTCCTCCAGAAACAAGTGTAGAGTCGAGAGCCGAAGGCATATCTGCATAAATGCGGACCCAGTCCTCAGGTGCTCATGGATCTGAAGACTGATCGGAATCCTGGCTTGAAGAGTAGCAATGGTGATTTCTCTAGAAAGCCCTCGTAACTGCTCTATCAAGCTTTCGCACGTGGACATGTGAGATTTAGAGGCATCTTTGATTTCGTTGAAGAATGGGTCGAAAGTTGATTTGAGGATATCGTGCTTCTCGAAGATATTGAAAGGCGGCAGCTCAAAGACTATGCTTTCCATGTTTCGTTTGATGATGGGATTCATCCATTTTCGTACGAGAGCTCTAGTGTGGAGCGTCGGCAGTGCCTTGAACACTGGAGGAGCCTTTCTGAGCAAAGCTACACTTGGGGTGGCGGCAAATATGTTCTCGAGGAACCACAGCTCCCGGACAGTACTTGGCCAATTAGGCTGGTTGATTGCATATACGTGGTTTACTGAGTCCAGTAGGTATCCCTCCATGGCTAGAACGCCCTCCCGAATGGCGAGTGGGCAGGGTGAGCTTTTCCTCAACTTGCCGTAATCAAATAAGTTGTGCTCCAGGAACGCGGCCTCTGGTATCGGCTTGGTGAAATCCGGGACCCAGGAAGGCATGTCAAGAGAGAGTCTGTGAGGATACCACCAGAAGACCTGCTGCCATCCATCGATAGCAAGAATCCAGGTTGCAAGCTTATGAAAAGCGGTTCCGACGGGCTCTGAATAGTTTGGTGTGAAAACAGCTTGCGCAACTGGGTCCAAGAAGGGACGCATCCCGTATATTCTATCTCGAGGGTTGGTGCACCTCAAATTAACCTTTTTGAGAACGCCCCTTGGCAGCCACAAGTGAGGAAACTCGGGTCTATCGTGAGCCAATCGGAGCGTTAAGACGCCGTAGACGTGAAGTATTTGCCTCATAACGGGCTGCCATGACATTTGAACGTCGAGATCGAGTTTAAAGTCTCCAGCAAATGGTACAAGGTGTGTTGCGATCTTTCCTTGCAGCATTCTCCAGTCCCTTAGCAAGGCGGATACTCGAATCGAGTCGTGTCCAAGGTGGAAAGTCGGATTGGTTTGTGCAAGGCCGTACTCTTGCTGAACCCAAATCCTGTTCCACCATGGCAGATGACAGAAATGGATGAAAGCTTCGAGTAATTGTCGTATATCGCTCTCATTCTGGCCCAAGACTTCAACAGCCTTCTCTGCTGAATCTTCTTCATATACTTCCCGGTTGAGAAAGGAGAAGAGCGTTGGGCTGACAGTTGCTGGCTCGCCGAGATAGACAGCGACATGGTTTGCGGACCTGTATATCTCTTCCATCATGCAGATCTGGGTCTCTTTATCTCGGTTGTCATTTTGGTTAATACACACTGCATCCACCCATAGGACGCGAGGGCTCTGTCTCGGTCGCAGAGCTTGAAGTGCGTGATGGAGATTTGGAGTAATCTCCATCATTGTGCCATCGATATGAAGGAAATAGCTAGCGTCCGCTTCCATTGTTCCCCACACGTATGACAAAGCTTCATAGATCGGGCCCGACGATAGATCCACGCAACACATTGTGGCTTTCAACAAGGGGCCTTCTCCAGGCAAGAGCTCCAATACTCGTATGGTATCCCCAGGTGTAGCGATTCGATGCTTTTGGTAAAGTTTGTGGACGACCGGCTCCGGCTCGTGCCGCGGCATGTCAACTTCAAGAGTTGGAGCAGTTGGTTTTCCGGCTACATGTAATACTGCGTGCGCGTGCTCTATAAGCGCAGCTTGAAGATCTTTTTCAGATGTGGTCTCATCAAGCCTCCACCGCGGCAACTCTACATCTGAGAAACCTAAGACCAGAGAAATTAGAACTAAGCCTTGAGATAGTACTTGGACGAATAATTTTAAACTAGCTGACCTTTTGATGCAAAGAACAGGCCCAGTAAGATCGGTACGCTATGGGTTACCCACGATTTGTACCACTGTAGCCTTTGTATGGGTGATGTCTTGGCATTCACTTCATCGACATGCGCAGGCAAAGAGTCACTTTCGAGGAAGTAGACAGGATTGCGAAACTCTCGAAGCTCTTCGGGCTTCCCGAGGCGTTCCCAGTAATCTAAAAACGCAACCGTGGTCGCTTGCTTGGTTTTCTGGTCTAGGAGTCCACGGAGCCATAGACGAACTTGTTCCTCATTGTCGATCCCTCCTGGAGAAGCTTGTTCTGTATCCCCTACTCCTAAAATGTAGAATGCGTGGCCTGCGCAAGTAGTTGTGATTGGTTTCTTTTGCTCGGTACGTGCCATCCACTTTAAATAACAGTCGTCGCAAACAAAGACGAAAAGGCACGACTTGCAAGCAAGCCATCTAGTGTAAAGTTTAATCCGCTCCTCACAGACGTCGCAAGAGCCGGAATTTGTTGGTTGTTTGAATGCAAAGGATGCATTCGCCGCATCGTTACTGCGTAGACACATGAGTCCCAACACCCAAATAGGGCTCCGCTCAACCTTCAACATCCGTTCGCATAGCTGGGCAAGCTTGACAACGCACTGATGTCGTGGGCGGTCATTCCGAAGCGGCTGCTGATAGAATTGTTGAAGATAACTGAACGACAGCACCTTGCCCAGGGCTACAGTAGTAATGTGAGTGTCTCCGAGTGCTCTACTAGAGTTTTCGAACGCATGTTCCAGCACATCAACCGCACCGTCGTGATAGTTTCGATTTCGAAACTTGAGCCCCAGCTGATACAACATCAGCCTTACAACATCCATTTCAGTCTTATGCAGCGCACGCATTTCGCTATTCATATCAGCCCCGAGCTTCCGGGAACTTTCCACGACTCTCTCGAGCAGGCTAAGCGCTTTTGTTGATTTCCCACTCTGGATGTACACATCTGTCAAGCTGAGGGAGGTCGCAAACGTGTCGTTATGGGTGCGTCCTGCTGTCCTCTCATCGAGCATCAGCGTCCGCTGAAGCACGCTCTCTAGGTTTGCGCTTTCCCCAATCTTTTTGTAGAATAATTCTCTAAGGGCCGATGATACTTCCGGACTATACGGGCCATATGTCTCCTCGGCATCGTTCAGCTTTTGCTGGCACGTTGCTTCGTCCGTGACCACTTCGTCCGCAACCACTTCAGGATTCACCACCTCGTCTGTGACCACTTTTGTGGAGCCAGAGACTGCTGATGAGGGAGTACTTCCAACTGCTCGTAACGAGAGCGCGACTCTAAGCATTATCGCGGTGAACACGCTCAAAAACGTGACGGGGCATAATGTTCGAAAAACAGTTGCGAACCCGTTTCGGATCCATCTTGTGATCATGGCTACGGAAGGTAGGTGTTCAAGTAGGACCGTACAGCCAAAACATGAAGCTCAGTGTAAAAGTGATGGGTTGCTCAGGTAGGAAGTGCTGCCTATATAGGCTAGCGCACTCCTGCCGTACTTATAGAAGCTCCTTCCAAGAGTAGGTACCTCTAGTGAGACAAGGTATGGCCTGGCTTTTGCGGAAAGCATAGTAAAGGAGGTCGGAGAGGCTGGGAAGCGGAGACAGAGGATGCGGCGCGCCATCGCATTGTGGCTGGAGGGCTGAGTCGAGCTAATGCAGGTGTCGTATTCGGCTTCGTGGGGGGGTGACTGAGGCTGCCTTCCTCGTATTACGTACATTAGATATATATCAAGCAGGGAGACTTGAATTTTGAAGTCGAACTGTGATGGCTCTGTAATGAACCATCTAAATCGCATACTTATCAGACGAGATGAACAATAATGAGTTGCTAGATGACATGGGCAGCGACGTCGCCAACAACGCGAACAGCAGTCGAGATCAGCTCAAGAAATGATTCTTCACTACTCAATGCGTCTATCAATTTATACACCCGATCTGGTCCTCACTCTATGAGTCCAACGGGTATCTGTCCAAAAACTTGAACGTCTTCAAACCCTCCTTCAACTGCTCAGCAACATCACTTCCACTGTACACACCCGGCGTCCCCGTCTCGATACCCGCAGCCTTGAACGCGGCGCTCGCTGAGCCCATAGCAGCAACAGGCTTTCCCCACCTATACCCATCCTGCAGAATCTGCAGCGGGCGTCCAGCAGGGTACAGTGTCGCGAAAGGCGAAGACGTCGCGTTGCCTCCCGATGAGGAGGTGGTGGAGTTGGAATTAGCGAGGTTGTTGGATGTGGTGAAGAGCCCATCGGTGGAATCAGCGATGACAAGGGCGTCGAATTGGGAGGCGTCGCTGGCGGAGTAAGTTTGGTCGACTCCATCGCCGAGCTTCTCAGCGACAACCACGAGGCTGACGTTTGCGGCCTTCAACGCAGACTTCAATGCGCTAGCGCTGGAGTTACCAGACACGGCCGCAGAGGTTAGGTATCCAACTTTGAGGCCGTCAAGCTTCAGAAGTCCGCCTTTTGCGACGGACACACCGGTCGTCGTATTGTCATGGTAGTACGTCTCGTCAGCTTCGGGCGCTGTCATGCCGAGGGCGGAAGCGACGCGAACGGCAACATCGTGGCTGATGCGGTTGAGCTGGATGAGGACGTTCGACTTGACGACGTCGCTCTTGAGTTGCGAGCTCTCGAAGCGCATTGCGTTGATGACGAATTGTTGCTCGACGGGGAGTAGGGAGTTGAAGAAGAGACGGGGTTGAGACCAGACGTCGGCAAAGGTGGAAGACACGGCACGAAGGAGTTTTCCTTGTGTCGATCGGTTGGGTGCGGTGAAGAAGCCTCTGCCGGCCGTTTGGTTGGCCTGTTTTGGCCCGCCCGAGTTGACGGTGTTGGGAGAGTACGCGGCGGTATTTAGTGGGATGAACATTTGCGCTGCAAAGACTTAGCATATTCAACAGATAGGCGGAAGTAGCAATCTTACCTGCGCCATCACGGTTGTTGTTGTGAATTGGGACGCGGGGCCTGTTGATCGGAATCTGCTCGAAGTTGGGACCGTTATGACGGTTGAGCTGGGTGTCTAGATAGGAGAAGATGCGGCCTTGCAGCAGTGGGTCGTCTGTGAAGTCGATGCCTCGCACAATATGACCGGGTTGGAACATCTAGCAAAGTCAGACTCCACTTAAATAGATCACGGCTAGAGACTTACAATCTGCTCAGTTTCCGCAAAGTAGTTGGATGGGTTGCGGTTCAACGTCAACTTGCCTAAGGGCGTGAAAGGCACAAGCTCTTCCGGCACGATCTTGGTGGGGTCAAGAAGATCAAAGCCGAATCTGAGTTGATCCTCTTCATCCATGATCTGGGCCTGGAACTCCCACTCGGGGTACGATCCGCTGTCAATGCTATCCCACAGATCCTGGCGATGGAAGTCCGCATTCTTACCCGCCGTAACCTGCGCCTCTTCCCAAAGTAGCGATGCCTTGCCCTGGAGAGTCTGAAAGCGGAACTTGACAAGCTTCGATTTGCCATCGCCGGTAACGAAACGGAAGGTGTGGACACCCCAACCATCCATATGGCGGAAGGAGCGCACGGTTCCGTGACCGCTCATCGCCCAGAAGAGCGTGTGAAGAGCACTGGGTTGCTGGCTGAAGAAATCCCATGCCGTGTCGTGGGCGGTTGCAGCCTGGGGAATTTCGCGGTCTGGGTTTGGTTTTACAGCATGGATGAGATCCGGAAACTTGATGGCGTCTTGGATGAAGAACACCGGAATGTTGTTGCCTACAATGTCTGTCAAGGCGTTAGCAGTCAATTCGATAAAGTCTGAACCGCCCGAAATGTGATAATTCAGAAGAAGCCCCCGAGACCGATTAAGAGCACGGAAATATACAAGGCACCGAAGGGGTTATACTGCAGAATTCGTTCTCGAAGGTGGCGGAATGTTTGACTTACCGTAGTTGCCTTCATCGGTATAGAACCTGACTGCAAAACCATGAACATCGCGAACCGTATCAGCCGAACCACGGCTACCTGCCACAGTAGAGAATCGGATGAAAACATCGGTCTGCTTTCCGCCCGAGTTTAGGAAGGAAGCATCGGTGATGTTTGACCAATCACCATATGATTCGAAAACACCATGTGCTCCTGCGCCTCTTGCGTGAACCGCCCTTTCGGGAACTCGCTCATGGTCGAAGTGTTGGATCTGAGTCTGTTAGCGATTTCGATCTGTGAGAGCTACAACCAGATCTAACCTTTTGGCGGAAGATAAAGTCTTCTAAGAGTGTAGGTCCTCTCTCCCCTGCCTTGAGGCTGTTCTGGTCTTCGAATGGTCCTCCGACATCGCTGGTCATGTAGTCCCCTTCGCTGTCGTTGAGTTCAAACTGTGCCATGAATTCATCGGTACGAGCAGCAGTTGGTGTCGAATCATCTCTTCGAACAGGAGGATGATGTGCTGGAAGGTCACGAGCATCGCTCTCCATGTAAGGGCACATTGCCTGGCTAAGGCCGCTGTAGGCGGCGAAAGCCGCAAGGAATCGAGAAGCCACCATAGTGAAGTTGACGGAAGGACGAACCTAACGAACGGTTGATGGGATGCATGCGCTTTTAAATCTTGGTAACGGTCCATTCTTGCCGATGTCTCCCTGCTCAACGCCCCGCTACCACTTGCCGAACAAGGTAGTGTCGAGTCCATTCTTGGATTGAATAAAAGGGTCGAGATAGGTAAATTACAGGGCATTCTGAGCCAGAAATACATGCCGGATGTGGAAGTCGCAGATTGACATAAATCAGCAGCCGTATGTTTGAAACGTTATTGGTGCATTTGTCCATGCATGTGGATTGTTATTTTCAGTACCTGGCAGACTGGTGTGATCTGACCACTGAGGCGTCATCATCCCCACTACGAGAGAGCTAGTGGTCCGATTACAAGGATCCAACGGTGATGCCAAGTGAATACTGAGCAGTGAATGCGGCACGGGTCACGACAGCTACGCGAGGCCCTAGACTCAACACCAGTGGGACCTACTCTCACAACTCTGGGGATCCTGACGCACCACAGAGGGCACAAGAGCTAGCATGACCAAGTTGGCCAGCACAGGAAGCTGTTTCGTGTAGAGTAGATACTTTTGAACATGAGGCATATTCTGTGATTGCGTTGGAGCTTGTTGCACAGACCTCAGAAACTGACCTGGCAAGTGCTGGGATCTAGCGTTGGGTGACCACCAACGTCACCTCAGAAAGATGGCACCATCGATGATGAATCGGCGAGGTCTCTGGCTTAGACAGGCGAAAGTATTCGCAGATTCCATAATCGTCCGACTCTGGTGGGAACCAAAGACATGTAGCGCGTCCGAACAGGCTACTGGATCCAGTAGGCGAGGCTCGTCCCTCGGCGTGATGACGAGCGACAAGAATTGAGGTATGGATCTGGTGAGCGCACAGGACCATGAAGTGAAAATTAGCGCGGACACACGGCTCGGCAGTAGGGGAGAGAGAGCTGTGTGGAATCTGCTCCTCCTACCTTCTCGAAAGACCAGGAGAGATTATGGAATCATGGTAACCTAGATCCTTTGATGTTAGTAATTGCGGAGTCCCTGGTGGTCGAGCTGCCAAGGCAAGGCGGGTGCTGCACAAGCAGTCATTGCGTAAGCTGCGATTGGCGCAGGCCCTTGTATTGCAAAGATCGCTAGCTGGGAAATCCTCCGACCGCCAAGTGCGCTGTGCAATGTCTACACGCGCTTGCACAGTGTGACAAGAGGACTTGTGTGCATGAACTCCGGCTTTTGCAGTAAGGGTAATGGAGCGCGACGTCGGCCTAACATTCTTTTGACTGCAGTTTTGCGACGAGACAGCATGCTTGGGCTTTGATGCAATATCGACAGACCAGGATTGCCGTTGGCGAACCAGGAACAAAACGCAGAGCAATCCTGGAAGACGGGAAAGACCCGCCCCCGTTTAACGAAGATCGTCCTAACGAGCTAAGCCGGGGTGAGTTAAGATGATAAGGAATCGCATCTGACATGCGTGTTGAGGAGCTGTGCGACATCGGATCCTGCGACATGGCGTGGCTGTGTTACTTGAGTTACCTCTCTGCCTCGAGCGTCTACATGCCATGGTGGAGTTGCTGTTTCCGTGTTGGAACGTTGAACAGGCACCGTCAAGGCACACTGTGTCGGGGTCCACAAATTCTGCAGACACAATTCGATGACAGCGCTAGGGGCAACACGTTTCCCATGTGCTCTGCATCGGCGGACGGAAAAGCGGAGCGGTGTGGCCGGCGGCAATCCACATTTGATTCATATGTATAAAGTTCCAGACACCTTGAATCCGTCAGCAGGAAGTCTTCGACAACTCGATGTGATGTTCGCTCTCGCCCTCTCCCCGACAATCGGGCATTCGCCGAAATTCGCCTTCGAACCCACCATGGACACTGCACTGTGCACTTCGAAATTGCCATGGAGCTGAACCATGGTGTTCCCGTTGGCGGGACTGAAATATCCTCGAAACACGTACTCTCTGGGAGGTCTTCAGATAAAGCTGCTTCCCAATCGATTGAGCCGAGGAGCACAGGATGCCTGAAGGTAACCTTCCGGCGGCGAGATAGAGGGCGATCAGGAGCACCCGCAGCACTATTGCCAGTTCCTCGTGCACGTCTCTCGTGCTGGAAGCCCGTTCTTTCGCCAGACGACGTCAAGTCACCGGTTCATTGCATCCTTCAACGGACGACTTCCTGACGGTTCTTTCCGCACATGCGCGTAGACTGCGGTGGAAGAGATCGCAGTGTTGCTCACTGTTGAGCGATATTCTTTGCGAGCAGCATGACTCGGTGCAGGCTTAGGAGGTATCGTTCATCTTGAGCTTGACGTTCTCGCGAAGTTGTCTGGACACGAAGGCGCGATACGGTCTCGGTGTTGCTAAAAGATAAGCGTCCTTTCCCTTCCAGGCGCGTGGCTTGCCATGACGTCGGTGGGCGCTTCGTAGAACCACTGCCTGCAGCCCATGCCCCAGAACCTCAAACAGGTTCATTCTCCGCTCCACTTGCCAGAAGCTGCGCGTCAACTGTTTCAAACATTCCGAGGAGCATTCAACTCATACCAAACGACCGCTTGTCTGCAATCTGCGCAGCCGCCCGTGAGACCGTGCGACCCTCCAAGCGCTGCATCCCCCCGCCTCGGGCCCCTGCTAACAATAGCTGCATGCAGAACGCGATATAACCTCGAGGTATACCTCGAATACTTTCAGAATGTAAGCTGGTCTTCATCTGTTTCCCTTGCATAGCACGCATTTGGTTCACGGCATCTTCCATTTTCCCGTCCCTTTCTTGTCACAGCTTCTGAATTGCCGGCATTATAATTCGCAATGGCTATTTATGCATATCCCTCCAACCCTCCGCCTCCGCCACCACCTCCGGCCTATTCTAGCTCCCCACCGCGCTCTTTGAGTCGCGCTCGTTCGATGTCTAACATATCTGCCCGCGTTAGGAATCGATCATTGTCCATCCGTTCCAAGAAGGATGGGTCCAACGGTGGGGAGAAGTCGGCGCCGAAGCACCGATTTACTATGGCATCGCTCCGTGGCATGCAACAACCAGACTTGTCGAAGAAACTGTACAAGCTCATAAAGACGGAGAACCATGCTATTGGTGCATATGAGTCGGCCGGACGCGAGCGCATAGCCATCGCCCAGCAGCTCTCCGAGTGGGGCGAAGCTACGAACGATGATGGCATCTCGGAGGTTTCGGACAAGTTGGGGGTGTTGATGGCAGAGATCGCCGAGCAGGAGGACTCATACGCCCGATCATTGGAAGAGTACCGAGGCGTTTTGAAGCAGATCCGGAATACGGAGAGCTCGGTTCAGCCCAGTCGCGACCACAAGGCAAAGGTGGCGGATGAAATCGCTAAGCTGAAGTACAAAGAGCCACAGAGCACTAAGATTATCCAGCTTGAGCAGGAGCTCGTCCGCGCCGAAGCTCAGAGTTTGGTTGCAGAGGCACAATTGACGAATATCGTAAGGTCTCGTTGACACCCAATTAAGCTCCGTTCTGACAAATGTAGACTCGCCAAAAGTTCAAGGAAGCCTACGACATCCATTTCGCGGCCACGATCGAGCGCGCCGAGAAACAGATTATCTTGGCTAAGCAGGCTCGTCGCATTGTCAATCTTCTTGATGACACGCCCATCGTCCCAGGAGACACCCATCCGGAGTTTGCGAACGGCGAGTATGCCCGCCAAATCCTCAATGACGCCGAAGATGGGCTCCGAAACTGGCAGCCCAACATTGAACCGATTCACTCTACTGCTGGAGGTCTAGGAGTCGGAGCGATGCCTGGTGCTGAACCTGCCTACGGAAGCGAAATCGGGCAAGAAGCCGACCACCCTGCGTATATGGAAAAGACGTCGCGCAGTAGAAGTCACAGTGGTGACCGACATGCCGCTAGTGACGGTCCGTTGGGACCCCGTGAGGGTGGTGAGGTGCAACCTCAGTACACCGAGGCCGAGAGGCGGGAGGTTGCTCAAGCAGGTGTCATCTAGCAAAGGCATTCGCCTTGCGTGGCAATTCCCTGTGTTTTGATAAGCAGACGTTGGGGTTAATGATTGTTACGACACGTATGTTAAGACCAGGTATTTTCTGTAGGACTAATGGAAGGCCCATGAAGCCAATGACTGATGCCTTGAGTTGTTTCGTTAGGGGAAAGTGATTAGAACACTTGTTACTGCATGATTGCTTGTGGGAGCCGTGATGAAGGTTGCCTTGAGATCTAGAATTGTAAAGGCGGTCAATGGTGTCAGTCTTGGCGGCGGCCCAGTTGGTGGGGTCCAACTAGTGCGGGTTCGTTGCGGAGGACACATCGAGCGTGCGAGCTTCGAACCTCACCTCCGAAATTCCACACCACATCCCATACCCGCCGTTCTCACCATCCACACACCTCGAATCGCATACTGGGAGCCCCGGCGATGGCTCCGCCACGTAAAAACAGGTATGCGGGTGTAGCCTATGAGCAAGGCGCGAATGTTCCTGCGAATGCTGGACCTCCTGGTGCGCCGGCTGGACTTCCCCCTCAAGGGCCTCAAGGAGACTTCCAAGCTCAATATGGCTTTCCAAGTGCACAATCGCCCTCCTATGGCGCACCTCAATACCCCGTGGCTCCACAAGATCCGAACGCGCTGGGCCAGCAGTTCCAAGGCATGAGCTTAGGAGGTCAGCCGCAACAACTTCCACCTCAAGTTCCGCAGCAAGTCCAGCAAAACCAGCTCCTACCCTCAGACTTGATCGCAGGTAGATTTATCCTCTAGTCAGCGTATGGCATACTGTCGCTGATTTGATTGCAGCTCCTGTTCAAGCCGTCGAAGTAGACGCCCCACCGCCGGTAAGCTTTACAATGCAAGGTCCCGAAGGCGTTTCTAATCAAGTTCCAGCCGATCCCACTCCCTGCGAATCTCGCTGCAACCCCGTCTCCGCATGCCAACTGTCCTGCGCCGTACATTCGCTCGACGCTCGCAAGCGTACCAACGACCCACAGCCTCCTGAAGAAATCGAAGCTGCCTTTCTCTCTGATTGTGCAGCCGTACACGTCCCTTCACGAAGATGAGGCACCGATCCCCGTAATTGATGACCAGGTAGGAGACTTGCCTAGAATGTTAAGCCGGCTGTCGAGGGAAGAGAATTAATAGGAATTCAGGTTATATCGCGTTGCAGGAGATGTAGGGCATACATCAACCCGTTTGTGACCTTCCTCGGTACGAATCACTTGGTATACTGTGGATGTGTGTTTGGCGCACAAGAAGACCTTTCAGGGTTTGCTCAGACATACACATACATTGGGACCTTACTTCCAATCTTGTGACCTGCGCTGACCTTATGAATTCAGATCACGGCCACCGCTGGCGTTGCAACATGTGTAATTTGACCAACGATGTCCCGCAAGCGTTCGACTGGGATGCAGCAGCGCAGAAGAGCGTTGACCGCTGGCAACGAAGTGAGCTCAACTACGGCGTTGTCGAATTCGTGGCGCCTCAGGAATACATGGTCCGCCCTCCTCAGCCATTGGTGTATCTGTTCCTGATTGAAGTGGGACACCCATCTTTGGTCAACGGACTTTGCGCAACGGTTTCCAAAATCATTTCTGAAGCTCTTCCGCGGATACCCAATGCAGAAGGCAGAACGAGGGTCGGTTTCATTGGTTTCGACACGAGTTTATACTACTTTTCGATTCCTCGAGATGGCAGCGAGAACAACGATCCGTCGATGTTGGTCGTTTCCGATCTGGACGAACCTTTCCTACCAACACCCGACAACCTTCTCGTAACTCTCTCCGAATCGATGCAAAACGTGCAGACTTTCCTTGAGAAGCTTCCGACTATGTTCCAGGACAACCCACAAACCGGGTCCGCAATGGGCTCGGCCCTCCGTGCTGGTCACCGAATGACAGCTGCAATTGGCGCTAAGATCACTGTGCTTTCTTCATCACTACCCAACGCTGGATTCGGAAAGCTTGAGAACAGAGAGCGGAAGGATATACTCGGAACAAGCAAAGAGGGCAGTCTGTTGCAGACCCAGAACTCGTTCTACAAGAGCTTTGCAGTTGAATGCTCGAAGAATCAGGTTTCGATCGACATGTTCCTTTTCTCTAGCGCCTACCAGGACGTCGCATCGCTCAGCAACCTCCCGCGATACACCGGAGGTCAAACCTATTTCTATCCTGGATGGAATGCGGCAAGACAAGAGGATGCAATCAAACTCGCACAGGAGTTCACAAATTATCTGAGCTCAGAGATTGGAGTAAGTTTTAGATCTCGTCTATAAGCCTATGAATATGCTAATAGCTCTATTAGTTGGAAGCAGTTCTTCGTGTCCGCGCCAGCACTGGTCTTCGAATGTCTGCTTTCTACGGCAACTTCTTCAACCGTTCCTCCGACCTTTGCGCTTTCCCGTCATTCCCCAGAGACCAGCAATACAACGTCGAGGTTGCAATCGACGAGACGCTCACACGACCGCAAGTCTTCTTGCAAGCGGCTGTTCTTCACACAAGCTGCAATGGCTCAAGACGAATTCGCGTGATGACCTTGGGACTGCCCACAACCGATAACATCGCCAGCGTGTATGCAGGTGCCGACGCGCAAGCAATTACGACGTACTTCAGCCACAAGGCCGTTGAGCGAGCTCTGTCTAGTGGACTCGATGCCGCTCGAGATGCCCTTCAGTCAAAGGTCATCGAAATTCTACAGACTTATAAGTCGAACATCGGAGGAGGCACAGGAGGTCTCAGTAAGTCACATCCCATATTCAAGTCGAGCACTATTCCTAACAGTCTCCAGCACTTCCTGGCAACCTACGCGCTTTGCCTGTGTTGTTCCTTGGTCTGATCAAGAACGTTGGCTTGAGGAAGAGTGCCCTGATACCCTCGGACCTGCGCGCTGCCGCCCTCTGCCTCCTGTCTACACTACCAACCGCGCTGCTCCTACGATATATATATCCAGCATTCCACTCTCTCCACGACATGCCAGACGACGCAGGCGTGCCAGACCCTCAAACTGGCAACATTGTCATGCCGCCACTCCTTAACCTCTCCTCCGAGCGCATTGTACCTTATGGTCTCTATCTCCTCGATGATGGCGTCAACCAATTCCTGTGGGTTGGACGAGACGCAGTACCAGCACTGTTGCTGGACGTTTTCGGTGTCGAAGATCAGTCGTTGATCAAGCAAGGTACGTAGATCTACACGGTCGTTAGCGCTTCGAAGGTTCATGCTGATACTTTACAACAGGCAAAACAACTCTACCCCTCCTAGACAATGACTTTAGCCAGCGTATCCACGCAGTCCTCGAGAAGGCACGGGACCACAAGTCAAAGGGCGTGGGTAGCATCACCGTCCCCACACTCTATGTGGTCCGGGAAAGCGGCGAGCCCACCTTGAAGCTGTGGGCGCAGACTCTGCTCGTCGAGGACAGAGCAGACCAAGGCGTCAGTTTACAGCAGTGGCTGGGCATGCTTAGGGAGAAGGTACGTTCCAACTTGGAGGATGTACCCCTCATCCTCTCGACATGGCCCGATTGATAGATGGCTGACCCCGCGACCAGGTTGTGCAGTAGACAGTATCATAAAGCGGAATGAGCAAGGGGAAAGCGAATCTTGACTTGCTTTGGCGAGCGTTCTGATGATGGAAATGAAGCGAGATGAACGGACAGGAGGATACTCACTTGGGCCTACATTGAATTGAATGCAGCCCGTGCTCTGGGCAGTGGATGTAGAGGTATCGCTAGACCTATGCAGTTGAATCCAATGACATGCAAACTATAAATCCGTAAGTCGTAGTATATTAACAAGATAAGCCTGCTCTGCAATACACCTCCGCGCACCACGTCTCAGCATCTACATGCCCACTCCTCTCACGTTCAGCTCCGCCCTCCCCTACATGTACATGCCCGCACGCACCCCTCGTACCACCGCCCCTCGTAGCGAGAAGGCGGTGAGATTTCACTCTCAGCTCGCCCGCGCACCGAGCGTTACACATCCCTGACTCGCACGCACGACATAGCTTGTGTCCCCCCTCCATCACATACATACGCGTTATCTCTCATACTCACCGGAGCGTCTTCAATGCATACTAATGGACTGATAACCCAGCCAGCCAGCCAGCCATGCCATGCCATCCAGGCAACCCCCGCCACTGTACCTCACGCGTAGCACAAGCGCAAGTACAAGTACAGCGCACATGGAGCCTCGATGGCGCGCCGCCCGTTCTCTGCATGCATACACGCGGGAGACAAAGCCTGTGACACGCGCTGTAAAGCTGAGGCGGCATCGGGAAGTGCCAGTTCGGGAAGTGTCGCGGGCCACGTGCTGGCTTTGGGGATGGGAACGTTGTTTTGTGGAGTGTGCAGTGGAGCTAGGTTGACGAGGTTTGGTGCGTACGCGTACGCGTGGGCTGAGGTGAGATGGTGGTGGTAAGCTGGAGAGGGGAAGGGAGGTGAGGTGAGGCATGTCGAGGTGGGCGTGGGTGCTCTCGGGCGAGACTGCATTGGTACCCCCGGGGGTCCGACGTCGGATCTGGATCTAAGGGAGGGGAGGTGGTTCGAGTGAGCTTCCGGGAAGCAGTGACAACGTGGGGAATGAATGAGTAGAGCGTCAGTTAGGCAGATACATGCATGAGGATCGCCCAGGTCCAGAGATATAGTATGAACAAGCCGGTCAACAAACATCTCATCTCATCTCATCTCCATAAGAACAAGAGTGAAGATTCGTATAGCGAAAGGTATTCGACTCGAAGCATGTACAAAATAAAGTAAAATAAGATAATCTCCCAAGTCCCCTTCCCTCCCCAGCCGCCGCCGCCCATTAAACGCTCATAAAGCAACAAAAGCAACTAAAGACACGCTCTGCACACAACACAACCAATCATAAACAGTCCAATTTGACAGATCCTAGCAAACGCAAGACAGAAGGAAGGCCTAAAAGCCTTCAACGCCCGCTCCGCACAGACGGTGGTATATCCCAATCTTCTCTCGCGAAAGAAAAGCGCGCTCGTAAAGGCATGACATAGGAGAATTTCGTAATGCAGGACAGCGAAGAGCGAATGGAAAGGAGGTAATCATGCCAACAAGGGAAGTTCCAGCCATGCCATCCTGCTGCTCTCATGGGGTATCATCGAGCCGGTAATAGGAGAACGATCCCTGTCCATCGACATGGTGCGCAAAACAGGCAAAACGCGAGCAAACATAGCAAACATACGAATCGAGATAGATGTGTATCGTGGATCAAAAGGGAGTCGTAGACATGTGTCGATGGTCGTCAGGTCGTTTCGATTCATTTCGTCTCGTGCGAAGCAATGAAGCGATATGTTCTAGGACGCTCTCCAAGGTTTCTCCGAGGAGGTCGCATCCAGGTCATAATGTAAGGTGGCATTCGATGTAAGGGTTTCCGGCTCTTGATCTTCATAGATCGTAGACGATGAGCTGTTTTCAACACTCAGAATATTCACTGGCGGTTTCTAACTTGCTCCCCAGTAGCAACAGCAACAAGCGCTTCCAACCGTCGCATATCATTCGCAGGTGGCTGCATGATTGGCGGACCAAAGGTAACATGGCCTCTCTCCGGCTGCTGAAAGGACCGGTAAGACGGAGTCGAGAGACTATGGCTATGGTATGGTTGTTGCTGGCTATATATCGGATGAGGTCGGTCCATGATAGAAGTGCGAACAGGCTTATGTTCTTCAAGAAGCGCACCTGGTGGGTGCGGCTCCACATAGCCATTGCTGTGCACGATGGCTGGATGATATTCAGTCATCGTGGAGTTTGAAGGCGTAGGAACCCCTTCACTGCTACTTGAATCTTCTGGCGAAGTTCGTTGCATAGCTCGGGCCGGTTGCGGAGGGACATTCGGGTTGAGAGGCCCGTTGTACCAGGCCTGACGCTTGTTTCTCTTGGGAGTGACCGGGGGTTCCTGAGAAGTCCTGCCCGCCTCGGCTGCTGAGTGTTGCCCTGCGGGCGAGCTGTCAGTCCGCTGGTTGAAGTAAGCCGGGTGCGGCGCAGTAGTGGGACGAGCATGCACGGTCTGTCCTGGACTGTTTTGGTAGTGGGACCACGCTTCTCTTTGACGATTTGGGCTCGCAATCTCAAGATTGGTAAACCCTCTTTGCAGATTCGTATCCCATGAGATGCTAGTACGCTTTTCATGCTTGATGGGAGGTCGAAGATCCGTGGGAGCATGATACGTGAGTGGTCGCGCGGGTGTATCGATCTGCATAGGGCTCGGTTGGCGCCGCGGCATCGGCGGGGGCGGGGCGTGATCGAAGCTCTCAATACCCGGCAGCCTCGTCTGGGATGCCGCAGGTTGCGACGTGAAGGAAGGTCGCGGGGCATCCGGAGTCTGGTGATAGCCTAATCCGCTGGTAGCAGGCCGAGGTCCGGAATACGAGCCTGGGTGCCATGTTCGTCTCCTCCAGTCTGCATCCGCGTTCGAATCCCTTCGTGAGACGGGAAATTCTGGGGCGACCGGGCTTGCGTACGAGCTACTTTGGGGAGAGAAGGTAGTGGATGGTGTAGCTGATGGTACGGGCGTAATGTACTGAGGCGGATACTGCCCTGGAGGGCCCGAAAAAGGGTTACCGTTTGAAGGCACAGAAAGCCGCCGCCCACTTGGCATGGGTCCTACACCGCTCCAAGATACGGGTCGTGAAGCAGATGCCACGGGTGACTGCACCGCCGAGCTGAAACGGCTCGGGCTTCCTGTAGCGGTGGAGAATGTAGCCGATGTAGGTGTCGTTGCATCACTGTAATCAACAATCTGCGGCCCCGGGCTACCCATGAGCGGAGGATTGTACGCATCCATGGTGTTAAGTGACAAACGTGCCCTTGCACCTCCGTCGCTGGCCATGGCAAGCGGAGGTGGTCGACGTCGTACGTCCGGAGACGGAGCTACGCTTATGCTCGAAGCAGTAGATGTGATACTGGAAGCTGAGAGGTTCCTGCTGTGCCCCCTACTATGGCCTCCTGTGCTCCCTAACGTATTGGCACGGGAGCGATTCCCGGGTGGTCGCACACGGTCGGTCCGGATTTGTCTTTGAAAACGGGTGCCGGTTGCAGCCAAAGAGTCTCCTGGAATGTCTTCATTGACGTGGACTGTCTGCGCATGCTGTCGCAGGTTATCGAGACGAGAAAATCGTCGAGAGCAATGGCATTGGAAGGGTCGTTCGCCGGTATGCTTGCTGTGGGGTATTAGCATACTGAAGCTCATATCCACAAATAGTGACTTACCGAATGTGGCGGGCCAGGTGTTCGCTTCTTGTGAAGCTCAAGTGGCACGGTGGAAACTCTGTGCAAAAGAAGCGTTGACCCTTCTTTTTCTTTGAAGCCGACTTCGCATCTCCACTAACACTTTCGTCATCCGAACCTTCCTTTCCCTCTTCTTCGGCGCCACCCATTTCTACATCTTGTGAGCCGGCAGATTGCGATGAGCGGTGCGAGTCCTCGCGCGTCAGAGGGTGCCTGCCGGGGGTGGTACTAAGCTCGCGTGAAGGCGTGAATGGGGACGACGGAAGAGGGCGCTGGCCAGCGAGACCTGCGAAACTGTTACGTGTAGGCGTTTTCGCCGAAGGATCTTCAGCGCGTGGGTCGTCGGACAAAGGCTTCGCGAAGGTACTGTTCGGTCGAGGTGTGGTCGGAGTCGTTTCTTCGCCTGGACGCCCAGGAGGATCCGGCACCGAAAGCGTAGTGTTGACGGCTTGGAAAGAAGACATATCGAAGACTATGTGCGTTCGAGGACGCTGTTAGTACGCGATGTTGTCGTCTGATGTCGTTCGAGGACGCGCTGTGCCTCGCGACGATCGAACGACGTACTCGCGGTCTATGCCGGAAGAGCTGATGCTCTGCGAGGCCACTCGGCCGCTGCCTGGGGGGACTAGATGGTGGACGGCGCGATGTTGCAGAGCCGCATGGAGTTCGACAGTGTGCTGTAGGACCTCGCGTAGCGCCGGAGGAGGCTGGGAGTGAAGCTGATGACGAATCGAGGACGGCGCACTTGCAACATCCGGGCCGGGTGCTTCAGTGCAAAATGAAGCGAAATAAACTAATCGTAAGTTGTCTCTGGGTCGATATGCTCTTCAGATACGGTGCATCACTATGTAGAAGGTGGTGTTGCGGGTTCGAGGCGGATGCGGCGAGTGCTCAGGGCAGTGACGCTGCGATAAGACGCTGGAGGGGCGATCCTCCCCGCCACCAAAGGACGCGCTGAGCTGCAGCGTTTATGCACAAAGGCACGGGCGGCGGCGAACAGGGTGCGGTTCTCACGGACGCACAAGGGCAGTTCCAACAGACGCCGAGAGCCGAGCAACAGATTGGTGCAGGCAGGACGAGCGGATTGGGGCAGCCGTCGCGGTCGAGGACAAAATTGCGACGCAACGGGCATGCGAGGCCGGTGCCATGTAAGCAACCTAGCGGCCTTTGTCGTCTGCTCGTGCCCTGGGACCTGGGGCCGAGCGTCGCAGGCAGCTGGGGTTCGACTTCGATCGGCCTTGCGACGCGCCAACTCTGCTTGCAGATCCCCTTGGAAGACCTGGTCCTCCGTCCAGCGAACCACTCTTCAGGCGCCGGCCAGACCCGCCCTCTGGGCACGACACAGTTGAGCGCGAGCGCGGCAAACCTTGGCCTGGAGGAATGCGTCCGTCTCGCAGCGGTGCACGAGTCCTACATGCATGTGGAGCTTTTGGGCCATGCGTCTATCCGGGACGCCAGGCGCAGCGACGGCATCTCTGCAGCACTGGGAATACACCGAGATGACATGCTAGGCGGCCGCACCCTGCATGCTGCCTCCGCCCGGAAAGACTCACTCCAACTGAAGCATCGTGCGCCTCGCCTTGATCGAGGCCGCGAGCCAAGGTCTCACCGCCATGTTTCACGTGCCGTGTGAGATTTGAGCGTTGAGCGCACTTGCGGACGTGTTTTAAGCTCAGCCCGCGAATTGTCGTCAGCAGGTGCCCAGGAGTGTGACGACCCTGACGTGGCCATTGGTTGCGTATCGTCCGCTGGGGCACTGCGTGCAGAGTACTAACACGGCGACCAAGCATAGCTGCAAGGGCTGCCGGGGTGTGCTCGAACATGATCCACAAGACACCAATGTACTTCTGTACCTTGCTGAAGCGAAAGGCTAGTCGGCCGATGGTGCAGGCCAGGCTCCCACGGATTCGATCAAGACAGTCGCATTCCGATCGACGAGACCGGCTCGTCAACGGAAAGCGTGGGACGCCGCCACTCTTCTCCACGTTATCGTGTGCGTGGTGAGACGCATGTCTGTTACTGAGAGCCCAAGTGACTTGGCCTAGGCATTGGACTCTTCTCGCCTCATTCTGCCCATCCAGGTATGCCATGGCAGAAGCGAGCGCGGTATGCGCGCGCACCCGAGCAGGCAATACTGACTGGTCAGCTGATGGCTTCGTGTTGGGCAGGTCCAGAGCTATTTTGGTGTCATTTAGAGTTGCAGTTGCAGCCACTATAAAGTCTGTCAATATCTCCGGCAGCCTGTACTGTGCCAATGCAGCGATAAGCGAGCTGTATCGATATCGACATGTGTATATGAAAGACGGCGCAGTGGAGCATTGCTGACAAAGTCAAGTCGTTAGGTGAAGGTCATGGGTAGTCGGCAAGATTATTGCAGTAGTGCTAGGCTTGGGCAGGCGTCGAGTATGGGACGCCGCGAAGAAGCCGCTGAAGAGGGTCGGATGGCAGCAGCTGGTGGCCCATACTGGCGATGGGCGGATTGGTGTTGAGGGGCATTGGTTGGGCGGAGATCTACGCTAGTCAGGCGCATTACATCATTTACCGAGTGTAGCGCTGTTCCTGAGTAAGGGACGGCAAGCGAGCCACACGTCCCGGGCCACTCCATGCAAATCATCCGCCAGCCTATCGATAGCGAGCTGGGACCACCTGGCTGCAGGGAACCAGTCACTCCAGTGTGGCGTAACCCTCTCGGCGGTACCTGAACACCTCAATCATGTCCTGTCTCGCCTTTCGTGCTGTCCATAGTTCTGGTGCTGTCCAGAAATTGGCGATCAAACGTTGCCGAGGTCCGCTCGTAATGCCGACTGTAGCGGGTGTCTGGGGTTGGGCTGGAAAACGAAGCCACGAACGAATACTGTCGTGTGCGCTAGTGTATGAGATAGATTGCATCTTGATAGGGTTGGAACGATCGTCGAAGTGCCCGTGGAAGGTGGTCCGAATGAAGCTTTGTGAGGAAAGAGCCCTGGAGCCCTCTTACATAGGTACCTAGGTACCTACATGCCATGTCATTCATGCTAACTTCTAACACGCATGGGCACTATTAAGCCCCCTTCCCCAACAAATCGAAATGATCCGCATATTCGAAAGCGATGAAAGGTTTGTGCAGCATATGGGGAAGAAGCATGGACAAGTGCAGGACCGTATCCTTTATATACAAACCAAAGCGCCTGCGGTATGGTATCCAAGCTTCAACGCAATAGCAACAACAAGCTTAGGAAAGAGAAGAGTCAGGCGGTCGCGGCCACGGAGCATTCGCATCATCCAACTGTTCCAAAGAATGCAACATGCCCTGGACAGGTCTGCCTACCTGTCCCACATCATCCCGATTGTGCGTTAGAATACTGCGTATCGCTTCTACCGGAGGCCCCGAGCTCTCTCCTCTCCATGGCTCTGTTGCTGCCGCCTGAGCTGCTAGCTCACTGTGCGACATAGCCGTGCTTTCAGGGTCTTCCGATCGCAACGCACTCGCTTTGTGGACCGCCGGCACTGCATGCTGCTGACTGAGAAGACTTCTCGCAGGCGCACGCGGAGACGCCATCATTCTCGAATAGAGCACTGTGGGCCGCTGATTAAGAGGACTGCGCATAGGCGTCCTAGGGGAGGAGACCATATTCGAGTTGAGCACGCTCCTCCACGCTGGATGAGGTTGAGCTGAGAACCCTCGCTGTTCCGGTTCGTCAAGTTCTTGGTTGAGGTGCGGCATCATGCTCATGGGCAAGGGCTTCGAACTTCCTGTTTTCGAGAATACGGCTGTGTAATCTGGCTGGGTGACGACTTGGCCGTGAGGGCGCACTTTCTGCGGTGCTGTGCCTCCAGAAGGGCCATCCAGACGTGCTATCTGGATGCGCGATGTCTGCTGTGCGAGGTTGATTAGGCGTTGGGAGTGGTGGCCTGTTGTTGGTTTGGACATTACGACTCTTGAGTCTGTGGGTAAGAAAATGTTGTGGACCTGCCGACGGTGTAGGGTGAGATTTCGTAGGTTCAGAAACCGTGCTGGACAGGCTTCGCAGGTAACTTGCCCTTCTGGGTTTTCGGTGGCTGAGAACCTGTCTCTGACGAAGTTGCTTGTGATTTCGTCCGAGGGCCATATGCCGCCTATCAACTCGGGGAGCCACAGGGTCATTACGATACCGTTGTTGAAATGAGAGGATATGTGGCTAAAATATGTCAGCATTGTGTTGAACAGATCACCTTTTATCTAAGAAGAGTACTAGTATTGAATTTGTGAAATCTTGACTTACTCTGCTCTCGTCTTCCAGTCCACTAACTCAAGACTGCAGAATCCACACAGCAGCAGCACCTTACGTTCGATCGGCCTGCACCAATCTTTAATCATTTTTGGTGGCTGACAACCATGAACCTGCTTAATGTGCTGAGCCAGTTTGTCCTTGCGCTGGAACGTCCGCAATGCCCATGATGCTTCAGAACAAGTGATGCTCTTATGTGATTTCAAGTGCTCGTGATCTACATTCTCTAGACCGCAAAAGACGCATTGGGAGCCTTCCACAGGCCCATTCGGCATACAAACCCATTCTTTCTGCGGGAAATGTACCGACTCTTCATGGCGCTTCCAATCGTACTTTTGTTCGAAATCGTGGGTGCAAAATGTGCACTGATACTTCCGGGAAGGACTTGAAGGCTTTCGGAAGATCGTTTTAGCTACGTTATGAGAGGGCTCGCGCTGTCTTTTGCGCCCTTTGCGAGAGCCGCGGCTGTCTAAAGAGTCCATGCTTGCAGACGAGGAGTTGGAGGTTGAGCTTTGGGAGCTACTACGAACCGACGGGGTTCTGCCTTTCCTCGAACGGGCTGGCTTGATGGGTCTGTTCATCACATTGGCTGCTGTCCGTACGGCGTCTTCGGAGATGCCTTCATCTTCTGGGGAACTGGAAAGGAAACGCTCCATGGGCCCTTGCTGGTCTGGAGGAGCCGGGATGTCTACGCCTTTGCTCTGTGTAGAAGGACCAGGCAGCTTTCGCGCCCTAGCATTGGCGAAAAATATCTGTACCTGTCGAATCGACAGACCAGTGTCTGTCGCTAGTCGCTGGACCTCACCCTTTGGGATGTACGGATCTTCTCTATGACGTTCGAAGCAATTCGTGAGCAGGCGCCTCGCCTCTGGCGGCATGCGCCGAGTTTTCTTTTCAGTCCTTCCCTCGCCTTCTTTCAGTAAATACTCTTCGGCATAGGACGATGAATTTGAATCTGAATGGGGCGTATTCCCTGAGAATACAGCTGTGTCGGCTGGCGAGACCCAATCACCAGACTGAATCTCATTCGGCAGCTCAGCCCACCATTCCTCCAAGGTAGGGAAGTCGAGCGTCGCAAATGCAGACACATCCTCTGTGTTAGGTGCACTATGGTCGCCACTGGAGACTTGTAAATCATTCGAAATCTTTTGCGGGACCGGTTCAGCTGTTGCTAGTTGGCCTGCAGTCGGAGCAATAGGGCGGGTAGGGTCATATTCGAGATTGACAAAGCTGGACCAGTCAATCTGCTCCGTTGCCGCATGGTGGACATTGTCCAGCTCTAGTCGAGCCCAAGTATCCTCTTCGACTTCCATCTTGCGTAGCGCTCATTTGTAGGAATGCCAGCGTCACTGTAAGAAATCAGTACCCTCATCTATCACTAGTGCATTGACAATATCCAGAGTCCCTATGTTTTCCTGCTTGCGAACGTGATTGAAAAGTGGGGTGTGGATGTACTGTGTAAGCTTGCGAAAGTCTAAGTGTCATCGCGATTTCCCAGTTCGGACATTAGCCGGACATAGGAATCACCCCTGCCACGAGCGTCAACTTGAAAGAGAAGCAATACATGACCAAGCACAGGAAAAAGATATATCGCTTTAGGCTCCCATACATCGAGTCTCGCCCCAAGATACAGAGTACAACTACCAATCGCAAAGAAGATGAGCAGTGTTTCGTACCGCAGGAATCACTGTCCAGTCAGCCGCCGCATAGGTTCTTGTGTCCAACTGGAATACCCCACTACCCCACCCATAGCGTCCACCACAGTCATGTTAGATGAAAATTCAGCTCCTAATCGCCACGACCTTCGTGCGCTCGAACTCACGTTCTCCTTGTTATGATATTGCCGGCTATATTAAGACCACATTCAACACAAGTTTCATCAATTGAACAAGACCAACGGTCGGTTAGCTCAGTTGGTTAGAGCGTGGTGCTAATATCCAAATGTTAACGCCAAGGTCGCGGGTTCGACCCCCGTACTGACCATCATTTTGTTCCTGCGATGGACTCCTTCATCTAAGCGTTCTCGCTCGTTCTTTTTGATCGAATACTAGATGTTCGAACGGGGTCAAGAACCGGGCGGTCGTTGGACAGTCACCAAACCCTGTTCCTGTTTGGTTAAAGTAGCAAAGCCCTTTTACTTTTGTTGACTCTGCTCAAGATATTATCAATCTGTAGATGATTAGTAGCCATTAGTTACAAGAGCGTATAGATAGTGATGTGTTCCATTCATCCGGCCGCGATGCTGCAGGTCATGACGCTATGCTTCCTCAAAGACGCTATGTATTACAAGCAAGTATCGTTCACCAAAAGACATTGATATCGTACCATAACGCAACCATAGGAAATCCGTCCAGGGAATGCAACAATATACGCCTGGTATCATGAAAGAGAATATGCAAAGGTGTGCACCTCACTGTTAGAGGCCATAGTCGACGTAATCCTAGTCGACGTCGCCAACGAAGCCTTTACGTCTCGAAGCACACTCATCAAGGTTGCGCAGAGGGATGCCAAAGTCGTCTTCATCGGCCCAATCCTCCTCCTCATCGTCGGACAGCCACGATCCCGGGATACTCTCGGTAATATTGCGAAGACGGTAGGTGTTGAAGCTAAACACGCCATCGGAGATCTTAGCTGCGATGCGTAGCATGAGCGAAACGAGGTGCGCCGGCGGTCCGAGGACTATTTCGGCTGTCTTTCGGATAAGTGCTGTTGTGAACTGCTTCCGAGGGCCGTTAGTTGGCGGGCAGAACAAGTTCTGTGGAGCCGGCATCGGGGAAAAGGCACGTTTTTGTGTAGCACCTGTGAGGCGTTTCATTCGGATCGCATCGGGTGGAGTGGCTAAGTCCAATGATGGCAGACCGAGGCTGTCGTCATCCGAATCACTCACAAGCGGAGGTGTAGAAGGCGCCGGCGATAGGCGAATCGTGGGTGCTGAGGTAGCGTGGTCGTCGGTCGGAGTGACTGGAGCTTCTTCAGCCGTATGCGTGGAAGATTGCCGGACTGTCAATTCTGACGCCTGTCGGCGGTGCTTGCTACGACCCCGATCTTCTCCGTGCGCAGTGCTTAGTTCACCAGCCCACGGATTGGCAGACTCGCCTTCGGCGTCCAAGAACGGAGGGGTGGGACTACTCTGAGTCGATGATTCGATCGAATAGAACGAGTCAACGGTGGAGACTATGCTCTGTGCATCTGTAGACTCCATCCTCTCCAGGGCTGATCTTACCGGCGGGCCCGGCTCGTCTCTTTCCTTCCCTACCTTGTGTCCTAGTGCAACTTCCTCAGGAACGGCTTCGCTCGAGAATGATAGTCGATGGGCCATTTGTGCTATAGGTGCAGTGACAGACCTCTTCTCTTCGAAAGTTCTTGTGCGTTCGGCGACTGACAGTCGTCGTGCGGGCATAGGCTTCAGTGTGGGCTTGGGTGGGGTAACTTCCAAAGCTGTAGCAGGAGTGTCAGGCCTTGGTTCGCTCCTATCAGTGCAGATGCTCGAAGTGTCGTCCTCTTCGAATGATGACGCGGTACCCGCGTCGGAACCTTCCAATATAGGCGTACAAGGCCGCGAGCCGTCCTCTGGCATCCACGTCTTATCGAACGTCCACTTTTTGGCCTTTTCGGCTGGCTTTTTGGGTCGTCTGCGCGGCGGCGATTTCGGACGCTCGGGCAGCTCTACTTCGAAACCGCGTGTGAATGGGCACCGTGTTCTTTCGTATTGCAGTACCTGCCCAAGGACCTTCTTAAAGTCTTGCACCTTTTCTTTATCTTCTGCAGTCTCGTGCGGCAGTTCTATGCGATAGTATGCGTCTTGCCGTACACGTAGCACGAAAACAGAATCGCCGTCGACGCACCAACATTGAGATCTTGGAAAGATGGTGTGTAGGAGGTTCCCGGAGTTGAGGAATGAGACATTGGAGGATGTCACGCGATAGATACGCAGCGGGCCTGCATTCTCGGTCAGTAGCGGCAACAGCACGCGACCATCTTGCTCACCAACTGCTAACGTGCGCTCCGTTGTTGATCTCCAGGGTATAGAAGGCGCGGCATCGTCGTGGTTGGCGCTGTGCCGCCGCGATGGCGATGCTCGTCTTGACGACGCCGAGGCCGTAAACGATACGATCTTGGTAGAAGTGCACACGAACAGGGTTTCTATCCCGTCGGTGCTGGAGGCAGGCGCGGGCGAAGGCGACTTGGTCGCGATGCGCGCGGGGAGCGTAAAGGAGCGGCGGACGGTTGCATTCGAGACAGCGGGCGGCGCTGGCCTGGATGCCGGCGCCTGAGAAGCCATAGTCGAAAGCTCAAGGTGGCATTTCTGTCCTTCGATGGTTCAGGCGAAAGGTCGAGCGAGAGTACTGGTGCTGGTCTGTGGCTAGTAAGAGTATGAATGGACGAACAGCGAGAGGGCAATGTCCGAGTTGCAGTGCGGCGCGCAAGGTTGCGCGCTAAAGTCTGAAGAAGGGTTTCAAGCTGGTCAGTCGACAGCGCCTGGCCGTGCCTGTCTGTTCTGCACGGCTTCAGACACCCGCAATGATGAAGGAAGGGGAAAAAGCTCGTTATGCGCAGAATGCCAAACAAACACAATGGATGGGCGGACAAGCCTCCGGACAAAGAGGACAAAGAGTGATCGAGTCCCTGCACTCCCATAGGCTGCTGCGCTTTGGCCCGGCGCGTACGTCATTAGTCGCGTCCCACCGGTTCCCAGCAATCCTACAGCTGTGAATCGTTTGATCTCCCACATTCAAATCACCCCCGGTCACAGAGCCGACGAGAGCACGCGATCATGTCCAACTTCGACCCCAATGCCATACTGAGGGGCGCCCAGCTCACTCTTGTTGGAGGTATATCTTCTTGCAACGAGCAGTTACATCATCCTTGACTGAGATTAACACGCTCTAGTAAACCGCGCCCTCCAGAACCCGGCATTGTTCACCTCAAAACACTATCGTCAAGCTGCATTGGCCGTTGCTGCAGGCGTCGCTATCCGTATTCTTGTTTCGATACCAGTAAGCTCTCATATAGTTTGCAGCCACCTGCAGGCTCAAGTCGCAGCCCACAGCATCATCTTGTGGCTAACAAAATCATAGATTGTCGGCGTCAGAAGCCTATTATGGATGTTAGCCTTCATTGTAGATATGGACCACGCTCATTGGGACAATGCTGTGGCGGACGGTCTCCATTTCCTCGAGCACTCCGTTCTTCAAGTGCCCTTCTTTTTGATGACGCTCATGCGATACATCACTCCGACTCTCGACCAGATGTTTATGGATTCCCTGCATTGGGTCGACCAAACATACATCCAGAAGCACAAGTCCGAAGATCCTCGTAACCTCCGCGCAATGTACTATCCCAATCTGAATATGTACCAAACACATGGCCTCAAGAACGAAACCAAGACGCCTCTCAAACAAGCCATCACCGCTTTCGCCATCAGATACGGACGCAAGGCTGGCATTTCACTCGCTGTACTGGCTCTGTCATACGTTCCCTACGTCGGCCGCTTCGTGCTTCCCGCAGCCAGTTTCTATACCTTCCAAAAATCTGTTGGTCCGCAGCCAGCTGTAGCTATATTTGCAGTATCGCTTGTGATGCCACGGCGATACTTGATATCCTTCTTGCAATCATATTTCTCTTCCCGGACTCTCATGCGCGAATTGGTAAGTATGGCCCTTCAAAAAAGCCAGTGTCTCTCCTGACTTTGTTCTAGTTGGAGCCTTACTTTGCGCGGGTACGCTATTCAAAAGAACAAAAGCAATTGTGGTTCAAAGATCGAGCCGGCGTACTGTTCGGCTTTGGACTCGGCTTCTACGTCTTCGTCAAGATACCCTTGGTTGGAGTCCTGATCTATGGACTAGCGGAAGCCTCAACAGCCTACTTGATTACCAAGATCACTGAGCCTCCGCCAGCTCCTTCAGAGGCTGAAGGTTTCAAGCAGGAGGATGTTAGATGGAAGAACAAGCATGAATTTCTCAATCTGCCATGGCATGATATGGATGCATACAATATTGAGATGGCAAAGGACAAGTTTCGATCAGAAGTTCGACAAACGCCTCGCAAAACCTTTAGTTAGGACATCCACCGTTGCTAGCGACGGGGTTTTCCCTTAGGTCGCGCATAAGTTTACGACCGAAGAATGACAAACAACGAACGAGAGTAAACGAGAGTATCGACAACTTTAATTCCCTTTACGCCACGATTTCGCCTGCGCATATGTTTGCTGATAAGCTTCTCGCGTCGGATGTTCCACGCGCATACCTGCCGCTGTTCGGTGGTATACCCCGCTGCGGGGCCGTTGCTAGGAGCCAAGCTCCGAGCTCTATCCGCAGAAGCTCAAGCTTGGGATACGTAACAGCTCTGGTATCTCAGCTTATCAGCTTCCGCTCCCCCAGCCGCGGGTGATAGCTTGATCTGCTTCCTCGGAGAATGAGCCTGGGCTGTCGTATCGATTGTATGACGAGAGCAGTGGGTTTCCCCGCAGCTATCATGCATTTAAAACATTGCAAGACCCCGCGTGCCTTGACAGCCAACAAGCAATATAATACAGCTTCTTACTCCAATCTTATTGAGTCATCGTGAAGATCTTTCTTAACAAACGGTTGCAGAGACGACCATGGGTAAACAAGAAATCCGCTACGCCGCGAAAGTATCTCTGGATACGCCACCACCAGAGCAAAAGGTGCTTCATGTGAGTTACATCTCACTAAAAATATGAACTCTAGTTCTAACTTTGACTAGAATCGCTGGCACCCAGACGGTATATATGCAACCACACCTCACTACTAAGCTAGACGGCTGATTGGCGCATAGTCCCCTCCGTCGGCACCATCAAGAACGGAGAAGTTGTCAAGATTGAATGTTTGGACTGGACTGGCGGCCAAATCGGAAACAACGATTCTGCAGATGACGTCCGCGATGTTGACCTTACGAAAATTCACTACCTAACCGGGCCCTTCGATATCGAAACCGCTGAGCCGGGCGATGTACTCCTAGTAGAAATTCAAGACGTGCAGCCACTTCAAGAGCAACCGTGGGGATTCACTGGTATCTTTTCGAGAGAAAACGGGGGTGGTTTCCTCGACGAGATCTATCCGAAGCCGTACGTATCACCCACATACTCATGCTTCCGGTCAAAACACGTACTAAGGCGAGAAACTATAGCGCAAAAGCAATCTGGGACTTCGAAGGCATATTCTGTTCCTCTCGCCACATCCCCGGTGTCCGCTTCGCAGGCCTCATCCACCCAGGCATTTTGGGCTGCGCGCCTTCGCAAGAAATTCTAGAGACCTGGAACACCCGCGAAGCCGAGCTCATCTCAACACACAGCCATCTCGACAAGATTGTCGCGCAGCCTCCCGAGCCTCAGAACGTGCATGCCGGCACCGCCTCAGATGATATCAAAAAGAAAATAGGCAAGGAAGGCGCACGCACAATCCCCGGCCGCCCCGAACACGGCGGAAACTGCGATATCAAGAACCTCTCCCGCGGCTCCAAGGTCTATCTACCCGTGCACGTCAAAGGGGCGAAGTTCAGCGTGGGCGACCTACATTTTTCGCAGGGCGACGGAGAAATCAGCTTCTGCGGCGCAATCGAGATGGCCGGCGTCATCACAGTGAAGTGCACAGTGATGAAAGACGGCGTTGCTCAGCTTGGCATGAAGAGCCCGATTTACATCCCTGGGCCTGTGGAGCCGCAGTTTGGACCTGGCAGGATGTTGTATTTTGAGGGTTTTAGCGTGGATGAGAAGGGGAAGCAGCATTACTTGGATGCTACGGTAGCTTACCGACAAACCTGTCTCAGGGTCATCGAGTACTTGAAGCGATATGGTGAGCGATCCTTTTCTTACTTTCTTTCAAGCGGGAGGGGATGCGAGGTCTGAACAGGTGGACATGGCTGACGTGCGGACTGCAGGCTACGACGACTACCAGATTTATCTACTGCTATCGTGTGCGCCTATCCAAGGGCATATTGCGGGTATCGTTGATATTCCGAATGCTTGCACGACTATTGGGCTACCGATGGATATTTTTGATTTCGATATCAGGCCGGAGACGAAGGCGCAGAAGATAGACTTGGGCAAGTGTGCCTATGCGAGTAGCTAGGTTGTTGTGAGGCTTCGTGTGAGCGTTGAGGTGGTGTTGTTATGAGCATCGACGTGGTGTTGTGGGGGCATTGAAGTGGTGTTGTGGTGAGCATTGATGAGATGGTCGGGTTTTTGAGTTATGTTTGGTGTATGTGGGTGTTGTACTGTGGCTCAAGAAAGAGGTGAGGCAATCTGAATCCGAAATTAGCATGAGTAGTTATTGCTTGGCTTGATCGCCTCCAAGCCATTCAAATCGCGTCCTGACGTGTGTGCTATCGGTGTGATAACGATAGGAACAGACATGCTTCGAGTCGACGTGGCTGCTCACCCTTGGTGAAGAGAGGGATGCGGATCTGGGAAATGCGATATTGGAAAGCTGCTGCGGCAGGAACAATCGTCGGGTAGCAAACTGTCGGTTTGAGGAGTGATCGCGTAGTCCTGCACGCCACAGCATCACGCAATGCACAAATCCAGAAGGACGGCATAGTGCGGTATACATGGCGGTGAAAGCTAGAGAATTGCCAATGGGGGTATTATCAGGTGCCTTGGACACCAGACACCAGAAAGGTTTACGGGGTGATGCAGGTACCGAGAGTGCATACCTAGGCAACAAGGCTATAAAATCAGAGTCAATTTCCTGGCACACTGATAGGTGTAATGAAAATAGTGTAATGAATGACGCTGGATTATTTGCTCGGAGAAGAGTTACGGGCAGCACTGATAGAATGAACAACGTCTACTGGCTTGCTTGCGATGTACCTCGATGCGAGATCAGATTCGAACTCCGAATCCTCTAATACTGCCCGAGCTTTCTGTGATTTGCATTTTTTTCACGCTGGCATTCGTATCGGAGTGATGTGACCGTAGACCATTCGGTCCGACCATGAGGCTCTGCTCCACCCCACAACCCACGCATGTCATTCCAGCCCCATGACGGGTCTTTTTTAGGAAAGCCCCGATTTTTTCTCCTGGGGACATTGTGCCAAGCATGGGGATCTGCGTTGAATACGACATACGTCACTTAGATAGTGTATCCGACCCCACGAGACGAGGCGGTGTTGGTACACTAGACGCTAGGAACAGGACAGTGCACGATACTATATCCCTTGGCTTAGAGGACGCCGTAAGCTAGCAGTCGTTCTACCGGGCAAATGGCGATCTCATTTCGTTGTTCATTGCGTACACTGTACTTTTTGCCTTGTTTCGACTTCTCGGTTGGGGTCGCTTTCATTGTGAGCAAAGAATTTCAATGAATCTGGCACCAAGATACTTTTGATTTGGTATACCAAGCTCTTCAAATTGATACACGCAATCGGCAATATCATTGGCAAAGCTGAGGCTACCGTTCGCACCGAATCGACCCCAATTGCTGCATGCATCCGGAGCACTGCGTTAAGCTCGCCAAGTCCGGCGGTCCACAGTGCTAAGCTTCTCTAAGGTGCCTTGGATTTTGCTACTGATATAGCGCGAGGCTGGAGTACTAGGAGAAGCGAACACTGAGATTGAGGAACAGTGTACCTTGGACAGCATCATGATCCACCATAGTGAACAGTGCCATGGGATCCACTCAATCCAACAGTGACATTCAGTGTCTCCCGAAATCGTCCGGCCATGATCGGATCGAGTACTCTTCAGGTATATAAACCCAAGGTCTTTCCGTCTCAAAACATATCCCACATTTCAAACCCAATCATTACATACAAGCTTCCATCAAACCTCCACCATGAAGTTCACCCTCTCCACCGTCCTCGCTCTCGCGGCTTTCACCAAAGCCGCCGAAGTCACCCTCTTCACGGGCCTCGACTGCGACCCGGCCAACAAAATCGGCGACACGCTCACCGTTGCCGACGAATCCGGCAACAACGCGGACGCCAACTTCAAAGACGACAACCAAAAGCCCACCAGCATGCTCGTCATCGGCTGGGCGACCGTCCTCCTCAAGAAGAACACAAACGATATCTTCGACCAGCCTACCTGCGCGTACGTACTGTAGACTGTAGACAATAACAGTGAGATTACCTGTGTTGACCACGAACTATAGGTACTGCGCGAACTACTACACGAAAAACGTCGGTACTGTGGATGACGGGTGCCACCCTGACGATGGCCAGAAGTGCGTGAACATCGACACGGGCTTTGGCATTGGACATGTCAAGTTGATTGCGGAGGGATCCCCGAGTCCGGCGGATATCCCGTGCAGGAACCATTTGAACCAGTGTGGCTTTCCTGTGCCGCCTGGCAATGGCTTCTGCGATCAGTCCCATTAAGTGGGGTGTGTTAGGGAAGGGCTCGGTCTAATGAGAGTGAGGATTGGTTCGGGATGATGTGCATGTAGATCGAGGATTCTATATCCTACTGTTCTTCGATGCTTTCGTGCTTCAGATTGTAACGTGGTGGGGCGAATAGCTCAACGAAGTCACACTGAAGGCCGAAGTGCTCTCAAAATATATGACGGCCAGAAATGGTCGAAACAATTACATCATATATGTCATAGTCAAAAAAAATATCATTTGCCTGATATTACGATATTAGCTTGCTTCTCTGACGTTTCGTCTTTCTGATATCCAAAGTCTTGGGTACTTGTTGCATCCATATCCGCGGAAGTTTGCCTACAGTTTCGCGGCTACAGCCATGGGAACTTCCCCATGATCCAAAACTCTCTGAATTTCGTCCTCCGTCTTCTTTCTGTCTTGAGAGCTTAGCCAGGATACGAAAATATCAAAATAAGTTGCACGACCGAGATAGACAGATTGCTCGCAAACGCTATTTGGGGAGCAAGCCTCCTCTACCGCTCAACGACCAGGACGACTTGTGATTGTGGCATCTATGCGGCATCTCACAGTAGCAACCTTACACCTGAACAGGTATTGCAATTGACATCGAACATGGTCGAAAGCATAGTCTGGAGCCCGTCATCGGGCAAAAGATGACTTTGAGGCTGCGAAGGCAACTACTCAATTGCACGTGTCGTGCTGCTCCAATTCGTTAACAGGTCCCTTTCTCTCGGGACTGAACCGGCCAACCGAACCATGGAAACACTGCCGACTGCATGAGGGATAATCTGTTGACTGAGCAGTAGACTGGAAAGGTCCCACCGTACTTTCGCCGTTTCTTCAAGACATTAGCGCTTAATGGAGACGCGATGAAATACTGCCTATCCTGACATCGTAACGCACCAACATCGTCGTTGTTTGTCGTCACGAGGATAGCTCGATTGCCTTTATGCTATCCTTATGCTTCAAGCATAGATCTGACTAGGTTTCTCTTGCTCCCTGACAATTTCTCCTTACCGGGTAGGGACCTCTTCAGGTAGGTGCGCCTAGATCTCTAACTATCGTCGGTGACTCCTCTGGCACCTCACTGGAAATAACGTAGGTTCGGCATATTGACAGCTTCCTATCTGGGACTTCTTTTGCAATGTCGTTTTGCCCATTGACCAAAGATTGATGCCCGGAAAAGTATCCGCTCCACTGCTGCTTACCAACACTCCTCGTCCCACTGTAGCACGCAGTCTTAAGATATTTGCCATCTCAACGTCTTTGAAGGTCAGCAGGAATCAATTGCTAATCCATCATGTAGTATGGCATGCCAATAGAATCGTGTGTTTGGACTCCGCTCTGGCTAAGTGAGCTCTCACTTACCCCGCTACGTCATGACCGATAATTCCGTATCTGCGGAAATGCCTCGGAACCACAGCATCCACATTCAAATGCTCCACACTTCCGAGGCTTCACTTTTTCTTCGATAGCTCAATCCTCCCTTGCTTAGAAATAGCCAAGTATATAATTCACCTTGCAGATCGAATACCATAATTGCAATTACGAACGAAGACCAACGAGCACCATGTCGAACACAATGAAAGCAGTAGGTCTGTAGCTCCTATACCCTCTTGAAAAGCACCCGATTGACAGAATGCATAGATATCGAGGGCGGAAAAGGCCCAAGATCCGCTCTACACATCACGTCGGTCCCGCGCCCCAAACCCGCCGACTCCCAAGCCCTCGTCCGCATCAAAGCCTTTGGCCTCAATCGCATGGACCTCCTCCAGCGCGAGGGCATGTACCCCGTCCCTCCACAGGCCTCCAAGATACTCGGCGTAGAATTCAGCGGCATAATCGAAGAGCTCGGTGCCGGCGGTGGCGGCCGCGAAAACTTCAACGTAGGCGACGAAGTTTTCGGGCTGGCCTACGGCGGTGCCTACGCAGAGTACATCGCCGTCAGCACGCACATGCTTGTGCGCAAGCCTGCGGAGCTGAGCTGGGAGCAATGCGCGGGGATCCCCGAGACGTGGATCACGGCGACACAGGCGATGTATCTCATCTCGCATTTCGCGCCTGGGAAGACGATTCTCTGGCATGCGGCTGCGTCGAGTGTGTCAATTGCGGGGATTCAGCTGAGCAAGGCGGATGGCGCAGCTGCTGTTTATGCTACGGCACGCCAGGACGAGAAGTGCGAATTCGTGGTCAAGGAGCTTGGCGCGACGGCTGCGTTCAATACTACTACGCAAAATTGGTCTGAGGAGGTGCTCAAAGCAACGGACGGAAAGGGCGTCGATATCATCGTGGACTACATTGGTGCTCCTTACTTTGGCGACAATCTCAACGCGCTTGCGAGGGATGGCGTGTGCGTTAGTTTGGCAGTTATGGGCGGCTCGAAGCTACCTGAGGGTGTAGACGTGAGTGCGTTCGTCAGGAAGAGAATATCATTTGTGGGTAGCAGTTTGAGGAGCAGAGATGAAGAGTATCAAGGAAAGCTGCGCGATCAATTGGTCGAGCATGCGCTGCCGCGGTTCAAAGACGGAAGATTTAAAATACTTGTCGATACGGTGCTTCCGTGGGAGAAGATCCAGGAAGCGCATCAGTTGATGGAAGAGAACAAGACGAAGGGCAAAATTATTTGCACGATTTCGTAGGTTCGATGCACTTATGTAGCCAAATAAGTAATTATTACTCTGACTGAAGGATACTGCAAGTCTTCAACTATCTAGCACTTACATTTCACCATGTTGTTCACCGGCGCACCTGCGCGAAACAGGAACCTCAAACATTCCCCTTCCACTCCTCCTAATCCCTACACCAGCAAAAATGATCGACATTGGCCAGATTCGAACTGACGCTCCCGAAGGAACAAGATTTCTAGTCTTGCGCGATAACCACTCCGCCACAATGCCTTTAAATCATGTGATTGATAAAAGACAACATTCATTTGTGATATATAACTAAGATAAATAAAATATCACCAGAATGCTCCTGACACTTTACGGAAAACTTGAAGGTGGTTTGTCTAAGATAGCGATTGGCTCGGCTCAAGGGTATATTATGGACGGTGGGGGTTAGCGTCGAATCAAGATCGTCGAGGAATGCTGTCTTTATGAGTAGTACAGTATTACAATAGTGTTTTGAAGCTCGTCCGTCAAAGCTGGAATGGGACAATCTAACGAGAATTAATCAAGGTTGAGACGTAATGTGCGTTCCGGGGAACGTTTTGAACAGGGCAGGGACTAGCTATATACCATAGGTACCATAGATGATCTCGAACTCAGGTCTTCTTTGTGCCGACCCCTCAAAGGAAGCAGAATTGAAAACACCCAAGCGTTCCCATATTGTCATTGGAACCGTATGACTAACGCAAGAATAGATGACCTTTGACATGCGGTGGCCTAGTGCTTTTTCCACATTAGGTAGCGCTAGTGATGCAACTATTCAAATCGGACGCATGTCCATAACGTATATAAGTACAGCAGCAAACAATATTCTCCCCATAATACTCCCAGTTCAGGTCAAGTCAGCATGGCGCGTCCCTCTTTAATGGGGATCCCCATCGAGCTTCGCGAGCGGATTTACAAATACCTCCTTACACATACCCCCACCTCATCCTCCACACTCGCCCCAGCGTCGCACATCTGCGCTCTTCTTACCCTAAACCATCAGATCCACGCCGAAATCATCTCATTCCTCCAATCGCAACTTCTTGTGCTTCTCAAAACAAACGACAAGGACTTCATCTCCAAAACGCTCGACACGGACTCTACCGCCGTGCCATTCATTTCGCAGCTGCGCTCTGGTAATTTGACCATCATTAAGACCGCCAACAATTCTCACATTGCAATCTCCAAAACGCCCCACACCTCACGGGAATCTATCGCCATGCCATTCGTTTCGCAGCTGCGCTCTCGGGATCTGACCATCCAAAAAAACGCATCTAAGGCTCCCATTGCAATGGAGTTGAACTATTACATATTCATGCCCGATAAAGAGCTGGACAGTTACGCTGCGTTCCTTGTCCCTGCGTCGAGCCTGAAGGCAATGGTGGGTGCGCAGGACAGTCAACCATTCTACACGTGCATCAGGCAAGCCCTGCTTTCCGTCAACCTGCTCGAAACGTTCCCACATACAAGGGATCAAGCCCAGAAGCTACTGCTGCGACCATATATCGACGGATTCTCGCGACCGTTTTTCTTGGGCATAAAGACACAAGGCGTAGCCGCCGAGATGACCAAACTGCTACGCCTGAAGCTGGAAGGCAACTACGAGGCCATAGGGCGCCTGGACATACTTAGAAAAATTACGCTGTACGAAGCCGTAAACGGAGCGGACGGGGCTGAAGTCGACTGGGGCGCAGCAACGGGAAGATTCCGCATGGCGATACGCTATGCGGAGCTGCTGTGGGAAAATCACCAAAATTGTCTTGCTACTGCTCCTTTTGATGGTATTCACCGTTTGTGGTTGATTCACAGTAACGTGTGCGCGGATCTTGTGCAGGTGATGCTCGATGCGGCGGCTGGGACGCCTGGTGCCAATGGAGCGTTCGCAAATGCAAGAAGGGCCGCTGAACAGGCGATCGAGTTTCTAGGTCCGAGGCCCGGATGGGGGACGCCAAAGACAGCTGGGGTGGTGCGGGCGCTGACTGCGCTGAGGAAGAGCAAGGCGAACATCAGTGTCATAGCGCATAAGGCATGTAAGGGCATGGGAGATGTGGATGCGGCTGTGGGATATCTCAGGGAGGCATTGAAGTACGAACCGGAGACTAGTGAGATGCTGTTAAAACAAATTGAGGAACTGAAGGAGGAGGGTGCAGGGGATGGAGAGGACATACAGGGGGTAATCAAGTGGGTGTAGCAGAAGTTGCAAGCTCAAAATAGCGGCAGAGCTCAAAGCTGAGCCCGGTATGGTCTTTGTGAAGCTTGGATTACTCGATAATAAGCTGCTAGGCCGATTGCAAAGTCCTCACAATGAAACATCGAGACGGTTTTTCGACATGTCTTTAGAACGCTCTCTAGGTACCAATATCAGTCGCAAGTCCCGAGAGACTGGTATCTAGGTGATCATATACTCGTCTTTCCATGGCTTAAAATAGCTTCCATACGAGATTCAAAACCGTATTGGCGAGTCCAGGTCCATTAAAAAGTCCCATGTCTTTACGCGAGGCAAGTACTCGCCATGATGACCTGAAATAAGTTATTCGTATGAGATTATAGCGTTCGGTAGTTGATTCGCCATACTCGGACTCTGGAACAGTCCGATCTTGACGCTAACACGGGCATAGATCTCCCCGCTAGAAGCTCCCGAGCGCCAGTCGAACCCGAACAACAAATAACGGTACATATCATAGGTATATATGGAGCGTTCGCACGGCATGGAGCGTCATAGCCAGCATAATTCAGAAGACAGCCATGGATTTCACCAAACAATATCATCTCGACACCTACGCTTCCATCTCATGTACCCAGCCTGAGCTGTCGCAATCCGGCCGCACTATCTTCATCACTGGGGGCGCCGGCGGAGTCGGCCTTGCGATCTCAAGGTCTTTCACGGAAGCTGGAGCGACTCGGTTGGTTATTGTCGGGCGGCGAGCAAAAAAGCTTGCGGAGGCCAAAAATGAGCTCCTCAAGCTTGCGCCCAAGCCCGAAGATCTTGAAATATTGACGTATCCGTGTGATATTGCAGACTCGACTGGATCCAAGGCTGTGTGGGCAGATTTGAAGAGCAAAGGAATCGAAGTCGATGTTTTGGTCTTGAATGCAGCTATTGCCAATACCGTTCCCAATGGGTTGGATGAAGACGACTTTGTGGACAAGGTTTGGGCGACGTTCGACATGAACGTTCGAACAAACCTTGAGTTGACCAGCCTTTTCCTCAAGCAGGGCAGGACAGGGAAGGTATGTCCACTGTGTCGAAACAATCTTGATAACGGGTGTTGACGATTGGATGCAGGCGGTTGTCAGTATCAATTCTAGTGCTGCACATATCAGCCCGACCCAGCCCATTCAGCTTGGCTACGCACCCTCCAAAGCCGCTCTGGGTGCTCTTATGCAAGGGATAGCTGACTCTCTCAAGGTGGAAGAAGCCCAGATCGTCAGTTTTCATCCTGGCTCAGTCAAGAGCGAATCAGTGATGAAGTCTAGATGGGCCAACGCTCCAATCGCTTGGAACACAGACAAGCTATCTGGCGATTTCGCGGTGTGGGCGTCCACAAAAGAAGCACGATTCCTGCATGGGAGGTTCGTGTGGTGTAACTGGGATGTGGATGAAATGAAGGCAATGGGCGAGTTCAAACATCCGGGTTTCAGCAGGATTGGACTTCAGGGGCCGAAGGCATTGTCGTCAAACGAGCTTTGGGGACAGATGGAAGGCCTCGTGAAGCGTCAAGCGTGAGCTGGCGCTGTATCGCGATGCTGATGCTCGAGGAATTGGATGTGTTCGTGATGAGCCACGAAAATGCATTGATCACACGATAGGAAAATCGTACATGTGCTAATGAGCTCTTCTGTTGTTTATTCCACCTCCAAGACCACTTGCTATCCAAGCGTGTCCAGAGTCTTCTATTCCACACACTATATCATACACTAGCACTGTAACCGCCTGGCATTCCTCTCGTCATCTTCCGCTTCTTCAGCCACTTGCGCGCCTCATCTGCCCAGAACACACAGCTAGCCACCGCAACCAGGTGAACGATGTCCATCAGGCCTAGCGCCTCGGTCTGGAAGATACTCTGCAGAGGCGGGAAGTAGATAACCATCAATTGCCCAACGAGACTTCCGGCTACAGCGTAATTAAACATTTTGTTACCAAAGACTTGGATTTCGCCCGCGAGGACGGACTTGCTCTCTGAGCGGCAGGTGAGCGCGTTGAACATATCGAATAAGACAAAGCAGGTAAAGGTCATGGTGGTATCGCGGGCGGTTATTTCGTTATCATCGCCCATTTCACGGTAGTAGGTAAAAAGTGTGCCAAGCATTACGATTGATGCGGACTGTAACACACGTTGAAGAAGGGCGCGAGTCAGGACTCGTGCGTGGCGAGGGCGAGGTGGTCGCGACATGACGGCTGGGTCAACCGGTTCAACGCCAAGTGACTGGGCCGGTGGTCCGTCCATGAGGATATCTACGATGTATTAGAAGGGTGCAATGAATCACTATTGTAAGGGAGACGTACTTATCCAAAGAATCTGCATAGCGTTGAGCGGATTCTGGAAACCGAGGAAGGTGCTGAGAAGAACCAAGCTTAGAGCAGCAGCAGATGTACTGAGCTGGAAAGTGATGAAGTTCTGAATGTTATAGAAGATGCCCTTCCCTTCCTCGATGGCATTGAGAATAGTGGCGAAGTTGTCGTCTGTAAGGATCATGTCCGCAGCTTCTTTGGCGACATCCGTTCCGAGCCGTCCCATAGAAATACCAATGTCTGCCTTTTTGAGGGCTGGTGCATCATTGACGCCGTCGCCGGTCATTGCTACAACATCGCCACGGGCCTGTAGTGCGCGCACAATCTTTAACTTGTGTTCCGGGCTTGTACGGGCGAATATCGAGGTTGTTGCAATTGCCTGTGAGAGCTCTTCCTCGCTCATCTGATCCAGTTCATCGCCTCGTATCACGGAACGGCCCATGGACGGGTTCATGTTGATTGGCATACCGAGCTTTTTGCCGATTGCGACGGCCGTTGTCTCGGCATCTCCAGTGATCATGATCACTTTGACCTTGCCGGCCATCAAGCGCCGTAGGGCCCTTTCCACACCTTTCCTAGGAGGGTCGTTCATGCCAACAAGCCCAGCAAACACTAAGCCTCGATAATGCTCATCATCTCCTAGTGCCGAGATGCTAGAAGGTGCGGGTGATGCGGTGCCGCTGTTTCCCTTGCGGCCAGATTTCGAGCCACTTGCGAAGCCTAACACCCTTAGACCATCTTGAGCCATTGCATCAGCAGCCTTGATGGCTTCTTGCTTTCGACCTTGATCCAACGGTACCTCGTGCCCCTGCGCGGTCACGTAAGTATCGCAACGATCGAGCACTTTCTCTAGAGCACCCTTGATATACGCAACCTCTGGACCAGGCGCGAGGTCCGCACCTGCACTTCCGCTGATAACAACACCCATCCACTTCCTTTCGGAACTGAAAGGGGTCTCGTAAAGACGAGCGCCAATCCTGTCCCTTACATCGTCCTCGCTGAAAGCATCGAGAAGGTCCAGGAGAGCAATGTCGGTCGGTTGCCCGACCCACCGGCTCTTCGCCCCAGAGCTGTCGTCGCCGATCGTAGAAGATAAGACTGCAGCAGTAGACGCCGCTTGGGGACCGACAAGGCGTGCGTTGTTAACAATGTTACCTATCCGCAAGATATTGCGTGTAGGAGAGTCCAGAGCTTCCGAGTCATGCTTCGTCTTTACATCGATAGGTGAGGGCTCGTCAAAGTGCCAGATCTTGGTTACTGTCATGTGGTTCGTAGTCAACGTGCCTGTAAGGCCATTAGCAACCACTCAGAACTATCTTTCGTATGTACGTACCTGTTTTGTCGCTGCAGACGACATTGACGGAGGCCAATGTCTCGACACTTGGCAAGCGTCGCACAATAGCATCCCGCTTCGACATACGGAGCACGCCCAATGCGAGCGTGACGGTAACAATGATGGGTAGACCCTCAGGAATAGCAGCGACGGCCAGTGAGACGCCGATCTGGAACATCTCCAAAAATTCCCAGCCTCTCCAGAAACCCAGCAGAATGATAAATGCAATGACGCCAAATGACATGTAGCTCAACTCTTTCCCAAGTCTGTCCATCGAAAGTTGCAGTGGAGTACGCGGGCTTTCGATCTCCTGAAGAGACGCAGAAATGGCGCCGAACTCGGTGTTGCCTCCGGTTCCAATCACCAAGCCTTGCCCGTAGCCCGAACGAACCAGAGTTCCCATGAAAGCAATGTTCTTCTGATCGTTCAAGCGAATATCGGCGCCAACGGTTCCAGCAGCAGGCGATGCGTAGAAAGGAGACTCGGGCCTTTGTATACCATTCGCGCGTTCGAGGGTATCTGGTGTTTTAGGGACTGGTTCGTTCTCACCAGTGAGGTTGGATTCATCGATCGTAAGGTCTGCTGCGTGGGTAATCCTGATGTCTGCAGGGATACGGTCACCGGTGTGGAATAGTACCAGATCACCCGGTACCAACAAGGTGGCGGAAATAGTATTGGAGCGGCCCTCTGCAGCCTCCAGCGAGGCTGGCGTGTCCTTGACCTCATCCATATCTTCGTTTCCGGCACCCACGCCGTTTGCTACCCGACCGTTTCGAGGCTGCTCCACTCCAGTGCGAATTACATGGGCGGAATGGGGAACGAGCTGGTTTAATGCCTCCAATGACTTCTCCGATCGGTATTCTTGCACGAATCCGACTGTTACGACGATTGTAACTGCAGCCGCTATGCTGACGGCATCATCCAGGTTTCCCATAACCAGAGACACCGCAGCAGAACCAAGTAACAGCAATATTAAGGTCTCTTTAAACTGTTTGAGAAATCGAAGCCATAGTGGCTCAGGGTCCTCGTGGGGAAGCTCGTTGAGCCCATGGGTATGGATTCGCGCCGACGCGCTGGACGAGGAGAGACCGCGAGTCACTGACGTTTCGAGTTTGCGCGCGGTTTCGTGGGAGGATAGCAAGGAGAATTGCGACGTTATTGACTACAAAATCATTGCGATTAGCACCATGTACAATGGGCAGTGGTAGGGCAACCAGACAACCTACCGATGGTGTTGTTCGTCGCTGAGGCGGCTCTGGAGGAGACAGCAAAGGCGTTGCTCCACGAGAGGCTGTGTCTGGGCCATTGGAGGTGTTGTAGAGCGGTAGCGACGGCGTAGAGACTCTGGACATGTTTGCATGGCCAAAGGCCAGTGGTTGCGCGGCGCTCTGAGCGGAGGCCGAGTACGAGGTCGGGGCGGCAACGGGGCGAATTTAGGGAGCACTGATCATCTCATGGATGCTGGTGAAGAAGACGGCAAGCGGCGAACAGTTGTAAGAGCGAAAGGACGGCGGGGGGCCGGGTTCTTTGAGGCTCAGACTGATCGATCTGGCTTGATGAATTAAAACGTAGGCTAGACACGACCCGAGCGCCTCAGATGGATGACTGGGGTCCAATTCTTCCTGCCCCGTTTCACGAGTAATGTCGCGTTTGGGACTTGCGCAGAGAATCATGTGGCCACTCCTCACGCAGCTGTCCAGCAAGCGACTCCGTGAATGTCCAAGGATGGCTGTCTTGGATGTGTTCGTCGCTGGTCGTGGATCATTGTCTTGGCATGGCCGCGTTAGGCCATGCGGGTGCTGCATATGCCCGCGAGCCTTCCCACGTCCAGTGACTTCGTGATTTGACGTGCGCACCACGTCACTTTCTGGCTGGCGCACTTTATAAGCGAAAGATGCAAAAATACGTCTTTGGACTGATGATATGCCAGAGGATGTTGGAGTATCCTCCAGTGAGTGCAAGCTATGCTCTGCGCAGTCTTGACGTAGGTGGAATGTGTAAAGCGGAAAGCATTCCTGTACTTGATCGCCGTATTATTACTATCAGACTGCCCCTGTAACGAATTCTGAACTATCCACCGAGATACTACAAGATGGTGGTAGCGTTGTGAAGCTGTTTGCTCTTGCTCCTCGAATTACATGTTCGCGGCTGCTGCCTGCCTGGTCCGTGCGTTCCCAGCCATCCGTCTGTGTGTGGTGCCAGCCCCAACCTTGGATGCAACTGTCGTCAATCATCGCTCACCGACCACCAGCCCGCCCATCGCTCCCCACCTTCACTGCCATTGCGAAAATACGGCGCGCGCCCGGCGCTTTCACGTACGCCGCCCGCGCACGCGAACAACACGTCTCGTAGACCCTGATCGCCGACGCGCCGCGATCAAAACAAACCAGCAACGCGCATATACCTCCACCACCCACAATTCGACTGCTTATCATCGTCACCACCATGTTTTATCCTTCCGAATTGCTGCAGCGCTCTGGGCCGCTCGCCCACGTCTGGCTTGCGGCCAATGCTGAGAAGAAGCTCACCAAGCAGCAAGTTCTGCAGGACAAGATTGAGCAAGACATCAACGAGATCATGCGCCCTCAGGCACCTTTCTCGCTGCGCCTGAGTGGTTCATTGATGTTTGGCGTGGTGCGCATCTACAGCAGAAAGGCGCGCTATCTGCTAGATGATTGCACCGACGCGCTTTGGAGAATCAAGATGGTATGTTTGCCTCGCGTGTAGACTTCCATAGCTGGGAAACTGACCATCATGATAGGCATTCAAGCCTGGAAACATCGATTTGCCCGCTAACTCTCATGTTGCGAACCCCGCGGCACTTATGCTGGCCGATGCTATCACCGACATTGACCTCCTTGCGCCAATGCCTGACCCCTCATTGCTACTGTCTCAGTCTCTGGACTTACAGAACCTGGGTCTTCCCAACCTCGGTGCCGATTGGGATATGGACAGCAGTCAATTCCTTTCTGGCAGCATCGAACAACCCCGACGCGCAGAACCGGAGATCTTGGACGATTCTGACGACTTGGGCTTGGATCTTGGAGAAGACTTCGACGTCCCCCTTCCATTGGATGAAGGCACCAGTATCGAAATAGGGCGTGACGCGCCGGCTGCGCGACCTTTGGAAGAAGAGTTTGGAACCGAACTTGGAGGAAAAGGAGCCGAGTTGGAAGAGCCCGAAGATCTTGGACTTGATATGGGCGACGACCTTACCGAAATACCTGGCCGACCCGACATTACCATCACGGACACGGACGTTCCTATGGGCGGCATGACTGAGTTGGGCGATTTTGATGAACCAATTATCCCAGAAGAGGAGCCGGCGCGCGAGCGCTCAGCGTCGCCCCTTTCAGAACTTGGTGAAGATGAAGAACGCGCCCTAGAACAGGAGGTGAGCGTTTTCCAACCTGCAGCCGAGCAGGAGGAAGAGGAAGAGCAGCACCAAGCCCGCGCCAAACGACGAAGGGTCATCCAGCAAGACGCTCAGACGCAGCTGTCTACCACGGAAATTCGTGAACAACAGAACAACCGCGAGCAAATCCTCAAACCTGCTTCATTCTTACCCCGCGATCCGCTCCTGATGGCTCTCATGAACATGCAAAAATCAGGCGGCTTTGTGTCCAGCATTCTTGGAGATGGCCGAAGCCAAGGTTGGGCGCCAGAGCTCCGAGGCATCCTCTCGCTGGAGGTCGTGTCTCGTCCTGCGCAAAAGCGAAAGCGTGATAGTGGTGTCGCCGCTACCGCCGACGAAGGACGTGCATCTGCTGAGCCGACACCTCAGCTGGAGTTCGAAGAGGATCAGCTTATTGTTGAAGAAGGGGACGGACTTGGTGGCGACATTTCCATTCGTGAAGATGAGGAGCATATCCAACTGCCTGAGGACGAGCCCGGTTTCATTCCTCAAGAAGAAGAGGAGGACGTATTCTCTCCCATCCCGGACAACTTTGATGATACAACGGCTCCTATCCTCCATCCTGCAGATAGCGGTGTTGTATCCCTAGAGACCAAGCACGCTGTCCACCTTCTACGACAAGTCTTTGGCGACGCGGCCGAGACGAGTGAGGAAGAACGCAGGAACACAGCCGTCTCCTTCCAGGGCATGTTCCCCCGAAACCACCACAGCAAAGCCCGACATCGCCCGCATGTTCAACGAGATCCTCGTCCTTGGCACAAAAGACGCCATCAAAGTTGAGCAGCAGACCACCGACAACGAGCTCGGCGGACCCATCCGCATCCGTGCCAAGCGCGGCCTCTGGGGCTCATGGGCAGAGACCGATGTCTCCGGCGCCGAGGCCATCAAGTCGGCGGCCGCAGCAGAGGCTGGACCTTCTGTTAGAGACGACACTCAGACGACTGCTACGTCTGCAGCACCTATCCCTTCGGCTGAGATCGCTGTAGAAGCATAGATGCGTAGACGAGTAGATATACGCAAAGCCGGTCTTATTTATATATGGGGTCGGGCTTGCGGTGAGCATTCATTGGCGAGCGGCGTTGGAATACCCTTTGGGTTGAATTGGGGTGGATCATTGTACAGGTGTTCAGAGTGTTTTGATAGGACGCCTGTATTTTTGTGTGTCCGGAACATGGTCGTATCGAATCAATGCATGCGTTTCTTCGTACCATTGGCTTTTGGTGATTTTGGGGCTTCAAGTTCAGTGTCGCGAAGCATTTTGTGCGTGGTGGGCAGCGTAGCGCAAGCGTTTCGGCGGACATGGGGACGCCGTACAGTAGCGCGGGCAAGGGCTGGACGTGGGATTGGCTTCGCGGCACCGGGAAGTAGCCATTGGGCATCATCGCCTGCCGTGAACCATTTCGCTGCACCCACGAGGCGGTGAATGACTGGCTACATAATATTATCGTCTCGCGCAGTCGTCCATGTCTTCTTTTCTCCCATGCACTTTGTTCGACTGTCATTTGCCATGTTCCAGCTGCATGCCCTCCGCATTCGCCACAGTGATACTTTGGAAGGCGCAGCGTTGTTGCGACTCGATCCACGACCACGGCCTTAGCATCCCACGTACAGCCTTTTTGTCGCACAACGTCGCCTGTGTTTGTTACTAGACAGCATGCACGGAATCGCACACTGCGCGACCTTAGATTTTCTGCCCCTCCTCTTCAACTCCGTTCTTGATTCACTCCGGCACATGCAATACCAGATTCATTGACCGTTCAGCCATTCTTGCCAGGATCTCCTGCAGCCCTGCGTGAACACGTAGCATGGTGGGTAGAAAAGCGAAGCTCCCTTTCCCCGCTTCCGTCGGTTCTGCAGTCTCTCTCCATACTGATCTGTGCTACGATCCACAGACAGACCGCAGAGCCGCTTTCGACGGCGTGTTCGGCCGTACGCGACACCATAGTCCGGCTTCAGAGACTCGTTCGACTCTTTCTTACAGAAGCGCTGGCTCGGATGCCTCAACTGCTTCTACCAATCCTCGACGACGCTCATCACGCACGAGACCGGCCACAGATGTTGCGTCTGATTCGTCTCGGTCATGGCTAGGTGCTCATGAGGACGACATCTATGAAGCAAAAAGACGTCACATTACTTCTCGTAGAGCCGCCAATGGTTCAAGTGTCGCTGCCTCAGAACTATCCTCTTCGGACACAGGAAAGGACGCGGGTGGTTTCCTACCCAAGCTTGGTCGCATACTCGAGGGAAAAGAGAGCAAAACAACCAGACGCAGGCGGGACTCTACAGCCAGCTCCATGGACAGTCATGCTTCAGCACGTCGTATGAACCGATCTGTAGACGCCACTGCTTTGAAGAACCGCTCAGCCAGACAGAAGCACAGCTCATTGCAACGCGTTGAACTAAATCTTGCCAATCTACAAAATCCATCCCTCATTTCTGTCCTTTCTGGACTGACGCAGCAATCTAACGCGTCGAATGAAAGCAATTCGACCATCACGCAACAATCGTATGACAGGAAACTAATAGCTAAGCGAAAGCCTCCTAAAAGTAGGACACGACTTCAGACAAGGAGGACGCCTGCCACAAGTGAAACTACAGTCATGGCATCAACACAGCCAAGTGTATTTCAGTACATGGACCAGCCAACTGGCCCAGATACGTTCATTGAGAGACATCCTTCGTCAAGCCGTTCATCAAGTGCATCGTCTTCGTCTATGGGCTCTGATCATGGTGATCTTTCTTCACCCGCGGAGGAGCCGGTCATAGAGTCACCTCCAACTTCACCAGCGTCAATGCGGAGGCCATATGCTGAAGACTCTCATGAGGACGATGAGACTGACTCAGAACCGCATACGAATGCAGGCCCTAGGTTCCAGCCTAGCGTGAGTGAAGTTACGTACGACACTGAAGGACAGAATGATGATACCGAGGAGGTAGGCGATAGTGATAGTGGGTCAGAAGGGGAGCAAGCCAGCAAGGCTTCGAGTACTGCTAAGTCTTCACGACGACCGTCTCCGAAGGACCGTATGGCTTTGGAACGTGTTCCACCGCCGAGAGTGCCTTCTTCAACATCTTCCCGTCACTCCGACCGACACACAAGACGCCTTAGGCGCCAGGAGCAGGCCCTTGCTGAACATATCCTGCAAAATCCCCAGCCCCATAGGGACTTTCACTTTACTGGAGCACCGTCTCCACACTATGCCCCACCAATGCCTATGTACGATCCGTACCTCCAGTCGGGAGCTTCGCCTGTCAGCTTCACCACTACTGCGCATTATGCTCCACCAGCGGCCCCTCCTCCTCCTCCACCTCCACCTCCACAACAACAAACGATCGGATACTATTCACCTCCGCACGCACCTGGAGCCCCATGCTCATCAGGGTATGGAAATGAATTTGCAGTGGCAGCTCGGGCACCGATGGTTCCTAGTGCTGTGGCACAGTCCTCCCAAGTCCAGTACTCGCCTATGCAGCCTCCCCACTATCAAGCTCGACCGCCAGGGTCAGATGCCTCCAAAACCACCATGGTAGGATATGAATTGGTCGCAGACAAGTTGAGCCAGCATTCGAGAAAAATCCAAGAGGAAGCTGTGGTGCCCATGTATCGCAAGTTTGAAACTCTCAACCACCGGGTGTTGCTCCATCTTCAAGACGAAATCGCGGAGTTGGAGGAAGAACTACGCTATCTAGATGAGTGCATTGCGCAGTGCTCGCCGAGAGACCATGCGGGGCGCCACCACCCTGCATCTCGGCGCGGCGACGCACGCTACGGAGGTGAGCTGCATTACCGGAGGACAGAATTGCTAGGACGCATCTATCTGAAGCTGGGACAGTACAGTAAGTGTTTCTAGTATCATTGTGCCACCTTGCTGCATAGGATAAAAATTTGTTTTATGACGAGTGATTCCAGGTGTCATAAAGCTGACTTCTTCTGCAGATACAGCGCTGACTTCCTTTAATTCCATGGTCAAAACCCTAGACCCTGCGAATGCGGAGGACGTTCAGGCCTACCGCTCATGGATGGAGAAACGTACACCGGTCGACCATACGGAAACTAGGTTTCTAGAACACAATCACGATCTGCTCACAGTCTCCGAGGGAGGGTCAGCAAGCACAGTTAGTGGCGTGACACCCCGCCAATCTGGGGCGATATGGCTACCGCTGGTGCTCGTTCTCCCTCTCATGGTATTTGCCATAGTACCCGGCTTGCTTGGAAGGCTCGTCATCCTAACTTTGACTGGTGCGGTAACTATGAAGCTGATAGCTACCACAAAGGAGCTGATGGATATGATGACTGCCCGGGAGTGGGCAGGGTGTTTCTCTGTGTAAGTTTAACTTTTGTTTGTATTGTATGCATGCAAGTGCTCGCATGCGGCATGAACCGATGGAGCAAAACGCAATGACCAGCTTAAACGCCTAAACGCAGAGGAACGGACTGGCGTTTGCGGGGTCCTGAATCCTCCGCGGTTCAGCTCGGCTGTCGCTCCTGCAGGGGTGTTGTTACTCGCTATCGAAGTGTATCATGGAGACGAAGTGCGCTCGTTCGCTTTTACCCGGCCATGGCCACCCCTTATCGACATATATCGACGTCAACAGTACTCTTCGCGAGGCACGGGCTGACGAATGTGTAGTTATTTTGGATTTATGGCGCTTCTTGCGGCATTGGCACACTGACTCGAACGAACGCCACTGCGGAGTCGATATTGATCGACCAGGCACGGAGGCGCACAGACAGGTACGGCCGCGACGCGGTTCTCAGGGACCACGGCACTTGCTCGGACATTGCACGTCGTAGATATTTTTGATGACTTTGTGCGCATCGCAATGGTTTGTTCCTTATTTCCTATCACGGATCTGCATTTGTGGCGGGGCGATAATAGATAGATGGACATATATGGGCACGATCACTCGTTGGGCTTTTCTTCTGCGGGGAGCGCTCCTGCACGACGTAATGGTGTGCTGATGATTACTTATGATGGCGATGTTGGGTTCCTGGACTCAGGGCGTTGGAGGAGGACAAAGATGGTCGGATAAGAAGCTTGGCCGCAGAGAGGGAGCGGGATGACCGGCGCGATGGACGTGCAATGGGTGCTTCGACATGGGGGCTACTCCAAGTTTGCTTGTCTCTACATCATCTAGTGGGGTTTTGGGCGGCGGAGCGAGCCCAAAGCAGCGTGTGGCATGACAGAAACACGATGTGGGATATTGCAGCGATGCCAGAAACTTGCAACGGTGACTCTTTCGTCTACACGAGGCCGCAATGGCGCGGCGAGGCAATATTGACCGGACGGCTAGCCCAGACAAGCGCTGGGGGAAGATGCGCGTGATGCCTACAAAGTTTCATACATACATTCCGGGGGGTTGTTGCTGGAGTCGTTTGTACGAGGCATTGTAGAGGCGGAGATGTTTCCGCCGCGTCAGGCCAGCGGGCTGCGAGTGTCGCTGTAATTGGACAGGGGCGGGCGTCGTGGTGCAGCAATGCTTGTGCGACGAGGCCCGATCAATGTGCCCATCCGCGGGCCTGACTGTCAGATGGCGCTCCGTCCGTCATACCGCGCACGGTAGACAGTGTAGATGTCGAGGATGCAGGGCATGGTGAAGGTCGGCGTGCGGTCGTCGATCGGTATCTCGTTTTGCCTTAGCCCGGCCTCGCGCTTCGGCTGATTGACATGCTGTAGCCAGGCACGTAGCGCCGTGTGCGAGCAGCCCCTTGCCCGCCCGCCCTAATCCCGCGCCCAGTCGCAGTTTCAGGTGCGCTGTGCGGGCGTGTGGAATCGAGAGAGAGGGCGTTTGAAGGCTGCTTGCGCGTCCGCCGACGCCGTGCGCTCCTCTGTCCCTGCTCGCTGCCCTTCTGCATCGTCCCGCCGCTCCACCTGCGCCGTGCCGTGCCCCTGTTGCAGCGTTTGGTGGTCGACTAAACCCGCCGGAGACCATCGCCTTATCCTGAAACACGTCTAGCACCCTCCGTTCGACCAAACCGACCCGCTCTGCTGCACCCTCCCGTCGACACCAATTCGCACCGGGCGCTGCTGAACGCGCTGGTGCTAGCAGACATCCACACAACAACCCTCTCCCTGCGCGCACAAGACACCGCATTGCTGCCGCCCACGCCCTGCCTGCCTGATCCGACTACAGCCCCGCGCCCGCTTGCGCCTGCCCGCTACAACCACCGCACTTTCCTCCGCCTGTGACTGCCCGACCCATCGCACTGCTAACCACCACCTCGACGCCCGCCCACAGCTGCAACACCACCAGCGCCGCAGCAATCTCTCTCAGACGAACGATCCTCAGCCTTCTCCGTGGTCTCGCATCATCGCCTGCACACGCCCACTCACCGCACCAAGCCCGCGCACAAAGAAAGACCCACCGGACTGCAGCCAAAGAACCCCTGGCACGCGGACAAAGCGACACACACAGCGACGCCAGGCGTGTGGGTGACTGCCGGTGGCAGCGTGACACACGTACCTGAGTCTACTCCCTCGTCGCCAATCACCCCGCGACCGCTCGTACAACCGCATTCCTCTACAACACTACAGGCCGCGCCTGCCCCGACAAGTTCCTCGCGCGCCGCCCACGAGTCCTCGCCATGGCCGTCTCCATGCTGCACGCCCCCTCGCGGGCGTCGACGTCGTCCTCGTCCTCCTTCATACCCGTCTCCCGCCAGAACACAATGTCGTCACACGATGGCTCGCGTTCGGTGCGCCAGTCGAAGCGCTATTCAGTCACGGCGCTGTACCTATCCATGTCCGCAAAGGACAAGGATCTGGAGATTGAAGATGACCTAGCTAAAGGTACGACTACCTTTCATATGGTATCATACAGCAAACACTAATTCCATGCAGCGCAGAAGATATTGCGTGAACTCAAATCCAAGATCTCGTCGCAATCGAAGAAGAACTTCGTTCTCGAAAAGGACGTGCGCTATCTCGATTCACGTATAGCACTGCTCATTCAGAACCGCATGGCTTTGGAAGAGGTATGCGTCACTCTCTTCCTATCATTTGTGAATTTCAGCCTGATTGTGCATGCAGCAAAATGAGGTCGCAAGCCACCTTGACGATGCTACCGAACTTCAAGAGGGCTTCTTTCCGAACGACGAGAAGACTCAAAAATACGGAAACTTGCTTTTTCTGCTCCAGTCCGAGCCCAGACACGTTGCGCATCTTTGCCGCCTTGTATCCATGGCCGAGATCGATGCGCTACTACAAACAGTCATGTTCACTATCTACGGAAACCAATACGAGAGTCGCGAAGAACATCTGCTACTCACTATGTTCCAGGTACATTCCCCGCCCAATGGCAACCCAAACTAGCTAATACCAGATCAGTCTGTCCTCACATATCAGTTCGACAACACACCGGATTACAGTTCGCTCCTTCGCGCAAACACCCCCGTTTCTCGCATGATGACCACCTACACTCGACGAGGACCTGGTCAGAGCTATCTGAAGGTCGTTCTGCAGGACAGCATTAATTCACTGATCGAGCTTAAGGATCTCAATCTGGAGATTAACCCTCTCAAGGTGTACGAGAAGATGGTCACCGACATTGAGGATCAGCAGGGTACCCTCCCAGCGAACCTGCCCAAAGGTGTGACTGCCGAACAGGCTGCAGAGAACGAGACAGTGCAGCAGATCATCGCTCCCCGGTTGACAATGCTCATGGAGATTGCTAACAACTTTCTGACCACCATTATCACTGGCTTAGAAGAGACGCCATATGGTATCCGATGGATATGTAAACAAATTCGCAGTTTGTCGAAGCGAAAGTACCCAGACGCACAGGATCAGACCATCTGCACGCTCATTGGCGGTTTCTTCTTTCTTCGATTCATCAACCCGGCCATCGTCACTCCACGGTCATACATGCTCATTGATGCGACTCCAGCGGAAAATCCCAAACGGACACTGACATATATTGCAAAGATGCTCCAGAACCTGGCCAACAAACCGTCTTACGCAAAGGAACCATACATGGCAAAACTCCAGCCATTCATCCAGCTCAACAAGGATCGCATTAACAAATTTCTGCTTGACTTATGCGAAGTCCAAGACTTCTATGACACGTTGGAAATGGACAACTACGTGGCGCTTTCCAAAAGAGATCTAGAGCTATCCATCACTCTAAACGAAGTGTATGCGACACACTCCCTGTTGGAGCGGCATGCCGTGGAATTGGCCAAGGATGACAGCTCACATCTTGGTGTCATTCTCGGAGAGCTTGGTCCTGCTCCTGCCCAGCTACCTCGCAAGGAAAATCGAGCAATCAATCTTCCTTTGTTCAGCAAGTGGGAAACTCCCATTGACGATCTGACTGCAGCTCTGGACATCACCCAGGAAGAGATCTTCTTTATGGAGGCTAAGTCGACATTTGTGATGATCTTGAGATCGCTGCCGCCAAACAGCTCCATCACCCGGCGACCGCTAAGACTGGACCGCATTGCCGAAGCAGCGGCCACCACGAAGAACGACTCGGTCATGGTGAAGAAGGGTATTCGCAGTATGGAGTTGCTGAGCCAGCTACAAGAGCTTGGAGTCGTAGACAAAGAAGACGGTTTCTCACTGCTCCGCGATGAGGTTGAGCAGGAGCTGGTGCACCTTGGCTCCATGAAGGAGAAGGTTATAGAAGAGACCAGGAAACTTGAAGAGGTTTTCCGCACCATTCGCGACCACAATGCCTACCTCGTTGGGCAGCTCGAGACCTACAAGTCATATCTCCACAACGTCCGCAGTCAATCCGAAGGCAAGACCAGGAAACAGCAGAAGCACCAAGTATTGGGACCATACAAATTCACCCATCAGCAACTTGAGAAGGAAGGAGTCATCCAGAAGAGCAATGTGCCTGAAAACAGGAGAGCTAACATCTACTTCAACTTTACCAGTCCATTGCCTGGAACCTTTGTCATCTCTCCACTACAAGGGCCGCAACCGTGGCCTACTTGAGCTGGACCTGAAGCTGGACGACCTGCTTGAGATGCAGAAAGACAACCAGGAGGATCTAGATCTGGAGTACGTCCAGTTCAACGTTTCCAAAGTGCTCGTCCTTCTAAACAAGCGATTCGCTCGCAAGAAGGGTTGGTAGAACCATACCCTCTAACCTGCGACGATGCTATGATACACCATTTCCTCCCACTCCCTGGCTTTTCAATGTCATATATGACGCACGTAATTCTCCAACTTTCACATCCACGAACGAAATATATCTGGGAGCCAAGGAGTCTGGAGTATTGAGGATTTTGCTGGCTATTCGGTTCTTTGAGGATACCCCCTGGGCGGTGAGCGACCATGACAATCGAGAATGAAAGGCAGGCTACGGATATGAAAATGAATCGAGAATGAACAGAAAGAGGAGGATGTCTTCACAGATGGTGGTTGCAGCGAAGAGCGGATCTTCGCGCGTAGTGGCAGCTTTTCCTTTGTCATTGTCACCTTTTCTCCTACTACATCTTCGCATCTCTCGCTCCTAATACGCCGGTTTGTAGCATTCGAGGGATAGCATGCGCTGGGCACCTCGATGAGTGATGTCTTATTCTGTTGATTGTTGTTCGATTTCTTCGTTTTGTTGTTTCGTTGTCGGCAGGACCGAGTCGAATGCGTAGTGTGGATTGTGGGCTTTAGTTAACAACGATATCCTGGGTGTAAGATAGTGGAGGTTTATCACATAGCAAGGTGTATGGATAATGCAGTTGAGTTTGGCTTTTGCTACGAAATCTTCCGTAGGCCCAGTCCCTGCCATGCATCGGCGACGGATGTCCACGGGCGCCGATAGATACATCACGCGTTGTTGGCGTCATGTGTTATTATGACGATATCCTTAGGCCGGGTGTAGACGCTGAGAGATAAGGGTTCCAACGCTGCTTTGTCTTTGTTCCCGATGCATCATGCTGGTTGTTGCTGCGAGCCGACACGGTCTTCAGCTCGGATCAGCAGCATTCTGATCTGATCACTCAATAGCAGTTTGCTAGAGCGTGGAATCTGACGGCAGTCAGACCGTCCCTGTCACACGGCCAGCAGCACCCCTGTCTTGTTGGCGTCGTGGCACGCCGCGGCTGCTGCTTGCGCAAGTGATCGCCAGGCGGAAACATGGCGTGCGGTTGCATGATTGGCCAGGCTGCGGAGCTTGGGTGGATGACTGGACAGCTGGGTACCGAACCGTACTCGGCCTCTCGAGGCTGTGACTTGCTTTGACTTGGCTTTGACTCTTCATACCAACTCTCATAGTACAGCTTCCTTACTCTGCACAATTACTCACCCTGTTCGAAGAACATATCATACACCATTACTGTTGTATTGTGCTACTACCATCTCGGAGATAACGGCAGCAAGCGCCAGCGCAAGCATGTCGAGCAGCACCGCCATCGCCATCCCGCAGCGACGCCGGAAGCAGAGTCGAGCCTCTGGAAGCACGAATGCTTCTCCCGCGAACAACAGCTTCACATACGGCAGCTATGGCTCCGTCAGGAACGAAGACGGCGCTACGACGCCAAAGGCGGCCTCGGAGCGGAGGCCGAGCTTGATGTGTACGTCTTCTACCCATTGATGCCTGCCCAACAGCACATCACACCTTGCACGCATTGGTACTGCATAAGCATCGGTGGAATACTAATTGAGAAATAGCGCCTGCCTTCTCCCGCGCCGAACATACGGTTGTGAATATTGGCAATTCGGACATGCCGCGGCTGGTACTTTGGCCCCGAGGTACACAAGATGGGAAAGAGAAAGCTGATCAGAGCGAGCAGATTACGTGCGTTAAGGCGTCGCAGGGCTTCGACTGGAATCAAGGTATGTTTCACGTTTTCCTCCGAGTCATTTGCAGGTCTTTGGGGTGCGACAGCGAGATCTACTGTTTCAGGCTGGCGCGTCGCAGGCTGCTCGCCCTGGGACCTGATTTGACTTGCGATACACTCTTGCATACCTCTTTGCCACGGAACTTAGGATAGTGGGTGTGCTGGGCTGGGCTGGGCTGACGAGGAACAGAGATCTTCCTACCCAGCTATGCCAACTTCGACTTCGACGATCTCGAGCGCAAGCAGGATCCTGTGGAGGAGATTGTAGTTACGGATGAGGAGAGGGCGAAGATGTTTCCTTCGTAATGAGACCACACGTCACGAATGGATACGCATACGGGAGGCGCAATTGAATATGGACGGAGTGTGTAAGCTTGAAGTAAGACCTCGCTCGAGGTTCTTGCATTCGCGGCACACGGGCATGGGGCGGAGTCAAAGTCTGGATAATTAGGATGGTTTTTGTTTTTATGATTGGGACGGATAGGCGTTCGGATGGGACATCGTCATTCTCTCACGGGCTACGGGTTATGGATATGGGCGTTCGTGGGTGGGTAGCTCTCGTTCCTTTGGGATACTTCACTCCTCTCCATAGATGGCGGAAGGAGTTGTCTAGTCTCGTTCTGTACACAATACATACATACAGATATCTTCATTTTAGAGCCACGAATATATCTCAGATCTTACGGATTCTAAGATATCGATGTTGTTGCTCAAGTACAGACGGGTGCTCACCGTCCCTTTCCGCCACCGTGCCGAGGGTGGGGTATGACGCCAATCGCCATGTTATCGCGTTATCGTCACGTGAGAGCGTGGACCCCAGGGCTAGCGTCCGCATCAACAAAACAACAAGATGCGGAGGTGACAACCATTCACCACGGCGACAACTGGCACTTACCGGACGCAATTCCAAAATCAAATTTATGCACGACGGTAGTGCGATCTTGAAGAGATCAAGCTCAAAAACCGAAGCCATTGGACACGCGCACCACTTCGTTCCACCCATCTTCCGCGCATTCACGCCAGCCAATTCGATTTTGGACGCAAAGGCGCAGAGTATCACGCCGATATAAAGCGCCACAAGTCCACGTAACCGTGTAGAACAGCCTCAACACCGACGCTCAACCCATTGTTTGCGCAGAGCGCACCCCTCCGCACACCACCCACGACCACCTCACCCCCAACAATGGACCCCGAATACCGCAAGATCGAGCTCCAATCCCCGCCGACCTCACCCACCTCACAACCCAGCTCCGCACCCTCGCCCGCCAAAAACTAGACCTCCACCTCCCCCTCAACCAGACACCACCTCCCCGACGACCTCCGCACGCAAGCCGAGGCCCTCGTCGACGCCTTCGTCGCGCAGATCCTCGCTGGCATGCGCCATAATATCAGCATCAATGGCGTGGACGTTATCGCGAGAGGGGATATGGATGAGAATGGAGATTTTGCAGAGGCAAAGGATGTCGGGGAGGAGGTTGTCATCGAGGAGTTTGAGGCGTTCGATGAGAAGCTTAGGAAGAGGGTTGGGGGATGGTTGAGCGGAGGGATAGGCTTGTTGAGGAGATTAGCAGGCATAGGAGGGAGACGGGGGCGAAGGCGGCGAGGAGGTGGGAGGAGGAGTGGGGAGGGGGAGGAGTTGGAGAGGGCGAGGGTGGTTGGCTTGGAAGACGGAGAGGTGGATGTGGGTGGGGTGGAGGCGTTGAAGAGGCAGGAGGAGGTGGAGAAGAATTGGGGACGGGCGGTAGAGGGTTGGGCGCTTTGAATGGGGTTGCCTGAGACGAGGGCGAAGTTGGAGCGTGCTGGGGATGTGGTGGGGTATCTTGGGGGAAGCGCGAGGGCTGAAACGTTTCCTTTCCTTCCGTCGGTTTCACGTTCACGGAGTTTGGGGCGTCAAGGCATGGTCACGATGGAAGAGATACCCGCAGATTCATTTGCTTTCGTCGTCCGTTTCGTTCGATCACATCTAGGAATCTCATCCACACATCGATGTATCGCAAAGTCATGTCACATATATCTAAATCCAAAGGGTATCTTACTCCAACAACGCCGTATCCACCCACGCCGCCGCACTACTCCTCGTCTTCATCCTCTTCGTCTTCATCTTCCTCATCGTCCGAACGCACCACAAACGCCTCCTCATCAATCGGACTCTCCAACCCCACCCCACTCACCTCCGCCCAAGCCCTCACCCTCGCCCTATTCACAACAACCCCTTTCTTCCTCCTCTCAAGCACCCCCATCGCACTCAGCGTATTATGTATATCGTCCACCGCGATAGCCGTCTCCTCATGCAGCTCTTCAACCGTAAGCTGCCTATCAGGCCACTGGACGACCGTGCGCGCAAGCGTCTGCGACCAGTAGTGCATATACGCGGCATACCCATGGCTACTCAGCGGTCTCTCCGGGCCGCCCAGCCTCCCTTCTTTCCTCCCGAGCGCGTACGACGCTGCGATTAGAACCTGTGCGAGGCCTTGCTTCTGCCAGGGTGGGAAGACGCAGATGCAGGCGAGGTTGTTGTTGTCCCAGGAGAGCTTTTCCTTGGAGAAGAATCCCACGACCTGGCCTCCTCCTCTTCCTGTGTTATCCGCATTGGAGTTAGATTTGGAAGAGGGCGATGTGTTCGGGATATCTGGCTGTGGCTGTGCTTCATCCAGCACCAAGAGGTAGAACAGAAATGCAGAAACGTCGTAGAACACGCTCTTCACATGCAGGAAGAGCTTCGCAAACAGCGAGAGATTCTGCGTGTAGAGTTTTGCATCCGCGCCGTCGAGCTCGTAGATCGAGAGGTTCGCTTTGGCGTAGATGAGCGTCCCGGGGGGCGGTGCCGCGCGGAGGGCACACGAATTCTGCACCGTCCGTCTTAGCTGTTTCTGTATAAGAGGGTAGGAGAGCACGACGTACCAGATGCTGCAAAAATGGCAGCAGTTCCTGCGTGTATTTAAAACACCATTGGCATACGAAGAGCCTTTCTACGTTCTTTCCGACAAGCTCTTCGGGATATCCTTCGGAGGAAAACCAAGGCTTTATGATTTGCGAGCCGAGAACGACGTCCTGGACGTTGAGGGACGGTGGGTTTGGCGCCGCGAGAGCTTTTTCGGCGGCTTTGGGGTCGCCGTTTAGGGCGTCTTTTGCGCCGAGGGGGGTGCGGCCGTTGGTGAGGGGCGCGCTGATGGCCATTGAGGGGGGGAAGGCGGCGCGCGGGCTGAGGAGACGCGTGCGCATCTTGTGGGGAGCGCGTTGGGGTGGACGGAGGTGAAGCGCTAGGGATGGATGGGGTTAGGGTGGCGCGAGGGCACGTGGAGGGTAACCTCCTTCTAGATCTTTTTGAGAATGCTGTGAGATTGGGATGATAACATTGGGCTATCGACTAACCTGCGCTTATGTGAATATCATCTCGGCGATGAGGTAAGTTCGACCAGATGTCCTTTTCGAACTATGCAAAGTCGACTATAGCAGGTGCTATTGTACTCTGCTCTTTGTCGTGCCTATTCCTTGCTTTGTCTACGCGTACGATGAACGGAGTTCATGGTTTGAAGAAGTATAAGGACGACAATCATGACAAAGGGAAGAAGATTATGACTGTACCTTTATTGCTAAGGCAAGCTTCCAAAGTGTCTCAAGGCCACAGCCGTAATTACCTGTTTCATTCAAGTTGGAGTATACACTGGTCAAAGCTGGGTTCATTGGATCAATGTATGCCAGCAACGAAGGTTACGCGGTTACAGCGCACGCGGTGCTTGGAGGGAATCTACTGTGGCTTCTCTTTAAAGTCTTGAGCAAAGAAAGTGACCCAACGATCACTTGACAAGAGGCTGTGGAAAGACACACTTATTCAACGATAAGTGTCAGTTCGTAGATATGCACGTCATCATCATGTACCATCGTTTTCTAACATCATTAATAAAACAAACTATCTTTGTGGAATACTATCTAGCCTTGTGTACCATCTTCATTACGTACTCTTCCCCTGTATACTATCATCCTCATATCTCATAATCCTTGTGTTTAATCCTCGCATATTCATCCTCGCGTATTCATCCCCGTGTATTCATCCTCGTGCACTACCATATTCATACCTCATCATCCTCATGTGTCGTCATAGTGTGCATAACCGAACATTGTCTCTTCCAAACAGTACCATCTACTATATTGACCCGACAATGACGAACATCAACAAAACAACACTAAGTCTCGTGCAAACATGGTGGAATGGTAATGAAGGGACGATTTTCTTCATCCATATAGTATCGATGGCCATATTTCCAAGCCGGTTTGGGCGGCACAGGGTCCGAACGCGATACGCGTAAGGGCCTTATTTGTGGCTTCATAGAGTTGGACCTGGACCTGGATCGTCGCCCAGATTTGAAGCAGGACGGAGAGCCCGTCCTTTCGCGGTCACCGTATATCTCTGCGCGAGATCCCCCGGCAAAGCACTCGATATGGCGTCTGAAACAGTGTATCACCTGCCTCACCACCCCTGGAGTTGGGCTGTCGACGAGACGGCCATTCTAAGAGTTCGATCAGCTTGATTTATGCGTTAGAAGATTCGTGTAACTTACACTAGAGCTTGGGGACCTTAGCAAGTTTGTTGATCGGTTACGTATAGAGCTTGGGGAGCTTAGCATGTTTGCTGATCGTTTACGTATCTCGCGATTCTGATCGTCCATCTCGTATTGACACGAATTGTTGTTATCGGGATTGAGGTGGCTAATTTTACTGATAGCGATCCAGGACTGGTGCTGTTGTACTTGACAAACACTGAAGGCTGCGTATGTTGATATATGCCAATGCCTCGAAATGTCGAAGTAACCCCCGAATGCCATACCTGTAACCTATGGTATTCATGGCACCGTCAACAATTCCTACGAGCTTGGACCTTTTGTCACACAAGACATGTCCGCTTGCAGGCATGTTCGATCGAGGTACACTGTTTTTAGTTTGAAAGGCGGCTATGTTGTAACACGTGCAAGTTACCTAGGTACTTTCTGTACCTTTTAGTGTAGCGCCGGGTTGTAGCATGTGGTGGCGAGTTTTTGCTTTATTGTTACCGTGTCCGCCACTTCTCAGTCAATGCCGCTTCCAGGCTGGGATCTATCTTATTTTTGTCCGCATCGCCTACCAGCATTCCCAGCGCTAGCAGGCTAGACCCGCACAGCTCATAGCATTGCAAGTGTTACGCAGCCTCAATTGGGGCGCCTCGGGTATCTGCAACAGTATATTCAAGTCGATCCTGGGGTACGTTGAATTGAGAGACGCTTCGGCCAGAAGCAACGCTCTCCTGCAAACGAAGCTCATGGAGGCCACGGCGATCTGGATCAATTCGGTAAGGGGTGTAAGTCATCTTGCAGGATGAGTAAGAGAATACCCTCAGATTGAGAGCGCCAGAATGTCTTCCTCGGAGATCGAAAAATAGAGTTTGTTAGGTTCGGACGTTGCCGTGGGGATGGAAGACTTCGCTATTTCCCGTAACAATGTACCGAAAAGGAGTACACGCTAATGCTCCGACGATATTGTCGTGCCATTCTCCAGAGGAACAACACCGTTGCCGCATCATAGAACTCGCCTTGTGAGGCTGCTGTTGTACAACCGCCCATTAGGAATGACAGACTGTAATCGTCAGGGACCGGAAGGTCTTTCCGCAGCCAATCGCTAGGTAGCTTTCCGAGTTGACATTCGAACGGCAGGTTCGAACGGCAGATGTCGGTCTCGTGGCAGCCGACTTGACACATTGTCGCAGACCGCAAGCACCTAGTAAGACGCAACAGCTTCAGTAATCTTCATGCTAACCGAGGTTACTCGGTATCACTTGGACACGGTAACAACCCGTGAGAGTCCAGAAGGCCTGGACGACTCTAGACGTCTATAAACATCTACAACATCTATATTACCCGATGCACGACGATCGCTTATGTTATATGTCTCTTGAGACCATTCAGCTGGCATTGTAGACTACATCCGTAACCGAGACCGGAACAGCGGCCGGCTTAAATCTAGTACGGTGATTGGAGCGCACCTAGTTTCGACCACGCATGAAGCAACAACGCGATTTGACCAGTCTGTATTTATTATCACAGTACCTACGCTCCAACCCATCCTGCCAAGTTTTGCACACCACTGAATTGCTCAAAGTGCATCCAAACATTGGCAGACGACTCGGTACCTGGACGATCTACAACAGAACACAACCTGGAATCACAATGTCCGTCGGTCCATTATAGTAACACGGGCGTGGACACTCTAGGAGAAGCAACTGGCACGACGCACACTTCACTTTGCTTCCCACCAAGTCTTGTTCGAATGTAAAAAGGGCATCGAATCTGGAACGAAGCGACCTAGCGAGAAGATGAGAACTATGATACTCAACAACAGTATGGCCGGAGAATCAAATGCTTCTGCGGAATGCTGTAGATTAGTAGCATCTCCACCAAAGTCGAGTTGGAACGCAGCCTGCCTATACAGACAGCATGAGCGATACTGGTTCAATCTTTTGAAAACAATAAGTCGGTTGGAATGGAAGTCTCACTGTCGACATACAGCAATATCGTGCACTGTCATAGTGTGAAAGTCCGAAAATTCCTTCACCCATTACTTCCCACTTTTCGCGTCGAATCGGTAACGACAGTCGAACACTCTACAAAAAACAACCCGACAACAGCACCTCCTACAAGCGATCAATGCACACTCAATCCCTCGAAATCAATCAATCATTTGAAGAGGCGGACAATGAGGCAACAGGCCATTACGCACCAGGCGAGCTGGCGCGCGTTGTCCTCCTCCACCTCCTCCAACACCACCACACGGTGTATCTCCATGGTAAAACTCCCCGTCATCGGTCTCCTCCGGAGGCGGGGCTTCCGAGGTCTCAGACGTGGGACCAATATGTGTAACAGTTGAAGCTGGTTTCGCCAGCCCAGGCTCGCAGAGTAAGCGATAGTGTGAACTTCCGTCGGCGTCGCCAAATGTCTGTTCGCAGTCTACGCTTATGCTGGCAGGGATAGTGGGACGGTCGCCGCCGGCGTTGCTTTCTGGGGTTGGGGAGACGGTGACGGTGACGGTGGCTGTGGAGACGTAGATGGTTGCGCCTGTGGTTATCGAATAGACGAATGAGCTTTCGGGGGCTGATGAGGAGCTGTTTGAGCTTTGGCTTGTGCTGTTAGCGGACGTCGTTGTGAGAAGCGAAGTGGCTGTGTAAGTCTGGCTTCCGGGCTTAGTGGTAGTCTTCGATGATGCGGACCTTTCGACATTAGCTGGGGCCTAGTTAAGAACAAGCCACGAAACGTACTGTGTCTTCGTAGAATTTTGTATCACTGAAGATATCGGCAGTATGCAGTGCGTATTGGTTCCATTAGTCTCATCTCTGCGCTGATTACATTCTCTGCTATCTCTTGCTAGGTTATATATCACATCGAGCGAGTCCAATGTTGGCCAGCCCTCGGGAACGATGAAAGGCCCTGGGACGCGCGTCCAAGCGTGGTTGGCTATCAGGGTTTTCATGCTGAAACCGGGATACGCTATGAATTGAGCCAGTTCGGGGACTTGGTATAGGTACGCTACGAGTCCGGACTACGCGAGACATCAGATTTGGATTATGACTGGTTAAACTTGAACTCACAGTGATAGCTGCGGCTTGACTTGTACCAGATCTCTGTCTTTCAGGAAGCATTTGACCGCCAAGGCTTGGAACTTCGATGTTCTACAATAATATCAGGATACTTTCAATGCACGTCTTCATGATCGATAGCATACCTCTCCGGGTGCATAAAAGCTCATAGAGCCTTCCTCATTGGGGACAGGCACGGCGGTGTCGGGCCACAACGTACCGTCTTCCTTCACCGCACCGACAGTAATGATGTTGTTATCATCCGTTCCCCAGTGTTGGGGTGTACCGCCATGCAAATTGGATCCGGATGGTTGATTTCCAGCCGATATGACTATGGGTATGTTGTGCTCTTTACAGAAGAAGATGAACGTCTCGAAATACTGGTCTAGTCTTTCTCCGCCTGCATCTAGTGACTGCCCTGTGATGGTATGTTAGATTATGGTCTGTGGAATGAAATGAAAGGCTTACCCCATGACATATTGATAACAGACTTGGCGTTCCTATCGGATGCCAGCCTTGTTGCGATATGTTCCGTGACTTCTCCCAAGATGTATCCGAGGGCTTGCGGTAAGACCCCTCCAGTTTGTATAATATCAGGATGCAACCTGTTTCGGTATCTGTTCTTCGTCTTTGCCAGAAATAGATTCGCGTTTGGCGCTATTCCATGAGATTTACCTGCGGCTATTACAGACATCCTACTTTAAATTAGTTGATGTTTCACATATCTTATGCACGATGAGTGATGCAGTTGGATTTAACGAAAGCAAAGACTTCAATGGTGCCAGTGCTACTCACATCGTTCCGTGTGGACCACCACCTATGCCTTCTGGGAGGCGATTCTCAGGCAGGATGTCTTTCAATGTAAGAACATTGGGAGTAAAACTCGTTTCCACAGTGCGGCCATCCGCTGCGAGGTCATCGAGACTGAGATCGAACCCGTCATCTAGTACGTATATCGTGGTCCCTCTGCCCCCGGAATCGTCAGCCAAATAGGGGAGGTCGTCCAATGATCGACCCCGCTCTCTCTCGGATGCTGAAATCAACCTTTTCCACCACGGTGCAGCTTCATCCGATACTATTGCCCGTTTCCAAGTTCGGGAGGCATTTGCCAAGGTCTCAGCCGAATCTGGCTCTCTGGCTAAATTTGGTTGGGCCCGTTGGTCCACAGCGCGGAACTCTTCAATGCTACCGTCGTACTTTTCATCTTGACCGCCGCAGAGGCTGACGGATTTGATAAACTTATGCTGCTGTGGAAGCTCTTGCGCTTGCTTAGACGTAAGATTGGTCACGTACATTTGCGTCTTCGTAGTTTTCCATGACCAAAGGTGTCCGACCCCTTCATCGAGCTTCTGAACAAAGTCATCGAAGGCTCGAGACTCAGTCCCTTCTCGCGAGAGAACTATGTACTCTTCTGGAGAAAGAGTAGCCGAAGCACTTTCGCTACTAGTACTGGAAGAACTCTCGGTGGATGGCTGGGACAACGAGGACGTTGGGTCCGTTGTAGTGGTTTGACCTTCTGAACTCCTTTGTGAAGCCGTATTTGTTGACATGCTAGTACCGCTGGGCCGATCCGTAGCAGAAGCTGTGGGATTCTGAGTCACCGAAGGTATTTGTGACTGTGGAAGCTCGCTCTCCCAAGGAAAGTCTTTGAAAGCCTCCAGCGCACTCTCAGCTTTCTGCAACTGTCCGCCTTCCTTGGCATAATCTTTGATGTTGTCAAACACTTGTTCTTTCATATCATCTGGGAGACCTTTCACCAAGCTGGCAGTCGAAGTGAGCCAGTTGGAAGCTTCTCTGCCAAGGTTCTGTGCATTGAGCACGGTCTTCAACCCATCTTGGGTGAGCTTATCGGTAGGCATAGATTGCTGAATGCCGTTGATAGAAGATACAAGGCTGTTGACCTCGTTACCAGCGTTCGTCAGAGTGCCAGCGACAGCGACTCCACCAGCGGCGGCACCAGATGAAGCCATGTTGAAAACATCATTGCGTGCCTTAGAGACACCATCGACTGCACCTTTGCCTGCTTTGGCAAGACCTACCAGAAGCCCTCCGATCCCACCGTGACCGCCGCCGCCATTCTTGGAGGGCTTGGGTGGCTCTTTCGACTCTCCTGTCGTTTTCCCTAGTTCGTATTCGTGTCCACCTTGGTTGATGGATTTTGTGCCCGTGAAGGCTGCCATGGGAACTATCTCATCTCCTATCTTGACTTGGTCGTTGGACAATTGTGCGAGCGTACCACCTGCCAAAATGATCGTCATGGGTGGCTCATTGGGGGCTGGAAGATGGTAATTCTGACCATCAATGACCGCGTCAAAGACGAAAGCTGGCGGAAACGAACCATAAGACGATGTTTGTGAAGGGGCTGCGCTATCTGTTCTGGACGGCCCACCCAATGGCGTAGTCTCCCCGGACCCACCCGAGGAAGGCGCGGTCCCCACTGTCGTAGTGAAGGTGACAAGGCCCGAGGACCCATCCGAAGCAGTGACCGTACTGACAACATATTGCGTCTGAGTCGGTGCTTCCGCAGAAGTTATCGATGCTTGCTCACTGGAAGATTGAAATTGCGAGGCTTGGTTGGACGCACCTTCCGAAGAGGACTCTGAGGAAGGAGCAGCAGTAGAATTGCCTGAGGCCTCGCTCGAGCTCACCATCGTTGAGGACGAAGGTTGCTCTCCTATTGTGTTGGTACCTGAGCTTGAGGGCGTAGTGGATCCGTCGCTAGGCGAACTTGAAGGCACTGACGCCGTTGAGCTGATTTCGCTCTTTGTTGGCCCAGACGTTGACGACATGACGGAAGAGCTCCCTGTGGAATTGTATACTGAGGTAGAGCTTCCTGTCGAGCCGACACTACTGAGCGACCGATGCGTAGTCAAGTTGGTGAGCGCTGTAGAAGACCCCGAGTATGTAGACAAAGACGATGTAGTTGCGGCCGAGGTGGTAGCTGATATGACTTCACTTGATAAATTTCCTGAAGTCTGGTATAAGCTGTTGCTGAAAGAAGAGACACTTGCCGAAGCATTCACAGATAGCGTGGGCGTCGTCAAAGTACTAGATTCCGTAGGATTGGTGCCGTTGGATGAATTCCCTCCTGTAAGGTTTGAACTGCTGCTTCCAGAAGCTACGCGCTGTGATGATATCCTGGATGAGCTCAAGGATGGTTTTGGCGGCTTTGAGGTCCCGATAATCAAAGAAGACGTGTTATGATGAGCAGACGACGTGCCCGTCGACAATCCACTGGGCTGAGATGGCGCCCCAGTGGATCGAGTAGGGCCCCCCGAGAGTGTGATCCAAGGAATCCCGGGTGGTGGTCCGGTTATGATAGATCCACTCACTGTGAGCAGTGATGCGGATTGGAGAGTTTCAATTGAGAGATCCTCTCCACGTTCGGCCTTCGACTGACCTGAGTATGTCGGCCGTCAGCAGGTTATACAGGCGGCCTATCGACTTTTAGACTTACCTAGTGCAGAACCCCGATCTACCTTACCGTACACTCTGCCAGAGATTAGCGTGAGCACTATGAGTGTGTCACGGTGGATTCGCATCACGGAAGAAAGCAGATGAGACGATGAGTCGTTTGTAGAGTATCAAAAGTAGAAATGTGCGATTATGAGAGAAACTGAATGCATTTCAAGGCTCGATATCGGAATCTTTATACTTACACAATGGGATATAGTCGTACTGGTGATGTCTAAAGGAGGCGGCGCGTGTTCGAGACATACACAGGTGATTATCAATTATATCAAGGCAGCTGGGATAGATTCGAAACTTTGATGTAGTACGGCCTCAGTGTGGCCGGAATCTGAGGCAGCGAAAGACGTACATCCCCGCCAGCTTGTTTACGTACTCGGTGAATTTAATGGGGCGTCCAGATGCTGTGATGCGGTTATGAACAGATCAAGCGTACTGTAAGCAGAAAATGATGACATTGACGTAAGGCTCCTTCGAAATGTGAGGCGTGGCTCGCGGCAAAGCGTTTGAAGATATCTCGCAGGCGGAGGCACAAATAGACGATCACTCTAACTGACGGAGAAGAACACTTGTCTTGATAGGAAAGGGCGAGGGGGACATAACTCCTGCTAGGTATCCCGAGGCCTTCCTGCCAGTCGGAAACAAAGTAAGACACAATGTAGGAGAGACGCTGTGCCGCATTCATGGCGTGTCGTTCACACGTTTGCACGTGATTTCTTGGCGGCCACTCGATCACGGAAGCTCGTGAAGTTCGAACCCTTGGTCGGGGACCCTTGTATCAAAGCGGTGTACTTTGCTATAACTTCACGTGAAGAGGTGCGGGTTGATATTGCCAACGAACGAAGATTCATGGCATAGAAACAACGCCTTGTATGGCAGCGGCGCTCATTTCCGGTACCAGTATGCTACCCGGTCACAACCTCGGAAGGTCGGTGGACCACGTAGTACCCCTGTTCCGAGGAGGCAAAGCAACGCTATTGAAATTAGCAGAGGATTCTGCAGCTTTTCGTACACGGCACAGCTGCGTAAGGATATGGGCGTATGTGTCGAGAAGACGTTTTAGAGCTGTGGATTGTATCCCCACGCTGCGGACCGTGGGTCTTCCAAGCCAGAGAGGCACGCGTTCCTGAGATGGCGCGCACATCGTTTACGACGATGCCTCGCTGATCATGCGGGACGACAGGGATGCTTGCGCAAGCGGTGGTGATAGGCTCGTGGTGTTGAGTTCGTCAAGCCCCCCGAATTATTTTCGCGGGGTTTCCCAGCCACCAGCAGCAATACGCGCAAATTGCATCATGCTCTTGTCCGCTGCGATGCTTTGTCGACCGAGGCTACCATTTCTATCTTCTCTTTTTCACTTTTCGATACTTGATCCGCGACTGCCTCACTGGTTGTTGCGACACTTCAGTCGCTCTTTCCAACACTGTTTACTGGACCCCCGCGCCTAGCGCCCCGGCATCACCGGCCAACCATCAACAACCCAGACACCCTGTTCTCTTACGGCGACGCTTCATCATACTCTCACGCAGCGACGCTCGTAGTCTTGACTACTCTCCTTTCGCCGTGATAGCACCACTTTATTCGGGAACATACTGGGCCATCTGTGGACACCATGCCAGTCCTTGCCGATCTCAACGGCGCGCAAGCACCGGGCGCGCCCAACCTCGATAGCCTGACAGCGCGAGACACCACGACTCAGTTTCCTTCCAACGACGCTTTCACTCCCTTCGCAATCGACGCAAGGTCACTCGAAACACGGCAGATTGTGACTGGCCTGATTCCCACATATTATCGACGCGATGGCCCTGGATCCGGCGCTGTGGTCGGTATAGTGTTGGGCAGTGTCGCTGGTTTCCTGTTGCTAGTCTGGCTCCTCTGGACCCTTACGAACAACAGCCGTAACGCGATTGCGGGTGAGGAGGAGATAGTTGTGCGCAGGCCGAGGCGCAATTCGAACTCACATCGCTCACGACGCGGAAACCGTACTAGCGAGGTACGCGAATATGACAGGAGTCCGCGGAGATCGGGAGGAGGAAGGTCGACAGTCATTGTCGAGGAAAGAAGAGGGTCGCGGCCGCGCAGTATTGTGGAGGATAGACGGCGGCGTGTGCCAGGCGACGACATGGTCGAGGTGATCGAGGAACACGACGAATATGAGAGACGGAGGTCACGTAGAGGCAGCGGATATTGATAAGAGCTGCATGATGGTCTGCGATTACGTTCAAAAAGTGCGTATCCGACATCACGCCCACAAGATGGGTAACACTAACAGCAGGAGCAGAAACTGATTGCACCTTCCGTTTGACAACTTTGCGGAGCGACCGAACTGCTATGTTTCCAGGCACGCTCTCGGCCATAACCGCGAACATAAACCTATCAGCAGAGCTAAGCTCCACCGGGATACCCTATTTTCGAGTTATTTCTACGTCGATTTGTTTTGCACATGTTACCCTGTTATTGCACTTCTTGCAATCTCCACTAGGTCTTTGATTCGCTGTACACCATTCCGGCATTCTTTCAGCATCGTGCGTCAGGGGCGGGTAGGGGAGCATGGCGAAGCGGCTACAGAATTTGGGACTGTGCATGCTCGCATCGCGACATTGCGGCCGTCCCAGCGGGGCAAGGTCTGGATTATGACTGCCCGAGTTGAGAAAGCATGGCTGATGTACGATGGGAACGTGAAGGATCTAATGTGTTTCTGATACCATTTGCATATATTTTACTCAGCAAATATAGCGAATCATTCGGCTCGAGCCGACATACTCAAATTGGAGCACACTGCCCACAGTATCTAAAGCACACCCACATGCGCACGATCAAAATCTCGCCACAGTACTTCGAGCGATTGTTTAACACGTCTTGCAGCTGACATTTGAAATTCTTAAGAAATTGTTCCGCCTACAAATCCATCGAGCAAGGTGTCACTGTCTTCGTGTCTGCACTGACAATTGCAATCCTCGCGGAGTCACTGACTAGCATGCTGAAGTACAGATCCAATCATGAGAACGAACGTTTCCAGTCTATCAGAAAGCTATATACATTTCTTTCAACCCAAAATATTCACAACACGAACCTTCCTCCAACGACCCGTCTAGAACTGCGGCTTAGCGTTCTTAAGCAAGTCCTCAAAGTACGCCTGGTTCCATTCACCAGCCTCGGGAGACGGCTTGTAGGCGTCAGCGTTGCCGCAGAAAGAATCATAACGGGTGGCGGAAGTGTCGCTCGTGCCGTCTGACTCGCCGCCGGGCTTGCCCCAGACGAAGGCGTCGGTGCGCTCGTCGCCTGTGTCGGCGGTGGGACGGACGCCGAAGCCGGCGCCTTTGACGTTGCACCAGTGGCCCCATTCTTCGCGGAGGCCGGTGACGGCGTTGCTGGGGGATTTTAGTATGTACTGGAAAAAGGGGGAGCGAGTAGGATGGCGGTGGACTTACCGACCAGTGTCGACGATGGCGTGGTTGGGGTGGCCAGCGGTGGCGAGAGCATCGCCGAAGAGCGAGACGTAGAGCTTCTCGTTTTGCGCCTTGTTGTACTGGGCGTCAGACGTAGTGGAGAACTCTCCGGGGGTTTGGTCACTGTTCACAATCAGCATTCTCCTTCACATCCGAAAGTCGCCTTCGTGTGACTTACAAGGAGTTCCATCCAGCAATGTTGGTGGAGATACCACGGACTTGGCTGGGAGAGCCAGCAGCCTTGTACACCTTCGCGAGGCCCTCAGCACCGGGCTTGAGGTTGTCGTTCCAGCCCAGCCAGCCTCCGTGACCGGCATCGACGTACATGACGACGTTGGGGAGGTTGAGAGTCTTGAGTGCGTAGGCAACGCCGTCCTCGTAGCCAGACTTGGACTGCTGGCATGTGGTGAGGTCGATGTTGGTGACCAAGTTAGGGAGAGAATCGGGCTCGATTATCAGGGCGAAGGCCTGGTTGGGGGCTCCCTTGAGGAGAGCGGCGATGACTTTGCCTCTAGTTAGTTACGTATTTGGGTACACCGCAGGACAACTCACCATCAATGTACTGAGTCTTGTACTTGTCGATCTCGCCGACTGCGAGTTCACCGTTCGAAGCCTTCGCAGCGCAGTCGCGGCCCGGAAGATCGTAGATGACAAGACCCAAGACGTTCTTGCAAGGAATGTCGGTGGCAAGCTCCTTCTTCAACTTGTCGATGTTCGCAATGGTGTCGAGCCAGAGGAACGATCCGACATCGCCAACCTTGGCGGCAGCGGTGGCAAGGCTCGAGTCGGTCATGTTCTTGACTGCGGCGGCGACCTCGGCCTTGTAGAAGGAGTTGGCGTGTAGGGTGTAAGTCTTGAAGACATTCTCGCTGCCGCTGAGTGTGACGGCGGAGTCGCAGGCCCTCTTGTTGACCTTCTGCGATGGGAGGGCAGCGGCGAGGGTGGCCAAGGCCAAGATGGAACCGGAGGTCTTCATGTTGGAGAGTTGTGATGAGTGGCCGACGTTGTTGGCTTGGATGTCGAAATGAAACAGCTGTTGAAGCCTTATATAGTCAAGCTTAGGTGAACGTCTTTACGATTCATTGCCCCCGAGTCTACTTGATTGCGGCGTCAGGTCATTGCACGGGATTTGCTTCCCGCTCGTTGATTACCCCAGAAAGCGCATGGTCACCTACGTGAACCCGTTGAGCCTCACGCCAGGGGAAGACCCGTTCGATAGGATGGAAGAATCTACAATGCACACTTTGAAGACTCGCGTGCTCAACGGCGACCGGACCGTATTCGAGTTGTATGTAGACCCGTACCCCTGGAGAAATAGAAGTCTCATGGAAAGAGCGTAGATATTACAGCTTCCTGGGCAGCCCACTTTTTGCTCCAAAGATCGTCTCATTTCCTTATGCTTCGAGTAAGGAAGGCGCTTACATTCAAGATGATAGGTACAAAACAGCACAGGGAGGTATACAGACTACGCGCTAACAAAGACCCAAGCCGGAGGCCAGGGCCGGTGGTGAGCCAGGGCCACTCGCAGCATAGTATACGAGATCTTAGGACCCTATATCTCGTGACGATAGAATTCCTGGGTTGCAAAGCTTGACGTGCTGTTTCAAATAAAATTCGCCGATCTGTTGCCGTGTTGGTAGCAAATCAAGGCTCCGGGTTCTGAACAGGGTATGGCGGAAATGCAAGCCTAAATTGCCTTGTGACGACAACCCGTGAACTTTCCCGGGTAAACTAACTTACACACTTAATTTCCATAGAGCCGCCAGCCGATCGATGCCTTGGCGAGAAGGTCAATGGTATTTCCTAATTAACTGCCGCCTGATCGGAGTATTTTGCGCGTGTTGAGGTTGAAGCCACACTTTATGGTTCGGAAGCAATCCAAGGTCGCGGACCTACTGTCTCAAAGAATGCTTGCACACAAAAGTCCGCTGACTTCTGGAAGTCTTCCTTTCCAGAAGTCGAACGCAGGTTGTGCACACCGCACACCGCACATGCAATGAGTATCTTGGTGGCCGCTTTTCATGTAATAACGTGTGCTTGGTATCTTAATATTGTTGCAATGCTAGGCAATGTCTAATCAATACGCCGAGCCTTGTCGGTCATCTATAAAGCATACAAGTTAACAAAAAGCCAACACCAAGCTTCATGTGTTGAATGATGAGGGAGAGGGGGAGTGCTTGAGTAATCGTGTTGGTAAGGATTGGACTCACAATTCGCACCCATGGCTTTCCGCAGCTTCATGGTAACTGCATCAGCCTTAAGTTCGTTCTTGTCACTAGTTTGGACTTCCACCGCGTATGTTCTGATGACTTTCTTGACCTCTCCGCTTTGAAAGCTCATCTTCGCTTTCCGCATGATCTTCGTTTGAGGACCTGTATCATCAATGTTAACTCGTCCATCTTCACTTGAGCGTTTCTTCTTATTTCACAATTTTAATTAGTTCCAGCGTCACACTTACCCTGCCAGACGATGAAGACGAATTTTGTCCGTTCGGAATATTCATCATTTCCCAACTTCATTCTCACATACGCATACGCCGCCTCGTCATTTCCCAGCGTCTCCGTCATCTCCGCAATGTCGCCGGTGCCGGTCTTGTCCAGTTTCAGGGAATCCGATGTTGCAGACGCATACTTGAGAACTAGCCACGTGGTCTCTGATTTGTCGGAACGCACATCCTCGTAGGCTTGCGCAATGTCAGGGTCCGATAGGATGTCACCTGGTGGAGCCATTTTGTGTTTTTTGGTACAATTTTGAAAGGATCTCTGGGTTGTCGCTGTGAGTTGATCTTGAGGGCAGGGGATAGCGGTGAAGGTGGTGGGGAGGAATTTGAGATTCGGCGTTAATGCGGGGCCATAATTCTGGGGCTGATTGGCTAAAAGGAGTCTGGACGCTGGATGCCTCAGACTTGAACCGAGTCCTTGCAATGCAACCATCATGCCATGGATTGTATTGTTCGTGAGCCCAGGGCTGTAGAACGAATCTTGATTGATCGGTCATAGATTCCCGCCTTGATGTAGGAATACAGCAGAGAGTCTGCGGATTGAGCTAGGCGTCAAGATCAAGACAACGCATTTGTATTGCGACGAAGAAAATTACCAAGTCATAGACACATTCTGCGATTGCGTTACTGTACTGCCCGAATAGCGTAGGTAAGGGTGAGTCAGCGGATCAGCTTGCATCTCGAGTGTAGGATCCCATAGAAATCTGGGGTAGGAGCATGGGCACCTGGGCACCTGGGCATCTGAAGGATCACGTGCCAGGGTCTTCCTCCACGTAATCTGCCCCACTCATCTCCAGACGCGCTCAGCGTCTCCAGCACAATCATGTCGAGCTATCATCAGATATTTCCCCTATCTTTCCACACTGCGGTTTCACGCAAGACGGCAACTCACACCAATGTCTAATATTTATCACTGCGGTTCCGCGCTCGTGTGTCGTCACGCCCGGCAATCGTGTTCGGCCTAATTAACAGCTGCTAAACTGATAAGTACCACTACCTAGGTATCGCGACTATCATCCGTTCTGCGACTCTAAATTCCACTATGGGAATCTACAATGTGTAAACGATACGTACGACTGCAACTCAACAACTTCGACTATGCCAAAGACGACCAACAATAGAATGCAACGCGCATCGTGTGCTTGCGACTTCTGCCATTCTCGAGGGTTGAAATGCCGCTGGAGGACCGAGCACAGCGACTCACTCCAGGGGCGATTGGCTGGTTGTCTCACTTGCAGTGATTACAATGCGCAATGCACGACGAATCGACCCATTCGAAAACGGGGTAGGAAACCTGCCAACCCAACAACAACCATCGCCGAAGAGAATGCACAATCAAGCGAGCACCCTGACGGGTTGGAAACACCGTACGGTCAAGACATATCACCGAGTCAAGATACATACGCCGGTTTTGTATCCCCAGTACAGGTCCGACGCCTGGTCAAAATCTACCGCGACACTATGTACCAATGCTACTTTCCCTTTCTTCCCGAGGATGACCTACTGCTGCGCTGGGAAGAAGGAATCCCGGACTCGAACAGTCCATCTTACATGCTCTTGATGGCTCTTTGTGCCGTTAGTGCACAGATAGCATCCCTTAATGCCGTCTTCGACCAAACTTTGCTTGTAGGCCAGCCCACCCCAGATAGCGAGAGATACTTTTTCGAGGCCATTTCCAAGATCCCAATCCGGATCGCATCATCACACGACCTTGACTACCTGCGCTCATTCGGGCTTTTGGCAGTCTATTCGTTACAACGTGGGAATAACAATGACCTGCATCGCTATCTCGGCCTGTACCACGCCTTAGTAGCTCAACATGGCTTGCACGACGAGAGTCGCTGGCCTGATAATCTCTCGTTACAAGATGTGGATGATCGACGACGCCTCTTTTGGTGCGTTTACCGGCTTGAAATTCACTCTGCGTGCGTCTTAGGACATATTGTACGAATGCCAGAGGCACAAATCTCAGTGGACTACCCTCGCATCACAGCTTCAATGGAATATGAGACTCGAGCGTGGACTGCTGGCTGGGACTATATAACGGACCTCTTTCGCCTGCTTGAGTATGCCATCTTCAGTCTTCGCGGATGCAAGAACCGTAAACCTGCATTAGCAGTATTCTGTGAGCGTCCGTCACCCGTCACACTACTTGATGGGTTGGCTCGTCTCAAAGGGGCCAAGCCTCGAATTCTAACAGAATTTCCTGGGCCCGACGAGATCCTTCGAAGCAATCGTTGCAGATATATGAATGTGCAAATCACCTGCACTGAAGCGCTCGTCAACATCATGGCGTTACTTTACTGTCAGGAACCTGCCTCCGAAATCATGACCATCGCCAAGATGTTCCTGGACGACATTACTAAAGCGGATCTCATCATGTTCAAGATTGCGGGCAGCCAGATTGTACACCAATTACTTGGTGTTGGTCACATTGTCTACAACACATCTCGCAGCGAGAATGGCAGATATTGGCCTGAGGCAAAACGACTGATTGAATTTTTGGGAGATCTGGTGAACGATCTTGAGGACATCCCTTCCGCGGCAGAAGCTGCGGCCAGGTTGTTTCGACTTGCAGAAGCTACCTTGTGAGATCGGAAACAAGTTCATATCGACCAGAAGGTGCATGTAAATTATTAGACTACAAGCAACGCGCTGCAACTGGTTTGGCTCGTCTCGCATGCAAACCGCGATAGCCTCAACGCCGATATAAAACTCCGCGTTGCATGCCTCGTATGCGTACAGCGCCGTCACTTTGATCTCAATCACAACCCAGACTTGCCAGCACCCACTTCAACAGAGCGATATGCTTCATGCATGCGCTACTACTGTAGTGGCAATATACTTCCGATAAGCTGGAATGGACCACCGGCGGATACGCTTTCCATACACGATCATCACGAAGAACGTGAAGGTGCAGGCGAGAGATATCATGCCAGCGGTGATGAAACAGTTCTGCAGGCCCTGCGATGTCCACCAAGGCGTAATAGCATAGCTAAAGCCAAAGCCGATTGTGTTCCGGATCAACATGATCGATACTGTTGTCTCTCCGGCGATCTCCTTGAAGCAGTCGACGTTGTAGCTTACCGCAATGCTACCTCCGGTAACGCACCCGAATGTTAGCATCCCCAGTCCAACCACTAGGCCAACCCAGTGGACTTGGTAGTACGCGCCAACACCCCAAGTGATTAGGCCAGCCGCTGACATGATTCCGGACAGAAGCAGCACCCACAGTCGGTGTTCCGCCTCTCTTATTCCTCTATTGCGCCGTGCGAGCCTCAAGGCGATCCAATCTGCAACGTTGCCGGACCAAAGCGAGGCAAAAGCGGCCCCGATTATCGGGCCTGTATAGACACAGCCCACCAAGGCTGCCGACCAATTATAGGGACTGGCACTAAGAACAGGGCTGGCGGTACCATTCAAAACATTGTACCACGCCAGATTGATCCCGTACAGGAAACCTGCCCATGCCACTGTAGGAAAGCGAAAGATCATGATGACTGGTCTGTAAGCCATCCGCAGCATGTTAAGATTGCTCGGTCGTCCCGGCAAAGTCTTGAACAGGGTGTATCGGCTCCAACCAGCGTTGATGTTACGGTACTGAGGGCGCCTTGTCGATGATGTCGGCGACGTGGCAGTAGCTGCTGAGGCTGCCTTTACTGAACACTCATTGCCATCCTTCTCTTCTGTGGCGCCAGTCTTAAAGTCAGTGACTTTTTCGCCTTCGACTGAATTGTCCCGAAAGTATATCGTTTCTTCCATGAAGAAGAATATGATGACAAAACACACGGCGCAGACGATCGCTCCCAAATGCATAGTCCATCTCCAACCGAAGGCGTCATTGAACCTGAGTCCGCAAATGCTCAGTTAGCGTAATTCGGAAACTAGAATCATGGTGTACGTCTCAGAGGCACAAGAAGAGCACTTCTATGCGCGTTTGAAAACAGACCAGTCAATACTCGGGCGTTACTCACCATCCTGCGAAAAGAGGAGCCAAGAAATTCGACCCGAACAAGATAAACACATACAGCCCCATATAGGTGCCTCGGTTATGGGCGAAGAACAAGTCGAAGATGGTGACCTCGCACAGCGATTCGATTGGTGACACGACGATGCCGATCAACGCTCGATGTGCCATCCATTCTCCTGCAGATGTCGAGTAGGCTGTCCACACCATCATGGGCACCGTCAGGAGCATTGTAATAAGGTAAACACCCCGACGTCCGTACGTAAGCGCGATTGGTTGCCATAACAAGCAAGCCCATCCGAAAAAGAGGAACATGATCCCAGTTCCTTGAACCAAATCGGCTGTGGAGATCCCGGTATCTGCAGTGATATCGGCCAATACGGAGTACTGGAGTGAGGTTGCGATACCGGTGCCTAGGTGTTGGTATATAAGTTAGCATTGGCTTGATAATAGGACTTGGACGCCTTTTTCACGGCCCGTCGTGTTGCTTACCGAAGACATAGAGGTACGCCATGCTCACGGCGAGAAGTTTGCGCCGGTATGTCCAATTCAGTGGGTCATTCGGGTCAGAGCTAGGATGAGGGACGAGAACAATGTCCTGATGAGAATGATCGTGAAATTCTGTTGATACATTGTGATTAATATCGACAAGGTACACAGTGCCAGGCACATGGTCCTGATCAAGATCTTGGGGAGCCATAAGATGGCGTCTGAGATGGAGTGCGAAGTACGTCGTAAAGCACCTGCAAATAACTTTTTGATTCAGGACTCATCGCTATTTTATAGGACTTGCCAATCATGTGTATTTGGCACCTAGTGTATGGAGGTATCACCGTCCCCGCCTGTTGGCCGGTAACTTATCGCAATCCCAACCAAAACAACGGGGAATCCGATAACGTGGGTGGCTTGAGACCCCAATGTATCTAAGATATGCACCCCAGGTATGTGTTTCGGAATTGGTCGTGCAGGGCCGCTGCTTGGCCTATCGCTCAATTAACAGCTGTTGAAGTCGAATGAGATCTTTAGGACGAGGAAAAGGCTGGGGCGACCCCTGCAGGACTCCGTTAGTGGCGGCGCTATCGCAATTCAGCAGCTGTTGCTTCAAACACGATATCAGCAGCTGTTAATCGAACTACCGCCGTTGACAATCATAGTCTCGACAGCTGTTAATCGATACGCACGACGGGCCTGTCTACATCTACTATGCGGGGTATCTGTGAACTCTTGTGGCTAGAGTCGATCTCAGGAACTAACAGACTGCATAAAGCGCAGTAAAATTGCGGCCTGCCTCGAGCACTCTACTTTCGCAAACCCCATGAGATTCACGGACACGTCGTGAGTCAAGTCGCGCGAAAGAACCCAGTCAACAGTATTTGCAGACTCCCGTCTAGTATTCATCACGATGTCCAAGGTAATTCACTCGCTATGCAGACCTTCAACGTCACCGGCTCATCAAGTCTAGCAAACGTCTATCGTCGAAGCTACGATTGCAGATCTTGCATCAGCACTCTCCAATGGCCATATCAACAGTGTAGAACTTACTGCAAAGCATCTCATTCGCATCGCGAGATATGATCGTCGATCGACGACGCTCAACGCAATTCCTATCATAAAGGAAGATGCCTTCGAAGTCGCTCAGGCCTCTGACGACCGCCGAGCATCTGGCCAGTCGCTGAGCCCACTTGATGGTATTCCTTGTACTATCAAGGACTCTTACAAAATCGAGGGCATGACCGTCGCATCCGGATCTCCAGCGTTCCAGAACCTGATAGCAAACGAAGACGCCTTTACCGTGAAGCGCATCAAAGAGTCGGGAGCGGTGATCCTGGGTAGGACCAACATGCCACCCATGGCCGCAGGAGGCATGCAACGCGGTGTCTACGGCCGGGCTGAATCTCCCTACAATGCCGACTACCTCACAGCCGCTTTCGCGTCTGGATCATCGAATGGATCAGCTACAGCGACTGGTGCAAGCTTCGGATTATTTGGCATGGGTGAGGAGACGATCTCATCTGGCCGGTCGCCGGCGTCTAACAACGGCTTGGTGGCGTATACCCCTTCAAGAGGAATTATTTCTATCCGTGGAAATTGGCCGTTGTTCCCTACTTGCGATACGGTTGTGCCGCATACGCGTAACGTAGACGACATGTTTGCCCTTCTGGATGTCATTGTCGCCAAAGACACGAGCACAGTGGGCGACTTCTGGAGAGGCCAACCTTTCGTCAAGCTTCCAGAGGTCGATACCGTCCGTCCTAAGGTATACGGGGCTCTTGCTGACGTGAAAGCGCTTGCTGGCAAAAAGATTGGTGTACCTAAGATGTACATTGGTGGTACTGATTCTGATCCAACCGCAAGGAAAGTCCACACGCGCCAGTCGGTCATCGATCTTTGGCAGAATGCTCGGAAGGTCATCGAGGGCCTCGGTGCGAGTGTAGAGGAAGTCGACTTCCCGGTGGTGACCAAGTTCGAAAACCCAGTTGCAGACCGCGCGGACAGCCCGGTCGAAGAATCGATTGCGCCTCCCCACCACAATGAGGTTGACATGTGTAAGCTCATGGCTTACGCTTGGGATGACTTCCTCGCTACAAATGGCGATCGGAATGTTGCCACTAGTCTCGCGCAAGTTGAGTCAGGAACTATTTTCCCGCGCCCGCATGGGTCGGTCAAAGACAAGTACGACGATAACGACCCACTTGTCCGCCATACCGATGTAGTGGCACATGTTACGAACGGTCGTGTTCCCATGTATGAGATACCCGGCCTTGGCGACGCACTGAAGAACCTTGAATCCAAGCGAAAATCGGATTACGAAGACTGGCTTGCCGATCTTGGACTCGATGCCGTTGTATGGCCCTGCAATGGAGATGTAGGCAAAGCCGATGCGGACGTCAACGAGCAGTCTGCCGCAGAGGCTTGGCGAAACGGAGTCTTGTACTCGAATGGTAACTGTGCAATCCGCCAATTGGGTATTCCAACAGTCAGTGTACCAATGGGTGTCATGGCAGATATCGGAATGCCTGTCAATCTTACATTCGCTTCTAAAGCGTACGATGACAACAACCTTTTCCGGTACGCATACGCCTTCGAGAAGGCCAGCAGTTTACGGCAAGCGCCTAAGCGGACACCTGCTCTACCCACAGATTCCTTCGAGGTTACGGAGGACACGAAAAAGATCGGCTCCGAACTACCGCAAGTTACGGCAACTGCATCTCTTGTGGAAGACAAGGACGGCAGACGCGTCAATATTTCGGGTACGTACGAAGGACAGGAGCTGGCTTCGTTGAGTGCCTATGTGGATGGTGATGAAGTTGAGAACGTGAAACTTGAGGGCGGCCAATGGACGGCTAGTCTTCTTACGAAGAGTGCATGGACTGGACGAGCGGAGGAGAAAGGTGTACCGGATCCGGACAAAGCGATGGTCATTGTTGTTGCTAAGGGTACTAACGGCAGGTCAGCGGGAAAGCTGCTCTTTGCATGATCTTTGTCACCTACTCTTCCGTTGTCTTAGAAACGCTAAACAATATTTTGGTCATTTCAAGCCAAGTGCTAGTCTAGAGAATTTGCATGTCTTGCGTCGCTTTCGATATAACAACAACGTGAGAATGAGAAGCTTTCAGCACTTCATTTTTGTGTAAGTCGCTCGGTAGGCCGTGCAAATGTCCTGCATCGCACTACAGTAACTTCCTTTTGATTCCGGTCAAAATATCATACTCCCACCCTTCTTGTGACCACTTGAACTTGACGTACGGAGCAAGTTCTTTGTCACTAGGAACGACTCGTTTCCACTCAGGTTCGACTCCCTCAGCATCCTGAAGCCTGCGCAAACGGTCGCGTCCAAAGATTCGATACGAATCTAGCGCATACTCACCCACACCCGGGAGATGCCCAATCTCCCAGCCTTCTCGCTCGTCATCGGGAGCTAGCAGCTCACGATCTTTCACGTTTCTGCCATCTCCTTTCTTAGGATAATCGCGACGCCCATAACGTCGCGTAGGGCATGGTGGAGCGGCTACCCAAACATTGGCCAGCTTGACTAGACATTGTGCTCTTCGCTCTTGTAGACCTAGTACACGGATGATTTCTTGCACTGCAAGTGGATCCGCAGACGCGAGCGCTTCTGGCGTGGGGTACGTGCATAATAATTTCCATAGAATAGGTCGGGCGGCGGTGCCCTTAGTTTTGTTCCACAAGATGGCTTGGACGACGAGCGCAAACAAGCTCTCGCAGATACGCTCTTGAATGAGACCAAACTCGGGTGTTTGTAGCTCAAAGCTCAAACCAGGCGGTGGGCGTTCACGCGAAAAGGGCTCGGGAAAGAAGGGAGATATTGTGGGCCCAGGGACTGGCTTCTTTTTAGGCTTCTTCTCCGGCTCTGGGAAGTATGGAGACACCGTCGGTTTCTTGGTTTGTCTTTGCGTTTGAGATTTAGGATCGGCTATCCTGAGCGACCTTCGCTTGCTTTGCTGCGGACGAGGTGTGATGCTATGGTTCAACAAAGCTGTTGCAGAAGACAAGTCGGTCGCGGCTTGGGTCAGAAGGGAAGATCCAAATTCCAACGATGCACAAGCTCGCGCAATGAGCTGTGCAGGGGAGAACAGCTGATGATGCGCATCGTCCATGTTGCAGAAATCCAACGGGTAGTCAATCAAGGCAGTGAGTGAAGTTGCTACGATGGTTGAGCGAGAAGACGCTTTGCGGTGGTTGGGTTCTTGGCAGCTAGGGTCACCTCCTTTCACCACGAGCTTTCGCCTGTCCTTTATAATTCGCCATCAATCAAACGAGCGCTTTCTAAACGATGCGTCGCTGTGAGACATTCGAGATTGATGTCTAACAAACACGCTAATTGGTCGCTGAGTAATGTTCAATGACGTCACCAGCAGTGGGACCATCTCTACAATTCGACGGTCTATATCTATCGCTAAATGACAGCTCTTCCCGGAATTATTAGAGATTCCCACAAGAAAGTCATTTTTTGTGATTTCATTCAAAGCTTAGGGGCCTTTAAAGCGTCTAAAACGACGATCACACGGTCTTCGGAAGTTGTCGGCGTTAAGCAATTCGGAGACAACATGCACACCGAAAACATGTCAATAGAAAGAACGGACTACATCGTGCACTGAAAGACGGATGAATCTTGCAGTCTCATGATGGAACACTTTCCTCTGGACGTTTTTGGCAACAATCCACGGCTCAGCCGACTGTACACGCAGCTCTGCTTCTGCTTCCCATTGCCAAACTGCCCGCGGCGCACTGAGAACACTATAACCCACCTGCAGAATGGTTTGAATGTGCTCACATCGAACTTCCCTTGGGTAGCGGGCCAGGTCATTCAGGCAGACGATGGCGCCTTCACGATCGTCCCGTTGGAGAAAAGTCCAAAACTTCGCGTACAAGACAGGAGCAGCCAATTACCGACGTTCGAGGAGTACCGAAACATGGGCTTCCCCTTCAAGTGGCTCGATGAGAAGGATATCGCATCGCACAGTACGCTTCCAGATGGACGGGACGTGCCGGCACCAGTTCTAGCGCTGCAAGCCACATTCATCACCGGAGGTGTGTTTCTGACATTCAGCGCTCAGCATAATTGCATGGATATGGCTGGTCAGTGCCAGATGATACTACTATTCGCTAAAGCGTGCCATGAGGCAGTACCCTTCACAAGCGAAGAGATCAAAACGGGAAACCTATCGCGGAAACGCATAATACCTCCCCTAGATGATCTACCTAAGATTTCAGAAGAGCTTGTGGCCAAGGCACCTAACAGCAAGCCTTCGCACGCATGTGAGGCAGAGGCTGAAGCTAAACCCACTTGGTCATACTTCCTACTCTCCTGCACTACTCTATTGACTCTCAAATTACGGGCGCAGAAAGACATACACACCACCTTCATCTCCACTGATGACGCCCTTTGCGCTTTCATCTGGCAACAAGTTACTAAAGCTCGCCTGTGTCGCCTCCAAGATATGTCCGCATCCACGCAATCAACCTTTGAACGTCAGGTTGACGTGCGGAAACACCTGGGCTTGCCTACAACGTATACAGGCAACGCCGTCTATAAGACGTCTACCACCCAGTCCATTGAAAACATTATATCAAAATCACTTGGCTACCTTGCATCCGAACTACGCGCATCGTTGTCTCCAACACCCGATCTAGGACACAGCGCGCGGAAAGCTGCTACCATATTGTACCAGCAGCTACAATCAAACAAACCAGACGCGGTGACTGTGACACGCGGAAACCTCCCGGCAATGGATATCAAAATGAGCTCTTGGGCGAAAGAGGACTGCTACAACTTCGACTTCGGCGGCGTATTAGGAAAGCCAGAAGCGGTTAGGAGGCCCAACTTTGAGGGATGGGAAGGGTTATCATATTTCATGCCGAAATCAAGAGATGGGGAGATAGCGGTTGCGGTTTGTTTGAGGGATGAGGAGCTGAGATTTTTACAAATAGATGAAGAGTTCAGTCGCTTTGCGCGGTACGTAGGTTAAGCCTGATCACCGGCAATCATGTTGTCAGCGTCTCTTGCTGTGCGTACCGGTCTCCTCACAGACGGGTAACCCATCTTTCTTTGGATTCGTGCAAGAAGCTTTTCTCTGGCGCCGACATGTGCCGTGGCGTCCCGGTCTTTGTACCAAAACGCCCATGCAAGGAAGAAGGCAGATAATGCAAAGCTGATAGGAACTACAGTGCTATCTTAGCAGCTCCGAGATAAAGCTGGTGTGTGGTAATACTTACACATGTAGAGGAAGATCCTTCCGAGATGTACTGGAGAGCCATCGCTGAGCTCGCTGGCGTTCATTCCGAATATGGAGCTGATGAAGCTCAAGGGAACCTGTTTCATTATTGGTTCAAAATAATCTAAGTCGAACTTGCGTCGACTTACAAAGACGATCGTGACTATTGTAAACACGAGTACAGTTCGATTTTGGCGCATCGCAATCTCGCCTTGGTGTATGCTTAGTTGGGTCTGCTTCAGTTCTAAGGTTTTGAACAACTGCATTCGGTCATTAATTTTGGCAAATGTGGCAGATGCATATACTGACCATTTCATGCACATCTTTGGCTTGGTCACGTAGGTTTTCGAGTCTGTGACCGATCGTGTCAACAGACGCCTTGATCGTAGCATATTTCTCAGTGTCAAGCGCACGCTGCTGCTGCTCCACCACATAAAGTATCATTTCGAGCTCTTCAATGGCATCGCGAACTTCTCCAACGGCGCGAATGTCGCTTACGATGTTGAGGTGATCCTCCGTGCTGGTAGCATCGCTAACTTCTCCAACGGCGTGATCCTCCGTGCTGGTATCATCGCGAACCTCTCCAACGGCGTGAATGTCGCTTACGATGCTGAGGTGATCCTCCGTGCTAGTGGCATCGCTTGGCTCGTTTGGTTTCCGAACGACCTCATCTTCGAAGTCGTCAAAAATTTTGGCGCAGACCGCCCTCTATTTCCCTTAATACTACTAGTAAAGCGTAATAGCCTTTTACTCACCTGATGAGCAATGTACTTTCGAAAAACGTCCACGATGCAATCTCTCACTACACCGTCACCTCGATGCCCCCTCAACTTGCCGCGACCCTCGAGTATTAGTCGCGAGCACTGCTCTATAATGTGAGAGGACAGCTGCTGAGCATTCTGTTTGCCCTTCGTCTTGTTTATACGCTCGACTATCAAACATTCGCAGTGAAGGTGCTCGCAACGATCATCGCAGGGCGGCCTGGCGGTATCGCCGAGGCTTTCCGGAAAGCTGGTGACAATTGTATCTGCGGGAGATTATGAGCGTTCAGCGTGCAATATGAGTGCAGTTTACCTTGGTCCAAGATCCATAACCACAGTTGATCTGTGACAATAAGCTGAGTGGCGGGACTTTCTTTTGGGGCGCTTGAGTGACCTTCCACTCTCGTGGTTTTATGTCCCCTCTCATTTTCATGAATCATATATTTCTTCATGACTTGGTCACTGTTTCGTCGCGACAGTTCCTCTTTTGAGTGGTATTCATATCCAATTTCGTCAAGACCACGTCGCGGATGCTGCCCTCTGGCCACGTACTTCTCACGAGTTGTATTGTTATATCTCAGTTTAGTCGAACTTTCGTGTTCGGAGTATCCCTCTGTATGCAAATACGGCATCTTCGTACTTCATTAGCAAATCAATAATCTCTTCTTGTGGGGACCTACGTAAAGTATCGTATTTTCGATGGGACCGGTTGCTTCTTCCCTCCACTCGCTGTCCTCGGGTATACCTGGAACACCCTCTTGTACTTCTAAGAGTAGATAGATTAGTGGATGCTTTGACAAGATCTTCGAGGTCAAATACTAACCGAACTCGGGAGTAAACGCCGTTGCAGCCATGCAAGGCACACCAAATAGTGTCTGCTGGTCGCTGATATCGCCACACCAACCTACTTGAACCTGGCCCTCCCAGCGATCTATGTGCATCAGGTACTGATAGTGTGATCCGTGGCAAAGTCGTCCTAGAACCTCCTTTCGGCCTGGTCAGTTGAGAATCTTTGGCTTCGTCACATAGTCTTACCTCGCAAAGCGACATATCGTTAACAGGTATATGTATCCATGTTGCCTGACCTGTCCACTCCTGCTGAGATGCCTCTCTCAACCGAGTGGATCTGATGTCGTTCAGTTTCTGCGCTGTCAGGTTCCCGCGCTCTCCAAGAGGGTCACGCCAAAGCTCGAGGCGTCCATGGGCATTCCATTCTCTGATTCTTATATCTGACAACGTAGGTTCAGGGTATTCCTGGAGTTCATCGGGCGCCATCTCAGTATAAGCAGAGCTTTTCACGTCGGAGGCCGGTCATACTCACCATGATGCGTCCCTCTTCGATCAAATCGTTCATTTCAGAGATATTACCTTGCGTCCACGCTTGTGGTATGTTGGGTCTTATGTAGTCACTGATCAAGCTGAGAGCTGGAGGCTGCCCCGCTTCGCTAATAACCTGCGCAGAGCGGATCTGATACGCTGTACATCTATCATTGGTGGCATCACTGTACGAGAAGCTCGCTTGACCCAGAAGGCAACAGCACGCTGGCAGCCAAGCTCGCCTCTAATGAGCTTGTATGCTGTAGCCGCTATGTTCATCCGTTCGAAGTCGAACCCCAATTTCAGCTGAGTGATGCGGCTGTTGCTATCTTCCTTTGCTGGTGTGTGGGAGGACAAACCTTGTATGTTATGCCTGCTTTCGTAGGTATATTATGCCACACCACAGGGCGGATCGTAGTAGCTCCAGGCAAGAGTGAAGATAAGATCAATCCTTCCCGCGGGGATCTTCAGAAGTAGCTATGCAAGGCAAGGACGCTGAAGCTTTCCAAGTCATCGGAAGAAGCAACGAACCTGGCGAGCCGCGCTTCCCCGCACTTCCGTTCTCAGCCCGCCCCCACCTTCGACCCTAACGACGACCCATTGTGCCATTCTATACGATCTTTCGCTACACTTTATACTTTTCGTGTCTTCAGTAGACTAATCGATCCGTGTCCCCCATAAATTATTCACCATGACAACACCGTTCGTCCGCCCCTTCAATTTTGACACAGATTACTCACCCTGTCTGCACGTAGTATGTCCCCTTTGCGCTTACTTTCTCCATACAAGCAAGTGCTCATGCCTTCTATCCCAAAATTCCCCCTCGCATCACCTTTGTCACCCATCCACTCGCCGTTACACACCCGCCTCAACGCTTACACCCCTCCCCAGTTCTCCACCACAATCGACCCCTCCGTCTCCCACTCCCCGCCCTCACCATAGGCTCCCACCTCTGGTACACCCCTACACGCACCTCTCCCCCTCCACCTGCTCCGTCCTCGACAACGGCGCCGGCCTCGCCGTAGGCTACATCATCGGCACCCCCGACACCGCCTCTTTCGCCCTTCGCTGGAAAGAAATCTTCGTGCCTGCCATCGATGCAAAAGTAGTTCCTCCGCCGGATATCGTGTCCACTGATCCCGACATGGAAACAGAGCTCGTGAAAGGCCTAAGGAGAGAAGTATACGAAGCGAAATGCGCGATGTTGCAAGCGTATCCGAAGCTGCTGGAGGAGTATCCCGCGCATTTGCATGTTAATATCTTGCCTGAGTTTACGGGGAGGGGGTATGGGAAACTACTGATGTCTGCTTTCCTTGGAACGATTAGTGATGCAGGAGCGCGGGGCGTGCATCTGGGCATGGTGGCTACGAACGATGGAGCGCGGAGGTTCTACGAGAGGGAGGGGTTTGAACTGTGTGGGGAGGTGTTGGATGGGGGTGTGAGCGGGGAGGTTGGGAGGGAGGGAGGTGCGGTGTGTTTGGTGAAGAACCTGTAAAAACCAAGAGCAAGAAAGAAAGGAAGGAAGGGATACCCTGGGGTGTCAATTTAGCATGTCATGTAGTCGTTATATACAGCTATGAGCGCTTGTGCATGTTTTGTGGGTTTTGTGGTGTTCATACGAATGTAAAGAAGATAAGTGATGAGGACATTGCCCGATACAACTCAACTGCTCCGACGCCCGCCTGGCCGACGCCCAAAGAGTGAACAAAGGGAAGCCTAGCTGACGTTCACCTTTCCATAATCCCATGTGCAATCTAAGACTATCTACAATCTAGACAAGCCGGTGATCTCGCGCGGCGCGTGATACGTTGGCACCTTCATGTCGAGTGCAGAGCCAGAGTAGCCGAGATCCTCAGCAGTGAGCACAGCGCACTTCTCGCCGATGAGCAGGGCGGTGGAATAAGTGTTGCAGCCGACGTTGTCCTGGAGGGGTGTTAGTCAATGAGGGAGATCTTACTGCTGTTGAGAGGACGTACCGGGCAGATGGACAGATCCGCAACCTTGAGGTTCTTCACGCCATGCACATTGAGGCGTTCATCGAGCACACCGTGCTTGACAATCGAATTGCCTTCCTTAGGCGCCATGGAGCACGTGCCCAGGGAGTGCCACGTAGTTTCGACGTGACCTAAACGCCATTAGTGAGTGAGTTTGGGTGGTGTAAAAGTATGCTTACGCTTAGTCCAGTCCTCGATATGCTTGATGTCCTCATTAGAGTAATTGAGGTCCTCCAGGCAATCTTGACAGTTCGAGTTGAGCATGTTCGGCTCCGGAGCGCGGCCCTTCTCGACCGGCATGCTCCAAGAGCCGTGTTGGATGCCGGCAGTGAGGTTTCCATCAAGTGCGTAAGCATTGGTGGTAGCCAGATCCATGTCCTTGGCCCGAGCGGGGCTGTCGAACGCGTAGAACGGGTGCATAGCTTGGACTTCGCCAGCATACGCATCCATGCGTCGTGCCGTCTCACGAGACTTGATGTAACCCCAGACCATGGGAGCTGTACAGAAATATGTTAGTCAGGAGAAGTGAATATGAGGGTTATCAGATACGCACCCATATCTCGCTTGTCATTCATGAAACCTGCGTCGAAGTCGGGCGCCTCATAGGGATTGGGTGAGACAATGTGGGTGGAGCCACGAGAGAACGGATACTCCAGGAAGTGGAACATGGTGAAGAACTTCCCGGGTGGCATGAGCATCTAAATTGTGTTAGTATACATAGAGGATCAATCGTATGGCATGACAAGACTCACGTGGTCGCCGAACCAACCGGCAATAACAGCTGCGAATACATTAATAACTGAGAGTTGGTAGTGGAAGAGGTTGACAACTTACAGTAGTGCATGACGGGCTTGTCAGGCTTATCCTTGAAGTAGCTGTCCCATCCAGACCTGAACTCCTTGCAAGGCCACGAGTCCATCGCCTTCAATTCTTCTTCTGTGGGCCTGACCTTCACACCAGCTTCGATACCGTTGGTCGCCAGAGGGCCTGTACCATTGAGGTTCCACTGGTCGAAAACCTTTTCCTGTGTCTTCGGGTCGCCACGAACAAAGTCATCAAACGACTCAACGTGTGGTTTGGCGCGGAAGACGGAGAAGGTCTATACTCTGTCAGTGGGCTCTTCCATGACTTGGAAATCGCACATACCAGATAATGATCTTGGAAGTTCAAGCCGACACCAGGAAGGTCAACGAGCGGCTTAACGCCAGCCTTGCGGAGCTTCTCGGGGTCACCGATACCACTTCGCTGGAGGATCAAAGGCGAGCTGAGAGTGCCACCAGACACGATGATCTGCTTCCGAGCCCTGTAAATCTTGCTTTGCTTCTGATTTGGGTGAAGGGGCTTGGTGGGTACGGTTTGAACGCCAACCGCCTTGCCACCTTCGAGAATGACCTTGTCGACTTTGGTGTTGACAGCCAAGTGCAAATTCTGGTGAACCGCACGAGTGCTGTGGATGTATCCATGCGCAGAATCGCTTCGGCGTCCGGTGTCACGGTTGATCCATTTCAACCAATGCTCAGCACCGTGACCTGTGACCAAGTCTTGGAGATCGTCCGTTGTAGGAATGCCCTGAGACTCAGAAGCGCGTAGGAAATCCTCTTTGATCGGATATGTGTAGTTGCCAAATGAAACCTTGATTGGGCCCTCGAAGCCGTGTATATCGCGGTTGTTGCATGAGCGCTGACATGCTGTTAGTCTTAGACATGTGCTGGGCATGTTATTCTTACCTGGTACGTCTCGTGCTTCTTCATCAACGGAATGAGCTCCTTGGTGGTCCAGCCCTTCGCTTGGAAGTCATCGTAGTCTGAAGCAGACGCACGAGTGTACATCTGGACGCTTGTCAGTAGCAATTACTCTAGCCGTAGTGCAGACCTACCATAAAGTTAATTGAGGAGCCGCCACCCAAAATATGGGCGCAAGGCACAACAGCTCGACGACCATCGAGCCATTCAGATGGCCGTGAGTAATAGAAAGAGGCAGTCTTGCTGTCCAATTTCATGTTACGGGGATAAATCCCCGGTCGGAAAACCCTTTGTACGTCAGCAATGCCATTTACGGCACGTACGTAGGTACACGAACCATGGGTTGTTTAGATTGTTCTCTCCACCTTCGATAAGAAGAACTTGAAGGTTATCTACACCACAAATGCATAGTTAGTCGCAATCTCTGGTGTTTCCATGGGTGGCACAAGATGAGGCGGCTCGTCCTTGTACGAAAGGCGTTCCAACAACGGCGAAGCGTCTCGCGTGAAAGGACACAATGAGGCTGCGAAATGACAAACGAGACGTAGGATTGAACTCACGGTCAAGGTTGGCCAATCGTCCAGCGACGACACATCTGCGTCGAGTAAGTACATTCCAAGCCGTCGTGAAAGCTGAACTGACCCGCAAGACCCTCCACCACAAACGATAATATCAACCTAGAGCAAAGGAGGTAAGCTATAAAGTCGAACCGCGTAAGGGAAGCTGTACCTCGTCTGGAATCGTCATCTTGCCGTTACACAGTGACTGCGAGAGTTTCGTTCTCAGGTTAAGAAGGTTACCACAAGAGAATATGAATTCAATTGGGCTTGCATTCGAGCAACAATGCCGCACAAGTCCTTCTTAAGCTCCGCAAACCCCGCATTGACGGGGCGTCGGACTCAAGGAGCACCCCCATATGGGAATGAGCGGCACCAATCCCTCGTCAGCATACGTCTCCAAATCCTTAGCCATGTCTCTATTCATCGTGCGGTGGCTGTGCCACCCGCGTCTGGACATGCATTCTCATAAACGCGAAGTAGCTATACGCCGGCAAGTACACTCAAGTGGATGTCCTGTGAGGCGTATGTGGACTGATGTCCGGTCCGCATGATTGCTTTCCAGCGGATCCGCAACCACAGTGCGTCCGTAGAGAAAGTCCTGGTTCATGATTGGCGTAAGCAGGCGGGTATCATGGATGTTTCCCGGAGATGTGGAACCATGTAACACCCTGACTTAGCGGCTCAATAGGACTTGCAGTTGTAAAGCGGAGAGGCACAGCATCCAGATCGAGCATGGTCCATGCAGCGGTAAAGTACGTCACTTCTCATCTACTCGCTGGAAAAAGTCTGAGATAGCTGGGTAAAGCAGATGGAGCCCAGACGGTTTTCTGTAGTAGCGACGGATGTTGGCGATTACAAGCGTCTCATTACAAACGTCACATCCGGTTCCCGAGACCGCCGAATAAGTGTAGGCTTCTCGAGAGAGCTGACTCTAATGATGAGGTCCGCGATTCAGGGCTGAGCGGATCCGATCGAAACAGCCAAGCTATGCCAGTAGCGTGGTGCTGCGGGGTTAGCCTCATGGAAGGGACCAAGGTGCCGTGCCGTCCGAGGCGTATACGTAGGCCGCCAGACGTGAATAGTTCTAGCGATTATCACATCAGCACAAGAACTTGGCTAGAAAGGATGTGGGGTGCAGTAGTTGCTGCGGAGAACGCTTGAACGAAGACGCGCCTATGCAAGGGTCGCTGGGCCGAAGGTTTAGCGAGCGGGGTGTGGTGGTAAAGTGCGGGGGTCGAACTTAACAACGCAAGCTTATCACGTTGTCTTGCAGTCAATCGAGGTTAGGAGGGCAACGGACTAGAATCTGTGTAGATCCGCGCATTCCGCACCATTCGTGTTTATTGGGTCAGGCAATTCGAACTGGATGGTGCGGCGTTGGTATCTGTGTTATTCCCGTCAGCAGTGGGCTTGCAGGTCGGTCCGGATGCCTGCTGCAGCCTTTTTGGTTATGCCACATAGCACTCAGCATCCAAGACCCCGGAAGCGGGGCTATCATGATCCTTGTTGTTGACAAGCTGGCGATTGCCCACGAGGGCGGAAAATTGTATTCAAAGTATCTTTGGTGCTTTCCCGACATCCGAAATGCAGTGGGTATCCGATGATGTACGCCTCTCTATCCGAAAAAACGCCGTGCTGATGCTTGTGAGAGTGGAGAAACAAAAGAAAAGGAAGTAGGACCACGTGTGAACCAACTGGAAAGGGCCTTTCCAATCTAGATGATGTCGCTGCGCTCCCATCCTGTCGGTCGTTGGAACTTGAGATCTTTGCATGGATGGGGCTTCTCGCTGTCCTTGTACTCGCTAACGTAGGGATTGGGGTCTTCGACTTGGTCGAGGTTACCCAGCGTGTGGTTGACTTCGCGATGCTTGCTCTCATCGGCGCGGACTAGTAATATATATCAGCGAATGCCTGGCCAGGAAAGTTGTATGCATACTGTACAGCAGTAAGTCTCGCATCGAGCGGTTGCCTTCAGGCATCTTCCAGTAATCGATCGCAATTTGTGGTGCCTGCAGCTTCTCCCACTTGGGAAGTCGACCGGCATCCAAGTCCTTGATCTGACGTGTGTACGTGATGACAGCCTCTTCTTCTAGGTATCCGACGAAACGGTGCACGGTGCGAGGGCTGAGGAGATATGCAAAGAACAGTGCATTGCACCACACTCCCTGAGCGCCAAGGACTGAGCAGGTCAGTAAAGGTCTTTCAATCCCAGACATAGACGCATCTTGACTGACCTAGAAATCTCATAAACCAGCCGGGCTCACTCATCTTGAGGAAAGTGAGTAGGTGCATACGCTCGTTGAAGCTTTCTTCGAGCAAACTCTCGATCCTTATTACTGTCAGACACGGTACAGAAAGCATACGGATCCAACTCACCATCCGTTATCCCTCTTCATACGTCGCATCGAATGGAGATGCCTTAGCATGCCTGCGACCATCCCGGGCACGCCGGCAACCGACTCCAAGAACACATTTCGTATCATGTACTTCTCTTCTGTCATCGCATACTTCTTCCTCGCGGCTTCAGGGTCCTTTTCGTTCAAAGCGACAGCCTTCTCATGCTTGTATCCCGTTGCGATGTCCAAGCCCCATCGAAGGACCTTGACCGCGAGGAGTGCAACCTTGTCGGAAAGAGTTTTGGCTTCACGATGAGCCACGACGACGCTCTCCATGTCCTCATATGAATAGACTTTGACGCGTCAGTGGATGTCGTTGGGTAGGCATGTGGGGTCATTCATACCAGGGTGCGGCCACGCTGGCGGCGTCCTGCGGACTTTGTCTGTCTCTTTCTGTGGGAAGAACTCATCGATCCTGGATGTCCTGGAAGTGTTGGAGAATTGGCGTTGAGATGCCTGAATGTGATGGACGGCGACAAAGGTCGGCCTCAGCCCAGCACTGGAGGTACTCAAGCCATTGAGGGTCTTGAGGAACTGAGCAGAAGCCTGCTTGGAGCCCCTGGACCCGTATGTCGCTACTCTCGTGGAGATCATGGATGTAAGTATTTTGTGGCAATGATGTTGATGGTAGGTATTGTCAACGTGTCAGGGATCAAGTTGGTGTAGCAAATTGAGGCCGACAATAGATGCGACTGTAGATTTGAGTGAGGCTTAGCTGAGGCAACAATCGGTCTTTATATGATCAAGGATTTGCCGTCAACGACAAATGTTTTTAGGGTATCGAGAACGTTTCGGGATCCCGCGCGTTGCGGTACAGGGCGCAGCTTGCCAATGCAGGCGCCGCCGACGAAGGTTAGCAGGCGCATAAGCCCGAAACGGCGATTCGTAACGCATCATATTCGTCAATCGGTCTAAAAGAAATCTGGGCAGGTCTCGTGCGTCGGGGAGGCTGAAGGCGTTGGTGCATTTCACGAAAAGCCGCCGGGACGTTCCGCCAAGATCGGAGTCATGCTTTGTAACTCGCCGCGAGTCCAGACAGGCAGTGACAGGTCAACAGCAACGACGAGGCAGTCGATTGATAAACAATAATCGAAAGACATCTCTTCATAGGATAGACAGATGGAATATGCATTCTACGAGGGACCATGTAGCTTCTAGAATCAGTCAGGGATCTGTACGCAGGTGCGGGCTGAAGTTCACCTATCGCGAGCGCGCGAAAAATAATCGGACGGTGTCTCGGTGTCTCGCTCTCGCCTTGTTGCCCCCACACGATCGATCCCACGTAAAGTCGCCGAAATCTATTCTAGCTGATTGCCTATTTAGTCCTGCCGAAGGGCTTGCTGCCGACGTAATCTCTTCGAAAGGGACAGAACGAAGCTGTCTCTTGGTGACAGCGAAGAATCTGCTCTCTGCACATCTCCCAATATTACGGCGGTTCTTGCATGCATGTGCTGGACTAGACTCTTAGGCGCAGCTTCATCATTGGGGGCATTTCGAGCTGTACAACGAAATCCTTCACTACTCCAAGGGTAAGCAGGTGCATACAAAGTGGGCAAATTCCACGCTGAATACCGTGATCAATTAGATTCTACCTCCATCTGTGTAAGAAGGAGACTTTACCGGAAACGAGCAACCTTGGAAGTGACCGGTGCATGACCGTACACCTGGCTTCGACTATCCTTTCGCGATGCTTCCCATTCAAGGTGCAAGGCAGCTCGAAACACTGCGATTATCGAAGAGCATATGGAATTGATGTTATACATTGTTGATTGGTTGGTCTCAATAACTATCGTCTCCCCTCGTCAACGCTTCTCAGTATTGATAGCCTGGGGACCAGCTGCTGAACTTTTCACTGGACGTTGAAACCATTTTCGCCAGATTTGGTCGAAATGTCATTGTGCTCCACGCCACTCACGCTAGCAGCGGAGGGGCCCTTGTTGAGATGTTGGACGAACTCTTTGATTGCATCGGATGAGCCTTGAGCTTCACCTTGAACCTAGCAAGATTAGAAATGAGTACTCCGCGAGAGTAGCGGACTTTACAGTTCCGTCGGAAGCATTAGTCACGAATCCTGTTACTCCGAGGCTCTTGGCTTGCTTCGAGGTGAATGATCTGGATAGGTCATCAGTCATAGCGATGAACTAGAGAAGCAGTTGCTCGCACCGGAAGTTCACGCCTGTGGCCATCAGCAAACGGTATCATTGACCAACTGGAGCGAGTGTATAGTTACCCTGCACCTCGCCATCAACCTTGAAGGAAATCTGCTTGCCATCAGCCCCATCACCAGCTTGCTGATGGTTCGACATACTCGCTTGTCGGCCATTCTGATTGTACTTGAAAAGAAGCGTTTCATAAAACAAGCTGCTTGGGAATAATTGACTTGCTAGTGTCGTGTGCCAAACATAGTCACTGGCCGTAGAGCAGCAGAGACTAATCGCACGCAAGCTGCCGACGTCATCGTGAACGCGTTGCTCGTTGACACAGGCCAGCCCTACGAAATGACACGCTAAACTCGAGGCAGAACCCTGGCAGCTAACGGCGGGGACTACCCGCCCGAAGCTCAGGGACTCGGGGTTTCACAGCGTGGCAAAGCTTCAGGAACGGGTACGTGTTTTCTGCTGGAATGCTTCCGGCAAGTTGCTTGTCCGGCGCAGGCGTGGCAGCGGTGCGCGCAGCTGTACTGTGTAGTTTGCTGGTTTGGGTGGGGCATGCGACTGGCTGGAGCGGCGCGTTGTTGTCGCTCGCGTCTCCTTTAACTTACTGAGACGATAATTGAAACTCAATCTCCTACCGTCGCCGCCTAGCAACCGCACCCACCCTTCCACCTCATGGACTTCGGAGATGACCTGTAGCTAACTCCCCCTGCAAGAAGACACACGACAGTCCCACGACACCTGTTGCTTGCACCTGCATAACCGCCACACCGCCCGCAACCAGCCATGGAGTCAACCCCCTCCCCTCCGCCCGAGCGTGCTCTTTCGCCAGAGCCATGGATTTCGCCCTCGCTCGCACTGCATGCTGTGCCGCAGCTCGACCGCTCAGTGTCAACGGCATCTGATGTCTCGTCCGTCTCCGGCCGCTCGGCGAGTTCGAGACTTTCCGATAGTGGCATACCTGGCAGGAGGCGGGGGTACATGCGACCAGAAGGAACAGAATTCTCTCGGTCTGCAAAGAATAGAGAGAGTGTCATGAATCTGGGCACAATAGCACATTTGCAGTACTACTTCGCTCGAACCGGCCTGCTGGACGAGGCGACAGGTCGAGTTGCGAAGAAGCGTAAGAACGGCTCAAGGACAGCAAGTGGGTCGGAACGGCCGCTCTCAGACATCGAGGGCGACATGTCTGCGCTCTCACTTGGGACCGGGGATCAACTGGGAGAGGGTCTCGTAGAGTCTCCCATCGACGACAATGCATCCATGATCTGGGACGACAACGAGCCAGTCATGCTTCCGCCTACCGTGAGCACGTACAAGAGCACCCCAGTTTACGTACCTCCACCGCCCGACATGACGATCCTGCGTCGGGAACTACGCGAGTCGCTCGAGGAATGCACAAAGCACTTGCAAGAGCTTGAGAAAGGCCACAGCAACGGGACCGTGGCAGATATCTCCCTTGCAGATGGAGCCGGAGGCCGGCAGTCTGCAGAGGCGCCCGGATGGCACCAGATTCAGGGCCTAAATCTACTCGACGTGGCAACTCTCGCGATTCGCGCGGCGAAGAACTACTACACGGCGCACGAGAACCCTCAGCGACTGTACTCCATCAAATCGGAGCGGATGATACGCAAGGAACTATACGATGTGCTCGAGGTGCTGAAGCGCTTAGCTATACGTAACTTCGCCAATGGTGTGTCACCCGCCGAAGTGGTCAGCATCAAAGAGTGGGTCGAGGACATCGGCACGCTACTAGACACCGAAGAAGAAAAGGAGCACGCGGAACAAGAAGAACGGGAGAACTGGTCCTGGCGCGAGGGCGACTGGACTGGAAAAGAGAGGGAAAGAGAGCTACTATTCCTAAAATCATTCGACTCCGTTCCAGAACCGCTACCGGATTGGACAAGCCCCGAGGGCGCGGAATTGCCCACACCCTTCCTGGCTACTTTACAGAATGGACTGCGGCTCATCCATCTGCACAACAGCCTTGTCAAGAAGTCCCCTAAGCACTTCGAAGAGATCAAGCAGTACCATACAGATACCGCAAAGCCATATCGATGCGCTGATAACCTGCGCTATTGGGCCAAAGCCGCCGAGCTACGTTGGGATGTCAAGATCGAGATCGATGCCATGGGCGTGGTGCAGGGAATCGACGGCGAAGCATGGCGAAAGTTCGACGACGCGCTTATGAAATGGTGCAAGGGCGTCCGCGAGGAGATCGTCAAAGAGTGGAAGCAGCAGAAGAGCCTAGTTCGGGCGCCAACTCTCCAAATTGATACCGACTTCGAGGTCTCGTAGCCAGTTCTCACACCAATCCCGGCCAGCCATCAAACCCCTTACCCCTTCTTTGTCCATGTTTTTCAGCACCACACCTTTTACAAGAACGAGGCATCCGAGTTGACGAAATCTCTGAATAGCGGCTGGATTGGATACCGATACTACCTTTCTTCCTCAAATTGAAGCCAGCCTGCTTCTATTTTGTCTCATTGTTTCCTTCTACCAGAGCGATACCTCATCATCTGAGCTAGATACCCCATACCCCATCATGTTAACCCATACCAATTTGCATTTATAGCACATAGCTGAGGTCGTCACGAGCCCGGCGGAATAGATTTAATCTCATTGCGTGTCGCATGCCGAACATCGTTTTTCGTCGTCATACTGCACAGATCTGACCGCTCGTGTCTACCACGCGTGAAACCTACGTCGGTTCTGCTATAGGCAAGGACATCGTACTATAGTACACCTATGCAGAGATAAGCCGTGTCCACGTCAGGTACAGTGGTCCGTCATCCGAACAATGAACCGCGCATCCGTGCAGTGTCGCGTAGGAACGTTTGAGATAGAACGGGGCTGTTTCTAGAAGCCAGGGTTGGCATGTAATCTCGCGGCCAGGGGTTATCATGAGCATTGACGCACGGTGAGACGCCACAGCGACACAAGAACGAGTAGCGCGCAGAGCCGTGGTACGTCTGCTCGAATAATACTTGCAGAGGCGGGCGCTGCGGTGTACACGATAGTCTTCTCCACTACAGCTGCAGTAGCTTTGTTGACTTGTTGACAAACTTTGTGACGAAAAACAACAAGGTGGGACGCGCATCGGACGCGCCCCGGAAGCAATCAAACGGGCTGCACAACATCATCCAGTGCATCCTAATCCCGCGAACGACTGCGCCGAGCAGCCTCCTGAGTTACATCTTCTCGAGCGCAGCGCTCGTCTTCTAGCATGTCAAATGAACCCATCTGCGCTGCCGCTGGCCCAGACACCGCCGAACGCTCCTCCCTCGTCTGCCGATGAGGTGGCAGCCCGCTCCACGTCCTCACCACTTGCACGCCTATCGCCCGCACGCTCCTCCCCGTCTTCACCCAAGCGCCCCGAGTCCGCCGCTGCCCTTGAAAGCACCACAAAGCTTGCAAGAAACGTGTCGCCGGGCCTGCTGGCCCGCATGAAATTCCTGAACCAGAATCAGGCACCAGAATCTAACCGTGGCTTTTCACCCGCGCAAATAGGCCGCATCTCGGAAAGCAAGATCCGCTCGCTCGACAACTTCCACAGAGACCGCCGCAGCTTTCAGATTGAGCGCAGGGGCACAGCCTGGAGCGGCACTAGCAGCCAGGTTGGCACGCCGCTCATACCGCAGTTGACGGGCGAGTCGGTGCCGGCGCTGGCAATGGACGCCAGCCCGCCCTCGAGCTTCGAAAGCAACCGCAGCAGCTTCGTGAGCACCAGCGACAGGGTCTTGCCCTCTGATTCGGAAGCGGGCGATCTGAACGAGGACCACCAGAAATACCGCCTCCCCGACATCACCAAAACAAAAAGCCTCTCGCGGGCCGTCACCGAAACGGAGGCCAGCAGCGACACGGAGCTGGGCCGACCACCCACGCCGCCGCCTAAAGATACACCACCCGCCGTCGAGCCCTCGGTCCTCGACAGTGAAAATGGCATCGATGTCGACGCCTACTTTCACCAGCGCCACTTCTCGCGCGCCAATTCCATCTACACCCTCTCCCGCGCAAGCTTCACCAATCAGATCCAACAGTTGACCTCCATCAAACTGCCGCCGCCCGAATCGCTCACCTCAGAGATCCGCGCGCTTCCTTCCTCAACGGCCGCCGGTCGGGCGTTACACAGCGCCGCGAATAGCATAAAACAATGGATGGCCAAGGCAGCAGAGGTCCTTAGCGGACTTGATGCCGAGGACGACGTGGAATGGGCTGCTGCTGCTGGACGTGAAGGCTTGGAAGAGGTGGACGCTGCCATTGGCAAGTTCGAGGGTCTGGTCAATGTTTACATTACTGCCATCGAGGACCTCCAAGGCAGAGACGACATTGCTACCTTACCGGGCCGAGATCTCACTACACTAGTGGTTCAGATGGAGGAGGTGGTTAGCAACTGGTCCAAAATCAAGAAGACACTCAAAGGCATCAAATCGCAAGTGGAGATGGCGATGGAGTGGGAAGAGCTCTGGAACACCGTATTGGGAGAGATTGGCATGGAGATTGAGAACCTCAGCCGCCTGGTATTCGAAATGGAAGAACGCCGACACCGTGCAATCAGTGACTCAGTCGCCGAATCTGCCGAAACTTTCAATATTGCGGATCTCGAAACGATCGTTGAAGAGACTCCTCGTCAGCAAGCGCGTGAACAGGCGCGGCTGCAAAGCAATCGGTTTAGCATGCCGATACTGCCTACGCTCTCGATCATGTCCCCCGTGTCACCCATTCCGCAGATTGAGCAGGAAAACTCCCGACTCCTCGCACTATTTGCGAAGCTGCAGCCCTTGCGCGCCTCCCTCGACTTCCTGCCCATGCGACTACAGCACTTTCACATGCGCGCGGGTAACTTGTTCCCTTCTGCATGTGACGAGCTTACTAGGCGGAAGGAACAGCTCGAGAAATTGGAGAAGAAGCTGGAAGCTGATGCTGATGCCTTGAGGGAAGAGCTTGGCGAAGACAAATGGGTGCACAGTTTTCGACAGGCTGGCAGCAAAGCGATTGCAATGTACGATTCGCTGATGAAGAGTATACAGAGACTCCGACAGGTCATCGAAGAGGGTGACGACGAGAAGCTCGGCTCTCGCATGTCGACATACAAGGACAAGCGCGAGCACTACCCACCTTCGATGAAGCGGGTATTGGAGCTGATCGACATTGAGATGAAACACCGGTCAACCGTCAACGGCGAGATCTTACGCATTCAGCAAGATGTCAGGCAGAAGGTCTCTGACTTGCAGGTCCAAATGAAGGAGATGGACATGGTCCTCGAAGAAGTGACGGCCTCACGGAAGCTGCGCGATTCGGTGTCTACAGTTTTATCGGGTCGAACTGAAGCATCACTGACAGGCTCTGCTTTAGATACGCCCAACAGCTCACCTGCCTCGAGCGTCATTATGAGCCGGAAAAGTAGTGAATACGGCCGCATAACTCCAGTCGGAAAGAGTTCACGTCAGCCAAGCACATCCAGCACGAAGCCTTCTCTGTCAGCGAGTCGTCGCTTGTCTAGCCTACCGATGGCCACGAGCAGCACTGGACGCAAGGCAATCTCGTCCTCTCGATTGGAAGCACTGGCTACCCCCAGTCATCCTCCGCGATCCATGTCTAGTACTCCAACACGGCAGCTACATTCAGCAACCCCATCATCTGAAAAACCAAGATGGAACTGTAGCGTCAACATGCGTGATACTGTAGTCGGACACAACTTCAAACCGTTATCTCTGACGACCCCTTCACCTCATCGGAAGGATCCTACTACCCCTCTTAGGACTTTAAGGAGTGTGTCTAGTCACTCTGCCATTCCTGTTCGTAGCCCGCTCAGCCAGGCGTCTGCGCTCTCGCCTTCTTCCTTGCGTCCTGCATCCACCACGCCCGCACAACTGTCTATTAATCGGCGTCCTTTGGCCAGCCCTATGCAGTCTCCCTCAACACCGGCCCGTGGCAAGTCTGCCCTACAGACTACGCCCACTTCGTCGTTGTCGTCGTACCGCACGCCAACCTCGGGTCGCAGAGTGACAATCGCAGAGGAGGAGAGTGACAGCACGGCCACTGAAGAGAGTCCCATGGCTCGTCGCGCCTCGCGCCCGGCAAGTGCCATGACAAGCCGCCGCACCAGCATGTTGCCCACGCCCAAACAGCGCACCACTAGCGGCACAAATATCCCGGTGGTTACAACTTCGGGGACACGCACTCACAGCAGGTTAGGCAGCACTGAGGACGGTCGCAGAAGCAAGCTCGGGCTCGACGCAGGGCGCAAGAGCTCTCTCGGCACAGCCAGTGGCCGCAAGTCTAGCTTGGACGGCCGCAAATCGAGCTTGGACGAGCGCCCACGATGGAGGTAGATTCTCACTTCTCACGCCTAGTCCGGATTCCACGGACGGATCGGTCACACTTTCACTTCCACTCATATGGCTCTAGTAGCCCTGGCATCTTTTTCGCTTTTCAGCAGTATGAGGTTAATACCGACCGATTCGTCAGTTTGCGTTCAGATTGTATGAGCATTTCAGTGTTTCTCGGTCAGATTTTGCAGAAACTGTTAGCAGATTGGCGTTGTTCTTTTTCAGGGAGATAGTATGCTATACCCAGGAGTTCTATATGGATCGTTTGCGTTCCTTATTTGAGTGAGGGCGTCGCCGCACACGGTGGGGCTTGTGGGGTGGAAAGGGTATTGCCTCAAGAGATTGGTGTGGACAGGCGACTAGGTTGCGCAAGAAGAGGTGGGAGGTCAAGCCCGAGCGATGTAGCTACATAGCTTTGCTGTCAATATAACATATATTGGCCTGGGCAGGTGCCATCCGCGTGCGAATTCGCCATGTCAACCCTACTACGATGCATTGTCCGGCAGGCGCAGCTAGTGAGTAACGACGCGATGCATTTTACCGGAGACAATATTGCAGAGACACCAGAAAGTATAAATATATACTTGAGAATTACAGCCCATGTCGGAGGAGGCCTGTAGTCATTGTCGCGTGGAGCTCTTTCCCTATTCACATCGTTCTTTCCCTTCAGGACCGCCTCGTGGCGTCACGTATTGGAACCAGTGACCTCTTCGTCACGCATTCTCTCACTCTCATCTTCACCTTTACCTTAGTATTTCACCCCTCGGTGGTCCTGGGGCCCGCGCGTCTTAAAAGCTCTCGCTCCTCGTCGCCTCTCGCTCGTTTACCCTTTGTTTCAACCCCCTCTACTATTCCCTTAACCGCAATTCCCTCCCGTCATGCTTGTATCGGCCCTCTTCTACGGGCTGCTGCAGCAGCTCTTAGTTGCGTCCGTTGTCAGTGCCGAAGGGTTGATCGAGGTCGCTGATTTTGGTGAACTGGGTAATGACTATAACTGCCCTGGGTGGGTTTTGCTACGACCTGTACCCACGCTATCTTACTGAAAACTCTAGTGGGAACGTTTACTTTGTTGCTCACCCAGTCGATGCGCTCTTATACCACAATCCCGACCTCTACCATGACGTCCATACCTTCAAGTGTACCACAGTGGTCGTTTTCACCGCCGGCGATCGTGGGGTGAAAGACACCAGCTTCACCGATTCGCTCGAGCGGGGGCTGGAGACATCCTACAACTTCATGGCAGGCGCACCGGTCAATCAAACTGGCTGGGACGGCGTGAAGGTTGCCTGCGGCGACGCTCTCATCACGCTTCGCTATCCAAAGGACGCAAAGGGTCTCTTGCTCATTTGTAAGCGCGAATGAGTGGGCTCGTGTGATCTGTACTTACAACGAATAGACTTGCGTTTCCCGGACGGCGCTTCAGGCGGACAAGGCTATAAAGAGACGGGCCAGGTGTCTCTCAAGAAGCTGTATCAGAATCAGATCCAGAGTATGTCATCCATTGACGGCGAGATAACTTACAACCTCGACGGACTGAAGCATTTGATCTCCATCATTCTTCAGTGGAAGAGCCCAAAGTTCATCCGCACCCTCGACGACCTGACTCCGATCGCGAAAGACGGCGAATATACTGCGGAGCATGCAGACCATTCTGTGTCTGCGCGAATCGTACACGACGTGATCAAGGAATACAAGATCCCTGGAAACGTGACAAGGCAAGTTCCTCGCTCTTCACTCGAAGGGAAGGTTTAACTAACCCATCTCTAGCTACGGTGGAAACCTTATTCGCAACTTCGGCTCAACACTGGAGAAGCTTTCCGACGACTTCTCCTTCAAAGTAGGCGCTTATCTTGAGTATGCCAAGTACGATAAAGGCATGGTGAGTTGCTCTGCCATCGTTGGGTGTTGCGAGGTGCTAATACAAGCTCAGTGCAAGCTTTACAAGGAATGCTTCAAGAACTCAGGTCTCATGCCTAAAGAGACCCCGGACGACGTCAAGTACACAGTCGAGTACCTTGATCGGGAGTATTACATTACTTAGGTACATCCTTTATCAGCGCATGAGACGTCTCGGTTCCCAACCACTTCGTTCCATGACGCTATTTCTGGGACTATATTCGCCCTGTTTTCTTTGGAGAGCATGTCGTCTATGTATGGTATATGACTTACATTCGGCTGGGTGCTACATATACTGGCAAACTAGGGTCAGGATTCTGCGTTGAAGACGGAATATCAGATAGACTTTTTAGTAATGCAATTTACTCTCGAAAGCAGAGCGAAGAAGTCCACAATTGAAGTTCCAAGTATTGCTCAAAGGGAAACACCTGAGCCTAGGCTCAAGATCTGGGGTGGAATGACGCACGTGCTCCCGTGGTCAGACAAAGCGCGCTAATGCTTGGGCTTCACCACAACAACAACGTCCGCCCGCAACGATCCCTTTCGCTTTGCGCCGCTTTGGCTCTTCGCAGCACTGTACTTCCCAATCATGGAGTGATATCGGTCATCGAAAAATCTGAATGTTTGAAACCCACCGATCCCATCACTCCGACAATCACAGACAGATAAACAATGGCCTCACGAAAACCAAACCAACCAAGCTTCGACTTTTTCTCTGGCGCGGCGATTGATAATTCCCCACAACGACCGCGCGAACCATTGCGCGAAACATTCAGGACCACACTGCGAACCTCACAGAGCGCCGCGCCGCACACGGTTATTGCATCGGATACGGTCAACGAAGACCTCCGCACGCAGATCAATACCCTTCGTTATGAGCTGGAGACAGCGAAACAAGATCAAGAGAAGTTGAAGCTGGAACACAATGCGGAGCTACGCGATGCGCAGAACCGCGCGGAGGGAGAGTTCAGAAAGGCGCAACAGGCCGAAGCGACGGGCTCTTTAGCAACAAAGAAATATGAGGTGTTGCAGCGGGAGATGTCAGAGGTGCAGGCGCGGGCTGAAAACGAGAGGCAGGATCTACAAAAGCGGCTGCAGGCTTCGCAGGCGAAGGCCTCGCAACTGCAAGAGGATGCTGATGAGGCGAAGGAGGAGCTAGCGTCAACACAGAGACAAAGCGAGCACCAGTACAATACGCTGCAGAGGGAGTGCAAAACATTGAAGGAGGCGGTGGAAGACTTCAAGGAAAAGGCGGACGAGAAGGCTCACGCGCTGCAGGTTGTGCAGAGGAAGCTGTCTGAGAAAGAGACAGAGGTGGGAGATCTGGAGGCAGAGGTGCTGCGCTTGAAGGCGATCACTGGGGACGCGGAGACCATTGCCGTCATCAAGAAGGAACTTTCTGAGCAGGTGGCGCACATCAAGAAGCTGGAGAATTTGACGCGTGAACAGAACACGGAGCTTAAGCAGTACCGGAAACAGCAGAAAGCGATTCAGGTTATCGAGGAGGAGAAGAGGACGCTGGAAGTCAAATTACGTCTAGCAGCAGACTTACAAAGTCAGCTGAACGAGGCAAAGGTCCGTAATGAGGCACTCGAAGCCGAGAGGAGTTCTTGGACATCGTATCTGGAGAATGAAGCAGAAACTGATGCGCAATTCGAAACGCCTGAAGACCTTGCGCGTGCCTATATCCGCGAGCGCTTTGAGAAGACCGATTACATGAACCGCCTTGGAGAGATCAAGCCCGAACTCAACGTCAAGGAAACCACCATACAGGCGCTTGAGGATGAGAAAGCCAAACTCCAAGCCGAAATTGCACGACTCAAGACGGCCACGCCCGCCCCCAGTGCCGACGAAGTCAAAGCCCGCGCAAGACTAGAGCGCCAAAAGAACCTCGCAACGAAAGAGGTCGACTTTCTCCGCGCCCAAATCAAAGCCTTCGATGACGAAGAGCGCGAAATGCACCCCGAAAACTTCGACGCCGCGAAAACCGACCGTATCAAAGAACTCGAAGACCTCGTCGACCAATACCGCGCCGAAATTTCCACCCTTCAAGCCGACCTCGCCACTCCCTCCCAACCCGTCACCATAGCAGCAGGCCAAAAGCGACCCCTGGATGACGACTCCGCCGATGAGCGCGTCGGCGAATTGCGCCGCAAAAACCGCCAGCTCCAAGACGACAACGCCGCGCTGACCAAGCGCGCCAAGCTCCTAGAATCCGAGTACAAAGCGCAACACTCGCAGCTCAAGAAGCTCAAGGAGTCCTCGCGCGTGCGTGTCCTAGAGCTGAAAGCCAACCCCACCGCCGACGCCGAAGCCCTCAAGCTCTCCACCGTGCGCACCCTCCGCGAGGCAAACGAACAGCTGCTGGCCCAACTCCAGGGGACTGCGCCGCCTTCTACAGTCCCCCTCGCACAGCTTACTGCCGCGCAGGATATGCTAAACGAGAAAGACAGCACCATCGCGTCCCTCACCAAGAAGGAAAAACGCCTCAAGCAAATCTGGTCAGCTAAAGCCCTCGAGTTCCGCGAAGCAGTCGCCTCCATCCTAGGATGGAAACTAGACTTCATGCCCAACGGACGTGTCAAAGTAACGAGCATGTTCCGCCTCTCTGAGGACAGCTCCAGCGGGGAAGGAGAAGAGAACAGCATAGTGTTTGACGGGGAGAAGGGCACGATGAAGGTCAGTGGGGGCGAGAGGAGCGCTTTCGCGGGGGAGATCAGGGATAGTATCGTGTACTGGGTGGAGGGGAGGAAGGAGATCCCGTGTTTTCTTGCGGCGCTTACGATGGAGTTTTGGGAGAAGAAGTTTGGGGATAGTACGGTTAGGATTTGAGGGGGAGGGATGCATGGGTAGGTGTTAACGGGAGTTCTGGGCGGGTGTCGGCTGGTGCTTGGAGGGCTTGTGGTTCGGGAGGCTGTTTTGCTGTGCTATTTGTTATATTTTTGCTTTGGGTCGATACCAACGTCGATGAATTCGAGGCTACATCTTATCTTTCCGTCGTTTACCAGGGGCGAACTAGAGATGTTCTGATCCACGTCACTAGATGGCACAACAATCCACTATCCACTCATTCAGTATGGGTATCGCAGATATTTCTCATGATTCGATGCGATCACGAAGAATACCTGATTGTAAGCCATTACTTGAACAGCCCTGAATATACAGCGTCCGTAAGAGCTAGCTCGGTAATGAACCTTATCAGACGCCTTTTCGACCCGTTCGCCAAACGCCGCGCCAAATGATGCAACTTTCTCGTACTACTGCTCTCTCGTGTCTTCTTCTCTTTCTTCTTCTCTTAGCAAGTATCGAACTACAAGACCTCATATAGCCCAGCGGTAACTCGCATATCTTCCTGCCGTCTCCGACTTCCTGATGATCTTGACAACCTGCCCTCTCCTCAGCCCGTAGTACTTGGCCACCGGATCCGTCACTTGGATACGCGGCAGCTGTGTCTCCTTCAGACGGTACCGCTTGAGCAACTGCTGCTTCTCCTCTGCGCTGAGCAGCAAGTGCGTAGGAACCAGCTCGTGCTTTGTGATGTTGATCTTGAGATCTTGCTCCAGGAAGACCTCGACGCCGCCATTGGGTCCGTTGCCCAATTGAGCCGCGCCACGAAGGGCGCGCATGGCCATTCCGGACAAAGGCTTGACGACGATCATGATGCCCGAGTAGTAGGAGCCCGTGGTGAGGTGGGTGATGAAGTCGCGCAGGTGCTTCATGCCGAAGGCTTCGTCGCCGTTGAACTCGACCCAGAGGGTGCCGATCTGGGCTTCTGGGGCAGGAGTCTTGGCCGTTGCGGGCGGCGTGTATTTGCGGACCATGTCCTCGGAGGGGATGGCGGAGAAGTTCATCTGGCCGCGACTGCGAGGTCGTTAGTTAGGCTTCTTCCTCCATCGCGCTTAAAGATGGAGGTGTGCAGACGCACTTTATCATGCCGCTCTCGGTGCCGAATTTGCGCGAGAAGTCGTCAAACTTGATGTCGCATTCTTCCGGAAGGACGTTGTAGCCCTACACGCGGCGGTCAGCGCTGCAACGCGAATGCGCCTCGAAGGCACCAACCCTGTCTCTGCACATCTCCTTCGTTGTGCGGTAGATGCGCCACATGTCGAGCAGCTCCTGCCTTGCTTTGGGGTCGCTTTCTGCCATGGTGACTGCGCGGGGTGTGTGGGTGTCGTGGAGCGTGGATGGACGAGGAGGCGCGAGACAAGGTAAAGAATGGCTGCACGTATAAAGAAAATCGTCAAGTCGCGAAGAAGCAGCTCGGAGCCTTGGCGTGCAGATTCGCGCCTTCCTTTTTACGGTGCTAGTGCTTGTGCCCCGCGGTCCGCCCCGCCAAAGCTCCGTTGCGTACTCTCATGCGACAGCGAACGTCATGTCTTCCAACAACCAGATACCGAACCTCAAGTCTCTCCTGGGCAGGGGTCGCGGAGGCGGTCTGAGAAGCCGAGCAAGAGGCGGACTTGGAGCTCCAAGTGAGAGCAGTGAAGCTAGACGCGACAATGCGGTGCGCGGGACTGATCAAGACGCGGCGGGGAGCAGGGTGAGCTGCGTGGAGCTTGGGTACCTCGATGATCCATATGCGAAGCCCTTTGCAACCCAGCCTTCTACCAGACGATTACCTCTTTTGAATAGAGGTACACTTATCCTCTCCCCTCCCAGAAGAACCTCCTAATCCCAACTCAGGAACCTACGTCCGCACCTCCGCAATGGACCACCTCATCGACCTCTTCATCACCACCCCCACGTCCTCTAACAAACAAATCGTCTCTCTCGGCGCTGGCACCGATACGCGCTTCTTTCGCCTACGAGACAAGTACCCCGACGAGCACATAGTCTACCACGAGCTCGACTTCCCCACCAACACCGCCGCAAAACTCTCCTCCATCCAGCGCTCCCCCGAACTCCAAGACGCCCTTGGCGCCTCCCACTTCGCCATGCTCTCGCACGGAACTTCGTACCACAGCACCCGGTACAACCTCCACGCGCTGGACCTGCGCTCCCTCGCGATCGCCACCCCTGAAACCCTCCCAGAATTACCCAACCTCAACCCAAACAGACCGACACTCATCCTTTCGGAAATGTGTCTGGTCTACCTCCAACCCTCCGTCGTTGAGAGTATCATGCACACCTTCCTCACACACTATCTCCGCCCTAGCACTCCCGCCTCCATTGTACTCTATGAGCCTATCCTCCCACACGACGCTTTCGGCCGCACCATGATATCCAATCTCTCCACCCGCAATATCGCACTGCCCACCCTTCTCTCCTATCCTGAACTAGGCGACCAGCGTGCACGGCTGAAGCAGTACGGTTTCGTAGACGGTGCTAGGGCGGCGGATACGGAGTTCATATGGCGGGAGTGGGTGAGCGAGAAAGAGAAAGAGAGGGTCGCGGGGCTAGAGATGTTAGATGAGATGGAAGAATTGCACCTGTTGTTGAGGCACTATTGTGTGTGTTGGGGATGGAGGGATGGACATAGCGACGCGGGCGATGACGAGGTCTTTTCGAAGGCGTGGAGTGAGGTTAGGGAGATGGGATAGGAGGAGGAAGACATGGAGAGGAGATAGTGTCAAAACGAGTGGAAGAACGTATCATTGACGACGCAGCACCCGCTGCAGAGATGTCTCCCAGCGCTCAAAGTAACTAACACATGTACTGCAAAGTAAAAAATGGCTATACAAGCAAAGCTGAAGCGAACATTCATGTACAATTCAAGCCGTATCCGGACCTATGCTTTCCCCTGAATATATCCGAGAGGTCGTAATGCATTAATTCGCCTGGTCCCGAGCGCCGTACAAAGCATACGCAAAGGTATCGAAGAGTCCAACTTCACCCAAAACCGTGAGTCGTGCACGTGAAAATCTTTAGAGGGTGTGTCCACGCCCGTTGTCCTGCTCGGGCGGATGCCACCGCTGTGTCGTATTCGTCCTCACACTCGATGGCCTGCTCTTCTCCTCTTGCCCCTTTAAATCCGGCAACGGCGGTGTCATCACAGCCGGTTCCTCCACAATCCTAGAGCGTTCCATCGCGGCACTGACCCCGTCGACGTCCGCCTCTGTTAGAGCCGCCTTCACTATCTTCTTCGCCTCCACCTGTAGATTGGGAATTTCCTTGTCCTCCTCACTCTTACTCAGATAACTCTCGAGCAAACTCTTCAACGTCTGCGCCCTCACCGGCTTGGCTAGATAATTGTTCATCCCACTCTCAAGACACTTCTCCCGATCGCCCTGGATAGCCGATGCCGTCATAGCTATGATGAGTATATTCCTTATGCTGGGATCTTTATGTTTCCGAATCAACTTCGTCGCCTCATACCCATCACAATGCGGCATCTGTACGTCCATCAAGATCAAATGGAACGGCCTCCCTGAGTCCGAAGCTCTCTCGAGCGCATTGATAGTCTTGAAGCCGTCGAGGTACGCGTCGCATTTAAACCCGAGTTTCTGGACAAACGAAATCGCGATGCGCTGGTTGATGAGGTTGTCTTCTGCGATGCAGATCCGCAGGTCGGACCGCGGGATCGTGGTCAGATCGATTGTTTCGCTGGACTGCTCGTGGCCGTTATTTTCTTGCGAGGAGAATTTCGCCATCGGGTCGGTGTCGCGCGTGGAGTGGTGCTGGGTTTGGCCAGCGATTTTGCGGACCTGGTGGGGTCAGTAGAGGCACGACTGGCTAGAAGGATGGAAGAAGAAAGACTTACTTTCTGGAAACGGAGGGAGAAGGAGACGGTTGTGCCGACGCCGGGCGTCGACTCGAGCCATACACGGCCTTGCATGACGTTCTCGATGAGCGCTTTGCAGATGCTCAACCCGAGACCCGTGCCGCCGTAGCTGCGGGAACTTGAGGATTCGATCTGGCTGAACGGGAGAAAGAGTTTCTTTTTCTGCTCGTCGGGAATACCTATTCCGGTGTCGATGACGCTACATGTAACGTCTATCCATTCGTCGCTCTCTCTGTCGACTACCGCACGCACCGTCACTGAGCCCCTATGGGTGAACTTGTAGGAGTTAGAAAGCAGGTTCATCAGGATCTGGTGAAGGCGAACAGGGTCGCCCATGACTAGCAGTTCGGGATTGAGCTCGAGCTGTTCGACAGTTTTCAAGCCGCGCTCAGCATTGGTATATGCTAAGGCTCGGACAACCTCGGTGATGGTTTCGTTGAGTGAAAGGGGCATGGAGATGACGTTCATCTTGCCAGCCTCCAGTTTCGAATAGTCAAGCAGGTCGTTGATGATGCTAAGTAGGGTATCGGCGCACACTCTGATGCTGTCGGCGTAGCCAGTCTGTTCAGAGTTCAATGGGCTGGCCTTCAACAGCTCGCTCATACCGATGACGCCGTTCAAAGGGGTCCGCAATTCGTGGGATACATTTGCCAGGAACAGTGACTTTGCTCTGGCGGCTTCCTCCTTCAGCCTCATGTTCCTGACTGCGATCGCCTCGGCCTCTTTAGCCTTGTTCTCTGCTGCTCTGGCTTGAGCAAGTGACCTCTTCTGCATCTCGAGCATAGCCTCGTTACTCGCGCTGACCTTCTCAACTTTCTTGAAGAGGAGGGCGTTCGCAAGCGAGATAGAAATCTGGTTGACCAGCAGGCGCAGGACATTCGTGTTCCGCTCGGTAAAGGAATCTGGCGGGCCTTCCACGTAGATCGAACCCATAAGATGATCTGAATGAATGATCGGTATACAGATGACGGCTTTACCATCCGGATTTCTCTTCAAATACGCTTCACTAACATTCGAGAACCGGTCATCCTCAAGAAGGTTCTGGCAGAACACAATCTCACGGAACCTGAGCGTGTACAGCGTAACTTGCCTCGCCATAACATCTTCAATCGCATCGAGAGGCTGACCGTTCGGGAACGAGGTCACGGCGCAAGACCCATCGTCGCTCGATTCGTCGGTTGCAACCGTAGCGACAGACCATTCGATCTGGGCGTCTTCCACGATGATGCCGCATAGCGAGGCTCCAGTCGATTCTAGGATTATCTCCGCCATTTTTGCCATGAGCTTGTCGATGTTGAGTTCGCTTGATAAAACCTGACTGGACTCAAGAATGGATGACAAGTCAAGCATGTCGAGGCCGTTGACGGAGAAGCCGTTTTGGAAGTCGTGCTCGGTGTTTTGGCGCTTGGCAGAGTTTGGCGCAAGCCAGTCCTGCGTCCTGTCCACGGCAGTTTCGGTACCTAGAAAACGCTCGTGATCCTCGTTCTGTTCGAGCCTGAAAGAGGTGTTGCCGGTGTCTATGATCGTGGTCTGCACGGCGACGTCCATTGTGTTTAGTGACGCCGTGCCACGCAGTAGCCATTCGTACTTTGTGGTGAGCTGATTGGCTTTCCCAAACGCAGAGGTTCTATAGCTAGTTAGTGGCTTGGCTTATAGTGGTGTGATCTATTCCAGCATCCACTGATACGTGGGCAGAATATATGGTTCTTACCTGCGATATATGGATACACAATCCTTCAGGATGTGGCGAGCTGGTCGGAGAGCCTTCTTCCTCAAAAGCCAAGAAGCGTACAGTTCGAACGCGTGAGCCTCGTCTAGCGCAAAGCCATGAATTTCACTGTGGTCCATCGCAAGCTCATAATTGACCAGTGCCTCAGGCGAATTGGTGATGTCGGCAATGCCTGCAGCAAGCAGTGCGATCCAGTGCCTGTAGTTGACGTCTGTGACCATGCAACATGCCTACGATCGCGAGCACGGTTAGTTAAATCACATAAAGCTTGGATGGATGTGTAGACTACACAATCTCCGAACCACTAAGAAAAAGAGTTTCTCGTGCGTTTACGTACCTCAAGCCTTTTGATGGTCTGTGTGACGTAACCCAACCACCGCTCTTTGTCAGGATGCTCAGGTTCTTCTGTAAGCACAGCTAGGTATGCTAGTGATAAGTAGTACATGACTGAAAAAGTCATTCTCTGGCACCACAGGCTATCGACCATTGGCAGTAGCATCTCTCCAAGCGCGATCGCTTCGCGGTTGAAACCGTAGAGGACCATTATGGGTAATTTTGCGCTCAAATAAATTGTCTTGGGACGTTTCGGATTGCTCGCACGCTTTTCGAGATACTGAACGTATGCGGCAGAGTCATGTTCGGGGTCGGTAAAGATTAATGAAGCGTCATAAGTGCCAGTTTTGCCTTGAAGAGCTCGAGCGGCTTGCCGAGATGATACTGAAGGGAGACAGTCAGCATATTAATCCAAGTAGCAGGAATTGGTAAAGGAATGGGGGCTGCGTGACTCTAGGATACACAATGTTCGTTCGACGTGTGAACGCATTGGTCCCTGTTTCTCCAGGTCACACAATACAGTGGCTGTAATATCGTGCCCATACTGAGAAGATACATACCAAGGAAAACCCCGCCGCGGAGATCTTGCTGCCAATTATTGAATTCTAACGGTGCATCTTCGATCCAAGCCTCGATCTCCGCGGCATCGTGTGATGCCATCAATCGGAAGTGAGCTACGACCCCAAGATTCAGCAAGGATAATATTCTGTCGCCGGCGAAGATAGATGCCTAAGGCGTGGGTACAAAGTCAGTATGAGTCAAGACGGGGTGGACGGATACCTCGTGCATGTCTCAGCCAAGCGAGAAAGGAAGCTCTTTTCCTGCCAGAATAACACATGCACTTTGTAGGCGGTGGTGTACGTACATCCATCGCATGCCTTAGATCTGGGATGAGGTCGGATATCGGCGCCTCAAGGTGACCCAGGAACAGCGTATGCAGTGTCTGGCCACGACCTAACGTGTAGTGATCGTCGGAGTACATGTCGAACAAGCGTCTTGCGATCGTGCCACATTCGACTGCGAACTCAATCATATTGAACCTCCCTCCCGCAATGGACCCCATGTGCACGTACCCCATAGCTACTTGTGACACGGTACCACGTTTTAGATGCAGGGAAACCAGCTTCAGGGAACTCTGGTAGAACAGAAGGCTGTTGGACCAGAACGCCGCGCTTAACAGCTCGACCACAACGGGACCTAAAGTCATCAATTGGCGGTCGTCCGTGGTTGGGGGCCGCGATAACAGCTCTTCTTTGTCGGTTGACTGAAGTAGAGCGCAGAGCTCTTGAAACTCTTGATCACACCTGGAAACACATTGTCAGCTGATACACATACTTCATCATCTAGATTACGTACTCTTCCCATGTAGTAGGGGGTATGGGCGATCCAAGCAAAGATAGACAGTCCTTCAGAGCTTGGAAAGCGCCGAAACTGTCCCCACGTATTGCGTGGACGCGGGACTGCAAGATGAACGATGAAGCCATATCGCAAGGGTCGCGAGCGTGCGTGAAGGTTTTTCTGATAAGAGAAAGTGCTTCGTCAAACATGCCTTGATGCCAATAACACTCGCCTGCGCGAACAAACAATTGCAGCGCCTCCTGATACGAGACGTCTGGCAAGTCTTCGTTCCAGGGGTCATCCTGCAACAGGGACAGGCAATGCACATAGTAGTACGTCGCTGTAGACCTCGCGCCTGACTCGACGGCCTTCTCTGCAGCTTGATATAGAACGTCGCGATATGGAGCCCGGGTGGACTCACGGGTCTTAACGAGCGAAGAGGCAAGGCAGATGTGCCTGCTTCGGATATAAAGCCCTTTAGGACCCGTCAATGCAACGTTGTGGTATTCCCCCTCTCGTTGTCATGAACTTCGCGATCATGTAGTGCATCATCGTGATGTCCCATTCTTGGTCCAGAGAGTTAGTAGCAGCCGTGAGATAGCGATCGTGACTGAACCGGAACCTGTCCTCATCATCGGCGGGCATGAGAACGAATGCGCTAACAGCGCCGTTCAGAGCAGTGATTGCGCAGTCCTTTGTTCGCAATAAGGGAATGCGTGTGGTGTCAGCGTCTGGCGGCGCATTCAAGGGATCCATCAGGTTCCGTATAAGATCGAATGTGAAGGAGCCTGTTAGTATAGATGCCCATGCCACGAGCTTTCGTGAGTTGGCTGGCAAGTCTCGTAGCCTCTTCTCGATGAAATCACTGTTGACAGACGAGCCATACTCGTTGCTCTCGAAAGCATCGAAAACTTTGTCCAGATCGAAGCACCAAGCCCCTTCCTTCCAACAATAGAAGACACATTGCTTGCGGTAGCAGGTGTCCAGTATCTCTCTGATGTAGAAAATGTTTCCTCGAGACTTCTCCTGTATGACTGCGACCTACGGAATGATTAGCAGTGGTAAAGTATGCGATTCCAATCCAGCATTACTCACCAGAGGAAGAATGTATTCTGTATCACGGTGCAAGGTCTCTGACACGTACTCAGCTGTATCAGCCTCCGTGAAGGGATAAAGCTGGATCCTGGTAGCTGTAGGCAAAAGCGTACGCAACTCCTTCGGAACAAGTTCTTCGCTTTGGTACGTAAGAATAAGGACTAGAGGGATCCTTGCTTGTGCGATGTGGTGTATTAATTCGGCACTCTCGGCATCAGCGTTTTGAACGTCCTCGAGCGTCCAAATACAGAGCTTTTGCAAAGCCAAGAGTCGCAGCACATCTATGAAGACGTTCATGAACCGTGTTGATTTCGACGCACCGCCGCTTCGCAGCCACGCATCGGCGGTGTGACCTGCGCTACCGCAGTGTATCGCTGGCGACGATGCTCTTCCATTGTCGTCTTTAGCTATCCGTACATCGTGTTGCTGTGGCGCAGGCTGAGCGCTACCAGTCGACAAAAGCCATTCACTAAACGGATGGTCAGTCATTGTAGCAACGTGGGCAAGCAGCTGAATCGTCCGCTCCTCCATAATGCGTAGCCAGGGGTGACCCGGTGACATTGATAGTGCCGCTTTTCTCCTACGACGCTTGCACCTGGTTCAACTTACGGTAGGTCAAGGTAACTATGCAAGATCTGCCACACGCCTGAGTTCTTCAGATGACTGCGCAGATTGGCATGAAACTCGGTACCAACATCAGCCTCGCTGAAGATCTGTCGGAACAAGCTAGACATCAACTTCAAAATTGGTTCAAAAGGAGCCTTCTTGGACGCGTCAAATTTTGCTGTGGAGAAGTAGGACGGGATGTTCTTGCTGCGTGCAGTCGATTGAATGCTTTGAACGAGCTTAGACTTGCCCAAGCCAGCTTCACCTCCAATGGCAATGATCTCACATCGCGCTCGTCGTCTTACTTTTGAGCTGCGTGCAGTCGATATTGTACGTATCAGAGATCCGCTCTCGGACTGATTCGATCGCGATATTGAAAGTGAGCCTTCTATGCTAGTGCTCGAAGGACCTCGGCTTGGCTGTATGTGCGGGCGAGACACCGAGTGTTCGTCTACCCCCGAGCTTTCTGATTGGGTCATACTGTCCTGTGAGAAGTGATGGATATTACGAGCAGCATCCATGAAGACGGGTCCAGTCGCTCCTGTGGCACTATTCAATCGGCTATCGGAGCCTCTCGAGCTAGTGCTATCTGACATGATATCGTCTAGCTGATTTGACTCTATACGAGGGTCCGAGAACGACGAGCTGGAACTCAAGCTGTTAAGAGGGTTGCCAAACATCGGTGACAACCGTCGCCGCTTCGACACACGTTCGATTATATCGACAATGATGTTCCTCTCCTTGTCTCGGCCGATTTGCTTGAGAGGTAGGTTGAAGAAACAGGAAACGTCCTTGAGTCCTATCTGGAACCCCTGAAGGCCTTCAGAATCGCCTTCAGACAGTAGCTCACGGATTCTTAGGAGGTCGTGTTTCAGGCCGCTAGTACTATGGTAACGCTCCTCAATATTCTTTTGAGTCATGCGCTGTATGACCGAGGACAGGATATCAGGGATGTCCATTCGCTTGGAGGAGACGGGCGGTATGCGTTTACTAAGCACATTTTGCATAACCTCGAGCGGCGTGGTGCCATCGAAGGGTGTCTCCCCACAAAGCATGCTGTAGAACAAGATACCGAGACTGTAAATGTCCGTTCGACTATCGGGTTCAGCCGGCATACGTCCGGTCTGCTCTGGCGCGACAAAAGCAAGCTTCGATTTGATTCCCAGCTCTTTGCTCAGTACATTCCATCCAGCAGATGTAAGACCATTCTCAAAGGACCGCGCTCCACCGCCGAAATTAATCATTTTGACAGTTCCATTCTCGCTAAAATGAAAAGCGTCGCCCCGTAGCTCTCCGTGTACGAGTTGGTGGCCATGATGGAGGATTTCGAGACACTCCGTAGCTCCGACAGCAAAGTCCAGGAATAAAAGCAGCGGGATGCCGCCCTTGTACTCGAAGTGCTGAATCTTCCAGCTATTGTCCTCTTGGCGTGCGAGCCTGTATGCGTTGGGACCAAATTTGACCACCTCCCTAAGATAGTTCGGTCCCGGAGCGTCGCATATGAAAGCGATCAGCGGCTCGCTGTTTCCAGATTTTGGTGGAAGCCTCACAAGCTCGATTGGGCGTACAAAGTGGCGCGCCTTTGGGTCTGACTTTTTATTTATAATCTTGCAGACCTGGTACTCACGCTCTATCCGTAGAGTGTGTGTAGAAACGCGACAGACAACGGATTGGTCTTTTGGCACGTCGGTAGAATGCGAGAAGCTGGTGAGTTCGCTGGCATCGCTGCCTGATGATTTATGGTTTCGGCTGAGGGGCGGTCGAGCAGCATCGGGAGAATGCGAGGACGAAAGAGAGTTGCCGGCGCTGCGGCCGCGGGATACAGGTCGTTCGGTGGGGTTTTTGCGCTTTCCAAAGAAATGCCAATTGTCGTAGGACTATACAAATCAGCTATTAGTTCTATTCAAACATGGTTATCTACGCATCGCAGCTTTGAGTTACACCAGGATACCAAATATACCAAACGGAATATTTGTAACCTGGCTAGCTCCAAACGCATGTGCATGTAACTGCAGGGCGAACGCACCGAATGAAAGGGCGCTATGTCGGTATGCCAGGTGTAGTTCGGGAGCTCCTGTAGGCGCGAGAGAATCTGGGTGAAGAGAGCGCTGCGGTCCGCATCCACATCATCTTCTTTGGCGGTCATGGTGCCTGGGTATGCTCGAGGACCTGGATCACGACATGTTCGGGGTGGGGGTCGGCGCCGCGGGAAGGTGCTTGCAGCAGTCGAGGCGGGCGTCTTGCAGCACAGCGGGTGCGGCAGGGACACGGGGGAGGAGGGAGTCACAGGAGGAAGATGTCCAGAAAGAGAGGAGAACAACTGGCGGCGAACTCGAAGCCAGTCTCTGGAGCTCGACGGCGCGCGAATGACATGCGCCTAGGGTCAGTGCTCCTCGCTGACTGATGGCATTTCAGCCACCAGCTATGCTCCGGGATGCGCAACTAAACACTCGCCCATCTTTGTCTCCACTCGGCACTAGGCCGTTTGGGCGTAGCGGTGGATCGGCCACTCGCCTTGCTGGCGCCGACGGGACGACATCACGCCTCGTTTGAGCCACAGAGAGCCGCACTGTGCGAGCACGCGGTGCGAGTGCAGCCTAGAACACTTTCGTGCATGTCTCTCGTAAACGTCAGAAACGGACGTTCGACCTCGCATTCCTCCCTCTGATCCAGGCCCTTCGCCGCCCCGCAGAAGCCCGGCAGCCACGCACGCACATCCCGTTCCCTCGCTCCGTCCCTCGACCCTCTGCCTACCGCATCTTCACCGGGCATCATACATGGTAGCGAACCACCGCGACACTGCCCAACCTAACGGGTACCTTCGCACCTAGCTCCCCTGCACCCAGATGCTGCACCATGGACTTCGACCAAGAGCACGCCTACTCGGGCGACGACCCCCAACCTAAGCCCCGCCAGCTGCCCGCCGCCCTGCCTGCCGACCTGCCCACGTCGCTGGATGATAGAAGAGCACCGCACATGCCCCCTGAGGAAATGGAGATTTACGATGCCTGGCAGGGTGAGTGACCTCACAACCCCAACCACAACTTCGGCTGATGGTGCAACAGGGCAGTCGCAGTTTCTCACCACCCCTACGCCCGCCCAGCCCTTGACCTTCAACCTCTCCCTCGATGATCCGAGCTTCGGCGACGAGGACATGCAGCAGCTGGAAGACAGCGACAGTCGCTTGGTACAGATGCTCGCCCATCAGGCTCGCCTGAAAAACGACAATAGCGGGGACGAGGCAAAGGTGGTCGCCGATGATAAGCTTTCCTATGAGGAAAAGCAGCAGGCATTGCAGGGCTTGTTTACTCTGGCAGCATCCAATGGCGAGCTGCAGAGAGTGAAGCGGCTCCTGGACGGCAAGGCTCGCGAGTACATCGACATGGACGGGGTGGACGCTGAGGGCACGCCCCCGCTCGTCTACGCAAGCTGTTTTGGTCACGAAGACATCGCCGAGACACTGCTCAAAGAAGGAGCCAAGGTGGATGTGCAGGATAAGAACCTTTGGACTCCGCTGATCTGGGCCATGACCAACAGACACAAGGGCATCGTCAAGCTCCTGCTCGAGAATGGCGCTTCTCCTGACCACAAATCATCTGGTGGTAGGACCGCGTTCGACTTCGTAGAGCCCAACAGCGAGATCTCGGACTATCTGCACGATGCCGGTTACAGCATTGGGAACGCTGGGGTAACTGACGACTTTTATAGCTCGGGGTTTTCGCAAGACCGCTTCGAGCAGGAAATGCAAGAAAATGACCTGAAACGACGAATGATGATGGAAAGTGCTTTCAACTTGGAGGTTGATCTTGGGAACCTGGGTCTAGACGAACAGCCAGAGGTCAGTAAACCCCATGAGACCTTTGATCCTAAGAAATTAACATACTGTGACAGTCACCCGAAGAACTGGAAGAAGAGGGCCAAGAATTCGTCTGGGACCGATGCCTCAACGATCAGATGTTTGTCTTTCAAGAAAATGAACTCGATCGCATACTGGACATCATAATCACCAACATGACGCCTCAACGGTCTCCGTCACAGAAGCCGATTCCAGCGAACATCTTGTTCCTCAGCGCTCGATATGCACACTACCATTCCGGCACAGAGCTGCTAGAGATCTTGCTCTCCGCGGCTATGGAAAAGATCAATGATATCGTCGAGAAGCACCAATGGGATATGACGGTACTTGCATTCTGGATATCGAATGCAACGTTGTTACTCCATTACCTTAAGAAGGATACAGGGCTTGTCGCGGCCACTGCCGAGTTTCAGCTGCAATTGGCCGAGCTCATCAACGAGATATTCATTCTCATCATAAGAGATGCAGAGCGGAGAATGGACAAGGTCCTGGACCAGGCCATGCTTGACCATGAACCGATGCCGGGCTTTGAGGATATCCAATTCCAGAACGAATGGAAGATCTTCAAGACCAGACAAAAAGCGAAGCCCGTGGAACCCTTCGAAAAACGCTTTCGTCCTCCGTCTCCCAAGCAGAGGATGAAGCCCTCCGCTAGAAATATTACCTCGCTTCTCTCGTCGACTCTTTTCGTATTAGATCTCTACGATATTCATTCAGTCATCACAGCACAGATTCTTTCACAACTCATCTATTGGCTCTCCGCAGAGCTTTTCAATCGCATCATGTCAAATCGCAAGTACCTGGCCCGCACCAAGGCGATGCAGATCCGCATGAATGTTTCCACAATCGAAGAATGGGTTCGCTCAAACAATCGACAGCCCGAACATTACGAAAATGGCTCAATGACATCGACAGGAGAGACAAGTGCCGAGTCCGCAAAGCGTCATCTCGAGCCACTCGTCCAGTTGCTCCAATGGCTACAATGTTTCTCCTCTATTGGCGACGATCTAGAGGATCTTAAGAGCACGATAGACCAATTGACTCGACTGTCACCCCAGCAGTTGCTCCACGCTGCAAAGTACTATCGAGCCGAAGTGGGTGAGAAGGGTATAACTAAGAGTGCGCGCAATTATATCAACGGACTCCAAAAGGCTGCTGCAGAACGGAGGGCCGCTCGCGGGAGATCTCCCAATCCTCCACCCAGGGCACCGGTCTCAACTCCTTCAACGCCCGTCAAACCAATTTCGCAGCCCAATCTATCGCATTCGCCAGCACCCTCCAGATTGTCCGAAGACGATCAAGAGCGGGACGCCCCCGATGAGCTGCTGTTCGACCCGTCTTACATGCTACCTTTCCATCTGCCCACTTCGACCGACATGCTTATCACATTTGGAGCAGGGTTTGGTGGTATGAACAAAGAGCGCGAAAGGAAATACATACCTACTGTGCCGCCGGAGTTCTTGTCCAAGCTTGATTTGAGCGGCGGCAATAAGAATGGGTCGAGCTTGTATGATGAGACAAAATGGGAGAATCAGGGTTACCGGTGAAAGCGAAAAGCTACGATCCATGTCACCAACGGCCCTGCTGACAGCGGATACCCAGGGTGATGATGTACACGGCACAAGAGCACCACCTACGCCGAGTCCGTCGCTGCCTGGGCGAGCGACCCCCTGCAAGCTCAAAAAGACATCGTTCAGTACGTTCTGTGGTATTGCGAGTCTGACTACGGCGAGTGCTTTCGGGATGCGCCATGCGTTCGACAGCCACGGGTTTCCCTAGAGATCACTCATGGCTTGCTCGAGTTATCGCGCTGGTGAGAAGCGTGTTTGGACAGAATGACTTTGCATTGTGAAGAGTGAGGGGACAGATCAACATAGCGCGGCGCCTGGTTTGTTTCTCATGTAACTCTCCCCATTTTGAAAAGCTGCATTAAATGATGGCACGAGGGTTTCTGTACGGCTCCAACATGTTGCATACCTAGATTTCCATTCATCGTTCCCCCCAAAAACTGACTCAATCTCTGCCGGGCTGCCCATTTTGTTCGTTATGCTCCGATGTTCGCGTCCAATTTTACGTTTCTCTTACTCGATACTATCCCTTCACTATCATGTGCCCCTCAGCGGTTGGCTGGAGGGCGGCGCTTTCCGCCCCGACTGCCCCACCTAACCCTGACTACCCCGCCGTTTGCCTGTCGCACGCCTATCAACGGAACGAAAGCTCCCCCTGGTGCACGACAACAACTTTTTTTGAACCCTGAACAGCTCCCCTTTCTTATACAATTTACTTACTCTGTGAGACATCACTTTACTCTTCAGCTTCACAGTCTCTACTTACCATGGAAATCCACACCGTTGGGCTGGATGAAGTCAAAGACGCCGCTACCGCTGGCGCACGCAGCATTCCCGCCGAAGAAATCGACTCGACATTCAAGTCGAAATACATAGGCATGCCAATCCCTCTTCCTAGCTCTGCTACTGCACTAACAATGATGCACAGATCTCATATCTGCACCCCTCGGCTCCAAAATCCTTTCCTTCAGCGACGAATGGTTCGCCGCCGCTGAGAACCTCATCACGCCCACACCCCCAATTCGCAAACCCGGCGTCTTTACCTACGCGGGCGCCTGGTACGACGGCTGGGAGACACGGCGGCACAATGTCGAGCCCGCCGACTGGGTGGTGATTAGAGTAGGCGTAGCCAGCGGACGCGTCGCCGGCGTAGAAATCGATACGGCGTTCTTCAACGGGAACCACGCGCCTGAGATCGCTATCGAGGGGTGCTTCATCACCGATGGAGCGGACGAGGAGAAAGTCAAGAGTCCCGACTTCAAGGGGTGGGAAACGATACTGGCGAAGCAGGAGTGCGGGCCTAGCCAAAGGCATGGATGGCTGCTGGACAAGATCACAGAAAAGGCGTACACGCATGTACGACTGCTCATGTATCCTGACGGCGGCATCGCGCGGTTCCGCCTGTACGGCGTTGCGGTGCCCGTGTTCCCTGCGGCCGTGGACGCTGTCTTCGAACTCAGCGCCACTGTCATGGGCGGCGTCGCGGTGTCTTGCTCAGACCAGCACTTTGGTACCAAAGACAACCTGCTTCTTCCTGGCCGCGGCAAGGACATGGGCGATGGGTGGGAAACGAAGCGCACACGGGGCGAGCACGTCGACTGGACGATTGTGAAGCTCGGTGCGAAGGGCGAAATCGACCATGTTGTCATTGATACCGCGCACTTCAGGGGCAACTTCCCGCAGAAAGTGCAGGTCTTTGCGGGACAGTTCGACGAAGGGAAGGACCCGAGGCACGACGATGGCGCATGGGTGGAGGTACTGGAGCCGCAGAGGAGCGGGCCTGATAAGGAGCATGAGTACAAGGCGGAGCTGAAGGATGTCAAGGGAAGGGCATACACGCACGCGAAGCTGGTCATTATTCCAGATGGTGGTGTCAAGAGGTTTAGGGTGTTTGGAAAGAAAGTATAGAGCGTTGGTAAAACCACAATTAAATTTACCCCGAACGACGGTGTCAAAAAGAAGCTAGTCGATCGTGATATTTCCCCTCGAGTAAGCTACACCAGAATGTATGTCTAGTATCATCGTTGGCGAGACACTGCATTGCAAGACAACACTTCGTAACAAACTTCTGGAGCAAAATAACTACCGTGCATCGCGTACAGTCGCAACTCCATGCGCAATCGCTTTTACACAATATACCACGATAAAATATCCACCTCCCATCCAAACATATCCGGGATAACACCACATGCCCTACTCCTATTATGTCGAGCCCTTTCTCTACAAGTCCCATCACAAAGCGCCCCCTTGTCTGATACCAATACCACCTGCTGATGCTACCCTGGCCCTTCCCCCCTCGCATATCACTAATCATCAACCGCGCACTCCTCGGCGCACGACGCAGTAATCGACGCATTTCAGTTATTTCCTGTTTAAGTATGTCTTTACTGCGGATAGGTCGGTCTGTAAAGGATTAGGCTGATAAGGCGAGGGAGCCGAGGTGTCTGGGGTCGGGGCACAGGGGAGTAATCGTGATTACTCATGCGCTTGTGTGGGAGGGTCAACGGAAGAAGCCGAATGCTTCTACATTGATGACGATGCTGTGGAGGGAGTATAGGAGATGTATACGATGTTTGACTGATTAGTTAGTGGTTAGCTGGGGGAGTGTATGGTGTGGCGTTGAGGCAGCATCAGCGGCGGGAGCCGGATACAGCTACGTTGATGATGATGCTGTCCGAAAGTGTGTGTGGTGGAGATGTATACTACTACTACGATGTCTCGCTGATTAGTTACTGTTTTAGCTGGAGGATTGTATGGTGTGGCGTTGAGGAGTTCCGTCGAGAGTGTAGGTGGTGCAAGCGAGGCTTTTGGTGATTACTTGGCGGTATAGCCATTGAGTGCAACTATGTGCGATGGTGATGATGGACTGAACCGAGTTTTGTTGCTGATGGCGACTTTGCTTTGAGTTCAACGGTGCGCGGATGGTATAAAGAGATGGGAAGGTGGTGGTATTAATCACCAGCAAAGAAGGAAAGCGCACACCAAAGCATCACACATATCTATCTGAAAAAAGACAAGACGGATCAACAATGGCTACACCTTTCCCTTCCATCCGCGACCTTGCGCAGAAAAACGCGTACGTTGTCCTCCCGTATCTACGGGTCTGAAGCCATCCATGCGCTAAGCTAATACGTTAATACAGAGGTGCTACATCGGACTTCAAACCCAAACTCACACTCCAAAACCTCATGGCCCGCGAAGCTGTCGTGGTAATCTCCTGCGTTGACCCGCGTGCCGATCCTAAGGACTTCTGGGGCATCCAACCCGGCATGCCGCCAGGGATAGTTAGAAATGCTGGTGGAAGGGCAGTCGACGCGCTCAGGACGTTGGAAGTGCTGAGTGCGTTGGGGAAGGGGCTAAGTGCGGTGGCAGTGGTACATCATACGGTGAGTTTTCTGTGTTTAAGTAGGGGGCGAGTGTGGCTAGACTGGACAGAGCTAACGTTATCTGTAGGAGTGCGGTGTTGGACCGCACGGGATCGATGATATGTATATCCGGGAGACGCTTCCAGGGCGGATGAAGGGGAGTGAGCAGGAATTGGTTGATAAGGAGTGGTACCCTTTCAAGCAGTGAGTTCACTACCTGGCGATAGGACCGGGTGTTTGAGACGAGACTAACAAAATGCAGTCAGACTGAGGAGGAGAGCGTGAAGGAAGATATGAGGCTTATCATGGAGGACAAACTGCTCCCGAAGGATGTGCAGGTGTTGGGTTTTGTGCTGGATGTTGAGACGAACAAGACCACGGAGGTGCTTTTGTGAGCATCGTTGGAGAAGGTTACACGAGAGCCGTGGGTTATAATTGGAGTAGAACGCTGTTGTAATGGAAGTCTTTTTCTAGATGCTGGTGATTTGTTGAAGGCCGAAGAGATTATTTACCATAAATTGGCTCCAGATGAACACTCTAAAATCCTTCCCCCATATTCTGTTCCACAACCTTGAGATGACAGGCTCGAGCAACCCATCTTTCGCAGCATTTACCATGTTCCTAGTTGCATTCACAGCCCCGGGTTGTCGAGTAGCTCTCTGTAGCCTTCTCGTATGAGGGCTTTAGCCGCCAATGGACTCTCTTCGAAATTCCTCATTCCTCACGAAGGAAATTTTGATATTGATTGGGCGGTCCAACGCTCTAAGCCAAGTTCTAGGGATCGAGATAGCTGGAGTCGAGCTTGGAAGGTAATAGGAGTATCGGCCAGCTAGTCTTGCTCGAGCCTAGTGCGCGCCGGGTCCTCCAACCCCTACTTGAAATACGCTGCGTAACATCAACATCAAACCATGAAGGCCCTGATCCCAGGCATTCGAGCTTCCGGTGTTCTCCGCATTTTCACTAACCATAATCGTAACAAAGTTGCGCTTACATTCCCTCAAAAAGGCTTCAGCACGGCTTTCGCGAGTGAGTGGACCGGCTCATCGGGACGTCTCTACCAGTTCAAGGAGCTACTCCAAGAAAAAACATATCTTGGGCGGGTGTGGGTAGCAACGTTTGTGCACTTACAAATATCCTACCAGGAACCTCCACTAAAGCGTAGCAGATCCGGAAAAGAGAAATTTGTGTTAAAAGACATTCCTGAAGCAATCTTCTCTAATTTCAACGACTTGATTCGGCCCCGCCTTAAGAATAGTCATTACCTACGCCTCCCATGTGACAGCATTCCAAAACAGCCTATATTTGTGTACAAGTATTTGATCGATGACCTTTTAAGCTTCATACGCAAAAGTGTTTCGGTGAACACTCGTAGACGAATCCTTAAAGCGGCTTTATACGGTATTGCCGAGTTACACAGCCGAGACGTCGTACATCTAGGCAAGTTGTCTTCAACATGACGCGCAGATCCAAGCTGAGAGTGTTGTCCAGACGTGAAACCCGACAACATCATGGTCGACTTCCATCAAGATCAAGAGGGCCAAGACGTAAGAACCGAACGCGTCCAAATCATAGACATCGAGAACGCCGCCTACCTCCCGAAAGGGAGATGCATCAAAGGGATGCTCCCCGGAAACGAAAACTGGCGCAGCCCAGAAGGTCATCTCAAGGGTGAACTGAATAAACCGACCGACATGTTCTCCTTCGGAACTGTGGTAACTATTTCCCATTTTTGTACATGCGAAGACCGGCGTTAATAAAAGCATCAGTGCATCTATGCCATGCTTGGTCGTGTTATCTTCGGTCCTGACGCCGACTTCCAAAAGCACGTGGTGGCAGGCGCACTCCCGGAGATGGTCCGCCTCCAGCGCCAAATATCTTACTTTCCGGATCGGGAGAGTTTCAATGGGCTCATTACGCATGTAGGAGATAATGAGCTCAATTGCCAAATCCTTGGCATGCTTTGGGATGACCGGGTCGCGGATTATCATTCCTACGAGCCGTTCTATAGCTGGAAAGATGTCGAAGATTGTTCGTTTCGGGAAGTCGTCGTAGGAATGATGCAGCTAGATCCTGCGAGGCGTATTTCAGCTGAGCAGGCTTTGGACCACGCTTGGTTTAAAGAGGTCGAGATAGATGAACGTTAGGTTCGGGGTCTCGTACTTGGCGAGACGAAGTGGAGCGTTGGAAAACCACCTACTACGGTACATATCTTACAGCTAATAGAATCATTACTAAGGAATGCCCCTATTATACCCCTACGATGGACCCACTGACTTCACGTCTCCTTCCAACCATAGTGACTTGTGAACTCAACACGCACCACCACCGCCCCCTCCATCACCTCCTCCTCCTCCTCCGCCGCCATCACCTCCACCCCCACCGTCCCCTCCCCATCACCAGCTAATACCTCCCCGATCACCTCCCCAAACGTACCCACCGCCTCATACTTCTTCCCTTCTTCCCCTTCTGCTTCTTCTTCTTCTTGCTATTTACAACCGTATACGGCCTCCCATTATACCCGATGTACGTCTCATGCTGCCCATGCGTCGCCTGATAGCCCTGCGGAGGACGCGCCGCGTAGGTTTGGTAGGAATTATAGTACTGTGGTTGAGATGTAGGGTGATAATGTTGTTGAGGCGGGTATCCAGACTGTGACATTTGCGGGCGGTGAGAGTTGTAGTATGGCGAGGGGGTCTGTGAGGGGATATATGGTCGAGGACCCGGGGCATGGGAGGGGGGTTTTGAGGAGGTGCAGCCCATTTTAGGTGGTATTTCGGTATTACGGTACTGCCTTCAAGACAAGGTGGGAGATTGAAAGGAGTGAGAGTTGTACAAGGCAGAGCGATATGGATGTCTTGGAAAGAGATTTGAGGGATGAGTTCCACTCTGAAGTAGGAAACGTGAAGCCATGCCTATATATCTATATGTATGCTATAATTGTCGAATTGCACACTCTAAAGACCAGACCCACGTCATTGCGCCTTTTAGCACTTACCACAAAAGCGGAAAGCTCGCTCTTGCTTGGATGGGGCTGAGAATGTTAGTGTCCGTGCGTCAGAATTACTACCTCTTACGGTAATAAGCAAGCCGGCGTGGCCGGCTATGTAGGTAGCGGAGGGGGCTGAAAGTCCATCTCAAAGCAAACCAGATTTGCAGTCTTTTAAACTTCTTTGGGAAATAGTAGCGTTATGGTCCGAACTGCTTACTAACTATATACTACGCGCATTGTATCCAGCTTCCTCCACATATGCTTCCCTTCAAGGGTAGTGAATTGCTCGCTTTCAGATTGTACACTTCAGTGGACGCAAAGTCACTGTGGAATGAATTCGCCCCAACTCAGTAATCGCATTCATGTGTCACTACCACGCTACGATGGGACACCCAGCCTTCCCTGAACACTCCTCTTTCCATCGTCGCTCCTCTCATCCTCACTCCCCACCCCCTTCTCCTCAACCATAACCCCACTACCAGGTCTTCCATCCTCGCTACTTCCTCCCCTCACAGAGCCTGGCCTATTCCCCTCGCTCCTCGCACTCCTCGCCGGACTCAAACTCCTCAGACTCCTCATGCTCCTCCTCTTGATCTTACTCGCAGCCGTAGGCAGCCCATCCGCGATACTCACCGGTGTAATAGATTCCATGAGCTCGCCGAGCGTCGGAGTATCCTGCACCCTCTTCGTAGCTCGAAGGTAGACATCAAGATCGCTTGCCGCAGCCGTGCACGGCATAACCGGCAGCGTCGCCAACCATCTCCTCGCAAGGTAGTTTTTCGTCCGTGACCAGGTGCCGAGTTCGTGCTCTGCAGGGTCGTCGGGGCGGGTGGCAAGAACCGTACGCTCGCTGTTAAACCAGTGCGTTACAAAGCGCCACTTTACGCCTGCCCACCAACCTACTGGGACGACGCCGTGGCGGGGTCCGCGCCGTGTCCACAGCGTAGGATGTTTGGAGGAGAGCTCGTAGTAGAGGCGTTCGTAGACGCCGCGGCGGAGGGTTTCTTGATGCTGCGAGGAGAGCGTGTGCTTCATCATGTACCACAGCGCTATTACAACCGTAAAAAGCGCGACGACGGCTATCAGGAAATACTTAATCGACGGGTTTTCGGAAAAGGTGTCGACGTTCATACCGAAGAAACCAGTTGTGAAGGTGAGCGGGAGGAAGACGAAGGTAATCCATGAGAGGCGCCACATGCTCAGCCCGAGCTGCAGCGAGTGTCTCGCATCGCGTATACCGACGCTCTTGTACATGAGGTCGGAGAGATTGTCTGTGGGCTTGACGACGCCTTCTTGGAAGAGCGTCGTTAGCTTTTCCATCTCCTCGGCAGAGGACTCCAGCCAGGGTCCATCTTCTGAAGGGTCCGAGTTGTCGAGCTCGTGGAGGTAGGTTCGCATCTCTTTGATTAGATCGATGTGCAGATACATCAGGCGCTCCACCTTGAGCCATAGACTAGCGTTGATCCAAAGCTCGGGCGCTCTCGTCTCGTCCGCTGGGTTCTCGTAGATCTTGTCTTCCAGAATCCCGGTGTGGACTTCGCAAAGGTTACTGTATTTCTCCCAATTCTGCGACAATGCCCTAAATATGTCACGGAGTATGAAGTCCATACATTTCGTCACCATCAATCCATCATCCTCGGTGTCGGTTTTCGGCATGTAGAATGTTAGCCTTCGCCATTTCATCTCTATCTCCTGTCGCGCCCCGACTAGGGTATCTTCCACGGATCCGGTCTGCGAATGCTCGAACAGGATGATCGTGTTTCCGTTGTCCAACGTCTTCAGCTTGGGTATGTAGTCGTCTGCATGGTACTGTCTTTTGAGGTTTTCATGGTACTGGTACTCATCGTCGTCGTACGGATTGCTGATGTCCGGATCAACATCCCCCCCAGGCTCATCGTAGCTGTATTGCACATATACACTCAAGCGCTGCACATGCACGTCGTACGTATGTGTGGGTAGGTCATACTCATCATAATGGTTCAACGCCATCATCTTGGTCGACCTCACAGAATCTGAATCCGCAACTTGGTTCGCCTGCCACGATCAGTGAATTGCACGCCGAACACACCCCCTTCACATGACTTACAGAATAATGCCTCAAATAATCGCACCCAAAGCTCGTCCGACTAATTCCTCTCCACGGATCCCTCTGCGCCCGAAACGTCTTCCCATTCAGCACCGGCTTGTTCGCCCTACGCTGGGGCCTCTCATATCTCGCCCATCGCCCAAAGCTCGTACCCACCAAGTCATCGCTCGCATCAATATTGAACTTCCTCAGTAGAAATCTCGTCGCCCAACTCGCATTCTGCACATGAATGACTCTCAGCGCCGCTTGCCCGGACAGCTCCTCGTTCTGGTAGAACTTCCTGAGTCCTTCGACATTGTTAAATTCCTGGGCTACAATTTTGCGCCGGCCTTGGGACGTGTGGGACTTGTCGACGTAGTCGATGAGCAGCACGCGGCCGTTCTGCCAGCTGTCTTTTGTCCATTTCTCGTGCCATTCGATGTTTGGGCTGCGCTGGCGGCGGTGGCCGCGTTCCCAGGTGCTGTTGCGGCGGTCACGGCGCGTGGTGAAGGAGTCGCGGTTTTGGGGTATGGGTCGCTCGTACGATGTTTGCGATCGTGCTTGTTCTGAGAGGAGGTCAGCGATGTGCCTGGGACATTGTGCTGGGTAATCCCAGAGGGGTGGGGCAAAGGTCGGAAATGTCTGGTAGAAAAGCGGCCACTTACTCTCCATAAGTGGCTCCGCGTTCGAAGCCGTATCCTCTACCAGGATAGGCGGTGGATCAGATTGAATTCTTTTGTGCGAAGACATCTCTGTTTGTACTGAGGCATCGACTGCGGCGGCGCGAGATGTCGATGCGATCAGCGCAACGCAGTGGAGCTCGCTGGCAAACAAACTGCTATGTGCTGATTGGAATCGCGACGGCGACGGCTTCGCGGGTGTAGCCGTCGCCGGTAGAACAGGCAGCTACTAAGTAGGTAAGAAGAAGGCATGGCGCTTTTACCGGTCAGGTCAGGTCAGGCCTCGTGAAGGAAAGCGCCTTTGGGGGCCTTGCATGTCGCCCCGTCTCGCATGCATAGGGCTGAGGTTGCAGATCGGTCACAAGCGCAGCCGCCCCGCGAGTCATACTATTTATAACCATATTGTTGAAGAACTGTTACAGAGTATTACATATGATATGGTACTGTATACCCTACCTAGGTTCTTTGTTGCGAGAGGCTTGGTCGTCCAATGGCGATGTGTAGTTGTGATCAGCTACTGAGCCGTTGGTGTCGTCGTGAAAGCTAGTGACCTAGGAATCTCACTGATCGTAAGAAGGCATCGCGGATTCGACACTAATATAGCGGCGCAAGGCAGTAGCTACCGTGCGATTGTTGGAGTTAGTAAGTTGTGGGGTTCGGAGACCGCCTTAAGATCACGACACTCTCCACTCAACAAGCGCGTACACCCCAAAAAACTGTAAAAAAGCGGCCTCAGCAAAGCTGACACAACGCATCAAGCACTATATTCATACGCTACTCTCCCCCTCACATAATCTCATCAGCATTCATTAACACTCCCCACAGTACCCTAGCAGGCCTGCGTAGTGTCCTGTCCGTCTTTCCCTCCTAGCGCTAGACAAAGCGCCAAAATGCTCCATCCAACTACATGAAGATATAAATGCAACACAAAAACAAGATCAAGGAAAATGGTGGCTACCAGACAGCGTGAGCGATTAATTCTAAACAGCGCATCGCAGTGCGCACGATGGATGGCCCATAAGCCGGGGAATCAGGTCCATGGGTATACATAGCAACCTAAACATATGCTAAGGAAATGTCGTCAGGTCGTGTCGGGGTGATGCCGCGCTGTAGGTGTGAACGCTCAAAGAGCAGACAAGATTATAAAACTATGATGTATGGTATGTGGTATGAGGAATGCAGGAATAGATCGAAGAACGATGGTCGCCAAATGGGGTGTGCGATCGGTTCGGTTCGGGGGTATCGATCATTCGTGCTGGCGGCTGCGCTTCGCGATCTCGTCGTCGCTGAGGGCAGCCATCCAGAGACATTTGCTAATGATGTTGGGCTCGACGTTGAATGTGTATTGGGAACTCGCTTCGAGGAGGCGCAAAAGACTTTTGACTATCGTGGCGGCCGTGTGGTGTCGTTCGAAGTTGACCAGTTTTTCTCCAGCTGCAGGGGGTGCATCGATGAATGCAGGCTTCTGCGCGTTGTAGATCAGATCTCGTGTGTATATGCCTATGTATTGATTAGTGAAGATCGTGGACTGAGGAATGTTTCTTATTACCAATGAAAGGAATGCAGCCCTCCTCAACGGTCGCTGTCTCCATCTCTACGCGCAGGTTGTGGAAATTCCGTAGGGGTTGCACGAGCGCTTCCAGTTCTCTCATGGTTTGCAGTTCAGCGGGGGGAACCAGTGACCAGGTCTTGCGCATGCGAGAGACGTCGTTAGACAGAAGAGCGATAGTGAGCTGGTACATTGTCGCGTAATTTCGCAGTCGTCGGGTATGTGAAGCAATATGAATGTACTTGACGATGCATCGAGCTCGTTCCTCGATGCTTTCCGTAAGGACGATCTCCGAGACAGCCCACTTGACAACCAGGTTGAATCGAGCAATGACGACGTCGACGCCTCTTGCCTCTTGTGTGCGCAAGTACTGCACCCAATCGGAGATCTGTGGAGAAGATTGTTTCCACCGAAGCTCGATGAGCTCCCTCCAGTCAATCTCATCTAGAGCATCCTTCTCGATGATGGTAAATTGTTGCGCAAGGGTCTCGGAGTCGTATGCGAGAATGAATGGGAAGTGCGGAGGCTCCGCCACTGGACTTTCTTGTTTGACCTCCTGTGGTTTAAAGACTGGCGACTGGCCGAGCATCTCGAAAGATTGCCCGTTGAGGCGAGAAGTCGGCGTCAAACCCGGTGTAGGAAGGCCTTTTTCGAAAACTGTGGTGTCGACTTGAGGCAGGTCGTTCAGCCGGTTGGCTGTAAGCGGGGGAGTAGGTGGATGTCGCATTGGATGTGTAGGTAGGAATTCATCTTTGTCGCCAACAGGGGTCTCGTCCTCGAAGAAACTTCGAACGCCGTGACTGTCATTTGACATAGTTCTTCTGGCTGAGCCTAGATCGCTCAGGTCCTCGTCATCGTCCAGGAGGAAAGATTCGCGAGCGACCGAAGACCTCGGCATGGTGCCATCTGCTGGGATCCTCTTCATGCTGTCCGTTTTGATGATGTGTTCGATCGACGAATTCGACGAGGCAGTAAGCTTTGCAGACTGCTCTCCGAATCGGGACACAGGGCTCATGGGCTTCAATGGAGCGGGCTTCGCTGATAGCCTCATTGTGTCCATCGTTGATGCGCGCCCTCGTGCAGGACCACCAACATCGCTCAGACCTCGATCGAGCAAAGGGATGGAAGAGTATGAATCTTCCGACTCGATTTGCGAGTTGACAGGAGGCACGCGACGATTGAATGCTTCTCCAGAAAGGCGATACATCTGTTGGCCTTCGGCTTCCGGTGCAGAGAGCGGTCGATGGAAAACATCGTCTCCCTTGACATAGCTTCTAGTCTGGGAAGAATCATATTCCGACGGTATGTAAGAAGGATTTGACGACTCTATCGGCAGTGCCGGGGACGCGAAAGCGCCTGATTCGACGTCAGGCCGAGGCGATGTGTTTGCACTCGTGTGCACCAGGTCTGGCGACTTCTTCTCGTATCTGCCTTCTAGTTTCATCAGCGCAGACTCAATTCCGCCATCGTCGTCAATATCGTCCGGCAGAGCTGCTAGCTTAGCTACTTCAGCTTCGAAGGAAGGTCTGAGGTTGGGCTGTGACGAGTGCGTGTCGACCAAAGAGAGCGGTTTCTTTCTCTTCAGCTCGCCCTCACTCTCGCTTTCGACTTCTTTCTCTGGTTCTTTGGTAAGCCCATTGAGGCGATCTGTCCTCTTCAAGATAACAGAATTGGCGATGGAATGAGTGCGGTTCGATACAGATCCCGTGGAGTGCGGACGTTGTCCTTGCTCCAGATCTTGTACATTACCAGCAGCGCGAAGATCACCACCCGGACGACGCCGTAGTTGACGAGCAGGTTTGAGCGCCTTTATAGAAGACTGACGATCGAATTGGAACGGATCGTTGTCTGACGACATCGTCTTGAACGTGGAAATGCTCTCGATGGGCTGCTGTCTTCCCAGGCCGCTAGCGTGGGACGTATGTCGGCGTAGAGACGCAGGGCGTGACATTGAAGTTTTGGTAGATCCTCGTCGTCGGAATGAATGCATCCGTTCTCTCCCCAGAGAGACCGAGCGTCTTTGAGGTATAATGGATGGTCGAATTGATGTGCGAGAGGCTCGTTGCCAGTCTTGCGGGACTTCTACTTCCCTGTGCTCGGAATGCAATTCGGTCTTTTCACCGTCTTCAAGTTTTGCGTCGATGGATGCTACTCTGGTCAAGCCAACAGGGACAGAGGTGATGAGATCATGTTCCTTATCGGAGAAGGGCAATGCCCCAGTCATCATCGGAACAGGTGGTGCGCCAGTGTCATCCATGATGACTATGGACTTGCTCCCAGTCGTGATACCGCTGTTGAGCCTAAAATCTTCGTTCTTGGTGGATGGGCTCTGGCCTCGGCTGCTGTTCGCGCGTTTCTCAAATTCAAACTCAAATCCACCGAGGGCAGGAGTAGGCATTGTGCTCCGTCGCTGCTGTTCGTTCCTCATCTGCTCTTTCACTGCTTCCTTGAAGCTTTCAGCGACCGCAGAGGCAAGTACGTCAACTCGCACTTGAGGACGAGGGCGGGTGTTCCGACGCTTTGAGACGACCCCGGACGCGACCGTCGACACGGTAGCAGGGTTGGAAGATCGCGCTGAGGGTGCCCCATGATTGAATTGGAAGGCGCTGGCCAAGTGCGGGCTTGAAGAGCCTGGCTGCTTGCCGCTCAACGCACGACGAACGCTTCCGAGAAGCTTCTTTACACCCGGACTGGCCACATATCCTCCGCGAAACTGGACATCCGGATGTACCAATTCTGCATGTGCGAGTTCCACACGTGATTTCGTATGCCTCAAATTACCATTCTTCACGTCGATATATGGTGAGCCCGGCTGGAAGAGCCCTCCGCGCACAAGACTGCCTGGGATCTTGGAGATCGTTGTTATATCGACCGTTGTAATGTCCCCGTCTGAAGTTGTGCTCTTTGGAAACGAAAGATGCGTTCTGTTGTCGCGCAGGGCGTCTGAAAAGCTACCACTACGTTTGTGGCCATGAGATGGTCTATTTGGTTGTTTTGCAGGAGAATGTTGCTGCGGGCTGGCTGTACGGCGTGATGGAGCTGCGGTTACTGGATGCGGGACAGGATATGCATACAAGGGTACATCTTTTGCCGGTTCTGGTTTGTTCAAGCCTCTCATTGGGATAGAGCAAGACAAGACTTGCATGCTGCGTTCACTCTCAGGCGATAAAGGTACCCTGACGCCGTCTTCTACTTGTGAAGGGATGTATGGAGAGCTCAAGCTATTTTGAGGCGTGTGTCGAGCTCTGTGAGCCCAGTCCATGTGTTTGCTGGCGAATTGGTCGCTCGGGTTCGATCCAATGGTTTCTGGTTTGGTCTGTGCGCTGACCTGGCGGGGAGCGGGATCTCGAGGAGGAGTGGATGGCAAGGCAGTAGTGAACGCGTTTTCGTCCACGGATGCCAGTGATCCTGGTTTCCCACCCGGCTGAAGATCTTCGTCTGCTCCGTCCTGACCAATACGATCATCACCTTCCCAATACAGGGCGCATGTTCTTCTCCAGCATTTTTTCAACTCGCCAATGATCTTGATATCCCCTCTACCTCCATCTTCACGGGCTTTAAGGTCTCTGTACAGCCCGTTCACCAGCTCACAGAAGTACACTCGTAATCGATATTTTGGCACAAAATCATCCACGAAGTAGTTGAGAATCCAATGTCGTAGAGCAACGAAGGTACGTACGCGGACGATGCGGCCGAAGTCATCCTGTCGGTTCACAGCCCATCTGAGGCGTGACAAAAGGTAAGCGACCAGTTCGCGGCTGACAAGAAACGAGCGAAACGTGAGAAAGAAGTCAGATAGCAGTTCGTAGTCGAGGAAACTGGGTGAGGTAATGTGTGCAATCAGTCGCGAAGGCGTGGCTGCGAGAATGTCTCCATTCGGAGAGAAGCGAACAACAGCATTATCGTCGGGGTTTACAGTGAGCAAATCGTAGATCTGGGGCCCAATTGGGAGCTTAGAGATGCGGGCTGAAGAGGGCTCAGACGAAGGCAGCGGAGGCCTCAGGTCCATAGTGGCGCGGAAGTTGAAGGAGTTGGGCGAATAAACGTCGGATCGTGTACGGGACGAAAGGAACGAGTGGGTCGCACGTTGTGGGGTCAAGAAGGACGATCTATAATCCTCTGTTGCCGTAGCGTTCGTGTAGACCGAACTGCGCAGGATAGCCGTTCCTCGAGCACTAAAACGCGGCGTGCCTAGCCGATATGATGGGATGGGGACCTCAAGTATGGGCGTGGTCTCGGTGTCGGCGGTCTTGGGGCGTCCGGAGCGGTCAATCACCACCTTGAAAGTACCTGGCTCGAAGCTTTGCGAGCTCACAGTGTGTTCGTCGACGGTGGAAAAGGATCGCGAGCGGGTGTGGTGTGGCGGGGGCGGAGGGGACGAGTCGAGGTACGCGGGCCGCGAGAGCTTGATATCATCGTCCGTCTTCACTTCTGTCGGCAGGGGAGGTAGGACAAAGTCGGTGCGGGTGGGTGTTCTGGCCTCGAACACACTCTTCTCCCAGCCATCGCTCGTCGGTCGTGCCTGGGAGTCGAGCGTGGCACTGTCGGGCGGTGTCTGCGGGAAGATGGGCTCTGGCAGCGGGCGGGCGCGCTGATGTGCAGGGCGTACCGAAGGCCTGGCGATGGTCAGCAGCTGAGTGTGGATCGTGGTATTAGCAATAGCAGGCGCGCAATGGTGTCGCGCATGTCATGATTCACCGAGCCATGTAGAATGCACCCTAGTCCTGCATCCTACGTGCTGGAGGGCCTTGAGACGTTATCTACCGCCGCTCGCGCCTACCCGTCTACAGGTGCCCAGCCCCCGCCTCTCGGATCCCCAACAACGAAACATGCGCTCCTACGTACCTCAGGTAGATGATGCCGTTGTTGATGTTGGCGACGGTGAACGATCGGCCGGGCGCCGTACTCGGTGTGGAGTCGGTCGTTGCGTTGCTAGTGCCGCGCGCTCTGGTGGTGCGCAGCTGTTCCCTGGAGTCCTTGACGCGGCGCAGCGAGTTGGCACGGGCGGGTGGTTGTTGAAGTCGCTGTGTTCGTCCGCCGTCCTCTGCACGGCGTTTTGCTGCTTGGACTTTTCTTGCGACGGCCAGGACGTCGCGTTGCGTGGTGGGATCCGGCGCTTGAGGACCCCATGTTCGTCCAAGAACAGGCTGCGGCAGGGCCATCCTGCCTGGCGCGGAAAAACGCTCTACAGGGCGACGACCATGAGCGCAACTATCGGCGAAGCGTGACCTGAAGAATTGCGCGGGCTGCAAGCATGGCTAATATGGGCGCAGTTGGAGAGGAGTGAGAGGTCGGATGAAGTCGAGCGAGCCCAATACTCGTCGACCAGCCAGCGGCGTCGAGCCAGCAGGAAGACGCGATTCAACAGGGCGCGGCGAGAGCCACTCGGCGGCTTGTTTGGCATCAAGGCCTTAATGGGAGCGGCCGCACCCCGGCCCTGTGCAGGCGAGCCCTCTAGCGATGATTTAGCCTTCGACTGCGTCAGTGCTCCACTGCGTTCGCAGCTGCGGGTAGCCGAATCCAGTTCGGACGCCGTTCGATCGAAGCCTGGCTACCTTGTCTCTGCAAACAGGCATCTCTGCTGTATACCGCGTGGGCGCTTTGCTGTGCGGCCCCTCTTACACCGCCCGAGGCGCGACTATGCCTGTGGCACCATGGGCTGCCCGCCACCTATGCATGTCTAAGGCATACGAGATAGGCGCGCATGTCGACAAACCTTCTGCAAGAGTAAGGACCATAGGCTCTGGGCGGGCCCCGGCCCGCCTCACAGGATGCAAACACCCGTGACCGCCACGAGCAATCAAAACGGCCATCCCTCCAGGACGACTGTGACACCTGCATCACCGGCAATAAACAATATCAAAACAAATCAAGTCACGCTCGCTTTTGTGCGCCCATTGCCGTTTGGGGCACACGCACAGGTAACCGCTGACGACGATGCGGCTCAGCACAGCAGTACCCCATGTCGTTATTGAATTGCCCTCCGCGAGAAACTGCCAGCTGCAAGAGGACTTCTCCGTGGCGCGTTCTGACCATTGTGATAGCCAAGAAACGGCAGCCCTGCTTGACTTGCCATCTCGCAGTGACTGCTCGGTGCGCAAGCAAACCTTGGAAGCACCGGTACCCGAATCATGCACCTCTGTCACAGCACAGACGGGGGGTTCCTATCACAGAAGGAACTCGCGTTTCCCATTTTCGCACGTTCGCCTCATCTTTTTGGGCGTCAACGATGTCTACCTTCCTCCTCGGTGCAAGACGTTTTGGGGGCACACTTCGCCAAAGTCTAACTTTGAGCTACTGCATGACATCGACTCAGTCCATGACACGCGGCAGGCGAGCCGCTCCCGATCGCGTCGAGAGTCCTCAGCAAGTCATTGGGTACCGTTTCAGGTGCGTCCATTGTAGTACTGATGCAATGCTATTTGATTGCAGTGTAGAGCTAGTAGGACTAACACAGCACTCTTTTCTTTTGCAGTGACCGCATCAGTCCACCCGCATGTCGGTACTCAGACTTGCATGCATATACATCCGCAGACCAGGAATTGGGTTTGTCTATACACGCGTAACACGTACACCTCAGTAGAGCGACCGGACGCGTTCCCACAGTCATCGCGTGCATCGGTCGACTCGAGATTGGCTTGGCACTGGGGCAGAATGAATCAAACTGCCTGATGTGATTGCCTATAGATTAGAAGACTTGCAATATGGCAGATATAACATAGAATAGGCATGGATAACCTATAACGCCTATCCTGCTAACCCCATCAATGCGCACAATGAGACTCTGTATCTCAGAATGCCCATGCTGAACGGACAATCACCTTCCGCAAAGAGTGATCCAAGACGCACCCCATCACTCAGCAACGCGATTCTCTACCGCAAGATTATCTCTCAAAAAGGATAAGCCCTGACCTCCTCCTCCTTCTCCAAGTCCAGCCCGTTCGCTACCTGCTCCTCATGCTTCTTGTCCAAATACTCCAGCAGCACCTCCCCATACCTTTCCTTGCCCTTGTACTTACTGACATCATCGCCCCAGCTGCGCACCGCGCTAGCCAGCCGCCCAGGCACGTACGGCTCCTCACAGATCTCCGTGATGGGAAGGAAGTACGTGCGAATGGTGAAGACAACGCCGCCGGAGCGGGGGAGGCTATGAAACGTCGCCGTAAGTGACTATGTTAATGAGGGGGATTGTTGGGGAAGGGGACAGCCTACCGTCTCAGACTCTGCCGTTCCGAACGAAACATATGATGCTCAATCGCCTTATTCTTCTCCGCAGTATACCACCCTATCCCCTCGCTATCCTCATCTCCAATACTATTACTCCACGCCAAATCATCATCCACCTGAATGAAGTAGTTATTCCTCAGCACCGGATTCTCCGGCTGCACTCTGCGGAAGAAATTCATCATGGATTTTTCAAGCTTGTCTTTGTAGCCCGGGACGTCGCCTGAGGTGTGGATTTCAGACAGGGGCATCCCGAATTTGTCGGAGAGGCGCCAGAAGCCGGCGAGGAGGATGGCGCCCGCGAGCAGGTAGTATTGTCCGTCTGACTTTTCGAACATGATGGCGAGATCGTCCTGTACGAGGCGCGCGGCGATGGCCATGGGGTCTTCTGCGAGCGGTCGCTCGATGATGTTGAAGGACTCGCCGGTCACAATGTTATCGATCCCCACGTCCGTCTTCCTATATAAACTCGGATATCTCTGCGGCAAATAATCGCACAGCTCCTCTAGCAGCTCTATCGCACCGTCGAACGCCTCTGGCGCCGTGTGGCAGCATTTGGATCCGCGCTCTGCAATGCGCCGCGCTTTGTCCGCGTGGTACCGCATGTAATGGTTGTCGAGCTCGATCCACTCGTCCCACTTCATGTTGCGCAGGCCGAGGGTGATGTTGTATTTTGGGCCGTAGCGGAAAGGGCGGTAGGGGAGGGGCTTGGTATCGGTAAGGGACCATTCGGGATAAGGGGTTGCGGGGGGTCGCTTGAAATCCATGGGTGTCCATACTACGCGGTGTTAGATGACTTGCATGAGGAGGGGGGTGGGAGGTGGTGGAGGTACTTCCTGGTTTTCTAGGCGGGGCTTTGAAAGGGCTTCGCTTCTCTAGGTCGGGTGTATTTGGTCGAGTGGCATGCTTCTTCGTTCGAAGTCGACGTACGCCGACGCTTACGGCCCAGCAGATTGTTAGGAACGCGAAGAAACCATAGAGCAGGTGTTGAGGGTCAATGTTTGCATCTTGAAGCGCCACATTCAGGCTTTGTAATTTCTTCTCAAATTTCTTGCTCTTCATAACCTCATCTACTTTTTTGTAGACCATATGACAATTACTTCGAATCCATAGGTTCGCGTCTTGGAGGTTCCGTTCCAGTCGAGGTCGGATATCGGCCATGACGTCGGAAATGGTTGTGAGAGCTGCTGGGAGCGGTACTTTCATACAACAGTGTCACATCATATGTCTTTGCGCCTTATCAGAAAGATCAAATAAAGACGCTGCAATAACGCTTCAAGAGGGTGGTGGAGGTAGAGCGGTCTATTAGTGAGTCGGAACCGCAGATATGGCTACGGCTACCCTGTTTCTATACCCTGGATGGCTAGCAATGAGCGTACAACGATACCCGATTGACAGATGGCTAGTAAATCAGCGATTACTGTTGGTCAACGGGTATCAAATGTGGGGTCCCCACAAAGGGAACAGTACCAGTTTATTAGGGATTTAGATACCCATTCGGGCCTAGTCTACGCTACGTACCCTGTTGTAACGCTTCGATTGTCCGCCGGAGCAGAACGTCGTGTTAACTTACCAGGCCCCATATGCGCGAGTTGCTAGCGAGCTTCCCGAGTTGCCAAACATTTGTTGTGTAGGGAGTTGCGCAGCTGACTGATGAGGTAATGCGTGTGGCATTGTGTTGCGGAACCGCACCACGCATATCAGGTGCTGCGATAAGGTAGCGGCGGGCCGGGCAACGGGTTTTCTATGTAGCGATGCGATAATGCAACACAATCAGTCTTTGCGACGCAGAAGACAGTATTCACCCCACGTCCGGCGAAAGCGTGCTGGTATGATTGGCCAATCCGGTACCCAGATCAGGCGGCCTATTGTTGATGTAGCACTTGCATCCAAGAACGTTTGGCAGGCGACCTTTTCCCAGGTCTTCGTATCAGCCATGTAATCAGGCTCCTTCTCTGTGGCAGAGACGCTTGGAAGACGCGAATCGACGAGGTAGTTACAGTTATCAATGTGAGTCTGTTCTGTATCAGCAGTGAAACTAGGGATCGACGAGCCCGGACAACGTCCACATGTACCTCCCGGACAGCTGGAAATCATCAAGAATACCCGCTGGCCATGTGGAAGGGGTGTTGAGCAACGTCCAAATAGTCAAGGACTCACATATTTTCCCGGGTCTTCGATGTTCTCGTCGTTCATGCCGGTCGGCATAAGGTACGCACCATCGAACGTAGCGTAGCCCGATCTATGTTCAAAAAACTCCCCAGGCAGCAGCCCAGAGAATTCGCTCTTGATGAATCTCGGTCGGGTATCTTCCGGTAGGAGATAAGACGACGGAAAGCGATACCATTCTTTGCCCAAACAGATGAAACCACGTTGTTGCGCAAAGCTTTCCTGCTGTAGCGGTTTGTACACGCTGAGTGGAGCAGAGTATGCTGTCATGGTGCCAATCGTTCGTAGTGCACCGATGTTGAATGTCGCTAGAACGAATGCGCTGACCATGAGGAGCTTCAATCGAGCAGGTATCTTGCTGAACAGACTCTTTGGATCCGTGGAGCCGAGGTTCGCGAGTATGATGTGAAGTGACGTTGCCGCATTCAATGCCAGCGCAGGATAAGCCGGATACATAAATCTTTCTTCCTTGTGTGGCTGTAGCGTAAATATCGCAAGCCATAAGTAAAAAGGTGTGAGGAAGACGATTCCGCGAATAAGCGCTTGGTGAGAGAATATCGATCTCGAAGTGAAGTGCTGGAGCAAAAGTAGAGGAAGAGCAGCCATTGCTAAGAAGAACCAGGAATTGAAGTTGAGGGCTAGATTTCTGATGTAGAAGTGCCACGGCTCAACACCGTAGATATCAGGACCTCTGCTCCCGCCACTGAAGACATTATACAGTACAATGTTCAAGGGCACAAATACGATTTTTCTGTAGAAGTACGTGTCGATGACAAGTTGAACGAGCTGGTTTTGTGATAAGCAAGCAGACTTTACATTGTAGGCTCATGGCGCTTACCAAAACACACAGAGAACGGAAGAAACCATCGAGTAGTCTTTTGATCCCTGCAACAAGCTGTCCGGTAGTGACTGCCAAGAATAGCTCTTCAAAGATGAAGGGGAAAACGAGAGCACCAGCGAAGGGCCAACCAAGTAAGCTGCCCACTGCGAACCAGAAGATACCCTGAGCTGTCCGCATACCACCGCTCCAATTCATGAACGCTGAGAAGCCAAGCATTGTCGTATACATGGCGAAGCTGGAGGGCAAATATGCTATCGAAGCGTGATACATCCCAGGGCTGAATATTATGGCCATAAGAAAGAAGATGGCGACGCGCGGATTTAAAGTCTTAGAGATGGTGGAGAACAGCTTCGTCTCGCACGAGGCGCAGAAGATACCCAGGACAATTCGAAGAAAATAGAATTGAGAGGTCTTGTTGTTTAAAAATGGCAGCAGACGTCCAATTTCTATGATGGCGGCATGCATGCCTGTATATGCCCAGCTCCGGATGGCGTATTGAGGTGAGTATTCCCATGTCTGTAGGCCATGTCCATGATTGAGGTAATGAGTGGGTTCCCAGTAATTGAAGACTTCATCGCAATCCTGGATCGGCGCGAAGATAGCAGCAATCACATTCGCCGCGAAGAAGATCGAAAATGCAACCTTCGACTTGAGCTGTGGCGGTGCTCGCTGTTCAGGGACTGGGTCTGAAGCTGCCGGAGCAGCAGAGTTTGCTATAGGTGGCATTGGGAAGGCTGTAAAGACGTGTGACAAAACATCAAAACTGTCCCACAAACGGCTGTGTGATGCTGCAGGATGCAACTTGCAGCAAATGACCGATATTGGAGAACAACCAACGCAGCGCAAGTGAATGATGCTCCTTCGTCACTTTGTTAGGGCTGAAACGCCAAGAAGGCGGCGGTGCACAGGCCAGGTCGCTCTTTCTTTAGAAAAGCAGGCGCGGCTCCCTTTCCTTCCCAGCGATCATTCATATCTGCACCTGAGACTGGTGCAAGCTGCAAATACCCGCTCTGCTACAACCAAGGAGCTGCACGCTGCAAGGAAAATCCCGTCTGCGCGCTCAGCATGGCAGACTTTGAGCCGCCCGCCAAAAAGGCGCGGCTGGACTTGGACGCACCTGGCAACGGGAGTCTTGACGACGCGCCCGGCTCGCCTGTCGATGATCTCGACGACGACTTCTACGAGACCTCAGCCGCCGACAATGCGCATTCCGCTGAGCCTATCCAGGATGCCCCTCTCAAAGGCGGCCTGGACAGTAAAGGAGACGCGCCGCCTACAGAGCCGGTTAGCGCAGCAGGTGCTCAGATCCCAGGCCTCGGCCTCTGGGGCGAGCCCTCTGTCCAGCAGCAGCCTCCCGTGCCGAATGAGGGCGGTTCGGAAGACGGCGAGGTGTCTGATGAGGAGAACTTCTACGCTGAAGTGAACCCAGACGCCGCCGTTGCTCAACAGCAGCAGGCCGTAGGCGATGCGCCCCAGCTAGAGAGTAAGCTATCGCAACCTGGCCAGCTCTCGCTCTTCTCACAATCTGTAGACGGCGCTGAAGCTTCCGCTGCTGCTGCGCTTATCGCAGACGGAGAGGTGCCCAAGAGCCTCAAGCGCAAAGCATCCTCGCCCCCTGTCGAAGCCCACGATGACGATGACGCACATCTTGTTGATGCGATCACTGCAGCTATAACAAAGGACGACACCCCGCCCGCACAGCAGGAGGATGACGGCAAAGCTGAATTTCTCGAGGCAGCGGCAGCGAACAAGGATGTCAAAGATGCAGAGTGGGAGCTTGATTCGCAAGCTTCGAGCTCAAGCTCATCCGGCTCGTCCAGTGATTCCAGCTCTGACGAAGACGGCGAAGCTTCTGATGATGGCGAGCTGCTGTCTCCAGCGGAAATGGCCAAGCGCCTACTTGAGGCCGATCCAGATGAGGACGACCCAAGCGCAAGCAAGACCGCGAAAGTGCGCACACAAAATGAGGTTGATGAGGCATACGTCAAGCCAGACATCACAATGACCGATGACACAAAGATCACGGAACTTGGCACAGTCGAGTCTGTTGTCGACAACGTAGTCGTTGTCAAGGCCAACATATCAGGGGACTATCATGTGCTAGAGGCTGGCTCTGCGCTGTGCCTGGGCAATCGAACGGTCATCGGCCAGGTTTCGGAGACTATCGGCCGCGTACAAGACCCTAGATATTCAGTTGGGTTTGCAGACCCGGCAGAAATCGCGGCCCTAGACATAACGAAGGACACGTCCATTTATTATGTTGATGAACATTCATCCTTTGTGTTCACCGAGCCTCTACGGGCTCAGAAGCACACCGACGCCTCCGGCCAATATGACGAAGAAGCCAAGATGCAAGAGTTCTCTGATGATGAGCAGGAAGCGGAACACAAGCGTAACTTGAAACAGCAGAAGAAGGCGCGAGCACAGGGCGCTGACGAAGCTCCTTTCAATCCTCCCACCGGCCCTTCCGCGTATGTCAATCCTACGTTATTGTCCCACCCTACTGACCTGAATAGCTATCGCGAACGTTCGCCACCTAATCCCTCCGCCTACACTGGTGGAGGTCTCAAGTATAGCGACGATGAAGACGAAGACTTTGGCATGTATAAGCCACTTGCTCGACCAGACCGGTTCGAAGATATAGTCGGTGCCGGTGCACCGCTTGAGGATCGCAGTCACGTTAGGCGGGGCATGATGCGAGGTGGCCGAGGAGGCTGGACGGACCGCGGACGGGGATTCCGTGGTAGAGGGGGTGGTGGCCGCGGAGACAGAGGCGGCATGGGTGGCGGTCATCCAGGCGACAGAGGTGGCCGGGGTGGAATGGGTGGCCAACGAGGTGACAGAGCCGATAGAGGAGGAATGGGTAGAGGAGGTGGCCGAGGCGACCGAGGCGATCGAGGTGGACGCTTTGGAGGATCTCCTGAAAGACCAACACGGCAAGAAGAGCATCCTCGCAGGACTCCGCTACCACCGCAGCAGGACATTCGACCTAACTTCCGAGCGCAGTTCTCACCTGCAGGATCGCCACCACGACAGGACATGGGTCCGTCTCCACGCGGAGGAAAGAAGAGAAACAAGAAGCGGAACCGTCGCGAACGAGAACGAGAGCGAAGGGAACAAGAGCGCCAGCGCGAGCAGGAGCGAGATCGCGAACGCGACCGCGACCGCGAACGTTCATCCCAGCCACCTCCCGCCGCTAATGCTACTGCCTATGCCAACAATCAGGCACAGAGCGGCGGCGGATGGAACTCAACTCCTGCCCCTGCACCAGCTAGCTCTTATGCTCAACCTCCGGCGCCGCCTCCTGCACCAACTCCCTCGAATTACTACGTCAATCCTGGCCTATTCCCTACGCAGGCTGTTGCCGCCGCCGCTCCTCCTCCGCCAGCGCAACCCCAGCCCAACTCAGCTCAAGCATGGGCTCAATGGTTACAGATCGCAGCGTATATGCAGCAAGCACAACAAGGCCAACAGCCTCAAGCAGCCCCACCGCCTCCCCCTCAACCACCGGCTCAGCCTCAAGCTTATCAGCAGTATACTCAACCACCGCAACAGCCACAGCAGCCACAAGCCCAGTATAGCTATGGATACCAGCAGTATCAGCAGCAGCCGCCGCCACAGCCGCAACCAACCCCACCGGCCGATCCACGCCTGCAGCATCACAGCCAGCAACAGCAGCAGCAGCAGCCCGCTCAGGCGACACCTTCGATTCAAGATATCCTCCGGGCCCTTGGGCAGTCGTCTGGTAGGTAAGACGGAAATGCAGGCGAGGGTTTTTGCTGCGAAACAACACAGGATGAGTAATGGCAGAGGCAGGCAAATGGGCGTTTAGCTCCGGTGTAGTTCATGGTGTTTTCTCATTCGGACTTGTGTAGGATTAGTCACGGGGCAACAGCATTTCTTACACGGTCGATGGTTACTAGGAGAGGGAATCTTGCGAAGTTCCTAGTTTATGACGTTTCCTACTATACTATGAACGTTTGGGACAACAGAGCATTTGTATTATCTACCCGGGTGGGTGGTTCGTAGCCACTGAAGGCGGACTTTTGTAACATGCTGGCTGTTTCTTTCGTTTTCCTCGGGCAATGCCAGGTTCACAGGTTCACAAGTGCATCTGCACGACCACGAGGGCATCTGCACGATATTATCACGGCGTTGTATCTTCGCATTCTCCTCGGGTGTCTCCGCTGGGCTCACAGTCGGGCATTGTTGCCGACTGAGGTTGGCGTTGCTAGATGAGCACTCCTATCTTTCCGCGTCAGCTCGTACGCATTACCTTCCTCGGTGCTATACCAGAGAAAGTGTGCCATAAGCGCCAGCCAATAATAATTCCCTACAGGCAAGGATGCCATCTAGTCAACGAAGTCATGGTGAAGTACAATGTAGGGGTCGCGGTGGAATTGGGCCGTGAACGGAGTTGTGTAACTATTGTGAACATCGACTCCTTGGAATGACGGCCCGCCTCCACGTGGCTGGCAGCCGCAAGCCGGGCGTTTGGGCCGTGTAAAGGTCCGATAGGTGCAGTATGGCAATGTTGGATTGCGAGACTGCAGGGAGGCGCTGTTACAGAGTGTGATTCACGGGACTGCGTGTGGTCGGATGCTGCTTCCGCTTGTACACAGCGACATGTTGTTAAGGTTGGTGTGCAGTACGGTTAGGCGCGACAGGCGTCCCATATGGCCACCAGAATCTACGATGCGGCCCTGTCTGAGATGCATTGGGTATCCTCATCGTAGTGGGTGCAGATCATGGACTTGTGGGGAAAGGGATGGATGGGCTTCGAGTGTGGAGGCGTGTGGCATCCAACAGCGCTCCTAGACGTGCAGCGTGCGAGGATATGCAGGCCGGAGACACCACGGCGCGCGGTAGCTCGACGCAAGTGGACTAGCAGGTATGAAAACACACAGCCAGACACGACGGGTTCGCTGTTGGCGACTGCGTTGTGAAATGTTTGGCTCCGATGCAGTGGCACCATCTGATAATGTGCTGGACAAGTGCGCAAGAGCTCGTGCTCGCGCTCGAGCCTGCAGGGCGCCACATCGTGGCTCCCAAAGGCGGGGATGCGGGCAGTCCAAATGCTGCGACGAGCGCTGGTCCTAAAACACTTGCAGCTAGCAGCCGCGTCCGAGATACCGTGGCCATGGACCGAGCCTGGGTTGAAGCAGCGGGAATTCGGCGACGACAGAGGGTGCGACGGGCCTTGGGTGTCGCACGCAGACGTCTCCGGACCGTCTCAGTGGTCGGAGTGCACAAAGAGGCGCGCCAGACACGGTCGCGGGCTCGCTTCTGTTGCGCCGTTCTGGGCCTTGTTGCGCCGAGCGTGGCTGCTTGGACCCCCGGAAGCCAGCAAGTGGCGGATGAAGGGCCGTGAGCGAGCGAGCATCCGTCGTCGTCGTGGAGCCGTCTGCAACTCCTCATCGTCGACGACAGACACCACGAACCTCTGCATCGCGCCACCCTGCCTGCTCCCGTGCTGCCCGCTGCCCGCTCCCTGGCCTACCCGTCTTCTCGCGCCCCCCCCCGCTAACTACGCCCATGTGCAGCCCAACGCGCGCCTGGCCTCGATGAGCAGCCGTGCTGGAGCGTCTTCTGCGGCTGCAGCCCTCCCTCGAACCCGCCTGTCTACGCCCACTGCTCGCTCCCTCAGGCGCCTCGCGACTTCTACGCCCGGTGCAGCCCGACAATGACGAGGAACGAGTCGGTAGGCCGCCATGGATCCACCGAGAGCTCCACGAGCTGGCGATCCGTCCGATCCAATGACACGGTGCGACCTTTCGGTGGGCGAGGCTCTCTGCGCGGAACACCCGTCACAGTGCAGACTTCCAAGGATCCCAACTTCCAGTACGTGTCTTTCTTCAGCCTGAGCTCCTGTCTGGTCGCAGATTGGACGATGCGGCTTGCGGCCGGCGAGCTGCGCGCTCCGTGCGCCTCGAAAATATGCGCCGAGGGCGCCCTGCTCGCCGTGTGGTGGTGTCTCGCAGCTCAACAACCTGCCCGCCAACTGCCCCACCAAGCTGTCGACGCAACACGCGGAGGGAACGGCCATGTTCTTCTCGACATGGGTGCCAGACAGCCTGAGGCGAGACGGGTACCTGCGCCAGCCTCGCTTCGCCCGTCTCACCACCAGACTTTGGTGAACTTGACTCAGCTGACCTTGATGCAGGATAGAAAAGGAGTCTGAAATATCGCCGGGGACCGTCCCACCAGCTCCTCCGCCGAAGGACCCCGGTCACAAACCGCGCAAGACGTCGACGTGGGATAGTCCGCTTACGAACGACTACCGGGACTTCCGAGACCACCGAAAACAGCTGGCTGTGCTGGAGACGTCTGGAGGCCGGATACCATCTATATCGCGCAACCCACCCACCGCCACCTCGCCGACGCCGCCGTGGGCCTCGGCGGGCACCAATGGTTCTTCCATGGCTGCTAGCGTCTGGGGCAGTTTCTTCAATGACTCTAACGAGGACATCGCCCAACTTTCTCCGAGACTGACGCGCCCGGGGAGCCAAGATGACGGTATGGGTTTTCCGAGGGACGATAGACGACCGTCGATGGCGAGCGCCACCACGGTGAGCAGTACAGGCTCCAAGTCGAGCGGAACCCGTGCAGGGTACCACAAGCGCCTACAAAATGTTTTCGGTGAAGATTTCCCCCAGGATTCACGCCAGAACTCGGATACGAGCTTGCCGGCGCCATATGTGACCGAATCGCAGTCGGTGCGTGGGGGTCGAAATCGCGCGAATTCGCAAAACAACACGTTGGGCAGCTTCAACAGCAGACCCAATTCGCCTGCCAGTTCGCGACCGCGGACGCCGTTGCCTTCGTCAGAGGTGACGCCTTGGGAATACCAAGATTACAAGGTGAGTGCTGTGGGTTAAGAAGCTTTAGTGTTATTGTTGCAATAGGTTGAGCGGGTAGGGACGCTCAGCGCGCCTGCCTTGTGATAGCCCAAACTGCACCTAGGTAACCGCGATCGTACCAAGAACAGACAACTGACTTGAACTTCAGGACCTCTCATCGCAAGGCGAAAATGGCCGCCCATCTGCCGATCAGCAATCCATCAAGTCGAACAAAGGTTCACATCACCACCACAAGCTGAAGTTTCCGGGCCATCGTCACCACCGGAGCAAAGAAGAGAACAAGTCAACTGAGGCCCAAGCGCGTGTTGAAATCAGCCAACCGTACCCAATACGACCAGCCACGAGTCGAGAGGATTCCACATACAGTATACGGCGAGACCAACAACAGCAGCCGCCGCAGGGTCAGTACGGCTCGTCGCTCGGATCTGGACTTGTATCCAAACCCAATCTTCTCGCCCGCCCTCCAAGCCCGACTCCCAGCGCATATAGCGCAGTGTCTAGAGATCCGACGTCGCAAAGATCGCCGAGCACCGCGAAGGGCCCTCGCGGTTTCTTGGACCGCCTCAAGGGCAGGGGCAAGGCTGATCGACAACCACAAGAGAACCTACAGAATCTCCCGTCCTCTCAGGTCTCGCTGCAGCCATCCATCCAGTCCGCTAAGGGTCTGCCAACCGATCAGATGCCGGGAGCGTTCGGTTCCAAGGGTCGAAAGGGGACGGACAACTCCAAGGACAAGATTGTCAAGGAAGGTAAACGAGAACATGGCCGTTTCCCGCTTACGAGGCCAGGCCATAGGAAACAGGCCGCCCCCGTTCCTGTTGAGCCACAGCCGCAACCTGCCGGAAAAGATCCCAATGAAGCAAATGCGGATGCAAACAAAAATGACGCTGTATGGTTCCTTGATACCAATCTGGAATCTATGGAAGGCATCGTTGATCCCCAGCACCAACAACCCATGGCGACACCCATTGGTGAGAATCTGCCAAGCACCTCTTTGAGAGCGGACGACATGATAAGAGAGTCTAAAGACGATGCCAAGTGGGATATTCCTGAATCTTGGGGCGTTGTTACACAAGAAGGAAAGGGCGATTCACCCCACGCAGAGCTTGACGAAGCCGAAGCCGTGTCCAAAGAAGAAGACGGCAACAGGACGTACTGTGTCCGCATATTCAGGGTAGATTCGACCTTTGCAACACTGTCGGCCACCTTAAACACGACAGTCTCCGAGATCATCCAGATATTAGGCAAGAAAACTCTGCTGCAAGATGAATTGAACAACTATCACATTGTCATGCGAAAACATGACACTTCCCGGCAACTCGACGCGAAAGAACGACCCTTGCTAATACAGAAGCGACTGTTGGAACAAGCGGGCTACTCTGATTCGGATCGTCTTGAAGATCTTGGACGTGAAGACAACAGCTACCTGTGCCGATTCACCTTCATCCCAGCGAAGCTAAGCGGGTATTCTAGCCTCGGAAAGGACCCGGGCTTCACCAAGATGCAGAAGTTCAGCCACATCGATCTACAGGGACGCAACTTGATTACGATACCCATCGCACTTTACCAAAAAGCTACGGAGATAATATCTCTCAATCTTTCACGGAATTTGTCATTGGCTGTACCGAAAGATTTCATACAGGCGTGCACCAACCTCCGAGAGATCAAGTACACGAGCAATGAGGCGCGGCGACTCCCTCCAAGCTTGAGCCTCGCAAGCCGCTTGACCATGTTGGACATCTCTAACAACCGTCTGAAGGACCTCGAAGACGTTCAGCTGCATCGTCTCCAGAGTCTTCAAGGCTTGAGGCTCTCTAACAACAGATTGACGAGATTGCCGGCGTACTTTGGTCAATACCGGGCCTTGAGAAGCCTCAACCTAAGTTCGAATTCACTTAACGAGTTTCCGGACTTCTTGTGCGATGTGCGAACGCTTGTGGACCTTGACATCAGTTTCAACTCCATCAGTAGTCTGCCTAAGATCGGCCAGCTTACATGTCTGGAGCGGTTATGGGCTACAAACAACAAGCTCTCTGGTAGCTTTCCGGGTACACTGAGCAATCTTGTGAACCTCAGGGAGATCGACGTACGATTCAACGCACTCAACAGCATGGATGTCATGTCTCATCTACCGCGATTGGAATATCTCATGATCGGTCACAATTCCATTTCAGCTTTTGAAGGCTATTTCCCTAAGATACGAGTTTTGCATATGAACCACAATCCACTAACAAGGTTTGGCATGGTCCAGTCCGTACCTTCATTAACCGTACTCAATCTGGCTTCCGGGAAACTAGCTGCACTGCCAGAGGAACTGTTTCCTCGGATCACTGGACTGACCAAACTCATTTTGGACAAAAATCATTTCAGTGCACTTTCGACAAGCATTGGAAGGCTCATTAGATTGGAACACTTGAGCGTAGCCCGCAACTCTTTAGATGAGATTCCAACTGAAATTGGTCGACTGGCCGAACTCAAGTATCTGGACGTGCGAGAGAACAACTTGGGCCGGCTCCCCGCTGAGATATGGTACGCGCGCCGTTTGGAGACGCTCAATGTATCTTCCAACGTGCTCGATGGTTTTCCGAAGCCAAGCACTGCTCCTCCACCTGCCCAATTGAATGGGGAGAACAACTTGGATGGCCCCACGCCCGCGTCAACGGCCGGTCTGGGAACGAGCCCAAGCTACGAAGAACTAGGGAAGTTGGAAGATTTCCAGAACCGTCGCCCTAGCCAAGCCTCTGCGGGCTACCTTAGCTCGGCTACGTCAACAGGACCTAATCAGCGTAAGGGTTCTATAGCGTCTTATAATTCTACTAGCACCACGAACACCGCGAGGAAGCCGTCGGTTATGGCAAGAACACCAACTGAGGGAACTATAACCCCCGTTTCCCGCAAAGACTCCAGTCTTTCCAATAGGATGGTAACGACGTTTGCGGGATCCTTACGGCATCTTTTCTTGGCCGACAACCGACTGGAGGACAACGTTTTTGATGAACTATGCTTGCTTCCAGAACTACGCATCGTAAACCTGTCATACAACCTCATCTACGATGTTCCTCCACGAACCATTCGCCGATGGCAACACTTGGCCGAGCTGTATCTCTCTGGAAATGACTTGACATCCTTACCCTCTGAAGACCTAGAAGAAGTCACCTCGCTGAAGGTGCTGCACATTAACAGCAATAAGTTCCAGGTTCTCCCAGCAGAGTTAGGGAAGGTGGCAAAGCTGGCTATCCTTGATGTCGCCAGCAACGCCCTGAAGTACAATGTCTCAAACTGGCCCTACGACTGGAACTGGAACTGGAATCATAACTTGAAGTACCTCAATTTGTCCGGTAACAAGCGCCTAGAGATCAAGCCGAGCGGTGACTACATGCGTCGCGGAGAGGGACGAGATCTCACTGACTTCACTTCTCTCATCAACCTGAGGGTACTTGGTCTAATGGATGTCACGATGATGGTACCGTCAGTCCCCGAACAATCCGAAGACCGAAGAGTGCGAACCGCCGGCTCAGCTGTGGGCTCCATGGCGTACGGTATGGCAGATAGCTTGGGAAGAAGTGAGCATATCTCTACGATGGACATGGTGATACCTCGCTTCCGAAGCAACGATAATGAACAGATACTTGGTCTTTTCGACGGTCAAGCCCTCACTGGTGGCGGGTCAAAGATTGCGAAATACCTTTACGACAACTTCAAGATCCGGTTCGCAGAGGAGTTGGGAAAGCTACGACCTCAGGAGAGTCCAATGGACGCCCTTCGTCGTACATACCTGGGTCTCAACAAGGAACTGGCCCTAGCGGCAAATCATTGCATTGAGAAGAATGCCGGACTGCCCTCCATACAGCCACGTGGCTCATTGCCCGATCTTGGTGAGGAGGATATGACTTCTGGAAGTGTCGCCACGGTTGTATACCTCAAGGATATGGAGCTGTACCTTTCAAATGTAGGCGATGCTCAGGCGCTTCTCATTCAAACGAATGGCGACAAGAAAATCCTTACTCGAAAACACGACCCTGCTGAGCCGTACGAAAGGACGAGGATACGTGAGGCTGGTGGGTTCGTATCACGGCAGGGAAAGCTAAACGATGTCCTCGAAGTCTCTCGGGCCTTTGGCTACGTACACATGTCACCTTCCGTCATCGCCTCACCACACATTGCTCACGTCACGCTGAGCGATACTGATGAGATGATTCTCATTGCGTCCCGAGAACTTTGGGAATATCTCACTCCGGATTTTGCAGTCGATGTTGCTCGGTCTGAGCGGGACGACCTTATGCGCGCGGCTCAGAAGCTTCGCGACCTCGCTATCGCCTTTGGTGCTACAGATAAGATTATGGTCATGCTACTGGGAGTGAGCGACTTGAAGAGCAAGCAAAGAGCGAAATACCGGACCCCAAGCATGTCAATGGGACCTAGTGGGTCGCCTGACGACTTCTTCCTGCGACCCAAAGGAAAGCGTGCACGCAACTTGCCCAACGACTCGAAACTGGCTCGTCTGGATAATGAAGTCGATGCCCCGACTGGCGAAGTCAGCTTGGTCTTCACGGATATCAAAAGCTCTACCCTTCTCTGGGAAACGTATCCGATCGCAATGAGGTCGGCTATCAAAATGCACAACGAGCTGATGCGTCGGCAACTGCGCATCATTGGCGGCTACGAAGTCAAGACTGAAGGTGACGCCTTCATGGTGGCCTTCCCAACAGTCACGTCGGCTCTCCTTTGGTGTTTTACCATCCAGAGCCAACTCCTAGAAGTGCCATGGCCTCAAGAGATTCTCAACAGTGTGAATGGTCAAGAAGTCGTCGACCCGAACGGCAACGTCATTTTCCGCGGTCTGTCCGTCCGTATGGGTATTCATTGGGGCACACCGGTGTGCGAAGTCGATCCAGTCACGAAGCGTATGGACTATTTTGGCCCGATGGTTAATCGAGCTTCGCGTATCTCGTCTGTCGCCGATGGTGGCCAGATTACTGTGTCGTCAGATTTTATCGCAGAGATTCAACGGCTTCTCGAGACCCACATTGAAGGTGATCGAAGCAACTCGATAGGTTCTGAGGAACAGTACGGCGATGACCAGTTATCCCAGGCGATTCGTCAAGAACTACGGTCACTGAGTAGCCAGGGTTTTGAAGTAAAGGACTTGGGCGAACGTCGCTTGAAGGGTCTTGAAAACCCTGAATACATCTATCTGATGTACCCTCATTCCCTCGCCAGCCGTCTCGACGTGCAACGGCAACTCGAGCAGAAATCAGCGCAACAATCTGCCCCAGGCGCTGGACAAAAGATGCCGGGCAGCCAGCTTACCATTGACACGGAAAATGTCTGGGATCTTTGGAATGTCAGTCTTCGTCTGGAGATGTTATGCAGTTCGCTAGAGAATCCCGATTCTCACGAATTAAAGCCGCCGGAAACCGCTCTCCTAGAGAGGATGAAGAACAGGGGAGGCGAGATTACGGACAGATTCTTGATCAACTTCGTTGAGCACCAGATCTCAAGAATCGAGGTATGTTTCACCCACATCAGACTTGGAATAGGTGCTAACAGAACTCACAGACGTGCACGACTACCTTGGCTCTCAGACACATGGTTCGACCATTCGGGCAAACCCCGAAATTGCAGCAAGCATGCCCCATGTCCGACATCCTCAGCGAGCTCCAGGTCCAACTTGCCGAGCTGCAGCAGTTCAAGCAAGAGGCCGCTTCAGAATTCGCATCTGCTTAATTACCTTGCACCGCCATGTTACGACCCCCTTTACCTAATCTGTACCGCTTTGTCGTATATACCAGCGGCTCCAACGACGTCTACGACCGCACACTACTACCATATCATACCATATCACCTATCCTAATACCGCCACACATCGCTAGTGCCTTGGCATCATTGGACAACCCTTGCTTCGGCATATGTTCCTATACGGCGTTCACTCACATATGTACCATCACTGCCCCGGTGGCTGAGTCTTATATATCTCTTTTCTCAGTTGAGGACGGAGGATTCATGAACTGGCTGGGCGGAATTATGCCTTGGCGTCTTTTTGGGCCTCGCGCGCAGGTCTTAACTCACTCTTGCTTCGCTTCTTTTTGTGATTTGTTCACCTTGTTTCTTGCTTTCGATGGGGGCGGATCCGCAGTCTTACGGCTATGCTACGCGATGTGGACGTCTTTATGTCTTTGTAGGGTGCGTGGGGCGACTTCTTCGGCATTTATTGCGTCGCGCTCCGAGGGGTTGGAGGCTTGTAGCAAAGAGAGAGGGGTGTGTTGCTTATGACTTGGGTCGGCTTCAGGGTTTTAGCTGCGAGTGAGCGTCGCATGTACGTGAGAATTGAGCACGTTCTTATCATGCTTGTGGATAATCCGTTCGCTGCTGTGATGTGTGAGCAAGTATCATACGGGAAACATCAATTCCGTAATGATCAAACCAAAATCAGCACAGGACCTTCAATGTCAATTAATACATGTCAATTGTATTCCAGAGAAATAGCTGTATCCATCTGCCTCATATACTACCAAAAATGCTATGCAAGAATGCCATGCGCCGACATCAACGCAGGCCACATAAGAAGCTAAAAAGCAGAATGTACAACAAACAATATCCCCGCCCCTCACTCAACAGCTATAATCGTCTAGCACTTAGCCAGACCAGCAGCGTCGTCAATGTTCTGAGAGATAACGCCCGCCTCGACAGCCTGCCTGTACCCCCACCTGTAATCATCGCCCAGCTGCACTTTCCACGACCAGAAGAACCACCCAAGGCCCTTCTCGTACGCCTGCACCTGCGCACCCCACCACTGCTTGTACCAGTCCTTGTTGCCCTGCGGCTCCCAGTCGGCATTGCTCTCCTGGGCATCGTCGACCGCCAAACTCCACTCGCCGACGACAATCGGGCTGTTGTCGTTCCCGCCGAACGTATCGCCGCACGACGTCGCGATGTAGCTCGGCTTACTCTGGTCGATGCTCGCCCACTTGAGGTAGCGGTGGTCGTCGAACGCAACGTCTGTCTTGCCCTCGACGGCAGTGCGCGGGTTTCCGGCGCCCCAGCTCTCAGCCATGAACTGGATGGTGAGTTTCTTGTCGTCTGCGACGCCGAGGGAGGCTTCTGTCTCGCGGATCTTGCCGTAGGCCGTGGCGTAGTATTCCGGGATGAGGGTGTCGTGCGTGCGCTGGGGCTCGTTGAGGACCTCGATCATGCCTGTGGTGCGGTAGGCGTCTGTTTTGTGGATGTGCTCTGTCATTTTTTGGAGGAAGGTGTAGGCGCGTTCGTACTGGGAGGTTTGGTAGAAGCCGGCGTCTTCGGAGTACTAAGTTCGATCGATTGATTAGCAAAGGAGAATGGGACTGTGTGAGAGTGGGCGTCTTACCTGGCCGGTGAACGGCTGGTGGATCTCCTGCGAGTACGGGGCTCCGTGCAGGTCCAGGTTCATGTACATGTTACGCGACGCTGCCCAGCCTGCAAGGCGATCTAGGTACTCGAGTCCGCCGCGGGGGAAGTGCTCGCTCGGGTCGACGAGTTCCTCGACCATCCAGTAGCCGACAGGCACACGGATAGCATTGATACCATACTCCTTCATCTTGTCCATATCTTCCTCAGTAATCCACGTGTCCCAGTGTTTCTTGAACGCAGCGTCAGCGGCATCCTGGCCGAGCTTGTTCACGCAGTCGAACTCGGACTTTTGGTCGCCACAGCCCATGTCGCCCCATGCTTGGCTCATCATCCATGGCTCGACGATGAAAAGGGAGCCGAGGTTGACGCCGCGGATTTTGTCGGGGTTGAAGCGTTTGGTGAGGGATCGGCCCTGGCCGATGGAGAGGCTTCGAGCCTCAGACTTGAAGAGTCCACGCTCTGCTGGGAGCCATGCGCTAACTGCGCTGGTGAGCGTTAGGAGAGAAAGTAGTGAACCCCTCATATTGGATGTGAAAATAGAATTCTATCAGTCCAATAACAGACGAAGATTCTGAATGAAAGACTATAAAACGGTAAACGTAGATAATAAACAGAGAGTGTGACGAATGTAAAAGAGTGTGTAGAATGAATGTAACTTCCAAAGCACCGCAGTATAGACAAAGTAGAAGCGTAACGGACCCTGCGACCGGCAAAGGTCTTATACAAACCTAAGAATGTAACTGACGGCCTACCTACCCACCTACAGGGGCTGCGCATCGGATGGGACAAACAACACGGCAAAGAAACATCGAGCGCCACGGCCCATCTCATGGGTCTCGTGGGAACTTTGGCGCCATCTTCGTGCGTCCTGCCAATCAGACACACGCAGCATCATCAAGGTACGCACTTTCAGACAGCTGCGGACAGTGCTAGTACGTTGACTACGCAGGCGTTCAGTCCTGCGGAGATTGACAGCCAGGGACAGGGGTGGGGCGAAGCTTAAGTCTCAGTAGGAGTGATCGAACAGCTTGCTCGATTAAGCTCATGATAGCGCCGGCGGGTTGGTCCGGAAAGTAGGCGAGCGAAGTACGAGCATTCTGTGGAGTCCGTGGCTGGTGTTTCATGAGGCGGTAGTCAGCCGGGGGGTTAGTAAGCTCGATGTGAAACGAGCGAAGACGGCTAATTCAGAGCTAGATCGTGGGGTTAGGGCATAGAGGGAAGGAACAAAGACGAAAATAAGAGATCATCTTTTTAAAGTTTCGAGAGAATACGGTTTACGAGGACGAATGTTCTTGAGAGGACCGGCAAAGGAGGTGGGAGGCAGCGTTGTGGACTACGCGGGCACGGCCCCCATCATTTGTCCGCTGCGCGCCTGACGAAGTACCAGGGAGCTCAGGCTCAACCGAGGTGAACTGTGATCCTCGTGATCCTCGTATAGAGACGTTGTTAACGCTGATAATAGGACTACTTCTTGCAATACGATCTTTTTTCTCTTGGGTCCGGATTATTCATGATTGCGCTCCGCATGTCGATATGGCTGCCCAATTGAGGCGCTCCGCGGGACATCGTGGTTCCGGAGCGGACATGTTAACGTACGGCAATCAATACTAAGGATCAGCAAATGCCGTGAGGTCAGTATGCCAGATGTAGTGGTACTAGGCGAGAGTTCGAAGTATGGTAGGAATGGGAACAAACATTGAAGACAAGAAGGGACGCTACTTCCCTTATGTAAGCCTTTAGTGAACGCACCCCCGGAAAAGTCGGCATTTCTGAGTCGATTACTTTCTCCGGTATTTGCAGAGAAGTTTTCATCTTCGCATCGCTCCCAGAATTCGTACGCATGAAGATGCCGTTGGAAGAGATGCTGTGCATTACAGGGCAGAAGTCGACCTCCTGCGCGTCGAAACTTCATTGGCTAGATCCTGCGCAATGATCGCGGCAACAGTTGAGCTTGAACTTGCGAGGTTCGATATTCAAATGTTACGAATTACCCTGTTTCACACAGTGTCTGCTCTTGTGTTATCTTAATTCCCATAATCTTCGCGTCCTGCTCGTTCATTCAACATCGCGCCTAGATCCGCTTTATGCCCAGGAAACGTCAAACAAGCATCTGATGTCGCAATCAGATCCAATGCACGCTCGACGTGCACCTTCTTCCCTTCGCACCAATAGCATCATTTCGCTCAGCACATCTCCAGTTGTTCGACGCATTTGTTCGCGCGTGATATGTCGCTAAAACACGTCATGCCCGTTTTCTGGCATCATTCTGAGCGTTGTGGATGTAGGTCAACGTGCACCCATGTATGTGAAGATAGCAGGGCCTGTTTCCAACCATAGAAAAAAGCGTTCCTGCAGCATGCCTTCCAAAGTGCCTCTCAGACCTGCAAACTTTCGACAGGCACTTCAGCGCATCGAATAGAAGATGGCTTCGTACACAGCCCAGGACAAAGAGATCGAGACCATCCAGTCTTCTCCGCCCGTACACTCAGAGACGTCATCGCAGTTCGACGATACCTATCAAACGTACAAAAAGAACCAAAGCACCGTGACAGACGCCGCAGAAGCGAAAAGAGTACTGCGCAAAATCGACTTTCGCATCGTGCCTATCCTGTTCTTCATCTATCTTCTGCAGTATCTTGATAAGAATGGGATTAATTATGCGAGCGCGTATGGATTGACGGAGGGGACGAAGTTGCAGGGACAGGACTTCTCTTGGCTTGGTACGTTTAGTATGGACTTGCTTTGTCGAAGCGCTCATTGACAGGTATCAAGGCTCTATCTTCTATTTTGGATATCTTGTTGGTCAATATCCGTCTGGATATCTTCTGCAGCGCTTGCCTATAGCTAAGTTTCTAGGGTTCACGACGCTAGGTGAGTCGTGTTCTACTGCTGGAGGACGGGCAAGAAGCTGATTATGATTAGGATGGGGCATTATTCTCATAACAACTCCAGCATGTCATAACTTTGCAGGCATCGCTTCGAATCGCTTCCTCTTGGGCCTTCTCGAGTCCGCCGTAAACCCAGGATTTGTCCTCATCATGAGCATGTGGTACACAGGCGCAGAGCAACCCCTGCGACTCGAAGCCTACTATTGTACGAATGGCATCGCAACCATGTTCGGAGGCTTGATAGGCTACGCTGTCGGCCACATCAAATCTGGTCTTCCGCGATGGATGTACGTCTTCTTGATCTTCGGCTCATGCAGTATAGTCATGGGCGTCGTCACCCTCCTCTTCCTCCCAGATTTGCCCTCCACCGCGAAGTTTCTCAGCGAACCCGAACGTGTCATCGCCGTCGAGCGTGTCGCAGCGAACCGTCAAGGCGTAAAGAATCGTCACTTCAAGAAGTACCAAGCATGGCAGACGCTGTATGATCCCAAGACGTGGATTCTCTTCGTCATGGCGACGGGGGCGCAGATACCAAATTCGGCTCTGACGAGCGTAAGTGTGGTCCTTGATCATTGCGGCACGTGGGGTGGTACTCACCATCACAGTTCAGCTCGCTCATCATAAAATCCTTCGGCGTCGACACGCTCGGCACGCAATACCTCCAAATCCCTGGCGGCGCCGTACAATTCATCTCCCTCATCGCGGGCGGCTTCATCTGCACGCGGTTTCCGAATACGCGCTGCCAAATCATGACGTTCGCCAATGTAGTCTGCATCATCGGCGCTTCGATGCTCGTTGCGCTTCCAGCAGCGAATAAATGGGGCAGACTGGTAGGACTCTGGCTGTGTTACTTCCAGGGATTGGGGTTTAGTATGAGCCTGACGATTGTAAGCTCGAATGTGGCGGGGTATACGAAGAAGCAGTTGACGGGCGCGGCGCTATTTACGGGGTACTGTGTTGGGAACATTATTGGGCCGCAGACATTTAAGGATGGGGAGAAGCCGGGGTATCACAGTGCATATGTAGCGTAAGTCTCGATATTGCTCCTTGAGAAAGGTTGGCTAACGCAACTTAGCATGTTGATCGGGTATTCCATCAAGCTGCTTGCAGTCTTGGTGCTGTATGCGTATATGTGGAGTGTCAACAAGAAGAGGGATAGGGAGTCGGCAACTGGAATTCATCTAACGGATGAGGAAGAGAAGGCTGCGGTCGAGGCGGGCATGCTCGACGTGACTGAGATCGATAACAAAGGGTTCAGGTACATCCTATAATACTAAGATAGAATGTCACGATGCGACAACAAGACGCAAGTGTATGCATCCGAAAGAATTTCAGGAAAATCAGCAAAAACGTCCGAAGACCATGGCTGACAGATTCAACTACCATAAGCTTACAGATAACCTCCCAAAATAAACAATTAGCCTCCCAGCCCCAAACCGGTCCTAGCCTTCCATTCCTATTCCTATATCGGACCTTCCCAAGGGTATCAAAGCGCAACCGAAAAAGCTAGTTGGCTGATGTGCTGAAGAAAGGAAATATTACGGATGACACCGCGTGGTGTTATGGATATCTTTGCGCACGAGCGCTTGTACATCTACGCCTGTGAAACCCTATTAAGCCAATGATTGGAGAAGAAGAAGATGATGATGAGAAGTATGAGAAATATGACACTAGGAAAATGAGGATAATGAGTGGCTTTTGAGTGATGCACTTTTGAGTGATGCAGTAAAAGAGACAAGCGCAGAGCCAGAACACATAGTCGGCAATAGCACGTAGGTCGCATACAAGTCGTCGAAAACTTCGCAACGTATGAGACTAGAATCCACGGAAAGGATCGTTCATGATTTCATCGTATGCTCCGCCAGCTCGGTTCGCTTCGTTCACGCTCCATTGGCTACCGCGTCGCCTTCGGTGTCCTGGGCGAGCAGACGATTGCAAGACTCGTTGCGAGGGATCTTTGCCTAAGCTGTCGTCGATGAAGGCTTCCATGCGCATGGTCCCCATAGTGTCAAAAAAGGGACGAGTCGAGGTACTTGCTTCTGATGTTCGTGTGCTAGCGATGACGCTGTTAGGGTTGTAGACAGAAGAAGGCACAGAAGGGGGTTGTCTGCTGCTGTACATATCGGAGGAGTTAGAGGAAACCACGGACGGTACTGGTTGGTGAGAGAACGTCCTGTACTGCTGGGTGGGTCGAGGCGCAAGCGGTCCTGTAGAGCTTCTCTTCCTGCTGTGGACAGGACCACGAGGGATGGTGGGCGGGTCTGCAGAGTCTTCCAATGATTGTTCCGCTTGGAATGTGTTCAGCTCGGGCATCGGCTCCATAGATGCTTGATACCGCTGACTGACTGGGTTGGCTTTCCCTTTCGCAAGGCGGACCGAATCACGAACGTGCGACCGACGGAGCGTTGCTCCTTGCGGTCGATAGGTGGGCTCCTCCTCAGGAGGTGGTGCGAGCGGTATGGGTCCGAGTTCTGGAATTGGAGCGCTGGAGTGAGCCAGGAAAGTGAGGGCTGTCAGCCACAGATAGTGGCGCTCTCGCGAGTTGGTCGTGAACTTGAGGGCGCGAGCTGGGGTGAGAATTAGAATCGATCGGTTGAACACGGCTTGAGTTCCTGCGTTTCGGGGAAGTGGCGTGTTGTCGACAACATCAAGGACGGACTGTATGATGACTGACAAGGATGTTAGTAGGTGAAATGTGTGTACACTGAACAAACTTACGTTTCCGGCCTTTGGTGCCCATCAAGGCAGGACCAGTTGTTGGCTGCTTGTTACTCCACAGCACCGAGCGCTCATATGGCGAGATCCAAACCCATCGCTTGTGGCGTACACCATGGACGGAGGAGACTCCTTCTTCTCCTGCCCGAGCAAGCTCCGCAGGTGACTCCTGCCCACCGAAAGCCTTCCTTCCTCGCACGTATTTCCACATCCATTCACCAACCATAGTAGCCGCGATGGCATCGACTACGCTCGCTTGGTAAGCAACACTGCTCGAAGCACTTCCCGTTTGCCCTGTTAGTGCAGTTTGCGTGGTAGTAGTGGAGAGTTGGTGACGATGACCACGTGCATACCCATAACTGCTGCTCACATCACTAGGTATTGGCGGAAGCGAGGGACTAGGAGGGATCGTAGGAGTCGCAGGCAAAGGTGGGGACCGACTTCTTGGGCGTCCTGATCTAGGCATGACTGCCGCCGATCGCACCTTTCGAAGGCTGTCCTTACGCTGGTGTGGTTGCTTGGTGCCGTATGGTCGACGTCCCGCAGAAGCACCACTGTTACGCGGTGTAGGGCTCTGCGAACCCTCACTCTTACTGAGGCCAACCTTCCGCGAGCTTGATCGTGTAGGTACGGGGAACGGGGGCTTAGAGAGGAAGCTGTTCGTATCGACGCTACCGATGCTAGGGCTGCGCGAACGCATATGTGCTGATGTCCCACTCTGGATCATGGCTGATCGCCGAATGCTAGGCTGTCGACCAAGCTTGCCGACCTTCGCCGGTTTCTCCATCGAAGTGCGCGCGGGAACTTGTGGCTTGACTGAATCCTCAGATGGACGAGCAGGGGAAGGCGAAGGCTCCTTTTCCTCCGGGACTGGGGTAGGCGGGCTGTTGAACACCTTACCGCTCTTGACATTACGCGATGATAACATAGGAGGGGGCTTGTGCTGCTCCTCGTCACTGAGCTCCGCGTCTGAATCCTCTTCATCTGAAGACGGTCCGTCGAAGCCAGCAAACAGGCTGCTTGTTCGGAAGGGTCTGCTAATGATGCTTTCTCTGTTACGAGTCAAAGGACCGTTATCATTGTTCCCTGGGTATCGATCCTCGATCTTGTCCGCAGTTTTCTCAAGCAAAGCCATAAGATCTTGCCGAGCGGAGGGAACAGCAGTGCTCTTTTCCGCCTGCTTCGTGTCTGTCTTCTCAGCAGAAAGGCTGGTGATTGTCCCCTTCTGGCCAGGCTCCGGTGTACCAGGCTTAGACGATATGGCCGAAGGCTGCAGATGAGGCGGTAGCTTGTTGAATCGCCTGTCAACCATGATGGGCTCAGTTTGCATACCCACTGTGCGCATGTTCGACCTCAAATCAATCGTAGTCTGTGTAGCGGCACTTATCGTACGTGGCGGCAGCATAGGCTCTTTGGGCGATGACGGTGTAGACGAAGGAGCATGAATCGCGATGGAAGGTATCAGGATTGGTACTGGAGGAGGCGCGCGAGACGGTGGTACAGGGTGTGATTGCTGTTGCGCAGGCTCGATTTGGTCGACAGGTTCGATGCGTTCAATTGGCTCAGTCTGGGTAGCAATGGAGGCAACTGCAGGTCGGGATTGAGGTGGTAAAGAAGTATCTTCAAAAGACGTCTCGATCTTAGGCGTCGCTGGAGGACTCAAAGGTTGATCGCTAGTTTGCGAAGACGTGGATGTCATCAGTCGGGGCATCGGCGGAGCTTGTGATGCCCCTGCTGATGGGCCAGATGCGGCGGACACACGCTTTTTCCTCTGGTTGGCTTCTACTTCGACTCCCGAAGCGCTTCCATCGTAGAGCTTGAAGGTCAAAGTTGACTCTGACGTTTCGGGTCGTACAGGGGACGACGGAGGGGAGGGTTGTACTCCAGTGTCAACATATTGAGGTTTTTGCACCGATTTCGGTTCTGGCTCTTCTTCCGGCTCTGGATGTGGCTCTGGTTCTGATTCTGGTTCCTCTTCCGGTATTTCCATTGACTGCGGCCTTGGAGGAGGGAACACCAGCTGGAATGCTTGTGGCGGTATGACCATAGAAGTGTGCGTTGTTTCAATCGAAGACTTCACTGGCTCATTGTCTGGGGCATTAGACAGGATGTCCCTGTTCGGCAATTCGCTATCCAGGCTCAGGCCGAGAATGCGTTTTGCCTTGTCGTCCTGGCGCATGGACTGCCGCGACTCGAGGGCTCTCAATGCTCTCATTTCATGCTCTGGGAAGTCATCCGAGTCGAGTTCCAGTTCGTCAAGGTCTTCTTCCTCCTCGTCAAAGACCAATTCGTCTGCTAGGCTTATGCCATTAGCACGGCCGTGACCTTCGGATCCCGTTCCGCTCATGAGAGACATTCGATAACCGCGTCCAAAGCTTCGGAAACTGCTATTACTCAGGTTTCGGGAGTGACGCGCAATACGTGTGGACGTCCTTCTCGCAGGCGAAGATCGCACGCTTCCGGCCTCACTTTCCGGTCCCACTCCACTATCGCGAGGGATCCCCTCGCCTTCGCTGTCCAAATCATTCTCTTGTGCTTCCTCATGAATAGCAATCTCTTCAAGAAGCATCTTTAGCCGGCTTTCGGAAAGGTGTACGCGCCGTTCTAGAGAGCGTTTTTCGCCAACCCAGGCTTCCTTCTCGTGCTCCCACATGTCATGAACTAGAGTAGAATCATCTTCCTGGCTACGCAGCCTCTTCTGTGCCGAGTCAAGCTTATCCTTGAGATCTGCATTCGCTTCCTTCAATTTATCTCTCTCGTCTGCGATTTCTTCCAGTGCCGACAGAGTTGCAGTCTCGAGTTGTTGTAGCTGACCCTTCACAGCTCGGCCCTCCCTCGTACTCGTAGACAGCTGGCTCGTAAGGGTATCGTTCTCTTTCCGGACCGTGTGAAATGACGTTTCGAGATCTTCAATGAACTTGTGCTTGGAATCTAGTTCGCGTCGCAAAGAAAGGATTTCGGACACAAGGGAGGCATGCAGTGTCGGTGTGAATCGCCGCGGATCCAACATGGATACGCCGTCACTATTGTTAGAGTCATGATTGTCATTGGGTTCCGGAGGAAACGGTGCCGGAGATGCGGGAGCCTCGCTCATGGGTGTTCCATAGCGGGACGTTCTTCGTGAGAGGGAATTGTACGGTGTATCGGCCGGCGAGGGTAAAGGCTGGTTGCTTATGTACGCTTCATTATCGGAGAAGTATTCGGTGGCCATCGTGATAGAGGGACGAATTCGATCGGGAAAGACGATGCGATCGAGTAAGTTAGGAAGTCTTGCCAAAACCACAGTTCAATGGCGCTAAAGGCTACAACGCCCAACACATTACTATGCCAATGGTCAGATATGGTTCAAGGGAGGGATAGTTGTGTCCAGCTTTCAGATGGACTGTGCGGTTCTCCATAGCTGTTCAAGGTACTCACCACAGCTCCTGCGCGTCATCCAAGGACACAATGTCGGAGTCACAAGCCTCGAGCGCAACCGTAAGAAATGACAATGTGCCGTTGAAGACAATTGCGAATGCCGAAAGGGTGGGATCAAAGCCAATCGCGAGATATCGCAAACGCTGGTCAGCTTCGTTCAGGTCCGTCAATGTGGTGCAACGCTCAAAGGCTAGGTGCGTGATGTCAGCCTGCAGCTCCGTTTGCCATGCTCTGTGTGTGGTGTGAACATGAGGACCGTGGGCTGACTTACGTTCTAGACATATGCGACGAAGATATGCAAAGGAAAGCTCTCCTGGTACAATTGAAACTTGTCAGTGCTCAGATTGTCAAGGGTGTAATGTACAGATTAGAATGCATTGAGGGGCGAACGAATATGAAGAGAAGCTAGCAGGCATGCATAGTTATCAACGGCAAGCCCCAGACTCCCAACGCGTTGTCCAGCTCGTGCGTGGGTCGTAAGGAGGGGGATCAAAGGTGAACGAGAACGGGGTGGGCATGAATGTGATGATCAGCGAGTGCCGGGTTCATGCATCCTCCAGATCCTGGTAAAACGCTGTCGTGGGGAGACGGGAAAGGTCCAGGATCGAGACGTCGGAGCGAATAACGTGCATCTGTGTAATTGACCCCATGTTTAATTTGGCCTGCACACGGTGCACACGCGTTTATGCACGATGCTTTGGGCTTTTGGCTGGCGAGGGCACGGAGGAAGTGCGCTCCCCTGCATGCAACCGAGCTCAGAAGCCCAGGCTAACGGAAACGCTATATTGAGTTAAATAGGCCCACTGATTGCCCTTCATTGGTCCGAATTTCTGGTCCAACGTACCCGTTCCGCTAGGCTAACGCATCTCCTGTCGAGCAAAAGGAAATGACACGGGCAGATGCTCGAGCGGCGCAGCTCTCGATGCGTGGGATCATCGTTCGCAGCCTGAGGATGTGCCGCTGTGTGATGAGGAACACTTGGCACACCTTCCGAGGATTGCCACACGTTCGTGCAGCAGCTGAATCCTGCGACTGTCCACCGATAGGCTTTCAGCCCGCCGAAAATCCATCGCCCGTGAAATGAAGTCCTGCGACCCAACCCTCTGCTGTACCTGTAGCTTCAACGCTACGAAGGACCGCCCATTCGAGAGGAAAGCTAAAGTTTCAGCCTCCTACCGGAACGACCACTGAGGTATTAGCCTTGAACCCAGCGAACAGGAGACCAGATCTGTGCGCGACGATGAGGCTCGTAGCTCGCGCGGCAGCGCCGCTCAGTGGTCCCGTTTGCGCCGCATGTTTAGCCTGCTAGTGTTGTTCGAGTACACGAGGCCAACCGTCAGCATCGGACTCTAGTAGAGCACAAACATGCGTCGCGGTGCTCCGACGTTTGCAGATGGTCAGTCGGACAGCGTCTTGAACTGGAAAAGACACTGTTGGGACGCGTCGAGATCCTGGATCTTTCATTCATGCTATAGCAGCGGTCGGAAGCATCGGGTGCCATGGCTCAGAAGCTGTGCCGTTTTGAATATGAGCTTTGATCGATTCCACGCCTGCTCGGTGGAAAAGATGCCCAGCGATCGCCAGGGAAGATTGCAGTTTCGGGCGGGCCATGTGATTATGGAGGTAGGAATTCAAATGCTGTCGTCGACGCGACAATATGCTCACCAGAAACTACGTCTAGCACTGGCAACATTCTCAACGGTGCGCATTACGATGTTAGTACACAGAAGGCGAAGATGCTTTTTGGTGGTGTGGTTGCAAGATAATTGACGTTTCCGTGGCTTCGGGAGCCAATGCGAGATGTGCGCACAGAGGTGGATCTTGTCAATAGGTACGCCGGCCCTTAACTCTCTTGAAATCGTAGAGTCCACATGCAGACTCGCGGCAAAGCCACAAAAGCTCAAAAACGGGGCGTCATGCCCGCATCCTTCCTGCTTTTTCTCGCTTCATCCGTCCTGGAGTCCGGGGCAATGAATCGCGACCACATCCAACACAATTCCCCTGGCAAACTCGCTGCACGAGACTGCGCACAGCGCCTACATGTAGGCCTGTTCCGCTGCACGACAGCACTTGCCTTCCTGACACTTTCATCTCCCCAATGCGCCTGGCAGCTGTAGCAAGCCTCGGCTTGCCTTCGGGGCTTTGTCGCCGATACTCTTCGCTAATCCGCGTACCCGTGTCACGTGTGTGTAAACGGTACGGGACAGCTTCAGGCCACCCACACTCATGCCCAACGGAAACTTAAAAGTCGTGAGGATGAACAGGCGTTACGGTAACGCCTTTGCTAAAGACAAAGTAGCTTCGCAAATCTACGATCTTGGGGAGATGAAGATGGCAACTTCGCTTCGTAAGCTGTGCCTTGTGAGGCGCTTCACCCTTGTGTTGATCAATCTCGGCTGGAAATCGGGGTACGCGTGTTTGGAGCTGGACTTCCATTGACGCCATGCATACGGCATCTCATCGGAAGTACAGTTCCTTGTGTAACCCTCGTACAAGCAATGTACACCGGAAATGCCGAAAGTACTCGGCGAAGTGTTTCAGTATCAAATAATCCTTTCATATGGAAGCAGCGGCTGGGATGACTTAAACTCGTTAAAGTAATTCAGAGTGTTGCGCGCCCCTGCGAAAGCATACGAGATACCTCGGGCACACAAGCCTCCATTGTATGGCGAGGTCCTTGGGTGGATGGGTCTGTGTTGTGATCTTCTTTCTTTTGGCCACTATGGCATTTTGAAAGGGAGATCCTCGGTCGAATTTGTTGAAGCTTAAGGTTTGGGATCAAATAACGTCCAGGATTTGCTGCAATAACGTGGATTTCGTCTCAATATTGTTCCATGCTGCTACGATCTTGAAGTGTACATGATCATCGATTCAAGATTGATTGCGGATTCGGTACACTGAACGAATATGAGAAGGTCGTGATAATCGACCATGATCAAACTGCAATGGACACTTCGCCCTCGATGCTGACCCATTGGCCATCGACGCACTGAGGTGCATGTTTCACACATAGTATGCGATGACCTGATAAATCCCGAAGCCATTGTAGGCCGACGATATAGCGATTGGGCATATCAGGTGAAGTGTCAGTGAAGCGCTCGTGCTTTCTTGTCGGATGTAGCACTCGAAGAGGACAAAATACATTACTGACACGGAGATCGTAGGTTTGGGGAATTTGTCGATTACATCGATTCTGCTGCCTCGTATGATACTTGAACTTGGATTTGCCGTTTTTGTTGCCGCATATACGAAGATATAAGAGTGTCCCTACGGCAAATCGTCGGAGTTTCCAGGTAGTGTAGCCGTTTCATGAATGTTGCACTGTTGGGCCAGTCGGCACCGGTCCGTCACGTCCCATCGATTTTCAATGCGACAACAGTTGCACCCAATTGCACGTTGGCGATATTCTCCGACCCTCTTCCTTGGATTCTTTGATCCCCAGTAAGTTGCCAGCTACCAGCATTGCCCTGTTCGTGTTGCGTGGGTCTCGTCTCGGGCCCTGTTCATCGGCTATCTTAATTCAATCGTTATGGGATCCCACTCCTGTTCAGAAAGGGGTTTCGTTGCGTAATAGGGCTGCGTATGCCCGTCGCGTCTCATGGAAGGCCCTGGCCATCTCCAAGTGACCCGCGCATGGAAGCCGCAAGGAAGTCGTTGGGGTGACCAGCCGTCGCTCCAGGGCTCGCTCGAGTCCACGAGTTCCCAGCATGCACGTGACCGGTATCGATAAGCGACTGTGATATCGAAAAAGTTGACCACAAAGCGGGGCGATTGCACAGCGGCGTACACAGCACCAAACCAACCCATTGTCTGAACTTTTGACAGAAATTCTGTGAGGAAATCTGCTAGCTGTTCGAATCGTAAATTTGCAGGTGGCATATTTTCATCAAACGGGCTGAATACCGAACGCGATTTCTCACACATCACCAACCATGGCACAGCTGCCTCAAGGAGATGGCGTTTCGTTACCGTCAGCAGCTATGCCACCGGCAATGGCGGACATCAAATCACTAAGTGTGGATGATGTCATCAAGGAGATGAACCGCATGCCTCTCTTCATGACAACCCTTGACGAGACCGATGGCGAAGGCGGCGACAATGAAGCCTTAGAAGCCCTGAAAGCCCTTGCATACGAAGGCACCAAAGCGGAAATTGCTGAAAACTTCCGGCAACAAGGGAATGACTGCGCCCGGACCAAGCAGTGGACCGATGCAAAGGAGTTCTACGACAAGGCAATAGCAGCCTTGAAGGCGCCTAAGAAAGAACCGCAGCCAGAGGATGGTCCGCCTGTAATTGATGTAACCGATGTAGAGGTCAATGAAGAGGAGGAGGCGGAGAAGGAAAAGGTCATCGAGGAGGCATGCTACATCAACCGAGCGCTCTGTAACCTAGAGAAGAAGAACTACCGCTCTTGTATCCAAGACTGTGCAGCAACCCTTCGTCTCAACCCCTCCAACATCAAGGCGTACTATCGGTCTGCCAGCGCATGTCTCTCGCTCGATAAAATACCGGAAGCGGTTGACGCATGCGCCCTAGGCCTCGCCATTGACCCTTCCAATGCCCCGCTCAAAGCCCTCCAAACTAAAATATCCACACGTAAAGCCCACCTCGACTCCGTCGAAAAGGCACGTAGAGAACGCGAAGCGAAGGCTGCCTCCGAACGTGCAACTCTCGCCCTCGCCCTCAAGAGCCGCGGCATCAAGACCAGGAGTACAGATCAAGCGCCGGATCTAGAAGATGCTGCGGTGAAGCTCGAGGATAAGCTAAATCCCAGCTCAAAAATTTCGTTTCCAGTCATGTTATTGTATCCCACGCACGCTCAGTCAGACTTCATCAAAGCGTTTGGTGAATCGGAGACCCTCAGTCAACACCTTGAGTATATCTTCCCGCTGCCGTGGGACGAGAAACATGAGTTTACGTTGAACGATGTGGACGCATATATGGAGACGATCGCGGGTGGACTTATCAAGATGGGAAAGAACATGACATTAGGGAAGGTGCTGGGCAGCGGCAAATGCGAGGTCAAGGACGGGCTAGTTAAAATAAGTGTGATTCCAAAGACAAAGTCGACGGAATGGATAGACGAGTTCAAGAAGAGGAGGGGGGCAAACTAATACTTCTGCATTTTAGCGTACAACCTGTCCGACGTTATCATTCACTTGTCTGGGTTCTTTCCACGAAATGTCGGCGGATATCGCGGTTAACTTCACCTTCGGCATTCGTTTGTTCCTGAAGTCTCACTCTCAGACCTCACGCTTAGCTGCAGTTACTAGTCTCTTTCATCTTCACCTTAGTACCGTGCGCAATGTTTAGCAAACGGGCGTGTCAAACTTTGCGACTAGAGATCCACCTCATCCACTTCACCTTCGTTTGTTTGTCCTCTTCACTACGCGTCGGCAGATCTCGGATTCAACTTTATCTTTGGCCTTCATTGTTCTAAATCCTTAATTCCAATCTCACGCCTAGCTGCAGCTATTAGTCTCCCGTCGATCAGTTTGCCTCTACCTTCGACACCGTGCGATATTGAGCAAACGGGCGCGTTGAACTTCCGCGGCCTTCGAAACCGTGCGCAATATTGAGCAAACGGGCGACCTCACCTTCGCTACCGTGCGAAACAGTGAGCAAACAGGCGCGTTGAACTTCGCAACTGGTGCCCACCTCAACTTCAGATATCCAGCATACTCAACCGTACCTCAACAGATCTACAGACACGCATGGCCTTCCACTAAGCACCGTCAATTGCGAAAGCTATGGCGCCCGCCTAACTACAACCCCTGCGTCCCCATCCATCGACACGAACGTACGCTTGCGGCTCGAAAATTGATGTTGAGGCGTTGACCCGACCTTCGACCAAAGCGCTCGCGATCGCACTCCTGTCGTGTCTGACCATGGATATCTTCGACCACCAGTTGAGCGGTGACACAATCGCGGCACTGAAAGTGCCTTTCGAACACGACGCCAATTATCGGAACAAGGCCACCACAGCTGATGGCGAAAGGGTAAAGCCCAATGACAGTGTCGAGTTGCGAAACGGCAGCTTGCTGCGCATCGTTTTCATCACCAAGGACAATAGCGGAAAGACATGGTTACACGGAATTCGGCTGCTGCACAACGAAGAAATAGACAAGAAGTACTCGGAAAAGTTAGGGCATTACTTGAAAGCCCTACTACCATGCGACCAGAACGAGGTGTGCGCTATCATAAAGACGACTACAGATAGCGATGCCATCGATGCCTTCTTAGTCAGCGAGCCGCTGATAGATGTTGTATGCAAACGCCGGATTATTTTTACCAATACCCTGCGTACTTGGGGCGACTCTCAAGCTGAACCCAAAAAATCCACTGACTCCGACCGCCATGGAACTCTTTTCTGCCGTTGGAAGCACATTGAGAAGGCAGATCTGGAAAAGCGCAAAGTTTCCGAGTTCAAGCTGCGGAGGCTGACCAGATCGGAGGCTGACATTGAAAATGGTATAGCACCTTTCTGGTTACTTCATCATCATCGCCCCGGTCAGAACCGTTCAAGGCCCTCGGATGTACAATTTACGTACGGCGACATATGCGCTGGAGGAGGGGGTACCAGCCGCGCAGCAGAACTTGCGGGACTAATGCATCGCTTCCTCCTCGACAACGACACGAATGCGTGCGAGACCTTGAGGTTGAACTTCGGACCGGAAGTCGTTATAGAGAGCGACGTGTGCGAATTCTGCCAGCTGAAGGAGAGTGGGCTTGTCGTTGACGTTGTCCATTTCTCGTTCGTATGCAAAGCACATTCGGCTGCAAACCGCCACACCAACCCCGAACGGGATGCCGAGCATATTGCCCTGGGCTACACACTATCAGACATCCTCAAGATGTGCAGACCTAGAATCGTCACCATGGTAAGGGCAGCGTTTAATTTGCATGTCAGATATGCCATTGACTACTATGGTGGCTAACGTTTGTTCAGGAACAGGTGCCCGGGATAAACAAGCGCTCCGATGATGGACAGCATCTCCGATCATATATCCAAGCACTCACAGAGAGCGGGTATGATTGCCGTTGGAAAAAGATTAACTTTCAAGAATATGGCAACGCGCAAGCAAGACAGCGTATCATCATCATGGCCGCTTGTCCGGGACAAGATCTTCCTTCATGGCCTCGAGCAACCAACGGCAATGGTCGACGGCTTCTAAAGCCTGTCAGGATAAAAGATGCATTGCTTCTCGTTCCAGAAGTCGATGATCTCCCGCCGCATATGTTACAACACACTGCGAAGCCGGATGCCGTACACAGTGATCCAAGGCAGCCCCTGAAAGCCTGCATCACGACCCGAGGCGGAGACACTGACGTCCATCCATACGAAAAACGCAGCTTCAACATGGCCGAGCTCGCGGTTCTCAATGGGTTCCCGGCCTGGCACCAGTTCCCTGCTGAGCTGGGAGTCACGGCCCTCCGCGAGCTCATTGGCAACGCAGTCCCTGCGTTATCTTTTAAGCTCTTCTTCGACAAGGTGGTTGAAGCGCTCAAGCAGACCGATGAAGAAAATGCACAATATGAGCAGACAGAAGGACGCGACTTCATGGAGTAAGCCGGCTACGCGCTCACGCACCTGTCGAACGTCAAGTCGACCTGCCGAATTCCCAGCGTTTGCATCGACAGAACGTCACACGCGGTCATAAGTCCATGCACCCGTTCTTTCGGGCTTTACGGAGAGCACGCTCACACTGCAAGGGCATGGCCAGTCAAAACCTGCAATTTATCTTGAATGCGCGTCCTCTGCTTCACTGCTTCCTGCCTTCTTGATTATACAAATTTTCTTTTGTTCTCAACGGGTTACCAAGCTGTTATCAGCTTCCCCACAGCCAGGGCTCAACGGTCGGAAGAGCGCCGCAACTCCGTGGTATTCGGTGCGCCCCCGATACGCATTGGAAGCCCATTTAAAGCACGCCACGACATACGCGTACGTGCAGCAACTTCTGAGCTGAAAAGCTCTAAATCAATAGGACAAGGTCGATAAAGGAAGTTGGTAAAATAGATCTGTATCTTCAATCCCAGCTCCTACTCCACATGCTCAAACATCGCTGCGAATCACCAGTGACCACACCATAATCTTCCCGCATCCTGCACCTCCCAATTCTCGCGTGCCCCACCCCTGGTCCCATTTATACATAAACATGCTTTCACCCACACCCAAGCATGCACTCACGGACGCACGCACGCATGCATGCACTCACACCTCGCTTCAACCATGCATCGGCAACACCCGCTGCAAATTTCACGCGCATGCCATTCCCACCATTAATCACGGCTAATAAGGCTCCAAGAGGGATCCAGCATCCCGGATGGGGGAAACGATTCCGCGCTGCCGTGCTGCGCTGAGCCAGCCACCCGCGTAATCCGCAGATAAGCGTCGCGTTACAGTCCGCGGGGGAAGACGTACCTCCGTAATAGCGACGCGGCAAAGACGCAAGAGCGGGAGGGAGATTATAGACTTCGTACATATAAAGTTTTCGGTTGCGACGGCTGGAGTTGTGCAAAGCAAGCATGTAGACAGATAGCGCTAATGCAAGGTACGCGCTGAGCTGTAATTTACCCGCTGCACGTGAAAACACCAGTTGACGTGCAGACGAAACAGCCACTCACGGTATTCCACGCGGGAGGACATAAGTGGCGGAGGGATACGGTGCACGCACGGAGAATCTCAATCTATTAAACTTTTTGTTGGCATTTTAGCTAGATACACGTCCATGGTATGCCCGTTTTCCAGTAGAGGAAAATGAAAGCCGACAGGTCAATCCAACGGAAAGGATGTACTTTTTGGCTCGGAAACTACGGGAGGAGAGGAGTGATAGTGACAAGGGCTATGCCCTGCCTTACTCCGCCCGCCCAGATTAGAAGAAGTACGGGAAACATGTGGGGTATAATCTGCATGCAAACAAACAAATAAACACATTACATGGGGGTCGTGTTGATGCCCAATATGCATCAAGCCGACCGATTTTATGCGTGTCTCTTGAATAGACAGTTTTGAATCATGCAACAAGGGGAGAACAAGTGAGCAAAAGCCATAGTGGTGTCGACAGTGGACGTGCAAAGCCAATGACCTTGGAAGAGAGATCCTGAGTCGATGACCGCCCCGTAGGTCTGATACTCGTTCGTTCTCGACCTTCGCTGTCTTGGCTCACACCGTGATAGGTAATTCTGATCTTTGATGGCACGCTGCCCGCAGACCAGGCATCGTGGGGTATCCTACTTTTCCGGGAGATAGAGCTTGTTCTTCCGTGTCATGCCCTCTTTCAGTTCTTTCCAGACATAGGTCTCGATCTTGCGGTAATGAGAGAACCAGCCACTGCCCGAGTCGTTGACAATCACGTCCGCCTTGACCTGCATCAAGTAATCCACGAACCTGGTGTCCGTGCGAGCCAAAGTGCGACGTCCTGCGAAGAGTATGTTGATTTTGCGTAGTTTGGTCTGACGAAGGGTTCGAATCACGTCCAGCAGATGCTCATCGCGAATATATCGGCGTGCCTCGTGGTCGAGATGCGGGGTTGCACTGGGTATGGCATCGCTAAGAAACAGACTGATGTCTCGCAAGTAGAGCAAGTTCTCTGGGCCAATCATCTTGAGGAATTGGCGGATGTCTTTGTAGCCGATCTCCTTAGGAACAGGCTCCCAGAACGGGCCGCGAGTTTTGGAGTTGCGCTCAAACTTGAACCTGTTCTCCCCATAGAGGATACTGCACCCCTCGTTGTGCACGAGCTTGCACGTGCTTAGGAACTGGCTTGATCGACTCATTTTGTCGGCATCTGGGAAGTATACGGCCGTATCCGTGACGAAGAGATGCCGATAGATTTTATTCCGCAGCTCTGCGGGGAGATCGGCGAAGCCAAGGGGCTTTTTCTGGCCATCTGAGGGTTCCGGCGCAGGCTCAGCGAGAATCTTCCTCGTTGCGCGTCCGGGTCGCATGTCGTACGCCATATCTTGCAGCAGCATACTCCGGTCCAGCTTCACCACCAGCGGGCCGTGGAACCCAAGAGGGACATTGAATTGAAGCTGAATGGGTGGTAACTTTGACTTCTTCTGAAACGGATCCTCGTCTTCAGATCGCTCGTCGGGAGCCTCGTTGCGAATCACGTCGTCGAGAGGCGGGGGTTCAGGAGACGGCGATCGCTTGCGCTTCCGCTTCTGCTGGTGCTTGATCTGTCCATCCTCATCTTCTGAGGGCGTCTCAATGGGCTCTTCGTACTCGTCTTCGATAACCTTGGAGTCAACATAGCCCGCCGTTGGTTTCGCTTTGCCCGCACTGCGGCGTATGGGTCGGCCGGTCTTCTTGGAGTATTGGGTCTTGAAGTTGGAGGTTCCGAGCTCTGGGCTGCTTTGTCGGTCGCTATCAGAGCGCGGGAAGGAGGTATCGGAAGCCATGCTGAAGTCCGCGCTTGTTCCTTTGCTATAGCGAAGTTGAGGTTAACGGTACAGGAGCTGCCGTGCCGTGCTGTGCTCCGTTGAGGTATTGGGGTGGAATCTGCGAGGTGGCAGGCGGGGCACGCTTAAGAGTAGCTGGAGGTCAGAAGGCGCGAGCCACTTTGTAGGCAGGCGTGTTGACAAGCGTGTCGAGGTCGCGTGAGGGCAGGCGCGATTGTAAACAGCCTTGGCGTTCACGAGCGAGCTTGAAGGGCGAGCTGGACAACCGAGTGAAAGCGGTGAAGAAGGGGCAGTATAGAACAGAAGATTGACATTGTCCTACAAATACATACTGGAAGCGCCTCGATGTGGAGATTAACGAAAGACACGGTACAAACACAGTCCCAGCGAAGACACGTCGCATTGATGTCTTCCTCTGGGCAGTCAATGAGCCGTGATGCGGTTGAGGGTAGAAACGCAGGACAGAACTAATACCAATCATAAAGTGCTTTGTCTCCTCTAGGTGGTTGGTGCCCGGAGCATGTCAGCAGCACCCGCGTCTGCTGGCTTGCGCCTGCAAAGCGAGGATGGAGCTGTCTCAAAGGCGTTGAATCATCTTGGTTTTAGTTCATGGAGAGCAGACGGGAGCCAGACGCGCGAGGTTAAAAAATGCGTGTCGGGGGCCGGGCCGATTTGCTCCGACGGGCAAGAGCTGCAGAAAGCGGAAAAGAGCATGAGAGGCTGGTGCGGGGGGCCAACAGCTCGGCGTTGCAGCGGTCGAATAGGAATCGATTCACCATCGCGCCACGGGATACTGACGGGATTCTCTAGCTCGAGGGCTACGGGCTTTATCAATTCTCGGGAGACACGCCGTCGTGCTCTTTGCCCTTCACAATCCCTCACAATGGCGACCCTGAGGACCGTTTGCCGGGCGCCTCTGAGGCAGCTTTGCCCCCGCTCGTCGTTCGCAATTGCTACAAACCATCCCAGACTGTCACCGCGCCAGTGGCGGGGCTACGCTTCGTCGGCGGACAGCCAGCACAAGGTGTGTATCGCTGCGGCTGTCGGTAATCAGCATGCTAATCAATCTCCAGCTTCTGTCCCAAAACCTCGAGGACATCGACCCGACCGTCTACAAGATCATCGAAAATGTACGCCCATTGCTGTCGATTTGGCTTACACCAGACTTACCAGTCCCGAACCACAGGAGAAGAACCGCCAGAAGCACTTCATCAACCTCATTCCCTCGGAGAACTTCACATCGCAAGCCGTTCTCGATGCACTCGGCAGTGTAATGCAGAGTATGTTCCCCAATATCACGCCACGGACATGGTCTGACGCGTCAAACAGACAAATACTCTGAGGGCTACCCTGGAGCACGATACTATGGTGGCAACGAGTGGATCGATGAGGCAGAGAGGCTCTGCCAGCAAAGAGCACTCCAGGCCTTTGGTCTGAAGGAAGCAGAATGGGGTGTCAACGTGCAGCGTGAGTCAATTTCGGTCACAGTTGCGATCTCCCAGCTAACGTATTCCCGCAAGCCCTCTCTGGTTCTCCTGCGAACCTGTACGCTTACTCCGCAATCCTCAATACCCACGACCGCATCCTCAGTCTCGACCTGCCCCACGGCGGCCACTTGTCGCACGGCTACCAGACACCCACCAAGAAGATCTCTGCAGTATCCAAGTACTACGAGACGCTTCCATACAGGCTAGATGAGAAGACTGGCCTCATCGACTATGAACAGATGGATTTCCTGGCGAACCTATACCGCCCGAAAGTCATTGTTGCGGGAACATCCGCCTATAGCCGTCTGATCGACTACGAGAAGGTTCGGAAGATTGCAGACAGTGTCAACGCTTATGTACTTGCGGACATGGCCCACATATCAGGGCTGGTCGCTGCTGGCGTTATTCCTTCTCCCTTCCCGTATGCTGATATTGTGACCACCACGACTCACAAGTCCCTACGCGGTCCCCGTGGCGCTATGATCTTCTACCGCAAGGGCGTCAGGCGGGTTGACAAGAAGGGCGTCGAGGAGAAGTATGACCTCGAAGGTCCGATCAACATGTCGGTGTTCCCTGGACATCAGGGTGGCCCTCACAATCACACCATCACGGCGTTGGCTGTCGCGTTGGCTCAAGCACAGACAAAAGAGTTCAAGGACTACCAGCAGACCGTACTTACAAATGCAAAGGCCTTCGCGGAGCGACTAGGCAACTCCAAGGAGGAGGGAGGTCTTGGGTACAAGATCGTCAGCGGTGGCACTGACAATCACCTCGTCCTCATCGACTTGAAGGACAAGGGCGTCGATGGCGCTCGCGTTGAGCGCATCCTTGAGCTGGTCGGCGTCGCCAGCAACAAGAACACCGTTCCTGGTGACAAGTCCGCCATGAAGCCCGGTGGTCTGCGCATGGGTACGCCCGCGATGACCACGCGCGGCTTCCAGGGCGAGGACTTCAAGCGCGTTGCTGATGTCGTCCACCGTGCTGTCGGCATCACGCAAAAGCTTGACAAAGAGGCGAAGGCCAAGGCTGAGAAGGACGGCAGGAAAGCCCCCGGCAGCGTTGCCGCGTTCAAGGAGTACGTGGGCGAAGGTGAGGATATCACTGACATCGTCTCGCTCCGCAAGGAGGTCGAGGACTGGGTTGGCACTTTCAGCCTTCCCTGGGTGAAAAACCCTTAGCCGAATAGTGTAGACACGACTGTTGGTTTAATGCATCATGGCGTTATGCGGGGATTTGTACATAGCAAACGAACCTTTCAACTTCCCTCAATGCCTCTTAGCAGCGTGTTTGTTAACGCTTGTTGACGGCTTCCCTCTTTGTTCATTTACTGGGCGTTGTTTCCTGAGCCAATAAGCTATACCCGTTGTGCCTTCCATATCCACGCCAGACGCAGTTTTCCAAGCTCGTGCATCGGCGGACTCTCCCACGACATGCCCAGACACCAAACAACCGTGATCTGATCATACACAATCGCCAATGTCACCAATTGTGAACTCTAGCTTCAGTCTGAGACTTTTGTCGATCAACTAACCGTGTCAGGTGAGCAGGCGAACAATTCTTGGAACAAGCGAAAAGACAGGACAGAATGTCTCACCAATATCGAAAGGCGACGGGCTGCGCAGAACAAGTGATGTCACCCAACGAGCCCGAGCACCTAGTGTTACGATGACTGAGCGTTCAGAGTGTCACTTCATCTGTTGCACGCCCCGAAAGTAAGCAGACAGTTCGCCCAGTACCCTCCCACACTCATGGCAGTCAATACAGCAGCACTTTACAACGTTCGCCGCCAATGTTCTAGTCGTCCAGAAGGAGACCTTACAAAGCGAGCTATATACGCACGAAGCTGGTCACGTTGCTACTATCTCTATTCTTAGGCGAATTGTAAAGTCGAGCTAAGATAAGGTGTGGTATTCCGCCACAAGCAAGCATGGTAACGCTATTGTATGCACTCTCAATGCAAGGATCTTACCTCGCACTCGACATCGTTCTTAACCGTCAGCAAGCCCCATCCGTTCAAAGGCGTTTCTAACGGTTGTCACACAACGTCGCCCTGAGGCTCAGCTCAAGGCCCTCCATCAGCATCTCTACATGCCACTGATGACGTCTTCCGCAAGATCGCCGCCCCACGTCGCGGACAGCAATTGCTGATCATATCCTCACCCACAAACGATGTCGACTATCGAAATTTCCTAAAATGAGTAGGATAGGTGCGCAGGGATGTACGCGACCACCAAAACACGCGAGCTATCGTTTCGTAGAGATGGGTGACGGGGGTTGGACCCTGCGTGTGTGGCTATCAAACCGCCGATCGGGCATCTCGCGCCATGACGATGCAACGTGGGCCTCGGATGGGAATGGTGATGAGCGTGCCGGCTACGCCGCTGCGGAACGCTACGGCAGCAACGGCCACGGTTACGGGTTGCGCGCGTCCCGTCAAGTGGATTGCGAGGCTGGTTTGTTAGCTTCGGTGGGTAAGTTAATATTTGGAGTGGCAGGGCCGCTGCGATGTTTGCCCCTCACTGCATGGGACGCCTGGTCTGCATATAAGGATCCTACATCTTCCATCTTTTCTTCACCATCATTGCAGCCAGCGCTTCTCCAAACCTCACGACACGTCCAGGAACTACCAGCTATTCCACGCTCGCTTTACCGTTAGGATACACGATACATATTGAGCAACATGAAGTCCATAGCAGCTCTGTCTACGTTGGCCGCCTGCGTCTTCGCACAGGCCCCCGCCTACTTCAGCGTCATATCTTCCCGCAGCGCCTCGCCCATCCACTTCCTTCCTCTGCAAGCCAACGGCGGGAAGTTCTTCCTCGGTGGAACCGCCTCAGGGTACTGCCCTTCCGCCGCCATCGGCAATGAGACATGCGCCCACTACCCCGGGAACACAACCACGCTTGCAGGCGGAAATGTGTCGCTCAGCCTGGGTGTTGTTGTTCCGGGTGGACAGCAAGGTACGTCTTTTCAATTCAAGCCTCAATCCGGTGTTACGTGCTAACAGGTCTTGGGAAATAGTATACGTCGCGCCAGATGGTACCTTGAGCTACACTGTAGCACACTCTGCCTACATCCCCGAAGGCAGTGTGCTCGACGGCTGGAATAAAACGGAGCGCAACGACGGAAGCAACCTCGGCAGTCTCTCCTTCGACGATGGATTAGTCGCGTGTCCTAGGAACGAGACGGAGTCGTGGCAGGTGTATGGTCAGATTGCGAACTTCACGGCGCCGAGCGATGGGTGCTTGGGCTTCAGTGCGGTCACTTGTAAGTTTGTGTAGTGGTGGGGAGAGTAGAGGAAATGTGACTGACAGTGTGCAGATAACGCTTCGGATGCGGCCGCGTGGCAGTACTAGAGAGTGGGATGAAGGTTAAGAGGGGGAAGAGGAAGAGCTGGCAGGAGGAATAAAAGAGTAATGAATTACGGCCCGAGAGTATAATGATAATGCAAGAATACCATATCGAACCAACCCCCCCACCATACTTCGACGTGGCTAAACCGAATCATCCTGTCATATCATGTCTTCTAACAAATGTCCTACATCTCGTGGACTGAGGAAAGAATTACCAATCGATCGACTAGGAAAACCCATTACAATGTGTTGGCGAGACTTTATGCCATACCCAAGCTTACCTAGGTGGCTCTGTCATTCACCTCCACCATATCTTTGTCTTTTTGCTACCTTTTACTCACCTCCACCATATCTCTGCCTGTTTGCTACCCTTCACTCACCTCCGCCATATCTCTGCCTGTTTGCTACCCTTCACTCACCTCCGCCATATCTCTCCCTTTTTACTACTATATATACCCGTTAATTCCCTTTACTTTCATCAGAATTACAGAGATGTAGTTGGCGTGTAGCTTACGTAGCCTCCGACGAACTCTGCTGAGGAAGACGGTCATACAGTTCGCCTGTGCGGAAGTTAGAGTTCGTTAGTTCGAACCATGCAAGCCGACAAGAACGCCCTCTTTTTGCGGGTTGAACTTTTCGGATACTGGTTACGCGTTTTGGAGTGATAGATTCAGAGCTTGCTGGGTGGGTGTTTGTGGCTGACTGCAGCAGAAGCAATGTCCTACACAAGTCTAATGTTCTGATCAATGTTGGTTTTAGCATTGCGTTTCCCCTCGGACAGGTATCTAGGCGTAACTTCCTAACATGGATATCTAAAGCGGCAAGAGCCAAGAATTGAAACTACATCCACAAACACAACTTCCCGCTCGCCGTCCCCGCAGCAACCCAGTCCCTCGACGGATGGAACTTCGCCACCGCCGGCACTGCCGTAATGCCTTCTCCTCCAAGTTGCGCCAACTGCTGCCCCTTCGCCGTGTACACATCCACAAAACGATTCATGTTCCCTATGCAAAAGCGCTGCACGCCATCCTCGGGGAACTGCTGCCACTGCGCCCGCAGGATGGTGACCCACCGCCCCGTTTGGTTATTATGCGGGATGACAGCGCTGGGCTTCATCTCGTCGTTCGTCAATGTATGTCCCGCCTTCCAGCTTGCACAACTGGAGAAATCGTGGATCTTGATGGTATCGTCGTAGCTCGCGGTCGCCACCTGGCCCGCTGCATTCCACGCTGCATGCGACACCGAGAGGCGGTTTTCATGCTCGCCGACCAGCGCGGGGAGCCGCCACTCGCCCTTCCCATTTATCTTCCTCAGATCCCACAGCTTGAGCGTGCGGTCTAGCGAGGCGGTTGCCACGAGGTGCGGTTGTAACGGGTGTAAGCTAAACCCTCCGATCTTCTTCTCGGAGAGCTGGAAGATTTCGAGACCAGCTGCTTTTTGTGCAGGCGTGCGCATGTCGTAGATGCCAAAGCGGCCGTCGAGCGTGGAAAAGTACAGCATGTTCGGATCATTCTTTGAGATTTCAACCCCTGAGAGGGGCGCGTCTTCATCGCTATCTTTCGGGCCGTAGATTTCCACCGCGACACCTTTTGCGAGGTCGAGTTTTCTCACGGAAGAGTCGTAGGAGGCGGAGTAGAGGGCGTTTGCGTCGTGGGGGCTGAATTGGAAGGTGTGGATTGTGCGGGTGTGCGGTTTAAGCGTTGTGATGGAGGGGCCTTCTACGTCTGCGTCTTCGTCGTCTTCGACTTTGATTTCTGTGGCTTTTTGCGAGCCGTCGATTATGCCGAGGTTGCCTAGTTTGTCGCCGGCGAAGACGAGGGGTTTTTCGGTGGTGGGGTGCAGGCCTAGGGCGTACTGGATCGCAGTCAGTAGCTGTACATTGAAGAAATGGTTTACATGTAAACATTGAAATCTAATCGAACAACTTACAATGCGCTCAGGAGTGATCTTCAGCTCGTTTGGTTCGTACTCGGGCCACAACTCCAATCCACTCATCTTCTCTCTTAACGCTCGAAGCTCCTTGTCCGACGTCTCCTTAACATCATCTACATCAAACGTCCGCTCATAAGGATTCGCCGGCCCCACAACATTCAGCAAACTCGTTATCGCATCTCCCCCCTTCCCCGCAACCAATATATCCCCAAAATTAAAAGCATCACTAATACGCTGTCTCTTCGCCTTGTCCGCCTCCCTCCTCGCCTCATGTTCCTCTTCCGCCTTGCGCTTCGCCGTTTCGCTATCCGCTTCGATACCCTTGAGACGGGATGATGTGCGCCGCGGAGCCACCTCTTCCTGCTTGATCTTCTTTGGGGCTGGCTTCTTCGGTCTGCTGGCTTTGGTGGTGGAGGCGGATTTTGCGGTTGGGCCGAGGCCGGCCTGAGCCGCCTCCATTTCTAGGTTGCGCAGTAGCGCTTGAGTCTTTGCGATGTTCTCTTGCCGCTTGCGCTCATACTCGCTCGGGGCGGCTTTGGGGCGTGCCATGGTGCCTACAGGGTTCTTCGAGATTTCAAATTGAGGTTATGGACGGAGCGTTCTCGATACGGCGGGCGGAGGAGTGCAGGGTGGGTACGGAATTCGTGCAATGGAATGATGCCACGCGGCTGAGAATCGAGAACACTGTAGTCTGCGGCATGATTAGAATTTAGGTCTATGATCGAAGTGCTCAAAGATTGCCCTACAGATCAAAAAGGGAATGAATTTCAAATGTCTGGACGGTGGCAAAGTCACGATGTAACGATAGAATGCAAAACGGTTCCTGAATATCGAACAGCAAGAGCCCCACGCGTGAGAGGTTCTCGATTGATGTTGATGATGACGAGTGAGGTGGCAATGCGGGTGAAAGTGCGACGCGTTCGAGACGCGTCGAAGCGAAATCACGTGGTGTTTAAGCCCCCGGCCCCCGCGTCCCGAGGTCAGCATTCGAACATCTGCAGCTTGCTCCACCACAGCCGCAGAAACACCATTCTAGAGCTGCCGAACGAAACCATGTGTGACAGTGGCAATTGCCGGGCCTTCCCCGCTCGCCTGCACGCAGAAATGTGGCACCGTTCTGCGTTCCTGATCGACAGGTGCTTGGATCTTGCTTGATCTCTTGGCGATGCGGGAAGCTTGATGGAGCTCTCCCCATCGATCAAGATCTAACCACGACGTTCACTTCCCATCCCACCCCACCACAATGGCTTCTAGGCGAACCTCTAGTGTGCTTCTCGGAACATTCCGAGCAGCCTCACGTCGTCCTGCAACTACATGGAGACAGCGATGCTGTTATCACTCTTATGAATATAACTCACCTCCGCCGTTCCCACCCGCCGAGTCCGCCATCCTCTCTGCCGCCCTCTCGCATGTACCAAGCTACGGATTCACAGCGGATGCCCTCCGTCTCGGAGCACGCGATGCCGGCTACATGGACGTGTCTACGAACCTGCTTCCGCGCGGCGTTTTCGATCTCATCAACTACCATCTCGTCAGCCAAAGATTAGCGCTGAAGAACTCAGTACAATTTCCCTCTGCAGGCGAGCAGGGCAAGAAACTGGGCACTGGATCAAAAGTGCGCACATTGACACTGGCGCGACTGCGGGCCAACGAGCCTATAATACATCGCTGGCAAGAGGCACGTTTAAAGCTCCAGAAGAGGGTTTGAGACATGCAAGAAACATGCGGCTAACAACAGCAGGCTCTCGCAATCATGGCACAACCTTCCTACGCCCCAGCCTCTCTAGCCGAATTAGCTCGCCTGGCAGACGAGATGTGGTATCTTGCCGGCGATGAAAGCGTAGACAGCAGCTGGTATACCAAGCGCGCTAGCTTGTCTGCCATTTATTCCGCGACTGAAGTATTCATGACTCAGGATACGTCGAAAGATTTCATCGAGACCGAAAAATTCTTGGACTCGAGGTTGGGAGACGTCATGAAAATTGGAGGATTCATTGGAGCTCTGACTGAGTGGACGGACTACACACGGCACTCGGCGGTCAACGTTCTCAGGAGCAAGGGAATGCGCGTCTGAGCGGTCTAGATGCGAGGATCGTCCCAAGTTGGTACGATATGGCAATCAAGTTGGTTCAGTATGGCAATTCATGCTCATACATCGGCGATGCGATCGGTTACGATGTCGGCCGTCGCGACGGTTGGAGGGCAATGACAAGCGTTGACAGGCCTCTTGCGCGCATCGCCGTCGCCTCGCACAACAATGGCTTGCTTGTGTGTCGAATTGGTGTCTTCATGCGTTGTAGGAGGATCGAAGGCATGGTTCATTACTGTACGGTATCATGTACTATCACATTCAAGAGCACATGAGCTCGACACTCAGTACTAGCTCGGTATGTTTCAACATCAGGGACCATCGCGACACGGTACTCATCCATCGCCGATGGTGTTACGTTTCACATGGATGAGTTCGATTAGCCCATTCTACTTACACGTGGCAGTCCTGCGTCTGGTACCTGAGTGCGATGCCTCCAATTTTGAGTGATCTGGAGGCGCTGCCGTTTCCGCGACACGTAGCAATTAGCCAGCTAGTCCGCTACCCGGACTTCAACCACGGCGTCCGTTCTCATTCGCAATGCGCTGTTTTGCTCCGGCCCAACCTCGATGATTGCCGTCTTGCTGACCACAGCTGGGCAGCGACCACATCAGCCCATAAAAGATAGAAGTTTCGAGAATGCAAAACTCTGGGCCAGACGCCATATTGAGGCCACGATCAAGTGCAATGACGTAATCTGCGGACCACGCCCTCTCAGCTGCTGCAAGCAATCGTGATCCCATTGCGCTCAGCTTCTCATTGGTCCGCATAGCGCATCCGAGGTGAATATCCAAGGGTCCAACAATGCGATGCTCAGCTCATCCCAATTCTGCGCCGACCAATAGCGCGCACGCGCACAACTCAGGGTCCAGTAGATCCGGCAGTCACAGAGCATATGACGTCATATTATGGGGCATCGTCGCTGGTGGCTCCGACACAGTTGGTTGCCGTGATGGTGATTGGCCTATACGGTTATTGGCGAGCCAAGATTTCTCTCAGCCCTGTGCGGCGGGTCTACCCGTTGCGTTGTCGTTGCTCTTCGACGGCGTGCATTGTTGTGTGGAACACCACCAGGGCACGAGTCTGGCCGGCGTGATGTTCATGATTGATTGCCACGACGGAACGGTGGGCAGGGTGAGCAAATCGGCACCATTGCGTTCTGGCTGTCCGACGACCGCATTGCGAAAACGGGCCGCGAAGTATTCCAAACAAGGTCGCGATCATCGATTATTGCGCTCGACATCGGTGCAGACAGCGGGGACCACCTGCACACATCAGGCGGCGTGAGATGTTGCAGACACAAGCCATCGTCGATGCATGTCGGCCGATGGGTCTAGGCCGGTTAGCCCTGTTGCAGGCAGGCCAGGAACGCCACTGCTTTCGCGAGCTCAGAGGTCCGATCTGAGGCAGTGGTCTTGGCATCTTGAAATCGCTAGAGAATCGTTGACAGCCCACACCCAAGATCCCGCGACCATCATGGGAGCCTCTTTCTGCCCTTACGCCCGCCGTTGGGGGGCCCGCGCCTGATCATCCAGTGCCAGTGCCATCTTCGATCCCTACCATCTGCGTCCGCGGCCCCAGCCATCCGAGTCCACAAAGCTGTCGTCCTCCATATTGCAATTCCTACGCTTCTGCTGCCCTGTTTTTGAAAGCATACAGCGCGCAACATAATCTTTCTATGCAAGCGTGCCGCAACCCGACCTGTACCCACCTACCCTGAGCGACAACCCGCATCTTCGGCACGATCCTACTCCTTGACTGACGATCCGGCTGCAAGTAGCGATCGGGGCTTCTCTAGTTCCTTGAGAGCATGTCCTGCACATAGTCAGCAAGAAGCTTCAACAATGAAAGACAACATGGACGCACCCCCCGGGCACGATACCGCCTCAGCGTCAGACGCCCCACCCCCGCCGACCTCCAGCGCACAAGTCTGTCTCCCTCCGCCATAGCTCTCCCACGGCTCGCAACCCACCGAAAGCCCCTACCTTCTACCAACCGCAACCCTCGAGCGTGAGCTCTCCCAATGTTGGCGCCAGCGACAAGGCCAATCCGCCCTCGAGCGTGTCGCCCCAGATCCTGTCCAACAAGAATAGCTCGGGAGAAAGCAGCGATGCTGGGAGGTGGTTTGAGAGCACCAACAATGCGGTGCAGAGTAACAACAACTTGGAAAGTAAGTATCGCATGTTACCTACTCATAGACATGCTAAGCATAACGACTTAGATGATCCACCGTTCTTCCTGCACAATTCTTCCTCGTCCGAGACCCCACCGGATGGCAACGTGCAAGACAGTCTGTACCAGCGAACGACGACTATGCCATATCGCCCCGGGGACGGCCATATGAACAGCGAAAGCGTAGAGGACTTCCGGAGTGTCATCGATGATCTGACTGTCGCAAACAAGAAACTGAAGCAGAAGTTGAAAAAATATGAGAAGCTACATGATTCACACTTACAAGATGAGAAGCTCTTCGAAGTGCGCTTTCATGGTCTCCCTGATCACAAGAAGAGAGAGCTCGAGGAAACCCTACGCAAGTTTGCTGCCGATCTGGATAATAAGTCAGAAGCAGGCTACCCCGCCGTCTCTTCCCAACCGCCCCCGTTCGATGCCCAAAAGACCGATGCATCCCGTTTCGCTGAGTCTGGCTATGCATCCATGTCCGGTCATAACTCGAATTCGGCTCGTTCGAATCAACCTTCAAACACCGCTTCCAGCAACGACAGGGACAACCGCCGCATGACGAAGTCGCAGTACAACCAACAGCAACAGAGCATCCAGTCGTACTTGCATGACATCCCTCAGGGCTTGATGCCGAAGAGCCACACGCCGATGACCGATAAGTCGAAGAAGAGGTTGGTGGTGCGTCGCTTAGAGCAGATTTTCGCGGGGAAGCGATCGGCGCCTGGTAGTCACCCACAGCCAATGCAGCAAGAGGAGGTTGCCCAATCAGCTGCCACGGCCGATCGCCGTGCTAAAGAAGCAGCAGGTCACCGTGCCAAGACAGAGGGTAATCGTGAAGCACGTATTATGCCTGTACGGGCGGACGATGAAGACATTACTGGACAACAAGAGGCTCCGGTACAGGAAGCTTTGCAAAAGCTGCGCCCGAACTTCCGTGTTAGTGAGCAAGACTTTGCCGGCTCTGGATCTCCCGACCAACGGCCCACAAGACCATTAGACCTCGACCCTTACCGCGCTCAGGTCCCTTCCGATAACATGGATTACATTCGACATCTCGGATTCACTCCTCCAGACATGATGTCCGGAGATTCGCCAGAAGATGATCACGGGTGGATATATCTCAACCTCTTGATTAATATGGCACAGCTCCATACGCTTAATGTTACCCCGGAGTTCGTCAAGCAGGCCGTCACTGAATACAGCAACACGTTTGAGCTATCGCACGACGGCCGGAAGATCAGATGGAAAGGAGAGCCAGATGCTACGCTGAGCAGTACTGGCTCCAGCTCAGAGTACCAAGGGAATGATTCTCCGTACGACCCGAATGGCAACAGCAGATCACCGTCGAAGTACCTCAAGACTGGAGGAAGTGGCAGCACGGACAGGTCTATGAACTCCGAACGAGCAAAAGCACGGCTCGCTCGCAAGCAGAAGGAAAAGGAACGAAATCAATTCTCCTACACACCTTTGTTCTTCCACGAAGAGGACTCCGACTATGAGCAAGACTCCTATGGGCGTGATGTAGGATCCTCAAGCCAATCTCCGTTCCAGCCCCAGCAAACCGGTGACTCTTCCGGCTTGGGTAGTTCGAACATGCAGAGTGCTTCTTCCAAACGACGACGCAACGACGGACCCATTATCTTCTACAGTAAAGCAAAATTTTGTACTGATCTGACAGGAGACAGCCGCGGCATTGCGAGTCACGCCCCGGATTCTTATGATAACATCACGAGCCACCCTATCGGGGTTTCTGCTTCTAACCCAAGAGACGGTCTTCGCAGGCAGGGTTCCGATAACTCAGAACGGCGCGGTCCGCTGGAAACGACCATGATGGACATCGACTCTCGGGAGGGTAGTCAGATCTTTTCGAGTAGCGAGGAAATGAACTTCTCGCCAGACGCCCTCAAAGATGACAACGGAACGGAGAGCCCTGATGCTATGGAGTTCGAGGCCTCCGGGCTGGGTGGAGTGCATCCAGAGGACAACTTCTCCATCCGCGTGCGTCGCTCACAGCAGCAGACCTCCCCAGCTGTTACAAGTACTACTCACCGCAAGTCACAACCTTACCAAAAGAATATCCAGAACGCTCTCAATCAGCGCGCATCTCCAGAAGCTGGGGCATCTTCCCCGAAGCAGCAGCACGTGATTAAAGAGGAGATTCTTTCTGCATCTCGTCGAACCTTGCCAAATTCGACACTTCCGCCCGCATCGTTCCTACCGTTCGACTCGGCTTCATCTGGAGACGTTGACTCGGACCTCGAATCCAACGTGTCTTCCAACCCTTCGACTGCCAGTTCTTCGGAGAACGATGGACCGGTAACCGCGCTCCACATGCTCAATGTATCTCCCATGCGAAGGGAGCTGTCAACCGCATCGGACGACTCCGCTGATGAGGAAGAGGAAGATGACAGTTCTGATGATGGCTCAATTGACCTCCTCGCGACTGCCCGCCAAATGGACCCGCTCTCCATCATCGCTTCGGAGCGCGAGTACGACGCTGCATTAGCTGATCGCCTCGCCAATGACATCCCCGCTGGCAGCTCAGCCGCCACAGCCGGCGGTGGGAGCGGTTTCAATAGCCCAGCAGATGCTATCGTCGCGGCCCTCGACGAGGAAGGCGAGCAGCCGAGGAGGGGGAGTAGGGTAAAGAGACAGAGCACCACAAGCGGTAGCATGTCTCCGCGGGCCAAGTTGAAGCGCAGCCGCACGCGCGAGTCGATCACCACTGCCCTCCAGGAAAGTTCCAAAAGACAGAAGAACCAGAAACGCGAGCGGCGAGATCTATAAACGCACACCTCACAACAGCACATTTTCATAAAGCACATAGGCGCTTGTCGCCAAGCATCCATACATACCGGCATAAATACGATACCCTTCACGAATGGCATGTACATGGCGTGGAGGACAAGCATGCGCATTAGGCAATGTCGGCGTTTGATTTACACGAGTTATACCCCTTTTTCTTTATGTGGCGTTTTCTTCTCAGTGGATGTGCATTCGGATACGCGCACAGCTTGTAGTATTATACTCGGCGTTAGTGCAGCTAGTAAAGGAGACCGAAATGGAAAGATGAGAATGGTTCAATCAGAATTCTTCAACAAATGCGTGATATGTACAAGTGAGTGTGTCAGACCATCTAAATGCGCCTGCACAGGCAGCTATTCACGTGACACCGCGGGTCCAACGTACGGTTTGTTGGAGCATTGAACAGTTAATATGATGATAGATAGCCACGGAAAAGAAAATAAAAAGTCGACCATAAAGCCGCATCATCTCCCCACACGCGCTGCATTACTCCTTCACTTACACAAAAAACCATCCATCTATCACATCAAAGCCCTCGTTTAGACGCCTCTTCCGCAACCTCTTTAACATCTGCACCCAAATTCAGTTAACGCACCTCACCCTCTCTTCTTACTTTCAAATACGTACCCGTATCACGCATACCTTCCCTCTGGTCCTGCGCTGTCCTCCACTCCTGTGCACTCTTCTCGCGCTCCATCGCACCCTGGATGTCTGGCGCTAGGGACTGAGGCTCTGTTCGCGCGGGCGGAGCTTCGGGATGAGAATACGAGTGGAGGCGTTGGAAGGCTTGTGTGTCGGTGTGGTACATTTTAGGGGCGTGGGTATGAATTCAGAGCAGGAGGTTTAGATAGAGGTTTGGGTTCGCGGTTTTGATTTTGACAGGAAATATGAAGGTAGGGTGATGTAGAGGTATACCTAGGTAGGAAGCAGGGCAGGGTAGGCTTGGCAAATGTCATACCTACGGTAGCGGGGATGCGCGCATTAGTGGCGTTCCCTGTCTTTTTAGGCTTGTCAGGACACGATAGGGCAACGTGGGAGGCTGCTATGGGCGGTTGGGCGGGTTGGATGGGGTGGGGGACGGGACGATTGGAGCTTGGGGTTGGGTGGGTCGCAGGAAGCAGGTTTGGGGTGTGATAGATATCGGTCGCGAAACCAGCTTTTTGGGTGCAGTTCGGGCACAGCAGCGGTGGTTTCCATGATAATGTTGTAAGAGGTAAGGATGGATTGTAGGTGGGTAAGTCCGGGAAGGGACCCTAAACGCTGGTAGCGAGAGAGGGTAGCACAAGGCTGGGATAACTGGTCATGCTAGACGACATCCTAGGAGGAGTTGTCTTCATACGTGTTTCGAAGTGAAGGAGACAACGAAAGCCATCCAGTGTTTACCATTATCGCTCTTCGCATTTGACGAAAGGTAGACGCTGCTGAAATGGACGCCACCGCCACCATCCTTCTTGACGTCAAGACACGTCGTCGACAACGCCAGACCGAACGCCAACATGTAGCAGGCCATGCACCTCACCTTGCAAAATGGACTCAGAAATGCAACATACCATTCTCAAGCACGCCTCACTTGGCGCGATCCGAGGTCTACGAGACCCAGCGACCTCTATAGTTAAGCTCCTCGGCCTACTATATGCTACTATACCCTAGCGCTTCGCACGCGCCGAACCTCTACAGTCCCTGCGTAAATGCATAAGATGCAGTAATTACGTCTTCGACGCCACAGCCCTCGGCTCCTTAAGCATCTAGCCTAGAATCAGCGTTATAGACGATGTCTTAAATATTCTATTGCCCACGGATAACCTCCCCACCGACGAAGAGTAAGCTGAAGACTGTCTGAGCCTCTCTATCCACCTCCCTCCATCAAGTCTCGATTCCTCAGCCCACATCCGTCCCGACGCAAAACTCCCAGTAAGTCTTCATCCAGTGGCGCCTTCTTCCTCGGCTGTGCGAATCATCTTTACCTAGACCACTGGATTAGAAGATATATTGGTGATGTTAGTGGCGAAGCTTCAAATGTGAGTGTGATGGGACAGAGTGCAGGCGGGGAGAGCATCGCCGTGAAAACGACGCGCAGGCCTGTGTTTAAGCGCGCGATAGCATTCAGTGGGACGCCTGTTACTATGCCCAGTCTTACGCTTGTGCAACACCATGAAAGTATTTGAAACATAATAGAAAGGTGAGTTCCTTGAAACAAGCGGAGGCACTTGGTTTCCGAACGGACGACGCCGGGGAAGAGAGAAGCACAAAGGATATAGCAAACGCCATGGTCCACATCGACGTATACCGCATCCGAGACCTAGCCTGGGGAAGGCGCCTTGTAGGGAATTCATACAAGGTGATGGAAGGGGGTAGGGGCTGGTTGTTGATGAGGAGGGTGTGAGCAAGGCCGGGGAGGAGGCGTGGCTTGGGAGTGATGGCGGGAGACGGAGGAGGATGTTTGAGCTTGGGCGAAGGGTGGGGGATAGGGGTGTGATGTTTTGTGGTGGATGTGTGTAGGCGGTTTTTGATAAGGGGAGTAGCATGCTTGAAATCTTGCACAAAAGATCATGGGAATTAGTCCTGTACGAGTACTGTTCTGATGTTGTTGTGCTCTCGACTATCAAACTATAGCTTCGTGCCGTGTCTACCGACTCCCCATTCAGCGGCTCTACTTCCACTCCACACTCCACGTCGCCTCGCCCCTCCTAAACGGCACAACCCTCACACTGATACCATCCTTCTCCAGCACATCAACCACCTTCCCTTTCCCTTCCTCAATACAACGCGCTCATTCCGCTCATTCTTCACCTGGTAAAACTTCCTCCCCACCCCCAAAGAACCCCTCCAGCCCCTCCAGACTGATCTCCTCCTCCCTAACCACACCCCTCGCCACACCCTTCTCTAGGGCATCAAGAACATACCCCACCGCATCCCCTGCGTAAATACCCCGCCGCCACCTTGTCCTCCCCCTCTTCTTCCCCTGATCATGCGGCGCGCTATCCGTCCCCAAAAAGAACCTCCCCTCGCTCCTCACCACAGCCTGCAGCAGCGCATCTCTATCCTCGGGCGTCTTCGCTACTGGCTTACAGAAGCAGAACGGGTCGCCCGCCCAGTCGTCAATGACGAGCGAGAGGTGGTGCGCCGTGATGGTTCCTGCAACCGTGGGACCACACGCGCGCACGGCGGCGAGGGCAGCGGCTGTGCTGCAGTGTTCGAGGATGATGCGCAGCTTAGGAAACCTTTCGTGCAGGGAGGTGAGTGTAGGCAAAAAAGCGGGCTCTGCGTTGAGGATAGTAATAGCAGCCCCTCCTTCTCAACCTTCGCATGAGAAGGCGTAGACGGGACTTCGCCATGGAGATTCAAGATCATGTTTTGTTTTTCCATCTCCGCGAAGACGGGGTAGAAGGCTTCGTAGGAGATGACGCCGGAGGAGGAGTTCTTTAGGTGGGTTAGTTTAGCGTGGGTGAAGGGGAAGGGGAGGGAGGCTTACGGTTGTGACGCCGGCGGGGTAGGACTTTACGCCTGTGATGCCGGCTTTCTTCGCTTCGCGGACCACGTCGGGGGTGATTGATTCATGGAGATATAGAGACATGAGGTAGTCGACGTTGGGCTCGATGGCCTTCAGCCGGTCACGGTACTCGAGACATTGCTGCACTGTGGTAACGGGCGGGACTAAGTTCGGCTACAACGATGCATCAGTATTGTATGCTAGGAAATCAAGATATAAGAAAAGCTGTTCTAACTTTCGTAAAGGTGGAGTATGCGGGGAAGCGAAGGGATCATACCATGACATACACCTGATTCACACCACCCTGTCGAATCGTCGGCGTAACGAGCTGCGACATCTCGCCATCTCTCAAGTGCACATGTGCATCGAATGCGGCCGGTAGCTCCAGCTCAGTTAGCTTAGTGAACTCCATGGTTGGCGAGTGGTTGTATGCTTCGGACTGGTTCCGAAGCCGGAATGCTTTTTGTGGTCGTGGTGGGCTATTTTACTAAATGTTTGCGCTAAACCTAATGAGGTAATCACGATCCAAGACCCCACACTGGTGCATTGTATTCGCAGAATGTGTACACAGAGTGTGGTAAGGGACAGTGCTTCACAGAAAATGTCGTAGATTATTCGTAACTATACTTTCATATCTAACCAGCGCGAAGCCAAGTCCCATCTCCTCGTCCTGCGCACGCCGCTGCGTTGCTTGCCCGTGAAAATCACCGTATCTGACCTAATGTGTTCAAGCGTATGGTCTCGGGCTGGGCTTCTTTACCGTCTTATCTTTTGCTTTGACTTCCGTCTCGACCCTCTTGTGCCAAGTTTGAGGAACAAATTCAAGACCCAAGCCCGAATGCCGTGTCTTGCGGGATACCTCGTCTTGCCATTCGCGCTCTGGTGTGTTCTCCGCAGTCGTGAACTCTACCATCAGGTTGTAAGGTTTTTCAGTTCCCTTCACCCGTTTGTTTGCACTCATTTTCTCTGCGGAGCTGTTGGCCGTACGGTCCTCGTCCACCTCGCTCTGATCTCGAGAGCGCTTCGTTCGCAGAGGCAGCTCTGAATCCGAGCGGTTTGGTGACTCTGCCGAAAGTAAAGCTGGGGTTCCCGGTGTGGCGAGGGAGGATCGACGGGAAGACGAAGCCACGGAAAAAGACTCTGACAGCTGTCGAAGGAAGCCTTTGCGGCTCATCGCGAGGGCCGGCACGGTTGCTGGAGCATCGTACTCGACCGTCGCATCGTCCCACGAGGCAGCCCCACGAGGCTTCGCTTCAAGATCAAAACCAAATTCTCGTTCTAGTTGTGCCTCCTGCTCTCTTTGCTCGGTTGGTATTCGGGATATTGTCGCGCTGTTTGATAGGGGTACGTAGGCATTTCTCCTACGGCCTCTTGGAACGGGGGGCTGGTCCTCCTCGTCATCAACTTCTGGGACAGTATTGGAGCTCGACTTGCTATGGCTGAAACTTGACGTTTTGGAATTCGTGCTTCGCCGGGCCTGTTCCTGGGATGTGGATCTAGAAACAGTTGCTGTGTCCGATGCACCGAGTGTTCGACTGTCGTCAGACTTGTCGCGCATATCAATGTCTTGATCGATGCTTTGTGCAATGCGCAGAGCTTTTTCCTCTGCCTGTGAATCCGTTGTTGGCCTTGGTATATTGACATAGCTCTGTCTCTTGACATTGATTACCACGGATACCGACCGCGTCTTCACTGTTCTGTGATCATCTTGATGCACTGCTCTCCGAAGCTCAAGTCCAAGTGCTTTAGATACCCGTCTGTCGACCGCGTTGCCGACCATTTTGTACTGGTCGTTGACATTGCCTATGAGGATCTCTTCAGGCGGGATATCCTGCGCAAGCCGCGCTTCTTCAAGAGTAATGCACCGATTCTGTTCCCAATGCACGAAAGGGCCTGCGCGAGAGTCATGTGGAGAGGGAGCAGTGACAATAGTGCCAATGAGGCCGTCCTTCTTGATGCGTCTGTAAGACTTGCCGCTAACTTCGCTCCTCGTCTCGTACAGATACTTCGGCACGAGTCCTCGTTTCGCAGCGTATTCGAGCCCTACTCCAGGAGGGTCTGTCGGTACATGAGCCATGCATCGACGTTCTCTGATATTCGGCCGGCATCGTAAGACATGATCTGGTGAGCGGATGCAAGGATGCCTGACACCGGCGCCGAGGTAAGGAAGGTGTCCCAGCTTTTCTCCGGGCGTGACGTGGCGGAAAGGCGTTAGCTGTGCATCTTGTACACCGAATCTTTCACCATTAAGAAGTCTCCCCACGCTCTTACTCTTGAATCCATCAGGGTCGCCATGCGTTGCGCGCGGGGGTGCAAGAGGGGTTCTTCCTGGCGCTGCGATTGAGAGAATCAGCCGATTCCGATGTTGAGGACTGCCGTAGTGCCACGAGCTCATGATAAATTGTTGGACTTGGTACCCCATCGATACCAAGCATCCAATAAGTTGGGAAAGTACCAGCTCCTCCTCAAAGCCCTTGCGCGTTACTCCCATGTTAACCACGTTTTCAAGAAATCCGTATTCTGGTCGGTAAACGTCGACAAATGAAGCAAAGGTCGTCACATGTGCCGCATTTCTCAGCGACTGTTCGCTTAACCAGTTTTGTTGAAGCTTAGAAAATCCTGGGCAAGGACTGCCCCCAGCTATAACTGCTACATCTCCGATTTTCGCCACAAGCTTCATGTTTGGTGACTCGTTCGAGAGCAGAGCGTGTAAATAATCGTCAACGGAGCCAAACCATAGCTTCAGCTGTTCTGAGTTCTCGGCGTTGGCGCGCAAAGTCTGTATAGCACGACCATTCATATCGACTGAAGTATGAAAGTGGACCGCGCCGCCAGCCTCCAGACCTTTATCTAGGTTACCTAAACCGCTGAAGAGGCTGAGTCCAGGTAGTTTCTTCGACGATTCGAGTGAAGTGTAGTCCGGTCCTTCACGCAGGTTTTGTGGCGCAGTAGTGAGGTCTTCAAGCCTTTGTCCAGCGTTGGCTAGGCGCGTTGAGAGCGTCCAGCAATGACCCGTCCCTCCTTGGTCATATGGAAACTGTACAAGTCCAGCGGCCATGTCCTGGGTTGAGAAGAAGCGCACGTAGCACCTGACTTCTATCCTGACACACTGTACATCTTCTACGTTGTCTGTCCAAACCAGTTCATTGGCGGCTGCACGCCGCTGAGGCTGGGAGAGGCCGCAGAACGTCTCTGGTCGAAATTTCTCTAATCGTAATAGGCGCCGTACCTTGACCTGCTTCGCCGTTGTATCGGCGTCTTCTTCTATAACGACTGGCTCCAGATTATCTTTCTCACGCAGATAAACCGTTTCTCCGAGGCGATAGGTTGTGGTGACTGACGCGGATGCGGAGCTTTCACAGGTACATCGAAAATCGGTCTCCTTCATAGTCATGAACGAGCTGGACTTCGTCTCATACTTTTGACGGACGAGAAAGTCGTTCCGAGTATTATAGCCCCGCGAGAACCATTGGACAGAACAACGCCTGACAACCTCTGAAGACAGAAGCTTGTGTTCTTGACAGTTACAGTTGTCTGACATGAACAGTTCCTTCGTAATGGGATAATCCGTTGTACTGATCGTAGTGTCCTCTGGTCTATACAGCCATATAACGTATAGACGTTGGCGGCCGTCCGCTAATGGCGTAACGCGTTGAACGTACCCGATCCATTCGTGAACAGTGGCTGCGTCTTTTGCTGCCTTGCGCCACATCCGGTTCTCAAAGTCGTCCGGGGCGATGCAAACCACATCGCCGACCTCATATTGCTTTCGATAATGACTCGGTCGCGAAGGCACAGCGGAAGACGAGTGCCTCTCTGAGGGGAACCCTAGCACTCTTACTCGATGTTCGCGAGTTGCTAGAACGGCACTTGAAGGCTGCATCTCCATGATCTGCCCAGCAAAGTATCTGTTCTTGAAACACTTGTAGACATGGGGAGTTGCAACCGTTTTCTCGCATTTCGGTTCGATCATACCATTGTCGGTCCTTTCGCATTGTTTCCATAGCGGATGTTGTAGCAGTACGTCGTCATTCTGTAGGCACACGGCCTCAGACCACAGATAGGAGATGTGCGCATGAAGGATCTTTCGAAAATCGGTCGATCCATAAGTTTTGCGCCACTTGCTAAGATCTGCGTTGTTCAAGAAGCGTCGCTGAAGCCAGTCATCGAACTTTCGCCGGAAGTCTGCCAGTCCCATATTCTGTTGCTCTTCTAAGAAATCCATAACGTGTTTACCGAGAGTCGCTACCCATTGGAACGCATCTTGAAAGCGTTTGTAGTGACGACTTGGAGCGCCTAGTCTGTACCAGATATCGTACCCCCTGTCGTTGCTGGTCTCTGGAGAAACGATGTAGACCGTGGTGTTTGGATCATCGTCGACACCGTATCCTTCAATGGAGTAACTTTTAACAGGGACACCCTGTACATAGTGTTGGGTATCTCCGATCGATAATACGCCGTTGAAAAACAGTTTCTTTCCAGCAAGGTCCATGTAATCCAAGGAGTGTAATTCGCCAATGAAATTGGTCTCTGGGTTAGTATATATCTCATAATCACTGACATCGATATACAGCGGCTTCTTCTCGTTCTCGTAGCCAGCTTGTTGATATGCGGCCCTTTGTTGAGCATTCCACGCAGCCTACTGCGATTAGCTTTCTGAGCTGATAGGGTAGTCTCAAAGCAAGACTGACTTTCAAGGAGCTTATTGCATCCACCTCTGCTTTTCTACGCACGGCATGTTTCCATGCCTTGTCATAATGCCGGGGAAAATGACCTTCGTCTGTGAACGTTCTTGTGCTCGATGAGGATTTGCGAATCACAACGGCTGGGCTTCGCGACCGGGGGTTCGTTCCGCCCTGGGCGGAGATTGGTGGCATTAAGAAAATCAAGGAGTGTTCGTGTTATGCGATGCGGTCAGACTGGTGACATTGGCGGTAGGAAGGCTAACGAAGATGACTCCTTCGAGGGAAAGCTGGGTGTGACTGTGCGCTGAGACGTGGACTGTTGAGCGCGTCGCAAGACTAAACACCAGGCAACCGTACAGGACAGAAGACACGTCGCGGTGAATAGACGTCGCGCTCAACAGATGTCGCAGTGTAAAGACGTCTCGGTCAAGCAACTTTCTTGCTCACTCCAAACACTGGTAAACAAGTAAAGTTGACAAACGGTAAGCAATCGCGCTGAAGGAGTCGGCGAGCCACTGGACTTTCACAAAGCAGCCATTACGCGCCCTGTATCAACGCGAGTTCAAGAGCAAAGAGAGACGCGACAGAGCGAGCAACATCGACAAGTAGCGCTGTTGTTGCGGGATAGCGAGTGGTTGCTGTCCGTTGAAGGTGTAAGGTATCGCGAATCCGCCAGACCTGTTCGGGCAGGACCAGACATCGCAAACGCGTCTGCCATCGAGATAGCCTAGATATGACCAGGAATAGAGTGGTTCTGATCTGGAGTGAAAAGTCAAGTGACGGTGAAGAGCAAAGCTGGGCAAATGGACGCAACGCAACGTTCAGTGTGGTTGTACAAGCTCCGTAGGAAGGCGGGGTGTTCGCGCTTCCTCAACGCGCCTTCACGTGCTTGACGCGCCCACGTAATCCTATCAGTTCTTGTAGAGAAAGTAAAGGAATATAGACATAGTAAGATAAGGAACGAGTCATCGGCAGTCTGGGAAAAGATGTCACCAATTGTTGTCTCGTCGAGCAAGTTGTGCGCCCCAAGCCTTTCCCCTTTTGAACACCGTAGATACCCATATGTAGGTAATATATACAGTTTAAATCATTCCGCATACAAGACATCACATAATACGGCTCACGGTACCAATCCAGCCGGCGGTCCATAATCCCAAATCCGACTACTATCATACGACTCCCTCTCTTCCTTCCGACTAGCCTCATCCTCCCCCCTCTCAAACGCTTCCTTCCTCTTCGTCTCCAGCCACTGATCAAGCTCCAGGATCATCTTGTTCAAAGCGTCAGCCTCCTTCTGCTCCTCATCCGTAATATACGGCTCCTCCTTGCCTTCCTCCTTCGCCTTGTCTTTTTTCTGGACAATCGCGTCAAACTCTGTGAACAGAGTATTGCGCTTGTTTGTCTTCTCTTCGAATTCCTCGTATTTCTGGCGTCCTCCGAAACAAACACCGTAGCCGTCACAGTAGCACGTGTTTTGTGCGGGACAATAGACCTCGTGGCCTGTGAAGATGTAGTGCCAGATGTACTCGAAGACCCGGCCTGAGTAAGTGTCATCCATGCCCGTGTTCAAGAGCCATTTGCGATAATGTAGCAATCTTTCGATGGGCACTTCCCGGATCCTGTCCCTGCTCAGAGCAAACTGCGCGCAGCAAACGCCTGAGAGTGATGCTGGAATGGCTGCGCCGGGGTGGATTTCCTCCCAAATGCTTTTGCGCCAGTATATCTCCTCAGGTTTGCGGAAGAAATCGAAATCTCCGCCAGGTCGGTCCAAGTGGATCCAATCGGGGCACCCGGGCTCGTGGTGACATCGAACATTCATGTATCCTAGTCTCGCGACTCGATCGTGGTTCAACCGCTTAAGCATACCCAGCGCGTCCTGCATGAGCAGGAGGTTGTTGTGCCAAGCATGATGATGCGCATGCATGAACACAGTAGTATCGGGCAGATCATCGTAGTGGTCGATCATGTACGACAGGTAGACCTGGAGGGAACTTCAGATCAGCAACGTCCTTTCCAATTGGTGGGTGCGCGGAGAGGACTCTCGTATCCAATCACGTACCATAGCCTCTCGTCCTTTGTTCTTGGGTATCTTGTACTCTGCATTCGGGTTGTCGACTTCGTACACCACCAGCTTCGCCTCGGGTATCTCTCCTTGCAGCCATCGTAGGTCCTCATTCTTCGTTTTCGGGATCACAATAGACCAGGTGTAATTTGTGCCTGCGGGTCTCGGTTCGCCATCCTTGAAGCGCAACGGAATGCCGAAGTCAAGCGGGTCACCGCGCAGCGACGACGTCGAGCTCGGCACCTGCCCAAATCTAATTGAGGAATACGGTGCGCGATCGAGTCGTAGAAAGCTCCAAGCTAGGATAAACAGAACAAGGACGGAGACGAGCGAGATTAGGCGGGGCGGTCCAGCCAACATCTTGCGTGGTGGATGAGACGAGTGAGCTCCACCGAGGAAGATGTTGGCTTCACGGTGGAGTGCGCCCTAGGAGCAGAGGAGGTGACATAGTGCAATCGAACAGGAACGGCGCCATGAATTGGTTTCAGGGACGCTCAACGTGCGAGCGCAGTGGGGTGGTTGCTGCTCCGACGTGTGCGGGAAGGTGCAAGAATGGGGCTAGTGACGCGTTTCACTCCGGCGGCCTTTTTACCCTTGCTGCAAGGGGAATAGATTGCAACTAAACACCCGCAATATGTATGAACACCTTTGGTACCACCACACGCCGGCCATGTAGGTAAGCCTGCTAAAAGTCCGTCCGGACGACACATGGCCTGAGGCTTCAGCTGCTAATAATTGCTGCGTTCAGCGATGAACATGTTTACTGCGATAAGATTTTCGCATGATGGAGCCGATAGATAGCGCTCCGATTCAACGTCTCGCGATGACATACGTACGTGTGCCCACAGGGACGCGTACCACTCAACATCGCTCAAGCCAGTCGCACGTGCGCAATAGCAGATGCCACAATCACCGGCACACGCGCTCAGGTATGCATGCGTCGATACACAGGGCAACAGGACTAAATTCCACCACTACCGTCTTCTTCTTCGCTTGCTCCCGTCGACCGCCGTCTCAACTCGGCAGCGAATTCAACCACTTTTTCTACGGCATTCCCAATCAAACACCTGTTTCTTCGCTCGTAACACAAGCTGTCTTCCGAGGAACAAGAATCATCGTTTGATTTCGTCATGCCTTCAGAGGCCGGCAACCCTTGCGTCCCAGCAGGCTGCGAAGTCTCTTCATGGGTTGTCGGCGGTGAAGTGCTAAAGTAGCTGCTTTGTCTCCCACCATTGAGAGCAGAGTTCGAGACATTGAAGGGCGACATGCCATCTGTAGCACGTTGTGGGCTATACCTTGTATTTGACGGACCCTTTTCCATGGAATCGAAAAATGTTGTCGGTGCTTCCATCAATGGTTCGACACTTCTTAAGACCAGTTGTGCTCGCGTCGCGGTTCGATCAGATGCTTGACTATTAGACGAAGCAGATATTCGCCGTATCTCAGGAATCTGGCAGGGAATAGATCTTGAGGTATCGACGGTAGGATCGCAGCTATTCCTCCTCAAGCCTATTGATGCCGGTTCTGTCGAAGCTGTGGAGCGTTTGTCGGTGTTGGATTGCGTCCGGCGAGGTCGCAGGGCTGATGGCATCTTGAGTCTGCTACTTGGGCTTGACGCTTGTGGGGCACTCGATCGAGGTGCTACTGCAGCTTCTGACGTTCTAGGATCTTGTCTCTTCGTAGGTTCGCACGTGAGCTTTGTTATCAGCCTTGTCCAAGGTGGTGATTTCCATGGACTAGTGACTGCGGGTGAACTACTGCTGTCTCCTGTGCCGTCGTTCTATTGACTGACTCTTTCCGCACGTTCATTGGTCATCGAGTCTTGCCAAGGGCGATACTCGTCATCGCTGGGTGCTTCCAAGGCATGTTGACTCCCTTGTGGGACCGATTCCGTGAGCTCGTCTTCTCTAGATAAACCGTTATAGAGGCTCGGCCATGGCGAAGCATCTGTATTAGCTCTTGCATGGTGGCCGGCCGCAGGGGCGAGTCGATGAAGTGTGTGAAGACGTAGGCTACATCAGAACGCACTGTGAGCTGGATGTACGAACTGTAGAGCGGTACATATCACCACTCACGCAGTGATCACCCGGCTACCCATCCTCTGTTGGTTGAGGGGAAGATGAACGCTGCTTGCTGGCAGTAGAGTATAGCAGGAAGCCAGCAATTGCATAGCGATGAGCTCTGCAACAAGATCAAATGCTTCAATGTCGGGAAGGTGTTTGATCGCTTGAAGAAATGGAGCGTCAAGTGGTGCGATCATCTGCCTGTGCGATGGCAAGACCTGTCCCTAGATGAGCCCACCGAACTCAAATACTGTAGATCGCAAGTGAATGCTGACCTCGTCTGTAGAGCGTGACGGACGCCAAAAGACGTCACGCTCCAGATGCTCTAGAAAGTCTATGACTTCAGCCATTGTCGTGTCTTGGGACTTTGCCAGGTCTCCTCTGATGAAGGCGTCTTCAGTATCATCGTCGCACACTCGTCGAAACAGGTCTGATTCTTGGAAGAGAAGGTGAAGGCAAGGAGACTGAATGTCTGTTCGTAAGTTCTGCTGAGGGACAATGCTGACACTGAGACGGTCTTTCCCATGCTGCCCTCGAGTTGGTGGTAGCATTAGAGGATGAGGTAGGTTCGGTTCGTAACGGAATCGGATGTTTCTAGGGATATCATGAAGTAGGTGTTGCGATGGGGATTTGTAGGTTGAGTGCTCGGAACAATACCCCAGTCCAGCCGGGACGAGCAGGAGTGCCTCACGCACCGCCCATGGCGGTATCCTCGTCTGCTGTTTCTGCGGAAGGCGCACTCTCCCTTGCAGCTACGAGTCGCGATCCGTCAGGCGTGGTGGACAACACTAAGCGTGAGGCCTCTCCGCGCCTAGCTTTTACCGCGTTGATCTGTCCCAAGAAGCTCGAAGATGCCGGTGGAGTCGTTCGAATTTCCGGTTTGGCCGCTTGACTTTCTGTCGCAGTTGCCGGTACAGGCGCAACCTCGCCGGCTGCTTCGGTGGCAGAAACGCGCTCATCGCCTCCAGAAGTGTCCATCGCTTCAGCTGAGGTCTGCTCATCAACTTTCGAATCCTCGTCAAAGAGATCATCCCTCGGTCGCATCCGCGCAACCCTAGCCACCAATTTCGCAGAACCCATTGCAACAAGATCTACAGAGGGCAAAGAGCGCAGCGGTTCGTTCGTATCCCCAGTAAGAGCGCCCGGCTTTGCAAAGATGAGGTCCGTCCCAATGATCTTGTTCCACTCACAACTGAGCAGCTGATCGTTGTACATCATGAGAGGATTCTCCGTGTGAAGACCTATTATCTGGATCTTACGGACCGACTCGTCGAAGTCTTCGACGTTTTGGACGGCCAAGTTGCTCTCGGCCTCTCGCCGCTCGGTGGTGATTGCCCTCAATTTGGTCGCAAGTAGCGTTGGGTGACCTTTTTGGGTTGGGCCACCAATACCGAGAGCGCCTTGAACTGTGGGGACATTGGCTAGGTCGACAGGGATGTAGAAATCTTCCGTCTCATTGTCGTCGTACTCGTACTCCCATTCGTCTTCTTCTGGTTGCGCCATTAAAATGGATTGGGTCGACCGTTCTTGATGTGCAGGTGAGCAGTCGAATGCACCTCCCGAGGTTTAAGCTTTTGTCAATGGCGCTAATCGTTTTCAGGCTAGCTCACATATCCCTCGCAGCTCTAGGGCCGGGGAGCAAAGATTCACGAGATACGTTAACGTGCCAACAAACAGGCGTCACCCAGGATGAAGAATAAAAGTGAAATTCCATATGCTCTTCATTGAGACGCTAATCCTAAATGACGTCCAACGCCGCGATGCCGCTAAATAACCCACTTTTACACTGCCCCGAGAAGAAGACGCCAATCCATGCAATGCCGCAGCCACCTTTTACAATAACTTCCAAGCTCAAGGGCCGACCTCGAACTTCAGCCTGATACCCATGCTAGCCAACTCCACGTCGAGATACTTCAACACACCTGGCACTGCTACAGTCGTGACATCGTCGCCACCTTGGTACCTCAGGCCCTGCCCATCCGACCACACCTCTGTCTTGGGCGCTGCGCTATCAGCCAACTTGGCGCAACGCCTGCACCTAACTTGAAAGACCTTGTTGTTCTTCCTCTGGTATTCGTTGACTGTCGGCGTAGTTGACAGGAAGGAGCCGCAGCTGCGGCAGATGGTTGCCTTAGTGTAGTCCGAACAATTCATTAGACGGTCCTGCAGCAGGAAGGCTGTTCCGTGGGCGAGCAGAGAATCACGCTCCATCTCTCCAACACGGATACCACCACCCTTCTTACGACCCTTGATGGGCTGTCCGGTGTACGAGTTGACCGGACCCGTGGTTCGGACCTGATACTTGTCGTTGACCATGTGCCTGAGACGCTGGTAGTAGACGACACCAACATAGATATCGGCAGCGAGCTCCTCGCCTGTTATGCCACTGTACATGGGTTCGTTGCCATAGTAGTTGTAGCCAGCCTTCATAAGCTGGTGGCCGAAGTGGTCGACCGCTGTATTTTGCTCGTCGAAGCGGAAAGGCGTCGAGTCCTGGGCTATGCCGTGCAGCGCACCTGCTTTACCGGCGAGAGATTCGACGAACATACCGATCGTCATTCGCGACGGGAAAGCGTGAGGATTGATGATGACGTCGGGTTGGATACCAGATTCTGAGAAAGGCATGTCGATGGCGGGCCATTTCTGCGAGCAGACACCCTTCTGTCCGTGGCGCGAGGAGAACTTGTCTCCGATGACGGGAGAACGAGGGACGCGGAGCTTGATACTAATTTTCTGGCACGGGTCGGCAGCAGTTTCTGAGCCAATGACGCGGACCTCCTCGACAAACGCAAGCTCATCCTCCTTGTACTTGAAAAACTGCGTCTGACCATCGAGGTTGATGTAATCGCCCTGGGTCTGATCGTACGAAACGTTGTGCCATGCAGCAAGTACGTCACCAGATCGCAACATGGTGCCGACTCTGGGTAAGCCATCATCATCGAGCGTCTCTCTCCAATTTGCCTTCACCACCCCTTCTGGGGCGAATCCGAATAGTCTGTTTACCGTCTTCGCAGACCTCATTTTGCGCTGCCCCTCCGCAAGGTCGCAAATTTTAGTCTTGTAGATGCTGCCGTGACCGAAACCACGCTCATGTGCAGATTTATTTAGAATCATTGCGTCGTCCATGTCGTACCCCGTATATGATATAACAGCCACAACAGCATTGGTCCCATTGGGAAAGTTGTCCAGGCCATACTCATTGTGTAGGGGTGGTCGCACGACGGGTGTTTGGCCAGTCTGTAAGCGGTAGGTCTTGTTGTCCGTTCGGTATCGCAGGGCGGTCGCAGGTGTTCCCATCGTTTGCTTTCCCATCTGACACTACTTAGGGGTTAATTAAGTAATCTCTAATGCTGATGAATGACGTTTACCTGGTACATATTTCTCGGCGATTGGTTGAAGTCGGAGAAGGGGGTCATGTTCGCGACGATGGAGAGTATGTTAGTGGGATCGAATTCGACATGCGTGGAGTCACCGGACACAACCTCGGGATCTGTGCACGCTATCGACATGTAGGGTTGCTCGAACGGTCCTACGTAGTCCAGCTTGTCGAGGGGCAGATACTTGACCGGCCTGTACATCCTAGCTGACTGCGATGACATGAAAATACCAGGGTATTGTCCGCCATTGGAATTGGGGATGTAGCCGATCTCAAGCTCCAGTGGTATATTGTGCGTTCCTTCAACCTTGTAGTAGCGAAGAGTATCCGCAATAACCTTGGCTTGCTTGGGTGAGCAGAAACCGAGAATACGGCCGTCAAGCTGTACTACCACACTCGCATCTAGAGACGCGGATGCTTTACTCGATACGCCCATCTGTGCAACCACTTGGGGAATCGCTGACACGTCCACGCCTTTTGTCATTATCTTGCACTTGTGCGCAAAGTGGTTGAGTAGTCCACATGGCGCACCGTCAGGGGTGTGTACCGGACACAAGAAGCCCCAGCTTTCAGGGAGCAGCTTGCGTACCGTAGTCGTCTTCATTTGGGCGAAGTAGGCGCCCCGATGCACCATGCGGAAGTGGCTGATGAATCGATAGAAGTTGAGCTTTTCTGCGACCACACAGAAACCTGCTGTCTGTTGTAGATCGAGACCTGTAGGACTGACCAGGTTTCCTGTCGAGAGGAAGTACTCCATTGCTCGACCGACATCTTCACCTTGCGCCCTTTTTAGGATCTTAGCCAAAAATTCCTTCTGGAACTCTTGAGAAGTGAATGGCTTCCATTCGTTTTTACGGCCCCATTCCTGCAGCGGGAACCTTATCGAGTTCAGCCACTCGTCCATCTTTTCCTTGATGATCATTCCATACAGCTGTCCACCAAGAAGCACTTCTTGGTTCTGAACAGCGTCAGGATTCTCCACCGAGCACTCGCCCTCAGCAAGCGCATAGAGCTTCCGGATCATGAACAACAACATTCGGAACTTGTCAGCATCGTTCTGTTCTTTGACATGGTAGGCACCCAGGTGTGGAAGGACAATCTTTCTTAAAAATTCCGTACCCGCGTCTTCGTCACTGAGGTCTTCAGGAATCTGCAGAACCACCCTAAACTTTTCACCGAGGTAAGCCCTGGTCATGGCTCGGGAGTGTAACCCATAAACCTTGTAGGTGCGCAAAAGCAATTCCACACGATCGGCCACAAATTGCTTCTCTGCGAGACCCTCGGAGTTTGCGGTACCAACAATGCCTTCGAAGATATCGCGGTCGTTCGTCTCCACTAGTGCCTTGAGCACCATGATCACTGGGATGAGATACTCGGCCTTTCTCCACGAGAATCTGAGGTTGACATTACCGTCATTGAGGTAGTGAAGTGCATTGGTTTGTGATGTCTGGTCGGTTCGAACGCTGCGAATCTCGACGCCAAGGGTGGTGTAGCCTGGTCCACGGTTCGTGTACGAGGGACGCTGGATGGCCATGGGGTAGTTACGGCGGGGCACAATCAGCATGCGAATGATCTTCTCGATGCCGTTCACGATGAAGTAGCCGCCAAACTCCTCCGTCTCTTCCTTAGCCTTGTATAACTGGGCCGGGCTCATGTTTTCAAGGTGGCACCGATTAGACTGTCACGAGTGCACTTAGCATATTGCAGCACCCGGTACCGTGGGAAGATCTTACCTTGAGCATAATGGGCACCTGCCCAAGTTCGCGCACCGTCTCTAGCCAGTCCCCGTTGTTGATCCGGTAATGCACACGCGCTCGCAGCTTCCCCCGGTAGCTGACATGTCGCTCTCTACACTCAGCTGGAAGAATGTTGCGGTTGCTGATAGACACCTTATTGGTCGGAGGCAGTACCGATTTATCAAGGAAAACATCCATAATCTTGACGCTCAGTCTGTTGCGTCGGCCCACCTCCTCGGGCTGCGCATATGGGTCGCCATCGAGGAAGACCTTGGTGCCGATCTCCTTGATAGCTTCGTCTAGATGGCCGCCTTTCACGAAGATTTGATTGAAAGAGTGAATGTGCGGGTCCACAGCTGCAGCGAGTGTCGGATAGGCGGTGCGGTCCTTGGGCGGATTCTGGAAGAGCTTCTGGCGTCGCGCCGTATCGAAGTCGGTGGACCACTGCGTGTTGGTCGGCGCGGGCGCCATGGCTGCGGGAGCGCGCGCGGGGATGAGGGTTGTATAATCAATTAGTATGACCCTGCAGTTTCATGTCCTCCACGGCAAGAAGGCGGTGCTATGCGGTGTGCGTTCAGGTGCAGTGCATTGCTCCAGAAAAAAAGTTCAGAAGTTGCATAGGCTCCGGCGATAGCGCACCTATCGTAAGCGAAAGGGCCCGTGCTCTCAGAGCTCTCCATCTTCGGTCACACGCCGCTTGGCGGCGGCTCGACTTGGGAACGCACAAGTGCTTCTTTCTTGGTTCTTTTGAGCGGCACGGCTTCGTCTCTGCTCCTTCACTGCGCGGATGAATTGTTAAGCTGCTGCTGCGAATTCGTGCATTGTCATTCTATTTCGCCGAAGCGCAGGTCACGTTGTGATCGCCAGACGACTGCCCCGCAAGGATTCCTAGTCCTGCTGTAGGTTTCCCTCCCAGACGCTCATCATCCGTCCTGCACCTGCGCCAGTCCGCAGCCCGACAACAACATCACCTCGCAGCCAAACCTCCGCCGAGGGACGACAACGGAGATGGCCAGCATCTTCCGCCGCATCTACGACTGGCTCCTGCGCCTGTTCTGGTGTGTATTCCCCTCCATCAGCTTCCATCCTACTCCACCCTCGCCCGCTAGGCATGCGCCATTTGCTCCCTTCCCATGATCAGACTTCTATCGACGAAAAAGCAAAATGCGCCCGACGACACCAAGTTCGATTGCTGATAGGCTTTACTACGCAGGGCGACCGAGATGGACATCACCATGATCGGACTGCAGAACGCAGGCAAGACATCGCTGCTGCGAGTTCTGGCGGTGAGTCTCGTCCTATTTCGGGCATGCGCGTGTGACTAGGACGATGCTGCGACGAGGGCGAAATGACTGACTGCCATCTAGGGCGGCGAATTCACTGTCGAGTGCGTCAACATCTGCTCATGTAGCGCAAGCCGCCGGCACTGTTTCGATGGTGTCCGTTTTGGCTGCGTCGCGCAACCTTGAGCTCCCTCTTCGCTAGTCCCTGCGCTGATACTTGGCCATAGCTCCATCCCGACTGTGGGCTTCAACATGAAGCGCGTCCAGAAAGGCCATGTAACCCTGAAGTGGTAAGTGTTTTTCGATATCTGCCCCGGTCACGCACGTCCGTCTCTTGCAGCGCCAAGCCTGTGCGAACCATCCTTCTGGGATGTAGGATAATCTACCCTGTTGCGCGAGTATCTGCTGACCACCATCGTCATTATAGTTGGGATCTCGGAGGGCAGCCTCGGTTCCGTTCCATGTGGGAGAGGTATTGTCGCGGCGTCAACGCCATGGTGTAGGTCCATCTGTCCGGCAGGAGTACTTCGCTCATCGCATCAGCTTCATCGTCGACTCGGCGGACAGGGATGCTCTGCCGGTAGCACGTGAAGAGCTGAAGCTCTTGCTAGAGAAGCCCGCGCTGGAAGGCATTCCTTTGCTGGTCCTCGGCAACAAGTCCGATCTCCCTAACAAACTTTCCGTGGACGAGCTAATCGACGCCCTGAACCTCAAAGCGGTGTCGCACCGTGAGGTGAGCTGCTACGGCATCAGCGCGAAAGAAGAGACCAACCTCGACGCTGTCCTGCAGTGGTTGATCGCTCGCGCAAGCCGATAGGTGTTGTTCGAAGGTTGCTCGGACTGGAACGTGACTTGCACGTCGCCTCGCGACCACGTGCCGACTCGATGAGGCGTTCAACTTTGGACGGATTGCTGGCTTCATGACTCCTGATTTGCCGACATTCTTGCGAATGCGGCTGTCAGCTTTAAACGACATACTTAATGATTCTTACGACGTGACGGAAAGACAGACGGGCAGTTTGATCTGCAGGCTAGCGATGGCCATCTCGTTCTCCTGTTGGCACGTTTCCTTGTTTTGTTGCATTCTCACTCCATCAACGATAGCGGTGGCACTTCGTTGCGCATGTTTCCCTTTGAAGCGGGCGTGGATACGATAACGACTATTGGCATATTGTGTATCGTCTTGTGTTCTTTGAGCGGTATCATGTCGTTACGAGCAGCAAAAGCGCTGCACTGGAACATTTGGCGACGCTTGGTTGGCGGTATTTACATTCTAAGACGCGGTATCGGCCGTGGCAGCTCTTTTATTGGGGTACTATTGTTCGTGTTCGTAACATAATGGTAACTTCCTCTTCTCATATGACGAATTGGGCTGCTCGTGACTCGTAGTGAGGCGTGCGCCGTGACTTGCGCTTTGGAGCGATCCAGTGACCTTTCCGGACATGCGCCGGTCGTCGTGACGATGAGTGTCTTTGGAACAACAGTAGAAGGCATCTCGCATCCTCAAAAGTCGAACCAGTGCCGTCGCTCGCCTTCACTCGCCGTGACAACAGCCAGACAAGCTAAGGCAGCTCGTGTCGCGCCTCGAGGGGAGCGCATCGTCAAGCGCATGACAGCCGCTTCGCAACGCGCACCGCGCGACAACAGCAACAGCAACACAATCGCATGCGCTCGCAAAGGAGAGGAAACAAAGCGGACGACAAGAGCCAACAGCGAGAACGCACGCCAGCTGGCAGCTCGCACGCAGTTATTTCAGAAATTCCCTTCTCACAATTGCTGCGTTGACAACTCACCGTGCATTAGCGGGACCCAGGGGTTAGCTGGCCTGGGAAGGGAAAAGGACGACATCCCTGCGCGCCCATCGGGAGCGTATGCGAACGCCGATTGTGTTAGTCGTGGCGGAGGCACGGGATTCGCGCGGGGCGTGTGGCAGTACGGGGAGGGCCTTGTGGCGCAGAGGGACGTTCTCTGGCAGGGCTGAGGTACTGGGAATCTTTGGTGAGATTGGGGATTTGAGTATGAATGAGTAGTGCCTTGGGTATTTGGAAGACGGAGGGGAGACGCGGTGGGAGAACCATGTGCGAGCCAGAACTGTGTTGCAAGTTACGGTGCGATGGGGTGACGTGAACTCCGGTCGCGCATGATCGGTTTCGGCAGAGCAATACCAGATGCTCTGGAGTTTGCAAGTTATCCTTCTGTTTGCGTCTACCTTTGATCCAAAGAAGGAGTGGAGTATCGTAGCCATCACGGGTAGTTCTTGCCGGTTACGTCCTTCACATCGAACCTCGCAAGTCCCGCTAGCCATACGAAGGTAGTAGCATGCGGATATCCGATTCGCCCAACAAATCGTTATGCCTTTGCTTCAAGTCCGTAATAGTCAGCGTTTACTATGATTTGAGTACAGATGCGCATCAATGCTCGTCTTTGATTGCGGAATTCGGCAACGTTCCATGTGTGAGTGCCGTTTAGTCGTCGTCTCAGTAAGATCACACATCAACATCTCAACTTGGACATGCGAAGGCAATAGAAGCGTCGTAATTGGCTTCGCCGCAGCAGTCATCACGCCCTCTCCAAGCCTCGTGGACAGATCTCCGCCGGAGCTGTTCGCAAACACGCCGCTCGATCCGGTAACAAGTTGGCAGGCACGCCACGCCGCTTGGCGTTGGCTCAGCCACAACGATCCCTGCCGGCGTCACATATCTACTCCGTCATACCCAGCATTCTCCGCCTTTGTTCTCATCTCCAACCTCTAACGTCACACTTCACCTCTTTAGCACCTGTCTAGCACCTCTAAGCGTCCATATAGCCAAGATGCCGACGCTGGTTCCAAGATACTACGAGTACGTACAACCTGCGCCATCAAGCTTTGCTTTCCTTTCCAGTGTCTGGCCACCTCACAGCCCTGCTCAAGTCACGTCACGTCACGACCTGATATATTATTGCGGACCCCCGACTGAGCGGCTTGTACCCTTTGTTTCTCCGTTACAACAATTCTTCCCGTGTGCAACCAGTCTAACACAAGATGGCTAGATGTCGCGATCAATATGGTCGATACTACTACTGTAGGAGCGCGTGGAATGACTGGGTTCGCTGGGTCGTCCTCGCGGTCGTCGTCGTCGGCTTCTTCCTCCTCTTCGTCCTATGCAGGTTCGTACTATCTTCCTACGAGACTCCAATGTCCGGACACCGTGTTGTGGCTTGTGATATCAGGCTACATTCACAGTGACCCGACACTGGATGCTCAACGATGTTTCGTATTCCGGCTAACATACTTCCAGCTGCATAACTGCCCGTCGCCGCCGCAAGGCTGGTCAGCGCCCCATGTACGGCACAGGCTGGGCCGCGCGCCCTGGCTACGGCAACGCACAACCCTACTACAACAACAACTACCAGCAACCTCCGCCACAGTACTCCGCGCAACCTCAGGGAGAAGGTGGATACTACGGAGGTGGAGCGAACCAAGGATACTACGGCAACAACGGACAGACCCCTTACGGCCAGGCCAACGGCGTTGAGTTGCAGCCGCCGCAACAGGCACATCAGGCTAGGGGCGGAGAAGACGTGTACTCGCCTCCTCCGGGACCGCCACCAGGCAAGGGTGACGGTATCATCAGGTAGATGAGCTTCGCAAGCAGGGCGGAGAGATGATGAGGGCGTTTTACGATAATATGGTTTCTTCAAGCGATGGAGTTGGGTCGGATACGGGCTTTTGAGATGACCATGGGCACGGAAAAACAGATCTGACGCCGGCAAGGCGCTTCCGATCCGGTCTTGGGAATAACAGTACGATACCTCGATTAGTCCTTATTCTCTACTGTATAATCTTACTTTTCCGAATTTCGTATCGAGGACTTCGTGCATTGATTATCTCTTCGTGCATGGACCACTACACGGTGTGATACGGCGGACGAATTTCAGCATCAGCAAAGAAAGGGCACAGTACTGATAAAGTACGTGAAGGCTTCCAGGAGTGTTCTGTTTCTACACCATCCGCTGTTGTGTGAGCGAACGTAGGGTTCGACTTTCATTGGCTGTAACTCGCACGGGAGTAGGTAAGCCTGATGCTGTAAAAGGAAATCGTTGCGTAGTACCGCGGCACGACAACTACCGTGCTACCTTCAAGGTACCTTCGACGCGCACCTCAAAAACATTCAATAACAATCGTCTTCATTTTTAAATTTACTTCTCGAAATTGCTAACAGTACAGATTCGCCAATTGTGGGGTTAGCGGAGCGCCAGCCTGTACGCAAGCATGAGCATTTCGGCATGGGCCGAAGTCTTACAACGTCAATCGTGGAGACAACCGAGCTCCTATGCGGCGCTCATCGCTTTCGTCGTACTCGTTCTTACACTTACCTATCAGCTCCTGATCAAATCGAAAGCCCGCACCAAGTTTCCAGTGTGGGCCACGCTTGAAGTTGCGCTAACTTCCTACCTTCTCGACCAGAAAGGACAAGGTCGTCGCATACTGTGAGAGCGACCCAGCATAGTGATCAAGACGAGAACTGACAACCCCAATTCCAGATCTGCACTTAGGAGAAACGATGGTCCCCTCTTTGGACTCACCTCCAAGCATCAAATGCTTGTCGACCCGCCGCAGGTCGACCGTCTTATGGCGCACGCAGCTGGCTCTATCACCGCCGCACCAGTTCAATACACACTCATGACTCGCGTATTCGGCACCCCGGACTCGCCAGAACTCGAAAGGAAGTTCTTCACTTCCTGGAAAGGATTGACTGCTCCGGTGGAGAAACTGTTTCTGAACGATGCTGCCGCCACAGCTGCTTTGGAGCGTGCCCGCATACTCGAAAAGGCCAACTCTTTCGTGACGTTCACATCTGACCGCAGCCTTATGAAGCACTGGGAGCGCTCCGCAGACATCCGAGTAACGTCAAGCGGTGGTGTCCAGAAGGTGGAAGCCAGTCTTCAAAACCTGAGTCGAGACTTTGGAGCCTGTGTCGCGATCCCCCAGCTCTACGGCCGAGACTTCATGGCTAGGTATCCTCAGGTCCTTGACGACCTTTGGAAGTTTGACAACGACCTCTTTCCCCTGATGATGATAGGGATCCCAGCGTGGGCTCCCTTGAAAATCGTTCGCGAAGGACGTGCAGCACGAAGCCGCATTATGATCGCAATCGAGGGCCTATACCGCCGCATCGACCAGCACCAACACGGGAAACCTATCGATTTCAACGCAGATATGTCTGATGTCAGTGACGTCGCTCTCACGCGAAGCACCGTTTACGAGAAGCACAACTGGACATTTCCCGAACGCGGAGCCTGCGATCTCGCGCTTCTCTGGGGCCAGAACGCAAACACGCAACCAGTAGTCTTCTGGCTACTAGCATACATGTACTCGACTCCTGGTCTCCTCCCGCAAATCCGCGAGGAGATCGTTCCGTATCTCAGCACTTCCACCTCCGGAGAGCTGACCGCCCTCGACATCCCAGGCCTCTCGAAAAACTGCCAGCTCCTCAAAGCCTGCGTATTCGAAACCTACCGCCTCGCCATCGAAGTCACCTCCATCCGGCACGTCTCCCGCCCCATCACGCTTACCGATGGCGAGCGAAAACACGAACTCAAACCCGGGAGTTTCTTCTCTGCACCGCTCTCCCTAGTTAACCACGACGCATCCGTCTACCGCGATCCCGACATCTTCGACCCCACGCGCTTCCTGGAGCAGAACGACGCGTCTGGAAAACCGGTTGCTCGGTACGGCAAGCTGAAGCCGTGGGGCTCGGGCGCAGCGATGTGCAAGGGGAGGACGTTTGCGGAGAAGGAGATAATGGTGCTGGGGGCGGCGATTGCGGCGGCGTGGGATATTGAGCCTGCGGGTGGGAAGTGGGAGTTACCGGCTATGGTTCCGGGGACGGGGGCGAAGAAGCCTGTGCGGGATGTGAGGGTGGTGATTACGAGGAGGAAATGGGAGTGAGGGGTTTGTCACTATCGTTTGGGGAGCTTGGAGGAGCTCGGGGAATAAGTGTGTAAGCTGTTTATATTTACATTCGTCGCGTACACCGCGGAGTACACTATCTCTTGAGAAAAATTTGTTTCGTTGCTTGTTGGTCACAATTCTTACCAATAAGCTACAATGCCTCTCTTATCTTGGTCTTCTATCTTGTAGGACAAAGAAGGTAGAACAAGTTTTGTCTATCCTCAGATAGGGGAGCTATCTTGCAAAGGAGGCGGGATGAGGTCGAGCTCGAATGTCGAGCCCGAGAAGCTGGGAAGCAGCACATCGTAAGATGTTGAAGACTGCGCAACATTCTCTGTGTTAACCGTCTCTGAAGTGGGTGAATAGTCATTGTGCCGTATATCTACAGAAACCGATCAGCCAAGGCTAAAGAGAAAGATAGAGCTGCCATACCAATTTCTTCGGTCTCTCCCGAGTTGCGGCGCCGGTATTGCAGGACACTAATAACAAAGCCTCCGATAGTGAACGTAAGGCCAAGGATTCCAATGACGATGGGTGGTACAACACTGAGAAGGGGTGGTAACGAGGATGTCGAGGTAGGGAAACTCATTGGTTGATCCCTCGGGAATTGCCCTTGGTGCGTTCTGTGAGGGTGGGACGAGGCCTGCAAGACAAGAGCGGGCATCAGTGCAATAACTTCATGGAGATGCATGATCCGGTGTTAAGTTCTGGATTCAACGGTTAGTTTGATATTCATAAGAACAGGCCATGTAAAATAAGGACGCAGTTCTGGCAGGCAAGGCAGAGCGCCCCGGATTGTGCTTACGGTTCAGCCTTGTGGCGGGTGTTCAATCACAATCCAGCTGGAGAATGCCAACATAGCCACTCGCATCCTTCCAGTTATCGATAACATGTACGGTAAGAGTCAATGTTTGGAAATTTCTAGTTAGTAAGTCGCCTTCCAGCCTATAATGGCACTACATTTTAAACCATGCAAATTCAGCCTACATCCCGGTGAAGCACGGCCGTTTATACAACGACGGAACGACCAATGGCGCCTATCAAGGAACTACATCTAGGCCAGTGAGAGGAGTCACAGGAAGGTGCGGCTACGTAGATACATGGTCGTCGCTTCAAAGGCCCAGCTGGCCGCTATGTTATCCAAAGCACACATAGCGGAAAGATCTCCTAAGCTCGCGTTACAATGACTCTGAATTTCGAGACGTCTTGAAAGAAGTGTAAGCGGTTTGCATCCTTCCTACTAAGATCGAGCCTTGGTCAACCTACTGAATTGGTTGAACATTGCTTGTATCAAGACTGAAAGGTCCAAATCAGCCTATTGCTTATGATCTAACTTACCGATCTGTATGCTCGCTTGCGCGTATCAACCCTTTCAATTACCGTCCTAGATATTTCTCTTTCACATTCCGTTCAGCATGGTTTGGCTTCTGGCTTGATCTTGCCATAATCATGCCTATTGGTATAAGCGATACTTGAATAAATTCTAAGCCTGCTTCGGTGCTAGCCGCGTTGCCGCTTATTTAGCGCTCGTCCCAACGTATTGTTTTCACGGTGTTCTTTTAAAAGCTCACCTCTCGAGCTTCCAAAGATTCACCTAATTATCTGTACGCAACACAGTTCATCGTGCGCCCTTTTCGGGTCCGAGCACACTGGCTTCTTCCTATTTCCTGTCTAATTGCTTTCCTCATCACTCGCTGGCATACATTCAATGCCCTACGATAAGTATCTACCGCGAGCTTGTCGACAATATTAGTAGCTATCTTAGTCACAACGATCTCGAGAACGAGCTCTTGCCATTGCGGCAGTTTGAGCATGCAGCTGGGAAATACTCAGCTTTTCCACATACACATTAACAAAGGACAATGTGGATCGCTTGGTGGGAATCTATGGCGGACGCTGGCTTTTCCAACTTTACTGCATCTTGGGATGTTTATAGGAGGTGAATGCGTTCGGGTCGAATCAGGCAACAGCCTGACGTTTACGGCAAGCGCAATACAAGCGACCTCGTATAAAGCATGGACATCCACCTCCAGCTTTCACATTCGATCACTTCCGATAGCAGTGAACACCGTACAAGTCTCTCGGTCTGGTCATACAAGGGACCAGATATTAGACACATCGCGATGAGCATTCCTAGCCGACCCCGTGTCCGCGCCCCTCCTCCTTTACCGCCACGCAAACCCTCAAACCTACGATCGACACATGACAGCCGCGTGAGTCTGCTCTTTAACTTATTGAACGCAATACAATCTGATAAGATAAAGCGAGCCAAATACAACTGTAGTTGCGGAGACAATTCCGGAGCAAATGCCTGTACCTGCTCCCAATGTCAAAGTGTTCTGCGAAACGGCAACTCTCCGTGTAGCTATTACGGTCGTTGCGTTGAGCCACTTGCATGGAACATTGAGCATGAGCCAATATTAACTCAGGCTTCTTGTTCGCTCTACTCTGTTCTCCCCAAGGAGCTTCGCGACTTGATATTTATCTATGCTCTGACAGATACGAAAGCACACTCCTTCGAAAGTATTGTCCACCGCAATCGCGCGCGATTCAGAATGAGACTGTATGGAACTCGACGCGACGACATCGCGACTGATCTACTGCGCACATGTCGAGCCACTTATCATGAGACGTGGATGCTTCCACTCTCTCTCAATCCATACATATACTACGATATAAGTGATATTGTACCGTCTACTCTAAAGCTCTCGGGATTTTATCCCTGGCAGCTCGCGCTGATCCAAAGCTTGGATATCACACTTCCGCAAGTTGCTCTTGAGGGCAGATTGTTTCCGGGTGCGTTACAAGACAATCTCCAAGGAAGTCGGCGGTGGCAGCTAGAAGCGCGACATCAAGGCGTTTACGTGGCTCCAAAAATATACAAATCTGACGGTAAAGAAACGAAACTCTTGGAAACACCCCATTCTCCCTCGGAAGAGTTTGCCTTTCTGCCCGCAGAAAATGGGCAGGAGCGACATTTCCTTTCGCATGTGCTAGGCAAAGACCCCATCTATTCGAAAAGGCCTTCAATACCCTGGTCTTCGGCTATGCGAGTTTTGCGAGCTCGGCCAATTGTCCACCTCACACTGCGTATCCAATCTTCCGGCTGGTGGACGTGGACCGATTCCCCGAGCAGCTCTGACCCACTACAACAACTAGGTCTTGATCCCGCCATTGGTGACGGCGATGTAACCAACCGACCGACATCATCAATCATGCGCGAGCTCGCGGACTACCGTCGCTCAGGCAATTATCCACATACCTCTGCGGGTGAAGGACTGAACCAAGGCCAAGGATGGGCTGCAACAATCGGAAAATTACCCGACTTGAAATTTCTCGACCTGGTGCTGTGAACTTTCACAGAGAAAAGAGCACAGCTTGAGCAAGTCGTTGAAGCAGCGAAGACTTGGAGGTTTCCCATAGCGAATGCACCCTGTGAGTTGACCTGGGATGGGCATGTTGATCATAGTGGCTGGAGTGTGCAAATTAGTGGACCGACTGGCCCGGAGGGTAGCTGGCATCGCAACTCGAATACGTTCGACGTCCGAATCATACGCTTCACAAGGAAATGGACTACGTGAGGTTCGGGATTTGATCACATCGTAGGCTGGCTCGAGACTCAAGACTTTCGTAGTGATGATGAGACATCCGGGAGTATATGCATTACATACCAGTGCTTTGCAAGCAAAACTTAATGCACTTACCCTACTCTAGTATAGGCCTCCATTTTATATATTTACTCTACTATCAATCAAGATACGTTAGTACGCCTATTAATCAGCTTAGTACTCTATTTCGATAGCATACTAATAAGAGACAGTGAATACGCTATACACTTGATGAAAGCAGGGACATATACTACAGTAGGGTGGGTGCATTCTTGTCGCAAACAATAATAGTATACGCCCGACATGTGGCTTGCACTGCGCGAGCGCGCTAGGTAGACCGATCCCCGCTTATTCTCATTTATCCCCACTATTATAGATACTCCAAATGATATCATATCCGTTAAATAGAAAAGAGATTCGATGTATAATGGCATCGAACCTTGCGTTTATTTCTTAAGTACAATCTCCTTTCTGGCTTGGAGCTCTACCTAGATAGTGTTGTCACACTTGTTGTACGCGACGACGTGAGGTGGGGCCAGTTCACTCGCTTGCCCGGCCCGTGCCGAGTGCATTAAACTATGCTGGGAGCCTGAATGACTATGACCGTTGCACAGCCCATTGCTCAGTTCGTTACCTCGTTGCTGCCGGTCGCCTATTGTCCATTGTCCGTTGCCCTTAGCCCTTTGAAAGGCCCCGCGTTACGGTTTCGATTCTTGCGTAACAGCAATTAATTGGACGACCGACCTTCCTCGTTCTCTCTTTAAGGTTGACCTCGCCGTAAGTACCTGAACGTCGGCTGCTGGTTCAACTTGCATTCATAACAAGTCGTTTCCTCTTTCGTGTCATCCACGCACCCGCGGGCCAACGGTCGACTTTTTCAGACAGCAGGACCCGCTTCTTCCTCTTTGTAGCGTCTGTCATTCCAGTGGAAAATCTAACAAGGTACATATCAGTACAAGAAATATGGATTGCAATTTACCTGTATTCCCGCCGCAAGAAGTACATCCGGACAGTGCAGTGTTTTCTCCTTTCAATTCAATGGAAGAGGCAGCAACCTACCTGGCGCGACTTGCGTATGACAACAAGCCATTTTCAGAGTTTCGGAGTTTCTTCGCACAATGGAAAGACCCACTGAATCCGTCGCGCCTTCACTGGGCCGCGTTGAAAGAATTCAATGAAGGTCCTGCGCTACGCGACGTGGTCGAAAATAATCGAGAAGACTTGGTGCAAATGATGCTATCTCATGGTTTTGAGATCAGCGAATCGGTCATGTCTGTATCCTTACATCAAACACGACAAACGCGCCGTACCAAGATATTGGACATGTTGATCAATAGTGGATGGGACATCAACAGACCTGTGAATAATTATTGTCCGCCTACTATGAGGTACAAGTTCTTATATTTGTGATAAACGATTTTTGGCTGATCTTTTGTAGCGTTTTGTTAGAACACATTGATCTCGTTGAACACTGTCTTGCACTCGGCGCATCTCCGAATGCAAGAAGCCCATCCGGTCACACTGTCATGCAACGGGCAGTCGCATACGCTTCTCTTGAAGTAACTAAGCTACTAGTCGCACACGGAGCTACAGTCAAGGGAACAAATCTCTTAGCACATGCCGCATGTGCCTACACGCAAGCTCAGGCCGCCACATCTGGCAGCCAAACTCCGCAGTTCGAGGATCGTCGGGAGACCATTTATTATCTCCTTGACCAAGGCGCACTGATCGATGCACTTTACTCCGCGACTATGAACCCCAACATGCCGACTGGCGATGGGGTTCTTTATGGGACCATGACCGCACTACACTTTGCGATTGCATGTAATCAAGTGGATTTAGTGCAGCTTCTACTGGAAAGAGGCGCACAAATTGAGCTTCGAGGGTGGTCAGCATGGAAGACTGGGGGCCAGCAAGTGAACAGTGTAGAGTTAGCACGGATGTGTGGTTTCGAGGCTATTGCTCTCATGTTAGAAGATTGGGCAACTGCTCGTGCCTGTCCGTGACTGTAGTGTATGTGGCACATGCGGCTCGGTTAAGAGAGGTGATCAGATTAGCGTTCATTGTACAAACCAAACGCCAGCCTGGTGTGATGTGAACATCGCCCGACTAAACATTGCTGCCTTAACGGGTAACACAAAAGTGGGGTTGTAAAAGAGCACTGTCTAGTCAGTACAGTGCATTCTTAACACGTCAGTTGATGCTTTCCAGATTTTTCCATGCATATTTATCGGCCACCCCCGAAAGTCTTCGAAGTATCGGAGCTCAAGAGAAACATCTCAATTCGAGAACGGCAAGATCACGGCTGCAAGCGTGAATCTTTACGTCTACCAAATCTGTGCCGACGTGGTTTTGAGCTCGACAGCACTGTCCTGCTAAAATTGTTGTCATGTCTCCGGCATATTGGGAATTGCAGAATAGCCCAAAGGTTCATGAAGGCGACATAGAGGTGGACGAAGAAATTATTGCGCGTACGGCCCCATATCAATATACAAATCCGTGCGCTACCTTCAGACTAATTATTGGTGAAGAGTTACCGCCAAATTCAAAGATCAAGAGTTGTCGAGGTCATGGTGCGAGCAACTGGAACATAACAGCCCGCATTGACGTCGAGGAAAACAGTGGCGAGAGCCGGTCGTATTTTCTCAAGGTCTGTATGTCCCGATCGATTTGAATGAAGTAGCTGACATCAATCTTGGAGTTGACCGATAAACCCCGCGGTGGTCCTATGTTTGAAGGCGAGTATGAATCCATGAAGCTCATAAGTCAGACCGTCCCAGAATATGCTCCAAAGCCACTAGCACGGGAAAATGTAAGAACACAGGCCGATGCTTTATCCTGTTCGAGTTTCATGGTCTCCGCAAAGGCCCGCCTTCCATCCCTCGGTTCACCAACGCGGTGGTGCAGCTACACAGGCGCAGTACTGGTGCGAGCCCGACTGGCAAATTTGGCTTCCACATCAACACATATAATGGTACCCTTGAGCAGATCAATGACTGGACCGATAGTTGGGAAGAGTTCTATGTGAAGGGTATGGAGCAAATGCTAGAATTGGAAAGGGAAGCAAGAGGGGCCAGTCGTGAATTGGAAGAGCTCACCGCCCCTTTCTTGAAGAAAGTCATACCTAGGCTACTTCGTCCTCTGCAAACCGATGGAAGACAAATAACTCCAGTCCTCATCCATGGAGATCTTTGGCTTGGCAATGTATCTGTTCAGGAAGAATGTGAACAACCGTTGATGTTCGATGCATCTGCATTCTGGGGTCATAATGAGTGTGAGTGATTCGAAGTTGAGTAGCGGCTGTTTAACTCATCGCACAATTCTTGCGCTCGGTTAAATTTTTTCTACCTACTAATGAAGGCCATTAGACGAACTCGCAAGCATACGTCTGCTTGAGAATGATTGGGCACATGAGTGCACGCGGAACTACCACGACCACATCCCAAAGTCAGAGCCAGTTGGCGACTGGGATGCCCGAAGCAGGCTATACGCAGTGTAAGTATTTTACATCAGGACTAAAGTCATCGACTGATTTAACTAACGCAACCTTAATCAGTCGAGTGATCATACACGACGCAGCGTTGTATACAGACTCACCATACTTCCGAGAGAAGTAAGCACCATTGATATCGAATCAGCGAATGCAGCTGATCCAGAACAGGCTGATCGCGGAGATAAGGAAGCTTGTGAACGAGTTCTCCCAAGGCTATATTGATACAATGAATTCATTAAAGTAGCTGGGCGACTCTTAAAATGTTGCTGCGTCTGCGAAAGAATTTGCATGTCTAATCCAATGGCTCAATGATTGTTGCTACACGTACTGGAAAACTTTGTGGCTATCTCTTGATGCTTTTGTGTAGCATGGTGGAATGTATCAGAATACATAAAGTAATGGCGCCCACAGGTCAGTACCAATTTTCCTCATTGAAACACTTTTTACAAGGTAGCGCGAGTATGAGTAGAGCGCAAGGACGAGCACTCGATCTCACTGGCGGACGGTGACTGAGACATATCGTAAGATCTGTAGGTCGAACGCGCAGTCAACCGGTAACTCAGGGTTTCTTTGTATGTTCACTCTGATACTTACGCAAAACTTGCATGCCGTCGTAGACGCACCTTGGTGGCACGCAACTCGGAATTCCGCGCTGTGCCGCAGGTGGGGGTCATAAATCGAAGCAACCAACCGCAATGCATGAGCCCTTCATTTTAGTGGCTATGCGGGGCGTAATCATTGAAACAGAGAGGTATACTCCAAGCGGAAAGCAATGACCGGTAATCTTTGAATTGGGGGCCACGGATCTCAAAGCTCATCCAACGACGCGAAGTCGCGGCAAAGTAACATCGTCTGTACTATTTATCTCTCTTCTCACTCTTAGTATACTTGGTATACATATTTACCGCGCAATCGACGCCTTGGTGCGCCCTTTGAACAAGCTTTAGGGGCGAGATCCGCCTTGCGTTACGGATTGTAGGCAGACATTCGTTTACTGACCATGAAGCTTTGTGTTTGGCGGGCGGTGGCTTCGCCCATTGCCCTGCTGTCGCTATATTTGTCCCTTGCTGCCGCTGCCTATACACCGGCCGAAGCGGACCCGAGCGTTGAATGTAATCGTCGCGACATTCAAGGTTTGTAGCCCATCAAGACGTCTGTATCTCCCGATGCTAATGACTGCATTAGCAACTGAAAGCGACAACAAAGTCTATGTATATGGTAAGCAGTCATTGCGAATGGCCAACTTCGTCCAATAGCCGCTGATAGCGTCCCTCTACAGGTGGTCAATCATGGATGAATGAGCAGTCAGGTGTAGGCATTGTTCCATATCGAGTCCCAAGCCATGATGACCCAGCTGATTCATTGTAGTACAGAGTTACCAGTCAGTCCCGCAAGATTGCTGTCAAAGCCCGGGGAACTCACAACCATAGACCATTATTTACGAATCTACAACTTCACCACTGTAAAAAACCTGAATGATAGCTCAATTGTCACCATAAAGGACATACCGGAGAACGTCACCGTCTCGCAATATGGCGCCTTCTGGGCCGATTCGAAGCGCGTCTATATGGTTGGTGGCGATGTCAACAGGGAAGGCTGGCTTGATCGCGATGGTAAAATGTACCCAATCAACTACACGGATGCGACAGGCGGAGCTATTTTCTCGTATGATGTCGAGGCTGATGAGTGGAATAATGAACCAGCTGTACAGCCTAATGACGGCTCTTCTGCTCGGGGCCCATTTTGTTGCGGCTCCTTCGCCTACAACGCACCGGCAGGAAAAGCGTACTTCTATTCCGGCCTGAATGGGGATGCAAAGAATAAATTGGATCCGTTCAATTCTCCTATGTTCGGGACCAACGAGAACCAGACCGAGTATTCTGGGAGTAGCAGTCTGTTGACGTTCGATGCGGCCAGTTTCAAATGGAGTAACTCTAGCCTTGATACGAAGGCTCTTACTACAGGAACCTCAGGAACCGTGGGCGGGCGATTTGCTTTCCTGCCATTGACACAATCCGCGAACGGAGGAATCGGGGTACTCATCGGTGGCAGACAGAGGCAGGATGTTGCGGATGAAGCCTGGGGCCAGATGGAATCCATGCGCGAGGTTCTTGTGTACGACACTGCATCCGACAATTGGTACAGGCAACCTACCACGGCAGACGATGACGACTATCCCACTGGTCGCTGGATATTCTGTATGACTGCTGTTAGCGCTCCCGACAACAGCAGCCACAGCATTTACATGTACGGCGGAGACACAAAAGGCGGCATCGATGACGCACAATCCGACATGTGGATTCTGACTGTACCTTCGTTTCACTGGCTGCGGGTCAAGGTCGACTCCCCGCGCCGAAAAGGCCTCGCATGTACAACCGTCGGACAGCGCTACATGCTGACGTATGGCGGGTTGGAAGCTTATCACGAGGGCCAAAACATTTCCTGTGACTCAGAAAATCATGGACTCCGGCTTTTCGATCTGTCGGAATTGGAATGGACCACCCAGTACGATGGACCTGCAGCTGTAGGCAAGAACCCCTACAAGGTCCCTAAGATCGTATACGATGCCATTGGCGGTAGCGAGCAAGGAAAGGCCACCAAAACTGCCCCAAGTGCAGGTTTTAGGAGTGCTGAATTGGCGGCCCTATTCCAACAATCGACTCCCACAGAAACAGAGGCGAGACCCTCCCAAATGACAACTCAAACCCCAATCGGGAAGACCAATACAGGCGCTATTGCTGGGGGCGTACTCGGCGGTCTTGTTGGCCTGGCAGTCATTCTAGTAGGGATTTTGTGCTTGCTTCGACGGAAGCAGCAGCAGAATGAACCTCTGGTGGAGACGCTAGTGCAGCCAACAGAATACTACAAATACGAGCTGCATCATGAACACCTGGGAGAATTGCCAGAACAGCAGGTGGCCCATCACATTGGAAGCGAGCAGGACCAGTTACCTCATGAGCTGCCACATGAGCCGATTGAGCTGCCAGTGGCGATGACGACCAGAAACGAACGCGATGGGGGCGACACGATGTCCAACGCTGACCTGTACGAGGGCCCGCAGTCGCCGCATGGCCGGACCCGTGGCTGAGATGCCTGAGTGATAACGTAGACGAGGATTTGACTGCGTAGGTCTGCATGCGAGAAGACTTGATTCAAAGGACTGAAAACGTTCCTGAAACCCTAGTACGAGCACGGAAGCCAGCAAGGCTGGCTATCGACGACATTTCCTTAGGTGGTTCGACGTTGACCCGCTGTACTAAGGATTAGAGGACGTTGAATCGAACGATGCTCGACATAGGCACGGCAGAGTCTCTGTGATAGCAAATGCAAGCTACCTCACCGCACTTTCCACATCTACGCGAGGGCGTCCATGTAATGTGCCTTTGATGTCAGAAGAGTGGTAATTCCGAAGCCCTAGGGAGGGTTCTATGAACGGGGCTGAACGTCAGGTCTTGTCACGAAAAGGTAGATCGTACGGCTATCTTCTGTGCGTTGGGCGACGCGGAACAAACTTGTACCTAAAAATCAGTTAGTCAAAGTGGAATGGAACTGCACAACAACCACTGCGACTGGTTCGTCAGAATATATATATTGGCTCTATTCGCTCACCACTCTCAAAGACTCCCAGGAAACTGCGGGTATACCCCAAACGCACTCATACTATACACATGACTTCGTTGCATCTTCTCCCACATCGTCTCTCATATCTATAACTCATCATGCTCATCCGCACTCGGCATAACAATAGGTTCTTTGGGCCTCCCCCACTCCTCATCCAGCACTTTGCCACTCTTCTTCCTATACTTCTCCCACACGCCCCAAAAGTCCTTCTCCATGCCCTTCTCCATCTGATCCGGTAGTACAACGACGTACTCCACGTGAAGGCTACCGTACACCTCGCCTGCATTGTTCTCCAGCTCTTGGTGCCACACAGGCATGCCTTCGTCGGCGATGACCTCGATCTGGTTCGGCTGGACGACCTCCCCACGCTTGCGGGAAAGCTGAACGATATGGCCGTCCAAATGCGTGATGTTGCGCGTCCAGTCGCCCATCCACGCTTCCCGGAGTGACAAAACCTCGCGCCAGAAAAGATCCTTGCCGCGCCGCCGGAAGAACGTGCCATCTGTGCGCTCGTGATCCTGCTGTCCGTATTGAGGGTCCGTCTCCGCGAGGTGCACGATGAGGTCGCCGGCCACCCAGTCGGGGCTCTCGTCGGCCTCGTTCTCGTAGGTGATACGCACGTTCAGTGGCATGCCCTTCTCGATATGGAGTTCGTGCTTTTCTGGCTCCCGAACGACGCGGCTGCCGCCGCACACGGGACATGGGTGTGCGATCGTCTTGCCCTTGCCGTTGCACTTGTCGCATTGAACTTGCATCTGTTGGAATAAGCCTGGCGCAAGCTGCTGTCTTTGTATTCGGGCGCCGCGTCCGCCACATGCGTCGCATGTCTCTACATGTCCGTCCTCACTTCCTGTGCCTTCGCATGCAGAGCATATAGCCTGCTTCTCGACCTCGAATTCCGTCACTCTTCCGTTGTAGAAATCGCGGAGGGGTACAGCAACCCGGAGCTCCATGTTCGGTCCTTGTCGCTGTCCGCCAGAATGCCCAAAGTGCCCGCTGCCGCCGAAGAAGCGGCTGAAGAGGTCGAATGGGTCGTGATGTTGGCGCGGTGAGCCGCCTTGTTTATGCTGTTTTATGCCCTCGTGGCCATACTGGTCGTATACGCGGCGGGACTCCTCGTCGATGAGAATCTCGTATGCTTCGGCAACGGCGACAAACTTGTTGTGTGCGCTCTCGTCTCCACTGTTGTTTATTAGCTTCTGAGACGTGGGGTTCGAGTGAAGGCAAGACGTACGGGTTCTTGTCTGGATGGAACTTTTTGCTAAGTGACCGATATGCTTTCTTGAGTTCTCGTTCGCTCGCATCTTTCTTAACACCGAGTAGCTACCTTCATGTTAGCAGCCGCCTTCCATAGATCTGGTATATGGAGTGCAATGTTAAGACTCAACATATACCACAATTTTCTAGAAAACATACCTTATAGAAGTCCTCAGCACCCAACACCCCCAGCGCGAAAACTCCCAGCAGCAACAATATCCTCAGAAGCATTGTGGCCAATTGCTCCCCCGGCGTCTCGAGTTGCGAAGAAAGTGAAAGAAGAATTTCCTCAAGAACAAATCTAGTCCATGAAGAGAGATTGAATTCCGAGGTGACACGGGAGTGGGACACCTGAATTATCGGAGTAAAGGCAGAAAACAAGGCGGGGCGCAGGTAGTTACGTGGTGTTGGAGCTCCCGGTGGAAACCATTATCTGGCATTAAGCTGTCACGTGGCTGTGTCGCGCAGCCAATCGGAGCAAATTTGGCAGAGGCTTGCTGGGGCTCACTTTTTGTACGCGGAGCGCGCATCAACGGGTATACCACCAATTGACGATTGACCGGGACAACTCTCCCACACATATATGCGAGACGCATTCGCTTGCTGTCTTCGATCCTCCAGACACCTACCACGATCGACGCGCCGCCGGCGCCCATCCGACACCGCACGCGAGCGATACTCTTAACCTCCCTCTCTGTCCGTCGACGCACATACATCCACGATGTCGAAGTCTCTAGTAGGCAAGCCCATAGTGCGGAAGCTCTTCTCTTCCTCGCAAGTCGGCGTCGTCATCTCCGCAGGCCGCATGTCCAAAGCAGTAAAAGTCCGCATAGCAGCGCAGGAATGGAATAAGAAATTCAGAAAGGTATGTCTCTATCCAATATACAGGCCTCACATACCCGCGATGATAAGATGCTAATGCGACATCCAGCATTTCCCCTCGGAACAAACCTACCTCGTCGCGGACCCCAACTCCTCGCTTGTTGAAGGCGATGTCGTCCGCATCGCCTCCGGCTGGCGCACATCTAAGAACATCCGGCACGTTGTGACATCTATTGTCGCGCCGTTCGGCGAACCCGTTGAGAACCGCCCGCCCATTTTGTCTGAAGAAGAGCGCATGCAGATGCGCATGCGAGAGCGGTTACTCAAGGATGTGAGGAGCGCGGCCAACGGACGGCAGACGAGTTTGCAGAGGCTGGCAGAGGCGAGACGACAGAAGCTGCAGATTCCCAGTTTGGACGAGGCTATGGCGAACGTGAGGATAGCGGAGAAGGAGGGGGCTGGGAAGGAGGGGCGGTCCGAGGCGCATAAGGGGCATACGGGGCAGGCTGAGACAAAGAAGGAGCGAAGGGTTGAAGCGGGGAGAGAGACGCCGGCAGAGAAGAAGGCGGAGGCGAAGGTAAAGAAGGCGAGGGTACAGACAGCATAGGGTGGAACCGTTGAACCGTGGGGGATTCTGTAGGATTAAATGTGTACAAGGAGCTGTTCATATACCAGCATTGGAGGGTGTTTGGAATATTCTGAATGTAGCATATTATCTGTCTTGGAAACCAATACTCGGCGTGTCTATATCATACAAGAACTGAAGGGTATCGCAATAGCAAATCCGCACGTTGTGTTAAATGCGAAGGTACAACAACTCCAGATGCCATACCAAGAGGCAGTACGCCATCCCATGCCGCTCATTACTGAAACCCTGTGTAACCTCATGATCATCAATAGTTCAGACCTCGTTGAGGTCTACCATGTCGTCATCCGCCTCACTATCCTCGTATGCTTTCGTAATGAAGGGATGTCGTAAAGCCTCATCTGCTGTGATACGCCTGGTAGGATCGCACTCCAAGAGTTTGTGAAGGAAAGCTACGGCTTCCTTCTCTTCCTCGTCGAGCTCCTTTTTTGGCGCATTCTTGTCAGAATCGGTGCGGCCTGTGCACCAGAGGATGATCTTTTCAAGACTATGGCCATGCTCACTATAGCTTGGGATATTGGTCTCAAAGACTTGGCCGTGCAGAAGAGCAGCCTCCTTCATCTTCTTCCGTCCAAAGATCGTAGTGATCTCCAAGAGTGCATCAATGTCGTCGGTGCTGTGGAAGAAGGGGAATCGACGAGTCAAGAGGGTGAGAAGTATGACACCAGCACTCCACATGTCGATGATGGTGGTCTGCTGTGTGCATTTTAGGAGCACCTCTGGCGCACGAAATCCACGAGTTCCGGCGCGATTTGCGCGACGGCTGCCACGCGTGTCGTTCTTTGGGTAACTGGTCGTCTGATGTCCGGCCTGCTGGTTTTGCGCATAAACACTATGGGCGATTCTGTAGCGTCGCTCGTCAGATGGGAGCGTGCAGTTACACTGATGCCACTCGGTTCCCTCCCGCTCGGCAAGGCCAAAGTCAACGAGGACGCCGCGAGTCTGCCACTTGTTGTAGAGAAAGTTCGTGGGTTTAACATCACGATGCAGAATCTTCTTCTTGTGTACTTCACGCAGCGCAGTAAACAGGCTCTTCATGTACAGCCGCATCTCGGATACCTTCATATCCTTGTAGTAGTCGCGAAAATCCTGGTGCTGAAAGTAGGGCAATACGGCTACGACCTGGTCTTGGTGGCGGAACGCGGTGATCAGGGGGCATACCGAGTCGGAATTCTTGAGGTCGAAGAGCAGTTCTAACTCGTTGAAGATGCGGATCGGACTGCTTGTGACATAGATCTTCTTGATGGCCACATAATGGGGCTTTCGTGCCGAACGTTTGGTTTTGCTCGCTGGTGACGACCACTTGCGTCGCTCGCGCTCGTCGACATCCCAGCGATTGTTGTACTTGTAGTACTCCAGGTCCTCAGCTTTGTATACTGTTGAGAAGGTGCCTGCACGGTCATGTAAGTCAAGCCGCGTGCCTGCATGAGGCGAGCCAATGGAGGGACTTACCTTCTCCGATGCGGTTGATCAGTCGATAGCGCTTGTTGATGCCCACGAAGCTGTTCTCGAAGCGTTCGATGTCCTCAGAGACCATGTCGTCCACCTCTTCGTCCTCGCTCGTGTCAATCGTGCGCCCGCTCTCCTCGAGCGGGTCGGCGCTTTCGTCTAGAGTGTCTTCGGGATCACCTTCCTTCACGTCATCGTGGTGGATGTCTAGCTCTTCTGCTTGTCGCTGGAGCGACGCGCGGGCTTTGGCCATTCTGCATACGTGGTGTGTTGTGTAATGCTCTGCGCTGAGCGTTGCTGGACGCGCACAAGGCGGGACGTGTTTTGGGTGACATCGGTCGCGCCTGAACCCTCCCGCATCTTGTCCGAGATAGGCTAGTTCATAACATTGCGCGCCCGCCAAACACCGCCGGTCGTGCCTGCACTATCCCGCAACACACGCGCACAACGAGACGCGCCCACCGCCCTTTCTTCTTCTTTTTCTTCTTGTCTCCCTTTTCTCCCGCCGCCTGGCGAGTTCGCGGCCATGGATTCTCAAACGGATTTCGACGTCAACGAAGCCATAAAGAATTACGATAGCGATCCCTCAGAAATAGCCACACCCGATGCCTCGCGAGAGCTGCAAGATTTCGAACATGACCCGGAGAGGCTGGGGGAGGAGATTGCATTGCTCAATGCTGAGCTGAACCCGATCGTCGACGCCATCGCAGACAGCCCAGAAGCGATCACTCGCAGCGCCAACTTCGACACCCTACAGTTTCTTCTCAAGTTCTCCACCCAGATACCCGCAGCCACGCTCGGCAAGATTCTCGATCTCGTTGGATCTGCGCTTGCTACTTATGCCCCGGTCGTACATGCGGACATAGAAGCTCAAGATCAGGATGCGTTAAAGTTGCACAAGAAACTCCTGGAGATGTACGGCTTTCTTCTTCGCTGGACCATATCGGCCGTCGAGACCAGAGAAGCCCAGGAAAAGCCGACAGCATCGGCACCCGCTGCACGAGGTCGCGGAAAGGGCGCTAAATCAAAGGCTGCAAAAGTTGGGACGTGGGATGCATCGGCTCAGCTTGAGGCTGCCTTGAATAGAATCAGTACAGTGCTGCGACTAGATCTTGGTCGCATCTTTGTGACGACTTCGGAACGAGACACCTTCATTGGCTTACTCACAAAGCCTGTTTACCACATGTTGGAGAACTCGGAGAAAACGGGACGGATAAAGAACAACGCAATACGCAACCACAGTTTCAGGATATTGGCAATGGCTGTTAGAAACCACGGCCATGCATACAGTAAGTCATCATCATTTTCAACACAGTAATGCCGAAGTACTGACACGCAAATAGATGCTCAAATATCTATCACACAAGATCTGTTCTTTTACAGCCACCTGTCCGAGACAATGGCTGAATTCCTACATATCGTTGCAAAAGAGTACAACTACCCGCAGCTTACCGAAGAGGTCCTCAAAGAAATCAGCGATAAGGAGTTCAGCAGTACAGACAGAAAGGGTCCAACATCTGTATCTGCCTTCCTCATAAGGATTGCTGAGCTGCTTCCAGAAGTTGTCATGAAGCAGATGGCGTCCCTGGCTAAATTAGTCGAGAATGAGGTACCGGGTTGTCCACGCAAACTAGATGATGATCGTATTAACCCTGACACAGTCACACACTCTGCGCATGGCCATGATCGACGTGTGCGGACAGATGATAATCATGATCAGCAAGCAAACCGGCGACGATTCACGTAGTGAAGTTGCAAAGCCGAAAATGGACCCATTCTTCGACGAACTTGAGAAGAGGTTCCTGGACATCAACCCATATTGTCGTGGTCGAGTCATGCAAGTTTATGTCAAGCTCTGCGATCTTGACCAAAGATTATCCAAGCGGCGGAAAAAGGCCGCGAAATATGCGGCGCAGAGTCTGATGGACAAGAGTAGCATTGTCCGGCGGAATGCTATCAAACTGATTTCAAGGCTTGTGGAGACCCATCCCTTTACCCTGTTCGCCGAAGACCAGGGATTACTTTCGAAGGACAGAACGGTACGGCAGCTGGAAGACTTTGATGCTCAGATCGACGCCTTGGCGCCACCCGAACCTGAGAAGCCTTCGTCAGGAGAGCAGACGTTAGACGAATCGATGCTGCAGGATGCGACCCAGGTGGAAGGGGCTGTCCCAGTACAGCCTAAACACCCAGATGAGATGAACGAGGAAGAGAGAATCGCATTTCTAAAGAAGTTAGAAATGCAAGCAGAGGCGCGGGCCAAGGCCGAAAAGCTAGACACTCTCCAAAAGTCCAGAAAGTACTATGACGACATGTTGAAGTTTATCGAAGTTGTGGACGATGCAGCAGACGATGTTATGCAGCTTCTGTCCGCAAAGAACAAGAGCGAGGTCATCGAGGCGATGGATTTCTTCGTAAAGATCAACGCGTACAAAATTCCCAATGCACGTAACGGTATTCGGCGAATGCTCCGCCTCATCTGGACCAAGGGCAACAGCGACGAAGGAAAGGGCGTTCAAACCCATCTCATCGAATGCTACAAGGACCTGTTCTTCGTGGCCGATCCCCGCTTCGACCGAGATCACACCGATGACTACATCAAGAACAACATGATCTCCCTAACGTACGGGACCACACCTGCAGAGCTCACCTCGCTCGAACAGCTGCTGAGTACGATGATGAAGCAAGGTATGATAAAGGAAACGGTCATCCAGAAGTTGTGGGCCACCTATGCATAGAAGAAAGCTATCTCACGTACTATGCGCCGGGGAGCCATCATCGTCTTGGGTATGCTTGCACTCGCTAAACCTGAGATTATCGTCAATGAGATGGAACTCTGCCTGCGCATAGGGCTGGGCGAGCTAGGTCGACGAGATCTAAGTCTCGCTCGTTATACCTGCATTGCACTTCGCCGCATCAGCTCACCACCTGGTAAGCAGTCAGATCCAACTAGCCCAGCGCAGGTGGCAAAACTTCCCAACGATCACGCTGTGCTAGTGAAGCTTGCCGCTATCTGCGAAATCGTCTCCGACGACAAAGAGTGGTTCGGTGTGGCGGAGCAAGCGATCAGTGCCATCTACGTCCTCTCAAAACATCCCGATGTTTTGTGCTCAGAGATACTGCGACGGAAGACAAAGTATGTTTTTGCGCCTCAGGCACCTTCTCGGCCTACATCTAGCGGGTCAGGCGCCGGGGGAAGCCATGGAAGTAGATGCACCTATGACGCCACCTCCCGAAGAATTATCACAGCCAAAGAAGCAAAATCCTGCATTGGCACTTTCTCAGCTACTGTTCATTGTCGGACATGTTGCCATCAAGCAGATTGTTCATCTTGAGCTCTGTGAACTGGAGTTCAAGCGTCGCAAAGCTGAAAAGCAAACGAAGACTGCACCCACGCCGCGGACGTCTCTTGCGGCCGAGAACCCGTCGCCGGTCAAGAAGGGTCGGAAGAAATCATCCATCAAAGACAAAACGCCAGCTGCTGAAGAGGTCGATGAGTTGGAGCTCATGGCTGGCCCATCAGAAGATGATATCACCGATCACATTGCAGCAATCAGGGAACGAGAGCTCCTCTACGATCCCAACTCCCTTCTCTGTAACTTTGGACCGATGGTGAGGGATATCTGCTTGAATAACACTTCTTACAACCACCCTACTCTACTAGCCCAGGCAGCGCTCTGCCTAGCGAAGCTAATGTGCGTAAGCTCCGAGTATTGCGACAAGAATCTGGAACTGCTCTTGACGATGATGGATCGGAGCAAAGACGCGGTTGTGCGCAGCAACCTCGTCATTGCCCTCGCAGACATGGCCGTCTGTTTCAACCAACTGATCGACGAAAATGAATCTCACCTATACCGCCGTCTCAATGACGGCGACCCCTCGGTCAAGCGAACGTGTCTTATGACGCTCACCTTCCTAATCTTAGCCGGACAAGTCAAAGTCAAGAGCGAACTGGCTAAGATGGCGAAGTGCATGGAGGACAGCGACGATAAGATCAAGGACATGGCGCGCATGTTCTTCACCGAGCTCGCAACCAAGGATAACGCTATTTACAACCAGTTCATCGACATGTTTAGTACGTTGAGCGCGGATACCGGGCTAGATGAAGATGCTTTTAAGAAGATCATCAAGACACTAGCAGGCTACATCGAAAAGGTATGTTGTTGCATTTGTCGATTGATGACAAGAATTACTGTGCTAACGAAAAGCAGGATAAACATGCCAAGGTGTTGTCGAAGAAGCTGGCGGATCGCTTGCCGAGGGCTGATAGTGCGAAGGAGTGGAATGATATTGCGTTTACGCTGGGTCAGCTGCAGCATAAGGACGAGGAAATCACGAAGTTGGTTGCGGAAGGGTTCAAGGTTGTGCAGGCGTCAGCGTAAAATTTGGACATGAAGGTGGAAATAATGAGGCGTCTGGAATCCGACTTTTAGCATGATACCTTGGGCTTCGGAATCAGGGGGCAAGGCGTAATGTCAAGCATTGAACTGGGGTAATTCATATGCATGCTACGGTAATGAGATTGTGCTGCTCCTTCTGCACGCAGTCCAGTCTGATTACTGTCGAAATGATCTGTCTGAATATCTGTCACAATTGAGCACTTGAATCTTCTGTCGCAACGTTCGGATGCAGGTTTGACTTTCACCCGACGCACGCTCTGGGAGGGAAGGTGACGGACAGTTGTCTAGGCGGTAGGAGATGTGATCTACATTTCTACAGGGCGGTATTTGCTCTTGCAGGCAGATGATTCTCTGAAAGCATTCATGGTCAAGGAAAGGAAGTTGCGCCATGATTGGGCCTTACGGTTGAGCGCTGAATGCATTGCAAAAGATAAAAGATGATGTTTTAGAATGTCTTTCTGTTATAGCGCTGCCTCGCCGCAATCTACGTTTGGTTCGACGAGAAGTGAATACGAAACGGCGATGGAGCACTAAAGTTGTGATGAAGGTAGAGTGTTAGTGGTGATAGGCGACCAAGATTGGTAAAACTCTGAAGAACGTGTTCGTGATAGCAGTTGCTTCGCTGCTTTGTAACCTATGAGGAAGCATGCAGTCTGATCGTTGGCAGCAACAATGTTCCCTCAATTTCACGATACAGTAACTTCTTTACGTGAATTCACACCCATGTACGGATATTGTAAATCTATAGCACGTAGCTACCGCATTTGACACGGCTAGGCTTCGTATCAAAAACCATGTTGAACACCATTTGAGGGTGTTCTGTAACATTTGAATCAAGCAAGCCTGGTGGCTCGCTTGTTCGCTTCCTCTGCACAGTCACACAGTGTACATAGCTGACATGAAGCCAGTCATCGAAAGCACGCCACTCGGCTCTCAGGTCACTAAATTAGTTCAGTGTCACCAGTCACGATCCCGTGCGCCCCTGCATAGTGCAGACGTTTTTGGCCCCATTCTGAAGAAGAGTGGTTGGCGTACGGGGATGCGGCAGGGTATCACATTGGAGCTTCCCGTTTCGTTGTTGCTGTGCCGCAACCGTACATACAGACTGTCGCAGGACCTGTGCCAACCTCATCTGCGAACCGTCCTGGCTGATATGCCATCGAATTAGCAACCAGATCATTCAAGACATTCGATAGCTGCTGTACCAGCTAAACTTCATTCTACCTCGTTGTCATCGTATTCCAAAAGTTACGTTATTTGCATGATTGAGTGCAGCTGGATTGGACCCTCGTAGTCCTCGTTCATTCAGGCTGAGAGGTGGCTGGGCACCCTCAAGCATCGAACGCAGTGGCCATTTGTGTTCCGTCCCGATCGCCGCTGCACATCTTCCTAGCCGAGCCGGCTCTCGTATTTCCTTTTGCCCACTATAGCCTTGAAATACTTGATGCGTGTTCCTGCCTTCTTATTCAAGATGCTTCTTATTCCCGTAACCCCTTAGCCTTCGTAGCATTTGTACCTCACTTCAGGATGAGCCTACAGGATTTTGAACACATTGCAGATGTGCAGAAGTTGAGGGATCGATTATCGCATACCGATCTGGAGACGCGCAAGCAATGCCTCTATCGTTACACCGACGAAAAGCTCTGTAAATCCGATTCCACGTACAACGCAATCGATCGTGCAGGGAATTTCGCCAAAGCGGTCAAATGCCTAGAAAGAAAAGTAGACGCGATCGATGAAAAAGATTTCATCGTTGTAGCGAGGACCTTGTTCTGCGGCACTCATAACATACGCCAACAGAAGTACCAGGAGTATAGGTGCCACTTTGAGGCGCTCTGGTCTGCTGCGGACGATAAGTCGAGGGCTGCTCTCTGGGATGATCTTCGAAATAGGAGTCACAGCATAAGCCTGCCACTCACACCACGAGGTTATCGCCCTACGCCGCAAGAAACCAACAGCGCTCCATCAGGCATACCAACCGTAGACTCCAATTACGAGAATGCAACTACACCCACCCCCATGGATGCGGGGGTTGAAAGCCCATGCCGTCCGCGGACTGCACAAGCAAGGCTCAGCTCAAGCCTGAGGCATCGTGCCGACGAAGGCCCTCCGATCCCACTTATTCGCATCAGAAATGGCAGTAATCGCCGTCAGCTATTCCCCTCAACCCCGGAGCAAGAATCGAGTGGTACAAATTCAAACGTCTCGGTGGAAGCAGATCGCAACGAATTTCGCTTTCAAGTTGATTCCAGTGGATTCACAATCGATCGAGCTGATGCAGACTTTTCAAAAGGGGATACTCCACCAGAAGGAGAGAAGGATCCAGTGTTGCTATCAGGCCCAGAATCGATCGCACATGTCTCAACTGATCGAAGGCAAGAAGATGATTTATCGTTTAATCTTGACAGGCTTTCGATGAAAGGGCGGACCGATGCGAAAGGGAACCTATTCGAAGGTCAAGAGGGTGTCCCAGTGGATCAAGTGATTCGTGGCAACGTATTTTCGATCTTCGGTGACCCTTTCTTCGATCCAAAGGCAAAATTTCCGTTTGATTCCTATCATGGACCGGACCAGGCTCTTAGGAAAAGCCTTCAGCCACCACAAAAGTGCTCATACGAGAGCATATGGGAGAGACTAGCAAAAAGCTCAAACACTGTTAACTCGAATGAGCGGAGAGTATCGAGGGACAGTGGCGGTTCGTCAAGTCCAACCCCACAGCGTACGTGTCCTGCACAGGAGTCGCCCGCACAAACGCCCGTGACTGAGGCCAAACTCAAGGAAAGCCTGCCCACGACTTCTAGCCCCGAGCATCCATCAGCAGGCACTTCCGAAACCCAAGAGATAGGAAAACTCAGGTATGAACCTTTTCTTGGTGGCTTGGGAATGCCTCGAAATGAGCCCTCATCAGCGGCGACTGAAGCTGCAAGAATTCTTACGCCTCAATTCCAGGAGCAATTGAAAAATACGTCTACAGACAAAGGAGCGGTTCTCCCAACAGAGCCATCCCCTGGTCCCACCGAACTTCCTCCCACTCAGACTCCGTCAAAAACCCATAACGTAAACACTGCTCGACGCGATGGGCAAGTCGCACAATCCTTCGAAATCGCATCTAAAATCAAAATGCTCCTCAAAAGGCGCCTGAGAGACACAAAGAAGAAAGGCACGATATATATTCTGGAAGCACCAGAGTTCTTCTCCAAGTTCGGACCTGCTAAGGACGAGCAGTGGGTCAAAATTGGTATAACAGAAGACATCGATCAACGTCGTGCCGATTTAAAGCATAAGTGTGGCATCACAGATATCTCAGTCGTCCACATGCCACATTGGAGCAACTACCCCATGGATATGCTATATAGGATCGAACAATTATGCCATGCACAATTGATCAATTCTCGAAGACCCTGGAATTGTGGGTCGGCAAAATGTGAAACAAAACTGCATAGGGAATGGTTCGCTGTCGACAAGGCGGACGCAATACGCACGGTGAAACTTTGGGTGGCATTTATGGATCATCAGCCCTATCACCCCGATGGTGAGGCTTTGAAAGACTTGTGGAGGACGTCATTGGCCGATCAGAATAAGTTCCACCCATTGAAGGCTGGTAGTCAAGGGTTGGATCAAGGAGAGTTGTTGCATCAGAGTTTGGAGGCATGGATTCGCAGAACGGTTGAGGAAGAGGAATGAGCAAGAAAGGCGTTTTTTCCGTTAGAAAAATTGCACTGAACACTAATGTCCGTTCTATGCGCTTTGACAATCAAGCGTCATGTTCCTGTGTTGGCGAGTTCTTCTCTTTCATCTCATGGGTGTGTTCTGGCTCGTATGCGTGGCTGCTGGGAGTACAAAGTAGATATCGACTAAGACCATGATAATCTGGACGTAAGCCATCAGTGACTCGGCTCATGAAGGTTGTACATGTTTTTTTTGGCAACGATACTGTTGTCTTTGCTCTGCATACTGGCTTCTCTTGGCGATCGTCGTCGAAGTGGTCCGTTGGCGTGGCTGGCTACGATCGTGGACTGGATTAACACGTGGCAAGCTTCGGACTCAGCTTTGACTTGCACGGCAATCCCCTTGGAGCACGAAGAAACCTGAAGCTTGCTCAGGTGGTAAAAGATGGTTTTCCCACTATCACAGCTCGAGCTCGTCTCCTACCGATTGCTAACTCGTCGAGTACCTTCCCTACAGGAGGAAGAGAGGTATTCGCAACATTCATCTCACACCGGCTTGTCTTTGAAAGTACTTCGAATGGCGATGTCGCGCAATGGCGTTGCTTGGTCCTATCTTTCGGCAATACATGGTTCGCTGCCGGTCAAAAGTCCAAGACATCGAGGACGAAGAACAGCTGCTGAAGCACCTTGTAATCAGTCCGTGCAAGGTGCATCGGCCGACGGAGAACGAGCCGCTGGGTTTGAAATTGTGAGTGTTATGTGCAGGGTATGAAGGTCAACGTCAAAGCACCCTACCCATATAAACTCTGCTTGAAGCACTCTAAACCAAGTTTTTGAGTAAACCGTGTAGGCACTCAAGGTAAAGCTCTACTAGGTACACCACTGAGCAATTCATGTATAAGAATGTTATCTTATCCTTCACTATAATCTATCATGCAATAGGGCCCTCCACCGTGACTAGCTTGACTTGATTAGTATAGATGTATTGTCTATTTATCATAGGCATGTTGATACATTCGCTCATTTAGTATAGGAGAATAGCAATCTATACTATTAGCTAGTTACTCCCTTTCTGATTCTATTCTTAGGTCTTTTGGTGTAAAGGGCTGTGCGGGCGGTTATAGCGACGTGAGCATGGTGCGTTCACACAGCGAGGGATTGAGCAAGTAGAAAATGGAAGCGACCAAGGGTATGTTGACGCTAGCCATTGATTCGCTGATTCGTGTTCGAGGCGTGAACGCAGTCCGCAAGAAAGGTTGCTAGACCCTACGAGTAAGTGCTCTGAAACAAACGATTTCTAACATGCATGGTTAATTGTTTCAGTGCATGGCATGTTATCTACTTGGCTGACTTGGAAATCCCATCGGAAACACGCCATTTTACCGTCGGCTCACAAAAGCATCCGTGTTGTTGTTCACGAGCCTGCCGGCCCGTGCATGAAACAGGCAGTGACAGGTACTTTCGGCCCCATTTTGAGGAGACGACACTTAGGAGCAAGGATACGGCAAGGATTGGTATCGGAATTCCCGTCCCGTTGCCTACTGTGCCCCATCTATGCATCGTCGCGAAGCATTATCTGACCCTCATTGTCGCAAGATCTTAAGTGGCTTGACGCTCGAATCGCTAGATGGACACTTCATTAGTGAACGTCGGTCTGCTCAGATATATCATAGCAAATTTCTCTGTACGCCTCTCCAACCATCTATCCTGTACCGCCTAAAAGCCTCATTGGTTATTCCCGTTGTCGTTCTGGTATCTCATCTTGTCTCACCCGCTTCACACAGCCAAGTAAAAATACAAATGTTTGGGTTGGGCTCAACAACGGCTCCTTCTCGAGATGAGAGCACCTCCCTATCTGGGGGATCTAGGGGAGCAACTCAACAACAGTCCCTCTTCGGAGGTACGGGATCAAGTCAACAACAGTCCCTCTTCGGATCTAGGGGAGCAACTCAACAACAGTCCCTCTTCGGAGGTACGGGATCAAGTCAACAACAGTCCCTCTTCGGATCTAGGGGAGCAACTCAACAACAGTCCCTCTTCGGATCTACGGGATCAAGTCAACAACAGTCCCTCTTCGGATCTAGGGGAGCAACTCAACAACAGTCCCCCTCCGGATCTAAGGGAGCAGGTCAACAAGAGCTTGCTTCGGAATCCGGGAATAACGAAGATTCGGATGGTGAAGAGTCGGATGGTGAAGTGTCGGATGGTGAAGAGTCGGATGGTGAAGAGTCGGATGGTGAAGAGTCGGATGGTGAAGAGTCGGATGGTGAAGAGTCGGATGGTGAAGAGTCGGATGGTGAAGAGTCGGATGGTGAAGAGTCGGATGGTGAAGAGTCGGATGATGAGAGTCCAAGTTCACCCTTCCAGCACATCATGATGAAGGACCCCTACGGATCGTACGAGTATTATCAAACAATCACCTGTCAACATCCATATTCAAGTTATTCTTTAGAAGAGCTTCGTTGTGCGGATTACGCAGAGGGACGCAAATTCGGCGACCAGATCTACAAAGTAGGCGCATTTGGGCAGAGTCCTGTGCCACGAGGACTAAATATCCCATCGGACGTTAAGAGACAGGTCCAAAAATCTCCGAGTATCCCTCAAGATGAGCCAGTAGAACGTGATACCACCACACCTCTACCGAACGGAGTTGGTATTCCTAAGAGCGAAAATCTGACGCTAAGACTTGCTTTGCCGTCTAGTGGGGAGTTGACTCCACGAGCTTCGACACCCGAGTTCCAGAAGAATAGTGATCCAACCTTAACCATATATTGTGAGATGTCAACGACTCTCAAGTCTTCCTCATCTTCCTCATCTTCCCAGGACAACACCACAGATTTTGGAGATATCTTCGCCGAGTTTGACAAAGAAATCTCGATTCCGCCGCTAGGAAGGCCATCGCCACAGGACTTCCACTCCACATGTGTCTTTCCTATTCGCAATCCCGCAGCTACGGCAAGAAGGATCAGGAAAATTCTCGAAAAACCCCTCACCGGCTACATCTATGTCCTTCAAGCGCCCGAATTCTTCTCCACTCAGTTCGACCCATCTCGTGACCGGAAGGAGATATGGGTTAAGATCGGTATTTCTGCAGACGTGAACGAGCGGATAGAACAGATAAGGAGGTGCGGCATCACCGATCTCGAAGACGTCTATGTCTCGGCCCCAATTCGGTATGACGTGCTGAGAAAGATCGAGGCGGTATGCCATGAACAGCTGAATAATTTCAGGAGGTACATGGATTGTAAGAGCCACGGCAAGGCGCCCAAGTGCATGACCAAGCACGATGAATGGTTTGCAGTTCCTAAGGAGGTAGCTATTAGGACGGTGAGCATGTGGACCGCGTTCTTGGACCATAACCCTTATGGGCACGACGGTGCGCTGGAAAAAAAATGGGCCGACAGCCTGAACAAGTTTCACTTATTGGAACTAAATGAGGGAATAGGTCAAGAGGAGTACCTGCATCGGAGCTTGGAGGCATGGATTGCAAAGACAGTTAAGGGAGGTAGGAAAGACATGGAAAGGCATGCTGCACAAGGTTAGGTATAGAGAGAAGTTTGCATATTACTGAAGCTACTTGTGGATATATGGTGGCCAGAGGTTGCATCTCTGATATAATGGATTCTATCTCATCTCCTGTCTAGCTCTGATCGCATGCACAGCCGCCGGCTATGGATATCAACAAGTTGCCAGCACCTTGGTCTGGAAAGCCAATCAGGATTTATAATCTTGGTTACGCCAGATTTGTGGATCAAACATACTATATCCATTGTCTGTATGCACCATATGTCAAAGTGATTGAGTACATAGAAGGGGTCCTAGATGCTATCTTTAACCCACGAATTGCATCTTACGCGTAAGCAATACTAGGCGTGATGTGCGGGCGATGCATACACCGAATCAGGGTGTCAAATCGTACCCAGGTATGTGAGACAAAATCTGTTGCTTACGCGAATAGTGCGCTGCGTCACGATTGGGGCCGGGGAACCTTGCATCTGAAGAAGGCGGACGAATCGCAAAATACCGTTTCATTTAAATCGAGGCAAGACCTGCAGGGTTATGACCGGCCTCCTTCAGCTGGTCTCATTATCTTGGGGTTGCCCAAGAAAACGAAGAATAGCGAACTGAGATGCCGGACCCTGGGAGTATTGTGGGTGTATTGTCCCTTTAGGTGCAAGTACTGGAAGGATTGAAGACCTATTACTATGGCTATCGAAATTTTCATCGGGACATCGTCAGTATTTTATCTCGGATCGAGCGAACCGAGACTGTGCTTAAGATCCTGAAAGAGCAGACTGAGTACCTTTGGCGAGATAACGATGCTTTGTCTAAAGAAGTCCTAGTATGCATCGTTGCGTGCGAGGAAGCCACTGAAAAATTGGACCTATACCTGAAGAAGTGCATCAGAATCGATGGGTCCAAGAGAAAGCTGTGTGCGACGAGCAGAGTCCTCTTTCCATTTAGGAAGGGTACGCTTGATGAGTTGCAGAAACAGCTTGATCGAGTCTTCTGCAATCTTCGGACCATTGTACAGATCCTTCAAGTGTAAGTTTCAAAGGTTTACGCGAGTAATTCGTAAGAATAACGAGAGCAGTGATACTTCGTTACGATTTCATGGCCAGGCAATAGATCAGACCACTGCGATTCGCAAGGGAGTCGAGCTCATCCAACAACAACAGACACGTCAGACTGAACTACTAGAGACGGTGATCCAACATTCCCAGAAGCAGCTGAGTTCTCTACAAGATGGCAAGTCGCTTACTGGAGAACCGTCAGAACATACGGTCCATTTCTCTCACATAGCAGGAAAGATCGACATCCTGACACTAGCTGTGAGCGAACTCTTGGAGGAGCAAGCGCGACGCGGAATACCCACTCAAAGTGTGCTCAAAGCATCCTGTGATGGATATACAGACATCTACCAAGAAACGCAAATCTACAGGGCCGGGGATATCGGCAAGAGCATCGAAGAAGGCCTTCAATACAAGAGATTGCCTTGTTGCTCTTGTACCAGAGCTTCAAGAAGATATTACCGGGCTTCATCGGAACATCGAACGTCGTTCAGCTGGTCAAAATACTTCGCACACTCACCACCCTGCCCACTTGCCGTGGTGGCACAAAAAGCCAGAACTGCTCGAACCCGACTACGGTTCTGCTTCAATGGGCTCGGATACCTGATCGAAGCAAGTGTGATGTGGACAAACACATGGGTATCACCATATATGGCCATAAGACACATTGTGCCGCGGAATAGCCCAGTATTTGCTCTTCTAGATGCTTTCTCGGCGCACATCTACGCAACGACTCACACCATAGAAGACCGGAGCGATTCTATTCATCAGGACACCCAAGCTGTGTGGTCGACCTTACGGGCTCTGAGCAAATTGCTAAGAGACGGAAGAGGAGGTGTCCGTGATTTGGATATGTATGGAAATACCTTGGCCCACGTAAGTCCGATGTGTTCTAGTACAATATCCAGTTATCTAGGCGTAGGCTCCGAACTCAGTGCCTCAAATTGTTTTTTGACGCCTTCCAGACCATGCTGAATCCTTTGGGTCACGCGTTGAAGCGCAATTTACGCTCAGTATGTTCCTCGGAATTTCTCGAGGCACTCCTTGCTACGATCCAGTTCTTCGTGGATCTGAGCTGCAATCTCAACGAAAAGAATGACGATGACTGGTAGGTCATCACACCACTAAATCAAACGAAGCTAACTTTAGGGATGATAGCACGCCTGTTGTTTCACTCATGACTGGATACACTACCCCTGTGCCGCCTTTGGTATCGGATATGCGTAGCATAGCCGATGCCATTCCATGGACTAGTGTATTCAGCTGCTTCGAGTTCTCTACCGAATTCATGACGAACATCTGTCGGCATTTCTATCATAACGAGTCTGGAGATTCTTTGATCTGGACGAACATTTACTCCGAGCTCAAGCTGGATCATGAATTAGGACCGGGTAAGTAGGCTTTGAGGCTTAGCAGCGTCACTGACATCTAGTAGATTGTCTCGACGGACCTTTAGTACGCGCAGTCACGATCCGTAATGAATTGGAGGTCCAACTCATCCTACAGGCACCGAAAGATCTCCTTTCGGAGGCGAACCCTGACTTCTCGATTTGGCGAGCATTGAGTTGGCCGCGTGGCCTCGAGCTATTCATATCTCACGGATTCCTAGACAAAGATGAATACCTTGAGATGCTGAAAGCTGCAATGCACTGCCGGTACACTGCGTCGATGGCTGTTTTACTTCGGTCGCCGTGGTTCAACTACGAAACTTGGCCAGTCGCACTTAGTACGGGCAACACTGAGTTTATGACGCTTATCGCAACTTCGCTATACCACGAGCATAAGCGGGAATTGAACCAATCGAACATGTTTCTGTCAAGGGCTGCACAGCCTGATCCGAATTATTGCGCTTCACTTTACACAGCAGAGGCAATGCTGTCTTCGAGAGATGGCAAGATGACGGTGGAAGCTGCTCGAATTCTCCACGAAGCTGGATTCCCTTATGCCGATGTCAACCACCTGCAAAGGGGTACACCTTTGTGTTATCATGCAGCTAAGTCCAATTGTACGATTGATAACTATCTGCGGCTCATGTCATGGTTCGTATCGTATGGCGCAGACATTACGGCAACACATCCAACCTGGAAGACGATGCTTCTGCATCTCATCGCAGAGAGAATTACGCTTTTCTGTCTTCAGGCTCAAGAAGTGCTTGACTATGACAGGCAAGAAGGTTCCTGGAACACAGAAACTTACTTATCCAGGACTCTTTCTGTCGAAGAGATCTCTTCGGTTTCTTGCTTTGTCAATAGTATATTTGATTCCAACCGAACGGACGACTGCCACTGCATTTGTACTTCGAATGGCTGCAATGTCTTTAGCTCCGCCATCGCAGCCGTTAGAAGCCATAGCGACGGTGATGGTAATCCCTTTGGCATGGAAACCTTGGCAAGAGCATGGCATACTATAGCAAGTCTCGTTTCAGATGGTAAACTCACCGAATCCTGGGTGCATAGCTCGATAGTACGAGCGTCTACATTCGAAGCTCTGAGGTTGACACACACCTGTCATATGAGTCAGCATATTCCACATGCATCTGAGCTTGATGATCAAGCTACGAATAGAAGCAACTCGCTCTCAACAAGACCACTGTCCAACGAAGACATCGACGACATACGGTACGCTGAGCAACAAGACACTCACATTTTCGAACTTCTAGTCGAAGAGTTCAACAAGGCATGGGAGGCCACTCAAGGCAACATCATGGACTTTATGCACGGCCACTGGAGCGCTCGTATGATAACAATTCTTGAGGAAAGAAACAGCTTGGGAATGGAGGAAGAACTGCAGAAGCTGGAAGCAATCGGGGTGACGGTAGCCACCTGCGAGGCCCCTCTATCTGATTCGGGAAAAGTCGAGTGTTCGTGTGATCTTGCGTGGTTCCAGGCGCAGGTTGACACAATCCTAAACACGATCTAAGGGAATCATTGTTAGGGCAGTGTCGTTGCCTGGGGCAAGGCCTAGATTTGGCAGTCAAGGTCCTCTGGCGATTGTATGGATGGCCTATTCGACCATATTTGAAGCGGGTACTGTTGTTTGTAGATGTTCCTTTTTTTTTTTTCTCTTCAGCCCGCATTCGACAGTAGGGGCGACTGCGGCAACATCCTTCGGAGGCACTTTTCCCTTGAAACCGGCGAAAGGTTTCAAAGTGCTAGAACCCATCCTACAGAGTGATACTTTTAATCCCCATCCCACACCACCAAATGCATCCCCCCAATCGTCTGCGGCGCAACACGCCCCAATTCCCCAGATATCCCCAACTCATTCCACAACTCTGCCACACTTCTCGTCGTCATCTTCATCCACCCAAAGTACCGCTGAGTGGGATTTCTTGGATTCTTCGGTACATACTCCACAGCCACGTAATCAGCCTGCACACACTTAATCCAGGCGTTGCCATCTGCAAACACCTCATCGTCCGCCACGAGGAAAACTCCTTGGCTGCGAGAGGCATACTCGGGGTCTATATCGAGACCTGGGTTGTTATTCCTGTGTAGTTCGCGAAGCTGGTCTAGCTCGAGACTGTCTAGGGAGGCAGCGTCGGAATGTACATCGAGATGGAAAAGCGCCTAAAGTTTCTGGAAGTCAGGATCGTCTTCCTCGGAGTCAGTTACACTAGCGGTTGCTTTCCTCGCTTCAGTCTGGATCTTATCAATGAGGTCCCCCCCACTGCTGATCTGAGGATGGCGTGTAGCTGGTTCGGTAGGGCGGGCTCTCGACCTGACTAGCAGAGATCGCTTGATCTTCTTCCGGCATGATCCAAAGTTCTCTGAGCCATCTTTGACAAAGAGTCGGAAGCTGATAAGTCATGATGCGATTGCGGAGTGAGTTGATTGTTCGTTCACTTCGTGAACGGCTGGGGCAGGCCGATTGAGTGCGAAGACAGTAGACTGTGATGGGCTATTCGATGCAACCCGAGACAAAACAGGCGGACAGCTAGGCAACGACGCCGCAATTGACTCGCCATGCAGGCCCCTGTTGATATAGGAGCAATAGAGTTTATGGAAATGGTAACATAAGCATTGATATGTCGAATACACATTCCCTGGCGAGAAACGATTTTGTCCAGGCTACAAATATGGTCTACACAAATTCATGATAGCTTCCTGGCCCTACAATGACTACGTATCTATCAGACGTGAGGTCGAAGGCCGATTTTCAACACTAATTTTTGGGTTTTCCGGGTAACTGCGATATTGCCCATGCATGTCAGTTGCTAGAGGACTAAGGCACAAGCAGGAAAAGCTCGAGGACGTTTAGCAGGAACCAAAAATCCGGTCCCGCTGCCATCGCAAGATCGAGGCGGAAAGATAGTCAATGACGATCAGCCTGCTTGCAATGCGGCAGAGCAAATTATTCGAGATTAGCATGATACATCACGACATCACAGCCACCAATTCACACACACAGAAGAGCCTACGGAACGCTGCTTGAGCAGCGAAGCCGCATGACGCCCGTGAGCGTCCGGCCCACTAGGGCACGATCGGGCAGGAAAAGGTTTGTTCAGGAATGGACGTTCATTTCTATGAATCGGCATCATTCCTCAGCCACCACGCTGCAAGAGTCTTGTGCGCCCGCAGGCAGCACAAGCCCTAGGCCCACAGTCAAACCAGACTGAACTTTTATCCATATCCGACCCTTTACACCGGGACCCGAAGAGGTGAGGTATATCATTTCCATAAGCCGTAGACTCCGTGTGCGCATTTATGCGACGAGCTGGACAACACCGCCAGCCTCCTTGATCTTCTTCTCGGCCTCGGCGGAGACGTAGCGAGCGCGGACGATGATGGGGACATCGGGGAGACGGCCCTTGCCGAGAACCTTGGAGTAACCGAGCGAGAGGAGGTCGAGGACGGGCGCCTTGTCGCCCTTCTTGGCGAGGTAGGCGTCGCGCTTCTCGGCGGGGACGAGCGACCAGAGCTTGTCGAGGTTGACAACGGGCTTCCCTTTTGGGCTGTTAGGATGATGATTCCATGTCTCCTGGAGCATGCGACGACTTACAGAACTTTTGTTGGGTCTTGTGGAAGTACCTCATACCAACCTTACCGAAGTAACCGGGATGGTACTTATCGATGTTGGTCCTGTGGTGGTGCTGACCACTATTTTTTTGTTAGCGAAGTTCTTCATCTTGGGAGGACAAGATGTGCGACATACCCAGCCATACCACGACCACCGGGATGCTTCCTGTGCTTTCCAACACGTCCGTGACCGGCGGAGACGTGTCCGCGGTGCTTGCGGGTCTTCGACAAATGGGTAGGCATGGTGGGCGACTGTGAGGTTAGTACGTTGTCGTTGAACTTCCGACCTGCACTTGAAGAGTTTGGAGTTGGTGGGCTTGAATTAAGCGAGCGAGCGGGCCGACAGATTATCCGCACACTTGCCGCACGTGGAAAGTCTTGGCAGGTCCCGCAGCTTTCACGTTCACAGAGAACATCAATACCAGGGCATGGTCTCGAAAATAAAGATGGAAAAAAGGTGACATGACTCGTTTCACTCTACTCAACCCGCTGTACTCCCAGAATCGCTATGCAAGTGACATGATCCGCTAAAAGCCCTTTAACCCCAGTACGGTGTGCGTAATCCTACAAACGTCGAGCTTAAGCCGCCGTCAGAATCCTCTTTCTTTCGCTGTCCCGCAAGCTGTAGGTTTACGTTAATATGTGCGCAGTTTATCAAAGGATAAGGCTGGTTTACCTCGAGTTGTATATGCCTATGCACATGAACGAGCCAGTCCACGTAGCTTTGCGCCTCATTGTTGCGATCCTCGTATAACAGCCTTGCAAACTCGTACTCCGCACCATCAAGACCCTGTCGTGCCAGTTGCAGAGTCATCGCCTTGGAGCCGCGTGTGTCCTCCAAGTACTGCAGGATGTTGCGCACTTGAGCATTGAGATGTGTCTCGAGGACAGGAAGGCTTGACGCAAACGGATCTAAGCTCTTTAGGCTATTGTGCCCTTCTCCAAACAGATCTTCTAACAGGTTTGGCGACACTTGAGCGTGTATCCAGAGCAGGCATATCTGACCGTTGTCCACGATGTAGACACCACCTTCTTCTACCTTCGAGAATGATGCGCGAATTGCGTCAGGCATCCTTAGATGGCCGTTCTCGTTGGCGAAGCCGTCTCTCTCGTCCAAGTTGTGGATCGAGATAATTCGCGGATAGAGATAGAGTGAGAGCTCCAGTGGGCTCATAGACTTCAGCAACCTCATGTCATGCACTCTCCTATCGGTGGGCTCCTTTCCACCTTTGAACGCTCTTGACTTGATCAAGCCTAGAATGTACATACTGAACTCTTTCAAGTTCTCTGGTAGAACAAGCTGGCCTGGTGGGTTGTTGTGCCCTGTGAAGTTCTTCCGGTATCCAGCGAGGATATCCACAGTCTTCTCTGTTAACGCGGCACGGAGATCTTTGAGGTTCTTCTCAGCCATGCGAGCGGCGGCCTCTTTGGCGATGATAGTCACAACAGCATCCTGGTCAACAAATTTCAACGACTCTGCAGGTCGTTCACTGACGCTAGCAACGTTATTGATACATCTCACTCGGCGTTGTCCGTTGGCCGTCGTGTAAAGAAGTGCTGCCTGGAAATGGGCGTCTAATTTGGGATCGAGTTTGCCGTCGTATGAGAACATGACGCCGATAGACTTGTCTGCATCGATGATACCAAATTCCAAATCTGCTCCGAATGTATGGTGGTAGAAGTTTCCGTGATAAGCTGAAACTTGTAAGCCATTCGAGCAGCGAACTTTCATGAGAGCTTGGTATCCGGTCTCTCTCGTGACGGTGTGCTTGATCTCTTTCGACAATTTGAGTGTATCCCGTGGGGAATGGAAGTTAGGGTAGTAAAATATTTCACCACCGGTAGTAGCTGAAACGTGACCGATAGTGGCGATATCCAAGTAGCCGCCACTAGGTGCAGCCATGAAGAAGTCAACACCGACACCGCTCTCTACCATCTTCTGAGCAACCTTCTTGAACCCAGGATGCTCTGTCGTCAAAAGCTTCTTTTCAGCATCGTTGTTATGTATGCTACCATCATCGCGGAGGAACAATCGTCCTGGTCCCCATGTTGGTAGAGCTGCTAAGGAGCAAATGATCTTTCCTCCAGTGGCTGCGAGCGCTTCCACTGCCGAATTCAAAGTCGGAAGGAGAGCCGGTTCGGGGTTTTTGAATTCAGAAAACATGTTCGGTAACTGTGTGAGCAGGGATTTGATGACTGCCTTGGACTCTTCAGGGTCGACAAAAAGACCTTCACTTAACGGTACAAATGGTTCCTCAAGATCGGGCATCACCAACATTTGAGCTGCTTCCAGATTGTGGCTCAGGTTGTAGAAGTGCAACTCCTTGTCGAAAGTGACAATACCAACCTTGGCACCTTCTGGAAGCCGTCGTTGAGCTTGGCCTTCATCTCCGACCTGCTCGTTCTCACGACCGTAGAGGGCGCTAATGATGCCTTCGCAGAAGCCGTCCAGAAAGCCGCGATTAACAGCTTCAGCACTAACATCAATCAAGAACAGCCATCTCAACCCTACCGGCTCCTTCGACCAGTACTCCTTCGGAACCATAAAGTCAACCGTTCCCAGAGTCAATTCAGGGCGCTGCATTCGATCTACTCGTACGCCGGACGGGTCTGTAGGCGCGAAATATTCGGGAGGTACATCGTTTGGGTATGTGCACATATTGCATACGAATTTGTTGCCGCCAGACTTGAATTGCATAAAAGGGTTGATGTATGCTCGACATCGCCTACATCTAGGTGGGCCGGTATCACCGAAGTCCAAGACTGGTATTGCTTGTTCGCCTTCCTGTAGCTTGGCCAGAGGTTGGAGAACCAGACCAAGTGGTAGATGGGTGGAGCCCAAAGCATCAGCGCTATTGGGTATACAATTCAATGTGAGTCTGGCAAATTTCGGCGAAGAGTTGCCCTGATCGAATGCCACGAAGGGTATCAGTGCTGGTGGTGGAAAATGATGCTCCATAGTAGGATATACATGCTCCAGATAGTACTTTGCGGGTGCGTCACGCGACCGTGGAATGCTCGGTATCTGCTCTGGATCCACGCGTCCTTGCTGTGAAGAAGCTGGTGAGCCAGTCAACTGATCGGCCGGACGCGCAGCATGTTGCATGCCCGTCGCAGGGCTCGCAGGCGAGAACGTTGGCGCAGCTGCCGGAAATTGGTTCATGGCAGGTGTTATCTCTGGCTGGGCCCATTGCGGTCCACCCACCTGAGGAGAATTTTGATTCAAGAATTGATTAGGTGTTCCATTCTGGCTTTGCGGCATGCCGTTGAATGCCTGAGGACTGCCTGCAGGTCCCTCGATGTTGTGATATGCATGACGGTCCTTTTTCTTGTGCCTGACGGTGCCTGTCTGCTCCCCGCCCAACCCAAAACCACCCATTTGCTGCGCTAATGAATCCACAGCCTGTCCTGCTGGACTCGATGGGAGACCCTGCGGCGGGAAGTATCCTTGCTGCTGACCTGGTGTAGGCATCTGATTCGGGGTCCCCGTGTACTGATTTGGGGTGTGGCCGTATGCGGGGCTGCCAGTCTGTTGATATCCAGCAGGGCTGGCAGCAACTTGAGGCCGATACAATGGTTCTTCTTTTCTTGTAGGACCGTTCGGATTCGGCGAGCCCTGTCCGAGGGCATGATACATCGAAAATTCGGACATGGTTGCGGCGCGGGCGTCCGCAGTCGCGGTTCAGGACGGAGGTAAGCTGCAGTCGTCACGATCAGTACGGGGTATGTGAGGAACGCGGAGGGCTTTCGAGGCAGAACATGTCAAGATTCAACCGCAGCAGAGGCCTTGCGGGGCGCGTAGTGAACTCTTGAATCTGGGTGATCTGGCATTATTTTCTCGACATTGAGCTTTCCATACCGAGCACGCGGCCCGTGCGCTACTGTGGTACACCGCAACCACACCTTCCGATCCAGCCCTTGACCGAAACGGGCCGCGGAAGTCACGCCATGTGTCGTCCGGACGTACACCAGGACTGTCTTGGTTCTTTGAATACATAACTAATGTATGGGTTATATGGACGTATCAACATGATCCCGGAATTTGTTGTAAAGCCTCTTTTCAAATCCGGGCAATATTAGGTACATAATACTGGACTGTGTCCTTCAATTACATGACTTCTATCAAAGCTTCCAAGCTCGATAGAGAGCGTGCATTGACTACTGCCGGGACACCCAAAGCAGCAGCATATCTATGCCTTCTAGGTTCGTTGCACTCTCCTGCGAAGCAGGGATGCTCCTCAAAATCTCGCGACATCCGTCGGCTTGATCTACAATATCGGCTTCTTCGTTTTGTGATATCGCCGTTTTGCGCTAGTTATCCAAACGTACGTGCTCGGGAACTCTTTTTCCATATGTGGTATACATCCATTCATCCAACCCCTACTCCAGCTTATCAAGATGAGCGAGTCGTGTCAAAACCACCGTTTTACTCGTCTCTTCGATCTCCCCAGCTAGGAACACTTCATCGAGGATCGCATAGACCTGCATTGAATTAGCTGTATATTCCCTCCCTGCAGTGTTCCAACGTGATTCTCCGTTCGAAGTATAGCACTCACCTTGTAAAAGTTGAACACCAGATCCAGCTCGCACACGTTGCCGAAGAATGCGTCCAGCACCTCCACAAAGAAATGTATCGCCTCAAGGTATGCCAACTCGTTATCGTTTGTGTCAACGCAGGCGCAAAAGAATAGCCCGGCGTATCGTCGATAGACTATCTTGGACATATTCCGGAACTCGACAAAGTTGGACTGGTGCTTCTGGTCGCGGGGCGCGATGAGGCGGTGAACCTAACAGAGTAAGACGCGAACCGACGATTATATACAGGTGTAGCGAAGGGCGCGCGAAACGTTAATGAGGCATTGTAAGCCGGTCGGAAGTACGGGAAGTTCGGATGGTGGGTCGAAATGGAGAATGTAGTGTACCTCGCCCTTGAGCTTGACCTTTTCTTCATCCTGTGTCTAGATCAGCTTCTACGCCCAACATATCTGAGCGTGAGAACTTACACTGTAAGGCGCATACCACTTCGCCAGTCTTGTCTTCCCCCTGAACCTTTGTCAGTGTAGTTCTTCTCGGGCGAGGGCTTCACGTACTGGCGGTTCTGAATCAGGATGAACGAGAGAACCATCTTGGCGGCCGACTGCGCAAGTGCAGCAGCGCAATTCACTCACTCGGAAACACTCGCCGAGGGAGTCGATGCAACGATCGAAGACTTGGCGGGGTCAAGCTCCCGCTCGCTGCAGGCAATCGCCCCACTTTTAACCGCTCGCTTGGCGGTTGGGGACAGCTCCGCACCTTTTTCGCAATGCTGTCTTTCAATCACAAAGGATGGAGAGACTTGCTCTATTCCCAAGCACATTGAAGCTACAAGAATAAAGAACGAATGTATCGTAGTTAGCACCACTCGAAAGAGAAGTAAGCATTCTTGTACGCAGCGTTGAATTACAGGGTGCAACCTTGTGCTGCATAGCAGATGCGAAGTATTGCTCGTCGAGTCCATTTGGACCTGCCAATGGTTTTACGGTCAAAGTCCATGTAGCTTCGGAATAGATGTCTTATTATAAGACCAAGCACTTGACCATTTGAGGGATTTTAGACTTCCACGACATATCTGTGCTTCATGGTACTACTTGACCGTTGAACAGTGTTTGACAAAATCCTGTTCACATCGGTCAGGTTCATAGATGGAAAGGGTCCTTGTTCACAACACGTAGGTATATCAGCGGGCTGTATAATCGCAGTCGGAATGTACAACGCAATGCTATCCGAAATGTACTCCGAACCAAAGTGAAGCTCCACCGTCGCATTTGTCATTTTTCTGATTGGCACGGAGATGAAAACGTGGCCAAGGCCCTCGATATCTCCAAGTGGCTTTGACATGCGATTGTTAGACAACATGTGTACTAATGTTAGGTCCGAGGTCGGACACGCAGGGATTGGCTGGCCACCGCACCCTCGTAGAATTTCGATGGTCAGGTAATTGCTACACTCACGTTTGCGCAAGACAAGATAGCACCAACGATTCCATGGTCAATGCTTCCTGAGACAGGATGAAGCAATTCTCGACGGAAATAGCATACTCGCACAAGCAGTGCTAGTGAATGCGAGTGTCGCCGTCTCCAAAACAATATTTGAGTTTGTCCCACGCTGACTGCTCGCCAGATGCGCTCCGCGCCCGAATATCGCACCCCACTGGACAGGACCCAGATCACGGTTCCCCAGGGACATGGGCTGACTTTTTGCGCAACGTATAACGCAATACGGGGCGCGGGGGCAGGCTTACCTGCAGCGCGGTAGTCGTACGGTGGAGCGCGCCCACGCACACGTTTCTACGACAGCAAGAGAGGCACAGAGGCTCATATCGCTTTCGTATTTCTTGTTGATACGCTCCAGCCGACCAGAAAGGGGGCTGTGGGGAGTAATTACCAGTCTTTGGGTTCAGCTGTATGCTCGCCGAGGTCTGGAACGGGGTAGCACGCGACCGCGCAAGAACGTTTCTCATCGTTCTGGGGCGACGATGAACCAGTGCCTGGGAACCGAGTGCTACCGACGCGGCCTCGTACAAGGGCGTAAGGCGTGAGCACGTGAGTGACACGACAGTCGAGGACATTCTCGAGGCTCCATGGGCTGCAAGCCGGCCGGCCGGGAGTGAATGGACAGGAACAGACAAGGCTGGCGTGTGGAGAGACCCCGGACCGAGGGCAAGTCAGTGTCGACGCTCTCGAGGCCGTCGTTATCTTTGCCATTCACGAAAATACATAATGGTTCGCGCGGCGCCAGCTGCTGGCGTTTGACTTGTGGCGGCAAGCGGCGCAGGGACGCAGGCCGCCCGGATCGAGATTGGCTTAGGTCGGCGCGACACCCGCTTCCGGCGCTAGCGGCGTTCCTTATCTCGACGCAAACCAAATCGCCTTACAAAAATCCCACCCGCCAAGGATCCCACCGCGGATGAAACTTGCCCATCTTGCACGACCGTCATGGTAAAGTCACCGTTGGGCGCGTCCAAGCCACGGCCCACTGCTTCCTCGCGAGGGGCTCCCGCCTTCCATGCCCCAGCGACGGGCGCAATCGGCCATTTGGGCAGTCGCAGCACCCGGGGCTCTTATCAGCTGTCAAAGAGCGGTACCGTAACAGCCTGTGATAAGTCGATGCTGCGCTGTGACGCCAACCCGCCCAAACCCGGCACGAGAAGAACAAAGCTCCAGATCTGCTAACGCGACCCCACGGGTATCGTTTATTTTGCCTTCCCAAACGCGCCAGTAGCACCAGCCCTGATAAGACAGACACCAACCATTAAAGACCCCGGCGTGCCTTTCGGGTCGATCTGCAGGCTCCGGTTTCTCCCACTGCACTGGTCACTATATCATTCAAGTGCCCCGGTTTCCCACTCTCCCTTGTCTTTACCTCCAGCTCAGACTGACCACCCAACCTTCCTTTGACTTCTGTACGCTGTCTGGTACACTGTCACACCCATTACAAGTCAACAAACTCGCCCGTCATGTCGTACTCCTGGGTGGGCGCGCCCACTGAGTTCAATGGTACCAATTCAGAGACCGGTGGTGATTCAAGTGAGTTGCCCTGCTTTGTGTCACCACGCACGTGGATATGCAACACGAGGCCCAGATCCGTGGCTGCGAACACCATTCGTCACAATCACAAGTAAACTGACCACATCGTGAACATTAGGCATCGAGAACCTGAACCAATGGTACCAATCGGGTGACCAGGCCTACATCATCATAGCATCCGCTATGGTCATGGTCATGGTCCCAGGTCTAGGATTTCTCTACTCCGGTCTCGCACGAAGGAAGTCCGCGCTCTCGATGATCTGGGCTTGCATGTTCTCCAGTTCTGTCATCACCTTCCAGTGGTATTTCTGGGGATACTCGCTCGCTCTCAGTGGCTCTGCCACTAATGGCTTCATTGGCAACTTGAAGAGGTTCGGGCTTATGAACACTCTCGGTGCTCCCAGTCCTGGAAGTCCTCTCGTCCCCGAGCTCCTGTATGCTTTCTATCAGGTACGTCAAATTAGATCCTATACGATTCTTTTGCTAATCAGCCCTTGTAGATGCAATTCTGCGCCGTCACCGCCGCCATTATCGTCGGAGCTGTTGCCGAGCGCGGTCGTCTCATTCCCATGATGATCTTTATCTGGATCTGGGCCACAATCGTATACTGCCCCGTTGCTTGCTGGGCATGGGGTGCAAATGGATGGTTCTTCGCCTGGGGTGGGCTCGACTATGCTGGCGGAGGCCCCGTCGAAATCGTATCCGGAATGTCTGCCCTCGCCTACTCATGGGTTCTCGGTCGCCGCCAGGAGAAGATGATGCTGAACTTCCGCCCGCACAACGTTTCGTTGATCACGCTCGGTACCGTTTTCCTCTGGTTCGGCTGGTTGGGCTTCAACGGCGGCTCTGCTTTCGGTGCCAACCTGCGTGCTACCATGGCCTGCTGGAACAGTAACCTGACGGCCATGTTCGCCGCCATGACTTGGGTTCTCCTCGATTGGCGTCTTGCTCGCAAGTGGTCCATGGTCGGCTGGTGCTCAGGATGCATTTCTGGACTTGTCGCTGCCACCCCCGCTTCCGGTTTCATCACCCCATGGGCCAGCGTTGCTCTCGGCATCACCACCGGCATTGTTGCTAACTTTGCCACCAAGAGTATGTTCAAACTCTGCATGATGATTTGATTGTCGCTGACAGCTCGTAGTCAAGTTTTGGATCAAGATTGACGATGCCCTCGATGTGTTCGCTGAGCACGGTATCGCTGGAATGGTCGGTCTCCTATTCAACGGCATCTTCGCCGCACCCTACATTGTCGGTCTTGACGGTGTGAACTCCATCTCTGGCGGCTGGATCATGCACAACTGGAAGCAGCTGTACATCCAATTCTCCTACATCGTCGCCTGCACTGCCTACTCCTTTGTCGTCAGCGCCCTCATCGCTTTCGCCATCGACAAGATTCCCGGTCTCCACCTTCGTGCCTCCGAAGAGGCTGAACTCCTCGGTATGGACGATGACCAGCTCGGCGAATTCGCATACGACTACGTTGAGGTCCGTCGTGATTATCTTGCGTGGACGCCCGCTAAGAGCGACCCGATCACTGCAGAGCACGACATTCCCCAAGGCGACCGCCACGGCATCTCACAACACAGCCAAATGCTCGAGGGCAAGGCACCCAGCGAGAGCAGCCACGACGGCGCCCACACTGGTATTGGTGGCGATCGTCACGCGATGGCTGCTGGGCCTGAAGGTGTTCACCACGAGAAGAGCTCTCTCGAACACTAGACTCCCAGCACGTCGGTTGTTCTTCACTTGATATTATTGTGTGTAGCATTTTGACTGGAGTTCGAGATACCACCTTTGCGTCTGTCTTTTCAATCAATGGGAAAAGGGTCATGCGCAAAACTCGATTGCTACAATACCTAGTGGGTGGAAGGAGTTACCGCAATCACCTTTTCTTAGCTATTCTGTACATATATCTTACAGAACGATACTTTAATTCACACTGACATGCAAATTCGCTTCTTTCTATCAATGCTCTTACTGTCCTTGAATCAAATCTTGCTTGCTTCTCCCAACACTCGCGGTTTTTCGAGCATTGTTGGGGATCCCTCTGGTACTTGCCTTATCTGCCAAGCGTCACACACACATGTGCCACCGCGCGCCAAGCCTCCCTCCAGACATGCCTTATCTCCTCCCGCACCTCCAAAACGCCACGAGCAGCATCCTCCCGCCCGGAACCTGGGGCACGCATGTCGGCGACGACGACTGCATGATGTCACGGCCTCCCTGCGCTCATCCTTCCGTTGGCGATCTCGACCTCTCCTCGCGGTGCGCGGGCGGAAAGCGAGCGTGGCTACCTTATCTCGCAGCGTGAGACGGGAAGACAGACGTGTAGCATGGGTCTAAAGAGGAAGCACGTCGTACTACGGGTTGAAGCTGGCGCGAGCTGGCGTGTAAGACGACGTGAAGTGGTGGATTGGTCGCGTGAGTGGTGCGCGCTGGTGACGCCTCCGCTCCACGCCAAGGTATTGGCTTGATATGTACGGGGATGGGAGGGCGTGGAGGGAGTAGATGGTGATGCGTGAATTCGATCTGTGATTGTGATGATAGATAGCTGAGGGGATGCGTGATGACGGCATTGAGGGAGGGCTTATCTTTGGGGTTGGACGGTGGGGTTGGACGGTGGGGATTGCTGGAGGGAGGATCTGGGGATGGTCGTGACTCTGAGAAGAGTGCGTGCTTTTCATCTGATGCTCTGCTTGTTGGAGAGCGCGCAGTCCGTGGTGTTTTGCTATAGGGTAGTGTGGCTGATTAGCTGGATGGTCACAGTGTTGGTCTGCTTGTTTCAATACTACCCAGCTGCCCTGGGTATATCCGCTCACTGACTGAAGCCATCGTCATCTCTCCATGTTCGACCGCATTACTACCATACTTATTTCGAGATCTCCACCATCATGATGCACAGGCAATCCCGGCTCCAGCTCTTCCCCACAAATTCCACCACTTCCGAAGACGCAGAGCCTCACGACGCCGAGGGCGTAGTGTGAACAAAGGCAGTGTCTATTCTAGAACAACGCACGTGCAACAAGAGATTACACTCTACACAGCTATTCATAGCAGACAAAGACATTGACGCAACTGACAAAGACTGAAAGCAATACTGCTCAGTGCATCCGCGGCTATGGCGTCAAAGAGCATTTCACACACGCGCATATCATACGGAAGACTTCTATGTTTTCAACGCAGTCTTCTATCCAGTTCCTTCCACTACGGATGTACGATAAGCTGTTCGTGCGATTTCCAGCAACACTCGTTTCTTCGGACTCCAAGGAGCAAAGCAAAGCAAAGCCGGACTTTGCACCGTCTCCATTTACCAGTGTGGTGTATATCTCTCTCGACACAATCACCATCCCTCCCTCGAAGACAAGACCACCCTCACAGCAGAGCAGCACCCCATACATACTCACCATGCCCTCCAAATCCAAACCCATCCACCTCGAAATCCACCCCACCACCTTCAAACCCTCCCACCTCTCCATCCCGCCCTCCCCTTCTCCCCCGCACGCCTCTCCCTCTTCCCACCCGTCCACAAAACTCCTACTCCCGCTCCCTCCCCGCCCCAGACACCCGCTACGTCCCGGCCTCGCCGCTAAAATGGCTCTGGCAATGCCACCACTGCCGCCGCACGTATTCGCTGGGCGTAACGCGCCGCTGTCTCGAAGACGGCCACGCCTTCTGCGCAGGCACATCGCGCGTGAAAAGCTGGCGACGACCTCTGCGCGCGGTTTCGCTGCGGAAGAAGCACAAGGCGTGTGGGAGCGAGTTTGACTATCAGGGGTGGAAGGCGTGGGGACGCTGGAGGAGGACTGCCCGTAAGGACAGCATATACGATGAGTCCGAGTGTCTTTCGAGTTCTTCGGATTCGAATTCGAGCGAGGAGGGGGATGAAAGCACGATGGCGAAGGGGAGTGTGCAGCAGAAAGACTGCTGGAATACCTGCGACTATCCCTCTGAATGCCGCTGGGGAAGACGCTTCGGCGTACACACGCCCGTCGAGGTGACGCTGCCGGCTATTGAAACGTTCCAACCTCCTCCGCCACCGCCGCCGCCGTCGACCACGGAGGGCATCCTCAAGGCTGAGAACTGCAAAGGGAAGAAAGGCGATAAGACGGACTTCTGGGGCGCGCTCGTGGCGAGCGCAACGAGGAGGAAGAGCGTGCCGCCTTCGTCGCCGCTGGCGAGCGGGGCGGATGTGAGCGCTAAGGCCACCACGACGTCTTCGCCAGTTGTCGCGGCCTCGGATGGGGACGGCGATGTGGTAATGGGTGGTGGGGACTTAGAACTTACATCCATCACGCCCCCTTCCCCAGTCCTCACGCTCAAAGACATCATCCGGAAAAGCACAAAGCGCACCAGATCATCCTGTAAACTGCCAGACTTGAAAGAGCATTGCAGCCTAGACTTCTACGAACAGGCACTAAGCGAGCTTCCGCCATTAGAAAGGGTAAAGAGTGGGGATAGTGGCTATCATTCGACACCTGAACTTGGAGGTATTGGGATGGCGACTTGATTCTATTTTACTGAACGTTCCGAACTACGTAAGACCTGAGTGTCTTTGAAATTTCACAATGTTGATACTTTATGTGTCTATTCCCGAAGTCTATTATAATAAGCAAAAGATCAGCTTCAAGAGGGATACAGTAGATTAAGTAATATTCCCCCCTACGACGCGAAAAACCCACTGTGCAGAAAAAAACTCGCTATTGGAGCAATCTATATCTTATCCTTTCAGATATACTGTTTCCATGTCGAATAGCGTGAATCTACAAGGAACGACCTCTTGCTCATTGAAGAGCAGAACGAAAATTACCTTCCAGCACGCGGTAGCTTACAGTAGCGTGCTGAGTTGTGTAAGGCCTTGAACTGCGCGCCGTGGCCGAGGCGGCACTAAGTTAATCCCCTGGCCTTACACAGCTCTTTTTTCCGGCCGTGCAGGCAGCCATTTCCCCCAATTTTGCTCGCCCCCATCGCGTAGAGCCAGGCGGGACGCTACAACGACAACCTTCGCAGATCTGCTCTATTCGCTGGCATCTTACTCACGTGTGCACTTTCCTAACATGAGTCCACAAGCCAAACACTGCTTAGCGCAGATGGCGAGGCAGGACGGTGCAGGGCGCTGGGCGCTTGGTGTAGCCAGTACCCTCAGCCTGGTTACATGCACTGCCTCTTCAGGGTCCCTTCTCTGCCTTGTCGCGCCCATATCATTCTAATACCACCACCACAAAAGTCATTCGCGCTTCTCGTTACCCAGGGCCAAATCCTAAGCTGCAAGCGTCATGCGGCTTCTCCGCTTTGACACGCCGGGCAGACTGATCTTGACAGGCTTTCGCGGCAAGCCAATCCCGCCCTACGCTATCCTGTCGCACAGGTGGAGCGACTCCGAGACCCTCATCGAAGACATATCGAACAGAAACCACAAAGAGAAAGAAGTGGGCTACCGGAAGCTACAATTCACTGCTGAACGGGCGGCTCAAAACGGACTGCAGTATTTCTGGATCGACACATGCTGCATCGACAGATGGGACAATAACGAGCGCTCAAAGGCGATCAACTCGATGTTCCAGTGGTACCGGAACGCAGCCCGATGCTACGTCTTCTTGTCAGACGTGTCAGCTGTGACGGAGACGGCTGCATGCAGCGACTGGGAGGCGTCGTTTCGGAAGAGTGAATGGTTCACTCGAGGATGGACGCTCCAAGAGCTGATTGCGCCAGTGTCAGTCGAGTTCTTCTCGCGTGAAGGACAGCGCCTAGGCGACAAAGCGTCACTTAATCGACTATTACACGAGATCACCGACATCCCGCTCGCCGCGCTGCGCAACTGCCCTTTAGACCAGTTCAGCACATCTGAGCGAAGGCGATGGGTCAAAAACCGCAGAACGACAGAGGAAGAAGACATTGTGTACTGCCTGCTTGGACTTCTTGGCGTCTCTATGCCTACGACGTATGGAGAAGGGAAGGAGAGCGCATTGAGAAGACTGCAGGCTGAAGTTGAGGGAACTGCCAGAGCACCGTCGATCATCCCATTCTCACGAAATGAGTCTTTTGTGGGTCGCGAAGTACAGCTTGCCGACCTTGAAGCAAAGCTCTTCAGCAACGACCAGACCACGACCACGCTAGCGATTGTTGGCCCTGGCGGAACAGGCAAGTCGCAGCTTGCACTTGAGGTTGCACACAGGACAAGGCTGAACAACAAGAACTGCTCGGTCTTTTGGATGGACGCAAGCGACATGGACAGCCTCTACCGATCTTATGCAAGCGTTGCGCAAAAGCTCAGTGTTCCTGGTTGTGACGATGACCAGGCAGACATGAAGCAGGTCGTAAAACGCTGTGTGGCAGCAATGAGTGCGCGGCAGTGTTTGCTGATCTACGACAACGTAGGAGCCACCACTCTACGGCCTAGCGGCTCGTTTACGACACAAGCTGCAGACCTGGCCGACTTTCTGCCGCACTCCAATCTGTGTTCTGTCATCTTCACAACAACAGAGAGCAACACAGCGGAAGCACTCGCTCCACGGAACGTCACAGCGCTGCATGAGCTGACACCAGACACGGCGCTGAGGATGCTGCAGAACTGCTTGACAACGCCGCTTTTAAACGCTGAGCAGCAGGAAGCCATGCACCTGCTAAGAGAGCTATTGTATCTGCCTTTAGCAGTCGTGCAAGCGGCAGCGTGCATGAACGCCAGCAGTATGACAGTGCAGCAGTACCAAGCACAGCTAGACGATCACAAAGAAGCAGCTCTCGAATGGAGCGATGACTCGTCTGAAGGCGAGCAGCGGGAATCTGGTCTAGGGAAGACTGTAGTTGCTGCACTATCTCTCTCTATGAGCCACGTCCAACATAGCAATGCAGTTGCTGCAGACTATCTCTTTATTGCTGCATGCTTAGATCGAAAAGATATCTCGCTCGAACTCCTAGAGGCAGCTTCGCCGCGGGCTCGTGAAGACGCCGTCAAGGTACTTGACAAGTACGCGCTCGTCACCAGGCGACCTGCTGAATCATCACTTGATCTTAATCGATTGGTCCATCAAGCTCTGCGCAAGCGGCTGCAAGTGCAGGGACGGCTCATGCAGTGGACTCAACGCACCATCACACAGTTACTGCGGGTATACCCAGACGACGATTACAGTAACAGAAGCAAGTGGAGACGACTGCTTCCACATGCTCAGTATGCTCTGTCTCGTAGTGCGACAGACGACAATGATGAAGAGAAATTGAGTCTTACGGAGAAATGTGCTTTGAATCTATACAGTGACGGACGGTATAAGGAAGCCGAAGAGCTGCAGATGCAACTGATGCAGACAAGGAAGAGAGTGCTCGGTAAGGAACATCCTGACACGCTAAGAAGCATGCACGATCTGGCGACAACGTACAGCAGCCAGAGGCGATGGAAAGAGGCTGAAGAGCTGCAAGTGCAAGTGACGCAGACAACAAAGAGAGTGCTCGGCAACGAGCATCCTGACACACTGACCAGCACGGCCAACCTAGCGTTAACGTACAGTGACCAAGGGCGATGGAAAGAGGCAGAAGAGCTGCAGACGCAAGTGATGCAGCTAGCGAAGAGATTGCTTGGTGATGAGCATACTAACACGCTAAGAAGCATGCACAATCTAGCGTTCATGTATACGGACCAAGGGCGATGGAAAGAAGCTGAAGAGCTGCAGATGCAAGTGATGCAGCTGACAAACAGAGTGCTTGGCGACGAGCATCCTAACACGCTGAGCAGCATGCACAACCTAGCGTCGACGTACAGTCACCAAGGGCGATGGAAAGAGGCAGAAGAGCTGGAGGTGCACGTGATGGAGACGAGGAAGAGAGTGCTTGGTGAAGAGCATCCTGACACGCTGAGCAGCATCCACAATTTTGCCTTTTTGCTTCGATCGCAAGCTCGCCGCGAGGAGGCTCTTGCACTGATGGAAACATGCTTCCAGTCGCGCCAGCAAGTCCTTGGCGAGCAACACACTGGTACACAATCATCGCTCGACACGCTGAATAGCTGGCGAGCGGAGTGCGGTAACGAGAGTCCATGACTTTACCTTTGCGTGGAACGTAATTACGAAAGTTGTGATGGTGGCCTCTCGCATAACTCTACGCGACAGAGGCGGGCGTGACATTGTACTTCAGTATCTACCCACCAGCCAAAGACAAGCCCAGAAATAACAAATCAGAACCCATGCACCTTCCCGTCCACGCAGCTATGCATCACATGCCCAACAACAAGTCAACCCCTCCAGAACACAAACCAGCCCAAGAACAACGTATAAATTCCCGACACAATCAAGATGATCGCCACCACACATCCATCGAGCCGTCTCAAGAGCTGAATGATTTGCCAGATGAAAATCCAGTTCACAAGGAGCTACTTGCATGAGCGGAATCCATCCTCACCAAATCGCAAGGAATCCTACAATAGTAGTAAAGGCAGCCGCCCTAGCGAACATCGCATTCAGGCGTGGGTCCAAGTCCGCGGCCTGACTGCCGTGAGGTACATTGTTCGTGGCCGCTCCGCCCAGATACCACGACCCAATGTCTGTCAATTCGCCCTTCTCCGTTAACATGGCTGCATTTGGGCCAACGTTGGAGATGTCAGATCGGAAGGCGCCATAATAAGAGTAGCGTGTGATATTCCTAGGTAATCCGTCAGTCAATTTACCCAGGCTGCATCAAGGCACAGTCGAAAGTATTTATGGTGCTTCGGCTGTGAATGCAACTGGGTCCGAGTCTTGGTACTGCCTTCCTCATCCTGGGGTAACACGGTGTCAAAACATACCTCCAATTGTCAAACAAGCGGAGCGACTTGTTGAACGCCCAGTGCGTATCATGGAGACTCTGATTGCTGTAGCCCCATTCAGTGACCCAGATAGGCAGTTTCGGATATGCTCTCGTGACTTCGCCGATCTTGCTAGCCATGGACTCGAAGTCGCCGTAGAAGTGAATAGGCATAAAGTCCGGGTTGCAGCTACCATTGCAGTGGGCAAGGAAGTCTTGGAGCCACATTGCACCTCTAGGGCTTCCGGTGATAGCGGGAGCCCCCAGCTTGACACCGTGTTTCTTGAGCGGCTCCACGTTTTGCTTCCATATTTTGGACGCGTAGTGGGGTGAGATATTGGAGCCTCCGTTGTCAGCTCCGTCAGGCTCGTTGAAGCCAAGCACATGAGTGATGTTCAAGCCATTCTTCATCTGTTGTCGGATACTGTCGAGGAAGGGTGTGCCAAGGAGGCCGCCGTCGGGAACGCCCCAGAGCATAGGTACGAATTCGAAGCCGGCCATGTTCTTATAGTCTGGAGGGGGTGCGGCCTCATAATTGTAGTACCACGTGAGATCAGAGCGTCGCGTCGCCCAAATAGCGTTGTCTTCTGGGTGAGGGTGAACTCCTCGATGTCTTTCAGGCACGAAGCAGAGGCCGCGCTTGGACGAGGTCGATGCCGTGGCGAGAGTGAGGAGCGCTGCCGTAGCAGCGTATCGGAAGAATGCCATAACGAATAGTCAGAAGATGCGGAGAGAGTTGTAACGATGCTCAGTAGCGATAACGAAAGCGACTTGCAGATGACAATGGTGACTTGTTGGGAAGTACGAAAAGAAGTCAAATCGAGAAAGACGTCTCTGAAGGGCAGCAACTGCTCAACGCCTGCCAACCTCATTGTGGTACAAGGTAAGAGCGGCGCACCCGTGCCTGCCTCCTGCTCTTCCTGCCAGGTACGACAATTGACTCTCAGCCGTAGCACTCCGAGAAGGCGCCTTCCGCGTGAACGTCGGGCTCAGGATCAGATTCTGGCATTGAAGTCCATTGTGAGGCGGCTTACCTCAGGATACACAATCCTATACTTGCCCCACCAACATGTCGGCAGCTAACAAGTTTATATTCAACCTTCATCTTGACGAGAGCGCGTTCCTTACCGACTCTAGGAAATAACCTAGGTTGTGTTTGATCGATCTGGAAGAGCATGACACATAAGCAACAAGACTACAAAGAACGACGTAGACCGACCACCTACCTCACTCTCTTATAAAAAGCACGACACGTAACAAACAGCACGGTGACACGAAACACGTTAAACACCTCTTATCTTATACGACAATGCCATTCTGCTCTGCTCTTACGAACGTATCTGCAACTGGGCCACTGGCCGCGCAGTCCGTTAATTACAAAATATGCTGTCTGTCAGAGATCTATGCGGCCAACCAACTATAAAGAGACTCAAAAACCGTTATGAAGTCGTAGGTAGGGAAGGACATGTTAAACACTCGGTAGGTATTATCTCTTTATTACCCACACAATATACGCCCAATCTCCAGTAAGCGCATTCCCTGCGCAGAAAATGTACAGTGCAGAATTACTTTTATGGGTATCAACTCAGTACGCGTGTCCCTGGTATCCCCCTTGGTGACCGCCTTGAGGTTGCCATTGGCCGCCATAAGATGTGTAGCCCGTCTGTTGTGTGCCCATGTCGATGGAGGGCAGACGAGGTGCCCTGGCGTCTGTGCTGGGGACGCGTTCTGCGCTGACATCCCGGCTGTGGGTGCCAGTTCGTCCGAACCCGGCAGCGTGGTCCATGAGATGATCGTGGTCGTCCTGGAATGGTCGTCCGCCGTTGTATGCTGTGTTTTGCTCGGTGAGCGGGATGGGGTCGTATTTGTGACCACCGACGCTCATGACGGAGCCACGCTTGTACTCTTGCGGGTCCATGAGGAGGGAGTTGCGTGCGTCCAAAGGCGTCAGGTTGTCCAAGTCGCGTGCTTTTTCTGTGCGGTTGTTAGGATATCTCTGATATAGGGACTGTTGGTGTGACTTACCAGCTTCCTTCCTCTTCTTCTTGTGCGGGTTCTCCTTGCAACAGATGACAATGGCGTTGACTGCAATCAGAATAGCCAAGAGACCGGTCAAGACGGCCTGCATAACCACCAAGACAAGACCAGTAACCGTCTTCGTGGTTTGAGCAACTCCGAGCTCCTCAACGAAGATCAGGATGCAAACAACCGAAAGGACACGAACAACCTGGATGATGATGTTGATCCAGTTTCCGGACTTGAGGGAGAAGGGGCGAACCCAGAGGAGTAGGACAAGGAGCGCTGCCTCAACAATGAGCTGACCAGCGACTTGCGCCATTCCGTGACCATCTGCGCCAGCGATAACACAACCGCGAGCGAAAGCGTAGATGATCAAGGGAATGAACAGCCACCAATAGCTCTTCTTGTAGTTCTCGTAGAAGATGCTGTACTTCCTCCAGAGCTCTTTGTTCTCGTAGAGAGCGCCGGAGTCACCCTCCATTTTCTTGAACTTCTGCGCCAGACTCCAGATCTTCCATGTGAAGAAGGCAAGGACAGCGGTGAAAAGTGCAAGAGTGACACCCGCAAGGACCTTCGCAGCCCACGAGTCGCCGTTCCTGAACTGGTAGACACAGTAGAGGGTCCAGATACCGTACAGAAGGAGGATCAAGTGGGTGATGGTCTTGGCCAGTGTCCACCAGTATCGCTTGCGGAAGCCAGTCAGACGCTTGGGAAAGTTTCCGCACAGAGCCCACGTCTCGAGGATGACCTTGAAAAGGAGGATGGCGACGGTGATGGATGCGATGACGATAGCGAAAACCAGGAGTACAGTCATGAAAGTGTTGCCGTTGGGAATGCTGAGCTCTTGGGCATACTTCTTGATGCCGTTTCCGAAATCCTCCAGCTGGTTGCTCTCCCCGCTGTCGGTGCTGTTGTCGTTGTTGACGCTCAAATCATCACGTACCCAAAGCGACGCAACGTGGATCGCGCGTTTTGTCATGTTCTGTCCCGAGCTGGTATAGCTGATGTTCTTCAGATAGTCAACGCTGTCCGCTGTTAGGTTTCCACCAGTCTTGTTGCGGAAGTTGTCAATCGATCTTTGTGCGCCGTCCCAGCTGACGAGACCTGTGCTGAAGGCGAAGTTCTTGGAGAAGCTCTGGTAAATGCTGGGGTATTTGACGCTCATCATTCCATTGAGCGCCATAGACTGGAACCAACCAATGACGTCGCCGAAGTTGGGGCTCGACGTCGCAGTGCCAGCATGGCCTGCACTCGCAAGGGCCGACAGACCGGAAACAGCCAACGCGCCGGCTGCCATACCCGCTGCAATATACTTTGCGGCAGCGACATCCATTGTCTTGCCGTTGCTGACAGTCGAAGTGATACAAGCCAGCTGTGTTCCATCCTTGGCCTTGAGCTGCAATGTAGCCTGGCTGTCCAGATCCGGGACGTTGAACGCGATGGCTGGGATCTTGTCCATGTACGAGTCGGGGATGGTCTGTTCTCCTGTCGCACCGAATGTGCCTTCGGGTACTGTGGACTGTTAGATGGCATCTGCAGACGTGCGTGGTGGCGAACTTACCAGGGCACAGCTGGGGCACCTTTGTGTCTTCAGCGCAGGGGTCAAAGTCATTCTTGTAAACCTCGATGCCGTAAGCATTGACAACAAGTGAAGCCATGACTTCCTGTTTCTTCAAGCTGGTACCAGATACGTCAAATACGACCTTTTTAGTCGACTTATCGAACTCGATGTCCATCCTGTTCACCTTGATATCTGCGTCATCCTGGCACGAGGTGTATCCGGTGGTCTTGAGTACATCTGAGGCAAGAGCACCCAGAGGCGCTGTTGCCAGTAATATGAATGGCGCGAGCATTGTGGAATAAGAGATGTGTGCTCGCATGGCGTTCGGTCTTCGCCCGCAGGCGGTCTACCCCCTAGGCAACGATGGAATGGAAGGATAGTCGAGTCCTCGGTGTAGGGTGGCACTGGTGAGGCGATAAGAGAGTCGTAATACAGAGGAAACGTGTGGATTAAAGGTCTAGGGCCGCAGGTTCAACCTTCTCGAGCCGGAACAGGGTATTGTCGAAGTTGAAGTTGATGTCGAAGATGCAAACAAGCGAGAGAGACAAACGGAAGCCCAAAAGCCAAGGGTGTGCTGGCGAGGTGGAAAGCGAACGATGAAACGAGAGGCTGTCTTGTTGTTGGGAAGGGAGAGACGAGCGCGTGCAGGTTTGAGGCAGTCGCTCAGAGCCTGAAACCTGGTAGGAGAGCGGACAGGGGTACGGGAAGGCGAGACCGAAAGGGCAACAACGGCGCGGTACTACCCCGATGGTCTTTGCTTGGATTTGCCCACACGACGCAGGATGAGTGGAGATATCTATTGCGTTCTGGACGGGCCCAGGGGATCTTTTCTGGGACGTGTTCGAGGGGAGCGAGCGTGACGACGCCTCCTGCGCGACACGATCAGGGCTCTTTTTTTAAGCGCATCGCAATATTGGCCACGAGCCTTGCGCCCCGTCGGTGCTCGCTGCTCCTGGCGTCGACTGGCGACGGGTGACAGCTGAGGAATGCGACACTGCAGAGAAGCCATGTGGGCCTATCAGGGGGGACCAGCGTACTCTAGCTTCACCCTGCCGGGAGCCATTCATCGTGCCCAGCGGCCGGCGTCCCGCCTCCACAGAGGCTGCAGGCGCCGCAAAGTCGTGCGCTGAAACACCAATACCACCCAGCAATAGGCATCTGCACGCGATGACAGTGGCCAGCTCAACATGTTCGCTGCTCGAGAGACGCTCCCATGATGACTCCTGTTAGGGTTGCTACGTTGCCGTAACGGGCAGCCATCGGGAGAAGCGCAGCGTGGCAGCGGTGGCTGTGCACGCAAAAATAGACCGTCGAGCACTCGTCGATCCGTCCGTGGTTGCGGCTGACAGGCTCCGCGACCAGGAACCCGCCGCGTGCCTGTTTATTGAAAGGGTCTTGCTCTGGCAATGATTATCTGGAGTCCCCAACAACGTCCAACGTCTTTGCGTTCGTGTCCTCGACATGTCAACCCAAGTGTGTCGCGTCACTTCTGCGACACCATCAGAGGCCCGTCGCGCTTTTCTGCGACCGGCTGCTGCTCCCAAGCAACGCCAGTCTCCACTCTCGTTCCGTGCCACAGTGCTCCAGGGCTGGAGTCTGGACATGTGCCAGCCCCACTACGGAACGCCCGTCACGGTACAGCCACAGTGTTGATTTATTGAATTGTGAATGTTTGCACTCCCATGATTATACATACGCCGCAGACCCTATGTACGAGATCGGTAAGCCAGCTGCGCCTCACGGCTATTTCTCAACGCTGAAGGAAGAGACCTCACGTCATGGGCGTCGAATTTGTGGCGGGTGTCCTTCAATCAAACACTACCTTGTCCCTCCAAATTATCTCCACATGCAATCAAACGATAACATCACTCTTCCCCAGCATCAAGAGACAAAGATCCAATTGCTGCTCGATACCGTATCTCCCACCTTACCGTCCGAAGGTTGTTGCCGAAAAGCCGCGTCAGCAACCGCATGTCTCGTATAACGGATTTCTGGGCGAGCAAATAGAATATCCGACTCCGATACTGCCCACCTCGGGCATAGCGACGGTTTTTGTGCTCATAACCGTGCTTTAGTGTTAAGCTTTCCGGCTTGTTGTCCGTATCGATAATGCTGCCGTCTTGATCCGTTGGCCCCTTTTGTTGGCGCTTCCGTTCCTGCGTCACTGTCGCCAAGCTCGAGTCGCTTGAACATGTGCTGCAACGCTCTCTCCAAATGCTTGATCTTTTGTGCGATTGACCTCGCGCGAGACGATTGGAGCTGAAAGTAAATCTCGATGCAATGTGCACTACCATCACCATCAGAGACACGATGATGCTTACCTAAACATATTCGACACCGTCGCTGCCATGATGGAGCGCTGTTGGGATGGAGCATGTATGAATTACAGATTGATACATGGCCATCATTCACACTCAACCAAGACTAGTAACTCTATCCGATCTGACGAGTTTGAATTGTGCGTATGCTGGCTGCGTCGAAATTGTGCAAAGTGTAGGCATTTGCGGGTGTCTCTACAGGAGCCTCTCGCAAAAACACGCGCAGCTGCGCAGTTCCCCTTCGCTGAAATGTCCAGTTATGGGCCCGCGCCAAAGACTTAGAAAGTAATTGAACACCTATCCTACCATGAAGCGCGTATTGCAGTGTCTCTTCGCGCTTTCTCGTGCAATTCGTGAGGAAGAAGAAGAGTGGATAGCCGATGTTGGCTAGGATCTCTGCATGGATCACGAGCGACAGGTGCGGAAGCATCGGATCTCTCATGACGAGTTATCTCACGTAGTAGAATCTGTGGGGTAGACTAGCAACATCATACAGAATCCGAATGGACATCCTTTGCGGTAAATCGGCTAGAGCCGATGCTCGTGTGACGTCATCTCCAATGCTTCGCTCCTCCCTTGCGACGGCTCCTTCAACTACAAAGTAATCGGGTCGAGGCGCGCCTACCACACCAGACTGAGACTACGACAAAGGAAACGAAGAAACATTACAACTTCGACGGTACTAGATAGCGGAACAACATCGGGATGCGGCCAAGTCAAAAGCATGCAGAGGATGATGCGCCCTCGGTCCGGTCAGGAACGGGATATATGCCCGTACGTTTGCGCAGCAATCTATTGAATAGAATGCTAACCAGCGAAGGTCGAAAACTATGGGTTAATCGGCAACATGCGTACATCTGCACTCGTTGCTACGGACGGAGTAAGTATGAAATGCCGTTGGAGAGATTGAAGTAAGGGCTGATCATGTTTATCAGGGGATTGACTTCATGTGCTGGTAGAGCGAATTACTACATAGGCTTGAGACGGATGCTAATGAACGACAGGCCTGATTTCGACTCACCCTCTGTTTTTGCGCGAATGCTGGATAAGGACAAAGGCGGGCATTTCTCTATTGGCCCAGCAGCAGGTCAGCTATGCACCACGAAGCAACAGTACTTGCCGTCAAGCAATATACTCCAAACTCGACATTTGCACGAAGACGGCGTCATGAATGTGATCGACTTCTTCCCGCGGCCGAACAGCGGCACTGCTGACGCGGCTTATCACGAGAAAGTCGTTCATGGTAAACAGCGGGGAGAAATATGCAAAGGCCACGATGAGCGTCCTGATTTGAAGAAGTGGCTAGTGCGCCGTGTTGAAAGTCTGCGAGGGGAGGTCGATGTTGAGGTCGAACTATTCCCTGCATTCAGTAAGTGGATATCGTGGGTTCGCTCCTGTGCTTACTGACATTGGAAGATTACGCACAAGACAAGCATACTACCGAAATTGACAGCGAAGGCTATCATGCTACTTTCAAGTCCGAGAATCTATCATTGTCCTTGACTATTATAGTCAATGACGAAGACAGCGATGGTGACCTAGAGCGACCAACTATTGCCTTTCAAAAAGAGGCAAGCAAGCACCATCTGGGAGATGGCGTCACCGCACAGTTCCGTCTCATTGAGGGACAATCCGTCGCGTTCATCCTGCACGACAATCAAGACACAGGACCAGCGAATAACACGACGGCCTTGATCGATGAGGTACAGAAAACGACGCACAAGTTCTGGACTCGGTGGATCTCGCAGAGCAAGTACCATGGACGTTGGGAGAGCGTTGTGACAAGAAGTTTACTTATCCTCAAACTTTTGACATACGAACCTACAGGAGCCATAGTTGCTGCTCCAACCTTCTCACTGCCAGAAGATTTCGGAGGTGAGCTTCCATAGCTCAGAGTGACATATCACGCTCTCATATGGCACAGAACGAAGCTGACCCTCGACCAGGCGCACGGAATTGGGACTACCGGTGGGTATCCCGACGTTGTATTCGACTTACATTGTTAATTTGGCTTGTAGGTTTTCTTGGGTTCGCGACTCGTCATTCACGATATACATATTCCTTCGCATGGGTTTCAAGTACGAAGCCGAAGCGTACACAAGCTTCATCTTCCAGCGGGTAGCGGAAGCAAAGGCCAGAAAAGGGGCTCTCCCCATCATGTTCACCATACGAGGGGAGACTGACATCCCAGAGATTGAGCTAACACATCTGGAGGGTTATCGTGCTAGCAAACCGGTCAGGATCGGTAACGGGGCAGCGTTCCATCTACAGCTCGATATATACGGAGAGCTGATGGATGGCATTTACTTGAGTAACAGACTGGGAAAACCGATTTCTTACGACCAATGGCTTTCTGTGCGCGACATCACAGACTATGTCTGCTCAATCTGGAAGGAGAAAGATATGTCCATCTGGGAGGTCCGCAACGCTAAGCAGAACTTTGTGTACTCGAAGATCATGCTTTGGGTCGCCGTGGATCGCGCTCTCCGATTAGCAGAAAAGAGGTGTTTTCCATGCCCGCGGAGACAAGAGTGGTACCGGGTAGGTAGCAGCAGAGCCTACGTCAGCGAGGAAGCAAGCTCTGACGAGATGTTTCTAGGTACGAGACGAAATCATGGAAGAAGTCATGGAAAAAGGTTACAACCGTGAGCTGGGCGCTTTCATCCAAAGCTACGAGTCCAACGAGATGCTCGATTCAGCGGTCCTCGTTGCCCCTCTAGTCTTCTTCGTGGCTCCCAACGATCCGAGGTTCTTAGGGACCCTCGACCGGATACTGAAGGCTCCGGAAAAAGGTGGCCTGACCAGTACCGGTCTGGTGTACAGGTACAATTCGGCAAAGTCTGATGATGGTAAGCTCAAAGTCCTTTAGACGCGGAAATACTGTGAGCCAGATGCAGTCATGTCTCAACGCCCTTACTGATCACGTTGTACGGGAATTGCCAGCCTTTCATGTGCTACGCGAAGACTGGGCTTCCTCGTTGCGTCATTGCCACGTATACGGCTTGCTAACCTTGATGATAGGCGTTGGTGGACGTGAAGGGGCGTTCAGCATGTGCACCTTTTGGCTTGTGGAGGCTTTGACTAGAGTAAGCTCTCGATTGGTGTCGCTCAATTTGGACGCACTAACACCGCACGTGTATAGGCTGGCGCGTACGAAAGCAAGTATCTCCCTCAAGCCGTCACCATTTTCGAAAACATATTGAGTTTTGGAAATCATCTTCGCATGTTTTCGGAGGAGATTGCTCGATCGGGTGAACAACTGGGTAATACACCCCAAGCATTTAGTCACTTAGCGTTGATTTCTGCCGCTTTCAACTTGAATAGGACATTGGGAGAAAGAAAATAGCGGACGTTAGGAACAGACTTTGGTAGATTGCTTGCATTGAATACAACATTCCCGACCTGATCAACTTGAGCCACTTCATATCGGATGTGATGGGAGCTTGCTGCCTCTGACAAGTACTCACTCAATTGCTATCACATCAAGACCTTTGCGATCGGTGTGAATGCATCGAACGTTCTATTAATATCACGGATGCTGAAGACTGCCTCGCGACGAAATGAACGCAGCCTTGCCCCTTGGTTGAAATGATGCTCCCGCGTTTCATAAGTGCTTCGTTATGATTAGCCAGAATACCAGCATTTGCCGGGCGGGTCCAGGGTATGGAGTTCACTAGCGTTTAGAGGCCCTGGTTCGCTGCAACCTCGTTCCTTCATTCCCAACCTCATGTCGAAACCACCTCTCACATGGCCAGCCGCGCGGTGGTGCAAATAGCCTCAGAAACTTCTTCATGCTTGCTGCTATCCCCAAGTGACACCTGCGACAAGTCGAGCGCTTCCTGCGGTTTGCCTGCTGGTCACATACTCAACTTCTTGGTGGCGATGCATCTGACAGTGTGCAATGACCGACTACCTCTGGCAGCTGCACATGCTACAAGAGCTATATGAAAGATCGACTAGCCGGCCTCCTGAAAGAAGAAAGTGACCTGCGAACGAAGAGATCGCAGATCCCGTGTGTAGTTTGTGGGGACGAATCCTTTCGGCGTTTTGACGCAAGCATACCTCCTTCCGCATCAAGTACACTACGTCCAAATTACCGTTCAAGAGCCGACTGCGCCCCCAAATTTAGCGGACTTGCCGTCTGCTATAGTCTACATGCCTTACCTCGGAAGTCGCATCTTTAATGACAGTTGCAGCCCTTGGGGGTTGCGGCGTGATGCTTTCACATGAGCATCTTTGGTTGCGATTGGACCTAAAGCTTATTGTTCCCGCAGGGGCGCTACACTAGCCGTCCGCGGACCATGAAGTCGACTGCACTGGTAACAGTACTACTCGCATACTGTACACTGACTCTCCACAGCGACCTTCTCGAAGATACATGTATCACGAGTTTCTTGAGCTACAGAGCTTGCCTCATTTGGGATCTGACAGATGATGTTTAAAGATTACACCCTATCGGACTATCAAAGGTACAATCCCGGTAGGACAATGCTAAACCCGGAAGACTGACATGAGGTACCCTGGCCCTTTTGTGTCACCAGACCAGAACCCCAGATACTTCCCCCGTGCGACAGGTGGAACGGTACCTGCAGGTCGAGATCTGTTTTAGGCTAACACTCCCGCCTTCAAGGGTCTTGCGCGGCCGCTACTTCTCATAGCCTCTATGGTCCGTCGTCGATGGCCTTCATTCACCTGCCCGAACGGAAGTGTGCCTAGCATTTGGCACATGAAACATTGTCTCCACGTTCGGAATGACCCCTTCAATATCGTTTGTTATATAACGTATGCTTAGTACCGACAATGGCATTCTTCGTGCGTGGAGCCGCGTTTCATTCTTCGAGCACATGCACATTCCACCATTATCAGCCCTAAACATTCGTTGTCTCTAAACACTCACGCTCCTTGAAAAAACGTCCTCAGTACACATCAATCCTTCTAACAAGTCATTCTTTCTTCTTTCCTTTGGTTCGACATGGCGAAGCTGGCTTTCCTGCTGGCTTTGGTCCAGAGTGCGCTCATTCACGGCCTACCCGCCCACGAAAAGCCACACTTTGCGCTTGATGTCGGTGAACGTGCCATCACGCTCTCATCAAACCTTCAAGTCACCACGAGCTACAGTCTGGTTGTGACCAGCTTGCAGTCCGCGAGTGTGACCGAGTCACCTTCCATTACTGGTGTAAGTATTTTCGATGTTTGTATGTCTCCTTCCACTGAACAGTCAAAAGGTCATCCCGACGGGTTTGCCAGACCCAGGCTTCTCTTTTAACCCCATAAAAACTCCTAGCTACTACCCGTCCAATACTCTAGCGCCCATCAATGGAACACTGCAGCCAGGACCAACCACCCCCTTGAACAATGTCGAAGGCAACGTTTTCGTCCCTATGGCTACAGACGCGCCTCCACCGCAGGTAGTCTCGCGCGGCGATCACCCTATTAAGAAGATCAACATTGTGGATGGAGATGTCCCAGTCTATACCAACAAGTTTTACGCAAACCTCTTCCTAGGAGAGCAAAACTTTCCCGTCTGGACGCATCCGTACTCGGTAGCATGGGCCAAGGGCACTGGCGATACTTGGGGTATGTCTGTGAGCCATATTGAACGAACGCAATTTGCCTGGGGCGAACAAACTCCGCCACGATACTGGATCGCACCGATCGGTATCCAACATATCGTGATGTCGGCGAAGGAGCTGGGAACCAGCACAGTTCTGTCCACCGAAGAGTTGACGGGTTTCTCTGTCTATGCTAACCTGGCCCCTTCGGTCAATGCGGACCCTGTCATTTCGTTCCCTCTCGTACAAGGAATGGGTTTCGTGACCGGCTTATATAACAACGGAAAGCCGCAACTCAATTCCGGTGTCTTCTTTCGCACACTCAATTACGTGGGTCGACTGAATGGTATCACATACAAGTACCAAATCACTCTTGAGGATGGCTCTCACTGGCTTCTCTATGCTACCCCAGTGGGTTCCCTCGGCGCACCACCATTCACTCTGGTAGACAATAAGCTCATTGAGGGACCGGACGGATACATCGGCTCGATACAGATTGCCAAGAATCCTGCAGACTCGGATGGAGAGCGGATCTACGACTCTACCGCAGGTGCATTTGCAACCAATGCTACAATTTCTGGTACTGTCAACGGCGCGTTCGGCAGTTATACGCTCGACTGGGGCAAGAGCGGCGTACAGAATCAGACGTTGCTCATGTTCGCTATTCCGCACCAGGTGGAGTCATTCGACCAAGCTTCGAAAGATGCTTTGACCATTATCGAGCTTGTTACAACCACCAAAGGCTATGCCAGGGCCGTTGTTGCTGATAGGATCACTATGGTTGAGCCTGAACTCCCTGCCTCCATCGGATTCGCCCCGTGGGTTCCTGACCAGGACAATGGAAACAGTGGCAGCGAAAACATCGAGCTCTCCGACGATGCACGCATCATGGTCCAGAACTCCGGCGCCGTCGAGCTAGGCCAGAACTTCACCGCCCAAACAAGTCTCGACAGCATGTACTACAGCGGCAAAGGCCTCGCCAAATTCGCAGCCATCATCTACACCGTCCAGACCCTGGGCAAGGACACCGAGCTCGCAGCCGCCGGTCTCGTCAAACTAAAAGACGCCTTCAACGTCTTCGTCAACAACACACAACCCCTGCCCCTCGTCTACGACACCGTCTGGAAAGGCGTCGTATCCTCCGGCTCCTACGGCGGCGACCTCGGCCTCGACTTCGGCAACACCCTCTACAACGACCACCACTTCCACTTCGGCTACTTCGTCTACACCGCGGCTGTAATCGGCCACCTCGACCCCTCCTGGCTCGACCAAGGCACAAACAAAGCCTGGGTCAACATGCTCGTCCGCGACTTCGCCAACCCCTCCTCCACAGACCCTTTCTTCCCCTTCCAACGCTCTTTCGACTGGTACTCCTGCCACTCCTGGGCAAAAGGCCTCTTCGACTCGGGCGACGGAAAAGACCAAGAGTCCACCTCAGAAGACACCTTCGCGACCTACGCCCTCAAAATGTGGGGCTCCACCTCCGGCGACGCCCCCATGGCCGGCCGCGCCAATCTCCAACTCGCGTGCCAGAAACGCAGTCTGCGGAATTACTTCCTGCTCGAGTCAGATAACCAGGTCCAGCCGAGCGAATTCCTGCCCAACAAAGTTACGGGTATCCTCTTTGAGAACAAGGTCGATCACACGACGTACTTTGGGGCGGAGCCCGAGTTTATAGAGGGGATTCATATGATTCCGCTGAATCCTAGCTCTGCGTATACAAGGAGTAGGACGTTCGTGCAGGAGGAGTGGGACACGTATTTTAGCGACGGGCGGGCGGATAATGTCACGGGTGGATGGAGGGGGTATTCTCCATGCGAATCAGATACTCATCGATCCGTTTGCCGCGCTGGACTTCTTCTCTGATCCGAACTTCGATATGAGCTCCCTCGACGGTGGAGCAAGCCGCACATTCTATCTGGCGTATGCGGCGGCTATGGCGGGGGGTGTCGGGGGAGGCGTGGCCAATGTTACTGAAGCGTCGATGGGTGGGACGGCAGCGAAGCCTGTTTCTGCTCAGATGCAGAGTGGGTACGAGACCGGAGATGAAGAGCCTGGACCGGATGACGATTGGGAGTGGGAGTATGATGACGGGAGCGAGGCAGACGATGGAAGTACCAGCTCCGACGAGGCATCGTCAGGGTATGAAGAGCCCGACTCCGACACTGGGACGGACGCCGACTCTAACGACGGCTATGGAGTGGGCGTATGACCGGCGGAAGCAGTGATACAACGAAGTGCTTGCGCGGAGTTCAGACGGACGCTCCTTTCGTGTATCTATATTTGGCATTGGTTCGGGGGGCGTTGCACATATATTTCTATCGTCAATATATTTTATCTAGGCTTGGTGCCGTGCATTATCTTATGAACATGCTTCTGAATGCGTACGGTGGTGATGTCTAAGTGAGGAAATCGCCGAGTGACTGCGTGCATGCATCACATGCATTTGCGTCAAAGAAGGGAGGTTTATATGTCTGTCATTGAAGGAGACCGTGACCAAGGATACCCTAGGTCGGTCATATATCGAAGCCGAGTGCCAGCTGCTACATCGTAAAGACGTATTGGAACCGACCAGCATATATGAAATCATGTATATGAAGCAACGTCAATGCGTTATCCATCAAACATGATTGCCGAAGAGCTGCAAACCAACAGAAAGGGTCGTCCGTTCACTGCTCATGGCACCCACGCTCTAGCCGGATGTTCCGTACATCATAGAATCTCCAGTCCAGGCTCACCCACCATCTTACTGCGTCTCAACCAGACTCTCCAAATAATCATCCAGCTGTATAACCTTGAACCTCTCCCCCCACTTCGCCCTAAACTTCCTATTCTTGTACCCCGCGCTCATCTGCTGTTTCCAGCTAACAAGCTCAACGACCCACCCTTTCTTCAGCGCCCTTTCCACATTCGCCAAAAACCCATCCGAGTGCTCTGCCGCGTTCCCGTCGCCCGTAGCAAGCACCATCGTCGTCGGGACCTCGGTGTCAAGCACACTCTGACACATCTTCAAGTGCAGAATCTCGTCGACGCCCTGCTCGACCCATTTCGGAGCCGAGAGGGTGGCAGCCGCAGCAGGACCCGTTTCAGAGTCGCTGCCGCTGCCGGAGCGCAGCTGCGTGGCTTTAGTCCAGCCGAGCCGCTCAACATCTTTGAAGAATTTCTTGCGGTCGCTGTCTTCGCGACGGATGTATACCTGCTCTTGGATGAGGTTCTCGTAGCCAACGGCCTTGGAGGTCGCGGCGAGCTTGGTTACGTGCGGGAGGGGGTTAGCCTCGCGCTGGGAACTGGCGTATATGCGTTTGGCGACGGGGCGGCGGCGCTCCATTAGTAGGGCGAGCGTGTCGAAAGACATCTCGAGCGGTTGGTACTGTCCTCGCTCTCTAAGTATGTTCTTGAATCCTATCATAATGTTCGAGGCATCTACGAAGCAGTGAATACCTCGCGCCGCAGTCTCCTCTGTGTTCAGAGGCATAGGGGCCAGGAGATGTTGTGAATCTTCCGGAAAGTTGGCCAGAAGTTGGTTAAGGAATTGGAAATGTCGCTCTATACGTGGCTTAATGGTCAATCCTGTGGCGCCTCCTCTGGGCGTGACCGGAAGCTGAGTGGGGGTCGCAAAACGGTTCGGTGACTGAAGTTGGTAAGGGCCTCGGTCTGTAAGCCTTGAAGCTGATTCTGCATCCGTTCTAGCACCAGAGTTTTGTACTGTTGCACTAGGTTCGAATCGAGAAGACACCACAGGCTGAGGCGTTGGTGTACCGGAGGCTTGTGCTGAGTTCACATGTATTCTGGGAGCACTCGCGGGCTGAAGTGTGCGAGGAACAAGGCCGTGATTTAAGCGTACAGAAGGAGGGACCTGTGGCTGAAGGCCATTACCTGGCTTGGCTTCATGTAAAGAGGGTCGGCTCAGGACTTGCGTGACCGAAGACTTGGAGAAGCCATCAATCGGAGCATCTTGATGCATAAAAGGACCAGGACTGGGCGTGAAGGGCTGCGCCAGTGAGTTCAGACGCTGGGGAACGCCAACAGAAGCGGGATCTGCCGAGTTGCGCAAGAAGTTCGAGAAGTTCGGTACCCTTGTGGACGGTTGTGGCTTGACAGCTTGAGACTGTGCCTCAACCGGTAATGGAGTAGCAGGTCGGATCTTTGCACCAACGTTGGATCGAGTACGGGGCTGGTTTGTCGACTGTTTACTGGAAGTAAATTCTTCCGGAGCAAGTGACGCTTTAAGCGCCCTGCGCGCCTCTTTTCGTTCCTTCTTCGCAGCTTTCTTGCGCTCTTTCTTTTGCTCCTTAACTGTCGTCCCAGCCAGTGGGCTATCTGGGTCACCAATGCTAGCAGCATCAGCTTGTCCATTCAAAAAAGCATCGTCAGAGCTAATTGGGCCTTCCGAGTCCAGGGGACTAGCGGGTGCCAGCCGCTCCGGTCTCGAAATGCCTAATTCATCGAACAATTTTGTGAAGTCGCCGAGGCGGGGAATATGTGTATCTAGAGGTGGTTGTGCGATCGGCCCGGAGGCGGACTTGAAGCCAGGCGTGCCAACATCTATTTTGACGGGAGTTGCAGCTGAGAGCGTAGGGGACGCAGCGTCATAATCCGACTCTATCAGGTCTATCACGGCGTTGAAACCCCAGCCTGTATCGATGGGTTGTGACGGCATTACAGTCACAACGCAAGCGTTAGGACGGTATTGTTGTGGTCTATGTGTCTTGGGAGTATTGAAGTCCGTGGATGTCGCGGAGACGTTCGTGGATGGCGGATTGTAAGGCTAAAGCGGCAGAGGAGCTGGATATCGTCAGTGAGAGTAGTAGTGAGTGAGTCTTGCGGACGAGCGTACTGGAAGTGGCGTCAATCAATAGCTTCAATCTCTCCGGCATGATCAACCACGGTTGTGATTCCAATGGGGCTGCAACGTGTCTTCCAAGGTAGCAACAGAATAACTTAGGTAGGGAGCCAAGGTTGGAAAGTCAAAACATAGAAACGAAAGGTACGCGACTTCTAGGGGAGCGGTGTCGAGGTAGTCGGAGTTGCGGGTGGCGGCGGGCGTGGGTACTCAACATCGTGCGCAGATCGATCGTCCGTGCGCCGATGATTGACCACGTCAAACAGTCATGCGCCACCTTTTACGACGGCGCACCCAGACTACACGTGCTGTCATCGTGAACATTTGCATTCCTGAGCAGACCGAGGCCACGTTCAGACCCGTTCCTAGACTTCCTAAATCATGACCTGTTCATTCCTCAGACCTGCAATCGGCATGTCTTCTCTAAGCCTCGGATAGCCACTGCCCCACCGTGAAACACCGCTCCGTTGCCCTCTCAACCTGCCCCGCCCGCCCTTCTCTAAGGCACCAAAAATGTCCGCAGATTTCTGGGCCGGTTACATTTCAGGTGCTGCAGGCATCCTCATCGGGAACCCCTTGGACCTCGTGAAAACACGTCTGCAAGCGGGAAACGCAGCGCCCAATGCCGAGCCTGTGACTGCTGGTACAGGCCCCGCTACTGCCACTGCTACCCTGCATCCACCATGGAGCTTCAGACAGCACTTTGAAAGCGCGGGAACACTGGTCAAGGGTGAGAATTAGCTTCTTGTATTGTGTATCGTGTAAACAGAGGTTCTGATCTGCGATGTGTTAGCATAGGCACCACAGCGCCCCTCCTCGGATACGGCGCTCTAAACGCGATCCTCTTTGTAACCTACAACCGCACCCTCACAGCGCTCCACGACTCCCCAGAGCTCCCAGCTTCTTTCGCAAAGGTTTGGTGTGCTGGTGCCGCCGGAGGACTCGCGTCCTTTGTGATCAGCGCGCCAACAGAGTTGGTCAAATGCCGCGCCCAAGTCGCAACCGATCAAGCTACCAGTTCGTGGACGGTGGCTAGGGATGTGTGGAGGCGAGAAGGAATACGTGGGCTTTACTACGGCGGCGGCATAACAAGCGTACGTGATGCGTTTGGGTACGGGTGGTACTTCTGGACGTATGAATGGAGCAAGCAAGCCGTGAGCTCGCCGACAGACACGGACAGAGAGACGGCTATCAAAGTGCTCCTCTGCGGCGGATTGGCAGGCGTAGTGACCTGGGCGTCCATCTTCCCGCTTGATGTTATCAAGACGCGCGTCCAGACCCAGCTATTGAACGCACCGTCGCATGAACTGGGCGAGAGGGAAGCGTTGCTGCATCGCGAGACACATGGCAAGCGACTCAGTACACTCGAGGTGGCTCGAAAAGCCTACCAAGCGGAGGGAGCGGGAGTCTTCTTTCGGGGGCTCGGCATCTGTAGTATACGCGCCTTTGTCGTGAACGCGGTCCAGTGGGCTGTATATGAATGGATGATGCGCCTATTACGGCAACCTTGAATCTACCCTCGTCTTAGCGGATTGATGATACATGCAACCAGATGACCATGAACTGTCCTCACACCAAGCACACCAGCGCACCACAATGCGTGCAATGAACCATGTCGTCCCGCTCATCCAGGTACATTCCTAAGTCCACGATTTCTCAATCTAAAGTACAGTATGAAAGTGGTATGAAATTTTCCCGGCCTCACTAAAATCGTCCACCATCGTCCACCATGCATAGTCCATACCCAAATTACCACTGAAATGTCCGATCTCTCAGACAGATGCCGCGTACGATGACTAAATGACCTTGGCCATGTGAAAAGCTTCGTACAAGCTAAGCTGTGAACAAGGAGTCATGTACGTTGAGACTCGCGGACTAACCTCGAGCGTAAATAGGAAGGCAGCTTTTTCGGAAGCGCCTTTACATGATCTGGTCCTGGGTGAGGCCTGCGGTAGCCTCAGTGCCCTCCATGGCGTCGCCGTTGCTCTGGTTCGAGTAGCGGACATAGGTCAGACCAAGGGGCCTGCCGCCATACTGGTAGCCGGTGAACTTCTCTGTGTGGTGTGTCAGTGACTGGACGATAAGCGGCACTAGTGTATGACTTACGAATAGCGGTCTCTGCATCGGAGGCCTTCTCGAACTCAACCACGCCGGTGCCGCGAGAACGTCCGTTGGGTTCGTATTGAATCTCGGCACGCTTGACAGAGCCAATGGTGGTGAACAGCTCGACCAGGTCCTCATTGCTCGTAGACCAGGGCAGGTTGCGGACGTAGATCAGGTTGCTGGGCTCTCCTCCCGAGGTAGCGTAGTCGGTGAAAGGATTGGGTGGGTTGGCGGCACCGCCTTCAGCAGCGAAGCCGGGACCACCACCACCATAACCACCAGCGCCTCCGGCAAAGCCACCGCGACCGCCTCCGAACCCGCCTCCAAAGCCGCCACGACCGCCGAAACCGCCGCGACCACCAAAGCCACCGCCGAAGCCACCGCGACCGCCGAAACCGCCACGGCCACCACCATATCCACCAGCTGGACCAGCAAAGCGGTCCTCGCGCACTTCGAGATTACGGCCTTGCCACTCATACCCGTTGAACTGTGTAATAGCATTTCGAGCATCTTCGGGAGTGTCGAACGCGACGATACCGGAGCCCTTCGGACGGCCGTCTTGGGCCAGGTGAACGTCAGCGCGGATAACAGATCCAGTGACGGCAGCTTGTCGGAAGAGATCCTTCAGGTCTTGCCAACCTACGTTGTACGGTAGCTGGGAATGAATTAGCTGAAGAGTCCCACACGTGCATAGGAGATGCTCACATTGGCGACATAGACCTGGCGACCGCCGCCACCCTGCGGCGATCCGCCAAAGTTGCCTGGTCCGTAGGGTGCTCCGCCGAATCCGTGGCCGGGGCCGCCTTGGGGACCACCGCCTTGGAAGTTTCCACGAGTGGTGCTGGGGTTGCTGAATCGAGGCTCGGCCTCACGGTCTTCGCGAACGTACACGAGCCGTCCCATCAAGTTCTGGTTGCTGAGCGTCGCCACGGCGTTCTGCGCCTGCTCCCGAGTTGCATATTCCACGATGCCACAGCCCTACACCCAAGCAAAAGCCAGTCAACCTCCATCCAGCGCACAAGCCAACCATCAGACCATTACCTTTGACATTCCATTCGGCAGCAGAAGTACGTCTGCGAACAAGACCTCACCGGCTGGAGCGCGTTAGCAATTGCGCACCCCCCAAACACGCGACGCGACCGTACCCTGTCTCATGAAGTCTTTCAAGTGATGCCACTTGACATCGTAAGAGAGGTTGCCCACATAGACACGACGGTCCTGCTGGGACGAATCTCGGATGCTCTGCATCATCGTCTCCTTGCTGGCAGGGTCTACCGAGCGCGACTGGCCTCCGCGACTAGATCCGTACGATTGATAACCTCCTGCGCCTCCACCACCAACGGGGGAACGCGAGCGACGGTCGTTGCGGCGATAGTCCTCGCGGCTGCGAGAGCGGCTGCGCGGGGAGTAGGAGCGTCGAGAGCGACGAGGTGAGCGAGAGCGACGTCGGGGAGAGCGCTCGCGGGCTGAGTCGCGCTGATCGTAGGTGTCAGTTTCGTACGACATGGTCGCTTGATATGACGGAGACGGGAATGAACAAGGGCCGCTATGTGCGGAGAGGGCGGGGAAAGAGGCGTGACGCGATTTGATGGAATCGGCGTGCAGAGCGTCGTGGAGCTCGTCGTGAGGACAAGCGCACGCTTGGCTCTCTCAGCCCCGGACTAGGTCACGTGTCGGGGCTGGGACGCTGCTGCCTGCAAACGGCTACCACCACGGCGCCGCATCCCAACGGCAGGCACGATTCGCGACAAAGCATACCGAGTGCCAGCGTGCGGTGGGACTGGGAACAAAAGAAGGAGACAACTCACCGCAGAAGGCCGATAGGAGTCAGTGTCGGCGTCGTCTTTGGGACTTGTCAGCGAGATGTCGAGGTAAGGGTGGAGTAGGAGCAAAGTGGTGGAGTGAGGGAAGAGAGGGGAAGCTGCAGTGCAGATAGAAGTTAGAAGCCGGGGCGCCTACCCATTTCTTCGTTGAGCAACAGCGACCGCGGCGTGGAACAAGGGAGCTCGCCGCTCTGTGAGGTGTGCGTGCTTAGACCGAGTCCAGCGCGCCAGCTGAACGGGCGGGCCTGATGCGTGCTGGGTGCAAGCGCTGCAGCGAGTCTGCCCTCCGCCTTCTTTTGCCTGCGCCGTCAGAGCCTCGATTGAGTGCGCCTGTACGGATGCTGCGGCCGCTAGCCAATGCGAAAGTCTGCGAGGCCCAGGATCCGGCCGTGTGGTCGAAGGGACGCGGTAGGGTTGCAGGGAGGGCACTGGGGCTTCGGCGCGGGCAGACGAGCGTGATTCGGGCACTGGTGGGTCGGGTGAGGCGGCGGGTTGGTGGTGCGGGCTCTGCCTTGCTATGGCATCGAACGCTGGGCGTCGTCGTCGTTCCAAGGTTGATTCTCTGGAGGGCGACGACGACCTGCGTGCCTCCCTCCCCCACCTGTTGAGCGGCTCGAGCCCCGTGCGCGCCGGGGATGGGAGCCTTTCCCGCTTCCCCCCAGGTAGGGCTGGCCTCTCTGCCCTACGAACAGACGACGCCCAAGTCGCCTTTGCCTTTGCTCCAACACGCCGCTCGACAGCACTCCCGCAACAGACAGGCACCGTCTGCCGACCGCGGGCCGTCTTGCAGCTCCAGGCCCTGCGCTATGTTTCGCTCCTTCCCTCCGCCGGTGTGCTGCCTGCCCGAAACATGCCTCCCCAAGCAACCCTCTTCGCACATGCATTGCCCCACCATGCACATTGTGCCGCTGCTGTGCCGCCGCAGCTCCGTTTTCTGCCCTCACGCTGCTTCGCGCCCGGCATTGGCTGTTTTTTTGATGAGGGAATTTCCCTCTGCAGGCCCGACTCACCAATTACATCCGCTTGAAGACAGCCGACAGCCTCAGCACGACTCTGCGAAGCCCACCACCAGCTCGGAACCTTAATCGAAGGACTCGGGCCCGCCAGCGACGGCTACTCCACCGCTCCAACACTATCCCCACTACCTTGTTGGTCAAGCCCACCCCACGTCGGACATCGACACCGACAGTAACCCTCGTCCGTGAGACTTCGTACTATCTCATCGCATGCAGCCAAACTTCTGCGGTATATATCGTCTCAACGTTTGCCGCTGCAGCTTAACCTCACGCAACCTTGCCCTTAGGCTGCGAAAACCGGTGTACAGAGGCATCGCCGATGCAAGCATGTGTGGAGATATGGACATGCTCGGTTGAGCACCCTGCTTGCAGTCTTCGGTGCCGCAAAACCCGCTCCACTTGGCTCCCATGTCGTGCTGTCCATCCTGGTGCACGAGTGCCGCGACTCCAGATCGTGCCGTCCATTTGCAGAATCTGAGTAGGGTAAACTCGTTGCACAGCGTGCGGTTTCTCGCCAACAGCTGAGTGCTGTCACACAAGGCACTGACACCAAACGCTCTCGCACCAGTTGACCCTTGCCCAATCGCGACTTGGCCCGAAGTTACCCAAGTGGGCCCACGAACACTAATCGGTGAATGCAATGCGCGGGTATTATCAAAGCAGCGGTACTGGCTGACGAGCCACGCTTTTAGCTTGCGCGGGAAGAAGGTCCTCGTTGCCGCGTTTCAGAACCATGTAATGCATGGAAGAGTTCCATGACCTTCTGCACATCTCGAATGCCTGCCGCGTCCATCAAGGCAGATCAAGGAGATCCACAGTGCGATACCGAGATCGGGCGTTCAGGCTACATCCACAATGGGCCCACGAAGTCACGAACACCCTGTTGTCCTTGACTGACTCGAACTCCCACTTATCATGCTCCATGCCTGACCAAATAGCCTTATATCTTGCTGACGGATCTAGGAGGCAGTAAGCGTCGGTCGAGCCACCTCTTCTAGGCCACGGCGTCAGCTCTTACTGCATTGCATATCAAAAACCTACACCGCTCCTCCGAGACTAGGGACGCTACACGGCACACTGTGGTACATAACGAAGACCACAAGACTTACTCTACCTCTGATGGCCCGAAGCCTGCGTCCATGAGTCGTCACCTTACTTGATCTTACACCTCACGATGTAGCAGCTGTTCACGGTCCCTTTGCATGTTCAAGTAACAACGTACAATATAGGCATGACCGCTTATACGCCTACATATGGCCGATACGAGTTCAGGCTCAAGAGACTAATTGTCCGAGGCCCCATATACATCCGATCGGAATTTATAGAAGCTGTGACCAAGTTAGGCGCCGTAAATATATCACCATCACCAACTTGTTCCCCTGGAACACTTCTTTTTAGCTCATTTTCGAGCACTCCCACAATCGAAGCAGTTCTAGCGAACATTAGGTTTGATGGTTCTAATTTTGCCCTTATGTTGCCAAACAAATCATAGCGGCCGACACTAAAAGCTGAATTGGTTCTTGCGCCAACAAGAGAGACGGCCATACAGTATCAGGCCACAGCATTGAACACGTGCTATAGCGTAAGTTACCCTACGCTGTATAATTATATACGTATAGCTAGCCTCAATCTCAACAGGAGGCGTTGACGCTGAGTAGTCCAATCTTTTGTGTCGGCCATTATTATTGAACACTACATGGTAGAAGGAGCTCTCCGAACAGGACCTCGGGCGTCGCATAGCCTGATCCTCAAGCCTCCATCGCGGTGGAATACTGCTAGCCTCACATGCGTCGAACGTGGTATCTGGTTTCTCATAATGCTTTTCTAACTGACGGGGTTCTGTCTACCCTCCGAAGCATGATCATGCTCAGCTACGTGGGGATGCTTCGCTTACCTAAATCGAACCTAACCGACGACAACATTTGAAGTGGTGGAGTAATTCCTTGGGGTTAGGTATGTTGCATTTGCCCTGGAACGTGGTGAGAACCTGGCTTACATAGCGCTCACGAATGATTGCACCACCTGTTGCCGACCAAAGGATTCGTGCAAACGAGGTTTCGCAACCTCGAATTGATTTGTTCCAATACACTTTTTCTATGGAAACTGACATTGGTGGGGTGCTTAGGAGCTGACAACGCGTTTTTGGATACCAACACCAGTCGTCTGCTTTACCAACAAATCATGTTACGTTCGCGATGATCCGCTAGTCGCTTCGTTGAATTCGCAAACTCCGCTCCGCCTGAAGCTCGGTTCGGCGCACTCGAGGCAGAGATATGCAAGAGCTATTGACATAACGTTAAGGAAGATAGTTGACAGCAGATCGGCGCCGCTGCTTGTGGCTTCGTTTTCCTAATTTTACGTTACCCGTCACAGAGGCCGATGAAAAAACTCGGACGCTTGCTAGGCGTGCTCCCTCATCAAGGTCAAGGTCAGCTATGCAGGGAATAAAGGTCAATAGTTGACACATAGGTTCACATACCCTCGGATGGCTTACTCTTTAGTGAGTATTTAGGTTTATGATGCAATACCCTCGTCGGCCTTTTTCGCTCATAAGTCCGAGTTATACCTTCGGTCATTGTGCGTACGATACATGCTTACATGAGCCTGAGACAAATCGGCGCTTTGTTCGTCCGACATGGCATTTCATGCATATGGATTGAATTGTGCGTGACGGAATTGGGCGCCGCTCAGGGTACATCATGTAGCACAGATCAACGGTTTCCGTTAGAGGCGTACTCGATTAGCTAGTTCTTCAGCTCTACCACCATGCTCTGCGGCAGACGGTCGGCATAACACGACGCTTTTCTGGACTCTCAACGCAGTGCTGTAGCCGGGTTTGAGTTGCTGCTCTGCTTGGCCATCTGGATTACTCAAACGAACTTGGAATTTGGCCGTTTCATGCACACCTGGGGCGAGAAAATCCTTCTACGCGATCGTCCGGAAACTAGAACATTCCCATCTTCCCCGCACAAGTGTACTGCAGCTTCATATTAGCCTCTAGCCGCTTACAGTTCGCTTCGCGAAACGCAGTGCTCGTTCCAACAACAATTTGACTTCTGCCTAGATTAAAGGTACTGTTCGTGGCAGTGCATCGACCGCGCGGCTCCTCGATTCGAACAAGGATTCGTTTTGAAACATACCGGGTTGCCTTTTCAGTACGACACAGACCCGCATGTACAACATCCAGACAAACAATACGGGTAAGTCTTGCGACGCCTCGCGCTTTCACTCGAGTCCATTACGAGGCCCATATAAGCTGAGCCCCATTGGTTGCCGCCGCTGTCAGTCCGGCCAACCGGAGCAATATTGCGAACATGTTCCATTGAGGTTGCTCTTTGAACCCGAGTCCAAAGTGACTCGATGCATCGAAAGAGGCATACACCCACCATCTTCGCATATCGTGCTACCCCTAGCATAAATGAGACTAGGGAAAAGGAGCATCCACTGTACCACGCGGTGTAACCGAAACGACGTGTCATGGGAAATAAACGTCCTATGACTGGCTGCCATGCAGAATACCCGGTCAATAAGAATCCTACGCACGGTTCTACAGGGATGGGAACGTCGCGAACATAACGCACGACCATGAAGGATCCGAAAGAGTATGTATAAAGTAGGTACCTGAACGCTGTAGAACGGGATACTTGTGCAGATGCAGTATCTGGTCTACTCTTATACCACTAAAACACCATGAGGTCAACTTCTTTCGTTGCTGCGGCTACCCTGATTGTTGGACTTGCCCAAGGGCAAGGTGCCATCGATGACTGGCACCCACCGACCACTGGAGATGGTACGTATCTTGGAATATACAATGTCTACATACACAGGGTCAAACACTTACACTCTGCAGTGCGAGGACCGTGCCCCATGCTCAACTCCCTAGCCAATCATGGATTCCTCCCACACAGCGGCAAAGAGATCATGTTAAATACTACTGTGCACGCCCTCGGCGCGGCACTGAACATCAACGAGGAGGTCGCTACGAACTTGTTCAACTTCGCAATCACAACGAACCCAGAACCGAACGCGACTGAGTTCTCTCTGGAGAACCTGGGGCGACACAACGTCTTGGAGCATGATGCTAGTTTGACGTGAGTCCTCGTTCTCGTCCCACTCGACATCACGACCGAGAAACAAGACCCGACACACACTCTACATAGACCACATCTCTCAAAGCCACACCACTCTATCCAATCCCTTCTTCCACCACAACTAACACCATCCCCAGCCGCGCAGACTTCGACGTAACCGGCGACTCGGTCACCTTCAACCAAACCGTCTACGAAGAAACCCGCTCCTACTGGACCGACACCACCATCACCGTGCAGCAAGCCGCCGACGCCCGCCTCGCCCGCTACACCACCTCGAAGGCAACCAACGCCAACTACAGCATGAGCACCTTGGGCGACAATTTCAGCGCCGGCGAATCAGCTGCCTATCTTTTCATCCTGGGAAACATTGACACGCAGTCGGTGCCGAGGAAGTTCGTGGAGTACTTGTTCGGTAAGTGGAGTCCTGGCGCTCTCTATTCGTGAAAATTCTAGGTCGTGGCGTTTTGTGCGATGCTGACTGACTGCGGTAACAGAGAACGAGAAGCTACCCACTGAGGTTGGCTGGGTGCGCCCAGACCATGTGTTCACTTGGGAGGACTTGCAAATGGGGATCGAGCTGATTTACAATGCTACCGGGACGACGGGGGAAGCGGCGCGTAAGATGCGGTTGAGCAGGGAGATTCATGGGGGGAGCTTGAGGGTCTAGGAGTGGCTTCGTACGTAATGTGGGAAAGTCATAAGATGCCTATGAGTTGTTGCATGCTGCGGATGAGGGTCCTGATGTTTGCGGAATAGGGCTGTCGTCGGATCTTTGAGGTCGCTCATTGCACGACTTACCGCATGCCATATTGCGCCTATACAATCAACAGTATCCACAGTATACTATCTGAATTCTTGAAGAGCCTCCTTTCGCAAATTTGCAGGCGCTGAATGCCTTGTGTTTCTGTCTAAGTACCCTTGTTTTCTTGAGATCTTAGCGATGATATACAGCTTTCTACCGCCGAATTTGGCTGTCGTGGAACGGTTCCGCCGTCCTCGGACAGTTCCGCTGTCGTCTTGAGGAAGAGTTCCGCTAGAGCAAATTTCCCATGACGCGATGTATAGGGAGTTGCTTATTGTCATATTTCTTGACCTAGTTGAAGCTCGGCCGAGCTTGGTTTGAGGAGCACGTGGTGGCTTGTTAGGTATACATACCACAAACTTGAAGACCTACTGTGTACTACATCATACACGTCAGTGGGATAGCAGGCGTCCTTGAAACAAGAGGCGACGACTCACATGGGTACATTTCCAACCAAACATTTGAACGCTAGCGCACGCATATCGCTTCGAGATCCAGTATCCGAATTTTTGCCTTTATCAACATCGGGAAAGCATCCCATGTGTCTTCTACCTTCTAGCCTCGTAGTGGGCCCGATGCGCCGCCGGTCGTCTCGTTTCTACCCGCTGTCAAAGCTTTCCGGGCACTAACCATCGACGACGCGTGCGAAACACGCGATAAAGTTGCCTCATCACCTCCAAGTGGGCTCACCTTAGGCACTATCTTTGGCTAAAACATTCCAGTGCCATGGCCTGGAGTCCTGCTTTATGCTGCGCGCAATGCAGCCCTATCCGATGTAACTAACACTTCACGATTGAACCCTACAACATCGATGTACAGATCCCTATCGCAATTTGTCGGAATCCTTTGCCGTCATTAAACGCGACCGTCATCTTATCGGGCTTGTATCTTCACGCAGTGGGTCCCACCCGTCCAAAGACAGGAACCTCCTTCGAAAATCCTGCGCAATTCTTTGATAACTATGATGCTCCGAGTTATATCCATCCCACCATTCCTCTTCCGTCGATTTCCCTAGCCCCCAAACGGCTAGACTGACCCATACTTATCCGATGTTTTGGAAGGCCTCAGCGCAACGTCAGCCCCGAGCGAACTCCGTGTGGTGACTTCTAGCATGTGGCACAATTTTTGAGGGAGCAAAAGCTTGTCAAGGGGCCTCGTGCGAGGTATTGTGGGTAATGATGGATATATATAGGGGGAGCGTGCCCATACTGGTGGAGGAGAGATATACCCAGGATATCTGCATGAACGGTTACCACACTATAACGTCACCCGCGAGCCGTGGTAGATCAACAAGATACCTTATCACAGTCTGTGATAGAAAAAGCCTTCGAATTGGCTTGAGAGTTTCCAAACTCCACTCCACGCCTTTTCCTACTAGTTCTTCGTCTGGCACATCACAATGACGGATCACTCAAGAGACCCCGCTGGTCATCCTCACGACTCCGATTCGGGCTCAGACGTAACTCATGTCGCGGCCGAACACCCTAAGCCCATTTACCGCTCGATAACCGGCTCAAACGAACCGACTCTTGATGGCGCCGATGTCGTCAACCTTCCCATTCGAACGCTCAGCAACGATGCTGATCTCGAAGAATACACGACCGAGACAATCGACGGTCAGATCCTGCGCGAGGTACGGTCCAACGTCACCGGCAACATCGAACGCTACGAGCTCGTCACCTGGAAAGTCAACGACCCCGAGAACCCAAAGAACTGGTCCAAAGCGTATAAGTGGTGGTGCACGATGTGCGTCGCCCTGACCTGCTTCGTCGTGGCATTCAACAGTGCTGTCATCACGGCCGACATCGAGGGTGTGGCCGAAGAGTTCCATGTCAGTGAAGAGGTGGCTTTGCTTACGATTACACTGTTCGTTGTGGGCTTTGGTGTTGGACCTATGGCTTTTGCGCCGCTCAGTGAAATTTTAGGAAGGAGGATCATCTATGCGACGACGTTGTTCTTAGCGGTTCTGTTCACGATTCCGGGAGCGGTGGCCAAAAACATTGAGACGTTGTTGGTGACGCGTGCGCTTGCGGGAATATGGTTTTCTGCGCCGATGACTTTGGTCGGTGGTACCTTGGCGGATCTGTGGAGGAACGAGGAGCGCGGTGTACCCATGGCCGCCTTTTCTGCCGCACCCTTCATCGGCCCCGCGATCGGACCACTTGTCGGTGGCTTCCTCTCCGACGCAAAGGGCTGGAGGTGGCTGTACTGGATCCAATTGATCCTCTCTGGCGCCGCTTGGGCGGCCATCTCCTTCACTGTCCCAGAGACGTATACCCCGACGCTGCTCGCCCGCCGGGCGAAGAAAATGAGGAAGGAGACTGGAGATGACAAGTACGTCACTGAGGAGGACATCTCCAGGGCACCTTTAAGCCAACGCCTCATGACCTTTCTGCTCCGACCATTCCAATTACTCTTCCGAGAGCTCATCGTCTTCTTCATCAGTGTGTATATGTCGGTCCTGTATGGATTGCTATACATGTTTTTCGTCGCGTAAGTTGTCCTACACCCCGTCTTACCTCAGGATACACAATCCACACACCGATCAACGGCACGACCGAAGGCGTTTTCGCACGCAGTGCTACTTGCAATAGTCGCTAACCTCTCCCGCAGGTACCCAATCATCTACCAGAAAGGCAAGGGCTACAGCGCCAGTACCACTGGTCTCATGTTCATACCAATCGCCGTCGGCGTCGTGCTCAGCGCCTGCTGTGCACCATTCGTCAACAAGCACTACCTCAAGCTGGTCGCAAAGCACAACGGCAAGCCCCCAGCCGAGGCCCGTCTCATCCCGATGATGATCAGCTGCTGGTTCATTCCAATCGGCCTGTTCATCTTCGCCTGGACCTCCTACAGCGACCTCCACTGGTCGGGCCCTGCTCTCGGCGGCTTCCCAGTCGGCTTCGGCTTCATCTTTTTGTACAATGCTGCCAACAACTACCTCGTCGATTCGTACCAGCACCAGGCTGCATCCGCGCTCGCGGCCAAGACGTTCCTGCGTTCGTTCTGGGGCGCGGCGGTCGTGCTGTTCACGAATCAGATGTATGACCGGCTCAACTACCAGTGGGCTAGCACGCTGCTCGCTTTCATCGGCTTGGCTTGCTGTGCGATTCCGTTCGTTTTCTATTACAAGGGCGCTGCTATCCGGAAGCATTCGCACTATGCATACCACGGGGATGAAGAGAATGAGGCCGGTATGACGGAGGATAAGGCGGCTCATTAATTGTAGAGTTGCTGTAGCTTTTTAGGTGGCTTGCATTTGTTTGTATATATTTTACTCGATTTGGCGAAGAGATATCCTGTTTAGCATTGGGGGCAGGCGTCGGAATGCAGTAAGCACAGCAAGAGGCGCGTGTGGTGTCTTTGTATTGCGCTATATAAGATCAATAATAATATTCCATGAGAATCATCCTTCCAACCTGCGTCAGTCCATGCGCACGTTTTCTCCCGGGCTGGCACGACCTCACGTGCTTTCGTGGTCGAAATGCATCGAGAGTGTACAAGCTGTAGCGCGAAATCCAATACTTAGTGTACATGGCATCCCGACTTGAGGGAATTAAAGCAGACATTCCTGCGGACTTTGTGAGCCTCGCAAATGTCCGCGATGCATGCTCGCATCGGATCCGCATAATATTGAGGATGACGCAAGCAAAGCCTTCTCAATGGACGATCACTATGCTCGAAATGAATAACGGACATTGATGGCGAGCGGGGAAAGGTGAGAGTTTGAAGTTAGTCATAGGCGTCGGCCATTCATGATCGTTCTTAGGGCCAAGACATGTACCCTTGCCCTTGCTCTGTCCGCCCCACTCGATCTTCGAGATCTCCAAGACGACAACAACGACTCTCCACCAACACAGCCATCGAACGAGATCGATGGTTTTCGTGCTGCGACCATGGACGAAGACGAACCGAAGCAGCAGCCGCACGCGCCGGCGAATTATGGCCAGGATGTGCCAGCGCGCTCCGACATCGACGAGATCCTGAGGCGGAAGCGAAAGGCACGCGAGTACAAGGTACGCAAGACGTTGGAAGAGTTGGATTTGTTGGATGGCATTGGGTGCATGTGGAGTCTGCTGGGTAGCTGCGAAGTGCCATGCGCAGCGGCATGCATGTTGCAGCCATGCTTCGTGTCCTGCTGAAGCACTGCGCCGACAGAGCAACACTGCGGCCAATGCGTGTCCGGGTGGTCCCAGGAGCTCAGGTTAACATCTGTGCAGGCTTGTTATCCGTGCCGTCAGCGCAAGGTCAAATGCGACCAGTCAGTCCCGTGTAAAACATGCGTTGTCCGCGAGCACCCGGAGCTGTGCACCTACCATCCTCCCAGCGAGTCGCATCCGCCAGCGAAGCGCCTGAACATGGGAATTGGCCAGAATGGGAACGACTTTTCGAATGGAATGGTGCACATTCATGGTGGCACTGTCACACTTCCGCGAGAGGTGCGAATGACTAGCTGCAGGAAGCACAAGCAGGAAGCTAACAGCGATAGGACTGGGAGCGAATTTGCGCAAAGCTGCAGACGGCAGAGAAGTCGCTGGCTGATCTGAAAAACTCGGTTGCGAGCGTCTCAGAAGTGTCACCCAATGCGCCAGCGAACGGATACTCTCCAGCTACGGCCGGCAACACTCCGCTTGCGGCTTCTGCGCCCATCGACAGCGAGACGAGCCACGTTAGAACACAAGGCATACACACATACAACGACTTTACCGGACAGACGATACATGTTGGGCCGAGCTCCGTGCCTGCGCTGGTAATGGCTCTGGGCAAGGGTGACAGTCAATTCCAGGGACTTCAGGATGTTCTAGGCAAAAAGAGCATGTTACCAATCTTCGGTCTGGACAACGAAACGGCCACGTATCCTTTCGTGGACCTATGGGGACTACCTCACGGTTCCATTCAAAGAGCGCAAGAGCTAGCGAACGCGCTTCCAAATGACGCCGAGTGCCTCAGCTTTTTCCGATGCTACCGAGAGACGGCACATGTCGTCTACCCCGCGGTTGCCGACATCGAAGGCATAGAGTCAGATTTGTTGCTTTTCCTAATCAACAGGGCAAGCGCGCAGGGTACCGCTGGCATTACAGACGAGGCGATATATGGCAAAGATTTCCATTGGATTGGTCTAGTGTTTGCTATCCTCGCCTCGGGTTGCCAATGCTCCACTCTGAGCAGGAAAGAGCGCGAACTAACTTCTCAGGTGTACATCTGCTGCAGCTTCGAATGCCTGCGCTTTACCAACTTTCTTTCCCATGCGACTTTGGAGAACATCCAAACGCTCTCCTTATTCTTGGGAATGTCATCTCTAACAACATGAACGCCGGCGTATCCTGGAGTTTGATGGGACTTACTGTACGTTTGTCGCAAACACTTGGTCTACATCGGATGTGCCCTTCTTCCACGCCTTTACCCATTCGACTTGCTCGCAGCAAAGTCTGGTGGGCTTTGCTATGGCAGGATTCGTTGCTGTCCATCTCCTACGACCGTGCATCATCAACCACCACCATCGACCACACTATTCCTCTGAGCCCACATACCGCACCTGGCACAAGAACGTATGTTGAGAGCATGTACCGTCTGTGTAAAGTAGGCCTTGACATTGTCCGAGAGCGTCAACGTCCACAAAACTCCCAAGAGTCTCTGATGCGCATCACCGAACACCGACAAGAGCTCCAAGAGATCATGGTGGATGCTGCAGACTATCTGAAAGACTCAAGGCGATGCCGCTCCATGAGGGATCAGCTTGAGCATTGGGCTTTGTACCTGCACATTTCCTACATCACATCCGAACTCTGTCGACCTGCGATCAGCCCAAGCACGGCGGCTTTTGACCTGTCTAAGACCTTGCGCAAGGTCTGCATCGACAGCCTCACCAACACCGTGGAGGCTTTCCTTGGACTGCAAAATATGACGCCTTTTGCTACACGCTCGTGGGCTTCGGTTCATCGATCCATCAGCACCGCCCTTCTTCTTGGTATCATTGGCGAGCACAACCGCAACGAGCGAGCACGTTCTCTCCTGACGAATCTCGTTCAGGTCCTCGGCGATGTCACTGCTAGCGTGGATCCGGCAGAACTGTCAGCGCCCATCACTCGTTCGGTATCAGCCCTCGAGCGATTGCTGAGAGTTCCGTCTGCCCCACGGAAGGCCAGCGAGGCCGGATCCCAGTCATCTCCTTCACTGGCTCAATTCACCACAGACGAACTTAACGGTGTCCTCAATGGTGATGGCTCCCTGACGCAGTCGCCTCTACTTGGACTGGAGCTTGACTCATCACCATATGCCCTTATGGAGTCCATTGTCTGGGGCGCTCAGAAGACACCTTGAGTATTCTTCTTTGGGCTGACGCAAACTCACTGCGTTCAGGAACAGCAACAGCGACAGAAATAAATCACATCGAGGTACGGCTATCGTAAAACCGTACTTCAGACGGAGCGTTAAGCCGCACTGGCCACTACAGCTCGTCGATCAACTTGAGCACCGCAGCAACGATCTGCTCTGGCGAAGGAGAGGTAGGACGTGGCATCATCGACATGTTAGAAGGGCGTATCTTGGCCATATAAGATCGGAAACTATGTGCAGTTTTGATGCTACCATCTGGAGCCATCCACCTGCGAGGGATACACCAAATAATGCCATAAAACGTCGAGTGAAAAGGGCATTGCTATTAGAGAGGCAGAGCGGGGAACACAGCCGCACTACTTGTGTAGGCGATGAGGCCGGAAAAGTTCGAGGGGCATTGCATAGAAGAATAACGTGCAAGCGAAGTATAGTATCAGAGGTTCGAGACGAATTCAAAAATCAGCGGCGCGTTTCTCCGTGCCAACCAAGTTGACTTCCTTATCGTGTGTCATTCTGTTCACTTCTAAATCACCCTTCACTCGTCGCGCAGCACTCGTCAACTGCTATTGTGCAGGCGTCTGCTATTGTGCACCTTTCACCAAGCCAGCCATCACCGCCGTACTCAACCAGCTCAGCACTCACTCTCCTTACCCTGAATCCGCACTTAATTAACTTCAACTTTTCTTCGTTCTAATCTTCCAATCCTTTCTTCCCATACACACAGTTGGAAGTTTTCCTTTCGCACTCAACGCACGTCGCAGCCGGACTGCGCGCCTTCTCTATCTACACCACGATGAGCGACATCATTCACGCCGACCCCTCCTCCGACAACTCAGACCTCGACCTCCCCCCTCTCGGCACCGCCCTCGCCACACCCGCCGGCCCGCTTATCTACGCAGAAGCTCAGCGCCAATACGCCGCTCTTGTCAGAACCTCGGCGCAAACCGCAAGATTGACACGCTGGCGTGTCGACCTCGGCCGCTTCTACCAGGTCCAATTCGAGACTGCGACAAAAGACCTGGATGCGGGGCAAAAGGAAAAGTTACTGGTGGTTTGCTTCGCGTATAAGACGCGGGAGCGGGTGCTGTGCTATCTGGAGTGCCTGTTTGATGATGAGGGGTGCCGGTTTTGGGTGGGTAAGGGGGTAAGAGAAATTGTGCTGAGGGCGGGAAGGGATAGCCTGTTCGATACGCCTGATACCGACTCAGCGAACGAAACGGACAGCCAGGACGGCCAAGACGCTGTTTCGCCGCCGACGACGCACTCCTCTGCGTATGCCAATCCAGACTCACAGCCCGCAGCATCAGGGAGGAGTATCCCGACGTTCACCATCCCTACGTTGCCGCTGGCCTACCCAACAGCTTACTTCTCCGCCTGGGCCATGCATGTGCCAATTCCGCACCTTACGCTGGGTAGTTTTCTGACGCAGCCCGCGGTTTATGGACTTGCGCTTTCGCGGCGCATATCTGAGCTTTTGCGTGCGAACGTGGGGAAAGTCTTCGGGACGGACACAGAGGACGGGACGGCATCTGCAGTCTTCACATCTTTGTCCGTGGGGAGGAGAGATTGGAGGGGATTGATCCACAGGGGAGTGGGATGGGGAAGTGTGGGGCGGGTACGGGTATGGGGTGAGAGAGCTAATGCTTTTCGTTGAGGGGTGGAAGATGCTGCGATCGCGTGGTGCGTTAGAGGCGTGGAAGGAGACCGGTGGGCGGGAGGATAGTGTTGAGCCTTTGGGCGACGACCGAGATTCTCGTCGGGGTGGGCCAGTGGAGAAGGGGAGGAAACGGGTGAGATTTGTCGTTCCTGACGACGATGATGACGAGAACAAGGTGGTGGAGAGGGAGCCTCAAGGCATTCGAAAGCGGAGGAGATGGGTTGTTGACGATGATGACGATGATGATGATGAGGTGGAGTCGGAGTCTCAAGGCAGTCGAAAACGGGTGAGATGGGCTGATGACGATGACGACGAGGAGTAAAGGATTGGCTCCTGTCGATGGAGTGTGAATAAGCTGCGTGTTGCTATTCTTTGATCAGCATGCGCATCTAAAGTACGAGCAAGGATGTACATCCAGTTTCCAAAGCAGCTTACTTTCGCCCATAAATTTCGTAATACAGTAACGCGTCGTCAATTTGGGCAACACTTCATGTGGTTTGATACGGTAGATATTCGCTCAAGAGCTCCGACAGACGGCTTAGGCAGCGGTTGAAATGGAGCGAGTCTTTCGAATGTGTAGTCTGTTTACTCGGAAGATCTACTAGACTAGACATGTTGGTCGGATTCTACGGTAGGTAACCAGATATCTCGGGCTGACCATGCGGATATCGCGATTTGTTCGATGCACATTGAAGCAATCACCATTTCATCGAACAAACCGCAAATCAGGCAGAACATGTCCAGCTCTCCAAATAAACAGTACGCCATGTCACTTCTTGCGTGGTCGTTGGTTTCAATGCGTGCAAAATGCTGCCCCTGAATACAAGTCATGAGTTGGTACTCGATAACCAGCTTTCGGTAGTTGCTGCAGGGTGCACTATCAGCGTCAAATCTACGCACCGATGTTGGATCGCGAATCAACAAAGCGTGCCGTATGGCTTTCACACAATTCCAATGCGCTGCGTAGTCGGACTTGTGCCGACGGTCACTGTAAAAGCACCGCTACAAACGCAGGGGCCGACAAGGCGGTATTTCAGGATGTGGGCATCGGAGCTTGGGCTAGACCGGAGGACAAACACTGTCTGAGAGCCTGGTAGCTTCCAAAGCGAGTCGCCGACTTCCACCCTGTTGAGGCATTTCCCGATCCTTCCGCCGCTGGTGTAAAACATGAAGTCGATGCCCTCAAACTGGTCGCTTTCGATGTAGGGCTGGTTCCTCTGGACATAGCGCTCGTATACACGGGCTTTAATTACATCGTAAAACGGCTGGAGCACAGCCATGCTTTCAGCTGCCGGTGGGGCATTGAGAAATTGTAGTATGGTGTTGTTCGTGCGACGATAGAACTGGGTCTCGATACGAGCTATCTCTATCACATGGCGAGACACTTGCATTGCATGCGCAGTCATTTCTGCTGCATGCCGAGTGGATTGTTGGCCGTCTGTTTCGGGCTCTGTTGACAGTTTCTGCAACGCTGTAAGTGCGCACTCTGCATCGCTCAAAGCGGACTCCAGATTGCCCAGCGTATCACTCAAAGACACGTTCTGATCCTTAATTGAGACGATATGCTCATCTAGCCTTCCGCCCTCCAGGTACAGGACCCTGGCATCTAGACTATCTTCGGGAAGGGGAAAGCCTGCGGTGCCTCGTTGATCGACCGAAGCTGGAAACTGGAGCGGCGTGCTTATGTCCAAGGCCCAGGATGGAAGTCCATGTTTGGTGCACGCGTCTGCTCCTGCAGAAGCACACAAGACATCCGCGGATCTCGTCTTACGAAGAAGGATCCGTGTCACATTTGCATAGAGGACACTTGTCGGAATATTGAAATCCAGTGGAATCAGCTCGCGGTCCTCGCGCGATAAGATACCTCGGATTCCGTGTACGTGATCAATTGCTTGCGAAGCGTTCCTGTGGCTTGAGAAGTACAGGCAGCGGATCAGGGCAAAGTGGCGCACAGCGAAAGTCTCGTCGCGGAGCAAGCACACTTCCATGGCACGAGCATAGCCCATTCGTAGATGGGAAGGTATGTTGTCCCCGGTTCCAAAGCCGCCGCCCTCACGCCATGCTCCCAACACCGTATCCAGGGACAGCAAGGGGATTTGATGGACGCCAAAGATGCATATGGAATCTTTCTCCGACAGCACTACTTCCTGCAATATCCATACGCGCCTCCAGTATTCGTTGTTCATTAGCCAGTCCAGCATCGACACCGCCATGCGACGGTCACGTTCCTGTTGAGGGCCGAGGCTGCTCTTTCCCTCGAGATTCTTCAGCTGTCGTCGTGCGTCGTTCAGATGGCCGGCACCGAGTCTAGACCTATGCGAGCGACGCCACATTATGTTATGCCACCAGACACTCCAGATATATCGAAGTACGTATTTAGCTGTGGAAAAAGATTCATCTATGACCGAAGGAGGCGACCAGGTACCGTTTGCCCAGTCAACATCCGGCGAGCCCAGCGAGATCCATGTTTGGCGGCCATACGCATAGATGCGGTCCATGATAGCCACTTGCTTGCTTTTTTCAGCATTGTTTCCCTGGTCGATGCAAAGACCATCTGCCCACAGGGTGACCGTCTTGCGTGGGTGGCGAAGGCTTCGCAAGGCATTGTAGAGACTAGCCGTGACTCTCACTGGGTCATCGTCGACGAGTATCTGCGATGTTTTCTTCGGGCTGCCCCAGGTGTAGGACAAAGTGTCGTAGATCGGTAACAGATCAAGTGAGACCACCTCCAATCGACACGCAATCTCGTCGCCCTTCTGACCTGGTGTTATTGAGAGGAGACGAATTTCGTTGTTTGCGTGATTTAGTGTTTGATAAATCGCTGTTGATAACCTTCGTTGCCAGAATGTGGCATCCACGTGTCGGAAAAGGCGTTGAGTCGTGGTTCTACATGTGGGCACCGTTATACATGGTAATGTGCGTCCTGCACGCAAGGCGACACCAGCTGAGAGCGACATGTGCGGGTCTGCTATGTTGATGCAGCACGAAGAAGTGATCTAGAGGGAGACGCCGATGTAGTGGGGTTGCCGTCGCACTGTTGGGGCCGTGTTCAGCCGCACGGAAGCAACAATTCATTGGAACACATCTCGGAACTACGCTGAACGGTGCTTTACTAGTCCATCATGTTTTCGTTTCGACAGCAATCTTCTATAAGCATTGTTGATAGTGCAAGATATAGAGTGCGTTTTTTCCAAGTCTCAATCTCCCATTGCCTCGCCGTTGGCTATACTTTGTAGACAGCGCACGAGTACCCATCAGAAAGGGCTGGAAAGCCACTCTTGTTGCGTGGCTGCTGGATTCGATGCTTAGAGAATGCTACACCGGAATAAGAGTCTCGAGTTAGAAGTTACGAGTTGGCAGTTATACCCGGCTTTGAGTGGTTGCTGCAGGGTCCACTATCAGAGTCAAACACACGCAGATATACAAATCCCTGAGGACGCTGCACACTGTGTACTACGAGTGGCTTGTAATTGCTGAAATGCGAAGTCAGTGTGGACGGTTTAAGCCTAGTGTGTTTGTTGACTAGACGTTGTATTTCGACACCTCACCAACACGGGGCCAATTTGGCTTCGCAGACCGAACAGCGAGACCGACCCGGGTCGGCGATAGAGGAGCCGCTCCCGGGGTCGAAGGACTGGGTTCAGCGGGTTGAGCGCAGGGCTGGGGGCGCACGGTGCGCAAGAGAAGGCGCTGCAGGGCTGGGAAACGCGGAAGCGAGACGCGTGAGTGCGAAACGCGGTTGGGGTTGGAAGCACTGCATCTCACGAGATGTCCAGGAGAGGGCAGATCAGCGCATCTGGATCGAATCGGCCGTTCTTGTCACAAGAGACGTTCCCGTGTCAGTGACGGAAATGCATGGTCAAGGGAGTTGGGAGAAAAGGAGATGGATAGTCGAGCCGACCGAGTGTGTGAGTAAGCAAGGTGGATACGGGATACGGTTTACGGGTCGGTATACGGCAAGCGTAGTCGATATCGATTAGGAGAGGAAAATTAAATCTGCAAAGGTTTGTAACTCTGTACCAAAAAGGCGCATGTGCGACTGCCATTGGTCGCACATGTTTCGTCCGGGCGACGGTCCGCGGCGCAGAATCTGACGGTTTGTCGAGGGAAATTGCGAATTTGCTTGTCAAAGCGAAGACGGTGCGCGCAACGGGCGGTCGGAGGACGCGAGATGCCGGATCCGAGCGCGTACGACCCTCTGTCACTGTCAGCATCATCTCGGGGCCAAAGCCATCGGCTGCGCGAACTGCTGCAGGAGCGAAGACGCATGTTTGGAAGATGTTTGACCTGCCGCAGACCAGAGGCGAGGATGCGCGTTTCGCGTGGCTGAGGCTGGGGAAGCACAGAGCATCGTGTGTGAGACGTACCGTGGGCGCCACGAGATACACGCACATGTCTTGGTGTCTTGTGCTGCGGTGAGGCTGGACGCTGCCATCTCGATGCGCTGTTGGTTGCGCTGGCGAGCCGCGGGCAGTGGCGCGGCGCCATCTGGGGCTCCTGACATCACTTGCAGCTAACCATGCAGCAACGCCGGGAGATGCTCGACGCGCAGTGAAGCGATTTCAAGGTGGTGAGAGAACAACGCGATGGGGAGGTGTAGGCATTGGGCATGGCTGCTGTGTGACGGACAGTCGTCTTGCTGCTGTGGGAGGGACATGGCGAATCTGACTGAACGATGAAGTGCATGCGGTTCGCTCTCGCACTCAACGGGCATTAACGCGCATGCACCCGCGTTGGCAGCCTCATGCTCGCTGAGGCACCGTTGGCATCAGAACGGCGGCGCAGCCCTCGTCGCAGCACCGGCTCGACCCCATTCGCGCGTCGTTGTTCGCGGTGGCTAGCCGCTCGCTCTCGCGGTGGTGCCCTTGTTGCTGGGGGCCCGTGCAAAATCTAATTTGACAAGACCCATGTCGGCCTGACAAGCCTCGCTCTCATTGATATTCCGCCGCCTTCCGCCCAGAGCTTCCTCTTCTACTGCCCGACCGTCCCCCAGGTGCTCTCGATCCCTCCTTCCGCACCTCCCATACAGTCGCCGCCGACGACGACGGTACTCTTCGTTGTCGCGTGTGCCTCTCCAAGCCTACCCGCCGCGCGCTCGCCTGTCCGCCGTGCCCCCGTGCTCACCCCCGACGCAATGACCAACAAGAGCTACCTCGCTTTCCTCGACGAGAGCGCCCAGAAGTTCTCGCGGGCAAACGTCCCAGGCTTCGCAGCCCTGCCCAGCTTCATCCCGCACCGCGTCCGCAGAAAATGGAGAGCCACAAAGTCGCGCATACGCAGCCGCCAGTCTCCCACGTCATCCATCGCCTCCCTCGAGACCTCCTTCTCCCCCGCAGACACCCTGCGCTCGCTGCGCACCCACCCGTGGTCCATATATGACGGCCAGTACCTCATACTGGCCATCGTCGCCATATTCGCTCTCTCCGTGAGCGAAGCACCGGGGCCCTTTGCGAAGACGTTTGTGGCAGCGCTGCTCATGGGCGGCCTAGTCCTACCCATCTCAAGACAATTTCTCCTGCCATTTCTCCCCGCCCTCACATGGCTACTCCTATTCTCTAGCTGCAAGTACGTCACCTCCACGCGCATTTCGTTGGCACAATCCCTCTTGTTTCGGCCGCCGTAGCTTAGCGCTATCCACGTCATGCTACTATCACTTGCGCAAACATGCTAACAATGACCTCTAGGTATATCCCAGCCGATTACCGCCCCGCCATCTGGGTGCGTGTGCTCCCAGCGCTCGAAAACATCCTTTACGGCGCCAACCTCAGCAACATCCTTTCCGCCCATAAACACACAGTTTTGGATATCCTGGCTTGGATCCCGTACGGCGTCATCCACTACGTGTCGCCCGTCATTGTCTCTGGATGCATGTTCATTTGGGGCCCGCCCGGTACCGCTCCCATCTGGGCACGCGCCTTTGGCTACATGAACATGACTGCCGTCATCATCCAGATCATCTTCCCCTGCTCACCTCCCTGGTACGAGAACACCTACGGTCTGGCTCCTGCCAACTACTCCGTTCCCGGTGATGCTGCCGGCCTCAAGGCCATTGATACCTTCTTCGGTATTGATCTCTACACTTCCGGGTTCCACGCCTCTCCCATGGTGTTTGGTGCTTTCCCATCGCTGCACTCCGGCTGGGCAACCCTGGAGACGCTGTTTATGGGACACGTCTTTCCCAAGTTGTTTCCGGTCTACCTCTTCTACACCATGTGGCTGTGGTGGTCGACAATGTACTTTTCTCACCACTACGCTGTAGACCTGGTAGCTGGCAGTCTGCGTAAGTTCGGCGCTCATCTTGCTAAAGATCAATTACTAATTTCTTACAGTGGCCGGAATCGCCTACTTCTGGGCTCGTGCCAAGTTCCTGCCCCGCGTGCAGCCCGACAAGGAGTTCCGCTGGGATTACGAGTACGTCGAGATCGGCGACCCAGCAGATACCCAATACACCATGCTCGACATTTACGAGGAATTCCACCCACTTTCCGACTCGGATGACTGGGCGAGCGGCTCCTCATCCTCCTACTCAACCGGCGGACGCAGCCCATCCACCGGCTCACGATCACCCGTCGACGATACCCAAAGCCTTTGGGACGGTGACACAGTTGGATCCGACACCGAGCCCTCGAAATAGCCTTCTGCACCACATCATCACCATCCCTAAGATCGCAACATCATCACCTATTTTTCTGATGACGGCCGGTCACGACTTATGCATTACAGAAAGGAGTTTTTGAGCATTTTCACCATCAGCGCGAGAGCATTGATTTATCCGCGACTTCTTCATATCGGCATTGCATAGAAAAGAGCGTCTTCCATAGAAGCTCCCGCATTGCATTGTTCACTCCGCAGCGCACCCTTTTTTTCGGGCTGCGGATCTCTATTCTTTTGATACCCATTCGGTCGCTTCCGGTTACTTACGAGTACCGCTGTACTACTACGTTCGCTTGGGGCTCCGCTGCGATTCGGTTTAAGCGGCTGAGCCCTGTCGAGATGCCACTGTATCACGATGGGAGGAATGGTTTGGTATGGTTCTGGCGTGTACGAGGTACCAAGCGCAGCTAGGAAGGCTGCCGTAGATAATCGTTGTTAGTAATGCTTAATGGAATGGATGAAGACAGGCTGCGCCTTTATCACACTGCACGGTGACGAGTGAAAGCGGGAGTTGCTGACTGGGTGCATGACTGAGGTGCTTACTCAGTGCGGCGGGTGATGACAAGCTTCCCCCGAAGGGACACCCCACACGCACAGCAAGGGACCTAGACATGGGGAGCTGGTCAAGCTACGAGAGTAGATACATTGGAGGGGACGCGAAGGAGCAGCAAGACTACGGATTGATCTCTTGACGCAAGCTCGTTGCATCGCATCTCTCATGCTCCGTCTGCTTCGACCCGCATATCACCTGACCAGCCGTGCCGTACGCTGCAGGCGATTCTACTCAGCTATGTCTACATATTTGCACTACGACGCCCTCATCCTGGGCTCAGGCCAAGCTGGTACATACATACCCTATTTTCATGTTCCTCTGCGTTGCTGGCTTGATCAACTTGTGATGCAGGCTAACATGTATATTACGCCACAGGCACACCCCTCGCCTCGCACCTCCGCTCCCTCAACCTCTCCGTGTGCCTCGTCGAGCGCGCCCACATCGGCGGGTGCTGCGTCAACGAGGGATGCACGCCTACGAAGACGATGGTGGCGAGTGGAAGGATGGCGTATCTAGTTCGAAGAGCTACCGAGTATGGCGTGCATGACGGCGAGGGTACGCCCAGAATTACGGTCGCCATGCAGGAAGTTCGAGAAAGAAAGAAGGATATCGTGGATAGTTTCCGCGGCGGTGGGGAGAAGAGACTTGAGGCTGCCGGGGTGGTTGTTGAAGCGGGGAGGCGCGGTTCGTGGGGAGAGGAGCGTGGAGGTTTGCGCTGGGGACGGGGGAAGAAGGTGGTTACTGCGGAGAGGGTGTTTGTGAATGTGGGGTGTAGGCCTGCGAGACCTGAGGTGCCTGGTTTAGACGATATACCGCTGGAGAGGGTGCTGGATTCTACGAGTATACAGGAGTTGGGGGAAGTACCGGGGCATCTTGTTGTCGTCGGCGGTGGGTACATCGGGTTGGAATTCGCACAGCTGTTCCGGAGGCTAGGCGCAGATGTCAGCATTATCCACCGTGGTCCGGGGCTGCTGTCGAGGAACGACGATCCAGAGTTGGTGCAGTGTATGCAGCGGATCCTTGAAGAAGACGGTATCGACATCATTTTCTCCGCTACTTCCACCACCTTCTCAAACTCTCCCTCCTCCTCGGCAGAGGAAGCGCATGATTTACCCATCCGCGTAACCACCCTCTCAGCCGGCGAAAAGAAAGACTTCCACGCATCTCATATACTGCTAGCGACAGGTCGCGTCCCCAACACATCCACCCTCAACCTCTCCTCCGCCGGCATCTCAACCACCTCTTCAGGCTACATCCCCACCTCCCCTTCTCTCCAAACGAACATCCCGGGCATCTACGCTATGGGCGACGTAAAAGGCGGCCCAGCATTCACGCACGTCTCCTACGACGACTTCCGCATCTTAAAAGCACACCTCGCGGGCGAAACGGCGCGCACAACAGAAGACAGGACAGGCCTGGTGCCCAGCGTCGTGTACACAGATCCACAGTTCGCGCACATAGGGCCGAAATGGGGGGAGTTGCCAAAGGGGAGGGGGTTGGTAAGTTATAGTATGCCGGCGGCGTGGATTGCTCGGGGGTTGGAGACGGGGGAAACGCGTGGTTAGTTATATCCCTTATCTTTCCTTTATCCTTCTCCCCCTTTTTCCCCTTTTCCTTTTCCTATTCCCTTCACCCCTATGCGTCTTCTGCGGCTGACGAATCCAGGCATGCTCAAAGCTGTGATCGATCCCTCTACCAACAAGATCATCAGTTTCTCCGCCATCGCCGTGGAGGCAGGGGAGATTATGGCGGTCGTGCAGATGGCTATGGTGGGCGGGTTGACGTGGATGGCGGTGAGGGATGCCGTGTTTGCGCATCCGAGTTGGGCTGAGTGCTTGAATAATCTGTGGGGTGGGGAGAGGAAGGAGATTTAAGGAGGGTAGGGCGTGGTGCTGGATAGAGCTGGGGAGGGGTGGGTAAGGGAAGACATGAGGCTGGGGGTTTTGGGCGTGGAAGGAAGGGTGATGGGGGTGTGTAACGGTGTGATTAAGTACTGCGGGTTGGGAAGTGATGGGGGACGATTCGGAGACTGGGATTACGAACGTTCCATGCGTACTGCTGTCGACAGAAACATCTGCGGATGTTGTGTGCAGTCCGAAGTCATGGCTGGCACGGGCTAGTTCCATGTTCTACACAAGAACCCTGCCTATGGTACCCTATTGGGAAGTTGTGATATTTCTCTGCGATATTGAGGAATGACCCCAAACGTATGAGCGTAGCCGAGATGTAATTCTTAGTCATTCTTAAGTCTGTTGCGTGATTCCAGGATCGAAAACTTTGTCTGGTGTTGAAAATTGAGGAGAACGTATGGAATATGATGCTCTTGATCGTTGCCTGCTTCAAGAAGTCAAACCAACCGGTGATGACAGGACTCACACAAGCGTTCTACCCATAGGCTCATGGCGACAGAACTGCCACCAGCGATATTTTCAGCCCGAAGGCGGACATACTTCGCTATGCAGACTGCCAATTATGCGGAGAACACCCATTTATTTCAAGATTTCGGTGTTGTTCCACCCGCGATGTTCGACGTCGGCTCCCCACCACACCTCGCGACCTCCGATCCGAGCCCCCAGCTTACCGGACCCCACGTCCCGGGAGCGACGTCAGTGTCTACCGGAATAAATAGATAGATGTCGCGTGGTAGATCGGACGTTGACTTAACGTTCCGACTTCCTGTCCGTGAAATTTTGTTCGACATTTACATTGACATTGCTATTTCTCAACGCACATCCCATGCCATCACACCTACAGGGCCTTAAGACATCACAATTATGGCAGCACCAAGAGGACAGTACTTCATACAAGAGAAACTGGGCGAAAAGGCGGCGCATCATGAGAGCTACGCGCAGCTGTGGGAGACGAAGTGGAAAAAGCCTGTATGCCTCATCCATCTCCTTATCTCATACAAACCTGCCAAACTGACAACATAACAATGTCTAGGCTGAAATGGGCGTATACCCCTTCATGTTCGGCACCGCGAAGGACTTCCTCCCCATCGTAGACGAAATGACAAAGCGCGACATGAAAGAGCCGTATAACTGGGACGAGTACGCCAAAGTATACTTTCCGCAGGCGGAGAGGTTGAAGAGCGTGGCGCAGGAGGCGGAGAGCAAGGGGGAGGTGGAGAAGGCGAGCGAGTACTACATGCGGAGCAGCGCGGTGTATAGGATCTCGAGGTTCCCGGCGCCGAGGAGCGAGGTTCAACGGGAGGCATGGAGACTGGGGAAGGAGTGTGCGTTGAAGGGGCTGAGGTGGGATATGATATTTCCAGCTCTTGCTCACGGATGTGCTAACTAAACGACAGCCTGCGACCGCATCCAGTGGAAGAAGTCCTCATTCCACATACCCACCGCTTACCCCATGAGGGCGAGCACATCCCCGTCTACCACATGCTCCCCTCGACGGCCACAAAGGACACCCCCGGCCCCTGCGTCATCATCTTCACCGGCCTCGACGGCTACCGCACTGAGCTCGCCGTCTGGATGGAAGGCTGGCGCCAAAACGGCGTCGCAACCATCGTCCTCGAGATCCCCGGCACAGGCGACTGTCCCGCCGCGCCCTCGGACCGCACATCGCCGGACAGGCTGTACACCTCGCTATTCGACTGGGTCGGCCAACAGGCAGGCATCGACCAGAAGAAAGTCGGCATCTGGGCGTTCAGCACAGGCGGATACTACGCCATCCGCGTCGCGCACACGCACGCCGACAAGCTCGCCGGCGTGGTAGCCCTCGGTGGAGGATGCCACCACATGTTCGACCGCGAGTGGCTAGACGCCGTAAACCATCTCGAGTACCCGTTCGACCTGGCCAACACTCTAGCGTACAAATGGGGCTACGGCGACGACGTCTCGCGCTTCAAAGCCGAAGCATCAGACAAATTCTCGCTGCTCAACGACGGGACGCTTGACCGGCCAAACTGCGCGCGCTTACTGCTTGTCAACGGGACAGAAGACGAGATCTTCCCGATCGACGATTATTACCTCGCGCTGCAGCACGGGGCGCCGAAGGAGGCGCGATTCGTGCAGGGTGTCAAACACATGGGCGAGCCGATGAGCTTCTTTATCATCTTCAATTGGTTTTACAAGCTGTTTGGCATTGAGGCGGATCCGGTGAAGCAGCTGCAGACTTTGCCGTTTAAGCCGAAGTATTAGGGGTTCTTTACTTGGTTAAGGGAAGGCGTTTGAAGCGTGCAGTAGCATCTAGCGTATTAGCACTATTATTCTCGGTTTCAAGATTATACCTGTTCTTTGATTTGGAAATGGGACGAGCACTTATCGCGAATACCTCATCCACGAGGCTCAAGGCCGGAAGTAGGACTGAGTACATATGCTCCGGACATGCGGAGATGTGAGACTCACCGAGCTCATAGGGCAAGTAGAGTTCTGAATGTTGTATGCTCTGCAGTATGAATGACGAGCGCTTGACATGGGAAGTAATTCGCACCGACAGAGCCGGTTGCGCAAATCCGAATGGCTCAACCTTTGACGCTGACATTCACTTTCCAGCTAGACGTGAGCTCACGTTGCGGAGACAGAGTTTTGGTTTTATCTTGCCTGCCACGGGTAGAGCTTGTCAGTATAGATGTCTTGAACGTAGAAACCTAGCTCGAAGCGTCGTATACCTACGCGACTGGAACGGGCTTAGCCAATGCGTGCAATTGGTCGGCACTGCCACCACTATCCCAGCCCGTTGTGGCTGTGCCACCCAACTTGCAATTGCTCCAAGTTACAGCACTTGACTGCCTAAACTTCATCCTGTCGTGTCTGTCAATGCGATTGCAGTGTCTCCCCCCCCCCGCCATAACCTCCAGGAGCAGACCGAGTTGCTTGCAAGTTGGTCAAGACTACTCATGCAATCGATGCGTACTTTGTACATGTTGGATTTAGCGTCAACGCCAGTCACTGTATCGAAGGGAAGAAGGCGTTAATTCCCACAAATTCACCACTACTGCACCCTCGTGAATAAGGTGACCATCACTGCTCAAATCGGTTCGCGCTGTTTAGAGATATTCAGTCACCATGTCGAGGACACGTCCGCCTCAACCTGAATATGTTGGGTTTGACAATACACCGTCCATAAAGGACTGGAATGCATATCTAGGACCCGACCCATACAGCATCATGGTCAATGGGTATGGAGCTATGACGAACCTCCCGGGAGACGAACGTTTCGAGCTGGTATCGTCGCTCTTTGGGCCGGGAAACATCGCCTGCTGGATCTGCCTGATCATGTCCGTACTAGTCAGTTGGACAATCAACCCGTCTTGCGCAAAAAGGATACCATCACGAACGACTTCATTGCCGTACTCACCTTCCCGATAGTGGCAGCCGGGCACTTTTTCCATCAAATCGTCCAGCAGACGGGGAAGAAGCACGACGGCAAGACGCTGCGCCTGCCAGACCTTCTCATGAGCCTGGACCGCGACGATGTGCAAGCTGTCGCTGCCATGGAGGCGCCTCTCACAATTTGTGAAGATTTCATCCTGTGGGCCACGCTTTTGTACATGCTGGCCGCGCGGAAAGGTCAGCTGAAGAGAATGTCCTTGGTCGTCGCCACTGGCTCGCTGTGCCTCGCGACGGAGCTGCTTCTTTTGACCAACTGGGTGCCTTTCGAGTCGAGTCGGCTCCTGCGGCCGTTTCTCTTCGACATTCAGCCCTTTATCATCGCCATGTCCTCTTGGTATCTTCTTATGGTGGTGGTGTATCCTCTGGAAACGCTCTTGGGCGTACTACGTGCGCTGAAGACGGTGAATCAGGCTGACACCGAGGCCGGGACGACTTTGACCTGGCGCATTCTCCGACCGGGTCGCTTGAGCAGTTGGATGGCGGGATGCTCGGCCCTGGTAAGCAACATCGGCGCGATTTGGATCAAGTACGGCTCGATATACCCCTACTATCCCTATAGTGCGTACGTGACGAGGTTCGTGCCGCGAAGCACGGCCAAACCCACCGATTTGGACCAGGTTGTCGCTGGACTGGGCGGGGGTGTCGCATTATTATTCAGCTTGCTCGACGCTCTGAGGGAACGAAAGAAGGCAAAGGCAAGTGCGAAGTAAGATGCATACGTTGTGTAAGACCGGGATCACTCGCACGCAGACTGTTCGATTCGTTCAGAGGTTTACAAGATCTTGCGTCTATGAAACGTAGACTAATGCTGAAATCTCCTCGCGAGAATTTTCGAATGGCTCTGGTAGATACGCGTGGTTTCCTTGGTACGCGTAAGACACACATCAAGCAATCTGGTGATGGAAATGATCTGCATATTGGGCGTTGAGTTCCGCGTCTTCAACTTCTTGCTCGCCGACATCGCTACTCATAGCGACCGAGAGTGAACCGAGAGACATTGCAGGAGGCTCGATAAGTAGCTCCGAAATATCGAAGCCGCGTTGTGATGTGTGCATGTTTAGTCTTCTGAGGCGACTAGCCATCAGGCACTCAAGGCGAGATTGATACGAGCTTCAGGCTCGTAGGCGAGCAGCTGCTAGCGGAGGGACCCTTTCACGGCGCAACCGGATTTGCATGCAGAATTTGAATGGCATCCAGTCAGCATGCTTTGCAGCGGGAAATTGCTGTCAGTGCTCCCGAACAGGAGAGGGGTCCGACGTGGTTGTCGCTTCCTCGGTTGAGGGCCTGATCGATTCTGCACGGTCAATTCCAAAGTCATGTTCAGGGTCCCCCGACTTCCAGGAGATGCACGTCTGCTAGTCAACTCCGGTCTAGCAAGCCCCTCGAGGCGTTTCTGCAGTGACCGGACCTGCGGGCTCCGTTCGCAACCCCGCGGCGGATGTTCGTTCAGGGCGCGGTTTGATTGCGCAAGTCGCGTCTGCCATGGGGTGTATATTCGAGCAATCTTAACATATTCATTCTCATCATAGTATCGCCAGAGCAACCGGGCAGAATTTGGCTATATTGTCAACACTCCGGTGCTGAAACATGTAAGCATGCCGCATTGTTCGAGGTGGGTGAGGCTGAAGCTGCACGACATCGAGCTTCCCCGGAATGTATCGGACACCGATTGCGAGACCCTAACAGTGTCAGACTGGAAGTGGTAGTTTGCACGTGTCACCGAAACGGTTTGATGTTTGATGGACCCTCCAAGCCTCGACAGTGGGAGGGAACTGGAATGTGGTGCTGTCAAGCACGCGGCGCTGATCAACATGCCCTGCATCCGTTGGGCACGCCTTCCCTCTGGCCAGGTACCAGCACTGACCAATTTACTGGGAAGGACCTTCAGAACAATCACATGCGGTTTCAGATGCGGTGAGTGGTATGTTGGAAACAAATTCTGCAGCATGTGAGCGCACAGTTGGCGATGGTGTTTGTGTACCTTTGTTGTTTGTCTGGGTAAGGCTGATAGTGCTACACCGACGCAGTGGATGAGACATGACGAGATGGGCTGGGCCGTCCGGAGCGCGTTCCGCCAGTCAAGCGCGGATTCCAGTACGGTACGATTGAAGTTGCGGGTATCTGACTGCTTCACAAGAGGACCAGATCAGAGTAGGAGTGGGGATCGAGGCGTGGTTCGCATCTCATCATCATGGCGCTGCGTGATGGGCGGCCAGGAGAGCCACAGGCCGAAAGGGGAATGTTCGATACAGCGCTATGAAGGCGCCGTCGAACGCAGGCGTGTGCCACAAGTTTCAAGCCGGCGCTCCACGGGACGGCAAGACTCTGTGACCGTCGAGGCAGCCGCTTTGGAAGGTCGATGCTCGCGCAAAAGCCCACATGAGGCATTGGTACGTCTTGCATCGGGCACACACACAATCGATAGACGATAGATGGATGCGCCGCCGTCGGGCACAAAAGCAATCATAATGCGGAGACGTATAGCGAAGCCGTGGGCGGGCCGTGCCCGACTGCCCGAACTGCCCCCCTTTTCGCATAACGCTGCGAAATTGCCTCATCTGACGCTTGCGAGGACGCCCGCTGGAGAAAGGGGGGTCCCGGCAGCCGTGCAAGATGATGACGATGCGTCCCATGGGTGGGTGTGGGTGTGCTCGGACAGTGTATGTGGTGGTGTGGCGAAGTGGTAAGCGAAAAAAAATGTAAACAAACAACGCGTCTGAGTGGCGACGCTCGCAGGCCGTTCCAGCTGGACGTCCAGAAGGCAGTCGCCGCGTTTCTCGTCGCGCCTGTGAAAGCGTCCCAGACTCGAAACGCCGCGGAAAGGCGTCCTCGGGCCAGGACCTATTCGATGCGGGCAGCCGGGAGGGTGTTTGGCTCAACGGCGGCTTGATGCAGGTGCAGCTCGGCTGATGTGCGCACGGGCTGTTTTGCCCGAAAAAGAATCCACGACGCGATCGCGTCCGTCTCCTCCTCCCATCCCATCCTCTCCTAGCCTGCATCGCGAACACTTGTGAAGGGTCTTCTCATCTCCTCGCCGCCTCGGACCCTCCCCTCGTTGCATCACCGCCGCTTTGTGACTGCCATTTGCGACTTCAAACGGCAGGCGCGTCCTGGTGTTGTTGTTTACCAGCATTCCGCACCCTTCACACGTCACTCACAACTCCGCACGCCGCCCACACCAGCGAATCGACCACAGCCACGCAAGCGCCGCGCTCTTGACACTCCTCACTCTTAAGCACCTACTGCGCACTTGCCGTCGCCATTCGCGCAGCTGAAAAGGCCTTGCATGGAGCGGGCGCAGTCGCAAATCGCTCGCTGAGGTGGAACTCTGGGTGAGAAGTGAACTCGACAACACGGCGCCGGAATTTGCTGTATCCCACGCATTCATACCACGCCCCCACGAGCACTGCAAACACACTTGCACTATCGTTATCGATCGAAGATTGGCCTCTACTCGACACACGCAGTTGCCTGACGCCCCAGCCACCGACTTTGCCGGCACAAGACGGAGCATCGCGACAGAAATCAACTAACCAGCCTTCACCTTCACCTCTCACCTCGAGGAGCCCATCACCCCACCAACAGCACTGACCATTATGGACTTCGCCTATTCCCCGCACCGCGACACGGGTGGCACTCTGCACCTGCCTTCTCCCACGCACCACGCTTACCCCGCCCACTTCTCATCCTCCTTGCAACAGCTGCGACGCTCCCTCTCGCGATCGCCGTCAAAGCCCTCGCGCTTCCACCTGCGCATGGGCAAGACAGACGCGCCTGGTTCACCAATCTCGCCGCTGGCCACGTCGCGCGCCTTTAGCCCCAAAACACTCAAACAGACGAGTCCCATCGCCGCCTACACCGAGTCGCCATTTGGATCGCAGGCGCCTCAGACGACTAAGAAGTCCAAATTCGCCGTGCGCCGCACACTAGGAGATCGAATCCGCTCGTCGCCGCGCAATCGCAACACCACCACACCGAAAAGCCCGCGTCGCGCGCTGGTTGAATCCACTGATCGCGCAAACGCTTCGCCTTTTGTTTCACGGCCCCTCTTTGGCGAAGAAAACATGCCGGTGCGCAAGAACAGCATCGACTCCTGGGACCAGGAGGACAACGCGCGCTTCGACATCGACGATCAGCCGATCAAGTTCGAATTTGCTCGTTCGCAGCCCGCGCCTTCAACCACGCCGGCCGCAAGTCGCTTCGCCCCCCCTCAACCAAGTCCACTGAAGCGTCGCGATGGCACGTCGGGTTTCGAGTCCACAAGCTGCGCGACTCCGAATCCTAAGAGGAGAAGCTTACACGCCGGTTTGCCAAACGATTTCAATGTCTTCGAGCAAACGCCAGTACCTAAATACCACCCGGAAGAGTCTTACACCCCCCAGGAACCTGAGCCTTTTAGCTTGTTTTCTACCCCTGCAGCAAGCATGAACACTGCGAGCTTGTTCTCCACCCCTGCACCGAACATGAACTCGCCTGCGCGTAGGAATACATCAATAAGACGCGCCGTATCCCAGCGTACCCCTGCAGGATCTCCGCGACCAAAACCCTCCATGGATGGAGAATTCATGAAACCTGGGTTAGCGGCTTCCAAAACACGCCCTCAAAGGGCCTCTATGGACGGATTCAACTTCTCAAGTCCCGTGAGCGGAGATTCAGTCTTTGGCCGCTCGACAATGCAGCCTTCTATGCGTGGCGGAGCTAGCAACGCACCACGACATCCACTGGCGACGACGGTGACTGCTTCTACATCCTCAAGCGTCGCGGGTGATTCTCCAGTCGCTATGCCAGTTCCTCCGACGCCGAATCCACGGAATCCCTTCACCCAGTCGCTGCCGCTTGGAGCTATGCGCCCGCAAGAATCCAGCGACGACTCCTTTGGCACACCACTACCATATCGACCTGCCGAGCCAAACATCTTCGCCCGATCCACCGGTGGACTTTTGTCCAAGAAGAGTCGGGACGTGGAGTCGCCCAAGGCTGATAAGTACCAGCTCCCTGAAACACCCTCCAAGAGGCACTCTTTTCCTCCTCCCTGCGGCGCGGAATCGCCACTGTCGCAAAGCTTTCGAACAAGCTTCAGGGACAAGATCCAACAGCAACAGCAACCCGTGTTCGGCACGCCTAATAGTCATGCTTCCAAGCTGTCTTTCAGTTCTATGTTTGGAAACCCTGACAGTGTTTCTCAACGGAGGGGAAGCCACCTAAGCGTCGACGGACTCGATGATGATGCCTCAGTCTCACCAACAGCGAACCGGATGACTGACAGTCAGTCAAGTGTCGACGATATGCCACCGACACCAACCAAGAACGGCGATTCGTATGGACGACGATCAGGGCGCTCCAGTCTACGCCGATCGACTTTTAAGAGACCGGTGACTAGAGGAAGTATTGGATCAGACACCTTCACAGCTCCGGAGGACTCAACAACACCCCGAATCGATACTGCACCTCTCTTCCGCCATAGCATCAGTGGTACTACTACTCCACATACTCCCCTTGGGAATGAGTCATCGACTGTGCCAGATCCCAGCAAACTCAGCATTTCTGGCAACCGTCCCGGCATCTTGCACTTCGGGAGCAGTTTCGGAAGCGATTGCAGCAACTCGTTTCCTCCAATGACCCCGACGACACCTCGAGAACACTCTTCACTGTTCTCGCGTAACCACACGGCTATCCCCATCGGACTGCCGAAGAATGATGTCGACGAATCCTTGGCCGCACGATTTGGGCATGTAGAGGTGCTTGAGGGCGCTAAAGGAGAATTTTCACAGATGTTCAAAGTTAGCAAGCCGTTGAACAGAGGAGCTAACTCGCCCTTCTCCACCAGCAGTCTATGCTCGGTTGTGAAGAAGACGAAGAAGGCAATGAGTGGTCCACTGGACCGAAAGAAGAAGCTACAGGAAGTGGAGGTCCTCATGGCTCTCCGCGGAAACGACCACATCGTCGCTTACAAGGATCATTGGGAGTACGACCAACATCTCTACATCGAGACAGAGTATTGCGACAACGGCAATTTGAAGGATTTCTTGACCAAAGGCCGCCTTGATGATTTCAGAATCTGGAAGATACTACTGGATCTTTCACTGGTGGGTCTTGCAAACTTCTGCGATAACATACATGCTAATCCTGTGCAGGGTCTGAAGTTCATCCACGACAGCAACTTCATCCACCTCGACATGAAGCCTGCCAACATACTCATCGACTTTGGCGGCTGGCTCAAGATCGCCGACTTCGGTCTCGCCACTCCTTGGCCTGCCCAAAAAGGCATTGACGGAGAAGGTGATCGAGCGTATCTCTCACCAGAAGCACTCCAGGGCCACTTCGACAAACCAGCCGACGTGTTTGCTCTCGGTCTCATCATGTCAGAAATTGCCGGTGACTGTGATATGCCGCAGTTCGGCGACTCTTGGCAGAAGCTTCGCTCCGGGGAGTTCTCGGTCCTTCCGAGCTTGAGCTGGAGCACTCAGAGCACCCTCAGCCGAGATGAGAATGGCGACCCAATAGAGTCGGCTGCCCAAGCCTTCGTCGACTCGACCGGTTATCTCACTCAAGAACTGCAGGACGAAGTGGCGAAAGCCCCCCAGTTCATGACCGATGAACATGACCCTAATTCCATGGATCAGGTTGCAAGGGCGATGATAATGTATGATGCTGCGGACCGTCCCACAGCCGAAGCCGTCTCCATGGCATTCGGCTGCCAATGGGTGGCGCAGAGACGATCTGCTGGCGCGACCATCTACGAGGGAAACTTTGGGCCTTCCGAAGATACCTTGTGCGGCTACGAACCGATGATCACCGACAACGGCGACGCCATGGACATGAGCTAGGTCTCTGCGCTCTAATGGCCTGCTTGTTGTCAATCTAGCAGCGCCTCATATCTCGCTACCAAGAACCACTGCCATTGGATGCAAAGTGGTCTCATCAACCAATGCTTGAACCCAGCGATTCGCGCTTAGCTTTGTACGATTTTGTGCGCAGAAAGGCGGTCCCGATGTTCGACTAGTTATACGTTATCAACACTCCGCTCGAACTCAACGCCCGAGCGACCCCCGTTGGCCGACAGGCCCTATCGTCGAGCCCTTACGATTCTGACACGGCCTTTTTTTCTGGATGAAACACGGAGTTTAGTGTTTCTGTCTGTGTGGTCTACCTGTATTACTTCCCGGAGTTTCGATACGAACTGCATCTGCATGCACCCCACTGTTACCCTCGCTGCTGGAAGATGCGGCGAGCTGGGGATTGGCGTTTTTCAATTTTTTCTGGCCTTCAATTCCTGTGGTCGGTCGTGGCGATGAAACGTTTTACGATTACGATTTCTTGATTTCGGTATGAGTGCGCTGCCTCAGGTGCTGAAGAGAGGGGGTGAAAGGATTGGATGTTTTGAGCTTGGACAGATGGACGGTGTGTGGAGGATCTGAGGGCCGTAGTTGTAGATGTGAGGGCATTATGACGATATGATGATCATGTGCAAAGCAATGTGTCTGAAGTGTTTGCTTGCTATTTATGTGAAGTGCGGTGCAAAGTGAAGAAATTTGCGTACCGATTGTCGCCCGAGTAACCCCTTACGTAAGGTGACCCCTATATCGGCTATCGATAGAAAAGCAATTTATGGTCTGTCGTTGATCCGTTCACGCTCAGTCTTATGAAAAGGGGCTCTAAAAGCAGGATGAGGCGCACGCATGGAGGAACGTCGGCGTGGACTAGAAAGCTGGAGGATATCTTTCGATGGGGAGACGGAGGAGCGAAAGACAATTCTATGCTCATGCAAGCGTTTGTGCGTTACGCAGCTGCGTCATCATCATCATCGCTCCACTATGGGGCTCACTGAGGTCTGATGACGAGCATGCTCATTGGGCAACAGTGCATCGCTTTGAGGCTACGCGGATTGTGGGTATAAAAACCACCTATTTTCCTGCCTTCTTTTGCTCTTCACACTTCTCTTCGAGGGCTGGGGGAGTACAAAAATCAACCAGGCTCGCTGCGATGGGCGGACTAAAAGTCATCCAAGAAGGAATCATGGCGGAGTGCGTTTGCTTTGGACCAAAATCCAAACCATGCTCCTCGATGGAGGCGCGCCTTTGCTGGGCCAGGAACCGGATTTCCTGGGTTATATGGGAGACTTGGTCTGGTTCTTCACAGCGTTGGCACGCAGAAGGTGATGGTGACGTGCATCATCGCTATCAGCCGTGGGACATACTCGTTACGTCGACTTCCGTGAAGGGGAGGGTAGTTCGGACGAAGCGTGGGTATAAAAAGCGCGAAGATTTCTGTGGAATTTACTCTTCACACTTCCTCACTGCTCTGCTTGGGCAGACTAGAAAAAAAACAACAACCGACAGTATGTGCGGACTAAAGATGACGGCCGCAATAGTGATGGTGTTGTGGTCGTTGCTTCCGGATCTCAACGACACCTGCGCTGTGACTAAATGGGAATGCTAGACTACTATGTCTGAGCTTGCGAGCAGCCGCGAACACAAAAACCATGATAGAGCATTATATGTGGCAGTCTGGCTGGGCTGTTTAAGTTGCAGTCGACCAAAAACGACATCCACTACACTATGTGGACACCAAAAGACATCGAGCTCGGATACAAGAGCTTCCCTGGTCTCTCGTCCAAAATACTCCTCCGAATGCTCCATGAGCGTCTTGTGTGTTCCAGAACATAACTGCTCAACGCATATGCCGCGCTGGCGTGATGACGGGTATAAATACCTGCTTCGGGGCTGTTCGAGAGACTTTCCCACGGAACTTCATGGCTGTGGCGGGAGACTAAAAAAAGAGGTTCCTACAACGAAATGTGTGGACTAAAAATCTTCAAGACAGCTTATCATGGGAGGAGCGTTTTGCCCTGGTTGGACAAAAGAAGTACGATCACGACTCATGGAAGTGGATTACTTGAGTCTTGAGTCTTGGAAAGCTTTGTTCAAATGTTTCTTTCACTTCAGCCATGTGGACACAAAGCCCTCTCGCAACTGGCATGTGGATCTCGTCTCTTTTTGTCTAAAACCACAAGCATACAACATTATGGGTGATCTGCGCACTCCAAAATGACTCCCCGCAAGACAATGTCTGGACTGGCGTGGGAGACGGTGCTATAAAGACACGTCTTTTCGATGAACGAGAGAATCCTCCACACAAGACTTCGCCAGTCCACAAGGTGACTAAAAGCAGGATTGCCCAGAGTGCATGTGTGGACTAAAAGTCGTTGCCAGAATGGCCGATGGGGTGTTGCTTGTGCGCTTGCGGAGATATGTGCTTCTTTGCGAGGCACTAAAACAGGAACTCAACTATCACATGTGGTGGCTTGCCCGGTGCGATCTAAAACAATCATGCTCCTGCTTCTCGGGAGGATTCTACACGAGACTTCCTTACTGTCCCAGGGGAATCAAGAAAAAGCCGCTCTTACGTTCGCAATGTGCGGACGAAAAACCTTCACCATATTGACTTATGGAGCTTGTTCTCGTCTTCGGAGGAGGTGCATATTTCGTCCAAAAGTGAAACGCCTCAAAGAGCATGGAGACGTCTTGGTGAGAATGTCCTGGACTCACGCGCGCTCACATTCTCTGTCTATATAAATGTGCGCTGAAACCCTCCCCACTCGATCTTGTCACTACTGTACGTGACTTGACAAGATTAGACGTCGATGTATTTCATGTGCCGACTAAAATGGAAAAGACCCACACCATGGGGTGAGGCTTCTGCTCTGGTGGACGCAGGTCTTGCCTTGCGAACTTCCAAAATTGTGGCAAAAATGATGTATGAGGTGTCTGCTTGTGTTGGGAGCATATATATACCCACGCTCTCACTGCTCGAGTGCCTTTCAAACACCACCCAACACACTCTTATGGGAGACCGAGAAGCTGGGCGAGCAAATACATGTGTGGACTAAAACGAAATGATGAGCCGGGACTCTTGCTCTCCCCTAAGACAGTCGTCTTCTATGCTGCCGTAAAGCTCAGCCAAACCTACCCATGGGATCGTCCGCCTTATGGGAGGTGTATAAATACTCACCCTCTCGCTGCTCGAGTGCCTTCTACACACGTTCTCGTTACTCTTAGGAGCGACTAAAATGACGATTGCCGCACAGCATGTGCGAAAAAAAAGATATCCCTGAGTTCGCATGGGACGTGGCCTCTGCTCTGCCTGCGCACTTGCGCTACAGAAGTGCCTTGGATTGGGAGGCACAGAAAAGTTGAACATCACATGGCATGGAGCCCACTGTCTTGTCGTAGTGTTGCACAGTTTCAAGCTCTCATTATGGTGTCAAATGCTCCGTTCTGCCTGTTCTTGCCTTTGGTGGCCCGAAAATCACGACTGAAGGCGCCTATGTGCGGATCCAAGACCTAACTAAGGGGAGTTACGGGACTTGGACCTGGCTCTGGCTGAGTAACACGGCTCAGGATCTTCCTGGTATAGAAGTTTGGCTAAAGCAGGATGAACGCGCCTATCATGTGCGCCGGGGATATAAATACCTCTGCCGATACTGCTGAAAGCTTCTCCACTTGACTATCTCACTGGTCCAGAGGACTTAAAAACTCCATGCTGCACCCTCATGTGCGGACTACAGAAGTTCCACAGTGCGAACCATGTGCGAGATCAAAGAAAAGCAATGCCAGTGCTATGGGGCGCTGCTTCTGCCCTGGTGCAGCTCAGCTTCCAGCCGGATCCTACCTTATCCTGGTCAAGTCTTCCAGAAGATCTGGCTGCTCATGTTCAAATCCTATCAAAAGTCACGGAGTCCACGCTGATGTCGGCGTCTGCCCTGGAGACGTGTATAAAACACCATCTCCTCACTGCTTGAACTTCCACTTCATACAACTCATGTCAACAGCTTGGTGTGACCAAAATCCCATGCGTTACTTTACATGTTTGGACCTAAAAGGCTTTTCTATCCACACCATCGGCCCTGCCTCCTGCTCTAACAAAATTACTACTCAAAATGCATGTTTCCTCTGCGACGCATTTGAGAGGCCTCGTGTGCTTCCAAAAGACCGGTTTCAAGCTACGATGTCCTGTTCTGCGGATTCTAGGCCTATAAAAGCTCGTCTCCTCGCTGTGTGAGCTTCTTCACGTCACTGTCTCCAAGGCTTTGGAAGGACTCAAAAGTAGGAAAATACGACTACATGTGGAGACCAAAAAGCAAACGTATCAGGTCTTCATGGGATCTTGCTCCTGCTCTAACAGTGCCTACCCCCCCAGCGCTATGTTTTCTCCGCGACACATTAAAGCTGCTGTGAGATCACAGATCCTCGTGTGCTCCAAAACTGCGACTCTCTACCACCATGTCTTGTCCTGCGGATGCCAGGTCTACAAAAGCACATCTCCTGAACATATGAGCTGCTTCTTCACATCACTGTCTCTAAGAATTTGGAGGGACTGAAGTTCAAAGAATTCGCTCATGTATGCAGACAAAAAAGGTTACTCTCAAGGAACATGGGTTCTGCCTCATGCTCGGGGCTGAACCTCTCAATGGGGAGACCGAAAAGGGAAGTGGACGACACAATGGGTCCTTGCTCCTGCTCTGGGGAAACGCGATCGCTGAACATGGCTTCCAAAGACCACGTGGATATGCGAGCAAGCTATTGATAGGCTTCAATCATGCAGAAGCTTTCGAAAATTGATTGCTGACCTGACGCATGAAAGTCTGCCTTGGAAAAGCTTATAAGATCTCGCATCCTCGCTGCTTGAGCTTCTGATTCACATCCTTCTCGTGTCAAACTAGGGGTGACTAAAAGCGACTCCGCCGTTCGTATGCGAACTAAAAAGAATAGAGCGGCTGGAAGATGGGACCTCCTGTCCGCTCTTGGGGAGCACAGCTGTCGAAAAGATTCCTTTGATGATGAACTGGGATGTGGTTCAAACGTTGAACACTTTGCCTATGTCTTCCAGAGTAGACTTCGCGGATCTGCTATGTCGGGTATTTTGTTGGACACGACTATAAAGCCTCTTCTCTTCGCTGCTTGAGCCTCTGCTCCACGCCTCTCGTGTAAAGCTGGGGATGACCAAAGATCAACTACCTACCACCCATGTCTCGACTAAAAGAGTTCGAGCCTGTCCGCGATGGGATCTCCTGTCCGTTCTGCCCGAGCGCAGCTGTCAAAAAGCTCCCCTCTGCGACAAACTGAGACGTGGCCGAAACATCGAAAACCCTACCCGTGCCATCTAATTGGCTGTCGCAAACCTACATGACGGATTCTGCGTTCGCCACGCGTATAAAGCGTCGTCCCCCACTAGTCAAGCCTCTCTACATGCTCCTCGTCAACAGCAAGGATCGACTAAAATTGGGTTCCTCACTCGCAGATGGGCGGATCAAAAAAGACCATAAGAACGTATCATGGGATTTTCCTTCTGCCCTGCCTGAGTTTGGTGGTTGGCAAAGCTTCGCAGTGATGCAACAAAGTCGTCTACTACCAAGTTTATGGAGGTGTTTGCCTTGCGAAAGGGCATTACATATCTGCTATCATGCACCTGGAACTTCTTCCTTCACAATCTTCCTATCTGGCTTGGAGGAGACTTAAACTAACGATCACACCCAGCATGGGGCCTTTCAAGATCAAGCTGCCTGTAGCTCCATGTCTTGGAGTCCCTGCCTGTTCGTAAAGAGAGGCCAGGAGCTGAAAAATATTCGACATCTGAATCCTGCTTGGTATAAAAACAATACTCTCACTTTCTTATGAGCAGAGACCTCTAAGATACTCATCATTCGCCTGTATGTGGAAAGCAGATCGCCGACCGAAACAAAATCTGGGATCGTACAATCATGTGTGTATTGAGGACTTTACATGAATGCTGTACGTATTCTACCAGAAAGCCTTGCTCGAAAAAGCGAACCCGAAGTACATTACGAGCAACTCCACTCAAGCAGATTATTATCAGTGTCCGAGAAGCTTGCCCGTTTGTGGCTAGAAGTGCTGCAGGTCTGAGGCCCTGCCGCATATTTAAAAGGCGCTATTCTTTTCCTGTACCTCTCTTGCTGGGCTTTCATCAACGTGTCTTAGGGAAAAGGCATTCTAAATGGTGCTATCATCAGCTCATGGGGAATTAAAAGTGTGTGCTCGACTTCCTATGTGCTTCTGTGGCGACCTTGTGTGATAAAAAGGACGATTCTTTTGATGTAACACGTTGACACAGTAGTTGCGGGGTCATTCGAAAAAGTCACCTACACGAAGCATGGGTCGTAGCGGGTGGTACGGGAAGTTATGCGGTGATGTGCATCACGCTTGGGACTTGATGATGATGAGTAGGTTTGCTCTAAGATGTATATAGAGACGTGTCATGTCTGCTCTTGCTCTGTTCTCCACCAGTTGTCTGACGAGGATTTATGTCATCAGAATTTCATCGACTTGAATTACACATGACGAGAACCAAAAAGCAGTTGCTGAACCTTCATGGGATTGAGAGCTGCCGTATGCCAAACCACCTAGTGAAGCTCAGAATTCTTCATTTCTTTGAAATGCTTGATGTAGACTTCGATCGAGAACAAGACTGGAATCTGGAAATGGTTGCGTGCGGACACACGCTCGCTCCTGTTTTGTCGACTTTGCCTGGATGCCGTGGACATAGAGCCGCACCTCCTCATCGCGACACCCTCTCCTCATTCGGACGACGTGCGGACTGCCGCATCACAACCACAGTTCCCGAACTTTCCCCCTCCAACATGAACCAGGTGAACAATTTGCCTGTTTCAGGATCAAGCAGCCGTGGGCTCACGCACCGTTGTTCGCGGCCCCACCCACCTGCATGGTCTCTGTACATATTGTAGCGCGAAATCTTGTAAAGGTTCCTCCCAATAGCCGCCACGACCTCTTCGTCATCTGCCTTGCGCTCGCAGCGCTTCATGACATTGAACATAGTCTCCCCTGGGCTTCTTTTCTCAGCGAATGCAGGTATTGTCTCCAGCCAGTGTAAACCACCCCGCTTCACGTACGCCTCCTGAATCTCCCACTGATCATTTGGCACGATCGCCTCGAGCCGCATGTGAGGGGCGATTTTCACTCGGTTCCCGATCTCCTGACTGTTGCGGAGTATGCCGGAAACATGCGGCGGATGGTGCAGAGTTACTGCCTTAAGGATAAGTCTCTCCGAGCTCGTGAACCGCACGGTACGCACTTGGTTCAATATGCTTTTCCGACATGTATCGAACCATTGTAAGAACTGCTCAGCCGCACACTGGAACCCATCCCTATGGCCATAGGTCGTGAAAATAATAGTGTTGATGCCGAGCTCGAACGCCGCCGTTTCGGTGTATAATTGGCGGCACGAGAATTTTACTTGATTGAAATCCTTGGGGTCTTGACCGTTGTGATTTAGAGGGGCGCAAAAGAAGGGCCGTTCGTTATGCGGGGCATGGTATCGCAGTCCATCTTCACTATACAGCGCGAGCTCGTATATCTGATTCCGTATCTCGCCGGGGAGCTGGAAGAACTTGCTCGATTGGGTCATTGCTTTTGGCTTTGGCGATAATTTTACAGTTGGGTGACAGTGGTTCGTACCGAAGCTGTGGTTGCCTCCTGGGGAAGCTTGGGGGATGCAAACGCAGGAGTCCGCGTTGACAGAGGTGGTTAATATTTTTGTAGATGTGTCGTTCAGGTGTTCTTATGTCGAGAAAGAAGAAAATGTATTTTTCAAAACATGTTGGGCCGTGTGGGACACTGGTTTATCACATTACCATGGGAGCGGCCCAGCCAAACCGTATTCACATTGCAATGGGAGCGGCCCAGCCAAACCGTATACACCTTACAATGGGAGCGGCCCAGCCAAACCGTAGGAATTTCCCCAGACTTTGCGGATCTCGACTCAACACAGATTGCAAGCTACACTGCTCATACCCAATTCTGATCGGGTCAAGCCACAGTGATTACGCAGGTAGCTCACTGCGCATGTAAATAATGTGCGATGCTCCAGCTATTACTTTCTGTCGAATGATTCAGCGACATGCAGAAATAACCGAGTCCAGACCAGCGCCTTTTCCTCGAAGCTGCACCTCCCACTCTCTCGGCGATTCTGCGGTTATAGTCTACCGCATTCGCTATAGTGATCGACAGGATCTCCGCTCAGGCCATCTACGTCATCGACCGCTCTGGTCTGCTGACGCGCATCAAGGGAAGTGCATTTTCGAGCAGAGCCCAAACAACGGACTGTGTAATGTTGGAAGAGGTCCAAATAGTCTCCGGGAACAGAGATAGCCAAACCTAGCGAGAGACCCTGCGTCGATACGGACCGCCTGCGGGCCGGTTCCAAGGTTTCCACGCATGCACGTGCCTTCTCTTTCAGCCCAGTTCAGCCCAGTGTGCTACAAAACGGCTGTCAGACCAACTCCTCCTCAATGTGTAACTCTAGAATCAGTTTCTGGAGCACGTTCACGCATTGCCGGCGTCTCGAAGCTCCTAGCGGACAATGCCGGGGTTAGCTCAAGCCGCACGTCCCCACACAGATGACGTCAAGCCGCCGCTGCCAGAAATATGACCCCTTCGGCAACACATCGCGACACGCCCCGGGCCGGGTAATCATTGCTATGCCACGTTGTTCGAATTGCGTGTCGTCGTTCATCGGCAGACTGGGTTCCCCCTGGATCGATGGTATGCCTGAGTTCTTGAGAAACAGTTAGACTTGCTTTTCGAGTAACGGCTCGCCCACCGCTCTTTGCTCCACTCGGTGCATCATCACGCGTGCGCGATATCCCGCGATAGCTCCCTTGGGGCTGGCCATCTCCACATATTTACTCGACGCCTGGCGCTTCGAGAGGTTGCCTATTTCTTCGGCTTCGTCTTCAACTGTTACGTGTCTTTGGGTTTCCTGAGCTGCTACGCCGCATCATAGCTGCCCACCATGAACTACTCCACGTGGATAGAGGAGAAGAACCTCAAAGTATGGGGATCCTTCCCATGCTGGACCTTTGTAATTGACGATATGGCCTAGAAAACCTTCATCGTAGCGACGTTATGTTCCACCATCGTCGGCACCTTCACGACGACTATGAATCTCTACGATGCTGTGCAAGCCCGCAAGAACCAGAAAAAGACGGATAGCAAACAGGACCAGGAGCTTGAGTCCCTGCGGAAACGTGTAGACCAGGCAGAGGACCGCGCAAAGGATAAGGATAGGGACCGCGACGACTACGGGCGCAACTTCCGCGACGCTTCTCAGCTTGTACAGCGGCAGTACGATGAGGGGTACGGGAGGCTGGGGAGCAGATTCGCCCAGGGAGACAGTAGGCTCTGCGACCTTTGTACTGCATGACTACACGCTGACAGTCCCAGCAATAACGGAGAACCTACTACAAAAGCAAATCATCCAGCTCCAGCAGACCGTCATCAATGTCCTTCAGGAAGCTCTCTACAACGACCGCCAACTCTCCCGCGCCGACATGGCCAAGCTCGCAGCTGCCTCCGATGCTGCCCGCGAAGGATCCATCGACGCTCTCCGCCAGCAACAGCAACGTCTCGCCGGCATAGAAGACACCCCTAGCAGACGCGACTCTCCCATGCGCGCCCTACCCGCCCCCAAACGTGCCTCCACCGTCATCGACGAGGAACCGCTCTTCTGCCGCTACGCCCTCGGCGTACAGTTCAGACCGTCGAAGCCTCTTGCGGGCGAGTTTGCACCCGGCGGCGACTGCCGCTGTCCTGACTGCGACCGGCGCATCGACGCCACTGCCGACGACTTCTGGCAGATTGGTAAACGCACGCCTATCGTGTACGGCGGGAAGGAAGTCACCGAGGCTCGCGAGTTTCACCTGGGCCAGCGCTTCGTGATCAAATGCCATACGCCGGATGGCGAGTACGCCTGCGTGCTGTGCAACAGGCACAGGGACAGAGATGCCGTGTGTCGGACGGTGGAGGCGCTGGTGAATCACGTAGGACGGTTCCACGACGTTGAGGAATTAGAGAAGGAAGTCGATCTGAAGGAGACGGCCCCGCTGGCTCTGGCGCCACCGCCGCCGCGACTCAGAGAGATGGCGATATGATGCGCTCACGGCTGGCATGGCATGGCATGGCATGGCATAGCGTTTTCCCTTTTCACGACTTCGCACCACAGCGACGGCGTTTGGACTTCGATGACTCGTATTATACCACTTCTTTCTAGATCACGACTCACGACCTCAACTACAGACAGACAGGATCAAATGATACTGACTATATTGCTACTATGCTCCGCTTATGCACTCGCTTCCGCCGTCTGCTGCCGCGACGTCACACTCCCCCCTCTCCACGCCGCCTTCGGATCCTCCTTCTGCACCGCCTTACTCTCCTCTCCCTCCTTCCCCCACGCACCTCCACCAGGTGTATAAATGATGATGCGCTCCCCAGGCTTCATACTCGCCGTGTTCTTCGCCCCAAGATTAATATACCTATACTCGACGTCCTCCTTGCCCTCCTCGATCCCCTTCTGCTTCTCCTTCAGCTCTTCCACCGCGCTGCTCGTCCTCGCAGCATTTTCCTTGTCTTTCTGCTGCGTGTCCGAATTCTGATCGATGGTCTTCTTATCGATCTTACGCGCCCAGATGTTCAGCCCGCACGCGGCTTCACCGCCGCCAGCCATGCCGTACGGATGGTACACACGGCGCTCAGACAGAATGCTGACCTGCACGGGGATACGGAACTCGATGTCGCGGACGACGCCCTCGCCACCATTGTGCATGCCCACGCCGCGGCTGCCCGTCCTTAGCCCGAACTCGCGAAGCAGCACGGGGTACCTGCGCTCGAAGACCTCGCTGTCGGTGATGCGCGTGTTAGTCATGTGCGTGTGCACGCCGCTGGTGCCCTCCCACGTTGGGCCAGCGCCCGACCCGCCGGCGATAGTCTCGTAGTACCCGAAGCCTTTCTGGGCTTTACCGCCTGCGGACTGGCCGCCGAAGCCGAAGGTTAGGTTGTTGGTGTCGCCCTGGGATGCGGCGCAGGCGCGGAACGCTTTGAGGACGACGTCGGTGACGCGTTGAGAGGTGAGGACGTTGCCGCCGACCACGGCTGCGTTGTCGGATGGCGAGAGGAACGACTTCTTGGGTATGAGGACGTGGATGGGCTTCAGGCAGCCTTGGTTCAGCGGGATGTCTTCGCTGATGAGGCAGCGGAGGCAGTATATTATTGCGGAGTAGGTCACTGCTTCGGGGGCGTTGATGTTACCATACACCTCTGGGCCGGTACCCGTAAAATCGAATTTGGCTTCGCCCTTGTCGGGATCGATTGTCACTTTGAGACGGATGGGCGAGCCGTCATCCATGAATTCCTCGGCTGAGAGGTCCTGGCCTTCGAAGCGCTTGTACACGTCCTTGAGAAGGCTGCGCACACTGGATTCGGCATTGGCTTGAATGTTGGTCATGTAGAACTTCACGACTTCCTCGCCGTAGTCAGACATCAGGGTACTGATGAGGTTGATGCCTTTCTGGTTGGAGGCGACTTGCGCCTTGAGGTCGTTGATGTTGTCGCTGAGGCAGCGGGTGCCTGAGCATCCAGGGTATTGAGACGGTTCATCGTATAGCAGTTCGGTGATCCTCTTCTCGTTGAAGTGCCCTTCTGATACGAGCTTCTCGGACTTGATCTGCGCACCTTCTTGGAAAAGCTCTCGGCTGGCAGGAGGCATACTTCCGGGAAGAATGCCGCCTATGTCAGCATGATGGGCGCGAGAGGCGACGTAGAAGATTATTTCGTCACCGCTGAAGGCGGGCGTGATGACTGTTATATCGGGCAAGTGGGTACCGCCAAACATGGGGTGATTTGAGACCAAAACATCTCCCTTTTTCAACTTGCCTTTCCATATAGCAGACTGCTTGCGGACACAGGTCGACATGCTACCCAAATGGACGGGGAGATGAGGTGCTGGACATGGTCAGCAGGTCACAGGTAGAGTGCCAAAAACGAGTGTAACTCACCGTTTGCGACTAGCCCGCCATCAGCGTCGAAAAGCGCGCATGAGTAGTCGAGACGCTCTTTGACGTTTGTGGATACGCTCGTCTTTTGCAGAGCACGACCCATCTGCTCGGCGATAGCCATAAAGCGATGAGCAAAGATACTCAGGAGGATAGGGTCAACTTCCTTCGTATCGATCTGCTTGTCCTGGTTGTCACTCTCTCCAATGTTGATGACAACGTGCGTATCGATGAGCAGTGCTGAAGCGCCAGGAGTAACCACTATCGTCTGCGTGCCATCGGCAATAATAGCGGGTCCCTTGATACGGTCACCTGTATCCAGATCCTCGAGCTTGTAAATCGCTGTGTCCTGCCGGCCACCTTCAAAGAAAACCTTGCGCGTAGCGTACACTTTGTCATACTTCTGAAGATCCTTGGGCTTTATCTCTTTGAGCTGCTGATCGACCGTCTTCTCGAGCCCCTCGAACGTTTTACCGATACCTCTTGCGCGGACATCGTCCACAATGATGTCGCGATCTGGAAGTGTAAACCCAAATTCTTGTTCGTGCTGCTTGATGAACGCCTTGTCAAATGCCCAGTCGTCGCCTCCAAACTCTTTCTCTGCCTCCTCCTTGGTAGGCTTGATTATCATGAGCGCAGACTCCGTGCCGCGGTACCGCAGATTGAGATACTCCTCGAATTTAACCTGCTCTTCGTCGAAGCCTTGGTCCTCCAGTCTGGCAATCGACTTTGACTTAAGATCGTTCATCTTGTTTTGCAGATATTCGCGAGTCTGCTTGTCGTCCGACCACACCTTCGACTCTGGCTCTTGTCGCTCATCTACAACATCTGCAAGTGCCATACCGTACGCTGAAAGGACAGAGGAGTACCGATGAACAAGGATCTGCGAGACACCCAGTGCCTCGGCGATGGCTACGGCGTGCTGGCCGCCGGCGCCACCAAAAGTCGCAAGTCTGTGTTTTGACGTATCGTGACCTCGCGCTTCCGTCAAGCTCCGAATGGGCCTTGTCATCGTCTCATTTGCAATCTTTATGAATCCATTAGCGATATCGTCCAGCGACATCTCTTTCTCCTTATTGCCTCCAGCAACCTCCTTGTTGATTTGCTCAGCTAATTCCGTGAACAGCTTTTCGCTTGCCTCCGCATCGAGACCTTCATCTTCATTCTTGCCGAATATCTTAGGAAAGAAGTCCGGAAGTAGGCGCCCAAGGAATAGGTTCGCATCGGTGATGGTCAATGGACCACCCTTGCGGTAACATGCTGGTCCGGGGTGTGCACTCGCTGACTCGGGGCCAACAACGAACAGACCGTTCTTCCAGAACAAACGTGACCCTCCTCCCGCGGCCACAGTATTGATATCGAGTTGGGGTGATTGTATGGTCACACCGGCGGTCGTTGTCTCGAAGACGTGATCGTATCTTCCTGCTCCATATCTGCTGACGTCTGTAGAAGTTCCGCCCATGTCGAAACCGATTACTGGGATTTTAGTCTCTGGATCGTACGATGTAAGCGCATAGCCTACCACACCACCCGCCGGACCTGACAGAATAGCCTTTAAACCGGAGAAAATGTCAACGTCGACAAGCCCACCATCCGACTGCATGAACTCGCACCTCGCACCCTTGGAGCCCTTCTCTTGTTTTACGCTCTTTGTGCCAAGGCCACCCTCAAACCCTTTAGAAAAGCCGTCGATATACTTCCGTATCGCTGGTGTCAAGTAGGCATCAGCACATGCAGAAGTCGCTCTTGGTACCAACTTGATCATGGGCATAAGTTCGTGACTCAAGCTAACGTGCTCGAAACCAATCTCTTTCGCGATCTTGCCTACCAACGCCTCGTGTTTTGGGTATGTGTAGCCGTGCATCAAGCATACAGCGATACTACGTAAGCCGCTATCATAGACTTCCTGCAGCTGCTTTCGTATCCTATCCTCGGCGGGCCTCTGCAATATGCGGACCGTCTCGCCAGACATGCCCTTGACGAGCTCCGCGTCTTCTCCTGCCGCTTCTATTGCCTTCGCGTCTGTCTGTGTACGTTCTGGGTCCTCAGCATAGTCTTCTAGCGTGACTCTTTCGTCTATCTCCACCACCTTCTTGTATAGCACCTCGGGTTTTCTTATATCCAACGCAAAGATATTCGGTCGCGATTGGTTGCCAATCTCCAAACAGTCTTTGAAGCCCTTGGTCACCACCATAGCTATATCCTCACCCTTGCGCTCCAACAGGGCGTTCGTTGCAACGGTGGTGCCCATGCGTATGCTCTCGATCTTAGAGGTGTCGAGTGGCTCTCCCCGAGGAATTTCCTTTCCCGTGAACTTGGATAGCAGGCGGCGGATGCCTTCGAGGGGCGCATCGTCGTAATTGGATGGGTCGACGGAAAGTAGCTTTATAAGGACGTCGTCTTCCATCCTGCCTGTGCCTGGGTTGCCTACACAATCTGTGAATGTTCCTCCGCGCTGTGATTGTAAGCCTTAAACCAACTGACGCTTGCCATGAGTCGTACGTCTATGGCGATGCGGATGCCCCGCTCACCGATACCTGCTGAGCCCATTTTGAAAGTCGCAAGTGGAAGAGTGCTAAATGAAGAGAATATACGAAGTTTCAAGGTTGATCGTATGGGCGTGTAGCCGAAGAATAGGCAGACAGGCTGTGAGTAATCGTGATGATTACAAAGTGACGCGAGGCTAAAGTGATAGACATCGCACGCGATACGAACAGCTGTAGGGCGCCGGTCGAGTTGAATAGTGGGGTGCTCAATTCGCGGATGGATGCCCCGCCAAAAGCTCCCCGATTCGGAGCTGCGTCATCACCTCGGTTTGTCCCGAACAGGATTAGTAACTCCCGCACCCCCAAAACGGCACCGTGGGTGCTTCCCTGGAGCCAGAAGTGTTGCCTCATACTTTTCAGGTTTCGCAAATATGCATACGGTACACTTGCATTGCCAATATCGGTGGTGCATTGTCGTATTCTGACGCGAACGGCTGCTTCTCATCTGTGCACTTACACAGACGACTTCGTCACAATAATCTTTCAGGGAACGTCAACTCCACTTCTCGCTGCAAGACTTATACCAGCACAATCTCTTTGCTTTCCGCGGACACAGACATGCCGACGAAGCTTGCTTGGCCAACCAAATTGTAAGTGTCACCACCTTTACCATTCTGAGTGAGTGCAGGGGCAACGCGACGTACGAGATAATAATCAGGGCTTCCCTCAAACCTGACCACGGTATCCCCAACCTTTACCCGGTTTGGACAAAGCCCAGCGCTTCCACTTGATGTTACACATATTCGCGAGTGGTTGGTAATGCCCTTCGCCCGTCTGTAAAACCGATATAGATCTCCCGAAGAGATGTCCACACATGAAAGTCCGTGGCCTGCGTCTGGTTCGTCTAGTTGTCCAGCCCATACACTTACGCGACGCATCAGGAAATCGAAGCCATCGCGCAGGGTTTTCTTATCTTTAGGATCGCATAAGTGGGGAGGAGAAAAGGCAGTTGAAACCCTCTCTTTATCAATAAGCAATTCAAACATGGACTCGGTGACCCATTGGAAGGACTCCTCGTCCTTGACCAGAGCGTCGAACAAGAGCAGAAAACCTTTGATGAAGCCATTGTGCCATGCGTCGCGCGCTTCACCGTTGGAAGGTACATCCTCATCGTAATCCAAATCCGAGGTGAATCCCATATCTGACACAGCCTCGATTTGATCAATCATAACGCCACGGATTACCAGTTGATCATCACCGACGAACTTCGTGGTCATATATTGCGTTGACCGGCCACGTCTTGCAATACGCTCTTGTGGTCTCGAACCTTTCTTTGACCAATCCTACGCATGTCAGTGCGGCGTCTCCATATATAACGAACAGGTGGCTAACAAACCGGTACCCAGGAGGGAAGTCCACCAGCGCACGAACTTAACCCCGCTTGGTTCAGAACCTCAAATATTTGACCCTTCTCAATGAACAGCTTCGCAAATCTAGTGAAGGTTCGATTGGGTGTTTCGTCCGGAGCGTAGCTGATGTGATTGAAAAAGTCATAGCCGTCATAAGCTAAGCCCAAGAGACCGTACACCTTGTCTCTTGGATCTGTAGCGTTCAAAAATCTCGCTCCACGCAACTTTTCTATCAGTGTTCCTACCATTTCCGGAGCTCTACCTTGAGACATCATGAGGAATCCATGCCATCCAATGAGAGCTTCACGATGCAGGTCTGCTGGGTCACCATGACAAGAGTAACCAAGATATCCTGCTCCATCAACACCACTGAAAACGCGGACTACGTGTTGCGCTGCGGCGATGGTTGTAAACGACAGGAATTCTGTTCCAGTGCACAGAATAAGATCGTTGGCAAGGCAGAATTCCTGCAGAACCCACATTCGAGTGAAGTACGGCGATGCAAAGAATCGACGCCAGGAACACCACAATGGGCTTTCATAGTGCGGAATCTCTTTTCCATCCTCCAAGAACGTAGACCTAGTTGTATGGTCTATCGTTTCAGTCAACATCCAGGGCGTCTTGATTTGCCCCGCCGCTTCCGAGTCAATGTAGTCGCTGTGAATGTCCAAGGCGGATTTGAAGTTTTGCATGTCTCTATACTTGCGAAAAAGGCGCGAAGACTCCCAAATTTCGGCTTCTGTGGATGCCAGACCCGTCTCATTCTCCTTTTGCTCGAAGAGTTGCCTTCCAGCATCCAATAACAGTGTGCAAAGTTCCACAACTCGGTCTGCATCAACCTTCGCAAGTGGGATGTAACAAAATACTGTTTGTGCCTGCTGGTATACGCGTCTCATCAATCCGATCTGAGCCGCCCTTTCTTGGTGGTTACGCTGATTGATGCAAAGTGCATCAATCCATAAGGGGAGCCCAGCATCTCTGGAACGAAGGGCCTTCAGCATGCGGAACAGGTTCCTTGTTACTGGTACGCGATCGAATCCATTTACCACAACATACTCAGGGTCATTGGGATCGCCCCACACGTAACTGAGCGCCGTGTACCGTTGAAATGGGTTTATAGCCAAAGAGCCACTCGGTGTCTTGTAGAGATCAAGTCGTGAGACAAAATTGCGAAAACCTCCGCCAAGTACACGAGCCCGGGTATTCAAGGCAGTACGGATAGGCGCTCCTGGAACCGTTAATGGATATATGTCATGGTCGGCATCGAGGTCTGCAGGTATCAGCCAGACGTAGATATCGTCGTCCGGCTTGCCCGCTTCGAGTATGAGGATCCGGATTGTTGTTTTGGTGGGCAGCGGCTGATAGCGTGCAAAAGTTATCAGCACCTCCTGCAGAGACATGCTCGAATTCTTGGACATACTAATTGGTAGCAATTATTGGTATCGATGGCACTAGGCGATCGACTTCGTCGCTACACTTGAAGCGTTGATATGGGACTCGATCGATATAAGCTGCGCCGCCAAGGTGGGGGCTGGAACGCCACGTGTATGCCCTCTTTCCAGGCTGCGAAGACTCAATCTACTCGCGACATTCATGCTGACAAACAACGGCCTCCTGTCTCAGAAGTATCCATCGTTGTGCCCTACGACTGTAAGCTATTGAACACCATGGCCACCGAACAATGGATGTCTACGCACTGCCAGCCCTTGGAATCATCATCCACAATACGCCTCGTGGTGTTGGGAGCTGGTTCTGGCACGCAACCTGTCGAATGCATTCTTCTACACGCTGATTGCGACGCCTGGAATGCACAACCTTATGTAGCCTTATCCTACGAGTGGGGGTCCCCTAGCGAAGACGATCCATGGATTTCAGTGAATGGATGTTTAGTCCAGGTGCGAAAGAACTTATGGGATGCTCTTAAGCACATACGACTCGAAGAAGAGGAGCGATACGTTTGGATCGATGCCCTAAGCATTAATCAAGCTGACTCACAGGAAAGAAACCACCAGGTGAAGATAATGAGTGCTATATACAGAAAGGCAAAAAGAGTACTTGTTTGGCTTGGTCTAGCTAAGGATGGGAGCGACGCTGTCATGACGCTTTTCAATGACCCGAGAGAAGTCAAACGAAGAGCTAAAGATCTGATCCCTGCCCACATCGAAGGAATACTCGCTTTAGGCGAGCGCTCATACTGGGGTCGAGCTTGGGTACAACAGGAAATCTACCTTGCAAAGACATACACGATACACTGCGGCACCAAACCCATCGTAGATTCCGGGCTCGATTCCTCCCTTGCCTTTTTATCCGGCGCCGCGGTGAAGGATGACCAATACCATCACCTCGGGAAGATGATCGAAAATTCACGAATGTTTCGGATCATCGTAATGCACCGATTGAAAAGCATCAACTCTCTTGGCTCATTGCTCCTCAGATCAATCAGCCTGAAGCTAGAGTGCTCAGAGCCTCGAGACTTCGTCTATTCAATGCGTGGTATGGACAACGACCTGAAAGAGGACGAACTTGTGCCGGATTATGAGAAGCCTTTAGTCGAGGTGTATTTGGAGACACTTGTCGTCTGTGGGTTCGGCTTTGATGATGCGGCCAGAATAGCTGCAAGACTAGACATATCTCTCGACGCGGAAATGTGGCAGCGCGTTCTGACCTCCGCTCAGCGGCGCAGAAGGTCTTCTTGAAATACGTCCCGAACAGCTAGCCAAACAAAAGCTGTGGCGAGCACCGCAACAAGCATTGCATGACACAATCGCAGGGGAAGTGGCTACATCAGCAATGACTTTCATGGAGTTTGGACTTGTATGGCTGGAAGCTGCACACCTGTTTAGGCAAAGGTTCAAACTGCGGCGGGTCCTACCTAAAGTACCCTTCGATCTGGCGAACGTGCCTGACAGCCAACTTGTTCGTCACTGAGCTCCTCATGTCCATCGCCACTTCCAAGACACCGGCCTACAATCACGAATCGAAGTTTGCAAAAGGACCATCATCCATGAAGACGGCGTCCAAGATCAGGATATAGAATGACAATGAGATGTTATCAAGGAGTGTATAGACCCGAAAACGATAAGTACACGTACATGCCCAAAACTTTTCCTGCTCTTTAATCCTGCAACACCTCAACCTAATTCAAACAAGACTATTCCTACAGTAACCGAATCTCAACCGCCACCGAGACTTGACACGTCCTTTCCGGGTGCAGATGGTCAGATTTCACTTTCCACTCTGGCTGCTGTACGGGGTCCAGTGTCCCTGGTGCGCCTTTTCACCTAGGAAGCTTTGCATGGCGTAACTTTGATTCGAGTTGTTGGAGGGCTGCTTCTGTTCAACGTTCGTCCTACCAGCGACCCTATCGAGACTTACGTTTCCTTGCCCACCGGAAGTCTGGGGCACCTGTGTTGGCGTTGACTGGGGCTGTCTTTGATTGGTTTGCGGCATGGTGGAAGGCGGGTGATAGACGATGCTGTTCGTTTGCCTGTGACTTTTTGATGGAGCGTTTGGCGATGGTGCGTGTTCGTCTGAGTGCCGTTGGAGATGCTATCTCTTATACCAACCGACGGCCTTCGGCTTCAACCTCGACACAGACTCCCGCCCCATGCCATCGTCTCCTGAAGAACGCCTCGACCACATGACTGCATCTCGAAAGCTAAACTCCAGCTATCTTCATTTGCTACTTGTGTCCGAGACAAGACTATGAGTGCCGATGCCCAGAATGGGACTCTTACGACCCCCAGACGACCCCCGCACAGACTGAAGGACCTCTATCTGGTAGCTTCTTGCTGCGACGGCACCGGTGAACGACGCTCTAAAAACACAACGCACTTCCTAAGTTCGGTTTCCGGCCCTGATATCAGGGGTTTGGCCGCCTCTCCGCCATACACCAGCTGAAAGACATACGGGGCGCAGGGTGCCCTGAAGCATTCGTCACCATTTGCAAGAGATCAGGGGGTATGCCTTATCCGCACGAGTGGGCGGCTACAACAGCCTATCGAGAGCACGTTCGCGGCCCGCGACGGTGAGATTACGGGAAGGATGCCGTCGTATACTTACTCCCCAGATTTGGGAGGCTCAAGAAAACGGTCGTCTAACTAGCCTGGATCGTGATAACGTACGCTATCGTTTCGCATTTTTTTCGCCGACATGTGCGATAACCTGCCGGGAGTACATATGCTGTGTGACACGAGAAAGAAGGCAACCGGATCTAGGCGCTTAATCACACAAGACGTGGTTTTATTCGACCACCCTGCAACACCTGTTGCTATCGTCTGCGATAAGCTTACCTTTCGCCACGATGCCATGTGCTCAGCTGGGCCAGTGCAGCTGGAGTAACGTACAAATTCCCGCTCCTAGAACCTCTGACCCACGTGGACCTGGATGCCTGACCCTGGTCGTCAAGCTAACGGGCTCCCGCATCGTTCGCACGGTACCTGACAGATGCTGAACCTATCACGAACGAATCGCACGAAGCGTTTTTGTATAGCCTGAACATCAACGAGCTATGGGCGTGATTGATGCGTCGCACTACGTTAACGTGATACGAAGATTAGAGTGGTTGCCGACGACTGCAATTCACTCGCCCGTATGCTCACGTCTGCACGCGGTAAGTCGTAGCAACTCCTGGAAGTTTCACGCACAATCCCAGCACTTCGCAGTATCGCATCTCAGAACATTAGGCGAATACACATCGATTTCACAGCCCCACCAGATCGTAACTCAATCTCACTTCCACCTGCATCAAGGCTGAGCCCCAACCTTGCGACACCAATGAGCGACGACAAGTTGCTCTGGCGCTTCCATACCAGCCTAAGCCCCAAAATGCTGTAAACATGAAACAATGCCTCGATGGTCTACATTACCGATCCTGCATGCGACTTCTGGTCCAGATGTGGGCCGCATATCCTACGCAGTATCTCGACCCGGTCGTTGTTGACCACTTTCGTCAGCGGCAAATATTGAGGCTCTGCTGACACGCATGAGGGGTAAAAACCCTTGGATTGCTAGGTTACCCTGTCCCCCTTTCCAGCTCTACTGGGCGCCGCATGCAGCACTCTGGCTGGCCACGGACTGGAAACCTTTAACGGCCGAGGTTGCAGCCGTACCACGTTCCCAATTCGACGATTCCCGTAGGAGTTTTGCTACGTTCCTAGCCTCCGACGTAAGTATATGTCAGCTCCACTGGTATCTGCCGTGTCCTCGTTCTTGATGGACCTGGGTGCCAAATGAGTTCGGTGATTGGATCAACGTTTCAATCAGGACATCAGCAGAATTCCGGCTGTCTGGTTCTCGAAGACCTAGCCCAGACCTGTAAGGGAGGCATACAACTTGGTATGACTACCCTTCGTACTTCGGCTTTGGATTTAGAAGTCGGAGTCGGAGGCGAGAGCAACTACACGTGCGTGCCAAGAACCGGTCAACGTTTCATGGTCTGGACCATGCGGCCTACCTGCACAGCCGTACATACGTAGCCATGTATGTCCCCCTGTCCGGAAAGAGTTGCTGCCGGTTTATCTCCAGCGTCTCCAGCGTCTCCAGCTCAATCGGCAGCTATCGATAACAGGACAGTCACCTTGGTCGCCCCCATTTTCAGTACGTGGCGGCCAAACGCCGTCAGCTATCACCGCCTCCACGCTATATCGCAGAATTTGACTCGCAGAAGTTGACTCGCAGAAATTGATTCGTAGAACCTGACTCAACTCATGCTCAAAACCTCTCGGTACATCTAGATCAATTCCCAGAAATATGTTCTATTGGGCCTCCGCAAGCATGGAACACTGCGTTTCCGCCCGCAGTCTGCCTCGTGCGGGAAAGAAGTGACTGCACGCTCGCGCTCATTTCTCTGACCCAAGCTGAAGACCCAATCTAATATGATTACTAGTTAACCTCACATTGGCCGAAGTCAGTATACCAAAGTAAACCCGAGACCTTTCAATCCATGATATCCCAAGACTGGCAAACCGTCGAAAGCATCATCTGGGTGTCGATGCCTAGGGTTCCAGCCGACCCTTGTTCTCCTGGCTCTAGTACTCCGAAATCCCTCCTGGCTTACTTACTTACTTCGGTTAACAACAATTCTTGACCGTTAACCAAACTTCTTCACGTGGGAACACAGCACGTATCTGCCTGGCCGCCCCAACTTCCACTTCCTCTCGACGTGGATAGATGATTGCGTCCGCTCACCGATCGCCTACATGCCGCGCCCCAATCTCGCAAGATTTTCCTAACACAATCGTTTTCGTGCTTTATTGGTGTCGGACTGAGAATGCTGATTGGAATTGCACATGACGAACGAAGACCACCGAAATCCGCCGGAGTCCGCCGCAGGCCAAGTTGTGATCAATTCATGCGAGGTGTCTGGAAAATCTCAATGCTATAACAAAAACAGTCTATACGTCTACCCCAAGACATATATCCTACCTCCGCTAAGAAGGAATAGAAAGCTTGTCCCCATCAACCTTGACATCAGCCGTGTACACAACCCGCTTGTTGATATCCATCGCATCCGTCAAACCGTGGAAAATCACCTTCGTCGCGCTGCCATCACTCACATAACGCTGAAAACTCGCACCCCCTGGCCCAATAAGCTTGCATCCATACTGAGTCCCACTTTTCAGCAACGGCTCGTTGATCCGCGTGTACGGACCGCGCACGTTCTTCGACGTCGCATACTGCACGTCGTAACTCCCGTCCATAGTAATATGCGTGCTGTACATCAAGAAGTAGACGTCCCCGCGCTTGAACAGGTACGGCGCTTCCATGTTGTTTCCGTCGTTGAAACCCTGGCCGTTCACCTTGAGCAGCTTGACAGCATTGCCGGTCCACTGCACGCCTTCTTTCTCCCCGGAGTTGGCGACCTCGCGGATCTCGAGGTAGTTGGCGGGGATCTCGGTCTTGTATACGACGTATTGTTTGCCGTCTGTGTCTTTGAACCACGCGGGGTCGATGACGCCGTTGGAGGTGCGGTTGCACTGGTAGAAATCGTTTACAGGGTGGTAGACGCCGGCGATGGTGTCGCTGATGGCGCCGCCGATGCAGTGTTGGCTGATCTTTAGTTTATCCTGCGCGGCGAAGTACCTGAGATATGATTAGCGATTGTACAAGGAGGGAAAGGTGAATACGCACATTACGTATTTTCCATCTGTTCTTCGCATCACGTCGGGCGCCCAGAGACCGGAGGAGCCGCTCTCCATCTGGCCGGCCCATGTTGCTTCATTAATCGCTAAGATCGGCTTGGACGTGAGTCTCGTCCAGCCCTTCGTGAAGTCGGATGTTTTCGCGCCTTGAAAATCTTTTCCGTTCCCGGTGCCGAATGAATACCAGGTTCCGTCCTCGTTGGTAAGAGCTAAAGTCATGTCAGTGTTGTTCTGTCTCTCCAGGGCACAGACTCCGGCCAACCTACATGGATCAGGAAACGAGGAACCCAAAAAAGGCCCTGCTATGCCTTTACATTGTACATCGCGTTGTGAAGCGAGCGGCGACGCCAGCGCTGAGGCTACGAAGATGGAAGCAAGCGAAAGCAGCATGATGCGGAACGATGACTGGCGAAAAAAGAGACAGGGAAAATTGAACTAGAAGATAAACAGATTGAAAATGTATGTGGTGAACGATGTGCCTCACGTAGGTCATATATCCCTTACATCTAGACGAACGAGTACCTCGTTCAGAGTGACCTCTCCAATGACCGATCTCTCCCTGTCTCATTCAAGGCTTAAAACAAGTTTATTACCGCTTCAGGCGTTCCCCACAAAAAGCTAGTCCCGAAGCACATAATAAAGTGCATCTTGGTAGCTATTTCGGGTAACGCCTAGGTGTATACGAGGCACCGCGTACAAGCGGCTCACCTGAGACTGGGCGTCATCGGACCATTGTTTGGCAGAAAAGCTCCGGAGGCCGTGGAAATAATCCGGACTTTGTACGCCGTGTCGTTGTGCCAAGATGATCCTGGGGCTGAGTTTCAAAACATGGTCGGTCTACTCTGGGCTTAGCGAAGTCATTCAGGATAAGCCCGGGGCGTCTGCAGCAACACTTAAATCGTACCTCAAGAGCCAGGTAAGCAATATCTTCGAGGGTAAAGGTATATATGGAACGCTGGGAGATGTATCATAGTAAGTGGACATCTTCCGGCCTTAGATTGGCTGTACCATATCCTTCTCTTCTTGTGAGCATCTTTTGATCGAATTTCAGCTTACTGAGCCTCCTTGGCTGCTGGCAGAAAGGGAATTCAGACTACTGGCATGGATCTCGTCTTGAAGAGAGACACTTAGGGCTGGAGCAGAAACATATTTGGTATATTAGTATAAATTTCGACCGCTTATATACAGCCCCGCCTGTGTCAGACCCTTCACATTCAATTCTCAACCCTCTTCTTAAAATCCTTTTAATCCTCCTCTTAGACTCTTCGACATCTTCCTTCAAGGCTTCTCCTAAAAATCTTTATTAATTACCTCTTTTACACCTCTTAACATTCCTCTGAGACTCCTTTCAACCCTCCCCTGAGACTCCTTGCAACCCTCCTCTTACACTCCTCTTAGCCATCCTCTTAGATTCTTTCAACACTCCTCGTAGGCTCCTTTCAAACATCCTCTTACACTCCTTTCAACCGTCCTTTTAAACTCCTTTCCACCCTCCTCTTCAGCTCCTTTCAACCCTCCCCTTCAGCTCCTTTCACTCCTCCCTCACTCTTTAGCCTACTCCATACTCCCTACTTACTTTACGCCACACCTCTTCTCCGCGCCACCTTCCCCTACCTATATACATTTAAACATCACTGATATGACCATCGAACATACTACTAGAGCCACACAGCTCCTTTGATCAACAACGATCATCTTCGAGATATTGCCAACGGCATGGCGTTTAGTAAAATTATGATCTTTGTGTCGCGTGTTCGAATTGCACATGTGTTCTTTCCTCGTGTTTTCGTAAGTTCACATAGGCAGCGTGTCAGAGTGAGTTGAGTAGTGGGATGGAAACATCGCGGTGGTAAGCGCGAGAAATGAATGCTGGACCGTGGTCACTCAGGGGATTGGGAGACTGGGTGTTTTGTAAAAGACATCCTGACCATAGAGTATGATTTGAGGTCGGGATAATAAGAGTTCGAGAGTTCGCTCGTCGAGTCTCGCGAGCCCAACTGTGACAAGACAAGAAGAAACCGAATAAACTCAACCTCTGGCGCACGGTATTATGTTGATTATCTTTTGACGAGCAGCTAGCTGGATCTATGCCACGCCACGCTCTACTTCGTCCTCTCGCCGCTATGCACGGCATTCTGTCCCTCGTCCCTCGCCCACCTGTCGCTTCCCGCCACGCCAGGCGTAATGTCATACATCTTCCACCTTTTTCAAATCAGCTCCAAATCCCCACCCGCAACCCACCCCGAACCGCACTCCACCTCACAACCCACACATCCCCCCGCTTCATCTCAAACCGCTTCTCCGTCCCCTCAACTGCCACCTCCCCGACGTCTCTCAGCACGCGCACAAAAACAGCTGCGTCCTCATCCGGCTTGTCCACCATGCTGATACCCCCCGTCGTGTCGTCCAGCCGCTGCAGACTGCTCGGAAACTGCGACAGGAAGGACGACGCGTAGTGTGTAGAGAGGAGCGTCTGGTGGCTCGTGAGGTACTGGTGTTCGGCGGGGGAGAGCAGCGGGTGCATCTCATCCGCGTCCGTATGCAGCGCGAGGATATGCAGCGGGTGCGCGTCGATCTATTCACATTCACAATCAGCATTCTCATCTCCAAATGTAGTCTCCCTCCTATCGTATCTTCCTGACTGACAGCCTGGAGAAGGGGAGGAGGAGAGGGGCCACAACACACCTTCCTCAACCTACTCCTCAAGAAACTCCGAACCAGAAATTTAAACCTCTCCAACTCCGTCTGTATAACGATGAGCTTGAAATTCGTCTTCGGATCCATGGACCCCGTTTGGTCTTCTACGAGCTCGATCTATTCTCCCGTCAGCTTATACACATCCCCTTCAGCAACACTCCCTAGCTCCAGCAACACTCCTCCGTTCCCAATCCAACTCAACACCTCCCTCGGGAGGAAAGCAAAACCTTCCTAACTCACCTGCCGCCGCACCCTCTCCAACACCCTCTCCATCAAACTCCCCGGCCACGCCAACATCTCAGGCGCGACCCTCTCCGCGACCCACGCCCGCGTCAACGCCTGCAAGTCGCGCGTCTCCTGCGGCGTCGTGTCAACCGCGACCTCGGCGAGCAGATCATCGATGTCCATGCTGCGTGAAAAAGATGGTGGGCGCTTTGCGACGCGTCATCAGGCGAGTGTCGTGTCTCAGATCGAACTTGTCGCCGGACGTGGTTCTCAGACACATCTAAGACATTGCGGGAGGTGTGGGGCAGAAGATGGTAGTGGGGTCGGGCGAACATCGAGGGTTGATCGTGCTGCAAGGTTTAGCGCCACGCCAGTGCACGCCTTCTCATTGGCCGGCACGCAACGGTCCTAAACTGGAACATCACATCACTCGAGTCTCGAGTCAAGCATCACGATGTCAAGCGTCACGGAAAGAAGCAAAAACAGCTTGAATATAGCAATTCCATTTTCGGACTGATGAGCAGACAGACTTTCGACCGTCGTCCCTCCTCCACATTACGACGAGGTACCTAAACCGCTCCCTGATATCTCTCTCTGCGCGGCCCAAGATCCTCCTATGTACGCCGACTGTCCTCTACACGCCTCAACCCCTGGCCCGCAGAGCAAAGTAGCAAGCAGAATAAGTACAATGGAGTCGCTGGAGACTCATGAATGAGAACTTCTTGGGAAGAGCCCGAAGTTAGAGAGAAGATGCCGGAAGAAGACCGAGGAACCAAAGAGCGCAACCGATGCTGGGGATGAAATGGTGCGGTGGTGAAGAGTCCAATCTGTGTGCGGAGGAAAATGGTGGTGTAGGAGAGCGTAAAGAGATGCTGAGTCGATGCAGGTGGTGATGGTGTCGAAGGCGCGTAGGCCTGATTGTAATTGTTTCGTGATGGTGGTGCAGATTGTTCTGACAACATAAGAGCAGTGTTTCAGCTCTTTAGGGGGGCATAGAAAGATCCGTGAGGATGGACATGAATAAAACAAAGGAAATTAAGCTCGCGAGGCAACCGTCTTCTGCTGCTCTCTAAGCGTGCTAGAAAACAAAAATGGGTATCCAGCAGTCTCTCGCGAGAAGGTATGTAAAAGCCCGGTCCGGAGAGCCGAGCGGTATGCAATGCAATCGGGTCAGGACGGGTCGGCAGGGTAGACCCAGGGTATGCTACGCACTATCAAAATAGTGGTTGCCGCCCGTCCAATGTCGAAGTCCGAAGCAGCGAGATCAAAGGTTAATCGCTTGAACGCCGCAAGGATGAAGCTGGAATGTATCCAAACGCCAGGCTGGATGTGGAATGCCGCAAGCAATGAATAACGCCATGAACCAATTCGCCGTCAAGTGATTTTAAAATCGTCAAAGAAATCATGGACCGCCCGTCACAGGCTCAGTACGAGGCCATGCGACGAGAGGCACCTAGTCGTCCAGCGTTGAGCATGTCATCACCGAGCGTCATGATACCGCCGCTTCTTGAACGGCCGACACCGGTGGGTGAGTCTTCCATCTGGCATGATTGCTGACCGAAGGCAAAGGTCTGAGCTCGGTTGAGCTTGGAGCGCTGTCGAACCTTGGCCATACCCCGTTCGCACGAGGCCTGGTGCTCTTCAGCGTCCATCTTGACCCAACTCTGTGGGTAGCAGCGGGCACGATGTGAAGCATAAAATTCGCTATAGCCACCATCCAAGATGTACACTTCAGGGTACGATAGTAGAGGATAGCGGTGAGCGTTGATCTTACGATCTTCTTCACGGAGGAAGCGAGCCCTGATGCGAATTAGCGAACGAACGGTGATAGGGGTGCGGTGGACAACTTACATGCGGGGTGCACGGTGGGCGGAATATTCACAGTGTAGTATGAGAAGAGTGTTAGCTGTGTCCGAAGGAGCATCTGAGCCAAAGAGTCGTTCTGATAGCTTTTCTTTTTCACAATAGTTTATCGCTCCATCAATGTGTCCTCCTTTATACTCGTATTCAAAGCGGCAGTCGATGATGTGCTTGTCCTGATAGAGATGGTCATACTCGCCGTTGATGATGCTGACAAGCGTTGAGTCAGAGATACGAGGCAAGCTGTCCGGTTCGTTGGTCTGCAGGGTGTGAGGAAGCTTCAGGCCGGGCGAGTCTTCCACATCCATTACAGATTGCAGACTGCTCGGGGTGTAACTCTCGTTCTCCTGCTTGGCGTTCATGATGTCCCCCGGGTGCTCAAACATGCTGAGCGACCTGCGAATCTTGGACGGCCGTCGAGCAGGGCCTGCGGAAGGTTTCCTGATATTGGAACCAAAGGGCTTAGGGCGCGAGAGACCCATCGCAGGGTTCGACATTGGCCGGCGCTCTGGAGGAGGGGACATGGTGAAGCACTCGTCCAGTGATAGGGTGGAGGTGTTAACACCAGCGCCGAACAAGAAGGCGGGTACCTCTTCCTTACGTGTCTTGAGCGAGACCGTGTTGGTGGAGTAGTTCTTGGTACGAGCGAGACCGGGGCGTAGGAGGAAGGTGGGCTTTCTACGTCTGAAGTGGATCAATACAAACACAACAACAGATATGAACGTAGAACTTACTCATTGGCTGATGTCGGACGCGGCGCCTCTATCTCGGGGGCAGCAAATGGCAACTGCGACGGGGTGGGTAGCTCGCAGGGTGAGAGCATATCGTCGTCAGTGGACGGTGTTGTCTCTGGGGTGGGAGAAGCCAAGGGCAGGGGATGCTCGTTGGACAGAAAGCTGAAGGGAGCCTTGTGGGGGAGAGGCGAGATGTCCATTGAGTCGGGTACGCAACAGGGCGACGACGAAGGAATCGGCGGAGTCGTGACGCCTTCCCACCGTACGGGCGGGGTCGTAGTTCCTTCTGTTCGGGCTCAGTATCAGCAACCCAATTCTGGCTCAATGCAGGCGGAGGCGGCTTACCCCGATTCTCCAGCTGCTGGAACAGGCTGGAGGTGAATAGAGACCTGCGAGGTGTGGCGAGCTGGGGACTAGAAGACTATCAGCTTTGAGACAGGGTTGCAACGCGAGGGATGCCGCTACCTCTGGTCCATATGCAGGTTAGAGGACATATCAGCGGCGAGACTCGCAGTCGGCGAAGACCCCCTCATGGGCTGCATAGTAAAGTAGTCACCGCCACCAGACTTCTTCATGCTCAAGTCCCGGAAGTTGAAGTTCTTGGGTCCCATGGTATGTGATGCAAACAACGGCTTCGAGGGAGGGAGATCGCGTCTGTAGCCCCATGGGCCAGGTAACGGCGGCGGGTGCATGGCTGCGAGCGGCGAAGACATCTCCATGGCTGCTCTATTTGACTCGGGGCGCGGTTCGAGGTGGGTGGTTCGGGCGTTGCTGGGACAAACGAGGGTGGCTCCGAGTGCTTTGTTCGCGACTTGGAGGCGGAATTTGGCGAATGAGCAGGGCTTGCGGTAAGCATACAATTAAAGACGAGAAAGCTAATTCTAATCTGAAGATGTATGCTTTGTATAGGACTCGCGGTGGAAATGCCGTGTGGCTAGCGTCTCGCAGCTAGTTGCATGGATCGCAGGCGTGGTCGGTAGGGTTCGAGGGAGCACTAGATGGTAGCAACTGCCCGATGAATCCAGAGAACGACCAACGTCCCAGCCAGCAACTGCTTTAAGAGAGAGGGAGAGAGTGCCTTCTTGGGGACAAAGAAGGTTGGAGAGGAAGAGGCTCCGAGGGTGGAGAGGGTATAGTCAGCCAGGAGGACGGCCTGCCCCAGCAACCATGCAGGCCAGCATCTGAGGTTTAGGGCTGGGTCCGTGAGCTTAGGCGCTGCACACACCTCCCCACCCTGCCAATGGCCAACGCCCGGCGCGCTGCAGCGGGAGAGGAACAGGCAAGCTGCGTCGTCTGCCGGCGAATGTGCTTGCTGGCCGTCTGGATCTGCGTGCGCAATTGGCGCTGCAGCTGCACGTAGAGTGTATCCAAAGCGACTCAATCACAGCAGGCGGATTCGCACTCGTCTGCAGCTAGAGAGACCCGCTGCCGTTCAACAGCTGTTCGCAGCGTGCGTATGTACCGTACATTCGCCCGCGCTGGGCCGATTGGCACCTCGTCTGGCATTACGGTCTGACACTCGACGTCGCAGTGGGCGGAGCTGCGCAATGCTCCTGCCGTGAGCCAGCGTGCTCGCCGTGTTGCCAGAGCAAGCAGGCACGGATCACCCGCGAAGTAGGCATGTGCCTGCAGCGCTATGAAACGTCGACCTCGCGGGCTGGCTAAACGCAGCTCCGAGCAGATTCTGGCAGAGCCGTCGTACAAGGTACCGTCTCCCAGGGAGACCGCCAGCGCCCGCCGTACCGCCTGCTGAGCCAGCGCTCCACCACGACCGCGAACGTCGCCGCGGCTCGCACGCGCGGGGCGTCGCAGTTCGCGTGCAAGAACGATCCTCGATCGCGCCCATTTGCCGTTCTTTCAGCTCGCCATCTGTCGTCATATCTCGCTTGGCGGGCTGGAGCAAGGCATCGGCCTCGAGGCCACCTGTGACTGCGCACTGCGGTTGGCCAGGGCGGGCAGACATGCAACAGCGACAATCGCGCCCTCTAGCCCCAATCGGACCGCCACCCAGCTCGGCGCTCTGGTTCCGTGCAGCCCTGCAAACAATGGCGCCGTACGCGGCCCGTGAACATCCATCGTTCCTTGATCTCCCAGCCCGTAGTCCGCAAGGGGACGGCATAACTCCCTAGAGCGAGCTCTAACGCACGCTTGAGCTCGTTGTGGATCGAACGACTGCTTGCGAATTCTCGATCTCAAGATCTCCCACGTCATATCCAATAGGGCCTCGAAGGAGCTTCCCAGTTCGCTACAAAGCCTGCCCGGTTTGCTCGATTCGCTGTCCGATTTCCCTTTGCGAATGCCAACTTTGCGCGTCTGTTGTTTGTTGTTGCGCAATTCGGCGCTGCCGGGGGTCGCGTGAGAAGTGAGCGACGAGGCGGGCTGAAAACGAGTCGAGAACGCGGCGGTTCCTTTCGCAGGATGAGAACCACAAACATCGCTCACGACGTGCACAAACCCTTCATAAAACCCGTCGCTTTGTTCCCGACCCCACAACAACGCCGGCTGCCCCTCACAAGAGGTCCGACCGCCCGCCGGCAGCTGTCCGGCGCCTGTTTGTTGGCCTGTCGCGTGAGGGCTGACCCTCGTGGACCGGTCAACGCGCCTGTAAACAAACCTCCGAAACAGTAAAATGCGCGGTCCCGTGACTCTTTAATTAGCCAAGCCTCAGAGCCGCAAGGGAAGAATCCTACCCCAGACCCGCTTGAGCAAGGCGTTCGGGTTTCAAGACCCTGAACGATGCAGGTGACAGTTTCTAGCCCTGTACAAACACACCACACCATTTGCTGATGCTGGCGTGGCCGGAGCGCCTCAGCTTCAATGATTCAATTGTGCAGACTCGACTCGAGCTCATAAAGCAAGCTCTGATCACATCCGGTCAACGAGGTGGATAACTACTGACTTCGCAACATGGCCGTGCAGCCTCTAAGAGCTCCATCCGTCTCCATCAGTCTCCATCAATATCGACGGCGATTTGCGTTGACGAAGCTGCGCTGGTCTTTCGACGTCACCGTTTCAGCGCCTACGCGGTAAGACGGCTAAGTAATCCTCGACTCCTCAGGGTTTCAGCTAGCCCGGCGCGCGGGGACGCTGTGAGCGCCGTTGAAAGGAATTGACACGCTTAAGAATAGCAGTGCCTAGTCCGCCCGAAGCTCTGGAATTGTGCATCGAGCGTAACATGTGGGGTAGTGTGGATAAAGTGCATTGATGCGCAAACGCAAGAGTCAAGCGGATCTACTCCGCCAGTAAAAACTTTGATGAAGAAAATTTGGGTGATGTAATGTCCGTTGTCGATAAAGAAAAGGAGAGTCCAATTCCAAGTTCGCGAGAGCTTTGGTGTTGAGGTTGGGGACCGCGCCAAGCCCCCTTACATAAGCTCTTATCGATAGTGATTTCTGAACTTTTTCCCATCTCTGCCTCAATCATGCCCTTGCGAAGGGTTCAATTGCAGCTAACCCGACACAATGGGCAGGAAGGCGGCGAAATCTGGGAGCGCGCCGCAAGGCCAAAAGAGACCGCACGAAGATGTCGAAGGAGCGAGCCTGGAGAAACCGGTCAAACGCAAGCGCCAGGCCAATGATCTCAGCATGGTCGAGCTCTACAATGATCTTTCTGCAGAATCAGAAGATATCCGACTGGAAGCAGCAAAGCAGCTGATCCTGAAGTTCTCTCCCGAAAACAGCCCGTCTGCACCAAATGTGTTGAATGCTCTGAATCGACTCATTCAAGGCCTGTGCACCCACCGAAAAGCTGCCCGATTCGGTTTCTGCGTTACTCTCACTGAACTTCTGCGTCTGATCTTTGCGCCATCGGGAGCTTCTATTGAGGGTTTGGATCTTGATGTAGTCGCCCTATTGAAAAAGGTGGAGAAACAGACCAAAACTGAGGGAAATGTATCTGGACTGGTAAGGAAGGCGTATACATGTCGGAATTGAGCTGACACAGGACCTCAGGAGCGAAGAAACCACTTGATCGGAAAGCTGTTTGCATACAAGGCCATATTGCAATCCTCCATTCTGATCGAGCCAAAGCTGGCCACGAATAGCTGGAACGAGCTATTGGATTTGATCTATGGAATGGCTAGAGACACGCCCTGGCTTCGCGAAGAATGTGCGTTGGTTCTAGTCCAGACAATCGAGACTTTACCGAACGAGGCAAAACTTGAGCCATGTGTGCAAGCTCTAAGCGAACGTCTCGTTTCTTTCAAACTGGCAGACACACCAGAGGGCATCGCAATATGGCTTGCATTGCAGGAACAGCATGCATCATCGCTTCCGACCAATGTGTGGCACGACAATGACCCTCTCTCCATGAAGAACCGACCCAAGCTCGCAAAGGTGCTGAAAGGAGACCTCCAGAGCTCCCTGAGTAGCAATGAACCGGACGCAGTCAAATCCGCAGCGACCAATGCTAATCCGCAGTTTGCATGGAACACGCTTCTGTCGAAGGTCCTTCAGCTGGACAGCGAGTCTAAAGCAGCCCGAACAGATGCCAGCAAATCTCAGTTCGGACAGCTGTGGCTCAGCATTGTCGATGGTGAGCTGCTCATCAATTCTACAATGATAATTGCTGACCGTACTAGCGCAACTGTTTGGGTCATCTTCCTCGCACGAACGCAAATCTTGGGGCTTCAAACTGTTCGCGCAGTTGGTTATCCAAATCCCTGATTGGGCGCTCTCAGCCTTGTTCAGTCCCAATTTCATGCGGACCCTACGGAATCAGACCTCGAAAGATGATAGGTTCCTCCACGCAGCAGCCTTGAACGCTTGGAAAGCGATTGCGAGAAGGGCTCAGCAAACTCCCGAATCTTCACTGTCCCCTCGTTGTTGAACTAACGTCTAAGAACGGGACTGCGGATTTCGAACATTCGTCCAAGGCGGAGACACTGGAAAAGATCGCCCTTGCAGCCGACGACCATGGGCTAAGGAAGATTGTCCGCCACTTGCACTCGCAACTCATCCGGCCAGAAACCACGGAACAGAATGTAGCTGATCACCGACGTCAGACTATCGCTGATCTGCTTCTGAACATCGTCAAACACTACACACGCTATGACGAACTGGTAGCAGAGTTCACGGAGAAGGACAACTGGCTGCGTAACACACTGGATCTGCTTGTCGAACACGCTTATTTCACCCCGAGCCAGAGCGCGAAGGCGCGCAAAGTACCGTCACCAGCAATCAGCGATTCAAGCCGAGCTATTTTCCAGGAGCGGCTGTCTTCATGTCTAACGCGGTTGCGTCCTGTGGCTGCCGGAACACAAACGTCTTTTGGCGTTATTGTGGTCGACATGGTTCGGTCTAAGGCAAGCAGTCAGTCTTTCGAGCCGATATTCAAGGCCGACGAGTCTGTCCAAGAAACTTTAGAAAAGGCTTACGAGACCTTTGACATTGTTAAAACTACTGTAAGCATTTCCACGACGAACGTATGCTGGTACTCGATCTGACATTTGTCACAGGGCTCTACAGACGGCAAGGCATCGGTCTTCCAGGGCCTCGCTCTATTGTATGCATTCACGTTCATTCAGATCTTCAACGGTGACACAGATGCCATCATGCTGCTGCACGACTTGGACGCATCTTACAAGGCAATCTCAAGCCCTAAAAAAGGAGCGTCAAGCGAAGGTCAAGATGGGTTCATTGAGATACTGCTCTCTTTCTTGGGCAACACCCGCACCCTGTTCCATAAGATCGCGACCGAGGCCTTCACAGCGTTTGCCTCTGAAATCAGCCTCGAAGGATTGAGGTCGATGACAGACATCCTTGACACGGAGGAGACGCTTGAGGGTCAAAAGCAACTCTTCTCTCAGGCCGATGAGGAAGCGGAGGAGGCGGAGTCGGACGACGACGAGGATATGGAGGATGCGTCGGACGTCGAGATGGTTAGCGGTGATGCCGAGGAAGACGCCGGGAGCGACTCGGATGACTCAGACGATTCAGATGACGACTCTGAAGACGAGGACGAGGACGATGACGACGAACTTACGCAATTTAACAACAAGCTCGCCTTAACTCTGCAAACATCGGGGCTTGCCGCGAACGATGAGGAAGATTCGGACGATTCGGATATGGACGACGATCAGATGATGGCCTTGGACCCTCATCTCTCGAACATCTTCAAGCAACGCAGCCAGATCACAGGAAAGAAACAACGGGACGAAGCCAAACAGAACATGATTCGGTTCAAGTCCCGTGTGCTGGATCTTCTAGCGGTGTTCCTCGACAAGCAGTTCTCCAACCCCCTCAGTCTGGAAGTTTTGCTACCAGTATTGCGTCTCACCCGAGCATCAGCAAACAAGCAATTTTCGGACCGGAGCGCGAAGCTATTGCAGTCAATATTCGCCAAGAGCAACACGCCACTCCCTCAACTCGATGATGCAGAGCCTGCATGGGAGATACTGAGAGCTGTTCACGAAGAAGCTAAACAGGGCGGCGGTTCAATTGCGCACGGTGGCGCATGTAGCGCGGCCAGCTTGCACATCGTTCGGACTCTGGTCAACGCTGACCCGGACAACTATGCAAAGGTTGTGGATGTGTATGCCGAGAGCCAGAAGAACTGGTTCATGGATACCAAGTCAGAGGTCCGGGATAGCATGTTCTCGCAGTTCTTGAACTGGTCTTCCCGGTTTAGGTCGGCGATAAAAGCGGAGGCGGAGTAAGAAAGGGAGCATAGGTTTGACAAGCCTCTTGTGTTCATAGCTCGATACCCAGAGTGCGTCAAGAATAGCCTTGGCCAAATAGAGCCGCTTTTTGACCTTGTCTGTCGCAACAGTCCATGCGTAATTGAATGATCTTGAAAGACAGTAATCGAGGCCTTATTCACCGAACCAGGTCGATAAAAGCTCAACATCTCGATCTAGATAATGCAGATTTCTTTCATGACTTATGAGTACATTTGTATGTGCCTCGGTGCCTCGTTAGTGCTCGCCTGAACTTTGCCCCAGTTGCCCCACCAAAGTTTTGGTAGCCTAGCTCCGTCATCCCGCATTAACAAACAGTGCGGCGTTCCGGTCACCTTCCACACTACACGCTCTATACCTCACTTAACCCCTCCAACTATTGTCTCTTGATACCTCCGTAATACATACAGGCGTGCAGCAGCTCAGATGGCTTGCACGCACGTCAACGCGGCTGGTGAGTGCCCCGCATCAGCTGCTTTCGTTCCAAGAACGCGTTTGAAAGCTAACGAGACGCAGAGCTGCGCGCTCCCGGCCTGAGCCAGTCTGTCTATCGTGAAGACTGCACGCAGTGCTTCGACTCTATTGTACGCTCTTCCTGAAGCTCCCGTGCTGCCCTTAGGGACTGATTAGAACTCAGGAAGACCCCAGCGGTCTTGATGTGTGCCTCTTCTGCTTCAACGGCGGCTGCACGGGCGAGCGAGACCATTCTTCCCTTCACGTCGCGAAGACAAATCACCCTCTCGTCCTAAATATTAAGCGCACGCGCAAACATGTGAAACGCGACGAGCCTCCGCAGAAGATCTCCAAGCTTGCCATCGCCGCCGAGACCGAGGCCGACCGATACGACACGACTACCCACGTGAAGTGCTACGCTTGCGGCATCGATGACGTGGATAAGAGCTCAGGGAAGCTGTCAGAGGTTGTGGATGCAGTGTTGAAGGCCAATACATTTGCGAGGCAAGAGGAGGTCAAGGCATGGGAGCAGGAGCTGACAGCGTGCGAGCATACACTTTGCCTAGAGCAGGATGCGGCGCGCCAGATAGAGTCCCAGGGCTTGGGTCAGTGCTCTTCGTGCGAATTGAAGGAGAACCTGTGGCTCTGCTTGTCCTGTGGTAACCTCGGCTGTGGGCGTCAGCAGTTCGGCGGTATTGGTGGCAACTCCCACGGAGTGGCTCATACGAAATCTTCAGGCCACCCGGTAGCTGTCAAGCTTGGCTCTTTGACTGCTGACGGAACTGCCGACATCTACTGCTACTCATGCGACGAGGAGCGAGTCGACCCAGAGCTACCCAATCATTTGGCACATTGGGGCATCAACATCAAGGACAGAATTAAGACAGAGAAGAGCTTGACCGAGATGCAGGTGGAGCAGAATCTCCTATGGGAATTCTCTATGACCACCGAAGACGGTAAAGAGCTGAAGCCATTGTTTGGGCCCAACTTCACCGGCCTGAAGAACCTCGGAAACAGCTGCTATTTGAACAGTACTCTGCAGGCTTTGTTCGCCATGCCAGAATTTGCGGACCGTTACTATCTACCGGATCGTCCTCCCCCAGATACCCCTCAGCCGGCCGAAGACTTGGAGACTCAGCTACGGAAGGTCGCAGACGGCTTATTGTCAGGTCGCTATTCCAAGCCTGATAGCGATGTCATCGTGTCGGAGAATACTCCAGAAGTTCCTCACCAGAAGGGACTTGCTCCTGCCATGCTGAAGCATCTGATTGGACGTGGCCATGAGGAATTCTCCACTATGCGGCAGCAGGATGCTTTCGAATTACTACTACATCTTCTGAAGCTCGTTTCAAGGTCACAGCATGTGGCACCAGCCCAGGACCCGGTTGATGCTTTCAGGTTCGTCATGGAGCAGCGATTACAGTGTCTCAACTGCAAGAGGGTTAGGTATCGGGATGACGAGCAGGAGAACATCTCAATTCCTGTTCCCATACGAAGGCTACCAAAAGGCGACTCAATGGAAGTGACAGATAGCCAAGGCAAGGATAAACCCAAGGAGGAGTTTGAGCCGGTCACGCTGAAAGAGTGCTTGGACATTTTCACGGCGGATGAGATGGTCGAGCTCACTTGCGACTACTGCGGTAGCAAGGCAGGTTTCTCCAAGAAGAGCATGTTCAAGACTTTCCCTACGGTATTGGCAGTGAACGCACGCCGCTTCGAGATAGTCAATTGGGTGCCTACCAAGCAAGATGTACCGGTCATTGTCAACGATGCGCCATTCTCGTTCGGCCCGTATAAGTCAAAGGGCCTTCAGCCGAACGAGGAGCTACTTCCTGAAGATGCCGACACAGGCAGTGCTTCCAACAAATGGATTCCGAACGAAGGGGCACTGTCCATGCTTGAGGCCATGGGCTTCCCTCGAGTTAGGTGCGAAAAGGCTTTGCATGCAACTGGGAACGCAGACCCGGAAGCTGCATCCAATTGGCTGTTTGCGCACATGGAGGATCCTGACATCGACACTCCGGTAGACTTCAACGCAGGCAGTGGCTCCGGCGGCGGTGCCTCAACCGCTGTGGACCCGGAGAAGATTGAGAATCTCGGTGCGATGGGCTTCAGCGCCCCCCAGGCACGGCAGGCACTCAAAGAGACTGGAGGCGATATGGAGCGAGCTGTAGATTGGCTATTCAGCCATCCAGATGCTCAAGGGGACTTCGACGAGGGTGGCAGCTCGGAGGTATGTGCTTGGTCCGAGAAGACCGAATACGCCGAAGTCGGCTGCAGGCAACTAACGGGAATTTACAGGAACCAGCCGCCGCGAAGGAGAAGACATTGGCGGGAAGCGAGAAGTTGCCGGCCAATTTCCAGCTGCAGTCGATTGTCTGTCACAAGGGCAGCTCCATTCACGCCGGGTGAGACCTCCTATCTAAGAAATTTATGGCGTCCACTAATCATGCCACAGGCACTACGTCGCTTTCGTGCGCAAGGAAATTCCCGACGAGCAGTCTGCTGCTTGGGTGCTCTTCAACGACGAGAAGGTGGCCAAGGCAGCAGATGTGGAGGAGATGAAGAAGTTTGCCTATGTGTATTTCTTTAGGCGTTTGTAAGCGGTGGGTCTGGGTCTATCGGGGAGCATTAGCATTGCGGGTGGCGCTAGAGAGACGGCGGGAATGTCTCGTATTCTTCCCACGACATGTTCAATTCGGAGCGGGCGTAAACAGCATCACGAGAAGCATAACGATATCTAGATACGACGGTCGGGAGGGCGACCGATAAATGGATAGGATGATCAGATAAGATAAGTTGCGGACATGTTGGTGAACGATCGGAGATAAGACGCCTCGAGCGAGTGCACGGGCCCACAACCCCACGCCGAACGCTCGGCCCATGACGGCGTTTTCTTCGCATCGCCGTCACTGACCTCGCCTTCGCATCTTTCGTACGTCAACCCTCCCATACCACCACCACGAGATTGACCGCCATCACCACACACCTCCAAAACACCTCGATATCCCTCACACAACATCAGCAATGTTCAGAAGAGTCGCAGCAGTCGTGCCGCAGGTCGGCCGGGTCGTCGCAAGCAATGCCCGCCCGATGATCGCTTCTCCGGTCCGCTCAGCATCTGCACCCGCCACAGTAGCCGTCAACTCGAGGCGGCAGTACCACGAGAAAGATAAGTCACCCTTTACGCGTGCTCTTTTTCCCATGGTGTTCTATCGCATGAATGTGCACTTCGGATGCGTAGCCGAACATCTCGGAGGTTCCGCGGAAAATCGTCATAGAGCGCCCAGCTAACCTCCTCTTACTGCTAGATCACTACAACAAGCCGCGAAATGTCGGTTCCATGTCCAAGACCGACACAGACGTTGGCACCGGGCTCGTCGGCGCACCCGCTTGCGGCGACGTGATGAAGCTGCAGATCCGCGTCGACCCCGACAACAACACCATCAGTGACGTCAAGTTCAAGACCTTCGGCTGCGGAAGCGCGATCGCGAGCTCGAGCTACCTGACCGAGCTGGTGCGCGGGATGACGCTCGAGGACGCTGCCAAGATCCGGAATACTGAGATTGCGAAGGAGCTGTGCTTGCCGCCTGTGAAGCGTGAGTATTGTCCTATTTCCCGAAAGTGTGTGAGGAAGGGTTGCTGATTGATTGATTGATTGATTGAATGTAGTGCACTGCTCCATGCTCGCCGAAGACGCCATCAAGTCCGCCATCTCAAACTACTACACCAAGAACCCTGCTGCACGGAAAACCGATCTCGGCGGCACCGGCGCCGCGATGCCGAAGATCGAGGTAGAGACCATCACAGAGCCCAAGGCGGCGACCGCGTAATTAAACTCAATGAGATACGAAATTGAGAACGGGGTAAAATATAAAAACGAAAAGGAGTAGAGGAGTAGAGGGGATGCAGATGAAGCAATGACGGCGATGCGATGAGATGTGTATACTAGTGCCTTCTTCGAGGTTTGCCTACGACAGGCATCAGGACCTTCGCTTTTTCATTTCCGAACTTGACACTGGATGCGGGGCCGGAGGCGTTGAGGTGCCTTGCAGCTTTCTGCTGAGTGCGTGCGTGCGTCTTCAGAATGCGTGAGTGGGCACGCTGCACCGTCGTACCTACCTATCAAATCAAATCTTTATAGCGAAATAAAGCACATGAAAGTCCAAATATCTCTTTCATTCTATACTGTGCGTGGTACTCGACGTGATGCACACCATGCAACAGGTGCTCAATTCAATTGACGAACCATCGAACTTATTTTTATGAAAAGATGGAAATCCCAAGTTCGAAGAGTAAAGGAGAGGAAGAGTGAGCCTGCTATCTATATGCCGACTGCCCTTGCGCATGCCGCCTCGTTCCCGGAAGTGCGTGGGTGCGGTGCGTCGTGCGTGAGCTGAGGAACACGCCACTTTTGGAACATCGTATCTGAGTAGGGCCGGCCCGCGAGCGTGTAGAGCAGGGGGAGGATCTGATAATTTAAGACGCTGGCTTCACATATGTGTGTAGCGATATCGCATGCGCGAGAAGGAAAGATGTTTGAGAGAGTAGAAATGTATGATTGAAGTGAATTAATTGGATTGGTTTGAATGGGCGGGTGTGTGCTGGGTGGTAGGTATGCTGGGGCGTGCCGAGCTTGAAGTTTTTATCTGGTGGTAGGATGGGAGGGATCGGAGAGGAGAGTGCGCGAGGTGTGTTGGGTAAGGGAGGTTGCGCATAGGTGGTGATAGGGGCGGGGGGGAGTTCTCGCAAGTACAAGAGCGGATGCTGGGGTGTGTGGCACTACTTGTAAGCGTCACGGAGAGTTTTCGATGCTACTTACTGGGATCAAGAGTTCTAGACATTTTAAAATGAAGTTGGTGGGTAATAGCTAGGAATTAAAGTCACAAGTACCTAGGTAGTGTTGTAGAATACGCGTGTGTTGGCCGAGTTGCATGTCAGATACAGACGCGAATTACACCTTTTTCAGGTCCATGTTGAAAGCTCAAGTGTTTATAGAAAGAGCAATTCAGCCCTACAGAGTACGTCGCGTTACATCACGACACGAAGATGCAGCGTCCATAGACCAGTGGGTGCGGCTATTCTCAAATGTTGCGGACTCGCTCGAGGCTTTGGATTATTCTTCGTGCGCGTCTGCACGCCCCGGTTATATCAACGCTTATAGTCGAACAAATCGAATGCATACTTATGATCTTGTTGATTATGATTTGAGTACTGTTCTAGATCGAGCAGTTGAGATGATCCCTTTTTTAGAAGCCGCACCTTAATACGCAGCATCACTACTGAGTATAAATGAGACTGACCTAGAAGGACTCCGACTTATTATCTACACTAAGACAACGAGTACTTCGGCGTTATGCATTTGAGTTGTTAGAGAGGACAGAACCTATTAAGGCACATAAATTGCGCGCTTGGTATTTGAGAGACTACACCCACATGAGGGCTTCTTGGTGAATACACTTCGAGTTTTGAGTGAGGGGACCGAAGATCTCTCTTTGGAAGAGGAAGGGAAGGTCAGGATGAGGACAAATGCCTTTCGAGGCCATGGGATCTATTGATAAGCCTCAAAGCTTTTCTTTTCCCGCGCCAGGGCGCACCCATAATCCTTCTGCTGTAGCGTAAACGCTGCCTCCCTCGCCTTCGACGATGCCGTACGCCCAAACCTTTCTTCCTCCGTCCTCAATCTTCGTGACCCAGGATCTTACCATCACCGTCCCCGGAGCCTCTACGGGCTTCTTGTAAGTGATGTTCAGTTGTGCGGTAAACATAGCGAACGTTTCACGAGAGTCATGCAGGAGTAGACCTACACAGCCTCCCATGCTGCTGTCAAGGACACATCCAATGACACCACCATGAAGAAGTCCCGGGTGAGCATTCAGATCGCCGCCAAAGGTGTAGAAGCGTCTCATTTCCGCTCGCTGCAACCCAGTATGAGGTGGAGCTGTATCAGAGTGAGGAGAGGATGGACGCCAGAAAGAAAGCAGTTCTTTGATGGTGGCGTCGGTGTTCCAGGTTTTGCCGGTGAGCGTGTGGCCAACCCCATCGTGCGTTACCGTGCGAAAATGAGGGTCGATACGAAAGGCAGCATCATTGAGAGTACTGTGTGTCCAGGATATGGCAGAGAAATGGTCTAGTGTTGATTGAGAGACACCGGGAGGCAGATCCCGCTGGGAAGTCGCCATTGCAGCAAGTCAGATTGAGATCTCAAGTAGGGTGCGCCACAATGCTATGGAAGGGGGCGTCTGTGATTACGTTCTTCCGTTATGATTTTTGTCTGTTTGAACATGGTGTCGAGATTACTGCTGACGGTCTGTCCAGTCGGGAATTGCAATAGCCGAGGTGCATGGCGTTCACCTCTGCCTTTACGTCCTAGCACCTGTCTGGACTTCTTCGGTAGCAGGCTGGCTGCATGCTCAATAACGAGGTGGCTGAGAGGAACACAAGAACAATAGAAGAAAAGTGGGTCGCTCTTTCACGTCGCTTGACGGGTGGGAGGCCGCACGTGACACCCTGCTAGCGTGTTTTGACGCGTCGAGCTTAAGCTCCACTTCCGCTCCAACGACCACTCATTTCGACAACACCTTTGCTTGTGATCGCTCATAAAAAGATACATAATGTACGCAAAACGCGGCCGAGGTGGTTTTCGAGCCGCGGGTAGTTCCAAGAATACATTCAGCAAGAAGCGCTCTTCACCAGAAAACGACGAACCAGCTCCTGCATCAAAGAAGGCGAAGGGTGACGCAGAAGATGAGCCACTTGTTCCGCAGCTTGACACCGACGACGACAAAAACCCTTTTGTTGCGGTCAGTACTACTCTTCTCACCATGTATGCGGAGGAAGGCACATCAGACTGACAATGAACAGCTCAAAGCGAACGGCACCCGACGCGTCACCGTTAGCGATTTCAAGGGCCAGACATTAGTCAGCATTCGAGAATACTACAAGGACAAGGACAGTGGCGAGATGAAACCAGGGAAGAAGGTACGCTTATTGCAACAATATCTACAAAGAAAGCTAATCATTGGCCTATAGGGCATCTCGTTACCTATCGACCAGTACAACGCGTTCCTTGCCGCAGCACCGCTTCTCGAATCCGTTCTCACCGAGAAAGAAGAGAAGGTCGTTCGACCTAACTACGACGGTGAGGCTCCACAACCTGCTGAGGCCGAGGAGGGGGGTGACGAACAGGAAGGTGGCGCAGGAGGCGAGGACGAAGACGAAGAAGACGAGGAGTAGGACTCCAATATCAAAAGGTCTTTGAAACAATACCAATGGGCTGGGCTTTAGACCGTCCGGTCCCGGTTGAGATTTCGGCATTTGGTCCGGACACACCTCGTCATGCACGAAATGACCTCGGAGCTGGCTATTTTACGGATTTATCAAATCTGTACCGGATATTGAGGAACACAGCGCAACTCAGGTGCGCTGTCGTGCTGTAGAGGAAGTCAGCATGAGGAGAAGTGTGTAATAGTGGCGCGAGTGGCACGCAAAACGCCCTATAGCTCGAATGGCCATCATCGGACGGTCGATTCACTATATCTGTATAATACTGCTATTATACTTCGGAGCGCATCACTTTTCTGGTATGGCTTGTGCACTCAACTAGAGAAATAGGTATTGACAGATTGAAATAGCGCATCCATTCGCCCACCCGTCTACAACCAAGCCACCAATCAGAAATGAATAGACAAAAAAGAATAGAAACTGTGCGTTAGGCACAAGTGAATACCTATCGCTACGGCAGATGCAAGATAAGGATATATACAAAGAAAAGGACACCCCGACGGGGGAAGAAGCCCAATCAAGAAGCCATGTTAGACTTCTTATGCGGTCGCACCGGTGAGGGTAAGCGTGTAGTCAAGGCCCTTGCTAACGGTGCTTGGGATATTAAAGGCATCATGCACAATCAGTGCAGGCGTGTTCGCGACGACCACCATCGCCTCCTCGCTGCTCGACACGGAAGCTGATGCCGAACCGCTCGCAAAATCGACGTACCTCGTCACACCCGTGCTAGTGTTGCGAATCGACAACGTCGCTGTATACGAGCCGCTGGTCGTGATCTTCGCCGTCACGGTGACAGTGCCGGATTTCTTCAGCGGGACAATGTTCGCGCCCATGTATCGAGGCTGGCGCGCGCTCTTGACCTTGTACACACCGCTGCCTTGGGAATCCAGGTTGGCGTAGTTGAGCGAGTTTCGTTGAGCAAGGAAGACAGATTGCGCGGTTGGGTGGCCGATGTCAGCGAAGGCCATGCGGGCCCAGTAGCGCCCGACGACTTGCTGGATCGTACCGCTCTTTAAGAGGCGAGCATACGTGTGCAGTGGTGTCTCGTTGCTGTTCTTGCTATACTGGGCGAAACCCTGGTATACAGTGCTTTGCCCCAGGCCAGAGAAGTTGTCCGGGTTGTATGTTAGGTAAGACAGGAAGGGCCACTGCTCGTAGTAGTTGGCGGTGCCATCGACGAGGACGAGGTATGAGTTTCCAATGATTGTGTTGAGGTCGATCTCCGTGGCGCTTGTAGACTGCCCATATTTCGAACGTGCAGTCGCACAGAGCGGCGACGTCTTGTAGGTATCTGCGACCCAGTTCGCGACAGTCTCCCACCAGGCTCCAGTGTTTCCTTGGTCTACCCATGTCTTCGCGGCGTAGGTCAGCCCGTGGCCGTACTCGTGAACAGTGACGCCGGGAACGGTGAGGTACGTGTCGACGACTTCAAGCCATGACATGCCGGCATCGGAATGCATGACACCAGCTGCATTGCCGCTCAGTGAGCTGACGGAGTAGACATTGACTTTTTTGTATGGGCCGGCATCAGAGGCGTCATTGAAAGACAACCCAGAGGAACGCCATGCCAATGTGTCGACAAAGCAGGAATAGGCTGCCTCGAGCATATTAACAGTATTGGTGCCTGTCGTCCCAGTCGCCCCATAGACGCGGAAGTGCGGAGAATCGGTGTAGGAGCTCCCACCCGGGCCGATGCTCGGATCTGCTGTGAACGTTGCAGGAGGTGCTGCCGCGGCCTGGACTGGTGTGCCCGCAGGAGCTGCATTAGCAACAGCCTGGAAAAGAGAAAGAGCCAAGGCTTGCTTGAACATCGTGTACGACCTGCGTTATTTTTGGGAAAGAAAGAATGAAGAAGTTTCTATTGAAAAGATGCGCCGTGCCCTCATATTCGCGAGGACAGCCGCCTGTTCAAATACTCTATCGGTGAAATCCAATATCCTTCTACATCAGCCTGGGCCATGCCAATCTTGCCGAAATTGTATAAGGAAGAACTAATAACTATTGTTTGAATCGAGGGTGCTTCTATAGCACGAAATAGACGAGGCCAAGATGGGCCAAGTGCAGCTAGAACATGTTCAGTAGCCGACAGGACCAGAGTAGAAGCCGGCGAGACATTTTTTATGGCTAGCGAGGTGTAGTGGACGGGAATTCTGAGGTGCAGTAGAGTCGGAAGATTTGAGGAGCGTGGGGAACGGACAAAAGTGGGAACGTTTCAGCCACGAGCTACCTGAACTGGGTGTGGTAGCTACCCTAGCTCATACAGGGTACATCTCAGCTCACATTATAGGTGATATCGAATCATATTTGGTGATACTGGGTAGAAAGTAGGGTCTGGGTTCTGGTGGTGTGCCTTACCAATGACATCGTAGCAATAATACAACCTGGCCCAATTCGACTTCTCAGTCGCATATGACCTTCCCTCAACGAGAAAAATATGTTGATATTGATAAGCTTATTCTGCTTTTCTGGAATGATTCCATAGGTACCTTTCCAACATACGTTTTGTTGACAATCTGTTGTTATCTACGGAAAAATACACATTCGTGGAAGAAGGAGTGTCCGTCCCAACAACGAGAGGAACCTTTTAGATCTGGTAACGAATAGACCCACAACAGCAACGAGAAGCGTGCAAAGAAATCGACCTCAAAGGTGCTGTTGCCTCTCAAACAAAGATCTCTCACCTTGACATTGCACTTTTGGCACGCATTCAGATTTAATCAGATATGTCGGCGATAGTAGCTCGAGAAGAGTTCATTGCAATTTCTTCCCTCGTGGTTGGTGAGGTCCGTAATCAGAATACTACCGTTGTCCTCAAATTTTGTCATGCGGTTACAAATTTGGCACGTCTGTACACGAGGTTTCATGGAAAGCAGAACGAGGGCAATAGAAGCACCGTGATTAGCTGTGTGGCAGTCGTAACGCTGGTTAAATCTGCAGCCGTAGTACTCTGGCACTTGTATCGAAGGAATCCGATCCTTCTACATATTGCTCGAATCGTCTTTGAGAGTGGTCATTTGATTACTATTTAATCTGAAAATGTTACTTCGTAAATCCGAATGAGGATAGTTTTGGCAGCATAACGTCCAGAGATTAGCTTCACTATTCTTTATATAGTGACTTAGCATTGCGTCGGTCAGCGCATCTCGTCGGGCGATCAGATCCTCACTCCCAACAGCGGGGGCCTGGGTCTCAACATGTAGAGCACGTCCGTATGCTCTACGAAAAGAGCTGCAACGCAATCCAGAAAGAATTTGATCATGATTAGAAACCCATAGTCCGATTCGGAAATATAGATGCTATTGCCGATAGTAGCGCCACGAAGAATGGATCCCAGTTTTGGAAGTATACAGGAGGCATATCAGATTGCTCGGCACTTCGGCGAACCATCAAGTTCCTTCTAGGAAAGTTGATGACTCTCTTGTGAAGGCTGACTAGCGGACTTGGTGAGGAGGCTGTAATAGTGGCTCAATAGTGGCATTATCAAGGCAGCGATGACTACTTAGGCGCGCAAGGGCATACTCTTGGTAGTCATGCTGAACGATTTTGATGATGTAGCATTTCAAGGCGGCCATGACGACTTCGGCGCGCAAGGGCATGGCACTTGTGGTCATCATGAACGAAGTGCACATGTGATGATCAATTGTTGATTTTACTCTCATTCGTTAGGGCGAGGGCCAAGATGGATGTCAGGCTGCGCCCGCGCTATCAATTTCGCCTTTGGGTAGCGCATGAGTCTCCGTGGCTGTGCTCTCTTCATCATCAAAATGGGCGTAGCGAGATTCGCTAAATAATCAGAGTCCGCATAATTCGAATAGATAGTTTGAGGTCGTAAGGCCGAGGCCTATCTATCAATTGCTGGAAAAGGAAATTGGGCAACACTGAGCGAAAGAACACGAGCACCTTCACTAGTAAATTCAATTCGTTCATAATGTGCACATATTGCAAAGGACACAGAAGAGAGAACATGTTTCCTGCATCTTTATCTCTTGAAGAACAGTGTTGTAGTAAAGTAAATGGTATCTGGCGATGAAACAAGACGCTCGTCGTAATAGTCGTACAAGCCAGACGGTCCAGTGCGAAGATGCACGCTCAAGCTTCACGCGACGTCCTCGAAATGCTCCTCAACATGTGCAGTCGTCCAAAAGTCCAGGTGTCGTAATATCGTACAAAATCCTCAGGTCATTTTCAGACCCAGAGCAAAACCCCCAAACCGAGAGCACCGAGCTCGAGCATGCGGTTTGACGTCAACGTAGTTGCTGCGCTGTCGGTGGTGTTCTTGTTCTTGCTGCCACTGCCGGTCTTGCTCTTCGGTTCACGGGCTTCCAGGATGAGGCCGGCGGCACGAGCGTCGACTTCAGGTGCGAGTGAGGGTGCGTCGCTGAGAACCTCTGGTAATGCTTCTGGATGGGCGACGGGCGCGGGGTTGGCTAGTGCAACCGCAGTGAAGAGGATGGTGGTAGCTGCCGCGAGTCTCATGTTGGAAGTCTGGAGCAGATGTGGATTGGAGGAGATCAGATAGGATTTGTAAGGGTTCTCTGGAAGACTTGATGATGGGAATATTCAGTGAATCTTCAAGTCAAGTTTGGGAGCCTACTGTTAATATATCATCGTAGGAGCTATGACTTCAGCTCTACGGCTCATAACCAGGCAGTGCATCGCTATAGGCGAAAATTTGCCGTATGTGTAAAGATCGCTGACATCGCCAACACAATCTCAGGCAAGATCAGGAATTGACTCGCGCATCGTGTTGGCTGCGTAGTGACGTCGGTGATGCCTGGCCAATCAGGGTACATTGGCCGTGGGGCTGTGAGCTTGGCACAATTTAGCAGCCTTGGCAAATTTCTCCGCCTGGCTGAACAAGCCCCATCCTTCGCCTTGAGCTTGATGACAATACAAGCTTACCTTCCAGAAAAAGTTCGCACTACAACGTAGAATCCTGAAAGTGGTTGAAAAGTGTAGTTGCACGACCATGACCTCAGTCAGCTCGATCGAATCGCGCTTCTCCAAATAGCCTCCTGACTGCTCATCATCTCGTAGGAAGTTGATGATTGTCTCTTTGCTTTCGATAGATTCGTACCGAGAAGGACGCTGATACATACTCTCTCTAGGGCACAAAAACCGATGATCCTAAGATCAACTTTCACCACCAATGACTGAGGTCCTTACAGCACTGACTGAAAGAATGTGGCGCTCGCTGTTTTCGTGAGCATGTTGCTGGACCGAAAAGCGATCGAAGTCTCCAGTCAACTGCACAGTGACTTCAACGCAAGGCATTTTGCTGGCGAGTTTTCCTACGTTAGTGAAGGTGATGATGGCTGCGTTATGGATCTGCTCTATCTTTGGTCGAGGTGTTGTCGCCGGCCTGAAATCTGCTCTTGGAAAGTTCGATGTTTCAGTATACCATGCTTCGTTGCTAATCAATTCGTGGAAGTTCTCGCCTTGACTGGGGACGCACCGACCAGCGATGTGTGCGCGAGTGAATCCTGCGAACATCCTACCTGGCACCAACAGATTTGTTGTTGTCAGCTAACGTACGGTCACCTACCCTAGAAGTGACCTGGTCATCTCTCTACCGCGAGGAAATAGCTCGGGAGAAACACGGTAAGGGCAGGCCGCTCGTTCAATAGCCGAGTGGCATCCTGCATCTCCTTTTACTATGGCCTGAGATCCAGTCCGATGGGCGATGCGGTCGTGTCCAGAGCTATACATATCATGACCTTCATTTTGTCAATCGATGCGTGTCTGGAAATCAGTAACGATAATCTAAGCCCCAGCCTCAGTGACACATATGCAACGGAAATAGGGAGACCTTTTCTGTCGCAATTGTGGCGATCTGATTGCATTGCCTCCCCTCCACGGAACCTCTCGAATCTTGTGTGAAGAGGTGGAAGTGGTGATGTTCAGGATGCATAATCGCTTGTAGTATCACGCAAAGGTATTCGGCGCTAGATCACCAGCTTTGCCCATTCCGATGCAGGTACGGTGTACAGATTAAATCGCGAAGATGGAAGGCTTGTTTCCGCCAGGTGCCCTTGCCGCTTCCAGTGCCCCACATCCTCGCTTGCACTAGACCATCTGCCCTTTCTCTTTACTGCGCATGCCTTCCACATCGCTACCGAGGAACTCCATCATTCTTCTTTTGTCCTTAATCGATAGTAATGCTCTAGTACGAGTTTCACTGAGCTCCCCGTGCTGTCCGACCCCTGAGCGACCTGTTTTTCAGCAACGTTGCAACCAAATGCAGTATTTGAAGGACTAACCTGCATCAGCACACGTCTGACCAAGACGCAATCTCGGAAGCATAGCAGTCCGCACAAAGAGAGCTTGCAGTATACGACGTTGAAGTCAGATAGATTGGGTTGCCATGTGACTATTTCATCAAAAGTCATTTTAGCCAAATTCTGCTGATCTCAACCGTTATTGGTACCATTCAAATACCACGTAACAAATGGAACGAAAGCTCTTCGTATATATTGACATCGGACCGATGGATTGTAGGAGATATGCAATGATGACCCACGTGGTTTGTGATATCGCCGCCAGGCTTAGCCTTGCTTCCCCTTTGTGCACCTTGACAAAACCCACTGTCACTAACGAAAACAACAACGATGACTCCATACTCATTGTTTCTGTGGGCATCTTGGATAGCTCTTGCTTTGGGACATGGCATGGTTTACGAAATCTGGGCTAACGGGCACCGCTACAACGGATGGAACGCGAACGGCGACTTGAAGGCTTACCCATCGGATACGCCAGCCTGGTATACCACTAATGCTGGTGGAGGCCCTCTTCACCCTTCAGATGCGAATCAATCGCAAATCATCTGTGCGAAAGGTGGTTCGAATGCGAACATCAGTGCTCCGGTCGCCGCTGGCGCCGATGTGCGGTTACGGTGGTGGATGGTTGACCAGGCATGGCCAGTAGGACATCATGGACCCATACTCAGCTACTTAGCTTCTTGCAATGGCCCTTGCGCGAGTGCAAACATGACTTCGTTGAAGTTCGTCAAGCTCGAGGAGCGCGGATGGATCAACAGCTCGACCTACCAGGAAGGCTATTGGGCTACTGATGAATTAATTGCGAACAATGGGACTTGGTATGCCAGAATGTAACTTCCTTTAGCGTTTTGTCGCTGACTATATTGCGCATAGGACTGTGCGAATCCCACCGAAGCTTTCGCCCGGCGAGTATATACTTCGTCACGAAATCATCGCACTACATGTTGCATTCACAAGTACGGGTCCATACTCTCTTGATGGAGCAGAGTTCTACCCTCAGTGTGTCAGCTTGAAAGTCGAAGGCGATGGGAGGAAGCCTGTCACCGGCGGTGTCGATGCGAAGACATTATATAAGGGAAACGAAGCCGGGTTGACACTCAACATCCACACAACACCTGACCATTCGGGGTATGTCATGCCGGGGCCGCCTGTATGGACAGATGCCGACTGAAGGCTGCTGCCTGAGCGCTCACTCTTGGACCAAATAAGAGTATCATCGGGCCATGCCGCGCGGGCAGTCTCTTCCTCAATTCCAAGAGATTCACTCGAGAATTTGCCCGCTCCGCGAGTTCTACTTGTATACTGGCATTCGTCTGACTGGAAATCTTAATCCAATCTACCGACGAACTCAAATATTGTTACAAATTACTGTTTTTTATCCCAATGGCACCAATGTTCATGGCAAGATCTAGGTTTGTTACATCGGAGGCAGCAGCACGTGACCTTGTTGCCTGTGAGGCCGGCTGCAGATGGTGTTAATTTATTCCGCTTACGTGCTCGTTCTTCGTTCAAGCTCATTCCCGACGCAACCTTATCTATCTCTATAAGAAGCATATCCCATCACTCCACCAACGCTGCTTCTCAAGCTTCCTTTTACTCGTTTTTTTTCAACACTTGTGTAGTTCAACATGACATTGAAGACTGGATATTCGCACGAAGACGCGTTCGACAGCGGCTATTTGCAAGTTAGTGATCTTCATACTGTGCATTACTATCAGTATGGCAAGAAAGACGGAAAGCCAGGTGAAACTTCCCAGTGGTCGAAGTAGGAAAGAAGCTTCGGTGAACACATCGATCATGAAGCTGACAGCGAGCAGTCATATTCCTCCACGGTGGGCCCGGCTCAAAAGGGTGCAGCAAGCAAAACACTGTCTTCTTCGATCCCGCAATCTATCGTGTTGTCCTGCTAGATCAACGTGGTACAGGGTTGTCTACCCCGCGCAGCGAGATACGCGAAAACACTACACAAGCTCTCGTGTCCGACATCGAGGCCCTGCGCAAACATGTTGGCGTCGAGAAATGGCACATGGTTTTCGGAGGCTCATGGGGCTCCGCATTGAGTCTTGCATATGCTCAGACGTATCCTGAGAGCTGCGGCTCACTGGTCATTCGCGGGGTCTTTTTGGGAACAAAGGAAGAGAACGATCGTCATGCGCTTTCCACTTCAATGATCTTCCCGGAGATATACGATCGCTTTCAGGACTTCATCGCGCCTGAGAAAAGAGGAAACATCGCAGCAGCTTATCACGAGCTGCTTACATCGAACGATCCCGCTGTCGTGCGAAAAGCAGCGTATGAATGGGACAGACCAGAAACTACTTTTGCGACTGTCCAGGAAGAGCGCGATGACGATGAGGTTGAGGACATTCTGCAAGAACAGGTAGAGCAGATGAGCTCTGCCATCATTTGTACCCATTATATGATGCATGAGTGCTTCCTGGGACCTACTGAGCTGCTAGACGGGTGTCAGAAGATCCAGCATATTCCGAGTGAGTTGTGGCCCACTATTGAAGTCGACTATAGGTTAACAGTAGACAGCACGCATCGCACAGGGACGTCTAGACTTCATATGTCCTCCAAGAGCGGCGTATGAGATTCACAAGCGCTTGCCAAACAGCGAGTTGCGTTGGTTGGAGAAAGCCGGTCACTCAGCAATGGTAAGTCACTTTTCTACTATGTCGTCGTGAAAGTAATAGCTAATGTTAGTTGGTAGGAGCCAGATACCTTGAGCCAACTGATTGACTTCTGCGATGAGCTTGGACAACAGGACCTACACTTACGATGAAGCTGGACTTGGGCCAGAAAGTTTGATATGAGAAATTTGATTGAAATAATAGCAAAATTGGTGGCATCAATTTGAAAACGGTTGGCTTTACTTGAGCTCTACATTTCCTGAAAAAAGAATTGTACCTGTCGAGACACAATGTATGTACGACTGTGGGGTACCCCTCATGTTAAGCGCCACACATCTTGTCCTCCGTGCCCCTTCCATATCAGGTACTCGCATTCTGCCGAATTGTCACATGTGATATTGTGCTATGCAAAAGTTCCCCTGCCACCTTTCCATGGTAGAATATGCCTCTTATAGCATTTCAGCCAATCTAGGGAAAGACAAGAAGAGATTGAATGGTCTAATTATCACATTTCTGAAACTGTATCACGACATTGATACGCAAAGACTAGCAGAATAGGGTCCATTAATCAAAAACCGGACCGTAGTACACAAACTCTCCAACTCCTAACATATTGGACTGTGTCTGTTGAGAAAAACTTCATCCACAGCCGCGTGTAGTACTCATGTCATGTGCCATATATTTTCCTCCGTTCTCGCTCATGTGCATTCCGATCGGAGACCCCAATCCTGCAAATTATCGCATACTAGCTTTGACATGAGTTATCCATCGCCAGAGTATGAGCAGGTGCATCCTTCTTGATCAATAAGGCCCTGTAACATCATACCGCTCTCAAAGACAAGGCTTGATCCCATCCTTGACCCAAATCTTCGCCCACTTCAGCCAGTTCTCCTGTTGCTCTTTAGGAAACAAGCTCACTGCCTGGGAAGGAAAGCCGTAGTGGCAGGTAGCGAATGTAGCCTCGTCAATGACCTCCATGCGCGGGAATATAGTAAGGTTGTCGATGCCAGAGAAGAGATGATCCAAGGGAACATGGCTAGGCGATGTTTCGTGCCACCCAGGCTGAACCATAAAGCTGTTCACAAACTGGTCGGCCCATGTAGCGCTCAATGCTTGATGGTCACCCGCAACATGAGGAAGCGATTCATGCTGGGCGCTGTTGTCGTTTCGAAGTGCGAGTGTTAGAGCAACGCCGATGATGAAGAAACGGTCCATAGAAACATACGTGATGTAAAAGTCTTGCAACACGTATTGGACTTCGATGTGATGGTTCGCCTTGCAGAAGTCGGCGATGGCGGGGAATGGTTTTTCAGAGTAACCGAAGGGCACGGCCCATTCATCACTGTTGTCCGACTGTAGACGAATCTTGCTGAGCCACGAGAAACGGATAGGCGAGCATACCTTACGGAAGGCGGTAAGGAGATCTGCTACAGGGAATAGACCGGTGCGCATTTTATAGCGGAACATAGCGGCGGGCAAGAAGATAGTGTTGAACGTCAGTTCAAGGCCTTCGGTCTCATGGCGCAGCTGGCGGTTGGCGAACTGAAGCTGGTTGAATGAAGGGCATGCCGCGACCTTTTTGCGCTCGATCGTGAGGCACCCGGTTCGTATGAACTTCGGCTCCTTCTTAGGATAGGCAGTCGGTGGCACACAACACATCAGGGTTCCGTCGGCCGTCAAGGCATACACGTAGATCATGTTTCGGATCTCGGAAGGTAGTTGCAACAAGCTTATGGGCTCGCGTCGTGTCACCGGGAAACCTGATGAGTTTTCGATGCCGGCATACGGAGAAGATGTCTGGGTCTGTTCGCTTCGGTCCATGCTCAAAGCGGTTGTCTCTTCGTGGTGATTCAATAACTTGGTGGGTGCTGCCATGGCGGTTGGCAGTTGGGGTTCTGGTGCGGTGGTGTTGGAGTTGGTGTTTGGCGGGAGAGGCGTGGGGTATTTTATACCTTCAGGAAAGAGTCGAACACCACACGGTGTCCGTGCGGTGGAGACAGCTTTCACCTGTTTGATGCATTGTATATTTCATGTTATTATACGTTGTTCTTACAATAAAAGGCAAAGGAGCCCTTCTATAGGTAGGGTATCAATCATATCGTCCAACATATCTTACAACACAAAGGAACCCGCATCATGTACATACAATGCAATACAGCCTCGCACCAACACAAAAGCAGCCAATGGCATAAACCCAGCGGCAGCGATATCGCACTGGCGCGTCGCGTCGAAGCGAGCGCTCGGTAGTACGTCCAAGGATGGAATCGCTACAGCGCAATCAGTATGATCCCAAGGCTTCCAATGGGACCATGACGTACCGCACAAGCTGTGTCTTGCTCGCGACCGCTTTTGACGTGCCTCTCCAATTCTCTCCGACCGGATAATGTTGTTCGCTCATTTCTCGTCGCCGATATAGAAGCTCCTCATCCCACTCAGCCGTCTCGACTTCCGCCCATTATACACCTTCGTCAACCACTCCATGCCAGACCAGTCCATAGTGCTCTGCCTCTTATGCGCTTCGAGTGGTTCAGCTATGCCCGCAGCAGGTGGAGCTGCCACCGTGCCTCCGACATCTTTCACTTCTGCAGCAGGTGGAGCTGCCACGCTGCTCCCCACGTCTTCCACGTCCGCATCCTCCCCCCACCCTCTAATCTTCTTCTCCTCATCCTCAACCTCCATCGCACCCCTACAAAACCAGCTCCGTCGATCAAACCAGCTAGTCACCTTCGGCGGCCGTTCATGCGTAGAGTACACACTTTTCCCTCTTGTTTTTACAGACGCCACGCTCCTCGCATACACAGTCGAAAGCGACGACTTGCGACTCGAATAGAAACTCTTCTCCTCTACGGTGGCAACGCTAGGCGGTCTCCTCGGCGACGCCTGCCCCATTTCGAACACGCCTTTCTCGGTGGTAGATAGCTCGAGGAACTTGGGCTTGGGCTTTTCCTTTTCTTCCGCGGGGGAGGAGAGCTCTGCGAAGGGGGGCTGCGCTTCGAGTGGCGAGAGTTCGGGGAGTGCGCTGGAGAGCATCTGGATGGGGGAGCTGATGCGGCTTTTGAGCGTATCGGTGGAGACGGGTTGAGCTTTTTCGGTGGGGGAGGCGGGTAAGGAGGGGATGGGTGTGCGCCAGCAGAACCATGAGCCTGTTCGGCCGCGCTGGACGCCGAGGTAGAAGATTAGGGATGCGAGGGTGAGGACGGATATGGCTATTGCGAAGCCGATGCCGATGTTGTGCGATGAAGGCGAGCGCTTGTGGAGGATGTGGGTTTCGGGAGTGATAGGCGAGGCGGCGGTAGTTGGGAGGATTGAGGCGAGGAGTAGGAGGAGGGATGTTGGGAGCGACATGGCGTCGAGATGGCCTCGTATGTGATGATGATCAGGTATGCGCAAGTGTTGATGTTCGCGAGGGTTCAAGCACTGAAACCCCGTGGTCAAGTCTAGACATTAGATTATGGTGTTAGATAGTGTACGACACTTAGAAGTCGAGGCAGGAGCTCCCTTACATATCGACACAGCATGCAACCCTGCTGCGCCGTGCCGTATGGTTCGGTGATCCTAATTACTGCTTTGGGTTAGCCCGAATCCGTTGTGGGTGAATCTGCGAGGCTGACGTTAGCTTCGACCCAAAAGGCGGCGAGACACGACCAATGATGACGGTGCGGCTAGACCCTGCGAGCAGGCTATCCCCGGTGGGAAGATGAGGATTCTGTATTATTACTACATGGGGGCTGGGGCGTTGGCCAAGCGTTTTGCTCGGGAGCCTGCTCGGGGTGTTGCACCGACAAGAATGTTGAGGAGTCAAGACAACATGGTTGGAATGAGTGCACAACCTTGATGAAGGCTTCACAATCTTGCGACAATCTGCCAGCGCATGCATCGCGAAAAGTTGGTTGGTCCGAGACTCATGATAGCATTGCACTACCACTTCTTTCTTGTGATGACGGCCAGAGAACGCCCGCATGAGCCTCATCGCCCTAGCGCAAAGGTACGAGTGACTGTTCATTGGATAGCGTTCGAGCTTACCATGCATAGACACTTGATTCCCTCTGCTTGACCCGAATGGGGAATTCGGGCATGCGGCCGTAGGGAGGGCTAACCGCATCCAGATAAAGGATGCCCGACATGCAGACCTGGTTCCCGGTTAGTACGCGACGGCCTAACACACAGCCTCTGGTACCTGCATATTCGGCGTTGCACAGGCTGTCTTGCGCACTAAGTTTCACTTCAAGGCGTGGGGAAGGAATGTCAGCTTTGTCATTGAGGAACGAACGAGAGGAATGTTGAAATAGTTGGATAAAGGCCTTCTGAAATGAGCATTCTGGGAAGGCATGAGTACGTACGTACATGACTTATCTAAACGAAGAAGCGAGCGACAAACATACGTTTACTTGAGAAAACATGCAGAAAATCAGAGTCGGATAATGTTCGCGCACCGAGGCATGCTGTGCCGTACAGACCAAGAAATTTCACGACGACATGATCGTAAAGGAGAGTGTGCAAGTCCGGCGGCACAGCATGCCGACTCAAGCACCAACGGCTGCCGGCGGGGATAAGAAGGCTTCCGAAAGTCTTCGAAGAGTCAGGGGGGCTGGCATCCCTCTGGTCTTCGCTTCGGCGGGAGGTGAATACAAGGGGTCCAAGCTTTCGCTGTTGTCATCATCAGCGACGTTTCGTCTCCACTTTAGCTGTGTACTTACATCTGCATCAGGTCACTAGGAGAAGGTGAGCTTTCTTTGCTTTTTTTGTCGGCTTCTTTCTCCATGTCGAACGCGAAGTAGTCGCCCTTTGGTCTGAAAGGACTCGCGTTCGCGGTTCCCTTTGGCGTGTCATGTGCGTCGTGTACAATAGGTGTAGGCGGAATCGTCGTCAAAAAGGTGTGGGGATGATCTGTGTACGTGGACATCTTCGTTGGACATGCAGCGCTGATGCTAAGTCGTAAACCCCTTGGGTTTGCGTCAGGTACAGACAGCGAGTTGGTTCGACCGTGTTTAGGAGCAGCTACTGGTGGTGGGCCCATGTTTTGAGAATGGGTAAAGGCTCTCTTGATCAAGCCCCCGAAAGCTGATGCTGTAGATGATTGTCTGCTGCGGAAGCCGCTCCCACCGGTCTCCGCGCTGCCTGCTGAGGAGATGCTAAGATTGCGCGATGAATTGCTTGTTGATAGGTTCGAACGTTCCATGAGACTGAATATTCCACGTAAGGCTGAGATTGCAGCATCCACGGAACTCTGGATGCTGTTCCATGAGTATTCGAGACGGATGAAGTCATCAAGATTATCCTCGATAGCTTCCATCTGATTCAAGCAGACACAGACTGCATCCGCAATGATGGTCGTTCCTGTGATCCAGGCGTTGGCGACGGCATCCTGACAGTGGACAGGCTGGGCATGGATGAGCTGCACCGCAGAATTGGCGGTCTTGTCGATGGCATGGTCTGCCATGTCGCGTTGCTGGCAGATGTCAACTCGTAGGAGGGATCGTCGACTGGAAGGGGAGTTGTCGGCCTTGTACATGGTAGACTTTGCGCCATCGTAGACTGCCTTGAAGGCATCTTGGTGCACGTAGGCGATCCCGGCATTGAGGTTGTCGAGCGTCGAAAGGACTGAATCGGCATCGTTCCCGAGGACGGAGTGGAGAATTGCCACGTGATCCGTTCCATCAATGACGGCGTGTGCCTGGAGCGTTTTGAAGAATGTGAAGTCGTTCGCTCGACGGGCTGCATGGAGGTTGTGTCTAACGAGCGCTATGCGTTGAGTCCAGTGCAGCCGAAGTGTTGAGTCAATGCCCATTATTGAAATAACTATTAGTTGGAATCAGACAGCGAGCCGCAGATGTTGTACGGCACTTGTCAAATGCAAGCTTCGAGTGAGGTGCGATGCTGTAGCGGAAGTCGGAAAGCAGGCAATTATGTATCTCACCCACGAGCCTGAAATAGGCATATGCCACATGCTGACGAGCCAGCAACGACGTATGCAGTCACCGACAAGCGGATTCGTAGAAGCTTCGTAATTCGAAATGGATGAGCCACTGGAGTGATCATAAAGCAATGGTTACACCGTGAACAAGAGGTGGAGAGACAGCTCGACGTAGTCCGTGGAAGGTAAGAAACTTGATCATCCTGATGCGCTGGGAAGAACATGGCTTTGTTCTTTACCCAGAAGGAAAGCAGCGTAGCATTCCATACGCTCGTATATGAGACATGTCTGTAGGTTAGTAATGTATGTCTTGTACACCATGGCTGTCATCGGAGCATGGCATGTTCTGGACGTGCATAGGGCTGAGACATCGCGCTTCTAGTCCGCCGTAGTAGAGGCAAGGTGACTAAATGTAGCTGCACCAGAACAGTGAAGGCCACATCGGTAGACAAGTCGAACTATGCTCCCGCGCCGCATTCGAGCTTTTCAATGAGACTTTCTCCGTCATTGTCCGCGATCTCAGCCGTCAAAGCCCGCACCCGGCCTCTTAATAGTGGATTTGAAGGAGGCGGAGACACCTGCGTATGTTGTACGTAACCTGAAGACGCATCCCTGTATCAAACAGGCAGGACGTTTAGCTAGCGGGGAAAGAGTGCGGAGAAGGCGGCGGGATCTCCTGGCAGGGTATCTGCGGGGTCAGAAACTAAATGAACAGTTGGCATTGTCTGTTGGCATCTTGTCCTGTTTGGCATATCACACGATCTCAGGGTGCGCTGCAGGTGGTTGATGTTCTCACACAAATTGCGTTGGTGTTGTTCACTCCGATCGATCGAATCTGGGTCCGTGGCAGCTGTCGTCCTCGATAACCAACAGTGATCATTCGCCATCAGATTGTCATGCAGTTGAGTCAACCCCTTTGATAGCAACGGTAGTAGCGGCATCGTCCGACGGAAAAGATGGAGACAGGACGACGACGGTTCCGGGAATTAGGGTGCATTCGGCCAAGCCGGATTAGTCATTTCCGCAGATGTCCCGATTAGCCTCGCCAAGCCATCAACAAGCTCCCCACGCCGCAAGCTTATTTGCTAGCCAGCGCAGAATTTTCGGAGAAGTGCACGAAATGCTACGCACTGACACGGCGTCAGCATAGCTTTGCGCGTTCGCGGCCATCGCGCTGTGGGATGGACTTCGATTAGGCGTGGCGACCCGCCCCTAACCGCCGCGTACCTTGCCGAATTTTCGTTGCCGGCGGCCATCACGCTTTGACCTTCCAACCAGCCTCCAGTAAGGCGACGGTGGGACCACCATGAAGAAAATTTCAGAAAGGCATCCAATGTGACTATGGGGACCCAGGTTGCTATGGACCTTGATAGTCGCCGCACAGAGCCTGTGGGGTGCATGCACGGGGACTTTGAAATAGACCTGAGCCGTCCTCTGTGAGTCGCACATTGTTATCCATCGGTGACTCGACAACATCATCCCGACATTAAGTGGACCAGTTCCATCACTGTGGTGTCCTCTCATCTCTCTGGACCTTTCTTGAGACCAGCCGGAACAGGAGCTCATGATGGAGAGCATCACGCCCAAGATGGACAACAGGTCGGAGAAGTCGCAGACGCTTTCGTCGAGTGATCCTGAGAAGCAGGGCTCCCCCCCGGAAGAAGCGAAGTTGCAGAGAAAGCTGTCAAGTCGTCACTTGCAGTTCGTTGCCATTGGTATGTGGAGAACAAGGTCTCACCTCATCGCGCATCGCTTACAGTAGAAAGGTGGCACTGTCGGTACTGGTATCTTCATCGCCTCGGGCAAGAGTATCGCGACCGCAGGACCGGCTGGAGCCCTCCTCGCCTATGTCTTCATCGGAACCCTCGTATACGCCGTCATGCAAGCGCTCGCTGAAATGTCGACCTACCTACCAATCTCCGGCGCTTTTACGCAATACGCAGCTCGCTTTGTGGACCCAAGTCTTGGATTCTCGATGGGTTGGATATACTGGTTCAGCTGGAGCATTACCTATGCTTTGGAACTCAGCGCTGCCGGTCTGATCATCCAATGGTGGGCTCCTGATCTCAACATTGCCATCTTCATTTCCATCTTCTGGGTTCCCATCACTTTGGTCAACTTCCTACCCGTGGACCTGTTCGGCGAGTTTGAGTTCTGGTTCGCTTCTCTGAAGGTCATGGCTTTAGTCGGTTTCATGATCTTCTCCATCTGCATCAATGCCGGTGTCGGTGACCAAGGCTACATTGGATTCAAGTACTGGGACCAGCCGGGAGAGCATTCGCACCGTACTTAACCGAGGGACCGAAAGCGAAGTTTGTCAGTTTTTGGGCAGTGTTGGTAGCGGCTGCGTTCTCGTTCCAGGGATCTGAATTGGTAGCTGTGGGCGCTGGTGAAAGCACAAACCCCAGGGTGACGATGCCCAAGGCTATCCGCAGGACTTTTTGGAGCATTTTCCTGCTCTTCGTCTTTACCATCTTCTTCATCGGCATCGTCGTCCCTTACGACAACGAGTCACTTCTTATCGGAGACACGAACGCTAGCTCCTCGCCGTTGGTTATTGCTGCGCAGCTTGCGGGCGTGTCAGTTCTTCCCCACATTATCAACGCGGTTCTCCTGACAGCTGTGCTTTCCGCTGCCAGCTCGAACGTCTACTCTGGAAGTCGTATTCTAGTCGGTCTCTCTGAGCAACATTGCGCGCCCAAGTTCCTCCAGCTCACGTCTAAGCGCGGTGTCCCTTACGTTGCAGTTTCCGTCACAGCTGCCGTAGGTGCGTTGGGCTATTTGAACTGCTCCGATAGCGGTACCGAAGCTTTCAACTGGTTGTTGAACATCACCAGTGTGGCTGGCTTGATTGCATGGTGCTGCATCTTCATCTGCTATCTCGCATTCACCAAAGCTCTCCGGGCGCAAAACATCGACCGCGACAACCTTCCGTACAGGGCGTGGGGCGGCGATTGGTTCGCTTGGTACGGACTTGTGTTCTGCGTCATCATCACGCTCACACACAAGGCTTCGTTGCGTTCGTGCCCTGGAGCGTTGAAGAGTTCTTCATTGCTTATGTTAGTTTGATTCTGTTCGCGGTCATGTACATTGGCCACAAGATTTTTACCCGGTCCAAGTTCATCAACGCAGCGGAGGCGGACATCTTCTCTGGCAAGTTCCACGAGGAGCTAGCCGAGACATGGGAGGAAAGCTCCAGGAGCATGTGGACGAAAGGCTTCAATGCCGTTTTCCGAAAGTAAAATTTCCGATTTCTATTGTTGTTGAAGCGTGGTTTCGCATTGCATTGCATAGCATGGTCTGGATCCTTATTGATGAACAGCATTTCGTTTTCGGCATCGTACTTCTCGATACCTGAAAAATGTATAATACCAACGCAATTTCAAACTCAGTTGTGCTATTTTTGACCGTACCTGTCGATCCCGATGTTCAATGTGATGGCAACGGCACTGCCCCGATGCGATGAAACGTTTTCCACGGTCGTGCAGCTTTCACTTCTGCCAACCGTTTCGGATCTGTCCTGTGCCAAGTATGGCAACGGTCCTGACGGCAGCCAAGCTCGCGTAGATGAGCCGTTTATGCCAACTGCCCGTTGCCGGTTAAAAAAAGAAAGTTTATGATAGATTAATACAGATGCGCAATTGGACGACTGTCAGGAGATTTCCAGTCAATGATGTAAATCATGGACAGGCGACGACGCAACTGCAAGGCACAGATGGGGGCGGTGAATTGAGTGACGTCGATCCGGCCAAACGGGGCAGTGACGTGGGCCCATGTGGGCCGTGGCTTCCCGCCAACAACGCTTTCGCATTCCAAGCGAACCGAACCCCAGCTTTAACAACAACACCATGCATGCTCGCCACAATCCCCCATCTCATCTCGTCCGAAACGCCACTGCAGTCACGATGCAACTGTCGCCGCCTCAATTCCAGGGCAGCAACATGCTGCATGACGCAGGGAAACATGCGCACAGCCCTAAACCACCACCTTTTCTATGGGTCTTCCAGCCCTATATCACACCCCTGGTCTATAAGAAGTCGCCTTCACAAGCTTGCAATTAGCTTGCGATAGGCTAGGCATCTAGAACGTCTCCCTCCATAGGGAAGTTTAAGCCTAGCCGCAACGGCTGTCAGCGCTTTGTGATCGGTTCGGTTGCCTTTCGCTCCACCCGACACGTTTCAAAGGCGCGCGACAACGTTGAATCACACAATTGCCGTTCTTCGCCACCTCACGAGCTCGACTGATGTCCGCTGAACGAACCAGTTCAATGCCCTAACACTATTGAATCTGCACACGGGATCCACCAACAGCCACAACTCACCGCCACAGGGCCGCACTGTGCTGACAACCCTTGTATCTTGATGGTACCTGAATGTGATTCGTGAAACCATGTTCTCCTTTTGCCAGCATGAACATGGGTACCATGCCGAGCGCCAGGTTCTCACGGCCCCGCATGTTTCCTAGCCAAATGCTCGCCCACGGAGATGACCACTTTATGCTACAAGTTAACCGCCTGTTGGCAGCCAACTCGACGTCATCAACTCTAGTAATCACGTTGAAATCATGTACGATATGTGCATGCTGCATGTTGGCTGTTAGAAAGCATTTGCGGTCATTGAAGAATACATTGCGTTGGCAGGAGATACCGCCACTGGTCCAACGCAGCCGGGTAGAGTTGCCAACATACATGGCAGTGACACCAAATCACCAGCATTAGTCAACCCGTCAAGCATGTCACTGCCCGATGCAGCCATTTCCCCGAGATGGATCGACATAACCAGATGCTTGTTCCTCAGCGCACAGGCAGTCCGCCGAGCTCCACTTCACGATTCCCGCCTCCCTCCGCCAGCCTTAGTCGCTGGTTTATTTCGAAGAGGACCAATTAGGATGCCAATGAGGAAGCATTGAAGCTGAGGTATGACGATCATCACAAGCTTCCCTAGTCTTGAGATGTACTAGGTGGAGTGCCATCTTGATTCGCCCCTGGACAGTTACGTTGTCTGTTTGTTGGCGGTCTTTTGCGTTGCTTCGCCTGAATATCGATGTCGATCTTGGTCTAGAGAAGAGATTCGCGATGACGACGCCGTGGAAGGACTACTGGGTAGAACGGCCTTGGAAGATTTCAAACCCCCTTACGAAAGCACTCACCTTGACAGCATCGAAAAGTATAAAGAGGACGTCAGTTCCGCAAGAATTGAACATCATCACACAGCATCTGCACAGAGCATCTACTCCTCTATCACTCATCTTTCAATCACAATCAAGTCTATCACTACAGACACTTTTCCAACAACAACCATCAAAATGCAGTTCTTCACCGTCATCGCCTTCGCTGCTGCCGCCATTGCCGCACCCGCTGCCCTTGAGGAGCGCCAGCTCCCAGTCTGCACTGGAGGCTCTCCTCTCTGCTGCGCTACCGATGTCCTCAACCTTGCTGACCTCGACTGCGCTACTCGTACGTCACCTCCCAACACCTCCCAACAATATCTCTTCACATACTAACTTTCCCTTAGCTGCCACCACCCCCACGAGCACCAACGATTTCATTGACATCTGCACTGCCGCCGGCCAGCAGGCCAAGTGCTGCATCCTGCCCATCCTCGGCCAGGCTCTCTTCTGCTCCGACGTCAACCCCACTGCCGACACCACCACCGTCACTGCTCCCCGCTTCTTCTGCTTAAGCACAGTCTGATGCTACCTGTATAACGCCTTGTACAGTATGAAATGGGATGGAATTTTGTTTGGTGCATACATGGGCGGTTAGATCGCCGAGATGGAAATGTAGGACTATTAGGTCAATACCCTTCCTTTGATGCTTCTCGCGATGAGGAATCGGTTGAAGTTGTCTAGAGTCTAATATTCAATGATATGATATTTTGGACAAAATGTTTTGCTTTGGTTCGTGATGATAGTTTGCAATCGTGCCTAAATTCGCTCGTGAGATCCTACTACAAGAACAGGCCGTCACCATATCTAGCAGTTGAACGGAAGCTCCAGACTGTCTTATGGACGTCATATCGAAAGGTGGATGGGCTCGAAGGTCTTTTCTCTAGTAATTTTTCAAAAGTGATCACGGAGCATGGGGGGTTTGACGCCTTCCCAGCTACCTCCAATGTTTTGTCACGACCTTTGAAATGCTAGAAGTCACCAAGCAAAGGGGAGCCACGATCTGGAAGTACGTATCCTCTGATGGTCAAGTTAAGCTATTCGTACATATGGGTCTTTACGATCCTTGGTGCGCATCCTTTCCGATGAGCACGTTAGGGGCAAGGTAAGATGATGCGACTCGTGATTTCCTCTACGAGTGAGCCCCACCGAAGCAGAATATTCGAATAATCAACCATAGCTGCTGAACGGAGCGAAGTCCGCATTGAAAGCGAGGAAGTCTGAGACGAGTCGCATTGGGCATCGTGAACCAGTGGCTATGTTGCGGCACTAGCGAACGGCAGCTCCCGAGGCGCTCGGCCTTCGATCCTCCTCCCCCGCTACATGACACTCTTCGGCCCTTGCACCAACTGCTCAGTCAACCCTCATGAATCTCCGCAAACCTCACATACCTGTGAAGCAAATAACCATGCAGTCAGCGTCTCGATGTCATAGCTTACGTGCGCAACACGCCGATCTGGCAGTCAAGCCTCGTCGTCGTCACTAACCATCGTGTTGCCTCTCGCAGGCAGACCAGCTGAACAATATATACAGCGAACAAGGCAGCGTTGCCGCCGATCTCATGAGGCGAAGTGCAGTGCGTGTCGCCGGTAATGCAGCTCTCATTCGTTATGAAAGCCTCTCGAGCAATCAACACGAGGCTGCAAGCGCTTCGAATGCGCCTCGCAGCCTGAGCAACGTCGGAGGTGGGGCTGTGCCGCAACGCAGGGGTGAGGCTTATCGTTTCACGAGACTGGAGAAACAAATAGTCGTCAATGCCAATGCTGCTTGAAATGCTTGACTTTTGAATCCTGCAAGGCTGGGTTTTCGTTAACAAAACTCAGAGGTCCCCGTGGAAGGTGGGACTAACCATACCATGGCTCCATTCCCGCAAACCACTGCATCACCATCTTCACCATCGCCGGAGCCGCAAACGCCTTCTGTGCTTCCCGGTCTTAAGCGCGGCATAGCAGTGGGCGTGGCTTCATCTGTGTGTCTGATCCTCATCGCGCTTCTCGCTTTCTTCGCTCTGCGCCGCCGCAATAAGCGCAAGGCACTGCAACAACAAGGCCACTCCCCAGATATCAAAGAGCTTCCCGCGTGGTCAGAACAGAAGAGCATCCCACCTCCACCAGAAAAGCAATGGATCCCAATACCGCCATCACCCATCGAGGCCGACACTCAGACCATACATGAACTAGAGGCCAGCCCAGTCCCCGAACTACCCACTAAGATCCACGTACCTGGCGCCCAAGAGCTGGACACTGGAAGTGCAGACAACAACAAGAACGCCCTGAACCGGAAAGACATTACTACGAGGGAGAGTGTCGGGCGTTACGGATCAAGCGAGCCACGCTACAGCGATGTACCGACTTTGCGAATCTCACCCCCTGAGATGTCGCCCCTGAGCACCGCATCCCTACTTGCCATCAGTCCTTTGACTGTGAGCCCCCTTGAGGAGGCTTACCTTCCGCAGTCGCCACGTTCGCCGCGATCACCGCAGCATTGGATATGAACGGCTTCCTACGACATTAGACGATATTGATCATGAATCCACTCTCAGCAGCGCTAGAACGCCTCCGTGTTCGGATCACGCTGGAATGAACGAGAAGGTCTCGTCGTTCAGCGACTGAAATTGAGGCGCCGAGCTTACTAGGCCCTGAGATGGATTACGAGGCTGTCACTCTTACCGCATCTCGCTCTGTGATGAGAGCATCAAGCATGTAACCATGATAAACTGAAACTTCCGCAGCGACAGCAAATATCACGACCACAATAGGCCTAGGGGGCCTTCCAGGAAAGCTAGATCTTCTCCTCGAAACGACAGCAGTGCGCCCGCCGGGCACCCTCTACACTACCTCGCGCGTAGACCGCCTCCTGCGAAATCTCAGCCTGACGATACTTGGAATCTCTACCACTATTTCCGGCAGTCTTCGGGCTCTTCGATGTACAAGTCGCACTACTTTCGATGCTTTGTCAATCTCACTCCATGAGGCCTGTCCAAAATTCAATGTCCCTTACATGAAGCGCAAGTTATCGACTTTGCATCACGTACACCACCACCATCCAGTTTCCATTGAGACGGTAATCAACGTCGAGGCACAGCTGCAATATTGTGACAACAGTTTTCATCCCGTGTCTATGCACGTCAATGTAGAGAAGCGGCGTTCCCATGCGGCACTGGCAACCATTGTGACCTGAGAAGCAACCATGCAGAGGAAATTGTACAGGATGTGGAAGCAGGACAGGGCGGATATGGAAAGGATTGGTAAGGAGAAGAATTTCGAATGGAACTAGGCTGGGAAGCTGGGTGAAGGGTTGCTATGGCATTGACAAGTGGATTCATGCTAGTTACGACTTACACGTGCGGGTCTGTGTCGATATGTGCTACCACTGTTTTTAGGAATGGGGAGTAAAATACGTTGAGGAGAGGAAGAGTAACTAGAGACAGTACATGGAGTATCTTGTTCGTGTTGGAAAGCCTCCCCTTGTATGAGAATTCTGATTTGTCTGCTTAAGCTGACGGACGACTTGGGACATATGATAATTGACATTTGGTGTTCGACGAAGCTTGTGGATGTTGCTGTGAGATGAGGGTAGTAGACATTTCGGTAGCTACATTACGCTCTGGCAAACGATGACGCGCGACGCGTCCAGCGCACAGACCCACAAAATTTTGGGAGCCCCGCCGTTGAACCCTTCACCACAGCGTCAACATGGCAGCACAACAACACCAAAAACACAATCTTCACCATGTCTATCTGTGTCGCATGCCAGAAGCCGCTGGAGGTTGAGCTCGAGCCCGAAGAATACGAGGAAGATGTCCAAATGGGCGGCTCATCGTCCGGCAAAGCGCCCGCCGCAGCCCCAGAAACAGTCCCAGACGACGTGCAACTAAACTGCGGCTGCCACTTCCACTGGTACACACCCTCCTCTCCTCCCTAATTCATGGTAAAACTAACGGCTATGAAGGGACTGCCTCCTCGAAGCCTACCAAATCACCGAATGCCCTTCCTGCGGCAAAAACATCGCATCCACATCGCCGACCGGCACCCAACAAGTCCTCTGCACCCTCAACAACGAAGGCGGCCTCCAAGAAAACCTCGACATCCTGCCCCTCCTCACCGAAGAGAGCTACCTCAAAGCGTACCCCAACGAGCGCAAGTGCCGCGCCTTCCTCGAGTTCTGCCGCGAGGGCGATATGCAGGCTATAGTTGGGATGCTACAAGGCGACAACGAAGATTCAGACGAAGATGAAGATGAAGACGAAGAAATGGCCGACGATGACGCCGAGGGCAGCGCAGACGTTGGCATCGACGCGCTCCTCCGCTACCAGGATCCCATCGGCGAGATGCAGTCCGGGCTCCACGCCGCAGTGCAAGCGCAGAGTAGGGAAGTCGCGTGGCTGCTCCTGCTGCTGGCGAGTAATCTCCCCGCTGCTGGAGTTTCCGCCTGAGGTCTTCCAGGAGGCGGAGGCGTTGGGTATTATGCGGGGGTTGACGGAGGATAAGACGGATATTAGGAGTATGAGGGATGCGAATGGGAAGACGGCGGAGGATGTGGCGAGGGGAGGTTGGGGGTGTGTGGGTGTCGGGGTGGATTGGGACGGGGAAGTTAGCTATTTAGGGTAGTGATTTTGTGCATGGGCGATGGAGTGAGAGGGGCGTTGGGGTGATGAACTGATGATACCAAAATGCTGTTGACGTGGAAGTTAGCATCCCTATGATCGGATCGCTGCTATATAGACTTCTTACAACGCAAATGATGTTGTGCACCTTATACCCGCGAGATGGTCTTCATATTGTTCGTCGAGTCACGCCAGGTACTACTCAAAAGGCATTTTCTGACCGGATGCCTCCAGCGGCTCAAGCTGTGAAGCAAACGGATGCGGGTTTTCTTACACTGTTCACCTGAATTCCACGCGCGCCTCAAACAGTATACAAAGCGGGTTGTCCAGCTCTCAACATCAGCATCATCCTGCTCTCTTCTTGCCTATCTTCCGATGCAGGTCCAAGCCTACATCCGTGATACTTTGAAGCTGGGCCGGTTTTGCACCCTCTGCAGTATCTACCAAGGTGATTCACTGCCGCATGCTTAACGTTCTATGGCCATACTTGTCCATGTTTTCACCGACACAATCGGGCTCATATCCTCACTCTACCAATTTTCCAGGTCTACTGGAAATATGGCCATCTCGACATCTGAGCTGGATGCTATACAATACTATCGCAGACATTTGAGGATTTGAATGTGTATACTGGGATAACAGAGGCTATTGAAACTCTTGGTGAGGTACTGTCAGTCCCATACAAGTGCAAAGAGTATTGACGAGGTAGGGGTGCGAGGACATGTACTTGATGTAGGGGCGATCGTGCTTGCCAGCGTTACATGCACTGGAGTGACCAGCCAGAGCGGTGGAGGCCGAGAATGCGGCGAGGAGAGGGAAGGTTAGCTCAATGGCTGTTGGTTTGAGACATATTGTTTCGCTGAGGCAAAGCCGTGGTGCTCATGTGTGTTTAGTGGTCGATATTGGACTCATTACGAGATGGCAATAGACATGCCCGTTTATAGATCGAGTCGTCCAAAATTACAGTCTGAACATTCATTGGTGTGAACGGCTACCGGACGAGCCATACGATGCCGTGGAGGTAAAGGTGCCGTCCATAATTACCGAACCTGTGAACTCAGTCAAGAAGAAGTTTCCCCACTGACCTGGGTATGAAACTCAATTTTATCTTGAGTAACTGCAGGTGAAGATCGGCAGCATGCGACACGGAGAATTTCCTACCGCTGTTTCCCAGAGCAGGACCCAGGTCAAATTTCCCTGTTTGTTTGTGCATTGTGTGCTTCATTGAGTCTTCCGAAAACATTGCGGTCTCTAGTCCAGGATGTAAGTTGGAAATTTGTCTTTACTTGCTGTGACCTATTCTGTAGAAATTGGTCGTCTCGAGAAGTCGGTCTGTAGAATAGAGCACCGTCTAAATTTACAATCTAAATAAAGAAGACTGGACGTAGCTGGGAAATCGTGAGTATGCTGGAACTGCTTCTTCCCCTTCATAGTCAAATGATACTGCAGCCCTACCTCGGCAACGCAAAACATGTGTCTTGATGTGGTGCTAGGGTCATGGGTAGCCTTGCAACGATCCTCGTCGTGTCATTCGTGGTTTCTTTGCGGGGTATCGGACCGAGCCAGGGCATGCGCCAGAACGGGTATCGCCAACCTGCATGTGGAGAACGTGGTACGTCAGACTCTCCTGAGTTCACGACTCTCGACTGTTGATGCAAAGTTTGGCATAGGCAATGCGTTCCGAGGTCCGGGGCGATTACTGGGAGAAACCTTTCCACTCGTTGCAAATTGATCGAATTGGCGCCCCATTGAGACGAGTAAAGTCCAAAAGCCTTCTGGGAAGCCTCTCCGTCGAGGATATTGTGCAAACCAGCAAGGGTCAGGATGTTGTTTCAAACTATTGAATTTCAGTTCAAATCCCGCGTGATGGTTCCGCCAGGATATCTGTTTGTTGTTCGCAACAACATAAAGAGGGGAAGATTCCATGCGGTGTTAATGCACTCTCATCCCAAAGTAATCCTAATTTTAGGAATTCTCACCTAGCACCTTAGGCCTCATTATCTACTTGCAGGATGTTCTCGACTCTCACTATCCATCAAGCAGCGATCGTGTTCGGCGCGGTGGTTTCCTTCACGGCCCTTGTTCATGGTCTCCCTGCAGACGCGAGCAACGGATATATATCTGACCGAAGCGCGGTGGTAGCTGAATCACACTCGCTCAACCCACGAATCGACATTCCACCTGCGCTTGCCGGATTTCCATCAGGCCCACTGAACGAGTTTCTGAGACTCATCAGCACTCTACCGGAAGGCGCAGCTGCGCTCGATGCGGTTGGATTGATCTTGACGCCCCTGCAACAAGGCCTGGCTGATGCAGTCGGAATCGACACAACGAGAGATGACTTGGCACAGAACGCTGCCTGTGCTGATGTCACAGTTGTGTTCGCCCGGGGAACGACCGAACCAGGGAACGTTGGGCTGGTGACAGGCCCACCATTCTACGACGCTCTAAAGGAGCAACTGGGGAGCAAGTCTCTTGCCTTTCAGGGCGTCGAATACCCCGCTACTTTTGCTGGGTTCAACAAGAACGGCACAGACGGTGTTCCAAGCATGTAAGTTATTGCAGTAGCCCGCATCAGAGACCCATGGTTTGCGTAGATGCATTCTATTCTTCGAGCTGACCCAGGACATCTAGGACCGGCTTTATCAACCAAGCACTCACGGACTGCCCTGATACCAAGTTGGTCATGTCTGGCTACTCCCAGGGCGCCCTTGTCTTGCGTAGCACTGCCAATTCACTCCCTGCGGACACAATGGCCAAGGTCAACTCGGTAGTCACTTTCGGAGATCCAGGGAATCCGGATGCCATTACCGGCGCGGAGGGCAAGACCTTGATCATCTGCCACGAGAACGATGCCGTGTGCAAGGGGGGCTTTATCACGGTTGACCACTTGACATATGCTGATAATGCAACCACGGCGGCCCAGTTCGTTGTACAGAAAGCTGGAGCGTAATTTGGGTGTGCTTGTGGTTAAGATAGCTTTGCTCTTTACTAATTGACTTGATATTGAGACTCGTGAACTTCTTAAATTACAATATATTCAGTGTAAACTCGGAAGCGTTCCCAACAGATATCACCAAGCATGTTTGGGTTGTCCTGCACCCAAGTTCTTTGGAGTTTGCGAGGGTTCTCCGGCGCCTCAACCACAGCGCGCATCTCAACCGGCTTTCACGCAGAGCATCTCATCCAGTGAGTTCATTTCTTCCTTAGTTCAGTACTCTCATCAATCCTTGTCTGGAAGGGCGGCCTCGAGCTCCTGCATCCTCCCGATGTACGCCAAAGCCAAGAATATAATATCTTAGTTGGAATGTTATCTTTTTCAATTTTTAGATGGGTATCAAGTCCTGAATCTGGCACTGAAGCCGCTTATGGCAACGAGACCTAGCATGCAAGCAAACCGAACAAAGGGGAAAGCAACGCCCCAAGCGGCCAGGAAGTTCCCAAATTTGATGCGGCGCCAGTAAAAGCTGAAGTAGGCGCTGACGTAGTCATGCTTGGGCTTGTAGCCGTTCCGTTGTTTGCAGAAGACGTGATTGATGCGGCGGTTGCCGTCGTGGTCTCGGACGCCGCGCCGGGTGTTGGCGAAGCTTTGGTAACATCTGTCACGATAGATGCAGAATCTGTACTTTGTACCTCGGATGTTGAACTCTCCACGCTCGATGTCGCCGAGCTCACTACTCCTGTACTGCTAGCTGGAGCAGCGCCCTCGCTCCCCCAAGCCCCTTCAAACCCATCGCAAAGGAACGCCATGGCCTTGTAAGACCCTCCAGGAGCAACGCAAGTCCCATCCGCGTCCGGGCCCGTGGGGTTATACAACGCTCCCGGTTCGTAAGAATGAATCAGTTCAGCGCACGCCTCATCGCGGTAAACATTGAGATACGGCCTCGAGCCGTTGTCGCACCATGGACGCTCGTTGAGGATGTAGGATTGGAAAGCAACATCCAGAGGCGAAGAAGCACTATTGTCTACTTTGGCACAGAAGTCGCGGCCCATGCCCCAGGAGTTCATGAAAACTGGATCTGCGCAAGAGGTATCTGAAAAGAGTGTGATGTTGCCGATCTTCGAGAGGTTGGCGGTGACGAAGGGTGTGGCTGCGAGAGCAGCGAGTACCGCGGAAGCAGCCCAGGACCGCATCGCAGTTGTCACACAGTAAGATAGACCGTGAAGTGGAGGTGTGAAGAGCAATTGACGCGAAAGATCTGCTGTCAGGGGTTCTACTGTAGGATTGGACGTCAGCCCCTGTGCGCTACTGGCTCATCCAATAAGATGGTCATCGAGCCACCAAGTGCCCCGTTCCGTGCGCTATTTTGGTGTCCGAACTACCACACTCTAGCCTCCTTGCATCATGGCTTCCCCAAAAAGAGAACGCTCTTCGAGCATGGCGAAACCTTCCAATTTGAAGGCTTACACTATTGCACTTGTCTTGGCTTTACCATTCGTTGTCTGGATTTTGTGGACTACAGACTCCGTGAATGTCGCGAGTCCCAAAACACCTTCTCAGTACCTAGAAGGAACTATCGAGGCCCGCGTCAATGATATACTCGCAAGCACCCCGCTAATAGGTATGTGCTAGCCCGATGACAGGGTCATTTCTAATCGTGGAATTAATTAGATGGTCACAATGATCTCGCATATTTCATTCGTTGGGCTCACAACAATCGCTTGTACCTCGACAACTTCACCCAGCCATTTGAGGGAGGAACGCTTGGTGGAGAAGTCGACCTTCGCAGGCTTCGCCAGGGGCTTTCCGGTGGAGCCTTCTGGTCTACCTTTGCGGACTGTCCAACGGAAGGTTACTCGTTGGAGTATTATGCCGAAGGTAAGCTTTGGTTTATCGAGCAATTCATATTTTGACTGAACACTGCCATCAGCACTTGCTACCACCGAGGCCGCCATCGATGTGATCCACAGGATCTACACAAGATATCCAGACATATTTGCCAGACCGAGTAACAGCTCAGACGCGCTCGCGATCTTTAAGTCCGGTCGGATCATCTCGCCTCTGGCAGTGGAAGGTCTTCACCTGGTTGGGGACTCATACACTAAGTTACGGAGCTACCATGCAAGTGGAGTGCGCCTCATAACGCTCACACACAACTGTCACAACTCCTACGCAGATTCAGCGCTGGTGATGACAGATGGAAAACTTGGACCATCGCAACCCCACTGGGGAGGTGTCAGTAAGGCGGGACAAGTTCTTGTGCGCGAGATGAACAGACTAGGTGTCATCGTCGACCTGAGCCACACATCGGCTGACACAATGCGCGCTGCACTAGGAGCGGGCAACAGAGATGACGACGAATCCGAGCGGTGGGAGGGTACCTTGGCTCCACCTATTTTCAGTCACAGTAGCGCTTTCGCTCTTTGTCCACATCCTCGAAATATCCCCGATGATGTTCTGCAGCTCTTAAAGGAGCAGGATGGTGTTGCTATGGTCACTTTCTCTCCCGACTTCGTCAGCTGCGAGTGGCCGGACGGGCATCCCGTCGAAGGCCAATTGCCCCAGAGAGTCGACGCAAATCTCACCATACCACAGATTGTTCGTCATATGCGTTACATCGGGGACTTGATAGGTTACGAGCATGTCGGCATCGGGAGTGATTTCGACGGCGTTCCATTTGTCATTGAAGGACTAGAAGACGTCTCAAAATACCCCTCGCTAGTTGCGGAAATGCTACGACAGGGCATCAGTGATGAAGTGGCCCGGAAAATTGTGGGAGGAAATCTGTTGCGGGTTTGGGGAAAAGTCGATGAGGTAGCTGCGCAACTGCAGGCCGAGGGTGCCTTACCTGCAGAGGACGGCCTTCCACCTCTGGATGATCCGTGGAGAGATGATCCGTGATCTGACTTTAGTACTCTTCTGAGAAGATAACTGTATTCTAGCACTTGAACCATGTACGAAGGAATCATTGTTATCCAACGCCGCCAACTCTCGTGAGACATTAGAAAGTCGACTAGTCACCCTGCGTCATTGGTAAGATTAAAAAGTTGCGCTATGCTTAACAGCCTTTCAAGAGTTACCTGATGTCAAGTCTCAACTTCGCACGTTGACCGCGCGACGCCGTTCTCACTTCTGTGACTTTGAAACATGAGGCAAACGACGGATTTGAAAATTCAAAATTCCTCGTTTTGGGGAATCCAATATACAGCAGTGCCACTTATCTTCAAGTTTCGACATGCATTACCTACCATAGGTAGGCTTGATGCGGGAGCCAGCCCAACAAGGCATAAACATAGTCTCTCCCCGCATCTACGAAACGCACGTACTGGCCACTACCGCTAGCGCAGAAAAAAGTCAAAAACATACAACAGCGGGTATTCGCTGCTGGTCACCCACGCAACTACTAATCCGCCGGTACACTGCTTATATATGGCTGAGCGGACGGGAAGCCTAGTTCTCAGTGTCCTATGGTCGTATGTATTGGACAACACGAACATATCCGTGTATATCCCTTGAATCACCTACTCAGCAACACGATCTCTCTCCGACGTTCCGACTACTCACCTACCATCCCCGAATGGTGCTTCAGGCGGTGAATACGCTGGCCAGTGGTATCAATCAACATCCGCGCCCTTTACCAATACAACGTACTCGCACCCCTCAGGCAACTCACCAAAGGGCCACTGCACACCCTTACCCTTCACCTGCTGCAGAGCAGCCAACGGTTCAGTGTGGTCAACCCAGAATGAGGTATCTGCACAGCAGGTACCACTTTCCATGCCACTACCAGTGCCAAAGAGTGTGCCTGTGAGCTTGGCACCCTTCACGTACTCAACGGGCGACGCATCAATAATGCCCTGGGCATACAGCCGCGCCATATCCATATCAACTTCCTCAATACCTCTACCAAAGGCACGGAGGGCGGCTAGAATCGCATGCGGATGCGAAGAGAGAATTCCAAAACTGCGATCCGTCTCACCAGTTCGCAACTCAAATAGAAGCTAAATAGGTCAGACGTGCGCGCGCATTATTGAGTAGAATATGGATCTCACCTTCGTTGCCAGCTTCTGGTTTCGAAAAGCAGGGCTCACGCATAGCTGCGTGACCCAGCACACCTGGTGACCCTGGTAATCCCAGCGGGTTGCGAATGCATAGCCCGCAAGCTCACCGTTCGACAGCGCGCGCACGAAGACACTGCGTGTGTCTGGCGCCAGGCACTGCTCGCGCAGGCGCGCCACTGACATCTTGACACGCTGACCTATAGAACGCATCAGCATGCGTGCGCATGATAAAAATCCGCAACCATTCCACAACAGCTGGAAATCTGAAAGAACAGGACATACCGGGCTTACAGTATTTGCCTATCTTCTCAGCCGCAAGAGGGCCCCAGATACCGTACGAAGAGGAGAAGAGGGCAGCCGCATCCTCAAGCATTTCGGGCGTGACGTTCTTGGGCTGGAGCTTTTCGATCATCAGCGCATTTGAGGTAGACATGATAACTGTATTTGAGTTTTACATCGAAGGGAATGGAGAGCATGAGGGTTCATAAATTAAGTGGTAGCACATCGAAGTTCACAGGATGATTTTGACTGGGCGCGATAGCCGACCCAATCTTCGATAGTATGCCCATGGGCGGCCTCGGACTGTTGAGCCTCAGTACCACCTGCGCGCACGTCACGTTAGTCAACAGTAACCTGGAGGTGGGAGGGAGGACTAGTTTCCAGTATCTCATGGTTCGTATATGAAAGATAGTGCTCACATTTACTATTATATACAAGCTCATGTGACTAATCCACACTCGTGCGGGATAGAAGATATAGCTCGCTTACAATCGTGTAATTTCCAAGTAGTAGCTCGTGTATTACTAACATGTATCATGCATCACATTTCTATAAGGTCTACCTATTAAACTGAACACCTCCGCCTCTCGTGCGGAGACACCGGCCTCGACAAAGTATCACTAAGCATACTTAGCTCGACATCTTCAATTCCACTGCTCTTCTCAAGTTTCCGCCTGAGCTTCTGCAGACTAGCCTCGTTCTGCTCTATCTCCTTGCGTATCTCATGCTCGGAAGCCAGCGGCTCCTTCAACACATGGTACAATGCGGAGGCTAGAAAGACGACTCCTACAGACACCAGTGGTGCCCACTGCCCGACCTGGTTAATCGATTCGTTGGCTGAGCCGTCGTTTCGGATGTACCATTCGATCCAGCAGATGAAAGCTACTACTATGCACGGGGAGAGGAGGAATACCGCGACCAGAATTATGAGCGCGATGATGTCGATGAGCAGGCGAAGGACTGGGATTAGGTCTCGCAGTAGAGGTCGCTCTTCTCTTTCTCTAATCCTTCGGCTTATTCGGAGTGGTAATCGGTATATCCCCCTTAACGTAATCCAACTGTACCTCGCATCTCTAGCCAACTGTCTCCACACCAACCTCTTTTTCCTAAACAAGTGATGCGGCTCGTGAATCGTGCTCCTCAACTCGTCACTCCCCAGCCTCAGCGCGCTCACAAGGTACAAAAAGATCTGTGCCGCGGCGAACACCCAAACCGCGACATATATAAGCGGTGCGAAAGCGTCATCCCCGGCTCTATTTGGATTGTGCAGCTTCGCGAAGTTCGTATGTGGATCCGACACAACCGATTTGAGACTCGACCGCTGGCGAATAATTTGCGTCGTGTTCCAGCACGGATAGAAGCAGTTGTTACTCAATTCCTGCCATGTCGTCTGCGGATGCCCGAAGATGTCGTTGATCGTGGCGTTCCAGCTTCCCGTCCAATACTTCGGGTCCCAGCCGTCGCTTGCCTGGGAATCTGAATCGAGCACGCCGGCAAAGCAAAACCGGTATTGTGGAGAGGCGAGGTTGGTCGTCGGCCAGGCGAGAAGAGCGCAGATGGATGCCGCCAGCATAATGAGGTTCCAGAGGAGTATCATGTAGCGGATTATGATTGAGGAGCGCATAGTACGGGACCAGATTTGCAGAGGAAGACCGACCAAGCAGGCGGTTACCACGATGGCGGTTATGGGGTCAATGTCGAGTTCTACGGCATCTGGCTGGATTTCCACATAAGTCGTGTTGGTGACGAGAGCTTGCACCTGGTCGTCGCCGGTCGTCCAATTAGAGTTTGAGGGGATGTAGGGGATGGTTACATTTTGGGGGTCCTGCAGCTTTGGAGGGTGTGAAATTATGATGAAGGCATTGATTGCTGCACAGGCTGCGTATGCGACGACGGCACCGAAGAAGACGTGAGAGAGCCAGCGGATGCGGATGGAACAGAAGGTCAGGGCGACGAGGACGTAGAAGAGGTATCTGCTCGCGGGGGCGTAGATGTCGCTGATGGGGTAGGCGCACATCACGTTCTGTGCAACGAGTGTGAAGACCTCTTTGGAGACTGTCACGTTGTAGGTCACGTCTCCCGAGTCGTATTGATAGGAGATGGTCTCCAGGGCTCCATTCGATCCAGTGGTGGTCGCCATGATACCCCTCTGTTGCAACTCAGCATGTTTCTCCCTCAAAATCCAAAGAAAAGAGCACAAATCCACACGACTAAAGCAGCTGTACGGAGTCTCCTCCGAGAAATCTTGGTTCTTAGTGTACCTTTTATGTTTGACGCAAGCTAACCGCACTAGTCGGACACTACTTGTCGCTACCCGGCACTATGGCCACACTACGCTTGAGAGGGGAAATGCCACCCTCCATTACTTGCCCTGAAAGACTCACGACGAGTTGCTCACGGCGCGACCGCTGCGCGCAGCAGCTCCACTGTCGGAGACTTAAAGACGATCCAAAAGCCACGTCTCTACATCCACCTGCGACATCCTCTTGCTCTTTTTGCCTAGTGAAACATTCAAAATCGGACCGATGTGCGCTTCGTCTCTGCCTTCGATCACCACGATGTCGTCTTCCAGCCCGCCCTGAGCTTTCCAGCCTTCCTTTAATTTTGTAACAAAGTCTGTAATAGGATCGTGCAGGAGTTCTTGCCCACCAACCCATATGAGCATGCTCTCGACCACAGAGTCAAGCCCACTCCACCACGACGGTTCAGCGAGGAAAGCTTCAGCGTAGACATCGTTGCTTCGCACGTCCCAAGTTACCTCCCTCTCATCCCCTCCATCCATCTCACCCAGATACATAGCCGCCCACTTCTTCAAAATATACGCCGAGAGCGTGTCTGACTCCTTGTTCCTGATGTAGCTCGCGAACTCCGTCGAAAAACTGACCCACGGACTGAAAAGCAAAACGCCTCTGAGCGGCATCTGTAGCCCCACATGGGGCACACCCGCCTTTGGACGCAAAATGTGTGAGAGGAGAGCTAGTGCGAGACCGCCGCCTGCAGAGTCGCCCGCAAGCACGATGCTGGATGGGCTGCGACCGCAGACGGTGACGAGATGCGACAGTGCGGCAGCTGCTTCGCGGAGCTGAGTTGGATAGGTCGCTTGTTCGGGGGCGAGACTGTAGGCTAATACGAGGAAGGAGATCGAAGCAGCACCTTCTGTATTGTCGTTGAGATCCTGCACAAGACCATCGAGATATTTCAAGTGACCTGGGGAAGCTGGTTGAGTGTACCCGCCGCCTGGCACTTGTCAGCTAATCTCTCCCCTTCCTAGATACGCATCACGCTTTCTTCTTCATCTCCATTTGTGACACTACTTACCATGCAAATAAAGCACCACCACATCCGCACCCTCATCCCCCACCCAATGCGCACGTACCTCCTTGCTGCCCTTTCCATTCACCTCCACCTCCAAAGTCTTTGGTTTTCTGCCTGTCTGCTTGCATAGGTCCTGATAGACTTCTGTCGTGGGCTTGAAGATGGCTCTTGAGACTGCAAGATCAGAATGACGTAACATAGTCCTAAAGGCTGTGAAGAGAAAATCTTCGAACAAGGTTGGTGCGCCGTTCCAGGAGAGGCATCGCAGGGGGAGTGTAAGGTGGCGGAAGAGTACGGCGAAGACTGTGGGGAGGTTCGGTTAGAGCGTGGACTTTGAGGACTATAGAGCGGAGGACATGGAGACGGAGGGGTACGAAGAGGTATCAGGGTCCGCGTGTATTGCCCAGGCGTACGATTCACCTTACAGAGTTCTTCTGTGGTGATAATCGAAGGTTGTTTGGACTTACGAACTCTGAGTGCAAGGACGACCCACGTCAATGTGCTTGGAGGCGACGGTCTCGTCATTGCGATAAGAACTGGCACTCGAGGAACATTCACAAGACGTTAAGAAATTTGGTCTTCATCATGGTGGTGGGTGAGGAAGTGTTGTCGGTGTCCGACGTTGCGCGCTAACTGACAACATCACTCCTGGCCAATTGATGCTAAGTTGCATATGTTGGTGAGAGACGAACAACAACTTGAGGCACATGTGTAGTAGTTTCCAGTGTCACATGTCGCTTCATAGCTACAATACCTAATCGCCATCTCCAGTACACCCTTTGTTCGACTTTCACACTACATCACCTCAAGGCATCGTAGTAACGTTCTTCTGCGGCCAGTTAATCCCCTTGTCCTTCGCACCGGAGTTGTTCAGCCCAGCACACGCATACAATCCCACGGGATTATTCGCGGTCGCGCGCATGTACTGCAAATCGAGACATTCAGCAGGGCTCGACCCGGTAACAGCGATGCGGCCGTCAGCCATGACGGTCCAGTTCTGGCCAGGCGCGGTGTCGGCACATGTGTTTACGTAGACAGTGGCCATGTCTTTCCAAGCGGCTGCGTGTTCTTGTCAGCTGACCCAACCTAGGCATATGGAGAGATATGGGGAGTCGTACTCTTCGGGCCGGCATCGAGGCACAACGTTGGTGGGTCGCTGTTCGCGAGGTAGATCTTGGAGGAGTTGGAAGTGAGTAGCCAGTGCTGGTCGGCCTTGTTGTTAACAGTGTTGCTGTATATGAGCCGCGTCAGCTTGGTCTGTGAGTCTCGGGGTTCTGAAGTCGTACACAACAATAGTGCTACCGGTTGTCATTGCCTTTGCCTGTACAACGAACTTGGTGTCGACCATGGTCTGGAGGTAGACTTTGTTGTAGCCTGCGGGTACAGAAACCTGGGCGAGGCCTGTAGCAGCGAATGCGAGCGTGATCACGGAGGTAGTGAGCATGATGGCGAAGCAGATTGTAGTGTGGGTGTCCTATGGATCGATGTCGCGATACTTGGCATGCGTGGGCGACAAGTGTTTATGTAGGCACATCGCTCGAGGAAGCCCAGATTCACATGAGTGGAATTTGAGTTTGAGTATAGCGCTAATTAGCAGTGATACTGCCTAGATGGCGACTGGGACTTCCAGGCATGGGAGACCCTTGCCTTCAGGGATGCAAATCGATGTATAATTGGTGAGTTCTCAATCATTTGATAAACATGTCCGTGAACTGCGGTAGATCGTCAGCGAACCAGGCGTTGTTGGATAGATGTCAATATTTTTGGCCTTCTCCTGCTTTAGAGTTATTGGGAGTTAATCTGCGTGCCCCGGTTAGAAGGATAAAGTCCAGTATTTCAGACCGTGGAGGAACGCGAAGTTGGGCGCACGTGCGTTCCCCGCATTGATATTGTGGGAATATGGGGCCAGCATATGCGGCAGTTGATCGTAGTCGCCTGGATACAATAGTCACACGTGCTGAAGATTGGCTGTTGTTCGGTCAGTCCAGGTGGCTGCCCTGGCATGATTGGAACAAACCAGGTCGGGCGAGGATAGAAAACTGCGACTTCGAGAATGGGACAAAATATTTCATTGAGATCGTCTGAGGAGAGTGTGGCAATCCAAAGCCTTGAACAACACCAGAGTGGATATCGCTTGCGCCTTGCCTTGCCTCGCCTTATGTACACATGCGCCAAATTAGTTCGTAATACACCCAAATGCACAAACACATGTCTCATGGCCGGTCATAGAAGTTAACTCGACCAGAACCAGCCAGCCTTCTTGTTGTTGTTCTTTTGAGATTGTTCCTGAAGCTTATGCTGAGTAGCAGCCTCCAGCATCCTCGACGAAGGGTTAGATCCTTCAATGTTGGCTTCCTGTCCTCGCTCTGTGTGAACAGTTTCGGAGCTTTCTTCTCGGCCGTCGTTGAAGCGCTTCTTCAACACAACCTTCGTCGTGACAGTGCCATCAGGATGAACCGTGCGCTCAGTAGTGGTAAGAGTCGAGAGTACAGACGGGCGTCCTTCCGTCTGAGCGCTCGCTCCGACTGGAGGGACGGGACCGAGCAAGCGTTCATAAGCTTCCAATTCTGTCTCTGGCGTGTCGTTACACCAACCACCCTGCGGGGTCTTCGGAGTCGGAGGCTCATCGTGTTGGTCTTCGTGATCATGACTGTACTCGTAGTTGGGCTCCTCGGCTCTCTCCTCGCCTTCCCACGGAATTCGTTTGGGGAACTCGTTTCTAGGTAGCCGACCCACGAAACTGCGGTCTGTTTGGTCGAAGAAGCGGCGCGCCCAGCTATCATGCGGTAGGTGGTCAGATTGACCTAACTTCTCTGAAGGTATCAAAGGATAACCGTTCTGAGAGCGAAGGAGATCTTCATAAGCATCCCTGGGTATGCCAGCGCGTGCCAAGTCTGCAGCAACAATTGAACTTTCAGACATGTCGTATGACTCATCGGTCTCCAGACTCTCGTGGCGGAATAATTCTTGGAACATAGGGAGCAGCGCTTCATCCACTTGGTGCAGGAAACGCTGCTGTTGCTCGACCCATCCATGTTGGTCAGGAGGCATAGAACGCTGCTCTTTTGCATCGTCGTGGTCGTCGATTTCTTTGACCGCAAACATGGACTCTTCCCGTCGGCGGCGCCATCGGTGGCATCGATCGCGTCTGCTCGAGGCATCCTCCTCTGCGTCGAACGGCCTAGGAAAGCCCCAATCCCACGACCAACCCCACTGCTGTCCTTTCTCGTTCGCCACCTTCTCCACTAAATCGCTCCTGCTCCTGCTCTCGTGCGCCTCTGGGTTAAACCCCGTCATTTTGCTTCCCTCACGTGGCGTTAGCTCTCCATCGTAGCTATGCCCATCACGAAGGATGTTCCCCCTGCCACCTTCCACAATCTGCTTTCGGAGCTCATCGGCGGCATAGTTGAGCCGCAATAGAACCTCGCCTTTATCTAGTGCCTGTTCTACATTGCCGGTGCGATAAAGCTCGCGGCATTCTGCTATCAAGCTCGCGGTCTCCTCTTCAAGCTCGTGCAGCTCCTTGCACTTGGTTTTTTCTGCGCGGCCAAAAAGGCAATGTTCGCGTGCGACATGGACGTTCTTGTAGTTCGCAATCGTTGCGGGCAACGTGAAGACGGTGTTCATAAGGGACGAGACCTGCGAGTCGGCGAAGCGGCGGAAGGTGATAAACGGGTTGTGTTCGTCGATGCGGTCGCGATTCCGACGAGGGTCGTTATCGTCTGAAGCCATGGTGATTCCTTCGGAGTGATGGATGATGAGTTACGGGGAGGAAGAGTGAGAGTGGTTGTTTGCTTGATAAGAGGCGGGGCTGGAGCTATGGCCAGTGAATGGCAGCCTATCCGCGACGCGCCATTGATTGATCGGCGTCGGTGTTTCATGGCGCGCCGCTCCGATGCCTTCCATCACTCTTGGCCAACCGCAATGGCAATGCCTACATCTCTTCAAACAATTCTCGAGGGATAGTTGTACGGTCCTTCTTGCCTAATATGAACCAGTGCGAATCATGCTTGCATCCTTCGTGGTTCATGGACCTGGCTAACAGGCAACATCATCGTCACCATCGCTATAACCCAACCTTTTCCACGACAGCGGCAACTCATCTCGGTTTCTCTAGCAGTATCATGTTTGTGCAAGTTTTGACGATGCCACTACTACCAGATCACAACAGGACATGACTGAGCACGGGTAGAGGGCATGGTGCATTGCCTGCACACAGCAGCACAATTGCGCACCACCCTAGCGCAGGTAGGTGCGTGAATCTTACGAATTCTTCTTCTCGTCTTCATGTCCAGGACAAGTCTCCTACTACAAGTCTCTGCGGCTAGCAGATCGACAAGCCTTTGACAATTAACTTGGGGGTCTGTTCACTTCGCGAGTCACTCAGGACGCGATATGGGCTTTATCTGAAGATGCTAAGCAACACAAATCTATATTCTCGGTTCAACGAAAATCCAAATCGATACGTAGACGAGGTGCGCCTAGGGTTTGAGACTGTAAATGAGATGAAAACCTTGAAAAAGAGGGAATGATCCCGGTATCAATCTTCCTGGTGGACGATGGAACGCTACGCAGGCATTCATTCAACGTCTTCCACGTTCAGTTACTTTCGAGACCATGAATAGCGACCTCACAACTTTTGAAGTCTGACTTGAGTATGAGTCCGTGGTAGTGCGATTAGAAAAGATAAGGTATCGCCCCCAGTCTCACAACCACCTCTCGTAAGAGAACCTATACCTACACTCAGCCATCTACCTTTACCGCCACAGCCTTCCGCGTCACCGCTCTTACAGCATGCACAATGACTGAATTCACACCTGACTTCTTGCCCTCTGTGTTCTTCCCACTACCACCATCACTACCACCCGTCGTAGTCTGAGTCCGGCGGGGTGTATACATTCGGATCGGATTCCGAAGTGTCACATTGACTACCTCTTCTACGGATCGGGGGCATGACAGGATCCTTGGACGCCTCTGAAACGATATCATCCGTAGTAAGAGCCTCTAAGGCCACGATTTTGTCAGGAATAATAACGTTCTCTTTCTCTCCTCCTTCCGGAGATAGATCCTTAAGCCAAAATACCAGGCTCGGTCCCCGGTAATGGTCTCCCTTGGATTCAGCGAAAACAGTAACCTTCTCTACAGTTTTCAGCCCGAACTGCACTTTGTGCTGGGCCAACAGCCACGCTGTACCGCATCCGTTCGGCGTACTAAGGATCGCTTTTCCCTCGTCCGTATCCATGCCGATGTCGATCCCGGGCCAGGTAGGCAGCGTTTCGGGCCAGGCACGTTGGAAGCCGAGAATCTGCAAAGCTAGGACATCTTCAAGCATGGCTAAGGTAGTTAAGTTCTGGATGGCGTGCTGGATGATGTAGTTCAACTTCATAGGCGAGGCAGGAGTAATCGTGGATGCGCCGAGAAACTGCAAAAAAGCGACGTCGGACCAATGGTACAGCGGCGGCCATCTCGCCTCGCTATTATCTTCCAGCATATACTGAGCCGTGGTGTTCGAATACGCGATCAGCACGCCGTCTTCGTGGTTCACTATCTGTGAGAAGTACGCTGACGAGAACTTGATAAGTTAGCACTACATTGGGAGAGAAAACTTGTGGGACTTACAGGATAGGCGATTTGTTTCACGAGAGTATCCTGGCTATGTTCATGATAAACTCGGACGTTCCTCCCTCCATTGTCGCTCGTTTTGTCGTCCACCCCCAGGCCTTGCAGACACGCGCGCAGCGGCTCGAATGCGAACTTGCCATACTGAGTGGTCTCCGTATATCCGTATCTTCCAAGATCTGAGTGCGCTGTGAAGATACTTTGCTCGGCGTCATGAGTGGTGAAGAGGTTTAGGAGGCGGGTTCCTTTGGCGACTCCCTGATTGAATGCGCTTCTAGTCATTGTGTAGTCCGACGTGGCGGGTTGAAAAAATGTACAGTGCGGCGACTGGCGACGACTTAAGTACATCGTCAATATGTGGGTGCCTGTTGTAAAGGGTTGTTTGTGATTGTTTGTTCGCATAGAAGTGAAGGGTAAAACACGGCGACCGCTGTCATGGGGCTTTTAGGGCAAGCTGAGTGAAGGAGAAGCAATCCACGAGTAAAAGCCATATTCAAGGGACTGAATCCAAACCCTTCTCTACTCCTAATCATTATCGAATCTGAGTATCGGTGAGATAGAGGAAAGCGCAACTATGTGCCATTGTCAATAGGGAGCAAACCTCCCCTCTTCCCCCTTCCGCTTGTCCTTCTTTTTGTCCTTCCGCTTCTCTTTCCTATCCTTTGATTTTGATTTTGGTTCTGCGGCCTCTTCATCGACTTCCATGGTACTACCGCTTGGCATCTTCCACGAACGTACAAAGCCATCTTCTCCGCAAGTGTATGTTGTAAGCGTCTGCGGCTGGTCAGCAAGTGCATTAGTCGTATTGGAGATAGGGAGGAACACTTACGGAAACGTCGGTGAACAGATCCCGTACAATTTCCTCACCATGCGCGCCTTGAAACCGGATCGGTTGTTGCGGGTTGCAAATGTAGTCGAGGGGGCCACCTTGCGCGTTCTTGTGCACAAAGTACAGGGTGAGGTCACTAGAGCTATGGAGATCAGCACCGCGTTCTGCGACCAGACTGCTGTCAAGAGATTGACTCACCTGTGCTTCCCGGTGGCAAGATACGCTTTGTCGCCAACCCAGTGCATCTTAGCTAAGTACTCACACCCTAGCTGCTCCCTTGTATCACCGTAGGCTTTCGGCTTTGGTTCCTCTTTCTCTTCATCCTGGCTCTGCAGGGCGTAGAAGCTTAGCGTCTCGTCCGTGCCCATGGCATAAATGTCAGTTGTCGGAAACATGAAACCTGCGCGCGCAATGGCAGAGCGATGGTTGACAACCTGATATAGCGCGTCATCCTCATCAGCTTGAGTGAAGTCGAAGACGTTGATCAGACCATCTGTGCTTGCGGACAAGAGTAGGTTTGGGAGGCTGGGATGAATCTGTAAGTCGGTGACGGTGTCTGTGTGCGAGTCTACGTATTCGCGGACAGGTGCTTGTGGGTTGCGCTGGTCCCAGATGTAGACTGGAGAGCCGCGCGGCCCATCTTCGGGATTCTCAATACCAGCGGCAATGAAGCTCGTCTCGGAGTTGCAGACGAGGGATGATATAAGCTTCTGTGCTGCGATGGAATCAATATCATATTGCGATGGACAAGCTAATTTACTCACGGCTTTGAATCTGCGCAACTGCCTTTCCCGGACTTCTCTTATCCCAAAGATTAATCAGGCCATCTCTTCCTGCGGTCGTTACCAGGTTGCTTGGCTGGTCGTTGCCGCGCTCCAGACACGTGACTTTTTCGTTTACATTCTTGACGATACCGTTGGGGAGCACATTTAGAGTTGCGGGGTCGAAGAAGCGAAGAGAGTCATCAGATGCAATTGCAGCGAGCTGGCCCGTTCCACCGTATGTGAGCGGGTCCTGCCGCGGTGCTGTGGAAATGACCCTGTAGATGTACGAATTGGGCGCCAACCCCAGGTCAGACTGGCCGTGCTGCGAGGCGCTCATGATACCTTTTCGATGCTGCTCTAGAAAGTGCTATCTTTTTATTGAGTTGCAGCAACTGTCGATCATTGTCCGTAATACACGCGGTTGTGACGAGATTGATGAAGTTCGTGGCAGAATAATTTTTTTACGTGGGCAGCGGACATCGAGTGCGGTCACAACAAGTGCGTAAGAAATCATCTTCACCACGTTGACAGACAGCACGCTCACTTCAATCTGGCTATGCGCATCCCTAGAGCATGTCACCAGTCAGACGCTACGAGGTACGTGGAAGAAGCAACATTGAACCCTCTGGTACCTATCGGGAAGCACCGGATGGCTGGACACACCGCGAAGCCACATGTGTTCTTGCTTTGGTGTCCAACACGCGAGAACAAGTGTTGAGGGCTATGAAAGCCGTCGAACTTGTCGCAGACGCAAAGCAAACATATAACACGACTTCTTTCAAAATAATGTAGCCCTGGATATGAAACTCATCAGGTCAATTTTTCAGGCCAAATGAGCGATTAACTACGGGCAGTTCTTCGCGGATCCCTCAGGTCCCAGTACCACTGACATAACGCCAGCAGAAAGGCCGTCACTCCGCGATCTCATACCCGGAGGTTGATGCGGCGATATCGAGGTTCCTGGAGAGAAGAAGAGCAGAGCCGCGGGCGAGGAATTTTCGGGTGCCCTTGGGCGTTGACTAAGCAGATCGCTTTTCGAAGCGCTGTGATTGGCCGCTTCGGCAACGGCTCGGATGCTGGGCGATTCATGAGTGTGAGCGCAAAGCAACGACATCACCACCACCGACGACAACCCTCTCCCCTCCACACCAATTGGCAGCCGCGGCGTGCATCATGGCTTCCCAGCGAGTGTTACAGCTTGGCCTGCGACGGGCGGCCGCCCCCAGCTTCAGATTCCAGCCTGCCGGGCGCATGGTCCAGCGGAGGTACGTAGCCCGTGACACCATCACCAGCTGCTCACCCCATCAACACGCCGCCCAGAACACGTGAAGCTGACACTGCAACAGACTCGCAAACACCCAGACTACTGGAAAGGTCAGCCAAGAGACTGGGGAGGAAATCCTCGCGAAGCAGCGCCTCCAGCGTCCCGTCTCCCCGCACATGGCCATCTACCGACCGCAGATCACCTGGTACGCCTCCGGTCTCAACCGTATTACTGCCGTCATCATTGGTGGTGGTCTCTACCTCTTCGGCTTCGCATACCTCGCTGCTCCTACGCTCGGATGGCACCTCGAGAGTCAGTCCCTAGTCGCTGCGGTCGCCGCATGGCCGTTGTGGGCTAAGGCCTCCGCAAAGTTCGCCATTGCGATGCCTTTCTTCTTCCACAGCGTAAATGGTCTGAGGCATTTGGCTTGGGACTTCGGTGTTGGCCTGAAGAACACTACGGTTGCACGAACCGGCTGGACCGCTGTGGCCGCTACATTTGCCTTGTCGGCCTACTACGCTTTCTTTCATTAGAGACTGATACCAAAATGGTGGAAGATCTAGGATTGGTATGCAGGAGAAGGTGCTGGCGGTGGATGCTGGGTTCGAGTTGGTCGACAAGAGCTAGGAAGAACGCAGCTCCCGGGGAGATACAATTGTAAATTTTATGTTTGAAGTATTCCACGTTAGATGCAATCGAATCTATAAGACATCCATTGTGTAGCACGCCTACCTCAGCCCCTCAGTACGTTGAACAGTCTTTTGAGAGACTAGAATGGCGGCAGCCGTCTGGTTTGATATATCCTGAACTCCGGCATCATTGCTCCTGCAGCAAGTTCATCAATCTCAGCTATATCTTTCCACTATCTATTCCCTTTGAAGCTCCATGTATTACAGCCACCCTGTTATAGCGCAGCGTGTACCCAGCATCCTACTAATGTATTAAACGTAAAGAATCAAAAATAGAGTCGCGCCACAAAACATGACGAGGATTTAAGCCCGTAAAGAGAGGTTCTGCAATTGGCTGCCGACCGCCACTGGATATCATGCTTTGACTCTGCGTAAGACAAAAGAAACAACGAAACGTCTGTCACGTGAGTGCGCGTTAGCCCTGGAGTAAGCGGAGGATTAACGTCGCGTGGCTAAATGCAACACATTCCTCCACAACGTCGCACCGGAACGGCTCCGGCAGGCTGTCGCGATCATGGCGGAGTCGCAAGATTGTACGATGTTGCATGATAAACTCTATGATGTGAGTTGTCGTCTCCTCGCATCCATGCAGTGCGGCAAGACCCCGGTCGTTCTTGCAGATCATGGGTCGTGCTATCTGAGCGCATCCTCTGACGCCACTAGGACCCGTCCCAACTCTCCCAGCTGCTCCGCCAGCGGGCAGGCAGCCAATTCGCCATTCACTCCTTCAATTTAGCTGAACATCACACTGTCAACGCGACGCCCACGTTCTCTTCGGAGCGGCTGCCTAGCCCACAGCGCCCCGCCGTCGCGCTTTCTCTTTCACCAACGCGTGCTGCATCTCGACGCGTACGATTCAACTCGCGACATGTTACTCCGAAACTTCACAATCACCACTCGGCACCGGTCAGTACGGGTCCGTTGATTATGGAGAATGAGGAGACGCGCAAGCCCTACCAATCATTCAACGGCACCATGGACGCTCCCGGCGACACGCAGGTGGATCCTGAGATCTATAAGATGCTTACCAGCGGTATATACCCCAGCAACAGCACGCTCGGTGCTGCCTTTGAGCCAGTGGTACCTTATGCAGAACATGGGAGCTCGGAATCAGCGGACAACTACATTGCAGCATCAAGCCAAGAACCGCCCCGCGATCGCATCACCAGTCCGGTGACGATAAACGACGACCAAGACACGCAAAACCGCGCCCACTACGCAGAGACTAGTCCTCTCAAGCTCCTCGAGACTCCGGCAGCTTATACAGGCAGGAAGCGGGACAGTCAGGGCCAGGTGCTGAGCTCGGTGGGCAGAACAAACACTACTCCAGGGACTGTTTTGTCGGCATCCGCCTTCTTCAGCTTCCGTGGCGATGAATATGCCAATGGCATGTCCCTTACCCAGGCTTTCAATGCTACGCAAGCAAAGACATCACCCGCCGTCGGCAACCCGAACGACGATGTTGTCTTCCAGAGACCCTCACCGAATTTTACACATGCGCGTCATTCAAGCGCCGATGCGATGTTGTCCAGTCCAATCAAGCCGCAAAATCGAAAGGAACCAGTGGGTGATATAGTCTTGAGGTCCTCCAGTGAACCGCGGGCCGATTACGAATCGATGAAGCATTCGCAAGAGCGACGAAGCCGGGAGCGAGCAAGCGAAGAGAAGGACATTGAAGAGCAACAGGACAGTTGGGAACAACCCACAGGCGTGGGAAAGCATTACGCTAGGCGAAAAGCGAAGGAGCGTTTCGAGCAAGAAGCCGCCAAATCGCTCGCAGGTGTGTCTGCTCCAACGTCTTCAGCGCGTCTGCCCAAGAAGCGGGGCTTGCTTTCCATGAGGGCGACTACGACTTCCCCCAGAAAGCCCACAAGAACCGAACTCACTGTCTATCACGGTCCTTACGATGGTGCAGGTGCTGATGCCCCGTACGAACTATCGCAACATCTAACAAGAAACGATGATACCGGTCATTCACCTGACGAGCTACCTCAAGATCTTTTCACCCACCGCTCCGCACCGGCCATTGCAATGCAGGTGGTTGGGGCCGAACAACGTGTTCAAGTACCCCATACCTCTTCACACCCGGTTCATACTTACTCTGCACCTTCTTCGCACAACCTTTCTCAACCAAACCTTTCACCATCACAACCACAACCAGAGTCGCAAATTCGAGCCTCAGCGTCTCAACCTGCGCCAAAGAGTCTCTCGAGGCTTCGTAGTAGCCGAGAAACGGAAGTCGTTATGGACTCCCAGCCCGAGCCGGCAGCTACCTTTCGTGCTTCACAACCTGCCCCACTGCGGTATCCTTCTTCACCGTCAACCAATGCATACAGTATTAATCAAACAACAATGCTACCCAAATCGGCACTCATCAGCTCACCTATCTCGTCGGCAATTCCTATGCCACCCAAATTCAGCTCACAAGAGCTTGGCGTGACTATTGACAAGGAGGACACGGGCGATGTTGTCGAAGAGGGCGTTCCGAGCAGTCCACCTCTGATTGTACGTGCTGACGGCGATGACGACATCACCTATGATGAGCACGCATACGAAGATGATTCAAACGATGGATGCAGGGAGCGAGACGGCCAATCAGGTGCAGACGATGCAGAAATGGAAGAGGCTGACGAGGGAGACGACTTACCTACACCAGAAGATGAGCCTAGCGAATATGCATTATCAGACTCTGAGGACGAACCAGAAAATAGGGAGCGCGTCGACGACGATGAAGTGCCTGAGACTATCGAACAAGAGCATGGTCAGGACGCCTTGGTCGGCTCGGGTCATCCTCCGGATGGCAAAGAAGAGAGCACGAACACACCGATGGCTCCGCCGCGCACACATCGCCAGTCAACAGTCCCCGAGACTGATATGCTTGAAGAGACACAACCTTCGTTAATTCCTGAAGCTGCAGATGCCACGCAGCTCGATACTACAGCAGCGGCTACCGAGAATGTTTCTACGGGGATCTTGGACAATGATCAGAATGAGCAGATCGATCACGGCCAAAGCAACAGCAACGAGCGCTTCGATACTGCGAAGGAGCATCAGTCGACGTCGCAGGTTGCCAATGAAGTCAGCAGCGCTATAGAAGAGACCGTGGCCGCACCTTCTCCGGCACGTTTCAAGGGTCGTTCATTGCTTGACATTGCAAACGAATCGGGCACACAACAATCGGTCGACTTTGATGGACTTGATCTACCGCAATTGAGCTTTGATGGGGATCCAGAGGATGCGTTAGATGCAATGATAGCTCGAGATTCGCCGTACCACACACAGAAGAAACGTCGAACGACTTATAGTACGAAGAAAGCCTTCCGGAGCCCGATCAAAGACACGGACCCTGTGTCAGATCAGCTAAGTAGCTCACCACAACCACGGGCATCCCACGCACCTGGCTGGTCGCCCCCGACGACCCAGGACCGTGAAGCACAAGGAGCGCAAGCTGCAGCGCGTGCTCGGAAGGAAGCTGGCATACAGTCAGCGACGTTGAAGTCTAAGACTCGCTTCAAGCCAAATCAGCCTCAAACCCCTCGTAAGGGTGCTTTGAAGACAGTCAACAAAACATTGTTGTCTAAATCGCCGGGGCAAACGCCACCAAAAGCGTTGCCAAAAGACCGAACAGCTGAGCATGCGACACCGACTCGATCTTTGGAAGCTCGCAGTGCTGACGTGGAGATGGGTGATATAGATCATCTCGATGCCGAGGACGAGCCTGTGCAAGACGCCAACATCGCCAGCATTGAGCATGTAGATGTGTCCACAGCTGATGATTTTGTCGAAGATCCGTCTGGAGAGCGCAATATGCCTAACCGCATTTTCGCATTCTGGCCCAAAATTGGTTATTGTCCTGCCACATGCATTGGCCGTGTGGACTCGCATCGTCTTCGTGTCCGCTACGATGATGGCACGATCAATGTCTTGGAACATATGCAAATTCGTGCCCTTGACTTGCACCCGGCGGACCAGATAAAGATCGATATCCCTGGAAAAAAGAAATCCGCATACGTGGTTGTAGGTTTCAAAAACAAGGTCGATCCACAAGACCCTACATTGGAGTATCCAGCGACCAACCGTCATGGTCATGCAACGGTTGTTTTAGAAGAGAAGCAGCGCGACAGTCTTCCTGCGCATGCACAGGCGCGAGCAAGGGACCACATTGACGTCCCGATAGCTAATATCTACCTTACGACACAATTGTGGGCTCGATTGAGGGATAGAACATTCGAGTATGATAAAGCAGCCAGTCCTGCTGCTCCAGCGTCGCGCGTCGGAACGCCTCGGACTGTTGAGTCGGCCATCCCAATGTCAACATCGCTTCGAAGGAGCGCTGCTGGACCTTCTTTCCTTCGCGACTCGGCTGCCCGCGCATCTTCGGTTGCTTCCTCAGCACGCTCAAGCGGCAACGTCTTCCTGAATATGGCATTTGCTGTAACGTCTACGAGTACGACAGTCAACAAGGATGATATTAGCAAGCTCATCACGTCTAGTGGCGGATTGGTCGTTGATGAAGGCTTCCACGAGCTATTTGATAGAGACTCATATGACGCACCAATGTCCTCGGCTGGTTCACAAAACGCACCATCTGCATCAATGCATGGACTGAAGCTGAAGAGTAAGAATGAGGATTTGCGCTTCGTGGCGCTTATTGCACAGTCACATTCGCGCAGCCCAAAGTTCCTCCAAGCGCTTTCTCTGAATATTCCCTGCTTACACCTCCGCTGGATTCACGACTCTCTAGCGGTAGGCTGTGCCTTACCATTCGCGAAATACCTTCTTCCTGCCGGCACCTCAACGTTCCTGGATCCTGTAGGTGTCGTCCGCTCTCGCAACTTGCCAACATATGACCCAACCGCCGAAGACACTACCTTCGCGCAGATGGTAAAGGATCGTGAGCTACTCTTCCGCAATGAGTCTGTTCTCATTGTCAGCGAAGAGAATGAACAGGAACCGTACATCTTCCTTACACATGCCATGGGCGCCACTGAGGTGTGCCTGTGCAGCGACCTCGAGGAAGCAAAAGAATCTGTGGATACCGGAGCCTGGGACTGGGTGTATGTGGACGGCAAACCTGATGCGCTCGCTGACGCAGCAGCCCAGATCTTCGGCATTGGGGCGGGCAAGACAGCGGGCAAGAAGGCTACCAAGAAGCGCAAGAGGGACAGCGAATCTGCGAAGGCACCGTGGACGGGGAACGCTCGTACGCACGGGATTTGCCGGCGAGAAGAAGGTCAAGGTGGCGTGTGGTGAATTCGTGATTCAGAGCCTCATTCTTGGGGCTTTGGTTGAACAGTAAGGGACTGTTCAGGATGAATCTTAGATGGGTGTAGGCGGATTTGCAAAATGGCGTTTTCATGGATACTATGCATGTTATATCGGCGCTTTTTTTATCGCTTCGGCGCTCAGGGAAAAGGGAGGGACGCCACAGATACCACGGCAAAAGGGTCGGTTGCAAGGGTGTATACAGAGGGCTCTCAGCGGAGGAGGTATAAGGACCGCCCAGCTTAAGCCGTGCTACATATAGTGTATGGGCACAATATTCGAATCAAAGATATGATATGTCAATTGATGTTAGATTGACTTACGGATCACTTCCGGCGTCCTCGGTCTTCGGGGGGGGCCTTGTGCCACTTTACAGTATTGATAAACTACAAGTTCAAATACAGTACCTGCCCCCCCGCTTCTCGCAGGCCGTTCTCGATCGGGCTATGGTCTGGAAAGGACTTGCCCAGGCATTGTCTCATGTACTTTGATATCCCTTGCTGATACACCTGAATTGTGACCAAACAATTTGCCAGCTGCTTGTGGTTGCTAGTCTACGCGGTATGCGCGATACGCGCCCGCTTGCGCGTTCTCCATAGCCCTGAAGCAGGGAGAAATGCAGCCCTACGATGAATTGTATAAAGAGCGATTTGTTCTGTCAATAAGACAATCTACAAGCCAAGCACACAGACCGACAGACATCTGGGCGGTTGTTTTCGCTGACGCAGGTTACAGGCTCCGGGTGTGTCAAACTCTTTATCGTCAAGTTCAGTCCTGGCAAGGTCTTCCAGGACGACGTTGGTGCCATCTTCGATTTCTTCGGCGTCTTTTTCCGTAGCAGATCCAAGCTCCTCGACTTCATCGTCCTTCAAACCCTTGTTGACAAACTCGTTGCTTTCCCTGACCTCTTTAGCAACGTCCTTCACATCGACGGCGCCTCCGCCTCCGCCTCTCAACACTCCCGGCGTTGTCACAACTACCTTGACCGGGAAATGCACCGCAACCGCTACCACCACTCAGACCGTCACAGCATATCTCTCGGCAAATGCGGCTAGCACGCCAACTACTACCAGCACAATCTATCAGTTTGAGACGGTGTTTACGACATGGACTGTGACTACTACCGCCGAGCAAACGTATGGAGTGACTGAGCGTACGCTCGAAACGAGCTTGGTGTTGACGACTAGCACGTTGCTCGCGCTTCGTACATCCACGGCGACCTCGACAGTTGTGGAGACGGCCGGAGCAGTACCATCTCCTGGACCTTCGCCTTCAGATGTTCCATCTCCGGTCAACACGGCTGCGGAAACAGTGACAGCGACACAATACATTGCTGAGCAAGCCCCCGACGCGCCAGGCGCAACTCTGATTGAGACAATGACTGGACCAGGCGCCACAACCGCCGTCTTCGAAACTGTCCCTGGCGCGGGCTACACGGTCACCATCACGTTCTTTCAGATCCTTCACCTGCCGCCCCAAGCGGCTCTTCAGCCCCTGCCATCCTCCCTTCGCCTTCAACAAACGGCACACTGCCTGCAGCCTGTACATGTGTCGAAGGCACCCCCGGAGGCTTCTACTGCGGGTACTGCAGTCAGGTGACGAGCTGCGCAAGGGGTGACGACTGTTGGGCTAGCGCTTTCTTGTGCGGGAGCGACGCGCAGTGTGGGGATTACGGAGCGCTAGAGTATTGTGAGCAGACGAGTGAGGGCAGGACGGAGAAGGAGAATTGTCCGTTTTTGAGTGTGCAGTTCGCAAAGGGCTTGTAGGTTGGGCATGGTAAGATGTCCTAATCTTAAGGAGAGAGTGAGGTGGAATGGGGATAGTAGAGTAGGATAGTGGGACGAAGAATTGAGTGCTAAAGTAGTGGTGGCTGGGATAGGATTGATGAAGAGTTGGATGAGTTGTCTCGGATCAGAGCAGGACTGTACTACTACTGTGTAGGTGCCCTGCAGTATCATGAGGTTACACTCCACGAAGTGTGCCAAGCCTTTGCTTTGAGACTGCCTCGTAGGTGTACTCCCTTCTTCCGACTCGCTCTGCCGCATGTGTAGCATCGATCCATGACCGTCAAGCGCCTCCCGTTCCGGGCTGTAGGACGTTATTTGTACGACCTCGCTTCGATGACAGTCTGGTGGGGCAAGCGTGGAGGACTGCTCGTGTAACCCATCGTTAGGACCTAGAACTCTTGTAACACTCGATCCATCCCTTCTGTTCAGAGCCGATACGAACTTCAGTGAAGATCGCCCGAGTAAGGCGTTGTTAGAGATCCCACCTGATGAACTTCAGATGAAGTAGACGAGATATGGTGCTTAGACCGGCTTACCACACAGTCCTGCAGGTACATGGCCACATGGCGTCAGCTTCCCACCGCGTTTGCTTAAGCCTACAAACAGTCCGTAAGCTCAACCGTGCACAGCCCTCGCATCCCCCGCCGCTACGGATCACCAACTTCATTCACCTCAAACATGACCCCTGAATGGGTTGCCCAGTAAGCACGCTGTCGCAGGCTCAAATGAGGCAATCAAACCAGCAAAACTTATCTCAGTTACAGTGCAAGGGAAATCTCGCTCCCGCCCGCCTTTAAGATTGCCATGTGAGGGCAGAGCGCATTGTTGGCGTCCCAATTGCAGTGCGCGTAGTCTAATCATCGGCTCCCCACCGCGCTTTACTCGCTTTGGTATTAGTAACAAGATGGCTGAAAGCTTGGTGCCTATCCTCGCAATCTGCCACACATGTTCTTTGGCAATTTGACAGGGAGTACGGAACGTTCGGGAAGGCTTGATGGCGATCCCACAGATTGTGGCGGAACAGTCGGCGCTGGGTGGGCGCTGCTTGTCAAAGGACCGGCCTGAGTGGCCGGGACGACGTGGGAGGCGGAACTGGCTGGAGAATGTAAGATTAGGGAGCTGCGCGCTGCTTGCATGCGAAGCGTGGCGTTCTTTAGTGTTAGCGTAGGCAAGGGGGCGAATCAGTGCGGAAAATAGCATGCGCGAAGGCTAGACTGGCGTGCCGGGGCTGAGAAATTCAACTAGATCAACGGGCTCTGTTGGTGAGGTGGCATCTATCGGTCTCATAAGAAAGGCCAGGAGCAGAGCACACGATATCTGTTGTTCTAGGCATTTGGTTGAAAGGTAGATGCAAAGCAGTGAGGATTGGGTCAGAACAGCGCACTGCATAAAGAACACGACAGGTTGAAAGTCCTGTTGGATCAAAGCAGACCCTGGCTAGAGATCGCTTCGCATCTAAGAAACTATCCGGGCCCCGTCCGATAGCAGACGCTCACGCTTACGCGCGAAGCCCCCCCTGGCATATACCTTCCGCAATCATCCCTAGCAGGCCCCTCCGCCGCTCATATTATCCCTCCCTTCCACCTCTTGTCCATCTTGGCCTTTTGCTCTGCGATTTTCCCAAGCGCCCTGTATTAACACCACACTGTCGCTCGTTTGCCACCCGTCAGCGAGGAGTGCGACACTGGAGTCTGAGCCCTAGGCTCTTCCCTGAACGAAACGAAAGAAACGAAAACCCGAAACGCATTACAGATTTAGCCACCATGATGGCGTCCTCGATGTTCCTGACGCCGCGAGCGTTGGGCGCCTACGCCGTCGTTATCCTCCTCTTCCTCACCATCCGCCAGCTCGGTACCACCCACGCCACCTACAACACTTCAGAATGGAAGGGGAAGGTCTCCCACCTGACAGGCTCCTCCGGCCCCAAACCCGCAAACTCAACCCTCGATTTCCAGGAAATCGTCTACATTAGCATGCCTTACCGCACCGACCGACAAGACGCTATGGTGCTCACCGCCGCGCAGACGGGCCTCAAGCTCAACAAGATGATCAAAGGTGTTCCTTCAGCGGACGTGCACGAGAAGGCGCGCCCGCTGACGAACCATCCCGGGGATGATCCGAAGAAGCCATGGTTGGGCGTGTGGAGGGCGCATGCTGATGCGTGGCGGTACATGATTGACAATGACATCCAGAGCGCGCTGATTATGGAGGACGATGTTGACTGGGACGTCAACGTGAAGGAGGTTTTTGGGCTTTGGAACTGGCAGATGAAGAACAACAACTCGCTCGCTGAGAACCTGGGCAGGGGCAAGAATGGCGAGACGTGCGAGTATGGTGAGTTGCACTTTCCATCTAGTCGCTTGTGCACGCTGTGTCTCCAGACCTGGCCGGTTCGCAACCACTGAACTACGGATGCGTTCCACGAGTCAGCAGATATCTCCACGTTTTTTCTTTCGCAGCAACAAGCATACTAACGAAATATTACAGGCTGCGACTGGGACCACCTGTCCATGGGCCAATGCGTCTACAAGGCCCATCCAACCGACCACACCCACTTCTCCTACAACGACCCCAACTCCCCCGCCATCGGCTCCTTTGCAAAGGATAACAAAAAGGAAATGGTCGAGACCTGGAAGTACAAGCCCGAAGACGCGGGTGTGCGTCTAGTCACGCCTTCGTACGCCCCGCTGTGCACCATGGGGTAAGCCACGTCCCCCTCCCTCATCTCTCCTTGAAAGAAGGGACTTCTAACAGCGTCCAACAGATATGCCATGACCCAGCGCGGCGCGCGTCGCGCCCTGTACCAAATCGGCGGCTTTCTAGCCATGGACAGTCCGATCGACTTGGAGTTTATCCAGCATGCCAAAGACGGCCGTCTAAAGTCGTACACCATCTCTCCGCCCACGCTCGTAAAGTGGAAGGTCTTCGGCCCCGGCGACACCGACAACGACTACGGCTTCGACTTCAAGGCCAATCCCGACCAGGACACTACCCAGGGCGGTGGCCAGAGCAAGGGCCTGCTCAGCAGCGCGAGGCAGGCGCTCAAGGCGCTGGATGGCAAGTTCCATACGTGGAAGACGGAGGACAAGAAGGGCGATAAGAAGGGTACATAAACCCTCTCTCATAGCCAGTGTGAGGGGCACGAGAAGAGCAGAGAAGTTGAATGGCTTGATGCGACCGACCGAGCGACAGACGTTTCCTTTATCCTTCTTTCCTTGCGGTTCGATGCAAGCGAGCATCCTTGAGATACCATATCCCCTTGCCATTCCATACACTTTCCGTTGTACACTTATAATCGACGAAATATCTGGGAACGTAGAGATGATCCGAGGATGATCTAGGTTTGGAGTGTTAAGAATAGGTTGGGTCGCATTTTCTTGGGCAGCAGTTGGTTAGCGATGGCGTTGGAAACAGACATTGGCAGCAACATGCAACACCGTGGTATAAATACAAAAACAGAGTTCAGAACATTTCTTGCAGAGTATGTTTAGAGTATATGAACAGGTCGTGATGCTGAAGACAAAGGGGAGCAAGGGAGACTCTAGTTCACATCTGTGGCAAGCCTTTCGAGCCTGATAATGTGGTGTAAATAAACGAAGCATACCATGAGGGCTTACAATCACTTACCCTTCGTGCTAGTACACTGCCCAGCTATGAGCATGCTAGCTAGTTGTTACAAGAGCAACGTGCCGAACATTTGATACCATATGCCAGGGCAACTCAGGCCATGGCGAGGTCCCCGACTTCTTATCTGACACCTTGTGACCGTCGTTCACGTTGTCCCCTCACTGCAACACCATGCAGACTCATTTGTGATCCTCACGAAACTCAGCGCGAGGACAAAGCTCGGAACAAGATTACATTCAAAAAAATACACTATCTCCTATCGGCCCCTTGCATTTCCATGCCATGCTCCCACTCTCCCGCTCTATCCACAAATTCAATGAAAGACGAGACAAAAGCAAGCAAAGGTTCCGAAGACACAGACACAGATACAAACACAGCCATGAACCAACCAAGCCCCGCCACCGACGCCGTCGCTATTGATTTGGCCCATGTTAAAGTTGTTGCCACCCGGTGCCCCAAGCCCCCCAGAAACGCTATGCCGCTCGAAGTATGATTTTGTGAACGCAATAAGGAAATAAAACAAGATCAATATGTAATGTTGTGTGCAGGTCAGTCAATTTAGGATGGTCGGATGAGGGGGAGGGAGTGGTGAGGTTGGGTCGAAGAGAAGATCAAGGAAAGAAAGAGATGATTAGAGTAAAGAAGAAAGGGACTGATGGAACTTCCTCCCAGCAGATCCAAAAAGAGTTCCGGTCCAGCGAACCAGAACCTGTGAGCCGCCCGTATCCGTGCTTTTTACCCAGGCCTCCAGGCTTTTGTGAGTTTTTGATCCCCGAACACCGTTCCACTACCAGTCCAGAAGGTATCAAACACCATCGCCGAAAGATCTCCAGTCTATGTTCTCCAGCCGTACCATGCCTGCAAATGCCGCAAATCTGAAACCAGTCTGTGTAAAAGTGCCCATGCAGTGAGATCTTGCCCGCGCCTGCCTAGCCGAGAAATCCGTCCCATGCCAAAAATGCTCGAGCACGATCCAAGCCTCGAAACATCAATCCCGATTATGTACGATAAGAGTCTACGCCGGCGACTTATTCGAGGCGTTGGATGCATTGCGGCGGTCGTCGTTGACAGACAGACCACCGAAGCCCGCAGAGAGGAAAGAGAAGGGGTCGTTACGTCCATCACCGCCGTTGACAGCTCCTTGGTTGGGGTACGGGTCGGCCGAAGTGAACGCGGCTTCAGCGGAGCGGCTGTCGAAGGGTGTCGAGTGCATACCACCATTGGGAGCGTACTGAGCTCCCATGGGAGGGTACGGGCTGGCAGCGCCAATGCCTGAGGGGAGAGCATACGAGCTTGGAGGCCCACCATACTGCTGGGCAGGGTATCCGCCAGCAGCGAATGGAGCTGCACCGAAGGGACCGGCACCAGGAGTTCCGCCCATCGAGGGTGGGCCCATGCCGAAGCTGGAGGGCGTGTCCATAGGGGAAGGGAACGCAGAGTCGGCAACGACAGCAGCTCCGGCCCGGCTAGCACCGCACCGCAGGCACTGAACATTCTTGGCGAAGTTGTGGTAACCGCAGCCATTCTCTCCACACTTCCAGTCGCCGGCACGGAAGGGCACGACACCGTTTCCTCCGCGGCCCATGTTGCCGTGTCCACCACCCATACCATGGCCGTGGCCGTGGCCCATGTGATGTTGGGGCGGGCCCATCATGGAGGGCGGCCCGTATCCGTAACCGCCGTAAGCCATTGGATCCCCTCCAGGTGGGCCTTGCATGGCCGGGAAGGAGCAGCGGAAGCATGCTGTACGACGCTGGAAGTTGGAGAAGCCGCACGAGGGGCAGTTCCAGTCGCCGGGTCGGGGACGGTTCTTGCTAGGAGGGAACGGGCTCAGGATGTCGGCTGCACGGTCAAGGACGCGGCTGGAGGACGGTGACACCTCAATGGCCTTCTCGTTGAGCGCACGACCGTTCATGCACAGACTCTCGGCGGCCTACGAAATGTTAATAATGTGCAATAGCGACCGGTTGATGTCCTCTTACCTCTTCATGGGAAGAAAAGATGGCGAAGCCAGAGCCAGTAGGTTTGTGCTGGTCGGGTGTTCGCAGTGTCCAGAAAGCAATCGGACGACCGCCAAATTGGGTGAACCAGCTCTCAAGCTCGGACTGTGTAGTGTCATGCGGCAAGCCGCTCATGTGGAGCACTTTGCTGCGCTCCGAAAGGAACGCTCGCACGTCGGCACGCGCATCCATTGGTTTTGTCAATACGTCTGGGTGATCCTGCGGTGGTTGGGACTTGTGGATGAGACCTCTGAGCACGCGTGTAAGTGTGACAGCTTCTTCCATAGCCCGCCTTGGCGAGGCGGGAGCTAGGGCCTGCAAGTGAAAAGGAAGGTTATGCTTAATGGGCGCAGAGGATTGCACGGGCTCTACCTCAAGGGCAGCACAAATATTGGAAAGCGCAGAAGAGCCGAACGGCAAGCTCTCAGGGTGGTGTGCCTGCCAGCGCTGGTATTCGGTTCGCAGATCAAACGTACGGGAGTGCTGCAGATACGGAGGCAGGACGACGGCCTTATCACGGGCCTCGCGGGGCAGCTGAACGCGGAGATCCCAGCTGTCAAGTGTGACAAAGGCAAACTCAAGGTGCTTGGGCAGTAGGTGCTCTTGGGCAAAGGTATCGAAGCGGTTTATGGCATCTCGGAAGGTCCCGGCGTTTCGGACCTGGTCCCAGGTGAGGGTCGTCAAGCTTGCTGGAAGAGTCTACATCAGCCAATGCTCGGCCATGTGAACAGGCGGGTGGAAGTAAGAGCAACTCACTGCAAAGTGCGGTAATGGGGGTATTGACGGGCTTGACCAGGACACTTTCACGGTGGAGCTGGCACGGCACGTCAGCAACTGCGGGCAGGTGTGGGAACAGTGGGTAGACGCACCTCTTCGCAGCTCTTTGCATCAAGCAGTATCCAGCCCAGCTCAATCACTTCTGCACTGTCCTTGGTTACGTACACCCCGTGTTCGTCGCAGGTTGTAGCGACATGTATCACGACGTAACGGTCGAGATTGGGAGATTGCGGGCTCGGTGCGGCCATGGTTATGGGTCTGGGAAGATGGTTTTGTGTCTGGCGGGCAAGCTACAAGACGGCCGTCGCTGCTCCCTGCGTGGTGGTGAGAGAAGGAAAGAGCGTGATAGCTTCGGAAGTAGCGAGCTGCGTAGGGAAGGTGCAGCGGGCGAGGACGTCAGCGACAGGTGAATGGAGCCAGCCAATAAAGGTTGCAAGCGGCGCAGGTAAAGGACAAACGAGGAGGCAGCAACTCGCAGGATGAGATGAGATGAAAAGTCTCCTGCTGCGTTGTTCGGGAGGTGGTCGAGGTGAAGTGAAGGAGGACGACCGTGCGCGGTCTCCCTCTGCCTGGGACTGGATTCGTGACGAATATTTCTAGAAGCTGGAGCTAAGGCCTCGCGGCGACTGGCTGCCGCGCTGTGTACTCTGCTCACCGATATGCGCGCAGATGACGGCTAGATGGACATGGACGGCATAAACGGCTATGTACCTGTCTGCTTCTTGCGTCCACGCAGTCTGCCCGCTCGACCTTCACTTGCTCCCAAGAGCTGCTGGAAGCTGTGCTAGACGTGCGTGGCACTCGCGCGGCAGCTTGATTGGCATCTGAAACACACCACGACAGCTCGCCCAAGCCCATGCACGCGTCTGCAAACGCTTCCGCGCAGTCCGCCCTCCGCCTCGGTACCACCCTGTGTGCCCTCGAGCGTTGATCGATGCTGCGTCCTCGGCGGGAGCTGTCCTGTCCGTCGCCTTGCTGCCTGTTCAGTTCGCTCTCAACGGCCGACGGCGACACGGCTCCACGACGCCGCGCAAGGATCAAGGGTCCGCGCTGGCCCTATCCAACGCGACATGTCTTTGCTGTTCAGACGCGGTATCAGAATGAGTCGCAGCTCTGGTATTCGGCGTCATTAAGACAATTGGACTGTGGTGCATGAAGGAAGAAGCGGGACCGCCGTTGGCACTACGGGATCCCTTCATACGTGTATGCCATTCTCGCCCCTATTGTGCTGCTGTCCTTTCATCCTCGTCCATGGCTTCGGAATATGTGGCTTGCCCGCCGCTTGGCAGCTACTCCCCGCTCTACAGCCATTCACTACACCCTGGTCTCCGTGGGGTCGGCGGTTGTGAATGGATGCGTCTTCAGCGGCCAACACAGAGTGACAAGCAACGGCGCGCAGGCTGATCCACTGATGCTGCTCTTTGCCGGGAATAGTACTAGCTGCAAGTCAGACTGCCAGTGGTACAGCAATGGGGGTGAGTGAGACTCCGCGTTTAGCTGCCTTCTAAAGATATCCAAAGTTGTGCCGTGTGCCCCTTTTATACCTCCGATTCCGAACCCTCAAAAGACCCACCGACGCGCTCGCCGCCTGGCACACGACCGTGGCACAACTTCACTTGTGCTTGACCCAGCTTCGTCTTTGTCCGGACCTTGCTGCTGCTCGAGCCGCATAGAGCTGTGCGCCGATTCGCCGCCTTCCCCATGTCTCGGCATCGCTTTGATTCATCCCCGCGAGAACGAGAGTGAGTTTCATTACAAACACCCCCTTCCCCGCGCCCGGTCACAGCCAAATTAATTGCACCCACCCTCGCCAATTGCACTTTCTAATTGCCCGCCAGGACCTTCTCATACCGCATCATGGGGTTCATGAAGCGCTTTGGTCGCAAAAAGAGCCCAAAGAACAAAGAGCTGCGCGCGCGCGACGACTTCGCGTTTCCAGCATACCATGGCCCCGATCAAACGCAGCGACTCCCCGACAAGATTCTACGACAGATTTTCGAACAAGTATGTCCGCATGCAAGCGACGAATCTCTCGAGCCCAGCGAAGACTCCGGTCACGATGGCTGCATGAACTGCGACATGCGGGATTTGGCACACTGCGCGCTCACTAAGCGGCAATGGTACGGCGTGGCGGCAGGATTACTGTGAGTGACGCTTGGGAGCTTCCCGCAAGTGTCTTGCGGGTTACCTTAGGATATGCCTTGCATGCGCACCGCATATCCTGGGGGAGCAACGTGGACACGTTCAGAAGGGACATGCGCCTTGATGAGTCCCAGCTGAGGAAGTCGCGACCTGACAATTGCCAGATACAAGAGTATTCGGCTGGACGCAGTGCACTACTGCGAGCTCGAAGAAGTATACGCCGAGGAACGTAGGCGCAAGTCGCGCGGCGGCGACATGGATCCCCCAACCGTGCGGCTACAGCAGCTATGCCGGACGGTGCGAGAGAACCACAACATTGGCTCCCGCGTGCGCTTTCTGAAGCTTCCATACATGACCCGCGAGTCCTGCAAGGCTGACCTGGCGCGAACCGTGTCCGTATGTCCAAATCTTGAGCACATCGACCTGCCGGACGGCTTCTTCACTGGCGATCCCACATGCCACACATTACGACAAGAGCTACAAGCGCGGTGTCCGAACATACGGAAAATGAAATACAACGAGGGCAGCGAACAGACTTTGGAATCATTACTGCACGGATACTGGCAGCAGCTACGTGTAGTGGAGATCAACAAAGTCCAGATAGACCCTACTCTGCTGAGGCGGGTATTGGGCACGCTCCCATGGCTGAGCGACGTCAGCTTTTCCAGCGTCCCCTTGCTGAACGACACCGTCTTCCACACAGTTCCCGGAGTACCCGATTTCCCTGCACTGGACACCTTGTCATTCCACAAAGTAGACGGCATAACCGGCGAGGGTTTGCAACAGTACCTCTCCAACCCGCTATGCCGAGACACCCTCAGAACGCTCAAGCTCAGGAGCTGCGCAGGTCTCCCAGTAGCCTCACTCCACGTTCTCCTCTCCGCAGCTCCCAGCCTCATTAACCTCGAGTACTCAGCAACCGTCTCCACCCCGCTCCCCATCGACCCCCTTCCGCTCATGGCCTCGCGCTCCCTCCGCAAACTGCACTTTGAAATCATCGCCAACACAGCCACCCAAATGTACTCTCCCGCAACATCCCACTACCAATATCTCACCAACAGCCTCATGTCCAGCTCCCTTCCTGCCCTCCGCCAACTCTACGTCCGCGATCCTGATTTCCCTGAGACCCTCACTCTTGCGCCTCCGCTCCGACCTTTTGCAGACGCCCCGCCCCAGCGCGGCTTCTCGCAGCCCCTGGAGGTCTTCTCGAAGGGACTTGACGAGCTAGACTGGATATTCACCTCCATTATGCCCGCGGACGCATATGGCCGCCGCGGTTCCATGTCGGGCGGGCGACCGCTGAGCAGCTACTCCGCGAGCAAGGGTCTGGGACCGCAATGGGGTGGCGACGCAAGGAAGAGCATCGTTGTGCCGAACGGATTCGGCGGTTTCCTCGCTGTTCCCGCCGAGGGCAATGATGGTAGGCCCAGAAGTGCAGGCAATTTGTCGCCTTCGGGCGGGTTCGGACATGGGCACTCGCACAGCCTGGGTGGAAATGGGCCTGCGTTCCGTGGCAGCTTTATGGGGCATCAGAAGAGGTCTTCTCGGGCGGACTTGTGGCGCTGAGGTAGCTTGTCCGTCGGGGCTGCCTTTTTTCTTTTCTTTTGCTGCTAAATACCCCTTTTGCATTCGCTTCTTTTCGTAGCATGAGGCGGGTTCTCTGCATTGCAGGCGCTGGATCTCATGTCCCTCTTCTCGCTTCAAAAGTCAGCTGGAATTGCGAGACCATCCTACAGGGACCACGAGAGATGTAGTCAACATCAATATGAATACTGGCTACAATTTCCAAATACGACTGACTACTACTTCCACCAAACTACACTTGCACCTTCCCATCCAGCCCCTTCTCCTTCGTCCGTGCAGTGAAACACTCCCCCTTCGCGCTCGCCTCCTCACCCTCCCCAACATCCTCTCCCGTCCCACCATCCTCCCTATCCACCCACAACCATTCGTTCCTCGCGCCACACTCGATATTCACACTGGGCCTCCTTCCCCACCCCTCTCCCCTCCACCTTTATCCGTCCCCACGTCCGTATCCACGCTAGCAATCTCACTCTTCCCAGGGACATGATGAAACAACTCGGGCGCAACCGTCCAACAGCGCCAATCATGATCTCGACACGCCTCCAGCATGCGCACGTCAAACGCGACACACCCGCCCTCGTCTTCGGTGCCGTAGGTGGAGAGGATGCGAGCGGCGGAGGCGCGGGTTACGGCGTAGGCGAAGGTGCAGAGGGGCCAGTAGGAGCGGTATAGCATCCTGCTGTTTGACAGATTGAAGGCTCTAAGAGGTCTGAGGCGGGAGGTGCGATGGAGGAAAGCGGCGGGGTGTGTGGGTCGGGGTAGGAAATTGAGGGGTGGGAGAGAACGTGCGCAGGGGAGGCGGCGTCGTTGCAGTGGCCGAGCCAGAGGATGTCCCAGGTTGAGGGGGAAGCCCAGAAGCGCGAGTCTGTGTTGAGGATTGTGCTTGGGGAAGTTGCGGGTAAGCCGGGGGAGAGGAGGGTACGGAGGGCGTGGGCGGTGGAGGAGATTTGTGAGGGGAGGTGTAGGGAGAAGTCGACGTCGTCTTCGAGGATGAGGGCGGTTTGGTGATCGGTTGACAGGAACCATCTCAGTGCGGTCAAGTGGCCCATCCATGCCAGTGCACTTCCTCTGGTGATTCTGCTACCTTCTGTTGAGTTGAAGGCTTTCAGATCGCTTTCTGCCCATTTCGGTTGCTCTGGGATAGTAATATCGATTCCGGTCAATTTGGCGGACCATAACAGCCCTTCTCTTCTCGGACTTTTGGCGTGGGAGACAGCTACGAGGGCGCCGAACTGTTGCCATGATTAGCAGATTATGACTCGTGGAGAAAGACATAATTACCCCAAGTGTTGAGTTTACAGTTTCTTCATGTTCGAACGGCGGGTGACGATGGTCCAAGACATCCAGTGATCCAAAGGGAAATGTGCCACGTGCGACCAATGAGACATGGTATTGAATCAGAAAGAACAGTACGCAAATAGGAAGTAAGAATATGAATAATCTTCGTCTCTTCTTATCCATGCGTTGAAATGCAAGAGGTAACCAATTAAAGCAGGTGTATCGGCGTGGAGTAGGTGGGAGAGTCTTCGTGTAGGAGCGCTTTTCTGCGAAATACATGCTTTGCGGCAAGATGTGACGCAAGTACACTACAGATGCTCAAGTCGTTCCTTCTTCGTAATACTGCTGGGCCGTCGTCTTGGTTCACGCTTTGCTGGAATGGTACGTTCAAATCTATTTGGTGCAATGCTTGGACGGCTATCGAGCGGGTGCTGGCATAATCGGTTCGTTCTGGGTCTACCTTGACGGGTTGTGGTGCGCTGGTGCGGACACAGTGAGACCTAACATTAAGACGGACATTTTGTTCTATCTAATTCTCAGAGTTATGGATTTCCGTGTGCGGCAGCTTATCTTTGTGACGCCATTTGTCCTTCTGTAGTGGTTGCGTCCATTGGATCGTGGGGATGACAACGAGGCCAGCGCAGTGGCATAGTGTTTGCTGTGTAGCCACTTAAGGGCGCCAGTAATCGGTGCATCCTTTTATTATTATTTTGTAGCAATCATGTCGGCATATTGATGAGGAAGCGCACCTGAGGTTTTCTTATGGAGCTGTTTTTGGAAGGGCCTGTGTTACACTTACCAAACTGGGAGCGAGGAATGCAGGGAGTTAGCGACGAAACCAGATGTAATGAGCTCAGCAGCAATTGATCGTACGCTGTGAAGGATGACACAAATTGAGAAGTACTAAGGAAAGTGGTGTTATTCACATTTTGGGATACCACAAGCGTGAAGATTAAGTGATGACGACGTAGCCCAAGCATTTTAAGCTGCAAAAGGGACTGTAAATACAACACCGAAGTACGCAATCCGAAATTTACTCTGTCTTGGTTTATAAATGTCGACTGCGTGCGAAGCTATGCTGCACCTGCTCGTCAATCGTTCGATGACCTGCGTGTGTCCAGTGCATGCCAGGCAATACTGGCGTGTACTCGTACAGAGGTCTTTCGCGGCTCGCGGCTAGCCAAGTCTTTTGAGATCCGTCTTTCCGTTCTAGAACACAAGGCTTGTTCGGATGGACCCCATGTTGAGGTGGGTCAGCATGCTTTTAGTGGTGTTCAAGCATACAGGGGAATTCGCTACCCATTGCATCTCCCGCTTCCAAGCTCGACTCGCACGAGGGGCGCACTCAATGCTCTGTATACCGCACTGCCATTTACAAGGGGCCAACTCGTGAATTGCCTGCGAGGCTCACTCAAAGGACGTTTAGATTTTGTCAAGTCCGGTCGCTGAGCCCGGGGACTTGGTTCAGGTAGGATGACTCGCAGCGTTGGTGCCGGCGGCGGGAAAAAAGGCGGCCCCCTGCAGGGCCAGGAAACGGCCAGCAAAGGGTAATTACATTGGGCCAACCACGACGAAACCATGGGGCGCAACGATGCCATGTATCCGCGACGGGTGCCAGATGCCGGGTAGAGTCAATGCTCAAAGGCTCGAGGCGATCACGACCGCTTCCGCGCCCTGTCTCAGCCCCTCCTCCTTCTTCCCTGGCCCGTCCTGCCAACTCGGCGTGGTGTAGGTCGTGCGACCAAGTTCACCTCCCTTACTTCACGGGCGCGCAGGCACGTAGTAGCGCACAGCATTGTTGCAAACGAACACAACATGGCCGACTCGGCGCCTTCGGAGGTGCCTCCGCAGAAGTTCTCTCGCTATCGCAGCGTGCGACGGGCGCAGGCACAGCAAGCCGCTCTGCACCAAAACCCCGTTGAGACGCCGGCCATCCCAGCTATGCCTCCGATCCCAATGGACGTCCCCAATGCTGCTCCCGTGAGCAGAAGCATGTCGCGCTACCACCGCCGACCTACAACATCTCATGCTTCCCCCGCAAAAGCTCCACCATTGCGCACCGCGACTGTCGATGTTCCTGCCCAACCTGTGCCAACACAGAATTCAAGCTCGTCCCGCAATCGCGCCCTGAGCTCTCCGTACACGCGAGCTGGTCCCAATGTCTCACCGCGAGTCCCAAACACGTCGCGCGCGCGAGCTGATGCTGCGCCAATGCCCACTGCCGACGCTCAACCCAAGACGGCGCGCGATGAGGCCAAGCAGCCCATGCAGGACGAAGCGGAGCGGCAGAAGCGCATGAGGGAGAAGATTGAGGCCGAGAAACGCACCAAACGAAAAGCTGAGCAGGCGGAAGAGGAGCGTCAGGAGCAGCAGCGTAGAGAGGCAGAAGAAGCGGAGCGTCTCAGGTTGCAAGAGGAGGCGGAAGCGGAAGAACAGCTGCGGCGACATAAGGAAGAGAAGGAGCGCGGCAAGAGGTTACAAAAGGCGGAAAGTACCAAGCGATTGCAGGAAAGGGAGGAGGCAGAGCGGAGAGCACGCATTGAGGAGGCTGCGCGCAACGCTCCAATATCCCCACCAACATCACCGCCGCGACAGGGTGGGCGCTTCGGTATCTTCAGTCGTCGCAGAGACAACTCTGCAGCGTCTCAAAGTCCACCAAATACTGCCAGACCTTCTCATACAAGTCATGAAAGTAGGGATATGGAGAACATCAAAGCTGGAGGAGGAGGCGCAGTTTTGGGTATTGATGCGCCAATTTCTGCTGTCAATGCTGGTGACCGAGTAGGTTTACGTCTAGTTCCCTCCACCTTTCTCCCGTGCTAATGCTGCCTCTAGCGAGTGTCCATTCTTTGCAACAAAAAGACTTTCCTTCTTCCTATCACCCCAGAAACAACAGCCCAAGACCTTCTCAGATCTGCGTCCATCGTTATGACCGAGAAGATCGATTTACACGCTGATATTCTGCTCGAGAACTTCACAAAAGTCAGCGTACAACGCCCTCTACGGATGTACGAACATGTACGGGATGTCATGAACTCATGGGACCATGATACCCAGAACGATCTCGAAATTATCAATGCTGCCTATACTGGTCACGATCGGGGGTTCTTACTTTCATCACAAGTGCCCGATGATAAACCCGAGGGCATGAGCTGCTTCATATACTATTCCTCAAGGCCTGGCAAGTGGAATAAGAAGTACGTCACTCTGCGTACTGATGGTCAACTTGTCATGGCGAAGAACGAGACTTCTAAGGACCAAGACAACATCTGCCATATGTCAGACTTCGACATCTATAGGCCTACGGAGCGAAAGCAGAAGAAGATAAAGCCGCCCAAAAGCTTCTGCTACGCCGTAAAGAGCCAACAGAAGTCTAATATCTTCTCGGACGAGTCCCGCTATGTTCACTTCTTTTGCACTAGTGACAATGGCACTTCGGTCAAGTTCTACAGTATGCTCCATACTTGGAGAAGTTGGCACCTGAAACACGTTATGGGCGAAGGTCTGAAGAAATCGAAATCTCTGGAGACGAAACCGGCAAATGCTTTCCTGGCGAAGACCCAGGCACTAGGGAGCCTCGACCAAGGCCCTACAACGTCTCACCGCCGCAACGCGTCCGAGAATTCGTTCTATCAGCTGGGATCCTTCAAACCGCTCTTCGAACCTGACCAATTTGGCAAGGGCTTGGATCAACCTGCTTACCAGTCTGCAGCTCCGGAAGCACCCCTTAGTAGGATGAATACAAGAGCTATGCACGCAAGAAAGATGTCGACTAGGCAGAAAGCCCCGCCGCCAATCGCGTACAATCGAAGCGGTTTGGTTGATGAGATTCCCGATATGCCTGTGGTGGAAAGTACCAATCCGCTCACGCAGACCCCAGCGAGGGTAGTTGACGAGGAAACCTTCGCTGCCGGCGGTTTGCTTGGAAGGAAGTATTCTCAACGGCAAAGAGCCGTGCAGGAACGTGAAGCTCAAACCAACGGAGCCTTCACCGCCGGACCTTCCCTCGTAGGCAATATTGATGCCATGGCAGCAGCACAGCTTGCTGGAGGAAACGATAGTGGTCTCGGACGTAGGTCGTCCGTCCGCAGCAACCATCTAAGAACTTCGAGCGACATCCAACGCAGTACTTCTACCAGGATCAAGCCGAGACCGCTCGTCGATCTGACGCCGCAATACGTGGAACCCCCTCAACATCGAAACAAAGGCAAAGGGTTTATACCAGAGGGAGGCACCGGACCACTTATTGATAATGCAACCTCTGTCGAAGAAGCAATCCAGGTCCCGCCCTCGACAGACTGGCGTGCGGGGGCCCGCCCGATGACTGCCCGCGCACATGGCACCTACGGCACCGGCGGCCACGAACGCACACGCTCGCTCAAAGGTCGTGGTGAAGGTCTCGCAGCGTACACGGTAAACAACCATACTGCCGGCATCAACGACGATAGCCAAGCCTTCACCGGCGGTCTTCTCGCGCGTGCAGGCTTCAGCCAAGGAGCCCAGCCAGTGGGCCATGGCGTTATGGATGGATCTAGAGCAAGAGGCCCGATGCTGGACATGAACGAGCCCTCTCAATTTGCATCTGGGAGTCTTCTTGCGGGCGTGCAGCGGAAACAAACGGTCAAGGGACCGGTGGACAAGCGGCAGAGCGTGGACATGGGATGATGACTTGTTGTGATACCCTTTTGTTTTTATGGATACAGCCGAAAGTGACATTCGGTCATCGGTTTCGTACGCATTGATTTCTTGCGCATTTGCTCACTCTGGGTTTCAACTTTCTATTTCTCTCATGTTATTCTCTTCGCATCGTTCAGTGCGGCTCCTTGATACTTTTTGTCTTGTTTGCCTTGTCTGCGATCATCTTGTCTGGGACCATTTGAAAATTCTCTTGGTTGCAAACTCTCTTCTGTTTTAGCGCCACGTTCGTTAGGTGAGTGGGGGCTTGCGTTTATTCACTTAATGTCTAGAACTATGCCCAATCCATCAGACGGGACAAATCTACGAAGTGTTGGGATGAGCCCCTGCTCGTTCAAAATGTGACATGTAGTTGAGAAAAACTCAAACATGAAGCGCAATTGCTCGTGCTGAACAAGTGTACTGTCCTCGGCAAAACTGCCCGCCGACGTCTGCGAAGGATTCCCTGCGTGGGAAGTAGAGCCGCGGGGATCGGCAGTCCACGTGAACTGAAACCCCACAGCGTCTCCGGACGGGCTCCCGCTAATAAACAAGTGGGATCGTGGAGACAATGGCTGCCTCTGCGACACTGGGCAGCCCCGCATTGCGACTCGCCCACCTATGACGGCACTCATGCAGCTTGAAGATCACGAGTGGTGCCATGTTCACATGGTACAACACCACCGCGCCGAGAGCCTCAGACGGAGCGGCGTGAGCGGTCAGCCTGTTGGATATCGCCTGAGGAGGCCTGACTCGAGCGTGGGCACGTTTAAGATTTTGGTGCCTCAGCAACGGCGGCGCGCCGTGTGATAGGCCAATGGCGCGGGTTCGCAGCGTGGGAGGCGCTGTGACGTAGTTTGGCAGGGATGCAAGCTGTCGGGTCGCCGTGAAAGCGGGCTAGCACCACTCCAGCCTCCATCATCTCTCTCCGCGCTCGGGCTCTCGAACAGACGGCAGAGCGTGCCACTTTTCCTCCCGTCCCTTCTTCAACTCAGTCTCGCATCAATCGGCCGTTCGTTGTGCCTCTTACTCCAATTCGGACCACTTGCAGCTGCACGCATTCGCCCATCACGCCATCGGTTCCCGTGCAAGCAGCACCTCCAGGGCTGTTCTAGTGCATTCGCGCGTGGTAGCTCGTTCAAGCTCCGGGCTAAAGCTTCTCTCCGGCTTCGTCTTTCGTGAGAGCTCTTCTGCGTTGCATCTTTCCGTGTCTCTTTATCTTTGGAAAGCTTCCCATTGCCGGCACAATGACCGAAGCACGCGATGTCTCAAACCACCTTCTCTTCGAGGTTGCGACCGAGGTAGCGAATCGAGGTATGTTGTCAATTGAGCCTCAGGAAGCTTCCTAATGACTTTCACAGTTGGTGGTATCTACTCGGTCCTGAAGTCGAAAGCTCAGGTGACAACGGCCGAATATGGCTCCGCATACACACTGCTCGGTCCGCTCAATAGAAATTCGGTACGACCGCAATGCTTGACAACCTCCAGCCCCACTGACAGATGCGACAGGCCGCAGTCGAGGTCGAGGAATTGGAGCCGAAGGACCCGGCCATGGTAGCCACCATCAAGTCTATGAATGAGCGGGGCATTAAGACGCTGTACGGTCGATGGCTGATTGATGGCGCGCCACGCGTGCTGCTTTTCGACACGAGCACTGGCTATGGATACCTTGACGAGTGGAAAGGCGACCTGTGGTCCTCTGCTGGTATTCCGTCACCGCCCGGCGACTCCGAGACCAACGAAGCTATTGTCTTTGGCTATGTGATTGCATGGTTCTTGGGCGAGGTATGGCGGACCCCTCACCTTTACCTGACAGGGCTGACCACACCAGTATGTCTACCACGAGAAGAAACGCGCTGTCATTGTACAGTTCCACGAGTGGCTCGCTGGTGTCGCGCTTCCTTTGTGCAAGAAGCGACGCATAGACGTCACCACCATCTTCACCACCCACGCTACTCTGCTGGGCCGCTATCTTTGCGCTGGTTCCGTTGATTTCTACAACAACCTACAATTCTTCGATGTGGATGCTGAAGCTGGAAAGCGTGGAATCTACCACCGCTACTGCATAGAACGCGCAGCTACACACGCCGCCGATGTATTTACTACCGTCTCACACATCACTGCGTACGAGAGCGAACATCTTCTGAAGCGCAAACCGGACGGTGTATTGCCTAATGGCCTAAACGTGAAGAAGTTCTCAGCCACACACGAGTTCCAGAACTTGCACCAGCAGGCGAAAGAGAAAATCAATGATTTTGTCCGAGGTCACTTCTACGGGCACAATGACTTTGATCCGGAGAATACCCTCTACTTCTTCACTGCTGGTCGTTACGAGTACCGTAATAAGGGTGTGGATATGTTCATCGAGTCTTTGGCGCGACTGAACCACCGAATGAAGAGCGCCGGATCCAACATGACTGTGGTAGCCTTCATTATCCTACCCGCACAGACACAGTCCTTGACCGTTGAAGCGCTCAAGGGACAGGCTGTGATCAAATCGTTGCACGACACCATCAAGACGATTGAGCAGAACGTGGGCAAGAAATTGTTCGAACGTTCTCTCACTTGGTCTGATGGCCAGGACATGCCTGACGAGAAAGACTTGCTCTCCGCTTCGGACAAGATTTTGCTCCGTCGCCGGCTCTTCGCGATGAAGAGAAACAACTTGCCACCGATCGTAACGCACAACATGGTCAACGATGCTGAGGACCCAGTCTTGAACCAGCTTCGCCGCTGCCAGCTGTTCAACCACCCGTCGGATCGTGTCAAGGTCGTCTTCCACCCTGAGTTCCTAAATTCCGCGAACCCTGTACTTCCTCTCGACTATGACGACTTCGTTCGAGGAACCCACTTGGGCGTCTTTTCGTCGTACTACGAACCATGGGGCTACACGCCCGCAGAGTGCACTGTCATGGGCGTACCCAGCATCACTACCAACTTGTCCGGTTTTGGTTGCTACATGGAGGAGTTGATCGAGAACGCTGCCGACTACGGTATTTATATTGTAGATCGCCGTACGAAGGGTGTTGATGATTCAGTCAATCAGCTTGTGGACTACATGCATGAGTTCACGAAGAAGAGCAAGCGACAGCGCATCAACCAGCGTAACCGGACTGAGCGTCTCAGCGACCTGCTCGACTGGAAGCGGATGGGCATGGAATACGTCAAAGCGCGCCAACTTGCCCTGCGACGAGCCTACCCAGCGGCATACGAAGAGGACGAGGAGCCCGACTTCTTCGGCTCGCACGAGGTCAAGGTCTCGCGGCCGCTGTCAGAGCCTGGATCGCCCCGCGACCGGTCCGGGATGATGACGCCTGGTGATTTCGCATCGCTGCAGGAAGGAAGGGAAGGATTAAGCACCGAGGACTACATAGCATGGAAGCTCCCGTAAGTACCATTCACCATATATTGTGAGAAAGGGCCCAGACTGATACATCGCACAGGGAGGAGGAGGACCCCGATGACTATCCCTTCCCGCTCACTCTCAAAACCAAGAAGTCCACAGGATCCGGCGCCGTTTCACCAGCACTGAACGGTACTGACGGTGCTTCCGATGCACAGGCAACATCTTCTATGGCCGGAATACCAGGGCCTCAAACCACAACGAGGATATAGTGCGTATTTGCTGGAGGTGAATAGATTGGCGAGGGCTAGAAGGACAAATTGCATGTGTAGGATGTGGTGATTTCAGTTGTTTCTGCGTGTTTCTGGTTGCATTGGGAGAACCTGCATGGCGACAATGCTTTTCAGATGTGAATACTTTGAGGTGCGCGAGAGGAGAGCGAATAGCTTCTTCATTATCTCCTAGATTTAGCCACTTGGTACCTGAATGCGAAGCGATGCGAATTGCACTGATGCCCAAGTGGTGATTTCGGCGTGACTTCCGCGGTTGCCCGGCACGTGCGGGAGGATTCCGGGATTGGGGGCGATAGTGACTTCCCAAACATCATGCACGTGTGTGTTTATCGTGTTTCAAAGGAAAGAGGCGCGGTTGCGTTACACATTGGGTCAGCCAGTAATTTTATTTTTCCTTGATCGTGGACGGGGGGTTTGGTGTTGGACCACTCCTCTCCTGAAAGCGGCAAGTCTCGACCTCGGTCTTGGCGTCATCATGTTGACCTTCATTTGCGTTATCCTCGCGCTGCCAGGACCCTAAACCCCAGCACTCGCGACTGCGCCCGGCCCGATTACACCTCTCACGGACTCGATCACCTCACTCGAATGCGACCGTAACCCTCGAGACCCTGCCGACAATGCACATTTCGAATCGCAAGAACCTGCATAGAGACTCCGCGTCGGTCTGTACTTTATAACAGCACGTCCTACGAGCTCGAGCGCCACCCGCCGGTCGTCGACCGCAAGAGAAACTACCGGGGCATCCGAGCGGACCTTTCAGTGTGACACTTCTCAGCAAGCCCAATCGCCGAGACAAGGAGGAACCAGAAGAAGATGTTTGGCCCGTGGCTCGCCGTCTTCGGATGGCTGAAGCAGCGCGTACCGAAGAAATGGTCGGCTTTCAAGCCTCGCTTGAACTTTATTACACTACACTGTGTGTACCAGAACGCTTGGGCCTATTGCGTGTATTGACAATGGCTAGATACGTACATTATCCTTATGGCGCTTATCGGTTCGATCATCCTCTATCCTGCCAAGAACCTGGCATATATCGATGCATTATTCTTCGCAAGCGGTGGAGCGACTCAGAGTGGGCTGAATACGTAGGTGAGGTGGGAGAAATCCGCGAGCTGAGCTGACCAAGAACAGCGTCGATGTCAACAAACTGCAACTGTACCAACAGGTAAGGTGTATATCAGCGTTGGCTACTATGGAATACGCTAACCAGATCACTTAGATTGTGCTCATGCTACTAGCTTGTGTCTGTAATCCTATCTTCATCAACACATTCGTTGTCTTTATTCGCTTGTACTGGTTCGAAAGACGGTTTCAGAATGTCGTACTCGAGGCACGTAGTATGCGGCGATCACGGACCAGATCCGTCACCAAAGGCAAACCCGAGCTTGAACGAGACGTTGGCAGGGAAGAGAATGGGGTGGGTGATCGGGAAATCAGGGTATTGAGGGCCGCCGATGGACACGTTAAGGGCACGAGAATTGATGACGAGGAAGCGTTCCACGAAGGAGACATCGCCATCGAGGATACGGACAGCGACAGCGGCAATGCATCCACTCCGAGGAAAGAGAAAGAACCTGCACCGGAAGACGTCTCACCCACGACCGCCCCTCCTGAGATGCCCTTGCATCGCAACATCACCTTTGCTGACGAGGTCGCGTCTCCTGACGATGCCGCGTCCCCTGACGATGCCGCGTCTCCGGATGATCGAATGCCTCAGAAGAACAAGGAGCAAAGTATCGCCTTCGTCCAGAACCAGCGCAACCCGAAGGATGCAGCTACCTTTCGCATTCCGGGTCCTCGGGACTATGATCGTGGCTTTGTTCCGGAGCGGATTGAAGAAGGTGCAGAGCTGGAGAGGCCGACGACGAACGCTTCGAATGATGGTGATCGCTTGCAGGTCAAGCGCTCACGGTCGGCTTCTAGACCACAAGCACAAGAAATGAACGGTGACGACCACCCGTTCAAGAATCATATCACTATCGACGTTCCAGATAACGTGCGCCGCCGCCCCAATGCTGGACCATCGGCGTACCATTTCAATCGAACAAGGCGGCGATCCGATGTGTCGGAAAATGAAGCGCCTACGACTGGCTTCCATGCTCCAACTCGGTCAAGATCAAGGACGTTTAGCAGTTTCCTCACCCGCGATAGAGAGGAGGAGGATCCCATGCCATATCTGAGTTGGACTCCGACTGTAGGAAGGAACTCTGCCTTCGTGGACCTGACTGAGGAACAAAGAGAGGAGCTCGGAGGTATCGAATACCGTGCTCTCAAGCTGCTAGCTGTTGTTCTCGTATGCTACTTCGTCGGTTTCCACCTGCTGGGCATGATTTGCCTGCTTCCGTGGATCGTGAACGACGCATATTACTCCGGTAAACTCCGTGAAGTGGGTGTCAGTCCTGTGTGGTGGTAAGTCATGCAACGTAAGCTATTGATATCGGAGCTAATGATAATAGGGGCTTCTTTACACCAGCTTCCATGTTCAACGATCTAGGTTTCACCCTCAATCCTGACTCGATGGTCCTCTTCCAACTTTGCGTCCTACCCTTGCTGCTGGGTACCTTTCTTATCATTATTGGAAACACAGGTTTTCCTTGTATGCTTCGCTTTGTCATATGGCTCTGTTCCAAATGCGTGCCGTTTAGAAGCGGCATTTGGGAGGAGTTCAAGTTCCTCCTGGACCATCCGCGTCGCTGCTTCACACTTTTGTTCCCGAGCAGCGCTAACTGGTGGCTCTTCTGGGTCCTCATACTACTAAACGGCATCGACCTTATCTTCTTCATTATTCTAGATGTAAGTCATGTCCTACCATACAATCAAGCCAGCTGCTAATGCGCGTCTAGCTCAACGCTCCAGCTGTTGAAGGCTTACCTGGAGGTTTCCGGTTCCTGGACGGCATCTTCCAAGCTGCCTCAACTCGCACTGCAGGCTTTGCGGTCGTCGGTCTTTCTGACCTTCACCCCGCCATCCAAGTATCGTACCTGATCATGATGTATATTTCGGTTTTTCCGATCGCCATTTCCTTGCGTAAGACCAACGTCTACGAAGAAAAATCACTGGGTATCTACTCCCACGACGAGAACGAGGGTACCGAAAATAGCTACTTCGGCACTCACGTGCGTCGCCAACTATCCTTCGACTTGTGGTATGTCTTCTTGGGCTTCTTCATCATCGCGATCGTCGAAGGCTCTCGCTTGCAGAACGTAAGTCGGCTCCTATGGACGCTCCCGGGGCTCCCGAGGTGGCAGCAGGTACAAGTTATTGAAGCGAGCAATGTATGTGTCAAACATCCAACACAACATTGTCCTGCAGAAATCACTTGCAACTCCTTCTATCCTCCCATCCCCTTCCGCTTCCATTTGCCCTTTCCAAAAGTCATTGCTAAAAGAATAGACCAACGAATACGCCTTCACACTCTTCTCCGTCCTCTTCGAAATCGTCTCCGCGTACGGCACCGTCGGTCTCTCTCTTGGCTATCCTAGCTCAAACACCTCCTTCTCCGGTCAATTCAAGACCCTCTCGAAACTCATTATCATCGCCATGCAGATCCGTGGGCGTCACCGCGGTCTTCCCTACGCACTCGATCGTGCCATCCTTCTCCCGAGTGAATCGTTGCACAAGAAGGAGGACGAAGATGCGACGAGGAGGGCGAGGAGGGGAAGTAACGTTAGTGATCTGGGAGAGGGTGGACTGATGAGGACGGGCACGGGATTGAGCAGGAGGAGTACAGCGAGTGAAGCTCCAGGACCCGGGTTCAGATCGAGGTTAAAGGCCGGGGATGTGGGTAGATTCTTCGCCGGGGCCTTGAATGCGGGGCCTAGTATCCCCCGGGAGAAGAGCCGATGATCAGGTTAGGAAGGGTGTCTGGTGTTGCGCCTGCTGTGTGTTTATTTTAGCGATTGGCGTTCGGTGCTATAGGCGAGGAGCTGCATCGGGACTGAGATGGGATGGGATGAGATGGCTTTTGGGTTATAAGGGCTTTTTATAGGTACATGTGGGTTTTATTGGTATATACGTAGAGGACAGGGATACCTTACGAAGTGCGAACTTCGGTATCCCTTTGGATTTATTTGCTAAACAACGTTTCTACCAATTATTGTGCTGCTGCCTCAGATATGGTGTGTTGTGTGATGGCGATATACAGATTTTAAAAAGGGTGTTTACAAGGTGGGAAGTGGGCCATGCTGAAATTGGGGAGGTGAAAGGTACGCAAGAGATGGGGAGATGGACATTTTCTTGGGAGTGGGTGCTGCGCTGGGGAGATGCTGCGGGTGGATGGTACAAGGGTGTTCAAGGCCGTGTGGAACACTCGAAGCGATTCTAGTGATAATGTACTGACTGGAAAGGAACCGTGAAGAAGTCGATGAGTACTTTGACAGACGGCAGGACAGGGCTGATTTCCCAGCGGAGGAATCGGCGCAATCATTCGAAAAAAGATGAGCGATGTTGTTTGGGCGATGCATGAGGAAACCGGTTGTACGCTCGCTATCTCGAACCCCTTCTTAGGGGGCCATCGGTTCCCAGAAGTGGGCTGCGCCTGGCGGTTTAATGCAAGAAGCATCAACATCAATCCTCGAGCGCAGGCTCTGCCTGCCGAATGTGGCCATCGATACGGCATACATAACTATGCTCGCTGCTGATATGGACGTCATGGACATACCTATGAGCGTCCTGAAGCGGAAGACTTCCTTCCTGGCACGGCAGTTCCACCCCAAACACCTCTCTGACCTTTTGTGTGGCGCCACCGCGCAGTGCTTCCAAGATTCTTGAGCCGCTCATCAAGAGGCTTGGGAGGCTTGGGAGGCTTGCAAGCTCCATGTTGCGCAACTCGCACTTGGCCTTGGGCACCTTCAACCCGGCGGGAAAATGATCATTCTCCTTCCCCATGAAACTAGGGGCCCAGACACACTGTTCAAGCAATGGAAACGTGCAAGAGTCACTGGGAAGAGGCCATGTTTGGAACAGATTCTGGATACGAGGAAGATCTTTGCGCGCAAAAATCAATGTAGCGGAATTATTCGATGAGTTTGGGACGTAGCTTGTGATGAGGTGAAGCACCATATGAAAGGCTCAGGCGGAAGCTTTCAGCAGGGCGGCATCCATGAAGCAACAGCCTGGCAACGATCGCCTGAGCAAGTTATGGCGCAGAAGCGGTGTCACTTAGTTCCACTCTTTTGGCACACCTACGGTGGAATTGTATAAGGGAGCATCGGGCTTGAGAAGGCCTGCTTGATGGATGTCTAGAGCGTGGACCGTTTCGAAGGGGTGGATACAAGCATGTGCTAGGAAGGGATACTTGACACTTGTATCATGGGGCGGGGTCCAATGCACTTGGCAGGATGGGAGGACCTTATCTGCATTGGCGGTAAGAGGTCTCGTAATCGCTAGTCATGCTCACAATTTCATGTATTCAGGTGTAATGTGGAGGCATGTAAGAGACCAACATGCTAGGACGCTAAATTACATCTGATGAAGGAAATGGTCGTGATGTTTCGTGAATGAGAGATCTAATATACATGGCATCTCGACAAAGAGTGGCGGAGACTAGAGCCCCTCGTTCCCTTTCACTCCGCACCGAATCGTGCGTCGTACGGCTCTCGAGGCATGTACGTCGGACGTGAGCTGTGACGACTGTGCTCAGGGGTATCTAGGCGCTTTTTCTGGGCTTCTGGTACGCTATTTATGAAGTGTGCTTCGTGCAGGCTCTCCGCGGCAGTGAGGGTAGTGATGCTAGTTCTTAATCAGGATCTCGTCGGTTTCATCCCAAAGGGAAGATGTGGATAGTCGAGCCCTTCACTCTAACCCCTAAGAGTATTTAATGGGTGAACTTACCAGTTCACATTGTCGTTGTGTTCAACTAACCGGTGCTGCACGTACACCCTTTGCGCAGAGCCGGGTCGGTTGACGGCCACGGTACGCAGAGGTTGCCTCGACCCGTGCAATCGAGGTGGTTCACACCGCAGTCTGTTGTCGAGCAAGGGCCTGTATAGCCTTGAGGAATGGGGTCGGGCAGCGCTGCTGCGAGTGTAACAAGGAATGAGGTGACGACGACTGCGAGCTTCATCGTGGAGATATGCGTAAGAGATCAGAACGAAATTGTGGGTCAATGTGCGCGTGTGAAGTCCCGTGGATGTTGAGAAAAATCGATGGAGGGTGGAAGCGCTTGAGTGAAGATGGGACTGCATGGTGGAACTTGACATTTATATGTCAAAGCGCCCAGATCTTCGTGTCACGCTGACACTTTAACCCAACCTTTACGCACGATACACAGCCTACATTGAGCCCAAGATCGCCAACCAAGCATACACTACCTCAACCAAGCAAATACAAACGAACCAAGAAAAATTTCGAAGCCGGAAGTTGAAGCACCCCCTTAAGGCCGATGCACCTTCAGATGGCCCCGCCGATCCGATACGATTCCGCTAACCCAAGGCCCCAAGATCCCATGCCTCCCACACCTTAGCCATCTACCAAGAGCGGGTGATCACTGGAGCGGGTCCTCTCCGTTTCTTGGGGGTTATGGGAAAGTGGATTGTTGAGGGCGGAGCGGCGTGTTTGTTGTTTCGAGGGCGGGCTTGGTTGCAACCAGCACGCCTTGGCGACTTGGCGCACCCAAAGATCTAGATGAGGCAGTCATGGGTATTTGCCGCCTGACGGTAGGTGTACATCATTGCAGCAGGTACGTTTCGATTGGCGCTACGTTGTGTATAAAATTTGATTTATACGATCTCGTGAATTGCTTGGGAGTCTTCAGGGGGAAGTTCCAAGATACCAAGAACTGGTGCCGAGAAGAAAATCGCGGAAGGTATCACAGGCGGTAGCGAGTGTGACGTAGACATAGCAATCAGCGGATAAATGATGTTTTCGTACCGGTGAACAAGGTAAGATATCGTAGTCGAGGAAAGGAAGCAGTAGAGGACGTCGACGGTGTGGAAGGCCTTCCATCGTCTGTCATGTAGTAGTTCTGTGAGCATAGGAATATACAATAAAGATGGGAATTCAAGGCGGAGTTCGATACTATTCTGGACGTGTTTCTACGGCTTGCGAAACAGCACCGGAATAAAACGTGGATCTTCAGGAGCCGGGGGCTTGAGACAGTCGAGAGCACGAGAAGCAGAGCCATCGCAGTACCTGCTCCGTTCCGTTGACTCGTACGATAGCGACAAGAATCCGAGGAAGGAATTGGCAGCCATCGGTTTGTGATAGCAGGACTACACATGCGAAACTTGTTGAAAGATTGAGTCTGTTGGACCCCGAACACGTAGACAAAGTGTGCTACTACTCTCGTGTGATGATTTGTTATAAACGGTTACTACTAGAGTGAGCCACTTAACAGAATGTGAGCTCTGGCATTGTTCGATTTGCTGCGTAGGGCATCAGCTGTGAATGCATGTCAGAAGCGAACGTGACTAGGCTAAGAGCCCTGGAGGTGTATGAGTTTCGGTAGGAGAAGAAAGAACATTGATAGAACGGAGGAGGTCGGGGGTTGGGCACGAGCATTGTTTTCGTGTCGTCTTCATGGTGTTGGGTTGAAGGAAGTACTGGCAAATGATTTGGCATGCGTCCGGGAAAGCCTCAATCGTGCCAAGTCACGCTAGTTCCGATTGGAGTGTGCTGTACCCATCAACTCTTCCTCAACCCTTCGTCATCACCCCTCCTCCGTTTGCGCCGATGACCTGTCCAGTTATCCATCCCGACTCAGGCGAACAGAGCAAGCTCACGATGCCGGAGACTTCCTCCAGATAAGCCGGCCGTCCACCGAGCCCTTTCGCTGCTTCGACGATTTCCGGCGAGTCGATTCCTTCACGAGGTTTGGCCAGCGGTGCCATGTAATTCAATGACCAGACTTTCTCTAGCATCTCTTGCGGAAGGCCCGTGTACATTCCGGTCATCATAGCACCGGGATTGATCGAGTTGACCGTCGCTTGCTCAGCCAGTTCGCGGGCCCAAACGCGTGTCTGCAGTTGTGACGTCCGGTTAGCAGGGATCGATTCATCGTGATCCATACGCACCATGGCTTCCAGAGCTCCCTTCGTACCCGCATAACAGCTCTGCCACCAGAAACCCATGCTGGTCGTGATACTCGATACGTTCACAATTCGTCCTGACCTATCCTTCGGGAGATAGGGCATAGCGGCCTGGATGACGAACAACGGTGCGCGCGCGTTCAGTTGGAACGTTTTATCAAATTCTTCGTATGTCACCGACCCCATTGGAGCAGGGTTTACTACACCGGCATTGTTGATAAGAATATCGATCTGGAATTTACCATCCTTGGTGAATGTCGACTTCGCTATCTCGACCAACTGGCCTGGCCCATCTGGCGTTGTGATATCGCATTGAGCCAGGACAGTCTGAACGCCATGCTTCGACTCTATATCTGTCGCGAGCGTCTTCGCAGCGGCAGTTGAGTTGTCCGAGGTGTAGTTGATGACTACGTTCGCGCCTTTCCCAGCTAGATGTTGGGCTAGAGCGGCTCCGAGACCTATATCGATCTTATCAGCGTTACGATACTGGGAAGTAGGTTCCAGCAGCTTTTCACAACCTACCTCTCGAAGCACCAGTTACGATAGCGAGTTTGCCTTCCAATGTTCTCGACATCTTGCTCTCGACGGTCCTGTTCTATTGGATTCCGGTCCAGCTATAGCAAGAGGGTGCAATTCGCGCACTTGTTGCTGGCCGCGGCATTCTCCCGAGACACTATAGATATAGGACCCACGTCTTGACGTGCAACGACATCAATTGCTTGTCCAGAAATCGGCAGTCCCATTGGAAGCCATCCGGATTGTCCTCGTCCACCTTCATGGGCTTGTCTCGCCAAGGTAGCGCCCCCACTCACTAACATGGTCAAATTCCTTTCCGTATCAACTATTCCTCCTGTCAATCGTTACCCGTTCACTGTCTCCTATTGCTTTTGCTGTGCCGCCCTGCAGTAGTGGGATGATACGAGGGTCACGCTGCATGACTAGCGTGCGACTACCTAGCCTGCTAGCATACGCACGGCAGGGATGCCCATTGCCTCCACATCGTTATGCAGAGGCCGAAGGCCACGCATTTTAGCATAGATCTCCCAGGACATCAACTGAAAAACGTCGGATAGTTCTCTAGAAGCAGGCACTTTCCTTTGAGTAAATCATAAACATTGCTCTCAACCTTCCTCGAAATGACCGGTCCTCGTCTGCTGAATAAGGTCGCAATTGTCACGGGTTCCTCCCAAGGCATTGGACGCGAGATATGCAACCAATTCCATGAAGAGGGAGCGTTGCTCGTATGCTCTGACTTACGCCCCATTGGGCAGGGTGAAGATATCCCAACTCACGAGTTCATTACGAAGAAGGGTGGCAAAGCCATCTTCGTACCAACCGATGTCAGTAAGGCCGAGGACTGGAAGGCTTTGATTGAAAAAACCGTGGCAGAGTATGGAAGGGTGGATATGTGAGTCCAGTCTCGATCGAATCTCAATGGTGCTGTTGCTTACATGAGGTGAACACTAGCCTGATCAACAACGCGGGTATCTGCACGGAGGCAAACAATCCTCAGCCTATCGACGAAGTGGATGAGGACGCCTTCGACGCGCATCTGAGGGTAAACACCCGCGGTGTCTTCCTTGGATGCAAATACGTTGTCCGCCAGTTCAAGAAGCAAGAGCTGCATCCTTGTGGAATTCGTGGTTGGATAGTCAATTTCGCCTCTATGGTTGCGACTATCGGCATGGCAGGTCTTTGTGAGTTGCCCTTAGCTTATCTCTCCGACTTGTCCTTCATTGGATCTAACACACTCTTCAACAGCTGGATACACGGCTTCAAAGGGAGCCGTTGCTGCCCTGACCAAGACCGTCGCTCTTGATGTTGCTAAGCAGGGTATCGTTGCAAACTCAATTTGTCCAGGATGTGAGTTGGTTCTATCTCAGCGCTTGTCGTACGAAGTTGACGTGAACAGTTACCCAGACTGCGATGCTGGACAATGCGCTTGGTGGCGCTCTCTCTTCTGCACGGGATGCCGTCCTTGCAGCTTTGCCACGAGGTCGATTCGGTGAGACCAAAGACCATGCACGAGCCGCTGTCTACTTGGCAAGCGAAGACGCAGCATGGGTGACTGGTATCAACTTGAATGTGGATGGTGGCTTGACGGCCCAATAGGCGATCCCTTGTAACAGGAAAAGCCAGGCGAGTACGAGCATTTGGGTCCTGAAACTCGACCCCGGCAGAGCGTTTCGTTGTTGGAAATGTATATTTCTTCCCAAGACGATCTATCGGGTTGAAGACCAAATACAATCTATTCCCAGTCAACGGTACTCAAAATTTCCGAGAAAGATTGAATGTCCATTCCCGCGGTTCTACCACTCGAAGCTCAGTGGGCTGTTCAACACACCACGTGCATGCAGGGTGCTGTGACACCTGCACGTTCACCCCATTGCGCACGAATACTGTGGATCAACACCTCGGCGAAGTGACGCGATGCCCATGGCGAGTTGCGCATTATGGAGCGTCATCAAATCCTAGCGGAGGACAGCGATAACCGACAAGAGTAAAATGAAGGGAGCTAACAACGTTCCCCGAGTGCACGCCCACCCTTGATTAGAGAGGTTTCGCCTACATGGGTAAAACGGCCTGAGTCAGTCCGTATTGAGCGAAGTCGGCGGCTGCGCGGAGGTGAGCCGTGTACCCGACCCAAACTGCCGGGCCGAGGCTGATGTGCATTGCGATTACTCTTTGAAGATAGATACGAATCCTGATGAAGACCATCAGCCATACACAGTACTTTTCCACAAAGCTAAACCTGTACCGAGCCAATCCTGCGTTGCTCTCGGAAAATACTACTACTGGCACATGAGAAACAAGGCGCCATGGCACCAGGTCTCCTGATCCCAGCATTTCGACCTCATGGCTATTGGGCACGGAACCAATTTGAACGTTCGACTGTCAGGACTTATGTCACGAGATAAAACTGCGTTGCAGTTGAAAATAATCATGAACTCGATCTTGCCTCCCTACACAGCACTGTTACAGTCTCCATTGATGGGTTGTCCGCTGTGCGGCGAACCGAAGCTGGCATTGTGGAGAATACTGTCAATCTTTTCTCTGACGTGCCGCGTTAGCTAGTCAGGTCAGGTTTCTCTACGATCAAAGAGTGGCTCGTTAAAATTGCATTGACAACCATTTTACCGTTTACGCAGGTACCATCTCTGGGCAGCCCATCGAGATCAGGGTTAAGCTGGCCCCTGGAGCATCATGCTGGATTTGCTTTTGCAGGAAATGCATCACCACACCGGGATTAGTTTCAAGGCCCCCTTTGGTCCCGATTGAACCCGCGTGGGTGGGGATATGCAGTGTCCTTCTGCCGAGGCGCAGGAGGAAGACCAGGGATGATGTCTCCGCGTGTTCTGAGTGGAAAGCCGTGACTTTCAAAATGTGAGCAAATCAGACGGGCGGTGACCGTTGAACAAGCCGTTGGGCTGTCCAAGCTCAGTCACAAACGGGGGGAAACGAAGAAGACGAGATTCAAATGTTATCTTCTCCCCACGATCGACTTCGAAAGCTTCCAAATGCGTAGCTGATACTACCTGCGAACCTGTGGGAAGGGGCGTTCTAAGTCTTCTACTCCCTGACACGGACCGCTTCAAGTCACGTCCGCGGCGCAGGAGGGCATATATGATCTTCAGTCTTATTCCAACCTTACTCTCAGTCGCTCCTTAATGTTTTTTGTATAAGCAGTCAATTCTCCAGCCGAGCGCGAATTGCTCGTCATCGTCAACAGTATTGGAGTTATTCTCTCTCATCCGCTACAATGGCTGGTGCTACTGCTCCTGGTCTCGCAATCTGCACGCTTCTCCTCCTGGTTTTCGACGTTCTGTCTTGGGCGGCCAGATTCTATGTACGCATTTCACGGAAAGCTTGGGGCCCCGACGATTGGTGCATGTTGGCTGCAATTGTGAGTCTGACGATAACAACTCCGAGAAATCTTCATACTGATACCGTGTAGCCAATTTTTGGTATCTCTACCGTTGGAATGCTCGGGATAGCATTTACTGGTGGCGGTTTGAAAGATGACCAACTCACTGAGAAGCAGCAGGAGACTGCGATGTTTGTAAGTTTAAGAATAGTTTCGCGCGCAAGGTATACATGGAACCAGTGCTAATATTATTCAAGTGGTGGTTCATCATGCAGACGATGTGGTGTCTGGCCGCCATACCGGTCAAATGGTCCATTTGCTTCACACTCCTTCGCATCGCCAACAAGCAGTTGCTCTACACCATACCGATCTACTGTTGTATGGGCGCAGTGTTCCTCGTAATGAGTTCTACCACGATCTACGAGTTCTTCCACTGTGTCCCTGTCGCGTAGGTGGACCCGACTTCCAATTGATGCAAGACATTATGTGCGCGCCTTATCCTGGTGGAGCATAAACCCTGTCTTGGATCTTAGACGGCATCAAGGCAGGACAATAATAGACTGACTGTTTTATAGGATGAACTGGAAGCCAACAAAATTTCCCAATGGTCACTGCAATGCCCAGAGCAATATCACCGGCTTCAGTTACGCTCTCTCAGCCGTTTCGATATTCACTGACTGGTTCTGTGCTTTGACGTACGTTTTACATCGCCATAACTATTCTGTACGATACTGATAATTGTAATAGTCCGATTCCTCTACTCTGGAATGTTCAGATGGATAAACGGATCAAGCTCTCGGTCATTGCGCTCCTAAGTCTCGGCATATTCGCATCGATCGCTCCTCTCGTTCGTCTCTCTATCACAGTCAACCTTAGCGCGACCAAGGACTTTCTGTTCAATGCTATGGATGTAGCTGCATGGGCACAAGCAGAGCTCGGCATAGGAGTTATCGTAGCCAACCTACCAGCTCTCCGACCACTCCTCGAGAAAGTCCTCAGCCTACGCTCCACTATTCGCAGTGACAAGCGTAGCAAACAGCAAAAGTCGACAGACCGCTATCTCGAACTGGAAGAAGGTTTGTCCAGCCGTAAGCAAAACTCCAAGTTAGCGAGCCAAAAGGGCACCGAAACGCGAATCTACGGCGGAACGACTATGGCCGGCGACAGCAATTCCACTCTCGGTGATGACCATAGCCAAAAGAACATTGTTACCTCGCCAGCGCACCCTGGCGCTGGTACCGGCATTATGGTCGACCGTGAGGTGCAAATCCGTGTGAGCCAGGGTTAGGGACTCGGTCTTGTCGCCAAAGCCGCGCTCGGGTGATTACCGAGTATGCGAAACAAGATGACTTCAAGAACAGCTCCTTGTCTCGAAAACTGGGCAAACACTGCAAGCAGCGTAACCGATGGTCCACTATGCTAAGCCTGTCTTTATATGTCACTGTCTGCATGGGCAGACCCGCTTTGTTTAATTCGCGCGAGTAGCCGATTACATACATCAAATCTGTCGCTATCCACAATACGGAGACTATGTGGAACTCCGAATTAGTTCTGCCGCCTATCATGTGTCATGTATTCCCTGCGGTTCGTCCCGCCCCTGCACTCGCTCAGGTCACTCAACGCGTCTTTTCACCCCACGGGGGCCCTGCCAGAGGATTCGCTTGCGTGTCGCAACATGTACGCTAAGGAAGTGCCGATCAAGGATGCGCCGTCCACGAACAGAGGATGTTTTGCCGCCGATCGCATCACTTCTATTCCTACTTTGGATGCGGGATCTACGCTCGGGCGCTACTCGGGCACGCCCATGGCGCGCGGCTCGAGCGTGAAAAGAACGATAGACCGTTTTGGTATATGGTGCTCATCCACCGTTTGAGGTATTGTCGCATGAGGCTGCCCCGATGATCATTACTCAGTCTCGGGAACTGCTGCTCTGTCAACCATTCACTACCCTCTGCCCTTCTACTAGTGTTGTGAGTTATCTAAAATCACCGACGATCTCTGCCTTGGGCCTCGGGACAAGCGTTCAGATGTGTTTTAGTAGAAAATTACTATTGGAGCTATCTGCAACCTCAGCGTATACGCAGTAGTGGCACCTCCGAGACCGTTGCTCGCCTCCATGAGCCTTGACCGCCGTTCCGTATGGCGACTTCAAGCTGCTGCACCGTTGATCCAACACCATTTCCGACAGTCAAAAGAGGGGTCTTGGGTAAGGGACGAGAAGTGGGCCGATCGTCTATCGGATACGAGGCTTTCCACCCTTTCACCATCCCCTCGTGCGTTTTGTTGAGGACAATCTTCACAAAATAATTATGCACGACGGATACCGCGTGTATTCCGCCCCCTCTTTGGGTCCAGAGCTAGAGGCTGTAGGAATGTCATGCCTCGAACGAGGGTCGTGTCCGCTATCAAACGATAATTGGCTCGCTTTACTGCGAACAGCATAGTTCCCTCCAGCCTTTCACGGGGTCATGATGAGGGACGAGTCAGTGGGTATGGTGCGAACTGCTCCCCCTCAATTTGGACGCATGTGTAGGGTTCTTCCATAACATGCGCACTCCTTCGAGGCTGCATCTCTTTCCTTGCTCGACAACTTTACCCAGGACTGTCCAGCGTTCCTAGACGCGAGGCCTCTTTGCCATTCTTCTTATACCTTCCTTCAATCTGCACTACGACGGAATGGCAGACAAAGTGGACGAGCCTAGGGCCACACCTTCGGTGGATGACCACCCTAAGGATGTGGTCACAAGCTCTTCTGCTCAGTCGTTGAACTCAGAAGAAGCCGACAAGATTCGGTCACGAGTCCTGGCCACAGAGAAGACTCTCTTGCCCAGTGGCTACTTTTGGAGCCCTAAGATGATTGGTAGTTTGGCAGGAACTGGAATCATCGTCTGCGCAACCTACTTCCAGTTCCAAGCCACTGCTGCTGTCCTTGGTACTGCCATCGCTCAAGACATTGGTCCGAGTCTTAATACTGCTCTGGTACCGACTGTGTGGACTATCTCGCAGCCCATCTCATTGCTTCTGTTCGGTCGTCTCTCTGATCGCTTCGGTCGTAGAGGCTTTGCCCTTGCCTCATGCGCTCTTGCCATAATTGGTGGTATTGTCGCTGCGACGGCTCAGTCTATTGAGACGCTCATCGGGGCTCAGGTCCTTATGGGTATCGCGTCTGGTGTCCCGGCATCGTACCCTCTGTTGGCAGGCGAACTTATGAGCAACAAGGACAAGTACATCGGAACTGCTGCCGTTGTCGTGCCCAATGTTATCGCAACCGGTTTTGGAGCCTACATTGGCTTGAGACTAGCCATTGTAGCTAACTGGCGATGGATCTATTATATTTTCATCATCATGATGGGTGAGTAAAATATCCTTGGTCTTGCACAGTGACCAATCGGCTAATCAATACGATCAGTACCTGGCGCACTCCTCTGGACCATCTTTTATCATCCTCCGTCATACGTCCAACTACATGGAAAGAAGTCCAGCAAAGTTGATGAGATCAAGAAGGTTGACTTCGTCGGAGTTTTCTTCCTCGTGGCCGGCCTCACACTTTTCTTGCTCGGTATATCTTGGGGCGGCCCCGCGCAGCCCTGGGATTCGCCCAAGATTGTAGGACTCTTGGTCTCAGGAGCTGTCGCAACCATCGCTTTCATCCTCTACGAAGTCTTTCTTACGCCGGCTCAGCCCATCATTCCCATGCGCTTCTTCCGTGACCTTCGTGGCTTTTCGTGCCTTGAGGTTATCTCCGCGACGTATGGGGTGATGAATATCGCGCTCTTCATCATCTGGCCACAGCAGATTGCCAACATTTTTGGATCTACTGTCAGCTCGTGGGAGGAATCTGCTTGGTTATCCACCACGGCGGCATTCGGACTCTGGGGCGGTATCGTGATTTTTGGCCCGCTCATGCACTTTATCGGGCACATCCGATACCAGATTCTGGTGAGCAGTATCTGGATGACTGCCTTCATGGGTGCTATGGCAAGTATCAGTCTCGAGAAGAAAAGCGAAGCCATTGCGTTCAGTTTCTTGGCTGGACTGACAATCGGTTGGGGAGAAGTCATTGCTGCCATCCTGGTGCAGTACGTTGTCTCTGACCAGGACCTTGGTGTAGCATTCTGTAAGTGATTGCCTGCTCAACTGTATCACCGCACCGCTGACCCAGATATTAGCTGTCATATCCGCCTCCCGCACGATCTTCGGCTCTATCTTTACCGCTGCCTTCACCGCTGTCTATACCAACAAGGTCCCCGGATACCTCGCCTCCATTGTGCCCTCAGCCGTGACCTCCGCCGGTTTGCCCTCCGATTCTGTGCCAGAGCTCATGACCGCCATCGGCGCAGGTACGCAGGCCGCTCTGCTCAACGTCACCGACATGAGCCCTGAGATCCTCCGAGCCACCAACGTTGCCGTCTCGACCGCATACTCCAAATCCTACGCTTACGTGTACTACTTTGCCGTTGCGCTTGGCGGCCTTGCTATAATTGCTAGCATCTGCCTCCGCGACTTCGACCAGTACTTGACTGAGCATGTGAGCCGCCAGTTGTACCACAGGGGCGAGGTCAATGAGGATCCGCTGGAGAAAGTGGATGTAAAGGTCTTGAGGGGAACAGAACTTGGATGAAGTTGAGTCGGAAAAGCTTGCTTCAGCTTGAGCGCTCGCTGAACGAAAGATTCGGTTGAGGTAGCTAACGATGTTGGACGTATGGCACTGGTGGATGTTCGGATGTTATTCTTGCCATAAGGGTAGCATCTGCTAGTGTAAATAAGAGCTATGCGCGGCACTCAGCCACTGGAAAATTCTTCTGTAATCATGTTAATGCCTATCTAATCTTTCTCTTCGATTCTCATCGATCAATTCGCGGTCTGACTGTTTCAGACCCTGGAAGGCTAAGCATATGTAACACTTCGAAATGCAGCACTCTTCAAGGGGTTGACTGTTAATCAAGCATGCTGTAGTTAAAAGTTCAGCTAAGCGCCGAGCAGCCTACATACATCTCGAAGATGCCCGACTCAACCTGCACACTTTTACATGGGCCACTTCGCACTCACAGCCTTACCTTGCGCGTCTGTAACAGGCAGCACGCTACCGTGTCGCAGGTTCTTTGGAAAAGTGCTCTTATCGCTAGCAGTCCACTTCCCGCTCTTAACATCCGCACTTTCGTAAGGGTGGTACCCATCACCTCCATAAAAGTCAAGTAATAAATGCGCCTTCCCAGCGACCTGATTATCCCAGTAGCTTGCTGGTCCTTCCACACTCTTCTCGATAATGGCATTGCTCCCGCCCGGCCGAGTCCACGTGCCGAACAAGCCTGTGGTAGATATCTCGGTGAAAACGGTTTTGGCGGTCTCGTCCTTGAGGAAGCGGGTATATGTGTTGTTACCGAGAGGCAGAATGTCGATGTCGATGATATTAGTTGGGCTATAGTTGATGTAATCCTTCGGCGTCGTGAAGGTCTTGAAGTCATAAGTGTACGCCGTGCGGATACGAATCGCGGATGGGGTGCCCGTATGTTTTGAATCGGAGGCGGCGTAGAACTTAGATGCCCAGAACACAGCGTACTGCGACTTCGTATCATCCCATATAGCGGTGGGCGCCCAGACCATACCCGCAGATGTGTCCTCCACTACCACCAGACGCTCGTTCGTCCAGCTCACTAGGTCCGTCGATTCCCAGACAAAGATCCCCCGGCTACCAGTTCGCTGTGAGGCGTCCCATGTTGTCTTCCCAATGTTGAGGTCAGTGCCGATAATGTACCATATCTTGCCTGCTTCGGCGCCGCCGCCGGTGATAATAGAGGGGTCGCGCACGCCTTGAGTGCCTTTGGTAGGGCTAATCACGGGGTTTCCCTTGTTCAACGCTTTCAGACTGATCGCATTATTGCCGTTGGATAGGTAGAGGTACACGGATGGTTTGTCGCCTAGGAAGAAAACGCCCAAGTAATTTGTCAATGAAGGGTCGGCGCGCCGTGTCAGGCCGTATGACGAGAAGTCTAGAGATTGAGTAGGTCGGACGGGTGCGCAATATGTTATCGATATTTGTGCGACTATGAGCAGTAGAAGACGCATTTTGGTGTGGTGTGACAATAGCTGATTGCGATGCAAAGACCGAGGGCTGCGCTACTCCGGCGACGGTGTCCAGTCTTTCTTTAGTACACCCTTCAATATAATTTCTTCAAAAAAGGACAATAAGTCTTCTTAATCAAGGGTACCAAGGTTAGGTGCGCTACATTATCTGGCTAAAGTGGCACATGGACACTATGCAGTGTCTTGATGATTATTGGTGGACATTCAGCCTACTATACATAACCATCCCATTGAAAACAAACGTGGGCTTGGCCCAACCAATTTTATGTTCTGATCGTTGTCGTAATCTAGCAACACTCTACTCAAAAGAGAAATTAGGAGCATGCGCAGGTCGACAAGGGCTTGTGCGCAGTGGATAGTTGAGCTGAGCGCCGAAATTCGTGTCACTCTTTACATTTTCTCGATCCTATTGGAATTGAATCGAACAATGTGTTCTGCCAACATATGCATCCAATTGCTCCGTTCTTGTTGATTCTGATGAATTGCTGTCCCCTTTGAGTTAAATATCATTTACCCTTCGATTGAACCAGCGCGCCATATGTCAAACCAATTTTTGCATCCTTTGTAGTGTCGATACAAAGTAAAACCTTTTACCATCCTTCATCGCAATAATCGACTGTTCTATGCTCTACCTCATAGCTTGGATACACGTCGCGAGACGCGTCTTCCAGTCCTTATCCCATCTGTTGTCGGACTAATGAACGTCGTCACGAGTGAAAAATTACCCCTTTCGAACATAGAACGGCGGGAAATGGAGCCTTCTTCTTGTTGTCGTCATGCCTCAGACTCGTCCTCTCGGCACCGCAAGTCTCGAAGCACTTTCCTCTATATAAGCTAGAACGCGAACATGGGGCGTCTACAGTACGATAATAGAAGTCGGAGTACAGGACTGCTACAACCTCGCGATCCTTCTTCTAATGGCCTAGTATTCGTAGCAGGAATTCCTGTATATACCCGATTTGTTGTTTTGTGATTTCCAGATTTGCAATCCACGTTGCTTTCTTGAAGCGATAGCTCCCAGCAAGCGCTTTTTAAGCGAGCCAGCTGACAGTGGCGAAGGGCCGTATGCCGAGGGCTGAGTTGGGGGCTTCATAGGCAGCCTTGCGTGACACCTTGCTCAGCTGAACTCTAAACATTACTACCCTCAAATACACGATTGCATCCCCAGGTCTGGTCGCTTGCTTATCTTGGTGCTCTAATATTTGCTGGCGCTACCGTGATCTGTCATGGAGGCACTTGCCGCCGTCAGCCTCGCTGGAAACATCTTACAATTTGTCCACACGGCGAAACAGTTGGTGTCAGTAAGCCGAGAAATACTTGACTTTGGAGCGAAGAGCGAGTATATCGAATTGCAAGTAATCTGCAAAGATTTGCAAGCTCGAGCAGACCGTATCAGAGTACCCAAGAATGCCGAGGCTGTCGCGCTGGACGCTAATGATGAATCTATGGTGGGGCTGGCTGTACAATGCAAATATCTCACAGAGCGGCTCCTCGGCGTCTTGGAAAAACTGGGATCCAAAGATGGAAACAATAAGTGGAAGACCTTTCTTCAGGCACTGAAAACACAATGGCATGACAGTGAGATTGAAGACCTACGTAAGAGACTGGACCGTATTGGGCAGGCAGTGCAGGCGCGTCTAGCACGAGACGAATACGATTCCATCAAGCAGCGCCTTGATGCGCTCCTTGTAAGCAATGAGCAGATGGAGATTACAAGAGCGCGGGATATTATAGCCTTGCAAGTCAATTTCAAGAGGGCTTTAAGTCAAACCGACGAAGAGACATCGGCGGAATCGTTCTGTCAGATCGCGTCAGAAGGCTTGAATTACACCGCGGAACAGATTATACTCACCAAGGTACGATTTCCTCGATTAGAAGATCGCTACTCTTCCATCTCCGCCGCTCACCGCAAAACCTTGGCATGGTTGTTTGGCACCGGCAATACGCAGGGACGACAAGTCTCAGCTGCAACATTCGTTGAATGGTTACGGTCCGGTGATAAAATTTACTGGATTTCTGGACGTCCTGGCTCTGGGAAGTCCACTCTCATGAAGTTCTTATGCACTCATCCGGAGACGACAGAGCACCTGGAGGCTTGGGCTAAAGGAGACGAAGTCATCATCGCGGAGTATTTTTTCTGGAATGCAGGGAAAAACCGTCTTCAGAAATCGCAAGAGGGTTTGTTGCGTTCGATCATATACCAGATCCTACGCCAACGTCCAGAATATATACGCCTAGTGTTTCCAGGGGTATGGAGTGTGTACGACACGGATAATACTAGACCCTCCGCTTCTGAGGGTTCGGGCGTGGACCCCGAGTTACCTGTAGATGAGGAAGGATGGTTCAACGCACTAAAGTGTACATGCAAGCTCTTGACCCAGTCAGGTAAACGGCTCTTCCTATTCATCGATGGCTTGGATGAATTCGAAGGCAACAAACTTGACATTATTAGCCTAATTCAAGATTTGAGGTCCCTTGACCTTGTGAAGCTTTGCGTTTCCAGTCGCCAATGGAATGAATTTGAGGACGCATATGGTCGAAAAGGCACATCGAAACTTTACATGCAAGACTTCAACGATGAAGATATCAGCTCTTATATAGACGATACATTCTCTCATGACGAGAACTATAAAGAGCTGGAGGACACAGAGACGCGTGGACGAGCTCTGGTTGAAGAGATAGTTTCCAGGTCGAATGGTGTCTTCCTATGGGTAATCCTAGTGGTCCGCTCCTTCCAAGAGGGCCTCAGGGAAGGAGACAGCATCACGCGTTTACAGAAACGGCTTCAAGAACTGCCGACAGAACTGGAAGAGTATTTTGAGAGAATCTTGTTCCACGACGTAAAACAAGCCTATCGTGACCAGGCCGCACAGATGTTCTTCATTACCCTGGAGGCAAAGGAAAACCTTCCTCTCATGGCATATTGGTTCTTGGACGAGCCAGAACTCCCGGCTGAACGTCGACCGCTAAAAATGCAGCAAACGGCCAAGCGCCATAAAGACGCGAAAAAAAGACTGATTGCCAGTTGCAAGGGACTTTTGGAGCCTCATTTTCCACAGACGAGCAGTCAACAGGGCTCGCTACCCTCAGCTGTCTTGTTTGAGTACAAGGTGGATTTTCTGCATCGCACCGTACGAGACTACCTGGCTCTACCTACTACAAACATCCGGAACTGGGCGCCTAAGGATTTCGACCCACATGAGGCCATTTGCAAAGTCCTCTTCGCACAGGTCAAAACAGCCCCTCAGGGTCCCGAATATGGACCTCAAGTTTCGGCTCTATGCAGAATATTCGATCACCACGCCAGAGCTGTACTCAGCTCAGAGAAAAGATGTGATTTGGTACTAGAACTATCGACTGAACTTCACACAATCGAAGATTCGTATAGCTCGAATATTCCCGCGTCGTCAAATGCTCGGACTGACGAACACAAACCGGTTGTGGTGGGGATAACTGCCGGCAAACAGAAGATACCTATGATAGTGGAGCCTACTAACGTCAAAGTCTCACCTGTGCGTCCATCATCATTGAAGCGTTTGGCTTCTAAGCTGAGCCGCAAGAAGTCGAAATCTGGAACGGATCTTTGATTTTCTGAGACCAGTATGGGCTGGCATGGATCACCTCCTTGGAGACATGCGACTGCTCATCGTACCTTCTCTTTCTTAAAACAAATCGAAATTCTTTTCCTCAGCATGATCAGTACGGCTCTTCATTTCGCCGTACATCATTCCATGAACATAGCATTCGCCGATGTTCCGGTACTGCACAGCACTCCCATTGTCTTGGCGCTGGCGAAATATATATGGGACTCGGGAACCATGAGGAATGCATACATGATCGCCACGCTTCGTAGCTTTGGGGACTATACAGAAATGTTTGTTCTTGGTGATACCAAATCTTCTATCGTGGGAGGGAAGACACGCGGCGTAGAACAACTGAATGGATCTCTTTTCGTCTGCTTCAGGGTTTTCCAGAAAATGGAGAAATTCTTGTACTTGTTGAAGTCGGTCATGAGTACTCTGCTCTGGCAATTCCCATATGTGATTACAACCTCTTGCTTGTATAGTGTCCGCATACTCGAGCAGTATGTCTTCTTCGGCCTTGGTCGAGTGTGACGACTCCTTAGCAAATTCCAACCACTCCACGAAGAAGAACGAATTGTCACCACTAGCAATATAGTGGTCACAGTTACTTCTTGGAGGCAGATATTCGCTAACATCTTCAATCGTGTCAATTACAAAGCCGGCACACAAAAGGTATCTGTCCAGCACATGGCCCCAGGGATGATGCGCAGGTACTGTATACCACGATGCAGCAAATTTACTTGCATTATGGTTGATGATGAATCGATCAGAATGGCTAAGCCAGTTTGCGCTCCAGGAAGGGAGTTCGAGAGCGTTGGACCCGTCACTTTCGGCCAAAGAGAGGCTTAGAGGCTGTCCGGAGAGGTAGTTGATGTTGGATGAAGCTCTCATATAAACATCTGCAATTTCTAGCTGGTAATCAACATCAGGCATATGATGTATCGGATGCAATTGCCGCCCAAAAGAGTACATTGCGTAGACATAGTCTCTTGGGTCAGATGATACAGCTGAAGAACTACGCATCGCTGATAAAATGTCGGGGACAGTAAATTGAGTGCCGTCCATGGGAGTCGGCTGCGTTGAGTGTACGAAAGCTCTTGTCTTACGAGCGAAATACCAAGCTGCCCAACGACTACGATGTTGTAGGGGCCCGGACCTATGAAGCTGTTGACCGTGGTACTGACGCCGCATTGATTCACAATACAATACGAACGAAGCGCCGGGAGAGCGCATTCGTTGACCCGGTGCTAAGAATCTACAGACAAGCAAGGTTGCAGCGAACTGAGCCCACGATATGTCCTCGATCTCGTCAATTATGACAGGATTTCGGGAACACACGATCTCTTGAACAACCCAAAGCCTATTTAAGGGGTTAGTCTAGCTGGGAAAGCTCTGTACACCACCAGACAGACCTTGTGAGATAGGGCTTATTTAGGAAGGTATCGAGGCTGCGCCAGGCAGAGAGGCTGATCGCATTCGTCGCCGTTTCAAAGAAGTCGAGGTCATCCGCTGTAGGTCTATAGGTAGAGTGTATGATGTCTGCCGTTGAAAGTAGTCTAGCTATAGTTGCTTCATAGGCCTGGACACAAGATGACATATCCTGAACAAATTTTCGAACAATATGATTATCGTCCAGGCCAAGCAAACAAAATGTGTGATTTGCCTTTTGGAAGATATCGGGCATTCGAGGCACTATAACGGACTTCTCTACCATGTCGGCTTGATTGATACAGATTGCATCGACCCAAAACCAGGACTGGCCTGGGCGCCGCTGGATCACATCTAGAATAGAAAAGAGGTTGGGCCCAACACTCCTAGGAGATCCGTCGCAAGTGATCGTATGTCGAGGCTCTGGGTTACCCCATACGTACGAAATAGCGACGAATGGCGGTGCGTTTGTCAGCGCATAGGTTCGGAGAGTTATGTCGAACCCAGGTCGGATCTTCGCCAAGCGAATCTGGAAGGGTTCCAGTGGCGCATACTCGTATGCTCGGGAGTCGGCAGGCATATCTGAGATGTTTTGTCTGCATGTGTGTTCAAAGTATCGTCTGAACCGGGACTGGAGCCTGGAATGATGGGTGTCGCTAATTCCAGCCGCAGAGTGGCGTGGTAAGCGACCCACTCATACGCTACGTTAGTCACGCTGCATGATGTATAGCTTGGATGTTCTGGCCTTTCGTCTCGAGCGTCTCAAGCAAGTGACAATCGATCAGCCGACATAAGTGCACCTTGGTCATCTAGGCAACTGGTTATATGGTGAAGGTCTTTCTTTCATGTGAGAAGCAGATCTGTCTCGACCGAAATCCGACAGTAGCGATTTGTAGGTTTGCCTTCTCCTCTCGTAGGCATTGAAGGAAGTTGCGGCTCGGTTCGGATGATGCCTTACAAGGGAAGTCTTTCGGTACTTGGTCGATGTGCAAGCGCAATCTGCACGAGACAGTCCGCGTTATCCTCCCCGTGCTCCACGTATTAACAGATTGGAAAGCGGCCATCATGAAGTGATCTTGCGAAGTCCCTCTAAATCTATTAATTGACTCGGTATATCTCTAGAAAGCAAACACCTGATCCTCCAACTTGCTAACCGGCCTTGCCTTTTCGTACCCTAAGCTCTCCGTTATCTTCTTCATCGCGCCGACCATAGGCGGCGGTCCACAAAGCAAGATCTTAACGTCTGACGCGGGCGGGGGCAACCATTTCTACAGATAGCGTTAGCATTTCCTTTGAACCTTCTCCCTCAAAAGCAGCACTCACCTCGATCATCTCCTTCGACACAAATCCCACACCGCTTGTCCATCCCTCGGGCGGGTTGTTGAGAACGTAGTTTACCCGGATGCCCTCGTCCTCTCTCACTAACGCATCTAGCTCCTCCTTAAGCAGGATATCCTGCTCATCTACGTTCGCAAAAATCAGATCAATTTGCGTCTTATCCCCCTGTGCCCTCCCTCTCCTGATGGCATTTACAATCTGCAGCATCGGCGTAATGCCCGTGCCTCCCGCAATCATCCCAAACCTCCTCACCATATTGGGGGTGTACATGAACGCGCCTTTTGGCCCGCGCACGCGTATCACGTCGCCGATATTAAGGGCGGAGACGTGCTGTGTTATGGCGCCGCCAGGGTAAGTCTTTATGAGGAGGTCGAAGAAGCCGGGCTGGTGGTCGCCGGAGATGGGGGTATAGGAGCGTACGACTTCTTTGGTGCTGCCGTCGGGTTGGGGGAGGAAAGCGCCGATGGAGATGTGTTGTCCAATGGGAAGGCCGAATGTTGAGGTTGGAGAAGGGAGGGTGAAGCGGTATCTATCAGAGCACAGCCGTCAGTTCGGACGCTTGCGAGCATTGCACTTGGCATGGGACTCACATAGCGACATTGTGCGAAATTTCCGTCTTTTTCTCCAACTTAAACTCTTGGAAGATGTCTGGTTTGAGTATCCTTATGGTGTCCACATTCACATCTTCTTTCGCAGGTGCCTGTGTCAGGACGGCTGGCGGCGGCTCGATGCCTTCTATGACTTCGGGTTGTATTTCGACCGTGTCTATCTTCACCGCGTTTTTCACATCTGTGGGTTTGACGGAAAGGTCTAGAGTCCCTATCTTGAGGTCGGAGAGGATGTCGTCGGCTTCTTCGGAGTGATCGGTTGCGATATAGGATTCTGTTGCGTCCTGGCCTGCGACTTCGAGGAGGACGTCATATCCACCGCTGAAAATGTTTTAGTTGAGTTGTGAGGTAGTGAGAGGGGAACAAGTACGGGTGCTCTTCTACGAATGATGTCGCATCGTAGACAATGTTATTGATGATCATGTAGAGGTCCTCTTTTGTGTTGTGCAGTTGCACATCGGCGGGAGTGAGAATTTGAGTCATGATGGGTGGAGTCGAGCTAGGGGTATCGTGTCGCGGTTGGGAGGCTGTGCGGTGGTTCCAGAAATCACTCAGCACTTGAGAGATTGGGGGACCAAAAGTTTGTTGATATCGAATGTTAAGTCAACTGCAAGCGGGAGAATCGAACATTTGAAGGGGCCAGGAGTACGGTCTCGTACCGATGTCGCGGAGGACACCAAGCGCATACGAGCCTGGATTTACCCCACGTTTTCGCATAGAATTAGATACGTTATCCATATCGCCGCTAAGATGCTACAATTGTACGAACGCTATTCGCAACTGGACGCACCCCGTGACTTTGAAGTATTTACGATTGTGTAAAACTCGTAATCGCTTGCCTAATCCGTAAAATCAACAGCGACCAATCAGTGTTCTGGCGTATCGGAGAGTGAATGTGGGGTCCCCGCGTGGCACATAAGCGGGCCGTTAACAGGAGGTTCGCCATGTTTATCCCAATACGGCAGAGAAGAACCGAAGAATCCTCGGTGTCCCATGTGGTGATTATCGCGTGCTGGTAGCTGTTTTTGTTATCAGAAGGAGATAAGACTGGTATGGGTGATTGGGCCTCATGATTGAGAGTTGATTTTCGTGCACACAGGACGGAACTCTTATCTAGTCAATACAATGTTAAAATGGGTCGGAGTGGGTACAGCTAGGACACTCACGCAAAAGCCCGTCGACCAGCGATAACGCGTTACACGTTGTCAATGGCTAGTCAAAAGGGCGCTGAAAACTCCTAATCATGCTCTTTTTCCCGAAAAGGCCAGCAACCAGTATCCAAACTCCACCTATGCAACCCGCTCGCTAATAGACAAAACATTACAATGACACTGCATTTAAGCAGGCGCCGCTGGACCTTTAAGGGCACTATCCATCAGAGTCGACAGCCATGCTTGTTTCCTCCAGTGCACTCAGGTCATCCATAGGGACATTTCTTCTCCTCCGGCTCCTGCCTGCCACTTTGTTCTGCTGAATCTCCCCTAAGCCTACCGCCGAGCAAGCGTTCCACCTCCTCAATCTCTTCGTCGCTGCCTTCCCCACCCATGCTTTGCTCATTACCAATAGTCTTATCCACGCCCGCAAAACTCGCGTCGTCTTCGTTGGCTTCGAGTGCACGATTGAGCAAATCTGTGGCCATAGGATCCTGTGGTGCCACTGCGAGCGCCTCATGGAACGCTGTGACAGCGTCCCAAGTTCTCCCGAGCTCAAGCAGCACAAGTCCTTTCGCAGAGAACACAGAAGCATCTTTGACACCATGGCGCAGAACGTCTTCAAAGGTTTGTAGGGCTTCCTCTAACTGAGCGTCGCGGCGGAGGGCGTGCCCGAGGTTCGTGCGGATAGGGATGAGCGACGAGACATCGGCGTTGTTCTGTTCGCTGATTGCAAGGGCGCGGCGGAACATGGAGATGGCATTGGGGAGATGGTCTTCGTGGTAGAATACGACGCCCATTTCGTTGAGCAAGAGCGGGTCGGTGGTGCAGAGCTGGTATGCAGTATCGAGATATTCGTGTGCAAGTGTCATGTTATTAAGCTGCAGGTTCTGCATACCGAGGAAGAGCTGCGGAAGGTGAGTGCCCTGGAACAGCCGCGCGGCGGTGGAATATGCCGAAATGGCTTGATCGTGTTCGCCTTCTTCAGCGAACGTGTGCGCGAAGCCTATCCAAGCAGGTCCAAAATGCGGATCCATGACTGAAGCCTTGGAGAAGTATCTACGTGCTTCGGCGATGCGGTGTGTTGCCAGATAGTATATGCCCACAGCATGCCAGGTGCATGGCTCCGAAGGATGTGTGTCTGTAAGCTCGTGCGCAAGCAAAAACAGAACATTACGCTGCTGAAGCTCGTACAACGAAGCGAGATGCACAGGCAGTATTGCGAAATTATACTTATCTTCCCTGAGGACAGATGAGGTCAACTCGAGAGCTTCGCGGAAGCGGCAATTCGTGTAGCGCTGTTCGGCTTTGGCAAGGATGATGTCGGGGTTGTTAGCGAGATTGTAGTGTGTCGTCAGCTGTTCCACAGCCTCTTCGAACTCATTCGGTCGCGAATACTTGGATAAGCGCGTTGTGTACAAGGTCTTGGTGAACTCTGCGGCCTCTTGCGAAAGCGAAGGGTTGTTGGGGACGCTGATGGTATCGAAATTTAGTGAATCGAGGAACTTCCACTCTTCGGTGGGAGACATGAGCGAGTTGGTCATAAGGGCGTCGAAAGCTTCGAAGCACTGTACGTCAATCTGGCAGGCCGTCTTGTAACACTCTTTGGCCCGGTCGAAGGCATTCTGTTTGGCATAGCAGAGACCCCGCAGATAGCACATGCCCGCCTCTGACTTGATGTTATTAACGTCTTCCTTGTCGCGCTCCTCGCTCGTTGGGACGCGTTCTGAACGCGAGCCATGTTTATTGTGCCGTGCGCCCGCCCGAGTGTTTACATCTACGTGTCGTAGCTTTTGGCGTGCGCTACCTGGTGCCGTTATAAGATGGGTGGGATTTTTGTCGCCCAGTATCGCCAATGCCTCCTCTGTCTTGCCTAGCTTTATCGCGCAGTGGGCTGCCATATACCGGCATTGCGCGTTGCGGTCGAGCAGGTTACCACGAGCGAGAAACGACTGCGCACGACTATAGTTGCCGGTACTGAAGTGGACCTGCGCCAGATAAAATGAGTCTTCGTCAGCTCCTACATAGCGTTGTTAGCGAGAAGTGTACATTTGCATCCTTGACCGCATACCTGTGAGGGCGAGCACCTTGTCGCCGACGAAAATGGCTGTCTCGTACTGATGATTGTTGACGGCTTCCTGCCGCCATTCACGCAAGAATTTATCCATTGGATGGAGAGTATGTCCAAAACATCAGTAAGAAATTGCGGGAGGCATAAGGAAGCGGATGATGCAATGTTTGTACTGCGCCGGACGCGGTGAGCTCGAGCGCGCCTGCCGTTCGCGTGGGCACGAGGCGGGGCTGGCACGTGACGTGCCCAGTGCCAAGCATTGACGCTAAGGAAATCGCGACCGCCTTCGACTTTTGGTCGCATCCAGTCCTCTTCTAAACCTTTACAAGTTGGCCGGAACATTTCACGGATTGAGACAACGGGCCGTTGATCGATCCGACTCGACTGCATCGCCGCTGCAGCTTCCGCAACTCAAATTGGACGTATTTCAGCACTCTAAGACACTGAACTCTGGTTCACGAAGAAGATCACGTGATATCGAGCTCGCAACCTGGGTGCCTCCCATTGCAGGGTTTTGAACCGCCACACGCAAATTGATCAGTCTTCAACAGCTACGATCAGCATCCTGCACTCTTTACATTTGACCCCCCTCGCCTGCACAGGAGACCTGACACCACTACACAACACACTCTTCCACAACCGCCACCATGTCAGAACGTAAAGTCCTCAGCAAATACTACCCCCCCGACTTCGACCCCTCCAAAATAACCCGCACCCGTGGCCCAAAGCAAGCCGGCCCCAAAGTCCAAACCGTCCGCCTCATGGCCCCCTTCTCCATGAAATGCACCTCGTGCGGCGAATTCATCTACAAAGGGCGCAAATTCAACGCACGCAAAGAAACCACTGATGAGAAGTACTACCAAATCGCCATCTTCCGGTTCTACATCCGCTGCACGAGATGCTCGGCTGAGATCACCTTCAAGACGGATCCCAAGAACATGGACTATGAGTGTGAGAGAGGCGCAAAGAGGAATTTCGAGCCGTGGAGAGAAGCGAAGTTGGCAGAGGAGACGGAGGAAGAGAGGCTAGATCGCTTAGAGAGGGAGGAAGCGGAGAGGGACGCGATGAAAGAGTTGGAGACCAAGGTGCTAGATGCGAAGCAGGAAATGGCTATTGCCGATGCGTTGGACGAGATTCGGTCGAGAAATGCGAGGATTGAACGAGCGGAAAAGGAGGGAAAGAAGGCGGAAGTTACAGTTGTTGATGTTGATGAGGCGCGGAGGCGACAGGAGGAGGAAGATGCAGAGGCAGCGAGGAAGGCGTTTGAGGGGCGGAGTATGCCAGATATTGGCGAGGAGGAAATAGCAGAGGAGGAAATGGATGACGCGCCTGCGGAAGTTCCCGTGGTGGCTTTCACGAAGAAGCCAAAGGAGAAGAAGGACTTCGGTGCTGCCTTGGGTATCAAAAAGAAGGACTCTGGTGCGGTGTTGGGTATCAACAAGGCTCCCGTACCCGCGCCAACGCTGTCGGCCAAGCCACCAGCACCTGTTTCGAATGAGCTGTTGGCGGGTTATGACAGCGATGACGATTGAGACTGATTTGGACAGCTTCACGTATGGCGATCTAGCGCCGGTCATGTATAGTAGATGTGATATCCACCTTTCTTCAAGCATTCTAGTCCACTTGCGTCCCTACCAGCATCGCAATCACGTTTCTCCTCGTTTCCATCAATTCGTCGTGGTTTTCCTCTCACTTCGGCATCTAAAATCCCAATCGATCTCTCCATTTCTCCACCCGACCAGGGTATAGACCATAAATCATGGCGGCGAACACTACATTATGACGAGGGAATGGTATACGTTGCGGGTTTTGTATTGCGCGCAACCAGTGAAGGACAATTGAACCCCTCTTCTTCGTGGCCTTGCTCTAAGCTGTGGTGTCAAATGTTGCACAGGGATGCCCACCGTTTGCGGAGCCAGAAGTGACGATGAGAGATTAGAGGCTGATGCTGGATTGAGCCACCCTGAGCATAGTGAACGATGTGGCGCTAGTACATAGTAAGTAGCAGGGCCAGAGCGCTGATATGCGGGGTAGGGACAAGGAGACAGTGCATGCCCAAGTCGAGTACTTATCCTCACTTATCTGCGACGATTTAGATCTTCCCAGGTCTATCCACGTGTAGGTTGCATCTTGGGGACAAGCATCTTGGCTACGACATCACAGGGCGTGGCATTGTGTGTTGGTGATGCTTTTGTTGCATGTTTCGTAGAGGAGAGGAGTCCCTGGCAAACAGCAAGCGAATTTCCTATTGGGGAACGCTGACTCGCTGCTGCGGCTTCTGTGAACCGAGGCATGTACCCCAGCTCGTTTCTTTCTCATCTACATGCACGTACTTCCCACAATGTTACTCAACATCACTGAGCCACCTGGCAAATATAAGCGAAGAGGTTGAGTACTGTTCTGCCATGCCGTCCGACAAGAAAACAACGACGGTCAACGATGGACCGCCCTGGAGTGAGCCGTCGTGGCTCACTCTTCCGTCGCCCTACTACAACGACTCGCACAGAATCTTGCGCGACACGTTGCGCGCTTATTACGACAGCAATGTCAAACCCTATATGCTAGATTGGGAGGAACAGGGCGACGTTCCGGACCAAGTAAGGCTAGAGCATGCGCGTACCGGTCACCCGTTTGCAGACGTCCCAGAGCCGTATAGACCAGCGGATATTCCAGGGCCAGCGGGCATACCAGTAAAAGACCTAGACGTGTTTCACCTCATGGTCATGACCGATGAAGGAAGTCGCATTGAGGGAGGCGTGGGTACGGCAATGGCAGGTGGATCTATCATCGGGGTGCCACCAATCGTGCACTACGGGACAGAGGAGCAAAAGAAGAAGTGGCTTCCAGGCCTATTTAGTTGGGAAACATCTTTCTGTCTGGGCATCACAGAGCCAAGTGGTGGTGTGAGTGCTTAATTTGCATAGTTTCAACTCGCTAATAGCAAGCAGTCGGATGTCGCCAACATCCAAACCACGGCCGTGAAGAGCAAGGACGGCAGCCATTACGTTGTAAATGGCTACAAGAAGTGGATTACCGGTATGCCATGGGCGACACATATGACCACGGCCGTGCGTACCGGGGGCGATGGCGCGAAAGGCATCTCCGTTCTTGTCATTCCCGCCTCCTCGCAAGGTTTCTCTCATCGTCGCATACCGAACAGTGGCCAGAAGGCTGGCGGTGCCAGCTTCGTTGAGCTAGACAACGTATACGTTCCTGTAGAGAATTTGATTGGCAAGGAAAATGAAGGCTTCCGCATCATCATGAAGAACTTCAACAAGGAGCGATTCATCATGTCAGTTGGTTGCAATCGCAAAGCACGCACCTGCCTCTCCCATTCCTTTGAATACGCAGTCAAGCGACATACCTTCGGGAAACCCCTCATTTCCAATCAAATCATCTCTCACAAGCTGGCCACGCTCGGACGGTATGTGGAATCACATTGGGCTTGGCTTGAACAAATTGCATATCAGATTCAACAATCGCCGCTCGGATGGCAGGATCCGGAGATCGCGGGACAGATTGCACTGTCCAAGGTGCACGGCGGGCGTATTCTAGAGATGGCAAATCGCGAGGCGCAGCAGATTTTCGGGGGTGCGGGATATCAGAAAGGTGGTCCAGGAGCAGTGGTGGAACAGATCAGTCGGGATCTGAGGATGATGGTTGTTGGCGGTGGTAGTGAAGAAATTATTGCCGATCTAGCTGTGAGGCAGGAAACAGCGCTTGCTAGGAAGAGGGGTTGGAAGCTTTGAGCGTGCGTTGAGTGTATGTTCAAGTGCTAGAAGGATGCACCCCGCATTGGCGTCCATGCAGCTAAAGTGCTCAATACTTATATCTTGTGCATGCTGGACACTCGACCGGTATAACACGAAGGTCGAACTTCCGTCACGCGTTGAGGTCGAGGTTACACTGCATCAGGCAGGCTTGGGTTGCAGGGAAGGAAAGATCGACGAAACACAGCTTCCTAATGCAGAAGCTAGGTTGGCGCTACCACTGTCCATAACCCTCCGTGCCTCCCTGGAACCTTCGCAAAACAAAAATGCGAATTCCAAAAACAACCCGACATTGAGTATTGCTACGATGCGGTGTTTCTTTCTATCGAGCTTGTTTTCGCTTGCATCGCTACTAACATCAGTCGCTAATGGGTCCCTATTCAAAGATGCGCCTGGACACACCGCCGTCATACCATCGTGGAAAGTCCAATCATCTTCCGAAGTCGGCAATGATGTGACTAAGCTCTCTGCACCGGATCTTGATGTATCCGACTGGTACTCCATTGGATCCAGAGGCACGTTGATGGCATCATTACTCGAGAACAGTGTCTACCACGAAAACAATCTCTTCTATTCAACACAATTGGAAAATGTAGACCATACGCAATTTCAAGTACCATGGTTCTACCGCGCCGAGATCGACTTCCTCTCCGGAAATACGAGCGTCGGCAATTACTTTCAGCTCAAGACGCACGGCATCTCGTCGCGGGCAGACATCTACCTCAATGGTGCGCTCATTGCAAACAAAACCGTGCAAGCTGGTGCATACACAGGCTTGACGTATGACATTGCGACCAAAGTGAAGCCAGGGAACAACGTGCTACTAATACGGATCTATCCTACGGATTACAACCGCGATTTTGCGCTGGGCTTCGTTGACTGGAATCCTTAACCGCCCGATAATGGTACCGGTGTATGGCGCGATGTTGAGGTCAAGAAGACTGGAAAGCTTTCCTTCTCTGGGACTCCGAGACTGACCACACAGCTTGACGGAAATATTCAGATGAAGGCGGATGTGAGCAACTGGGCCAACGAGGGCACTTCGGCGCACGTTCATTGCAAGGTTTTCGACCCTCAAGATAAAGAGTTGACTGTCGGGAGCCTCAACACCAGTGTCACTTTAGCCGCGAAGTCGGCGCAACAAATTTCATTCAAGTTCAAGGTTGCCAACCCTCTCACTTGGTGGCCAGCACAGTGGGGCCAACAGCCTCTGTACAAAATTTCTTGCTACCTGTCGATAGGATCCCAGCTTTCAGATTCCACGCCTAAAGTACGCTTCGGCATTCGCACTATTACGTCTACTTTGAACAAATACAATGACACCACGTTCTTCGTTAATGGAAAGCCTTTTCAGGTCATCGGCGCTGGCTACACCTCAGATATCTTCCTTCGTTTCGATGAGCGCAAACTGCGCGCACAGTTCCAGTACGTACTCGACATGGGTCTCAACACTGTACGTCTTGAAGGCAAACAAGAACATCCACGCCTATACGAACTCGCAGATGAGATGGGCATCATGATCATGGCTGGCTGGGAATGCTGTGACAAGTGGGAAGGCTGGTCGTACAACGATGAGGGGTCTGGCGAAAAGTGGGAAGACGCCGACTACGCCATCGCGAATAATTCCATGCGCCACGAAGCAGAGCTGATGCAGCACCATCCGTCACTCCTAGCTTTCCTGGTTGGTTCCGATTTCTGGCCTGATGATCGTGCAGTGCGTATATATGTCGATGCTCTCCGAGCATTCGACTGGGACGTTCCCGTTATAGCCTCGGCAAGCCAGCGAGGGTACCCGTCTATCTTAGGAAACGGTGGCATGAAGATGGATGGCCCGTATGACTGGGTACCGCCCAATTACTGGTACACAGATCAACTCGGTGCCGCTTTTGGCTTCGGCTCCGAACTGGGCGCTGGCGTAGGCACACCTGAACTCAACTCGTTGACACGCTTCCTCGATCCCTACGACTGTGCAGATCTCTGGAAGAATCCTAATAAGGGGCTTTATCACATGAGCACTAACGTATCCTCCTTCTACACCCGCGAGATCTACAACGACGCGCTATGGGCGCGCTATGGTGCTCCAACATCACTTGAGAATTACCTGCTGAAAGCGCAGTTGATGGACTACGAAGCCACGCGCGCGGAGTTTGAAGCGTATGCTGCGAAGTGGACTGCCGAACAGCCTGCTACAGGGCTGATATACTGGATGTTGAACAACGCGTGGCCCTCATTACACTGGAATCTCTTCGATTACTACCTGCATCCCGGTGGCTCGTATTTCGGCACCAAAGTTGGTAGTCGCCAGCAGCATATAGCCTACGACTACCTCGCGCGTTCTGTCTACCTGATCAACCGCTCCCTGTCGTCCCTTGGTCCTTGTACCGTCGATGTTGAATTGCTCGATCTCAATGGTACAACGATCAGCAATACTACGACGACCACTCAACTCTCACCAAACAACAGCACTCAGCTGTTCGAGGTTGAGAATATCGATAAGATCAGGGATGTAGCCTTATTGAAACTAGTACTCAAGAGAGAGGAGAAGGTCCTCTCAAGAAATATATACCACCTCACACCCGAACCCGACACCCTCGACTTCGACAACTCGACTTGGTACCATACCCCCGTGACTAGATACGCTGATTTCCGCGCCCTCGGAAAGCTACCTCAGGCTGATTTGTCGGCCAAGGCCTTCGTAACGAAGGTCAACCCCAACGAAATCAGTGCCAGGATCACGCTACAGAATAGAGCCAATATACCGGCCGTGTTTGTTCGGCTGAATTTAGTGCAAACAAAGCATGACCCGTATTCATATCAAGAAGGACTCATAGAAGTCACACCAGTCAAGTGGAGCGATAATTACGTCACTCTGTGGCCGGAGGAAGTCTTGGAGTTGGAAGTCGACTTTCCATCCAGCAATGGCATAGGGTCGGACTGGGCGACGATAGTGGAGATCGAGGGGCTGAATGTGGGGAAGCAGAAGATCGGAGTCAGTATCAGGGCTGGTGGAAAGGAGGAGTAGACGAACCTTTATGGGTTTCGGTGGTGAGGTGTGAACGTAGAGGGTAGGTGGGGATGTAGGATGGAACAATAGCGTGCAATCGTTTTGACAAGTCTATCTTGAATTAATTTGGTGTCTAGGAATACAGCTACAATACGATGGAGCCTAGTATATCAAAGCTACATGTACCACGCACAGAACGGCTTCGTTTATTTCAGGGTTTCAAAAGTCCGCCCATCTTCGAGCAACATTATGTTTCGGTGGCCATTCTATCGAGATTGGCTCAGATTCGTTTATACCACACAAAAGAAACAATATCCAGCCTCCTTCTCTAACTTAAAGAGTGCCCCTCCAGTCTACAAATCGTCCAGACGACGGACTTCACAAGTCGAACGCTTCCCCAGGTCAAAAGAACCCGGCATCGCGAGGAGCTTCCGGACTCCTTTTCTGTGGCTGCTCCGAAACTACTGGATTTGTAGATCCTGGTAGTTCTGCATTCACTTGTGCCCCCGCACTCGGTAATTCAACAGGCATCGTGTATGTCGCATGCTCTTTGAACGGCTGAGGTTGGTCAGGAGGAGATGGGTAGTATGCCTGTGGATGCGCATAGCCACCCTGTTGGGCATACGGTGGTGGAGAGTATGTATCTCTGTAGAAAGAGCTTGAGATGCCGTGCCATGGAGTTGATGGAGGAGGCGAGCTTGGCCGCGAATATGGCGATGGTTGAGAGATGGTAGTGTCCAGGGTGACGTTACGTGATAACGGTGAGACGCCTGTAGTGTTTTGCGCCGTCGAGGGACTGTTGATACTGGGTGTTGAAGCTGGAACGGCGTTGTCTGCTTCTTTTTGTGCACGCTTCCTGCGGCGAAGACAAAGCAATACGACGACAATTATACAACCGAGCGCAACTATGCCGCCGATAGTTCCACCTGCTATTGCGCCGGGATTTGTTCTTTTGGCCTTGGGCTCAGACGTTGGCTGACTGGTCGTTGAGCTTGTAGGTATGGCTCTCGTCGCTGTCCGTTCTTTGCCAATAAAGCTCGTCGCGAGGTACACTGACAGATCTTTCGCCTCTGCATCCCAGCCCATCACTGGCGCTGTTGCAGTAGCATGTCCATCAGTGCTACAATGGTTAGAATGATTACCATGCGTGCAATACCAGTGAAGCACTTACTCGCCACCAATCTTCTCCACGAGCTGGTCAGGCACACGATACCCTGTAATATTGTCCAAGGGCGCGTGCCACCATGTATCGAGTTCCACGTTCTCCTGTCCCAGTAACAAAGCATGCTGTCCGCCGATCTTTGGAACGTCACAGTCCGAAATCGAGCTGTTGGTGAAATCGCCGCCGATGATCATCATCTGATTGCCGTTGAAGACGTCACACGACGACCGGCCTCTGCCTCCAGGGAAAGTGGCCCATTGTGGCGTTGGCCATATCTAGATACATCAGCCTGGCCTCGTGTCTTGATCTACTATGACTAACCAGGGTCCATTGGAATGAGGGTATTGACAATACGTATAGATCACCGAGGCCGGCCCCGTCCGATCCAAGCCCACCGAAGAGGTAGCTTTGACGTGTCAGTGTCGGCGCTTCCATCCGAGTTGCTATTGAATCACTTACATGTTATAGGAGGATTGATCCTCCGCCCAGACGACGCCGGCACAGAAACCGCGTCTTGCTTTAGGTACGTCTCCAGTGGCCGTTTGAGTGTACCACCTGCTATTGGCGAGGTCAAAAAGATGGACGTTCTGATCTAGTCAGTGTCTTGAACAATGCCTAGACGAATGTTGATTAGTACTCACACGCATGTTTGCCTAGCAGTTTCTTAGCATCCCTTGACAACAATGAAACCATACAAGGGAACTTACATAGGTAATTTCACCACCAGTGCTATTTGTCTCCACGCCACCGAAGTAATCTAGCATCCCTCCTTCGGAAGCAGGGATATAATGAAGTGATCCTTCAGCCCGACGTGTCTGATCCCAAGTATTGTTGTTCCACCGACGAGTGTTCATATCATACGATATCAAATTATTCAGCATGAAGTCACCGCCGCGCCAGCTGGAGTCCGACTTCTCCGTCAGGTACCCTCCATAGTAGTATGCAACACCCTCGTCCGTCACCGTACCGGCGCCGAAAGCCGGCCAATTGATGCTGGCCTGCGATGCATCGGATGCAGAACGATTCCAAGTATTATAGATGGTGTCGTAGAACCACAGTGTAAACCCTTGCGTATCTCGTGTTCGAAGGTCATCGGTACTCGGATATTCGCCTCCGAAGAGGTAGAAGAGTTTGTTCGCCGTGTCCGGCCAGAGGACGCCGCCGCTCACCGAGGGGACAGTTGCTTCCTTGAGCCTGTTAGATTTGTTCTATTGAGGAATGATTGGAAACTTCTTCATAGTGAGCATACCTTCGTCAGGTTCGCATGCTGGTACGGGAACGCTAGGTCATTCTTGACATCCGCAGTGTCCTCCCACAGGAGCCAAGTGTCTATGCTGGTCAGCAAAATTTGATCAGAGCGAGCGTAATAACCATACTTTGTTCCGGTACACTGTCGTTACTCTTGCTGCCGCCATAGTAAACCATGCCTCCATCGATGTACAATTTTGAGTCGATTACACATGTTTGCTGTCTGTGTCGTCGACAGAAGTCGTCCACCGGGTCCTTGATGTTTTGCTGCGCGGCTGCTACAGCCAACACAGCACTGATAAGTGCGTATATCATGGCTCTATGTCTTGAACGTACGACTGCGTGATGTGGGAGAAGCTGATGGGGCGAGGTGCTTTGAACTACCTGTTGATCAGAAGCCACATTACCGCGCCAAGCGGTCCAGGCAGGCACTGCTTGCTTTTGTCTGTGCTCGAAGCTACCATTGTTCCCTTGGTGATCGGTGGCGGATCCCTTTGTTGGTGTGGCTTGCAGCGATCGTGATGCGGGGCTTTGATCATCAACATGTATAGCCTGATATAACTCACATCAGTCATGCGAGCACGGGGTGACTAGTTCATATCGATTAAACATTTCATTAAGTATTGAGACCTTTAGTCGTGAGACTCTATATGTACCCCAACATGTTCTATTACATCGTGAACGATAACAGCGCTTGTCTAAGCATCTAGCAGTAGGACGCAGTCGTCGCCTCTGTAATAACACCTTCGTTGATAAGATCGATGTATGACCAGTATTCTCGCTGTGTTCCTTCGCCATCAACAGCAGTGGTAGAGTAGCTCACTGCAGTCCAGAAAGCACCTCCAGAGTTGTATTTCTGCCACGCGTACCGTTGAGTGTCAAAGATTTGCTTGCGACTGGGAAGGGTGTTGTTGTACATTGTCTGCAGTGACCACTCTCCAATGAACACGGGGAACGTCTTCTCTCCAGCAATGTACGCCGCTTGTCCGCATACCGCAGGGTTGACGTAGGCAGAGTAAGTCCCAGCTGCAGCAAAGTAGTAGACGTGCGAGTCGATGACAAGGTTTGTAGAGCTATCATAGAACGGTTCCCAATAGCTAGCACCCTTGAAGTTGTCTTGCAGCATAAGTGGAATGCGCTTGTCGATCTTAGCAATCCTCTGGAAGCAGCCGTCAATGTAGGTGTTGATCCAGTTCGTTGCATTTACCGAAAGACCATCCGCCGTACCGAATCCGGAAAGATTATCGGATGCTTCGTTGATAGGCGCAAGAGTGAAAGCATTGATGTGCCCGCTGGCCTTCATGAAACTCAGGACCGCGTCGATGGCTTGGAAAGAGTACTCTAGGTTCGTAGCGTTGTAAAACCATGCATCATGTCCAAGGGCTTCACCGATATCGAGGTTGTTGACGCCACCAGGAAGTGAGTGGAGACCAATGATGATGTGCATGCCGTACTTTTCAACCGCATACTGCACGATTGTCTTGAGATAAGCCTGCTGCCTCCCGTGGTAGAGTGCTGATCCAGGGACATTGACCCATGCAGCGTATGTGGTGGGGATTCTCAAGGTGTTGACGCCAACGCTTGCGAGCTTGTCGATTGTGGTGGTATTCAGGAATGAAGCATATCGCGCTTCAAAGATTGGACCACAATTGGATCCAAGAGTCAGGCATAGATTCCATTCATCAGGAGCCGCAGAGCCTCCAACTTGGTCCCACCAGATGGGATCGTGGGTCTTCTCCTTCTCTAACCATCCACCCAAGTTGACACCGTTCGCTTTGAACGTCTTCCAGTTGATGAAGTTTCCTCCATTGGTTCCTTTGGGCCAGTTGATGTTATGGGCAAAGCGATTCCAGCTCCACTTGACTGGAGGGAAGGTGAATGGACATTTGTTGTGGTAGTTGAGTGTGGGACCATGTTTGTTGCCATCTTGACGAACTCGTATTCCGAGGGAAGATAGTATTTTGTCAAGGTCAAGCCAACCAATGGCTGGCTCTGGAGTTGGAGCAGCTGCGACACCACCGGCGAGAAGGGCCGCTGTAGCGACGATCGAGAAGCGCATGGCGGTAGTAAACTGAATTGTGCGAAAGGATGCGTAGTACAAAATTGAAGATCAAGGAGTCAAGAGCCTCTATATAGCCACCACATCACATCTTTTCCATGTCATCCGTATTCGAATTACCTATCTCGGTAATCACAGGCATCTCGCAGCCGAAGGCTCTGGCACTGGTCATGGTTCACTCCAGCCTTTCCCCTTGGGTGTACCGATGTATTGGGACGACAGGCGTAGACGAGCTGTAGCTCATCGAGATTCTTCTATTATGAGATTTCCCCTTGCAAGATCACCGTACGACAGGGCCACCCTGGGCAGATCCAGTCGTAGCACTGGAGCAGTATTCAGAAATTTTTGTTGATGTGCAGATGGACACGAGTCAGCGTCCAGTCCGGGAAATCCGAAACGGCCCGGGTTTTCCAGAGACCATCTAGGCTTGGACAGTGTGGGTACTCGATAAGCTTTCAAGTCACCCACGTGCTCGGCCGCTTGATACGGAGAATTAAACCTCGCCGAGGATCGTCGTGCTCATAGACTGAATCAACATGCCATAAAAAAAGTTCGGACACGTCAATGTCTTCGTGCAACATATCTCTTGACCTTGCAACGCATTTATCGCGTGAGTAATGCGTCATCGATGGTGACGTAGAGCGCAGAGACATGTCTTTGTGGAGCATCCAGCCGACCACAAGGAGATTGGAGTCCTGTGCCTGGCCTATCCATGCCATGCACGTGGGCGTCCTGACCATCACCGAATCCGGGGACAAGGATTTGGATGTCTCGAAACGATCCCCCATCTGGGAAGCTTGAATTCGCTTCTGCGTTTTGCGATCGCTACTTTAGCGCATGAATGAATGCTACTGTGATTCATCATTAGTAAGGCCATAGCGTGGTAGAGTTGGGCGAGATGGATCTCAACGGGCCAACTCCGAAGTGGAATTGCACGCCGAACGTAGGTCTGCTGCTACTATCGTAAGCGTAGACGTTTACAGCGCTGTTCGTCTTTCTCCCTTGCGAGTCATTATGAGTGCATGGCTGTTATGGTTAGCGATAGTTACACGTTGAGATGGACATGCCGCAAATGGACAGAAAGAAGCTTCAAGTTCCTTTTTCGGACGGCACTGAGGCTAGCGTAGGTAGCGTGAGGTACCCGCAAGCTAGAGGCAATTATCTCCGATAGCTTTGCTGCCAAATTTGCTTCGGCCGATTTCAACAGCCTCGTACCCCCCACTATCAGGGCTAGAAGAGGCTGGATCTTTACATACCGGCGATGGCGCAGGCTAGATGGGCAAGCTCAAGAAACTCTGCCCGTTATGGGGAAACGTCGGTGGCTCTCCAAGTAGAACTACACCAAATTCGGCGATAAGATAAGGACTGCAAATTGGATGATTTCCTAAAGTAGGGGACGTAGAGGTGACCGTACTTAGCAAGGTACCGAATTTCTGATTTAGTACCAGAGGCTGTAATCATAGGTGTGTTATGCGAAAACTACGTCGCAAGTAAACGGAGAGGAAGCAGAGGCAAATCGGCGTAGCATTACCTTTGGGTTTTCCGGCTCGCAGAAACACTCGTTTGTGTAGAGTGTCCAACCCAGACGCATTCTAACCCAACCTATCCAGAGCACAAACGTGTGTTGGCCGGCCTCTTAACGGAAGCGTATCATGGCAACATTAATTCCTATGTCTGGTAAAACATACAACGGCTGCTTCAATCCGGTAGATGGAAGTGTGCGGAGATACTCGACGCCATACCCAAACGAGGTGAATTCGAGCTGTTCCGCGAGCTTAGGCGAAAACGGGAAATAGATATGGGGCAGATCCAAGCGCGATTCCTAAACGAAACGCATCTGGCCAGATACGCAACAGCCTCAGGGACATAGGACAATGTGTACATCTCGTCCCCAGCATAAATCTAGTCAGCCCTCACTAGATTTAGGGCCCTGGGATAGTGAAGGGTCCTATCGAGTTAGCACTGCATAATCGAGAACGGCCGGCAATGGCGACTAACTTACGCTACTTATCGGCCAGTTGCTCGGAGTTGAGGGCGGGGTACGAATTCCGCGCGCTCCGCGGGCAGCAGCCCACATACAGATCGCCGCTGGACCGACTGTCGCTAGTCACGAGGTAAAAAGCTTAACTCCACTGGCAATGGGATCAGTCGCGCCGAGGTAGGGCATACTGGCCTCAAGACCAGTCCAAGGTGAGGGAAGAGGTTATAGTATACCTTCAGAATTACTGAATCAGTGATGGCATACAGACCCCTAATCATGGCCCCTCGCTCGGGGTCAAATTGTGGTTCGCAGTTTGTTGCCTTTCTAAGTTAAGTTATCCCGGTGACGTTAATGAACTCACCCCTGGTACGTCCAAACCGACCACACAGGAGCTACTTCCTGTATGATAGGTAAGTGCCATCTTGACCTATATCTAGACTCCTCTTCATCTAATCTACAACTTTATCAGATCTCAACTTTCGAGACTACCTGCAACCAAACGATCTACTCTAATCTTTATTGTTACCACAAGAAAATCAGGTCACAATGATCGAAGCACAGTCTGCGTATAACCAGACACCCGCCTATTCCACAGTCCACCAGGCAGTCGAGCAGCTCGTTCAAGAGCCTCCCGTCCCGCCCTTCGACCCGGCAATTCATCTGAACTTCCAGCCTCCTCACAAACGGTACACCTTCACCGAGCTCGGACTGCCTGTTCCAAAGGGTGTACCAGACCTCTGCTATACAGAGCCCTTCCAACTTTTCTCTGAGGAGGGTGTCCGAATGCTCCGACGAGAGGTATTCCGCCGATCCTTTCTCGATAAATATATGCATTCCTGGGAGCGAGCACCATGCATCATCACCGGATTCTCGCTTGATGATGAAGTAAGTGACCTTCATAATCATCCCGAACTCCGAGAATCCTAGATAATAAGCTTACGCCTTAGGACGCAACATTCATCAGACAAGCTATGACACATCCTGTCACCCAAGCAGCGGTCAACTTCGCTTTCGGTGCCGAACTTAAATTCCGAAACGGACTCAACGACGTGGGATACGTGAACGTGCAGCTCGGTTCGGGGGGGTTAAACGGCGTTTATGAGCTCGGCGAAACACCATCCAAACCACTTCCGGCGGGGGAGAAGATCAGCGTTTCTGAGTATGATGATGTCCCGATCGACGCGTGGCACAAGGATCACACGCCTGTTGTCCTCGTATTGATGTTAAGTGATACATCCACCATGGTAGGAGGCGAGACAGCCGTTCGCATGGGTGATGGGAAAGTCATTAACGCCGCAGGAGCTGCAATGGGCGCAGGCGTGATGATGGCAGGTGCGTACCTCGAACATGCAGCGCTGCGGGCAAGTAACTGTTCGGAGCGGGTGAGCATGGTGAACAGCTACTGCTTTGCGGATCCGAATGCGGACGATACCGGTTATTCTTTGTCGAGTGCGCATTATACTCGTGACAGCCATGCGATGACCCGAAATCTGTTCATGGAGCAAAAGCTTACGAAACTAAGAGATCGGTGTGATGCTGCCCTGCAGCGGGTTCAGGACAGGAGACGGAAGGGGGAGGATCCGGATAGGGAGGAAATCGAGGGCTGGATCAAGGTGCAGATTGACTTTCTGAAGCATACCGGATGGGAGACCTTTCACCGTATTCCAGACTATGTTCACAAGGAGAGGCCGGAGGATGCTCTGAAGAACTACCTTACAGATACATAGCCTAAAAGATGCTGTTTGTACGTAAGCCGTTCCTGGTCGTCAGACCAGAAGATGTACCCAGGGCTTGTAGAGCTATTCCTGATCTTTTTACCATACGCTTGTAGCCGTAGCACCCAGTTGAATGGTGACCGACTTCCATGGATCATAAAGCGCTCGCGCATCTCGTCCAGCACGTGTGATGATTTACTCAATCTGTTCCTCTTCTATCACCCTAACTGACATCTGAATGACAAGAATCTGCGATATCTTGAGAAAGGCAGACAAGTACGATGTGAAGGAGGATGTGTCCTGAAGGAGCTTTTTCTCTGGATTCACTCCTAATGCGGCATGAAACTCTATTGCTAATCTCTGGAAAAAGTCTCCTTCAAGCGTGTGGTCGAGTATTGAGATAGAAAAATGGAGGCAAGCTCGATCGAGCCGGTCTTCTAACGAGTTTTGCATAGCGTTGTGGCTCTGCTTAACGTTATCTCGATAGCAGGAAGGACGATCGCATTGGAAGCCACGAAATTCTATAATGATTACCACACAACCGGACTGGGGTTAGTGTTATAATTACTACCACAGTAGTACTTTTTTCTCAATTTCATTTCCGCTTCTTCGACCCATCGCAAGAGATGAGGCAGCGGATGTAACTAAGAAATCAAAGCGTGGTGCACCTTTGCGCTGTCTCTGAGATATTGGTAACTACAACTCAAGCCCAAAGAATCAGCCACATCGAATGGCTTGAAATTAAACTACAGAAGCGAGGGTCTTAGGCACACCGGTAGTAAGAGACGGCCATTTTGAGAGCGATCGAATTGCGCTCAACGTACGCAATTTGAAACAACTGCTACGGGTGGGATTCTGAAAATAAGATTTTGAACACGGCTGCAATGTTTGAGTTAGTTCTCCTCCATCAATGCTCTGGCTGGGCCAAAAGGACAATGTCTACGTCCTTGGGCGTGACCAGAAGAGTGAGCTCGAAAGCATTGCCAGCTGTGATGTCCTTTACCTCCAACAAAACACCATTCTTGTACAATCCAAATCTACCCAAAGGAAGATTACGCACGCTAAAGGAAAGACTTTGTAGAAAATCAGCACCTGGCGGATAACTTATGTTGTGATTCTTCAATGGGGTTACGCACCTCTCATCCTTATCGTTCCAGGTGCGTATAGTTATCACCATAGCTTTTCTATGTTGATCCCAAGATGCCCGCAAGACATCGACATTGCTTGCATAGGTTAACTTGTCAATGAACGGTGATTCTTGAACTTGCTTTGGAGTCCACGGAGCCACCCACATCTTTCTCTGACCCTGAAAGACGTTTAATCTAGCGTATCCGATTGCAGCATTTCCAGTGTAGGGATCTGCCGAAATCCAGGTGCCTTGATCATACTCTGCACGGGCATTGTTGCTGTAGTACAGACCACCATTGCTCCAAGTGGGATTCAGAAATGAATCTGCATGCTTCAGCAATCCAGAGAGGGTGGCTTCATCACCCAATTCCGAAACCCACTGTAAAACGTAACCGAAGATAGGTTGCGGAAATGGATTGGGCGATGGATCTTCAGCTTGAGAGGCTGCTATTTCGGAGGCTCTGTGATACGTGGCCTCCTCGAACGGAGGAGCGGCTTTTGTTTCAACTAGTTCCCGAATTAAACGCGCAATGCGGGGAGGATTCAAATTTACGCGACCATCGTTCATCTTCGTCAAAAAGCCAACCGTTTGGGTCCGATACAAACGTTCGCAAAATTCCGGGTTCCATCCGTTCATAAAGGCGTTGGAACTGTGCTTCAAGTTAGGAGGTTGAACTCCGGAACTCCAGGCAAAGAGTTTTAACTTTACCATGCAGTACTGCCGATATGCTCCGTTCTCATCAGAGTCTTTTGTTTGGGTGACCACCATTGGGCAACAAGCCCATCCTCTTGGACCATGCCTTTGCCTTCCCAGGCAGCGACGTACTTTTCCGTCACTTCTGTTGCCAGATCTGTTCCGTCATGTACATCGTCGTATTTCAGGGCGATGATCTTCATCTAGTCAAAACAAAAGAGTGAAGGCAGAGTCTCTACAGCTTACCGGAAATTGGTTACAGACGACAAAAATGCTGTTTGGCTCACAACACGCACCCAACCAGCCTTCTCTTTCGAATTCAGAGAGTATGGCCTTTTGCAGCGATAGTCTATTGTACGAGAACTTCTCTGGGCCCATTCCCCAAAAAATAGGCTCCCAGAGAAAAGACAATGCATCTTCCTCGTCGTACTTAGAGTCGTTAAACAGCATAGTGTATAAGGACACCATAAGATGCAAATTTCCGGAGTACTTTAGGCATCAGATGTTACGTATGCTTTGGGGTTTTCGTGCCATTCCTACCATGATGTTCTCTCTCTTAATTGGATCCGCCCATGGGCGTCGCAATTCTTTGAGATCAGGATCAACAAACTTCCCGCTGTGACTGGTGTTAAACCAATAGCCCCAAACTTCACGCCTCAACATTTTGGCAATGAGATCCTGAAAGAGCTGTTTGAAGTTTGAGCGTAGTGCCGGTAACCGATGGTAGTGAGCAGCACCCGCTGCGTACGCCATGTGCGCCAGTTGTGTACCTATAGCCATCAAGCCACTCCTGGGCAGAGAACTGAGTGCCCATGAGCGCCCAATCACCATCAGTCTGATTAGCTAGATTGTGAAAATGCCTCAAATGACCTGCTTGCTCTCGAGAAAGCTTTGCGATGGATTCGAAAGACCGCATATCGATTGTCCGCGAGAAAGCGCCTTCACTTCCATTTGTCTGCGTATCAGTCTGTACTTGGGTCGCCATCATGGATTTTCAACGATTGGAAATATGGGTTGTGTCTGGTCGAGCGTAGAGTCGTGATTCAAGCTGATTTTGGCGAAGACACCCGTATTTTAACTGACCCCAGGGGGCGTAAACCTCGGCATATGAGGTCGGCATTGCCGGATCAACGCTGGATAGCTAAGTTCCGCTTGCCGAAACCTAAGAAGCTCATCAGACCACCTGCAAGCGCTCTTGAGGTATTGAAAAATGCCGAGATCCACTTATTAACTGGCATCCAGTGCTATCGATCACGTCTTCAGGCCGGAAACCAATGCAATTGGGCCCGACCGCAGCATATCAACACGAAGACTTCCGCTCGAGTATCTGTTGGGCAGGTAGATCCTGGCGAGTCGGCTCGTAGCAGAGATCCGCGCTCAACGTTCTAACATTACTAATCATATAGAGTGATGGAGCCCTAGTTGTCCTCATTATTTTATTTCTTCTAGATTATCGCAACTATATAATTCAGTGAGGGTAGCAAGGAGTCACACCCCTTAACAAGCAACGGAGTCAAATATCTCTACCCTAGCCGTAGAGCCTGGCATTCTCTCACTAAAACAGACGACCAGAGACCTAAATAGCACACAATACTACCCGTGCGATAAACCCCTCAAATTAATAACAGTACCAAAAACATAAGTAGTTCCCCTAGCCGATAGATGAAGACCTCCGCTAGCCGCGTCCCGGATTGCACTCATAAACTATGCTGTCAAAATAAGGATACTACACGAGTACGCACAGGTCACGGGTGTATAATACCCCAGACTCTTCTCGAGCGCGGGGCCCCGGAATTACTTTTGAGCATCCTACCGCTTCCTCGGTCGGAACCTTGGGTGCATCCACTCCCTAGCCAATCGGGTTGGAGCTATCCGGACACAGTGCGCTAGATATCGTCTAGCGTTATTTTCCCGCAGTGTTAGGATACACATTTGGTTAACGTCGTCACAATATGCGCATGTTCGGATTCATGTTTTATCACCATACTCTTTTAGGTCGGCTCTAGTCTCGATACTACTATTCTTGTGGGCTGGTCGAGTGAGCGAGCGAGCCGGGACTCCCTATTGGCTGATGATAGGTATACGCCATCGCAGTTCCGCTTGGAGCTTCGTATAGATCTTCATTTACTCCAGTGATCTTAATAAAGACATGGCGCTCGCGAATTCACTTACGTCTGAATCATGCAATTCTTTTTGTGGATGTTCCTCAAGATGGGCTCGTTCATTCTCGACTTAATCCAGTCACCTGGCATAACCCTTTGCAACGTTTTCTTCGCCGGCATTCTATGCTTAATTTTATATCTTATTATATACATCATCTACTACCGCTTTTTTCACCCTTTGGCTAAATACCCAGGACCCTTCCTTGCTTCCATTACAGACCTATGGCAAGTGGCAGAGTTTCTCTCACTCAAGCAACCCTATAATTTGACCGCATTGCACGAAAAGTATGGGCAATTCGTTCGCTATGGTCCGGACAAGCTCAGCACAACGGCTGAAGACTCCATCCCCATCCTCTATCAGAAAGGTGGGAGTAGGTTTCCCAAGACGGAATTTTACGATGCATACGGCGCAGCTCATCCAAACGTCTTTGGGATACGTGATGTAGCGGTATGTACACGGCAGATTATCACAGAGATGAATATGCTCATGTATTTCCACAGCTTCACTCTATCAGAAGGCGGCACATGTCCCACAGTTTTTCTATCTCCTCCGTCAAGAAGATGGAATGCTACCTCGACGATAACATTGCTATTCTCAAACGCAAGATTGCCGATTACTGCGATCGCGATGAGCCCTTCGATCTTGGAAAGCTACTGCACTATTATGTCATTGATGTTTTGGGAGAACTAGCCTTTAGTCAGTCATTCGGTGTTCAGATTGCGGACGACGAGTCGCTTGTCCCACCTGTTGTTGAACACAGTTTGCTTGCGGCTGCGACGGGCGCATGGCCAGCGATGACTTTCCGCCTTAAGCGGTGGCTGCCTCTTCTGCCTTCAAAAACCCTGAGGAAGCTTTTCGAGGGCCGAGCTGCTTGTGCGGCTTTGGCAGCCTCGTGTGTTCGTCGGCGTGTTGCTGCTCTGCGAGACAACGAAGATAACAAAAGCGCGATGGCTGACCAGCGGAGCGACATCCTTACGAGCCTGATTTTGGCGAAACATCCTGATACAAAAGAAAGATTGACCCAGGCGGATCTAGAGACTGAGGCGTTCGGATTCATCATTGCTGGGACACACACAACTAGTGCGACCACATCGCTTCTCTTCCACCATCTATTACATGCACCAGATATTATGGAAAGATGTGTGGCGGAGATTGAAACCCAGCTGCCTCCTCTGGGCGAAGAGCGGCCAGCTTACTCGGTCACGGAAGTCGAGGCGTCACTCCCGTACTTGCGACAATGCATCAAGGAGAACTTTCGCATCACGCCAGTATTTACTATGCCACTCGCCCGTCGGATTGTGGCCCCGGAGGGTGTGGTAATAGACGGCGCACATATCCCGCAAGGTGTAAGTCGCGCCATTCATTGCCTGATGATGTTCAGACTTACTAACGCGATTATAGACCTCGGTTGCGGTATGCAATCACGCCTTTCATCACAATCCGGCGGTATGGGGTGATGACCATGATGTTTTCGACCCAGACCGATGGGAGAGACCGGAGGCAGCCGCAAGGGCCAGATACTTAATGCATTTCGGCCTAGGAGGTAGACAGTGCATTGGGAAGACAATTGCTCAGAGCAACATCTACAAGCTGACAAGTTCTCTTTTGAGGGATTTCGACTTTACCTTGGCGGCAGTAGGCTCCTCAATTGATGTTCAAAAGGGTGAATTCGGCCAAAGAAAACTACCTGATCTTGTGAGCGTAGGAATCAGTAACTTAGAGTATCCGTTGATGGTGAGGGCAGGGAGAAGATTACACAATGTTTAGACGGTTAGTACCTATATATCAATTTAGAGATCACGATACTCAATGATCGTTCGATATGCACACTTCATCCGAGCTAGTCGCAGTTGTGATAACCGTTGTTAGAGCAAGAGCGGGAGTGTACTTCAGGAATGACTGATCTAAGTAAATGTCCGCTCCATGCGGGGAAATGCGGGGAAAGTGGGGCAGCAGATTCTAATGGGAAAGCTTAAATTCAGTCGTCTACTGCACTTTCATTCTTGGCCTGTCTGTACCAAAAGGCACAGTGTTACCATCTTTCAATGCAGGCCGACGATTTTATAGATCACAGTTCAGCACCCTCGCCCAGGAGGCCTAGCGCTCCATTGCCGAAACGTAAGAGAGTGGCTCTCGCTTGCGCCTCTTGTCGAGAAAAGAAGTCAAAAGTACTTAGGCCCTAGAATAGTTTGGTTCATGCTGACGGGAGGAAGTGCGATGGCGGACGACCGACATGCACACCTTGTCTGGAGACCAGCTCGTCTTGTGTTTACCAGGAGCCGCAGTCTCTTAGGATACTTCAGGGCAAGCTGTATGAAGACGCCTCGCATGGACTTTAGTGATATGCTTATATAATTATCCAGGACTTATGCGCAACTCGTACGCAGGGTAAAGGACTTGGAAACACAGCTCAACTGTGCGACCGCTGAGTCGGCATACGACCCATCTCCTGCATCGACAGATCCCGCTTCAATCATCGAGGAAACTCCTGTGGATGCGCTTGCTACAAACGCGTTCAACGAAGTTCCACAGAAAGATATAGGCTATTTTGGTAAGTACCTGACTGTGGCTTGCCAAAGACTAATGATTCTAGGTCCGAGCTCCAATCACGCTCTCTTTCGGACACTGTCGTCAGCATTTGCGTACCAATTACCGCGGATAGACCGATTACATTACACTTCTGTGAATTCGTCCGCGGAGGACGACACCTGCCCGGCCCTGGTATCCTCTTCAGCTTCACCAAGATCAACGAAAGAGACCGAGAAACGCCCTGAAGTTGTCGATCCTTACGCGCTCCCAAATGATAGAGACTTGGTTAGCTACATCAATTGGTTCTTTGTTACCATTGGGACAGTTATACCTTACATTGATAAGGCATCATTATTGAACGATGGAACTCGACCAAAAGATAGCCCAGCGTGGAGCACGTCCAGGTCTGGGCGAGCGCTTCTGAACATTGTCTGCGCACATGCGGCTTTTACACTGCATTCACCGGATGCTGAAAGATTCTACCGGCGTACGCATGCACTACTTGATGAACTTACGCTTCGCGGTTCTAGCGTACAACTGGGTATGTTGAAGAAACGTCTCTGTCGCTGGTTGATATCGTTAGCCGTCACTGATACGTCGTAGTGCAAACTTTGTTACTTCTTTGTAGCTTCCAGCAAAATACCCAACGCTCTATTGCAAGTTGGACTTACCATGCACTCGCGGTCAAGGCCGTCTTTCAACTTGGACTGCATTCTCCATCATCGTATGACGACCATGGCTTGCAAAAGCGCGAACTACTCAAACGTATATGGTTTGGCGTCATAAATCAAGACAGGTTCGCATTTCTACCATATACGGCAGCAGAAGTCTTACTTAGCGATCTCAGATATCTCAGTGCAGCTCTTGGGCGCCCTTGTCTGATCCCACCTACGCATGTACGAGTGGAAATTACAAGAGATTATACGACAGCTCTTAGGCAAATGGCGCCCGCTAACAGAGAGCAATGTCGGGCGACAGGATACTTCAACCATCTCATGTAAGTTTGCCCTAATCATTAAGTCATTATACGAAGCTGACTCGCGTTGCAGCGAACTACACAGCATCAAGTATAGTGTCGTCGAGAGCCTTTTTTGCCTGAACCTAGGGATAGAAGATAAATCGACGTTCTCGGACAAAGTGATACAACGCCTGAAGATCACTCAAGAGCTTGAGAGATGGCGTGGAAAATGCCTTCCAGAACTGCGTCTTGTTACATCAAACGAGCTCAATGCTTGGACCGCCCCAGCGTACGATACCAACCGGTTCCGGCTGCTACTCTCCATCCATTATTACAGCATCATATTACTTGCCAACACGCCGGTGCTCACAGCCTACATACAGGGCGGCTCCGCTCACATAGACAGACAAGGTTCATCGTTATCCGAAGCATTAATCGCACTCCAACACGACTTCACCGCGGCGGCGGAACTAGAGCAAATCATTCGCTACATAATGGCGGCCGTACCTGAATTTCTAGATAATAATGCCATGTGGTGGCATTGTAATTTCACTCGTAAGGGCAAGAATCGTTGCATCTTAGAGTCGTTCACACTAACGCATAGTGTAGTGTTCACAGCCAGTCTACACCTATTTGGTCTGCTGCTAGCAAGTCGCTGCTCTGGAGTTCATTCATTCGACCAATTGAACCCTTTAGTCGTCCGCCAAACACTAAATTCAAGCTTACAGACTCTTAAGGCAATTCAAAGGTCCAGCCTGATGAGTCGTAAAGGCCGCCATTGTTTGCAAAGATTCCTGAACATGCTAGACACAGTGGATGGTACGCAGCCCCTTGGAGTTCACCTTTAGCCTTATTCTATATGTATATCTGTCATTTTGCCTGTATGATTAACATTTCGATAGAATCGCTCGCAGCGACGGGCGCAGCATCACAACCTTCGGACCTCTTTGACGATCCGAGCTTCTACAGCCAGCTCATCCTGGAATCAGCTAATGACTTCATGTTCCAATCCAGTCAGCTTGATTCTGATATCATGGCGAACGTGCACTGGCCTGACGAAAGCTTCCCATAGCGCGACTCGAACTGAGGGCTGTATTGAAGGGATAAACGTTCAAGCTCTATAAAGCCGGAAATTACGTGTCAAGACTCCAATGGATCCCTCGTTAACTGTCTTCTCAGTAATTCTAGTACTTACAGTATCGCTACCTATCCAGTCACCTCACCTTTCACATTGAACAACGCCGCTCGTCAAGCAGTCGACCACCCTTTGTCAACAGATATTTCGGCTCCGTTAAGAGCCGTAGCTGTAGCCAAGTGGAATATTGACTCTGCGATATCCGAGGGCTCAAGCACGCCGGGTTTGCAAGAAAAGAATGGTTTTAAAGGGTGGCCGTTCCTGGACGGATCAAATTCGACCTCGCTGTGCTTGATTACATCCGTTCGAACCCCCCCTGCCGGTCGAATTGTAGAGCGGGAGGTGCGATTTAGTCGAGCTCACTTACGCACGAAACATGTGCGTACATACAGCCAGCTTGGCGCTCAGGCAACAGCTGTAACAGTTTTCATGCCAAAACACTATCTCCAACTTGGCTTAACGGTCCAAATGCTGTATGCTCAACATCCATCTGCTCAATCTAAAGTTCTTCATAGCTTGAAATACTCACTCGAAGCTAGCATACTAAGTCTTCGAAGGTGATCGCAGTGTTGATCAGTGCTGCACATACATATTGGCCAAAGGTGTTCTGCGGCTAAGAGGTTTGCAGGAGATTATTCGTGACATATTTGTACTTGGAAATTTACGTGTACAGAGACATGGGTATTGTTTGGACAAGGGGTTATCGCGACAGTGTATTGAACATCATTGCCAGAGTCGAGATTGAAACTACTTTTTTTCAAACACATCTTCCTTGTACTATGTCCATACCAAGTATTGCATGATATGAGGCAGCTAGAAGTGCTTGTATCCTTCTCCCTTAACGAACGTTTGCAGCCATTCCGCTTGACTCTTACCCTCAGCAAGCTCAGCGTAGAATTTCCCATGCGCCTCGCCATCGATAGCATTGTAGGCTGGAGATCCATCAGACTTTCGCTCATCTGCATAGTAGAACCTAGAATATGTCAGCTGGAGAATATACGTAGAACAGTTCCTTGCAAAAGTGTAGAAGCATCCCTAGAGACTCTGAGGAACACGTGTGTATAGGTTTGTATTTTTCGAATCAAATACTGGATACGGAAAACTCACTTGAAGCCTCGGTCTGAATACGCAGTTGCAGTAGCCTGGATGAGATGTGCGGTTGCTGACTTACCAACCCCCAGGTCAAGCAGTGCAGGCATGACCGTCGTGTTCAGTACGTTCCCTGTGTATATGAAGGTCCTCGAAGAAGTGTCAGGAAGTTTCTCGAAGCCTTGAATCGCTTCCTGAACTGCCGCATAAGCACTTGTGGTGTTGACACACAGAGACTTGGTAAAATCAGCCAGTGAGAGTGATGCTGGGTTCTTAGGATCCTTTGGGTTCGCAGCAGCCGCTATCAAGAACTGTCAACGCTATCGCGGCTGAGGACAGTGTAGACTTACCATTGTATACCACAACACTCGGAACACCAAATGTATTTTTAACCTTCGAGAAAACCCCCTGCAACCGCTTCTGGGTCCGATAGATCGGCTGCGATGTGTAGGGCCTCCGAAGTATTGTCTGCTTCTTTTGCACTTCTCGATGTTGAGGCGACCTTGTACCCTTGCGAAGCAAACGCTCTCGCGACGTGTTGCCCAATGTTGGTTCCCGCTCCAAGGATGAGAATGACCTTCGACGTGGTCGCCATGTTATTGAGAGAAATAGATATAGTCACGGGTGGTGGATACAATTGTGATCAGTCCAGAAACTACTTAGTATTCTACCCGTCAATGCAGCATTCTCCCGTATCTATAGCTACAAATATACCCTAGAGGAATTCATTCCGCTGGCTTACAAAATGTTTTCTAAGGGTGTATGCTTTGTGGGCTCATCGTGACACTAAGGGTGTATACTTTGTAGCCTTATTGTGGCACTAAGCCTAATCGGTGCACTCCTCTTTCCATTTGCGGTAATCCAATGTCGAATATGATGTTCCGCGCGCACTTAGACTTGCTCTCGCGCAATACAATAGGTTGTTCGGTGCTCGGCGTTGGCTTAAAAATGCCTGAGGTGACTAATGCAACGTGATGCAGCCCCGCACGCCTGATTATCATATCTGATCACTAGGCAACCCATCGACGCATACGGAATAGCATGCTTTCGTTAGATGCATGGAAGCTTGAGCAACGCGCTTCGTGCAACTTTTTCCGAGTGCTACGCATGTGCCACCACCGTACACTTGCATATAAACAGCGCTGCTTTACTTTACGTTATGCAACACCATTAAAAGTGGGATTTACAGCTCTACTAGCCCAGATCAACTTAGCGCTGTCGTTATACGCAATAGTCTGCGGTAAGACTACGAATGCTGAGTGGTGTCCATCGCCAGCATTTGTCCGCGACGTTCTGCGGGTGCTGTCAACGTCCTTTAACTTTCGTCCGCTGGCTATTGCACAGCCAGTTAGTCGAGACGTGCTGGTCGCCAGAATCTCAAGACACTCCATATATAAGACCTTACTCTCATTCCGGTGCAAAGAAGTATATCTTACATTCATCGCATACTATCCGCACTTTTAACTCCTCGCCAACTTCCTGATGGCTCCAACAAATATTCTCGTCACTGGCGCTGCCGGCTACATGTAGAACTTCGATCTAAAGATACAAGACAATAGCTGACCTTTACCAGAGGCGGGTCTATCGTGGCGGACTTCCTGACTGGTGTCGTTCCGTCTCTCGAGAAGGGCAATATAATCGCAGCTGTTCGATCAGAGGAACAAGCTGCAGCGTTATCCGACTCCGGTGTCAACGTAACTCGCCTCGATCTCACCGACGGAGAGGCAGTCGCCAAGACAATCGTAGACCACGACAGTAGGTCATGAGATCCAATGTCCCCATCATGATGTATCAGGCTTAGCGATGTGAAAGTTTCCATCATTATACATACTGCCAGCTCGCTAATCCCCGATCTTGCGTTGAATTTGATCAATGGGCTGAGTAAACAGCGCAAGGATACTGGCCGCCAAACATACTTCATCCATGTGAGTATTCACATTCATATGTATTCGATCGCTTACACAAACTAGACGTCAGCAATGAGTGCTTTCATGCCGAGCACCGGGTGGCCCTCAGGCACGCTTCGCGGTACTGGTAACGAAATCTTTGCAATTGAGAAACAACTTGCGGATTCCTACCCTGTGCGCAAAGTAAGCAAGCCTGACTCTGAGGCTGTTCCGGAGGATGTGCTTCTGACGCTTGTAGACTGACGTCACCGTTATCGAACAAGCGCAATCTCAAGGTGTCATTAGCTTCATAGTGATCCCATGTCTCACACGTAAGTTGACTAGCCGGTAAAGATGTTGAGCTGACTCGTCGTTTAGATGGCAAAGGCACAGGAGCCTGGAACAAGTTGTCGGTCAACATACCAATCGTCATCAATGCAAGCATTAAGCGCAAAGAAGTCCGGCGATTTGCAGACAACATCGTAAGACGAGATTCCTTGACTATTACTATCAACTAATCCAAATAACAGAAAGTGTCATACGTACATATCTCCGATTTGACTGCGTTGTATGGCCGCATCGTCGAGAAGATACTGCAAGGCGAAGAGCCACCCAGCGGATCAGAAGGATACTATTTTTCCACGTCGTATCAAATCTCCTCCCACCACTTCGCAGACCAGCTAGCTGCAGCCCTTCACGCTCGAGGTCTTGTTTCAAGCCCGAAACCAGAGGTCTGGCCAAGCGCCGAGGCTGCCGCGGAAGCCCTCGGGGTTCCTGCTAAGTTCGTGGAGTATCTCTGGAACTCAGGGTGCGTAATACACTCTCCACAGCTGTCACAGGCTAATTCTATCAGGGACGATGCCCCTTCGACCGGCATAGGCAGTGGCCCGAAAATCGGTTGGAAACCAAAGTGGGACGAAGAGAAGTTCTTCAGACACATTGATGATGAGGTTGACGCGGTCTTGGAGCTCGGAAAAGCGAAAAGTAGCTTGGTTGACTCTTTGTTCGCCGCTGCCAAAGAGTAGTACTGGCGCCTTCATTTCAAGGTTGTTTCGGAACATAAAGCGAGCAACAGGCGTATCTCATGCCAGGCGCTCGCTAATGGTTGGCTTTTAATTAAAAGAAAATGAACTTCCTTCATGCTGGACAGCTATATTTGTTGACCTTTGCTCGCTTATCATTCTTTGATCCCTGAATGCATACTCTGTGTGCCGAGTCCGGGCTTTGGTCGGACAATTTTGCGGCACGTATCGGTGAGTTACCGCTACTCAGTGTGGCGCACGCAAACTCTAGAGAGCGATACAAAACAGATGGGGCTTCTTGTTATGTGCGACGGCGTCGACACGCGTTTTTCCTCGTATGACAGTCGCAGAATAGTACGGGGAGATTAATATTAATCAATGAATTTGCGTCTTTCAGCACACAGATCTTTGACGATATGAATATTGATCGTGCGAAACGGTTCGTATCTTGATGTTGACTAGACAGCCGAAAGGTAGTCTCGCTAGTAGTGTTGGAGTTAACGTTTCCGCTTCGGGTTATGTGCATGTTGGTAAGATTGTTGAACCCCGACCATTGCCGATACCAGAATAATAGAGTGTCGCACCTGGTTCCCTTCAGAATTTGCACCAGTCAATCATAATTCCAGTGAGGAAGAGATTCAGCCCGCACATGCGAAGAACAAGCAGCAACATATTACCAGCATGAAAGAATTTCGTCAGAGAGCCCAATCACGACTTCGCAATCTTCCCGTCGAGATACGGCTGAAGATATACGAGCAGATGACCCCACCTGTCGTTTCACGCCTGTTAGATTGGAGAGGACTGTTCTTATCATGTAGACTGTTCCACTACGAGATGAAACATGAACTCCTCCGGAACATGATCAAATATTTGAATCGAATACAAAAGGACTGGGTGAAGGTCCACGCTGCACCTTTGCAAATCTGCATACCAACCAGTATTACCTCGATCGAAAAACTCTCCGTCGCGATTCCCAACTCATACTTCCGCGCTCGGGAAGCTCAATTCCCAGCTGCACGCATATTCTCGGCGACCTTATTATCTCTCCTTCAGCTAGGCATCTCTCAGCTTACCATTGGAAGATACGAAGACGACGATAAGATGAAACGCACGACATCCCCAGTAACGGAACACTCCCTAGCGGATTTTGTGAGGGACCTGCTGGATTTGATGGACCCTTCCAAGCCTGCGAGAGCGATCAAGACCGATGATGGAACCGAGTTGGTAGTCTCACGAGGTAGTGCCGTCGAGAGGATCGCTTTCGAATGGGGTACCTTTGACGGCGCGTTGGGAGATGAAGACCTTGTCTTACCTTACTATGCTTCAGATTGTCCTGATGATAGGACGACAGAGTTCGTGAGGGGACATATCTGCGCGCCAGCAACTGGGGTTGTGTGGACGCGACGTCGATATACCTGGTATGGCCAAGTTTTGGGTGATTTCTGGCACGAGTCAAGCTCCTTGCCTGAGTAAAGTCCGATCTGAGGACTTCGTAGGATGTTATTTGCGTCTCTCTGTCCCACTTGGAACCTTATAACCCATCTTGTTTCTCGCAAAAGACACACCTTGCCATTTGGGTCACGAATCATGTAACCTCTCATAAGTCAACGAGTTTCCAGTTCCTCCCTTTGCTGTCTCTTTTGCGACTCCTCGAGATGTGACCACAAAGTCTGATCGGCAATTGCCGACCAAGCCATTCAAAACTTCTCAAAACCCATTCCACATCCCCGCACAGCACCAATAAAGTTCCGCCCCCAAATGCGGGGCCTCCGACACCTTCAGCTTCCTGTTCTTCCCCAACTCTTTGAACCCAGGCTCATCTTCGTCCTTCAGCGCAAGGACCTGGTCTCGGAGGCGCAAGATCTGAGCCTTCCATTCTGTTCTCATGACTGCATCTCGATTTTCCTCGCGCCCTTTGAACTGCGCTACCATTTCCATTGTCTGGAGGCCGCCGACCTGCGTGAGAGCGGTCCAGAAGAGGAAGAAGCGCCAGTTGTTCGGGTGTCCGTAGACGTTGGCCTCATCTTCGGAGGATTCATTTTCGTCATCTCCATCATCCTCATCTTCGTCATTATCGTCGTATTCGTCCTCCTCCTCGTCGCTCTCCTCATTCTCCTCATCTTCAGCCTCATCTTCTTCAACTTGATCCGCCTCAGACTCCTCTCCTGTAGATGCCTCGCCCTTACCATCGGCTGCTGTCACGTCGGTCTCATTATTAGTGTTACTGTCTTTCACCGCGATTTCTTCTCCGTCGCTAACCACTATTTTCATCTCTTTCCTGAACTCGGTCCTCTGCATTCTTTGGATCCAGGCCTCTGGCCACTTTCCATCCTCGTTCTCCTCCATACCTGCTGCAATGAGAACCCGTCGCCACGCCCTCTTCCACAGCGTCCCTCTAAACATAGCACCTCCGACGAGATGCGCTAATGCCGTCTGGTTTCCTTCGAGTTTGTCTCCGTAGGGGCTATCCTCCGCGCCCTCGGCGTATGGACCCACGGACAACAACTCAAACCCATCGTTCCGACCATTGTTGGGGCCGCATGACCAATCTGGGATACAGTACTTGATGAACTCGATTCTTGTATCGATATTCAGGGCGGGTTTACGGTTGGACGAGGGCAAGAGGAAGGATGACGTAGTGCCGCCAAAGAGTTCTCCGTAGATGAGAAATTGAAAGGTTGCTGACGAGACATCCGTGTACAGTGTGAAGGCGTCTTCAGCACCACCATTCCAGAAAGCGGGCTGTTGATACCACTCACTCCCAATCATAGCATCGATGGTTGTATTCAGTGGGTTGATAATGTTGAATCTCAGCTCATACATCTTCCTAATATCTTCCATGGTCAGGCCCACACCTTCGACATCATCGCTGAGTGCAAGGGACAAGACACCTTTCATGCCGCCTCGGAAGGCTTCCACAAGGAGCGCAACACGCGTCTCTCTTTCTGCTTGAGATGCAACAGCCCATGCTGCTATCTGACGCGCTACGGCCAGGACAAGGAAGTGCGGATGCGGGGAGAAGAAGGTGGGGGCTGATCGCGACGCTAAACGTAGGATGGTCTTTGGCAGAGTATTGGTGAATAAATTTCGCAGGCGCTTGCAGGTAGAGGATGCGTTCATGAAGTCCTCAATGTTGTTCATGTACGATGGGAGTTGGAGGAGTAGCTCGTTTGGTAGATCCAGGAGGTTGGGCGGTGCCATTGTGCCTGATGGTGGCCGTCTTCTACTAACACTGGATGTTCGTCGGGGTGGGCTTTGTCATATACCCATCAGGAAGTACGAAGTGGTTTGTTGCGAGGGCGGCAGAAAAAGGGCTGTCGAGCGAGAATTGGTGTCGAACGTCAACACTGACAAGGCAGCAGCCTAAGGCGATCGCGATTGCCCCTCATCAGCTGACTCGCCAGTGTCCAGCTCCCAAAATATGAACGATGGAGTGGTTAGCAAAGCATCACATTCATAGACTCGTGATCTTGTTGGGATGTCTTTGCCTTCAGTTGGCTCGAACCCTTTCCAAAATTGCTGACAATCGCACGACCTCGGGAGTAACTGTAACCACAACAACATCCCTATGGCGGCGATGATACACACTCTTCCTCAAGGTAGGTAAAGTATGTGTGCAATTTTGAAAGACGAATAGGAAAAATGCACATGTCAACGAACAGCATCTACAGCCGGAAATGTTGTATCGCGGGCAAGAGATGGAAAGTGAAGCTGCATAGCGGAGGTGTTTGCAAGTTCACGAGCGCGAGAGACGGCAGCTTATCAGGATATCTATCAGCGGGAGGTAGACATCGAAATGCGAGAGACTGAGATCGCCTTACGACAAAATGGAGTTCGTTGATGCGATCGCTGGGAAAGATGACCCTCACGTGGGGCCGCCCCAGCCCTGAAGCGAAGAAATGACACGCCTCCCGCTTTTCCCGCCGTCCGTTGCCGCAAACCCCACAGTCTCGACCTTCAACGGCCTTGAAGACTGTCAAGCTCAGCAAAGGCGCCTTGGGACGCCTCGTCAATGCATAAGCATTGATGTCTTCCTTGACAATCCAGTCGAAATAACACGCGCAGCCGTCCCTTGGCGGTACCCCTTCACCATGCCACGACACTCTCAGCCACCATTAGATATGATCGATAGCATCATCCGGGTATCAGATCGCATCGTCAAACTTACGCGACATCGATCACCGGCACTAATGTCACAGTATCTCGGGTCCACCTGCCTGAAACACACAGCAGACCACGAGCGCCGCTTTTCTCCGCGCGAACGTCTACCTACGTCGTTAGAACCATGGTGCGAAGAGGATGAAATTCCGTTCTACCCATGAGCCGTGGAGAAGAAACAACGCCGTTCGCTCCGCTCGTGGCGAGAAACTGTCTGCAAGTCGCCTTGAGGTTGTTCGTCGCGAGGCATTATCCTGCCACTGTTTCAAGATGCTGTACGGCGCATACGACATCGCCCATGGCAGCTTTATTATAGCTAAGGACGCCGCGCTTCGCCCAGGTTCTCAGTCACACTTCGTCGTCACTTACTTGCACACATCTTGACTTCCATCCCAATCATCCAGTTGGATCTTCCTTTCTCTAATAGCAATCTGTCTTATTACTCGCAATTGTACATTATACCCAAAAACCGCCACGATGTTGACCAACCGCCGCTCTACCATGATGCTCCCGCGTCAAAACACCAGCCCACAAATTCGTCCTGAACCTGCGCAACTCGAGACTGAGCCGCATTGCCGCACCTCTTCGGTTCTGACAGCCACAACGCCTACTCTTCCCGGGTACCGTATCGTCAAGGTCCACGGCATGGTGCACGGCCTTACTACTGTCGCGCGCAAAGACACGAAGACCTTCCTCAAGTCAATGGGCAACAGCAGTGAAGCAAAGAGTCTCACGCACATGATCTACAACGCACGCGATCAAGCCAGTGAGCGCATGATCAGGGACTGCATCTCGCGGGGCGGCAACGCGATCGTCGGCATGGCCTTCGGTGAAAGTGAGGTTCTGGGCTTTGCGCAAATTAGCGTCTACGGTACGGCGGTATACATCGAGAAAGAGAAAGCATGACTAGAAGATCCCTTCAGAGACTCTGGATGCTACGTAAACCCAAACCAACCACAAGTGGAAGACATGGAGGAGGATTGAGGATCAAGGAACCTACTTACATCGTCCATCCGGATATGGACGATTACGATATGACGACTAATTTTGGGTCAGCGCGAGCAGGAAACACTCGGCGACGACGATGGCGTTTGAGGGCGTTGGGTGGGCAAAACAGCGGAATCGTTCAAAGGAAGCAATTCTTCCAGCTGGGTGCTTTCGGGATGGATTTGTGATACCCGAAGATTGACTTGGTCAGACCAGCAGTGCGTAATGCGATGCAAACCATATGATCATGCTTTTCAATGGTATATATTCACTATCTTGATGGGGAAGATAGTATCTCACCTCTGATTGGCGACCGGAACCACCACAGCCTTTGTACTCGTGCGAGAGGCTCAACATGTGACTGTCCGTCCCACACAAACCCCAACTCGTCCAACTCGGCTCATTTTATCACAGTATACCTAATTTGTTGCCTTGCATATCATAGTCTTGTATCATTGACGCGCAGATATGGTTCATGCACCACGCTACGCGGTGATAAGCATGACGATACGGTGGGGGGCCGCCCCGCGTCCGCAAGTGCCGCAACCCGTGGAGCACGGCAACAACGCCCTTTGCGCGTACAATTCGAAATGCATGGGCGTCGTAATGACATAGCCCTGTATCAAGTAGATGGTCTGGCAGTAAGCAGAGGCTCCTGATTACATTTGCGTATCTCTACTGCATCGAATGTAGCCTGTAGCCGTATTGAAGGCTTAGCATAGTGACATCGCTAGCCTACCGGCGCCGCGGGGCGAAGCGCAGCAACTCGACAACACCTTCCTCCTCGCTGATCGACACTCGCCCACAGTCACTATACAGTACCAATACCTCGATGGGCACGGTTCCTTGAAGCTTGCTGGATCCTGTATCCGTTGAGGCGATCGTCGAGCCGGCACCTAAGCCAGCCTACGCCTACATCCATGACTGCCACCAATATCGCCTCTGCTCGCACACGCCGTGGCCATGTCCCTCGCTCCACCTGTAGAAAACGATGCCGGTAGCGTGCGAACCACAAGCGGGGACGTACTGCTCTCCAAGACGTGCCAGAATTGCTTCTCGCTGAAAATTCGATGCGACCGGACGCACAGGAACGATATATGCGACAGGTGCATTGCACCGTTCCTGATGTAGTGAAAGCAATTGCGCTAATCTGGGCAGGTGCGCACGGCTAGGGGAAACAATGCGTCTTCCGACCTGCAAAGCGACGCGACAATTCTGCGAAACGTGATTCGTACGACAGCCCACCATCCCCAAGAGCGTTGCGCGATAGCTGACGGCCTCACAGACGCATTCAAGCCCTCGAAGCACAGGTCCGGGACCTGCTCCGCATTCAGAACCCCTCGTACACTGTCCAGCAGCCCTTGCCCGAAGGTTCACTCTCTACTCAGTCGAGCCCACCCTCCGATGGCGACGTTATCGACGAGGATATCGTCTCGGTCGAAAAGGCGGATACTCTGGTGGAGGTCTACAAATCAGAAATGATGCCTCACTTCCCATTCATAATAATACCATCACATGAAACTGGGACCAGCTTGCGGCATGAGAAGCCCTTCCTATTCCTCGCGGTGCTGTCGGTTGCTAGCTTCCATGACTTGGTGGGCCAGGAGAAGCTAGGCAACAGGTTCAAGACGATGGTGACCGACAAGGTCTTATACGGAGGAGATGACTGCTTGAAATTGGAATACCTGCAAGGCTTGATGATTGTGCTGGCGTGGTGAGACTGGTCTAGCCCGCAATGAAGCCCAATAAGTTGCTGACGCAGCTCAGGAACCAATACCACGGACGCTCGAAATACTACACGCAGTACATACAACTAGCTATATCAATAGCAGTAGACATGCGCCTGGACCGCAAGCCTGTTGTCAGCGTACAAAAGAGATATGAGGACAAACGCGACCCTCTCGTGGTCGGTAGCCCAGGGACGCAAACGTGGGGCCCAGAAGAGCAGCGTGCATCCGCAGGACTTTTCTACATATCCTCAACGTATGGTTGCCCTCCATGTCTACAACGTCAATCTGATCATTTTCAGTATCTCCAAATTACTAGACAAGATGAATACATATCCTTGTACTCAGTCCATCGAGGACGGATGCTTGGCTTTAGGCCAGAGGGCAGAATATCGAACTGACAAAGATCTGTACCACGTCATACGGCTGCAGAACATCATCGAGAACATAGAAAAACTGGCCAAGAGCACTGGGTCGGAGGCCGATGCGGAGGATGCGTATCTACGTGTACGGTCGCAGCTGGAAGAGTTTCGAGCCTTCTTGAGCGTTGATGTCAGCGATAGTCGTCAGTCAAGTCCAGCCTGTGCCCTGATCGTCACTAACCGAGTCAGATCTCCTCTTCATGCAATTCCACACTGCAAAGCTCTTTCTCTTCCAGGTCGCCTTTTTCGAACGCAACCTTCAACAGTCACCCGCAATGCATCTTAACATACTTTCCGAAGGTCTCGAAGGCGCAAAGGCGTTCCTAGATCTTTACCTATGGCTGCCGCCAAAGTCTGAAATGACTCTCACCAATCTGGAATGGGTCCAACTCTCCTTCGGCGTAACCCAAGCCGCGAAGTTCGCCATAGTGAGCAAGACGCCTACCGTAGAAGCGCAGACCCGCGACCTCAGGCACCGCCTGAATATCGATCATGTATTCCGGCATCTGTCCTTGCGCATTGGCGCCCTTGTCGGCCGCTCAGGCGAAGGTGATAAGCGCAAAGACATCTTTTACCACTACGAGCAGCGCACGCGCAAGATCCAAAACTGGTATGAGAAAATGACGCAAGCTGTGGATGCCCACACGCCGGAATCTCAGCATGTGGGCGGCCAGCGGAACATTTACCAGAGCTCGCCCCCGCACATGCAGCCGCAGTCAGGCACACCCTCCTCGTACAAATCTTCAATCCAGCCCTCTCCCACACAAGCAACACCGCACTCGCAACAATCCTCTCAAAGCCATGTCCCCCTTTCCGCGACCCTCTCCCACCAACAACCCCTCCACAGCGCAGCTTCTCAGAACCAGCCTCTCCAAAGCAACATCTTACCTCATTTACCGGACCCCGCGTTCGACGCTTCCACGAGTGTGGGTATGATACCGATGAATTCGTATTCGACGTATGGCAATGTACCCTCTATAGCGTTCCCGGATTTAATGAATGCGTCGGGATGGGATTCGCTGTTCGCTGTGCCGATGGACGATATGGCGTGGCTCGTAGACCCGTCGCAGGGCTATGGAGGTATAAATCAGACGAGTTCGCCAAGTGAGGGGGGATGGTGAGATTAGTGCCTGGGAGGACGTCAGTGAATTTCGTACACGATATGATTGTCTATTACGATTGATGCAGAGCAGAGGCTTCGGTAGATACTTTATACGCACATACTCAACAGCACAAGTGTCGTTCTGGGACTGATTCATGGTTGGGATCAACATATTTCCCGCTGCATGATTGCAAAAGCAGCCGTGATCTGATCAGCGTTGGCTTGCTTCGGGTATTGCGTCGGTCGGACGGTCGGATACGGACAGCTTGTCCGTCCGTGTACGATGTGACTGCACCTCGTCTGTTTCCTTCATATCCAATAATTTGTGACATTGAATCATAGCCTATTTATCTTTCGCGTTCAAGTACCGCATTCATTTAACAATCGGTATCACGCTGTACGTCCTGAATGATATTCATCTAACAGGTATCTCGTGACCCTGGCCTATGATCGCATCTTTGGTATATCCCCCGAATCCTTGCCCCGCATCAAAGCGCATATCCGATATATACAACCACCAGCTATCTGCTAACTCCTAGCTGTGGTTACATCTTCGGCTTCTCCACCCCCTCCGTTACATCAAATACCTTCTCCCCATTGAACCACGTCTGCGCCACCTGAGCGCTCAGCAAGTCCTCGGCTTCAAACTTCATATCCACGACCACGAAGTCCGCTTGCTTTCCCACTTCTAACGTTCCCACATGCTGTTCTGCAAAACATGAATACGCCGCCCCTCGTGTGGCCGCAGTCACCGCTTCCACGATCCCGAGCTTGAACTCCTCGTTTACAGGCAGGTCGCCCGCGTCCGGATACCGCGCAGATTTCCGCGTCGTAGCGACGTACATGTTCTTCAGCGGTGGGTGCGGCGCGGTAGGTGCATCGCTCCCAAGCGCCAACACAGCGCCGTGATCTGCGAAGTCCTTGTACGCGAAGGCGCGCGTCAATCGCTCCGGACCCAGCAGCTTTGGCCAAGCGCGGAGGATGGCCGGATCAGCGTGTACGGGTTGGATAGACGCTGTGATGCCCAGTTTCCCCAGCCTTGCGGCGTCTTCCGGCGCTGTGAGTTCCAGGTGCTCTATGCGGTGCCGTTGGTCTGGTTTTCCGTAGATCTCGAGGACGTTGACGGCGTTGTGCACGGCGGCGTCGCCGATGGCGTGAAGTGCGCATTGCAGACCCGCTTCGCACGCTTTCTTGACTACAGGGTCGAGCATCGCTGGCGTCCAAATGGGGTCCGGCGATGCGACATTGGTAGTGTAAGGCTCCGCAAGAGCGGCGGTGCAGGCGTCGATTACGCCGTCGCAGATGATCTTTATGCCTACAACGCGCAGATCTGGGCTTGTGGTCGCATTGTAACGACCCGCGAGCTCGATTGCGCGGTCGACTTGTTTGAGGCGATCGGCCTCGCCTGCGCCGGGGTTGATGCACCAGTGCGCTGCAATGCGGAGGGGGAGGTGTCCGCCTTCTGCGTCCCGGAGAGCGAGGATTGCATCCCAAGCATTATCGTCCATAGCCATGTCCACACAGCCTGTCACGCCGACTGAGTGATAAGCCTTCATTCCTGCGCGTAGAGACGCGAGCTTTTCCTCTGTGCTGAGCACCTTAGCGAGATGGGGCCACACGATGAGGAGCACGCATGCTTCACTAAGGAGGCCGCTCGCTTTGCCATTTGCGTCTCGCTCGATTTTCCCTCCGTCGGGGTCGGGCATGTCTTGAACCCTCATCTCTGCGAGCGCAGCGCTGTTGCACCAGCACGAATGGAGGTCCTTCGAATCAATGTATATCGGTTTATCCGTCAGGTCGTCTAGCATTGATGCGAGCGCAGCGCTGCCTGTCATGCTGTGCATCCACCCGCTGCATAGCACTCTCTCTTTCTCCGGATTTTCCTTGACATACTGGCTTATTCGTGCCCGGATTTCTGTGAGGTCGGTGCAGCCGTCTAATTGGACTTTTGCGAGCGATTGGCCCAGGAGGAGGAAATGCGTGTGCGCGTCTATGAAGGAGGGAAGGACGTATGCGCCATTCAGATTATGCACTGGGTTATGCGCGTAGGCGTCACAGGCTGGGGAGTCCAACGCGCCAACGAAAGCGATCTTGCCATCTTTAACGACGAGAGTGGATGAATCGGTGGCAGAATCGGTGGTGGAGGTGGTGGAGCCGGTGAACAGGCGAGCGTTCGTGAACACCTGAGTGGACATGGTGCGTGGTGGGAAGAGAGTTGATGTTTATGTGACATGAGGGGCTTATCTTATCTGATCAGATCGGGGCTGGTTGTGGGGAAGTCGTCGCCGAGCCATATCCGGACTTCTTCTTCTGACCAGTCAACTTCTTGTATTCGAACACCATTGATATGCTTCAAGTGTAGAAGGCCGAATTACTTGTTGTATGCATATTGAGACTCTCCTGTACGAGTAATTTTCACTGCAAGTATTCGAAGTTCTGCTTCCATTGTGTTGACGCATCTTGCTCACTTCCGCATGAGCTTCTCTCGACATAGCTATGGCTTAATTGGCTGTTGGATTCCATTACCTCTTACCCGGGGCTAAGAAGCCTTCACTTTGACCTCTTAATTGCGCACTCGTTCAACCCCACGACTGTGCTTGAGGAGCTCACTGAACTTCTTTAACTCTGTGAAGCGGCAAGAACACCTTTAGATAAATCTCTCTACATAAGCGAACCCCGACTTTAGGATAGAACTTCAACTATTGCGGCCTTGAGCGAAACTTGAGATGTGTGGTTACGCGAATACCGTACACCCTTTCCCCGTCCTACCTCCCGAACATGGTGTTCGATTCAGGTCAAGGTTTCGTACATTCTCGTTCATCCACCCCGGACCGTTCACTCCTCTGCTCATCGCGGAGGACCCTAACCCAGTTCAACGCACAATCTTGGTTCCTCGTAAATCGTATTCATCCACCAGAATTGAATTCCAGGCGACCAGGTACCCCCAACCACATTATTCACTGAGCTTAGGCCCGGTGGAGACTCAGTTGACAAGAGAAAACAATTAGCAGCATGTTGCTCAATGGCTTTGAAAGAGCCACTGTGCGCATGCTCCTCGGCGATCGGGCTCTCTCGGACCAGCTGCGGAACAGGGAAAAGGGATGCGACTTATCTAAGAGCTAGACCGACCGACCCGGAGACAGGCAAGAGCTGTTTTGGCTTAATTTTGTGTCAAAAAGTAAATACACATCAGGGGTGTTCCAGGCCTGCGCCCGAATTTGGTGGCTCACACTGCTTGAATTAGTGGAAGAGACTGGCTGGTACGAAGGCAAGTGATTCCGATACACGCCGCAACTGTGATGCCGACCTACGCGTTCAGTCACGCCAAACATAGGCACAGACATAGATTGAGTGCATGTGAACGTTGCTATCGTCCATGGACACGGATTGAGCCGGCGGTCTACCTAGGTAGAGTGTGAAAGGCGCGATTATGGCTATGATGCGGTTGCTCAAGTGTACGCGCTATTGCTCTCGATAGTTGATACTTGACAAGGACTACCATGAGGCTCAGCATTGTAGCGTTTATTGTGAGACGGTGAGAGGGGCATATACTATGTGAGGGTCGCACAAGGAGGGACTTCGCGGCCTGGGACTTCGCATCAGAGGATTCCGATGTTGAGATTACATGAAGGAAACATGCGCGAGTCATTCGAAGCAGCATTTGATTTCTTTGAATGCACTACCACAGCTCTGCAAGGTTTGCGTAACTTCGTCACTGTGTCTAGCGTAGTGCAATGCTGTACTAAGGTTACTTGAACCTGCTTACAATCGAAGAACTTCGCGTTTCAAGCTTTCGCTTACACAATGCTCTAGAGCCGATAGTATGACATAGCGTAATGGTTGTGTGGACATTGCAAGTGTTTTACAAACAGGCAAATTTATCCCGCTACTCCGAATCAGAGCAGTATACGAACGAGACAAGTAAGTAGTTGACCTTCACAGTGCCATCCAGTCAATGAATTAGCAAAGCATTTATAGTATAGATTTACAAAATTGCTAGATAACCATTTTCTATACCATTTATTTGTGTGGAGAAAAGTTACTATGATAGTATAGCGATTCTTGACTAAGACGTCGATACTATTATAGTATGTGGGTTAGTCTGTAGGGTGTCCATCGTCTGGAATTACAACTACCAGCTCACATGGCGCTCGGAAGTAAGGCACTACCCAGTGACAGTGTGGTTTCGAATGATGGACGCAGAGGGACAGGCCTCGGTGAGCACAGGGACGGCGTGCCAAAAACACGTTCTTTTGGGAATCCAGCGTGTCATCTCCATGCGCACGCCGACGCATGAGAGGCAGGATGACGCGAGATGAAAGCTAATAGCCCGGGATAGATGTGACCAACGGCAACACGATGCCCTTACCACCTTGAGACAACCTCTTCTTTAATGCATTAGCTCCAGATCTGCACCTCACATAGGCGACAGTTCTAGCCACGGGCGAGAAATTTCTCTTTATCTCTCAGCGTGGTTCAGGCCCCGAGTACGGCACTGACTTCCCGTGCTATTGGGCGCATTAGAGAGGCTGCTCGACAACAGCCAGACGTTCTTCGTCACTTTGCCATGGAACAAAGCAGCTATTGAACTCGCGAAGGTAAAGGAAATCGGAAGATATGGCATCGGACTCGCGCTCGGAGTGGGTCTAGCCGTTGGCCTCAGTGTTTTGGTTACGTACCTGCTTACCTGGTCGGCGGCCCAGTGCTGGGCGCGCCGGGCGGTGACGGAGTAGGGCGGTGAGAAGCGGCTGGTGCGAGGATATGGTGGATTGGGGTTGGATCGTTTTATGGGCCCCCATTGTGCCGCGGGTGGTTAGGTTGACCAAAACCGGAAAATGCAGCGCATGTGTTACATACGTGGCGCTGGAAGAGGTTCCTGGATGGCTTATGAAATGGGTCTATTGATAATTGAGCAGTGAAGTGAAGGAAGTGGAGGTTGTGGATACTGTGGGTTGGATGGAAGAAAGCGGAAGGCGGAAAGAGAAGGACAAGGGCGGTGTGGAGACGTGTGAGGTTGGTGGCTGCAGGGCACTTGGTCACAGGGATAATTGCGAGACTTTATGTCAGATTGAATGTAAGAAGGGGTCGGCGTGGACGGCGTGGGAACCGAGCCTTGTCCGAGCACATCTGCGGACATGGTCCCGTAGCTCACGGAACTGATAGGAGACTTATCTTTTGCTTTTGTATCTCTCGACACTCCTCGGTCTGTCGACAACGTGATGAACCATTTCACTTTGACTGACAGAACTCGATAAGCGTATGTAGGCCTATGTCGTTTAGGTCGCTTGTGAAGAAGCTATCATCGGTAGCTGCTTTCGCAACAATTTCGGCAAGCAGTTCCGCATTGCACACAGGCAAGATAGTTCCAGGGGTTGTTCAGTCACGGTCATTCATGAATGCACAGTGATGAGATTGAGACATGTCTTGATTCCATTGGCTACATGTATACCTCTGCGATCGTTCCTCGTAACTCTTACAAGTCCTCTGTCTAGCATCAGAAGACCATTTCCAGCGGTGACCGCCACTGCCCAAGATGGTATCAAATAAAGAATGCAAATTTATACAAATATGAAGAAAAGGGGTATTTAGTGGCCTCCACCGGCAGAGTTGGAGTTATCGGCGCACGACCAAGCTCCGGAGCTGCCGTTCTTGTAGTCGTTGATGATCCCGACAATCGCAGTGTAGGAACCTGCGACCATGATATAGGTACCAATGACGATGACAAAGCAGCTGACAAAGACGCCGGCCATCCACCTTGCATCCCTCGTGCGGCCCTTGAAGTTATCGTACAGCCACATCATTCCGAGGGGTTGCAGCGACATGAAGGTGGCGAGTAAGGCGCCGACCAGAGAGATCAGGCTACCAAAGTTGGGCACCGCAGAGCAAATGATGTAGGCTACAATCGTAACACCGAGAGTGCAAGATAGCCACGTCATCCAATGAACCTTGGAGTTGGAGACAAGGTGTTTGGAACCCTTGAGCACGCGCAGGAAGATGTACTTGGCTGGAAAATGGCTGACGAGACAAGTCGAAACGATAAGACCAGGGAGCGCAAGACCATAGCAGACGCGTTTGAGAAGAGGTCCAGCGGATCCGAGGGCGGGAGAGGCGACGAACGAGCCACAGTAGTAGTAGACTACGATTCCCACGAGCAGGTACACTGCAGTCATTACACCTTGGCATGTGAACATGGCCTTGTTGTAGTCTTTCGGTTCCCGCATTTCAGAGATGATGGCAAAAAAGCCGGGAGTTCCGGCGTAAGCAAAGATAAATGCATTGATGGCGTTCATCGCTTCGACGAAAGTTGGATCGCCGACGAGTTTGTAATCAGATTGGTATACACCAGTCTGAGGCGCAGTTGCGGGTCGTTCCTGCAAACCAACCGCGATGGTCAACGTTAACACTGTGCATGTTAGTCGCCATATCAAAATCAAGCGCAATGGAATGTAACCTACAAGCAACAATAATAGAGACGACTCCAATCCAGGCAAGCCAGGAAATCTTGCCCAATGTCCGGATGCTGGAAGTGAGGAAACCGAGGATCGCCGCTACGACAACGAAGACTGCGGTGCAAGCACCGTGCAACGACAATGCGTTGAAAGCAGTAGAAATTCCAGAGTACCCGGCAGCGGCAACGCAGATCCACCATAGCACGAATAGAACCATGAAAACCTCCCTGCCAATTTTTCCGAAAAGCTTCTCGCCTACGTCGACGATGCTGTAGACGTCCGGGTGTCGCTCTTTGAATCTGCCAACGACGTAGTTGCCCCAGGTGATCAACCCCCCTGCTGTCAACAAGCAAATGACTCCGGGTATGAGACCTAGAGCATCAAAAGCAGAGGGTATTGAAAGGACTCCGAGACCGATTTGGGTTTTGATCATGATAACAACTGATCCCATCCAACCAACCTGGCCAAGTCAGCAGCTGTAGTCACGGTCTTTGCAAGGGGTCGTACATTGCGATAGTTTGGTCCACCTTCTGTGATCTCGCCGAAGACATCGTCACTGACGCTCATGCGTCGCTTGGTTCCATTGCCAATGCTGAAAACACTTCCTTGACGGTGCGTCTCGGTAGGTTCGAGGGTATCGATCTCATCTTTCTTGTTTTGATGTTGCGCCTGCTCGACGTCGGCGTCCCATTTCGGTTCGTAAGACATGGTGATGGCTAATTGTCTGACAAGTGATTTTCCATGAAAGGAGGAGATGGAAGAGAAAGAAGAAGCTTGACTATCGTATGCACTACTAAGAAACAAACTGGAGATATAAGGATTTAGGGTATGAGGACGGATCTGGGGAAGAGGATACTTGTACGTAATATCTGGGGTCCTGGAGAGCAGCGTCTGGGCGATACGTAGACGGCTCACCACCACGACCCTAAACTAACGAGCGATGTGAAAGAGCGCTAATGTATGCACAGGTCAATGCTTTGCCCCAGCGGGGGTTGCAATTCGGTCCCTTTCGGTTCCTTTTGCGCTTCATTCATGCTTGCACCAACCGCGTAACATCCCGATGATATCGGTAACGTACCCGATCTTTTTTTAATAACTCGCGCGCTCGCAGTGCCCCGACTGCAACGACGTCATTCTTCAAAAACAACGGGAAATCCACCGTACGGCGTGGGGATACTCCTTTGCCGTATCTTCAAAATGCGCGTGCGCTCAGATGGCAGCCCTGCAGTGTTACAGTAGTGAATGTTCCAGCCAGCGCCATCTCGTCGTCGAGATAAGAATACCACACGGGACATCTCAATGATGGGCAAGGCATTCCGGTCAGCAGCGGCATCATTTCGTTTGGGCGGCTTGAAGCGGCGTCGGTGAACGCCAACGCGCAGCCAGTGACGCAGCTGGATGTGAATGGAATGACTCGAGTAAGAGGCGGGCCGGTCGACTTGCGGGGACTGATGAGGCTCAACTTCCAAGATTGGTTGGGATGACGCTAGTCGTTAGTCAGCCCTCTTTTCACTCGCACTTGTCTCGAAGCACGACATCTGGTCTGTCCTTATCGGACGGCCGAAATGCCTCAGTCTCTTGATCTCAACAACTCTTCGTCTGTTCTACGCGTTGATGCTACCCTCAGCGCCACCTCTGCTCTCGATGCGCGCCTTTCTGTTTGCCACAGGAAGCTTTAGCTGCTTCGGGAGCTCGGCAGTTGCAGGGCCGGTGCAGAACTCGGTAAGTGGTTCCTGTTGCGGAACGACTAACGCAGACTGAGAGGGCACAGACTCTATGATATTAGGCCTAACCTAACAAGAGCTGTTCAAAGTGAAACAACCCTCGGAAGCTCGATGGCTTGATGTCGGTTCCCTGAGGTGTTGCCTTCGAACAATTCAACAACAACTGAACCCTCGCGTCTGGATCCAGCCATCTGCTGCTAGGGAGGTCGCTTCGATGCAACGGGACGGTCCACTACCCCAGATTCTAGAGACCCGTCTCGGATGAGTTGCCGTATCATGGAGGCCGGCGTTTTTCACCCTAGCCCTGCGGGATGCCCGAGATCTGCATAAATCACGTGGTTTACGGACGACACCGGATCATGCACCATCCCTGACCTTCGTTACACCGTTGATAGCCGTGCGACATAGCCTGAAACAGTGGAACTGCGCGATAAAGATTCACTCGAGTATGCGCCGGACCGGTGTGGGGGCCGTGAGGAGAACGAGGAGAGGGATAGAATGAAGTCATATTCGCGCTGCGGCCGCGCATGCAGGAGTCTGCGGCTGAATACTACGCGAGAACGAATGCAACTCACCGGCACTTGGAAAGGAGGCCAGCAGTGCTACGCCAGTGGTGGTACCAGGCAGCGAATGCTCATGTTGGTGGGCTCCTGGGCTGGACCACGGCAATACCGGGAAGCAGGGCATTATCGGATTCGATCACTGATGCGTCGAACGTGAAGATCCCCTCGCACCTTTCCAACTCTCACGGCTCCCGATCGAAACAAATCCCCACGACTTGATCTTGTATTCAATCCGTCCAGATAAGAAGACCATCGCTCTCCTTGAGTCTGATGGAGTCTTGCGCGCCGGCACCGTGTCATGCCCTCCTCTCTCTGACGGGCCTCTTGATGAAGGGGAGCATGTGCCGATTCCTTCGGCGAACCAGATGTTGTATCTGTACTTGACTTTGTCGAACAGGTCCATTTGGCAGGCAGATGTTGCGAAGGTTGTCTCCAGACCACAATGAGGGCACTCTTCCTCAGCGTACTGGGTTCCAGATTTTTACGGCGACGCTTGTGTCCATCGACCGTATCCGTCCGCCTGTCTGAAGCGAAACTGAATCCACTCTGTGTTTTGACATCGATAGGTTGCACAACGTTTGACTCTTCCGTCGCCAGCAAGCCCCCCTCGACGCACAAAAATACGACCGCCGGTACCACCCTCGTACAAACACCCGCTCAAAATGCGTAATTGTCGTAGCAGCTGCATTGCTCCGTTGTCTCATGGAAGTTTATCGGCCAAAGCACCATGAGTCTCGAAGATACTGCTGCTTGAAATCACTTATAAATCAACTGGTACGACCAGCGTTGGCGGTAGCGGTGAGTCAAAGACAAATACCGTCGAGCGGATGCAGTCTTTGGGGCTGATAAATCGTTGCACTTCTCGAAACTCAGCGTCTCCGGAATTCTAGGACGGTTAGGTGCAACCCATGACATATTCCTGGGTATCGCCACAGCCACCCTATAATTGTCGACTTGATTGTTGCTTGACTCCGTCTGGGCTAGGCAAACGTGATCGAGACATGGGTGGGCAAGACATGCACTGACTTCGCAATGGCTTACTCCCGCGTGGATGAAGCGCAAGTCACCCCATGATCATTGAAAGCCCTCGTAGTAGGCTTGTCGTGTTCCACAGGCCCCAGTCCAACGCTACAGCCACAGTATTAGAGACACTCGTTGCATTTGGCTTGTAATGTACATACCATGTTATGAAAGCAAGGTCAGACAGCGAAAGAGAGTCACACAGAAGGATGGTGACCATCGCCAGCATGTTACCGGACTATGGTATGTTGAAGCTATTTTGTCCCATCATATAGAAGTAGTCGCAGTCCATGGTCGTCATCGAAGTCGGTATCCGGGGCTTTAAGGCTCAACAGTGTCCCTTGTGGCGGTCCGTAGTACAAGTTGTTACTAGAAACACCGAGCTCGGCATGGCTTCTGGTTCAATTTAAAGTGATGGATACAACTATTTCGAGTTTGTGCACTTTTGTTCCTGGAGAGAATTCTCAATGTCGAGGAGAATCGAGATCGATTCTATCATGCGTTTCCAGGGAAGAAAAAGCGTCTATTACCACAACGAAAACCACGCCCTATGAAACAACACGTCACGTGCTCTGATGATCTCATGGGTGACCGAGCATGGACTGGTGGGGGAATGTGCTCACAACCACGAAACTGGTAACAACACATAGTGTTGAGGCAAAGTTGTAGTGACGCCTTCGAGAAGGGTGGACACTTTGAGTGTTCGGCTTTTGCTGTTATCGACGGACGGTGAGACCTAACATTGCACACGAGTTGAAGGAGGTGTGACGCAACAAGATGTCAGCGCCCAAGCCGCAGTACCTGTGTTCCTATGCAACGGCAGGCATCCCGAGAAAGTCGTCGTTCTTATCGCTCTGGGACGTCGATATAAGCAATGGGTGTGGCTTCCTGGGCAGGAGATCACTCGTGACATGGGAGCTATCAGACACTAGGCCACTGTTGGAATAGCAAGATGCGGGATCAAGAGGATTCGCGGGGTACGTCTTGGAACGACATCACCCACTTGCATCTGAAGACGGCGACGGCAACGAGGTTATTGTCTATATAATAAATCGGACTATATGCCGTGATCGTGACGGTATCTCGCGTCGCTCGTGCGACAATCGTCGCACAAAGGCCTGCCAGTCACGGCGACAAGACTCCCCCAGTGCCATTGGCAGTCACGCCTAACGTTCTCACACCATGACCTTGAAAGCCATCATGGCGTTGAGAGCACATATCGTCTGCAGCGCTCCGGTCCCGCTGATCATACTCAATTCCTGTCCCATGCCTATGGTAGTCGTCGCCCACTATCCTCCTCCGCATGCATCACACCCACCCCTCGACACCCACCTACCGGAGCCCTAGTCTCTAAGCCCTACTCACTGCCCCCTCCAAACTCCTCCAAAACCCCTCCGACTCCTCTCCCTCCACAATATCAATGAGATCGGCCAACTCCTCAACCACGTCCCAGAACCCGTCTCCCTCGTCCCCCAAATCCATCACCATCTTCCAGATCTCCTCTTCATCGAACGTGCCGCGGGTCTCGCAGAAAGTATAGTAGGCGTATTGGACATCTTCGAGGGTGGAAAGCATGCTGGTGCCGAGCTGACGCATGGCGATGTGATCGTGTCGGGCGTGCGCGCGGTTGAAGGCCAAGATGAGATGATCGAGATTGATCTGGGCCATGCGGTTCGAGACGTAAGAGAGCAGGTTTGACAGCGCAGTGAGGTACCTAAGGTAAGGGTATAAAGTCAGTGCGAGGAAAAGATGTGGAGATTGGTAATAATGATGTGCGGCAAGGACACAAGTTGAGAAGGGAGATCCCCGCCAGAATTGCCCATTAACTTTGTTTTCAAAGGTGAGACTTACTCCTTGGGGTTTACACTCTTCATGGGCGTCACTGGTGGGATGTCGCTGGGCCAGAACGAGGAGCGGCGGCGCTGCGTGGGCGAGGGCCGCCGCTGGGACATTGACGGTTGTTGATCGGACATCGCAGAGCGTCGTCGGGTCGTAGAAGGTCGGCTCTGAGTCGGTGATATGTGTCGCTGTACTACGGAGAGCCGTCGCAGCAAGCCTGAAGAGTGTGATTGCGACATGGCTGCTGAGGGTGAAGGTAGAGAGCGCATTTGTGTTGACTGTTGTTGACTCTCGAGGTGCGTTGTCTCTGTGAAGCTGCTGTGGTAAACAGTAATAGATTAACGTCTTTCATTTCTTCACTCAACCCCGATCCAAGCTGCCCGGCAAATCCCGCTTACTTCACAGCGTGTGTGAAGTGCATGGGCATTCTCAAATTCAACCTGGGCGTCACTTAGATGTTTGCGTCCGTTCGTTCAATATTGCCTTCGCGTAATCAAACTGACATTAAGTGGTCTCGAAGAACAACACGCTTCAAATTACGATATCACCTCGCCGGCTCCAAGCGGGCACTCTCACCTGCAAACGCGTGGAACGGCGGTCAGCGCTGGCTTAGCTTCAATAGGCGTGGCGGCCATTTCCGTCTGTTCATTTCATATTTCCAACTCCATATTCTCGACGATCACAAAGAGAATACTCGAGATGAACAAAGTAGCAAGGCTGCAAGTAATTACTGAATCTGGCTGGTCAGTCTGAGCTTTTACTGTTCAATTTGTCCAAGCAGCTCTGAAAAACCAGAAACCTGCGGACCGTTCATTCCACTACATCCAATCCGATGAAAAGCCATAAAAGTCAGTTCCGAAGCTTATATACATACCTGTGGTACGCTACGAACACATTTGCTCGGTGACCATCTCTTCCACAGTGTACCAGTTCCTTTCTTGAGATCCCGAATACAACAGCCTGTTCGCAATATAACTTTCTCGTGAACAAAAGCAATAAGCACAACCATCAAAGTCGTAACAAGCCTTCAACAATTACAGCCGCAGAAACCTGTCTAGGCTTACACATTCAGGCAACTGAATCACCCCAGTCCGTACTCCGTTCCTACCTTCTAGGCCCACCCATTCCCTCTCTCCTTGCCCTTGCCTGCGCATACCTCATCTCCTTGGCCGCCCACGGCCCCTGACTCCCTAATTTCGCGTCCAGCTTCATCAAGTCCTCCCAAATATCTGACCCCTCATCCCTTAGTTCTGTCAGATGCCTTCGCAAACGACGGTCGCCTGGCAATTGGTCCAGGGGCTCATCGATCATCCATGCCATAGAAGGGCTGTTACCGTTCTGATCCCCAAATCTAAAGAGCAGAAAGTACTTCATGAGCTGTTTGACCCTTTCGCGGAGGGCCAAGCGAATAGTCGTGCGGAAGGGGTGGGGGCTGTCGGGTGGGTGGAGGAAGGTGTCTAGTGTTGTTACTGCGTTCTCGAGGGTTCTGTCGGTGGTACGTGGTTGAGGGAAAGTATTTGGATCCATTGTGCATTGATCATGCAATAGTGGAAGTGTACGAGGTTAATCTTGATTGTGGAAAGCTATTCAGCGAGATCTCCTGATTCGAGGACTTGGAAGCGAGCAGAATGCGTAGAAACAACTTTCGCGGGACTTTTATATATGCACGGCAAAGGCGGCCTGTTCGTAACATTACTCACTGTCTCACCAGACATCACGTTTCAGTGACGCTATAAGTGCAATGAAGTGATCATATGTCGCCTCTCTGCGAGATCAACGTCTATTCGTCTTCGAGTATTCATGTGATGGTTCATATTCCGCTTCATACGCCCGTCCATGTGCTTTTTGATGCTGGGGTACCGCCCCGCAACGAACTGTTCCCTATTTCCAGCCTTCGATGCCAATTAGTCAACTTTCCCTCCATTCCCATAGTACAATGTTCCGCCCTAGCACTTTGCCCTTTTCCTCCTCTCCCTACCTCGCGGTCGACCTTCATTTGATACTACCGCTCTTTCATGCTTCGTCTGACTTCTTTCTCTCTCCCCGCTCGTCTCTGTAAAACCTCTCGAGCCCCTCATCCTCTACTAAATACCTCAGATCATCCCATTCACTGACCAAACCCTTCCACTCTGCCCATTCCCAACCCATCTCCCGCACCATCTCGCACACCTCCCCAACTCCATACGCGCCGTACAAATAGCAAAAGTCTTCGTAATGAGCCCTGATCTCTCCTAATAGCAGGACGATATGCGCGTACATAATCTTCAGCTCGATGTGGCGAATCTCTTCATCGAGAGAGAAGGGGTATGTAGCTGGGAAAGGGGACGGTTGATGTGAGCGAGCGGCATTGTAGGCGCGGAAGAGGGGAAGGAGGTGAGCGGACAGAGGGTTGATGAGGATCATTAGTGCTTTAAGGGCGAAAATGTACTCATGTGGAGACAAAGGGATAGGTGCGGAGCGTAGCAGAGGGTGGATGATAAGAGTTTGAGTTGTCCAGTACATATTCGAGTTTTGATTCGTGAATGAATCAAGATCGCGCCTGTTAAGTTGTCCTGAAGAGCGTGTTCAGGGCAGAGTGTATAAAGCGGAGGTTATGGGCGATAGTGCACGATCGTCCAGGGGTGGTGGTGGTTGTACGACCCAAAAGAAGATGAAGTGCAAACGTCGTCTAGACAAGTGTCAGCTTCTCACGGACGCAAACCTAAGATTCACAGTATGTGCTGTATGAGACAGCGGTCATGGTAATACAATCATTTGTCTTAGCTGTTGCTTAAGCTAAAGCCAGCTGGCGTTGAATAACCCTCCTTTCTACTGATACAGGGTCCCAAGTGTGAGAATCACCATGCACGTTTTCGTCAGGCAGGGAAGGAAAGCAGGGTATACTTACACCATAACACCGTGAGCCGCGCGCTGTGTATGAAGCGGACGAGTTTGACCCGTATGTGGTGAGCAAATTCAACATCATGCAGGGCCTCTGTATAGAGAGTTGCTTCCAAGAAATACGCTCGAGGCGATGCTTGCGGTGACGAAGCCGATCCCTCACACCAATCCCTGAGCTTCGAGATCGCGGTAAACCTTCTCGGGCATGACGTTACCCTCCGAGTCCTCCATCTGCACCACGTTGTCGACAGTCGCCTTCTCCTTCTTCTTGTCTTGTTGGATCTTCTTCCACAGTGTTTGCGCTTCGTCTATGTTAGTGATCTCACGGAAAAGAGTTGTGTTCGTGATGCCGAGACACCTTAGACCGTGTATGTGGCGTGGCTCGTTGAAGTGTTTGTCGAATGCTCGCCTGCCCATGTAGACGTAGTTTCCACAAATCTCGCAAGGGAATTCAACGCCCAGTCCGTGAAGCTTGTAAAGCCAGAAGGGGATGGGCTTGCCATCCCAGGCGAGGGGTAGCTTGAGCGGGTTATAGATCTTCTCCTCGTTGTCTTCCTCGTCATCCTCATCGTTGCCGCCGTTCGCAGTATCTGGAGCCTCCGAGTAAAGCTGCTCCAGCTCTTGTTGCCGCTCGCGTTCTGTCATGCCTTGCTTTCGCTCTACATTGACTTTGGTATCGCCGCGCTCTGTTTGCATCGCCGCAGCAAGCTTGCGTATCCGGAACTCTCGCTCGGCTACGGCACGCTCTTTAAAGCGATTGATATCTGTGCTGGCGCCATTTGTAGTGGCACCACTTGCGTTGTTCTCCAGCTCCACAGCGGCCTTCTTGTGCTTCTTGCCGGTCAAATGCGCTTCGTAGACTGACTCTTTCGCAAAGCCTTTCTTGCAGGCTGAGCAATAGATGCCTTCTTCCATGGCGTCCCCGCCTGCCGGACCGGCCTGTGCCGAATTCTTCTCCCAGCCGGGCACTTCGTCTTTCGCCCACTGCTCCTCAAACTCCTTGTCGAAGTTGGCAAAGATCTTGTCCAGATTCTCGAGCGGTTTAGTTCGGCGCATGAAACTCTCCAGATAATCTTGCAGTGCCTTCAGATACTGGAAATAAGATTCGGACATCTTCTGGTCGCGACGAATGGTAGCTTGAGGCGGAGTAAAGACATCGAACACGTCGAGATACTGCAAGTAGGTCAGGCGGCGCGCTTGCTGATGAACAGGAAGGTTTAGGTACTGTTCATGCAGCGTGGTCAGGTCAAAGAAGCGGCCAAAACCTTCTTCGCCTGTGAACATGGAGTCGATCGCGGCGATAGAGTGAGCGTGGTCCTCGGGCGACCGGCGCTTGTACGCCTTCTCAAGGTTCTCGACCGGAAGGTTCGTGTATTTCTCGTGGTATGCCTTGATGTTCGCGATTTCGCGCATGAACGATTCCATAGGATCGCCGAGAGTCAGGTTCCGGACCTCATCATCCTTTTTGCCGTCGACATCTTGGTAAATAGAAATGAGGCGCTCCGATCGCTCCTCGATCTGGCGGAGAAATTGGGCGACGTCGTGGTCGCGCGCAAGGCGATCGCGGATTTGCGGCGAGTCCTCGAGCAGGCGGTCCGCGATGGCATCCTCTAGGCGCTCGAGCTCTTCGTGGATGTTGCGCTGATCTTCGAGAAGCATGTTTGCGGTCGCCTGGTGATTGTGAGCGCGCAGGCGGGAAGTTAGTGTCGTGGAGCAGACCTATGGGGTCCGATTGAGAGATGTTGATCGCGCCTGCCCAGAAAGTTAGAAGCCTCGGATAAACCTTCCGCCGATCTCCGTAACGCGCCTGCCCAAGCTCCAAACTTTCTCCACCACCGCGTTGCCGCAACGTTCACCCCACACAACCCTGTCGCATACTCAATAACTATATCCACCATGGCGGAAGGAATCGATCGCAATGCGGAAGAGAAGATGGAGTTCGCCACCTCCAAGGAGGTCACTGTGGCGCCTACTTTCGAGGCCATGCACCTGAAGGAGAACCTGCTCCGAGGTATCTACGCATATGGCTACGAATCGCCATCGGCCGTACAGTCGCGTGCGATTGTGCAGATCTGCAAAGGTCGAGACACAATTGCTCAGGCACAATCTGGAACGGGAAAAACGGCCACTTTCTCTATCTCCATATTACAGGTTATCGACACTGCTGTGCGCGAGACGCAGGGTATGTACAGCCATTGGGATCAAGGACGACACTAATGAATGCCAGCCCTTGTTCTGTCACCCACACGCGAACTCGCGACGCAGATTCAGTCAGTCATTATGGGCCTCGGCGACTACATGAACGTACAGTGCCATGCGTGCATTGGTGGCACCAACGTTGGGGAAGACATCCGCAAGCTGGACTACGGCCAGCACGTCGTCTCTGGAACTCCAGGGCGCGTGGCCGACATGATTCGTCGCCGCAACTTGCGAACGCGCAACATCAAGATGCTGGTGCTGGACGAGGCTGACGAGCTGCTTAACCGCGGTTTCCGTGAGCAGATCTACGATGTGTACCGCTACCTGCCTCCTGCGACGCAAGTGGTAGTCGTATCCGCCACCCTTCCGTACGATGTTTTGGAGATGACGACTAAGTTCATGACGGAACCCGTGCGCATCCTCGTCAAGCGTGACGAATTGACTCTTGAAGGCCTCAAACAATACTTCATCGCTATTGAAAAGGAAGAGTGGAAGTTCGACACACTGTGCGATCTATACGACACACTCACCATCACACAAGCTGTCATCTTCTGCAACACGCGCCGCAAGGTTGATTGGCTGACAGACAAGATGCGAGAGGCCAACTTCACAGTGTCCTCGATGCATGGGGATATGCCGCAACGCGAACGCGACAGCATTATGCAGGACTTCCGCCAAGCTAACTCGCGCGTGCTCATCTCGACCGACGTTTGGGCGCGCGGGATCGACGTTCAGCAAGTGTCCCTCGTCATCAACTATGACCTCCCATCCAACCGTGAGAACTACATTCATAGGATTGGCCGAAGCGGCCGCTTTGGACGCAAAGGGGTAGCTATCAACTTTGTAACGCAGGAAGACGTGCGCATTTTGCGCGATATCGAACGTAAGTTGCTCTCGAAATTAGCAATAAATACTTTTGCTAACCTGTTCAGTATACTACTCGACTCAGATCGACGAAATGCCTATGAACGTTGCAGATCTGCTTTCCTAAGAGGGTTTCATCATGGCGCTCCGAGAGCACGATATATCAAAAGTAGGTCGGATTGATTTTCAACGGGTGGAAGCATCCGGTACAGACAGCGCGTACTGTCGGGGAAGTACCGCTCCGAGAAGAGTGTGGAGGAAAGGGCTTTGTAGCCACTCAGTATGTGTCGATTGCTCCTTCATCAACTTCACAAGCACTGACCCGAATCTGGACAGTATCACGAAATTGCTCATCAATATACCCCGATCTGAATTCATGTCAAGAATCGATCACCAGCGGATTTCATATAAACACGTGCGATTACGCAACAGAGTTAAGATGACATGCAGCTGCCTCGTGGCTACGAAGTTGGCCTCCAAAGCTGAAAATGACTGACGCCTTTTTTGCGTTGCTGAGCGCCGTCAGTCCGATCATATGCTTATCTAGCCAAGTGACATGCCCCCCCCCCCTAGGAAATGAGATCTTGCCCCGAAGCATTCACCGGACTCCGATGTTGCTCCTCCAAATTTGGACGGACGCCACTAGTCAGTTGCGCGACCAATGAGCTTCTTGTGTGAGCTTCCTAAGCGATGCTACTTCGCATCTGAAACCACCAGCATCACCACAACACCTCGTCTCTTGGACCCCACGTCCGCATCCGGACTTGGGACTTGTGCATCGTGCGGGCACCCAACAATTCATACCGAAATAGGTGAATCGAAGATTGAGTTCTTGGGTCAGTGTTCCATTCTGGTTAACGTGACGCGTCACAGTGCGGCCCAACTCGCAATGAAAGAACTCCTTGACAAGAGCAATCAGCTCGATTGCTCTATGCATAGGCACACTGGGGCGAGAGACCCAGAATGTTACTAATGAGACAGTTTCGTGACGACCATTGCCATCGCGCGCGATGACATCCTAATTGGTATCCTCCATCGTGACTGATGTAATATTGTCCTTGCTATTGTCAAGGACGCATGGGGTGGACCGTTGCACGGTTACCCGAATAGCGGCTCGAAGTTCAGCTTTTCCGCACCCTGTCGCACACGCAGCACCGCTTCAGCCCAGATGTCCTGCTCTAATCTTCCGGACTTCTCTTACAAATGACTTGGTAGCCCCTCCTCATCAAACTTTGTTGTCGATTTGCTCTCCACTTGCGAAGCAGGCTGAGGCCATCGTCCAACGAAAGCGTTCAACATGTTCGGCTTCTTCCCGTACACGAGTCTCCTGCTCCTAGCTTGCATATGCGGCAGTTTGGGTTCAGGTATCACGTCTTTTACCGATGACCAATGCAAGAAGTCACATGAAGCCTTGGAAGTGGAGAATGGGTATCCGGATGGGTTATGCACGCCGCTGAAAATCACGGGGAATCTGGAGGCTTTTCAGATCGTTCAGTTGGATCCAGGCTGTGCAGGTATGTTCCCATAGTCATCTAGAAGGCTCTTGACTGATTCACCCAGTCACGCTATATGGACCGAATGATGCTAGTGGACAGGCGTGTTCCTCACCGCTGAAGATCGTCGGCCAACTCGCTACATGCTACAACTCGTCGTGGATTTACTACAGCGTGGACGGCTGCTCCAAACCCACTTCGTCCAGCGCTGTCGTCCTCCCGACGACGAAGTCAAGCTCTTCGTCCTCAACTTCTTCAATTTTACCTTCCACAGTCTCATCTTCATCGACCTCGACCTCTTCCTCACCAGCATCCGCCGCGGCATCAACATCACCTCCACCAAAACAAGATTCAGGCCACGTACCCACGGCCGTCATTATCGGCGCCATAATCGGCAGCGTGGCCGTCTGCGCCGCACTCATCGGCCTGCTGGTCTTCTGCCTGTACCGCCACAAAACACAACACCCAAAGCCACGTCAACCGCCGTCATACGAACTGTCGCAGGAACGCGCACTGGTAGAAGCATCGCGAGGCTCTATTGCGCCACCGGCACGAGTGGCGCAGAAGGAGATGTGGGCAAGTGAAGCGGCCGTCGAGATTGGGAGGAACAGCTATGCGCCACCGGTGGAGCTTCCGGCGGCGAGTTGGGCGGAAGATAAGAAGAGAGGGAGTGCGTTGATTCATGTGCATATGGCGCGGTAGCATCACCTCCTTTCGGCACACTTCTGCCTCACGTTACGAACACAGTTTACAGCGTCTTCTACTCTGGCTGTTATCTTTGCTGCCGCGCCTTTGCTAGACGTCGACACTGGGGCTCGCAACAGTAATGTGTGTCACAATATCGAACACGATGTGCTTGGCTGTTCACGGAATCCGCGACTTCACAAACTAGGCATGCTGTCGCACGAACATGTTTGACCTTGTCAAAAAGTGCTTTACGGTAGCCCAAAGCAATACTTTCGACCCCGCTTCCAAGATTGCGGCGGCTGACTGATAGTGCACAACATGGGAAAGGAGGTGTATATGATGTATTCAGGGTCATATAGACTGATAGGGTTGGAAGGACTTAATGAGGAGAGTAGGCAGCTCTTATTGGTCAGTGGGGTCAAGCTTGGAGGAGCTGCAACATGTACGCCTACATGTCTCCGAGGGACGGACCGAGTGAGAGCAGAAATAGCACGGACGGAGAGAGCGTTGCACCTGTTATTGACTACCTAGGTATGTCTTGCATATGCTCCAGGTCTTATACGTCCACAAGAGTTTGACAACTCATGGGTGGATGTGGGTCCAACCAAGGTTTGAGATTAGAGCGATGCCTGGCGGTGGGAACGCGGCGTGGCTATCATGTAAAATTATGTATGGTAGCGAAACTGTTGAGCAACACAGGTACAAAAGGTCCGAGACTCACGAAATTGCTCTTTCTGTGTTCATCGCCGCCTTCCGTAAAGCAATCGACCAGCCTGCATCTCCGTGCATCAAGAGGCAGTTGCAACCCAGTATCCGCACATCGCCCTGGGCATCAGCTACCAGACCTTGCACTTCACAACCACGCATCAACACTCACATGTTTTCCACCATGCGCAACCTTATCACCCTTCTCGCCTTCACCGGCCTCGCACTCAGCGCGCCCGTCGCCATCAACTCAGAGAGCCAAACCATCGGCCACCCTCCGTCCTCAGTCAACATGGACCAGTCTGAACTCCCCATGGCCTTTTCCGTCCCCTCCCTTCCCACTCTCGCCCACCAAAAGCGCGATGGTCGCTGGCCCTGGCAGAAAGAACAGGATGTCATCGGAAAGTATCCTGATGGGAGGCTCAAGTGCCGCATCGTGAGCATGACTGGGTAAGTCTTCCCCACTTCCCTCTCCCATATCAACCCTCTCTCGCGCCTTTTCCATCATCCTCCGAGCAGAATCGTCTTTCCGTTCCATTTTTGTTCTTTACCTCACTTACGATCAGGGCGAAATCGAGAAAGTGCTAACACAGAACAGCGGCCACAACGAAGGGCCTTGCCCGAAAAGGCTGCCGCAAGAGCAAATCGCGCAGATATTGCATGCAGAGTGGTGCAAAAGCAATTGCTGCAAGAAGAATGGGGAGCCCTGTGGCAAAGACTTCGGAGTGAAGTTTGGTGAGGACAATGATAACAATGGGGTGAGATTGAAGATTGGGGGCGGAGCGGGAGGTAATGGCAGATGAATGACGGCTCCTCGTAAGGGAGGTTGAGTTGAGGAGAATTGGATTCTGTGCTGGGATGGGAGGATGGTCAAGGATGAGAACTCGAGAGTGTCAGTTACGTGAGCTTTGCTATTACTATAAAATCATCTCAGCTTTCCTCACGCGTTCTCCGACTCGGTGCCAAATGCCATTTGCATACGTTTCGCATGTGCCGCCCTCCTTTTCGCCAGAGCAGTCATGGGCCGAGCTGTAGTCGGTGGTGAAGAAGTCTCGTTGTCCGGTATCTCTATGCTGTTCACGCTTATTGGAGGTGATTGTAGTGGTAGACTGGGAACAGGTGGTGGATTGTCGAGTAAGATGGAGATCGGGTATTTGTCTGTTGCACTTGCATTTGAAAAAGTATGGTGTACGTCTTTTCGAGAAGCTGCGGACGATGCGCTCATTACAGTCGGGAGTGATTGCGTTGACAAGGCTGGAACGGGTGGCGCATTGTCAAATGACACAGCTATCGGGTACTTGTCTGTTGTGGTCGCGTTCGACGCAGTGTGGTGTATGCTTTGCTTGAACTCAGTGGATGATTCGCCGTCTTCGTCTTTCGCCGGAGGTTGCATGGATGAGTGCGCATCATTCGAAATGTTACTGGGTAATACAGCCGTCGGGTTATCGTCCATTGCGGATGCGTTCGATGATGCATGTCTTCTGTAACGTCGAGGCTTGACAGGTGGTAATTTTCCTTTTGATGTGGGTTCTGGTGATTTGGTCTCGATAGCTGTTTCCGAACTCGGAATTGGCGCACTGGTTGGAGTTACGGACATTGACGATGCAGCTGGAACGAGCGACACATCTGAGGACTCTCGTTTAAATGTGCTATTGCTGGGCGCGGCTGGTCGTCTGCGCCGGACGTATGGTGATGGGATCGGATCACTAGGCATCCTCCGCAGAATATCGTCTGATCTTGACTGTGAGACCGCCTCAGGCTGAGAAGACTGCGTCAAAGGTATCTTCGGCGGTATAGGTGGCGGTAGGTCCGATAATGGACGCGCCGGTGCAGATCGTGAAGGTAAGGATGGGATGAATTTGAGTACTGGTGTTGGCTCTGTTAAAGCCTTCTTCAAGCTCGATTCTGGTGTGACTACAGAAGTAGGCACTGATGCAACAGCCGCGGCATCCAATAGCGCTGGTGACGTCGGCACAGTCGGGGATGATGTGACCGAAGTCGCTGGAGTAGTCTCAACGGTCGAAGATATCGTGTCAATGCTCTGAGTACTGCGATAGCTTTCACGCGCTGATTGTGGGATTATCCACGTTGAGAGGTCGTCTAGCAGCGACATCTGGCTCGGAAAAGAAGGTAGTGCCGATGGCAATGACTTATGCTTCACAGGCGGTTTTCGAACATTAATAGGCTTCGACCGGTATCTCATTGGCGCTAGTGGTACACTGATAGCATCGCCAACTGCAATGGATGCGGTTGAGTTGAAGCGTTCGATGGGCCGCTCCGTCAAAGTGGGCAGAGGTTGCACTTGATCGTAAGATGAGCGGCTCTTTATCTCAAATGATCGCTGTGTTCGTATCTGCTCTGAGTATGCGCGAGGTCGGGCTGAGTCGAAGGATGCGCGTGCTCTGTCGTCGAAGAATGAGAGAGAGGGTCGGACATGGTCGACAGATCTACGTGTGAGTGGAGGGTCCGGCGGACGTCTTCTGGGGACTGTGGCGACACTTGCGTCCGCTGTCATCGGTCGCGTACTTGAGTTGACCGCTGCAAATCGGGAAGGGGATTGGGCATCGTCCCGTGCTGGAGATGGTGCATGCACCTGATCCCGAGCATTATCTCGTGACTCGTGATAATCTACGTGTAAGTCTTCATCAAAATGGTGAAGATCATCAGGAGTGCTTCCAGGAAGCTCTGCAAATGTATGCTGGTAAGGGCGTACTAGAGGACATCAGTAAGCAAATAGCGCTATGTCAGGATCTGCATACCAATCTTCCCCTCCTTCAAATCAGGCTCTGAGACCGCGATGCTCGGCACAGATGAACTTCTCCGATTGAGACTGGATTGCTGTCTGTAATGTGGACTTATGAAGACATCGCTCGCGACGCCTTCCACCCGGGGGTGCTCAGGCAACTCATGGATGGGATCGAGTGTCGCTTTCATCTCCACGGCCTGCATGAGCTGCACAGCCGGCATCAAGCTCTGGTGGCATGTTGCGAGCAATTGTTGTTTGTTCCCCAGCTTCTTCTGGTGAAAGTGTCCCCACTGAAACTTGCGTCTTAGACTGACTGTGCCGCCATCATCTCCGGACACCTGCACGGTCTCTAAAAATTGGCCAATGTCATTGAGCGCCTTTTCGATGTCGTGAAGAATCTTGTCAATATAAGCTTTCTTGTCGGGCCACGATTCAAGATATTCTGTAACGGCTCGGGATGTGTAGAGCCGCGAGGCCTCGGTGACATCATGCCGTACGCGCTGGAGCAATTCAATGAAGACCCCGTTGTCTGACGACACTCTTCCTTGTGTCGATACCCAGTCCGCGAAATCAAACACCGTAGGTAACGACGAGAAAACCTTGGTGACATCCTCTGAGGACATTCTCGAGAGAGCGATCGATTTGCGGTCTGAGTCCGAGTCTTGGCTTGACTTGCGCTCAAGGTACTTTTGTCTCACGGTGTGCGTCTCCGTACGATCAGGTAGTCTCGATAGGGTGTGTGGCAGGTACAAACCGGCCCCTGGAATCATTTTCGTCAAGCATCAAGGTACCGACTAGGCGGTCATGTGGTTAGGGGTGGTGCGGCGGCTCCCTTATGCGATGGCCAACGATTGTGAAAAGGCAAACAGCAGATGAGATAGGATATTGCAGCCCGCCCCGCAGCTCAAGTGTTCTTAGCCACCGACCGAACTTGTCATTCCCGTCGGACAGGACACTGATAGGGACAAGGCAAACGCTGGCGCACGAAAAGTAATGCACAGTGGCCGTGCGTGTGCTCTGTGTGTCCTGATGCCGGCAGGCTCTCCAGAGAGGTGAAGAAGGCTGTGTACTGTAGGATCGTGTGGGCCGGACGAAGTGGAGCAGAAGCACGTAGCCAATGCCTTTCGCATCCGTGCAACATGGGACCAACTTCGATTGGATGAGGGCCCGTTTCATAACCAAGTGCCATCCACGTGCATGCGCTCGACGCGAGAATTCATGGTGCACCGCCGGAAATAGCTATAGTTACGCCAATCGAAGTTCTCCGAGGAGAGCGGTCGAAAGCTGTCTAATCTTTGGGGGCCGCTTCGCCTCGCTTGGCCTCCCGACTTCATCACACGAAACGCCTAGACCGACGCCTCGCCAGGTATCCTACAGGGCTATGTTCGAGCCCCCAAAGAGCGGATGAACACACGTATCGGACGAAACCTTACACGGTCGCCGTTGGAAACACGAAGAAAATACTACTGTATATATGTTCGTCTGTTAAACTTCCTCATTCATCAAGACGTCGGTTCACGGCCTCGCTAAACGGTCGTGGTGGATGTATTGGCTCTCCGTTCTCGTCCGCGACTTGCACGAGTGCGGGGAAAATGCAGAGGCTACCTGTCTTGACACCTTGTTCACTCTGCCAGTCAAAGTCCCAAGCAGTTGGTTGCGAGAAAAGCGTGAATGCGAACTGGGCAGACCGCTTGAGGATCTCCTCTAGGTTTCGGCTGCGAGCTCCGTCATCCATGCGAGAATCCGCGAACGGCCGTAGCACACTGTCAAGAAGTGTCGCAGCAGCCTGTATGTTCCGAACGCGACCATCGCCAGCTGAGAAGGGGCTGCGAACATACGTAGGTTGCAGAAGCTCGGACGTGAGCGCGCGCCACTTGGTGTAGTAAAGCGAGTGGACTGTAGAAGCTTGTTAGAATTAACGATCTATAGCGAATCGAGATATCGTAACTTACCTCGCGATCCGCGCTCTGTGTGATTCATAGACTGCATGCATTTTGCAACCTCGGGGGGTAGGAATGTTTTGTTGGAAGAATCATTCAGCCGGATCCGCGATGTCACAACCCAAGCGAGACAGAACCTGAGTGCTATCTCTCGAGTTGTGGGGTTGTTGAGGAGTGTACTCAGGGTACCTACGGATACTGGAAGATTCTCGCCGAGAGCTTGAAGGTCGTCGTAATCGATCATTCCAGGGCTCACAGCTCGACTGTGATAGTAACTTTGGACGTGGTTCTTGATCAAGTTACTAATTTTCGAGATTTCGCCGGAGACAGCCTTATCCTCCAATGGTTGTGGGAGGCCGTTTTCGAGCGCTGAAGCAATCGGACTGCCGCTCGAAACGGACACAGTTTTGGCCACGGGGCCCTTCTCGCGATGCATCAGGGCTACCGCACTCGCCTCTGAATCACGGACACTACTCGTAGACCTTCTGCGCTTCATGAAGAACCAGGCTAGCAAGCCGGCAATTAAAAGTCCTGCCAGAAAACATCCAACACCAATTCCTGCCGCAGCTCCAGGCTGAATGTCTTTTGATCCAGAAATATTTGCGGCGGCGGCGGCAGCAGTGGTGGTCGAAGAGGACGAGGTAGCCGTAGTATCTGATGTCGGTGCTATGGTCGTGTTGCTTTCAGCACCTGGTGGCTTGTCGTTTTGCGTGGGCGCGGCGCTTGTATTAGTTTCCTGTGCCGTTGATTGATTTGTAGTCTGTGCTTGGACTGTCACTTCAGTAGATGATTGAACAGTAGTTGTGGCTCCGTCGTGGATTTCTTGCTCCCAATATCCCAGCTTGCCTCCACTGGCGTCCCACCAGAAATTGGCCGCATTGGTTGTCGGTGTGACGCCTGCCACTGTCTGTACCGGCTGATTGATCATAAGAGCGGAAGTTGGTGCAATCGTCTTCCAATTTGACGGGGAGGCACCCTTCAAGGATTCAGCATTTTTCCCCTCTTGGTTGAACCATAATCTACGATCAGGGGCGGGTTGGCTTGTAGTTGCCGTCTCTTCGTAAAGTGTTACCGTAGGAAAGTGCTTGGTGAAGGGGACGGTGGCGACGGCGATCAGGGAGCCTTGAGGTGATGCTGAGGATGTGGCCATGGTAGCTACTCGACTGTATTGCAAGAAACAAGGAGAGCAATTGTAAGTATTGAAAGGTCGCCAAATCCTCAATTGGCAGTTGACCTTCTTCGGAAGCCGTGTCGGCAGAGGAGGGAAAGGAAGGTCGAATCCTCAGCCCGACACGCTCACAGCCTAGCTTATGTATATCAAACCATCCGCCTGCACTAGCGGAGCTAATATGTACGTCGTAAGCCAGCGCAAACATGGTTACAGCCTTTTAGCACCGTCCGAAATACCGTATAACTTTTGCGGCACAGCTCACCCACTTGCAGCACAATCACACAGGCCTTAATTAAAGCATCTGCATACTCCCTGCGCATCGTCACACCTTCCTTTATCTCTTCTCCCTTAGTACATCTCAATTGCACGCCCTCTTAGGACTCCTCTCGTTGCGTGGATTAATAGAGTCCGGCTCGGATGCAGCTTCATCCTGCACAGATCCTTCAGCCCCCAATACGCCCTGCTCGTTGCTCACCTTGGCATGCATCCTGATAGGCCGTTGGCCGACTCCTAATAATACGCCTGCGGCTAGCTGCAGGCCTTTGTGCCGCAAGGCTGAGGCTGAGCCGACCACTTGCGTTACATGGGGGTAGAACAGAAGTCGTGCTGTCTTATAGCATCGAGGAGCTCAGCCTGGCCGTCAATTTCGCTGTACAAGGCTGTAACAACAGCAATTGACGAAGTTGACCGCAACAATGAACGGATTAACAGAGGACGAGAAGCCGCACATGGTGATTGGGATTGATCTGGGCATGACTGTAAGTATGATTGATGGTTTGCAATGGAGAACTCGTGGAGAAAGGGCCGAGCCGAGGACCTGTCCAGAAAGGGCTTAGCACCTTTCCCCCAGTTCCCGTCACGTGCCTTCACTCTCCGGGACGTCATCCACAGATCTTTCTGAGCAAGGGTCATCGCATACAATACAAGGCGATGCTTGATCAGATATCTGGCTCAATCAGGGCCTTTAAACTCCGGCAATCCACATTTACATTCTTTCTCCCGCTGATGGCCTTCGCAGTGCACGGGTGTCGCGTACGCCAATCTGTCCATCGGCAGCGAAACGGTCAGATGGGTTCAAAAATGGCCCGGTCGCTTTCAAGCAAACGAGAACAAAGTCCCAACGGTGGTCGTCTACCCAACGACAACTCCAAACCCCACCCCCTCCTCGTGGGGCTTTCTCTCGGAAACCGTCGCAGAAACAACTGCCCAAGACAAAGACTACAAAGAATGGTTCAAGACGCTTTTATCGCCACCTCGCCTCCAAAAGAAGCAACAGTCGGACCCGGAAAATGCTCCTGCGTCCATGGCTGATGTAGAAAAATGGTACCGCGACTACCTCAACAAAATGTACGAGTACCTTGCATTCAAGCTAGGCGGCGAACTGTCCGGCGTGAGCTGGGAACTAGCAAAAGTTGAGTTCATTTTCTCGGTGCCGACAACGTGGGAGCCAGTACCGACAGTGGAGAGATTCAAATCGATCGTAGGCGAGGCCGGATTTGGAGTGCACGCAAATCACGTCGTAACGATAGGCCTCACAGAAGCTGAGGCAGCAGCAGTACATGTCTCCACCGAAGCCCCTGGCATTTTTCGCGAGAACGACATCCTCTTAGTGTGCGATGCTGGCGGCGGCACGACTGATCTCTCTGTCCTCCGGGTAACCGGAACTAACAACCAAGCCATCAACCTGCAACAACTCGACGTCGTTTTCGGCGAAACCATTGGCAGTGCAGCAATTGATTACGAATTTGAGAAACTTGTCTGCGAGAGGCTGGAGCGTGCGCATGCGGCTCAGCCACTGCCCATTGATCCAGCCGATGCTGCGTGGGAGATGATGAAGAGTCGGGACTTCCAAGCTGTGAAATGCGAGTATGGCGCTCCTGATGATACTCCACTCTTCAGCATTGCCATCCCCAAGCTGTCGCATACCTATAATAACGAGAAGGCGGGGATTCGCAGCGGCGAAGTGGCCTTTGAGCGCGAGGATCTCCAGCGACTTTTCGATAAGCAAGTGAATAAGCTCCTACAACTTATAGACACACAGCTGCAGATACTATATCGCAAATTTCCAGCAGAACAGGTAGCGCATATCGTTCTCTCCGGTGGACTAGGCAACTCAGCATACGTGCAAATCCGGTTACGGCAACATTATGCGATAAAGAGCATTCCCAATGCACGCGGAATATCGGTACGCATAGCGCCTGACCCTCAGCTGGCAGTCTGCAAAGGTCTTGTTGCGGACCGTGTAAGGAAGCTCATCACGAATTACTCTGTGCTCGGCTGGCGGTGCTGTCGCTCCTCTTACGGGACCATGTGCAAGATTGCGTACGATAAGAAGAACCCAGAACATGTGGGGAAGCAGCTCGTGCGGGATCCACTGAACGGGAAAATGTACATCATGCAGGCAATTGCTTGGTTCGGTAAGTCTTCGGAAGGGATGCTTCAAAGATCAATGCTGAGCTTGCGTAGTGAAAAAGGGCGAAGCTGTATCCGTGGATAAGCCGATCATACATAACTTCATCAAGAAGGTAACTCCAGGTGACCCGCGGCGAGCATTCCCAACCAGTGTTATCGAATGCAATCTTGATGCGGCCTATCTCCCAAGCCAGATGAGTCCGGATACACGTGTTCTCTGCGAAATTTCCTCAGACCTTTCTTCCGCAGACGAGAAGAGGTTTACAGAGAAGAATAAGCGGTTTTGGTCCCTTGGCAAGCACTACTTCAAGGTTGAATATCAAGTCCGTGTCATCATAGGCCCGGCTGATATCCGCTTCGAGCTATGGTTCAATAATCAGAAGCTCTCACGCGACCAGTCGATTAAGGTAGACTGGACGCCTGCGCCTACGATGCCGCCAGCTGGGCAAGTGGACATCGCGACATGGAACAGGGTGGAACTTCCCGATAGCTATCCGACGCACATGTCCGGAGGCGCTGGAGGGTTCGGAAATCATGGTATTGATAGAACAGGAACAGGCATGATAGATACTTCTGGTAAAGAGAGAGCAGGAAAGGCTGGAAAGTTTTCAGGGGTACTCGGTAGATCATGGCCGGTGTACAAATAAGCGAGACACCATTGAAGAGAACAAGTTTTCAATGTCATCGGGACTAGCAAGAATCAAATGAGTGACTGTTGCATTGTAAACTAAACTAAAGAGCGAGAAACCACAAGCTAGTCAAGAGAATGACGCATCAAAGTACTGAGAATGACGCGTTGCGTCCGCATGCGTGTAGCCCTCAGAGACCCTTACGCGCTTAGTTTGCTTAAAACCTCCTGCACAACCGCCAGATTCCTGTCTGAATCGACCCACACTGCACCCAGAACTGCTTCAATGGTCGCAGCGAGCGTTTCCTTTGGGCAGTTACCTTGTTGGCAAGGGTTCTTTACCACGAGCTTGTCTATTTCCCAATTGGTCGCAATATCCTTCAATCGTTCATTGGTCCCAATGCTCAAAAAGCGCTTTTGCCCAGCCGCTGATACTCGTCAGGTAAACGACCTCAGCAATATGCTACATACTTGACTTACCAGTATCAGAGTCATCTTTGAACCAGTCGTCCATGACTGCGAGGCGTAGGGCTGCATCCCCAACCAGAGCAAGTCGTTTATTGCCCTTTTCCGGACCCTCCACCTTCGTATCAGAAACGGAGGCTCCGGCCGAGAGGAAAGCTTCTTTAAGAAAGGAGCAGTTGTGGAAATGATAGTTGATATGGTTTTGGAATGACTTCAAATCAGACATTGTGGTTGTGTAGATAGAAGAATAGGATAAAACTTCAGCCTACGTTCAGAAATTACGATCAATGTGACCCTCTTATATGCTCCATATCGAACTATACTCCCGCGAACCATTACACCCAGGGCCTGGGTCAGTCTCTAGTTATCCTCAAGTTTGGTTTCATTTGCGTACTTCCCAGCCGCAACCGGTAGTCCGTCAGTGTAAGGCTACTAGTAAAGCGTTTTCAGGGCCTAGTCACTGCTTGCGGCTATCGTTGAGCTGATCAAAATCTTGGGCGATCTTGAAACTCTTCTATGATCTCTTTTGGTCGTTTCACGTGGATCCGTCGCTATCCGAAAATTGTTCGTGATGTATGTTACAAAGTACATCGACCGTGGTTAGTCAACGAGCGGGCAATCTCACACGTCTGAACCTTGCCCAAGGATGCATCAGGATGCTATTTTCTAATCTCAAATTGTTGTTTGGACTGGATGGTGGGGTGGCTGTGTCATGTGTCTATACGAGTACCGCTACGCCCAGTGACTATGCAAGATGGTCACTCATTTTCTGATAGGTTCGTCCATTGCTAGGCGTATGGTTCCACCTCCGCAAGTTCCAGCTCTCGGAATTGCTGTCCCGAGACTTTTTGATCGGAAGAATATTCCTGGATGTCTCTTCCATGACGATAGATGTGCTCGGTAGCACCATTCTTCATGCTACCCCACGTAAGTGGACGAATTGGAGAAATCGTGGCTGACCTAGGTAGACGGGGGTAAAGTCAAACAAGCATTCTCATTAACCGTAGAAATGATCATATCTGGGGTGCTGTGAAGGTCTGAACTATTGTGGGGTAGAGCCGTTCTAGCTCGGTAAAAAGCGCCGCTCCGACGGGCAACTACGAGCGGGCAGAATTACCCTTCGGGGACGTCGGCGTGCCTATTTAGACCTTTCCCAATCCAACAACAGCTTCACAGTATTCACACTTTCGACCGCAACAGCACATAGCCAACATGAACGGCACAAGCGGAGCCTCGACCAACGGTCACCAAAATGGCCACTCTTTAACAGGACCTCGGCTATTCTCTGTCAACAAACCTCCGTCGCTAGACGAATTCAAGAAACTCACTACACAATCAAAGCCACTGCACTACCCGCTTGCAGCATCAGTCGAGGCCAATGTACCTATATACGACCTTCCAGAATTCGCCGAGCTATCTCCAGATCAACGTTCAGCTCTTCAAGACGAATGGTACCACATCCTCCTCTCAGGCCCTGGGGTCTTCGTTACAAAGAAACTATACAAAGACAACACCCTTCTTAACACAGTGAGCGATGCCTACGCAAGTATAATCGACGAAGAGAAGAAGCGCTCTGGCAAGCGAGGTGACCACTTCGCCGGCTCAGGCGCAAATGACCGCATCTGGAACTCCTTCTCAAAACACTGCGTGCAAGACGCAAAGTCCTTTGTCGAATACTACTCCAATCCCTGGCTGCCACTCATATCCTCTGCATGGTTGGGCCCTCATCACCGCCTCACAGCCCAAGTCAACATCGTTAAGCCCGGCGCAAAACCCCAGATTTCGCATCGCGACTACCATCTGGGCTTCCAGGACAACGAGTCGTGCGCGAAGTTCCCTAAGGCGTTGCAAGTCGCTTCACAGTTCTTGACGCTGCAGGGCGCCGTCGCGCACTCGGACATGCCGCTTGAGAGCGGCCCAACACGGCTACTGCCGTTCAGCCAGACGTTTGAGGAAGGCTACATGGCGTACCGGATTCCGGAGTTCCAGAATTACTTCCTGGAGCAGTACGTCTCTGTCCCATTATCGCAAGGTGATGGACTGTTTTTCAATCCCGCGCTGTTCCATGCAGCGGGGCAGAACGATTCCAAGGATATCTTGCGCTCGGCGAATCTGCTGCAGATATCGAGTGCGTTTGGTAAGCCGATGGAGATGATTGATACGTATCCGCTTGTGGAGGCGACATGGGATGCGTTGAGGGAAATGCATCAGGATGAGGGTTCGAGCGACAGGGTCATGGCGTTTGTGGGCAACGTTGCGGAGGGGTATCCTTTCCCCACGAATTTGGATAGACGGGTCCCAGAGACCGCGGGTATGGCGCCGGAGAGCGAACAGGGCCTTCTCGTCAGAGGCTTGAATGAGAAATGGTCGAAAGAGAAGGTGTTGGAAGAGCTGCAAAAGATGCGGGACGATTCCCGTGCCTAGCAGGCGAGCTGTATCAGATTCCTAGCCACGCCTGATTTCACAAGAGCGTGAGTGATGTGAGCGTAAACGACAAATATGTGAAAAATTTACCAGAGCAATCAACATTTGACAACATCTTGCAAGTTGCGCCCCTGTGTTGGCTTAAGGCTACTGCTATTATCTGGCGCAAGTAGTCGAATGTTTGTAAAATCATTTGTTAGTTAGTCCTGCCCCGATATTCTTACCATGTCCCTTCAATGTTCCACCTGCGATCACCATTGGAGCGCACTCGATCTCGCTATGCCACGTACCAGGTCATTGAATTCCCACATCATTCACGTCACAAAACTCAAACACTTTCTGTGCCCTCACCCGCGTATAAAGCTCCAAGTACCCCAGCAGTCAAATCGTGGTGTTCAACCTCCACGCTTGATTCAGCTCTGGCCACTCATCTGCCTCGTTTACACACCTTCATAATCCACCTTCCAACTCGGTTACCACTTGGAAAGTCACCATGACCGACCACATAACCTCGCTCCTCGCCCTCGCCGAAGGCGTCAAAAACACCGGTACCGAAATCCAGTCCATCGGCGCAAAACTGCACACCTTCGCCGACGCGCTGAACACCGAGGCAAATGTGCTTTATACACCCTTCCCTCCTTTTCTTCCCATTCACTGACAAGCATTGTATCCAGGCCCTAGCCGAAGAGCGTCTCGCCCTCAGATCCCAACTCGCTGCCACCCTCGCACAAATTGAGAAAAGCAAAAACGCCCCTTTCAATTTGGATGTCTGCGTTGGTGTTCGCGCCAACGGGAATAGCACCACGTTTCGTCGAGTGGGTTGTTGTGCTGGGTGTGGTGGCGCTGCTGACGGCAGTGGAGACGATGGATGGGGAGGTGGAGGTGGCGGTGGCGGTGGAGACGCGAGGAGCCATATAAGCAAGGCGCTGTCGGAGGTGGCTGCGAGGGCATCGGCAGCGGCATCACAGGCTGCATCTCAGGCGAGGGGTGCGGGTGGTGGAAGTAGGGCGGGGAGTGTGGTGAGTAGGAAGAGTGGGAGTGCCGGGGGTGGATCGCATGTGGGTTCTTCGCATGCGTCGCAGAAGTGAGGAAGAGATAGGCTATACAAAGTACTAGGTGTACGGAGAGTGAAGTTGCATGGACTTAGCTGGCTATTTCCAGCTCCAGTGAGCCTGGATGCTCTCACTTCCCACTATAACGTAGTTTTTCACTTGTCAACGTGTTGGAGATTACGGCGCTATGTGACGTCTGACCGAGAAGGGCTCCTCGAATTCGTGTGTACGTGCTCCACAACCTCTCAATCTCTCAATCGCGGCTTGCAAACTCTCACGAGCATTTCAAATGCTCTGAACAGCCTTTCTTAGCACGTGTAACTCAGATCGAATTGTGTACTATGATTGGTAGCCACTTGACAGAACTCGCTAACAAAGCCCCCGGATATTGTTCCTGTCTCACTGTAGACTGAAGACCAGATTGGCGCAAATCAAGCGTAGATGTACGAAGGCTTTCATCCTTTAGGAATTCTGGATTTGATCCGGCCGAAGAGTAGCGAGCCAGAACATCATGATTGGAGCGTCCCCATTGGCGCCTGTGAAGACACGGATGTTGTAAATGTATCTGCGAGATAGTTTTAGTTCTACTAGACCGCAGATGCTGAAGAATGTCTACTTTGAAGACTATGCGCTTGAGAGGTTGTACTTACTTGACACCAATGTCTAACTTACGCTGATTGACGAGATACCCCATCGGCTTCCCATTCGGTGATCCTAGGAGTGCTTGTCCTTCTTCTGTCGCCGTGGAGAAGTCGTCTCCAGGCCAGACAGAGTACTTGTCTTTTCCCCTAGCACGCAGAGCCCTCTTCATGATGCTCAACGTTTCCCTATTGACAATCCACATCATGAACATGTAGTTGAGGTTGGCAGGATTCGGATTTCCAGCATGAGGATTGCTTCCACGTAGCCAGCCAGCAAAGAGCAGATCGCTTAAACTGCGAAGCATAGGTAGCTCACCGGTGCCTGCCTCGCGGCCATAGACTGCTTTGAAGCTCTCCGCTGGGCTTACTGCAACAGACACCATGATTGCACCAGCTTTATCTTGAACGCCGAACTTTGCCCTAGCTCCGGTGGCTCGGTAACGTTTGTTGTAGGCCACGTACGTTTGCTCATTTATCGGAAATGGCTGACCTTTCTCGTCCTTCAAGTTGGCGGCTCCATGAGTATAATGGTAACTCCATATGTCTAGACGTGGTGAAGCGAAGTCAGCGTAATAATCATGAGTAGGAAAGACGAGTGAAACATGTCAGCCTGGCGGTTTACTGACTTCTGTTTCAGAAGTCTGCAACAGCAAACACATACACTTTGTACTCTAACAATACATACCTTGCCATGGAATGATCCCAATGGAACGTTCTTGCATGGCTCGGATCCAACCGGCGCCATAGAAGTCGTTGAAAACCGCGTCGTTGAACTTGTTGTCAGCGTCTGACCAACCCCAGGTCTCGTACAGCATGGTATTGAAATTGTTGGCCCTGAACATGCTGTTTGCTGACTGACGCGGAGGGTTGTAAAGACGACCAGCAGCAACGTCAGACTTCCAGAAAATGGCATACATCGACGCGCCTTTCGCTTGAGCTTTGCACCACAGGTCGTCGGTCGCCATAGGAGACATGTCCCAATTCGCCCTTCGCTCGAGGTGGCCCTCGGCCTGGGGAGTCTCCTCAGAAACATGTGTTTCGTTGGTTTTCGCACCCGTTGTGGGACCGAAGGTAGCGGAAGATATTGTGTCAAGGAAGTCATTGCCAATGGCGGAATGCGCGCAGGTTGCGAGGTTCACGAAACCCGCGAAGGTTGCAACCAGCATAGTGACCCTGTACTTCATCGTAGCGACGAATGCTTGTTGACAGGTTGGTGGGTGCACTCAGTCGTACAGAGTGGGGTGAAGACGTGGACGCGACTCTTTCATGAAAACTTGCAGGTGTGTAGGGTCGCACCTGCCTTCACTGACTTCGAGGCAAGGCAGCGATATCTTATGAAGGCTTGTCCATAGGTGCGGTGAAAGCTATGGCCTTTGTGACGTAGCTTTATCGGAGCTCTGCAGCGTTGAGAATATCGAACTAAATATCTGGAGCGGTCAACAATCTCGAGGCCTTACGTGGCAGCAGCTTACAAGGTTTTCAAATATAGTGTATATTTCTTCAGCTCTTCATTCCTACAATTTCCATCTTCGCCTCCATTCATCTCTCCTCCATCAAAAATTTCCACAACCCGTCTCCGTCAACGTAATCTCCCCAGATGATATTTACCAACCACAAATCCCTCCTCAGCTCCCCTAGTAATCTGCTAGTCTCCGTCCGCGGCGTATATATCCTCTGCCACTCGCGCCAGATACTCCACGCCTCTTCGCACCAGCTTCTGAAACTGACCGCCTCGATAATCGTCGGCGTGACAATCTCCTTACCCGTGAAACTGCCCCACGTCACGGGGTTAACCGCCTCCTCACTGCTAGCCTCGAAGTCGCCCGCTGCATTGCCCGCAAAGTACGTGATCTGGTCATGCGCCTTCAGACGCGGTTGGAGTGCCACCCAGTCGGCCGAGGGGAGGAAGAACTCGACGAAGGGCTTCTGGAAGACGAGGCCGTTTTTGGGACCCCAGCCAAAGACGGGGTCAGTGGATTTGACACCGTTAACGGCGGGCTGGGAGGCGACTGTCCACCAGCCCTTCGCGTTCAAGCCTAGCAACTCCTTGGCGATGGTGCTGGTTTCGGGACTGAGGCCTTGCTCGCTCCAGGGGATGGCTTCGAGATCGCCTTCGATGTGCCTGCGGAAGAGTTTCGAGATGTCGTCTCTGTCGACGGGATGGCCCCAAAGTTTCAGGGCTTGAGGCGTAGACACGTGCAGCGTCGGTCCGTAGCCGTCGATCTCACCGAAGGCAGGAGATCGCGCGTCGCCCCAGCGGCCGTTGGGAAAGTCATCCCAGGTTGCTTCGCGGCCGAGGGATCCTTCGCCCTCGGAGATGGCGAGCGTGTTGGCACGGGTGTTGACCGGGCCCTTGGGAACGCCGGCTTCGTCTTCGGGGGCTTCGTAAGAGGCGTTACTGGACTTGCTTTGTGACGGATTGGATATTATGACGCGGTTTCGCGGGCCAGAGTTAACGGAAGAAAGACGTCTTCGTTCCTTGTTGCGCAGTGCGCCTTCAGGGGGTTGGAAGTCGGCGCTAGGGGTGAGCTCGATGGCGTCGTCATCATCTTCGAGCAATGGTTGCGGTATCAGGTTGCAGTTTTCCAGGATGTGTGATACCGCCTTTTCCAAATTGAGGGTGTAGAAGTGAAAACCTCTTCTTGTAGGGCTAGGCCGTCCTTTCATGTGCTCCACAATCTCGCTCAAGATCTTGACGCCCACCTGCTTGACCAGCTCGTCGTCACCTCTCACAGCGTCCAGACGAGCTACAATGTCTGCCGGAATCTTCGCATGCGAGAGCTTCGAGACGCGGTTGAGTATCTGGTACGATTGTATAGGCAACAGGCCAGGGATGATAGGTATCGTCTTGAATGCGCCGCTCTCGTGTTCTCTCAACATGGTCTCGAACTTGTTATACGCCTCCACATCAAAAAAGAGCTGTGTCATGAGGAAATCCGCACCAGCTTGCGTCTTCTCTACCAGGTACGGGAGGTCATATTTCGGATCCTGCGCCTCCGGGTGGCTCTGATCGGAGTGCCCCTCGGGATAGGTCGCGACACCTATGCAGAAGTAGTCCCCATACTGCTGGCGAATATATCGAACCAGATCCACTGCCCACGTGAAGTCTTTATTCGAATCATCCTCTGGGAGCTGTCCCTCCTCTCGGTACTCCTCGCTCCGTGGCGCATCGCCACGCAACGCCAGAATGTTCCGTATGCCTAGTACTCTTGCCTGATCGAGTGCCTCGTCCACGAGCTTGCGGCTCATATTTGTGCACGTCAGGTGTAGACATGTTGTAAGGCCCAGCTGACGCTGGCATATCTCTGCGAGCTCGAGCGATTTGGTTGCCGTCGATCCGCCAGCGCCCCAAGTTACGTTTACGAAGAGCGGGCGCAGCGCCTGCGACATGCGCTCTAATCTCGACTGGAGGTTCGCGAAGCCCTGCAATTTTCTTAACTCAACAACCTTTCCTTTCACTACATCCGCGCATGGAGGGGCAAGCGCACCATGGACGTCTTCGGCGGGAAGAACTCAAGCGAGAAGTAATTGGCGCCATCGGGCAGCGCATTGATCTTATCCGTAATCTTTTCCATGGTAGGAGGTATAGGGTGGTGTGGTATAAAGAGTCATTGCTGGCCCGCGGTGCTGGACTTTTGTGAATGATTGCCGTCAGAGAAAGCCCCGATCGCGGTATGTGGGGCAGCGACCATGTGGCTGGTGTTGCCCGATTAAGTCAGGTAATCCCCGTGCTGATCACACCTGAGCACGCGATTGTGATTGCTCTCCCATTATTCGATGGGAGGATGAATCAGAACGCTACCTGTCGGATATTGAAATCATAGCACCCGGAGCTGGAGAGGGTTGTAATGCTTTTGCGGAGCCGTCGGAATGCGTTCCGACAACCGGAATCAATCAAAAGCGGGCATCACCATCCCTCTAACCTAACAAAGTCCCTCTTGTCAAGGTTCGCAAATCATTTGCTACTGCGACTCAAAAATGAGCAGAATCAAGAAGAGGTGCTCGTAGTAAAATGCAACCTTCGTATATATTTGCCCTTGTACAACATGACATTCGGCTCCCCAACTCGCGGTTGCCTCTTCCAAAACATCCCTTCTTGAATCCCCACACTTCAACACTTTCAGTCTGCTTGATTTTCTATACCTACTTCTTCATATGCTCTCCGAGTCAATCCATCCGCCATGCCTCTCCCACCCCGTATCGACGTCCACTCGCACTTCCTCCCGCCTTTCTATGTCGAAGCCCTCCTCGTAAACGGTCACGAGAAAGTCGATGGTATGCCCGCCATCCCAGAATGGTCTTTAGAAGGTCACCTCCAAATCATGGAAGCCGCCAATATCCAGGAGAGCATCCTGTCCATTTCGTCGCCGGGGACGAACCTGCGTCCGGACCTCCCATCGTCTACTGTGATAGACCTAACACGGAGATGCAACGCCTACGCCGCAGATCTGAAAAGAAGGTATCCTGCGAAGTTCGGCTTTTGGGCGTCGCTGCCACTTCCAGACGTCCCCGCCGCACTGGAAGAAATTGATAAAGCGAGAGCAGAAGGATGTGATGGCTTCTCCCTTATGACGAACTACCACGGGTCCTACCTTGGCGACCCCGTCTTTGACCCTATATTCGCACGGTTCAACGAGCTAGGCGCGAAGGTTTTCATACACCCTACAGCGCCGTGCATGCACTGCTCGCAGGGCGAGACAACCTGGGCTCTGCCGCTCGGCGACAGATACCCCATCCCCGTCTTCGAGTTTATATTCGACTCCGCAAGGACGGCGATACATCTTTTCTTCTCCGGGACGGTGGATAGATGCCCCAATGTCACGTTTGTGCTGCCGCATGCGGGTGGTGTCCTGCCGCCTTTGCTCACGCGGTTTACGGCTTTTGGGGCGCTGGTGCCGGGGAGTAAGGGAATCGATGCCAAGGCGGTAAGAAAACAGTTGGGAGAACAATTCTACTTCGATCTAGCAGGGACGGTGTTTGAGGGGGACGAAGGGGTGGTTGGGTCGGGGCAGTTGAAGGCGCTAGTTAGGGGATTTGATATAAGCCATGAGAGGTTGCTTTATGGAAGCGATTTCCCTTTTACAAGACATGCGTCGGCGATGATTCTTGCGAATAAGATGAGGGATGGATTGGAAGAGTTGTTTAGCGAGCAGGAAAGGGGGGCGATCTATCAGGGCAATGCTGAGAGGTTTCTGCATGAGAAGGCGTGAGAGAACAATACTATGAAGATAGAGCTAACATGGCAATAGTGAACGAAGAGAATATGAACATCTAATAATACTGTCGCGTAGTCTATATGTACTTGTAAGGGTTCAAAATACCGTTCTGGGAGATGGTTAGTACTTGCAAGGCACGAAAAGGAAGACAACATACCGGATCATACAGGTTTTTGATCTGCTTCATGAGCTTGATCATTGTCTCATTCTTACTGTACCCAACATATGGCTTCTTGCTGACGCCTAGCCCGTGCTCAGCACTGATGCTACCGTTCCTCTTCGACGTCCACTCATACAGATAAGGCTCGAGCGCTTTCTCTACAGTCTTGTCGAATCTCCGGACGGGCACATTCAGGTGGAGGTTAGCATCGCCCATGTGTCCGTATCCGACAACGTCTACAACGGGATGATCATCAGTCTCTCCAAGGAGACCATCCTTGATCATGCGCTCCCGGATGTCTTCTACTAGATCGTACATCTGCGCGATTGGTATTGAAAGATCATACTTGTAGACACCGCCCCAGTGGCCGAGGCATTCTGTGATGCGTTCACGGCAGGCCCAGAGTTCGGCAACCTGGGTTTGACTCTCGGCCAGAACACCATCGGAGACGACCTCGGTCTCCATGACGTGCTCAAGGAAATTTTGCAATTTCTGTTTTCCGTCAGTGCCACATTGTGATGCAAGAACAAGGCGCATACCTCGCTATCGTGGTCAGTGTTCGAGCCACTGGTTTCTACTAAGCAATAAAATGGGTGGTCCCCTTCCAAAGGCAGCTTTGTACCCGCCACTTCCTTAAGGATCTTTTGGGTGCGGCCATCCATCATCTCGAATGCGGACAGGATTTCGCCAAGATATCCCTTTGCAGCGATAAAGGCCTTCTGCGCGTGCTCGTAGCTCTCCAAGCCAAAGTAGGCCACGTTTACAGCAGGTGAGCGTCGAGGACATTGAATCGAGATACCGGTAATAATGCCAATTGTCCCTTCAGAGCCAATGAAGAGTTGCTTGATATCGTACCCCGTGTTATTTTTTCGGAGCTGTGAGAGATCATCGATGATGGTGCCGTCGGGTAGGACAGCTTCAATACCCAGCACACTGCCGTGGAGACTGCCATATCGGAGCAAGCGGAGGCCACCAGCGTTCGTTGAGACGTTGCCACCAATTTGGCATGAACCTTTCGCGCCAAGGTCGAGAGGAAAGATGTGTTGCCTCTCGGCCAGGTAGTTGTCGGCGACTTCGAGAATGACACCAGCATCTGCGACAAGAATACCCGAGACCTCGTCGAACGACCTGATGGTGTTCATCTTTTGCAAGTTGAGCACAATTTCGTCGAAGACCGGGACTGAACCTCCGACAAGGCCGGTATTACCTCCCTGAGGAACGACAGCGAGCATGTTGTCATTGCAGTACTTGAGGATGTCGCTCACTTCCTCCTTGTTGGAAGGCTTCAGCACCAATTGCGCGTGGCCGCGGAACTTGCGCATCCAGTCGCTGTTAAAGGGCTCAATGTCTTCGGTGGCATCCTTGGTTACTCCGTTTATCACAGCAGAGTCAGAGCCGAGCAATTCCTGGAAATACTGGACATGCTTCTCGCTGAGCTTTGCAAATTTGGACTCTCGTTGGATGTGAGGATACCTTCACAAGTTAGATTTATATTTTCGAGATTGATTCAGAGCATTTGGAACGTACGAATCGGATGTAAATTTAATGGATTTGGAGGGAGCTGGTTCATCCTTTACACCACCTTTTGCATCTGGCTGATGGGGTTCCGAACTCGCTGAAGTTGTTGCTTCTGACTTCCATCTCATCTGTAGGGCAGGCCTGACATTGTTTATACACGGAAAAGGTCGCGGCGACAACGCTGCACGTCGCAAAGAAGCGGCGACGCGCGAAGAGGCGACCATGATTTCACGATTGCAGATGAAAGAGAACAGTGGGGGAACTGCTTCGAGGTCGCGGACATAAATTCAATGACCATGACCTAACCCGGCAGGGGTGGCACGAGCCTGCGCTTGGCGCTCTAGGTGGAAGCGACGACGCGGAAGCTCTCACAGCTCGGACTCTGCTATACAATCCACCCCGCCGCCTATATCACCCATCCTATTTGCAATTTTCCTTTCGACCACTTGCCTCCGCCCTCTCTCGAGCTCTCCAACCACCCTTCACATCATTCGTTATGGCATCGGGCTACGATCGCGCGCTCTCAGGTAACCTTCCGCTTGTGGATGGCGGGCAAGCTAATAGCTAACCTGTGAACAGTCTTCAGTCCCGATGGACACGTTTTCCAGGTTGAGTATGCGCTGGAGGCTGTCAAACGAGGTATGCTGGAGCACATGTTGCTATGACCAATGCAACAGTAGTAATGTTTGGGCAGGTACATGCGCCGTGGGCGTCAAGGGCAAGGACATCGTAGTGCTAGGATGTGAGAAGAGGTCGGCGATGAAGCTGCAGGATACGCGGATTACGCCCTCCAAGATTGGTCTCGTTGATACCCACGTCGCCCTTGCCTTCGCCGGACTGAACGCCGATGCTCGTATCCTCGTAGACAGGGCCCGCCTGGAAGCACAATCACATCGCTTGACAGTCGAGGACCCCGTGTCAATAGAGTACATCACCAAATACGTAGCCGGTGTGCAGCAGAGGTACACACAGAGTGGTGGTGTGCGACCGTTCGGTATCAGTACGCTGATCGTCGGTTTCGACCCCAACGATAAGACGCCGCGGCTGTACCAGACCGAGCCTTCCGGCATCTACTCGGCATGGTCAGTCTATAACTTTGGCAGCACAGAGGTGGATATTGAAAGCTGACTCTCCGCAGGAAAGCGAACGCTATTGGCCGCTCGAGCAAGACGGTGCGCGAATTCCTCGAGCGAAACCACAAGGACGATCTGGACCGGGAAGAGACGATCAAGCTGACGGTCAAGTCACTGCTTGAGGTGGTGCAGACTGGTGCAAAGAACATTGAGATCGCCATCATGGCGCCGGGCAAGTCGCTTGAGATGCTGCCGGTGGAGGACATCGAGAAGTACGTGGAGAACATCAACACGGAGAAGCAGGAGGAGGCTGCGAACAGGAGGCCGGGTCGTTCAGGTCAAGCCTCTATTCCGACACGGCCTGCTGGGGAGGGTTCAGGATCAGGAGCATAGAGGGTATGAACAGCCACGACAAGGAAAACGATTTGGCGCATGAAACAGCATTGGCGTCTGGTAGACTTCCCAGATCGTATACGACAGATACGACCAGCTAGTGCTTCAAATGGCATAACTAGCATATAACTCCTTTCCACCTCGCCTGTCGCGGAGCGGGTCTTGCACCTCCCATTCGCCTTCAGCGTCTTTAATGTGCCAAGCTACAACCTTCGAATGCGCGACTTTATGGACATTGGAGGTAGATAGTGTCAGAAACAGTTGTTTCACTCGTGTGGCGATCGTCATAGTCTCGTTGGGTATCGTCTCTTAACCCAGCCTGTCGGAGGCGTCCTTCACGTTGAATATCGAGCGATCTTCCTCGACACGAACACGGTCATCCTTGAGCATTCTGCTATGGATCAGCGTTGTTCTTTCCAGTGCTTCCTGTTACTGACCTCGCATCCTTCCGCACATCCTCGCCCTCAACCTGGAGTTTCGCCTGAGGGGTCAAGGCATCGAGGACGAAGTGGTTGTCGCAGTGCGGGCAATATTCGTCGCTGTCACCTCAGCATGCTAACTATATATCTCATTCGCGTTGGTGGCCTACGCATCCTCAAATTCGCGTGAATCTTTGCGGAAGGCCTTTTTGCACTTTTTGCAGACAAAGGTCATCTCGAAGCTCTGCATCAGATCATGGTCGGCCGCCTCGTGGTGGCACTCTGCACAGTCGAACCATTTGCGGCCTAAGAAGGATCAATGTAGGAAACCTTGTGAACGTATCGCGTGCACTCACAGCAAGGCGCGCGGATGGCGACCTGGGCGTTGAGGACGTGCTTGCTGCGGAGCATTAGCGGAGGTCATTTGTGGCGGGGCTGGTCGCGCGTGCGTACCACATGTTGAGTCGGTCGGCGTACCACGCGGGCGCGCTCAGGATGTAGGCACGAACGCGTGTGAATGTTGGTGTTTGCTGCTTGTCGGTGGCCTGTTTGAGCGTCGCGGGGCGAGTGTTTACAGGGTCTGGCTAAAGTGTGCGTCGGAAATGCAGGAACCCAGGGCGCTGTCAACGGGGGTCGGTGGACCAGAGCCTCTGCCTGGCGACGTCAGCCACACTCGACTTCGTAAGATGGGTGGATGGGCACCACCGAGCACATTCCTCTCTCACACTTCGCAGCATCGCTCGCAAACAGTCCAGTCGCTCCGGCACGCCCAGCAGCCCCAGCGCGTTTGCTGTGCTGGCTCTGAAACGGCCATCCCAGGCGTCCCCCGCCTCAGACAGTGTTCCCTGCTGTCGACCATCTCCATTCCTAGACCCACCGATCACCGCTTGCACGCACTTTGACGACTCGGTGCCCCTCGTCCACACACAAGTTGTCGCTCACTACACGTATACGCCCGTTTACCTCGCCCATTGCGGCCGCTGAAGCACCTCCGCGCCGCATGAAGATCCCCCGCCCAAGGGTCCTCACATTTTCAAAGCACACCGTCGGCGCTCAATGGGAACGAAGCCTGGACAGTCGATGAGCATCCACAACGCAGAACCTGGCGCCGGTTGACGAGGAGCGCCATGGAACCCTCAAACATTGAGGAGAAGACGGACGGCTCGTCCATTGTGAGTGCTTCCCCGCTACATAGCTCCAAGCTCTTGCCCTCCTGCCACATGGTTCTTCAAGATGTACTAGACAGGAAAAGAACATTGCAGCAAACGACTAAAGTATTACGAGCATCCTCTAACTGGGAACAGAAACCCGTGTCGTCTCTCCGCAGCTTTTTCGAAAACAATCTCACTTCGAACAGGTCCCCAGCGCCCGCAAGCCCTCGACAACCATCGCCCGTCGCCGTCGACCGGCTAGCTGTAGCGGAGGATAGCAGGAGGGATGGGCGCATGTCGCTGGATATTGCGCGGCAAAATGGCGGGCGGCATTCAACGTCGAACTTGCTCGACAGCAGCGGGACAGGTCCTGCTACGCCGCGGGGGAGGAGTATGCGGTCACCGTGGAGCGTACCCAAATCGCGCCCGACATCCATGGTAGCTTTCTCGCCGCCGAGATCGCCGCCGAGATCACCGCCCAAGGTGTTAATCAATTCGCCAGCATCCCCTCCGCCCAATTCACCCGCCCCGCAAATCCACTCGCCGCTCCCTTCACGAACTTCCTTCCATGCATCGATGGATACTTCCTCGCAGAGTCCAGTAACCTCGAATGGCACGAAGTCTTCAAAGATACCCAGTCGGGATAATACTCCTGCTATACCGTTAGACTCAAAACCGGTTCCTTTTCCAGTCCATGCCACAAGTCCAAATGTGGAGTCGCGCAAGAGTGGTGTGTTCGACCGACATAACATTTCCGCGGCGCCCATTCCACCTCCTGTCAATCGCGCTGGCAAACCCAAGATACTCGGAAAATCGCACTCCGTGGAGCCACCTCCAAGGTCATCTTCGCTTGCACCGATGGATGTATCGGAAAGAGAAAGGAAAGATGTGTCGCCCTTCAGCACACCACCCAGCAGCCCTGAGAAACCACCTTCGCCTACAAAGGATCCAAGTCCGCCAAAGCGCTTCACTACACCCAGGGATGGATATTTTCCGCCACCTCCCGTACATCACGCAGTGGCTGAGAGGCTACCTCCATCGGACCCGCGGACCCAAGGCTTTGCCAATCAGCCGTCTAGAAGCGCCCCTCTTGGGCGACATCAAAGTACAGGTGATATCTCAGCAGATCGTCCCGCTCTACCAGCGCGGAGAGAACGGGACAATGTGGATATGCGCAAAAGTATGATCTTGCAGAGACCGGCAGCCCCTGAGCCGCCTGGAAGGCGATCCATGGACACATTCCGCTCACCTGCCATGGTGGCGGAGACCACTAATAAGTTCAAGCCATCTCCGAGAAGAACGCAGACGACGGACCTGTTTTCGACCGCCACCGCAGAATCACGCAAGGCTCTTGAACCTCCCAAACCCCCTCCACCACGGAACTCTGGAGAGTTTAGACGGCCGCCTCCCGCTCCTACACCTGCACAGCCGCGCAAAGTATCGCAGCCGTACAGCTACGACTCGGACGATACCGACACCGCAAACGAGAAGGCAGGTGCTGCTCTGACCGATTATCCAGACTCCTCACAAGCCAATCGCCGACCGCCCGTCTTTGATGCCGGAACTTCGTTGATTCCAACAGGCTACGAGACCAAGTTATTCGCGATATGTGGCGAATACATATGTACGACCGGTTACGTGACCAACGTATGGAATGTGCTAAATGGCAGGCTTCTCATGAGCATCAGTCACGGTGATACGGTGAAAGCTACTGCGGTCGCATTTCGGCCTGCAAAAGAAGTGGAAGACGAAGGCAAACGTCTTTGGCTTGGCATGAACACTGGCGAGATGCACGAGATCGACATCCCGACTCAAAGTGTTGTTTGTACGAAGAGCTCTGCACACAAAGGCGCTCCCGTTGTGAAGATATTCCGCTACTCATCCGAAATGTGGTCGTTGGACGACGAAGGTAAGCTTCATGTCTGGCCACCGGATGAGACAGGATCCCCAACTCTTCAACAAACACCGTGCCCATTTCGCATTCGTAGCGGACATACCTTCTCGATGATTTCAGGATCACAGCTCTGGATAGCTTTTGCCCGGGAATTGCGCGTTTACAAACGGACTGGCGACGGCAACTATTTCCAAGAACTGACACAAGGAGGCTTATCACAATTGAACGTAGGCGACGTCACTTCGGGCGCCATCCTGAGCAGCCAACCGGACCGTGTCTATTTTGGACATAATGATGGGAAAATCACGGTTTATGCCAAAAAGGGCTTTGAGTGCCTGGGCGTAATAAACGTGAGCCTATACAAAATTAGCTCTCTGGTGGGTGTTGGCGACTATTTGTGGGCTGGGTATAGCACAGGCATGGTCTATGTCTACGACTTAAGTTCTACGCCTTGGAAAGTGATGAAGGACTGGAAGGCCCATGAAAAGGTCATATTCGGGATCTTAGCCGATAGGACAAGTATCTGGAAGTTGGATCGCCTTCAGGTCGCGACATTGGGCTCTGACAACATCCTGCGCATTTGGGATGGCATGATGAAGGAGGATTGGCATGGTACGTATCTGAGGCTCAACGGGAAGAGAAAGGCTAACAGGTGTAGAAACTCAAATGCAGCAGCGTGACTCCGAGTACTGCGAATTCAGAGAATTGACAGCCAAGGTTATGACCTGGAATGCCGGCGCATCCAAACCCACTGAGCTAAGACATAATGAGCAAGATCAAAACTTCTTCCGGGAGCTGCTACAACCCGAAGATCCTCCGGATATTCTTGTATTCGGTTTCCAGGAGCTGGTAGACCTGGAGAACAAGAAGATCACAGCCAAGAGCTTCTTCAAGAAGAAAAAGTCGAAAGAAGCGAACGAACAGGAACACATGTCCCATCAGTACCGAGCGTGGCGCGACCATCTCATTCGTGTCCTGGATGAATTCTGTCCCCGTCAAAACTACACCTTACTCCACACAGCAAACCTGGTGGGCCTCTTCACCTGCATCTTTGTAAAGGGTTCCGAACGCACCAAGATCCGCGATGTCAGCGCTGCTGAAATCAAACTTGGCTTCAGCGGCCGTGTGGGAAACAAGGGCGCATTGGTAGTCCGTTTCCTAATCGACGATTCATCTCTATGCTTTATCAACTGCCATCTAGCGGCTGGACAGTCGCAGACACAACACAGAAACAATGATGCGGCCTCAATTATGGAAGCAGCGCCTTTGCCGCGAAATCGGTCTCCAAAAGATTGCACGAACTTCTTCGTTGGCGGCGGCGACGGCTCCATGATACTCGATCACGAGATATGTATCCTCAACGGCGACCTTAATTACCGCATCGATTCCATGACGCGCGATTCGGTCGTTTCCGCAGTGAAACAGGGCAACCTCGCTAAACTCCTCGAACGCGATCAGCTCCTGCTATCTCGCAAGCGGAACCCTGGACTAAGACTGCGCGCCTTCAACGAAGCGCCCATCACCTTCGCGCCCACTTACAAGTACGACGTTGGAACCGATACATATGACACTTCCGAGAAGAAGCGCTCGCCTGCGTGGTGCGATAGGGTGCTTTACCGCGGTTTGGGCAAGATCAAACAAACTGAGTACCGCAGGCATGACTGCGTCAAGGTCTCAGATCACAGGCCTGTGAGCGGGAAATTCAAGTTGAGGGTCAAGACTATCAATACGAAGATGCAGACGGCAGTGGGCGATAAAGTAGAGGTAGAATTTGAGGCCGTGAAGAGGAGGATCGCGGGAGATATCAAGTGAGTTTGTCCGGTGTCACTGATTGGGAAGATTGCTAACCTGATGCAGGCTCGATTACCTTATTAATGTGTTTGGATTAAGTGCTAAGGAGGCACAAAAGCTATTGCAAGGAGCGTAGGGTTGACCCGTCAGCCTTCTCGAGATACCACATTCATAATATTGATTGAGCGCTGTTGTAGTACTTCTAAGCATCTGCATTGGTGAGGTAGCCTTATTTGCGAAGTTCAATGAATTGAAAACTGTTGATCCATATACTGTGCCTAGGTCGCGTGCCTAGGGGTCTGGTGTAAGCCACAAACATGCAAGACGAAAAAGCGATCTTCAGAATTGCATATGCGCGGATCATCGATATTGCTACGCGTTGCGATGTCATGTGTTAGCGTGGAATCATGGTGACGTCAATCACGCGTACCGCCAAAAGCACCTGCCATACCAACGAGAATAAAACCACCATTGCGTCCACAGCACAAACAACGTACAGTTTAACCTTCTCTAGAAAAAAGTACACATATGTCCTTCCCTTCTTCAATCGCCCTCCGTCGCCTGCCGCTAACGTGCACCTCGTCAGCACTCCCACGCGCCCGTCTCTTAACCGCACACCTTTCTCACAACACGCGATCTTTTGTTCCAACCGCCAGAATGGACAAAAACCAGGCCCGCGGCGAGTCAACGACAGGAATCAGCGAGTGGAAGCAGCGGCCGCCGTACCGTGTACACGAGCCCAACGAGCACTTCGATGCAAAGTATGAGGCCAACTGCCACTGCGGGAAGGTCAAGTACCAGCTGAGCAGGCGGGAGCCACTGGACAGCAAGCTCTGCCATTGCACGACGTGCCAGACGCAGCATGGTATGCCTCATTTGCCTCAACCCCTCTTCTTTTCTCTTCCTTCCGAAAATGGGTGCTGATATAGTGTAGCCGCGCCCTTCCAATGGGCCGCCATCTTCCACAAAACCGACATAAACTTCACCAATGGTCACCACGAACTCGAGTGGTACGACCCCACGGACAAGTCCATCGAGCACAAGCTACCCTGCAAAGTGCGCTGCTCGTACTGCCATTCTCCCATCATGGATGAGGGCCGCAACATGATACTCCTATTCCCTTCTCTTATTCATCTTAAGACCGACGAGGACAAAGCGTTCTTCAAACCACGTTGCCATATGTTTTATGGGCAGAGGGTTATGGATATCCCGGATGGACTGCCCAAATGGAGTGGACTCAGCGACTCTAGCGATTTGATTGAGGATAGTCCGCCGGAGAGAAGGTCAAGGAATTAGAGAGGAAGAGGGAGGAGGAGAGGTCGAAGAGGTTCGAGAAGGGAGAGAACGAGTGAGGTGTTGAGGCAGTGAGAGAATCAGGGCGTGCATGGTGTCAACGATAAATGGTCGACTATTCCGGGCCGCGAAGGAGCATGCATGGGCTGCCGTGGTATCGGACGATGATGGTATGAATAAAGGGCGTGGTACGCACTTCGAAGAGGGTGGTGCGGTAGCACGGCCTTTCATATGTCCAATGAAGACATTCAGGTACTCACCTCAGACATGTTACGTCATTCACGATCAATACCTCTTCACCAGAACTCGCTGAGAGAGGCCTAGAGCTCTCCAATATGCTCTATACATGGTATAATATAATGCCCAAGAACCTCCAAGCCTTGTGGGAAAAAAACTCCTGACTTTGCACGCGCATGTTTCTCTTCAAACGTTATACACCACCTCCGCCACCATTCTCCCCAATATCTCCTCAACCTTCCGCATCCTCCCGGTTAGCCCCGCCAAATCCTCTTTCGCCTTGACAAGCGCTTCGTCTCGAGTATACCCTGCGGTAGTATATACTTCTGCAACATCAGTCACGTTTAGCGCTGCAGCAGCATCCCGACCTTCCTCGATATCCTTCTTGATGGTTTCGCTAAGCGCTTTGAGCTGTATGCCAGCATTTTCGCGCTCAGAACGTACGAGGCCATTCTTGAATTCGTAGTGGAGGTCCACGACGCGCAGCAACAACTCGTGTATGCGGTCGGTTATTTGATCAACTTTTTGGATGGTGGCCAGGGGTGGTTTCGCCGCGAAAGGTCCGCATCTTTGCTTATGTTGTATTGTCGGTCTGTTTAGTAGTCGATTTGTTGTCCTTAAATTTGCGAAGCTGCTCTTAGAAAGGAAAATGTAATTTCCAGAATCAGGGGTTGTAGATTGCACTTTTGCTTCACCAAGGCGGGCTATGAAGTCGCGACGTGAAGTGTGATCTAGATGTCATTGCCCTGTCTCGGACACTGCAGAGAATTTGCGCGTGGTATTGACGAAGTGAAGTGACTCACGGATCACTGTGTAAGTATAAATCATACAAGACGATGTGGATAGCGCATAAATTCAAATGAGATTCGGAAAGGCATCTATGCAATATCAACAGCCGACGCTAGGTCCCACTCTCCATGAGTTCAGATGTTGCAGTGCGCGAGAACCGAATGACTTCTGAGTGTCTCCTTCCCGCCTCTTCCTCTGCTCAAATTTAGTCTCGCTCAGACGTCTCAAGGCCCTGAATTAGGACCCGCTCCAGGCGAACCCCGGCTCGCACGCATCCTTGAGCATCTGCATCAGGTCCTCTCGAACTCCGTCATGCTGGCACGTCCTCAGCAAGTATCCCAACCTGTTCTCCACGTCCGTCCACATACTCTGGACTTCCTCGACCTTGATCCCAGCATATCTTTTGTTCTTCCCCGCAAGAACTTGCTTGTGTTTCTTGAAGATCTTCTCCCGGCGGTCCAAGAAGTGAATGACAGCATGTGGGAGAGCGGTGCGCTGCTCCCGCCGGCTGAGTTGGGTTTTGAGCTTCTCTTTTTCCACATCGTCCCGGAGCTCACGGAGAGCTTCGAAGGCATCAGCGGCGTTGGAAAGGGGTGTAGGGTCATGCTGGAGAGAGAGGTTGGCAAGGGCGGTTATGGCGGCGTCGTTTTCGGAAGCCATCGTGACGGTGTGGTTTACAAAGTTGTATATAGCAAAAGTGATGAAGTATGAAGCGGCGCGAAGGCTTCTCGTAAGGGCTTTATCAAGGCGAGCGGTAGTTTGCGTTGGCTTAGTTTGCTCTTTCACATACGCGCTTCTCGGTGCCTCAGTGAAGTTGATTTGCAAGTTGAATCTCATACGTTTGTTAAGTCCTTCAACCGTTCGCGACGCTCCGTGGCCACACTGGGCTTTCTAGAGACAATATGAAGAGACGTGACCCTAAGTGTTCGAATCCCATGAAGGGCCTCTGCAAATGACTCGGAACAGAACTATTCGTTTGACCTGCTAATAATATGCGCATGCCGGCCATGCAAAATCAGCGCAGGTTCTTGAGAGCCAGAACCTCCGCGGATAACTTCGTGACAGATTGAGTTCATTTGAGAAGCGTCGACTCGGTGAGGCTATCGATTGGAAGTAGTTTTTCAGGGGAAACTACATAGTTTGAGGGGCTCATAGAGCTTGTAGAAGTGATTCATGTTGAGTTGTGTACCTTCGAGAATTGTGGAGAGGCTTTCACGGATGTTGACTGCATTTTCTCAACGATGTCAGTATCTTTAGATTTGATTTAGTAGACGCCGAACTGTAGTCTACGTCGCGCAAAGGCTGGTGCAAGTGTAATTCCAAGTTATTCACGAATTACACTCTCCAATCGCTTCTATAAGCTAGACAACCATGTGTATTACATATGTCGTAGACTCGTTGGTCTGAACAGGAGGCGAGTATTGATGTTGACATAGAGTAAATGCTTACCTAGTCATGCCTTCAATACTATATAGCAAACGAATATTCGTATATCGACCAAATTCGTAGATTGATGTTGCATATGCAGTGACATTAGGAACGAAGTGGAAACAACAGTCCTGCAAGGAAGTCGCGGTGCCAATCGGTTGTGGGTACGAGCCAGGTACCCCGCACGCTACTCCATACAACACCAGATCTAACCCGAGCAAAATAAACTTTAGCTTTGCCCGCCAGTCAAGGAAGCACGGAAGCTTCTGAAAAGGGTACCAGATGGGCATTCTACCAGACTGTACCGCGGCGCAGCAGGTCCGCTGCCCGAATATGCACGCAATGCCTAGTCGCGATACCAAGATGACGATAGCGCAACTCTGCATAGCCGGTGCTCTTTCTGTTTAAGATCGTGACAGCTGATTGATGGAATAGCTTCACACTAGGTCCGACAGCACAACATTGCCACATGTATAAATCCTGATGGCTTGGTGTTGAGTCAGTAGTATGGCTGTTGGCGAACTTCAAAACAATGATCATGCATTGTCTTCCTCTAGCACTACTCATAGGAACGTTGGCCATGGCGGGTGTGGGACACACAGCGCCTGCTACAGAGGTTTCTAGTAGCAAGAGACGGGAATACATCAATCCGATCATACCAGGATGGAACTCTGACCCCAGTTGTGTTTTCGTTAAAGAGCATGACAATACGCTCTTCTGCACGACTTCTTCTTTTCTCGCCTACCCTGGGGTTCCGGTGTATGCTTGCAAGGACTTTACCAATTGGAAACTCGCTTCCCACGCCATTGCCCGCCCCGATCAGCTTCCCGAGCTCGCCACGAGCGGTGGAGGACCAGGGCAGCAAAGCGAGGGTATCTGGGCTTCGACAATTCGATACAGAAATGGAACGTTTTATCTGATCACGAGTTATAATAACTGGCGGCCATGGAGTCCTAAGATTCTCTTATTCAGGACGACGGATCCGTTCAAAGATGGCTGGGAGGGCCCGTTGAGGATGGAAGACCCAGGCGACGATATTGACCCCGACCTGTTCTGGGATGACGATGGAAAGGCCTACGTATCTGTCGCTGCTGGTATTTATATCTGGGAAGCAGATCTCACGACGGGAAAAGCTATCGGCGATACGTTCAAAGTATGGAATGGAACAGGTGATCGGAACCCGGAAGGACCACATTTATACAAGAAAGACGATTTTTATTATCTGCTCATTGGTGAGGGGGGAACTGAGACAAATCACTCAGTCACAATCGCTCGCTCGAAAAGCATCCGAGGGCCATACGAGGGCTACGAAAAGAACCCGATCTTGACAGCCAAGAACACCGACAATTACTATCAGACGGTTGGCCATGCTGATCTGTTCGAAGACGCCTCAGGAAACTGGTGGACTGTTGCTTTGAGCACTCGATCCGGTCCTGAATGGCTCAACTACCCCATGGGACGCGAGACCGTTCTGACACCTGCGACATGGAAGAAAGGCGAATGGCCAGTCATCGAACCTGTCCGCGGGAAACAGTCTGGTCCACTACCACCAATTAACAGAAAAGTCCCCGGAAGTGGACCTTGGATAGATGAGCCTGATGTTGTAGATTTCAGACCCGGAAGCGCACTTCCACGTCAGTTTGTCCACTGGAGAATCCCAAAAGAAGACCTTTTCACCATCTCCCCGCCTGACCATCCAAACGCCTTGCGCATGTCTCCTTCCCGGGTCAATCTCACATCTGACGCAACTTACCAACCTACTGAAGAAGGTCTTGGTTTCATAGCGCGCAAGCAGACCAGCACAAAATTCTCCTTCAGCGTCAATCTCTCTTTCAAGCCTACGACAAGCAGCGGTGAGGCAGGTATCACTGTATTCCTCACACAATTGCAACACATTGATCTCAGCATCGTGAACCTTCCAGGCAGCTCAGACAATAAGACTCTCGCGCCCCATTTGAAATTCGGCGTCGAAGCGTCTGGGAAACCTAACGAGACGGTCCCAGAAACAAACACAATCCCCATCCCGCGATCATGGCTTTCACATCCGATAAACCTGAAAGTCGAGGCTGTGGATGAATACAAGTACGTTTTCTCGGCTGCGTCTACGAATCATGCATCGCAAGTCGTCCGCGTGGGTGATGCGGATGCAACTATTGTATCCGGAGGAAGTGGGCCGTTTACAGGTAAGTTGTGGAGACTCAAAGAAGGATTTGCGAAGCTAATTCTGACAGGTACACTCGTTGGTGCCTTCAACACTAAGAATGGCAACGAAGCTGAAACTGCCCCTGCGTACTTTAGTCGATGGATATACACTCCAATCGCGCAAGCGGTTGACGAGGGAGTCTACGTCTCGGCGTCTCACAACTAGATCGTAAATGATTGGCATAAAGAAACAATGATATAATCAAGCTCTTGTAACGCCATTGCGGCCTCTGCATCTTTTTACTAGATGGAATATGAAGATCAGCCATGCAAAACCGCCCGATCCCCCGTAGTCCACAGAATCTGGAACCCCCACTTCTTGATCTTCCAAAGCCCATCACTCTCATCTCTCACAAGTTCAATATCATACAAGGATGACGCGGTGTACGAAGTATCCTCCACCTTCAGCGCATCTTCCTCTCGCATGTGGTACGAGATCGCATGCGCCGTTAAGGACGCCGTATCTACGCCGTCTGGCACTTCAACGCGGATATTGCTGATGACGTGTGTGGTGACTATGTGGAAGACGCGCTCGAAGAACTCGCTGATTGCAACCCAGCCTTGGACGACGGTTGGGCCGACGGCGATGGTCATGCTTTCGGTTTTCAAGCATGCTGATTCGAAGAGGGTGCGGTCGTTGCTGTCGATGCCGCGGACGCAGCGGTAAATAGCATCAGCGATGGCTTCGCGAGGGCTCAGTGATGTGAGGGCGGTTGGAAGGGGCATTGTGTGAGGTGAAGTACAAGATACTAGCGTAGAGGACAAAGTGAGATTTGTTCAAATTGAAGAGACTCCTATCTTGCGTTGATGACGCCTTATATCTGATTTTCAATTCAAGCTAACATGAATTGAGCCCTGGGTTTACCTTATTTCGATTCATAGTATCTTGCAGCTGAGAGGGCCGCTCGGATTTGTTGTGCGCTGATTGGTCGCACAATCGTGCCTATGGTAGTAAGACTCCACTTATGCAAACCAGTACACTCACTGCTGTTCCGTCAGGCGGTGTTGTGTGGTTTTACGCCGTTTGGGGCCGCCCCCTCGCTCTTTAAAGTTCTCAGTCAGCAGGTGAACAGTTTGCGTGGCGGCGATGAGGTTTTCACAAGCAGTTGCGCCTCTTCCTATTAGCTCTTTGCGTGTGGCGAGTCAAGCGGTCACTGTGTTTGCCGATTCGGCTGCTGAAAGCCTGTCCAGGACAAGGCTCTCTAGACACGTTGTACTTTCCAGTCGAATGTGTGGGGTGTGTTTTCTCCTTGTTCATGGATCAAAGGTGGCTCAAGTAAAGGACCATGTCGCATTGTATATAACAGAACAAAGGACCAACCCCACGATTGTTGTGCAGTCCTGATCTAAGTTCAAAATACTGCTCATGCAACAACGTGTTCATATTTGACCAAGATCGGAACATTTGGGTTTATGTAAAGGTGAAAGCGGGACGAAGGAAAATTTGAATCATGGGATCCTGAGAGCATCTCAGGCAAATGTCTACATCTCAGAAATATTTCACTTCGGGGAATTCGCTTTTCTCGCAGCTGCCCGATAATAGCGACGCTCATCTGTTGTGAGTTTGTAAGCACTTTCAACGTGCCGATTCAGCGAGTTCCCCGCAGGGATGACCGAATCGCCGTCGGAGCGAGCAGCTTCCGATATCAACAAAGCCGCGGCATCCCATTTGCGAGCCGCTGATTGGCTACAGGCTCCACTATATAGCACAAGTCCACATCGCAATTGAAGAGATCAGCAAGAGCCAACAACATCTCTTCACAATTTCAGCTTCCGAATTCACTTGTGTTCGTTCTCTCAACAATGGCGAAGCTCACAGTCCACCACCTCCAAGTCGGACAGGGAGAGCGCATCCCTTTCCTCCTGGAAGAACTTGATATCCCATATGAGATCAAGCTCTACCAGCGCAACCCTTTTTTGGCACCGCCAGAATTGAAAGAGAAGCATCCAATGGGTGCATCTCCGCTCCTAGAGGACGCTACTTCTGACCCAGAGAATCCGCTGCTTCTCGCCGAGTCGGGCGCTATTGTTGAATATGTTATCAACAAATATGGGAACGGTCGACTTGCCCTACCACCTTCGCATCCGAACTACGCCGACTACCTGTACTGGCTTCACTTCTCAAATGGCAACCTGCAGCCCACTATTTTCCGCAGATTCCAGGCGCGCATGTTTGGAATCGACCCTGCGGATCAGCGCTTCCAGGGTACTGACGAACGTGTTAAGAGGGCCGTGGGCCACCTTAACAAGCGTCTCGAATCGAACGACTACCTGGCCGGCGATGAATTTACCGCGGCGGACATAATGACAACGTGGTGTTTCACTACGATGCGCAGATTTGAGCCCTTGGACTTGACCGACTATCCCGGCATTTTGGCATGGCTGAAGAGGGTCACAGCACGACCTGCTTATCAAAGAGCGATGAAGAGGGGCGACCCCGATGAGGATCTCGAGAAGGCAATCAGTGCTGAGGGACCACCGCGGTTTGTACCTAAGTCGTAAGCCGCTCTCCCATGATACTCCGTACGTGGGTTGATGAGCGCAGGAAGCAGAAGCTATAAGCTCGAATCTGTAGATCAAACCTCTGCTTACAGAAGTTTACCGAATTCAAGTCTCTCCACGCTGGTCTTCGTAATATGTGTGACATCGTGTCTGACTCAGTAGTGCTTTTACCTGCAATTGGTAGGCAATGAGGTACTTAGGAGGTGGGATGGCTCGCTTTGCATGTTGCCCAGATTTGAACCCTTTTATCTGTTTCAAGGCTCTCTAAGAGTGCAGCTTACAAAAGCGGCATTTTAACATTTCGAAGTTACAAAGTAGCTCTTGCTATAATTCCCCATCCGATATCATCTGATGAGGCACTTTGCGCACGTAAATCTGATGGTGCAGTAGCGAAAGTTGATCCTTCAGCCTGCTCCCTTTTCGGAAAGCGACCCCACTTTTGCCGGTGCCTCCCTTAAATCTCCTACCAAAACTCACTACCTCCGCCATGCTTCCATCGCTCTTCTCGCGCGAAGCGGAAACACAATGCTAAGAGCCATGCACTACAGGGTTGCAGTGCGACTGGAGGATGGTAGCCAGTGCGCATCCGAGCTCGGCATAGCCCCGCGATGAATAGATGAAGAGGCCGATCTAACGGCTGCGAAGGATGCGCAGTGCCGAATGTTTGCTGTGCTGCATGACCGTGCTCTACTGCTCGAATTGCGGACTTTTTAAAGTACCTTGATATCCGGTGTCTGATTGATCTCTACATCCAGTCGTTCACTCTCTGCTCGTCAATACCTTTCATCGCCATTTTCTTCACTTATCATGGCTTTCATCAAGACTCTGGGCACATGTGCCTTGACTTTCAGTCTGCTGGCCAGCCCAATCTCTGCTTGTAACTTTATCTGGGCTGGCAAACCGATCGCGACTAACTTTCATAGCTCTGAACGGTACCATCCCTCAGAAATACGGCATCGTCATGTTCCGCGCCTTTGATACCACAGATATCACCGCACCGCTGGAAGTCCTGAATTTCATAGGCCTTCTGTATAACACTGAAGTTGCTTTGATATCGGAGACGCTGGACCCCGTCTCAACCCAACCTCTGACAATGAACCCAAAGAATTCGTCTGTGTGGACCTCTTTCACCCCCACACATACCTTTGAGACGGCCCCTGAAGTAGATGTCCTGATCGTGCCTGGTGGTCCTGGTGCACGGAATCCGAACAGTGAGTGACACCTACATACAATGTCGAAGTCATGTAACTGACTTGCTTCCGCGTTTAGTGACAGCCGTGTGGAACTACATCGCAAAAGCGGCACCCAAGACTAAACACGTCCTCAACATCTGCACAGGGTCTGGTGTTTCGGCGAAGGCTGGTATCATGAACGGGAGAAAGGCGACGACAAACAAGGCAGCATGGACGACGATCACCGCCTATGGTCCGAACACGACCTGGGTGCCGAAGGCTCGTTGGGTAGAGGACTACTCGGCTGAGCCTCCGATCTGGAGTTCGTCTGGCGTAACATCTGGATTCGATATGTTGCTTCAGTTTGTGGAGAAGATCTACAGTCTGCAGAATGCAACGTACATCTCGAACCTCATCGAGCATGTCAGGATCACCGACCCGAACAACGACCCTTTCGCTGTCAACATCAATGGAACAGCTGCCTGAACCTAAGTGTGCGCGAAACCTACGGAGTGAGATATGGGCGGAATTCAACGAGCAAGGGCATGTATACCAAAACTGACCACGTACAATGCGTGCAAGACACTTATATTCTTAACATGCAACTTTCACCAGTCCCAGATCCGATCCCGCTGCCGATTCACATGACCATGATCGCTTGCACTCTGCCAGCTTTCACAAGTGAAGCCACGCTAGAGACACTCACCGCGCAGTATACATCACCCCGATACAGGGACCCGATACCATATCTACCCCTTCCCCTTAACTTCACACTGTAGCACCACCGCCGTCGGCTCAGACTTCTGAAGAGTGCCTCAACTTCAGTAACGTCGACTCCTTTCAACCTGCTGGTTCCATCCTCTCGACACTCACGCAGCGCGACTACAACATGCCCGATAAGACGGGCGAGATCATCGTCCCGTTGCAGCCCCATGAAATCAAAGCCGGACTGAATAACTCTCCGGGCTACCGCCATCATATCTTCCAATGCAGCGGACGTTCCCTCTGGGGCCTTCATCCAATTCCCCTGCGACACCTCGCGATGCTTAGCTCCGACGAGCGGGCAGAGCTTCTGGCTGAATGCGAACAGATCGAACTGAACTGGGATGCGGATGAACCACTAGATGAGAAGTGGCGCTATAAGAAGACTCGTGAGTCGTTGAAGAAGCATTTCGGTTCCGAGATTGGAACAGCGCCTAAGAGCGATCCCAATGGCAAGTCGCCAGACCATGTCCGTCAAGGCCCTCTGAATCACCCTGTCCACGATGCCACGAACCCACCTAGGCATAAGCACCAGGCGCGTCCTGCCTTTGATTCGCGGGCTTCGGAGCGGGATCGTATCCTAGAGCTGATCGGTCCTCGCGATACCACTCAGTGGACCCTGGCCAAGATGTCCCTGAAGACTGCTTCTGAAGAAGAGTTGCTGCGTGCTGCTGAATCATTCAAGACTAGTGCAGATACCATTGAGAAGCGACTGGATTTCCTACCCTTCGTGTTTGATGGTGGGTCCTCAGCAAACTCGTATGAATCACGTCCTAAGGCAACGCACGAGACCACGGCTTCGGCAAGCCCACTTGGGGGCGCGCCTGGAATCTATCCACACAAATCTACCCCTGAGGCTACTTGGGGTAATAAAGTCCAAGATCAGCAAGCTCCGGTCCCTGAGGCCAATAAGGGCAAAATGAAGAGCACCTCTTCCGTCGTCTGTGACGATGACAACGATACTGATACATCCTTATCCGAATTTCAGCTTGCAGTTGCTGCTGCTGCGAATGAAAATCCTCTTAGCGTTTCAAGTTTGATCGCAAACTGGGAAATCAAGCCTTTAACTCCTAAGGCTCCAGCATCTACCAGTGGAGAAGAAGTCTTAGTCGATACTCCAGCTGCTGGTGCTGTCGGCACCACACTTCATCTGGACGACGACGCAGTTACCGTTGAATCCCTGGATTGTCACTCCGATTCTGAAGGCGGCCACTTATCGCACGACTTTTGGGGGATGTCCGATTCTTTCTCCGAGGTCGGTCATGTACTCATTCAAGAGAACGATGAAGATCACAACGAATCGTCTGACTCAGAGATCAAGCTCCCGCATTTAGACGGTCACGGTCCTGGTCCTGACATGATGTCTCAGTCTGGCGAGGGAGATATACATCATTCTACACCCAATGAAAAGGCAGATGCACCATGGTCCGAGAAGACTACTCTTTCGCCCGCCCAATGCTCCGCCTCGGATGATCCTCAAGACGCCGATGAAGAGGCTGCATCTGAAGATGATATTGAAGATACTCCTGCTTCCGTCGCCTCCGATATGGGTTCACGCAAGCATACGGCTTCAGAATCATCCCACACGACGCATCTGTCGCTTGACGAAGGTACGCGTACGCCTGAAGCACCGCTTTTAATAATGCCCACGTTTCCCCTCTCTACCGCCTCAGAAGGCTTGCATGAGGCCATTTCTAATCACGCGGCCCAGGTCCTCCGTAAGTCCAGCCATCGCTTCGTTCGGAAGGTGCCTACGAATGATCGCTCATCTGGGACTGCACCATCTATTGAATCTGCTATTGATCAGGAGCGAACAGCGGATGATGGCACGATTGGCCAGAATGCCACCGAGGGCGCTACTGCTCGTCCTCATCAAGACAGCGAGCATACTACGGAGGGCCACAATGAATATTCATTATCTTTATCTTACGATGAGCATACGCATCACCCTACACCTATCTCCGAGCACCTAGATCCGCCTCCACCTAACAATCTCGGTACACAACTGGCTCAGCATACCTCTCTTACAGTTTCTAATCATGCTCACTCGGAAGACCCAGTTTTCGAAGCCGTGGTCTTTCCTATTGACAATGAACATGAGAATGACGAACTTTATCAAGGCCCTGCCAAGGTGAATCCTGATGCACCCTTATCGCTCGCCTTCAGCGACGATAATGTTGATGATTGGGCCCAAGACCTTGTTGCAACCTTCCATGGTCATACAATCTCGCATGCATCGGTCGATCAGCATGAACGTCCTGCTCTCCCTGTTGAAGAAGCTATACTCATTGTGGACGCTGCTGAGGCTACACCTGAAGAGACTGGTTCCCCCCGATCGGAGCGTGATGAAGGTTCTCCTTTAGGAGAGGCCATTCCGCCTGTCCATATCCCTGGAGCGGTGGACGATGGCGACGTTGCAAAACCGCATATTGATCATTTCGAAGCTCCAGAAGATAGGCCATTTGAGGCGCAATCATCTCAGGAAGTGAGGTCCCAAGGTAACGCATCATCCGCACCCTATGAAGAAGTGACCAATCAGCCACCTCCCATCGACACACCAGCCGTCAACAACAACACCATGACACCCACAGAGTGGGCAGAACTCATCCACCTCGCTGATCACCGTCCACTTGAACCCGGAAGTCCGTTAGATGCACTTTTCGTTCCTTACAATCCCATGGAAGCTAACGGCATTTACCCCCTTCACGTCCCTCAACCTGCCCCCGAATCCCATCACAAATCAGTAATCTTAAGCTATGCCTGGATCGCCTGGGAACATGCTACCTACTACTTCGCTGCCTATATCTTCGTGGGCGTTATCAACCCTACCATGCGGGCACCTCGAGATCTGTACCTGATTGTGGGCGCGGTATTGAGCGGTGCGTGGGTGGTCTTGAAGTGCTTTCAACGCCGCTCTACTCAGGCTTGCGGTAAATCCCATTCACCGAAGCAAGCGAACAAGAAGACTGGTTTGCAGAGGTGGGTCAAAGTGTGTGGGGTGATGTTGGGTGTAGCCGTTGTCATGACTGCGATGGTGTTCGGCTGGTGGCCAGTTGAAAATGCTGGAATGGGTACGACTACTTCCGCCACAACGAACACGCATGAGGAGACAAATGCAAATGTCTTGATGGCCCTGGATGATGAATTGATCGAGCCTATCACCACGTCTGGTTTTGGGGTACCTATCTCGACCACGCCGCAAGAACTAACGACTACATCTATCCTTGTTGGCCTACAAGGCATAACGGACGAATGCAATACTGCGCGTTACCCCTGTCCTGAGTATGGAACTGAGTCTGAGGATGACACCATCGCCAACCCTGAGCATGACTCGGATCCTACGACTAACTTCTACCCTGGGTATAAAACCGGTTTAGGGGATGCTCCCGACTCTGAGCACAACTCCGAGTCTGACTCCTCCAGCACTACTACTGGCTCACACACTACCTCCGACTCCTACGGTGCGCCCAACTCCGTTGTTCGGGTCGACCCTCTACAACTATCCGGCCCAATGGCAGGGTTGCTTGTCAGCGTCCCGTTGGCATATCTGGCGAAGTACTCGATTTGGCTGTGGAAAATGCGTACCCTTACCTAGCACCGGCTTTGTGTATGAAGAGTTGCACTTCGTTTACGATAGCAGAAGAACGGGGACATAGGTGCATTGGGTTCGGAGTATCATGATGCACGATGCTGCGGAGGAAGCCAGCGAGTCTCGGATGACTGAAGCTATTAGGTCGGCGTACATGCAGTATTGAGATTGTAGGATCATCATGGAGTTTAGAGGCTTTAGAAAATTATGATCACAACAGCCTTATTCTTTCAGTAGCTTCCTTCCTCCGAAGTGTTCCCATAAGTCATGAACAATGTGGATCCCGAGATCGTGGATAGATTTGCAGGCCTCTTGCGATTTCCACATTCTGGCATTCCTTCAATTTCCTTCCAAGATGACCTGAACAAATCTTCAACGTCAATATAAAGATGGTACGTTCGTGCCGCCTCATCATACAAACTCCTTTTGCTCGACGGACACGGCCAGCGTCTTTTGGAAAGACATTCTCTTGTTCTTGGGGTCCATGTTCTTGGTTTCCAGCTCGTGAGCCTTCCCATTATCCCCGCTTAGCTTTGAGACTGACACACGCGTACCGTTCGTCCTCTTAGCAATCAACCCACCCTCCCCTTGGTCAATCCCTCCCCTCGTGCAGCAAACCCAGCTGCACCAACTCTCCCCTCACATGTCCCTCGCTCTTCTCATCATAAAACCACAGCCCCACCCTTACAAGCGCTCTCTCCATGAACGATTTCAACGTTGGCATCGTCGCCGCAATAAGCGCGAGCTCCAGCTCCAGCACCGCATACAGCGCAATCGTAACATTCGTCCGAAACAAATCCGGTGTGGTGTAATACTCCTGCAGCGTAAGTGTTCTCACGACCGCCAAGGACGACGTAAAGAGCCCCAAGCCCATCAAAACGCACATGAAAATCTTCTCGTGGCGCGGCCGCTTGAGCTTCCGCACGAAAGTGATCGGTATGAAGCTAAAGATCAGATCGAGCCCAACCTGTATGCTACTAAACACGATGATGTTGCCGTCGATGATAGAGCGTCGGAAGCACTGCACGCTTTTGGAGACGCGCGGGTCCCAAAATATGGAGAACGGACGGCATTGCAGGAACTGAAAGCATGTCTGAACGATGGCGGCGGAGATCGTCACTCCCATAATGAGGTAGAGAAAGGTGCGCCATGGGCGAGTCTGCTTGAGGCGCAGGAGGAGGAAGGCGACCGAGAGCTTCACGAGGGTCACGGACCAGTACCAGAAGAGTTGGGAGATGAAGAGGTAGCGCATTGCGGTGGAGCGACGTGGGGCAGGGACGAAGCGGGCGCGGCGGCCGAGGCCGTTGAATACGGCGAGGGCGAGAATGAGGTATTGGACTACGGCGAGGATCTGGAAGAGTCGGTTAATGAGCAGAAGGAAGGGAAGACGGGGAGCATACTGTAGCTCCAAGGACGGTCCAGTCATCCAGCTTGAGCAGATACACTGGCCGAAGTCGAGACCAAAGTCGAGCGGCGAGGAGACATATTGATATGAACAAAAATGCGCCTCCAAGACCAAGTAGAATCGGAGCTTGATTCGTGTCGGTTCCACTCATAAGGAATCCAGTTGGTGTGAAGTTTGGCGCCGAATCATTCATCGAGCAGTTTCCTCTCATGCCTCGAAAGCCGTCTCCATGTCTGTTGATTGAACAGGGCGTAGGTGTTGGAATTTGGATCGTTTCCATGTCTGGTTGTACTGGATACGCATACGATTGTATGGTGTGCCTCAGGCTAAATTAATGTACTGTAGAGTTTAGAGACTAGAATTAATGGACATGCTGGCCGGCCAACATTGTGCGGAATTCAAAGTGAACAGAGCAGTCGCAGTGATCCTAAGAGCACATTTTGGAGTTGTTGAGGCCAGCTCGGTGGGTGACTCGTAAACTGAGTTCAGTCGGCATAAAAGCCATCTCATTACACACAAACCTGTCCATCATCAAAGCACCCCAAGTCAGATCGGTAATCACACTATCACGACAAGTGCTCTTCGGTTCTTTGCATGTTGTACGACACACATCCAGGTTGCGACTGGCTGTTGTCAGTCTCATGATCGTTTCAGCCCGCCGCACGCGAGCTCGACTATGCACCCCGCAATGCAGGTGCTGCATTCCCCGTCAAATAACGCAACCACGTTGTGGAGGTTGTTCAGGCGGATAATAGTGGGTCGGAAGCTTGTCCCAGCTTGTGGGTGCTCTCGGGTAAGCGTTGTGGAGGGTGACCATGACGTGCATGCGCCTTCCCCAGACTGACTGATTCTGTCGTTCTAGATTCTACTCGAATGCCTCAGGATTCGTAAGTCTTCAATGCGGAAGACGGGCCACCGTCTCCGGAGTGGAAGGACTAGCCTGTAATGTGATGGCACATTGAGCAACACTGAACAAGACTTACTGTCCTTGAGCCAGAAAGAACAATATCATGCTAAGGTCACAGTTGAATGGGTTCGAGCAAAAAGTAATGAACCAGACGGATATGCATGGAGTGACGAGGGACAAAAAGGCAGCCCGACGTGGGGGTCGAACCCACAACCTTGAGATACCGCGTAATCGAGTTGATTAGACCGTGAATACTTAAGAGTCTCACGCTCTACCGATTGAGCTAGCCGGGCTTGTTGCCTGTTTAATAATTTTTCTGTTTTTATAAATTATATATACCAAATTTTGCTGATAGAATTGATTTCCGACCCTGTCATAGGATCAGAGAAATATCTGGTCGGAATTGTGGGGTAGGATTTATGAGCCGAGGAACCCTCAACCACTCAGAACTCCTCTATGGCGTTGGGACTGAGCGTCATGCGAGTATCCACCAGACTCGGCCACATCACAACATCGCGGTCTTTGGAGTAATACTGCAGTACCGCATCACCGTACTTTGAGTCGAGTTGTAGTTTGCGTACAAAATATATGTATGGATAATTATCTCCACTTCCAACTGCATCTAGCTACTGTAACTGTGCAACGCACACCACGTACTGTTCTCTATCTTCCTCCAACAACAATACATACTCGCACTCGCGCTCCTACGCGCTAGCATCGCTACTTTTAATGCGCTTTGGTTCACGCTCCGAATCTGCCTGTTCCTCAAGCTTGCGCTTTTCATCCTTCCGTGATGCTTCGTCGCGCGCCGCCCGCCTGGCTTCCTTGTCCTGCTTCTCCTTTTCCTTTCGTAGAGCCTTACTCTCGAATTCGTGCCAGTCGCCCTCGAGGTCCTTGAGCTCGTGAGCGCGCTTGGGCGCGGGCTGCTCCGTCACGAAATAAGGGTGTGCGAGGACGTCAGAGGCACTCGGTCGCTGTGCAGGGTCGAAGACAAACATCGCACTGAGCAGCTCGAATGCCGCTTCAGTGACACGGTCTTTGTACTTTTCTTCAAAAGTGCTTTGTTTGCGCTCGGTCGGCCTCAGCAGCTCGAACCACTGCATCTCGGTAATTCCTGGCCAGTCCTGCACTGATGGTGTACCAAGTACGTTATAGATCTTCTCAAGCTGATTAATTTCACCGCCATCGCCAGGGAAGATGGCGTGCTTTGTGAAGATTTCGACAAGGACGCACGCGGCAGACCAGATATCGACGGCGGGGCCGTACTGTGTCTCGCCGAGGAGCAGCTCGGGTGAGCGGTACCAGATAGTGATAACACGGTTTGTGTAGTCGAGCTTGCTGCGCTTTGCATAAAAGCGCGCAAGACCAAAGTCGGCGAGCTTGAGCTGCCCCGTGTTACTAACCAAGATGTTGGCGGCTTTGATATCACGATGTAATACGCCTCGGCGGTGCAGGTAATCGAGACCTTCGAAGAGTTGTTTCGCTAGGTCCTTTTTGTGTGCGTGTTCAAGCCGGAACGTTGGGTGGTTCAGAAGGCCAGTCAGGTCGTGTGAGAGGTACTCAAAGACCATGAAACAGTCATTCTTCTCGACCATGACTTCTTGGAGTTTCACAATGTTGTCATGATTGAGAGACTGTAGGAGTTTGATTTCTCGAATCGCCGTAACCGGGAACTGAAAATCGTCAGTCTACTAGGGCAGTGCAAAGGTTCGAAAAGTTCACTTACCCCATCGCGTTCGCCCTCCATCCGTATCTTCTTGAGGGCAACCATATCCTTGGTATACACATGTACACCTTTGAATACCTTCCCGTAAGTCCCAGATCCAACCACAGACTCATTTCCTGGTTTTCGGTAGTATACGGAATCTGAGGCAGCGAAATCGGGCGAAAGTGTTGGTCGTGGCTTCACACGCGTCTTCTTGATTGTCCTCGTCCTCGGTCTCTCTGGCTTTGAGGGTTTTTCAGGAAGAGCATCTCTCCGTAACTCAGTCCGGCTTTCAGGTCGGCTGACAGGTCTGCTGTCAGGACGGAAGTCTGGCCGGCGGGGTAGATTCGGATTTGGAGGAAGTTCCTTTCGTTCTCGTTCAACACGTCCATCCCTCATATCTCGCGGGTCGCGTATGTCGCGATAGTCACGGCTATCGCGTAGATCCCGTGGGTCTCTATAATCGCGCGGGTCTCGGTCTCGGGGGTCGCGTGGATCATGACGATCTCTAGGATCTCGATAGTCTCTGTCACGATAGTAAGCCGTCTCTCGAGAATCCCGCGGGTCGCGAGGATCCCTTTCACGTGGATCTCTATACGGTCTCCGGTCGTAGTAGGCATCGCGCTTATCGTATGGTTCGTATCGACGTTCACTAGCCCTGTAATCGCGGTCGAGATCGAGCTCACGGTCTCGGTCCCGGTCGGCATCTCGATCTCGTGGATCACGCTCGCTTCTAGAGTCTGGCCCCTTGACCGAAGCTTCTCGGCTTGTGGCCTCTTTTGCCTTTGGTTCAAGGATTGACCCTTTCTCTTTAGTCACCGTCGGTGGTTGTTCGGCTAGCTTCGCTTTGCTGGCTGCAGTCTTAAGTGAGAAACTGAACCCTGACTTTGATGGTGTAGTCGAGGCTTTTGCGGGTGGAGGCATTTTCTTGTCCTCTTTGACTCCCTCATCCTCAACTCGAAGGTCTTTCGATGGCCGGAATGGGTTGTCATCAGCGTCCACTGCAGAATTTAGAGGGTCAGCTGTCGCCGAAGCACCCGCCGCCGACTGTGAAGCAGAACTGCCCGAATGACGCGGCGCTTCAGTGGCCGGACGGCCGCCCCGTGTACCTGATGAAGGCGTCCAGGACAGGTTTGAGAATTGCGTGGGTTGGGCACCACGGCCGCGTCCGCCTATTGGGGTGAAGGCAGGTCCTGACGGTCGCCTGTCAGACCCGTTGTAATTTCCTCGAAAGCCACCGCGGTAGGATGAGTTCGGATAGCCAGATTGATGTTGGTTCGGAGAGTAGTTCTGGTGGTAGGGCGATTGATTAGGCGAATACCCGTGCGTGGGAGAACTAGAAGGGTTAGCATGTTCCTTGATATGTGAAGGCTGCGTGGTACATTCTAGTGCGATATGCTACACGATGCGTAGGAAGTTAGGAGTGACTTACCCTTGATTCGGATACCCAGACCACCCGCCTCTTCCGCCAGAATGGCCTTGAGACGGATATTGATGAGAGTACGGTGGCGAGTAGGATTGATGTGGGCCGCCACGGCCCTGATAATAGGCACCACCCCTCATCTTCGAATCGCCTTCGTCGTCTGAGGTGGGCGGTGGCGAGTTCCTCCTGGAAGCTGGCCGAGTCTCTCCTTTGCTGGGAGGTTCGGCCCCTCTAGAAGGCGACCTGGAAGCGCGATGGCGAGGCGCACGAGAGCGGCTTCTACGACTATGCTCTTTCTCACGACGGGAAGCTTGCGGAGAAGACCTCCTCTTGGGTGACTGTGAACGTCTGCGTCTAGGCGAGCGAGAACGAGCGTGTACAGGAGAACGGCTATGGCTGCGGTGTCGGTCTTTCACCGAGCCGTGCGTGTGTCTTCGCTCCCTTGTGTCTTCGGGTGGAGTGTGATGTCTTTTGTGATGTCGTCGGGGCGAATCTTGTCTGCGTGACCCCTCCCGTCGCGACTTCCGTTCCGGTGTAGGAGACCTCTTTCGTCCCCTGCTCGAAGCCGGCCTGTAGTAAGAATCCACTGACGGCGAACGGCGACGGGCCGACGATGCCGGCTTATACGTATCAATATCAGGCGAAGGTTTTCGGGTGCGATCGCGGTCGGAACGTGGGGAAAAAGCCCTGCCAGACGGTCGATAGGTGATCTCAGCGCGACGTGTTCGCGACCTCGAGCGTACGGTGCTGCGGCTGCGATGATGCCTGCTCCGCTTGTGTGAGTGTGTGGATGGAGAGCGGCTGTGTGGGCGCTTCGTCAATGGGGTGGACTCTCGATGGCGGTGGGAGTGGTGGTGCCGATGGGTGTGGGTAACCCTGTCGTCGCTGGGTGCCCTCCTCGTGGGACGGTGGCCTTCCCTGGAACCACCACGACTTCGCCTTCGTGCGCGTTCTCTACTCAAGCTTCTTTCGTGTGAGCGTCCCCTCGCGTGCCTCGTCGACGGGCGAGTATCTGTTTCGTGGGTATTGCCTCGTCTGGAGTCCCTCGCAGTGCGTGGCACCGGTGACGCAGCGCCGGGTTCAACAGTGCGGTCGCTGACCCGCTCCCTGTCTCTGTCTCTCACGGACGATTCCTCTGGTCTCCACTGATCTATTTCTTGGGCCCGGCGCAACCCAGCCATGTAGACGGACTTATCATTAGAAGGAGGTAATGGATGGCGGCGTTCGCAGGTCCGAGTGTCACGGTAGGGTCAAGGCTAGCCGAGAACTTCAGACCGCGCCGCTCCTCGCAGCCTTGCGGGTAGAGCTGGGAGAAGATAACGCAAGAATATGCCCCAATTGCCCGCAGAACAGTGTTGCAGATGTTCCAGTCCTTCTTGCCCACGTTGGTAAGTTGCTGTTTCGTGGAGTTAGCTTTGCCCTCGGGCCGTGCTGCGCAACTTCGAAGGTAGTGAAGGATGGTTCGCGCCAAGCCTCTCCCGCCGATATCGTGACCACTGCCATTTCAAGACCCCCCGAGGGCTCGCAGCCGTGCAGCCTTTCAGATGTTTTCAGCTTCCAGAGAGACTGCCTCTTCTGAATGCCCTCTCGTGCAAATTCCACCCATGATCTCCTGTTCCTCGACTGTAGGCCTTTCTATCTGCGCAAGGCTGAGACTTCACATGGCTATCTACTTAGGAAGGGATAATGGAGTGCAATCTCGCGCACGAGCGAGGAGGACCGCAACCGCTTGTGTATACCAGTGGTACTGCTGACAGCATGACCGATCGGACATAGTGAGAGCGTCTGCCCAGCTTGGCGAGCAATGGGGCACGACTGCAATGTCTGGCGGCACTATAACCGAACAAACCATGGTTTTCGTGAGTGTATATTCGAAAGGCATCCGTGTAGAGGTATCTTGACGGTTTGCGCACAAGACTGTCAACTGTTACCGGTCGTAGCCGTGGCGTAGGTAGGCGAGTATCAATATTGAAGCATGTGTGCCGTTAACATCCCTGACTAGATGCTGAGAAGTCTGACGAGCATCTGCATCGTGACATCTTTCACACTCAAATATTCTAGTTCGAGACGTGGCGCAGAGGTGGAGAGAGAAACATGTCTCTGCTCGATAAGCTGCAGGAGAAGACCACCCCGTGCAGAACAATAAGCACCGGCTGCGAGCGAGCATTATTGCAGCAGTCGAAGAGCGATCAGAGGCATGAAGGCCGTACACACGTCAAAGGACGAGGTCGTCCACGCGGGGTAATCGGTCCCAGGCTCCAACAAAGGAAGGAGGACGCGGATTGCGCCCAAGTTGCAAATTCGCGCGTCTGCTCGAGGTGGGAGCAGTCGAAACGGCCATGATAGGCACGCCGAAGATCAGCGCAGGCGACTGGAGTGCTTGTGCAGCTGGCAGTGAGGTGCAAACAAGGTGAGAAAGAAAGCAAGTCCCCCCGCAAGCCAAATGCCCGAATCCCGATGCACCCTCGTCAAGTGTGGCTCTCCCTCGATCGGAGCCTCCGGACCATTTTGCTGCTAGTCGTCCATCGCATAGCTTGCGCGAATTCTGGTTTGCAGGGCGCCTGTCCAAGTCGTCGTTGGTAGTCAACGTAGCGGATACTGGCGGGGGTTGCGGCGTAATCCAGCCCCTTCCCAGTACAACATGCCTCCCCACGCCGTCCTCGCTGGAGCACGGTGAACCTGAGTGCAGCGGCCGAGAGCAACAGCAGTGGCATACGTACCTCTAGAGGGAAGCAGTGACAATGATGCAAACGGGGGTGGTGGTGACGGATCGGTGGGCAGACGTTGATGAGGGACGCGAGGCGGTGCAGCCGGTCCGATTTGACGCAGGTGGCCCGAGCGAGCTCACCTCGGAGAGCGACGTCAAACCGGCGCGCAGTAGCAGCCCGCCACTAGGACGTCCCCTCCAGTGAAAAAGTTACTCTTTGCAGTCACCCAACACGACCAGACCGCGCTTAGCCATGTGCATGGACTGTTGCAACCCACTGTCTTCCTTTTACTCTCCACTTCCATAGCTACTATTGGACAATCAATTGAATCTCGCTGACATCTCTTACATCGTATAATTCCAAAAGATCCCCGCCATGGACTCACCTCCCTTCAGACCAAAGCCCATTCCCGCCCACCTCATCAACGGCCACTCGCCGCTCGCACAGTCCTCTAGGGTCGAAGACAAAGACAAAGCTACCGAAATGCGCGACCGAAAAGAGCGAGACAATCTCTACTCTTCTATCGAAGCCTCGAACCGCGGGCGCCAGGTCGTCAATTTCGACGGCCCGGACGGCTACTTTCCCAAGACCTCTACAAGCGCCGACGCCGACGGCCACGATGCGCATCATGAATACGAACTAGTACACAGCGGTATCGACGTCGAGGGTTACGTGGATGAGCACGCTGCGAAGACGCCGCTAGCCACCAGTCGGGCGCACAGTCCTTACACTCAGCATCCGACCATCGATTTCGATGGCTTGAGCTGGCCGAGTAGGTGGCGCTGGCCTGGAATAAGGATGAGGAAACTGACACAGCGTAGGCAAAGGAACCCGCGAACGGAAAGAAGCCACTGCCGAAGAAAAAGAACAGCGGTTGGCGAAGCTGTCCGGCGCCGTGCGAACCATTCTAGAGTGCATTGGAGAAGATCCCGACCGTGAAGGCCTGCTAGATACCCCTGACCGCTACGCAAAAGCGCTGCTCTTCTTCACAAAGGGCTACGAGGAGAACTTGCGCGAGATCGTAAACGGTGCTGTTTTCCACGAAGACCATGACGAGCTGGTCATAGTGAAGGACATTGAGATTTTCTCACTGTGCGAGCACCACCTCGTACCGTTTACTGGCAAGGTATGCGCCGAGAGCAGGGTTGGAAAACACCAAAACTTCAGGCTGACTATTCTAGATGCACATTGGATACATACCCAACCGCCGTGTGATCGGCCTCTCCAAGCTGGCTCGCATCGCTGAAATGTTCGCCCGTCGCCTGCAGGTCCAGGAACGCCTTACCAAACAAGTCGCACTTGCTCTCTCCGAAATGCTTCAGCCCCAGGGCGTGGCCGTTGTAGTAGAATCGAGCCATTTTTGCATGGTGATGCGGGGAGTGCAAAAGACCACGGCAAGCACCACCACCAGCTGCATGCTCGGTCGTATGCGGTCAACTGCTAAAACCAGGGAAGAATTTCTGAACCTAATCAAGCGAAACTAGTTTGGTTTTCCGAGTAGATTTTGTTTTTATCTTTTTCTTGTATTACTACTAGGGCTGCAAAACGTTCGGCGTTTACAGCGGTGCTCATCCACTCACGAGGGCGGTTATGGTCGGTTCTTGCATTTAGACTAGATGCATCAGGCCTTCAACAGGCGCCCGCGGACCTCAAGCAGGTCGTTGCATGGTGGATTCATGTTTCCGTTATTTATACCTACCATTTCACTGTGCCGCAAGCGCAAAGCTTGGGTGCTATGTGTTGGACAAGTCATTCGGTTTTCAAACTTCTAACATAGTATCGCTCTTTCACTGTGCGGAAGTTGTGGGTCTGGCCTTGTTTACAAGTCGCTCCTTCCTTTTCTGTTGAACTCGCGTCCTGGCGTTGCTATGTTGATACCACACTGGAAGCTCACAGTTGCCAATCAAATTCACTCACTTTCTCTCATTTTCATACTCGCTCAGGCTTGGTCTTTCGTCCCCACTTCGACTTTCAAATCACAAGCCGCAAGAGACTCGCGATGGAAGCCGCCGCGGCCTTCCAGGCATCAGCCACCTTGCACAAGAACGGGCTGCCAACGCCGCAGACGGCTACTTCGCCCGCACCTTCAGAATCTCCTTTCGCAGAGTCACGACCGACGAGTCCAATGACTGATATTACAACAGCCGGCAAAGGAAAAGGCAAGCGCACCGCCGAGGAAGAGGCTGACGACGGCAAGAGCGACCCCAAATCAATGCCAGCGCCCGTCTCCCGCATTACCGCACCCAAAATATTACGCCGCCATCGCCATCGCCGTGAGAATGTCGCAGCTACTGTATGGGGTCCTTCTTTACCCGGTTCAGATGTTCCGCAGCGATTCAGCGTCTACAAAGCCATTCTGCGCCATCCCAATCTCTTCTTTCAGTTTGCAATTCGGCTGCCGCAAAAGACCATGATCGATCTGTATGCAATCGACAAAGAGTTTCACTACAGGTTCAACAAATACAGCACATCCATCATTCACGATTTTGCGAGCTATCATGCCCCTCAGGCTGCATACATCTTCAGCTGGATCCTCTTCCCTGAGCTGTGCATCAGCGACCCAATGCTGCGTCCAATGGATGGCCGCCCGCACCTCGCGCGTGATATTCCCAGCCTGCGGTGGACGAAGATGATTTTTTACCGCGACAGCGTTGCCAAGACCATCCTGACTATGCTTAGTGTCGAGGGACACAGGGTGCCGCGCGAGATGTACATCGTCCTGATGAAGTTCTGGCTACTGATGGGGATGAATACCACTACAATCCGAGAGGCTTTCCTGTCTGACAGCACCATCTGGACGGATCAAGATATCTACCTTTTCCACCTGTTCCTGGTGAAACTCGATATGCACTTCAGTCATCCGGTATATGGGCACGGCATGATCGATCTCTCACACATGCTACTCACACAGAAAACGCTATCGATGCTTTACAAGATTCTTATCGGACAGCAGACCATGGATTACGATGATGCGACAGACATTCTCGTTAGGACATACCACGAAGAAGATCTAGACCTCGATGCAAACCCCTGGCTCGATGACGAGACCGAAAACGGTGTGCCACTCGAAGAGACAGGCCTCCTATGCCGCGAAGGTTGGTACTTGGGAGGTGATCGCATGGAGTCGCCCGTGGACATGGTTAGCATCGAAGCGATCAATAGAGGTCTAGATGTTCAACAATATTTGATCGACTTCATGACTTACGGCTACATCGACCTGGATAAGAAGCAGAACGTAGCCGCACCTAGAAGGTGGAGAGGCGAGAAGAAACTTGCTGTGCCCAAGAGACCGTGGCCAATTCTGAGCGTGACAAATGGTGTCCTTGCGACGTTGGACAAGAAGTTTGGTATCGAGCAGAAGGAAGGAAGGTTGAGGAACATTTCCGTAACTCAAGCCGCCCGTACTGAGACGATTATATCATGGAATCTGGATTCAAGGCAGGGTGAGCAAATGGAAGGGACGGAGGATGACATTGAGGATGAAGTAGATGAGATGGACATAGCGGAGTAAAGGAAGGCGAGATGGTTCCTCAGCGTACGAGTTCGCTCGAATTGGATATCGAAGAAGCTGATTCCGACGCTCTTTGTTATACAATAGTGCCAAGCAACATGTACAGGGTAACCATTGGCTGCCAGCCATCCAATAAGTACGAAGTAGGCGACCACCAGTGCATGATAGTTTCGGCTCGACGAAATAGGAAGTGATTTGGCCCCCAAGCTACATGGTTCAGCGCCGCTCGTCTTCGTCTCCGAAGTCTTCACCTCACAACACCTACCGCTTGACAAGATTGCGCTCTCCTATTGTTTGAGAGGGATTCACGATGTCACGACCACCAGATGATGATGGTGGCTGGGGATCGTTTTCCGTAGCTGTAGCTGAAGAGCTACCCCCACCCCCAAGACCACCAGAGCCTGCTCCACGTACACCTCCGGCCGCTTCTGGCTTTGAACTATGGAAATCTACAACGAAGAAGAAAAAGAAGGGCAAGAAAGGCGCAGCTGTAGTCGAAGAGCCACCGCTGTTTCGAGAGATGTTGAAAACGATTCCCAGTACAATGTTCTTACCACCTTTTCCCGAGATGCGCAGGACGCGAGCTTTTGATGACTCGGAAGGCGACGGCTTGCACTTGATTGAAGTTGGCGAGGGAACCGCGAAAGAAACACTGGTCACAGAGAGTTCTGTCCGGGACTACATCGCACACGACTTTTGTTCCAACATAAGTCCACGCTCTGCTGTATTCGAAGAGCCCACAAAACTCTTGTAAGCAGATTCACGAAGTCTTTATATTTACGACCTTGATTCTTGACGGCGAAAAGCTATTCAGTCCAGCAATCCGGCTCGAGGAGACATCTAACTCCTTTGCCGATATCAGAAGAACTATTCGAAAAACTCGCGCCGTATGCGCGGATACCATCTAGTTACATCGACATTCTCTCTCGACCCATCGCCATGCAAGTCTTCGCACAGCCACAAACTCCCCAAGCCTCCGCCCACGCCGCGTCAATTGCCCAGAAAGAACATCTAAGTAAGCCCACTCACCCTCTTTCACCACCCAGCTAAATTTCCAGGCTTCATCATCCGCTCTGCAGCCAAAGGTGTCAACGGCCTCACCTTCGGCGCAACCTTCACCTACCACTTCCCCACGCGCCACATGTACGCCTTCATCCACATGTACGAAATCCCTCCCTACATCGACGTGATTCCCTCCCTCGCTTCTTCCCTGTCCTCCCCGAACTCCACACCCTTCCTCATCCCTCTCTTCCTCCTGCATGTCGACGCAGAGCAGCGTTACAAGTTCATCACCAACGCGCACGCCACGCTGTTCTCGCTGGAGATTCAGGCTGGGGTCAGAGAGAGTGCAAATGATAGGGAAGAAACGGATTTTACTGCGTTGAGTAAGGACCTTAGCTACTTCATCGGTAACCTGAGCTTGGTTGACTGGGCATGTAAGACCATGACGAGGCAGCTCGAGTTTATTGGGGAAGTAAAGAAGAGATACCGTACGCAGGCGACCCTGAGCGGCCTTGGAGAGGAAGAAATTGAAAATACGACGCGAGTGATGGAGGATGGACTAGATAGCTTGGGATGCTTGAACAAGAGTATTGAGGAGCAGACGGAGTGCTTGAGTCAGAGGGCGCAGGCGCTGATACAAACGGTGAGCCACCTTCGCCTTCAGTATTTCACGTCGTATTTGCTAACTTAAGGACAAGGTGTACAGCGGCATCGCCCAGCGTGATGCCGCACTCAGCCAACTCGCCGCCAACGCCGCCGCTCGCGACTCCGCCATCATGCGCGTTATCGCCGTTTTAACCATGTTCTTCCTCCCTGCGACTACCGTGGCTGTACGTTCCTCCTTTCCTGCCATTTCTCCTTTCCACTAACGCGAAGGCAAGACCTTCTTCTCCACCTCCTTCTTCGACTTCCAAGTCACACGCCACGAGCAAGTCTACTCCTGGTGGCTGTGGCTATACTGGGTGACTACAGTACTTCTGACTGTTGCTGTCATGGCAGCGACGTTTTGGTGGTGGCGGAAGAAGGAGAGGGAGTTGCATATGGCACAGGTGTTTGAGGATGATGGTTCGAATTCCACTGTGGGGTTACGTGAGAGGATCGGCCAGAGGGTCATGAGGTTCAAGGGGCTGAGGAGAAATATGATTGAGAACATGAGCGACGATGGACGCTGAGAACGCTGTGCGGAGGCTGTCCTCGGAGCAAGAAAGGTGTGGGAATAAATGTGGACGGAAGACGAAGAAGAAAAAGTAAGGTGGACTCAAGTTCAAGCGATTATGAGTTAACATACTTATCGTTCTTGAAACATACTCTAGCCTACGCCTGCGACTATAATTTGCTCCTCGTCTTTCCATCCTTCTCTTGCTTCATGCTTTCCAGCACGTCCTCTACCCTAGCAAACTGGTAGTAAAACTGCAAGCTCTGCGGATTCGCCAATGTTCCACTCGGCTTCACAGTCTTTCCACTGACGATCTGCTTGACTGGCAGTTCGACCTTCTTGCCGTTCACAGTAGCCTGCGCATAGTCAGTCCCATGGTCACGATTATGCCTAAATAGTATTTACTTACCGGTATATCCCACGTCTGAAACACATACCGCGGTATGTGTCTCTTGCTCTTCTCTTCGCCAATCTTCCGCTTGACTCTCTCCACCAGCGACTCCGTAAACCGCTTACCATCCTTCATCTTCAAGAATAGCATAACACTCTCATCATTATCCTGCGGTCTCCTCTGCCCGACACAAATGCTATCCGCCACCTCCAAGAAATGCGTCTCGATCACTGAATATATATCACTGCTACCAAAGCGCACTCCACTCGGATTCAGCACGCCGTCTGCCCTCCCAAGGAACATTACCTGCCCCGTAACAGGATGATACTGGATGAAATCGCCATGTGTCCAGACATGCGGAAACCGTGCGTAATACGCGTTATGGTACCGCTCGCCGGAGTCATCGCCCCAGAAGAACACAGGCTGATTGGGGAACGAAGCCGTGGCAACAAGCTCACCGGGTTCGCCGTGCGGGACGGCTTGCCCGGGCCCGGACTCGATGAGCGAGTCGTAGACTTCCATCTTAGTGCCGAGCGTGGGACCCTGACAACCTCCAACGTAAACAGGCTCAAGGGGGTTCATGATGCCGAAGCAGCCTGCGAGGTCAGTTCCACCGGAGATGTTGCGGAGGTGGACGTTGGGAGGAAAGGCCGTGTCGTAGAACCATTCGAAGAGGGCATCGGAGAGGACCATGCCGGTTGTGCAGACTGAGCGGAGACGGGAGAGGTCGAACTGCTTGCGAGGAACGATGTTGCTCTTTTGTAACTCATGGAGGAAGCGAGGTGAGGTGCCGAAGTCGGTGACACGCTGAGTTTCGAGGATGGAGAGGAAGGCTTGCGCATCGGGGATGAAGGGGGAACCGTCGTAAAATACCGAGCGACTGCCGGAGACGAGGGATTGTATGCTCACGAGGTACATGATCCAGCCCGTCTAATGATGTTAGCTTCCAGGCGCTCGGTCCTTGGGATTCGAACTCACTGTTGTGTATTGCAACATCTGTTGAAATTAGTTTCATGGTCCAACCTTCGGCCTGGGTAAGAACTTACTACGCTGTCTGGATTCATTTCTTTGTGTAGCTTCTCTTCCTTTAGCATACTGATCAGAACCCCTCCCACACTGTGAACGATGCACTTGGGCATCCCCGTGGTCCCGCTAGAGTACACCACCAGGAAAGGATCCCGGAAAGCCACCCTCTCGAACACCAACTCATCCTTTCCGCCTGCAGCTTGAACAAAGTTTTCTAACATGACCGCTCTCGGCACTCCGCCCACATCCGCAGGTCTCCCCAAGAATCTCGGCTGCAGCACCACACCCTCAAACTCCTTGACGCCTCTCATGCCCTCAACAATCTCCTTGATCTTCGGCCTCAAATCAGTCGTCTTCCCATTATACACCGCCCAATCGTCAGCGAACAGATACTTCGGCTTGATTTGCAACAGCCTCTCCAAAATTCCCTTACTCCCCATATCCGTACTACTGCTCGAAAAGAGACCACCCAAACTGACGACCGCCATAAAGCAGATAAAAGTGTCAAAGCTGTTGCTCGCCACCACCGCAACCCTATCCCCTTTCTTCACACCTTTCGCCCTCATCGCATTGCTCAGAAGCCCGACTCTCCTCCGTACCTCCCCAAAACTCATATCCCGCACCTCCGTATTCCCCTCCCTCACCTCCGTCGCAGCAATTCTGTCATCCTCTTTATTTTTTGTCGTGGTTTTAGACGGATCACTTGGATCAGCGGAGTACAAAATGTTCTCCGCAAAATTGAGATACGTGCCGCGGAACCAGTGCGGTATGCTGTCCATGGGCTTCGTTATGTCGACTATCTCGGTGTAGTCACCGGAATAGATCAAGCCTGCGGCGTCCCACATGTGTTTCCAGAAGTCTGTGCGGTTGGGACCGACGCTCCAGTTGTAGAGGTCGCGGTAGGTTTGCATGTTGAGGTTGTGCTTTTGGTTGGCGGTCTGCATGAAGGACCACATTGCTGTGGATTTGGGGTTGGGGTGTTGCCATAGTTTGCGGGGGATGGGATGGTCTGAAGGCATTGTTGTCTACTGGTTCTTTGGGGAAGTGATAGGAAATCTATGAAAAGACTGAAAGAGGACTTCGATCGTGGATATGTTATATTGTAGGAAGACGTGGGATGTATGTACAGTGGAAGTAATTCCGCTCACTACCGGCAATTGACAATGCGGGGCATAGGATACAGCCGAGTTCCAGCGTGTCCGTCGCGCTGCCGATGCTCAACGACGAAAACTCCATGTTCGACTGTGTGAAGTGTTCCTCGACGAAAGCAAAAGAATGGAAAGTGTTGGATGAGACATTCAACTACAGTCCGTTTGTGGCACCTAGGTCGTTCTAGCCCTGGAGGGAAGTCGCGCCCGTGACCCCCCGCGCTTTCCACCAAACGTTCGCGAATGCAACAATCAAATCAGGTACACTCAATGACCATACAATGTATGCTACCACGGCACGGCTTGCCCTCATACACGATGCGAATGCGAAATACCTAGGTACCACCCTGACTACGCTTAGAACGTCGCGGTCAGCCTCGGTGCTTGCTACTCAATGCGCTACCCATCGCAGCCTTCCTAATCCAGCCACCACGTGTTTTCGCGTTCACCTGAATCAGGACGTTGTCCCCACTCCGTCACCGCTCCACCCGCCACACATTATCGCGACATTTTCCCATCATGAAGATTTGCATCGCCCAAGCATTCAAGCCGGAAAATCAAATCACCGCACTCCCACGCTTGCGAAGTGTACATATATGTAGCGTCCGCCAACCGCGATAACGGGCTGCGTGGCGGTTTCACGTTGACAGCTACCGTGATCGTACCACCGCGCACACGGGATTGCGCAACGTGCGCTTGCTCACAAAGTTTGCCAGGACAGACAGACGCGCTACAGCCCGTCACCCCTGGCCTAGCAGACCCGCGTATCCACCGCATCTCCACAAGAGCTTCTTCGCGTCTTCGATAGTTTGCGAGGGGAGACCTTGGTGGCTCCGCTTGCCTGAGGCTCCACCGGACGCGTTCGCGGACATGGCATCCTAGAGTTATTGTCTTCTGGTGGCGCCATCAGTCGACACGTCGACTATGCTTTCCAGCGCCCTGGATATCTTTCGGCGTCAGCGACCGTGGTCAACCGCAGCGAAGCGCATCGTGCGAAAAGTCTGATGCCTTCCTGCGCCGCGAACGACGAGATGCCGTGTCTAAACTTGGCTCAAGCTCTCGTATCCGCACGTTTCGTTTCGAAACATTTTGACGAACCCATCAGCACCTAAAGGATCCTGCCCGAATCCTCCGCCTTCCTTCCCTTCCGAGTAGGGTATCCACCTCCCCGCAAAAAAGGCCCAAGAGGCCCACCACCACGAGTGGGTGAGCCTTACAACGGCAAAAAGCAAGCAAGTGGTGAGATGGGTGTGCGCAACGTCATGTCTCAATACGAGATTATCCTACAACTCGATGGGTGACGATGGCGATGAGATGGATTGCTGCGCATTGGAAAAAATCCTTTGCGGCGACGGTCATCGCACGAGACGCATTCGAATGGCACGGATTGCGGCAACAGAGCATGCTTGGCAGCAATCTTACCCAAGCTTTCGCCAGGAAGATGATGATTGTGTGCAAGCTACAGTACGAAGTCCTCGTTGCCAGTGACGCACATGTTCAGCCTCAGACCAGCCCACTGACGTTATGAACCCACTTACCCAACCTCGCAAGACAGGATGTAGGGACTTTCATCAGGGTCCGGCATGTCAAAACCATGTCCTATTCAGCATCTCGCCAAGACCATGATGATGATTCTGTGCAAGCTGCAACGAAAGACCTTACTGGCAGTGACGCAAACTTGTTCAATCTCAAACAAGACAAGCCGTCTTACGCAATGTCTCAACGTTCATCGCAAGCCAAGATCCAGGTCATGGGTAGATCTTAATCTAGGGTCTTATCTTGAAAGTTCAATCAGCCTCCAAGGTCTACCTTGTCAGAAGCCACGTACACATACGCGAAGACCCTTGCAAGCAGAGCATCAACTTCAGAACTCGGCAGATTGTAACTTCGCCACCACGTAGACTCACGACCGCGTACACTATGCACAGACTTGTAAAGCATAGATGAGATTTTCGCCACCTTTACAGGGCATACTATGACACTAGGACTACTAAGAGACTAAGACTAAGGCCGTATTCAGACCGAGAGAGTATAGGATGGATATCATGACCATGTTCATTAGGGTAGAAGCGAACAGCATACTATGCGGCAGGGAGCAATTTTTGCAATAAAGACATGACTCGAAAAGAGACAATGGCAACGAAAGGGTATCGTAGCCCCCGCAGGGACCCAGTAAGTTGAACGCCTAAGAAACGCCATCGAGGCAGTGCAATCAAGTGCAACTATGCCGACAAGAGTGTTCAGTCATGCCGACCCAAACCCAAGAACGCCTTGCAAAGAAAGACAAAAGAGAAAAAGGTGGTGGTGATGGATGTGGCCGTGCCCTGCGGTGGTGGGTCCAGACCGGCATTGCAATTCATGCATTTATGCAAAGGGTGGATGGGTAAAGGTATACACAACGAAACGAAACGAAACAGGCGGCGCATGACATGCAAGATGCTGGTCGGGTGCCTGAAACAAATGGCAATCCCGTACTGCACTTTGCAATGCTATGCATTGCGTTGCGCAACCGCTGTTCGTGAGTGCTGAGGCCGGCTCGATTCCAGGCATTCGGGTTTTCGGTGGCTTAGAGCAAGTCCATGAGACTCTTGCGCTTGCGCACGCGCCGCGTCTTGAGGCTGCCTGTGCCGGCATCTTCGACCGGACACGGCGGAAGCTCGAGAATGGGCTCGCGCTCTTCGGCGCCCCTCGCTACCATTCTGCTGTTCCTCGCAGCAGACTTCATGGGCGAGATGGAAACACTCGTGACAGATCGCACAGGCATGGGCGGGATATCCGGCGAAGGGCCCCGCGCGGTGTTGGGCCGCGACGACAACATGCGCGAGTTTCGGCGCAGCTTGTTCGGGCCTGTTGACGTGGGTAGTGGGGCTGTCTGCGGTGTCAAGGGCGTGTACGGTGTCGATGGTGTAGGAGGCATGTTCCCTGCTTTAGTGCCATTGACCCTCGAGTCATACTTTTTTGAGGGACCGATTGCGATTCTCGCGAGCGAAAGCTTTTGCGAGATGGACCGGAGGCGCTTGTGCGGCGACTGCTTGATGAGGGGCGAGGCGGCGTTCGTGGTGGAGTTCTCGTAGGGGTCCGAGGAGAGGAAGGCGTGTGGTTCCGGTGACTGTGGGGTGAGCGGCGGGAAGGGCGCTAGAGGGTTGCTGGTGTTGCTTCGCGCACTCGACACGACGTAGAGAGAAGAGCGTGGTTGGAAGGTCGAACCTGCTGCGCTGACCGGACGGGTGGAGGTGACTGATTTTTCGCTCACCGAAGCTGAAGAGCTCCGGGGTGTGCTGCCACCGCTTTGCAGCGACGATTGCGATCCAGAATCGGAGAGTAGCATGGCACTCTTGTTGCTGTGGGAGTATGGCCTGCTTCCCATGGACGGCCTTCGGGTATCGATGCTAATTGCCGGTGATTTGGGACCGTTCATGGGGTTGACGATCATTGAGCGCGTTCGCAGGTCCTGTTGCCGCAGCTTGCCGATGGCCGCAATGGGCAATTGTGCCAGAGAAGCTGAACGAATTGGTGCTTCTAGGACGGGTGATTGTGCGAGTTGGATCATCTTGGGTCGTCCGGCCGATACATAAGAGACCGTCACGGCCATGTCGCAGCTCTTGCCCTTATCCTGGCGAGAGATTGACATTGTGCGTGCCCTGAAGAAGCCTGGGGTAGCTGGGGTGGCCGTGGCTTCGTGGATGCTCACATCGGAGTCGTAGTCCTCGTCGGTGGTGTTGCCGTCCATGGGCGAGAGATCTTCCTCAGACGAAAGGTAACGCTCCTGGAAGGCGGAGGGATCTTTTGCGTCTATGCTCGTGGCAGTATGCACGGCAGCAGTATGTATCCGCAGGGTCTCGGATGCATGGTGGGACAGGTCCGGGGACGATGCGGTGCTGTCCGAACGCTCTGGGCGGGAGTTTGCAGGCTTCTCGAAGGACCATTGCCGGAGCTGCGTCGACACAGCATCGACGGTGGCCATTGTTACTATTGAAAATTGTCAGAACACGGCATGCTCGACGGTGGGTGCTGGCGGTTATATGCTCGGGTGGTGATGGGTGGGCGGCGCGCGATGAAACGGAGGCGCTTGCAGGCTACGCACCAGAGGTATGAGATGTGCGTGGCTGTGGGAGCACAATGTTTGGTGAGACTGGTCAGACACCTGCGTCGTAGCAGCGCTGCACTTAGCCGTCAGGAGGGTCAGAGAGTGTCGATGGAGACACGGTGTGTATATGTTGGAGGGGAAAAAGCCCTTTGGCATGCCTAAGGGCATGGTATACCAGATATATTGCGGACGAACCGCAGGCCGTGCACCGCGTCCGTGAGCCCGCTGGAGGTTTCAAGAGAGAACTGGCGAGGCGCCCCCTGCCAGCAACCAAGCCCGCGCGCAAGCCAAGCCGCGAGCAGCCCGCTAGACGGCCAAGTCGTCGCCAGGGCCTCTTCTCTCCACGTCAAGTCCGCGCTGGCGATGCCATGTTCGAGCGCCTGCTGCAGCGTGTGCGACAGGAATACGGGCTCGCTGCACCATCACACCAAGTCACGGCGCGCGTGGTTTCAGCGCATAGCGGCATCCTCTCCTCCACGCATCTCTCGCCGCCCGCGTTGGACTAGACGCACTCACTCACCGCAACGGACGGCTCGCTGCACTGTCCAGTGTCCACTCCGCGGTGCACGATGGTCGCCTCAGTGCGCCATGCCGTCTTGGGCGTTTCCCTGCCGCTCCATCAGGGGCACGTCCACTCACAATTTCTCCCGAATCACGAGCATCCTCAGCGTCGCCATGCGGCTAGCGGCGGTGGAGAACGGAGCGCCACAGCCGGATTGAGGATTTGTATGGAGCCTCGCACCCTGGAGACCCTTCGCTAGCTTTGCTGGTCCCTTTGCCAGCGGCTGCCTCCATGCACACGAGAACGCTGGACCGATACGGGCGCTGGACGTTGACCTGAGCTGAACGGAAGCCGCCGTTGTGCAGACGCTCGACTGCCACCGCGCCCGCTCCAGTCGCACAGCGAAACCACGGAATGCTCTGCGTGCGTAGACGATGCACGTACAATTTTCATCCCTGCAGCAGGCCCGATGCTCCAGGAATAGCGCATCTGCTACTTTGAGCACCCCGTCCAACCGCAGACCCCGCCTGGCACCCACCTCGGCCTCCACCAGCCCGCACCCACTCTACCCTATATGAAAGATAATGCCATGGCGTTTCTGAAAAGTCCACGCGCGCCTTTACGTTTGCTGGCCTAATCTAGTCTCATATACACACACCATTAGCTGTCGGCGTACGCCATCCAGTGTCATTCTGAAACACCGTCCTCAGCCGCGGGGCCATGAACCTCGTTCCCTCTCTCCATGGGGGATCGGCACAAGCGACGTCGCAGTCAGCTTGCGCAGCAGCAGTCGCATTCGATCGCGTCGCACACACGATTACGAAAGAAGATAGCGGCCTAGCGGTGCAAGCCGCCGGCACTTGTAAAGTGTAGGCTACGCTACTCCAGGGTGCTCTCCATGCGCATCGTCACTTATGCGCCGTCATTCGCCGAACTATCCTCATTTTCTGCCACCTATCACACTGCATTGCCAGCACCATCACCCTACAGGAGGGTGCATCTTCAATCTCCCGTCGACCGTCTTGCGGTTGCTACACCGCATCTCAGACCCTTTCTTTCCCTGTGCAACACATGACCATGACCATCCCACCCTGAAAGTCCGGCCACACATGGCACAGCACCAGCGACTACCACCTCATCCGCAAACCGCTCTGTGGCCCCTTCCCGATCCTCTCCCAGATCTTCACGGACAAGCCCACTTTCGTCTCTACCTCGCCTCCACGCCTCCACATCCGTCCAAAGCTAACCCAACATAGCCTTCTACTTCTCCGACCCACCCAAGTCCGAACGTTCGCCAGGCGTACTTTCTGCCCTGTACGAGTGAGATAGCCCCGTGCACGCCCGACATAGGTGGCAGAGCTAAACCACGGACTCTTGGCCCCTCTACTTGCGGCTTGCAGGTCGGTGTCAGGCGGATGTCAGCCTGTCCGACGCCGCATCGCACACAATGACAGACCGACAGCAGATGGTGTCAGTGCTACACAAGCACGTGTCCAAGGCGAAACCCTATGGAACTTTGTGATACCAAGAATAACCCGTACCACGGTGACGTCTATTCGCTTCCTTCCGTGAGGAAGCGAATCCAACGTGAGCGCTGATCGCTGCATGCCTTACATGAGGATCGCATTCAAGCCTTGAAGCCATGCAGGTGATCAGTATACGAGATTACGTTGCTATCGTAGACCAAATCTATAGTCTTCGGAAGACATGGTGAGCTGTCTGAGCTCTTTAAGCGTTGAGCAACGGTCCCGGGTCTCGGCTTACCGCCATACGCGCCGTTGACAGCCACTGCCCAAGGCCTTACCAGTACTACACCGTTCAAGCTACGACCAGAATCCTCGCGCTTCCCACAATACAGTGCATTCCGACAAAGTGAAACATACCCCAATTCTGGCCTGGCGGCAATGTCGCAAAATTCTTGTTGTACCACATGTTCCTTATCAACAGTGATGTTCACTTTCCGTCAACTAATCAGCAAGTGCGTTGTGCAAATACGTACGCCGGAAAAGTTGCCCTCTTAATGTCTTCGCAGAAGGTGGGGCGGACTGACAATGCAGTTCCCTCAGTTATCAAACCAGGTTCCTACGCCTTATCAGCTCGATCAACTGGAACACTGCCCAAAATATTGACGACACAGTGGATAGTGAAATGCCTCCCCACAGGGACACGGTGTAGATTCAGACCCCTGCATCCAGGACTAACAGCAACCACAGCACAACAGCTACCCAACCTTCCGCCAATAAAATGTACGTGTTCCGCCCAAACCCCTTCGACGGGGCCGCGAAACACGGCCCTTGCCTGTTTTCGTCCTTACTGACGCCGCCGAACCGCCAAACACATTCACTGACCCTTTTTCGCCTTCATTCAAATCTTCATTCAAATCTATATCTCCTGCGCAGGTCTCGCTCGAGAGGATCTTGCATGACAACAGCACCGATGAATTTAAGACGCACATACCGCTCCACCGAGCGACCTCACGGTAGCGTATCGCGCTCGAACTACCCTGCGAAGTATCTCAAGCCAGATCTACCAGGTAAGAAGTATGTCCCTGTAGGTGATACGTATAGGAAAAAGGCGGTGAGCAATGCCTCGTCTATAACAACTTTCCTTGTAGAGGTTGCCTATGAGAAGTCTCCCAAGGCAGTGGAGAGGTCTAGGTCTCAGAGTGAAAGCTCGGGATATTAAAGTGAGTCCGGTGAGAGCACGCAGGGTGTGGGCCCTTTTGGAGAGTATGAAGGCGAGGACGAGGAGGAGATATTGTCTCCTTTAATTCCGAAGTCTGTGAAGTAAGTCTTACATGTAAAGGTAAGCACAGATAGTAGTAGAAGCGTCCGAGTGCTCTATTCTCTAAGGTGAGGAAAGCTAAGTTTGATTTTACTGTGGCCATGCGATCACCGAACGTTATCAATAGGGGAAGTAAGCTTTATTCCTCTTTTTTTCGCGCAGGTAACATCATGACACGTTCGAATCACATTCAAGACCGTTTTAATTCAACATCGCGCAAAAAATATTTGCCCAGCTAGTAGGCCCAATACATGTGTACCGCTGCATGCGGTGCTATCGTGTCGTTTTGTGTAGACTCTGGTGCATCCCTTCGCCGCATCTGCATGTTTTATGAGTGCTATGCCGGCATGCCTTCGATACCCTACTACTCCGCTCCCTCAGGTAAAGCAAGAGAAAGTACTGAGCAACTCGCACTTCTTCATACGGCAACGGCAGTGGATTCCCTTCCACATGCAAGTACGCGCACGCCCTCCGGATCTTACACCGTGGCTCAAGCAGCCCCCAGTGTGCATCCCGCTTCTAGCCGAGAAGAATACGCATCTTAATCCGACAAAACGGAATGCCTAGTCGTGGAAGATAGGTTATTACCGTGTCCATTAAAGAAAACCAAACTCTATCCTCCAGACTTCATCCGCGCGTCCTTACTGCATGGGCATATTGTACCGATCGAGATGTCGACACATGAATAAAAGACAGCAGCGCATCCCGCGCTTCTTCATATGGCAGCAAAACCCAACGTCTCCATTTCCACCAAAGAAGCGAAGAGCATCCCAGTCACCTGGCTCGTCGAGCCTGACGTGCATGAATACCCAACTTTCGCTCGGTACCGTGGTCCCAGCTTCCGGCGGGTAAACTGGCTGCGGATAGATGGCCATCCCACCAACCCATTAAACCCCCATCTGGACTACATTATCAACATCCTTGTCGAGATCAGAGATTCGGCATCTAGATTAGGCAGATTGGGTTTTGTTCAGAGTAACGTCCGCGTGACCTCGAAGAGCGTTTGGTATGGCTTGAGTTCGACTTCGCTGTCGAGAATGCTGCGATGTAGGAAATAGAGCGTTCGTGACCGAGACATGGCGAAACCAGCTATTTTCTAACCGAATTATTTGCTTCCTTGACCAATAGCCAGAACCGCAATCTTTTTGCAACGTGTAGGCTACACGTTGCTCTTTTCATTGCATGACTTGTGTATACGCCGACTACCTCCACTTCGCTTCCATATAGCCAAACTATGAATTGAACTATTGAAGCAGAAACTTCTTGACTACCTGTCAAAGATATCCAATACAACTTACTCAAACCTTCAAGTGCAGTGTATCATGATGGGTCTTTGAGTGTCACTTCTCATGTCGTACGAACGACTAGCCACTTTCAGTTCGGCCACGACTACCTTTCCTCATCTTCTATTTGCGCGGTGTATCATGCACACAATTTTATCGAAAGCTTGACACGGGTGGATATAACTCTTTTGCCTTCCAAGAACTGAAAGTAATTCAGAAACCTCATAAGCCATTGATCCACAACGTAGCATTCAAGATCTTGAATACTTCTGCTTCAAATGTAGCTGTTCATTTTGTTCGCGTGCACTGGCAGCCTTCTTCACATTCTCTATAATGTATGGATCATATAGAAAGATACTTTGAAATAATTCCACTTACTCTGTTGGAGGCCTTTATGTGTACTTCAGCACACACTGACATCTTAAGCCAAACAAATCGAAGATCTCTTCGCAAGCAATACCAATGACCGACGACCCTTAGACATCATCATCATACATACCAACCACCCACCCCCTCTTGCCCAACCCATGTTCCTCAAACCTAGCTATCAAACGCCGTCGGCCCCGGCGCCGGGCCCTCAGGCCCGCCCCACTTCGCCAACAAGTCCTTCCACTCCTTCAACTTCGGCGCCACATCACTCAGCACCTTCTCATACTTGGCCATAGCTTCGGACGCTTCCCTCATCACTTCCACCATCTTTTCGTCACTGCCAGCATTGACTTGTGCTGACAGTGTAAGAATCTTGGGGTACCAGGCTTCCGAGGCGTCGTCGAGTTCGTTCGCTACCTTTTTGATCATGGGGATGTGGGTGAGCTGGAGCTCTTTGCGGGCCATCCGGTAGAGCTCTGCTTTGAGTTTGGGGTCGGACATGCTTGGAGGTAGGCGTGTGGTTGTTTGAGGGCGAATGTTGGGGGTGAAATGGAAAGTTGGTGGGATCATTGATCATGATGTGCGACTGTATGTTGTAGTTGCAGCAGCGTTTGTTGTTGAAGCAGGCGGTCGAACAGCGTGACTATGGAAGAGGAAAGCAAACGAAGAATTCCTTGCTATCGTCTACTCCTTTACGTTCGTTAGAATACGCTGGACGTGCTTTCGTCTACCACTGACTGTAGTTTATGGCCCTATGCCTAGAACATGCCAACAGTAAGTTAATTCACTAGACACATAAGAAAGACAGAGGTTGATACTGTGAAGGCGGTTTCAGATCCGCTTGGAATTGAAGGTACTGCAGAAGAATCTATACAGTGACCTTGTTACAACTGTGATCTCTATCGAGTGACAACAACAGAATCGTGAATATGCCCGCTACCCGCAATCGTTTCCATACCAATCATTTTCCATAATCACATGTCGTATTTTTCACCTTGTCCTTGATGGGTTTCCCCTGAATGACCAACATAGCCGAGGAGCAGAAGATGTTTGCAAGAGCGAGAGATGAGTCTACTCGTGCATAAAACAACATCTGCAGCCGCGGGTTGAAAGTGGTCATTCATCCGTATGATCTAGCTGCGGGATCCATAGAAACCACCGAAACCGCCGTTGCTGGTACGAGCAGACGGGTTGGGCGAAGTTGAGAGAGGAGAGTGCTGACGATCCACATGACCACGCGGACGTGGAACAGCCGGAAGCGAACGGTGATGATGCTGAGGACGACGACCCGGAGCAGCAGAAGAAACACCAGGGCGATCTAAGAACGACCGGTCGGTGGTGGACTTCATGGCGAGCTTCCCATCTACGTCCGCACCTCGCACTTGGTTCCATGTGGCAGTCGAGGCCACCGGTGCAGGAACATTCTCGGGCTTCTTCATTACTGTGCGTAAGTGTTCAGGTATGTCGCAAGCGCGGACACTAGTACCGTCTTGTCGCTCATACGCTCGTCGAGGATGTTCCCGCACGGTAACATCGACCGAGACCAAGTCCGAGGTGGAGACATGTAGACGAGCGTTCCGGTTGGGGAAGGCTGCAGCCGTGTTGTTGCGAGGACGGCCGTTGAGGGTGTCTGCAAGACGTCGGTCTGGCGTGGTAAAGACATGTCAGTGAACAGTAAACCGACGATGTCACAAGAGCTCGCTGGATGCCACCAAGTTGCGAACGTACGGAGTCTTCAGAGCTAGGACAGAGTGGCGGTTGGGGAAGACAAACAAAGGTTGAACTTACAGGTAGAAGTGCTGGATGCCGGCTCTGAGCCATGCCCATGGTTGGGACCTTCGCGCTGGGTGGTCGCTGAAAGAGTCAGTCGAAGCAGCAAGTATTCAAAAGGTGTCGTATATATACCGCGCGCTTTGCCCTCTTGAACCTTCGATACCTCCTTTCCCCCCTTGTGACCGGTCGCGAGCTGATTGTTCGACGCTGATAGTGTCAATGACCGGATACAGATGTTATCAAGAGAGACTTACGAGTGTGAACAACTTGTTTGACCTTGGAGTTGACCTTGCGCGGGGCGACCTGGATGACGACGGAGTGCGCAGCTAGACGCTCCGCATCTAAGTTATTTAGTGCTTGAACAGCAGTGTACTCTAGTAGAAACATACCGATGAAGGCCTGTTCCTGGTCCTTGCACCTACTAGCAGCTGTATCGAGCATTCGGCGGTAGAGCCCACGGGGTTGGCGACGCTCCTGCTGGCGCTGCTGCGCCTTGTCGACCTGGGTCAGGTTTGCCATAGACATGTTTGCTTTCGTATTGACTTTGTAGTTGACAGGCGCCACGTTGGTACCTTCGAGGTGTGAGCGAACGTGCGGTGTAGTGAGTTCTGATGGAAGCAGAGCAAGCATTATATGCAGGTGGACCGAGTACCTGGGGTGGCCTACGCGCCTCGTTCCCTTTCCAGCTGGCGTCACTCGACCACTAAGCAGTGAAGTTAGCCGCAAATGGAAGACATGGCACCAAATGATATAGATTCACCGAGAACGGGAAACGAGGAAACGAAGATGACAACAACCCGGTCGGGACGGAAGAAGGCAAACAGGGAACGGGGGAACGGGAGACCGCAGATGGAAACGGGTGCATACATCTCGTCCATACCGTTGACTGTTAGCGGACACTTCGACAGAATCGAATAACCAAGCACTCGATGTCGAGGGTGGCGAATGAGCAGAATCAAGACTTGTAAGGCCACGCAAGAAGCAGTCTCGACGGGTTCATGTCCCGTTACAGTGGACAATGCCTTGACAGGCATCCAACATGACATGGGAACTGGCATATGCGCCTCGCCAGCCCGACTTGACTGCGAAATGGCGAATGCCGCTTATCTTTTGAGCTCTGAACCCAAATCAGCTACCTAATGGTAAGACTTATACGCAATTTACTCCTACTTACCTCAACACTCCCGAACCGATCCCATATCCACCAACCTTACATTTTCTCGTCAGAACCGCCGGACGCACCCTGAATGCTCCCTGAAAAGTCTTCGCCTGATCATGCGCAGCACAGATCTTATAATCCCCCGCTTCTTGACAGATGTCTTGTATGTCGGGTGGTGTGGCAGTCTCTGCTAATGCGCTTGATGTTGTAGTATTTTTCGATTCTACGGTGAAGAGGGAGGGAAATTTGGGCGCGTAATTAAAAACAAATTCTTTTGTGCGGTGGTGGACTTGGTAGATGTTGTTAATACATCGAAGTCCCAAAACGCATCATGAAGGTAAGGATGAGACATTTAGGCATTAGTTTTAGAAGTGATGCTCAGATTTACGAGAAGAGAGGCTCTGAGCTTGTGAGTTTGTCAGGTAAAATGAATTGCAGATACGCTTGACCCGTAGCCTGCATCTGGGCCGCCACTCCTGGCGCAGGCCGCACCTGCAAACCCAATGCCGGCTACTTGATTGAAGACTGTAAGTGAAAGCACTATAAGCTAGGTAAGCTTTCTTAAGTGCCAGCAGATGATTCTGAATGTTAGCATCTCTATATGAGACGAATGTCTACGGGTATATCCTTCTCATCGTCCTCTTTACGTCCCGAGTCGCCCCTGGCGACTTTTCCCACGACCTTTTATACAGCAGCATCCAATGCCTCTTTCTCGGTCTTTCCCCCCTTTTCTAATTGCCTCGTGATACTTCCGTTCGCGCCCCTTCCGCCAGTGGGATCCTTCCCTGCCGCAACCGCATCATCAACATCTGCATACTGTTAGCAAATTACTCATCCCAACCCCAAATAAGGTTCACCATTAATCGACTGCCTACCCTGAAACCCCTCATCCATCTCCGCCGCCTCACGCCCTACCCACCGCTTCATCTTGTGGCTCACGAACTCGCTGAAATCCCACTCTTCGTTTTCCAGATGCGACGCAGGTGCAACCCAAATGTATGTCTCGGCCTCAACCTCCTCGCCCTCGATGTTGTCTTCTTCTTTAGCCGCGAGGTCGCCCATACCGCCTTCGCCCTCTTCCGCCTTGCCGCCCTTCTGCTCCAGAACGCGCACGCGAACTTTCCGCCGCTCGTACATGTCACCCTCGAAGATGTCAAGCCTCCAGATGTCGCCGTCTGTGAGGCCTGTGACGAGGGTGCCGCGCACAGATGAGGAAGGGGAGGGTAGGACGGCGGGGTAGTCTGCGTGACGAACTTGGCGGCGTTGGTGGGCGTGTAAGATGGCCGGGCGAATGTGGAGGAGGGACGCGTGGGCCGGTGTTGGCGGGGTGGGCTGCCCCCAGATTACACGGTGAAGGACGGGAGGGGCCATCAATGTGCCGTAGAAAAAGGCTGTGTGCGTGCCATCTGCCATGGTGGGAGGGTCTTGTGTGCTGAAATCTGTGAGATAGTCTATAATGTCTGCAAGCATATCCGCGTCTGTGCAGAGGAGACTTGATCTTACAGTTTGTTGATTTGGCTGAAGGCCGCGACCTCTTATAAAATGTAATTGTGATCCAAACAATTAAGACGGATACTAGAAGACAGGAACTGCGCAAGCAAGACAAAGGCTGCCACCCTTCTGAGAGTATTGAAGGATGTCTGATGTTTGTCTTTGGCCCCGCCAAACACCAGCCAAATGACGACGCCGATAAGCCCTTATCGCAGCCCTGCAACGGGAACTAATGCACGAAAGCTTAGCCTATGATCGGCACGCCGCGGCTCCTTTTCAATGGGTTCGAATGCGAAATAAACAATCGTAATTTCCTGCGCATCCGGCGCGAGAATTGCGGCGCCTCTTGCGTCCCTTCTGACCTCCGACCAACGCGTCGCACCGTCTTTTCCCTCTGCTTCTGCCTCCGCGTTTGGAGAAGACTACAAAGCCACCATGGGCTTCATCAATGACATCGTCACCTCCATCGCGCCCATCTTGTGCGTGACCCACCACCCACCAATCCCCCTACCACAGCACTAATAAACCTCCAGCATCGCCACAAGCCCGGTAACCAGCTATGCAGACCAAATCTACAGCATCCACCGCACGCGCTCCTCCGCCGGCTTCTCTCTTGACATCCCCCTCATCATGCTCGTCGCCAGCATCCTCAAGATCTTCTACTGGTTCGGCGCCCATTTCAGCACCTCGCTCCTCGTCCAAGCCCTCCTCATGATCATCGTCCACATCGTCCTTCTCCACGTCGCACTCACCAACCGCCCTCCTCCGTCACATCTTCCTTTCCAGCCCGCCTCTGCGCGCAAACGCCCGTATGATTTCTGGCAGTGGAGGAGTACACGACCGTATTGGATGTTTGTGAGCTACTTCACGCTTGTGTTGTTGGTGCTGCATGTGCTGCTTTCCTCAACGGCATTGTTCATGCCGTATACAGAGTTCCTGGGTATGGTTGCGCTGACGGTCGAGGCGACGCTCCCTCTGCCGCAACTGCTGGCTAATTACCAACGCCGCGGGTGCAGGGGTTTCCGCCCGTCTGTCATCGCGAACTGGATCGTCGGTGACACCTTCAAGATGTGGTTCTTCTTTGCATCTTCGGCAGGTGAGGTGCCATGGGCGTTCAAGATCTGCGGCATATTCCAGGCTACCTGTGACCTGGGTTTGGGCCTGCAGTGGTTCATTTGGCGCGACGGACCAGAAGGCGTGGCTGCGACGGGCGAGAAGGAGCTGAGGAGTCCACCGCCGGAAAGATTGGGAGAGTCATTCGAAATGTTGAAGGGTGGACCTGGATATGGCGAGAAGGGTACAATCGGCGTGGGCATCGATCTGGGAGACAGCGTGGGAACCTGGGAGAGACAGAGTCGGGATATGAGGTGAATAGGTGGCAGGAGAGAGTAGATGAAAGAGACGAACACATACACGATCAGACGATCTGACAAGATACTACGCATATAGACCTCTGGGCATTATGTAATTTCTAACCCAAACTTATCCGAGCGAGTCAGTCCACATTCGGGTATCAAGGCATCTGGACGGATAAATCTGGCACATTACGCATGTAGGGCTGACTTATGCATCCGATGCATCGAATTCATCATTTAGCAGGAAGTGTCCCTGCTCGCCATCTACACGACCAAAACATGGCTCACCACGTCGCATCTATATACACCCCCACACAACCCTCAAACCAGAAAATGAGGTGTCAGCTAATTCATGCTGATGGATATGAAATGGTCCGTTGACATCCGCACAATCCAAAAACTCCTGTTATGCTTGGATGCTTGCACATCCGAGGGTGCAGAATACATGTGCTGACAAAGCGCCATCGCCATGCGGGTAGTCGTGTAATATATTGAAAAGTGAAATAATGAAAAGGTTTAGCATGTCCAGGAGTGGTAACCTGTACCCTTGCCGCGCGGGGAGATTGCGCTGTGTATGGCGCGGACATCGCTTAGGTGATGTTGATGGGCGATTTGATACAGGCGATCTGATAGATACGCATCGCACGTAGGCAAACGTGCTCGCGTTCAGCGAAGCTTGAGTCGAGATATCATTTCAAGGATCATGAGGCGGGGTTTCCGGCACTTCGATTGTTTTCTCCGGTATATCGTCTTCCTGCGTCTTAGCCCTAAATCTGGAGCGGGCCGGTGGATAGTTACGATACGCTGGAGAACTTTGTGCCTGAAAACGTTGCGGATGCGCTTGGGGATCATCAATCACATCGGGAGAGTGATTTGCCGACCTTGTCTCTCTTCTTCGCACAGGAGAGCTCCGTTCAACATTGACTTTTGCAGGGGAAGACATGTGCTGCTGGTGTTGGCGCTTCGGCGGAAGCCTGGGCCCCTTTGCGCTCTTAGGAGTTGTGACGATGAAGTCAGGTCCCTGAGAACTACGTTTTGTACTATGTGGAATGGCTTCGGTTGCTAACACCTGGGTTTCTTGCGAATCGTCAAGCGGAATTGGATCTCGACTGCTTCCTTTTGCTGGCAAAAAATCTCCTCGAGGTGGCGCTAGTGTTGAGGTCTTCGAAAATTGTTTGGGGAGGCTTTCGGCCTTTGGGTCCGGTGAACGTATGCCCACTATACGAGGTTCTCCTTCTAAAAAGTTCTTCACTGGATTGGGCTCGATCCGCAACTTCTTTCGAATCGTCTCGTCCGGTCTGTCCCCGACCACAGTCTCTCTTCGCGATCGTTTTGGGGACTTCCTTACCGGTGACGGAATCAAGACTATCGGACTTCTGCTCTTGCGAGGTACGGCGATAATAGGCGAAGCCTGTCGGTCACTGGTGGGAGGTGTTTCCTTGCGCTTGACTTCAGACACTGCGTCAGTCTTGGTTGGTGTTGGCAGGCTTAATGAAGGAGAACTGTCGCGCTTCTTGGGCCGCTGAGGCTGAAACGGTGAGCCGAGCCCAGGTTGCGGCTGAGTGCTTGACAAACTAGGTGGCTTTTCTTCCCCAGGGGTGATGGTTCTTTCTGGATTGGTTGTGGCTTCCTGCACATCCAATCTGTCATTTGCATTTCCTTCTTTCTCCGCAACAGTCGGGTTCTGCTTGACATTATTTTTCGTGGCGTTCACGGCAGCACCCATCGTGCCGTTCTTCTTGTTCTGCTTCATCTGCTGCTTCGCTTGTTGACGCTCCGCCTCTTGCTCGGTGTTCAGCTTCTGCAAAATGTCACGCATGGCAGCTCGCATATCTGGCATAGCCATATCTGGCCAGTCAGTCTCCACATGCATCTCGCCTGAGAGCAGTCGATTTTTGAAGACGTCAGGATTCTCAAAGAACTTTTGCGCATACCCTAGGAGATACACACCGCAGTCACTGAAGTTCTGTTGCTGCGGTATTTGACTCTCTTTGGCGTAGTACGCATTTTGCGATATCTTAGCTTCCATGCCCCGCTTCTCATGGCCCTCTGCAATCATATACTCTTTGAGGACTCGAACAGCAGGACTTTTGGCACCACCGCCGAGTGAGTCCAAGACGACGATGACGGGCTGATTGAGGTCCCATTTCTTTAACGGAGGACCAAGTCGACGCTTTGGCTTCTTGGGCGACAAGAATGAGCTGCTGCTAAGCAAGATGCCTTCCGGCTTGCTATCATTAAGACTCAGTTTGTTCAATTGTGCAGTCTCCGCGGCGGGAGACTCCGCAACGCTACTGCTGCCGCTCGGTGCGTGCCGGCCTGGGTCATGGCCAGTTGCACGCGGATCAACTATGTTGAGGTCTGAATCGTCGGGATCAACCACTTCGTTTGCAGCACGTGGTGCCCATGGTTCTGAAGACGCATCCACCAGCGCAGGTGGCGGCATCGACTGTAGATCTCCGGCCTTCAAATCATGTGCTGCAGATTCCCTGCTCGGTTCATTTAGGATTCCTGAAGAAGCGACTCCATCACTTTTGGTGAGATCTTCGATAGCTGGCGTACGGGCGATGTTGGAGACGTTGCAAATGATTGCGAGATACCAATGAATATCCTGATTGATAGGTACCACAATGTAGTCGTAACTGAAAATGTCTTCTTTAGATGTCCACCTTGCGACTCCTTGGTAGTTGATCAAGCCCTTATGACCGGGGACTTTGCGCGTTAGAGTCGTAAAGAAGTGTGTATTAAAGACGTAGACTTTTTCGCGAGGGACTTTCATCTGATCGAACAAATACAGTAGGTAAAAGTCGATGAGCTGATCATTTAGGAATTGGCCATTGTCGAGACGCTCTAGGTCCGCGAAGTCGACGACCGCGCGGCGTCGTCCGGAGCCATAATTCAACTGTTTCTTCCACGGAGGACCCAAGCCGTGTATTTGCGAATATCTTTCTACCTCAGGTTCGTCTTCGAAATCCCCCGAATCCACAGCGTGCGCTTGGGTAGCCCGAGTGCTTCGCATTGGGCGCCCTGAGGTGCGCTGCTGGATCTCGTGCTGAGTGGGAACTCGCACAGACGTGAAGGACTTCTGCGATGTCGGATCACTGTATCCGGGGGCCAAGTTATCCAAAAGTCTAGGACGTTCCATAACGTTTGACACTTGGACCACTTCATCACGGCCTCTAGGCGGAAGCGACGCGTTCGGTGAAGTTGAGGTGACAGCCAGCGGTTTCTGGAAAATCGTTTTCATGAAGTCTCTGTTGTCATAGTTAGCATGAATTCAGAAGACACTGAAGGGAATTTCTTTATTTAAGGCATGTTGCAACTTGCCAGGCATACGCAAGAAAAGGTATTGAACAAGATTGTAGCGGCCCCTACTTACCGCGATTTCATAGTCAAGGATTTCATGGTTATGGAATTGCCGAGCGCGGTCTCAAAGGCAGCTAGGTCTTCTTGATTCTCAAACTGCAGGTCCACCATGTATTGAACACCAGCGGCGTCCGTGGAACCAGTCAGACGAATACGCGATGTGTGATCTGATTGTGCACTGACGACCTTCTTTAATGAGATCTCGTACTTCATGTCGTTCGGATCCGAGCTTGTGATGCGATACTCATTCAAAACCTTCGAGTTCAGAAATAGGTCTTGACCGTTTCCATTGAAATCATGCGCTCTGGTCCATCGTAATGGCCAAGGTAGAATCTCTGCCATATCACCACGGGCGGAAGAACCCGGCAAGGGTGCTCGGGTGAATTTATTGCGTAGATTATCAGGTTTTCGGACCGCTCGTTGAGTCAAAGGATTTGTAGAGTGGTTCATTTTGGGCGCAAAGTGCTTTGAGGTTGTTTGCGGTATTCGCTGTTGACTAGCAGTGTCTCTCACACCTTCAATACCTTGTTGAAATTTCTGTAATTGTAGCTTCCTCGGCGCGTTGTAGTCAGGTATGTCGTCATCATCAACGGTTATTGCTGATGATTGAGCGTTACCGTTGATGATTCCCGAGTGGCCTTGGCTGGCAGACGTCCGTCCCTTCTTTCGTCGAGGATCAGCTATGGCAGAAGCTCTTTCGAATTCGCTCCGACTATCTTTTGGGCCTGGCAAGGAAAAGGAGCCACTGCCTGCGCTTCGACGAGATGCAGGCCGAGATGTTTGAGTTCCAGGTCTTATCTCTTCGACGTCTCCATCGTCATAAACACTTATCGCATGCGGCTGTTCATTTTCGGTTCTTCGCTTTTTTGTTGGACGAGTTTCCGCACTGAAGCGCTCTTCCTCCAGAAAATCCAAGTTCGAGTAGTTTGTCCGGGCTGGGCGGCCATAAGTCTTGTGGGCGCTGCCAGGATGATACGTTGGCTGACTCAAGGTATTCTTGGGCTGAGGAGCGAAAGTTGCGCCGGGCTATTGGCCGTCAGTGTCTGTTTGACGCGTGAATGCGCGGGCAAGGAATATACGCACCTTGGGCATGCCGTTTCTGCGGTCTACGAAGTGAAACCGAGGGTCAGGCAGAGGTATAGCCTGAGATTTACTGCGACGTCGTCAACTCATGTTCATCTGTCACGGGCATAGAGAACTATCGTATACCTGGGTTTCCCAGAGACAGGCTTATCGGACTCGCGACTGTTCAGAGTGCCGTTTGGTTTGGGTAGGCTTGCAATACGTTCGAGACCAAGAGAGGGAGCTTGGATTCGTCGCGTGGGAGAGGTGAGGTCTATTGCCGCAATCGCACGGCGAGAGGCAGTGGGAGAGTGGGGTGTGCGAGGTGTGCGAGGTGTGCGAGCGCGGTCAGGCTCCGCGGCATCGTTTGTCTGTTTCTCGTCAGCTCAGGCTCTCCCGCTATAGTTTGACATCCGGGTGAGACAGGTGCACGCACAATATGAGCTGTTGGTGCGGGAGCATTTGAGGCTCCTCCAACAAAGCCAGAGACGCTGTTCACTGTGCTAGAGATGGTTTGCTTGAGCGTGTCGAACATGGCATGCTAGGGCGCGGCACGACTGGCGGAGAGGAGTATCCACGAATCCGAGGGAGCGAGGAAGGAGCATGTAAGAGGGTCAAGGAAGCCATTTGCGCAGCGGGAACGCCCAAGTGAAGGCGCACGTTTGACGCATGTCTTCCACTTTGTGCGGTCCTCGCGGGAGAGGTCCGAGCGTCTCGCGGGCATCATCATGCAGCTTCCCATGTGGGGAACGACGGACGTTTTCATGATCAACCTCGAGATTATTGATTGTTACCTTTACTAATTGTTACCTTTACTACGGGCTAGTATGGTCTCTGGGTTTTAATGCTGTGTTTTCTTTTCTTACGAGCGCATCTTCACTTCCTATGCACCTTCCCAAGATAGCCACGGCAGGCACCATCCCAATCGTCCCGAACAAAGACATGTGCGCTTAATTAGGCTCAAGCGCTGTTTGCCTGCTCAGTGCACCGTTAGGTTTGCAAACAAATTACGGTGACACATACAATGCGAAATGCTCACTACTCACATATATCACACATATCATTTCTATCATGAGACATGGCCTCAAGAAGCCTAAAAGTTCATGACCATCACCTGCTCAGGCGAAGAAATGGGGAGACGAGCTCCGTTCGTGTGTTCCGTGTGTAACATCAGTAGCTGCAGTGCAGTGCTCCTTGTTCCTAAACCAACCATAGCACCAGACGCTACCCAAGCCCTATAACGGGTATGTAGAATACAGAATCTCAAGAAAGGAAAGCATGCAGTCGTCAGAGTCCGCCTCGCGCCAGCCAATGAGAGACGTGCGAGGTGAAAGATGACCGCCGTGAAACAATGCTAGGTAATCAAACGAAGCACGCTATCCAAAGGAGCCTAGGAACGAGCCACGCAATGCTAATGGGATGACGGGATGAGAAGCGTAAGGAGACAGAACTGCCAAGCCGTGTGTTACTTTGACGATTCTTCAGTGTTGCTGGTGTTAGGTCTTCGCTTCTCTTGGTGGCCCTTGTCCTGGCGTGCTTGGTCGATTGCCGTTCGCTGAGCGATGCTCTCGTCGTGACTGCGCCAGGTGATGATGGTGCCTTCGGGGAGGTTGAGCACGCGTTTGACGGTTTCGCTATGATTGTCAGTAACGATTGTTGTGCCATGGTGTTGAAACTTACCGAATCTTGATGTTGCGGCCGCCGTCGTTCTTGGTCCAGATGCTGAAGACGTCTTCACCGCTCCGCACGCTGAGCACAAAGCCGCACACCTCTTCTGTCGCCTCCATGAACTCGCCCCCGGTCACTGCCATGAGCAGCTCTTCCCAATAACGATCGGCTACACCCTTCTTCAAGCGCATGATCCATTTGCCGCCACGCTTATTTTCGTCGTCCTCCCACACAGGACGAATGCCTTCTTTGAAGAAGTGATAATCAGATACGGTAGGTAGTGTTGATGGTCGTTTGAGATGTATAAAAACCTTCCAGAACTCTTGCACGGTGCTCATTCGACACAGCGCCTTGGTAGACTTTTCGTAGTCCGAGTTTTTGGGCGTGGGCGGGCGGTACCAGATGACCCAAGTGTACTTGAGCGGCCATGGCACGCTGAAGTCTAAGGGCGCAGACGAGACTGGTGCCTCTTCCGAGGCAGTGATGGAGAGCGATTCCTTTCGGGCGCTGTTCACAATCTTGCCCGCCGGCTTCTCTTTTTTCTCGCCCGGTGTCGTGGGTGCGCCTCCACTCATTGTTGCGGTTTTGAAGTCGAAGGCGGTGCCTGGCGTTTTTGGGGTCTTGTTCGCAGAGCCGAACGAAGCGAATGCGCCTGATCCAAGACCAAATGCGGTCTGGCCAGAAGTGGTGGGGGAAGCGAGGCCGCCAGCGGTTATGGGGGAGAGGGCATTGAAAGGGTTGCGGCCGCCGTGGGATGACGTATCACCAAAGCGTTTGGTGGCAGAGAAGGTGCGTTGCGGTGGATCGGACTTTCCATCACCGCTGCTCATGGAAAGTGAAAGCTTGCTGGTACTGCGCGCGTGCCGTCAGTCTCAAACCACATGGCGGGGGTTGCGGGGAACGCACTTGGATCGGCGGGTCCATAGGTTGTCTCTGCTATCCATTGGCAGTCACTGATACTACAACAAGGGCAATCAGAGGCACGCGGGCTCTGCTAGAAGCTTGGTGGGATAAAAGAGCGAACAAGCGGCAGAGGCGGCGGGCCAGCGGCCAAAGGCGATGGCGAGGTGCGAAGCTTAAGAGCAGTTGGGACGGGTCAGCGGGTGCAGCTATGTGACTTGTTGGTGCGTAGAAATTAAAGAGGAGTAGTTAAACGGGAGGAAGACTGGACGGGTGGTTAGCTTGCGAGGTGTGAGTGGTGCTATGTCCGGAGACATGAAAACGTTTGAGGGTTGGTCTGTCTGTGGCGCCCACGAGCCACAGCAATCCACTGACGCGCGCTTGCTGCGGGTAGTTGCTGGAACGGCCCGAGCTCCTTAGAAAATATCATCTCGCGGCGGGCCCGTCGTCCTTTCTCTTCTTTACAGCACCGGCCTTCTACTCAAATCATCGCCAGTCGACAACCTCCACTCGACTGGCGACTCCGAAGCTGGCCCAGAGTGAGCCATCCCTCTTATAAAACCATCATCACGAGGGCCGCCTGTCGGCTTCCATGATGCGGTGATGACCTAAAAGCAGGGACATTCTTTGTCACGCGCAGCGCCTGAGGCTGTCTTGCAGCCCTTCCGCGTTCCTTGTGAGTGCAAGCTTCCACAGCCACCATTCCCGTGATGACAGTTCATTGGACTATCACTTCTGGTAGTCCGAGTCGGCCAGGACCTACACTGTCGCGTTGCGATGTCCTTGGTCGACGTTGACGTTCAAGGCAAAGTCTGAGCAATGTATACGTTGGAACAACGATTAGTGTGCTTGCGATTGTTGCTGATACATCCCACAGCGACTGCAGCCGACAGCTACTCTGAACTCGTGATGTTGAGCCTGCCCAGGTGGATCATGCAGCCTTGTTACCAATCTCCCGGGGGCTTTTGCCTAGAGTATGACGGTGCAGACTCGCAAGCACAACAAGTGTTCATTGGTCGCTACCCTATGATGCATCATGTAGATGCGGAGCCTCACTAGAGGTTCTCTGCAATAGCTATCGTGACCTGCATGTAGACCACATGCATCGCGTATCATCAGTAGCACCTGACCGCAGCTGCGTCAAGCGTTCTAACGAATACGCATGCTTTGAGTGCTTTACGGCATTCTGCCTCCGCCTTCAACATGAAGCTCACAGATAGATGGTTGAACTGCGTCAGTAGCTGCAAGGTACCATACAGAGTACATTCACCTTCAGGTGGACGGCAATACGATCGATGCGCGGACAAGCGAGAGACATGTGTCGCGCAGCAACTGATCGGCATCCTTACCGTGTATCCGCGCATAGCGAGCCGAAATGGCTGAGCTGTGCCACCTCTTCACATGCGAGAGTGCACAGCTGCCTCGAGGAGGCAACCATACTTCTGCAGAGATGATAGCAGGCGCGTGCTGCACGCTGCACGACACATATAAGCTTTAGTTCCTGCAGCTGCCCGCTGTTCCCTCCGGAAGTAGATTCGCGGGCGACATACGTCATTCTCTCGTGCTAGGCGGCTTGTGCTTTGCGCTTCACCACGGCAACCCAGCAACCCCTCTATCCATCCATTGCACCTTCCCACCCAACCCTGCTACTCCATCCACCGCACGCCGACCTGCTTCCATACTTGGTTCTGCTCTCACTCTCATCTTCCACGAATCCTTTGCAAACCGCTGACTGAGCACCCAACGACCATCACCCCACCAGGGCCGCCCACGTGTCGGAGAAGCTATCGCTGTGCAAAAAGCTCCCACTTGATTTGTACCTACACTACAACCAACATGACGCAGCATTCCCCAGAGATTCACTCGCCGTCGGCACACCCACAGCAGCGGCCAAAAGGTGAATTTCTGCTACCCCGCCGTGTATATTGCGAGGTCGCTAACAGTAAACAGGCATCCTCAAGAACTCGAGCTCATTCCGCGGCCAGAGCTCCGTGTCTCCGACGAGCGAGGTCACTCCTCCGCCACTTGGCCAGACCGTCTCCAATGAACGACCTGGTATCGGTCGCGAGCTTTCTGAGAAGGAGATCGTCCTTGAGAACACGCTGCGAAATGCGGGCCCGCACCGCCGCTCTTCGTCGAACCCCCGCGGCCCCGGCTCCCGTCGCCAGTCCGGTACCAGCGTGCAGGCGGACGAGAACAGCCCTCGACTCAAATGGGACGAGGCCAATCTATACCTTACCGAGCAAGAAAGGGACAGCACGATGAAGATCACCGAGCCCAAGACGCCCTACGCCCAGCAATACGATCCCACTGAGGACGAGGAAGAGATCGAGATGCTGAACGCGGAGGAACTCAAGGTAGATGAGCTGGACGACAAGCCCAAGAAGCGCAAGCCGAAGATGGACGACATTCCCGACTTTGACCTGGGTGAGCCGGAGCTGGAAGCAGACAGCTCTCGGACTCCGGAGAGCGAGAGGCGCGTCATTGTAGAGCCTGACGCTCCGGGCGAGGCCGGTCATCACGACGGGGATGAATTCGCGCACATGACTGCTGAGGAACGGGAAAAGCACGACAAGTTCGAGCAGCTGCGGAAGAAACACTACGAGATGAAGAACGTCAAGGATCTCTTGGGGTACGACATAACCTCTGCTCACCTGGAACTTTACTAACATGTGCACAGACACCCGGAAGCTATTGACGAGGACGAGGACGACCAGCCAGATCAGGTACCTCCGATGCCCAATGGCCAGTAGTGGCGGGTTCTCTCTTTTCACGGCTTTACGATTCATTATACCAGCTGTCTTTTTCAGCGTTGTCATCAGAAGGAGTCAGGATATGGAGTGAAGGTTTTGTTCGGGTATACCGTCAAGTAGACCCCACCTTCGCTTGCTTTGCATGCTCTACCTCATTTCAATGAAGGATTCGATTCGAGTTCGGTTCCCGTCCTGTTCGTACATCAGGAACACATTCTGTGTACTGACCCAAGTAAACGTCCTGTGGCCTGCGTGTATGGCTTCATGATAATGACCTTTAGGTGGTACACAACACGTGCTATTAGACAAACAGGTTAACCTTTCTTCTGGCGTCTGTGCAGGGTAAATGGTAGAAGAAAGGTACGGCTAAACCAGCGCGAGGGACCACAACAGATAAATCACACTTTCTACTCTTTTACTGTCGTAGTCGACCATAACGTCCCCATACACCGGTTAAGCTTATTGCAAGGAAGCTTGTGATAATCGTCATTATCAAGTGCCACGCGGTCAGTTACGTTTACAAGAGAGCACTACCTGAAAGTTCGTCCCACTGCAAGACGATGACAGCAGCTCGATAGCTTGAACTTCGAGATTTAGCTATTTCTTAACATTCGGAGCGCATTCTCACCTTTCCCACATAATGAAGATTCTGTCTGGATGTGGATGGACTAGGGACTCCTCCTGGCTGATGTGGGATGCGAAAAAGTCTAAGAGTGATTTGTGGATGCTGCCCGGACTCGCCTCCTGTCAGTTCTGCGCTACATCATACTATTCCAGCATTGTTCAGACCCATATACTAATCTGCACTCGCAGCTACCTACCATACAGAACTAGCTGGGCCTAGAGAACTCGGATCTTAGATCGAAAGTACTACAAGAGTTAAAGAAGGACGCATCGAAAGGTTTTTCGAGATATGTTTATGCGAACTCCAAATGCTGTGCCTACTTTTCAAGGCAAAAGTTGACGACCGAAATTCACACTTTTAGAGGCAATAAGACTTCTAATTCTATATTTTGGAACACCATGTTCAAGAAAAAGGTGCAAGGTATTGTATTCAGGCCCAAAGATTGACTTTGTCGTATATCAGCGAAATGTGCATTCCCTTTTGATATTACCAGAGGCCATATATATGTACCGGAAGCTACATATGTATTGCAAAGTTTCGGGCTTCAATGTTGCAGAATATACATGCCGAGGCTGTGAAACTGAAAACACAAGATACAGCACATTCTCTTCGGGGCAGCATTTGATAGCATTCTAGGATCGTGTGAAGGGCTGACACCTGATTTTGGTAGTAGGAGGGTAGAGGAGCCCCAATCTGGTAAGAGCGACGCGATTGTTTGCGTGAGGGCTTTGGAATACGATACCAAAGGAGGCTATCAAATTGATAAGTACCGCTTGTCTACGGACCTGTACTTACTTGAGTACACGCTTGGTGGGCGGCTGCGGATGCGGATGACTGCCGCATTAGGAAGGCACCGCCACAGCTCGCCACTGGGGAGCTTGCGTACGACGCGCCTGACACCTGTTCAGCTTCACACCCACTACAACCAACCTTCAAGCCCTCTACTCTCTCGCTTTGCACATTTTCAGTGTGTTAGAGAGCTAACATGACGAAGAACCATCCATCCTTGCGCAAGAGCGTTTCGAACGCGGACCTGTACGCTGAACCATCGCCCGCCCCGCGGCAGGCGAGCTTATCTCGTGCCTTCACAACGACAACGGCGCCCCACCGACCGAGGAATCCATTCGTTCATGCACATGCTTATCCCTCCCAGCGCCTGGCGAGGCTGCAGGCCGATCCGCGAGAGCAACCCATCGACGGGTATACGCGCAGGCCCACACTCCCTGAGAACCATAGGCACAGCATTGCCGCGCCGTATTCGTCGAACCTGATCGATCTGAACGACGAATATGACGAGCCTCAGCAGTCCCAGAGCCCGCCCCCTGTGCCCCCTAAGATTCCCGAAATACCGGCTTTCGAGAGACAAGAGCAGGTCCGGGAGAAGGAGGGTCCCGAGAAGTACACCAAGCCGTTCACCGACTTCATGACTGCAAACCCGACTGTATTCCACGCTGTAGACGCTGTTGCGAAGGATCTGGAGAAGGCGGGCTACAAGAAGCTGTCGGAGCGCAAAGACTGGGACCTGAAGCAAGGCGGGAAATACTATCTTGATCGCAATGGCTCCTCGATCATTGCCTTCTCCGTTGGCGACGATTACGCGGCTGGGAACGGAGCCGCCATCGTGGCAGGACACATCGATGCGATCACGGCGAAGCTGAAGCCTATCTCCAACCTGCGCACCAAAGCAGGCTACGTACAGCTTGGGGTGGCACCGTACGCTGGAGGTCTGAACGAGACATGGTGGGATCGCGATCTCGGCATCGGTGGCCGCGTCCTGGTCAAGGAGAATGGCAAGATCGTTACAAAGTTGGTGAAGCTGGACTGGCCCATTGCCCGTGTGCCTACTCTAGCACCACACTTCGGTGCTGCAGCTCAAGGACCGTTCAATAAGGAGACGCAGATGGTACCTATCGTGGGCATTGACAACTCAGATCTTGGCAGCTCAGCACAGGCTGACCAAGAGGGAGCGTTCAAGTCCAGTAGTCTAAGTGAGGGTACATTCGCGGCAACCCAACCGGAGAGGCTTGTCAAAGCAATCAGCGAGGAGCTCGGTGTCCGAGACTGTAGGAAGCTCTGACAATCGCATTGGAAAATAGCTAACTGTTCGTAGACTCGACCATCGTCAACTGGGAACTCGAGCTCTTCGACATCCAGCCCGCTCAGCTCGGTGGCCTAGGCAAAGAGTTCATCTTCGCTGGCCGCATCGACGACAAGCTCTGCTCCTGGGCCGCCATTCAGGCCCTCCTCAACACCTCGACTGCATCCTCTTCGCAAATCAAGCTTGTGGCCCTCTTCGACGACGAAGAAGTCGGCTCGCTCCTCCGCCAAGGCGCCCGCGGAAACTTCCTTCCTACCGTTGTCGAGCGTATCGTCGATTGCTTCGCCGACAAGTCCGTCCGCAGCCTCGTCTCCCGCACCTATGCGAACTCCTTCCTCGTCTCCTCCGACGTCATCCACGCCGTGAACCCTAACTTCCTCAACGCTTACCTTGAGAACCACTCCCCGCGTCTCAACGTCGGTCCTGCTATTTCCGCGGATCCCAATGCGCACATGACTACAGATGCTGTCTCGACGGCTATCCTCCAGCGCTGCGTCGACCGCGATATCGGCACCCGCAAGCAAGATCCTAAGTTGCAGGTCTTTCAGATCAGGAACGATAGCCGGAGTGGAGGTACCGTGGGTCCGATGTTGAGTGCGGCGACAGGTATTAGGGCGATTGATTGCGGCATTCCGCAGTTGAGTATGCACAGCATTAGGGCGACGACGGGAAGTTTGGATCCCGGACTGGGTGTGTTTGCATTCCAGAGTTTCTTGGAGAGATTTGAGAGTGTGGATGCGGAGTTTAAGGAGTAGGGCACGCACGAGTGAGCGATAGGTGAGAGTTTGAGTGGCCTGACATTCTAGACATGTTACCAAGCAAGCGATGAGATATACGATGGCGTTTGGGATAAGACAGGCGTTAGCATATGAAGCGCCGTATTATGGTTCCTCGTGACGAGCTTTACTTGACTACAGTGACTTGATCCGTGTGATGGTACAGTGCAGAGACTGACGCTCATTTGGCTGGAAACTGGAAACCATCGTATATTGGGCACCATCACCATCACTATTGTTCCTTGATGCGTCCCGTGAGCGAGACTAATGTCCTCCGTCATCTCATCCTCTTCCAAACCATGGCGCATATATATAAAGCCTCATGATGTGCTGTCAGGGACAGCACACTACTTCTGCACTCCTCTCTACTCTAGAGAAGACAATCGAAAGGTATTCAAGAAAGAATTCATGTGCGCTCTCTCTGGGACCGAAAATTCGGGATCGTGAAGTTGATGTTGTTCGGGCAGGACTCAGATCAATATCAGCATGCATTCATGTGCGTTCTTAGGGGACCAAAACAATCAGCATGCAAACTGATGTGTGCCGGCTGGGTGATCACAAACTGAGACAAGGACTCCGATGTGCGCTCCTCGGGGGGTTCAAAAGATATCGAAGAGCGAAGCATGAGTGGCGGCTGGGAAAACAAAAATTATTCCGCAGGAGTCATCATGTGTGCTACTTGTGGAGGTTTTGAAAGTCGAGAGACGAGGCCGAAATGTGCGCTGCTGATGGGAAGACTGAACGACCAAATTTCCGAGTTTGCAACTATCATGAGCGCCGTTTGGGGGGACGGAAACTGTGGTCCGGAGTGGTGACATGTTCTCCCTTACCTGGTTTGGGTCAGATTTTCATAGATAATTTCTATGATACATTCACCATGTCGTTGGTCCTTCTTTGAGAAATAGCTTACTTTGGTCGTCGTAGTGGCTTCTAGTGTATTACTCTACTGAAAGAAATGTTCTGTTAGCAATAACCATTGATGGCGTCAATGTGTCATAGTCTCAACAATGTATTGACTCAAAGCCATGATAGGTGGGGCAGAAACTTTGGATGGCACCGATACTTGCTTGGGAGGTCACTTGCAGGAACTACAAATCACCTAGAATTCTACATGTGCGCCTCAAAGGGGCTGAAAATTCGGAGTCAGAATAGACATGTGTGCTCTCTTAGGTATCGAAATGCGAACATGAGCAACGCGTGTGCCCTTTCATTCAAGTCAGCTCGAAAACGCTATTGAGCTGCTCCTAGCTTATTCCCTCGCCTTGGAGCCAATGAAATCAATCATGGCGTGTCATTTCAGTGGATTGTGGACTAAACTTCCGAGTGGGTCACGGTTCAGACTGTCAGGAGATCGAATAAATGACATGGTACTTGCTTGTCTTCGTAGCTTCAACCAATTGAGGCACATTTCATAGGGCCGCGGAGTGCTCATATCGCCCCCAATGGTACAATGAGATATCACTTTCTGCATGTCCGGGCTCCTATAAGACTTGTTATGATTTGTATGTTTGAGCTCACTCTGCACACAGGGTGCTGGGCGATGTATCACAAACACCTTCGGCACATTTGAAACTACATTAGATTCTAAAAAAGTATGAAGGAAGAGCATTGCTACTGAAAAGCGTCTGCCGGAAATAATCAGGTCTCATGCATAATCTTCAGTCAAGATATCACCCATTCGAGCTGACCCCTGAACAGCGACCAAATTATCATGTGCGCCCCTATGGCTTCGTAACCGATGAATCCGTCCCAATGACCACCATCTTTGGACTTCCATCCGCCATAAAGATCTTCTCATCTGCGTGTATCTTCGCCGCCGCTTCTGGTTGGCCAAGAAGGTAACTGAACGTGCCAGCGTGCGTTGCGTCCTTGAACGTCAAGACCGCTAATGAATCCCAATCGACCGGTGCTGAGATTGCCGCAAGTGATGCGTTGAGGCCATAGTAATGCCGGGTATGCGATAAAGGAAACGCAGCTCCACTGAGTGACTTTGCGAGTGGGACGTGGATGTTGTCGTAGTGGTTTTGGTATTCTTGTATCGTAGTGTTGGGTGCTCGGAAGCCGAAAATGAGAACGGTGAAAAGAGGGAGCATCGTGGTGTTGCAAGAGTCTGAATCTGTAGAACAAGTGGAGTCTGACAGAGAGGCTGAATCGGAAGTAATTGAGCTGGACGAATCGTGTTGGGTGATAGACGATGTAGCTGGAGGAATTGGTTCGGCCATGTGTTGTTGCGGTGTCTTTATAGAAGTCTTTCGTGCGACCGGGAACGCGAACAAGAGTCCAGTTACACTGTACTCAGGACCTTGTCGCTGAACCTAACCAGACGTTGTTATAGACCGTTCACAGTCGACTGCTAGAGGAGATGGCTTCGGGCGCTATACCGCATTGGGGATGGAATGCGAAGCGCGATGAAATATGGCGGCTTAGCCGTACAGAAGCGGCCCCATCGATCCCTCGCATTACTATCCCATCGCAGCACGTGTGTTTGTAGCCGTGGTCGTTCCCTTGGCATGTATAAGGGGCTCGGAGTATCCGCCGCGACCTCACGTGGGAGCGCGCTTTCTTCGCAGTCCTCCCTAATATGGGCAGGTGTGATCCTACGCTAACTGTTGACCTGACATCGGGCCCTTCATATTATGGGTATTGTATGCATCGATGTCATGCTGCTCGGGCCGAGACCTGCTGATACGAAACAGAAGAACCTGCAATAGGATGCGCACTACGCATACGAGGAGATACGGCTGAGAAGCTGATGCTGCGTAAACTGCAGGGCTTACCCTTTTTCCATTACAAGCTAAAGGAGGCCCAACGAAGGATCAACAACAAATAGTTTGGCACATACACCTGTGTCGCAGTGACGACCTATGCTGCCTAAGAAACTTACCCTCAAACTCCGCCCCAGATTCCATGAAAGCCATAACCCATTGCGATAGGCATGTTCGCTCTCCCAAGCTCTGTCTTTGTCTTCGCATCGATGACGACCATGTTGCTTCTGCTGGTAGTCGAGTCCATTGCCACTGTCAACAAGACGCCATCATCCTCATCGTCGCAGCCGGGGCGGTGTACAAAAATGGGCTCGGGCGGAAGATGATTGGTATCCGGAACCCAGAGCTTGGTGGTCTGCGTCTCGATGTCAATCTTGACGATCGAGTCAACGAAGAAGCCGCGCTTTTCCACATGCACCCCATATGTATAGCGATATGGTTTGAAATGGTATTTGTCATTGATTCGCGGAAGTTCAATGTTGCCGATATCATATGGTATTTTCATCGAGGGTAGGGGACATCAGCACGGAGATTAGCGCAGACCTGTCTCTCGCAACCAACTCCTACTCAGGATTGCACCAAGCAACCGAATTCCTCCAGACATTGGCATCAGAGGCCCAGCATCAGCCTCGCCAGCGGCTGGACCAAAGCTGACCATTAGTAGAGGGCTGCCAAGAGAGTCTATAGGGTAAGGGAAAGTAGCTCGCTCTGTAGATCTGTTGGCGGATCGACCACACGCTGCTACGCTTCTCTACTTCAGTCCAGTACCCACGCCTAGAAGAAATAAAGCAGGCCAGTACATGAGCAAAGAGATTGAAACTGCCTTACTGAGCCTTCTCATGAGCGCTCATAATTCTGATACCCGTGGCAGTACATTCTGCATCTTCGCGTTACCGTTGTAAAGCCCGTATACCTATGGTAGTGTCAACTCCTTCTCACAAAAAAAGCCTTGTATGTTTTCCGGACCAACTCTCCTATAGTATATCGAGATAGGTCCAAATAGCCCAAAAGATCGATCACAGAGCCGTTGTTGTACGCTGTGTGTGCCAGTGTGGAAGTACTAGGAGCAGAGTTCCCCGAGCGCTGTTACCGGCCTGTGAATTCGTCTTGCACACAAACAGTTCTCAAAAGCTACGCAATTCACAGGTTCCATCGCAAAAGACTTACCCAGAGCGGCCAGAATTTTGCGCGGTAAGCAGACGCCCGGCTTCAGTGCTCAATGGGGACCGAGCCAAGGAAGGATCACACCGTTGCTCAAACCAATCGCAAAGAGTGTATTTGTGAGTCTTGTCGATTGCCATCTTTGGACACCAAAGAGGCTTTTTTGGTCGTTGCATGTAGGCTTCATGTTACAATTCTTGGATAGCGTTGCTTGTGGACGTTGGAATCTCTCGTTAATCGCTATGATCGCTATGTTTGATATCTATCGCAGGGAACGATGTAGTTCTCGAACATCCATGATGCATCCCTGACATGACTATTCCTGTCTTCACTTTCATCCATCCTCTAGTGTCCACCCATTGATTTCTCGACCTTCAGAAGTTGGCCGGCAGCCTGGCGTTCTTTCCTCAGCTTGCGAGCCTCACTGACCATTTTGAACGTTGGCTTGTCGAACACTTCGGTTGTCTCGTCAATAGTAAGACCGGAGACTTCAGGGTAGAAGAAAATGATAAGGAGCCAGCCGATGAAGCAGATGGCAGCGTAGAAGCCGAAAGTTCCGCAGGGAGTGAGAGAGTGCATCTGGGTGAGGAAAGTCGAAGAAACGATGACTGTAGCGGGTCAGTTATTGCGCTATTATTGTTTTGACTGAATTGATGAATTACCATTGGAAGCCCAGCAAGAGCAGGTTAGCCACATTGTACCCATGCTTCGTACCTCATGGCTGAAGAAGTCGGTGCTCATCCAGGCAGTGTTGCCCACAGTGACACCGTAGAAGATGACGAACCAGATGATAAAAACTAACACAACAATAGCAGCCGTGGAAACAGTCGACTGCTCAAGCTCAAGTGTTGCAGTGTTGATTGGTATGTAGACGAATGCCACAGCCACAGCGAGCAGTCCAGCTGACATGCCCCATGATAGAGTAACAAGCACTTTTCGGCGACCCCAGGGATCGACGACAAAACCGTTGATGGCAGTCATCACGAAGTTGGTTCCGGCGACGACGAGACCAACGGCAGTGGGGTTGGAGAAACCGACGAGTGCGAATAGCGTGGAGGAGTAGTACATAAGCGTGTTGAATCCGGACATCTGGGAGACGACCATTAGACCGCATGCTACAACAAGGGCGCGGAGATTTCGTGGAACCGTATGCAGCTCTTTGATGAGCTGCCAGCGGGTCTTTCCTTCGGTGACTGTTATGTCCTGCTCGATGGAGGACTTGATGAGACGAATCTTGTTGTTGATTTGTTCCTCAGTGGCAGAGTGGAAGACACGCGCAAAGACCTTCTTCGCTTCATCTTCGCGTCCGCGGAAGATCAATTGACGAGGCGACTCCGGGCAGAAAGGTAGCAGGCAAGCCAATGCGATTGAGGGAACACCACCAAGACCGACCATGTATCTCCAACCATTCGGGACGTGTGCGAATCCAGCTCCAATGGCGTAAGAGATAACTTGACCACCAGTGATGGACATGTTATTCAGACCAATCATACGTCCCCTGTACTTAGTGGGCGCGATCTCGGCAATGTACAAAGGCGCGATCATAGCAGCTGAGCCGACACCAAGACCGACTATCAGACGACCGACGCACATCTGAGCAAAGGTGTATGATGCTCCTTGAAGTATCGCACCAATGGTGAAGAGCAAGCACCCGACATAGATGCCCGCCTTGCGACCATACTTGTCGGCAGTGAGACCGGCCATGATGGCACCAAAGAAAGCTCCACCAGAACACAGCGAAGTGATAGCTTCCTTCTCTCCTGCATTCATGACGCGGCCATCGAGGTCGGTACCCAGATAGACGAGAACGGCGGAAATAATTCCAGTGTCGTAGCCAAAGAGCGCACCCGCAATCGAGGCAGTGAGTGTGACGAGCCAGACGAATTTTCCGGTCGGCGTCTGTTCGATGGCGTCCAGCTCGAGGATATCAAGTTGGTTGGAGACGGCGACATCCTCGGTGTACTCGTTGTGCATCGCGAGCTCCTTAGCGTCCTTGATCTCAGTGATAGTCATTGTGACTGAAGGCAAATGAGAAAGAACTGAGTGATCTTGAGCGACTGTCAGTGCGACCTGTGAAGGCTGAAGTGAAGAAGTTGGGAGGATTTCTTCATGTATTTGTATCCGCTGGTCTGGAGATTGTCGTCTAGAACGCGGAGTGATCCACCTTCTCCAGTCTGGGGTCGGTACCACTGATGCGGGTTCCCACCATGGGATAAGTTACTATGTTGGGCTGTCGGCAACACATGAATCGTCGCGATCCACAAAACCCCACGGGGAAATCACTCCACGTGGGACCCACATGTTCTCAGCTCAGTAACAGTCGGCTGATACCGAGCACATGTCGCGGGTCTAGGTTATAGAGACAAGACTTTGCGATTTGGAAGATGCAACAACTTCGTTTTGGTGCATATTCGCCTTCAAGAAGAAGGGCACGGGCCGAGGCCTAGGTGAAGGGTGAGGGCACGGACGGTGCTCCGCGAGTTAAAGTGCGGGGATCTAGGTCCGCGTAAGCAAGTTCGCTGTAGCACACGATCACCTGCGGAACATCTTACCACTCTCAGCTTGCGATGCTCCAGCCTCATACATCCGAATATGCTAGCAATGTTGAGGTACTTCCGCGGACTGCGACCAATTCACACCATGCGTTCTAGACTAAATTCCACTGCTAGTCGCTACACGCCAATACCCAGAGCCGGTGGCCGGGTTGTTTCCGAATATCTCTGGATCAGGAAGCATAACCCGACATCGAAGTGATTTCCAGCCTGACCATGATCGGACTGTATACCAAGATTGGGTGCTTTGAACCTTCAGCGAACGAAATAGCGTCTAATGTCAGCCATAGCCTGAAGACCAGACTTACGGAAAGCAAATGTGACGAATGGCTAACCTGTTCTGCGGAATTGTTGGCTTGGTTGAGAATCCCAGGATATCCCAAAGGGATCAAGGAGCCTTTGGGCAGGGAACTTGCACTACAAGCAATTGAACAGAAAGCCGCTTTTGCCCAATCTATCCTCATTCTTTGAGATATGACTGTTCGAGCCGATGCAAAATGCGTAACCGGCTACCTGAACGCGAACCGGCCCCGCAAGCATGGTCTCTCTGTCGTACGACTCAGGAGTGCGTTCCAAAACAGTTCCCATGAAGACCCCCTGCCCGTCCGGTTCGGGATCAACGAGTGAGAAATCCAAGAGTTCCCGGGAGCCAGGTCGCCGGTAGCGAAAGCATAGGCTGCTCTTGCAGCGACAGCACTGCCAGTGGACGAGCGCTCGATCTGCTGATCATCGGAGAAGCCAAGTCCTCTCTCTGCGCCTTTTCAATCCCTGAATGCCTTCCAAGCCTTGCATCCGCTACGATGACAACTTCAAGCGAGTTGAGATCACCGTACTTGAAGTGGGTCATATACTTCATGAAATTGAGTGTCCTCGTTGACAATTCCGTTCAAATTGCGAGTTGCGGAGTTCAACGCCTCGTAGGGGACCGGCTGCTTCAATCGTTCCAATCCTAGGCCATCGACCGAAACGAGACATGTAAACGCCCTGCCCTAACGTAAAGAGACACTGATGAACGCTCGCCGCCCCAGTTCAGGTCAACAACCTGCCTTGGATATGGTGACTTCTAAAATATTCCTGCATCGAAGAATGGAACATTGACGAGTATGACTGGACGTGAAGGGTCAGATCGACTTTCGTCTCCACCTCCACGAACAGATAATTGCATGAGTCCATACGGAGCATGAAGTTTGATACTGCAGCTATGCTAGACATCGATGGACATCTACCCGTGGAAGCTTCTTCATATACGACCATCACTGTACATACCGACGATACTCGAGTCATAGTCATACTGGCTCAGTCTAGGGTTTCGCGTTTCACTTTAGGTATCAAGGACAGTCTCAGAAGACCATAAGTATTGTATTAAGAAAGGTGACGAGCACCTATAAACTTATACGTCAAATAACACCAACACTAATCCATGGAATCACAGCCCTGGCCAGCCGAAATTCAAATATCCCTTGCCTACAAAGCAAATCCATATTCAATTTCTCAAAGGCCCTCTTCCTGCTCTTCAACAGTAGCGCCCCGAAACATCTTGTTGTCATCGGCATACACACGTCCATTATACTTGAATGTAAAAGGATCCGTGTAACCTTCCTCTGAAAACTCCGGAAAGCTCTCTGTGAAGCACATGCACATCCTCGCATAATGACCCGGAGCATTATCGCAAATCGGCCCACTATTTTTCTGATATGGAGTGCCCGGCAGACACAACACCGCACGCTCCTCCTTGCTACGCGGAGGAATGCTTGTCAGTGGCTCAGCAAAACGCACCTTCATCTCGTAGATCTTGGACTTGATTACAGCGGTGACGACAGGGTGGACAAAACGCACCTTCTTGCCTTCGGACACTGGCGAGGGGGCACAGTCTGGAGTTGACTGAGCAGTTGTGGAGGAGATGGATGAGAGTGACGAAGAAGAGGACCGGCCTGCCTGGACCCGGTTGCGGCGGGTGTTCACGTACGTTTCACTCGCACGGCGGATGCCTGTGAAGGAAGAGAGGCCCATGTTTTCTGATTGGAGGTTAAGCCGGCTGGAAGCGTTGCGACGGTGACGCAAACTAGGGCGGTTGCTGGGTGCAGGCTGTGAAGCAGGAATCATTTCGTGGATGTGTCAATGTTTCGATTCTCGGATGGTCTGCCTGCGTTTGTGTCTTGTCAAGTGATGCATCAGAGACTTATATGTGGTGTTGTAAGTGTCAGTCACACAGCTCACAATGCGGTGGAACAAAGAAGAACGATCTCTGGTAATCGACCAAATAAGCAAACAATGTTGCAAAAGTCATGATACTCCAAGCATACTGCGTTAACAATGTCAATGGTAAGCTGCTTGCAATTACCCTGCGTCTCTTTCAAGCAAGAATCACGATCTTCGAGAATTCTCCGTCGCCGCCGTACTCTCACTCGCTAAGGTATTCTGCATAGTACTATGCATCGTACTCACTAAGGTACTTTCCACCGTGCCTACTCCGGTCCATTCGGTACTGCCGCCTACACTCGCCATTTCCTCTACGCTTGCCCCCTGTGCCATTGTTGTCGACTTATCCATCCTTCTTCTCCTCGCCCCAACCTCATCTCGCTGCCTTCCCTCCACCCTCCTATTCTGCACAAACAGCATGCGGAAAGACCCGATACTCGCAACCACGATTGCAATATTCGACTCAGCACCACTCCATATAAGTACCCACGGAGAATCCATCTGCTTCGTAACACCAATCGTGGATAATGCCGCGCGAACAATGGCGAATGTAATAGTAATGAGAACGAGGGAGAAAACGCCGGCGAGGGCGAGAGATTGGCGCAGCGGAATTCGCGAACGCCAGAGGATGTTGAGCGGGATCGTCATAACTGCACATACACCATCAGCTTTTCCCTAATCGTGACCACACACCAAGTAAAGCGAAATTTGGCACTTACTGAGGATATCCGTCACCACGTCCAACACCACATTAACCTTCATGTTTACAAAACTCAACGTCTGCTCCGCCGTACAATACGGCTGCATAATCTGCTCGTACGTCCCGAAGCTGCACATGTACGGATACGTCGCAAACGTCGCGCCATACGCCAGCATAGTAAAGATCGCGACGCCCCACCAGTGCCACTTCATGCCCTGGATAAGGCGGGGCCCGAGCCGGTAGAAGAAGAGCAGGAAGGAGAGCTTGACACACCACAGCGAGGTGTACATAAGCATGTAGCAGATGTTGACGCCGTAGGAATATTTGCGGACGTAGACAAGGAGGTTGGGATCAAAGTCGGTTGGGTCAATGGGCTCGAGCGTGAGATGCATAGTCCAGTCTAATAGGTGTTAATGGATGGTGACGGTCTTGGAGGGAGTGTGTACACATGGAATCAACCATCCAGATAGCGACAGCGCCCATGGCGGCTGCAGAGAGCCACGCGAGCAGCGCAAAGAAATCGTCCGAGAAGAAGCGCCTGAATGTCTTCCATCTGGTCCAATATCGAAGGAGTAAGAATAAGCAGGAGAAGCCTATCATGGCCCACATTATGGGCTGTCACCTGTCAGTTGAAGCCGATCAAAAGCATGATGGAAATAAGAATGACGTACCAGGAAGAACTTTTGCTTCACGCGTATGGTATCGAAGCCATAATGCTCCAAGTTGGTGCTTCTCCCGACCACAAGAACCTCCAGACTTAGTCCATCCATCACTATCACATCAACGACGATGCAAGAGAAGGGCCGTTAAGGCGAAACGCCTCCGATACGAGGAACCGAGTATCGTGAAATCGGCGGACAGCGGGCAGAGCCGTTCCCCACCTCAAAAGGAACTGAGCCCGTCTGTCGGCACGGGAGACTATCTCGACGCCATGGAACGGGATCGCGCTAGCCACGAGTCGTAGCCATCAATGGCCCTCGTGGTGCTGATATGGCGCACGTGCGTGATCCTTTGGGGTGCGCACGGACAATGAGCATCCCGAGCACGACCCGTGAGGTTGATGTCGTGGGAACGTTGGCTGATTGGCAAAGTTGAACGGTTGATCTACGATTAAGCTTTGGTGCTCTTGCGCCCTTGACGGGCGTGGCGCAACAACATACTCGATTTGGAATTCTATCACACTCGACCTAAGAGAGTAGCCAATAGATTCCTCACCCTTAATCCTATACTAATAACCCTAATCCTAGTTCAGTCGACTCGAGGTCGAGTTGTGTTTTAACGCGTACCCCTTGGCGGCAGTTGGTTTATCCCCTTTATACAAGATCTCCAGCTGCTGAAATCGTAAGATCCATGTCGCAAGACGAACCACAATCTCCAGCCATTCCTGCTCCTCTAGACTTGTGAATTACCTGATCTAGAAAGCATACTGGAGCAGCTAGTAGCGGGATGGTGGCGTGGCGTCAGCATGATTCATGGGTGTCTACATCCGAAGGATCCAGGGAGATAACAAGGCCGGCCTCCTCCCAAACAAACAACATTGATGGTTAGGGTAGACAGAGTCGAAGAAATACCTGACTGCTGCTGAACGGTGAGCGTCGCGCAAGACGGGTGGCAGACGTTGCCTCCGAGCATAATACCCTGCAGCCGAACGCGTCAAACACGCGCTTGAGGTTAGTTGTGAGGCTCGACCTGCCGATCGCAGTGAGGCGAACCCGTTGCTTTTTCTGTTGCTTCTCCGCAGTGAACACACTCCTGCAACCCGGGTATGGGTGTGGTTTCTCCGGTCTAGCTCCGGAAACACTACCTGAGCAGCTGGAGCAGGCATAGCCAAATTAGTGAAATGCTGTGTTCTCAAATGCATATCCTAAGCCAAGCATTCATTGAGCTTGTGGATCCTCACCGTGGAGTGCCATGCGTGATAATACCCCTGATAGACCATGTGGTTTTCGGTTAGGGTCCGAGGAGCAACAGACCCCCTGGGCCCCGCTCGGTAATAACGCGCATGCGGAAATCTCCGACCGGAGAACCTTACATTTGGGTTCAACCTGAAATCATATCGCAAGCGGTGGTAATGGGTGCGTGGTGAGGCGACTGCTTCCGTGTGGATAATTCATATTTGTTCATACCGGGTATCATACCTAGACGTCGTTGATGCTTGCGAAATCGCGATGCGCAATCTCAAGGTGTTTCCAGCTCATCATGCTTCCCTCTTTCCATCCTTGCTCGTATGTCCCTGACGAGTGCTTTTGCGTCCTCGACCTCTATACCATCCTGGCACAATTCGTTGGCGAGCTCCATAGCTCTCTGGTACACGCCGCGCATGTACTCCCAGCGAGCCAGCCACAGCCGCGCTTTACTGGTCGTAGCTGTGACGCCCACACCGCCGCCCGCATCGGGGTTCGACTCATCTTTGCCAGGTCCTTCTTCTTGAGCGAGAACCAGCTCCATGTATGCAGCGCATTCTTGCATGTCGTGAAGGCGTTCGTAGAGTAGCGCAATCGGGTAGAGAACATCGGGGTCGAGGATTCCCCCGCCAAGCGCAGACATATCCCCAGAGCCGAACGACGATACCGCCCCTGCATCGTAGTACGATCCAGCTACCAAGGCGCGCTTGTATGCCCGAATGCCGTTTGTGATCTTTCCCACTTTACCGAAACATTGCCCGACGGCCATCCACATCTTGGGGTCGAAAGGGCGAAGGGCTGTGGCGCGCTGATGATAGAATAGAGCATATGAGTGCATTTCCAGCAACTCGTACGTATGCCCCAGACCGTACCAGGCGCGATAGTCCTTGCGATTGACGTCTACTGCACGTCGGTAGGAGTCGATCGCCGCATGCGTGTTCTTCATCTCGACAAATTCGTGACCCATCAGAGTCCATGCTGATAAGAAGCTTCTGTTGAGGACCAAAGCTCGTCTGAAATACATTACAGCTTTCTCATGGTCGGATTTCAAAGAGTAGTAATTTCCAATAACACAACAGGTCTCGGGTCGGAATTTGTCGGTGTTCGAAGCAAGCTGAGCTATGAAAGCCAATTTGACTCGGTTGCCCATTACATACAGTATATTGGAGTAAGTGTCGAGATGGTCGAGTCGATGCGGTTCAGCCAGCAGTATATCGGAAAAGACCTTCTCCGCGGTATCGAAGTCTTTCGAATGATAGTACAGCATTCCACGTTGCAATTGGAGGAACGCAGACGTCGGGAATATGGTCAGTATGTTGGTGAGAGACTCGTGAACCTGTTCGTCGGCGCGATAAAGCTCTTGTGATGCTGTGATGTGGAAGATGAAGACCATGAGATTCCGCGGCAGACGTGGGACAATCTCGTCCAGCTACCAAGAGTCAGCCCGTGCATTGCTCCTGTGGCTCCTTCATACCTCTTCTGCGGTGCCCAAAAGACTGGCAAGCTCTTGCCAAGCGGCCCAATTGAACGTGTAGTAAGTCACGCTCTGGATGAAGTAGTCCTTGGCCAGGTTCTCGTTCTTGCCCTTGGCTAGGACGATGCCGTACAGATACTCCAGCCATCCCTGTGGTTGCCTCCCACACGAAGGAAGGTTGACGAACCACTCCTTCAGTACTGCCGAGATGCCCTGCAGTTCCTTGTTCAAGACGCCTCCATCACGTGGGCCTAGTATAACCTCGCTGTCCTCGTTCACGCGCCGTTCACCGGCTAAGTATTTTGCATACAGTGCCAGAAAGAGGCTCTTCTGGCTAAGCCCTTGGACTGACTCTGCTATCCGAGTTCTTGTTTTCGTCGGCGTGCCCTGCTTGGCCTTGCCTTTGCCTTTCGATTTGGCCGATGGAGGCGATGAGCTGATTACAGAGCCCTTCGGCAGGGCACTGGGGAGGAAGACAGCGGCACATCGGTCATACTCGCGGCAGTCAAAGAAGGACTTTGCAAGGAGGTACTTGTGTGTTTCGCGGGCTTCGAGTCGTAGTTCGATCGGATCCTTAGGTACGGCGCTGGGCGTGTGAGGAGGCGCATCGGACATGGGCGAGTCCACGTCGGTGCGGGTGTCGTCATCGTCTGATTCCGGAAACGAGTTGAGGAGCTCTGCAGCCCTAGTGAGCATCAGTACAGAGAATTGTCAGCGTATCGTCACCCGGCGTACCATTTGGAAGCGTGGTAGAGGCCACGCTCGGAGCAGCATATCACGGCGTCCTGCAGCTGCGCCTTCAGCTGGGCGGCGTCGGCCTGCGAAAGCGAGCCCATTGCAAAGGGCGGCGGTGACGGTGCTTATCGCATACGGACCGCGTAATCAATCGATGAAAGCGCGGTTTTCGACAATTCGAGCGACGCGAACGCGCGCGGTGATGCTTGGCTTCCTGTTCGGCATGTTCCTGTTTAGGAAGTGGGGCAACAAACAATGCCGGGAAAGGAACAACCTTCGCCCGCCCCCGCCAATTTTCTCATTGACCGCCTCCACCGCCCTCCGCTTCACATCAGACGATTCCCTTGTATGATTGTCTAGAAGTATTCTCGCAAACATGCCGACTACCTTGAAAGAGTTCGAGAGCGTGTGGCCCCGTATAAGGGACGATGTTGCCGGTCACGCCAAAAGTTACAAACTGCCCCAGCAGCCCCTTGATTGGTTCGTTCAGGTACTTGCAGTGAGCCCTGACCCAGAGTCCCACCAACTCATACGTGCATCTAGTCCCTCGACTACAACACCGTAGGCGGAAAATGCAATCGTGGCATGTCTGTTGTGGATACTTCGTCCATCCTGCTCAACAAGGCCCTTGACCCATCATCAGAGGACTACTTCCAAGCTGCTCTTCTCGGATGGATGATCGAACTTCTCCAGGCTTTCTTCTTGGTCTCAGACGACATCATGGATGCTTCGAAGACCCGCCGTGGACAGCCTTGCTGGTATCTCAAGCCCGGTGTCGGCATGGTCGCCATCAATGATGCCTTTATGCTGGAGTCAGCCATCTACGTGCTTCTGAAGAAGCACTTCCGCCAGCACAAGAGCTACGTGGACATGCTCGAGCTCTTCCACGAGGTCACCTTCCAGACCGAGCTTGGCCAGCAATGTGACCTGCTGACTGCCCCTGAGGATCACGTCGACCTCGACAATTTCAGCTTGGAGAAGTTCTCTTTCATCGTCATCTTCAAGACTGCATATTACTCCTTCTACCTCCCTGTTGCCCTCGCTCTGCACTACATCGGTGCAGCCACGCCCAAGAACCTCCAGACATCTTTGGACATCTTGATCCCAATGGGCGAGTATTTCCAGGCACAAGATGATTACCTGGATGCGTTTGCCGATCCTGAGGTCCTTGGCAAGATCGGCACTGATATCCAGGACAACAAGTGTTCTTGGGTCGTCAACCAGGCGCTGAAGAAGGTGACTCCGGAGCAGCGGAAGGTGCTCGAGGAGAACTATGGTCGCAAAGACGCACAGAAAGAGGCTAAGGTGAAAGAGCTTTACCAGGAGCTGAAGCTGGCCGAGTTCTACCAGCAGTGGGAGGAGGAGCGCGTGACTGACTTGAGGGCGAAGATTGCGCAGGTGGACGAGAGCGAGGGCTTGAAGAAGGAAGTCTTCGAGGCGTTCCTGAAGAAGATTTACAAGCGCAGCAAGTAAACGCAGCGCGTCCCGCTCTACGATACCCAATAAGGATGATGATTCATGATAGAGGGCAGCAATATACACGACACACATATAATATGCTTTCAATGAGGTCCGGTTATATTCCTCTCATCTCCAAACATGCGAAATCGGCCAACTTCTACTCAACGCCCAAGCTGGACATTATATCCATATCCAAAAACGATAGAGGAGCCCACCTCTCCCAAAGTCTAGCACTGGCGATTAACCACGTCGTCTCATTATGAACAAATCACACAAACATTCACGGGACCTAGTCTCTCAAGAGCAATCAAACTTTAGCTTGTTCTAGTGGGGATGGTTATGGCCCGCGTGGTCATGCTCTTCATCTTCTGCCCGCCCCCACTCAGCCCAATAGCTATCATCCCATATCTCTTGTAACCTCTCTTCTTGTTCTTCCTCACTCAGTTTACGATCATGCATCACACCTTCCCACTTACGCATTTCTGCACGACTCAACAGACAGCTATCTAGCATTTTTGTCAGTCCTTCCATGTCCAGATCTTCGCCAATAAGAACGAGCTCCTGCCGACGATCGCCCCATTCGCCCTCGAAGTCAGCTTTGATATTCCTCATGGTGTCCTCATCGGCATTCCACTCATCGTCCGATACAGTGCAGAACCAGGGCATCTCCGAGCCGAGCGTCAACATAGCGCCGGCGGTACTCCACGAGCCCATCTGGCTGGGTCGAGTAGCAAGCCAGAAGATGCCCTTGCTGCGGTGCAGGCCACGGAAAAGGGGACAAGCCTTCTTATTCGCGAGGATCTCGCTGGAGTCCATGGGTGGTGGACCCTCACTATCCTCGCTCGCATTATCCGAATTGTCGGTGTTGTTGCTGCCCTCGTCCGCGTCCGAGCCAGCGTCGCCCATGTCCTCGTCCTCGTCTTCGTCGTCTGGTTCATCCTGCAGTAGGATAAACTTGCCTTCCAATGCGCGGTATAGCTTCAACGGATCGAAGGGCCTTCGAGCTCGGTAGACAAAGCTACCAATTCCGTATCTGAAATCATGTCAGCAAACTCTTACATGCGGCATTGTGCAGTACTTACTCTAGTGTCTCGGGCTTCGGCGCTACACGCTTCTTCCCGTGGACGTCCATTACAGTCATCTCGTGTAAACTCCTCAGCCACCCCGGACTCGCAATCGCCTCCGCGAAGTCGAACTTCCCCGTATTCAGCATCTCCTTGACGTTCACTCTGGAGTACTTCGACTCGATGATCTTCGCTGTGGGGTTGAGCGTCTTGACATATGCCCGCACCCGACCGAGCGTCTTCCGGTCGACCATGTCCACCTTGTTTACAATAACCACGTTCGCGAACTCGAGCTGATCCGCGAAGAGATCAGAAATAGTGCGCTGGTCTTCCTCCGGTACGTCGTCTTTGCCAAACCTATCTTGTAGGAACTCGGCGGTGTCGAACTCAGAGAAAAACCGGAAGGCGTCGACGACGGTAACCATGGTGTCGACTGTAGCGATGGACTTGAGGCCGCCGAGCTTGGCTCTAGACATGTTCAGCTGGGGTGAACAAGTCGATGGGAATTGCTTACACTCTCAAGAACGTCTCCCGCTCCTCGGTCTCCATGCCCTCGGCATCTACCATCGCCTCTGTCAGCTCCGCCGTGAATGTTTCAGCGACCTGCTGCGGCTCGCTAATCCCCGAGCTCTCGACAACGACGTGGTCGAAACCCTGGTCGCTCCACGCCAAGCGCGCGAGCTCAGTGAGCAGATCCTCCCGCAGTGTGCAGCAGATGCATCCATTCTGCATCTGAATCACCTTCTCCTTGACCACTCGCTCTACAGCGTTGTCGCCTTTCTTCGCCTTCGAAGAAGTACCACCTCGAGCGATCAGATTACCATCGACATTTACGGCGGCCATGTCGTTCACTATGACCGCGATGCGCAGACCATGGTCGGGTGACTGCAGGATGTGTCGTAGAAGTGTCGTCTTGCCACTTCCCTATCGCCACCATTATCAGCACAAATCTACTGAGCATGCTCAATCTCCTCATAATCGTACTCACAAGAAATCCAGACAATACCGTCACAGGCAGCGGCTTCTTCTTCTCCGCCACCCTCAATACTTTCTTTTTTCCAGCCATTTTTCCCTGTACGAACGTAAAGATTTGATACACGGCAGGATATAAGATACAAAAGCTCATTAAAGAGGGGTATTCGGAAACGGCTGTTTTATATGCTGCTCTCGTGGGGTTGGCCATTGAGCACCTCGATGGTGGCCGCGCATCATCGGGAAATAAGTGCGTTTGATTGGCGGAGAGGTCGCTTGGTTAGACGTGAGATTGGAGAAATCGCACACTTATCAAAGCAATCGAAATTGATCTGTTTGGATGGAGGGGCAGGAAGTCGCGGTTGTACGCGTTGGAAGTGTGGTGCGCTCCGGGGAAGTTGTGCGATTCGCGCAACACTTACAGTTCCCTCCCGCTCGCCGTACGCCAACAACGGGATGGACACGATTTAAGACTAGTAATACCTGGACGTTGAGTACGGTCATGGAGTCTTTTGGTTCAGTGATGACATACAGCTGTCCTGTCAAAATGATGCGGACCTGCGTCAATTCGCAACTCTTCTCCCGCACATATTTTAACGACGCATCACGTATTGGTATTAGGCCCTTTCCAGCACTGACTGCTACACTGATCTTCTGATACCGCGATGATGTTCACGCGCTCGTCGCACAACCCTGGCCATTGAGGACTGAAGTCATCACCTGCTAGTCAACAGACAAACGGCACGCAATGGATGTTCGAGCAAAGAAGTAATGCAACTGAACTCACACTATCTGAAATCACAGCGTTTTGTGGCTAGACACCTGCTTGCCTTCGGTCACTTTGTTTACGCCTCGGACCTGCTTTCTGGCGTTCCTTGAACTCGATAGAACGGGAGGACACGAAGAGTGAAGACGAGAGGATGATAACCGGGGGTGAAATAAATCTGTTGGCTGTTCATGGATTCACAAGTCGACGCCGCCTCCTTCGAAATTCGACATTACACAATGAGTGTTAGCCATGAGCTTCACGAAAAACCCTCAAGCGAGAAGTCTGGATCAGTATTTTGAAACAGTTGAACACCCTACAAAGGAGGAATTCAGAGGTATGGAATGCTCTTGACTGTGCTGGAGAACAAAGCAAAGACGTTCCTGCAACTTATGCAGAGATGTCTATGATGCCGCATGAAATCCGGAAATTGAGCAACCGATGCTCTGGAGTCGAACCTGTGAGAGCTGTAGCGAAGCGGCGGTGCGAACAAGGTTTGATGATGGGTTATGCACTGAGTGACTGCGCCGCAGTTCGGCTCGGCTCGCTGCATAGATTGTACCGGTAAATCCAAACATAAACCTCAGTTCGACTTTCTCATCAATTCAGTATTGGCCTCCACAGGAATCGTCACAGAAACTTGCGCTTCGCTGAACGACGACTCGACTAAGGGGACAAGCGACGACTGCGGACTTTGTTCCGGGGTGCAGTGCCGACATCGCAAACAGCCTCCGTTCACCGACTTGCTCAACATCGTGAGATTGGTGCCCTACATCTGTACCTGATCTCCACAGGAAACTTCTGAAAAGAGGCTGATTGGTGTTCTGCATAAACGGAGGAATGTGACGACTTTTGTGTGACCAATAGTAAGACGGAGTCAGGTTAAAGATGGGCGCGTAACGCTTAACGAAGGATGATTGGTCGTGCGGCACGACCAATGTCAACACCATTCACATACGCGTGACAGACATCTACAGTCACCTGGCTGAGCAGAAGATCTAGGGATGATGTCAGTCTTGGTATATAATAGAGGCTTGGGTTTTGCTCGCTACCTTTGCTTTGGTTTCCGTCGGCATACACTACGCCTCATCTAATTACAGCTCACGAGCTCGGCGCAGCTGCACTCACTGGCCCTTGACTCTGTGCCTCTCCCACCTCGTACCATTGTGACCCCACGCCAGGCTCCACTCCCAGTTAAACCCCATCTCGTGCCCGGGGCCAGCCGTAATTATTAAAGCCTAGCTCATCCGCCCCTCTGAACGTCAATCGCCCGAAAGCCACTTGTCAGAGTCAACCACATAGAGTCTGTTCACGCAAACCTTCTAAGATGCAGATTTTCTCTCTCCCCATCGTCCTCTTCGGGTTATTGGCCACCTTCGTCGCAGCCAACCAATGCACGGGCAATAAGAGCAACGCCGGCTACTGCGAGGTCCTCACCTACGAAGATCGCACCAACAACAACGGCTCTCCACCATCGACATCACAGTGCGAGTCTTCTTGCAAGGACGTACTGACCGACGCCGGCGACTGGAGCGTGAGCTTCAAGGGCCAGGCGGCAGGCTACGTCCAGCGTATGGTCAACTCTGCATGCAGCTTCAGCGTCGGAAGGGTATGCACATCCCATGTCTATAGTTTAGTGCTTGACTGACAGCGGATAGGGCAACGGAGAGCCGAGTGCCTACCAGTTCTTCATGGATAACCAGGACATTGTCGACATTCTGGACGAGGTCAATCGGAGGTTCGGTGGGGCGCACACCGGCAAGGTGTCGGCGCAGGGAACAATGAGGTGCCAGGGTCATCCTGCAACTTGGTACGTGGATTAGCATGAGCTTGAAGAAGTTAGGATCCCTCAAGCTCTATTGAATACCTCTTACTATAGCTTCTCAAAAGCATAGTTTAGAAAGATGGCAACGCGACTATATCGCAATATGGAATCTTGAATCAATAGCATGTTCAATCAGGGCATTTGTCTGATTGCGACGCCTCTGTGCGAAGTCAACTGTGTTCACCGAACATGACCGTTTCGATGTGACTGGCTAATACATTCCTCGCGAATGATTGATCGAGTCTGTACTAGCGGTGCACAGTACGCAACTGCTATTCGAGATGTGATGTGAGAGGTCAACGACAAGTAGAATATACAGGTAAATAATGTGATCTACTTTAAAATATATGATCAGATGTGTGCTGTCTTATGCAACGGTGGATGTTGAAAAGACTAGTACCGATAAGGGCGCCCGGGAAGCCTAGGCTGCACCCGCTACAAGCAGGCGCCACCTCGCTTGATGTGTGGCCCCGCGCGTGCTGTAGCCTCGTACACACACGAACCGATCGCACTCGGAGCACCGGCGACATCTCTAGATCTGGGTTGGTAAGAGCCACTAATCACCCTACCAGAATCATTGAAAGGGTCTCTCGGCCATGACGCCTGGGTCTGCTGCCCCCATCAAACGGCGCTCTTTCTGGGACATCGGATTCACTCCTTTGACAGAGAAGGAGCGGGCCTTGTCTCGTATGGATGAAGAACAACCAAACATTTTGTGTCAATACTGTCAAATGTTGCTTCACGAAATCGACCGCGCACTCTTTGGCTCAAATTGCGTCCTTGATGATACGATCTTAGCTGGCGATGATGATGTAGAGGAAGAGGAAGTTTTTATGAGTGGTGCTCTGAATCCCGATCCAAGCAAATGGACTCAAGCAGAAGCGAAAATAGTCGAGGAGGATTTCCCCAATACCAAGCGGAAGGTTCGATATCAAGAAATCCATGACTCCGCTGTCCAGGGCTGTCTTTGTTGCACAATCATTGACATAAGATGCGATGATGGGAGGAACGCAGATCGCACAAGCCGCATGGTGGAGACAGGCGTGGCTGCGACATATGCGGATGGAAAGATGACAAACATTCGGATAGAGATAACTGTGTCAGTAAAGGGTAACCCCGGCCAGGGCACCCTGCTCTCGGAAGTTAGCATCAACACCTTTTCCTCAAGACGATATGCAGGGTCTAGGATGCGCCCGACGGGCTCTATCTACACAGCATCGCAGAACTGCTTTGACATTGGACAATCCTGGCTTCATCGCTGTCTCAATGGTCATCAAGAGTGTCCTCGTTTCGAGCCTAAATGGATGCCGACGCGTGTCATCGCCATCTCCGGTGCGGATCAAGCGTCGCTGGTTGAAACGAATACGTTGCCTACACTCGTCGCATATTACGCGCTCAGTTATTGCTGGGGCACGGAGCCTGTCTTGACTACGACGAAATCGCGATATGAAGAATTTAAAAGGTCTATTCCAATCAAAGACCTTCCGTACACAATCAAGGATGCGATAAGAGCTGTTTATGATATGGGCGGGCGGTACCTTTGGGTGGATTCCATGTGTATCGTACAAGACGATTCAGAAGATTGGAAAAGAGAGGCCGCAACTATGTGTGACGTCTACCAGCACGCACTCCTCACTATAGTGGCGCTGGGAGCATCTGGCGCAAACGAAGGACTGTTTTCACGCCGGGAGCCTCGCAGCGTCCAAAATTGCGATGTAGAAAGCGAACTCAAGCCAACGGAATACATTAGTCTCACGAATCGCCAATCCAAAGACATTGGTGCCAGACGGTTCATAGAGTCGAAATTTCATTCTCGAGGGTGGACTTTTCAAGAACGCGCATTGGCCCCGAGGAAGATATACTTCTCTTCGCTTCTATTTTGGGAGTGCAAGACTTGCACACTGGAGGAGGGCGACACGCGCATGCACATCAACATCACTAAGCCAATCGGCAGTCAAGATATTCGCAATAACCAGGAGGAAACAGTGCCGGATGAAGACGGGTACATGAGCACGCCTAGGACTTTGCGACTATGGCATGATAATCTGCGCATATTTACACAACGCGACCTCACTGTGGCTACCGATCGTCTTCCCGCCATCAGTGGCGTCATAACGGAATTTTCAAGAAATACGGGGTGGAAAAGCATAAATGGTATATGGTCTGATCATCTTGCTGTGGATCTACTCTGGATTCTCTACGATGAGTTCAGAGAGGTTCCGAGGCTTGTTGGCGCCCCGACCTGGTCCTGGACGAGCATCGCTGCGCCAATTAGACATTACTACGATATGAAATACAGTCTGGTAGAGGATTCCAACGTCTACATTGACTCTGAAGATTCAAGTATTCTAAATGCGAGAGGGGGTCTTCTCGATCTGCATCCCGAGCTACCATCAAGCGATGTCTCAGAGGATCTCGATGTTACATCAATGAGATGGGTCGTCCAAGACTTACCGACCATTACAGATCATATGATGCATGTCGACCGTCCTGAACACATTCCCGAGGGTCCCCATTACTTCTTACCGCTTATCATGGCGGATTTGCAGGCTGATCTTTCCTGGGAAGACACCGGAACCGTTTGTATGGGCCTTGCGCTGGTGCAGGTTTCCGAGAGAGAGGACTATTTCGAAAGATTTGGGGTGCTGTTGGTCTGGTTCGATATCGGTGTTATTCCTTCCCAGAAGATCACGTTTCGTCGCGGAAAAGTCGAATGGCCGCATAAAAAATGGAGAAATGTACGAATTGTATAATTGGCGTAGCTCAATCGCACTTTTGTCGTTCACGAACGAGCTTCCGGGACAGACATCGATATGTATAGTCTATTCGTCCTCGTAGACTATATCCTCCTCCACATGGTTGCGAACATTCCGCTCCACCCAACTTTCCATGTCAGGATCGTTGGCCATCAACCTGGTCATCTCGTCTTCGTTCAGCCCTTGATGGTCGTACTTCGCCATGATCTGGCTCATTTCTTCTTCCGACTTCTTCGATTTGCGATGCCGCCTTGCATACTTGTCTCCAAACCACTTCAGATGTGGAAGCTTGCGATGTGACTCAATGGTATCGAAAGCGGTTCTCATAACGTTACACCCTAAGCTGATCCCAAGTTCTTCCACTCCAGGCCGCGCCTGGATGTGTTCCGCCTCTTTCTCTAGTAGATCCTCAAGATCGTCTAGATAATCTTCGTCTTGCGAGTTTACGTAAAGACTTTTCAGCAGCGGAAGATGTATGGCACGGCTACAGATGATATGCCGTATTTGACAAAGAGGCATTTCGATTCCCCGCCCTGACAGAGGAAATGCGAGCGTCTCCAGGTTTGGCGGTAGCCTATACCCAAGAGGGCGTCTGCTTGGTACCTCGCGTAGGAAGCGATCGAGGGTGAAGTCCATCCTGAGGTATTCCATTTCCACACCACGCCATATCTCGGGGGTAACGCTGAGAAGCTTGAGGCTAGTCAGATGTGCCAGTGAATCAATGTGATCGCGATTATCATCGTCATCGTCGCTATCGTCGTCGAACTCTTGCTCATGCACGGTCAGGTCAAGTATGAGTTGTTGCAGAGTGTCTTTGAGCGGCTCAAGGAGTTTTATCACCGTACTTGGAGAGATTGTATAGGCCCCAGCCTCGAGATCCTCCGTAAATTGGAAGCTGGTAAGATTTGGACAGGCGTTCAATAAGCACCCCAAGTCGGTGAATCTCAAACAAGACTTGATCAGCTCGAGCTTCTTCAGGTTTAGACTTCCTGGAGTCAAGGTGAGAGGTATGATGTTGTGGTGAAGAGGTTCTATATCGCCTGTGTCTTGATACCACGAACTGGCCATTTCCACTTCGAAGATATCCAACCGACCCTCGGACAAAATAGGGCTGAAGAAGGCAATCGGCCAAGATAGCATGCCGTCAATCGCGTGGACTGTGAGCCTACGAAGCTTTGAGAATCGGTGAGTTGGTGCTCGCCATTCCAATGCAACCCTGTCGGTGGGCCCGCCCCGCACGAGCATTTCGCGAACGTTGGGGAGTAAGGCAACCATTAGTACGATTACGGGGTCCTCAAGGCCGGCTCGAAGCATGGAGCAGAATTTCTGGTCGTAAGACATGCCATCAATGATGTGCGTGTACCACGGTTCATCGTCTGGGACCTGTGAAGACAACATGGGCCTTGCCTGTTCGACGATGCAGCTCTTTGTTTCGTATGGTGAGATTTCTGCGATAACCCCAGCAGCTTGGGCAGCCCTGCAGTACAGCAGATAGTCATCCTCATTTGGCTCTGGCGCTTTGGCTTCGTCGAAATCCGCGACTTTCTTGTCTACGTCCGGGACGCCATTGGCAGAATCATAGTAGACCGGATTGAAAGCATCGATGGTCTCCCAGTGTGATAGGTCAAGTTTTTTGACGTTCCGGGCAAGGTTAGGCGATCGAATGATACGTTTCACGAAAAGGGAGAAACTCCGGTTGTCGATATGGATGTTCGTGTATTCGCGGTACAGCTCCGGCTCGGTGACAACGTTCAGATGCTTGCATACGAGCGACATGTTCAAGAGGTCGACTTGATCAAGATACGCAGCAATGGAAAGGATCAATTCATAGCTCAAACCCAGGAGCGGCATGGTGACGGATGCGGTGTTGCGAGCTGCGATGGTAGAACGCGTTGAGACGCGTTGAAGTCAACGAGGTAGGAACGTAATTTATAGCCAGTGCCCTATGACAGGCTACGGCTGCTCGACGGTAGGCAAGATGGGGCTCTCTCGTGTGCTCGCTCAATCGAAACATAGTTCTTTCCAATACGATAGTGATGCGGTTGGTTGTGCAAAGTGAGCGCGAGGGAACGCGAAGCGGGGGAGGCGCGTTGGGCAAGAGTGGGGCTCAACACTAGCGACGACACAACGAATGTCTCATCAATGACCTGAGCATGAAAGTGTATGAGTAGCGTATCTTGCTGACGCTGCTTTGCTACTGGTGACTATATGTATGCCAGCAGTCTTTGGCAAACTTGTAAACACATCAAATGATGATCACAGATCTCCAGTCACGGAAGGGTATCTCTATTGGACCACAGCCCCATCTCTCACGGTCGCCCGAACGAAAAATTCGTGTTGCATCCAGATGTTGAAGTTCTGACTCGACCATGGTTTCTCGGCGTTGACGATGTCGAAATCAAATTCGCGAAGGAGCTGCAGAAAAGTTAGCGATTAAGCTCACGAACTACCACGCAGGGGCTACCGGTCATACCTCAAAGTACACTTTGTCCATTTCAAGAAAAGCCACATTCTTTCCCATGCAGCTCCAGCGTCCGTATCCAAAGACAAGCTCAATGGTTTTCTCCATCTCGCGAAGAGTCTCCGCGTCAGCCTCGAGCCAACGCTCGGGACGGAAAGTGTCGCTGTCCGGCCCAAATATGCTCTGGCGAGTCAAGGCGTAGACGTTGTGGCCGATGCGAGTACCTCCAGGGAGGAAGATTCCGTTGTAGGTGTCGCCGCCAGCAGGAACCTCTTTCGCAACCTGGCCCAAGAAGGGAGGCGTGATACGGAGGCCTTCCTTGACAACGGCCTGGAGATAGGGCAGATCCTTCGACTCTTTCTGCTGAATCGGACTGGAAACCCGTCCATCTGCAACAGCTGCGTCCACCTCAGCTCTGAGCTTAGTGAGGACCCGAGGCGAGGTCAGAAGGCGGAGGAGTGTGCTACGGAGAGCTGATGCGGTTGTGTCAGATCCAGCGATAATTTGGAGCAAAAGTTCCGCTTCGATCTGCTTCTGAGGGATCCCGTTTCTCACAAAGGCACCAATCATATCCTGTCGCTCCTTGCCATCCGCTTCGAAGCGTTCGCCAACTGCAGCCTTCGCCTCGGACATCAACCGTCCAAACCCTTTCGGGTCCTCTGGGTTGGGAGCAATCTTGAAGATGAGGCCACTGCGGTACAGGAACTTATGGATGGGCGTCACACCAACGATAGGCGCAGCTGTGGATACGAATTGTTCAGCGAGCTTGATGTAGTCGTAGATGTCTTCATCCCTGACCAGATAGCCGAAGGCTCTGCCGTAGGCCAGGCTCGTGATAACATCAAGCGTAAAATATTGTGCTTGGAGAGCAAGGTCCATGGGCTTCAGCGACCCGCCCTCAGAGATGTACTTGGTCTTGATGAGGTTCACCCACGATGCAATTTGGTCGTCGACATCCTTCTCTAGCTGCGGATTCTCCCTACCAGCGTACGCACCAGCCATCTTGGCTCGTCGTTTGTCATGGGTGTCAACATCCAGCTCTGACAAGATGTTGTCGAGATGAGGATCTACGCGCATTCCAAGATACCAGTCGGAACGCTTGTAAGGAGACCGCGCAGCGCTCATACGCCGTATGAGCTCCGGATCACTGGTGGTGAGTTCATTCGGTCCGATGCGCACAAGGGAGCCTGGATTGACGCTCTGTCAGCCTATTCAAGTAGATTCTACGAACCGAGGCGTACCGAATTGCTGGTCCACAGCTCTATAACGGAGATGCTGCGTTCCGCTTGCCTGGGTCCTCATCATGAACAGGTACGAGAATTTGCCAAGGAATGGCCCTGGGATATGACGTAGAGGGAGCCATGTCTGGACCGCAGTGTAGACATAGTACCCAGCAAGAATGAGGGGCACAAAAGGCAACACAAATTTGAAGACGGCAGTGAGAAAGCCCTCCGAAGCCATGGTGGTTGTCGCTTGAGGAAGAAGGTTCGCCGCGAAAGCGAAATGCAGAAGGCTAATGTGGGTTGCTCTCTCTTATCGAACAATTGCACTCTCCAGCGTCAGGCACACCTTCCAGAGTCAGGCACACGTAGATGCGGCTTTGCATCCTACTCGCCGTTAAGAGTTTTCGGACCTACCCTGGCCGCCACAATGGGTTCAGGCAATCCGAATTCGTACGATTTACACGCAATCTGGCCGCGGAGCCATGGGTCTGAAAATGTCTCCCGCTCGTGCATTGTGTCTACAGGGAAGAGCTCGTGAAACTGTTCCATTGTAAGTTACGGCTCGGCGAGCGCTCGGCGGCTCTTGTGGGAAAACTAACCAACAACAGCGACGGCCGTTTGAGCGGAGCAGGCAGTACCCGCGCGCCGAGGCTTGTCAGTTGCCTCGCTTAACAACTAGTCGTGTAGCGCAATACCCAAGGGTCGATTTGAGTCTTTCGGAGTCAAATGGCCGGGTACGGATTGGGCGAGGAACCATCCACCATGCAACGGCAAGCCGCCTCGAACGCCCCTAGTTTGGCACTTCCGGGCCGAGCAATGGGGCCCGTTGAGGAATTAGGGTGCCAGGGTGGTATTCAAACAGGCAATAGAGGAGCACTCCCGTACACCAGGGGTTCAAGTTTCAAGACCCTCAAATGAAGCCATGCGCAGCCCCATTCCCCGCTGTTGCGTGGGAACTGATTGTATCCTGTCTGTCCATTCCTTTCACCCAGCATACCCCTCCATAGCTGCGCTTCAAGGAAGCAGTGCTTCTTGCCGCCATGTCGTCGGCAGTTCCCAAGAACGAGACGTATGAACAGTTCCGAGGAAGATTCGATGGAGCCATCATCACTACCTATGCCTTTGCCATGGTGGTTGTGCCACTCAAGATCTGGTGTCGGAAGAGAGCAGGCGGTTGGTCCAACATGGGTTGGGATGAAATCTTCACTTTGCTGGGCGCAGCTTTTGTGACGAGTACCTTTGCGGTCATCTATACAGGTATGCTCAGTCCCCAGTGCCACCTCCAGCGGAAAGGTCACTAACTAGATGCACTAGCTGTTCGACCATTGCTCGGGAAGAAGTTTGTGGATGTTGCACAGTCTCCGGAGGACATGGCCAAGCTTCCAAAATTCGCGCTTTATCTCTGGCTTGCGAATCTGCTGTACACACCAAGTGTTATGTTCTTGAAGCTCTCCATAGTGGCGCTCTATTGGAGACTGTTCGGTTTGACTAATAAAGCCCGCATCCCACTTTTGCTCCTGGGTGGGGTTATCATCGCATGGGGTATCACAATTGTGAGTTCCTGCACATCGCACTCGAGAACCTGTTCACTGACTCGACACCCTCTAGGCATTGATAGTCATATTCAATTGCGACCCGATAGCTGGGAGTTGGGACCTTACCCTCGCCGCCACCGCCAAATGCGTGGACAAGAAATCATTCTACGTCGGCGGAAGCGTCCCCAACGTCATCACCGACCTCGTCCTTGTCATCATGCCCCTTCCGTACGTCTGGAGGCTGCATGCTTCCCTCGCACAGCGTATCGTCCTAGGTGGCATATTCGCGCTCGGAACCTTTGTCTCAATCGTGTCAATGATACGATTGTCAGTACTCTTGGACACTGCGAGCGGCACATTCGATGTGACGTACACCTACAAAGATGTCTACCTGTGGAGCTTGGTTGAGATCAACGTCGGCCTGACCTGCGCATGCTTGCCAAGCTTGCGACCCATTGTGAGAGTTATCGGACTCAAACGGCTGTTCTCTAGTGGTCGCTCGCGCCCATCGGACATGAGGACACCTGATGCTTCTCATGGATTGAGTGGCAACGTCAGCGGACACATGAGTTCGCGGAAGAAGCCCAAGGGAATGTTTTCGCAGCTTGAGGACGATGACGAGTTCGAGATGATCCCGGAGCAGAAGATGAAGGGGGGCGCATGGGTGGGGGCATCACAGTCACGAGTGAGTCATGATACTGATCGAACATCAAATGGGTCTACAGACTCGCGGAAACAAACCGGGCTCGGTGCCATAACGGTACAGCGAGACTTTGAGGTTTCCTCCAACCAACCGTGAGATGGACGAACACTCAGATCTTGAACAAGGAGAAAAAGCAACATTTTTATGTATTATTAAACATGTATACACTTATTCAATTCGAATCTGAAGTTGGCTCAGCCTCTGATAGAGTATAATGACCATCTAAAAGGATATCACATGTCCTAACTGCACTCCTGTCTTGCCCACCTTACTGCTCCTGCTCGGGCCCTACACGCGGATCTGGCCCTAAACGAATAGATCTAGAATGACCTTGGCATATATAATGGCCCGTACGCTGGTATATTGAGACCTTCCAAATTCTGCTCAATAGGATTAGCTTTTTAATCTCCGAACCTAGCACATTCTTGGCAGCATACCTCTACAATGGATCGCTTAGCTTACCCGTACAAGCTTAATCTTGACTTCTTTTGTTCTTGTTACGAACGAGGGCAGTCCGCCCAGGCAAGGTGGCATCTCCATCTTTCCAGGTCTTGCATTTCCCGCTTGGAGTCGCCTCGTAACCATCGCAACGGGTACAATGCCCATGACCGCACCCATCACAGGAGAGCTCTATGTCGAGGAATTTGTCCCCTTCTTCATCTTCGACGTAAAACACGGGGTTGTGCGACTGGCACTCATGGCATTTCCACGACGCCCAAAATTGTGTCTCGTCAGGAGTACGAGGCATCGTTACGTCTGCTCTGTGCGTTCAGGTGATGTTGCAACGCGGGATGCAATATTTGTGAGTGTTAGGTGTGCGTTCGATCGGATGCTTCTCGTGAGATTGATGTGGTGACAGAGTGGCTGTTGACGGTTGTGACTCTACGTTCTGGCCGTACATGTCGTTATGCTATGTATGAAATCGTGACGGTGACAAGCTGCAAACACTAACTGATTGCGCCTAAAAACGTACATCTATATGTACAGATCTGCAATCACGGGAAAACGACCAAATGTCTGGGCGAACTTGACGCTCTAGGTGATGATATTGAAAAACCAAGTAGCGCTGATCTGGTGAGACGATCCATGACCTGAGAAAATCTCATCCATAGATGTGGAAAAGTTACAGTCGCTTAATTCGTATCGACATGAGACTGTATCTTCACTATACCCGAAATCGTACCAGAACGTGTACGAGTGTTTGATAGTATTCTAACTCGTATCACTGCAAACTTGCAAAGCCTACTACACAGTTCCACATCTCCATGCCAGGAATGGTCTTAGCTCTCGTTGCCACACATGACCCATACAACAGTTCGACCGACTTTGTTAATCACACTGCATCTTCCCTGATAGATTAGCCTCACTGGACACCAGAAAATAATAGCCAAGAGCACTCACGGCTGTCCTCCCTCATGTCATCTCCCTTAAGCTGATGTTGCTTCTTCTCTTCACCTTTACAGCTGCTTTGTTCTTTGCTGATGGGCTCTTGCCCCGACTGATCTTGCCTTCTCAAGTCGACGCTCGACCCTTGCGGCGTACCGATGTCGGCTGCAGTTGCTTGGAGACCTAGGTCAGAGTTCATGGAGGACGTGGTGCTGGAGATGCTGGCTGCGGAGCGACGGCGGGGTTGGTAGGTGGAGATTATGTAGTGGGCGAGTGGAGACATGTTTGCGTGTGTGATGGTTGTTTAAGGTGTAGCTGGAGAAGCTTCTGTTCGGCAGGGTGAATGATAGGATGTGCTACTATGGTGTTGTTTGTCTAACACGTTGTATTGGTGACGTGGTGTGGTGTAGTGTTTGTAGAGAAGGTCGATGTGCAGAGCTGCGTGTCTGGAGATGCTGCTTGAGGTCGTTTGTGGCAAGAAATGGGCGGCGGGATTTAGACTATATACGCGATGGCCTCGAGGTCAGCAGAGGCAACTGGGTACGTCCACCTCTCTGCCGTCCAGGCGATGCTACGCAAAGCACATAGTATCTGCTGGGCACTCGATTGTTGCAGCGCAGGCAATGACATGAAACGAGGTATAGCTTCACCGATCAAGTTCCATTGGTGGATTAGCCATCCGATGTTGACCTGATGTCCCCACTTCACTGCATCGAAATACTTCACGTGTATCTTTGACGCTCGTGATATATCTAGATCATCTTCCTTTGCCGAACGGTTTAATCAAGGCGCGTCGTCATGTAATATGCGGTATAGTCCGTATGTCAACGCTGTGGTGTTATCCAAATCAGTGTCCAGCGTCACCATGAAACTCGCCAATGCTGTCGCCGACAGCCTTACTTGACCAAACCCCGACACGCCATGCTTTCAGTTGACCGGTCCATGTACATGTGTCCGTCAGTAACATGCTGATATTGTCGTGGCACCTTCCCGAGAGAATGCTCACTGCCTGTCTTCTCCGCACGAGCGCGAGGGTGAGAGTCGTACAGCTCCACATAGGTAAGGCTTAGCTTTGCGTGAGGCGCGTTGCGCGACGTCACGAGACATCGCTTCCAGAGAATGGCCACACAATCTTGATAATGGCGGGCCGACGTCTATCGATGCCGGCTCGGGTGTTACCGGAGTAGTCGGCATCGGATACAACTTGATTTTGAGTGAGCGGCGGATGGGTCCGAAGTAAAGATGGCCACGCTTGTAACGGTTGCTGCAGCTTTGTTCGCCGTCATGCATATCTACCTAGAGAGAGAGGCAGCGGCGACGGGAACGGTTGGCTGGAGCGAGATGGATCGAAGTTAATTTCGTGATTGCACAAACACGGCTCATTTCGTTGTCAAGGTCAAAGCTCCCAGTGCATGGGTTGAGTGACGGCCGAGACTGCGTACAAACATGTCATGCCGTCAAGCTCTGAACGGGGTTGCAGGGACTGCGTCCTGGTCCATCAAGTCGCGCGTTATGGCAAGCGAAGGATGATTTAGGTTTAAACCGAAACAAACATCAGCGTTGCATGCTCACTGTGCGATGTATGTCGTCCCGTGTCGATGACGAATTTCTGGGATAGGGATCTCATTAGCATGGCAGCGGCAGCATGTACGCGCGACGCACAGCCAATGACTGGAAAGCGCTACAATGGAATGGAATGCGTGGCTGTGATATTTCCGTTTCTGCGTTGGGCAGTCTTGCCCCCTATCAGACCGCACCTAGACGTTCTTCAGAGATGACTATGCGCCCCGACGCCTTGCTCGATGCACTATACATAAATTTACAAACGAAGAGCCTCTCCACCTTCCGATCGTCGTCACACTGTGACCGTATGCTGGTGCTGCCAGATGTGCATCTCGGCCATGCATGCTATCGACCTCAAGATGCTGGTTCGCTGGATTCGACTGCTGCGGTATCTGGCTGTCCCTCATCTTTCGCCTCATCGCTCTTCTTGCCTGCAGGTTCGCTTGGCGCGACCGCCTTCCCCTCAACAAGTTGGATAAGGTACGTGCCAGTGTTGCCAGCACCGTCGATGTGTTTGAGTTTCGCATCGAAGAGTTTCGCGTCACGAAGAAGTCTGTTCGAGCATAAGTCCTACCGTTCTGACTTGGAGACGAATACATACCTTTGTCGACCAAGGTCCGTTTTGACCGAGGCTTCCTTCAAAACCTTGCCGAGTTGATCGCGATAACTCTCAAAGACAGGCGCCATGATCATTCTGACCTGCATCTCATGCAAATACTTGTTGATCACCTTGTGCAGTGTGACCGTCTCCTTAGTAAGCGTCTCCATGTTTGGACTGATGTCTTTCTTCGTCTCCGCTTCAGCGTCCCACTCGATTTTCTTAAGGTTTCGCACGTGCACAGTTGCACGATTACTCATGATGTCAATGAGCTTCTCGTGGATGGACTGTTGCTGATCATGTAGTAAACGCTTCACGTTATCGAATTCACTCAGAGTGGATTTGTTTGCTGTTGAGTGGCGGCGTGCACATTCGCGGAGGTAGGGCAGGAGCGCTATAATGAAGGATAAAGTTTGTGAAGCAATGGCAAGGTGCTTGGTGTTGATGTTTTTCAGCCCGGCGCTATGCATGGCGCCGGCACCCAGGATGAGCTGGCAAAGTCGCGAATTGAAGAGCTTGATGTAATCGCAGAGAACCATCGATATCTCGGAGGTCATGTTGGGCATGGCAGTAAGTAGGATCTCGAAACGCTCGATGCCGCGGATGACGACGGTAGAAGAATTTGAGATGATGTACTTTTCTTCGTCGACGTACGCCGGTGCTGGAGATTTCTTGTCCTTCTCCGTTGAAGTGCCGTTAGGATGGGCGGAACCGTTTGCAGTACCTTCGTCCTCGATCTCGCCCAGTATGGAGCCTGCTTGCAACCACTCGAATGGGTCTGATTCCATACCCTTCAATATTCTCGCTAGTACCTCTTTGTCATGTTCATCGAAGTCCTTTGGTTCCCATCTATCAGAGTCCATGGCTTTTGCCAGTCCCTGTTTCTCGTTGTCTCCAAATTTGGACACGAACTCAGTGATGTGGGTGTTTACGACACCCTTTAGGGCCGCACCAGATCGACCAGATACGGCTTCACATTCATCGGCGAATAACCGACAAAGGTTGAAGTAGCGGAGGAACCGGTTTAGTGGTAAGTTGCTCGTGACTTCGGCACGAACCTTCAACAGCTTTGTGACTTGTGTCTGAGCAGCATCTACAGCCTGCCCAAGCAGACTCGACATGTCGAGTGCTTGCATCAGCTCCTCTTGTAGTCCGTTCATGTCCATAGGATTGGGTGTAGCTCCCATAGCACCGTCAATACTGCTCATGTAGGGGCTCCGTGGTGGTGACCGAAGGCCTCCGCTAGATGCTGGCGGAGTACTAACGCCACTCGTAACATCGAGAAGTACCTTGACTTGTACGCTTAATCTGCGCAAGGCTTCGCCGATGTCGGTGAAGATACCAGTGAAAAACTCCTCCGCGTCCGCTGGATCCATAGCGCGTAGATTCCGAGCCAAAATCGAGTTTTTATCTTGCTGACTGTAGCCCCGACCGCCCCGCGTGGAAACGGAGGTCATGGACTCAGCATCGTCGTCGGTAGAACTTGGCAGATATTTTCGAATCAACAACTTCATCTCGCGCACGATGGCGTCTCGGAAGGTAGCACTAGCTTGGTTGGTGAAATTGGAACCACTCAAACCAACGAGATCCGCACGCAAGTCCGACCGGAATTTGTTGCTAGTGTTTAGATACGCCGGTAGGGTCGATTTGAATCGTTGATGATCGCCACGACCTCTTAGTGATGTCTTTGCCCATCTTTCCAGCGTATCACGCCTTGATGTGCGCTCGACGTGCTCACGCAGATCCGTGCGCAGAGTTTCCACGAATCGCTGTTCGAAGCCCTTTCCAATGCGAAACCTCAACTGCTGTATGCCTTCAGATACACCATCAAGGGCTCGCAGATTGCGAAGATCTACGATAGCACGAGGACATGGCGGTTGTATCCAAGCAGTGGCGGTTATATCGGTAGTATCTAGCGTGCCACAAATCAGCCTCTCGATAGAGTCCAAGCGAATCATGGCCGACTCAAGTGCGCCCTTGTCCACGGTCTCATCGCATACAGAGAGTCCAGTAATGACAGCTTGCAGCTGGTCGGTGGCGTGCGTGAGCTTCCGGAGATTCTCCCGCCGCCGTTTCATGTCTACAATCTTCAAGCCGCCTATTGCCATTTGATCGTCCAGCCGTTTGAGATCACCTCGCAGGGTCTTGATCCTCTCTACAGACTCGGAAGCCTCCGACTGAAGCTCTCTCAATGAACCCAAGGCGGCGAAGAAGGAGGTCGATGCGGTAGATATCGACGATATCAGATGCACTTCAACAGTGTCCATGTACCACGACAACTTCTCCTGCAGAATCGCGTTCGTGGCAAGCGCCTTGCGCCCAGGTGGTTGAGGCGCTTCGAGTGACCCATTGCCGTCCTTAAGATCGTCTCCACTCTTGATCCGCACCGGCCTGACCACTTCCGACCTTTCGCTGACTACGTCAAAGGTCCGAGGGTTTTCGAGGTGGAAGTTCTCGTCGAAGTAGACATTAGGGATCGTGGACAGTGGTGTGACGGTGGGTAGCGCGCGTTTCGAGCCACTCGTGCGGCGTTTCGCTTTTGGCGAACTAGACGGTGAGAATGCTGAAGACGAGAGCTTGGGGGTCGCGGCTGGAGAGCCTGCGTGTAGCCCACGCTCGAGCGCATCGGACAAGTCGTCTTTCTTGACAGAGTCCTTTCTCAGTATTGACGCTGCATCGTCTGACTCGGCTTTTACGCGCTGAAAAGCTTCGTATAGATTACCAATCTGCGACAAGTAGGGATTGAAAGCGGATGGTTCGACGTGGGGTATGTTTGCTAGGGTCACGGGAGGTATATCTTTGGTAGAAGGCGGCCTGTGGCTGCTAGACATGGCGGTTTGTGCGGTATGCGGCAACATGCCGGTGCGCACGATGGGTGGCTGAAGCAACGTCGAGATCGCTGTAAGCGTCAGCAAGACCACTTCTTGTTGCTTTGTGCAATGCCGTATGGGACATACCATTATTGCTCTGCTCCCTCACCGGTCCCATGCTGCCTTTAAACGCCGTATCCAGCGCTCCTCCCACCGAGTGTATCGAGCTTGACGTGGAACCGCGACGTGGCTGATATCGGCCGCCACCGGTCGAGTTGGGGCGGGTAGCCCAGTCATGCTGCTGGGGAAAGGGAAACTGGCTATGGCTGATGTTTGGCGACAGGAATTCGAAGCTCTCTTGGGAGGACCGCCGGGGGGAGGATGACATATTCGCGGCGCAAGACGGGTGCGCGTGGGTGGCCGAGGCATAGGGAGGGGACAAAGCGGTATTCGGGGGGATTGCTATGACATGCCGAGCCGAAGGATCACAAGCTACAGTACATATAATACAAGATAGGCAAGAGACACAGAAAGTGCGACGATGAGAGCGTAGATAGTCGTTAACGTGTGATCACCGCGCTGCGGTAGCCCTGGAGGTCCGACAGCTTGGCAGGGACCGCGCTAGATCATTGCTCTGGCGCAGCTGTGAACGTCGACCACACAGCATCAGCGCAACACCTTGAGAATGCACACCAACACGCCCTGGGATAGAATATTGAATCCCAATCTTGTAGATGCTCTGCTATGTGGCAAGCTTGCAGCCGATTTTCATGCCTGAGAGCAGGGGCAGCGCTCCGATCTTGGACCCTGTTGTGAGTGTGAGTTGGTCAAATAGCGTATACCCGCTGCAAGACACGAACTCAACTCCACGGCCATACACAAGAGCTTCAAGTCTGGCCATGGGCAGCTGGTTCTGAGTAGCTGCTGTATTTTGTAGGAAGCGGCAGACACGCAGTCGTTGGCTCTCTCCTAATTCAGCGATGGGAGTCAGATGGGTCGTAGGTGCCTCGTCAAGTGAACATCACAGAAGCGTGCAGATGTCGTTTTGAGTGGATTTGGAGAAGTTCACACCTGCTGTTCAATCGTGGGCACATGTCTATCTGGGCCTACAGTTGCCATAGCAGGGCGCGCTAGGCTCAATATAGGCCCAATATTACGCGTTTTCAGCGCGTTTTGGCGCGTCGCCCTGGCCCCTCCATCACTTTCAACCTCCACAACCGCCCGCCGCACTGTGCAGACCTACAACACCAAGCATACGCAGCGCACACACAATGGCCGACAGACAGACGCCGTATACCATAAGCGTCTTCCCTAGCGAAGGGGATGGCGACCACGGGGATGCTGCCCCAACCCGCATCCAGCAGCGGCTGGTCGACTTTATTATGGACTTCCATCTTGACAATGTCTTCATCTACAGGTATGTGCGGGAACTGACTTGACTTTAGGAGGACTGCTGACCCTCTTTCAAGAGACCAGATTCGCGAAAATGTGCTCATCAAGCAATACTACTGCGACGTCGATATTGCACACCTCATTTCCGTCGATGAGGAATTAGCCCATAAGCTCACCCAAGACCCCGCTGAGATCATCCCTCTGGTATGTCTTGCCACGCGAGATACGGCTTTCTTTCTTACCGTTTGCAGTTCGAGGCCGCCCTCAAGTCGTGCACACAGCGCATCGTCTATCCCTCGCAACGAAACATTAAGCTGCCAGAGCACCAGCTGCTCCTCCACTCGTCCGCCGCGAAGCTCTCCATTCGCGACCTGACAGCTGCACAAGTCTCGCATCTTGTGCGCATACCGGGCATCATCATTGGCGCCTCAACCCTCTCCTCAAAATCCACAACACTCGCCATCCGGTGCCGGAATTGCCAGCATGAAGAAGTAATACCTGTTTCTGGCGGCTTCTCGGGCGTTTCTCTCCCACGCATCTGTAGCCGGCAGCGTGGAGAAAACGATGATAGATGTCCACTGGACCCATATTATGTTCTGCACGAGCGCTGTCAGTTCATCGACCAGCAAGTGCTCAAGATGCAGGAAGCGCCTGATGAGGTACCAGTCGGTGAATTGCCGCGTCATATCATGATCTCGGCCGACCGATATCTGGCAAACCGTGTTGTTCCCGGTACAAGATGCACGGTGATGGGCATCCACTCCATCTACCAACAGAAAGGATCCAAGAGGTCACAGAACGCCGCGGTTGCCATTCGGAACCCGTATATTCGCGCTGTTGGCATACATGCAGATGTGGACCACACTGCCAAGGGCAATTTGACCTTCACCGAGGAAGAAGAGCAGGAGTTTTTGGAGATGAGTCGAAGACGGGACATTTACGAAGTATTTGCCAACTGCATTGCGCCATCTATCTACGGGAACAAGGACATAAAGAAGGCTATCGCGTGTCTGTTGGTAGGAGGCTCCAAGAAGATCCTACCGGATGGCATGAAGCTTCGCGGTGATATAAATGTTCTGCTCCTCGGTGACCCTGGTACAGCCAAGTCGCAGCTGTTGAAGTTTGTGGAGAAAGCTGCCCCGATCGCTGTCTACACTTCCGGTAAGGGCTCATCAGCAGCTGGTTTGACTGCTTCGGTTCAGCGCGACCACAACACGCGGGAGTTCTACCTAGAGGGAGGTGCCATGGTCCTTGCTGATGGCGGTGTGGTGTGTATCGATGAGTTCGACAAAATGCGCGACGAAGATCGTGTCGCGATCCACGAGGCCATGGAACAGCAGACCATCTCCATCGCGAAAGCTGGCATTACTACGATCCTCAACTCGCGAACGTCTGTCCTCGCTGCTGCCAATCCTATCTTCGGACGCTACGATGACATGAAGACACCAGGCGAGAACATCGATTTCCAAACCACCATCTTGTCCCGTTTCGACATGATTTTCATCGTCCGAGACGAGCACGACCGCGGTCGCGACGAGCGGATAGCAAAACACGTCATGGGTCTCGCAATGGGCGGTCGCGGCACGGAGGAGGTCGTTGAATCCGAAATTGACATAAAGAAGATGAAGCGCTACATCTCCTACTGCCGGCAGAAATGCGCGCCACGCCTCTCGCCCGAAGCTGCGGAGAAGCTAAGTTCGCACTTCGTCAGCATTAGACGACAGGTCCATGCCTCTGAGATGAATGCCAACCAGCGCTCGTCCATTCCAATCACTGTGCGTCAATTGGAAGCTATCATTCGTATTACCGAATCTCTAGCTAAGCTCTCGCTGTCTCCCGTTGCCGATGAATCCCATGTCGACGAAGCGATCCGTCTGTTCTTGGCTTCTACCATGGATGCCGTGACCCAAGGTGAGGGTCAGGCATCGAAGGAGCTGATGGATGAAGTGAACAAAGTTGAAGAAGAATTGCGACGACGTATGCCCATTGGGTGGCAGGTCAATCTCTCAACGTTGAAGCGCGAGATGTGTGATGGAAAGGGATACTCGGAGCAGGCTTTGGGCCGTGCACTGCATGTGATGGCTGCAAGAGAGACAATACAGTGGAGGCATGGGCAAAGTGCTGTGTATAGGTCTAATATCTAGCTGTTAGGTGTGGTCAGGCTTCACCAATTTGGCGTTCGGATATGTGGGTTGGCTTGTTCTGGATATGAGACTACAATGATGGAGGGAAATGTGAGTAAGATGGAGGAAAGATACCTCTGCGCACGGGTTCGGTACATTGCACTGGCGTTTCTGGTTCCTGATCAGCATAGCGCTTCTCGTTATGCGAAGACTCTTTCACTGTTCTACCAATCACAGGGGTTCATCTCAAACACTCCGCGTTCGCACCATCACCACGCAATTCAGCATTTAATTCCTTTACAGATTCTCGCCGATGCAAGGCATTCATCTCAGACGGAAGGCGTTATTTTCGTGGGCGAGACTTTGCGGAATGGTGGTGCCGTTGTGAGAGCGTTGCTTTCACAATGCATGTCATTGTTAACACACATCTCCGTAGTTTTTGATTCTTTGGCCGAACACACAATACCGGTCGCCGTTCGCCATATAAGCAGCTTTCTCCTCGTGAAATTTCGACCCGAAGTATCCTATAGTGAACGCAGAATATTGCAGTGCAAGTTCCGCCCATATTCTTCCTTGGCTGCAGCTCCCCTTTCGCGAACAGAAACCGTCATTTCGAGTAACCAACCAGCTTCGAATTCGGAAGCAATGACAGAGGCAAAGATGTTGAAGACCAAGAAGCAGTCCGCGGTCGACGCTGGCTATGGCGTAGGACGCCCTATGGAGGATACCGAGCCGTTTCCCGATTTCAATGACCTGAGTCGAACTCTCGCATACGACCTCTTTCCATATGAGATGACTGCGATCGAGACGACTCGGCAGAAGTTCACTTCGAACCGGAGCGGCCTGGACAACGTCGCGCATCCGCGCGCAGCGCACGCCCTCGACCACGATACATTTGATCGCACGGATGCCTGGCTCGATCCTGTCCACGAAACGAAGCCATTTGAGCAAGTCCTGTTCTTCGATGCGGATAGTTCTATTGATGAGGAAGGGTTGGAGTCTTTCGCCTTTTTCAATGGCGAGACTCTAGCCCACGAGGAGCTCGTTGATGCATCTATCATTCTCCGTCTACCGAATAACGACTTCCTCTATGATCGCGCGGCGATCGAAACATTCCTTGAGCGCGAGGTGAAGAGGGTGTTGTATTGGGGTCCGGAAGTCAAGGCTCAGCCGCTGGCGGCGAGCTCGACGGACTTCTTTTACTCTTTGCCCTCGTATACGTCTACAGAGATCGATGAAGAGGAAAACCCTTTCTCGGATGAGTGTGGGGTGGTTGTGGGGTACGAAACTCTTTCTACGGCCTTGAACGGGACGGAGTGCGACGAAGAGGATGATGATGACGATGCCGAGTCTGAGGCGTCCTTCGGTTGTGTCACTGCTGCTGCACACGACGAAGCTGTGGCGGTAGAGAAGGCACGTCAACTGATCAAGCATCTAGATCTGCCATTCCGCCAAACATTCGACTGGGTTCCACTGAAATACGTCAACAAGAAGAAGCACCCTCCACCAGCGATCCTTCTCCCTGGAAGCGACGAAAAGCGCACAGCACCAATCACCCGCCCCTTAAAGTCCTTCCAGCGTCTTGCTCCTCGCAAGGACAAGACTGTCGCCCTCCGCGCCATGCGCGCCAACATTCGCAATGCAGTGATCGTCTGGCCTACTCATTCAATGTACTGGGCTCCGCTCCAATCCCTCCCTCCACCTCGTATGCAAGCTCGACCTCCACGACCGAACGCATCGATGTTTCAACCTGTGCACCCCGAGGTTAAAGCTCAGCGCGAAACGGCTAAGCCTCTTTACCTGACGGTGATCCAGAGTAAACCGGATGTATTGCCCGCCCGGCATTTTCCGTTCGAGTTGACGCCTGATTCCCTCGGCTCGCTTGATCTGCTTCGTCTTCCAAGCGCTACTATCTCCGTTCACTCAGTACATTCATATCAGGCGGAACCGGTACCTGCACCTTTGCATATCGATGCCAAAGGTATCTGGCCACGTCCCGGGCTTTACACCATCCAACCTGTAGACCTAAATATCCGAGCGCAATGGAAGCACACAAAGCCTCAGTCGTACCATCAGCGTCACGCTGCGGAGCAACAGTTTTCTGGTGTGGAGATGAATGAGGCCGGCGAGCTTACGCTTGTGAACGTGCTTGAAGAGCATAAGCCGCGTACGCCGCTAGTTTTCAAGCCCTTCAAATTCCTGGGCAAGCTCTTGCGCGTTGCGACGCGGATACGTGATGAAGTCGTTTGAACCCTTGATCTCGGTACTGGATCACATTGAGATCGGGGTTCATCGATGTAACGGTATTCACTCCTCTGAGTGGTATAATTACCCCCGCATGATGACTCTCCGTCCATGACGAAACTCTGCTGTTTTGATAGCTGCTAAGTGTTGAGCTTGTTTGCTCCACTCATAGCATCCTGGCAAATTCAAGACTAGCTTTCTTTATCGAGACATAGCTTACAGAGACACAACATAAGTCTTCCGAGACTGGCGCTTGCTCAACGAGAAAGTGTCTCGCGTGTGATCTAGGTCGCATATTGATCGATCACATGGCCATTTCCTTGAGTCTTATATACTTCTTTCTCCAAATGTCCAATATCTACATCTACATATACATAAACAAAACTTAAGCATAGGCAAATATAAACAGACAGTTTGCAGATACAGCGGTAAATTTCCATGATTTCACTTGAATATCGGGTCATTCTGATCGATATCCTTAAATGTGAACTGTGATTGAGACCCACGAACCCATTTTCTATGGCGAAATCTCTCATCAGATAGATAGCCCACAAGTTTGCGCGCAAGCGAGGACCGGTCAGGTATCCTAGCCGGAAGAAGCCTAGAGTAGCCGACGAAAACACTCATCACCTAGGTTAACTACACGCTGCCACCCGTGAACAGTACCCCGGGCATGAACTATAATGTCTTCCAAATCTGCAGTCATATCAGTTATCGGCTCTCTCAATGTCGACCTCGTCACTCGCACGCCCCGTGTGCCTGTTGCGGGTGAGACGCTGACGACCGAGTCTTTTAACACAGGATTCGGCGGAAAGGGCGCGAATCAAGCCGTTGCTTGTGCGCGACTCTCGAGAACGCAAAAACAGGCGTCGAATAAGGAAGCGTCTGATGTTGAAGTTCGCATGGTCGGCGCTGTGGGAGACGATGAATTTCATGAGGGGTTCCTGAAGAGTTTGCAGGCAGATGGGCTGGGCACAAAGGGTGTTAAGATATTGAAGGGCAAGAAGACGGGCGTTGCAGTCATCGTGGTTGAGACTGGAACGGGAGAGAATAGAATCATGTTTTGCCCGGGGGCGAACTACGACGTGCAGGTGGAGGATCTGGTGGACGATGATGCTGCTGTGGTTCTGTTCCAGCTGGAATTACCGTTGCAAGTTGTAAGTCTTCCAACCTTTCGAGGCACGCATATAGAGATCTCATGCGCTGATGGAGACTAGGTACTATACAACATGAATCTGGCACGTGAGAAAGGTGCAGAGACGATCATCAACCCTGCACCAGCTATTCCTCTTCCAGACGAGGCATACCGCGGCCTTGGTCATCTGATCGTAAACGAGACGGAGGCTGCTACATTATCTGGCATCGAGAACCCTACATCATGGGATGAAGTCGCATCTGTCTTCATCAACAGAGGTGTAAAGAACGTGATCATCACTCTTGGCGGAGAGGTACATGCATCTACTCAAAAAGATAATGCTGGTCACTTACACTTTTGTAGGGCGTGTACTATCGAACAGACAAGCAACATGCAAAGGAACAGCCTGGCCAGATTGTGCCGGCGAGGAAGGTTCAAGTGGTTGATACCACAGCAGCTGGTGACACATTCGTTGGTGCCTATTCCGTTGCTGTTGCGAGATGGAGATCTTCCGCTCAGACTACCGAATTTGACCTCGACTCTGCGATAAGAAATGCTAATCTGGCTGCTTCGTTGACCGTGCAGAAAGCGGGTGCGCAATCCTCGATCCCTTGGGTTGATGAGGTTTCGTCGTCATAATCGCACCGGCGGTGGCTGGGACGAAGAGTCGAGATAGCAAGCAGCAGCGATTTTCAGTCAAAAACGTCGACACACGATATTACAGTGATTACGATTACAGCGATGGGCCGTCAGTGTTGTTTTGCGTTCATAAACGATCTGGCATTACCCCAGACCCCGGATCCAACGGAAATCGATTTCCTAGGTCCTACCCGACAGTCCCCACACACGTGCCGCACTCGCCAATATCGTCGTTCAGAAAAGCTTGATTATACAATTCAGACCCACTGTACCCGTGGCTAAGCAAAGCATGTCGCTGGTCATTGGTTATTTGTGCCCATTACCGATGCTGTTTTCTGCGAAAGCGGAGATCGACGCAATGGTGACTCCAACAGGATGGATGAAGGTAGCCATTACAACAGACAAACCCTATCTCCGCGAGTCAAAAGTATATGTGGTGCGACCATGGTTTTTATCGGTCGAGTTGGTCGTCCCTGTATCATAGGCGTGCCTACCAAGAAAGTTTGTCCAGGCTCCAGCTTACATACGAACATGTTGCACCAAGTCACCACAGAAGGTCAAACGGCCTCTGAAAGGGCCAAATTCGAAGCATTCGCAGCCTTCGCAGCCTTCGACGAAGAAATCGGCGCCACTAAGGAGGGAGATGATCTTCACATCACCGAAGCCTCTCTCCCTGATGCACAGAGAAAGCTCGAAGCAAAAGTCCTCCGCAAGGTGGATTGGCGGCTGATCCCCATCCTAGGTCTTCTATATTCTGTCGCGGGTCTCGACCGTGTCAACCTATCCAATGCGCGCGTCGCTGGCATGAACACGGACCTACGCTTCGACGTCGGCAACCGATACTCCATCGCGCTTCTCGTCTTTTTTATTACCTACTTCCTGTTTGAATTGCCCACAACCCTCTTGCTCCGACCACTCAGGCCAAAATACCTCTTAAATGGACTCGCAGTGTGTTGGGGAGCCGTGATGCTCGGTATGGGTTTTATCAATGACTGGCGATATGTCGTCGTGTGCAGGATGTTGATCGGGGTGTTCGAAGCGGGTTATTTGCCTTGCTGCATGTTCTTACTGGCCACAAAGATTTGAGGTGCAACCGAGGATGAGCTGGTAAGTTGCTTTGTGCCACTACATGTGGAGTGTACGTCCTGACTGAGACTCAATCTTTAGGTGGTATCTGATCAACCTGTTCGTCAGCGCATTCGGTAATATTCTCGCTTTTGCCATTGTCAAGTTGGACGGGGCCCACGGTATTGAAGGGTGGAGGTGGATCTTTATCGTTGAAGGGGCGGCAACCATTGGAATAGCCGTGCTAGGCTATTTTCTTGTCATCGACTTTCCAGACAGGATGCTCGCAACGAACCAGCTCCAAGGCTTCACACAAGACGAACTCCAGGTCATCCTGAACCGTATCGAGCGGGACCGAGGAGATTCACAGCCAGACAAACTCACCTGGGAAAAGTTCACAAGACATGTCGCCAATTGGGAGCTTTGGGTGTATGGCTTCATGTTTCTTACATGCTCTGCTCCTATATACGCGTTTGCGTACTTCATCCAAATCATTTTGGGTACCATCGTGGACAGTACGGCTGTGGTTTTCCTCCTGTGTGTGCGCCGCCATATCTCTTTAGTATCATCTGGACTGTAGGATGCGCTTGGATGGCCGACCGCTCCCACCTGCGAATGCCCTGGATGTTTGGAAACGCTGCTATCACTATTATGGGTCTCCTCATCACCGCATATTCGACAAACTCCGGCGCCCGTTACTTTGGGGTCTTCCTCGGCGTGAGCGGCTGCAATGCCAATCTGCCCACCATTATAGCGTTTCAGAGCAATAATGTTCGCTCAGACTCGCGACGCAGTGTTTCAAATGGCGTGCAATTGCTGTTTGCAGCGATCGGAGGTATATACGCTTCGACAACGTTCATGCAGAAGGAGTATCCAACATACAGGACGGGTGTCTGGTGTGCGGTAGCGACGCAACTTTTGCTTATCATACTGTGTGCGGTCATGTTTCTGCACTTTTCAAAGAAGAACAAAGCCGCGGACGAGAATGGCGAAGTCATTCAAGGAAACGAAAGCCTCAGGTACACCTTTTGATTAGGTGCGGCTATGGGGGTGGTCACATATGATCTTGTCAGTGCAGATTTGCCACCGCAAAATTGGACGTAGAGCAGATCAAAGTTGGCCTTTTCGTAGAATTTTGCCCGTATTGGTCGATCAGGGGGAGGCCGGAGACTATTTGGAAAGAAATGAGTGTAGTCGTACTTGTGGGTTCGGCAGAGTATGCACCACTGATTGGTTGTGCTTAGATTGAGATAGTACGACCGGTGTAGGGAAAGTCCCGCTTCTAAAATATAGTTATTGTGTTACGTCTGATCTGAAGTAGAACGCTGCCTTGGAAGATGGTTTCTTGTTTGATGGGTGCCCACTAGGCCTAAAATGGCTTGCGAGCAGCTCCTAACATCACTACTGCTTACACAACGGTCAATCCTCCGCCAAGACCATCCGCATTTCTCAAGCCTTTAAAGATCCCAAGCCTGTTCTAACTTCTCTTACTCCAACAAAACGTGTTCGTTCGTCTCATCTCAATGTCCCCAAAGCTTATATTTGGCACTGGAGGCCTCGGCATGGCCGGGTCCGGCTCTTTCCAGGACGTGGATTCTGTGCGCCCGCTTATGTCTACGTTGAAAGAACTTGGGATAACGCATCTCGATACTGCTGCTCGGTACCCGCCACCAAGCCCTGGTTTGGCAGAGCAGCTAGTTGGGTCAACAGCTGAGGGATTCGTTGTCGATACGAAAGTTCTTACCGATACGAGCACAGATGGAAGTGGTGATTTGGAGAAAGAAACGATGGAGGAAAGTGTCAATGCAAGCTTGGGGAGGCTGAAAAGAGAAAGCGTAAGTTCCACGACTTTCACCGGCAGATTGGGACCCAAATGCCTGTGACTGATCAAACCCTTGCGTTAATCCAATCTCTGCAGATATCTGTAGATAGCTTCGCTGATCAAAATTGATTACAGGTCAACATTCTATATTCACATCGTGCAGATCCGGCTACACCTCTCGTAGATCAAGTCAGGAACTTCAACGAGCAAATACAACAAGGACATTGCAAACATGTGAGTTCCACAAGTTGCTTTCATACAAAATACTACAATATTGACCCAACCTTAAGTGGGGCGTATCAAACACCCCGCCTGCCGTACTCGAAGAGATGCTCAAGATTTGCGACAAGAACGGATGGCAGAAACCACGCTACTATCAGGGGAGTTACAGCCTGATAACAAGAGGTATGGAAACGAAGCTCTTCCCCATGCTACGATCTGCAGGCATGCACTTCAACGGTTATCAGTACGTTTTGCCCTTCAAAACTTTGACAAGAACACCAGTCGCCTGACCACACTTCAAGACCTCTCGCGGCCGGCTTCTTGACAGGAAAGTTCGTAAACAACGATTATACAGGGACGCGCTTCGACACAAGTTCGCCAGTCGGGAGTGTAATGCAAAAGATGTTTTCTGGAGACCAACTAATGGTCGCTATGAAGAAGTTCGATGCTGCCGTCCAAGCCGAAGGGCTGACTTCGCCAGAGGTAGCCATACGTTGGCTGATACATCATTCTGTGCTTGGCGATGATGATGGTATTATCTTGGGTGCCAGCCGAATTGAACAGGTCCATGATACCGTTGCTTTAACTAGAAAGGGGCCTCTGGAAGGCAATGTGTTGGCATTAGCAGAAGAGCTTTGGCAGGATGTGAAGAGTTTAAGAAGCGAGATCCTCTAACAAATCACTCACCAACCACTCGTCAACGTCACTCTGGAATTATAGAGTCGAAGATTCAGCATAGGAAATGAGCCAAAGCGTAGCTACCTATGGTATTCACCTATTAGACGACCAAACAAAGCAGCGTCAGTCGCCTAGTCATGCACCCTGTATTCTCAGATTTCTGTGACCTTCATCACTCTCATTATTGAGCGACACTGCTGTTGTGGTTATTCAGCCTCGTGTGGTAGGTAAAGAATATGCGAAATTCTTACCAGACGGAGGTCGAGCCTAGCTATATGCAGATGCAGTCTAACTCGAATCGTCCGGTCCGAATTTGGAGCGGATGGAGATAAGTCTCGGAACATAATCGGACGAGGACAACCGGTGGACCTCACACGCTCACGCGACTACATATAAGGAGCACTATTTGCTTCAACAATTCGCAAATCTTGTTCAGCGAGAACTTCCATCATCGATCCTTGATTCACGTCTTCAGATAAATTGAACGATCTGTATCTTCTTTGTCAGACCTAGGCACGAGACCATATCATCGCGCTCTATCCTCTGCGTTCGTCCGTACCACGCATACGAGAAGCCGGAACTATTACAGTCACACACCGGGACTCGACATCATGAAAGTCCTCATAACAGGTGCAACGGGCACGATCGGCTCTGCGATCTTAAGGCACTGTCTCCAAAACCCATCTATAACATCAGTCGTTGCGCTCTCACGTCGGCCCCTCCCTCAGGACATCACTTCCTCAAAACTTAGCACCATCATTGTGTCCGATTTCGCAAATTATGACGCCTCGCTTCTCTCTCAAATACTGTCCGCAGACGCCGCAATATGGGCCATGGGTACCACAGACGCGAATCGCGAAGTAAACGTTGTCTATCCTCATGCATTCTTCACAGCCTTCCTCGATGCGCGTAAGGATAGCCAATACCGATCTCAACGCTTCCGCTACATACGTGTCAACGGCGCATTTACGGAAAGTGATCAGAACCGCCCATTATGGTTCTATTCCGAACCAAGAAAACTGCATGGGATGTCCGAAGCCAGGACACTGGAATTGGGGGAGCAGTACCACGATGTATGCCAAACATTTGTGGTGAAGCCAGGAGGTGTTGCGACCCAAGGCGCGTGGGCGATGGAGTGTGTTGGAAAAATGCTTGGGGATGGGATGGTGATCGGACAGGAGACGCTAGGAGCTTTTGTGGCGGATTTGGTCGTTCACGGTGAGGAAGAGGAAGGTACGATTTCGAATAAGAGGATGGTCGAGAAGGGATCGACGCTGCTGAGGGACATGATGAGAGAACAAGCTCAAACCGAGCGTTGAATCCGGCCGCAATCCACACTCTTTCTCGAACTTTGCGATTTGTACATCATTCGGCTTCTCTTCATAATTCAATAGTTTTCTCCCGGCCGCTCCAACTCATACTCAATGGTCTCGGCAGTGTGGGCGTTATCAAGGCCAATGTTACGGTTGTCGAAAGTGGTACCGAACTTAAACCTTCCGATCTCGAGGACACACTCGAGTTAAGCGGTGATGAACTGCCGCAAGTGAGTGCTGATGGCAGCGGCACCCTCTCAGGGACGTATCACATCGTAGCCGGCGATGGCGCGGGTCCGATCTATGCGGTGATTTATACTACCGCAAGCGGAAAGTTTTCGGAAGGCATTGAGGCAGAAGTCACACAGAACGTGCCTGGGAATAGAGGGCGCATTCGAGCTGGCGGTTACGTACCGTACTCGTTCCCGAAAAGGTCACTCAGAAGGTGTGCACCGGTTGTGAATCTGGACTACCCCTTCACAGTCGCAGTACCGAAGGATATAGACTGCAAGGGCAGAGTGGCAGGCAAGATGGGAGTGTGCTTCATCAAGATCAGTAATTTGAACCACAACGGCCCGTTTGGAGGGACGATCGCGTTCCAGATACCTGACAGGGTTTAGGAAAGGTATTAGGCAACGACAGCGGTGAGGGTGAATGCGGCTATGACGATGACCATAGATAACGGTAATGACTGCGACAGCATCTCTGCCACAACAGCAGCCGATGCATGGGATGTTTTCAAGCCGCTGCTCATTGTATTCCCTGGGTCATGTTTGGACCGTAGTTAAATGAAATGGAACCATAAACTCTGCTTTACCATGAGTATAGAGAAAGAAGACACCGAGACTGTACCTAGATGTCAGTGCTATTAGAGTCCGATGGGGTTTGAGGCTTGGAGAGAGAAGCAAATGTTGAACGATAGCCTTCACTACACATAACCAAGCAAGCTTGTCAGCAAGCCATATCTTAGTGTATTTGGTATCCACAGGTCATTGAGATCATGTCTTGTCGGCAGGGCGTGTGGTCTCTTCGAAGTACAAGAGCGGTGGAGTGCAGAGTATCCGAGTCCTTGCCCGCTCGTAGAGAGAACGAAACGGGCGTACATGCTAACCAGCTGAGCAGGCAGTCCCTCCATCCCATCGATCACGGCTGCCGGTACTGTGGTAGGTCGTAGTCATCCTAGGTTGAGACCTCGAACCAGAACGTAACCCTACACTAAGCTGCCCGATTGGATACTGCTTCAAATTAGTCGATTATAGGTCAACATTGCAGTCTGGATTCGCAAAAAAAGTGCTTGGTTGCGCCTCGGTTACCCTAAGCCCTATCGCCGAAGCATCGCCGAAAGCCGTCTGGAGAATCAGACCACTTTCGTCACCAGCATCACAAAAACATTGCGCCAATCGGCCCTTGCCTCTTTCTTCCTTGAGTGTCAGTTAGCCCTCAACAAACATTCACAATGAACACTGTAAGCTTCAAACCTCACAACTACGACTGTCAAAGCTCACATCGAACAGGTCAAATCGGTATAGTACGTCACCTAAAGCTCCAGCGCAGCAAACAAACCTCCCAGTCTCGGACCTCCGGATCTACTGCTTTCCAGACATACAACTTTCAGGATCCATGCGCATGCTAATACGTCTCCAGCTACGGCTGGGGTACCCTAATCGTCGCCGGCGGCGGCGCCTACTACTTCGCCAAGCGCTCCATCAACGAAGACCGCGCACGCAAAGCCGACCTCGACGCCCAAAAACGACTTGCGCAGTACCAGCTCGAGCAAGCATACAGCCAATCTCCTCCAGCGCCTAAGCCAACGCCCTCAAACATGCCCTCCTACGCCGGCAAGCCGTACACGCCGCCCGCGCCCAAGTCGGTTACAAGCGAGCTCGGGAAGAAGCGGCGGGAGATGGGGGAGGACAAGGATTGGCATACGGCGCATGATGAGGCGGGGAACCCGAGCCAGGAGGCGAATGGCGATCCGGCGCCTACGAGGCATGCGCCTGAGGATGAGGCGCAGAAAATGAGGGAGAAGAGCAAGTATGAGGCTAGTGATATCTATCGGAGTCGGAAGGGAGACCGTTTTTCATGAGCGAAGAACGGGATGCTGCATTGGGAAACATGCGGGAGTTATTATTCAATTGGCGATCAGAGAAGCTGGTGTATACGATCAAATCGTACAGTGGACCCTGAAGGGTTAAAGATTGTACGATGTTGTACCATACTACAAGCTGCGGCTGAAATGGACAGTCTGCGTAGCGGAACTGTGATGAATTATTCCACTCTACATCCGTCCCTTGGGTTCTCAATCGAGTTGATGCTGCCTTTCTACCAAACCATGGCTGACGGAGGCAGACATAAAAAATGCATGTGAATCCTGAACTCCAACGCAGTATATTGGGGTATAGTGCGACACCTGAGCATCATCCTGTATGCAATTATCGTCTAAAATCGTCCCCAGGCCCGCTACCAACTCAAGTGAATAGGTTGCTCCTCGGGCTGTCCCTGCGTTTCTCGTACAGCCACTTGTTATTCAAACCCACACTCGCCTTTCCTGTGCTGGGTGTCGGCGTGCTAGGCGCTGCACTCGAGCTGCTATCCCCAAAGAGGCTGCTGCTTGATCCTCCGAAGCTCATCCTCTTTGTAGCAGATCCACCGTTTACTGCTTTCTGGAACAGAGGGCTTCCTGTGCTAGGAGAAAAGGGGGAGTTCGACGTTGACTTTCCCAAACTTGCACGCGGGCTGCCTGATAGCGGAGACTGCGTACCCTGGGCGCTGAAGCTACTTCGAGGAGTTGACTTTTGGTAGCGGGGAGGCGTCACATAGTTCGGTGAGGCATATCCGGAGCCTGGCGACTGTGGCACGGAGACACCTGGTTTCAGGCCCATAGCCTGTCGTTGTGAGGGTGTAAGAGGGATATCAGCGATGTCGTCGGGGAAATAGCGGCGCGCGAGAGGTATGAAGGCTCGGATGAGATTGACGAGGAAGATGAGACGGAAGAGAAAGAGTGTCCACTCGTCTCCCTGATAGGGTAGCTGGTGCAGAAGGCCTAAGACAGGTTTACTGTAGCTCGAATTAGTATTCTACAGTAGCTGTACATTAGTTGAGAAGAGCTTACGAGACTGTTCGCAGCAGAGATATCTGCGAGATGACCGAAGGGGCGACGAAGGTGGCGACGAGAAACGAGCCGTTTGTCACAATCATCTTCACATTGCGCTCGTCGAAGGTGGTCGCATACTGGCGGCGGGCAATCTCGTCAAATTGGGGGTGCTTCCACCTGCCTGGTGTAGACTCTTGTTCCCTTTGAGCAGACGGCGTCGCGGGTGCGGAGCTGGGCGTTCGCGGAGTAATTGGGACAGTGCCCTGTGTGGTTCGGGCGAGCTGGCTCATGGCGGACCGTTGCTGGGCGGTCGCGGTATTGTTTACTTGATCAAAGACGGCCGGATCGCCGCAACGGGGAGCCGCTTGGTGAGAAGACTTGGGTAGCTGTACCTGCGCTGTTAGTAGTTGGTGGTTAGTGGTGCGCAGAGGAGTTAGGCTCTACAAAGACATGTTGAAGGCGGGCTGTGGAGAAAGTGTGCTACTGAAAGACGGTTTGTTTTCACAAAGTCGGTCTCCTTGGCATTCGGCGACCGCAACGGTCCGGGCGTCATACCCTGGCACCTGGCAACCAACCCCACTGCGGCCTTGCGGCAGTGCGGGCCTCCCGTCAGCGTACACTACGTATGCAAGCCGGCCTTTCTCCTTCACATCTGCCCCTCCTCCATTCTGTGCAGTATGGCGGGAATTGTCGAGCAGCTTGACGGCGTTATTGCCGAGCTTCTCGCTGGCTATAATGCGTACACCACACTGCTCGTTGTCACCCTCCTTGGATTCGTGGGCTGGGTTATCTATGATACTCAGGACTCTGACACTCACCCGCTGCTGCTTGCGAGACAGGCGCAGGCCTCCTATGTGAGGCAGCCTGGCGAGTCTGCTGTCTACAGATCTCCAGAGCACCCTCATGGCTGTGAGACGAAGCTTAATTCACATAGCTACCCCGCCGCTGACAACGAACAGACCCTCTGCGCACCGGTCTTGGAGTAAAGCCCCCGGGAGCCCCCATGTATACGGCTGGCCGCGATGGCGATCTACGAGACATCTGGCGACGCGTCACCGGCGAAATCCCGCTCGACAAGGGCGCCACGTCAAGCGGACATGCCAACATCATGACCGTGTTTGGCAAGGAAGGCGTGACCGACCATGCGATTGCCGATATCACCAAGGAGATCACCATAATTGGAAAGCACCTCAAGGACCATGGCGCAAAGAGAGTGGCCGTTTACCTTCCCAACAGCCTCGAGTTCCTCGTTACCTTGTTCGCCGGTGCTTTCTACGACTTTGTCCCGATCCTGATTCCCTACAACCAGCCGCACCAGACGCTGATCGAGCTTTTGTCCAAGACTAATGCAGACTCGCTCGTTGCTGAGGCTGGGTCTGTTCCGCTTGCTGATGTCGGAAAAGGCGTATCAAGCTTGCGACAAGTTATCTGGACGGTGGAGAAAACTAGCAGGCACATGGATTGGAACGAGGTTCCGGAAGGCATCGGTGGCAAGACTGACGTGTCTGTCTGGCATCAACTTGTTCAAGACCAGAAGGCCGGATCTCCGGAGCTGCCCAAGGACGCGGGCAAAGCACCTAATGTAGTTTTCCTATGGCAGGAGGGTGCGGGTAAAGCAGCCGAGATCGTCGAGTTCACACAACAGAACCTTGCCGCAGGTACCGGAGCTCTGTTATCTGCCCTTCCCGGTCCGCAGCGGTTCAGTGCCTCCGATTCATTTCTTCCTGCAGACACTTTCACCAACTCCTACACGCTGTGCCTCACCCTGGCTGCCCTTTACGCGCATGCCACGGTCATCATCAACTCAGTAGCTGGACCTGGAGTTGATATGACCCTCGCTACCCGCTCTATTGCTCCAACGATTGCTGTCGTATCAGCCGAAACTGCAGCAAAGCTTCACAACACTACCGCTACGTCAATCACAAGCGGTTTGAAGAAATTCGCGCACTACCTCGAGACACGAAGTCTTACTTCTGGTCGTTTGCCTACCGACAATTTCTTGTCACGACTCAACGCACCCACAAGAGCCAGCATTGGCACGACTCCAGGCAAGCTACGTCTTCTCTTCATTTCAGAGAGAGCTGGCTTGAACACCCCGCCGCTCAGCTCGGAGGATCTTTCAGACCTCCGCATCTACACCAAAGCGCGTGTAGTCTATGCTTTGACGGCGGCCAAAGTAGCAGGAGCAGTCGCACAAACGAACATTTACGATTACAGGCGAGCAGTCACCCCGTCCAACAAGCACAGCCACTTCGGTATCCCGCTGAGCTGCCTGGAGCTGAAGTTGAAAGATACACCGTCCCACAAGAACACCGACGAACAATTTGCGGGAGAAATCACTGTTTCGGGTGCGTCTGTTGCGGGTGGGGAGACTGCCCTAGGTGTCAATGGTAAGCGACAACTCTTCAAACCTCGTCCGGCTAAGCTAACACTACGTAGGCACAATCAGAGAAGATCACACCATTGCATATGTATAGATTTGCGATACCGGGTTTCCCCTATCCGTGAACAATAAGGAATATTTCTCGCTCCTCTTATTACCTTGTTGCTCAATGCACTTGTGATGCCAGTGTGATGTATGTACGGTTCGGTCGGTTGTGCCATGTCATCTTGAAGAAGAAGAAGAAGGTACACCTGAGAGTTTTTCCAGAAGGTTGTCAGCATAGCAACAGAACAGGGGCGTGGGGAAGGAGATTTACGAGGAGCGGTCAAGGACGGGGAAGAGAGGCCTTTAGGAGATGGGCCGAATATGTTGTAAAAAAGGGGAGTTGCAAGGGCGACAGCACTGACTAGCGGGCGATGCGGAGGGGGCGTCGAATCCTTAGATATAACATGCACAAAGCTGGATACCTCTCCTCTGCTCTATTTCACTCTCTTTGCAACGCACACCCTGCACAGAGGCCAGATAGCCATATCATTCCAGCGACCAACAGGATGGGCATCTTTCAGCTCCTTCGGGATCACAAAGTCTTGCCATTCAATACCCTCGAATGCCTCAGATCCACCAATCCTAGAGGCTTTGATTGAATCTCGAAACGACTCGATGCCGAGATAGTAATTCTCAAACATGGCGACATCCTGACCGAGATCCTTGAAGCCGAGCTCAATCTCGACCTTCAGTCCTTCCTCGACGAAACCCAATACCCGCCCACGATTGCCGAGCTTCCCAAATGCGCCGTCTGGGGCCAGGGTGATGTTCAACATGGCGGCTTCCTGCTCGAGCGCCAGCTTACCTCTCCTCGCGTTGTGCAATGGTGCAATAGTTAAGCCAACGAAAGCAGCGCCGGGTTTGAGATGAAGGGCGACAAAGTCCCACATCCTGGTCATGGTAGGAGTGTCAGGAGCGTAGTTGAGCAGCCACGCACTGGCAACAATATCGAACGGTCCACCATCGATGTACACCTTCTCGTCTGTGACATCCGCGACTACAAATTTCAGTTTCGAGTCTGGTATGCCCTGTTTGAGCGCCTCGGCGCAGGCGGCGTCAACCATGGAAGACGAGATGTCGACACCTGTGACGCTCGCGGCGCCCCAGAGCAGGTATCGCAGCGAGTAGTAGCCATTACCGCAGGCGAGGTCAAGGACTCGCTTGCCCCGAACGTCGATGTCTGGTCTGTTCAAGGCGGTCTGGACCTGTGCCTCTTCTAGGAGTGCCGGTGGAAAGGCTGAAGGTCCCGAAGTGGGGTAGAGACTGCTGTAGGCGGAGACTATGCTGTTGTACTGTGTCGACTGGTTCGTGATTGTGGACATGTTTGTAGTAGTTCTTACTGCTTTTAAAGTGGTCACGCAGAGCAATGGCAAGAATAACACGGCCAATTTCAGGTTCGGAGGGGTAGAGCTTGACGTCGAATTTGATTGGAAGCTGTCTACACGTGCATCTACGATGAAAGTAAGCAAATGACACACTTGGTGTAACGCCTTCGCAAACATGTTAAAAACGAGCGTCGCTATTCCGAATTTCTACGGAGCGGAGAATAACGAGTTGGGCTTAGGCCGTCAATAGTGGTACCTCGAATATCAGTTCGAGCAAGCGCATACGCTCCGGAGAGATGATATGGACAGATTTGAGGTTCGACCAGGGAAAGTGTACAATTTCTGCGAGCTGATCCACGAGTGTCGGTAGACTTGGCGACAAAGAAGCATACGCATGCTCTCTCCGATACAGTATGGTACGAACGCGTAGTCAAGCTTGGCACCATTGCTTGTGTAGTGCAAGATCGAAGAGCATGTCGGTACTCGTAGTGATGCGTGACATGATGCACGTCGTCGGCGGTCCCTGCCTCGAGACGCCGACGTCTCCTTCCTCACCGGCCTCTTCTAGACATCGTGCACACTACCAAGGGCCTTGACGCAATCCAACGAACATAATTCTCCTTCTAGACAGCAGATCTTGAGCTTATTGGCAACGTCTCAGAAACCGCGTGACTATCGCATGACGTATGTCGCCTTCCGGACTTCTGGTACTCTTTCCGCGCTTTCCCCCCGCACTATTCTCCGACGCAAGCACACTGCAGCCTGCACGCCATACCACGCTTTCCGGGAATATGCCCACTAAATCGTGAAACGAACCAATCTCTGAGCTCAGCGCGCCGTTTCCATGCACACACTGCGCATCTGCAGCCATACATGGTTCTGTTGTGAGACTAGCAACCCCAAGCTGACGACCTGCAACCCTCAACGCCCACAATGCTTACTTCAGGGACACTCATAGAATAATTCTGTCAACGAGCGAGCACTCCTAGCATGACGCGTCACGCCGACAGCGGAGCGTTCTGAGTAGATTTTTTGCTGTTGATCATGGTGAGTAAAGGCATAGACAGAGCCTCCAAGCCCACGGGACCCCTCCGGACGAGGGTCGATGACGGTCATTGGCACCGCCAATGATGTGAGAGGCCGCGTGTTTTAGGCATGTATAACAAGGTTTGTTGCCTCGTGTCTAGTCATCTTCCATCGTTGCAAGTCAATTCAATTCAGTTCAAGGTTCTCTCTGGACGATCGAACACATAAGGAACTGCGCTGTCCGCAGCGCTATCGACTACCTCAATATCGTTTCTTCTAGTCAACACTACAGAGATATCAAAGACTTTATCGGATCCTTCACAATGAGATACGCTTTGATCGGCCTCGCCGTCGCGGCAAGCACAACCGCACAGTCACAGTTCACAAATCTCCCCTCCAACTTCGTGTCTCTCATCCCGAGTAGTGCACTCTCGCTCATTCCCAGCGGTGTTCTGCCAAGTGCCGCAGCGTCCTCCGATGCTGGAAGCAACAACGATGCTTCTGCCACTGCTAGCGGCACCACTGACAACGGCGCAACCACAGCCGCCGACTCTCAAACAACAGCTCCTCCCTTCATTCCCCCGCCATTCTCTACCAACCCCGGAGCGTGGTCTTCTATCTACCGCTCCATACAATCCAACGGCTTCTCCTGGCCCTCCTCTGCCTACGGACCCGGTCAAGGCCCCTGGGGCGGCTACGGTGGTGGCCCATACGGTCCAAACGGCCATCCTTGGGGTCCCAATGGTTGGGGCCCCTGGGGATCCAACAGCTGGGGTCCTTCTGCGTGGCAATCAAATAGCGCCTGGCGCAATGGGCCGTGGACTCATTGGTGGGGAGGAAGCGCATGCCCCGGCAGCGACTGGCCTGGCTGGACGCAAGGTTCGTGGAGCACGGATGCACCGTGGATTAGCTGGGCTGGTTGCAGTGCCAGCACTACGGGGACGAGCGTTGTTACCACGACTATTAGCGGTGTTCAGACCACTGCCACCCAGTATGGTGTCCAGGTTGCCCAAGCAGCGGGTACGGGAGACACTTCAGGTAACAGCGCCGGAAGTCAGGGCGCGGCCCCAATGAAGACTATGGCCCCCGCATTAGCTGCAATTGGTGGTGCTGTTGCAATCTTCCTATAAAATTATGGGCTGTGCTGGGTTGTAATAAATAAGGGCAGCATAGCGATGCACATGATTGATTCACCAAAACATGAATTGATGTGATTTGGTTTAACATATATAGGTGTACGTTCCTTTTACATACCCTTCAAGAAATGGACTTCCATGGCATTGGGTTGTTGCATTTTCAATATGTAGATACGGTCGCTACGAATGAACGAGATTTAATTCTTTCAAATCTATTAATACTTCACACCCCAGTATTACGCTTGCCATGACTGACAGCTCACCCCAGTTATGTCCACGTGATACTCTCGCGACCATTGCACCTAACGCTCGCATCCGCATCTAATTTCGACTTAAAGGAATTCAGCGACGTATCTCAAGGCTTGCCTCAAATAGAAGAGGTGCTACACTTTTCGAAGAGCTAGCACACCCAGCTTACTGTTGCTCAAACCAGTCCAATCTTATCCTTGCCCTCTGACTTTGATCTTATTTCCTCTTTTTCTCTCCTCTCATTCATCATCCTCATGAGGCGTCGTCCTTCGGCTGCGATATCGAGCTCTTCTCTCCAGCGATTACCTATTGATTTCAAAATTTCGCAGAGAACGTCGAATTCGTGGCAGGCTGCCATTGTTGAGCGAGGCTACACGTGGAACGCGCTATTTATATTTCCAAACTTAGAGAGTGGGAACGTGCCAGATGAAGGGTGTCGCACGTGCGATGGAAGTACCTTGTGCTAGACCGTTCACGTCTAGCGTAGATCTCGGCTTGGCAAGTGCGGCGAACATTCACGTTGACAACATGGCCGCAGCTTGCAAGCACGACATAGAATAACAACCGCCACCGTTGTCCTGCACACAATGATCTGATAGAGTCGCCCACACCATACCCCACCTGTGATCCTTCCTTTTCTCCACAATGGCGTCGGCGCTGTTCTTCCTCGACCTAAAGGGCAAGGTGAGCTTGTGGGGTACCCCATGTGAAGCCGTAGGCTAACACAGCAACAGACCCTTCTGGCGCGCAACTACAGGGGAGACATTCCTATGTCCGCTGTCGAGAAATTCCCTGTCCTGCTGAGTGAGGCCGAAGAAGAGAGCTCCGCCGTTCCGCCGTGCTTCTCCAACGAAGGCATCAACGTATGCACCCTGACAATGACACAATACGCAATGCCCGCGCTTTCGCTGTCCTGAACCGAACATAGCTGACGTAATTTGTGGTACGCAGTATCTATACATTAGACATAACAACCTTTACCTCCTCGCCCTCACGAAACGCAATACCAATGCCGCCGAGATCCTCCTATTCCTGCACAAGGTCGTCGAGGTATTCACAGAGTACTTCAAGGAGCTGGAGGAGGAAAGTATACGAGACAACTTTGTGGTTATTTACGAGCTGCTCGATGAGATGATGGACTTTGGATACCCGCAAACAACGGAGACAAAGATATTGCAGGAGTGCGTATGCCCCGCCGCGCTCGTATCGGGGGTATGCTGGTTCTGGATGCTGATACTTTGCGTGCAGATATATCACACAAGAGTCACACAAGCTCGAAGTACAAGCGCGACCGCCCATCGCAGTCACAAATGCTGTCAGTTGGCGAAGTGAAGGCATCCGCTACCGCAAGAACGAAGTCTTCCTCGACGTCGTTGAATCGCTCAATCTCCTTGTATCCGCAAACGGTAATGTTCTACGATCCGAGATTCTAGGTGCGATAAAGATGAAGTGCTACCTATCCGGTATGCCTGAGTTACGATTAGGACTCAATGACAAAGCCATGTTCGAGACCACAGGAAGGGCAACAAGAGGGAAAGCCGTGGAGATGGAAGACGTCAAGTTCCACCAGTGCGTCAGATTATCGCGCTTCGAAAACGACCGGACAATCAGTTTCATTCCGCCAGATGGCGAGTTTGAGCTTATGAGTTACCGTTTGAATACGCAGGTCAAGCCCTTGATCTGGGTAGAGTGCATTGTGGAGAGCCACTCTGGCAGCAGGATAGAGTACATGTTGAAGGCAAAAGCACAGTTTAAGCGACGCAGCACAGCCAACAACGTCCAAATCAGCATCCCCGTACCCGAAGACGCCGACACCCCGCGCTTCCGCACTAATATTGGTACCGTGCACTACGCCCCCGAAACCTCCTCCATCGTATGGAAGATAAAGCAATTCGGCGGCGGAAAAGAATTCCTTATGCGCGCAGAACTTGGCCTGCCGTCTGTAAGAGGTGATGACGAGAAGGGAGGCGGCATGATGGGCGGATTCGGAGGAAGCATGGGTGGCGTGGGTGGTGGTAAGGGCAAGAGGCCGATCAGCGTCAAGTTCGAGATTCCGTATTTCACTACGAGTGGGATACAAGTTCGGTACTTGAAGATCATTGAACCGAAGGTAAGCTTTTCCTATGCCATACGGGCAGTCTCGAACTGTATCAAAGTATGGTCACTGACTGTTTCACAAGTTACAATACCCATCGCTGCCTTGGGTGCGATACATCACACAGTCAGGCGACATCGCTGTGCGGTTGCCGGACGTAAACTAATAGGGGTCTGGAACGGTTGTATGGATACCAATGATTAAATGAAGCATACTGTGTCTACCCTGTGCCCTCTTGTATTGTATTGTGCCCTCATCCGTCTCACCTCAATGACATTTCGTAGCCTGAGAGAGCATGAGGTTCCTTTTTTTCTACCGAGGCACACTATAATGTTCGCGGATCTCCACGTACAAATACTACATGAGAGAAGTGACGATGGTCCTCACCACCCGATCTGTGACATGGTAGCGTACCTATAGTGTTGGTGGAGCCGCGCTTGGCTCCAGGCATAAATAGCCTTCTAGACCATTGAGTCTGGATCAGAGCTCCCGTTACAGAGCCGTCATCAAAAGCGAGAAGCACCAGTGTCATGGGATCTTCGTTCAAAAACGCCCACAGAAGCGTTGCATGGCCCCCTGGTGGCACTCTACAAAGATACACCATCACGTTGCATGACCATGGAGGCTGTAAGGGCTACCGGCATTCGAAAATGCGCCCGAAATTTGATTCATAGTTCGGAGCATTGCCATGCATGTACCAAAAATCTTCCGAAAACTTTTCATGTCTTATCGGTTTGTCTTAGGCTTTCTCCAGATACTAATGCTGCTAAACTTCCGCTATAAAAATCACGCTCTACTCACTCCAATGTCTACTCAAATGACGATCATGACTCACCATGGAGGTCGTCATTAATATATAAAAAGGACATGCCTGCGTGGTGCTAGACTAGCCCCATAATGCGTCTATACGACACCGTATCTGTTCAAAGCATACACACCCGCTTGTCATGTGGTTTGCCGTCCGGATCGGCGAAAATGCCATAATGATAGACAGTGCATGTCCGTGGTGCTGCCCTGTTCCCCGCCGCATTTATGTGGTACAATATCTGCCCAAACCGACGCGCAAAACAGCATGTGGATGGCCTATACGGGTTGACGAAAAGTCCAGCATGAATATGTCATGTCTTACCTTGCGGGCGAAGCAAGTTGCATAGACCTGATCTCGGTTGATGTATATGAAGCGCCCTTATCTGTTCCTCGACTACTCACATCTCCTTCTCAAATCGAGTGCTTGACTTACTGAAAATATCGAATGACCCTGTCATGTCTGGTCTGTCTGAAAGTGGAAGAACGCTATTGCATGTGGTTCGCGCCTAAGCTCTCTCAAACTCAAGGACCATGACGACGTATGCTTTGTCTTTTCCCATCCTCGATTTCGGTAGTAACAATGTCTCTGGGTAGGAAACCTTTCAAACTCCTCAAGCCATTCGATATATCGTGCACGTGGTCGATCCAAAGCAATGTAGTAGAGAATTTGACGATGCACAAGCGCATGCTCGGATTTGAACGCCAACTTGAGGTAAAGACGACGTGTCTTATATCTTCTGGCATTCCAAAAGTATCTGGACGCTGTTGCATGGCTGCGGTCCACAAATCTTCAACAAGAACTATTATGTGGACTTATCGAAAAGGAACTACGAAACCAGTACATGGTCCCTGAGCAGCCGACTCAAAAATGCCAGCGGATCTACCTCATGGGAGCTCTCCAAGGATGTCTACAAATCTCTGGCGGGCAATTTCCGATCAAGATCTCCGCCTCCTTACAGCGATTTCTTGCTCCCTACACCACTGGCAATATTCTTGCACTGGACCTGCTGCGGTCTGGAGTCATGAACGCGCGTCTTTTTGAAACGATTGGTCAACACATACCATATCCTGTATCTTTGGTCTTAAGAGAATATTGCGATTCCTTGTTACGATTGCATGTGCGTACTGATAATCAAATGTCGACGCCACTCATGATGTGCTTCTCTCAAAGCTCCATCAAGGTCATTCGATGTGTGCTTGTGGCGTAGGCTGCGCGAAAGCAGGCCGCATCGCGTCAAGATCTACCATGAGAGAGCTAAATATGATTGCCGTGGCTAATGTCCAAACATACGTTCAAGACATGTGAACCCCATAAGAGAAGCAGGATCGATCAATGCAGAATTATATGTCGCCCTACTCTTGTGGTGTAATAGAATATGAGACGTTGTTGTTGTACATGTCTTGAGACCTACGTTCGGGCGTGACCGCCCAGTGTGCTTCGCTGTGCTTGCTGTCGTATGAAGTCTAGAGAAAGTTTTGACCATAAGCAATTGAGTTGATGTGCTCACCGACCAATGGCGCGGAGTGGACACGGCTGGTCTGCATGAAGTGTAAGGGGCCAGGCGAGGTGTTTACTACGCTGGTACGAGCAGCCACTGAGCCAGGAACGAAGGGGCAGATCCGCAGGAGCATCATTTGGACTCTGTTGGTAAAGGTTACTAGCTGTACCAGGTACACCGCTTGTACCACCTGTCAAACTCTGTGTCCCATGGCTTTCACAAAAAACCAGCTGATTCCACAAAGACCCATGACGAAATAATGGAGAACAAAGGTGGAGAACACAGCACCCCATGGTAGCAGTCGGTCATAAGTCCGGGAGGTTCGTAGGGTAGCACAGGGAGGATCTGAGGAAGACTTGAGAATGCAACATCAATTTCCGAACTATGCCAGCCCCACCAAGGGCGACACACGAAGAGCCCTAGAAAAGGTCCGAATTGTCTCGCGCAATCCATAATCCGTCTTCCAAGAGCCTTATACAAGGATAACCAAGATCCACAGGAGAAGAAAAAGAAGCGCCTAGGACCGAGGAGATCTACTGCTTAGTCCCGCAAAGAAAGGTTCGTAGTACCTCCAATACACCGTGAAAGAGAAAGGTCAAGCAATTCAGACACTATCGGAGAGTGCACAGTTGGGCGGCAATGAAAGCTTGGGCGATAAGGCATCATGGAATGGAGGCTATTGTCTTTCTCCGCGGGTTGCAGTATCACTAAGATGTGAGGGTGTAGGTCTTTGCGCGGATTAGTGGCCGACGAAGCTAGGGTGGTACGAGGACCTACCGAGTCCATGGAGACGACGTCAGGGTCAGAAGGACGACTCCAGCCTGCGGGGCTTGGTGGTGGTTGAGGTGGTGGAGAGGGTGGTTCGTCTCTCGACTTCTCGCGGAGCGCTGCAAGGTTGTAGAAATCGAGCGAAGGCGCCTCGTCGTTCGGAGCTCGACGGACACAGAAGTCGAAATCGGCGGAGTAACTTGAGACTGCTTTCAAGATAGCCATGGTATTTCCGTTGTCTTGCAAGGAAAAGGCGTTGATGAATGTAGGATGAGAGGGCTTTGAAAAGACTTGAGACGTTTGAACCAGCGCTGAGTGGAGAGAGAAGTGATATTGTGAAGACATGGTCGCCAATGCTATTGCTTGACATTAAATAGTCTGTGTCCGCGAGCCTGCAGCTACATAGGCAGGGGGTCCCGCCTTACTGGCAAACAGTACGGGCCTTTCAAAGACGACAATCAATGTCACGACGGCTCGGACGGAAGGCGGAGGAGGGCATTGCAGCGGTCACGGTGGGAAGCGACTGGAATGAATCATGTTGCGAGAGGGTGAATTCGCTGGTACGCCCTCAAGTGATACCTGAATGGGTGTGGTAGACGGGCGGCACCGTGAAGCGCAAGCAACGTGTCGACTTAGTCCCGTGTAGCAGGGGAAGTCGGGCAGTGAATCAAGGCGCAGATACCCGTCGAGATTGTGTCACCGCAAGCGGAGCGGGATGCTGATTTGGCGGGGAAGGCGGCCCTACGCGGAACCGACCGAGCAAATTGTCAATGTCTGTTGTGACACCTCGTTGCAAGGAAGAGAGGGAGAGTGCTGTGTGCTGGTCCCATCCGGCAGCCCTTGGGCGGGAGAGGCTCCCGGGCTGGAGGTGACAGCGTTCTAGAAGTTGCATAGAATGTGGGGAACTGTGCGAGAGTAGCCCATCCAGCGACCGCATGCGAGCAATGCCAACGGCTACCAGGCCAGCGCAGGCATGGCTGCGAAGACGAGTGGTCGCGGATGTGTTTGCGCGGGCTGGAGTGAAGCAAACCCGACGCTGTGGCCTCTCCGCAGTCCTACTGCATAGCAGAATGAATGGAAAAGGGAGCAGCGATCGGTGACAGGGTGAGGGGTGCAGGTGAGGTGAGGCGCGGCGAGGCGAGCATCACAGTGGGTGAGAGGTGAGATTGATGGAGTAGGCGTCGGTGAGAGGGCGCGTCAACGCCAAGGCCGAGGGCAGACGCGAACAGAGCCGCATCGATCGCGACTTCCATTCACATTGACCGCAGCCCAACAAGGGAACCGCGCCCAGCCAGAGGAGCAGTCGCACCCACCGCGCCTTCCTCCCGCGCCTCTTGCCTCCCGACGGCTGCCTCCCAGCTGAAGACGGCCGCGCAATTGTCTGCACGCTCCCGGAATGCCCTTCATTTGCTCCTAGGGCTGGTCGCTGCAACCCACACCTGCACCACCCAGCTTGCCGCGCCAACGCCGCATGCGCTCCCACTTGCTCCCTCCAGCTTCCCCTATCCCCCTTTAGCCGGCGCACACCGTTTGGCCACCATACAACTCAGCGCACACCCCACGCAAACCTCGCGCCATGTCGTCGTCCGTGTGGAATCCAGACAACGTGCGAGACGTCGCCGAGTCGGTGGGCATCGCCTCACTGGCAGACAACGTAGTCGAAGAACTGGCCCGCGACGTCGACTACCGCCTGGCCCAGGTCCTGGAAGAGGCCTTGAAGTTTATGCGACACGGCAAACGAACAACGCTTAGCACGCACGACATCTCCCATGCCCTGAAGGTATTGAATGTGGAGCCGCTCTATGGCTACGAATCAACCCGCCCGCTTCGCTTTGGCGAAGCTTCCCTGGGACCTGGCCAGCCGCTGTACTACGTCGAGGATGAAGAGGTCGATTTTGAGAAGCTCATCAACGCTCCGCTGCCAAAGGTACCGCGGGAAATTACATTCACAGGTACGTTACTCAACCATCTGGAGCGTTCTTGTGTGTCACGGCTCTGACTTGTGTAGCGCATTGGCTCGCCGTGGAAGGCGTGCAACCCTCCATCCCCCAGAATCCGACGGCAAGTAATCAGGCCGACCTACTGCCCAAGGGCCCCAACACGAATCCCCATCTGGCCGCTGCCAACGGCTTGGACAATTACAGCGTCAAGCCCCTTGTCAAGCACGTCCTCTCCAAAGAGTCCCAGGAGCTCTTTGCCAAGCTCTCCAGTGCTCTGCTTGACGAGAACAACCAGGAGTGGCAGAACGCCGCGCTGGCTTCCATTCAAAGTGACCCTGGCATTCATCAGCTTACCACATATCTTATTACGTTTATAGCTGAGAAGGTCACACATAGCATGAAGAACATTCCCGTGCTCAGGGCTATGTTGCTTGCTACTGATAGATTATTGGCAAACCCCACCATCTACCTAGATCCTTATATCCCCTACATGGTTCCTCCGGTCCTCACGTGTTGCTTGGGGAAACATCTGGGACCGACGTCACACCAAGCACCCTCGAACGCCTCGTCAGAAACCTTGAATGGGAACAACGTCAATGGGCACGGACGCGCCAATTTCGAGCATTTCGAGATCCGCAAAACCGCCGCATCTCTTCTCCAACAGATTTGCCGCAAGTACTCAGCATCCAACCAAGGCCTCAAGACGCGCATTGCCCGTTCGTGTCTGAAAGCTTTCCTGGATCCCAACAAACCGCTCGGCACCCACTATGGGGCGCTAGAAACACTTCGACGCGTTCTCGGTGCCGATGGTGTCAGGATAGGGATTTTGCCAAACCTCAAGATATACGACGAGATACTCAAGGAGGCACTGGCGGATGATTCGCGAAAGGAAGAAGCAAAGCGTGTTCTAGCAGCGATACTACTATGTCTCGATGATATGGAACGAAGCCGAGGCGCCTCAAGAGCCAATGGCGTCGCGAACCTCGAGGGGCAGAGACAGCGTCTGGCAGACAAGGTTGGCGGTGAGGTGGCTGACCAGCTTATCAAGAGTGAACGGACGGCTGTGGCGCAGGCAATACTGGAGGCAGATCTTAGCATGGCCTAAGTCACTCAAGTGCTGCTACAACGTTCCGCGGTTGACGGTTGTCGCCATCTGCAGTGAACTTTTGGTTCGGGACTTGACATTCGGTCGTAGGCATCTGGACGATAAATTTGGCCATGGGAGTCATCGGCGTTGACGGACAGGGTCAAGATACCATCTCATCATATAGGCTAGAAAAATACCAATTTTTGTTCAAACTAGCTAGAATTGCACTGCAAAGACCGATTTTTGGTACCTCTTCAAAAGCAATGACTATGCAGTAGCTGAAAGTGCGAAGGCTAGAATTTACTGCCTGATGCGTTAGCTGTAAGCGTAGATTGGGGCGACGATTGGTGAAAGACTATCCACATGTGGCTTAGCCAAGACCACTTCCAGTGAATATAAACCCTATATCCCGCTTTGAAGGTACACTACTCAGGCACAGCACGCACTGAAGGCAATCACTTTAGTCAACCACCAAACTGAGCGAACACGGCCCGCTCATCACCCCGCAATTGAAAACGCACAGTCCGCCCAGCCATGGATCATCCAGCGGTCCAGTCCGTTTGCTCAATCGCTTCCAGCAACATCGTCACACAGTCCATCATACGCCATTTCGACCAATTTCCTAATTCGCACACTCTCGAACCTGTCTACATGGCGCATCTCTTCACTTCGCCGATTCAACCGCAACAGAACTCGCGCCTTTTGAGCCTCCCACCAGAAGTCCGCCTGCAGATTTACGGGTACGTCTTCGACTCGGGTCTAAGTCTGCAACTTGGTCGCCGTGCATACGTTCAACTCGCGCTGCTGGAAACATGCCGCCTCCTCCACAGCGAAGCCCACAAGCTAGCCTTCAACCAGTGGTACTTCCACGTCCTTGATGGGCCCCGCATGATAAAGGGTACACCGTTCTTTAGACGATTTCCTCGGAGGTGGAACGCTTGGAAGGTTGGAAAGGCGAGGAAATCGGACGCGCGTGAGCGCTTCAGGAAGAAGACTCTTTCCCAGCGCCTCTGGACCCTCGGAGCACGGGTAAATCACCTGCGCTTTGTGGGTATCACAATGCCGCACTCGAAGCTCGACCCGCTGAGCGCTAACAACCCATTCCTACTGACACGTCTGCCGCTCACCGAACTCACCATAGGCCTTACCGGCTCCGTGGGCGGCCACTGGAAGTCAGACGTGAAGATTTACTTCTCGCTCATCAGCTCCTTGCTTTACCTAAGCCGGGCCATCAATTCAGACGGTCCACTTCAACCAATTTATACCTTGAAGAAAGAGCGCATGGAGCGGTTCATCGCTCTGCATCGCTGGACATATGAACCACAACCTGTCGAGCTACATCGCATGCTCGGGGCCCTCGAGACAAAGAAAGTCACCGTTCGCGCGACGCAGGATGTGCTATGGAAGGCTTTTGTGTACTTCGGCCTGATACATCGGAATGCTTGGAAGGTCGTGCCGTCAGACTCGGAGGAGGATGAGTACATGCACTTTGTGGATGAGGAGGCGTTTTCAGGGGGTGGGGTGTTGGAGTTTGGACGGTTGGGGAAGCGTAAGGGTGGGCTTCGGACACCAACCAGGGCGGAGTGAGAAGTGGGAAGGTGGTAGGTGCTCCTAGATATTATCTGTGTGGTGGCTGAGAGTGCGGCACGGGGTAGGCACTATGTGTCAGCGAGTACTTCGGATTCGCATTTCGAGGGAGCGGAAAGCGGAGCATGGTGGAGGTGGTCACGAAACGCAGAGAGAAGTGAAGCAGCTCCTGTTCGAAGTTACAAGGGTCTTCCAGATCCGGAACATGGTACACTGATGGTGAGGTATCGAGAAGCTTTAGGCCAGTTTATCGGGTTCCTTTGTTTGAGTGAAGCGATGAGATCCTTGGTAGCGTAGCGCAAAGTCACTCGGCAGTGACGGCATGAAGTCAATATAGCGATGCTTTGCATGGTAATGATGGTGCAGAGGTTCTTCGAGATGATGTGTATTATTCACGTACGATGGTGTAACTAGGTACAATGCAATTATCAAACCGGGAGTCGGTCGCCCGCCCGGTCTTTTCAAGGGATGCTGACCGTGACGTCTAGACTTTCGAGTCTGGATGGTCAATCAGGAAGCGCGACTGAATGAAGGAAATAGAGATTGCTCTCTACAGTAAACGTAAAGGACAGGCTGCCATCAAATGCAAAGACTCGCTCAATGTCCGCCCAGAAATCAGGACAGGCTTCCCCCAATGCAAAAAAAAAACACAAACTTAGCCCATACAGGAAGGAGCGTGCTCGCGGTGGCATAACACCGGGCTTGACCCCATCAAAGAGAGAGATCGACGAAAAGAGCCAGAGGGTGAGGTATTTTGAGAGAGAGAGCTAGGGTAGGATGGGTCGCCCCTGAGCTTATGAGGAGAGACCAGCTACGAATGCTCTTGACTGAATCGAGGAATGCTCATCCTCGGCTGCAGATATCTGTTGAACAGGCCACATCCACGTGTTTTGCTGTTCGGCTTGATACTGGGCCAGGTATGCGTTGTACTGTTCAAGATACCACTGGCCTGTCTGTGCAGAAGGGTGGTCAACAAACGGTACAGTATGTTCCTGCGTCGGAGGGATGACCGGAGCGCTTGCTTGTTGTGGAGGCGATATGGTTTCGCCATCAGTCGGCGAGTTGGGAGGGTTGTGCAAGCCCAGAGCAGCAATCGAGGGGTCGATAGGGTTCTGGAAAAATAGAGGCGATGTAGGCTGCGACAACGAGCGCCGGTCTTGGACATCTTGCGAAGGGTACTTGGTTGGCCTTGGGACGAGCTGTCCCTGGATGGTAACAGTGCCGTCTGGTGCTATAACAACACTGAAGGCTGCAACCGTCTTGCCATCAAGTTTTCCACGAAAGAAGCCTGGGTTTATGGACTGGTATTGTTCAGGTGGGAAAGTCGGTGACGAAGACGATGCTTGACCATTCGGAGCGTAGGGATGGAAGCTAGTACGAGTACTAGGCCGGCGATATCGATTGGGACGGGGCATGGCAGCCGCAGATGTGGGGATATCGTCGTCCGATTCGTGAGCTCTCTCGTGGCAAGAAGCGTGTGGTGTGGGCGGTGTTACGTCGAAGCTGGGTACAGAGGGCGCAGAAAAGGACCTCGAGTGACTGAAGCCAGACGGGCGAAGACGGCTCCTCATGGAAAGCAAATTAGGTAAGATCCCGTGTAGGCCTTCTCAACACGAATTTGCTTCTAAGGTGGACTTTTGCGGAGATAAGATAGACGCCTTCATGTAGCACAAGGTCGCTTTATACATGCTCTCCGCGCGGTAGGTCTCTCTATTGTGCCTCGCGCATGAAAATTGGCCAAGTCCGAGGACCAAATTAGTAGAACCTACATATCCCCCATGTTGACACCTGCTGGACACCCTACGGCAAGCATCTGCACTGCGGCTGTCGCTTGTTGCCCAGCCCGCATTGGCTCTACAACACGATCGACCGTACGATGCGTTTCCAGCAGTTCGGCATAGGCGCGGATTGACAAGTCACAAATGTTATCATTGATGGATAAAGCCACGGATCTTAGATAGTGATGCCACAAGGGAAAGCCGAAGGCTGATTTTCGAGCCGACATAAGTGTGATTGCGAATGTGCTGCGGCGCCTCAGGCCAATGATTGTTTTCCAGGAGCGCGCCAAACCAGAGCGTTGGAATTTTAAGCGCCCTGCATGGGTGTGGCCGAGCCTCGTTTTCTTTTTTGGTTAGACAAGACAACCACAAACGAACTGTCTGCCGAGATGCGGCGGAGGACACTAAAAATGTTCTAATTGTGGTCCAAGAGCGCGTCGCATGCGCGAAGCGCGATGACAGTGTGACGTACATTTGTAGAAAATCACAGTGTTGTAGAAATTGCATACGATATCAAGAAAGCCTTGCGTCTTTATTAACAGAATACCAGCGGCTGCATATGTTACTGTTAAGAATAGAGCTGCAAACATACTTGCAACTCCCCGAAAAGTGTCCTTAGCCTTTGCGAAGACGCGACGCCTTGAGTCATGCTTAGTGTACGGATTGGAGAAGAACTTGCGATGCGAATGAGACAATGCGAAATCCGCGAGAGCTATAAACGTGGCATGCCATGTGTTACACGAAGATGCCAATATGGATGGCGAGAGTAGAGGAATCATCATACTACATGCGCGCGAGTTCGGCTTCGATCCGTTGGCGAGCAACGATATTCTGAACAGTTTGCCCAGATGGTCCGTATAGACCAAGTCTCCCGTTATGCTGAACCGGCTTTCCAGCGCCATCGAAGATCTTCGGGAGGGTTTCAAGGTCGATACGGCGAAATTGGGTAAGCCAAGAAGTGCCTTCGGCATCGTAGACATGTATCCATCTGGCAAACTGATCCGGGGCACCTGGCCTGCCGATGTCAAGCTCGTTATTCAAGTCCGCGAGATTGGTTGAACTTATGCGAAAAACAAGTGTACCCGTAGCATCGCGGGCAAAAATGCCGGCTGATGTGCGCGTTTCGGCCCAATACGTTAGGAAGTCTGCCTCCTCGGCGGCTCGAATGTGGTAACGACGGAAGATGTCCCCCTCGGCACCGCCTCCCAAGGGTCGGAATCTGTCGAAAGGAGTACCGTAGACCGTCTCGCGTGCGCCCGTGGATTCGGTGGGCCATGGCCCTGGTTTGCGGGATTGATGTTTAACCGAGGGGCTTCGAGTCGGGTTATTGGTAGCTTGTGGTGCTGTCATATTTGTTCTGGAGAATGGTGACAGCCGATGGTGTCTTAGAACAAGACGCAATGATCGTACTGAAGTCTAATGGCAAGACTGATTGCGACCTTTATAAGAGCAACAGCTATACTCTGAACACTCGTCCCCTCATCTCGCCAGAGCCATCTCGCGGTCCCGAAAGTTCCACGGCTGGAGGGTCACATCTGCGATGTGGGAGGACACTGCATCTACACGCAACAACCCTGCAAAACACAGGCGCTGTGGAGGGAGTCCCCTTTCGGTAGTCGGCCAGTCGTTGATGATGCTGCGGGCCGAATCCCCCGCATGCGCTAAGACCCTGGTCGTTGCATCCGGTATCTTCGCACCATGATGAACTCTCTCGTTTCTTTCTGTATATTCGCTACATGTACAAATAACTTGGCCGTACCAAGGGCGCAGTTCGTCGGTTCTTGGCCCGTTTGACTTGAGAAAAAGAGCGCCTTTCATAGACAGGCCATTTCAACGAAGTTGACAAGCCCATGAAGCCTGTGCGGACCCTACAAGGTGCTGTCGTGTTACCGGCGAGTTCGCTAACGAATTGACAACCAAAGTATGTCGGGTGTTGATGCATTGATTGCACGCTGAGTAGTGTGGGGTGACGCGGTAGGGCCGGCCTATTTCCCTCTTCCGCGATCTGCATGCAGCGAGCTTGGTCGTCTTCTCGCAACGGAGGACAAGTTCAGAGTTCTCACTTCTTAGAGTTGCATGTGGTTGCATAATTGCGTCCCCAGACTTGCAGCGCTCTTGTCGAAGGTCCAATGACTCGCTGCGGATTCACAACCTAGTGTCCTGTATGCACGCACAAAGGAAGGCCGTGCGCGATCAAAGCAAGAACAAAGAGCGCACTTTGGTGGCGTCGTACCGTGTGGGGGTTGTTCGAAAGTGGTGTGTTGAAGGATGGACGGGACGCTGTGCGAAGTTGTGAGCTGTCAACCTGGCGTGACGGGAAGGAACGCTATCCCGGAGCCATCGCTTTAAGTCAATGGCAACACAAAGACTAATTTCAAACATGTCCCGCATACGGCACAGTTACTGCCGCCCTGCGGTCCAGATCGATGCAACTGCAGACCACATAAGGCTTTCCTGCAACGTCTGCAACGCCTGTACGGAGTGGAGCGCTTCCGAACATCTGCTCGAATGTACAGGAGTATGACTCGCATCAGTGACTCAGGTTGAAGTTCTCGAGCTCTCGAGCAATGCCATGGAGTTCACATGCATGGGACTACCGAAGAACACATAGGTGTAGTTGTCGCCTCCTTGGTCATTGAGTCCTTCTCCAGTCCTCAACGTTTCTGTGCTCAAAGGATCGGACTGCTATAGCAAGTCCGCCCAGAGCATCTGCGCATGCTAAAGGGCCATCCTCATTTCAGGCCCTCAACGCTCAGTAGCCACTGCCATCCACAGAAACGGGTAGCTGCTGCTGTTTCCCTTTCGCTGTGTTCGTGCCTTGCTCGTGTTGCTCGAGCGGGACGTGCAGGGAGCAATTGGCGGATGGTACTATGTGTAGGATGGGTTTACGCGATACGGACCGCCTTGGAATGGTCACTTCGCGTTCCGTTGACATTGCTGGTGTGCTTGAACGGGGCCATGATAAGCGCCGACGCGAGAACACCTGACACCGCGCTTCCGGAGGTCAGGTCCGTGCTAAATGCGCCACTTCCCCGCGCCTTTCCCAGCACAAACACCATCGCGTACTCCGTCTTGTTGACCTCACTTTTGCATACAATCTCATTCAACCCTTTTCATTGTATTGACTTCTACTCGGAAGGATTAAGAAAAGCTCGATTCACGAGCTCCCAGTCATCTTCCTTCGCGTACGTCAGCAGCTAAGCGCTGGTCATCCTGAGTCGTATGCTCCGATGACCGTTGAGCCCGTCCAGCCTGCAGATGATGCGAATGATGATATAGAGGGCGATACCCTTTGGCCTTTAGCGTATCGTCTGCAGACGTTACAGCAGCCAACGTTTGTACGATGGTGGAGCTACCGCTTGTACCAGAATTCACAGGGTCAGTGACTCACAACAAAAGAAACACGACCCGAGCTGACTCTTCACCTACGTACGTTAGGCGAAAAGGTGCAAGTTTTATACAGCAAGGACAAGGCGCGGTCGGAGGAACTGGCACAGAAGTTTCTTCATGAGCCAATGGTCGGTTTTGACATGGAATGGCCATGTTTTCCCGGTCAAAACCCTCCATTGCAGAAAAGGATCGGGCTGATACAAGTCGCCACGGAAGACAAAATTGCTCTGTTCCATATTGGATTACACCCGGGGAAAACCACAGACGATATTATCGCGCCATCGCTCCGAAAGCTTATCGAAAGTTCAAAGATCGCCAAAATGGGAGTTGGCATCTTGGGCGCAGATTTCGCGAGGTTACACCGGTTCTTTAGATTGAAACCACAAGGCGCATTTGAGCTATCACACTTGGATCGCCTTGTCCGGTTTGCGTATATTCCACATCTCCTTAACACGAAGATGGTATCACTTGCAAATCTTGTGGAGAATCACCTCGGTTTACCTCTAGCAAAAGGGTCCGTTAGAACAAGCAATTGGAGTAGACCTCTCAACGACGAACAAAAGAACTATGCTGCCAGCGACGCCTATGCGGGTTTCATGCTGTTTCATTGCATGAACGCCAAACGGCTTGCGCTGAACCCTGTACCGACTTTACCCATCTTTGCAGAACAATACCCACGAAAAATAAAAGGTGCCAAGGGATTTGCGCCCATTACCACGCTCATGCTCCATGCAACAGAAGAAGGTGGGAGCACGGTCGCAGCCAATGACTTTTTCAGTGTCCCGAAGGACGAGGCCAACGAGGCCAATCCAGACCAGAAAACAGATGAAGAGAAGGACGCAGCGATTATACCGACTCCCGGAGAGGGCAAGAAGAAGACAAAAAAGACCATCTCAAAGACTTCCCAGGAACCATTGGACTCTGTAGCACAGATTCTATATGATCAACTAGCAGAGCGCCGCAAAACTCTTGCCCAGACCAATGGAGTACCGGTCTACCTGATCGCCAACAATTCCGTTCTTCATGGCCTCGCAAAAAGATCACCTCAGAATGATGAGGAGCTGCTGAAGGTAAAAGGCATCGGCAAGGTATCCGTTGCCAAATATGGTGCTGATTGGCTCGAAATTATTGCTCTTCATCTAGCAGTCCATGGTCCTGATAAAACGATTGATGCTCTGTCGAATGCGCCTGCTGAAGCTACACGAACAAGGCCTAGCACACCTAATCGAACAATTACGCGGCGACCAAAAGATACGCAAAGTTCACCAGACTCATCTCCAGCTTTCGGGTCTCCTATACATCGCACGCCAGTTCTGCACACCGGGCTGTCTTTCACCTTAGCAGGAACTACACTAGATCCAGGCGATAGTACGGGTGATAGTCCACGCTATCCTGCGATGCGTGGACCAATTTCCGACCAGCAATATGATGATATCGAAGTCCTTGACTTGACCGGCGATGGGCCGCAAAACCAAAATTCGGCCAATGACGCTGGATTCACTGTAGCCATCGATCCATTACGCAGCGCTTCCACTGGAGCGACACATGCGGAGAACACTGCTCGTTGGAGTCTTGAATCGCCCAGCTCTTCGGAAGACTCTTTGGTCTTTATAACACCACCTTCGCGATCACCTTCTTATCTGAAAAGGAAAAGAACAGATACGCGACCGAACACAGCGACGCCTAGTCATTCGCGCACTCAACCAATTGCGACAAGCTCTAGTTTGGAGGCAGCGCCACCACCAGCTCATGCATCGACACAACCTGTGCCGCTTAGCCCTCGTTCGAGAATATTCCGCAACAAGCTGGTTGCCTTCAGCAAGCTCATCAACAGAAAGCTCAGTGCAAGCTCGTCGCCTGCGCCAATAGTCTCTGAGGCCACGCTGGACCACATTATCTCTGTCTCGCCCCGTACAGTAGAGGATTTTAACCGTATACCGGGGATTGAGACGTTTGCTCGCGCATGCCGAGATGCGGAAATGGACTTGCTGCGGAACATAATCAAGTTTGCGCCTCCTCGAACTTGATATCATCAATCAAGCAGTGGCGCACGACTCGGCCGTTCAGGTCTAGGTTGCGGAGGTCGACAGTATGCATTGTATCTTTGGACGTACCTTTTTCGGTGCAGACGCAGGCCTCTCCAACTTGTTGATATACGTTACGGAAAACCTTCTTTTCTGGTATGAGCGATCGAGACGACGATTTGACACGATACCCCAGCATACACATTAGCGACGTTATCTCAATATACTCTGAATACTTTTAACATATGAATCTTGCAAGGCACATTCAGCGCTGGTATCACAATGTTCCAGTATGCGCCGACATGTGAAAGCCGAAGTCGGCGTTCAGTGGCACATCGCGCAACGCCTCAACGAGACGTTTTTGAAACGAAGTGCAAGCTCAAGGCTACGAATGTGAACAGAGCAGTACGGAACGCGCCTCACAGTACTGGAAATTCAAATCCAGGAACAGAAAACGCAGAGGGGAAACGCTGATCCTTCACATAACCCGAGGACCCTTTTTCATCCGGGGTCTCACGATGCATCCTTCCTGATCCCCACATAACTCGTTAACAATGCCGATTACGGCATCGCCCAATCACGTTTGCCTGGTAGATTGAGCATCAACCATGGTTCGGAAAAGAACATGCGACAGGTGACGGAGTGGAGGCAGTGCCGAGCGACCGGTCCTGACATTTTACAACTTTGGTACTCGTGTGCACAATGTCAACATTGAGGGGAAGGGGTGGATTAGGAGGCGTTGGGGATAATGGGTGCACGGGGAGGACGGCAGCGCTCACGTATCGGGTTAGAGGGAGACGATTATCAAGGATCGGCAGACGTGGAACAAGGACAAGCGCGGAGGAAGACCTGGGCAGGCGTGGCTTTGCGCGGAGTAATGCGATTGGCCGCTAACGTCGATGCGTCACTCCCCAGAGTGTACCAATAGCATCTTGCGCGGATGGCACAATGAAGCGAAATGGGACGGCATCTTCAGAGGCGTGGAGAGTGGGAGCATAGACGTCGTTTTTCGAACAATTGGAGAGGGTCCACCGTCATTGTCGGGTCTCGGTTCCACTATGGAGGGCTCGCCACATGCACCGCTAGAATAAGTTTGGGTGACTTTCACGTGTCGCCCTTGACGAGTGCCATCACATGCTGAAAGGACGGATGTGCGAGTGAGCAACGCCCCCCAAATCAGCGCCGTCCTCCTCCACCGCCCACCCAACCGCAAAATCCCACACTTTCGGAACGAGCATCCGTCATGTCAACACACGCATAGACCTAAAGAACTCGGTGTCTCTTGCGCGATCAATCACAGTCACAAGCCCAGGGTGACACCGGACCCCACAACCACAACTCACGGCTTCGCGAAGCACCTCGGGTACAGCCACGATGGAGCAGGAGCAAGCGCAGCCGCCTGCATACACGCAGCACGACCCGTCGAGCCTCAATCTGCCTTCAGTCCCGACACACTCTCTCCCAAGCCTGCGAAGCCTCGATCTGCCCGATGCCCGCGCCTCCGTGGAGCTTAGTCCCAGAACAACCAGTACGCAATGGGGCGCGCTTCCCCGTGTGTCGTTCCCGCGTGTGCCTGAGGGCGACGTGGGCAGCCCAATGGACATGGATCGCGCGAGTGCGACGAGCGGCGAGGACAGGAGGAGGGAGATGAGCGTCGTCAGTATGGAGGATCCGGACGTGAGGTTGGCGGCTGAGGCGCTGAGCGGGCTGGGAAACCCAGGTGAGTTATATCCGGCAACACTGTGATTGCAGCAGTTGCCATGAGAGTGCTGCGTCGCGACGCCATTGTCTTCCTGGTGTTGCAAGTGGGGCATCGTACCTACAGAGCGCACCCTTGCATGCACATCGGCCATACTATGTATTATGTTACCATTCGGGACACCCTAGGTTGCATGATCCTGTATTGGCTTGCCAACGAAATATGTTGGCAAACTTGTCGCCGTCCTACGCTGTCACGAGAAATAGCAGCATGCTAACGGCTTACAGATTTCGCCCGCTCGCCGACAAGTCGCTCCGTGACCCTTTCCGCGCGCGAACCCACCGTCGAGCCCGAACCGCTGCTCAATCTCCTAACGTCGGCGCATCCCTGGCTCGGAGGCAGCATTAATGGCTCCATTTCTGCGTATAATACTACGAAGACATATTCCCCTCGAATTTTCAAATATGGAGCCGAGCTCATTGAACGTAATATCGGCTCGCCGGTCGTCAACACCGTCTCCTCTGTCGGAAGACGCACCGGCGTTGAGCAAAATCTACGACGCTACTTAGGAGAGGTACACAGACGGCCAAGCGACCTAGAACAAGGCGATGCAGACAGGAGAGGGAAACGACCCCGTGTCATGAGCCCTAATTCTGGCTCGGCGACCGACGCCATGGAGATCGAAGGCGACTATACAGCATCCCGCACAAGAGGCGGCTCGCAATCGTCCGGCTACGCGGAGAGCCTTCCCGCGTACGACGACCACCGTTCTCCTAAATACGAGGAGACCGCCGTCATAACTATTGATCCTGCGACTGGTAAAGAAGTGCACCCTTCAGAAGAACAGGCGCAATCCACACAAGACCGCCGCATGAACTGGTCTACACAGCTCATTATGACAACGTCCGGCCTCGGCGTTGCGCTCTCTGACGCGTCGCTCAAATCACTCAAGCTATGCTTGCGGTTGTTGCGCGGTGCGACGAAGCACATCGACAGCGTCATGCGCGCGCTTAAGCTCGTCGTGGATGAATACGAAGCCGCGCTGCGAAATGCGCGCCACTCCAACGGAGACGAGAAAGACGTCATGATGGCTGAGGGAGAAGACGAGCAAGTTCGCGCGATCGCCAATCGCATGAAGCAGCTCTCCAGTGATATCTGGACTACTCTCCAGTCCGTCGTGACCTCGGTCTCCCGGTACACAGGTGGCGCGCTCCCACAGAACGCGTCACAGGTCGTTCGTACGCAGCTTCTCTCCGTGCCCCAGCGGTGGCAGCTTGCCGCCAGGACTACCGCCACTGGCAACGATGGCGGTGAGGGCGGCGGCGAGGAGGTCCGCGGCGCGAACCGTATGCTGGCGTTCGCGAGCGAGGGTCTGGATATGATGGGCCAGATCACCGCGGTGGTCGACGGCACCGTACAGAGCGCAGAGGGTTGGTTAAGTCGCATTGGCCGCCAGCCTACGCAACAGCCTGAAGAGGAGCCAGAGAAAGCTCCCTTGACCAAGGTCAGAGTCGACGCTGGTATCAACGAGAAGAACTAGGTGGCTTGCCGTATAGTACTTAGCCAGAAGTTTGGGCACTGCATTACTCAGCCTGGGGTAACTCAGGATCTCAAACCAACTGACGAAGGATTGTACTTGGACTAGAGGATTTCCTTGCACTGTAGATCTTGTATTCCTTGGTTCGAGCCTATATCCCCCGGTTTCCTATTATCATGGTGGAAAGCGAGGCGTTTTTGGGCTTCGGTAGGGTTTCAAAAGGGCTTGGCTTGACTTGTTGCACTTTGTAGCGTGCGTTTGTCTGTCCTTTCCTGTGCAAAGGCTAGAGGAATATGGGTTCGATGGGAACATTAGCTGGCTGCGCTGGAGTTTATCAATACAGTAACGGCTTCTCACATTCATGGGTCTACTTCTCGCTATGTGAGTTAACTCAGGCTAGGGTTACAGCGTCGTGATGTTGCCGCCTTCTTTCGCATCGACGTGAAAGTCGGCTATACAGTATCAGGCCAACAACTGTGAAGGCGCCTTGCAAAGTGAGTTACCCAGGATGTATGATCCACTTCGACCGAACACCGCTTTAGCTCATGCCTATGGTAGCCTCTGTCCAACTAAGACCGGAGCGCCTTCGCTATAGTCGCGAAGAGCTACGAGCACCTGCACGTGTTCAAGGCACGTGTAGCCATAAATGCCCAGGTGCTTCAATACATATAGACCATCGAAGACAACGTTGATGACACTTCATACCACACAGGAGGAGCTATAATCCAGTACCGCTTTAATCCGTTTGCCGCCATGTACACGTAAAATGAACATTGCATACATAAATGGGAAATGAACTTGCCCAATCTTGCAAACACACAGACGCATATCCATACCTTGTGAGCCCAAAACCTCATAGAAAATTTGAAGTCTCCAACCTTTCGCTTACTCTTCCGACAGTGAGTGACTGGACTTCCAAAATCCAGCAAAAAAGCCATTTCACCCGCAGGCCCCGGCTCAAAGTGTTTTGATTCGGCCTCGAACCGGTGCACTGTCAACGAGTACTGGTGTAGTGGTTTCACCCAACTACGCCAGACTCTCTATGTGTCGGTCGAAGGTGAAATACTATTGAATTAAAGCGTTTATATAGTGGTATACATGATAATGATAGAAAGAGATAGTATGTAAATCGAGGGGAGGGAGACTGTGGAGGTGGGGGTGAGGTGAAAGGTGAGAGACGTCTGTAAACAAAGGCCGCTGCATGGGGAAGGCGCGGCGTGGCTTCACTCGAACATCGTGCTTTGATGTCAAACATCAATTGGGCATTAACGCTATTTATCAGACCTTCAAAGTTCGTGCAAGAGCTTCGCCTTCGCATCAAATATACCTCGCAGCAGGTTGAAAGCGCCCGGTATTTTCTGGATCTCTCCCAAAATTCAAACCTGTGGGTTTGCTCCTTATCCCCTAGTGATGGACATCATCGTCTGTCACCCACTCCATTCAAATCTGATTATCTCAGATGTGAATGAGAGAGGCCGGACTATGAGTTTGACAATGCTTGACCATGAGCCTCAGGAGGAGCTAGTTATGACATTGACTTCACACCGCAATGAGGTAGCCTGATCTCAACCGAACATGAAGTCGGATTGACGTGTTCAGGAAACTAAGCCAGCAAAGCCTTCAGTCCTGAGACATCACCCATAATTTCTCGTGCAGCCACGACCTTTGACTTATTTTTTGTGCTCCTCAGCAAACGAATCAAGATTGACGAGGGCCACTTGAGTTGACACGACCATGCATGGAGCTCGTCCGACCACGCATGGAGCTCGTCCGACCACGCATAGAGCTTATCTGACCACGCATAGAGCTTATCCAACCACGCATAGAGCTCATCCAACCATAAGAAATATATATGAGGTAGACTTGGCCGAACTAAGCAATCAATGTCCCGGAGACTAAGAAACTTATATCGCCTGACCGAAGATTTGCTATCACTGGTTGAGTCCGTTCAACGATGCGAGTTGAGCCGACCACGAGAGCTGAGCCGACCACGAAGTCAGCTTTTATCAACACTGAGATGACTAAATTTTGACTACTAACTCCTATATTATCTCCAGTGCTATCCTGGCTCTGCGTCAGCAGTCTTAGTCTTGTCACTGGTACAACTGGATTCCAAGGTATCGTGTTTGTAGTTTTTCACCTATGATGCTACGCGTGTCCACAAGTTGGACCATGGCTGGACCTGGGCCTACCATAAAGGCATGCTTGGTATTCCCTCGATTTACTATGCGAAAAGAGGTGAGTCATATACTCCTATGACTAGGCTGGTCTTTCATGATCTTATTTTTGCTTCTCGATCTTGACGTACGAACCCTACTCAAACCGTCACCTCGTGGAGCGGGTAGTTCAGAATCGGAATGCACCCCAAACGCATGTGCAATGCTTCCATTTTCAAAGTACACTTCACTATGAAGCTCACTCGCTCGCATATTTGGACTTGTCCCTCACCACGCGGCCTCCCTTCAACCCACTTATTCTCTAACCGCGACAGTGCCGTTCGGAGGTGACGTGAGATACCACATATCGATCAAGACATTGGACGCTGCCCCGCTGCGCAAAATGCCAACGGCTGTGACGTAGTTGAGCCAGAAATACTTCTCCGATCCTGTCTCGTAGATTCCACGAAGATGCGTCAGGCCGTCAGACTGTGCGGATCCAGCGGTTTTGATGTAGATGTTTTCACCGTCATCGGTCCGCAGGGAGTACCTCGTGTCGGGGTGGGTAGTGCCATGATTATCGAGATAGTTCCAATCTGCACCAAGGTTGAGAACATCGCCTGGGAAAGAGAAAGAATATACTGTCAGCATCATCCTTCGGGACAGTACACAGGAAATAACTCAGGGACAGATACCCTTCATCTTAGGACCTTCAAAATACCCGCCGGTGATGGGGATCACGCGGACCTCTCCGTATGGCCCAACGCCGGTGGTGAATATCTCGCCAAGGGTGCAGTTGAGCGAGTACAGGAACTCTAGGCCTGGCGGGGTGGGCGCGGCCAAGCCGGTCACGGTGGAGGCCAGCAAGACCAAGGACGTGGAGACGAAGAATTTCAGCATCGCGACGAGAAGACAATGGCTGCCTTGAATACCGACTCGATGCCCAGCTTTGCTCAAACTGAAAGGATTGGTAAAGCTCAAGGACCTTCTAGCAAGACGGCGGGTTATATAACATTTTGCGCGGCTGATACTCGGCCATTGTAGCTTTCGTAGCGAGGGCTACATGAGCGCGAGTGGGATTATGAAAGCCGATGTTGGCTTCCGTGCGACTGATCTGGAGAAACGGGTAGCGCAAGCAGGGCTAGTCCCTGTCGATCGCGGGGGAAAGATGGGGTTGACAATTTGTTCGGAAAAACGCGATGCAATTGTGCAGCGAGGTACGAGCAGGTATTCACGGCAGTGACTGAGCAGCACAGCTGAAGAACTGATTGGCCGTTTCAAATGACGCTAGGTGGCTGTTTGAATATCGTCCAGCGACCGCATGCATAGAGCAGCTGTGAAGGTGGAAGGAGGTGATGTTGACGTAACCTGGCCATGAGATTTGACGAGCCGACCATGATAATTGACAAGCCGACCATGGGATTTGCTGAGCCGACCATGGGGTTTGGTGAGCCGACCACGAATTTGACGAGCCGACCACAGCATTTCGACCCGAATATGGAATCAAACTTGCATCAACCACAGACCCCAACCCCCACGGTCAACTCCCGGGTCACCTGCAACAACAGTTGCTATTATGCAACAGGAAGTGTAAACCCTATCGAACAGGACTGCATGCCTGTACAATCAAATGCGGCTTGAGGCTCAGAGAAGTCGTGTTCTCAGCTCGAGCAACCACGGTGGTACCTCGGCCTACCACGAAGTGCGCCTGCCATGGTCGGCCGAGGTCTAGGCCATGGTCGGATGAATTACAGATGTGGAAAGCACCTGGTCGGATGAACTGCAACCTCGACCTCACAAGATCACTGAAGTCTACGCTGTCCATCGGATATGCTTATAGTTCTTCTGATCGTGGAAAATAATGTGAAATATAGGCTGTCTTGGACAGAAGACAAGGGAATGTGCAGAGCTTCATAAGCTATCTATCTATACGCGTCAGCGCAATTGTCGTGTGTCGTTGCGAAAGAACCGAGAGCAACATGAGCGTATACACACGGTAAATTATTCCGCTGAGAGTTGCTCTCCAGAGAGGATAAATCAACGCATCTGATCTCGTACTCCCCACTCCCACACAGCCACCTATTCTTAGCACCTAAGCTCAGATCCCATCGGCCCCCACGTCTCGTTCTCTACGCCCTAGCAATTATCTGTATTGGCGATTGCTTGATTAATTTTGTGCATCTCCGGCGTCTCCAGCGAAATGTCAGCTTCGCATTGCCTTTTTCAACGAGGTTGTTCGGATGGCGCCGAGGAACCGAGTAGAGTTTTGTGTAAGACGCAGACGCATGTGTAGTCAGATGCGAGCAGCACGTGTGCATGCGGGTGCCTGGAGGTAAAGCGATGTCAGCGTAGACACGTTTGTGGCTTTGTTGGTGATGGAGAGTTTGTCCGTTTCTGGAAGGACCGCCAAGGGCGTATTCGGTTCTTAGTGGGGACCATGAGACATGGATCTGGGAAGGATCGCAGATACGACTGCTCGTGTAGATCCAGAGGTCGGCGACCTGTGGGTCAGTTCCTGACGATGCGCAGGTTCCTTGATCTGTTGGGAGTAGGGGGGATGATCGCATCGAAAGGCGTGCACAACGTTACAGCAGCTGGGTTGCAGCTATACTTCTGATTGGACAATGCTACTAGATGCCTGTCATACAGCTGAAGAACAACGACCGGAGAGATCGTGGACAACAGGGTAGAAAGTGCGATAGTGGAAAGCTATTTCGGGCTCTCCGATGGCCAAGCAGATAAGTCTGGTCCTCGGAGACTTCTTGCAAGTACGACAGGCTCTGTTACATCTTGTGCAGGATTGCAGCTGTTGTAGCACCGGCATCGCGGTGATGCCTAGGAAATCAGTCCAACTCAAACTATGATCTTAACACAGTCGTTAACAGACGATGATGAAGTCATTTGGATGGTACATTGAGCTTTAAATACAGTCCACAGCTACAGAAGATGACTTGACAAGGGGTGGTGAGTGTCGACCGCGCGGGATGACCAAAGTGGCATTTCATGGGCCCTGTCAAATTGCACTCTCAAGCCCTGAATCATAGCTGAACCCATTTGCGCGCTGTCCATCCAGTCAAAGTGCCTTTTCGTGGAAGTGGAAGTCATCGTGGTTCGTAGTGTCGCGTTAGGCGGTGGCAGTGCCCAACATTACGCTATCCCAACATAGCCACTAGAGAGGCCCCGGGAATTACGAGTATCGAATTTTCCCTCTGAACTCTTTGATGTTCTCCTTTGCTTGCAGTGTGCCTGTGCCAACGAACTCCGTTCCAGCTGCTGAACAGGACCCAGAGGCCCGACATATTGACCATATCGCAGAACAGGTTTCGACGCGGGGGTTGCATGAGGCTTCGATAGCGTGACCGTCGTTCTGACTATTTATCATTTTTGGAACTGTTTGAGGATGTGTTGGGTATTTGAGCAGCTGATCCAGAACTGGATGAGGATGAGGTTTGGGGCTGGAAGAAAGGATGACCCGTGTTGCCGTTTGGTGAGGGAACGTTGACGACTTGAAGCGGCGTGAAACGGATTGGAGGCATAGAATACATTGTGAAGAAGTCTGGGAGCAGAGAGTTGACTGAAAGAGTTGTGAAGATTGAAAGGAGAGCAGAGATCTGCTTCTAATATATGCGTAGGAACGAGCAGAAGTCGGAGCTAGCCGCTGTAAAGACTCCAAGAAGGTCAAGGTCGCGAGTATACCTGAACCTTTGCTTTGCTCGGGTACATGATCCGAGCTAACTAAGAATACTCATCTTACCCGTTTCGCGACGTAGAATGGCACCTGATACCGCGTCAACTTGCCGTGCCTTACGAGAAGCCCAACGTAGAGCCATAGAAGCCTGCCGGAAAACGCGTATGATTATAAGATAGAGCTGCCGACTAAGGCCCCTGCAACGTCCGATCGGGCACAACGGGAGAAGTTTAAGCAGTGATTGGCAATACGAGATGCAGGGCGAGCAACGGTGGCATCAAGGGGCGTCTGCAATCCAATCATTGCCGATTATCGGGTTTTGAGGCTGCGCGCGGTGAGTCGATTCGAGAGCGGACTTCGTGTTACCACAGCGCTTCTGCTCAGATCTGCTACAGAAGTAGGTAATAACACCGGGACGTTGAGACACGGGTATTTTTGGATTTCGTATCGATACCGGTACCACTGTTAGCAGTGTTGTTTCGGAGGGACAAGCAAATACGACTGCCAAGGAGCCGCGCAGCTGGCGATACGAGGCCAGTCGACATTCCAATGCAACAAGCGGTGTCATACAGCACCGTGGTGTACCTTGCAGCTGTGAAGCGACGATTGGCGTCACGGTAGAAACGCACCGTCATCGGTTCGGGCCCAAGTCGTGATGGTTTTTTTGCTTCGAAATGCTAGTCCCTAGAGCCGAGGTACAGAGTAAGCGGAACAGAGTTAGGATTGGCTAGAGGGTGCGCCCTAGTATCAATTTATCAGCTTGCGTCTAACCATCTCTTACCCGGCGCGCTTTCTTGACGCGTTCGCGATGCGATGTGGTAACAGAAGGCCGGTGGGAATTGAGGAAAGGGCAGAAGGCCGGAGACGTCAATGTTGGGGGGTATGGAGCTGTCTTAGCACGACGGGTGCCTGCTAGCGTCGATGAGAGCAGATTGAGAAAAGGGCGGCCCATTGTCGCTTGTCGGTATCTTCTCCGTAGTTTCTGCAATGTACACAGTACATGATTCGAAATTACTCATCTGAAGCTCGAGGAGGGAAGGCAGCGGAGTGTAAGCGGCGAGCGTGAGTGGACCGGCGACATTTATGAGCAAGGTATCTCATCTAGTAAAGCCAAGGATACCAGATGCTGAGGGAATAAGATGGTGGCTAGCCGCGTAGGGTTATGCGATGGATGCTCCCCGATGCTTCTCGCTACAAATGCTGGAGATAGGACGAATAACGGACATTCCGCAGCAATTGGCAACTTTCAGCGAGAGTTTCCTCATGGCCGCTTACAAACTCGCGGTGGGGAGGTCTCGATATTTGTGCAACATAGCGGGCGCCTTGGCGATTCGGCTCGGATCGGTGAGCATCCGTCTCCGGTCACACCTCGTTCTCCATTTCTGACGCGGTATCACGACAACCTGGCGAGGGTGCGGAGGATCCCAACGAGAGACTGTCGGCGTGGCGAGCATACATGCTGTCTGTCGATGAGGACAAAATGGAAGCAACATGGGAAGACGCGGCTGCAATTGCCGTTGCCGTGCGGGTGGCTTGGCGCTTGCTACCGACGACCTCTCCGCCCTTCGAGGCCGATGATGCCCCACCCTATCCATGACCACGCCCGCGGAGCCTGTCTGATTAACATGACTCACTCCGACGAATGCTCCCCCCACGCGCCTCAAACAGTTGCCCGGCGTGTTCCCGGCATTTTCTGCACTCCTTATCCCGTTTCGCGAAACGCATCAAACCTTCTTCGGTGCTTCACTAAACGACAACGAGCAAGGCGGGTGGATCCATAGACCCCTGCCCTCGGTACCTTTCGAGACGGGCTCTAGAGCATAGCGTCGTGTCGCGCCTTAAGGCCGATTGGAAATACTGTGTATTCCCAATACTTCACTCTGCTCCTGGTCGCTGATTTTTCTTCTCGCACTCCTTTGTTTCCCAAACGCCCAGAGCGTCCTCTCTGTGGCCCGCGCAACAACCACTTCGCGCCTGACTACGCTGGCGAGCGCCCTCACCTGCGCCACCATGGAGAAGGCCGACGTCCCTTTGAGTACTACGGCGCTGCGCCAAGAGCCAGAGAGTGCTGCCAAAGAAATAGAAGCCAGCCGTCCTCGTGGCGACAGCGAAAGCATCACTACCATCTCGAGTAGCTCCGGAGAGAAGACCGCCCAAACTTCCGACCAACATGATGCCGGTGTCAACATCTCGCGCGCCGAGGCCGACTTCGCAGCCTTGAATCGCGAATTCTCTAGGACCAGTCATCTGAGCCGCACAAAGTCTCGCCAGAGTCGTAAAGGCGCCACCGCCGATATTGAAAAGGCCGTTGATGGGGAAGCCGGTTCTGAAGAGCCATTCGATCTGGAGACTGTGCTCAGAGGCAATCGCGACGAGGAAGAACGAGCAGGTATCAAGTCAAAGCGCATTGGTGTGGTCTTTGAAGACCTGACCGTGAGCGGAATTGGCGGCGTCAAGAGTAAGTACTATGCTGTCGAAACAATTCGAGCACATTATCATGGGCTGCATCAAGCCCGGAATGCTTTATACAGTGTCAGGGTTTTCTACTTTGATGCGTGTATATCACATCTTGCAACCCATTTTCTGCGAATGTAATGCCTATACTAACATGGGCTCCGCACAGATTACGTCAAGACCTTCCCCGATGCATTTGTGTCATTTTTCAACGTGTTCGGCACGATCCAAGGCCTTTTCGGGCTCGGCAAGAAGGGGCGCGAGTTCGACATTCTCAAGGACTTTAGGGGTGTCGTGAAGCCGGGCGAGATGTGCCTGGTCCTCGGTCGACCTGGAAGCGGTTGCACCACCTTCCTCAAAGTGGCCTCCAACCAGCGTTACGGTTACACCAAGGTCGATGGCAAAGTTCTGTACGGTCCTTTCGAAAGCGACTTCTTCGAAAAGCGCTACCGTGGTGAAGCCGTCTACTGTGAGGAAGACGAAAACCATCACCCTACCCTGACCGTTGGGCAGACCCTAGATTTCGCGCTCGAGACCAAGATTCCTGGTAAACGACCAGCAGGTGTGTCGCGCAAAGACTTCAAGGAACGAGTCATAGACCTGATGCTCAAGATGTTCAACATTGAGCACACCCGAAACACCATCGTCGGCAACCCCTTTGTCCGCGGAGTTTCTGGAGGCGAACGGAAGCGTGTGTCTATTGCTGAGACGATGATCACTGGCGCATCTGTGATTTCGTGGGATAACTCTACTCGTGGCCTGGACGCCTCTACTGCTGTCGATTATGCTCGATCTCTTAGGGTCCTCACCAACATTTACAAGACCACGACTTTTGTGTCTCTGTACCAAGCATCTGAAAACATATATAAGGTCTTTGATAAGGTGCTGGTCATCGACAGTGGACGACAGGTTTACTTCGGTCCTACGAAAGACGCCCGTGCTTACTTTGAAGGTCTCGGGTTCTTGGAAAAGCCTCGTCAAACATCACCGGATTACCTGACTGGATGCACGGATCCATTCGAGCGTGAATACAAGGATGGAAGAAGTGAGAAAGATGTGCCGAGTACACCGGACGCTCTGGCTCAAGCTTACAAGGACTCTCAGATCGCAGCCAACTGTAACGCCGAGATCGCCGCATATCACACTCAAATGGCTGAAGAGAAAGAGGTTCACGATGAGTTCATGACCGCGGTCCAGGAAAGCAAGCGACATGCACCGAAGAAATCCGTTTACTCGATCCCGTTCTACCTGCAAGTGCAGGCCCTTTTCAAGCGCCAGTTCCTGCTCAAGTGGCAGGATAAGTTTACTCTTGTCACTTCTTGGGCTACCTCTATCATCATTGCTATTGTCATCGGTACTGTCTGGCTGGATCTTCCCACAACTTCGGACGGCGCTTTCACTCGAGGTGGTGTGCTCTTCATTGCGCTTTTGTTCAACGCTTTCAACGCCTTTTCCGAACTGCCAGGTGTTATGTTGGGACGACCAATTGTCAACAAACATCGAGCGTTCACCTTCCATCGTCCATCCGCTTTGTGGGTAGCTCAGATCGGTGTTGATCTGCTGTTCTCATCCGCCCAGATCCTAATCTTCAGTATAATCGTCTACTTCATGACCGGACTCGTACGCGATGCTGGCGCTTTCTTCATCTTCGTTCTCATGATCATTACCGGATACCTGGCTATGACCTTGTTCTTCCGAACCGTCGGTTGCTTGTGTCCTGATTTTGACGTCGCTATCCGTCTGGCTGCTACAATCATCACGTTATTCATACTGACGTCTGGCTACATCATCCAGTACCAGTCTGAGCAGGTATGGCTAAGGTGGATCTTCTATATCAACGCGCTCGGTCTCGCCTTCTCGGCGCTTATGATGAATGAATTTGGGCGCCTCGATCTGACCTGTGCCGGTACCTCTTTGGTCCCTAACGGTCCTGGTTATGGCGATATCAACTCTCAGGTATGCACATTGTCCGGTAGTCAAGCCGGCTCCACCTTTGTGTCCGGCTCTGATTACATCCGTATTGGATTCTCCTACCTGACGAGCGATCTCTGGCGGAACTGGGGTATCAGTGTTGTTCTTATTGTTGCATTCCTGACAGCCAACGTGTTCCTCGGAGAATACGTCAAGTGGGGTGCGGGAGGCCGAACGGTGACTTTCTTCCTTAAGGAAGACAAGGAGCTCAAGGAGCTGAATGAGAAGCTTCACGTGAAGCGCGACAAACGAAACCGCAAAGAGGAAGACACTGATGCAAGCTCCGGCTTGAAGATCACCTCTAAGGCTGTGCTTACCTGGGAGGATCTCTGCTACGATGTCCCGGTTCCATCTGGACAATTGCGTCTGCTGAATAATATCTATGGATTCGTCAAGCCAGGGCAGCTCACGGCGCTCATGGGTGCCTCCGGAGCTGGTAAGACAACACTTTTGGATGTGCTCGCAGCCCGGAAGAATATTGGTGTCATTGGGGGCGACAAGCTTGTTGATGGCAAATCGCCTGGCATTGCCTTCCAGAGAGGCACTGCGTATGCAGAGCAACTCGATGTCCATGTAAGTCCTTTTTTCTAGATCGATCGACATTGCGAGCTAATCGTATCCAGGAACCTGCCCAGACTGTTCGCGAGGCTCTTCGCTTCTCTGCTGATCTACGCCAACCCTTTGAGACTCCTCAGGAAGAAAAGTATGCATATGTCGAGGAGGTCATCTCTCTTTTGGAGATGGAAGATATGGCAGACGCTATCATTGGAGATCCGGAGACAGGTCTTGCCGTCGAACAGCGTAAACGTGTGACAATCGGAGTCGAACTGGCTGCCAAGCCCGAGCTCCTCCTGTTCTTGGACGAGCCCACTTCAGGTCTAGATTCCCAGAGTGCCTTCAACATCGTTCGATTCCTGCGAAAGCTAGCTGCAGCAGGGCAGGCAATCTTGTGTACGATTCACCAGCCGAATTCGGCTCTCTTCGAAAACTTCGACCGGCTTTTGTTGCTTCAACGCGGAGGCCAATGTGTCTACTTTGGAGATATTGGCAAGGACGCCCACGCACTTCTCGACTACTTTCATCGCCATGGTGCAGACTGTCCGCCGGATGCTAATCCTGCTGAGTGGATGCTTGACGCTATAGGCGCTGGCTCGACGCCCCGTATTGGCAAGCACGACTGGGCGGATGTATGGCGAGATTCAGCCGAATTTGCCCAGACCAAGGAAGAAATTGTCCGCATGAAGAGGACTCGTATCGCTGAGGTTGGTGCTGCTGAGCCTGTGGAACAGAAGGAGTAAGTATTACCCTGGTACGACTCGATATGTCTTACACATAAAGACTTCGTACTATTTCCACTTTCCTGACTTAACTGACTTCGTATCTGCGCGTCTAGGTATGCCACCCCACTGTGGCACCAGATTAAGAAAGTCAACAAGCGCCAGAATCTGGCTTTCTGGAGGACTCCGAACTACGGCTTTACACGTCTCTTCAACCATGTCATCATCGCGTTGTTGACCGGATTGATGTACCTCCAGCTCGATGATTCCCGTTCCTCGCTCCAATACAGGGTCTTCGTAATATTCCAAGTCACCGTGCTGCCCGCCCTCATCCTTGCTCAAGTCGAACCGAAGTACGCCGTCGCCCGTATGATTTCCTACCGCGAACAGATGGCCAAGGCTTATAAGACGTTCCCGTTTGCGCTCTCCATGATCATCGCCGAGATGCCTTACAACGTTCTGTGCGCTGTCTGCTTCTTCTTACCGATCTACTATATTCCTGGGCTGAATCCGGCTTCATCTCGCGCCGGATACCAATTCCTTATGATCCTTATCACAGAAATCTTCTCTGTTACTCTAGCGCAGGCCCTCGCTGCGCTCACCCCAACTCCCTTCATCTCCTCGCTCATCAACCCGTTCGTTATCGTCATCTTCGCCCTCTTCTGTGGTGTCACTATTCCAAAGCCACAGATCCCTGGTTTCTGGCGAGCCTGGCTCTACCAGCTCAACCCGATGACTCGTCTCGTTGGCGGCATGATTGTTACGGAGCTCCATGACCGGAAGGTAGAATGCACACCGGTCGAGTTGAATACCTTCAACGCGCCTAAAGGACAAAATTGTGGAGACTATATGAGCGACTACTTCAACAACGGCGGTCCGGGCTATATTGTCGATAACGCTACCGATTTTTGCCAGTACTGTGCCTACAAGGTTGGCGACCAGTTCTTCGAGCCCCTTGGTCTCTCGTTCAACAACCGCTGGCGCGATCTTGGTATCATGGCGGCTTTCATTGGCTCTAGTCTCTTCATCCTGTTCATGGCAGCTCGTTATCTCAACTTCAACCGCCGGTGAGCAAACCTGCTCCAAAACTCCCGTATATCCTACGTCCGATTGGCTAGCACGCCGCTGCACTGTACGCTATCGCAGCTGGTCCTTAGGGTCAAGCCTCAGTGCGTGCGCAAACTCCGCTGTCGTTGCACCGAGATCACCCTGCAGCCTGCGACTACTTATCGGACATCGCAATGTGTATGCATTCAGCACAATGCAGGTCACAGTTCCGTACTCGCGATTGTTGCGAACCAAAGGGCCTTCGTTCTTAATAGATTTTCTAATGCGGTGTTTAAAACGCTCTTCTTGAAATGCTTCCCAAGAGCCTTTCATACTTTCACTGCTAGATGTTTTGCTTCAGCGCGCGAGCTATTATAAAATTGACTGTACTACATTGGGCGGCGTTTGTTTTCACAGCTTCATGGGGAAGAATAGACATTCCCCATGCTTCTAAGTAGTCAAAACCTTGTAATTGCCTATGTATTGCAGCATACACTGTGCCTCCGTGTACGCCTGATGAACCTAAAAACCTGTTGTGATAAGGGGATTAGCAGATCTGCATTCCACCCTGAAGCTGGAGCGAATGCGGACATTCAAATGCTTAGTGAACTCATGGGAGGGCTGCAAGGGAATAATAGCAGAGCAGTGTGTTGCACATGTTACAGCGTACTGAGTACTTGCATACTTCACACGTAGGTCAAGGTATTCTCATATGTCCAGCGCTGGCCTACGCCTGATTTTTGAGACTTCGTTATGATAAACTTTACCTTGTTTGTAAAACACATTACTGACCTGCCAACTTATACCCAAATCCAGCTACAGCGCGCACTGAAGCAATATAATATGGCACCGCGATATTTCCATAGACCGTTCCTAAACCGCAGCGTGGATGGACTCCCAACCTTTTCTACGAGTCTTATAGTTGTAACACGCACAACCGTACGATGGGTCGAACCGCCTAGCACTCTCAAGTGGGTTGCTTCGCGAAGTACAGAGGCAGCACCGACCCAATCGCGACTTGCGTTGCACGTGGCTGGTGAAAGCGATTTCGAGTGGAATCAACCTACAGAGACCGACAGTCAACCCAGCAACGAGGTAGCCGCTCCAGCAACGTCGTCGCCACCGTCATTCCTGCATGGCATTGCATCAACTTTGCACGAGTCCAACAACCTTGCGCACACTCATTATCAGGAAGACGATCTGACTTATCCACTCACCCACTACGACCACCGCGCCAAAAGACCGACCACTCCCACCGCCATCTCGGACCAAAATTTCAATCCGCCTGCACCCTTCGAAAGTATGGAGGGTGGTGGGTTTGAGCTGCCGGAAATCCCGCTCTCTGTGCAATACGTCTTATTCGCATGTCTAGGCTTAGGCGCACTATGGTCGGTGCTTGTGTGGTTGATCGCCTCGCCACCTTCAACACCAAGTAAGGGGACACACAAGAAGAAGACAAGCGAGAAGAAGACCGGAAGACGGATGTGGTGGAAGTTAATCTGGGGACATCAGCATGTGGTACGGCAGAGGCCCGTGGACATGCCTTCAACATACGCACCGCTACCATCGGGTTCTTCAGGTGGGACGACTTCGAGCAGCACGAGTGAAGGGACGGCTACGATCGCGACCACCTCCGCAACACCAGAGCGCACAAATAAGTCTCCAGTACGTCTTCGCAAGAGGACCCCAGCCGCAGAACGACAAACACCGCCCTCGCCGTCCCTCCCACCGTGGGAGTCCTCTACCCCACCACCTGTCACCGTGTCTACTATACACAACCAGCATCAACCTTATAACAGCTTATCACCACCGTCCTCACCAGCAAACCCCTTCCTCCCACCACCCGTCAGCCCCCGCTCAAGCTCAGAGTACCTCGCCGCGCACCACGCTTTCTTCTCAAAGCCTCTGCCGACGCCTCCACCGCCAACACCACCTCGCCGCTCTTCACATGCGTCGCCATACCCAAGCCGCTCATCCTCGCCTGTTTCGGACCTCGACGCTCTTGAAGCTCAGAACGGAGACCCGAGAAAGCGGTCCCGCAGCACACACAGCGTCCTGCATATTGCGGATGGGGTCGAGAGAACGGGTGAGAAGCTTTGGGCAGGAAATTGGGTGGGTGTTGTGGAGGAGGGGGTAAACAAGATGGTCGATGCGGTGGTGAGATGGACAGACGATGATGGGGGTGAGGAGGGGTTGCTGTTGCCGGTGGGGATGCGGGAAGTGGGGAGAGAGTGAGTCTGGAAGGTGTGAGGGAGAATGTGAAGAGGGAGATGCCTGGATCGTATGTTTGACTGCCGTCTTCGTCTACTTGTGTCACTTAGCATGTGACGCCAAAGGACTTGTAGAGTACTATGAGGTTCTTTATTGTTCTGGATTAGGAAGGTCTACTTGCACTTTTGACGTTTTGTGTCACATGCTACATGTAACTTTTAAGCCTCAGCTAGTCTGCATTAGCGAGACTAAAGATCTATTGACTGCTCCGCTGGAGAACATATCGCTTACAGTCTCCTTCTTCTTTCGCGATGTTGAGCATCATACTGGAAGCGACCAGGTCAATTATACGTGCATTACGTAACGATACGTTACTGTGCCACGGTGCGCCCGCCGACGCAATCCACCTTCAAATCTCGTTCACGATGCCGTGTCCTGGGACACCTTCCGGACGAGGTTTGTAGCATGCTTGGCGACAAAGGTTTTCCCACATGCTGGCTGTTTCGGCGAAAAGTCACCATTTCGTCGAGTTGCCTTGCTCTTGGAGCTCAGGGGGCATCCATGACCCAACATCCCCGCCTGGCAAAGCCAATCTCGCGCGGCCTTCCTCAAATCGACTTCAGGGGGACCGACGGGAGGCACATCACCTCTGCCGGCCCTCCATGATTTGGATTCCTCCGGCAACGGCATTCGAACTTAGCCCCAGCCCTCAACGTTTCAGCCACGGCACGGTAGCTCTCCCGTGCGCCATTCCTAGCTCTTCGTACGGGCCGCGAAAGAAGCAAATATAGACGGCACGGCTGTGGTCTTGGCAACCACAACAACATAAAGCAGCGCTGTTGGAAAATTCATGGAGGCCATTGCTGAAGCTAAGCAATGCCACGTGCGGGAAAAGGTTGAAGACCAGGGTAAATGTGATGTCGGAACAATATCAACTGTGACATTTGAAAGGCATCGCGCAAGGGTGACCGTTGAACGCTGGCGCACCATTTCGTTTTTGGGTGGCTGTTGACGTGGCGTTTCTGACGTTGTTTCATGATCGGTTCCATGTAGTCTGTACAGCCAGGCATAGCACTAGCCAGCGACCGTGAACATGTAGTACCTAGCTACATGTTCAGTCAAGAGTTTGGAGCCCGTATGGAGACCTGGGTTACCCCAGGCTATGCACAATGCAGTGCCCAGGAACATGAGTACTCGCGTAGCGATATAGAGTGTTGATGCAAGGTATGCGGACATCAGGAGTCGGTGCGACGGAAATTTGGGCTGAATAGGAGCATGCCGATTCTTCCATGCTCATGATCTCCAATAGCCTGCAGCATCGGAGTACAGCGACCCTGTCGCTGAGAATTTCCCCGGGCGGTTCCAGAGCGACCGAATTCGGCTAATGATGCGGCGGTACCTGCAGGACATTCACCGCTTCTCCGCTGCGTAAGCTAGACTGTACGCAACGGTTCGGCTGCGCATCGAGGGAATATGGTAGCATGAAGCACCATCTAGAGCGAGATTGATTCTGTGGCGATCATGCACGTATACTGATCGTACGTAGTGCCACCAGAGTCTGCTGTGGTAGCGAGGCTATTGAAATCCCTGCGATATTAATCAGGAGGCTCAGGTCGTTTAGACTGTTGAGATGCAAAACCGAGAAACAAACGTTGCCAAGACTGCTAAATGAATGAACTGTAAGAGGGAGGATCTCGACCATCCTTCGTATCTGACGTTGAATTATTGTGGGGAGCAGACCCGGTCAGTGGGTTAGGTATCGCAGCGATGCTTCCTGTAGCTGGGATGGACCTACATCATTGCCTTTGCAGGATGATGGCGTGACCTTCAAAGCGAAGTGTACGTACTGGCATAACTTGTTGGGACGATGCATCGTCTATGCATCATTCGAACGGGCCGGTTGGCACCTTCCGCAAAACTTTGCTCAGTATGTATGTTCGAGAGGGCAGACGGCTACGCAATCCGTGCATATGCAGTGGCCAGGGTTGAAGATGAGAAGTACGTAGGATGGGCGTCAACAAGTACCGAGGAGACAGTAGCGAATCCTAACGGCCCGACAGGAAAACCGCGAGAGCGCATTGAGAACAGCGGACAGGAAGAAGAAGAATCAATATTGGTAGTTTGAGTACCAATACACCTGGACATTGCAGTTGGAGATGTTTCACGTACGTATGCAAAAGCTGGTATATTGCAAGCGGCTGCCAGATTGTGCCCCATAGTGAGAAGAGGCATCACTGCCGGTCGCCTGACAAATCGCCAGATTCAACCATGAGTATCCCAAGATAACGACTGAGCCGATAATTGAGGCCCGCGAACGCGTCGTACAGATGTCTAAGAGAGACAGTAGGGTGCCGAAGCGTGGATGGTGTTTCGGCGAAGGCCTCATGCTGCAGGTGCGGGTCGGCATTGTGCTACTTTGCTTTAGCCATGTTGGGGCTAGCGGAAGCATGACATGGAAGGCGCGCCCCGCCCCCACCAAAAATTTCTCGAGTGAGGACAAGTGCGATGGAGGGCAGCCAGGTTCCGCAACACACCTACAGACCCAACAGCCACTATGGACGAAGACACTGTCGACGAGATCCTGTACCTTGCGCGTGCCAACGAGGTCAATGAGCTGTCGACCTACCTATCCAATGTCTCAGCCCACTCGAAACAGTCCAAGGCCGCGCTGGTCGCTGCAGCGGCAGATCCCTACTCCAAGAACACGGCATTGCACTACGCTGCTGCGAACGGACATGTTGGTATGGACATTCCTTCTTTAGATGTATTGGGTGTCTCGGCGAGCTAGATGCTGACTGCAGAGCGCAGACACGATGAAGCTTCTCTTCTCTCTTGAAACCGGCAAGGCTTCGGCGCCTGCGTCGGGGCTTATCAACGCGATAAACGATGCGGGCAACACCGCGCTGCATTGGGCTGCTCTCAATGGACACCTCGAATGTGTAAAGCTACTGGTTCAGGCCGGTGCCGATGTCACGATAATCAACAAGGCTGGCCACGACGCCGTATTCGAAGCGGAGATCAACGACAAAGGCGACGTGGTCGAGTGGCTGCTTGGGGCGGTCGAAGAGCTGGAGAAAGGTATCGGGCAGGCAGGCGAATCATCAGGCGGAGAACTTCGGTTCGCGATGGGGGCCGCTTCGCAAGGCGAGCCAGCCCTGAACGGCTCCAGTGGGACGAGTGCCGAAGGTCCAGTGGAAGACGTAAGAAGGCAAATGGACAATATGGATACCAAGGACGCCTCAAAAGACGGTTGAACGGCCTAAGGATAGACGCAATCCCAGGATCGTATATTGCTCACCACCCCTACACCCTGCCCCAATGAACGACGTTGTTCGGAACGGTAGGATCTGAAGTGTAGCACCGGGAGCCGGGAAGCCTGCCACGTGGGCCCCGAACGTGGGGCGAAAGAAGGTGATGTGGCGTGGGCGAGTAGGCTCAGACGACCGCATGCACGAGAGTCAGAGAACTGCGCTACCAACGGCGATGTGAACAACATGATGAATTGGTTCTATCATGAGATAGCAAGACGTAGATACGCCAGACTCTCAAGAGCTCTCAAATAAATCGCCTGCTATGAACCCACTATGTGTCGCTAGGTCTATGCCTCTCGTGGATGACATGCCGTAGTATGTGCGACGTAGCAAATGAACAAATACAAATCAAGACGGCGGCAAGGAAAGGAAACATCCGCCTAGCTGTTAATACAGAACCTTTTGATATGCAAATGCAATGGTTCTTCAAAGAATGAGGCTGACCCACCAAGCCTTGACTTCGTGGGCGAGAAATACAATAGTTTTCTCCTGGCTCAAGCTGACCCGCCGAGACTTGTAGACGTAGCCTGGATGCACTCACTATGGCCTGCATTAGTACTAGACATCATTCAATCGTCGCTCATCTCTAATATTTCTTACCGCCGGATCTTAGTCTCTAAGCCATGCGCGGCGCTTCTCTTCTTTTTTGTCGCGGCGCTTCTCCTTGAAAGCCTTCAACTCCTGCTTTGACAGGCTCTTGCCGCGACGCTCAGCCTTCAGGCTGCGGCCATCATGGCTGTTAGCCGCGGCGTCGACGTCAAAGAAGGCACTCATCTGGCGCTTGCTTTTGTTTTCATCATTGTGGTAGTCCGGGTTCATTCCGGCCTGCTGAAAACGGCCAGTGAAGCGATTGAACTGGGCAGTCGTGGAATAGTCACCGGCGTTTGGGTCTGGAAGACCTGCAGCCGCAGCAGCCGCGGATACAGCAGCAGCTTGCGCTTGCTCCTCTTCCTGTTCGGCTTCCCGAGCATAATCTGCATTCGGATCATAGTCGCCATGGATGGCGGGATTGTAACCACCGTGTTTGCGCTTAGGCGGAGACGAGGTGCCAGGTGCGCCAGAGCTGGTCGCGGGGGCAACGGTTGAGCTGTTCACGTATCTGCGGCAGGCACGGATTAGGATAAGAAGGCAAACAAGATAGTAATAAGTTGTTAGCAAACCTGTCGTACGATCCGTAGTCTGGAGCGGTGGCTTGTGGCAACCGAGGATTCTCCCATTGAGCCTTGCCCGTCAGGCGGTTGTAGAAGTAGTGGCGTTGTGCATTGTAGTCCCACTCATACGTCCATCCATCATCCTCCGGGGGCGCTTCGTCGGGCAGCGGAGGCGCTTCATCATCATAGGGTAATGGTTGTTCGCCTTTGGCCTGCAAAGCAGTCGCAATCTCCCGATCGTGGCTCGAGGACTTGCGGGGTCTGGGTAGCGAGTCGCTCAGCTGAGAATCAGCGTCGCCAGCGTACGGGCTCTGGCCTTGTTCAAAATCAACTGCGGCATTGTTGTTTGGCGATTTCTCGGCTGCGACAGACGCAGGGCCCTTCTGGCCATCCTCGGCACCTCCCGATGTCATCGCAAATATTCTGTATTATGACGGCACTAATACTGGTGAGAAGAACCCAAGTAGAGTCGACGCCGACGGCGGGCGCGCGCGTGATATAGAGGGTGGACGTGGTGAGGTGGAGCTGCCTCGACCTCCAGTCCGATCATTCCTGTTTCGCAACCGATTCTTAGTCATCGAAAGGCTTGGCGTCGACACACACGTGACGTAACTTCCAACTCTACAACCGTAGAACGATGAACAGTGACGCCTCCACAGCACCAAAACGAACACGGTCTCGCCAGCACCGCCTACGACCCGCTGTCTTCGTGCGGCCAACTCCATCTGGCGCTCATCTGCCGGCACGGCACCGGAGACGTTCGCTCTCGCTTTCACACTTCATGCTGGAACCCACCAGCTGCATCACAGGCCACGGCGAAGGATGACCTCGATGATGTGTGGCGCCGCCTACAGGCCACTAAGGAGCGACAGCCGGCACCTGAGCTGCCCGGCCGCTTCGATAGGCCGGCACCAGCTCGCGTAGGGCAGCCAGTTCATTTGGCCTGTTCGGATGGAGGCGCTACCTCGAAGACAGTTTCGAAGGACCCGAGGGCCGTGAGCTGCCTGCTTAGCGGGCGTATTATCCGCTGGCATGCGCATAAAGTGGCATGCATGCGTCCCCGACATGCAAGAAAGACGGCTGGGATGCCGTTGGGGTCGAGCTCCACTCGACGGACGGCTCTTGGACGCGCTCCCGAACGATCTGACGCCGCTTTACAACCTGTCTGCGTGTCCTGTTCGCGAGCCGCTCTTACGCACGACAGGGCGTGCCGTGCTGCGGGGTCTGTGGCCTCCAGACGCAGCGGAGGAAGCACCAGTCTTCACCACATGCCGCCGTGCATGCGTTCAGGCCGCCGCGCAGTCAGAGAATGTGCATCGGGGCACTTTGAAACTAATCTATGTGAAGCTTATTGGGGCTTGCCGTTCTCATTTCAAGCCCGTCTGCAGCTGCAATTCTCGCGGGATTTTGCCGCAATAACATCAAGCCTGTTCGCTGCATCCCGCCCTCGCTGCATGATCGGCACCAGTGGCCTGCGGGAGCGCTCGCGGTTGGCCAGCGCCCAAGGCCGTTGTTGGAGCGAGATCTGAGGGCTGAGCCATGAGCAGCTCATCCCAACCGCCACGCGCATCAAAGTCCGTATAGTACCGCTGCGCCTGCAGCTGCCTGCACCTCACACGTCGGCCAGACACACCTCAAGCACCGGGTGCCCCGTGAGCAGCACCCCTCTGCCCGTCACCACACGGTATCGTCGCCAATATTGCCCGCCCGGGCCATCCTTCACTCGGCTCTCAAACACCAAGAGCTCCACGTCCATGTCCCTGGCAGAACTTAGTTCACTAGGATATTAGCCCTGCCTTGAGCACGTCCCCTGCTCGTCCCCTGCACAGCTGGCTGTCGTCTCTACCGCTGCACGGATTCGCACGGGTTCCCGTCTTCATCTTGCTCTCCTACCCGGTATTAGTCTATCAAATCTATTGCCAGTCCTAGCCTGCCGTCTGGGACGCCCTTCCTTGTGCCCAGCCTGCCTCCGGAGCCGTGCCGCAAAACTGTGCCCGTGTGCCTGTCACTCTTCCCGAGCTTAGGCCCCTACGGTGCTCCTACACGCACATCCCGTACATGCCTCTTCGGCTGTGGTCAAGGAGTAGCCGGAGGGGTGGACGTCAGCCCTGCACGGACTGGGTAGTTCCGTTGGCGCTTTCTCTGAACCTTGCCATCTTGCAGACCTCAGTGCGGGAACTCGTTACAATACAGACGCACGCAATCGTGCTTCTGCAGTCCTTTGGCCACCTTCCCGACCTTCTCCTGCGAGTACTGCCTCCATGTGTCCGATCGTTTGACGGCGAGCTGGTGCCGTGCCTGCATCAGAGTGAAGGTTAGCCTGTGCCTGCATCCAAAGTGCCCTAGTTTATATCTTGTATTGTTCCTTATCGCTCCATGTGGCCTGCCAACCAATGTATCGTGGAAGCCATCCCACCTCGGCCGTCGACCGTCCATCTTCACCTCCCCCAACTATGCTTACCGACATGAACCGCCTGCCTAGTATACCCTCGCGTCCAGCGCAATTTCAGCCACATGCTTCTGACAGTCCTTACCAAAGAACCAGTGTTCCACCATCACGGCCCGAGATTCCATCGCAACATCATCGTCCCCGGGATCCCCAGGGAAGTCAAAATCATGCGCAGCAGCTACCAAGCCTGCGAACCCTCCTTGAGCCAGAACTACTCGAGAACAAGACCTCTGAACAGCTCCCGCGGCCTGGTGGCGCACAACTACTCCATAGCATCTCTGGGAGGTATGGATCCGCGAGCCCGACCTTGAAAAGACGGCATGATTTCGACAGTTACAGCCACGATAATCCAGAGAGTCATGCCCTCGCTTCTCGAATACCACCCGTGCATCGTCATGCCCAATACACCGCTAGCAGCGACAGCCAACCGGCCGCCTTCTCGACCTCAAGTCCCCACCATAGGTCCCAACCGTCGGAATCCTCACGTTACAGCAGTTCTTCTGGAACAATGTATTCCAATTCCACCACTAAGATACTCCGTCCACCATCGGCATTTTCGGCGCTAAGTGCATGCTCAGAACCTGGAAGAGCGTTTTTGGGACACGTTCAACTTCACGCTGATCCTATGGATCCAGGCAAGCCAGTACGAAGGCGCACAGAAGGATCATCACGCACTCCAATAAGATCGAAACATTGCCTAGGCCAGCAGGAAGTAGCTGGAGAAGGCTTGTGCTACGTCTTTGACGACGGAAGTTTCTGTCGGGTCGTCATTGATGGAGAACCGGTCAATCCATCTTGGGGCATTACCAAAGCTGGCAAACCGAGAAAGCGGCTTGCTCAAGCCTGCCTTACATGTCGCGAGAAGAAAATTAAGTGCGAGCCTGGCTATCCCAAATGCCATCAATGCGCCAAATCACAGAGAGCCTGTCGAGGGTAAGTGGCCTTTCCGTACTGTGTACAACATCTCTTCTCGACCACATCCCAATATGCATGAAAGTATCCATCCGGAGCACCTAATAATGCATTCACTTCTGCTCATGTGACAAATACTGACTGGGTGTAGTGGTCTTAATCAACCAGGCATAAGTAATGCCTCGGGAGAAACCTCACCGTCCTCATCGTCTGTACTATTTAAGAACCAGTCAAGCGAACGTTTAAGCCCAGTGGCTGGCCCCGACAAATCCAAAGCTTTTGAGCAGCAATATTCCAAAGCAGTTGAGACTTGGAACACAGGTCCTTCTTTCAAACCTCGAACCTTGCGGCCCAACTCAGTCGCTACCTCAAGAGACATGTCGGTACACTCGATGGATTCGGATTGGAGTGGGTCAGTAGCCAACCAGGACCCGGATGACCTTAGACGTGGATCGCACCAGGATCAGCTGGCCATACAATGGGAGCAAGACCCGTACGATACGGATCCGAGGCTTACAATGCACCTACTGGATCTTTACTTTCTTCATGCTGGACGTGCAACGTACGGAATGTTTCCTCGCAGGTCTTTCCTTGCTTGGGTGGAGACCAATCGAGAAAAAAACCAAGACCATCTTATGCTGCTTTATTCTGCTCTTGCCATGGGCTCTGTATTTTCCACAGACGTTGAGAAGCGAAGCGCTGGAAAATGGTATGCCGCTGTTGCTGCATATGCCCTAGAAAAGCGATTTGGCAGGTTTACCCTTCAATTGTGTCAGAGCCGATTGATTCTGGGTCTGTACAACTTTGCTCGTGGCAAGTCTCAAGAAGCATGGGATTACTGCGGAGCCGGGCTGCGTGCTCTCAGTGCGCTGAAGCTGAATTCCGAGGACGGAATCAAGGAGCTCCCAGAAACCACGGCCGATACACCTTATGGATTCGACCGCTTGACCCTGGAAGAATGTTGCCGTCGCACCTTTTGGTCCGGATTCTTGATGGATGTAAGTTCAACTGCGTTCACGGCAACCACCACCCCTGACCTAATGCACCAACAGCGATATAATGGTTTCTGCGGTGGTACCCTTTGCGTCATCAATATCGAGGACACTTTTCTACGACTTCCCTGCCTAGAGAATATGTTCGAAGCATCCACGCCATGCGATACCCCCTTGTTCGACTTCGATATCTTGGATCACCAGGCGTACTCCGGCCCTCCCTTGGGACACATGGCCTACTTGACTTTGATCTCCACAATTTGGGGCGATGTGGTGACTTTTACCAGCCGTGCCGTGCATCGCCCTGGAGCTAGCTATGAGCGACTCTATGAAACTTTCTACGCCAAGACATATGAGCGATTGGAGGCATGGCTTGAGTTGCTGCCGGTTGGCCTTAGGGTAAGTTATTCTAGAATGCGTGCGCTCGAGGCATTCGCTAATAGTGCCTCGCCTCAGTACACTCCTCAAAACCTAGACAACAGTATTGTCGAAGGCTCTGCAGGATCATTCGTTTCCCTTCATGCTCTGTATCGCACCACTATTATTCGTCTCAACCGCCACATTCGCTTGTCTGCGATGTCCCCTGAAAAGGTCGGTCGCAATATCGAACAGGCCTTCTATCATGCAACGAATTTTATACATATGATGCATTCGCTGGCGCCTGAAAATCGTCGCCAACGCTTGCCTCCGACGGCCGCCACGGACTATCTCTTCTCCACACCTTTTCCAGGCTACGCTCTTATGCTTTCGATAGATGTTGTTACCGCCGCCGGCACGGTCACGGCTCTTCCGGGCCTTATTGAGACGCTTGGCACGGCAAGCTCATGCATTGAAGAGCTTGCAGGCTTCTGGGCATCGGCTCGCACGCAACACAAAGTTGTGGCGAATCGTTTGAAGCACCTCACGAAAACCGCCATGCAAGAAGAGCAGGGTATCCGGAACGGTACGCTTGGTCAGTTTTGGAGACTGCCCGAGAGCTTGGAGGCCGCATTCGGGAACGACGATGCTGTGTACAAAGCGGATCAACAGCTAGTGTTTGAGGTTCTGAATCGGCTTACCAGCACAAGATATTGACGGTCCGCGTAAAGCGTCCGTCCGCATTATCATGCAAGAACAGCCGGGCGCGAATACGGTTGTCCCCGACCAATTTGGGGGTTCTTCGAGTATCTTGATGCCGGATCTGGAAGCCATAATGCTGTGTGCACAATTAACGGCAGTTATGTTCGAGATCGTCAATAGGTTCGCGGAAGTTGAGTAGCGTTCTCGTCTTGGCGGTGCCAGCTTCGACTCTCCGCCAATGAGAGCTTTTGCAATGCGACCACAACATACACCACCATGCGACCGGGCAGCGCGTGCTCTCTTTGGAGATTCTCGCATACATGCTTACAGCACAACATATGGGTGTTCCCGAAGCCCGCACACCGATCTGCACGTGGGCATAAGCTTCGCATAAGATCGACGCCACGATATGTATTCGCCCACCGAAAAGTCTACCGCAACGCCGGACGGAGCACGACGACAAACGTACTTAATTCGCTGTCCCACCTCCCCGGGACTTTCCATAGTCTGAAACGTTTCTCCTACTGGTGGCTTTTGTGTAATGTTAATGTGTACTTTATAGTTGCTTTCCTCTTATTTTCTTCCTTCATACTATTACGGCTGCTACTGTTCATTTCTGGGGTTCAGTGGATATACTGTATAATATGGTCACCAAAAACAAGCTCGTATTTGGAGTCTGTGGATAATCAGCAGGAGCTGCAAAAGTATTGGAAAAGGAACGATCGGCACCGTTAAAACGAAATTACTCAATTCTTCTTCACCACATGCACTCCGCACTTCAATGCCCTCACCTCCGCATAGCAGCTATCCGACCCAGCATCACTAAATGCAAAGCTAAGAACTCGGCATCGATATGTGATTATTATGACCAGGACGCGCTTGAAGGTTGAACAGGTCCCAATGTCATGAGACACATGTGACGTTGAAGTGTTTCATGGGCAAACGGAGATTAGAAGGGGTCAAGGATGGGAGAAGAGTCGCGAAAGCTTCTAGAGTGCTTCTACAATGCGATGCGTTCAGGCGTGTGATCCTGAGCAATGTCTCGCTTTGGTATGATAACTTATCTCCAGTAAGACGTGACCGAACGCACTGCTGCGGCTGTAACTTAAAGCGAATGTCCCTCGCATTGAACCTCTTGGTTCTTTTACTCTTTTGACTAGTTTTTGCATATCCAACACCAACCAATCCATTCCCAAATTGGTCCCACTTCTCTCAACTCGTTTCCAGGCTGTCCTACGATTATTCACCTCAAATTTACATTACTCAACGAGCCTCCCCGCTTTCAAGCATCCACTTCCCACACATTGCACCCAACCTTGAGTCATTCAAATCGGTTTCCGCTTTTTTAAGCTAATCTCTACCTCTCCAACTCGACTTTGTTTCAGGACAATGTCTACTTTGAACTCACATTCATGTGCTTCAATATGTCCTTCAACACCTCGACTCGATTCCCAGTTGGCCGATACTTATGTAGACCGATCCCGGCTTTATGTCATTCGACGTGGCCCATCGCTTGACACCACAGCATAACCGCTTTCAAGACGAACCGTTCAGCCGACCTGTGCATGATATGTAGATTCGGGATCAAGGAAACACGTAGACTGAATAGTCGTCAACTTCTGTTGCGAGAGCGTCGGAGAATGAGCCTAGACAAGCGTTCATTGGATACTCATAACACTCAAGCACTAATTTTCAAGGTCGAGCATCGTGACGCTGTACTAAACCACAGCTGCGCCAGCTCAAGGTATACACTCATTTAGCAATGCTCGCCAAAGGAAAGGCAGTGCCTTCGTTTCTTTCCATTTCATCCTGAAGTAACGCCAAACATGATGGGTATCACAAACACCGTCTGCGCCCAGATAATCCCTTTTGTAAGTCCCCTCTGGCTCCCCGACCCTCTACCCTATGCCCAAAGCACTGCACCCAGCCACGTCCTTCACTACCCTACAAACCCCGCAGCCGCATTCTCCCTTTCCCGTGCCTCCCACCCACTATCCGCACTATGCGCGAAGGCCTGTTGCACCGCAGGTCGCGGCTTACTTGCAATGTCCAGCTCTGCGAACCTTGGCCTAGCCAACGTGATGTTGATGCGCGCAGCATTGAAGATCTGCTCGCTGGGCGGTATGGCAGCGGCAAGGTTCGTATTCTCGGTGAGCCGCGTGATGAAGAACATGAAGCGACCAGTCTTGATTTGCATTTCGGCGAAGTTTGCGCTGCCGGCTGGGATGCCGGTGTGTTTTCTGTTAACACATGAGTTAGTCAAAGGTCATGAATATGCGGTGGAGGACGTAATTGGGAATACGTACGCCATGCTTTGCTTATGCGTCTTCAGAATAGACGAGATTCGTTCAAACCTGTCTGAGAAGGGGTTGTCGGCTTCCACATCCCTCGTCACATGCGTAACCATCAAGCACGTCGTCCTCTCGTACAGTATCAACTCCCTTGCCTCCACTACCTCCGCTAGCTCCCTCAGCAACCCCTCAATACTCCTCGCATTCGGGATCAAGAAGTAAATAATCTGCGTCCACGCCTTGTACAGACTCTGGTCCCAGATGCTCGTTGCGAAGAACTCTACCGTTGGTGCGAAGCTCTCGGACGCCTGGCGGATGTACTCTGCGCGCTCTTCGAAGAGCTGTTGGCGTAGCCGCGTTTGGACGAGGTCCATTTTGTGGATGAGGACGAAGACGGCGGCCGAGGGGGAGTGCTCGCCGAGGGCGCGAATGATGGATGAGTAGGAGATCACGTCGGCGGCGAACTCGCGGGATTCAATGTCGAAGACGAATATGAGGACGGCGACGGAGCTGAAGACATGGGCGCGTTGGTGCGTGAGGTAGTTCTCGACGAAGCCGTCTTGTCTGTGTATCTTGTTAGTACGCGTGACCTGCTAGATCCACCTTCATCTGGTCTAGGTGTCCTTCAAATGGGAAGAAGTTAAGGTTTCGTACCCTCCGCAATCCCATAGGTTCAACATCAAGTTTCCCATGAACTTGATATTGCTGTGCTCCACATCAATTGTGGCGCCTAGTCGTCTCACATCCTTGGCCACATAGTTGCTAAACACAATGCTGCGCATCGAAGACTTCCCCGCACCGCTCTTTCCCATGAGCAGCACCTTGCGCTGCTTCTGCCGCTTTGTTGTGTTCATCGTGGCTGTCGAGCCTCCTCGCTCATCCCTCCGCTCGCTCAATTAACGCCGTTGTGTCCGGTACTCCTGTGCCTGCTTTGCAGTGAGCTCGACGGACTCAATGCTGCGCAGCAAGGAAGAAACGAAGGTGGAGCTGGTGTTATGAAATCGTGCCGCTGTGGGATAAGCTCGGTGACGTGCACTTTTGGTATCAACACGAGATAGCGGCCTCAGGCGGCATTGCAAGCACGTGAGCTAGTAAGCTTCATTTGGGCTAGCGTGTCGATGACGGCACGGAAGCGGAAGCTGGGATCAGCCGGGATGAACATTGGACATTACCCCTGAACGTGGATGTGAACAGTGCGAGGAACAAGGGAGATGATAAGATTGTCACGCAGGGTGTATCGATTGTTAGTCACATGAACGTGTTGCTAATCGCAACTGTTGATTTGGATAAGACGGGAGAACATATGCACGAGCATCTCACATAGTCGAAGATTGCCTCAGCAGTGTTTAATTCGTGCCCGTTTAGTTGTGCAGTTTGACAGGTTACAATTCGCGGAGTGTTAAAAGCCAGCGTCTATCTCCGCGATGCCGGTAAACATTCCAAACTCTCTTCTCGAACAGGCAGGCAACGCGCGCGTTCAGATCCCACAAAAATACAATCCTCCAATACCGCGTTTTGATCCATCAGAGCAGCTTACGAAGCCAGGAGACCCTCATGATTAATCTACTACATTGCCAATAAAGTTTACAAAATACCATCCTTTGCTGTCTCCTATGTCCCCTTGATGAATTTGGCATTGTACTAAGATGATGAATGCTCGCAAGCAAAAATAATGTAAATCGCGTGTGAAGTGTTTGAAGAAGTCGCACAAGATTTGGGTAAATGGTGCAAGGTGTCCAATGCGCGTACGCAAAAAGCTGGTGCCGGAACACCGCAGAACTTTGTTCCCGGGTAAAAGGAGAAAATGAACATATGAACAGGAATGGGGAATCTCCAAGCGACCGTGCAAATCATGGTTCGTCGGTTGGTCCGCTCACCCTTGCGAGCGAGTGGGACTGTGGGTCGGCCATGGTGGATATACGGAACCGGTTACGCGCTGCCGCTCAGCACAATCGTTAGGTTCGGGAAGAACGTAAAGTAATTCGATACTCGACGACAAAGGAAAGAGAAATAGGGACAAGGGTATCTTAGAAAACAGTGCCGTCGGATAGGATCATGATCGGTGGTTCCTTCGTGTTGGGTCGCGATACTTCAGCGATTTCTCGGCCACCCTGTCATCTGTTAGGATATCAAGCAAAATTGTCGTCAACCTTGACGTACCTTCCAGCTGCCTGCTTCGAGCATTTGAGCCAAGTTCAGTTTGTTTGAACCACTCAGTCCTAGTAAAGAGTTCACCTCCACCAGCAACTCGTCGAGCAACCCTACTGTGACCGCACGCCATTCTACAATGACATCGTCGTCTGCTGTAAAAAGTGGCACCACTTCCATGCTAGGCTGTCCCTTGTTTTGCGCATTTCGCTGGTACTGGGCTAGACCACGCTTCGCGTCTTCGGGTTTTAGTGTCAGAAGCCCCGTGTCAATAAAAAGACCGCCGTTGCGGTATTCTGGCAGGCCCGTGAGGAGATCAGCGCCGGCAAAGTGTACATTGAGCAACTTGGTCATTGGAACCATAAGCGAGTAAGCCAGCCACTGTGTGAGTTTGTGAAACGGTACGATGTTTTCCCAGGGATGCGTAGGATGCGACGGCATGACAGAGCAAGGCCACGCGTCACCGAGAGAGATGCCGTCAATCTGCGTTCGGGTTGCGGGCCAAATTGGAGCCAAACTGTCCATGAGAACGTTCCAGAGGGTAGGGAGAGGGATGATAGGCACAGACGAGGCTTGTGTTGAAGGGTGCGAGAGCAGGAAGTCTGCGTGAAAATCAGCATTCGCACGCGCGATTGATTATATGACACTTACCGAGCATGTTTCCGGGGCGTGCCTCGAGCCCAAAGACCTCTTGATTCTGCAATGCGTCGCCCAGTCGCATGAGCAGACCAGCGCGCCCTTCCAATCCATCGATGACGTTGGCGTCGGTGACCTGGAGTCCTCGCGCCAGCACATTGATATCGAGCTTTTTCAAACCTGCGCTATCGACCTGGCAAGGCTCGTTGGGGTTGCTGCTGAAGATACCAGCCTTGAACATCTCCAGACTAGCAACTGCCAGTCCCTCACTTCTGCGGTAAATCTTCCCAGACTCTTTACTGCGGTACTGCCACTTTGTGCCTGCGCCAGCGTCCAACAGTACGGAAACGAGGAAAAGGTCAATCAAACGACGCGTTCGCTCCTGATTATCGACGGTCGAAGGCCATGAGGCCATGAGCTGGTCAACGCGCGGTCGGCCACCCACATCGAAATGCTGCCACCGGCCGTGAGGAGGGATGGAGGCGTAGTCGGGAGCGTAATCGCGCTTGAAAAAAAAAGTTAGTCACAGAAACAGACGCCGCCAAATTCTTGCTTTGATGATGCATGGTGCCTTACCTTGATGATTGCGACCACATAAGTGGCCGTGTCCTGGAACTTGGCCATATCAACGGTGAAGTGCTTCAGCTGGTTCTTCCTCGCCTTCTCCAAGACCAGGCGAGTCCTCTCGCGGACGGCGTAGATGCTGCGCAGATAGGCGGCAGGGTCGAGAGTTGGGTCTGGTGCTCTTGGTAGAGGCACGTCGGGGAAGCTCATGCGCGACTTCCCATTTGCAGTGGAGGGTGCAGGGGACTTGAGCGAGCCATTGCTCATGTTCGGCTGGCTGCCACCGGGGGAGATTGCTGGCTTGGAGCTCTTTCTGCTGAAGAGACCCATTGTCGCGGCCTAGGGTGAGGAGAGGATACTAGGAATGGGAGGGGGTGCTCGCTGGCCAAAAAAGTCGAGAGGTGTGAAGCCCAGCGAATGCACAAAGAAAGCCAGAGCTCACGCTTCGAGGTGGGCGTAGGCGGGTCGCGGGCGGGCCCAGAAAGTCAAGTCAGTGCGCTGCGGTTAGTGCTGGCTTGGCTCCGCGTAGACTGGGTGACAGGGGCGAGCACTGGTGGGATCTATCCGATGCGGAGACGGAGAGGGTGAAGCTTCCGCAGAATCTCTCGCTGTGAGGGTGCAGCAGACAGAAGACGCCTGCTTGCCGAACCTTAAGGAAGGGAGCTCGACGGGGGTAAGATTTGGCCAGCTGTCTGAGAGGGACGGGAGTGAGTGGTCGCGCCGCTTGCGATGGACCGTTGAAATGGCTAGGGTCCGAATCCACACAAGCGCAGGCACCAGGGTCAGGAGAAGGAATACGGGATGCTCGAACCTCCCGCGGTACCTGGTTGTGCTTTTTCTACACGTCTATCCCCCGGCGCCTGTCAAACCTGACAGCTGTGCAGCGTTGAACGTTACAGGATGGCGTCATCTGTCTACGAGGCGTGCCATAAACGGGCCTGCAGATGCTGTCCCCTTCACAAACCATGTGCTAGCGAAGCAACACTCGATGTGCTTGGGCAACATGCAAACGACCTCTGGAGGACGGCGGGCCTTCCGCAAACCGACTAGCCGTCATGGACATCATCCCACCAAGGCGCACTGCGTTCCAGTTCTGACCACGCGTGCAGCTGGAGCGACGGTGCCCAAGGCGGCTCGAGATTCGGCTCCATGGAGTAATGAAGCTGTCCGAGCCGTGCGAGTCGAGATGAGGGCAACGGGCCGATTTCCAGTAGCTGCAAGAGAGGCCTCGAAGCGCTAAGTGCACTGGGGCCATGGCTGCGGGATGTCCCAGCGTGCCAGGGTTTCGAACAATCGGCATCTCCGCCGCGTAACATGCGTAACCACCTTGCTCTCCGGCACTTCATCGCCCACGTCGCAAACTGCGTCGAGCCTTCAGGAGGCGCGGTCGGCGAGATGCCGATTCCATGTGTCTCGATTGACGCTTGTCCGTCACAAGTCACACACACTGAGTAATTTAGCGCCCCACGAGTCAGCAAAGCACGCTCGCGGGCTCTGGAAGCACCGTTCCAAAGTTTCTAGAAAGCTTTTGACAAGAGCCCACGATGGCTTGGCACCCGTATCCGCGAAACTCGGCGCCCGTGCTTCGCCTGATGCGTAGATCATCCTCACTGACCACGCGTTAACCCGATGGCTGCACACGATTGGCCCTTTGCCATGTGCTCACTACTGGCAAAGGAATCATTCCAATTCGCGCTTCATTGCGCCGACCGACATCAGGGAAGGTCTGTCGGTTGTCCCAACGACCAACGGAATGAAAGCCCTTGTTTTACATAACATGAGCGCTGCGTACAGTACAGGTTGCTGATCAGGCGTCAAGGTGGGCCTATATCTGCCCATTCTGACTTGCGAATCTCCTACAGTGGCATACAAAGCCCAAGCCCATGTCGATCAAGCTCAAACAGGTGGCATGTGATCCATTTATCGCGCACTGTTACTGCAAAGCCAGCGAGGAGACTCAGGAGAATCATGATTGTGCCCTTTCATAGCGGCCACATGCATGTGAATCCAATGCAGAATTAGTGCGCTCTGTCCTGGTCAATGCTTGTCTGAATTCACTACACGTTGCAGATGACTTGCTTTGTGTCCAAGGTGTTGCGGTTGGACTCAAGCTGTGTTGACTGCATGAAAAGGGTCTTTCTGGGGGAGGGGCTGGAAACTGTGGCGGTGCTCGCGCCACAACCACCTCCGACTAGAAGCACAGAGCACGAGATGCAACACGCTGGCGTTTGTGATGTCGTTCGCAACAATCGCTGCGATGATATAGCCACCGCCTGACGCTCGCCGTACACACATACACGTCTCCCAACCTCACACAATGGACGATCTTGCCGGCCTTGACTGGTCGGCCCCTCCAAAACAACAGTCGAGCACGCCGACCGCCTTCCCTCCGTTCCGCCAAAGCCCCGCGCCTCAGCTATCCGGCCGCTCCACGCCTCTCTCTGCGCAGCAATCGGGTGCTGGTGCTGTCGCTGGCGGCAACCGACCCTTCAAAGTGCCCTCCAAGCCTGCAACGCCTGCGAATGACAGCTTCGCCAACCTCATCACGGGCAACAGCTCAAAGTCCGCTACGAGCAACCTGTCCCTCGCGGAACGCCAGCGACAATTGCAAGAGGAAAAGCAGCGCCAAGAGGCAGAGCGGCAGAAGCAATATGATGCGCATTTTGGTGCATCAAGCTCGGCGTTCCTCGATAACCTAGGGAGTGGGAAGAGCACGCCTGAGCCCGCGGCTGCTGGATTTCGGCGCCCTACACCAAGCGCTTCGGCCAGGCAGAACCTCTCAGGCACTATCAACAAGCCGTTCGCCGGCCTCGACACCTCCATCAAGCGCCCCGTACAATCTCCCCCAGCCGATGATGATCTCCTCTCCGCATTTAATGCTAGCGCCCCCGTCGATGCGTCCAGCCATTTCCCACCCCCGTCCTTTGGCAGCGGTCGCAGCACACCAGCAAATGGAACGTATAGCTCACGAGGGCATACTCCAGCGCCGCAAACCTCGAACAACAACTTTGTGAACGATGAGGACGACGATATGTTCGGTCTCAACAAGCTGGCACACAATTCTACCAGTCAGCCTCCACCTGAGTCGGCGCCTGCGGAAGACGATGATATTCTAGGCCTGCTCAGCAAGCCGGTTTCCGAATTCCAGACAAAAGCTGCGCCGGAGCTGAAACCTGAGCCCTCGATGCAACGTCAATCGACACCAGCTGCTGCTAGTCCGCATGATAAAGCCGTTGCTGAGCTTGTTGATATGGGTTTTCCTGCCGAGAAGTCTGCTATTGCTCTGGCAACCACTGAATCGGGACTGGATGTCCAAGAGGCGGTTGGATGGCTTCTCAACCAGGCGCATGCAGAAGCTAAGGAGAAAACCCAGGATCGCAGTCAAGAGAGGCCGCGGCGTAGTCCGGATGAGTTCGACGAGCGGCCGAGACGTAGCGATCCTAGGCAAAAGGCTCGTGATTCGAGCGCTGGCGGGTCTACTCCGGCCTGGATGCGGGGCGAAGAAGGCCGAAGCCGATCTGGTCAACGCAGAACTGAAGGGCAAGGACAGGACAAAGACGTCACGCAATATGCATCCGAGATAGGAACTAGTTTCTTGAAGTCGGCAAATTCGCTCTGGAAAACGACTCAAAAGAAAGCGCAAAGAGCAGTTGCAGACTTCCAACAAGACGGCGAGCACAATATGCCGAAATGGATGAGAGATGCACAGGCCTCTGAGTCCGCAGGTAAATCTCGTGGCAAAGCGCCCGCTGCTGATGTCACTGATGAAGCCATGATGTTGGAAGCTGGTGGACGACCATCTAAACCACCACGACCGTCGGGTACTCCTCGAGATCCAGAGCCACTTCCAGTACGGCCGAGACGGGAGCAGCATGACTTACGCCAAGATATCCGCAACGGACGACCGGACCGCATGTCCTCTCAATCTCCATCTCTACGTCAACAGCCACCACCTCTCGACAAGAGACCTGCTCACAAGCTCACGCGACAGGACCTTGAAGAGCAGAGCCCGCAAGCCTACATCAGCCCATCGAGGCGAAAGAAGACCACGCCCCAGCCAGATCTTTTCTCTACAGAGCAGCCGGTCTCCTCACCTCCGCCTTCTACATCCCGACAATCCACACCGGCACAGTCGAACAATCCTTTCCTCAAAGCAACGCAATCGGCACCAAAAGCCAGAAGCCCTGCGGTCACCCCTCCCCCACCGAGACCGAAGGCCCCGCCACGTCAGATCCCGCCTGCCTCATCCTCAGCGCTCAATCAATCAGCATCTTATCGACAAAAAGGGTCAGAAGCCTTCAAGCGCGGTGATTATGCGGCTGCACATGCTGCATACTCATCGGCTGTCGGTCCACTTCCTGCAACTCACCCTGTAATGATCATTGTGTTGTGCAACCGCGCCGTTACCAACATCAAAGTGGGCGACCCCAAAGCCGCAATTTCCGACGCAGACTCTGCGCTTGCGATCATCGGGGTCTCGAAGGGCGAAGGTGAGAAAATCATCGCCGGTGGCACCGAACCTGATAAAGATATGAAAGAATTCTACGGCAAGGCACTCATGCGGAAAGCCGAAGCGCTCGAAAACATGGAGAAGTGGGCTGATGCTGGGAAAGTCTGGAGAGAAGCAGTCGAGGCAGGTGTTGGCGGATCTATAAGTATTCAAGGCCGTAATCGCTGCGACAAAGCTGCAGGTGGTGGGAACCAAGCGTCTGCGGTGCCCAAACGGGCACCTGTGCGGAAAGTGCCACCGAAACCCTCTGCCATGTCGGATCTTGGTCCAGCCAAGGAGTCTGAAGCTGTCAAGAAGCTCAAGGCTGCGAATGCTGCGGCGGAGAAAGCGGATGACGAGAAGTTCGCACTTTCTGATTCGGTCGATGCCAAACTCGTCGCCTGGAAGGGCACCAAAGCAGACAATTTGCGTGCGTTGCTCGGATCACTTGACAAAGTGTTGTGGCCTGAGGCGGGATGGAACAAGGTCAATATGGGTGATCTGGTCATGCCGAACAAGGTTAAGATCATATACATGAAGGCCATTGCTAAGGTGCACCCTGATAAGGTAGGCTTCCGTACCGTGCGAATTATCATGCACAAGTGTGCTAACACGAGCACAGATATCTCAGTCCGCTACGACCGAGCAGAAGATGATCAGCGCTGCTGTCTTCGCGACTCTAAACGAAGCCTGGGACAAGTTCAAGACCGAAAACGGCCTATAGCCGCAGACGCATACTGCATAGCATTGTTTGGCGTGCGCGCCTCGTAGCGTAGATTTTATAGATTTTGCATGAAACGACTGATGACGTTGATGAAAGTGGCTTCCGCGCATTGTACCCGATAGTGTGGCCGTGAATCGTGATATCGAGACACGCGACATGTTGGTGTGTGGTCCAGAAAGGGCTAGTTCAATTGTACCTGCATTGCGGCGACAAATCCCAGCGTGATACCCCAGATCTTGTGCCTTGGCATTATGTAACGATCCAGCCACTCCGCTTCAACTTCGGGATGAGCGCACTTCGCGCCGTTAATTTAGCATTTTGCTCTCCATCGACCTCGTCAATGAGTCGCATCTTGACCTATCATTATTCGTTGTATCCCATTACTGGAAGCGCTTCGTTATAGCCGAAGTGGGGCGTTCAATCATACAGCAGCCCGCCATTGTTCCCGGAGTCATCGGCCTCCATCACGATTTTTCTACCATAGGCGCCACTTACAAATCTCGGGTCAATTGGGCAACTCCAGGGTAACACAAAGTTTCGCATTGGGTCGATCTCGTCAAGAAAGAGCAAGGTACTGAGGGTGAACGGGAGGAGGAGAAATCGTGAAATTGTGGACGGCTACGTCATAGGCAAATATGTTTCCTCCATCACAGGGCTTGCGCCTGGACATCGATGCCATCAGTCAGATATGCGGTTCTGTTTCGATCGCTTGTTGGATAGGTATGTTTGTGCTACATTACTCTTGGTCCTCAATTGAGAAACGATCGGAGCTGACAGTCTTCTTTCTTACTTGGATGTCCTAGAAGAACGTAGCTAATAGATGATATAGTGGTCTTCTCGCCGCAAATCATCGAAAACTGGAGAAGGAACTCAGCTGAGGGGCTATCCGTTGTCTTCATCACAGTATGGCTTCTAGGCGATTTTTTCAACATCTTCGGCGCCGTCCTCCAAGGTGTCCTTCCAACGATGATCATCCTGGCAGTGTATTACACTTTCGCAGACATCGTGCTTCTAGGCCAATATTTCTGGTACGAGGGTTTCCGCCTCACCGACAAAGTGAGCTCAAGTGAGGAATCCTCGGAAGAAGAAGACGACGAAGCGACTCTACCCTCGGAGCGCTCACCCCTCCTATCCCCGTCACTAAGAGATAGACATGACCCAAGTAACGGCTTCCGCACCGCTCCCAGGATCTCAGATGCAGACGGACGCAGACGCAGCTCCGCGCACTCGACAAACTCCTTCCGCGAGCGCTTCCTCTCCGTCTCAGGCACACATCTCTCGCCCGTAACTCCATTACACGATGATCCCACGTCCGCGCCTCACAAGCCAGCGCATCGCCCGCAGACTAGTCCTTCCACAGTCCAAACCGTCCTCTTCAACATCGGTATTATCATCCTCGTCTGCGCCTCCGGCGTCTTCGGCTGGTGGCTCTCCACTACACGCTCCCCCGCAACCACACCGCCGCCAACCGAGTCCTCCCCCGAAACACTTCACTTCAACATATGGGGCCAGATCTTCGGGTACATCTGCGCGGCACTGTACCTCGGGTCTCGTATTCCGCAATTACTGCTCAACTACCGGAGGAAATCTACCGAGGGTATATCTATGCTGTTCTTCTTGTTTGCTTGCATTGGCAATTTGACCTATGTCTTGAGTATTGTGGCGTACAAGCCTGTGTGCAGGAAGCCCAACCATTGTAAAGAAGGTGAGGCTCTTGCCATTTACGGACGATACATTGCGGTCAACCTCAGCTGGTTGCTGGGGAGCTTCGGAACACTGTTGCTTGATGCCGGAGTCTTTATACAATATTTCCTGTACAGAAAGGAGGATGAGAGTGACAGCGAGGAGGAAGGAGCGCGGTAGGTGGAGGCTGAGGCGGAGTGAGGTATTGGAGATGCCGTATTTGGGAAGCAAGCGAGTGAGGTTGCGGATTGAGCTGGCCTGGGTTGTATGAGAATTGTAGGGCGTGTTCTGCACGGTCGCTGCGGCTCTTCTGTAACACTACGAAATGTGAGAGCGAGTCAAAAAAATGTTAGTATGCAGCGAGAGCTATAAAAGTCATCATGTTGTAAGGTATCGATGATATTGCTCAATGCATAACATCGAACCTACACAAAATTTACTACTGTTCATGATCTAAAGTAAAACGAATACATCGCGAGAATTGCTCCACGAAAACCATCCCGTGCCAGCTCACAAGTACTTTCTCAGCAACTAACAAGCCTTCTTGCCAGGACTCCGCAAGCACCTATCAAGCTTCCCAGACTTCATCTTCTTGTAACGCACTGTGCTGTGCTTCGGCGTACCCCAGCACTGTATTTCCCCTGCGCCCGTCCCCGCGCAAGCAACACCACGAAGTTTCCTATCATTATCCGATATCCACCAAGTTGGGATACCCTTTGGTAAACTTTTGACAAAGCACGCTGCGGCACCCTCTTGCACACACTTTTCGAATTTCTTGTCCTTGACTTCTTTGTACTTGATCGGATTTTTAACAGTCCCGTAACAAGAGAAATGGCGGTCCTTGTTGTAGCAATAGACTGTGCCTCCATCAACGGTGTCCCCGGGCCAAAGCCCGAATGAGACCCAATCGCTGTCTGCAGTTAGACGGAGCTGGGAAGGGCCGTTGGCTGCAGTGGGCTTAGAAACTGGATTGCACGCCGTCTTCGTTACCGTTTTGGAGGCCGTTTTGTAGTGTACTCTGGTAATATGGGCGGTCTCGCGTACGTGCTCTGTTCTAGTCTTGGTCTTTGTCGCGGTCTCCCGTACATGCTCTGTTTTAGTCTTGGTCTTCGTCTTGGTGTCGGTTTCCGTGGCGGTTGTTGTCTTTGTCTTCAAATGCGTTTTGGTAATCTCGTGAGTCTTGGTGACATGATCAGTCTTGGTAATCTCATGAGTCTTGGTGGCATGGTGTGTCTTCGTGACATGATGAGTTTTAGTGACCTTTGCCTCTCCTTTTGAATCATGAAACGGGGATAGAAGATCAAAGATCGCACTGAGACCATTTCTAGCAGTGGAACCGGCACCCTTCAACAGAGAGTGACCACCTTTCACGGCCTGCGACGCACTGCGTTGAAGTCCGTCTATGACGGGCTGTACCTGGTTGAGGACCTGGGCATTGGGGGACTGGGAAGACGCCATACGGTTGAGTTGCGACATCTGACTTGTGAATGCTTCGAACTGCTGCATAGGAGACGCAGAGGATCCGGGCGGCTGGCACAGCATGCGCTTGCTCAAGCCACCTGCAGCAAAGGAACACATTGGAGACAAGGCACCAACCTGATTGACAGCATTGAGGGCAGGTCCAATTGTAGCTCCTTGGCCGGCTGCGATGGTATCAGAGATCTGTGAAGCCCCATTAACGACGTCGCTTTGTAGACTGGCAACAGCTCCGTCCAGTTGAAGTGGAAGACGTTTGATCTCGGCTTGGAGATCCGAGATGAAATTGGCAGCGCGATTCACCGGTACCCCAGCCTTCTGCAGAATCTGCTGCACCGTCTTGAAGCGCTTATTGGCAAGCGCTTTTTGTGCGGCTTCCAAGTACATTTCAGGCCCAAATGCTTCTTGTGCGATCTTCGGAACCCATTTCATGCCCCAATTTTTAAAAGCGCCCTCGCAGATACCTCGACTGAGACTCGTGCCGACAGTCGAACCAGCAAAATTCCCTACAACGGAGGCAGGTATGGCCGTCGCGATGTGGTTGGGCTCAGAAGCCTGGTCGGTATCAGTTGAATTTTCCGGGCCGTAGTTTTGATTACTTTGTGTCTGCTCCGTTGCGTTGTTCTCCTGCGCTCCGGCTACCGCCCCTTTCATCGAAGGACCAACAGCAGCGCCAGCACCGGAGGTTAGTGCGTTGCATAGTGCTACCACAGGGCCTTTGTGCGCATTCATCATGCCACCAGCAAGTGCTGAACCCATCACGCCTCCTGCAATCCCTCCATTTGCGGCGTCTACCTTCTCTTGAGCGTCGCTGTCTTCGCTCTTTCCTTTACTCTTTCCTTTACTCTTTCCTTTACTCTTTCCTTTACTCTTTCCTTTACTCTCCCATTCCTTGGGGGACACTGCTGCGTTCTGCTGCTGCTCTGCAAGCAGTCCATGTAGTATCAAAGCTTGGACGGAAACCTTGCCGATAGAGCCATCAGTCAAGGCTTTAAGATCCAGCTGGGGCGCCGCTGAGGCCGGTGCTGCATGCCGAAATGGAGGTGACATGGAGGTAGTTAGAGCCGGGACAAATGGCAAGAACAAGGCGACAAGAGCTGCGTAGGTGAAGATCTTCATCTTGCTCGTCTGCGAGTGTGACGGCTGGCTTTAGGCTCGACGCTTGTCTTGAGGGGAAGGCGGATATGTGAGTTGAGGGTAATGGTGGAGTGGGCTTTTGATAATTGTAATCACAACCTGTTGATTGTCGAACAATTGTGAGGAAGGAAGACATGCTGGAGTGAGACGCCTTTATGCACGTAGAAAATGCCATTTCGAAGAGAACGTTCTACTATCCACAGGAGCCATAAGCAGCCCATGGTTGAGGAACAAAAAAAACCATTTTCAGATGAGTACCAGAAACTCCTACGCAGCTATCCACGGCCGACAGGTCAAGAAAGGCTGTATCAGTCGCGTACCTACCTGAAGTGTGGTTGTCCCGGACTTGTTCACATCATCGTCTCAGAGTCACTGAGGCCACCTACGGTCAGATCGCTCAATCACCCAGCTACACACCTCTCTTGGTCCGGCAGCCAAGGTCAGATATTTGCGAGGTCTGTAGTGTGGGCGGGTGAGGCCGAAAGGTCCGAAAGTGCCTCGGGCCATGGTTTCCTAAAATGCTGGCCAAGGTCTAGCGTGGCGTGATTTACACAACATCCATTTACCTCTACAAGAACGCAACCCGGTGGCCGAGATACCTATTCATACCGCCCGCCAAGCCGGCCAATTATCAGGGATATTGTAAGCTTGCATTGCACCGTGCCCGGGAATGCGTGTGATAAAATATCAAGATTTATTGGTAAGAAGTGGTAGATCGAAGTTACGACACCTGTCGCTTATTAATGTAACAAGAGTACAAAAGCAACAAGATCTAATCTCTCTCACTATAGCGATTGCCGGCTTGCAGGAAGAAGTAGAGCAGCGACGTAAAGCTCTCTAACGTATAGGAAGGGTTTCTCGGCACTAACTCGGCTACCAAGAGCTGTGTAGGATTATCCTTGTTGGTACTGAATCTGCCTAGATTTTAACCATGCAAGGTGATTGATTAGGATCAACAGCCTCGGACGATTGTAACGACTAGCTGCATAGTGTAGATTGTTATGGTCGCATATGCCGAGCGGCTGCAGCGGAATTGACAGCCAAGTTCTGGTGTGTACACCTGTTAGTGTAGATGAAATGGTGTGATAGAGTGCTGATCCTCCTGAAACTAGTAGTGTTCGTGGCTAGTAGACGCGGGAACGCCCAACCGCGCGTCCAGTCACGGCCTGAAGCGGTACACGGCTATACATTTCATTGTACACAGCTATACGTTGCATGGCCGCACGTATAGTTTGCTACAAACCTGTAGATGTGTTAATGGTAGAAACATGTGGTGGAAGATAGATCGATCATGATGAGGTTGGTGCAATATTTTGAAGTGGTGAAATGATTAAATTGAAGATGGTATCGTTACTAAACGACTCCAAAGACTAACGCCATCCCTTTGAGCATTGCTCGTGAACCCAGTGCTGATAACGCCTTTCATGCTCGTGCTCATGCTAATTGGTACAATGGTTCGTAACATCGCCATTCAATGGTCGATGTGTTCCAGCTGTGTCCCGGACAACAGTAATGTGTAGGTATCTGTGACGACCGTTGCTATGAGTCGTTGGAGCGAACAGAGCTGACAGAGTCGTTGCTTGATGAGTCGGGGGAGAAACCCTGTGACCGTCGGCGAGCGGAGCTGGTAGCGGTGCTCAGTTGCTTCTTGGTGTGTTCGTGCATGATACTGGATCCCGTTAGTGAGGAGCTCGGAGACGGATCGGACGAGACATACCGAGCGTACGAAGACATGGCGCGGCCTGGGTTGTCCAAGTCGAAGTTGTTGGCGAAGTTGTGCTGAGGAGCCATGGGCTCGGAGTAGTTGTCGGTAATGTAGACGCCGTCGGCAGACATGTTGTCGAAGTGTGTGAAGAGTATGTAGGACACAAAGGGTCAACGCGGGAGGAAAGATGCGGAAGCTGCGGAAATTGTTTGGTTGCTGGGTGGTATCGTGTGGTGGATTATGGAACATTGGCTCACGCGGGGGAGCTCATATATATGGCTTCGGGGGCCCTGCATACCCACACGACGGGCGTCCAACAGCCAAGCTAGCGATCGACAAAGATAGGCGCTCTGGCCGTCCCACCCAAGGTCGAGACTTGAGGTCAGAGATCTGCAGGGTCCTGCTAGATCTGCCCTAGTCCCACTGACTCCACTCTGGCCGGCGAGTGAGACGTATCACAGGGCGACGATTTGGAGATGCCTGCCCATGCGGTAAGCATCATCACCGCTGTCCACCGACGCCGTTGTCCCGTGCCCAGGGTCCAGTGCATCTGCCGGCTGATGGGGTGAGGTCATTGGCGGATGTCGTGGTGTGCCAGCGAACGTAGATGCACCTTGCCCATTGCGTGCTGAACGAACCGTCGCCCGCTCCGCGAATGCGCCGACATCAGTACAGAACATGTGGACTGTTGTGGACGTCTCTACAAGTCGACACACCGAGATCCTCAGCCTCGTCGCGCGGCTCGTTTGTCCACAGGTATGACGCCCATGATGCAAGGCGACGCCGTTGCGGCGGTTCGAGGCTTATTCAGTGGCAACCGCGACGTCAGATTCGCGGGATAGGGCAGCCGGTGTGCGTCCAAAGGATCCACATGCGACTTTCACCCAGGCAACGCATGGGCAAATGCACTCGGCAGGCTGCGAAAGCTCTCTGCTCGCGGCACGCAGCTGAAATGGACGTCATACGGCGCTCGAAGTAGGTACGATCTGCGTGCTTGACGGCATCGCTAATCTACTTGCAGCGTAGCGCGTGGTCCGCCCGTTGCGAGCATATGCAGGGCAGCCTCGCTCCGCCAGCCCACGCCTTCTCCGCCCTCGTCTTCGCCCCAACGGACGTCAACAGTGACGCGAAAGTGCCTGGCTGTCGTGAGAATCCCATTTTCTTCTCCGGTCCTTGGTCGCACCCTGCGGCTAATTTCCATGGACCGTGCGCCCAGATCCCCTGAACTGCACAGAACACGCTCCTGCGGGTGCATGCTATGTCATACTCTTCGAGTCCAACAACCGAAGTCTATGCTTTCACCATCATCGGGGGACTGGCAAGCGAGTCGTGGACAGTTTGCACCACCGGCTTTGCGAGTCGAAACCCCCTTCGACGAAAGTCTACGCTACCATGGTACTTGCCCGCCATACCTGCTTTAGGCCCAACATCGACAATCGACAGTGTTGAGAACCCATCGAGATGGCCGTGGTAAGGAGACGGCGGTCTAAAGAGCTAGGCTGCCTATATCGTCCCTGGCTCATCTCGATGTCGCGTGCTCTTTCATCTGCGATTGCGCCTGTTTCCAGTGGCCCAGTGTGCATCTCCTCAACTGCTCCAGAATCTCCTCTTTTGTGAACGCATCGTGCCGTTCGTCGCGGTCTCGCGTTGCCATAGTCCACAATGACGTATGGTGGTGACCGCACGCACGCTGGCGGTCACGTCAAGCACTCCACTTGGAAGCCGCCAAGCACGTGTGGAAGGTCTCCCTCGACGGGGCTGAACCAGCAGTACGCACAGATGACGACCCGCCTCATTCTTGTGCGACGCTTGGGTGCATGTGTCCAATCTAGCCTGCCTTTGCCGGCTTCCGAATGCAGAGACAGTGTCGACTCCTGCGAGTATTGATGCACTGTCAACCGGGGACTAGTAGGCTGCCGACATCATCGTCCAAGTGTTGGAGGTGGATTCAATTCATCTCGCGACGCTCGTCCAACACCATCTAGCGCGGGTCGGTGTTCTTCCCGCCCAATACCAGTTTCCAACGGTGACGCGCTCTCTCGGTACGCAATAACAAGCAGCGGGATCCATCTCTCGGGGACAGCTGCTGCTAGTGTCGTTTCTGGAATCCCAGAATGTACATATCGTCATGTCTAAAAGGAGCCGTGTTCCGACGAATGGCCTTGCTTTCTGCAGTCTATCAGCGTAGGGCTGGATGTTGTGCCTGGAAATTGGTGACAGCTGGCGCCCACTCGACCTGAAGGTTTAGGTCCCGTCTTTACTTCACTTTCACGCGCACTTCAGGCGTCGTCTCAGTTTGCAAAGGTCAAGAGAACATCGTTCAGAGGCTAAACACAAGGGCATATACAAGAAGCTAACACATCACTGAAGGAACCGATTCCGTCCTACGATAGATCCTCCACCATTCGCTTCACCTTCAGATCGAACAGTCCATCGCAAGCCGAGATTTTGTTAAAGTACCACAAGTGCGCGGCAATATCCATACCACCGTTATCGCCTTCAGGAACCACTTTGACATCCTGCCCCGTCACGTTCACCTGGTTACCGGTGGTGATATAATACTCCGGCTGCACATGCGTATATGGCATCAAGAACGGGACGCTCGGCGGTAGTGTTGGGACGACATCATCCTTGTGCACGACCCGGAAGCTTTCTCCCTTATCCGTTCCGCTCAAGAATGTCGCCCACTCCTCGTTTCCAGACTTCGGGGCTCCGTACGTGTAGAGGTCCACAGGAATGTCAATCGTGCGTAGTGCAGCTGCACCAATAGTCGCCATGGCGCCACCAAGACTGTGGCCCGTTATAACGACTTTGAAGTCTGGGAACTGGGCTTGCGCTGCTTGCACGGCTTTGATGACACCGTCTTGCACTTCGTTCCATGATTCCAGAAACCCGCTGTGCGCTCGGCAACCGGAGCAGAAGCTCACGTCTTCCATCTGAAAGTCGATGTTGGCTACCCAATTATCGATGCTCTTGGAGCCACGGAATGCGATTACAATCAGCTTGTTGGTCGTGTCTGTGCTCACGAAGCCTGTTGCATCAGTCTCTGCCGAGCTATCGAGACTGTCAGCTTCTGCTTGCAATCCAAGCATATTTTGCGGTATTGTCTTACTTCTCAAACTCGGTCAGCGTGGTCGTAACCGCCGCCTGGACACTAGCACAATTGCCGACCACACAAGTCACCTTGGTGTCGGTACTGTTATTGTTCTCCTGGCAGTACGCCGCCGCAGCATACTGCTCAAAGAAAGACAACTTATCAAATATCTCAGTTGAAACAGTATCGTCTGTGAATGGGTGAGCCTTGTTTGAACATAATAAAGTATCGACACGGCATACCTCGCACCTCTACGGGCGCCGCGTATCCCAATCCACTCAAGCTGCCAAGCGCCAGCAGTGCCACAGACCTTGCGAAAACCATCTTATTTGTCTAAAACCCTGAATTTGTATGTAGAATGTATCACAGCACTATCAAAATGCCGAAAATGCCAAAAAGGGGAACGGCTCGCGCGAGAATCGAATAAAGCAACAATCAAATGAGTGTATGAATGAAAGACTGTGGTAAGAACGCACAAAGCGCACGCGATCAGGCGCTCTCCCATTCTTTAACAATATCAGCCAGACAAAGTCCGTAAAACATGGCGAGGGTACAATCTCCGCCACTGCGACTAGGCGAGGCTGGTGGGGCGGCGCCTGCGCAGCGTATTACAATGCGAGGTCCGACACAAGCCTCAAGTCAAGATGTTTCGAGTGCTTAGCCGCCTCGGGTCCTGCAGGACGTAGCTGGAATTAGAGTACATTCCGCCTGGTTGGGTGGTGTTCTGTTTATCGAGTTCCCCGCATTTTGCGTGCTCCATTGGGCATAGATATACGTAGTCACCAATCTGATACCGAGACTGCGTTCAGACAATCTTCTATTTGATGGTCTAGGCAAACATGCATGTTTGCCTTTCCCTCGCATGCAGGTCCGCAACCGGGGCCGACGGTACAAGACATGGTGAGCATACGGATATACGGGTCAGCGTTGCACAGGATGCTGGCGATACCTTTCCCCAGAATCCAATGGTACGACTCTGTCTCGACACAATTAGACCGCTCGTTGCCTTTTGCGATGTAAATGCTCAATTAAGAGAGCCGGTAGGATCGGAGGTACCGTTTCGCATTCTGCGGAGTTACGAAGTGGACGTGTGGGTGAGCGCTTCGGAGCTGCGCCACGTCGGACTTCGCTCTCAACTCCATACTACCATTTTCACGTGGCACCGTTTCCATTTTTGGGTTGAAGTGTTTGAATTGCAGTATGGCGCTTAACTCGGATGCACTTTCGGCTTCTTCAAACGTCTACATCGCTCGCACGCAATGCACGACAAGTCACCAGGTCTACCAACAATCACCCGAATGTAGCGCAGACCAAAGGAAGTGTATGTAAAATCCATTGAACACGCTGTGGAAACAGCCAGTATACTTGACAGTGATCTTGTGAACCTCGTGAACCGTGAACTTGACTTTCCCCTCACTTCTTGTGCTTGTCGCACCCACAGCCGCCTCCATATGCCTCCCTCGCCAACTGCGCCTTATTCGGCCTGTTCGCTGGCGGCAACGGCGCCGCCATTGCCATGCGTGAGACTAGTTCCTCAGACTGGCCTTCCAGATCTCTCTTCGCAATGTTCGCACTGTAGATCTTGTTCAGCCAGTCCGCCAAGCGGTACCCACCCTTCGCAATCTGCAGCTCCACAGTAGGAATGACCTTGTTGTAGTACGTTGGGTAGAGATCGCCTGTCTGGAGTGCGGCGACGCCGTTGGGCATGACGACGGTGCAGACGAGGGCGTTGGCGTCAGAAGCCCATGCGGTAGCGGAGGTCACGGCGTCGTTGATGTTGGACTTGGCGACCCAGGAGCTGGCGAGAGACTTGTAGGAGCCGGAGTCGATGGATGCGATGAGAGTTTTAGCCCAGGATTGCGCGTCGGTGAGGGAGTCACCGCCGACTTTCTTTTCCGGGATGTACGTGTCCCAGTCTGAGTGGAGGTTGTCGTTGGCGTAGCCGTCCTGGACAAGTCAATCATCAGGGCCATCGAGTAGGATGGGCAACGGTGAAAGGTATGAAGGGGATGTGGCGCACTTACGAATGTGACTTTAATGTCGTTGCCTCCGACTTCAAGAGCTTCATCATGGAGGGGCTGAGTGACATCGCCGAGTAGATGAACTAAAAACTTGAGCGCCTCTGCTGTGCTGGCAGTGGAAAGCCTTGCGTCAGCGACACGCTGGGTGTAATTGGAGATTGCAGAGATCGAGCATCCAGAGCTAGTGCAATCACGGGCATAGTTGACATTGCAGCTCGAAGGTGGGCTGTCATTCGCATCGATGAAGTGATACGGCGCACTGAACTTTCCTGCGGCCGTAGACCGGTATGTATCCGCCCATGAGGCAACATTGGCCAGGTAAGATGTAGATGTATCGGATAGAACGCTCTTTGCCCTTTGAACTCTATCAGTTTCCTGCAATGCCACGCGGGTGGGGTCCGTAGGTTATCTGCAGCTTACCAGGCCTCTGTAGCGTCGGTCAGGTAGTTCTGAGCAATGTATCTAATGTAAAGGTCAGCTGATTTGGTCCAATAATTCATCTGAAACAAAGATATACGCACGCGACAGTGGCATGGCCTAGCGTTCCCCAGGCACTAGCGCCTTTCAGAGCTGCGAGCCCTACGAGCACAGAAGCCGTAGGAGTGTACATGTCCAATGAGCTTGTCGATCGACTTAGGACCTTGATGGCCACTTGGCGAAGCTTGGTAGTATATATACAGCTTCTTGCCTCACAGAAGCGCTGTATGATGCGGTGAATCCCTATCAATCAAATTGTTCGCTATGCGTTGAACCAATCGCGGCCCGAATCAAGCGCATGATGTGCCATGGACTACGCGTACTAAACTATACCTGCCTAATTTGGCTATTCACGTCCGATCTCTTGGCAAATAGAAAGCTTCGTCGAGCCCACGATATCTATCGTGTGACCGAGTGCTAGCCTTGATGTTCTTTGGCTTCGTTTGTAGCAAGGCAATAGGTCCCGCAGCAATATCACTGCGAATGCAATGCGGGATTAATTCTTCAGCTTCTGCAAATTACTGTAGGACTAAGCAAAAAGAGTAGTACAGAAGGCTAAATCTAGATCGACGTTGGTAATCTATTCGTGAAGGGTATCTCCGCAAACTGGCGCGCATTAATTGACGGGCGGTCCCGATGCTGCATCCAGGATATCTACAAGCAACGACAAACAAGACCTGCCCATGAAAAGACTTCAGAACCGGTTAATCATCTTTCAGCACGTCGGCCGCCCAATCGACGGCCTCTTTGGCCTCCCGCAATCCATATGGGTACGTTAGGACGAAGCAATGCATTTGCCTCTCCCAGTGTAGCCACTGCCCTATGACGCCGTTTTCCTCGAGCTTCTTCCTGAACAGGATGCCGTCCGGGCAAAGAACGTCGTAGCCAGCAGTAATTCCATGTACGTGTACACCGTACTTTGCGAGTAAAGAGATGTCCGCATTGATGGGCGATACTCTTCGGTCGGTAGGGTCCCAATCTCCACACCAGGCTTTGGCTGTCGACTTGACAAACTTGACCGTAAGCATAGGATCGTTCTTCTCCGTCTTCTTGATGTCGGGGTTGTCGCGGGTAAGGTCGGTCGAAGGGCATGTCGCGAAGATGGCTACAGGATGCGGTGCACGCTTTGCCCCCACATCCAAGTTCTGATCATCTTCTCGCAAGGCTTCGAGGATCAACGAGAGGACGATGTTGCCTCCCGAAGAGTCGCCCGCCAGAATGATCTTTTCGCCCACCTCTTCCGCCGTTGTCATGATGTCGCGATAGAAGCGCATAAGCCATGGAAATGCATCGGGTGCCGGATTGTTGGGTGCAAGTGGGTATGACACAAGCGAAACAGTCGTGCCGGGCACGTCCTGAGCCAGCCTCGAACACATGCCCCAATGTTGGGATGAAGGTGGTGTCTGCCACCCACCGCCGCCAAAATAGTATATGCGCTTCTTCGGAGTGGATTTTGGTGGTTCCTTCGTTATCAAGTCGTACACATGGATATCGCACACTACTCGGTGAGTGACATCGCATTTCTTGGTTCCGATTGGCGACGGCTTGATCTCCATTGAGCCCTTCGGTCGCGAATGTCCTGATCGTCCGATGTGATTGTGAAAGGGGCGAAGTAGCATTTGCAGCAGGATCATAAGCATGGAGCGATCATGGCGCGTCGTGACCTGGATGGTCGAGTTCTTCGTAGGCGCGTCTATCGCGGGCCTCGTCGCCATGTTGGCTGATGGGTGGAATATTAGTAGGGAGAAAGTATGCAGTAATTAAGTGGGCATAGAAGTGGTTTATCAACCAGCTCGCTCCTTCAGCCACCACATCTTGACATTCCAATGGTGTAGCGCAGGTAGCGACACGCCGCAGCTGAGCGCAGTTTTGGTGGAAAAAGGATCAATGACGTCTTAGCGCAAGCCACTTGTTGAGGCGCGCAGTATCTTGTTCTCTGCAATGTGAAAGACAGAAAGCAGGCGCACGAGGCTGCTTATGGACTTATGGACTTTCAGGTGCAGTGTTTACGATACGAACGGATGGCATGTGCCGCAAGGATCGCGATGTCATTAGACGGTAAATCTATTGACCGGGTTGATGGCATGCATTGCGCCAGGGTTTTCGCCAAGACATCGGTGTTTAGCGTTGTGACCCCCAGTCCTTCACCAATCCAAGGCTACAACAAGGCACCACTTGCATTCCAGATCCCTGCCTGAGGTTCTACAGTCTTGATATAGCTCTATAGCCCCGATGTAGCGGACTTAATACCGTTCTTTCCAGCTTCCATCTTCTTGGGATTCTGCTCAGAAGCGTGGCTTCGTCGCGCTGTGAAGATCTCCTACTGCGTAGGCGCTGATTCCGCAAATTCTGGTAGGCTGACTTGTGAATTGACAGCTTAGCTCATATATTAGACCAAGAAGTCGAGCAACTCAGAAACCATGGTCCCAGTGACAGTGTCTGTCGTTGCGCATTGAACTCTTGATCTTGGTCTGATCATATGGACATCTCCCCTCCCCTCGATCACTGACAAGGCTGGGTGAGCACCAGCTATGGCGGCGCCAAAGCAACACCTTACCGAAGAAGAAACAAAGAGATCAACCAACGATCGGGAGGCCGATAACAAAGGAAAGAATCATCACGAAGAGCTGGACTACAAATCAGATGGCGTCGGGCAGCAACTGGCGCCTAAAAAGCGATATCACATATACCACGATGAAGAAGAGCAAGAATGACATGAGTCTTTGCCCACGTTCATCGGATAGCGCGGGCAGAGTTTGTAGGATGTGTGCATCGCTGGGAGATACCGTCATTCGAGCAGAATCGCAAGGAAACGAAGCATGAAGACGATAACCTGAAACGCATGTCCGCATGGAGGGAATTGGACGCGTGTTGGGCGAAGGGCCATAAACAGCTCTCATGGCGCTTGTGGTTGCTTCCGTGGTTGTTTGCGGCATCTGGCAAGTGGTATAGAGCTTACCTATTGCGAGTCTAACTTTACATCAAGATTGGCAAGCAATAGGTCAGATATATCAGGTATAAGAAGTGTAGACCAGCATTTGAATGGGGTTTTGTCCTTTGGAAGGCATGCGTAGGTGCCCTATACTCAATCTTGTTCTTCCTCCCCATTACCGCAGACCTCGAGCTCCTTAACGAAGAGACCATCTCTATGACCATGAGTATACCCAAGTATCACTTCTGGCTCTACAAAGCTGGCCGGTGTGTCTTCATCCAAATACCGAAGGTATCATAGTCCCGTAAGCATCCCTTCACCGTCTCCATGTGTCCTTCTGTGGAATTCTCGTTATTGGGGTGCAGCTTGTGGATCGTTGTCGGGCGATGCCGGCTCCAGGGTGGAGTGAGGGGAGGAAGGTGGAGTATTGTTTCAAAACGGATGTTTCTGGTTGAACAAGCGACATTGTACACAAGACTATCCTTGATGAATCTGAAAATGCGTTGATCGCTATGGGATGCAAAATATCTACAACGAAAAGAAGTGAGTGCTAATTATAGCAGCTCGGGTATAAAACGATCCAAACCCGCCCCCTGGTGCTCACCGCTTCTTCCAGAAGAAAGGCGTTGCGCTCTTCGGCGGCGGGTCAAACTCCATGACCTCCTCGACCTCAAACTGCGCCATCTTGGCCGCCTTTCTGCCCTCCTCAGCCCGCTTCTCGATCCTGCGCTCTGCGACTCTCCGCCTGCAGCTCGCTACAAAGCAGTACACGCAGATGCCGATGCCGATACCGCCTAGTATGCCTCCGACTATCGCACCGATGAGGCCCTGTTTGACGAAAGCGCCTTGGTTGGGCCGCTGGTATGCGGTGGGTGTGGACCCAGGGCAGAACGTTGTGGGCATCACCATGTTGTTCTTCTGTACGGCGGTCGCGAGGAAGAAAGACTGTTTCTCAAAGTCGGCCATAAGGTAGACCTGTGTGAGGAAGGCAGCTGAGAGGAAGAAGGGCTCCTTAGAGTCTTTGGCACGGGACTGGACGGGCGTGATATTCGATGCGTTCATGAGGACCTCCGATGGGAGCGTGACTTCGAAACCGTCATCGAGGACAATCGTAAGACTGCCATTGAAAGCGTTCTTAAGCTTGAGCGAGTTGTCGCCCCAAGTGTTGTCCTCCTCGGCGTCGAGGTGCGAGATGAAGTTTTGTGTTATTTCGTAGGGCAGCGAGAGCGGGTACTGGTCGGTAGTGATCTCGGCGTCGAAGGCGTCGGGGCGGGAGGACATGGAAGGGAAGGCGGCGGCATCGAAGAGAGAGACGTTGGTGTTTGCTTTGTTAGTCTCGGAAATGATGATGTCTTTCACACGGACGCTCAGTTGGTTTGTGCCAGCGGCGCTCATGTTGTATTTGTGGACGGGGTCGACGAAACGGCCTGCGTCGTATCCGCCGAAGACATTGCTTCCGTTTACCTTTCCTCCCGCTCGGTCGAAGCCTTGGCCGATGTACAACGAGTACATCTTGCCGCATATCTGATTGCTTGCGGAAAGGTCGTTGAGCACGGTCGATGACGAGCCTATGCCCACAACTCCGGGTACTGTTGAGCCCTCTTCTACAACTTCCACAGTGAAGTTGTCTATCAGGGTTTGCCATGCGCCGTCTGTCTCGAAGTAATGTGTGTACAAGCGGAGCGTGTCCTGACCAAAGTAGGAGTTTTCGAATGTGCTGTTAGATGCAGTGTCTAGCGTCTGGTAACCCTTGTCCTCGGAAAAGCTGAAACAGAAGTAAGCAGACGCCAGGGAAGTTCAGAACAGATAGTGGAGACGTACGAAGTTGAGTCTCCTGAGGCAAAGAAGCCACCAGTTGATTCCTTGCAGTCTCTCAATGTGCTGTTTCCATCGCAGTATGTGCTCGCGCCGAAGGAGGTTTGATTTTGCGTCAATGACGGCCATAGACTGTGGTTCTGTGCGGGTGTTCCTACACCAACGAAGGATCCATACTGGAAGTTGTCCGTAAAGTGGGTTACCCTCTTGTGGATGTCGACGTAGACTGGGGGTATTGAACAGTTGAAAGCAACCGATGACTGAGCCAACAGCACGGCTGCGGAGAGATAGAAAGCCAGCGACGCCATGTCGAAGAAGCAGCAACAACGCTCGAGTCCAGCAAGCGGTGTGTTGAAGAGTTCAAGGACGAGTCCGTAACGCACGAAGTTGTGTGGAGAAACAGAACAGCGGGCGTCGTCGGTTCGAGGCAAATAGTGTCGGCAGGAATCTCACCTGTAAGCAACGACCTGCAGAAGGCAGAGCGGTATCTTTGTAGCCAGCTACATGGTCACCAACTCGGGAGCTAAGATTTGGCATCATCACTGCAGCCAGTCAGACGCATCTGCTGCTATTCTTGCGCTTGTGGAGTAGTACATGGAGGCAATTCTTAGCGGCGAACTGGAGCCTGGAGCGAGCAAGCGAATAGCTGTGGGGCGGCAGCTGACGCCTTTGTGGGATGGTCAATTCCCACCGTTGGGATGGCGTGGGCGCTTGGAACGGGCGGCGGACGATGGAAAATTCATGATCCCTTCCGTCGCAAGGGTGCCGGTCGAGGGACAGGAAGCGATTGGGCGGCGGCTGCGTGGTACGGAAATAGATCTTTGCCCAGCGTCTACCGAAAATCTACGATTGGCTTCGCTACACGCTAGGACCCTCGCAGTAAACTGGGTCTTCCAACCCTCCATGCACTTTGTCCATGTACCCAGACCGTCCGGTTACTCACCGGCCCGTCTCCAGGCTTTGGACGAAGCACCCTTGGACACTAGCCACTCTCTGCAATGTATTCCCCACAGCTGCAATATATCAGTTCTCAGAGTTCGGTCGGCATCCGAATGTAGATACCTCCGCATCAAGAATAACGCGGAATCAACGAAGCCGAATGCACCTGTGAGGCGTTGCCCACGTAACAATGGGCGCTGCAGTGTTCCCTTCCTTCGCTGGCCGGTTGAAGACAGATGCTTCAGTGATGTGGCATGTGGAGTACAGCCCAAGGGCGTTCTCCGTCGCGGTCTAGCGGCTTGTGCTCCGGCGCTTACAAGGGATCCTATGGCCATGTGGAAGAGATCCCACAACATTCCGAGCGAGCTGTGCATGGACTAGACAAGCCGCTGCAAGTGGCCGTGTCAGCGGTCGCGCTCCCGGTCGCCATTTCCAAGCAGCCAAGGAAGACGCGCGCCTCGAGCTGACCTCCAAGCTGTCGAGATGACGCCTAATCTTGGTTCCGGTAGTACATCGCTGATCGTTCATAAAGCTGCGACAGCACCTCCATGGCGTGTAAGTTATACTTAGAAGCCATATGGATCTGCTTGGGACCATTGCAACACATGGTGTGTGATGCTCGAAGCCTTCCTCGTAGTGTCAAATCGAAGCGCTGTGACAAAGTTTGGAGGCCTACAAAATCCGGATAATCATTTCGATCCGCTACGGCGCATCACAACGACAAGTGCTGACCGGCAAAGGACATACCGGAAGGCGTTTACACACGTTGTCTTGGCCCACTTTCAAGGCTTGAGTATAAGCAGATGACGCAGTCTTCAACATGCAGTAGTCTTGCGCTGTGGACGATTCAGAACACTCATCACTCAAACTCGTTTGGATTGTTCAAGCGTTATTCATTGTACATTGCAGATATGTATATTGTATAGCTGCTCGAAATATCCGCCCCTCAAACACTCCCCGTTCGTCTTTCTCCAGTAGCGCGTTACGGAAAGATGATGATACGCTTCACGATGCTTTACGCATATGCAATACTTGCCCATAAATGGCACCTTGCGCCCATCTCCCGCATCCGTCTGGACTCCAGCCAGCGCTTGAATCAATGCAACGCCGTCGTGACCTCGCCTTACGCCATGCTATACAGTAACGATATAAATGTGACACGCGATGATATCTAGCTGAACAACACCCACCGCTTTTCCGCCGCTGACGGGCCGATACGTTGGGCAACGTCCGTGAGTGTATTGGTGATAGCGTCCTTGGGCACCTTGGGAAATTTCTTCTTCAAAGCTTCGATCATACCGATCTTGGTGAGATCTGAGCCCGCCACTTCTGCCTTGAACGCAGGGAGGAGGTTGGCGTCGATCATTCGTTTGGGCTTTCCGGTCTTCGTATCGAATGCGGGAGACGCCTTTTGTGGCCCGTTGAGAGTGTTTATGAGACCGTTAACAGGGCGGGTGCCGAGGGGAAGACGAGGTGGGTTCATCGACCTGATGGGCTGCTCCCCCTTGATGACTGCTGCCATAGATGCTCGAGCGACGGGGATTTCGGGTGTCCAGTAAGAGTCCGAGAATGGATCGATAGGCGCTTGAGTTTCTAGGTCGAGTTAGTGGCACCTTTGCTATGAGAACGCAGATTACTTACGTAGTAGGAAGCCCAATTTGAACTCCTTGAACTCAGTAGATATCGCGCCAGACCCGTCGTTCAACCGCGACACGCCGCTCGTGTCTTCCCAACAGAGACCGGTGCTAACGGGCTCTTGGTCGCCATTGAGTAGCCTACGCTTGACCTCTGGATCGTCCTCATCGTCAAGGAAGCCATCCAGGTCCTCCTCACCGTCCTCTTCAAGATCATCTTCACCTTCGGAATCAAGATCTTCGCCCTCACCTGGTTCTTCCCACTCAGCTTCGGAATCGTAGTCGTAATTCAAGTCGGCAAGGCCTCGGATAGTAGGGTTGCGCGCCACCTTGCGTTCCTGACCTGGGTCGTGACGTTTCGTGTAAGTGCCGTAGTAGGGTGGCCGGACATCCTCGCCGAAGTGCAAATATTTCATCGAGACCGGCTTCAGCAGGTCGAGCGGCCTCGCGCTGGGATCTTCTGTCAGGTCGATCGGATTGTCGGCTGAACCGTTGATGCGTTCGACAATTTCAGCCATTGTTTCCGTCTGAAGTCCGCGGCGACGCTTGGGAAAGACGGAGCGAAGAGTTTCGACTGTGATGGGCTCCATATCGACATCCTTGTTTGTCACGATGTTGTCTAAGCGTGCTTGGGCTGCGGCTAGATTCTCCGGTGTGGTGTGAAACGCGTTCAATGGCGCAAGGATGCCCGTGGGTGGGAGAGAGAACGGAAGGAAGACGCGTTCGTAGTCCGACTGGGCATTCTGAACTATTGCCTTCTGTGGCGAGGGGGGCGCTGCGTTAGCAACAGTCTCGACAGTGTCCGTAGATAAAGATATTTGGCCAGTGTAGGGTATCTGGACTGGCTCTACCATGGTATTACCCGTGGGCTCTGCACCACCCTTGGGCTTGGAGAAGAATGCGTTCAACCTCATTTGAGACTTGACCAGAATTAGCAATTGCAAAGTGGTGCTTAGTAGACAGATAGCTACTTACCCGCTCCTTCTTCTTTTTCTCTTCCTCCTCTTGCTGCTGCTTAAGCTCCCTAGCCCGCTTCTTCTCTTCTTTCTCCTCGTTTTTCTTGCGCTTCTCCTCGTCCCGCTGTGCCTTCTGGTCTGCCTTCAATCTGTCCTCTGCTTCCTTCTGGGCTTTCTTCTCAGCGCGTGCCCTGACCTTGGCCTCTTTCTCCTTGACCTGCTCGTCTTTCTCTTGCTGTGTCAACTTCCTCCGCTTTGCGGACTGTTCATTGCTGGAGGCTGGTGGTTGAGTATGAGGGTTGATGCTGCTTGCGGGCGTAGTCGTCTCCGTCTTGGTCTGCTTCAACGGTGACGGCGTCTGCAGCGAAGACATTACGGAAAGCGGTGTGGATGTGGTCGAGGGAGCAGTACGGCTCGGGGTCGTGACGGAAGGCTCAGGATCATCGGCATGTGGACGTTTCTGAGGAGACGCGAGGATAGGAATCGGAGCCTCCATGGCTCGTCAAGGTTGAGTTGTTGACTGATGCGTAATTTTGCTGCGTTTGAATACAGTACAAGTACAATTGGTGGCGGAATTGCTTGCGGGTGAAGTGGGCCGATGCGAATGTGGTGAAGTAGTGACGGACGCGACTTCGGGAACTCGCGAACGCGTCGGTCGGGGTTGGCGCGTGATTGCTTGGCACTGGCACGACTGGGCTACTCGCGTCGTTTCGTTGATTGCGCGCACTTGCCTCTGATTTGTATGCTAGTTCCCTTTTTAGGTTTAGCGCGATACACACTCACTCACTGCCCTTCACCTATCTTCGACGCATGTTCACTCGCTTCCATCTGAAAAGCATTGTACAATCACATCGAGTTATACTCTCTGTTGATCTTATGCCGAGAGCGTTGGCCTGCGTGGTCGCTCCGCTTGATATGGGAATAAAGCTTTTAAAGCACCTTCCGTCTGATCTCACCACTGACCAAACGAGACTGACTTCACATCTTCGGACACCAGTTGGGGCTGTGGAACGGACAAACACAAGCTAACACCGCTCAAAAAACACTTCACTAGGAGTGGCATCGTCAGTGAGGCAGCGTGGTGTTGATGACCGTTGGCAAGCGCTCCTTCGATGGATGCTGTTATTGATTCAGACGCCGACGAGCTACTCTTCGAGTCACCTCTGCTTTCACCTCCGGACAGCCAGTCATGGGATCTACGGGAAGAATACGCGGACGACGACATCCTACAAGACTACTTCGATGATAGCCGACCACTCTCGACATTTGAACTTGATGATCAATGCGAAGGCTCCCAAGGACCTCCTACAGTGGTACCGACGAGGTATAACCATCTCTTTTTTGCAGCAATGCAATTTCCTAACAGTAATAGGGACTGGGTTATTGGACGAATAGAGAGTATGCTCGAGAGAATTGTCGACGGTTTGCTTACCGAAAGTGAGCAGCTCACTATCAGTCTCAAAACCTGCTCACGACTCAGCCGCCGGGAACTCGGCCCAGCACAAGATACAGGCACAATACCAACACCAAAAGACATACAGCTCAGCTACCCGGGGAACAACGCCCAAGATGCACGACGATTCAGTGCGTATCTTCACACAGTGGGCTGCTTCGACTGACTATCACAGCTGTTGTTGTGAGAATCTTGGAGCTAATACACTGCTGCCTCATCGACGGTGTCGTCATGACAAAACGGTACAGTAACGCCCACCACTTCGAGATATCTTCTTAACCCCGTACAGAGACATGTATTACCGACATCCTGACCTGTTCGGCAAACAGTCTGTAGTGGACCGATATGTGGATGACATTGCGCGCACCCTAGGAGTATCCCGGTCACTCCTTAACGTGGTGGGGCAGCTGTTCTTGAGCTTTCAGACCGCGAGCTAACCCTGTAGACTGCTGCAGCAAAGGGCCTGATTGCAGGTAACTTTAGTATTAAACGCGTGGACGGGACTTCGATGCGTGGCTTGAGCGAATCGGAAGTAAGGCATCCTCCCGCAGACCCCGTTCAGATCTAACTGCTTCTTTAAGGGTCTGCTGGTGCCCACGATGCAAGCTGGCGACACGCTAGAAATGTCATGTGTCCATTGGATCCTGGTTATCGAGAAGGAGGTGAGACCATTTGTGGCAAGTATGATCCAGCTTACACATTCACAGGCGACGTTCCGTTCTGTGCTAAGCTCGCCTCTGTGGAATGAGCTCGGCATACAGGGGCTTATACTCACCGTGCGTGCTACTGTAAGCTTCGAGATCTTCGTTGACAATCACAGGCGAAAGGCTACCCCGATCTCGTATCTAGGAAGTTCCTACGCGAGCTTGCGGATAACTCACCGCATATCCCGATGTACGCCCTTGTCGATCTAGATCCAGATGGAATGCATATCCTGTCAACGTACAAATACGGTTCGCTTCGTCTCGCTCACGAGGACGTCGCACACATGGATATACCTGGGGTATACTTGCCGAATCTACAGTGGCTCGGTGTTCAGAGTCACCACATCAACCGAGCACCGGGTAACGAAGGTGACACGGCAACGGCTGCACTCGCAGATGTCCAAGGCGTCATGAAACTGACCGCTAGGGATAGAAAGAAGGCGCATCATATGCTGGAATGGGGCGTTTGTGGGGAACACGGTTCTGAGCCGACATGGCGGGCGGAGCTGCAACGCTTGCTGATGCTGAATATTAAGGCGGAAATGCAAATATTGGACGAGCTGCGCGGAGGGCTTGTCTCATGGTTGAGCTACCAGCTGGAAGTGATGCAAGGCGGATCAGCAGACGATGAGATACTTTTTTGAGCAACAGATAGATTGCTGTTTGCCACTCTGAAACCGAATCAATGGGCAGGAAGGCCTCCAACTCTTGATGCAACTGATCTAGCACATTACGCACACACTGCATATCGCCATCCGAATTGAGATAGCTCCACACCCTCCAGCACTGCAGCTCTTCCATTGCAGCTCCTGTGGCGAAGTGGTATTCTCTCTTTGGGATACCTTTGAGCGACACTGGACGACATCAGGAAGCCAAAAGATATGGACACAACATCAGCAGTACGACTCGAGTCCAGACATGTCAAAAGACGGTGCAGGAAATTCTCCGAAGAAACGGTGGGACAAAGGCGCCAAGGCTGAGATGCATCCGCCAACACACCTCCCGCTCTCACACTGCAGCCCTCGTCCACACGAGACTCGACCTGTGTGCGTAGCGACCATGCATGATTGACCTGCAGCTCCAATAAAGCAATTCGCACCATGCCCGACTCTGCCGAAAATTCACGCCCTGCAAGCAGTGCGTTTGAAACACCCGGCGCCCCGCCGTCTTCGACCGCTACCACAACCCCTCCGCCAGTCCAGCATGGCTTCCATGTTGCCATTGCGGACTCCACAACGACTGCCACGCTCCCACCCGCAGTGACGCCGGCGACGACGACCCGCCAGTCGGTCTCGCTAGGCGTGCTCTCGACGCTGTGGAGTGCCAACGGCCCGCCGACCGCCCTGCCGCCCGCGATCGTGACCCACGCGCCCTCGCCCGTCGACGCACAGGAAGCACCATTGCAAGACCTCGCCGCCAGCGCAGACTCAGTGCCCAGTGCCACTACCACCCTGACCAACACGCTGCCCCCCACCCAATCGGCCGCCCTTCGTGCCCTCAATGCGCCCGCCTTCCAGTCCCACGCCTCGTCCACCCTCAAAAGCAAGTCTGCAAAGTCGGCTTCGAGCCACACTACCCTGTCAAGCCAGCCCGTCGTGGTGCGCACCTACTCAGGCTCACGGCACAACTCGCGGCACTCAGGCTTCGCTTCACCCCGCTATCCGAACATGAACGGGCACGCGTCGCAGAATACCTCTGCGTTGTCCGCTGGACTAGCAGCCCGGACCGAGAGGCTGCCTTCCATCGAGGACTTCTCCTTCTCAGCTATCCTCCGTGCTGTCGATCCCGAGATCAGAGACGCCATTGATGCCATTGCAGAGATATGTGCGAGGAGCAGGTTGAGCCTCGCGGACGAGTACGATGCTCATCTTCCGCCGCAGGGCGAGATAACTGGAACCGGTCCCGGCTGGGCGGCAGGCGTAGGAGCTCTAGTGGGAAGAGGTCGCATATCACGCATCGGGCAAGGGTGGGCAGCGACTGATCATACACTAACGGCTGTACCAGAAGCAAGCAGCTCGAGTGAGAGACTGGCTGGGGAGGCACAAGGCACAGCGAGTAGCAAGAAGAGGAGCCAGTCTGCATATGGGAGCTTGAAGAGCGTCATCAGCGGCGGGAGTGGGAAGCGGAAGGCCAGCAATCCAGCTGTAGAACAAGCCGAAGCTCCTTCAGAGGATGCGAAGCCTCGTGGACCCGCCTGGGCCGTTCACAATTCGTCGGAAGATCACCCGGTTATCACTGTTCCCTCTCCTCAAGCGTCAAATCATCTCTCGCTAGACACTTCATCAACCATCAAGGACATCCCACACGTTGACGAGAGCAGACCCTCACCAAGGCCGCAGACAGCCATCCCTAGAGCTGCCTTTTCGCACAGCAGAAACGCGTCGCTTAACAGCTTGAACGCCTCTCGAGCACGTTCAAGCACACTATCATCCATTACATCGTGGTTGCCGTGGCCTCGACTTACCGATACCAGGGCTAATGCTCAACCAGATCTTACAAAAGCTGAAACTAGACTGAGAGAGGTGTTGATGGTAGCACAAGAGTCTGCGTTCGGAAGAGGTAAGGCAGCTTTGAGCAATGCCTGAAAGTTGAAATGAAAGCCACACAGGCTTTGGGACCATGTACGAACAGATATACCCCGAGCTAAGCTATCGAGTTCAAAAGGCGCATGGGTTAATTGCTTCTGACGGCCTGGCGGCAGATTGGTTGTGCTCCTAGAGGCACTGAAATTATGACGAATTACGAGTAACGATTAATGAGCATGCAGAGCATGTTATGTATGTAGTTTCCTAGAAAATGCAACGCTTTGTACCAATTCCGATCTGCTGACTCATTCCTTGTGACGTAGCAATTCTGAACTTTAGGCAACCATAAGGACGCTAATTGTCACAAAGTCAGTGTCAAATTAGGTTCTTCGCTAGTTGCAGGGAGTTGTCGTATTCTTCTCTATCTACTCCTGCCGACGAAACGCGACGTTTCTAGTTTCGTCACCACGTCCAAGCCCTCAATCACCACAATGCCCAACGCAGCCCCTCCCCTCGCCCTCACCACCCCGGAGCTCCTCGAGTACATCCTCGCTTTCCTACCCCCGCGCGACCTCCTCCTCGTACAGCGTGTATGCAAGCCATGGCACGATCTCATCACCACATCACCCACGCTGCAAACACTCCTGTACTTTCGGGCTCCCCCGCCGTCATCGTCCCCATCCTTGACACCTTTTTCATCGTCTGAATACACACTAAACCCCCTTCTCAAGTCTGCTTTCCCATTTTTATTTTCCCCCAACAAGGTGCAGTCAGCTGAAAGAGCAGAGGACTGGGATGTGGAATGGGGCGACCTTGAGCTTCCTGCGGCAGTAGACCCGAATGTTAAGCCCTTCATTTATTCTTCGTTTAACCGCAACCCTGCCGCCTTCCGTCGCAAAGAAGCGTCCTGGCGCCGTATGCACATTTCAAACCCCCCAGTTCGCACCATCGTCTGGCGGCGCGAATCAGCCGGTATGGCGGGGCTCTTCATCGGCGAATGCGTAACGGGCTTCGGCGACTCCACAGGTAGAACCTCTTCCATAACGCTTGGAACCTTGGGCGAGGACGCGCTACAGAGGAAGTGGGACGAGGAATCGAGGTCTGGTTTTCGGAAGACTGACGAGGGGTACTTGATCAGCAAGGACCAACTCGATCTACAGAAGGAAGATGGGCTTCGCATGGCTGTCTTGTACGACTACCTCTTCGAAGTCAACTGCACCGGTTACGTTCCTTCGCACTGGAATGTCGAATTCGCGGTCGGACAGTACCCACATCCACAGAAAGTCGTTGAGTATGCGCACCAGCCAAACGCCGAGCTGAGCCTAGCGAAGTTGATGAGGGATGAGGAGCATGAGGAGCATGAGGGGGCTGGAGTGACGATGTTGGTGGAGGTGCACTGGAGCAAGGGTTGTATCGTGGAAGAAGAGGAAGACTATCAGCAATTTAGGAGCGACGGGTATCAGAATGTGGATGTTGGACCGATGGCTAGGTTGAAGGAGATGATGTGGGATTGAAGGCTGGGGTGCAGGCAGCACGAGGAGGCCAACAAGAACGAAGCATTGGATCTCCACACCGTACATGGACTCTAACAATAATGCATTCACTTCAAGACCAAACCCAGAATAACCCATACCCAAGGAAAGACGTCCAGCTCACAGCGCAAGCACAGAAGGATAACCCATGTCCCAACCAGAACTCATGTCAGTCGGCGCCCAGCGACATCGCCGACAGCCCATCAGACACCGAGCTCGCTCCACTCGGACTATCCAAGAAGAAGCTCTCATACTCCTCCGCCTCCCGGGCCTCATCTGAGTCCAACTTCATGTGCCTGGATTTCTGAACAAACTCCTCGTAATTACCACGAATAGTGGCCTGATCAGGGCCACAAGCTCCATCCCCCAACAGCTCGAGATCTTCGAGGCATGTTAGCATCGAGTTCCTGTTATCGACTGGCTGCGTATCGACCTCAAGTGGGGAATCAGCCTTTCGATCCCGGCCTGGGTGATTGAACAACATGCGCTTGACGCTGCCCTTCCTGCGAAGCGCAGGCATGATCCGTGAGGTTCCGGTGCTAGTAGTATATGCGCGAGATTTTGAGGCTTGTGTCTGTTCGAAACTGCCCCGCGGCTTCGAGATCTTTGTGGCACAGCCGACTTGAGCTTCACTTGTGCAAGTGGTCGAGAGATGTCCCAGATCTGTTCTGTCAGTGAGGAGTAGTCACAGGGTAACTGAGAACATACCATCCATATACTTATCAGTCCATGCCTCGGCCATAGCACCTTTGTCATCAGTCATCAGCTCGTCTTCGGTTATCAGATCGACGACATCAGAGGATCTGTCTTGCACTGCTTTACTCTGCCAAACCCGCTGCCGTTTCGTAGTCAGCTCCAGAGACCCTTCATCATCGATGTCGTCCAAAGCAAGCCGAGTAGCTTTGGATGGTGTCACGTCAAAGACAGAGCTGATGGGCATCTGTCGCTCTGCTTTGCGCTTGGTAGATCCGCCGTTGTAGCGGATGTTTGACACAGTCTCAGCACGTGCGATATTTTCGACGTGCTTGTCCATTATGACGTTTATGCGGTTTATGTTTTCTTTCTTGCACTCTGCATACGACTGAACTTTTGAACGGGCAGCACCCGCCTTCGTCGGTGACTCGGACTTCGCTTCATCGGTTCCTTTTAGAGACATGGCCGTATTTTGCGGAACAGGAAGCTTCTCTTCTGGCGACATACTGTCCATCCGCTGTAATAAATGATACGAGATATCATCGCTTTGGAGTGATTTCGCATGGGTCTTAGCCGAGAGTTTGATGTTGTAACGGCTGCTACGTTCGAATCGGACTCCTGCAGGGAAATGCATCGTACTCTTGGCAGTTAGCGTCGTTTCCATGGTCGGTGCATCGCTCCGCGGGACAATGGCTTTGAAGCTGTGCTCAGCTTGGGACCACCTATGCAGAAAATCAGCATACTGTACATCAATAATCCGTACACTGTGTTGACGCGGAACATGCAACACAGAGAATATTAAGACTGGTATGTCTCTGATCAGGGAAACGCACTCTAGTGGGAGGCACTGCGAATCAACCGTGAACTTAACGAAGTCGTGAAAGACTGCAAACCGAGGCCCGGTAGCATTGCCATAGTCAGGTGAGCGATACTCGGGGTGGATTGAATAAGACGCTCCAGGAGGTAAAGTGGTTGGGAGCTCGGGGAAGCTGACATTTGGGGGCTGCCAGATTACTTCTCCCACGATCGATGTCATGGGCAGTGAAAAGAGAAGGTCAACTTGAACGCGGGGACAAAGAGAGGCATCGATGAAGCAGTCGCGCGTGCGCACAAAATTGTATGCAAAGCTAGGTAGATCTTCATCCGAAAGACACCATGTGCTCGCGGGTCGTTGGCCAGGCTTGCCTAAGAAGGGTCAGTCATGTAAATCAGGAATGGGTATGACTGGATTGCCGGTGCTGGCGCAAAACAGGGAATAACCAAGCGCTTGGTGAGAAAAGCTGAAGTCAGGCGTACGCACCGCCATAATAAGATTCGAGCATCGTATGCACGAGACCTTGCAGATCGATGTTAAAATCATGTGAAAGGGTGAAGGTATCATCGTCGATAGCCAGTAGAGTGGAAATTATTTCGTAAACGCTATCTACTCGAATCATCAGTTGTGCTTAAACAAGCCTATAGCCATGTACAAAACGAATGTGTGCACAATGTTTCTGAATTACAAGGAGTCGGGCAACGGTGGCACTGCATTGATCGTCGTGGGACTGACGCACCTACGATTTGCTCTTCTAGCGCCTTCCGGAAGATGCGTTCCCATGTGAGAACCTCCTCTGCCTGTTGGAGGCTGAGGCCTTTCCAACATGACACCACGTCCAAATGATTGATCGAGATATTGTTGTTGAAGCCTGAACGTCGCACGTCTGGACAGTAAACTTCGGTGGCGGTCGATCTGTCTTCACCAGGTAGGCTCTTCAGCTGCAGTCCATCGGCGAACAGGCCTTTGCCGTACAAGGACCACAGGCGCTCGGTCATAGAATTGTATTGTTCGGGCGGTGTTTGCGGCATCGGCGGAGTCGAAGGATGCGCGTGCGTCGACTCAGGGGGAGTAACATCATGGCGTGCCATGATATTGCCGGCTTGATGATGATTGTTGTTGCTATGAAGAATAGCGGATAAGCCGCTCGTTGTTCGATGCAGCTGGTTGCCGGGAGATCAAACAAGGTGCGGATGCTAGGATGCAAGTGTTTGGGTGCTGCGCGCCTATAACATCATCATGTTCAGAGGCAATTGCGTCCTTCCGCTAAATGGCATCCATGCTGGCGCGGGTTGTCAATCTACGTGAATCAGCAGGTACGTCCGAATACAAACAGCAAGCCCGACGTACCGCTCATCTTTGTTTCCAAGCTTGGATATCTGCAGAAACGCGTCTACGCCGAAACCCTCTAGACTGTGTATTTCCAGGCTGCCAGCCCAATATTCTGGTCGTGTCTATATTAGAACATCAATCGCTTCTACACGACGAAGAATTACTTACCTGCATATACCCTCGACATCGGGAGTCCAATGCCAAGGCGAAGATCTGGTGGGCGACTGGTGAGGCTCGACAGCGAGGAACCACCGTCATGTTTGTCATGGTTTTTCGAGTCTGCACCAGGAATTTTCAATTCTTGCAGCGTGCCTAGCAATTTGGGTACACGGGCCAGGTTCTGCTGTCGTTTCTGAAGTCGCGGCCCCTTACTAAAACTCCAAAGGTGAGGTAGAATCTCGTTGGAGATGCCGCCGCCCTGATCAGATATCCTGATAATGACATGTTGCGAGGTCTCGCAGATCAGGACTTCAATCGGTGGAGGCTTGGCGCCATCGTACTTTCTTTGTTCGATGACTGCCTGTATCGAATTTCGGATGAGTTCGCCGATGATATACTCCAGGTGGCTCTGGATGTAGGGGAAGGTGGCGTCGAGGTGGCCTTCAACGCGGATATCTGGGAGCTGTACGTTAGAGCCATATGCAGCCTTGATCAACTCCTGCGTCGTGTTTCCGCAGCGTTCGACAATCTCTTTCGCATTACACTTCAGGAAGATTTCCCCAACAGTGTCAATGTGCGGATCGTGCTCAGGCTGGTTGTGTGGAAAATGCCAAGGAGAATTGAAGGTATCGGTCAGCGCCAGGTGCTGCTCTGCAATGACACGGCGCGAAATACGCTGCCGGTGTTAGCCTCCACCCATTTCTGGCCCAGAAGAAGTTTCATACAGATCGCAGCATGGTATTCATGAACTTGTCCGTCTCCTCAGGTCGCATCAGCCCACGCACTTCGAGCACACCGAGGGCCAACCTAGGAATAACGGTTGCATGCTCCGTCAAGGTCTCCTGCAGTATCTTGCAATATCTCTCGTTGTCATCTAGGGTGCGTATTTCTGGGACCCGGCGGAAACGCTCAAAGGCACTAAGGTATTGTTCGTAGACGTGGGCAAGATGGGGGTTCGCAACGACAACGTAAGGAAGTGTCTGGATGTCACGCAGACGGTGCGCTATCCTATAGAGCTTCAGCACACAATCCCCCGCCGAAATGGAAGGGGTCAGTACCTCGTGGGTAGCTCCAAGCGGCAGTAGTTGGCGCCATCCAGCAAACGGGACTCGGTGAGGGTGCGGCCAAAGAAGGTCAAACGACGCAGACTGATGGGCCTGGCCTCGCGCTGGACCCATCTGTGAATATGTGTCAACTACTGCCAGGCTGCTATGAAGGGTGGACGTTGGGTATGGCATACTCGTCCAACGCCGACGACGGACGCCATGCGGGCGGGTGTGCTACAGCGGCTGCATGGGTGGCTCTTTTGTGTCTTAACGGCGACAAGCATTGCGACGGAGCTCTAGTCAAGCTTTCACAGCAGGGTGAGCGCAGCCAAGGCGCGATATATCTCGTCGCCATTGACATGGCAGCTGCTGGAGAAAAGTGGTGGGGAGATAGATCAATGGTCAATGCCCGCACAGGAAACAGTGCTCGCAAAGCTGCATACAGCCCGGCCACAGTCCCGCCGTGACACAATCACAGCCTGCATGATCCGCGATTGGTGTAGCAATGCATCCTGCGCGCGAACATGTAGATATAGATCGGGGCCCTGAGGCTTGCGTGGGCGTTCGCCGGAGCAGTCGTGGCAGCACACGCGTGAGTTGGTCGCCCTGTGTTTGCGCGCCAGCATGACGTTGTAGCTGGCACTGGGGGCTGCCTTTGTACGCGGTACCACACCTTTGGAAGCAGCACCCTTTACATAGCTTTCGCTGAGAATTCTAGCCATTCTACCCAGGAGCACCACTGTTGCGTTCGCAATCCCAACGCAGGCAGACGGTGCTATTCTCGCGCACTCTCCGGCACTCAGAACGGGCGCCTGCAGGCACGGCGGCGAATCGTCATTGTCCACTCCACCACCGCCACCTTTTTAGCGAGGCAGGTCCGTTCCTCCCCAAGCATCTGCACAACGCCTGCACTCCACACTTCCCGCGACTGGTGCGCATTCCGAGAGCTCAGCGACCCCGGGCACACCAGACCGAGCGCGCTGCACACCCACTGACCTGCCCGCCACCTCTGCGCACCTCTGCTTCTGCGACAACATCCGCCGCGCGCCGCAGCCATGGACCAGGTAAGCTCAACCGGGCACATGTGCCCTCGGCACCCAGAGGCGACGCCTTACTGACCAACGTGTTGCACAGCTCGGGAGTGATATGGTCGTCGAGCCTGAGTTCGACGAGAAGCAGGATGTTGCCATTATCACCAACGACGGCGATGACACCATGGACGAGGTCGATGGCGACGATGAGCCCCGCGCCGACGAATACGACGCCTTCTTCAAGAAGCACATGCCCGAGCTACCAGATCAGGAGACTGAAGCAGAGGCATATGACACATGGGAAATCAAAGACTGGCGAACGCTTACCAGGCGGGAGCATGGCCCTGTCTTCGACTGCGGTGGCATTCCCTGGCGCATACTCTTCTTCCCCTTTGGCAACAATGTCGATTTCGCCTCCTTCTACCTCGAACAGGGCTATGACGAGAAGAAGGTGCCCGAGGACTGGTACGCCTGTGTGCAGTTCATGCTCGTCCTATGGAACCCAAACGATCCCTCCATGTTCATCACACACACCGCTACCCACCGCTTTACCGCCGATGAGGGAGACTGGGGCTTCACACGCTTTGCTGAGCTTAGGAGGCTATTCTCGGCTAGCTGGGACGAAAGAGGTCGGCCCATGGTGGAGGATAATGCAGCAAACGTCACAGCTTACGTCCGAGTACTGAAAGACCCAACTGGCGTTCTGTGGCACAACTTCATAAATTACGACTCCAAAAAGGAAACCGGCATGGTCGGGCTCAAGAATCAGGGCGCTACCTGTTATCTGAACTCCCTTTTACAGTCATTATTCTTCACCAATGCTTTCCGACAGGCCGTCTACCAGATACCGACCGAGAAAGAAGAGAACCGCACCGATAGCGCATTTGCTCTGCAGAGATTATTCTACCTCCTGCAAACGTCCAACACCGCTGTTGCGACTACTGATTTGACACACTCCTTTGGATGGGACTCGAAACAGATCTTCGAGCAACAAGATGTACAAGAGTTATCGCGCGTACTCATGGACAAGCTCGACGAGAAAATGAAGGGAACGGAAGCCCAAGGTGCGCTCGAGCGGATGTTCGTCGGGAAAATGAAAACCTACATAAGTTGTATCAACGTAGCCTACGAATCCTCGCGGATGGAAGAGTTCTGGGACATCCAGCTAAACGTCAGCGGCAACAAGAACCTCGACGACAGCTTCAAGGACTACATCCAGGTCGAGACTATGGACGGCGATAACAAATACCACGCCGAAGGACACGGTCTGCAAGATGCGAAGAAGGGCGTCATCTTCGAGTCGTTCCCACAGGTCCTCCATCTTCAACTGAAACGCTTCGAATATGACATACAACGCGACGCCATGATGAAAGTTAACGATCGCTACGAGTTCCCTGAGATTTGGGATGCGGCGCCGTATCTCTCCGAGACCGCCGACCGATCGGAGCCCTGGATCTACCACTTGCACGGCGTCCTGGTGCACAGCGGTGACCTCAATGCCGGTCATTACTATGCATTCTTGAAGCCCGAGAAAGAAGGTCACTTCTATAAGTTCGATGATGACCGAGTTACACGAGCCACAATCCCCGAAGCCCTGGAAGAGAACTTTGGTGGGGACTACACACAAGCTAACGGCAACATTGGCCAGCGGAATCCCTACACCCGGACTTGGTCGGCCAAACGCTCTATGAGTGCCTACATGCTGGTGTACATCAGAGAGAGCCGGCTAGACGACATGTTACTGCCCGGAAAGGAGGTGAAGGCCCCTCAGCATCTTGCCGAACGTGTCGCCGAAGAAAAGGCAGCATTTGAGCGAAGGCGGAAAGAGCGCGAAGAAGCGCATCTGTACATGGAGGTTGCCGTCGCCTCCGAACGAGAATTCCGGCTCCACCAAGGTTTCGATATCGTGCCTTGGAAAGCTGAGACGGAAAGTGACGCAAACCCCAAGATATACCGTGTGCTCAAGGCGACCACCGTACTTGACTTCATGAATACGGTAGCTGAAGATCTCGGAACGGAGGCTGACCTGCTTCGACCCTGGTCCATGGTCAACAGACAGAACGGAACCACGCGTCCAGACGTGCCCATAGGGTTCCTTGAGATGTCCATGGACCTAGCCTGTCAAAAGTACGGTACAAAAACAGCACCCATGAGACTCTGGATCGAGAAGACCGATCAACGCGATGACGACGGCAAACCCGTGTTCGGTGGTGACCTTATCGACGCCAAGAACCAGCAAGGCAGCAAGACGTTGATGCTCTTCCTCAAGCACTTCGATGCCAAGAATCAAAGTCTCTACGGAGTTGGCAACGTCTATGCGTCAAGTCTCGATAAGGTCGGCGATTTGGGTCCGCAGATTTGCAAGATCTTGGGTTGGCCCGCATCAACTCAATTTCAACTTTCCGAGGAGATCAAGCAGAACATGATAGAGGCTATGAAACCCAAGGTTACTCTCGCTCAATCAGAGATCCAGGATGGCGATATTATCACCGTGCAGAAGACGTTGTTGGATAAGGAGATCACCCAAATCACCGCGTCAGGAGGCTACGGTAACGCCAAAGACTTCTATGATTATCTTCTCAACCGCATCCAAGTCGAGTTCGCGCCCCGGTTAGGCGAATCGACGCAGCTGCCAACCTTCACGTTGACCTTGAGCAAGAAGATGACCTACGAGCAGTTTTCCACCAAGGTGGCCGAGCACCTGAAGATTGAGCCTACGCACGTCCGTTTTACGACAGTCAATACTGCAGGAAAGCCAAAGTCACAGATCAAGTACTCACAGCAGGGCACTTTAAATAGCATTCTCTTTCCGGGACCGTATGCATATGGCGGCAACACGATGCTCAGGTCGGATCAGCTGTTCTACGAGGTACTAGATATGAGTTTGAAGGAACTGGAGCAAAGAAAGGCCCTGAACATTACGTGGTTGCCGGAAGGCTTGACTAAAGAGGCATGTTTCCTATATTCATGACAATTGTATACGCTAACGCAACATAGGAGCAATATCAGTTGATGATCCCGCGAAATGCCACTATAGCCGATGTTCTGGAAGCTCTACAGAAGAAGGCTAACATAAGCGATGAGGTCATGGGGAAAGTGCGCGTATTCGAAGCCCACAACAACAAATTTTACAAGTCACTCAGCGCTGACTTCCAAGTCATGGGCATTGGCGAGTACCTGCAGCTTTACGCTGCGGCGTTCCCTGATGACGATTCAGCCAAGAAAATCACCGTATTCCACTATGACAAGGATGTTTCGAAGGTTCATGGCATTCCTTTCCAATTATCCCTCAAGGAGGGAGAGACCTTCAGCGATACCAAGCAACGACTCTCAGACTTCACCAAGATCAAAGGCAAGCAATTTGATAAAATCAAGTTTTCTCTGGTCTCGAGGGCGACGTATTCAAGACCAGAGCCAGTTGAAGATGGTGAGTTCCTCGCGTCCACGAAGCATGGTGCATTTCTAACCTTCGATAGACGAGATCTTGTGGGATTTGATAGGTGATAGGGATGATATAGCAATCGGTCTGGACCACGCCAACAAGTCGCGGAGCTTCTGGGGCAAGTCTGATTCCATCTTCATTCGATGAGGGCTGTTTACACAGCATGTACGCTTTATTGCAGGGTCGAAATTCATTTTTTCAGGGAGCGCGGCGCAGTCTGGGAGCGACTGCATGTTATTGGACTCGGTGTGATTCTTGTGCATATATAGACACCGCTGAGTGCGGTCTCATAGCTTGGAGTGTGGAGGTTGGTGTCGAGCACGAGGTGAAGAGTGTTCGCACGCGCGGGACGACTGTATTGGATGTTGAGGCGTGAAGGCTGCATTATGGGAACGGGATGAGAACACATCAATCGAAAAAACACATACGTACAATCTCTTCCATGCCCTTTGAACATGCTTTGCTCTCTAACAACCCTCTGCACGCGCTCGAGTGCAATGCGGGCACCCGGCCCCACTGATTGGCCAATGCAGCAGCTCCTCCGCGCATGGCCCGATGTTCTTCCGAAACGGCCAGCTGGAACGTTGCACGTCGACCCTGGGAACGCCTTGGAGGCTCGCGTGTCCGACGAAAGCAACCACCACCACGATGCGGACTTTTGCAGCTTTGACGGGCCTGCTGGCCTACTGCGCGACAACTGTTTCGGCCACCGCATTGACTTACCGCTTGGAGGCCCACGAGCGCGCGTGCTTCTTCACGAATGTCGAGACTAAGGGAACCAAGGTGGCCTTCTACTTTGCCGTACGTTTGCCTTTACCCTTTGACTGGCCAATGCTAATTTGAGTTACAGGTCCAATCCGGTGGCTCCTTCGACGTTGACTACGCAGTCACTGGCCCTGGCGATCGAGTAATATTAGATGGCACTAAGGAGCGCCAGGGCGACTTCGTCTTCACGGCCAACGACGAGGGCGAGTACCGCTTCTGCTTTAACAACGAGATGAGCACCTTCGCTGAGAAGACGGTGGACTTCGAGATCGCGGTACGGGCACCTTTCCATCCCACTATTATCCCCGATACTTCCTTTTTCGAGGCTCTCACCCCGCCTCAGCTCCAACGCTGGATCTCCAATTACAATTCAAGATATGAGAAAGGCATGATGTCTAACGCAGGAGCCCCACAGGTCGAGAACGAGGTTCGCGCACAGCTGCCGAGCAAACAGGGATCGACTCCGGAGCAGACGAGCGTGCTGGAGGAGAGTATATTGAAGCTGAGCGCACAGTTGAGCACCATCAGCAGGAGCCAGAAGTACTTCAGAACGAGGGAGAACCGGAATTTCAGCACGGTGAAGAGCACGGAGAAGCGGATATTTAACTTCAGCATGATGGAGGTGGGTTTGATGGTTGCGATGGCTGGGCTACAGGTCTTCATCGTGCGCTTCTTCTTTCAGGGCGCGCGGAAAGGTGAGGACTCACTCAAAATTAGACTATTTATGTGTGAATGTGCTGACTGGTTTTCTAGGATACGTATGAGCGAACGCGGCAGCACGGGCTGAGAAAATGCGTATGGCAATGGGTAAAAAAAAGCGAGGGCTTCGCGCCTGGAACGGGCCTGCTCGGGCGGCGCATGGAGGGTCAAGGTCAATTGTGTATCATCATAGCGGCATTTGTTTGGGATACGGAGTCAAGACAGGATCGATTAACGAGATATCATTTGCACTCTCTGCACAAATCGCGGCGCTCTAATATGTGCGCTTTTGAACACTGACAGGCAAAGAGTTTGGGTATCGCATCGCAGCCTGGGGAATCTCGCGGTATCAAAACCTTTAATGAGGTACCTGTCATTCACTTGTTGCCTCTGACGACGCCCGCCCCGCCTCTCTTGCCCTCTTGCCCTCACCTACTTCGCCATTTTGTTTTGACACTCAACACAACACCACACTGGCGTTCTCGCACAAACACCCTTCAAGTCCTACCATGGACACCTTCGAGCGAGACCGCCAGCAGGCCAGAGAGCTTGCTCAGCAGCAAGCGCGTGATTACGCGCAGAACTTTGGGACGGGAGGGGTAAGTCTTGATAGGGTAGCCAGGGGTAAGTTGAGGGAGCTGACGAGACGGTACAGAACCTGTACGGTCTCCTCCAGCCTGGGCTGCCGCCTCTGGGCTTATTTGCGCTGCCGAGACCGTCTGGTCACCCTCCCCTTCACCCAAACGTAGACAGCAGCAACAAGCGAAAGCGCGTTGAGTTCATCGACCTCACCTCCGACGCTGACGGCACTTCCACGGAACTTCAACCCCACTCCGTCAAGCGACCTCGTCTTTCACCGCCCAAGAGCGCTCCGCCGCAACTGTCACCCACGAAGAAGAGGAAGAAGCAGCCTATCGGCGCTCTCCGCAAGAAGCAGCAGGACGAGCAGGTCGCGCAATCAACAGCTGACGAACAGTTAGCCGGGAAGCTGCAAGAAGCGCAGTCGACGGCTGACGAACAACTAGCCAGGGAGTTGCAAGAAGTTGAGCACCGCAACGGTAAGGCACGGAGGTTGAGGAATAAGATTGGGAGTCCTGAGAAGTGTGGAGAGCGTAGCCAGCGTCAACGGAGCTTGAAGAGCGCGAGTCCAGAGAAGCGCCTAGGCAAGAAGCTTTCAGTCTATGAGGAGTTTCAGAGGATTGAAGAAGAAGCTGCGCAAGGTAAACAGAGGCAGCGGAGTTTGAGGATTGCCAGCCCAGAGAAGCACTCGCAACGTACACTGAGGAGCAGCAGCCCTGAAAAGCAACCGGGCAAGAAGCTTTCCGTCTACGAGGAATTCCAGACGATTGAACGAGAAGCTGCACAAGGCAAGCATCCAAGCAAGAAGCGCTCAGTCTACGAGAAGGCCCAGAAGATTCAGCAAGAAGCCGCACAAGGCAAGCATCCAAGCAAGAAGCTTTCCGTCTACGAAGAGTTCCAGAAGATTCAACAAGAAGCCGCTCAAGGTCAATCCACGCGAACCAAGAAGCGCATTCTTCGAAGTGCCAGCCCAGAGAATTCCACCAAGCGTACGCGTCGAGGCAACACCCCCGAACAACGAAAGGCCTCCAAGCAGAGCACACGAGCCACGATGCACCGTATCAACTCCACTGAGGAGCTGAACACTCTAGAAGCGCAACTCCGAACCCAGTCTCGCGCTCCAGCATCAGCAGAAGACGACCGCCGCAAGATGCCGCCACCGCCTCCACCTATGAACGCAACAGATTATCCTATGCTGTCTGCCCAGAACACAGCAGGTCACACTATGCTGCCTGCCCAGAACACAACAAGTCATCCTATGCTCTCTGCCCAGAACATAACGGGCCATCCTATGCTCTCTGCCCAGAATATCAGCGGCGATATCATTCCCAAAGGCACTCAGTCCAGGCCCATGAATCCCTTGAACCCTCCTATGTCGCTCCCTACCAACCAAGACATACTACACAAATCCAAAAACGCCCGCGTCACAAAGCAATCATACCACACTGCGCACAAACAACCCTACTCCACGCAAGAGACCCAGCGCCTCGCGCAGTTCCACGATGCCTCCCTCCGTGCCCAAGAGCGCACCCGGCAGGAGCGGCAGGAGGTCGAGACTTACATCCAAAATCACACTCGACAGCGCGAAGCCTCGCAAAATGGCGTACACATGTTCGATGTCGAATATACCCACGTTGCGTTCGATATGTGCCAATATTTCAACTCAATAGACTACCGCTACGGACATCTCCCGAGCATGAACCCGGATCTGCCAGTCCCGAGTATCGAACATGAGCATTTGGGGGCGGCGCATGATCGGAGCACTCCCGTCGTCGTTCCCCCACTCGAGGAAGTTTTCGGCCTGGGACGCGAGCCCGCAGGACCGGACATCCTCGTCGACCTCACAACCCATGACCCTGAGAGTACCGAGAAAGAGCTTACACCGCTGTTCGACGCCCCCGTTCCCCACGACCGGTTCATCAACGCTTTCGAGCTTCCCGCATACAATCCTATCACCGCTTCGGATGCGGACTTCTTCCCCCTCGAGGCTGGACATGAGACGGGAACCTTTCTGGAGCCTGAGTGGGATAAACAGGAGGGGTGTTGGAGGGCACCGGAGCCGGGCACAACGCAGGAAGGTGCCATCGTGGGAGAGCTATTGCAATATGTGCAAGAAGAGAAGACTTGCGATTGGACCGATGAGGCGTCGGGATGGGTCTAAAATTGGATGAGATGATCTGGTCTGAGATCCCTGGGAGTATTGTGATCGTGTTTGGTCACCAGGATTCTCTTGAAGGAATTCGGTGTCCTTTGACTCATATTGGAATTGGGCGTTGCGTGGTAATGGCACGCACCGCAATGCGATGCCGAGAGATACCTGCTTGTTTCTGCTTGTTTCTGCTTGTTTCTGCTTGAGCACACTTTGTATAGGGAGATACCCCCGAGAAGCAACATGCTTTTCTCTTTGCTTAACTCGAGCTCGAGCTCGCGGTTAGCATGTCCAGTCAGGATAGACAATCACAAAAGTCGATGATTTTGATAACATTGTGATAACATTGTGTTATTGTAGATGCATGAATGAGTAGAAGCCTAGACATGGTTTCGTGGAGCAGCTGAATAGACTTGGATTGAGAAGTGCACGCACTGTGACTCTTCACACATGCACATTGGCATTCAGTATTTCATTCATTCTTCGATGCACAGATTGCTCATTGAACCTTTCTTTCAATAACAACTCCTTGTCAAACTTCCGGAGTGCTATCGAGGGTTGTAGGGTTTAAACAGGTCGATGGTTTTGGGGTTTTGGACTATCATAACTAACAGGAGTCGCGTTTCATGTGGCGGCAATAATTGGCACAGTGGTGTCTTGTTAGTGATATCATGCTTCGTTTTGGTATGCAAATATATCACACCGCACTCCAATCCCCTTTAATGCCCTCACTATCTTCCGCTATCGCCCACTCTTCCCTCCTTGCATGTTCTCTACTCGCCCTATCTCTCTCGCTGCTTCCCACCCGACTCAACACCTCACTCCTCACGTCCAGCTCCGTAGTCATCAATATCCCTCCCGCCGCCATGATCTCCTGCCACGGGCTATCGTGTCCATCCTCATCGCTCCCCTCTCCCTTGAATTCCCTCGGCCAGATAATCTCCTCACTGCGCGATCGCTTGAGCGTCGATGACCCCGTCAAGGACGACACGTTCGTATCGAGGCCAAGACTGTGCTTGTGCGAGTTTGTGAGCGATAGGTGCAGCGAAGGAAGCTGGAAAGAGTCAGTGTGCGTGAGGGATGAAGTGCGGCGGGATCTCGGGTTTCGACGGCGCCTTCGCACGGAAGAGTAGTGGTGTGATGGAGGTTGAGGTGGCGGTGGGACGGACTTGAAGGAGGCGATGTTTGCTGCTATAAGGGTGGCTTGGACTTCGAGGAGAGACCAGAGGGTGATATGCATGGCGTCTCGTCGTACGTCGTTTGAGGCCGCGTACGCTTTGAGCAGCGTGATCCTTAGAATACTGCATGCGGTTGCAAAGAGGCCGAGCGTTATGACAAGTATGGCGAGGATCCCCTCGCGAGTCGGGACAAGTCCTGCCTGCGCGAACGATAACGGCGTCAACGCCAGGACGAGATCTGTGGCAGTGCCGACACCCGCTTGTACATATTCGCTTGATAGAACCGTGTTGCTAGCCGTGCAAACAGAATCCCGATGTATGGCTTCATTCCAATTGTACTCCAGTGGTATGCACTGCACAACCATGAACACGAGACTGATGATGCAGAAAAGGACTTGTGCGGCGATGAGAAGGGATAGCGTGATCCGCCATGGGCGGCCTTGCTTAAAGTGGAGGACTGTGAATGCAATGCCGATCCTGATTAATGCAGTAGTGGGTATCCAGAAGAGGTCCGAAGCGAAAAGAAGATGGTGGGCGTGAATTTTGAGGTATCGTGAAGAAGAAATTACGTCGTGGCCGAGACCATACGTAGTGGCAGCGATGACAAGAGACCATTCGATAAGTGCGAGAAGCTGTTTGTGCAGGTTAGCGTGGTCTTACTGAACCAAAGCTTGACATACAGTAGCCAGCGTGATGCTATAGTCATCCCATCGAAACCGTCTTTGCTTGGCTCTCTCGTATACGCGTCCGCCGAACAGAGTGAGGATCACCAAGAAAAGGAACGCTGTAACACCAAGTAGTGTTGTCGCTGGCGAAGTTGCCATCCTACGCGTGAGGGGTGATCCGATTCAGCGAAAGGCCATACGAACCGACTGACGAGGGTTGCGAATGGTTATGATCAACGGAGCACCTCTATATCACAAGACCAAACACCAAACCAAGCATCCGGGTACGACCATGCGCCTGTCTAACGCATCGACTCATGTATACTGATGCCATGATCGACGACCAAACACGCGCCGCGTTGGGGACTGCATGGCGCAAATAGCCAGAAACCATGCATATAGAGCACTTGCCGATTCGACAGCAAGCGACCACCACTTCTCGGTAGATTAGCGTTCCAAATTCTCCACAGTCTTTCCAAAGTGCTCATTCGGTTGTGATATGCGAGTGTTTGCAGTGCGCCTCTTTAGCCTGTATTACCTGCAACGTGGGTTGAAGGCGCCAACGTGTCGGAAGAAATGTTGTGCGCCACGCCTATGCTAGTAGTCAGGACGCAAGTGCGCATAAATGATGCGAATATGCAGTTTGGTGAGTGCTGGCAAGTGGAGCGAAAGGTTTGGAGTTGTATTGACCGTGGGTCGGAATCTACGTGTCCGGTCACAAAAACAGTATAGCATATGCGGATAAGGCTCTTTACTCCAGTCGTGTCTGTACACTTTCTATTTCGGTGGATGGACATTCCTCAGATCGTGCAATGCGCTGCTGGATTCCAGTATTTTTGACAACAGTGTCGGGTAGTCCCATCCCACGCCAGCAGCTGCCAATGCTGTTAAGCTCGCTTGATTTTCCCGTCCCTTTCGGCCTGGCCCTGTCATATTCTACAACGGCTGTCAGAATGATTCAAACCGTACTCTACAGCGTGTACTCACAGGTTTCATGTTCACATCAAATAAGGCGAATGGTGAAGACTTGGCCTCGCTGATTCGTCTGACATCGACTCGAATTGGCGCCGTCGTCTGAAGTAGTGTCGCAGCTTCGACGCATTGACGTTGTATGTCTCCGTAATTTGGATCTCGCTCGTGCTCTTCGGCTGTCACGAGTCGCGAATTCTGCGTAACAGCTACAGCACCATTGTAGGGAGCGATGCCATCCGCGTGGTTGAATCGCTCGACTACGGGCATCGCCCAGTAATCACTGATTCCCGAGGTTTGGGAAGGAGGCATCACGGTGATGGTCCCCTCCACTCCTGGGAGATAGTCCTCAACGATGACAGAAGACTGTTGGCTAAGTAGATCTTTGCAGTGGTTGTGGAGTTCTTCTCCTGTTCGACATACTTTTACGCCGTGGCTACCCCGCCCGCGAACCGGTTTACCTACAACGGGAAACTGCCGTCGCGATGAAAGCACGTTTGCAAGCTCATCCTCATTTCGAACAAGTTGCGCTGAAGGCAGCTTGTAGCCTCCTTTCAACCTCAAGAGTTCATTGACGTAATTCTTGTCATCGTAAAGTTCCACCAGCTTGGGCGGCTGGCCTACGATTTTCAGATGTTTTGCTGCCTCATTGAGCTTCTTAGACGTCTGTAAAGGATGGTTGGCGAAGAGGATTGTGTTGGCCCAGAGATGCGTTGCTCTTTGATTGACGGCAGACAGTATACTAGATTCCGTGTCCCCGAATACCCAATCCGCATCATTCCATGGATCAGGTGACGATGAAGGCGTTACAACGTCCAGCCCGCAGCGATACTTTAAGACATATGCGATGTCTGCTCCCGAGTCTTTGTAGCCTGAGTAGGGTCAACATTTGCGTCTGGATAGATTCCTGCTTCGTATTCATACCTCCAGGCTTCTTCGGCTTCCTGATGCCGTTGATGAGAGGTGGGTCGAGCTCTTGGTACAGGACTGCGACGCGTGGTAGAGTAGGCTCGAAACGGGAAAGATGAGCCGAGGCTGAAAACGAACGGCAAGTGCACGCGGAAAGCCGCAGAACGCTTGTCGGCTGGACCTGGTGACTACGCGACAATGCATACATGCCGAATGCTGCGCTAGACAATCAATATTGTCGAATGGACGAGTAAAAGGTAGCGGTAGGTTGTTTCCAATGCTTCAAGAAGAGATGTAGATGTTCGGCGAAACACCGTCGGTGAATAGCCGGGACCTAGCGGCGGAACGCTCCTGCTCTTCGGATCCATCCGAAGACCATCGATCAGACACGCGTTTAGTGACAACTATCGAGATCGAGACAACCATTATGCGGTGCCGATGCGAGAAAGCTATCGCAGTCAGACCGACGAGTGTCTAGCGATGATGTTACAAATTTGGACACCCAGCAGCATGCCGAGGCTGTCTTTAGCAAACATTGGAAATGGGCGGTATGTTGAGTGCTATGCGAGTATGGGGAGAATTGGCGGGCGTTGACTTCTCTCTATAGTGAATACCAGGAGTTTCATCTCGGACCCTAACGTCCTTCTTGACAGCGCCCTACGCGCATGTGCATCTCTCCAACCGGGCTTGGAGCTCGACAAGGCCAGTCGAGGTCAGTGACACAACTGGAGGGTGCTTTTTAGGAGTATATAGATGGAAACGCTGACATTTGGCAGTGGTTTACCGCCCGCAGGGTCAACATGCGCCGAAAGTCACGCTGCTCAGTGGAGGTGGTGGAGGGCATGAGCCGGGACATACTGGCTACGTCGCCAACGGTATGCTCGATGCAGCTGTCAGCGGCCCAATTTTTGCTTCTCCAAATGCAAAATTCGTTCGCGCAGGCCTTCGTCATATTGCGTCACCCAAAGGGTCTCTCGTTGTCATCAAGAATTACACCGGCGACCGCCTCAATTTTGGCCTTGCTGCAGAGCAAGCAAGAGCGTATGATGGTCAAGAGCTCGAGACTGTGGTAGTCCAGGATGATGTAGCAGTCCCTCGATCACGTTGCGGACTTGTTGGACGACGTGGTCTGGCAGGCGTTGTCCTTGTGCACAAGGTTGCTGGAGCATCTGCAGCTGAAGGTGCTGCGTTGGCTGAAGTAGCTGCGAACTCACGGTATGTAGCGGATCGCCTCGCTACCATCGGTGTGTCATTGGAAGCTTGCTCTGTTCCTGGATTGCAAGAAGGTCGCACAATCGCTCCAGGCGAAATGGAACTTGGAATGGGCATTCACAACGAGCCCGGGTCCCAACGCATTAGCAGCGAGCAGGATATCATGTCACTCGTCGGCAGTATGCTATCTGCCATTCTGGATCAGTCGAACAAAGAGCGGGGATTCTTGAACTGGAATAATAACACGCAGTTTGTGCTCTTAGTCAACAACCTCGGGGGGCTGTCCAAATTGGAGCTGCTTGCAATAACTGACCACGTATTGCACGGTTCGAAGACGAACTTTGGAATGAGTCCGTCTCGGGTATACTCAGGCACCTATCTGTCTTCGCTCGACGGACGCGGCTTCTCTATTACCCTGCTGGCTTTAGAACAGGCACACTCTGCCGATGTGTTTAGGTTACTAGACGCGCCGACTTCTTGTGTCAACTGGCAAGTTGCTCTGCCTTTCAATCAACATAGTACGGCCGTCCGCCCCGACTCACCACTTAAGGAGGCTCCGCCTATGGACATTGATACTACGCCTCTAAAGCAAACAATCCAATGTGAGTACCTCTTTCATAGGGACCATGCAGAATAGTGACGCAAGACCATAGGTGACGCAAATTTCTTCAACGCCGTGATACAAAGCATCTTCTCCTCGCTAGAGCGAGAAGAGCCTGCAATAACTCGCTTTGACACCTATCTTGGCGATGGAGACTGCGGCACGACACTCCTTGCTGGTGCCGCAGGTCTCAAGCAGACATTCTCAGACTTAGCCACCGCAAATATGTTTGATCTCCTGACCAGTACTCAACGTCTGACTGACAGTCTGGGCACAACTATGGGCGGCACTTCTGGCGCGCTTTATTCCATCTTCTTCTCCGGCTTTGGTGGAGGCCTTCAACAAGCCGCCGGCAACAACCCAAACGTATCACTCTCATTGGATTTGATCAGCGACGCGCTCATGCAAGGTCTTGCTACGATGAGGAAGTATACCAGTGCTGGTGTCGGTGATCGCACTATGATGGATGCGCTTATACCTTTCGTGCAGTCATTACATATGGGCGCTGATCAGGATGCTGTTGCCGCACTGAACGAGGCTGTTGACGCAGCACGAAAAGGCTGTGAGAGCACCACTCGCTTGCAAAGCAAATATGGAAGATCTACATATGTCGGTGCTGCGCAAGAGGCTGGCGAAAATGAAGCGGACGCAATCCCAGATCCGGGTGCTTGTGGTGTAGTAGCGATTGTTCAGGGTATACTGGATGCGATGATAGCGCAGAGAGTGGCTTATTGACCGGATAGGCTTGTTCCTGTATTCGAAATGCTTTTATCTGTTACAGAGGTACTGATTCTATCTACATTTCGCGCGAAACGCGATTCTCGTATGCCCTTATCAGAACTCCACAGGCTTAGCTTCAGAGAAGTCGACTTGTCCAAAGAACTTCACACCACCACCCCTGCTTCCTCTCACAGCCTCTGAAGCCCATTCTCGCATGCCCTCCTCGTACGCTCCGACACTCTTCTCCGACAGCCCCTCATTGATAGCAATGAGCAAACGTTCAACGTCTTTCAAGGCACTGACAGCGCCCAGACCTGCAGTTGGTGGCATAGGATGCGCCGCATCTCCTAAGACGCTGATGAACTTTGAAGGCTTCCAAGTGGGCATATCCGGGACCGCGGTGACGATGCGCAAAGCCGAAGCAGCGGCCTTGTTTTGCTGCGTAAGTATTGGCGTAACAGTGCCGTGCCAATGTCGAGTCAGTTCGATAGACAGGTCTGCAGCCTGTGCTGGTGGAAGTCGTATAAGATCAGCAGTCGTGTGTTTGAAATAATGCTCTTGCGACAAGAGGACCCAGTATATGTAATCTTTGGCAGTCTCTTTGGCCCCGGTTTCAGTACTCATGATCGTTACGAGGTCGGGATCTGGAAAACGCATAGGCTCGAGAAACAGCGTCAAAGGCGTGCCGTCTTCAAAATGTTGCTGTATCAAGATCATGCCGTTTTGAGTCTTTGGATGCACGGAGGCAGACAGTGTAGGCGTAAGAGTGGTCTTTCCGTAGATGCAACGACCAGTAGTATCGACAATGGAAAGCTGTGGAAAATATTGCCTGCGCACACGCGAGTTCACTCCATCGGCACCCACGAGGAAGCAGCCGTCGTAAGAAGTCCCGTCTACAAAGTATGTGGTGACACTTGAGCTCCGGATTTCGTATCGCTCGAATGCCTTCCCGAACGAAATGTGTTGCTCAAGACCAGACAGAAGAACCTCGCGCATAATCGTTCGATCAATGGCGATCGGTCTCTCATTGGTGTGTTGCGCTCCTTTGAGTCCTTTCGAGCCATCTGGACCTCCAGGTGGCCCTGCAGGGAGGCCTGTCTTGACCTCGTCTCCAGACAGAGCATCGATCTTGGTAATTCCAGATGTTTCGCGCTCTGCAGCTGCGCTGGACTCCAATCTTTGCCATGTGTGCTGTGGAAGGACTTCTTTCAATGCATGGACCGCGTCTCCGTCAAGGCGAATGCGGTACCCTTGGGCGCGGAATGACTGAGACTCATCGCGCTCGAAGACATGGAAAGGGATCTTGTTCTTTAGAAGACCTTGGGCAAGCGTCAAGCCACCGACTCCGCCTCCAATAATAAGAATCCTGGCCTGAGCGTCAGTCGACATTGTCAAATATTGGTGGGTTCGTTGCACGAGGTGTTCGAAGGTACGGCTGAAATCTCCAGTTAGTTCAAGAGACTGCATGGGGCTGCTCCTATCGGACGGAACTGCTACTCGAACCCTTTTGGGGGTTTATATCTTTTATAGATGGTTCATCATCCTGTCTTCTACCCAAAAACGTGCGCCCGCAGATGCAACAACGGAGCTGAATAAAGTCCGTCACTGAGTACAGGTAACGCTCAGACTCATTGTTCAATCAGAAGATACATTAGAGATCGGCCACAACTAACAATCGGAGCTTCGCTAACATCCGAGGCCGATCAATCTACGTTACAAGATTACTACACTGAGATCCTTTATAGAGACCGTGCGCGCTCCTTGAACTACTCATCCTTGTAGAACTGCCATAGACGTCTTGGGTTGTCTACAAACAACCTCCGCACTTGCTCTTCACTCGCGGCCCACTCTACTGTCTGCTTGATCAAACCCGCATCATCAATATTCCTAAAGTCTTGTGGATTCAGTCTGCCACCAGCTGCAGCATTGCCCTCTTTGCTCGCAGTGTGCGGCCAGTCGCTACCAAACACTACCATGTCGGGAGCATTGATCATTATCGTCTGTCCGATTACCCGCATGTCTTCGTACAATGGTGCGGACTTGGAGTTTTGGTAAGGCGCAGAGATCTTGACGAAGACAAGTTTGCGTTGTACGAGAGAAATAAGCTCGGAGAACCCGGTGATAGAATACGGGTCGTAGGTGTTCGCCGTAACATTTGTACGAGAACCCGCCATAGCATGTCCATAGTGGTCAAGAACAACTCGTACGCCCAGATCGGGAATCACGCCGACTAGTTCCTTCATCGCCTTGATTGGGATCCAGAGTTGCAGGTTCCAGTCATGCACCTTTGCAACTTTCGCGTTCTTTTTCACCGCCTCTACGATTTCATCGTTTGTACCCTCATTGCCATAATTGACGCGTACGCCACGAACACCAGCAGCGTGGAATTCAGCCAGTGTCTCGTTGGAGATGTTCTCCGGATCGACTACGACGACACCGCGGCAGGAGCCACTGAATGTGTTCAACGCATCGATCAGTACGGAATTGTTGGTTCCGTAAACACTCGGCAGTACGATGACGCTGTGAGATATGCCGTGCTTTTGTTGCCACTCTGTAGCGTTCTTGACAGTCGCAGCTTTGGGAGTGTAGTCGCGCTCAGGGTCCATAGGATAACGCTCAGGGTCTATGATATGGATATGAGAGTCCCTTAGCAAGCGTTAGCGCCACCAAATACTTGCAGGAACCACGTTTGATAACATACCAAGCTCCATCCGGCAGCACGGTGGCATTATCGGCGGCTTGTGTCATTGCAAAACAAACTGCAACAAACAGCAAGATTGTAGATCTCATCGTCAGCTTAGAAAAGCTTACTTGACGAAAGAGAGGGCCTCGGCGGAACTTCCGGTGTCTCTCTCTCAGCAGCTTCGGTCCGTCTCCATTTATAATCCCATTCGTCTCTCCTGTTCACCCCATCCGGGGCCTGGTAGCATGGCCCCCATGGTGGAGTCCTCGCTTTCCCCGCGTTTACCTGAATCATACAGGCCCAATGCTGACTGATTGAAAGTTTGGGGTCAAGGCTTCGGTATCACGCCGATGGCTTTCGGGCTTGACCGATATCACGAACCAGCAGTTCCACTTCGTGATGCAAATAATTCAATCACGCAACTGGTCGATCAAGGTATATGAAAAGTACTCGGAATCACGATCCAGGCCTAGTAATTCCCGAAACCCACAATGACAGCACACCTTTCCGGAGATACGTATCCGCGAGATAATCGTACCTGGCAAATCCTCCACGCAGCGCAAACAGGAGGCTACGCGGTCGGGGCATACAATTGGTAAGCTTGACGACGTGGTCATCCTTTAGAAAACTTCGTATCCACTGAATGCGCTGTCAGTTACAACGATGATGGGATCATAGCGGTCATCCGCGCAGCGGAACGTCAAAGATCGCCAGCAATTATTCAGGTCTTTCCCTGGGCGCTCCATTTCCAAGGTCCTGAGTTCATCTCGTATGCGATTGCACGTGCGCACGCTGCAACTGTTCCTGTCGCCGTACATCTGGACCACTGCATTGAGCATGCTGATGTAGAACTTGCGTTAAAGATTCCTGATCTGGATTCGTTGATGGTCGACGCGTCAACATCCGACCCTGAGGCTAATATGCAGTACTGCGCGGAGATTGCCCGGCGAGCGAAAGAGAATGGCATGACCGTTGAAGCGGAGATGGGCCGGATCAACGGCGGGGAAGATGGTCTCAAGACTGTCGATATGGAGGTTCTGTATACACACCCGGACTTTGCACGTGAGTTTGTGGAGAAGACAGGAGTTCAATTCCTTGCGCCATCTTTCGGCAACGTCCACGGTCCGTATCCTGAAGGAGGTGCCGAAAAGTATTGGCAGTTGGACCGGTAAGCTCCATTTGATGCGTGGCCTAGTAGCTACAGCTGATGTTCTTTCGTAGATTAGAAGCCATTGGCCAAGCGTTGGGACCGGCCACACCCCTTGTGCTCCATGGAACGCATCCAGTTTCTGATGAGCTGTTCCGCAAGGCCATGGACAGGGGTGTTGCAAAAATCAATTTGAACCGTAACGTGAGGGACGATTACACCGATTTTGTGGGACAGCAATACTCGCGGCACGAGCTCACTGTTCTGAAAGAAAAGGCTGTCGAAGTGTATGCCACATCGATCGGAAGGGCAATGGATATGCTTGGAAGTTCGGGAAAGGCGCTCCGATCCAGTCAATCACCAGCATAGGAAATTAGGATGCTTTAACAACTCAGACCGTTAGTACTACATCTATTCCTTGGTGCAAAGGTTTCTTAGTATCTCTACAGATACGACTCGGAGTTGTCGATAGAGAATTGGAGGTGTTCGTTGCAATGCCCAACACTTCGGCGATCGTAGAGCCGACTTCTGTATTGTTCAAATCGTAGAGACATACCGACAGTCTGTGATAGCGTTGTCAGCCACAGTGACTGTTGTCGTGGTTGCCGTTCCCTATGAACTCCGAGGCATCTACTTGCATGGTAGGGCACATGACGTCACTGCCTCTACAGATGTCTTCGGGCAAGCACCATCGGCCATTCGCCGAAAAAGTCCACTTGAAACAACAGCGATGTATGTGAAAACACGCACCAGAGATATAATTCCAGACGGATAGTGACATCCATACGACCACTTTGGCAGCTCTATCCCACTCCACGTCAAATCGTCCCATGTCTTCTACAGCAAGCATCATCGAGGGTCTGAAGCGCTGGACTTCATGTGATGCAAGTAGTCGATCCTCTTTGCATGCTTTCATAGGCTTACCTCGTTAATAGGTCGCAGATGGTCTTGTCAAGCTTGGCCTTCCCTACGGCGGTTACTTGGATGGTCTCACAATGTACTCGCCGCAGTACCAATCTGGCGATACAAAGATTGTAGGCCTTGTGTACACAGTGAAATTCGTACCAATATCGGATACAAACGCGCCAAAGCCTAATGGAAATTATGTATGTCTCGCAATCTTGAACTGAACATCCCATGTCGTGATCGATTACTTATCAAGCGTGCAGATCGACAGTATCCCGAAAGCGGCAGTCGTGTTTATCTCGCAACCGGCTCCGCACATTAACGCTGTATATGGCGGTCTCATGTCAATGCGAGCACGGTTCCTTGACGCTGCAGGTGTGGTGATTGACGGCAAAATACGTGACCTTCAAGAACACCGAGACCTTTCTTTCCCGGTAACATCATGAGAATCCATCTACGGTGAACAACTCTAACTGTTCCCTAGGTCTTCGCCAAAGGCGTCGCCACTACAGCCGGAGGCTCAGTGTGTCGGCCTTCCCAGACAGATGTACGAGTGCAGCTCAATTCCGATGCTTATGAGGCCTGGATAGAACCTGGTGATTACATTGTTGCTGATTTGGATGGTGTTGTCTGTGTACCTGCCAATCTGGCAGAGAAGGTACTTGAAGTTATCGAGCCGATCGTGAAGGCTGACGAGAAGTGTGCTGCTGGCATAAAGGAAGGACGTACGGTTCAAGATGTCTTTAAAGAGTACCGGGGTCGATGAGCGTAGCCCGCAGTTGCTTGTATAGAGCACCCAAATCAAAGATTTGGTATCACAGTTGATCACACTCGCTAACATAGCATGTATTCCTACCTTGCATCCGAAGTACTTTGACTGCCCTGTTCCGCAACAGATGTCTCTTTTGCTATTTTTGCCCGAGGCAAACGCAAGCGTGCTTACCTACGATCGAATTCTCGGGCATAGAAACGAATCTACTGAGCATGAGAACGGAGATGAATCTCTTTAAAACGTTGCCTACTAGCCCTTATGAATAGTACCGGAATAGATCAACCCTGGACCGAACATATCACGCTGAAGCCGAAAGTACTATGCATTAATCTTCGTGAATGATCATTGGAGTTGCTAAATCTATGTAGAAGGTCATACAAAAATATACAGCTTCGCACTTATTGTTGATGCTCTAAGCTCAGCGGATCTGTGCTCAGTCTTAGTGGTTTAACACCAAAAGCCTCTGACAGCTCCGTGAACATCTCCTTTTCAGCATCCGTGAAAGGAACACCTTCTCTTCGCCTCTTCATCTCAAGGTTCCACTCTGGTTCTCCCGGGAACAGAACGCGGTCAAAGCCTTCCGCCGGCGTGACGCCATGCACCCGCTGTACGAGCGTGTCCATGCGTTTCCGGAAATTTGCCGCATCCATGAAAACTCCCGGCTTGATGGCAATGAAGCTGTGGCCCACATTCTGTGGCCTCGCCTCCTTGTATTGGTCACCAACTTGGCCACCGAATTCCGCATCGCCAAGAACACCAGACATGATGTCCATGAGAATAGCGATACCAGAGCCTTTAGGTCCACCGATAGGTGCCATGCTCCCGCTCAGTGCGGCTTCAGCATCGGTGGTGGGCTTGCCATCTTTGTCATACGCCCAGCCTAATGGGATTGATTCGCCTCGGCGAGCAGCCTTGCGAATCTTGCCCCTGTCTTACATTAATACATAGATTGGTTGTGCACAGTAGATATACATACTTTGCCACGACCGAAGGAGCCATATCCAGAATGAATGGTACTTCGCTGTCACTTGGAGCGCCAGCAGCGAAAGGAGAGATTCCTAGCAAAGTCTCCTTGCCACCGAAAGGGGGCATCTGCTTTGCGGAGTTCGTGAACACGAGCGAAATCATGTCTTTCTTTAGAGCTTGTTGCACATATGTTGCCGCCATACCGAAGTGGTTCGAGTGATTAACAGTGACAATACCAATGCCGTAAGTCTCTGCTCGTCGGATGGCATCTTCCATAGCTTTGGTAGCGACGATGAAGCCGAAACCGTTGTCGCCATCAAGATGAGCAGCTACTGGGGTCTTCTCCATGACCTTTAAGTTTGGAGTAGCGTTCACAAGGCCATCCTTAACTCGGGCCATGTACTGTTGCAGGCGAGCTAAGCCGTGAGTGTCCTAGAGGGACATCAGAATATGCGTTCATTGTAGATTATAATACACACTTACCACACCACGGAGATCAGCCTGGACCAAGCACTTGGCCATAAGTTGCGCCTGATCCTTCGGAAGTCCTCCACCATTGACCAGCAGCGACGCCGCAAAGGTCTCGGCCTCGGCCGGATCGGCATAATATATGGAAGACATGGAAAGTGAAATCGAGCCAAGTGCACGAGAAAGTATCGTCAAGGTGCCATTACCTGTTCGCGAGTCTTGGACATATGTTATTCACAATAGGCAGCGAAATCGCCAGGTATATGCCCGAAGCACGGCATTTCGCCGACGAAAGTCAACACCACTAGAGCATTGGTGCAGTGCCCGGAGGTGGAAACGCGGAGGAGGAGTGGGCTCCAATAGCCGAGGCGTTCAGTGCACGCTAACCAGGAGCACCTTCCCTTCTGCGTACTAGCTGGAAACCTTCGGCAACATGCCGTCACATATCTCTCGGTCTTTGCCCAGACGACGCGGTATCCTCCCATCTCACCGCTGGCCTTGTTCTCTGCTGTGTGCAAGGCCCCGCAGCCTGCATGGTGTCAGAAGCACCTGCCGACCAGTCCCGATCTCGTCGGCGAATTCCGGCCTGTCTGCGCTGTAGGCAGAGAAAGACAAAATGCGATAACAAGTTACCCGCCTGTTCGCATTGTGAGCGGGCCGGCGTACCATGCGATCAAAGCGGGAATCAAGACAGAGCGTGCGCAAAGCCAACTTGGTTTAGAACTTCTCTTGTATATAACTAACTAGAGCATAGGAGAGCTATACAACTAGAGAATCGAGTAGCATTGCTCGAAGATCTATTAAAGACGCATGCACCTCATTTGCAAATAGAAAACGCAAACGACGTTAACACTCTGCATGTACAAGTCACAGAACAGACTGAGATTACCAGAACTGCCAGTCCCAACAGTTCGTTGTCGAATCAAGCAACTTTTCACGGACCCTTGCCAGCCAACGCACAGACGGAGCGAAGGCACATTCAAGATCAAACAACGCCAGTTTTACGGCGTCAATCGAATGCCACCGCTTTAGGGAGAGTAGAGGCAGGACAAATTGCCGACACCCCACAGACTGCTATCAGCGAGAGTCGTATTGGGCCCGATCAGCCTATAGCACACGATGTTGGCTTGCTTTCACTGGGAAATGCGAGTAGCGATCCAAAGTATCTGGGACCATCGTCAGGTGTCAGTTTCGCTCGACTGTTGTATGCTGCAGCGCCACAGAGTCAAGGGTTACCGGCATCAACCTCGGATGTTTCTTTGAGGATCGAGAGTGAATCAGTACCTTGCGCGCCCATTCCTACTGTCTCGCAAATGCATCGCTTTTTAGGTTAGTGTCAGCGATGCCAGCTTCATTTTATGAATCGAAGATTGATTCCTCATAGACTCGTATCTGGAAGCGTTCAACCACATTTATCCATTTTTAAAGGAAGATGAGATCAACGACCTGATTGAGCAGAAGCTTCATCAGTCTGTGCCACAAGGCAAAGGGGACATTGAATTGGCTCTGCTCTTCCTCGTAGCAGCTCTAGGAGCTAGGAACCTTGAACGAGGACTCGACACCGATCTGCGTTCAGACCGCTATTTGGCTTCTGCCATGGCCGAAATTGGTCCATTACAGCTTTACGATAGTCTTAAAGGTGTCCAGATCATGCTTCTTCTCGTGCTGGTCAGCTTATGGTTTCCGAAAGGATTGAACGCTTGGTATCTGATGGCGACGATCATTGCTAGCTGCCTGGATTTGGGACTGCAGCGGAAGCGAGTATCGAAACAGCAAGGCTTCGATGCTGATGAAGAGGACACCCGAAGCAGCATATTTTGGTCAGCATACTCGCTTGAGCGTACCCTCTCAACAACGCTTGGACGACCGCTTACCCTACGAGATGAAGCAGTGGACATAGAGTTTCCGGGAGAAACGGGAACGAATTACTCTTCATACCCTGCAACTGTCATCCCATCTCCATTGCAGGACCTTGACTTCTTCAGCGTACAGTCCTTTACTGCTCCTCAGGTGGCTAGTCCGTCTGAAGGACCCCCGTTGAAAAAAGTTCGCATTGCAAGCACGAACAAACCGGACTACGCCGCTGGGAGGTTCTCTTTCCGCTTTGACAGACTGACAGCCGAGATCAAACTTATGCAATACCGGGTGGTACAGCTGCCTTCGCGCTTTCCATGGCCCACAGATCTTGGTAGCTGGCAGCAGGAAGCGTATGAGGCATGCAATGGTCTTCTCGCAACTGCTAGACGAATCCTGTCGTCGCGCAGCTTGTCGCATGGACGATCACGACGTGCGCTTCCCACGATCGAGCTAAAATATCACCAGTGTGTTCTGCTACTATTTCGGCCAAGTCCCGCGTTTAGGAACCCTACAGCGGATGCGTTAGCTATCTGCCACATGTCTGCACTTGAGGTCCTCAAAATTCACGCTGAACAGCTCAAATTCGGAGAGCTGGCTGACACATGGCTCACTGCGCATTTAGTGTTCATCAGCGGCATCACCGTCATATATACAGCGTGGGTCCTCCCAGGTATTGGGAATCGGGCTGCTATACCGGGTTCTAGCAACTTCACTACACTAGACAGGTCCGTTACAGAAGCGCTTGAAAGCGGCATCAAAGCTTGTTCGGATTTACTTGAGCATCTCGGCCAGACATGGTCAGTGGCCAGAGATGCCAAGGAAAAGTTCGATAGCCTTGGTTCATTGACTCTTGACGCAATGCGAAACGGCACTATACAGTTTGCTACCGCCCTGAAAACACATTCGAGGCCACCTGCGGCACCGGCAATACAGTCCGACGACACCACCTTGCCATCTAGGGGTGAACTGGATACATCCTGGATGAATGCAGGGGACGGCTTCGTCTTCGGTGATTTGCTTGATCCACCGGACTTCTTGGATCAACTGGGAGACTTCTCTACATCGTATGACTTTGCATGGATGGCCGATCCATCAAATGCTCTTTGAATTCACCTGATTACCGCGCACTTATATATGAATGGATCAATACCACGTTATTGCAGTACTTTGATAATAAGCCTTCTACATGCATACAACAGCATGTACAGTTCTTCAAGGCGGCTTTCCAAGACGCCGCAGATGTCAGACGAGCATCGCTTGCAATGTACAAAGTGGGTATCCTCACCGCTGCTCTGCCTCTGCTGGTCCAGCTTCGCGCTCCACGTCACTATCTGTGGGTGTGATTACGCCCCCAATGACTGAGTCTTGCTTCTTCCCTGCGAACGACCTCTCGATGAAGTTGCACATATATTCGTCCTCCGGCTCTACTTCGAAATCGAAACGGCAAAGGTCTTCCTTATATGGGAACATGTACGTTGAGGTTACCCTGTGGAATTAGGAAAATTTTCGGCCACCGTTCTGACGACACGTACCAATGGTGCTCTGGGCTTGCCTGGTACTCTGCTAAGGCTTCGAGGTCCTCGTGGTAACTAACCAGCGCATACTGGAAGCCTTTACTCCGCTCTATGGGGTCGGTGACTGACGGACCGCCTACGATCAACCTTCCGTCTTTCACGCAGGAAAGATCCTTGAGTTTTCGGAGCTCACGGACAAATGTGGCTTTATGTCCCGCAGTTATTTCTGGACGGAACTTGAAAAGGACTCGGAACAATTAGACATACAGGCAGAGTCGTGTATGAGAGATACTTACCGATGTGGATAAGAGTCATGTCGTAGGTAGAGTGGTTCGCGTACGATAAAGTACCGGGTTCGAAGCAAAGGACAGAATGAGCGTACGTACGGCGGGAGTGTTGCAGGGCAGTGAATGTGATTGGAAAAGATTCAATCTCATGAGCAGCTATACACTTGGCAAGATTCTTAACCCGGGGGATAGCTTTGCATCCGGCATATCGCCTTCTACCCGCCATCCTCACACGGCTGGGAGCCGCTAGTCTTCGGCATCATACCGTGATGCCAAGCACCCACCCTCCGGTCCAATAGCTTTTACATGCCGACCAGTGCACTCCACCTGCTACACCGGTCGTTTGCCGGCGTCGTTTTATCCCCACCCTCCTCCACAATTGTTCTCTCCGCGCGGGTGACTAGCCAAGATCTGGGGATGGAGGTAGTGTGCAGCAAACATACGGGTTAAAAGCAGAGCTTTGGTCGATTCTTTTTGAGGGGTAAGACTAATCTGTCCATCTTTCGTGGCAGTCGTGCTCCAATTTAAGGTGATTATTAAGGACTCGACCTTCACTGACGATTATGTCTTTCGACAACAAACATGACATCGTCGGCGACGATGAGAAAGCCAGTCAGATTAAGGTCGAGCAGGCGGACAACCGTCTTGCTCCGGCTCAGGCCATGTCTGAAGAGGAATTTGCTAGTGTCGAGAAGAAACTGAAGCGGAAGCTTGATCTTCGTCTAGCCACCATGGTCTGGCTCATCTTCGTCTTGAACTACCTGGACCGCGTAAGACCACCTGTCTTGGCGCACTTTCGAATGCTTGACCGCTGACTACAGACTCAGAATAACATTGCTGCGGCGAAAGTCGCCGGCATTGCGAAGAGTTTGCACATGGACTCCACGCAATATGCCACGTCCGTGGCGATCCTGTTTGTTGGTTACGTCTTGATGCAGATTCCATCAAACGTATTTTTGACGCAGCTTCGTCCGTCACTGTACCTTCCTCTTGTGATGGCTGCATGGGGTGTCCTTTCTGCGCTTACTGGGATCGTACACAATGCTGCCGGACTGTACGCTACGCGCTTCTTCCTCGGCTTTGTCGAAGCTGCCTTTTATCGTAAGTCTTTGCTCGCGCCGTTGCTCGCGCCCAAAACTCTTGAAATTCGTATCTGAAGACGTCCTGTAGCTGGCGCTTTGTTCCTATTGTCATCGTGGTACACGCGTTCAGAGCTCGGCACACGCAGCGCCTTCCTTTTCTCCGGCAGTCAGCTAGGCAGTGCCTTCTCCGGCCTCATCGGTGCTGGCATCCAGAACTCTCTTGAGGGCGCCCGCGGCCTCGAAGCCTGGCGGTGGCTTTTCATCATCGAAGGCTCAATCACCGTCTTCATCGCTCTCTGCGCCATTCTCGTCCTACCCGATTGGCCGTCCACCACCCGTTGGCTTAACGAGACTGAGCGCGCTGTCGCAGAATGGCGACTCATCAAGGACGCAGGACAGGTGGACGAAGACGACGAGTCTTGGTCGTATGGCTTCAAGGCAGCCTTTGCTGACTGGCGCCTCTATGGCTTCGCCTTCATCTTTACCTGCATCCAAGTTGCATCCGCCACGTCCAACTTCTTCCCTACTATCGTGCAGACATTGGGTTTTAACCGAGTGAACACGCTCCTCCTGACCGCACCGCCATACATCGTCTCATTGTTCATCTCTATCGGAAACAACTGGTCTGCTGATAGGCTGAGGAACTCGTCTTTCCATATCATGTAAGTGACTGTTATAGTCAAGAGCAGACATATTACTGATTACAGTTCAAGGTGGCCCTTAGCCATGGCGATCGTCGGTTTCGTTGTCGCCGCCGCCTCGCTCAACACCGGGGCGCGCTACTTTGCCATGATTATTATGGTCGCTGGAGGGCATGGTAGCAACTCTGTATGTCTAGCATGGACGCAGAAGACCTTGCTGCGTCCTCGCATTAAGCGCGCCGCCGCCGTCGCTTTCGTCAATGCTATCGGCAACACCAGCCAGGTAAGCAGCGTCACTTGCCCTCCGCATCTAATTGAGTACTGACACGATGTCTGTAGGTCTGGACCTCGTACCTATACCCTGACCACAACGCCTCTCGTCACACCATGGCTATGAGTGTGAACAGTGCATTCGCGCTGTTGGCCATAATCGCAGCTATGTTCATGCGCATCGCCCTCCAGCGAGCCAACAAGCAGCTTGAGAGGGGCGAGAAGTCGGTCGCGGAGGCTATGAAGGGACACGCGACGCAGGGTATTATGGGGCTTACGGAAGAAGAAAATCGTGCGAGGAGGGAGAACTTTAGGTACATTACCTAGAGACAAGAGCAGTCGCAGGCGAGAATGGATGAAGGACTGGCGCACTGGGTAGTATAGCGAACTGCTCAGCGAGATGCAGGAGGCGAACGGTAGTCGTGTTCAAGCTTGGGCGGTGGACAACGGCATACGCAATCACATCGCAATGAACATCCTGACAGGACTTGAACGATCAATATCTGCTAATGCCGTTACCACACGTTGTCATGGTAGCTCTTGATAAGACCACTCCTTCCCAATGCATCAGTCAGCAAAAGTGCATTTGCCTGACAGATGTTTCACAGTAAGGAAACTTGTTAGCAAGCCATCTTTTCAGCCCTTAGCAAAGTTCCATCAGGAGCATCCCGCTTCAGCCTAACTCTGACCTCGTTCGCTTGCTTTTTCTCCTGCTCCAGATTATCGTTCAAATCAAACATTGCTCTCGTATCGTGGTCCAACCCATGGAATAGAGTTGCCAATGCACTGCTCTTCCATAGCTTTGTTTCTGAACTCCGCGTCATAACCATCGATGCAATCAAGAACAGAACCGTTGCCAAGACGATCGCTACTGGGAGGATTGCGAAGCCCCACCTTACGTGCACGTAGGACTCTAACGAACTCGATTTTCCGTTCACAGGCTCTGCACCCGTGAATCCACGAAACGCGGTGGTCATTGACACTGCCAGGTCGCTCATTAGCATATTGAGACCATCAGCGTACTCGTAGTAGTTCCAGTAGAATGCCGTGACGATATCTGTGTCGAAGAACGTTTCGCCAGAGGAGATGCCCACGGTAAGGTTCACAACTACGGCACGATCCGGATCGGTGACGCTGCGAGTGAAGTCCGTCGTGGTCCTGGTGGCCGATCCATTCGTGAAGATCGCACCAAACCAGCCGCGGATACTAAGAAGAGCACCCATTCCAAAAAGATAGAGATCGTCCGAACCGCCTTTGATATACACGTCGTACTCCGATTCTGAGTCAGGTGAGCTCATGTCGACAACCGTTTGGTTCAGCATTGTGTGAGTGACGTTCTCTTGGAGTGTGCCGTTCACAACCGACGAAGAGAGCGTCTTCACGCAAGCTTGTAGACTGCACTGCTTGGCCCACACATTCAGAGTGTCCGGTACGTCGTGAAGCTCTGTGCCCATGAAGATGATCCTGATCAGCGTTGAGTGGGGCATATCGCCGTATGCAGACGGAATGATGGACGTCATGCTGAACACGTCGGAACTTGTATTGAGGCGGGCTCCTTGAGGCAACTGCCACCCGCATGTGGACATGTTTGGGCTCGGGCCAAACTCGGATGGACAATACCTCGTAGCAAGGGAGCTGATGTCGATGCATTCGTGACAGACTGCTAAAGTTTCGAAGGGTTCCCATGCACAGTTCCCGCTTTGGCATGTGAAGGGAAGGGATGCAGCAGGTCTGCTATTCTCCGCGAAGAGGCCGTTGTATACGGCCGCTTTCAAAGGGAGGATTGGCACGTAGCCAGCTAGAGAAGCCTCAGTCAATACTAAATCCAAGCTGATAGCTGCGAAGGTACTTACTTGAGCTTGTGTTTCCTTTCAAAGCACCGGTGTAGTTCAGAGCTCGAGGGACCGCGGCGCCGACTTCGCTTTCGACACTCCGAGACTTATACGTGGCGATTTGTTGAGCAAACGGTCCCAGTGCGAGAGAAAGGATAGCGATTAGTGCCCCGAACGAGCTTAAAAACCTACAAGATCTGTATTAGCACTGCAACAGTCTAGTTATGATATACATACCCTCCTCTCCTTTTGAGTAGCAGCTTTAAGGCACCCCAAGAACCCCGACTGGCTTCATCAAAGACCTCCACGTCTGATAAAGGTGTATCTGCCTGCTTGAACTGGATCCACTTTGACTGAGAAATTCCACTCGAAAGGGTGATGGACATGGTTGCATTTGCGACCGTGGCCAGCAGGGCGATGAGAGCATTCAAAGTGATCTGGTGAGGCCATTCAGGCAATGCACGCCCATTGTATCGAGCTATGACCCCAATGATTGAGGCAACAGCTGCAAGTCCGACCAATAGGGTCACTATCTCCGGCATCCAGGTACCTGGGTGAGACAGCTTGACTCTGCGCTTGGACTTGAGGCTGGAATCCTCCGAGGTGACGACCGTCGTGTTGGTAGACGAACTCCAATGTGGAGCATGCTTACTTGTGTGACCAGTCGTAGGAGCATCCGAACCCCCATCCAAGTGTATGTCCTGGAATCCTTCTCGGAAAGGGTTGTCCTCGCGAGGGGCCGAGGTAGACGTGCGTTCTTCATTCATCGGCTCCACTGCAATGCTGTGCTGCAGCTTCAGTGGCTGATAAGCCATCGAGACAAACTTCAAGGCTAAGCTTGAGGGTCCCAAAAATATGGCGGTCTTGGTAGTGCTTTCGTCAGTAGGCGGCGACTATGCATCACAAGAGAACGGATCACGGCCTCTTTTTATTCTCGAGGTATGGCTTCTCACTGCCGAGCTTCATGCTGTGCCACCCAGTCCACACCGTATGTTATCGATATGCAGTAGGTGGGTGTTTACCTTGTATACAGCGCAAACACTCATTCGTGAGCCTGATCATGAAGGGGGCCGCTATTTTTGGAAACCACGCACTTAGTGGAGGCAGATAAGGGCCGAGCTTTACAATTAACAAGATCTGCAATGCAGAGAAAGCATGTGGAAAAGGCATGATAGGAAATATGCGAACAGCTACGTGCTGAGCAAATGGGAAATGTCCCGCAGCTGCACCTCGTCATACTGTTAGAAGGCTTAGATCGAGCCGCTTGACCGTTTTGAGTTTAGCTTTGCGGCAAGGTCGAAGCTCCGCCACTGTCAGCGCTTCAAACTTGACCTTCAATGGACGCACAATCGGAATGCTTCGACGAATCATTCATTAGAGAATCTTGGAGATTTCGATGAGTGCTTAAAAGGATGTTCTCAATCTGAGATGGAGGTATCTATTCTAGATTGCGCAAGGAAGTTTTGGACGCCATGGGTACCTACGTGTAAGTCGGATGTCGGTAGCACGCAATTCTTCCGTGTGAACATCAACAATACTGTAATGCATCACAACTTTGAACACTCATTGTAGAGTGAATCACACTAGGGTATACAGTTCTACATGCGACTGGCGTTAGCCTACACTAGACCGCCCCGCAACCGCGAGAGCCTCAGCTCACCGAGAACTGTCTCGTCGAAGACCACCAAGTACCACAATAGTGGCTTTCGCAGCACTTCGAAGGCCAGAATGGCCCAGTGCCAAGGCAGCAAATCTGGCCAGGTAAGATCTTGCGGTTCAAGCACTCGGTGATCCCCATGAGCTCGTCCTAAGCCATCAAAAATCTCCAAGCTTAGCAAAGGTCTGGTCAAGATGCCCTTGCGCTATTATTCAGACTGTGCGAAGGAGTCAGAGGCTTGATGTATATGCTCGTCACAACGTCTTGGTCGGACTTCAGGTTGGAAGGAATGGCGTAGGCAATATTCCATAATGAATGTATGTATGAACACGCGAATGTCCTCGGGCGTGTCAATGATCCTTGCGTTAGGACCGGTGAAGACAGGGTGCGGTTCGGCGTAAACCATTCGTACTGCTGGGCTTGCAAACGAGGCCTCCCATTTCCGCGTAACGTTCTGCCAACAGCAGCCTCGCTTTGCACACAACGTCGTCCCTGGCGGTGGGTGGTGCAGAATGACGGCTGCGCACTGCATAGCCATGCAGATAGCCATGCAGGCTAGCAGTCTGTCCTTGCCATAGACCCTGATCGCACTCTGATGCGACATGCAGTGTTTGTGTAGAGCTGAGATCTTTGTCCCTCGTCGCCCTTTAGCCTGTTCCGGTAGGTGGAGCGCTAGAGGATCGTCACATCTGGGGTTCCCGCATTGCGGGGATGGTGTCGTTGAACCCTGTCAAAAAACCGATCGCTAGTCTGCGCATCCCTTTGTTGCTCGCGCTGTCTGGCATGCTAGCACTTGAGATGCAGATTGCTCGATGGCTGATTCCTTCAGCAGACTGGTGAGAGATATTCTCGTGGCCTAGAAACGCCGCAGTAATGCTCCAGCCAATGGTCTGAATGTCCTGGAGACTTCCGGTGAATGGGCAAATCCTGAAGACCCTCGTCTTTGTCAAAATGAGCCTGCTGATCTCCAACCTGATCACGCCTCGAGCCACAGGTATACGAATTGGCCCGAGCGTGGAAAAGATTTTGCGGAGGTGAAAGCCCCAAGCGCGCACGCGCAGCCACCCTGCAGCCTCCAACCTGTCACGCCTGTGTAGCGAATGGAAAGAATGACGAGAACGTTCCGCTAAGCCACTTACGCATTCCCAATGTACATTCTGAAGCTGTTGCATCGCTGACGCCGGCTCGGATCGAAGGTGCTATGCTGCGGTTGCTGTAGAGTCGCGTGCCTTCGCTGCAGCGTCCAACCGAATGGCGACGCCTTCACTTTATGTCCAGAAAGTCTCCGCCTTGTGTGTGACCGAAGCCTGCAACGCGAACCCACGCACCGACCGCTTTCAACCCGACCGGCTGCCTGGATCCCCGCAGCTGATAAAACACAGCTTCCCCGCTCATCGACCTCCCCCCTGGATCGCCCACCTGCAAACAATCTGAACCGCGTTTGTCGTACACATGGCGGACGAGAAAATCTCAGGCACCAAGTAAGTCTACAGCTTCTGCATCTCGCCGCAAGCTCCAGTAAGCTGACAGCATTGTAGGCCTACTGAGCGCCGCAGCTCCATTCTCGAAACCGAGGAGAAGCGTCGCCAAAGCATTACGGAGCTGACCGCCAACACCGAGGGAGAGTAAGTTGCCGACTCAGTTCCGGGACGAGACGTTTGCGTACTGTCGGTCTTTGTGATGCCGATTCCAAGGTCCTCCGCGTTGCGCCGATGTTTGTCGTAGTACCGCTTGCAAGTCTTTCTCTAACGATCCGCTAACGTCTCCAGAATCCGTAATCCGCTCGTCGGCCTTTCCAAAGAGGAACTGATCGCAGACGTTGAGGGTTTCGCGCGCGAGCACCAGCTCGAAGATATCACGCCAATTCTCATCAAGGGTGCGCTCGCTGCTCAGGCGCCCGCTCTCATTGATGAGATTGAGGAGCTTGACGAGAACGACCGCATTACCCTCCGCGAGGAAATTACGCACCGCTGGAAGCTACCCAAGATCCTGTATGTGACAGTCATCCTCAACTCTATCGCTGCAGCTATCCAAGGATGGGACCAGACGGGCTCAAACGGTGCCAACTTGACCTTTGCGCAGCAATTTGGTATCCCTGATGGACCCGCGACTTTCTGTGATGAAAGCGCCGCGAACACGGCCTTGTGCCGCAAGAACAGCTGGATCGTCGGTTTCATCAACTCTTGCCCATACATTGCCATTGCTCTCTTCACTGCGTGGATCTCAGATCCAATCAACGATTTGCTGGGCCGCCGCGGCACCATCTTCATTGCTGCAATCTTCTCGGTTCTCGCTCCCATTGGTTCTGGTCTCACTCAGCATTGGGGCCAACTCGCGGTGTGTCGTGTACTGCTAGGTATCGGTATGGGTCTCAAAGAAGTGTAAGTGCCTGGAGCCTGGATTCGACAAGCTTTGTGTTGCTAATGCAATATTAGGACTGTCCCTGTCTTCTCCGCTGAAAACGTACCGGCAAACGTCCGTGGTGGTCTTGTCATGTCATGGCAGATCTGGACTGCGTTCGGTATCTTTTTGGGTACAGTTGCTAACCTTGTTGTCATGGTAAGTCGAATGTTCGATACATTATAGATCACGTCGCTGACTTGCGAACAGAACGTTGGTCGGATCGCTTGGCGATTGCAGCTGGGCTCCGCTTTCATCCCTGCAGTCCCACTCCTCTTCGGTATCTTCTTCGTGCCAGAGTCGCCCCGTTGGCTGATGAAGAAGCGTCGATATGCTCAGGCGTATAAGTCCTTCCTCCGGCTCCGCAACACCCCACTTCAAGCCGCGCGAGACCTCTACTACACTCATGCACTTCTAGCTCAAGAGGAGATTCTTGTGAGGGAGGCTGGTCTGACGCCGAGCAGCAACTTCTTCACTCGCTTCATCGAGCTTTTCACGATTCCGCGTGTGCGTCGTGCGACCCAGGCCTCCGGCGTGGTGATGATCGGGCAACAAATGTGCGGAATAAACATCATTGCCTTCTATTCAAGCACAATCTTCAGGGAGGGCGGTGCCACCGACAAGATTGCCCTTATCGCCTCTTTCGGTTTCGGTCTTGTAAATTTTGTCTTCGCATGGCCGGCGGTGTGGACAATCGATACATTTGGACGCCGCGGCCTGCTGCTATTCACATTTCCCAACATGTTCTGGTCGCTGTTAGTCGCGGGTATGTGCTACTACATCCCGAAAGACAGCTCGGCGCACATGGCTTTGATCGCCTTGTTCGTGTACATCTTCGGCGCTTTCTACTCTCCAGGCATGGGCCCGGTTCCATTCACATACTCTGCCGAAGTCTTCCCTCTGTCGCATCGTGAGATGGGCATGTCTTGGGCTGTGGCGACCAACAACTTCTGGGCATCCGTTCTCTCACTGACCCTTCCGACCATGTTGCGGGTCATGAAGGCGCAGGGTGTTTTCGGCTTCTACGCTGGGCTGAACATCGTGGCCATGATTATGATGTAAGTTCAATATGGCTATCCTAGTGGAGTATTGCTGACCATCTTTAGCTTCTTGTGGCTGCCCGAGACCAAGCAGCGCACGCTCGAGGAGCTTGACTACATCTTTGCCGTACCAACGCGCACCCACATGAAATACCAGGTGGGCCAGAACCTGCCTTGGTGGTTCAAGACGTACATTCTCCGCAAGAAGGGCCTCGCGAAGCCCGTCCTATACAAGTTCGACATCGTTCACAGCACCGAGCCGAAGCCTGATATTACTGGCTTGAAGGCGTAGGCGCGGAATGGTCCGTTCCTCATGAGGATCCGCATGCTATAGCGGGTTGTGAGCCGATACTGCCAGCGACTTCCTGCGCAAGCTAGTGATCTGGGCGAAATCCCTGTAGTTGTGATGTACCCCAACTGGTCAGCTTTGTTTGGAGCCCTATCTTGATGGCTTATCTTGACGGTAGTACGTGAGTAGACGGCTATTAGTCGCTCATTAGATGATACAAGAAATTCGTACAGTGATTGCGTGGAATGCGCAACTCGGGCCCCGGCTCGACATCATCACGTGCGCTTCTTCCAGCCCTGGAGTGTTTCGTCGGCGGCAGTTTTCTAGTCTACAGTTTTTCCTCGCGAATCAATGACCGCTGACTAGGCTTGGCCGTCTGCGCTTCCGTGCATTCCGCTTCTCTATCTGTTCGTAGCTCAAACTGAACGTGCCGGCATCGGGCTCTCGTTTCTTGGCTTCCGCGCTGGTCCGGTAAGTTCGGCACCGCACTCACAAGCACGACTCGCGACCGCTGAAGGTTTCACATCGTTTCAAAAAGTGAGAAGTACAATGACAAGTCGTTGAATTAGAGTCCCAACAGTATCCACAAAAAACGGCTGTGACGTAGCGTCCGTTGATGAACTAGGATGAGCTAAGCGTCCGCCCACATGTCAAGTAGGAACGACCCACTCACGTCCCGCCGATTAGCCTCGGTATAGCATAACCAACATAACATCACGCCGTGTCGCATGACCGTCTTACCGTACCTCTTTCTCGTGCAACGTGCTCTCACAGCTATCACTCCTGCTTGGAAGCTTTCATTGTGTTCGCATTGCACCGCTTCGTGAAGCTGTCGTACTGAAATTGACACGCACTATCTTGGCGGCCTGAGACAGCACGAAGTACCGTGACAATGGGATTCAATCTGAAGCAACAACTTGTCTTTGTGCGTGACAGCGATGGAATGGGAGCTTGAATGTTCGCTGATCATTTCATCCAGTACGGCGCATACCATAATGAACCTGTCCGCGACTCTAGCTAAATATGGTTGTCCCTACAACTAATCCCAACACAGACCAACATCGCAATTCACATGGCTTGTGTGCCAATCCTCCTAGCGACCGGCCAGATCTTCGTACGTTGAGCATCAAGTCCAGCAGCCTTCCGCTAACGCCGGTGCAAAGGGAACCAACACGCCTGCCCTACGCACTCCAGCCCTGCTATCACGCCTCAATTTGCCCTTGAACGTTGCAACACTTGCCTCTTTGACGTACTCGGCACTCTATTTAGTCCTCTCTCCCAACCTCGCTGGTGCCGGTATCGGTCCATTCGTCTTGGGAGGTGCTGCCCTCGCCAACAAGCTCGCAACCAAGTACGATCGCACTAAAGTTCGTTCTTCACTTTCACATGTTCTTGCGCAGTCACTGACTTTATGGAGGTGAACACTATTGCCATCAGCGTGCACGTAGTATCGTGGATCCTGCAATTCGTCGGCCACGGCAAGTTCGAAGGACGCAAACCCGCGCTGCTGGACAACTTGGTGCAGGCGCTGTTTCTGGCACCCTTGTTTGTCTGGTACGAGCTTCTGTTCAAGCTGGGCTTCTACAAGAACTTGAAGAAGGAGGTGGACAGTGCGATCGAGGTTGAGCTGAGGAAGTTGAAGGCGAAGAAGGGAGAGTAGGCATGCAGGTTGAAAACAGAATTGTGCACTATTGCATGAATTGCAGGAGTAAACGAAGGCAGGGTTTTTCTGATGTACCTATTGATGATGACCATAACGGGGCATTGGGTATACGATGGAGATGATGAAACCGAAACGAATTGTCGGAGGATAGGGAAGTTTAGATCGCCTCCAACGACTTTAATCAGTAGCCGGGTTGTTAATATGCCAATGGACCAAGTCTCGCGCCGCAATTGCATCCTCCAGAGAATCATGGCCTGTAGTCCCTTCACCTAATTGGATCTTCCGGCCTAAACGCTTATCGGCCAGGGTCTTGAGCGACAGATCTCCTCCCTTCCTCTTCTTCTTCTTCTGCACCGGCAGCCCTGCAGCTGCATTTGCACTGTCACCGGGACCCAAGGTCTCCTTCACAGGCTCCACATAGGTTCCGTCAGCCTTTGCCTTCGCGATCGCTTCCTCTTCTGCCTTTTTCTCTTTCTCTTCCCTACGCTTCTTGATGTTGAGTTCAATGACCAGCGAGTCGACGACATGCTCATGGATCCACTTCATCGACCTCAAATCGTTGCTGACTCCATGCCCTACAACGATAGTCTGCGCCCCAACGAACCTCCATATTGCGTGTCGCGCTCCCATGGTAGCATTCAAGCTCGTTCGCTGTCTCTGTGCAGCACGCATCTGCCCCCATGTAACGCCCGAGAACCGTGTGTTGAGATGTCGCAACGGTACGTCCGGCTCCACGATGTTGTTCACGAGGACCTCCCCCGTGAAGTAATCTATCAGCGTGACTTTGATAAGCTCCGTGTCTCCAGACTCCGCCGTGCCCATCTCACAATCCAGCGCGACGGCTGCACGGATATCCTGGCCCTTACCGAGTCCCCTTGATGCAGCCACGACAGGTGTGAAATGGAGTTGGTAATGTCGGGCGAGTTCTATAAGAGGTTCATCGCGCGGATTATGGAAATCGGAGCCGCTGCAAGGGTCGGCGGTGCAATGCTGACCGCAACAGGTCCAGTACTATGGTACGGTCAGGTGACTCAAGCAGAGCGGGGAAGAGTGCCTGTTTGTCTCACCTTCTGAATAACGTCACCAGAATGGAACCTGCAATTGAACTGGAGAGCAGGAGCAGCCTTTTCCTTCAGCGCGCTCAGCTCGGAAGTGGGTGTTCGAGATGCGCGTGCCATATTCGATGTAGAAGAACTGAAAGCGTTGTTGGCTGCGTGCGCTACTATCGAATGGCCCGGACCCATCCTTTCTCTGCCTTTGAGTTGTGACATTGCTAGCAATGTTACTTGTTATTCCAGATGCGAGTTTTGTATATTACCTTTCCCGCACCCTAGACATCTTCGCTTCAAGAGAAGCTCCTCGTCCGTAAGCAGCTGTGTTATGAAACCGTGCTTTCGAAGGTTGTCTTTGGGCTCAATCAATAGCTGCAGCTGCATCGCATAGGCCTCTGACTGTGTGATAGTCTCCATGTTTAGAGTTGATCTGTAGCGAACGACGAATAAAAAAAATAATGTGGAAGGTAAGGAGGTAGCCTGATGATCTAGGAATATCGCGCTAAGACAGACTTTGTTACGTAATGCAAACAAACAATCTGATTGGTGGGGATTGACCAGCAACCACACATGTCTTTCTTCGAGAGCAAACCAAACAGTGAGAGGGTGAGTCTGTAGGACATAGATAGCTGTTCTCTTGAGATATTCGCAGTCGATCTAAGAAGATAGGTTCTAATAAGAATCGTATTAGTGCGCGTGAGGCAAAAAAGAGTTGTTACAGCTGCTCTACCGTGCATCGTCAGAAGTCTGGATACCCCATGTGTCTCAAGCTAAGCAACGCAGTATCAGGGAAATTCCAAGCTAGATGTACTACACTGTTTAGAGGGGTCCGAAAAGAAGCTTGTCGTTTCCAAAGGCGGCTTCTCAGTATTCTCCAACGCCTTCGCACAACGTGGTGCTCCAAACCACGACCCCATCGAATGCTCCGGTGGAGCCTTGGTACAGCCGTTTTCCGTCAACGGTTGTCAACCAATGGTCCACCTGAAGTTCCTTCAGCCTACCCACACCCCAGAATACCCGTTGACGACACCAATGTACGGTACGCAGAGTTGAATTTATCGTTCCGTTCATCGATAAAAGAATTCCATCTCTGCAGCAAACCCTTTTACCATGGGATTGTGGTGCGCAGCCAGTGGAAGTAATCTTCTCGGGCCAATTGGACCCACCGGGAACCGTTGGTGATAACCTTTGAGGTTGTAAATTTTGTCCGATCCGGAAAATGGACTGTTTTGAGGGGTTTGCGACCGACCATGGCCGTTTGCGATAGCCGTTGAGTGTGGAAGCATTACAGGATACCTCGGATGATAGGTAACCGGGAGCCGCCTTCCCAAGTTGCCTACATCTGTTGTATTCTGGTGATCTCGTAATCGATCAAGGAGGATAGTGCATCTGATTCGAGAGATTCGTAGATGATTGGCGCATGCAGTGTACCCTGATGTACCTCAGTGCATCGTAGGCCATCGCAACTGTCATACATGTTGCGAATATCCTGCTATAGGAGCCCTACATCCCCTGTTGCATCCGGAGCGTGTTGGGCGACAACCAGATGAAACGATGTGGTATGCCTCTCCCAGTGGTTCTCTCTATCCAACCTCCCTACCGTGAAAAGTCTTCACGATAACCGTTGGAACCCTTCCAGGCGCTCACGATACCTGTTGACCTCAGCGGGGGAAATCGATTTCGCCTCGCACGGCGCGACCTCAACAGCTCTCATCTCATGTTTATAAATCCCCCGACTTCCCATTTCCTCTTGCTCTTCACCAAGTCTCCAATACTTTCGACACACCAGCACACTTGGGCCTACCACCACACTTCAGCACCACCACACTTCAGCACCACCACACTTCAGCACCACCACACTTCAGCACCACCACAGGCCTCTCATAACGACAAGCAACACAGCAAGCAAATTCACCCACACACTTAAACCCCTCCTCAAAAGTAAGCATTTTCTCCTCTTGTACGCCACTTCAGGAAGTAACAGTCGCAGACAAAATGCCTTGCAGCAATTGTCTTGAGACCGCATGTAACGGCTGCGCAAATTTCCTTCCGGGGCAATTCGGGGCTCCATCGTTGCCGGAGGAGATGCTGGGCCATCCCCCCTCCATTATTGACTACTCCATTTTGGACGGCGCAGGACTCGACTTCTCGGACGACCTGGCAGCAGGCCAGAACCAGCAGATGATGTTACCGCCTGCTCAACCCTCGCACCCTCCCACCGTCACCCCTACGCAGCTCCACCGGCCGAACTTTGAGGTACCGGGGCAGTCGTTTACATTGAATGCAACGCAGCCGTCCGCACCTCAGGCAAGGTCTGGTGGGGTCAGCCAGACCCTCAATTTCCACGGAGGCACCCAGGCCATCCAACTCTTCCCCTCCGGCCCGTCACCGGACAATCTTCTTGGGACCGGGCCACAGGCCCTCCACTTCAACTCCTTTGGAGCTCTCACCCCCCCGCAGCCAACGCCGCCACCGAAGAAGCGTGGCCGCCCAGCTGGCAGCTTAGACAAAGTCAAGCGCAACCCCAAGGGGGCGGGCCTCGCGAAAGAGGCCTCCTACAAGACGAGTGGGCGCCCGAGCAAGGAGCAGAGGGATGCCCGCATCGCGCACATGCGGCTGAAGCAAGAGATCAAGCAGATGAAAGATACAGAGGGACTTGTTCCGTCGCACAAGTATGTGGAGCTGGCGGAGCTGGCGGAGAAAGCCGGCTTGAAGGAGCAGAAATAGGGTCTTCGATCGAACGTCCTTTGCCGTATAGTGGGAAGTCGTTTCCTAAGGCGAGGCGTTCTGGCTCTTCACGGCACTCTTAACCATCTACTCCCCCTCTCTTTCTTCATCAATTTCAACCTCCTCCTCAATTTTCGGCGGCACATCATCCGGATGCGGATTCCCCTCATGGTGCCCGTCACCCCTAATTTTGCCCCACAACACGAAAAACGCCAACAACCCCAGCAGGAAAGCGATTACAGTCGGAGCGGCAGGGTGGCGCATTCTCTTGTACTCTTCTCAGATTTTGCACGATACTCCTGCTATTTTGCGATTTTGTGCTTCTGCTTGCCGACGTTTTGGGAATATTGGGAGTTTGGGGTGTGTGGGCGTTGGGACGGCTGCCTGGCGTAACCAGTGGTACCGACTGGTTGGTACTTCTTCGACGTTCTATGCGCTTCGTTAGCATCGCTCAATGACATAAGATAAGCTTTCAAATACCTCGTACCTCGTGATGCCCGATGTGCACGTGCTTTGGATGTGGCCCCGGGGAGAGAAGGAGTGAGGTTGCGTTAGCGACATCGGCTATTGGCGTAACACACCAATAAGCTCCCCGCTCTGGGCCGGCGTGGACTTGCCGAGGTGTCTAACCCTCACTATCGGGACGAGACCTCAACCTCAAGACATAAGAGTGTTCATGAACAGACACGTAGACCAGCTGCTCAAGTGTTCAGTCATTTAACAAGCTATTTGTTCGTTTCATGAAGTATCTATATACTACAAAGTAAAGTGAATCAAGCCTGTTGGCCGTTTAACACAACAATACACAAAACACCCTCTCTATCAGACCTCTCCACCAAGCCCATCGCATATGATCGCCTGAGCGCCATGCTAAGAATTCCAGAATCAATGCAGAACCCATGGCCCTAGACGCCTTTGGCGCCGAATGCAATCCTAAACCTCTCACGCTAAATTTCAAAACATCGCTCGATCCCTTCCTTACAGATACGCCATCCACAGCGCGTCAGTCTGGCACAGTTTCAGCGGATTAACCGCATTACTGACCAAATCCACCATCGTCTGGTTCGCCGGTAAATTGCTCGTTTGAGGCAAGCTGCCCATGCTCGTCGCCCGCTTCACAACCAACTCACTATTCGTCTGCACCGTCTCTCTCAGATTCTCCGCCGTCAGCCCCTTGTGCTGGCTTGTGAACCAGTGGTTCATCTCGTCGCGCATGAAGATGGCCAGCTGCATTTCCAGTTCGCCCTCGGGTTCGATAAGGCACCGCGCAATGCTCATGACGGATGGCGCGAAGATGCCTTCGAGGGCGAGGGGGCCCATCAGAGTTTGCATGTTGGGGGTGAGGCGGAAGGGCACCGGCTCGCTGTTATGCAGAACGGGCTTTCCTATCGCCATCGAGGGAATGAGCTCAGAGCCCCAGACGCGACCGCTGCCGCGCGAGATGCTGATCTTGTGTGGGAAGCGCGAGTTCATGTGCATGACGTACGTCATGAAGGTGAGTGCAGCAAGCTGGTAGCTGAATGTGCGGCGGAAGAGCCAGAAGTCCTCGAAGACCGGGTACGTGCTGCGGAAGTAGTCGAGCAGGAGGGTCTGCGGCACGTATTTCTTTTGCACAGCGTCAAAGGTCTCGAACCGGATGTTATTAGCGTGCTCGATGTTTTTCTGTGTTACAACATTAGCTTGATCTTTGTGAAGGCGAAAGTCCAGGGTTCTTACGGGATTGAGAGCCTTGAGCTTCTCCAGACTGAACAAAACAGGCTCGTCCTTGTTGAGGCTGGTTCGCCGGCAGTGGTCTTCGAAAATGCCTTGCATGCTGATGTAGGAAGCATCGTCCTGTACCATGCGCACGACGGGCGTGATAGGCACCATGAGCGGGAGATGGAATTGCAGATTTCGTCTTCGACTCTCTTTGCGCTTCGAAAGAATGCCATTGAAGATTCTGAACAGCTGCAGAATACGCTCTTCTCTCCTGGAGCTTCGCTGCGCAGGGAACTGGATGGCGAACGGATGGATGCTCCCATCATGACCACGGATCTTAAGGCGGCGATGGCAGATACCAATGCCACGCACAACGTCCACTTCCGGTAGGAAACGTTCAATGCGAACAAAATCAGAGTTCTTGTCGCGATGCTGCAAGTATTGACCAGGTACTTCCACATCATCAAACTTGAGGAAGCGGAACTCGCTGAGCTGCTGAGTGTACGATTCGAGAGGGATAACAAGCTTCCTGCGATCGAGGCGCTCTTCAAACCGGTTCCTCCACATGCGAAGCTTCTGTATGTACTCGTACATGGTGGGCTTATTGGTGACGAAGTCTAGCTCGAAAGCTTTGCGGATGTGAGGCGGCAGCACAGATTCGGCGAAGCGTGTGATGTTAGCCTCAGTGGACGACGGGAGTCTAACCTCCTGCCCGTAAAGGCCAGGCGAGCGCCCGACATAGGCGAGCCCATCGTTCAACAAAGCGACGATCAGTCGATAAGCGTCTTCGTCCGGAGGACACTTAAAGTTCTTCTGAATCTGATCGAGCATCGTCTCCATAGAGAGGGCCAACAGCGGGAACGCGGTCTTGAGGATTGCCGAGATCTCTTCCACGTGGTCCCAGGGTCGCTTGGGGGCTGGAGGTTTCTCATCGGTGGCAGTTCCGGTCAGTGCATCTTGCGTAGTCCCTTCGGTCTTGACAGTTCCGTTGGGTGTGCCATTGGTAACAGGCTTCGATTCACCGTTCGCGGAAATTGGTCGGTTTCCACTTGCACTTGACCCAGGTCGATTGTCGGGTGAGCTCTGCTTCTGAGCTGGTGATCCTTGGGCACCCTGTGCTCCTTGATTCTGTTGCTGCTTGGCCTTGGTTGCCTTATCCTTCGCCTCCTTCTGCTCATGGGACTTCTTAAGCGTGACCATATCCTCCCTCGTAGTCCTAAGGTGGCAGTACAACGCCTGCGGGTACGTCTTGGCCAGTTTTCCAAGGATGGATCGCGCAATAGGAGCTTCTGGCCTCGACAGACTGTTGAGCAGCTGTGGAATGTATGTAATCCAGTACCATGCTGGTGTGTCGCCTTGGAACTCTTCAAATTTCTCAGCGAGACGCCGCTCAGGGTTATCCAGGCTGAGCAACCAAAGCACACGGCCCAGGAGCTTTCTTGACTTGGCATTCTTGTACAGACTAGCTGCTTCGAGGTAGCAACTAAGAGCAGCCTCGGCCTTGTCAAGGGTGGAAGGATCCTCCTTGAACAGCATGTCATTGTATCGGCCCCATTCAGCCCATGCCTTTGGCAGCTTAAGATCGAAGATCATGGCAGTGCCGAATGCGTCGTTAGCGTCATTCTTCTGACCAAGCTTCGCGAGGAACATCCCCTTGAGAGTGTAGAACTCCGCCTTTTGCTGGTTGCCGAAGTAGTTAAGATTAGTATTGTTGATTACATCTAGACCATTGTTCAACTCAGACTTGTTCTGGTAATGACACTTCGCTTGCTCGCGCAGTTTCAGGAATGCTTCCTGGATCTCAATGTTAGGCAGAGTGTATATCCGGCTGAGCTGCTGGATGCACACGTCTGGAAGGTTGTGCTTCCGGGCAACGTGGGCGAAGCGGTTGATGATCCATGCAGTCTCGTGGTAACCGCGGTACGCGAACGAGTTACCGCTGGGGTTGCTAGGATTTGGTGGAAGTAGCTGCAAGTAAACCCCGTTGATGAGGTGGAAGATGTGTTGACGCCACGTAACCAGATCCTGCCATGCGTTGATGTCGTCCCAGAAGTTTGGCAGACGGTCACGCCAAGTAGACAGCAACAATTTGAGCTCTTGCGACTTGTGGTCCAGGTTGGCCTGGGTTGTCTGCGCGAGGCTCTGGCAGATGACGCTTGCATCGTGTAACTCGACCAGTTGCTGGAAATGCTGTAGCAGCGGAATGTGGGCCTGAGTAATGCGACGAGGCAACTGGTGCCACTTTCTTATAGATAGCTGGATTGACTCATCGCATAACCTGTGGAACTCCGGTTGGGTTTCCTGCTTCGCGTGCAGCTTGAGCAGCGATATGAATGTCTGGAAGAACACTCGTCGTGGCGTTGGCGCGTCGCTGACAGCTTTGATCGTCGCATCCAGTTGTTCTCGCTGTTCAGAGTTCTGCCACACTTCAAATTGCCTCCAGGTCGCTTCCAGATACAGGTCGTTGAAGTTCTCGTGCTTGGCGAAATCGCTCAAGACCTCCCATTGCTGCAGTTTCTGGGCACAGAGGACCCAATGATCCTCCCAGAGCATATACTCACCTGTGGAGAACGGTAGCACACTGGTCCGAGCCTTGATCTGAGCAGCTTCGTACATTTGCTGGGCCTTATCCCAGATGCCGATTTGCTCGTACGACAAGGCGGCATTGGTCTCGATGAACTGGCATCGTCTACGCCACGTACCGTAGAATAAGTCGTCTTCTTGCATGCCGGTATAGATCTCCAGCAGTGCATCAAGATTACTCTCCCTAAGTTTTTCGGTATCGACGATGGGGTCGACTGCCGACTCTTCCATATAGACAGCACCGGTATACCAAGCGTTGTACGAACGCGCGAGATACTTCATGATGTGTGGCGGGAACTTGACCCGTGGCCTTGCATGCACGATGGCATCGAGCATACTTGCGACACAATTCGGGCGCTTATCGAGCTGGCGGGAGTGATAGTCTTTTGTCAGGAGTGCAGCGATGCCCTTCTCCAGGTCGCTCTGATCGTCCTTTGTGAGAGCAGTCCAAGCAAGCGGGAAGAATGCAACCCAGATATCGTGTGCGAGGTTGCTGTCGGTGTGCTGCAGGTGCCCGAGGGGCTCGAAGAGGTCCTTGATCTTGACATCGCCGAGCTGGTTGCAAAAGCGACGATGGCCACTGACAAGATTCTCGAGCTCGTCGTCGACCATAACATCCGCGATGCGCGAGTCCCTACTGTAGGTGCCGAAGATGGAAGAATTTTGCGGTAGTCGGAAGTCCTCGGGATGAAGCTGTGCGGATGTGTTCATTTCAACCGAGCCGAACATGAGGTGGATGACCTGGCTGAGCCAATAGCTATCGGCGAGGGTATCCCAGTTCTGTGAGGCAAGTACGTAGCTGAGTCTGCTTGCTGCAGTACGGCTCAAGCTCTTGTCGAAGATCGTCATGTAACGGTTGCGCATTTCGACGTCCTGGGCTCTGGTGCCGATGAGGAAGGCATGCTCCATTCGTACCGTAAGTTCTGAGCGTGTAATCTTGGGGTCTTCGTAGATTCGGATCACGAGATCAAGGAACCGATTGAGCAGCGACGTATCCGGTCGGTGTTCGAAAAGTAGCATCTTGCTGAGGACTGCGGTCTTCTCCTTAAGCGTCGGCACAGGCTCATTAGAAACGAATATCCACTCCTCAACAAGGTCAAGAACCTTCGTGCATACAGCAGCGCTCTGGGATCGTTCAACCAAGGACGCAAGCACACTAAGATACGGCCTACGATTTTCACCGAGCTCGTTCATCCGGGCGGCGAGGATATCCACAACTTTGAGCACCAAATCGGTCTGGATCTCAGCCTCGCGGGGATCGGTTGGCGGGGTAGCGCTGTCAGGGCGGACACCAGGCGGGACGGCAGGTTGGCCTTGTTGGCCACTATGGGCGGTGAGATGATCCTTCGCCATCTTTCCCTGGAAAGCTTTCATAAGCTGTGGGATGTGCTGATCGATCTCCTCCGGTTGCTTATGGCAGAGCGTCCACAAGATGTTGATAGCGCAAATGTTTGAGCCGTTAGAGAGAGCCTCCGTGGCGATAGTCCCCAGTAGGTTCACAAACTCAGTCGATGGTGTCTCTTCAGCGTTGCCCTCTTCGTCCTTCACTGGTTCTGGCATAACGTCGAGGATGCGCTTCAGGGTGGGTTGCAATTTTGATGCAACATCCTCTCCTTCATCTACGGCCTGTAGGCTCGCCTGCACATCGGCGTGCTCAGAGCGAAGCGGCTTCTCCAGCATCCGCTGAAACTGCGGAACGCGTTGAAGCACCCAATCATCAGGCTTTACGTTGACAATGACCTTGACGATCTGTAGAGAGTTGATCATTCGGGTCGTAAATGCCTCTTGCTTATCATCCTGCTTCATCTCCAATACCAAAATCTCTTCAAGCTTCTTGCTGAGGATGAGGTCCAAATCCAGGTCGTTCCAGAGACGCGGGGACAAGAGGTCGTGCAGAAGTTGCACAGCTTTCCGACAAATTTCGGCAGGCGGGGGGCTGTTCGGAGTGGTAGCTGAGGCATCCTTGGGCTTGGGTGTGGCCACAGGGTAGCGCTCCGGAAGGTAGGCAATGAACGAGATCAGGTACTTCACGAGTAACATGCGAATGCCGAGCGCAGCCACGAAACCCTTGGTAGCAGTGAGAGGTACGACAGAGCCGTCTGCGCGCCTCTTGGATGCTTGTGGTGATTGCGAAGAGCGGTCAGTGCCGGAGGCCGTCTCACCCGCAGCTCGCTCTTCCCAGGTCCTAATCAGCCCGATCAGATTTAAAGCGAGCTTCTTTGCCTCTGTGGACGGGTTTGGCGGTTGAGCGATCTTCGGTAGCGCTGCGATAATGATTGCCGACAGTGGCTCTCGAGCCTCATAGAAAAGGTCTGGATGTCGGACGAGGAAGTTGAAGATGCTCATTAACTGCTGCAAGTTCGAGCTCTCCTCTGAAAGTATCTTCCGGGGAATTTGTGCCCATCGCGGGATCGCCATCTTCTGGTCTGCGCCGCCGAGGCGCTTCTTCAAAACCGGTGCCATCAGCTCAAGCGACTGCATGACAAGGGCTTTACCCTCGTTCTGGTGGGCTTTGAGCAGTGTCTGGTAGACCTGACTAGCGATCTTCACGGGCGTGTCGTATACCGCAATGAAGAAGGCAATGACCACGTAAGCGGCGTATTTGTTGATGACATCTTCCAGTCGTATATACGCCCATGCGAATCGGATAATGTCTTTTCGAGTTTCTTGGATTACGCCTGAATAATGCTTTAACAGTAACGTAGTAAGTTGAAGTAGTTCCATACGCGAGTGATCGACACCAAGCTGGGCGCTCTCTTCCGATGTATCGATCAATGCCTGCGGTTTCCATAGCCGGTTATGTATTGTGTCGGTCATGCTGCGGTCTACCAGCTTCGTACCCTTGTTGGCTTCGCTGCCGAACAAGGTCTCCCAGTTGCGTTTGGCGTCCATCGCAAAAATAGGGTTGACGATGTACCGGAAAATGAAGGTCTTCGTCTTCTGCGATGAAGTGCGTCCGGTATAAAGATTGATACACTTGTGGACTAAAGCCTTCCAGTAATCGACCGACTCATTCGACACCATCTGTTCATAGATGAAATCGAACAGTATTGGGTGTGCCTTGAAATCATCGGAGGTCACCGCGTCGATGAACTCGAAGAAGAAATCGAGGTTGTCAGGGTCGTAACGCAAGTAGGTCGTGAAGACGGTCATGATCTGCTCGCCTGCCTGTTCGGTAGCTAAACGCAGGCCAGGTTCGATACTGTTCTGTCGCAGTGTCTTCTCCAATGAGCGCGCAGCTTCAAAGAGAGCCTTCCTCAAGTCTTCTTTGCCAGCAAGCCATTCGCGCGTCCCCTCGAATTGGCTCATGGCGTAGGCAACGTGTATAGCGTTGAGTTGCGCTTGGCACTTCTCCTTCTCTGAACCATCAAATTCAAAGGAAGCAATGAACTTTGGGATGTCTTTCATCAACTCTTCACGCAAGGCGCCACTCTCCGGGTGCTCAAGCAGTTGTGCAAAGAACCTGCCTTGCGTCTCGTCCTTCATGTTGGGAGAGAAGTGATCCCAAGCTTCCTTCGGATACATACAAAGGTACTTGATGAGCGGCTCTCGGAAGGGGCTGTAGTGTGTCCGGCGAAGGGCGGTTTCGAGTTCAATGACTTTCTCGATAAGCTGTTTGAGGAAACTGATCGCTGCGGGAGGCAACAAGTGAAACACATTAAATATCGCCGTTACGATCTTCATCTTAGGATTCTGTTCAATCATAGTGAACGAGATTTTCTGCAGGCTGACGGGATCTGCGATGTTCTTGAGATGATCCAGAAGTCGGGTCCCGATCTCGACCTTGAAATAATTCGTAAGAAGCTTCAGAAGGCGAGCCAATCCATCCAGATTCTCCACGGAGAGCTTCCTAGGGTCCTGGAGATTGACCAAGATCGGTCTAAGACCACTTTGCAGCACGTCTTTTGGAAGCTTGTTCGTTGCTGAGATCACACCAGAAAGGCCAACGTTAGCAGCTTCGATGACCTCGGGAGACTTCGAGTAGAGGCATTTGAAGAATACACCGATGATACGGATAACCGTCTGATTCGGAGGTGTGGTGCTGAACTCTGGGAATGTTTGAGCGGTCGAGAGCAGGCGAATGCAGGCGACTCGTAGGTTGACAATGTGCTCGGCGTTTCGTTGCTCGAAAGGTTTAGTCGCGAGTCCTTCATCCTCTGCATCAGCTAGGGCTAGCGACTCCATTAGTAGCCTGGTAAGCTGCTCATTGAACTCAAGAATGTTATTCTTCAGTTTCAATAAGAAGGTGATTGCGTCGATGTACGCGATCTGTATGCCGAATGGAAGGGCGCGAAGGGGTTTCGTCCAGATGGGCACAATCAACCGTTCTTTGACTGGCTTGATGAGCTCGTGCACAGCACGACCCGTCACATCAGAAAGGACCTGGAACGCTTTCTGGGTAGCTTCTCGCACATTCTTGTTCATATGTGACAGGTCGGCGACTAATTGGCCACAGATCCTATGGAGGGGGCCTCCCACTTTCTTGCATTCTTCCTCCGTGGCAGGCTTGTAGCATCGCCGGATTAGGTCCTCTATAAGGCCTTGGGCCTGGATGCGCGTCTTAGAGTCGAGGTCGGTCGGCATATCCTTCATGACGAATGTCAGTGCCCGGATCAGTTCAAGATGTCGATTCTGCATCCAGGCGTCGCCCAATCCAAGCTTCTTGATGATGATTTCGATACCCCGAGTGCCTCCAGACTTCATAAACCAGTCATCGGCGTAGCAGTTATGGATAAACGTTTTGGAGAGTTCATCGAAGAAAGTGAAACTGTCCAAATTTTCTTGGCCTCCGAAGATGATTTTTGCGGTATCGCGCATGGTGATGATGGCTTGCTCAGCAGCATCGCGAGCCGTTTGATGCTCGGATGCAAGCGAGTCACCGAGAGCATCAGAGAAGACATCAGCGTCTATCACGACCGGACCCTCTCCTGAGTGAACATCGAATGGTCTCCCCTTATGCTTCTCATGCGCAAAATGCATCCCTAGCTCCAAAAGAGTGAAGTGCTTCGCAAGGTTTGTCACCAAGGTATCAGCATCATCTTTCAGGTCCGCTATGGAAATAGCGAACATGCAGGCTTTCAGAAGCTTCCTCAAGGTCTCCTGTTCAACGCCCTTCTTGACGATGGATTTGCTACGCTCGGAAAGAGTCATTATATCCGCACCGGCGTCCGTCTTCTTGCTGACTAGATCGTTGGCTTGCAACCGAATTAGTTGCGCAAAGTCATCGGGCAAGCTGTCAAATCCCACGAGGAGCTTAGTGTGGGAAGTTATGAGCCTAAAAGCTTGCTGTTTGTGGAATGGATCCGATCTCTTTGCTGCAGGAAGCTTTGGTACTTCGTGGAGCTTTGCTATGGCCGTATCAATGCCGATCACTGCTGGGAACGCGCGATCCTTGGTGGAACCAATAAGCCGGATATCGAGGGATGCTGCATCATCAGAGTATGGCTTGTAGTTCAGCTGTGGTGGGCCGGTGATGAACTTGCGATTGCGGCCGCCTAGCTTGCCGAGAATCCTCATCGTCGTATGTGCGTGGAAGTGGCTGTAAGGTTGAGGTTTTAGGTGCTCCCAAAGTGCTGCCATGAGGTCATCAATGACAGGTGCCATGATCGGGTCAAGATAGTCTGCCGTGAGGTTATCAACGCACAACTCCAGTGTCCTTAACCCCTGGCCAACGAGCTCTGAGCCTGCGCGCAAAGCTACCACCAGAGGTCTCATGAGGTAGCTGAGATGCGGTAGAAGGTTACTTAGCCTAGCTGGTACCGTCAATGAGAGCTCGACGAAGAGGTCTCTGTCTGCTGGTTTCCGCGCCGTGAGAAGGAGATTGTTCAGAACGTCCAATAACATCTCAAGGAGAGGAAGTATCTCTTTGTACAGATGCTCAAATCTGCCGCCTCCTATGCTCCTGAATAGCGACCTGAGAAGAAAGAAGTAATTCATTGGTTCTTCTGCGGTGGTTGACAGTTGTATGGACTTCGTAATGATCTTGCTCACGTGCGGTAAGAGCACTTGCTCGTTCTGTGCAGAGAAGAGGGTGACTGCCATGAACGATAGCTTGAAAAGTCGTAGCAGGATAGACGATTTCGTCACGTCTGACGTCCCAACTTCTTCGATCCGGTCCATCAGGAACTGTAGCAGCATGCCAGCAAAGCTCGGGGAGGTGGCTTCCGAGGCGAGCAGGAATTGTGGTACGTGGAGCAGCGCAGGATGTTCGAACATCATATCGTACAGATGAGGAATCTCCGACGAGAATACTTCGTGGAAGGTGGCCGGATCGATGTGATGGAAGACAGTTGCGAAAGTTTCCAACAGTTCCTTCTCTTCCTTCCCGCTTGACATCATGTGCTGGTTCGCCATCAGATCCCCTGGAGAAAGACCCTTGGTCTCTGCCGGTTTGTCGGTACCGTAGTATCGGAAAACTTTCGCGCCTTCCCTGAAGAGCTTGATCAGCACCTCCACCTCTTCTGCGTTGTAGCCGTAGGAGACTTCGTGCCAGTTCGCCGACGCGTTCGCAGCGTCAATCTCATCTTTGATCTTCTGCGGGTTGCATGCTCGTAGTTGGTAGAATAGATTCTTCAAGCCATGCAGGAGATTCTTGAACAAGAACTTGTTGTCGGCAATGGGATCTGAGCTCCGTTCACGCGGGTTCGACGTTTTGATAGGCGTTGCATTGAAGATGTCGATCTCGTCCCAGTCCGGAGGCTGATCCCGCACGGCCAGGTGGTTCTCCTCTGCCGCATCGATGGAGGGAGTGCTGTAGGCTGCGGAAACCTTGACTGCGTTGTGGTACTGGCGGTTCATGGCGGCAAACTTGTCACCTATGGCGTTCAGTATCATGATCAAAAAATATCGAGCGTCCTCCTTTGGTTCCAGCTTCGCGATGCACTCAGCCATGTTCAATAGCAGCTTCGCACTCATAGTCTGAAAACTCGTTCCAGGGAATGTGTCGTGGAGGTTCTTCGTATACACCTCGATGGTGCGTCGAATCTGCTCCTTGTTGAGCGAATCGCGGAGATGGTGGATCAAATCAGCAAGCATGCTGTAGGCGAGTGGTCGCATCGTCTCGTAGACAGTGAGTCCGTCGCCTATCAGTGTCCGCTCGTCCAACAGCTCATCAATCTTCTTCAAGAATATCTTCCGAAAGTTGAAATTGATGATATGCCTAATGGCCACCAGAAGCTCTTTTCTTGAGCTGGATTTCTCCCGGGGACAATCCTTTAATAACCGTACGACGATATCGGGAAGCGTCGGCAGGAAATCGTTAAGTTGCTGCGCATACACTCGTAGCAGATATGCCAGGAAGCTCATGGTCTTAACTTGAGCAGTGATGAAGTCGCCGAAGGCCGCCCTGTTGCGGATCTCTTTGCTCACCCCAGTAAAGATTTTGCCCTGGGCCTCTGCCTCTTCATGCGCTTTTTGTTGCGGCTTCGCCTGAAGCATGAGCACATTCTTGATCAGCGGAACAAACAGTTTTACGTTCCGATTTACCACATTACGGTATGCCTGAAACAACGATACCACTATTATGGGGCATTCTGCAAGCACCTTGAAAGACTGCATGCCCTTCAGCAACATGCGCGTCTGCTCGGTATTGATATCACCGGCGGGCCCCGCAGTCAGGGATGTCGCGGGTGAGCCTGGTCGCGGAGACTGCGAGTACTGATGGTTGCTCGGCGTTGACGGCACGCCCTGTCCTGACGGGGCGGGTGTCGCGTTATCGAAAGTTTCCGTTACCGCCTGCTCCATGGTCTGGAACATCTCCTGGATAAGATCCAAGAACGGTTGCACCCTGTCCTGCAGCGCCTTGGTTTGATGTCGCTGGAAGTCCATGACGATCTTCATGCAGAGCACCGCGTTGTCCTCGTTCTCAGTCTTTACTAAGGCCACCAGCTTGTCCACGATCTTCGCAGCGTGTGGTTCGACCGCGTCTGGTGGGCTCATGGGTAATCGGTGCAGAATCTCGAGCACGCAGTTGCGGAGGCGCTGCACATCATGTAAGTCCGAGTCCGTCCCAGTACGATCGCGACCGCTCACCTGTTCCGGAGACGTGGATATGAAAACTGGATCTCCATCGAGCACCTTTAAGAATAAGGGCACGAGGTGGTTCAAGAATGCGCCGTACTGCTGGCCCTGGCAGTATGTCTCAATATTGTCCCGTATATCTACTGCCTGGGCCAATTTGACTCTTGAATCTAGGTCATGTGTCAGCCTTTTGCCATGTAAGTGTATGTATACTGCCTCAAAGTTGGCTGTAGAGGGCGGCGTACCCGGACTCTGGTCGTCAAGCTTCGCGGCCATAGCCTCGAAGTTGTGATGCGCGGCCATGATGATGAGCTGTGCAGCTCAGCGCTGCTGGTCCCGCTGCCCGAATCCTCTCTCGCGGTGCGCGTGCGCACGCAAGTTCCGTCAATTGTGGGCTGTGGTCGAGAGTAAGAGCATTGGTCGCAGTGCTCGTTTGGTGCGGCGCCGTGTTGCGCCTGTCGCGCTGGGTATAATTATAGTTTAGAAGGAAAGGTGCAGGCTACGAAGCCTTAGCGTGCATTAAAATCATTAACTTCGGAAAGAGCGCGTGGAGCAGGTGAGCTGTGGTGGGCGCGTCCAACCCAGGTACGTGATGCCGGTCGCGAGCTACGCTACGCTCTCGGACTGAACTTTGAGAAGGGCAGACCATTCTGACCCCGACGGCTGACGTGGATTAAAGACGTTTCCTTTGCACGCGTTGATTCGCTAGTACCCCTGGTTCATTGGTTTCAAAACCGCTCGCTTCCAGCGACCAGTGGGACGCCGACCCTCACCATCTGAACGAAATGTAGCACGAGCTTCGTTCTGTGAGCCATGACAGGGTCAATGATGCAGCAGTCGCACATTACCGACTCTACCGGTCTATCATGCTATTTTGCGTACAGCGCAAGTCAATCCTTGCAGCATGCATGCCTCAGATATCGGTTTTTGCTGATCTGCCATATATTGATCCAGCCATTAGCAGACACGAGACGGATTGAACGAGCTTGTATATACTACGTTGGGTCTGTACAGGCTTTTGTATAATAGCAAATCCCGCAATGACCTTGACTCTTTATACACGTGTACTTGAATGTGTAACCTTCCCAACATGTAGAACCTCCAGGCGATCATGATTTTGGCGATCCAACACTACGCATTAAACATTTCGAAAAAATCATCGCAAAACCCACACATGCATTGAGGGAATGGACCCTTTTTCGGCACATTGTTAACTGTTAGGCATGCACCGAAGTGAATTTTGGCATTCATTTGCCGCGCCATTATGTTCGAGAGCACGCAGTTTGGCGTAGACTATGCGAGAGCGTGACTTGAGAAATTATAGTTCTCATATAGTTCATTTGGTCATGACTGTCTGACATCTGGAGATTATAGTCCAGTGCTACGTGTCATTGAAACCGCCGAAGCCGAAAGCAGTCGGGACGTCATCAACCTCCCACTCCCCATCAGCATCCTCATCCTCGTCCATTACCTCATCCAACACCCCACCCACACTTTCATTAAGCTCATCCTCTTCTTCGTCATCTTCATCCTCATCGCCGACCTCATTATCGCTATCATCTTCCACGCTGCCGCCTTCATTAAGAATGTCCTCAGCCCGTTCAGGGACCTCTGACATATCCTCCTCCACTTCAACATCTTCTTCCACTTCCTCTGTTTGCGGGTGTTCTGCACCGGATGACTGCCCTTGCTGTGCCTCCAACCTCTCAAACGCGTATCGTGGATTCTTTGCAGCGTACCGCACATTTTTCATGACTGTGTGCTCTACGCTCTTTCTACTAACTGCCTCTTTGTCGTGAAGCTCTTTCGTGTGCTCCGCAAAGAATGTTTTGTCGTCCCACAGCTCAGGCCACGCAAGTATGCGCTCGTAGATGGAATCATCAGGCTTATCGCCAGCAAGAATAGTGTTCATCTTGTGCTTCAGGATAACTGTTGCTTTGGCCCATGTGCCGACATGGAACCAGCCCTGTGCTGTTGGAGCGGGAGTCGTACGAATGTCTTCGGTCCGCAATATGCGTTGAATCAGCGGATCTGTAACGTCGCAGAATTGGAAGAGATTTCCTGTCCGTGACACGTGCACGCCATCGAACGTGTGTTGTTTGCGAAGCTCCTGAGGGCTTAACTCTGCAAGGTCCCGCACGTGTTGGTCGAAGCGGGTGAAGTGCCGAGCGGTGCCTGTTTTTTTGTAGGACAGGAACGACACAGTCTGATAGAATCTGTACTTGGGGTCTGTCCGAGGATCAACGCCCCATGCGATGAGCGCTTCACGCCAGGGTCCGGTCTCGAAGAAATATCCGCAATAAACAGCGGCTTGACGCAGTCTGTCGCGCTTGTCCCAGCCGAGTGTGTTATAAAGCAGATGACGGGTGATGATGGGTCGCTTTTCTAGCTCACGTCTGATGCTACGAATGAGTTCCTGCACATAGGGCGTAAGGTCTGACTCCCGGGGCAGACTTGACTTCGGACGCATGGGAACACCCTCTGCGTTGGGCTTGATGATGGAGTAACCGGACCATGCCAGGCTCTTGTGTAAGTTCACTTCAGCGACGGCGCCGTTGTCGTCTTTGTATTTGACGAAGGTGTTTTGCTGGAAGCGGTAATTGTATGCAATTGGGAGCTGCAGGAACTCCGCAGAAGGTCCAACATCTTTAGTGAGGTCGGGTCCTGCGGCCGTATTTAAGTTGAAGTTCTTCAATTTGGAGACTGCGGGAGGTTCAATATACAAGTCAATGCGCTAGAACATGTGAATAGGCTTACAGCTCAGCGGGAGCACGTGGTCTCGAATCTTGAGCATTGTGCTGTTTGTAGAAGCCGCATATTGAAGGTCCGGCAGATCTGGCCAGTTAGCCACGTAACGAGATGATGGAGGGTAGTCTTACTCCGAAAGCGATGTGTCTCGTCGATTACACCGGCCACAGAGACGTCATATCTGGACGCATTGTCTTGCAAACTGCGAAACAGAGTTGCGGCATCTGTTTGCGCGTGCTGATTTTGGGGACTCTGAGACTTGCCGGTGGCTGCTCCCGCATCGGCGTCAGCTATGAATGGGCCTGAAGAACCACGCTTCCGCTTGCGACCAGTGCGTTTGGGGACCGTCACTTTCAGGAGCAGATTGTTGGTTGCGACAGGTGTGGAGAGCAAACGTTTGGCAAGCGGATCGTCCGGCCGAAGAGAGACTGATATGACTTTTGGGAGAGCATCTGGGCTCTCTGCGTTGGGCTGCGGTTCTAGCTTGGACCTCAAGCCCTAAGTGTCGTGTCAGCTGCATGTCTACGGTGATGCCGTCCAGCAGTGGTACGCCTCTGACCTTGCTAAGCTTGACTGGCCCACCTAGCGAGACGATGCCCTTGTCGATGTTCTTGATGATGCACGGGTGCTCGACGACGGAGATGGCGCGCGACGGGATCTGCAGCCACGGTGCTGTCTGCTCGACCGCGTCTTCGCTACCGTGCTTGTTCGCAGCGTCCATGCTGTTCATGGCGAGGGCGATGGCAGCTTCCTCGGAGCGTACAGGGATAGCAACCCTAGCGCAATGGCGGCTGGCAGACACGCCTCGCCGCTCGCTGCTGGCGGACGATGAGCTGCTGGACTGCGCTCTACTGGCTCGCTGGCCCGTCTGCGGCCTCTCGCTCCGTTCCGACGCCTCGCAGTGACGCTCACGCTGCGGGCACCACCTCCATCGCGTCCTTCATACTTTGCGGCGGGGGTGTGGTGTCCGAGCGCCCGCACCATAGACTAACAGGGCATCGCTCCCCTTCTTCACGGTGGTGCTGCGAGTGCATTCACATCACGTCCACCGTCTGCCGTTTCTCCCCTCTGTCTCCTGTGTGCGCCTTCATCGACAACACACGCAGTCCTACATTTGCAAGCTGGCCGTGGTCGCCAAGGCCGCGCCTCCTACAGCCCCTCCCGACCTTCGCCCGCTCCTCTTGACATCGGCCGTGCTTCTCTCCCTAAGCTCCCTCACACCAGCGACGACGTGCAGCACACCCGCCTTTCTTCGTCCATGTCTGTTTGAGTTGCCAGTCGCTATCAGCATTCAAGCAACTGGGCGCGCATTCTTGTCGCTTCCATTGGCGCTGTCGGCTGCCGCTCACGCCAGGCCGAGTTCGAAACAGCCCTAAGCGGACCGCCTTTTCGAACGTCGCCGCACACCTACCGTATCGCCTGACGTTGGCTCGCGCATTTCCACGAGATGAAAGGCTTCAGGCAGAGGGTGGTAAGCCTATCCCCGTAGAGAGTGTCTCCGCTGGACAGCACATGCTCCACAATTGGGCAGCCCCCTCGACTAGCGGCTCAGAACGCTAACATGCTCAGCACGAACAGCTCGCGAGAGCCAAATCTGACAAGTCTACTTCCAAAAAGAAGGACTCCAACAACGGCACGTCATCTCCCTCGCATGGCGCCTCGAGCTCGCCCTCAGGATCTGCACACGCTACACCCACATCTTCTCAGACACAATTGACGGATGCTCGCAACAAGCCGCTCCCCTCTGGTGACGGCGCAACAGGGAGTACAGGCTCCTTACAACCAGGCCAGCCGGGCGTGCCGAGCTCTCTCGGTGCAGGCTCATCATTCGGTGGACAGCAGGGCACGGGAAACTTCGGTGGTGCTAGTAGCGCCGCTGCCTCAGGTTCTGGTACACCCCACAGAGCAGGTCAGCCATTAGCGCCTAGTGTTATCATCAGTCCCAGCGCTCCTGTAAGTGCAAGCCTTCCGTACGTGCGGCGATAACCACAGACTGATGGGCGAGTAACAGCATATCCCGGCCCCGGGCGCAGCAGAGACCATGCCGGGCGACCTCCTACCCCCGAAGGCGGGTCAGAAATCGTTGATCTTCGATCGTCTGCAGACTACACCCAAGGACAATGTAGAAGGCATTCGAACGCCTAAGCGTCAACATTCGTCGCGTTTTGACATTTCGGACCAGCGCCAAAGAGAGCTGGAGAAACTGCCAGGGTTCCACGAGGTGCCGCCCAACAAGCGCGAGGAGCTGTTCATGCAGAAGCTCGATCAGTGCAATATCATCTTCGACTTTAATGACGCGAGCGGTGATATGAAGTCGAAGGAAATCAAGCGCCTGGCGCTACACGAATTGCTAGACTACGTTGCGAACAACCGCCAGGTCATCACTGAGCGAATGTATCCCCGTGTTGTCGAGATGTTCGCAAAGAACTTGTTTCGACCCATTCCGCCGCCCATGAACCCGCAAGGAGAAGCCTTCGATCCTGAAGAAGACGAACCCGTGTTGGAAGTTGCGTGGCCCCACATCCAGGTGGTGTATGAATTCTTCCTCCGCTTCATAGAGAGTCAAGACTTCAACACCAATATCGCGAAAGCCTACATCGACCATAGCTTTGTCCTGAATGTCAGTTGTCCTCCCCTACCTTACCCGCTTCACGTCTAACCTTTCGTAGCTACTCGAACTGTTCGACTCAGAAGACCCAAGAGAACGTGATTTTCTGAAGACCACACTTCACAGAATATACGGCAAATTCCTTAATCTCCGCTCGTATATTCGTCGGTCCATCAACAACGTTTTCTTCCAATTCAGCTATGAGACTGAGCGTTTCAACGGCATAGCTGAGCTGCTTGAGATTCTCGGTTCGATTATTAACGGATTTGCTCTACCCTTGAAAGAGGAGCACAAGTTGTTCCTTACGCGCGTGTTGCTGCCCATGCACAAGGTGAAGAGCCTTAGTATGTATCACCCGCAGTTGGCGTATTGCATCGTACAGTTTTTGGAGAAAGATGCAGCATTGACCGAAGAGGTAAGTTCGAAACGCACCTTTGATGAGTTTCAGAATGGCTGCTAAAGGAATAGGTGGTTTTGGGTCTCCTACGATACTGGCCCAAGGTCAACAGCACCAAGGAGGTCATGTTTCTAAACGAAGTGGAAGACATTTTCGAGGTCATGGATCCCGCCGAGTTTGCCAAGGTCCAAGAACCACTCTTCAACCAACTGGCCAAGTCCGTTGCAAGTCCACATTTCCAGGTCGCTGAACGAGCGCTTTACTTCTGGAACAACGAGTACTTTTGCAACCTCGTCAGTGACAACGTGGAGGTCATTTTGCCCATCATGTTTGCACCATTGTACGAGAACTCGAAAGGACACTGGAACAGGTAAGTGTCTCTAAATGGAACCTTTGAGGCAAAGCTTACCCATGGCAGGACAATCCACGGCATGGTGTATAATGCCATGAAATTGTTCATGGAGGTAAATCCGCAGCTGTTTGATGATTGCTCGCATGACTATGCCGAATCACAGAATAACGCCAGCGAGCGTGAACGAAGTCGACAGAGCCGATGGGAAAAACTCGAAAAACTCGCAGAAGCCAGGAAGAACGGCGACGTGGTAGACAACAAGGTCGCTTCGAAAGTAGGCTCCCCTATGCGGTTAGATGAATCAGATCCCCTACGAATGGAAGCGCTTCGGCTGCAGGACGATGCCAAAGACCGGCGGCCAAAGGAGTTTGAACGGCAGGGCAGCCAGACTTCGGTACGTTGATTCTTGAGTCCTAGATTGAGCGTCATTGAACATGAGCATTTTCTACGGCCGAATCATTGTACTTTTAATTTTATTCCTAGACTTCTAGGCTTTTCTCTGTCGTCAAGATTTGCTTCTGGTTTTGGGTTCGGGTTGATCTGACATGTGTGCTTGCTCGATGCAGCGGAGACACCACGTCTCTTCACGAGAGGATCGGACGCAGGCGTCTCACACAAGGCGGTCGTCTACTGGTCGTCCGCGCAGTAACAGTCGTCCGAGTTCGTCGGGCAGCAACAGCAACGTCTCTCGCAATCCAACTGCCAATGGTACTATCCGGGCTGTTACTAGTGGAAAGGCGGCTACGAGCAGGGCTGTCTAGCACCTTGGTTTGGTCCTTTTCGCGATATACACTTTTCTCGACGGCGCGTTTGGCCCTTCCCCTTTTACCTTCTATCTATCATGTTCGGAAACGGCTGCAGTTGCGATATGGGTGCGTTCTATGACGGCATACCTTTGGTCCGGCCTGCCGCAAAAAGCGAGATGGAGCCTTTTTCTCATAGGGTGTATTGGCGCGGAGTCCTGTGTTCTTTCCAATGTCATGGTACGCTGGTTGAAGATAACCTGATGGAAGGTTTGGGGTGGGCTTGGCCCTTTTCTTCATACACTCTGATAGACATGGAATGTAAAGATCAACCTTGGCTGACTCTGCCTCGGCTCTTGGTAACATGTGTTCGTTCGGAGACTCGGACGTTCATTAGGCTTCTTGCTTGTGACATTAGACTCGTGCGGATGCTACCTTTAGTTTTAGGCAACGCGTCCAACATCTGTGGAAAACATTTGGCGAACATCGTTGCTTTGCCCATATCAAGATCAAGTCCACGCGAAACATTCTTGGTCGAGAGGTGACGTACAAAACAAGCAAGCAATGTTTGTAGGGCTGCATGTAGCACAACGGCTCACGACGAGGTACTCGCGCGCATCTCGACGTAGAGCCTCGTCAGCTGTCATTACGCTTGAGGAGCCAATCAAACGCGCAGTAATCTGCCTCGGGATGTCATAGCAACGTTCGTGGCAATTTGTTGTTTGGACCAGTGTGCGTTAGCTCGGAAGGCTCGGGACGCGATTGTCATCTCCCCCTTTCTGGTTCCGAAGCAAAAGTCTACGGTATTTACGCACCCACCACCGCTACTGCGACCCTTCCTACCTCGACCCAAGGGCTCACTTCTTCCTTCCTCACACCTTCTTGTCCTTCCTTAGGCCGTCGCTGCCATCTTTTCCTTCTCCGCGCTTCCTTTGTTTATCTCGCTGTGTTTGCGCAGCTTGTAGACAACCTCAACGACCCCAGCAACCTTGACGCATTTGCGACCGCGCACCATGTCGAAGCCTGACTGGATTCAAGCCGGCGTTCCTACGCTCGACCGCCCCTTCGGCCTGCAGCTTTGGCCCATCTTCGAGAAGGCCTACGAGTCGGCCGTCGGATACAAACCGCAAGACTTCCGCTTCGTGCCTGGCGAGACACCCATCTCCACGATCAAGTCGTGCACGGCGATACTTGTATCATACTACATTATAATCTTTGGAGGAAGAGAATTGATGCGAAACCGCGAGCCCTTCAAGCTCAACTTTCTGTTCAAGGTGCACAACTTTTACCTCACGGCGATTAGCGCAATCCTTCTTGGACTGTTCCTCGAACAAATTATCCCGACGGTCGTGCGACATGGTGTTTTCTTTGCTGTCTGCGACCACGCAGGCGGCTGGACGGACAAGATGGTCATCCTCTACTACGTAAGTGCTCCCAGGCGAGATAAGGGCTGTTGGAACGAAGCTAACAAACGTAGCTCAACTACCTTACCAAATTCCTGGAGCTGATCGACACTTGCTTCCTGTTCTTGAAGAAGAAGCCGCTGAGTATGTAATGCTGCATTGTACCGCGCAACAATAACTAATCTCACCAGCTTTCCTCCACACCTACCATCATGGCGCCACTGCCCTGCTCTGCTACACTCAGCTTATCGGTCATACCTCCGTTTCGTGGGTCGTCATTACCCTGAACCTCATGGTTCACGTTGTCATGTACTGGTACTATTTCCAGAGCGCTCGGGGCATCCGGATCTGGTGGAAGAAGTACATCACGATGATGCAAATCATCCAGTTCGTTCTGGATCTCGGTGAGTTTGCCTGCTTTCCGCAATCGCGGCCAATTTACTAATGTGCTGCTACCAGGCTTCGTCTACTTCGCCTCCTGGACCTACTTTACCAGCACCTACTGGCCTCACCTTCCCAACATGGGCCAATGCGCTGGCGAGGAATTCGCCGCTATCGCCGGTATTTGCATCATCACGTCGTACCTCTTCCTCTTCATCCTTTTCTACCTTGCGACCTACAAGAAGCCGGTGCCCAAGGGCCGCCGCAGGGCTACCAGCGCTTTGGTCGAGATGAAGGATGAGAAGGTGCCGACGGTTGGTGAAGCACGGCGCAGACTCTCCCAGAGCGTGCATCCCTCAGCTAACGGCCAGGCAACAGGCGTCTCCACCCCGAACAGCCGTGCCACTCGTTCGCGCAAGGCCTAATCTCCTTAGTCCTGGCGTGGTCGTCACGGTCAGGGAGGTTATTAGCGCGAGCACGGAGACGGGCTCGAGAAGGGTGGGTTTCAGCTTTGGGGACGCGAGTGAGGACTTTGAACGACCCTTCGCTCGCACTCCAGCTCACCGATCCACCTGAGGCTCAGGCGACATTCTCCCGCCAACACGTCCTTATAAAGACGCTCCTGGAGTCTTCGCTGCTGATACGAGGGCTTTCAGCTTGTCAATGGGAGTACCATCACTTATGGTGATGACCTGACAACCCACGTTGCATTTCATTACAACAAAACCCTGGAGGGCAAGTTCAGTATCTCCTTGTAATTATCACGCGTTTTGGAGTTTGTCATTTTGGCGCTCCTCACGAAAAGTCGCATCCTGGGTAGATGTCCAAGCGATAGATAGCATGTACGATGGGGTTCTTGTGTTGCAGACCGGGGGCGGATTGGTTTCAATATCGGCGTAGCAATGAGAATAATGCATAATCACTACAATCGGCATGCGTGTGTTCAATACTTACATTGAAAAGAGCAAAGATTCGTAGACGAGGGGAGACGGATTGATGTCATCTGACAATCCGGGATTCAGGCACGGTCCCACTTTTTTCACGCAAACCCGCCAAGCTCGCCTCAGGTGATCTTGCAGCTGCAAAACCCAAGGTTCGACATCAGCTAACCTACCTCCACCCGCCGACCTCACCACCACTCTCCACTCCACCCAATTGCGCGCCCGCCGCCTCCGAACTCGCCTCCACAACCTCTTTTCAGGTCATTGAGCAGCAATGTCCTTCGTGCGCGCCGTATCGAGGGTCTCCCGCGTGGGCCTGCGAGTCCCGGCCTACCGCGCCAGCCCTGTTGCTTGGACCGCCCAGCGTGCCTTTTCCCAGTCGGTCATCCGATGCAGCGACCAGCATGCCGAGGAGACGTTCGAGGAGTTCACTGCCAGGTATGACGCACCTTGGAGGGGTGACGCAGATGCGTAGGGGATGAGGGTACCTCGGCCAGGGAGGGAGCCATTGAGCTCCATTGAGCTTCGCTAGAGCTGTGTTGCTGACTTGGGTTGCTTTGATGCAGATATGAGAAGGAGTTTGACAAGGTCAATGATGTTTTCGAGCTTCAGGTACGTTTTCCGCCGGTTGGGAGGATGGTTTCGGCATCACGCTACCGAGCTCCGATGGAGAAGGAAAGGTCAATGATGGATATAGAGCTAACGGACACAGCGAAACCTGAACAACTGCTTCGCCTACGATCTCGTCCCTTCGCCTACCGTTATCACTGCCGCTCTCCGCGCTGCGCGCCGCGTTAACGACTTCCCCTCCGCCGTCCGGGTCTTCGAGGGTATGTCTATTCCAAAACACCTCTAATACACTGCGTGGATGCCCAGCTACGGTGCCTCTCTAAAGCTGTTATGTAGCTGGTGTGGGATATATGTTCTCAACAGCGTCGAAGGCTACAATTGGCGCACATATACTAACGTGACGATCTAGGCATCAAGTTCAAGGTCGAGAACAAGAACCAGTACGAAGAGTATCTTCAGGAGCTCGAGCCGTTACGCGAGGAGCTCGGCATTCCGCTCAAGGAGACCATGTACCCCGAGGAGAAGTAAACTGCTCGCATCACTGCAATACCTTCCATCTCTCCTAGAGGGGTAAATCAGCGCGACTGTCAATGTCACCATTTCGATTTCTTAGAGTCTAGAGGGTTGGAACACGAGATGGGAGGGATGGGACGCTGTACCATTAGTGTGAGTTTACTGCAGCCTGGATGGTGACTAGGGAGTGATGGAGATGTAGAGCGGTACGCCGCTGTAGTTGCTGTACAGAGTTTCTTTTCGTTTCTAACAGCCTTCTCACATGCTGTGAAAGTCCGCTGAAGTTACTAAGTCGTCGTTTGGCTACCTGACATTGCTAACGCGCTGCATCGACTATCAGTATACGTTAGTCCAGTCTATACAGCATCACTATGCTCACGCCCAATGCACCGTAACCGCAGAACACCAGCAGATTAATATTCACCAGCATAGCAAAGACATAAGCAGAGCCGTTTACCAGCATACCGAGATCATCCGCATCTGCTAGCCTACCCATAAAGCTTTCTTTTTCATGTACAGTCATTAGGTACAGGAGCCCCACAAATTTATTTATCTCTGAGCCCCGCCATCGCCCGCCGCCATCGCCCGCCGCCATCGCTCGCCGCTGATCACAACAACTCGTCCTGCCACCACGACAACGCAATGGCGTCGGAGGAGAGCCCCTACCTCGTTCTACCAGGGTCTCTGGCCTTCTCAGACTTCCGCCTCAAGCGCCTGGCCCAGGCGATCGGCGCAAAGGAAGTGCGCGCGCTTTGGGTGCACTATGTCAATCCTACCAAAGAGCTGAGCGGGGAGGAATTGAAGACGCTGGAGCAGATATTGCACTATGGAGAGTATCCTGGGAGTACGGACAGGCTGTCGCAAACTCTTATCCACTCCGTCCAAAATCCTACTGCCGCTTCCACCACCGAGGACGATACCGTTCTCTTTTACGTTTGCCCACGCCCAGGGACCATTTCGCCATGGAGCTCTCTTGCTACCATGATCGCCCGCACATGCACGCTCGACCATGCCGTGAAGCGCATCGAGCGAGGCATGGTCCTCGCTGCCACCTTCGAGAAGCCGCTCGCCGCCGACGAGATACCCAGCGCCGACTCCCTCCACGACCGCATGACCCAGACCATCAGCCGCACCACGCCGAACCTCGACCTGCTCTTCGGTGAGCACGAGCCTGCTCAGGCTACGACGATCAGCTTTGAGGAGTACAATAGCCCTCATGCCGCGCTGGAACATGCCAACCAAGAGCTGGGACTCGCGATGGACAAGTCAGAGATTGAGTATCTAGTCGAGGCATACTCGCAGGAGCTCAAGAGAGGCCCGGTAGATGTCGAGCTGTTCATGTTCGCGCAGGTCAACTCAGAGCATTGCAGGCATAAGCAGTTTAACGCCGACTTTACCATCGATGGCATGCGCAAGGGCTACTCGCTCTTCGGGATGATACGGAACACACACCAGAAGCACCCGGAGCATGTTGTGAGTGCGTACAGCGACAATGCTGCTGTGCTTCAGGGCGAGGAGGCAAGCTTTTGGGCGCCGAACACCCTGACAGGTGAGTGGACCGGCACAAAGGAGACGGTGCATATCCTCTGCAAGGTGGAGACACACAATCATCCCACGGCGGTATCGCCCTTCCCTGGCGCGGCAACGGGCTCGGGCGGCGAGATCAGAGATGAAGGGGCAGTGGGCCGGGGCTCAAGACCGAAGGCTGGGCTGGCAGGCTTCACTGTATCTGATCTCCTCATTCCTGGACACGAGCAGCCATGGGAGCTGAACGACGTAGGCAAGCCAGCGCACATTGCAAGCAGTCTGGACATCATGCTCGAAGCACCCATTGGCAGTGCGGCGTTCAACAATGAGTTTGGGCGGCCATGTACGATCGGGTACTTCAGAACGCTGCTTGTTCGCGTTTTCACGAACGAGAAGGAGACGGAGATTCGAGGGTACCACAAGCCCATCATGCTGGCTGGAGGTGTGGGAACGGTTCGACCGCAACATGCGCTCAAGGACCCGGACATTGTACCGCCAGGGTCGCATCTACTGGTTATCGGTGGACCTGCGATGCTCATCGGCCTAGGTGGCGGTGCTGCGTCGAGTGTCCAGTCTGGAGAAGGCAAGGTCGAACTTGACTTTGCTAGTGTGCAGCGAGGAAACCCTGAAGTCCAGCGGAGAGCGCAGGAAGTCATCGATACTTGCCGATCTATGGGCGATAAAAATCCGATTTTGTTCATCCATGACGTGGGTGCCGGCGGTCTGTCTAACGCTCTGCCTGAGCTCGTTCACGACTCTGGACTCGGTGCCATCTTCGATCTGAGAGAAGTGGACAGCGCCGACCGAGGCATGAGCCCGCTACAGATCTGGTGCAATGAGGCTCAAGAGCGCTACGTGCTAGCTGTAGGACCGGACGATTTGGACCTCTTTAAGCGCATCTGCAAGCGCGAACGTTGCGGTTTCTCAGTCGTAGGCACCGCGACGAAGGAACAGCGTTTGGTTCTCAAGGACAAAGAGTCACAAGGCACACCCACTCCGATCGACCTTCCTATGCCGATTCTTTTTGGAAAGCCACCGAAGATGTCGCGCATCGTTGAATCGCGAAAGCTGAGATTGCCTGCGTTCGACAGCACTTTGTCTATGTACTTGCCGGAGACACCGAAGGAGGGTCTATTGCCGGAAGCTGTGGACCGAGTACTTGCTCTCCCTGCTGTGGGTTCTAAGTCATTCCTCATCACGATTGGCGACCGTACCGTTGGCGGGTTGACAGTCCGTGACCAGATGGTCGGGAAATGGCAGACCCCCGTTGCTGATGTCTCGGTGACCGCCACCTCTCTCATGTCTGGTATCAAGACTGGCGAGGCGATGTCCATAGGCGAGAAACCTACGCTCGCTCTCATCTCTCCTGCTGCATCGGCTAGGATGGCCGTTGCGGAATCGCTCATGAATTTGGCCGCTGCTAGCTTGTTTGATAGACTGTCAAGAGTGCGCCTATCAGCGAATTGGATGTCCGCTTCCAGCCACCCTGGCGAAGGCGCTGCGCTCTACGAGGCTGTCGAGGCTATTGGCATGGACCTTTGCCCACGACTAGGCATCTCGATTCCCGTCGGAAAAGACTCTATGAGCATGAAAATGAAATGGAAAGACCAAGACTCGAACGAAGCCAAGGAAGTCACCGCTCCTATGTCTCTAGTCATCACCGCCTTCGCCCCCGTAGACCGTATCGACCGCACCTGGACCCCTGCTCTGGAGCGTCTCGAAGACGTCGGCGAAACGGTCCTCATGTTCGTGGACCTCGCCGCCGGCAAGAAGAACATGGGCGGCTCCGCCCTCGCGCAGACCTTCGGACAGGTTGGCGACGAGGCGCCAGATGTGTGGGACGCAGACGTGCTTAAAGACTACTATGACGCAGTCGAGCAGCTCCACGACGCGGGCATCGTGCTCGCATACCACGACCGCTCTGATGGCGGACTTTTTACTACGCTAGTAGAGATGATGTTTGCCGGGCGCTGCGGGTTAGAAGTGATGCTCGACGGCATTGCGAAGTCGTCTGATACCAAGGATATTGTCGAAGCGCTGTTCAACGAGGAACTCGGCGCTGTATTCCAAGTCCGCAAGAAGGACGAAATCAACTTCAACCGCTGTTTTGCCACTTGCGGACCGCCACCAGGCATGATCAAGAAGATCGGACGGGTGCCCGCAGCCTCGAAGCAGGAGATCAGTTTCGCGTTCGGTTCTCAAGTCATCTACCGCGCCTCCCGCTCGAAACTCCACCAGCGCTGGGCATCCACGAGCTACCAGCTCCAGCGCCTGCGCGACAACCCCTCCTGCGCAGACCAAGAGTTTTCCTCCATCCAAGACGACTCCGATCCGGGTCTCTCCTACCACCTCACCTACAACCCCAACGACAACATCCTCCCCCTCAAAGCATCCCTAACCTCTCCCTTCACAAACAAACCCCGCGTCGCCATCCTTAGAGAAGAAGGCGTAAACGGCCAAGCCGAAATGGCCTTTGCATTCTCCCAGGCCGGGTTCAGCGCCATCGACGTACACATGACCGACCTCATCAGTGGCCGCGTCTCGCTTTCCCAATTCACGGGTCTCGCTGCCTGCGGCGGCTTCTCCTACGGCGACGTCCTAGGCGCGGGGCAAGGGTGGGCGAAATCCGTCCTTTTACACCCCGCGACCCGCACGGAGTTCCAGACCTTCTTCGAGAGGAAAGACACCTTCGCCCTAGGCGTGTGTAACGGATGCCAGTTCCTCAGTAAGCTGAAAGAACTCGTTCCGGGCGCGGAGGCATGGCCGTCCTTCGAGAGGAATATCTCAGAACAGTACGAGGCGCGCGTCGCTATGGTCGAGGTTGTCGACCCTGCCACTGGAGCGCGACCACCCTCCGTTTTCTTGCACGGCATGCACGGCTCCAAACTGCCCATCGTGACGGCCCACGGCGAGGGGCGCGCACACTTCGCACCGGGCATCAGCCCTGAGACGCTGTACAATGAGGGCCTGGTCGCGATGAGATATGTGGATAACTACGGAAAGGTGACAGAGAAGTATCCGTACAATCCCAACGGCAGCCCCAAGGGCATCACGGCGGTGAGGAGTAGGGATGGGAGGGTGTTGGCGTTGATGCCGCATCCCGAAAGGACTATCTTGAAGGAGGTGGGCAGCTACATCCCCAGAGACAACGAGTGGGGCGAGGTCGGTCCGTGGGCACGCATGTTCAAGAGTGCTAGGCGATGGGTAGGGTAGGTGTGGTATAGACCGGGTGTGCAAAGGCAAGGGTAGATGTGGGAGGATCATGCATTGGGATGGATGGGATTGACCGGGAATGGGTGGGCGTTTATGGGTTATGACATGCATTCATCAAGATGACTCACATGAGGAGAACTCGATACTACAAGTGCAAATGACGCTGCTTCTTTTATTTTGCTATGCTTTTCGGGTATGTGTGCCAAGTATACAAGTGCAAACCCAGACATGTGATGCCGGCGCCGGAAACTCCATGTCATGCTCTTTTGCGGGATTGAAGCCCGCTAAATTATTCCATCCAACCCCCCTTTCAAACAACCAAAATATGTAATGACAGCCATATACACCTATCGTACAGAGCGTAAGCATAAGCGAAGGTCGACCAGCGACTGAGAAGCTGCGAAAGGACGTGTGGCTCGAAAGACAACAAATCAAGCGGTTTGCAGAACTCAGTCCATGCCGGCGTACTTGAACCAGACGGCGCGGCAGTCCTGCGAGTTGAGCCAGTCATCACCGTCGGTGAAACGGCCTGCCTCGCAGCCCGAGCACTTTCCGTTGTTAGGGCAATTAAAGAACGGGATGTGCTGATATCCGATGTCGCGGAACCTGTTCTCGTATTAGCTTAAGTTCGCGTATCGCCTGATGCAGTTGCGCCGCGATAGCGGAGGGAGGTAATTTGCGAAGCGAAAGGTAGGAGAAATGACATACCAATGGACCTTGCTCTTGTCCTCGAACAAGCCAACGGCCACGCTGTGCACCGGCGCGTCGCCCCACCGCTCGTAGAAGAAGCCGCCCGCCTTGTCGAGATGCTCAAAGTACTGCGTGTAGGCCTTGCTCCGCCAGAGGTCCAGATTTGCGATCTCAAAGTTGGACCAGAAGTGGCAAGTGGAGTAGCCTTTCGTGATCTGGTTATGGCCCTTCTCTTTCTCCTCGGTCAAGAAGCCCTTCGCGTTGTTCTTGGCCTCGTACTCAGGGTGGTCCGCCAGGAACTTCAAGGTTTCGGGCCAGAGCGTTTCGACGCTGTCGGGGGAGTCGAGCAGCGTGAGGGTAAAGCCGTATGTCTTGTTGTGGTCCTGCATCCAGCCGAAGACGTCGTAGTCGACGCCGCAGAAGAAGTGCACCTTGGGCTCGACGCGCCAGTAGTACTGTACGTCCTTGAGGGCCTCGTGCTGGTAGAAGACGCCGGAGTTCCAACGGCACATTTGGTGGTAAGAGTCCATTTCTGAATACTGGACGTTCTTTTCCTTTAGGCGCTGCTTGGACGCCGCGTAGAGGTCTTTGTTTATCCACGAGGGAATTTCCCAGTGCTCCTTGGGTATAGTATGGTACGATGTCTTTGCCTTTGTCGCCGCGCTCGTCTTCTGTTTGAAATCGTCGGTAAAGGGCACGTCGTTGAAGAAGGTCCACGGGTAGTTGAACTTGTGGTTCCACGTGCGCTCCAGGTCGTGCATGCTCTGCAGCATGTCGTTGAGCTCCTCATTGCGTACGAGGCTGAGCAGTGTAGCGTTTATACGGTCGCTGTTCGCGTTGTCTGGGTCGTAGTTTTTGCCATTCACGCGGCGGAGTGGCTCGGGGGCTTCGCCAGATGCTGCATCGTTGGGTTAGCCTACTTTCCCTGTGACGTGACATCAGCACTCACGATCTAGCTGCGGGTCGTGGTCCCAGCCTTGCGGACGTAGCCCAGTCTTGGGCTTCGTGCCCTCTTTGATGCCCTCGGTGGGTAGCTTGATCGCGGTGGGTTCGCTTCGGTAGAGGGTGACGAGGACGAAAAGGAAGACGAGGAATGTGGCGCCGCCCAGTAGGCGCATCGCCTTGGGTATCGCCATGGTTGCGCGAGGGTATACGATTAAAGACGAGGTGTCGGTGGCTGTATGGGAGCGGTAAGAGCCAAGACGATTAGGCTAGTGTAAATTTAGGGCCCGTTGCGCTCGTTGCGATCATCACCTCCTGCCTGGAGAGTTGCGCCATGGTTCCTGCTTATGCCAAGAACGGGTTGGTGCTAGCGGCGAGTGTCGGCAAGCGGTTGCAGTGGTGGAACTGTCACAACGCGCGTCATTCGACGCGTAGACGTCGCCCGGGTCCAGACGTGAAGAGATAGAGTGTCGAAATTCAGAATGGCGCAGAATGCGAAAGTGGCAGCTCTGACGGATGAATTGATCCATTCGATCCTAAAGTTTGACCCGGAAGCCAACAAACGCGCATACAAACACGCCAAGGACATCGCAAGAAACGGCCTACGCGCGCATCAGTATGCTCGGACAAATCAATTTGACGTGCAGGCCAGCTTCATCGGTCTGGACGAGAAGTTTCGCGTGTTAAACCGCGACGATCTGGCCGACGCGCTGGACGAGCGCGTAAAAGAGATCAATAAGAGACTGGGCAAATGGATCCCGGAATGTCTGTCACTCTTGCTTCAACTGTCGGACCAACCGACGGAAAATTCGCGGGTCGAGGCTTTGGAGTTGCTGAGGCCACCTACGCCTTCGCCTGAGTTGACTTGGAAGGAGATACTGGAAGATGATCCTTACAGCGACGAGGAAATCTGGAAAGACATCGACTACGGCGCGGAATCGTCTGATGACGATCTACTGGCTCCGAAGAAAGAAGTTCTAAAGTTTTCGCCGCCGACCAGTGTAGATGAGGACGATACGTACGATCCTAAAGGGTGCGTTGTCGCCGTAGATGCAGCTGCCATCGACGAAATAGAGGAAGCACAATTCTGGAAGCACAAAACAGAAGCAGAAGACGAGAAACTTGAAATTACTGAACTTCAAGCTGTCCGAGAGACGCTCTTTATGCTAGCTGGTCTTCAGACCTCTTTGTTCCATGCGGACAGACGCGTGGGACCTGAGTACGAGCTTCGCCATGCCATGACGAAGACCGCAAATCACCTCCTTGCCGAACTTGGCGATATTGGTCGTACGATTCACCAACTACGACAGTGGGTAAAGCGACCTTCGACTTTGCCACTTATTCAGACGTTCGAGGCTGCTGTGTCAAAACGGTTGCGGGAATATGATCAATCGCTGGCACTGCTTCAACAGAGGTACCTAGTACCCGAGAAACCCACGGCTGTAAGCCTATTAGAGTTGCACGACAATGTTAGGTCTCTGTCTCGACCTATATTACGCCTAGCCCGAGTAGTCTCAGAGATAGAACCTCAGCTGCTTGTTAACCCTTTCGTGCATCTAGAGATACTGTTCGACCAGATTAATCTCGCGCAGATGACACTCGAGCAGGATGTATTCGATTTTCTGTCCAATCTCTTCTTTGAGTGTCTGCAAACTTACCTCAAACCTATGCGAAGGTGGATGGAAGATGGCGAGCTCGGTCTCAATGATGAGACTTTCTTCGTCTTTGAGAATGACTCTGGTAGTGAGGCATCTTCGCTATGGCACGATCGATTCGTGCTCCGCCGCGGTCAAGAGAATAAACTGCGCTCACCCGCTTTCCTCGAGCCTGCAGCGCAGAAGATCTTCAATACCGGTAAAAGCGTAGTCTTCCTCAAAGAGCTGGGTATCCATACGTCTCTTCTACCAACGAAGGTTGAGGAGCCTCGATTAGACCACAAGACAGTCTGCGGTACCTCGGCTGATTCGCCGCTCTCACCTTTCTCAGAACTGTTTCAAGCAGCATTCCAGACGTGGATAGAAAGTAAATACTCGCTCGCCTCAACCGTGCTGCGGGAATACTTGTTCAATATCTGCGGCCTCGTCCAGACCCTGGACAGCTTTAGGACCATATATCTTAGCGCTAACGGCTCCGTCTTCCAAGAATTTGCCGACGCTGTATTCGAACGTATGGATACCAACCAGCGTGCCTGGAACGATCGTTTCCTGCTTACTGAGCTTGCGCGCGGCATCTTCAGCTTGGAGTTGCCTAAAGGCCAGTCTGAGCGCATCGTTGTCCGCTCTATGCGCAAAAGCTCGAAGTCTCCTCACCGCTCTGTCAAAGCTCTCTCTCATGTATCGCTTGATTATGCCGTAAGTCCTCCTAACATATGTGTTTGCGACGGTGGCCCTGTACTAAAGTATACCAGCTGCCTTGGCCCCTCATGAACATCGTACAGCGCTCATCAGTTTCCATCTACCAACAACTTTCCACCTTCCTTCTACAGACCTACCGCGCAAAGTATTTACTGCAACGGATCTCGCCGCAAAGTGTTCGTCTTATCAACGACAGCCAGCTGCGCCAGCTAAGCTACAAGCTCCGCCAGCGATTGATCTGGTTTGCGGATGTCCTGCGCTCGTATCTCACTGCAACCGTCATCGACGCCTCCTTTGCCGACATGAAAGCTGCGATGGGCATGGCAGAAAACATTGACGAGATGTCAGCCATCCATACCAAATATGTAGCTAGGCTGCAGGACCAAGCCCTGCTATCCGACAACCTGAAGCCCATCCACAGGGCCATGGTCTCGCTGCTCGACCTTGCGGTGCTCTATTCGCAGCAACATTCGAGGGAAGCAGCCCAAGCGAAGCCAATTCGCCAACACCAAGCGAAGGAGCACTCCCGCCGCAAGTCCGTGATACCTGGCAAGCCTAAAGAGGATGACTCAGATAGTAGCGATGTCGAGGATGATGAGGAGAGCGCTGCGTCGAAATCGCCTGCTACGACTCAATCAGATGAGGGTCTGGAAGGTGTAGATGGGGAGTTCGAACGACTGCTCTCGTTCGTGACGGCCGGGCTGAGGAGCGTTGGACGTGTGGGTGCGGAGCCGGTTTGGGAGATTCTTGCAGATCGACTCGAATGGGAGGGAAAGAGGGATCGCTGAATTGACGAGGAGATCCAATGCCAGATTCATCCGTATTATCAGACAGGCAACCGCCTAGAAAGCATCTTGGTCGGATTTCCTGGCACACACACTCGAATAGCAGAGTCGGGCCACATCTACTGAAGCGTTCCTTCCATGAGTGAGACTTGTCTCTGGGCGAGGCTGTCGTGAGCTTACGTAACGTAGCGTCAAACTGAAATTGAGGGTGGCCCGGCATCGCGAGCGCCGAGGGGCAAGATCTCAAGCGTCCGCGAAAGTTGCAGCTGCCGGTCTGTCCAGCGCTACCACCCCTCCGTCGCCTGCCCTCTTGCGGCAAGTCTGATTGACTATCCCATCCGTCTGGACATGCACCTGTACGGCGCCGTTCATCTCGCTTTGGTTGAGTAGGCAGGGCCCGCGCCGTTCCGCTACCACATCCGGCGGATGCATCCACTCTGGCGGCGTAAATCACGGACACAACAGCCTCGTACGCGGACTGCGATTCGGTAGACTAGCGGCAGGGTCCGCAAAGAGTTGCCTTGGTGTTACACTGCGACAGTGCTTGTGGGGGCCCTTCACCGACCTGTGGCGTAGCAGGCGTTGCGAACACCACTCATTGGGCTGCTGCCACAGCTAGCCGCACCTCACCATGGGCTTCTCCGGTAAGCCCAGCAAAGGGTGTCTGCCCTGCCGACAGAAAAGAACAAAGTAAGCAGACCAGCCTCTGTCGTTCGCTCGTTCCATCCCCTCGCTCGGTGTCTCCGCATCCCAATCGGGTAATGGTTTCGCAGCAGAGCGCTCGCAAGCCGCAGCCGTGCACTAACCACCAGCCAATTCAGATGCGACCTAGCCCTCCCCTCATGCACACAATGCGTCCGAAAGAACAGGATGTGCTTCGGCTATCGGAACGAGCAGGACATGGTCTTCCGCAACGAAACCGGATTGGTCATTCGCAAGGTCAAGCGCAAGAGTACAGACGACGAGTCGACGCCTCCCTCGGATGGAGATGCCTTCGCCATGTTGGATTTGGGTGCTTTGGTTCAGCATCCAAGCCGGAGGGCGACGCTGCAGGATGAGGCCATCATGCATTGGCTGGCCAACTTCAATGAGCGTTTCTTCTCAAGTGGTCCGGATACAGAAGCTGGTTTCGAGTACATATTGCCCGTGTACCGGAGTGATCTCTCGAGAGGGGGGCCGACAGTGGAGATCATCAATGCATGTGAGTAGATGTTGTGGCCTGTGGGGGCCAGCGGGTATGCGCATTCCAGCCTGTACTGATCCACTAGGTGGCCTTGCCGCTTTAGGAAACGCGAAAAACGCACCAGATTTATTACGTGCGGCGAGGATTAAGCAAGTCAAGGTGTTACGACAATTGTAAGCAAGCTTGATGCATACCACGATCGTCTTTGCTGACGCGAGGCTTGGTGTAGAAATGAACAACTACAGGACCCCGACCAGGCGCTATCTGATTCGTCTGTTCTTACATGCCTGCTACTGTCGTCTTTTGAGGTAAGTTGGTGGTGCTCTAGTGCTTGCTTTGGTTAAATCGGGAATAGAATATAATGTGCGAAGGCTCTCAATCGATGGCCGCTTCGCAAATACATCTGAAAGGCGCGGCAACTCTCATAAGACAACGAGGCACGTCTCAATTCTCCAGCCTCGTCGGCCATGGCATGTTCGTGCGGTTGCGAGGTTCCATCGTACGTTAAGTCAGCACTGCAACAACCACGCAACTTACTGATCACCACCAGCTCGCCCTCTGCCTCATGACCAGCGAGCCTCTTCCCGACTATTTTATACAGCATCTCAAAGAAGAGAAACTCAAGGACAATGACTTCGAAATGGTGTTCTACACCCTCCTTAACCGCGTCTGCGGGCTCCGCGCCCGACAAAAACGCGCGGGGTTCGTCTCCGACGCCATGGCCGAAGATGCAAAAGCCACAATCCAACAATTCGACGACTGGCACCCCGACTTCCCAGCATGGGTCATGCCGCCCGGACACCGAAGTTACAAAAAGGATGGCACAGCGCCGGGAGTCAACACGTCATCGATGCCCAGCGCAGACAAAGACCACCGCTTCATCTGGGTTGCCATGTCCTGGCTCATTATGCACACGTCTCGTCTCCTCGTCTTCGACATCCTAGTTATATACTACCGTGCCCAGCAAGCCATATTACCGTCACCTGAAACAAAAGAAGCCTTACAACGTGCCACAACCGCGCAAATAGACCTCGCCCAAGACATACAGGACACAGTCGAGTATTACCTTGACACTCTCATCTCCTCGCAAGCATCAACTCGCAGCATCGGCGCACATATGCTCATGATGCCGCTGTCCGTGCTGCTGGGTTTGAGCACGACGGGCCCGGAAACGTTGGTTTGGGTCGCAAGGATGGCGAGCCGCATCGCAGAAGTTTTTGCGCTGAAGCAGGGAAAGATAATTGCTGATTTCTTGATGAAGGGTTGGAAAGGAGAGACTTTTGCGCTGAGCCCGGTGAATAAGTCACTGAGTCGGACGGATACGTTGGATTTGGCAGGTGAGGGGATGGGGACGCCAGAGGACGGACCGCTGACGCCGAGTCCGACTCCTGATCGTAAAATTCATGCGGAACCGGATATATTGATTAGTTAGGAGTAATGGAATGGATGAAAGTGTAAATATTCTGAACGTGCGAGTGTCAGTGACGCATGAAAAGACATGATTTACCCTAGCATGAGCAATGCAATTCTCAGAGCTGTGAATAGACACTGTAACCTACTGTACGTTCACGCGATACGCGCAAAGTTCAATCGAGATTGCCTTCGCGGTAATGACGAGCTCATATGATGTCCTACATCTGTACAGGCAAGCAGTACTCCCATCAAGTCCGATTCGAAGCGATGACCTTACAGGCGATCCCCTGTTCAACTTACATGATCATCAGCATTTTCAGAGGAAAGCATCAGGTAAGGTGAAGTACTGCGCTGTAAACAAGAGCAATCAGACTACAACGGAGAGTAGCCGCACAAAACACATCTTGGTTGTCCTAGAGTCAGATGGTCGCTTGAAAGAAGCCTCTCGAACAGTGGCGTGTTCGGAACGTGTTAAGGCTTCTTTATCTATCATCTCCTCTATCCTTGCGCATCCCCTCCGCCTTCTAGATGCTCGCCATCTTCTGCGACCTCTCCTTTCGGTGTAACCACTCCGCTACCTGAACTTGCTTCGAAATCCGCAATGGAAAAATCCTGACCAGGCCGCACTAATCCTTCACTCGTCATCACATATTTCCACGGCTCCTCGAAGCCCTCCTCAAACTCATCGAGAACCTGTATAGCCTCCTTATGAGCATCCTTGTCTTCGAAGAATTTGACCGCAAGCTCCTCAAACCGCGCTTTGACCGTTGCATGAACGAGTTGAATCGCTCGACACCGCCACACCCACTCCAAGTTCTCGGTAAGCACAGCTACTTCAACTTCATTCAGCGTACCAGACGCGTAATCTTCATCCATGGACTCGCAAAGTTCTGTATGCTCCGCAAGCGCCTCCTTCAACTCTTCGTAAGCGGTCTGAGTCTCTCGGAAGAAGTCTAGCATAGGTACTTCTTCCGGTACTTTGCTCAGGGCCGTGTTGCCGTAAGCTACGTGCATGAAGCAAGTAGATTTCTCCATGTGTAGCAATCCGGCGATGTTGTACGCGGAGTCGATGCTTGTCTGGAGGTGTGTAGTCATGTACGTCCAAGCGCTGTCCCGAGCTGCACTCGTCGTTAAGTTGTCTAGGATCCTTTTCGTCTCGGCGGCAGAACAAAGGCGTTTGATGAGGATGCCCAGTGCGGAGTCGTACACTTTGATTGTCTCTCGGAGATAGTCGAGGTTCTCGTAGTCCGTTGCGTCGTTGATGAGGCTCTGTAGTAGGTCTACGTGCGCGTCAAGGCTGATTTTATTTCCAAAGGCAGATGGAAAATGCAAGATCGCGAGGCGGCGATCATCGCGTGCCTTCTTTGCCCTTTCTTCTTTCCTTTTGGTTGAGGCGGGCATGGTAGTACGTCTGCTTCCGAGAACTTTGGAAACAAGAGGTGAACTTCTTGAGTTTTGCTGGGGTTGGTGCAAGATTCGATGGCATCGACGTCTTCACAAATATAACTTAGAAACACTAGTTGCTATGATCTCGTTTGATGCCGTTTGTCAAAGACAACGTCACCGGCTGCAAGTCTCGGTGACGCGTGGTCAAAAGCAAACCGTTTGATACTGAAAATAACTGAAGTCACCATACCAGCTCCAGGTTTTCTTCTCCAGACGTGATCAGGCGATCTGTCAATCGTCTCAATTCTCCGGCAATCATGTAGAATCACCAGCAGTGTTGCGGGAACTCAATAGATATTATAATCAACCTAGGGAGCCCGTGGATATTCGCTCTACACATTAAAGCTCACTGAGCTCATACTGTCTATCGAAACCCAATACATATGAGAGAAAACGCCGCTATATGCAAATGCACTCGTCCTATCATCACACCAAGCTCGCCCCGAAAGCCATCGACCCCAGCACCACCGCGCTACACACGAAGATCGCGCCCCAGCCGCCTTGCGCAGGCCTGATAACACCCGCAGCAGCGCCCTGGGATCCTGAAGGACTCGGCGAGCTCCCGTCGCTGCTTCCAGTTCCGCTTGGACTGCCACCGTTGGTTCCAGTGCCGCTGTTACCGCCGCTTGATGTGGTGCCTTGGCCATTGCTAGTCTGGTTCTGTGTGCTGGTCACTGAGCCCGCGACGCACGCGTCCTCGTCCATGCCACCGTCTTTGCCAAAGGCCACCTCAGCCGCTTTACTCCACAGCGCCGACACGTTGAGGTACATGCTGGGCTCGTAGTAGATTCTGCAATTAGCGGTGTCGTTCAGGAATTGCGTCGGGACGCCGTCTTTCTCAAGGCCCTTGCGGATGTTGTCTTGGAAGTTGACACCGGCGGAGCTGACCGCGATGCTGAAGGCCTGGGGCAAGAAATCGCGCCAGTCGTTGACCTCAGAATCGCTCGTTGCGTACTCGCTGATGACGTTGGACGAGGTTTGTATTAGATAATCGGAGGGCAACAGCATGGAGCCCTTGGTGCCGCCGACGACCTGCATGGGGCCTGTAGAAGGAAGACCGCCGACAGCGAGGGTTTTGACACCGGCTTGCTGCACCATCAACTCGGTGAAGAGGGAGCAGGTGGAAGCACAGATACCATCGGAGAGGATGATGATATCTTCGGTCTTGAAGGGTTGGCTGGTAAAGTTGGAACGGTCAAGATATCCGGTCATGCTGATACCAATAGAGTAGGTGTCGTTGGAGGTTTCGATCGGATCGGAGAGGTTGTACTTGAGGAGGCTGGTGAAGGATTCGTCGTTGAACTTCTCTGGTGGGTACATAGCTTTGAAGTCGGAGAAGTCTTTATCATCGGCACCCACGTAGGAGTGGTAGTTGAATGGTGAGGTGTACAAATTGCCGGTCTCCTCGGTCAACGTTTGGATAGAAGACAGCTTCTCGCCGAAGAGCTCGGAGCCTTTGTGCCCACGCCATCGCGACAGGAGCTGAGGTTGCTCTTTGGGGAAGAACTGAAGGAACAAGTCGTATCCGAGGAGGATCTTACCACCACCGTTCGTTCGCACGTCAATGATGTGCTTGTCGACTTTTTGGTCCTTGGCCTGGCTGATGTACTCTTGGACCACAGCCTGGAACTCCCTGGCTTCGTCGTTGTTGCCTTCACCGGCTTCTACATCGAATGTTTGCACCATCAGGACGCCCACTTTCCCAGCGCCGGTGTCAACGAAGTAGCCAGCGAGTTTGACGTCCTCCGATTTGTGCTCAATAATGGCTGTAGGGTAAGCCCAGGGTACCCATCGGCGGTTGAGCTCTGCTTCACGCGGGTACTCCACATGCCGAGGTTTGTTGTGTTGCATTGACCTCTTCTTCGTCTCGGTCGTCTCAAAGATCTGCGAGCGCGGGACAATGAAGGTGTCGTAGAAGTCCTGCCCGTCCTTGACCTTGAGCCAGTCATTCGGCTCGACAACGACAGCCGAATTAACGAATTCACGCGAGGTGCCGTTCTCATACGAGATGTTCACCGAAGGACCTGGATAAAAGCGAGGGTTGGCGAAGAAACCATAGTTCTCTGCTGGCTGCATGTAGAACATGGAGTTGTAGCGCGAGTCAGGGTCATGGTAGGTAGTGTTCATGCTCTCATCTTTGACGAACTGTACCGCATCCTTACCATCGATCTGCGAGATTGCAGATCGCTTCACGTTTCCGCCCAAGGTCTTGTTGAAGTCCCCAATACCCCAGATCTTCGGATCGCTTGTGCCGTCTTCGGAGCCCGAGATGAGCGCAATTTCGCGGTCCCTGCGCCAGGTGAACACTCCCGCGTGAGCCATTCCGGAGAATGTGAGATGCCCGTCGTGTGCCTTTACAAGCAGACTCGCAATGTCGATCTCGAAATCGTATTCATTATCGTAACCGCCGTTCGAGATCTTTTTGCTGATGTCGTCCAGTCCTTGTTGGAGATCCACACCCTCGTCTCCATATCCCTCCGGTGGGTCCTTCAGATACGACAGCGTTGATTGCCATTCTACCATGTTCTTTACAGATTTCAACGTATCGGTCGCGGCATCTTTGTCGATTGGTACGGACTTGAGGCAGGCATATGCGAGCTGGTCTTTCGTCAGCCTCATGAACATCTTGGAGCTCATGTCATAATCGCAGGTCTTGACTTACCTCTGCATCAATGACTGTGGTCTCAACCACCAATTCTGCGATCTGCCCACATGCTTTGCCCGTCTCTATGGGCCCTGAGACAGATGCAGTTGAGGTAGCCTGGCCGCTATCTGCAGTAGCACTTGTGCTGAAAGAGAACGTCTCTATCTGTGCAGTGGCGACTGATGCCAGCACCGAAAGTGTTGCTATAGTCCTCATGACGAAATATTACAGTTGTACAAGCTCGAGAGCGTTGAAAGGAGGTCCCGAGGAAGGCCGAGTGTAACGATACGTCTTCCAAAATGTGAGAATGCGAGTTGCAGCCTCAATAGCGCGGAAAGCTGCGAGGCTGAATATAGCCGGATTAAGAGCGAATGGAACGAAGGAAAACTCGTATGCGTGCGACCACCGCAGTCTAATTCTTTCAATTCACAATTCTTCGAAACCCCAAAGCACTCTTGCCTGTGAAACGAGGTCCCTAAAGTAATACCAAAGTCCGGCGAGTCTGTAAGCCCGTGTGCAAGTACCCGCTCGCTCTTGAAGCAATTCTTCCTCACCACCCAAAACGATTATAAGCAAAAAGCGAATGAATGAACCTTCACACAAACGACTGTGTGAAAAGGCGTAGAGCTTCCCTTCTGGGGGATCGTCTCCATCTTATTATCCCGCGTCTCTCGCATCGTGCATGCGCCTCTCGCTCGGCCAGCCCTGTTTCGAAACTAACCGTGGCGCCGGCATCCCGTTGTCTCGCTGCAACCGTGATTCGCTGGCACATTTGATGATGGACGAAAAGAGATGGGTGTCAGCCCTCTGTGGAGCGGCTAGAGTCTTTGCGTCCGGCCATGGCGGTCATACCCCTGTGCGGCGGCTGAAATGGGTGCGGAAACTGTGCCGTGCGCTGCGGATGCTCTTCAAGGTCCCTCCTTCGCCTGTCTCCGAAGCTCCAGTTAATATCTCCGGCTCTTTCCCATGCGCTTCTGTAGAACTCCATCTTACAGCGTGGCTGCAGTTGTAGCTGTAGAGTGCTTGTTGCATGGTGAAATGGAAGATGCACGCCAAGAAGGCGAAGCCTGGATACGAGGTTCATCCACGCCGCTCGCCATTTCGTGGCCGCACGTGCCGTTCAGGTGCACCGCCTCACCTCGCAATGTATGCGGAGTTGCGGCTCGGGCTTTGCCATGCTTCGCGTCGAACGGTCAACAACGCGTACGAAAGCGATGGATCTCTGAAGTCCGTAAAGGATTGGCCGACTCGGATGGTGACGTAACGTGGCCCCTTGCTCTCTCTTCGCCCGATCGAGCTTATTTCGACGCCGCCGCATTGAATTGTTCAAGACATTGATTATGTCTTTGTTGTATCAATATTTGCGTGCCATATTTAGATGTCGATAGGGGCGTGGAAGCAGGCAAAGAAAGTGTGTTTGATGTTCTTCGCGTACCTTCCTGATTTGTGAAGGGGTAACGGACTTTCAGGCAGCCTTCCTGAAACACCAATGCCTCCAGGTACGCGGATACGCTTCGGAGATATTTTTAGGGGGTCATTCCAAGGGTAGAACAATGCGATCGGTGACAACGATTGCTCAATCACCTGGCGTTGGCATACTCGAACGCTCTACCATACCATAGGTACTGTAGAGACCGGCACAGACTGATTACCAGGGTAGGCCAAGCACTGATCAGGAATCAGCAATGAGCATAAGATGGATCGAGGAGCTTGACTCGTATATGCCAAGTTTCAGGCTTCTCACTGGAATTGACCAGAGCGTAAGGGCCGCGGCCTCGCATTCAAATCATGGAACAATGGGAATTACTATTTCTGGTTTGAGAGGGACTGGATACTCTGACACTGGTAAATGCAAAAGCGACGTGAATGTCAGTACCGGTCTACTAACGTAAGAGGCGGGTAAGACATAATCGTTACTAAACATTGAAAATCCTACTTGTCTACTGTTTGAATCTGGAAACATAGGCTCTCTCAACGGATGATGATACTCTATACAGATAATGGACGGTAAAGCACTGTCTATGATGTCTCGGAACGTCTTGCGGTTTTATACACCAGAACTTCCTTCCTCTCCTTCCTACTATGCTTTACACCCTTCCCTTGTCCCTCCTCTTCCTCAACTCGCCGTCCCTCCATCCCTCCACTTCAGCCAAGGCCCTCCTAGGCTCCTTCTTCCTCGTCAATAAGAAGCCCTGAATCTCCGCCGGACTAAACCTCCCCTCTGGAATAGCCCTCGCAAACTCATCCGCCATCTCGCCCAACTGCTCCAACTCCACGACATCAAGCTCTGGTTCCCTAGACAAGAGCTCCAGGAACTCTTCATCTTCGCGGGTGCTCGAGAGAGCGGGCTGCTTAGTGGGTGTGGAAGGTCTGGAGGGCTTGGGGGTTGGGCTGGGGAGGGGGAGACGAAGAGGTGGTGCTGAACATGCGCTTGAAGATGTCGCGGGTCTGCGAGCGCGTCGCGAGCGTAAATTGGACTTGAAGGTCTACGCGGCCGGGGCGGATGAGCGCAGGGTCAAGTTTCTCGGGGTGGTTCGTCGTCATGATCAGGACGCGCCCTTCATGGGACGCAGCCCCGTCGATGGTGTTGAGAAGGCCGGAAAGCGAGATTAGCGACTTGATGCCTGGCCCCTGAAGAGCTGCGCCTGGTAGTTTGGCCAGCGCTTCAACTTTGACGCCGTCTTCAGAGGGCGTGCCGTCGCTGCTAGAATCGGCGTCGATGGGTGCTGGGGAGTCATCAGTGCGGCGGAGACCGGCTGAATCGATGTCCTCGAGCAGGACGATGCAGCGGCGTGGCAGCGTGGTAAAGAGCTTGTTCAGGTCGGACTCAGTGAGACCAATCTCCATGAGCGAGATGCAGTAGATGTCGAGGCCGAAGATACCGGCAAGTGCGAAGGAAAGACTTGTTTTGCCAGTTCCAGGTGGACCATAGAATAGGTAGCCTCTACGGTAGGGAATACCTCTAGCAGCGTACCATCTAGCGCTGGCGGGATGGAGGTACTCATTGATGTCCATGACGATCTTAGCTTTCTGCTCCTGGTCTAGCGAGACAGTACTCATGGGTCGCGAAGGACGGCAAGACTGCCTGTCCCACGCACAGTCTCTGCGCTCTTCCTTCGGTGCCGGCCGGTACACACTCGTCATTTTGTGCTCCTTGGTAAGCGTCCACCTCTTGATGTGGTTTAGAAGCTCCTTGATAGGCTCCGTGCTCCTGCCCACGCATTGAATCACCAGAAACTGGGTATCCGAGCTGTTCCAGATACTCCTTGGCTTCTCCTTCTTCGTGCGCGAGAAGGTGAACATGCGGCCTCGGTACCAAAACTTATCGCTCCCAAAGTTGGGTTCATACCGCGGTGGGATATTACTCGCCCATTTTTCGTAATTGAAAATGCCAGACTCATCTAACACATCCTCATCCTTGGCGTTCTGCTCCTCATCGCTGTCCTCGTACGCGCTCACCCACTTAGTCACTGCCATCAGGTCCCTCGACACTCGCGTCATGTTCTGCTCCGCGATCCACTCTACCACCTGCCGGAACAGCTGGTCTTCATCTTCAATCTGTACCGAAGACATAAAGTAGCTGGCGAAAATTGCAAAGGCGCGGTGGTAGAGATACTGTCCTCCTTTGCTGAGACCGATCACTACGAGGCATCCGGAGACTAGGAGACCGATGTCGAAACCTAGAAGACGGAAGATAACCTGAGAGAAGATGCCATAGCCTGGTATGAGAGCATCGAGAAGCGTCGATGGAAGGCTAGGTAGGGTAGCGTTGGTAGACCAGAGGTCGAACTTCAGGCTGTTGAGTCGTGTGAAGTCCATTTTGAAATATTTTGGTATTGTTTCGTCCTTGCCGTTGCTGCTCGAATGTAGAACCTAGTAAACCTAGTAAACCTCGCAGGACTCATTGACTGTGAGCATAACCAAACAACAAAAGGCCCGGTGGATCCAAGAGGCGTGATCCTCAGACAAACCTGAAGCCTTGTCAACTGACACCCGTAAGAAAAGCACGGCTTATATACGACCTGCACCACGCAGCCGCACACACATCACCGTCAGCACGATCTAACGGCGGCAACACCGTTTGCTCGCCCATCTGCCCGATGCGTTCAGATCTATTTGTGTTACACGTGCATCAGATCTCCCTAGTTTATTGATCTGTGGAATCGAACGCCTATTGGTCAGCTACTACGGCTGTTCTACCATTCGTCCTACTGTTGCCTGAACTTTCCACAGCCTTGCGGGTCGGCATAGCTGAAAGGCGGGATGGCGCCCTCAGATGACCAATAGAGGATGATTGCGTGAAAACGCGAACTGGGCGGGTGCGTAGCCTCACCGGTAAAAGTTGGTCTCTTTGGGAGCGGCCGCCCATGCTAGGGGAGTAGCTGCTGTAGACGACGATGGTTAGTGGAGAGGTGCCAGGCAGCAGTGTGCGTCATTGGTACTACCCTAGGATGATCTAGGAGGCTTGCAAGGTCAGTTGCGCGCTGAAAGAAGAGGCAATCGAAATCGCGGCCAGACGTGATTGTGCAGGAGAGGTCAGCTTTGCGCATGACCGCGGTTCGGAACGAGCGAAGGGCGCAACTTCAGACTGCAGCCACGCGGTTGCATCTCAGCCACGTTCACCCGGCAACGTGGCGCAGGCATTGCATAGCAGCATCGCACTCAATGTCATTGGCAAGCAGCATCTTCAAAGGGTATCTCAATTCATTGCATGCATACAATCCTGTTCTGTGTATTCTTTCTTTCTTTGTTTTCCCTCCCTCCCTCCTTGTACAAGAAAAAGACCAACGTCTCAGGCACAGCCGTCCACGCGTCCGAAAACTGTAAATGCTAGAATGCCCTCGCAGGCCTCACATAGAATGTAAATGTAGTGGTATATAAAACCCAAAAATGACCAACCCCACCAGATATCCAGAACTTATGAACATGCCCATCGTCACTTCGTGCAATTGATGCACATGTACTGGGAAGTGCAACGAATGGGAGAGGTGATATGTGATGTTGGAAAGGAACCGAATCGCACCCTCGCAACGCCTTTTGTCCTTACGCGCCCACCCCAAGATGGAAGAACGCGTTTAGACGTGGCGCCCAAGCAGACCGTGCTCACGGTCACGACGGTGCATGTGGTGCGAGTGCCTGCGATGCACAGGTGCGCGCGGAAGGATGGCAGGAGATGGCTGCTCGACGGCGAGCGTCTGCTCACCGGGGGCGGGGCCGCTGACAGTAACGGTAACCTCGACCTGCTGGATGGCGACCTCGTAGACCGTGCCGGCGCTCGTGTATACGGACGTCGAGACGATGTTACCCGCTGGCGGAGCCGGTGCGTCGGCCGGGGGCGACGTGGGAGCAGGTGCTTCCTGGGAGACGGGCGTCTCAGGAGCAGGAGCCTCAGCGGCAGAAGAGGCGACAGGAGCAGGAGCCTCGGGTGTAGGAGTAGCAGGCGCAGGCTCAGGGGCATCGGCGCCGAGTGACTCCTGGCCGTCCAAAGCGACAGAGATACCGCCGCCAAATTCGTCGGTGACAGCGCTCTTGGCGGTGGTGTAAGAGAGCGTGGGCACGGCAGAGATATCCTCGGTGGCGATGGTAGTAGGGGCAGCGGTGGCAGAGCCGGTCTCTCCCGGCTTCAGGAGGCCAGTGGCGTATTCAGGGCCGAACTGAATAGGCACGTTACCGCAGAGACCAGGGGCAGGACCCTCGCAGTTGTCTGCATCGAGCTCCTCGGGCATCTTGAAGCTGCACTTGGAGCCTTCTTCTTCGGTCTGAAGCTCGAAGACGGGGCAGTCGGACAATTGACCAGAGGGATTGGTGCACTGCTGGATGGCGTTGCCGAGAATGTCAGTTGACCAACCGTTCATGAAATCACCGTGGTAGCCGTAGCCTGTGGGGTCGCCGTTGGCGAACATGAAAGTACCGGGCATTCCCTTGAAATCGTATGTTTGCCAGATGGTCTCGAAGAAGAGCGATGGGATGCGCTTTTCGAAACCCTCAGGGCACGTGCCGCCGTTGACGAGGTCAGGGAAGGCGACGTGGGACTTGTGGTTGTCCGAGTCCAATTCGCCGTTCCAGCACGAAGGGAAGAAGACTGGGACCTCGTTAGTCTTGGCCTCTCAGGGGTTGCTCGGTCACTCACTCTCAGCACGGACACCATCAACGCAGTTGTCGTCGAGGTACTGCTTGTCGGGCAGGAAATGTCGGTACATGGACGGTTCAGGGTCTTTCTTGTAGTTCAAGCAGTTCATGCCGATGGCCTTCTGGCCAAGAAGAATCTGAGTCTTGTCGTCGTCTGTCCAGAGAGACTTCTCTGGGTCCGGCACGGGACCAGTGAAGTTTCGTAGGTTCATGTCACCAGTGAGCATGCGGAAACCTTCCGGGAAGGTCTCAATCTTCTCCCCCTCATTCGAGAAGAGGAGGTAGTATGCAAGCATACCACCGACCTGCCTAACGACCTGTGTTGTGCCGTTGTCATGCTGGAACATCAGCGCCGGCGTCCTGGGTAGTGTTAATTGAGCTATGGAGCCTGGGCTTTCTTTGTTTGCTTACCAGTAGGCCGACTTGTCGTCTGTGGCTAGGCACGATGTGCATTCCGAAGCCCTGAGATCTTCGTAGCTCGAGCTCAAACCGAAGTCTATAGCAAGGATCAGCACCACGGTTCGCCACTGTGAAACCCAAATTGCCTCATCGCACAACAACCCTTGTGTTTACCCCAGACCCAAAAATGTCAGCTCCTGAATGCGTTCGTCGCAGCGTCCCGCTGTCATTCCCCATCTATTTTTCGCAGTGGATCTGGAGGAGAAAAAAAAAAGGCAAGGGGATGGGACTACTCACTGCCTCCTCCATGAATAGCGTGCGCGTGGCTAGAGATCTTGCCTGGGGTAACAATGGGATCGATACGCGCGAGACCAGAGCGCGAGTGGCACTCCATGCGCCAGAAGGCCTCGGCGGTACCGGAGAGAATGGCGGCGGCCGCCGAGAGCGTAGTGATGGACTTCATGGTGAATTTGCGGATTTAATCTCGACAAGTCGAAATCGATGTAGCGTCGCGTGTCCCGCACTTGCAACGTGCGATGCGATGGCCGATTGACGAGTAATTGGTCTGTCGAAAGCGATGCGTGTCGATTGTAACGATGCGATTTGGTGTCGGATGTGAATTGGGTATCGATGGGATCAAACTTCGGCCTCCAGCACTCTTCCCTTCCGTCTCAAAAAGCAGTCAATCAACAGTGTACACTTAAAAGAATGGATAGCGTCCAGCAAGCTGAACAGCAAGGTAGTGAATGGAAGATGGTTGGATGACAAAAGAATGACAGGCACCGCAAGGGCGAAGGAGCGTAAATAGAACGAAGGGAGTGGAAGGAGGACAGAAGGGCAAGATATCACGATACCAAGTCCGATGGTGTTCTCCGGCGGCCAGGGGAGATGAAGGAATGGGTCTGTTTAAAGAAGGTGAAACGGTGCTGGGCTGGGGGCTGGGATGTGCGCCCTGAGCACAGGGATTCCCTCTGCTGAAACGGAGGGACGTAAGGGATCGCCTAGGGACCTGCCATGCGCCATGCAGCCTCGCAGCAGCCCCCTCTGCGATGCACCGCTTCGCAAGGTTTCTTCTCAGCGCATCTGCCGTGGGACCTTGGAGGATAGCTCTTGAACACGGCCACGAAGGCTGAAGAAGCGTAGCACCTCAGGCCCGCATGCCTCGTAACACGGCACTGATGGGTGTTGCAGACAGATCGTCGCGTGTTTCCCCAGGCGGTATGGACCGGCCGTGGACCACCGTGCGCCTGTGATCGCAATCTCCATGGCCCCAGAATACTCATGTGCGCCGCGCGCTACACGAGCAGGCCCAGTTTTGCGGTCCATCGCAATCCAGCAGGCTCTGTGATCAGCAAGAGCCGCACCCGCGATGCCGTGTCCGGTAGTCTTCGGTTCGCGGCCCAGTCCAAGCACTGCAAATCGTCCGTAGGCGAGTAATATTCGGCGTCATGATCCTCAGGAGGGGAGGCATATCGCGCCAGTCTACCCCAAACTCGCCAATGTGCGCATCCGCTGTGCTTCACGCTGTGCAGACAGAAAAAGGCAAAGCCCGTCGGGGTAAGCGCCCAGGGCTCTATGCCCAATCTCCCTGCTTCCCTATCACCGCATGCGTATCGATAAGACATGCGCCGAGCCATCGTGCAGCAGCCTTGTGCTCGCCTACCGACGGCCAATCGCACGCTGCTGGTACCTGACAAGCGCTTCCACCCCGTGAACCCTGTAGGCTTCTCGCATCCCATTTTGTTTCACAGAAACATGAACGCGTACGAGGTGTCTGCTCGAAACGGAAGTCGCAAAGCACACGAATTACGCACGAGACGGCGGACGAGTCTTCTGCGGTGATGAGCCTGCGGCCCTATGAAGGAGCTCTACCAAGTCCGTAGCGTCTATTTCTTCGCCTCGGCACAGTGCCGACCCCGAAGTCGTCTCCCCGTGCCGCTGCTCAGCCCCTCCATGCCATGGCAGAGAAGTCCTCCGAAGACCCAACCGGATGCCGAAATAGTATCAAGTGCCGACTTAGCTCGCTTCTCTGAGGCCAGTAGATTTCTGTACAAGTACAGCGCCATCGGGCTTACCCGGCGGCACAGCAATGCTTAACATAACCGCGAATACTACTCTCTCATGTGCCTCGGGCAAGGCGAATAGTCATCTCTAGCCACAATACGGTCTAGGTACTGGTGCGTAACTGGCCGCGTCTCCGGCGTAGGACCTGCGAAGGATCGTATTGTACGGGGTATATCGCTGCTCATATAGTTGCCCTTCGCTTAGATGTCTATCATTGGGGGCAATATGAATTCCTGTAGAGAGCATTTGCGGCCTGCGACGAGGCATCCAATCGGTAATTATCGCGGGGCTACGCGAAGGATCGAAGAGATTCGCGCTGCTGCTGCTGCGCATCCGTTTCTCTATACAGGTCTGGCGTTTCAAGATGGGCGGGGAAGGAGGACAAGGAGCGTTTTGGAAAGTTGCCGTGTAGGGCAGGTGTGCACGTGAAAGTGATTCTCAGGATTCTAGCCTTGTCTAGTTGTCTATCTGCGATACGATGCGAAACCAATCCGTACATCTGAACGTGAAAGCAAGTGAGGGTATCCCAGGCTACACGCGCGATAGCGCCTTCCCAGCTCCAGGCCCGCGGTAATATACCAAGCCCCCCAATAGCAGTCGCACCTGCCCGACCCATGCCTTTTCCAAACCGCAGTGCAGACCATGTACGCTCGAACATCATTTGCCCAGCCGGAGCACCTTTCGGCGCAGTCCCGAAGGTCGCACCGTTGGGTAATAATATAACGCGGGTTTCTACAAGATCTCTACGAAGGCCCAGACTGCATTTGCTTCCAGCTTCCATCGCTGCGCCACGTTCCAGCCTTGGTGTAATCCGCCCTGGCACTACCATCCATGAAAGCAAAGCGGAAGTACTCTGGGACATCTTCCATATGGCGAACCCATGTGAAAGCTGTCATACCTGCGTCCTCGTATCCACGGAAGCGCTCTACGTCGTTGACCAGTATGCTGATACCGTCGTAGTGCTTGGGATGAGGGAGGTCCCACTCAAAGGTTATGTTCGGCTTGAAGCCTGTTCCAATATTGCTGTAGATGATAGGTGCGGTGATGATGGGGAGAGTTGTTCCTAGTTGCCCATCGCCGCGCAGTTCGGCTGGGGTCTGCAAGATACTGTCGAAGCCCCAGCGTGCGATGCCGTTGATGAAAAGGCCAATAAGTATACCCTGAAAGAGCAAACTGGGTCTTGTTTGCATAGACGTGCCACCGACCAAAAGGAGACCGAGGATGTAGTGATGAATGCGAACGTTCATGCGAGGAATAGCGACCAAGATCAGTATGACAGCGACATAAATGCCGTAGATGACAAGAAAACGAGGTAGACGGCCTTCAACACGGAGGCACCATGCTTGTCCGATTGTGATGCAAAGAAGGGTCAAAACGATGATGATGAGAGCAGGCACCGCTCCAGGCTGGTTCTTGATGTCATGGGGGGTCAGTCGCTCGATCGGGATTTTGTCGAAGGTGTAATTGTTCAGGGCTCCAACCCAGCAACCTCCTAGCCAAAGAATGGTTTTCTCGATCTGGGCATCTAGACCGAGCAGCGTCCTCCTTACAAAGAACTTGTACACGGCGAACATGCAAAAGCTGGCAGGCAGGAAACGACCGAGAGCGATACTGACAATGGAGTAGTAGTCGGTAAGATTCGGTGGATCGGATGCGAGCGCGACGTGGAAGAATATACCTACGAATATGGATGAAAAGAACACTGCTGATGAGGTTGTGAACAAGGATAAGAGGATGGTAAAGGTCAGCGACACACCGAGGAGTGGCCATCGCAGATCCCGGCACTTCGAATGAGTGCCTTCCAGGAAGGCGAAAGATCTAGGGAAATACGAGTTGAAGCTGACACTCTTGATGTGCTTGCGGTTGACGCTAGGGTAGTGACTCTTCTCGCCTACAAACGAGAGGACGCCGCACCCGCCAGACTTGTCGGTGATGAAGCCTGCGTGAATAGCTGCTCCGCATATGAAGGAGTCGCCGCGGTAATACGTGTTTGCCAGCGTCTCTTCCTCGTCGGTCGGACCGCCAATTACGAGCGGCCTATAATTTATCTCTTTAGCCCCAACCGCATGGGGATTCAGCAATTGTACCCTCTTGCAGTTGGCCGGGCATCGAAAAGCCATAGTCTGATTGGCGAATGGCCGGCACTGATCACCATTGAGGCCACAGCCATTTGCGTCACTCCATAACCTGTCAGTGCACCGAATGTTGACAGGTGAACCGTGGCCGGGAATGTCTGCGGCGAAGGCAGACCGCTTCAAGACCAACGAGAAGCTCAGGAACCAAGCAAGATAGAATAATATCAGTAGCACGACTTTGTGCTTGCGTTTCGGGAAGTAGCGATCCAGCAAGTTTATGGGCGCACGCTGCACTGTGGGAAAGAGCGGCTGTATGCTCCACGGCCGTGGGGGCTGCGGGCCCTTGACCCACGTCTTGGTAGCTTTCCATGCGCGTTGTAACCGTGGAGGTATGTATTTGCTCGCGTAGAATGGCTGCTGGGTGAATTGTTCGTCGTCGGAAGCTTCGGAAGCATCTACGAGGGTCGCATCGGCGGCAGTGGAATCGTCAGACGGGGACAGCTCATTCTCGTCGTCACGATATATCTGGCGAGGTGCGCCCTCATCATCGGGTTCGTTTCCAGGCGGCATCTCGTAGATGCTGTCGAGTTCGTGGCGCGAGTTCGGTCGAGACAGGTTGGCGGCGGGGATGAGGGCGCGGCTCCACACAAGCAGAGCCGGCAAGAAATGCTAGGGGTTGCGCTGCGGACGATGCTAAAGGAGAAACAGAAAGAGAGGGAATACGGCAAGAGAAGGTCTATCCAACGATTAGGTGCGTGAGGAGCTGCAAAAGCTGTCGCGAAAGCACAAGCTCACGCGCCGGCCCTGCATGACGCCGGCAGGGAGGCGGTCCATTCCATGGACGGGATGCCGTCACGCTAAGAGCCTCAGCCCTACCATTCGCGAACGGACGAAGGCACCCGCAGCAGCGCGCAGCCTCACACGACGTTGGGGCTGTCTTTGTATTCTTTGGAAGCACCTCGTCAATATGAAGACGGCATTCATGCAGGATTCAAGTCCTTGCATATGCTGCCGCTATGAGTCAAGCGAACCGCTGTAACTCGTCATAGAAGGTGAGCAGCACGCCCTTCCCATTATTAAGCAGCCGTTATCGTTATCGCCGGCACGCTAAAGAGCTCCAGTACCATCGCCCCGGACGAAACCCACTTGTATTCTGCTTCTTCGCATCTGAACTTGGTTGCGGCTCCATAGGTGGTAAACTCAATCGTATCTTGGTTCAAGCTTGGAAACTGGGAAAGATTGTTCCTTCAAGAGAAATGTCGTACACTTCAGACCCTGCAAGCTTTCCTGAGCCTGTTGATCTGTCCCACCACCTGTCGCGCAGCACAAAGGCCCGTGAAGCTTCGCAGATCAAGCGCTTCTACAAGTACTTCGGGATTCCCGGCATCTCCCAACTAGCTGGAGGTACGCAAGATCACAGCTTCGAGAAACAATCGAGCTTCGTCCGAGCTAACAACCCCGCCAGGCCTCCCCAACGACAAGTACTTTCCTTATGATACCCTCGAAGCTAAGGTGGGTCGCGCAACGCGCGCGCCCAGAAGCATTATTGACCGACAATAGGTTGCCCACCCCAATCGCTGGGAGCCCACGCCCAACAAGCCAATCGATCCTCCACCCAACGACCCTCCAACCGCAGAGCTAGCTTCCGCGTCCATCGCCACTCGCAAAGATGATCCGCCCTCAGCACGCCTCGTTGTTCCCCACGATTCTGGCGTTCAAGATCCGACTCGCATAATTGATCTGAAGTCGGCATTGCAATATGGCACAGCACAGGGCTATCCGTCGCTCTATACGTTCATCCGCCAATTCACACGCGACAACCTGCACCCGTTTGTACCATACAAAGGCGGACCAGACGTCATCTTGACCAACGGTTCGACTGACGGCTTCTCCAAGACTATCCAGGCCTTCTCCAATGAATGGGCTGAGGGTTACAACCCCGTCGAAGAGCGACCGGGACTATTGGTCGAGGAATACTGCTACATGAATGCTATCCAGACGGCGAAACCGAAGGGCTTCAACATTGCGCCTGTGGCTATTGATGATGAGGGTATGATCGCGAAGGGCCCAGGGGGTCTCGAAGATGTTCTAGACAACTGGGACTTCTCCAGGGGACGTCGTCCGCATCTTATGTACACTGTAACCATCGGCCAGAACCCCACAAGCGGCACCCTTAGCGTAGCGAGGCGGACAGAGATCTATGCGCTCTGCGTCAAGTACGACATCTTGATCGTTGAGGATGACCCATATTGGTATCTTCAATTCCCTTCATCTTCACCAGGGGCTACCGCAACTCCCAAGCCGAAGAAGTCGTCCGGTTTCGAGTTTCTCGATTCACTCATTCCTTCCTACTTGTCGCTCGATTACCAGGGCCGCGTCATTCGTCTAGATACTTTCTCCAAAACTGTCGCTCCAGGATGCCGTCTCGGATGGATCACGGCGCAACCCGCCCTCGTCGAGCGCATCCTCCGCGTCACCGAAACCAGCACCCAACAACCCTCCGGATTTGTCCAGTCGATGATCGCAGAGCTCCTTATGGGTCCTCAGAGCTCCACTGACCCGGGCCGAGGCGGAGCTAAGGATGGCAGCGGCTGGAAGGTCGATGGCTGGGTGCGCTGGCTCGAGGGTCTCCGCGGCAACTACGAGCGCAGGATGAACGCCATGTGCGACGTCCTCGATGCGAACAAACACGCCGTCAAAGCTGGTCGCCGAAAATCGCTGACCGAGGTCGCCGATGACGAAGACGAGTGGGCTGTCGTGGAGAAGACCAAGATCTACGACTTTGTGCGCCCTCTCGGTGGTATGTTCGTCTGGGTGCGCTTCGACTTCTCCTCGCATCCGCTTGCAAAGCAGGTACCCGCTCAACGCCTCTCGCAAGCGCTCTGGGTCTTCTGGACGACTAAGCCGTATCTTGTCCTTGTGGCGCCTGGCACGATGTTTGCGCCCACCACGGACATTAGGGATGGCGATGCGTTCAACTGCGCCCGATTGTGCTTCGCGGCGTGTCCTGTGGATGAAGTCAAGAGCATCACGAAGCGCTTCAGCGATGGTGCGCAGGCTTTCTGGCGCATCAAGAGCGTGGAGAAGATCAACGAACTGCTGGACGATGATGAGGCAGAGCATGGCCAGGTGGATGCGGGTCTTGCGCTGCTGAACGGCATGTGTTAAGGGAATGGGGGAGTATGTTTCAGCATGTGCTCTTGCGGAGCGTACCTGTCCCCGCCCGCAGACGTGCCACGGTCATTATAGCAATCACTGTATCCATGCGCTGGTTGTACCATATGAGATGCGTTGTGGTAGACGGAAAGACATAACGAATGATAATGAAGACTTCCATAGCAATGCACACGCGGGGCGTCTATGGCGCTCAGGTTCTTTTGCATCAGCGTACTACGCACCTTGTTCACTCATATCTCAAATTCGCACTCTCCCCATACAACAGGTTTTGTTTTACCTTACCCTTCACTTCACAGAACGTGATAGAGCCTTTGCTCCCACAATTGACAGCGCCTGGACTGTTATTGGCTACGGCAAGTTCAAATCCATGATCCATTGGGGAGGAAATTCGTATTCCCATGGACTCAATGTATCACCTGAACAGTAAGGGAAGCCTTGGAACGAGCTTGACCTCATCATCCGCTCTGGAGGAGATGTCTTCTCGAGAAGTTCAAGAACTTCGCAGGTGCGCTGAATGGATGCCAGAATAGATGAGGCGTAGTTGGGCGAGGTATGCTCACAATACCAGTTCGTCGCGTGCTCGGGTGATCATTATTTCTATCGATAGTAGATACTAAACGATCAAGTGGCGGCCCGTTCGGTAACGTTGAAGGACTGCTTCACCCTAATCCCACCCGGGCTGTGTGTCCCTTGCCTGCCGTGCCGATCTAGCGACTCTTGACTATCGCTGCCATCTCCATGCATGGTTTCCCGCAAAGCCGAGGCATCAGCACGATGTTGTAGCCCCATTGGTCGAAGCCAGAGACGATTGGTGTCATCATCTAATCTCTCGAATCCATCTTCACCCGCTCCCTTTGATCCAGTGGGTTTAGAACCACTGTTAACAGGTGTTTTGCCTGAACCGTAAGGTGTGGCTGCAGACCGACCGAGCAGCGGGCGCATCATGGGTATGGAGGCGAGGACCACGGCGAGACAGGGTTCGACACCGCTGAAGATGTTGGCTTGGGGAAGCGTATAGCTTATATCTGCGAAGTCCATAGAAGAGAGGACAGAGATACGGAGCGCGCTGATGACGCAAGTCCTAGCCATGTTTGTCAGAAAGACGAACCATACATGCGTTGAAATTGGGGGAATGTACACAACGCCCAACCCAAATACGGTGATAAGGGTGACCTTCTTATATGTTGCCATTTGCAATTGGGACAACGGGTACATGGGTAGCAGAAGCACCATGGAGTCAGTGATCAAGTTGATGATCCCAGTGACAGTAAAGGAGGTAACTTGATCGCCGCAGCTCCCTCCAACAATTGTCTTGTCCCAATTATATGCAAAAGGACGGCATATCAAACAGCCAGCGAGGATAGTTGCAATTGTCCAAGCAATGATTACGGACATAGTGGCATATGAGCCCCAGGCAAGCCATCGGATCGGGAAAATCTTGAGGTAAAGGCACAAGATCGATAGTTTGGTGCAACTGAGACTCAGGACCCAGAGAAATTGCAAAGGGATGATGAGCTGAGACAATTTGGTGATGGGCTCCAGGCCGTATCTAAGGGCAATTTCTGTAACATGACCGTAGCCGATGCCAGCTTGAAAGACGCCTGTAATGCTAATTGATTGTAGGCCGACGGCGAATACCTTGGGCCTGTCAGCAGCATCTAACATTGGCGATTGTAGAAAACTTACACATGCAAGGATGATCAGATAGTCGCTAATCGTCCATTTCTTGTGCGCGATGGCATGAGCAGTGAGTCGCAGAGAGACGGCGAGGGTTGCGAGAATAGAGAAGCTGAGAGCTGCGCCGAGCACCGCCTTCTGGTCGTGCGTCTGGATGGGAAATACGGCCATGTTGCTGTGCAGTCCAACAAAACGGGATTGTGTGGTTCACGGCTCCATATCTACATTTTGCACTGTACCTGCGCAGCAACTGGCCCAGTTTTGTATATAGCAATCGCATTGCGACGGCAAGGGATCGCTGCCATGAGTGCTTCAAGAGGTTAGAAGGAGGTAGGGTCCCGAACCGACGATGTCTAGTCTGGTCACGGTTGCCGCCCTAAAGTCTTCCCAAATCGCCTTGCAAGCCCAAGCTTATTATGGGGTACACAAGGGACTCTGGCACATCTATTGGCGGAAATAACTTAGCAGGTGAGTTGCAAGGCAGTAGTTGCGCGTTTGGGGCGTACTTATGATACCACAGCCGTGCTTCAGTCCAAGGGACTAGCACCTTGGAGACAATGGCGTAGTGAGCAGAAGTCCTTGGTCTTTTCCCACTTTGGCACTAGAACATCGAAGGATTCACAAAGTTCCAGGCCAGAGGTTTCTATCGTCTCGTACGATGGTAGCCTTTGGGCAGTATGGAGAATGATTCTGAAAGGAAGCCACATCAAGGAGTGCTCTGTACACGGAGCAAGTCGCCGGATAGGTTTGACCGCGAACAACGGTGGTTTTGGGCGACGAAATGGCTCCTGTCAACTTCGGAAAACTAGGGATTCCCCACTCGCTTTGCCGAAGTTACGGATCACGACATTATCAGGCTGCCTCTTTCTAGTGCAATGCGGCCCGAGAACCGTTCCAGGTCTTGTCTGCGTGTGGTTTGGGGAAGGAATTTAGCGCCCAGCGTACGAGGGCGACGTTCCTCTTTCAGTGGGACGAGGAGCCCCGGTCGGGTGAAATGTGCCGAGGAAGCCCCATCGAGGCGAGCAAGCCTTGCGAACGCGACATCGGGTGATTTGACGAAGAAGACTGGGCAATGGCATGCCGAGTCTGTACCCCTGAGGCAACGGGATGTTCGAAGTGCCGAACTGATTCAGGGTTCGTTCCGCGGAGCAAAATTCTGTGTAATGTCACGCTTGTTATTCGTTTGGGTATGCAAACTCAAGCAGTCGCGCTCCCTCAGTCCGACTGAGATGCCTTAACAATCATGTCCAGCTCTACTGTGACAATTGTCCTGATTGTGGGCGCATTGACAGTGCTTTATGTCTGCACAAGCAAAAAGAGCCAGGATGCGACCGCGAAGCCCCTCCTCAAGCTTCCTCTCATTGGAGATCTCCACAGCTCTCCCATCGAAAAACCACTCGTAAACTGGAGTGCCTGGTCAAAAGAACATGGACCTATCACTGTTCCCAGGCTTTTTGGAATCGTTCCTATCGTGGTGCTCAACTCGTATGAAGCGGTCACTGAACTCTTCAGCAAACGCAGTCAATGGTACAGCAACCGCCCTGCCTCTGTGAGCATGGAGATGATTACTGGCGCCGGACCAGGACGCTCCAGGTTTACCCTGATGCACGATTATGACGACCATCTCAAGCTGCACCATCGCATTCTCTCACCCAGTTTGGGTGCTCCCGCCGCATTGAACTACCAGCCGCTTATGGAACTTGAAGCCAAGCAACTGCTCTTCGACCTCATCAGCGCTCTCAGGGAATCGGACGATGCCTCGACAATCAGTACGAAGATTGTTTACCCACTGCTCGAGCGTACCCAGTCCAGCGTCATTCTTGCCCTCCATTATGGTTTGCGCATTCCCAAGTTCGAAGAGCCGATACTCCACGAGGTTATCGACACACAAGCCAAGGTCACTCACCTCGCCGCCAACCCACAGCTCCCTGATCTGATGCCATTACTCCGACATCTGCCAGCATTTGTCTCTCCATGGCAGCGTTACGCAGACAAGCTTTTCGCTACGCAAGTCGATCTATACATGCGCCTCTTTCACCACGGTAGAGATGCCCCGGGCTGGAATGCAACAAAGCAAGCCATCGCGACCGCACCAAAACACGCCCCTGCGGACTCTCCAGTTGCGGATCTTGACCTTGCCTTCACCCTCGCGACATCGATTCAAGGGGGTATGGAGACCTCTCCCAGGCAGATCCTCTGGCTCTTCATCGCAGCAATACAGAATCCCGACTTCGTGACGCGTGCTCATAAAGTGTTGGACGACGTCGTTGGCCGCAACCGTTTACCCCAGTTCTCCGATCGTAGCAATCTCACATACATAGATGCTGTCGCGCATGAACTTTTCCGCTGGCGCCCGATATCTCCAGGCTCCATTCCACGGCGTGCAGACCACGCCGATGAATTTGCCGGAGTCAAGATTGCGAAAGGAGTCACCGTTATGGCGAATGCATGGGCAATCGGCCGCGACGAGAAAGTTTTCGATCCTTCCCTCGGTGATGCGCAGGATTTTGTTCCTGAACGCTGGTTGCGCGGTGGAAAAGTCCGCAGCGACCTGCCTCTTCCGGTGTTTGGTCAGGGTCGACGAATTTGCCAGGGAAAGCGCGTTGCCATGGACGGCACCTTTATGAACATTGCGCATATTCTTTGGGCGTTTGACGTTGAAGCCTTAGAAGGTGAAGAGGTTGATCCGTGGGCTATGGTTGTTACCGGGTTCATGACTGAGCCGAGGCCTTTGAAATTCTGTCTCAGGCCTAGAGGCCAATGGGCAATCGATGTAATAAAGAGAGAGTGGGATAATACCGAGACGAGTTTGGAGAGCGTTATGGGTGTTGGAAATGACGTAGAGAAGTAGAGTCGCATTCATACGCTACATTTGCTCACTACCTTCGCGTGGGACGAACTGAGTGTCGAGACATGCCTAATTCCAGGGTGCTCTGAGCGGGACAAATATTGCGCTGAGGAGAGGTGTTCGAAGACGCAAGCATATGGAAGGCGCCATGCGGTTGCTCTAGCTTTCTTGGCACACGTGATTGCTAGCTAGCGCTAGGCGCGTTCCGGGAACACCATACATCGCTCCTACAATTCACGTCAAGCTCGATTGCCGGGTAATTAGGTCGGTCCAGTGCAAAGCTGATCAGACTCTCTACATGTGCATGCCGTGATAGCGAGAATGGCAAGCGCAAACGCGTGCACATTTTGCAAGAGGAGGAAGCGCAAGTGCGACAAAACCCGACCCGCATGCTCCAACTGTACTCGGTAAGTAATACAGAATTCATCGAGGTTTGTATGTGGGTAACAGCGGAGTGCTCAGACTGCGAAAGACCTGTGAGTATAGCGAAGATGCAATACGCACATCCTTCTTGGCCCAGGCGGCGACCAACAATCTCCGCCCAGACACAGCTCTGCCAGCATTTGATCCTTACGACCGTACGACGTTTCCACGAGCGGTTTTCGACTTTGCGATGTCTGTTCTTGGTTCACACGACAACTTGTGCTCGATAACGAACGAGTTCTTCATCACGACGCATCAAAGACTCCCAATACTGTCAAGGCATCGCTTCCATAGCTGCATATCTAAGGTCTCAAGTAGCCCCCTTGCGGACCTTGCGACGCTTTCTCTATGCGTTTACCTCGTTCAACAAATGCCGGGTGAGAAACCCTCGACATATATGCGGTCTCCGCTTTATGTTCATGTCAAGAGCTTGATTGGACTACTCGAGATGACCGACGATTTCACAATTGATCTACTCCACTGTAGAATCCTTCTTACTTACTATGAAATGGGCCATGGCTTTCATTCCTCAGCTCACTTATCACTCGCCGCATCTGCGAAGATGGCGAGGATCATGGGTATCCACGAGAAGCCGTGGCAGACGAAGGTAGCACAAAGCCTCGACAACATGGTTCTCGAGGAGCAGAAGAGAGCATGGTGGGCAATTGTCAACCTAGACAGATTCATTAGTTTATGCCACGGCGAGACTCTGCTTGCTACCGAGGACCCCGAGATTTCGGATAAGCTCCCAATTGAAGACTTGTTGTGGTCAGAAGGCTCAGAACAAGAGGAGCTTGCAGCGCTAATTGCTGCCGCCCCCTCACTCGATACGCCATCGAATGTCACTCTTGGACAAATGGCACGCGAGTGTCAGGTCTCTCATATTATAGGAAGACTTACACGACACATGTCTAACCCGACGCTGGATCCAGAATTCAATCGTGAAGAATGTCATCAAATAGAGCGTACTCTAAGGGCTTATGTACCTCTCCTTGCCGAAGAAGAGCTGAAGACGGGCAAATATTGCGGCGCATTTGCGATGTGTAACAAGTAAGTGATCAAAGTTCAGCATACGTTCGAAATCTTACTGTTTACGACGTCTTATGTTGTGGCGTGCCTTGATTCAGGTATCTGTGCCACGCGCCTTGATTTTGCGAGGATAAATTAGGAGCTGATACCGACCACAACAGTGCGCTTTTCATCCTCTACGAGTTCAAGCTGAGCAAAAGCGACGAAGCTAGTTTAGAGGAAAGATGCCGGATTCTGCAGTGCATGGAAAACGTATCATTGCGTTGTATCGCTTTCGCGGAGCTATCGTTCAGCGAACGCATAGGGAGTACACTCCATGAAGTTCATTCTCCGTACTGCCCATACTCGTTGTTCCAGGCAGCGGTTGTGCAATACCGCGTCTGGAAGCAGACCAATAATCTAGTCTGCAAGCTGCGGATCGATTCTCTAAAGAGTATACTTCAGGAATTTGCTAAGCGATGGGGCGATTCATGTAGGTTTTATCTTCCGCACACAATTAAACATGACTGACGTCGCGTAGCGCGATACCTTGATGCTCTGGAGAAGCTGGAAGGTGATTGGCCTTCCATGACCGTTCTTCCTCAAAAGTCATTCCACTGAAGCTTGGGTTCATCGTCGAAAACCTGTCATCGAGCAGATTCAAGATAAGAAGATGGATTCGAGATGTGACTGTTGGCTTCGAATACTTCACTGGCACACCAAATCCTCCCACGCAAGTTATTATAACCTATGCTCAACGGCCTGCCTCATGGCGATCTTGCGACAAGCGATTCAGTGCAATCATTTAGTCTTCAAAGTTTCGCCCTTGATCGTTTCGGATGGTGACAAAGAAGTTGGAAAACGTGACTCTGCGAGAAGGGAAGACGGACGACTGGCACAGGGAGCGGACAAGGACACCCTGGTCCGCTCGAACACAGGCCTAAAGGGGCTAGCGTCTACCCGGCCCTTCTCTGATCGCAAGACAACAAATCAATGAACGGAGCCTGAGAGAGGCATCGACTAATCAAGCTTATGTTTCTGGGCTCAAGTATCCACATAGTTGGTTGTGGAAAGCTACATTGTGCTCCGGGCTACAAATCTCCGTATATAAGCTCTGGTCCCTTGGGTCAATGGCTTCACATCTTCACGCAGTCATTGACTTCAGTCCAGGTTTACCCGACTTTTGTTTTCTAGCAACTGAATCAACAGAATTCCCACAATCCTTGTCTCTCAACGTCATCTTGGATGCGGCACATACACCCATCGACACGACTTTGATTGTGTACATACCTTATGTATGCTGCTTCGAAGGACCTATTTACACCTAGTCAGACATGATCTAACGATCCTAGCAGTGTAAAATATGCTCGATATCATTCGCGAAGCGCCTCTGGGTCAAGTCATCCGCTTCCTGTCAGGAAACAGACTGTTTCAATACCCAGAGGATAAGCCAGACTTTGAGTTGCCCGCCCAATATGCCGCCCTTCTCGAACCATCATCAAATCTGGGTGATGAAATCTTAGAACGAATCGAAGAAGACACATCCGCGCGAACACCCCAGATCAAAGGACATGACGATCTGGAGATGCAAGGGCAGGGTTTACACGGAAATTTGAGCAGCGTTCATGCGGTAGCCCACGCGGAGGAACGACTTCAAGTCCAACCTCGCGACCTCGAGCGTACAAATCCCTTGATCATTGTCCCCCAGAGAACATTAGACGGCATCATATTAGTGGACTGGTATACCAACGATGACCCCACCAACCCAAAGAACTGGTCCGGTTTCAAGAAAGGCTTCGTCATGTTCATCGTTGCGTTCTACACCGCTGCCGTGTACTCTGCAGGCCCTATCTACGCTGCTTCCGTTGGCGGCGGTCTTCTGGAACACTTCGACATCAGCCCGATCGTTGCTTCGCTTGGCTTGTCGCTTTTCGTGCTAGCCTACGGCATTGGCGATATTGTGTTTGCTCCGTTGTGTGAGATCCCAGCGATTGGAAGGAATCCGGTGTACTACCTTACCTTTGTTGTGTTCTGGGGTCCTAGCCTTTCCTACAGCTATGATCGATGACTTCGGGTCGCTTTTAGCACTCCGGTTTTGGATGGGCTTCTTTGGTAGTCCTGCACTTGCGAACGGCGGCGCAACCGCCTCCGACTTGTTCGAGCTTTTATACGTTCCCTATGGACTATCGTGGTTCGTCCTTGCCGCGTGGTGTGGGCCCGCATTCGGTCCCTTGATCGGTGGTTTTGCGGCCATGGCGAAGGGCTGGCGATGGCCCTTATGGGAGATAGTCTGGATTTCGTCTCTCGTACTCGTCATCCTACTCACGCTCATGCCCGAAACGTCCGCCGAAAATATCCTCCTACGCCGCGCCCGCCGCCTGCGCAAAGTCACCGGCAATCCCAGACTCCTGTCCCAAAGCGAAGTCACCCAACGCCACATGACCGCTTCGCAGATTCTAACATCGGCCCTTGTCCGTCCCCTAGAAATCATGTTCAAAGATCCCTCCGTGCTCTTTATAAACGTATACACCGGCTTCTTCTACGGCGTGTTTTACACCTTCTTCGAAGTCTTTCCTCTTGTCTTCCCTCCCTTCTATGGATTTAGCCTTGGACAAAGCGGTCTAGCATCCCTTTCCTGCTTCGTCGGTGTCATCTTCGCGCTTCTGGGTTACTTCGTGTACCTGCACTTCTACATGATACCCGACAACAAGGAAGGCTTCCGCGAGCAAGAGCACCGCCTCGTCCCCGCCATCGTCGGATCGTTTCTGCTCCCCATCGGACTATTCATCTTTGCGTGGACGGCTGAGCGAGATATCCACTGGGTTGCGCCCCTCATAGGCGTAGCGATCTTCTGCAGCGGACATTTCTGGCTCATGCAGAGCTTGTTCATTTATTTGCCATTCTCGTATCCGAAGTACGCGGCGAGTCTCTTTGCGGGGAACAGCTTGTGGAGGAGTATAACGGCGGGAGCAAGCGTGGTGTTCGCGACGCCGTTGTTGAGTAACCTTGGAGTGAGCAGAGGGGTGAGTTTATTAGGTGGGCTGAGTGTGGTGGGGATCTTTGGAACCGTGGTGATGTATAAGTTTGGCAAGCAGCTTCGTGCGCGCTCGAAGTATGCCCAGAGTTAGGCTGTTGGAATCGTAGGGAAGAGGATACTAGAGGAGAGGCCGCGAGCGACGCGCAATCTATTGGTGCTGATGGATTTGGCGTCAATTTGGTTGTTTTTATCAAGTTCCAGATTTCATTCGCGTTGGTCGTCAGTGCAGGTTTGGGAATAGGTATATCTCATCAAGGAAGAATTCAATTGATTAAGATTTGACCTACAGAAAAGACGTGTAGCAGGAAATTCCGTTTGAAATGTCTTCAAATCCAATTTTGATACCAACGCAAGTTAAATACATTAGTTGTTGAGAATGTCATAATAGCAACTTCGCCACATCGTCGTGAGTTGCTGGCCTAGCTACGTGCTCAACACGAACCTGATATCACTCAGCGTGAGAAGTGACTGCTACGTGTACTGCGACACAGTGACCTCGACAAATCTCTTACGTTCGTACATGGGCTGTAAGCTAAAATTGAGGTTGACTGTGGATTTTCTGCAAGAGTTCGGATATGTATGGGCGATCCGCTAGCGAACGGGGAAATTCATCTATCTTCCCCTCGCTCCGTGGCCAATTAGGCTAGAGCAATCGGCTAGTATACCATCATGACGCCGCAAATCGAAGTGCGTTCCCAAAACCGGGGATAGTCAGGTCGACGGCCTGCGAATTTAATCAGATGTCATATATACTAGTGGAACAAATGAGCATGCTTCCTGGACGGGGCATTTTAGCGTTGGGATCAGCTATAATTTTATAAGAAACCCGCCGCACTGTGCATGAGCTCTCGTGTCGTCAATTCTTCTTTCTAGGATTTGGTCAATATGATTGCGTCGTCGATTGCTGTGTCACTGCTGGCAGCTGCTGCGTCCGCGCAACAGCTGTCCTCGAATCTTACCCAGGTCAAGGATTTCGGCCCCAATCCCAGGAATGTATCGTTCTACATCTACGTTCCCAAAACTCTCCCACCGAAGCCACCGATCCTTGTTGCGCCTCACTGGTGTCACGGAACTGCGCAACAGGTCTTCGACTACCGATCGTGGGCATCGGCTGGTGACCAGTATGGCTTCATTACGATCTACCCAAACACTTCGAACTTTGCGGACCAATGTTGGGACGTGAGCAGCAATGCTACGTTGACACATAACGGTGGAGGTGACTCGCTGGGAATTGTGAGCATGGTAAAATGGGCACTGAAGAAATATGGTGGTGACAAGGATCGCGTGTTCGTTACTGGGACAAGTTCGGGCGCAATGATGACAAACGTGTTAGTAGGCGCCTATCCGGACGTTTTCGCCGCCGGAAGCGCTTGGGCAGGAGTTGCGTTTGGTTGTTTTGCTGGTGACGGCTTCGACGTATGGAGTGACGGCTGTGCGACCGGTAAGGTGATCAAGACCGGAGCCGAGTGGGCCGAAATCGTCAAGAAGGCATATCCTGGCTACCACGGGTTCCGTCCGAAGCTGCAGGTACTTCACGGCACAGTGGACACGGTCTTGTATCCGCAGAACTTGCAGGAGGAGATCAAGCAATGGACGAGTGTTTTCGGGTACAATCCGACGCGTAATGAAACCACACCAAACACACCGCTTGAAGGATGGACTAGGTACCGATACGGGCCGAAATTCGAGGCGTACTCAGCGGCAGGCATCGACCACAACATCCCCAATCAGGACGACCTGGTGTTAGAATATTTTGACCTGGTAAGTGGCCATGTGATGGAAGACCAGCTGCGGCAGTCGCTAACAGTGCCTTACTCGTAGAAATGCAACAGCACAAAAAGGGAGGAGTGTTATTCGAGGGCTTCCGGTCATGGCACGTAGCTTAGCAATATGAGGAGTAATACAATGTCGTGTGAGGGACAGCAGTGATTGCCGTCCTCTGCACAAGTGGAGAAGGTCTGGCAGCCGCGACCAGTGTGCATCGTGGCAGTCTCGGGTAAAACGCGCTATCGATAGCCGGTCGCGCTTGTACTTTTTCAATTTTGTCGCCCCGCCAAAACCCCCACCATCACCCAAGCTTCACTCCCGCACCTCTCCAACCTCGGAACCTCACACCTCTCCCGCACTTGTACATCCTACACGTGTTGGTGTTACTATTGCTGCCTGACCAGACGATACACAGGCTCTAGCCCGTCGATTGTCATGTTGCACGTCTGAAGCTCACGCAATTGACACCCCACAAACATGGCAAACGAAGAGGGCGACAGCTCCCCCAAGTCGCAAAGTGCCGTGCTTGAGTGGTATGCCCGTATCTATTCTCGCCGTGTCGACATTGTCGGCGACTATGCCGGAAACGAGCTGTTTTTGGTAGACGGCGATTCTCTGCTGTTACATTGCTTCAGCGACGAACACCTCGATTTCGATGACGGCTTCCAACTCCTCCACGCGACCTGGACAGTCGAACACTTTCTACGAAACCTGATCTCGAGAAGGGCCAATTTTCACATTGTTTTCTTCGATCAGCACCGCGAGCTTTGCATTCCATTCTTTGCACCTGCGGCATCCCACGCCAAATACCTTTTGGCGAGGGAGGCTATCGTTCGCCACCTTTCTGTCAATCTCAAGTCTACCCACCCAGACGTGCTGGTTAGCGTCTTCTCGTCAGTCACTTCTGATGAATTCGCCGAGTACCTGAAAGCTACAGAGTTCTATTTTGTTCTCTGTCATGACGGTGCTTCTTCGACTGCTTTGCGAAAGAGGAAACTGCTAGACAAGACTCTAGACACTCTTGAAGATGAAGAGCACAACGAACAAAACGAGGAGCTACGCAAGAAGATCATTTTCCGCCAGCTCATACGCTGGTCTATGGCACAAGGTTCCAGCATCGTGCTAATAAACGGTGTCGAATTCCAGGATGCTCGGATCATTGCTACGGTTCTAGAGAACCTGCGTGGCACAGGCAGCGGAGTATCTATGGAGGTAATTATAAGCTCTCATTTTGTAACAACCTGCTTCAGAGAAGCATTCGATGTTGTTGGATTCTTATGCTCTCAGTATTCCTTCCCATGGTCTATCATTCGACACGTTGTGTTACAAGGCTGGACTCTGGCAGGCTGGTGAAACCTTGCTAACGCATTCTAGATTGATCTTGACGAGGACGATGCCATTGACGAGCCTCGCCAACGATACCTTGAACGCAGCACTTGGGACAGTGTCACGAGTAAAGTCAAGGATCAGTTGACGGAGCGTTACTACCTTACCGTGATTGTTTTGTCAGCCCTTCTCGCTGGTAACAAAGTCACAAAGGATTTTGTTTCTGCGTTCTTGCGACATAGTGCCTTGATATCTGGGCTTTCGCTCCAAGAACGTCTGGTATCAGCCGCCAACTTGGACGACAAGGTGAAGGAATCGTTGGAAGCTTTCGCCGAAGAAGCCTCCACAATACTGGCTTCTGAAGAATGGGCTGAAAATATGGAGTCCTGGGGATGCGGATGTGATGTGGCCGATCTCGTGGACGGTCGATTACTCTCGGCTTGTCTTCAAGATGCGTCAATAGGCGCCAATGAGCTATACAGCACGCTGGCACAGGCCTGCGAAGCCTTAGGCGCAGGTTTCTCCAGCGACCAGGCTATCGGCAGTAATGGCCATGCAGGTAGGGAGTACGTTATTTTGTGACCAGATCTCCGCTGATCTATTGTCAGCAGCAGTATCGCACGCACCTCAGCCACAGAGCAGTGAATCGTACGCTGTTCTGCCCTTCTCCAACGAAATATTCGATCCACACCTTGCACCCGTGCAACTCGCAATCGATCGAGTCGGCGACGTAGAAGACGCAACGGCGGCAAACATTTTCAGAGAGATATCGCACTGGCACAATCACAAAAGACCATTGGACCCAAAGCTGCGAGAAGAGCAGTTGGCCAAGTCAGAGAAGCAGAAATTCTGGGCGCGCAAGCGAAATCAATGGTTCATGGATGAGATGCAAAAGTACGCTCAAAGCCTCACGAATACTGTCGGAAAATCTCTCGACCCCGAGACCATCACAACCGGTGGACGTTCTGCGAAACCGATTGCTGAGGTAGAGGAGAATGCCAAGCCAAAGGGAAAACCAGCGCCCAAGGCAAATAAGAAGGCTGCTCCGTCACGCAAAGAAACGATGCTAGCCAAGATCGCCGCAGATCGAAGTGCAAAGGAAGAAACCACTGCGGAGAAACACATTCAGGGCTGGCGCACGACTGTTAGTGCAATCGAAAAGGAGCCTACTGCAACCGCACGCTACCAGCGAGCGAAAACCTACTTAGCTACACTCAACACGGGCACTTCGGCTGACCTAAAGCGCGATACTCTCGAAGCAGAAGTACGTCTGTACATGTTGAATGCTCTGTTGAGTCCTTGGTTGACGGCCTGTCGCAACGATGAAAAGCCGGAAGCGCTGAAGATTGCTGCACTTATCTTCGCAGAACTCGGGGCCTTCTCGAAGTTCAACAGACCCGTTACGTCGACTATTGTCAAATGTCTTCAGACCGTTTTCAAGGAGCTTGCACTGCCCAAACTCCCCCTTCCGCAGCCAGAAGGGGACAGACCCCTGGCGTTCAAGTTTTCCCTCGACTCCTCGTCACGATCATTGGCCTTGCCGATTCCACAGAAAGAGTTCCAATTGCTACACTGTGGTCCTTACTTCGACCGAAGTATCGATTCAGCTCCGGACCCTCGTGTGCCGTTCGAGCCGGATGCATGGCAACGTAAGGTGCTGGACGAAATCGACGCGAAACGAAGCTTGCTGGTCATAGCCCCTACATCGGCCGGAAAGACATTCATTTCCTTCTACGCTATGAAGCAGGTTTTGGAAGCCAACGATGAAGACGTCCTAGTCTACGTAGCGCCTACCAAGGCCTTGGTCAATCAAATCGCTGCCGAAATCCAGGGTCGCTTTTCGAAGCGCTACGGCTACGCTGGAAACAGTGTCTGGGCGATTCATACTCGTGACATGAGGATAAATAACCCCACGGGCTGTCAAATCCTGGTAGGTAGCCCTGGATCACAACATGACGGATTGCTAACACACGATATAGGTCACGGTACCACACATCCTACAGATTATGCTGTTGTCACCACCCAACGCAAATTCATGGTCTAAGCGTATCAAATGGATCATCTTTGATGAAGTCCACTGCATTGGACAAGCGGAGGACGGCTTGATCTGGGAGCAACTGTTGCTAATGGCCCCTTGTCCAATCCTGGCACTCTCCGCTACAATCGGCAACCCAGACGAGTTTAGCGCCTGGCTAGACTCAACTCAGAGGAGTGTTGGCAATAACTTGACTATGGTACAGCATCCGCACCGTTACTCGGACCTGAGAAAGTTCATCTATAAACCTACTAATACCGACAACAATTTCACTGGGCTCGAAGAAAATCGCGCTTTCGCACAACTAGGTCTAGACGACAGCAAAGACTTCCACTTTGTCCATCCCGTGTCTAGCCTTGTGAATCGAGCTCGAGGCATACCGGCCGATCTAGCTTTGGAAGCGCGCGACTGCTATATGTTATGGCAAAGCTTGTCCAAGCACCAGACTGCGAAGTATCCGCTAGATAAATCGTTGGACCCTGCAGTGGCTTTACCGGCCGTGATCAGGAAGATCGACACAATCAAATGGGAGAGTGCGCTGAAATCTGTGCTGCGTCAGTGGATGCAGGATCCGGACTCTCCATTTGATGACGTGGTTAAAGACCTGGGAGGACATCAACAAGATACAGTGGCAGAGACACTTCCAACACAGGATCCCGAGGCTGAGGTCGCTGACGATGCCGATGCTAGCGAGGAGAACGAGGTGGAGATACAACACGACATCAAGAGTATTTTGCCCATGCTCTCTAAGCTTCACGAACAAGATGCCCTCCCTGCTATTCTGTTCAATTATGACCGCGGTCTTTGCGAGCGTATCTGTCGGAAGTTGATGGAGCAACTTGTGGACGCGGAAACAGCTTGGAAAGAGTCTAGCGCGCAGTGGAAGAGTACATTGGCGAAGTGGGAGGAATGGAAGAAGATCATGACCAAGGCTGGTAAACGTGGGCCTCCTAAACTGTCAAAGAAGAAGGGCGGTGCTGAAGAAGGGCTGACCAAGGAGGATATCCAACGAGACGCAGCGAACAACGAGGCCAGCCCTTGGGCTTCCTTCAATCCCGACAAGCCCATTGACAGATTCCATTTCGCGGACAATCGAAAAATGTCGCAAGATGAAATGGATAAGACTGAAAGAGAATTGCTCAGACGCGATGTACCTGAATGGCTAATAACCGCTTTGAAGCGTGGTATCGCGGTCCATCACGCTGGTTTGAACAGGAAGTACAGGCAGGTTTGTGAGATATTGTTCCGACGAGGTTTTCTTCGAGTGGTCATCGCGACGGGTACGCTGGCACTTGGTATCAACATGGTAAGCTCAGACGCCTATCTATTCATATCGCAGGAGCTAATGATACGCAGCCCTGCAAAACGGTGATTTTCACTGGGGATTCCGTGTTCCTGTCAGCGCTCAACTTCAGGCAAGCCGCAGGTCGTGCGGGTCGTCGTGGATTCGATATGCTAGGAAACGTTGTCTTTCACTCAATATCGACAAGCAAGGTCCATAGACTGATCAGTTCGCGCCTACCAGACATCAATGGTCACTTCCCGATCACCACGACTTTGGTGTTGCGTCTGTTCACGCTTCTGAACGATTCGAAGAACTCTCAGTTCGCCACTCGATCTGTCAATGCACTCCTCTCGCAACCACGTCTATACCTTGGTGGCGAAGAGTCTAAAATGACCGTTCTGCATCATCTTCGATTTTCGATCGAGTATCTCCGGCGACAATTCCTGCTCGATGCTCGTGGAACCCCGTTGAACTTCGCCGGATGCGTGAGCCATCTGTACTATACGGAGAACTCTTCTTTCGCATTCCATGCTTTACTCAAAGAGGGGTACTTTCACAAGGTATGCGCAAACCTAAACGCAAACGACACTGCCAAGGAGAATACCTTGCGGGAGCTCATGTTGACCATGTCCCACCTCTTCGGACGACAATATTGTCGACAGGCTGACCAGGAGTTCGTGGACCGAGTGATCAAGCGCAGCCCTTCTGTGGTTTTCCTACCTGACATGCCAGTGGGCGCAGCCAACCTTCTCCGGAAGCACAACCAGTCTACACTTGATATCTACAAAGCATACGTGGGAACGTTCGTGGAACAGCACCTCAACGAGCCGGATGACGCGCTGCCGTTGACCCAATATAAGTCAGGTAGCGGCGCTACTGCCTCGGCTCAGGGCCTGCAACTGCGCGCTCCCACTACGGTTCGCTCACCATTTGTAGCTCTTTCGGGTCACGGAGATACCTTTGAGTCCGTTCATGACCTTTGTACGACTACGCGCTCTGGGGTCTTCTTGGAGGAGTCGGTCATACCATATGTTGGCCTATACCCCGAAGAGTCCGAAATGCCGCTTAATGCCTACCTGTATGACTTCTTCAACCATGGAGACGTCAACGCGATAGTTATCGCGAACCGCATCCGACGTGGTGATGTTTGGTTTGTCTTGAACGACTTCAGCATGGTCCTCGCAACTATTGTGACCAGCCTATCGAATTTCATGCAGCTTACGGCGGCGTCCGACCTGGATCTGTCCGATGTACGGGGCGAAGGAGAAGATGCAGAAGCATTGCAAGATGACAAATTCCTTCCAGATGACTCAGGATACGAAACCGCATCAACCATCTCCACGGCCACTCGAACTGGTCCGGCACAGAAGGAGCTGCCTGTCCAACTGAAGAAGAAAAAGAAGGTTGTCGACTCATGGGATGATGATGCGGACGCGGAAGAATTAGAAGAAGAAATTGCCGCTCAGAGGGAGCTGAAGGAAGCCGAAGCTGCAAAGGACGCGGAGGACAGGCCAGCATGGGAGGGTGCCGGCTTGCTGAATGTGCTCAAGGCGTTCCAAGCGCTGAAGGAGGACTTCGATACCAAATTCCGAGCCATGTGGGCTTAGTTGGTATCAAGGATGGTTGGCAGGAGTAAGACAAGCCGACGTAAATTGCAAACATGGTCATGCATTTTGACATCGAGCATGGAGCACGGGACACGAAAAGCGAAGAAGCATACGAAAAGCATCATGATGATAGATATGAACCTAGACTAAAATTCAGCATGAATATGACTAGCATGTATGGTATATACTTCCCGCTTGCTTGTTTATGGCTTGTGGCTGTTGGTATTGACCCTGGCCCACTCTGTAATAGCTAGTTCATCATGACGTATTCAAGGGCATCACCACGGTACACGACCTCAGCACTCGGTACACTTTACAACACACTTGATAACAGCCAGGGTTTACGTTTCACATTCCCTATTCGTTTTACACACAGAACGCCTTAACAAACTCCCAAATGTCCAGCCTTACAGCCCAAGAATCCTCTGCCAGCCAGCCCGACCTCCCCTCCAACCAAGGCACAACCGCGCAAACCGGCCCCGGGAAAGATGACCCAAGCGTACCCTTCAAAGTTGGAAATGAAGCTACTCGAGGCCTAGATGCGAGCACAACTGACAAGGTGCGATCTCCTCCGTAATCTCATATCACATTTTAGTGTTGACATTGATGATAGACAACCTACGGCAATAATGCGAGTGGCACAAGCGAGGCGCGGAGGGGCGAGGATCTAAGCTTCCAGCAGGAAGAGGAGGGAGAGGGGTTCGTGGGGAAGAAAACCGGGAGTGAGAGTTTGATTGATAGTGTTGAAGGGAGCGTGCATGAGAGGGGGGAGGCTGAGCATTCAAGGGCGATGGGTTAGGGCCCGGAAATCTCAAAAGTATTGCGCGCTATTACATTACGGGGTATGGACAAATATATAGCGAATGGTATCAGCTTGACTGCCTCTGCAGCGTCGGCCGTCGCGACAGGTACAAAGCGTCCAGCTGCAACTCCCTCCTCGCCAGCGCCGCACTGCCCGCCCTCCCAAACCGCTCAGGTAAAGATCCTTCCAGGTCCAGATCCAGGTAGTACTTGACGCCCGAGCCTACGCTAGTCGCAGCTGACGAGCGACTTTGACTCAAATCTGGGCCTTTCTCAGCTGCCTCAGCGACCATGTCATTCGCATCCTTGATCTTGCGCGATCGATCCGTGCTAGAGGCTCGCGGCGCAGGGGAGTAAAATGCTTTCCTCGGACGATCGCCTTCACGGCGATAAGGGTAGAGAAAGCGCGTTAAGCGCTCGTTTTCGGCGCTGGTCATGAGGTCTTTGCCAAAGAGCTCTTCTTCGCGTTTGATCCATTGGCGAAACATCCAGGTTTCCCATGCTGTGGGTTCTTCTTCGAAGAAGCCGCGGACCCTGGTGACGTCAGCCCAAGTAATGCGGCCGCTTCGAGTAATAGTCGAGTATTTGAGGAGGAGGTGGCATTCTTGTTTGCGTGCGGACATGAGGATGCGCACGGTGAAGTGGATGCTCGGGCGGCCGTTTTGCTGATTTGACTCATCCGGTTGCACGGCAATGCTGGCTGGCATGGATTCCTTCTCGTCATGGACCTTCTCAGAAATAGTCGACGCTGCCGTAGGTACTTGACCTGCTAACGACATTGGAATGAAGACTGACTCTCGAGCGACAATGCTCGACTGGCCGGGCAAACGCCAAAGCGCTGTTGCAAAGTGCTCGGGCCCGTGGACGTTGCCTGGACATCGATGTTAGCCAAGGTCAGCCGAACCATGTGCACTTGTGAGAATGTGGCTACCTTTGGTAAAGACGTGATTTTGCATGAGGTACTCCTCTTTGTTGAAGAGGGTCATCTCTTCCCAGTTGAGAAAGGCTTTCTCTTGCCAGTGTAGAAACAGTGGCGTCATACAGTCGAGAAGCATCACTTCGTCAACACCAGCATGGGTGTATTCTTTATACTGCGCAACCATCCAAAGGAACGAGATCGTGGATATGCCAGCATCCGGGTGCCCGCCGCCGATATCAGAGTGGTCTCCTGCGAGCCAGCACTGTTTGATGTTTGTTTGACCTGGGGCAGATGCATCTATGCTCCATAGAACAGGGAAAAACGAGTTGCGTGTTTCGTGGAGGGCTAGAGCTTGCCAAGCGTATCTCAAGTTCGAGGGCACAGCATCACTGACGAAGGCCAAGTCAGAAGCGGGGATCATGGCGCTTACAGTATCCCAGACACCGCACGAGGTGATGTCGACGTTCCTTCGTACATGTCCTTTCGCTTCCCATGACGGCAAATATGCTTTCAGTCGTGCAAGGTCCCGTTTCCTCCATAACGAGTATATCATTGGTGACAGCGCGAGACGAGTCCTCGATAGTATCCCGACTTCGTGTATGAAGCATGCAAGCGCTCGCACGGCAAATGCTCCGCGGGAGAAGCCCACGAGGTGGATCTCGTCCTGTCGTCCGTCTTCAATGCTGAAGTTGAGGCAGAGATAGTAATATGCGTCCTGTATCACACCATGTATACCTGGGATATGATAGCATCAGTAGAGGTCGCTAGTGCAACGTTTCTTGGCGGACACTCTACCATACCTTGACCTGTGGCTGCTTCCCTGTACTGAAACTCCCCGTTGTGTAACCCCACGCCATTGTGATAGTAGACCAGCTGCAATACGCCGTTTCCATCCACGGGCTGGATGCACCTTGCAAACCTGGCGACGTTGGTGATGTGTTCGTTCTTCTCGCGGATCGAGTCGCGACCCGTGCCGTCGCAGCAAATGAATAGCCGTTTCCTAGGCAGATTCATGGCGCTGTGTGGATGCACATTGTTTTTGGTGACACAGCGAAGAAGGCCGGTTAGATATATAGCATATGATTGACGATGGACTCCGCCACCAGGAGCCTGCCGCTTGCATCAGCTGTTGGAATCGTCTCGACATGACTATTACTAGAGTCTTGAGAGGTCAGGCTTTGTAGATATGCCCACAGGCAGCGTTGTCGCTTTCGAATACATATCAACATGTGGGACTGTAGCGGGAGATGATTTGCCTGTGCGCCGGTGTGTAGCCTGACACCCGCGTGGCAGATGACTTGCCCTGCTTCACACCTTGGCAGCTAGGGGCGCCTTGGGAGACAGCGACCGAGTTGGGTGCAGAACGTGAGCGGAACTACCGCCTGAGCTCTTCTCTGTCGCGTCGACAAATTCGAAATCACGAGATTGCTGCTCATCGTCGACACACCATGTATGAAGTTTGCCTGCTGCCTGCGTACCTGCGTTCGAGTGTCATTTGTCCCCACAAGCCGTACGTTGCGCACTAGTCCTAGAAAGGGAACGTCTCCATTAAAAGGAAGCGCTAATGTGATTCTACAATAGCGGTGCGCTAATCTTTCGTTGCGTTCCAACTAGTCCTCAGCCCACCATGACCACCTCAAATAGTCTGCGTTGTCAAGAAAATTTGTCTGACATGGTAGGAAATACATTGCGAACCTCTTACTGTTCTCGGAAGCATCAATTTCCCCTGTGGGGTTACGACATGCGCGAAGGATCATTGAGAAGGGGGCTGTTTCTTCTGCCCTAAAACCTGAAACGCAGTTCGCTTGTTGCCTTGACTGCTTTCTCGATGCCCAGATGTCGATTTCCTTTTCAGCCTCGCTCGTCATCTACGACGATGCCATTGCGCGATGGCCTACGTCTCAAATGCGACGCATGACGTGGATTCGAACCTGGCGGAGCCTCCCCAGCCTACTAGCGAACCCAAGCGATCAGGACCTTACGAGAAACTCTCCTTGCAGGATACGATTTATTCGAGAGTTCCGGTGCAAAGCGAACATTCTGGCGCATACTCTATAGACGGCCAATATCCGCATCGACCACCATGGATCCCATACACTCTTCGGTGGCCATTCCTCATATGCATGATCGCGATCTCACTTAGCCTCTGTGCAGTTACCGCTGCATTGACTGGTTACTCAAAGCACCGCTATGGCTTGGGTAACAATGACGGATCAAGTGGACTCCTTTTTGGCTGGAGATTCACCCCTACCATCGTCGCAGTCATCTACGCCCGCTTGATCAATATGATATTCAGCGACTTCCGCAGGACCGAACCCTTTGCTAGGATGGCACGAAGCCCTACCCCCGCTTCTAGCTCCGTTCTCCATGTCCCTAGAGTATGGTGGAAGATGTTGGCGGAAGCGTTCTCTCGCAAAAAGAACGATGGTACTATAAACTGGCCACTAGCAAACGTCACGATAGTCTATGTCATTGCAAGCTTGGCCATTAGTTCTATGTCCGCTAGCTTTCTGACGACAAGCGAAAATACAATTCTCCGAACCGTTCCGGTGCAGAAGAGAACACTTCGGACGAATACACCGCTGCAGCTCGAAGCTTCCCCAGACGTACTCCTCAGCACGACTGGTACTATCATATACAATCTATCGGTCGATCCTTGGTCAATCGGCGAGTACACGGTGCTGCCATTTTGGCCAGAAATGCTAGGGGATGGTGATCAAGATAGCACAGCAACTTGGGAGACGACAACTTCGGTCATTCGTACAAAGTACAACTGCAACACGATGAATACCACGATATCTTTCAATAACACGAAAAGATTCTCTGCAACAGGGCAGAGACAGCCTATTCTGTCTGACCAAGACACTACGATCTTGATCAACGGTACATCGAAAATGGACACCACAACCCTTCTCTCTGACAGTGGCTGCGACTTTCGGATCGACATGGCCCCTACAATGATGGCGAATAGGGTGAATAGTGCGGTGTGGGGGCGTGCTCAGGATCCACTGGACGAGATTGGGATGCCCTGGACAGAGTACATGAATGCGAAAAACACAACCCAAGCATATATCTATGTTCCTGGATTGTCAGAATATAATCTTTACACATATAGTGGCCCCGGCAGTCCATTCCTAAGATACAACCGCTCTGCAAATTGCGCTGATAAGGACATCATTCATCTATCCACCCAGCTGGTCAGTACCGGCGATGGGCGTGTAACAACTTTTCGCAGTAACTACTCGCAGAAGGCCTGGGAATGCCAGCTAGAGGTTACCACTGCGGACATCCCAGTCAAGTATTCACTTTCTTCAAAAACCGGCTCCCATGTTATATTTGATCGCGAAGAGTTCACGAAGAAGCAAGTTCCGGTCGATAAGACTATTCTGAATGAAGAGGAAGTACGGAGGCTTCTGCATCACTCTAACTGGCTATCCTATCTTAACCCTGCACATTACAAAACCGACCATTCTGCGCTTCTACTCTCCGCTGGGTACCAGTACGATTTCGGCTCGATGATTTCGGATGACCATATTCCGCAAAAGGCCCAAGCTATCATGGAGAGTTTCCTCGCTGCCTTGATACAATCGTCTGTAGTGCTTCCGGATGCTTCCGAACTGCAGACCGTTTTAGGAAACAGCGCGCTCGTGAGAACCCGCGTAGAGGTCTTCCAAGGGACGGGGATAGCGCTGTCCGTACTCTATGGTTTATGCGCTCTCATGCTTGCTGCACTTGCCTGGCAATGTGGCGCAACTCAACGATCGCTTAACCTAACGAGAAATCCATCTACTACAGAAGGCGTTACTGACCTCGTTGCCTCGGGACAATGGAATAGGGAGTCATGGAAGACACTCTTCATCGCATCTACAGACGAGGCAAACACGTTGCTTCGGAACCTCACATATAGGACTAATGAAAAGCTTCTAGAACACGACCAGAATTCGAGTTTAGAGAAATTCGATGCAAGTCATGCGTTGGAGACAAACAAATCGGTGCACGACTGGAAGCCGACAACACTGCGCATTCCTTCTCTCATCAGCCTCGCTTTCTACTTGATCTTGATCACAATAGCAATCTCGATACTCTATGATTACGCCACTGGGAATCGTCTCTACCAGAACGTCTTCGTAGATCAAGTAAAATTTGGAGAAATTGCAGGACATGTAGCCAGGTTCACACCTTTTTCCATTGTTCCGACCTTTCTGGCCGTGCTACTCGGGATGTGGTGGGACGGTATACAACAGAAGTTTTGCCAGCTACAGCCGTTCATCGCTATGACACAGCCTGAAGGCACGTCATGGAAAGACGGCCCAGGCATGCATTATAGTGCCACCAACTGGATCAAGAGTTCCTCTCGCGCAATTCTGAACAGACATTGGCTGTTGTTCTTCGTCATTGTTGGCAACGTCCTGTGCCAAATCTGTAAGCGACCAACTGTGTCGGTTAAACGTTCATTGCTGACCGCTCGTAGTCGTGATAACAGCTTCCGCATTGTTCGCACGCGAGACGGGCTATGTGTCAACGCATACGCGATTGAACACAACGACTGAACTTCGCCGTCTTCCTGTCATTGCGGACGCTCGCAATTCTTTTTCATCGACCAGCGATCCGCTTGCAGCTAAATCCTGGTCTCAAACCAACGAGACGAGCTTGCTCTCCTCTGCCGAATTGGAACGAGACATCGAAATCAATGCCGATTACAGCATTTATTGGGCAGAAGATTCTAGCTGGTTATATAGTGCCACCACCGAGATCGTCCAAGGAGCGGACGAGCCGGCGTGGAGCATGAACGGATGGGCCTTCACACCAGTCGAGTATTCTGGCGTAGCGAATAATGAGACCATGTCAATTATGACACAAGCTATAAGAGCCCGCGCAGATTGTAGCTCCACGTCTGGAAGCTATCAGATCTCTGACACAGAATCATGGCTTCTAACCTACGACCTTACCGACACAAACATTTGGAATACTTCTGCGAATCCGCAAGGCATTGAGAAGGGATATTGGATTGGAAACTACACATTATATGGCACGCCATGGAACGATGTTGCCGTCTGTGCGAGCGTTTCGGGCGCCGCAATGAGCGGTGCGATGTGGAACGACTACAGTGGCGACATGCCGGGTAGGTTTCCCTACCGCTTCTCCAATTGGCCAATCAATTTTACGGCGACCTGGATAGAGGGCGCTGCTCAGTCTGAATTCTTTCTACGCGATAATTTCACTCAAAACCTGACAACGTACGATGAGAGGCTCTATCCGGCAACCTGGTGTGGTGACACTCACCCGCGGCTCAATCTTTCCATCTTCATCGAAGCACCAAGATTTCAGTCAGTCAGTTGTCGACCAGTCATCGAAATCGCTAGCGCAAAAGCGACTGCTGCTCAGGATGGTAGTATCAGCGACTTTGAATTATTGGAAGACCCGCAACCTCTCCATGACCCGTGGAGAGATGTATTCATCAGTTATACGCATAACAGCAGCGATGCGGGCCAGTCGCCAGACCCTACTCAGTTACAGCATCGCAATGTCACATCGAGGTATGTCAATGCATTCTTCTCATGACGCACAAGACTCACGTCCCGCAGCTACGGTATCTACTTCCTCTCATCACTTCTCAAAGCACCCCAAATTGGTTACGAAATCTCGGATGATGAAACAAATGTTTGGGGCTTCGACATCATGTACCCAAACGCCACGTCAAATGGTGCTTCGTATTTCATTCGTGAAGGTGATTCCGGCAAGGACTTGATGTCCTATTGCATGTACTATCTCGCCGACAAGAACAGCACTGCACTGTTGACGAACACAACATTGTATTCTGAATTGGTGGACAAAACCATCCGAACATTCTTCGCGCACTTTGCTAGTGGGGATGCGAACTCGACGACGCGACGAGCGTACCAGCGGGCAGGAGACAAGATGCCTGATCTAGGCAAGAAGGTCGTACTTGACGCGAAGACAAAAACGCTGAAACAAGAAGACCCGGAAACATACCCGTTGTCAGACACGAACTCGACCGTGGATGCGCAACTGAACAAAAGGGTTCAGCTATTGAAGATGAATCCTGTCGCGACGTGGCTTTCATTCGGTATCCTGGTCTCCCTCCTGCTCATCACCATGGCTATAGCATTCCTGCACCGAAGATTTCTATCACCACTACATCGCAACATAGCGAGCATGGCTGACGTCATGCTTCTTGTTGCTGGGAGCGACCATCTTCTTGCGCTAGTGAAGGAACGTGGTGTAGAGGCGCTGCGGCAGGACGAACACTTGCGTGTGAGGCTGGGCTGGTTCAAGAGCGAGACTGGAAAGCTGCGGTGGGGTAGTGAGGTGCTGGACAGTGGCAATGTGAATGTGGGGAGTGGTCAAGGCTTAGGAGTGGTGTGGGAAGAAGGGAATGGATCGAGGACGCAGAGCAAATGGGAAAGGGTCAGGACAGGGCTAACCAAATCCAGCATTGGAAGGAAGAAGATGGGATAGGGAGGGTCCGGCACTTGCCCGACATATCGCCTTACGCCCGTAGCTCGCTAACACGACACAATACATATACTATGTATATCCATCCTGCCAGGGCTGTGCCCGTTCCATGTGGCACCCACCAAACAAGCGACACCAGGTGCCTGACGTATTGAGCGAGCGCCGCCGACAGGCTTTTGTTGGCTACGACAACCTGCCGCGCCTGACACAGAACTCCAACCTCTTGTCCGAACCTATCCCAATGACACGATGCGGACCGGTTCGAACGAGGCCCTGCCATTGGTCAAATGTCTCCCCATGGCTGCCGTTCACCACGAAGTGCGCTCGCGTGCAGCTGACTTCTGTCGTTCCCAGATGCAGCTTGCAGACGCTCGCGGCCGGGTGCACGTATGGTAGAGGCGGCGTTGGGGAAGGTCATGTGACTGCGCGGGATTTTGGCGTTTCGGCACCTCGGCGCCTCGGTAGGCCGATGTCTTATTCAATTATATTCTACCGTCTGCACTTCCTCTCTTTGCTCATGCTCATATACTACCCTTGAAGGGAGCAAGTTGTACACAGCTATGGAGTTGGGAACCTACGTGAGTGAGTTGCCGCATTCTTGCCTAAGACACTTTTCAGGCATTTTGTAGTTCTGCGCCCATCTTTTGAACGCGATCGTTGTCATACAAAGTGTACAAATCCGTACAATACGCCCACTCGTCCTCACGTATCGGATGCGTTCCGCAGTGATGGTCGGCTCGGAGATACCCAAAGACGCCGATGAAGGTGCTTTGAAACGTGAGAGGATATGAAGGCTCTTTCGAGCCGCGGTGAAGGTGCGAGTGAGAGACACGCAGGCAAAGGCGCAAGTGAGAGGTACGTGCAAACGGCCGAGCTAGCGCTGCCTGTCTTCACTTGACTGCTCCTCGCGATAGTTCTCTCTACTGCGACACTCGACTTTCTTGCAGCAGCAATGGACGACGACGGCGAGCAGCAACGTGACAAGACGCGACAAGACGGCGGAACGTCCAGCAACGGAGGCGGGCAGCAGGTGAGATTTGGTGGGTTTGGGAGATTGTATTCGGGACTACGTCCTGCACCTGCGAGCGGGCGGTTTTCTCCAGGATGGCTCGGATTGAGTGGCGCACGGCAGCATCCTCTGCCAGCCATTCCCAGCACACCACGATCTCCACACAGAGAGCGTGGGACAGGACTGTTTCCTATGCTCGGCTCACCCAGCAGAGGAGGCCACAGTCCTGCAGCATCGCCTGCTGTTGGTAAAACACCCGCGAGCCTGCGGAGAGCGACACCCCACCCTGCCGGCGGTGGCGTGTTCGGCCATATTGCCGCTGCCTCGAGCAAGCGGCCAAGGATGGACATGATGGGAGAGGCGGAGTTCGCGCAGTTGGAAACGGACTTGAGGGAGATACGCGACGGCAAAAAGCTGCGTGCCAACGTTCCTGGGTTCAAGGAGCGGATGCAAAGGATGCTCGAGAGCGCTGTTCGGGCTGATGATCATAGCCGGGAGCACTTGGCCACGATGGACAAGAGGGTGGAAGAGTGCAAAGAGAGAACGAAGCGGATTCAGAGCGAAGATGTGGAAAGGAAACAAAGCATCAATGCTCTTTGTGCGAGAGTAGACGCCCTAGTGGCCGAGACAACGGCTACCTGTGCGGAAGCAAATGCTTACTTACAGGAGCTTGACGGCGTTAAGCCGCCCGACTTGCTAAGGCAGCAAGAGCCGTTGCCGAGACCGTTGGGGACGAGTGCGGCACCGATTTCTGTCGGGGCTTCGACGGACGATGACGAGGTGGAGCGGTTGAGGTAACTTACTAAGAACAGAACGGTCGGATGTGGGATACCAGGCTCTGGGGTCGACTTTACTCTGGATACGGGGGTTGAGCGACAGCTGCCTGTGATTGCTGGGTGCAAGAACCTCAAGGTACCTCCGGAGGTTACAGAGGGGAGAACGTGAGTACATGGCACCTTAGCCATGGGTGTTTTGAGTCACACAGAAAGTGAGGTGATGGCTTGCACTATCACTACTTCTGGGGGTATATTGTTGAAAGACCCCGTGGCGGAATCGACAACACACAACAACCAGATGGTTGTGGAGACGAACCACCTCAAAACCTACCAGAACATGGTAAACCGTGGGATGGGGGAAGTCCAGCACGAGGTTGTTTCTTGTGTCCAATGCCAGGTCATTGGGCGCAATCGTAATGAGTGCTCTCTGAACGCGGCATCCAGGGAAGCATGCTGTGGCTGCTTGAAGCGGAAGATTCTGTGCAGCCCAATGCTTCACTTGTTGGAGAAACCCGGTACTTTCGGCCTGGTGTTTCTCCCAGTGCCGCTCAGGTTTCGCCCCGAAAAGATTATCGCAGAATATGGTTACTGGTATCGTGAAAACGACGACGTCGACCTTCCTGCGCCACCCCCGAAGAAGCACGTGTCTCGGGGCAGCACGATCGACCTTACTACCACCTCCCCTCGTAAGGGCAGGTCACGTAAGGGCTCATCGGAAGACTACAGTGAGGAAGCGAAGCCTGGTAGTCGGGCTTTGTAGGACTGTAATCGGTTGACCCGCTTCTGTATCGTGCTATCCGGGCTTTCTCCCGGGGCACGAAGCTACAAAAGCGGGGTATTGGACACGGAACATAGGTAGACGAACTGGCACTCCCAGGCTAATACAATGATTGTCCGTCGTTCAACCTAATTGCTTACTTAAGTGATCTTTTATGCCATGCATTATCAACCCAGATGTGGAATATGTTACAATTCAAATACGGAACTACAAGAACCCGCCATCAACATAAAAAGCTCTTATATAACCTGCCTGGCCATTCCCCAAGTTGTGCCGATTTGTGGTAGGGCGATACGTCAGCCGTCCTTAAACCTGTGACTGCCCAGATTGATTCTCATGAAGCTCTGTACTGTTCGCAAGCCAGAACTGTCGATAATCTTCGTCGGAAACTATCTGCTGAGGCACACAAAGATGCTTGGGCACGTCATGCGCGCGTGAGGCGGTTTCTTCGAATATCGGCTCCCACAGGTCGATCTTGGTCTCCGCGTGCTCCCATGTACCCTGCCCATTCGACAATTGCAAGACACAAGCTTTGGTTTTCGAAGACTTCGTCGCCTCCCTAAGGGCGACAAGAAGGGAGAACATGCGGCGCAAGTGCTCGATCTCTACCTCGGTGGGCATCAATTCGTTGTTGTGAGGCGAAACTTTAAGACAGCGCTTCGTCCACTCCTCGAGTGTCACCCGGTAAGTCTTGGGCATCCGCGAAAAGAAAACTTTGCACCAGAGGCGGTGGCCTGCCTTGCGGTGCTTTTGGTGCACGATCTTGTTTCTGAGTCGCGCAGCTCTTTTTGGTGGAAGGTGCGGGTAGTTTTCGATTCCCTTCGCATCTTGCACGTTCTGTACAAGCAGCAGATCGGAAATCGATACATGCTCTCCGACTTGTTGAACTTGGATAGGCGATTCGGAATTGCTCTTTTCTCCAGTTGCGGTTTTACCGTGCAGATTCGGCGCGAAGCGAGTATCTCGAGGGATGGCGTCCTCATGTGACCATGCATCTGGGGTAAAATGGACGACACATTTAAAAGGTCCCAGTTCGTATTCGACACTATACACGGACCTTGCGCTAGCAGGAATGTTGTGATCAGATGTAGTAGCAGCTGGCATGAACTCGCGCAATGAGGCCTTGGCGTGTTGCTCGTGCTCGACGTCAGGCGACGGTCTTCTTCGGATGAACAACGTGTTCGACACTGTGTGAAGTGTGAACATTGCTGGAATTTTCCCGTGTGCATGCCGTCTAGGATCATACTGGTCTTTCGATTCTAGGGGGAATATACTGTAAAGGCTTGCTAAGACTTCCCAATCGCAGTCGATGTGCACGCGAGAATAGTCGTAGGTTGGACAAAGACAACGGAGCGCAGCAAAATAGTAGGCGAGCTCAACTTCTCGAAGTTCCAGGTCATCAACAGGCTGACTATCTTCGTTACGAAAGTGCACATCGGGTGCATCCCACATGGGAGGTGAACCTGCCAATATAGTAAGTCATCTGCAGAAGACACAGCATATCACAAAGTTCATTATAACTCGGTAGGACAGAGAAGTCGGCAGACGTAGAACTTACCTGGAACGTATATAGTCTTCCTTTTAAGATCCGCATTGAACGAGGAAACATAGCTGGGGTTACTCTGCCAGTCGAACTCGCCATCTAGAGGTTGAAATTCCGTGGTAGAGAATGATTTCAAATGTGTACCGAAGCCTGGCGAGGATATCGGCTCCCGATTAGCCCTTTCCCAATGCTCTATTTCCTCTCCTTTTCCATCACCATTTGAAATTCCGACAGTATTATCGACATTTTGCGGTGACCATGGCGAATTCTCCTTACTTGTGGTAATTAAACGCTTCTGCAGGTACAGTTGACGTTGCGCGACTTTCTGACACGGTAGGAAACTAGCATTACTCCACGCCCGAAGGCTGGGTGCTCTGAGCAGTTGCGGCCAGGAAAGCATACGTTGCTGATGCTTTCAAGATAGACTGAGATGGGTCAAGGGCGGCGTGGGCCTCATTGTTCGATGCAAGCTAAGTTTTTAGCGCCTTGGTATGACCTTCTTACGGTTAGCTTGTTGTGGTCCTAAGGCAGCATCGCCGCCGATCTGGTACATTGTTAGACCTCTATCTTGAGAGATAGCCTGCTCGCTGAACGGCGCGACGTCGAGAAACTTCTTCGCGTGTTTTCTCAACGACACGCTGGCGTCGAAGCTATCTACTCTTTCCTGTCGAAGTCTACAGCCTCCAGTGGGGTGTCGCAATACGCGTGATGCTCCCAACATCCCGTGTACCTACCGATGACTTGACGGACAGAAACATGCTCACCGTGGTATATTATTAAGAGCGGACTTGCTAGCAACGTTGAGCCTCAGGGTGACACCGTGGATGTTTTTGTCAAGTTACTGGGTTGGGAGAGGTATGAGTAAACTTCTGTCAGGTCTATATTCGCAGCGTGAGCTGATGCTATCTACTTTCAATCAGATGAACCGCAACATCCTAGAAGCTTTCGGCGATACAATACAGAAACTAGATGATCTACACCCAGCCCAGGCGCTTGCCCAGGATACTTGATCCGCCCAATAGCGCCGTAACCCCCGTGAAAACAATCAAGGTACCATACCCACTGCCGTACGCAAAGCCTACATTATCCTTCCACGGTAGCCCTCTAATCAACACCTCACTCAGTGGCCCACTTACCACGTTCCCAATGCCCCTCCCCGCGGCCAAACAAGCAAACACAATGCTTGGATCAGCGGTCTCGCGCTTCTTTGTCACGTCGCGCATGATGCCCGGCCACGCGCTAGTGAAGCTACTCGCGAAGAAGCCGTAGATGAGGCAGAAGACGTAGAGGGGTGCAAGGGACATGGAGAAGCCCCAGACAACGAAGACGGAGAGGGTCGTTCCGATGGTAGAGATGAGGATGCAGGTTGTGACGTGCCATTGATCGACGATGGAGCCCATGGCCACGCAGCCAAAGACCGAGGCGACGTTGAAGAGGATGACGGTCAGCGCGCTAAGAGTGCCGGAGGCGCCGATGCTGCGCGCATATGTGGGTAGGTAGATCGAGGGGAGGAAGAAACCAAGGGCCTCGATCGTGTTGCACGCCTGATGGATGGTGAAGGTTGATGTTTTGAGGAAGGTGAAGTCGATCTTGCGCGCTTGTTGTTTTGGCGCAATGGGAACGCGTGGCTTGACGAAGTACAACAGTGGCGCGGTGAGCACGAATAGGCAGATTGCCCATACGCGCAGTGTGGTGCGGAAACCGTAATCGCGCAGCATCCATTCCATGACGAGGGGAAGAATGACGCCTGCAAGGCCGGTGCCGGCCCACATGATGCCGTATGCGAGACCTTTGCGTTTATTAAACCACTCGTCCATGTACAATATGCATGGAGAGTAGGTAAAGCTACCGCCGATGGCGTAGATGATGCCTTGCGAAACGATGAGCTCCGAAGTCTTGTTCGACAGCGAACTCAGTGCTAAAGCCAGACACATGACGACCAGGCCGCCCGATGTCGCCCAGCGCTGGTAACTCGGCCACATCTTGAGCAGTGAGAACACCAAGACCAGGTCCAGATACATGATTCCCTGAATTTTAGTCAGCACATCCATGCACGGTTGGCTCGACTGTTTGGACACTGCGTTTCCGCTTCAGGGCAACACAATATACTGGATCCGTAGACACGAAAATGTAAGGCTAGCTAACTCACCATAGCACAAGTACCGATGACGGCAACGTTCCCGCTCCCCGCGAATGGTTCATGAGTCGTATAGTAGTCCTGGAAAACGCCAAATGAGAATGGAAAGCCTGCAGGGTGTTAGCGAACTCCGCCTCGCCACCGCATATCGCATGCACCATGCTGCATGCAGCTGCAGCACGCATGGAGACGTCACAGAGCGTACTCACCCCAGACAAGGGCCTCAATCACGAAGGACGCAGCGAGAAAGAGCCATGCATCTTTTCCGCCATCCACAGGCGGCAGCTGCTGCGGACAATGCTCGCCGCGGTCTTCGAGCTCAAACTCGGACGATGCCGGACTTGTGTCGGGCATGGCTGTGTTGAGTGTCGTGTACGCAGCATGCAGATGCAGATGCACAAGGAAGATGGCAAGCACACAGAACCAAATTGAGGGTGTTCTCGTCGCATACACCCATTCGGGTGGTGAGGAGCAGCGTCTTATGAACTGGGGTGCTAGCCCCCGCGCTAGTCCCACGGAGCGATAGTGCATCATCCCCGCGAGCTCGCAGTCATGGCCGTCGGGAAACTGCGCGGTTCGCGAGATCAACGCACCGGGTTCCTGTGAAAGGCATGTAAACGCGTTCAGCCCCGAAGATCAAGCAAATGGCGGTCTCCTGCACCACAAAATCGATCCTTCGAACATCTTGGAAAGAAGACGGCCAGTTACTCAGCCAGCACTTGTCTGCAATTGCCTTAGTAGCATGCGGACCGACGGACCGCTCGCTAGGGAACGCGCCTGCGGACCGAAGCGACGATGGATCGCACGCTTCGGTTCCACTCTGTCCGCACGACTCCAACCGTGTATCGCGCAATCATATCGACTATAATGGCAAGATGGCAGTTGCTATGGCTAGGGAAAGTCAGCCATGGCGCCAGGACTCGTTTCACCGCAGCGCTCGTTCGAGCATGATACCGCCTCCGTTCCCGCAAGACTCGATGCCTCGAGACTGTCCATCACTAAGACGTTACATCCATCGACCCTACCCCCAGCTGAGGACTTGACGTTTGGCAGTCATACCACAGGTAAGTATTGATTCTGCGCCGAACACTCTGAACGAGTGGGTCAGACGATGCTCATGATTCGCGCAGACCACATCCTCCAAGTCCGTTGGACCGCGGGAAGTGGCTGGCAAACGCCCCAGATCGCGCCATATCAGCAGATAGAGCTCGATCCTGCAGCCGCTGTTCTCCACTATGGATTCGAGTGCTTCGAAGGCATGAAAGCATACAAGGATGCTTGGGGCAACGCCAGACTTTTCAGACCCGAGATCAATCTTGACCGCCTCAATCGGTCGGCTGCTCGAATTGCGCTGCCGACTTTCGATGCCAGCGAGTTACTCAAGCTCATCGTTCGCTTTGTAAAGCTCGAGGAACGTTTCATATACGGGTAAGCAGCTGAGCAGGCCAGTCTGCGTCCGAAATCGGCAGGAAAATCTGACGGTGCTGTCGCAGAAAACCGGGGTACTCGCTTTACCTCCGCCCCGTCATCATTGCGACCAATTCCAATCTAGGTGTCACTGCCCCCACAGCCGCCCTCTTGTACTGCATTGCGTGTCCTGTCGGTCCCTATTTCTCCGCAGGATTCAAAGCCATCAATTTAGAAGCGACAAGCAGCGCCGTGGCGACTAGAGCCTGGCCTGGAGGTGCAGGGAATCACAAAATAGGTGGCAACTATGCGCCGTGTACGTTTCTCCGCGGTCTAGTCCTGGCCCTTGAGGCGCCTCGAACTACACAAATCGAGTCGCATTCCGCATTTCATGACGTATGCTAACCTGTGTTCTCTTTCATCCAGGTATCGCTCCGGAGAAAGCTGCCAAAGCGCGAGGGTTCCAACAGCTTCTTTGGCTATCCGGTGCCGACGACCGTATCACAGAGGCCGGTACCATGAACCTCTTCATAGTGCTGCGGTCCGAGCAGGAAGAACAGTTCGAATTGATTACACCGCCTTTGGATGGAATGATTCTTCCTGGCGTGACGCGGGACTGTGTTTTGAGTCTGGCCAGGGAGAGGCTCCGGCCTTCGGGATGGATCATTAGTGAGCGCCAGATCTGCATGTCAGAAATTATACAGGCAGCAGGGGCGGGGAAGCTGGTCGAAGTCTTCGGAACAGGAACAGCGGCTGTCGTCAGCCCTATCCGCTCGATCCAATATGGGGACACCCTAGTGCAGTGCGGGCTGGCCCGTCATCAACGCGCGGGAGCGATAACGGCGTTGTTCAAAGAGTGGATCGAGGCGAGGCAATACGCTGTGGAAGAACACCCGTGGAGCGTTCCGGTCAGCCAGATCAGCTAGTAGTGGCAAGCAGGACAGAGGGTATAGTGCTCAGTCCCCGAGCAGAATCGTGAAGCCTGCAACATAGGACGAGCTAAAAGATAATTATTATGTGCAAACCTTGCCTTCTTCCAGCTCGGAAAAGTGCCACGTTTGATGAATAATAATCTCCGCAACTAGCGAGCCGACTCGTTGAGGCTTACTCCTCAGCATGCTGATTGTGGGGGCCTGCGATGAGTTCCGAAAGGGTGTCGCCTGCATGGCCGGACTTTTTGTAAGTGGATTGTTGCCTTCCCCATGGGGAATAGTGCTGCTCGTTCAGACTAAGGAACCACTCTGATTGGCTCGCCCCTAGCAATGCAAATGCCGTATCCCTAGTCACCTCGTACGCGTCGCACGCAAAGACCTCACGGTCCAATCGTGCGGCTTGTTGATGTCATTTCTCACGCTTTGTCCAGTTCAGCTGTGGATGAGCGTGCAGGTGCTCGGTGCTCTCCTCGTCGCCACATTGTACCTAGTCCGCCACAAAGAGAACGCGGGATGCCCTTGGCTCTGGAACACCAAGTCGCCATTACGTTCACCAAAACCTTCCACCATGGATACGAGCGGATATCGTAAAATCACACGCCGCAAGGGTGCATGTGTAAATTGTCGGCAGAGGAAAGTACGATGTAAGGGGGCGGCACAGTTGACTGTTTGGTGACGTGATTGCTGATAGTTGCAGGTGACGGAGCAGCAACTTGCTCGCAGTGCCTTGTGAGCTTTCTTGTGGCGTGTTGCATGCGTTTTGGGAGCGACTGACAGTAAATTGGGTAGAAGCTGAATTTGCAATGTGGTTATAGCAACAATACGAGCAGCCGGAATGAAAAGCCTCGTCGGAATACGCTTGAAATAAGGACTGACGGGGGTCAAGAGCGGCAGACCAATGTGGACGGCGGCCTCCCACAAAACATCGATGGCTTCACAATCAGTCCTAGTCAGGGTGCCAACGGGGCGGATTTGGGTTCTTACTTTTTAGACTCAACGCTGTAAGCCCTTCCACTCTCAAGCTCATGTACCCTTATCTAACGCAGATAACAACATTAGCACGGGCCTATCATTCCCCACTCCAGCTATCGAGGGTATCAATCCACAGCTTTTGACACCAGACGTTAGCGACGGTATATCTCCCTGGGCAAGCGGTGCCGTGTCATGCGACGAAGATCATCCGTTAGATCATAGCATAGAATTAGGTGATGATCCTCACCAGAGCAGAGTCTGGCCGGAAGAGCTGTATAGTGCGTGGTAGACCGGCCCTGTCGTTGCTTTGCTGACCTTCATGAGAGGACTTTTCGTCATTCGCAGTCGTTCGTTTTATCAGTCAGTCGGCAAGCGACTTACATGATCGGGATGAAGATCTTCAACGACGCATATGGAACAAGGTGCGTGGCTCCACGAGAGTGGATGATCCACACAAGATATGCACGCATGCGGCGCTGCCATCATATGCACAGCCAGAAATCTTGCAGTTCATCGATCGTAAGATTGCCCTAAGCATCTACCAGATCCGCAGGCTGCTGACATCAGCTTGTAGTATTCTTCCAGGAACACTACAGGTGAGCGCGTATGCGACAGGTGTGAGAGGGTCTGTGTTGACACTTGCAGCTACCCCATCTTCGTTAGCAGACAGCTCATCGTGGAGGTCTTGATGGAAGCCATGAGGTCGACGAGCCATATTGATACGAGCGCATTGATTCTTTTAAACTCGGTACTTGCGATCGGCTGTCGAAATACTCTGCGCAAACAAAGGATGAACTCTGAAAAGACGTCGCCAGTGTCCCCCATACGTCCGCTACAATACTTTCAGTGCGCATTAGATCGCCGGACAGAGCTCTCAAATGGACCACCGACTGTTTTGAAGCTACAGGTACGACCTTGCGTCCGCATCCCGAGACCTTTATACTAATGTCTTCGTGCAGGCTCTCGTTTCCATGGTAAGTGCCCCAAAACAGACATTCTGGAGCGAGCTTAATTGCCATAGATTCTCTTCGTGCATCGCGGCCACGATGCAGCTTTGACACGATCTTTGCTGTCTCAGGCAATTAGCATGATCTCAGATCTCAGCTTGACTACACCACCAGCAAGGGAGATAACAGGCACTGTCACCAACCCCGAAGAGCTTGAGCGTCTGTTCTGGCTCCTTTATTCCATCGAGAAACCGCATGCGCTGAGGTTTGGGGCCCATTCCGTAAGTACTATTTGCCGTGACCCGACCGGTTATATAGACTGAGATTCGACGCAGGTGGTCGACGATGACCTGCTCGTGTATCACGCTCCATCCAAAAAGCGATCCGGTCTCTTCACTCAAGGCATAACAGATTATTCAGGCTGGGAAATTGTGAACTACCGCTATGCGCGTTTATGCTCGGTAATCGTCAAGACGTTGTATAGCCACATGTCCCTACGAATGACAGCAGCGGACGTGTCAATGGCAATCGAGAAACTATCCGGCATGCTTGAGTCTTGGAGGTTGTCAATACCAGCCGCATATCGGCCGGACCGAGATCTAGACGGACCAGAATGTCACGAGCATGCTGGAGATGCTATGATCAGGTCGGACATATCCCTCAGATACGCAGAAGTATCTTTCGCCATTCATCGATGGGTTCTTGCCACGACCAATTGCCCTCCAGAAGTGGTCAAGGTTCGAGCGTCGAGCAAGATCCAGTGCGTGTTGATTGCAAAAAGAGTCCTCGGAGCAGCACATTCATGTCGCACAGATTCCGGCACAGACTGGTGAGTTATTGCGACTAGTCTATTAGCTCCGATCCGACAAGGCGATCTGCTGCCGATCGCTGTCCTGACTGACTGTGATAGGCCTGTCGTCATGCTACCGGCCTTATCCGCCATAGTCCTGTACGTTTTGATGAAAAGGGGGGATGAAGGAGAAGACTGTCTGCCCTACCTTGGCATAGCATCAGGCTTCTTCGGCAAGTTGCGTGTGAAAGCCGAAATTGATGCGGACCTGTTTGCGGAGCTGAGCGAGCTGTTCTTATCAGCACATCCGAAGACGCTGGGCCAACATCAAACACCGCCAGAATCCATGAGTGACTCTGTGGAAGGCGACTCGTTTAGATTGCAATTGGAGCACAAGGGAATATGTGAGACAGCAACAGGCGAGCTTGGATGCTTTGATTTTCCACAGGATATTTCCGAGAGTATATTCGACATTTCCACTTTAGACGACATGATGATGCCAACGTAGACGAACGAAAAAAGATTGTGTATAACAGCGACCAATTCAATTCACACGTTGCTCGGGGCGAAGCGATATATCAATCTTTGCGAATGAGACAAATCTACCAAACGAGTGCTTCTGGTCCACGATGATCCGCGGAAGGGCTGCTTTGGCTCAGCGGTAATGGACGTCGTCGCGCGGCTGCCCGCAGACGAACGCCTTCTTCGTACCACGGTGATAATTGACGTCTGAGATCCTCGAAAAGTTTAATCTGCGTTTCAAATGCGAGACTCGCCTCGATCTCGCCAATACCACTGAGCAACTCTTGCTTGCGACGCTCCGGAATCTCGAAATGACCAATTCTAACGCCGCTCTCTGTTCGTATAGCTTGTTCGCGGAGGCTGATTCTGATAACGTGTCCCGCATTTGATTCAGTGGCAATGCGCTCTACGACATCCGCCTTGACCTGGGCCAGTAGCAGACCGTTCTTGAAAGCATTGTTATAGAATATGTCTGCGAAGCTCGGAGCGATCACGCAACGAAAACCGAAATCTTGCAACGACCACACGGCATGTTCCCGAGAGCTGCCACATCCGAAGTTGGGGCCTGTCGCCATAAGGATTGATGCATTGCGAGATTCAGGGCGGTTCAACACGAAATCCGGTTTAACGCTTCCGTCCGGATTGTATCGGAAATTGAAGAATAAGGCGTGGCCTAGGCCAGTGCGCGTTATCGTTGTGCAATACTGCTTCGGAAAGATATCGTCCGTGTTTATGTTTGCTCGCTCGATAGTGGCTACAGTTCCCTGGATGTCGTCTTCGAAGCGCAAATCAGTAGCGTGCTTTGCTGTATGCTCCGAGTGTTCAGAACTGGATAATGCGGAGCTTCGTCTCCCGGCGCCCTGACCATAGTACACGGAATAAGCCTGGTTCAGGCTGTCATGGTGTTCTTTGACGTGTTTTTTAACGGCCGACCACACGCGCTTTACTTTACTTGGAGAACCAGAATGTTCTGACGATGAGGATATAAGAGAAGATTGAGAGGAATGGTCTTCGTCCGACAGTGTTTCACTATCACTTGAGTACACAGCTTCAACGTCAACACTGACGTGCTGCAAGCGCGACGTAGGATGGGCGGGTTCCACAACCTGCGATGGTGCAGCCAAGGTGCCTTTAATCGCCGTGGCAGCAGCGACTACCGGCGAAACCAGATGTGTTCTACCGGCTGTACCTTGGCGACTTTCGAAATTGCGATTGCTTGTACTGGCACATCGCTCTGTCGGTGCAAGAGAGTCCTCGTTCAAGCCCACACAGAGACTACATCCAGCCTCTCTCCATTGGAAACCAGCTCGTTTGAAGATGACATCGATCCCTTCGTCCTCAGCAGCACGCTTTACTAGGCCTGATCCTGGAACGGCTAGGGCTAACTTGACGTTGCGTGCGATAGTCTGTCCTTTCAGAATCTGAGCAGCCGCGCGAAAATCTTCTATGCGGGCGTTCGTACAAGAGCCGATAAAGACCTTGTCCACATGCACATCTTCGATGCGGGTTCCAGGAATGAGGCCCATATAAGCCAAAGCCTGACGACAACTCTCTTTCTTGACTGAGTCCGTGAACTCGTTGGGAGCGGGCACAACACCATTAATCGGTACGACCTGCTCAGGCGATGTACCCCAAGTGACTGTTGGCAAGACAGCGTCGGCATTGACGTGCACGAGTTTGTCGAACGCAGCGCCCGGGTCAGTCCGGAGCGTCTTCCAATAGGTTTCCGCGGTGGCCCAGGTTTTGTTCGGTGCCATCTCCCGCCCTTTGATGTAAGCGAAAGTTTTCTCGTCCGGAGCAATGAGGCCCGCCCTTGCACCGGCCTCGATGGACATGTTGCAGAGTGACATGCGGCTCTCCATGCTAAGAGTCTCGATGACTGGCCCGCTGAACTCGATCACCGAGCCGGTTCCACCGGCAGTCCCTGTTTCGCGTCAGTCCAGGTCCGGGGTTCTTGAGCTACGATATTAGGAGTATAACTCACCGATGGTGCCAATAATGTGTAGCATGAGATCCTTGGATGTCACTCCAGAGGCAAGATGGCCATGAACTACAACGCTCATGTTACGGCTCTTAGTAGCCACAAGCGTCTGGGTAGTTAATACATGCTCCACCTCGCTGGTACCGATGCCATGGGCGAGGGCTCCAAAAGCTCCGTGGGTGCTGGTGTGGCTATCTCCGCAAACGATGGTCGTCCCGGGTAGGGTGAAGCCAAGCTCTGGCCCGATGACATGAACGATACCCTGCCTCTTCGACCGTAGCCCGAAGTAGGGAATGCGATGGCGCTTGACATTTTGCTCCAGCTTCTGGACTTGGATACGGGAGTCTTCGCGTGTGAGATATGTTGACGTCTTCACGTTCTGTGGCCGTTCTGATGTAGGAACATTGTGATCGGATGTGGCGAGTATTAGCTCAGGGCAGCGTACGGAGCGACCGTGGTTGTCGAGCCCTTCAAAAGCCTGGGGTGAAGTGACTTCATGGATGAGATGTCGGTCGATATAGAGTAACACGGTACCATCGTCGCGCTCAGCGACGACATGAGCATCGAAGATCTTCTCGTAGAGCGTCCGAGGGCGAGTAATCGAGTCCATGGCTTTTTGCGACTGCGTATCCAGCATGTCCGCACAGGACAGCAACTATGTGGTCTTCATACTGCTGTTTCGGTTTTCTGCTCGGTGCGGTCCACGGTTGTGGACCACGACACACATGCCGGTCCGACGTAGGACGCAGCTCAGGGTTGGGCTTGCCGATCAGCGCTCCGAGCCGAACCCGCGGACCAGCTCGCTCCTGTCACCGCATCTGATCAATTACTGTCTGCCGAACGCGAAGTCACAGAGGGCATTACCGGCAGATTTGACTTGCTGTTTGTGTGTGCTGCGAGCTGTGTGATGGAATTACGAGGTCAGTGGATAAAATGAGCGATGGCTTCGTCCATGGAAATGCCACAATCTCGAGTACGCCAAATTTGTTTGCGATGTGCATAACAGAGATCGTAAGTACAATGATCGCATTCTGGTCGTGAACCACTCATTCCCGACGGGTTAACTTCGCGTCTGCTATTTGATAGACGGAAACAACCACCGGAGTTCGTCAGATGTAATATCCAGTAGCCCCAAACGTGAGAAACGTGCAAATCAGTGAAGCAGGTATGATAGCGTCTGCATGAGGATGTGACAGAAAGAGTGCGTTGCGAGGGACATGAGATGCATTGGAGTGGAACTCTATTTCCAAGACAAGCCATGCTATTTTAGGTAAGTGCCGAGGTTAGCCCTCACACCTCTCTCTATCTGCCAGTTTTCACAAACTCCCTTACACCACCGATCATCATTCATGCCGCCGCCGCAACCTGTTCCAGCTGCTCTGGCTCTGGGTAGTGGACAGCGTTCCTCATCGCCTGGTATTCCAGCGCAGTCAGATCCTCGTACATGGGCTTCTCTCCTGTGACAAATTCCTTCAGTGGGCCAACGTTAACGTGTCGGTCTGCCTTTACAAAATACACCAGACTCCACCTTTCCGGAACCATATCAGCATTCTCATCCATGTTATGAGGCTTGGTCACGCGGTGCAGACCAGCGCGCACGCTGCCGTTCGTCCATCGCTGGATTGTCTCTGACGCAATGACTACGACCTCATCGTCTCCATTGTAGGGCATCGGAATGAAGGCGCCGGGGTTTTCGCGATCCTCGTATTCCAACCCGCCAGTGCGATCGGGGAATACGAGCGAGATAATACCGAAGTCGTTGTGTGGCCAGATGCGACTGACCTGGCCCGTCTCGAGCGTCTCGCGCTTCACGGGCGGGAAGTGGTTGATGCGGATGGTGGTAGCCTCATGCGTGCATTTGGACGAGAAGAGCTTGGACTCGTGACCCATGGCCGAAGCCAGCACCTCTAAGAGATCGCTGCATAGGTCACCACAGTCGAAGAAGAACTGGTCCATGGTCTTCTGGTAGCCCTCCAGAGCCTCCTGCGTGGGCCATCGGTTGGGGAACTGTTTGTCATCTGGGTGCCCACAATCGAATGATTCCTGGTGGTGTCAAAGTGGCTCGTCACTGCCATGGAACGAAGATGTATACCTTGTTGTCGCTGAACTTAGGCGACTCTACGTCGCCAGTGTTGCTCTCCAACCACCACGTTTTCTCTTCACCAGGGGGGCTCCAACCACGCTGTTGACCCTTCTTGGGGTCGTTGATGATATCCTTTTTGTCGGCAAAAGGAAGCTTGAAGAAGCTCTTGATCTGTTGCTTCATCAGAAATGGCTCAGATGAGAGCGAAATTTGACTAACCTTGCTGAAGGTATCTTCGACCACCGGCAGAGGCACGCTGTGGTTGACCAATTTGCAGAAGCCAAACTCGGTCAACGACTCAAGGAACTTTGCACTGAATTCCGCACGTTCCTGTGCTGTGCCATTGGACAGGCAAGCAGCATCAAGGACAGGGATGGTCTTGACCATTGTTGAAGGTGGGTGTAGTAGAATTGAGAATCGTTGGAGAATCTGTTTATGAGCTGATGATCAAGTCGACGCTCTGTGATGCCGATACCAACAGCGCGCAGCTGGCCAATTTGAATTGATCATGGATTCCCAAAAATCCATCGCGAAACGGTGTGGAGTTGCAGAACGTCGGTCCGTCGGTGTTGCAACGATCGTTGCCGTATATGGCCCGGACCGAAGCCAAGTCGGCACCATCGCCGGTCCGATCGTACCTTACAGCCGACTGTGGCTCGGCTTGTGGCTCGGTGCAATGCATGGCAAGGATCATCACACCATGAAACTGTTCTTCTAGATATGTAAGTCGCTGGTGGTTCGATGCCCAGACCCCATCTCGAGAGCACGGATAACGCTCAATAACTTCATCATGCCGATGTGAGTAGTTCTCCGTCCCAAGTCACACCTGATCTCCTTCGCCAGGAACAGCGTGCACTAATAAATATAGGCTACACACCTCCTCAGAGAAATACGAGTCCTTCTCACCACCCACTCTCAACGACCGCACATGGCCGTCCAAAAAGATCACAGATGCTCCACGCTGGTTGGCGACAGATCTTCGAGATGGCAACCAAAGTCTTGCTCATCCCATGACGGTCGAGCAGAAATGGACTTACTTCAACCTGCTTGTCAAAATGGGCTTCAAGGAGATCGACGTTGCTTTCCCTGGAGCCTCAGATACCGAGTTCAACTTCACCCGCCGATTGGTCGAGACCCCCAATGCTGTCCCCGACGACGTGTGGCTACAGGTGCTATCACCTTGTCGAAGGGAATTCATCAAGCGAACTGTTGAAAGTGTAACTGGAGCCAAGCAGGCAACCATCAGTCTTTACATTGCATCAAGCGATTCCTTTCTGGACACCATTTTCGGTCTCACGCAAGAAGACATTCTCAACATGGCAGTCGACTGCGTCAAGTACACACGAGAGATTACAAAAGATGACCCCACGCGACAAGACACGACCTGGAACTTGATGTTTAGTCCCGAAGCATTTTCCGATACCGATCCATCGTATGCTATCTCGCTCTGCGACGCGGTCCGTCAAGCGTGGAACCCAACATCAGAAGTACCAATAATCCTGAATCTCCCTGCCACAGTTGAAATGAGCACCCCAAATACCTTCGCAGACCAAGTCGAAATCTTCTGCCGTGCCTTCCCACAAGACTCCGTCATCGTATCTCTCCACCCCCACAACGACCGTGGATGCGCCGTCGCAGCCGCCGAACTCGGACAGCTCGCCGGCGCACGGCGCGTTGAAGGCTGCCTTTTCGGCAACGGCGAGCGCACAGGAAACGTCGATCTCGTCACCCTTGCTTTGAATCTATATACGCAAGGCGTAGACCCTAAACTCGACTTCTCAGACCTCCCAGCCATCAGGAAGACCGTCGAAGAACTCACACGGATACCTGTCCACACGCGTGCCCCCTACGCAGGCGACTCCGTCTTCCTCGCCTACAGCGGCTCCCACCAAGACGCCATCAACAAAGGCTTCAAGCGATGGGAGCATCCGGCCTCCACAGGCACGAAAAACATCTGGAAAGTCCCCTACCTGCCGCTCGACCCGCACGACATTGGAGCCACGTACGAATCCGTTATCCGCGTAAACTCACAAAGCGGCAAAGGCGGCGTTGCATGGACGCTGGAGCGCAGCGCGAATCTTAGGCTGCCAAGAAGCCTACAGCAAGAGTTTTCCAGCATAGTGAAAGCGGTTTCCGATAGGGTGCAGCGGGTATTGAGACCGGAGGAGCTGCAGGAGTTGTTCTTGAGGAATTATCGTGTGCTTGAGAGGGAGGGCAAGGTGCTTGAGCATAGCGCGGCTGAGCTCGGAGGGGGGAGGTTCGAGGTCCGCGCTACGATACTCATCAATGGGCTCGCGCGTGAGATCAAAGCGAAAGGACCCTCTATCTCTGCTGCTTTGTCGGCTGCGCTGGCTGTTGGCACTGGTCTACAGATCTCATTCGACGTGTATCAACGTAAGTGGACGGAGAACGGCAAAGAGCAGGATATGGTGCTTGCTATGTGCGATTTGAAGCGCGGAAAGTCAACATCGTGGGGAGTGAAGCTTGGTTCGACCCTTGAGGCTGAGTTGCTTGCTTGCCTTTCTGCTGTACTGGTGAGTACCATTCAAACCTGTTGCTATCGATGTACTGATCGTAACCTAGGGACTGGAGAACTTGTTGCAGAGCCTGAGGTTACTCCCGCTCTTCCACGGCGCGAAGAGCGAGAACACTGACACAAGCGGTTTTTTTCGCAAAGCCGTTTCAGTAGGCCCATGTTATACCTTCGGATGATACTTCTTACGACATAATAATGCTTTTTTCTACTCATGTATTTGTGAACAGATTATTTGTCTTTTGATTGAAAACTCTTCAAGTCTTTTAACAGATTTTGGCCTTCCTGCATTCCATCTGCGTTGAGTGTGTACTTGGTACCACTGAAGCAAGGCACAAGTGACCCAGCCATCTCCTGCTCAATCTTGAACTTGAATCTCCATCCCGTACAGTGTCCAGGCATGAGAATCTGGGGTGTCAGTGCTTTCAGGCCGTTGATCGAGCTTTCGAGTTTGGCTGCGTCCCCATCGGCGAGATGGAAGCCGCCTATTACGGCATAGAGGGGTGCACCGCCGCCGAGCTCAAGGGCGTGGCGGCAGATGTTCACGATGCCAGGATGGCTACAGCCTGCGAAGACCACCAGTCCCTTTTCCCTAAGCTTACACACCACGAACCGCTCATCCTTGATCAGCTCATCCGGCACCCATTCGCCCTTGCCAGTGAATCTCATGCCTCTTGGAAACCCCACCTCATACTCCGTCTTTCTCGGCACCTCACCAGATACCATGAACATACCATCCAGCACCGTATGAGACTGATCGTTCTTCACCACGTTGCCGCCTGCACTCTCTATTTCTTCGAAGGTGGGGTCTGCCTCCAATGAGGCAATGAAAGGGCCTGCGTTAAAGCCGCGGTAAATGGGACGATCAGGGTGCACGTCCACCGTTGGTTGACCAAGCGGATTCTCCTCCTTTCTTGCAGCGTTGATAAGGCGAACAGCGCGAGGTATACCACCGGAGTGGTCGCGATGCCAGTGGCTCAGATGCACGTGTTCGACGCCACTAAGATCCGTCCTCGACCTCTTCACATTCCGCTCAAACACATCCTCTTCCGGACCAGCATCGAAGAGAAGCGTATGTTTAGTTTCTCCCGAGGCGGCAGTGATCATGAGAGATAGCCCGTGGGCCTGGATGCGAACATAAAAGGTAAGCTAGGACACACGTAGGGATGAAGGTAGGAGCGGGCGTTGTTTACCCCGCAACAGATGTTGTCCATTCGCATCTCCATTGCCGCCGGACCGCGGGAGCCGCGGGGCAGCTCGGTGAGCCGGAAGGAGGTTGCATCTACGACGGCTGGACTCTGAGACTTGGAAATAGGGTCGATTTCGTTATCGACTAGGACCTGGATGTCGATGGTATCAACATCTCGGAGCATAGTGAACATGATGGCAGCTCTGGAATGGGATTGCAGCTACTCAGGTTGCTCAGCTCGGTCCTACTACGACGTTGAGACGGTATTTATACCGACAAGATCACGACGTTGTGGGAGGCAGTGATTATGCTGTGCCTCGCGCTACGCCGGTGCGTACTGTCGTGAAGACTAGCGCTTACTGTAACGCACCGTAAATGGTAAGAGCATGACAGCCTATGCGGAAAAGGACAGCTACACACGTTGCCCGGCGGGCATGGTCGGGCTGATAAGCTGGGGGATTTGTTCGTCTACATGGAGTCGGAGGCATTTCACTCCGACCCTTCTTCTATGGCAATTCCTTGAGCTTCTCTGATCTCTATCCCCAAATAGTAGGTAGCGCATGTTCACCGATCAGCAAAATGCACACCTAACAACGTGATATACTTCTGTCTTTGAGACCGTTTCGAGTGTTCAAAGCGCATAAAAAGAACTGCCAACCACCTCTATTGTAAGACGACATCATCGCCATGGAAATGACTTTAATACCTTCCCTCGACCGTCTGTGGTATTGTGCGTCCCATTCTTCTCTCCCTTCATGGTCTGCCGTACAATAACATCGCCTTCATCCCCACGCTCCTTCACCACGTGAACAAGCTCAGTCGACTCCGCTATACATCCAGTATAATCATCCGGATCTATGAGAGAGAAGAGACCATTGGGTGCAGATCGCTCACGAGTCGCTCAGCTGCACCGCGCACTGCATACACTAATCAGCATAGCGCAGCATGGACAGTCTGGCACAAATGAAATCGCTAGTACGCTACATCGATATACAGTCAAGCATTCCGTTGGAATCATCCCATTGACATCACTCCCCGAGAAGCCGAAAGGTCTAGGTCCCATTCCTCCCTTGCCGCTCAATGATATATACCTCACTGCTCCCCCTACTACTGCTATCACCCTTTTGTCCCTGCGGACTATACACCTCATCCTTCTCGACCTCTAGCTCGTCGATGCGGACTTCAGTAGTGGTCGTCTTGTTGATCTCGCCAGCGCGCAAGGTCTGTAATTTGATGCCTCCACCCCCGTTTCCTTCTTCATCCATGCGGCTGTATGCGCCGGCAGAGTGTCCAAGGTCCGTAGCCCGCACCGAGCGGGACATGTGGCGAGGTCGCGATTTCGACGTGTGCGTGTGCGAGATGGATGTGTTTGTGTCGCGGAGGGCGCCCTTGACGAGGTTCATGAGTTGATTTAGGATGGTGAATTCGATCTTGAGCTTGATAGAGTACACGGCGCCTTTGTAGGAGGTTTGAATGTCATACACTAAGAGAGAATATTAGTGCGATGATTTACTTCGAGCCAGGGAAATGCTTCCTCTTGGACAGGGGCTTCGGGCAGGAGACTTACATCCAGCGAATTCGAGACCCAGCGTTGTGGCATCCAGCACGATAATCAAGATACTCATCAGTAACGTATGTATGATGACTTTCCTTCCCCTAGTTCCTCTCGCGTTCTCCTGCGCGTTGAATAGCGGTCCTTCGGAGCGCAGCATAACCGACGTTTTCCAGATGTATATCCCAGAGAGAAAGCATTCCTGTACGAAGAACATGGTGACCTGTATCTTTTCTACGACCGAATAGATAGGAATATACGGCGCTGGGTCGGGCGCGCAGTTCGAAAGGAATGTGAGCACACCCGTGGTCCCGTGCAGGATGACACCGTCAGCGATAATGTAGACGAGGATCCACTTCACCCAGGGCGCCTGCACCACGAGATGCAGTCTCGAGTATAGCACGACAGACTGTCCGGTGACCATGGCAATCCATCCTGTATAGGCGATGACGGTGTATCCGATATCTCTTGCTTGAGAGCCATCGTCGTTGATGTGATAGAACTTGAGGAATTGGCCAAGACAGTGAATAAAGATGCCATACGTGGCGACGAGCAAGGACCAGTAATAGAAACCCGCGCGGCGCTTGAAGAAGGATTGGATAAGGATAGTGAGCTCGAGGACGTTGTACCATGCGATTGTTGTGAAGGACGCGATGACGATGGAGTTGACGAAGGGAAGTTGGACGTCGGACCCAATACCCGAGTCCTCGGTGGCTACCACCATGAGGGTGGGAGAGCTTGTTAGCACTCACTCACAGTAGTATATCGCGAACAAGTGTAGCTAGTAAGCGCGCAGATCGATTCTTGAGATATGGGAGATCGTCGAGAGGTGGGCCTCAGGATGCACATGTGCTCCTAACTTATGGACTTGTGCTACCTTCATCAGGGCATCAGACAAATCCTGTAAGCGACAATGAGGAATGTGATAATGCGCAGCATATTGACTCGGTGGGAGTTGGTTCCTATAGGGCGACTTTGGTCTGATTGGTGCAACAGTTCTTGCCTCTCGTGTCTGCAGATTCGCGCGAGACGGAAGGATCTTGAAGCTTTCGGGTCTGGGGGCGCACGGCCCGGGGTCTGGGGTAAGGACGAGACGTTATTCGACAATCTGGAGGGAACGCGTGGGCGGCGAATCCCCAATGCATTGAGGCCTTCCTCAATAATGGGGAGTCAGGCCCAGTTTCCTGGGAAGTCAGCCCACGGAGATGAACGAACACAGGGGATGCTGGTGATGTTGGGTGTCAAGAATGTCATATTTGGTAGCCGTTGTCGTGCGCAGCTCGATGAATACGGAATGTAACAGATATAGTACATTTTGTACAGGTCTAAGCTTTGTACATGTAGAAAAAAAACGGGGTATTAGTCGGCGGTAAAGGTAAACCCGAGGGGTGCCAGGATTTTGTCTTGGGTGACTTTGTTCGCAACTTCACCTCCCCGTTCGAGGGCAAGTGCGCCAATGATGGCGTATAACGAGGTGGTGAGGACTGATTCTAGACCAGAGCCTTGGAGATTATCCGCCTAGAAGTGTTAGCGGCCGCAAGATGAGGGAATCTCCCGTCTGCCAAGCAGGGAGATGGGACGTAAGCGACATACACGTTTCGGTGTCCACCGCGTGACTTTGTCCAAGCCATAACGCTCTGCGAGGCCTGCTAACCGCGACTTGTCTAGCACGCGACCCTTTGCGTCGCCTGTGAGGCCAGGCAGACCGTTGAGCGCGGGATGAATGTATGGAATGCGGCCGAAGCGGTCTGTGAGAGGAGTGCCGTCGCTCTTCCTTGGCCACGATTCAACCTGGGGTGCATTGAGGAGCGCCTGGGACGTCTGCAGCGAGACTATTCGCCGTCCTGGGTCCTTGTCAGCATTTTCGTCGGTTGCTGCTCATGCAGTTGAAACACACCCAAAAACGCGAGCCGGTCATTGAATCCTCTTCGGCCGTGATCGAAGCTCTTATGCGTGACGGCCAGCCATTTCACCTCGTCAGACAGCACCTTGTCGCCACCAGGCCCCAGCATGCGAGAGTAGGCATCGTCTAGCCTCCGGGGATCGTCGTTGACCTTGAATTCTGGGCCTCGCGGTTTCGGTCGCACGCGGAAAGGAGCCATCATGCGGGGCGGTGTCTGTTGCCATCGTGGCCGGTCGGCAGCTTCTATGTCATATTCAGAGCTCCGTGAGGGTACTGTCGTCGAGAATGCGCATGCGGAGGTCCGCACGAGGGCTCGCTGGGCGGGTTGCGCGGGGTTGACGGCGGACGATGCCGTCGAGAACAAGCTTCGGAGGGGCCGATGGGATGCCATTGAGACCTGTGATGGATCGAGCGACGGGAGTCGAGCAATGTGGGACGTCCACGGCGATAGCAGCGTGAAGTTGTTCAGAGGTCTGGTAGAACAAAAGTTCGGATGGCTCAGCGCGACTTCCGAACTAAGCCATTTCGAGGCAGGCGCGACCCATCACCAAAGGAAGGCGCGCTCCACGGTTCGAGGTCACTGCACGCGTAAGTCCCGCATATCTATCACTCGAAGTCGGGGACGTCGCGGCTGCTGTCGTTCTTGTGCGTCCGCCGTGTTGGTTGAGCAGCCATGGCGAATATCGCTACCGAAACATCTCTCTATGACCTCCTCGCCGAATCCCTACCCAAAGAAGCCGCATTTACCTTCTACCACTACTCCACACCGCCGACGAAATCCCCGCCACTATTTGCTGCACCTCCGCATGCGAAACCCGAGCGGACTTACTGCGAATCGCATTTCCTCGCCGCTTCGATAAACCCGAAGGACTACCCGAACACTGCTGCGCCCGATGAGCTCCTCGTACTAGCCATTGAAGTCTTGCTCTACACTACCAAACATCTCACTACCATATTTGTCTCAAAAGCAGACTCAACAGGATATCTCTCACTGTTGGGCACTGGTCGAACGCACGGTGGATCACCATTAAAGGCGATATGCGGGACCTTTGTATCATGGCTGGCAAAGGAACGTCAAAGAGAAGGCATAAGGACGGTCGTATCGCTATTCGCGAGAGCGCAGGATCAATATCTGTTTCCCGCAAGCATAGAGAACAAGGGAAAGCATCTTCTTGATGATAAAGAGCTGGTACGATGGTGGTGCAAGGTGCTCGACCCGCTCGTAAAGCAATATAAGGAAGAGGAAGCAAAGCCGCTAAGCAAACGGCTCACGGCGGCTGCAGGCCCAGTAGCGTCTTCCCCAGAATCCACCGCGACAGGATATCTCGTCATTCCTGGATTTGAGCCCTCCGACACACTTCGCTATTACACCCCGGCGCCTGCACCCAATGCACCGCGTCGTTGGTCAGCCGCACACCCACTTCTCCAGATTGCACCATATCCTGCCGCACCGCCACGCTGTTTGATACCGCGTTTTCCAGATGACCCCAAAGCGCGCTTTCTGGATGAGTTGGACGACGAGCTTCCGGATCGAGGCACCGATGCCATGACTAAAGAAGGAGGCACCCCTTCTCGCAGCAATGGTCAGTGGAAGAGTGTCAAGACTCTGAATCAATTCTGGGAGTTCATGGCATTCAGGCAGGAGTGCTCCTCCGGCCGGATAGTGGGCTTCATATGGGTTGTTATCACTCCACCAAAGCCTTCCATTGGGGAGGAAGACGAGCATAAGCCTTCGCAGCTTTCCTCTTCTTCGCAAAATGATTCGCAGAACACAGCACTCGCTTCGCCAAATTCCAGTCCTAAGAAGAGAGCTTCGAAGAAGTCGAGAAGACGGAAGACCAACACCGACTACGGGCCCATACCACTTATCCTCCCGAGGATCAAGTCTTCATCATCAGGTTTGTCCACCATGTCGACTGGCACCGCAGGAGCACCAGCACAGACTGTTCCTGAAACGAGTCCGTACTATTGGTGGCCGGCGGAATCGCGAGGCACAGTAGTGTTTTCTTCAAAAAACTACAATCGAGCGCATGAAGTGCTCCTGAAGCAAAACTTTTCGACCCGCGCCGCGGCAATTAGGAGTACCCGGCGATGGAAAGAGGAGGTTGCAGTTCTAGGGAGCGTCGACGACTGGACCAAGACCGTTATGGGGCGCAAGGACACTCCAAGTGCGACTGCTGTACCGGCTGACGGTACGACCATTACGCTGATCGGCACGAGGAAGAAGAGGAAACCGACAGATGCGAATGCTCCTGAATCAAACTCGCAGGGAGGAGCAATGCTAGGCGAGGGGTTGGTGCGGAAGAAACCCAAGGTCGAGGCCAATGTCTCTCATGGTGTAAACACGCTAGGCGCAGGTTTAGTGCGGAAGAAGCTAAAGAATTGACCTACAAGTCTTCCCTTTGCATAGCCTGTTCTAGGGCAACACAGCGTACTTTATCTTTCGACACTGCATCATTCTTCTGCTATCTCGGTTTCGAACTTGGGGGCCAAGTGTGGCATTGGCACAGCTTGAGAAATTTGTCTCTTTTGGATTACATGGAAGCATATTGGGAAGCATGGGAAGTCGGTACTGCATAGCCTGGCGTTTATTCTGGTGTCTGGAGAACATTTCTATCTGTACATCTCCAGGGGAAAGCTCACTCCATTGCGATTCGGCTACGTATTTCTAGCAGCAGGCTCGAACAGTCTTATGATTGGGTCCATGAAACATGATATTTGAACATCAAGCGTTGGCCACGAATTGCCAGATCTTTCTGTTCGATATGCGCATCGTTATACGCTTACTCGTACAATGGGCCGGGCATTGCCTGCGGATGGGAGGATGTCATCTCGGATGTTTTGTCGGAACAATCGGAAGCACCGCCTCTGGTGCAGTGACAAGCTGTGAGCAGGCGTGCCATGTTCACTTTTGTCCACCTTTTTGATTCTTCGCCCAGCCTTTCTCTTTGGTACCTGCATTAGCTCCCGGTCCCCGTCGTTCGTTCTCGTTTCTTACACGTGACACCGCTTCGACCAAACTCCGCAACCTCCGCGCTCCCAAATTCACGGTGTGCCAACCCAAACCAAACAACACCCCGCTACAACCCAACGGCCCACCAACCACAAGCACAGCGCATGAGTCGCTCGGCGCAGCACGACGCCGGGGACCATGTCTCCACGGTGCGGTTCTATATCGCGCTAATAAGTCTCATATGGTTCGTTGTAGTATGGATCGTATGCGCCATCGGCGTAACTCAGCTGTTCCGTTACTACTCGAGGCGCCCGCGTCCAGCAACGTGCTTGACCGCCGCGAACGAACCGGATGTCCCACATGTCACCATCATCCGGCCAGTCAAGGGCCTTGAACCTCGCCTATACGAGTGCCTCGCTGCGACCTTCCGGCAGACGTACCCCGCAACCAAGATCCACAATGTGCTCTGCGTGTCCGAGCGGTCGGACCCTGCGATGCCCATACTTGAGAGGCTGCTGAGAGACTTTCCAAACGCGGATGTGAAGATTACGGTGGAAGAGGAAGATCCTGTGTTGAAGGAGAACAAGAATGCGCTGGGGCCGAATCCGAAGATCAGGAACATGAGCCGCGCGTATAGAGAGGCGAGGGAAGATAGCATTGTGTGGATACTGGATTGCAACGTCTGGGTCGGCAAGGGCGTGTGCGGGCGCATGGTCGATCTATTGTGCGGCTACGGCGGCAACATGAAGAACAAGTTCGTGCACCAAACGCCCTTGACTGTGGACCTGGACTCGCAGGCTCTCTCGACCGAGGAACGAGAGTTGCTCCTTGGCGGCGGAGAACATGCGATCGATGCTGTGGACATCGCCGATAGCACGAGCTCCGACCCGCGCAATCACTCTCGTGGCCGCTTCAGAAGACTTCTACAGCGAGGAGGAGGCAGACTAGACGAAGCGTTTCTCTCTAGCGCTCACGCAAAGTTCTACAATGCTATCAACACTGTGCTAGTGGCGCCCTGCGTCATGGGAAAGAGCACCATGTTCCGCCGCGCCCAGCTCAACTACGTAACCCCAGCCTCGTCCTCTCCTCGCCGTCTATCAGGAATTGACTTCTTCTCCGACAACATCTGCGAAGACCACCTGATCGGCGACGCCCTCTGGTACAAACCGCAAGCCTTCGAAGAGCCCGGCTACAAGCCTGGGCCTGGCGAGACAGTCGAGAAATGGGGCAAGCACGCCATGCTCTTCGGCGACTTCTGCTTCCAGCCTATATCGCACACCTCCGTCCCGGCGTGCATCGACCGGCGCCTGCGCTGGCTGCGGGTGCGCAAGTTTACCGTCACAGCAGCCACATTTGTAGAACCTGGAACCGAATCCATCCTCTGCTCTCTCTACGGCGCGTACGCGGTCACCACGCTTCCGTTCTTCTCCGCGTTCCTGCCACCAACTTTGTTGTCTTTCCTCCTAGTCTTCATAGCTAGCATGGCGCTCTGGTGCGCGGTCGACTACGTTCAGTACCTCCTCCTTCACTCGGCGAAGACCGTAGAGTTGGATGAACACACGCCGGATTTCATCCTTCCCCAGCGCTCGAGGAGGGCCTATCACAATACGCCCTCTCTCGAACCTTTGCTCGGCGACAAGACGCCACGAGAGCCGAGTTTACTGGATGGAGCGAGGCGGAGCTTCAGAGAGTGGTTCGCTGCGTGGGCCGGGCGAGAGGTTTCCGCGCTGCCTATCTGGATTGCTGCATTCTACGGTGGCGTCACTGTGGAGTGGAGGGGAAAGAAGTTTTGGGTGGGCCTAGATACGAAGGTGCATGAGATACTCGATGATAAGAAAGGATAGGGTATATCTGGGCAAGCATGTGCATAGGGTTGGTGTGAAGTAAATACCGTTATGTTTGTCATCCCATCTAAAGGCGTGTCGATAGGCCTTGTCCTTCACGAACTTCTTCTTCGATAGACAGCCTGGTTCCAGTCAAATAAACCCACATATTGAAAATGACGTTATGCTCAGTCCTGACAGTCGTCGGTGTGAAAAGCCGTACGCAGCTCCACCGTCATCGTACGTGTCGGTCAAGTCCCGCCTGGACTCGCAGTACTGCACCGTTGTTTGAGAATCAGTGCACATGTACATTTACACTGCAGCAAACCTAAGTTCATGTGCCATACAAATGCGTCCAATCAATCCGTTCTTTTCTAGTGTCACGTCTATCACACTTCGATGCATCTAACTAGATTCTGGCATTAGTGAATATCAGTCTTGGGAAACACTCGACAAGAAAAAGAAAATTTATCACACCGCCCTCAAGGAAATTACGACATTGTCGATAACATTTGATTTTTCTTCCAAAACGGACTGCTAGCTCCTTGATTTCACCGTAGTCTTTACCGCGGACGAAGAGGCGATGGCGCCTTAGGCATCAACATCAAGTTGCCATCCCTGCTTCCTACCTTTATGTCCATCACGATGCGGAACAAGGTGCCAAAAACCCACAGTCCCGTCAATAAGAACTTAGTTTGCAGTCTGCAATGCCATGACTCCGACCAAGCCCGTATAGGTACTAAACAATATCTATTAATCACTATCACTATTCGTCATATTCTAATCGTGGCTGCAATGCACAGAATCATCCCCTTAAGAACCCATCACCATCATACAAACTCCCCGGCGTCCCCTCTAACCCCCCGCTACTCGGCGGGACAACATTGATCTTTACATTCGGCGTGCCCACACCCAGCACGCTTCTCTTCCGGAACCTGCCACTGTCCCGCTGTGATTGTCGTTTGTCTTTAGTATCGAGATCCGCATCTTCTTGCGCGGGGACCTCGTCCTTCGCGACCTCGAACGCACGCTTCCTACCTGAGCGTGTGGATACAGGCGAGGAAGAAAGTGGCAAAAAGCGGTTGGCCGGCTTGTTGGGGGAGTTCAGTGGAGACGTGCTCCCCCAGAACTTCTCGCCATCTTCCCAAATGCAGGAGCCACGGTCGCGGGCGGGGGTGCTGGAAGGCCCCGTCTGCGACGCTTTTGGTCCGTTGATCACCGTCTCGTCGCTGTTGATACTAAGAGTCGAAGACGCAGATATCGTGCTCTCCGGAATAGAAGTAAGCGCGGGGTCAGTATACAGATCCAGCACCGAGGCGCCTCTGTCCACGTCTTCCTCCCAATCGAACCCCAGATCACCTACCAACGCCCTCCCCTTCTCCTCATCCCACATCTCCTCCTCTTCGTTTTCATCTTCGTACTTGTCGAGATCTTCCAACCAGCTCTCCTCGCCTGGTAGCGCGATGCTGTCCTCGCGCCCGAGATTAGCGTAGCGTCGCTCGGCTTTGCTTCCTTTCTTCGTGTCGGAGTTCATCCGGCGGAGGGTTTGAATGGAACTTCGGAGCGAACGTGCGGGAGGCCCGCGGGGTCCGCTCGGTGCTAGTGTTGGAACGGCGGCGAAGTTTAGAGTGGGCGTTAGGGTGGGGAGCTGAGCGTGTGCTGGGCGAGGGGAGCTGGGAGCCTTGGGAAGCAGTGGAGATGGCGAAGGGGATGAGCAGATCGAGGTAGGTGAAGATGGGATAAATAGGCTGGATGGCTCAAAGACCATAGAGTCGTGTTGTGCGTGCGTTACTGAAGGTACATCGGTGTTCTGGACGGGGGGACTAGATTGAAATGCGGCGTCTAAGAGCGGCTGCGTCGAATACATTGCCTTGGTGGCACTTGTAGGCATAGTCATGCTCTTTCGGTCGGCACTTGCGTCTGTGGTGGTGCTGCCGCTCCTGTTGTCGAAAGGACTGTTCAGACTGGTGAACGCGTCTTTGCTTAGAATAGCAGGGTCGATGGTTTCCAAAGGCTCTTCGGGAATGGCAGTGTCCCTTATGGGTAAGTTGTACGCCGCACGGTCGCGGAGATTGGAACAAGAACCCGATGGCATGCTTTTCGGTGAACAAGGTGGTGAGTCGTCTGATTTGAGTTGCTCATAGCTTTCCGGGTTCGGGCAAGGTTCTTCGAAAATCGTAGAGAAGGGAGATGAGAAATTGCGCGTTAGATTAGTTGTTGGTGTTTGATGGACGAGGTAAGGGTCTTCAGTGTCGTACTGATCCAGGATGAGTGGCCTTCCCGGGGAAGAGTTAATGTCGAGGAGCACTTCGAATGGAGATGAGACCATCGCCATTTCATCGTATGGCCTCCCATCATCTGCATAATCATTGGATGGCGGCGACAAAGCAAACATAGGAGGAGGCGATATCATGACGTTAGATTGTGGGAAATTGTGGCCAGGGCTTGGAAACGTTGAGAGACTGAAAACTGAGCCTGTGCTCATTCTTTGTACATCATACTGAAATGCGTCGGGGAAGATTGCCTTGGCTTGTGTTTTGATCGGGGTACCTATTGGACCGTGGTCGAAATTCGCCATTGGCAATGTCGGCGAACTCGCGGCAAGTGAGGCACGAATGCTGGTCGCATTGAATTTGAGCTCAGGTGCGAAGATCGAAGTACTGGGAGGCGATGGCAGGGACCTCGTGCTCGAGAAACCAAGCCCAACATTTTGTACCCTCTCGAAACTGGCTTGTGGCGACTCTTCAGCGATGTCGTGAATGGCAGGGCTCGGGGAACGGCTTTGAGGTCCAAGCAAGGTAGGTATCAACGAAATACGGACACAATTCTGTCTCTTGTGTCCGGGCTTACGAGCACTGGGGCTACCCTTCAGAGCTGAAGGTTTTCCGGCAGACACAGGCGCCGGATCCCACTGGAACGGATTATCGTTGCTGCTTCGCGTAGACGAAGCCCGCGTAGAAGTTTGTGATAGCTCGCGCTTGGGACCGCTCTGGTTTCCAGACACGTTTTGCAACATAGATGAGCGGCTTCGTCGGTTTTCCGGAGAACCATAAGGAGTAACATAGGAGCCTGACCTGCGTTTTGGCGTTGTTGAGTTTCGTATCGCGAACGCGCTGGGTACAGGGGATGACAACTTGCTGAGATTGACAGACTCCGCTGTCTTCACCGTCGCGATAGAATGTAGGCTTGAAGAGTTGGGAAGTAGCGAACCTTGTTTTTCGGCCTGTGTAGCAGACGTTGCCGAGCTGAATCGCGCTGTACTGCTCTTGATCGAGCCTTGAGACGGGTTGTTCTTGCCATGAAGCGTCAGCGTGTCGCGAAAAGGTCGTGGGCCGACAATCGTACAGTTCCTCATATCCCGCCTAGCCACCTTCTGCACTCGACTATTCGGCGAACGCAGTATCGGACTTGGTTGTACAGCAAGAATCGAGCTTCCTGCTGACTCGTAGCTCGAATTGGACTGACGCGACGGGCTCCGGCTCAGAACACTACGCCTGCGAGCCTCTGATTTGATTCGCGCAATTTCCAAGGGAAGGATGGGTAGCCCGGCATCTGGGGGGTTTCCCGAAGCCTGGCTAGAAGTGCTCACCGACCTCTCATGAAGCTGTGGCCGCGCGAACCTAGTCATGCTCCCAGGCTTACTACTGTTCCGAATATCTGCCAGAGATTGGGACCGGACTGGTCGCGTATAGATCTCTGTTTTCGGTACAGGCTTGGCGGTCAAGCTGCGTCGAAGAGGCTCGGAAAGGGCCTGATCGTGGGGTGGCTCCGCTGACTGCTCTTGATTACGAAGAGCAGGGTGATGCTGCAGAAGCGATTGGTCTGAGGAAGGGCGACTGTTGCTCTTTCGTGGCGATGAGGGTTCTTCCCGTGGTCCACTGAGGACGGGAACCAAAGGCGAAGGTTTCGGACTTTCGAGAACTGTGGAGAGCACAGGAACCCTGATCTTCCTCATGGGAATTGCCCTGCCCGACACTCGGCGCCCTAAGAATGGCCACGACAGTCTCTTTGGCTTCGGCACAAAGCCCGCAGGTTTTAGAGGCGCATAATGCGGAGGGAAAGATGGCGGCTCAGGTGGATCGATTGTCTCCACCGATGTGAGATTGCCCCAACCCGACTTCGAATTGAAAGGTAGGATTGTATCTCGCCTGAGTACTGCTCGTGGCTTTGTAATTGAATTTCGTTTCGCGACTTTTCGGGTTTGTACGATCGCGTATCCTCGCTCTTCTAGGTCCGCCATATGGCGTTTGTGCTCTCGATGTGCTCGGACGAGAAGTATAACGATAAAGACTGTAAGACCGACGACAAGCACGCCGACACCCGCGCCCATGGCACCGATGGTCGTAATGCTCAGTTCCATTGTGGAAGTGTTGCGCGCCTCAACCGGCAACATTCTTTCCACGCTGCTAGCTTGTAACGGGCCCCGTTCGCGTCGGTGCGATGTTATCGTGTGCAGTGAGCTTTCTTCTGTATAAGTCCAGTCTAGCAGTCGCAGGTCGCAAATCCCAATGTACGCTGTTCAGTCAATTCGGATCATCCAAAGCCTCCTCTTACCTATCCTCATTGGCGCAATACAAAGCGCAAAGTAACAGACAGTGCAATGCACTCACGGCGAAGGCGACCACGCCAATACGGAGGACTAGAAGGTCAACATACAGTTCCATTTGTCTCAGGAACATTTACTGGTCGTCATAACAAGCTTGGAGGAATGGAGTGAAGATATGGGGAGAAAAACAAGATGGCCAGTCAGCTGAGCAAGGGAGTGGGCAGGAATGTGGCCGTTCGTCCCTCGCGAGCAACCCATTGGTGGCAGCATGAGTATAGGCTGATAATTTTGGTGAATTGTAGTTGTCGATGCTGTTATTGGTTTTGACTCTTTGCGAGCGGCGCTTGGGTTAGATTGACAGCCTTTCGATGCGTGGTTCAGGTAGCCCTCTGTCGCAACGCTCTATAGATCTACTCAGCGTATTTGATCGCTTCGTGAAGTAGAACGCGTACACAATGAAGGACGCGACTTTTTGAGACAGCGACTCACAAATTTGAGCGCAGCCGATAGACGCTATGCCGCGGTAAACTGTCTTGCATCTGCGACACCACGTTAGCGACACCCCATTCGCCCCGCATCCAGGAGCCATTTTCCAGGCCTTTGGAAGAGGCGTGCACAAGCCTCAGTCAGGTTTCTTGAAGATCATGTCTAGGACTTGTATGCTTTTATTCGAGCTGCTGCAGCAAAGGTTCGGGATAGCTGCGTTCAAGCAGTCACCCTAATACAAGTTCAGGATGTCGTTCCTCAGGCTCGTGGTACTGACGCGAAATGCATGAACAGGTCGCACGTTTGTATCAAGTCGCCGTTGCTGCAGAATGGAATCGGCGTGCAGAGACAGGAAGTCTCAAGACGCGTCGCGACAGATGGAGATGGCCGATTCGCTACTGCGCTACTTCGGAGGAAGGAGCAGCTCCGGAGCCGGACATCACATGTTATCGCGCGGCCCGTGAACAACAGAGACAGAACAAGACAAGAACTACCCGGTATTTCGCGCAAGCAGATGAAGAGTCCGTTGTTCCGGACGTGTCTCGACGGCCGTAAGGTTGTATCAAGCGGCCACCGCGGCAAGCTTCGGGATCACATCGGAGAAAGCTCATCAGCTTCATCAGATAAGATTTGACTGTACCCCACATTCTCCACCCTACTTCCTTGTACGGCCACTCAACATGTTGATCGTTGCATCTGATAAGATGAGATCAAGGAACTATGTCCGCTCCATCTGCTCTTTACAGTGAGGCCTTGTACGAGGAAGAAAATTTGCGCTGGACCAGGGCTCTTAGCCCTGTAAACATGTCCGTTACCGGCAGAGACGTACCGCCACGGGGCGCATAAAGTCGAGCTGCACGACGACGTTACCATCGATCGCCGATTTGAAACAGCTCATTCAACTTGCGTCGCGACCATGCGCGTACAGAGCCTGCTAGTGGCCTTGTCGGCGGTGATACTGCCAACCTGCGCTCAGAACAACACGGCTTGGCCATTTCAAACCTTCAGATCCCTTCCCGGCTTCGAACCTCCTCAGCTCGAGATCACCCAGAATGCTTCAGCGGCACCGGGTCTGATATTCTTCCCCATCAGCGGCGACGGAGCACACAACTACAGCCTGAACATTTACGACCAAGATGGCGAGCTTGTCTGGCAGTCCGGCTACGGCGACTACGCAGCATTCAGGCCAACAGAACTCTTTGGCGAGCCTGTCCTAGCCGCATGGAGCGGCATCAGCTTCCCTGAGCCCTGGGGATTCGGTTATGGCATTGTCAAAATCTTCAACCAGAACTATGAGAATATCTACAACGTTACCCTGTGGAACACGACCTACCCAACTCTCGAAAGTATCTATCCGGAGTATGATCCCACGCAGTATGATCCGTTCAGCTGGATCGACATGCACGAGAACAACATTACGCCTCGTGGCACCATGTTCGTAGGTGCTGTGAATGTTACGGCGTGGGATTTGACGTCTATTGGCGGCCCTGAGGATGGTTGGATCGTCGACTCCCTTGTGTTGGAGCTGAACGTGACCAATAGCGAGATTCTGTGGCAGTGGAGTCATCTTGCACATGTGGATCATATTCCGTTGACGGATGCCGTTCCGACATATCCTCTTGGAGAACTAGGTCAAAATCAATCTTATCCATGGGGACCCTTTCACATTAACTCTGTGGACGAGTTTGAGGACGGAAGTTTGTTGGTTTCGTCGCGGCATTACTGCTCTATTTTCAAAATCGGTCGTGACGGCGAGGTGCAATGGACGTTGAACGGATACTCCGGAGGCGACTTCACCCTCAAGAACGACCTGCATTTCTGCTACCAGCACGACGCCCGTATTCACTCGGAAAACAGCTCCACGACACTAATTTCCATTTTCAACAACGACAACTCTGCCGTCGTCTCCTATGTCAATCAAACGACCGGTATCTTCTTGAGCGTCAATACTGACACCAAGGAAGCCACGCTGGTCAAAGAACTCTACGACCCATCGGAGCCGATCTACGCTGTGAGTCAGGGCGATCACCAACTCCTTTCCAATGGGCACTCCATTATGGGATATGGCAGCGTACCCTTCCTCAAGGAATTCGACAAGCACGGGAACGTCGTCCAGACCGTTAAATGGGGTCAAGCTCAGGCCGTTCAAAGTTATCGAACGTACAAGTCTCAGTGGGTTGGAACACCGTCCACGCGTCCGGATGTTTTCGCTTGTGCGGAGAGCAATGCCACGACCAGCGTACACATGAGCTGGAATGGTGCGACCGAGCACCAGAGCTGGAAGGTTCTTGCGGGCTCATCCAGGGAGGGTCTGAGGAACGTGACAGACGTGAAGAAGACTGGATTTGAGACCTCTGCCAGCATCAGCGGTCATGCGCAGTTTGTTCAAGTTGAAGCACACGGTGATGGTATTAAGACTGTCGCTTCGACTGTCGTCGCGATCGCAGAAGCGTGCTAGAAGGCCATATAATCTAAATTCACTGGAGAGAATTAATATTGATTGACATGTTTGTGGTCAGCCTGTGCAAAGCATTCAAGCGCTCGTGGCTGGGATCTGTATATATACCCATTTCAACATGTGATCTTGACCAGGACATGACCGTTTACCCCAAGGTGGCAGTCAGGTCACGCGGGCGTTCCAAAGCCGGTCACTGAGTTTATTGCATTTATCAGAAAAGCATGTGCACGGCGATGTGTGGTTGGAAACCCATGATCATCATGAGAATCAGTGAGCTCGTTCACTCGCATTGTTTTTGAATATTAAATGATAGGATGTACAAGAATAAAATGTTCACCGTCCTGGTGCTACACAAAGCCACGATCAATTCAATTGACACTGCAATCAGGCTCCAGCGACCGCACTGATGGGCTTCTGACCCGGGTAGTAGCTGGTTGGCAGAGCAGGAATCGGAATGCTCTTAGTGGTTCCGAACGCCGACTTCAAGTCCGCCGCCATGGACGCAGCCGTGTATCCAGCTGTGGCCGCAGTCTGCGTGCTAGTAACCATAGCATAGGACTTGCCCGTACCAGCCTTCAGGCAGGCACCGCTTCCGTAGGCAGACTGGCAGGTCAACGTCTGCTTGCTGCCAGTCTCGGTCCACATGGCAAAGTCGGAAATCTTCATATCCGTGCAAGGTGCGCCGTCTGCACAGGCGATCTTGATCGGTCCGCGGGATGCGCCGTTCGCCTCAGTGCCCTTCCAGTTCTTGATAGTGAAGTTGGACAGTTGGACGCCGTTGCCGTCGACCTTGCTCATGCTAGACCAGTATTGGTCGATGTCAAGGGCGTATGCGTTTCCGTGACCGATGAAGTTCTCCAGGACGACATCTTCGACGTACCCGCTGCCACCATACGACTTCACCATGAGCATCTGGTTCGACTTCCACGTGTAGATGTTGCGATACACGACCTGTGAGATGGCGGTATCGGCACCCAAGCTGCCAAAAGCGGAGCCACCAGACCAGTTGCAGTAGATGTTCTCGACAAGGATATTCTTGGCAGGCGACTTGACGGTGACACATTCATCTTTATTGGTCACCATAACGTCGTGGATCCAGATGTTGTTGGACCAGACGTCGATGCCGTCGAGGCAACCCCATTCGCCGCCGCGGATGGCCATATTGTAGACTTCGCCGTTGGTGCATGTGTCCAAAGAGTAGTGGTACATGGGGGAGTCAACAAGGGCAATGTCGTGAACGGAGAAGTTGGTGACTTTGTAGGTGCGGAGGAGACGCGCGCCTTTGCACTGTCCTTGCGAGGCGTGAATCTCGTAACCATTACCTGGTTTGCACGTCAGAGGAGGAGATACTTGGGAATCTAGAACTGAACATACCTTGAATAGCACCCTTTCCGGTCGAGCTAAAGAACTCAAAGTCCGTGGTGTCTCTGATCATGATCATGTTGCCGCCATCCGTGCCGGTGCGGTAAATGATGCCGTCAAGCTGGATGCCAACTCCTTTACCATTTTTCAGCGTGACCCATGTCTTCATGGCATAATCACCCGCAGGGATGATAACGATGCCGCCGCTCTGGCATGCTGCCCAAGCTGATGCAAGCGGTGGCCCGATATCAGTCGTCTTGTCCGCTTTGGCGCCGTACTTGGTCACGTCACAAGTCTTGGTCGCCCTTTTCGCAGAAGTCTTAGTCGTAGGTCCGACAGAGCCCGAGAGCTGAGCAAAAGCAGCAGGGAGCAGCGCGACGGCGCTCAGAAAGATAGAAAGACGCATGTTGCAGGAGCGTCGATGGAAAGAAGCAAACGAAAGGCTACCGCACAGCAGGCAGAAAGTAGATATGAAAAGAATGGTAAATCAATCAACGAGTGACGGGAGACGAAAGGAGTGAATGAGCAGACAAATTGCCAGCGCCCTTGTAAAAGCCAGGCCATCATCCGACTAATATACAGTCGTGCCCCTGGGTAAGTCAGATTAATTAGAATCCCCACCGCGGGGGCTAAGCGTCCTTCATAATGCTGGGCGAAAGCTTGATTATTACTTTGGAGTCGGAGAAATTAGTGGTTTCGAAACGGACGCCTTCATCCGATTGAGGCGTGAATAGGACTGCGCGTCCCGATCAATCGGAGGTTTATGAGGATTGGCGGCGCACGTTACGCGAGCGTGCGTTGAATGTCTGCCGGCTATTAAACACGAAGAGATGCAGTGGCGTTGTGGCTGGTGGGATTCAATAGAGATTCGTGGAAAGGCAAATCCGCGTTTCACTATGGAGACGAAAATGATCGACACCGGGATATGGCTTGTTCTTTAGAATAGGAGGAGGCGTAACGCGTGGTCTAGAGCCTTCGAAATATTCACCTGATGAGGAGGAAATGTCGCGAATGGATACTTGTCACATCTTGAGTGTACAATGGAGCTCTTCATGATGGAAGTGGTTGCGCGCCGGATTTGTTAGCGCGGCTTAGCTCCGGAAGTCTTGGAGATAATAAGACAAGACTTACCTTCAGGAACGTCGAACCATCAAAATGTCATCTGCATCAGGCTTCTCGCCTCATCACACGACTGTAAACGCAACACCGAAACGGCCACGCATGCTGTCATACTTATGAGCACGGAGTGCTGCTACAGGCTCCGTCGGTGCATACGCCGGCTCTCACTTACGTTCTGCCATTGACGGATTTATCGGACAGTAGTTGCAGTGGGTGTGCACCATTTTACATTGACTGCAACATTGTACATACATAGAAAACGTAGTAAACCAATCCCACTCCCACCAGGTGTGACGCATCTATCAAGGTCGACCCATCCAGAAACCAGTCTGAAAGATCCCGCCCATAGTAGTGTCTCAGGCGTCATTGTGCTCAAAATACCTGGAATTGACCCGAATGGTCCTGATCATTCTCGGCCTTCCACTTGTGAAGCATCCAAGCCAGAGATGGTGACCGTGCTGCCACGCTCGGTACACGGTTCTACGGATGACACTCTTTAAACTTTCACCTAACCCCAAATCCAAGAAGATAGCTTGCCATATCCATGTGGCCAGATTTGGCCGCGCCCTCGATGGCCGACCTGCCCCCAAAACAGCCGGGGGTTTCGTTAACATAGGCCCCGGCAATGAGTAACAGATCAGTAACATCAAACTGACCTGATATTGCCGCGGATTGGAGCGTTGTAGCTCCGTCGTATTTGGCGGGTTTGGCGTCCACATCGGAATCGCTCTTGACCAGCCTCTCGATCACTAAATTCTACCCATCTCTTGAAGCACATTGGAGGGACGAACGAGCACGAGTGTCGATATCTGAGCGCTCCTTGGAGAAGTCAAGATCAGCAACGTGATCCGAAAGGCAGACTACGAAATCGTATCGCTGAGATTGCCCTGCTGATTGATCCGCCGAAATACAACATTCTTCTTTCGTCACATAAGAAACGTCCAGTACAATACCTCAAATATACTGAACATAAATTTGCTGTGATTGCTGTAGTCGTGTTTTACATTAATATTGTTCGTGGATGTTCTTGGATGTCTTGCGCTGTATATGGACGGTCTCGAGTTGTTGTTTGACTTACGATTAGAAGTGGTACCGTCGCTCCGTAGCTGCAAGACCAAATAACTCCTGATTGGCTGGGCTCGAAGAATAGCTGGGATAGCATCGAGTCGATTGATCTCTGAATGTGAAGAGCGACAAAGCGAATTGTCTATAAACAATGGCCGCACGACGCCGTTGGTATGCAGTTAATTGGTATAAGTCCTAGACCAAGGATGCTGGACATAAATACTTGGAGCTTCTCAGAAGTTCAGGATTGCGTTCTTCCGAGAGACAAGTGTTATGAGCCATCGACCGTTGCTATGCTGCAGGAGTTGAACCAACGATACCTCCTAGGTACCCAGGTATATGGTACAGAACACGTGGGTCAACCTGTTGCAAGGTTGTGGATGACATGCGCGAAGCATTCTACTCGTTACATCAAGGTCTAGTTTGCGTCGCGGTCTTTTTGAGCCTGTACGGGAGGCGTGCGGCGTTGTTCTTGGTAGCTTTGAATGTACGGTGAGTATTTTGGCGGGCGCTGTCTAGTGTGCTGTTGGCGAGCGTTTCCAATTCCCTATCGATACCTAGTGTTACTTTAGCATACTTGAAACGCGAGTTCGCTCTGGCAACCATGGTCAAATGTGGAGAGACGCGAACTGTTTCCAGCGACACTTCGGTCCAGATGTGGTGGAGCGCAGCAAGGGCGGTGGGATCTAATGACGTTTGGCGTGCGAGAGCGGCTGCTGGCGGCCCGTGCGAAGGCGGTCACTGCGACAACGCAACACACTACGACAACACAACACACTAAACTCGGGCGCCCGTGACCACCCCGGTATTCGCTATCGCGACCCATCCTAATCGTCCCCCGCTATCCATCCAGTGTTTATTACTTACAGCGAAACGCATTGCCACTCGCTGTAGCTTTTTCTGCTCACCGCCACGCACAACGCAGCTTGATGTCGCGCTGCTCCCGCTCGCCGTCACCCGCTGGATGAACTTAAGTGGTAGCCAGCATCCGATCGCTCCACACACTCGCTGGCCATGGCGCCTGCCGCAAATGGCCTTCCCATGCGCTTCCCGTGCTGGTGCAAGGCAGTGTACTCATGGGGTGGTGAGGTTAGTAGGAACAAGAGCTTGCTCTATAATCAATCCGCTCACCATATTCCAGACCAAACGCGACCTTGGCTTCATAGAAGGAGACCTGATCGAATGCCTCAACGCCGGCGATGGATCGTGGTGGATGGGACGATTGAAGCGCGACAGGCGCATGGTCGGATTGTTCCCCTCTAACTTCGTCGAATTGCTGCCCGAAGACTTCCAGCCATGGAGTCGCAACACAAGCCCGATGACCGGCCCAGGGAGCATATCGAGGCAGAATAGCGCTCAGCCTGTCAAGCAGACGCCTCAGAAGGCGAAGACATTCCGCAAGCCCTTCACGGCCTACGCAGCTGCACAAGCACCCAACCCGGCGGCTGCTGCGCGCCAAATCGTGAAGGCCGGCGGCATCGCACCGAGTCCCAATGGCAGCTTGCGCGCGCAACATAAACCATACGCTTCCATGAAGAGGTCGTCGACCGAAAGCCGCGACAGATCCTCGACCGAAAGCCGTGCGTCTCCTCTACCATCCAAACGCCCTTCGAACCTTCGAGCGGTATCGCCGCGACCATCGACGGCGCCAGCGCCAAAGTACACACGCGCCCCATCGCCAGCTCCGCCGAACAAATACCAAGGATACTCGCGGTCGCCTTCGCCAGCGCCTCCTGCGCAGTATCAGCAACATGCAAGAGCTGTCTCGCCCGCTCCGCCAACTCAATACCAAGCATACTCGAGGTCTCCTTCGCCTGCACCGCCTACGCAGTATCGACCAGCATCACGAGCTGTTTCACCTGCACCGCCAGCGCAATATCGGCCACCTTCACGAGCTGTATCACCTGCACCCCCAGCTCAATATCGCCCATCGTCGCGATCTGTATCACCCGCACCGTCCTTTCAATATCGCGCATATGATCGAGGTCCATCGCCGTCGCCGTACCAAGATGAACAGTTTCGGAGACAGTCAATGGCGTCAATGGCGTCCTTTCAAGATATGGGGTCCCCTCCGCCTCCACCTCCTCCTCCGCACCGCGTTGCCTATAATCCGAGCAGAGCGCCCTCACCTGCGCCGCCGCAGCATGGCTACCATACACCTGAGCCTCCATCTCCTGACCCACGTACCGGAAGTAAGGGCAACTTTACGCCGTCGCCATTGACGAACGCAATGGGCGATGTCATGTCTGCTCTACAAGACATGAGCGTGGCATCCCCAGGTGAGCGTGCTACACCACCCGGTGTCTGGTCACCGGAGGCGTTCGATGAGGTGTACAAGGCATCAGCGAGGAATAAAGTGCGTGCACAAACGTCGATAGGGATCAGCAATGATAGTGGATTCTACGACGGTGAGGAGACGTTGGACGATGGCCCACCCCAAGTCCACAATTACGTTCAGCGAATGGAGAGTCGCTTGCGCCGCATGCATCAGCAGGAAGGTCCGAAGAATGACGAGCTCTTCATACCTGGAGATGCGTCAGGCCAGCCACCCGCAGTTCCGCCGAAGAACAAGTACCAGAGCAGACCTGGGTCCGTCATGGCAGAGACAGAAGACATGGAGCGCAGAGGGTCGAAAACTCTCCGCCATCGCAAGTCAGCATACGAGATCGGCAAGAACGTTTTGGGTAGGACCTTCACAACGAAGACCAATTCGACCACTGCAACGCATACGAGCAGTAGTACGAATCGAAGCCTAATGTCCGGGGCATCTGCAACAAACATGAGCTCTACAAGCGCCGGAAGCTACTACCGCAAGAAGTTCGCTAAAGAGCGACCAAAGAGCGTGATGGAAACCTCCAGAGGTGCAGGCAAGGGCTTCGGGTTTGATGAGGGACGACCAGAATCACCCTTCACGGGAGTCACATATCATTCCAGTCATGCTTCTGGAGAGAGGCCTGGTTCAAACGAAGGGCAGCAGCCCTGTCAAGACGGTCCCGATCCGCTGGGAGGATTGATGCAACCGACAAAGAGAAAGAGCGGTTTCTTCAGGAAGATGATCGACACTGCCAAAACGCAAGCTGCCAACGCACGCAGTACCATTGCATCAGGATCAATTAGCAGGCCAGGCTCCCGAGCAGCCAGTCGAGCAGCGAGTAGAGCGGGCAGTCGAGCAGCCAGCCGACTGGATGGTCGAGGTCCGATAGGCATCGCAGGAGGGACGGCGGTGCAATCGAACGCGGCACGGGATATGGGTTTGAACGGATCAGTCGACTGGGTCCAAGTGCGAAGAGATATCAATCGGTCCAATTCCCTCAGCAAAAACGAAAGAACCGAACGCGCCGATCGCTGTCAGATGATGGATATACCAGTCATTAACCCAGTCGACATCTTGTATGACTCTGCTGAAGGAGACGAGGGGCTGGACGGACTGCCAATAACAGATCCTACGGACTTCAGCGCGTCTAATCTTGTTCTAGTTGACAAAAGTGCAAGGTTCATCAACAGCATCCCCCTCGGAACAACGCCTACATCGCTGGCGCAAGGGTATGTCTGTAGGCCATACAGAAGTGACGTTCAGCGTCTACGAGCCATCTTCACGTGGGTTAGCGAGCGTATAGCTTGGGAGGAAGACTTTGAAGGCGAGATCGATACACGTCATGTGCTCCAGAGCAAACGCGGCTGCTCCCACGAAATAGCTATAATTGTGGCAGAGATGTGTGCGTCCGTTGGTCTACATGCAGAGGTTGTCAGAGGATACCTCAAGACTCCAGGAGAGCCTTTAGATCTGGAAAGCGTGGCACACCCCAACCATTTCTGGAACGCAGTCATTGTTGAAGGCGAATGGCGTATAATGGACTGTTCGCTGGCCGGACCCACCAACCCCAAAAGGGTGCAATATTCCAACGCCGGTTCCTCAGTCGCTGAGATTTGGTACTTCCTCGCCCGGCCGATGGAGGTCTGCTATTCTCACGTTCCGCTGCTGCCGGAACAGCAACACATCTGCCCCCCGCAACCCCACGATGTCTTGATGGCATTGCCGTGCGCAACACCCATCTACTTCAAGCACAACCTCCATTTGGCGGACTTCGATACCAGCTTGCTCAATCTGGACAACCTCGAGATGGCACATATTCACATCAACGTCCCTGAGGATGTTGAATGTGTCGCAGAAGTTGAAGCAAGAGCCATTACCCAAGATGCGGATGGTGACTATTTTGAAAGTGGCGATATCGTCCGGAAGCCAGCACTTGCACAGGCAGAATGGATTGGAGGCCAGAAAAGATATACTGTGAAAGCAGTACTGCCGAGCGATGAGGGTCATGGTGTGCTCAAGGTGTATGCTGGACCTCGCGGTCTCATGGTAAGTTCTCCCAGAAATACTTCCATCTTCTTTGCTAACGATCCACAGCACTCCAACAAGTTGAATCCTCATTCTCTAGCCCTCGGTCTCCCCATCACGCACACAGGCACGAACCCTCCATACTCGTTCCTCACGCTCCATCCCACTCCCCACGCTCAGCGCCACGACCTCTATGTCGCCCAACCGCAATGTGCCAACATTGCGCTCAACAATACCTTCGTCTTCACCGTACGCCAGCATCCCTCATCGCTCACACGGACGCCCGAGGTTACTTCGCCTGGCCTCACCGGCCGCGCCTCACCCAACCCTTTTGCGCGTCCAGCATCGGCTATGAGCATGCAAAGTGTCTCAGCCTCCGGATCAAACTATACAAATCCATCGCAAGCATCGTCCAGCTCATCGGGCAGCACTTCGATGAAGCCGGCCAAGCTCGCGGTGCAGACGCCATCAGGCAAGATCATCCGATTGACGAGGAAGAGCGAACACATGAGCGGGACCAACGATGGCGATGGAAGCTCGTGGGAGACTGTCATCAAGATTGGCGAGAAAGGGACGTGGAGGGGTCTGGTGCTCGCGGATCGCAGTGCGAGGTGGTGTGTCTTTGCGCAGTGGGAGTGTGCCTAATATCGCTCTTCGTACCTTTGAGTGCAGGTGTGTATGGATGTGGTGGATGTTTTGCAAAAGTCGCTGTGTTTCCTTTCCTTTTGTTCAAGCGATGCATACTCATGTTCTACTTCTACGACTTGTACTGCTGCAGCGTTTGGGCCTGGCGCATATGCTAGCATTGTGGGCGGCGTCTGTATGATAAGGCATAGCCTCGTGGCTGCCTTTTTAGGTGTATGAATTTAGATGAGTTTTGGTGTTCTATTTGAATTCCACCCCTTGCGCACCTGTGATGATGTTGCTCGAATGTGCACTGAGGTTTTGCGAGGCCAGCAGAGGCCTCAAGCCTCGCTAGCGCCCTAGCGCGGGGTAGATGCGTCCCTGCCAAGACCCCCACTACGACTCATTCCCATCGAAAGTTATCCCAAAACTTACATCTTCACAACACAGAATTCCGACAGTCTCACCGCGAATCCTACAAAATGACCTACGAAGCGCACATCAAAGAGTGGCAGGACCGCGCCGAGAATTTGAAGCCGCTAAATTTGAAGTATGGAATCCCCTAGGTACAGTGGATTTGTTTGCTGGTAGAAGAAAGACGCAGAAGCGAGCAACGGGTCTTTCTTCTACCATGAAACATCCATGAGATACAATCCCAATATCTTGGCTCTCACACTGACTACATACCCACATCTCAGGCAGATCGAGCCTTTACTATATGAGCTTGACAATCATCTAAGTAGGTAGATGCAGCTGTTCACTGGGAACCGATGGACTGACACTCCAAAGCACTTCGCTCGCACATAATTGGATATGGCCTGACGGTATGATGCTCTACCATGCCGTATGATCAACGTGAGATCTTGGCTAATGAACGTAACAGGATGCGGATACTACTGTTTGGTCGGTATTGAGAGGAAACCGCGTGGCACACGCATACATCAAGTTAGTGATGAAGACTATTACAATCACACTTAGAAACTGACATTTCGATAGGCAAGGACTGATGCGAAACCTCTCACGCTGGTTCTTTTACATAGAAGCTGCCTATCCCCAGCAGACCGTTGTTGTGCAGGAAGGCAAGAACAAAGACGCCAGCAAAGCAAAGGAAGGTGGCAAGCAGAAGGATGACGGAGCAAACTACGATATCGGGTAGCGTATCCAACACTCCACCTGCTAGGATGTAATTAACATGCACTAGACTCCAAGATGTCGGTGATGGGACCGGTGTCGTCACCAGGTTCCCGCCTGAGCCTTCGGGCTACCTCCACATCGGCCACGCAAAAGCCGCCTTGCTCAACGATTACTTCGCGCATGAGAAATATAAGGGCAAGCTCATCCTCCGATTCGACGACACGAACCCGACCAAGGAGAAGCAGGAGTTCCAAGATGCTATTGTTGAGGATCTGGCGCTCATGGGCATCAAGCCTGATTCTGTCTCATACACGTCCGATTACTTCGATCACCTGTACGACGTTTGCGTACAGCTTATCAAGGACGGCGGTGCCTATGCAGACGACACGGCGCAAGAGCGTATGCGCGAAGAGCGTATGGACGGCATTGCCAGCGCGCGTCGCGACGCTGCAGTGGAGGAGAACCTGGCGCACTTCGAGGAGATGAAGAAGGGCACCAAGGAGGGTCTCCGATGGTGCATCCGCGCCAAGATGTCGGTGGATGACCCGAACAAGGCTCTTCGTGACCCGGTCATTTACCGCTGCAACCCGGAGGAGCACCATCGCACTGGGGCCACATGGAAGATCTATCCGACCTACGACTTCTGCTGCCCTATCGTGGACTCTCTTGAGGGCGTCACCCACGCTCTTCGCACAACCGAGTACAACGACCGCGATGCGCAGTATCAGTGGTTCATCAAGACGCTCAAGCTGCGCGGCGTGTACAACTGGGGCTTCGCTCGGCTCAACTTTATCCGCACTTTGCTTTCGAAGCGCAAGCTCACCAAGATTGTGGATGAGGGCGTCGTAACGGGTTGGGAGTGAGTTTAGCATCCTCCATTGCTATACCATGTACTGATTCCTATATTAGCGATGCCAGGATGCCGACCATTAGAGGCGTCCGGCGCCGTGGAGGTAAGTCCCTTGGTGCAAAGTGGGTGTTTCCATAAAGCAAGAGAAATATTCTTCTTTGTCTACTTCAGGCATGATAGAAGGTTCTTCCTTTGGCTTAGCTGAGACACCAGCAAAGTACCCTCATTACACTTATTTAGGTATCCACTAACTCGGTATCAGTCGTCATCCCCGCTCTACGTGAGTTTATTCTAAAGCAAGGCCCATCGAAGAATATTGTGAATCTAGATTGGTGAGCTAGATATCATTACCATACATTTTAGAAATACACTGACGGTTTTGGCAGGCATTCATTCTGGGCGACCAATAAAAAGCATATCGATCCGGTCTCTGCCCGTTACACCGCCATCGCCGACGCCGCCAAAGTTCCTGTCACCGTTGTCGGAGCCCCCGCCGGCGTCGTCACCGAGGAGAAAGCCAAGCACGCCAAGTATGATCTCGGCAACAAGAAGGTCGTTCTCAGCAAAGACATCTTCCTTGAGCAGGAGGACGCGCAGTCGTTCGCCAAGGACGAGGAGATCACGCTCATGAATTGGGGTAATGCCATCGTTCGTAACATTTCGCACTCCATCAACCCTCTGGCCTCCCCCTCCGGACTCAAGACCGTGACCGGTATCGAGCTCGAGCTCCATCTCCAGGGCGACGTCAAGAAGACGTCTAAGAAGGTGACGTGGTTGTCTACGGACCAAAACCTCGTCCCTGTTGAGCTCGTTGACTTCGACTACCTCATTACAAAGGACAAGCTTGAAGAGGATGATAAGCTGGAGGATTTCTTGAACAAGAACACGAAGACTGTGACCAAAGCAGTTGCGGATCTGAATGTGGCGGACCTGAAGGTCGACGATGTATTCCAGTTCGACCGCAAGGGATACTTCAGAATCGACAGGGCGTTCCAGCATGGCGAGCCGGCTGTGGCGTACAAGATTCCGACGGGCGGCAAGTAGACTACCGCACGTATTTGAGAGTGGGTGGCGAAATCTTGCTGTGTCGCGCTGGCATCGTTTTGACAAAGCCTCTATACATAAGTCTGTGCGTAGTAACATGTTAAAGAATCGAGAAAAAAAAAAGAATCTGCAGATCATGAACTTCACTCGATTGATCAAAGTCTTGCGATGTGGGACTTAGTACCTAGGTGGCCTTTGTATTCACCACGGTGTGCGAAAAACTCAAAACGCAGACTCGAAAGGGCGCACCCTCTCACCCTCTTGTTTTCGGATACTGTAAAACTCAAAATCACTTCGAGGCCCGGCTCAAAAACAAAATTGACATTTTTTCTTGATTCGGTGTGAAGAACTGTATGCTATCGTTGTACATAGCGCAGGGCCACCTAAGTCAACGCGGTCAGGTAAGACGACGCCAGTGTTGAAAGGCGATACGTGAACACAGTATTAGGTGAAGCGCCGACGAGGCGGTGATTCCAAAGCGCTGCACATAGTAGGATACATGGTAAAGAGCGACAAAGTTGGATTGCGTGTATAGATAATAGTCTGAAAGCAACGCCAAATGAGTGTCTGAGATACCTGAAAGCAACGCAAAACGAGCGTCTGGCGAAAACCCACCGGTGCGCCAACGACAGCGCCACCTAACGGACGAAGTAGATCCCAAAAGATCAACGAACCCCCTAAACGAGTGTTACCTCCACCTATTCCTCCACATACACACCCAGCAAGAACAATTTGATTCCAACAGCCCACCGTTTCTCCTCTCGTCTCCCAATCAGAGATGACCCTACTTCTCTGCCACCACCGGCTGTACAACTCCGTCGACCCTCTCCTCCCCAGCAAGAACCTTGTGCGCACCGCTCCAGAGTCCAAGTCTGCGCTTGATCGCTTTCCACACCTCGATGGCAGCGATGTAGATTGCAACGCAGCCGAAGCTCACGCCCCACTCCCACGTCATGGAGCCATGCTTGAACACCTCTCTATTGATTACGGGGAGATATACGATGGGAAACATGATCGTGAAGCCGGCAGTGACGGCCCAGAAGAGGAAGCGGTTACGCCAGACAGTCGGGAAGACAGACAAGCCGCGAGGTGTTGTGCTGTCAGGATACAAGTTGAATAGCGAGCGCGCGAAGTGCTTGACCTCCCATGCCGTGACAAGCAACAGCAGCGTAATCGTCGCGTAAGTAGTCGCTCGAGCGCGGAAAGCAACTCCACACGTCTCATTCCAACCCTCGTTACACCCGCTACCCAGATCACCGCCTCCAGGGCCTGCATACGCAACGACAGCGAAGCTTAGCAGACACAGTGAGCCCATGAAGAAGCCGTAGATGAACTTGTCTGTGATGAGTTCCTTTGTGAAGACGCCAACGGAAAGGTTGTGTGGAGGGCGGAGCATAGAGTCTGGCTGGGACTCCTCGAGGCCGAGGCCGATGGCGAGGAAGGAGGATGTGATGAGGTTGACCCAGAGAATTTCGATGGGAGAGAGCGGGAAGACGGAGTGCGCGTCGCGATCTTTGAAGGCGAGGCCGATAAGCAGGAGGATTACTTGGGCGATGTTGGAGATGAGGAGGTGCATGAGGAACTATGTTGGTGTTAGTGTAAGGTTCTCCGCGACTAGGAATGAGAGGAAGGCATTATAGAAGACATACCTTCTGAATGTTGTCGAACAGACGACGTCCTTCTTTCACTGCTTCGACGATGGAGGCGAAGTTATCGTCCGTCAAAACCATCTTTGCAGCGTCTTTGGCGACGTCAGACCCTGAGCCCATGGCGATACCGACATCAGCCTTTTTGAGGGCGGGTGAGTCGTTGACACCATCACCAGTCATAACACAAAACTGCTTCCTCCTGTGAAGCGCTTCAACCATCTTGACTTTCGTCGATGGGCTGCACCGGGCGACAACGAGAGGCAGTTGTTCCATAGCGTCAACCTCCTCTTGACCCAAGGCGTCGAATTCTCTGGCAATCATAACAGTCTTGCCTATCTGGCCACGGGGTAGCGAAGCATCGATAATACTGACAGCTCGCGCTATGGCCTCGGCAGTAGCGGGGTGATCACCCGTGAGCATATGCACCGTAATGCCTGCGACCTGACAATCTTGAACGGCCTTTTTGCTTTCCGGACGAGGTGGATCGTAGATAGCCACCATACCGATGAAGTTCAGACCTTGTTCCACAGCTTCACGCTGGTGGAGATCCGTGCCCACTGGCAAGAGCTTGTGGGCAATGCAGAGGACACGAAGACCGTCTTTGGCCATGTTCTCTGCCATTTCTTCGATCTTGGCCTTTTCAGACTGGGGAATATCCAATACTGGCAACATGAATTCTGTGGCGCCCTTGGTGTAGACGTCCAGATGGCCAGCCTGTCTGTCTTCGTAGACAACGGTCATCTTCTTGACAGATGAGTCGAATGGAAACTCAGCAGCAAGACGAATGTCGAGCCCGGAGAGTAGTTCTTCTTTGCCCATGCCGAAACGCATAGCCAAGACCTGGAGAGCGACCTCTGTGGGTTCTCCGAAAGCTTTCCATTCCCCAAAGATTAACGTACTCTGTCCAGAAGCGGTGGTAGGACGTGTGATGGTAGCAGATTGGATAGTTGAGGCATCGGTACCATCATCGTCGTCACTCATCATTCGCTCGTTTGCGTCTTTCTTCCCGACGGTAGCATCATCAGAAGAGTTGGCCGTATACTCTACCTTAGACTGGTTGCACAGTGCAATCGTCCTGAGGAAGCGTGTACAGGCACCATTAGGAGAGAAGCTATTGGGGTCGAGACGGGTGCTGTCGTGCGTGACGAATCCGCTGTTGGGGTCATAGGAGTGTGAAGTGCCGTCCACCTCTAATGTACCAAAGCCTGGGATGATCGCCCTTCGAGCAATCATCTTGCCCGTTGTGAGAGTGCCTGTTTTATCACTGCAGATTGAAGTCACCCCACCCACAGCTTCAATGGCTGAAGAAACACGGATGATAACGTTGGATCTACACAAACGTTTAGTAAGCGTGGCCCTATGAGTAATGATGCAGCTGGGGTCGACTTACCTGGCCATTGCTTTGGCCCCCACGGCGATGGTAATAGTTAAGACTGCAATAAGAGACTCTGGAATGACAGCAACGGCGACACAGATACCGTAGATCAATACTTCGCCACCAACCTGCCATTTGTTTGCCGAAAAGACAATAATGGCAAGTAGAATAGCGAGACCAAACAGTAAGAGAGCGAATTTGCTGAGACTGATCTGGAGAGGCGTTCCGTCAAGTCCAAGAATTGACTTTACGGTCTTGACAGTCTTTTTCCAAAATTTGGCCAGCGGTCCAAGATCATGCAATGTTTCGTCCTTTTGGCGAAGCATGTTAGCAATCTTGCCGACCTCGGTCTTCATGCCGGTTGAGACGACAATCGCCCTGCAACGCCCGCGCTTCATCTCACTTCCGGAGAACGCGAGGTTTAGACGGTCCCCTAGAGGCACATCTGGGTCATCATAGAGTTTCGAGGGATCCTTTTCTATAGGCTCCGCTTCACCAGTGAGAAAAGCCTCGTCAGTGGAGACATTCAAGCCATCCACGAGGCGAATATCGGCTGGGACCTATCAAGTCAGGAAGTTGTAGGAGTATAGGTGTTAATCGGTAGGGCTACTTACGATGTTACCGGTCTCCAGCTGTACAATATCGCCGGGGACGAGGTTGATCGCCTGGATTTTGATGGTGTCTCCACCACGTATAACGATGGACTCTGGCGCAGTCAGGCTTTTGAGAGATTCTATCGTCTTCTCTGCCTTGTAGTCTTGCCAAAACCTATAGAGTCAGCAGGTCTATACGTCAATGGTACATGGGAACGCTTACCCGACAACAATGTTGAGGAGGATGACTGCAGTGATAACACCGCCTTCGATGTAATCATCGATTCCAAAGCTTAGCGCCATAGTGATGAGAAGGACCTGAGGCGAAGCGTGTTAGCCTTCATTTGGTACCGGCCGAAGATTGGAAGGCATGAACGATGGATGATTAGGAAAGCCACGTACAAGTGTGAGACTGTTGGACACCTGCCTTAAGAGAAGCGCCCACAAGGATAGCCCTTCAGCTCCTTTAACCTTGTTAGGCCCATGGATCTGGAGGCGAGATTCCGCTTGGTCGACGCTGAGACCATTGCTAGAGGAGGTGTCAGTAGACTAGATGCGGTGTGGATGAAGGTCGCATGGTACCCGATGTCCACGTCCAGCGTCTGGGCGACTTGTGCTGTGGTCTGGCAGTGCCAGGCCGTGAGCGGCGAGGCGTTCCCGACGTCGCGTGAGACTGGTCGCGAAGGTTGGTGGTGTTGGTGGTGGTGTGTAGAGGCTCCATGTTGGGCACCTAAAGGGGGTTCGGTTTCTTGAGGGTTCTCCTCGGCCGTAGAGAAGTCGGTTTCACCCATTCAATATGAGATACACACACGAGAAGTGTCGGAATGTAGTAAGAATAGGGAGAGGCTGCGCGGGGCCAGATATAAGGCGGGGTTACACGCCCACTAGGCGAGCGCGCCGAGTTGGGGTGCTTGTGTGTGGGCCTACCCAAGGAAGGAACGTGGGGATAGGGCTTGGTATCTCAATCGCTCTTGCCTTGCTCACCAGTGGGGTGCAGGCACATATGTCTTGCTGCAGCGTTGTGCGCCCCTCAAACCACATGGCTCTGTTCGCGACAATCAACGAGTTTCCCCAGGCTGTCTCGACAAGCGGCTCTGTTGCACACGCCTGCAGTTGGTGCCGTCCCAGGTTTGCTGAGCGACAAGAGCCTTGGCTGACGGCTCCAAGACAACGAAAGTACACTTTCAGACTGATGAGTCTGGTCATGTAGATGCCACATTGCCGAACAGCCGGCAGAGTTCGCATAGCGCCACGGGAAGTTACCAGTCATCTACTGCATGCCCTGTTTGAAAGAAGACGCGTGCATGTCGTCCGCACGGTGCGAGCCGGTGAATGGTTGTCTGGTCCGGGCAGTATGGTTTTCGACGCGGTTATTGGCTGACTCGTGCCTTTGTCAGCCCGTCACCATCCACGAATCGTATGTTATCTGGATCGACCGCGAGCCACGTTTTCCCGTCGAATGCAGCTCTTGCCGTGGCACACTCCCCGCATACCGTATGCAGCTTCACCTCCACGCCTGGCTTCTCGTGGTCCATTCTCATGAGCCCAGGAGGCTCCCGCAATCAGGTCAGCTTCTGGGTGGAATGGTTACTGTGGCGTGTCCGATCCAATGACAGATGGCTGCTACTCCTCCGCCACGGCATGCTCCTCTCGCAGTGCTTTGTACGCCCGGAGAGAGCTCGAAAACAGCAAAGAAGCGCCGCAGTGATGCAGTCTTCACCGTATGTTGGTGCGTTCTGATGTGGTGTCTGATTCGCTTGTCTTATCGTTGCCATGGCGGAGAGCCTCGGCCAGTGGGCTCGCTTCGCGCTTCTGGAAGGAGGGAAGGCCTGTCACCATCATCGGCAAGGGCTGTTCACGATGTCGAGGCACAGGCAAGGAGAAAGCTTTTGAATTAAATCCACATCCAGAATCCCAGAAAAGCGCCAATTACCCGCTCCCATATGCTGTGTATACCCAAAGAAACCTGCACCAAACGATGCCGCAGTCATCAAAGTCGTAAATGCGCGTGCCTATTCACCACCCGTCTCTCAACATCTCCGATTCTGACACGCCTGATGATCGGCGAGGCGCGAGCTGGATGTCAGCTTCGGCCATCGCTGCCTCGAGCGACATATTGAACGTCGAGGCGAGATACTGTGCGTAGCGCTGGCGGTATGCTGCTGACTTGTCTTCATTGGACTTGTACAGCTCCCGTTTTGAGTCCTTGCCTGGGATAGAGGTTAGAGTTGCAGCCTTTGTAGCAGCGATCTAGTATACCCGAAGCCGAATGGAGTATTATCGAAGGTGTGCTTGGCGAGAGCGTAGGTGACGAGGAAGGAGAAGAAGAGGTGCTGCTGAAGGGAAGAGAAGGCATGGTGACGGTGGCTGTGGGTCTAAGGATTCTACGGCGAAGCTGGATTGATCTGTGGCGTCGATCTTGTTTGGATAGAGTGTTGCGTGGAAGAGGGACGTCCCGATTGGAGTGCAGTTGAAGCTAGAGATGAAGCTCGATGATTGTTGCTGCTTCGAGGACGAGTAAGCAGAGACTTTATATGCGCCCGTCCAACCTCACCGCAACAACAGACTTAAGCTTGAGACACGGACGCCGATGGTAAGGTATCGTCCTGCATCTCGATGAGGGCCCGGTAGTACGCTACCATTGGCAGCTGAGTCTTACCAGGGACGCGCAAACATGGATCGGGTATAGTGCGCCATTTTTCCTAGACGCTCCACTTCACCGCCAGAACCCGATTCAGCCAACAGAAAGTCTGGGGGAAGTCGAGACGTTTCAGCGGCAACGCAAGATCCCAGTCTGCCATCGGGATCGCCTTCCTCTGGCACCGCGCCACTGCGCACCAATGCCGTTTTCTTGATTTCAACCCAGGGATCGACATGGCTACAGGCCCGGCTCACGATAGCCAGCTCTGTAAGGAAGTCCACGATGCATCGGCGTTGTGCCGTTTTGCATCTTCAGAGTCTCGCCATGACTAACGAGCAGATGGCGTGCATGACGAGTCTTTGCCACCATTTCACCGGGCGGTTTCTAGAACCGCTAAAAATGACAGCAGGTACGCAACGAAGCATGCCATACGACGACAACGTGACGACGACCCGCCAGCCGCGGCTCCGCAGTGGGCTTGGTGGATACAGCCGTTCGCCATACCCAAACAAGCCCGTTACTCTTTTCGACTTGTTGCGGGTTGCTGCAGCAAATTATGCCAACAAGCTGTGCCACACTCACCCACTGTTATCGTTTTTAGACTCGCACATGCTGCGATAAAAATGGAACCCCAATTTCTGGACCCGTCCTGCAAATGTGCTCGCCTGCACGTTCCTGCAACTAAATTCAGCACAACTTTAACCCGCAGCAAACCGCGCGCAATAGCTCGACGTCCTTATCGCACGTTGCGCCGTCTGAATCGTCATTGTGTGCCGAGTACCACAATGTACCCCTACTCTTCTAACAGCGCATCAGCGAGGTCCTCCGACGTGGGTTGCGATCCTTTCAATACCAGAAGTTACAACCGCGTCTGTTAAGATGACAACATAATGCATCGGTCTCGTGCCTCGTTACGGCATGAACTGGTTGGATGCCTCATTGGAAGCACCTCAAACGTCACAGTGGCCTAGGGCATGTCGTTCCAACGAATTCCATGCTGGGTTCGTTGTCACGAGGGCTGTCCGACGTTCCGGCGTCGATCATGGGGGGCTTTTGCGTTGCGGGGCCGTCACTAGTCTGGTGTCGGCAATCACCCCTCTGTGCCTGGACGCTTGGGCGCCGCCGCATACGCCGCACCCCGTCACGACTTATGCCCGCTGACTCTGCTGGCGGAGGGAGAGGTCATGCTGTCCGGAAATCGAGAGTCCAAACTCGAAGAGCAGCACCTTTCAATACTTCACGAGATCTTCAACACATCGGAAGTGTGCCTTGAGATAGCTAAACAGCTTAGCTCCCTACGCATCTTACACCACTACCATGTACTGCGAACATGTCATATGGATGATAGCAGAGACTTTCTGACACCACAGTCCGTGAAACCACGAGAATTCGCCAGAGCAAGTGCATACCGAAGATCATGACGGACCCGCAGGACGACCCAAGAGCTTTCGCATTGCGGATTCACTGGACCTATTCTTACACATAATCTTTCAAATTGCAATCTCCCAAAACTAACGCACTTTCTCTGTCGATCTTTTCATTTCCACAGGTCGAATAACACCATTCTCGCGTCCCAGCCACGCAACTGAGGCATTTTCAACCTGCGCTAGCACTACCGACGCCTGGGGTCACTACCAACTCTAATTAGACTTCATTCCTTTTCACTCACCATCAGAAGATGAGGAAGGCCGATATTTACCACGGGCGCCAGTGATCACCGATTGGACATCGCTACCGCGAAAATATACAACCTCACCGCAAGACATAACAGACAACACAGGCAAGTAGCTTAGACGCACGCAATGTTGCACATTGTACTTCTCCATCTACCAACTTCCAATATCCAACTGCGGAACCTGTGGCATCTCCCACCTCCTCTCCTCCGTCGTCCCATTGCCAAACGCGCTCAAGCTCGGTGGCACGTCCTCCGGCCTTGTTCCCCACGCGCTTTCAGCCGCGCCAAGTGTCAACTCCAGTGTTCCTCCCTCCAAGAAGAAACTATGCTGCAGCCAATTCTTCGTATATGCCTTCCCGTTAAGTGTGGCAGACTGGATGTATATGTTTTTATTCGAGGGGTCGAAGTTGACGTTCTTGATAGTCGCCGTCTTACCCGTCTGCCCGTTCGTGATCGACACCGACTCGAAGAACGGAGGCGTGATGAAGTACACGTCCTGCCCGGCATTGGGAAAGATGCCCATCATGGTAAGGGCTTCGAAGGAGCCCATGGCGCCGCTGTCATCGTTACCTGGGATACCATTAATGGTGTCGTTGAACTGGCTTGGAATGTAGAAGTGTGCGCGCTCTGCAGACTTCGCCGGACGACCCGCGTAGTGGTACAGGAAGACTTTGAGGAAGGCTTGCTCATCTCCTATGTAAGCCATGCCTGAATCGTGGAAGAAATCCAAGCGCTTGACGAAGGTGTCGGCGCCGCCGAGCGTCTTAATCAGCGTCTTCATGTCGCCGGGCGCGAAGAACGTGTATAGCCATACAGGGCCTTCGTATGTCTCACGGCCGCTCGGGTTGAGATAGCATCCAGTGAAGTCCAAGAGCGGGCTGCAGAAGATGGGATCTTGCAGGCCCCAGGTGCCGTTCATATAGCGTGGCTGTAAGAAACCCGTGAAGCCGGTATCGGTCCCATTAATGGTCGAGTTTTGGTCAGCCTTAAACATGTTATAGAAGTTGCCTGAGCGGCGGAGATACTTGTTGTAGTCTGCGGTGTGTCCGAGGGCAAGAGCCAGAGTGGCGATGACGAAGTCGTTGTAGGCATATTCGACGGTCCGTGATATGGAGCGCGTTTCGGTACCCACGCCTTGAAGGTCAAGGTTTTCGGTCGGGATGTACCCAAGAGTTTTCCAAGCTTCGAGACCTCCACGTCCTTGGAGGGATTAGCGGGGGACTCGAAGTGCGGGAAGACATCATTACCTTCAATATCCCAATTCGGAGGCTCGACTTCGGCGTCTGTGACGACAGCTTCGTATGCTAAATTCCAATCGATGCCGTGCGTTATGTTCTTCATATACGAATCCACGATGACGATATCCGCATTCGAGCCGCCTTGAGTGAAGCCTGGCCTGGGTCAGCAACTTATTTTAGTCAAGCCAAGCAGCCCATCTACCTTTGCAGAAGCTCATCCGGCAGTCCGGCAGGAATCCCTCGTGTTTATATATGTCCAAGAGACTCCTTACCATCAGCGTCTGGCTGTGCGGATCCAGCAGCGTAATCAATGGATGTATACTACGGAAACTGTCCCAGATGCAGTAGTAGCTGTCATAGTATGGCTCGTTGGAGTTCCAAAGCGGATTCTCTCCAGTGTAATCTTGCGGGCTGATCATGCTGCGATACACGCCGCTCCAGAACGCCGTCTGGATGACCTCGCTCGCACCTCCAGCCACGATCTTGATCACATCAAACTTCTCGGTCCACACCTTTTCAGCAGCTGCGACGGTGCCATCGAAGTCGAAATCAGCCTGCTCTCGCTCGGCGTTGCGACAAGCTTGTGTCTCACTAAGGAAAGACAGTCCGACGCGCACGAGGATCTGGTTATTGCTGGTAGGCTTCTCGAATTGTACGAAGCCACCCGCTGGACGCTCGGCATATCGTTCTGTCTCAGTGATAGCCTTGAGTGACTTCACCTTTGTCGTCGCACGCGAGTTTGAAAACACGCCAGCATCCTTGATTGTCGCACCCTTGAAATCTACGCATACGAAGGAAGAATAGCGCCCTATCCCAAAGCTAGGAGAGAACGAACCGCCGGCAGTCAAGCGCCCTGATTGTCCATTGATGTTGATGGAGGCATTGGTTCTCGTGTTGGGGAGATCCTGGAGCTCGAGGGATATCAGCGGGCTAAGCGTGGTGTTGGGGGTTAAAGGTGCCTCGGGAAATGTGAAGCGATATAACGCCGTGCGATTAGTGGTGGTCATCTCGGCGCGGACTCCTGATGCAATCGTGATGTCGAAGTAGCCGGGTTTGGCATGTACTGTTCCGTTGATTCTTGGCGTAGCGCGCTCCCAAGAAGTGTAGTTGCACGCGTTAATGTCGCCATTCGGACAGCCTGCCTGGGCGAAGATGGGGAAGTTTCCCAAGCTACGAGCCTGGCTGTATCAGTACACAGCCATCAGCACCATTTTGTGAGGACCCACTCCTCCTGTACCAGAGTCATGCATATGCGAAAAGCCTATGATTGAGCTGTTGTCTGAGCTAAAGCCGCCTTGGTTTTCGTCGGCGTCTGTGTCCGGACATGCTTTCGCCATGCCTGTGTTCATGAGCGTATGAAGTTGTCATGCGACAAATGCGACATACCGAAAGGCAGCGTCGCACCAGGGAAGACATGGCCTACAGCGTGTTAATCGTTTTTCATCGCGTGTTTTATGGAATACACGCCTCCATTTACCGTTCCAATTAGTGGATCCACATATTGGAAAGGCGTCTTCTGCGCGCTCACAACCGCAGCGCCCGCAGCGCACACCGTATAAATGCCGTATTTCCACCGCATTCTTCGAGGTCCTGTTGTGACAAAGAGCCCGAGACCGATTTGAGAGCCGCGCGAGAGAGGAATGCGCGCCGCGTATTTAAGTGCAGCACAATCCTATCACGCTTGGCGGGTGGCAGGCCCACATCTGCGCATGCTCTTCCAAGGCTGTCGCGTTACATCGTGACCGTTTTATTGAAGCATGCAAGCGTGCAGGAACGGGAAGGTTGCGCAGTTTAGCCAGAAAGAGTAGCCCGTTGAACTCAATGTTCGGCAGTGGCTGCGGGGTACAGAGAACTAGCGGGGATATTAGGACGTCATGGGAGTATCGAGGAAAGTTGGCGGTGGAGTTGCAGTCGAATATAGGAACGTCGCCGGGCGGTAGCACGTAGATGTGGGCTGGGCGTAGTTGCTTATGTACCTAGAGGTACTTTGGCAGTGATGTACGGTTGCATCGTGCTCCTCCACGCACGAGATGGATTAGTCTCTGCCGATCCGGATCACTTGTAAGGTTTGAAGAGCTGCATGTGAATCTTTAAAAGTCTGAATTTCCTTGAATATACGGAAAGTATTGTCAATGTCCACGCAATTCAGTTGAGATTGGTGTCCAAGGTTGGTAACCAGCTGTCTAGCCGAGAGGCTCCCGGCAATTGCAGACACGTGCCATCCTTGCAAGCTGCCTATCGAAGACGAGATCATGTGATAGCGCGTCACTGCATGTGTGTAATAATCACAGATTGGTGTTCCAGTGTTGTAGTGGAAGAGACCGGAGACTGAAGAGACCGGAGACTGAAGAGACCGGAGACTGAAGAGACCGGAGACTGAAGAGACCGGAGACTGAAGAGACCGGAGACTGAAGAGACCGGAGACGCATTGTGCGAGTCATCGGCACCCTCGCGTACCGCTAGATAACACCAGACAGAATGTGGGATCTGACTCAACAGTACTGTATTGTCGGGTATCACGAAAGATCTAGTCATCTATATGCGGCCTATTGTGTACCTGCACCTTTAGGCCTTCCTCCGCATAGATATGGATAATCTTCGTCTGCGAATCATAATCAAATGAACCAAGGTTTCGGTTTCCACCAGCATCTGCAAGCGGGGCCAGGGTTCTTCTCCGCTTGCTCGATGGTGGACTGATGATGTCACTTGGCGAACTACGTGTCGAGCTGATAGAGACCCCGGATGATATGGGTGGAGTAGGGTTACTGTTGACGACCTCGTGTATCCGAAGACGCTCGGAGGTATCCTCGCGCACCAGAATGCTCCGGAACTCCTTCGAGGTACACGTGCCATTGGCCTGAGTGCTTCCTGAGCATTGCGATGACGTGAGCGTGGTGCGAGTGTGCAATGAGTTCTGCTGCGTTTCCTGAACGATTGCGTCCTTTGGTACGGAATCGGTGTGGTTGATGGTGGAGGCTTCGCTTCGTTGAGTCGTATCCTGCGTTGTCTCGCACTCTGAAGTCGTTATCTGAGAACCCTCGTTCTCCTTGAGGTACTTCTTCATAAGCAGAGCTACGTCTCTCGCGTGACCATCCAAGCCCTTAGCATCTGGGACGCTCCACGTCTCCCCAGCCATGAGTTGCAGCTCGTCCATCGACACGGCATCCTCCCAAGTACGATCGAGGTGAATCTTCTTTACCCGAGGATGACGAAGCATCTCGAAGGTCTCGTTTTGCATCTTCTCGTAGCCACTTCCAAGGATCTCGGCCACGAAGGGCACCTTGAAGGCTACCGTCATGCGACGCTCGAAGCCTTTGCTGTGCTCGAGGTCGAACCTGACAGTATGCAGTCAGCTACAGTCTCGCACAGACTGTCGGTCGATCTACACTTACGCATCGATTGATAGGCTGGAACCTAGATCCACCTGATGGAGTCGGCCAACCTGATTGAGGTACTTCAGGTCGCTCTTTGGGATCTGCTTGTCGAGACTGAGACATCCTACTACTTTGAAATTGGGTTTTGCTCTGGAGCGCTGTATCTCTAGCTTATTCGTAATGCATCCGACATGGAAATGAGTCCAATGGAGAGGCTTCAGATCTGTCTTTGAGGCCACCTGAGGGTTGTAGCATGCACCGATGATGGCGAAGTCACCGAGGTCTCGTTGGCCTCCCATATCGCCCAGATAATCTTTCTTGAACTTGATGAAGTATCCGGGCTGGTACACACCTGCTTCGGAATGGAGTGGAAAGTAGGGTACACCTAATGGCTTCAGGATGAGCCCCTCTTGCTTTTCAACGAGCGATCGAGCAAACGCCTGTTTAAGATCAGTGATACCGTGCTCACTCTTAAAATCTAGAAGAGTCCACTGAGAGCGCACAGAGCGGCCAGGAATAATCTTAACAAGGTCGCGCAGATTTCGCCGCCGTTTCTGGAGGCATTGACGCATAATGGGTTCGTCGTCCAACACTAGCACGTCGAAGAAGACAAGCATCAAATGTTCCCATGCGTGAGGATGTGAGTCTTGTAATGTGCCGAGGAATGAACCTGATCTTTTAATGTGCTTCCGGATCTTCGAAAACGATAAGATCTTCCGCTCTCTGTCGCTGTAGAGTACCATTTCTGCCAAAATGATGCAGTTTCGTCTGAACGTGCACTCGGGGTGTCCAATGCGTAGTGCATTTCGAATAGTACCGTGTAGAGGTCGCCGATCTTCTGTCGCGTCTTTGCCATTCTTCGAAAAGATCTTGATGTCATTCGGAGCGCTTTCTACGTCAACGTGAATCTCGCCTACCTGGAATTAGCTGACATGCAAACAGTCTTCAAAAGAACTCACAGTATTCCCCATCATATTTGACTTCAGCGGCCCAGGCTCGATTACCAACAAGTTGGAAACAGTGCTTGAAAGACCAAGCCTTGTGAAATGGTGGGCGCGCAACTTTGACACCAACGGCTGCTTTTAGGAGCCGTGCGGCCTCTGATCGCATCTGGCTCTCCAGAGATGGCTCTGGAGCCGGCGGATAGCGACTCAATTCCTCTCGCAGTATGCGCAAAGCAGCATCGAACTCATTCTGGAATTTCAGAAGATCGGGGAGCAAAAAGTGATACTTCCAAAACACATACGTCTCGTCGAGAGAAATCGTGGTATACTCGCGTAGAAGTAGTCTGACGAACCATTTTGCCTCCCAAGACTCGAGACGTCTGAGGATGTACTTCAATTCAGTATCCGTGCTCATATGCCACTCACGTTGTTTTTGGATGCTTAGGTCGGAGAATCGGTATTTCGCAGCCAGCTGGGTGAGCAGATTATCGACCCTCTCCATCGGAATTGCACGTTTGATCCTGGTAGAGAACGTGCCTATGGAGTATGTCTTGTGAGCATGCGTTTGGCGTATCTTAGCGTTCGGGGTAACGTACCATCCCAAGGCTTGAATGCTAATTCAGTATAACGCCCCAAATCACCATGAGCGCCGGTGGCCCAGCCACCGAAAAGGGCTCTCTGGCCGTGGTTAAAATTCAGTAGTTGCGTAATCTTCCTAGATAGTGACGGCGGTTGCAAGCCATAGACCCTATCTTTTCGTCGATGTGGGAATATAGCTGAAAGTATGGCAGCCGCTGGGGTGTTAGCATCATCTAGGATTAGTTAGAAAAGGAGCAGGTCGTCGCGCTTCGCGTCAAGGGAACACCTACCCAGGTCTTCCCTACGTTCTTTGAACCATCTCGCCACATGCTGGCGAATGCGCTTCTCTACCTCGTCTGGAGGACATCGCGGGCGCCGTGTTGCAATTTTCTCTGCCCCTTCTAGAAGGGCGCACACGTCGCCGAACGCAAGGACCATGAACCCGAATAAATGAACATGAAGGTAAATTATAGATATAAATAGAGATCAGAAGGAAGCAGGTATTGAGTTGACCTGCATCAGGCGGTGATGGCGCTGTGACTGACCTCAGGGCGAGAGTCCGACTGATGCGGGTACACAGTCCGCCAGCCGAAGGTAGTCCACTCCTGCTATACGATGGGTCCAGTTGAGTGAAAAGACGCGTTCCGCAAGAGCGCTTATCGCATGTTGTAGCCGTAGCACTTTACAATTCGTGACGCTCGACAACGCCCCCGATAGTGATACTGTTATAGAAGCAATGACAATGGACTGAAAGATGTTGCTCCACAATTGGAAGGAGGAGTATATAGTTAAGTCTGCGCTTTGTGCGATAGAGTCGCGTCCGGGCGCTAATGCACGACATCACCTGAGCACGCGCTTTTCTAAACTGCATCGGGCTGCCCCACCTCGGCGCGACAGATGCAGGTGCTTTCCAAAACTCTACAACAATCGGGATTCTGCGTGAAAACTGCCATGGCTGAAAGGTAACTATACTGACATGGTGCCTCTGTCTCTTCTCCGACCTGATTCATCCGAATGCATTTGCCCTTTCAAGGCTGCGTGACTTACACACATCCGAATACACTCACAGGGCACGAAGCCTCCGCTTCCGCTGCACTTTCCATTTGCTCATCAACCAACTTTATCGGCGTCGAATACTGCCAGAACTCGTCGCTCTTTCGAAAGACCGAAGTCTACACGTTAGTCATGATGTCGGATGTCGGAGGTTGGCGACGCGTTACGTCAAGCTTCTCGCCAGGGTGGAGGATGCGCTAGTGCATGAGCTCTTGACGAGAGTATTAGGGCGGACATGATACGTTGACATCTCGTCGGTATAAGAAGGCGCGCACGCGCACATTCATCGAGGAAGCTGAAAGGGAATCCTTCACGTTGGACTACCTCGCCACCCTCCCGGTCATCGCATGACCCTATCCGGAAAGCCGCACGAGTAGAGGGGAAGCAACTGTCTACCGCTGTACTGGTACCTAAAGCCGACACGCGCTCAAGTTCACCATCAGACATTCTTGTGTCGTAAGTAGTACATACCTTCGCTCTGCAGCGTTGCTCAAACTAGCCTGTCTGTTGCGAATTGAACCCCCCGATCTGATACATACCAGAGTCACGATGCCAAGTAATTTCATCCCCAACACCAAAGGGTACGATGAGGCCCGCGCCAATGATCCGCGATCAGAGGAGTCGAAGAAGAGGGATCTGATTTCCCGCGGCGACTACACACCGACGCCCGTGGGCAAGCTCGTCTTTGTCTTAGCGAGAGCTTTTGACCCATTTATCCAATACTCTATACTGCATGGCGCAGGTACAGGGCTTCTGCATCAGCTCGGGCTGCGAACGTTGCCACCCGGTACTCCTGCGAACACTGGTATAAGTGCACTTGATGGACTAGGGCTATCACCATATCGACTAGTACTTTTGGGCATGGCCGCGGGAAGCGCGGTGAAGCAAGACATATGGGCAGTCGCTCTTTCGGGAGAGCCTATGAACGTCAACAACGCTATCGCGATCTCAATCTTCAACACAGTCTTCAACAGCCTCAACTCATATGCCTTCCTCATTCGTGCAACTTCTGCTTCGCTCGAATCCAATTTTCCGCAGCCGGCGCTTCTTGTTGGGGGCGCGTTGTATGTAACAGGCCTTCTTACGGAGCTCATCTCAGAAGTGCAAAGGAAGCAGTTCAAAAAGGATCCCAAGAACAAGGGCAAGCCATACACTGGGGGTCTGTGGAGCTTCGCAAGACACATCAACTACGGAGGCTACACTGTCTGGAGGGCGGCATACGCCCTTACTGGAGGAGGCTGGATCATGGGCGCTATTGTGGGAACATTCTTCTTCGTGGACTTCGCCAGGCGGGGAGTGCCCCGTTCTCAATGAGTAAGTCAGGTCAACCGACGTCCATGACATACACTAACACAAGCTCCAGCTACTGCGAGAAGAGATATGGAGAGGACTGGGACAAGTTCAAGAAGCAGACCAAGTACCGCTTGATTCCTGGTATCTATTGAAGCAACTTTTAGCGTAAAGTCTGATGGACCTGGAGCGCTCTATAACCTTGCTCAGCAGTCAATGTCATGCGTCTCGAATCCTCATAGTCCTCCAAGCGCTTACTCGCCCCTCTCAGAGAACACAATCGCACTGACTCCCACACAATAAGTGTGCACACAAGCGCACAAGTCTCAGATGCATTGCGGGCCGCGGGCGCAGGTGCGAGTTCGTAGCACGCGTGTCCAAGCACGGACCGATCGTTCCAGTGAACCAATTGCTCAATCCAGATATTGCACGATGCTGCGGCAGGTGAATTCTCAAGGGTGATACGACATCTATGCGGTCTCAGATACCGGCTCTCCACCGCAGTGCTGGTGCGACTCGATCTCAGATTTGGAATTGGGCCCTGCATTTCTTTGTCTGAATTTCCGTGTACTACCCCACAGCATACGACAGCCATGTAGCAGCAACGACACGCGGCCTGGCAGACGTTCGAGAGGGGTACTGTGCCTGCTCCGAGGAGCGCCAGTCGACATATGGTACCTACCGATTTTTCACCAGGTCCAGACACTTCGCATGGAAAACATCAAGCAAGCGCGACACCTATCACTCAAGATCCAAATCCAGTTGAGTTGCACTACGGTTTCAGCTCCGGCTCAAGAGCATTCGTCCAACGATGTACTGTTAGATGAGCTACGGTAGTCGTTTAGTAGCGTGGGGTCGGCGGGGTAGCAACAAGGTCGCACAAATGTACAGAGCAGGCAACGATCACCGTCCACTTTCCGTGTTGAGCGTGAAAGCGGGAGGAGAGACCCTGTGGCGTTTCCGTAGCTTTGCTACACCACGTCTCTATCACATCAATGTTTGCAGGATGCTGAGACTGTTCGCAGCTTTGGTATAGCTTGTCGAGAGGCCTAGAACCTGCACAATCTATGCAGCAGCGACATGCCAGTCCTTCGCTCTCCCAATGCCAAAGACCCGCCCAGCGGGAAAGGGAAGCGCGGGGAAGCAGAGCGCTCGCACACAGGGTAGCTGCATGCTGCGTCGGCTGGTTTCCGAATGGTTCCCATGACAGTGTAAAGGTGCAGGATGTGCAGGCTGCAGCATCTACCCCGGCGGTGAGGGGTATCTTGACTTCCTTGGAGCTTGGATAGCAAATGGCCGTCGCGCAACCAAATCACCGATGCAGCGCGCTGTCCGGTCGTCGAGCGCGGCTGAAGCACGCAAAAGGTAGTTCAACACCCTCGAGGCGACCTGTGATCCGCTGAAGGTTGCATGGGTCCGTGACTTCTGGTGCATGGCGGAGCGTGATAGGGCGAACGCTTGTCCACGCCGCGCCTTCAACGCTTGTGATAGGCGTCAAAATCCATTCACTTGGGTGCTCTCGCTCGACCAGGGCATGTCCAAGGTCGCATCCCCTGCGGCTATGGTCGGGCGATGCAGGTGCTGTCGGGTGGGAGCCTCCGTGGTCTGTCCTGGCCTTGTGGCCTTGCGCCGAGCGGATTCAGGTTTTCCAAGCTGTCAAAGTTGCGATCGCGATATAGCAGGGATAGGTCATCTTAAGAGCCCTTTGGAAACTGCCCGCGAACGACAGAACATGCCAATGTCGTCATGGATGGAGACTGCTTCTTGTTCCTAGCGGCGGCGCCTAGTTCCAGTAGCCTTGCGATCGTCCGAGGCGCAAAGATAGAAAATCCTCCCGTTTGCTCTTGTTGAGCGCATTTCGTGCCGTCCTCCCCGTCTTCACATCCGCGCTGCCACTTTCGAGACTCTGCTCTGCTCGCCAGGGCACTTGGGTCGTTGGCACTTGTACATACCATTCCTACACCTGCTCTTCTGCGCTCCCCTGTCGCTTGCGATATCCACACTGGGTTTGGTTAGCAGCTGCGTTAGCGGATCTCGGGTTCTGCAGTTCCGATTGTGAGTACGAGTTCGCAGCCTCCGCCCACGTTTTCGCGTGCGGGTCGCTGGTCGTCTTGTCAGCCAGGCTCCGTGGCTGATGTCTCCAGCTAGCCGCCTCAAAAGGTGAAGGCGCCGCCGTTTCCTGAGGCCTCAGCCCCGCCCCGCCCGCAGAATCTCAGCGAAGAGATCAGATCGAGCTTCTCTTAAAGCCTGTCTGTCAGCGTCCCGGATTTTTGTCACGCCATTCGCAGTCCCCGAAAGCGGCTCGTGAGAAAGTAACAACCCGCATGCGGCGGCGATAGCCTTGGCGCCTAACCCCCGCGAACCTCCCACACTCTGTCGCTATATCATTCTTCTGTTCGGCGCGCCCGCTTCACTGCGCGGCCTGCAATATTGTTTTTCCTTGTAGCTCGTTTGAAACATTGGCCTTCCTTGACGTCACGCCCGATCGTCGTTTCACAGGCGGCACCTAGTCCAAGCGAGTGACAAACAGCCATGGCGACAATGGCCCCCTCTGCACACCCTCTGCCCGTCCGGCGTAAACCCATCGCAAACCCTGGTATTTCCGTGCGGCCACCAGTCCCTCCTTTCGACGCACAATCAGGACATTCACGCACACGAACGACGTCTTCAGGCGTGTTTCCCGTTGCTCCTTCGCCTACAACTGCCACCATGAACTCGCAGCAGTATCCGCAACAGTACCCGCAGCAAATGTACTCAGGAGGCCTCCGCCGAACGCCCACCTCCTCTACCTCTTCCACGACCGGAACGCCCGGCCGCACAAACAGTGGGGCACTCCGACGATCCTCCTCCACACGCTCTGGTAATTCGCCCTCCAGCTATGTGGCCCTTATGCGCAAACAGAAGGCCACCGTATGGTGCGACCGATCTCAGTACGATGATCCGCGCGTAGTTGCACAGCAACGCCAGGCAAAGGTATGTAGAGACAGATTTGTATATTGTCAATTGAGCTCCGCTGACTCTATGCCAGATGCGCGCCGTCATGGAAGTCGCTGGTGGAGGCCATCACGCGCCCCACCGGAACTCTTCGGGCAGCTCAGGCGTCGCCGCAGGAGTTCGGTCCAAGGTCCGTCACCACGGTGTACCAAAAGCCTCGTTATACGCACCCATCGCCACGACCGGCTCTGGTGTCCCCATGCGCCTGAGTGCCTCTGAAGTCGACGAGGGTGACAGCGAGGACAACAACTCTGTAGGACAAAGCGCAGGGCCCTACCATCACCGCACCGGCTCTGGTCGCAGCTCTCTGGGTTCCGGTCGCCGCGTCGCCTATGCCAGCGGCCGCATATCGACCAATTCGACCCCACCAAACGGGCAGAACTCATCACCAGGCGAAATGGCAGACCTCCCCGAGGAGGAGACGCCCGTACCTATATACGATAAAGACGACTACTTCGAGCACACCAAGACTGGCTTGAGCGGAGGCAGTGGAAGTAGCGAAGAGAGAAACTTTGGCGGCGTCGGTGCGATGCCACAAGGGCTGCCCAAGGTGGACCCTGAAAAGAACACCTCAGATCTCCATCGGAGAGGCAGTGTGGACGAGCGCACCACGACGATGAGTGGTACGAGGCTTTTTATTGCTAATCCTGACCTGAGCGATTAGACTCCAATTATTTCAAAACCATGATACCCATTAGGAATGTAGGAGCGGGGTGGGTGATGCATGGACATATGGCGCGGCGTCTGGCATATACTCATGGTTCTCTCGTTGGGCTGGCGGTTATTGCAGGATTGCGATGCTGGCATAGCGTTTCTTTTACTTGTTGGATTTACAGTGGGATGTCGCTCGCTGCATGTATATACGTAATGGCAACGGAGCGTTACCCCGAGTATAATTTCAGGAGTGTGTCATATCAGAACCAAGCATGTACTTTGCGAAGTTGAGATTCAAGCATCTTCCAGACCGCAAGCCCAAAATTCATTGCAGCATCATACGACCTATCACGAAGTTCTTCTCGGTGTCCCACTCACTATTAGTTCTCCACAGTCCTGCATACGATCATACGAGGGTTGCCACCGTCCTGCATCATCGTCGATCACTTGGGACCTCGGAAGTCTCGGCGGGCGCTTGCTCCATTCGGAACCTCCTTTCCGAATCTCGGATCTCTTGGCATGCACTACCAATCCAGCATCGCTCGCCGCAAAATAAATCAAAATAAATCTACAGCTCTTGTACAACGTTGGTTTTGGGGCATGCCGCGACGATAAACAGGATTTCGGACCTCCGCGACAGCAATTGGGATAGCATGAGGCAGGCGAACGGTACTCCGAACGGGCACGCGAATGGGCATGTGAAAAGCAATGCGGCGATGAGAAGAGGAGGGCAGAGGAGGGGCGAAGGAGAGGCAGGGACCGACATTACTCGGTGGAGAATGAAAGACGATCGCGGGACACAAACATGGCATTATCTAGAGAGCGATGAGGAAGTCAAGGCGTGGCCACAGAGCACGGCGGATAAGTGGTACTTGGGCATGGATACGGTATGTCTTACTTCTGTACCCCCACCTTGTCTGCATAGTTGAGGCGTAGTACTGACCATTGCATTTGGGCTGTTCTAGGAACTCCCTGAGCTCCCGTCCGCGAACACACCGCTCCAAGCTATACACAATGGCCTCGCGTTCTACAAAGAATTACAACAACCGGTGGGGAACTGGGCGTGCGAATATGGAGGTCCAATGTTTCTCCTTCCAGGCCTCATAACGACTTGGTACGTTACCGAGACGCCGATACCGTGGCATCATAAGGTGGAGATGAAGAGGTATTTGTTTGCTAGGGCGAATCCTGAGGATGGAGGATGGGGCTTGCATATCGAGGGTGAGAGTAGCGTGTTTGGCACGGCGATGAACTACACCGCTTTGCGGCTACTAGGCGTCGATGCGGAAGATGCGCGGATGCAAAAGGCTAGGGCTACACTGTGGAAACTGGGCGGTGCGCTGAAGGCGCCGCATTGGGCGAAGTTTTGGTTGGCAGTGTTGGGAGTGCTCGATTGGGATGTGGTTAATCCGGTGCCGCCTGAGTTGTGGTATGTTTCTCCATATAACCTGGAATACGCAACAGCACGAAAGCTAATGGAGATAGGTTGCTCCCTAATTGGGTGCCCATTCACCCCTGGAAATGGTGGGTACACATGCGAACCGTTTTCCTCCCCATGGGCTACATCTACTCCCAGCGGTGGTCATACCCTCTGAATGATCTTACGAAATCATTACGATCCGAACTTCTTGTCCAGCCCTACGAATCTATTACCTTCATCCGCCACCGCAACGACATCTCCCCAGTGGACAACTACCACCCCAAAAGTCTCGCCTTGCGCCTCCTTTTCTGGTTCCTGGTCCACATTTGGTTTCCCTACCTGCGACCCGCCTCGCTAAAGAAGAAAGCAGAGGATCACGCGTGGTGGATCATCCAGCGCGAAGATGAAAACTCAGACTTTGCCAATCTCGGCCCTGTCAACGGACCGATGAACACGCTTGTCTCGTACATACGTTATGGCCGGGACTCAGTCCCCTTCCAGCGGCATCTCGAGACACTCCCAGAGTTCTTATGGATGAAAGACGAGGGCATGCTCATGAACGGCACGAACGGCGTGCAATGTTGGGATACAGCGTTCACGGTCCAAGCCGTCAAACACTGCGGCCTCATCCAAGACCCGCAATACCACGACATGCTCCACCGCTCGCTAGAGTTCCTTGAAGACCAACAAATGCCCGAAGAATGCCGCGACCAGCACCATATTTACCGCCAATCCCGAAAAGGTGCATGGGGTTTCTCGAACCGACGGCAGGGCTACACAGTCTCTGACTGCACGTCCGAAGGCCTCAAAGCCGTACTAATCCTGCAAACACTTCCCGAGTTCGAGTCCCTCATCCCAGACACCCGACTCCACGACGCAATCGACATCCTTCTGACTATGCAAAACAAGAGCGGCGGCTGCGCCTCCTATGAACCCACTCGCGGCTCCGAGTACCTCGAGTTGCTCAACGCCGCAGAGGTCTTCGGTCGCATCATGATCGAGTACGACTACACGGAATGCACGACCGCCGTGATCACCGCCCTGCATATGTTCCAGAAATACGACTCTGTGTACCGCGCAGACGAGATCAAAGCGTTCAAAGCCCGGGCTATCGACTACATTCGCGCTGCACAATTACCTGATGGATCATGGTACGGCGCGTGGGGCATCTGCTTCACATACGCAGGCATGTTCGCTCTAGAGTCTCTCGCGTGCGCTGGAGAAACATACGCGAATTCCGAGCGTGTCCGCCGCGGATGTAAATTCTTCCTGGATCATCAAATGGAAGACGGTGGGTGGGGCGAGACCTATCGCAGCTGCGAGACGGGCGTGTGGTGCAATCACGCGGAGTCGCAAGTCGTACAAACGGCATGGGTCGTTATCGCTATGTGCCATGCGGAGTATCCTGAAAAGGAGCCGTTGAAGAAGGCACTGGAGATGATTGTCAGGAGGCAAAGGAGAAACGGGGAGTGGGTGCAGGAGGCGATTGAGGGGGTGTTTAATAAAAGCTGGTAAGTTTGTTTCTCCTTCCTATGCACAGAATGTCAGGCTAACGGAGACAGCATGATATCCTATCCGAACTATAAGTTCATTTTCCCGATTATGGCGCTGGGAATGTATCGAGAGAGATTTGGAGATGAGGCACTGTTTTGAGTTGGTGTCTCCTGTATATACGACTGGCACTATCCATGCATTTGAGGACAAGAGAGAAAAGGCATTACGGCCAAGACGCATATACGTAATAATTAATACGGAGACGCACTGTCTGGTGGGGGGATGTGGGCGTTGCCAGTGCGTACAATCGCAGTAAAGCGAACCTCATTCTCAACCATGTCTTCTCTTACTTCGCGTCACTGGCTCATCAAGTCTGCTTCCTCCCTACTTCTGGAAATATGCAGAGATCTTCCATCTCTCAAGCCTTCCCCGAGCTTGCCCATGCGAAGAGGTCTGCGGATGGCGATATCGCACTATATTGAGTATTCCAGCAAGGTAGCAAGGCTTTTCCCGACTATGTAACAGCGGGGGAAAAGATCTTTGTAACATTCCAATAGGATTTCCACGGACATCACCAACAAGCGTGAATAGTAGTGGATATGATCAAATAATATACACACATACGACGGTCGTTGCATCAGGTAGTTTCGATACCACGAAGTTTTGCCGCGTGGATATACATCACCTCCGCTTGAGCCTTCTCAAAATTGCCTACTCGCACTTATAAATGGAATCGGTCCCATACGGAAAATCCAGTGTGTTGTTACACGTATACTCATCCTGTAGCGTCCTCTGGTCCTTGCCGAACGATTTTGTCGCCTTCGAGATTGTGTTTGCGACCCATCTCTTGTTCGCCCTCCTGCTGCACACGCAACCTCAGGGCAATACTCACAATCGTGACTCGCCAGTTTCATGAGCACATCCGTAAACTGACACGACGTGTCGATGACATCGTAGATGTCGAAAGTGGCAGTTGTCGTCCCAGTCCTTTACTATCATAGCGTTGATTCCCGAGCCGGTCGTTACGAAGCCCTGGCAGCCAGGCATTTTGCCTGCGTCGCCTATAAGCCAACCTGTTCCTGCCGGGCAATCCGGTTACTTCACCTTCCAGCCGCGCCTCGAGTGTAAATCTCCAATATCCCCATGCAAGCGTGATCTCCTAACGGGTTCCCTTCAGGCACTCCCGAGGGCTCCTTCAGCGGCAATGACTGCCTAGGTGCTCCCACTAACGAGGACGGCCGCGTCTGCTACCAGAACCTTAATTTCGGTAACCCCGACGTTAAGCTCACCTTTGTTCAGCATGTCTGAGGAACAATGCTATCAGCCTAGCCATGATAGAGATCTTGCTACGCACATGGGTATTGCCATCCACACTGGATGTCCCGGGTTTATCGTCAGTGGATGCGCTTTATGCGTACTATGCACCTTCTCTTGTATATACTGTTCTTATCTTTGGTGCTGAATGCTACTCTCGTACATAAATCGAGATATGAATGCGATATGTTGTTTGTGCCGACTCTTTCTCTGAGCTAAAATTGACCATTCTAGACGTTGCAATTGACCCGTCCCAGATTATGGTTTCGTTGTGCGCATTGAACACTTTCATTGGAATACCAGGAGTACCGTTACTCTGACTCGGTGCTCTTGACATCCTGATTGGCTGGCATGAGGCCGGTGAAGCACTGATTGGATAATTCGTCTACACCTGTGGGGATCGTTCGCCTAGCGCAAGGTGTGATTTTCCAGCTTGCATGTCGTAAGCCCTAGTTGTCTCTAGTCTCGCGAGAACTAACCGCTGGAGATGCGGATTTGCGACCGAGCTATTAGGGCCAAAGGATCATTCGTTGAAGCTGAACCGAAGTTCACGCTGCCAGGAAACGTTTCTCTCTTTATGGCGTCTGTGACGGCATGCTTCGCAAGCTATACCCGCACTCGTTCAACAGGCAGCGTTCTGGATACACGTAAGCCGAGATCCTGGAAGGTGGGCCAACGGAGATGGGTAGCAAATGTACATATAACGTGTGAGATGCCCATTGATGCTTGCAATTCAACCAGCTGCCGTCTTAACTGATCTTCACAACATCTATCAGGATCTTCCCAGGAAATAATGGCGCCGCAGAAGGAAACCCTGATCAAGTTCACCTCGAGGCGTTACAAGAGTGAAGGCGTCTCCGACGAAGAGTTTCATGCCTTCGCGACCCGTGATCACGCCCCAAAAGCCGCCCCAATTCAAGCTCGTCACGGATTTCTGGGCGTGCGGCAGGTTCGTCTGCAATGGCTCTTCTTTCGCTTGCGCTCACAATCAGACAGTCTTTCAAGCCTGCTGCGCTTCGCGCACTCCTTACGGAAGGACCTTTCGGAACTGCTAGGCCACAACATTGGACCGTTGACGACCACGACTTCGAAGTGGTCTTCTATGTTCGATCGATGGAGCAGCTGGGAGCCTTGCTTGCCGATCCAGACTTCCAGAAATTGATGGGGGATGAGGCAGATATGTGCGATCCAGGACGGGCAGAGCTATCCATTGGATGGGAAGAGATGTTCGTTGAGGATGGAAAGGTGGTCAATGTGGAGGATGGAACGAGTGCGTATCAGCCCTGGGCTGACAGCGTCGAGAAACTTACAGGGAAGAAGCCTGGCCAGTGAGCATTTCCAAGTTGTAATTGATGTATATTGGAATTCGACCGAGATCGCTGCATGTCATGCTGAAGAGTAGTGGACGGCAACGGCTACAATACCAGTTTCAGTGAGCTCCCAGTGACTGCGCACGCCAAGACATTAATCCCAATGACCTCTGCGCGTATAATAACGCAGACGAGGACAACCTATTTCACTTCGACTGGAATGTTATCACTCCGTTTTGACTCAGCCGACGCCCGATGGATTTGATGGCAGCCCGGCGTTCCGCGCGCTACCGCACTCTGTATCTTTCGGCATTCCCGATGGCCGTCTGCACGATCAATACCTGAAGGCGCTGCACTACAGGCATGAGCGTCACACCACCGCGGCTTGCCGACTCTCGACTCGTACTCCAGCCTATCTGTACAACCACACCCATGCGCATCCTCACCAGTATCTTCTTGCATTGGATAGCATAGACATTAGGTTACCGTTCAGTTTGCTGCTATGTTCATTCCACATGCCTCTGGCCCCTCGACGCGTTGATTGCCAGCTCACTTGATTCGCCCATCAGCCTAGACACTCAATGCGTGTCGCGATCTCAGTGGTGACGAGCGGTGTGAGGAATTCGTGCTTGACTCTGCTTCTCTTCACCGTCCAGCTCCCATTTCCTCTTCCAAAATTCGTCCAGATGATATCTCGGACGAGGCGCACAGCGAAAATATATGTAGGCTGCAACCTGGACCCGACTTCCCGGCGCCGCTTTCAAGCCGTCTACTATTTGGAAAGCCCTGCGATCCTTCATAGTCAACTCAGTGTTTAATTCTGTTCAACGGAGCCTTGTGCGAAATCCATCGAACTCTGACGTTTACAAATTTGGGCACATCAGCTTTTAATGTCGAATTGCACCCGAAGTCGTTGTTTTGGCCCCCAGCCCCGTCGATTTCAAGCTTTGCATCACGGCGCCAATTTTCGACTGCTGAGCGATCGACATCTGGGCAGAAGCTTTGGCCGTCCTAATTAATTACTCCTGTCTCTGTCTTTCCGTTCTCCCAAACGATCATCATGTGAGTTATGCTAAGAGGGGTGGTCTTTGGACTGGTGGCCATGCTGTCGAGGATTCCGATCGCTGTCGCGGCACTGGTAGCCCTGTGGCTTCTGCTCAAGCGCTTCTGTAATCCACTAGGTCAATAACTTCGATTTCAGGCCATCCGTAGTAACTACTGATTCGATCAGTAGCACGGTTATTGTACCCAGGCTGGCCAGAGCTTGGACACGTTTATGCGCATACCGGAGATTTACGACGAAACTACGTGCCGGGCGGCCGCCTGGTTCCAATGTCACTACCATTACCTACAGACTGGGCGCTTCGCCAAACAGGACGAGTGGGTCGAAGAAACAGAGCTTTTGGCACCACACCGTTCGTTCGCAGTCTCGACAGCCGTCCAACGCTGAACGAGATTAGTGTACGCTCGCCAGCGTATCACGAAACGGACGACACAGGAAAAGCCAGAATATCCCTACCTGTTCCACGTTTCACAAAGACTAACTTGCTGAAGTCCGGCAATCAGATGTCAACAAGGCATGCAGCCTGTGTCCGAGCATCGGGGTGGCGCAGGGGTTCCTGTACCGTGGTTGCAGGGGTATGTGAAGCCAGCGGGGCCTCCGGAGCAGAGACAACGTAAAGTCAAGAGGTAGTAATGCAGTATTCCTTCAGGTATAGAGCGGCGATATCTTACTATCGTAGATAAATTCTACGTTGGTATAATCTTCTAGCAGCCTTGGCTAGGGAGCTTCAAGAAAAGGACATGGACCGACTTACCCCTGCAATGTATCATTATTCCCCCATCGGGTAAACAAGGTGGGATCCACAACGCTAGATGTACGTTCCGTAACACACTACCGCGGCGCCAACCTCTGAACGCCTACTTACTCCGCCGTCGCCATAATGTTGACCTATACTAGAAAGGGATCCATGGCTCGACCCTGGGCAGGAGGTGTTACAAGCTCGGGGCCAATATGGGGGTAACATACGATATGCGACACCCACCTTCCGATACCTTCGCTCCGCGAACTTTCCCCAAACACCTTCACCCCACCCTTCAACCTTCACAAAGAGTCGTTCGGGTATACATCGATGCAGCTTCTCACACTTCTTGCTTGCCTGATCGGCAGTCTGCACTATGCAGAAGCTGCCGGAAAGACGCACATCTATATTGACCAAGTACCCATCTACACGAAGCTCGCATCATGCGCACAGGACCGGATCAGTGCGATCGTGCGCGCCCAAGCCTCTGGATGTGGAGACGACACACAATTGACATCTTTCGCCTGCTTCTGCATTGACTCAAGTCGCCAGTTCGCGTCAATCATATCGACAGCTGTTGAAAATCAGTGCAGCAGTGCCGCAACTGAGGCCGCATTGACGGCAAGACATGCTGTTGTGCAAACACCAGTACACCATGTCAGGGCGAGAGCTACAGTCACTCCTGCGCCCACATCCACAGGAGCTGTTGCAGGGGATGTTCAGAGTGCTCTGGAAGCGTTCGATAGCTATTGCGCAAAGAGCACGGAGTTGACCAGATGTGAGTACACTGCATATCGAGGCGCTATTGTTCGAATGCCAACTCTTTCCAGTCCAACAGTCGGCCACAGGCAGCATTACGGAGGCGCCTAAGACCGTCTTCGTCACACCATCTTCGTCGTCATCTGCGGCTGCATCGTCATCGGCAGCTGCAGACGCATCGGAGAAGAAGAACAGCACACCAGTCGCGGCGATTGTCGTGCCCCTGATCCTCATTCCCCTCGCCTTAGGTGTTGCGCTATGGTTCTTCTTGCGATACCGTCGGCAGCAGCGCGACTTCGGCAATAAGCTGCAGGACCTGCAAGCCGATACTGCAGTCGCCCGAACCTATCCCGTCGCGATTGGCGATCAAAAAATGCCCCCGCAATATGGAACCGAGCTGTACGCCGCACAACACAGATTCGAGATGCCACTGAACCAGAACCCTGCAGTGGAGCTGGATGCAGGAGCAGGATGGACACCCAAGAAGGACGAGAAATTGGGCTCGATATGAATTGCTACTACTTTTCCTCTCTGGGCAAACGTGGAACATTATCGCTACTCCTTTGATCCAGCGACAGCTATCCACTGCCCCATCTCCTTGACCACTACTCCCTCCTCGTCTTTGTACGCCTCAATCTCTTTGGTCCAGGCTTGCTTAATATCTTCCACCTTTTGCTTGTCCAACTTATCCAACCCAAAGCTCAGCCACGTCTGCTCTACCGCCAGACTGTTCCACAGTGCCTCCACCTTCTCCTCACTCCCCGCATCCCATCTCGCCGTGCTCTCTCCTACCTTCTCCACCCTCTCCAATTCGAACTTCGTCCCATCGAAGACGCGCCGAAACGCCTCCTCCGTGTCGGACAGCCAGAGAGGGTCGAACGGAGATTCGAAACCCCGCGGAACAGCAACGTCAAGGAAGATTTTGGCAGGGAGGTGCGTAGCCCACATATCTGCCACGAAGACGCCGCGGGGCTTGAGCACTTCGCCAGCGAGGGTATTAAGAAGCGCTTTAGGGCAAGCGAACATAGCGATCGCGCTCCCGCACGTCACCGCATCCGCCCATCTCTTGCCAGACTTTTCCGGCAAGTCCAAGGCCCCGACGTCGCGCTGCAGGAATTCCACTCTATCGCTCACGCCGGTATCCTCTGCCATCTTGGTTGCAAGGCTTATGAACTCGTCTGAGATGTCGATGCCCAAGACGCGGCCGGAAGCGCCGACCTTACCTGCTGCTGCGAAGGCGACTTTTCCGGTGCCGGTGGCTAGATCGAGGACGCTAGAGCCTTCTTTGATGGCGGCGCCGGCGGCTTCGACGATGCGCTCTGGGCCGTTCGCGTGGACGGATTTGGTCATTGTGTTGTACGATCTTCCAACATTGTTGTAGAACGTTTGGAGGGCAGTGACGTAGGGGGAGAAGTTGGTAGACATAATGCGAGTTGTGAATTGCTCTTTTTTGCTCTTCAAATTTATGGTAGCTGGTGGTGTAGAGTGTCTATTGTTATGTACTCTTTTCGCCATGTTAAGAGGAGCACAGTGATGGCTGGGCGGCGACATCTCGGACACGAAGAAAGTCTCCGAGAAGCTACAGGAGGGAGCAAAGGATTGATGAGACACAACACAAATGATGCAGTTGATTCGGAATGCTCTCTTTGGGCCGAGAGTTCAAGTCGGCGCGCGCAAACGATCTGAGATGGTGCGATCAAAAGTCTCCGCTTCGAGGGTGATGTCCACTCAATGTAGGTAATTATCCCAATATCACTGCGATGTAGAAGTGTCTCTGATACGGCCGTGATTCTGAATTCTATTTAATAGCTATATGTGCATGATTCGTTATTTGCGTCTTTGCTCAAAGTCGCTGATACTGACAGTTCGACGCCGCGCTTTCGGAGGGGAGGGTATTGAGGCATTGAAGACGACGGTTCTCCCATTCGCAAAGCTTCGATATGAGACGTATTGGCTACAAATCCTTATCAAGTACCAAAAACAGACGCAAGAATGTGTGCAAGCGGAAGTTCTGCGTGTATGATGATGTGACTAGAGAAAGGTCCATATTATTCCAATCGCAAGCGGTCTATTGTGATCAGGACCCCTTGGAAACTTTTGAATCGGTTGCTTACATACAGTTATGATCCGCCACAGTAAATGACAAGTCGAGACTTTACAGATATACCCATGGTAATGGTGGAGTACAACCTTACCAACCGTTCTTATCATGATTAGATCTCATCGACACGATACGCCCATACCCACATCAATGACTATCTGGTTCAACGGCGGTTACGTATGCAGTCCGCTGATTCGTAGCCTCAGGCACACGACCCGCCGCTCCGCTGTGGCCCTCACCAGAATTGTCTACATCGGGTTGATCTTCACCGGTACTTCCACCGCGGCGAGGACCATTGACATTGAGCGCTTCATTATCTACTTCCAGATTTTCTTCTTGAGGCCTGTCATGCTCAGAAGCACGCGTACTAACCCCACGCTGAGGAGTGCCACGTCGATCGACTGCATTTGGAGTATCGCTAGGGCAGAACCCGCAGACGTTACGGTCGGTCGCGCGAGAAGGAGAAGTACCAGAGCGGCCGTCGCGCCTTAGCCCTAGATCCCCGGTACGGAGTCCACTCGCGCGGTGAGTAGCAGACGAAGTATTTCCGTTGCTAGGGCACGTATTAGAGAGACACTTTGACCTGGTAATGCGCCTGATAGCACGAAGCGCTGAGCGATCCAAAAACCCAAACCGCGCAATGCGCTCGAGAGAGCGGAGATCCCTTGGATCGATAGACATCGCGATTAAACTTCCTGCTGGTGACGAAGACCTGGCGCGACAGGCACGTTGTGGTCGCTCGGACCTAGAGTTGCCACTATCAGTAAAGGACAAGCCGCGACTGTGACCATGGAGCCTCTCTCTTCGACCGTGTTCAGGAGACCTGTTTTCCCGAGCCCTCGAGCTGGCACGATGAGGATACCAGAGACTCTCTGGGACATAGCCACTATAGTAATCGAAAGGACTAAATGGGCCAGAGGAATCGAAATGGCGATGCGGCGTGGTGCTCCTACCATGTAAAAGGGGAGGAGGAGATATCGGCCTCCTGTTTCTCGCACCTGCGTCGCGAAGCTCGTCAGCTCGTTGAGCGTAATTCCATTCCTCCTGAAGAGGCTGGAAAGTACCCTGTATCTCTTGGAAATCGGTCAGCATAGACCGCCTGCCATCCACAGCCTGATTATCACGCTGTTCACAAATATGATGGATACGGTTGAGGGTTGTCGTCATTCTTTCGAAGGTCTCTCCGTAGGTAGCACTAACCGCATCACCTCTAAGGAAGCGCCCACCCTCGTCGTAGTGTTCATCGCACAGGCATCGAGCCAAGTGATGTAATTGGAGACTCGACAGCTGTATGAGATAGCGGAAGGGAATGGGGAGCACAGCATGTAGCGTGAATATAGCCTTAGACAGATCTGGCGGAGGGATTGTGTGGTACAGGCTGGGTGGCGAAAGGATGTCATGGCGCCATTGCTCAAAGAGACGTGGATTTTCCGGAATTTCGACACGAACATAGAAAGGTGAGGCACGAACCTCTGCAAGAGTAGTATACGGGCCCCAGTAGGTGATAATAGCGTCCTCGAGTACTTCGTTGGAAAGATCTGGAGGAGACGGCGCAAAACTGTGACCTAAGAAGTTGTTTGGGAAGATAGGCGAGGACGGCTGTGAACGGCATGATTCGTAAAAGGAACCAGTGAGATGACGATTTCCAGCGTGGAGAGATGAAGACTCGTGAACAGAGTCCCGATTCGGATTCCAGCTCGAAGGACGGCGAGGTCCATCATCTACGAGCATAGAACCGGGTTGCGTAAGGCACGATGGCAAGTGTCGCTCTTGTGGCCGTTTGCCACAGAAGACACACGGATAGAGAGGATGTGCGTGGACGCTCATAGTGGATGATGTAATTGTTTGTTAAAAAAAAATCGTGAAGCGGAAGCTCAACGTTTGGACGAGATTGATAAGAGGTGTAAAGTAGCTGGAGAAGACAGCATTTGAGAGTCGTTGTTGAAGGATAAGATGTCTAGGCTTTTATACCCAAAATATGCGGTCGCTCTCTTCACATCACTGTGTCTAGTGTTCTTGGTTGCAGCAGTGAATATTGGCATTGACAAAAAATTCGCCGATCTGAACTTTGCGGCATACTGTTGGTACATTTTGTGGACAAACAGCAAGCCCCTTGTGAATAACGTAGTGAGCGCGCACGGTCTTATTGCGTTGCGAAGAATCAGAATCGTGAAGTCTGGAAGTGCTGATCAAGATAACGCTCGCAAAGATTGACTTTGTGCGAATTTGTGCATACGCACCGTTCGGTCTTGTCAGATTGTACTAGCAGTGAAGAAGAGCATCGGAAAGCTCCAGCATCGCAATCTGGCAATGTTCACGCCATTTTCCTATATCGCTGAGTACTATCCAGGGACCGGTCGAGGGCCATACGTACGCCGGTGTTCCCATGACAATGTCACAGCCTACTGACTTCATCCCCTACCTCAAGCAACACCGCGCTTCCAGAACTTTTAGGGTATAACACTTTTCAAACCTCCACTCGCACGTCTAGCCTGTCCTCTGATACTTTTCTTCGTGCCCGTTCACGCCATTAGTGGCACCCTGCTCCTCTTCGTCCCCCTCCCTCGGTCTCACGGTACCCGCTCCCGGTCCCAGGTCCTCGCCCCCAAGGACTGTACCCACAAAATTGCCATTCTCATCCAGATACTCGTCCATATTGTCCGCCGTGATCCAACCTGTCGCACCGGGCGCAGTCAAATCCGGTTCACCATCCTCCCCCTCATCGGGATCAGGATGCAGATCCGCGCAGGTATTCATCGCACCAAATATCTCTTGTATGCACGAGGTTTGCGGGGGCTCAGTACCGTGACTGGGTGGCAGAACAATGATTTCGAGAATGTCAATGTCCTCGTCTGCATTTACGGTCTCAGCGTCGTTGAGGGAGAGGTTCATGAGGAGGGCTTCGACGCCGTTCTTCTTAGTGATGCCGTGGAGCGCGATGGAGGGGTAGGGAATGGAGACACCGGTCGCTTTTGGTGTGTGCTGGAAGAGAATGAGGTTTCTAGGTAGTGCATTAGTGAGTGCGTATAACAGTGAAGAGGTTAAGGTGCGTACTCTGAGCTCACCCACACCTCGACATCCTTGACAAGCACTTCGTCCTCGCTCGCGCCTCCGCGCTCGGTGTTGAATTGTGCGAATGCTTCGTCTGATTGTAGCTTGGCTGGCGGCGCGGAAATCGTGACGCCAATGTGGTGAGAATAGAGCACAGGCTTTGCGCCGAAGAAAGTGGAGGGCGTTTGCTCTTGGTGCTCTTGCAGCGGGGTGAAATCGTCTGGTTTGGGTGGGGTACTGCTGTGTCGGAGGGATGACATGTTGGATGTAATGAGGTGCTATTGAATCGTGGCGACAGGTCCTTTCAGCAGCAAACCAAACGGGCGCTGCAATTGCTGCTGTTGTGTACGAAAGTAGAACGGCGCAAACAGAACATCGCGGCGACTGCCTCCAAAAAGTCGCCCGAGGTTCCGCCGAGACGTCATAGCTTCTAGCGGGGCAGTCTTCCTACTGGCTCACTTTCACCTTCACCTTCACCTTCACTTTCACTTTTCACTTTCGCTTGACGCTACCTTGCGATCTGCATTGCTGCCACCCACTCCTTACCCATCATGCCTTGATCCGTCACAATGCCGCCTTTCCCCGCCAAACCTATTGCCAAACTCACCGGCCACACCGGCCCCGTCCACGCCGTCGCATACTCCGCCTCCCCCCACTCCTACATCCTCACAGGCGCCGCCGACCGCGCAATCCGCCTATACAACCCCTCCAAAGCCCCTTCATCCTCCGTCGCCCCCGCCTCCTCCGCCGCATACCCGCCCGGCCTGGTCAACAAGTACAACGCGCACGGCTACGAAGTCCTCTCAATCGATGTGAATCAAGCGAATGACCGATTTGTAAGCACCGGCGGAGATAAAACTGTATTCCTGTGGGATGTGCAAACCGCGCAGACGGTGAGGCGGTTTACGGGACATGGCGGGCGCGTTAACAGAGGGGTCTTTGGGGGAGAAGGGGATAGTGTCATTGTGTCGGCGAGCTTTGATGGGACGGTTAGGATATGGGATGTGAGGAGTACATCATACAAGCCAATCATGATGTTTAGCGACGCAAAGGACAGTGTCACCGACGTGCTAGTCTTCGATGGGGAGATTGTGTCCGGATCGGTGGATGGCAGGGTGCGGAGCTATGATCTGCGGACGGGATATTGCCAGGTAGATGTCATTGGGTATCCTGTGACTAGTTTGGCTATGAGCAAGAAGGGGACGGAGGTGTTGGTGAGCTCGCTAGATTCAACGGTCAGGTTGATGGATCGGACGAATGGGCAATTGTTGAAAGCATATCGCGATGAGGCGTTTGTGAACACGGATTTGAGGGTGCGCAGCACGTTGGGTCTAAATGACAGCGTGGTTATCAGTGGGAGTGATGACGGGATGGTATTCGCGTGGGATTTGCTAGGCGGAACCACTTTGCACAAATTCCGCCATTCTCAAATGCGAGAGGTGAAGGGCAAAGTGGAGAAGAAAGAGAAAGGGAAGAAGGATATTGTCTCTGCTGTGGCATTTTGTCCGAGTAGGAGAGAATGGGCTAGTGCGGGCGGAGATGGCAATGTCATCGTGTGGGGAATGGACAATTGAGAGGTCAACGTCCCGCTAGGGGCTGACCATTCAGTCAGCGTTTTGTTTTGAGATACCCCTTGCATGGAACTGTTCGAAATGTCTATCAAATGCTTTTGACTCAAACGCCACTGTGATGCTTGGTATCCCGACATGCCCATCCATGGTGCCCATTCATAACCTCATAATAGACCCTCTACTCTGTCCCCCATCTAATTTCTCTTTCGTGAATTAACGTCCCTCCCAGCGCCTACCTTCGGCCTTCCATCATGCTTGCTACGGTTCCCCGTTAAGATATCCGGTAGGTAATCCTGATCCATTGGATCCTTCACCTCCATCCTCTTCCGCTCCGCATTCTGCCTCTGAAACTCCTTCTGATCCTCACTCAATACCAAGTCCCTTCCCCACCCGCCTTTCCCGCCACCTTGCCCCCTCAACTTTCCGTTGCTCGTCCCGCCAACCGGCTTAGGGATGCTGTACTTTTCCCCGCGCTTGTTGTGCTGGTACTTTGTGCTGAGGTGGACCTGGAATTCGCCTTTGGCGTTGGTGCTGCACGCGACGCGCTGGAGCGTGGGTTGGCCGCAGCGCGGGCAGAATTGCTTGTCCATTTCGCGGGTGGTGAGAAAGCACGCGTGGCAGCGGAGGATGGTGCTGCGGGCTTGGCGGATGCGCTGCATGGCAGGCGAGAGGAGCTGCATGTTCATTTGGAGAAGGACGTTTTGCATGGCGTAATCAGTTGTCATGGTTGCGACGGAGAGCTGGGGTTCGCCTGCACGGAGGGGCGTATCGGAGGTGTCCATGTGTTGGTGCTTGGAGAGATTGCCTGGTGTGATCCATTCATTGCTATCGGAGTCGTCTTCCGAGGTGGGAGGGGTGGGTTGCTGAGTTACGCCAGGTGCGGGTGAGGCTTCGTTTGCGAGAGCTTCGCGTTCGGCGACGCGGCGCAGGAGACGGGCTTTCGCGGGGTGCAACTTCTTCTGAAGGCTGCTTTCCTCGGGCTCCTCGGGTGCTTGCTCAGATGCTTGAGTTACTTGCTCAGACTCCTGAGGTTCTTGCTCGCGCTGCTGGGTTGCGGGAGATGCATCCGAGGTTTGGGTAGATGCGATATCCTCCTGGACGTCTGCTGTGCTGTTCTTGAATCCCGGTTGACTAGACTGCTCCTCAGAGTCCTGGGTTTTTAAGAGAGCTTGCTTTTCGGCGTATTGGCGAGCGCGACGAGCCTTTTTGCTGTTGACCTTTTTCTTCGTCGTCTTGGTGTCATTGTGCTCAGGCGGCTCTACTGCAGCCGCTGGTTCACCATCCTTCCGTTCTAAGACTTCTTCGTGGTTCACAAGAGATACTTCATCGGAAGGCCCCTGAGATACTGCAGCAGGTTCGGCTGGAAGCCCTTCAATAGGCTGTGAGGGCGCCGCCACGATTTCTCCTTTCGCTTCTGCAGCTTCCTTCACTTCTTTCTGCTTGCGCTTCAACTCCGCCTTCTTCTCGCGAAGTGTGGCATATTCCGCCTCTTTCTTTGATTCTTGTTCACGCTTCTCAGCAGCTTCCTCGTCTGCTCTCTTTTGCTCCTCCGCCGTCAACTTCACCGGCCCCTTTGGCACACTCCTCAATCCAAACGACCCACCATGCTTTTCGCAGTACACCTCATACGCCAGCGCCAAGATGCCCAAATCTTGCTTGCTCAGAACCGGGTAATCACCTGTCTTCTTTGCGAACTCTGCAACAGCGTCATAGCTTGCTGGCGAAGGCGTCTTAACATTTAGGAAAGGCAACAGCGTCGTCTCGACCCGTGACCTAGTGGCGGGGTCACGGATTTCCGCTACGATGGCTGGTGTGGTGTAAAGTACTTCTGCTGAGTTTATAATGGTTGAAATGGAAACGGTGTTGTGGATCAGAGGGCCTGTGTCGATTATTATCGAGTGAATGAGCTTTTCGCTATTTTGGGTTGCCATGGTGGGGTTGGTTCTGGATGTTCGCTACTTCAATGCCACAATGTGCGGATTAAGGCGGCAGTAGAAGCCCGTCTATGACCGATGTGCGTCCCGGGGGTTATTGGGCGTTGAACTGCACTTTTCGAGCGCGGCGTCGACGATGGAGGTTGTGCGCACCATTTTTAGGCAAATTTTGTAACACAGGTGCGTTTAGTGGGGAAGGCTGTGATTGGGCAGTGACGATGCTAGCTGCTGACTAAGTACGGGCAGCAAGGGAAGGCGCAATCTGATGGGTCTTGTGCTTTAGCTCCCGCTGCTCAATTCCAACCTCTAACTTCTGACCAGCTCAAAGAGCTACAGCGACTCAACCACTCTTTGTCTTGTCTTGCTTCATCTCCTTGGCTAGCTGCCTCCACGTGCACCTTACTCGCTGACCAGGACACACGGAGCATGATCAGTACCAGCTTACCACCTTCCGTCAATGTTGACTACGCCCCTTGGGCTAAGGAGCACCATCACCCCTGCACGTGAAGCAGAGTCGACTAAATCCGACCGGCGCCGCCACTCGCCCTGCGTCGGTGGTATCGAAGTAACTGTGTATCCGCTGGTGAGAAGTACTTCGAGACTGACCTTCTGACGTTCCCGAACGGCAGCGCAATGACCCTGGAAATTTTCTGGCGCTTCGATGTACAATCTTCCGACAGCAAGCCGCATGTAGGCCACCGAGTCGGAGGCCTGGGCTGCAGGGTGCGGAGACGCTTTGAAGCCAGGGTGCCCTTCTCCTTTCTGAGCTATAGCGATACTGTGATGAAGGATCGGTAGTACGATATTACTCCGATCTGATGATCGGTCAACCGAGGTTTTTGGTCCATCGCGGCTCCCAGCTGAGTGACGCAATTGTCGTAGCAGGGTCAATACGCCGACGCTTGGCTGAGGCTCCATCAATATTGTCATGCCCGGCTATACTGGACGGCAGTCCTCGGCGTCTCGCACCGGACGCCTAGAGGTATCTTGCCGCTCGCAAAATCGTCTGCGGAGAATCTTGACCAGCAGGTGGACTTTATGTCGATGAAACGGTTGCATTCGCTGTGCTCGCCTGAATCATCCTATCGACGGTTCCCAAGATGCGACGATATGCGCGATCCATTGTATATGCGCGACGGTGAGCGAATCCATTGGCCCATCAACCTCAGCTTGCATCTTTGTCAGATGGCCTGTCCCGAACCAACGATTGTATATACGTCATCTGCAAGGATATATCTATATCGTTCCTGTATTCTTGTACACTTTGATCCCTAGGTGGATCTGTTTGGACATAATCCTGACTCTCTTCGTGGAAGCAGAGCATCGCTGCCCCATAATCTTTCTTGTCTCCTCTTACTTTGGCGCAATTGAACTGTGCTCATGGCACGCAAGGCCTATGTTTCCAAGTATACGGATGGATGTAAGCCTGGATACACGACGCGTATCCAACCTGGACGCGACCCGCCTGGTGATGGAACGTTGCCATTCCGGTAGCCGATTGTGGTCATGCGGTTGCCTATTATACGATCCGTCTGTACAAGGTCAGGTCGAGACAGTATCTATCACGAACGGTATTCGACGGAAGGGCTGGGTCGCCGCGGCGGCCTCAAGAACCCTGTGTCGCGTTTGCGGGGCTGAAGGCGGGCTTATCGTCTTGCTGCAGATCTGTCTTTACAGGAGCTCAGCAACACCTACATCTTCTTCTCAACGGGACTCACAGTTGGCTCCTCTTGTCGCGTCACAAGACGCTCGGTTAACGCCTCTTCTCCTCCTACAGGCCCAGACTAATGACATCTAGTAATGTTACACGCATGACCCTAAGCTCGTCAATCCACCAGCAATTTGTGTGCGTGCAAGGTTGCGTGCTGACCGGTGAGCTTGATCGTGCAGAGCTCAGTAGATTGCTAACGCGAGAACACGGGGAAGGCGCGGAGCATTCTCTACGTCCGGTCAACCAAATTTGGACTCCTGGTAAGATGCCTGGTGCTATTGGCCATCGATCGGCGAATCCGAAGCAGCTGGCGGCAACTGTGGGAAGAAGGGACATAGGTGCATCGAGCCGAAGGACGGCCATTGAAGGCACTCCGCTATTTGAGCAGCCTCATTCGCTCAGAAGGACCGAAGCGGCTCAAAATGCGCGTCAAGGTGGGTGAAAGAAGGCAACGAGGCAAACTTGCAGACCTAAACAGCGGCAAAGGCTGTCCATAAGCCCTGACGATACGCCGCACGCCCAGGGCAGGTCAGCCGATCCCCGGTCATGGAATCCTACTTATTGCTGGCCACGCCCACAGTTCTGTAGAATGAAAGGTGAGCAGGACACACCCAAAAAACACGCTGATGGAATAGAGCTTACCCGTTTTCTGTTCCTCAAGTAGATCGGCCGATGCCCGGCATCGTTTCACGCCATCCAATCCTCGCTCGCTGCCATTGCCGCCGACTAGATCCGCCGGCGTTCCAGCTCGCTCGGCCACTCATTTATACTTGGTTCTTCGAGCAGAGCCGCATCACCTATCTCTTCCGTCTTCGTCGATGCGCATGCGCCCCAGCTACGTCCATGTCCGCCGAAAACCGCCACCTTTACGATGACATACGTCCTTGGCAATAGCTGGTAGCCAACTGAGCTTTTTCAATGCAGTGCAAAGTCAGCTCCTGCACCTCTCGGACATATCGACTCTGGTCCACCTCACTGGGGCATCTGAAACATCCGTCTAGCGAAAGCAAAAAGACTAATTCGGGATAGCTATGACAGATACCCGATCCAGAGAGACCAAGGAGTCTTTCCGTTCTTCCCTACCGTTCGGCATGCGTTAGGCTGCAACCAATTATTCGCCAACGGCAACATCGAGTAGGCGCTCCGTTAGCACAAGGTCCCACCCGTCTGCACCATGCGGAGGCGCTATCGACCTACTGCTGGTTGGTCCACGCAACCAGTGGTTGCATGCAGCCAACTCATTGCCGCTGGGGGATGAGCGGTCGGTTTACCGCATTCTGTTCCCTTGATTGCAGCTGACATGGCAATAGCTGCGAAGAGCTATGGCTCATCTACGAAGTGGCACAGCAAAGCTGTAGAGAAGAGTCTATACACAAGACTGCCTGTTGACCCGCTAAGACAGTATGCTCGGCGACGAAACCTGCTCGCTGTCACACGAATGATCACAAGCATGTCAGGAGCAACTACACGCCTCGAGCTCGAGCAGAATGCCAACACAACACGGCAATACTCGTGCCCGCGGCGGGGTAATGGAAGCGTCGCCGGGATGTTGCTCCACCCTCCTGCAGCCGAAAAGGAATCTCGCTGCGCCCTCACCTATCCGCGTGTCATGGCCTTATCTGCGGCTTGCTCTAGTCTCAATCACACCACGGCTACGCGGGGTCGTCTGATCAAGGTTGTAGGATACTTCCCTGCACACAGGAGATGCAGCAGAGCCGCATTTTGAGCGGCGAAGGATAAAGGACTGGTGGAAGTGGCAATGATGGCCACGGCAAGCGAAGCGCGCTTCGGGAAAGCTTACCGCCAGAACTTTGCGCCGAGACATTCTGCAGGGAGTCCGAACGTCATTGACTATGTCGGTTAGTACGTCCTTGAATGCCTGCGAACGCTTGAGCTGACATTTCATGCTTCAAGCCACAATTCATCTTTCGGATCGACGAGATACGCGAGAATACAGATACCGCAGCGATCTATGATAGGTATGGAATATGGAACCCGTCCATCGACCACGGAGGCAACGAGCGTTTGCACGGCGCTGGCGCAACTGGCATCTGGTGGTATTGCAATGGACAAAGCATACAGCGCTTGAACGACAACACACCGCCCCAAGGATCATCACATTTCCAGACTTTCTCGGTCTTTTACTCCTCTGGCTTCGGTTGTTGGGTTCTTAGAGGTGACGCGACCAGTCCACCTGCTGCAGAAGCGTGGCATCCACTTTCGTTCGATTGGGATGATCGAGACTACTCTTCGTACTTAACCAACGCTGGAACCGAACACACGCTTAGGGTACAAAGGAATGACCAGAGGTGGCCTGCCATGCTGCTACCGAGCACGAATCAACTTCCAGCTGCACCGATGCATCAGAATTACGGTGGTCTAAAGGGCGACCTGGCTATCTTCTTGGCTCTGATAGCACTGTCCGTGGATCCACGGTATGTGCAATTGATTCTGCCTCAGATGTTCATAGAAGGTGCTTGGGCGACTCACAGAGTTGTTCATGGCCGTGAGTCGATGCGATGTCCCCAGTCCAACTCCCGTTCACTGACGTGGTAAGGCACAAATCATAGAGGCGTGGTTGTATACGTCTACACGGTTCCGTCCACATGGGACAGCAAGTCTACGACAAGAGAGCTCAAACGTTACCAGGAAGGCGTGTACGGAAAATACTACCCTTAAGGATTTCGCAGCCGTCGACGTTGGCAATAACAGCCCCTGCCAAGACCTGCGGGACGAACCGTATGCTGTCCGCGAACAGGTGTTCGTTGCCTTCTTGCCTTACCGATTCAAACCGCAGCTCCTCGTTTCGACCCCCGCACGACCATGCCGGCACCCGGTACCCGGTTTAGACACGCACAGAGAATTTATACGAATATGACGACGTTCCACGAATCATCAGGACGATATTCTCATTGCTCAACAATCTGCCAGCTTGCCTTATTTCCTTGCCTCCAGAACGGCTCCGCCTCGTTCTCAAGCCAATCAACATACGTTGTCCCGCTCGCCCCACGTTTCCGTTAAGCTTCAGAGGATACACTCGCCGCTTCAATGCATGCACGCACCGTCAGGCCTCCATTAATACATATGTCATTTACTACGATCTCAGTTCATTCCTCAAACTTGGGGATTACCAGCATGGGGATCTCATCTGGAGTTGAGGTTGCACATATCGGGCTTTGCCAGAAGAAAATGCTTGTGGAACCCTGCTTTTCGCTTCAATTATATCCGGCAACATATTAGTCTCACTTTCGGGCACCGAACAACATATTGGGCTCGACTGCAAAGTACCCATCACCACAGTTAATGTATCTAGCTATACAATCAATTTCAGTCTGTTGTACCTCAAATGGACATTAGTACGGTGGAAGCTCCCTCTCTTACGATGCTGGTCGATCTCGTGCAGTGTGTGGCTACGGTTATGGTGTTCAAGCAGCGGAACTTGGCATGCTTGCGCGAGCGTTGAGCAGTTGGGTGCGTTCTGAATAAGACTGATCTGATTAGCTGACTCGAATCGTCATCCGCCTAGAGAGGTACATTGTAGTGTAGTAGAACGGCCCTGCTCTTGTGTGCAATCTTTTCAGGTACGTCAGGCACATACCACTCGACATTTACATGCTGGTGACTAAGAGCGTGATATGGGAGGAGTCTACGACCGACGATTGATTCATTTCCAATGAGCAAATGATGACGGCAGCAAAGCGGTTTGGGGATGGCAATCATAGCACGTTAAAAGTTAAATAGCAACTGTGATATTCCATCTTTCATGCCCAGGTTCTATCTCCTTCAATAGACGTCCAAACGCTCGGAAGACAAGGCTTCCACAAACTACTGATGGGGTTTTTCCGTGACGCCACCCAATGCTAATCTATCCGCATATTATAAACGTACGCAGTACAACATATGGTACAAATATCGTCGACCCGTCCCCAACAATCGAGCTTGCTGTATCAGTCAACAGCTCCCTCATGTTTCTCTTTGTTCGCACCTCGCCCCGTCTACGCGATCGGCCGGCTCCGCTCGTCCTCGGGCATTCTCTATTCGCTTGTTAGCCTCTAAACCCTCCCTTCTCATTCTCAGCACATAAACCAGCCTCCCCTCCCCTTCACTCCTCTCACTCACCATATAAGCATCGATCGCGGCACTAAACGCCGCGAAACCCACGCACCCCACCGCCGCCGCTTGCGGCCCAGCATTCCTCGCCAGCACGCCCCCCGTGATACACCCTCCAGCTACACCATTCCATAAATCGTTCTTCGCGCGCAGGCCCTCGATGGCGCACTCAGTCCCGCTGAAGATGGCGCCAACTTTGGCGAAGTTCTTTCCGGACGAGATCGAGGAGCGGTACATGTCGCGGAGGCCGTGTTTGAGCTGTTGGCGCAGGGGCAGGTCAGTGAGGGGGAGAGTGCCGCTAGGTGTGGAGACCATTTGGCCGGCGAGGGAGGGGTGGGTTGCTGTTGCGGATGCGGTGGAGGTGGCTGTGGAGGAGACGGAGGATGCTGCTGCTGCCGTCGCGGGTGTGGGTGTGGGTTTTGCGCTGTTCGCTGCGGCAGTAGCGGTGGTTGAAGAGCTCGTCACCGATGATGCGGGAGGATTTGGCACAGAGAGCGGTTGCGACATCGGAGTATCATATCGCATCTGTCCTCTGCTATTAGCATACATTGCATTTCTCACTGTTCTCCCCTGCGGCAGGTCTTCGGGGAACTCACCGACGACATAAACAATCCGAACATAGCACCAAGGCCACCGCCCATGACACCCGCCATCACCGTCTTCCCCACACAGCTCTCCATCGCGCCTTGCATCTGCATCGTTGTCAGCACCCTTCTATCAGATTCACCGCGCTCCTGAAGGAGGCGTCGAGGCTCGTACCATTTTCACCATCTGTGCCTCCTGCTCAGACATCCCCGCATTGGGGTTTATACCCGGTGGTGTGAAAGACATCGTGTGTGTGTGGGATGTATATGTGGTGGCGTCGTACGGAAGACGCTGTATGGAACGGTAAGAGTTGCTATGCGATGCGATGAGATTGGAACTTTTGCGGAGAAGGCGCGGAGGACGGGAATTGCCGGAAGGGGCTTGGCGCGGGCCGGACGCGTTGTGAGGACTTCACGCGCTCCATGTGTCCTGGGCAAACTTGAACTGCAATACGGATGCGCTTTCACGAATGTGACATCTTAACGACTTAGTGTCAATTACATTCACGGTTGCGGAACTTACCATCATCGGAACAGCTCGTTCCCGGTTTGCAACAGTGAAATTCACAGAATCGCTTTTCACGTTCACATGCCGGCTTGTCTTCCACGTTGTTGAGCAAGCATGTTCATTTGTGCAACTCATGGTGTATCCAAATCTGTTAACATCATGACTACCATTAGACAACACGTCAACGCCAAATCCGCTCATCCCATATAAACAGCGAAGCTCCGTCTCTAAACTTTTGCCCGACAATTGTCTCGCTACACCAATCCGCCTGACTGAATCTTCTTCGACAAATGATTAAAAAAAAGAAAGAACAAAGACAAAAGACATTTGGTCTAGACGTAGCGTCTATGGCGTTAATCGTTAGGTATATAGCTTGCCGTAGCTCATGAGTAAATCATTACGCAAAATCTGAAGGAGATACTGATCGGCCGATATAATCACCGCTGGCGTGATTGAAGTCTCTCGCCTCCGGAGGTGGTGTGAGATTTTTTTCCCACTCTTTCATCAAGTGCGAAGCAGTCCGCTTCAATTGTGAAGGTGACAGCTTGCTGAGTTCAGGCCAAGGAATGGAGTTGCGCTTGGAGTCGCGGCGCGATGACTCGTCTACGAGGCCGGCAGAGCTGGACGCTGTGTGAGTGGAGGCTTTGGAGTCATGGCGTTGCGAGTGGTACCTGGTGCTCGTCCTCGAGCTAGTCTGACCAGACACAGGCGATGAAGGTCCCTCCGAATCATCAGAGCTGTTGTTGTCGCCCGATACCTTGGCAGCGTGAAGTTGGTGGTCGTTTGGTGTTTCCCAGCTATCCCAGCTATCGAAGTCGTCGGCCTGGCTTGCGGTTTGCTTTTGGGGGGTGCGAGTTTGCTTGAGAGCGTGAGTTTTCTTGTGCGTCGGCGAGGCCTTGGGCTCAGACAGACCGTGCTCTTTCCAGAACTCATCTCCGATATCCACCTTGGATGGATCCGACTTTTTTGAGCTGGCAGCTCGATTTAGCGTGGGTCGGTTCTCGGATGCTTTACGGGTACCCTTGGTGGGGGCATCCCTGGCCTGGCCGGACCCTGAACCGTCGCCGGCATTGACGGCGTCGTCGCCGACCGTGGCTTGCCGAATATCTTCGATAAAGGTGAAGAATCCGTCTCGGAAGTCATTGGCCATTTGCTTCCCTGTGCGTAGGAGAGCTTCGCGTTGAATGTTGGAGAGACCGCCGATATCGTAGCGCTCGCCGTTGACAGTGTTGGCTATTTGGTTTGCGATGTCGGGAGAGGTCGATTGACGAGAAAGTACGGGTGGGCGTTGTTGACTAGTGTTGCTGATGGATGTTGCGGGAGTAGGTGGTGGTTCATCGTTCCGAAGGTCGAGTGGCTGGGGAAACGAGGGCGTATACGACTTGTCGGGCGAGAGCAACGACAGCGTTCGTAGGTGTCTTGAGCCGCTAAAGACCTTGCCGCCACGCTGTGTTGCTTTGGCACTCAAGAGAGCTTTGCGACGTTCCATCTCCTTCTGCATCCACGACGAAGAGCCGTCCTCGTCGTCTTGGTTCAAGTTATGGTTGGCGAGCGTGGTATTGAGCGGCTGCAGCTTGGTGACCTTGCGTAGATCGTTCCGTACCTTGACAGCTTCTTGTGTTGCGTAATGCTTCTTAAGCGTCTTGAGATCCTGCTCGGCCTTGGTAAGCTCTTCCTTGAGCTCGAGGACAAAGCGCTCTTGGGCGGCGATGATGTTGAGAATGTTCGTTTCGGCGGAAGTCGCGTCAGGTGAGGGAACGGGGGAAGGGGCAGCGATCCAGGATTGTGGTCGCGAGCGCGGAGAGGGAATGGCTGGGGAGCTGCTGCCGGCAGCAGCTGGCTGGATAGGAAATTGTAGAGAGAGGCGCTTTCCCTGGCGAACAAGGTCGGCATGCGACATGGAGCGAGCGTGAGAATGCATGGCGGGGTGGGCGAGGGTTGGGAGAGAGTGCTGGAGGTCGACGAAGCGTCGGAGGATTGTTGAGATGCTGTGGAAACGGGCGCGGCCCCTGATGGCTGGGCCCGTTCGTTGTTGTCCGGGGTGCTCGACCGTTTCCGAGATGAGGCGGGCTTGTGCTGTGCGCGGTCCATTACGTCTGCTCCTCCTAGGTAGAAGATAGAATTCATGCCACTACCATGGCCTTTGGAAAGTCGGCAGGTCAAATGGGCGAGGCGGAGGCGCGAGGACAGGCGGTGGAGGATGACGCTGTAGCGGTGGGAAGAGTCGCAAATCTCAAGGTGCAGGGCTAGAATCGCTGCAGGCAGACCAATCAAACGGAGCAGGAACCCGCTCTTCAACCACGACAGCCACACTTTCAGCAACGCAGGGTTTGCTGAGTTTCCCATGTCAAGACCATGGGCGCGCGCATTCTTCGAGGAGGAGAGGGGGAATTGGTGTCTCACCGCCGAGGTCGAAGCCGACTTTTGTCTCTCCCACGTTCACGGCGTGACATGGTCTGTGTGAGCCAAACAAAGAGCTCCAATCTGCATTCCCTGCAGGTCCACCGCCTTTAGCTCGCAGCTGACCTCGCTGTGCCTGCGCAAGTGCCAGAGCGGTGTAGCTGCGCAGGTTCAACACTCGTCTGCCCGCGCTGCTATACACACTGCAACCCCGGAAGCATCTTGCCAGCATAAATGCATTGGGTCTTTACGTTAGCCACCCTCCGCGCGTGTAAACCTCAGAGAGGAGACGGTGGGGGTGACACAGCTGGCAGCCGCGACTGGACCTGTGAAGGACCCCTGCCCTGCCGCCCAGACCCGTAGGCGAAGGTAACCGCATCGGGCAATGCGCGAGAGGCGCGTCGATAAACACTCTTGAACCAAGGTCTACATGGATCAGGCGTTCAAGTCTATGGCGAAGTAGTAGGCCCGCAGCAACGAGCAGGTTTCTAGAAGGCCACCGCGGGAGCGCTGCAAGGAGTACTCGGACACGTCATTGGCCGCCGCCCGTTCTGAGCATGTTGTTCGATACCGCCGCTTCGCCGAGGCCAGCGCACCCGGATGACGCACCAATTGTCGGGACGACTGGGGATCAGATAGCCGCTCTCACGCTCCATCTTGCGGAGGACGGAACGGGCTTATGCAGGGCTGCCCGTGACTGGATGCAGCAGCTGCAGGAACATACTGGCAGCCGCCTGTTCGCATGCCGTTCCCATGTAGCAGGCGCGACCGACACTTCGAACATCTACCTTGCAGACTGCCGTATGCGCTCCTGTGTCCTGTCCCCGAGACTGCTGATCACGCTCGCCTCCGCGTCGCTTCACTGCGGTCTCGCCGACTCGTGGACAGCCGTCAAAGCGGGCGGCGTGTGCGTTTGTTGATGGCCCCGCGTGTTGTCATGGAGACCGACTGGCTGGCCCTGCAACCCCAGCTCCCATATCCACTCGCAGCGTCGCACCAGGCGTGCATCCTCACCACAGTCCTATTTCTACTCACCAGTACTACTTACTCCACGGCGACCGCCGTCCGTCTTCGACCTGGCTGCCATCATCGCTTGAATACCCCTGAGCGCCCGCGTCATTCGTAGCAACTCTCCGTCAGCCGCCCGCAATGGCAGAGGGCTACCAGGTCTTGGAAGAATTGGGCAGTACGTGCAATTCGAGGTCAGCCACAGTTCCATGCTGACACTGGCTAGGCGGAAGCTTCGGAAAGGTATACAAGGCCATCGAAAAGGCCACAGGCGAGACGGTTGCCATCAAGCTGGTACGATTGCATCCATCCCTGGCCCCGGCATGATCCCCACGCTCACGCATTCCACTAGATCGACCTCGAAGAGAGTACCGATGAGCTGGCCGATATTCAAGCTGAGATCAATTTGCTGGGCACCTGCAAAAGCCCCTACGTTACCGAATACAAAACGAGCTTCGTCCGAGGCGTGAAGCTATGGATCGTTATGGAATTCCTGGGCGGAGGCTCGGCGTTAGACCTGGTACGCAGATTATATAAGGACATTGCAGGTAAAGAGGCTAATAGATATAGATGGCTCCCGAACCCTTCGGCGAAGCCCACATTGCCATCGTCTGCCGCGAACTATTGCTTGGACTCGTCTATCTACATGGCACCGGCAAGATCCATCGAGATATCAAGGCTGCTAATGTCCTACTCACGGATATGGGCAAAGTCAAACTGGCCGATTTCGGCGTCGCCGCGCAGTTGACGAACCTCAAGTCGCAACGGATGACGTTTGTCGGAACGCCATATTGGATGGCACCAGAGGTCATACAAGAAGAAGGCTACGACTTCAAGGCAGACATCTGGTCGCTAGGTATCACTGCGATTGAGCTAGCCATGGGGCAGCCGCCGCACTCAGGTTCTCATCCCATGAAGATCTTGTTCACCATCCCGAAGAACCCAGCGCCGCGGCTCGAGGGTAACCAATGGACAAAGGACTTCAAGGACTTTGTGTCCAAATGTCTGGTCAAAGATCCCGATCTACGTGCTAGCGCAAAGGAGCTTCTGGAACACAAGTTCATCCGGAAGGCGGGCAATATCCAAGCTATGCGAGAGTTGATCGAGCGCAAGCAGATGTACGACGCCCAGCAGGAGACCACTAAGCACGTGAAGTACTATGAAGAGACCATGTAAGTTCTCTGTCTCTTCTCAGGATATCAGTGCTAATGTTCCAGGGTTGATCTCTCCCCGAAGAGCGACGAAGATGAGTGGAACTTTACAGTCCAGCAGCCAAAGACGGTCAAGATTAGTGCTACGCCTTCCACGACAAAGCGCCGCAAACCACCACGTATGCCCTCTGGCGAGGTCAACGCATGCGTTGCTACGATGCAGCGCATGGATCTAAACGCCGCACCACTGGGCAACATCACAGACTCGCCATTACCCGAACGACGCCGGCCGTCGTCTCGTTTGTCGTCCACGGGAACAGCTATTCGTGTACCTTCTGGGGCAACGCCAACGGCTCGGCGCGTTGCAAATGTTCCTAAACAGCCTTTGGGTGTGGATCTCACTTTCGGCAACTCGCCCTCCACAGTCCGACACTTCAAGCGTGTCTCCTCAGGCGAGCGGCGAGCAGCCCTTCAATCGAATCCGATTGACACTGGGAATTCGTTCCATCCCAATCCCCAGGCAAAGACATTCCGCCTATCGCCACCCAATTCAGCACATCCCTTAGACATCCACGACGAGAATACACCCCCGCCTACGGACTACCCACCTATGCCTATCACGAAGGATGCACTATACGGTCGACGTGCGTACAGCAAAGCTCTCGATTCGGTATTCCAAGAAGCCCATGCGGATTCTGCATCGCCCCAGCAGCGCGAAGCCATGAGTCGAGTGCACCAGGCCTGGGCTCACCTTGACCAGATGGACCCTGAAGGAGAGTTTCTGCTCCTGAAGGCAATGGTGGACCGACTGCAAGGAGACTCCAAGCTCGCTTCTGCCCTTGGTATCACTGTGTCGCCTGCACCGACTCCCATTCCCAAACAGCACAACACCAAGTCGAGCGAATTCAGCTTGGCGGGCACAACAGTACATGGCAACGGAACAACTCGCGTTCGCGCCAACACATCGAACACCGCATCCGCCTTTACTAAGCCCTCGCCCACGAACGAATTCGCTGCTTCTCCTGTGCGACCACGGACACCATTCGACTCTCCCAACGGCACGCCCACCAGCAACAGCTCTGGCTCCCCAATCAAGGGCCCGAAACTTGTCCTCGCGCAAAACAACCCGCATCTCAAGTCCCACCGTCGTCGACAAAGCGCTTTTGTGGGCGGCGAGAAGGTGTTTGGGTTTGATGCTGGTGAGCTGAACGAGAAGAAGCTGCCAGGTCATGTGGAACAAGGTATGGAGCAGCAAGGTCTGCTTGCTGATATTCTTTACGGACAGTGGATGCAGGGGCTGAAGAGTCGGTGGCCGCTGGCGTAAACTGCGCTTTGGTCTACGATCGACTGCGCGGTCGTGGCCTTGTACAGGTGGGGTAGACGTGGTGCGGTCTCAAAAGCACTCTCCATTCTTGCGTATACTTCTCCCTGCGTCTGGCTCGCCTTTGTGAGTCCGACTGCATCGTAGTTTTTGCATTTTCATGTCTTTCCTTGTCTTGCATCTTGCATACGATTCACGATTGACGAGCTTGCATGGTCATGAGCTTGTTGTTGTGGGATGCCGATGCATTGCTTGCTTGCCTACTTTCTTGTTCTTGCGTTTGCGACTGCATTGTACAACAACATACATGGCGTTCTTTGGCATTTCTGGCGTTAGAAGTGGTTGGGAGGACTGGTAAGATATGTGGGTTAGGATAGTGCAGATAGCTGTATGAGGAAGGATGGAGGTGTAATGTAAATGGCTTCTTGCGAAATGGGGAAGTGTTTCATGTGGCGATACTGTGAATCTTTCAATACTTGGAGCAAGACGCTGTCTCCTGTGCGGGCAAATCCCTACATATACTTTGGCAAGACGTTACCAGGCTTCACGTCTCTACCAGTTCATGACGCCGTGACAAACCGCGCACGGCAGGACTTCATCGTTATTCGATCCAAAGTTCGGCACAATCGGCCTTGTGAGGGGAGCAACCATATTGTTCTACCCAACGGTGCTATGAGGCCTCGCCTACCTGATCCGCCAGAACGATGCCAGCTTGCTCTGCAGGACACGGCTTGTTGTTAGACACTCTGATGACCTATATCTAGCTTGGGATAAGCCGCACGTTTGATAAAGGCTTGCGCTTCGTTAATGATGGCTTACATCTTATGTCTTCCCACCACACATGCCAGAGCGTAGTATTTACGGCAGTCCCAGCATTTAATGACCACTGGCGATGGAGCATGGAAGCCTACGATATCTTGTGGTTGAAACTTCTGATCACATTACCATACTTACTACCCCCTTTACTACCTTCAGTCATTTATATTACGCTCTCGATAATGTAAGACATACACTTCAGCTACTTCGCTGTTAAGTTCCGCTGGCCCGCATCCTCCATCTGAGGAGGAGCCTTTGCCTCGCCCAACCTTTGAAGCGTCAGCCCAGATGCCTGATGCCTAGATCTCGGATGATAGCGATTTGTGGGTAGCAAACCCTCTCCTTTCCCTGGCTGCGACCAACCAGTTGAGTAAGGGCCTTAACTCCAGATGTTAGATTGGGCGCCCCTTAGCTTACGCCCCGTTGTTCTCATAGTCGCTCGGCATAAGAGACTAATATTACCGCGCTCAAGGGAAGGAGATCAGGCACGAGAGCTGGAGCGGCGGCACGAGCTTCTCCAAGCCTTACCACCTGCGAATATTACTCGGACGCACTGCGCGACTATGGCGACTACTTGCGGGATAAGAGGAGGAAGGTACGGCGCAACCCAAGCTAGAAGACGAGCTCAAAGTAAAGCAACGGAACGTTTCCACGCAAGGCAATAACATGGAACGACGAGGTGCATTATGTCCAGTATGTTGACCTTGAGTGAGCGTGAGGTCCCAGCCAATCTTGGTTTGTCCCGTGCAATCAGGGGCCCACAACCGACGGTTCCACGCTACTCAACATGTAAGCTCCACCCAACGGGTAACGTCGCTCAACGGTTCGTCTCCACCTCGCGCGAAGCCACGGAACGTCAAGGCCAATAGGTATAACCGTCCTCTATCCGCGTCGCCTCGCAAATCGCCCTGGCCCGATCAAAGCTAGCACGAGGACCGTAGAGCAGGTGCAGAACCTCTCCTGGCACCGTGTTTGGAGGTGAACGTTAAAAATGGCGTTGCATCAAGTCGAACTGTGAGTGAGTATCTGGCAGAGCCAAAAGTTTGTGGAGGGGTGGTAGGTAGTGGAGGATTGTTGAGTCTAGAATTTGTAGCTTGTGGGACTTTCCACGCAGAATCTGTTCGGAACCATGTTGTCTATTATGCTGGAGTTATCTGCGTGTTTTTCGTCCTATTCCGCAAGTACCTGATTTCCTATGATCAGGCAGCAAGTTTACGGTCGTTCTCCGACAAAGAGAACGTAGAGCTGCTGAACAGGCGTCTTTTCCCTCAGACTTGTGTGTTGTTCTTTTTTGTTATGTTGTCCAACGTATCTCGTTCTGTTTCTATCGCATTTCCCAGCTACTCCTGCGCATATGATATTCCTTCACACAGGTTCTCAGATGCAGATTCTTGTCGCCTCAAGTGCAGAATCTGCATCTGAGAACCTCGTCGAATGGCGCGGATTCCAGTCTGGTCTCAACAGAGCCATTGAATCGTGTCAAGGCAGGCGCCTCGGTACCTCCGTTCTGTGAGCGTCAGTGCGACACAGCTGCATATAAATATCTGCCCGTTTCCCTCTTTCTGTAGAATAAACCATCACAGCTCTCACTCACAATTCATCTACGAGCAAAGCCAGATCTTCACAGCATCAGCACATCTCAGCTCACAGTTACCCTCCATACGCTCAATACACATACGAAAGGTAGATATCTACCTTGAGACTACTTTTGAACATTTTATTGAGTTCCTATAGATATCTCTGCTCGTCCTGTGTCTGTTGCATCTTCAGCAGCCTCTTCACGCATCCAACAAACACGCAACAGGTATTAAGCTACTACACTGCGTTTGCAGACAAGGCTCTAACAGTATCAGAAGCTTCTTCACCTTCTCATCTTCGAGTCTTAAAGATGTCTTTTCTTCAAAATAGCATCGACTCTCTCTTCGAGGAGAACGTCCCATCTCCTCTCTACCTTCTCCCAGCGGAAATCCGCAACAACATCTTCAAGGAAGCCGTCTTCGATGGCAAGGCGGCCCTCACTATCGAGATCAATGAGACAGGCAAAATCATCTTTCCTCCGCTGATGGCTGTCTCCAAGCAAATTCACAATGAGACATACGGCTACATTGCCGCAGCCCTCCGGAACCCTGCCACAAAATTCGAAGCCAAAGTGCGTGGTTACGATGCCAAACCCCTTCTCGCTACCATTCAACGCATCTCTCAGCAAACAGGGAGTGCGCAAAGCGAGTTGGTGGCACGCACTCACGTGCGCTTTGTTGGGGGCATGGATATGGGTAGGCTACTCGTGTGGATCCAGGGTAACATCACAAACCCCAAGGCCACTCCCGTCTTCCCCTTCGAGAAGATGGATATCCCACACTTCGCGGGCGAAAACGTCTTCGAAGGAAGACTGTCTCTCAAGTCGCACATCATCTCCTATCAGCAGTTTGAGAAGCGCGACAAGCTTGTTACGTGGAATTACTACGCAAGGGAATTCCTCACCACTCTAGAAGTCAGACAGTTGGAGGTGCTTGGCGAGACAAAACAGGACTTGTGGCTGGATGAAAGCGATGCTACAATCCAGGCGGCTGTCTTCAAGACGTTTGCTTGGTGGCACGATATCTTTCTTCAAAAGAAGAAGATCCAAGCTCGCGTTCTTGGGCTAAAAGAGCGGAAGCGCGTGGAAGACGATCACATCTATGTTGCTTCGGCGATGTCGGAATTTGGACACCACCTTGAGATGGCAGCGCAGCGCTGGCAGTAGCGAACAAGCTTTTCACTTGCCGGACAAGTCATCTACGAAGACATTTTGGCACTCCTTCGCTGTATGGTGGTGGCTGAAGCCCGTTGAGCTCTGCTCCGGGTCTGAAGTCGTATCCTGAGGCAAGGAGGTAAGTCCACATTCACGAAGCGCTTGCGACTTTCAGATACCTTCACTCGCCCAAGATCGCCACAACCCTCCTCATAAGACTTCGAGTCCTACCACGACCCCTGATCACAGGCCCAGTCACAGCCGCAGAGGTCCATCATCATCTCATGCCGCGAACCTAAAGACCATCAAGTCATTCCGGCAATATCAGCGGTTGAACCGGCCTAAAGCAGATGCTCACATGCCTTCAAAAACCTCATCTACTTCGCACTATCATCACATCAAAGCACTCTCAACTTCGCCGTATGGTGCTGGCCGAAGCTTATTGAGCCCTGCTCCGAGTCTGAAGTCGTATCCTGAGGCAAGCTGTTGAGTAGCTCTTCGCAAGTCTTATTTGAAGATTGCATATTTTCGAGGGATCGATTTGAGTTCGGCCGACTTTTGGCATGGAGATGGGATCAAATAGCTCTGCAGAAAATGCTATACAATGCCACCATGAGTTCTCTTTGCTTTGTGATGTAGTGTTGCCTGCTCAGTGAGTATATCAAATTACCCTACAGCGTCAATAGAGCGTTACCAAGGGGCGACCGACTGAATGAAAACATGAGCCAGATAACCATACGAACTCGTCAGACGAATCTGTCACATACCCCTGTTGCCGTGTAGTGAGACCGACGTGTGGACCAAGACAAAATGATATTGCGTGCCTGCCATCACGTGACGTCATGATGACCTCGGGAGGAAGGAGCAGCCGGCGGCCTGCTGGAGCGGTGATTGGAAGTGGGTTCCGCGCACTCGACAAGACATTTCCAATCCAACAAGCTGCAACGGCACCTGAGATGTTCGCAGGCGTTCACGATCCATGACCCTGGCGATGTGCGACGAACGACTGACACATGTTGATGCTGTTTCGACCTGCAACAGCAACCTCAAGACCAGAGTTGCATTGCGATGCCCACGACAGCCTGCGCCTGCGCCCCGCAACACGCCGAAATTTTGGGGGCCTGCACACACAGTAGACTTCACTATCCACCCGTGGCATTAGAACCGGCCTCCTTCATTCGATCAGACCAGACTCTGCGAAGTGGACCAAGGCGCTCAGGTCGGTGTGTGTATCAGCCAACCGTCAGCCTGGCCAGCGCATCTGTGCAACTGGACGCCACATTGCCATACGTTTCCGCATCACGAAACGTGCCATTCCCACGAACCCCACGCCGCCGCTCTGACGGGCGTGGTCGTCAGCTTGTGTGATCTCGTCGTTTCATCAACTTCGAACACTCCGCACGCACATGTCACCAAAGGCCCCGGAATTGGTCGCAATCCTAGCGCGGGGTTCGAGTGAGCGGATCAGGCCCGAAGCTGCAGCTCGCAGGGGGCTGCCGCGGATGTTAATTTAGAGGCGTTTGAACGGGCCAAGGACAGGACAGGCGATCCCCAACCGAGGACTCCCTGTTTCCGCTACCTGATGCTCGATGCGGTCATGCAAGCGACATCAAGAGCGATTGGAATTCCGTCGCCATTCCGCATGCCGTTAGAGGCGCGCCGGGCTTGGGTCCTTCGCAGCGAGAAAGCTTCTCGGCGAATCGGTGGCGCCATGATGCGCGCGCTGCTGAGCTGAAAATCGTGAAGTACTGCCCTCGATGTCTTGGAACAACATGGCGGACGACGAGGTTCTGTTGTTCGATATGCAGATGGGTTTTTGTCAAAGGCCAGAGCTGAAAACGCATCGACGCAAAGCAATGCCCGAAACTTGGCCAAAGAATCAGAAGCGACGAGCTATTTGTAGGAATGGGGGAGCAGGGGTCTGAGGGGCGTGGTGGCAACGTGCGCACGGCTGCAAGCATCACTCCGGTCCCTTCACTTTGCTGCTCGCGGGTCGCCAGCCAACGCTTTACCGCACCTGTCAAAGGGGCACAGCCAGCCTTACAGCGCCCGGCTGTGCAGACGTGCTGCCTAAATCTGGACATGCCCCTGTTCAGCCTTTGTCCGATCACTTAATTCTTGTTTCTCTAGTCTACCTTTTCGTTCTCTCACTCTCGTGGCCGCGCGAGAGGACAGAGCAAACGACTGCCGCTCATTACACACGTCGCCCACCATGCTGCTACGACAGGTGCATTTCACGGCCATCACCGTGGTGTGCATTCCTATCATCTTCGCCGTCTTTGTTTTTGTGTCGTATTTCCATGACGGTACACTCAATGTACTCCCGTCTCATCTATCACTACGGCCGTCCCACGACGACAAGCCAGCCGCGCAAAACGCCCCCTCACACTCGACATCAGCCCCTCTAGTGATACCGACCGCAAAACCAAATAGTAACATCGAAAACGAAGAGGAGGCACCGCACGTCAACACGCCTCCCGCCGAGCAGAAGGTCTTCCCCCAAAATGACTGGCTCCCGGCACGACCGATCGATCCCTCTTGCGCACATCTCCCCGACCTTTCCAAAATCCTCCTCATCATCAAGACTGGTGCTAGCGAGACCTACGAGCGCCTGCCTACCCAGTTTATGACCATGACCCGCTGCTTGCCTGACTTCCTTGTCTTCTCAGACATGGAAGAGTCCATCGTGGGCTACCGTGTGTATGACATCCTCGGTGAGACCTTGGAAGAAGTCAAGCACGACAATGGCGATTTTAACCTGTGGCGCCGTCAGCAGGAATGTCTTGTTGATCAGAAGAGCTGCCAGAAATGGAGTAACTTTGGTGGCGAGGCCTGGAATCTCGACAAGTACAAGAACGTTCGCCAGTCGGACGTGTCCTACCGCATGCGCCCCAACTACGATTGGTACATCCACATCGATGCTGACACATACATTCACTGGCCGAACATGGTCGAGTTGCTAAAACCGTTCGATCCACTGAAAGACCACTTCTTTGGTAGCTTCGAGCCTTCGCAGTACGGTGACTTCAACCACGGCGGTAGCGGGTACATCTTGTCGCAATCGGCTATGAAGAAATTCCAAGCCAACTCGAGCGTGGAACATTTTGACCACGCGGCAAGGAGCATCTGCTGCGGCGACATGCTGATGACGATCGCTGTGCGCGAGAACATCGGCCTCGCGAACACCAACTTGGTAAGATATTTTGGATGAGGGTTGTGATAAATCTTGTCATCCTAACTTGCAATCTAGTTCCCCACCATCAACGGTCGCAAACCCTTTACGCTCCCCTTCGGGCCCCGCCAATGGTGCCAGCCTATCGCCACATTGCACAAGCTCAACAGCGAAGAAATAGCTTCAATCTGGCAATACGAGCAACAACGCTTTGCAAATGCCACCGACGGCAAACCCTCTCCGCTCCTCATCAAGGATCTATACTACCAATACTTCGCGCCGAGACTTACCGAGAAACTCGAGGATTGGGACAACATGTACGACGACTACCTCAACAACGTGTGGTACTACATCGATAAGGACGACGCGTCGAAGGACTGGGAGAACTTCCACGACCAGAAGTACGTGTGGCATATGCGCAAGCCGAGCGACTTCAAGCACGAGGAGGAGAAGAAGGCGCATACTTCGTTTGACGCGTGCAAAAAGGCATGCGATGTCGTCGACGAGTGCCTGCAGTTCCGCTGGCAGGACGATGCCTGCGCCATGTCGAAGAACTTCCGTCTGGGAAACCCGATGGAGAAGCCAAAAGAGCAAAAGGAGCGGTGGATGAGTGGCTGGGCTGTCCAGAAGATCGAGAAGTGGATTGCCGACCAGGGCGAGTGCAAGGTGCAATTTCCCGGTGCCTAATCTTTTAGCAGGCAAGAGATGATACCATACGCATATGCATTTGCGATGAGATTTGGCGGACGACACGGGCCGGCTTCTTGGATAGCCCGCCTGTCTCTATTTGTTGTACCTTTATTAACTACCCGGCTGGGTGTATATTAACCATTTCCAAAGGAGCGTTCTTGTTTGTATAGGGTCGGTTTCGTAAGGTATAGAAGGTGTTTTCTGTGTGGAGAGCAACGAATATCAAACAATGTCAAATAATTATCAACTTCAGCTTCAACTGCGGGAATCAAGTGTCGCCGAGCTTCGACTAGCGGCCGATTGTACAAGTATAGCGTGCATCACGGCGTGGGCGGATGATTGAAGGTTGGGTGTAGACGAAGGCAAACATACGTCTACTTAACCTCACAGCCAAGCTTTCACTAAAGAGTCGACGCACGCCATAGTTGACTTTGGACACCTGTTTGGCGATCATCCGCCCGCGCGTGGTGCATAGGCTCCCGCAAGGCGTACGCGCGTCGGCTGGTGATGGTGAACTGGAACGCGCGTCAGGACCCACGAGGGGTAGAAAACCACAGTCCCCCCGCAAAGTACTACGCTCATCGGCTAGGACGCGTTTGACAACTTTTTCTCGAGTATGAGCACTCTTTCCACCGTTGGGAAGCAAGTGATCATCGAGATAGTGATGGAGTATGATGGCATAGTGCTCGAAGCCACACAAGGCGATGTCAAAGTAGGCTAGAGGAACACAATGTTCTTGGTGAAAACGTTTTCGTGCATTTACATTGATGCTCCAACAAGTCTAAATTGAAAGAACGGAGCACAGATGCCCAGCTCCTTGGGTGCTTGCCAAGATTGAATTGCCGTCTATCCGTGAGTGAAGCCATGACGCAAGACGGTATACGCAAGACTAGTTTGTCATGCAGAGAAGGGCATGTTACGACTTAGATCAAGTTACATGCACGTCATCCAAGCCCACGCTCCTGAACTGTTCACGCCAGAGCCTTGGCAAAATATCTCATTCAGTGCGTACGCTCGGTTTTAGGCGACGTTCTATAGCACAACTCTTGAGAGTCATTCCCTGCTCTTCACAGCATTTGTGTGTGTCCGTGGCTTGAGTTTGGGCACGAACGAAGAGATATTTGCACCACTGCAAAAGTCTACATCGTCCATCAAACAGTGAGCATCCAAGTTGCCTATAAGTCGCCAGCTCAGGGGTCTTCCATCACTTGCCCGCCTCATTCCAACATCTCACTTGTGCTGGTTACTTTCTGGAACCACAGTAGCACTTCGCCTCAATCCCTCGCCTCCTTTAGCCTGGTAGAGAAGGTTGCGTGCATGGGGCTATCTAGCATGCCGGGTCGCCAGTAAGCGAACCTGACCGCGCTTCGCAAAGTCATAGCATGTATTAGACAATAAGTACCTTTTCTTCATCTTGGTCATTTGGAACCACCTACAGCCGTGCTCTTGGAATGGCTAACGCGCGTATTCATGGGGGAGAGAGGAGACGTTCTATTAATCCGACACCAACAAGGAAACCACGGTCTCCCGTTCCAGATCAAATGTGTCAGCATCAGAACAACGCGTGACGCAGTAGACCAAAGATTCTTTAAGCCTATAACCCTTTCGTAGATACAGACAATCTACCGCTATGATCGTGGCACCTGCATGTACTGCGGGCTCGTATACAGCAAGAAGGCTTCAGCGCATGTTCCGTCACGCACTCAGCATCGATCTGCGATCCGTTCGAATGCTCTGTAGCAGACGCTTGGGGTTGACATTGTAGAGCTCATCCTGTTCCTCCGGGCGTGTAGAAGAAATGCGAACTGCAAAATATTATATTGCAGATTCGGCCAGTGGGTATGGATGCTGACTCGATGCGGGAGCATCATACGACCGTTCCTTTGCGTTCATTGGTATCAGAAGAAAAGTGAATAACGGGAGACTGGAATATTCAAGACGTGAGCTTTGTACGACTGTGGCACAAGATCTGTAGGGACAGAAAGATATCCAAGGAGTCAAAAGTGTATACTTGCGCCTATATCAACCATTACTGGGGTCAAGAATCGTTACCTATCTATGATGATCAGACACTGGAGGTCGCGATTAGGACAATGCATGTCGCGGGCTCCACACATGTGGTAATCAGAGTAAGTTGTAACAAAGGATACGATCTCGTCGTTCTCAATAGGTTAACCGTTTTCTAGCTTCTCAAGCTGCCAAAGAATTGGTCATGGGAGACGAGGGTGCCGAACGAACGGGAAGAGTTGCCTGAGCTGGACTGGAGTGATCTAACGTCTGCGGACGGCGAAGCTAAAGAGCAGTGGGAGCATGAAGACCCGATCAGTGAAGATCGTGGAGTATCGTATGAGGAATGGGTGAGGGACCTCTACGAGAAGACGGATGATTCTCAGTCCGATGAAGAATCCGAAAGCGAGTCTGAGAGCGAGTCAGGTGAAAACTCTTGGAAGGGAGACTCGACTGGCGAATAGTGGAGAATTGATGTGGTACATGTAATATAGTAATAACGGTCACAAACTCTGAAGTAGGGTTACAATGACCTTCTAACACCATTCCGCCAGTGACACTTCAGTTGTCCATGACTGACTTCGTCTTCTAATATCGCCAGGTACAGACAAATCTGGCGTCTACTCCACAACCTCCTCCTTCTCAATTTGCGTCAAAGAAGGACACCATTTATCTTGAAGCACCGTGTCTAGCGATGTTGCAAGAACGTCCAAAGGCCACCATTCCCCCCAGCTTGTCAAGAAAATCTGCGCCGGATCCTGCGGGGTGTCTTGCCTTGTGTATGCCGCCAGAATCGATTGGGCTCCTATTTGGTAAATTTAGGAGGCCAGTTCAAAGATTCTATTCATACGAAGCAGCTTACCTTCCGTAATGCTTCTGGCGTCCTTCATGATAGAGTCTGGGAACTTAAAATTCATCCTCTCCATAGCGTGTCGGGCCAGGTTCGTATCCGGAATTAGCCCTGGAGAAACAGCGACGACTTGCGCTTGACCTTCGAGCTCGCGACGCCACCAATGCGCTGTGAGCAACTGGGTGAATTTGCTATCCTCGTAGGTTCGCTGAAATTGAGTGCCAGAATTAGCGGTCAATTCCTTTTCCAGCTGCTCCACACGGGCTGAAGTTACCAATTAGCAGATATCACCTCTTCAACGTTAAGACCGCAGAAATCTTGATGATCACACCTACCTGAATCGGACACGCCTCGAATTGCCCCAGAGGATACAATGACGACACGACCCGCAAGACGCTCGCGAAGCAGATGTGTCAAATAATGCTGAGACAGAGAATTGACAATGTACGATTCGCACCACTTTGAGCCATTGATGCCCGGCTCATCTGCCGGTTTGTTGATTCCGGCGTTCAGCAACAAAAGATCAATCTTAGACGATCCGAGCTTTTCGAGAGTCTCTGTCGCAAATGTCCTAACAGTCCGGAGATCATTGAGCTGAAGTGGAAGAAAAACCAAGCTGTGCTTCTGCCTGTCGTAATGCAAGTCGCTGAACTCTTTCTCTGCTCTCTTGAGGTCACGAGCTCCGAGAATGAGGCGGTACGACTGACTCTCTGCTAGGAGCTGCTTGATTGCTTCGAACCCCTGTTATAGTCATAATTAGAGATGCAGATCAATCCTTGGATGCCGTGCTAAAACCTACCAGACCTGATGTTGCACCCGTTGCAACTACCGTTCTGATATTGCTGGCCATTATTTATCGCTGGAGAGATCGCAATGTCTAGCTACTTGTTCGCGCCGTCTGGTATTGTCATTGAAGCAGTTCGAGGATAGAGTTCTGAGTCGACGGTCGCGAAATCAAATCAACGATTCGACGTTATTGTCAACGCATGCAGTCGATAAACGAGTAGGACAGCTTGGTAATCGATAATGTCAAAATGGCGAGATGACGCTGAGATCACAATCGAAATGATACCTAGGGTGCTATGGTACAGTACGTAAGCACACTAGCGCCGCTAGTCGGACCAAAACCCTCGGGTCGCGGACTTAGGGGTTCAAGGACGGCCAAGAAGTATTGCACACTCTGTTCCCATCGCCAACTTTCTCCAAGGGTTTACGACCGTTATCCCTGAAAAGAGAACATTAGATAGCTTGAGAACGGTCTACCGGTGACCGTTCCACCGACTTTCGTTAGCGGTGCTCCGTAGTGTACACCATACTATGGTAGGTAGCCGGCATGAAGGATGCTCCGCACCCAGCCATTAGCATCCTCAGGCATCCTTAGAACTTCATTCCTGCGTGAGATTTTCCCACGTGCTGCTAGGCTCTGAACGGCTGATGGCTAGCGGTCAACTTTACTGCGGTGGCCCACAAGGTACACGAATCTTGCGCGGACGACAAAATTGACCCGTTTCGCGTCGGAAGGTTCTCAACCAGGGCAAGGCTCACATCCTGTAGGATGATCTATCCGCATCTTTGGTAGTCTTGGTACAACGTTTGTGTATATCTCGCGTCCCAAGGCAGCAAGACTCACAAACGTATAAAAGCTGCCATGCTCCTCATAGCCTGCTCGCTACATGGCAGCTTCTGCGATTATTCCTCCCATCATGCGGCTTCGATATGCACTCCTTTTAACGGGCATTCTCACTTCGCCAGCATTGTCTCGTCCTTCAGCTAGCTTCCAAGAAAGGTGTGCAAATCTCGCCGATAAAATTCAGCTGGACTACACATTTGAAGTCAACCTTGCAGAGTACCTAGCGCCAAATACTACGATCGATCTCACCGCCGAAAGCCTGAACGCGACCTGCTACGACTCCATTGGAAATACAACAGCTCCCGTTCCGGTCGGAGTATGCAGGTTGAATCTTAGAGTCGCAACCTCGGAAAGCAGTGAGGTCTACACAGAAGTTTGGCTTCCGGAAAACTGGGAAGGACGGACTCTGACGACAGGCAACGGCGGCTTAGCAGGCTGTAAGTCAAATCTCTTCATGATGACGAATTGGGGGAAAGTTCGGAGTGTACTTCGTTGCCTCCACGGTACCAGGTCGGGCAGTGCAGCAGCCGGATAGGTCAAGCGCTTTTGTGCATGCGCTCGTGAAGACTTCCCCAGCTGACCTACTGATCCTGTAGGTATCCAATACTCTGAACTCACATATGGCGCCTCTTACGGCTTCGCCTCCTTTGGAACCAATAACGGACACAACGGGACATCCGGTGGAGCCTTCTTCCACCAGCCGGAGGTCTATGAAGACTACGCTTGGCGCTCTATCTACACCGGTGCAGTGGTTGGGAAGTCTATTGCCGAGCAATTCTACGGCGATGTGTGTGGCAAGAGCTATTATCTTGGATGTTCGACTGGCGGGCGGCAGGGTTGGAAGGCAGTGCAGAAGAACCCCGAATTGTTCGACGGCGTGGTTGCAGGTGCGCCAGCCATGGATATTTGGGCGCACGTAGGATTCTTTGGATATGCTCTTCAGACTCTCGGCTTCAACACAAGCTCCGTGACTTTAGCTCAATGGGCTGCTGTTCGAGAGGAGGTATTGAATCAATGCGATGGGTTGGACGGCGCGCACGATGGCATCTTGGAAGACCCTGCTGCTTGCGATCTCGACTGGAAGCCACTCCTTTGCTCTTCGACTACAAACAACACTTGCCTTACAGCGGATCAAATCGAAGCTGCGACGAAGCTGTTCGGTCCCATCTCCTACAACGGAACCCTCATTCACCCTGGCCACGGTCACGGATATGAGCCGGAGTTGATCGCTTATGAATACAGCCCACTTGTTCTCACGTGGATTCCTGAAGTTTTTCGTTACGTTGTGTACGAAGATATCTCATGGGACCCGATGACCTTCACGCTCCAGGACGTCTTGTACGCTTTACAGCAAGATGCTAATGGCGTCCACCTAAACACCTTCGATAGCGACATTTCCGCCTTTCGCGATCGGGGAGGCAAGATACTCCATTGGCACGGGACTGCTGACCAATTGCTCGTGAGCAGAACATCAGACTTATACTACAACAAAGTGCGCTCTACATTGAACGCCAGTGTCGCTGACCTCGACGAGTTCTATCGTTATTTCCGGGCAAGCGGCGTCGGACACTGCTATGGTGGCCCTGGAGCGAACTTTATGGGACAACTGGGAGGACAGGTCACTGCTGATACGCCAGACGACAGTATGCTACGACGAATCGTTCAGTGGGTAGAGGAGGGGGATGCACCTGAGTCTGTGAGGGGCACAAAGTTCATCAACGATACGGTCGCACTTGGTGTTGAGTTTACGCGAAAGCACTGCAAGTACCCGAAGGTGAACAAATATACCGGCTCTCGTGAGGGATTGGATGAAGAGGGATGGGAGTGTGTCGAGCCTTAAGCGACGCGGTGCCTATATTGTATCCTAGCGATCACCGACAGTGATAGTCGGGATTTGCAAAACCGTGCAGCAGGCTCGGGCCGTGAATGAAGAGCAAATATTATTCTCCGGTTGTCGTTCCACATGCCCGGTTCATCAAACGTGAAACGCATGGCTGGCTCCATAATGGTCTAGAGTAACGGTGGCGCCACCCTTTTCGTCCGAGCTTCGGGAGCTAGGCGCCACTTCACTTCCCACACAAAACCTTACCAAGACATGAAGATGTTGAGGGAGGCTAAGATGCTTCAGGAGTTTGGTATTTCTACGTAACGGCAAGAGCTGCGGTTGTGATAAAAGGGACATAGTCACTGTTTAGAAGCCGGACATCCCGCGCTATTTGCCTTACATTCACTACCTAGGTACAGCCCCAAGACAAGATTACGCTTACGTACCTCCAGCATGAGGCGTCAGGATTATATTGCGGGGTATGAAACAGACGCTTCTGACTCGCTGCTTTGCCCACAGAGATGGGCGATGGGCGACATAGGCGAGCTGTTAGGCAGCCGACAACTCATACAGATGACATGTCAACTGTCCCAACATTCACGGTTCGATTTCTCCATCCCCACTTGCTCGTGGAGACGGGCCGCCTCTCGGAGTCGAGACCTTGCAATGCGAAACGTCGGCGCCAGACTTCATGTAGCTTCGGGAGGAAGATTGCGCCAAATCTGAAGAAATTTGCACGGGATCCATCAGCAATCAAACCAGTGGAAGGTATGACGAAAGGTAAACAGCATGGGGACAGTCTGGCCTTGACTGTTTTATATAAGATAGCAAAGACCTCACTAACCTTTGCGCCTCATCGACCTAAGTCGCAACACATTCCTTCAGTTCCTTCCTGGTCACTCTTTTGACCTTTACGTTCATTTCAACACCGCTCTTCGAGTAGACTCGACTCTTGAATCACCGTATCCCATCACAAAAATACCACCTCCACAATGCGTTACTCTGCTATTGCCGCATCATTTCTCATTTCTACCGCTTCGGCCTGGCGCTTCCCAGACTTCGACTGGAGCAACCAAGGCTTCCAAGGATGGCCCCGTCCTAGCCACGGCTCCTCTGTGGCAGTTTCTGCAACTCCCACCAAGTCCGTTGCTGCTTCTGTGAGCCACGCTGCCTCCAGCGTCGTAGCCACCACTGTCGTAGCTACTGTCGCCCCGACTTCTGCCGCTGTCGTCCCAACCTCTGCCGTTGCGGATGCCGCTTCCACCAAAGCTGCCTCGAAGACCTCTACTGCCGCCGCAAGCACTGGCACCAGCACCTCCGGCAGTCTGACTTCCGACGAACAGGCCGCTCTCGACGCACATAACGATGCCCGCGCTGAGGTTGGCACCGCTGACCTGACCTGGGACGCCTCCCTGGCTGCGGATGCTCTGGCCTATGCTAAGACGCTTGCTTCTTCTGGAACTTTCGAACACTCTGGTGTCTCCGACCAGGGCGAGAACCTGTACATGCAGTACGGCACTGACACCCCTCTTACCAACGCCGTAAAAGGCTTCCTTGAGGAGAAGAGCTCGTACAACGGTGAGGCTATCACCTCCACCAACTACATGACTTTCGGTCACTACAGTAAGTCATTGTCTCAAATTAGGTGAACAAGAATCGAGACTGACTGTGATTCTAGCTCAATGCGTCTGGAAGGACACCACTAAGGTTGGAATGGGTTCCGCCGCTGGCAGCGATGGCTCTACTTACGTCGTTGCCCGCTACAAGGCTCCCGGTAACTACATCGGCGAGACCGCCTACTAAGTGTCAAAGTCCTAGCGACTCTTGTGTGCACCGGATTGCACTCTGCACTACATAGCTACTTTCTTCAAGTGCCTGAGGTACAATTCTTCTTCTCATACCCCGAGCAACAAAAGCTTTACATTTGATTCCAAATCAAGATCATTACATGTTCGGCTTGGATCACGCCGTCGTGATTGCGCATCTCATCGTCTTACGTGCGCTCTATGCTCCTGCTGCATCCTATATTTACAATAGCACTCACCGTCATCGCAAATTCCTACTAATCCCCGGCTCAATGCCCTCCAGCCTCCCCAGAACCTCCCTCCAAACCATCTCCTGCACCTCCCTTCCCTCGCTCGTCCTTACAAAATTGCTCACCAGCGCGACCTGACAATTACTCAAGTACTCGCCAAAGGAGTCTCTCCCCGCACTCGCTGCATGCACCAGCGTCCTACTTCCGACTTCTGTGCTTCTCGCCCGCATCGCAATCTTGCCGATATACGCTATAGGTGCGAAGTCCCTCGTTAGGGCCGAGTGGCAGAAACCTGGGTTCACGCAGTTGATCACCACTGGATAGTCCTTTCCCAGAGACGATGTTAGCTCCCGCAACAAGAGCACTTGCAGGAGCTTGGAAGTCGGATAGCGGCCTGAGCGGCTGGATGTGCGGGGATCGTTGAGAGCATCGAGGAGCGTGGTGTGGACGCCCTGGCGGAGCGCTTTGCGTTCTGGGATCGTGGCCTGGTGGTGCAGCTCTGATGTTACGATTGTGAGATGGGGTTGAGTGTTGTGTTTGAGCGCTGTCTCCTTGAGCTTCGGGAGGAGGAGAAAAGCAAGGAGAAAAGTGGACACAACGTTCGTTGTGATTTGGAGCTCGTCCAAGGCTCCGTCGGTCTTGTAGAATCGGTACTTGGACACTCCGGCATTCTCGAGAAGACAGTCTAGTCGCTTCAAGGTGCCACATTGCGTTGCAAACGCTTTGACAGAATCGTAAGAGCAGAGGTCCAGAGGCCAGCATTCGACGACGCTGGGCCCACACTTGGTCGAGATTTCGATGGATGCCTTCGCTTTTTGGGCTGCGTCTATGTTCCGCGCTGCGATGATGACCTTCTCAGCGCCCAGACGCGCAAAGTGCCGCGCAGCTTCTCTTCCGAGGCCGATGTTCGCGCCCGTTACAATCACGGTCCTGCCGGTCCATTGTGTCGTGGGGTGAGGCGGCGTGAAGCACCATTGACTCCAGAGAAGTGTTCTCCAGTAATGAAATTGGGGTTCCGAAGCTGGCATTTCCGTTGGTTTCTGTGCTCAATTGTGGTTGAGGTGGCAGAGTATCGCGGTGCTTGCGATGTGGTCGCGTTTGGCGACCTGAAGTTGTCTCCCTACATTGCACGTTTCAGATCAGGGAACCTAGCTGGGCAAACTCAAAGCCATCAGACATGAAGGCGGTAGCGAAGAGTTCATCGTGAACAACCACTACGCCCCGTCGTCCGTAGTCTAGATGATGGAATGGCAGGTGTATGCATGGTGATGTCGAGCGCTCACTCAAGCTTCGCGGAGCCCTCGTGTGGATGGCGCACGGGCGTTGTTGGTTGGCTGGGAAGTTCGCGGTTCCTGCGTCGACCTTCTCCACCCTACGTGCCGTGCCCGGCTTCTGGAAATGTCGCCATGATCGCTTGAACGATATAAAGCTTTGTGTAGAGCATCTTCGCACTCGTTGTTCGTCAACATCTGCACAGGCCCTGCCACGATGCGGTTTGCCTTCGCTATTCCCTTCGCGGGGCTCGCCCTTGCATCGTCTATCCCGGACGTGTCGAGCACGCTTCAAAATATTTTGAAGAACACGGAGCAGACGAACAAGTACAAATACCCGACTGACTTCACACGAGGTATTCTACCGGTATGTTTGGCCATTGTGGTACAGCACCATCACTTATTCTTCATAAGAAGCCATTCCATTCTCACAACGACTACTGGAGGGATGTGCCATTCTACTCTGGCCTCTCTTACGGCGCCGTCTCTACCGAAGCAGACGTCTGGCTAATCAACGGGACCCTCTACGTCGGGCATGAGCGCCAGGCCCTGACCAAAGAGCGAACCCTAGAATCGCTCTACATTAACCCCATCCTCGACACTCTGCATCGCCAAAATCCCGTGACAGACTTCTCCAACGAAGCGACATTCAACGGCGTCTTCGATATGTCAAGCGCTCAGACCTTGTACTTCTTCATCGACCTTAAGACATCGGGACCGGAAACCTGGCCAGCCGTACTATCTGCGCTCGAACCTCTGCGGAATGCAGAATACCTCTCCACGTACGACGGGACGACGTTCACTTCGAAGCCCGTCACTGTAATCGGAACCGGTAACACGCCAATCTGGCTTGTGCAATCTGCCGTCCCGCGTGATGCTTTCTACGATGCGCCATTGGCTCAGTTGGGCGGCGAATTTTCCAATATAACCGCGAACGACTCCCCTATTGCTAGTACGGACTTCGAGGCAAGCTTTGGTCAGGTCCGCACGGAGAGCTTCAACGACACGCAGTTGGAGACTTTGCGTAAGCAGCTCAAGACGGCCCACGATAAGGGGATCAAGGCGAGGTATTGGAATCAGCCTGGCTTCCCCATTGGTACAAGGAATGCTGTTTGGAGGACGCTGTATAATGAGGGAGCTGATTTCGTCAATGTGGATGATCTTGAGGGCGCGGCTGGATTTTGGGAGAGTCACGGTTGAAGGAAAGTCTATCTAAGAGAAATTATTAGATCTCAAGGGCAATCATAACGCAATGTGGCGGTTAACGTCGGTGTCAATAACGGGGGATGAAATAATAGCATTGGGTTGGATGATGACCGACGTTATTGCCCGTGCGGGTCTTCCCTTGGTACTGTGCAGGCATGCTGCGATAAGTTTTTCAAGCTTGTTCACGCCACTGTGTTCTTCTTGGTCAGGGGGTGCTGCTAAATGTTTCTTTACTGTAGGTCTACTTTTTGCCCTTTTTCTTGTTCTCCTCTTTGGCATCTTTTGCAAATCCGCCCAGCACTAATGCCTCACGGGATGCTGTATTGATGATACGGAACCGATCAGGCCCCAAATGAGTTCCGCCATACCATCTCGTTACGACAACCATAACATTCCATACGTCCATCAACTGCATGAGGTGCAGCATCCTCCCGCCAGCGGCCGTCTCACCGTCATCGTCGCAATCCTGGTAGCTGGTATCATTCGGTCCTTTGATACGCCAGGCAGTCATATTATGTGTAGCTTTGGCGGCCTTCTTGTCTGTCGCCAACAGGTGTGCAACATAGTGCTTTGCCTGGTCGGGAGACGAAACTGGAGCCACACGGGCGAGGAAAACAGACTTCTTCTCCGTGATCAGAGGGGCGATGATCCAGGGCGGTTCGGGCCCTAAGTCTGGGGTAAGATCCTGTGGTATTTCTGCTGGGGGTTCGGGTTCGTCTTGCCTGTCTCGCTGAATGCATCTATCCGCTTCTGCTTTTTCGATGGCTTCGCGTACCTCCTCGAGAAGATCGTAGATGCAGGCCTCACCAGGGTTGTAGACTCGCGCAAGCACCTCCCGAACCACATCGACGACCTTGCTTCCCATGCCCTTAGGAGCATCTTGCCCAACACTTTCCGTTCCTAAGATTGATGGAGGGGCATCAGGATAGTCCTGGGGGAACTCGATTCGTAACGTGATATCTGGCAGAGACGGGAGGCGTAAGCTGCAGAGCGTCGAGTCTTCACTTAGTACCCTCAGAGTGTCCTCCTCGAATATCGAGTTTATGGAGATAACCTCATCCTGGATGGCATCGTTGGTGAACATGGTCAGGGCCGTGGGGAGCTTTGACGCAGTGGGGAGCTTTGATGGCGCCACGCTAGGCTTAGCGTGCAGGGACCGACAACGAAGTTTAGCCCACATGCAAGTTGCAGAAACGCGACAAACCTTAAACATTCACACACTCGCCGTCAACCACGCAATCCCGCACCGCCGCTAACCACTGGCAGATGCAATGGTGAATAGCGACGAGCTCAAGCGCGCCGAAACAGGCCTACGAATAGCGCAGCTTAAGTTCAAACAAGCGCTCAAGCGCGAAGACAACTCGGGTCAACCGCTCCCATCCGTCTCCCTCGAGTCCAGCACAAGCTTTTGCGACGACATCGATGCGGTGCTCCGGCGGAACACGACGGACAACGTCCAGGTATCTATTGAAACGGCATCGAGCTACCCAGTCTGGAGCAGACTAATCGCGAACTTAGACTTGCAAGAATTGGATAGTTAAGCACATAGCTCCTTCAAAAGCCCGCATTGCAATACTGGGTGAATACTTGGTAGCCGTCTCCAAGTCAATTGTCGTTGAACAACCCGCCAAATCAGCCAAAGCCGCCCGATCTCGCCTGGCTGTACTCCTCGTTATCAGTGATGTCCTTCACGCGGAAAAGTTTCACCGCGAGGATGGCGCAGTGCAAGGAAAGATTCTCAACAATCTAAAACCATACATTGAGAATATGGTAGAACTCGCGGCTCTGGCTGTACCGGGAAAGAATTCAACAGCCGAGCAGCAGTTGAAAGCTGTCCTCAACTTCTGGGGCGCCAGTGCTTGTATCAACGCTGGCGATCTCAAGTCTATTCGCGAGCGAGTGGACGAGGGTGTCGCGGTAGCGCAAGGCGCGACGCCGCAGCTCAAAAGAACACACGCGCTGCCCGACTGGTTTGGTGACAGGAGCGTCCCGTGGCACGAGCTATCTGCATCCTACATGGTCGAGCCTCTGTTGAAGAATCCTGATCGTCCGATACCTACGAATGTGATCAATGCGACTCGATTCGAGCAGAAACAGCCCTCGGAGCGTACACGAAAATTGCTCGACAATTACTTCGAAAACATCGACCTACAGTATGTACCAAACGCAGACAATCCGACCGGCGAGACGAAGAAATATAAGCTTTGGCTCGATTCAATTGGCCAGCTGGTGAAACAGAACAAGGAGACCCAGGAAGTGACAACCGTTTGCAACGGCTACGGATGGTCCACGAAGTTCTGTCAGGAGATGCAAGAAAACGGGATTCCTGACAGGGTTACGGAGCTCAGGGAAGGATATAAGGAGAAAGCTGCGCAGAATCCTCGTGACAGTCGATGGAAATCACCCCCTCGCGACTATGGGCGTAATTCGCGATCGCCTCGCCGTCGATACTCGTACAGCTCGGACTCGCGCTCTCGATCTCGCACACGCTCGCACTCGCGCTCGAGCTCATATGGCAAACATGACCGCGACGATCGATCACGGTCCAGCGAGCGCCGCCGACGATCCTCCCGTGACGATGGCAGGAAGTCGAATGGACGTCGCAGCCGGTATGATGACAAAGGACGTACATCCCAAGACAACGTCAGCCGCAAGCGTCCGCATGACAGGCAATCGCGCTGGATTGACAATCAGAGCGACTTTTCTAATACCAAACGCAACTACCCTATACCATCTACTCAGCAGCCAAGCTATAGCGCACCAAATGCGTATCCTACACCAGGTGTTCGACAACAAGTTTTCCCCCCACCATCAATGTCGCAGCCACCACACAATATGTCTGGCTTTGTTCCACCTCCACCGCCTGCGCCTGCGCCTGGACAATTTTCAGGGTTTTCAATGCATGGGTTTCCACCACCACCGCCTCCGCCTCAGCACTTTCAAAGTGCCGGCGTCCCACCGCCCCCTCCACCACCACCACCAAACTTCCAAGGGCCGTTCTATGGCGCACATCCTAATACCGGAGGCTTTCCGAATGATACTTATCAATTTGGGAACAATGCTCCACCATATCAAGGTAATCTTGGCGGATATGCAGGGCAACCACAAGGCAACTTCCGCGGAAGCTTTCAGGGTGGACAAAGAGGTGGTTTTCGCGGTGGTTTCCAAGGGCAAGGACGTGGTCAGGGCAGGTATTGATGCTTTGTCAATAGTGAATAGAGGTAGCGTGAATTATGATTGGAGAACCAATTCATCGTTAAAGCCGCTCGTGTCAGTGAATGTTTAGACGGACGTGTTGAGAAGATCGACCGGAGCAAGATAGAAAGCGATACGCGGGTAACTTCGTGTGACCTGAGAGTGCCTGAGAGTGCCTGAGAGTGCCTGAGAGTGCCTGAGAGTGCCTGAGAGTGCCATTCCCGCTCGCTTGTATGTGCGTTTGCTCCCTCTCTGCCCCTCGAGAGCGTTTGGCAATTCGGTTCCTGCATACTGTGTATATGAGACTCTTCTTACTGCTGCTCGGCAGTTCGAGCGTCGTTACAATCGCACAGCACGTTCTCATTCCGTGGGTATCGTGCCGAGTGGGCTCGGACATAGTTGGCGTTTGATTGGTCACACAGGTAGGTGGGTGTCCCGCGCGCCGCGCTTGCCTTGGTCCTCGCATTGTCAATACCATTGCTTGAGCACCATCCTAACTATGATCAGTCTACACAGGATTAGCCACACCATCCGCGCTCGTTTCGCGCGATGGCCTCTGTGAAGCGCAAGAGGACGAGTAACATAGAGCAGAGTGACCCTGACCACGACAAGACCATTGACGAACGACCGCCGGGGGGAATACCGAAGGAAAACTTGATCGAAGGCTCTGATCCGGACACGGAACAACGAGCAGGATATTCGGACGGAGGGCCCCGTAAACCCCAGAGGAAGAAGGAGAGAGCAGAGATCGGCCTGGGACGAGCGACTCCAGCCACGGCGACGCGAGATAGCGCAGCGAGCACCACCACCGCCAGAGGCGTTCACAAAATCTTTGGAACGAGATCTGGGCCTTTCAAAAAGAAACCCAAACAGCGACAGCCACGTGCAGACGCGAGCTCGAGTTCGACGACTCACTCATCGGTATCGTCAATACCTCCAGCACTCAATAATCCCAAGCAAGACCTTCCGCGTAGATCTACCCGCTTTAACCGTTCATCGTCGTGCATCTCCTCCCTGCCGCGAGGTCCTTCGCCCCAAGTCCAGGTCCCACCGCACAGTCCCTCGAGCCTTAAGAACGCTGTGTACATTTCACAGGTTGACTCAACGCCAGATTCGTCGGCTCAGAGCGCAGCCCAAAGATCGTGTCTATCACAATCACCCACCTCCTCAAGCGTTTCGGACAGGATCGAGGTCCCTGAATCAGAATCGGAGCCGGCCGACGAGGTCAACAACCTATCGGCAAGCTATCATCCTGCAACACAAACCACGTCCCCGTCCGCGTCGAGCCAGAGTAAAGGATCAGAATCTTCTACGCACGATGTAAGTGTACATGATCTGACAATTACTTCTCGTCCGCTAACGAAAACTCAGTCTACGGCTACTTCTGCTTCACTCGAAGATTCGCCTCCCTCGCCGTCGTTGTCCATCCCAGAGACTGAACCCGATTTCGAATCTACGCCTGCTCAAGAAGAGGAAATTGAGGAGCTCGAAGAGAGGACCTTCGAAGACGGATCGGTTGTGCAGATTCAGGAAGAAAGCCGTCGAGAGATACCCGACACCTTGGAGGCTAGTGGTACGTTATCTACGATTGAAGAGCCCTCAGAGCATAAGGTCCATCGATCTGCCCAAGAAGAACTTGCAGACGCGAACCAGAGCATCGCAGAAAATTCGCTCGTGCGAGAAATTGAGCCTTCCACTCAGGAAGAGCTACGGGACGCGCCTCAGAGCACCGCTGAAGGTCATCCCGTGCAACAGTTTGAGCACTCCACGCAAGCGGAACTACTAGACGCGCCACATAGCTTCCCGCAAAACGTCGAGCCTGTTGTTCAAGAAGAGACGGACGACGCTCACCGAAACCCCGCCCAAAAGCTCACGACAGAAGCCCCGCATATCACTACACCGCGCGAGCTTCAATCCGCCGCTGAGAGCAGTCTCGAGGGGTCTCTGGCCTGCGAAATCCCATCGACAACTCAGGACCAGTCCCAAAACACACCACGGATCACGCCTTCGCAACTGTGTGGGCAGCAACAGTCTCAAACTGAGAGCGAGGAGCGGACAACGATCCTCGACTCGAGTATTCTCACTTCGCCGCCGAATCAGGCGCAAGAACGACAGTCACAGTCCGAGGAACTTACGGAAATCCAGCTAGACGCGCAGCCATCAGTCTCATCTGTAGATAAACACACTCCTCGACTATCATCCATTTCGCAAGTCGATATTTCGCCAGAGCCCGTTTCCTTCGTACTTCCATCCTCCAGGCTTGGTCCCGACACTAGCCGCCAAGAGTTCGCCAAGACCACTTGCGCCAACGGCGATCCTGAGCTTCGCGCGCTTTCTTCTCAACCTTCCTCGTCTCAGACACGACAATTGTTATCTTACGATCCTGCCTTCAACAGTGTGCAATATAGCGGCACATTGAGTCGTCGTCCGCGCCACGATTCTTCTCAAGAGTCTTCAAAGTCTGGCGAGGACTCGTCTTCGGTCCCTCAACCACCACAGCAGTCACCGGGGAGTTTGGAAATAACTAGTGACGCTCCCCCAAGGCCTGGAACGCCTTCGAATACATCTCTCTCGGGCGCCATGGACCTGAATGAAGGCACTCCTCCACTCCCGCGGTCAATGCCGCAGGCAACTCCAGAAGCTTCCTCGGCTCCAGGAAACCTTCTCCTGAACGAGTCCTCAACTGGCGGCAGTAACATGAGGGAATTCCCGGTGCCGGACAAATCGCCTGAGCCAGAAAATTTGACCGACTTATTAGCGAAGAACTTAGCGAAGAATAAAGCCGAATCTGACGCCAAACAAAAGCAAAAAAAGGAGAAACGTGAGAAGGACCGCGCTCTCAAAGCAGAGAAAGCAGAGCGGGAAAAGGAGTCGCGGGAGAAGAGGGCCCGTACGCAACCAGAAACCTGGGAAAGGATGCGCGGACCTGATCGACTAGCGGCGCCTGAGACTGGCACACGGTCGCCTTCCACAATCCCTGACCGTCTCCCCGTTCCCAAAGAACCGACTTCCCTAAGAATTGTGGCTACTTCAGTACCCGTGCCTGTTCCAGCAGCGGCTGAAAGTCATCAGGATATTGCAGCCAAGCCCCAGCCCGAGTTCGAGGCTGAAGCATCTTCGTCTGTCCCAGAGGATATTGATATGGGGGAGGCTCAATACAGCGATAACGAAGAAGATGAAAGCTTTTTGATCGACAATCTCGAATTACAAGACGAGGAATATATCGTTACACTTCCTATTCAGGGCCGACAAGCAGACGACTATCGGATTGTGAGCACAGAGCTTGAGGATCTTCATGCTCAACTTAGCCAGAATCTTCCAGCAGCTCATTTGCAAGTTGAAGACGTCTTGAAGAAGCTGCGCCTTGTCGAAACGCACATTGATCTTGTGCGGGTGAGGAACCAGACTCCGCAGCCAGACGACAACCAATTAACACTAGACAAGCACCTAGTGCAGTGGAGTCGTGGCAATTCCATAAAGTTCAAATTTCTGGAAGCGCTCCTGTCTACAATGCAAGCACGGGATTTGCACGTCATCCTGTTGATCGACGATCAGAACAATGCCCAGCTCTTCAGTATCTTGGAATCGTTCCTACGAGGGATCAACCTCAGCTTCGAATCTCCAAGTACTGGACACTCGCATCAAGCGGGGTATGAGCCAAACAAACAGAAGTTGTTAAAGATCACGATCCTCGCAAGCACTGCCTCTCGTGTTCTACGGGAGACACACCTAATTGTGTGCCTCGATGGCAAGCCGGACGTAACAAGCATTCGCAAGAAGCCGTGGGCCCTGAAACCTGATCGTTCAGGCGTCCCGCTCCTTCAACTAGTCATACCCAGGACTATAGGTCACATCGATCGGTATTTGTCTGCGAAACTCGACGCGAAGCGGAGGTTGGATACTATCATATCAACGTTATCACAGTTCGTGACCCGGGGTACTCTTGGCCATGCTGTCGATGATCCTCCATCCAAGTCATACGAAGTCGGATATGCACGTGAGATCGTGAAATTTCTCCTCCCTTCCCAGGATGAATCAGCGTTGTCTGAGTGGCCACTCCCTCCTCTTGGTAATATCAAGGATGACATCGAGTACCAGTCCCATCCATCCCTGGACGCACTCAATCCAGCGTCTCCTCTTCCTGGGTCGATTGCCGCTGGCAAACGACCCTTGATGCAAGATGATGACCGGGATGATCCTGCGAAGAGAATGCGGTTCACGCCTCAACCACAGCCGCATGCGAGTACCAGTCATGTCAGCGACTCTGAACCTGGAGCCACACTTTCCGGTGAGCAGCTGGTTGAGTATTTGAGACAAGAGATTAGACGCCTGCAAGGAGCGTTGAAGGGCTATGTCGACCGACAAGGAAGATACGAGGAACAGAACCTTCAGAACTCGGCATTGAACAACGAGAACAAGCTCTACAAGGAGAAGCTTGCCATTAGCGAGAGGCAAGGAGTAAGGACCCGCGAGCAGCTCACTAACATGACTGCAAGAAATGAGGAGCTGAGGAAGCAGATTGAGGAGCAGCGGCGCCTCAACCTCTTGTCTCCAGACGCCAAGGACAGGGAAATAGCGGGGAAGAGTGTCGAAATCGAGTCTTTGAAAGTCCAGTTGGCTAAAGAGATAAAAGCGAAAGAGGACGCTATTGCGTCCAAGAAATCTACTGAAGCCACTTTGGAATACGTCAAAGAAGCACGTAGCACCGTGCAGAGTGAGGCTATCAGCTTAAATCAAAGGGTCGAGGAGCTTGAGAAGGACAACGATAAGCTGCAACGCGAAGTGAAGGCACAGCCTCTCGTGCCAAACTTCCACGACCGTCAAAAGCATCAAGCCGCTGAAAAAGAGGCCCGCTTGAAGGGTGAAATCATGATCCTGACGAAGCTGCTCCGAGTTAACGACGAAAAAATGAAGCAGCTGACCACGGAGAACGAGCGCGTGAAATTGACGCGGGGCGTAGGCGGAGGCACACGGGCCGCGAGCGTAGGACCGCGCACGCCCCGCTCTGGAAGCAGAGCAGCTAGCCCGCTGCCGAACGGCAGGGACAGAGTTGCGAACCTGAGGAACGGATAGTCTCCTGGTCCCTTCGCTTCAAAGACGCGCATATCGACCACGAGAGAAGGCGGTCAAGGAAAAGGTCACCGGTACCGACCAGGAGCAAGCTAACACGACAGTGGGAAGAAATCAGGGAGGGTAAGGAGGAACAGGCGAACAAGCGACCAAAAGCTGCAGAAGCCGTTTTTATAAAACCAACTGCGCAATTTGATCGCGATAGGAGGAATTAGGGCGGGCCCGTGTGGTTAGCTTGCGTTATTGCATGGGTACGTTCATCTATCACGGCAACGTCTTTGTACTGGGTTCGGTTTGTTCGGCGTTCTTGATGTTTATCGCTGTAGGGGAAGCTACGAATACCTCATCTCGCGCATGGCGCGCCATCGTGCGGTCTCCCGCATTGACGAATTTCTTGATCCTTCCATAGAGGGTTGTGTGCATGGCATTAGCAGCACTAAAGACGGCTTGAGTCGTTTTGGAGGAGAGTGCTTGACGACAATTACATTATTGAGCATTATTACGCTTAGCTTTGTGCTTGTGGTCATCAAAATCACGCGCTTTCGTGTGATTATTGCGGCCCCTACATCTGTCATGTTAGAGACGCGGAGCAATCACTATCGCATGTCGCATGTCGCACTCACTCAGCAGACACCATCGCGGCTTCGACGGCCTGACTTGATTTGCTCTAAGCATGGTGGCTAGACTTATTAGAATCATGTAGCACACCTGCGAGTGTTTTATACGTACCTGTACACGCCGCCTGTTTCTAAGAAGTCTGCGCGATACGTTCGTCTGGGGGTCCGTTGTGGGTGTATGGCATGGACTGCCGCCTGCGCCTGCGCCTGTTGGCTAGACTGTCGCTGGAGCTCACGATAAAACGGTCGTGTTTGTGAGTGTAGGTGTGAATGTGCAGTGCGTCTGGCTGTCCATGACGAACCGCCATAAGGTAATAGACAGACGCTGTCGGGTGGAGGTGGAGTGCGGGGCGGTGGTAGCTATAAAGGTAATATATCACTTGTATGTATTAACGCCAAGACTGTAGCTGATAATCCGAATTGATTTACTGAACCGACAGAATCATACACGGGAACTTCAGTATTGAATATTAGAGTTATCCGAATACCAAGTCCTAAAGTATACTATAGGCTCACCTCTGTCGGGTCCCTGGTAAAAGACCTACTTGGAGATAGCAAGAAGCATGTGAGTTAAGTCGTTGGTGAATGACATGTTCGAAAGCTGGATAGATAGATTGCATGGCGTCTTCAATGCCGAATCTGAGGGACCACGTCTTCAGGTCGTCGATATCTTTAACCCACTTGAAATTAATATTGCCCATGCCACGAGCCAACTTGCCCGAAATGTGATGGTTCCGGCGGCACACTCCCGAACCATCCGACATGGGATGCGGAAGATTTGGAATAGCGATGTGAAGTAACCCAGAGAGGCTCACTCCCTGCTGTATATCGATGTGGAGCCAAAAGGGTTTGCCACGAAAAGAGCCTCTAACTTATACAGCCATTACAACATATCGAAGGGTAGAGTTCGACTTGGCTGGGTTCTTTTTTGGCGTCTATAAGAGTGGAATACAAGCACAGTTGTTGTGGCTGGAAAGTTGCTGGTTGGACATGGGCGAGATGCTCAAAAACATCGCGCATGTTCAATAGAAGGTGGCAACAAGTAGGACAGAAGAAGACGTCATCGCCTGTGTTACCATGTTCTTGCGAATGCTTGCGGTAGACCTCCACGCCAGAGGCTGCGATCGTGGTATTATCTGAGCACGATGGACAGTATGCATTGTTAGAGACTTGTTTCGTGTAGTCCAGACTTGCGGTGTACGCGAGTAATTGGGTTAGGGTATCCTGAGCCTTGGTTGATCTTCAGCGAACTTCCTCAGTGCCGATGGGAGGAGGAAATGTGTCTTTACACGGTATTTAGTCGTAGCCGTGAATGTGTACCTCTGATACTTCGATATTGACGAGATGTCTGGGTTCAGTGAGGACATATTCCCGCGCCAAAGCCTTGCAAAGTCCTCCCACAGAAGACGTTGTTCGAATCCGTAACCACGAAAACGATAGCCGTCGATATATATGAAGTAAGCGCCCAGGGCGCCATCAAGCCACTGGACGCTCTGATCCGATATTGGTCCACGTAAGCCGAATAAGTGCTCTGCAGTCGATCGTAATTCTTCTAGCTGTAATGGATGAAGTAAGTCGAAATCGTTCTGTGGGTGAGAGGGGACTTCTGTTCCAGCATCTGCCTGAATGTCCGAGACGGCGTTTAGGCCCTGGGGCACATCGCGGGGAGGCGAGGAAGCAATATCGTAGGGCGGCGATCTGGACACGGCGTCTGGATTGTCGTTCAGGCCCTGGGGCACATCGCGGGGAGGCGAGGAGGCAATATCGTATGTCTATTACTTCCAAAGGTAGTAAGTTTAGATACAAAGTGGTTCTACAGAGGTATAGAGTCGCTCGGGGTTTCACGTGACCGTGACCCACAACAGTAAAATCTCCATCGCGCTGCAAGTGCCAAAAACATACAACAGCGGGTATTCGCTGCTGGTCACCCACGCAACTACTAATCCGCCGGTACACTGCTTATATATGGCTGAGCGGACGGGAAGCCTAGTTTTCAGTGTCCTATGGTCGTATGTGAAATGATGTGTCAAAACAGTTGTATATATCCACCCAAATGCGGCGGTCTCAGGGCCTAGCGATCATCCAGACGCTCTGTCCATACTTCAATACATTCCCCTAATCTTCCCTATATCCTCCAATTGCTCCGCCTGGGTAAAGGTATCATATGCTCTCTGCGCTCTGTCTGGCCCGATAGCAAGAGTGACCTGCTCCATGAACTTCTTCTTCAGCTCCTCATCCGTCAACGGATTCTCCATGCTCCCCTTCACATGCTCAACATGTTTTTCCAGCTTCGTACCATCGTCGAATTGGAGCATCACGTACGCTGCATCCGTGGGCACGCCATCGTCGATCGTAACGTTGACCTTCCTACGCAGGGTTACAACTGTCGAGTTTTTCACCACCTCATCTGTGAATTGTGAGGGCGTCGCTTCACCGTACAAAAGGCCGATAGCTGCGGCGTGGTAGATGCTAAATTTGCCCTCAAGGCCAGTTTGAGGGGAGCTTTTGCCTGTCAGAACGAGCACCTCGGGGTTGACGCGCAGCTCGACGCTTTTGACGTTTTCAATCGTGCTGCTTCTTCCGCTTATTTCATTGGCGAGTTGTATCGCGCCGTCTATTGTAGGATGCATTACAATGCCGCACGGGTAGGGCTTGAATGTATTCTTTTTGATCTCCCACTCTCTACCTAGCTGGTCAAAATACGCAGTCGCATTTTCTCGGGTGCTAACGACGTGTAGCCAGCCGTATTTTGCCTCAAGCGCGTCGGAGGCGCTGGTATACCCGTTCTTTGCCAGCAGTGCAGCTAACATGCCGCTTTGAGCTGCGCGCCCGATATGGAAGGATTTGGTGTCTGAACCGAAAAAGGCTTGCATGCCAATTACTTGTGTTGATGCAATGCCTATGGCTTGCGCGGTGTGATTCTTGTCGAGTGAAAGGAGCTTGGACACTGCGACGGCTGCGCCTATGGAGCCTGTCGTGGATGTGATGTGCCATCCTACATCGTAGTGTTGCGGCCATACACTGAGGCCGAGTTTACACTCTGTCTCTACGCCTGCGACAAAAGCAGTCATGAAGTCTTGTCCTGTCACTGGACCATATGCCTCCGCAATAGCTAGAAGCGCTGAGGCCACAGGTCCCGCAGGGTGGATGATGGTTTCTAGATGTGTGTCGTCGTAGTCGTCGACGTGGCTGGCGATGCCGTTGACAAAAGCCGCTATTTGGGCATCGGCGAAGCTATGACTTATCGAACCGTTCGCACCGAGTATGGATGATGTTGCGGGACCAGAAAAAGGACCGAGTGTACTGTTCAAAGCAATCTGAGGTGCTGGTTGGGAAGCAAAGCCGCCGATTGCGCATCCAGCCCAGTTGTAGAAGGACTTATTGGCTGCGAGGAGAACATCTGAGGTCAAGTTGGCGTACTGAAGATTGGTCGCCCACGAAGCAAGCTGAAGCGTGGCCATGGCGATCCGGTCTAAGATGAGATTGTGTGTTCTGGTATATCTTGCATACCCCGTTGTAAGGTAAGATGTAACCCTCAAATCTCAATACGACGCCTTCGAATGTTTGTATGAGGCATGAGAAGCTTATCCGGTTGATCTGGATCGGTGATCTGCATCTTACAAGTCTTGACTTGATCGTACAATATTATACCAAGGCTGGGATTGGAAAACAGCTATGACGTGCTTTCTCGAAAGATCAACTTCTAAACTTGTATTTTCCACCACTCGGGAAAGCAGCCATCAGTGTCGAGATATCCGGCATCGCTGGCCGTGCCGGACCAGGGCTGGTGCTATGATTCTGGCAAGTGCTGGTATGGACTAAGATCGGCGTTGAATGCGGGGGGGAGCGGATATAACCTCGGTCGACCCTTTTCTTTCGTTTCCCGTCGCGAGAGTTTGCACCCCAGTAAACAGCCGTCGTGCTTTGAGTTTCAAGGCCTGCGCTATCTTTCTACTGCGGGTCATGGGAAGATCAACCGCATGTTGACCTGTCACCGAGTATGATGAGTCCAAGAGTTATCCACAAGAATATGTCCCATCATGTACATAGTAGTAGCTTCGGAATGATCGCTGAGCAAACCGTATCGGATTATACTGAATTCTGGACCTTATTAGCTCACCGGATCCATTCAATGGGGCGCACAAGTGGGTCAGATGGCCGTGTCGACACCCATTAATATTTGCATAGACTTGAACTTCTCGACCGACTTGGTTGTTGGCGTTATCATCACGTATGTATAGAATTGAGTTGCGTGTCCGTCTTACAATGTGATCGGCTTCCAGTCAGAGCTCTTTCAAGCTATGTAGGTTCTCGAAAGCAAGTTTCGCGAAGTCATCTGCGCCCACGCAAGGAAGCATTCAGTGGCCCGGGCATCGTTGTTTGGTGAGCCAATTCTGCGAGAAGAAATGGCGAGTAGTTGTGTGAATTTGGAGAATGAGCTCATCGGTGAGGTCAAGGAGAGGACTGGGGGGAGGCGTTCAAAGGTGCGCTGCCCAAAGTATTGAAACTCTTGATGCCAAGATTGTGCATGCGAGTGTGTTCAGCTCATCACCTACGTCTGGGAAATTGATTCGCTGCGTGGGCGCAGTGTTCCTCTGATGTCTTGAAGTCCCTTTTCCTTGAACAAGATGAACCTGGAATTTGGGCTTTGGTTGTAGCTTGCTCAGCTTAAAGGTTCTGCGGGTGACTCCATGACTCCTTAGTCAATTCCATACATCTTCACGCTTGCCAAACTTTGATATCGAGCATGCTCATGCGAAAAGTTGGCCAAGTAGCTGCAATACCAGACCAGGTCGGGGCGATGTTGCGTTGTCCTGCTGTTGCCAGTGTATATGGGTGCGCATTCCGTCCTCGTATAGGTTCAATCACTCCACGCCACTGTATCTTCGATGGTATGAAGGATCGAAAGCATCGCAAGTGCAACTGCCTTCGGAACGGTCGGGTGTGGCTGTGGGCATCGACCTCACGTCCAATCTCATCATGCCGTTAGCCGTGTGGCGGTGACGTGTTAACGTGACGCGCCACACCTCCAACCAATCATCGCTCATCAAGCACCCTCAACAGCATTCAAAACCCAGCGACCATGACGCAGAGTTCTTGAAACAAGGGATTCTCATCACAACCTGGCGCTTGCGACATGTAGCAACATATAAAGGCAAAGCGCCGCCGTTGATTGAGGCGGGCCTCCTGCATTCTTATGTACGCATTCCACGATCTAGGAAGCGACGTATGGCAAACACCACACAACGTAATAAACGACTTTCCTCTCCGTGACTGGACTCAATGAGCTTCGTCTTCGTACATCGCTCGTCGAATAATCCCACACTTCGTCAGCAGCCATTCGTCAACTAGACGCACGCATTCTTCGTTAGCATACACATCGACAGTCGTCCTTCGCTCGCGACAAACGTCACAACATTTAAAATCAACCCTTCGCTGGTGTCACGAGAATCCGGAAAGGAATCGCAAAGATGGGCGCCCTCAAAATGTTCCTCTTGATCCTTGTCACGCTCTTCTGTACGCCGTCCCTTTCATCCCCCCAAATACCACCACTAACACCACTCTAGTTCCACCCGTGGGCGTCTTAGCGGTCGCTGGCTGCGGCGCCGACTTCATCATTAACATTTGTCTCACGGTCCTCGGGTACACCCTCCCCTCTTCCCCCAATCCCTCAATCAAACTAACATCACGTAGCTACATACCAGGCCACATCCACGCCTTCTACCTGATGTACGTCTTCTACGAGCGCAAAGGCGAAGTCAAGCGCGGCGAATACCATTCCCGGTCCGCAGCAGGCATCTACAGCGAGCGCGTCCTGCGCGGCGGGAAGCACGTACAGCCGCCTCCAATGCCGCCGCAGCAGCCTGTTCCGCAGCCGGGCCAGGTACCACCAGGTCAGGCTTATGGTACTGTTTAGTGCTGTTGTTGATGCGAGCTCAGGTGTGGTTGTGGTGGTCAAGACGGGTGATAGTACCAGCCAGGTCGATATCCGTGAAGATGCGTGATGGGTGGAAGGTGATGGTGTTGGTTTGGTACCGAGGTGAGGTTATCCAGTGTCAAGAGACTTCCGTACCAGGGTAGCAAAATTGAATTGTTAAACCTCAATTTATTCCTGCACACGCCGTGTTACGACTTCTGTTTTCTTGCCTTGAAGAAAGGTTTACGAGTACACCCAAGATACACTGACGGTTCCCGCGGCGCATACCTTACGAGCGATATCCGCGCACGGCACTTCACGGGTGTAGAAGATAGCAAGTCCACCTAGGAAATATCAACACAATCCTAATAATGATGGCCGCACTAATCCCTTACCTCGCTGCCGTAGAGCGCCTCGAATCCAGCCAGGAAACCTCACCCCCCTCTGGAAAAGCATGTCCTCCCCTCGCTATAAATTCTCTCAAGTGTACGAAGCTCATACCCAACCGCTTCGCATGGCGGCTCCAGCAAATCACCACTTCCACGCGTCCTCTCCTAGCGAAACCGGAACGTCCAAATGCGGTGTGGAATAAGGGGCCTTGCTCGAAACCCTGGAACCTTACTCAAGCCAATGCAAAAACTACTGCCAATGGCGACAGAGTCGGGAGGGAGCAAGCCCAGTCAGGCTCGGCTTGGGGAAACTCCCCCTTCCCGCCACCATGCCCTAGGCCGCATACTCACATAAGCTGGATTGATAGAATGAGGTGCAGTTGTGTGGTTAATCGCGTGCGCCCAGTGCTTGTGGAGCGCAAGGTGAATGGGTGGATGACGTTAACCTTACCTGAATATGAAAGGAGGAGGTGGGTTAGGGCGGCGAGGGGGCCTTGGGAGGAGGAAAGTGAAGAGGAGGTGGAGGAGATGGAGGGTGACGGGGATGAAGAGTATAAGGAGAAGAGACAAGGAGAGGAAGAGGAGATGGGTGCAGAGAAGGAGGAGAGAGAAGGGCGTAGAGACATGTGACGTAGGAGCGTACCATGACTTCGGTATTGAGAAAGTGGGGATTGAGCGCATGTCATCTTTGCTATTCCACTTTCGATGCAACGGAGAAGAAGTGGTAACTTAGGACGGCGAGAACGGGCATGCTTTGGGTGTTTTCGCAGGTCGTGGAAAGCGGGGGTTTTAGAGAGTTCGCCTATGGAGGCTATACTGTCCTTGCTAAATACATCGCTTATATACACCTTGTAAGGGCACATGTTATACATTTCCCACGCATGTCGTTTGCCCGTCTCATCTATAAGTACATATCTCTTAGACCGCGCTACCCGCACATGTAAATCTTCCTCATCCTCTATCGCTTCTTTCCCCTCGCATTGCCCTTCTTTTTCCCACCCGCGGCTGCCGCAGCGGCAGCAGCACCCTTCTTCTTGCCTCCCTCCGCACTGCCCAACGCAGCCTTCTGCCTCAGATACACCCTCACAACGTTCTCCACACTACCCCTGTCATGCTTCTCCTTCCGCATGTACGTCAACCTCGCCCTCCTAGCCTTCCTCTGCGCCCTCTGCACAACCTCGATACCCTCCACCAGCGGCGAGTACACCTTGTACCACATCTCGACACCCACACGAGTCAGTTGGCCGCGCAGCAGGATGGCGGTGTCGATGCCGCGCCGTCGGATGTTGATGCAGACGCCGGCGAAAGGCTCGCCGGTCCGCTGCCGCACGAGCAGGATATCACCAACGCGGGCGCACTCGGGGTTTGTGCGGTCGAAAAGGCGGGTGCGGGCGCCCGTGGAATCGTGCAACGCGAGCTGTGAAGCGGTGGTTGCGGCAACGGGGTCGGGACATGCTTTTTTGATGGCACGCGGTTTCTGGGGCTGCATAGCGAGCTTATCTGAAATAGAATTTAGCTTCGTGGCATCGGAACGTACGAGCGAAGATGCGTGGGCAATGGCTGGCAAAGGGAGGTGCACGTACTGATGCTCGACGTTCTCGTCTTATTTCGGAACCACGACACCTTTCTTGCTTCCCGCTCGGCCTCGACCTGCTTGTACCTCTTCATAGTCCCCATTTGTTGTCTGATCTTCCTGTTGGGCGCTGAGCCGCCGCCTTGCTGGTACAAATGCGGATACAGACTCCTGTGCATCGCATCGGCGAGCTTCGAGCCCTTCAGGGATTTCGCGGCAGTTGTCGGAGGTTTCGAGGATAGGAGAACGGCGCGCGACGCGCCCGTCCTTGCGGACGCTAATGCCGTCGCCATTGTGAGTGTGGAGAGACGTTGGTGCGCGTTGGACGCTGGCGTCGTGAAGTGCTGGGGATGTTCCGAAAATCACTTGCACGGGATTACTAAGCGGTCGATCACTCCAAAAGGTGCATGTAGTGTTGCCGCACACCGTCCAGTGTAAATCCTCTGTATACAATCTTTGGTACAACTACCGCTGGTGTTCTCCGTCATGGAAACTTGAATGAGACGCTAGGTCTCATGAGATTTGAGCTCCGTATTGCTCATCCTGCGAGGTTGACTATCGCCACTCGCCTACCTACAGGTACTGCGACCATTCCTAAGTATGCCGCGTCACACGCATGCTTTGCCCGCAAACTTCAGTAATGTAAATTGATTTTGAATTTTTTTTGTTCATGTTGCCTTTCAAAGATGTACAGCACAGGTAGCCACCTCAGCTGCCTGCAAGCGCAGAGTAAAATTATCCCTATCACGTACCCAAAACTTTTCGAATGCCGCAGTCGCCAGCCCACGCCATTGTTTCCATGCCCAAACGCCATGCTTGGACGCAAAAGGGGCTCAAAGGGAAGAGAATACCCAGGAAGAAAAATCCGGATCATGCCATGCGCACACCGCACGTTCGCTACATGTGTGGAAATCCGAGAGGAAGGTTCATCAAAGTGCCGCCCACGTAAGACGATGAGGTTTTAGATGCTTTGCCGTCGATTCCGATAGGTAGTCGGACAGGGAGGGCCAAAGTGGTCAAAAAAATCGGACGAGATGCTGTTAGAGCCGCGCCTGATTGAGCTGCTCAATCAAACCCACAACGCCATTGAAATGCGGAAAGATCTCGCCCTGCGACAACACGCACCACGTTAGCAGTTGACTTGGAAATCGAGATCAACTTCGCGGCGAGGTGTCTCTACCTCCTCCATCCAGGTTAGGCCGTTCGCAGCCTCTTCCACCGGGAACACTTCTTGCGCGTACTCCTCCATGCCGCGATTGCCTTCCCACAGCTCGAGCGCGACACTGGGGCAGTCTTTCTCAAGATCAGGGCCGAAATAAGGCGCTGCGCTTTCTGCCAGGGTCGACTCGAGGGCGGACAAGTGCTCGCGATACCCGACGGGAGTAGGGCAATGAATCACAATAGGGCCTCGCTTGTACTGGACGGGTCGTCTCAGACCGCGACTGAAGGCCCTGCAGACTTCGGCGGGCGTCAAGACTTCGAAAGCTAGCGGAATGCTAAATTTATCGTTAGCATGCAGTCACGTAATGCAGCACTGGCTTGCATGACAACCTGCGTGATGAGTCGGGGGATCGGGAAAGGGTTGACGGTGTTGAAGCGAGGCGGGTCCAGCCACCACATCATGCTGCAGCGTCTTGGCAAATCTCTGGTTACCTGTGGTCTGCCTAAATAGGCAATGCGCAGACACACCGTACTTGAATCATTTGCTATGCTCTGAGCGTGGGCTGGACCGCCCCAAGTGGGGAGCAGCATGCATTGCGGAAAACACTTACCGTTTACCATTCCACTTGCGCGGCCCTTCTTTGAACAGTTGGTAGATGGCAGGGCCAATGTCATGCTCCGAGTCAAGCCACGGAAGCTTCTGGTCGGGATGGAAAGGTGCTCGCCATACGAAGCTACCGTCGTTCTGATGCTCCATGCGGAAGAGGGGAAAGTCAAGGCCGGTGAAGTTGTTGTGGTAGATGCCGCAATACACAAACGTTGCTGGTAGGCCAATCTGGCGAATGTACTGCTCAACGGTGAATTTCGGTGCCCACAGCGGAAGGGCTCTCCAGTTTTTGCCAAAGACGGAATGGTCGGGCATACCTGGCATGATGGTTTAGATTTTGCCGGAGTAGATCAGTATAGTAGCAAATACGTACTGCTGTAGATGTAGTGCTGGATGCCGGCCTTTTTGGCGGCGTCGGCACAAGCTCTGCCGATGGCAACCTCGTCTCCCCAATGCGTCGTGTTGATAAAGGCACACTGCGCGCTCTTGAAGAGATCGTCGAGAAACTTGCGATCCTCGAGGCGGCCGACGTAGACGGTGACATTGGGCAATTGCGATATCTCTTCAGCGACGAGCCCGTTGAGTTCTTTCATTTGCGCCCGTACTTGCCATCCCAGGGCCGAAGCCACGCGGATGAAGCTGGCCGACTGGCGGCCATTGCTGTTGATGGTGACCACCGTCCGCTGCATGCGTGGCTCCAGAAGCATTGGGAGAGGAAGAGGAAAAGGTGGCCGCGAGCACTACTAGAGGTAGTTGTTGGGACGGCGCATCCAGTGTCAGAGTGATGTGAGCGAGGGCGCGGCAAGGAGCTGATATAGCAGCAAACCGCAGACCCGTGCCTCTGGAACGGCGACGGCGGCAGACGCTTAGTGGTGGGCAGGTCGCAGTGATAGATTGGTGGTGTAGCCTGGGGTGACTCTGCTGAGATGCCGCAATCGGGCGCGGCCAACAGGGTCTCGCACGTGCCCGGGTCGCACAAAGGACGCGATATTTGGGAAGAATGCCTGAAAGATAGCCGGGAGCCGCACGCGAAGTTCCTGAGCAAGTGATGTGGTACGCAAGGTATGCAGGGCGGCGCTAGGGGGGTTGAGTATCTAGAGGCCGCTTAGGTGCGCTGCAACTTGTCGAGACACACGGGTTGCACACCACGTCGACGGCCACGACGGCGGCGGAGAAGCAGGAGAAAAGCAGGCCCCCGTCGGCGCTGCCTGGCACTTGCTGTAACACGATGCTCTCGTCATGGCGGCAACAGACGGTGCAGAGGAAAATTAGGTAATAGCACGCTGGTCGAGCGAATAGCAGTGCGGCCCGACCAGAACGTGCGGTTAGGAGGACATTTGGGACTGCGTACTCAAAACCAGAGTGCAATTTGCTCATACCGACACTCGCGCCATCCTTGCTGCGGGGATCGCTGGCGCAGAGACCGCCGCCGAGTGGGCCTCGCAGTGCTGGCGCGCTACGGCTGCGATGCCGTCGTCGTGGGCCTGTGGTGTGTAGAGAAAAGCCCCTAGTGCCACCCAGCGCTGCTCTCCGTTGCAGTCGAAGAGAGGGCAGCTGCTGGCCGGCGGGGCTGCAAGGAGCTGTGCGGGGAACAGACAACGTAGACTGAACGCTGAACCGTCTAGACATCACCGTGGACCGTCGTCGAAGCACCTGAGCATGATACATGTGCGTCATGCTTGGCTATCAGATACTGTTAGTAAAACGAAACACGTCCATGACTAGCGACAACTGCCCTCCTCGCGGACCCTGGTCATCAAATCACAACTTCCGCCCTCTACACACAGCATGGCATCCGCCGTACGAGCCCTCTCATATACACAGTACTCGTCCACTCCACTCACTCCACCAGAGAGGCCCGACGTGTTCCCCGCAACTCGGGGGCCCAGCACGCTCGGGCCAAGCCGAATTGATGTCCAGATAGCAGATCCTATCGAGCCTCCGGTTGCAGTCGCGCAGCCCACGACCCAGATAGCAGGACCAGGAACGTGTCGGGGCCGGAGTCCAGCGCCGGGCCTATCGACAAAGCCATGCGCGTGCATGGCGACCTTTGCTCGGCCCTCCCCAAAGACAGCGACGACGTCGTCGTCATGGTCCTCCTGCAGCCCGGTGGCCGCACGTATGACCATAATTACCCGTCGTTCCAGCGAATCCATCAGGTAGTCGCCGTCAGCCAATCACAGACTCCCATATGCTGGCGTTGCCGTCGCCCTCCGCCATGTGCAGCTGCGCTTGTGGCACCTCGTCTGTGTGCAGGTGCGATCCAGCTCTCTTGAGTACCTCCACATGATCCTTCAACCCCGCAGCCGCCGCGAGATAGAGAGGAGTGTGCCCGCTGCGATTGCGCAGGTGTACCGAGGCGCCCTGCTGGAGGAAGTCGCGCAGGATCTCCACGTTGGGCCCAGTGGCTGCAAGGTGCTACAATCGCGTCAGCGCTGCATGCAGAAACGCAATCTTGCATGACCGGCCAAAACTTCATCCGCACCGTGCTGATGGTGCGTGCCAGAGATAAGGGCCTACTTGGCAGCGTCCCTCTGTCTTACCCCAGGGGGTACAATACGATTGACTAGTGCTAGCATGGCGCCGGACTATCGGAATCTTGGTCGTTGATTCCCCGTGTCGTATGTCCTGGGGTAACAGATAAGTGCATCAAAACGGTGGCTATCCCATTGCCCCCGATAACGGCTCATTCGGCACACATGCCAGCCATGGTAGCAGCTCTCAGACCGACATTTTCGATGCAAGGTTCGTACCACCAGGGACGTAGATAACGACCGTTGCCTCGAGAGACGACTGCCGAATCGGGATTCTCTCTCAGATAACGATGAAAACTTGACTTACCACAGGCGTGTTGAGATTGTAATCGGCATCGTTGAGCAGCCAACGAGGCTCGCCGCGAATAATATCCCTCGTATCTTGGAAATTGCCTTTCTGGATTGCATATCCGAGCGCAGCCAGGCTGGACAGCTCTGGAGTAAGCGTTCCACTTGTTTTCGGGTGCTCGAAGTGTGTACGTGTCATTTCTGTCAGCTCACCGCGAATGGAGACGGACATTTTCTTTGCAACCTCCTCAGCTGTTGCGCCCGGTAGCGCCAGCAGGTATGCCAGCTTTGTGAGGGCGGCTTCAGACGTCATGTCCATGCCGAAGACTACGCCAACTCGGCCCAAGAAGGTCGCAGGTGCGTAGAGCGGGCTCACGCTACCGCTCAAGCACTGCGTTACGTTGACAATGACGATTCCTCTCTTTACTGCATCGGCCAGGGTACGTGTCATTGGGCTGTCGGGGCCACCTGGAGTGTTTCCAGCTCCGAATGTTTCCAGCACGAGGCCTTTGAGGCCCTCTAAGTGCAGTACTGCGTCTACCATTTCGGGTTTCATGCCCGGGAAGATACGGAGACAGGCTACGTGTGTCGTGTCGAGCTGGGTCTGGATGGAGAACGGCGACATGCTCGTAGATCGATGCACATTGCCCCACGACACGTTAGTCCTGAGCGAGGTAATGGTCGCCAAAGGTGGGAGGTTGGGACTACCGAAGGCGTTGAAGTCGTCTGCTGAGACCTTGGTGGTCCGGTTGCCGCGAAAGAGCTTGAAGTTGAAGAACAGGCAGACCTCAGGTATCATGAAATGACCCGCTATGATCAGAGCGCCCAGTAGATTGTCCTCAGCATCGGTCTGTAGTTGCATCATCGGCGCCTGCGATCCGGTGAGAATGACAGGTTTGCCCAAATTGTGCATCATGAAGCTCAACGCAGAACTTGTGTACGCCAAAGAATCAGTGCCATGGAGAATCACGAATCCATCGAACAGTTGGTAATTCCGGTAAATCGTCTTTGCGATCTGATCCCAGCCTTCAGCATTGATAGAGCTGCTGTCGAGCAATGTGTCGAACTCGAGCACAGAGTACCTAACTCGACGTTCGTAGGCGCTGGTTGGTGTTCTTAAACTTTGAACAGCCCTCCGCGTGCCCTTGTCGTCGGTCACGATCTCCAGCGGCTCCGGGTAAGACCCATCATTGAAGACTGGCCGAGGAGCAAGTCCATTTTTTAAGAAACCTCTTGCAGGCACCAGACCGTCTGCTGATTTGCGCATACATATCGTTCCACCTGGAAAATGTTAGTAAAGCTCCGCTATGGGAACGATTCATGCAGACCTGTGATGACAATGAGCACACGCGACTCCGGGAGCTGAAGCTCCGGATATGTGTCGTCCATTTCCCCAGGAAGACGCGTGTGTTATGCCTGCTTCTGAGATCGCAACAATGCTGTGGTAGTGCGTGGGAAGCGGTTTGGTGAGCGATGTTTATCCTGGGTTCCGGATAGTCGCGCTTTCCTGTTCCGTCACTATGCTACAAAGACGCGTCCAATTCAAAGCATCTCTTCCCCAGCTTCTCACAAAAATAAAATGATGAATTTCTGCCCGAGAATCAAGATCAGCTCTCTGTGCCCAACTCCGCTTCACGATGCGACCAAGCTGCAAAATTCCCATTAGCGCGCTTTCCCCTTCCCATCCATCCATCGACGCAACAAGCATCGGCCCGGACCACGCCAACTCGAACCTTGGAAGCGCCAGCCCTAAGCTCCACTTTTATCGAGTTCTGATTACCCCTACAAAACTCGACTCTGCAGTATGTATTACCCCTTCAAAACTGAAAATTTGCAGTTCGCGACATGGCGACTGTGGGGGTTGCGAGGGGGCGATCGTAAGATGAAGGGTAGCGTCGGCTTTGAAAGCCGCGTAGGTCACTGGGATGGAGGAATTTTCCTTGAGAGGAGGTTCCAGGATTCAAGGGTGCGCACGTGTTGGATTGGTTTGGTGGGGAAGCATGGCTGTGGGAGTTTACACAGTATGAGTTTAGAAAACATGCCTCGTTGGGTATCTTGCTCTGCTCCAGTCTATATGCTATAACAGATTATGACTGTGGAGCAACTATGGGCTCTGCAATGCGTGGCAATATTGATCACTGGAGGACTAGTAAGACATCTCCGCCGAATTCCTTGAAGACCCTGAACAAAATATAGCACCCGGTCGACCAAATACGCTCGCATGTACGAGCGCGCTCGAACACTGTCTTCACAGCTTCTGCGCAAGTACGCTCCCATGTACAATCTTGTAACTAAATGCTCGCCGCCCATGCGCGGCGTGTAGGCGACTGATCAGCCGCGTGCTTCAGTTGCAATCCGATCGCTGATAAGCTGCCCTGTATTGCTCCTCAATTCTTCATGCCCGCCTTCCTCGCCTCGCTGGCGCGGAATTCCTCAAGCTCTCCGATCTGGTCCCGATTCTCTGCAATCCATGCCAGAAGGTCCGGTATAGCGTCATCGGGAACGTGTTCGGACCACTTCAGTTTCATGCTCGTCGCAATCGGCCGCTCAGTGATATATGGGCGGCCATTTATGAAAGCCACCCACCTCTTCAGGCCTTTCAAGATGGTTCCGCGAGCTGCATTTTGCGACGGGATTGAATTGTTGATCTGTAGCCACAGTGCTTCTTCGACGCCCTTCGTTCTGTGCTCCAGGATGATTGCATTGTACTCCTCATGCTTGTCGAACATGCGCAAGGCCTCTTGCAGTACGTCTTGTCGAGATGGGATAGCCTTCTCTGCGTCAGGGTCGCTGTTCTCTGTCTGAGTGTGCGAAATCGTGCCTTTGCCACAGGAAGGCATATACTCATGTACGAAACGTCGGAACATCGGGCGCTTATTCAATCGTGTTCGGTCGTTTGAGGTTTCGTCGCGGTCCTCGTAGACTTTCCAGTAGAAGTATCGGCCATTAGTCGCCCAGTCGAACATCTCGGCCTCGCTGTCAAAACCTTGATGGTACTTGGCCTTATCGTATCCATAAAATTCCATCGCCTGATTCGGATCTCGCGTGAGGAAAAGCATGCTCTTCTTCCTGTTGTACGGTTCCACCTCTTCCACACGAACGTGCATACCTTTGTCAGTGCATGTTATACCAAGAGACCGATGAACGACTCCGACGATCTGCAGAAGATCCGAATCGCTCTTCATGAAGTTCGTCCATTCGAAGAGTTCCGCGCCGATTCCTGGAGACAGTTCAACGTCCACCTGCACATAGGCATTTGTTATTGAGGGGTGCTTAATCCCAAAATGATGAGGGGACACAAAGAGCTCAGCGCCGAGTACTTCTTTCACGCTAATCCAAATGTTGCTATCGGTCTTCGGATCACGTATGCCTTCTACAAGGAAGTCAATGTCGCCGAAATCGATTTTTTCAGGAGCATCTCGAGGTATTGTGACATGATGGAACAGTGTCTCCAACTTCAACTTGACGTCCGCGGCTACTTGCTGGTAGGTATCTGGTGACAGCCGCGGAATATCGATGGGTTTGTCTGCGACGATATGTGCAAAAGCCTGACCGCCCATGCTGGTAGATGGGCGGGGAACTTTCTTGAGTATGTGAGTGCGAAGATATTGCCGACAGCACAAAACCCTTATGCGGTGTTGTACAGCATGAATTCAGGCCCTAGCTTTTGACAAGGCGTCGTAAAAGTTGAAATGATCTCGAGGTGCTTGTGGCGGTGCAGGCAGCGACGTTGTTCCTAGGTTCCCAATGAGTCACCCATGGCAGGTTGACCAGATAGCCTGAGTAGTCACGGGTAAGAGCAGGCAAACACAAGTAGTTGAGGAACAGGTTACACTCCGAAATTTTGATACCACCGTGGACGAAGTTCCAGGTGGTCGCATCGGCGATGCTATCCCAGGACACTCGAGCTGTCACGTCGCACCTGCCCAAGCCACCCCGGCAGCCTTGGGAAGGAGTGAGCACACTGCCACCCTGAGATTGATCTAAGCAATGGCCTGCTGAAGCGCTTCTATGGGCGAGCAATGATGGAAGTGCGCCCTTTCGAGGACTGCTTTGTGACCTAGGAAAGCTCCATATCTCCGCGTTAAGTGGGGTATCACCGCGGGTCTGTGCGCCAAGAAGGAAGGAGCTTGGGCCAAGGTGCCACATTTTTTTGGGTTGGGTAATTCCAGTTCTGAACAACAGAAATTGCGCCTTCGAACATAGTCAACGCAATAATTACTCCTTGGGCCTATAATACTCTGAGATTGGTGAGCTTATCGTGAGATTACTCTTGAGTTGTCACATGTGCTAATATGCTTTGTCTCACAGATAGTTTTAGCAGCCAACAGATCTTACTGCGCAACCGCACGATGGTCGAAAATATTGACCCAGAAGAGGTGCTCGCACGTTTCGAAGAGCTTAGCGTTCTCGAGGCAGATTTTGATGATGTTGAATTAGAGCTTAGTAGGTTTACTATTGCGCCTCGATTTGCGCTCTTACTAATTGTCGCAGTCCGAAAGTCAGATGCGCTGAACGCGCCCCTGTGGAAGAAGCGCGCAGAAGTGATCGCTAAGATCCCGCACTTCTGGACTCTCGTCTTCGAGCAGGCTCCACCAGAGCTCGATTCCTTCATCTTGCCCTCGGACGCACAGATTTTCGCCGAATGCTTCGAAACCTTGGAGGTTACCCGCTTCGAAATCGACGACCCCAAGGGCTCGCCGCGCAGTGTATCGCTCAAATTTGGGTTCGGCGACAACGAATACTTCGAGGACAAAGTGTTGGAGAAGAAGTTCTGGTTCCGTAAGTCGCGAGACTGGGAAGGCCTCGTATCTGAGCCGGTAAAGATCAACTGGAAGAAAGGCCAGGACCCCACAGGAGGTCTCACAGATGCAGCCATCAAGCTTGCTGAGGCAAGGAAGAAGGCTAATGCTGCAAGCAACAAGGCGAAGGAGTCCGAGTTGCCCGAGTACAAGAAGCTAGTCGCGATGATCGAGGAGAGCACTGAGGCTTCACCAAGCTTCTTCGCGTGGTTCGCGTTTGTCTCCGACTACCGGTGGGTAAGCGCGGAAGAAAGTGAGCAGGCCGCGAAAGAGGATGCTGAGCGGCTGGAGAAGCTAAAGCGCGGCGAAAAGGTCGAGGAACCGGAAGATGAAGAGGATGACGCGACCGACTACCAGGAGACTGAGGTCTTCCCCCAGGGTGGCGAGATTGCAACCCTCATTGCAGAAGACTTATGGCCATCCGCCATCAAGTACTACAGTATGTGACTCTTTCGAAAACAAACCCCTCGATGCTGATGATGGTCAGAGCAATCCCACGAACAGGATGGAGATGATCTTTCCGAGATCGACGTCGAAGATATGGACGAAGACGAAGACGAGTCTGGCGACGAGATCGACATCCGCGGCCTGGTAGGCAAAGGCCGAACTGGCTCGCCTCCAGCCAAGAAACAACGAAAGGCATAGACTCGACGGCGCTACCCAGTTTTCAGACGAAGATATTACGAATTATTTGCGCGAACGAGCTCTCCCCGCTAGGTCAGCGGATGTTCAAACTCATGGTCTCTTTAATACACTTTCGGGGCAAAATCAGTAGCTCCGCGGTGACGACCTATGTGTTTTACGATCTAATTGCATATCAACAATTGCCCTTCTCAGGACCAAATCGTATACCATAACGATTGTAGCATGAATGTCCGACGAGGACGGCTACTAAAATGAATGTCACATGTTTTCAAACAGATGATGTCTGTTCCCGATCTCCATACTTTTTCTTCTCGAACTTAAGCTTCTTTCGAACAAACCGTGCCTTCCAGTACCTCGGAAACAGGTCCGCCCATGCGGACCCAAGCTTCTAGTGCGAAGTACCCCACTGCTACTGAAGTCTTCCAGAATACTGCCTTCCACCAATTAGACGACTTCTCTCCTCACCCTAACCGGTTTCAACACGGACTCAACTGCCGCGTTCTCCGTTTGTCAACGTTTACATCCTCATCTTCAACACTTGGGATTTCTCGACAAGGCGTGAATCCGTTCTTCCGCTCAGTACGAAATAGAAGAACAACCTAGTCCACCTCTCTAGGCCTATGGCAACCCTGGTTTAATCATTACCTTGCATACTTCCGAGCCGCGATATCTGCTACGCAGCATCATAAGAGGGGTTGACGCGACTTGAGTGCATGCCCAATTACGCAAAGCCAGGCTCATATGTACCCATGCAGGCGTACGATGGCGGCTCAGCAACGTTCGTCGGTGGCTGGAGCTACAGCTTCGGAGCTACCCTGGGCTCATAAGTACATCCTCTTTCGTACCTGTCTTATTCCATTGCGCAGTCGCACCCTCCGCCATCGATGACGCTAGCTCGAAATATGGTTCACCTTATCTCTCATCTTTCTTTGTTTTGCTCCTTTATTTCTCTGGTCTCTGCTCAAACCGCCAATGGCTCGTCTCCTACATTCACGCTACCTTCCGGATATCGCACTGCAAGCTTCAATGCCTCGGCACAGCCAACCGCATTTAATCGCACTGACTTCTCTGAGAATGCGCTGAACGAGCTTTGGAATTTGGTCGGACCTGTTGCGACAGGCCCGGTGACTACAACGGTTGAACCGTCTCCAGAGCCGACTGCATACCCACAACCTGACGCCGACCGTTTCCACGCTCTTGTTGGGTCGAATTACCCGGAGCTCGATCATTTGAAGCTGCCACAGGGATTCAAGTGGGGTGTCAGTAGTAGTTCGTACCAGATTGAGGGTGCGGCGAAAGATGAGGGCAAAGGACCGAGTATCTGGGATGTGAGTGTTTGGATAATTCCTATACATCCGAGACCAAGAAGACTAGCAAGGAGAATCCTTGAGCGTTTGACATGAAGCTGTGCACTTGAGATAGAGACTAACATCATACCTCCAGCTGCTGGCCCACAGGGTGCCAAATCAGGTATTAGACAATTCCACGGGAGATGTTGTTGCTAGCCATTACTGGCTGTACAAACAGGACTTGGCGAGACTGAAGGGTTTGGGTATGCCTGGTATGCTTCCACTGCACTCCGAAGACTGGTTGCGTACATTTGGAGCTACCAGCTGAAAATTCTATAGCATTCAGTCCTAGCTTCTCGTGGCCGCGAATCTTCCCCTTCGGCCACGGTCCGGTCAACGAAGCTGCGGTGAAACACTATGACGATGTCATTTCCGAGTTTGTAGCCACCGGCATACGTCCCGCAGTGACACTATTCCATTGGGACACTCCGCTTGCTCTCTTTGCCGAATACGGAGGCTGGACAGATCGTCGTGTCGTTGACCACTTCTTCAATTACGCCAAATTTGTCATCTCCCGCTATGACGCGTACGTGGACGAGTGGTTCACAATCAACGAGCCGCAGTACTGCAACTGGCAATACTCATACTACCCTGCCGGAGAGTACTATCCTGCACCCAACGGAGTCACCGGCGGCGACAAGGCTCGTTACCTATGTGGACACTATTCCCTCCTCGCCCACGCCAAGGTGGCGAAATGGTATCACAATGAGTTCAAAGGCCGCGGACGCATTACTTTCAAGAATTCTGGAAACTATTTTGAAGCGAACAGCACTAGCTCTGGAGATGATGAGGCAGCCCAACGCAACTACGACTTCTCGATTGGGTGGTTCGGCGGTCCTTGGACGGATGGTGACTACCCGGAGACGCTGAGGGATACGCTGGGTGATTTACTTCCTGAGCTATCACAAGACGAGAAGGATCTTATCAAAGGATCCTGCGACTTCTTCGCCATCGATGCGTATTCCTCCTTCATGGCCTACGAAATCACCGGCGGCGTCGAAGCCTGCGCGTCGAACCGTTCCCACCCAGGATTCCCAGAGTGCGCAGGCTCCAGCTCCATCTCCCCTATCGGCTTCCCGCTGGGTCCAGCCGCAGACCCCACAATGAACTGGCTATACTCAGCGCCATCAGGAATCCGCAAATACCTCAAGCATATCACCACCAAGCTCTTCCCCTCGATCCCCGACATTGTGGTCACTGAGTTCGGCTTCAGTGAGCCTTTTGAGGGGCAGTGGACTACTCTTGCCCCGGCACTTTGGGATCTGAGGAGGGCGGATTACTTCCAGCATTACCTGGATCAGCTTTTGTTGTGTATTCATGAGGATAAGGTGGGGAAATGTCCGCTCATTACCTGTTGAAGTGTGCTGATGAAGCTTAGGTGAACGTGACGGGTGCTTGGGGATGGGCCATCTTCGACAACTTTGAGTGGGGACAGGGCAGCCAAGTGAGGTTTGGGCTGCAGTATGTCAACTACACGAGCTTGGAGCGAACACCTAAGGCATCCATGTTCCAATTCCTCAACTGGTTCAAGTAAGTGCGCCCCACGGTATGCTTGACATACGTACAGATAGTGCATGTTCGAGCAAGAGCACGGCTAATACATGCAGGCAACACGAAGCCGACGCAGGCAACAACGCCACGATGAGGTTCTAGGTAAGGTAATGACGAATTGGACGTTTCTAGAACCACAAGTACCTGACCCAATGAGCAAACATCACGTCCCTGAATTGCACGTACATTCTTTTGTCCATCCACGTGCCACCACAGCTACTTGGGTACACTACATAGGCGAGCACTCAAAGCTAGCTCTGTCGGATCCAGACAATGTTGTGAGGGCCCAAGCAAGATTTACCCATCCTGCAAGGGTACCAGCTACCACCTTTCATCTGAGGTTGGACCGGCTATCATGGCATTGGTTGGACCGGTCAAACGACAGCGCTTCCAAGGTTCGCCCTGTTTCATGTGACGTGTGCAAGGGCGATTTTGATTGGCCGGTCCCAAGAACAAGCAGACGGATTTCACAATGCAACAGCAAGAAAGCACACAATGCTGTGTTTGCATTTGGCAATGGTCCAGCGGCGGCTGGGGCGGGGCAATGTGTGGGTTAGTGTGTTTCTTATCGCGGCGATTGCAGAGGAAGCTCCCGCGTGACAAGGGTTGGACCGAAGCTCCAGCCGCGCATGTCTTGTACCTCGAGCAGCGCGCACCTGGGCATCTCGCATGGTATACTTCGTTGAATGTAGCTGGATACCGTAGCTCGTACACCTGGCTCCACAGGCTATCGCCCCCTGTGCTGTGGATGTTGTGATTTGGTATGTGACGGGGCGGCTTGGAGGACCGGAACAAGGTTAATGGTAGCGTAGTCCAGCATCTCGCCGCTTGTGCCTGTGAGCACCTCGAGCTATTCGACACCGACACTCGCAGCTACACCTTGCACCACTTGCCGCCCGCTATCATTCATACTCCTACCGGGGTGTACATCGCTCCCGGAGGGTACAACGGCCCGCGAATCAGGCATCCGCTTGGCTGACAGCTCGCCTCATCACGTCCGCTGGTGACATCGTCAAGTGCTCACCACCACGGAGCTTGCCCGCCACCGCCCGTTACTTCCACACGCCCGCCCGCGACTCCCCCCGAACCGCGTGAGCTTGACGGTGCTTGAGCATCCTATGAGTCCTCCTACGTCCCGACAGCGCGCCATCTGAGGGCACCGCCGCCTCTCTGAACGTGTACTCGCATCATTGCGGGTAACTTTCCCCAGCGTTCGTCCTGGCAGACGAAACCGCCCCAAACGTCCCTTCCCCAAACGCCTCCGACCGCCCAACCATCCCGAACTCCCCAGCTCCTCCTTCCCCAGAACTCTCTGCCCACCATCCCCACGACCAGCGCCAACCCAGCGCTGAACACGATCCGGTAGCTGTCACCACAACCACAACCGCAACCACACGCCCGCTTGCACCCAAACGCAGACGCGGCTCCGAAGAGAGCGACGACCTCTCGGAGACCTCCGACCCTCCTATCGAGCGAGGCCGGTCCTCACGTCCCATCAAGAAACGCAGGCGCAGAACAGACGGGACAATGCGCCTTGACAGCGATGCTTCAAAACGGTCCCACTCTCCCACACAGAGCTACACCAATGGATCCACGCGCTCGCCCGGGCCCAGGTCGACGCTGGGCAAGATCGCCAACGGAGACCCCCACAAGCCCGAGAGCAACGGCTCCTATACAAATGGAAGCTCGGTAGCCAGTGTGAAGGCCCTGTCGCCGTCCTTTTTTGGCCACGATAGGGAAGAGGTCACGCGGATACTCATACAAAGCTTATCAGACTTGGGGTATAGCGACGCTGCCGGAGCTTTGGTGAAAGAGAGTGGATATACTCTGGAAGGCCCCACGGTAGCGGCATTCCGTACTGCTGTTCTCAACGGAGACTGGGCTGAGGCAGAAGAGCTATTATTCGGCACACATTCATATGATAATGGTGGAGGTATCCACCTTGATAATTCGGCAGGATATGGCAAGTCATGGGCGAAGTCGCGGTCAATAGCACAATCACACCGCGCCGAAGGGCTGCCGCTCGCCGAAGGTGCGAATCGGGACGAGATGCTGTTTTGGCTGAAGCAGCAAAAGTATCTTGAGCTCCTTGAAAGAAGAGATCTGGGCAAGGCCCTAATGGTGCTGCGGCAAGAGTTGACACCTCTTCATCAGGACGTTGGTCGGCTGCACATTCTTTCTAGGTACGTTTCTTTCGTTCACATGACACTGCAAACTTTACTAATTGTGCAGTCTTATGATGTGTCCATCTGCGGAAGATCTTAAGCTACAGGCCACTTGGGACGGCGCCGATGGCGAATCACGTACACTCCTACTCTCCGAGCTCTCTAGTAAGCCGCATCAGCCTCCCTACAGTGAAACCGCCACTAACCTTAACAGAATCAATATCACCTAGTGTGATGATTCCGGAGCACCGACTAGTTGGTCTTCTCGACGAAGTCAAGGATGGCTGGATATCGAATTGTCTCTATCACAATACTGCTGACTCTCCATCGCTGTACGTTGACCACAATTGCGATCGCGACGACTTCCCTATGAAACCTGTACTGGAATTGAAGGGTCATCACGATGAAGTGTGGTATCTCAAATACTCGCACGATGGTACTAAGCTGGCATCGACAAGCAAAGACAAGACGATTGTTATCTACGACGCTACGACGTACAAGACTCTGCACCAGTTAGATGAGCATGACTCTGGAGTTACCCATTTAGCGTGGAGTCCTGACGACACGAAGATTATAACATGCTGTGCACAACAGGAGAATTCCGCTCGGATATGGGATGTCAAGACGGGCACGTGCCTGAGATTGATCAGCGATTTCACCTACCCATGCACAACTGCTGCCTGGGCGCCATCTGGCACGCACGTTGTCATTGGTTCACAGGACACCAAATACGGATGCTGCATTTGGGACCTAGATGGTCACCTTGTACACGCTTTCGCCCCACACCACAACGACAGTGTCAGAGTCAACGATCTTGCCATTTCGCCCGACGGTTCGAGACTTGTCGTCCTCCTTGAGAATAAGATCCAAGTATACGACTTCCGGTCACGAGAGAAACTGTGCGAATGGCATTTCGCTGACGTCAAGTTGACGAGCGTTACAATAAGCTCGGACTCAAGACACATGCTCATCTCTATGAACAAGAATAAAATTCGCCTCATAGAGATCGACACTGGGCGGGAGGTACAGGGGTTCGAGGGCCAGATACAAGAGAACTTCATCATCAGGAGCAGTTTCGGTGGCGCAGACGAGAACTTCGTGGTCAGTGGCAGTGAAGGTACGTCGCCCGATGCCGTCAAGTTCCCGAGAGGTAATGGACGAGCTAACAATATTGTAGATGGCAGGGTGTACATCTGGAGAAACAACGCAAATGGGCTACTGGTGGAGGCGCTGGACGCGCACGAGGGATGCGTAAATGCCGTCGCGTGGCACCCTTCGGATCCGAGGTGTTTTGCGAGTGCGGGTGACGACGGGCGGGTCAGGGTATGGAGACCACGGTGATCGATCGAGCGTGAACAGCATGCATATTTGGCGTCGGAGGCATTGGGGAGTTCATGTTTGTCGATTTCGATTTATGCATGGGTACGGAGCTTTCCCATACCATCCTCTCTTTCCTCCGGGGGCTTCACATGATTCATACCACACCATGGTGAGTTTTCTCGGCCATGTTGGCGCAGTGGACTGCTTTCGTGCTTGTTGCGCGCATCCATAGAGAGGTCTGACTGCTGCATGATTGGTCTATTGTTGACAAACGCTAAGAGATGATGGTGTGCGTTTGCTTGAGGGGTATGTATAGGGAACGATGAAATGCATGTGTGTAGGAATAGGCAACACAGGTATAGCGTGCAATCGAACCTCAACTCAATCTTGATACTACCAAAATCCTATACCCGCAAATATGAGTTCATGTCTACAGAGTATACCTTAACTCCAATTCTTTCTCGCCAACGCCTGCGGTACCCTCGACACCGTCTTTACGTATAACCTCGCTGTTTTCAGCTCCCACATCCATCTTCACATTTATCCGCCAGTTGCCCGCCCATACATTTATGTAGAGCACACATGCAGCTGCCATCCCTGTCACGCAGAGCCCTAACCCGACACTGAACCCGGTGCGGCCGGTTAGCACAGTGCAGAAGCTGAGAATGGCAAAGGGAGAGCGACGAGGTGCGCCAAAGTAATCGATTACGCCACTGCGACTAAATATCAAGGAATTGTTCGGACCTGCGCGCCCTTCGCCACGTATCCGATGCCCCCCAGGATTGTGGACTGGTGAATAACCCCGCTCTAGACATCGACCTCATAGAAAAATAAAGTTTCCGAAGGCTCCAAGTCCAAAGACTGTACACTCGGAATCCTTCATGCTTCACTGCAGTATATGTTTAGAGTGTCGTTGATCAAGTGGCCTACACGGCAATTTTCCCCGCAACCCCGCCACCCCGCATTCTCCTCCAGGTCGAGCACTTTGACTTATCCCAGAAGAACAAAATTCTCTTACTTCAGTGTCCAATCCTTACTCTGTTTTCCACTTGTAGGGTCACCACGTATATATGACTAAACTTGTAGAGTCAACGGGCGACACCTTCCAAAAAGAGCCTAGTATACGCTACGATGCCATCCAAGGGGAGACGATCTCCATGTCGGACCGTCTATAACAGCGTCAGTATTCCCTTATTTGCGCGTTTCTGCACCGCTCGTCAACATGCTTCCCCTCGTCGCAATTGTGTTCGGCACTGCTTCCGTGGCCCAAGCAGCGGCAACATCCAAACAGACATTCGAGTATGTGATCGTCGGTGCAGGCCCGGCCGGCCTCGTACTTGCGAATCGACTATCTGCTGACGCCAGCGTCAGCGTCGCTGTAATCGAAGCTGGAGCCGACGAACGATACAACCCTCTTGTGACGGACGTAGAAGGTTTCTTCCTAGGAGTTGGGTCTACGCTTGATTGGGGCTACCCTAGCGCACCCCAGAAATATGCACTCAATCGGAGTCTCACCTACTCGGGAGGAAAGGGCCTAGGTGGGACAACCTTGATCAATGGGATGACCTATCTGCGCGCAGAGCAAGAGCAGGTCGACCAGTGGGAAGCATTCGGCAACGATGGGTGGAATTGGGACAATGTGTTCGAGTACTACCGGTCGCAAGAACGTTTTCAGCCCCCAAATCCGGAGAACGCGGAGAATGGGGCTACGTTCGACGAGGGGTTCCATGACTACGACGGGGCACTTTCAGTGGGCTGGAACAAATACTTCACAAAACAAGGGATATTTGACATCCTTAGGAAAACGAGTGAGAACCTAGGGGTCCGATGGAACAAGGATGCCAATGGTGGAAGGATGGGTGGCTTCTCAACATGGCCATTCACACAGAATTCAACGACGAACACACGCGAGGACGCCGCCAATGCGTTCTACTACCCCATTGCAAAACAGCGCGCGAACTTAAAAGTGTTCCTCAACACCACCGCGACCCGGATTATTTGGACCGAAAGTTCCAGATCCGGGGAAGCAGTCGCAGAAGCGGTCGAGGTCCTCACTTTGAGCAATGCCACCGACAGCCTGTATGCCTCGAAGGAGGTAATTCTCGCCGCTGGCTCGCTTCGCTCACCCGCCCTTTTGGAACTCTCCGGCGTCGGAAATCCGACAATCCTACAAGGGTTAGGCATTGACCCAGTAATTGACCTTCCAGCTGTCGGCGCCAACCTACAAGATCAGCCCAACAGTGCGATATCTTACACCTCCACCACAAACTGGACGGGGTACCCCAGCTTCGTAACCTATCTCACAGCTTCCGATCTTTTTGGTACAGAACTACCCGACATAGTGGCCAAGCTCCGAGCGAATAGCAGCGACTATGCGCGCAAGATCATCGCAGACCTGCCACCTAATGAGAGCACGGTCGAGAGAGAAGGGAAGTTGATTGAACTACAACTCGATCTAGCATGGTCGTCCAATAGCACGGTACCCCTCGTAGAAGTCGTATGGTTCCCCAACGGCAACGCAATCACAGTCGCATTCTGGGCGCTCCTGCCCTTCTCTCGTGGCTCCGTCCACATAACATCAACGTCTCCAACGCGCATACCAAGCATCAACCCGAACTTCCTGCAGCTGCCGATCGATACCATCGTTCAGACGGCGGCCGCCCTGAAGATCCGCGAATATTTCTCTACGGCGCCACTCTCCGAGTACGTCACTGCCGAAGTCGCGCCAGGGACGGATGCGGTTCCTACAAGTGCGGGCTTGAGAGATCCTGCGTGGTACAAATGGATCGCCGGCGCATTCGGGTCGAATTCGCACCCGGTGAGCACGGCGGCTATGAGGAGTAGAGAGCTGGGCGGTGTGGTCGATAGTGAAGGAAAGTTGTATGGTGCGAAGAATGTGCGGGTTGTCGACGCAAGTGTCTTTCCAACTCAGATCAGTGGGCATCTAAGCGCGACTATTTATGCTATTGCTGGAAAGATTGCAGATGGGATAACAAGGGCGAAGGGTCGGGAGCTCTGAACTGTATTTTAGTTTTCGATTCGTGAACTTGACTTATTTCTTACGGAATGCTCAACACACGAAGCCGGATACGTTGTTGCGCAAACAAACAGTGAGCGTCTCGGAGAGCTGCTGTTGCACTTACCCCACCCTTTCTGAAGGAGCTTTCCATATCGGGAAAGCGTACTAGACTTAAACTCCATGTTATCTTCAGTCCTCCTCCTGCCAACACAAACCCCTCCCACAACATCGACCGAAAGAACGGCAGGTTTTTAAATTCACTATGGCCACAGCTACCATTCAATCCATTGCGGCTGATTCAGTCACCAAGCAAGAAGCCCGCTCAACAACATACCTTGCATCCCGTCTGGCAGCTAAAGACACGATAAGCGATGCCGACTTCACAATTCCTGTGATTGACCTTACGCCATCATATTCTCAATCACTCGACGATCGAAAGTCTGTAGCCTTACAGATACGACAAGCGTGCACTACCTCAGGCTTCTTCTACGTCACGCACCACGGCATCCCTTCCAGTACTCTGCAGTCTATCTTACAGCAAGCAGAGCGCTTCTTCAAATTGCCTCCAGCCTCCAAACAAGATCTGCACATCAAACGGAGTAAGTACGGGTATGGGTGGGAGCCCAGCGAATATACCTCGCTTGCCGGCGATTTGGAATCGAAGGAGGGTTTCAATTTTGGGTATGAAGAGGGCTTAGACCGAAGCGGTGGAGATGGAAAATACAGAAATTTAGACGGAAGTGACGAGAAAGCGAACCTTTGGCCGAACGAAGCGGTAATACCGGGATTTTATGAGGGTGTTGGCGAGTATTATGGCGCTGTGGGTCTGCATTGACGGGTTGCTTGCGCTGTCGGCTAATGCGTGTTAGGTACTGAATCTTGCTCGCCATATGTTCAGACTCTTTGCGCTTTCCCTAGACCTACCAGAGAATCACTTTGATTCTATGACCACGCATCCGGGAGGTATCGCACGCTTGCTTTACTACCCTCCACCTAAGAATTCTCAGCCCACCGTGTCAGAGTCAGCTCAGCAGAAGGAACAAATCGGTTTAGGCGCCCATTCCGACTATGAGTGTTTTACACTCTTGCTTTCTTCGACTACGCCTGGTCTCGAGATCCTCAAACCATCTGGTCATTGGCACGTTGCGACACATATCCCCGACGCGTTCATCATCAACGTCGCGGACTTCATGATGCGGTGGACAAATGATGTGTACAAGTCGACCATTCATCGCGTTGTTAATAGAAGCAACCAGGTCAGATATAGCGTACCGTTCTTTTTCTCTGTCAACTATGAGGAGGTCATTGAGACGCTACCGACATGCTTAAAAGACGGAGAGAAGCCAAAATACCGGCCGATCGGAGCAGGAGAATATATTCTCGAGAGACTGAATGCTACGACGAAGGATGGGGCGGGCTTCTATGGAAACGAGGAAGTCTTCGAAAAGGGCGAAGCGTAATAGGGCGAATTTTATCTCGAGCACGTATGGAATGGGTAGGTAGCTCGGAAAACTCAAAGATCAAGTCGGTTGGCGTAGGCTCTTGTTCATGTCTTATGGGGCTCTGCTCAGATGTCGGGCGTATTAGCATTCTCGCGCGTGTGTTCCAGCCCCCCGTCGCAACACCGCTTAGGTCCCAGGCCTCCAATTGACAGCCAACCCGACGAGCTTCGCCCGTCCTGCGCCTCGCTGGGCGTAAATTGGCAAGCATTTATTGGTTAAACATGAAGTTGCAAATGTGCGTCTCAGTTCATACGGACAAATAAAGCGACATTGCGGCACCCAAATTCATGGGCCCTAAAAATACAAGGTCAGCCCTCGCGGAGCTCGCAATCTGGTACTGCTTCTTCTTGTCTTGGAGTCTTCGGTTCGTACAATCAAGATGTCCAATCTGCCCGAGGTTGCGTCGTCACCAACGGGTCTCGAGGTCGATCACTCAGCATCAGCACCAAATCAACACTATCCTGCTCCATATCAGTATGTAGAACAGCATCAAGAGCTGCCTTCAAAAGGCGAATACGCACCAGTGGGTGGTGAGGATCGTAACGTACCACCACCAAGCACACCACTCATATGCGGTGTACGAAGGTCGACATTCTGGCTCGCGATCATTCTCGCTATAGTGGTAGTGGCCGCAGCAGTAGGAGGAGGTGTAGGCGGTTCTATTGCAGTGAGCAATGCGAGGTATGTTTTTGCTATTCGTAACTGTTGCCTTCTATTCCAAGCGCCTAGTAATCTACGTTTCGCAAGCATGGCGTCAAGCGACACGACTAACCTGCCTCAGAGACAGTTCACGATCTACCAGCCAAACATCAGCCAAAGAAACGGTCACAGTAACAGCCACGGCCTGCTCCACTTCCGCGCCTACACCCACATCCACCTCCTCCACCGAACCGCCCTACGTTCCGAAATCCCCTTCTGAAATCCTTCGAATAGACAACACCTGCCCTAGCTCCATCATCTCCTCTTCCGCCTCTGGTAGCTCCACCACCGACAAGTACAATTGCCAGGATGACACCGATTTCGGAAACAACGACATCATGTGGTTCACAGCTTACACGCTGCAGGCCTGCATCGATGCGTGCAGCTCGTACAATGTGGGCAACAAGACGGATACACCATGTAGGGGTGTGGCACTGGCGGAGGACTTGAGCCATCAATATAATGTCAATGGTGGGGCGAATTGTTGGTTAAAGCTAGGCGTGGAGAAGGATGGATTTGCGAAGAGTCCTACTGTTACACTGGCATGGTTGGTGGAAGAGTGAGTAGAGAGACGGGAAGGATTGGGTTCTATTGTTTGGTGATACCACTTGCTTTCTATGTACTTTTTGTTGGCAATAATTATCGAAACGAAAAACTAGACTCTGAAGACGGGGCTGTAGTTCAGTCGACAGGAAAACGAACATATTCAAAGATACACAATGGAATCGAAGATATACATTGTTGAATACACTGCCTCGCCGCAAATCATTTCAAACTCAACTCCGGACAGTTGCCTACGTTCCACTTCTATCGAGTTATGGTTCAAGTTTTAGGCTGCCGCCTAACACCTCCAGTACGCACGGGCACTGTTCAGCCTTCGCCTGATGAATTTCTCCGTTTGATCTGTAAATCTGTCACATCCCAATGCCTACACTCGTGATCATCCATCCAAACGCCCGACGTGGGCCATCTTTGACAACTCTTAGTAATGAGCTTTTGTTGAACATCATCGATTGCCTGGTCCAAGACGAACGCGACACTCATCACGTGGCCCTTGGACCAACGCCGCTGAAGAATTTATCCTTTGTCAGTCGACAGTTCCATTGTCTTTTGCGACCTCTTCTGATGAAGTCTATTGTTCTGATTGAGCCTCCAAAACCCAATTATCAACCGAGCCACTGGGACACAAACCGCGAAGCGATCGCGTGCCTTTCCAAGGATGCCGATCTCTGCAGAAGCATGCAAAAGTTGCGGATAGAACACGCCGACTGGGTACATTTCGATGAGGCAAATGGTAGTTGCGACACGAGGCCTGCAGACGATGTTGTGAGATTCCTTTCCGAAACCACAAGCCTCGAGCATCTACGTCTGCGAGCCTCCGGCCGATGGAGTCAAGTCTTCAAGAACGCGTTCGAAAATTGGACCCTGTCGTCTCCGCTATACTTTAGCAATGTTACCACTTTGGTGATCGAGCAATCGACAGTCTTTCTGCTTCAATACTGCCCTCGTGTTGAGCATCTTGGCCTGCTCAGCCATGCCGACAGCGCTCGTCTCAACACGATCGATCTTGAACGCTATGCAAATTTTGCGCCAAATGTCTCCCATATCGAAGCGAGCGCCCGCTGGTCGGTGGCCGAGATAACGTGCCTAGCACAAGGTTGGCCTAAGCTGCGATATCTTGGCGTCTTCACTATTGTCGAATCAATTCAAGACTCTCTAGAACTGGTTGACCTTTTAGCGGATCTGGGGAAGGCTTTCAAGCACTTAAAAGTACTGAAGCTAGCGGACGTCTGTATAGACAGCTACTGGTCAGGCGGGCGCATACGACTCAGCAATCTTTTCCGGAATACGGAGAACATCCATGCATGCTGGGACCGTCATTCAGATGAGCATACAATGCCATGGGCGACCTTCTTGCGCGAACAGGCGGGCCACAAGCTCATGAAAGATACAATGGAGACGGTGTTTTGTATGCTCAAGGGTTTGGACGAATGTCGGATCGGGGACATGACGGGTGCTCGGAGAGTGTGGGGCGACGAACCTTCGGATTATAGTGAAGAGTGGGTTCATGCTGACGGTGGCGACCATGATGGTCAGCAATGGACTTTGAGGTTCAACTGGCTTGAGTACGACGAGCTCTGCGGACCTTTTGAAGGGGAACGAGGAGGGGATTGGCTGCTGAGGCCTATCTGATGAGAACCTCGACTAAGGTCATCATCGCATAGTAGCTTTAATCCGGGTACCGGTCGTACCTCTTTTCTCAGCAAGAGCGACCAATTCGGCAGTAAGCATGTCCTCATAGCCGGTATAAACACGGTAGTAGCCTTTCGTCACCAGAGCAGCGACATAGCGGTTCGACTCATATGACAGTACATTTGCTCGCCCGAAGTTACAATAAAGCTGCGGCCGGGTGCCGTCGTGTCGAACCTTTCGTTCGTGAGCCGCGAGAAAGGTTTCCAGGTGTAGCCAATCGCTTCGCCCCAGGAAGGTGGATGCCTCGTGCCAGCTTGCATTCTCGTTCAAGCTCAATTGCGGCTCGATGCAATGTACGGGGTTGGCACGAAACCCTTCCTCTCGTCTTGAAGTGGGAAGAGGTCACGCCAGGAGTCAGGCGGTCGAAGCACGACAGGTTCGCGACTGTGATTCTCGTATTACCAAATCATTTTCCGTACCGTGTATGTTTTCAGGCTCTCAATATTTTTCGGGTAATCCACAAAATTATACTGGGGCGGAGACGCAATTCTGCACTGTCGTTCGCTGAGAGGCAGACGCTCGTGTATGTCTGTTATTACGAACTTCAGCTTTGCATGTAGAGTTTGGTGATGCATCAGCAAGTTCAGTCCTGGGCATGAAGGCCAAAGACTTTCAAGTCCACCCATAATCTTGTGGCACACACCGTAACGTAGATTCCTTTAGCAGCATGCTTGTAGTGGTATGAGCGCCGAGTTGCCTGTGCCAATTCCTGAAAGGTTCGAGTTGTCGGGCGCTTAGATAGCACCACTCACACGTCACACTCGCGTCCGCTGCGAGACGCCCACTGTCCCAGCACGCGTCATCCTCACGCATAGCCGCTATTATTGTATCAGCATCAGCATCCACACAACACCAAAACAAATACGCATGTCAACAAACAATCCCTTGAGATTTAAGGAAGTGACTCGCTAAGCAGTAACGCCCAAGTATCAGAACAATAGTACCAGGTATCGTTTAAGAGTCCCAAAGCGCCATGATGTACAACCAAATCAGACCGGACCAGAAGAGTAGAACAAGAGCAGAGGCATTGCAGCATATCCCGTAGTAACGCCAACCATCGCTATCGTCCATCGTAAGAAACATTAGGTAAAGCCCAGACCACGAAGAGAAGGGCTCATCAAGGAGCCTCGCTCGCAACCACTTGCGGTTCTGAGGCAGAAACGGCGGCTTCCTCTTGCGCAACGGGGACGACATTCTCATCCGCATACACGACGACAGCCTCTTCTGCCTTCTCCAAAGGCTCTTGTATGGGGGCTAGCGCAGGCTTCTCTGGCGTCGAACAATTAAACTCGAACTCCTTGCTCAACCCACTTGGCCGCTCAATGCCCGCATCAACAGTGACAAAAGTCTTAGCATCACACCCCTCGGCGTAGAACTCAGCTGCAGGCAAATCTCCCAACGGCTTGCGGTCTTCGTCCATGGCATCCTGCTTGACCTCCCTCAGCCTCGGCATCTTGACACCTGCTCCCGGTACAGCAGCATCCAAGGAGGGGCTGCGAGGTTGACTTTGGGAGAGAGTGAAGTCGGGCGGCGGGATATTCTCCTTCCCACACTCGAGCTCCTCGTTGCGCGCCTTGGTCGCTGCATCATCATCGGATGAGATGTCTAACACGGAAGCGGAGTGCTCCATTAGGTTGGCGGCTTCCTGCTCCGGGGTGTCCTCGTGGATCTCGAAGAACCACGATTTGGGCATCGAGTCGTCGACATGGTTTGATGACTCGACAGGGGGGAAGCCAGAGATAGGCGCTGGAGTGGGAGTGGCGACAGGCTTGGGCGTGTAATTAGGGATGGTTCCGCTGAGAGCGGCGTCGATGGAGAAGGGGAGAGCGGGGCTGCTGTGCGCTGAGAAGGAAGGAGGATCGACGCGGCGGAAAGGCGAGGTTGAAGCGCGGCGTTTGGACAGAGCACCGATGCGCTTGTGCTTGGGCGATCCGCGGCTGTGGCTGATAGGCGTGGAGGTCGTGGTGTTTGGCGACGTGAGAGCTTTGCGCAGAGATGGGATGGAAGGGGAGGCGGTGAAGGGCTCCCTTGTCTTCAGCGGCGACGGCACTAGGGAGAACTTGGAAAGCTTCGAGGATCCATCGGTAGTCCTGGACTTCTTGGTGGGTGAGTTGAGCATGGAGGGGTCGACGTTCTCGGAATCGTTGTCCTCGAAGATGGCCGGGCCGCGGCTACGCTTCCCCGTGGATGCAGTGGGGCTTGGCTTGAGTGGAGACGCAAACTTGGAGTTGGAATCAGGCGTGAAAGCTGGAGGTCACGCGTTTAGCGATCAGGAAGTCGACCGCAGAGGGCGATTGCTTACCATTCTGCCTGTTCTTCGCGCTCTGGAGGGCCTGGAGGCGTGGGGCGCCTAGCTCGGCGAAGGGCTGGCGCGTAAAGAGGGCCATTGCGAGCAGTGTCGATGTCCTTGGGCAGAGCTGCACGAGAACGAAGTGAGTACGTGGCTCCGTCCAGCAAGAGTGCCGTGTATGTGGACGCTGTGTCGAGTAGAGATGGAAGACGCGCGATGGCGGGGCCTGGCGTGGAAGGAACGCGGTGGACCAGTGCAGTCGTCGGAGCAACGCCTCTGTGCTTTCGTCTTCTTCACACGATGAATCGAAGCTCACGTCCCATTCAACACTCAATTGGTAAGACAGACAGCGAAGCAGCAAGTCGACAAGCGGGACACGGTCGAGGAGAGAGATGAAGGCAGGAGCAGGGCGGGCGAGGAGTAGAGTATAGATTGTCTCTACGCGTAGCACTAGCGCGTTCTCTCCGGACTGGCGAGGGGGCGGCCGTGTTCGCGTCCAGGTGCCCACTTGCGGGCTCTTCCAAGGCGCAGGCCCCGGCAAGCTCATCAACGCTGCGGGAGCCATTGGATGTGCGCGTGCGCCACCGAACACGATCGGACCACGAACGCAGAACTGCGAACCCGTTTGCACACGCGCATGCTGGTCGCCCGCTTCTCGACGTGCACACGCACTGGCTGCGAGCCTACGTGTGCAGCTGGCCCTCTGTTTCAACGCGCCCTGCATGCGCCATGCCGCTGCGACCGACCGCGTCGAGGCAGTATGTACTCGAGCCTCGCGCGCCATGCACCTAATGGAACTGCTTCTTTGGCTGCTCCGTGTCGGTCGAGCGCAATCCTCGTCGTGTTACGAATCTTGGTCACAATTGCCTGCAGCGCCTTCCGTCTCATTGTTGGGCTGGGTGTGGGATAGGGTGCTGAGCGGAACTATAGTACTAAGTATACGAGTCCCAGTACATGACAGTTCCTACCCTTGGTCCATCTGCGCACCCTTGGAATATGCCTTCATGATCCAACGTCGTTTCCTCTCCATCATCATCTCCGCTCCGTATCACACATCTCTCCACGATCCCTCTGGTGGTTCCCTCTTCCACGCAGCCTCCCGGAACTTGACACCACCCACTTCCGCATTGAGCCATGTATCATTACCCTCCTCATACCCACTCTTGTCATTCCAATCTCCAGTCGTAGCCCCAGCCGCCCTCTCTGTCACACTGTCAGCCTGCGCAATGTCCCCGCCCCAGCCAGTCTTCCCACTCCACTTCGCACTGCCTGCTACGCTCGCCTGGTCGCCCTTCCATCCAGCTTGGCTTTTGCTGTCTTCATCATCCTTCTGATCGGCCTTCATACTCCAGGCAGAATCCCACTCAAGAGCACCGTCATCTGACTCCGGTGCGTCCTCCACCGTGGGCGCTTGGTATGTTGAGTGCGTCTTCACAGAGTGCGTATCCTCATCTCGTTCTTCTATGCCTTCACCGTCGCTACCGCGCTCCTCTGATGACATCGGAGACATCGCCCGGGAAGGTGCAGGAGCACGTGATTCGTTTGACCCGACTGTAGAATGATCCGACACTTCCTCGACCTGCCGTCTCCACGAATATGGTGTGACGACCGAGCTTCGACTTCCTGACTTGTGTGAGCAGGCTGAGGGCGCTAGGCTGTGGTGTTCGTTCTGATCCCAGGTGGACGCAGAGATCCACGACGTAGCTGGCTTGCTTGGTGGGTATGCTGAGTAGGAAGGCTTGTTCCCATCGTCTTGGATCCAAGTTGATATCGAGGCGATCGGAGACTTTATAGGAGAGCGTGTTGTCGTGTGCGAAACTCGCCCTTCGGACGTGTCTACGTCTCGCTTCCAGTTATCGTTCAAACCAGCCCAGGAAGCTTCACCAGATTTGCGTCGTCTGGAAGAATCACGAGCTGAGAGCCGGTCGACGTCCTCACTCCAAATGGCATTGGAGCGGAATCCAGAAGATGTTGCTCGTTTTGGCGAGCCACGAGCGGAGCGCTTGTCCACGTCTTCTTTCCAGCTGTCGATGGAACCTGTTCTGGATCGACTGACGGATGTTACTCCTTTTGACGACCCATGCCCCGAGGGCTTGTCTTCGTTAAAGATCGACGAGGCCGCCTTTCCTCGTGAGTCTTGCGGAGCAACCTCCGATACAGTCGAGGATGTTGCATCTGAGTATTTGACGGAAGATGCTGAGGAAGGAAGCTTGAAAGCCGAGGCTTCTTGAACCCATGACTTCTGTTCATTCCACGGTTCTTCGAAGTCGGTCACTGAAGTAATCGTCGAAAGGGCCCTGGGAGTGGACACTAGCATCACCGACGGTGCGAACTTGACTGGTGAAAGCTGTGGGGAGGGCCATGCTCCTGGAGGAGACTCAGTAGGTGACGGCGGTGCTGCAGATGGTTCCGTAGGCACATGGGCCGTTGGAAACCAGTCGCTCTGCGGCCCGATCATGAAGATTGTTGTAGGTGATGCGATGCTCGTTGTGCTCTCTTCGAGCGTATCGGCTTCCGGTATAGGTGTGAGAGAATTCGCAAACGATTGATGATGCCCATGACGGTTGTGTTTGTCCATACGATTTCGCTCTTTGGCAACTGATCGCTCCTGCGCCTTTACCATCTCTTCCCGCTCCCTCAATGACTTGGCCTTTTCTTCTGCTCGCTTCTTCGTCGTCTGTAGCGCCTTCTCAAGCTCCCTCGCCCTCCCTCTCTCTCGCTCCGCATGCTCCTTTTCCCGCTTTTCTAGACCCTTCTTCTCTTTCGGCTTTCCAGAATCATAATCCCCCTCCCTATCCACGACCACAACCCTCCCATCGTCGCCTTCAATGATAATAGTCCCCCACATCAAAGGCTTCATTATTCTCACTCTACCGTCGTCTTCAACAGCGCCCACTTTGCCTTTGTTCGTCTCTTTCCTTTCTCGTCTTTTTTCAGCTTTGTCAGCATCGCTGAGCTCAACCCTCGCAATGCTTCGCATTATAGCAAGACTCCTCCACATATCACCCGCTAGCGCCCTCTCTTTCTCCACCGTCCACTCTTCCTCGTGCCTGCTCTTGCGTGGCTTGCCCTTACCGTAGAACCTTTTATCCATTACACCAAACCCAGGAATGACTTGTGTTGGGTAGAGCATGTCTGCGCCGTCGTCGATGAAGCTGCCGGTATATATAGTACCGGAACTAGAGGGAATGGAGGGAAGAACGGGCGGAGCGATGGTGCTCGAGAGCCAATTGTCGATTGCGTCAGGGTTCTTGCCGCAAGGCATGCGCCGAGAGAGACTGAAGCCATCGTCTACGAGGGATGGGTGTGTGGCGGATGTGAGTGTGTCGGACAGGGTGACGTTCGGGTCCAGCATTGCGACCGTCTTCGAAGGAAGGTGCGAAGAGACAGGGGCTGAATGGAGCTTGCAGGGTCGCGATCATATGATGCGCATATCGGGTCCTTCCTCGTGACGGTAACGAGACTTGCAGAGGGTTAATAACACAACCAACAAGAGGACACAGTGCAGCGGTAAATTTGATGCAATCCGCCGGAGAGGTTTTCGAAAGTGTTACATTGACCGCATTGCTCCAGCAACAGAACAAAGCCGTTTGTTGAATTGATTGGTGGATTGGTGAAGGTGAAGAGGAATTGAATTGACAGTGACTAAAATATCATGGGACCAAAACTTCGAACCAAAAAAACACCAATTGACTTCTTCGCAAATCGGGTATCCTACATGCCTCACCTCCTTACAGCTTCGCCTTCTCTCTCCTCTTCTCCGCCTCCCACGCCAACTGTACGCCCCTCATCCTATACCAGCTCACTCCTGCCGCAACTACCGCAACCGGCGGACACACCCACAGCACAAAGCTCCACCACGCGGGACTCTTCGCCCTAATCTCGCCCATCACCCTCTGTACCTCCTTCTCTAGTTCCTCCTTTCCCCCATCGTTCCACACCACCACACCCTTACCCTTTCCCCTCCTCAAACACCTCTCCGCCTTCTCTCTAATATCGCCCTGACTGCTAACTCTATTCCTCGCATCATCTTCAGTCAAATGCGCATCCCTTGCACGCAGACGCTGGATCTGAATCGCAGGGTCAGAGACTCCTACAACCAGAATGGTCCCGCAGTACCTTTCCCAACCACTCTCGAACAGCAGCGGAACGTCCAGCACAACAGCCCAGCTCCCTCGTAGATACGACCACACCATCTGCTTGTACATCTGCCTCCTTACAGCCGGATGCACGATGCTGTTGAGCTTCTTGCGATCGCGCTCGCGCTCCTCCCCTGCGCCGAAGACGCGGCGGCCGAGGGCGGGGCGGTTCAACGGTTTGCCCGGTGCATCTAGGAGTAGATCTGGCGTCGTGGGCAGAAAGTAGTCTACTATGGCGTTGTAGCCTGGGGTCCCGGGCTCGACAACCTGGCGGGCGATGAGGTCGGCGTCGATGATGGGCAGGGAGTACGGCGGTTCGCGGAGGAGGGAAGAGACGGTGGATTTGCCAGTTGCGATTGAGCCTGTGAGGCCGAGGAGGAGCATATTGGAGATGCACTACCGAGTATTGATGGGTTCGGAGGCGGATTATACAGTTGTTATGCTGATTTGCGATCAACACCCGTATGTGCTATTTACATCGTGTGGAGAGGAGTGATGTTATGCGGGGCGAAACTGGAGCTCGATTGCCTCGGACCAAGAGCTTGGGCCACTACCGCGGGGAGGTCAGTCTTTCGTAAATAGCGGCATATCTCTCAAGCACAGGAGAATTTACAATTGTCGTCGATCTTGAATATGGGCTGTACAGAATGCAATCATCACCTTGTTCTATCCCTTTAGTTGCACATGACAACCATGGTACAGGACGGGGAAGAATGTGAAATCCAGAAGTGTCTGAGTATTTCATTTATATACTTCAATTGCAACCTGATTCCTTCCGAAGCTGTGAGACCATGGGTGCTACTCCAGGACATGGTACCGTAGCAGCGCCAGAACGCCCGTTCAGTCCACTCCGTCCATCCTCCGCACCAAGTGCAGTCTCAAACCCAAGGGAAACCCTTCAATTGTCACGACTTGCTCCATAACGCCATTAATGCCGCCCAATCCTGCCCGAGAAACTTCCCGCTGCCTCCTATGACAACGTATGATCGCTCGCCGCATCCCCATTCGGCTCCATCTTGACATCCTCGTCACCACCAGCCAGCACCTTCGTCTGTGGCCTACTCCCGTCCGCAAGCCCAGAGCCAGGCGTGCACGCCACAACCTGACCATTCTCATCGACGAACTCGAAATTGTAGCGCGAGAGTAAGTGCGGGATTGCCGAGAGCTGTGGACCGTAGCGCGCAGTGTTGTCGTAGAGTTCGAAGAGCGGGACCGCGAGAAGTTTCATGTTTTTGGGAACGCTAAGGACCTCTAATTCACGTGTCAGATAGATGGGACAATAGAGGAGAGGGAGGGGAAGAGGAACGCACTACTCCGGGGTAGCTGAATAAAGTACAGCTTCTTGCACTCCTTTGGCCGCGTGACGTGCGCCGGGATGAAGGGGTACATGAACGTCTCGAAGTTGGGGCGCCACCACTGCGCGAGCGTATCACCGATCTGCCACTCGTCGTTGACCCCCTCGCCTGTGAATTGCGTACCAACAGGCGCAAGGCGCTCGTTCAGCCTCGCTTTGAAACCTTCGATCTCCTCAACGTCTTGGGTTAGGTAGTCACCGGGCCTGCGTACATCAGTCTTCGCTCACTGTTTTGCAGTCGGCAGGCAGAGGCAAACGTACAGCTTGAAGAAAGCATTGGCAATCTGCAGCATGAGGATGTGTGGGTGGTTATGTTCGTGGCAGACCAGCACGCCTTCGCATGTCCTCCGCATGCCATTTACTTGATAGTACTCTTCCAACCGCTTCAAGCGCGCGAGCACAGAGGGGTCCTCTTCCGGTTGAGCATCCTTTGTACCGAAGGTGTAGTTGCTGAGGGGGTATAGGCGGATGGTTTTGGGCTGGTTGCCGTTGAAGTCTTTGGGAAGGATCGGGCTGCAACAATTAGCTCATGAGATCAAGAGACGGATGAAGTCGCTTACGGATAAGAGCTCTGAGAAGCTTCCTTGGTGATTGTAGACATCGTGGGTTTGCGAGGAGATTGACACTCTGGCGCACTCGACAGCTTCACTAGAAGTCGCGATGGGCGCGACAGGGATCTGCGGCTGCGGCGCGCGCGGACCAGGCTCGCGTTGATTGGTCAACACGAGCTATCGCTCTGTCCCACTCATGGTGGTACAACCGAAACGGACTCACTTGTATCAAGTGACTGTGATAGGGAAGTCGATGACTGCCATGAGAAGCGTTCGAAGGTCGACACGGCATATATGACACGCCTACAACTTATCATTCAAGGTATCATCCCTCGAAACCGGGCTATGTCACTGCAAAATGCAAGAGTATGATAAGGTCATTTCATAAGTGTGTTCAGTCCATGTACGCTGATCATTCCAAGTACCAGCACATTACTCCGTTCATAGCTATGCCTCTAGGTCCCGCCCTCGGCCTGCAATACGCCGACTTTGGTATATGGACGAAGCTAATGAGAATCACAAGTGCCAATCGCTATCCGTCAAATTGAACTACCATACGACCAACAACCACCTCCACTAGCTTCGCTTGCTGCGTCCGGAGCCAGATGACCTAAACTCGATCAGTAATTGACTTCAGCAATACTAAGTGGCCAACTTACATGCTGATTCTGCGCGCAACCGTTGCGAGTCCAGCATCATTCTCAGCCTCCTTGCTCGCCTTCTCAAGAGCCTGCTCTCGGCTCGCTTCCTGAGATTTTCGTACCTCTTCGTGGCTTGGGGGCAGTCGCTCGTTCTGGAGATCGACTTTTCGAGCATCTTCAAAGCTGTGGATGGCCTGCTTGATGCCTTCAGCTCCGAGCATGAGGGTACCTGCAGGAAGGCGGCCGCCCGACGCTGTCTTCAACTCAGTCACACGCTCAGACTCTTCACGCAGAACTTGGAATACGCGGGAGAGTCTGCCGATAGCCAGGATCTTGTTCTTGATCGCCCGGCGCTTGAACTCGGTGGACTCTGGATCCATGTTGGCGGTGAGAGGCGGGGATGCGGGTCCAGATGCGAGAGAGCTGGGCGTCTCCTCTTCTAGTTCCTCCTTGGAACATGTGTTGAGAATCGCGATAAGCATATCGGTGACTGTGGCAATTAGCTGTGTCTGATGGTCATGGATGTGGAGGACTTACTTTTCTCGCCAACGAATGGTAGCGACCACGTAAACACATCCATGAAGTTTGGCAGCCAATACGGGTGTGGTGTGCAGTCTGTTCTCGGTCAACTCCGCGTTTCTATAGCCCAACCCAACAGAATCCAACTCACTGAATTGTCGAATGTTCATAACATTGTTCTCGTACTTCAAGACTGCAGCCTTGTTGTTGTACACATCTAGATAGTTAGGTGCGCTGAAAATTGTCATGACACTGGGGAAACCAGTAGTCCTCGTTTTCCTGTACATGCGGTAACCTGCATCTTGCGCTTCGTGAGCGCGGATAATCGAGAGCAAATTATTTTTCTCGAGGAAGGCGCACGCAGCGGGATATGAAAAGAAGTAGGAGCAGCCTCGGACGTGGTTATGTATGAAGAAGTCATTCGTCTTCTCCTGACCGAACTCTTCCAGTGGATCGGCCCATAGGATATCGCACATCAAACCGTGAGTTGGGGGCTCGCGGAAACGGTCGATCTAGACATTGTAAGCCATCGTCCGGAAGATTGGGTAGAAAAAGAGCCAGCGTACGCTCTTGAGATCTTCCAGAGTGTGAAGCTCCGGGCTCAATCCACCGTGTATGCATAAGAACTGTTTGTTCATTACGGCCGCAAGAGGTAATGCGCAGAACGACTCCATGCACGCTTCATACACAGCCTCGGAGTACTTGTGCTTGCACTCCAGCTTGAAAGTGAAGTAATCGGTCAAATGACGACACTCGTGGTTTCCTCGAAGCAGCCAAAGCGTATTCGGGTACCAGATCTTCAATGACCAGAGGTACAGAACGCACTGCGACCGTCAGTGTATGCCAACCGAAATCGCCAACTGAAGTCTGACCTCTATACTGAAATATCCGCGATCAACGTAGTCACCCAGGAACAAGTAGCGTGTTTCCGCGGGATCACCACCAACTTCGAAGAGCTTCATGAGGTCGTAGTACTGCCCGTGCACATCACCGCACACGGTTATGGGCGCGTCCATCTCCAGCAAGTTGGGTTCCGACTTCAGCACCTCGGTGCCTTTCCGTATAATCCATAGCGCCTGCTCTTCAGTCAAGCGACCTTCGCGGTAGAAGTGTTGCTTCAAAAATTGTAAATTGGGTTTCGTGCGATCTTGTGGCGACAGGAATTGATCTTGCGTGGGCGGGTGGAAAGCGGGCGCCTGAACGTCTGAATCCGCCTGGTCAGCCCCAATTCACTCCTCGAGATTTGGGGTCGTAGTAGGCAGCAAGGCTGCACACACAACCAAGGCGCAATCCAACAACATACCTTTGCAAACTCGCTCCATGGTGCTCACTTGGGTGCCATCTTCCATAGTGTGCAGGGTGAAGTCAATCTCAGGGAGCGGCTTCTTCTCCTTGACGGCGCGGATGGCGTTGTCGAGGTACTTGGCCTGGTCGATGTCGCCTTGCTGATTATTCTCCATGGCAGGCAGTTATCTCTCTCAGGCGTGGCTAAGGCGTCGAAGAAAGATGGTGTAGGAGGCAACGAGGGGCGGCGGGTGGGGAGGGAGCTCAGACCCTTGGGTGGCGGCGAACAATCTGGGGCCGAGGCTCCTCTACGCTTGGAAATGGGGCAAAATAATACGCGGTCGCATACAGGAGCGGTGAGTACAAACGAGGAATATCTGGACGCTGTCGTTATCGTCGTCGCGTGCTCGTCGTTGTGCTGGCTGGCAGCTGTAGGGCTGAGAAAATAGGCGTCAAGCTGGAGGGGATGTCTACCTAAGCTTGGCAAGAGCGCGCTAAAGAGGAAGCTGCGCAACGACCATCGCCCGTAAGCAATGAGAGCATATTGCAAGGGCCAAATCGACCGTTGTAAAGCCTTGTTATGAGATACGTTCTACGGTCTATATGATTGTTGGATGATCAATCGTTCGAATTGGTGCATGAAGACTCTTCGCGGCGTTCTCAGACACGGTAGACGCCCAGGCCGACCCTGCTCGTACCGTACCGTATTCCAGCAAGGCAGGTGCGACCTCACGTTCCACGGTCGCACAGGAATCTTGAACGTATCATTCCAGGATCCACTGCATTAGGGAGTGTATGGAGTTATGAAGGCCCACTGTCGAGTACTGTCTGACTACCAGATCACACCGAAGCTTACGCACGCACGCCAGCTGTGCCGCTCTTTGTATTTGGTTAGTCCGAGGAGTACATGGGTAACGGAATTGCGTGCTACATGGAGCAGAATCACCGACGCTGCACAGGTCGTAAGCCCCTTGTGTTTCATATTCAGATCGCTGCATCATTGGGTCGCAATCACATCACGGCAAGCTGACCCAGGCAAGTATTGCAAGAAAGAATGCATTCGACGCGATGCGAAGCTATGGACTTCAAAGAAGTACGATGCAGAAGTATGCTCAAGAAAGCGAGCGTTGCAATGTCCACCACAAGACGTCGTAACAAGAGCATGCCGGGCCTCAGACCCAGACATGGACGAAGATAAACACCAAACAGAAAGATACTCTATAAAGAAGGGTGGTATGAACATGTTGAAAAAAGGCTGCCGGTCTTAGATTTACAAAACCCCACCCAATGCAGCCAAACCGTGACCAACTCCAAAAAATGCGTTCGTGAGAAGCATGGGGCCAGGGATTTACAAAGCGCTGGCGCGCTTGTGGAGGGCCGCATGGCGGTTGTGAAGGGTACCGCGAGGGAAGCGGATGCTGCGGCGAGAGAGCTGGCCGTTGGAGCAGCTCGTGCCGGCGGCGAGCTTCTGGGCGACAGCGGTGCCGAAGTTGCACAGGCCGAAAGAGTCGGTGCCAATGCAGACGACAGCGCCTTCAGTGTCGCATGGCGTGCCAGCTCCAGAAGAGGCGTTGGTGGAGCCAGAGCCGGCACCAGTCTCGGTACCGGAACCACCAGCAGACGGAGAGGATGGCTGAGCAGCGGCAGGCTGGGAGGCGACAGGAGTGGCGGCAGGCTGAGAGGCTTGGTACGAAGCAGCGGGCTCTGAGGCAACTGGCGCCTGGGTAACAGCAGGAGCGCTGGCAGCGGGGGCAGTACCAGCAGCAGACGATGCGCCAGGGGCGAAGACACCTCCACCGCTGGTGGGAGCAGCGGTGGCCTGAGCAGGGCTGCCGAGCTGTCCAGCACCAGCACCCAGGATAGTAACGGCGGCGCAGTTGGCACCGGAGATAGCGGTACCCGGTGCGGCTCCCTCACCAGTCGCAACACTGTCACCAGGGTTGGGGTAATCGAAGTCCTGGCCAGAGGCGACCTCGCATTCGGTAGGAGGAAGGTTGGCAACGAACATGTCGGGCAACTGCCCGAGGATAGAAGAGACATCGGCCGAAGCAGTGTCGCGCTTGGAGCTACCGCTGGTGACTGTGAGAGGAGCACAGTTCATGTAGAACTCTCGATTGCCGAGCTTGTTCAACCATGTCCAGGCAAAGGTGTATTGACCAGCAGGCAGACCCTCGGGGATCTTGACGGGAATCTTGGGGTTGCCCAAGTCGTCCTTGTCGTTCGACATGTTGGCATCGTTTGCGCCTCCCTGGCAGCCGTGAATCTGGCTGTGAAGAACCTTCCATTGTGAGTCCTTGGTAGGCTTGGTGTCAGTGGTGATGGAGAACTGGCACGAGCCACCGCCGTGTGTCGCACCACCCTTAAGCTGGACATCCAACGAGCCACCGGCAGCGACAGTGTTCATTGTTGTGACAGCATATGTACCGGCAGGCTGCTTGCAGGGGAAGTCGGCGGGTTCCAAAGGAGACTGCTGAGTGCCAGAGTCCTCCCAGTCGAAGGGAACGGGGCTGTTGAGGACCATGTGCGCAGAGGCACTTGCGGCAAGCGCAATAAGAGCGGATGTCTGGAAAAACATGATTTTTGAAAGAGTGTGTTGGTTTTGTTGTTGAGAAATCGCTAGACCTGCTGAGCGATGTTGCGACTGTCGAAGGATGCGGTCTATATGGTACTGTTAGTTGTTGTCAACCTCATCTCACTAATATGGGCTGAGATCTGGCACATCTATACAGGGCTCGAGGTATTTCAACACGCGGCCCACCAGCGCCAGAGTGACATTTGCAAGATACAGGATTCGAAGGAGAATGTAAACATCAACACCGCAACTTCAACTTACCTGATTGATGTGCTAGTCTAGCTGGAGCGGGAGGTTAGATAGACAAGTCGATACTCTTCAAGACGTTCGAAGTTCAGCAAAAGACGATGGTACTCAGGGAGTGGATGCTCTGCCGCTGGCTGGAGCTAGAAAGAAGAATGTACAAAGTTGGAAGAAGGAACGAAACGAGCTTGTGGTGCTGCGATAGGGAAAGAACAGCTACAGCCGTCTACGGGGCCTTTATAACCTCCTCCCACTCTCGGTGGCGGTCTGGGGGATCAGACGGGCACAGCGTACCGTGCCAGGGTGCGTCGACCCACATGGCAATGCCACGGCGGATCACAGTGAATGACCAGCATCCATAGGCCGGTAGCACGCCTTTCATGCAACCATGTCGAGAAGAGAAGCGGGCCAGGGGCTGAAGTCGGTTTAGCCATCTGAAGGCTTGTGCGAATGGCCTGCACGGGGAAGAGCGAACATCAGGCTCGGCAGGGGAAGACTCGGTCTGATTGGCCTTTGTTGATGGAGATTCACAATTGTTTCTGAAACATCCTCCGTAAAACCACGCAGGGGGAGTTTGACGTGGGGCGGGCTAACAGAGTCAGGCATGTCAAGGTCGGTCGCCTTCCCACCTCGGGCTCCGCCGAAATACCAATCGATAAGGTGCCTCGCGGGCGCTGTGAAGCTTGGTTAGCGAGAACTAACCTGATATGACTTCGGATGAAACACGACTCACATAACGCACACTGCTTGCCATTCCATTCGCCTGCACCGGCCCTCTGCACACGCCCATACATCACGCAAATTAGCCACCAAGACCAGCAGCTTCCGTGTGCGACCCTGCGCGCAACGGCCCTCGGTGACCCTCCCTTTGATTGCCGCCGCGCTCTCAAGCGTTGCGCCCGCGTGCGCCGAAGTGGCCGACACGCCCAAGGCCAGCATCCGGAAGAGCTTGTGTCGCAGATTCATTGCAGGCCGGTCGGGAGGCGTCCAGACGGCGGGAGATCATGGGCAGCCCCTGCCTCTCGCGCGTCCCCGGATTCAGTGAGATGACTGTGCACATATTTTCCGCGTAAGCACACTGTGTCGTATATTCCGACTTCGCTTCTAGATCAGCCTGATCGTATATTTTTGAGTCCTCACTTTGCCCATGATGCACAAAAGAACGGGTTGAGTGTGCAGCGGTGAAGCCGTGAAGCGGAGATTGGCCCACAGCGAAGGTTCCACCGGCGGTTCCACGCATAGAGGGACGAAAGAAGGTTTTCCGGGATTAGGCGAGTTCCCAGCGGCTGCGTCGTCGTGGCACAGTCAAGCTTAATTGTAGACCCAGCGAGCCTTAAAGGATCATCACACTAGAAACTCCTGCGTATCTACCACATGCCTTCTTAGGAATACGATTGGTGTGGCATTGGCGCTCGTCAAGCTTCCCGGTTCAAGTGTCGAAGAGCAGCATCTCCACAAGATTATTGCAGGCCGACAGCGAGATGGCGTATGGGGTCCAACAAGAGTGATCGTGAGAACGCTCTCGAAGATTCCGACTGCTCAGGCTCACAGGATTAGATCGGCTTTCCCAGTGTATTCTCGTAAGGACCAGGTTCCCAATAGCACAGTCCACGCGTCCCGTGGTAGCATTGGGGTCCGACTCCTGCTGAATATCCACCCTGTACACAGTAGTGCTTTTTGCAAGCTGGGCTTTTCATGCCCAGGCTTTAGATCTCTTGGTAGAAAATCTCAAAACAATCAGCATCTCCGGTATTTATTGGAGTCGCTGGGCCTGCTGTGCGAAGGACTTCGTTCTTTTGTTCGCGGAGTCCGTGAAACGACTCCAAGTGGGCCGATGGAGTGGCGCAAGGCTGCGGATCTGTCAAGCCCCACGCGACTGGAGGTTGGAAAGCTTGTACTGTATAAAAGGACCGGTAGGTAATCCTAAGAGTGCAATACACGATGCTGGCAGGATAGCCTAGAATACCTCAGCACATTGTGGTGACAATTCCTCCGGACCCCGATGCAGCCCTTCGCGACCGCCTTCGCACCTTGGCCTAACCACCCTAGGGGCGACAACGTTGGCCGATGATCAATAATCGGGTTCGCCGGAATTCGACGAAGCGGAGCCAGCGAAAGAATCGTCGCATGAATTGTGGCGTCGATCTTGTGGCTGTGCCTTTGTGCACCTTCAGCTGGTAGAGGGCCACTGGTCAGGTAGTGCCTGACAGTCTCGCCACACGCTCTCCGCTTACTCAAGTGGTATTGATCTTCTTCCACGGCCTTACAAAGGGTGTCTTCTCAATTCCGATATGAACCCGACCGTCAATACCAATGTAGCTGCCATAGCCATAGTGGTAGTCAAGCTTCTGGAAGTGCAAAGCACGCGCCTTATTCGGCATTCCAGAAATTCCTCCCATTCCTTGCACTGCAGTACTTCCTGCAAATAATGGAATGACTGAAGCCAGATTCGTCGGTAGACGCGCCAGATATTCCCCCGGGCGTCGGAGATAGACCATGCATGCAACGACAGCGTATGTGCACAAAATGCCCAGGGCAATGCCGAAAAGTGGTATTGACATGAATATGCGCTCTTCATTCACCACTCGCCGCCCAGTACTCAACCCTGTTCTGTTGTTCGACTGAGGCATAAGCAGGCTATCTTTGTTCCCGCCCAGCCATACGGCAAAGAGGCTCGCGTAGCTTTTCTGAAGAGATTCTTGAACGTCTCCGAGCGATGGAGGGCTTCGATTTGGATCTAAGAATCGACTGTGGTCGGTCGCTTGTCCAAGGGTCGCTTGTCCAAGGAAATAATTGAAGAAGTCGGTGGGGTAGCTGTCGTTGTGCCACGGCGCCACGTTGGAAGAAAAGATGTATCGGTTCGACTGAGCAATGAGATCAAAAGGACCATTTTCAAACATATGTCTCGTTTCGGCTTCCGTAAGAGTATGCTCGGGCTCGACAGGCTGGGGTGTCTGGGTAAGCCTGCCATCGGTATCTACTCGAACAAGCGCACGTCCTGTCGCCGAGTTACTCTGGTAAGCGAACGTCCTTCACCTAAACGCATAGTAGCTGCCGGGGTTACTCACCACTAACTAATTTTGGCTGGCATTGAATGAACAATGAGTCCTTCGCCGTCTCGGCCGTCAAGTCGGGCGACTTGCAGGAACCCTCTGGGTTGCGAATCCACCCTAGTATCACTGTTCCCATACATACCTCTTTCTCTTCTTGAGTGGCGTTGGCGCCTGTAGCTTCTAGGGTGAGGACAAGTTCCAGGGCAGAAGTGCCATTCTGGCACACCTGGTCATTGTTTCCTGGGCCCATAACCACGATAGCGTCTTTATTGCTAGAGCAGTCGGCTTGACTACGATCCATGCGCACTGTTTTGTTGAGGACTGCCCCAGACTTCGAAGGAGCATTGAAGCCTATGTCTCTAAGATCAACAACCTCACAATTCAGTCTGGCGCCCAGTGTGACTGTCTCGCTCTCAAATTGATCCTGGCTGGCAGCGTTGCCGTCACCATCTCCCTTGAAAGGTAGATAAAACATTTTTTCATCCGTCCATGGGGGTAGTGGTGTTGCTCTGCTGAGGTTCGATCCAAGAATGTAGAATTGATCACGGCCGTCTCCGCCACGATATGCACCGGATGGCGACCCGTCCGTACCGCTAGATCGTATCGCGATGGGACCAATGCTCCCGTTGATAGAGACGAACCTCAAATCATGTGGTTGTTCAAAACTTGTCTGATAGAGTCATCTGTCAGCTAACAATACACAATATAATCGAAGATGCTCTAGAGAACGGCATTTGTCACAATGAATGTAACGCCTGGGAGTGTCTGGGGGCATACCGATTTGAGGACCACAACCATATCGTGGTGAAAAAGACCAGCAAATGCAATGGAAAGTACATTTGCTAGGAGAGCCATAGAGCAGACAGCAGCTAGCACGAAATGACGGGCACGTAATGCTTTGAAAACGACCAACTGAGGGGGAAGAGAGCTGTAATCTATGTCAATGGAGTCCTTCGCCTTTGCGTTGCAGGTTTGTAGCTCTTCGATGGGTTGTAGCAAGCATAGAAGTCTGTTGATCAGGACCCACAGCGGTTCGATGAGCGTTGCAATCGCGGTGGGTATATAGTTTTCGAGTAGATTCTGCACGAACTTATTCGGAGAGGGCAAGGGAAGTCCTATGTACGTTAATATTTATATGTCAGGTGGTCTTATCCATTATGTAAGATGACACAGACTTGACCACCATAGCGCACGCACCATTCTTTCTTGCTTTGATGAACACGGTAGCCAACAACGCAGCTAGGGCGATAAAACCGCTAATAAAAAGCATTGACATCCGCGAACTAAATTCGATAGGCCTCGTAGGCTTATCAATAGCTTTTGTAGATACTGTTCGGAGAGACGATTTTGTTCGAGGAGTTCTCTGTTTCTTGGTCGCTGTGGCAGGTCGTCTTTCAATCAAGCTGCCAATGCACTTAGTAAAAAAGGCTTGCAGCATCAAAAAGATACTCACTTGAGCTGATCATCTTGACTAACGAGCTGGTACCGTTTCTGCTGAACAGATTGTTGGATCTGCTCAAGCGTGCAGCAATCGAGATCTTCAAAGTCTCGGAGCAGGGCCTTACTGTCTGCTACCAGGCCCATCACCTGAACGATGAAATCTTTTAGCTTGTGTCTTGTACATGTCTTGGAGTGTGACTTACGGTGCCTATCGTAGTCGGATCTGATCGTAGATTCAACGTTCTTGTAGTGCTTAGGAGCAACAACACCATCGTAACAACAGCTATGACGCCCAAGAGCCCAATCACGATATACGTGAACAGCGGCTCGAGCACCACAGAACCTGTGGCTATTGACCGAGACCCTGCGACCTCTTGCGTGGAGGTGAAGCTGGAATTCGAGATCAAAACCTCCGCCATCGCACGTGCGAAAACCAACCGATAAGCCTTTGCGTAGGTTTGAGCCAGCACTTTCCAGTCAAGAAAATCTTCGAGTGGGGTATCGTCAACCATGGTAGAGAATCCAACCATGGGCTGCCTATCGGAAGGCCAAGTCAACCCTTTCTCCATGACCTGCTCAATAAAATTGGGAACTTTTCGACCTGGTAGTTCATTCTCACGAGGAGGGTCTGGAGGAATTCCGCCATTAAGCAGCATCTCCATTAGGGTAGTATTGAAGATGTTGTTCGTTTCTTTGAGAGGCTGCTTCGGTCCCAAGGGAACAACGCGTACAGGTTGCTTCTTAGCTCTATCCACCGTTGCATTGACTTCTTGCGCGTAGTAGGTCGGTTCACAAAATATCGCAGTGATATTTTGTGCAGGATCGGCGTCCTTCTCTTTGTTTCGCGAGACGGCTGCGAAGAATGTATGATTTTTCGCAGCTGGACAAGTTTGGCTGAGGTCGAAATCAGCAAAACCCCACTTGTTCCAGAAGCCAATATATTGTGCTGAAAAGGCTTGATATAATGGATTGACTCCAGCAACAAGTTTCTCGCCGATTGTGTGGTTGCCCATTTCGAGACCTATAACTGCGCAGCCGGAGTTGTTCCACCCCATTATCCCCTGATTGTTGAATGGCATAGCAGGTTCGCAGTACAAGTCGAGACTATAGAGCGTTGTGGGGGCAGTCCAATAACCTGTCTCCAAGCTCTCCGCGTCTTGCTTGTCCAGTGCAGTTGGTCTGAAGGGTGCAAGCGTATAATTGCGTGCCATAAAGGAAGGAAGTGTTTCATTGAGGGAAACAATTCCATACGCTGACTGAGCGTACTTCAACGAGATTGAGTCTGTCTGTTGCTTCAGAGGCATGGAGCTCGTTGACACGTCGAAATTGTTAGATACGTTGCGGGTTACCTGCTCGGTCGAGAAGATACCCGCTTGTGTAGGTACCAGACCCCAAGTGACAAGCAACAGGGCGAAAGAAGCCCAGAAGACAGGCCAATGTCTATGAAATCGCAATCAGCGTCCGTAGCGATGACGATTTGGGTGGGATCGCTCGCTCCCACTCATATGTTAACATAACGGAATAAGGCTCACCTCTGCCGAAACGCCTTCACGGGTACTAAAGGTACGAAACCAAATGGATAAGAAAGCAAGAGGCTGTCTTTGCCCAGTGCACCATTCTCTTCACTCAACCGATAGTAAGGTTCCAATCGCTTCGTCTCGAGATCAATCCACGCCCAGAAGATGCTGAACACAACTGCCAGTATCGTAGGGAAATACTGGAACATGAACGTCCGCGAAAGCGGCAGAGCATTGATATCCGGCGCGAATAGAATGCCATTGTCTCGTTGCGACCGCCTGAGCAGCAGTACAAGTGTGACGATCAAGGCGAGCGGTGTCGCGATGGCGATGGCGAGAGTGAAGGGGTGCAGCGCCGGGGGCTTCCATTGTTTAGATTTGCTGCTCTCTCTTCTCTTGAAAATGCTCTTGAGTGTTGAGGTTGCGTGCAGCGACGAACTGGGAAAGCTCGAGCGGGCGGGTGCTGCTCTAGTACCGAATGCGTCCATCGCGACTGGCGTACCAAAAAGCGCCAGATACACCAATGACACAACTTTCGAAGGGAAAAATTAAAGGAACCGACAATAAGAAAAAGAATCCAAGCACGCACACGAACCGCCTCGCAATACGATTTCGCATTGATCTCACGGGGCGTCCCCATAGTACATAAACGGTTGTGGCGGCCCCCATGCTCTCATATAGCCGCCCGGGTGGGCACGACTGTGCCGCAGCGCGAGCTCTCAATCGTCCATTTGTCGCGACAGCGTTCGCATAGCGGGACGCTGCAGGTACAAGGTACACGAAACAGAATTTATATTGCGCGGGCTGAATCAGCCTCACATTCCTGATGACTTTCCCAGACAAGGTTCCGGTATCTCAGATTTTCTACGATCCTCAATGGGGGCCTCCGATTATCAATGACACCCAACTGTATGGCACTTCGCCGGATTTCGAAAGCTTTGCCTCGCACCCAAATCAGCCGCCCAGAGGTCAACAGGTATGGGAGTATCCAGGTTTGTCGCACGTCTCTGAAGCGAGAGGTCGTAGTACACAGAAACCTTGGGTCTAATAAGGTTTTGGCTTAGTTTCCTTCGTTCCCCGCGCATACCTGCCAGACAGCTTAAGGGCGGTGGCAAGCAGTAACACTTCGGGATAAACTGAGTTCAGGCAGTACCAGAAATTCTGTTCTCTAGTTGTAGACCAGCTATTAGCACTAGTGAGCTCCACCGGTACAAAACACTCGATCTTGATTGTCGAGCTACCGATCGTGTCGATGCACTCGTTCCAGGTGGCAACGGAGAAGGGATAGCTTGGGGTGCTGGTGCTTGCGTGGTCGCTATTCCGTCATCCAAGAAAGCCGAACTTAAGCAGGATATGGGATGCCAGCATTGACAATGAGATTTACACAAACACGCGCGATGCCGAGGAGGGCGAGGAGTTGGTGATTACGTATTAGTAGAGGGCCGACGCCGAGGTGCGCTTGCAGATGTATGGACTCTGAGCCGTTCTATATCAGTTTACTGGTACAACCTGCACCCTCGTAAGCTCTAAACGCATCTTCTACTATTTGGACGCAGTCTAACCGCAATGCCGCGTTCTGCTAACGGAACGCACCAACTTCTTTACGCCTGCAGTAATAAGCAAATCAGTTCTCATCGCTGTCATAATTGGAACTTACCACCAAAACCGAAAATCAACAGTCCCAATATCGATATATAATTCCTTGAGTGCACCTGTATCCAAATGACAATCATATGGTCTCTTAACTCCATCTCCGGTTTCTTCCTCTGGAACCGAAGCCTCCATGCCATCAATAGGCAGCCCCATAATATCCGCAAACACATTCACAATCTCCCACTTCGTCATCCTATCCTCCGAGCTAAACTGCAGCACACTCGGCAACTCTCCTTCCATATTCTTCGGGTCCAGATATAATGTGGAAAGATCGCGACACACGCGGCCGACATCAGAAGTGTTTGTCGGATAGCGCAACGCCCAGTCGTCAACTTTGATCTTCGGCTGCCCAGGCTGAATCTTTTGAGATTCCCAGAGCTGCGACATGAGAACGTTGACGGCGGAATCTTTAGGGTCGTTTGCGCTGCCATAGAGGACTGGGATGCGTAGCACAACAATCTTGTTCTTCACCTTCTTGGTTTCAGCGACGCTCAGTACGGCTTTCTCGCCGTCGAGCTTGGTTTGGCCGTAGACATTTGGGGGGTCAGTCCTCGAGGAGGGGTGATAAGGTGCTTCGCCTTTGCGGCCGGAGAAGACATAATCCGTGGAGATGTAGATGAGTATGATACCCCGTGCTATCGTAGCTTCAGCCAGATCTTTGCTAGAATTCACATTGAGGGCTTGGGCAGCGGACGGGTTCGCGGAACAGGAATCTGGGAAGCGATTTGCGGCACCTGTTTGAGGTAAGTTCCCAAACTTGTTTCGAACATGTACCGTCGAGCATACAGTGTACCACAACTTCAGGTCTAGGGCTTCATCAGCGGCCAAGAAGAATCCCTTGTTTGAAAATGCATACTTCACTCCGTCCAAGACTCTTTCAATGTTGTTTGCATCGAGTAGGTCTAGTTTGATGATCTCTGGTGGGCTGGTCCGAGTGAGGCCCGTACCTGTGGCTTTCCAGCCATCTATTTCGAAGACCTTTTGTACTTGGGATCCCAGAAGACCACTTGCTGTCTATGAGTCAACATAGTATTCATGACTTTACCAGCGAAGATGCAGCGCGGGAGGGTTACCTCCTGTGATCAACACGGTTTTCGACATTTTCGAGAATGATACACCCTCGGAGAACTAGATCAGTAGTTTCGCGTACATCCAAGAAGCGTCTTTCGCGAAGAGTGTATATTGTGCCGCGAGCGGGGCGAAAGAGTGAATTAATATGGTGGTTAGGTCGACCAATCAACGCGCGTCGGTCGGCGCATCGACCTCCGACGTCAACATCTTGCCTCCAAGAACTTCTCCTCCCGCGCCGCACATGTCCCGTTCCGATGCCTCCATGGGCGGTTTGCGTGCCGCGAATAGCTCCACGTTCAAGAGCGAAAGCAATTGACCGATTTGCGATTTCTCTGCGCTATCGCCATGCCGTCAGTTCATCCGCCCTAAGCCTCCGCACACGTTCCGCATCCACACACGTCTCGCCGACTGCGATCAACTACCGTCCGAACGTACCACCGAGGAACGAGGAGCTTTATAATGCGCTTTCAGGGCTGAGTAATGCGGCAGAGCAATATGTCAACCTGAGTCGGCTGCAGTTGGCGCTCAGAGGGCTAGCGGTAGAGAATGCGGTGACCAGGGTCGCTGTGCTAGGGTTGAACAGCCAGGTTGGCGCTCAGCGACTAGCGAGATTGTTGGTTGTGGATCCGTTGGCGGAGAAGGCTGAGTGGGAGAAGAGGCTAGAGAAGAGTCCAGAGGAAGGAGCTGTACTGCTACGGTAAGGATAGTGTTTATGTTGTGGATGTAAGACTGATATCATGCAGTTTCGGCGACGAAAACGATGCACATGCGCCGAGTCCTTTGTACAAGATCCTCTCCGTGCCATCGCGAGTTCTAGAGACGCATAATCTGGAGATATTGGTGTCGACATTGAACATCAATGCTCCCAGCTCAGCCTCTGCGCAGACGACAGAACGCTCAAAGGACGCAGTGCTGGTGCCGAAATTGCAGGCTACTTCTGCAAGGGGTACGCCTGTGCCGTACCCAGTACACAAGACGCTCGTCCTGGGCGAGGACTTAGACAGTGCGTTAGCATTTGGACAGTTCACGTCGGATAACGCAGAAAAGACGGAGAACATGGTCAAGTTGGCTATCGAGCTTCCTGCGCCTTCAAACGCTTCAGATGGCGCAGATATTTCCAAGTCTACGGTAGCCATCAATAGCGCAGTCGGTGCCCAAGGCTTAGACGCCATTCGCATCTCCGTAGCCAACGCTGTCACCTACGAACGGAGCTGGTTCGCCAGCGGTGTCCCCACCGTCTCCAAATGGATAACCTCCGAACTTGGATCCGAACCTTCCATTAAACCCATTCAAACGGCGCTCATCTCCTCCCTGCTCGATGACGCAGAAGCTACAATCACAAAAGAAGATGCTCAACAGCTCCAAGTGCTCATTTCAACCACCACGCCGGAGCAACTCGGTGCAGAAATGATTGGATATCTGGAGCAGTGGGCAGAAAAATCACACCGCGAGTTGAGGGATGACCTCGACGAAGCTTTCGCGGCGAAGAACTGGCGTAAGCTCGCGTGGTGGAAACTCTTCTGGAGGGTCGACGACGTGGGCATGATCACAGAGGAGGTTATCGCTCGAAGATGGCTCGTCAGCGCGGAGAAAGACGCCGTCTATCTCGCGGGCAGGATGAAACAGGCGGGCTTTCCGGACGAGGTGCGGTCTTCGCCCGGTTACGGCGAGGCTGACGCATACTTCAAGACTCCAGCAGATGCATTAGGTCACGAAGTTTCAATTGCAGAGAACCAAGAAACAGCACTTTCCACCGCGGTCAACCCTCCCACGCCGTGGCCCGCTCTACTTTCATCAGCCCGGACCACTCTTCTCGCGACCACACTCCCTCCTCTCCAAGCCCTCGCGCAACGCCTCATACTGACCACACTTTCCACCACATCTCTTTCCGCAGCCTTGTCAGTCCTCTTGTACGCTTCCGTGTCTACGGTCAGCCTTTTCGAAGCGAGTGCCGTGGCCGCCCTCGGCTTGACGTTCTCACTGAGACGCATGCAGAAAGTGTGGGAAAATGGGAGAGAGGCCTGGAAGGTCGAAGTGAAGGAAGAAGGGCGGCAGGCGCTAAAGAGGACGGAGGGTTTGGTCAGGAGCATCATCAACGCTGGCGGGCCTGGTGCGGCCGTCGAGAACGAAGGATTGGAAGAAAGGAAAAGGGCTAGAGAGGCGGTTGCGAAGGTTAGGGAAGCTCTGCGGAAGTTGAGCAAGGAGTAGTGTATTTATATGTATATGTACGTGTGCAAACGGAGATGACAAAGGAACTATTTTATCATAGTATACCGCTCGAGAAGGTGTCATTCATGCGGTGGGGTACAATAATGGTCGACCTGCGATATCAAGACCACCGTGCGAACACGTGGCCCAAGGTCATCAAGTTGGTGCAAGAAGGGTCGCTTCGGCACATCATGCCGGACGCTGTCCAGGCAGTTAGAACGGTGTCGGGCACAAAGACCGGGGCCATCAAAGTTTAGATCAAATTCGACGACAATTTGTAGTCGTTCTACTTATATCATTCTGTTCTTGAATTCCTCACCGTCCAACCACTGTCTAATGTTTTCTGCTGTATCTCTATACATGTTAATCAACGTCTGTTCTTCGACGTAGCCCATGTGCGGGCTGAGCAAGACGTGGCTCCTCCCATCTCGACCCCACTGTTGAGTTCGCCATTCACTGTCCGGCGGAAGCGGCTCCGTGTCAAAGACATCAGCGGCAAAGCCTCGAATTCTCCCCTTCTTGAGCGTGTCCAGTATTGCATTTTCGTCAACCAGTGGCCCGCGGCTGGTGTTGACCAACACGGCACTCTCTTTCATCCACTCCAGCTCCGGCCCGCCCACACTGCCCCGAGAGCGCTCACTTAGGACAAGGTGTACGCTGAGAACGTCGGCGGCGCGGAACAATTCTTCTTTGCTTGTCGCCACTTGCACGCTTCCCGGTTGGAGACCGACGGATACCACGCCTTCGTCCGCCTTCTCCTGCGTCAGATTCGGGCTCCATGCGACGACCTTCATGCCGAAGCCCAGAATGGCGGTTCTTGCACACTGCAGACCGAGTCGTCCGAGGCCAAAGCACGCGAGCGTCTTTCCAGCCAGTCCGAGAGAAATAGTCGCCTGCCACCTGTTAGGCTCGGTCTTGACCAGCACATCATGTTCCGCGATTCCTTTGACCAACCCAAGGATCAGTGCCCACGTCTGCTCGTTAGTGGTATCGAAGTTTGGTGGCACCTTCTTCCCCCCACCCCGGGTTCCAACCACGACCACTCCACGCTCCTTGCACGTGTCAGTGTCAATGCCCAGATTTCGCATGCCCGTCGTCAGGAGAACCTTGAGGTTGGGCAGGTTTTCTAGCAGCGGCTTGCGAAAGGGCGTGCGCTCTCTCATCGTCGAGATAATGGGGAAGGGTTTCAGGCGCTGAACCAGGGCTTCGAAATCAGCCGGCACGCTTGGATTTAAGGTTGTCGGGAAGTACTCGATGTCGAGTCGATCTGAGAACTGGGAAAGGAACTGGGGCGCAAAGTTGGCGTAGTCGTCCAGGACTGCTATCTTTGGTCGGGACATGGTGGATAGTTATACTGTTTTTGTTGTGGCTTGTCTGATTCCAACCGATGCGTCTATAGAGCTGATAGAGATTCAGAATTTGATTCTTACCCTTTCGTGCAAGCGTGCGAGAGTGAGCTTCATGTTTTCAGTTATTCGGTGAGGGGTCGGCATGCACGTGACATGGTGTAATGGATCCATGGATGCGGTAATCCTTTGCTTTGCCTACAAATGCATATCTATTATCCTCCAGACTACACTTTGCAAGTCTCAAGTCAGGATTGGCCATATATATATTTATCGAGGTAGAACTTTCTGCCGTCTTTTCATCGAAACTTGGGTCATATGTTCAAAGTGTGCTAGGGTGAGCAGATAGCTGGCGCGCTGTACAGCTGGGTGTTATCCGCAGCTCTACTGTGGTGCCTCACCGACCACATGCTGCGGTGCCTACGCCTGTGACAGGATTACTCACCATCGATTGCTCGATTCGGCGTTTTACCTCGGCTCGCGGTTAGCGACTTCCCCACACCAACCCCAGACCCCGGGCTCCAACGGCCGATGGAGAACATGTATCTTTCGTAGCCTTTTCTGTATATCACACCATTTCAGTTCTCTCTCTTATTTCATAGCTTTTGTCACCCATCTCTTCCTGGTCTCGCTTCTTAGCACCAGCATGCCTTTCAACACTGAGCTGACGCGGGCACTTGGCATCAAAGGCACGTACATGTGAAAGTGCGTACGAACTACAACTAACAACCTGAACAGTGCCCGTGGTACAGGGTGGCATGCAATGGGTCGGCTATGCAGAACTCGCCAGTGCAGTCAGCAACGCTGGTGGTCTAGGCATAGTACGCTGCTCGCATCTCTCTGCATTGCGAGACCGGCTAACACATGCAGTTAACAGCGCTCACGCAACCCACGCCCGAAGACCTTCGCAAGGAAATCCGACGATGCCGCCAGATGACGAAGAATCCATTCGGCGTAAACCTGACGCTCCTCCCTGCTCTCGTACCCCCGGACTACGCCGCCTACGCTCGAGTCATCATTGACGAAGGGATTAAGATTGTAGAGACGGCTGGAAACAGTCCAGGCCCGGTCATCAGGCAACTGAAGGCTGCCAACTGCATTATTCTACACAAGTGTACGACGATCAGGCACGCACAATCTGCCGTCAAGATGGGCGTAGACTTCCTCTCCATTGACGGCTTCGAATGCGCCGGACACGTGGGCGAGACAGACATCACAAATTTCATCTTGTTAAGCCGAGCGCGCCAGTCGCTCGGCGGCGTGCCTTTTATCGCGTCGGGCGGCTTCGCAGACGGCCAGGGTCTAGCTGCTGCGCTGGCGCTGGGTGCGTGTGGAATTAACATGGGTACCCGCTTCATGTGTACCGTTGAGGCGCCTATCCACCAGAAGATCAAGGAGGCCATTGTCGACGCACAGGAAACGGATACGGAGCTTGTCCTGAGGAGGTGGAGGAACACGACGCGTCTGTTCGGAAATAACGTTGCGAAGCAAGCTGTCAAGGTCGAGAAGGAGAGCACAACTGGCAAGTTCGAGGAGGTGGCGGAATACGTCAGTGGGAAGCGTGGGCGTCAGGTGTTCTTGAATGGTGACAAGGACTTTGGTGTAAGTGGAGCCTGCGCGATGGTCGCCCATGGTAGCGTTCCGAACCACGTGCTAACGAAGTCTAGGTATGGACAGCAGGTCAGGTCATAGGACTTATTCACGATATTCCAACATGTGAGGCACTGTTGACGCGAATCGAACGCGAGGCAGTGGAAACTTTGCAATCGAAACAGGATCTCTACATTCAGGATGGCGACAGGCCTTTTAGCGCGACAGGCACTGTGGGAAAGAAGACCAATAATCCTGGTGCAGAAGTGTGGGGCGTTGGCAAGAGTAAGCTATAGATGTGTAAGATATACTTTTAGCTAGTATCAGCATTGTCAGGCATACAACAAGGTCCAGAAAGCTTGCCCATGCACGCAGTGCTCAAAAAGCCGCCCAGAGCTACCATCACATCTCTCTTAGGAATATGGCCTAGAGTCTTTACTTGAGTGGATGTCGACCTCCCCTCCCTCAGTACCACACCCTCCCATACTCTCCCACTACTCATTCTATCCAATCACAACCCACCCGCGCATAGAACAAATTCCAATACTATGTCCTTGCACCACTCTTGCTTTTCCTCTACCCACGAACAGTGCGCGGACCGAAATCCTCTCCAGCCCACGACGACATCCCCTGTCGAGTCCTGCCAGGCAACACCAAGCAACCATGTCCGCAATCCATTGGGCCTCCGCCTTCTTCCTCTCCTTCCTGCTCGGTGGCATACTGTTCTCCTTCGCCAACTTCCCCGTCGCTAAGCACGCTCCTTGTGGAGAAGAGTGGCATTATCTGACGAAGTGCGCGCGTCGAGTCGTGACAGGCTGACGCTTCGTGAGTTGAGCGTGCTTGTCATGCATGAAAGGAAGCCTATCGTCACTATACTGATTCCACAGAACCTCGGTGAGAATCGTGACGGATTACCTGATCAGCCTATCGTGTGGAGTCTTCCGCACGACGAGGAACATGACGAGAAATGGTGGCAATGCCAGAAGGAGTACGAGGAGCAACTGTATTGGTTGCCCGTGATGCTTCCTTGGACGCCTGCCCCCTTGCAGAAAAGAGGATGGGAGCGTCATAGAGGACATCCCTTCTTCCCTCCCTCCCCAATCACCCTCCCCGCTCTACTCTTCCCTAGATATCCTTCTCAGTGTTGCACTCCCATCCTTCACCAAGCTAATTCTTATGTAGATGCGGCACCAGCTACGCAGGTTTCTTGGGCCGGCGATGTCCGAAGTTCCTCCGTATCTGCATGAACGCAAAAAAAGAACTAAAAGCAACTGGTGTGAACATATTGGGGAAAGTGCAGTACATACATGGTAGGGAGGAGACTTGTAAGGCAGCGAATGGATGTTTGATTGTGGAGAATACATGTGTGTGAGGATTTGAGGAGGACAGCAAGAAATGGTAGATGATGGGAGAGGGATGAGGCGGGATTAGGAATATAACGGATATGGACTGTTGAATGATTTGAGGGTGAGGAGTGAGTGGATAAGGTATTTGAATGTGCACGGTTGGACGGAGTCGGTATATACGTGTGGGGAAGTCGTAGTGTATTGGATGAAAGCATGCATGGATGGGAAACTGAGGCACGTCTGACCGGGACTACAACAATGACAACGGGCGTCAGGGGCTCATGTTGCCCATTGTCATCAGTATCTTGCGCACTTCATAGAAACAAGCACGCATTAATTTACTGGTTTAGAACTTCTTGTTTGTGCATTCCCATGACATTGCAAGTCTTTTTCAAAGCTGTCCTAGATCGTATTGTGAAGGCCCCACCCATTTCTTTTCCTCTGCCGACACCGAACACCTGACGCCATGCCCGCTATCTAGGCTTATGCCTTCTACAAGCCCAACAGAGCAGCGCCACTTACACCAACCATTGCCGCCATTGCCCACGGCAGCTCGACAGCACCAACCTTGCCTTCGAATTCTATATACAATTAGCCCAACATCATGTCACGTAGAAAGGTCTCACTTACGAGGACTCGTGCCGTTGCCCCGGCTGCCACCACCACCAGTCTGCCTGGCACCACCCGCACCCCTAGTCCCCGTCGCACCACCAGCAGCCGCATTCGCCCGTCCATCCACCATGAAGAAATTACCGGCCACTGGCTCACCGAGTTTGTTTGTTTTTGCGAAAGCCGCCATATCAAAGCCAATCCTCGCTTGCGTGTTCGCGAAATCATTCGCACTCACTTTCAAGCTCTCAGGCTGCTTGAATAACAATTGAGTATAACGGTGGGGGATCGTGTCTGAAGCAGGGGGCCCAGGGCCGATGTAGCTCGCGGGCCCTTTCTCGGAAGAGGCGAGCAGGACGGCGCCCCCGGCAACGGATTGCTTGGTGGCTTTGAAGCCCGCGTTCATGGCGTGCAAAAGGACGCGGCGCGTGGCGTTTCCGCCTTGGGGCGGGACATCCAAGTCCAGCATGACGAAAACGTAGGTTTCATTTGAGCTGACCGCGGAGGAGGGGAGGGCGAGCTGGGGTTGGGAGGCGGTCGCTTTTGGGTATGTCAGAATATGGTGGGGTGGGAGGGGAGAGTGAAGGGGACGTACCGGCTTTGGTAAGGAGTTCGCCTGGTGTGCTGACCTTTGTGGTGTTGAAAATGACGTCTAGTTGGGAGGTTGCTGCGGGCGTGAAGCCTTTAGGTGTTTGCGCCTGCGCGATGCCTACGGCAGCGGCGACAATCATTCCCTTCGAGAAATGCATGATGTCAAGATTTAAATCTACCTCAAAGCAAAACTACAAAGATATTAAAGTCAATAGCCTTCCTCACAGAGGGAACAGAAGTGAATAGTAGGGGTAGGTAATGCTTCCTCGCAGAGGATGGCGAGCGGATGAGGCTCAAGGAGCACGCTTATAAGGCTGCAGTGCATACGCGTCGATGGAAGCATCGCTGCTTCGGGCGCCGCATCCAGTGTCGCATTGCCAAATCTTCCGGCAACGCGAGGGTGGGGACCTTGTCGAGTTTTGCCTGTGAAACATGCATTGCAAGAGCCGCACCGTCGACAGGCGTGGCCGACGACGTCACGGCGAAGCCAAGCAGTGGTGACAATTTGGCATAATATGCCTTGTTCAAGCGTTCCACATTGTCGGCTTGAAGCGACAACGCATGTTTGGCAGTTGTTGAGGTAGTGGTCGACGGTGCATATATGGGGAGTGCGGCAGTTCGGACCACGACGTCGAGGCGGGCCGTAATAAACGCGGGATTACTGGCATGAAACAACTGCACGATTGCGTCAGCGATGGGAGCTCGGCTTAGAGCAAGCCTCGTGGTGCTCAAGCGCGCTTCTGGAGCAAGTGCACGCGATGTGGAAGGTGTACTACGACGCTTGGGTGAGATAGAATACGTTAGCTGGGACTTGATATATTTCTGATATGAAGAGCGAAAACAGATGGCGACAAGGATAGGGAGGAGAAAGCAACGTGAGAAGAACGGAGCTGGAGTATCTGGTGAGCGTCGGTGCAGACTAAGGAAAGAGGCGAACGACCTCGCGACTGATAGAAAGAGCAGAATGGAAGACCGGCGGTAGGAATCAGTCTATGTATGAAGTCATATGTATCTTGGACGACCATTAGTCCTGAACATCCTCTGAGCTCCAAACGATTCAGCCCGCCGCTTGCTGATTGCGCTTGGAGAATAATAGATCACTCACAGCGCCTCTTCACTTGAGATTGCATGTTGATATTCCGTCTTCATTGGCCAGTCCAGGTGTACCTTTGACGCCGCCCATGCCGTCTCCTTAGTCTATGCACAGCAGCCCCCTAATCCCTCCCTAGTTGTTCTTCCTGGGCTGCTCCTGACCAGCCATCAACCGATGTCCCTCTTTACCCTTCTCCACATCCAACTTCTCTTTCTTCGCGCTCTTAGCCCCAATCTCCGGAAAATTGAACAGTTCGCTCTTTCCGCCTTGCAGCCCCTTCCACATGCCATAATCCTGCCAATTCTCCCACAACAGCGCGCCCACCCACGGCTGCACATTCCAACCCAACTCCAACCTCACGTCCGTTCTATTCTGCAGCTTCCCTGAAATATCTGTAATCTGGTATTTCGGGCGCTGATTGTCGAGCTTGACGATACCGGCAGGCATGTGGGATCTTGCGGGGGATGCTTTGGAGTTTTTGGGCTTCTTGGTACCCTTTGGGGTTGGGTGGATGTAGTGGTTTTGGTGCCAGGGTGCGGCGGCGCCGGGGAGGATGGCGTCCCAGATAATGGCTTCCGAATCGGGTTCGCCAGCTTTGGTGGAGGGGTACACGGCTTTGAGGTAGAGGAAGACTTGCTTAGTGTTCCAGTTGAAGAGCGTGGATAGATCTATGGAGTCATTAATTCCTGCAATGACATTGTGCGCGAAAGTATGTCGACTCTGTCGAAGCAAAGGTAAAGGCAAAACCAGACAAACATACCAGTATCCAGATCAAACTTTATATGCGCGTACTCCTCCCTTTTGTAACTGTAGTAATGCGGTCTCCCTCTTACCACCTGCACATTCCTTAGCCCCACGGTGGCCTTGGGTGTCTGTGGATGTATGAAAGTCGAAAGCGCAATGACTGCCGCAACAGAAAACGCTACCGTCGTGAAGAAGCCGAACACATTCTGCACGCGCACCAGCGTCGAATGCATGGTGGGCTGCTGGTTGTGGTGTATGAGGTTGAAGAGTGGTGAGTTTAGGCGGGTCACTTGGATGCGGCGAGTGCGGAGGTGAACACGTATGGCCGATACGCGACTCAGCCCTATGGTAGCTCTGCACGCCAGGGTCTGGGCTTGGCAACATGTTCCGGACGACAAAAGATACGAAAGACACTCAGCTAGATTTAATTCTTGAGGTGAGCCAACATGAACATGGACATATAAATACATTGTCCTGTTTCTAATTCTACAATCGCCACAGCAACCGACCCAAGCCCGCCAGAATCTGATTAACGGCACCTTGAACCTGTACGACACAGGCCGGATATTACCTTCAAGTACAGCGGTCTCACCCACTAACGTCAGGCCCCTACTGCTGCGGTGCCGCCGTCTGGCCGCCTCCTCGTGGTCCACCACGACCGCGGAACCCTCCGCGACCGCGACCACGTCCACGTCCCCTGCCTCCATTCTCTAAGCTAGCAGGCGGCGGGACGTTATTGTAGTTCTGCGGCCGGAAATTGGGATTGTTGTTCACCACGCCCGCAGTAGGGTCGCTGAGGTCCGTTACAGTGAAGCCGCCACGGTTAGCCTTGGCACCGCCACGTCCGCGGTTGCCATTACCACGGCCGTTCGCATTGGGGCTAACGTTCTGGTTGGCAATACCATTAGACTGCCCTCCACGTCCACCACGGGGCGGTCCGCTGCGGATGGGAAGTTCTTGTTGCTGGTATTGCTGCGCCGGGATAGTTGCACCATTCTGTCGTGGTGCTGGGCCTCCGCCACGTCCCCGGGGAGCAAAGCCACCGCCGCGAGCCCCGTTAGTTCCATTGAAAGCGCCGCGGTACGAGCCTTGAAGAGGTGGCGGGGCACTAGCAGGAATAAGTTGAGGTCCCCCGGGAGCACCGATCATAGTGTAGGGCTGGGTGGCCGGCTGCTGCCGTTTCGCAGCAGCGGCCGAAGAATATGATACAACCTGCTTGTCGGTCAGGTTGAGTACCGTGGTAGCGGGAACGGTAGATCCGCGGAAGGGCGAGCAGCGGTCGCCTAGCGAAGTCCCACTCATGAAAGTCGCGTCGAAGACGACATCCAACAGCAGCGCGCGAGCAGTGCGCGTCTTGCCAACGACGGTACCGTACGATCCGATAGGAACTCGTCCTGAGTCTTGTACATAGACGATCCGATCGCCAATAGTGAATATTTGATTGCTAAGGCGCTGCTCCGCATCCGAAGGTTTGAGTATGGCGTTCCGTGGAACCTTTCCGATCTTCTTGGGTTCAACATCCTGCGTCAAAGGAAGGTTGGCGTCGGCGGCCTGTTCGATCAACTTCACGGTGTCTGAATCGAGCTGCTCAGCATCCAGTGGGACCTTCTCGAAACTCTTCGTCTGCAACTCCTTCAGCCATGCGCCAATCTCTTTGACCTTCTGCTTTGCGACCTCCGATGCAAAGAAGTCAGTGTCTTCCCAGCCGTCGCCCGTAGGATTCTTGATGATGGCTGCGATGAAGTCTGGGAACTTTATCATATATTGAGCTAGGAGGTCAACCGCCCTTTGGCTATACTCCCAACCATTAGCCGACTTCCTCGAGTAGCCCAGGACCTTCATCTTTTTGGCTTCGAATTTAAGATTGAGACCAAGGTTGAGCTTCATTCCGCTTGAGTTGACGAAGAAGGAAGCTGTCAGCTTGGACAATGCTAGGGGTGGCATGTGAAGCTGTCGAGCAACGACGTATGATGGGAAGTATGGCACAAGCTTCTCAGCTTGTCGAGCGACCTCACGTCCAAACTCGGGCTCGGGCTTTTTGAGTTTCGCCACCATGATAGTGGTCTTGTTGTCCGCATGTCCAACGATCTGCAGCGGACGTCCGTACGCATAATCGCCCAGATAGAAGGCTCTGGATCCTTCGGGAAATTCTTCGTCGAGCGGCAGCGCCTCTTTTTCTAAGAAGCGTTGGTCTGGACTAACGACGTCGTCGACAATGGTCTGAGTCGCGTATTCAACCTGCAGACCTTGAATCGGACCATACTCTTTGACAGTGTGTCCCTCATCGGTCTTCCTAAGACCTTTGAGCATCTCCACGTGTACAAGCGACTCGACTTCGCCGGTGATCGTACCAAGGCGCTTGGCGTACGTGTTTTGGATGCGATCAGCCATCTTCTTCCAATCCCGTATTTGATCAGGGCCGTGTGGTACGGCGATAGGTACTGATGGTCCCGTTTCGGGCAGGACATAGTCAAACAGTTCGTCAGAAACCTTGAAGACCCTGGCTTCTTGCAAGAATGGATATCCAACATGAACCGCCTTGCCCAGTTTCTCTTGAGCATGTGTGATGCCCGCGCGAGACTCAGTGTCTAGCAATGTGACAATCATGCTCTCGTTTCGACTGTCTTGTTGAAAAACGCTTACGCCGGCAAATTCAAGTTTGCCATGGAAGGGCAACTCCTTTAGACTGGGGAAACCGGCCAATGAGTGAGCTCCAAGCTTCACGCCGTCCATCAGTCCCACATAGACTTCCAAGCCTTCCATGGTAGGGAGTTCAAAGATGTTTTCGACACAATGACAGTGAGGTAGATCAGGGAAAACACCCGGCAATGATGAAGGGTAGACGAAGTCTAGATCCTTTGCGTACGTGAACTTCATGGAAACGCCGAAAGAGTTGCGGGTTTTTTCGTCCTCAGACAGCTGATTCTCCTTCGTGGCCATTGCAGAGAGGAGCCTGTCTTCTTGAATGAAAGGAATCTTTACGACGGCTTCCCATTCCATCTTCTTTCCGTTCATGTCGAGCTCAAAATCGCGCGGGTAAAAGTCAATAATGGGCGAATCTTCGTTGGTCATCAGAGGATGGTAGGCCGTCGGTACGATGGTCTTGCTTCGATCGGGCAAGACACCCATGAGCTGCTGGAATGGCTTGAACGGCTGCCCAAGCTTGAAGTCAATATTTGCTTGAAGACCCTTCTTGACGTCGGAGATCATAGGGGAGTAGTGGTAGCCGTAATACCAAGGCCATGAAGCTACTCCGCGGTAATAATAGTAGAGGACCCATTGCAGACCCTGGACATAATTCTCAGTCAGCTTCCTCAGCTCTTCCTCGTTGTCGCGGCCCCAGTCAAACTTGGACTTGTAGTATTCATCTTTCCATGTGAGGAACTTCTCTTCATACTTCTTCTCCATCGCGGCCTGGGCATCGTCGGCAGAGATATCGACGACCTTGGCATCCTCGTACTTGAGAATAACCCGAGCAATGGCCTTCTTCGCTTCATCGTCGTCATCCTCTTCCTCATCCTCTGCATCTTCTACCAATTTTGGTGGAAAGGCCAATTGGAGATGGCGGTTACCTTCTTCGTTTTGGACGGTCTTCCAGTTGATGTGAAGGTTATCTGCGAGCTCCTGGATGAACTTCCGGTCCTCGGCTTTCAGGCTGACCGGGAGGTCATATGGTGTTTCCATCTTGGTGTCCAAGTATATGCCAATCCAGCCCTTGATCTTGGACAGCAGCTTCCTCTGCTCGGTGGTCAACACGATCTGTCCTCGCCTCTTGGTCCTCTCCATTACGTCTTCTTTCTCCATTTTCTTTCCTTTGAACCATGCAGCGTCTGCGTTTTCGGATTCAAAGTGACGATTCTCAACGTGCGAGAGCTCGTCGAGAAGGAGGGCCAGCCTCTCCATGTTGATGACACCGCCCTCGTTAATGTAGCCCTTGGCCTTGGGCAACACCGTCTTGTAAACGTTGAACATGAGCGCCAGAGCGCCTTCATTGATATGCAAATGGGGAAGATTAGGAAGGAAATCATTGCCGACAAAGAAAGCCATCAAAATGAAATCGTCAATGACACGTTCCATGTCGAATTCGAAACCTAGAGCGCCGGGCTCTTCTAGCTCTTGAAACTCAAGTTCTAGATACTCGCGAACAATGCAAAGATGCATCAAATAGAAGTTTTGGTGCTCCAACTCCTTGGACTTTTTCTGGTTTTGGCGTCCGAAAGTGACTTCCTCACGGAGGAGACAGAAATGCGGATCGTGGCTAAGCAGACCCAACATGATAAGATCAGCATCGAGACCATATAAGCAGTGACGGCGGTTGGGGTCGTAACCAGGCTGAGCCTTGGCCTGGCGGATGTACTCCATGACCTTGTGCTCTCCTTCTCCGGGGACCTCGTGGCCTGACAGGACGATTTCCACGCCCTGCCAGTCCAAGTCCTCGGAAACTTTCTTGGCGATGAAATACTTGAGCTGCTGCGTCAGCTTGGCCATGAACTCAGTGCCAGGCGTGATGCAGTTGCTGTCGAACGGCGCTTCCTTGGGCATCTCAACGCCTTCACGGATGGCCTTTTCACGGGCCTTCTCAGCGTCGAGAGCGGTTCTAAAGCGGCGGGCGCGCTGCTGGTTCATCTTGGCGCGCGGGGCGACACCGTCGATGGCCATGAAGAAGAGCTGCTTGGGCTTGATCTTGCCGAACAAATGCTCAATATAGTTGAAGATGGCGATGAACATCTTCTCCTCGGTCATGCGGGCGGTGGGGCCGTCGGAGTCATTGTGTGTGCAGTTGTGGATGATACCGTTCATGTCGAGCTGTGGCGGGCGGGTTAGCAGGAGGCTTATGCGGCGATGCGCACAAGTCACTTACGTAGAGACAGTCGAATTCCGGGATGCGATTCTCAGCGATGAGCTGAGAGATCGCGGGGTAGCGCTCCGACATCCATCTGAAGAATTTTGGAACACCCATGGCTGCTATAGATCCCTAGAAGGATAGATGACTGAACGTGACGGTGGGATCGTAGGGGTGACCAATGTATCGCAAGTGAGGAAAAGCGAAATAGGAAGAGGGGGATGAAGCGCGCACGCAGCGCTTGCTGCTGAGCGACAGAGATGTTAGGGGATAGGTTCACGACGCTGGGGTCTTCAAAGAGTCAGAAGAGGGCACAGGTCGTCGACGTATATCGCCCAAACGCACAGGGCGCCATGTGGCGGGCAATCGCAACCGAGACACGGCGCGCGCTCCACGCGTTGAGCTCTTCTCCACTTCCCTATTCCCACAGCTCTTTGTACAACTTTCCTCCACCATACCATATAATCGCACGCACGATACAAACGAAGCACGATGGATGATACTATGAGCGGTATGCAAATGCTTAGTGCTACAACGGACACGAGCGCCTACTAATGGCCGTCTAGACGCGCCCGATACCCAGGGCCCCGATGATGAGCAGATCCAGAGGCAGAAGGAGATCAACGAGGAATACAAGATGTGGAAAAAGAACAGCGTCTTTCTATACGACATGCTCTACAGCCGCGCCCTCGAGTGGCCGACATTGACCGCGCAATGGTTGCCAGACAAGCGACCAGTGGAGGGCACCAACCTCAGCACCCACCGCGTCATCCTCGGCACGCATACCTCTGGACAGGCCCAGAACTACCTCCAGATCGCCCACGTAGAGGTTCCCGATATGCCAACCCCAGACCCCAAGAACTTCGACGAGAAGACTGGTGAGGTCGGCGGTTATGGCGACGCGAAGAAGCCCTTCGATTTCAAGATCGTCCAGAAAATTAACCATCCCGGGGAGGTCAACAAGGCCCGCTACCAGCCCCAAAACCCCGAGATCATTGCCTCGCTGTGTGTTGACGGCAAGGTCCTCGTCTTCGACCGCACCAAGCACCCCATCGAACCAAAGAGCGACGGTAGCATCAAGTTCGAGGCAGAACTCATTGGCCACGAAAAAGAGGGATTTGGGCTTTCCTGGAGCCCTCTCAAGGAAGGACACCTCGTCACCGGTAGCGAAGACATGACTGTCAGAACCTGGGATATCAAGAGCGGCTTTTCGAAAGGAAACAAGTCCATCTCCCCTGTGACCACGTATACGACGCACACCTCCACCGTGAACGATGTACAATACCACCCCATCCATGGTTTCCTCATTGGTAGCGTCTCAGATGACCGCACCTGGAAAGTCACCGATACTCGAGTGCCGTCACACAAGGTCGCCCTGTACAGTAAGGAAGATGCACACGCAGACGCGCTGAACAGCATCGCCTTCCACCCGGTATACGAGAGTATCCTCGCGACCGGTTCGGCGGACAAAACTATAGGCCTGTGGGACCTGCGTAATTTCGACAAGAAGTTGCATAGTCTCCAACATCATTCAGGCGATATCATCGAGCTGCAGTGGCACCCCCAAGACCCCGCCATCTTGGCTAGCTCGAGCTACGACCGTCGAATCTGCATGTGGGATATCACGAGAGTGGGCGAGGAGCAGACACCGGACGAGGCTGAGGACGGTCCGCCTGAGCTGTATGTTCTACACCAACAACATTTTGATACACTTGCTAATAACACATAGTCTCTTCATGCACGGCGGCTTCACAGACCGCATCTCCGGCTTTGACTGGAACAAGAACGATCCCTGGCTTATGCTCGGTACCGCCGAAGACAACCAAATGCAGATATTTCGCCCGAGTCGCAAGCTCGTCGAGCCCATTCCGAAGACTACCAATCATGGAGAGGTTTCGGATTGATTGCGCAATGAAGGTGTTACCTCTTTGTTAAAAAAAAGTTCAGGATGGCGACCCAAACGCAGCGCCCGAGTCCGAGCCCGAATCTAATCCACTACCCGCACGTCGTCAGAAACGGCCTAGTTGCACCATATGTCAGTCATACCGTGATTCAGAATCTCCACCTGTCATCTCTGTGGATGAGACCGTCTCGACAGCCTGAGTTGATCCAGGATAAGCTGAGAGCGGCAACTACAACTGCGCGGATTGTTACGAATGCTTGTTCTAGTTCATGGTGTTTTTTCGGGAAAAGCATACCCTTTGCATTTACATACTGTATAGGGACGCGGTTGTGAGTACCCTGAACTACCCTAGGATAGGCAATACAGGGGTCGATTGTGCCCAATTTCAAACGTCCATTGCATGCATTCTCTCGCTTCACAGCCTGTGCAATTGAAGGGACAGAGTCAAAGTAAGGTGACTTAAGCGTTGACTGATGCAGTGTGCAAAATGAATCTTTGAACATGAGTGTAGCATAACTCCCTCCAATAAAGGGCGCCTGAAATGGAATGGGCGCCGGGTGAATATGATGCCAAAGGCTAATTGCATGGCTACCTTTACAAAGCGCCCCTATTCTCACTTTCTCTACCTCTGCAACAGGTTACACATCTGCACACTTTCCCTAACAGCGACACTGAAGCATAACATCGCAAGCCACAACGCAACGACTATTATGCGTTATGCCAGCTACTGGAACCTTCTACTACTACACATGGGAACGGGAAGGGCGTCTGAACTTTAGCGACGCCTGGGCCCTCTGCCAATATAAACACGCCATAGCAGAGCGTGAATTCCACGCCTTCGACGATCTTGTCGAGCTCCTGAGTATCTCCGAAGCCCTGGTAAACTGCGCCTAATCTAATTGCCCTTCTCGACTGTGCTTTGCGAAGCGTGGTGGGCGCCAGCGCCGAGCAGTAATAGAGACGATTAGAAGGATACGCGATATGTGTGAGGCGATGGGTATTATTGTTCCGGTACTGCCGGTGAGATGAGTGACGATCAACATGTCTGCCGTACAGCACAGCTCCCGCATCACTCCCCATATGCGAGCGCAACGTTGTCGAAAAGTACTTCTACCAACCTCCTCCTATACATGTCACGGATAAGAAGACGATCGTGCATCAGGGGGGCGGACGTGGGTGGCGGGAGTTGAGACTATCGCGGAAAATGGAAGGCGACATCGAAGGGACTCAGTGCCGGAAGTTCAAGAGGCTGGCAGTGACGACGATAGGGAGGGTAGGCATAGGCGTGACAAAGGGAAGTGGAAGGAGGAGAGGACGATTAGGGAGAGGGGCGAGAGTAGAGAATGGCATTGGGACCAGCAGAGGATGAGGAGTAGGCCGAGGAGTAGAAGTAGGGAGCATGTTAGGCATGAAAGCAGCAAGTACAAGGACCGCGATAGGTCCCGAAGCAGAAGCCGGAACTACAATATGCACAAGAGGCGGTCAAGGAGCCACGAGCGAAGTAGGCACAGAGATGATCGTGATAGGCGGAAGTATGAGGATTCTGAACGAGAGTATGATCTTTCTCACTCAAGGAGCTGCTCTCAGTCAGGTGCGTCACGGTCTAATTGATTCTCAAAATCGGAGTGCAGGGTTCTATGTCTAGCGTAGTAGACTTGTATTGCTCGAGGATCCATCTGTGCTCCACATGCGAAGCAGCGCTAGGCGACCCCGCACTAATTCCAAAATTCTATGACTCATTGTCGTTCTACTACATCATGCAAGAAGCCAGTCTCGCTCTATTGAGAAAGATGAGATTAAGCGTGAATCAAAAGAACATGGATTATATATTTTTTGCATCAAGTTTACGTCATCGACACTCTCTGTAGGGATGGCAACGTGGCGGAGTGGTTAACGCGATTGACTCGAAAGGCCAGCAAAATACAATTGCTGGCTTAGATATCAATTTCCTTCGGGAGCGCATGTTCGAATCATGCCGTTGTCGAACCTTTTTTTCTTGAATCTCCAGCCGTCTTCATGATGGTGTGGATTATATACCTCGGATGTAGGGTATCTATTAGTTATAGATAGTCCACGGATATTTTAATTTCGTGGGATCTGCTTTACTCGTGTTTTTTTTTGGATTCTTCTAGTTCTACGTGGCTGATTGTACACTCTGCGTACGACACTCACTTTGGCATTTGTCTGTGAAAGAGCTGCAACTTCAACCATTACGCCCAGGTCCCCAAGCTCGGATTGGTGGAGCTTTGAATGGTTTGATAGTGCTTGTGGTATTGGTGTTGGCATGACGAATTTGCATTGCATCGATTCATACGTACTGTACAATTTGCTGATTTGCTCCACCAGTCACTCGCGTCGCTAGCATATTGGACCTGTACGTGGCGCTGGGCCGACAGCAGATACAACACTTGCCCTTGTCACGCATGCAAAGTGTTCTCCTGCAATGTTGACCGCATCAGTCTATATGAACCCCTTAAAATGACCACTTTACTTTCTCTTCCACAAAAACCTTAGTACAATTTGCTCTCTCCAAAAGTTTTCGAACACGAACCGAAACACTTCGATAATGTCAACGTCCTTCAACGCAACTTCCCGAGTCGGCAATTACATCTGGGCCTACCGGCACCCAGTCCCCCTCCGCGAACTCGCAGAGTACTCGACTCGCGATCTCATAGTAATGCTGCAGCAACTCGAGCAGTGTCTCGTTGAAGACTACCTGGGTTACAATTCTCCACACGCGATGGAGCTCACCCTGCAAAGAATCGAGAGCATTCTCTATGGGCCGGGGGGGTGGTCGGGGGCATGGAGGGTATAGCAGCAGTGATGAGTCGTTTGGTTCGATACCGAGCAATGGGTGGCCCTCATCGAGTGATGATAGCGAGGAACCGCCAAGGAGAGGTCTAAGCGCAGGAAGAGGTAGAAGCAGGGGTACGGGGCGAAGAGGGCAGGGCCGAGGTAGAAGACGTGGCAGAGGACAACCTCGTTAACTAGGGCCAGCAACCTTGCCAGCTCTAGCAGAGGTTATTGATTATTGCTCATTCTGTGGAACACTTGGTACAACAAATGCTGAGCACTTTTCAATAATTTAGGTAGTCAGGCAATATACTGGCATACTGGAGTTTGTATAATACTTTTGCCTTTTCTTCTTGTGAATTGGGATTCCATGTGGCTGCCTACCATAGGTACTTCTTGGGAGTGGCCGAACGCTAAGCAAGAGCGAAGAGAAGCATGGGCGCTTGATGCTAGAAAAAGTAGCAGCTGACCTTGTCTCCTATTGCGATTGTCCAAGCAGCCATATTCACGCACGATCACCGCAAGAAGCAAAGCCTGCGAAGTGCCACGAATTCATGAAACCCGTTTCAAGAAAAGCCAATCGTAAACACCGATATGGGGGTTTCACCCTCATGATATCATTGAATCAGGAAGTATCAGTCTTGTACACCATGTAGCTTTGTTTCGCAACTCTATTCGGAATCATCGCGGTTGCCGTGACCGCTACCATCTGTACCTAGTTGGGAGGCTCCTGCTGAGAAACGGTGACTTGCCGCGCATGGTCAGTACCCCCTTTTCCCACGTCAAGCATACTGTGATAGACACTGATACGCTTGATACACCCAAGACGGTCAACTTCGTAGAGTGCTGCGCTATGCTGGTCACGGTGGTCCAAAACAAATCTCTCTCACTGGCATTAGGCTGAGCTGACTTGGGGTGATATAGGAAATGGAAAGATGGTCGTTGCGAGCCGCACTTGCTGTTTCGTTGATGAAGACATAGAATTATGCGTCATTCATTAGATAGAGGTCACTGAGGTTCTACCAATACACTCGTTTTCTATGTTGGGCCTCACAGTGAAAGAATGACCATACGGAATATAACATTTAGAGGTTGTCTGATACTGAAAGAATAGAGTGCTCCCGCAAGATCCGATCCAACGCACACAAGGTCAACAAAAATGCAGATCTTGTTTTATCGCATAGTCCAATTATGCAAAGAGCGCCGCATCTGCTCCTCAAAAAGCCATTGTCCTTTGAAAGCTCATCGATTGCATCAACTGTAAAGCTCAACCTACCTCTCCTCTTATGTCTGTAGGCCGTAAATTTACCATCAATGGAAGGCTTGTAATAGATTCGAGTGCACACGTCAGGAAGGCACAATGGAGCTCACTTCTTATCGAAGAAGTTCTTGAGGCCCATTCCTCCTCCTCGTCCATGTCTCACAAGCGCCCCCTCGTTCTCCCCATCCCGCTTAGCCAATTCTTCCAACTTGTACAACTCCGTCTCCCCTGTCCGATCATATGCGTTCCTCATCGCCGGATCGGCCAAAATATCATAAGCTCTGTTCAGATCAGCCGTCCGCTCTGCAGCTTTATCCTGTTCTTCCTGCGGTTTGTTGACGTTGCTGTCAGGATGCCACTTCTTTATAAGGCCTCTGTAGGCCGCTTTGATGTCGTTCTGACCGACACTTGATAGGTCTTCTTGGAGTCCGAGGGCGGCGTAGGGGTCGAAGGCGCTAGAAACCTTCATTTGGTCAAGCTTCGGTGCGGTGTCCGTCTTCTTCGAAGAAGGCTGTGGCACTTCGCGTTCGCTTTCATCGGTATTGCTCCCGTAATATGCATCGTCGTCATCTTCGTTGTAGGCACACGTCTGGGACTCATGATCGCTAGAATGTTCGGAACGTATGGAGTCGTCTCGGTGATGGGATCTTCTGCGAGGAGATCCTCTTCTCGAATTTTTGAGCGAGCGAGATTGAGGCCTCCTGGCATGCTCGGCCCTGCTACTGTCGCCGGCGACACCATGAACATGAGCTGGGCTTGTTGATCGCTTGTGATCATAGCTACTAGAAAGTGAGCTTTTGTGTCTGTTATGCCTGTTGACGATTTGCTTGCCCTTTTCTTTTTGTGAGTATCTCCTGTACCAATCATCATGAGTTTCGTCAGTTCTCCGCTTGTGTTTGCCTTTCCGGCTACATAGGCCCTTCCTCGAGGCATCAGATTCATATTCCTCTCGCCTATTGTCTTTCGAAGACTTTCCTGCCTTCCTCACAGCACTCTGCGAGCTCTCTCCATATTTTTGATACTCAACTGTAGATCTTTGGTAAGCACCGCCTTCATAGAGAACCTTGTGCTCATACTGCACCACCGGATCTGGTAAATAGACATGCTGCTCTAACTGGTGTCGTATGATTGGCGGCTTTAGATGGCGTTCGACGACCTTATTCTTCGGCATGACATGTTCCGGGTCTGGTAGGTACATGTGTTTTTCTTCTTTGTGCCTGATGACCTCGGGCTTCGGATGGTGCTCGAAAGTCCGAGTTTTTTGTTTAATAGGCGCCTGTCTTGAATCGTGTCCGTCAAATCGCTTGCCTTTAATCCTTCGAAAATCTTCGTGATCGATTAAGGGTGGTGGTGGCAGCTTGTTGGGCGGCATGTTGAGACTATCCTATTCGGTGTTGTTATGTCGTTAATGTGCGAGCTTTACATACGATGTTTTGTGGTAGTGACATTCCTGAGGCTTTGCATAGCACCCTCATGTCGCATAGTCAGAAACTTATATTCAAAGACTGAGAATTCACTCGAAGGGCGAAATTTAGCTACTGTGAACCATACAATCACGTCTCTTTCCAATGAACCAGCCGTAGCATCGCTCTACAGTTCTATGACATACTTCGATCACCTTATGTCCAGTGTCACTAGATGACGAAATCGATTTCGCATACACCATTCAAGTAATGGAACCGCCACACTTCGATCCCGAAAGTCTGCCCAACTGAGCTTGTTCTTGAGACCTCGGATCCAACGCATCGAAGTCTTGAATGTGTAGGACGGCGACCCGCATACTGTAACACACGCATGACGATAGAGAGGGACAAGAGAGACCAAGCAGTCGTGATACCAAGCTAGTTATGGGAAAGCAGTGGAGAAATCGTGGGGAATAAGAAGAACCGTGACGATATCGTTCGGTCACCATATCATCGTAGCTATTGACGATGGGAGAGGTGATGCAGACACCTCCCATGACGCTGTATAAATGTCGATGAACTGTATGAGGGTGGGCGAGTCCTGTACTGTTGACTGACGATGAATGCTTCCTAAAGTGGTATTGGAAAAGTAACTATGCAGGGTCTCCAAAATCAGAATTTCGTTCACCCGCGTATTGCATACACCCAAACTCGAAAGTATCCTACGAGTCCAGTTTCGACACAGATCCCGATATCACACTCTTCAACTTCCCCACTTCCCAAAGCCTCTATAGCTGTCTTCATACCTCTAAATGTCATTATGCTGTCACTGACAACGGAACGAACACCAAGCCACCCGTCCAACGGACCGACCGCCATCGACCGCAGAATGTGTACGTTACGTGAGTATGAACTGTAAACGATTTCCCCCGTTGCCTTCGGTCCGACTACGCCCCGCTCCTCGCGTAACTTCGAGACGATATTCGACGGTCACGTAACACAGCTGGTCGGACAGCTCGAGCGACCCGCGCAATAGCTCGCCACAGTTCCCGCTTCCACCAGCGACCTGCTGCACGACGTAGTCGTAGCGCTTCCCGTGAGAGCCGAAGCAGCCAGGCGCGCTAGGTGCCTATAGGACATAAAATGTCGGGGCAGGCAGGCTTTTCTATAATAGGGAGATCACCATGGAGTTGCGGTGTGCGTGATGATGTTGCAGGTTCGACAAGTCAGATAACCGCCAAGATACTGTGACGATGTGGCTTATGTCGAAGAAGGTGTAGCGGCTATAAGAATAATATGGACAGGGTATCGCAGAAGCTAGCACAGACTAGATGTTGCAACTCGAGCGAAACCCTCGCGTATACGCTCCAAAAGCTTGAGAAGTTGATTCGACAAAGCGATGACGCTGAACGACTCAAGAGTGGGCATGTCTCTTGTCAGGATCCTCTTTGATGGTGAGGGCATCCCAGCGTGAGATGATAGTATCCATGCGAGCGTTTTCCATACCCGAAACTGTCCTGCGCATGTCTGCAATGTACTGGCTGCTTACCATGCTAGCCGCCGTCTTGGTCCACTCGTCGCTCTGGAAGCGATCCAAGACGCTCGTTATTTCTGTAGGCAACGGGATTGCAAGGGATTGGCAGGATTGCGTGACGAGCCGAAATAAGGATTGCGAGTAGAAGTTATATGTCGTGATGACGCTCAGCCCACGCAAACATGTCAGAAGGCCTCTGTAGGCTTCGTTGGTTTCCCACACAAAATCGGGGTTCTCCTGGCTAACAATCTCGTCGAGTGATCCAAATACCGCTATAACAAGTGGATGCAGGATGATGGTAATCGTGGCTGCCCAGCCATGGAGACTGTCGTGGAGGACGATGAGCTGGCGGAGCTCTTTGTTCGCTGTTGATGTTCGCAGAAGGGCTTGGTCACGATATGAACTTATCCGCTCGTTCGAGCTCTCATAGTGGGTAAACGGCTGAAACAAACGGATGATCGATACGTAGTATTGCATTCTGTGAAATGTCAGTGGTAAGTTTGTCGTTTTCGAAAGGGATTCGCACGCGGTGAGCAGATTTTCCGGCGAGGGGTGCTTCGTTGGACACAGACTTGATCTGCGATGATCGAACCATAACTTCAAGCGAAGGTAAAGAATCTCGACTTGTTCAGGCTTGGGTGGTAAATCCGACGTCGGATCGTCCGGGTCGATGAGCGTGTTCATACATTCGAGAAGGACGACGCTGCGAGCGCATTCATCTTGGAATAGGGCTAGGAGAAGTCAGTGCTGACAAGTGCCATACGGATAGTGAGTTCTGCTTACCTTCGGAATTCTGACTTCCTTCGTATGGTATGGCTACGGGTGGAGGAGAGTTGACTAACGCCGGTAAAGAATAAGTAAACGACATCGTCCTAGCTTGGTTAGATAATACCTAGTGTTCAACGACTTCATATTACTTACAATTGGAAATTGAACAGCGCCCACGCCGTAACGGCTCGAGCCCTATCCCATTTCTCTTGCTGGATGTGTGGCGGCCTTTGAGTCGCAGGTGACGGTAGGCGGAAAAGACCCAACGTTCTAGCGAGCCGACAAGCCTCTTGGAGGAACATGTAACCAACTCTGTCTCGACCATGCTTGCCAAATACCATGAACAGAGCCAGGGCAGCTTGAACTCGAGTAAGACTGTCTACGCCTTCTTCGGCCTCCCACAACCGCCGAGCTTCCCGGTAGAAGCGGGTTATAAGGCTGTCGCCAAATGGTTTCGATCGATTCCTTACGAGTGATGAGTGAAACTGCAGGTTGGGTCAGCAACGCGAAGGGACTCATTGCCTCCCTATATGTCGGTGCCAAATGTGGTCTTGTCTATATAGACTTACACTCGCGGAAGCTAAGACTGCATTGACTAGAAGCTCAGAGCAAAAGTCAGTACAACCACTCGAGAGATCATCGAGGAAGATATCCCAGTCCAGATAGTGATAGTAGCTGTACTCCCACTTGTGCCAGAGATTCATAAGATGAGTCAGAAACCGTGCATCCTTAGTGATTGGAGTCCACTTCGGGAGCCCTTCCAGTCTAGGGTCAAAAGAGGCGTCGGTATCTGGATGCAAAAGCGAATCTATCGAAGTGGGCGGTGGAATTGAATTAAAAGCATCTGAACTGGGGTTGGTCAAAACTATCCGCTGAAACTCGTTGGTGCTATGACAGCTTACCGAGCGGAGACGTCAGTGTCTGAAGCGTGCCGTCTTCGCTGGCTTGTAGGCTCGTCGTAGCCTATCGGAAATATGCTCGTGAAAGGCAAGCTATTAGGATCGGAGCTCGGAGAATCGAGGGCAAGGCGTATAGATGGCAGGGTCAAGGGATGAGCAGGATCAGAAGTCTGTGTAACAACGGACGGTCCGCTCGTAGACTGTCCTTGTTGAATAAAGTCGACTAATGAATGAGTTTGTTGAGCTTGTGAGGCATCCAGAGAATCTGTCCTGATCTTTCGAAGAATAGCCAGAGCCTCTTGCTCAGGACGAAGCCGCAAAAGGTCGTAGAGCTGGCGCAAGTTCGACAGCTCGACTTGCATCTCTTCGTTCTTCCTTTTCATTGCCTGAGACGGCTTCTCGTTCGGTCCCAGCTCGTACACACAATGAGTGTCCTTCTGAGCACAACAACTGCATACTGGGCGATTCCCATCACACTAAGCTTGTCAGGAAACTCATGCTAATGTACGTGCCGATACGTACTTTGGACTTGCGCTTGCGACCTGTACACAGTCAGATGCTGTCGGAGAAACGAGATCAACCGCTGCTATGTCGAGACGAGGAAGAGGCTAGCAAACGCACCTTCCGGCAAACTCGATGTAGTTCTCTGGCACAAAGAAGGGGAACTCACAAGCAACACAAGCTCCCAGAGTAACCGTTCGTTTTGGTTTTGTGGCCGCCAGAGGCCGTAGCTGCGTGTTAGGCGGCTGGTCTTCCATCGGTGCAGGTTGCAGAGGACGAAAATTTGCCATATCAAGGCTCAAGTAAGATGATGAAAATAGGAAGGATGCCCGAGAGAAGTGCGCATTTTCACGGAGTATTGCGTGCGTAGCTATCGATGTTGATAGGACCGGCTTCGCCCCTGATGACTACTGCTGAAATATGCCGTTGCAGTCTATGTCTAGATAGCTAAGTTAGTCATGATGCACGTAGAGGGGTTTGCAGAGGGGAAGGGTGTCGGTGTGGCAGAGCTGGTGCTCGGGAGAAAGAAGCGGCGGGTCGGGTCCGATTCCGAGAGCCGATTCAGGAAGCTATAGGATGCATGCAAGCGCGACTAGTTGTAGACTGCACAGATGATCCTCCCACTACTTCACGTAGAGTCGCACGCCACGAGACTTGGGCTCGTATGAACCCTTTGGCATGGAAGAACATTAAGGCGCACCGGAGAAACGTCCGCTTGCAGCAATTGGCCATTGTTGCGCACAATCCGCTGTCGTGGTAGAGTGGGGGCAGTTCATCGCTTGTGACCGTTACACTACGGTACGCGTCGAAATGCAGGGGCACACGTGATTGTGACACCAGGGCTTCTAGGCCAGCCTGTCCTTGGACGGAGGTTTGTCCGTAGCACTGGTTTAGGGCTGACATGTGTTCCTCGGGAGAGATCATATGATGTCAGGGTGAACATGGTACACCAACGGCATGTTCAATGTTCTCTTCTCCACCTGCTCGTGGATGGGCTGTTTGTATGATGATATGGCATCTCTGGCAGAGTCAACGCAGTCTGTCTCTTTCATTCGCTTCAACTCGAAGCGCACTGCGAGCTCAAACGCAGCGGTTACCGGCACGGAGATCGCCCGTGATGCAGCAATGTGATTATGGGCCCGCTTGCACATGTTAGAAGCTCCCGCGCTCTACGCGGCTATATTGCCAGTCGTGGCTACTACCTGATCATACAAGACTAATTACAACTTCCGTTCCTTCCCCTGTACGATCTAGGCGACATCAACCAGGGCCAAAACCAGACTAACCTGTCGAATGAAGACTCATGCCATCCCGTGCATACTCTGTCTAGTACAAATTGAAGCGATATCAACTATATTAACAACTGGGATCAAGACCATCAGTTCTACTTTTGCACTTCAAGTGTCATCAATTGCGTAAACCCAATCCAGTCACCAGGGTCGCGGCCCCTACTGACGGAGTATGCTCCGGATCTGCGTGCACGCGGCTACCTTCACCACGGCTTCATCAGCCCGAGACCAATCTTTCTCCGACCCTTGCACTAGGGACGCCGCAGCCTACTGTAGTCGCCGCTGGTCGCTTACTCACCAGTGGCCTTTTTCTTCTTGGCGTTCGCGTGGCTGCTGTTGAGCTTGCGGATGAAGCTATTCTTGACGCCCTTGCTCTTGGTAAGCTCCTTATTCTTGGACTTATTGTACTCGATGTACGACATGCCGGCGCCGCCAGACAAATCGGCAAGTGTGCCCGCGGTGCGGCGTGCGCCGCCTTTCTTGCGCTTGTTGAGGTTCATGGAGAACGTGTCGCCTGCGATCCTCTCTTCTGCGGCATCTGATTCCTTGGCAAGACAGACCTCGGTAAGCAACTCCTTTCGATCCTCTAGAGTTCGGAAGAACAGATCGTTACGATTCTCGATGCCCTCGAGCTTGGTGATGATCTTGAAAGCGTAACCCTGGTCGACAAGAAACGTTTGCCGTCGGGCAGCGTAGCTCATCTCATCTGTGTCCTTCGATACCAACGAGTAGAAGAAAGCATTGAAGCCTTCATCATTTCGCCGCTTCGCCCGAAGGATTCTGCCGAGTCGTTGTGCCTCCTGACGACGAGAACCGTAATGCGAGCTGATTTGGATAAGACATGTTGCTTCAGGTAGGTCGAGACTAGTATCGCCGATCTTCGATAGGAAGACAGTATGGATTCTTTCGTTATGCTGGAAGTTCTCTAGAATTTCGAGTCGCTCTCCTTGGCTTGTGCCACCATGAATATATGGGTGCACTAACTTTAGTGCGTACTTCTCTAGGGCATACACGTTGTCAGAGAAGACGATGATCTTGTCGCCGCGCTTTGCGTGATAGTCGATGAGGAATTGACAAGCCTGGAATTTGTATGGATTCAGAACAGCGAGCAATTGCTTTTTAGGGCTATTAGCACCCGCTGTATTGAGCCACTCTTGATAGAACTCTGGGGTCATTCTGCACCAGACCTCGGCACATTGTACCTTGGCGATGTGGCCTTGCTGGGAAAGTTCTTGCCAATTTGCTTCGTAGAGCTTCGGTCCCACAAGAAAGTTCAAGGTTCCAATTTTGTCATCTTCTCGAAGCAAGGTTGCTGTTAGGCCTAGCTTGCAGTGGGATGCCACCGAATAAGTAACCTTCTTGAACATTGCGGCAGGAATGATGTGGACTTCGTCAGCGATGAGCAAGCCCCACTCTCGCTCCTGGATGAATTTGAGGGCGGCAGCCGTGTCGTGAGCACGTTTCCCCGAGGCAGCGAGCATATGATATGTCGTCACTAGAATACCAGCGGAGTGAGGGAAAACATTCTTTTCTAGAGAAGTCAAGACCGCAATGTCTTCTTGGTTGATGTTCGACCATTTCAAGAATTCCGCTCGCCACTGTAGCGCCGACATGGTGCTGTTACAGAGGACTATGCAGGACTTTTTAACACCGCAGGCGGCTGTAATACCTACTAGCGTCTTACCAGCACCGCATGGGAGGACGATGACGCCGGATCGGGCTCGCGAGTTGGAGAACATCTTACTCAGAGCTTTCTCCTGGTAGTATCGAATCTGCGCGTGGGGCTTCAGATCGATGTCAAGGTTTGGATTCACGGTGTCATTGTTGAAGTCATATTCCTGGGTCAATGGATAGCCGATCTCCCAACACTGCTTGATGACGGCCTCGCGCGTCTCACTTCTGATTTGAAAAGAGTGCACTTGGACTTCTTCCTCCTCTTCTTCATCATCTTCTCGAAGTGTAGCAATCATGTCATTAGGCGCTTGCGACTCTTCGGCAGCGGGTTCGGGCTGCGCAACTTGGTTGGCACCAGCAGCCATTTTGGTGCCTGGAATCATCATTCCGCCAAGCTTTGGAGCCGCCTCTGTGATTAATTTGGCGCTGCTGTCGGCAAGACTGCTTGAAATAACGGGATCCTGCAGCAGCTGGCGCAATAATGCAGGGTCATCACTCTCGATGTAGGAAAGGGTCTTCTTCAGGACGATTTTGGCTTTTCCGTAGGCTGCAGAAGACTTCTTGATGAAGTTGACCACGCTGGAGCTTAGGACAGCTTTGGAATACTTTTCTAGTCTGTTGATGATCTCCTCTGGGTTATGACCGACGGAGACGGCGGCAAAGAGGCTATGAGCAGTCAAGGTATACTCGTGCATCCTCGAGACACGCGAAATGGGTTCAGCGATATTGATTAGGAAGTCCTGCGCCTCGGGGAACAGAGGGCTGAACGACTCTAAAATGATCTTGCCGTCCTCGACCACCCACATGGGTCGGTTGGCATGGTCTGGTTTGAGGGGCTGGCCAATCTGATCGTTCTTGAAGAGCCCCGAGGCACCGTCGGCATAGTATCGTTGCTTTTGATGTGCTCCGGCCAGAGAAAACTTGTTCTCGAGCTTTTTGAAGGTATCGGCGTCACTAAGTTCTCCGCCAGACCACTCCTTTCCGTCAACATCGTCGGCCGCGACCTCGGCTTTGCGCTTCTTGGGCGGCATCGTTGCGGCGCTCTCAGCCTGTGTAGGCTATAGCGTCGAGCGTGAGGTTGCTGAGCGCGACGCTCCGACACGCAGCAATGTGCGAGGCACCTGTAGCGAAGCCTTACAGGGTGGAGGTTCGCAGTCGAGCGTCGCTTTGGGTGTTGAGCGGGTGCGGGTTCGCGGCGTGGAGATGATGAAAGGCAGCCGCAGGTGGCGCTGTTGCGATCTGCCAAGTCTCTGGTTAGTAAGCAGAGGCACCAACAGCCCGGATTGATTCCAGATGTTCAGACTCGTCTAGAGATGGGAGATAGTAAATAAAAAGTCATGTCTGGGGTGACGTGGTTGCGTGTCGCGTCGGAGCGCGCGCTCATGTGAGCTGTGGGTCGCAGCGTTGGAGGTGTTGGATGCAGCCCCGACGGCCGCTCCACCGAGCACACTTACTCCACAACCACCAGCTGCGATGCTTGGCTGATGGCACAAACCCCCCATGGGCGCGTCCGATTCCAAGCTCAGCTTTAAGCAGGGCATCTTCCGCCTAGCGGAGCCCAAGCAGATTCCCGCTGACGACACATACTGGACCGGTGTAAGCTCTCGCACTCGCATGCCCAAGCCACATGTACTGACGGCTGCTTCTGATGTAGTTTTGGGAGCTGCCCGAGTCGACTGAGGATGTCTTCTCGCTGTTCTCGCCCGCCGACATCCGCCGCACGCGCGACAGCAACCTCGCAAACCTTGAGACGCTTATCCTCGCCGTGACGTCGCGCCTCTGCGTGCTGCGCAATCACCCCTCCTTCCCCGATCCAGAGATTGCGCCTGAGCGCGATGCTCTCAACTGCATACGCGTGCTCACCCGTATACTGCCCTTCCTCTATGAGGCCGATCACCTTGGTGCCTGGGAAGACAAGTTCTTCTGGGGCGCCCGCCGAAAGCGCAGCCGCCGCGGCCAATTGCGAACCGAGGTGCTCTTCGACGAGGCCGACCCCGAGCAGACGCCCACCGAGCATGAACCCGAGTTCGAGCAGGCAAAGCCGCTGGCCGAGGACATCATCGACACCCTGATCGACTTGCTGTTCTTCTCCGACTTTACCCTCCCCAAGGTGCCTACCGGCAAGAACAAGGTCACGTACGCGATTTGGCAGAGCGGCGTGGGTTGCAACACGCCCATTGCTTCTACAAAGGAGTTCGAAAACAACAGGACCGAAATTCTTCGACTCCTTCTCACTCTGGCAAGCAAATCCATGTACATGTCTGCAAACGTGCTACCCGTAACGGGTGTCAAATCAATAACGTACATGGCAACTTGCTCCGATAAACAAGTGGTGCTGTCTGTTCTCTGCTCGCTGCTGAATACCGTATGTCTTTCTAAGCATCAAACCATTGTCTGCCGCCTGACACCTGACAGACTCTGAAATATAACCCCGCTTCGTGGCGGGTGCCCTACGACCATGTCGTGTTCAAAGACCAGAAACAGATCCTCGTCACATACTGCCTACAATTGATGCTGGTTCTCATACTGTATCCTATCCCGGAACCGGGCACCGGAACACCACCCCGGAATTCTTTTAGATATTTTCTTGGACGCTTGCATCGGCCACAAGACTTTCAATTCCTGGTCGATGGGATGACAAGGATACTGAACCAACCGGTATGTCTGCCGCACGTCGTGTCATCGTGCGCCTGCTGATTCGCCTTAGCTACAAGCGACGTCTACATACCTTCCAGGAAGCCACAAGTCGCTGACATGGGCACCCGAGATGATCATGCTTTTCTGGGAAACTTTGCAGTGTAACAAGCGCTTCCGGTCCTTCATCATCGATACCGACAGAGCCCATGACTTTGTCGTTCTGGTATTGTATTATGCTATCGATCAACGCAACGACCCCACCAAGCAAGGTCTCGTAAGGATGTGCATTTTTGTCCTACAGACTTTGAGCGTGGAGTCTCATTTTGGCAAGAGCTTGAATAAAACATTTGAGGGACAAGAGTCGTTACCAGCCAGCATCCGGATCACCAACTTTCATGGCACCTATGCCGACTATCTTATCACAGTGAGGACTAAACCTTCACAGATTTTCACCTTGCTGACATACAACAGTCGATCTACACCCTACTCACAACTAGCAAAGGGAAGCTGGATGCCATCTACCCAGCGTTATTGGCCATCATCCAGAATATCGCGCCCCACGTGCAGAATTTGGGCAGAGCTCCGAGCTCAAAACTCCTCCAACTATTTGCGTCAATGTCCTCACCCAGCTTTCTTTTCGCAAATGAGACCAATCACACGCTATTGCAATCGTTACTTGAAGCTCTGAATGCGATAATCGAGCACCAATACCAGCGTAAGTCGACTCCTCCGGGGAAAGCTCGTAACTGACTATCTGCAAGATAACCCCAACCTGGTTTATGCCATCGTAAGGTCACGGAAACGGTTTCAAGCGCTCCGGAACTTTACCTTGGAAAGTGGACAAGAAGAGATTGAACGCCAAAAACAGTTGAAGAAAGAGAACAGCGGGGAACGCCCCCGAGCGGATTCAATCGACAGCATGCGGAGTCCGACCATGTCACGTACACCTACGTTGAGCAACGTTCCTGAGGAGAGCAGTGCTTTCGCTATCGGTGACGATGACGATTCCGATGATGAGGATCACCAACCAACGGCGAATCCGCAATCACCTGTACATGCTCCCTCAGGCGCTTCTAGGAGTGGTTCGATAGCATCATCAATAGACGAGTCACTACCCCCGCAACTACGAGGAATGTCTGAGAAGGCACGTGGAAAAATGCCTGTTGGTCAACCTGCGTTCTCGCGGCAGAACAGCACGACTAGCCTCAGTAGCATTGCAACTCCTGCACTAGGCACGGCTGAGTTCTTCGCGCCTTCCCCTGCATGGGTAAGCTGACGATGCCATGTTGCGCGAACAACGCTGATCATTCCTTTCAGATCGAAAGCTGGCTCCCAGAGTTGCCACTGCACACGATCCTCATGCTGATATCCGAATTGGGTCCCAAAATTCCCAACACAGGCTCCTCAACCGCCGACACAGCAGCCGCACTAAGGACCATCCGCGAAAGCGAAGTCCGCGGTATCGAACCCTCCCCCTTGAAAAACTACTCCTTCGAGTGGTCGCCCCTTTCCATGGGCTGGTACGAGTCCCTCCTCTGGGGCTTCATCTTCGCAGGCGAAATGTTGGTGTCCAAGGGCACGGCGGGCGTGTGGAACAACACGAGTATTCGGTTGTTTAAGGTGCAGGAGGCGGCGGCCCAGGCGCCGAGTTTGCTAGCGCCCAGAGGCGCCGTGGACGCCGTGGGTAGCACGATCGTGCAGAGGATTGGAAGTCTTAATCTGAGGGACCGGGCCACTCAGATGGCGCAGGGGGGTGCGACTGGAGGTGGCAATTCCGGGGAGAGACCGAGTACGGTTAGAGAGATCTAGGGACGTTACCAGGGCGCGAGAATCCTGGAAGTGTGGACGCGTATAACCGAGGGCTCAGCCACGCTTTTCGCAGTCATGGTTCTACAGTATCACGTATGCGTACATCTGTAGCGAGGTGATTGGAGATCTGGGTCCACGTAGAATTGATCGGTTACAGGAAATGTGTAACATGTTGCAGATCAGGGTCCAAATGGCGTGGCTGTGCACCGCCACTGTGGCGAGTACTACCCGCTCGCACTACGAGTAGCCTATCACCGGGACTAAGGCCTTCATTTCGACAAGTAACTCGCCCAAGCGGCCAACAACAACAATCGAGCAGTCGCGTGTCCTTCGGGCACCCCTTTGCCTAGTGCTAGGCCGCCTGGGCCTTGATGCAAAACGCGTAATTCCTAGCGCTGTGCTTATCGGCCATGCTATTGCGGAAGGCAGAGATGGGGTTCCAAATAGTGGAGCTTTCCCGTGCTTTGGCATCGTCGTGACTTTGTACCTTCGAAGGTATCTTCGGAAGCTTGTGCTTTATTGTGCGGTGCCGCATATTGACATCTTCATACGTGTTACATGAGCTTCCAAACTTCTCAATCAAACTTTCTGTCACCACCATGGGTGAGGGTAATGTTAATATCGCAATCGAGGCTGGTGCGGTGGAGGAGGTAACGCCGTATTCGATGCATGTATGTCTCTTCCTTCAAGTGTTTTATCTGAGGTCAGATCAGACTCAAAAAACCTTGACGTGCTGACATGGGCATCCAGGTGTCTTCCAAATACCTTGAATTGACAAAGAAAAAACTGGAATTGACGCGTTTGCCGAGGGAGCTGGAGTTGCCGGAGCAGAGACGGTGGGACTTGGGCACGCCGAAAGCTGTGCTGTGAGTATAGGTGCACCTGAGAAGAAATGTCAAGAGGGGACTAACTTTTGCAGAGAACCTCTGTTGGATTACTGGTGAGTAAACGGCTTGCAATCAATTGCTTTTCATGTTCGCGAGTAGAAATGGGATAAAGTGTGAGAACGGACACGGTCGCGGCTTTTCTGCATCCGGGATGATCGTGGCTTCCCTGCTTCGAGACGACATACCGCCAGCACGACTCACTCCCACCCCACTAGGCTCCTCCTCCTCACTTCACAACACCCACTTGTCAGGCGACGAGTCGGATTTGGAAGCTCCATGTCCTCTCCTATGTTGAACTCAAACATATCGCGTTCACGCGCACCATCTCAGGCCTGGCCGCGCCTTCCATGAGCTTATACTGACTCACATATAGGCTGGAGAGCTACCAGTGGCGGGCTGAAGAGGCGCGCCTCAACACTTCGCTCCCTCAGTACCGCACTACCATCAAACTGCCATCACTCGACAACGAAGACCAAGTCCAGTCCCTGCGCATCCACTTTGTGCACAAGCGTTCAACACATCGGCATGCTATCCCACTTCTCTTCTGCCATACCTGGCCTTCCTCGTTCATAGAGGTCCAGAAGATCATCGATGCGCTCACGAATCCTCAGTCGCTACCAAGTTTTGGAGATGGCGCACAACAGGCCTTCGATGTCGTCGCTCCCAGCATACCGGGATTCGGCTTTAGTGATGCGAGCTCGTCTGAAACCTTTGGCTTGGAAGAGACTGCAAAAGCGTTCAGCAAGCTCATGAAGCGGTTGGGCTACGATCGCTACGTTGTCCATGGCACCGGATGGTAAGCGTGTAAGCCGATGACGATAGTACCGTTGACCACTGACCATGACATAGGGGCTTTAATATCTGTCGAGCACTAGCGTTGAACCACCCACAAAGCTGCATTTCTGTTCACACAGCAAATCCCACCTTTGCAGAGCCGACATTACATCAAAGCCCTGTCTCCTTCCTGAAGTATCAACTCGCAAAAATCACAAAAGCTAGCGTAACCTCGCTAAGTTTCGGATATGTCCCTTCTGAGGTCCATGATGCTTCCAGACAGGATTCAACAGATCAATCTTTGATCAAAAGTCCCCAAAGGTTCTATGGGCCATTGGGCCCTACACTTTCGGGTCTCTATACTTATCGACCCCAAACTCTCGCATTCTCATTCTGCGACTCCCCGGTTGGACTTCTCGCTAGTTTGCTCGATGTGATACATACCCAGGCACCTCCTTCCCTAGAACCAGTCACGTCACGATCGCGTTCACCCTTTCTGTCTCCCATTGAACTAGAGCAACAGGACTCCCATCACGATCGCTCGTCGGTGGAAACTGCATTCCGATCTTCGGTCCCCGCTCAAGGAAGAGAACAATCGTCAAATCCGCGGGAGAGCGAAGCGAACTCAAGAGCATACTCATGGTCGGCTACGGAAGTACTTAATTGGACAATGAGTACGTACATTTCAAGTATGAAGTGAACGCATATGAGCTGACTCTATACCACGTAGTGCAATGGTTACCTGGACCGGTACGTACCCTTGCTCTCCGCTTGAAGAGACTACGTACACAAAGCAGCGCGACATGCATGCTTAAGGATGTGCAATTCACTAACTTTTGGATTTTACATTTAGGAAGCTTCCCTTCGCTGGCTGAGGCGGGCGCAACTTGAAACCACGCCGACATGCCCGTTTTCCACATCGCACTGCCCGGTGCCCCTCGGCATTAGTTCCTTTCGCGCGCAAGATAGCAACAAGCACGACAAAGCCACGCCGCTCATGTGGGGAAGCGCGACATGGAATATCGCTTGGGTGAAGCGACATCAAAGGACCGCTGCGCTTCCGGCGTGGGAAGCGCCAGACCTGCTTGTTCTCGACATGCGCGAGTACTTTCAATCGCATGGAGGAGCGGCTTTCAGGGCCACATCCAACCTTCCCGCTTAGGCAATGCCGTCGTGGGCACAAGATAAAAGCCGTGGAAAGCTGCTATAGGTATATGGGATGTTGGCTATGGTGCATATGGCAGGTATATGCGCCGGAAGCACCATTAGCAGAGAAATTGATATGCAAAGGGAGGGTTGAGAAGTGGTAGCGATGCAGTAGTGCCGGTGGGCGGGACGCAGGATGGATATGCATGTGCACGCGGCGCATCGGCAGTACGGTAGGATCGACGAGAGACATGCCAGAAACTATCAAAGACGCGGCGACGAGAACAAGAGTCAGTATCATGAGGCGGGTACATACCAAAGGGCAGACACAAGAATACAAGCTCAAGAAATAGAGCACCTAATGCGTTGTAAGCTTTTCTTGCGACAAGTCGCACCCGCCATGCCTTCGACCGCTTTACGACCGTTCAGCCAGCGTTATCATGCCAAAGTTCAAATAATACCGTCATGGACTGGTTCGTGCGACTAGTGACAATATGTGTGCTTGTATCACACTATAAGATGACGACGGCTTGAGCCGTGGGCGCTAGCGACTTGTACCCTAGTACGAGTAGTAGAGCGATGCAGGATCGACCGGAGAGTTGTGCACCCTGAGGAACAAGAAGAAACAAGCTCCGGCTGCGCATGGAAGGAACCAGATCCATCCCATCGAACGAACACAAGCGCAGAGGTGCAGTGACCCTCCAAAGTGTTTGCCTAGGTAGCGACAACGCGAATGACCACGCAGCTATCGACAAGGAACAGCGTCGTTGGGTACCTTCATATTATTCTGTGTATGCATGTATAGTACTACTATTTATACACTTGTGCTCTTCTCCCATGTCACGTAATCGAGGATCCTGGCACGAAAAGCATTGGCGCACAGTAGGAGCTGAGAATACCCGTGGAGACTGAGAACATCACAAAGCCAGCAAACTTGCGCAATCGAACCATGTCCCGGCATCGCAGCCCAAAGTATGGCGGGGCGGTTTGGATAGTTCCTGGCCTGTCTGCGGCTAACTGCCTTGGCGGTCTGCGCTGTCCGCTCCGTGCAGAGTCGGTGTCGGTTACGTAGTTGGTAGTAGCAAAATATCGCTCAGCAGACGCACCTGCCTGCGCGAAAATTCGACCTCACCCCCAACATCACTCACAGACACTTGCCACGACCAGCAACATCACCGGGAGCTTGTCACAATCATCAACTGTAAGTACTTTCGATGAATGCAACACTCTCCACAGTGTTCGCATGCTGCCCGCCACTTTTCTACATGCAGACCGCTCACTGATGCCCAGTTGACCGTCCGCTTCAGCACCCATTGCCCACGCCCGCGACACCACTTCGCAGTCTTCAAGCTGGCAAACCTACTCCGTACGCGCAATAATACTGCCTAGGCTCTAGCAGCCCGCAGCCCGCAGCCCACTTCTTGACTCGCCACCACCGGTTTTCATGCCCCAAGAAGACCTCGTGCGATTCCTTTCCAAGCCCGCAAAGTGAGCCCGACCCACGCGACGCTTTCAGCAGGCACGACTGTTTGACGGAAAACAATCTCTGAAATCATACTAACTATAACAAAGGCCCCGATAACACGTTTTACTCCCCGTCCTTCAACTCCCACCTCTTGAACCCAACGAGCAGATCCTCTCGTCTGCTGGACCCGATACTTCCCCAGGGTATCGGAATCTAGTCGCGCGAGGACTACAACCGCCTGACAACATTTCCCGGCGCAAAGCCTCTTTCATCCCCCTCTCCGCCCGCCCTCCCTAACGCCCTTTCGGACGTTTCCATCACCACCCGACCATTGTAGCTGGCAGCCGCCAGCCCCCATAGACTTTCCCGCCCGTGGGCCTTCTCTTCTCAGACGAGCACCGCATTGCTTGTCTGAGCGGCAGATTGTGCTTCACCGCCAATAAGCCAGTCGACTGCTTTCTGCTGAAGATCAAGCCATACACCGATACTAGCCGAACAGTGTGCTTGCACGTCGATGGAACAAGACATGGTCGCTACTGTTGATATCCCCAAGCACTACACTGCGTCTCCGTCGTCGCACATCGGCACTCCCCACTTGACTATCAACAAGGAAGCTACCATTGACCTTGACTCTACTAATGCTTTTGAGGGTACGGCTACCTTCCTACCTAGTCTATCATGGCACTGTTGCTAAGGAATTCAGGGCCCGAGAAACTCCTAGAAGTATGGTTCAGCGGTTCTGCCACCGACCTGCCTGGTCAGGCCGGTCCGCTCGGTCTCAAGAAGGTGTCCGCTGAAGTATGGAAGGAGATGCTTGATCTTGTCAACTGCAAGGTCCTTTCCGTTATCGAATCCGAGCATGTCGATGCATACCTCCTCTCCGAGTCGAGCTTCTTCGTATTCCCGCATAAGGTAGTGCTGAAAACTTGTGGCACGACGACCCTGCTTTGGGGTTTGCCTCGCCTTTTGGAGATCGCCGCTCTAGAGGCGGGCTTTCCGCATGTAGCTCCTCAGCCCACCAAGGGTATCGCTGCCGCTGCCACACCCTACCGCGTCTTCTACAGCAGGAAGAATTTTCTCTTTCCGGACGAGCAGCGTGGACCTCACCGCAGCTGGCGTGATGAAGTCGCTTACTTGGACCAGCGATTCCAGGGTGGCAGTGCTTATATGATTGGCAAGATGAACGGCGAGCACTGGTACCTCTACATTACTGGTCCTGATACGACTTTGACTCCACCTCCCAGTCCGGACCGAGAGATCGTTGAGACGGAGACCAAGGTCATGAGCTACCCTCAGAAGCTACTTCCCGAGACTATGACGGACGAAGAAGAAGACGAGACGCTGGAGATTCTCATGACTGACCTCGACGAGAAGAACGCCCGTCAGTTCTATCTCGAGGACGCGAGTGCGGTCGCGGAAGGTCGTTATCTCCAGAAAACTCGTGAGGCTCGTAAGAATGCTATTCAATCTCTTGGATCTATCCCAGAAGAGCATCCCGAGAGTCTGGGCGGTTCCACCATTCTCAACACCAACCACACGGACTCGTCTTTCGATGTTTTCGAGCAAACCTCTTCTGATCATTCTGGCTTCAATTCGGATGAGGATGACCCTCTTACGTTCCCAGAGGAGCTGACCACCGAGGGCCACACTCTGGGAACTGTCGTCTCTGAGACCTGTGGCCTGGCCGATGTTTACCCTACCTCAAAGTACCCCGATGCTCGCATTGACGCGTACCTCTTCACACCCTGCGGCTTCTCTGCCAATGGCGTCATTCCAGCTCCAGGTGGCGCTCCTGTAGGTACCAAGAAGGGCTCCGATGCCACGCACTACTTCACCGTGCACGTGACGCCTGAGCCGCAGTGCTCTTATGCCTCGTTCGAGACCAACGTCCCTGCGCACCAGACTGGCCGCGAGACCTCGGACATTGTCGACCATGTCGTTGGTATCTTCAGGCCAGGACGCTTCAGTGTTACGCTCTTTGAGGCGAAGCCTTCTGAAGACGCCTCTTCGGGTGCGAAGACAGCCAAGAAGAGCAAGAACATGGATGCAATCAAGGGCTACAAAAGGGTTGATCGCATCGTGCACGATCTGGATGGCTATGACCTGGTCTTCAGATACTACGAGAGGGACGACTGGAAGGGTGGAAAGCCGAGACTGGGTGAGGTGCTGTAGGTGGAACAGCGTGGAATGTGCCTTTGTGTGATTTGTGATGGGATATTGTTATCATTTCCTACCGACGGCATTTCTTTTCAGAGGAACCCGAGATCGAAGCAGTGGAAAATTATCAAGCTGTATATTTCTTTATGATAGCGCTCTGCGATAATGTTACGTCTGCTATTACCATAGCTCTCTTTTTGGTGTGATGTGAAGCTCGTTGTCAGATGGAGGGGCAACAGCCCCGCCAAAAGCTCCGGTGTCCGCGCCCGCCCGCCACTTTTCTCCCGATTTGAAATCACGAAGAACATCACAACACCATGCTATTACGCCCCTCGCACACACCCTTCAAGATCGACGTATACACCGACCCGGGCTGAGCCCGCTCACCTGTCCGAACCACAATCGTCATGCCACTCGAGAACATTCGCCACATTGTGCTTGTGCTGTCGGGCAAGGGCGGTGTTGGTAAATCCAGCATTACGACGCAGCTTGCGCTTGCGCTGAGCTTGCAGGGCAAGTCAGTAGGCGTACTGGACGTTGATCTTACTGGTCCAAGTGTACCAAGATTCTTTGGCATTGAAGAGAGCAGAGTGAGGCAGGCCCCGGGTGGATGGATACCTGTTGAGGTGCATGGGAAGCAGACACTATCTTCAAAACAAACGTACGGGGACACGGGCGCACAAGGCCGAGCTGCGAACGGAGCAAAACAAGAGTCGGAACAGCACGCCGGCCCGTTATCATGCATGAGCTTGGGCTTCATCCTCAGCAATCGCGGCGACGCCGTCATCTGGCGTGGCCCCAAGAAGACAGCCATGGTTCGCCAATTCCTCACCGACGTTCTCTGGCCAGAGCTAGACTTCCTCCTCGTGGATACACCCCCCGGCACCTCCGACGAGCACATCTCCCTCCTCGAGACCCTCCTCAAACAAACCGCTCATACCACACAACTCGCTGGCGCCGTCGTCGTAACAACGCCCCAAGCCATCGCCATCTCCGACGTCAAGAAAGAGCTAAACTTCTGCGCTAAGACGGGCGTGCGCGTCCTCGGCGTCGTGGAAAATATGGCGGGCTTTGTATGTCCCAATTGCAGCGAATGCTGTAACGTGTTCAGCAAGGGGGGCGGGCAGGTTATGGCGCAGGAGTTTGGGGTCCCGTTTCTGGGGAGCGTACCGATTGATCCGGCGTTTGTCATGTTAATCGAGGAGGGGGTTAGGCCGAGGTATCCGAAGGGAACCGTGGTGGAGGGGAGGGTGTTGGTGGAGAGGGAAGAGGGCGTGGAGGATAAGGAGGGGTTGTTGGTGGACAAGTATCGGGATTGTAGTTTGGCGCCGGTGTTTGAGGGGTTTGTGAGGAAGTTGGTAGAGGAGGTGGAGGGGAGGTGATAGGCGTGGGAATCACGGGAAAATCAAAGGAAGAATTACCTCGAAGCGATGTTGGTCTTGCAGTACTATGTCGACAGAGCTTGGGTACTGCATTACTCGTCCTGGGATAACCTAGGTTACCGAAACGATCGACAAGTCCAGGTGCAAACACTGTACAAACAAGCTGTCATTCAGCGATTCTCAGGTAATGAGCTGCGCCATTCGACAATGTACTAGTTCAAGATAGGTGTTGGTCAAGCTGTTTAGCACGACTCTGACTCCACAAAAGTCAAAAGCCTATTCCCATAGATGCTCAATGGCCATGCTGAGTGCTGGCTCAACAAAGACATCAACAACGCATATCTCGAAGTTCTTGTTGATTACATAAAACAGAAAGACTATTCTTTCGTTCGCGGCAAAGGTGGTCCTTCTCTAGTCCACACATTCAAAATCATAAGGGTGTACATTGGTACGTCACGAATGTACGCATAATTAGATGGATATTCTAGAACTAGTGCTGATCTGTCTTCGATTTAGCTGTGGTTGGCTGCTCATCGGTCAAGTTATACCTCGAGCTCCTCAGGCGTTTAGCAACATGTAAGGTATGAGCATCAATCGTATAATCACTCGCGAGGGATTGCTAATCCATCTTCAGATCTACCATAGTCGGATGCACATCGTTCGATTAAAATCCCTGGATCCGACCGATCTCTGACCGCACCCACGCCATCAAGCTTTGAAGCACACACATGTTAGGCCACATGTCTACGCTGAAAAGCGTCTATCACCTTTGCGCCCTGTTTGGGGCTCATGTGAACTTCTATTCCCGACTTCATTGCGAAAGTACGCTTCACAGAGGGCTATCCCAGTCTAGTGCAAGCTGTCCTATCGCAGAAAGTATGACAGCAAGTAAGAGAGAGCTCTAGGCTTTTACCTTACTCTAGAGAAAAGCTCGCGCTAAGTTTTAAGCATATAAACAGACCGCCCCAATTTTACCGACGCTTCTGCTCCTTCCCCCTTCTTTATTCACAGATATTTTCAACTAAAACCACAAAAGAGCTAGCACGGAAACAAAAAGCGCGGTTTCCCTATGCCCGTCTTTTCCAAACTGTGGCCCTTCAACAACAGCGCTCCGCTTGCAGAATCTACCAGCGACATGTCTCCAGCGTCCAACCCCGCCACTAAGACCGAGCTGGAGCAGGACGAGCGGGCGAGCGCATATACGATCAGTGCGCTTTCAAATGACGGACAGGCAGATATGGACGCGACATTCGGGCCTAGTGGTGATGGGGTGGACGACGTGGTTGAGAGCGTGGAACAAGAGCACAACGTGCAGCAAGAGCTGGGGGCTCGTCACGAAATCGGTCGGATTATGGAGGGCGGAGATCGGGAGACTTCAGCAGCTGGTGCGATGATAGCCGACGCGAGTGACAAGCTAGGCTCCTGCGCAAGCCGACTTGGTGATGGTGTTGGAAATGGCAAGCGCGGAGAGCAGTCGCATTCTCAGGAGCAGGGCAAGACCACGGATCTGACACACCGTGAGCGTTTGGTTGATAATGCGCCGCTGATCCGGAAAGAGGATGCGTCGGAAGAGCAACCATCTGATCAATCCCACCGCGAGCATCAAACTGAAGGCCATCCGCATACCAAGACGGAGCTCGCTGAAGAAGAGCATATAATAGACTTGCACTCCGGCAAGTCTACGGTCGCCCAACACTCGGACATGAGTAACAAGCCTGGAAGCGGAAAGCAAGCGAATGCTCTACCCCCTGTCGAACGACCACTTCCATCTTCTCCGCTACCCAGCGACAAACATGGTCACGGAGAACAGCTCGATCTCTCAACCGCTCATGACGAGCCTCCCTCTGATCCTAGCAGCGACACCAATTTCATGCAGCAGATGAGCGCCCATTTCGGCAATCGAAATGGTGCAGATAACCAGCACCGCGTCAAACGTGAAGGAACTCCCAACAACATGCTCGAAGAAACTATGGAGTATTACCAAGAGGGAGCTGGGGGTACGAACTTGCAAGACGCACAACTACATGTGGCTCGATCGACGGAGCTTCAGGCAGGTTTGCGAGGTGAAGAGGCAGGTCGTAATGAGATGGTCTCCGAGCGGAAGATCTCGTCTGGTATACACGATGAACAGAGCTCCCATCAGAATGCGGCGCGCTTGGAGAACACTCACCGCGGTGGTCTCTCGCGTGGTCTGTACGAACCAGCTCCTTGGGATGATCGAAAGTGGGAGACTGATTCCCAGCAACCGCATCAGCATGTCGACCAAGGTACTGCGCTTAGGTATGCAGACGTGTTTGCACCGCGTCCGATGGGGCGATTCCCGCCTTCACCTCAACCTTCGTTCCGCAACACGATGCCCAATCCGCACGGGAGGCAGCCCTATACGTCTCAACTTGCACCAGGTATCTCGGACTATTCCTACGGCTCAGCATCTTTCCCTACTGTGCATGGGTGGCCGATGCCAGATCAGTCCATGCATGGGCATGGTGTGTCCGAGCAGCCCTCACGTCAGGGCCAGCCGCGTGCTCAGATACCTGCGAAGCGCAAGCATGAGGAGGATTATCTCGTGGATCCCGTCGAGGAGATGGATGAGTACCTTCCATCTGAGTCAGGAGACTCGGAAGACTCTGACTCGGAAGAGGATATACCTCTAATGTATCGCAGGCAAGCGGGAGGTGGCTCTGCACAGCGTAAGCGACCAGTCATCCGAGCTGGCAGCGATTCGCAGTCGGAGTATCAGGATGAGGAAGAGCAAGGGCCGAGCGAGGATAAGGACGAAGAAGAGAGTGACGAAGAGAATGAGGAGGAGCAGGCCGCCGGAGTACAAGAGAAAGAGCAGATCCAGAACATGGACGTTGACACCCGCAGTCCTACACAGGAGCCCGATGCTGAAGTGATAGCATCCGCTCTCAGTCTCCCCATTCAGCTTCCTCCTGCCGGCTCTCCTGCCGGACCGTCCGCCATCCGGCGCGCATTACCAGTTCCCCAGCCCCAAGCCGCTGCAGAACCAGCATCATTGGACGAGATATCCTTCAGGCTCCCTCAATATCACGTCGAAATCATCCCCATGAAGACCAAAGAGGACTTCCCGGAAGTTCGCGTCAATCTCCCCGGCATGCCCCGTGAAAAGCTCATACTTACTCCCGACCACGCACACCAGGAGATTCACCTACTCAAGCACCTGTTCATGCCGGGCCAGCAGAGCCTGGAGATCCCGGACCCACAGCCTATGATCGCACTGCTGAATTTCCACACTATCGCCACCATGGTGCTGGAGGCATACACCGCGTACGAAGTTGGTGACCTGGAGGCCAAGACGTCCAGTTCATCGAAGAAGAAGAATGACACTGAGGCGCTTGATGCCACCAAAGACGAAATCTTCTTCGCGATCATTGACCGCTGGCGCGTTGGAATGGCTGAGGAGACACTGAAGCCGAGCTACAAGCTTATCCGCGGGGTGCAGGAGTTCTGCGACGTTGCCCTGGATCTTATTTACTATCTTGAGGAGCACGGGTTTGTGGAGGGTCCGCAGATGATGCGGAAGGAGCGGAGTGATAAGGGGTTGAAGAAGAGCAAGGATGGCAAGGATGGAAAGATTGGTGGGGAAAAGGCCACTGGAGAAGACGAAGAGGACGATACAAGCGATGAGTCGACGCCGAACAAGAGGGGTAGGGGGAGGAAGCGAGAGAGCGAGAGCCCGGCGATATCAAAGGGAAAGGCCAAAGGGGGGGCAAATACGTTGCCAGCTAGGAAGAAGGCCAAAACGGCCCCCAAGGCGGCATCGAAGAAGACGATCAAGGTGAAGAAGGAGCCCATGGTTACAGTTGTGAAGAGGGGAAAGAATTGAGGCTGGAGGCCATCACGGAATTCGCATGCGCTTGAGGGATTTCTGTGGATGGTGCAACGACATTTCAGCATTTTCCGGTCAGAGCGGCATTGACTTTGGAGGTAATGGTCGTATGCAATCGCTTTCTGCATTTGCATGGGACGGAATATGGCTTCTGTAACAGAGGACCTGGTTTCTTGCTGCGGCATCCTGAAGCACATTGTAAAAATAAAAGACCAGTATGACTTCGAATTACACGAATGCTCACTTATTCATAGTGATGGCTTGTGCGATACTCACAACAATTACTGTGCAGTATGAAGTGTACCCCAAGACTCTGGTTTTCCTCGAATGGTCCTTGTGTTACTACATAGTACATATACAAAGTGGCGAGCTTGAGCGCCTGCATATTAGGCGTTGCGCAAGTGACGTCATGACTCTTGTACTCCAATTTACCCCTTTCGGACAACAGCTCTACCTTCCCCTTCCTCAACAGCCGCGACTCACCATGTCGGGTGCGCCTGCAGCTTCGCGAATATGACCCCTGAGATTATACTTTGAACCACTGCTCGGCCTTTTGTTGGACTTTCTGTGTGGAGATCACGATGGTCGACTCCCTCATTCGACGCGCCCCCAAGAACCCGCTCCTGTTTGTCGGTATCAATCTTACTGTTGTACTTGCCTGGGCTGGGTGCATAGGTGCATGGACGAGGGCGAAGCATTACAACGCTGAGGAAGGGGGCTATAGGGTGCATTGGGCGAAATGGTGAGCTGCACAGCTCGTAAGGCATTTGAGCAGGCGCTGATGAACAATCAGGATTCGGGATGGTGATGATATGCATGGTTTGTCGGTGAAAAGATAGCTAGGGTTTGCGAAGGTGTTGTGATGGTTCATGTGGTTTTTTTGCGGATGGATAGTGTTAATCGCCGGTGAGGCGGCAGTTTTGGTCACTGAAAGCTGCTAACAATCGAGTGAACATCCAAATATCGAAAGCATCATACAACTTGCGGCGAAGTGAGAAGTTATTGAGAGCCGACCAGCTTGAGGTTTCTGACGATGGCTGCCTGCAGCACTATGACGATCCATATGGCACCAGTCAAGATTGAAATGTATCTTTCTCATCACGCAAATTCATTATGGCATCTTCTTTTGCGTCCCCTGATTTCACCATCCGTAGCCCATACGCCGCGGGACTTGTTGAACTTTCGCAAGAGCTTCTGGACATGAGTGATAGCTATTACTTCATCCGCGACGGGGCCTACATCCTGAACTTCGAGTCTAGTTTTCGGCGGGTCACGACTCTATTAATGTAGCGCTTATGTACACTCACTAATAGATCAGTCAAGAGACGAGGAGATTCACACTGGGAGTGAACACTCTGATTGATCTCACATGGATGAGAGCCGCCGAGTGCCGCACTTTCATGAGAGATCTCTATGACGCGCCGGCATTCCCTACCAAACCCGCCATCTATCATCAATATTGTCCAAAAGCGGTTTTAATCATGCGCGCCGATCCCATATATAGACGAACTACCTCCAGGCATTGGGCCTGGAACAGAAGGCGATCTGTGATGGTACCTGGTTCATCTCAGCTACGCGAAGCCTTTGAATATAAAATCTTCACATTTTTGTCGTAAGGAGGCGATGCAGAAAGGCCTCAATGCAAGTCATTGGCTTCTTCAAATTGAAGATCGTTAGCGCTGAGGACCTGCTTCACTTGAAACCAAGGTCTGGAGTCTTCCAAGCGAAGAAGGTCTCAATCCGTACGACAGTTCTTGCAGGTCACAGTACCCTTTCGACCCAGGTAGGCACCATTTGAAGTATCACTACTCCGTTGCAGCTATAGCTATCGTTTTCCTGGAGTCCTTGTCTGGGACCACTCAATCCCAGATCAGCGATTGGTACTTTACAAAATCGTAGAAGCGTTTCAATTACGGCAACCCACTCGCTGTGCTTGATACCCTTCTGCCATATAGATCTGAAACTCCGAAGTATTAACAGGATAGATCCATGGGCGTCTGAGCTTCCGTCCGAAGACTACGGTACACATTGCCCACTTCGATCATCGGTGTTTGCACTGCTAAAGCTACTGTCTAATGCATTTTTCGAAGCATTTACGTTACCAGCCACGGGAACCCCCGAAAATCTCCTTCTGGTATGCACCCTAGGGCATGAAAAGCTTCTGCTTATGCGGTCGATTGCGTCAACCCAACGATTTCACGTTGATCAGGCACAAATCTTAGAGCCGAGAATGATCAATTTTGTTGAAATTTGGAGCAACTTTGTTTATAGACTGGATGCATAGACGATAAGATTGAAACTGAGGTAAAGGTGGCCATGAATGTAGCGACACAAGCCTAACTCAAGCGTCTCCTATACTAGAACTGGCGCGATTTTACCCCTCAGCATTTTACTCCCTACCATGCCACGTGAGGTATAATGATTATGGAAATTTGGCATATGACATTGAAGTCTACAGCTTACTATAACAACATTGTCCGTATCTATGACCTGAGAACTCTTGGAGTTCCACCAGCACCCGAAGCTACCATCGTCATGCATCAACAAGCCAACAGTGAAAATCCACTATCTGCATCCTCTTCAAACGCAATGCTTGCCCAATCCCCCGCCTTACTCAGCGCCAACTGGAACTCAAAAACAGTCCCCTCACTACACTTAAATGTCGCGATCGGACTGCTTGTGATATCCGTCGTCTTCCCGCTGGCATCCAATTCAAGCGCGTTGAAACTCCCAATAAGCTTCTTATCGGTGCTGCTGTGGCGCTGGTATACGTTGAGCTTGGTGGCGGCATTGCCGGACACGTGGACAGGAAAGTCGCGCTCGAAGTTGCCGAAGAGAGTGCATTGGCTGCTAGAGGAGGAGATGGTGGGCTGGAACTCGAGGATTTGGTTCTCGAAGTAAGAGGGGTCGTCTGGGAAGTCGGCGGTGGGGATGGAGGCGGAGGCGTAAAAGCCTGGGTCCGAGACGGTGCGGAAGGAGGTGCAGGCACGACGGGTGGTAGAGGGGAGGGCGAGAGTGGTGGCGCTGAGGCCGAGAAGGGCGAGACTGTTGAAGTACATTTTGGATTGTACAGTGTGGTGAGTTTGGTATTTATGAATGACTTGAGATGTGATTGATATTCGAGGGTGTTAGCACGACTCGGCTCTTTAAATACCAGTTGTTCTCAGTATGAACCTGAATCTTTCGTACTTCTACACCCCAACAAGACTAGAGGATGTTCAAAGTTCGTACTACACTTGTTCTGGTGAATAGATTCCAGGACATGTCGAGGCCAAGACGTTGAGGCTGCATTGATAACGCACTAACGGCATGACCACGGCTGAGCATGTCTGCGAGAAATGATTTGTACCAGCCGAGCTATCCTTGCTGTAGAATCATACGTTCGGCTCTATCACATGTTTTCGGGAGCTCTTTTTAGCGCTTTAGTATTCACTCGCGTGTTTTTGTACCTTTCGAAGCCGGCGCAATGTCCTATGACCTTGATGGTAATTGTGATCAAGGTCTTCTGTCGTTCGGCCGATCCCGCAAGCAGAGTTCTAGACCGGGAACGGGGAAGCATCGCCTGGGCCCTGCTTCCCGCCCGTCCGTCGTGCCGCTGTAGGATCCCGTCGACAGGGAACTTGTAAGCGAAGCCTCGAAGTCATCTTTTTGATAGGCTTCTCGTTCACGCTTTTCCCGTTGGGGTTACACGTGGCCCGCGCGACAACACCTCGACGCGGGCTTTTCCGTGGCATGTTCAGCTCGGTGTAAGATGCTGCGAGGCAACTGGTCGTAGTTTTCGTCTGTACGAGAAGGAAGCTTATACTGCACAAGCCACTTCCTGTGTATGCTCCTGCGAACCTTTTGAGATGGATTAATCCACCAATTGATTGTTCAAGTTGCTCGACGTTGGCAGAAGTTTGCGTTGATATGCTGATACCTGATCCAGAACCGTACAGTCGGTGTACGAAGCTGACGTCTCGCGCGGAACTCTTCAGTCAATGTGAGCCAGTAACATGAGCATCGTACCTTGAGTGGCAATACTAACGGATGATCCTTTGCGAATACTGCGGTTCAAAACGCCCCAACATCGTGACTTGTACTGCTCCCGGCCTGTGATGGAGTTTGCGATGTATGTTTAGTCACGAAGACACAAGACGAGGTAGGCTCGTTGTCGTATGCAATGGAAAGGGATTAGAATCGTCTCGACCGTAAAGTATTTTCCCTTCGTAAGGGCCGAGCCGTTGGGCCTGTTTAAGGGTGCCGATTTCCCCCAGACCGAGCAAACAGAGCAGAACAAACCGTTCGATCCTACATTACCTACTTCGGGAAGCAAAGAATCCGTGATGGCCCGAGACTTCTGAATTTGGCAATGTCTTAGTGTGGCCTGCACTCTCGACAAAATTATAGTGGCCGAAGTAATGGTCTAGAGTTTTGTTGATCGAAATCAGTGCCAAGAGTTTCCGGGCGTCGTTTGCGTTCCAGGACACAATACACAGATGTTGTCACGATGTCACGTAATCTTCACGAACATTGTGAGTCCCTCTTTCGTGAGAAATTGAGCTGCACGAGGAATACATCCCGCCCCCTAAAATGGAAGCAGACACGGGAGAACAGGATTTGGCTCCAATGCTGGCTTAGTGATCGTGTGGCTGCATACCAGCAGATACTCAAAAAGTTCGGTATTCTCACTTATATCAGCGATTTTCATTGTGAATGATATGGAATCAGCGTACAGACTTTTTCCGAAGATAGTGACGCTCGATACAATACTGCTTAATCGAGACCAGCCGTCCGTCGTTGGTAACAGGCCCCTTGGGAATGTGCATGGATGCACAGAAAACCGGCGATAGGCCTTGAACAGCTTGAACTAGAATGAACGGGCGTGTTTGATGGCACGTGGGTGACCTCGATATCGAAGTAACGTGACCGACGCTAGTGATATCTTGGCACTCCCGAACCTCCGACACCCTCTGGAAAGTTCGTCGCACTGGATGACAACCATCCCAGCTCTAATGGCGCACCCACGCTCCTTTCCGCTTTCCTTGAGCAGAATAACCGGTCACTCAATAACGCCTGCACGACGGTCATTACCTCAATTAATCTCGCTTCCGCTGCACCAGACTACTAAGCGATGTAAAACGACGAAGACCCACGACAGCAAGAAGAAGGCGCGCAAGCACTTCATCCAACATGACCTCCGGAAAGCGGACCAATTCTCTTTGCTAGATGCGATGCAGTACGTCCGCGTCCACATTATATGTCTATCCAGCAGCCAATGCTCACCATGCGTAACAGCTACATCCGCGCCTTCGAAGTCGGCCGCAACCCAACGTCCTCCAAATACGAAATGCACGTTCGCTTTCGCACGCTCAAAAATGGCCCTGCAATTCGAAATCGCTTACGCCTCCCGCACCCTGTCAAGACCGATTTGCGCATCTGCGTAATCGCGCCGCCAGACTCTAAAGCCGCCGCCGAAGCCCGCGCCCAGGGCGCCTCGCTCGTTGGCGAAGATGAGATCTTCGCACAGGTCAAGGATGGCATCATCAACTTCGACCGGTGTATATGCTACCTCGACAGTCTGCAGAAGCTGAACAAGGCTGGGCTGGGAAAAGTGTTGGGTCCCAAGAGGCTGATGCCTTCGACGAAGACGGGCACGGTGGTTAGCAATGTTGCAGCTGTTGGAGCGATGGTGAGGGATATGGTGAGCGGAAGTGAATATAGGGAAAGAGATGCTGTGGTTAGATTGGCAATTGGGCAGCTGGGTTTCACGCCTGAGGCGATGCAGACGAATATCAAGACATTCATGGACTCGGTGAAGAAGGATATTGCGCGATTGGTGGGTCCCACGAAGGAGATACACGAGGTCGTTCTCAGCTCGACAAATTCGCCGGGTTTCACGCTGAATGGCGAATTCAAGGGCGCGAATTCGGTCGCGCCGAGAGAATTGTCGGGGCCATTGTAGCTTCAACCTCTGGAATTTTGCACCATCCAATTTTTGTATACTGTGACTAGATGTACAAACAATGTACAATACCATGCTTTCCTGGCCTGAGTGCCATGCTATATAATTGTCCATGCTGTTCATATTGGGTATCTTATCATTCACGCCTTCAAGCCCTTGAGCACCTTCACCGCCTCGCCCTCCTCCCCCATCTCCGCATAGACCTTCATGATACCCATGACCCTTCCCGACACCTTCACTGCCTTTGCCTGCTGCAACGCCGTGCTCAAATCCAGCAACAGCGTATTCCGCACCTTACTCATCCGCGGCGCCTGCGCAGCCACGAACGGATGCTCACCCAGTTTCTTCTCTGCCTCCCGTACTACCCTCCACTGCAGCACGTGCCGTCTTAGCTTCGCAATCGAAACCCCACCCACCACACCTTTGTCCTCATCCTCGTCTCCATCATAATCGTCGTCCTCCTCTTCATCACTAGTGTCACTCGCACCAGTGGCAGCCTCAATAACCAGGCCCTCTTCCAACCCCCTCAACCCCTCCTCATACCCCACAAGCTGCCTCCCAACCGCAATCTTCCTCCTCGTTTCTTCCCTCTCCCTCACCAGCCTCTCCACCTCTTCCTCCCTCTCCCCACTGTTCCGCCCAACTGACCAACCTCCTTCCTAAACCCCAACAACCCCACCCTCACCTCCTCCACGCGCTCATCCCCGCCTTTTAAACTCGCGCCTAGCGTCAAGAAATCCGTGTAGTGGGTGTTTACCAGGTCGAGCAGTTCGCGGGAGAGGAGTGCGGAGCGGGAGCGTAGCTCGGAGCGTAGGTCTTCAAGAGTTTGGTGGCGGTTGTGCAGGGTGGATAGGTAGGTTTGCGGGGTGAAATCAGGTTGTAGGAAGACGGAGCGTTCGAGGGGCGCTGGGTATGGCAGATCGGTGTCACTGTCTGAGTCTGAGGAGGCGCGGGTAGGGGAGGTTGGGGAGGACGAGTCGTCGATCTGTGTGTCATTAGAGTGTGTATTGAGCTACAAGTGTTCAAACTGTAATGTGATGCGATAATTGGAGAAAGGGCAAGGGAGAGACACGTACGTAGAAGCGACTCATGGCTGCTGAGCGCTATCGCATAGTGTTGTGGTGTTTCTTGTAAAGCGACCTTGGTCCCACAGCTCGCTATGGTTGTGTGCTGGCGTTGTCGTGGATGTTGTCTGCAGGCCGGAGATAAGCTACGTCGCACCCTGCCCGGGGAGCTTTTCCGAAATCGGAACGAAAGCACATCTGTGCAGCATAGTTCATTTCTAATCGCGGGGCACGCTATGGCTATGGCGTCAGGATAACTTACGAAGTTACCTCGGGAGTTTAGTCTTAAGCTTCCTTTTTTTACCGTGACTTGAAATTGTTTGTATATTTTCGTTGTATTGCTTCGTACCTACGGCCTCGGTCTTTAAAGTCTCCCACCAACGACATGCCTCTGCCGCAGCCCGACCTGCCAGAGCCAGCGCATCCTGAGGTCGACAGTATGCTTTCGAGGAAGTTTGGTAAGGAGATTGCGAACTACTTCTCTGGTATGCCTCTCAAAGTCGACCGTTGTGCAATGTTTAATTGAAACCGAACAAAGGCTCCCCTCTAAACCGCGTATCCTTCCTCCGCCCAGACCACGCCTTCCTCTCTCAAGCAATCCGACACCCCACCACTAAAGTCCTGCTGTTCAACAAACTCGAACCTCTCGTTAACTCGTCCACATCCATAGCGACAGCTAGCTTCGCCGATGTCACCTCTATCGTCGGCGTAGACCCATTCTCTAGAACCGAAGAGGATACGATTGCGGAGTACAACTCGAGTGTTTATGTCCCCCAGATAATATTTCTGGGACTGGATGAGAGGTCCGAGGGTCTGGTGTACAAAGAACATTACAAGGGCGTACCTTGGTTCGCGGTCGATGTCACGCCAAAAGGCAGTGTGACGGAGGAGTGTGAGAAGCTGATCAACAAAGTGACGGCGAATGGAAAGGAGTTCAGCAAGGGGCGGATGCATTTGAGCTTGCCTGCGCAGGAAGGTTGGTTGATCTTGTGTCAAGAGACGGAACATCGGCTGACAATCGCACAGCTGCAATTTATGCCGAAGCACGACACCTGCTTGACTGGAACGCGAGGAATCCATACTGCGCCGCCTGCGGATACCCCACGCTCTCAATTAATGCAGGTTTCAAGCGAACTTGCCCGCCGAAAGACATTGCGCCCGCTGTGCAGAACCCGGAGCGACCGCCCTGCGCAACCAGAACCGGTATCTCAAATTTGTGCTTTCCTCGAACGGACCCCACTGTCATCATGGCAGTCGTTTCCGCAGACGGTCAGCGCATGCTACTTGGTCGCCAGAAGCGCTGGCCACCGTACTGGTACAGCACGCTTGCCGGCTTCCTTGAGCCTGCTGAATCTGTGGAAGAAGCCGTGCGTCGCGAAGTGTGGGAAGAGAGCGGAGTCCATCTCGGGCGTGTGGTAATCCATTCGACTCAACCATGGCCATATCCTGCGAATTTGATGATTGGTGCGATCGGCCAGGCCATCCCAGGAGGGGAAGACATTCACCTCGGACATGACGCGGAACTGGAAGATGCGAAGTGGTTCACTGCCGAAGAGCTGAGAGAAGCGCTGAGGGTGGGTACGAGTGGCTTGGGAGAAGAGGCTGGATCGGAATACAAGGAGGGCGGGTTGCGTGTACCGCCTCAAACAGCTATTGCGAATCAATTGATGACCGCTGTGGTCAATGGATTCGCCAGCGGGAACCCGATGATATAGACACAGACGCTGATAGAATCGTAATTGAACAGTACTCCAAATTGTATTGGCAGTTATATCGCTTTTTACGGTAGGACGATGTACTTGGTGAGGTGCTGAGGTATCGCGCCGAGAAGCTTTTTCTCTTCGAGCCACTTCTTAGAGAAGAGTCGGTCTGCGTAGCGATAGGCGCCATCGCAAAGTAGTGTGACGACAGTGGAGCCCTTCCCGAGCTTCTCCGCGACCTCCTTTGCTGCGACGACGTTCAGGCACGAGCTGGCGCCCAGGTAAAGACCCTCTTCGTCCAAACATCGGTAGACCATCTCGATGGTCTTCTCATCGCTAATGTGCAGCGAGCCATCCAAAAGCTCAATGTCAGGCTTCAGGTTGTCCGTGACACGCCCTTGACCAATTCCCTCTGTTATCGAGCCTCCGGCCCGCTCTGCAAGCTTGCCTCCACTTTGGATGTATGAGTGTAGGACGGACCCTGGAGGATCAGCAAGGAAGCTTTTCACTCTTCCGTCGCTCTTCTCTTTTAGGTACCGGGTGACGCCCGCGAGTGATCCTCCGGTGCCTGTCGCACAGGTAAATGCATCAACCTTGCCCTCCGTCTGATACCAGATCTCTGGGCCGGTAGTCTCGATGTGCGCCTGCCGATTCGCGACGTTATCGAACTGGTTCGTCCACACAGCGTTGTCCAGGCTCTCTGCATGCCTCTTGGCCTGGTGGTTGTAATTCTGTGGGTTGTCGAACGCGACAGCAGGTACCGGGTACACCTCAGCACCCAACAGTCTCAGCAAGTCGATCTTGCCTTGCGACTGCGTATTGGGCATGTATATGACCAGCTTATAACCCTTCGAACGGCAGACGTGTGCGAGGCCGATGCCGGTGTTGCCTGCGGTTCCCTCAATGACGGTGCCGCCAGGCTTCAGTAACCCCAGGTTTTCGGCATTCTCCACGACGTAGAGGGCGGCACGGTCTTTCACACTGCCACCAGGATTCTGAAATTCCGCCTTGCCTAGGACATTGCAGCCTGTCTCCTCTGAGAGACGCTTGAGACGGATGAGCGGCGTCTTTCCAATTGCTAGCGTATATTAGAGAGATCTATTAGAGAATGGGTAATTCAACGTGCCATCGATGAAGCCCCGCTGGCCAATGCCTTGTGCTTTGGAGATGTTGATGCCGGTCTGGTAGCCGGCCTCCAATTGTGACAGGCTCTCTGCGCTCCGCCACAGCGAAGCTGCGAAGCGGCGCGGCGCGGTCCTGAACATGGTGCACGAAAGTCAAGCTTGCAATGCGTTGAGCAAGAGGCGTTGTCCAGCAAGGTCAGAGAGCTTTGTCTGCCGCGACTCAAGGCGCCGATTGCGCAATTGCATGACTCGCGCCTGTCGTCGCCGTCACGTGCCTACAACTCCGCAACGCGCTTATCCGCATCCAGTTCAGTCGTAAACAAACAACGCATCCCACCACCGCGAGCAAGACACGCCGACATACACGATGCCAGGACGAACATCGACGCGCTCGACGCGCTCAGCTCGCTCCTCGACCGCGACGACAACGACGCGCAAATCCGCCGGCAGAGGACGCAGCTCTGCAGCCAACGTAGAGATACCGGACGAGGGGCCCGAAACGTCCATACGCACCGAAATAGTACAAATATTCAACGATGCCCAGAACACGACCGCAACCCAGCGGAAGCTACAGACCATGTTGCGCAAGGTCCAGGAACGATGCTCCTTTGAGCAGCCTGAAAGCAAGAAGAAGAAGGCACAACAAGAGGAACAGTTCGACGAGCAGGATTTTAACAACGAGGTCGTACGCTGCGTGTTAAGAATACTCAACGTCAAGAAAGGTATACAAGAGGGGGATCGCGTAATCAAATTCCTGGGCATGTTCTTGAAGAACGCTTCTGAGAAGGGCAAGTTCACCGTGGGTGATGGTTGTCGGCCATGTGCTAACAGTACCTAGACCGCCAGATCTTCCAGCCAGACGGTGATGATGTGACAGAAACGCCCGAAACACCCACCAGCCGTCTCATCGAGCAGATCATCCGGACGCTATCCGGCATCCTCTTTCCCGGAGACGGCAACCCCGTACAGAATAAGATTGTCCACTTTCGAGCCACACAAGCCCTTGCACATATCGTCGGGCAGTTGCCTGCTCTCGACGTTGATCTATATGGCTTGCTAAGGGTCTATTTCAAAAAATTGTCTCGGCACAAGGAAACATCGGTTCGCGTGCAGGCTGTGCTGGGCCTCAGTCATTTTGTGAAGACCGACGAAGATGAAGACGACGAGGAAGACGATGAAGACGATGAAGATATCGCCAGCAACATCATGGAAAAGCTTCTCGACATGATGCAGAACGACCCGAGCGCCGAAGTCCGACGTGCAATACTCCACAATATAGAACCAAACAAAGAGACAATGAGGTACGTCTTTGAACGTGCTAGAGATATGGATCCGATGGTCAGGCGCATAGTCTACCGCAAAGTCCTCCCAAGCCTAGCAGATTTCCGCTATATGCGACTTGTTGAGCGAGAAAAACTCATACGATGGGGCTTGCGCGACCGAGACGATCTCGTGCGGAAGGCTGCTGCACGTGTATTCGCCGAAAAGTGGCTCGAAGACTGCGCTCGTACGTATGATATTCGTCCAGAGGAAGAGAAAAAGCCGGGCGAGCCCGCCCCACCCAGCTTGGAGGCTGTGAGGGAGCTACTCGAGCGTATCAATGTCGTCGACTATGGAGATGACGAGGGCATCGCACATGATGCCATGCAACAATTTTGGGAAATACGCACAGACTATCGCGACTTCGTCACGTTCGATCACAACTTTTGGAAACAGAAGTTGGATCCGCAATATGCGTTCTTGGCACGCAGTCTGATGGATTATTGCAACAGTCTCAATGAGATCACTGATATCCGATTGAAACAAGATCTGGAAGACAAGTTCCCTGACACGCCTCATTTCGCCAATATTGTTTTGGAACACCTTAACGCACTTTTCAAATCCATCCAGCTCTTCTACGACTCGGAACTTCCAGAAGATGATTCCGAGGTGATAAAGTTACAGGAGGACACGAGCGACAAAGAATTTACGGTGCAGCAACTCCTCCACATCGCTCTCAGCCTTGATTATAGCGACCCTGTTGGACGAAACCAAATGATGAATATGGTGCGTCAAGCTCTGTCCCGACCTGATCTCCCGGACGGGTGTACCAAGGTAAGTATCCAGGTTTTACGCGTCTGCTGCGATACCGAGGCCGACTTCTGTCAGCTCATCGTCGAAGCTATTGCCGAAGTGAAGGATACTCTCATGGCTGATGACGCCATCGTCACAGGTGACGACGTGGATGATGATGAGAGTTTTCATTCTGCCCAATCTGACGTCGAGAGCGACACCGGTGAAGCCAGACCGAAAAAGGCCAAGGCCGTGAAAGAGTTGAATCCCGAGGAAGAGGAAAGGCAGCGCAATACTGAGATAAATGTCTATCTAAAGTGTCTGGACATTGCTCAATGCATGCTGCAAACCGTCGTTGAGAGTGATTTTTCAGACCAGTCTTTAGCGACTATCTTGAACACTCTCATCATTCCGGCTGTTCGTGGGCAAGAGGCTATGATCAGAGAGCGCGGCCTCTTATGTCTAGCATTAGGGTCTATTCTTAGTGAGGTATGTCTGCTCAACATCTGCCCTATGCGTATTCTGATTGTTTCTACTTAGGATCTTGCGAGAAACAACATCGAGTTATTCCTCCATTGCTTTGCCAAAGGGCACGACGCGCTCAAAGAAATTGTTATCCAAGGGTTGGTCGATATTGTTTGGCAACACAAATCGCTTCTGAAGGCCGAACCAGCAGAAGAGGGAGACGAGCCGAAACCTAGCGAACTCGTCAAGAAGCTCACAAAAAGTGTCCTTCTTAAAGGCTTGAAATCGGACAACAACAACATCTGCCTGATCGCCTGCACAGCAGCCGCGAAGCTCCTTTTGTTCGATCTGCTTCCACGGGAAGAGACAGCCCACATTTTGAAGGACTTAACCCTGGCCTACTTCAACCCAGAAACGGCACAGCAACCAGGAGTCCGGCAAGCGCTGAGCTATTTCCTCCCCACATTCTGCCACTCCAAACTCACAAACGCACTCTTGATGGCCCAGATCTCGGTGCAAATCATCGGCAAGCTTTGTCAGATGAAGGAAGACATGGATGAGGATGATGACGATATGGTCGGTTGGCCGGTCATTACTGCACATCTTGCTGATTGGACAGATGGTCGCAAGGTCGTCAATCAAACACAAATGGGCCTTGACGGAAAATCTTCCACGAACTTAGAGGCAGAAGAGCCGCATATTTGGCTTGCTACTGAGACCCTGGAGTATGCACTTACCCGCAATTGCAGTAGAGATGAGCGCAAACCTGTGCTCACTCTGCTCACAAAGGCTTGTATTGCGCCAACTGGTCCCGCTCCCAATGAAGAGAAACTCAGCACGCTCCTGTGTCTTGTTAATGAGGCCGTGGAAAGCAAACTCGGCACGGATGCGACGCAGCGAAATTATCTCACCAAGCTTGAAGTTAACCTTACGAAGAGAATGGGTGATGTTGAGACTGTCACACAGGCTGCGGAAAGTGGCGCAGCGACGGTCACCCCAGAGGCTACGGAGATCCCAGAGACTGCACCTGCAGAAGAGGGAGCGGAAGAAGAAGAAGATACCATGATGGCTGGCATGCAAGGAGAGTCTACGAGGATGCCCTTAGACCTTGAAGAAGATGACGAAGTTGACATGGATGACGTAGCGAACCCGATCACAGAGGACGATATTGTGAACAGTCTATTGGCTAGTGAACTTGATGAAGATGGGGATGAGGATGATACCATTGTGGCGCCTGCGAGAATATCGAGACATTAGGTATCTGCTCTCCGAACTCGTTGTCTCCGAACTCGTTGTCTCATATTCTGACTGGCATGGTATTGGCGTTTGGTTGGTCATTCATAGGTTGGTCATCTTTTAGGTTGGTCGAAGCCTAATCGGCTGGCTAGGGGATAATGACGATACGACTGTACTATGAGGGTTGGGTTGGCAATGTCTGGTACATAACGGATCCTTGACTGTTCCTAGTGTGGTGTGGTCCATGACTTGTTTATCCAGGTCGTTGTTAATGCATTACCAAGTCACTGTTAGTCCCAATCTTAACGGCATGAGGTTGGCATGTGCGTGCATACATTGTACATCCACCACCTCTATGTTAACATGTGGAGTGATACGTTCTTTTATCACAACGTGCACTCGCACTGGACATTATAGCTTACCTATCTCCTCAATACATAACACTTGACATTGCTTAATAAAACAACTCTTTCATCGAACGCACCCACTCGTGCATGCATCACCCACAGCAGTTTCTTCGCCTTCAACCCAAGCAGGCTAAGGTATAGACATGGGCAATTCCCACTCTCATTCCCACCCTCATTCCCACTCGCTCTCGCGCTCCGACTTCATGACCGTCCGTCATCTCTCCGCCGAGGGCGATGGCGGCTTCAATCAAGGAGTCGTTCTCGTCCGCCACCGCCGCAACAACAAACTGTATATTGAAAAGCGCGTTTCCCTTCGCGCCATCCGCTCCGGTCACGCCACCCGCGAAGCCCGCGCCATGACTACGTGCCGGCACCCTCACATTATAAAAGCCTACTTCGCTGACCTAAACCCAATTTGCCGAGGATATGGGAGCATCTACATGACGTATTGTGAGTTGGGCAGTCTAGATGAGATGATTGAACGATTTGGAAGAAAGGGGGTTCGGCTGCCTGAAGGTTTCTTATGGAAAGTATTGTGGGATATGAGCACCGCTTTGTGCTATCTACAAACAGGCCAGAAGTCCTCACGTGCTGCGAGGGAGGGTCGTCCGATTGACCAGCGACGAGAAGGTTGGGATATTATACTTCATCGGGACATCAAGCCTGCGAATTTGTTTCTCACGCGTAGACACCAGGAGACGCAGTACCCGACCGTTGTCCTTGGAGATTTTGGTAGTAGCTTGATGGCGAGTGATCGCCAGTCTCCCCTAATGACGGCGTGGACGCGCCCGTTTGCGGCGCCAGAAGAACCAAGATACTCTGACACTAGCGATGTGTATTCGCTCGCCTTATCTATCCATTGTCTTGCGACGCTTAGAGGGACTCCGGCGAGTAGGACGAGCGTGAGAATCAATCCGGCGCTGGGGTACTGCTCTATCCTAAACGATCTACTGTTTAGGTATCTTAGAACCAGGCCACATGATAGGCCTAAAGTAGGATATCTGCCGTATTTGGTATTTAGAGAGATGATGGAAGCGAAGAGCGAGCGTGAGAGGAGGGGTATAAGAAGCGAGACCTTACCTACTTGGGCGTTCGGACAATAAGATTTGGATGATTTATTAGGTGGGGCAGGGTTTCCACGAGCAAGATATGATGTTGGTCATGCATTGCCGCTTGTTGATACAGAGGCTGTGTAAGAACTGTACGAATACAACGTTGAATGAGCTGATAAATTGCGTGTGACACTGTATGATTTTGGATGACCCTTCGCGTCCATTCTTCCTTTGCATCCTATGCTCATCAGTCCCTGCCAACGAAAGCATTCAGTACCTCACCAGGAACCACAAACTCCTGTCCCTCATTCTTCTTACCCCATTCCTTAATTCCCTCCTCCAACGCCCTAATCAATCCCTTATTCAACGCATACTCCCTAAAGCTCACCCTGCCCGGCCACCAAGCCAACACCTCCTCCGCTCTTGCCCCACTCCCCGCGTCCAACAATCCAACTGCAACATCTACTAAGCTCGGCCTGTTGTGCCCATCATAAAAAAGTCTCGTGCCGCATCTAGCACAAAACGGCCTAGTGACATCATCCCTGCTCTGGTACGTTTTGATGGTTCCCCAATAGGGACTCCGAGCGAAGGGGATATGACCTTCCGCGTCAAGCGTGATGTTAGCGGTGGGAATGAACGCCCAGAAGGTGATTTCAAAGCCTGAAGCACGCGTGCAGGAACGACACGCGCAGGTGCCGGCTAGATAGCGATTGGGCGCGGGGAGCCACCATGGGATATTCTTGGCGTTCATGGAAGGGCCTGTCTTGTCCGCAATAAGTAGATCAGGCCATGGGGATGAGGCTTTACGAGAAGCTTCGTTCGGGCGCGAAATCCAGAATTCTACGCCTTTGCAGTGGCAATAGGCGTATATTCGCTCATGTGTCGAAGGAGAAGCATGGATCTGGCCGCGCCAGTCTGAGGAGACTATGTCACTTTGGCGCGGCTCTTGAAGATATCGATCTAAGAACCTGCCGTCGATGTGCGTGATGAATTGGCTGGCTCCACCGTCGGAAGTGTCTTCGATCCAGATGTGGGCCTTGAAATGGAGGAGGCCGTCTGTGCTGTCGAGTTGGAGTGTCCCAGTTGCGGCTTCGAAGTGGCCATCGTGGCTGTATTCGAGATACCTGTAGTTAGGGTCGTTCATTAGCTAAGAAATGGAATTTCGCTCAATCTAGCACTTCCGTAAAACTACATGAAGAGAAACTGGTTTCAAGTTGCCTTGCAACGTACATCTGTGTCCCGCATGTCGAACAAAAATGACGCGTCAGGGTAGCTGAGCTCTTATACGGCGTCAGACTGCCTAAGTCAGGCTTCGGTGGTCTCGAGCCATACGTGATGTTGAAATAGCTGGTTAGTAGAGATCCAGATATTCGGCGAGATATGTTGCAACTGCAGAAATGGGTAGGCATCGGAAGACACGACGTGGGCACGCTGAAGGTGTGGGTGGCAGCGCCGCACATGCAGGCTACTGTCAGTTCCCTGGATTCTGCCATCGAGGAGTGGGTCCGGGAGGTCTATCCAAGCCCATCTAGAAGAAGCCCAACTGAGAGGGATGTTGACGCTGTCATTCGAAGTGGTCGCGTTGTAGATGGCATTGAGTGGAAGTTACCCCGCTTTTCGGTACCACGATGAGAATGGATGGCGAGATGCGAAGCATCCGTGCTTTGTGGAAAAGAAGGTACCACCTCCCACCGCGCTGGAATCAGCAATTCGTGGATTTTCACTAACATGGTGACATAGGGAGTCAAGTATTGGTCAATCTACCTTGGTACACTTAGTTTAATAATCTAACATTCTAGGCTCTACCACGCCCGATAAGATGAGTTGAACAACATCTGACTAACACTTCACTCCCTATACTCACTATCCTGATAGAACTTCTAAATCCAGCACCGTGGGAGGTGGCACCACATGCTTTCCGCAAACGATAATAACCTACACTAAGTACATTCCCCATAGTATATCGTCATTTCTACATCTGCTTTTACTCTCCAGTAAGACGACTAAGGCAGACATCACTTGCGAAGAGTTAACAGCTTGACGTGGTACGAATTGTCCATGTTAGCCCCAATCTACCAATGCAAGTCAGCTAATATAGAAATCGATATAGTATCTATGCCTTGAACGGTGAGCAAATGCTTAGTGCTACAACCTACACGAGCGCACACTAATGGCCGTCTAGACGCACCCGATACCCAAGGCTCCGATGATGATGCACGATTGGAGCCTGCGGCAGAAGCCTTTCGCGATTCTACTTTCGGACGGGACGGGACGCCTTTAACATGATGCCACAACGGACTAGCCTCCGCACGGTCACTTGGGGTAAGGACGTTCCACAATTGTCGGCGCCTCACAAGCCTTCTTCGTAAGAAGCTTCCTATACGAAGCGCCTCCTGGTAACTAGTGTGAGCCACTGACAAACAAGACTCTGTTAGTCCCATTTGAAACTTGGATACGTAAGGAAAGATGGTGCTCATTGGCCTCGCTCGCTTGCGTTGGAGACCAACATAAGCCGGCTCTACGGGTAGTGAATACGATGCATACCAGGAGTGTGATTCATGTTAACCAATCCGACAGCGTTGGAGCTGTTCTGGACCCATACGCTAGCGCAAGGCTAGGTCAAGGCTAGGTGTCGTGAGCCTAACCCTGCTCACATGTGCAATGACATTCGCTCGCTTGACTGTCACCTCAGCTCGTACCTGGAATTGGGCGCGATGCAAGATTTGTCCATGCTGGCATGCAGATCTTTGACCAATTCTGATTCAATCAGCTACCCGACGACCAGGGAAAGTGACAGATAGTCTCGTAGCATCCAAATTCCGCGTCGTAACGCCACGAATCCTACAAGACAACACAGACAAAGCCTGTATGTTACGCGAAAGTAGGAATGGTTTTCTGATGGAACTCACTTAAGTATTGAACAGCTTCAGCCCATAAAGTCAGTCTTTCCCTCCTACATAACCTTATATGGGCTTGAGCTTCTGCCAATCTCACGATACCTGCTATCATGAAGTACTTCACCCTCGCCACGGCCTTCAGCATAGCGACTCTTTTCGAAGGTACCATTCAAGACTGTTCACAATGTCCATCAGATCAGCCTACCATATCTGCACCTCATCGAAATATCTGGCGCCCACTGTCTGCTGACGAGCAGATTGCTGTCTCCGAAATTGTCACTCAAAAGCTACGTGTGAATCCTAATCCGGCACCAAAGTAAGTAGGGACATAGCAAACGCGGAATCAATGAAGTATTACTGATATATCCCTAGCACGACAGAAACGGTAGCGTATGGTATGGTCTGGAGAGGCTGAATTACGGACAAGCTTACGCAAATGCAGGTTAGGTGTAGGCGGCATCACCCTGCTTCAACCGAACAAGTCCGTTTCTCTGCAATTCATCGACGGTCTTGGAAATGAACCAAGCCGCTTCGCCCGCGCTACTGTATTGTTTACTTCACACGAAGGGCCTTACCGTCAAGAATACGTCGTGGGGCCACTACCGGCTACTAATTCGACACCAGTCACACCGCTCACATTTCCTTTCAACAACGAGCAGCCTGGAAAGAGCAGATCTCCGTATCTTTATGCTGTCAACAGTACTGACGAATGGATCGCTGCGCTCAGTGATGAGATTGCGAATATAACCACGCAGGTCTGGAACTCGGTCAGTAAATGAGAACCTTTCCAAACATTGTTCTAACACCTAGAAGACAATATTAGAAGGCGGTGTTGCTCCACGTCTCGGCAATGTCTTTTATGAAGAGGACGGCACTCAATCAGTGTGGATAACGCTATACGGACCATCGCCTTCAGGCTTTGATAGTACTACTCTGCTGTCAGTCGGTTCAGAAGACACATCACTTGGAAAACTCTAACATGAAGTACTAGGCCTCTCGGTGTCTTCTTCCAAGTACACCTGGCTGGTCCGCGATGGCAAGACTGGAAAGTGACCAACTGGTACTACCGCGGCGAATATTATGAGAGCACAAAAGATATTGAAGATGCAGTCTATGCGTCGACGTTCGAAAAGCCAGTTCCCAACGTCGACGGTGCCTGGACATCGACTGACAAGCAAGGCGAGCTACCATTGGACGACCTGCCTCCTCCAATCACAGTGTCAGAGGGTAGCAGACGATTCAGCATGGACACGAAAGAAGAATTTGTCTCGTGGATGGATTTCAAGTTCTACATGGCAACTTCACCTGAGCTGGGCCTTGCTTTGTTCGATGTACACTTTCAGGATCAGCGCATCATCTACGAGCTTGCACTGCAGGAAGCACTGGCTCATTATGCCGGATCAGACCCTGTACTTTCCGAGACACTTTACTTTGACTCTTTTGGAGGGATGGGCAACTCAATGATATCGCTTGTGAAAGGTCATGATTGTCCCGGACATGCAACATATTTAGATGCTGCGTAGGTTTCTTGGACGTCATCCACAAGCTCAGACGTTGACTCTGACAACTATGACAGGGTACCAAATGCCATCTGTCTCTTCGAAGCCGACACGAACTATCCCATTCGAAGACATTTCGCGTTTGCGCAGAACTACACTAGCGTTGCCAGAAACGTCGTTTTCACAGTTCGTTGGATCGCCACTGTCGGCAACTACGACTACCTCTTCGATTACAGCTTTTTCTATGATGGCTCCATAGAGGTTTCTGTCCGTGCATCAGGTTACATATCAGCCGCGTACTTCGCGGAGAACGATGACTACGGTTTCAGGATCCACGATTCCCTCTCTGGAGCCCTTCACGACCACGTCATGACATTCAAGGTGGATTTAGACATCCTTGGAACATCTAATAGTGTCCAGAAAGTGGAAGTGGTACCAGCGACAGTTGAGTATCCTTGGTCGGGAGGGAAAGCTCGAAAGACGATGAAGCTGGAGAAGAGTTTCATTACCAAAGAAGAAGAGTCTGGTATACCATGGGCGCCTAATGATGCAGCGATATACGCCATTGTTAACAAAGGTTCACCAAACGTTTATGGAGAGTACCCAGGATATAGGGTGAAGCGAGGTAAGCTATCGTCCGTACCATGCATAAGCCGGACCCGAGATTGATAATCGCAGCTGCTGGTGCAACCCATCTTACCGTGAAGGATTCATCGAATGCTGGTAAAGCTATCCATTTCGCGACGGCAGACTTGTTTGTCACAAAGCAAAAAGACTCCGAGCCCAGAGCTGCCGATTGGGTCAACACCTACGACGTGGACAACCCCCTTGTCGACTTTTCCAAATTCCTGGACGGCGAAAGCCTAGAGCAGGAAGATCTGTAAGCCCGCGATCCCATTCCTTGCTTTGCTTCTGCTAACACTTTCTGTACAGGGTCCTTTGGTTCAATCTGGGAATGCATCATGTCCCACACACTGGCGATCTGTAGGTTAACATTCATGTAACCCCTTTATATGTTATTGACTGAGACGTAGTCCAAATACTCTCATGACATCGGCGCACTCTGCTATGCGCTTAGAACCGATCAACTACCTCTTGAGCGATCCGTCGATACAGACTAGTCAGCAAGTCAAGGTCAATCATACTTCGGGAGAGGTCGAGACATTTGGAGCCCAGACCGCAAACTGCTCGGTCGATTTGGTGAGTTGGGACGTGCCTTGTTAGAAATTATGGACTGACATGTGCAAAGGGCACATTGAACCAAGTTCTCGTTTGAAGGACCTTCTCTCAGATGAGCAAATATGTAGTCCTCCCACACGCTTGAGCATATAGTGTATGAAAATCGGTGAACGCTTGTACCTGATGGACGGCAGCATAGGATGTCTTTCAACTCCCTGACCTTTAGAATGCTTGTTCTGTACACCGCCCGACCTCGTAATTGGCTGTATTCGTCTGCGGTGCGTTGCGTATTTGCATGATCCTGACACGCTTTATATAAGAATTACATTGCAAATATCTAGCAGGAGGGCACACTGCTTTTGACCATTACCTTGAACGGAACTTAGCGAAACTGTGACTGCAGATGCAAATGATACTACGGTTACGCTTCGCGGTTCAAATGGCTACTCCCAATCCTATACCATGGGCAGGCACACGACGCTTGGTTCCTGACAACGGAGCAACTGTCATGTCATCGAGCGCAAACTTGATTATCAGCAACGCGACTAACATAGAACCGTTCTTTGACTCGAGTCAAACTAGGGATACCCTACAAAAGAAGCGTGGCAAGCAGACGTCGAGCGCAAGATAGACGCAGCAGCTGCTAAAGGCTATGAAGACTCTCGAAGAGAAGCCAATGCGGATTCCAGCGAGCTACTCGGTAGCGTTGAAATTAGGATTTGGGAACATCGCCGTCTCTGAGCCAAATCCTCGAGTGGAGAATCCAGGACACCGAGACGGCCATGGGGCGGAAGCCCCTCTCTCCGGTGTTCGCACTGAGTCCCGGTCGCGCCTTTGCCTTGCTGGTCAACAGCACACTTTAAAAGCTGCCGAGGTGCTGCTCGATCGTCGTGGTTCGCGAAGTTCGCGCAGAACTGGTTGATCGCGTACGTGGCTGATCAATCAATTTGCAAGAGCGCTCCGTGGTGACTATGCGTGAAAATAGCTTGTGCAGTGGTACGCTGTGTATCCGCCTAACAATAGCTTGTATAACATCGGCATGAGCAACAGCGGGAGTGCTGATAGATGGACATTCCAGATTGACGGGAACTTTGGGCTTGCAAGTAATGATGAGTAGATATTGCCACAGAGCGACGCCAGTATTGTGCATATCCTGACTGCGCTGCCGAAAGTGGTTCCAAAGGAAAATTTGAAGGGTCTGGTTGCGAGAAGGGACTTCGAGATTGTTATCGGGTGTGACGGAGGTAAGTTAGTCAATCCGAGTGTGCTCTCAAGGGCCAGGGAGGCTTCGGAAGTTAGAGTAGGGAGCGGGGCAGAAATTGAGGTAGACGGGCGGTCGTATGATGGAGACGGTGAAGGGCAGAACGTGCAAAGTTACGTTAAGATGATGCATTGACGATTACTTTAGTTTACAAGGGTAATATTTACATATGCAATGCAAGTATGCACATGGACAGAAGTCCAAGGTACCATGGAATCGGTACCGACCGAGCAGCTCCCTTAATCAGGTCAGAAGTCGTACTCGACGGTACCCTTGTTACGCTCCCGGGGTCACGATTGGAACCCTCCGAACCAGTCTCAGATGCGGACGCAGTAGCCGCGGTATCGTCTAATCCGCTTCCTCCCAAACTTGAACGTGATGGAGCTAGCACAAGGCTGCTTGTTACAGCCGGCCCGCTCTGTGTATCTATCGCAAAGTCTCCGGTTTTCTGTGCAGACACTGCATCAGACCCTCCATGGGAAGCTACTTCAGTGAGTGGTGCAGCACTGACATCCAGACCCTCGATATCTATAAAAGCAATGGAAGTCTTTTCCCCGTTTTTCAGATTGCTGATTTGTACACCATCGCTGCCCACAGACACGATCACATCTCCCACCGTCTGTGCTGGATCTCCATTTTCGATAGTTGTCTCCACGTCAAAGACTAACGAACCATCAGCTGGAGTGATTGTGAAGGCGCCTCCGGTGCCAAGCCCAATCACAGTGCCGATTGCATTCTGGCTTACGCCTCCTACGGTTATGGATGAGGTGCCACCAGCAGACACCATGGTCAAAACATTAGACGATAGATGGAATGTCGTGCTACCGATGACAGCTGAGCCGGATGGAGCGATGGTAGTAGGAGAGTGGATCACTAGACCTTGACCGTCCTGAGCAATGGGTATGACAGTCGGACCAGCTGTGATTTGTGGTCTGGAAGCTTGGGCAGGAGCTCCTGTTGGTGATGACCCTGGAGTATTGCCGTTCTCGGTAGGACGAGGTTTGTTCGATAATTCGCCTCCAGTATTACTTGAACCTGAGGAGCCAGGAGCAGGATCTCTAGCAGTCGAGCCGCTCGAGGCAGGAGGGTCAGCCGGAATCGATGCAGGATCAGCCGGTGCTGGTCGGCTTGACCCAGGGTTGTTGGGCATTTGACCACTGGTTGCGGGATCATTGGAAGGAGGGTCGTTCGTCGTCGGGAGATCATTGGTAGGAGGATCACTGTTGGCAGGAGAATCATTTGTGGGAGGATCTTCTGCAGGAGGGTCATTCGCAGGGGGTTGTTCGAAGGGGTCAATCGGAGGGTCATTCGTAGGGGTCATTTGTAGGGGTTCATTCGTAGGGGGTCATTTGTGGGTGGGTCATCGGTTGGAGGATCATTCGTAGGTGGGCCGCTGGCTGGAGGATCGCTGGAAGGAGGATCGTTCGGTGCGGGATCCGAGGTCTGAATGGGCAACGCGCTCACTGGGCTGGCTGGTGTTGCTGGAGTGCTTGCCGGATCAGGTGACGTTGTGGTAAGGAAAGCGGGCGCACCGTGAAGAGCGATAGGAGGGTCGAACCAAGTGAAGCCACCTGGGATGTCGCAATCTGCCCACTCAGGATCCAAGTGCTTGATCGCCTGTGGAAGGATCATCCAAGGATTATATTTCCCAGGTATGACCGAGCTCAACCCGCAGATAGCTGTCTTGCAATATTGGTCGGAGCTGGGGCCGAATTCTTCTGAATTCCTTGTCGGGAAGGTCATACCCTGACCGCCAGCGTAGGCACTCCACGGAACAGGCTCGTTGAAGTCTGCCCAGTTTACAGGCCAAAGCCCACTGTTCACCTCGTTTGCTCGGTCAGATTGAACATCAGTGGACGCAACGGGGAATGCAACGTCGTGCATAACAGTGGTATAACCACAATTATCACCCACTTCCAATTGGTCTATGGAGATGTAAACCTAAGACAAATGCATGATTAGAGATCGATCGTGGCCATGCGCCGTCTAGAGTTCACTCACATTGCCTTTGTAGAGCGTCTTCCCATTCTGCACAACAAATCCTTCTGTAGTAGTAGGAACGTAGCCTACGATGGACGTTAGTTTGAACATGAATATATAGGTGCGGGATACTCACTAGTGACAGGGACAGGAGGTACGGCTTTTTGAGTCGGCGAATAGGCGCACATATCCCTAGATACATTTCTGGTCTCAGGGAAGTAAAATAGCTTCAGACTGTTCCAATAGCGCTCTTGGACACCTGGTGTTGGTACTGGGCCCTTGTCGCCCCCTCCGAAACGACATGTGGTCCTCGTGCAGCCGACGGTGCAACCGGGTGTCAAAGGCGAGGTCAAGGTCCCAAGAGTGGAGCTATACACCGCGTCGGCGGATGTATAGCTGCTCCACAACGGTCTGCAGTCCGATGCGGGTATTGTGCAATTTGGCGCAGGCTCAGTGTAGGTGAGTCGCGTTGGGAAGGAGTAATCGGTTTCGTAGTACGTTCCAGGAACCAACACCGAACTAGTTATGGTCAAGTTGCTTGCGTAGCAGATTTTCCCGCAGGTGGAGGAGCATGTCTGGATCCCAAGCAAACTCGTGCTGACGGATAGAGTCTTTATAGATTCCACGGTTTCAGTCGTGTAGCGTCGTATCATTTTTGAATTATGCGTCTGCCATGCCCTATTGCAAGATTGTATATTGCCTACAAAAGTGGATTAGCGTAGAGTTCCGAAGAAGTCATGGACCACCATACCGTTCGAAGAGGATGAGTTGAGCGATCTCGACGGAGACGGTGTGATGGTCGAGCTGAAGGACGTCTGCGTGCTTGACGCATTTTGAAAGCTCTGTGCAGTCACGTACGGCGACGAGAGCAGCCCGAGAAGGGCGACGCAACGAAGACGAAAGAACATGGCTTCTTCACCCTGTCAGACACACAATGTGCACGCGGCCAATATATGCCATGCGTGCCTAATCAGCCCTGCTTGCGGAACCTGGGAAATAGGCCCCCACAGTAGCAGGGCCATGTTCGGGGCGATGATCTTCGGGGGCTAGTTTGAATGCTTCTGGACGGGGAGCGTGGAACTGTGTACAAACGTCCTGGCATTGTCCATAATAGGGGGTGCATGACAGCCTTGCGGTGAGTGATCGACCAATCATGAAGAGCCACCCCGACGAGTTTCGCCAGACTCGCACGAGTCAATTTGGCGATGGCCGTTGTTTGGCCCGCTTCGGGCCGCCCCATGTCGCCGGGCGCAGGAGTGAACGAACTTCGGGCGATTTCTGTCGCTGCGGGCGGCTAAAACGTGGTCTAAGCCTCAAGCTTATGTGCTCAGCAAGAACACCTTCACGACACTCATGTAATGCCGTTGCTTGTGCTTGTGATCGTGTCTTCGGTCCCTTGATGTGCCACATGCGCAGTCGTGGTGGGTAGAATCTTGGGAAGACGGAAGTCATGACGCGACGCGCTATCCTCAAATAGGTACCCCTGCTCTTACGTCATCCTGGTACACAAAGCCAACCGCCTTGTGTACATCTCAATCGCACATGTTCTCGACGTCGTGACCATCACACCCCGCATGGCTGTACCCAGAAATTCTTTGCGCGGCTTCCTAGCCCACGCTCGAAGCGCACTCCGAGGCGCTGTCGAGTCAAGCCAAAAGGTCACCATCGTTGTTGGAAATGAGAGCGCAGATCTTGATAGCATGACATGCTCCATCTTGTCCGTTCTTCGCAGTATTCCAGGCAACGAACGACGTTTTTGGCTGACTAGAGCACCAGATTTGCATACATACGTTCTATGGCTCCATCCCGAAACGCATTCACTCCACTTTACATCCCAATAGCCAACATACCCAAGTCAGCCATTCCACTACGGCCCGAATTCCTGGAGCTTTTCAAGCATGCCAACTTAGACTCTCATTACCTATTAACGCTAGATGATCTGCCTGAACTGTCCACTATCAAGTCCAAGCTGCCCCCTGAAAATACGAAGTGGATCCTGGTAGACCACAACGCCTTACAGGGCCAGCTTGGCAAAATCTATGGCGATACGGTGGGAGGCGTCATCGATCATCACGACGAAGAAGGGAAGGTACCAAACGAGACTGGTGACGAGCCCCGCATAGTCGAAAAGAGTGGCAGTTGCACTAGTCTTGTCACCGAGTATTTACGACCATCGTGGGATTTGCTTTCGGACTTAGGAATGTCCTCGGGTGCTGCCCATGCACAAGGGGACAGCCTATCAGACGACAGTGCACTCGTCAAAGTGTGGGACGCTGAAGCTGCCCAACTCGGCCTCGCAAGCATCCTTATTGATACTGCAAACCTTAGCGATACGTCCAAGACTACCGACCATGATCGAAAAGCGGTCGAGTACCTTGAAGCCAGGATTCTGTCCTGTCCAAAGCTTGCCGCGAGCTTTGACCGCAACAAGTTCTACGAGCAGATTGATACGGCGAAAAGGGACATTGGAGGATTGCAGCTGCAGGACATACTAAGAAAGGACTACAAGTTATGGGACGATAAGGGCCAGAAACTCGGCATCAGCTCAGTGGTCAAGAACATTGAGTTCCTGCAAAAGAAGGCTGCAGACGAAGCAAACACCTCCGCAGCAGGTGACGCCTTCTTGGAAGCAGTCCGACGGTTCGCTACAGAGCGCGAGCTTGACTTATACTCCTTAATGACCACGTCAACTTCCGCAGAGGGCCGATTTCAAAGAGAGCTCCTTGTTTGGGCGTTCAATGAGCCCGGCATCGCAGCCGCGAGGAAATTCGCTACCGAGTCCTGCGATGAGCTGGGCCTTGAAGATTGGCAGAGTGGAGACGGTAAAATGTATGACCACGACGGCGACGGATATTGGAGAAATGTGTGGTGGCAGCGCAAAGTACAACACAGCCGAAAACGTGTCGCGCCCCTACTCAGGGAAGCCATGACCTGAGACAAAGCCATGTATCATATTTGGGCTACGGCGCGCGCTTAGGAACATTGCAGCCTGATGGTTAGAATTCTAGAAGGTTGCGTTGGAAGATTTGCACGCGAGGGTAAGCTGGCTTTGTCGGGGATCAACGATATTTGATGCTTGTTTTGGCGACACTGTGCACGACGGTCGTTGGGCAACGTGCGCCTTAGATCGATGGATACCCAAACAACGCACATGCATGATGGACTTCCTGGGTGGAACTCGTGGAGCGGTGGGGATACCACGTCGAGTTGCGATCGAGGCCGATAGTCGTGGTCGCTACATACAGCCTCATACAGTCTCGTATGGCCTCGCGCAGCATCACGATGTCAACTCAAGAAGAACGCACCCGGGTCGGGAGCGCACAAGTACATGGGCCCTTATAGCACGATTGCGACAAAATCAACATGCACCTCACCTCTCGTCAGCAGCATGACCTTCGCATGCCGCCATTTCCATTATTCTTGTTGCATATGTTTGCAGTGCGATGCAACCTACGAACACTAGCCTCACGCACGTTGAGCTGCAGAAGGGAAAGCAGCAGTGCGGCTCATTGGGCAGTGTTGCGTGCTGTCGAATTTAAGCGCAATCTAGATCTGCAGGCCGAGATGAAGAGGGATAGCAGCGGTTCTCTGGGCCAGTGGAGTGGAAGTGGGACGCGGTATTTTGGCGCACGCTTCTTTTGACATGTCGGTCTGCATGCGCGATGGTCTTGGAGTGACAACGCATCAGTGCAGACAGGGGCGATGCGCTGAGGGCAGACGCCTGATCCACTGGATGCCCGTCACGTCTGGTATTGCGTCGCCGGCGGGTCGTCAGCTCCTGTGCGCCGGGCGGACTTGGAAGGGACACTTCTGACCGTGAGCTGGTGAAGTAGGGCGTGGTGGAGATGGGGTGGGATGAGAAGGCAGGCCATGTAGGAGGGTCGCGAAGGCGGCCACCCGGCTACGAGCCACTGCGGGAGGCCCGTCGCCGCCATCTGGGAAGCTTGGGATGAAACATGGCCAACGATTGCTGGCCGCAGCATCCGACAGCCACACGGCAGCTGAAGGGTGCTGGGAAACACCGTGCGTGGGCGCGTGATTGGGCGTGCAGCGGGGCCTTTTCGTCCCACGGCCTGCAGGACATCAACAAGACCCGCCGAACACGCTGCTCCTCTCTGCAAAGCCCGCCATTGCCACCGTGCGCGTCGGCTGCAAATCGCATCCTCTTATTGCGCGCAGACGAGTCTGTTGTTTCGCGCCTTGCTCGAGTCCTGGGCCCCGCCGTCGCCTGGTCCGAGCACGCTGCAACGACGCCTGCCAACGCATACACGCCTGGTCTCGAGAAGGGGAGCTACCGACGCAGCCTACGACCCCCAGCACCGCTCGCCCAACTGGCAGCAGCATGCTTCTGCTGCAATAGAGCTGCGTGTCCACTCTCAGTGCGCGCTGTGCAAGAACATGGCGATATGATTAGAAGAAACCAACAATCCGCCTCGCCGTCGGCACCGGCCTCTCACACCCCTCCTCGTACGTGCCTTTTCTGTCATTTGTTATCTCGAAGCTGTCCTGGTCCTGCTCTGTACTCTCCCAATCTCGTTCGCCAATAGCCCTCGCCTGGATCTATGCGCTCTGTACGATGCGCTGGCAGCCGTACTGACTCTCCGGTAGCCGTCTCGCCGACTGTCACCCAAGTCTCGTCCAGAAGCCACACGCCCTCGCACAAGCCTGCGCATACAATTGCAGTCAATGACCCAAACCCTTCCGTAGAGGCTCCGCCCCGGTCCTCCTCCCCGCCCAGGTCGCCATCACCTCCCTCTACCAAGCCGCCGTCAAACATAATGGGGAGTCGACCTGGCGGACCACACGACACCACCAGCCATGACAGACATGCACCCAGCATCGCCCAGAGGCCCCAGCTGCCCCCCTCGATGTCTGCGCCTGCTGGTCGTCTGCCGCGCCTTCTTCCCGCCGACCTTTCGTCCTACACCGACGCATACTTGCCCACTGCGGCCATACCGACATCGGCCACTTCGCTCGCGGAGCTCGCCCACCTAATCCGGCTGCAGGGCTATCAGGAGCAGCGAAAGGCCCAGTCACGGGTCCGCCTCCACAGATGGCTGGTGTCGAGCGCCCTCTCCGCACGTCTGGTACATTGCGGAGAGCTGGCCTATCGAACTTTGGTTGATAGCTTCAGATCTGACGACAAGAAGGGGTTTGCTACGCTGTATAATGCCGTCAACGATGTCCGAAGCTCGTGTGACGCCGTGCGACAACATGCATTGTTGGAGGCTGATTTGGAGTTTGGCAAGTCAAAAAATATGAAGAGCGACAAGGCTCCGTCTTTCCCAACTTTTCTCAACCAGGTCCCTTCCAAAATCTTGGACGACCTGCTGGATTTCGTTTCTGAAATCCGTACCAACCCCGATTTCCTAGCTACTCGCATTCTCAGTCTTTCTCAGCAAGAGCTTGCTTCTTTGACGTCCTTTCGCCAGGCTTTGGATCCTATTGACTCGGTCATGGCCATGCAAGCTCGTGGTAAGACCATCGGTACACAGAAGCCTACTGCCCAGGGTCCTAGTCCAGTGGAGCGCTTGCTGTCTTTCCAGCGACATGATCCATTTGCTGCTCTTATCTACACCATATTCGCTAATTCATCTGGGCCCGACTCAGCCGAGGACCTTCGCCGGACAGATGCGTGGGCCACCACATGTGCCAGGCTCATCATGGAATCCAAGCAGGGAACTGAGAAGTTCATCAAAGCTGTCCTTGACGTCTACGCCGGCATGCGTGAATGGCCCGGGAAATCTAATTTGGAACTCTACCTTATGCAGGTTCTTCAGGATGGCCAATTCCTTTTAGAGAAAGCCGAGGAGCAATCTTCCCGGACCGGGACACAGACAGTCGCTCCGACCACGAAAGACACGATTGCCGCTGACGAATTCTTTGACAGAGCTGTGAAACGCCTGTTCGAGGTGGTTGACGATGATCCCAGTGCTGGAGGCATTCCCGAGGGTGTCCTTGAGATTGGTAATGCCATCCTTAGGAAGTTGGATGAAACCAAGAACCTGCGTAAAGGAGCGCAAAACTTCTTCGTTTCGCGTTGGCTCTTTTCTACGTTTTTGCTCAACGCGATTATCCATCCCGAGGCACGTGTCTCCCGAGTCTCTATTTGAGATATACTGACCGTTACTAGACACACAGCATCATGATTGGACACCACATCACCGAGCACGCCCGCCAGAAAATCCTCAAGGAGATTGCCATCCGAGCCCAAAAGCATGTTTTGGACATGACCTATAATTGGTACGAAAGCACTTTTGGGACCATCTACCTTTCCATGACTAACATTGCCGTTAGGCGTCAGCAAGTACCCATCCTGCCCGAAATCCGCGGGCATATCGAGAGCATTTTGTCCAGGTTTAAACACACCAGATCCCCTTCGAAGCCTGTACTTCTCCCGGCCAAAGCAATCACTTCTCCCAGGGAGACTGTCGAGGTTCAGCCTTTCATAGTCATCTCACCTGCCGATATTGTAACCCTAGTGAACACCTTGTTTCCAGAGCGTCGCCCTGCTTCCAGTCATTACGACAAAAGCCAACAGCGGACGGGGCTCGCCTCGTCCGCCTCTTCCATCTCCGCAGTGTCCATGCCATTCCGCAGCACATCTACCCCCGGCGGCGATGCAAGTTCCATCCTAAGTGCAAGCGCCTCTTCCATGACTAGTGATCATACCTCGAGGGAGCCTTTGTTGGATATCTCTAACCAATCTGGCATGCCTCACGAGGAGCATCCCGAGGCGAAGATTGCGCCCACCGAGCTTTATGGTCGGCGGTTGAGGATGGCATGCTCTGAAATGTCACGCATCCTTGGCCCAGATGCTATCTCGGGATCTTGTCACCCGTGTGCGGAGAAATGGGCTGTGCTATATATCTCTCCTGATGGCAAACAGCTCAAATCGCGTATGCGCAAAGATTTTGACGATGAAGACGAGCACGACGAGGATTCACCTGAAAGTGACAGTAGTGATGACGAAGGCCCTCCGGAGAAGATTGATTTGGAGAACGACTACCACCAACTGAAAGAAGCTATCACGAAGCTGGTCGAGGAATACGAGATTCCGAAGGAGCTCACGCCTGACAGCGAATCGAAGACGTTCAGTAACCGTACCTCGACGCATCGGAGAGGTGCGAGGGGAAGGGGTCCGGTCCGGCACCACAGCGAAACTCTCGGATCAAGGAACCCCTACAATCAAACCCAGGCGCAGAGCCAGAGTCAACTGACGAACCTCATCGCAAGTCAAAGGAATCTGCCAACTCGACATGGATCTCCGCAAAATCGCAGAAGCAACAGCAACCCGCAATTACCTGAGAGACCGGAGAACAATTCAGTGTTGGTCACCATGCTGGAAACAGCTATGCACCAGTGTCAAGCACGCGGAGCCTTCCTTGACTCCCAACTATACTACAAGACTCTTCTCACATTACGTAGGATGAACTCTCCCACCCTCACCAAGAACGGTTATGCGGCCCTGCTCAATTATTTCTCTCGGGGACCGCGTGACTCGCTTGGCAAGTCAGCGAACGCCATTGAGGAATTTGAAGCCTGGTTCGTCTGGCTCAAACAGTCACAAGAACGACATGACGTTGCGATCGAGGATATGATCCTTGGCTTGAAGAATCTACGCGATAAGATGTGGTACATCACTGACGTTCGCAATTCGGGGACTTACGAAGAAGCGCGAAATGTGGCGCTGGCGCTCAAGATCATGGGCCAGCCTACGAAAACCCTCGACGGCAAGCCGATTCAGTCACACCGACCCCGAAACTTCTCCAAATCTTCCTCCAACAACTTCCTGCTGAGAGCTGAAGCTCAGGTCGTCGATATGATGTCTGCTCCTACCGAGTTCGGCGGTCCAAACAAGCTATCTGACGAACAGTCCGAGATCACTGCCAAGTGGATCGCCCAGTATGGTGTCGAAATTTTCTGCAAAGGCGAAGAGAGGATTCACCGCTTCTGCTTGGAGATTGACAAGTGCGTTAACAAACTCGTTGGTGACAGCATGATGGATGGCCCGGTGCTTTGGGCTAGCGAACTTTACAAACGTGACAAAGAGGTTCTTGACAGTGGCCGTCAGAAAGGCGATCTTTTCCTTACGGGTGTTGGCACTCTTTCCATCGCCGGAGACGAGGAGTACGAGACACACGGTCGACCTACTCGCAACCTCGATTTTGCACAACGACCAAGTCAAGGTAGCCTACGTTCCCTTTCTGGTCGTCCTTCTCAGCAAAGCTTCGACGTCAGCCCCTGGGGGAGGTCTCCGAACGACTCTCATGACTACTTCAGTGGCACTAGCCCTGTGCTTGCTATCGACACCTCTACCACCTTCTGGTCTCCGTTCCAGACCCACGCCCAGTCGCCCACAAGTGCTACCAGCATTAGACCGCGCACCGCATCTTCATCCAAGGGCACGGTGATGCTCAAGCAATCAATCGCCGTCAATGAAGATAAACGAAGATTCTTGCTTGATTTGAAGCAAACCTTGACTGGGTTGCTCTTGAGCGATCTGGGAACTGTAGTGTTCTCCAGCGGAAGCGAGACAGACTCTTGGTTCTCTAGCGATCTTTTGGAAGATTGCATTCAACACAAGTACAGTGAAGAAGAGGAACGCAAGCGCAGGAAGCAGTTGGCACGCAAGAAGAGCATGAAGAGTCTTCGGAAGCAAGCCAACAGTAACAACCCGCTAGAGGCTCTAGGACGCAATGAGCGAGGCGTAGCCGCACCTCCTATCGCCACCCTTCAGCACGCCGCCGCTTCTGATGCTCATCAGTCTGCTGGGGAACATTCATCGTCAAGCGATGCAACCTCGCGCTCTTCTGGGACATCGGCTGCCAAAAAGGCAGGTCTTCTCGAGTTCCCGTACAACATCGCGTTCCGACGTCTTCTTAACAAGTTTGCGACGCATCCTAATCCATTCTCGAAGCTCCATGCTCTGTATGAGCTGGAACTACTCATTGTGGCTTCGCTTTCTTCTCGTTCAGGTCGAGCCTACAACAATCGTCGAGAGGCGACACTCCCTCCTGTCCCACAGTCACCTACCCTCGGGGCCATGCCCGAACTTAGCTCTCGCGAGCCCACCACCAATACTGAACGCGCCACCAACGTGAAAGGCACGATTGCCAATTGTGAGGAGCGTCGCTCTCACTCAATGAACCAGGAAGGTGCCAGCAATGCATCGCCTCTACCTCGTAGTAACGGTGCTCGTTCTCCAGTTGGTCCGCCGAGCACTGACATGATCGTCGACGTCATCCAAGGACTATTCCGTGACGCGAACATTCGTCCCAAGACTCTGTTCCGCGATCTGCAATACATCGCGTCCTTCGTGCCAGCCCAGATGCTCGACAAAACTCCCAGAGGAAAGGCATTCTGGGATGTTGCTCTGGCGGCGCTTGGTCTGAAACAAGACGTGTGTCGCGTTATGGTGGAAGTCGCCGATGATATCGTGAGGCGGGAGGACACGAAGCGAAGCAGCCTCATCCACCAAAATGCCGATCCCGCCTCATCAGATGGGGCAACCAACCCTCTCGTATCGCGGTACACCATGGACGACGTAGCTCGCATGCTGCTCATCACCGCAAAAGAGGGCGACCCCACTGCGGAGCGCGAGCTCGCCACCATGTACCTGACCTCTCCCGAGCTGCTTGAGCGCACTGTGCTTCCGCTCACGAAGACCGGCGACATCTTCAACAAGCAGCTCCTCAGCCAGCATAGAGATACTACCCGCAGCGACCCGCTCATCATGTGTATTGCTACGCACTGGATGAAGGAAAGCCGCGATGGCGGAGACGAGCTCGCAGCGCAGTACTTGCGGCAGCGCACCGATCTTGAAAATATTCAGCAGCGATGATGCGTTTCATCATCAGCGCATCATCGTCGCGCGCACAACTTGACCTTTCGGAGCTATATACCCGCCTACATGCCTTTGATGTTTCCCCGCGTTTTGCACACACATACCGCACAAGGAGCGTTTTTGGAAGCGTCGCATTGCTATCTCACATCACGTCACGTCGTAACGGCCTGCCTGCCTGAATGCATGCATGCATAGCGAGGCGTTTGTCCTTTTCCCCATCCATCTTATACATTGTTATTTGGTTGTCTTTGCAACGTTTCGAAGCATGATTCCCCACAGAGCCTTTATTTCTATACACATGCTTTATGATCTTCGCATACCTATATTGTTTGCTTCGCTTGGTTTTTGTAGGTAAGCTAGATAGACACGCGGCGCGGTGACGAAGAGCGTGTGCGCGGGGCGAGGCCGCAAGTTGTATATGCGATGCGCATGGCGGCGGTCGAATTCGACGTACACACGAATCTCCTTGGATCTGGTATCGGGATTGGTTCGGCATGGTAAATGGGTTGGGCTGTATTTATTGGGGCGCAAGGCTGGTAATGAAGACGCCCTTAGATAGGTGGGATGAATAAAGAGGCTCTATGATCGATTGTGTGGCTCGTTTGTCTATGCAGTGTGCAAATTAATGTTCTCCGGATACGAGGCATATCGGAGGCTGGAGCAGAGGCGTGAATACGTCGTGCTTGTCGTTGTGCGGCTGAAGTACACACGAAGAATGAATCCGACGTGCAGATCCCCTCACTATGGTATCTTGGAACGGTGCTTTTTAAGCCACAAAGATGCTGTATCACCGTATCCGTGCTGGCAAATGGCTGAGAAGTTGCTACTAAACTGCAGCACCACCTCATCAAGCGCACAACGCGCCTTCCACATCGCCTATGCCAGATCATGATTGGGTACCCCGCAACTTCCTCACTCGCGTAGATCCTGCTCAGTTGTTCAGAGCTGAAACGGCGCTTTGTGGCTTGTCTTCTCTCTTGATCTCCCCTCCATCCTCAATTCCCTTATCTTCCACCTTTCCACTTCTTTGATATGGGCCTTATACGCAAGCTCAGCAAACCTTTGATCCTTATCTTTGTCGTCACGTGGGATTTTGGTCTCTTCTTACTCAACGTTATTCTTCCCGCGCGTAAGCCTGGCCACGTAGTCCCGGCAGGAGCACCTGGCCATGCTCTCAATTGGCCAGCCTACGAACCTCCTAAGCCGACTGACTCACGTTCTTCATGTAAGCGATATCGACCTGCTTTCACTCACGAAGCTCGTTGGCTGACTCGATTCGCGATCCTAGGCCCGATGCTCAATGCCCTAGCCAACCACAACATCCTTCCTCACTCGGGTCGCGATATCTCCTTTCGGACGCTCAATACCACGGTCCGCCAATGCTTCAACTTCGCACCCAGCTTCTGCTTCTTCGTGCCACACTTCGCCGCCGACTTCCTTGACCGCTCGTATTGGAGGGACAGTTTCAATCTCGAAGAGCTGAGCAAGCACAATGCGATTGAACATGATGCCAGCTTGACAAGGCGGGATGCAGCGCTCGAGCCCAATCAGAGCAAGCCAGATATCCAACTTGTGGAGCAGCTACTGGCTAGTGCGACTGGCGGGACTCCAGAAGCTAGACTGCTGACGAAGAAAGACCTGAGTGCGATGTTGAGCCGTCGGAGGGTGGAGAGTAGAAAAGAGAATGAAGCGTATAGTGAGAGTCGGTTCCACAATGGGTTCGGAAGCGCGAAGTGAGCATCAACCAGGATGTACAGCGGAAATGGTTACTGACGACGAGTAGCTCGTCGACCATGCTAACTATTTTCGGCGGCCGCATCAATGACCTACGACCCATGCTCTTGGAAGAGCGGTTCGCCGAAGACTGGGAGCCACGCATTCGTTCCCACTTCGGTCTTACCATGGCGGCATTCAACGGGACGGTCTTGCCGGTGGAGAGAGGCGTCAACACGAAAGCCTATGTCAGGAGCATGGAAAGCGAAGGCGTGGCACCAACAGGCATGGCACAGTGAAGTGCTGGGGTGGAAGATTGAAATGGGTTTGCGTGGACCAGGCAATCGTTGTAGCGCTCTGAAGAGTCTGAACTCTCTGGCCGCCATGCGGACCATGGCGGATACGTTGTGGGGAGGTGGGGGCATGGCGCAAGGAGCTGTCAGTGCTCGTTCTCGTTCTGGGATTGCGTCTGCTGTTCGCTAATACTTGACCTTTACTGTGTGCTCCGGTAGGCATCATGACTCAAAACACGGATCCTACATGAGACCACACCCCATTGATGTGCTCTAGTGCGCTTTCTCGCCATCGGACCACTGAGAGAGGGCAGGTAGACCGCTTTCCGGTGCAGGGGTCTCGATGGGAGGGAGTGCCAGACAAGGATACCCTTCCCGCGCCCGACCCTGTGAACTAGACGACCCGTGACTGCACAAAATATCCCGCTAGCGTATGGCAACACCCGACCTCAGATACGTGCCCCTCTCTACATCCCAGCGCCGTGCCTCTGGGTTGACGACATCCAGAAGCTCTGAGGTCGTCGGCACAAGCGACGACCTGGATCGGTGTGTGCGGCTCTGGTGCGACGCTTGACGCTCGCTTGGGGCTTTAATGTCCGCAGAGGCAAGGCACGAACCTGATACCATTGGCGGGATTCCCCTCGATCAATCAGCAGAATCCTTTATTGGATGCGTAAAGCGGCTGGCGCGATACTTGGCGCGCGTCCCTTCCCGCGATGCGTTATCTAGACGAACGGCTATGGCGGTTAACGCTCGTCCCGCCGAATGGTATTGCGCCAATTCACCCGGACTTCTCCTATGTACGTAACACGGGGAGGCGGCATGGCCGAAGGAACCCACATGTTCTCTCAAGCGCTCGACACCTGCCACTTTTGACTGCCGCCACCGCGCCAACAGTGTCGCCTGTCAAGCGCTCCGGGCCGTCGGGCTGATCCTTCGACGTGGGATGGGGCGGCCTTCTCTGGTCCGGAACTTCTGGACCGGCATCGAGCCGTGAAGACTGCTTCAGGTCATATGGCTTCACATGTGAGCGTGCTGCGTTGGCATGGGGGCACCAAGTTCGGAGGCTACAACAAGAGTGGGCATGGTCTGGCGTAGATCCTGCCTGGACGCACGTTTGGGGCGCGAACCGTCCAGTCGTATACACGATCCAGCGCCGAATCCATCTAGCCGATCATGATGCAGCTAGACAGTCCGAGCATACGCAGACGCAAACGAGACAGGGGCTCACAATGGGGGGACAGTCCACTCCGCCACTTGATAAGTGGGCCTACGGAACGCAAACATTCCCAGGACCAGACACTACTCTATCCTCCAAGTTCACTCCAACATGACCACAAACGGCCAGTCTTCGCTGAGCGAAGCATTCGGCGGGAAATGGCCTGACTCTCCTTTACCGGTATGGACCCGACTGTCCAATGCAGCACAAAGTTACCCCGACAAACTTGCCATAGCTTGTCTGCATCAATCTCCCAATCTGTATGGTATACAAAGCTCTGAATATGCCATTGGGGGTTTTGAGAAGCACCTTCAGTGGTCGTACTCTCAGCTCCGCTCCACTGTCGAATACTTGGCTGCTGGACTACAGGCTCAAGGCCTCTCCTCAGGATCTTCCATTGTCACTATTCTGAAAAACGGTATCGAGTTCCCCATGGCCTTCTGGGCTGCTCACAAGCTTGCATGTCCCTTCGTGCCCCTCAGCTCACGGACCCTCACAAACACCGTCCAGACACGACACATGCTCACGGTTGCCGACGTAGCTGCCGTGATTGTGGAAGACCTGGAGTCCGCGGCTGCATTCGATCAGTTGTGGCACGCAGGAGCGCGAAAAGTGATCAAGATCGTAGCTGGAGAAATCAGCCCAGACGGTTGGACTAGCATTTCGGAATTGCTGGAGATCGGGAGAAGAGTAAAAGCAGATCAGAGCCACGAACTCGGAATATTGCATGCGCGTGAGTTCGAGCACAGAGCAGAATCCAAGGATACTGTGACGATACTGTTCACTAGCGGCACCACTTCACTGCCCAAGGGTTGCCCTCACACGAACCTCACCCTCAACGCCTTCTCAAAGATCCTGAGCATCGGAGGCGCGTCACCAAATGACATCTTCTGCTCAGTCCTCCCTAACAGCCATGCAATGGGATACTTCTTCGTTCTCCACTTCTTCATGAATGCTGGCACGGTTGTCTACCCGTCTGCTACCTATGAAGCAGCTGCTATGGCGCATGCTTTGGCAGCGCATCGATGCACTCACGCCACTCTCGTGCCAACTGCTCTCCACAGTCTTCTTGAATGGATCGAGCCCTCAGGGCTTCTTTTCCCCGATCTCAAGGACCTTTGTCTCGCGGGTTCGTCCATCACGCCGCAGAACATCCGGTCTGTGATCCGTGATCTTGGCGCCCAAGGTGTTTCCACTGGATATGGCACCACAGAAGGCAGCCCGGTCTGGAATGCACCGACGTCGGATCCGGAGCAGCTCATCCGCGGAGACGATGTTTTGTGCGGATATGCTGTGCCAGGGCAACATATCCGCATTTGCGCACCAAATTCGACACAGCCACTTCCTCGCGGCCAGCCCGGCGAAATTCTTGAATGTGGACCCGGAATGATCGCAGGCTATCTTGGTGATAATGTGGGGAAGGATTCATTCGCTGTGGACGGTGATCTGACGTGGTACAAGACCGGTGATAGCGGCGTGATGTGGGATGATGGCCGTGTGTCGGTTGTGGGGAGGTAGGTTTTTTTCTCGTTTCGGCTGTGCTTTCGTATCCTGTATGCAGGTTGCTAATTGGCATCAGGTTCAAAGACATGATCATCAGAGGCGGTGAGAACATCGCTCCTGCAGCAATCGAGGTTGTCCTAAACCAATTTCCTGGCGTTGAGGTACGAGAAACTCTCCGGTTCAAAGTACGAGCAATCTTCTGACCGCTAGCAGGCACAAGTTGTTGGTGCTTCGGATCACTTTGCAGGCGAAGTGCCTGTGGCTTTGGTGCGAACTCTTCCACCTGGCGATAATCCAGCAGGCCAGCTCCAGGAAGCCGTCCGAAATCATATGGGCATGTTGCACGTACCCGACGAAATTATCACCCTCGGTCAACTTGGGCTAGAGGATTATCCACGTACTATCTCTGGAAAGGTACAAAAGAACGCACTTCGAATCCTTGTCGCAGCCTACCGAAAGAACCATGAAACAAAGCATGATTCTGTCACTGGCTCAGACAATGGTGATGCCACTCCTCACACGATTGGCTACACCAATGGCAACATCAACGGTTCCACTCGACGTGACTCTGGAATCATCGAAGATAAGGATGTCGAACAAACAGTACTTCACGTGTGGTGGAGAGCTACTGGTATCGAGCCATCGAAATTGGATAAAGATACTCCTACCTTCAACTACGCAGACTCAATCACCATAATGCGTGTCAGAGCGTTGTACCGCAAAGAGTTAGGTGTTACGCTATCAGCGGTTGAGATGTCACAAAACGCCGATCTGAAGACTCAGATTGAGGCACTGGAACGCAAAGTCTCACAGTCTCAAAAACAGGCAATCGCTCCGCTTCCTTCATTTGAGAATGCGCGAACTCTCGAGGAGCTCCAAATTGTCCTAGGGACAGAAAACAATGCCAAAAACTTCAAGGAAAAAGCGAGCGCAGCTCTGGTGAAGGAGGGGTTTGACTTCGATGGAGATGTTGAATCTGTCATTCAGATGAATGATTTCATTGATGTTCTGGAGCGCGAAAAGCTCATCAACACGTGGAACTTCGGCATTTCTATCGTTGCTGATGGCTCTACGGTGCAGGTGGGTGACTGGGCGCCTTGGTAGTCAGGTGGACATCTCTAATACATTGTGTAGGAGCTTAAAACTGCCTTGACGGCCGCTCTGACAAACAATCAGTTGTGGACTTCTTTCTACGTGCACGGGGACAGCGGAGCGCCCATATATGTTACGATGAAGCCCACGAGAAAGCTCTATGACCATGTCCTGCACGAGAAGGGATCTGTTGCCAGTGTTACGGAACTCCAACAGATTGCCATCGACTATCCTCACAGGGAGCATTCGGTCTTCCCCGGCCCTTTGTTCCATGCTCTGTTATACGAAATTGAAGACATCAAGTCAGCTGGATTCGTCTTGTACGGTAAGGGAGCAGATACCTACATGTGGCTGAGGCAGCACCTAACGGATTCTAGTCCATCACATTGTCCATGACGCTTCGTCAATGCGACTTCTATTTGAAGATATCAATCGAGCTCTGCTTGAGCCAGCTCGACCATTGCACCCGCATGTTCCTTATCAGCTGTAAGTAAGAATATGACACTGAAGATTTATACTAATATGAACTAGATGGTCTGACATCTACCATTCCCTACGCAACTCACCTCGTGCCACAATTGAGGTAGACTGGCATGTTAAGCGCCTTGCAAACATCCATCTCCACCGCAAGGCTCTCTACCCTCCCGCGCACGTCCCCCGCCAGGCGATCCAGTCATCTCCTGACGGTATAGACTACGGCTTTGACGCCCCAGCACTCCTAAACCTAAAACGCCACCACTCCCATATCACCGCCTCCGTCGTCCTCAAAGCCGCCATGGCACTCATCAACATCACACGCACAAAGCACACCCACGCACTCATCAGCAACTACGAAGCTTGTCGATCGTCCTTACCCTTTTGGCCCGACACCCTCCGCCACCTGCCTGGCCTCAACGGCTCTACTCTTGCCGACCTCGACGCCTCCGATGTCGCAGGCCCAACCATGAACGCCGTCACCAACGTCATTGGCGTCGAGCGCACCGAGACCGCTCTCGCCTTCCTAAACCGTCTCCAGGCAGAACAGTTTGAGCTCACGAAGCACTCGCACGCGCCGTGGCGCCGCATCATCGCCGCTCTCAACGAGTTGCACCCCGGCGAGAACGCAGGTGAACTCGTGTACGAGACACACCGTACGCAATTCCTTACTTGGGTGCCTGGTGTGCTGGGCGAATACGAAAGGATTCGCATCGCGCAGATTGCGATTCGCGCTGCGCTGGGTCTGGTATTCGTAGCGGGATTAGGCGGGCCAAAGGCGACTATGTTTGGGATTAGCTTGAGGTGGGATGTGGCAAATTATAGTGCTGAGGAGACGATGAGGTTCACCAAGGATGTGGAGAGGGCGGTTTTGTGGATGTTGGACGAGAGGAACTGGGAGAGGCCTGTGGGGGAGTTTTTGGGGACGGTCGAGGAGAAGGTTGAGGGGAAGATTGACGAGGGGTTTGATGAGAAGATTGACGGGAAGGTGGACAAGAATGTTGAGGGGAAGGTTGAAGAGAAGATTGAAGAGAAGGTTGAAGAGAAGGCTGAGGAGAAGGCTGACAAGAAGGTTGAGGAGAAGGCTGACATGAAGGTTGAGGAGAAGGTAGACGAGAAGGTGGATGAGAAGGTAGACGAGAAGGTGGATGAGAAGGTGGACGAGAAGGTGGATGAGAAGGTGGACGAGAAGGTGGATGAGAAGGTGGACGAGAAGGTGGATGAGAAGGTGGACGAGAAGGTGGATGAGAAGGTGGACGAGAGGTTTGGGGAAAGAGCCAACGAGAAGGTTGGTGAGATGGTCAATGAGATGGTCAATGAAAAGGTTGATGAAAAGGCTGACGAGAGGTTTGGGGGAAAAGTTAAGGAGATAGTGGAGGGGAAGATCGAGGAGAAGGTGGGAGAGCAGGTCGCGGAGAAGAATGAGGAGACACACAGCTAATCCTGCCATATATCCTACTGTCAATATTTTCTGTCTATAGAATTGATATAATTTTCCGTCAAATCTGCACTGCACTAATCGACCTCCTCGTCCGCCTCATCATGCCTTCTCACTAGCGCATCCCCGTCCAACATCTCCTCAACTTCCTCCCACCCTAATGTCCTCTTTTGCCCCCTTCTAGCCAATAAAATCTCATCCTTCTCTCCCTCCAAACGCCTCTGCAGCTGTATCCAGTCCAACCTATCCCGAAACAAACTTTCTAATCCCCTGATCTGGTCCCCATGGTATTCCACTACCACCTTCATCGTCGAGATGACCTTCCTTATGTTCGCCTCATCTGCTGCCGTGACTCCGCCACCATTACTTGCATCTCCTGCAAACACAACGCCTGTCTGCCGAATGATAGTGATGGGGTCAGAGGCATCGAAGAGCGGGGCGTAGAATGTGGTGTATTGGGTTAGACTCGCGAGAGCGGCTTCGGTGATGGCGATGGCCTCAATACAAGTAGCTTCTCCGATGGTGGAGTAGCGTGGGGTAGTGTGTAGTACGGGGATGAGACTACGCAAGCGGGTAATACTGGATTCAACGCTAGAGCTGAGTGTCCGATTTGCGGTAATGAGGGTAGTGAGGACGGAGATGGTGGGGTCGAAAATGGAGCCTTGGTATTTGCTTTCGCGGGAGCACATTATGGCTTGTGAAACTTTACTAGAGGAACAGGTGTTGTAGAAGTCGCTTGTGGATTATTTGTAGTGTACGCAGATCGAGACATGATAATATTTCATCCATACGACCGGTGAAAAGAAGTTCTGGAGTGACTTCCTCTAATGACGATACGTCAAACGTGTGTGCATTGCAGGCACTGGCGCTTGACCCCCAACAATATCACAACAGCGATGCTTCACCGTCGAGCACAGAACATGTGAGTCCTCGTATTCAGCAACGTGTGGACATTCATGCCATGGCTAGTTATTCTTCGGATATTGCTTCATTACACGCACAACGATCTCAAGCAGTCACACCATTTGCGTCTCGCAAATGGATCCATGATCAACAGCGATAGGTGTCTTGACTACAGCCCTCTATATTAACTTCTTCTCTTCCTCTTCCTGCCTCCTCAAGTGCTCCTCGTAACTGAACCCCACCTCCTCTAGCGTCCTCACCCCAAACCTCTTCTCCCCTAGCGCCCCAAACGCAGCCCTTATCTTTGGAAAGTGCTCTCTACACCAGAAGTCCCACGCGCCCCAAACCGGCGGCAGCTTCCCGTTGCCATCGTTCTCCAATCCTTCTCTCGGTTCAGCGCTCAGCGCCCAGTGCGACATCTCGTTGATATAGTTGCCGTCTTTTGGGAACGGGAGGAGATGGAAGTTGCGTCCATCGCCCATCTCCTCTATCGTGGTTTGTTCCCAGGATTCCATGATTGATGGCGCAGGCAGGGAGAGACGGCCAGAGTATACGCGTGCGAGGACGGCGGCTTGCGCTTCTGCGAGGGGAAAGGGAATTACGCGCTGGGGGAGTGCGAGGAAGGAAAGCGTCGGGTGGGGCGTGTAGAAAAGGTGTTGGTATGTATGTTGGACGTGACTTCCATTTTCTATCATTCTGGGTTCGACATTTTCAAGGAAGGGGAGCGAGTAGAAGTAACCTGTTGCGAAGACGATGGCGTCGACGTCTCTCTCAATTGTGCCGTCTTCGAATTCTACGCCGCGGTTGGAGATCTGAAACTTGGAGATGGGTGGAAATTCTTGTTTGACAGGTGAGGTCCCGACTTTGAACATCGAGGCGGATTTGCTGGACCAGAGGAGCGGATGTGAAGAATATTGGGCGATTTGAGTGGAGATGTCGTTGCCGGAGGCTGAGTTGCCAACGACTATGACTTTCTTGTCTTTGAACTCTTCGGGATTGCGGTAGTATTTTGCGTGCGATATTATTCCTGGATACCTCCTGTTCCACTCTTTGATGCCTGGTATATCCGGAAGGTAAGGGACGATAAAGTGGCCGTTGGCTACGATGACGGCGTCATATTCTTCTTCTTGCTGGGCGTTAGAGCGCAGGTCTCGTGTTTGCACTTTCCAACGTGCATTGGCCTGTTCATCTACCGCTTCAACGTTGAGTACTTGCGTGTCGTAACGTACGAGGTCCTGTACATCCTTCCCGTAATCTCGAACATACTGGAGTACTGTCTCGTGTTTTGGGAAGAGCTGACTATCCTGTGGCCAGTCCAAGTCTTTAAAGCCCATCAAGCCGCGCGGAATGTTAGTCTCCAATCTGTCGTAGATAGGTGACAGGAAGGTCGGTTCTTTCTGCACGACACTTGGTTCTCCAGTCCGAGGTTTGTAAGGTTCAAGCCAAGTAGGATCTTGATTTCGTCCTCGTGGACTGGTCTGAGGTACCGTAAAAAGGTCTTCACCTCTCAGGTTACCAGTGTAGTTCCATATCCCGCCTTGCCTGCTTCGTTGCTCCAAGAGTACGATCTTACGAAAGGCATTTTCCGCTCGAAGATATCTACTTTTCTTAGTCTAGTTAAAGAATGCTGTTATCAAAGAAGCTTACTTTGCCGCGACTAGCCCTGAGGGACCTGCTCCTACTATGGCAATAGTACGAGCTCTTATCGGCATCGATTCAGCAGCTATTGAACCCATGATGTTGTGTTCTTTGGAGGAATCTCACGTCAAGATTAAGGCGATTACCAAAGCTGATATACACAACGCAGACGCGAAGTTGCACATGAGCAAGACCATAGTCTGTATCGAATGCTAACAAGAGTGAACTGTGCGCGCGAAGATCGGAGCATGGGTGCGCCACAGCTGCTGTGGCTGGTTTAGCGTGAGATGACGCGATGACGAAACGTGGGACCGACCCGTCCACGGGTGCGACGAACGGACGTCCATTTCACTGGCTACGAAGCTCACCCTCTTTTGTTCGTTGTATGTAACCCCCGGGATCAAATATTGACGTCTTCCGTGACTTCTTGATCTAGCATTGAGGTGTCTGGATTGTGCCTCACACCACAACACCTCCGGTCACACTACATACACCACCGAGCGATGTTTCCCTCGCGTCCGCGAATTATTGCACCCATATACCGGCAGGCCCGAAGCTTTTCTACACAACGATCGACAATGGCGCCTCTACGAATAGGCTTCGTCCCAGAGCACTTCTCCACGCCCCTCGAATTCGCAAAGAAGCACTACGGTCTCGATGCGCGGCTACTCCCATACCCCTCTGGCACGGGGCACATGGTCACAGCGCTTCAAGCTGATGAGATAGACGTCGGGGTTGGCCTTACGGAAGGATGGGTAGCTGCGTTGGGCAAAGCGCAAGAAGCAAAGCAAGACGCGGGGTTCAAACTGGTAGGCACCTACGTGGAGACACCGCTATGCTGGGCGATTTCTACTGGAGCCAAGCGCAGCGAGCTGAGCAGTGTCAAAGACCTCCAGGGCAAGAAAGTCGGCGTGTCAAGAATTGGAAGCGGCAGCTATGTTATGAGCTTCGTACTCGCGGACCAGCAAGGCTGGCTTGACCCGCAAGCTTCCGGCCCGCCGTTTCCTGTCGAACCGCTGAATACATTTCTGAACCTTCGCGAAGGGGTGAACGAGGGAACTGCGGACTTCTTCATGTGGGAGCACTTCACTTCGAAGCGGTACTACGATAACGGCGAGATCAAGCGCATTGGCGAGATTTATACGCCGTGGTCATCTTGGAAGATTGTGGCGAGGAACGATCTTCTGTACCCGAAGAACTGGTCACAAGGTGATCAAGCTTCGCATCCTGTGCTCAAGGAAGAGTTGGATGATGCGCTGCAGAAGATCAATAAAGGCATTGAGCACTTCGAGGAAAACCAGGAGGAAGCGGTCGAGTATATTAGTACAAAGCTAGACTACTCGGAAGAGGATGCACGGGAATGGTTGAAGACGGTACGATTTCCGCAAGAAGTGAGGGGCGTGGACGACGCGGTCATACAGAAAACAGTGCGCATACTTCAGAAGGCCGGCGTGCTTGGTAATGGAGCGGGCGAGCAGACGATGATCGGGCTACAGAGAGATGGGACGTCGCATTGAGCATCGTGCTCTATCTACTCTGAAATGGTTTCAGCTGTTCGTGCTGGGTGGAAGCCGCAGGGCGCCGTGGGCCACAACTTGGGCGGACGTGCTGGCGTATGCCTTGGCTCCGAAGCCCGATTTGCAGTACTGTCCTTGATCTGGGTTGCGTCCGAAGGTTAGCACGTAGACTAGACAACGTCTGCTGTGTAAGGCGACCGTTCTGCACGCCGCAGAGCGACAAGCCTGGGCACAAGACGGGAGCGGCAGGAGCAAAGGCTCGCAACATGTAGACATCGATTCAAAGCCCGGATGGTCAGCACGTGTGAGCGATGGTAGTGGGGTCGGATCCGGGCACCCCTGCCAAGCCCTGCCGCATAAACAACTTCGCCCATTCACAGCGGCGCAGTGCCCCGTCGCGGCGGAGAAACCCCCCTTCACAGCCACTGCAATATCCTCGTACGCAATCATATCCCTGGCATGTGCGGACATCAGAAACATGTCGCCTCGCTCCCGCAGTGGCGTCTGCTAGGCGGCTCGTTGTGGCAAGCTCACGCGCCAGACCAAACACCAGGGTGTGGTGGATATATACAAGCCTTGCACCCCGTGAAAGATGGTAGGGACTTCGCTGTAGCCTCTCGTTTCCGCTTCCCTCGCTAGACCTTCGCTTGTTGTTCCATAGCAGAATGCGTTCCGCGTTGCTCCTTGCCGCCGCCGCCGCTCCTCTTGCGAGCGGCATCCGCATCATCCAGTCCAACGACGACGGATGGGCCGAGATCAACGCGCGAACCCTCTTCAGCAGCTTAGTGGCTGCAGGCAACCAAGTCGTGCTCTCTGGCCCAGCCGAGAACCAGTCTGGCACCGGTGCGTTCTCCCTCCACCATCATCGATGATCCAAGACTCATAGTGCTATATTCAGGCTCTTCCGACGCAACACCCACGACCGTCGACTCAGACGGCTGCCAGTACTCGTCGTGCCCGGCCAATGCCCCCGCCACAGGCGCAAACGCCACAGATCCGCGCCTCAACTATGTGAACTCGTACCCAGTCACCAGCATCAAGCGCGGCATCTCGACGACGGGGCCCGCGCTCTGGAGCGGTGCGGCGCCGCAGCTCGCCGTCACAGGACCTAACGTCGGCTCCAACGTCGACATCCAGGCCTTCTTCTCCGGCACGATTGGAGCTGCAGTGTACGCCGCGCACACGGCCAAGATCCCCGCCCTCGCCTTCTCTGGAAGATCGGGAGATCCGACGGCCTGGAACGTCTCCCCAGTCCCTATCCATAGCAAGGTCTACGCCGACCTTGCGCTCAACTTGACCACCACCATAATTAACTCGGGCACACCCTACCTTCCCGACGACGTCTTCCTGAACGTGAACTTCGGCGAGGTCACCGATACCAAGTGCAACAGCGCCTCGCAGTTCAAGTTCATCCCCACGCGTGTGACGACAGGGCTGCTGAGTGCCCGCGACACGGAGATCTGCGGGAGCACGAGGCTGCCGTGGGAAGCGGATGTGAGTCAGTTGCGGAGCGGGTGTTTTGTTAGTGTTAGTGTGGGTGATGCGGCGGATAAGACGACGGCAGATGCCGCGAGGCAGAAGGTTGCCTTCGATAAGTTGAAGCCTATCCTTTCGTGCCTGTAGGTGTACGTGGGGATGAGTGGGGTATGAGAAAAATGATATGACGGGATACACAATCGACACATGTGGTTTTAGAAAGAAACGAGGATATGCATGGCTATCTAACGGGGTATGTAATGCCACATTCAGAAACATCCTGACATTTACGCCCAAAACTCCAACCCTAGCGTGCGCTTTCGAAGACTTCAGCTCCGCGTTTAAGCCCATTCGTCCAACCTGCGCATCATCATATTTTCACTCTCTCCTTCCCCACACTCTTAACCGGATGCAACAGCATAGCAGGCATGCACATCCTCCTCTCTTCCTTCCCCCATCACTTCCCCTCCCCTTGAATCGTCTCCTGCTCACCCCAATCCTGTTTCGTCACTTTCCACCCCAACCACCGTCTATACAGCGTCCGTGGAAATGTTGATGCAAAATACCAACTCCACCCCCCAAAGTTCGCCTCACGGTCATGATTATACGGACTATCTTCCTGCTCCGTCCACGCGCCCTGGACACGCTGCATCGAGCCTCCATTGAACGGGTCAATAATAGATGAGGCGTCGAAAATAGCAGCCGCGTACGGTGCAGGCCAGTGCCTGTCCGTGAAGACCGGGTGTGGGGCGTACACGGCTTTCAGGCCATGTTGCAACGCGACTGTACTCGGCCACATCTCAGCTTGCATGCTTCTACCCGCCAGGTTCTCGACGTGCATTGCATGCAGCAGCTTTTTGGAGAAGCGTGCAACGGTGTTGATGAAGACGCGGCGGTCGAGGTGGATGAACTGCGGATGTGTGAATGCGTCTGCGGGAGGATCTTCCGGCGTGAAGATCGGCCGGATGCCGGGGATGTAGTTCCAGATTTTATCTTTGTAGGACCAGGTTGTGTTGCGGGGGTCCCACATGGGGAGGAGGGTGATGAAGTCTGCAGGCTCGGAGACGCCCCATTGGAAGTCATCTTGCTCGAATGAAGTTGGAGGTGTGGGACCGAGAGGCTCTTGGGGAGGGATGGCGTGCGGCCAGGGACAGGGACCCCAGACGGGCGAGGGGATGAGAGAGTGCGTTGAGGCGTTGAGGACGGAGCTGTGTGTGTCTTCGACGAAGGAGGCATACGAGCCATGGACGGAGGGTAGATAGTAGCGTTTGTTTCGTTCCCAGAGGAGCTTCCGAGGCTGCTTTGCGGCGAACTGGCTGATGGTTTCGAAAAAGTGGTAGTGGTGTCCGGTGTATCGCGCGTCTGTCTCCCAGTTCCACACGTAGTCGAACTGCGGGTGCATAAGGGAGAACCATTGCAAGCACATGAACTATGAGGAAAACAATCAGCGTCATCGTCACAGATGATGAAACAGGTATTAGAGGGCATCCCCGCCGTCTGCACACGTTGGGAGATTTCGGACTTGAGTACGAAGCCCATCATCTCCGAACGACTGCGATGGCACAAAGGCCGGCTTAATTCCCAGGAATAACTTACCTGGTGCCAGTAAACCTGCCAATCTCCAACCTTTGGATACCAGCTTGGGAAAATCGCCTCGTTCCAGAGCAGCGCAATAGACTGCAATTCCTGCGGCACATTCTGCATCAAGACCTCATGGTAAAGCGTCGCGTTGCCGAAGATATCCAGAGTCGGTTCCTTAACGTGCATTAGGAGAAAGATCTCGTACTCTCCGCCAGACGACAGACTCAGCTCCGAGATCATCGCGCGAATCGCTGTAATGTCGTTCTGCTCAAACGTGTAGCCCGTCCAAGCTCTTATCAGCACCGCAGTCCTCGCATGATACCTTTTCCCCTCCTCACCCACGTCTTCTCCAGCACTCGCGGTGTCCGTGTGCATCTTAAAAGCCGCGTCCGCAGCCGCCCTATCCGGCACAGCTTTATTTGTACTCTTTACCGTCGGAGCCCTCGCACTAGGCCTATACCTCTCCATATTCCGCGCAAGACAATCATCCTGCAGCGGACCCCATGGTACGTTCTCCCACTCCGGCACCGTCTGAGGTGCCTTCCAGTGTAGCACATCGTCGGGGAACTCCTCGTCTCCGAAGCCGTATGGCCCGTACCGCGAATACCGGTCGAAGCACACGGAACCGTTGAGCCCGACGACGTCGTAGCCGCCGGCGAAGACTTTGGGGAAGGAACAGGGCACGCCGAGATAGACTTGGACTTGATCGTCTGCACTGGTGTTGAGAGGCACGCCGCGTGGGCCGTCGCAGGAGACGTAGGAGCCGTGCCAGGTGCGTTGATAGGAGGGGGAATTGTAGTCTGGAAAGGGGCTGTAGGGGACAGGGTTGGAGGCGGTTTTGGCGCTGAGTCTGTGGTGGCCGGCGGTGTAGAATCGGTGGTCACTTTCTCGCTATCAGCATTGTTCTGGCTTGGTATGAGATGGGAGGGAAGGTAAGGGACTCACTAGTCGAACTCCTCCCACCTGTTAGGATCATATTCTTGATCGACATAGTCTGAGAACGGCGGCCAATGACCTTCCCAATTCGGTCGAATCCAGTCCAGCATTTCCTCCATGTATATCTTCTCCATGCCTGCTTTCAAGTCCTCGTAGTCTAACCTGCTTCCTTTCTCCTGCACTGTCCTCCATGGTGCCGATGGGGTTGTATTGTTCTGCAATGCATGCGACTCCTGCGGTTTCCTTAAATCTGTTGCTCCTGCGCCAGGACGTGGATACGAAATGATATTGGGCAATGATGGCGCTGGGCGCATGAACGCCGAGGTAGGGTAATCATTCTCGTTTGGTATAGGGTTCTGCTTCGGCGCTGTGAATGGAATCCCTGGTATTAGCTGGTATACGTATGAACGGGCGCGCGACCAAGGGCTTTTATGCCATACGGCGACAACACATAGAATGGTGAAAAGAAACACGAGCGTGATTTTGCTGGGCGACCGCACAATCATAGTTGCGACTTTGGAAGCTCGGCCTTAGCCTCTTCTTCGCCTTGTGACAGTCAAGATGCTGGTGATATCGGCAAGTCGGTATTCGAATCACTGCGAACACATCAAGTGGGCATCTTTCTTTCCGGTCGGCGTGAATTCAGTTCAGTAGGAGGATTCCGATGTCCGTACGGATTGTAGAAATCAGAGGATCTCGATGCGAAGGCGTTTTCTCAAAAAGCTTAACGCTCGCAGGTTCCACCTGTCAAAACATGGTGAGAAAGTCGTGAAACTTATGTGAAGATATCAACATCACCCTTTTTTCATGTGCCATTGTTATTTCCATTGGGCCTCGACCGATATGCGTGTAAGCTCGCGTGCAATTCCGATCGGGAGCACAAACGACAAGTGACCTCGCATATTCCTATTATCTCTCATAACCTCCGTGTCGGAATGCGTTGAGAAGCTTCACTGGCAAATAGTGGTGACCTATCTTGAGCTCTAGCCTTGGCAGTTACAGCCGGGTGGGACTATCCCGCAACATCTGTTTCGGTGCTTGTCACCCCTGTAACGGGGATAGCCGAGTCATGTCAAGTTATTGCACGGGTGTTTATCGTTCCTGGTGGCTTTAGATACCGTAGATAGGGTATGGGTAACGTGTCGTTAACATTGGGGTTGAGGATTGGAGGTGCAGTCACGCTAGGATGGCATCGCTAAAGCACCTTCTATGTATACAAAGATCATAACCTTCATATGAACTGCACACGATATAAAGAAGAAGGGGAAACGTGGAAGATTCTTTCCGATAGGTAGGAAATTAGGCGTGGTAGCTGTTCGAGTATGTAAACGCGTGAAGTGAGGCATGGTGCCTCAGGCTGTTTCACGCCCCGCCTATGTGACCACAACACATCCCAGCTTTTGTGATCCAATCCCGTCTCTAAATTCCCAATGACGCTCGTAAAGCACATTCGTGACATATGTCGTGCCTGGAATTGACGAAATCAAGGCGATCCAATCACAAAGGGAATAGTAGGGCGCTTGTTACTCCGCAATGCGCGTTATTTCAAAGATAGCCATGTTGATCTGGCTTCTGATGATGCTATCGTACTCATCTCCGATCCGTGATCCATGCTCATGTTCTTTCCGTATCACATAACATGTCTAATGCTACGCCTTGTAAAGCTTAAAAGTACAGCCAAGGGGCAAAATTCAGTACCATCAACTAAGTCGTCGCCAGTACTGAGGTACTATGGATGTATCACAGTACCAGAACGATGTACTAGTACTTGGTTCATCTCAAGGTCACTCTCACTGATGCACACTATCACATTCGTCCTCCTCAAGTCCACTTCTGCACCACCACGCCCCCCCGCTTGAACTCGGCCAGATCACCCAAGGCCTGAGCCTTGTCCGATAGCTCCCTACTTGGGAACGTAGTCATGAGCGCATACGGGCGCTGTGTGCTCGCAGGGCTGGCCGAGTTGACAAAGTTGTACACATCCCCGATAGTGTGCGTCATGTTGAATCGCGAAGGCAGGCGTGTGCCGTCCGCTAGGCGAATCTGGAGTGTAATCACAGGCGCGCTGGAGTCGACATCGACGGTCGGTTTCGCAGCATCGGCAGCACCTGCGGCGACCGTGGAACCGGATGAAGAAGCGGCCGGAGCGGGTGGTTGAGCAAACGTGCTCGCGCCGGGCGTAGGGCTGCCGAGACGCTGGCCAGAGCCGGAGAAGGGTACGTACTTCTTCTTTGGCTTGACATAATCCTCGTCCTTGTGTGCGTGTACTTCAACATCCACCTCTTGTCCTTGCTCGACGTTGAGGATGTGAAGCGGGGCGTGGCCGGTATTAATCATCTCGAGCGTGCGAGCGTTGGCCGGATCATCATATCGGAAGAGATCGCCGTCATCGACAGAGAAGCCATCCCGCCACAGATGTAGCTCGCGGTGTGCGCGCGGGGGAAGGCTCGGGGCGCTGGCGGTGGGGTCGGGGATTTCGCGAGAGGGCGCATCGTCGCCGCCCAATGTCATACCAGTGCCGCGGAATTGGGTGACGGGTTGCTCGTCATCGCCGCCTGGACGAGGGGCATTCCTGTGGGTTTAGCTTGGTTATGTTGTGGTCAGGTCTTGTAACTTACTGTCGAGCGCGTCGCAGAATATTGTTGATCTGATCGCGGGGATTCGACTGGTTGGGATTCTGCACCGCAAGTCCAGACTTCTCACCACCCGTGAAGAAGTCATGCTGCTCATCGTCATCATCTGAGTCGTCGTCGTCGTGAGCGTGTCCGTGACCGCCACCGCCAGACGACTGTAGATCTCCAAGGGTCCTCAGTCCCCGCTGGGGCTGCCGCTGTGCCGCTGGTTGTTGCGCTGACGAAGAGCTAGACTCGGTGGGCGGCACATATGCACCTCCCAATGTACGACCGCCACCTGGCTGCTGGGCGGGCGTCTGGTTTTCGTTGTCGTCGGCCATGTTGGTCTGCGATGTAAGGTCGTTAGCGGAGGTGGCGTCTTGTTCGTCTTGCGGGGCAGCGTCGTCGAAGTAGAGAGCTCCGGCGTGTTCGAGGTTCCAGTTGGCTGCGGCCAGGTACTGTTCTGCCTGGAGCAGTGTTAGTAAGTGTGGAAAGCTTCTACGGAGTTCGACTTGCCTCTGTCGGAGCTAGACCCGTGAGACTGGCGAGAGATGCGATGAGTTCATCCTGATTGGCAGGCGGACCAGAAGACATATCAGTTTATCGAGCGTCGAATGAAGGTGAGATTGTGTTTGCAGATGTTTGAAAGCCGCGTTGAATTATGTTGAGAGTCGAAAACGTGATTGATGTGGTCGGTGGGGTCGACGTTCTGTGCCTGGAGCTCTGGGACGAGCGCGGACCTTTCTGACGTCGATGGCCCTCGCGCTGACTTTCACCTTCAACACTGCACCCCAAAGATATCGGGACGATCCATGCACATATCAATGTTTTGTTTCCCCAAAGACTGTCAATGGTGTGAAGACTGGAACCTAGATGGATCACTTGCGTGAGGTTGTGTAAAATCGACATACGTTCTGTGCCATTGGCTCCAGTGCTACAGTGAATAGTAATTGCTGAAATGATTTCTCTCATCCAGATCCACCACAACCGATCTGTTGGCAGTCTCGTCCATGAAGGGGGACTCTTGTTTCATCTAGTACCGAACACCATGACCCTCGAGCTTCGTTCCTCCTGACAGTTACCATTTGCGGGGATACGCGACGCCAAAGCTCCGATCTTGGCGCGCCGGTCGATCTTCAGAGCCTCAACTGTAATTCAAACCAACACATCCAATCTCGGGCCTTGTCCCATCACTCCACGCGCGTTTCCAAACGCTCTTCACTCCTTCCGATACCCTCTGATCTAAGGATAACATACGACGGGGTCACACGGCCCATATCGCATCCGCGACCAACCCAAGCCAACCGCAGCACCTCCACCCGTCAATTCGCCAACCGCGGGCCTCTCCCCACCATGTCTTCCGACAATCCCCAGAACCTCTCCTCCTCCTTCGCCACCATACCTTCTGACAGTGAAACCTACGACGCCTCCCATTCCCACGATTCACCTCCCTCTCCACCCTCCGACACCTCATCGCCCTTAATCCTTTACAAGCCGCCCACCCTTTGGGGTCTACTGCGCGGCGCAGCCATCAATCTACTTTTGCCATTCGTAAATGGGCTGATGTTGGGGTTTGGAGAGCTCGTTGCGAATGAGGCTGCGTTCAGGTTGGGGTGGAGTGGAACCAAGGTACGTTTCCTAGTTGAATCTTCGAGTGGCGGGATCAAAGGAGGGGGCAAACAATTCGCGTAAAGGGTGATACTGATGTGTAGACAGATTTTCCCTACGCACCGCTCGGGTGAAGGAAGGCGTGTAGGGCCGGGTGTGGAGATGAGGGCGGATCCTGTGGAGCGGAGGAGGAGAAGTGGCGAGGAGCTAGATGCGTATACTTCATTGGAGTAGGGACACAAAACGTCATGAGAAAGGCTCTAGGAAGATGCGCGATTGCAGCAGGAGATCACGCCGCGATAAAGGAGCAAAGGTGCGAGTTGGAGGCATCTGTAATTGTACATATTGCGCGCATGTCCAGAACAGCGCGAAGGGCAGATTTCAAAGCATATGCATACAATTCAAGGTTCACAGTCCATTGTTGTCGACTTGAAATGTCTGATTGGGTTAAGAGCAAATTCGTATGTGCAGAATTTTGATTTGGTACAATGTTTATGGCTACAATGCAACACCTCTTCCCATATGCTTGCCCTTGTCTCTACATCTACTAACACAATATTGAAAGCCCTTCTCTATCATACAAACCCTGCTCAGGCAAAATACAAAATTACCTCATGGCCTGCAAATTTAACCCTGCGTCCAACCCTTCCTCCTCTCTTCCTCGTACTTCTTCAAGTCGCGCTTCTGCTTCTCCTTCGCATCCTGCCTCTTCTTTACCTCCGGGTCCCGCGGGTCATTCCATTTATTGATCTTAGTCGCAATGGTCTTGGGAGTCGACTTGATTTGCTCCCACGCGTTCTTCGGCTGCTCCGCGCTGGCCTCTTTGTCCACCGATGCCCTCATATGCGCTGGTAGCGACGCACCGGGCTTCAGCTTGATGCCGCTGGAGAGGGTTGTCCGCCTGGGCGCCGCAGTTCTGGGCGCTTGGTACCGGACCTTTCCGTCTGCACCTTTGACGCTGTTGAGGTCGATCTCGCCTTTGACGACTTTCGAGTAGAATTTCTGGGATTCGGGAGTGGGAAGTTGACGGATGCCGAGTGCGCGGCGGACGGCGGGTTGGCGGAGAGAGTAACCGGTGACGGCGCCCGTGATTGAAGTACAGAAGAAGTAAAGCTGGATAGCAGCAGGCTGAAAAGCTGTGACTGCGGTCATGGCAATGGGCAGGACGACTTGAACCTGCTTTTGCATGCTGGTCTGGGCTGTCTGGTCCTGCAAACCGGTTTCGCCACCTCTCTGCTCGTTGTTAGATATGGGCCTTTGGCGAATTGTGCACGGTGACGTACCTTAATGACCATGTACATGATGCCTCCGGTAACCACAGGAAGTAGGTAGTAGGGGTCAGCAACGCTCAAATCCGTGAACCACAGCCATCCATCAGTGGTGATTCCTGGAGCTGGTAGCGATGCTATGCCACGGAGAGACCTCCAGGCGCCGTATCCGAAAACACCCTGTGCAATAGCGGTACCCATTGATTTGAAGAGATCCACACCCACGTCCTTCATGACAGCCTGCTGCTTCATCTTGAGCATCTGTACTCTCTCATCGTCGCCTTGTCGCTTCGCCTCCTCCATCTCGTCCTGCAAAGGCTGGAGAACTGGTTTCATGGCTGCTGTCTTTACCATGGCGTCTGAGCCCCACCTCTGAAAGGTAAAGAACAAACCAGTTCGCAAGATCAATGCCGAAGCCACAATGGTGCCTGCCCAGCCGAGTTCGGCATTGATGTGTACCAGCTCGAGCAAGCTCTCGAAGAAGGCCGAGGGACCCCAGCCATAGTCAAGTCCCAAGTCTTTGAGGTTTCCCCAGTACGAGATGGGCACGGCAGGATCTATAAACGAAGTGTCCACAGATTTCGTAGGATCGAGGGGACCGAGCAAGCCCTCAACCGTCTTGCCATCCAGCGTGGGGGTTGTAGTTGCGGTCGCGGCGGTTTGGTCTACTCCGGCAGGCTGAAGTTCTGGTGTAGCAGTGGTGACTACGGGTTCAGGGACGACTTCGGGAACGGGTATGGGTTCGGAGGTGAGCTCAGAAGCAGGGTTCGATGTTGTGCCGGAGCGACCCCACGTCCATGGTGCATACCAGGATCCGTGTCGAACTGCGGAAGAGGAGAGAACAACGTTAGGCGTCGCGGTTGCGCCGGCGCGCCAGTTCGATAATCGGAGGGAGCTTGTCCGACATGACGATGCGGAAAGGGCAGCTTTTCTAGACACTAAAGAGAACTACACATGAGCAGGTTAGCGACTTGAACATGACTGTCGAGCAGATGCGGCGCGAAGATGAAGTTGCTCGTGTGCTAATGGAGTGGTGCCATTGGGGACGGAGGATTAATCGCGCACTTTTCTCGATGTACCGGACCGCAGAGCAGACGATTGACGAGAAGCCAATGAGGCCAATTGCCGGGGCGGTAATCCTCTACTAGGAAGCATTGTGACTTGTCATCCGATCGTTCACGTCGACAGGTTCAAAACTTTGGAAAGTCGGCGGCGCCAAGGCCGCTAGGACCAGGCGCAACTTCCCCACAGCGTGTCTGCTGCTCTTAGCGCGTCATCTACGTTACCCTGAAGGAGGCGGCCTCAGTACCGGTCTCACACAAGCGGCTACTCGTATACTGTGGCTGCTGATCAATTCACAATACATGCAAGATCGGAGTTCAAATGCTCACTATTCGTTCATTGCTCCCTGTCGAGAAACATGCAAAACGCATACACTCCATGATCTTGTTCGCGAACACTACAACCATATTCGCATCTGTTCTATCGACAAGAACCGCCACGCGCATAATCCAGGAACAGCTACCGTGCAGTATAATAAAGTACAGGATAAACCACAAGCCAAGCGCCGCCGCCGCCGAAGCAGGCAGCCACAGTGGCACTCCTCTATGAAGCGGAAGGAGAAGATAGACAAAAGCCCAGCTGAGGCTGGTATATATGGCAGCCATTGCTGCCTTCGATGGGTGGATAGAAAGTACATCGTGCCGGGTCGTAATTTTTGGGTATTCCCATGCCGGACCCTTGATTACCGTCAACGCCAGCGAGCATACAATGTATGAAACAGAAATCGACTAGATGCTAAGACCTGACTCCCATAGTGTTGTTGTAATATGTAAAGGAAGGAGTGGATGTTGTGTATTGAAAATGCTGGGTCGGACTGTGGGAGCATCCGTCACATGGACCACTAATCCATGTAGCTGTTGCCTTCCGTCACCGCAAGCGCCTCTTCTGCCTGGCCACCGCCAGGCTCCATCATCTCGCCAAACATCTCTTGACCGTTACCAGAGCTCTTGAAGACGTCTTGCATCGGGCTCGTGGGTTCGCCGCCAGTGCTCTCGAAAAGCCCGGGATCGATGGGAGCGATAGAAGAACCGAAATTCATGGTAGCATTGGTCGCAAACGTTGGAGAGTTGTTGAATCTGGTGGTCACTGGGTTGGAATTAAAGTAGTCGTTCTCACCAAAGCTGCGGCGCACAGCGGGAGGCTCGCCAGGTGGTGTATGCGACTGCTCAGGAGCGGGCTGTAGACTTGGCCTGGTGGGATCTAAAGACTTGCGCTTGGCCTGCTGTGTTTTCGGTCGCATATGGGGAGGTAGATCTTCGGGATTTGTGATACCAAGTTGCGTCATAAGCTTCTGCTGTTTGGTGGGCCGCGGCTTACGTGTGGACAGCGAGACATTGAGAATTGGAGGCGGTTGGGGAGCGACTGGGGCCCACTTGTGCAGCTCTTGGCGGAAGAAGTTGATTTCGTCCGACAGCAGAATCTCTGCGCCCTCCAACTTCCTGAGATAGAAACGTTGGGTTGTAAGCTCTTCCGGGCTAGACATGACAGGGTTGATGTACTGGGCAACGTAGTCTCGGAATTGGGTTCCATGGTGGATGAGCGACTCCAGTGTTTCTTCCTCCTCTGGCTGGAAAGGAAGAGATGGTATCTCCTCCTGCCACGTCTGCAATTCTTCAAGCTTGGGTCGAGTAGCATCTCGAGGGATCTTGACACGATAGTCGCAAATGGGGCAGGTGTACTTGTCTTCTTCCTTAAGTTTGCCTCTAGCGAGTTTGAGACACTTGCTATGATACCTGCGACAATTAGTAATCGAATTTTGGCAAGCAATCATCATCTCAACTCACCATTCATGACAGAGATCACATTCGATCATGATCCCCGCCTCGGGTCTCCGGCAAATGCAAAAGACATCACGGCTCGATCCAGATCCATCTACGTTTTCCTCGTCTTCTTCGGGGGTGTTTGCTCGCGAAGACGGTTCAACAGGCATACGGGGCTGATCGGACAAGTCGAAACAGGAGATATTTCGCTCATCCACTTGTTTCATGTGGGCGTGTAGAATGTGCAATGGTGCGTTAGCTTTACCGAAAAGTTTCTTGCCACGTCGCATCCAATCTTCATGTCGCTTCTGTTCCCTTTCGAGGTCGATTGTACCATTAGGCTTACTGTTGAGTGCGCTCAGTGCTTCTACTGCGTTCTTCACCTCCAAGTATTTCGGTCGCTGGCGGAAGTCTGGGTTCTTGCTTCGCTCGTACAGAGATAGTATCAGCTCTTGAGCATCGCGCTGCTTCTTGAGAATTGCGTCTACTGCAGCAAGAGTTTCTGGCACGACAGGTATCGAATTCGCTTGCTTTGAGAGGGCGTCAAGCTGCTGATAATGAACGTTCTCCACGGACATGAGCTCCTTAGCTTTGGCCTCCCAAAGTTCGCCTTGAATCTTCTTGTCTTGAAGGAAGTGCACTTCGGGATGATTCTCGGGTATGCCGAGCTCAATACCTTGATCGATAAGCACACTGACATCTTTAAGAGTTGGCGCCTTCTGTCTGCAGCCGTCAACTGTCTTCAGCCACTTGAGTTGGGCGACCACCTTTTCTAGTGAGTCTAATTCAGGTAGATCGACGTTGAAGCCTTTGCCTTCCTCAAGAAGTTCATCCAACCGGGCAATGCTTTGCTGTGCAGGTCTATCTCGTAGTGCGGCGCGAGCTTTGTCCTGGAACTCTGCAATGCTCTCGAACCGCTCACGCAGTGCCGTGATCTCCGGGCTATCAAAGCACAGACTGTTTGCTGTCGCGAGCAGCTTCTGGATATTGTCGATGTTGCGATATTCCCGCTCTTTCTCGTCGATCTCTGCTGCTGCAGCCTTCCCACGACCTCGACCACGGCCCTCATTCTTGCGCCGAGCCTGTTGCTTCCGTGTCGTGTAACCCAATGCTTCTTCAGCTATCTCCGAGCACTTCTCGACGAATTCTTTCAAGTCTACAAGACCATTCAGTTCCCAATCGATGCGTTCTCCTTCGTTGAGCAACGCGCGTAGAGACTTCAGCTGGGGTTTTGGACCTTCGTCGAGAAGTGCCTCGAGCTTGGTCTCCCAGGCTTCCGGCATGCCTGCCTTGTCAACGATCTTTTGAATGGTAGAGTGAAGAATGTCGTCGGACAAGCGGTATATGAGGAAGTGCTCGCCCCGAGCGCCCAGGTATCGTTCCCCTTCCAAGCTTCCAGGACAACATTCGAACCATCCGGCATGGCGCAAGCATAGCACCTTCTTTGCGTTCGTGCAATAAAACCGCGAAAGGTAACCGTAGGCCTTACAGAAACTGCAAATAAGTTCATCCTCGTGCATGTCCTTGTCATTGATCTCGATATCGATATCGCATGTCCCGTCACCTTCGCCGGTTCCATCGATTTTACACTTCTGTCCATGAAACACTTTGTGCTTCTCGGCAAACTCTGCTCGAACCTTTATTTCGTGTTCGCGCATGCGCTCTAAAGCCGGTGCTAGCCATTTAGCGGTCTTTATGGTCGTGTCCTTGCGCGAGGCTGCTGCAAGAAGAAGCTCGTCGTGCGAGAAGCATGGTTGACGGCGGTAGTCTTGGAGACGTTGAACACCCAGCTCGCCGTAAGGTTCCCAATCGGAAGGAGCAAAATTGACAGCTTCGTTGAAATTGAAGCCATGATTAAACCCAGCGTGGTAGGCTTGCGGGAAGGTGATGACAAATTCACCAGCGCGCTGATCAAGCGCGAAGACCCTCACTCCGGCCTTCTTGAGTTGATCGGGAGTCAACAAGGTGACTAGCTGGAAAAGCAAGTCAGGCTGCGATTCGAACAGCTCCGGCACTGCATCGCGCATTGCTTGCTCGAACTTCTCCGTATCCTCAGCTGGGATCCCGTACCAGGTCTTCGTCGCACCGAAATGCTGGTAGTTGGCCGAGTAAGTGAAGTGATCCTCGTTGTGCCAGCAGAAGGTCGAGAAGACCATGCCAACGTACAACCACGGCACCGTCATGCCCGATATGTCGGACTTGATGTGACGGAAGAGCGACTCCGAGTTATAGGGCATAATATTCAGGTTCCAAGGATCGGTCGCATATGGCTCGCGCGGATTGCGCTCGATTGTAGGAAATCCACTTCCGTGGGTTGTAGAATGTACGTCGGCGCCATACTCTACTTCGACAGTCTCGGTGATGCTCTCTACGAGCCTCCAGAACTCGTGCTCGATGTCGTCCTCGCTCACAGGCTTTGGCGTATTCGTGACGGGATCGAATGGCATCTTGTTGGCAAAGTGCGCTTGCTTGAAGAGATGCGCACGTTCTTGGAATTGCCGCAGCGAGTAAGTACCGCCTTCCTCGAAACCGAATTCGCCGGTGCCAACCAAGCATTTAGGACAATGCCAGTCGTACTCCGGGATGCCTTTGATCGGTGGATCGAGACAATAGCCGTGATAACCGGCGTCGCAACTGTCGCATAGTAAAATGTTGGAAGGGTCATTCTCGGTACCACATGTTTCGCATCGCTGCTCATTGGATGAGTAACTTGGAACAAGGAGCCTGTCGGAGGACCGTGCACTTACATCGCCAGGACGCTCGTCAGGAGCGCGAACACGCGGGTGCAATGTCCGTCCACCACTTGGTGTCGACTGGCGAGGTTGGGTCATGTGAGAACCTGCCACGGTTGGCGCCGCATCTGCAAGTGTTGTTGTTAGCCGGAGTTGATCGCCAATGAGAGATACAGCGGCCGATCAGTCGTACCGAGATCCAACCAGGGATCGTGCACGAGCAGAACCCTGTCTAAATACAGGTGGAGGCTGCAGGTGACGGATGCGCTTACCTTTCTTCAGACGTTTGCTTCGACGGCCATTTGCCGCGTCAGCCTCATCAGTCATGCCACCCTCCGTGTCCTGGGACAACGTTCGCTTAAGATGAGGAAACGCTTGTGGATGGGAAAGTGGAGTCAGACCAACAGCTGACGGTCGCAAATCAGGCGTATTGTGCGCTGACAACATGGGGCTGCCATTTCGGAGGGGCGTAGACGTGCGAGAGTCGCCATTGCTATGAGCATAACCGTTGACTACGTTTACGTAGGACAAACCATTTGGGACCGTTCCTGGCGTGCTTGCCGCTGGCGGAGTGGGCTGTGGGGACTGCGCATTCACGGCTGTGAAGCCTCCTGCGTTTACAGCGGTAAAGCCAGACGAAACAACGGGTCGCGGTAGATCTGCTGGAGGTGGTGTCGGTGCAGTCTCAGTGTGCATTGAAGCGTTAAGTGCAACGGTCGCCCTCATGGCTGGCGAATCAATGGAGTTACCGTTCGGTGTGCCGTGCGCCGATTTCTTCATAGGCGACGGAGCTGGCGAAGGTGTGTACGGACCGCCGTTTTCATGCTCTATCATTTGCTGGACTCCCGGCTTCACGACTCTCAGATACTCTTCATACGGATGAAGCCACTTCTGGTACGAGTTCTTCAGTGACGTGGACAGCGAAGACATGATCTTGCCGCTGTAGCCGAGGTCTCGTCCGATCTCTGCCCACTTCTTCTGCTTGCAAACACGCTCAAAGCCGCCTCTCGTTTCAACGGCCTTTTTGAGCTTATACAGATCCAGCGGCCTCTTGTCCACACTAGGGAATCGAGTCAGGCTGTTGCCGTGCTGCTTGTGAAACTTGGCCAATTGATCCAGATAATTTAGATTTGCGCGCGTGCCTCCCTCGACCGAGTTCAATTCTTGTCGACGGGTACGGAAGTGGAAGCGCTCCGTGTCGATGGCGAATGGTGGGTTCCATGAGTCAGGCGGGATGATCTTGGCGATGCCGTAATGCTGTGCCTCCTCACGTACTGAAGCAATATATAGCAGCGGATCTTTGAACTCTTCAGCAGTTGGTCTGAAAGTGGGCGCTTCCTGTAAGCCAAACATGCGGTTTGGCTTCGGTGGCGGATTGTTAGGTATGCCCTGGCCTCTGCGCTCGACTGTCGCAAGATCCAGGGCCTGCGCTTTGCGAGCGCTGAGAGGTATCCCATTTATGCCGACAGATGGTGTGCCGCTCGCTGGAGGAAGCGGCACGCCTCCCATTCTCGTTTTTGGTGCTGCAGGTACTCCATTTGCGCCTGCGACTCGAAAGGTGGCCACCGTGCCGCCCATCGGCGGGCCGCTGGGGGGTAGGAGATCGACCATGCCGTCGCTGCTGCACCCAGCGCTGCCCTTTTCCGACGCTAATTACAAACTTGTAACGATGGTGGTTGCGTGGTTACCGTGGTGTCGTATTCGCATTCGCATGTGTGTTCTGGATGTGGAGCTTGCGGGCGGGTGCCTATGAGTGTGGCATAAGACGAAGGCTGCGGCAGAGCTACTGCTGGGGACGGATAGTGCGAAAACGGGGTCCAGCTGCATACGAATTGAGGGAGCAGGCCGTTAAATCGTAGGTCGCACTCGCATCGATTGGGGTGAGGTTGCGGGTGGCAGCGTAGAATTGGTCCCGGGGGACGTCGGCGGCGAGAGAGTGGTGGAAGAGACTTGATGGACTGATGAGGGAAGCGCGAGTGGAGGACGTTCCTGCCGGCTCTGGTAGTGGTAGGCTAACCCAACACGACCACCGATGGCAAGGATGCACCCAGCCGACAAAGAACGGCAGCATAAAATTCACCGATTGCGACGGCACGACCTGCTGCTCACCGACACTGTTCAGTTCTGATCTCTTCGCCTTGCCATGGGCGAGGCAGCATCATCACAGACATGCAGTATCGGTGCACCTGCTCGGTCGCCCCTGCAGCCTGAAACAGAAAGGCGAATTCTGGGACCGGGTTTTCACTACCAGCATGCTCCAGTGGTTCACAACCGCATGCACGTTTCGCAGGTTCTGGTGAGCAGTTCTGGTATGCTCGTCAGCGTTGCTGCGAGCGTGACACAGTGATTCGTAGCGATATGCACCTAGCCACGTCGCCTGCGTAATTTGTATACTTCAAGATTAAATGGCGGGCCGCGCCAATGTTTTTAACATGCCGCAGGAGTTGGCCGCTGCAAGCAAGGGTGCGCACGGAACGCCAGAAACCGAGCCAATGGCGCCTCAGCCCTGCCGACTTCCTTTCGCATTGCCTCTGCTGCTTGAGCGCAACATTACCAGGCAGTCAGTCTCGGCTTGCGACAAAATATGCCAATGGAGAAGCCGATCCCTGCCTTCTACTGCTGCTATCTGCTGCGCTCCAAAAACCGCAAGTCCTACTACATCGGCAGCACCCCCAACCCTGCGCGTCGGCTAGGTCAGCACAATGGCTCGAGCAAGGGCGGCGCGAAGCGGACATCGCTGCAGGCGAAGCGGCCTTGGGAGATGACCTGCATCGTGACCGGCTTCCCGTCCAAATACGCAGCTTTGCAGTTTGAATGGGCATGGCAAAATACTCACGCGACTCGACATATCGACAGAGATGTTCGCGACGCAAGAGTCGAAGAGCTGCAAAAGAAAAAGAAAGCCTCGCCAAGCAGGAGGAGGAAGCCACCCATGTCGTTGGAGGCCCGGTTGAAGAACCTGCATTACTTGTTGGGTGTCAGGAGCTTCAGCAGGTGGCCGTTGCACGCGAGGTTCTTTGCGCCGGACATCTTTGCAACATGGGAGAGGCATACTGCGAAAATGGCGCCAAAACTGCGAACAAGTATAACCATACAGCTCACACCTGCCGATCTTCCCGCGCCGGTAACCGGCCCTTCCGCAGGAGATTCAACAACATTCAAGACACCCGACATAATTCGAGCAATACCTGTGGCGTATGAGGAGTGCAAGCCTCACGTTGAGAAAGCTAAAGCCTTGGTAGAAGAACAAAGATCACGTACCTGTGGAGTCTGCAGCGCAAGGGTGAACGTCTTCACTGGTCTCACGTTGATATGTCCGGTGGCGAAATGTCGGAGCACTTATCATATACATTGCCTATCTAATCGGTTCCTGGCCGAAGAAGGAAGTCAGGCTGCTCTCATACCTATCGAAGGCACGTGCCCGACCTGCCATACGCCATTGCAGTGGTCCACTCTCATGAAAGAGCTGAGTCTTCGCACACGTGGTCAAAAGGAGGTCGAGGCCATGTTCAAACCTAAGCGGAGGAGGAAGGCAGACAGCACCTCTGAATCGGAAGCTACTGAGCCACAAGAGCTAGGTGAAGAGGATGAGGACTTGGACGAGACGTGGATAGAAGACGTCGATGACGGAGAAGGCGTTCCTGCGACCTGAAGCAAGAGCAAGCTCACCATGACTCTACGAACCTAAGCGGTGACTGCTCGTCATCGACCCTCTTCATCGCCTTATGCACCTCCTCCCAGATTTTCTGCTGCACGTCCTCCATACTTGCTCCGGCATTGATACGTACAAAATCGTCCTTCTCCTGGCTCTGCATCATTACATCGAACAGCCGCCTTACGTGATCCTGAAGCTCCTTTTTCTCGTACTTCTCTGTTCCATATCCACCTCGCTTCGCTGCATCTTCCACCGAGATGTCAAGGAACAATGCGAGATCGGGTCTAGGCAGGCCAACTTCAGGATGGCGCGACCAGGCTAGTGAGAGGGCGGGATTTTGCTTTGCTGCGCTGTACACGCAGCCAGAGTAGTAATAGCGGTCTATTATTATAGTGGTTCCAGCAGCGAGGTCGGCTTCTATAGATGGTCTGCCATGGTGTAAGCAGGATGCATGCGCGAAAAGAGTGGGAGGATTTATCGAGGGGACGTACGCGGCTTCCCAACGGTTGGCTGAGAATAGTAAATGAATGACATGATCCTCCTGCTCGCTCTGTCCGCTCAGGTAGCTGTTGATCATTTGTCCGATCGGCGACGTCCGATCTTTGAAAAATTGATCAGCACAATTGAGGGTTGAATTACAAGAAGAGTTCCCGGTAGCACGAGGTTATCTCTGGCATACCGCCGGAAGACGTACCGGGAAACCTCATGTGCTTCACTTTAACACCATCCCCCTCCAGCGCTTCGACTAGCATCTGGCATTGCGTCGACTTGCCCGCGCGGTCTAGGCCTTCGAGCACGATCAACTTTCCACGTGCCATGAATTAGTCGACCGGGTCCACTTTGGGGTGCGAATTATTGGGGCTGGTGCAAGTCGAGGTATGGTTGGAGAGCTTCAGAGTCGTGGTCGCAACTTCTACGAAAGCTAAGCGAGGCCGAACGAGGGTTAGGTCTGGCGCTAAACTGGGGGCTCATCCATCTGAAAGTCGATCGATGGAGTCAATCTTGGCTTTCGAGGAAGTCGGCCGTTGCGTCGAGTTGCTTGATTTTAAGTCATTGTCGCAACGGAGATGCCTGCTTCCGCATTAGCTAAGAGACTATCATCGATTCACAGCCTGGTGAGATGGGTGCGCTATCTCCAGCACCCTCCGCCAGCTGACATCATCCAAATGCTTGGTGGTTCTTTGCAACAACCTACGAAACTGCCCCGATGTTATGCGGTACGCGCCATCACATGCACATTGCACGCGGATGCAGGCGATGGCGCAAAGCACAGAGATTCCTTTCTTAAAGCTACCCTATTGGAGTTGGGTATTCCTTCAAGTTTTTTATCCTTGCACACAGAAATCACTCAAGCGCTGCATGCACGCCAGCCAATACTTTTCATCCGCAGTCTCAACAGGGGTCTGCGACCCCGCGGACTTCACGTGTCTAAATGCATATAGGTAACACTCAATCCACGCTTTCCTGGGACCTATTTCCGGCACAATGGACAGCTTGGACACAGCCACTCTCGTGCTGATCGAAACAGGTCAACTCTCTGGTATACGATTCGACAGTGGCACAAGAGCCTTCTTAGGCATTCCCTATGCAGCACCTCCGGTAAGCGACCAGCGTTGGCGACCGCCAAAGCCGGCGAATTCATGGCAAGGCGTGCGGGCGGCAACGAGGTTTGGTCCAAGCAGCTTGCAGTTCCCTCCACCAGCGACATCTTTGTACTTTGGAGGTGAGAGCGACTTCAGCGAGGACTGCCTTTATTTGAACGTCTATACCGGTCCAGAAGAATCGAATGATAGACCGATCCTAGTCTGGTTTCACTTCGGTGCCTTCCAGATGGGATCCGCCATGAATCCAATGTATAATGGGGAAAAATTAGCTGCTGAGGGTATCACGGTCGTCACTGTGAATTATCGGCTGGGTGTCTTTGGCTTCCTAGCGCATAGGTGGCTGAGCGCAGAGTCACATTTGCAGGCTTCTGGAAATTGGGGCATATTGGACCAGATCGCAGCGCTGCAATGGGTGCAACGGAATGCCAGAGCTCTCGGAGGAGATCCCTCTAACGTCACGATCGGTGGCGTTTCAGCAGGGGGTTCCAGCGTGCATATACTTCGTACATCTCCATTGGCGAAGTCACTCTTTTGCAAGGCATTATGTGAAAGTGGCCCAGGTATTGCTCGTGATCCTGACGGGCACGGTCACTTCGCCACGTTTACCAGTCTCGCAACGGCAGAAGAGGCAGGGGCTGAATTAACAAATCTGCTGGGCGCTTCATCGATCAATGAACTGCGCGAGATGCCGGCCCAGAAACTTATGATGACCCAACTACCTCGTTCGCAGGGACCTTGGGAGAGCGACTTATTTCCAGGATCCAGCGGTTTGAATCTTTTCGACACACGTTATCCCATTGTTGATGGCCACGTGCTTCCAGTACCTCCGATGGCCGCATTCCTTTCAGGAAAAGTTGCTGACATCCCACTTCTGGCTGGTAACGTCGGAAACGAAGGCTCGGGCCTGATGCAGATTAGATCTTTGGCCACATATCTCGAATTCATGCGTGGTACCTTCGGCAATCACGCAGATGAAGCCCTGCGTTTGTATCCAGCAAGCTCTGACGCGGAAGCATCGACCTCATCAGCACAGCTTCTTTCGGATCAAACTTTCACGTACCCGGTATGGACTACTGTACGACTCCACGCTAGGACATTGACATCGAAGGTGTACTACTACCAGTTCCACCGATCACCCCCCATCCCTGCGGACTCGAAAGTTCTGGAAAGAGGGTATGCAGGAGCGTTCCACGGTTCTGCTACGCTCTACATGTTTGGTAATCTTGATGCATGGAAGTGGGACTGGACCGACGGTGACCGAGAACTCTCAAGGAGAATGGTTCAGAATACTGCGCTGTTTTTAAAGACTGGTAAGCCTGCCCAGGATGGAAATATATGGCCTGCTGTAAACTCTGGCAAGCCTGATCGTACGGTCATGTTCCACGACGAGGATTGTATGTCGAGACTTCGACGACCTTCGCAGCGGTTACAGCAGGTCAGCGCGTTTTGGGACCGCTTTTATGAATTTGAACATATGTGTTGAAGATCTTACGACACGCACCTGGAAATTAGCCATAGGACCTTGGGAAAACCAAGGGAATTTTGGTTTATATCCGGCGACTTCAGTTGCGGCACTTCACTGGTATCCAACGCCGCATAAACTTGTCTTGCCTAGTAGAAGGGAAGTGGTTTACATGCCCGGGAAGAATTCACGACTTCTCCGTATCACTGCCATGTACAGCGCTTAGCAACAGGAGGTAGCAATGTCAATTGGGGCCTAATGGGCTACATTTACGTTCAGCACGAAATATTATAATATGCGTACGGATCGTGAGTAGGAGATTACGGTGGCGTGAGGACGGAAAGGAATATGTGTAGCGACTCTCACAATGCGGAAACTCCGTGCTGTATCTCTAAAGAGCTGGCTGCTGATGCCACTCGCAGCGCTGACCCACGCCGGAAATTCTCTTTTTTAATCGACACCTGTGTTCAATACACTGTCATTCCCTCGCCCTAAGTAATTATGCATATTTCCCAGCTACTCAAATCAAGTTCTCAAGTGTGATAAAACATTATCTTGTAGCCAGTAATGTGGCATCCGGGGACTGCCTCTGCGGCACAGCTCTTTCGAAGCACTAATGATGCGGTGTACTCTTCCTTTGTTGTCAGCAGATTCCCTTGTCTGTTTGCTTCACAAGTTTGGAGCGCTTTAATGATAATAACGGGCACGCGAACTCACACTCTCCAGGGTATAAATGATCCCACCCACACCCGTCTAACAGCGTGTACACTCTTGGAACTAGAAACGACACACCGGCTAACATGTTGCCCTCGCACCCGTCGGCGGATATCAAGTCGACAAAACCCTTGATGTAAGCGTCAAGTCGTTAGCGGGTGGTGCCTTGGCTAGGATGCGAGAAAGCGCTTATTGATGAACGGCGATGGACGCATGGTGGCGCGAAATTGACGGGCTTTTAGTTTTAGTGTGGGAAGTATTTCCCTGGTAAAGTGTCCAGGGGGATACATGCCTTGTCGGGCCGTCATGTGCTCAGCTCAAGATACATGCTTCCATCTTGATCTTATCTTGAACCACCCGATCCGACTTCACCGAGTGCCTGTGTAACAAGGTTCCTGTCAAAGTATTCATTCGGGCTTGCGTAGTTACCTCCCCAAAGCCCTATAATGAGCGCCATCGAACTTCTCTCGGTCTTCGTGCGCCCGCCAACCATTTTCTCTAGCCTACCCGGCTTGTACCTTCGTACAATATTAATCGGACCCGTGGCGAGTGAGTAGGTACAAAATACGCACCGCAGCATGTCGACAAAGCATGAGGCCACGAAGAAATGCTACTAACAGTTCCCTCCTTTTGTGGCATTAGCTCGTACCAGCATGTACACCTTAGAAAGACTCCCAAGACCAAAGTAGTCACACAACTTCTCTTGATTGCCCGACCGAACACAAGTCTCGAGACTCTATCTCACACTAATTTGGCCATCACCACTTCGACCGTTCTTCCCAACTTGAAACCCGCCGATACCGGCCCCTTCCTCATCCGACGCGTCCCATCTGATAAGATGGCGCTGCGCTTATCAGATGCAAATTTTCCTTCGGTCCCGGTCGACCCCGCATCACGCCACTTATCTCCGAACAATCTCCCGCCAATTACGTACTTGATTGGTCGCTCGTTGTACGAGATACGAAGCTTTGCAGCGTCAGCGAATAATGGTTCGAGTGCCACGCTGCCCAGTCCGGATTGGAAATAGAAACCTTGTACGAACGCCCGTGCTCTGGCGACGTCGCAGATATTTCATTGCTTGCCTGAATCATGCACATGTGGTCAGTACGCGTGGGCATGTTGAACATAGTCTGATATGTTGTTGTGCGTGCAGCATTGAGCGTAAGATTCGTGCAGCATTGGTGCAGACTGAAGACAAATGAATGGGTATAACTGTAGCTACTTGAACAAAGGGAGGATGGTGATGAAAACAAGAATGGAGTGCCAAAAGCCAGTTGCTCCTCGCTATTTTCGCTGCGGTAATGCAGAATACCAAAGAACCTCCCTTGTAGTGAGTAGCGAGTATCCGGTCGTCATCTATACATGTACAGTCCACCGCGTGCCTACCTTCTTACGTCGTCATGCTGTACCCTCAGTCTGTGGTCCATCCTCCAGGCTAATCATGCAGCGCACTATCACATTCTCAACAGCCCTTGCTCTAGTGTGATATCGGCTGCACGTTACGAGTATCCAGTTCTTCTCCTTTCACCGACCCACAAACAGATCCTTCAACAACGCTCTCCGCGGGACACGGCGTTCCTCGCATGCACGATCTCGGAGCGTGCTTACCAAGATGTTCGTGTTGAAAGGAAGGCGCATAGAACACGCACTCAATCCAGTAGATCTCCCGACAGATGCCTTTCCCTGTCGTGGCGGACCTTGGTTTGCTTTAGCCGGCGTATTCAGGACTTGTGTGCGGCGACTGAGTGCTCCTCTGAAACTCCTGGGCAATGCGCACAATATCCGAGTTCTCGCCGTCCTCTTGTCGAGGCTGGATTGGCTTCATGCTATTGCCTAGCGTCGCAATGATACCGGCTGTGTCGAGCTCTATAGCACTGTACTTGCGCGAATGATGCATCATGGTGTCACGCCTGGAATGCGATGGCACTCTCCGGAGATTGCTAATCCAGTCGAGCTTGTCCTGATCCATAGACACGCGGCCATCGAAGAGCTTGAAAGCTTCGTTGCAACCGAGGGATTGCTTCGCACCATATGGAGTGGAGGCGTCCGGGATGTGCGGCTCCATAGTCTCAAGAGTGCTGCTGATGCTCGAATTCCGAGATGTTGGCGGTGGCAGGAACTCTTCGTTTTTGAGCTGCGCAATCCTCTGGCACCATGCTCGTTGTTTAGGATTGCTCTGGCAAGCATCGCAGCTACCGGGACCGTTGAGCTTAGAAGTGGCCGAGAGCGGCACCACCTGGTCTTGATTACGTTGAACATCCTGAAACTGCAACGATTGGTCTTTGCACAGACAATTAGAATCGTCCGTACAAAAGCCACACTGGGAATCTTGCTCACTGCCGCTCTGCGCAAGTAGAGTGACAGACGGGCGCTGATCCAGTCTAGGACGCTTAGCGAATTGAGCAGTGAAGTCGATCTCCCGATCCGCGAATGGGTCGACAGTCTGGAATTGGACGCCTTTCATGGGCGAGGCAGCGGTTCGCGGTAGTGGCTGGATCACAGGAACGGGACCGGCAAACGGATTCGGCGCTTGGGAAAATTCAGCAATGCAAGCACAGTCACCGTTAGGCTTACAGTTACCGCATCCAATATGTGTCATGGACTTGGGAGAGCTGTAGCCAGAGAACGAACCCATGGAAGAGCGAGTCGGTGAATTCTGCTGCGGGAAGAAGACGGCCTGCTGGTCATTGTAGGGGTTGAGCGGATAGTTCTGATCGCGCAGTCGCTGCTGGAGGGTGTTGTGCTGGGCCTCAGTCTGACTGCTGCGGTCTTTCCAGTAGTCGCGCTCCTTGGTTACTCTCTGCAAGGCCTCCCTGGCCTCGTCTAGCTGCGCTTGCACGCTGTTGAGCTCCGAGCTGAGACGGTGTTGCTCAGCTAGCATCTCATTCAGCTCGTCCCTGTGCTTCCGGTTGGTGACATCTGCCTGCTCTTGCATCTCGGTGAGCTTCTGCGCCTTGCGGGCACGGAAGGCTCGCTGCGACTCGCGGTTCTGGGCTTTGCGCTTTGAAGCCGGCTCGTCCGTGGCAGGCTTGCGGCCTGGCTTGGGACGCGGCGGGACTACATAGCTGCGACCTGTTGGCCCGGCGCCTAAAGGCGAGGCGCCTGTCGGGGAAGCTGCCGTCGTCGTGATGGGCGTGAAGCTGGTCGAGATGGGCGTCGGTACAATGGCTGGCGAAAGTGAGCAAACGAAGGTTGGGAACAATGACAGCAGTGGTACTAGTGGTACCGTCGGTGTGTGCGTGGGACAGCTGCTGTGGCGCCGTGGGTGGTGGTGGAGGGGTTCTCTGCACTGGGATGTACGAAGTGACACCGAGCGCAGGAACCCGCGCGAATTGGCAGAGGGGCTCAGACTTACCGCGCGAGCTCGAGGGCCGCGGCTGGGCATTTGCAGCAGGCGGGCGCGACGTGGGTGAGGGTGTCGGGCCTGGAGTGTTGGAGCTGCGAGGCGTCGCTCCAGGTGAGGCACCGTCATTGGACATGGCGGGCATTCGATGTTGCTGCAGGTAGAAGTAGATGCTGGTCGGATCTGATAAGATATTGCTGTGATCTATGTCGGCCGATCTCGGATTTCGGGCGGCCGGCGCCTGGCGGCCTTGGCGGGCCTCCTCGTCCTCTGCTTGCATGTGGTCGTGGTAGATGACTCGCCGCTGTTACCGGCGACAGCTGACATGGACACAAGAACGGATAAAGCAAAGGTCTGGAAGGCGTGTTGCGCAAGAACACGAGCATAGCAGGCGCCGATCGAATCGAGGATCTTTGGCGGCAACAGCGAGAGACGCTCAGATCGACCTTTTGTAATGGAACGCCCTGTAGCAACCCGGGCCATTGTCCCTACAACCCGCTCGAAGGCTGGAGAGTCCGAGCCCACACTGCGTCCACCGGTCATCGACAATACCCTCGACCCAGGGAATCTACCCCGCGCTCAGTGGTGAACGGGGCCGCCGCACGATCCACCCTTTTTCTCCAGGACTGATGGCCAACAAATGCGAGCATACTCGTCGCTGCCGGTGAGACTTGGGAAAGGTGGCCTCATCAGTCGTAGTGCGACGCATAATCAAACGGTTATCTATACTCGGCCCCATGTGGATTCAGCTACGGGCAGAGAAGGCGTGCTTGGCTTCTCTCTTGTCTGGTTGTTTGGGCCCCGGCGTGAGCCTCTAATGATGGGACTGATGACTTCTGCAAGCCGTCATTGGACTATCGTCTACGCAAACGCTTCTGTCCCAGTGGCCGTTGTTGAGACCACTGTTTCAGACACGGTCCGTACCGCTGATGCTGTACCGTTACCAGTTCACAATTGCGGAGACGTGGCTACTGCAAAAGAGGAGAACGTTGCACTAGAGCCAATGGCTATCTTGGGGTCGATGGGGAAGTGCGATGCAACAACATTTGCGCATGACCAGTGCAAGATTTCGTCCCCACGAGGGGTCGTCGGAAATGGGATGCTGAATCGTATGAGGTGCCTTGATGAAAGGCTGTACATTCTGTTGAATAAAGCATGGTCTGTAGAAAGGCGCGTGGATAAATGGCGTCTTCATGAAGAAGGAATGTTTCCATGTGTGAGTGTCCGCGAAAGCCGAACCTTAGAGCTCCGCGGTGCACAATCCACGTAAATGCCATAACTGATGCTACAGTGCATAGGCAACAGAATATCATATGAAGATCTCTCTCCATAACTTTGCAGGTAGGCAATTGCATTCTTTGGACAAAACACACGACCTGTTCGGCGCAGACAAGCGACCAACTGCTTAAGAGGAAATTCGGAGTCTGCACGTTTCTCCCAACAGGCTGAATTACACGGTCGATGCGCGTGCCGACATATGTTTCTACCCACCAGCCATCTCTTTTGCCATGACTGCCTGACACTGCCTCAGCTTCTGCTTGGCGGCATGTTCATTGAACCTAGCCGCTCCAAGACTACGAAAACCATCCCGGACATAGCTACCTTAGCCTTGTACCAAAGATTCCGCCAAATTTACCAGCTGCTTGGAAAGCCATGTCTTGGTATTTGCACAGCCTTGTCTTCAACCTCGGAACTCCTCAAGAGAGCTGAAAGTTCGGGGCCTAGTACCAATTACCCACATAATACACGGACACAAAGTCCTATTGGAGAGTGGCTAGACCTCACGCATAACGTGTCTATGAAGCATGGTGTCCTCCTCACACATGTCCTCATCTTTACCAGCGTCTGCCGTAGCTGTGACCTCACACTGCATGCAGATAGTACAGCCTATGGTAGAAGAGGCGTTCTATGGATCGACACGAGGGCCCAGAATGATATCCCTGACCTCACAGGCAATCCTAATTGCAAAGTTTCCGTTGAATTGGATACATTTCTGTATCGCAACGAATTAGCAAGGTGAGAGACTAGGAGGATGCCTCTCCACAGTTCCTTGATTCATGGGCCGGACGTAGTTGGACAAGGCGCGCTTAGGGTATTGGCACACTTTACAGAATGGTTCCTGCTCGAAGAGGCACCGAACAAGACCTGGGGCCAAGTTATGATGCATCAAACAATTGGATTGACCCGTATCCGGTAGGATCGATACCTAGGTACGTGCCTTCTACAGACACAACATAAGCTGAACGCGGGGCCCCATGGTGCGTCGACATGAGCCTCGCCTTGTGAAGACACAAGATTCAGTATGTTTTTATAAGGCAGTGGCGTCACAGGGCGACGCTAGAGGGACCACTTTCTGGCCAAAAAGCACGCTCGTGGTCTTATAGTACGTGTGAAAGGGCTCTTTCGCCGCCACTAAAGAACCTTTCTCGCAAACAGTTGTTTTGAACTACCAACCTGACAGTTTCAGACACATACGTCGTCGCTATCTATACTACTCGTTAATCAGCGTCTCTCATGCAATCGACAAGAGACTCACCACCGCAACCCTCCTCCTCATCTGCACCGCCCTCGCCAGTGCGATATCTCAGAACGCCGTTCTCCATGCCAATCCCGTTAAACACATGCGAGCACGAGACCTCGGCAAGAGGGCCATCTGCGACAAGCAGTGAGGTGTTTGCTGCGCAGAGACTACTAACTGCAGGAGCGCGGGCTGTTGCGACGATAACTGTGCGGGTTAGAGAGATGGTAAGCTTCGTGGCGTCGGTAGCGGAAAGACGCGCTAATGCAACGGTAGGATGCCACATTCTTTGTGCGGCGGAAATTGAATGTTAGCTTGGAAGGTGCACTTGGCTGTTGAGGAGATTTTCCTTTGAGGGAAAGGAGTGGTACGCGGGATGTATCTGATTTTGACAGTCATTACTGTAGAGGTAGATTCATGGAACTGAAATACACCTACAGTAAACTCTGTTTAAACTCTGTTGTTGCTATTGATGATGGCTCTTCCTTTATTCTATTCCGTTAGCGTCGCTGTTGGTGCATATCGTGTAACGAAGGCGGCGGCTTCAGGCTAAGGCCAGGTGGGAATTGAATGATAAAAATCCAACATAGTCGACACTATTTCTTTAAAGCTGTCTTAGGTAATGCATTATCTGCATCGCGATAATAAGGTCACCGAGAGGTCCTGAAACAGTGGAGTATGCACACAGCCACAAGCATGAGTTCGCACCGCGAGAACTTGCCAAACTAGACGTTATACAAAGAACAATGTATGAGGATCCAACTATTCCCTTTCACGCCCTCGTCAGTACGGGGTTGGGCGCTCGCCACCCGCGAGCTCTGCGTCCTTTGTTCCATAGAAGCTACCATGGTACTTTACGAACGCAACTTCCCATACCCAACCTACAACCACCTGGTACAGCAAGAAAATAGGCTGGATATCGCAAAATGGGCGTCTCCCATCCATACCCCGATAACGACAGTCAACAACCTACCAATAGAAAGACACCCAAACATGTACATTTCGAAGACGACCTCCGTGGCCGCTCGCGTCGACGTTCATCCTACGAGAAAGATTCTCGACATGTACGTTTCGAGGATGCAGTGCGTGGCCGCTCGCGGTATCGGCATCGGTCTCGGGGTCGAAGTCGGTCGCGCAGTCGGTCAAGGACTCCGCAGAGGAGGCCGACCTTTAGCCACAGCTCGAAGAGCTACTCCGATGACAGATATAGTGACGGGAATCCTCGATTAGGTCAAAAAAAGAAGCATCATAAGTACGACAGGGGGATTAGGGATGATCAACGCGATAACAGGGCGCCCGGTGACTATGACAAACGACGAGTAAAAGACCGTCACTACTACTTCGGAGAACAAGAGCGGCTTCGAATAAGAATCTATTATTACTATCCCGAGCACGAGTGCACCGTCTCTCATCGGGACCACGATGTAGCACGTCACAACAGATCACAAACAGGGGACGGCATTTCTCATCGATCTTCTCGGCGCATACCTTCCCCAGGGCATCACAGAAGTATGTCCGAAGACTATCCCCAGAAAAGCAAGCGCTATCCGCCGGACTTATACTGCTCCTCATCGCGCCGCTCGACATCATGGACTCATTCATCACCTGACTACCACCCGCTTCACGACTCCTACAGATATAACTACGAGCGTTCCCAATCCCACCGCAGTGCTGCACCTCATCGCAGCGCATCGTTTCGTTCGCATCGCCGCACTCAAGCTTCTGAGATCCATCCTGCTATCACCGGCTGGCGGCCTGTTATGGATCCATTGATCTTTGATGAAAGTGATGAAGATGGATTTAGCAGAACAAGGGTACAGATACATTGTCGACGGTGGGTGTAGGGAAGTTGATAGTTGACGGGCGGTTTGGTGCGCGGACTTTGCCCATGTTTTCTTGCGTGTTGGGAACTGAAATGCGATGATTTCTCCTACGACGAAATCCCCAAAGATTGCACGTTCCTGAACAAACCATACCTACTTGCTCTTCCCTCGGTTTTGGCATTCCGATAGTGATCTTGTGGGATACCTCGATCTTCTTTCGATCTGCCTCAAGGTGCTGGATGATCTGCTGGACCCGCTTTATTTTCTACTAGTCTATATCGCGGTCTGCCTCAAGAATTCTCTTATTCTTCGTCGTCTTCTAGCCTCTGAATATCGAGAGGTCTTTTTTAACAGCTGCTAGTTTGTTCTTCTTGAGAGATAGTTGTTTTGTCGGATCTGGCTCGTTGTCTATGTCCTTCTGCACAGTCCTCTCTTTCTTCTCGAGATCTGTGTTTTTTGTAGATAATTGGGCGGCCTCTGTCCGGAGCTTGGTCTTCGTCGCCGTGAGCCTGTTCTGCTCTTTAGTCGCCTTGTCCTCCCACTCCTTCGAGTCTTTTTTCCATTCTTGCTTGTGAGCCTTGGCTTTGGTGATAGTATCTTCAATACTTTTGCGCAGACTATCGCGAGGTATCTTATGGGCTGCACCTTTCCCGCCCCTTTTTTTTGCGTGAGTCAGAGTCTTGATTCATTCATCGGCCCACGCAGCCGTAAAATCAAGCTGTTCCTGCATGAATTCCTTCCACTCATCACCCACCTTGACAACACCACCTTGAAGGTCTTTCACATCCTTGCCTCGCGAGGACCTGGATCAAGATATCAGTATGTCCATTCAGCCAAGTGTGGCGCTTGATGCCGTGGACACATACCATGCGAAAGGTGCTGTGCAGCTTATCCGAAGATTCAATACCGTCTAGAATGTTCTTGACGAGCTTTTTCGGTTCGTCACGGTCCATCCGATCTGAACGTGAGCGAATTAGGTCAGCCAGCTTGTCAGTGTTTGACAAATGTGGATCACATATTGTAGCCCATCCATGGCCTCTTCTTCATCTCATTGATCTGTTCTTCCAGCATCACGAGGTCCTCGTAATTGGCCTTGCTCCCAAGCGCTTGGTAGACGAGAGAATTGACAGTGTTGCGGTCTGGAAGGCTATTGGGATTCATCCGGCCAGCAACCTTCTTGCCATCAAGATCTTCATTCCAACAGGTCCCAAACCATTGAGCGCCTATGGGGCTCTTGATGATATATTTGTTCTTCGGCTCGCCCGCGCCAATAAGCTTCTCAATGAACAGCTTGACTGTCTGCAAATCGATGATATGCTCTACCACATAGCCTTCAGCATCGGCAGGATGTGCAGCGTTGACTTTGTAGGCAATGTCTTTTTTCCCGCTAAAGTCGAAGGTTAAGTTGTTTTGCTTCGCAATAGGGAAGAATTTAGGGGTTTCGACGTACGGCAGCGATGTGATCTCGATAACTGCTTGTCCAGCGGCATATTCAGGCTCATACGTTCGAGCAGGCCCACTAGTCGACGCTTCGTCGAAAGAAAGTCCTATGTGCTGGTCGTCAAGCTTGCGAACCACAGATTTTGAAGATTGAGAACGTCGGAGACTTTGGTACGCTTATAAGCTGAAGCAGCGCGAGCGAATTTAACTTCGAAGACTTCTGCCTGTTGGTATCTCCTCGCTCAGATTGTGTGTTTCTCCTTTTGAGAGGCATCTGATATGACAAAATCGTAATCGCTCTCGCACTCGATCAGCCCATCGCATATATTGACAGCCTTGGTAGGAGAAGGAACTCTGTAGGTGTCTGGACGCGTCGAGATGGTAGAGACTTTGCTAGTTCGAACGGTAGGACGGACGATTATATGTGCGGTTAGACGCTTGGTAGGATTCGCAGGAGGCTTCTTGCTAGGCTTCTTGCTAGACTTTTTGCAAGGACGCTTTGAAGGACGCTTTGAAGGAAGTTTTGAAGGACGTTTTGAAGGAAGTTTTGAAGGACGCTTCGAAGGACGCTTGGCAGAAGCTTTTTCTTTCCTAGTCGCTCGTGGTTCAAAGGCAACAGGGCCCGTGGACGCTACATGGGGGTCACTCAAATCATGAACCTGGATGTCACCTTAGCTATAGACTGATAAGTATGCGAAGTGGAAGGTAAATGTTCAAAAGCCACTTACACATGCTCAGGAATTGAGACAGCCAAGGCACAGGTAGTCATCCATAGCAAGGATAGAATATATTGAAAGAAATGCATTGCAAAAGCAGTCCCACGACGATGCTGTTAATCAAGGGGTAGTATAAAGTCGTTTGAAATGCAAGTTGGGACGCCCAACTCAATGACGTGTGGATCGTGAACAGCAAATGTAGGTAGTGAGGGACTATGAAAATATAGAGAACTGTACCTCTTGGGAACACGCTTTGGGAAGATGCCCCCTGGGTAGTTATTAGTATTTGCGGATGCATCAGGCTTGTGAAGGCCCGCGGGATCTTTACAACCCCGTGAACCTCGCCGTAACCCAAGTCCGACGTGACACATCTGCCTCGACCGTGCCAGATATTGGCTGACTAGCATGCTTTGCCTTCCCGGCGCACATCACCCATTCGCGCCTTGTATCCATACATATTCGGAGAAGCTGATCCCATAGGGCTTAGTACCTACGGTAGTTATGGGAAAGAAGAAGCCACTGCATAGGTACCTCAGGAATGGTTGAATCATTCAATGCTCGAGATTTCAAGGGTATCGACAATGGATACCTGAGTAAACATTGATGTGCACCATCTTACATGTTAGTATGCATGGCCGATCCATGGCCACTGCAGTCATGGACATTTGTAGTGAAACAAATTGCTATTCGGACTTCAATCTCAGCCTTGCCCCACAGTCAACGCAGAGGTAGCTAGACCAGGTGCTTTCGGGCGGTGTATTGAGTTCTAATACTGTTATTTTACTGTCGAACCGCACGTACGCGAGGCATCTTGCCTCAACTTCCCTAGGATGAATTTTGTGGGCAACAGTACGCCGGGGTCATGCTAACCACAACGTCTGCAAGCAATCATCAATCAGAATGACGTCACCCAGCAATTCCCCCTAGTACAGAAGACCAAATGCTCTGGACTTCCATCTTTTCCGTTCATCTCGACTGTATCACAGACGAAGCCCATTACCTAAATTTGCATACCATACTATCATCACGTTTACACATTTAACCCCACAATGCCTACCAACAAAGCCCAGGACCTCTTCAACGTTAATGGCCTTGTTGCCGTCATTACGGGTGGTGGTTCCGGCCTTGGTCTGTATGCTGCTCGAGCGCTTGACGCCAATGGCGCGAAGGCTGTCTACATCATCGGCCGGCGTGAAGAGACCCTCAAGGAAGCTACAAAGACTGCTGTTAATGGAACTCTGAAACCTATTGTCGGGGATGTCTCAGATAAGCAATCCCTCCAGAAGATTGCAGAGCAGATTCGGAAAGAAGAAGGCTACATCAACCTTCTCTTCGCCAATGCAGGCGTTAGTGGACCTAATCATGCGAAGGACGTACCCGACAAACCAACCGCCAAGGACTTCCAGAAAGCTGTGTTTGCATCTGATCCTCAGGACTTCACACAAACGCTGCATGTAAATACCACGGCGGTGTTCTATACCACTATCGCCTTCCTCGACCTGCTCGACGAGGGCAACAAGAAGGGCAATGTACCTCAGGACAGCCAGGTCATCGTGACATCAAGCGTGGCCGGCTTTAGTAGGTTTCTGGCTTCATCGTTCGCATACTCGACCTCCAAAGCTGCTGTTAACCATCTCGTCAAGATGCTGTCAACATATTTCAGCCAAAATGGGTTACACATTCGCGCCAATCTGATTGCACCTGGACTGTATCCGTCGGAGATGACTCAGGGGAAGACCAAGGACATGGAGCCGCTGGGAGGAGTCAAAGGGCACGGTGCGTTTTCGGATGCGTACAAGGCAGAGCCTACGTTGGCTCCTGCGGAGAGAACAGGGAGCGAGGAGGACTTTGCGGGCACGATATTGTTCCTGGCGAGTAGGGCAGGGGCGTACCTGAACGGGGAGACGCTGTTAACAGATGGTGGTCGGCTTTCTCAGCTACCTAGTGTTTACTGAATGTAGCACATCTAATGTCGTTCATGAATTGAGTACATGTGCACCGTTGTGAGGTGTAAAAGGTAGCAATGACGCAAGCTCGGTACACTTTACCGAGAAATGTGGCACGTGCGGCGAGACAGTTCTTGTGGGACGCGATGTATCAGGAATAATTCAACGTTCACGTCAAACCGAAGACTACCATTTAGTCAACAAATACTGCCCGAAGAACGGTAAAATATCGGTCCGATCCTCCTCATGTCTCGGCTTCCTCGCGCCGGCTTTACTGCATTCTTCCCATCCACCCTTCGTTAACCGCGCTGCTGGTGTTTGCACGCCTTGCAGCAGCACAAGATGAAGTTCGCAAAGTATGCTCGACCTTTACAAATCCAATCGCGTAAATATGAAGAGTTGCTGACACGACCAGGGAGCTGGAACGCGATTTGGTGCCAGAATGGCGCGTCAAGTATTTGGATTACAAAGTACGACCCCCACCCCCACCCTCACGATAGTGTCGATTGCCTCGCCTGACATCGCACAAGCTCGGCAAGAAGAAGCTCAAGGCAATCAAACGAGCCCTCAGGACCGTCAACCAGACGCCTCGTGTACGCTTCCGTGGACCCAATGGTTTTACGCCATTACCCTACGATACCGCGCCCAAGTATTCGTTCCTCAATCGCAACCATGGTCAGACCGCGACTGTCGAAAGACAACCCGGAGATTTGAGAGCTTTGGCGATCGGCAATAGCTTGTCGAGCGGAGATGTCCAGCCAAACGGGAGTAAGGCATTGCCGTCTGTGGATATGTCGAAAGATGAGGAAGCTCCGCTGAATGCACAGGAGGACCCTAGGTTCCCTGGCTTGACGCGGTATGGCAGTATCATTGGATCGCCTCCGAAAGCGAGCGGAAAAGCAAAGGCGCCACCATCCTTGAAGCTTCCAGGAGCTGCTTTAGATCCAGAGGACATCTCGTCCAAATCCATACCACCGCCAGAACCCTCGACACCGAAGAGCAGAACTACAGATATGGATTTTGGTCCCACTGAGGGAATTGGCAACGGATCTCGGGGGCTTGAAACACCAAATGCTTTCGAGGTTGGAAAGACGCGATCGCCAACACACAAACATACGAAGTCTCTGCCGGCAAGATACAGGAGCATCTTCACGCCTAAGCGCATGAACTCAAACCCGGCTTCGCCTGTTACACAGGCGCCGCGTCCGCTACTAAGCCGCGTTTTCTCTCTGAGTCACAAGGACCCTCCACCATCCAGCCCGGGTGATGTTCCGCTCGAAGCCTACCGTGAATTGGATCTGCGCCAGACAGAATTCTTCCTCTTTCTGGATAAGGAGCTAGATAAGATCGAGACCTTCTACAAGCAAAAGGAGGACGAGGCTACGGCTCGGTTAGCCGTACTAAGAGAACAGCTGCACATGATGAGAGACCGACGCTTGGACGATCTCATCAACCGCCAGGCCTCCAAGATGAAGGCAAAAGCTCAGAAACAGGCTAAGCATGGCGACGTGGGCATGCTTCTGATGAATGGTCAACCGTCGAGCTCCGAAGGAGACAAACCTGACGCAGACAACAAGGACAAGACTCAAAGTGGATCCTGGCTCAATCCTCTCGAATCCGCATTGCAAGCGGTGCAAGCGGGCAGATATGGAAAAAGTACGAAGGCGATGCAGGACCTTGCGACACCAGCCTTAGGACCCATGCGACTGGAAGATCGCCGCGATTATGTTCGCCGCCCAGATACGGACGTTTCGTACGACACCGCGAAGAGAAAGCTCAAGGTTGCGATACAGGAGTACTACAGAGGTCTCGAGCTGCTGAAGTCGTATGCATTACTGAACAGAACCGCTTTCCGCAAGATCAACAAAAAGTACGACAAGGCTGTTAATGCACGGCCATCTCTACGGTACATGACAGAAAAAGTGAACAAGGCTTGGTTCGTCAACAGTGACGTTATTGAAGGACACATACAAGCGACGGAAGACCTCTACGCCAGATACTTTGAGAAGGGCAAGCGTAAAGTAGCAGTTGGAAAACTCCGAATCAAAATTGCCCGCGCTGGGGACTACACAGAACAGTCGTTTCGAAACGGACTTATGCTGGGGCTGGGAGCTGTCTTCGGGATCCAGGGGATCGTCAAAGCCGCTCAATTGCTCTATTCTGATGACACAACTGTGAGAATTAATACCAGCTATTTACTCCAGGTGAGTATCCTACGGCTGATAAGAATCCGGTGTTTAACCGCTCTCAGATCTATGCGGGATACTTCCTGATGAACTTCTTGTTCATGTTGTTTTGTCTGGACTGCAGAGTTTGGCTTACGAGCAAGATCAATTATGTTTTCGTTTTCGAGTATGATACCCGCCACCACTTGGACTGGAGGCAACTGGCAGAAGTACGTAACTCCTCTGAATCAGTTGGCCCTGCTAACCGAACCAGCTTCCGTCTTTCTTTCTTTTCATGTTGGGTTTCTTCATGTGGCTCAACTTCAGTCAATACGGGGCTGAATCCATGTACATCTACTACCCTGTGATTCTCCTGGGCTTAGCGACGATCTTCCTATTAAATCCTTTGCCGATCCTGTACCACAGAAGCAGGTTCTGGCTGATATTTTCCATGGCAAGTCGCCCGTATTCGGAATTCTGAAGTCCGCTAATCTAGATATAGTGGCGATTGATATGCGCTGGTTGGTATCCGGTCGAATGGAGAGATTTTTACATGGGCGACATGTTCTGCTCTCTTACATACAGCATGGGTGTAAGTCGGACAGGTGCAACAGCCACATATCAAGATACTAATCGGATCCTCTAGAATATCGAGCTGTTTTTCTGCCTCTACGCCAATCGCTGGGGCAATCCAGCCCAATGCAACTCATCAAACTCACGATTGCTTGGCTTCTTCTCGACACTCCCTGGCATATGGCGAGCAGTGCAATGTTTTCGTCGTTACCACGATACCGGAAATGCCTTCCCACATCTGCTCAACCTGGGCAAGTACATGGCAACGATCGTCTTCTACATGACACTCAGCATCTACCGCATCGAGAAAACCACCACTCATCGTGCCGTGTTCATCACCTTTGCGATCATCAACTCTATCTATACGAGTTTCTGGGACGTCTACTACGACTGGAGTCTCGGTGATCCGAGTGCCAAACACCCATTCCTCCGACAGACTCTCGGCTACAAGAAAGTATGGATGTACTACCTCGCCATAGCGGTCGACCCCATTCTGCGCTTCAACTGGATCTTCTACGCCATAATACCGCTTCAGCTTCAACACTCGGCCATAACGTCGTTTTTCGTAGCGTTTTCAGAGGTCTTTAGGAGAGGCATGTGGTCCCTATTTCGCGTCGAGAATGAGCACTGCTCCAACGTCGGACACTTCCGCGCCTCCCGCGATATTCCACTACCATACGATCTTCCTTCTCCCAAGATGGATGGCAGTACTTCCCAAGACTACGGTCGGCGCGTCGACGAAGAACAACCGTTATCCCCACACATCAGCCGAACAAGCACAGCTCCCACGGCCCCCTATGCTTCTGGTGCCGACCTCAACCGCACATCCACGCGTCGTCGGCATGCGTCTTTCGGTGCAGACCAGCAGCAGCCTAGTCCCATGGCACGCGGTCTGCAACGCATGGGCACAGCGCTTAGGACGGCACACAACCAGGACTTTGAGAAGAAGAAGAAACCTGAGTTGGGGGAGAGCGCGACCAAGGACGATGATAGCGATGACGATGAGGACGAGGATGGGGAGGAGCATAGCGAGGAGATGAGCGATAAGGAAAGCGAGAGGGAGATTGAGAGGGTGAGGAAGGAAATTGAAGTTGGGAGGGGGGGACCTGCTAGTTAAGTAGTGTGGTGTCTTGAGGATGGCGGTTCGTAAACGAAGTTATGGAATGTGATAATTGTGCGACGAGCGGTCTCCTGCAGTCCAAGTAGCCATACAACAGGTGAGGTAATCCTCAACAGGCAGTGTGGTACTGCTTCAGAAAGGTACACTGAGTGTTCCCCGAGCCATTCACCCGTTGGTCAAGTCAGTGCAACACTGCCCTCAGGCACGCCCCTCCTACTCCTCAGCCTCCTCGCGAAGAATTGCATTATCGGCATCATCTCCTCCCTATTCCTCATCATGCCATCTCCAGTCCTCTTCCACTCTTTCACGTCAGCAAACTCAAATGTATCCTGCAGCCTCTTGACCGCGCCATCCGTCACCTTGGACGCCTGGCTCGCCTTGCACACAAGCACAGGCGTCCTATTCTTCTTGCCAACCGCAGTAAGGGGCGCAGAAAGCGAGAGCCCGCCCCCAACGCTGACCGCACCGGCTAATTCCTGGTCGAGCGAGGCAGCGACTTGCAGCGCTACCATACCGCCCTGCGCGAAGCCAAACAGTATGATTTCGCGCGCGGTGTATCCACATTTCGTTATCAAGCCCTCATTTATCACGTTCTCAAGCATCTGTGTAGAGTCTTTGAAGCCGGTGTCCATGTCCATCTCGCCCGAGTGCTGGTCAAATACCATGTCGTCGCCCCAGTGAAAGCCGTCGAGATGGAAGGGGAGCGGCTTCGGGGCGCGGATGGAGATGGATGCTGTCTCGGGTAAGTTGAGTTGTGCACCGAGTCTTGTAAAGGCGTCGTGGGTGTCGCCGAGGCCGTGGAGCAGGATGAGTACGTTTGTGGGGGGTTGGGATGAGGGCGCTGTGCTTGTCAGCTGTGGGCCAGTAGGGCAATTGGGGTGAGGCGTACGAGGTGTGATGGTGAGCGTCACGGAGGGCGGGAAGTCGGCCGCGGTGGGAAGGCGGCCGGGCATTGTGGCGCGGGTTGTGATGGGCGGGTAGACATGACGGGTGGCAGTGGGGTGAGGCTGCGGATGTTTTGGTGGGGAGCTGTCCGGCAATGATGATCTACGCCAAGAAGCGGGCGCGAAGCTTGACGGCAGGCACGATGCTCACGGAGCCAGAAGCGGACGACCTTCGCCTCTCTGCATGGTTGGACAGCGACAAGGTGATTCGGCCGAGCAAAGCGATTGCCTGTCGATGCAGCTGCTCCTCGCCAGGTGTCATGGCAGCGAAGACGGGCATGACCTCTGCAGACAAGCTTTGCCAAGGGTGCTTGCCGAAGCTTCGCGCGGTGCCTGTCCCCAAACCCTAGCGCGATCCGATTGCGTATGCGTCCAGACGCTCCGTGTCCACTCAGGCCGTCACCGAAGATGCGCCCTGCATCTATGCGAGGCCAAAACAACGGATTGACCGGCACCGCCGCCAATGGCAAGCCCAGGCCGACCCACCACTGCGTAATAGCACCTTGATGCCCACCAAACACCCCCCGTGTCAATGATGTGGCTTCATGCACTCACCCTGGAGCGACATGATTAGTTGTGGCTCAGCGAAGCTCTTGCCAGCTGGACAGGGTCCAGAGGAGGGGCAGAGGGGCAGAGGGGCAGCAATTGGGCGAGCAGCTTGGTTACGGGCCGCCGGTGACGAAATCTCAGCTTGCGTCGTCTTGTTCCTGGGTCACCGTGAGCGTTATTTAAGCCTGTCGCTGCCGCTGCAACTTTCCTCCCTCTCCAAGCTCCTTTACCACGCATTCAACGTCTTCTCTTGATCTCAGGCACATCGAGCTTCCCTTGTTTCTACTTCTACACGTACCTCTACTCACAAACCACACACCGCCATCATGCCTTTTGGTTGGGGAGACTCCGAGCAGGCCTACGACCAGGTCTACCAGAACGACAACTTCGAGGAGAACAAGTCCTCCTTTGGCCACGAGCTCGTCGCTGGCGGTGCCGCTTTCGCTGGCTTCAAGGCCTTTGAGGACCACCAGCGTAAGGAGGGCAAGCCAGTGTCTCACCAGTTCGCCAAGGAGCTGCTCGCCGGTTTCGCTGTAAGCTCTTTCTGATTCTTCACATCAAAACTAGCTCTACTCCATGTTCCACTTGCTGACGTTCTATTTTGTAGGGTGCCGAGGTCGACAAGCTCGCCGAGACAAAGGGCGAGGACTGGTTCGACAAGGAGAAGGCCAAGCGCCAGGCCAAAGAGAACGCCGAACGCATGTACGACGAGCACTACGTCGAGAACCAGGGCGCGGATCAGTATGATCCCAACCAGTACGGTCAGCCCCAGCACTTCGAGCGTCGCGGATGGTAGATGCGCGCGCTGAGAGGGACCTAACATAACGAAATTCATACAAGCAATTCTCCAAACGTCTCTGTTCTTTTATGCGTGACCCTCTCCAAGATTCTGCCCATCGGTCCCATGCCCATCCGACCTCACCTTCGCGTTGAAAACAACCTCGGGCCATGCCTCTACCTCCCCATCCAACAACTTCTCGTCGTACCTTCCACACGTAACCCACTCAAAGAAAGACACAACATACGTCTTCAGAATCTCGTCCATCCTCGTACCCGACACGTTCCCCAGGTCCACCTTCTCCGTCGCATTCTCAATCTTCGGCAATAACTCCACCCAAAGCGAGATGTCACTAAACGCCAAATGCGCGCTGCCCTCCACAGTCGTCCAATCCAGCCACCCGCCCTCCGTCTTCGACTCGTTCGCATATCTCTCCGCGAAAGAGATCCACGTATCGGGGTCCGACGCGAAGTGATTCGGATTCATCGTCATGAAGTACGGGCGCCCCTTCAGACTGGCATTTACGCTATCCCCAAACAATCCGCCGTCGATGTTGAACCCCGCGACGATACTGTCAAGCCCATCCATCGCACCCGTTGCCGTCGCCGCACCGATACTATGACCGAATGCGCCGTACTGCTGCGTGTTGAAATACGCACCGTACAACTCCACCAACGCAGGGAAGCCATCCGGTCCAAGCAAAGCCACCATCTCCGCACGTCGGTACTCGTACATCTCCACAATCAGGCTGTCAGTGTACGGCATGTAGATGTCCCAGCCTACCACGCCGGGGTTACCATAAGGAAGGGGAAGGTACGGTGCCTCGCCTGGGTGGTCTAGTGCAAGGACCGTGTACCCTTGTGACGCGAGGTCGCTCAGCAGAGAGGTAAAGTATCCGGCGTTCATGCCCCCGCCAGGGCCGAAGACGAGGGTCGGCCAATTCTTGATTTTCTCAACGTCTTCTTTGTCGGATAGGAGGGGGGCTTGCCATTGTAGCGTCGTCTCAAGGGAGAGTAGATGAGAGGGTAAGATGTTGAAGACGTCGCCCCAGATGGCGGCCGAGGTGGCATCGAAGTAAGCGACGCTGGTGTTGGGTGAAGGGACCGAGCGCGTGGGGTAGTAGATCGAGGTTAGAAAGATGTTGCCCGGACCAGGGGTAGGATCATTGGGCGTGGTGTGGTTGAAGATGTGCTGGGTGAAGCCAACGTTGTAGGGGCCGGAAGGGGCCGAGAGGTGGGTTGCCGCTGCCGAGAGGCAGAGTGGAAGCAGATATGCGAATAGTTGGGGTAAGTGCATAGTTTCTTGCGCAAGATCTAGTTTTTGGGGCGTAAGATGCTCTTGTATTGTAAGGTTCTGAGTTTGAAAGACACCTAACCTGCGTTCGCGTTGATATGCTAAGCCTTCGAGAAGCGCAAAGAATCGACCTTTGACTGACCCTGCTACTCTGATTGGCTATCCATGTGACCGACCTGCCTATTCAGTGCAAGAGTTCGCGGTGTACCGTATGTGGGTGACTAATCGTCATCATCACGTTACCTTGGGTTACACATCTCCGTGTGTGGGGGCCGTAAGCGCGGGCGCTCGTGTACTAGGACGAAGACATCGTCAGAAAGAGTCCTCCCAACTGAAACTTGGTGGTATATTCGCCTCCGGTCGATCTTTGTTCTTACGAACGCTTAACAAGCTTGCATTCTTACCTCCTAATTGGATTACATTGTGGAGCGTGCGCAAAGACAGCAGCTTCTTTGAAACAGGACATTGGTCTGTTCATTCGGAAAACCAGATCTTGGTACGGAACAACTGATCTAGAACCACCAAATTAGGGCTTTTTATTGTGCAGACCACGGACAGTGAGCTAGATCACGAGTTCCATCGGTTGTAGCTTGAATTCGTTCATCCTCGAATCACTAGCATGCAATTGCGAGAAACCCACATATTCGTATAGGTGATTCTGAGGGTTCAAACACCGAAAGACTAGGAAATGCGAACGGAGCAGGGAACCGTCGGTCACTGAAAACTGCCATGTTTATGAATATCATTTGACCATCAGGAAGCACGTTTTTACCTCTAAGTTCTCCCATGTGGTGCGAGATTGCTTTTGAGGATCCTTTTTCCAACAACAGCTTAAGCATGCGTAATGTGCCCTCTTGCCTGGGTTAGGCACATGGAGTCGTACCTGTTCTGACCGCTAATCTCGATTGAATGCTTTGGCAGTTGCTGTCGATGTGCATGACCTGATTTCATCCGACAGGGTCATATAAGCTTTGTGGCAGCATTCAGGTTCTTGCCCGCGGATCCGTCCAGCTTGATTATTGGCCACGGACTGGATGCCCCTGTGAAACGCCAGGCATTAGCATACGAATATGCTTATGCACCAGCAACGACGCATAGCACTATATATTACAGAAAAGTAGGCTACTCGTATATGGCTCGGTATTGGTCGAGAATCAAGCAAGCATGCTGGATTAGGCATTGCAAATTATAAATTATGATCACACCCTGGCCGGTGAGCGATTCGGAGCATTCAAGATTTCCAATCTTGCGTTGTGAGCATTTCAAAATAGGAATGGGACATACCTAAACACGTTCTACACATCTCCATGTGTTTCCGGAGATGAACGAGTCCTGATGCTTGGAAAACTTCTTTGGTCAATAGGGCTGATGTGGTCTGGACAGGCCATCGTTGATCATGTCTTCTTCAAGTTGGTTATTTTTGATCTTGTTCACACCATCCGTTCCCATGTTGCGGCGGTACCACAGCAAGTTGACAATGTGGCAGACGTACAACACAAAGGGTTACCAGCTAAAGCCGATGTTACGAACTCTTTGCAGCCTAGGTGTCTCCGGATGGGCCTTTCTACGAATACGTATTCTCTTCAACCCCCACATGCGCGGCAGAGCCTAGTATCGCGTTCTCTTTCTTCGTGCAAGGCTGGAGTTGATTCGTTACCGCTTTCCCTACTCATGGCAGGCATCGTACTCACGTTAGTGGCATTTTCGATTCCACTCATCGCGGTGACGTCTTACGGTCTCTTGTGGCTTCTTGAATAGAGTATTGTTGTAATGCCAGCATACGAGAAGGAATACGGGTAAGCAAGAGGTGGAAGACCTAGGCTCACATCGTCCATGCAGTCTTGTGGCGCATGAACACCATTCCTACAGGGCACCCAGGCAACAGCTAAAGAACAATGTCTACAACGGTATACTTTCTTGGGTGCGAACTGAGCAAATCTGACGAGAGTTTCTCTCTCCTTATTCCAGCATAATACGCTCACGAATGATTTTTGATGGGCGGTGGTATGATGGGCGGGATTTCCCTTCCCACGGTCAAATGGGACTGTGATAGGGCGATATCTTTGATGTACTCGTTAACTGGAGCCACGCAAGGCACGCAGACCGATCCAAATTAGGCTATGATATCTTTACAGTCGCATGGTATTTCCTGTTGATATTCTGCATCATCAAAGTACACTGCGCGACTCACACGCTTCGCAGCAAAATATTATCTATCTATTATACAAGACTTTACGGTCTGAAATGCCTTTCGAAGATTCCTGATTCGCAATCTTCGGGAGCGGCTTATTCTTCACTTGCTCAAACATCACGGGATCATTTTCCTTATCGACCGGTCCTGATATAGTCGTGATGCTGGGATCTGTACTTCCTCTCTTTGTGGACAATGCGGCCGGACGTTGCGGTGCCCGAGGGGTAACTCTGGTGGCCGATTTCGCCGGGACCGGAGGACGTTCAGAATGCAACCTCCGCAAGGTGGCGAGATGATCGATACTCGACTGAAACTCGACGTTGTTTTGGGTTGGCGTGCTCTTGCCATTATCGTGAACACTCAGCGTTGTTGCAGATGATGACTTGACTAATGTCTTTCCTTGCTTGGTCAGAGTCGGTAATGGCGTCTGTACAGCTTTTCGAGGAATCTGAGCACTCCCGGACGTATCAGGTGCACTAGCGTGCCTCAAGTGCTTGCTCGGTGCTCTTGAAGTCCCCGGTATGCTCTTCCCGTTTAAGATAGCATACGCAATCTGGTCCGCCGTAGCTCTCCGTTCAATTTCGTCGGTGTGATTCTTGTCAGGGCTCGTAGAGCTGCTGCGCGAGCTCCATCCCACGCTACCAGCAGGCGTAGAGGCGCTGAGACGATGCGGACGCGTTAGCGATATTGAGGACCTAGTGTAGCGAGCGCGGTACGAGAATCTCTGGGAAGAATCCACAATCGGTAGATGTGATTGGGATCGGGAGGCCGCCACGGCCAGTGGCGAAGGAGCCGACGGGTGGACAGCGCGCCAGTTAGATGCAGCGTACTGAGCTGGGATGGATACTGGTACAAAGCCAGATGACGAGACTATTGTGGACATGCGAGGTGGCAGCGGAAGGTGCGAAGTGGGCAGCGAGGGCCGAAAGAACTGCGGTCGGAGCCCAATTGGAGAACCAAGAGATGGTGTTGCGTAAGCTGCGGGAACAGGTGGTGGGTGCGCATGGGAAGTGAAGATGCCTGTACCGAGAGACCGAATGGGGGCCGGTGCTGCGATTCCGTCTGACGCTGATGTTGAGTTCAGGTCGAGTGTGTCCACGTCTGTATTAGATACAATCGAGCGAGCGCTTCGATGGGGAGAGAAGCATGGGCCTCTTCTGCTAAGCCTGTTCGATGCGACCGACACGCTTCGAGAACGTGGTTGCCTAGGGGAAAGACTGGGTGTAGATGTTGGCGAAGGGGTAGGTGGCGTATGCCAGTAATTAAGCATATGCGCTTCGAATGGTCGGCTTACGGTTGCTAACATGCCGAACATCGCGCACGAGGCCATCCTGTCAGTTCGTCAGTCATGAGGGGTGACCGCACCAGGAAGGCGTACAAGGCGATCATGGCAAAAGCAATGCCTACTCGACCTATCTGGCATGTCTTGCCAGTCTCCCAGCTGTTGAAGTTGGCGGCTTTGGGCAGGCATATTGGTCGCCGAGCGACGAGAATCATGTTCCAGCCGCCAGTCAACAGCCACAACATACATAGCGTCCCGCCAAACCGAACCGCAACGTAAGACGTCTTCTTATCCTTAGCAGGAAGCCGCCCTTGATGTCGCCAGATCCTCTGTTTGAGAGAGAAGATGCTATGGAGGATGATGTAAGCTAACGTTGCAAGCGCCTGCAAAGTTAGCAAGTCCTTACAGCCACGTCCCTCGTCCCTCGAAACGTACCGTAGTGAATGTTAAAATGTCTGACACAACATTGGATAAATCATTCGAATCGGAGACGATTTGGTATATTTGTACAATGATGCATAGTAGAGAACAGCCGAAGAGGACATTGAGAAGGCTGGTGATGGCAATGAGGGTCCATTGGCGACGCGTGACTCTCGCAAGGCTCCAATAAGGAATCGCCGTGACTTCCACTTTAACAGGCATCTGCCCAGTCGCACCACCGTCAGTCAACTCAGCCATCGAACGACCGAATGTTTAGCTTGAAGCAGGTCAGACTTCGATATGGTTCATAAGGGAGGAAAGACAGACAACGGAACGAAAGGAGCGTCGACAGGCGCATCTCGAGAAGAATGCACCGAAAAAGAGTATCAAAGTTGAGGAATGCGATCATGTTAAGCGAAAGGCCCAGGTCGAGGTGACTTCCGGTGCCTGACGGTGTCAGGTCGGTACCAGCTCCGGAATTGAGCCTGAAGATGGCCTCCGACTGGCAACGTCTCAAAAGAGAACAACATGTTTATAGCATCCTGCGGCTGAGATATACAAGAATAATTCGACACGCGCCAAAATCAATGACGTGCGCAAGGGAGAAATCGTGGATGTTGGACGAAAGGGAGTGCCAGAGAGACATGGTTGTGGGGGTTGCTGCTGCGGTGAAAACGTCTTGCTTGTTTCGCATGAACGTAAGCTCTGCTATAGGCAATTGGTTCTCTCAACCAGCTTCGGTGACCAAAATGACCCGGACTATCGCATGACGACGGTCTCCACGTTCGATTTTGGGAGGATAGTCGGCATACGCTATACCACGCCTACCTCGCAGCACGTGCATTCCGGGCTGCCAGGGAGAACGTGCATTGCTGCATGTGCTCACATCCCAACCACTAATCTTGGTTATGCCGGTTGAATCAGGCACCAGTACGCTTTCAGCGCTTACGTATCCCCCGATCACCGCCTCCGAAGCCATCCAATACGCCCCTCCTTCACAATGCAGGGCCACCGTCGTGGTACAACAGAGGCTGCGCCGTTCGAGCTGAGTATGCTTTGCTCGAGAGGTATGAAGAACACGCATTCCGTGGTCGAGCCCCATCATGTGCAAGCTCTGGATGACTTCCGATTGATAGATGCGCCAAAATGGGTAATGGTGGTGTTTGCGCTTCCGCGGCACCTGCGAGGGCGTGTGGGGGTCGCAATCGTTTTGAATGATGTCTAGGTGGCACCGAGAGGCGCCCCCAGCAGACAGTGGTTTAGAGGACGAGAAGCAGTACCAGCAGCAGAATGAGGACGAATACGAGCACTGCGATGCAGCAGCTCGACCAGCGGTCTTCGTTCTTCTTGATAACCCAGCCGACCTTCTTGATGCCGGTCTGCAGCTTGCCCCCGACTCGATCTGCTACATTGTCCACATCGTTGAGCAGCTCGCCCTGTTCTTCAAGCTCGCGCCCCATGTCGTCGGCTTGCTGGCGCAGATTGCCAACCGTCCGGAACACACCGTCCAGCTGCTCGTCTTGCTCGTGCATCAGCTCCATTTGCCGTTCTTGCTCAAACTGCGCGTATCCGTCCTCGTCTTCAAAGGAATCAGGATCGGGTAGCATGTCTCCATTGGCCGCGGCTTTGCCCTTGTTCTGCGCATCCTGAACGGTCCTCTGCAGCTCGTCGCGCATGTTCTCGATCTCGTCCCCCACATCCTTCACTAGCTTTCTCCGTCGTTCGACCTCGTCAATCTCCAGCCCGAAGCGGTACGGGTCGTGCTCGACTGCCTTGACGCTCGCGATGAGGTCCTCGAGATCCTGGCTGAGCTCTTGCAGCGTTTGTTCGAGCTCATTGCGCGCTTCTCGAAGCTCGGGTGAAGTTGCTGACGAAGCAGAAGATCGTATGCGGCGGTACGAAGCAAACAGTGGACGAGATGTGTTCAACGCAGATAACACGTCCCTATTCACGCATCAGTAGGTGCGCGTTCAGGCAGTCATAGGCGGGAATCTCACGCTTGCACCTGCAGGAACGGGTCTTCGTCGTTCGTTGTGTTCATCATGCTGGCTATAGGTAATAGAACGCTCGCAATGGAAGGAATGATTGAAGGCACACTCCAAAGTGCGCGTTGTGTGTTATGCTCAAGTGCTGTATTGTGGACCGGGAAGCGTCACCGCTAACGCCGAGAGAAGGAGCGAAGCACAGACCAATCATCGGCATTCTAACCAAATCCACTCGAAGAAGATACAAACTTCCCGCATGCGGTCCATGTTCGTGACTTGCGTCTATATCAAGAGCGCCATACTAAAAGACCACTACGGGTGATATCATGGGTCCGGAGGCTCCTCTACCTCTTCCAGTCGAGTTCTCGGACGTGGACGAATATGTCGAGTCACTACTGAAATTTGCAAACACCTCTTGGATGCTGCAGACGCTATGTGGAGGGGTTCACGTTCTGGATTTCTACACAAGATCACCGGACCTGTACGCTAACATACTGCCTGAAACATGGCGAACATGGTTCCGAGGGCGCGACATCATGGATATTCTAGACCTGCTCATGCGAGAAGACCTCAAGCAGTTTGATGAAGCTAAGGGAGGAAACACCTGGCGTGACGGTCCGGTACCACCAGAAGAACTTCTACAGTATATCAGAGATGTACGTAGACACCTCCTCGCCAGAGGCTTCCCACCACCAGGAGCACCTGCAGCGCCAGAGAAAGCAAGCATTGCGCGCCACATAGCTCTTGGAATGAAAGTTAAGAAGGTGCACGAAGTAGACAACTTCGCTCGCTACATCGACAAACTGACCTCAGAGATAAGATCATCCGGAAGGAAAGAGATTACGCATCTTGTGGACTTTGGATCGGGACAGAACTATCTGGGACGGGCGCTGGCTGCACCACCTTACTCTAAGCATCTTGTCGCGGTCGAAAGCAGGCAACACAATATTGAAGGTGCCAAGAAGATGGACATCAAAGCTAAGCTTGTCGAGAAGCCGGTTGTTTATGTGAACAAGAAGAAGTATCGGGCAGAGTTCGAACAAGATAAAAAGAGGAAAAAGAACAAATTAAAGGGATTGACCGCTCAATCGAATGAATACACTTGTGCCACTGAGGGTGCAGAAAAGCTAGGAGGAGCGAATTCGTCTGTGCGTGAGCCAGCTGCTGACGCTAAGGCACCAGCAACGAATGGAATCAAGTGCGACGATCATGGATGCGAGATCGTGCCAGGCGCACACTCAAATGAGATCAACAGTATCAATCCGAAGACCATCACGACCAATTTGCAAGTCTACACAGAGGGTCAAGGCAGTGTGCAATATGTCAAACACATCATCAAAGACGGAGACCTAAACCCAGTCATCGACCAGGTTCACGACAGTACTTCCATCCATTCAGGAGCTTCATCATTGGCGTCAACCGTCGTCCAAGAACCCACCAACCTGTCGTCCGTTCCAAAACCCGCCAATGTCAATGCCATGGTCATGTCTCTTCACTCATGTGGCAACCTCGTCCACCACGGCCTCCGTTCACTTCTGCTTAGCCCAGCTGTCGCCGCCGTAGCAATGGTAGGATGCTGTTACAATCTCGTTACCGAGCGTCTTGGGCCTCCAACCTACAAGCTTCCTACCCTTCGACCAAATCATCCACGTCTCGAGAAGACTGCGAATGCTTTTGATCCTCATGGTTTCCCCATGTCTGAGAAACTCGCTTCATATCCGCTCCCACACACTCCGTTGCAATCTGCCAACGGGGAGTCTGATACAATTGAGCAGCCCAAAGGTGTCAGACTCAACATAACATCTCGCATGATGGCTGTGCAAGCACCCTTCAACTGGGGTCGCACCGACAGCGAACTGTTTTTCTTGAGGCATTTTTACCGCGCCCTTCTCCAAAGAATCTTCCTCGACCGCGGTGTGGTATCTACACCCGTCGAAGCCGATCGCATGGTCGGCGGTTCAGCCTCCGGTCACACCAGCAAAGTCGCGTGGACGCCACCCAACGGACGTGGACCAGGCCTCAGCTCCGACGGCACCTCTACACCGCTCACCATTGGCACTTTGCGCAAGTTCGCATACAACGACTTCAAGTCATACGTTCGTGCTGCGATTACGAAGCTTACGACTCCAAACTCATTCTGTGAGGTTGATCCGGAATTTATCAAGGAGAAGATGCGTGGGCTGACCGACGAGGATATTGAGGGGTACGAAGAAAGGTACAGGGAGAAGAAACACGAGTTGAGTGTCATGTGGAGCCTTATGGCATTTAGTGCCGGTGTGGTAGAAGCTGTCATTGTTACCGATCGATGGCTGTGGTTGAAGGAGCAAGAGGAGGTGGAGACAGCGTGGGTAGAGCCGGTGTTCGATTACACACTGAGTCCGAGGAACCTGGTGGTTGTGGGGATCAAAAAGCAAGCTTGAGGATGTATTGTCCAGAACTTTCGAGGCATCTGACGAGTTTTGGTCAGACGAGGAAACTGCGAAACAACACAGAATTTTTAAAGATTATAAGTGGATGTCCACGGGTACTGCATCGGCACGTGATCTACGAAGATTGCGCACCGACAACAGTTGAACATCAACCACTGCATCCAACCGCCCTTCCCAACCGCCTACAGGAGGCGGTCACCAATACACATACGCGTCACCGCCAAGTATATGTATGCTACTAGTCTTCTTCCTCCGCGGCGTGCCCAATTACTCGCTTGCTCTTCTCGATCACAGTTTCAGATGCGCAGAATACAAGCCTTTCGAGGAGGCTGTGTTCCGGGCGACATGGCAAACTGAACGGTACAGCGCTCCATTCGAGATGGATGCCCCTTTCCAAGCCTAGGCGCAATTCGCGCCAGTCACTCATCGTCTGTCCCGGCGGTCGACTAAGTCTTGGAGGTCTTGGCCCAATGTCCGCTCCGCTGCGCGCCAACATCTCAGCGCTTGGCGGGCTGATAGCACCACACTGCTAGGGACGGTTGGCATTTCTTAAGGGATCCACCTACAAGAGGAGTTCGGGCAAACTAAGAATTTGTTGGCGAACTAATGTATGCCATCTTCAAATATCCGTCATGTCCCGCTTCCGGTTTCCTGTCTGAAGGACGAACTTCCTTTTCACCAGTCACTCGTTATCATCTGGTTCCTTAGTCTTTTGTAATCTTTCGCTTCTTTTGCTATGAAGTCCTTCGCTACGCTCTCCGTTTTGGGAGCTGCGATTGCACCCGTCTTTGCTGGATTTGTGCCTCGTCAGAGCAATGGAAAGCTCACACCGGTGACGGTTCGCGGAAATGCTTTCTATGCGGGCGATGAACGCTTCTACATACGAGGAGTCGCTTACCAGCCAGGTCAGTAGTTCAAGCGCCGTTGGATGAAGCCCGACTAACCTTGGAAGGCGGCGCCTCCGATGCCAAAGATCCCCTCCTAGATCTAGAGAGTTTGCGTCGCGATGTCAACAACTTTAAAGACCTCGGCATCAACACCGTCCGCATCTACACCGTCGACAACTCCCAGAACCATGATGAAGGCATGGCCATTCTTGATGAAGCCGGCATCTACCTCGCCCTCGACGCCAACACGCCCAATTACTCCCTCAATCGCGAGTCCAACGCCACCCTCCACCGTTCATACAACGACGTTTACCTCCAATCTGTCTTCGCCACCATCGACCAGTTTGCAGACTACAACAACCTCCTCGTCTTTTTCTCCGGCAACGAAGTCATCAACGCGGTCAACAACACCAATGCAGCGCCCTACATTAAAGCCGTCACTCGCGACATGAAGCAGTACATTTCCAACCGACACTCCCGCAAGATCCCCGTGGGCTATTCCGCGGCCGACGTCGCAGAGGGTACGCAATGTCGTGGGTGTTCATGCTGGGCGATTGTCTAAGACTCCGAGCCTTACACCTCTAAGTCTGCAATCTTCAGACATTAGCAGCTGGCTAGAACACCTACTTGACCCACTCCCCTAATCTGTGAACTTAAACTGACTTTGTGTCCCCACCTTTAGTCATCGAGCAGCAGGCACTCTACTTCGACTGCGGTACCGACGACGCGCGCGCGGATTTCTTTGCTTTCAACGACTACTCCTGGTGCGACAAGGAGAATGGTCTTCAAACCTTCCAGGGCGCTGGCTGGGACAAGAAAGTCGAGACGTACAAGAACTTCCCCCGTCCCATCTTCCTGTCGGAGCACGGCTGCATCGAACCCAACCGCCAATGGGGCGAGATCGCCGCGCTGTTCAGCACGAAGATGACGGGTGTGTATTCGGGTGGCTTGGCGTATGAGTACACTGTTGAACCCAATGGCTACGGTATTGTGGATATCAAGAACGGGAAGCTCACTCCAAATGATGACTTTAAGTCCCTCAAGGCGGCATACGCAAATGTGACGAACCCCAACGGCAATGGCGGTGCCAGAACTTCGGATGGCGAGGCGTCAGAGTGCCCAGAGGAGAGCGAGGACTGGCCTATTAGCTCTGCGGCGCTGCTTGCGATGCCAGAGGGTGCGCAGAAATACATGGATGAAGGTGCGGGTACGGGGCCGGGGCTGGATGGTGATGATTCGAGTCATTGGGCAGGAGAGGCGAGCGAGGGGACTGCAACGGCAGGGTCCGGGCAGCCTACGAGGACGCCGAATGGAAGTGCGGCACCTAGCAGTGGAGGTGCCGAGGGTGCCGGTGTGCCTGCTATGGAGATTCCACTGAAGTTCGTCATGTTGGTTGTAGCGAGCATCTCATTTGGCGCCATGTTGGTGTTGTAAGCACGGCCTTCACTGAAGTGCGCGTAGACGGACGGCGATGGGACTTGTTTCTCAAGTGGAGGTCTCAAGGTTATGTATCTTCCTTGCAAAATTGTAGCGATGCAGACCTTTTCCTAGAAGACTACTTTCTTCCTCGCCCTTTATCGTATTGGCGAACAACAGAGATCTGTGCACATTTGACAGACGAATGTTCACATGACGTACAGAACCGAGGCCGTTCTGTTTTGGAAGAGGTGAACGGGTGTCCACGGGATGGCGCGTTGCAGACATATTCATTATTTATTCATTATTCCGTGACAACAAATAAAGCTATGTGTTTTCATCAAAGCCCTGTAGCATTAACGGAGATTACATTACACATCCATGTCAACTATTATGTACAGAAACTCCTGGGTATCTTAGCTTTCCAGATCGTCGTCCATATACCTATCATTTTTTTCAAGTCTGGAATCCCGTCCTCGCATTCGCCCAGTCAAACCACACTGTCTTGCCTCTCAGCGCCGCATACCCGATTTCCGCCTCTCCTCCTCTCTTGGCGAGCAGCACGCATTTCCCACTGAATGGACCACCTAGACTTTCGCTGATACGGAGAACATACTGTGAAGGCTTGACGATAATCTGTTGCGCGCCGCCTTCAAGCTGAAGATTGATGTTTGGGAAGGTGGATGTAGAGTTGCAGCTCACAAGGTCGACTGATTCCATGTCCCGACCCATGTCGAAGCGTTCAGGTTTCGCGAACTTAGCCAGAAACTCATACACATCGTTTGGAAGTTTAACGTACGGAGTGTGCAGAGCGAGGTCAATGGCGCCCGTGTTAGCGCTCACCGAAACGCCCCTCTCGACGTTGATCGACGTAACGTTCACTCTCCGACCCGGCTGCTTCGTGTCGGTCCATGCGATGTCGATGCTCGTGTCCATGTGGTGGAAGAGCTTCCATCCTGGTTCAGGCTCTAGCACTAACGGTCCTTCGGCTTCGGTGTCCAACGGGATCGTCATCATCAGTGATGACTGCTGGTTTTTGGACGCCTTTGGTGGACCTTTGGAAAATGGGTCGTGTAATATTGGGGCGATCCGGTTGGTGATGTCATCTAATACATTAAGATGAAGCTGAGTGAGTACTCCTCGGTCGCAGTGCCAGTCCGAGGGGAAGTAATCGGTGAAGTAGTATCGCCAGTCGCCTTTCATCTAAATGTGCATCAGCTCTTGCAGTCTGCAAGCATTACTTTTGTTGCAAGCTCACGTGAAACGCAAAGGAACTGCCAATATGGATCGATTTACGCCCTCTGCCGCAGTTTGCTGCGCCGGGAGGTTTCGGTAGCGGCTTCTGCCACTCTGCGAGGCCTTGAGCCGCGGCGAGCGCGAACGCTGCCGCCAGCACAAGGAGATGCAGCATGCTCGCTACCACTGCATATCGAATATGGTAATTGCTAGGATAGGGTTTTATGGGATCGACAAGATGTGGCGCAAGAGCCGTACAGCCACAATGAATGATTGCCGCGTGGGAGGGTGGCACAAGGGAGCCTGAATTCCGAAAAGGGGGAAGGTGCGAGGTCCAAGCAAGCGGGGAGTTCTGAACGTTGAACAGCGACCTTGAGGCTGAGCGACTTGGGCCTTCAGGGATATCGCGGCCTCACGAGGTCCAGGAGGTCGAAATGTCGCGCGACATGAATCTTAAAGTGAAGTGGCACTGTTCTGCTTATGGTAAGCGTTCCGGACCCGCGGTGAATTTATGGACCCACCTTTCTTAGCCCGGCAGGCGCCAGGTGCCTGGGAGCCGCAACCGTCACATGGAACTTTCTACAACATTGACTGCAGCCTGCGCCGCGGGTCCACTGTTCAAAACGAACACTCGAATTCTTCTTCGTTTCTCTTCCATCTTCACCTCGTACTCGAACATCCTTGTAGCAGCACGCCGCACCCGCGATCCGACACTTAACCTACTCCAGAGCTACCCCACCATGGATCAAGCAGTCCGCGGCGCTGCTGCGCTCTCTGCCAGCAAGTATGACGAAGCTATCGAGCACTACACCAAAGCAATAGAACAAAACCCCTCCGCTGTCGACTACTACGTCAAGCGCTCCACGGCCTACCAACGATCGTCGAAATATACCGAAGCCCTCACAGATGCCGAGAAGGCGGTCGTTCTCGCCCACAAGCGCGCGCGGCGCGAGCTCATCAAAGATTCTCAGTTGCGACGAGGAATAGCGCTCTTCTTCCTGGGGCAATATGCGAACGCGAAATATGTATTCGACATTGTGAAGGGAATCGATGAGAAAGAGAAAACCTTGGCCATCTGGGAGTCCAAGATTGCGATCAAGATGAAGGATCTTCCGGAGGGCGATGAACAAAGAAGGATTACGGCCAAGTCAGTTCCCGATGTCGATGTCGATACGACTCCAGTGCCAACGAAGAAAGGCAAGGAACCTGCAGGGACGCCCTCCGACGCGCAGTCGCGACTAGCAGCAAACGGGAGCTCGAGCTCTCCTGCGCCAGCAACGCCAACTGAGAAGCCAAAGCACGACTGGTACCAGAACAACGAGCAAGTCACGTTCACACTGATGGCAAAGAACGTGCCGAAAGACAAGGCCACTGTGAACATTGAGAAGGATTCGTTGGACATCACCTACCCCCCTTGCCAACGGCAACGACTTCACTTATAATCTCCTGCCATTCTACGACGAGATTGACCCTGCTAGCTCGACTTACCGCATTACGCCTACCAAAATCGAGGTCGTCCTGAAGAAGGCTACACCAGGCGTGAAGTGGAAGGCTCTTGAAGGCGAACTAAAGAGCGAGCCAAAATTATCCGAAGGAGATGGAGCCGCGGAGATAGTCACCGATCGCACAAAGAAGACAACTGAGGCCGGACCCTCATATCCCACATCGTCGAAAAAGGGCGCCAAGAACTGGGACAAAGTGGCTGCGGAAGATTTGGGCGAAGAGGACGACTATGAAGGCGATGAGACCTCTCGGTTCTTCAAGCAGCTCTACAAAGGCGCCGGCGAAGATGCACAGCGGGCTATGATGAAGAGCTACCAAGAGAGTGGCGGCACCGTTTTAAGTACCGACTGGAGCAGCGTGGGCAATAAGTACATCGCGCCTGAGCCTCCGGAGGGCATGGAGGCGAAGAAGTACTGAGGTGACATGGTATTGAAAAGGAGCAATTACGATTCACGATAAGTTGATTTGGGATATGCATAGCGACGGAGCGCTACGGGTGGCGTTGCTTTTTCGTTGCAGATACGCTTGAAGATGCTGAGGCAGCCTGTGTTGCTCCAGTGTAGGCGCTGCAGCGACCGTCAATACCCGGCCATGATTGATATGGAACAACGGTCTTATTTGCAAGTCTCTCGCTGTAGCACAGCTCGATTCTCCGAGCAATGATTGAATATCCACAGTTCTAGACACCCACCTTCTCCAGTTCGGCGCTTACGTGGTGAAACACTTGTGGCTTTCAATACGCTCACTTCGTGAGACCAAATTCGCCCTGTCGCCTCTCGTATTCTGGACGTCCGAAGCTGATGCCCCCGCCGTGCGAATCACAACCCTCCTATATTCGCCGTGACTAAGCTCGCGCTCCAACCTCCGAGAGCCACGCCAAACACGGCTAAAGCTTCCCCCGCGGCGAACGCCTTCGCCGCCATACGCCAATCCCGCGCGCTCGGGATTCGCGTCGGCGCTGAACAATGGCAAGCCCGCCGCGTTATATAATGCGTCTCTTCTAGGCTTCGACGGGCCCGTCAAGTGACCCGATGTTCGCGACTGCTGCTGTCGTTGCTTCCGCCGTGGGACTGACCGCAGTTGGTTTGAACAAAGCCTTTGCGAATGCGCCGCGGGGAATTCAACAATTGTACTGGAAAGCGGATCAGAAGGTTTTGTTAAGAGGCATGGCGACGGCAAGTACTATCAAGCTCGATACCGGATTGCAGCCGGAGTTCTTTGTCAGGGGGATTACGGATGAGAGCGCGAGGGTTACGAGTGAATTATTGCAGGAGAACCATGATAAGCATCATATCTTCTTCAACCAAAGTGGCTTTCATGTAAGTTCTGTCCTACTGCTCGAAGTGTTGGTGGCTAATGGAGTTACGATAGAACCATATCGTACATCATCTCCTGACGCTCTTTGCTCTCAAGGCTACGCCGGAGGAGATCAAGCGCGCGTACAATGACAACAAATATTACCAACGTCCGCCAGTCGACCTGAAGAAAGAGATAGTAAATGATATGCATAATCCGGAGAGGTACAAGACATACCTAGGAAAAGAAAAGTACTACCATGATTTCCTCCAGTACTTCCAGGAAGAGATTGGCAGGAAGGGTTGGGAGACCGTGTTGAATGACGAACTCTTCAAGGGCGACGAGCGAGCAGACGACCTCCTCGCTCGCCTCTTCGCAGGCTTCCTCCACCCCATCATACATCTAGGCTTCGGCATCGAGCATAGACAAGAGGCTCTCATATCCGAGGCCCTCGCCCAAGCGGCGATCCACGACGGTTGGATGGCGCCCTTCTTCTTGGACGCCGAGAAGGCCGCAAAGGCGAATGCAGCGAAGCCGCAGGACACGAAGACCATTGTGCAGCTCCTCAATGAGATTCGCGCAGACAAGAAACTCTCCTCTGCAGCGCACTGGGAAGACGGAAACAAAATCCGCGATGGCATCTTAAAGCGCGCACCGGATGAGATGCTCAAGTACGCGAGCCAGTACGTCGTCGACGAGTCTCAGCTCGAAGAGAAAACCGCGGAAATGATCAACGCGGTTGGTATGCGCCCCCTCACATTCCCGTGCCATTCCCAAATGCACTAACGTACGACAGTCTTCTACACCGCGGCAGCCCAACACCCCCCCTCTATCCCCAAGTTCGACTTCTACTACATCCACGTCGTGAATTGCAGTATCTTCTTCTCCACTTTCCTGTCGCTTTCCTGTCTCACACCAGCCACGAAGGTCCGCCTGCTAGAATGGAAAGTCCGCAACAGCCTTGCCATGTATGCTTCGCGCGCCTCGCCTCCTCTCCTGCACGAAGAAATTGCGAGCTACAAACCCGCCGACGGTGATGACTCATGGGACAAAGTTATCAAGAGGGTGAACGCGCTCTCTGATGACGGGCACGCCAGTAAACTCGTGCGCGCATTAGCGCATGGTGAGCAAGTGTATAAGAAATTCGAGGGTAAGGATGGCTTTGTCGTGGAGGGGGATATGTGGAAGAGGTTGGGAAATATGGCGATCGACAGTGTGGAGGCCGGGGGGCCGACGTGGGTAAGGAGTGCTGGATTTGATGAGGCATGGAGGGACGTGCCGAAGAGGAAGTTCTCGAAGGTTTGAGGGCGAAGGACGAAGGACGAAGGACTGAGTATCGAAATCCATGTTCGATTGACGTAGGTATGGGGACTCTCTGGACACTCGTTGGCGCAGCGTCATTTGTTGTTGTACGGGCACACCTTCGTGTAGCGAGACACCACGCCACAAGCTTTCATCCATTCCGATGCGGCCGATAGTTTAGCCGCAGTCCTCCTTGATAACGTGAACAATAGCACATCTCAGAACTTTCAAGAAACCATTCGACCTGATTCGAGACACTTGCGTAGCCGCATTTATAAGCCGAGACCCACGAACTGGCGAATCGCAGGGATACCTCCGAAGCGCTCTAACGCGTTTGGCTAGGCTAAGAAACTGCACATGTTTTCGCATACCAGACTGTAGGATTAGGCCGACTTGGTCCTAATCACCTAAGTGGAGGTATCGGCTTTTAGGAGACTGCGGTGGGGCGTTACGGCTGCGGGGCGTTTACGAGACGATTCAGCATTGGGGTAGCATCATTGACCCTTACACGGTGGTTACGTAGCAGGCAGGCAGGGCGGGGATCGAACTTGCTATTTGTATCGCGCGAGCTGCTTCTTTCCACTGACCTCATCATACTGCCTCCCCTCTCAAAGAATCACTACTTCTTCATTTCCCCATCTACCCACCCAAAAGAGCTAAAACAAGCAAACATGTCGAAAATCAAATCCGTGTTCGGCGGCGCCGCCTTCCCTAATGGCCCCTACGCCGACCCCAAGGTGCAAGCAGAGGCTCTGGAAGTCCTTCAGAAGGCCGGCGTAAAAGTTATCGACACAGCTCGCCTCTACGGAGGCTCTGAGGAGGCCATCGGCAAGCTCGACGCCCGCAAGAACTTCATCATCGACACCAAACTCAAGGGCGGCTTCGAGAAGGGCACCATAACCAAGGACCGCGTTATCCAGGACGTGGAAGACAGCCTAAAGAAGTTGAACGTAGACCAAGTTGACATTCTGTACATCCATGCGCCAGACGATACTATCGACGTCAACGAGACGCTGGAGGGCATTAATGAAGCATACAAGAAGGGCTGGTTCAAGCGCTTCGGCCTGTCTAACTTCACGCCCGAGCAGGTGCAGGAGGCATACGACATCGCGAGCAAGAAGGGCTACGTCAAGCCGACTGTCTACCAAGGCAATTATTCTCCTGTTGCTAGGCATCTAGAGAATATTCTCTTTCCTACTCTCCGCAAGCTGAACATCGCGTTCTACGCCTACTCCCCACTCGCAGGCGGGTTTCTGACTAAGACGCCGGCGGATCTCGACGCCGGCGCTGGCCGCTTCAATCAACAGGCCATTGGTGGCATGTACTCGCGGCTGTACGACAAGCCGTCTCTTCGCGCGGCCCTAGGCGAGTGGAATGCAATTGCGGAGGCGGAGGGCGTGAGCAAGGCGGAGCTGGCGTACCGCTGGGTCGGGTACAACTCTGCGCTCAAAGCGGATCTTGGGGACGCAGTCATTTTCGGTGCGAGCAAAATTAGCCAGATCGAGCAGACAGCCGGTTGGTTGACAAAGGGTGGTGTGAGCTCAAAGGCGGTAGAGGGAATCAATAAGATCTGGGAGAGCGTTAAGGATGATGCCCCCGTGGATAACTTCGGTGCCAACAAGGCATAGAATTCGTATGTTGACGCTCGGTGGCATGTGGAAGATCTCCTACGACTGGTCGGAAATCCTTTACGATAAGGCGATATCCTACACATACGTAGTAGCCGTAGTTGTATAAACACGGAGCCAGACAACCTACTTGCGTCGACGATCCCATCTGCAAACTTGCGCCCGCGTGCTCATTGTATGATTGTCCTTGCATTGAGAGCGTTCCAATGGACTCCGAAGAGCCGAAACGTGACGAGTGATGGCAGACCTGACTACAGCATCATATTGATTGAATCTCCCACAAAATCACAGCGATGCATCTACTTCAAAACCTTTACTGTATTCGCTACGTTGCTCACCGACACCAATTTTTTCCCAGGACGCTTCTAACGAGTATTAACCTTCTAGTGTGTCAACATGGCATAGTCAAAACGTCCGCAGCACTGATCCGATCTCCGGACAATTTGCCGTGCAGTAGCATCCAGCGTGCCCCTCAGTATACCACAAACAAGCTAACACTGCGAAACTAATGCTCTTCAAAATCGAGCGTCATGTATGAAATTGTAAGGTCCGAATCGACGCCTGCAGAAAGAATTTCAAAGCTTTCTCTTTTCTCATAAGGAAATACCTATACCTGGCGCACATGTCAATTATTCCCCTCTCACCAACCGTGGCCGACAAGCTGAATCCAGAGTATTCGTTTTAAGTGAAGCATTTGTACTCCGCGGTGGTATATATATGTAAATTTAGACAGTAGTTTCGAGGAGTAGGATCAGGGATAGTCAAGGGACGAAATAAATTCCATATTCCCCGTATATGTGGAAGATCTACAACACTGTATTTGTATACATACACACACCTGTCTTTTTATACAATCCGAACTCCCACCATTGCCGAGTGAGCCGAAAAATGAGAAAGCGGGGATATCATAAACACGAAGCAAATCACCTCTCCCTCGGAGAACATCACGCGTCCTGAACAACCACGCGATCCTTAAAACTCACCACCACCGCCGCCCAACGCAGCAGCTCCCCACACACCCACTAACCCCAGAATCCCACTCTCCACCCCTCCACAGCCCATTCATACCCTGCCCCTTCCGTATCCTTGTCCTCGACGAGAAGCTCGCCGCAGCCTTACCCTTCGCCGCTGCCGGCCCAACAACCTGCACACCCTCATCCCTAACAATGAACCACATCGTCCCCAGCACGCCCCTGTACTGCCCAGGCTCCACAATAGTGTGGAAACTCCGCATCGCGGGATTTTCATTCTCCATACCGTACACCGGGGATTTCAGCGCGCGGGATGAGGAAGAGGAGTCGGGAAGGTGCCTGTACTCTGCGGCTAAGCGCTCGTTCTCGTGGTCCTGCAGGACGGCGACCTGGCCGCGGCGCAAGACGGTTTCGAGCGGGAGGCGAAGGAAGAGCTCTGCAGTGGAGGATATGAAGGTGGAGAAGGAGTAGGCGGTGGGTGTTACGATGGGGTCAACGGAGAGGAATGTGCGGAGGAAGAGGGGGTGGATGAAGAGACGAGGGTGGGAACTGTGGCGTGGAGGATGGTGGCGGGGAGGAGGTTTGAGGGGATGGTGAAGCTGGGGAGGAGGGAGAGCGAGGGGTAGATGGTGCGTGGTGGGGCGGAGGTGGGCGTGACGATGAGGCGGGTGCGGATGAGGTCGAGCGGGGCGAGGAGGGTCGCCGCAATGGCGGTAGCCGCTACGGCTACACCGAGAGACGTCAGAGGTGACGGGCTGTCTATGATGTCGAGGCCGCCGATGCCGCTTGCGCTGGTGCCCATGAGGCCGGGGTCTGGCAGGTTGAGGAGCGCAGAGAGCATGCTGCGCGTCCAGCTTTCGGTCGTCTTGAGTAGGAAGTTGTATATGAAAGTGACGTTTGTGCCTTTCCACACGCCCCATGCTGACTCTTTCTGCCAGAGTTGTGCTATCACTTCGAGAAGCGAGTCTGCTTTCCTGAGCTCCAGCTTTCGCGGTGCAATCGGGGTTGCGCGTGTAGGCGTGGTGTCTCGTGACCGGCTTCTTGGATGCCGTCTCTTCTGCGGACTTCTGGACCGTGAGGCACCGCGCCCATAGGTCGGGCTGTGTATCGAGGGCGCCGTGCTCGTGAAGTAGCCCGGTGAGTCTTCATCCGACTCGTCCGAAGGGTAATCCTCAAATTTTCCACTAGCGAAGGAATTTGGCCGGCTCTTGATCTCATCTCCATTCAATTGTAAGCCAGGCGGCGCCTGTCCTTGGGCCTGATGGATTTGCAGCAGCGTCTTCGCGACCTCAAAGGGTTGAGCCAACAGCACCGACGTGTAGTTCCATAGCGCCTGATCTAGCAGCTTCTTCGCGTGGTCCGCCACGCTTGGGGAGCTATCAGCGAAGTACGAGTCGTAGTCGAGATCAGACAGGATATCGCGGGCCTGGCTGCCAAAGCTCGGTTTGGGGGTGCGCGAAGTGTACGACGGCCCGGCGGGCGAGGATGAATTATTCTGCGGCAGGTCTGGCGGCAGGCCGATCGACGGCGGGATGTAGTAGGGCCGCAGCGGATTCGGGGCGTCACGCGAGGTCGCCATAGCGTGTTTGTTGTGTGCAGGAATAATAGGGGAGCTGGCAGTGGTGTTCTCCCACCGGGGCGTGGAGACGGTTGCATGGGTCGTCGTGACGTTGATCCACACTTCTAGGTCCATTGGGCCTGGTCCGTGCTTCCCAAGTTGCACGAAGTTCGGAAGCACGAAAACGAAGTGCTTCGCTCCGAGCTGTTTTGCCCACAACACCATTTTCATTCATTTATCGGTATTCGAAGCCGGCGCGATGGCTGGCGGTCTCCAATGGCGGGCCGCGCTTTCCCGTGCGCTGAAGAGCGAGAAAGGAATGCTTCGGATGTCACTGTCATCACAGAGGCGGAACTTTTCGTCGCGACGAAGCAGCCTCTACATGCAAAAGTCATGTAGAGTACAAACGCCTCAGGAGTCACAATGTAACCTTCACAATATCGCAATGCACTCCTTTGCGCGGAATCGACGGAGATTCTCCTCAACCCCCATCTCGCAGCACAACCACCTCGACCCGCCCAAGCCGGGTGAAGAGTATGCCTCGCACATTCTACATAACGTCCGGTAATTTGATACTGACTTGTGTATAGGCGCCATGTAACATTCATAACCAAAGAAGGCGAATCTTTCACCTTCGAAGTTGCTGACGGCGACAACCTCCTCGACATCGCGCAAGAAAACGACCTCGAGATGGAAGGCGCCTGTGGCGGCTCTTGCGCCTGCTCCACCTGCCATGTCATCGTCGAATCCGAGGACATGTACAATAAGATGGAGGAACCGGATGATGATGAGAACGACATGCTGGATTTGGCGTTTGGTCTGCAGGAGACGAGTCGACTGGGGTGCCAGGTCAAGATGAGCAAGGAGCTAGATGGGTTGGTGGTGAGGCTGCCGAGTATGACGAGGAACTTGCAGGCGAGTGATTTTGAGAGCAAATAAGTAGGTCATGATAGGCTAGAGAGAAAGGAAGAAAAACACGCGCGAGGCTTGTATTGTGTAGGCGACCTCTTGTATATTAGCCCAGTATCCGGCAAGTGGAAAACGTGGCCCTGGTATTTGGAAAGATATGTACGGACTGGAACATTACATGTAATATACGGGACATCACACAGGCGTTACGGGAAAACGGCACCTCCTGGGGCATTAGACGGATGAAGTAGCCATTATGATTTCGATTCCACCTCGCTCAAACAGAATTAAATTTCAACGCTTCCTTCTTTTTGCTTTGCGCCGCCGGTGATCATATCCAGGAAGCCTTGCTTACTCAACTCTTTCACCTGCTCTTCGCGCTTGCCCAAGCCAACCACTCCCTTCTCGCGCGCCTCTCTCTCCGCCTGCTCACCCTTGACTTGAGCCGCGCGCACCGCGTTAAAAAGCTTGATAACACCCTTCTGCGCCGTCCTGCGAAGCTCCTTTTCCTTCGCCGTCGTCGCCGCCGTACTGACGCTCGGGTCATTCAAACCCAGCACATCCTTCACACGGCCCTTCTCTTGCGCAGCTTTCTTCTCCGCTAGCAGTTTCTTGTTCGCTGCATGCGTCAACTTCTGGTCGGACAGCGTCCTGTTTGCTTCTTGCGCGGACTTTGACCGCGAAAGAATAGGCTCGGACCGCTTTTGTGATGTGAGTTTTGTATTGAGGATCTTGGAGATGGATGTCGCGAAGGCTTCGGGGTCGTTTCGTTTCCGCACTTTGCGCGCAGGATTGTTGGTCGACACCTCTGATATCGATGTGTCGTCTGAAGCGTCTGAGTCGTCGGCATCGGAGTCAATCGCTAGTTCACGATCTTCCGGCTCAGAGTCTTCGGCGTCGTCGCTGGAGGCCACATCGTCGAAGTCATCACCGGCTTCCAACGGTGCTGGCTGCGCCGTCTTCTTCAATGCTGATTTCTTGGCTGCAGGTGCAGGTGCAGGTGCAGTCCTCTCCTTGATTGGAAGGGCATTTGCAGAGCCTGCCTCCGGCTCAAACTCAGGAGTTGGTTCCTTCAGCTTCTTCACTTCTCGCGGCGCATCTCGTGCAGCGCCCTCATCGTCGGATTCGTCCTCGCTGGAGCTGTGATAGAATTTCTGGCGCTTGATCTTGGGCTTGTCCTTTTTCGGCACTTTCCCGCGCATGCGGTCTTCTGTCCGTCTTCGCTTCAAGCTCGTGTTCGGCATTGTGTGGAGGTAGTTGGGTGTGTTTGATGTTGTCCTGAGGTTGGAGTCGAGAAAATAAATTTGGAGATCGGCGCTTTCTTCGCCGTCGCCAAGCTCACAAGCGGAAGGGACGAGCCCCGCAGCTGCCATCTGAGGACCCCCACTGCAGTCCGACTGCACACACCGTCAGCCCCTACCGTTTACCTCAACCCGCATACTACAGCACAGCCGCCGCCATGGTGCTTCAGGATCTTGGGCGGCGCATCAATGCCGCCGTCTCAGACCTCACGAGGTCTCCCAACCTCGATGAGAAGGTGCGCATCCATGGTAAAAACAGCGGCACCGTGGCTAATAATCGCAGGCCTTCGACGCCATGGTCAAGGAGATTTCCAACGCTCTCGTAGAAGCAGACGTTAACGTGAAGCTCGTGATGAACCTTCGGAACTCCATAAAACGCTCGGTTGACTTCAAACACCTCTCGCCCGGCGTGAATAAGAAGCGCCTCATCCAGAAAGCGGTTTACGACGAACTTGTTAAACTCGTCGACCCGCACGCCGAACCCTTCAAGCCGCGAAAAGGAAAGCCGAACGTCATCATGTTTGTGGGTTTGCAGGGTTCGGGTAAAACGACATCGTGTACGAAGCTGGCGCGGTGGTATTCTGCGCGAGGATTCAAGGCGTGTCTGGTTTGCGCGGACACCTTCCGTGCTGGTGCTTTCGATCAATTGAAGCAGAATGCGATACGAGCGAAGATCCCGTACTTCGGAAGCCATACACAGACGGATCCTGTCGCCGTTGCAAGAGAAGGTGTGGACAAGTTCAAAAAGGAGCGCTTTGAGATCATCATTGTGGATACCTCTGGCCGTCACAGGCAAGAGAAGGACCTTTTTGATGAGATGATGCAGATCCAGGAAGCTGTGCAGCCCGATCAGACTATTATGGTTCTCGACTCGACAATCGGTCAGGCAGCAGAAGCACAGTCACGTGCATTCAAAGAGGCGGCAGACTTCGGAGCTATCATTCTTACCAAAACGGACGGTGCAGCAGCAGGGGGTGGTGCTATCTCGGCCGTTGCAGCAACACATACGCCTATCGTGTTCCTCGGTACCGGAGAGCATATGCTGGATCTAGAGCGCTTCAGTCCTGAGCCTTTCGTTTCGAAACTACTTGGCATGGGTGACATCGGTGGCCTTGTCGAACACGTGCAGTCACTCAAGCTCGACCAGAAAGATACCATGAAGCATATCACCCAAGGCATCTTCACTATCAAGGATCTGCGAGATCAACTGTCCAATATCATGAAGATGGGCCCGCTTTCGAAAATGGCGGGCATGATTCCTGGACTGAGCGGCATGATGAACGGTATGGACGATGAAGAAGGCAGTTTGAAGCTCAAGCGCATGATTTACATCTGCGACAGCATGAATGAGAAGGAGCTTGATTCTGACGGCAAGATGTTCATCGAGCAACCGGAACGTATGACACGCATAGCACGTGGTTCGGGCACGTCTGTGCGCGAAGTAGAAGAGCTTCTTACTCAGCACAAGATGATGGCAGGGTATGTTACTTTGCTACGATATGAATACATCACAGCTAATTTGGTTACTCAGCATGGCCAAAAAAATGGTTCGGAATATCCTCCCAGGTCCTTCTTACCTTTCAGCTAATTTTATTACAGGGAGGAGGTTTGAAGAATATGCAAAAAGCTCAGGGTGCCATGGGCGGAGGAAACAAGGCACAACAGCTCGCTGCCATGCAAAAGCGGATGGCCAGTATGGGCCAAGGCGGCATGGGTGGCGGAGGAGGCATGCCCGATATGGCTTCTATGATGAAGATGCTTGGTGGTGGAGGAAGAGGCGGCGGTGGCATGCCTGATATGTCTGCCCTTGCGAATATGATGGGTGGCGGTGGACGAGGAGGAGGCGGCATGCCCGATATGTCTGCCCTTGCGAACATGATGGGTGGCATGGGTGGCGGTGGTTTCCCTGGTATGGGCGGTATGGGAGGTAGCGGCAGCGGCAAAGGAAGGCGGTAGTTGTACGGCATCGATGTAGGTTGGAGGTCGTTCTGTTTGTATGCATAGCCACGGCGTTCGGGTCGTTCGCTTGGCATTGGTGAGTCTTCAATACTATGAAGATGATTATCTCACTTTGAAACAGTAACAATATGCGAAACAGCATGCGATTTGTTCGAAATCTGGAAGTATATCGTGAGGGCACATGGCTGCTTATACAGGACGCCATTTCCGATTCCATGTGTCCCATGTATGTACACAGCGTCATGTACCCCACAGTTTGCTAATCATACAAAGATAACTGCTCTACGGCGCTACTTCGCAGCTTTCCGCACCTGCATGGCCCGCCGCACCTGTCTCAGGCTTGCCGCTGTTCGCCAATGACGCGCGCTGATTGTTTTGGACGTCCACATTCCGCTGTCAAGAATGAGCTAGAAGGCAGCACACGCAATCAGATCAACATGCCAGCAAGTGAACATGACAACCGCCATTGTAACCAACCAGTGCTTTTACGAGCTCGGCAACAGCACCTGCCCTGGCGTCTCGATGAAGCTAGTGACCACTTCCTGAAGGGTTGTTGTGATGCAAAGAATTCAACACAGGGAATCTCACCTATAACTAGAGAAGGCGACAGTCTCACACGATGTCTAGGCCTTCAATCCTTTCCGTCACTCGTTTCCGGCCACACGTTCTTTTGGATAGGCCGTGTCCCTCCTTTTGTCTCTCTTTGACGGCGGGCCACCATGAAGGCTTACGCGGCCGGAGCTCTGCTCTTGCAGGCTGCAAAGGCACAATTTGGGGCAGATGTCATCGAATCTCCAACATCCGCGCAGGTTGTGGACATCTACGTGGACAACGGTAGCACGTTGCCTCCAGGTGTAGCCTTCTCCGCTCTCTCTTCCGCAACGGGACCGTCCAGCGCGGTACTAACAGCCAACGCCGTGATCCCTCCAGGCACAGACGATGTTGTGCTCGCTGCGGCAACTCAGATCGTCTCCTCCGTTGTACCCTCAGCTGCGGGCATCGGCGCGCTCGCGGCTGTTGTCTCTTCTGCGATCCGAGGGTTGCCCGTTGCGTCTGCGTTGGGACTCCCCGTCATCCCCCCCGTTGGACCGGGGCTGGCGGCGACTTCCGCAATCGCCCTCGGGCTTGGTGGCTTCGGGTCGCTCTCCGTACCTGAAGTGCAGTCACAGGACGTGAGCGACGCATTGACCCCTGTGTCGCTCGATGATCCTACCGTTGGAGTGGAAGCTGCTCCTGCACCCGCCCCTGTTGTTGCTCCAGCACCCGCCCCGGTGGTTGCTCCAGCTCCGGCGGAAGCCAGCGTCAACGACACCCCCGTAAGCGATGCAGCGGCTCCCGTCGTCGAGCCGAACCCTGCGACGCCTCCTGCCGCAGACGCAGCTTTGCTGGCCAACAACGGCGAGACCGTTACCCCAAACCTCCCTGCTCCACTCCCTAACGCGAATGACCTGCCAGTCTCTGGATTTGCAGTTGGCGACCCGGCCGCAGTGGACACGACTCTTCCTATCAACAACGCCGTGGATGTCCCTGCAGCTCAACCGCCACTTCCAAACGAGGGCGTCGTTCCAGCTCTTCCCGCCCCTGGCGATGGGACTCCTATTCCAGCAGCAGCCCCAGCTGATGGCTCTGTCCAGGCTCTGGACACTGTCGACCCCGGTCTACCACCGCCAGCTGGCGGAGACCCTGGAGCCGTTGGAGCTACTGCTGTCCAGCCATTAGCTGATGTTTCACCTTACGATCCTTTCACCGGTGCGAATGATGGGCCTTTTATCCCGCAGAAGCCTCCGATCGGCCCATCAGGCTATGATGGCGACGACGACACCCAATACGATGCAGAGGATCAAGGCAAGGGTCCTCATGGCCGACGTCCCGGCCAAGATCCTAAGGACCCCAGCCCTGGCGGCGACGTCGAAGATACCACGCAGTATGACGGTGAAGATTACGGCAATGGCCCCAACGGGCAGAGCAAGAGCCATGGCAAGAAACCGACGAAGGGCAACGGACCAGACCAATCTGGCGATGACTCTGACGAGGAATGTCCTGAATGGTGCCTTGAGGACGACGGCACTAGCTCTCCCGAACGATCCTCCCACGATCACTCATCAAACACAACCTCCGCCATGCACGCCAAAGAGACTGGCGGAAAGACAAAGCACAAGAAGAAGAAGGCTAAGAAAACTAGCAAGACGCCTCACCGTATCGCTGTCACCGTTGACGACAACGTTGTCTACACCTCCGACTACAAGCGTGAGGTTGCCGATGCCGCACCATCCTCTGGCGGTTTCTCTGGGTTCAAATGGCCGTCGAAGAAGACCGATGACACCTCCGAAAGCAGCAATGATATTAAGGGCTCTCAAGGCCAAGGCCAAGACAAGCCTTCTGAAGGACAAGGCCAAGACAAGGATTCCAGCTCAGACGGCTCTTCTCAGAATGACAAGGAGATATCGGATCAGTTACAGAAGGCTTCAAAGGGTCAACGCGGTGGAGGCAATGCTGCTGACAATGCTGCTGACAACGCTCCTGACAATGCTGCTGACAGTGGGGACGGTGTTTCCGGAAGTACCCTTCCCGACTGGTTGAATGACTTGCAGAAACCCAAGGAGTCCGGCTCTCCCGACAGCGCCAAGAACATCACAGCCGTTTCGAGTGGAGCCAAGGACAGCAGTGGCACGTCAAGTGGCAGCGAGAATGACAGCGCCAAGGGAAAGAAGAAGAAGAAGAAGAAGTCCAAGGGCAAGTGTCCCAAGAGCTGCAAGAACAAGAAGGGCAGCAAGCCTTCTGGCGCTTCCTCCGGTAAACCGAGCGAGACTGGACTTGGTGGCCAGCCCACCGGCGCTCCGACCGAATCTGCCACCGGAACTCCCGACTTTGCTGCTCCTACAACCTTTGTGACCCTCGCCTCGGAAAAGGAAGACGAAGCCCTTGCTACCAAAGCCAAGGGTGGAGACTCCCCCGGAGCCACCGGCGAAGCTGGTAAAGGTGGCCTCCCTGCTGGCAAGGAAGACTCAGGTGACACCTTCACCGGTTCGACCCTCGCTGGCGTCTGCCCTAAGCAGTGCAATCCGTTTAACCCCGCCGAGAATCTGTGCGACCACGAATCTAGCGGATGCACGACTGCCGGTGGAAGCAAGTACTACTGCGCCTGCCGCGCTGGCTACAAGCTCAACGACAGCTCGAACAAGGACTTCAGCAAGCAGTTCAAGGTGTCCGGCCAGCCGTATGTGTATGTTTACCCGGGAGCCAAGTGCGATAAGCTGTGTGATGATGGGCTGTGTGATGAGGTATTGATGAGAGATCAGTGTGTGTAGAGGGGTGATGCATGAGAGGTAGAAACGAACATGGGGATTCGAATATCGTTCAGGCGGTATTATGTATGGTATGAATTGGATATGACGTAATTTGTGAATTCGAATATGAATATTTCTTTCCTTGATCTGATCTGGATGCTTCCCGCGTGCTGTCGAAATAACATCTTTTCTCACCTTTTCCGATAAGACAGTTTCCAAAAACGTCATCACGTTGTTACAGTTCATCATTGTGATGTGGCGAACTCATCAATTTAGAATCCATGTACCCCACACAGGCTTTCGGTAGAGAGCAGCTCGAAGTGGGCGATACCCGACCAACTTCTGCCGGCTTGTGTACCGGCATCTGGCCACTCGCAATATCATCCGTAACCCATCATCTGATGATCCAACATCACTCAACTGCCATTGGTCAGCAACATACTACTTGAATCAACACCACAGGATGACCAGATGAATCAAGAGAAGTGCGATGCTTCAGCCTAAAGATTGTCTTGGAAGCTCCGTTCATACTGTTTATCTGAACTTGGCTTGTGGAGGTCTAGCCTTCGTCTCAATTATAAATTCTGCATGTTGATGCAGCCTACAAGAAATGCAACTTTGAGAAACCACGAGATCAATCAACATGTTCTTCACCATTCTCTTCGCGATCGCGTTCTTTGTCCCAGCTGTGCTAACAGCACCACCCCGACTCTTCGAACGACAAGGCTACTATTGGTCGTTCTGGTACGTGATTTTGGGGTTTGAGTTCTGGATGCTAAGCGCAAGCAATTTCCGAACTTTGTACACACTGTTTGCACACTTCATTTCAGCTTGCCCTATTCCTCTCTTGTTATTTTGATCTCTTCACTAGATGGCCCTATAAATAACGTCCCCCAACTCTAGGCAAGAAGGCGGCGGCAGCCATAGGTGCAACAACGGCAACGACGGTTCTTATACAGCTAACTGGTCTGAAGGCGGCGGCTTCGTCTGCGGCAAAGGCTGGAGCGCAGGGGGTTCTCGGTACTCCTGTCCCTCCCCACATCACAACCTTGGCACCATGCTCACTGACACTCCCGGGAATAGTACCGTCAAATACAGCGGCGCCTACACCCCCATAGGCCCCGGCTACCTCGCCGTCTACGGCTGGACCACCGGGCCCCTGATCGAATACTACATTGTGGAAAACCACGGCGACCTCGCGCCTGGTGAGCCGTGGACCATCAAAGGCAATTTTACCTTCGAAGAAGGGACCTACAATATCTTCCAATCACAACGCGTGAATAAGCCCTCCATACAGGGCACGAGCACGTTTTATCAGTATTGGTCTGTGAGGACGGAGCCGAGGAGTAATGGCACGGTCACGACGGGGAGGCATTTCAGTGAGTGGCAGAAGCTGGGAATGAGGCTGGGAAGTCATAGTTATATGATATTGGCGACGGAAGGCTTTAGTAATAAGAGTTATCCAGTGCCTAGCGGGAGCTGTAGTATGACGCTTAGTTGAGGAATATTTGGAGGTTTTTTTTTTTTTTTAGGTATTGGATCATTGTTACATTTATACATCATGCTGGCAACGACTCGTACAATACAATGTTTCCGAAGGGAGATTCCGAATAACAAACCGCATAAAGGCTATCGAAGATCTCGCGAAGAAGAACTTACAATTGACCGTCTTAACTATTCCTAGTAGTACTCAAGCAATCAAGCAGCGATCCCAATTAGACGTAAGGCTTATCATCATAGCGTCCGACAAACTTTATATGCAACCGCATCTCGTTGCGAGGGTGGAGACAGTGATAGACCAACCCAGGCTCGTATCGCATCACGGCAGTGCGGTACGAAGTCCCACAAGCTGCAACTGATTGTTGTTGTATTCCTAGGTATATATTTGGTGCGATGCTGTGTGCTCACTCTAGGTGTGATCTGGCTACGCGCTAGGGCGAGGAAAACCGCTTCGTAAGTACCCAAGGATCAATCGCAGATTGATCGATCGAGCATACCGTCCAGGATGCAAGTGCCGTCTGTGATCGAAGTACCGTGTATCATTGGTATGTCGAACTGCGGAACCTGCAATTGGTCGAGGTGTTTCGGTAAGCATATGAGATGCAATTCAGTTGTACGAGGGTGAAAGACCTAGCGATTTGGACAGGCAGCGGTAGCCGAGCGTTGAAACGGTCACTCATTTCTTCGTGCCACTGGACCGTGTACCGAGTAGGCTTGTCTCTCGCCTCGTAAAAACCCGCTTGCATGATTAAAGGAGGCCCACATGGTCACGGTTGAGACGGTGTTGCGATATACTTCGAATCGCATTTAGGTCGGCAGCTCCAGGAAAAACCTGCATATAGAGCAGATTGCGGATATTCTGTGAATATGCTCCGTTGCGAGCGGAAGCAGGTTGGGGCGTCGAAATACCTACGACACCTTCTCCATGGCGATTGGCTGAGTTGACGATGGCTCGTAGATACTGCTGAGGGTGTACCTGGGCTAATTCGAATATTTTAGAAGTCTTGTAAGTCTTATCGCAGCTCTATTGACGTGAGTGCGTGCGGCAGAGTCTATGTAGCGGAAGCCGGTCTTGAATTATCATCCTTAACGCTTGATCTGCGGCAATGGTGACTGTATGCAATGCAAGCTTTCAAAGGCTAGGTGGCGTGTATGGCTTGTTGACACACGAACGACATGCCGTCGTTCTCGCAGGTATTTGAAAATAGCTACTGTTATATCACTTCTCGCGACACATACAATTTGCCGATACTGTAAAAACGTTTCACGCTCTACAGCTCAGCTGTCCACGCTTTGATAATAGATACAGTGTACATATGGCCTCACAAAACTCCGTCGCAGAGGCCAATACGTTACTGCGATTCCAACGCTTGCTTCTAGGATACAGCTGTCAGACCGAGTTTAACTCGACGAAGTCCTACTTAATGTGCGCCCTATAGACTAAAAGATGTCTTTCATAGTGTAGAACCTAGCTCGAACAGCTGTTTTAGTATTGGAAGATAGCACAGAGAGGGAGACTATACTGTTTTAGTCGATTGATCGATAGATCTAGAATAGCTAGACGAGAGGTTTATACTATTTAAGTATCGTGAAAGAACTGTCGTATGATACAGTTCACAGAAAGCTCAAAACTTAAAAATTATAGTACATATCCTAGTCTATACGGCAGGCTATGAGAAAAGGACATCTTATACGATCTCGCTGGCATAAACCAACTCTAGATAGCTGCTCGGCAATTGCCCCACAGCATCAAAGCGTGTTGCACAGTAGTAAGATCGTTCAGGCTAACGGCGTAGGCAACAACAACAAGTGGATGACTAAAGCAATCAATTCTTGCTAGTCACTTACTGTATGTACCTTGCATGGTAGTGAGTTGACTGCCTGCTCCAAACTTTTTGAAGTTGATGGTGATGGAGTTGTTCCGGCCACTTATTTTAATCATCCAAAAGCTGTAAGGTGAAGTGATCGTGATGCAACTGATCTGAAAGAGGGTCAAATTCGAACCACGAATCTCTGTGGAAGTAATGGTACAGCGTGCTCGCCAGTGGGAAGACCCACACGTACACGCTTAGACCATCATTGAATACATGGACGCTTTTGATTGCCGACGGCATACTCAGGAACGAGCTAAACGAGTCATGTGCTACCAAGCGTAAGCTTCTGTGGACAAAGGTATTGGACAGCATCTAGTCTTTATGATCTGGTCTTTTCTGTCAGCTGATCATTGATCTACGAGATAGTAATTTGTGAATATTTACCCAAGTACACAATGATCGGCACGGCGGTGGAACTTCTTGTAGTCTTTTGGCCTGCCGATATCTGTTATGCAGGATGCCACGCAAATAACTTGAAAATGGAACGTTCTAGGACGACATTATCGACGAAGCTCGAAGGTCTCGGTTTCTGCGGGGGACTCATATGCCCAGAGAAGATTCCGCTGACAACCTTGAACCCCTGCATGTTTCAACTGGCCACATAAGCACTAGACATCTACGCCGCGGGCAAGCCAGTGGCATTCAAATTTATACGCGCATATCGGACCCACTCATAGTAGGGCTTACATGATCCTCTGTGCAACATTTAGGTGACTTCGTTAATACACCGCGGCCCGCAGTCTTTGTTGAGTCTTTTGCGAACTTACTTTTGGGTTGTCCCTCCAAAACAGCGTTATGACTTTCTTTCAGAAACTATTCCTATTCGCTTTTGCGCCGCTTGCTGCGTTTGTTGTATTGCGAGAATACTCTCCGGGATTGTTTCGCGCCCTCGAAGATGCCATACAACCCTACATAGCGGGATCACCGTTCTCTCAGTACTTTGGAGAGCGGCCATTTGCTCGATCAGAGATCCCGCTCCTGGTGTCCAGCGTATCGCATCAATCACACTTCGAAAAGATGGGCGCCATTGCGGCGGCACTGGCAGAGCTTGGGCATCCAGTGACGTTCATTTGCGGGAAGGTGTTCGAAGACGCTGTGAATAAGCTGCATCCAAACATTAACTTTTATCCATTCCAAGGCCTGGACGATAAGTTGAGCGAGGAGGATCTGGCCTACTGGATGTCGCTCCCATCCGGAGTGGAAGCTGAAATTTGGGTTACGACCAAGGTGATCGTGGAAGGCGCGCCAGACGCGCATAATACCTACCAAGCCTACTTTAAAGAATTCAAAGAGAAGTATGGCAATGATAAGCCGCTTATCTCACTCTATGACCAAACTGTTGCGGGGCACCAGACTTTCCTGCTTGGAGTTCCCGGTATCAAACCGGATGTCAGCATTGGCATTAGTGTAATGCCTCTTTTGGTGCATTCTAATGATACATACCCTGCGCGCACCGGCAAGAAACCTCATCAAGGCCCGAATGCGAGAGCGATACATCAAAGAGCTTACGACGGCCATGGGGATCAGTACGAATGGGAGATCAGCAAGGCGTGGTGGGCGAAACTGAGGGAGATGGGATCTACTCGAGACGACTTTCCGCAGATATTGGACGGCATGAATCGCGTTCCAGATCACCTGATCACGATGGGTGTCCCAGAGTTCGAGTTTCCCCGTACCGACCTAGGTTTTGACCTGCGGTACTTTGGCGCTCTAAGGAAAGTGCAGAAGAAGTCAAGTGCGACCCCAGATCTTCCAACTTGGTGGGATGACCTGCAACAAGCCAAGGAGAAGGGTAGGAAGATCGTTGCTGTCAGTCAAGGGACTGTCGAGACTAAACCCGAGGAGCTAATCCTTCCCACTCTGGAGGCTCTGAAAGGTCGCGACGATGTGTTGGTAATTGCAACGTTCTATCTTTACGAACCTGAAGAAGTTGAGGGTTTAGTGGTACCAGACAACGCGCGCGTATCGAAGTATATTCCACACGACGAGCTTCTCCCTTTCGTAAGTCGGCATGCCCTTTCAACCAGCGTCACACTAACGGACACAGGTCGATGTGATGGTCGCCAATGGAGGTTATGGGGCTGTACAGAAATGCTTGATGTCTGGCATACCCATGGTCATATCCGGTGTAGGCCAAGACAAAGCTGTTGTCGGTGCGCTTGCCGACTTCACTGGTGTCGGAATCAACCTCGAAGCGCAAGAACCTGGTGCCGAAAGGATCAAGGAAGCAGTTGAAAAGATCCTCAACGAGCCAAGCTACAGAACTAAAGCGAAAGAGCTCAGCAAAGCGTACGACAGATATGACATGCAGAGAGAGTTCGATAGTCTTGTGCAGGATGTTGTGAGGGACTGGCAGAAGAAGCGGAAGAGTGTCACCAAAGACTTGTGAAGGAAGAAGCATTGGAAACGGACCCGTTTTTCGATACTACAGGATGACTGAAGATAGACTTAGGAAGATTCGATGCACTTAGCTGATCACACTGTTAACAATTGTGCAGGACCCGGAACACAAGTTAGAACGTGCCGCGAGAAATCTTCTCGTCAATACATGGACCACCTGTGAGATCGGCAGGTATTATTTCGAGCTGAGGATACGTAATAGATCACTTTAGAACCACTGTCTAGTACCCTAGCCTTGCGATGCGATCTTTTCCCAAGATTTCCTCAAGGCTGACAAGCTTGAAGCTGGCTTGCTCGGCAGTTCCGCCTTCAACGAGCTCGTTGGCGTCGTCGTGTGTAACAAATAAGCCTTTTGGAAAGTCGTTGTTCAAGGAATTACCCACAGCAGCGATTCCGTCAGTGTTGGATACATGGTCAATGTCCGCTTCCTTGTTGTCCACGATAGTGAACTGCATCACATACGCATGCGGTGGCGCCCTCTCGTACACCAGATATGTGCTACGTCCCTGACTTGAGACAAATAGATAGCCACTCGAAGAGTTCTTGGCCGGCACTAGTGTAACACCTTCAACATCAGCGTAGAGATTTCCGTCACCGACTTTTGCGATCTGGAGACCGGTAGACGAGCCATCAGGCTCTGCATCATATCGCCATAGGCCTTCGGGCTCTTCCCCAAGGAAGAGGTAGCCTTGCTCTTCATCTGAAACGCAGCCTTCTACTTGGCCACCGGAGCCTCCAGTAAAGTTGCGCACAAGAGCTGTCTTCAAAGTGCCGTTGGCGGTCGAAGTCAGTTCGTACTGAAGGTACTCAGCCTCCTTGTTGTTCACGAAGAGGTACTGGCGACCTGATTTTGGAGAACGATAAGTGCAGGAGCCGTAGACCTCGTAGTCCTCAGGTGTTGGTTGAACTCCGCCTTCGACAGATTCTAGAAGACCAGTCGAGTTGATCTTGAGGAGACTAAAAAGGTATCAGTCTTGCCTCTGTAGCCCGAGGAATCTAAGTTACCAGAGCGTGTTATCCCCACGGCATGCCGCAAATGTCAGATCAGTCGCTTCAGCGCCCACAGTGAAGTTATAGATTACGTCGACGTTGTTCGGTTCTTCGCTTGGCATTTGCTGCAAGAGCTTGCCCTGTAGGTCGAAGATGGCGAATCCAGCACCTTCCTCACTCTTGGTGGTCGTCACGATGCGGCTTTGATCAGGACGGGTAGAGTGGATCCAGATTGCAGGGTCGTCTCCATCACCACCATTAGCTTCCGTCTCGTACTTGGCCTTCACAGTAACGAATGAGCAGTCTGGGCCAGCCCATCCGCTTGCACATTCGCAGGTGTTGGGACCGACACACGAACCATGTCCGGAGCAGCCATTCTGACATGTGACCTTGGAGCAATGGCGACCGCTAAAGCCCGCGAGGCAGTCACATGAGTTGCGTTGGCGATAGCCGTTATCGGAGCATAGATCAGATATCGGCTGTGTGCACTTCCGACAAGTCGTTTTACTTGGGTTGAATATTGTGTACGGGCGAATGTTTGAAGCTGCGAGAACCGCTTGTAGCGAGCCGATAGCAACGCCTGTGTCGTCTTCACCCTCGAAAGCCAAAGCCAAAGTTCCAGATGGATTAGGCCCGGAAGCAGATTGGAGAATCGAAAGTCCACCTTCGACCGACAGATCGGAAATACCGATGAGCTGGACTGAGCCCTTGAGGTCCAGTCTACGATCGTACACATGGAGAGCGTCCGAATCGACAACGAACAGAAAGTCTTTGGTGCCGGTGTGGTAGGCAGCTAAGCCGAGAACAGGCACATCTTCGGCGACAGTCTTGATCTCGGGCGCCTGGGTAGACTCTGAGGCTGCAAACGAGTATAGTGCTTGATCCTCTGCGGAGAAGAAAACAGTCCCATCCTGAAACACAGTGCATGTCTCGCCTTCAATTGGGATCGAGAACGTTTGCACCTTGAAATGATCAGTGCCGGTATAGCAGCGAAGCAAAGTGTCGTACCTCAAGGATCCGGACCCGCTTGTTGTGGCTTCTGACCAGCAACTGAACAACCATTTTCTTTCCGAAAAGGAATAAATACGAATTGCCGCTTAAGCCACTTCGCCATCCGCAGAGCATCGACCAGTCGCCCAGGAGATATTTTCTTGCGTGCTTTATCTCCACAAAAGTTTCGGCGTCGAAGGCCCGCACGATTGACTCAGTTGCTGCGATGGTGATCAAGACGTCTCGACCTCCAACATCGTATACTGGGACAGCAACTTTGGATCGACCTGTTTTGAGATGCGCTAGTTCAGGCCATGAAGAATTCTTGTTCGCGGCGAAGACACGAAAACCACCATCAGCTGCACTTCCATCATTGGCAAGGAGACGAGGCGACGAAGAATAGTAGAAGGCGGTATTGTCCGCTTCGAAACCAACAGCTGCTGGAACCAGTGTGACATTGCCGTCCTGAGCAAAAGACGGGAAAACCAGCGAGGCAAAGACGAGCCAGCAAGCAAGCCGACCCATGATGCGGTCGTGATGTGAGAAGTGGTGCCGGTACTTAGCAAACCGAACGTCCAACGCGCAACATGCTTTACCATCTCGTCACCGTGGAGCTTAAGAAGCGTGGTAAATCTTTCATTACGGCTGCGAGTCCTTGGCAGAGCTTGAATGGACGCACGCGACAGTTATACCGAGCCTCACTCGACTGATGGTCATGGTGGCTGTCAAGCAAAGTCTTGGAGTTCCGCCATGGCCGCTTGGCGCCTTCCTGGTTGGGCATGGAAGCCGTGCCATGGCGACAAATCAGACGTCGCACCCGTAAACGTGATGAGATGCTTCATCCATGTCCCTGAGCAGCGCGAGGATAGAGTGTTGAGATGGGTGTTGCGATGGTAAGAGATGTTGGCAGACGCGTAGAACCAGGCCCCGGTTAGTGTGTGAACGATGACGTCGCGCGACTGCCCCTGATACCCCATCGCGTGCGCCCCACTTGTTCGTAGAGATATCAAATCCACGAAGCCGCAGCCAAGGAACCCGAGTCTCTAAGCTCACTCGGGCTATAGACTTTTTCGAGGACAGCTTCCTGGCAATCTTCATCGCGACTCACCGCCTCAGGTTCATGCTACACAAGCGGGTCATAAGCGCGACCAAAGCCTTCAGAGACCCTAAACCAACGCATCCTTTCTACAGTACCCGAACATGTAGCGCCCAGAAGTTGATATTACAATGTGCAAAGCGTGTAGGGCAATGCATGATACTCTTTCGTCCCCCAATACGGACGGAAACTTGAAGGCATTATTTCATATCAAAGAGCGATGCAAAGCTCAAAGCAGTGGCTCAGAGTTAGTCCGATGCACTCATCGGTACACCACTAAAATGCCGGTACCCCGTACAAAATGCCTTCCATGATCGATAGTCAGGGTCAAAGGTATGATCGCAGCTAGCTCACCACTCAGACGATGGATACTACCCGGAAGTTAGGTGAAGGATAGGCCCGTAAGCTCCATGAGATTACGGACGAACGTTCGTGGAAGCACAGGAAAAAGCAGATCGCACGACACCCGCTATGTTCAGATAACAGTAGCTTCTCACTACTGACTTACACCAGCAACGTTCTAGACGATGCACCATGCACTTTCGCTGTTCATCTCAGCACGTGCTAAAGGCCACAGGAAGGCTGGAGCATGCCACCACTATTATCTCCCGGGCGCATATCGGGTCAGCAGTTGGGCTTCATTCACTGGTATCCACCTATCCTACCGCCAGCTATCCGTAATATCCGTTCGTCCGTGAAATGAAAGAGACCTGCACAGTCGGCTCGCTCGGATCCTGGATCTGAGTATTACGCCGGCAAGGTTGCCATACGATACAAAGTGCACAGAGTCATGTGCTTCACAAACTGTCTCCTTTTCGTAGCTTCTCACCTAGATGATCGTTGGTAATCGCTTACTTCGGCTCTGGGATTACCGATGCTGGCATCTATATCGACCACTCTTTATTCAACAGACCAAGAAGAGTGTCGTATTCGACTTGTGGCTTGTAGCACACTGCGTCGGGCAAAGTCCAGTTCTTAACACTTAGCGATCAAGTTGCTTTGGGCCTTCTGAGTGCTTGAGGATCAAAAGCATTGGGCCCATACGTGGTACCGTGGGCGACGGTTGATACGCACGTCTTACGCACCAGCAAGATGAAGCTCGTAGCGCGGCCCACGTTCACATCCCAGATCCTAGCGAGAACGAACCTACGGTCACGCCGTTGGCCTCTGTGAATGCATTGCTGCCTACACATGTCGGTCATAGCCCTGGGTATCATGATATTGGTGCACCTATCGCAGACGACTCCAGCATGTGCGAGGATGATCTTGATGTCCATCGAAAGACCGAAAACTCATCGCTACAAGAGCTGTATGATTTAATTGGGGAACCTCAAGACCGAATACCTTCAGCCGCATGTTCATCAATAGATGAGAATAATCCAATCAGTGTCGTTCTCCGGCTATGCGGCTGACTGCTTGCTGTATATCTTCGATCTATACCGGAACCCCTTGCAGAGCCGTGTTGCGGCCCTTCCAGTTATTCGTTGCATCTTCGAGTTGCAGTGTGGCATACTGTAAGGTTCTATCACGATGTGCTACTCCTAGAGGGAACGCAGGAGTGAAGGAAGACACCTCAGGAAAGCTCTGTTTCCCCACTTGGGCTATTGTGCAGCTACACGGCCGAACGGCGCGGTAGGAAGGATATCACCTCAGCAACATCTTTTCTGGTACTCTGAATACTCGTAGATTGGATCCGGCTGTTGTCTTCCAATCATGGTCTCTACGCGTAAAATCCAGAACACGAGGGTGCTTCGGCACATATACTGACAAGGGCCCCACGATATTACCCCGTGGCACAGACACATGTTCGTTAATTTACCCCACAAATCTTTCATATACTGAGGCCACTGCGAAGCCGGATAAGCCCGCAGGTCTTGGACTGACTGCTATTGGCACCGCCGATTGGCTACGCTCCATCACACTGTATGGTCCGTGGCGATCATGACTATCAGTCACATTCCAAAAGAATTCGGCACTCGAGGTGATTCTAACGGCGGTATTTGACCGTCAGCAACATGTTCTGGACCCACCTCCCTCATTCCCTTTCTTTTATGAATTGCGCGGCACCGCTTTGTACTTCTCGCCAATCCACTCACTCACTCCTATACCATTCGCATACGTTCTTTCACTATGCTTTGGACCTCGATTCTCGCCTTTGCGGCGCTTGCCGATGCGGCTCCCAGCTGGCTGTCCAAGCGACAGGGTGGAACCACCATGTTGAGGTTCGGATGTGCTCAGGTGACCATCGACAGACTTGATCCTTTGGTCAACCCTGGTCAGATACCTTCGACCCATCAGCATCAGATTGTTGGAGGCAATGGCTTCAACGCGTCGATGACTACAGGAGATGTCTCCAAGACTGCCTCATGCACAACCTGTGCCTTCTCCAAGGATTTGTCAAACTACTGGACGGCGAACATGTACTTCAAGGCCAAGAATGGTACATACAAGCGTGTGAAGCAGTTGGGCGCAGCACATCAGTTCAATGACGACTTCAGTACCAAGATCGATGGTGGTGTCCTGGTTTACTACGTGTCCGCTTCGCCAGGAAAAATAACCGCTTTCAAGCCCGGTTTCCGTATGCTCGTTGGTGACCCATTGAACCGCAAGAAGGACACCAAGATGAAGATGCAAAACTGCTTCCGATGCTACACCGGACCTAATTTCGGTGGTGACAACGCCGCTCCCTGTGCCGACGGCAAGCTCGACACCCAGGAGTTGCCCACCGCACCTTGCAAGGGTGGAATCCGCTCCAACATCCTGTTCCCTACGTAAGTCACGTGAGCTTGAGACCATCACAATAGCCACTAACACCCTGCCAGCTGCTGGGATGGCACGAATCTCGACTCTCCAGGTTAGTACCTCGGGCTGTCGCCTTTTTCCCAGTCACGTAATCTACTCACAGTCTGTGATTGGCTCAGAAGCGTGTGCTTGGCGCACGTGACTTCCAAAAGGTCGAGCTCGGTCGGTGTTCGTGCACTAACCATCCTCCAGACCACAAAGCCCATGTCGCCTACCCGACCAGCGGCCCTGCCAACTTCCTCAGTCTAGGCGGAAGCTGCCCCTCCACACATCCAGTTCGCATCCCCCAGCTCATGTACGAAGTCGTCTGGGACACCACTCCCTTCAACGACAAGAGTCTCTGGCCTACCGACGGCTCCCAGCCCTTCTACCTCAGCTATGGGGATAACACTGGTTTAGGACAACACGGTGACTACGTCTTCGGCTGGCAAGACGATGAGCTCCAGAAGGGCATGGACGCAACGAACTGCATGGGCGCTAAATGCAAGGACCTGAAGAACCAGGCGATTGACAATGCCAAGCAGTGCAAGGTTGCTTCCCGAGTCAATGAGGAGCATGACGCTTGTAAGTTTTCCATATCAAAACCAGCACTTGCTTCATACTGAGACGAGATGATAGGGCTCACTGAACTTCCTGGCATGGAGGGCATGCCGATGTAAGCCGATGTCACCGATTGGCCATCTTCAACGAGTTTGCGTTCTAGGCGTGCATGGTTCAAGACTTAGTTGATGTAGTTGGTAGAGTGTATAATTTGATTAGGCATCGATTAGATGCCATAGGTAGTCATGCGCTCGCTAGTTCTTCTACTGTGTGGTGTGGTGAGAGTTATATCATTGTGCGTGACCATGTGCTGTCACTTCGCCCAAACATATTCAAAGAGCTACTGCTCCGGAGATCGCGGCTGGGCCGCTAGATATCGCATTCTTGAACACTCATAGTATGGATGCTTATGCTCCTCCTGCACCCTAGGACGTTTTACATTCCTTAAGCGACCATCTCCATCCTCTAGCAGAAGCGTGCCACAGTCGACAAGAGAATCGAAGCTTAAGGGACGGGGCATGATTGGTGTACACTTGTAGGTTCGCAGAACCGCGGTACACAACACGATAGTCGATCATGCCGAGCGCATAGATGGAGTGGGATGTGGACGTGCTCGCAATCACAACAGGAGCAGTTGCAGCGGGCGAATTACTCTCCTCTATACCTGCGTCAGATGGTATCTCTCGCTCAAGGCGCTAACCAAACCCTTACACCTATCACCATACGAATGTTTCCCTAACGCCATGTCAATGCTTCAAGGCTTGAAGTGAGATCAAAATACCTCTCATCCTATCACATCATCTATCGTCTCTTTGCACCATTCTAGAGCCCCAGACTCTTTCTCACATTGTCCCTCACGATCTTTTCGTATTCAGCGCGCTTTTCCCTCCACATTCGCGCCGCATCTACGTTCGCAGGAGACTCGTCGTTCGGCTCGGCTAACATGCTCATTACACTAATGAGGATCTTCTCAACGCTCTGGATGGGCGACCAGCGCTCGGAGGCTTGCTCGTAGTGGTGTGGGTCGTCGCCAGGAGGATGCAGAATCGAGATACATACTTCTCCGTTGGGATACACTACATTTTTTCAGCTTCTTATTCACACACCTCACTTCCCCATTTTCCTCCAAATCTTGGAATGTATTCTTGGGATGTGGGGTTCTCTGCATACCATTCGGATGCCACATCTCCACCAAGAACTTCATCTTCGGTGGCGCAAGCGGATAATCCTTTGGAAACTTGAGCTCCGCCGGAAAAACGCCGCCTTCGAACGGTGTGCCCTCGGGACCTTGGATCAGGGCTTCCCATAGGAACATATCATCCTCTGAGACTGGACCCGCGGTGATGCCCTCCGGCGGATCCGACGATAGGCCCTTGTATTCTTTGAAGAGGCGTTTCGAGGCCGAGGATGCCATGGTGGGCGAGTATGAGTGTGTAGTGGGGTAGAATTTAAGGCGGAGTGGAGGTGTAAGTTGGGTTTAGTAGTGTTGGTCGCGTTTGCAAGATTGTGGGTTTCGTGGAAGGATCGAGAGGTCAAGACACGTGTTCTAGAGAGGATTCGCGCGGGAGTTGCTTGTACTATTCAATGCTCTCTGTGGAGCGGAGGACACGGAATGCGGCGGGGATGGAACAACGGTTCGGCGGATTTGGATGCACGGACCACGCATCGCCTGTTCACATGATTACGACATTGAGGTCACCAAACGTCTTGCTCTTGAAGCTTCGTATGACACAATTGCATGTAAGCGTCCGATCACACAGGTATTTCTCAGCTTGCTTGTAGAGTGGATTGCCCTTGGATTATGATGTTGCCGCAAATCGGCAGCACCGATAGACTACGATGCAATGCGTGATGTCTAAGTAATGTACAGGATCTGATACGCATCATTGATATCAAAACCAATCTCCGGCATCGAAACCTCCTCCACTGCCTTCACCTCCACCACTGCTGGAGCCACCTCCGCCGCCTCCCCAAGGATCGTTATCGTTACCCCATGGGTCTTTGCCTTGACCCCAGACGTCTTCTCCTGCTTGCCCAGGTTGCTGCTCCGGCGGGTATCCATACGGGTCATTCGTCGCTGGATTATTTCCTGCCTCCGAACTCTCAGGCTGGCCTCTTGCTCTCTGCATAGCTTCGTAGCCAGCCATAGTACCAGCACCAGCGGCCCAACCTTCTGCGGAGCCCACACCTCGTGCAGCGGCACCAACTTCGCTAGCGATGCCTGTCTCGCCAGCGGCACCAATCGTTCCGGCGCCCACTGCTGCAGCTTCACCGGCACCGGCAGCAGTCCCTCCTGCAGCAGCTCCTCCAGCGACCTCGCCACCACCGCCAAACCAGGGAATCCACATTGGCCACATCATTCCTCCCGACCCACTGTGTCGGCTGAAGTAGTCAAAGTCGACACTGACAGCAGTCGCAAGCATGACAGCGCGCTGATCGAGCGTCATGCCTGGGCGGTCTTGAGACAGGGACGTGGTCTGCTCACTGTTAAAGGATTGCTGCGTCTCCGCTTGAAGACCTGCAGAATCCATTCTGAGCGCATATGCGCCCGTGTCTGTAAATAATTCGCGCCCAAAGCCGCCAAAATTGCGGTTGACGGAGCCAATAAGGCGTTGGTCTTCGGACATGAGGCGAAAGTCCCACGATAGGAAGGGTTCATCGACACGCGCGAATTGGACCATACCGACTTCTCTGTTATTGTCGTCCGATAGTGTGAGAGCTTTGGATCCTGACAAGGGAAGATCACCGGACTTCAGTTGGCGAGTGCCGGGCGCTGCGGCTTCTATCTTGCGGGCGAGGAACAGATTGTACTTCCTTCGCAGCAAGCCCCATTCCTGCTCCGCTGCGCCTATGATGCTCATATTGGGGAGTGACAAGTTCGATGCCCCAACCTCAGTATGCGCGCTCGCACCGGACGCCAGAGCGTCATATACGCGTATTCGCGAACTGATCCAAGCAAAGGGTCGATGGAACCTCAGTACCTCCCTCTCCTCCTTGTCAAGAACGAATGTGGTAAAACTGCGGTGCGTTCGGAACATTTGTCGTGCCACAGCTCGTCCAACACCGTGATCTAGCTCTGCCAGGTACCCGATGTGGTTCCCATGCGGGTCCATGATAACATAGCGATTTGCTTGTTCAAAGCCCATAAGGACGTTCATCATCTCGAGCTGCCTCTGCACGACAATAGTGGAGTTCTCGAGAAGACGCATCGCCGGATGACTTTCTTTGATGACACCATTGTGATCTTCGGGTATGTGGACGGGCGTCAGGAGCGGGTTGTTGGCATCAGAAGTGTTGGAGAGCGCATTAGAGACAGCTTCGACTTTAGATGTGGGACTTTCGGTGGTTGGCGGCGATTGCTGGTTTGCATTTGGTTCAGGCTGCCGTGAAGCAGCTGAGTGGTTTACTTGTGGTGGAATCGGAGGAGTAGAAGGTTTTGCGCGACGAATGGACCCTCGCGGCCCAGGTGGGACGTTGCGCGTCGAGAGCGTCCGTACATGTCGCGGCAACGCCAGCGACAGGCGCGTTCCGAGGAGCATAGCTGCCTTCTTGGACGGATCCTAGAGGAAGTAAAATGTATGAGTTTAAACCATTACCCTTGCGCGACCGCGCTCAAGAAGCTTCCGTCGGTGAGTCAAGGCCATAACATTGTGTATGTAGCACTGTCGATGTTGCATGACATTCTGCTAGGGCGGTAGTTGCGAAGCTCTTTGCCTCGACAGCGCAATTACGTCATCATATTTTATGGCAACAAACTGAGTGCAAGCGAAGCCCGCTTAGATTCAGTGTGCCACACAAAGAAGACTCTCTATTCACAACACCAATAGCTGAGATCCCTGGCGGAGAACAACGGCGGTAAATGTGGTGATGCGTCAGCGGTGCCCGATGAACGACTAGCGGCTTGGCGTTCCGCTATTTTTCGATCTTCTAACACTGAAGCGACTGACTCTGAAGCTGCAGCGAATAACTACAACGTCCGTATCGAGAACCATTAAGGCCACAAATCTGTAGGGAGTAGAACTGTCGAACAGTAAGTCTAGTCATCGTTGCTCAGTTTCTTCTATGACGAGCTTTTCTTTCCAATTGAATCCAGCTCCAGGCATTCATTGGACAGGTCCCCTGCGCTCTATGTTGTCGCATACAATAGACTACAACGGTCTCTGATACTGTTGATAATCTTCCTTCTCGGTGAAAGAGATTGTGGTCGTCACTGATTATCAACAGTCTTCGGCGACCTCTCGCAAAACCTCACGTGGATGGCTGCAGCTCTCCAAGACCAAGCGCGAACTGCGCCTTCAGCAGCCAACGGCGCGGCCGACAAACCCAAAGAAAATGGATCAATTGCCGCACCCAGGAAACCACGACAAAAGAGGCCTAACTACAACGAAATCCATGCAAAACCTCTTCCTTTGGAAGTCTTCCCTGTTCCGGCCTTCATTCCTCACAACCCCATCTCTATCGTGCGAATAGCCATAGCTTTGATATCTCAATCTATCTGGCCGCCAAACTTTCGCCCCGTTGTGCACAGGGCCTACTTCTCCGCCCACACGCAGTCAATCCACGTGACCGACCCAAAAGCCATTCGTGCTTTATGGGAGCATGGCTTCTGGGGGTCGGGGTCTCTTAGTCGAAGTGAGCCGCAATGGCTAGCCCAGGAGAAACGGAAGCGCGGGCTCGAAGCGATCACAACGAGTGAGGAAGTGACACGCAAAAGGCGAGAGGAGCGACGACAGTTCAAGCTAGGAAGAGCGAAGGCGCAGAGAGAAGCTATCGAACAACAGCTTCGTGAAGAGGGGAAACTGGATGCTGAGACGAACCTAGAGGAGCTTGTGGAGGACGGTAGTGTGAGCGAGTCGCCCTTGGGCACCTTGTACTCGTCTGATGCCCGTGCACCTCTGGGCAACGGCACCACGTCAGCTGGCGATTCGGTCATAGAAGCAGTCCAGAAGACGCTTGCTGAAGAGGAGCCCTCTTTCGACACGGGGTTCCAGGACCAAGAGCACCTCCAGCTCACGTTCGAAGAGGCCTTCTTCCTCAGCTACGTGCTTGGAGTTCTCAATATTTACCACCATGAGACGATTCTCAGTACACCAGATTTGATTCGTCTTGTTTGTGCACAGTCGAATTTCTTATCAAGTGGCAGTAGTAGTTCTACTGCGGCCCTTCTCAACAATCCGACGCAATACACAATAGAACCCGACAACAGCTTCGTACTAAAATACGTCGTCTTCCACCATTTCCGTTCACTCGGTTGGGTCGTCCGTCCAGGCATCAAATTCGCATGCGACTATCTCCTCTACCTGCGCGGTCCGGCTTTTACCCACGCCGAGTTCGCCATCATGATCATCCCTGCGTATTCAGATCCTTACTGGTCTGCAACGTCTGAGCGAGCTGCAGCATGCAAGAAGAAAGAGCAACGAGATTGGTGGTGGCTGCATCGACTGAATCGTGTGCAGACGCAGGTTCACAAGACGCTGCTATTGGTCTACGTGGAGGTTCCACCGCCGTGGGATGACAACACGGGGAATGTAGACGTGGGAGACGCTTTGAAGATGTACCGTGTCAGAGAATTCGTGTGGAGACGTTGGTCACCCAACAGGAACAGGTAAACCAACCCTTGGGGTACAGAGTGGATGTGTCTTTGTGGCAAAAGAAAACACTCTTTCTCGCCCAGCTAAGACATGCATGAGGTATCAGCCCAGCCTATCTTGATCCACACTGACCTTGTACCCGCGCCTTAGGGATTGAAAACTATCTCGCTTGCTCTCTTGCTCTCCCGTCGTCTGAGCTATGTCGTCGAGCTCGGGACACATGTCCGACATTAATCCATTACGCGAACGCAATGATGGAACATGATACAGTCGAAACAATAATAATAGTAAAGGTGGAAGAGCGAAGTCCAGTTCCAGGAAATCAATCCCGTCTTGTACGATTGTCTCTCTGGCGTGGGGTACACTCTGGCGGGGTGCGGTACGATACGCAGTCAGATTCCAAAAAGTGACCTCGCATGCGCTAAAATCTCGACGAAGGTGAATGCCAGCGACCCGCGACGCGCGGACTTCGGAGCAGCATAAATCTAATCTATAGGTCCTGAAAATCATAATTTGAAACCCCACGCTTATTCTTGCCTATATATTATCGCGATGCAGGCCAGGTTTTCTTTGTTGCGACTAAATCTAGCAAATGCACTGAACCTCGGCTGACCTGGTGACCTCGACTACGCCCCATACTGGTACAGAACACTAGAAAGGCGTCTGCGACCGAGTAGCAAGCGACAAATCGAGAAGAGCAGGTTCATTGCATTATTTGTGGCTGTACACCATTTACGATGGATCCTGCCACCGTCACCATCGCCCCGATGGCCTTCCAACCGCTTTACTACACTCAGCCTTCCTTCTTTGAGCACCTCAACTACGATGTACGCCAAATTATTTACCAGTTCATGGAAAACCATCTACCGCCCGTATCGCACTCACTCCATTACGCCGGCTTCGCCCTCTCCTGCAAACAAGCCTACACCGAGATCCGACAACCAGCCATGAAAGGTCTCCGCCGTTTCCTAGAAGATTTCCAGCGTAATCTTGAAAGATATACCTCCACATCTCTCAAGATCATCCCAAACGTATCCCTCGACAGCCCATTTACCTCCGTCCGACACATCACCCTTCGAATCCCGCCATCCCTAGTCACATCCTCCTTCGACACGCAACTCGACAAAGCCGTCGTCGCCCTCCGTCCAATCCTCTCAGGTCGTTTCCAAAAAGCCACACTGCTGTTCGTTGACCCGCATAACGAATATCCGGCCAACTTCAAGACCGCAATGCGTGTCTCCTCGGGTTTTGCACTCTTCCGCCTTTCCCAGATTATCATGGACGAACGCAAAGTCCAGTCTAGTATCACAGCGCTCTCGAAGTATGTTTCGAAGTTGCCAGGATATGATGCCGTGCACCCCAATACTACTGCGCAACCCTATTCTGCTGACTTCACTGGCACACTGCTATATGAAGGGCATGACTTGCCGCATCCAATTAGCACGACGAATATCCAGATCGCATGGGACTGGCGGCCTGAAGAGCTTATCAGTACACCATCTACACTTCGTGGATACCTACACGAGTACTCCGCGCAGGCTGAGAAGCATCAAGAGCCCACGTGGCCGCAGCTGTATGTCGTTGGCAGCGATGATAAGAGTGTTGGGATGCAAGGCGTTGTTTGTAAGCAAAGGTGGAATGTGTCTGAGAGTGTGAGGGTGTACTGGCTGTTACAGGAGCACAGGTATAAGAGCTTGAGGGGGTACTGTTGGAGTGAAGGTGTTGGGAAGGACGTGCAGCAAGGACTGGGTGGGATGAGTGCAAAGGAATTCCAGGAGAGGAATCCGCCGTTGGTTTTGGCTGCTCTATTTTGAAAATTGTCCCTACAAAGAGGACTACAGGCGTCAAGACGTTTCATTGGGTGTGTCTTCGGGCGGGGTGTTTGCGGCGTAGTCGGCGTAGGCATCGGGACGCAACCACCGTAGGTGCGCAGTGCCGCCATCTTGCATGCCTTAACCCTTGGGTGCTCGGGTATTGTGAGGTATTGATATCGGAAGAGGGATGTATAATAAGAAGCAAGCGCTCGGTTTGGCTTCATGATATAGTTGCGCGTGCGATTTGCGGTGCCACGAATACATACACAAATGAAACGTGCATGACACTTGTCGAACGTTGATTAGAGCCAGATAACAGAGCATGAAGGAAGCAATAAGAGCCTCTCGTAAGAAAAACTCGTACAAACCCTTACTTTATCGATCCGTGATATACCTTGCAATGGTTGCAAACGAGTTTATAGAGCACACAAACAACTTGAGCGTAGGACTTATGCGTACCCATCATGAGACTCCGTGGCTCAATCGACTTCCTACTCGAAATCTCTGACAACATTCTGTTTGTTTTTGTCCATAGTACTTCGACGATGTCAAATCGCATACATGGGTGTCACTCTCTCGGCCGTAGCTACCCGCGTGACACAACACATCCGTACTTGCATCACTCCGAACCCACCGCTGGCCGCCCTTACCCAACAACTCTCACTTGCCCTTACATATCATTTATAAATCGCTTTTCGCCTCATCTGCCCTTTCGAATATGTAATTACATCATTGTTCGCGCCCAACAGTGCGGTATAGCCCCAATCGCACGCTCGTCATCACTATTTCTACAGCCACGTAGTCTCGCTAGCATCCCAAAATGTCAGCGAGAGACACTATAAAGGTAAGCATTTTCAATGATTCGAAAGCAGTAACTTGTTTGTTTGCGAGGAGAGAGGTGGAACTGACGTCATTGCACAGCTTGAGTACTCGGTTGAAAACCCACTGAATCGGGAACCAGAATTACATGAGCTGGTCTCAAGGTAATTGATGACTGATGTTTGGTCCCTTTGATCAAAGTCATGGACTTATGATTTGACAGCTTTCTTACCAAAGAGGACCAGGGTTACGACAGGAACCATGGCCCGATACCGCACATCAACACAGAAGAGCATAGAGTCAGAGTGGACGGCCTAGTCAAGAAGGATTTGAGTTTGAGTATCGAACAATTGAAAAGTTTTCCGCAGAAGACTATAATTTGCGCGCTGTACGTCTCAGACCTTTCAACTCGTGCATCTTCTCCCCGGCCATGTTACTGCGATTAGGGAACGCCTCTTTGAGTATGATAGGTTTCTGTACCAGACTTCGCAGTATGACACAGCTGTCTCAGATCCGTGGCTAGGTACTGTACGCCTCAGCAACCTACTAAATACAGATAATAGACAATGCGCCGGCAACCGCCGCCATACGATGCGAACGAAGCTCAAAGAGGTCTCCGGCATCGACTGGTTCGACGGCGCCGTGATGAATTGCTCCTGGACAGGCCCTCTCCTTCACGACGTGCTTACTTCTGCCTCTATCAAGATCCCTGAATCCTCCTATGCCACCACCCATGTGGCATTCGCTTGCCTCCAGACGCCAACTCAAGAGGACGAATGGTACGGTGCGAGTGTGCCATTATCGCGTGTCATGGATACGGAAAGCGGTATTATTCTGGCGCTGCAGATGAACGGAAAGCCCCTCTCGCCGAACCATGGTGCACCTGTGCGCGTTGTTACGCCGGGCATTGCAGGGGCGAGGAGCGTGAAGTGGCTGGATCGAGTTACGGTGCAGACATGCGAATCCGAGAATTTTTATCAGAGGTACGTTTGCTCTGCACGTCAACTCTAGACCTGTCGTCTTGGGATTCATGAGTATCATTTCCGAGCTCTCGCTGACTCTTCGCTTGCGATTTTAGGCACGACTACAAGGTCCTCCCCCCAGAAGCAACGTGTAAGGAGGAAGCCGAAAAATGGTGGGATCGCGTCTCCGCCCTTCAAGACATGCCCATCAACAGCGTCATCGCTATCCCCGCCTCCTCCTCCACCATCCATCTCGATGAGAATGGCACAACTGAAGTCAAAGGATACGCCCTGCCCTCCGGCTCAGACGGCCCCATCACCAAAGTCGAGATCTCCGCGGACGAGGGCGCTACATGGCAGCTTGCAGAGCTGGTGAAGGACCAGGCGACTGAGGGGGCAGAGCTGAAATGGGCATGGTGTTTGTGGCGGGCGAGGGTGAGGATTGAGAAGGGGTTGGAGAGGAGGGTGCTGAGTCGGGCGACGGATAGGAGTGGGAATACGCAGGCGAAGTGCCCGGTGTGGAATTTGAGGGGGGTCGCGTATAACGGTTATGGGGAGGCGAATGAGCTGAATGTAGTGTGAGGAATGCGCGACTCGGTAGCGCTACGACAAGATTACGGTTCAGAGGAGTTATCTCAAGAGCTGGCTGAGTTGGGACTTCCATCTTTTGGTTGCAGCCTTTCTGTTGATTTTGGCCCTTCCACGGTTTTTGGTATTGGCGAACATGGTCTCGCGTTGCATCGCTTGGTGACCTTGTTTTCCATGGCTGCAAAAAAAATGCTTTAGTTGTTTCATGGATCCTACCGATGCTCAATCGCGCCATATGCAGGAGAGGACGTGGAAAGGAGTGTCCGGTATGTGCGTTATGCAATCCATGAAAGCTGCGTTGTTGTCCAGCGTATTCACGTTGCTCCCTACATGCCAGGCACGGGTAAGAGGCTAATGCAGGTCAACAGCAGCTATAAGCTGGATTCGCAATGAATGCAGCCAAAACGGTCCACGTCAGATGACTCAGCGTGATCTGCGCCAGGAGCGAACCACGAAAAGGCTAAGCATAGCTCACGCCCACACCTCACAGAGAGATGACAGATACGACACGGCCTCCACAGGCGCCATGCTAGCTCCGTAACTTCCTCCTTGCGACGGCGCATACCACGGCCTTCTCATGGAATATACTTCTATCGCAGAGCTCAAGCCAGAGCTACCCGCGCTCGAATCGAAGCAGATACGCGGCGTCGTGACCCTCATATGGCCATATTCCTCCTCGGCGCGCCAGTTTGCATTTCTTCTCGGTGATCCCGATTTCCGACGACGACGCAAAGATGGGCAGGTCAGAGTGCGCTTTTCGGGCTCGAGCGCAAGAGCGATGGCAAGCACGAATATCGGCATCGGCGACGAGGTCGTCTTGAGCTTGCGCGGAGTGGTATTTGTAAAAGAGAAGGATGTCAGCACGCCGGGGAAAAGCGTTGATTGGGAACTGGCCTACAAGCAGACACTGTCTTCGAGAGTCGTGCGACAGGGAGAGGAATTAGCCGACTTGGACCTCATCAACGTTGCGCCTACGCCTGCGCCGGCCTCGCCTGTGAGAGCAACTCCGCGCGCTTCGATCGAATCGTCTTCTCAGTGGTCCTCGCCAGCCTTTTTGAAGCGTTCGCGATTTTCGAACGGACCTGTCGTCGCACCGCCAATCGACCCGTTTGCGGACGATATTGAGGATGGACATGCTAAGAAGCGGCGGAGGAGGTCATACAGAGACTGGAACGCTTGGACGTATCTGGCGCGCACACCGTCGCCAGAGAAAGAGGATGTAAGTATGGACGAGTCGGGTCGTCCTGATACTTCACCAGTTCGGCCTGTGCTGCTACCCGCTACGCCTGTATCCCCTTCCAAACTGCCGGCAAATGCTGATACGGGCTCTCCTGAAGAGTCGCATGGCCAAAATTCAGACACGGAAGACCATGGACAAGGTGCAGGCAAGAGCAACCATTCTGTGGGCAAGGACGGCTCGTATGAGCGACCCCAACCTGGGATTGACGGGACCAACGATGATCTTGTACAAGACGCCAGTTATTACGATTTATACGCCGGGCTCGATGAACAACCTCCCGCACCATACGAGGTTGCTCGGTCAAGTGATACCGAGCCCAATACGGACGAAGAAGATCCTTCTGAGGATTCGTACATCCAAATGTCGCAAGGAACACAACACCCTGACGATATCGGAATGCGAGAACTCATGCACGTTAACGATGACGAAATGTCAGATGTTGCCGTCATCGAAGCCGATGAGATCCAAGAAACCCCATACGTTGACGGTAATGCAGGGAGCGGTCCCGAAAATTCAAGTGTCGCGGCTGCTGAGGAGGAGGTTTCAGAGATCGTGAATCCGCTCTCAGAGAACGTCACTACAGAGCCTATAGAAGACAAAATGATACATTCTACGCAAATGCACAGCGTCACCGAGGTAAAATCGGAGGAGCATGATGTTCTTACGTCCAAAACATCACAGACGCGAATGCAAGACGGTTCGCAGAAGAGTGACAACCCGATAGTACTGGATAACGTTATCGATGATGCTCCCCAAGCACCTCATCTTGTCATGCCGCCTCCCACGCTATCGCTTCTTCAGACAGACTTCCAGACCTCCTACGTCCCGGGTACGCTGACACCAATCGGCAAAGAACCTTCGAGCCCAAACTTGCAACCTTTGGATTCCTCCACACTTCCTATGCCTTCTCCATTTCCTGGTGGGCGTGACGGGAATGTCTCGTCTTTCCTAGACTATATCAGTACCCCGCAGCAGTCTGCGCCGCAAAGCGTTGCGGGGGAGACGAGACACGAGATACCCCATGACGAGGCCGACTACATCTTGGAGACGAGCTTCTATAGCTCAGTAAGCTCTTATCGTGCACCGGCCTTTCATCCAACGCATGAATCTGCGTTTACCGATGTGCGATTTACATTTGGTATGGATGGAGCTGCCTTTTCGCGGCCACAGACGTCTTCGGGGGCGAATGAAGCTTCAAATGAGCCACCTATCTCCAAAGAAGCTGCTGATGGGGCGGCACTTTCGGATCCTGTTCAGATCAAACACAGCTCGATAGAACACGATCGTGATATCACAGAGGCACCTGAACCCATTTATACCTTCCTTGCGAGTCCTTCGGTGATACAGCATCATGAGCCAATCGAAACAGTCTTTCTATCCTCGAGCTCCGAGGACGTCGAGCGCAATGAACAGCCGGACATCGAAATGGAAGAAACAACACAAAAGAATGACGAGGAGAAGGCAAAAATTGGGGGCCTTGACGACGAACCAGCAAGGAACGTCGAGCGCGAGGAACAGGCCGACATAGGGCTGGCTGACGAAAGACATGAAAGTAACAATGAAGGAGTGCTCGATGAGGTCTTTGAAGACAGACCAGTCGTACTCGATGCCATGGTCGATCAAGGGAAAGTAGACGAGGCGGAACCGGATCGTTCGACTGGTGCTGTTGATGCTGGAATCGATCATCACACTGATAGCGAGGACTTCCATGCATCGCAGGTGGATGCTACGCCCGGTCCATGGACACAACAGTCTGCCGTCGCTCCAGAAGTCATCGATCTTGGGTCACCCTCAAATGATAGCGATAAGGACGAGACGTCCAATCAAGTGGTGGAAACTCGCATTTCTGTTGATGCAATTCAAGAACAACCACATGAGGAGTCTGATCGCGCTGAACGAACGATCCCTAGAGAGCATGTTCGGGAAGACAAGTTAGAGCCCGACCATAGTGAGGACGCTGTTCTACTAGAGGACAAGGCACCGTCCAATCGTTCCCAGGATGACGTACCAGTGGAACTAAATGAGGCTGCGACGCGCGCTATCAAGCCAGAACCTACGGAAGACGTGGCGATCCACGTTGAAGTAGGCTCAGTCACAAATCATCCGGATACCCTATTGACAGATCTCACCTCAACCCAGGAGGATGTCAAGATCGAATCGGTAGAAGAAGCATTTTCAAGCTTCGTTCATGATGATGATGATGATGATGATGATGATGTTGAACAAGGGGATGATGCTTCCTCAATTGACGATCATTCCGAGCTGCTCATTGCTGTCCCAGCGGAAGGCCACAAAGTTGGCGAGCTTGAATTTGTGTCAGTCCCCGATGCCGCCCCAGCCCGAAGCACGCGATCCAAGACGAAGACGTCGATATCTCCCGAGAAGGAAGCTCACGCATTCGCAAAGGCTACTCGAGCCCGTAAGAGAGGCTCTCTAGCATCGCTTTCACAACTTTCTCAAAGGACAATCTCACCACCTGCGACAAGGTCCAGATCCATAATCACACCCACACCCACGAAGGAAAGCTTCTCGGCATCTAATTACAATCTGAGATCTCAATCCAAGCATCATTCCCCAACGAAGCTCAACATAGCAAGTGCTAAGAAAACACATTCTCGTAAGGGTTCAGCGCAGACGAACTCTAGTGCGGAACCCTCGGCGCAACAAGCCTCGTTCACCCAAGATTCTTCAAACACAGATCTGGACTTTCCTTGGACCAACTTTGGACCGTCTCAGGAATTGGGCACTCTGCAAGGAAAGTATGCAAATGTTCCCTATGTGAAAGACTCGGAAGAAGGCAGTATGCGTTCTGATCAATCTCTTTCTACGGTCCAGTACTCGGATGATTGGAATATGAATATTAACTTCAGTGATACTCCATTACCTGATGGACAGGTGAGAGGGCCTGAGTCGACGCCATGGAAACGCCGTACTGCGAGCCGGGATCCTACAACACCTGTGACACCAGTACAAAATGCGGCAATACAAGTCGCCTCGACAACCCGGAGGGCTTCGCAGAAGTCGGTGTCACCTTTCGCGACGCAATTGCCTTTGAGTAGTCCAATCAAGTCTGTTGTTTCGATCGCAGTCGCGTCGAGCAGTCCTCGCAGGTCGCGTCGTGTAAATAAGGATTCGATAGATCTCCGTGCAGGCGCCGACCAGGATACCGAACTGGGTAGCTCACCGCCAGCTACCTATCAGCTCGACAAGAGCACTGAATATGCGCTCCGCTCACCGCGAGCAGAGAAAAACAAAGCCGCCTCCGCAAACCAGCAATCCGTTCTCCCCATGACGCCAGAAGCAACGCAACATATAAATGGCGAGTCGCAGCCGAGCTTCTCAACAGCGCAAGACCAAAGTCTCCCGATGACACCACAGCTGACGCAGTCTGTATCTGCTGCGCGTCACTCGTTCCAAGCCAACTCATCCGAAGAAGATGATACCCTCGTGCAACATGGGTCGGGTTTTAGATCAACGCCTCGGCGTGATGCAACGGCCACAGACATTGCGTCACCTTTAGATTCGCACCGACCCAGCGTGCACTCGGCCTCTGCAGACGAGGCTGACCTAGCCGAAGTCGAGAGACCTTTCGTTGGACTCTCTACACCCATAGCATACTACACCCCCTTGAAAGATCTTCTCTATTTCCTCAACCGCTCCTCGAAATTCCACTCGGCCGGCTCGCCCGACGTTCTTGCTCTCGTTACCAGCGCCTCTACGCCACCCAGCCGGGCAACGAAAGGGCCTAAGCACCACACGACAAGTCTGCACATCACGGACCTATCTGTGTACCCCAGTCAGACGACGGTGCAGATCTTCAGAGCATACGCTGATGCACTCCCCGTTGCGGAAGGAGGCGATGTGGTGCTCTTACGGGCATTCAACGTGAAGAGCGTGAACCGGCATCCATGCCTGGTCAGCGCGGATGAGAGTGCGTGGTGTGTCTGGCGGTACGGGAAGCCGCATTGGGGCAAGAAGAGGGGCAGGTTTAGCGAGGTGCGGAGCAGAGAGGAAGTCAAGGGTCCGGCTGTTGAGCGTGGTGAGGGCGAGTGGGGAGAGGTCGAGAAGTTAAGGGCCTGGTGGACGGAGACGGTGAAGAGGGAGGTGGAAGAAAAAGCGCGCAGAACGAGGAGTAAGGATAAACAGGGTGAGGCGTCGCAATCGCAGTCGCAGACTTAGGAGGTGCGTTTCGATCAAAAGGATAAAAGGATGGGACCTGGGATATCTCTCGACGCCGAACAGACATCGAGTTGGTGTGCGTGGGTTCGCGGTCAAACTAGTGTTGGGAACAATGACAAAAGCTGAATCACAATGCCACTATCATTACGACTTATTCTTCCTTCAGGCCAGGGTCCATATCATAGTGTGCGACTATCCTTGGGGAATTGTATGATGGATGCAATGCACTCGTGGTGTTGATCGGATCTCTCCACTCAAGGACATGTGGGTCGATGCCCGGACAAGGTAAGGTCCGGCGGCTGGTACCGCAAGCGCAGGGACCATTCGGACGGAAATTGTGGAGTTCGGTTCTTCTATGGTGAGGCTAGTGCCAGAAATGTGCTGCAGGGATCTGCAGCTGGGAAGGCGGCGCTTACTACATGGGCCGGCCTTAGCAACATAAGAGTGACACTTCAATGGCGCCTATCACATGTGCGTCCTGCACGGTCAGACACAGAGGAGTACCTTTGCGGTCGGAGCTTCTTTACCACGACCAGCTTATAGAGCAATGCATGGAAGTTTTCGTAGGCCATCCGAACGCTCAGCTACATGCTGCCTCTGTTCACCTTTCCTCTGTGCGCAAGTGTTTCTACCACAGATCTACATTCATTACGTTTATAAGCTGGTATGGGGCTTCACTGGGCTGTCCTGATATCGGCAGATGGTCAGGAACGTAGTCTTAGTGGGGAGCTCTGGGTCCACTACGACAATGATTGGTTGCCAGTGTAATCTCGACTGTCGTGACGCAGTGAAGGGGTAAGCTTTGACGCCCAGACATGAAGGGGACATTGCCTATTCTTTGCTCTTCTATCCTCAGACTGTATTTCTATCACATGATATCTGATAGGAAAGGTTGACATGGAGAACCTAGCATCAGTCTAGTGACGATACCAGATGAAAATTTCCGAAACGAACAATGCCCCCCTCTCACAGTCTTACCGATCAGACTCTGAACTCCACGAAACCAAAACCCTCCCGCCAGCTTCCAGTCCTGCAGTCCAACCTTAAAACAGAAACCTCAGCCACCAGCTCCTCTCTTCCTCTCCCTCCATCCTGGGCACAACCGTACTCCTCGGCTTCACTTCCACACTAAACGTCCCATTTCCAGCCCCAGCAGTGGACAACCCTATGCCCGCACTCGCAGTTCCAGTGCCCACCTCTCCGACCTGAGTAGGGAGCACTTCGCTCAGACCCCAAAGCGCGAGCACGCCTGCGCCCGCAGCTTCCCATGCTTGCACACTGGCCTCGGCTTTGCTCGCGGCGGCGATCTTGACGTCGTCGGCGCTGATAGGCTCGGGTGACAGGGTAATGGCGGCCGCCTGGCCGGTTGAAGAGGAAGAGGAGCGGGAGGCTGTGCTCGTGCAAAGGGTTCCGGTGCAAGGCTTCGACGTGGTGGAGAGTGTGGTCTGTGTAGGGTGTGTTGTTATGGTGTTGGGTGTGGATGTAACACTGGCGGTAGACGCGGAGACGCTTGATGATTGAGGGGCATTTGAGGTTGTCGTGGAAGGACTCGAGGGTGCGGCTTGTGATGAGGAAGGTTCTTGGATGCTGCTCGAAGATGGAGGTGGCGCTTGGCTACTTGATGGCGGAGGGGCTGCAGTCGAGGCAGATGGAGGAGCTGAAACAGGAGCCGGGGTCGATACAGGAGCTGGTGTTGAGGCAGGCGGGTCATTCTTCTTCGTCGTCAGTTTGGAGCCGCTACCAAGACCGCCACCTCTTCCACCTCCACCCCTTCCTCCTCTAGGATTCCTCTTCTCCGCGGACTTGCCAGCTTTCTGCTCTTTTCGCGGGCTCTTTCGGACTCTCGGCCCCAGGCAACCTAGCGTAACCCGTCTCCCAATGATACCTCTCAAAGTAATTGGCAATGCTCCAGTACACGACGTTATCGATGTTCTTAGCGGCTAGGTCCTTGTTCTCCGATGCGAGCTGCGCAGCGCCAACAAAAGTGTAAGCCTTCTGTCCGGTCTTCAATCCGGTAGTGAGAAGCTGATCTTTGAAGTAGTTGCGTGTTGGATGAAAAAATGATGTATGCATCATCTCGTGAAACAGCTTCATGCCGATCTTGCGGCCGAAGGCGGCCATGTGGAAGTCGTCCGTTTTGTCCTCCCCCATGTTCCAGTATTTCTCGGGGAGGCTGTCACGATTGAGCTCCCAGAGGTGGAGCTGGTCCTTCTTCTCGAGCGTGGCCTGAATTTCGAAGTACGCTGGGCAAATGACCATGCTGCACATGAGAATCAGCCTCAGAGTAGAACGAATGATCCGATGTGGTATTACTTACGTCTCTGCGGTTATTTGTCCCGCCTTCTTTATAAAGGTGACGCCTGCGTTCTGTCCGACGCACACCCTTCCATTATTCGTGTATTGTTCCCAGGCCTTAGTGTCGGTGTTGAAGCGCCAGACCTTGCCAGTACTAGCTGCCGGTCCGCTGTAAGGTTTATTCTTGAGGTCTTTTGTTTGCAGGAAATCATCGTCGCAATGCATGCTCAGATTTGGCCTCCTATTCTTACCAATCGCCTCCAGTCGCTTGAGCGACTCCATCACGACTTTGGCCCGTGTGACATGCTTTGCAACGTCTGCCTTGTCTAAGGTTTCCGTTGCGGCGTCTTTTTCAATCTCACCGAACATAATCTGGTACAGAGGGACGAGCCTCAATTGCTCGGTCTCTGATAGCTTGGGATCGACCGTACTGATGCCGGCTTTGAATTCAATGAGCTTCACAACGTTCTCGAGCCCGTCATGACCAGCCTGGGACAGAGGCTCGATCGTGTTCCAGCTCTTTTGAAGCCACTCTTTCGCGGTATTGGTGCCATACTTCTTGTTGCAGTTGGCGTCCCAGGTCACGGCACGCTTCGAAAGAGAATGCAAACTAGTATCGAAATCGGTCGCTGGCAGTGCTTGCACACCCGTAAGGAGGAGCAAGCCGGCGACTAACAAATCCCAATTTACCGAGAGCATATTGATATTAGCCCGAGTCGAAAGCTTTTAGTACGGATCGATTTTGCCGACAAAGCGAGCGTGGTGTGACGGACTATGCCAACGAGAACGAATGCTGTTCAAATGAATGTGGTTAAAATGCACAATAGGAAAGGAAAGAATGAAAGAATGAAAGACTTTACGAGTATGAAGTCTCAGTGTAAAGAGGACATAGATCCTTATACATGACCTTGTGGGTATCCGGATGTGCTGTCGCCAGCACCCGCTTCCGTATCTGCGAATCTGACATAAGTCGCCCAAACCATCCGTATTGCAATCCGTGCTGCCAGACTTTCGGACCTCATGGGTGCACACGTAATCAATGGTGTGGGTCAATGTTGCCATTTCAGGCGCACCGGACAACGTTCATTAGCGATTGGGGGCGAGAAACTCCGACGCATCATAGCACTCAAGGCCGCAGGCAAAGATTTTTGGGGTAAGCCTCGTGTAAAGGCTACGTGTATGGCATCGGACTTTACATTTGCGTGGTGGGACATGTGGAGCTTGGTTCTGGAATATCGACTCAATGAAGGGGCGACATTGTGGCGATCGATTGCTGACGAGCAATTACCGTGAACGCGCGATTGACTGCCAGGTAGCAGGTTAGTATTTGATAAGATTTCTCGTGCATATCTGCACAATGCGATTGAGGTTGGAGTAAGTATGATGTATTATTTGGGCTGAGGACACTACCTAGATTAGCTAGAGTAGCTCCTAGCGTGCGTGACGAAGCATCTTCTTCAAGATGCGCAAGGATGTAGGGAGAAAGGATAGACAATGAGAATTTGAGCGCGCAATTCTGTGTGATATCGAGTTTGCGCGTGTATCACGATCCCAGGTTGGGAATTGGTATTCAACAACCGAACCCCCAAGGCACTCCATTTGGCACAAGCGCTGCGTAACGTCAAGTGATTCAGCAACATTCAGCCTAGAGGATGCATAATTGTTCAAATTATGATACCTCAATGACCCATAGATAATTGCATTTCAGACGTCTCGTAGACTCTGAATCCTTATTCATCTGTGCATGAGGCGAACGCAGAGTGGGATCGGACGTTGCAAAGTAAATGCTTGAACGCTAGACACAACCATCACTGTATTGTTCTCTTCACAGTCAGTAACTAACGGATATGGAGTGCAGCTGAGTCTGCTGCATTGCACACCGGGTGCTCGAACAAGAAAGTCTTACGCCTTCGTCTTTTCTTCATCTACTGCATGGACCACGGACTCTTTCTTATACTTCAACTTGAAGTGATCAACAGTATGCAAAGTCTCAGTCGTGCTCACTATGGCCGCCCCAGACAGAAAGACCCCATGAACAACATAGCCCGCCACATCATATGGGTGAGCCAGAAAATTCTGAAGCCACGCTTTACGCTCGGGAAGCCCGTTCCAGCTGATGAAAACAACGCTTTGCTGTTTATCTTTGCTGGACGACCATAGTGGTTTGAACGGCTGCACAATGCTCGGTTCATCGGGGTCTGATGGCTCCATGTTGCTGCGCATGTTAGTGGAATTGGTAAAGGGGGAGAGGGAGAGGGAACTTACGCGATGAACTTGTTCAAATACCATTCGAACGCAGTCTTCTCATAATTGGATAACGATTTCGGGAAGTCAAAGGTGACCAGCTCGATGAGGGAGCCGTCATCCCAGTCAGGAAGCCCCTGAGCTGGAAATGCTGCAAACTCCGGATCGCTCTGAGCATATGTGCTGTCTCTTTGAGAGAATATCTTGCTTTTGATAATTGACTGAAACTTTGTGTGGCCTGTCTCTTGCGTCCACGCTGGAAAAGTAAGATTGGAATATGGAACAAAATGCAAGCACTTACCTGCGATGATCCGCACAATCCGTGGATCGTGTTCATTCTTGAACCAGTGGAGGCTCAACAACCCAGGCTGAATGGAGAGTTCGCGAAAGGTCTCTTGGAGGTCACAGGCATCTTCGTCACGGCGTGCTTGGGCGTAGCGAAGCGTGGTAATGCTTATGCACTTCTCATACGAATCATTGAGCGAGGAGTCGTTCTCGTCGCGGGTGAACCAATCTGAGTCAGCTATGTACTCCATGGGTCGAAAACTGATGCTCTGCGTTTGTGCCATGGTGCCGATTGCTGATTCATTGAATGGAATGTCACCGTAAGAACGGGGGTCAGAACGAAGCAGCTCCCCTGTAGTAGTTGGAAGTGGAAGTAGTGATGTCCCTGAGGTAAGTTTTGGAACGAATAGGTCCACACCGATAATCTGGCTTTGAACAGTGTATTGCGGAGCGTTGATACTCTGATTCCGGGCAGCTGACCGCAGACTCTTTGTTTCAGTCGTCAGACCCAAAAAGGCAGCCGAGCCTTCGTCGCTCTGTGGCGCAAAGAACACGGTATGGGGGCTCCAGAGATCTTGCAATGCTTGCTCAAACTTGGCCATGTCTGCGCCTGATGGCTTCGGGTCGAATTCGTATAGACTCAACTGAAGGTTCGTGTTGTCACTGAGAAAGTCGAATGGATCTTCAGAAAAGCTGTAAAGGCGAGGAGGGCTCTGGAGAAAGGGAAGCATTATGCCTACGCCTATGGTAGATTCGAGGAAGTGTTCGTGGGTTTGGATATCTTTGTGGACTAAATCCAGATGAGCATCGTCTTGGAAGAGATTGTGTTGCTGTTCTCACCTAGAAAGATCCATATTTCCTGACCCACTGCTTGTTTCGAGACGTAGCACGCTTCAACGCCTTTCGACTGCGAGATATATTCGAGCGTCACTTTGAGAGTCTTGCCCGCGAAATCGTCATGGTCTTTGTGCGTGCGGTCAGGCACGAGGAATATTTGGATTGCATCGAGTACTGCCATGTTTAATGAACTACACAAGCGGCATCTGGCACTTGGAAACACCAGGAAGCAGCTGGCGCGGGGTCAAGGTCAAGATGAAGGATAGGAAGCGTACAGTGCCAAGAGCTTACGGGCGCAATAAGCAACGAGTGGCTGGCCCCCACGAACGATGTGGCGGAGTTCGGGTGTTGCAAAGCCAGGGGTTCTGTCGAAGCGTCTGCCTAAGCTCCACGTGGGCCCGCCGTAACGGCGAAGGCGCATTGCACATCCTAGCCAGCACACGGCATGTTGCGAAGTAATATGTCATGAAAATCATTTCTCATTTTTTCGTGCACGTCTAGCGAGAGCATTCTGCCATCCTTCAAACAGCCATTCATACACGCCACCGCTTGTCTACCTTACGCACCCTACTATCGACATCCATCCAGATGCAGGTTCAGGTGCTTATCGCGAGGACAAATGCATCAGCGTGATCGAACTGAGCCCGGGTGGTGGAGAGTCTATTTCTCGTAGATCCAGTCGTGCTGGCTCTGCTTCCAGGTCTGGACCTCACCCTCCTTGAACCAGAGAGCGATCTCCTTCTTGGCGTTCTCGACGGAGTCAGAGCCGTGGCAGACGTTGCGGCCGACATCCTGTTACCCTCACGTTAGTTTCCAATGTTTGTGCACATGGTACAATACCCTCCAGGCTGAAGCAATGGCAGCCCTCGACCTCGAATCGGTAGGATGGTAGTACGTACGATGGCGTAGTCACCACGGATGGTGCCAGGCTCGGAGGCAAGCGGGTTGGTGGCACCGAGGATCTTGCGGCCGGTCTTGACGGCATCGCGGCCCTCCCAGACCATGGCGGCAACGGGGCCGCTGCCCATGTAAGCGATCAGTCCCGGGAAGAAGGGCTTTTCGGAGAGGTCGGCGTAGTGCTTCTCGAGGTGCTCCTTGGTGGGAGTGACGAGCTTGATGGCGGCGAGCTTGAAGCCACGGCTCTCGAAGCGAGAGATGATGGGGCCAATGAGGCCGCGCTGTCGATGATGTTAGTCTCTTGTACTTGGAAACGGAGCGAAGAAGACGGCTTGGACAGAGCGAGGGGTAATGAGGAGGGAACGTACCTGGACGCCGTCCGGCTTGATGGCGATGAAGCTGTACTCATGTCAGCAACGTTACGTGGTTGCAAAGGACCAATTGCTGCTCGTACGTTTGCTCGTTAGACATGTTGATGTTGTGGTCGTTGTGTGTTGACTGAGAAGAAAAGCGGTGGGCGTGGTGAGGGACAGGCAAAATATTGGGCGCTACCATGGTGGGGTTATTATTGGCGGGGCACCAGCTCACCGCGCATTGGCTTGCACAACCCATGCATAACTGTGCAAAGAGGACTGCGAGTAACACCGGGATACCGTTCACACAGCGCAATTGACTGGATATTCGCATTCTGCCCTTGATGGCCACGGCCCAATTTGTCTTTGCAATGTACAGATGGTATGGCCCGAGGCGGTCAACGTTGTGGGAACCATGGACCCTGTTCCCAAGGGAGAATAGTGTGGGCGCTTACCTAAAGCAAGAAGCTTGGATGCTACACCTGGCGTTTCGACGACTTGCGTTGCTTTGGCGATAGACAGCTGCGTGTGATTACTGTGCGAGCGGCTGGAGGACTACAATCATGGCGCGATCAAGACGAGATCCTGCTCCCCGGTGGACGGCCGTCTTCTTGCTATGGACGGCGCTGTGCTGCCTTTTTGTTCCCGCAGGTATGTTTGGCCACGTCCAGGTGTAATACAGCTGTTGAGCTTCGTTGCAACACAATCGACCGGCCCCATGGCCTCTGACAGCATCCACAGTCATGGTGAAGCATGAGAACTTTAAGACATGTGACCAATCCGGCTTTTGTAGACGCAACCGCCAATTCGCCGACACCGCCGCCGCCACGAGTTCGTGGAGTTCCCCGTATACCGTCGACCCCACCACCATTGCCTTCAAAGACGGGGAGCTACATGCCACGGTCGTCAAGACGCTGCAAGACGGCGTACAAAATGTCGAGCTACCACTGACGGTTACGTTCCTCGATTCTGGAGTTGCGCGCGTCACCCTAGACGAGACGAAGAGGCAGAAGGGTGACATCACTCTCCGCCATGACAGCAAGGCGCGGAAGGAGCGATATAATGAGGCTGGGAAATGGACACTGGTCGGCGGCCTGAAGGTCGCTGACGGCGCGGCACTCAGCGAGAAAGCCGAGCAGGGGTATACCAAGGTGTTCTACGGTGACGGGAGCAAGCACCAGGCTATCATCCGACATGCGCCGTTTGGCATCGAGTTCCAGCGGGATGGAGAGACCCAGGTCAAGTTCAACGAGCGTGGCCTGCTGAACCTGGAGCACTGGCGTTCAAAGATCGAGAAGCCCGCCGAGGAAAAGAAGGACGGCGAGGAAGAGAAGAAGGAAGAGGAGAAGAAAGAAGAGGCCGCTGGCGAAGATGAAAGCACGTGGTGGGATGAGACCTTCGGTGGTAATACAGATTCGAAGCCCAGGGGTCCGGAAGCGGTTGCTTTGGATATCACCTTCCCGGGCTACGAGCATGTATTCGGAATCCCCGAGCATGCCACCAGGCTATCATTAAAGACTACGAGGTAAGAAGGCTAGCGCCTGCTACATGTGCGCATACTGATAAGACACCAGGGGCGGCGATGGAGCATATTCCGAGCCCTACCGACTATACAACGCCGACGTCTTCGAGTACGAGATGGACAGCCCCATGACGCTCTACGGGGCCATTCCCTTCATGCAAGCCCACCGCAAGGGCTCGACCGTCGGTGTCTTTTGGCTGAACGCTGCTGAGACGTGGGTTGATGTCGTCAAGGCCAAGTCGACCGCGAACCCACTCTCGTTGGGCACAAAAGGTCATACCGACACCCAAACCCACTGGATCTCCGAGAGCGGCCTCCTGGATGTGTTCGTGTTCCTTGGCCCGACTCCTCAGGATCTTACTCGTCAGTACGGCGAACTGACTGGTTATACCGCTATGCCTCAATCCTTCGCTATTGCCTACCACCAGTGCCGATGGAATTACGTCACCGACGAAGATGTCAAGGATGTCGATCGCAAATTTGACAAGCACAAGATCCCATACGATGTCATCTGGCTCGATATTGAATACACGCAGGAGAAGAAGTATTTCACCTGGGATCCTCTGACCTTCGTCAACCCTGACACAATGGGCAAGCAGCTGGACAAAAGCCAGAGGAAGCTCGTTGTCATCATCGATCCCCACATCAAGAATACGAACGACTACCCAGTCATTGACGAGCTGAAGAAGAAGGACCTCGCTGTCAAGAACAAAGATGGGAACCAATACGAAGGCTGGTGCTGGCCCGGCAGCTCCATGTGGATTGACTGCTTCAACCCCGCTGCTATTTCCTGGTGGAAGGGTCTCTTCAAGTATGACAGCTTCAAAGGAACTCTACCCAACACGTTCATCTGGAACGACATGAATGAACCCTCTGTCTTCAACGGACCGGAGACGACCATGCCCAAGGACAACATCCACTTTGGTGGCTGGGAACACCGCGACGTGCACAACGTCAACGGCATGACTTTCCACAACGCAACCTATCAAGCCATCTCCGAGCGTAAGAAGGGAGAACTTCGCCGTCCGTTCGTACTAACCCGCTCTTTCTACTCCGGCAGCCAGCGCTCCGCCGCTATGTGGACTGGCGACAACCTTGCGGAGTGGTCTCATCTGGAAGCTTCTCTTCCCATGATCCTGAATCAAGGTATCTCAGGTTTCCCGTTCGCAGGTGCTGATGTCGGCGGTTTCTTCGGCAACCCAAGCAAAGAGCTGTTGACGCGATGGTATCAAGCTGGAATATACTACCCCTTTTTCCGCGGCCATGCCCACATCGACACGCGTCGTCGCGAGCCGTACGTCCCTGGCGCTCCTTACACCGAAATTATCACCCAGGCGCTCAGGCTACGATACCAGCTCTTGCCCGCTTGGTACACAGCTTTCCGCGAGGCGCACACTACGGGCGCTCCCATTGTCCGCCCCAACTTCTACGTTCATCCGGAGGATGAGCGAGGTTTCGCTATCGATGACCAGTTGTATATCGGCTCTACCGGCTTGCTTGCGAAGCCAGTCACTAAAGAAGGTGCGACAAGCGTAGACGTGTACCTTGCAGACGATCAGCCGTACTACGATTTCTTCGACTACACGCTCTATCAAGGCTCCGGCACGCATACCGTCCCTGCGCCGCTCGAAAAGATACCGCTGCTGATGCAGGGCGGAAACATCATCCCACGCCGCGACCGCCCTCGTCGCTCAAGCGGCCTTATGAAGTTCGACCCCTTTACCCTCGTCGTCGTGCTCGACAAGGACGGTGCTGCGAAGGGAGAACTCTACATTGACGATGGTGAGACGTTCGACTACGAGACCGGCGCTTACATCCACCGGCGCTTCGCATTTGACGGCAAACGCAATGTTTTGACCTCGACCAACGCCGTTCCGGTTGGCGCGAAGGCCACCGCCAAGTTAGAAGCGTACCTGAAGAGCATGAATAAGGTCAGAGTTGAGAAGGTCATCATTGTTGGCGCGCCGAAGACCTGGAAGGGCAAGACGGAGGCTATTGTTATGGAGGAGGGCGCGAAGGAAAGTGCACGCAAGAAGACGATCGCCATGGAATTCCACTCCGGTAGCGGGAAGTCGGCGGACTGGGCTATTGTGCGCGATCCTAAGGTGGGTATCGGAAGGGGGTGGAAGATTGATTTCTCGTGAAAGCTGGTGACTGAATAACGAAGACAAAGCGAGGCAAGAGGGAACGCACTGCATGGAGGAATTGTATACAATACTGCGTGAGTTAGACCACGGTAGTCATGGAGCGGAAAAAGTGTGTCACGATGAATGAGGAGTAAATTTAAATATGAAAGTGCGCTTTAGCAAGGCATGATATTCTTTCGTCGAAAACGTAATCCGTGACCGAAAGACACTCGCCTTCAATTTCTCAACTTCATCTGACTCGTTCTCACTAGTCATATCTTACAGAAGCTGCAACGGCCCCCCTAACTGAGCATGTCCATGATAATCAAACTTCCTCTTGCGAAAGGCAAACATCGTAGCTTCGAGGCAGTCCGCCGCTTTGAACACACGTAAGGCGTGCTCGGGGTATTATGGCTCTGGGTAATTTCTTCTGGGGCTTCGGGAACGGAACAGTGGCCGGAAGGCATTACGGGGATGCTGCGCTTGACAACAATATTCTGGACGTTCTCTATGGTGGAGGCATCACCAGCTTCACGGCGTGGATATCGGTCGCGTGATTATCAAGATGGCGGATTCCATGACGTCGTCGATTCACCTCTCAGGCATGGTCACCGACGAATGGCACATGGACATAGGCGGGGTCAGAGAAAAGTAACAGGCAAAGTCATATCAGCGGATCCGTGCATCGATGCGCATACGGGTTGGATAATATTGCCTTCTGCTGTGGCTCTGTTCACTTTTCTCATACTCATCTCGACAATCGTGCTCGGTAGATTGGTACTTGGGTGGCCGGCTTGGAAGGATTCCACTGCCGACGCCCTTTTCCGGCGCCGATGCTGCATGTCACGTATCGAGCAACAAGCCAGCGAGCGTGTCTAAGATGAAGGAAGGGGTACATCATCTTTTAGTCAAGTGTACAGAGATGGCGAGTAATACTCTGTACGGAGACATTTGTCAATACATAATAGTGACTGCAGTATCTAGTTCTATCGAGCAGCGCCCAATACATGGATTTAATTGCTCTTTTCCACTTTGATCATACTCTCCATGTTTAAATCTTGCTCAAGCTCCTTTGTATTAACAGTCGCCTCGCCCTTTCGTACAGCCTCTACATCTGGAACTGCGGAATGTTTCTCGCCTTCAAAGATTGCATCAATTTCTTCAAGGGTTTTACCCTTGGTTTCAACCCAATACACAGCCTGTCTACACTCAGCACACAGTGCTGCAGGGTGGTTGTAATACTCACGATAAGAACAATGATGGCAATATCCCAAGAGCCATTGATCATGTACATCTTCCATCCAATGTTTTCGAGGCCAATCGGCATGACGAAGACCAGTACGCAACTTCGCAAGGATTAGCGGGTATATATGCTCTATCGCAGAGCCCACTTACGCAAATGCATTTAATGCGAATTGTGAGAAGGCGACACCATTGGCGCGGATAGAATAGTTCATGACTTCTGGCGGATAAAGATATAAGAGTGGCGTCCACGCAATCGAGTAAAAGCCCTGGAAGAGAAACATCACCGCGACATCGCCATAGATGAGGCTCTTGGATGCGCCCTCTGGGTGATCTGCGTAGGTCTTCGAAAGACCCCCAATCACAAAAAGGCAGATTACGAGCAGCGACTGTGAAAGCAGAGCGGTGGATTTCCGGCCCCATTTGGCTGCAAGTTGCGTTCTGCAAACCCGAAGGTACAAAGTCAGCGTATGTCCCTAAGAAGAGGGGACGGTTCTTCCGCTCGTGTTTCAGCAAGTGAGCAAAAGACTCCTTTCTTGGGTCTTAGCTACACAGGGCTTTTTTTCGCCTTTCTGGAAGAATACATTTACTCTGTACTTGGGAGGCTTACCCGACCAGTGAACAGCCCAGGCACCATACGTTCAGTACAACGTTCTACCTGTTTCAGCATATCCCACCGATTGAAAGGACATTGAACTCACTGCTTTCAACTGATCGTTCGAGTTTGTGATACCAGCAGTATTCAGCTCAGATCCGAGATAGTAAGAAGCAATGATGTTTCCAGCAACGCATGAGAATGGTCCAGCGGATGCGCCTATCAGCAGACGTTTTCGAGCGACCGGTGTCTTAAAGATTTCTTGCGGGCTCATGGTTCGTCCCTCCTTCTTTTCCCATTCCAACGTGTCGAGAATCTCCTTGTACACTGTGAGTACAATGGGGCTAGATGGATCGCCGTCGGCGTTGGTCTGCGCAACGACTGTTCGTGCTTCCTCGTAGAAACCTTCGTGAACGAGCCACCGCGGTGACTCTGGTCTGGTTCGTAACCGCGGTCAACCTTCTGACCACCAAATGAATTTGGTTGGCTTCTTACATGAAAGGAAGTATGATTATACACAACACAGAAAAGATAGCCTGGAACAACGAAGGCGCTCTCCAAGCCCAAGTCGACTGCCATTGGCCGGTGCCCAGTGTGATTCCGGCGGCTATAAGTGCACCCACGCTGCGCTTGATCAGCTTCACGAATGCCATGGGGCAAGCAGCGTACTAATAGAAGTCGTTCAGCAGACCTACGCCCCAAGCGCGCCAACGACTTGGATACGTTTCTGATAGGTAGACTCCGGAAGCGATACCCGCGACGATCGAACCAAATCCAAGAATGATACGAGCGACAACGAACATGGCTATGTTTTGCGCAGCAGTCTGGATAATGATGCCCACGATAGTCAGCAGGCAGCCCCAGAAGATGGTGGGCCGTCTCCCCAAGCGGTCAGACATGATGCCTGAGACCATAGGCCCGAAGAAGCCGCCGATAAAGACAGATCCCGTGTTGAGGCCGGTAGTTGCGGGGTTCAAATTGAAATAGTCGGTGTATGAGGGCAGAATATTTAGACCGTTGAGCATCGAGCCATCGTATCCACCAGTCTATTACGGCAACGCTTCAGCACATGTCTTCTTCAGCGAATTTGAGGTGTTAGAAGCTCACTGTTGACTGTACGACTGAACAGAGCATCAATAGCACTGCCAGCGTCGTGGTCGAGTTTGGCACCCAGGCGGGCAACCACGTTCCGGTTGGCGACTTGTGAAGCATTGTCCTCCAAGTTCAGAAACACGCAGCGGGAAGTGAATAGAAACAGGTGGCGTAAACAAGCAAAGCCGTCGTCCTGGGCAAGGCTTGTTATACGAAGCGACCGACGAGTGGCCATTTTGGACAGGTGCGATGCAGAAGGAGGGGTTCTCTTAGTAGCGTTATCCGACAGGCAGCACCTGCCCAAATTGTGTTGATAACGGTGATCGGGCACCACGTCAGGTCATCCTATAGGCATGGTCCCAACGGCAATTACCCCGCTATCTTTCACATCGATACTGCAAGTCGGCGCCGCGCACGTGAGCATGAACCAGACGTCAATCCCCATGGCTGGACGTCCATCTTCACTCAACAACGGAGCATGATGCAACGCTTGCCCGCCGTGGCCATTGCCGGGCTGAGTTGTGAGAACTCTACCTTCACCCCGTCACGCACTCGTGCTGCAGCGTTCCACCCAAAACGCGGGCGAGAGATCATCGAACATTACAAATTCCTACATCCGAAAACAAAGTTGGGAGACGAAGCAGAGTGGAAAGGGGCTCTGATTGGACATGCGCTGCCTGGAGGCATCGTGGAAAGGGCTTCATTTGAAGAGCTAGCAGCCGAGATCATACAACGCTTGTCGGAAATCTGCCAGTCTTTACAGCGTCCCTTAGATGGGCTGTGGTTCGACATACACGGTGCCATGTACGTTGAAGGCCTTGAAGATGTCGAATCTGAGTTACTCCGGCGCATACGAGCTGTCATCGGGCCCACAGCCATCGTCTCTGCCTCCATGGATCTTCATGGCAATGTGTCGCGTGAACTTGCTCATCAAGCAGACCTTCTCACATGCTATCGTACTGCACCCCACGTAGATGTGTCGGAGACGAAAGAGCGGGCCTGTCGCAATCTTCTTCGAGCACTTGAGGTTCACAATGCCGGAGGCTCTCTTCCGCTCAAAGCCTGGATACCAATTCCAATTCTCCTGCCTGGTGAGCAGACATCCACCCGCGATGAACCCGCTCGGCACATCTATGATGCAGTTCCAGAGGTGGAGAAGCGCGACCTGATCCTCGATGCTGCCATTTGGGTCGGTTACGCCTGGGCCGATGAGCCACGAAATCGCGCAGTGGTGGTAGTCACTGGTTGGAACAAACCTGCAGTCGCAAAGGGGGCGCAGGAACTTGCGAAAACTTTCTGGGATGCTCACGGAGCGTTTCGATTCGTCGCTCCTACGGGATCCTTCGCGGAATGTCTAGACACTGCTCTGGCGACGAACGCACGACCGTATTTTATCTCAGATTCTGGCGACAATCCCACCGCCGGTGGCTCTGGCGACGTTACATGGGGTGCTACTCAACTTCTACGTCGGCCTGAATTTTGTGAAGCTACCGGACCAAAAGTGATTTATGCCAGCATACCTGGCGCAGAAGCGGTGGCCATCGCCGAGAAAGCTGGTATCGGAGCTACAATCACAGTCACAGCCGGAGCTGAAATTGACGACCTTCACGCCGGACCCATTACGATGAGAGGACGCGTGCATTCAATCAAGCACGGAGATCCGCACGCACACATCGAGGTGGTGTTGCAGGTAGGCAGTGTATTTGTCATCTTGACCAAAATGCGCAAACCTTACCATAAAGAACACGATTTCACCGAGCTTGATCTTGCGCCACGAGCAGCAGACGTTGTTATCATCAAGATTGGGTATCTCGAGCCAGAGTTGTATGACATGGCGAAGGACTGGATGCTCGCGTTGACGCCTGGAGGCGTGGATCAAGACCTTGGAAGGCTGGGACATCATCGCATTGAAAGGCCAATGTGGCCCTTTGATACCGAGTTCAAAGCACAACCTGATCTACAAGCACGCTTCATTCCATCATCAAGAGAATCAACACCTGGAGATAATCTAAGGTAACTTTTGAAGCGGCCTGGAAGCGGATGCCCAGAAAACATCAGGGTTCGTAATGCACTCTCTAGTAGTTGACCATTTGCGCTGTATAAGAAACGCCGAAAGTGCTGGCATCGATGCTTACGTGGAGCACGTGGCTGGAGGTATCCCACGACTTCGTCAAAGCCCAGTATTGGACGGCTATATCAGCAAGTTACTTCGCTTCAATGACGGCTCGCCACTAGCCTACTTCACAGCATATATCCGCTGGTCTGGCGTGAAGTCGGGAAGATTGGATACTCGATATGCAGCGTGCAGTGCTCACTCAAGTTTTTGTATACATGTGGCCGTTGCTGGGGTAACACAATGCACTCATACTCTTGAAACGGCATTGCATCAAGAACGTAGTAGTTGTCTTCAACTTGAAGACCAGAATATCAGCCGTTCTCTCACAAGGAACGCTGGTCCTTTCAGGATCGAAATTACCTCAGAAGTCTTACCTTTATCCACGTTGTCGCAATTGTAGGGGCCAAGAGCACATATGTACTTTTTGCTGTCGCTCCCCGCTTGTGGCTTCTATAATGATAGTCTAAACGATTCCGGCTACTGTACGCTTGCAATGGTGAGATTGAATTTTTGCTAACAATGGAATCGAATCTGGTGTTTATTGCCATTGATGCTGTCTGTGGGAAGATGCACCTTGAAAAACACGAGTCAATGATGTCGAGCCTCGGCCCAACGTCATGGTAGCCGAGAGGGGAATAGCCGCAAGCTGCAGTCGGGACCAGAGCGCGAGGACTGCTGCAGATGAGAACAAGCTGCGAACACTGATTGAGGGAGACACTCTTAGTGAGTGTTGCACCGAGTCTGTTTGCACGAAGACGCATAAAACATGGCGCCCACCGAGAAGCCCATCTTGTTCCACTACCCACAATCCATCTTTTCGCAGCGCGTACTGTGGTATCTTTGGCTACGTGGAATCCATTACGATGAATGTGTAAGTTCGCTATAGACAGAGTTCTTGCTCGATCGCTTATATCCCATCAGACTCAACCGCCCGTCATGCCTCGTCCGGATCTCGCATCCATCGACGTCGGCTATCGCAAAATCCCCATTATGGCCATAGGGAAAGATATATACTGCGACTCTCGGCTTATCATTTCCAAGCTCGAGTCGCTCTACCCCCATGACAGTCTCATACCATCCACGCCAGATAAAGCGGGGATGCGTAAACTCTTTGAAAATTGGACGATTGATGGAGGTATCTTTGCTAACACAGTCAAACTTATGCCGTACTGGGTTGACAACGGATTGTTACAGAACAAAGTGTTCTTAGATGATCGCCAGAGACTGATGGGTGGACGGAGATTGACTGCTGAGGCAATGCAGGCAGGAAGACCAGACGGCTTGCAGAATCTGCAACAGGCGTTCGAGTTGCTGGAGACGACGTTTCTTGCCGATGGTAGGGAGTGGGTTCTGGGTACGAGAGAGCCTACTTTGGCAGATATCGATGCAGTCTGGCCTTTCGAGTGGTTGATTGTGGACAAGGGAATGCGAGGAAGTCTGCCAGATCAGCATTTTGGGGAGGAGACTTATCCGAGGGTGTATGCATGGGTGCGAAGGTTCATGGCGCAGGTGTGGAAAAAGAAACAAAGCACAGATACTCCGACAAGCCTGGATGGGTCAGGTATGCGCGACCGCTTGTTGAACGCGGCAACTGCAAGCGAGAATGCATCGTTTGACGATAATAATTTGCTGAAGCTACAGCGTGGTGAGGAGGTGGAAATTTATCCGTCGGACTACGGAGAGATGGGCAAGAGCAACGGTATCCTGGTTGGACTTACGACCACCGAGGCTGTGATACGGAACAAATTGGGCCTCTATGTACATTTTCCGCGTTGGAATTTCAGCATTGTCAGGACTGGAGCCGTCGTCCACCGAAGTCCCAAGCCCAAGAGCACGGGAAGCAAGATCCCCAAGATTCGACTCATTTACCACCCCTTCAGCCCTTTTTCACGAACGGTATTCGTTCTGGCACACGAGCTTGGGCTCGCAAAACACATCACCCTACAAAAAGCCGTTGTATGTCCTGTACCTATTGCCGGATGGAGTGACAACAACTCAGATGTCGCAGCATATAACCCAATGGCGAAAATTCCATGCTTGATATCAGAAGATGTTCCGGACGGCATATATGATTCTCGCATCATCTGCGAATATCTCAATGAGCTGGCGTTCGTGAAACCAAACCGGGATGCACGATATTGGCAGCTGCGTGCGCTAAATGCAGCGGCGAATGGAATCATGGACGCAGCTGTGCTCATCACATATGAAGTGCGCATTCGAAAAGAACGCAACCTATATTTCAACGAGTGGGTGGCAGGCCAGAAGCAGAAGATTGTACGAGCACTAGATAGGTTTGAGGTCGTAGCTGAGGAAGGTATATTACCTCATCCGAGCAATGGACCTGCAACACATGATGAGGTCGCGGTTGCTGTAGCTACTGCGATGACGGGGCAGATGGGCTATCTGGGCATCGATTGGACTAAGCAACGACCAAATTTGGTCGAATACATGAAGAAATGGGAACAGAGGAGCAGTTTCTTGAAGACCCTTCCAACGACGGATTGGGGAGTTCGTTCGGACATGAAAGGTCCATCGAAAATTTAGTGCCATATCAAGCACGGAATCGACAACACTAGCTTTCAGGCATAGAACGAAACTAGCGATGCTATCTGGTCGCGGGCATGTGACGAAGATCTAGCGAGTGCATTTGAACCATTCTATGATGCCGCAAAATGTTGTAGGTGCAAGCAAACCTTCCGGGCGCTTGGACACAGCGCTCCTATGGACCTAACCTCAGATAAGCTCTGGGCCCGACTACATATAAGTGAGTGACGTGAGGCTCCAGCGAACAGCCGAAGGGGAGGTTGCCAAACTCGCCCAACTCTACATCACGTATCGGTGACCGAAACATAACGGTCGCACAGTACCGTGGAACGTGGCACAACATATTGGTCTTCTATGCCACGCCTTCATTGATTGCTGGATAAGTTCCAGGCCATATCTTTGGGGGCGACCGAGTTGAGGTGATTGGTTCCCAATGATCCAGCAGCTTGCAGAGACACCGGGTCAATTCATTTGATGCCAGAGCTCAGACCTCTTCTTGATCATCTTCTATATTATCCTAGACCAATTAAGATGAGGCCAGTAAGGATCCCAGGATGCCACCTCTATGCCCACGCTCCAATGAGACTCATACAAAACGCTCCAAAGATTACCAAAGACATAGCCACGATTCTCTTATTGCCTCGCAAGGTCTTCCAACTATGATCACTCAAGAAATCCTCAGACAGAAGATCGACCAAGCTGGTATATGCGAGGAGACCCGCGGAGAAAGCATTGAAGGTACCAACAATAAGCAGACCCGTAGCAGAGCCAGGATCATAGAGATCCCGCGTCGCTATGCCAATCGCTTGACCAAGAGGTGTCGTGCATCCATAAGCTACAGCCATAAGCCAAGGCTGAATAGCGTTGGGTTTCCAGCCTACTGCAGCGATTCGTGATCCAAGTGCTAGACCCTCGAAGGTTTGATGAAAGGCAATGGCTATAAGCAGAATGATCTGCTCGCCTCCAACTGCCACAGCTAACGCCAAGCCGATGAATATACTATGGAACAAAATGCCACATTCCAGCAGCATACATTGCATGAGAAGCTTCTTTCTCTGCTGCCCTAGTTCCTTGTCTTCGGAGGTAGTCAGGGGACTCTCAGTGGATTGGCGCCTAGCACTGTCCGGAGCGCCAGGCGCCTCAATGGTCTTCATGGCACTGTGAGATCTTCCCGTGCGGGTTTGGCCAAATTGAGGGATGCTCAATGCTGGGGTAATTTCGTCTGATATTATCGAATGGGGCCTTGTACAATCTGGCCTGCTGGTATGTGACAAAGCGTCCAGTTCCTGTGGGTTGGTTGTTGTCGGACCAGAACATAAGGAACGGCCAGGGCTAAAAACCATCTCTGCGATAGTGATCATGAACACTGCCAGGAGCGCGATTGCACCAGCTAGAGCAGGGTAGTCCTCGTTGAAGAACGGTGGGAGGCATGGATCGGTCAGAGATACGAAAGCAGTGGGAAGCAGATGTACGAATGCTGTGGCAATAAGGACTCCGGTGCCAAAATGCCTGAAGCTGAAATGGACCTTAAGTGGTATGCGCAATCGTGGTACTCTCAAAGCTGTTACCGGCAATGCACAAGCGCCTGCTGAGACACCGAGAATGATGAACAGTGCACCAACATGTAATGACAGGTTATACTCCTCTTCTCGCCTCCCTGATCCGCAGGTAGGCATGTCTCGGTGTTCGTGTGGTTCTGGCGTGAGAAGTGTGTTGTCGTCCTTTCTTGGGCCGTCTAGATCGATTCGCCTCCTTGAATATCCAGAAAAGTAACGCCTATTGATATGAATGCCGGCGCAAGCCCCACAGTGAGGATACTGGTAGGGTCTTTGTTGGTTAGCCTATGCACCTCGAGATACAATGCTCCTGGTTGCTCAGTTCTCGGCGTGACTGGGTCTTGTCATGGGGTGGTGAGGCAACGGAAAGGATCGGTGGATTTAGAGGGAGCTGCAGATCGTAGGCAATTTCGTACTCTACCTCGGAATGTGTACTTGGCAGGTGCACTTGGCAGGCGTGCTCCCGACTTGGCGTAGAACAAACACCACCAGGCGGGAGAACTCGGTCTTGGACTGTTCTAGAATACCAACACCTTGTTATCACCTATTTTCTTGCTTGAGAGTATCACTCGCCTCTCGGTGACTGCATACACTGACCGCTAAAGGTTGCTTTGCCGAATGAAAGGAAACACGCTCGCATCTAAAATCCTATGAATCCAGAGATTCTCATCAGCGACACCTCCTTTCTCCCATGGTGCCGTATCACTGCTACTGCAAGAATGCCAATGTGGTCAACATTTTCGCCACATACTTCTTAGCCTTTCCAAGATCTCCTCCCAGAAAAGCTTTTGAATCATTTCGCGAGCCTTCCGGTTTCAGCAGTGAGGCGAATGGCTCGGTGGCTGCGGAAATCTCCAAGTCGCACGTGGCGTGCGTGTAAATCTAGATCCAAGTGGTGCTGAAGGTACTGATAGTCGATTGTAGGCGGTCCGTTTTCGTCCGCGGGTTTGTTGTGAGATGTGCCGTTAGACAGTGGTTGGGATAACGCAAAGACAAGATAGATGTGAACGCCCAGCTGTGTGGCTCTATATACATAGTAAAAAGAAACGACCGTATTTTACCAGTTGGCCAGGCCTGAGCCGTAAACAGGAAGCGCGGGCCAATGCCTTCTGTCCTTTTCTTGATGCTGCTCCGGATGTCGCTGCGACGCGTCGTACCAATATATGATTATCTCCAACTGTTGCCTTATTGAGATGTCCATAAATTGGCAAGTACCCGAAGGACGTGAAGCCCCGGGTAGCAGACGGTCCCGCTCGGGGCTGCTGGTATAGCTTCATTGCAGACTGGAGCGCCGTTGGATCGCCCCAAGTGAATCATCGCCTGTTGGAACGCTGTCTTGGGCTTCGAAGAAGATTGGGGATAGCATATAATGATGAAAGTTGCATCATACATTCGGGTTTGCTATGATATTTCGATTCTGAGCTTTACCAGGAGTTCGCCAAGGCGACCAAGTTTTAAGATTTCCGTTATGAATAAAAAACAAGAAGATACAACGGCTTCATCCCTTGCGCAGAACGTGGAACTTGTACCGTTGCGACTACGCTGACTCCTTTTACTTTGGGCTTGGCATGCGTTGGCTTGACAATGACTTTCTCCGCCACTGTGTTGAGAAATATCTCTATGTTATCATCTCTTTGCGATGGACGTATTACATGCTGCTTATCGTTGACTCTGTATTAAGGGTCGTACTGATTGTGGATGCGCCATTGTACGATTCCGTAGTCTATCCTCCGAAGAGATCCCCAGATAACGGAGATCGAAGACGCTCAAATGTGTTCACTCAAGCTTTCCCGCAGAAACCTCTTTCCCGTTTGCGGATGATGCATCCACCGGCCCATCGTACCCTTCAGTGAGTTTATCCGCCCAATCGACGCTTAGGTGCTCGACAGTCTGCTCATCGGGCAGGCTCCTGGTGAAGGGTCTTTTCAGGTGTGGGAACAAGAAGCCCCAATTCCAGCCTGTGTTACCAGGTTCTTCCCACGAGTCGATGTCGAGTTTTGAGAACGGGAAAAAAGCTTGCGCTTTCACAGAGCTTGTTCCGCCCAGTAGTTTGCCCTGGGCCTGGCTGATACGACTGTTTAGAGCAAGCTTAAAGAACATGAGCATCGTTCTGGAGCTTTACATGCGCGTAATTATGGGGAGCCTCGAGTGGCTCCGCGCATGCGAATCACGCTTTAGAATATTTTATCCCATCGGCTAGACACGCGCCTCAGCCGCCTCCCGGAAATCCCCACTCACCCGCTCTAACAATTCGATCTCCTCCTCCACTGCACCCTGCACGTGCATACCCTTTGTTCTCACACCTCCAACCTCATCTACACCCCTAAACATCCAATGGAAGACCCCACCCGTAGTCCCAGCCGCAACCGCAAGCCCCCCATAAAACCACACCAAATGCGGATCCGTTCCCAACGGCGCAATAAAGATCCCCAACGCGCTTCCCGCCGCAGACGTCAACAGGAAAAGCGACATGATGAAGCTCTTCATGTTCTCAGGCGCCTTCGCGTACGCTAGCTCCAAGCCGGTGATGCTAGCCAAGATCTCGCTCAGGGCGACTAGGATGTACGCAGGCGCCTGCCACGCGACGTGAACTTGGTTCGGTTCGTATTTGCCCTCGGCGATCTTCCCAGCTTCACAGACCGAGGGCTGGGAATAGCACGGTGCTGCGGCGTAGATGCGTGATTGCACGAAGGCAGCGTAGGTCATGCTTAGCGAGGCGATGATGAAACCCCATGTAATGCGCGTGATGGGCGTGAACGCGAGGTGGAGACGCGTGCGGAGGAAGGGGTAGATGATGCGGTCGACGATGGGGATGAGGATGATGAGGGTTATGGGGTCGATGTTGGGGAGGATGTCATTTGGGAGACCATGGAGCTGCATTTGGCCCGCTGGGCTATGTCAGTTTCTGCATCTTGCTTGGGAAGACGTCATGTTCATACCTTGCGAAACGAAATTATTCATCATTTGCGAGAACGCGAGCCAGTAGATGGGAAAGAAGAGAAAGACTTTGCAAGCCAGCAGCGCCGTCTTCAGCTCATCAACGAACTTGTCATCCCAGGTTATGCGATGTCTCTTCTGACCAGGTCCTTGGAGCGATGGCTTTGCGCTGTCAAGATCGAAGCGGTGTCGGGAGGCGATCCAAAGTGCTTTTAGACAATCCCCTATCACGCCACCTTGTGGTGGCTTGATCACGTACTTCTCTCTGCCCGATACGAGAACCCAGAAGCCGACGCCGAACATGAGTAAGGGAAGAAGAAAAGCGGCCCAGAAGCCAACGTGTAATTCAAGCGTTGTAGTTGCAATGGCGGATATGGATCCTACATTGATACACATATAGAAGATCATGTAGATACGCTGCACCGTGACTTCAGGATCCACTATCACCCGCTTGCCGCTTGGTAGGTGTCTGATGAAGGGTTTCGTGGACTGCACTTGCTCTGCAATTAGCGGTGAAACATTGGACTTGATACCCCCAGTGCCGAGCCCGATGATGATCATAGCCATAATTAGTCCTGGGAATGCGCCACCATGCTCGATCGAATAGGGTAGACTCGTAACGAACAGCACGACTATGCCAAACATGTACAGAACGGAAAAATATTTGATCGTCAAGTACTTGCCAAGATACTGATCTGCTACGATCGCACCCAGGGTTGGAGTGATGTAGCACCAGAATTGGAAGAAGTTTGATAACGCAGTTGCACGGGACTGCTTCAGACCGAGTGCTCCTGGAAGACCATTTGGGTCGTTGTACTTGTTTGCCATGTAGTTTTGGAAAGGCCCGGATAGACCATAATAGGCGAAGCGTTCGCAAAGCTCCACTATAGCGACAAGAAAAGCGCCCCAGGGAAGTTTGTCGGCCACTTTGGGGAGGGTTGCAAAATCTTCCGCGGTTGGTGTGTCGTCGCTTGAGTCTAGTTCTGAAGATTCTTCAACAGACCCGTTGATGTGACCATTTGCTAGCTGAGACGACCCATTTTCGATCCCCTTCCCCTGGCGCCAACTCAGTGCTCGCTTCCTCAATCTGTGCGACGGTTGCGTACGCGCCGCGGTCTTCTTTTCTCCATCCTGACGGCATCGTCCAGTTCAAGACGCTTCAATCGCTACCTCAAGTAGCCCAAATATGCCCAAGCTCTTTCATCATATGTTGTCGCAATGGCGCGTGCCGGCGCTTAGCGGTGCAGTTGTTAACAGGCCAGGTTACTCAGCCCAAGGGGATGCTCGACTGAACAGCTAAAGATTCCGAATATGATCAGGATATCGTTAGAAGTCCCTTAGACGATGAGAAAATGCGCGCTGATCTGATGTTGTGGTGTTGAAGACATGACACCCGTGGATGCGCGTTCTCGCACCTCGCAAGACCGAAGGAGTCTCGAGCTATGCCGCATTGGGACATGAATATCCTTGGAGGATCCACTAGCCATCACTCTGCGATTATAGCCATACTCCAAAGTCTTTGAGGTGCAGAGTACGTAATGAACATAGCGAATAAACCGAGGAGCGTTGCAAAGTACTGCGGCATATTATTTGTGAATGCTCCAAGCTAATGCGATATGTTTGCGAGACATGAGCTCGACAGCCCTTCTAACATCATCTTCCTCGCGCCCCGCTAGCTAGGTATCTTCGAGGCAGAGCAGGCCTCACACCCGCCGAAGAAGTAACACTAGGAATTGATGATACAATGCTGCCCCTGTCTTGAGGAATGACCGGCGACCGCGAGGCTACACTGTCGCTCCTTGTAGATCCAACCGCACTATCGTTCCTGCCGTACAGCGCATCTGATTGTGTCGTAGCATCTTCGCGCGTAACTTCAGTGGCGTTTGCGCCTCCATCGACACTCGCTGGCTTTAAGTGATCCCAAAGACCTTTCCGAGCGCACTTCTGCTGCTCGGTGTGCCCGTTTCTCATCTCCATCTCCAGCATCACCAATTCGGCCTCGCGACTATCGCGGCGCTCTTTGCGTTTTCGTTGCCGTCTTCTGCAGTCGAGGAAGCACATACCACAGCCAAGTAGGGAAAGCGATACGATGACCACGATACCGACGATGATCCCGATTTTGGCGTCCCGTGGTAGACCTTGATATAGAGACCCTAGGTTCTCGTCATCTGAATGTGTGTTCGTTGGTCGAGGACCGGCGACCGATGGCTGGTGTACGTGTGTTATAGGCATGTTGTTCGCTCCTGTTGGCATGCTCCATTGTGAAGACCTGGTGTTGGTCTGCGTTGTTGATTGAGCTGGAAAGGTAGCATCTCCGAACAGGTTCTCGAGATCTGGTAGCGCTGATCGCTGCGATAGGGGCGACGCAAGTACGATTGTCATGGGCTGGGGCAGTTGGTGTAGAACTGTCTTTGAACTGGCACGATGGGCGTTAAAATTTGCGGTTTTCATCGTCACTGCACCAGTGCGGCGGCACGAAATCGACAGAAACGTGATAGGAATCTGCCCGCTGCGGTACCAGCCAACAGTCTAGTACCTTTCCTGTCACAGGCGGTACGCCTGCGTTGTCGAGATAAGGCTCACTATCGGAGGTAGGCCCTGCAGATTAATAATGCCAAATGACACACCGAATCCCAAACGTTCCGTATACACGGGCGACAGGCAAAAGGCTTAGCAGAAGTGAGTGAGACACCTGCAGCCGCGAGTGATGAGGCAATCTGGGGGTAAAAGAACTGGCCGTTGAGTAGTACATGGGCGCACTTCTGGTAAATCACTCTTGACTACCTGCCGAATGTTCGCTAGGATGGTGACAGTGTCAGTTGAGATGGTGGCACAGACATGCAGCAACGGGAGATCCGTTTGCGTGGGCGACGATCATTCCTAAGTGGTACGAAACATCGATCCAACAACAGTATCCGCTTCGATGCAGCTCTGCAGGTATCGACGCATATCATAGTCAATCTCCACATTAGTTGATTCGGATTATTGTTGTCATGCTTGTAACGATCCGAGCAGGCGTGGTGATCACACGCCACTTCCGCAGCCTATTATTCTACGCGACGATCATCATCCCCTAACACTATCAGGCTTGCTGCTTGCAGTCTTGAATTTGCATGCACGTACCTATATATCCTTCTCCGCGAAGAATCTATCTAGGCGTTTTTCCACCTCTCGGATTCCCGTCCCATCTGCCAGGCTATTCTGGATCCAGCGAGGCAACTTAGCCTGAATGCGCGGCGCAGCGTACCGTCTGTCAAGCAGAAGAATGGCGGCGTAGTCTCCACGATGTCGGATCGCTCGTCCTACGCTCTGGTTTACGGCGCGCATGCACACATTCTCGTAGAAGTCGCGCGCAGCGGCTTTGCCGTCTCGCCCTTGACTTGTTGCCTTGGTGAAGATGTACTGCGATTTTGCTTTCCATTCTGCAGAGTGTGGGTTCGGGAAAGGCAGCCCAATCACTGCTACCGCGCGGCCCAAGGCATCACTGAAATTGATACCCTCAGATAGGGTGCCGCCAATCACGGCAAAGAGGACCGCTCCTCGGCCTTTACCCGAAGCAATGGCGCTACTGTATGCAACCAAGACCGAATCTCTCGCGTCTTCCTTTGCAGCTGCAGAGTTGTTCGATGACGGCTGGCTACGTTGCTCGAGAAAGATGGGTTTAATGTCGAGTATAGAATCCCAGAGCGAAGAGGATCCAGACAGTGACGCGGATCGTATCCTCTTCCAGGCGACAGTGCACGTGTCTAGGTACGAATAGCTTGGGAAGAAAACAACCACACCATCGGGTACATGCTGTACAAGACTTAAGATGGTATGCGCAAGGTCGATCATCTACTATAGTTAGCCTATCTCCGTCACGGCAGATGAAATTCTTGCCATCTGTTCCGAGTTACGCTTCTCGAACGTAAAGTCGAACTCGTTTCCCCGCAGAGTCTGAACAACTGGAACTGCGAGTAAGCTCGAAGAGGGTATGACGTGGCCACACGAAAGGGTCAGGATATTTGAGCGGTCCAGGTATGAGAGTAGGTGGTCTTCATAATCACTCATCTGATAACGTTAGCCCAGTGTATACGTTCTGCTTATAGTGTAGATTGGACATACTGGAGACATAGTGCCTCCCGCGAGAACAACGGCCCTGGCATCTTCTACCACATCCTTGAAGTGGAAAGTAGGATCCAGGAGCATGTATTTGAGCATCACGCTGGATGCCTCTTCTGACGAGTAGAAAAAGCGGCCTTCTTCCGAAGGATTCATCAAAGCTAGGAGCAAGGCTTGAACTTGAGTCAAAACGGGAACAGTCTGTCTCGGTCCCCGATCTTCAGTGTTTTCCTGGCTGAGATCTCGCGCCTGTGCTGCATATGTAGTATAACCATCAACTTTCCGAGCTAGACGGCTTTTCTGTAGGTATGCATTGAGCTTATAGACATTGATCTGATCAAGTCCCTTGCCGGTCAGCAAGGCGCGAATATCAACTATGCCATCCGACATCTTTATATCGGATGCCTTGGCCTGAAGGTATGCGACGACGGAGTCAATCAAACGAAGTATCTGCGCAACATAGACTCTATTTTTGCCTTTGAGCTTGTTGCGAAAATGCTGCAGATATATCGTGAGCTGGGTGCGAGCTTCCTGGGCCTGATGAAGAGTTACAGAGACTGAGTATACTCCCGCTATCGCATCCATCAAGTTGTGCGCTTCATCAATGATGACAATGTGATCTTTGAGCGACAGATCAAGCGCTTCACGAGCGGACTTCTGGAGTAATAAGGGATATGGAAGCGCTACGATCTAAGCGTGTTAGTGACATTCTTCCCATGGAAGGGATGGCATCTTACCTCACAATACTTAGTCGCTGGGCGCGAAGCATAGTACGAACATATCCCGAGCTTCTTACCCAGCACACCCAGGTCTTCGATGTCCCTGACCTTTGCCAGCGCATGATCGCGGAACTCGTTCACCAAAGCTTCATTCTCCTTGCGTGGCATAAACGGACACTTGGACTCGGATGGAGTGTTAGGCTGTTGCAACTCCATGCAACGCTCATTGATAGCGGTCGAATGCCGGAGCGTGTTAACCTTTGGATTGATGCAAAGGTTTTTGCGTGAACCTAGGGTGAGATATTTGACATCTTCTGCCAGAGAAGCTTCGTCGTCCGCTTGAGTGACCACTTCCTGAGTTATAGCTGGGGGCATCTTGACACGACTAAGCTCGCTCGAAAACTGCGTAAGTTGAGAGTGCGTCCGAGAGCAGAAGAAGATCTTGGTATCGTCTGGCACCTCATCGGCATCTTCTTCTTTGGGTTTGCTTGAGTAACCCAGCTGCTCTAGAAGTACTTGATTTTCTGTAGACAGTCCCGACTCACTTACGGATTGCGGCTTGTGACGGCCAGTGCCGTCGTTATCACTCTCATAATCGTTCAAAGCAAATTGGGCTTCGTCCACGTCATCATTTGCATCGTTAGCTGCTGTCTTTTGTCGCTTGTATCGTGGTTTCTCGTTTACATAGCGATCTTTGGTCTGCTTCTCCTTGGCTTTGATCTTGGCGATGCGATCTTCGAGATCCTGCTTTCGAGCAAGGGCTACATGCTTTCTCTGCTTGCGAGCATGCTCCAAGATCCATGCAGGTTCGTCACTATCTCCGGTATCCGCAGCTAAGCCGTCCTCGAGGGTCCGTCTTTTGTAATCGCGTAGCCAGGTCAACGACCCGCAGATAAGGCTCAACGATTTGCCGGTTCCAGTGGGCGACTCGAATATGCCGACTTTGCCATCTTCCAGACAATCGTAAACAGCATTCATAAACTGCTTCTGGATGTCGTAGGGCTCGTACGGGTGGTGGAAATCCCGTTCGTCCTTCAGGCGCTGCATGGTGTATTGTCGTGGGTGGTGGTGTAGACCACGAATTAGATGGAGCTGGACGACGCGACGCGGGCCGGAGGAGCGCGTCTAGCCTTGGCGCTTGCGCAGTCACATGATCGGTAGATGGCCGTGGCCGGACAGGTGCATTGCACAACAGCCCAGGAAGGCGCATCAAGCCTAGGTAGTAGAGAGACAGCAAGCTTCAAATCTCTTCGCTTACGTACATTGAGAAAGAGCACGAAACTACGACCCCCGTCAATGAGTGGGCATCCCATTGCTGCTACTGTCTAACATTGAAAACTTACTAGATCCGATGCGTCTAATTGCAGTATCCTTCGCTAGTCTACAGAAGAGCAATACTCCTCTTGCTAGTCATTCACAATATGCGTACTTTAAACCCAACTGTCTGTGAATGATGGCAAGCATCAGAGCTCGAGCTGCCTGCAGGGACCAGCCCCACCAACGAGGGGTTGCTTGCAACAAGAGCTCTGACGCAAGGCATTCGACTTGACATTGCAAACTCCTCAACTATAACCTACGACCTCAAGCACCACACGCACCTACCCAATGTCGCTCATTCCTGGTAAAGGCTGCAGGCTCCCGAGGTCCCGCGTAGAGCGCATCAAGCTGACGTCTCCAGACGCCATCTGGGCCGCATCGCCCACAACCACGCGAGGACAGCCAACGCCGCTGTCCTCAGACCCCAAGGGCGAGCGGATAGTGTATGCGGTATGCAAGCCCACGCCTGCATGCTGAGGAGCAGCCTCACATTCTGACGGCCCGCTATAGGCTGGCAAGTCCGTCTTCCTACGATCCATCGACGACCCCGCCATCAGTAAACAGTACACACAACACACCGCCCAAACCACCGTCGCGCGTTTTGCGCCTTCCGGTTTCTACATCGCTAGTGGAGACGTGTCGGGTACAGTTCGTGTGTGGGACTGTGCGGGTGAGGGAGCTACAAAGGGTATGATCTGGCTAAGCTGCATGGCAGCTCGTGGCAGCTTCTGGGGGCGTTGAAGAGTGAGGCTGACGAGGAGCAGGCGAGTACCACATCATTGCAGGACGCATCAACGACCTGGCCTGGGACGGAGATTCGCAACGCATCATCGCGGTTGGCGATGGCAGGGAACGTTTTGGACACTGCATCACAGCCGACAGCGGCAACAGCGTGGGAGAGATATCCGGACACTCGTCGCAGATTAACACCGTCTCTATCCGGCAGCAACGGCCTCTCCGCGCCGCCACCGGCTCCGATGACACAAGTCTCGTATTCTATCATGGCGCACCGTTCAAATTCAACACCAGCCTCAGAGGGCAGCACAACCGCTTTGTTTTTGGGACCGCATTCTCCCCCGACGGCTCTGTATTCGCCAGTGTAGGGGCGGACAAGCGCATTTGGTTATATGACGGAAAGACAGGAGAGGCCAAGGGTCAGATTGGCGAAGGTGTACACACCGGCAGCATCTTCGGCATTTCCTGGGCAAAAGACTCGAAGCGGTTCGTAACAGCGAGTGCGGACCAGACTGTTCGTATATGGGATCCAGAAGCCGGAAAGGCCATCCAGACTTGGAGGATGGGCGAGGAGGGCGTTCCCAGTGTCCCCGACCAGCAAGTTGGCGTGGTCTGGCCCAACGGCCGCAGTGACGGGCTTATCGTTAGTGTCGATCTGGAAGGCAACCTCAACTATCTTGTCGACGGTAACCCGAAGCCTACGCGTGTCGTCCGTGGCCATCAAAAGAACATTACGGCCGCGGCCTTATCGGAGTCCACATTCTTCACTGGCAGCTACGATGGTCGGATACTCGCATGGGACACAAACACAGGTGTTGCAGACAAAGTCGATGGCGAGAGTCATTCCAACTACGTAGCAGGCCTTGTTCGCGACTCCAAGAGTGAGGCCGGCGTGCTCAGCGTTGGCTGGGATGATACTCTGCGTTCTATTTCTGTCCAGAACAAGATCTTCACGGGAGCCGCGAACGAACTAAAGTCTCAGCCTAAGGGAGTAGCCTCAGCGTTGGACGTGGCTCTTGTGCCTTCCTCCGATGCCATTGTAGTATACAAGGACGGAGACAAAGCGAGCTCGTTGACCGTCAAATATACTCCTACCTCTATAGCTGCGCATGGCTCCAATGTCGCTGTAGGAGGCGACGACAAGCTGGTCCACATCTACACCCTGGTCGGTACGGAGCTCAAGGACACTGGCATAGAGCTTCGTCGCGCCACAGCACCCATATCAGCTCTCGCATTCTCTGTCTCGGGCGACAAGATTGCAGCAGGCGCAAACAACGGCAAGATATACGCATTCGAGGCCTCAGGTGATTGGAAAATCGTTACTGATAGATGGTCTGCACACACTGCACGCATCACTGCCCTTGCGTGGGATGCCGATGCTAAGCTCGTAGCGAGCGGCTCACTTGACACGAACGTCATGGTGTGGAGCGTAGAGGAACCGGGTAAACGGATCAAGGCTATGAATGCACACAAAGATGGTGTCACTGGTGTTGCGTGGGAGTCATCAGGCAAGGTACTTTCCGCGGGCGGCGATGCCAGTGTGAAGGTGTGGAAGTTGACCGGCTGAACGGGCGGGACAACCCGATGCTCTCTGCCCTGGGAACTCTGGACCGAAGGCATGGTGAACATGTAATGCAGATAACTACAAGACTGGTGAGCGGTGAGCGGGGCTATGCGTGAAAGGTGAGGCGGGAAATCTACCCACTCATAGAGGCCCAAAGGTTCGCATACGGCTGCTCGCTGTGTATTGTGACCTCTTCCTGCATAACATGTGATTGCAGGACTCTTTTGTCAAGAATACATGCGGTGTCGCGTCAGACGTTTGCCTGGTCTGCCTCGTCGAATAATCGCGCACGAAGACTGTGGCTTGCCAAGGGTAGTCCTCCACAGCCAATGTCAGGGCACTTTGCCCTTGCCCGAAGGTATACATAGGCTGCCTCGTCTCTCTCTTTCGCAATCGCCCCTCCAAACACCATCTGAACCGCACTACCACAGCCCTTGTTTCTTGCATTACCCTTCCATCATCGGCCCAACCGATGGATAGCTCTTTCAGTCATTTTGGTGATCGTGGTTTCCACGGTTTCCAGCAAGAGTACCGCCCTGATGGTATTAACAGCGACCACCTGAGCGTCTTTGGTCAGCAGTTGCAGCAACAGCCGAACGACCAGCAGCAGTCATTATCGCCGGACCAGCCTAGATCTCGCGGCTCCAGCTTCGCCGGCTCACCGACCTCGCCTACTTCAGCTCACCGGCCACCCGTGTCTCAGCCTTCTGCACCTAGGCTGCAGCGTGGCTACTTTCCTATTGGCGCGACTGGGGCCCTGCCTCCAACAACCTCACCGGTCTCTCAGGCATACGAGCTATCGCGATCCCATTCGATGAACGCTCAACTCAACTATGGGTATGACGGAAGTTTTGGTGGCATGCCGATACCCGACGAAAGTGGTATCGTAAGATCAAGGAACAACTCAAAGTAGTAAGTGCCCTTTACACGTTTGTGAAATTACGGGAGATAGATCAACCTCAGGCCATGGATTGGATTGGATTGGAAGTCTTGATTACACCGTGCTACTTACCATTCATGGACGGACGACCTTCGTCGTGGGGATCTGGACGCTGACCTTACCGTGGATGCAGCCATCACGAGACCTGAGCCATACCTAGGTACCTGCCCCACAGCTGCCTGGATTGCCTCATTCTCCGTACCGCAGTATAGCATATTCGCTATCCGAGTACCGCCTTCTGCATCGCTATAGCGAACACAACACAACGGTCTCCAAGTTATATTCTCGCGAACCTCGTGTGCGTCCGCAGAGAGCAACCCAGGATTAAGCCATCTCATCAACTCCACATGTTTTACGGGCTCCAGGTACCAAACCGGGATTACAGCCAAAGGACGAGACGAGGCGGAACATGGCCTACCCGGACGAGCCGTACCCTGGCCAGTGGTGCTGCCGTTGGCAGGGAGCTTTGATGCCTTCATCACATGCTTAAACATGGATGGTCTTTCGACTCTGGGTTGCCGCTTCACACTCGGGTACACCACTACCATATACCGAAAACCAATCCCAATGGCAGTGACGGATCGTTTGTTGGACGTGGATCTTGGACAGTCGCACCACAGCGAGTGTACACCCCTCCTTTATTGCCGGACGTCTTTCCTACTGGCCTAGAAGAAGCCATGCTTTCTGCTTAGGTACAGTATGGCAAGCACAAGTGGCCTTTGCTTTGCACAGGTAGGTTTCCTTGCATTCTCCCCACATCACCCAAACAGTTTCCAAGGAGGTTCCAGTCTCGTTCGGATCCACGATGTAAAATAAATATCATCATCATACGACCCACGGATCCTCGCCTCGCGCGGAACCGCTTCTCTCGGGCCATTCCATTTTGTGATCTGAGGAAGTTCCGTTTCGAGGATTCTATCTATCATTGCGTCCGATACTCAGTCAAGGCTCCTTCGTCTTCAAATTCAGATCGTTCGATTCCCAATTGATCCCACTGCATCGTCCACTCCATTTGATCGTACCGTGGCCGCTTGTTCAAAGCTTTCCTGTGCTGATATACTGTGGTGATCAACATATCTCTGGACAACGCTTACGATGACAACCTAAGGTCTCGTGAAATCGACCTCATCTAGTTGGGCAACTGTCGAACCATCGATTATCTCTCGCTTGTCATTGACGAAGTACGTTGCTCGTTCGTACAATCTTTCTGTTACATGGTCCATGAAGTTCCATTATCGACGTTGGATTGTCGACAGTATGTGTTCTTCAATAGAAGAAGGCTTTTACCACCTTGCTGGGATCTTCCATGTCAGCCCTTGAAACGACAACAACCTGCCCGAGGCCTTCTCCATTTCTGGATGATTATATTTGGTCAGCGCTATCCACTTCAAATTCTGACTTGAGTGGCAACAGTATGGTCAATCAAATGCCCAGCCAAATGCCCACCCCTCGGCACTCGACCTCAGGTTCAATCGATCAACAAAGCCTGCATTATCAACAACAGACATCCCTTGCAGGGTTTGCCGAGTAAGTGATCTCACCCGTGCTCAAAGGTTCCTTCACTGAAATGGCAAGCTCCGTCTATCCTCATCCTACGCCCATCGAAACGCGATCCCCGCTCGTTGTTCCCCAAATTCTATCCCCTTCCTCCCCGCACCACCGTCCCCGCCCAATACCACCCCAGCTGCGAAGAAGAGCCGTCGGTCAGACCGATCTCATGTCAATGATGAACCAATCGGGCTCGTCTATGTCGACAAGTCGAAGTTCAAGTGCAACAAAGGCGACTGCAAGGATCTCACCTTCGGCCGCATGGCAGACCTACGCAGACACTATGAACAAACACATGCTAAGAATCGTGTGCAATACTTTTGTAGAGAAAGCGGATGCCCAAGATCTCATGCACCGACGGGTGGCAGAGGCCGCAGTTTCGGCACGCGAAAAGACAAGAGAGATGAGCACGAGAGGAATGTACACAAGAACGAGCGCCGTGAGAACAGCTACTCCTCCACCGACAATGTTTAACGCTCTGGATATCAGTCGTCACTCTCGTTCACTTCCCGGCAAGATGAGCCTTTACGTCGATGACTATGAGGCTCGCCCTTCAGCGGCTCGATACTCGATAACCGCCGAAGCATACGTTTTGTACAACACACTACTTCGGCGTTACGTTTCTACACCCGGCTCGTACCGTCTTACGGCTTTCGATACCCGTTAAGAATCTCTTGCGACGTGTATGAAAGTACAGCAGCAGCGGTGAATCAGCGAAAAGAAGGGCATTGCAGAAGCACTTCAAAATCGCTTGTATGCATGCAGAGCTCTCAACTTGGGATTCCTACCAAAAGCACTACCGGAGTTTTCTCGTACTTTCTCAACTATATCCCTTTCTCCGTTCTGGTACATACATTCATTGTCTATGGCATTACCATTGACACTGCACTACTTCTCCTCCTCGTTCGCTTGCGTCTGACATGGAGTTATCATTTCTGTTAAGCGTGCTCTGGTGTGGCTCAATTTGTCAAGGTGTTTGACCTTCGCTGCATCCGTAATGCTTATTCATGTACTATATTAGGATGGCGCATCATTACTAAAGATTTACTGTAATTCCTTCCTCTTACTCCTCGTGTTCTCGTATGAAATGAATTTCAAGGTAAGAGACTCTGAAGAGTACAAGATTCTTTGTATGGCCTGTACTTGACTTGCTTACTTCCTACTCCTTCTCCTTTCGTACATGAGCTAGCATGCAGGTTATGGCTCTCTCACATAGCTCCCGTCAGCTGTCATCCTTGATTTGAATTTTTGTTTTTGTTTAGCACGTCAGGCTGTCTGTTGTAGCATCCGGAATTTAGATTAATGCATTCGTTACAATTAACAAAATCTAGCCTTGGTTCTGTAGCGAAACTTTCCAGTAATCGAGCATAGACCGGCTAGGGCAGGTTTTACATAGAAGTCCATGTTCGGAAGATGAGTTCATGATGCTACACAAAATGACCGAGCGTGCAGACGAACAAGAATCGAAACACAGAAACATCTCCGCTTCGCAAACAGCAACCTAATTCTCTATTCTACCTCATGAGCATCCCTCTTCTTTCCACCATGTTGCACGTCGATGCTGTAAAAGTGCACCTCACTTGGGCTATTCCCTTGGTTGTAATTTCCAGCCTTGAAGTAGCTCAGCGGACTCTTCAGTCCGCCAGTTCCCAAAACCTTTTGCTCGCCGCCATCGATTGAAACGCTCAGCTTCCCGTTCTCATACCTGATCTCATACTCAAACTGCTTCCCAATCTTCACCTTGCCCACCTTCGTCATTTTCAAGCTACTCTCATCAGGAACCTGCTCCACGCCCATGGTAACCTCGCCCTTTTCGTTGACGAACAGCTCACACACGGGCTTTTTGGAGACAGAGTCGTCGACGTGGATCTGGCCCACGACGGTTCCGTGCGCAGAGCCATCTGCTTTCACGACCTTGAGCGAGGCGTGCAGGCGATTTACAGACGCCTTTGGAGACCACGAATTCGGGCTTTTCTCGCGAAGCTCGGTGCGGCAGTGCTTGCTGTTTTTGGTGGTCACGCAGCCACAGCTGTCCGAGGAGCCGCAGACTTTTAGGACGAGCGCGCCGTCAGATGTGTTGGTGAAGAACACATCCTTGCTCTTGTAGCCGGAGCAGCCTGCGAGTTTGCTGCCTGAGATTTGGTCTGGGTGAAAGGGTTCGCCTGTTGGGAGCTGGAGGTTGAACTTTGTGAGGTCGAAGTTGCCGCCTGGGGCGCAGGAGGGGTTGAGGCCGCGGGCGTGGAGGGGTTTGGGGTCATTGGGGCGGGGGCGGCGAGGGTGAGGCCAAGTGTGAAGAGGAGGGTTGTTGTTGGGAGGGAGAACATGGTGGATGTTTTAAAATGCTTCGCTGAATGAGCGCGTAAGAGTGATGCTGTATGAACGAAGGACTAGAGGACAGAATGAACGGATGAAGGAAAAGAGTGCGATGCTGTGCGTTAGGCGGCGTGGTTGCTGAGAGTTGTATACAGCGAAGCCCAACTCTACTTATACAAATCTGAAGTCCGCATTCGTTACGTTGGAGTCTGTCTAGGCGCTCGGTGACTCGGTCGTTGAGGCAAGCTTCCGTACGTGGGCGGTAGCTAGTCATCTTTCTAAGCATTCAATCACCGTGATGTTCGGCAGGAAGAAATATTCCGAGAGTGTGGAATGGGGTACATTGAATTGTGAGGTCTATAAAGGGTGGTGCAGGGATATTCTTGAAGTCCTGAACCCGTACAACGGTGTGAATAAGCAGGAGAAAGTCCGCTCCGGTGCTCGCTTACGCTATTCGAAGCCAGCTCAAGCCCTTGCGTAGCCAGATGTTTGGTTTCAGCGTGCGACAACCGTGGGTTATCGGTGCACGCATTAGGTCAAAGTGTTGTATCGTATACGACGATGCCTTCCGACAATGCCCGTGGAATTCTCGAGGTCCTACGGGCCGCGAAGGAGGGACACACAAAAGTCCAAAGTCAGCAATGTACCGGCCATAAAATCTTCCAAGACGCCCCGGACAATATCGCATGATTGTCTCTATTAGTGATGCAACTCTAGCAAAGGTAGCGCTTGCTGCACTATCGTTGCTGCTGTTGCAGTGTGTAGTTCAGGGGAAGGGAAGGGAAGCGCTACGGCCCTTTCCAGCCTCGCACACCCGCCAGCGAGACCCACTCACCCACTTTGGGGTACCTTGGCAACATCTCAACGTTCAGCGAGGTCTTCCAAGTCACATAAAATGTTGCAACCTCCCGCAATGAGCTCGATCTGGTACTGGGTGCTCGTCTTGTCTTCACGAGTCAATGACGATGATGGCGCGGAGCGGCTCGTTCGCCATGCCGGCTAACTACCAGCCTAGCATCAAACACTGGCGCGCTTGTACGAGCATACCCTAATCTAACAAACGCTGCAGAACATTCGGCGATGCCGTAGCTTCCCTAAGAGCCCTTCCTCTTCCTGGGGAAGAAGGATAATGGTTATAGTGCGCTGAGGCTGAAGCGATTGTTCTCAGCTGAACATCTCCCAATCCTAACCAATTGTTACCGTAAGACTGGATATTACTGGCCCCAGTTTTCGGCCTGTGCGACAAATTCTAGGAAACACGCAGCTCCTTTGCCACGCCACGATTGCCGTACAATACCAACGTATATGCTCCACTTTGACTACGATTGATAGATTGGTCAACAGTGCTTCGAGAGGCAACTTCGCTATGGTAGGTGTACCCAAAAGTACCGGTAAGTGTCGCCTCGCGCGCGCACGCGCTAGCTGTAACATATGGGCATGACTAGGTTGCGCAACATGTCGGAAGCGGAAGATCAAGGTAAACCCCAAATATCTTGAGAATCGTCTTCCTGAAAAAGCTAACTGGTGAAGTGTGACGAAACTTGGCCGACATGTAAAAATTGTCGCAAGAATTCGAAGCTCTGTCCAGGTCCACCTGCTCGTCATACCTTCAGAGACCTAGGACCACTCTTGAATGACCAGGGCAAGCGCTCCAACACAAAAACTTGTGTAGTTGCTAAAGATGAAGGCCAGTAATCCGACTTGAATCATTGCCGCGCTAATGTTCAATGAAGGCCATGAAATGACTCAACTAACTCATCTACTCGCAAAACGGACCGAGGCAGGAGCCGTCGTTCTCAAATTCCGACTTTCTCGAATTGGACATGAAACCGAGAAAAGAAAGCAGTCTCCGAGAGGACGTTCGACCAATGCGAAGTCTTTAATGTTACCCTGGTCGACACTGCATAGCCCTCTGTCAACTTCTCCGTCTGATGATTTGGCACGGGCACTAGTAGAGATAATGACAACAGAACACTTCGGCTACGGTATCTCAGACTTTGGTCCTTTTATGCACGAGGTTCCGCGCCGCATTGGTCACAATGCTGCACTAGACGCTGCCGCAGCTTGTCTCATCTATACGCGCACCGCTGTGCTTCGTACCGAACCATTAGATGATCTCAAAAGCCCAAAACTCTATCTAGCAGCTGTTCAGAAGCTTCAGCGCTGTTTGGTTGACCCCGATAATGACATATCTTCAAACACACTTTGTGCTGCTGTGCTATTGAGCCTTGTAGAGGTAAATATACGGTAAGCCAGATCACTTACCGTTCTTATGCTAACAATAAACAAGGCGCTAGCCGGCCCTCGCATAGACAATTCGTATCTTGCACATATCGGTGGTGCGGGCCGTTTGCTAGAAATCCAAGGTTCGGGAACCTGCCAGGACGATTTCGCAAAGGAGATACTGCGCTTCACCCGAGGCGGCGTTGTAAGTAGATGAAAGCTTGGCTCCACACGCAGGCTGTCTCGGAATCACGGCTCATGCTGATGCCACTGTGAAGATAGTAACGTCTATTTACAATGCAGAACCTTGTTTTCTACTGTCGCCTGAGTGGCGCGATATAGCGTTCGATAACACCGGTTCAAGCCTTGAGGAACATCTCTACACAGACGTTCTACACCTGTTGGCCGAAGTTCCTGCCTTGCTCAAAGATTTGAAGGAGCTGGGTTTGTTATCAGTGCCAATGCATCAGCTCCCGGATGGTCTTCTTGCGGACGACATGGGAGGTATTCTGCTTCAAAATCTTAGCTCAGACACCGACCCTGAGACGGTAAACATTCTACACGCAGCTTTTGACCTCGAATACAATTCAGGCCCAGACCCGCGGACCGAATCGCACCTAAGAGAACCGCATCCCGTTCGCAACAAAGCCTACGCCCTCAAAAGCTCTCTCCATACCATAGGGGCTCAGCTCGCATGCCATCTCACAGACGGCTCCTTCGCCCACGAACTCCCAAGTTGCGAACCCTCCAACCCCCTCCCCACCGCTTACCGCTTTTCCCACTGGCGCACCGCCCGCGTCTATACCATCCACTGGTCCCTCACCATCATCCTCAACAAAACCCTCCTAAAGCTGCTCCCAACCTACGAGCCCTCCCGCTACGCCCTAGAAGCCGAATGCAGCACTATCGCGCTGGAAATCTGCAAGACGTGGGAAAACGCGTGGACGAACAGGCCGATTGGCGCGTGCCACGTGTGGCTGGGATTTGTGATGGCGTATGAGTTTTGTGGCGACGAGGTGCAGAGCTGGATTCTTGGGGCTTTGAACAGGTTATTGGAGGACCAAGGGGTGGGGAGTGGAGGTGGACGGAGGAGGTGGTGGGGTGATGTGTAAGAGGTTGATGGGGGAAGGGGATGTCTTATCCTCGATGGGCGTTCGCTAATTCCGAAACTTGAGTTGGATTTCCTGCCGATACATGTGACCTTCAAGAATTTGACGTCTGAACTCGACATGATATTCAATTACGGACATTGCCGTCATTGCACAGCTATCTGCACTATCCACATTGAGAACGCCTCAAGCGAGAAAACCGAAAGGAAGAGAAAGTCACCCCCATCCATTCGCCTGCTCCTCCAAAACAACGACTAAAGAGCGTTGGCGGTAAGCGTTCCCTATAACACAATATCAAGAATGTTCATTCTGTCGTGATGCAGCCCATTAAGATGTATCCGCCCAAAGCCCATATTCGCCGAGTGGTACCCAGCCAGTAGGTATGCTCCCTAAGATCTCAGAACGCCTTTTCGTAATGCGTTCGTGAAAGGTCAAATATATCATACAACATTCTCAAAGGCGTTTGCCAATTTACACAGTGAAGTCCAAAAAGTCGCACGAGGCGTCTAAGCTGCCCATTGCTTGAAGCTCGAGCTCGAATTGGGAATATGAGTTATCCGGCAATTCGAACAGCTCGTCGAGCTCGTCCTTCGGCTCTGCAGGTGACGTAGGAGGAGTCGTGAACGGATTTGACTGGGTAGATGATCGAGAGGGTGTAGACGCGACCTTCAGTGGACTTGAGTGCACTGGTACCTTGCCGCTACTAATAGACCCAGAAGAATTGGGACGTTGATTGGCTGGCGACATAGGCGGCGTATGTGTAGGTTGAGAAAAGTGTTGTAGGAGAGCCATTGACGTCAGATCATCAGCATAAGAGCTGTTGGACGCGAAACTGGAGGCGGAATGCTCGATGTAGGGCTTCGCATCGGATTCAAAACTGTTCCATCGATTAGTGACTACTCGAGAAATTGGCAGAAAAACGCTTACGAGTAATGGTCTGATGTCGAGCTCATTGCACCGTGAAAGCTCGCTGTCTCATGAAGCATCGTTGAGGGAGCCTGCGTCTGCAAGTCATCCTCAAAAGGCGGTGGAGAGGAACTTGGATCTGACATTGGCGAGCCTGCGGAGACTGAGGAAGACGCAGATGCTAGCACACGGCGGGTCCTGTTGGCCTTTTCGACACGGTCATCCATCTCTGGACGATGCTTCTTCGGACGGCCGCGCTTCACGTTCTTTCGTACTACGTTTTCGAATCCACCTACACACATACCGCGCTGGCGATGGCGCGTCAGTGCGTCTTGTCTTGCAAAACCAGCGCCGCATGGGCACTTGTAAGGCTTGTTACCGGTGTGGATTTTCGAATGTCGTTTGAGGTCGTGTTGGCGAACAAACTTCTTGCCGCATCCATTGCACTTGTATTGCCTGTCGCCAAGATGTGTTTGAACGTGCGAGCGAATGTTCTCTCGCCGACCGAAGATCTTGCCGCACTCCGGGTAGAGACATGTCCACTTGTTGGTACTCTGATCTTGCTCGCTAATATAGCGTTGTACTTCCTCTGGAGATATGCCAGTGTACTCGAGACTGGCATCAATCTCAAATTCGGGCAAGAGTGAGGGTTGCGATAGGGAGGCTGCAGGTAGGCCATTCATTGACATCGCTGCGCTAGACGGAGAAAACATGGGAGCCTGAGAGAAGGCTTGATTCGGAAGCTCTGCAATGTGTTCTTGAGCGGGGAACTCGGGAATGTTCTCCAAAAAAGCCTGCATTGACTTCTGGTGAGGAGAGGATGTAGGCGATGGCGAAAACGCATCCGACGTGTAATATGACGAGGATTCGTACCCCATGTCATAGTCGAGGCTCTCAAAGTTGAAGGTCATCGCATTTGAGCTCGGTTGCAGGTTGATGTCTGCGAGGTCTGAGAAGCTCGGCGCAAGCGCAGCTGACTCTAACTGCTGCAGGAGTGCTGGCTGAGCCGCCTTCTGTGGCGTCGCAGTGGGTGTCGGGAGAGTGATGAAGAGGTTAGCATTGGGGCCATATACTGCTAGTACATCTTCTTGTAGATCTTTTATCCTCTGATCTACAACTGCTTTGGTAGGCGAGTTAGGAGCTCGATGGGGAGAGTGAGGAGGCCGCGGGGGAGACTGCGGCCGAAGAGTCCGGTGAGGAGTTCGCGGTGATGGGAGAGAGGTCTGTACTGGGGATCGCAAAAAGGGTCGCTGGGGGCCCGGCTGGGGCTGGCTGTGCGTCCGCGCTACTTGCATAGTATGCTGTGGTGGTTGTCCTAGGTTAGTATTACTTACCGTACCATCCGGGATAATCTGTTCCGGAATGGTAGCAGCAGTCCCAGACCTCGTCACTGCCTCGAGGTTCAAGCCTCTGAGGTCAAGACTCATGCCTGTCCGCTGCGTTCGTCGCTGTTGTATGTTAGTCGGTAGTGGTTGCAATCGGGGTGCCTCGAACGCTGCCGGTGTTGAGTTCTGTCGTCGGTGAAGCGTTCTTCGGCGTTGGATGCCCGAGGGTGCATTTGTGGACAGCATATTGTATGCTCGTCGAGTCCGGGTATTGTTGTCCAAGGAAACGGGTGTCCTGTTGGGTCCGAATCTATAAACAAACCATCAGAAAGGCTCCAAAGCGGATAACTAAAGCTGCACGCAAATTGGTAGGAACATACCTCACGCAGTGCAAGCGGCGCTCCGCCGGGCGGTTTAGGTCCTTATGGTCTCCTCAGTACAGTCGCAGTCTCCCAGCAGCCTGCTCAAGTAAGTATGCGGCCGAAGCCTGTCAAATGTGTGTGTGTAACGTCGGAAAATGCGCGGTCTAGCTCAATAGACCCAGTGCGATAGATGCGTGTTTGATGAAGGTGGGTGTGGATTGGGATGCGTGAAGAAGGATGCTCCGCAGGTGACGATCTCCAAGTCCGTATCTGGGACGATAAACACAAGCGCCCGCTCCGTTACCCAGCAACGCTGTTGGGCCTGGGCCGGCGCTTGCACGCTAAGCCACGTCATGCTCTGCCGATCGACCGCCAAGCCGCCAAGCGTCGCCACCGGAACCGGCGCAGCGTTTTGCCCGGCGCACACATTTAATTTGTTGGTTGAGCGCTCCGCACCACCAAACTTTCTGTACTGACGACTGAGGAAGACAACCAGCTTGTCTAGGTACGAACACCTCTCCCTGCCGCCCGCGCGGAACAGCGCTGCTCTCGCGACGAGCTTTACTGACAGCTCCCAGGCCGCCATGCAGATTTTCGTCAAGACCCTCACGGGTAAGACTATCACCCTTGAGGTGGAGTCTTCGGACACCATCGACAATGTGAAGTCCAAGATTCAGGGTACGTTGCGCGCTGTTATACAATATCCTGAGTACCAAGCTAACGCTACCCAGACAAGGAGGGAATTCCCCCGGACCAGCAGCGCCTCATCTTCGCCGGAAAGCAGCTTGAGGATGGCCGCACCCTCTCCGACTACAACATCCAGAAGGAGTCGACTCTCCACCTGGTCCTCCGCCTGCGTGGTGGTATGGCGAAGAAGAGGAAGAAGAAGGTGTACACCACCCCCAAGAAGATCAAGCACAAGCGCAAGAAGACCAAGCTCGCTGTCCTCAAGTACTACAAGGTCGACGGCGACGGCAAGATCGAGCGCCTCCGCCGCGAGTGCCCGCAGCCCGAGTGCGGTGCTGGTGTCTTCATGGCCGCCATGCACAACCGTCAGTACTGCGGCCGTTGCCATCTCACCTACGTCTTCGACGAGTCCAAGTAAACGAAGACCGAGTATGATAGGCATATGACATGATGGGACGGCACGTACGAACGACTAGATGGACCGAATAGGCTCGTCGAGACGCTGGACATGTAATCATCAATCAAACCTGTCTTGAGACTTTACAATTGCTGCTTCTTGAACGACGATCATTCGATACCTGCTTGCCGTGATTTATGAGGTTCGCGAGAACCTAGAGCTGTTAGGATCAGATGCATTGTTCTAATTACATGTATCGTCTTGAATTTCTGCGTCCAGAAGGGTATGCATAATCAGAATTCCATAACATCGCCATTCTCATCCCGCTCCCTCTTGATCCCGCCTTTCTCCTTCTCCTCCTTCAACAAACCCGCTACGAACACTCTGAAGTATTCAATGTACGGCTTTAGACTGGTCTTCTCCCAGTCTTGTATCTTCTTCTCTGAATCTTCCCCTGACCATTCATCGATCTCAACCAGCAACTCTGTGACTTTGGGGACACTGAGGGGGTCAAATTCCTCCACTCTTCTTGGGTCGATCGGCACACATATCCGCCCTGTGGCCGGATGAACAACGAATGGCGACTTGAGCAAATGGTTGAGCTTCTTGCCAACATCAGCGTCTAGACGTGGATAGGTGTACTCCAGCACGATGTCCTGCTTTGCTTCTAGAAGTTCCTTAGAGGATTTGGATAGCGCACCGGACTTCGCGACGCTATCGATATCGGCCCATTTCGAAGCGCTAGGTCGCCCTGGTGAGGAATCCCATTTCTTCTGCAACGCCTCTCGGAGCTTTGTGTCAGGGATCAAGTTGAGTAGATGAGCAGAGTTTTGTTCAGCCCACGGATCTTGCTCTGCAAGAATAGTCGTTTGGAAGTGCTCTTTAAGGATACTAAGACTCCGTTCAAGGTGTGGGTGCAGTGGCCGCCAGACATTGACCTTCTTTCCGCCTTGGTCACCTCCCTTGAGCAGTTCCAGGTAGCCGTACACCGCGCGTCGTTTTGAGTCGTCCATTTCTCTTGCGCGCTTATCGCAGACCCAGGCGTGGGCTCCTCTTCGACCGGAGTATACCCACATAACGTGTTTAAACCCGAAGTCGTCGCGCAACGCTACGTCCACAACTTTGATAGACATTGTGATGAACGCCCAGCACTTCTGGCATATGTTCGCGCCTGTGCAGCATGTTCGAATGTCGTCGTAGGCGTCCATATCGATATCGAATACGAGCTCTCGTGATATTGGGCGGAACGCACTGGCTTTTCGTAGGGTTTTGCGATCGCGAGGATTCGTTGAGTACACAGGCCCGATATCGATACGCGGTGGGGTGTCTGCGATGCACCGCTTGCGAAGCAGATCGGCCGTAGGGAATGACTGGTATCGTTGAAGGGCATCGTTGGACAGTGTGAAAGCGAATTCGCGGTGCGCAAAGTCGTTAGAGGGTACAGCAGAGTGGTTCAGCCACTGGAAGAAGAAGCGGAAGGGGAAGAGGCGCTGGTAGAAGGCGCGCATCACATCTGGATCTGAGTACTGCGATTTGTCTGAGATCTTGCTGTATGATGTTAGTGAGTGGCCGTCTTAGGAAGACCTAGTTGGCGTACAAAGTTGCTGCAGGCTGTGAGGCATCCTCTTCTGACTTGACTGGCGCACTAGAAGCGAACTCTTCGTCAGAGTCCTCATCGTCGAAAAGATCTTCCAGGTTCACTTTCGCCTTATCTTCGACTTCTGCACTCGGTGCGTCGTCCATTGCCATGTCTTGTGTGCCTGGTTCCGACTTGGCGATGAGTTGCTCCACAGCAGGTATGGCTTCTGGTGTGACTGAATGGGGCATTGTGACTTCTTTGTGGGATGATCAACAATGGTGTGTGGCTTGTATCGCGATCCGTAACAGAGTCGTGGGCTTGCGGCCAGGACGCGTCGAGCGCGTAAAGTGATGGTGGCCCATGCGTTCGTGCGTTTAGCGTGTCAATGGTCGCTCCTACCATGTAACACTCAATCGTCATATTGCCAAGACATGACCTGGTACTTCATCTCTATCCGTGTGCTCGAGGGATGAGACAGGACCCCTTCCATTCAGAACATGGGCCAGGAGGAGACAGTCTTCGGCGATGGCTGGGTTTCAGATGATTCGAGCTTCTACGGTACGTATCAACCTGCACCGCCTCTTACGTGTATGTAAACGTTGACCCTATTGGATGGGGCACACACACTGAAGACTCATGACCAACCTTCGTCTTTTCACATCAGACCGAGACGCTTGGACAATTAGCGGCGCGCGCTAATATACTCGCTAGGCGACGAATGTGAGCAGGACCGGCTTGAGACATTCTGTGAAGAGTTCCGACCTGTCAATGCTTGGTCCACGCGCAAGCACGACCTGAATGGCATTGCATTCAAGTACAGGAACGTACCCCCGCCTAAGCTCAGCAACCCTGGCGAAGGTCAGCTAGTATCATGGCACTTGGGCGAGACGGCGGAAGACTTTGTCAAGCGGCTTCCTCCCGTCACTACGTCGGCCTCTGACTGTGAATGGATCTGGGTACATAATCCGTATCCAGAAGACCACGGTGGATCTAAGGTGACCAACGTTCTCGATTTCACTGTTCGCGGACAAGGGTTGCTCGCACGGAGTCTCCGGACACGCAGGGACATCGAAGCGAACGGCCAGTCGAAGAACAGAAGTGTGATCGCTCGACACCTACATGAAGAGAGCAATTTTCTTCATCAACGGATTACCGAATTGGCTGTTGAAAGTAATGTGGTCTGCGGCAAAGTGAGCTTGTGAGCCCGCACCTGATTGGCCCAGTCTAACCAGCAACAGTGGATGTTATTCCCCTCACTAGAGGACCTCACTCGTATCTGGCGACTCGTTGTTGATGGTGTCATCAGTAATCGTTTGGGGCCTACTGCGAAAGTAGCCCCGGACCAGGGTAAAGCTGGAGAGCGACTGGTCTGCATTTACACCAAAGACTTCAGGGACAAAGACGACGTCCTTCGTGTGTTGCGAGAGCTAGTCTCCATGGGTGTAAGTGAACCCAAGTGTATGATGGTCGCGAAAAGCAAACATTGATCGGGTGCAGGTGGTCACCCAAAGGAATAAACCAGTATACTACAAACCGGATGCATACACCTACCTAGACATCTACAAAGCATCGGCGGCTGAGTACGGCCTACAAGCAAGTGTCTACTCGAGCCAGAAGCTATTGGCTGAAGAGAAGCCCCAACAGGCAGTCCTAAGTCCTCGAACGCAATCGAGCCTCAACCGCTTCGTCAAGACTGTACCAGAGTAATGGGTGGGCTTACTGGCATGTCGAATTGCAGCCCCATTTGATCTACCACGTGAGATGACGTTCCAAGCTCAGCAGACCAATATGTCACGAAGGGGATTTGATCTCATGCCAATGTACATTGATCTTTTCCTAGAATCTCACTTCCAGCTGCCTCTACAACAAGTCAATCGCAAAACTGTTTCAACGCAATACACACATCTTCACTTCTCCTCGACTCTTGGGCCGCTCCAATCTCGTGCACGGAGACTCTTGAAAGACGATATTCGCAATTTAGCGCACTTCTAATCATGTTAACATGGATCACAGCGATGCATGACTTGCAACGTAAGAGAAACCCACCCCGGGCTACTGACTACTATCAAGCGTAGAATCGAATCGGAAGCTCAGATGTAGTCTACGGCTGAATCCTGCACGACGTAGCTGGAACGTGGGTTGTGTTTTTGATCTGCCGTCTTGCATGTTCGTGTTGGTCAATACGCTACTGTAAAAGGCCCGCGCTCCGGATGCACGCAGAGGATTTCTATTACTCGATCAAAATTCAGCCACGACGTTCGCCACTTCACCGTGTGCGACGAAACGCTGATGTTCACCCTCGTTGCGTTCGGATGATTGTTGGAGACAAGCGTGGACCTGTCATGCGTTTACTGTACGAGACCTTGTTGATTTACGTCGGCTGCGAATAGGCCAAAAGACAGGTGACAGGTGACAGGTGACTCAGCAGCCAGACCGCCACCGCTCCGGAAGATGTAGGGCTGCACTCGCCGAAAGACGGCTGCCATGGTGAGATTTGGGACGACTCGAGACGAACGGCGTACTGGAACCATCAGTCCTAGTGTCAGTGGAGAGGTGGAGTGCAAAGTCTTCGGCGGCCTCCGATGGGCAGGAAGCTGGTGCTGGCAAGCGGTAAGCAGTGACGAGGTCGTGCTGCATTTCAGTGACTCGATGGGAACTGTTTCTATCGAGTAATGTACTGTTGGGAGCTCGCTGACAATCCCTCTAGCTTGTCCCGGTCGGGAGCGCCGGCGCTGGCTCCGTCCTTCACCTCTCCGAACAGTACCCATGCAGCAATACAGCGACGAAGACGACGACATTCGTGCCAACACCACTCGAGAGTAACCAGACGAGGCCGTGGAGGCGGCACAACAGGTACCAGGGACACGACGAATGTTCCGACTTTAAGTGCAGTCGTCCGGTACACGTGCGCTAGCCCTGCGCCGATCTCGGTTGGACGCGCCCTTAGTCGATAGATAAGCGGCAGACCCTGCGCATCTAGAAACGCCCCTTATCGCGCCTGCCGCACCACACCGACATCCCTGCCGCGTCCTCTTCATCGTACCAGATCTGGCGGTTTTGACAACGGCCTTGCTTCGGTGGCACGCCAACATCTTGTTCCAGCATGGTGCCCCGCCAGCCTGCAAATGTGAATGGTGGATGAACATCCCCTGCGAGCGTTGCGACCATGCTGGCCGGAGATGCGCACGAAGAAGCCTAAAAGGTATCGATAACTTGTGTCCTAGCAGCACGTTCCAATTTCTATCGAGTAATCCCCACACTCTTGCCGCTGTCCCGAAGTCTATCCATTGCCCATGGCCGCTATGTGAGGCGTCTGAGTGGATCCAAGCATCTCGACTCGGCACAGCCATGCTAAAGACCGATAGATAAGGGTCTGCACCCCAGATTTTGCTTTGACAGATCCGGCTCGACTTGCAGAGTCTCTTGCTCTTTATTTCGCCGTGTTACACAAGACAGTATTGCTCACAAGCACTGCCTTCGGACTGAAGCATTCCATACGCCGCTTATCTTGCTTATCTATACGGGCCTGCCTATCTAGACCTTCACGGACAGACTTCACCGTACAAATCGCTTGTAGCTCTTAGCTCTTTACTCCTGCTAGAGCACGCATAAACTTGAGCTTGCAACAACTTCCCCGGATTCTTTGTCCGTCCCACTGGCACCATGGCTCCCCACGCAACTACCCCCCCGCCCATGCCTCACAGCGTGCCAATACACCCTATCACTATTTTCGCTTCCTCAAGAGCAGTGGTCGCTGGCAGGTTGACCGAAGCCACCATTGTCGTCTCCAATGTTACCGGCAAGATTACATCCATTTTCCATTCCGTCCTTCCACCAACAGACTGTAAGTAGCGATGCTCAAGTAATCCTAGCGGCACATACTAATACCATTGGCCGTATAGTTCCCGAGGGTACCTCCTACACCGACTACTCACCACACATGCTTCTCCCCGGCCTAGTAGATGCTCATGTACATCTCAACGAGCCGGGTCGGACAGAATGGGAAGGCTTCTGGACTGGCACTCGTGCTGCTGCTTTTGGAGGTGTAACGACTGTTGTTGACATGCCACTCAATGCTATCCCGCCTACCACTACAGTCGAGAACTTGAAGATCAAGATCGAAGCTGCTCAAGGAAAGTGCTGGGTTGACGTCGGCTTCTATGGTGGGGTAATCCCAGGCAATGCTGGCGAGCTTCAAGCTCTTGTTAAGGAAGGTGTCAGGGGTTTCAAGGGCTTCTTGATTGACAGCGGTGTACGTTTCTACACATCAATCTCATTGCGAGACAGACTAATGACTCTTCAGGTCGATGAATTCCCTGCAGTCAAGCCTAACGACATTGAGCTGGCTCTCAAAGAACTCAAAGACTCCGCCACCACACTCATGTTTCATGCCGAGATGATCCCTCCCATCACCGATTCGGTAGGCGACGATGTTCAGCGTGCACACCCACCTGTCGCCCCTACCGGTCCTCTAACTCACTACTCGACGTTCCTCGACTCCCGCCCCCCTTCTTTCGAAACCTACGCCATCGCCGAGATCCTCTCCCTCGCTCACCTTGCCCCCGACCTCCAACTTCACATCGTGCATCTCTCCGCCATCGAAGCTATCCCCATGCTCCGGGAAGCCAGAGCCAACGGCATCAAGATCACCGCAGAAACCTGTTTCCACTACCTGACACTTGCAGCCGAGAACATCAAAGCCGGCGACACGCGCCACAAGTGCTGCCCACCCATCCGCGACCGATCCAACCAGGACGGTCTCTGGAATGAATTGCTACAAGACCTCGACGGCGGCGTTATCCAAACCGTCGTATCCGACCACTCACCCTGCACTCCTGATATCAAGCTTCTTCCTGCCCACCTCGCGCCGAGGAAGCCAAGCACGCGGAAGTCAGGTCTTGTCAAAGACTGCAACAGCTGCTCTTCATCCGAAGGCGAAGAAGAACTCGCCGAAGAGAAGGGAGACTTCTTCAGCGCCTGGGGCGGTATTTCCTCCGTTGGTCTCGGGCTGCCCATTCTTTGGACCGAAGGCACAAAGCGCAATTCTAACTTCAGCGTCGAGGAGATCGTCCGATGGTGCTGCAAAAACACGGCTAAGCAGGTCGGGCTGGAACACAGCAAGGGCGACTTGAGTGTGGGTCTTGACGCGGATATCGTTGTTTTCGACGATGCGGCGGAATTTTACGTGGAACCGAGCACGATGCTTTTCCGGAACAAAATCTCGCCGTACCAGGATAAGACGTTGAAGGGTGTTGTCCGGGAAACGTGGTTGAGGGGTGAGCGCGTGTTCAGGAGGGAGGAAGGTTTCTTGGAGAAGGTTGGGCCCAAGGGGAAGTTGTTGCTTGAGCCAAGAAAGGTGGTGCAGTGAGGAATTGGAAAGAAATTCCCCCGCTGCAAGGCATGCCTGATTCGAAGCCGGGTGGATTGGGCTATCGGGCAGTTGCAGGTCTTTCTGTTTGCATGGCGTTGTAGCTTGCATTATATCACGATTCAGCATTTGGCGTACAGGCATGGTGGGGTCAGGGATCTAATGGGCACCATAGAGTCATGTCTCATAGCAGACCCCTCGAACGCAACAATAAAATTCAAGGAACGTACCTCCAACGAAGCTTGCTGATCTGCCAGGTGCTACGGATTGATGAGTGTGGCATGCGTGCGAACCTTTCGTTCGACGGAGTGCGGTGTACCGGACAGACGAGAAATGGCGCGCGCGACAGTGTTGTTGAAGTAGGGCTAGATGTTCTTTCGTCCATTGACACATCTTCTAAATTCCGAATCGTCCTAGTTACTTGAGCAGAGGGCTTAATTCTATCCGATCGTGCGTGAAATTCGATAAGCTTTTGGTTACATGGGACATGCATTGTCCTTTTCGCAATCGGTCTCTAGTGGTACGTGGTCGTGCTCACAAGACCTTTTTACATAACATTGGCAAGGGTAAGGCACACACGCGGGAGTGACCACTATGTGGGAAACTATGACTGGCAGAGGTAATACCTGCGAAGCGGAGGGACACGACGAGTGACTGGTGAGTATCGGAGTGGGCTAGACTTAGTTATGTTTGCTACCTTTACTGCTGATGTGGCTGAATTTAGGCCGAGATCAGAGATTGCTCACGTCGTCCCACACCTTTCGACATGCTTCTAGAAACCTGAAGAAGGTTTCGGTTTTTCGGTTGCAAACATCACAAGAGTGTACAACAATCAACATGTACAGTTGGTCTTCGTTCCTGCTCTAGCCTCGTGGTCTATCGTATATCATGATTGCTTCAACGAGTCCTTGCATGCCAGACTTCCTACCTACTCACGTTAATGTGCTGTTAGTCCATCGTTACAGTTTGCGTCGTCCTGATCTTGCGGTAAGCTAGTTTGATTGTTCCCCCCGAAGACGGCAAGGATTGATGTAACGGGACCTGTTCAAACAATTTGCAAGGCCACTGCCGACTCTTTGGTGGGGTTCAAACTATTTCACGTTGCACTCTGCCTTACACCCTCCCAGCGGAACTTCAACCTCGTGTTCGTGGAAGGAATCAGAATAGGCGTCGTGGCTGAGCTCATTGTCATCACATGTCCACGTCTATAAAATCATCAATCTCCGCCTCATATGTGAAGCGAAATTCAGCTTTTGCAGCCACTGCTTTCTCTCGTGCCACCTCTACGGCGTTCTGTCACTACATTCACGCATCGGTCTATTATCATCGCGTACCTCGTACAATGATGTGGAGCGTAAATCGAAGGAGCACCGCACTACTGATAGTTGGTCACTGCTAGGTGCGTACAGAGTTTCCGGTGTCACTGACAGTCCCATCAATTGTATAGATGGGAGACTGTCACACAAACAGATGCGAAAGAGTGCGCGGCCTTGTTTGAGAGAGGAATCCCCTGAATTAGATGAGATATACCTTCGGAGGCATGCCTGCGGTATCGTCGTCCAAACGAGCTCCCTCTGGTTGTTGTGATCAATAGAGTCGCGATCCTGCGCTGTGTCTCGAGCCTTCGCTTTGAAGCAGAAAAGGTTCAAGACCGAAACCTCTTATCTAATGGCACTATCAGTCTTGTCCATAACAGAGTCATTCATGTCTGACGCAGACGGTAGGCTGCACTTGCGACCGCCGCAATCGGTTCGTACAACTTCACCAGACCGATATTAGTGTAACACGGCTCACTAGTCCCACCACGCGACGCACACAGCCAACCACGATCTGCATGTATCAGAACACGATGTTTTGTGTAACTTACCACGGTCTTCGCCCCCGGACACAGCCTCAGCTCACGCGTCGACCCATCTTTCTGACGTTCCAACCCCACAAACTTCATCATCTTCACCATCCGCTCGACATGATGTTTTCCTCATTGTCACCTTCCACGTTTTCCGATGCGTGGGCCGTCGGTATAGCCCTTGGTAGCACAGGGCTCATGTTAGGCACGTATGCGCTACTGTTTTTCATGCGGGTGCGAGGTCGCAAAGCGCGCAAGGTACGCTTAGGATCTCAACGTGGGTCTGCGCTATGGAACTGAATTCGCGCAGAGTTTTGAAGTCAAGAGAAAGATATCTGCTCCACTTCCAGCGCGCCCAAAGACGGATGGGTACGAGCTCGAGGAAGGTGAGTGGCGGTGTATATCATGGAATGCATAGCATGCTAATCGACTCACGGCTCTAGTAAAAGGAGGTAGATTTTCGAACCGAGGTGTGAATAGTGGCATGTGGGATGATGCTCCTGAATTCAGGGATTAGGTTTCAAGTATCTACCATGCGCAGTTACGGGAAGGGAACAACTTCAGAAAGCACTGTAAGTGTATCGTCAATAGTATATTCGTGGCACAACTTTTACAAGAGACTTCCGCTTCAAGTATGCGTTCTCTTGGTGAAAGACTACAGAGACGCAGCGGATCCGCCACGTTTGTTCGACCTGTGGTTTCGAACCTCGGAGCGACGCACTGAAGGAGGAAGGCTTTCCCTGGATGGTCAAAGTGTAACCAGACAAAGTTTTGTATCTCTTTTGGCAAAGCAGATGTGGTCCGAATTGGGTCACCCCACTTCTTTCTGTATTCCCCCCACATTCACGCTGAACCCTTTTGATCTTGCCCAGATGATTGTGTAGTATAAGTATTTGCCTTGGCCAACTTGTGTTATAGAAGATACGATTGTCGTCTCATGCGCTCTTTCTGATCGCTATTTGAAACTGTATATTCTTTAAAGTTCTCCGGTTTGTTGCATCAAGGCACAAATTCGCACTTGCCTTATTGTGGTTTCCTTTCCAAAACCCTTATCTCGGTAGTCCAGATATGTTCATGAGTCTTTACACCTGATTGGAACGGACCTTAGACATACGCACGTGAAACGGTGAGCATCGTGAGAACCACTTATAGGAGCACGTTACAGAAGTCTGACGCAGATCGGGCGGACCAAGCGAAGCTGAAAGCAGTGCACAAGCGTGGGCGGAAAGTGAGCTCGATGAACAGTCGAAGCTTACTCTCTACGGTAGTTCATTGCTTGCAGAGCTTGTTTGTACCGAGGGAAAGGCAAAGACCGTGAGACTATCGCACCACCGGCGGCCCGCCCACCGCATTGAACGCACATATCCCATGCTAGACCAGGCAAGACGTAAGGTACGCGACGGTCACGTGCATGACGCACCCTCCGGTTCATCTCCGCTTGACCATAAATCTAAGGACGAACACCTAAGAAGCTATAGCCGCTGCTACGGGTCAGGGATGATACGACCGCTTGAACGCCTCCAATCCTTGAAGATGTGTAAAGACTCATTCATGATCAAGGGTAATCTCACAATGGTAATGCGCCACATGTGTAGAAGTCTTCCATACATGGGTGCCAGATCTATCCCATGAAGCAGTCAACTGCTTCTTTGCCCACAAGGATCTCTTTTCTTTGACCTGTTTCGGAATATGGGATAGAGGACCCCATGGCACAGACGCATACCTAAACCGGCTCCCAAGCGCGCCTACGTCCATAAGTCGTCTGATACATCCATTATTTCCGCCAGATTCGCTGCAACAGCACGGGCTGGGAAGTGACGACCCACAAGGCCTTTTTACTGGGCGGGGAGGCATATGAGTATTTGACTAAGTATGCTAATGGGGGAACACAGGACCCAAATATCACCGTCGACATCAGTAGCGGAATCTACTACGTGCACTGTATGCACTTCATGTCATGATGTACCAAGATGTGCCTGACACCGAGGTCACCGCCATCACTGAGTACGTCGTCCCACGATCCATAACCGGAAATTGGTGTACGAGCATGTTTGCGGCGTGGCGCTGCAGCACGTATGCAAGTACGCTTGGGAACCATAAGGCGACACTTGAGGCGGAAGAATGCATCGTGAAGCATGTGGTGGAGAGTGGACGGTTTTTAGTTGATCGCGTAGTTAGGAGCGCGGTGGGACGTAGTCTACATTGGAGTCAGGCTGAGTGGTTGGCGGGTTTGTTATTTGAGGGGGGAAGATATGTAAGGTGAGGCAACGACGAAGGCCTGGACAAGAGCATAGAAGAAAGAAGAGAGGAGATTAAGCTTGTTAAAACAGAAGCACTCACCTGTGCCTTGGTTGACTTACGTGGTGCCCAGTGTACTGCGGTCAATATAAGCCCATGTGTGAGTCAAGGGTATCACTTTGAGCGGTTCATGGTGCAGCAATACCTACCATGCACAAGAAATCAGATATAGTAGGCCGTCGAAAGTTTCGGTACAGCACTGCTCAACCTTGGGCAACACATGTTATCCGAATTTTTTACGAGGCTCTGTACTCCAGGCATCTAGACTGCACGACGCTGAAATTAGGCAGCAGCTACACACTTCGCAGCAATTAAAGCATGTGCTTAGTCGATACACGGATAATGTTTGGTTCAATTACATCGCAACTCACACTGTAGGCATGAAGTGTAGTCGAGTATGGGTGGGCATCACGAGAAGGCACGTGTCGTTGCGATAGGTCTGCGAAAGAGTCTATACACTCACAAAAGCGCCCCTCCTAGAGACTGCCCCAATGGGAAGGACAGGAAGAGTAGAGCTGACAAAAGCATATGCATTAATATGTGCATTCATACTATGAGTGGTAGAGTAACTTACAGGTACTTATCGAAAACAATTTCCACCTCTGCAAAGTGTACAATAGCTATCAGGATCGAGCAAGGACGCTACAGGATGAGCGCCCGAGGGCTATGCAAGTGAGCTGTCATTCCTGGAGTCGGGATATCGACTTTGGGTAGCTCTCGCCTGACTGGCAGGATTTCTCACACGGTCCCCACGATCACTGTAGGGACCTCCCTTCGTGTGAGGGTTGCGTGCTTTCGACCGCTAGTCGGTACGTGAGTTGAGTATAACGCGTATTGGCGTTGTGACTGAAGGCGTCCGCGTGGTGCCTCCTACTCTGGGCCCTTGGCAAGTGCTAGTGCCCACATACTGTCAATCTTGCTCCTCGCAAGTACTTGTCTTGCTTCGCCATCCGTCTCGCACATTTTCGAACCCCACTTGCGGAAACCGTGCTGTTTGAGCTCGCCTTCGAACACAAGTATGCACGTGTTGTGTGAGTGATCCTTCAGCTCACCGTTCTCGTCCATGGAGCGCATCCACTTGGGCTCTAGTGCTTGTTTCTCCGCCTGAATCTCAGTAGGTCGAGCATTCTCATCCCATTTGATACGGCTCAACATGAGCTTCTTGTACTTGTTGATAGAATGTATGCCGCCTTCCACAATGACCAGGCACATCTTGGGGTTGAATATAGTGATGCCGGTAAGAGCCAACTGTTTCGCATTTTGGTCGATCTGATAACGGTGCTTTCCATAAGCTAAGGTGTTGATCTTGAAGACGCACATATAGAGACCCTTCTGAGCATCCTTTTGCTGGTTGGCCTCAAGCTTGGTATGTCGTTGCTCCTTGGTAAGCTTTCGCTCCTCGTTCGACTTCACGTGGTCGTCATGTCGTTGTGCAATCTGTGATTCCACCAACATTTCTACCGCAGTAGGATCGGCAATCGCTTGCTCTCCCATGACTCGCATCATGTTTCCGCGCTTCACCTTTGGAGGTGGCGGAGGCTCCAAACCAAGACGAATCTTGGCCTGATGCTCTTTAAGGTCTTCAGCACGGCGCATCCTGCGGAGTTTAGCCTGCTCTTTCGGAGTGAGGTACATGGGCTTCGTTTCAATGAGCCGCTTGTCTTGCGGAGCTTTGACTAGAGCGGGATGCTGAATGTAAATGGTGATGATGGAATCGTCACCCTGTATCTTGACCTTGGACTCATCTTCCAGACAATCGTATGTCTTCTCATCTAGTAGGCCCTCATCCCACCATTCCACTTCGGGGGGTGGTTGCACCAAGAATCCACGCTCGCTGTTCTCATCCAGACCTGCCCGGCGGGCTTGAAGGGCAAGCGCCTTTTTGATCTCTTCCAGTCGATTCTGCGCACGCAGCTTGGAAGCCTGTTCGAGGTACTTGCCACGCGAGTTGAACAGGAGACCACGCGAAACTCGAGTTTTGGCGCCAGGTACGGGCTTCGGATCGTAGTAAGGATTCTTCTTATCTTCCTCGGGCGGCGGTGCGGGTGCTTTAGCCTTGGTCTCCGGTGGTCTACGGGTGTCCAAGGCGGCGACTGAATGCGGTCTGTCTACGGAGGCAGCGGCACTCGCCTCAATCTTGGAATCAATTTTCTTGCTGGCAAGCAGGGCCGCGGTTCGCGCCTTCATCGCCTCTAGCCGGGACATTGAACTCGCTGTTGCAGGTGCTGGGGTTGGAGCTGGTGACGGCGACGCCGCCGGAGATGCGCCATTGCTCTGCGGTTTTCTCGCTGCAAGTCTGGCCCTGATTTCGGCAGCCTTTGCGGCGGCGGCAGCTTTTGCAGCAACCACAGGGTCGGCCACCGGCTTTGCGCGCTTAACTGCATCGCCGTGGTCGCCCGGATATGGTCGTTTCTCGGGCATCGCGGACGTGGAGAAGGGCGTCGAAGGGGAAGTCGCGTGGGTATCGCTGGAGGAGCGAGGCGTTGAGTTCGGCTATCGTCAGAAAACCCTCACTGTGCACGGCAGATGTGCAGTGGGCCGAAAGAGCGTCGATGGTGGGAGCCACCCGCTGCGATCGTGAAATGCGGTTGTGGTGGAGAGCCTAAGCTGGGGGAATTGTTCAAACGTGACGCGCGGGAGTCCTGCACCCTTGCAGCTTGGCGCAGCGGCGGAACCTCGGCGGGACTTTTTGGATCTCGAAAAATTGTCCCCGCTGCTTGCGAGCTTCCTACCCAGGTCGGTCGCATTGCGCTGAGTCTTCTCAAGAAACACGGTACGCGGGTGCAGCGCGCACCAAAATTTCAACATGAATCCGTCGCTCCCTGTCGCATCTGCCATCAACGGCATCGAGTTCCAATTCTTCTCGGCGCAAGACATTCGAACCGTCTCAGTAAAGCGCATATCAAATCCGACCACCTTCGACTCGTTACTCCATCCAGTTCCCGGAGGTTTGCACGATGCTGCGTTGGGAGCTTTCTTAGACAATTTGTAAGCTTCTAACGGGAACTTCAGCAACGATCCTGGTATTCAATCTGATATCAATAGATGCGCCATATGCGGTCTTAGTACTTTGAACGGCTGTCCGGGCCATTGCGGACATATCGAGCTTCCTGTACCTGTATATCACATCAGCTTCCTCGACCAGCTCCTCCGCATACTCCGAGGAAAGTGTTGCTACTGCCACCACTTTAAGCTCTCCCGCGCCGAAGTGAACGAATACGCCGCAAAACTCCGATTGTTACGACATGGCTTGATAGAAGAGGCAAACGGCATGCACGAGCATATCGACATCAACAGGGGAAAGACAACCAAGCAAGTAGATTCAGATGATGAAGAGCAGGATGAGGATGGTATCATTGCCGAGCGAAATACATACGTTAAGAAGTGTCTGAAGCGTGCGGGTATCTCCAAGCATGATGCGCATTCGCGGAATAACAAGACTGAGGCCGTCTCTGACGCCAGGCGGCAGGTCATTAAAGAGTTCTACGCCGCCATTGGACTGGGCAAGAAGTGCAAGAACTGCCAGGGCGTCAATCCCACCTTCCGCAAGGACCGAAGTGTCAAGATCTTCCGCAAGAATCTCAGCGAGAAGGACAGGGTGCAGATGGCTACGTTGGAGAAGAGAATGGAGAACCCGCTGGACATACTGCGGCGAAGAGACGAGAGGGCCAAGAAGCAGACCGTTCACGATGATGAGGGCGTTGCAGACCTTTCTGAAGAGGATGAGATCGCTGACATCCTCGATGCGCAAGAAGCCGATGGAGGCCTGATCGCAACCGAGTCCATGACGGCCTCTAGGACAAAGCCGAAGTCGGCAGCGGCTGCACGCGACAACGTGCAAGAGTACATCAACGCCGCTGAAGTTCATGCCCACATGGTGTTGCTGTTCGAAAATGAAGCTGAGATCTTGCGGTTGCTCTATAGTCCGTACGCACGTTCCAAGTCGTCCATGGCTGAGGTAAACGCGGACATGTTCTTCTTCAGAAATGTCATCGTCCCACCCAACAAGTACAGGATGGAAGACAAGACGGGAGATTCGATCGCCGAAAACCCGAGAAACACTCTCTACAAGAACGTCCTCAACGCCTGTGAGTCAATGCGCCAGATCACTCGAGAGATGCGTGGAGCGGAAAACGAAGCGGGCTATCGGCGACGTGATTTCGGCGATCTTCAGAATATATGGGTTACTCTCCAGGGAGCGGTCAACTCGCTAGTTGACAAGGACGCCAATCCAGCGTCTGGTCTTGCGGGGAAGAACAGCGCAGACGGTGTCAAGCAGCTGTTGGAGAAGAAGGAAGGTCTTTTCCGGAAGAACATGATGGGCAAGCGTGTCAACTTCGCCGCCCGAAGTGTCATCTCTCCAGACCCCAACATTGAAACCAACGAGATCGGTGTACCGCCTGTATTCGCACAGAAATTGACTTTTCCAGAACCCGTCACAAATCACAACTTCTACGACATGAAAGAGGCTGTGCTCAATGGACCGGATAAATGGCCGGGAGCGGTCGCCATTGAAAACGAGTACGGTCAAGTCATCTCGCTGAGGAAAAAGAACTTTGAAGAGCGACAGGCTCTGGCAAACCAATTGCTTGCGCCTTCAAATGCCTTCATGAACGGATCTAAAAATAAGAAAGTACACAGGCATCTGGTTAACGGTGACGTAGTCATTATGAACCGTCAGCCAACACTCCATAAGCCGTCCATGATGGCACATCGTGCTCGAGTTCTACCTGGCGAGAGGACGATCCGCATGCACTACGCCAACTGCAACACGTACAATGCTGATTTCGATGGTGACGAGATGAATATGCATTTCCCACAGAACGAGTTGGCTCGAGCCGAGGCAAACCTTGTAGCCAACACCGACAACCAGTATCTATCTGCAACTGCAGGAAAGCCTCTCAGAGGTCTTATCCAGGACCATATCTCTATGGCAGTATGGTTGACAAGCAAAGACATGTTTTTCACGCGTGAAGAGTATCAAGAGCTGTTGTACTCCAGCCTTAGGCCTGAGAATGGCCACACGAGCTCAGGCACCCTACTTACTGTTGAACCTACGATCTGGAAACCCCGCCCGCTGTGGACCGGTAAACAGCTTATAACTACGGTTTTGAAGAACATCCAGCCCGCAGACTACCACGGCTTGACTTTGACGTCGAAATCACAGACAAACAAAAACCTATGGGGCCCATTCACAGAGGAGCAAGAAGTCATCATACAAAACGGCGAGCTCTTATCTGGTATCCTTGATAAGAGCCAAATCGGTCCAGCAGGTGGTGGTTTGGTGAATGGCATCTATGAAGCACATGGAGCCAGGTCTGCTGGTCAGGTACTCAGTGTGCTCGGCCGGTTGCTGACGAGACTGTTGAACATGCGCGCATTCTCTTGCGGCGTTGAAGACCTCATTCTTACACGTGAAGGTGACGAAGCCCGATTACAAGAGCTTAGGAAAGCAGAGAAGGTCGGATTTGAAGTCGCTTCAAACTACGTAACATTGGATCCAAGCAAAATACAGCCGACGAACAAAGAGTTGAAGAGACGGCTGGAACAGGTGCTGCGAGACGAATCGAAGGCGAAGACGCTTGACATGTTGAACAACACTGCATCGGCCAAGATTTCTTCCTCCGTCACTGCAGCTTGTCTGCCCCATCAGCTCATCAAACTGTTCCCAAAGAATCAGATGCAGACCATGACAGGCTCTGGAGCCAAGGGTAGTCTGGTCAACGCCAATCAGATCTCGTGTAATCTCGGCCAACAGGTTCTGGAAGGCCGTCGGGTCCCTGTGATGATCAGTGGCAAGTCGCTTCCATGCTTCAAGCCTTATGAGACCAGTGTCCGAGCCGGAGGTTACGTTGTAAACCGCTTCTTGACTGGTATCAGGCCGCAGGAGTACTACTTCCACACCATGGCCGGCCGAGAAGGTCTCATTGATACCGCCGTCAAGACGTCGCGTTCCGGTTATCTCCAGCGATGTGTTATCAAGGGTCTAGAAGGTCTTCGTGTTGAGTATGACACATCAGTCCGCGATTCGGATGGCAGTATGGTCCAATTCTTGTACGGAGAAGATGGTCTCGACTCTACGAAGCAGAAGTTTCTCAATGACTTCAAGTTTCAGGCTGAGAACTTCTGGTCCTTGACTGAATCCCTGCAGCTTGGGGACGCGTACGGGAAGGTGTTCAGCGAAGAAGCCACCGAGTATACCAAGTCTGCCTATAAAAAGTACAAGAAGAGTGGCAAGCTTTCCGCCAAGGGCCCAGCCCTTGCAGAGTATCCGCCCAGTCGTTTCAGTGGCAGCACTTCGGAGACGTTCTTCGCTGCGAAGGCTGATGTAGGTGTTCGGTTCAGCATTAGTGTGTATCAACTAACAGTCCGCAGTACTGTGACGCGAATCCTGACGGTTTGATTAAGAAGAAGAAGTCAGATGGTTCGGGGGATATCCTCCGAAGGAACTTCGAAAGAATACTCGACATCAAATACCTCCGCTCGTTGGTCGAACCGGGCGAAGCAGTGGGTGTTGTCGCTGGACAATCTATTGGCGAGCCTTCGACCCAGATGACACTAAACACCTTCCATTTGGCTGGTCACGCTGCCAAGAACGTCACCCTTGGAATACCGCGTCTTCGAGAAATCGTTATGACTGCTAGTGCCAAGATCAGTACTCCCTCGATGACGCTATATCCTCATACAGAACTGTCGATAAGTGACATGGAGAAGTTCGCCAAAAGCATCAGTCGTCTTCCCCTTTCGTCAGTACTGGACAAGGTTACCGTGACTGAGAACGTCGGCACCGGCACACAGTTTTCTCAGGCTCGCCAATACACAATCCGTCTCGACTTCTACCCTGCCAAGGAGTACACGCAAGAGTACGCTATCCAGGTACGCGATGTTGCCGAATCGATCGAGAAAAAGTTCTGTCCACGGCTGCACAAGATGGTTCGCATGGATCTCAAGAAAAAAGGTGAGAACAGGTCGCTGTCCACTGCTAGGTCAGCGGGTGTCCCTGCCATTGGCGAAGCCTCCGGCAGCATTGAGCAACAAACCATCCGCCAAGATGATGCTGCCGAGGAAGGCGGCAGAGACGATGACGTGATGAGCGACGATGGGGAGACCGAGGGCGACGCCACTGATGCTAAGCAGCGAGGCAGACGCGAAGACAGCGTAGAATTTGACGCTCCCGAAGAAGGCGAGCAAGCTGCTGAGGACGTGGACGCAGAGAGCGAAGACGAAACCTATGGTGGCAGCCCCAAGGCATCTCGCCCCTCCACACCCGAGCCAGCCTCCGACGACGAAGACGCCGAGCCCCTTGTGCCTCGCGAAGAGTCTTCCGAAATCCGCGAAGGTCGCGTCACCCACACCTGCGCCGACATCTCCGCCTTCAAATTCGACGACAAGGCCGGTGCCTACTGCGAAATCACATTCGAGTACAGCGTCCACACGCCCAAGCTCCTCATGCTCAACCACGTCGAGGCCGCTGCTGAGTTTGCCACCATCCACGTCATCCCCGGCATTACCAGCGCTGTGCTTGTCTCCAAAGACTCGGGCACCGGAAAAGACCTCGACGAGCCGTACATCCTCACCGAAGGCTCCAACCTCATCGCCATGCGGGAATTTGGCCACATCATTGACACCTCCCGCATCGCTACCAACGACATTCACTCAATGCTAACGCTCTACGGCGTTGAAGCCTGCCGCGCGTCCATCGTCAAGGAAATCCACGCCGTCTTCAGTGGCCACGGTATCAGCGTCGACCAGCGGCATCTGAGTCTTATCGCGGACACGATGACCAAGGGCGGCGGGTTCACGGCGTTCAACCGCATTGGCATGAAGGGCAACCCGTCGCCGTTTATGAAGATGAGCTTCGAGACGACGGTGGGGTTCTTGAAGGATGCGGTGCTGGAGAGGGATTGGGATGAGCTGAGGAATCCGAGTGCGAGGATTGTGGTGGGGAGGCTGGGGACGGTGGGGACGGGGAGTTTCGATGTGCTCGCGCCGGTTCTGGCACAGGATCCGCTTAAGGAGGAGGTGTTGGAGACGGCGGACGACGACGTCCAGATGGAGGATGCGTAAATGTAATGTTTGGTGGTTTCTTCCTGCATGGGCGTTTTGGCGGCATGGACGGGGTTTGGAGCATGTTTATGTGTTATGTTGATGCGCATGTAAAAGTTCGGACTGGAAGATTGTATGTTCACAAATACTGCTTAGCCGTCCCTTGGGTAGGAAGAGAGAAGAATTCCTCTACATCATCGCCCCTGGTTTGTAATTCAATAATTCCACAGTTGAAAGCCCTCTATATGCCGTACACGCCGTTAACGTCAACGCAATATGCTCACAGCTCGACTACACGCGTTCACCTACCCGATAACCTCCCCGCTCACTTTCACCCTGATAACACCTTTCTTCGTGCCCCCAAAGCAGTTTAGTTTCGAAAACCACTGCTTAGCAACCCACCCCGCATCCAAAGTCGTCCTAATCTTCTGTCCACCGCTCCACTGGTTCTGCGGCCATACCTCCTTCCTATCGAGCTGTTTGTCCGCCGGCCCAGTCGGGCCCCTGCTTCTGTCAGCATTCTTACCTTCATTCCTCCAACATTCGCTTGCACTCACACTCAAACGAAAATATGGGACTTACCCAACGTATTTCTTGTTACCTAAAAGACTTTTCTGCCGTTTGTCACTAGCAGGGTACTCCTCATCGCCCCATTTCCCTTTGTAGTACAACCACCCCGTCGGCGCGTCCGGCGTAGGTTCTACCGGTGTGAAGGTCTTGGATGATGGCGCGAAGGTGTAAAAGTACGCTGAAAGGAGGGGGTCGTACTTGGGACCAGCATCTGCGTCGTCCACGAGGAGGAGGGAAGTGGTGATGTTGAGGTTGGGGATGGTGTGATCATGGGTGCCGGGGGTGGGATAGAGGGCTAGTCGCGCAGGTAAGAAGTCAGTGTAAGGAAGAATGGTATTGGATGGGTACGCTGTAGCCGTGTCTAATAAACAGCCGCTTCGAAATTGGGCACTACGTACCGTGCGATCCGTTGGCGGCGTAAACGAGGGGCTGTGGTAGAGGTGGTCAGGTAGATTGAGACTGACAGGAGGAGGAAGGGCTCACGCGTTTCCCAGTGGAATCTTTGGAGATGGTGGAGAAGGTGTCTGGACGCGTGGGCACAAAGTCAGTTTAGGGGTACAAAGTGGAGATAGGTACGTTGCAGTCATGTCCAGGACATAGACACTTCGTACCTGGGCGTTACGCACAGGCGGAGCCGTTGGCGTGCTGTGAGTACCATATTGCAGTTGGGACACCGTTCTTGAACCTTATCATGTTGTGCTCCCTACAAAGATGCCATACGATTAGCTTTGCCGCTCTACTTTGGAAGAACATGCGTACCAGTCGCCGACATGATCCCCAAGTTGATTTCCCAACACCACTCCACCCCAATTGAATGCCCAAAAATACATGTAAAAAGCATCCACCAAACCCTTACCCTTATCCACCACCATAATCGCACACGTCTTCTCGTTCCCAGTGCCACCGTCGTCACCAGTCTGTATACCGTTCAGCCATGCAGGGTTCGTAGTGACATCCGCAATGCTTGTAAGGTATACATCGTTCTTGCCTTTCGGCGCAACATTGTTCAATTGGTCGAGGTTAGTCAGCGTGAGCGGCGAGGTGGGAAAGGATATGTCCTCCCGTGCGATTTTGGGGCGTGTATTAGCGAGGGTAGCAATGGGTGGGGAGGGGCGGTAGGGATCCTTTGAAAAGAGGTAAACGATTGGTGCTAGCTAAGAGTTAGTGGTAAAATGTATCAAGCTCGTGAATATCAGAATGGAAGGTGTGCGATTGGAAGATGTTCTGTCATAGCCGCAAGGAGTAGAGTATGAGGCGACCGGGAAAGAGCGTAAACGATGCCAGATGCGGACACTTTCAACGGTGACTACTGCGGGGGCGATTTTGTATAATTTAGGTGGGTATTAGGCCGCAGGCGGTGTGTCGAGGTGGGGGCCTCGTATATGTGGGTGGAAGACATGCTCGCCTTACCGTGATCGCGGACGTACTGCGGCACAGCTGCCTCTACGGGTTCCTTATGATTCACCATTTGAAGAAGCGAATTAAAGCAGTGTATGTTGCAATATTGAGTGCTGACGAAGTCGTACGTCTTGTAGTCGAAAAGGCCTCCATATTGGCGCTGTTGCGAACGGATGTGATGTCGAAGCTGGCTTGTCATGTGGCCACGACGATCTGTGACAGCTGAACGAGGAAGTGTCGCCTGAGTAGCGAAAGCTGACGTCTGCTTGGCGCAAACGGTGTATGAAAGGTTTGCTTGACAGCGTATCACTCGCAGGCGTGGAAGTCTCACCAGCCGCGACTGGGATACTTGTCCATGATATCGTGCACAGAGAGTTCCTTGTTCGATCACATAGACGCCACAAGACGGTCGAAGTGACGGTGGTGCTGGCGTTGTATAACTCGGATGACCAAGTGCGAAGGTGACGGGGATTTCAATTGTTGCATCAGTCGCACAGCATATGTGTATACAGCATTACTCGTGGTGAAGGGATCGGGGGTTTTCCGTCAACAGGCGTTCTTGTTGCTCCAACTTGGTGCAGAGCAATCCGAGAGGCGCAATGGTATCAATCATAGTTGCTCGGTGGACGCCAAGGCAGACGATATTGCGCGGGCATACGGTAGGTCTCAGCATCTCACACGGCAGCTGCACGCCGGCCCGCAACCTTTGCACAGGCGCATGACGTGGGTGGTGAAGGGGTTGTTGCGATGCAGGTGAGCAAAGACTGGGTCACGACAGCACCACGATGTTCTATGGACAGGGCGACTGTTCTGATTGGCTACAAGGACATGTCAGCCATTTGCGACAGACCAACCGTAGACAACAACGTCATGGAAGGTTCCGTCTCGGCGTCGCGCGGTCCGTCGTGTTCGAACTGTGCACCTGCCATGTGACCCGGAGACCGTAGCGAACGCCGAAAGCCGAAGTCAGCTACTTGGAAACATGGTAGGTTGAGATCCCGTCCTGTCTTTGCAGAGTGAGGTGCCGTGTGCAACATGTACAGAGGTGGGGCAGCCTTAGTGGTGACGAACATACCCTACCCCTGTACCTTTGAGGAGATACCTGCGACATCACATGAGAGTGAGAGCAAAACCCGGGCAACGTTCGATACCCTGGTGGCTGATATTGTGAAATGCCATGGGCGCCAGTAGCTAGGGCACATGCAAGAGGAGGACGGTGACTACGAAGACATGGTTGCTGAGCGCGCGGGAGGGATGAACCTCGTGCTTCTGCCCATGTAGCTGAGGCTCTGTATTGTCATCCCAACCTTCGGTGGAAAGAGAAGACAAGAACGAAGGATACATTTATGCCGCGCTAGTCTAGAAAGCAAACAAGAGGCCATGGCGGTGTTGACGTGAGGCCCGTAAGCAATAGGTATTGTGTAGGTCAATGAAACGATGCGGATTTGTTTGTATACGAAAGATGATATCCTCGCGGGATCCAATCTGGACCACGAGATGAAGCGCTGCACCGGATTTGGGGTCGCGAAACAGTGGGAAAGGCGATTCTTGAGACAGCAGCTAAAGTACGCTTCCATAGGTTGTGTGCCATTTATATGTGTATGATGACTGTTCGCGGTTGATGTCTGCGCAATGCACTCAGTTGCATCAGGTAGGTTTCATGAGGCTCTTCCGTACCGCTGAAGGTGTGTATCTTGTGCGTAACTTGGGCTAGTTGTAGTGTTGGTGACAAACGTACCGCGTCGAGGCTTTGGAAAGGTATCCTCGGGGAAGTGTCGAACTGAGAGCCCGGAGTCCGTCTGTTGAGAACTGAATGGTTGAAGTCACAGTCACACCTTCCTGATCTAGCCCTGGAGTTCCTTTGCCCACCCATACATAGCGACCGAAGTCAACCCTAGTCTCGACGTCAAACCACAATTCCAGTACATCAGTGACGCTTTTCATCCCATCGTCAACTTCACCAACAAGACCAGAGCTCCCATTATTCTGGACCATGGTAACATGGTACTGGCATTCTCTTGCAAGACACTCACGAACAAGGAAGTGCCGGCGTGTATTTTCAATATCCAGCATTGGACCCCGTAGCAGTTGTGGGCCTTCTGACGGGGCCGCCGAAAGATGACAAGCTGTGATAACAGGTCGAAGGAAATGTGCATGACGCTAGTATAAAGTTACGGGCCCGCTCCGATGAACTATCGAGGAACCAGGCTCGAGTCCGGCTGAATGGATGAATGAACCTTTTCGGGGATTTTACAGAGCAAGACACAGCGAGGCAATAAACTCTGTTGTCGGACGGGGCTAGATTCAGAAGATCAAGAATCTGAAGCCGGGCTTGGGCTCAGGCTGGTCGAGATTTGTGGACAAGTCACAGGCTCTTTCGCCGGACAGGTACCGTCCTCACGCTCCAGCTTTCAGACTCTACCTCACAACAAGAGACAGTACACAATCTCCTTTCTATTGGCACTTGAGCGAAGTGTAGCCGGGAACACTTAGCTTTGTATGATCGATCTCCAATTTTGCCGCCGTTGCAATTCCACGATCTGTTGAGCCACATCCGTCAACGTATCCTCGACCCGACGAAACTGTACGAGTCCCAGGATCGTTCCGGTAAGTTGCGTATCAGACAATCCAACGGATGGATGTCTAGAAGATGGTTGTCGTGAGGGAGAGCCATCAGCATTAACGCGACCTGCAAGTTCTGGGAAGCGGCCAACCAAAATTTGCGCAATCGTAGCCCCGGACGGCATGACGCCGGCAGATATCATGAATCGTCTGTTCCCAGCCTGGGGAACAAAGGCTGCTTGAACACTTGCGACTGCAAGATCCTTGCGTAGTGTAAGCGCTCAAGATCGTCATCGAACCCCCTGAAGGCAAATTGTACTCACTCTGACATCAGTGTAGTAGTCGATACCGTAAGGAGGCGACCTCACACGTTCACTCGAGTCGCTGCTACAGATGTTCCATATACGTCGATTTGCCTCTTGCAAATCTGAGGAATTTTCCAAAGCACGCATCTGCGGTCCGTAAACACTAGGTGCGACGACATAAACCAATTCGAATCGAGCTTGAGCCTCTCGCATCCAGTTCCTGGTCGCGGCGTACACAATATTGTCGCATGCTTGGCTAGTCGCAAGAATGTACTCAGGGTCAACCTCCGAACTTCGAGGCGATGCGGCATGGTACGGGTTGTAAGAGCTTGGGTCCAATACCAGCCACCTCGCAAAGGGTGAAAGCGAGGTGGTGATGACAACTCTGTGTACCCTTGAGTTCATCCGGTTTATCGATCTCAAGACGTTGAGCAGGCACTCGGTCTGGAGATTGACAAAGCGGGCGAGGCAGTCGGCCTCGTCGGAATGATCTGCTACAACATGGATGATCGTATCGAATGGCTCTGGATGGTCGCGAAGTGCATCGTCGAAGGAACCGGGTATGGACAGTCTGCTTCGAGGTACGATGGCGATCTCTAGCCAAGGATAGCGGGTCGCTGGATACTGCTGCCTCAAGAAGTCTCGGACAGAGATGGAGTAGGCCACGGCCCGAACAGAGACGGAGTAGGCCAGGATTTGGTTGAGGGTGAAGGCGCCGGTCAGAATATCGACGCCTGTAAGGAGGATGCGTCTTCTTGCCATGATTGCGAATGCCAGGCTGTTGACGTGGTGACTGCAAAGGTGGCGGTAGTGAGACCGCTAAGGGTGGGTGGAAGGATTCTGGGTGGCAGGGGACCAGGCAGTCTACACAGGTCACGTTTCTGGAAACGATGATTAGGCCATGATCTGTCTATGACCTATGGGGAGTGGCTAGAGCATGTCAGAGGCGCTCAACATCGGCTCACGTCTCGTAGCTTGCACAAACAGCCTCATGAGCTCTATAGACACGAGCAGGTGCTCAGCGCCGCATTGAAGTATTGTTGTCCGCGTCGCGGAACGTTGGCCACCAATGTCGAGGTGGTAGCGAACGGTATCGAATGTGATACTGTTTAATTTGACGAAGTGATAGTCAGTCCTAGTCTCAAGTTGATGGAATGTCTCATTTGCGCGGGGACGCCATGGCAAAGAGTTTGTATGGCCTTCCACTCCCGATACATCTAGTTGGTTACCGCTACTTCGTGCGTAGGGCCATGGCACATCCGTTGCAGTTTGAGTTGAGAACGACTGCAAGCCAGTGGAGGTGGACCCTCATATGATGACTGACTAAAGGGAAGCTGTTTGAGCTGCCATTGGCGAGATGCTGCCGAAGCTGTAGCTGCGTGGCCCGTAGCATGCCGCACATGAAAGCCCAGCGATTCCCACATAGCCTTCACCGTCACACTACACGTAGGAGGACATGTATCGGACGTACCCTACCGTACGGTACAGGAGGCGGGTAGCGGCTAAGAATCACCAAGCCACAACCGCAGGATGCCTTGAATGCAGACCTTGAAGAGACTCATCAAAGCTCGATGTAGGCAATGAATCACGAGCGACTCTTTCCACTAGTATCCGGAAGGAATGATTTGCCTGAGCGAGGCGAGATCGCGGTAGCGACAGCACCCATGATACTAAATCGTACGGCTGTCCGTCTTTCGGCGAAGACATCCTTTAGAACCTTGTCTGAAGCCAGTGGGCTCAAAATGCTACAGGCAGTGCACTGCTGTGGTCTCATCGTCATTCCCCACGGCTGGGCTTTTGACCTGACGTTGGGGCTGTCATGCATGTCGCCAAACATTGGCCGGACGCCCTGCTAACATTTTAGGTACTAGAGAGGAAAGAGTTCACCTCGACCCGCTGCCGGAAGGATGTAGCGAAATAGACTATGGGAAGATGATGAGGAAGGCTTGGCAAGGCGAGAGGGTGCAGGGCTTCAGCGCTGAGAAGGGATCTCAGTCCTAGCCTCTCGACAGATGTGCTCAGTCAGTCGGGGGCCGAAAGGGACTAGTTGCATTACCCACGGGCCATACGTGCAGACGGCAGCCTGAGGGTATACTCGCTGATCATGTTCCCGAGCGGCGTCTGTAGCATCGTCATTCTGAGCTTCTAGTGCTGGTCGCGTCGTGCGGTGAAGCAGATGTCGTGGCGCGGTGAGCTGGGGCTACCGAATGTGGCGTGTAGACGGGGCCGAGCTCACATACCGGATCAATCTCAATACGATGTCAGGTGCATGCTGGCATGTCTGTGGTGCTGAATGTCACAAGAAGACGTTACCCATTATAGCAGCAGGGGCAGGGGTTCGGCGAGTGGCGAGCAAATGGCACCTGCAGTTCCTAGTTTAAATCGCGTCACGTGTCACAGCTCGTCCCGAAGTCCCGTAAGCCCCGCCGCCTGAGTCTACTCCTGCAAGGTCAGATTTTATATTCATGACTACCTTTGCGGAATCCGATGCAGACATGCTGTGGCAGGGCGCATTTATGGGCGCACGCATTTGGATTGCGCAGCACATGGTCGAACGGTGTATGCTATGCTTGACGAAAACCTCAAGCTCACTTGGGTGGCTTTCAGCCGGCCTCTTGAAGGCGTATCCCTTCAGTAGCTCATAATTCGAATGATACATGCGTCTCAGCGAGACACGCACCACCCTTCGCTCCTTGTCCTTCTGGTGCTAATGTTTTCCCATCAACACGGAGCTCAAACAAGCCGCATGCGATGGTAATTGTGACGGATCCAATGGAATCCTTGGAGTGGCAGTACATTGGGTCGAAAGTCCGGATACTGCATTGCTCAGCGCAGGATATAACAGAACACTAAGCCTTGTGACTAGGCACTGCAAGTTCCATTACGGCAGGCTCACCGCCATGCGCCATACGGCATCCTAGTATAGTACATAATCGACAGCTCCTAGCAGCCCTGAAGGTAGGGTTCATTCTGCAAGCTGATCCTCTACAATGCCCCCTTGCTAATCTTGTCTCACTCCAGCAGTGATGCCTGGTTCGTGTACAGCACGTCAACCACATTGCTCAGTTTCTCAATCGTCCCCAAGGCTGCGTCGTATGACTGGTCCCTTTCGGACTCATCGAAGACGATCAAACACCCAGCCCCTTGGTCGAGGACTCCGATGATAACCTTATCCAGGATCATCTGCGAAAGCTTTCGCTCCACCTGAACCGTATCGAGGCCCACCATTTTGGCGACGTGATCGATCTCTACCCTGCTGAATGGTTCGATCACCTTGATAAGGTTCTGCTCCAGCATATTGTCGTATAAGCGCCGGAGATGTCCCGTAACGAATGCATCGCTTCCCAGCTCCTGGCGGTAGTCGGTCAATGCCGTCTCGTACTCTTCCAGGCTGCGATTGGTGTGTGCACGTGCGACGGCCTTCATTGCGTCTAGGCTCTTACCGGCATATTTGATGGCGTGTTTTGAGGTCATCAGTGAGGTCACATCATCCCCAGCGTTGAGCATGATCTTGCATAGCAACATGTACTGCAGAGCTGACGTTGCCTTCTGCGCCTCATCTTGCGAGTGATAGCCCTCCATAGCCTCGATGAAATATGAGAAAGCGGTGTTGAAGTCGCCGTCCTCGGCATGTAGCATGCCGCTCTGCATGTCAAGCCCCGCCTGCAGCAAAGGCGGGGTATAGACCGACGCCGCTGAGGTTCGGGCAGAGGTGAGTGCGGCTCGGCCCTTGGGTATGTTGCCTAAGGCATGGTAGACGCGTGACTCAAGCAACTGCACCTCTACCAGCACCAGCTTGTCGTCCAATCGCTTAAGCTCCTTGAGTAGGCTGTTGATAAGCGTGAGCGCATCGTAGTAGGCGCGTTTTTGCATGTACAAGGATACAAGGCGGGTCTCCAGATTCTGGCGCAGGAAACCTCTCCGCTCGGACACAGCCCACTCTATGCATGACTTGGTAACGTTGATCTGGACGTCGGTGGTGTTGGGGATGGTTGTGAAGAGTTCGAGCAGCTGGCGCACTGTATACAAGTTAGTCGCGAGCTATGCCACAGGAGATATCTCAGCTTACCTAGCTTTGCGGTCTTTGCCTTTGCGAATGAGGATAGCACCGACCGCGTTTGTTTGACGAGCTCGGCGAGCGCATCCACTCGTCGCTGATCACGAAAGAGCTCGCCTAGGCCGACCAACGAGCTCTCGTAGTTCTTTATAGCGGCCTCGTTGGATCCGGGATCTGTCGATAGCACCTCTTTGTATATCTGCTCTGCCTTGGCCGGTTCTGTCTTCGCGAGCTTCTGCGCCTCCGCTATCCGCTTGCCGTTGTCGGCGACAGCCATGGTTGGGGGGCGAATCGACGAGAAGTGGCTCGGGATATGTCGAGGAGGTGATGAGATCGAGAGCGGTGGTGAAAGCGAATTAACGGTGGCGTGGCGGGGAAGTTGCTGAGCTCTTCGCTCGTGGTAGCTTCCGTGAATGCGGCGATTCGCCGGAGCGGTCTAACATTTGTCCGCAGCTGGTCGCTACAACAACCACGATGTTTGCTGCCTCATCTGCAGCTGCAGTTGGTCTGTTTAAAGCTTTTACAGAGTAATGCAGCTATTGTGCAGTCATTTATTCACACGCAACTCCACCGCGCGCCTGCCGGAAGTGCGTGGCGCGACCGGAGCCAATCAATGAGCTCATTGGTCTGTGCACGTACTGAGGACGTAAACAGATAAACACGCCTGCTTGCATCTCAGCATACACACACCGCTGTTCTTGCACCCTCACATCTACGACTTCAAGAATTAGCATATACCCGCGCAGGATCGCAGCGTTCCCCAGCTAGACGATTCCTAAACGCAATTGGTACAAATCCGATCTTACTCCATTCCGCATCTCATTCCATTGCAAGTTGCCTGATTATCACCACCATAATACACGATGTCCTCCATCGACAGGGATAGCTCACGGGATCGAGAGCTCGTTCGGCACTCACATTCTTTCTCCATCGATTCAAGGCTTCATATTCCCATGTACGTTTTCTGTCCTGCAATGTTCCCACTGCCGCAACACCATTGATGATGCCGTCGCTGACACGATTTCGTCGCACCAGGTGGGATAGCTCGGACCCAGAGCGCGCACCTCCGCCTCTGCCGTTGAATCCTGGGTCGCCAGTTCTTACCACACGCGCGGGCACATCGTCGGCAATTGCGCAGGCAGCCAAAGCGTTGGAAGAGAAGGCGCGCGAGAGCATGCCCATGAGCTCATACACGACTAACCCTATGCCTCAGAGGTCTCCCGAGCGATCACTTATCAAGGGGGCTCATCACAAACGCATGCAATCGTTTCAGAATACGGGCGTCAAGGATCTACGGAGCTACCTGGACTCACACAAGTCACCCGAACGATCTCCAGAACGACCCGCAACAAGATCTGGAACACCTCCTCGAGAGATGAGTAAGGATTACTTTGGTGGTGACCTTAGCCCGTCACGTTTAGGAACCCCCACACCTTCCAGCCGGGATGCTTTGAAGGACACACCTTCTTTGCGACCGTCGGCGCGACCGCCACACAAGGCAATTCTAGGAGAGAATACACCACCTTCAGCGACGATGATGGCTCTACAAACCATGAACGTGCCATCACACATAATGGATCCACCTCCGCCGCTCAACATTGACAAAACTCCATCGAAAACGCCGCTATCAGCTCCGCAGAACATGGACTCAATATCGAATCAGCTTCTCAGTATTGCAACGATCGTTTCGAATCTCCAGAAAGATATGACGCAACTGAGTCGGCGAAGCAAGGACAACGCGACAGATCTGATCAGTCTCAAGGAAGCCACCAATTCACGAGACGAGGATATTCGCAAATCCCTAAAGGATCTTGTCGCGACAATGAACCACTCGCGGGACTTTTCGAGTCCTGCGGCCGAGTTGTCTCATTCGCAAAGCAGTATGAGCCTCAAGGACCCTCATATGACACCCACCAAGCAATTCACCCTTCCGAGGATAGCTTCCCCGAGCAGTTTTTTCTTAGACGACCGAACCGGCAGCCCCAACCCATACTCCGTTGAAGGTGCAGCAAGCGTCGCTATGCTCGAAAAGATCATCCGTGAGATGGTTACAAAGGACGGGCAGGAGCGACTGATCACCAACCTGCAGAAGATCGTCGACAATGCGAACGGGGAGACAGCGAAGAAGGTCACGGAGCTGGTGGAGTTTGTCAAGCAGAGCTCGGGCAACAATGCCCTCGTCCGCACTACTTCGGCACCTTTTCAACCCTCCCCTGGTATTGGCCCATTAACACGCACAGCATCAGAGGGTCTCTCATTGCACAAAGTCGCCGAGGATGGGAAGCCATATGCCAGCCCCAAAGCAGCCGACTTCGTCAGTGAGGAGATGCTCAAGTTTCTGCGTAAGATCAAGGACAGCGTCGCGGATTCGGGTTGCGTCACGATGGGGACGAAGACGTTGATACAGGAGTTGAGGGGCGAAGTGCTCGGCATGGGCCGGGACCTTGCTCGCAAGATCGAAGAGGCCGAGCAGGCGAAGGCAGAGCAACCCATGATCGAATCAGGCCAAGCGAACGAGCAGCTCAACATCATTGTCCAGGAGGGGCTCGCAGATCTCAAGGAGCACATGGACAAGGTGATGCGCGAGCGACGTCGTCAATCTATCTCCTCCACCGTGACCCGGACTACTGTAGACAACAACGAGGTCTACGACGTGGTCAAACATGCTTTGGCGGATTACGCGCCTCAAGCCGCAAGCTTGGACCAGGAGGCTATCCTTACAGCCATTCGCGAGGCATTCGAAGCCTATAAGCCGAACATTGACGTTGAGACCATTGGATTGGAGCGTGACGAAGTTTTGGAATGTCTGCGCGAAGGACTCCAGGACTATCGCGGGCCTGGCGCAACGAAAGAGGAGATCGAACAAATCGTCCAAGAATCTCTCCAACACACAAAGCTACCTCCACCGATCAACGAAGCACACGAGATTCGAGAAGAGGTGATCATGGCTGTCCGCGAATGTTTGGAGGAACTGAAGCCAGCATTCGCACACAATTCCTCTCCTGCTGTCGGCCTGTCACGGGAGTCCCTTTACGAAGTCGTCAAGGAAGCTTTGTCGAGCCACAACCCAGGAGCTCAGGAGCTTGAGATTCCTCAAGAGAGTCTGTACGGCGCCATGAAGGCCGTTCTTGAGTCATCCGGGGCCACGTCTTTGCATACGGATGACGCTGTCATGCAACGACTGCAATCTCTTGTGGACGACATGCACTCCGAATTCCAGGCATATTCTTCAGCTGGTGGACGCGACACCGAGCAGGTACTGGACGCACTCCGCGACGGACTGGATCACTTGCGTACCCAGCTGGAGATTTACATCGACAACAGCACACAGACTCCGCAAAAGGACGAGACTGTTGAGCACATCCGATGCCAACTCGAGGGTCTGCGAGGAGACTTTCAGGGTTTTATGGAGCAAGGTCCGCGTGCCGAAGAGCCGTCACCTCAAGCAGAAACGGCATCATTCATCAAGTCTGAGCTTGAGCACCTACTTGAGCAGCTTACTGAACGTTGCAGTACCACCGAAGCGCATAAGAACGAGATCCTCAGCGTCCTGGAAGCTGGTTTTGAGGGTATGAAGTCGCAAGTTGCTGTGCGAGGCCTTGATCTAGATACGGACGATGAGATCAATGAAGCGATGAAGCAAGAATTTGAGCAGCTCAAGGGCGTTATCCTTGGCGAAACCTCAATCTACAAAGACGAAATCCTGGAGAAGGTACAGGCCGGATTCGCTGGTATGCAAGCTCGATTGGAAGAAGGCACCACACCAGCTAGCACCAGCGACGATGTCCTCACAACAATGAAAGCAGAGTTCGATCATTTGCGGGAAACCCTCGGGGCTAGTCTCGTGAAATCAGGTGGCGCGTCAGACAAGGACGACATCATCGATGCGATACGCGAACTCGTCGACGGCATCTGCTCATCCCAGCAGGATGCCTCCAAGGAAAATATTGCCGCTATCCAAGGAGACATTGAGAATCTAAAAGAATCGCTCGGCAGCGCATTGGTGCGTGCTGAAGATCCTGTGGAGAAAGAGGAGCTTCTGGAAGCGCTCAAGGCTGGTCTTGAAGAGATCAAGGTGAACTCGAAAGCAACTGGCTTCAGCGAGGAACTTCTCGAGGCGTTCCGGAGCGAACTTGAACAAGTGCGGGAATCGAATGGGCTAACTCGTCAGCATGCTCGCGCCGATGCCGAAGAAGTGCTGGAAGCTGTTCGTCTTGGTCTCGATGACCTCCGCTCACACTTAGAAAAGAAGCTCGATAATCCTGATCGACAATTGTCAGCTACGAACGATGTCTTGGACGCTTTGAACGAAGGGCTCGAAGGACTCCGAACCGACATCATCAAGGCGGTTGACAAGCCAGTTGACATGACGGTCTCATACGAGATACTCGATACTCTAAAGAGTGGCCTCGCAGGCTTGCGTGAAGACATCGACAAGCTGAAGGGTAACAACACGACGCGCGACATTGAAGAGGAACCAAAGCCCACCGGCAATGAGATCGTGCTTGCCGAGGATCCAGAGCAGGCTCCCGCCGAATCAGCTAGTCGAGAGATCGTCAGCGAAGCCCTACGCCGCGGTGACCTTGAGAGAATGGAGGTTATGTTATCGCAGCTCCAAGTCAAGGTAGAAGCTATGGATGCGAACATCCAAACGCCGCCACCACCAGCAGAGTCCACACCAGTGCCTGGAACGGCCATGAAAGACGATCTTGTCAGTGTCGAGGGATTGTTGAAAGAGATCCAAGCAGCCATTCTGGTACTGCAAGAGCGGGAACAACCTGCTGCTGTGGTGGAAGGTATGGCGATGAAAGATGACACTGACGCCATTGAGACGCTTCTCGGCAACATGAAAGCGAAGATTGAAGAGCTTTCCTTACCTGATCCAGCATCTATTGTTACGAAAGAGAGCATTGATGAGGTTGAACTAGTTGTTCGCACCACTTCAGAGGCCATCGAAGCATTGGCTAGGAAGTTCGAGGAAGAAGGTGCATCCAAGGCAGACGTCACCGTGGTTCAGGTCATTGCCGATGACATCAAGTTAGTGCTGGACGAGATGAAAGCCGGCAAGTCGGATGACGAAGCCGACCCCAAAGCAACGAAGGCTGACGTCGATGCGGTCACTTTGCTTGTGGATGAGGTGAAGCTCAAGCTCGATGATCTGAAGATACCCAATCCGGAAGACCTGCCCACGAAGTCTGACCTGGAGCAGCTGACCGGCCTCTTCCAGGATTTCCGTGACAGCTATGACAAGATGAAAGACCAGTATGAGCACGACATCGAAATCACAGCCAAGACTGCAGACGATCGCAAGCAAGAAGCAACAAGTCTTTCAGAAAACCTCACCGATGTCAAGGTACTTCTTGATGACATGAAGGAGGACATCAAGAAGAGCCTTTCAGAGGGTGGCCCTCTTGACGGCCTCAAGGACTCATTCAAAAGCCTGGAGGATAACGTCACTGGCAATTTCAACGTGGCTACCGATGTCAAGGAATTGATGGAGACGGTGGCGCGTGAATTCGAGCGTGCTCATGGTTCAATCGAAGCTTTGCAGAACGACCAAACTGAGAAGTCGACTCTGAATCTCGAAAAGCATGATGAGGCCAAGGAAGCCATCATCGCTGGCCTGGTGGAAAAGATCGACACTCGTTTTGACACCCTCATGGCCAAGTACGATGACGCTCAGCTTCTCGCCGATGAGCAAGCCAAGGTGATGAAAGAGAAGGCCGAGGAACAAGAAAAGATCCTCGAAAGTACCAAGACCATGGCTGAGGAGTTGCGACTCACCATCGATACTCTTGGTGCCTCTATCACCGGCATGAACGATCGCTTCGAAGAAGCCACCACGAAGTGGTCCACCGACTCCACTGCGATGACCGGAAAGCTTGATGAGTACATGGTGAAATTCGAAGACCAGAAGATGGAGGACAAAACGGAGCACTCTCACACCCGTGACGAACTTAAGAATATCGAGAACATATTCAATGGTCTCCAAGATAACGTGACTGAATATCATCCAAAGTTCATGGTTGCTCTTCACGAGATCGAGGCTTTGGTGAAGGCCCATTACGAGCACTCACAGAAAGCTAAGGAGGAGTCCGAAGAACATGCCCGAACCGCGAACGAAGAGGCCCGAACGCGCTCCGAAGAACTTCAGAAGCATTTCGCTAGCTTGCCAGCACTCCTTCCGCCACCCCCTCCAGCGATCGAGTTGCCCGAGAAGTATGACGATGCTCCCGTGCAAGAAAAGCTTGACAAGCTGCTTGCGCTGCCGGAGCCTTCCAAGTATGACGATGCCCCAGTACAGGAGAAGCTCGACAAGCTTCTTGAGCACGTTGACGAAGCCGCAAAGTCTACTACCCATCTAGAGCGCCTTGATGACATCCACGCTCAAGTCAAAGCCACTGCTGCCGAAGTAAGCGAATTCGTCGCCAAGCAGGCCCAGCTCGTCATCGATGGCAACGAATCGAAGGAGCGTGAAGCAGAGGAGCTGGCCCTTGTTGTCGAGCGCAGATCTGCACAGAAGGAGCAACTAGAGGCCGACGTTGAGAGTCTAAAAGCGGAGAAGGAGCGCATGGTGCAAGAGCTGAAGGAAGAGAAAGAACGTGCTATGGCGGAATTGAAGGAAGAAAAGGAGCGCACGATCGTGGAGCTAAAGGAAGAAAAAGACTCACTCCTAGCCGTTGTTGCTGCCCTTCAAGCCGAACGCGAGAACCTTGCCCACCAAAAGGTTCGCCTGACCGGAGAGGTGTCTTCATTGCACACTGCTCTTGACATCCGACGCGAAGAGCTGCACATGATGGATGCCAAGGCAGATGCTCTCGAACGCCGCATCTTGAATGGTATCATGGACCACTCTCGCGCCCTCATGATTGCCAAGAACGGACAAAAGAGTCCTTCCAAAGTCAAGAAGCGCATGAGCGCAGATGTCAACGCTGATCCAAGCAAACTAATGCCTCCTCCAAGCACAGCTGCCAATGGTCTTTCCTTCGCTCTGAAGCCGCGGCCCGCGATTCGTCGCAATGGCCCACCTCATCCGGCAAGCCGTCGTATTTACTCCCTGGGTCAGATCAGTGGCAACACGCCAACAGGTGCCCAAGCCTATCCGATCAGCGTCCCCACGATCAACAACGCTGGAGGCCTCAAACGAGCTCACTCGGTGAAGACTAGTTCTCTGCGCAAGGGTTCCTGGGGAGGTCGGCCCAGCGCTGTGGTGGCCAACAAGGAGAACGAGGTCTTGAGCGAAGAAGATGAAGACGCCGGAGTCCAGCCGGACCAGGCTCATTCAATCATTGAAGAAGACCAGGACGAGACACAAAGCCAAACCGGCACTGAGCGTCGTCACAGCTTCGGCACAGGGTCCTACGCAGAGAGCTACGCTGACGGCGAGACGCCGGGATACGACGGCCGTTCGGACTTTGGAGGCACAGGTAGCGAGTATACTTATGCATCTGGGTCCTACATGAGTGGCAGCGATGTTGATCGCCGCACTTCCTATGGTTCTCACGCTCCTTCTGCAACTCATCAAGATAACGAGACCATCGACGAGCGTAGCGAAGACGGCTCCCGTTACGAGCAATCCGAGCAATCCGATGCTGAGGGCGATGAGCCTACTGCTACCATTGCCGCTACGGATGTCGCCGCGCCGTCCGAAGTCACCGCTTCCGAAGTCTCGACTGCGACTGCCGGTGACGATGTGCATATGCCCACAGAATCCGAAGTCGACCGCGCTGTGGAAGCCGTCAAGGAGGAGATGACGAAGGAGGCCATGTGGGCACCGCCCAGTGACTCTGGCGTCGGTACCGATCTACCAACTGCGGCCCTTGGCAATGAGAGTGAGGCCGATGCGGACTACTTCCGGCGTGCCGCTGAAGAGGAAAGTGTGGTTGGGTGAGAGCTAAGTCGAGGTATCCGCATCATATTGTACATACGACATACACTCTTCAGTATGCTCACGACGTTTGGAATGGTGCTTTGAGTTGTCGAAGTCTACGGGTCGCTGCGGGCACAGAGCGGTCCAATTCATGAAGGCAGATTCGGTCAATTTGGGATTTTGGGAAAGAGGATGGCAATAAATTCGACGTTAATCGGGCGTCGTTTATTTCTTGTATACATGATGGTTTGGAAATACGGCTGTTTGCGGCGTTGGACGGTCGGATAGTCGGATATCGTTTACAGGCTCTGGTGGAGTTGTGGTCAATTCGCTAAATTGTTATCTGTGTCTTCGTCAATGATGACAATAATGATTCTTTTCTGTACATCTTCTCCGCATGCATGACATTTCATGACTTTCCTCCACTCGCACCATTATTTTCCGACCTCCTCGTCCCCCTCGCCCTCCTCTTCGTCGCTATCGTCGTCGTCGTCGTCGTCGGCCTCCGCATGCATGAGATCAATGACCAGCACCGACCCGTCCTTCATCGCATCGATCTGGAACCCCGCTTGCAACACGTCCTCTGCATCGTGCACGCACTTAGCGACATCGAGACCGATATCAGCATCTTTGAGCGCCAAGCAAACAGCGCGGAAATGCTCGTGATGCGCGTCCTCTAGCTCCACGCCTTCTTTCCCGCCATCGAAGATCAAGATGGCATTCCCATGACTGAGGTAGAACGTTTCATTTAGTTTGCTATGTGAGTTAGAAGCTTTTAAGAGTTGGTCTCGGGTGGTAGAAGCGCTGGCTGAGAGGCGCGTGAAGAGGCGGGCTTGTAAGAGGTTTTGCGCAGCTTGTGGGGACCTCGGTGCGAAGATCGTAACGTTTGGTGGGAGCGTGGGGGCGGAATCTTTCGAAGACATTTCGGGAGTGTGGATTTTGTTGGAGTGAAATGCGACGTGTAGAGAGGGCAAAATTGGGTTTAGTGGCTTGGCATAAGTAGTACTTTCACAGTTTAGGCAAGAATTGTAGAAGAAACGAAGGTACAACAAGATGAAAATTTGTAGATACTGACAATATCATCCTAGCACCTATCAGATGATAATGGCAGTGCAAATTTTCCATGACAACGTCGGCTACTATGAAGAAGGCACGCTCACGCGTGCTTTTCTTGATCGAAAGGAGACAGCATGACTACGTCTTGAAGATTCTTAACTACGACTACGCTTTCCCTATCTACAAACGCCGCCATAGTTTTTAGGTTATCCTCAGTCATCTTACACATCGAGCTAAGCCTCACTAGGAATGTATGGGACAGCTCCTGCACTCGTCCAAACGTCGACGCAAGCGCCTGCCCTCCGTTCCCCATCCCACACGATGGAAAATTCACCACTTTCCGACACAATCAAACACCAAGCACGACATTGTTACACCTGCATCCGGAAAATTTTGTGCCCAGATGCCAGAGGCCGGTCCCGGTCCGCGGTGCCTGAAATGCCGACGGCTACATCTAAATTGATTAGGACCGACGGTCACGCACCCATTGCCACGACCAACGTGCGTGGCCTGGACGAAACAAGATGGTTTCTTTCCCCGTATTGCGAACTGCAGGGTAGATGATCCGCGAAACGATGCATGGATGGCGAGATTGGATGTGAGAGTTGGAGCTTTATATAGCGCCATGAGGACGTGGGATCTCCTGACTTGAATCGCCTGCTGTGTATCTACCTGGATCAATTGCTGTCAGAGTCATTCATTATGTTGCGCAAAGCAGCACTTGTGAGCGCTTTTGTGAGCGCTGTGTCTGCTGGTTAGTGTCTAATCACATGTTTCCACCGCGTATGTCTAATGAGATCCAGGCACAATCCTCTGGGATGGTCGCTTCAACGAGTTCACCTCCTCCGCCGACTTGAACAAGTGTAAGTCTCACTAATCCCCCTGCCTAACCCTCAGCTCACACTGTCCAGGGTCATGGGCAAATCAGGTCGGACCCTACCAATACTACATCCACGGCTCCGGCGACGTGACCGAATACGTCAACCTCTCGCCCTCGTACAAGAACCCCGCCGACGCTGGCAGTAAGCAAGGCGCCAAGATCACCATTGACAGCACGGCAAAATGGAACAGCGATATGTGGCGGACGGAGCTTATCCCGCAAAAACAGGCCGATTCGATTAGCAGCGGCAAAGTGTACTACCACTTCAGCATTAAGCGCAGCTCGACCAATGTGCCGAGTGCTACGAATGAGCACCAGATTGCGTTCTTTGAGAGCCACTTTACGGAGCTGAAGTATGGGTGGATTAGTGGAGAGAGCGGCACGAGTAATACGAATTTGCAGTGGTTCGTGGGTGGCCAGAGCAAGTGGAAGGTGGCGTTGGTGGCCGATATGTGGCATAATGTTGCTTATGAGATTGTACGTTTCCCTCCATGGTCCGAGCTGGCGAAAAGAACATTTGCTGACGCAAGTGCAATAGGACTTCTCGGCTGGCCAAGTCACCTTCTGGCACTCGACTGGCTCCGACGCACTCACCAAGGCTGCAGGTCCTTTCTCCGCGAGTACGTCCTCCAACGGCGCTGACTGGCACTTGGGGATCCTGCGTTTGCCGCGCTCAGGTTACGACGGAAGCGGTGCCGAGGACTGGTACTTCAGTGGAACTTATGTCGAGAGCGGTACGCTCACCACTTCTGTCTCCAGCCCGGCATAGAGGAATTCGAGATAGGGAGAGACAGCCCTGTATATATCGGCACAAGCCATGGTCTGTGCGTACTTCAAAAGAAGCACATGTGATGAATTGATGGATGCTGAGTGTCACTACAAAGCTCGAGAGATGGATCCCGTATTCGCTGGATGCAGCAACGGTGCAATGAGAGGCGTTGCTGAACAGGCAGCAACGGACCGGTGGACACTGTGATGGCACGTGCGCTGTTGGCGGCGGCGCGGTTGCTGCGGTGACATCAGACAGTCAAGCAGACAAAGCTGTCCCACCCGCAGCGAAGCTTGACGACTTTACGACTTTCTTGTCTGCCGCACGCACCCCACCGCTCAACACAAGCCTTGGTCGCACCGGCCGTGTCCACTGGGCCTGTACACTTACTGAAGCTCCGTGCCAAACTTTGCCCTCTTTTGCGCGACCATCGCACATCATCCCACCATGGCCGACGCACGCGGCGAATACTGGTACCTTGACGACGGCGTCGAGCCCACCAAGATCACGGTGCCGGAGCTGCGGAGCATTCTGCTCAAGCATGGCGTGCACTATCCCGCCTCGGCGAAGAAGCCTGCGCTCGTCGAACTCTTTGCCGCCAACGTGCTGCCTCAAGCTGCGAAGATCCAGCGGGCAGCCGCGCGAACAGTGCGGTCTACGCGCGGCATAGTCGATGTGCCTTCCAGTTCCGCGAGCACCACCACGACCGACGACACGGGCGACGACACCTTAATTCCGCCGCCACCAGCACCAAGGCCGGCGTCGCGGCGTAGGACCCGAGCGGCTACAGCAGAGCACGAGGACGAGAAGCCTGCACCTGCGCCTGCCCGCACACCTGCACGTCGAGCGAAAACACCGTCGCAGACAGTTCCGAACAAGCATGCTCGCGAATCCGATGCAGACGCCGATGGGCAGCCAGCGCATCAGCGCACCCGGAAGAGCCTTGCGCCACAAGTCAAGGAGCCGACACCAGACCCAGAGGCGTGGCACCGTCCAGCTGCGGATAGCCCCTTCACACAGGACAACCCTTTTCAAAGCGGTAGCTCTCCGCCAAACCCCGAATCGCATGCGCGCGATCGACGAAGAAAGACCATGGGCTTTGAACAGAAGGACAGACGCAAGAGCGATGCGAACCGTAGGAAAACGTATCAGCCCCAAGCAAGCCAACAAGAGGACGGCGTTGTCGTCCCTACTCGGAAAACCTTCGAGATGCCTGTTTCTCGTGTGAAGAAAGAGGAGGCAGTAGTCGCTGTGCCCGATAGCGGCGATGAAGGCGAGGAAGGCGAGGAGTACACACCAGAAGAGCAGTTAGAGCTGGTTCGAGAACGCGCTAAGAATGGCGAGGTGGATATCCTGCCTTCAAGACGACGCAGAGATCCTCATAAAACCGCCAGCACTGTCCAAGCGTTCCTGCTCACATTCATTACGACCGCGTTCGCCGTTCTTGGTGGAGTCTGGCGAGAAGAGAAGTTTGCAATCGGCTTCTGCAACACCGGCTCTGTCGCGCCCACGGCAATCGCTGGTGTCGAACTCCCGGAGTTTGCCACCGGTCTTCTTCCGCAGTGCGAACCATGTCCGCCTCATGCGTACTGCTACCCTAAATTGCAGGTTGAGTGTGAGAAAGACTTCATCAAGAAGTACCACCCACTATCATTTGGAGGCGTCCTTCCTCTACCACCTACCTGTGAGCCAGACACAGAGAAGACGCGGAAGGTCACCCAGGTGGCTGATCACGCTGTGCAAATGCTACGGCAACGACGCGCACAATTCGAGTGTGGCGAGGACGATGCGCAGGGCAAGGTCGTGCAGAGCCCTGAGGTCAGCATTGCGGACCTGAAGGCAGGATTGTTAGCCAAGAAAAGCAAGAGTTTATCGAATGCCGAATTCGAGGATCTATTTGCCAAAGCTATCGGCGAAATACCGGGAAGGCAGGAAGTGGTTGAGAAGAGCGACGGGTAAGTTGAACCTCCTTTATCTTTCTATAACCGTATGTCTGACCGAGCTGTACTAATCAGATCTCTTGCTTCTAATATAGAACTACCGGAGAACGTCGGCTCGCCTCAACCTCTCTCTCAGAGCTCACCCTCGCTTGCAGCATCCGACGATCCCTACGAGAATCACTTGAACGACATCTTCTCCAGATTGTAGGCGTCATCCTGTTCATCGCGAGTGGAGCGTACGGCAGATATGTCATTACGTCTAATCGAGCTATCGAAGCTCGAGCGAAGCAATTGGCCAGCGACGTCTTCGATCGCCTCGCCAATCAAGCCGCCCTGGCTCATCAAGAACCAGGCGCATACCAGGACCGCGGTCTCAGCATGAACCAACTCCGAGACGATGTTCTTCGCAATGAATTTTCGTCTTCGCGGCGCATGAACCTCTGGAAGCGTGTACAGAAGAAGGTCGAGCACAATTCGAATATCCGTGCTGCAGTACGTGAAGGAGCAAGCGGCGACATTACGCGCATGTGGGAATGGATTGGACCTGTTCGGTTACTGGAAGATGGACACAGCAGTGGAAAGCGCGACGGTGGACGGCGTAGCCTGGGCTGGATGTCAACGCCCGGCAGCAGTCCGCCCGAGCCGAACGTGGAAGGCCAACGTTGGGATGACGGACATCCGCAGTACTAATTGCTTTTCTTTGCGTGTGCTCGCATTCAATTTTCTTGGCCATGTCGTACCTGTGACAGGCTTTGGACTTTGGTGTTCTTTAATGATACCATACCTTGTCTTCCAGATGTTCAGCTATCCTTGACCTATGGTGATGTGCACTTCACAACTCCTCAATAACACTCCTATCCAAAAATTTCTCCAAATCCGCTCTCGACATCGCCGCCCGCCGATCGCTCTTCGCAAGCATCGCATCCTCATCCACCAGCAGCGGCATCAGCTCCTCATCCTTCCACGTCCCACTCCACTTGTGTTCCTCCCATACAGCCTTCACGACTTCAGCGTCCATACCCACTTTATCAGCTACGAAGCTGTACACACTTGAGTTAGGGTGGTTGTACACATCAAGCGTCTGATTGAGCGCACGCACAAACGCCACGATGTCGGCACGTTTCTTGGGGTCGTTGAGTTTGTCGGTCGTGGTGTAGAGACTATAGACTTCCCTGTAGATGGTGCCTGTTCCCTCATCCTTAGCTCTCATCCGTGCTCCTCCCTCCTAGAATACTTGAGACTTACCATTTTGAAATAGCACAACATTGTCCTTCTCCATCGCTCTCACTCCAAGCTCAACAGCAGGCTCCCATATTCCAAACGCATCGACCTGTTTTCCCCTGTAGCATGCTCGGTAGCGTCCCACTCCCGCACGGTGCCTTCATGCACACGTTGCCGCTGACGACACTATACTGGTCCTCCCTTACCCCGGCCGAGGAGAGCATGCGCTGCACGAAGATTGCAGCGCTGGTGCCGGGCATGGAGCCTATCTTTTTCCCTTTGAGGTCGGCAAGCGTCTTTATGCCTGCGTCTGCGCGTGCGACCAGCCGGTACGAGACTTCAGTGATGATGTAGATGAGGCGGATGTTCTTGTGGTCGGCGTATTGCTTGAGGCCTTGGGTTTCGGCGTTGGCGGCGAGGTCTACTCCTTACACGCGCTGGTTAGATTTGCGGGATGACACGAGATTTCATGGAGATGAAAGTTTGTGTGTGATTACCAATGCTGGAGTCAAAAAGCTAGGTTGGCCACGCCGCCGGAGGAGAGCGTGGCCGTCGAGGACCCCTTGTAGAAGTTCTTGATTGCGTATGGCTGTGGCGTGTGTTCGATCCATTGGAGGGAGGTGGCGACTTTGAGGGCAGAGGTGCTAGAGAGGAGAGTGGAGGGCAAGATGAGGGATGTGAAGTACATGGTGGGTAGGTATGGGACTGTGAAACCGGGCTACAGATGGCAATAGGAATGGCATTGTCGCGATTGTTGTACGATTTATTCAGTGCTCTACAACTGTTGGATAGCCATTGCTCTTGCATCCACCTAGCCTCGACTAGGACCGATATTGAAGTGGTGAAGTGCAGCAGGGATGTGGATAGTCTCGATGATAATTGCACGGCTGTGCGCACAACTGCCGAAGCACGATCTAGGTATTGCAATCAAGGAGGTAATCTTGCGATACTTCTCTGTCCACATTGATTTTCGTCGTCTTCAGAGATGTGTCCAATAGGGCATGGCGCATCGCACGTGAAATCCTGACAAGGTAAAACAACCATATGATGAGGCCGGGGTAGATTGCCAAGCGACATAGAAACCTTCGTGATATCTGAGAAACCGTAGAACCAAAACGCCGACATACACACCCCGCAGAACCACCTTTTTGGGCCTTTGCGTCTAGGTGCTTTCATGCCTAGTGTGCCTGGATCCAGCCAAGCATTAGACCGTAAGCCTGAGCCTGTGATTGCTTGATTTTAGGATCCTCGTAATCCCCATAGACCGCAAAGCCGTGAGGCACACCTGGGAAGATTTGGACTTCGTGCTCGACCTCGTTCTTCTCCAGTGCCTGTCGTCCTGGAGTGAGGACCTCTTCTTCTGGGAATAACGGATCATCCTTGACGGCGACAATGTACACCGGAGATTTCACAGCCTCAAGATCCTCTTTGGTCACCATCGTGCCATGGGCAATGGCGCCAGCCTTTATGACGGGTGCGTTCTTAACCGCGCCTTGTTCCTCATCTTTGGGTGCTTCCTGACCCCAGGCGACGGTATCTGGATGGTCGCCTGCTAGTATCAGGATATATTTAGCCCCAAAACAGTATCCGACGCCGTAGATCCCACCCCCGTTAGCTACCGCATCGGCGAACTCCTCCTTTGCACCCTCGATGACCTTGTGCAGGATTGGCAACACCTTCTCAGGCGTATGTCGTGCAAGCCACATGTCAATCATGAACGACTTGATACCTTCAGCACTCTTCATCTTTATTGTTTCCAGCCATGATGCGTCCTTGTTAAGCTCGGCCATGTTGACCGTGTTAGGAGCAGGGTCATTATCGAATTGGTCCGGCATAATGACCAGGTAACCTTCGGTGGCATACATATCGGCCTGGAGCTGGTTGTTCGTAGACTTTATCCCGGTACCGCCCGTAAGGAGGAGCAGGAGCTTGGACGGTGAATGCGGGTAGTCTGAGGGCTTTGCTACGTATACGTCGACCCCGCCGAGCTTCGTTAATTCACCAGTCGGTGCCTCGCCCTCAGGCGTAGGCCTATCCGTGGTGCAGTGATCCTGGACCGCGTCAGCGAGCATAGCAACAGCAGTTACTGAGTGCTTACGCCCATGGTTGGACCTTCCTGAGCTATGCTGTCCCCAGGGATGGGACTCTGGCCTGGCGCAGCTGGAGGAGGAACATGAGCTGCTGGTGCTTCCTGCGCGTCGCTCTCGGGTGCCTTCGTGGCAATCTCGTTGTCGGCCATGGTTATTTTGGTTGCGAATGTCTGTTGCTGCTGCGAGTTCACCGTCGCTTGGTTGTGAGCTGTGGGTTCAACCAATTACGTAGCCCATGTTGCTGCGCCTTCCGTTAGTGCGGGGCTTGCGCCTCCCGCCAACTCTCATCACGTGAAATACTTTACGCGTCGACGCGTCGCGGAGGCAAGCACGTCCGACCGCCATCTCCAAGCTTTCGCTCTAACACTACAGCACCACCACGTTCGTCTGCCCCAACGTGTTATATTCGCAGACATGGCGGAACAAGCGATCACACAGGGTGTTATCAGGTACGCGTTCCTCGCAGAACGTCCCACAACAGACCAGCTAATACTAGCCCAGGAGCATCTTCGAGCCCGACGGCTGCTCTGTAGAGCACCCCGTGCTGCAATGCGTGCAGATCAAGACGATGGATCCCAAGGGTGGCGAGGGGGGTGGCGTTCAGCGCTTCCGTGTCGTGTTGAGTGACGTCCGAAATTTCATACAAACTATGATCGCGACGTGTAAGTGAAGATGGTGTGCAGTCATGCTTCATGCAGCTGATACGTTCAAGCGGCAAACGATATCGTTCTTTCCGGAAAGCTCAAGAAAGGCTCCATTGTCCGGCTCTTGAAGTTCAACCCTCAGCAGGTGAAGGAGAAGAAGATCCTGATCATCATGGACCTAGAAGTCCTCGACCAGTATGGCGAGCACGACAAGATCGGGCAACCAGAAGCCCTCGAAAACATCAAGTCGGAGCCACAACCCGGCGCCATCTCCGGCAACGGATTCTACGGCTCGCGGCCCGAACAGCAGCAACAGCATGCGCCGCAGCAACAACAGCGATCGCTTCCCGTCCATCAGAATAACCAGGGTACCTCAACGCACCCTCATCTGTATCCCATTGAGTCACTTTCTCCGTACGCGCACAAGTGGACGATTCGGGCACGATGCACACACAAAGGCGATATAAAGACATGGCACAACCAGAAGGGTGAGGGCAAGCTGTTCTCCGTGAACTTGCTGGACGACACTGGCGAGATCCGTGCTACAGGCTTCAATGAGGTGTGCGAGCGCTTGTACCCAATCTTTGAAGAAGGCATGGTATATTACATCTCTGCGCCGTGCCGTGTGACACTGGCAAAGAAGCAATTCTCAAACCTACCCAACGACTACGAGCTTCAATTTGATAGGGACACAGAAGTCGAGAAGGCCGAAGATCAAGACAACAAACCGCAAATCCGGTACAACTTCACCAAGATTGGCGATCTCAACAATGTTGAAAAGGATACCACTATTGACACCGTTGGTGTACTGAAAGAAGTTGGCGAAGTCAACACGATCACTTCCTCAAAGACTAACAAGGACTTCAGCAAGCGAGACCTGACACTCGCTGACGACAGTCAAACCTCGGTTAGGCTGACTATATGGGGCAACCAAGCTCAGTCATTTGACGCGCCTCTGGAATCAATCATTGCATTCAAGGGTGTCAAGGTTAGCGACTTTGGCGGCCGAAGTCTGAGTTTGTTGAGTTCCGGTAATATGACTATCGACCCCGACATCGATGAGGCACACAAGCTACGAGGCTGGTTCAACGCCGTTGGCCAGAACGCTACATTCTCTACTCACCAAAACCTCGCATCCGCGGGTGGTGGTCAGAAGAATGACACAAAACTCATCTCCCAGATCACTGAAGATGAGAACTATTTGCAGATGGATACTCCTTCATACTTTAACCTGAAAGCGTCTGTCGTCTTCATAAGGAACAGCCCTACGTTTGCTTACCCAGCCTGCTCTACAGAAGGTTGCAACAAGAAGGTCATTGAAGAGAACAGTGGCGAGTGGTGGTGCGAAAAGTGCCAGAAGAAGTGGCCTGAACCGCTGTTCCGATACGTGTTGAGCATCAACGTCGCCGACCACACCGGTCAAATGTGGTTGAGCTGCTTCGACGACACGGCGCGAACTATCATGGGTATGTCGGCCAACGAACTGATGAAGATCAAGAACGACAGTGAAGAGAATTCTACCCAAGATTTCAGCATTGCTATGCAGGAGGGTACATGCAGGACCTTCAACTTCAGAGTCCGCGGCAAGATGGAGACGTACAATGACCAGCCTAAGTGAGTAAATCTTCGCAAATATGCTTAACATGCTGCTAACGATGGTATAGGCCTCGGTATCAGGTCTTGGGCATCAACACACTGAACTATGCCCAGGAAGCCAACAAGCTTGCACAGCTGATCAAACAATACGACATGGATGGGGACAGCCTGTTCGTATCGTGATACAGAATTCTTGTGGAACTAGAGTTGATGTTTGTTGTTTCCCTCTCCTCTCGCCGCAACTCCATACGGACGCGGCGATACATGACGACGTGGGATTTAACGTACAACGTTCAGAGGAACAGAATTGGCTACATAGCACTGTAGTAATGCCCTGTAAATGCATGTATCCGAAATTTTTGTACTGTGGCGTCCGTGGCGAAAACGGCGAATCTACCGATACTAAAGTCATCTTTCTACCAAAAAGAAGGAAAACATTGATGCGGTTATGCGAGGGCAAGGCATTGCTTGCTCTTGCAAACTTCTTAAATCCGGTGAATTTCAGTTGTAGGCCGTTGCAGCCCACATGTGCAGGCTTTACCAATGTGCCAAGAGGGAAGCGCGCTAACAGCAAATCGCTGACTAACGCGGCAGCCGAGCCTCCGCACACACGAAAAATAGACGACGAAGTCAACAATCTATCCACACCAACGCCTCACCGTCGCCTTCCCTAACCGACACAGCAAAATCAGCCAAGATGGTGAGTCTACAGCCTTTAGCACAGATAAAACGGAGCTTTGCACAATTGCGACACGAGCGAACGATGCCTGCATACCGATCGACTACGAACTTCGCCTCCGAGAATACGATGCAGGAAACACGGGCTGGTGTATTGGACGGCAATGCGGGAACAGGACGGTCGCTTTGCAACAGCTTTTGAGGGGAAATTATGTCTACATGACGATCAAGGATCCCGCAATTGAAGATGGCAGTATCGGTATTACGTTACCGGCACGAGCGCATGGGATGGCGCATCTCCACCACGATGCTGAGGATGGGTTTCCACGGCATGACGCATCGCAAACTTACCATCGAGCTACGGCGACTCCTTGATCGACAAATGACGCAAGGGTCGCCCATTCCACCTATCGTCCACCAATGCATCGATTGCGAACGTCTCCATGCCGCTCCGTCTCGATGGCTCGTGTCGCAATAGTCGCTTGCTCAAGCAGAACCATACGATGGTCACGATGATCTAAGGAACCACAAGCTAACCTGCTGCGATAGGTCAACGTACCCAAGACCCGACGAACCTACTGCAAGGGCAAGGACTGCAAGAAGCGTTAGTCCTTAGCTGATAATTGGAATCAAGGCAGTATACTGAGAACCTGCAGATACCCAGCACAAGGTGACCCAGTACAAGGCCGGCAAAGCTTCGCTGTTCGCCCAGGGAAAGCGCCGTTATGACCGCAAGCAGAGTGGTTATGGTGGTCAGACCAAGCCCGTCTTCCACAAGGTACGGTCGAAATAAGCATGTGCAAGTCCTGTGCTGACAGCATTCCAGAGGGCGAAGACCACCAAGAAGGTCGTGCTCCGTCTAGAGTGCACTGCTTGCAAGGTACGATCCATGCCTACTACTCTGGAACACGTCTGACAATTCGCAGACCAAGGCACAGCTCGCCCTCAAGCGATGCAAGCACTTCGAGTTGGGTGGTGACAAGAAGACTAAGGGTGCAGCCCTTGTCTTCTAAACGTGTTCCTTGTTCTCTCTTTTGCTGGGCCCTCGGCGTAGTCTTCTGGGGTGGATAAGGACAGGACGGCTTTTCCATTCGACACATACAAGCATGGTGGAGCAGCGAGGGCGGTTCTGCGGATGAAAACATGCCGGTCACGATATTTACGGACTGTAACCTACAATTGCATCAAATGGAGCTCGATTGAAGGCCCTCTCACGTAGCTTTCGTTCATGTCCAGGCTGTGTTCTGAAAGTGATGTGCGCATCCGGTTCGGTTCATATCTTTGCGCGTAGGTGGGGTGCTTCGGAGTCATCGGGAAACTCAACAGCCCCACTACAAACGCGCCGTACGCGCCTCGGTTGGTGTCAAAAGTCTCGAACACCGGGTTCAAAGGATAGGCGACCCCATATCTCTTGCTTTCCCATCCCCAACATTCCATCATGGCTAGCTCTACAAAGAAGAGCGTACTAATCGTTGGAGGTGGTGCTGTTGGAGCTATCGCCGCATTGAACCTCGAAGTTGGCGGACTCGCGCACGTTACTCTTGCTCTGCGGTCGAATTACAATGCTGTGAACGAACATGGCTTTGATATTAAATCATGCGATCACGGAAGAGTTCAAGGCTGGAAACCTAGCATTAGTAGGCATTGTCCAATTATCACCCGTAATCAATCTTGAAAGCTAATCTACTTATCCGCAGTCCGCGATTCCATCCCTGATATCACCAAAGAGTCTCTCCCACCGTATGACTACATCCTTCTCTGCACAAAGAACATTCCGGATATTCCACCTACAGTTGTCGATCTCGTCACACCCGCCTTGCCCAGAATCAACACCCACACGACCCTCGTCCTCCTCCAAAATGGCCTCCACATATACAGGCCTTTCTTAGAGTCACATCCTCAGACACTTGTCCTGAGCGCCATCTCCATGATCGGCAGCGAAGAGCTCTCGCCTGGGAAGATCATCCAGGATGAAGGAGACAAGCTCATCATCGGCGCATTTCCAAATCTTAACACCAATCCCTCTACTTCCGCCGCTAAATGCTTCATTAAGATGTATAAGAACGGCGGAAAAACGGATTGTAAGCTCGGTGAAGATGTGTTGCACGACCGGTGGCGGAAGCTCGTATACAACTCAGCTTTGAACCCCATCTGCGCAATTCTAGGCTTGGACACGGGAAGGCTGAGGCTAGCAGCAGATGGAGAGGTGGTAGAGCACTTGGTCAGGCCGGCGATGCAGGAGATCGTCGACGCGGCGAAAGCGAATGGGGTCCTTCTCGATGAGGGTGTGGTGCAAAAGATGATTGATGCTGATCCGTTACAGAGCTATCTGAGCCCTAGTATGCTCGTGGATGTGAAGAAAAAAGGCAACTTCCTCGAGCATGAAAATCTGCTGGGTGAGCCGCTCAGAGAGGGAAAGAAGATGGGTGTGGAGATGCCGACGATTAAGATGTTGTATTATATGGCCAAGGGGATTCAGTGGCGGACGATGGAGGGGAGGGGGTTGGTGGAGATTCCGCCGAAGGATGTTTAGATAAAACACATGTCAGTTTTTTCTATTGAAGAGGTTTTGACAAGCTTTGCTCGTTCCTAAGATGCACGTCACGTTCCTGCCCTCGGTTGATGTGGCTTGAACACACCCTACATGCCCTGTTGCACTGCTCGGCTCAACATTAAACTTACATGTGATACGCCAGGTTTTGATCCGCTACGACAAAACGTTTGCCTGCAGCCAGCAAATGCTAGGCTATAAGTGAACCAGGGACGCAAAGTTTACAACATATCAGACAAGCTCCTGGAAGCTTTCATTGATTTGTGATGACCAGCTGAGATCAAAGGGAAGCTGACCTTAACAACACAAGATTGAATGTGCAATACGTTTCGCGTTGAGTGAGTGGTCCGGTAGTGGTCCACTTACTTAACAATCACACGGTATCGTGGGTCCGGCGTCACGAATGATAAACATCCATAGTAAGGGGTTATTGTTGCAGATCTTCTAAACGGTAGTACACGCATATGGAGCAAAAAGCGTACTTCGTGCCCACTTACACCGAAGCAGCCGCCGCATCGCCTAGCACTGAAGTATTACCAACAATGGCATCATTCAATGTGAGTACGTATTTCATCTGGAGGGAGATCTCTTTTCTCTTGTTGAGCGGGATGTTTCTATAAGCAAACGTGTCGTAATGTCCTCAAACACCTGCATCTCAAATCCTCGAAGTAACTCACTCCGACATAGCTTTGCCCGAAGAGGTTACCGGGTTGATTGAGATCGCTTTGGACAGAAATGAAGAGACCGACGAGCCATAATGTATTCTGAGCGTCGAAAATCTCTGCAACCTTCGCGTAGTCGACAAGTAGACAAGACCCTATGTATGTCCAGCACCCTTTCAGCGCACGATTCTTCCGACGTCGCAAACACATGCTCGCCGAGTATAGTCTGACAAGACTCCGTGATATCGCTCGGCATTTGTTATTCAGCACGTACGTTCGCCAGAGCCAGATCTCCCTAGGTCCTCAACGCATTGCGGAGTTGCACGATGTTGTTCCTGTCACCAATCCATTGTTTCCAAATCTACCACGAACATCCCGCTGGTCGAGCATTGAGTTTTCAAATTCAATAATCCATGCCTGTCCCAGATATGCGCATGTAGATATTTCAACGATAGTATGCGTGCAAAAACGTTAACAAGCAACTTAAAGTCCTTTGTATAAATCGAAGTAAGTTCGAGAGCAGTAAGAAAGTAATACCACTATTACAGAAAGCTTTAGAGAACCTTTTCGATCTACAATCGATCGGTATCGAATCGTACCCCAAAATCCACGCGAACAGAAGGCACGACTACCCTAGAACTGAGTAGACCCATCCATGGGAGCAAGTGCTCTTGCGAAGAGGCGAAATGCCATTCCCGCGCCAGGCTTCGCCGATTTGTAGAGATTGCTTGGCGAGAGCGAGGGCTCCTCCAAGGTCAACTGACAACTAAACCTAACCTTGAGAGCCCTGGAAATTATACAGCACCGTCCGGAATGGTACATAGATTTCTTTCTCAATCGAGTGAAAAGTACATCCACTGTAGAAAGCTCCTCCATATCAAGTCTGGTCTATGGAAAGTCTGCAAAGGTCGCGATAGACCACTCAACATACATCGCACAATACCGACTCGAGAACGGCCCCATAAGAGGGCCAATTGGCTGACCGATATATCAAGCATCCGTGGCGTAAACGTTGAGGTGTGGCCTTGTTAGAACACCTTCTACTGGTCCAGAATAGCCTGCAATGCTCCCTTGCCTAAGCTGCGCCGTCCGGAAATGATCAAGCTTCTGTCCAAGATATGTTTCTCGACGTGTTCCTGGAGAAGTATGCTAGCACTCTCGATTAGTCAGCCTTGACCACGTATCATTGTCGTTGGGTGAATACGCGCGGCAAGACATATACTATCCTAATGATATGCTCCAATCAAAAGAGTACAAAATCAAAGATACCTTTTGGATTGCGAAGTTCGAACTCATCTGAAAGCTTCCACGGCTCCGCAGCATCTATCTGTCATATCTATCATGGTCGCCGAGCAGCTGTCGAAAGATTCATTTGTCAACGTTTTCGGGGCATACGTCTGACGGAATCGCATGGAAGGGAGACGTGGGAAAATACGGTAATTACCCAGGACGCTAATATAACGACTCTTGTGGAAGCAGGCGTTCAAGACAACGTCATCGAGATAGAGGAACGCTTTGTGCTTTGGCATACGGTTATCTATGTCGCCTTCGTCCAGAATAGTGGGTTGGCTGAAAATGAAGATCCTTCAGTGGAGGAGATGGAGGTCGGGAGCAACTCGGATGGTTCTGATGCAAGCAAGGACGTTTGACACGCCCATCAGAGCCGGTTTGAGGGGTGAAAAGGACTCCACTACAGTCTTGCACAACAAGTTACGAGGAAGCAAAAAGTCCAACGAGCATAGCAAGGCATTAGTGTTTTCCCTTTGGAATTGGAAGCGGCACCAAAACACTGATGATAGGAGCATGAACAAGCTACTAGTTAGGGTGAAGAAATGCACGCGGGTAGAGGCAGTGGATGATCCGCAGGATAGTGGAGGTATAGGCTAAGGTTGGCTAAGAGCTTCAGCAAGGTGTTGTGCAAACTTTCTTCAATTCTCACAACCCTTCAATATATGTCTGGGATAGTGGGTGGACGGCTGCCACAAGACTTGATGAGAATGCATCCACGTGCCCTACGCACCGTACATGGTGAACAGTGATGACATATTGGCGAATACTGTCGAAACGAATGCCAATAGCCGGCTGGGGTGCAAACAAGCTTCGCCTCCGTTTGCAGTGAGGCAAAGAGGCGCCAATGTTGGTGAGCAGCCTGTTACCAAGGACAAGAACTTGGCACCGGTGAAGTGCGCGTATGCCTGACAAATGAGGAGCACTGTGGGCGCGAAGTAGAAGAAGGCCACCTTGCGCCGAGTGACGTCTGGTGCCGGTGTTCCGATTTGGACGGGCTTGGGCTATGAAAGTCCAGAGCGATAGGCGGAGCCGCTAACGGTGTAGGGGCACTAGCGCCTGCCAAGGTGAAAGAGCGGAACGCCAAGTATTTCCGCGCTTTTGCCACCCTTGCCCCAGTCACCCCTCCTGCTCGCATCGAGACCCCGCCGCGTCATCGCTTCCGCACGAATGCATCCAAAAAGCAGCGGTTTGAGCCCTCTGTGAGCATCGTGCCCTGTCCTGGTTGCCGGGGCGGTCGTTCATGTTGTTAGCTTCGCGACTCAACCAGCACCCAAGCGTGGAGACCCTCGTCCCGCCCGAAGGACGCTAACATCTGGTGCCATAAACCAGCTTGCGACATCCCCGGACCACTACCAGCCTCCAAAGTAGCGTACACCATGCCAAGATGTGGATACATGTATGTTCTTGGCTGCGGTCATACGTCTTTCCGAGTCCTCCCCAACATATCTTTAAAAGAGTCGAGATGCCCCCGCATCTCGATTGCTTGTCTTCCCTAAGAATCATCTGTATTCAATTTCCCACCACTCGCTATGGGAAAGAAGACTCAGACACTCGAAGGCCATGTGTCTGGCCAGGCCAACACCCCACTTCCTCGGCCCGCCCATGCCCTTCCGTACTCCAAAGTCGTTGAGGAAATAGGGTGCAATCCTGAGAATGGACTTACAACATCCGAAGCTACGAAACGGTATGAACAGTACGGAAGTAATGATCTAGGTGAAGATGGTGGGGTACAGCCAGCGAAGATTTTGCTCCGGCAGGTAGCAAACGCAATGACTTTGGCAAGTAATTGCCGCGAGCAGAGCCATACATCTAGGCTAACGTGTACGCAGGTGCTTATCTTAGCAATGGGTGTCAGTTTCGGCATTCGATCATGGATTGAAGGTGGTGTAGTAACCGCCATCATCCTGCTGAACATCATTGTTGGTTTTGTCCAAGAGTATAATGCTGAGAAGACCATGGACTCGCTGCGATCACTCAGTTCACCGACAGCGACAGCGGTGCGAGACGGCAAGACCATCACTGTGCCGACTGTTGAGGTCGTCCCCGGAGACATGGTAGAGATGAAGACAGGTGACACTGTCCCAGCTGACGTTCGTCTGATTGAAGCCGTCAACTTCGAGACAGATGAAGCACTCCTTACGGGTGAAAGCTTGCCCGTGTTGAAAGATGCCGAAGCTACATTCGATGATGACACTGGACCTGGTGACCGACTGAACGTCGCGTTCAGCTCTTCGACTGTCACCAAAGGCCGCGCACGAGGAATCGTTTTCGCTACCGGTATGTACACCGAGATCGGAAGCATCGCCATGTCGCTACGGGACAAGGGTTCGCGCCGTCGACCTGTCAAACGCAAGGAAGATGGCTCAGCTGGACCACACCGACACGTACAAGCTTGGGGCCTGACTATCACCGATGCCGTGGGACACTTCCTGGGCGTGAACGTCGGGACTCCTCTGCAGAAGAAACTGTCCCGTCTCGCGCTCCTTCTATTTGGTATTGCTGTAGTGTGCGCGATCATTGTGCTGGCAGCCAACGAATTCGTCAATGACCAGGAAGTTATCATCTACGCTGTTGCCACTGGTCTTAGTATGATTCCGGCGTCTCTCATCGTTGTCTTGACCATTACCATGGCTGCGGGAACAAAGCGAATGGTTGACCGCCATGTCATTGTCCGCAACTTGAAGTCTTTGGAGGCTTTGGGCGGAGTAACAGGTATGTAAGACAGAAACGAGCTAGCTATGGTAAAAATGACCTTCGTCTAGATATCTGTTCCGATAAGACCGGTACACTTACCCAAGGCAAAATGGTTGCAAAGAAAGCCTGGCTCCCTGCCAAGGGCACCTACTCGGTGGGAACAACCGATTCTCCCCACGATCCGACCGTCGGTCCGCTAAGCTTCACGCCCAATCCACCTAGCCAGGTAGATATGGAAAAAGAGGAAGCCGAATCGTCGTACGGGCAGCTCCTCGAAAATAACACCCACTTGCTAGAATATCTCAAGGTCGCTTCGCTTGCCAACCTAGCGCACGTTCACCCGAATGAGGAAGAAGGTGGTTGGAACGCTCGAGGTGACCCCACTGAAATTGCTATTCAGGTTTTTGCCTCCCGGTTCAAGTGGAACAGGCTAGACTACACCACAGGTGAGAGTCCGAAATGGAAGCAGCTGGCCGAGTTTCCATTCGATTCAGATGTCAAGAAGATGTCAGTCATCTTCGAGGAGGCGGAAACAACGCAGAAACACATCTTCACCAAGGGTGCTGTAGAGAGAGTGAGTTGTCCTAGCACATGTTCAGTATACGGATTATCACTAACAACATCGGCTTACAGGTGATCTACTCCTGCACCTCTCTCTTTGAAAACGACGACGGTCCATCGGATATGACCGATGATATCCGCGAGAATATCCTCAAGAACATGGAAGCTTTGGCGTCGCAAGGCCTTCGCGTGCTGGCTCTGGCCAGCCGAACCTGGGACGGAACGGTAACAAAGGGCGAGGAGATCGACCGTAGCCAAATCGAGGAAGGCCTCACTTTCAGAGGCCTCGTAGGCTTGTACGACCCGCCGAGGCCCGAGACCGCTGCATCAGTGCGCCAATGCCAGAAAGCCGGTATCCAAGTTCACATGCTCACTGGTGACCATCCTGGCACTGCTCGCGCAATTGCTGAAGAAGTCGGCATCCTACCTTCTCAAATCGCCACCATAGCCAAGGACGTCGTTGATGTGATGGTGATGACTGCCTCTCAATTCGACAAGCTGTCTGACGATGAAATCGACGCGCTCCCGCTTCTACCCTTGGTCATTGCTCGATGCGCACCAAACACCAAGGTTCGCATGATTGAGGCTTTACATCGACGGAAAGCATTTGCCGCGATGGTACGTTCCAATTCCCCTCTCCTCATCTCGCTACCAGACTAACGACTGTAGACCGGTGACGGTGTTAACGACTCCCCATCACTGAAGCGTGCCGACGTAGGCATCGGCATGGGTACTGGATCAGACGTCGCTAAAGACGCGTCTGATATCGTTCTGACTGACGACAACTTCGCTTCTATCTTAAACGCTATCGAAGAGGGACGTCGTATGTTCGACAACATCCAAAAATTCATCCTCCATCTCCTCGCACAGAACATTGCTCAAGCATGCATTCTACTTATCGGTTTAGTCTTTAAGGACGACACCGGTCTCTCGGTCTTCCCGCTCTCCCCTGTCGAGGTTATGTGGATCATCATGGTCACTTCTTCTGTTCCGGATATGGGTCTGGGTTTCGAGGTCGCGGCACCTGACATCCTTACACGCCCACCCCAGAGTCTCAAGCGTGGCGTCTTCACCATCGAGGTGTTGCTCGATATGTTGGTCTATGGTCTATGGATCGCTGCGCTCTGCCTCGCCTCATTTACCCTGGTCCTTATGGGCTGGGGCGACGGCAACCTCGGTTCAAACTGCAATGACAGCTACAGCGGAGACTGCGATACCGTTTTCCGTGCGCGCGCCACCTGTTTTGCTTGCCTTACTTGGTTCTCGCTCTTCCTTGCCTGGCAGATGATCGACATGAGACGGTCATTCTTCCGCATGCAGCCCAGCTCCCAGAGATACCTGACGCAATGGCTCCACGATGTGTGGCGCAACAAATTTCTATTTTGGTCAATCATGGCTGGCTTCATCACCATCTTCCCCGTGGTCTACATTCCCGGTCTCAACACCGTCGTGTTCAAGCACAGGGGTATTAGTTGGGAGTGGGGCATTGTATTCATTGCTACGATCCTGTTTTTCTTGGGTATCGAGGCCTGGAAGTTTGCGAAGAGACAGTACTTCAAGAGGCAGGAGCACAAGAAAGGCATGCGCAGGGGAAGCGTCGATGTGGAAAAGAGGACTTTCGAGAGATACCTCAGCACGGCGATCAGCACGGATGACGAGAAGTTGTGAGAGTTCCAGGTGCGCAATGCATCCCGAGATCTGCAGACTTTGAGGTTCTTTTTACGAACGATGTTTCTGGCGTTGTGGATGCTTAGTTTAGAGCTCGATATCACGATACTGTTTCAAATATTCATGTGCATACCAATTCCATGTGCATACGAACAATTCCTGACGTTACGTCGTCCAATACAGAGCACACGCTCCGGCTGACAGCCCAAGCCCGGAACTCGGCACATGCCAAGATTTCCCGCTCCGCCAGCTTGGCGTCCAAGACGCGCTAATTCCCGCGAAATCTCGGCGTACGCCACAGCGCAGTGAGTCCGATTGTATCCATGCGGGTGCCACCCCATCGGACACGATTATGTGGGGTGAGAGGCAGTTGGAGGGCGGTTGAAGACAGGTTGTTGAGGGTCAGGCCGGCTGTCGTTGGGATGTATGGGGCTAAAGGGGGAGGACGGGTTCGTGATCAGAATGCAAGTCTGGCTGGAGTAGACTTGGCTCCACCAAGGTTGGGTACAACATGAAAGCCTGGTACCGGGAACGCAAATACGGTACACCTGTCCAGCGGTTACCGACACTGCTGGTGGGGGAACAGTATGCAAGGTGTAAGAGCTACGATGTCTTCCATAGCCGAGGCTGATCGAAAAGATTGGTTCTAGACAATCACGAACACGAATGGTTTCCAAGCGCAGCAAACCTCACTACACTGCATCCCCAGTAGATCTAGAAATTCTGACAAGCTCACCTGCACCCTCTAGCGATCGGACGACCGACATGTTTCTCCCTGCTGCTTACAGCCCAAAGAGAGGAGAAGCCGAAAGCTCATAGTTTAGATAAGCATTCTCGCAAAGAAGTAGGAAGTATCATCGACCCCAGTCTGCATTCCTGTGCCAGCATCGTCGCTATCACTATACTTCGAATGGTGAACTTCTTCTTAAGCCTCGGATCGACTACTTCTGAATCCCATGGGACCGAAAAAGATAAGGGATATCATGCTCCAGGCACAGACTAAGCCGGCGTCAGGGCCTATGATGGTCCGTTTCGACATTTGACAAGTGTGACTGCAGCCACAGTTGCCAAAATGGCTCGTTTGAAAGCCTCTTCGCACTGGATTTATGCGCGGTGCCCGGCACTAGGCAAGTCGGTTCAGCTGCATGCGTAATACAGTAGTCGACAAGGTGTACCGGATCTTCAGACGGCCCAGGGATTGAAGGTCCAGCTCTGCCAGACAGGTCTAGGCGTCAACAAGGATGCGGGCAAAACGATGGAGGTTGGAATATTCAAAACGGCATCCGCGTTGATGTCCTCGAAGGTCACCAGTGAGGTGGTGTTGATATATTGCGTCATCATGAATAGCTTCAAGCGGGGACAGCGGGTACGCGGTCCGGCTCCTGACGATTCGCCGACGCATGGTCAATCGACTAGAGTCCGTCTTCGGAAGTGAAATAATAGATGACTCGTCCCGCTATGCTGCACCATGTTGTTGCATACTACCTAGTCCAACGTCTTGCGAAATCAATGTACCCAGTGCCTCCGAACATCGCCCCGTAAACGCTACTGAAGAAATGCCCGACATCCAACCGCTCGATCCTAATGTTCCTAAGGATGAGGTAGATCGCCTGTTTCGGAAGCTGAAGGATACGCGGCTACCCCAGATCCCCGTTGTGCCAGGTGCCGGCGACAAGTATGGTCAGTAAACCTTCACAAGCATGATGCATTTCGATCTGATCCCTGTGACTAAGGACCTTCGCTTGAATGGATCAATAAGCTGTACAACTACTGGCTGAACGACTTCTCTTGGTCAAAGGCACAGGAGCAAATATCTGAATGGCATCATTTCACAACAGAGATAGAAAATCTCAACGTCCATTTCGTCCACGAGAAGGCTAGAGTGTGCAAGGAAAAGGCGATACCGCTGCTCCTGGTTCACGGGTGGCCAGGAACGTTTTTCGAGTATGTTCCCCAGTCCTATGAAGACATGTTAGCTCACAATGACCAGGTTCCAGAATGTGATGCATCCTCTGCTCGAGCCTTCGAGTGCGGATCAGCCGTCTTTCCACCTCGTTGTCCCTTCTCTACCTGGTTTCTGCTGGTCTCAAGGACCTCCTTCAGTGAAATGGACACTGCAGGACACCGCGCGTATATACGACCAGTTGATGAAGCGTCTCGGCTATAAGAGTTATGTTGCACAAGCAGGTGACTGGGGCCACTGGGTACGTGAAGTTCATAGACAACCGAATCTGGCTTTTCGACTAAATCTATACCCTGCCATCTAGGTGGTGCGTGAACTCGGGACCGGCAGATACGATGCGTGCAAGGCGGTACACACCAACATGTGCCCAGGGGCACCACCAAGGGGCACTGAGCTGAACCAGAAAGAGCAAGCAGCCATGGACCGCGCACAATGGTGAGCAAACCATGGCGTACTAAGTGGACGTGTCTTTCTGGCAGAAGCAAGATCTCTTTCTCGCTAAGCTGGGACATACACGAGGTATTCATCCCCCATGTCTTGACTCACACTGACTTTGTACCCGCGCGTTAGGTGGATTGGGGAGCCGCTCAAGGAAGGCCACATGGGTTACGCTATCGAGATGCGTACACGACCACAGACAATCGGTGTAGCGTTCAACGACAATCCTGTGGGCATCATGATGTTCATCGGCGAAAAGTACCAGGAGCTGGCGGATCCGAACCTGAAGACGGCGACCCTGGAGAGCGAACAGTTTAACCACGATCTCTGCGCGACGCTATCGTTGTATTTCTTTACACCTCCCTCAATCATGACGTCAATGTTGTGCTACTACAATAATGTGCGGCACGAGGTGTACACTGAATTCAATGCAAAAGAAGAGAACCTCATCCGGGTGCCTCTGGGCGTGAGCACGTTTCCGTATGATGCATTCCCAGTACCTAAAGCCGGAGCAGAAACGACAACTACCAATCTACAGTTTTTCAAAGGTAAGAGGATCGACGAGTGTGGTGAGGAGTAAGCACTGACCCCACTCAGAACACGATCATGGCGGTCATTTTGCGTGCATGGAGTGTCCGAAGGAGATGTCGAGCGATATGCGGGAATTCTTCCCTCGGCATTACAAGGCGTGATAGCTGTTACGGCATCGTGGGCTATGTGAAGATCCCATCAAGACGTTGACATGTTTCCTCGTGAAAAGACAGCTACAGATTTGCAACTTGCAGGCGTGTAGCTGACAGTCACAGCGACCCGAAAGTGTTATTCGTGCTCAATTGTTGCGGAAGGGTCGTACTTGTCCGTGAGGCAATGTAGTCGTGAATAGAAACATGCTTCTGGTCGTTATCGAGAAGCCAAATGTACCACAGCTTCAAGGCTGAGCTTCGATAATGTCATGTTCCTGTCTAGTGTCGGAGTAGCGTCCGGTGCAATTATTCTTCCATGGTGAATCTATTTCATAGATCCGTGTACGGTTCACATCGGCCGCACTGTCCTTTTCTTCCACGGCATATCGATGGCGCATACATGCAAGGATGCAGGAGACGGCACCATTGTCCACAGTAAATACAAGATGTGATGCTCAGTTTGAAATGCTTGTTCCACGAAGGCTCGATGCACTAGGGGCTCATGCAAGGGAAGCGGAAGACGGCGCCAACGGGTAACTATTGGAGCCCCGCATTGGTACGTTGTTCCCTTGTCAAGGAATATTTCGATCGCCATCCTATCAACGTCACGTCAACTCTATACAAATAATCTTGATGCCGTATAACTCTTGTCATGAGTGGTAAGTGTGCATCTTCTACAATGCCAGCAAGGGACCATGGCCAGACGACTTGGAGTTCGTAGCTGCGAGATACCATGCACTGATGCCCCGTATACACACTATGAAGGCCACGCAAGTGCTGCAAGGGCAGCCGTGTGCAGGACGGATAGACCGCGGGGGATCTAGTCTCAAGCCGTGAATTGGCGTTCGGTTAACGCATTCACAGCCAATGAGCGAGCTACCGCGTCGGGCGCATGCGAACGGGTAGCAGGGCCCACGATGCTACATGGATGTGCAAGCGCCCCTTTTCCCTGACATGCCCTCGGTGCCTTCTCTTCGCGCCGGTCGCTGTTGCTGTCGCATGAACACTCACTGTTAATTGCGCGCTTTGCCATTGCCATTGCCATTGCGAGTCCTGGAGTCGTACGAAGCTGAGGCGCCCAACACCACTCAGCCATCCACCCGCACGTTGCGCGCCTTCATTTCCCTCGCGACCCAAGCGCGACGCCATTTCCGAGGACGCTCCATGATAGTTACATGACCCCTCCACCATGAGCCCTGAGGCTGTGCGCACCCCCGACGGTGACGCGACGGCAGAGGCCTCCCTGCCCGCGGTCCAGGAACACCCGCAACAGGCTTCACAGCCAGCCGCCCCTCCGCTCCAGCAACAGCGTGGATGGCTCAGCAGTGTGCGGCGACCTAAGACGTCGCCGGCGCCAAAAGCTGCAATCAAGCGCACCTTGTTGACCGAGGACGATGCTCGACGCGACTCCGCCTTGGCGTCTTCTAATTCTACGTCCAGTACAGACCCTGGTGCAGTCAACGCACCCTCGACACCCACCAGCCTGCGCAAGACGCCGAGCCTTCCCGCCATCGTCGTCCAAGATGAGCCTGCTGTGCCATCGACCAGTTCGTATCACCGCATACCGAGCAGCGATGGGGAAGCCGCCCTGGACTTCCAGGGCATAGATACCGTCATTCCGACCGGCGGCTTCGACGACCTCACTTCGCCCACGCAGATATCTTTCTCCAAGCGGGGCAGCATGCTACTCGGCGGGAAGCGCCCCAACAGAATGAACAAGCAATTGGGTCTCGTTGCCGAAGGCGCGCCTGCCGCGCAACCCGAAACACCGCCGCAGCAAGCTGAGCAGGACAAGCCGCAGGAGCCAAAGCACCAGGACCTCTCCTCGCCCGTCACGCCCCGCCTCACCCCTCAAGCTCGCTCGCCGTCACGCGTCTCAGCCAGGAGGAGGGTCGTAAGCAGCCGTGTGCTGTCTACCGATGAGATGATGTTGTCACGGAAAGTACGATCCATGTATCATCATGGAAACGAAAGCGCGGCCAACTGGGACGATGTAGAGGAGGAGGCAGCAAGCCTGCGGACCAGTTTTGTGGACAACAGCAGCGTGACTGACACGCCCGCTAACAGCTCCTCACTAGCCGCTGAAGGGAGCAGGGCCGAGTCCAGCTCGATCATGAGTTCACAGAGAGAAAGTGTGGTCATAGCAAAAGAACCCAATGAGAGCGCAGGTGGCATCGAGGATTGGTCAGAACTGGAAGGTGGTGAAGTTGATCGGTATGGATTCATCGTCCCGAAAAAGACGACATCAGGCGGTTCTGGAAACGGTCCAGATGAGCCTCGCATCCAGCGCGTATCAACGGCACTCCAACTGGTATCCGAGGAACCTAGAAGGAAGGGGTTAGGGCGTAGTGTGTCAAAGGCGCGCTCCGCTCGTTCTGCTAACATAGGGATTCCCAGGAGGCGACGCTCGCAAAAGTCTTCACAGCCTGCAGCGTCCGTCATGTCAAACCGCACGGCTCGAAGTGCTGCCCAAAGACCGCTCCGCCAGGCTGTGAATCGCCTGCCGCATAACAGGGACCGCCGCTTATTGGACGAAGCCAGCGACATGCTCAAGTTACCCCCGGGCCTTGCGGAAGTCGCCGAGCAGAAAGAAGGGGGCAGAGTAGCTGAGAAGGCAAGGGCAAAAGAGATAGAACGAGAAGAGAAATGGCGAAAGATGGCAAAGGTGGTCCAAGCCGGAGCTAAAAGCGGTGGCATGATGTTCGAATTTGATGTCAAAGACCCTAAAGTAATATCTCGGACATGGAAAGGCGTTCCCGATCGTTGGAGAGCCACTGCATGGTATGCTTTCCTCGCCGCAAGCGCAAAGGCAGACAAAGACAGCCCGACCGATGAAGAACTGGTGACTAGCTTCTACGAGCTACAGAATGAGAATTCCGCGGACGACATGCAGATTGATGTCGACGTGCCAAGGACCATCAATCGACATATCATGTTCCGCAGAAGATATCGTGGAGGGTAAGTGTACCCTGCGTGCCTACTGTCACACAGGTACTAACATCTATCAAGACAACGACTTCTTTTTCGAGTTCTCCATGCTATGTCTCTATATTTGCCCGACACAGGATATGTGCAGGGTATGGCCGCTCTAGCAGCAACGCTCCTGTGCTATTTCGAGGAAGACCGAGCTTTTGTTATGCTAGTTCGACTGTGGATTCTTCGAGGGCTGGAGCGACTCTATGAATCTGGCTTCGCCGGTCTCATGGAAGCCTTGGAAGATTTCGAAAAGAATTGGCTGCGTAATGGCGACGTAGCGAAGCAATTGGTAAGCTTTCGTGACCGGAAATGAAATTTTCCATGTCGCTAATTGTTGAACAGGAAGAAATGGGCATCACGTCAACCGCTTACGGGACACGCTGGTACCTGACCCTCTTCAACTACTCATTGCCCTTTTCAGCACAACTCCGTGTGTGGGATGTGTTCATGCTTTTAGGCGATGCCTCTTACTCGAATAACAAGTCGTCAAGCTTCAGTGGAGACCTTGACATACTGCATGCAACGTCGGCTGCACTAATCGATGCAACGAGGGAGATCTTGCTTGATTCAGATTTCGAAAACGCCATGAAGGTGTTGACTTCGTGGGTGCCTATCAAGGACGACGACCTTCTCATGAAGGTGGCAAAAGCGGAATACAGGATGCGAAAGAAGCGAGCCAATGCAGGGTGAAGCCCTGCGACGACTCATTCTCTGCAGGAAGGTCGTTGCTAGCCGCCAGCCACATCTGGTGACGGCGGCAGCACGGAACGTTCGATCGCTTTGCCATACTTTTTCGAGAAAGCGTTCCCGATATTGACTGTCGATCCCTGAGATCAGTGGCTTGACGATGTCGCGTGCATCTAGCGTGGCTTTCAGGTCGTCTCGGGTCCGGGTTTTATCGATTCACGCCGAGGGCAATTCTTACCGGACGACCAATTCTAGGCTTTTACTCAACGTTGAACAAGCGACCACACCATTCGACTACGACTTCCCACGCGTCTCCGTGGGCGCGGAGACTGGCCAATCCTGGCCTACTGTCACAAAGCCCCTGTTGATAGGGCTGCAGAGTGTGTTTTGTTTACCTATCCGAGGGCATCGCGGGAAGGCATCGCGGTACCCGAGTGTTAGTTGAAATGTTTGTAATAGGCGCATTTTACGGACGTGGTTGTCCACAAGATACCTTTTCTTTACGCTGGAACATGCCATGACGAAGGCTGGACGTTGGTATCTCACATGGTGAGCAAGCAGAAGCAGCTCGTAGTTTATAATGTCTAAAGTCGACGTATGCCCCTGATGAGATGAGATGTCTTGGTCGAGACGTCTTCCGGATGGCCCAAGGCATGGCAAAGTGCAATGGCAGTGCTGGTGAGACATGGGTGGGTACAGCACACAGCAGGCGGCTCCGTCTACCATGGGCCGCGACTCCAGAAGACTCTGGCGGAGGCGAAAAGCTACCGAAGCACTAGGCAGGTGCGCTGCCAGATCGGGAAGGGAGCTGTGGGTGGGGTCGTCTGTTCCTGCCGTCGGTACCGCTGCCCCTCTTTATGGCGGCTGCGCGCCCAATTTGCCTCCACGAACACCACACCACTTCCGCAAGCCGTCAGTTTTTGGCGGGCCGCCGCACTTCTCGGCTACTAGCTTGGACGCAACGATGGTCCTTTCGGCGGCGAATCTGGCAGCGGATAGAACAGCCGGCTAACGCTGATCAGTGGCATGATTGCGCGCAAGGTGAGGCGAGGCCGATCGGCGACGCGTTTGCTGCATGGAGAGCTGGGTGCTTCGACGCGAGCGGTCGCACGCGGTAAAGTGTACGCGCTACCCTTCTCGGTCCGCCACCGCGAGCCGTGCTCGAGGCAGCGATTGCGAGGTTGACATGGTGAAGGTGGACCCGAACTACACTCGTACCTTCGTACAAAGTGGCCCCCCCAAAAGCGGGGTGGCTATGATTGCTAACCGTCTTCATTAGGACCACACGGGACCTACTCATCTGTTTGCCAGAATCGCATCATCCTTTTCAGGCATACTCGTTCAGTCCTTTGCAAAGTGGAACAGAGACTCCATCGGCTCCCCTTATCCAGCCACGTCTATCCACTGCGCAACGAATACGTAGGCTCACCTCATCGTGCGACTTACCTATGCCCACTTGGATTGTCCAGCAATTGAAGCTTACCTCGAACGCTGGAGCTGCTTTTGGCAGATTCACTCTCTACTGCGAGCTTCGAGAGCCAAAAAGGACTTGTCTACAACCGGTTCAGGTTGATGTCAACATACTGTGCCGCACGGAGATGAATGATACGTCTACTGTTCCAAGGCATCCGGATGCTTTTGAGTGCTTATTACTCTCCCCCGGTGTTTGCTCTGGGCTTGTCGATGATAGCTGCGTCTATCTCCTGACGAGTCTCAAGGCCTTGTCCGCGTCATATCTAATGTCGCAACCGTGATAGAGGATGAACTACAACACCGGATGGGGCAATGGCTGCGCTCCAACCAATTTCCGTCGGAGTACGTGGATACGTGGGATAAAGCACATTTCAACATGTGCGCAGTCCCCATCTTGCGCCAATCTAACCTCCCAGAGAGGTATGAGCGTTGAGTACAACAACTGGAAGCGGCTGCCCCGCGTCCAAATAGGCTTCCGGTCCGTCGAAATCATATCTCATTTCATCATAGCCCTTTCATTTCACTCTCAGGGTCGAAGCATGTCGGGACACCAACGCTGCTTAACGACTGCTGTATCGGTCGTTGGCAGGCCCTAGCGAACAACGCAATTCTGTACAGAGTACACTGCAATTGCCAAGCAGTCACAGATGCGGTCTGGGCGGAGGCTAGCCAAACGCCCCAGGCGTCGATTGTGGGCAATCGATTGGTGCGCGCCTAATCCCCAGCGACCCAAATCTCGCCCAAAAGATCCTCTGGACTGATCTAGGGCGCCACCGCGTTTCAGGTAGATCCCCGTCGCTACAGAATATGGCAAGGCGCCTGCGCGGACACGGAAATTTAACGCTGAGTCGATCGTGCAGACCGGTGCCAGGCTCTCGGTGATTGCGCAACCCAGCCCTCACGAGTAGCCCCCTCACGGGCGGTCTGAGCAGTGGGTCCCACCGTGACCGCACCGTCAGAGATGGAGCTCGCGGAAGAGGCGCGCAACAAAGTCAATCGTGTCTGCGCGGGCCATAGCACGAGGAGCAGAGCGCAGCGCGCAGTGATCAGCACCCGGCGCATCTCCAGGCGGCGCCCTATGTAACGCTCCGCCGGGCCATGGGTGCCAGTTCGTTGATCGTTGCTCTTATCGATTTGCCTGCCGCCCACGGCGGTGCGTCGATCCACCGGAAGGTCAGGTCCAAGGCTGACAGGTTGACAAGGTGTTTGTGTGCCACGATGGTGCTTCCTGCAGCTGGAACACCAGTTGGTCAGCGGCTAGCGGTTGAGCGACGGAAAGTGTTTTGCCTGTTCGGGTGGTGCACTGGTCGGTGCTGGACGGCTCTGCAGCAGCGCGTCTATGGAGACACTAAACACAACGTGTCCTTCGTCGACAGTTTCGCTTTGATACACCGCGGCTCCACCGAAATGCAAACTTCATTTCGCGCTGCTCCTTTAGGCCATCACACATTCAAGGTCTGACAGGAGCATAACCCTTCATTTCCCTCCACGCAGCCTCGAGCAACGTCCATGTGCTCAAAAGAGCGTCGTTTGAGTCCGTGCAGCGGGGCGTTAATCTTCACGAGAGATTCGCTTCCTGCCGAACGTTCGACCCTGCCTGGCGGTCCTGGGCCGCGCGGTGAGCCCATGTCGACCCGGCCGTCTTTAATTCCACAAGCCTCGCCTCCACCAGCCACGATACCCGAAGTAGGTTGGTCGGCAGCGGCATGCCGAGTCCAGATGCAGCAGACTTCAACAGCAGCACATGGCAGAAATGACCGTGTTCAATGCTTGTTCAGCAGATTCGTACCCCATGGTCACAGCAGGGTCGACCGAGAGGACTGTGCATTCAGGTCGCTGCAACACAGTCGAGCTCATTGAACTCGTCTTATAATGCCGACTGTCTTGTGGCTCGACTTGCTCTGATAGGCGCTCGTTCCAAGAGTGACGGTGGCCAGCATCAGCTCCTCAGTCCGTTTGCACTCATTGTAGGACCAATCCTACAGAGACATGATGCGACGCGGCCGCCAACACGCAAATTCAAGTGGGAGCCGTCCGTATCCACGCCAGTTTAGCACCAGACTCATCAAACCTCGTGAAATGCTTCTCCGCTTGGCTAGACGCACGTCAAAAAGTAGTCGTGTGGCCGATGCAGACGCCACAGGTCCGAGCTGGCATACATTACCAGAACATGCAGTGGGAGCCTTCTTCGCACGTCAGACTGCAGACTACGCTTGCCCACTGCGGACCCTTCCCTCACTTGCTGACGGCAACTTGCTCGCTCATGCATATCCTTGCTACCCATTCCCACTTGCCGCCCGCTGAACGCCGCCACGCACCAGCTTGTCCTGGTCGCGCGGCCGGCCGCTACTCGTACCGTAAAATCGTTGGCTCTTGTAAGTCATCTTCGCCGGTTGGTCAACCGTTACCGGGCACTCTTCCCTTCTTGTACACTCGTTACAACCTTCTCCGTCGTGCTCCCTCCTTCCTTCTTCAGAATCTCTCTACTGTATCTCAGCAATACATAGGCGTGATCGCTCGAATCTGTCCGCGTGGTCGCAAGCCATTATTGGTTGAGATCTTCCCGAGGTCGGTCCAGTCGAGTTCTTTCTTTGGACCATCGACTTGCTTTCTTTAGCTTCGCTTTTACCCGCGAATCAAAGCGGATCGTTTGTACCAGCAAGCATCAGGCCCAGCCCACAAGGCAACGGCTGTCGTGCTATGGGCAGTAGCTGGACGCTGCTTCTGATTGATCCCATTTGAATAAGTACGTTTACTCTTCCGTCCGTTTCAGGAACTTTGAATCTTGGAGTTTCCCAGCCAGGCATTTCAATGTCGACACCCCCCACACACGCCCTCCACGCCAGCACTATTATCCTCCATGTTGCTCACATTGGCTAAACCACCAAAGTCCGAATTTGACTTCAAGACTCATGATTATTCTCCAACTGCCCTTTCGTCTGCGGCCGCTCGATACTCACCTAAGCCTCGATACTCACCCAAACTCAACGGCGGGCTATTGTCCTCACACCCGGCCAGCGCTTCCATTATGGGAACGCCTCATCGAGGACTCCCTCCGCCCTCGGCGATGACATTGCCAGATCCTGGACGAGGTTCCTCTATTTCCCAGCCTATGGGTGCCCTTCCACCAGCTCCTAGTCAATGGCAAGGCGCCGAAGATGGTATGAAGAACTGGCTAGCCGCAAAGGCTGAAGAGGAGAAGAGGAGACAAGAGGAGGAGAAAACGCGACAAGAGGACCTCAGGGTTCAACAACGTCAAATTGAGCAGTCTATGCTTCGGGAGTCGCTTCAAGGCGGTGTGCCGCCACACCTAATTCCTATGATCTTCGCAGGTATGGCAGGAGGGAGTCTTGCGAGCATCAGTGCCGACTTACTTCGGGAACACCAGCTCGACCTTCAAGCTGCGCAGCGGCAGGCGCAGGCGCAAGCACAATCTCAACTGTCCCCAGAGCTTCGTCGGGAAACGAGGTTAATCGGCCAGGCACCATCTGGAGCTTATGGAGTACAGTCGCAGACTCCACAGACCGTATTGCCACCTACCGCAGTTCTACCGGGCCAGCCTCTACCGTCACAACCGCAGCATGCGGCGTTCTCTCAATCCCCGTACGCTGCAGGAAGCATGTCTCCTCGAGCGAGAGCTGCCCAACCACCTCATGTCGGTGCACCCACCTCCGCTCCCCGCCCTCCTCCACAATCGCAGCTACCCAGGCTGACTACGAATGAGCTTCATATTCAACAGCCACCAGCAGCACCTTCCAACGTACAACAACTCCAACAAAATCAGACAACTCAGCAAGAGCAGCAGTCTTCCCCATCAATCTACTTCCACCACTGGGTCCCGCCCAATTCGCAACAGGAGAAGCCATCGAGTGGAAACCCACCTGCAACCCCTTCAGGTAAATACAAAGCCTCGCCCAGCTCCCTTTCCCGTCAACGTGCCACCTCTCATGCGTCTGACCCAGATTACACCAGCTCCCCCAAGAAGCGTAAAGCGCAAGGCGGACACACCGCTCCACCCCCTCCATCAACGGCGCCTCAATCCTACACATCGCCGGCGTTCTCGCACGTATCAACATCTTCCACATCAACGCCAGGACGACGGGGGCACACCAGAGCCCGTTCTGATGCATCTACACGGGGGGCAGAAGGGCGCGGCGGTCCTTTGAGCCGTCGCGGGACTGTCTCGACACATGCGCATGCAGAAGCAGGTGCACAGCACAATGAACCAACCGAATTTCGATTCCAGCCGCCATTGCGTGGGCCCGAGGAGCACCAACAACGAGAGTCGGCATATAACACAACTCCGTTACGAACCGAAGGTGGCGGAAATGGACAGCATTCGCAATCCACATCATCTGTGTCATATCAAGCTGAAACGCGGCAAGCCGGGCCACAACACCAACTAGATCGGGGGTTCGCGTCGTCACCGAAACGGGAACCCGGAGGACAGTAGCTTCAACGGATTCGCAGCAATTCTCAAGTCCGAATTTCATCATCAGAGACGACCGGTTTTGGAATTCAAAGTTGTTCGCATGATGACGCCACGAGCATGTGTATCTCGGTCGCGGGATGCAGGCATTGCAAGCGAGATGAGCTCCACAAGACCAGATTCAACTCATCTCGACTACGAAATCACCCATGCGACACGGACCAACAACATTGCCAGTCAATCTTAGCAAATTACACCTTCAACATTGTCTGCAGGCCTTGTTGCGTCTGAAATAACCTGATTCATCTGCTGGACTTATCAACCTGGCAGTTGGTCCTGGGAAGGCCCGAACCACCCAGAAGGGCTGACTCTCTAACATCAATCCTCCGAATTGGCACCTCGGACGTTTCAATTGCATTATCCAGAACAGGATTGCATTACTCCGGTCATTGACTGCTATACGTATAATTGTTATTTCGTCGATCGATTTCTCCACAGCGCCTCTCGTCATGTTTCCGGTCAAGGTGGTCGCGTGCGTGCGAGTGCTCTCGTCAGCGAGCAAATTCCCATATTCCTGGCTGGATCTGAAACACTTGATAATATGTTAGCGTAAAGGCTGCTTACGCATGGGCGAAATTTACCAGCATTTAGCGCCGAGCTAACGATCACTGCGTGCAGATTCGACATCTGGATGCAGCAGTCGGGTCCAGATAACCGGGCGCCATGGCTGAGCCAGACACGGAATCGCCATTGTGCAACATCGCACACCGAACGTGACTACCCGAGATGTTGAGCATATGATGTCCAACGGTGCATACATCGTTTGCGTAACAAACATGATTCGGTGGTCATCACGTCTGCATGTGGAGTAATTTTCGTCTTCGACACACACCCGGATTCTAAACTACGCTTTCATTTACGGTACTGGATGCCGTCGTAGCTCAGCCGCTTCGGAAAAGAGATACCCCTGTGACTCCGACCAGACTCACAGTACGACATGTGCTCCTGGACACATTGCTCACTTTCATCACAACTTCGGCATGAGACATCGCGTTGCTCTTCTCGGATAGATGCACTTCATGTGCTTTGGTCGCTGTCTTTTTTGCGTGGACCCGCACTATAGCATTCGGTCCTGGGTTTTTTGTAAGGGTTTCCCTTCTCATCTGATCTTCGGGATCTTTTTTAGCATTTGCTGCAATTTGTTACACATATACCCATTTCCTTGCTCATGGCAATGGTCATTGTTTGTTGGACGAGGCGGTTTAGCATGTCATTTTGGGCGTCACCCCGCACGGGATTGCTCGGTTGCCAGCATGCCCCATCAACGATTGTAAATATATTCTTGAAAGGGAGTCGAGATAGAGGATCAGCTGAGTTTTGCATGTGTGGGCGCACACGGAAGTGAAGGTTAGGGCGGGGAACTCAGAGCATCCAGCGATGCGGTCCTAGGATTGCGTACAACCACACGATGCGTGTCCGGTACGTAGAGCAATACAAATGGGCCCTCGGTTCGGCTCAATCGCGTGGGCCTCAGCAGCTCAGCTCAGCTGGCTGTCCTTGAACCGCTGGGGGCCAGAACAACGACAATATTTTTGGCGTGCGGTGTGCTCGTGTTTCAGAATTGCGTGGTTGCAGGCTTAGCGCTGTAGTATGTAATTCAGCATAGCGATTGGAGATGGGGTTTGATTGTGGCGCTCAGGTGACGGGGATGAGATTGAGTGCGTTGGAGGATTTTGTGTCACGAGGAAAGCTTGGGGAAGGGCCGTGGAAGGATGAGGCTGCATGAGGCTATCCTCGGGGAACTTGCCAGCGGTGACGCTTACCGTACGATTAGGTGCGCGGGCTAAATGCGATTGCGAGCCAATGCGTATAGTACGGGGGTTTGACATTGAGCCCAGGGGTCCGTGACTGAATCAGTGGTCTTGGACCGGGACTTGTACAACTGCTCGTGTATACAATAGCATTGACAGACGCGTACAACACCACACCATGTCTCTCTCAGCAATCAACAGCTCTATTCCGAAACCATCCAGGCCAGTCTGCCACAATAATTCAATACTCTAGCGTGTTCACACTTCAGCGGTCATGGACCATAGCAGACTGGCTGAAATCGCGCCTCCCGCCGTCTACGAAGGGTATCAAGCCTGGTCCGAAGAGTACAACCCAGATCCCTTCAGCCTCAACATTCACTTCCACAGGACAGCATCCCGTCCAAAGGCAAGTGCAAGTGCAGGCTAGCTCTGTCCTGCGCCACAGTGCGCCACAGCTGCACCGCGGCTGCGACTGCTGTTTTGTGAGTGTCGGTGCTCACGTTTTGGAGCCCCACCATGAGGCAACTGCAGCCTGGCTTGTCCAAACCCGCGTCAGTGTCTCTGGCCTTCGAACGCACAAACACCACAACCACTCTCCACGAAACTGCCGCCACATAGTACCCGAACCGGGTCTACCTGCCTAAGCCGCCACTCGCGCACCACAGAAACCACCATAACCCCATCGCAACACAACGAACAAGATGCAGATCAAGTAAGCCCCGCGAGCACAGCTGCCTCCATCCCATTCCTGGGGTAAACCACAGCACCAGAAGGAACTCTGCTAATAAGTTTACAGAGTGCGCACGCTCACCGGCAAGGAGATCGAGCTCGATATCGAACCAGACTACAAGGTCCGCGCCTCCCTTCGCCTACCAATCCTTACAACGCCGATCCCCCAAAAACCGCGCATGCCGTGCGGGACACAGTGCTGAGGGTGAACAGGTCTCGAGGATAAAGGAGCGCGTCGAGGAGAAGGAAGGGATTCCGCCAGCGCAGCAGCGTTTGATCTTTGGTGGAAAGCAGATGTAAGGCTGGTCACGATCATGGTACCATGTCGTGCTAACATATACGAGGTCCGACGAAAAGACGGCTGAGGACTACCAGTTGGAAGGCGGTGCTACGCTACATTTGGTACTTGCTCTGCGTGGGGGTGACTAGGCTTCAAACGTCTTTGACAGGCCAAGTTCCTTGAAAGAGTCGAGCCGCACACGGTGACGGCGAACCAAACAATTTGCGGATAAGTGCACAGTCCGGAAGCTATTCAGAAAGCATATGTGGCATAGTAATGGAGCAATGAACTCATGAACGCTGATATGTTTGTCGGCTTGTTTACCCCCTCGTTAAAACACACCAAAGACATGCGGCGCTTCGGTTGATACCTTGGATGAACCGGGTATCGTGTTGTGTATTCTGAGTCGAATACCTCACGACGAAGCGACGACGTTTCTACATATTGTTAGCTCGATGTGACGGGTGACGAGAACCCCTTTCCCCCTATCTGGACATACAGCTCGGGGTCAACACGTGGACATCCTAATGCACCTTGTAATGGTCAACGTAGAGGTCCGCTGTGCTTCAAACATCATTTCGCAGCTGCGCTACAACCCGAGACCAAACCCAAAGCTTCCATCGCTGCCATATCCTCCGCCATCAAGCATGCCTATCCCCGCCGTCACCAGGCTATCGAACTGCCCCCAGCTTGTCAAATCCGCCATGATACTACTCGTAGGCAGGAAACTCGTGTTGAAGACCGCGCTCTCAGGCGTAGGCAGATTGTTCCCAACATCCCCACTGCCAGCGCCAAAGTAAGGCTCCACGAACCTAGCACTCTCTCCTAGGCCCCCGCTTACATTCGTTGCCAAACCGCCTGCCACCGCCGGTGACGCCGAAGACGCAGGCGTTGTTGCGTTGTGCGTCTGCTGCTGATGAGCAGGTCCCCTGACCTTCGCCGCCTCGATGCGCAACTCCTCCAACACAAGAACGTAGCGCTTGGACAGGCAATCTGCCTCGGAGATGGACGAAAGCACGCCCTGGCAGCGCAGACCCGCAGCGTAGTACCCCTCGCACTTCCCCGGCTCCACAATGCCCTGCTGGATGCGGTAAATGTACAAAACCACCACCGCGCAGAAGGCGTAGTACTGCGTGAACCAGAACGCGCGGAAGATCTGGCTCTCTGCGATGTCGTCCACCACATGGACGATGCCCATGGCCGCGTCTAAGCAGTGCTTGAGGTTTTCCTTGCACGTGAGCTCGATGGCGGGATGCGCATCGCCTACTAATCCTCCTCGTTGCGCCGCTGTTTGTTCGAAGTGCGTCAGGCTGGCAAAGTTTGAGAGGAGGAAGGGCCGGTGTACTAGGAGGACGGCGTGGTAGTACGCTAGGTTTAATACATTGCGTTGACGCTGGTAGATGGGAATGAGGAGGCTGGAAGGCAGGTTGTTGGTGTCGAGGAAGTGAGCGTTTGATTGGCGCCAAGCGATGAGGTCGGTGGTGTACTTTTGGGCGAGGGAGATACGGTGGGGAAGGGATGGGGGACGGATGGGGTATAGGTCGCGTAGGACAGAGGAGAGTATCTTAGAGAGCTTGATGTGCTCTATGGGTGCCATCATTACGGGGATTGAGTAGCCCAAGGAGGGAGAGGGGGTTATGGAGTGAGACGTGAGATCGGCATCATTGACGAGGGTAGGAAGTTCCTGATCTTGTATGAGAACCATAGAGAGCCTAAGAGGAAAGTATAGGGTGTGTACCTGGTCAATGTCCTCGTCTTTGAAGGTGCGAGGCCGACCTAGAGCTGCGGCGAGGTATTTGTCCAGCACGTACGCTACCCAGAACAGGCGCCGCCGACTCTCGAGCTCGATGTAGTCGACAGTAGTTGACGGATTGCAACTCCTACCTCGATTCAGGCCAATGGCGAAGGCGAGGTGAGCCAATGTACCGAACAAGCTCCAGCAGTGATTGACTCGAGACTGCGTCAGGAGGTAGAAGCATTGGCCTAGCCTTGCTTGAACACTTGCGAGGCGCACGGCTCCGCGTTCCTTGCGCAATTGGTGTTCCGAAGCGAAGTAATATCGGGCACTGTCGATGTCAGCATGCGAGGTTCCGTGGTCAGATAGGGTCAACGAGTAGGATACCTGGCTGAATGTGCGTCGGCCTCTCCTGGCATGTATGCTTTCGCCTGGGCCATGACAATCAACAACAGAGCTGTCTTGCCCGGTGCCTCCTCCTTGTTCTTCATGTCGCCCTGTGTCTCGTAAAACTCTTTCAAGAGCCCCTCGATCGTGGGTCTGTGCAGGAACCGATGCGTGGGTGCAGCAAAGTCAAAATACCGCTCGACGAGCTTCTCGCCCTCAGCCTTGGGCGGCAGCACGAAGAAGGTCGGGTCGAATTCGGGCAAAGGGGCATCGCCAAAAGTGAAGATAGACGAGTCGTGGGATAAGGAGCTGTTCTGGTGCAGTGTTTTTTGAATGCGTAACAGAAAAGATACACCACTGGCTGGGCCGACATAGTGTCCCTGTTGATCAGTCTGTGCGGGTTCGGGTGAGGTGCGAGAGCTAGGCTCATCTTTGACGGCGAGACGATGCGTCCCATTAAAAATACTTTGTGTTGAGGGAGCGTCTATGCGTGATGGGGACAATGGTCTTGGAAGATGAATAGTGGGCGTAGAGATGTCAGAAGAGGTGGTTTCTGGAGCTGTAACCGGTGCTGGTAGGGAGACAGGCGGTTGGGCGGCGGAACTTGCAGTCAGTGCAGCTTCGTCTACTATAACAGACGGCAGTCTGCCTCTTGTGTAAGAAGCCGTGAATTCGCATGGCTGCTTTGATACCAGGCACAAAGCGCATGGGCAGCGGCCTGTACATCGTGTCTTCTTTCTGCAAAGACATCAGTGTTGAACGCACATGTTGAGTAGGTAGGAGCACGTGCAGAGCTACGATGGTTGGCTTTGATGTCGAATCGACGTCTAAGCTACTTGCTTACCTCTTGCATCTATCGCACGCTCTGCTGACCCTCGACCTCTCCTTCGTCTCTCTCCTTCTCTTTAGTGGCGGGCTTGTCGTGCCACTTGATGCACCATCGGGCGTGCTCGTTGCTTCGTCTGCGGTCCCTGAAGATGGGTTACCAGTGACGTGGACCCACTCCGACGACGCATGTGGCAAGGGCGCCCCTTCGGAGCCACGCTCCATCGTTCTCGGCGTGCTTGGAGAGAGGGATGAACAGTTGCCTGGGAGGGCATGGAAAATTATCCGATGGTTTCCGGCCCGGTTGTTGTGGCGGATGCAGCCGATTGGCTGGTCTTGGTGGAAGGTGGAAGCGAACACCGCTAGAGGAGGAGCGAACGGGTGGGGAGAAGTGGCAGTGAAGGGGGCTGAAACACTCGCATGGACCCACCTGTGAGACTGGAAGCCAACGTCGCAGGATGAGACACGGCATTGCTTGCAGTTCGACAGACGGCTAGACCCTGCAGTATACCTTCATCGCGCAAGATGTGTGGTCGGGTGGATATGACCCTATCCGTAGACCACAGAGTCAAAGAAGGGGTGTGATGTTGAAAACGTGATGAGAATTGAATTAAGCTACTTCCAAAACAGATTTATAGAAGCTCAGGGTATCATACTATATGTTTACCTCTTCCTTTGAATCCTCCAGGGGTCGTTTGTTGGTATCTTCGTAGCTTTGTCGTGTCTCCCCGATAACGACCAATTCCATGATCCGCGAGAAGCTCAAAAGCGTATGGCGAAACCCAAGATCGTCGCTGCTACTACGAGTACAGGCTGACGATATCGTATGCTAAGAGCTGAGCCTCCGCTGCCGACCTGGCCTTGAGCTGTACCTCCTGCAGGTGTGCCGCCATTACCGCTTGCGACTCCAGGCCCACCGACTTGGCCACCGTCATTCCTCGGGGTCGTCTCGATCGCCAGGTCCTGAAAAGGCTGACCCGGTGGATTGTTTACGCTATTGACGAGAGCCGTGAAGTTCATGATTGGGTTCGAGATCATGTCGCAGCTCATACGACCGCCATTTGCGCCTAGAGGCCCCGGCGGAGGCTTGGTGAGAAGCTGTTTTGCACCCGGAAACTGCGAGATGCTGTTCGTGACGGATATTGGCAGGTTGAAAACGCTATAGAAGTCATTGCCGTTCAGCCGGAAGTTCTGGTGGATCGAAATGTTGTATTCGCCCCGTGCTGTAGTCCCTATGTCTTCTTTGCCATCACCGACTAGACAGTCAGGCCACTCGAAATTGATGTGCTTCACCGTCTGCCCTGGCTCTTGGTTCATGATGTTGGCAAGTGGTGGTGTTGTGGTCGATATATTAGAGATTGTAAAGTTTTTCAAGAGTGTGTTGCTAGTCAAGAACATTGTGAAGTTAAAGACTTGGGTCAGCGGATCGTTGAGATCCTTGGGCGGCACCGGCAACTTTCCATCTCCCGATACATCTATAGCGACGTGCAAAAAGTCACCACCCATTGGGGTGAATGGTTGGGGCTATCGGACGTCAGTGAAGATCGCATTTGGATTATTATACCTCTCACAGCTAGAATTATACCCAACCCAGGTGTGAATATCCGTCCGTTCACGATATCGAACGCGCTTGTGTCGGTTTGTCCGTTGTTGTTCCCGTTGCTATTCTGCCGCGCCAGTATTCGATGTCTGGTCCCCCACTGCCCTAGCATCTGCGCATTCCCACTCTCCCATACCGAACCAAGTATCAAAATAGAACGCAGGATAGAGGGTAGTCCGATCATTGCTCGACAACGACGGCACATTCTCTCGCGCCAGCGAGGATTCAAAGAAAGCGGTGCGTGGTGGCGTGGGTGGAAAGACGAGTATGAGGCAGGGTGCAGCTTGAGCAGCAGAGCATCATGGCAACATGAGTGCAATGCGTTGTCGCGGGCCGGCCGGCTGCCTAGGCCTCGCGCATGACATGGTCAGAGAATGATGATCAGGCATCGCGCAAGTATGTGCCGGCCAAGGTGCATGCTTGCGGTGGCTAAATAGGCAAGGTGTTGCCGGTGGCGGATTTCCTGATGATGGCACAGGCGATTTGGACTTGTGAGACGTAGGGTGTGAGAGGAGTGCTGCAGGTTGGACCGTGCTTTGCAGGGTTGCACACGGAAACGGTAGCATCTGACAACGCAAAACTTGGACCGTGTCCATTCTCCACGACATCTTCTTGATATCGCGATTACTGTGTTATCCCCTTCTTGCTATGTCCACACCGTCGTAATTTTTCCACCTCATTCGGCGTTGATTTCAGTAGTGCTGTGAACGGATGTTGATGGGATTCATGTTTTCACAGTACATTTACGAGAAGTCGTAAATTAACAAAGGTGTTTAGTCATGTATGACTTTAAGACTAAATTCAACGATATATGTCACGCACATCGATATGTGGACAGACTTACAAGAGAATCAGTACGGACACAATTGGATGCGGACCTTCATCGCAGATAAAGTTGCTTAGAGTCTACGTTATGTCTCTACTCGAGCTTCAACGTAGCATAGCAGCCAACAGTTACGTCAGCAATTGATGAAAACTTCCTGCAATGCCAGCTCAGCGTTGCTGCCTCCCACTACTATATCTAATATCCTTCAGAGACCTTTCAAGGACTTCTATACTACTCACACAACAAGCACGACAACAATAAAAAAGCCGAACAAATACCATCAATAATCAATAATCTCAAGCCGATATGCCTCGTCCTATCGGCCACACGTTTTGGCGAGACCGAGACGGTAATTTTAGAGGAACCGCATTTTTCAGCCCAGACGATTTCCACCACTACCCAGGAGGATACGACTCTTTTGATGACTCTGACAGTTCCTATGAGAGCTACGAATCCAGTGATTCGGACAGTTTCTATAGGAGCTACGGCTCGGAAAGTTCCTATAGTGGCTACGACTCTTTCGATGATGAATTCTATGGGGGTAACGATTCTTTCGATTCTTTCGATTCTTTCGATTCTTTCGATTCTTTCGATTCTTTCGACGATTCTTATGGTGGTTATGGCGGCAGCTACGGCAGCTACGATTATGGTAGAAGACGCGGGCCCAGGTACTATTATTGAGCTCTTGAGTTTGGACGTAGTTTAGGAAGCAAAGAGGCGAATGTACCCGGAGTCTGCCCAAAGCATGTTTATCGGCCGTGCCAATGGACAGAAGCTGATATGGGATCTGACGTTCGTTGACTTTCGTCGACTCTGTGCTTGAGCCACATAGGTAGTGCATGATCAGTAAGCATTTCTTGTATTAATGCATATTTATCCATGTAAGACCCCAGAAACTCTCCCAGAAACTCTCCCAGAAACTCTCCCAGAAACTCTCGTAGAGTCTCTCTGCGGCCAGTTCGTGCCATTCGCTCACACTGCAAAGCCAACTTTCGCCTTAGTCGCTTACAATGCTATAGTATAAGGACGACTTTCCTTAGATATTCGGGCTAGTATTGAGTGAGTTGAGAGATGTAACTATCCAGGATTCAAACGGAAACGCAGAGCCGTTTGCATAATGCAAGAACACATCTGTTCATGTCTGTTCAGTATGAATAGGGAAGACGCATCTTCAGACGTAGCTCTCTGCGTTCCAACACATCGTAATTGTACCCCACATAGTCCCTGTCTATCAGATCTCACCTAAAGAAACGATATCGTAGACCAAATCTAAACCAAATGGGTTGCTAACAGTACGAGCAGTGTATACGAACAACGCGGGCAACGCCCTCATTCCCATCCTTATGACCACCTTCATAGTCATGCTCGCATGCATCTACAACACCATATGAACCACCATGCCTGTCACGGGACATGGGTCTTGGCATGGGTCCTATGTAGAGGTTCCGGCACACTAGCTAATTAGTCTCATCACTCATACAATAGATACCAGCTCACCATAGTCTCGCAATGCCCAGGTTGCGGTCTACTCTCTAGCACTCGCATCCATCCATTTAATATATTTGCGCGACCATTCCCGCACGCTGTCATGTTCGCATATATCTTTCCAGCCTGTTGTACGGCGTCCAAGGACTTCAGAGTCAACATGCATCTTTCAGCGAACACTGTCCCCCACCCGAGGCGCGCGAGCCGCAGATAAAGCTTAAGCGTGCACCCAGGACAACATCGAGTGCGGAAAAACTGAAGGTTAAGGGAAAGGCCAAAGTGGTGCGGGATCCGAGGCTTAAGAGGAGCAGAAAATCTTTCCAATTGCGCGATATGATGAACCAGTGAGATGAGAAACTCGATGAGAAGCTGTAACGAACCCGGAGGTATCCGCAGGAGTGAGGGCAAATGCGCGAGACAAGCAGATCAAGCTTTCCAATCTCTAAGGACTACTGCGTCTTTACCAACCCCTCAGGCGACGTGCTAGGTTGCGCGCACGGCGCGGCAGGGGAACCTAATTTGTAGTTAGACGTTGGGAGGGACATCGATCGCGCATCGGTAGGAAACGTTGGGTAATGTACTTGCTGCGCAAATACTGCGTGAGGCGTAAGAAAATCTCCAATAAGACCTTGAACGCTTGTTGTTGTGAACGCGTGCCTGTGGTCATAGGATACCTTCCCGAACGGATAAGCATCGATAAATGGACGGTTAAGCTTAAATACCTTGATTACACTGATGCCCGGGGGTTGGGGGACGTCTCATCTTTGGGGGCGGAACTACAGTGAAGTACACTTAAGCCTCAAGAACGACCAAACCCATACGTTGAGCATAACAGCAGCGGAAAAATGAAGTTGCTGGTCATGTTTGGTAAGACTACTAGTTGAATACTACGTAAATGGAAGGGTATCTGTAAATATATACATGCATCGCCAGCGCAAGCGCACTATATGCGGCGAACTATGATATCTGCCGTACAGCCAAGGCCATAGCTTGCCTACGAGCTCCCTAAACAGAATCATCAGTGCAGCCGCACGCCGTCATTTGAAATAACGCCAAAGCGCGAGACATACGAAAATGCACATGTGTAGATCTTGACAAAGCTGATAGAAAGCAAGATGGTTGTGAACCAGCTGCTTCACCGTCTGAATTCAGGTTTCCTTGCCATATTGATGGGTGGCGGTCCGTCGGTGTCTGGATACGGCAGCGGTGCACCAGGAGGCGGCTTAGGCAACGACGAAGTTGGGGGTGGCAGTGTCGGTGGGCCAGTCAAGTTTGACGGCTGGAGACCATCCTCGAACGGCGTCTTTGGTGGCCTTGGAGGTGGGCTATTTGGATATGGACTACTCGGTTGCGGCTCCTCGAAGCTCCGGTTACTCAACCGCGGTGAGTTGTGTGCTGAGCCCACTGTAAATTGTTCTGCCGATCTGCGGTTGAGGTTGACGAATTCACCAGAATAGCGTGGACTCAGGGCTGAGTCGATGGGCTCGGGATACTCATCGGAAGCTAGCACTGCAAACTTGTCGTTATCTGATGCGCGACGATAGGCCGGATGGAGCATGATGTCGGGTTCCTGTTGGTGCGAGTAGAAGTTGGGCGCAACCTCTTCAGCAGGAAGCTCAACGACCATTGGAGAAGCATCCGGTACGGTAGGAAGAGGACGCTCGTAAGGGTTCTTAAGCTGTGGTACAGGGCCGCCGCGCGGTGGCAGCCCCTTCTCTGCTCTGTCCCATCTCACCTTGGCGAAATAGATCCTTGCAAGTTTGGAAGCAGAATCAAAGGTTTTACTTTGGACCCCTTTATCCCCCAAATACATCCGCGTGCTGGAGCTGATTTCGGCGAGGCGATTCCACTCGTTCATACCAAATTCTCCAACACCAACGTTAACATTGAGTCGGTAGTAATGTTCCGGGTTGACTTGTCGCTTGGCCAGGTGATCCTTCATCGACAGATGTATCTTTTCGCAGTCTTCGATTTTGCTGATCAACCTCCGCCTTGCTTCGGCAAAATCCCCAATGCCGCTTGAGACAAACCCCTCCCACCAGAGATGCGCTTGCTGATTTGTTCCCTCGGGCCTTTTTCCTGTACCAATGCTGATGAAGACGCCCACCTCGCGACCAGGCCATTCGTTGCATACTGCCTCGTCAAGGATCATTGGTGCTGGGTTGTATTTGCCGACGCCTTCGTCAAGGAAGACCGATTGGCCAACCTGGATTGGCTTGAAAGCAAGTGCTGTCGCGCATGTCGCCCGACCAGCCTGCCATATGGTGGCATTCGGTTCTACTGATGTCTCTTTTCGCGAATCGTAGGAGCGTAGGAGTATCTGCCCGGTACTAGCGTTCTTGGAGCCCTTGTAGACAGCCGTAACAGCCCTGGCAGAAGTCAATGACCGCAACAACCCACCATGGGCTCATACTTACGTCTTCGTACGCTCCTCTCTGTTATCGTAGAGCCGTGCATTCGGGTTGCCCCATTTCAAGGCAGCCATCCGCGGGTTCACCGGTGCCATGCCAATCTGGCTGTACCTGCTGGCTGTGCTTGCGCTTCGTTCCATTCTCGTGGGATAAGCGCTACCCGGTGACATTGGCGTGCGCAGGTCAGCTCTGGAGGACATTGCGTTCTCGCTGTCGTTTCCCTCATCGTCGTAAACGGTGTGCTCCCGCACACACTCCATGATGGCATCCTCGAGTTTCGACGCCTTGAACAGGGTATGTCGGTACGGAATGCCGGCGAAAGTCTTGTCCGTCTCAAAGACTCTTTTTGTCATGCGTACGTAGACATCTTTGCACGTCTCCACGTCCATGCGCAGCCTTCCTAGCATGATGGCGATCAAGCCGCCGGTGCCTGTACCTCCGATGAGGTCGAAGTGGTCGCATGGTTTCGGTATTTCGTGTCGCTTTGGGGCCCTTCCCTCTGTCTCGACGAAGGTGCGGTGCATGAGTTCCTGGAGGATGATGAGCATCGAGTAGCCACGCACACCCCCGCCATCTGCCCCGCGTCAGTGCCTGATGCCTTAGGATCGAAATTAGAGACATACCTAACGAGAGGATGCGCAGCGGCGGGCCCTTGGTGGTGTCCTTCCGCCGGATGCCGTTATTCGCCATGCTGTCGAGCTCTTCGGCTGCGGTGGTGGAAGGCCGTGGGTTGGCCGTGAGTCTTGGTTGCCTCTTGGGCTGGGGGTGGAGCGGCGCTATGTGTCCGCGAGGAAGGTGCCTGCGCCGAATGCGCACCGCAGTCGTGCTCAGTCCGGGGCTGTTTCCAGCTGAGCAGTACTGCCTTGGCCTGGAGTTGGTCGACACCGAGGCTGACTGTTGGGGATGCGCGCCGCGAGCGCTCGGTCGACGATGGAAGGAGGGGAGTCGCGTAGTAGGACAGAGCGAGGTGCGGAGTGAGTAGCAGAGTGCGCAAGCACAGTCGACTTTTCACGGCGCGTGTCACTGGCATTCACCCTCCCATGATGCCGAAAGACAGGGTTGGCATGCTTGTGACGTTGCCAGCGCGCCAAGCCCCACTTCCAGTTCGCAAAAGCGCTGCGCCACGACGCCACCGCGAGCCCTCTCCGCTGTCGCCCAACAGCAAGCCGGGCATGGTCTATCCCACTCTATCCCACCCTCGCGTGGTGGGTTTTCACGGCGCTCGTTGCAATGCGCGACATGTTCGCCCCTGCAGCGGATGTGCAGTCTCCCGCTTTCGCCTCCAGGAACGCCCGAAGCCATGCTTTGGGCAGCAACCAGTGGTCACGAACACTTTCGTCGCCTTCTCCGAACCACGACGCCTTCGCCAAAACGGCCCGTGAACGAGAAGCCATGGGCATGGGCGCCGCGTCAAAGTTGTAGCAGGGCGCGTTGTAGGGCGTAAGCTGCCGATGACAGTTCGGCCTTCGCGAATGTCGCCATTCATGACTAACCCCACATCCACCTCGGCTTTGGCGGTGAAAGCCGGCAGCCTCTCCACCACATCGTAGGGCTGGACTCGATCTTGCTCGAGATCATCTTGCTTGCGGTTTGGGCTGTCTTCACGCCACAATGTCCCACACCTTATCCACCGAGCAAAGCCTCATTGTTGCCGGCGCAGCAATAGCACTCTTCCTCGTGTCCCACGTGTTCCTCAGGTTGCGAACCAGGTCGACCAAGGCGAAGTCGTTGAAAATAAGCGAGGTATTCTTCAACGCGTGTGGCGCCGTCCAGCCGCGTCTGTGTTGCTGACGCATGGATTTCAGATCTACGTATATCCGATCAAATCTCTTCGGCCCACCAAGCTCGAATCAGCTGTTGCGACCAAGTATGGCTTTGAGCACGATCGTATGTACCTTGTGTGTTACGGGACTTCATTGGTATCTCGCTCTGACCTGTGCAGGGGTTTTCATGTTGCTTCAGGTTCTACCGGACGGATACAGAAATATGGCCGTCTCTCGATACCCTGACATGACCCAGTTTCTTACTTCGATCGAACATCGCAAGGATGGGAAGGCGGAAGTCCACGTTACCTTCAGCGCATTTGGCAATGAGGAGAAGTCAAGAACGTTAAGCGTTCCACTTGCGCCAGACACAGAGAAATTGGATCCCTTCAACGTAGACATGCATGGAAGCCCAACCGCAGCTTTCAAGATGCCCCATGAGTATAGCACCTGGTTTTCCGAATGCTTTGGTTACGAAGTAGTGCTTGTTTTTCTCGGCGACAACAAGCGTGAAGTCTTGTGGAGGGATCTCGTCCAGACGCAGAACGCTGCTTTACTAACTCGTGTCCCTCTGCTCGGCTCAGCCATACCGCAAACCCCTCAGATCACCTTCGCTGACTGCGCACCATACCTGGTCGTATCGTCCACATCGCTTGATAATGTTTCGTCAAGGCTTGCTCCGGACGAGCCCATGGACGTTACCAAGTTCCGCCCCAACATCGTGCTATCCGGTGCTGACGAAGCTTGGGAAGAGGATTACTGGAGCAAGGTCCGGGTCGGCAGCATAGAGCTCATCATGAAGCACAACTGTGTGCGCTGCGCCAGCGTCAATGTCGACTACGGGACAGGTAAGCCAGGAACTGGTGAGGCCGGACAAGTCTTGAAGAAGCTGCAAAAGGATCGAAGGGTCGACAAAGGTGCCAAGTGGAGCCCCGTCTTCGGTAGATATGCCTTCTGGAGAGGGGCGAACAACGCACATGTGTTCAAGGTCGGAGATGAGGCCATCGTCACTGATCGCAACAAAGACCGGTCAATTTTCAGTAAGCTACCCCGATAAGATCACATTAATAGTGGTATACTGACTCTGGTAGACTGGCCTGGCATCGGATGAAGCAGGAGATCCCAGACATTAAGGGAAGGACCGCATTCGATCAAGCAAGTGTATCAGCATCTACGTCACTCGGCCTCATCGCCGACGCAGGTGTTGCTGGAGCAGTGTTGAGCGGGCATTTGTGCTGTTTCTTCCGTACGACAAAGTCGTCATTCACCGCATTGCATAGTTGCTGCAGTATAAAGTGCACAGGTGCGGGAGCAGGTTTTAGACGGGATTAATGACAGAGCTTACACTATATGCCGTCCTATCTCTTCTCCGACTATCGGCCCCAACTACAGCCCAAGGGCCGATTTTGTATTGTGTGTTTCTCTCAAGCTCTGGCTCACTGACGTATTAGGAATCCTACCAGTAAGTTGCGGAGTCATCTTACCCTTCGTATTCGCCGCACTAACCCTCTAGCGTTAGTGTCAGTCGGCGATAAGTCGATGATTGCGGCCGCACTCCACCAACGGTCAGTTATTTACTTCGTTCATATAACATATGGCGGACCCGCGCAGTTATCACTAATTGACTCCGCACTGTTGCATGCACACTCTCTTCTTTCAATATGCCCACACGGCAAATTCAGACGTGCACCCGATGCAAGGACTCTAAGCGTCGTTGTGACAAGCTTAAGCCAAGCTGTTCGCGATGCGAACGCGCGGGTCAGACTTGTATCTATCCGGAATCAATATCGAAAGAAAGTTCTATTGAACCTGAGAGTGGACTCCTGAGTCCTTCGTTGACTCGCAATTCCAGTCCGCTTGAAAGTGAATCGGCTCCGGGACGGATCGTCAAGAGAAGAGACCGCGCAACCCTATCTTGTACAAGATGCCACCGGCTGAAGGTGAAATGCGACAAAAGACAGCCGTGCTGCAGCCGATGCGCTCGGCTTGGACACGGAAGGGACTGTGTATATACGCACAAAGTGCAGCCTCCGCTTTCGGTCGGTCCTTTCGTGGTGGATGGTGACGATGCGGAGACCATTGTGAGTGTTTGGTTTCTACGGAAGCGGGGCTCGAGTCATTGGAAGGCACTTATGACCAGGGTGGGCACTATGTCTCTTGTGCGAATAAGGATGCTAAAGTGCTGCAGCTCGAATCGCTTTCTGGCCTTGGCGAACCGCCCTTCCAATGGGTAAGTATCACAACTAGATTGTTCCATGACGATCCATCAGTCCATACAACTTACGATATCTAGCTGTCAATGTCGGTTCGCGCGCACATGGAAGGTGATTGCAGCAAAGGCCTGTCCCTGCCTGGCAATTTCCCTTTCGGATCCATGGAATCCATACCATATCGCTCACCATCCAAAGTGCGAACACTGCTCGAGAGCCATCGGCATAAGGCTTCTTCTTACCTAGAGAGTTACTTTGCTCTATATCACTGCACCAATTTCTTCGATAACTCAAAACTCCAAGCCGAGGTACATCAATTCTGGCAAACTCCGGAGAAGTTCGATCTTGGTTGGCTTGCTCAGCATCTTGCTGTTCTCGGATTAGGTGCATTTGCTGCAGGTATTGAGGACAAAATCGCTGCTGAACTATTCTTCGCCAGCGAGGCCTGCCTGGCGCAGACACCGTACATGTTTCGTCCTACAGTCGCCAACATCCGGACATTATTCCTTCATGTTCAAGCTAAGCAGGTTTGCTACGCTACCTGCTGGGCTCTTGACGCATGTTGGAACATTGTGGGACTCATCGTGCGTCTCTCTATTATGATGGGCCTGCATCGAAGCTGGGTTCCCGAGCCAGACGAGATCCCCAGCATCTTTGATGAGAGGGAGCAACGCAAACGCCTATGGAATGCAGTCGTCAAGGTGGACATACAAATGTCTCTTGTGACGGGACAGGCATCGCCATTGCCTACCGATGCCTTTTTAGCAAATGCTCTTAACAGCATCCAGGGTTTACCTCACAACAGCTACGATCTTATAGCAGCATCGTATCCTCTTATTTATGAAGTCCTCACGAGACTCAACACGAGTATAGATATGATATCCTACGAGGAAGTCCTACACTACGACACACAACTGCGGCGAGTCATGCGACTCGCTGTTGCAGCTGCGGAAAACCAGAGCTACGTCGTTCGCACAACGACCGATATCTTCTTTCGGCGAGTGCTCATGGTTCTACATCGCTATTATGCCTTAGATTCGGATGCTCCGAACCTTTATCCGACCTCCTATTGGTCTTCGCTTGAGTGCTGCCTCGCGCTTATCGTGCACCATCGGGCGCTCATGGCGCAGTGTGGAGCCCTACCAAACAACGTTCACCTCATTGCTCGACCTTTTATGCTGGACTTCTTCGCAGCGGCATTGACTACGTGTATCCATCTACTATCCATCGATGCTCCACTTTCTGCTACCATCGGCTCTGAGAGCACGATTCCGCCTCGTCGAACGATTATGGATACTATCGAATCGTGTCTGGACATATTCGCGAGGGAAAGTGACCACTCTGTCTGCTTCGGGACCGGATATCGTCTATTGAGTGTTGTGTATGGGCTGATTCCCAAGCATCTGACATGAGTACACTGCAACTTCGGAAATTTTTTAGATTTGGTCAAGTGTATTTTACAAAGAACAACGTCAACAGCCACCCTCCATTGTTGTGAATGCTCGTCAATTTCGAGGAAATACCTTTAGTCGCTCCAACTATCACCATTACCGCCGCCACTGCCCTCGAAGTCATGTTCACGAATCACGCTTTTCAAGAAAATCAGCTCCCGCTGCAACGGAACGAATTGCGTGTACTGCCTGTCCGATAGTGTCAGCAGTTCTAAGCACTGTTTCCCGAATGTCTCAATTTTCGACAATGTTCTATCGACACGTGGATGCTAGCCTGATCTTTCGCCGCTAGCGCGTTTCGATTCCGCCGACTCACGACCATTTTGGTGCAGTATAAGGCAGCTATCAAGGCTTCCTCGAGCTTTACACTCGATTTTTTGGCCTATTTCATGTTGGTTATAGTCATATTGGCACCTTCAAGGGGATATCAACCTCTTCCTCCGGTCCAGGAGGACGCTCCGACGCCTTCGAATCCATTCTTGCCGCCCAAAGCAAGTCCAGGATCCCCTCTTTGGCATACCACCTGATCGTCTTGATCTCCTCTTCGAATACATGACGTAAATAATCCAAGCTCTTTAGAGCAGTGTCTAAAGCGGCGTTCAAAGTGAGGATCGTTTCGTTATAGTGCAACGTCTTTTTAGACTAGATCTGTTACGGATGCTTCCGATAACGGCCTGGAGTAGCTTCTCGATCCATGAGCAGTGTCTTCAAGGGGTCGAAGGTCGAATACCAGGAACACCGAATATGCACGAATCATAGCCGCTATACGATCGTCGAGAGGAACGTGTGACCTGCATTTACGCAGACAAGAAGGCTTTGAGCGCCTCGATCGCGGGCGCATGCTACATCTAAGAGCTATATACTCGATTCTATGAAAGTACGACTATTCTGACGAGGTCCACGTTTTGACCAACGGGTGATGTACGTCACGACTAAAAGGCTAGCACGAAGACTGTTTGCTTCAATTAGTGTGGACACAAGTAGTGCAAGGAGCCCGCCCTATCTCGACACCTTCCAATCGAAGTTTTCATAAACTCTCCACGGACTGGACCGTCGTCGATTTTGATAATGATGGCGTACGATGCGGTTCTGGGAGAAGACATGTGCCATTGTGCTGGCAAAAAAGCTTCACCTCTCTTAAGTACATCAACGCGACACCTAGGATGATAATATATACAATCTAGTTGCCCAATGCGTGATTAACATAAGCCAACAACCCTACCGCATCTGCCGACGGTGTGACTTATCAGTATCGCCACAGGATATACAGCGCTAGCAACAGGACACGCCCACTCCTGCTTTTAGAACGCGTAGAAGTTTTAGCGGCTGGGCTGCAACCACCAGCTGATCACCTCTAGTTTCTGTGTATTGCACATTCGCGTAGAATAGCCTAGATGTCCTTGATCACAACATATTATTGTAGTAGTAACCCATAACAAAATGCAGCACCGCGTGACAAGTAGAGTAAAACCAATGACTTTGAGTCCTTGTCTTCCATAAGTCCGTGCAACGCAGCCATCTCCACTCAGATATCCAAGATCCTCGGGCCACCGACCAAGGGAATTCAGGTCTTTCTCATACTGCCGCCCAAAAAGCTCGCCGTCTCCGTCAACGCACTCATAAAATTTGTCCCGGCCTCCTCACCCGATGGACATGGTTGACATGCACAGTCGTCACCCCCCTCCTAAGCAACTTCTTCCTAACAATCTCCCCCACCGCCACACTCCTATGCGTCCCCCCGGGACACGCCACCATCAACAACAACGACCCCGTACCCTGATCATAAGCGCTCATCATCAGCCTTACAACTTCATCTCTGTCCATCATCAGCCTCTCCCTTAGAATCTAGATGAAAATGGGAGATAACTCACAAGTCTCTCATCCCCTCATCATACTGCTTAATAGTATCTTGAATCTCCCTACTCTCCCCCGTAAAGTGCGCCGACAGGGCCGGTGGTGGTGTAGGAAAGTGGCCCACGTCAAATGTGATAAGAGGCTGCAGGCCTGTCGTAAGGAGCGCCTGCTCATACAAAGCTTGCGCAGCGGCGTCGCCGGATGCCATGCGTGTTGTACTGTAAGTGAGGATGTGTGCGAGGCGGAGGGGTTGGCGGGCGAGGTTTTGCTGGAAAATACCGGGAGCGAAGTTTTGCATGGCGATAGCGCCGGGATGCATGAGTGGTAGTCCCTGGGGGTAGAAGGCGGGGAGTGGATGGCGTAAGAAGGGTGCGATGGGTAGAGGATGGTGGGCGAAGGGGGTTGTGTGGATGATTTCGACACCTGGATGGTGCACTTGGTGGATGGTTATGTGCTGTTGATCTAGTAGCATGGCGCTGGGGTGGTGGACCGTGTGAGTGGTCATGTATTGCTGGTCGATGAGAGATGGTGGCGGGATGAAGTTAAATGATGGCATAGCTGCGAAATGTGTGCTAATACTGAGGGTTACGATAATGATTCGCGATGCTGAAGTGCTTGGGTGAGCAAATGGTTAATGGCAGTAATGCATAGATGCTCGTATAGCCCGTGAAGGATTGAGTTTTACCAGCACTTGAAGGGGGTCATGAACTAGATAATATCGTTTCTCGCCATTGAAGTTACACGTGAAAATTCCGGTAATTCGTTTGGCGAGAAGACGCGATTATCAGTACTGTGCACACTATAACCGGAACCTGTGGCCCCAATAGATCACGTATGCTGTGAATACACAGTCTGAAGTTGTGCACTTTCATAAAAAGGTACAACACAACCGGCGACCTTACCCCTTAGCGCTCTATCATCCTCACCTCTGCGCTGCACGACTCCGCAAAGAGTGCAAGACAGCATGAACGATGGACCAGTCGGTACTCGAACCCTTGCGATTTCTTAGGGCATAGTGGGATAATTTGCCTGGGTTTACGCAGCAGAAGGCTTTACCATTAAGTACTGGTCGTGAAGGTGCTCATTTGATGGCTATTTGCCTGATTGAACGAGTTATACAGAGGTTGACCGAAAGTGGTGTCCTTCGTCTCAGTTTTACTAGGGGAATTTGGTCGCCAGATGTGGTGCCGCGACGATGTCGAAATGCAACAGACGCCGCAAGCTGGACAACAAGGCAATTACCCCAAGCTCTTGCTGGCACCAAATGCTCTCACCCCTAGCACTCCACACTTCTGAGCGTGCGAAACCGATATTCCGGCAACATGCAATCTGAACACAAGGCCTGAACCTTATAGAGCGGTACCGGAAGATCATCTCTTACGCTTGCCACACCCTCCAGCTCCGACACAGTACTCATCCCCGCATCCGGCTTAGGCGATGTCTGAAGGAAGTTCGAATCGCCCGGTAGCTCCGAAACATTGGCACTCGTCCCCACCTCTGCCACTGCCGGCGGTGACCACATTTCTGCCCGTTCCCTAGCATCAAGCTCTGAGGCTCCCACTGAGTGTTCCAATACTTGCGCCCTTTTCTCGTCGATGGGAGGCGGTGCAGCGTCCTCGGCCTCTTCTTTCGTCTTTGCTGGTGTCTGTCTGCGGCGTTTTCGAATGATGAAGAATACCACGGCCGCAATGACGACGATTGCGCCGACGGAAACGCCCACACCTATACCAACAAGCGTCCCAGCTCTGGACCCTGATGGCCCTGCGCCACCACCAACACGCGTTGTGTTCGAGGTGGTCGAAGATCCTGTTGAACCAGAAGATGTCGCCTCCGTGGCCGTCGAATTCGCCATGCCAGTCGTACTTCCAGTGCCCGATGCAGTAGATGCAGTAGCCGAATAGGTACTGGAGTAGGTGTATTTCATCCCCGTCGAAATTGTTGATGGCAGAGTCGTAATCGGATTGTTCGTGGCTCCACATGAACTTTCCAACATGAACATGTATGCTAGTGTACTCGTCAGCGTCCGGAGGATCATTGCCATTGACCGCGCCGTACCTCTGTATCACATTGTATTGACCTTGCCGTAACTCGTTAGTGTATGAGGCTTGGTCTGTGAAGTGTGAGCTGGGTTATTGCATATTTTAAAAATGTTAGGGTGTTGTAATAGGCACTAATACTAAATGCCCGAGGCAGGAGTGTGGCGTAGTCCATGCAACGGACTGTACGACCCAGATTGGCAGTCGAGCTACAGGAAGCAAAGTAATTATGGAGCCACATGATATCATGACCTATGGCGCCAAGTAACGTTCTTCGTTACACGCTCCTCTGCAATCTATCGCGGTTGTATACTCACACTATGCCAAGCGCATCACACCTCCTCATGACCACCGGCTGCTCTTGAATGTTATACATTTTTTGATACACAACTCTAGTAGCTATACTTTTCTTGTGTACGGAAGTAGCATATGCATGAGCTACAATTTTACATTTGGCAATCCTTGGTTGGCTGGTGCACTAACCCAGGCGCCATCATACCTCTCATCCAACGCCTTCTCCAAGCCCGTTTCCATTTTCTTCCAGCCAACACCCCTCAATTGCCTAGCCATCGCCCATGCTCCTCTTATACAGTCATTCACACCTACACCATGCGTTTGATTTCCCACGACCCGCACTCTCCCTTGGAATTCAAATAGTACTCGTTCCGCATACCCTTTCAGTCGCTCATCGTATCCGACGGTATACTGGGGAATGCAGTCCTTACTCAGATTGACATGATAGTTCGTGGGCTCCTCCTTGATGTGAAGATGGCGGCGGAGGAGCGACATGGCTAGCTCATAGGCTTCGTCGTTGGAGGGGAAGTGTTCCCACCCATCCCAATAGTGGCCGCCAAGCATGACGGTAAGCTTAGTGCCTTCGGCGGTGTCCTGACCTTGAATAGCGTCTGAATCAAATATGACGCCCAGAGCGCGTTCAGGATTCTCCTCGAAGGCAACGGACTGGGGGATAAGGTAACCGAAGCCCTTTTCAGGAATGAGGTTTGGGTTCGGGAAATAGAGGTTCACTGTCATGACGGTGACAAAGGGGGTCAGTTTTGGATTGCGAAGAGTGGAGACGACGAGGTCGTATTTTTCGGTAGAGGGAGCTTCTCTGGGCTGAAAGAGTCAGCATTGGGTTGTAGCTCTTTAACAAAGGGCAACTTACTCCCGTGGTAACGTCGACCTGATCCCGGTTTTCTTTTGCAAGCTTGTAATTTTGAACCCGACTGTCGAACTTGAAGTCTACGTTTCCACTCTTTTCGAGGGTTTTCTTCAATGCTAAAACTAGCTCAGCCATGCCATTCTCGAAGGTGAACATTGCACTCTCATCGAGCAGCGCCCTGAAAGGGTCGTTCAGCTTCACCTCCTCCCTCATAGCCTTGTAAACGTCCAAGTCGTGCGGATGGAAAAGCATGACCCTCTCCGTCAACGGAGTCTCCTGCTGGATCTTGATCATGCCCTTGTATATGCTGCCTGCCAATCCCTCCAACATCCATGCCTGCGACAGGAGCGTCCGAGCACTGAGCTTCCAGATATCACCAGCATAGATGCCGTGCATGACAGCAGAAGCAAGATTGGTTCCTAACCGCTTGTCGAAACGACGCTCTACGAAATCGCCAATCGATTCATCTTTCAAGGATTCGGGTCGTTGTCGACGGAACGGTTCGAGAAGTGCATACGGTGCACCGGCAAGAAGACCAGATCGCCATAACTCAGCAATGTGCCAAAAGTCGGGCGCATCTCCTGGGGATGGGAGACGTTGCAGTCGGTCGGGGTAATATATGTAGCGATTCTTTGCGCCGGTGGCAGCCTTCTTAGTGAAAATAACATTGTCTGTAAGATCCAGATCTTGGATCTGCCCCTTGTGAGTCAACTCTTCAATACACAGTGCACAGTACTCACCAATTGCGCCGTGATCAGGGCGTCCCTTCCCGGCCGCAGCGACCGCGCCCCGTACTCAAACAGCACGTCGCCTTTGGGCACCTCCACCCGCCTCGACTGTATCCAGCCTCCACCGTCCTTGTTCGCCTCATGGATTGTGATCTTGCTCTGTGGGAATTCCTTCGCCACGAAATACGCGCTCGCGAGACCTGATATGCCGCCACCAAGCACGGCCACTTTCTCAGGATATGCTTGCGATGAAATGTACCGGCGGCAGCGATTGCATAGCGAAGAGGCAACTGGGCGTAGAGCGACGCGCCTCATTGTCGACATTATGAGCGGAACATGTTTCTTGAGCCGCATTGCCGTGTGTGAGGGGTCTGGAGTCTGCGAATGCGGCTCATGGATTCAGCTGGAGCTTCTGTCGTGACGTTGGCTAAAGTCCGAGCTCGGGCCGTTCTGACGCGCTCACTTCGGAGCATCGCCGCCCCTGGTCGTCAGCGTTTCACAATTCGAAGAGAGCTTCAGCAATGCAAAGAAAAGTTTGTAGAGAGAGATGCAGCTTTTTCGCTGCCAGGAAGCACGAGTCGCATTCTAAAAACCCTGACGCATCTGCAGCCCGTCAATGCAGATCAAGTCATGCCACCCGAGCCAAACGCCGTACCCTTCGGTATCCTAAATTATAGTACAAATGCCGTGTTCCTCGTTCTACAGCATCTGATGCTGTGACTATACCATGCCGCATCGGATGTCATTTCCTCGTGCCCCGGTCCTTGTTTTACAGCCACTCACAGTGCGTCTTCCGCCATCTGGTCAGCCTTTCCCGGAATGATCAGTTCCTCCTCTTGGTTCTCGTCAATAAATTTCCTTTCGCTTACATGATCCTTCTTCTGCTCTTCCCCATTTTTCGGTGCTACCCAAACGTTACCCTTGGCCATATTGCCTTTCTTCTGACCCTCCAGAGGATGCTTGTAGATACAGCGAGCGTTTGTACAGGGATTGAACTTGCAGACAACAGAGCTGTGCCAGAAACTGCAACCGGGAGTCGTGCAGTCGGCACCGTTGCGGCATGGTTTCTCAGTCGGATGCTTGTACGGACAATTCTGTGGATCGCGGCAGTTGGGGAAGTAAATGCACTCCTGCTCGGCTTGGAACTGTTGCTTCTTAGCGGGAGACGGGTGCTTGCCAACACATTTGAAGTTCTTGCACGCCGCTCCATAGTCGCATGTAGTGTTCATATCGACAACCGCGGTCTTGGGAGCTGCAGGCGAGGAATGGACGAAGGGACAATCAGCCTTGGCGCACTTCTGGTTGAAATGACACATTGTCGTCGCGGAATCTGGCCCTGGTCGCGACGTGTCCGCCTGCATGCCTTCACCATCGGCCGCAGGCCCATCGGTCATGTTCTCGTCATCGCCTTCCTTCTTCGTAAATTTAGTCGATTGAGGCAAATTCTGTCGGTGTACTTGCGATCCACGAGCGAATGGCTTCTTTCCTTTCTGAAAATTGGGGTTGACGAATGGTTGCGGAGACTGTCCAGAAAAGATCTGTTGCATCATCTGCGCTTGCTGCTCGTACATGGACATGAGGGCCATCTGCTGCTGAGGGTTCAATCCTCCTCCCGGAAGACCTTGTCCCATGGGCGGTATAGGCATGTTCGGCACACCCATGTTCATACCCATCCCACCCATTCCGTTCATGCCAGGGCCCATATTTATGTTACCGGAACCCCTTCCGTTCGCCATTGCTTCGAGTCCTCGTCCAATGTTCTGACCGCGAGGTCCTTTCGGTGGGTCTCGCAAGTGCGAGTTAATACGTCCAGCACCTTGCGTACCCCGAACACGGTGGAGAGGGTCGTCGTTACGGCTCATTTGCCTGTTCACCTGATTCATTAAGCGGCCGCCGCGTGCCTGCTTAGGACCGCTGCTGTTCCGCATAGCTTTAGGTCCGGTGGGTCTGCTTTTCGTTAGAGATTGTCGTCTGAAAGTGCTGCAAGTCCGAGGGGCCTTCGAAGACTCGCGCCAAGAGGACTCGATTGTGGGGATCGGGAGTCCGCAGGCGCTGTCTCTTCTTGCATCTTGAGAGGACAACATAGGAGGATTTGAAAGAAAATTGGTGTCATACATAGTGCCTGATGAAGCGTCTCCGGCTTCTGAGATGCCCTCCATCTCCATATCTTGCGCGATTGCAGAGGAGCCGTGATCGGTATCTTCCATTTGGTTGTCGCTTGTTTGCGCATTGCCGCCAGCAGAATTCCCGCGTAGCTGGTCGACCTGTTCAAAGAGCCATCGCGAAAAGCGGTGTGTATCTGTGTTCTCGCCTTCGGCTTCGTCAAGGAGGTCGTTGGAGAGCTCGGTCGCGACTTGTTCCTCGTTCTTGCCGTTCGAGAGCATGAGCAAGATGTAATCGAAGAGGGTCGTATCGTCGCCGCCTGTCGTCCAGCCAAACTCGGCGAGCTTAGGCTGGACAAGATTTTGCAGCGCTGTCGCCAGAGGCGTGCCTGCCGCAAGATCGGTAGCCATGGTGAAGTTGGTCAACAGTCGGCCGGAGCGGGTGCGCGACGAGTCGAAGGAATGGGCGGTCGTGACAAAGGGAGTGGCGAGCGGATGCGCCTTTATCGCGTCGTGCTTGTTCCGCGGCTGTCGAAAGATAAGTGATGGGGTGTAATCGTGGAAGCGACGGAGTGGCGCGTAGACAAAGGACTGTGTCTCGGTGGGTGAGCGGGCAAAGTGAAGCAATTGTTTGGGCGCCAGGTTCTTTGGCGCGACTTGAGATGTCGCGCTGACATAATCCAAAGCGTGGCCCGTGTCCGCGGTGTCGCAACATTTCCAACGACCGTCTGTTCGCTTCGATTGTCTTCTAATGCATTGGTACAGCACCATGACTCTCTACAGTGCATCGAATCCATATGTGTCAAATGTCCATTCACGGTTTCGAGTCTATTGAGAGCCAGCAGATTCAGGTGTCAAAGGCCCTAGACCGGACTTCGACAACTACCAAGCGCGCCAGTGCCGTGCCCAAGTGCGACTCAATAGGCATGACGGCTCGGTGCATTCTGTAGGCACAGGGACTAGTTCGCTACAAGTCTTTCATCTAGCCATTTCTCTACATGACTCACGTATTATCATTTGTATGCCTGCGTCGAGTCCAACCTAATTGAGCTGCTCGCGTGCTGTATAATAGGCGCTCCGCGGAAAGAATGTACAAGTACTTTCATGCAGCAGCATCTCATAACGAGCTCCTACTCAAGTTACTTTTCGAGCGGCTCTGTCCTCAAGCGACTGCTTCTGGCAACAATGACTGCGCTTGTTCAGAGCGCTCCTTGCGGTCATGGCGGGAGCTTGTTTCCGTTTTCTGACTAGGGCGGTTACGTAGTTGCCTCCCGGCTTCAAAGTTCGCGTCTCCAGCCTCACGCTCTCTTTTCACATCACCACCCACGACGCGTCTAGAGCCCCGTCAACCCCGTCCACCCCGATTCTGCCACGTCCATATAAGAACAACACCAACATGTCTCGCGGCGGCACCACGCTTTACGTCACTGGCTTCGGCCACGGGACCCGCGCTCGCGACCTCGCCTACGAGTTCGAACGGTATGTTGCTCAACGCACCGCCCTCCCGATCGTCGCCGCGTCCATCGTCTACCATCCATTATGCGCGATCGAACTGCTTTATCCCTCGTCGTCCTTCTCGATGCCTCGATTACGTCGCACTAGACACCGCTTCCCACGCCTTTCTCATGCGCACAGCGCGCCACATTCAGCTCCCTTGCGCTATCTCATTTTATGTGACACATCCATCTAACATCGTTGCTAGCTACGGTCGCCTCGTTCGCTGCGACATTCCTGCGCCGCGCTCCGCGTCCAGTCGACTGTAAGTGACCATGCATACCCCCGGCCATGAAATTTAACTAATTGTGGTTGGCAGGTTCGCTTTCGTGGAGTATGAGAGCCGCCGTGATGCTGACGATGCGTATCACGAAATGCACAACAAGCGCATTGGTCGTGACGACTTGTTGAAGATCGAGGTATGTGAATACTAAGTCTTGCAAGCTGATGTCTCTAACATGCAACAGTGGGCTCGCACTCCACCATCCGCTTCATGGCGCTTTGACTCTGGCCGCGACCGCCCTCGTGGCGAGCGTGGTGAGCGTGGCGAGCGCAGCGAGCGTGGTGGCCGTGGTGGAGACCGCTCGCCGCGTAGTGAGCGTCCTCGTAGCCGCTCTCCTCGCCGTAGCCGTGGCGGTGATTACTCTCCGCGCAAGGACGACCGTCGGGAGCGGGACTACGATCGCCGTGATCGAGACCGATCCCGGAGCCCTGAAGGTGACCGCGACCGGGAGATGAAGGATGTGCGCGATCGTGACGACGACCGTGAGCGCGAGCGGGACCGCGATGCCGGCACCAATGGCGAGGAGCGCAAGAGTGAGCACCCTGTCTCAGCAAAAGAAGACAACCTCCCTCTAATCGACCACACAGACGAATCGCCTCCTCCGGCAGCTCACGAAGACTTGGACGTGGCGGAGTAGTTGTTTGTCACTTCCCCGCCATGCCTGTGCGGTACACGGCCTACCCCACTTGTTCAGTCATCCTTTCTTTCGATTCCGGTATAAGCTGTCGTGAGATTGCCAAAAACGGCGGAGTTGGGTTTGCAACAAATTTAAGGGTCCCCTTTTCATCATTCGATGGCGGTTTCGGCGACTATGTAAGGGTCGGCATTAATAAGAAGCAGTCACGCGAATCGGAACCATGGTTTCATGGCGATCGTAACGGCGATATCGGTTTCGGTTCGGTCGAAGGTTCATTCACGATCGGTCGGTCGATCGATACGACTTGGCGATTTCCCCATTTTGTACTTTACTCGAGCGAATCCCGTAGAACGTCGAATACTTTCCACCCTTCCCGCCCCCGAATCCCTACGACGATGCGACTCGATCATCCCGATAGGTTTGTAGGTATCGGATTTACTGACAATGAAACGTTTATGGTCCAGTGTTTGACGTATCGACACGCCCCCTTAGCTTCCTATCCCTCTGCTGCATCTACAACCAAGGCCCGTTCTTCATTCGACCATCACGACATGTATATGCTTCTTGGACCGGGAATACAATGTTCATTCCATTGATGGTCTGTAGTACACTGCTTTGTTTGCACATGACATCCACTCCGCAGGTGCCATTTTCCCGACGCATGGTTCGGCGTTTGGAGCTGGCACAGTGTGCGATCAATGTTGATTTGCATTGAACTAGGTGCCGGTCGCGACCAGGCTGTCGCCACAATTGATTGACACGACGCAAGTGTCGTAAACTTTACACTGCACTCTATATTAGATTAGAATACAGTCATTGCCTGATCTGAAAGATATTGGATCATTCACTTTGCATATGCTGTTGGTTTCCAGTCAAGTGCTACACTATCGGCTGCCGTTCCAATTCGAATGAAGTTCGCGATTGAAGACTCGTGAACCATCTATGAAGCGACTGGGCGTCTTGATCCCTCCCACCAGAACACCCCTTCTGCTGAGCAAATGGCAAGATATAATTAAGATAGGTGAAGTACATGAAGGTATCGGTAAAAAGAGCCATTGCACCCTTGCATGCCTAGTTCGGCTCTCATTAACCCGTCCAGCAGGCGAAGATCGATGCAGCCTCTCCTGAAAATCGAATGCTCCTCACATAGCCGTCCTAATGCGAATTCTCTCTCCTAAGCTGCTGGCCTCTCGGCTTAGAACAAGCAGTCGAGGCAGCAACAGCATGCCAACGCGGCCAACAAACCGGCACAAATGCCATCCGACGCGCCGCCTCTCCTTTGATTATCGTAGTAACCCCCAAGGGGTGGTCCTCCTTGTTGGTAGTACATGCCCTGCTGCGGCGGTCCGTATCCCGGCGGTCCATACTGTCCCTGCGGTGGTCCATACTGTCCTTGCGGCGGGCCGTAGGGTCCCGGGCCTTGGGCGTAGGGGTTCGGTGATGCGCCGTAGTAGTCGTTGGGAGGTGCAGGGGAGCCGCCGTAGTAAGGCGCTGGAGGCTGGTAGGGACCACCTGGGGCGGGGCCGGCGTCGTGGTGGGCAGGGGTGGTGATTGAGGGTAGGCAGGTGGTGCACCGGCGGGAGGGTCCTGGGGTTGTTAGTTCGTTGTGAAATGGCTCCAAGGGAAGAAGAGACGTACGTATTTGTTGGATGCCATTGAGTCGGATTTGGTAGTTCTATGAATGTAGCGAAAGAAGAAGAGGCTCTCTCTCAACAGAGACAAGAAGTTGCGTGGTAGCGGGGAATACGTAGAGTAGGGTCGCGGCAAGGCTAGGCGTTGGTCCTGGGCGCGGTAGCTCTTTCACTGATGCGCTCCGTTCTATCCGGAATCACTGCGAACGGTAGTCGCGAGTATGGTATTACGTGATTACGCGGGTGGGCAAGGTGAATGTAAGAGCAAAGCAAGGCGTCGAGTGAATGGGGATATATGCGACGGCAACAAGCGGAACTTCGGAACGTAGCAAGTGTCGCGTCCAGGTGGCGCATCGTGGCTGAGCAGATGCGCACTGCTTCCATGCTTCCATGCCTCCATGCTTTAACCCAACGCGGCAAGGCCTACCGCATTAGAAAGTCGCGCCTTCCAAATCCACGTAGGGCTAGGAGCTTCCCACGTGTTGGGACTTCGGCAAGTCAGTTCATCGTTAGCATGTCCTGGTGTTTGACCACAAAGATGGTGGGCTCACCGCATCCTTCCATACCCCGGTACAGTGGCATCCTTACCGCGAAGAATGCCCGCAATCTCCGGAAAAGGCATTCTCTGTTTGCTCGTCAGTCTCCCCTCATTCACGCACTGTCGATACCTTGCCAGTCAAGCTCGACTATACCGGCACAGATGACCATGCTTTTCTTATAATCCACTTCTGCAATCCCATCGCGCGCGGCTCTGCACCCACACCTTACAAGAATCAATTACCTCCGCCGCTTGACCGCCTCTCTTCACTGTCCATGTCCAAGCCCTATTGGCCATCCAAATACCGCGACTGGATTGTCAATTTGACCGTTCCACTCCATCGCATTCACGCTCTTTGCAAACCATCAAGTATCTCATGACCACCGCCGTAGCTCTCACATCCTTGGCTGTCTATGGCGTAATGTCGCGCTTGCTTGCGGGCTTAATTCTGCCAGACGGGTCCTTGGCATGGAAAACATACTCTGTACAGTGGCTGGTTCTAGGGGTGATCTGCGGGATATGGTGGGTTGTGGATCAGGAGAACAGGGATCCAATGTTGAATCGTGCGTGGCAATTCGGGCCTATGATGAGAGCGTGTGTGTACATAGTCAGTGCGAGTCAGGTGTTGGGGGCTTCGCTGTCGTTGCGCAGATGTTGGTCAGATATGGGTCTGTGTTTGGGTTAGAGAGTAGGCCTCGAATCAGAAGTGACACGCCAAAGGTATCTGACTTAACACCTTAACACTAGATGGGCAATACGGAGGCAAAGTTCACTATCAGATTTTGCTCAAAATCGCCGACAACAGGATACGCAATATCAAATGTCCCGATTATATGCTACTCGTCTTTTGCCTACTATGTATTTCGTATGAGGCGCCATCGAATAGACTGCGATGGGTATCGCCCAAAGCAAGATCGATACAAGTCTTCCGTTTCCAGCATGACCTTTGCGTAGGCGGTCAAGTACCTTTGTGGGAACACGAGCCAGTTGAACCAGTACATCAACAGTGCGGGTAACGCTATCACGACGCCAGCGCAGCATGCGTTTGGATGGCAATCAATGAAAAGTGTTGTATGGATGAGCTCTTCATAAGGTATTTGTACAATCATGCTGTCAAAGTCCAAACCTACTCAGACTAAGCGTTCGCAATGCCAAATTCCGAATTCCCTCAACTACTGCGTTCGAGTCCACTCAAGGCGGGCGTTCACAATGCCGAGTGTGATGTTACCGTAGCATAGCATCTTCTCCGAGTCTGTTTGTAGGAGGACGTTCAGCGGGTATCCTTCCCCACTTTTTGGAGGCAGACACGAATGCGTGGGGGCAGAACGGACAAAGTCCAGTCAAGGTCTGCTAAGATCTGCTCCAACCGCGAACGATGATAGGCTGTCTGTACTTCTTCATTTCCAGGTTCTCATCATAGACGTCGAAGCGGTCAGTATGGCTGAGTAGAAACGTTTGCACTCTAATTCTTTGCCGGCTCGAACCATCGAGTCTTTACTCGTTTGAAGAAATGAAGCGTTAGATGCAATCGCGCGCCCGACTTTTCGAGTGTGCCTCGAGGCTCAACCTGAGATGAGTGCGTACTATAAGAAACGTACACGATCTCCAGTACGTTCATAACGCAAATTGCAACACCACCAAGCGGCCACTACTAGACTTCGATATTTATTATGTCGTCTTCGCCACCTCCCTACAATCCCTCCTCTTCCTCTCCAGCTCGCTCGTCAGAGCCTCTTCGATCAAACCGCCTCCTAGCAACCCCTTCTGCGCGTGCGTACCTCGTACCTCGCGCATCCTCAGGTCGAGACATCTTGGTGACCTTGGAGGAAGCCCGTCAGTGGTTTCAGCTTGGTACGTTTTGACCACTAGCTCTTTACTGCGTTGAACAGCGGTCTGTCATCTACCTTGAGAAAGTTCTTTTCTGATTCGGCCGCTATTATCCGTATTCTCTTCAACATTGCTTTTTTCTGATACATTTGTTTGACTCATTAGGATACACAATCCGTGACCCAATCTCAAGGGAGCCTGTCGACATCGGTCCGGTCCCTATTCCAGCCTACGCTAACGGTGAAGGGGCTTTTGTACGTGAGGATGAGGGTGAGCGCAAGGCAAGGGATGCGCATGCTAAGGGTATGTAGGAGACTCGAATCATGCTGAAAATATACCGACTATGCAATAGAAGCTACCAGGAAAGACGGACATGAGGATGGCGCAGGTGGAGCTGGAGGTGCCGTGGCATGACTTAGTGTTGAAGACGATGGCAGACTCGATGCGGAAAAGTGTAGCCAGGTAGTCTTCAGAGGTACTTGAATGACCCAAGCGGTCCTAACCCGTTGTGCACAAAAGCATGTCTTGAGTGATGCGTGTGTGATGTTTGTGGTTGAGATTGAGTGAACTAGATCCAACCTTAGAAAACGCGCTTTCACGTGAGCTGCCAAGAGCCTCGGAGGTCCGGGCAGCATCTTCCGTGTAACCTCTTCACTGCATGTCGCAGACACCCAGCGGTCAAGGTGTGCTCTGACTGTCTTTACGTTCAGCCTACGGCTCGTCATAACTACGATGTGATCCACACGCTCGACATCATTTAAAGCACCTCCGCACTAACCACTAGGCAACCTCTAATCCTAAACACCCTGCAGTGTACATTATGTCGCTTGCAAACTCCAAATATGCGCGCAAGACGCCGCTGGAGACTCTGGCACAATCTAAAGCAGAGAAGCTCAAACAGGATAAAGCGAGAGCAACGCGACTCCTGAATCGCCTGCAGTGGAAAGCTGAGTCCCTTGCAGTATCGTACCTACGTGCGATCGAGATATTGCGAGCGGAGATTGATCAGAATGGATACATCGATAGTGGCGTAGAGTTGCGTTACGCCTTCATGCGGAGTACCGACAGCGTAAGTCGACCATGGCCGTAGTCCTGCTCTGCGCCGAAGCTAACATCACATAGAAACAGGCAGAGTCCATGTTCAAGGTGGACTTCTTTGAGTTCTACACTTTGCTCGAGCGGTACATCTCTAGTTCTCTCGAGATCATGGGCGTTCATGTCTCTGGCACCGCACCTCGTACCAACGTCAACCCTCTCAAATACATCACGAACCCCGACCTGCACCGCACACGACCACGCGCTCTCCACGCCTTCCACGCGAATCTCCTGGAAGCGCTCGATGATCCAAACTGCCCGCTGCATGTCTCGCTAGGGAATCAGGAGGTACGCATACAACTCGGCATAGCGAAAGACTACCGGAATGCATGGAAGGACGCAGACGAGAAGGTTACCAAGACAAATGGCTGCGATAGAGACGAGGAGTCTCAAAAGAACGTCCGTCTGGAGGACTTAGACCTAGACACCATGCTCCGGTATTTGCTAGCTGCCTGTGAGCATGCTCATGGCACAGTCCAAGAGCGTCCAGACGCCAACCCGAACGATTTCACTAGCCGGGACTTCGAACACCAAGCGCAGCAACAAAACACAAGCAAGACTTTGGAGATGGAGGATGTTCCATTCGAGTACATGGATGATGCCATGGATCTTGATTAGTCACGAGCTGCATGTCCCATTGAGATCTATTTAGGGCCCCTTCTTCTCTCCCATCTTCATCTTGCATTTTTTTTGCATATACCCCTTTCAGCGTTCACGATACAGCATTCTGCATAGCGTCGGAATCTAGGTACAATCCAACGACAATAAGAAAAAATCCATTGATCAAATATCTACATAAAACAGTAGGTTTGTGTCTTTCAGAGGGTTTCCATTTCAGCCAGTTGTCTTTTCCACCGCCCATCATACGCCAGCCAGCAATGCAGCGTCATCCAATCTCTCCTTGATACCTCCAACGGTCCCGATCCGTGTCTTTATTCGCTGCTCGATGCCGATCTTGGCTAGTAGCTCTTCCTCGTGCACATGATCGTCCTGCAACACACTATCGGCTCTTGTTCTGTTCGCATCTATTCTTTCCTCGCTCACTCTTTCCAGTCTCGTTTTCTCTTCTTCCTGCATCAACTCCCATCGGCACCTTTCTTTACAGTCCCAGCACACGCTGCGTTTACAAACTTGGATATCATACTTCCACTCCGTTCGGTTGAGCATATTTTGACAATGCGAGCAATCCATGGGGATAACAACTGTCTCGGTATCGCCTCGCCGCCGTGCAATCGACAGCCCCTTGCTTGTCCGCGTCTTGAACTTCAGGTCCCAATCATCGCTCTTGTCAATACCGTCGAAGATAACGAGCTTGTCGAAGTTACACCACCAAGCCGGCCGGCCGCTCCTTTCTATTCGGGCACGGACCGATGAGCCGGTGAATGCTTTCATCTGTACCTTAGGTCCAGGCAGGATGCAGCCGTTGAGCATGGGCTTCGGCGGTGTGAAGATGCGCACCTTCTCCTCAATCTCTGCATTCTTTGGCGAGAGATTCAAGCGATCTTTCAAGAGCTGCGTGGGTGATCGAAGCGCGGCCTTGTTCTGGTTCTTCGAGTTGCGAATGAGGTCAAATCGGAGATCGAGCTCAGAGCGGGGCTTCGTATCGTCGGTATTCCTGTTGGCGCCTAGGTTGAGCTCGGCGGGACGACGGAGGCGTGCTATGGAGTCTGTTCGTTGCGGGGAGGTATTTGCTGAGAAGGAGCGTGGGAATGGGGTTGAGGAGGGTCGGGATGATGGAGGTAGGTCTTCGTTGTCGGAGAGGAAAACGCCCGAGTCACGGTCGCTAGGTGTCGCCACATGTTTGCCAGTGTCTTGATGAGGAGAGACAGGCGAGGCGTCAGCCAGTGTAACCGCCAATTCAGCCATCGTGTCGGTGTCAGGGAGTGAGTATATTCTCCCGTCAAGCAGAGAGTGTACGTGTATTGCCTTTGGCATGCGCTAACAAATTTTCAATTCAAGGAGTGGCAAGAGGACGTTACCTCGACAACTTCAAAGGAATGTCACTCAGAAAGAGAAATACACATAGCCTTGGTCCGCGGCTCAAAGCAACGCTCCCACTAAATACCCATACTCCCCTTCGCCTCCATGCCATCGCGCACTCTATCGATACGCAAGTACGCACTGCCCCACACCTATTTTTATGCGCTACAGCGTTCCGCAGAGGCATGCATAAAGTCGCAATGTCTCCTGTAACAGTGTTGGTCAGGGTCCTTCGCGAGAGAACACCCGCATCCTGGCCAGCTGCGTTTCATACGCGTCACAGCCAATCAGCGAGCAGCATTTCCTGGCGAGAGTAGGCTTCCAGAAAATAGGTCCGGATGGAGTTTGATGCATTCAGCCTCGCGGCAATATATGGGAAACGCGACGCGGCTGTTTGGGTTGGTGGTATGCCGCGGCAGGCTGATGGGAGAAGATCGATGATATCCGGACTGAATTAGAACGTGACACGATCGAGTTCAGGCAGCTTGGATGAACACGATCTTCAGGGTGTACTCCGTTGCCGGATGCGAATACGGGATGTCGAAGAGCAGTAAAAAAATAATGGTCTGCAAGTCTTGGACCCGCTACTCCACCTTACTCAAAACTCGTCGGCGCCATTGTTTCTTCAGGTATCGCGTGGTTCTGTGCGGACGCGGAGAATTCGTCGGACCGTGTGGTCGAGTTAATGTGTTTCGAAGGCCGGGCACCTGAGATGGGATCTCTGGCTGAGGCTATGCCGTGCTCCATTTTAGGGAGGAAGTTGTTATCGGAAAGGTTCCAATATTACTCTTCAAGATGATTAAGGCGAATACTCCTCAAGTCAAAAGTGGTGCACATATTGCAAGGTGCAAGTGAGCTCTGCTAGACGTGCCTGGGACAGTATAGTAGGTGGCCGGGTGCAGCAACCTAAGGCACATTTGTGGGGAGCAGTACACTGGTACCGCGAAGCCGTTCGCTCGTCTAGAGTCGAGCAATTATCCTACGACTCTCGACCGTCTCCCGCGGCTCTGCGAGAGCTGCAGTATCGTCGTAGTTCCAACCTGCAATAATGTCTTTCATAAAATTTAACTCGTCTTGACCCCAGACGATGCCATCAGCATGCTCTCAGTCACTATCCGAGGTCCGGCGTAAGACACGATAAGTCGGAACTCCGCAGATACCCAATTTGTTCGCTTCTGCGATGAAATCCCGAAGTTTCTGCTTAATGTCTGGTGCATTCGCTTTCTTCAGTAGCTCGACACCGTCAAAGCCCCCTTTGTTCAAGACTTCGATAAGGACGGACTCATCAACTACGTTTGCGTTGTCTTCTCAGCAAGCACGGTCTGGGGAAAGTCAGTTATGGACCATTGACGGAAGACGGAAGGGACTCACAGAGGGTTGGCACAGTCCGACGCTCGGCAATGGCACATCTCAGCACTGTCGGGGTGCGTATAGGGAAAACATCGGCCCAGTGGAAGTCTATACCTTTGTCTAGCTTGCCGTTTTGCACATTGATGGCATTCTAGAATCGAACCCAGTCGCCGTGGTCTTGTTGGGCCCAGACAGCTTTCTTTGGCGAGATGGCGCTAGAAGGAAGATTTGGGGTGCCGATTCTTCAACGAGAGATCGCCAGTCTCTGTTATTTCATCAATCCTTACTCTCGGAACAGCATGCCTAACATCGACGGCTCCATCTCGATCTCTAAGTTGTCGACGAATGTCCGCTTGAGCCGCTCGAGCTGTGCCCATCCTAAAAAAGCCCATGGCCTGCTGAAGTCGTACCAAGATTGCAGTCTGACCCTACTACTGATTTTGCTATCAGGGAGGCACATGGGCATGACATTCTTCGGTCCGCTCACTCTCCCCCATCTACCGCCACTGCGTTGCGCAACGCGAGGGGCCTCTACGAAATATATCTAGTCCTAGCCCTAATAAAACCTTCCAACTCTTTACTCGCTACTATCTCTCTGGAAACCTAGAAGCTACGTATACTCAAAGCGCTTCGTTTAATAGCGTCTACAACTAGTATACAGATAGTAATAAGTAAAGGCTATAGCGTGTAGAAAGCTTGAGACATCATTCTTGTTAAAAAAGTTATTAGATATGTAAATAGAGGTAGTTATAATAAAGAGCTTAAGATGCCACATGCTGGTACTATATAGTAAGAGGTATTCGGCCTTAGATTGCATAGGTGAGTGTAGGCTGTATTAGGAAGCTATGGTGAACGAGGTACTAACTCTCTGTTTGTTCGCGCTAGGCTGGTTGATAACAAATAAGTATTACCCCGTATCATACGCGTAACCCACCCCACACCTTGAATACCTCACCATCAGCTCCCGTGTCTCAACGTAGGTTTATTCAAACGGCTTGCCTTCTGCTGCTCCTTCGCACAATCACATCGATCGCTGATACGCACATTGAACGTTTTAGCAGCAGCATGTCTATCGACCACCACGCTCATACCGCTTTCGCTAATCGCCCCTCTGAACATTATATCGACGCTGCCGCCATTGATCGGCCTGAAACCTGGAGTGGAAACATGCGCAGATTGATCGAGACCAGCTCCCGGTTTCTCATTGGTGGCGTCTTCGCTCTGTATTTCCTCGCCGTCATGAGGGATCCGCAACTCTTCAACACACTGCAGGAGTGGCTAGTAGGTGCCTTCTCAATTGGCTGCATCTGTGGTCTCATCTACGGCGTCTACAAGTATTTCGAATGGTTAGAGACCCGTGACGACCTGAAGCCAGTTGTCGAAGACGTGGGCCACCTCAGGGCAGCTATGAACGCGGTGAGTGAGGAGGGCGAACATGCGCAAAAGCGACGCACTCTTGCAAGTCCACAATTCGGACTTGCCGATCCTGCGACAGGGCAGAGGGGTTTGTCATCATCAGTTGGAGGAAGGTACTACGACTAGTAGTCCGGTATGTGGGTGCATGACAGCGTGCTTCCATACGCTCAGGCTCTGAATCTCTGGAAGCGAATGTGGCGGATTACCAGGAGTGGGAATGATGGTCACTGGTTAAAGTGTGCATGATCCGGTATTTGGTGCTTCGGGTTAGCTACCAGCGCTCTGGAAACAAAGATTCCCATGACACTCAGTATTATATGATCTTGCACCAACATGTTCCAAAGGCTATGCGAAACATTTGTAGTATGGTTGAACGGAGCTTGAGTTCCAAAAACATCATTCAACGCAAACTCAAAAGTCATTACACCATTCCCTTTGAGGGAAGGGAGGTCTGGTTGGTTGAATTTAAACGCTTGAACGAACTAGTCGTGGTCAAAGCTTACACGGAGAGATGTTTCGTGATGGGGATCTATCGAGACATCGCACGCAGCGTGTGGAAAGTGTTCTCGACTTTCTGATTATCGTATCACCCTCACTTCTCTTAGACAAGGGTCATATGATTACCTATTTGCACCATGTTATTTATTTATCTTGACCTGCTGCTGTGTAACAGCTCCGAGGGACAAGAATTTCTCTCTTCCTATGCGTGCGGGAGCCACCTCATGTTTTGTTCTGCGCCTCGACGCTTACTCGTTTCCGGAATCTTTCTTCTGCATCGTCCACATCAACAGTTTTCGCATGGAGATGACCTTTTTATTGCAGAACAGACAAATCGTGGCTCAAGCCTTCTGTCTGAAAGTCTGAGAAGCGCCATGCGGGAATTTTGGCGTCGAATATCTGGTCGATCTTTTGGAAAGTAGAGCCATTGCGGATTGTTAGCTTGTGGCTGTGTAAGAAGGAATTTTGAGCGTACCTATAGCTTTGGCATGCAGAACTACGCCCAGATTGAGCCAAAAAAAAAATCGAACAGATCCCAGATATAGGCGATCCCAGCGCCCAGCGATGCGAGGCTGTACAGCTTCGAGTAGACCATGGCAAGACTGACCACAACGTTCCAAGCCGTCTGTTATCACTAACTATGTGACGTGTTACCAACCAAGTCTGAATGAACACAATTACCTATGGTACTTACGCCCAACGTCATAGCCTTTACCACTAGGCGACAGCGTCTCAACATCAACAGCAGTGATATATGCGTCAGGGCCAAGTGTAATGTGCGGAACGCAGGTATACAGCTGCGTACTGGCAAAAACTCCGTTTACTTCGTACCAGCAAGATTTCCAAGAGCGGCAAGGGAGAAGACGAATGCTGCCTTTCCGAAGCCACCCCAGAACACAAGACTAAGTTAACCAAACGGATCGAAGAACACCATCGACATCAGAGCGTTGGCTAAAGATGTTAGGATATTGACAATTACGTAGACGCAAGCCTCGTCTCCGAAGCTTACTTCTTTGTAGAAACATTAGATAACATAAGGAAAAGGTCACATCTGTTAATAGTCAAGTCTGACTCCATAATTGAATAATTTTACAAAAATTTGAAAAGGAAACTCACCGAGTTCGCGCTATAATCCATTATGGTACTATCAATAAGAATTTGTTTGCGATTCTTCTAATTGAATATTCCATCTATCCATCCTTGTATTTAAGCCCAACAGCGCCTTGCTCCCACATTGAAGCGCCTTCCAATTCCGTAAGCCCACTTTCAACAGCTTCTTACTAACGAACGGTTCAGAGGGTCTTGATCGCGTCATAGAACGGTCGTTGAACACGAGTCAACACAGCAAGTTCGGAGTCAGCTAAAGAAGGTTCAAGATAATCACCGCCACCAGCGCTTGCAAGGCCGTCACAGTTCGCCAGCCAGGTTTTCTATTTCCTCCAGCAGCCTCACATACGGCACCCGAGCGACGGAGACATATACTTGCAATCCTACTCTTATCTTCCCCCTACAACAGACAATATTACACATCATCATTGAGGCCACGGCCTCTAGGACTTTTAGAAAAGATGCCCATATTGTTTATTAACTTAAGGACCCCATATTTGTAGCATTCTGGTCGACGGACAGGCACTCCGTGCGCCAGAATCTACATGATGGTTGCGTCCACAACGAAGGCTTCATATCCAAACATGGCCATATCTGGCGGCCATTTGGCGTCAGTCATAGGAGACTGGTATCGAAAAGAGAAGAGCGAACCAACTTCTTGAGCGAAACATGTTCGAGCAGTACCATTGGTAGTCATGTGGGATATGGGGCGGTGAGGTTGGAGCATCGATCATATGCTAATGAGCAGGCATGCGCGGAAGCGAGTGAGATCACGATGAAGGAGGGGGTTTCTGTGCTGGATAGAGGACATGGCAAGCGAAGGCAGAGGTTGGTGGGCGGGAGTGTGGTTTTGAATACCAAGGAGTTGGTGTGCCTAGGTTCAATAGAGAGTAGGTGGCAATGTCACATCTCCACGTTGTAGCAGGATTACCCAAAAGCAGACTATCCCAAAGGGGTGGTGTACGCTGTGTTACTTTAGGATGTTCATTACTGGGGCAAAAGCTTGCGTACTGCGCGGCTCATCCGGGGGTAACACAAGGTTCCCAAACTTTGACGAAGCACTGTAGCATATATATCGGGCATGTACGAGAAAAACCGTGACACAGTGAACATGTAGATAGCGAAGGTGCTTTGAAAAAATCACCGGGGAGCAATTTCCGGACCATCATTTTGCAATTTTCAAGGGCGTTCATTGAGTGTCGACGCACTGTCATCGTGCAGTAGACTGGTATCTATAGGAACAGAACAAAAAAGCATCGAAACACAGAACGAGCAAAGAACAAAACCAAGAAGCCCGAAATCCAAAGCACAAACCAACAGCGAGATCCAATCGTCCTCAATCCAGCCCAAGCCGAGCCAGAATGGGCTCATGAATGCCCAAAACGTTGCCAATGAACCGGCAGGCCTTCTTCATCTGCGCGGCATCCTTCTTCCCATCCTTATCACCCCGGTGATGCACAAGACAAGCCTCAAACTCGTTCATCGTCAAAACGTGGTTCAACAAGAACTGAAGAGCATTCTTGAAGGTGGAGAAGTCGGCTTGGTTAAGCTCAACGCTGGCGCTTTTGAGCTGGTTGAACTGCATGGCGGCAGTGTGCATTGTGTTCAAGAGCAAAGCGAAAGAGCGACGGGGAGGGAATGTGCCTTGCGGCGCGCGGCGCAGCTGGAGAAGCTGAAGTCGGAGAAGGACTCCGCATTTCTTGAGGTTGCGCGCGATCATGACGTATCGTGCAGCCATGGCCACGGGATCCCTCTGCGCTCTCTGCTCGTAGGCCTCGTTGTGCTTCTTGGCGGCCTTGATGACGCCGTCTGGGATTACCCACATCATCAAGTCTGCCTCAGTCAGACCCAATTTGGTCATGTCTAGGGCGAGGATCTCGGACAGAGGAGCCATCCAATCCTGGAGGTCAATTGGACTGAAACCAAAGACAGGCGCTGATGGCGCGGCGATGGGAGCGGGAGCGGGAGGCGGAATCGAAGCTGGAGCAGGGGTCGAATTTGGCGCCGAAGCGCGGGAAGCAGAAGCCGGCAGAGAGCGAGAGTGTGGCGGCGGCGTGGGCGTGGGCGTGGGCGTAGGTGTGGCCTTGACGGCCGGTGGAGCGACAGGGGCGACAGGACGAGACGCGATTGAAGGCGAAGAGATGAATATCGAGGGGGCAGGACGAGGCGGAGGCGCAGGAGCAGCAGGTGCTGGCGTCGCGAAGGCCGCGACGAAGAGAGGGTGCGGCTCGCGCAGGTGGAAATCCACGCCGGTCGAGGGCTTCCAGCGAAAGGTGAAGAGTGGATGTCGCTCGCGCGGAGGCAGGTTCTCAGCGCCGGAAGAGAGCATCCATGTTTCCCGGGAGGGCGCGACGTTGGCACCTGGGACGATACCGGTTGGTCTGGCCATCCCATCCGTAGATGCGGGCATGTGAGCACCACCAGGCTTGGCCGCGGAAGCAGCGCAGGTATCCTGGGGAGGTTCGACGGCCTGACTCACCAACCCTTCCGTAGAAGTCGGCGCGGGGGCTCGACCAGCGTCGGCTGCAGAGGCCGCGCTGTGACACTGGGGAGGTTCGACAGGACCCACCCGTAGAGACGTGTCTATTGCGAGATCTGCCGTAGCAGCGTCCACAGGCGTGGAAGGGCGGCATGCAGCAGGGCGTGCGCTCATCTCAGCAGTGACCGGCGATACGTGGAGGTCAGACTCACCGTGCTGGACACGGGTGTTGTCATCCTGCGAGGCAGGGAACTCCAGCAAAGCACTTCGTACTCTTTGAGGGGCAATCGGTACCATAGGTGTCCATTCCACCAGATTACCGGTTTGGTTGTACCTGGGTCGAAGGCCACGGTGTGCCATCTTGGCGATGATGTCCTCGATGGTGCTCGGGTACATCTTGGTCAAAGGGTGAGATTCGAAGCCCGAACGAGGAGGGGAGCGGTATCTCGTGATGACCTCGATGTCGAAGGCCGAGATTGACACCGGATACGGCGATGAGAGCGAGGAACGGCGGGCTGCAGTGGCAGTTGCACGACGTTCGCGACGCAGCAAAGGTTCTGGAAGAGGGTCCGGGAAGGCGGTGATGTTGGAGATGGCCGAATGAACGACCGAGAACAGGATCGCGAAGCCGAAGACAAAAGCCAGGGCGAAGAAGCCGAACTTGATGTGGTCGAATACCTCCAAGCCGAATTCTCCGGCCGCGGTCATTGCCATGACCAACACAGCGATGACGCTGGACATGGTGACGGAAGAGGTAATGGTGCTCACAAAAGCTGTCAAGAAGAGAAAGAAGAATCTGGAATGGTAATGGTAATGGTACGAAGCTGTCGCAGGTAGAGAAGGTATGCGAGGCTGAAGAAAAGAGTGCTCTAGAGACCGCGAGCTCGAGATCCTATGTGCGGCAAATCATACGCCAAGACCCGCTCGACTCGCTAAGAAAGCGTCACAATAGCAGGCAGCAATAGAAAAGGAAGTCCAGTGAAAGATAGAGTGAGAGTGAGAGTGAGAGTAAGAGTGAGAGTGAGAGTGAGAGTAAGAGTGAGAGTGAGAGTAAGAGTGAGAGTGAGAGTGAGTATAAGTATAAGTGTAAGTATAAGTGTAAGTGTAAGTATAAGTGTAAGTGTAAGTGTGAGTGTAAGTGTAAGTATAAGTATAAGTATAAGTATAAGTGTGAGTGTGAGTGTGAGTGTAAGTGTGAGTATAAGTGTAAGTGTAAGTGTAAGTGTAAGTGTAAGTATAAGTGTAAGTGTGAGTGTGAGTGTGAGTAGGTAGGAACTCGGGACGCTATGCACCAGGTGATCGCCAGTGCACGGCAGGTGCGAAATCTAACCAGACCGCAGACGATGCAGGGTAACGGTGGTAAAGAACACCAAGGGAAGCCAATGATGGGGGGAGAGGGCTATTTAGCGAAGAAAAGTGCAAAAAACAATAGGTACACAACAGGAAGAGGGCATTCAGGCTGCTCGGCACCAAGTAGGATCTATTTATCGGCCGTCGTGAAGACGCGATGCCTAGCCAAGAGTTGGGATATCATAAAGTGGGAAACATCTTCGTCTGCCCAGTAGGAGAGATGGCTAGCAATGCTAGCGAGCAAAGAAATATCAAATGCCTGGAGTAGTCAGCATAGCGAAAACGAATCAGTGACAAGGGAGAAGCAAAGACAATAAGGGAGTGCAATACTTACGCCTTCCTGAATGCTATAATCGACCCTACCATTAGTATTTAAGGCCCGCACCTTGCCCTCCTCCTTCCTGAGCTTCCTACTCCGTTCCTCCAATTCCTGCCACTCGAGGTCCTTCTCCGCACTCTCGTTGGTATCGTCCTCCCTGCTCTTCCTTCGTTTCTGGAACCCAGCATACAGTGTCTCAATTTCCGAGTCGATCAGGGTGGGAGGATGCTCGCCATCATCACCAGGAGCAATGGGCTCCTCGCCCAGTCTGCGCTTCCGCTCCTCCAACATGAGAACTCGGGCTGGATCGTCGATATTAGGTACGATATTCCCTGGAGTACCAGTATTTGGGCCGACAGACAATGGGCGCGATGTGCGTTGGCCATGGAGGTCGTTGCTCATCCTCGAAGCATCTGTGCCTGTGATGCCAAGACTGCGGTTAAGCAAGCCGCTAGCTATGCCTGTACTAACTGATGTCCAGAAATTTGTCACTCCTTGACCTAAGCTTTGACCAATATTAGTCAAACCTTGCGCAGCTGGCGCGCCAAACAGGCCCCGCTTTGTGTAGGGCAACGGCTGAGCCTTGAGGGAGGACATCGCAGGCGAAATGAGAGGTTCGAGTCGGTAGCTGATAGGATCTGTAGGGTGAAAGATATTGAACAGCTGCTTGCACAGAGGCGAAGAGATGATGAAGTCGTTGACCAGATTACGTTCAGACTCAGCTGAGAAAGGATCATCAAGCGGACTAGCTGGTGTTTCCGGAGTGGCGTAGGAAGCGGATGGCCGCGCAGCAATAGTACGTCCCTTGAGCATTTGGAACAATCCGATAGGTGAGCCGAGCGCATAGAAGTCCTCTACCTCGAAATCTAACTTAATTCCTTCTTCGGTAGCACGGCGTGCTTTGGATGACATAGAAGGCTTAGACCTGGGATCTTTCTGGTGGCAGAGAATGTCGAACATGATGGCGGAGCCAAGAGAGTGACCAACGAGACTAATCTTGCCCTTGAATGACGGGTTGCGCTCCTTGAACAGTCGGTAGATGCGGTTCAACTCCTTCACGACCACCCGAGAAATGTGACCCTTGTATGCGGGACTTTGATAAAGGAGAATGTCGAGTGCCAGATCAGTCAATAAATTGCGTACCGCCGGTACACCTTCGACGGTGATATCTTCCAAGTTCGGATATTCGTGATCGTCAAATTCAATATCGCCAAGGTCATGCTCCTTTCGGTTATGCTTCAGACTTTGCTGGGGAAAATCGAGTAGATGACGCCAACATATTGGCAAAACTTGAATGCGACTATTTTTGGTTTCCTTGTCAACATCAGAGTTCAACGCTTGCAGATCTGGCGAATTTGAATACACGGCTTTCATAGACTTGCGCAGCGAGTTGACGTCATGAACGAAGTTCACACTTTCCATACGCATGCCCAAGCGCTGGCCGATGCCATGCGTGACAAGGAGCAAGTGTTCGATTTCTCGACCCTGTTCCCCCTTGTTCTGATCTTTGTAATCCTCTCGCATCTCCTTTTCTTCTCGTTTTCGGACTTCTTCTTCCTGTCGCTCCGTATTATCGGACTGAGTGGATATGATGAGTGACGATATCTGCCGTTCAAGGTTCTTCCTTCGGGTTTCCGATGGGGATGACTCCCGCCCGCGTTCCTCGCCGTCGCTTTCCATATCCGAAGCGGTTTCAGATCCGGATCCAGTACGCTGCCTGTCGTTATCAGATCCATACGCGAGGGACGGAGTGACCGGGCGCTCCGTCTCTTTCTTAGCCGTCCCCTCCTTGAACGGCTTCGCTTCTTTCTTCTTCGCCGGGTCATCATAACCGCGGACGTATCTTTGACCCGCGAAGTGTGCGGCGCCTGCGAACCTCTGGTACAAGGTGCTTCCCATGCGTGACCACATGTCATCCGTGAGTATGTATGCAGTCACATCATCTTGGTAGGTAACTACAGAGTTCATGCGGGAGCCAAACAGCCGGTAAGATCTAGGACCATCATCTGCCGGTGCTGCACCGTTGGCTGGGATGTTAGACTGGGAAGGCTCTGTTCCGGATTGGGCTCTCAGGTTGTCAAAGGAAGATCTCGGCGTCACAGGATTTGATGTAGAGTCACGGTGGTTCGGTCTTCCAAGCTCCTTCCGGTAATCGTCATCGACCTTCATAGTCAACGAGGTGGGGCGTGTGCGTGGCTGCGAGTCGGATCGCTTTTCTGCTGGCTTAGAGAACCTCCAAGGCCTGACCTTGATATAGCCCTCCTCGAGCTGCGTCGCCAGGTGCTCATCGCAAGGCTCGCCATCAGGTGTGAACCATGTGCCTCGCTTCACATCGTAGACGGGCCCGAGCCAGTACGCGGGAGATAGCTCGCGCGTTTCGATCTCAACATCGAAGAGATAGTCCTCGTTGACGGGCACTTTCGTACTCGTCTCTGGCTCCTTGCTCAGACCAGCGTGCTCCTCTCCAGGCGGGCTGAGTATGCCTCGGCGGGTCTCGACGGCCTCAGCCTCGGCGGCAGCCTTCTGAAAAGCATTTTCAATCGATCGCGAGTCGTCGGAGGAGAATGGGATCCATTTCTTGGGCCGTGGCACGGGCTTCTCAGGCACGATGGCGTTTGAGGCGAAAGGCTTGCGCTTTGGGACCTGGCGAAGTATAAGCAATAGGCTGGTTTCAATCATATGCATAGCGGCTTACATCGACAGCATGGAACCATCTGACGACAAGCGGCGGACAGTCCTGTGGGTATCTCTTGAGGCTGAGCCGGTGCCGCTTATTCACCATATGGTCCCCACCGCGTTGCGTGCCCGCACCATCAGCAGCAGCCTTTTCCTTCTCTTTGTCCTTGTCCTTATCTTCTTCCGCCTTCCTGGGTGTCTTTGGCGTACTTGGCGGCTTGGGGGTGCCACTGCGCGAACCCCACGGCGAGAGGGCATTGATCCCGACCGACAGGAACCCAGGCTTCTCTGGGGTTGACATCCTGTCAAATGGGGGGCTGTTGCCGCCTCCAAGTACTCGACCGAGCCAGCTCTTATGTCGGTGCTGTGGTGTGGCTAGGTGATGTCTCGGGGTGAGAAGCGTTCGCTCGGTGCGTATGCGGGCGGGCTGGCTGAGCCCGAAGAGGCGTCGATAGGCCAACGTGGGGAATGCAGAACGTAGATGAGGTAAAGAGCGACTAGGTGAGGCCAGCAGCACAGCAGAAGCAGCGCGCAGTCGAATGTTTGCAACGTGGTCAACGCCAATGTATTTGCAGACAGCATGCCCGTGCATGTGGACGCGATACCACTTGACGTTGCCTGTCGTCACTCGAGCACTGGGCCGAACAAGGTTTAGCACCCACATCAACCAGTGGGGCGGAACTTTACACATCCACCAGCCACTTTGCTCTGCCGACTGCACCCAAGCACTGACTTCACATGGTACGTGTGTATAGCTTCTAATGCCCATGAACTCTACTGAACACACATGCAGGCTCTCAATCCGATAGCATGCGAGCACTGCCGCGCCAAAAAATGCAAATGTGACCGGAACCTGTTCGCAGCATCCTACCGCTCGACACCTTTTGAGGCTGACATTGCGTAGCCCACATTGCTCTCAATGTCAAGCTCTATCTCTGGCTTGCCGCTACACCGAAGGTGGGAAAAGAGGCATTCCTGCAGCTTACATCAACAGCCTGGAGGATAGACTTGCCGAAACCGAGGCAGCGCTGTTTTCAGCGTTGACAACCATCGGCTTGATAGACAACAATGGTGCAGGGTTGGCTCAACTTCTTGTGAACGTCTCAGCTCCATCATTGCGCGGGCGCTCCAAAGTAGAGAAGCAGGACGAATGGAAGCGTCTGCCTTTACGGTCAGGGCAGCAGCTCCTCATCTGGTTAGAGGAGAAGTCACAGACGGACTACCACGCACAGCACCCCGTGCCTTCCCCCCCAAACGAGCACCCTCAGAGCACGCAAAGCGACGAATTCGCAAGCAATGAACCTACCGAGGCTGTCGAGACTTCTGCAGAGCCTTCATCCATAGACAACGCCGCAACCGCCCGCACACCGACCAACATCCACCTAACTACTCAGTTCCAAGACTCGGCTCAATGGAGGAATTACTTCTGACACATCTACCCGTCGATAATTGCACATGGAAACTAAGCATGTGAAAGTGACACTAGTCATGTATGGTCACGTTATTTCGCTTGGGTTTGAAACCCGAGTCACTCTGGATTTGCGGAGATTTGATCCTCCATCCGAGCCACCACCATTCGACTACGCAAAACAGCACAAACCATCGCACGTAACATGGAACGATACGACAGGGAGTCGGAATCCATCACAGAGGGATACGAGCCGCCTTGCAAGCGGAGAAGGTATACTACGACAACACCGTATCCGCCTCGCGAAGTTGGGTTAATGCGCAATATTCCTGGCGACACCATCTCGAGCTTTGTCGGCAGCTCTAGTGGTGTCTACTTCATCCGTTCTGTTTATAGCGCGTTTCGCTCGCATTCCAATTCCAACCCTGCAGCTCCGATCCCATCCCCGGAGGTGCCCGGAGAGGATGACCACCTTCCTTCAGCATCCCCAAATGTATCGAAACGGATATGGCGAGGCAATGAAGTGAGATCTCAAGGATCCTCGACGGTCAACTTCCGGAGCCTAGTCAACTGGAGCCAAAGCTACTTTTCGAATTGGCATCCAGCCTATCCGTTTCTTCATGCCCCAACCGTCCTGGCCTTCTTCGAGAGGCTTTCAGAGAAGCGAGTTGCAATAGAACCCGCCACTTCGGATTTCGAGATTGTAGTTTTAAGAGCCATAATGTCCATCTCTCTTGCGGATCGACGCCAAATCCAATCCGAGAACGAAGATCCCTACCCAGCGGAGCTTGTTTTCCACTCTTACGACGAGGCAATCAGTAGCGTCCAGCACTCATTTTCACGACCAGTTTCCGTGCAATCGCTCCAAGCCGCTCTTAGCGTCCAGCTTTTCCTTGTTTCGATGCTTCGATTCAATGCCGCATCTCGTCTGGGAGGACTCATCATCCGCATGGCTCTTCAAATGGGTCTTCATCGTTGCCCACAACGATACCCTTGCTTTTCGCCTGCTCAAAGAGAACTTCGTCATCGCGTATTCTTCTCACTGTATTGTATCGATCGTTTCATTTGCCAGTCTACTGGTCTTCCGCTCAGCCTTCGCGATGATGACATTGACGGTAAGCAATCCCCTTCCGAGCGAAGACAGTGTATTTGCTAACCATCTTCGATGAACAGTCTGTTATCCTAGCCTCGAGCGTCACGCGGATGGACAATCTTCCTCAGGTGATATCTGCCAATTTGTATGCATGTCTGCATCTAATGACCATTAGACAGTCGGTTGCGGTTGTTGGAATTCTTGTCCCGTCATTGCCATATCCGAGGGGAGATCATGGAATTTAAACATAAGTGCATTCAGCATGCCCAACGGGAGACAGATCAAGCTACAGTCATCACCTCAAAGCTCACAAAACTGGCAAACGACGTTGACGAGTTTATTGACTTTGACGAGAACGACCCACCAACATTATCAGCATTTCACGACACGCTCTTGAAGTTACTGTATCACGAGTCAGTCATATCTTTAAATCGTCCTATCATTGCGTCCAACAGTAGTGGCTCTACTTACGAGGCTGCTTTGCAACAATGCATTGGGTCAGCGCGATCGATCGTTACATCACTACACAGCGCCATTACATCTGCTTCTCAGGAAGGGCAAGCCTCTTTCGCCTTGCTTTGGCCTTCGTTTACGTGGTAAGCAAACAGTGTGCATACCTTGACGGGTTGGTACTAAGTATACTTAAATTCCAGGGCTGTATGGATGAGCACCTTCATATTGTTCCATGCAGCCTACACAAAACACGTATCTACAGCTATGGTTTCAAGGTCAATATGTCTGCGTCAGGCACCGCTCAAATTGCTCACGCGTTGTACAGGTTGGCAGATAAAAGTCTCAAAATACTTGATCACCTAGCGCGCAGAGGAAGCGTTTGGCCCGAGGCCTGTGGTGCAGCCATAAAGGACCTACGAATCCAGCTGACGCGTAATACAAGCAACAAACCAAGAGGCATCAGTGCGATTAGACTCGAAAGGTCAAATCCCTCTCCATATGGTAATGTCACGTCGGCCGCGTCGCCCCATGTGATCGCGCGTTCTATAAGCCAGGCCATGATACCAACGCCTGGAGAGCTTGCACGAGACCGTGATATGGCGGTTGGAACAGGCCCCTCTCCCTCAAATCTACCAGACGTGACAACTTCTGCAACTAGACGTACGCCGATGAAATCGAATAGTTTCGACCATATACCGGCATCAGTGGACGTCAATCTCACCGTCCAAGCAAGCGATAACGATCCTAGCATGCTACCTCTGGGGGACTTCTTAGACAACGGCCTAGCACTGGAACCATCCTTCCAGTATTCGGGTAATGATGACCAGGACCCTTTTGCTGGATTCGATATCCCATTTTGGCTTGGTCAAGATCAATATGCTGGGATGATTAACGAATGGTCCTGAACGAACATTCGCTGGGATGCACATCGATTGCATCAAAGAGTTTTATCAATCGCAAGATGTCCACCGTAAGGTTGTCAATCTCTACTAGTTCGTTCACAGTCGTAGGACTACACCCATCATTATACACCACGAAGCTCATCGAACGGAACCCGCAACATCTTCAGTATGTGTAGTAAACGTTCTCCTACGGTCTCTCCTGTCTCACCCTCCTATTTGACATCTGGAGCACAACCTTCAATACCCAAACGTACGCGATCGTCACGAAGGCAAATGCAGCGTTGCTCGCTATTGCCGTCAAATATTTCGACCCGTCACTATTCAATGCTTTACGTTAGCATGCTGTACATATATACGGATGACGCAATTTACGATAGAGGTCTGCGGTATAGACGTAACTCGCGTTTCCAAGCATATGGATGATCGACAATAAGGCAGCTTTCTTCTCCGCCGTCTGTTTCAGCGTCACGGACACCCAACCCAAGATATCGGGTTGACCGCGTACCCGCCAGAAGCGAACAAGAAGCAAGAGATGTAACTTGCAGTCACATTCTTTATGGTGCATGAAATGATAAAGCCGAGCAACGCAGCATCCGTGCACAAGGTAATGTGCCCAGTCCTCTCATTGAACTTACCCGATGTCGCACAGATGACTTTTCCGAAGAGTCCGGACATCAGGTATGGTGGGCAAGCCATGACGAGCGTGATCGTACGATCGAAGCCGAGACTATTTACAACAATGGTGAAGAAAGCGTTGAAGCTGCAGGCTGAGAGGTGCATGTCCTGCATGACGTAAAATATAGACAAGGATTGCGGATAGCTTGTGCGAACCCAGCACGCGCCCCTTCCGAGGCTTTCAAGCTGACTGTGTCGCTGACTATGCGGTCGTGCACGAGCTGGCCCTCTTCGGAGTGAGCCAGCGGGTTGTGAGAGGGAAGCTGGGAAGCATCCACATGCCGACTATAGCTACAGCGAACGTTACGATACCTATGAAGGTCGTTGCCTTCCTTGTCACGCGGTGAGACATGTATGGGGAGGACGAACCTTCGATGCTGAACAGCCACTTCCATCCTGCCATGCTAATCAGGAAATTTTACTGGGCGTTCATGCGGTGTAATATGGTGTTCACCATTTGACGGGGAGGGGGTGTGGCGTACTAGCATACATTGATCATGTTTCGCTGATAGACAGCTCTATATTACACTGCAATGCAGGTGTGTGTGTGTGTGGAAAAGTGCGAGCACTCGCTTGGAGCGCCAAAAGTCTTATGACCATCTCTTGAGAGGGGAGCAACGAACAGAGTATTTTTATGTCGCTGGTATTTCAACAAGTCACAGACAACTTATCGCTCTTGAACTCTCAAGGAATCTAACTGCCATCTCTAAATGAGCTCGACCTTCTCAACTCCCCTTTCCCTATCCATCACAACCCGGACCTGCCTTCCACTCGTCGATCCAAAAAGACCCTCCCGCAGCCCCTCAAGATATAGCTCGTACGCTGGCATATATCCCCTCACAAAAGCTCTCACACTATCATCCGACATGCCCGCTCCTTTTGCCTTCCACATTGCATGCTCTTGCTGCAGCCTCCACCGATAGACATTCCTCAGATCCTCAGTATCCAGATGTATGAAGAAGTCGAAATGCTGAGGACCCATGAACGTCTCGTTGTACTCAGCTAAAGACCGATTCACTTCCTGGATGTGCGTAAAGTCGTGGTCAGGCAGCGTAACGATGCATTCCGGGTTGTCGTCTGCCGGGGCGGCTTTGGCGGTTTGGTATTTTGACTGTAGGGCGGCGTCTGGCAGAGAGCGAAATCCGACGCACCAGCCTTCGAAGACTACGACGTCTGGTTTGGAAGTGCAGCAGGGCCATGTCTCGTGCGGTGCGCGGTCGCCTTCGCCGTTGAATCTGCTCTTGTCGAAGACGGGTATGTCTACGGCGTTCGCATTGCTGTCGTCCCAGGACCGCAGTGCTTGTAGCGTATCGTGGGCAAGGTGCTGGTCGTGTGTTCCTGGCTGGCCGCGTGTTCGGTATAATTTGTTACCGGGATCTTGCTCTCTCCGCGCTACGAGGTTGTCGTGTGTATGGTAGAAGTCATCCAAGGAGACGGTGATGGCGTTAAGGCTGTACTTGGACGAGAGTAGCTGCACGATCTTGCCAGCCCATGTTGATTTTCCGCTTCCTTGGAGTCCAGTGATACCGAGAACGATGGGGTGGGGTGATAGTTGCTTGTGCGCCCGAAATTTGGGGACCAGCAGTTCCAGGATTCGCTGGACGTTTGAATCCAAGGAGGACATTGTGGAATGTCGAGTCGACGAGGGATCGAGACTTGGACAGCACACTTGCCTGTTTGGTGGAGATGATCAACGTATTGGCAAGTATGGTAACTGGTAACGTGACCGCGGGCCTGAGATGCCGCGGTCTGCGACTACGCACCGGGCCGACGATTGCAGGCGTGGCGTCGTACATTCAAAGTCCGCTGCGGCTAGCGCATTGGGGTCCGGTAGTTGTTTCTGCGGAGAACCCCACCACCAGTCCCCCGCTCTCCATCACCGCGCCCAGAAATCCCATGGGTAGCTGCGCTTTCTTGCTGCGCGTGTGCTGGGCGCAATATCCAAACATCAACGTAACATGTATCTTCTTCCTGTCATCATTCCTCTCCCTCTCTCCTCCAGCTGCCTCGATCCTCACATTCACAAGTCAATATGTCACCAATTGCTGTCCAGCGCAAGTACTCCGTCGCAACCATGGGCGCCGATGGTATTGGCCCCGAAGTCGTCGATGCGAGTGTGCAAGTGATGGAGAAGTTGGTCGAGTTGGACGGCTCATTCCAGCTCGCCTTTGAGAATTTTGACTGGAGCAGCGACCTCTACAAGAAGACCGGAAAATACATCCCAGATGGTGGACTCGATGCGCTCAAGAAACACGATGCGATATTGTTCGGTGCTGTAGGCGCGCCTGGTGGGTTCAGCGTGACACCAAATGTCACGCCTACTAACGATCAATCAGACGTACCTGACCACATCTCTCTTTGGGGTCTCCGGTTAGCTATCTGCCAACCATTTCAGCAGTACGCCAACGTACGTCCCACCAAGATCTTCCGAGGAACGTCATCGCCACTGAGAAAAGCCGAGCACGGCGATCTGGACTGGGTCATCATCCGTGAAAATAGCGAGGGAGAGTATGCAGGCCAAGGCGGGCGATCACACCGCGGTCAGCCATGGGAGACGGCAACCGAAGTAGCCATCTTCTCACGGCACGGTGTCGAGCGCATTATGCGATTTGCATTCCAGTCTGCCCAAAAGCGACCCAGGAAGCTACTCACAGTTGTAACCAAGAGCAATGCTCAAAGAAATGGCATGGTACTCTGGGATGAAGTGGCTTCTGAGGTTGCGAAGGACTTCCCCGACGTTGAGTGGGATAAGATGCTTGTGGATGCCATGACTTGCCGTATGGTTCTTGACCCGAAGTCGTTAGATACCATCGTCGCGACCAACCTTGTGAGGAGCTCTTCGGCACTAATACCGTTACCTTCGTGTGCTGACACCAGCCAGCACGCCGATATCCTTTCTGATCTCGCTGCCGCTCTCGCTGGTTCGATTGGCATTGCACCGACCAGCAATCTTGATCCTACACGACAGAATCCCAGGTAACATCCGGGTTCGCTCGTGACTCGTGTGCCGTGCTAATCGCCGTTGACAGTATGTTCGAGCCAATTCACGGCTCCGCGTTTGACATCACCGGCAAAGGCGTTGCGAATCCTGTCGCGACCTTCTGGACCGCTTCCGAGATGTTGACCTGGCTAGGGGAGGAAGAAGCCGCCAAGAAGATGATGGATGCCGTCGAGGCGGTGACTGAACGGGGCATTGCGACACGCGATCTTGGAGGATCGGCAGGGACGAAGGAAGTGACTGATGCAGTGTGTCAAGAACTTGACAAGATGTACGGAATCGTACCGACTAAGAAAGTTTAGAAATTCGGAGCTCATTGATAGACGGGCATATGAGTGTATGTATAGATATCTCTTCCGTACTGTTAGACTTGAGTGCTGGAGCCAGATCAGGTACCCAGGAGCTAGAGGCAATGCACCTACCTTCCTTAGGTCCAGACCGAGCCCTGCTTAACGTGGCCTAGATCTACCTCACGGATACGCGCAGCACATGAAAGACATGCATCAAATGTCCAGCGTGACCAGAGTTACGGGCGATATAGGTGATCTTTGGGATTCGCCCGCATTGGTTGTTGCATCCCACAGATGGTCAGTACTTGATTGGAAGGACCGATGGAAGTACCGCATATGGTTTTGGAGACTAACCTTGTAATGAGTGTAGAGGAGATCCCCGCCATCGGTGTTTGGTGATCAATTTGACGATTCCGGTAACGAGGACATTGGAGAGCTTGCCACTGGTTGTGGAGACTACAGTGTACATATTCGGCAGTGTCTACCTATTTTCTCGACTTACCCTTCTTTCTTCGACTGCATTGACTCGAACCCTAGCAGAGTAGGCTCCTCGCACGTACCCTCCTCTGCGTTCCAAGCTTATGGGTTGCGGTCTATTTTCCGGAATATCCGGTGATATCCGGCGGGCTCATGACTAGAGCTTTACCAAGATTAAGCCTTCAAAGTGCTGCGATGATGCGACACATTAGCAGCAGTCACTCACGAAAGATCGCGCATACACGAAGAAGCGCTTTGATACATATGTAGGAACAGCTCTTGTACGGGATGGTCATACCTGGTGATAGGTAATTGGTGATATTTATGGCTCGTCGAGTATGCTGAGTGTAGTCAGGATGTGGCTTCGCAAGTCTGGAGGCGCGTTCTTTTAGTCAACCTGATAACTGCAACGTATTTGAACAAGGTTCGAACATGTGTATGTGTTCAGCTACAATAGCAATCCAGGCGTCTACTCTTAGTTCCTTCGCTTAAGCCTGCAGATAACATCTGTCTGCACGATGAAACTGGCGTTGTGTATCTTCCAAGGCCGATTGTGGGCCATTTCCACGCTAAAGTTGCGCAACATCGCAGGCACAAGCTTGTGAATCTCAGCAAGCGCAAGCTATAAGTCATCTACTTAGCGAGTTGTAGGAGGACCATTATTTAGGAGCCAACTTACGTTTTTGCCAGCACATGGCCGGGTTCCCACCCCAAATCCGAGATATGCCCTGTCCATGGCTTTGCATCGTTCTTCGCTCTCTAGCCATCGCTCTGGCTTAAAAACATCGGCATCTTGACCGAAGACTTCCTTGTCCATGTGTACGATATGCGGATTCATTCCAACTCGGTAGCCAGGCGGGATGAACTGCCCTGACAGCTTAATGCCTTCGGGTGGTGAGTATCTCTGTATTTGGACGGCAAAACTGGGGAATATTCTGGAGGCTTCCTTGATGACGGCGCAGACATAAGGGCAAGACGCGACAACCTCTTGGTGTTGAGGAGGCCAGCTGAGCTTCCCGGAAGCGAAAGCTTCGTCAACCTCGGCAGTGGCCTTGGCCATGGTCTCAGGGTTCTTCATCATGTAGTAGAAAATAGAACGAAGTAGGATGGACGTGCTATCTGCACCAGCCATACTAAACGAAGAGACTCAGTGAGGTGGACTGGACAAAGGCGTCGCTCTTCGAAACTTACATTCCGACATGCATCTCTGCCATGACGTTGTGCTCTGTGAAGTTGACTTTCTCTCCTTTTTCGTGCACAATCGTGAGTAGCTGAGAAAGGATATCATGGCGCTTGGAAGTGGCTTCTTCAGCAGCCTTCATCTGTTCCTTTGTGTTCTGAATGGCAATGGCCCTGATGCCGTCTACTGCAATTACAGCTTTCAGAAGTTTTGGAACAGCGACAGCAGACGCCATTACGGGATAGCGTAAGTAGGTTGGGGTCATAGTGATAACTGAGAGAAAAGGCACTGAATATGAGATTGCAACGTCAGTAGTTGACTCCAGCATGGACGATTTGGGCGCAAAATCGTTGTAATCTGAAAGATACTTACTGGCCAAATGAACAGACTCAATGTATTTACCATGATCATGACGATTTTCCATGAAGCCGAATTGTTTCCCAAAGAACACAGTGCCGATGATATCGAATGCGTACCTTGGAACATGTCAGGCTCGTCTTGCATTGGGGACTCAATTACACATACATTTCCAGCCACAGTCCAAAGTCGAAGCTCTCTTCTTTATCGGCGAATTCTCCCATACGGTTGATGAACAGACGCACACAATCATCCATATGGTCTTCATTCCGCAGAACGCTACCCATTGTGAAGGCGCCGGCAATAATCTTCTTGTAGGCTGCATGGTCTTTGTTGAGCAACGTGGTGAACATGTCCGGGCGCTCGTGGAACTGAGGCACTGCACGCCATGGGAGGTACCAAACCGTCTTCTCCAACGGCTTTTGCATGCGATAGATGATCGGTATCTCGGTGGGATTGGCCGAACAGACCTCATCGGGAGCAATGCGAACAAGAGGACCATATTGATCATGCATTTTGCGAAGTTCGATCTCGAGATCTCCTACATGCATCCTCCACATGAGCCATGTCCGCGAAACAGAGGGCCACAGTGGCGCAGGAACCGTTGCGAGGGGATGCAAGGTACGTGTGTATATGATCCAACCGGTATAATAAACGACGAAAGCCAGAGGCAAGAAGACAACGGTCCAAACGCTCAGATTCGGACCGAATGGGAGAAGTGTTAGAAGCGCCATTGAAAATAGAAGCTGTGCGAGTTTGGCAATGCAGCTCGTGCAGCAATTTGGCCCGTTGAGCTGGATTAACAGATGGAACTCGATTCGTTCGAGACTCGCACCACAAGCGGGGGTAGATGGAGTGATAATCCACCTTGCCCCCACATGGCGACCGTTGCTACCGATCCCAGAAGGAGTGTAGTTTAGGGATTGACACGCTTAGCTTGTGCAAAAGTAAGTACGAGCCGGGTCTGTACAAGGGAGCAAAAAGGTCCAACGTTTCAAGCATGTGGGACGCGAACACGCGATGCTGGGGTGTCAAGGCTCTTTCGGCTTAGACCACCCACAAAAATCCTGTCAATGTCGTACGATGAAGTATTCGAGACTGCACGCTCCGCTCGGACATGTAGAAAAGGGAGAATGCTGCATCTGAAGCGCCTCCCCGCAGCAGGCATACGTACACTAGCGTCCCCAGCTAACGGCTCGGCCCTCTAGACGATACCTAATGGACTCGTGCAACAGAATACCGTTGTTCCCTGCGAAGGATTCATAAAACCTTTCCCCCGGCAAACCCTATCACGGCACACTGCCGATGCGAAACCCATGTTGCCGCTAGCCATGCCTTGCGGTGATTCCGACGGTTGTTTTTCCCTCTTGCTTCATCGTTGACTCCTCTGCTTTCCGCAGACTCTGGCTTGCCAAAAGTTCACCGTGGTATCCTTCGTTGATACTCACGATGCGGTGGACGAGCTTTTTGGGCGTCGTGCTTGCTCTCTTCAGCTTCGCGATATGTCCGGTGTTGGCCCAGCTTCCTGACTGCGCTGTAAGGACTCCTCGCCACGAGTGTTGGACGACGGAACACTGACATCTTCTAGCAAACATGTTTTGTGTCGGCTGTCGGGAGCCAGACAGAATGCGCACCCGATGATATGCCCTGCATTTGCGCATCAGCTTCGATAAATGCAGCGATACAAGGCTGTGTAGGCACGGCATGGCAAGTCTCTCAGGTACAAAGTGGATGTGTCTTCCAGCAAAGGCGGAGAGAAACCCTCTTGATTGTGTATCTAAGACACAAGGAAAGAGTCTTCTGTTCGCTTAGCTGAGACACGAGCGAAGGTACCATCCCCACTTCTTGGAGACATACACTGACTTTGTACCTTCGGGTCGTGCAGTACTATCAGGCAAGCTCTAAGTACGCCTCACCACGATACTGCAAGCCTCACAAACTTACCTAAACAGTCGCTGTTAACACAACACAAACCATGTGTGGGGCGCCGATTCGTGACAAAAGCGACAAACTGTTATGGGTCTCTGTTGTGTCCGGCATCCTTGCGTTTCTGGCGATAGTCATGCGGTCGACTGTTGCATTCCTATCTGAGAGTTGGAGATGGGACGACGCATGCGCCATTACGGCCTGGACCTTCTCCATACCTTTGACAGTCTTACAATTCATTACGCCTGGTCTTGGACTTGGAAAGGATACATGGACAGTCGAAACGAATAACATAATCAAAGTCCTGCAAGTCAGTCACGAACCAGCATCTGTAGATAAAACATGAGCTGACCTTTCCAGATGATCTATGCGTCGCAAGCTGGTTACTTCATCACGATCGGTTTCACCAAGTTGACTTTTCTCTTCTTCTTCCTGTACATCTTTCCGACCAAAGGTGTCCGCACCACAGTTTTCATACTCATGGGCATAACCGTATGCCATTCGTTGGGATTCGAACTGGCGTTGATCTTCTCTTGTCGCCCGATAAAGGCCGTCTGGACTGGTTGGATGAGAGAGGAGCCTTTTGAATACTGCATGAATCAGAATGCGTTCATATATGCCGCAGCCGGTACGAACATTGCCATTGATCTGGGCGTTTTAGCGGTGCCAATACCGCAGCTGGTGAAGCTAAAGCTGAGCCTAAGACGGAAATTCTTCCTGCTTTGTATCTTTAGTGTAGGGATCTTGTGAGTATGTTCTCTGCTAGCTTGCGGATTGGCTAACTGACATGTTCATAGGACGATGATAGTCTCATGCATACGTATACAGACGATCGCTACATATGGTAATTCGGCAAACCCTATGTACGACAGTCTGGAAGCAGCTCTCTATTCGGTGCTAGAGCAGAATGTTGGAATAGTCTGCATTTGCATGCCTCTGTTTCGACGGTTTTTCGGCCATCTGTTCCCCAGGTGCTTTGGATCTTCTCAAGATGATTCGGACTTCAAGGTATGATACTCGAACACCAGTTTGAGGTCTGGGACGATCGACTAACTAGGCCTTTACACCTGACAGTATGACGATGAGACGCCCAATGCTAGACTATCCAGTGGAAAGCGAAGCACACCGAAGAAGAAGTCGACCTTGGATGGCAGTCTGTTCGAGACTCAGGGGACTCAGATTACGAAGACCGTGGACACAAGGATAACGTCGGCCCAATTGGATGACGAGGTGCGCCTTGTGGAGCTGCAGACGAACGGCAAGCATTTGGCACCGAGCGCATGATCTGTTGAGAGCCCATCCAATGCAGCAGTTCGGCTTTTCGCGGATGTGTGCTGCACACTTGGCTTCTTCTGACCTAGGAAAGCCTGTCAGTTTCAGCTGCCGTAATGGCTCGCTTGGGACAGCCACTCGGCTAGCAGAAGAAGACCTCTGGATGTATGCCAGCTGTAGAGGGATATACAGATGATCTAGGCATCACCTCGGTGGTTGAAGGTCGTTGAACATGCTCGTTTCAAGACTCTCGGAGTTGGAGTGGCGTTAACTCCATTGGTGTTTTGGGATGTGGGTTCTCGAATGTTGTCCAAGACAGATTCACGATACACGATACACCGGATCGGAACTTGCATTTATCCGTATATCAGTTGCCATACTCTTTGCCTTATTGCCGAGCTACAGGAAGTTGGAGAGCCCGACGAGCCGGCTTTGGACTCTACGTCACGTTGCGAAGGAAGAGAACAGCTCCTGGAAAGCACTCCGTGGAGATGGAAGGTCGTGCCGTGGCATGACTCGCTCGATCGTGGAAAGCATCCGTTGCGGGGTTGCGGGGTGAGGGTCTTGGACGTGCAGCCCGTGGCTGATTGTCGGGAACCATCTTCCTCATGGCTAGCGGTTGAGCTTTCCCGCCAGGTTCGCAATGCTGGGAGAAGCGTATACCACGCCGCAAGCCGGCATTAGACGCGCCTGTCGCATTTTCCTCATCTTGGGGACTAGCAACTACTTCGATCAATAGTTATGATGAGTTCCAAGACAATGTTTGCGCAGCAGTACGCGGATTCCACGGCGAGCAACACCATATTACTGATGGTAGTGCTAGATACGATGCGCGCGACAACAAACTCCATCTGAATCAGGTTCCAATACCAGAACCTCGCGAACACGAACTGCTGATCAAGATTAAAAATGCCTCCCTCTGCCATTCCGACGTCATGCTATTCGAGCCGAACGACCAAGGTCTCATCCTGGGGAAGAACCCCGTCACTATCGGGCACGAAGCCACCGGAACTGTTGTTGGTCGCGGATCAGGAGTGGCTGCGAACACGTTCCAAGAAGGCGACAATGTCGGGTTCCTTTGCGCCGTAGAATGCTGCTTTGATTGTACAAATTGCAGGACGGTGCACAACTCGTGGTGCATCACAGGCAACACGAAGATGCAAGGTTTTACGCTAGATGGGTACTTCCAAGAGTATGCTGTTGTTGATGCCCGGGCTGCCATGGTCTTGCCCAAAGGACGTACGTGGACGAGAGGAGAGGAACAGGAGTCACGGGCCGAGTTAACATACATACAGTCGATGTCAATACGGCCGCACCACTGTTTTGTGCAGGTGTCACCGCCTTTCATGGAATCCAAGATTGCGAACTCAAGCCTGGACAGTGGGTTGCTGTGATTGGGTGCGGTGGCCTAGGCCACTTAGGTATCCAGTATGCAAAGTAAGAGGCATGGGTCACCCATTATCTCGTTTGTTGACGACCGATAGAGCTATGGGCCTCAAAGTCATCGGACTAGACATTGCCGACCAAGCTCTTGAGGAGGCAAAGACTTGTGGCGCCGACCGAGTCTTCAACTCGATCAAAGATAAGGACTGGAAGGAGAGGGTGCTTGAGATCACAGGCGGAGGTGTCGATGCTGCAGTAAACTTCACCGCATCAAAACAATCGTACGACGATTGTCCCCCAATTATCAAGCCCGGTCAGGGTCTGCTTATGGTCGTTGGCATTCCCCGAGAACCGCTACACTTGAATGCTTTGGATATCGCTCTTGGTCGATATCGGGTGAAGGGTTCCAACAACGGAAGTGAGTGTACATGAAGCGGGACCTTTTCGACACATCTGACGGTGATTAGCCTGTTACAACATGCGACCGGCTATCGAGTTCAGCGCGAAGCACAGTACGCAATGTCGGGGTACAAAGTGGTTGTTCAGGCCAGCCGAGACTCTAGGCCTTGCACCTCCACGGCTGAGATGTTCCAACATTGGTAGCTGGCTAGAACACCTACTTTACCCACTTCTCCGATTCCGAACATTACACTGACTTTGTACCCCCCTCTTTAGACATCACGCCGCACCAGTCGCTTTACCGACTAGACGAGCTGCCGAAGATGATTGAACTGATGAATTCGCACAAAGCACAGGGTCGCATGGGCGTAATCTTCGACGGAGGGAAGAGCAATCTGTAGAGTGAGATATTTGGCCCCAGGATGTACTTTAATGGGCATGGATGCACTTTTGGGAATGTTACGAGATGAACGTGTAGCTACCTTTACATGTACATGTGCAGGCATGAGTGACGTCGGCCCTTCCCTGTGCGGTTGCTCGGGAAACCGCGGCCCACGCCGCTTTCGGCTCAAGCGTCCGCGGCTGCATCAACACGGCGCGCCCCACCTTGCTGCATCCTCGACACGACCTTGACAATAACGACGCGCGCAGCTAAGCCTGCTGGACTTTGTTTGTAGTAAAGAACATTTTTTTCCTTCCTCTTGATACCCAGACGGCGCCATGGGCTCCGATGATTTGATCGATTTCGAGGTGATCGAGAACCAGAAGGAGAACATTCAGTCTCTTCCTAGCGGCCGCTCCGCGAAGGCACTCGCAAAGCTCTACACACCTCCACTCTCTTCTGCTGCAGGCAAAGCACCATCTCCATCACAGATACAAGATGCGCATGGCGAACAGCGCCAGGAATTTGAGAAGGAGCTCCAGGCAATAGACGAGTCCGACGACCCACTTGATGTTTATGATCGCTACGTCAAATGGACGCTCGACGCATATCCTTCCGCACAAAATACACCACAGTCACAGCTCTGCCCACTGCTTGAGCGTGCGACGAAAGCCTTCCAGTCCTCCTCGCACTACAAGAACGATCCGCGCTACCTAAAGATGTGGCTGCACTACATCCACCTCTTCTCTGATGCGCCACGAGAGACGTTTGCATACCTCGCGCGACACGAGATTGGCGATAAGCTCGCCCTATACTATGAAGAGTTTGCAGCTTGGCTGGAAACTGCCGGACGTTGGACGCAGGCCGAGGAGGTGTACAGCATGGGAATTGACAAAGAAGCACGCCCTGTCGAGCGTCTTGTTCGCAAGTACGGCGAATTCCAGCACCGCTTCGAGAGCCGATCGCAGCAGGCCGCTGAACCTACTAGCCCTGCGCTACCTACCGTACGACCTGCGCTCGCAGCCAAGGTTGACCCTTTCGCAACTGGACCGGCAGACCCACAGGCACAGAGTCGGGCACAGATTGGAGGCACTTCCTCAAGGTCCGCCAAGCCGAAGCTCGCCATTTTCTCTGACGGCGACGAATTACCGAAACCCGGTTCCAGTGGAAGCTCGAAAGCATGGGATAGCATTGGGTCTCTAGCAGACCGAAAGAAGGAGAACACCCCTGAGGTTCGGTCTTGGATTGGGGAAACACTGAAGGTCGGAAAAAAGAACACCGGCGTTCAGAAGATGATGATTTTCAAGGACGAGGTAAGGCTTACAAGTCCTCAATAACCCTACATATATTTACAAGCACAGGACTAACTGGTTTGGCTTTTGCCTTTTGTGTATTATAGACTACACTAGTGCCTAATGACGAACATGCAATGCCTCACCCAGTCCACTTAGAAGAGCCGACTGTGAATCCGAGAACCGGGAACAAAGAAGTTCGGTTTGCAAACTATCAACTGATTTACCCCAGGCGTGGTTTAGAGTACTCTTTCGAAGAGTTGCGAGCGCAGCATCGTGGATGGCTGAACGTTGACTGGGAAGCAACGCGAAGACTTGAGGAGGAAAAGGCTAACGCCACCACTGTTGTGGCTGTCGAAGAGGCACCTACGCTTCGGGAGATATCGCCTGCATTCCACGAGCAAATGGAAGTCAACGAGAAGATTCCATTTCACGTAGATGCGAAGTCAGCTCCCGAATTCGTGCCTTCACCGTTGGCAGAGGACAACAAGCGGTCCGCCGACAAGCTTCAAATCCACATAGATGTGGAGCCAGCTCCAGTGCTGGAAGAGAATCGGAGTAGTGCTAGCACAAGACTTTTGATCCACGTCGATAATGGAGAACCGGAACGACCAGTCTCGCCTGCGCAAAACGTGCAGAAGAAGGCCAATAAGTCATTTGCTGTTCTTGCGGATGAAGAGCCAAAGCCACAGACAACGTTGCTGGCAGAACAAGAACCAAAAAGAGAACCCCTCAAGACTCAAACTGTGCCTCTGAAAGGCCTCGAAGAAGGGACAAGCTTCAATGATGAGAACACACCTCCGTCGCAGCTAGAGATAGAGAAGGCGAAGGCCACTAAGAAGGCTAGACGAGAAGAGCGCTCTAATCGAACCCGGAAGATTAAGGTGATGGAGGTCAAGGAAATTCGGAACGAGACGCAGACCAGTGAGTAGTGGACACACGCGCTTTCCACCTAAAGTCACTGACACGGTAAAGTTCAAGCAAACTTGGATTCTCCCACAGGTCGCAAGATTCGACGTAAGAAGCTGGGCAAAGAAGCAACGATGACCCTGCACACCAAAGAGGCCATGGAAGAGATTTATGATATCTTCAATGAACCTCTAAAGGAGGTTACGGAGACAGCTACCGAGGTTCAGAGCGAAGAAGAGATGAGCGATGGCGATGATGACGATGACTACAATAGTGCTGGTGAGAGTACAGGGACTGGCCACCTGTCTTGCGCCACGAGCGAATTTGGAGACGAGACAACTGCCGCCGACTTCACCCTTGGCACGACAATTGGGGAGGATGAGGTCGAAGAGAGCGAGGTGGACGTAACCGATACCAAGAGCGTATCAGCATGGTCCGAATTCACCGAAAGCAAACACGTACCAAAGGAACATAGACGCTCTGAATCAGGAGACGAGAGCGACGGTCCAGGGGAGGATTCGTTCAGCGAAGTGTCCCACTCGCACGATCATATTGATAAGCAAGCCGAAGATCTTGTTACACCAACGTCTCCAGAGCTACCCTCGCATTCGTTACCGACACACTATATGCCTGTTCCTCCGGACAACTACGATGCACCTACAGGACCGTATCGTGACCCTGCCTTCGCCGCTAACAACCGCCTGCCATTCATGACGCCAATCGTCGAGAAGACTGAATCCTCACTGGGAATTGCAACGGCCCATGCTCAGAAGGATTATTTCTCGGCCAAGACGCCTTCACGCTCGAAAGGTACCCCGGCCATTATCGAAGACGATGGCGAGCCTTGGAGCAGTCCTCTTCAAAAAGGGCTTGCGCCGTCTGTTGATGGTCCAGGAAAAGTTACCAAACTTGCACTCCGGGAGACAACGCCGGTGAGGAAGCCTCTGGCCGAGTCAGAACCAGCCGCAGTAGTCATGAAGGATGCTGGAGTTGAAGACACGGAGCCGAAAGGCCCTATCATTCGGGATACACAGTGCAACCCTGTTGATGAACTGATACGAGAAACTATCCTCCGAGAGATACAACCCCCGCTAGAAACGTACGATGGATATTTCGCGGATACAGAATGCACTTACGGCAAGGGCGCAGATATTCGAAAGTACACCAAAGCTATGTCTAAGATAAATAACCGAGCCTCTGGCGACAAAACGACAGCGAACCTCATAGTACCGCCGACCCTTCGCTTCCCTGGTAGCGAGAGGATGTATACTGTTAAGAAGGAGCTTGGAAAGGGCGCTTTCGCTCCGGTGTATCTAGCTGAGAGTACCTGTGTTGAGGAAGATCAGGACGAGGATCAGCCTATACAAACGGGCAAGTGCGAATTCGGCGTCAAACGTCATTCTTTGGAAGCATTCAAGATGGAGGAGCCGCCTTCGCCATGGGAGTTCTATATTATGCGGCAAGCCAAAAAGCGATTGAACGCCTCTCGCGCAGCAGAATCGGTCATCTACGCGTACGAGATGCACCTGTTCAAAGACGAGTGCTATTTGATTGAGGAGTTCAAAGATCAAGGCACACTTCTTGACCTAGTCAATGTTGCTCGTGCAGATAATGGTGTCATGGATGAGCAGCTCGCGATGTTCTTCACCATCGAACTCTTCCGGACAGTAGAGGCGCTGCACTCTAAGAGCCTGATCCATGGCGACCTGAAGGCCGATAATATCCTCGTTCGCTTTGATGCATTATCAAAAGACGAGCAATGGAATCTCCAATATAAGCGCGACGGTACGAATGGTTGGGCCTCGAAGGGCATCACCCTGATCGATTTTGGCCGTGGTATCGACATGAAGGCCTTCAAACCCGATGTGCAGTTCATTGCCGACTGGCCCACTACAGAAGCCGACTGCGCCGAGATGCGCGAACTACGACCATGGACGTATCAGATCGACTACCACGGTCTCGCAGGAATCATTCACAACCTTCTCTTCGGCAAGTATATCTCAACTACCGCGGAGAGGGCAGCCACGCTTGGTGCTGGCGCAACGAAGACGTACCGCATCAAGGAAAACCTGAAGAGGTACTGGCAGACTGAGATTTGGCAGGAAGCCCTGGATTTGTTGTTGAATCCATTGATGCATTTGGAAGTTGAAGAGGGCCGGAAAATGCCAGTTTTGAAGGGGATGATGGACGTGAGAGGGAAGATGGAAGTTTGGCTGGAAAGCAACTGCGAGAAAGGGCTCGGTCTCAAGGCGTTGGTGAGGAAGATGGAGGAAGCCGTCAAGAGGAGGTAATCCCACATGCACTTACATTGATGCTTTGTTAGTCAGCACGGCGTATTGGATGCATTGCTTAGAGCTGTTCGATGACGTTATGAATACATGTAATTCAATCTACACATCTTGATGCAATCTAGATCGTGATTACGAAAGTACGTGTATTGCAAGTAGTAAGTGTGTCACTGACTGTGGACGTAAGTCTACTATTGTGTTCCTGCTGGTATGAGGGGTGGCGCGCACGGCCACAATAGACGTTAGTGGGGAACGTCGGCCGTGGCAGCCTTGAGCCTGGGGAACTTCACCTCAAACATACACTCACTCAATTTCCACCTCCACATGAAGATTGAGATCTTCAAGCTACGGTCACTTCAAATTTCGATTACCCAACTTCCTTTGAGCCTCGAATTTCCACAGCTGGTGGGCACACCTACCGGACAGGTGCGACCGCGCCTTACAACGCCCCGCGTTTCTCGACACCCGCACACGCTTGTTCTCCGCATAGCAGGTCCTGCAATCATTGCCGCACGATGTCTGCAGAAACAATCAACTCTCTTCTGAGCTTCCAGCCAGATGCTCCGGAGCTTCAACGGAAGCGCGAATACGACAGGGAAGCCCGCGAGTTTGTCAAACATATCAATGGGTCGACTCCGGTGACCTTTCTCAAGGGTGCAGACTCGCCTCAAGATCCCTTGAACGTGTGTACAGGGCAGTTTTATAATCCTACTCGTCTGACTCGTCTAGGTGCTTGACCCTACGACCAACGCGATAGCATACGCTTATACACTCCGCCACCGCATCGAAGCGGCCATCAAGCAGACCCCAGACCAGGTCCGACCCGGAGGCTCATTATGGAATAAACTGGTGTTGTTTTTGGAGTCCTTTGATCCAATTCAGATGCGGTACGCCGGAGAGCAGTGGAGGAAGCTGGTGGACTACGTCGAGGTGGCTGCGCGAAACGAAGGGGCGGTATGTTACAGCTCCTGATGCCTAGAAAACCCACATTCGCTAACATCATCCAGCCTGCTCTTGCCATCGCTCCAATTCGCTCGGCAATGTTCCGCCTCGACCCCACAACGGGCACTTTTACCTCGACGCACCTTCGCTTCATCCAGCTATGCATGGAGACTAGGTCCTACAAGGCTGCCCTGCCCGTTCTCAATAACTACATACACAGCCTTCCTGCGGCCATCGCGAAGGAAACATTGGACGATCTGGAATACTCTGTAGTGGCTGCAGACAGCGTCGCAAGTGGAGAGTACATCAACTTGAAGTCAGGTCACACAGCTAAGATCAGCTTAACGGATCTACAAGAGTACTATGTACTAGGAGCCATGGCATATCTTGGAGAGAGGCAGGTTAAGGATGCTCTACACTTTTTGGAGCATGTGCTGGTGACGCCTGCGAACAATGCGCTGAATGGGTTGATGCTCGAAGCATACAAGAAATGGGTGTTGATCAGCTGTTTGGCGGACAAATCAGTAAGTGATTGCGCTACGTCCACTAGCACGAATGTCAAACTACGGTAGGGCCGACTGGAGTATCGTCAACTGACTACTTGTAGTATAAAACACCTCCGCGGACCATGAGCAGTGCCGCGGTGAAGCACTGCAAGAACGCTGCCAAAGCGTATGAGGCGCTTGCGGAAGCTTTCCAGCAGCTCAACAATTTACCTAAACTCAAAGCACAAGTCAATGCAGGCAGCGAGATCTGGGCCGAGGTAAGTTGACTCCGTACGAAACACTTGACGCTCGATGACCATCCCGCGATCTGGGTCTCCACTTGAAACATGTTTGGTCCGTTTCAAGGCGTGTCGCTTACACAATGTGTAGGATGGGAACACCGGCCTAGTGGAGGAGCTCTTGGAACACCAGAATCGAGCCTATCTCTCGCGCCTATCGCGCACCTTCTCGGCCATTCCAGTCTCTAACATTGCGAGCAACGTGGGCAGCAGCGTGGATCAAGTGACGACGTTTGTGGGCTCGCTAATCCAACAAGGCCTTCTAAACGCCCGTCTTGAAGCAAACGACAAGTCGGGAGCAGGCGCCGTGTTGCGTTTCTACCTCGACCCCACCCAGGGACCCCTTGCCAAGACGGAGAAGCAGCAGCAGCAGGCACTGTTCGAGCAGACGCAGCGGACAGACGCGCTGGCTGAGCAGGTGAAGGATGCGGACTACCGTCTGAGCATCACCAAGGAGTACGTGGAGTATGTCAAGCGCCAGAAGAAGAAGAACGGGGCAGGTGGAGGCGGAGGAGCGGACGCTATGGACATGACGTTTGACGATGGCGACATGGATGAGGACATAATGGGTGACATGCGCTGAGCATCTAGGAGAGGCTAGGACGTTCAGACGTGTTCAGAGGTGTGCAGTGGCTGCGACAGGTTCACCGGGACAGGTCCAGGTGCTCTCGGGATAAGCAGTCAGACGGGTCATGACGCAATAACGGTAATGCATGAAACGCGACGAGATGGGACTAGATGCCGTCTCTCGAGGCCACGATGGATGAGCAGTGGGGCTGGGTAGATTATGGTGACGGAAGTGCACCACGTAGACTGGTGGACGGAGGGCACAGATAGCCGCGCAACGACCAGATGGCACCCACAAGCAATGTTATGGCCGACGTGACGTGACGGAAGCGCGTGTCGATGGGGCAGTTGCCTGTGGGTTGTTTTCGCGACGCGGAAGCTTCAGACGCAGGTGGTAGATAGCGTGAGATGAGGCCTCGGGGAGTGTAGGACTCAGGGTAGGATATACAGGGTGTCCGAGTCCGCACGTCTTTCCACGGCGACAATAGACTCCGGTCGGAATGGACGCGAGCTACCGTCGATCACGTCGCCCGTCGCATGTCCGCGCGCCGTCGCCTCCATTTCCGTCGTCGTCGCGGCGGTTCGTCGGTCAGGATGGCGACATGGGGCCTTGCAGAGCGTGCAGCTGGGAAGAAAGGCCGGGAGAGCAAGACGCTAGAAGCGTGTCGGACGCGATAACAGGCAGCATCGGGAGCTCGTATCGCACCCAGGGCGCTGGATAGAGTCGGCGAGTGTGAGGGCGCTCGTCCAGGGGCGCGCCGTTTCTGTTCACTCCTTGGGCTAAGCCCGTCGGGGTGCCAGGGGTTCGTTCGTTCATCTCCACCGTGGGCATGCACACCAGCCTCGCCGATACACAGCAGCACGCTCTGGCAGCACAGCAGCGCCCATCGCCTTCCGCGCCCGCTGCTCCGCTGCAACTCTGTGCGCGTTCCTGCACACGCCGCCATGCCGGAGGACAGCGTGCATAAACGTGCATGATCAGGGAACGCCCACTTTGAGACGGTTTGACGCAGGCACGGCGCGCCCTCTCCGCCATGAACCTCTTCTCATCGGCGGCGGCCACAGACGTCGCAGCGCCGCCCCGCCGCCCCTCGCGCAGCAATTCCCTCTCGTCGTCGTCGACGGTCACTATCAAGCGGTCTGCCTCGTTCAAGGACCCTATCCTGGATCCGTCCACACCCCACACCTCGTCCACACCGCCTGGAGCCAGACGCCGCAGTAGCGCTGCCGCCGGCGCTGGCGACGCCCTGGGAGTCTTCAGGGACGGCGTTGCCAATCTCAATCGCTGGTCGCAGAGCAGCGAGAGCACCGTGGCCTCGCCCACCTTCAGGGACAAGTCCACCGGACACCCGCACCCCCAGGCCAGCCTCTCGCGCCATCTCCAGTCGCAGTCGCTATCCCTTCCCTTCGTCAATGGCGCCCCTGCCCACCCGCACTCACCCACTCGCCCCGACGCCTCACCCACACGCAATACCACCCGCTCGCCGGCCTCGAGCCCCGCCGCACCCAGCGACCGCGCTCGCCCTCTACAATCCCCGCCCTCGGCCACGGGCCCTCCGCAGATCCCCTCGCTGCCTGCCCTCCTCCCCGCCACCGTCTACGACCCCAACAGCCCACACACGGGCTCCTCGAGCGACCCTCCCTCCACCGCCGGGCTCGTCACACCTACTACATACACCCAAACTTCCACCGACTACTTCAATTCGAAACCCCGACCGGCTCCGGGACAACGACCACCTTCACGGACCAAGGCGGACAGGATACTCGGGAGGTCGCCGCTAGGGTCCCCGCCCGTCAGTGTTCTTGAATCTGAAGCCAGATACAGGGCGAATTCGGGCGCTTCCCGGCCGTTGACAGCAGCCCGTCCCTCGACCGGCACCGCAAGAGACCCCCCACCGAAACCAGGGCAGAGCGCTATACACGAAAGATCATTCTCGAAAGAGCAGGAATACAGAGATCGGAGTGCAAGTAACGCAAGCAGCCGCCTAGACGACAGCGTCCAAGGTACCCCTCCGCGCACCCGGGAGCGGAGGGAGAAGGATAAGAAGACCATGCTTTCACGCGCACTGCAGAAGGCGAACACTGCAGTCTTGCTGGACAATGCGCAAAACTTCGAGGGCGCCATGGAGGCGTATGGAGACGCGTGCAAGCTGCTGCAACAGGTCATGATACGGAGTTCAGGTGAAGAGGACAAACGGAAGCTCGACGCAATCGTGAGTTTGGAACACTCGATGTTCCCGGCACCCGGATGACAGATGCTAACTCGCTACAGCGTGTGACTTATACCAACCGTATTGAAGAGCTGCGACGACTGGACCCTGGCTACCACTCCTCGAGTGGGAAATCATTGCCTGCGCGCCCTATGAGTAACGAATCACTGGAAGAAGGACGATCTATGCTGCTAGGGGACGACGACGAAGAACCCGTCATCGAAACCGCAAAGATCAGCAGAATCATCGACGATCAGCCAATTGACGACGATGACGGACGTGCAAGATCTGATTCAAGATCACGGCATCCGCAACAGCTACTTCTGAGGATGGCACAGCCAGGTGGGCAGCGAGAATCGGTCATATCGACAGCAATTCGCGACGTCCAGACAGGCATGACGAGCTCGAACCAGTTCCATCTGCAGCCCCCACCTGGTCGACTTGCAAGCAATTCTGCAGCGTCAGAAGCATCCGGACTAGAATCACCAATGGACCGAAGTTATATGCCCCCACCACTGTCTCCACGCAGGCCAATATCGCCACTGCCTTCTTCGAAGAGAGATCCTGACTCGAGCACGCGAGATACTCTGGAAGAACCTACTCGGGCGGGCCATCAAAGGGTCAACAGTACCGAATCTATCTCATGGCTCGACACAATTGACGAATCTGGCGGTTCTTCCTGTTCGTCATCCGTGCATTCGCTTTCCCCAGGTGGGCTGCGCCGGAAGCATATTCGAAATGGCAGCGGCGCAACAGAAGCAGAATTCGATGCTGCCCTAGACGCAGCCGTAGAGGCTGCATATGATGAAGGCTACGAACCTTACGAAGATGGGATACCGGACTCGGCTGAGATGAGGACAAACAGATTGAGGAACGTGGAACTCGCAAAAGAGCGAGTGCGGGAAGCAGAAAGAGAAGAAGCTATTGCGGCCGCAAAGTATCGCTACAAGGAGACGCAACTGCGAAGCGAACCATTGCCACACGTCAGAGAGAGCAGGGAACTCAATTTCCATGACGAAGCTGAAGAGGAGGAACGATTGCTGGACGAGATCACGAGGGAGTACATGCTGGACGGATTTGATTTCGATCTGCAAACGAAGTCGTCATTGCCGCGGCAATCAGATTCCAGTGGCTTCTCGGGTAGCACGTACAACAGTTCGGTTTCGTCACACAGAACAACGGGTGGAACATCACTATCGACCGTTGCGGAAATCATGCAGCCAACGAAGCCCAAAGCGCCCATAAGTTCCCCGCCACCGGTTTCTACATCATCTGGTACCCTGGCGTCAGTATCAGAATCTCGAACGTCGGAAGCGAACGACGCGTCTGAAACAACACCGAAGGCTCAAGTCGTCGCCAAAGAAGCTGCGTCGGTACGCAGTCGGAGGTTGTCTGGGCAAAACCTCAAGTCACTGAAGATAGAAACTTCATTACCACCGGTTCCTCCTGCGCCACACACGGATAAGGCGTCGCATGTTGAGAGAGAAGCACGACCTGAAATTCCGCCACTACCTAAGTCTGCAGCTGCTGCAACGTTCAGCAGCACGCAGCCTTTGATCGATGCAACTTTCAAGATTCCCGCAATCCCGCAATCGCATTCCCAAAGCGGCCTCAGCGCTCCCTCACCACAGGCACTTGCTCCCAGTCCAGCAGATACTGCTTTCACCGTGTCCCCAGCAACACCAGCTCTTAACAATACTATATCGAATGACGCTATTCCCGCTCCTGCCTCTCCGAAGACTGGCAAGGGTTCCTCGATGGGCATCAGGAAGAACAAATCATCTCTTAGCTTGAAGCAGCGAAACCTCTCGGTATCGAGTCCGGATGGCTCAGACGGTTCGGTCGCCACTCCCATGAGTGCTACATTCAACTTTGGTGGTCGAAAGCCAAGCATTGCGCCAATACCCACGCCTACACCGAGTGTACCCACGTTCAATGTCGATGGGCTGCCTAGCGGAGGCATGCATTTGTTCGAAAGCGATATTCACTCCCCCTACTCACCTGGTTCGCCTAGTGCTGCCGTAGCGAATGCGCCCATACCATTGGAGCCCTGCCCGGAGTCGTATCTTCTCCGACCTTTCTGGCTCATGCGATGCTTCTACCAGACCATCGTGCACCCGCGTGGCGGATACTTGTCGACTAAGCTCTTCATTCCTCGCGATGTATGGAGGGTCAAGGGTGTCAAACTCAAGAACGTAGACGACAAGATTGCCAATTGCGATCTGCTTACCGCCGCGCTGCAGAGACTATCAACTGTCGACACGCTCGATGCAGACGCCGTTCTTGAAGAGATGCAAGCATTCGAGGTGGTCCTGGATCAAGTACAAACGCAACTATCAAAGAAGCTCGGCAACGAAGTAGGCATACAAGGCGTGTCGGTACTTTTCAAGGATGCATATACGGTAGGGGTAGGATCGGCTGCCGACGGTAACTCCGAGAAGGGTTCTCATGGATCGCAAGACCATGGACCGAAGAGTGGTCTGTCGCAGAGCAAGTCGTATCTTACGTCATGGCGTAAGCTACGATCGAAGAACTCTGCAGTAGGTTTGAGCAGCATGGCAGGAGCAAAGAGTGCGGCAACAGAGGTCTCGAAGGACTCGTTGACCATGGCCACGCTCCCGATGACGAACCTGCCAAATATCAGGTTCGCGAAACGCGATATTGGGAATGTAGCGTTTGAGGGCCCGAACGCGGGATACATGGGCAGCTTGGCGAAGCTGTTCGATTCAGTACAAATATTGGGTAAGCATGCCTTTCTTATACACACCTTCATCACGGGACTATACTGACGCGTACCCAGATCAAATCGCTCGCCAAGTCGAAGACCCAGGCCTGAAGCACTCGTCACCCACACACGTCGGCCTCGAACTCTGCGCCCGCCACGCGGCCGAGTTTTTTGGCTTCTACATCTGCCGCTTCGTGCTCGCAGATGTAACCCTCATGCTGGACAAGTTCATCAAGAGGGGAAGCGAGTGGGTGCTGGTATGAGATGTATGCACAGCATATCCTATCGCATACAAACAGACGCTGTAATGAAGGTAGTATTAGGACCCTATTCGGCTCGCACACGGATGGGCTCTGAAACTCATCATCATTCACTGCTGCGCCTTATTCCTATCTTTCGGAGATCTACGAGGAGGGAAGGAAGCAGGAGGAGGGTTGCATGTTACTGCATGGTATGCGCGGCATTGGCATTGGCATTGTCATAGTGATTCGACTGCGCTTTTTATGAGTCATGTTTCTTTTTCCTCTTTACACTTTACTTTTTGGCTTTTTGATTGTTGCTGTTTCCCTTTATGCAAGTCGAGATATCCCCGATCCATATCCCATGTTATTAGGCCATTGGTTCTGCTTCTTCTCATGACCTGTACTAGCTACCCGTCTTTGCCGCCTATCCTTACTGGACCTTTAGATGCGGATCTGCCTGCGAGAGGAGCAGAGGGAAACCTTTGTATGTGTGTATGTCGGTCTGCGTGTGTATGTAGGTATGCATGGGTAGGAGGCTGGGAGGAAGCCTGTGAAATGCAAGAGCATGCTTGAGCACGATCTCTAATTCCCTTTGATGTGTTATTGTGGATTTATTAGGCTTCGTGCGGTCTTTTGTTGACAGTAAACAGGGAACGGACACGGTCCACACAGGCTGAGAAGGTACAAGATGCATTCAGGTCATAAAATCTAGTCAGCGTCGCTCAACACTACGGGGCTCCACTACCCATTGTGAGTGTCCATCACGCAACAAATCGCCTCGCAATCTGCTCGATGCGCCATTCGCTCCACGCCACCTTCGCATTTGTCGCCCCAGACAACGCACCAGTCGACTCCGACGAGCTCTCCTTACCCTTGACCGGCCTCGGCACGGCGCCCCCACTCCTTCCCCAAAGCTCCTTGTGCGTATAGAACTGTCCTTCGGCCAGTTGTGGCCTCTTTACTTTCTCCTCACGCTTCTTCGTCCCCGCAGCGCCCGGCAAGTTGAGCGGTCGGCTCCACGCCACTTGCGCCGATTCTAGACTGCCAGATGCGCGAATCGTTCTGAGGACGCTCTGGCTGTTCAATAAGTCGCCTTCTAGCATGGACGTTGAAAACTGGGTGATAGTTTGTTGAAGGGCGCCGATAGCTTCGGCAACGGGGCTGTTCCATTCTTTGTGCCAGGCGCGGCCAAGGTTGATGAGAGCGTTTGCAAGGGTGGGGATGCTGGAGACGTAATCGACATAGGGCGAGTCGAGAGAGATGTTGGATGGCAAAGTTGGAGTAGGCGTCGGCGGCGGAGGCGGAGGATTATTGGTCTGTGTTGTGTTGGTTGTGTTATCGGGCGTGGTGCTGGCGTTGGGGACGGTCGTCCAGGCGACCTGATGAGTGTCAGTAGAAAGGCACAAGGTAGCTAGACGAAGGCAATAACGAAAATTTACCTTGTCGACATCGAGTAAGTACTTTGCCCTCAGTATCGTAGTGCTGATGTTCGCGATCAGGTCCGCTGTACCCTGCCCCTTCATTAGCACTCAAGCCCTCGTGTCACTAACATTTGACTTACCAGTGAGCCTGCCGGACTCGCAGGGCTGAAGAACCCCCAGCTGGAGTTGTTCGGCGCGGCATCGATGGTCGCCGCTGTGGAGTTGATGATTGTCTTCAGATCTGCCAGGTCCTGGACGGCGTGCGGAATAACAGTGGGAAGCAGGATGATGCCGGTGACGATCATTGATTTAAGGCCCACCAACAGACCAGAAGACATAATAGGTGTGTTTGGCTAGGGGATGCGGGCTTTGGAGATACTAGCGGGTGGGCCGGGATGCGATGTAGGCTGCTGTGGACACGGATGGAGGATGGATGGGAGCGCGAGGCACGGGCAGATCTTGTACAAGATTCCATGAGCGGCAGATAGGGAAAGTACCTGATGGCCACTTCCGCTGCGGTGGCTCATCGCATCCAGCTCTTTCCAACCAGAGCTAAGAAGGTACATTCGATCTGCTCTGCGTTTTATTCAACAAATGATTGGATGGATAACTTCGAAAGACTTCTACTGTAAGGGACAACGTTTAATGTGTCGTTCGCGCGACCATCCTTCTATCGAGTTCAAACATCAGCCCAGCAAGTCGTCACATGAGTTAACCAACGGGAAATTCAATCACACTCAAGAACTGCCGCGTTTTTCTAGCAACATGACCAGTGACGGCCGTGAGTCACTGTACAATTCTCTAACGGATATTTCCCATCAACAAAACCTTTTCAATCTTCTCTCATGCTACACTGGAGTAGTTGTTGTTCAGTCATTGTCATGTGGCTCTAGTACAGTGCACTCGTTGCAGTCTTTAGTGCGCAGATCAGAACCACAGGCCATCCTCGTTATACACTTCACGACTCTCGCAAAGCTAAGAACAGGACCATAAATACATGTCCTCCTATCATCGTCTCGTAGCTTCAAAGTTCGAGAATCTCAACCTCTACTTGAGCAATATTCCTGCCATTTGCATATAGATGTTCCCAGATCAATGGTTTATTCACTTGCATGCTATAATAGTATACAACTCAGGACCACTACAGGTTATGTAGTCAATTGCGGGTAGGTTACAGAAACACATTCTCTTGGCTCGCTTCATGTACGCCTTCGCCTCTGAGTCACACTACAAATTTTCGTTTGCGCCCAACCCCACTACCTGCCCACGCAGCCCTATAATCAAACAATTCGCTTCCACGCATGTACTCCCATGCTCAGTCATCAATACGTGGGAACGGGCATACATATTTTCACACAGATAATATTACGTCATCAAACCGTAAAGCTCAAGGAAGCTGAGTGGCGCAGCGGAAGCGCGCCGGGCTCATAACCCGGAGGGTAAGTCCATGATGCCAGACATTATCACATATTCACCCACTTACATTACTAGACCTACGATCGAAACGTAGCTCAGCTATGAGACTTCTTTTTGTACTTTTGTCTTGACATGAATATGCAGGAGTTCGACCCTGCTATTAGTGATATACTTTTTTTTGGCCCACTACTTCGATGGTGCAGCGATCTATTCTTCGTGTTACTGCTGAACATTCGACCATGGCTGTATATTCCGTAATATGTTAAACATACAATTACAAAGCTGCTAGACTCTTTTTGGCTCGTACTATCAGGTATATACCGATAGGATATGGCAGTAGACTAGGGGTGCACCTAGTCTTTCTGCTGGCAAGGATACCTCTCCTTAGGTTCTTGGATCTGTACTCGAGAAGCGCAGCGCAAACTTGCCCGTGACGAAGTCATACAATATCATCGCCAGCACATCACCATCACATTCGTTTCTAGAATGGTGTGCGGTATAGTTGCCGTGTGTTCATTATCTCCTCGTTCGCGTAAGAGGCATAGTGTTCTTCAAAATGCATGTATCCATAGACCAGCCGGGATCAATCACTAGAGAGTCCGTATGGTGAAAGCAAAGGTAGTAAATCGTGTAGTCGTGCTGGCCGAGGGCCATTCTCATAGTCATGGCTCTCCTCTCACGCAAACGCAAACGCAAACGAAGTTTATCCAGGGCGAAATAGAGACCACGACGTGGCCGTAACTACGTTGATACTACGCATGTTCAGGTCGAGACATGTAGCAACTAAGGAGAGCAGGCAGGAAATGAAGCCGGTACTTGAACCTTCCGTTGGGGAGAACATGATGAGAAGATTTAGAGGTTTTTAGTTTTGCTATTTGCGAGAGCATGCCGCTCTTAGCATTTCAAAAAGAGATCGAGAGACGTAACTAGGACACTGTAGCGTAATATATGATACCAGTCGGATCAAGTGCAAGAGGACTAGGGACTGAAAAGACTTCATTATTAAGACAGCGTATCCCCTAGTTGTGCCTTCGCAAAGCAGGATTCATGTGCATGTAAAAATTCGAAGACAGTTCGGGAAAGATCCAAAGATAAAGAACCAGAGCACGAAGTTGTTGTGGTGTTGGACTGAGATGCAAGGTCGCAAGCAGAAAAAGGTTGTCACGGCTGGAAGCATTGGTCCCAGGTTCGAAATGAGACGTGCTGCTAATCGTACGAAAGGAATGAATCTGATCGAGCTAGTCTTATTAGTATTTGGTGATTTTTGAGATTAGCCTAGGACTTTGTGCCCAGGCGTAAATCCTTCATATCTTCAACCAAGCTAGATTTTCCAGCCAAGTTGGATGCTCTGGAGATCCGTTGGCATCGAATCAAAACCAAAGGCGGACGCGTCATAGATCTGATCGTCCTTCTGTGGGTTGATGGCCACCATGTTGTACAAGGTGAACCCGTCATTCCCGTCGATGTGATTTGTGTCAAACTGCTCGCCCTCTTCGTATGGGTTGATGCTAGTGTCGGCATCATATGCATCGGAGCGGAAATTACCTTCTTTGTCGAAATCTGCGGTGGCGTAAGGACGCAATGAATCGCGAGAGGGGGGCGGGATGTTTTCAACGAGCGCCGCTGCGCAGGGTAGGGTAAGCTCTAGCATCTCACGAAAGCCACCCTCCAGCTTGCATGGGCGGGGAAAGGTTTCGAAGACGACGTTCTTGATGCAGCGGAGGCCAAGTAGCGCTGGCGTGATGGGCCCCACAGTGCTCGTAACCTGGAAAGCTATCTCCTTCTTCTTCGCAGGGGTGAGGGTGTTGCGGAGCAGATCAGCGAGCCTTCCGTCCTCATCGGTGTAGGGCGTTGGTGACGTTAATGCATAGTTGAACCTCGTGAAAAGGATGTCACTGTCGACGACGAAGCAGATTGTTTCTAGATTGTGAGGGTTAGTTATATTGGCACCGTTGCGAGTAGGGTGAAGACGGTTGAGTGCCAACACCAGATTGTCCTGCTTAGACAGCATCAATTGCCTGGCATTCAGATGGATCACGAGCTTCCGGACGTGCTGCTGAAACTTCGCGAGCACTGTGTCGTCCTTGACCAGCTCGAAGAAGCTAGCTTGATCGGCCTGATCTCGGACGTGTAAGACCTGGTGGTCCTTGTAAATCCTGCCAGTTCCGGTGGGAGTGGACATGTTTAGGTCACAATATGATTTTTCGAATGGAAAACTTTACTGATCAGTATATACGCTTCAAAGTATCGCAGCATTTCTGAGGGGCGAAGTAATCACATACCTTGGGGAGCTGGTAGTTCTTGTATCATCAGTGACGTATTGCCAAAATCACCGTGATCACTTGCTTGGTAGCGGTCGTATAATCACAAAGTTGATATAACAAGCTGACAGAACTGCATGTGCTGTCTTACTGAGCAAGTGTTTGTTACAAGCAATAGACTTTGTCGAAAGATATCTCCCAGCTCTGCTTTATATCTGTCAGATGACCATCGCAAACTAAGTCGAGCCAAACAAAACTTACAAGTGCCGAATGCTAGGTGCGCGCACTCGGTTGCTGTGCTTTGCAACGGTTGGAATCGAGTCGTGGTCGAAGGGTGGATCGTTGCTGGGAGGACGAGCATGAATTGAGGATCGAAACCTGGGTGGAGATGATTATGTACCTGAGCTGGAGGGCCTGAACTCAAAAGTCCCGCGGTGAAGTGTAGTGGGACTCTCTGGGTCAGTCTTGCCGAGAGAGTCTAGGTGAAGAGCGTGAAGCTGGAACCCACGTAAAGCTGGAACCCACGTAAAGCTGGCGAGGCGTAGCATGCTAGATTGCTGGAGACAAGCCAGAGCTAGGCGACCCGGAACCTGTAAGAAACCAAAGCAACGTCTGAGGAAAGGTGTGGCACGGTACGTGGGCCGCCGGGGTGGGTTCGCTGGACTGCTAGAGTGAACGAGTCAACAGAGACGTGACTAGGTTGGGGTAGGAAGGACTACGTCCATGTCCTACAGGTACGGATCTCCGGACAGCGTTTTGAATATCAGTAATCTTGATTCATCGGCATGCGTGCTAACACACGGTAGGGCTTCTTAGATACAGATGCTTTGTCCCTGCGCATGACATGTCACCGCTCATACGCCCTCCACCACAATGCCAAGTTCGCAGCGACTAAGAGATCCACCATCTTCAAGCCCTCATCCTCGATGATCAATTTGCCCAGCTTTGCCTGCTTCCCACCAAATCCTCCCCCCGCAAACTCTTGCCCTAGCGAAAGATCCATGCGGTCGAACGAGCGCCTGACGTCTTCTGTGCTCTCGATATGAGAGTCTGCTACCGAGGAATTGTTACGGCTGTGCCACGGTCTGTGGAAGAAAGAGGATCGCTTAGAAGACTCTTCACCCTGTGGTGTGGAGGCCTTGGAACTGCTTGGAAGGTTAAAGCGGAGTTCGCTGACTGGAAGGGCTACGGGAGGAGCTCCTTGTAGGCCAGGTACGATATGGCGACACTGGTCAAGGATTAGCACTGCGAATGCATGGTAAGCGTAACGGCCGTACCTTCAGAGAACCACCCCCGGCGCCCGTCACGAACTCGCAACGGCCGTCCCATGGACTTGTAAAGACGTAACCACGGAAGGTTGATTGCTTTTCGGAGACTTGGATGGAACTATAGGACTGAGACTCCCGCGCGAGGAAGGGAGGCGTTGCTGGAGTTCGCGAATCCAAAGACGTCCTTTGCATGCCCTCAGAGCTATTTCTAGGGCTACTTCCAGACATATTCGAGTCGTAAGACTTAAGCCTCCGATGACCAAATTCTCCGCCCGGGTATTTGGCACCTTCCATCCACAGTCTTCTACGAAACACACCATCTTCACGATTAGCTACGGTCTGATTTGTAGAATAGGGACCTTGAGTAAGATCGTAGGTAGCGATAGATGTGTTAATGTTCCTGCTAACAAGTGGTGGTACAGTTGGCTGTTGGGTGTGTAGAAACTTGGAATACCCGGGATTAGTGACGGCGATGTACACTGGCGCCCCCACTTTCCTCTTAGCCGCCGGGTCCTTCAACGTCGACGATGAGACATCCAGCGCTAGAGGGTCATCGATGCGAGCGACATTCCACTGTGCCCCAGAGGCTGGATCACGACGAATGATGACCAGAGACGTTCCTGATGTGAGTTGCTGAGTAGTCCTTCGTGGGAGCGGAGGTCTGTTCTCATCCTGATGTTGACCCCCCTCGAACGATCGGCGAGGGACGTAGTTAGGACCCAGAAGACCAGCCGATGTTTGCTGGCTGTTATGAGTGGTCTCGAAGCCGTGGACCGGGGCCAGTGTCGCTTGGACTGGCTTGCGTTTAGCAGCAAGAGGTACACCAGCAACGGGATTGGACACAGGCTTGCGCTGTACCGCGGCTAGCTGTGGCCCCTGCAGGAAGTTTGGGCGAGAATCAGGGTATGGTGGTTCTTGGACGGGAGGTGAATCAAACAGTTGTGCGTCTTCTGGCTGCTCGACATGAACAAAATATAGCGAATTTTGAATATCTTCTGCTGTGACGACCTTTTCCCGCGGTTTCATGGGCGACAGGAACACATCTATGCAGCATTAGAGCTAGATGTTTACAGGCAAATCGCAGCCGTACCTCTGCTGCCAGGCACGCGGGCAATGTACAAGACCAACGGCTCGTGCCTCACGTGGGTGGGGTTCCTGGGGTATGACGGCGGATTCGAAGCAAGCGAGGTCAGAGTAGACAGAGAGCGAGCCTCAACGGCAGGGGTGGACATTGGATCGCGACGGTGATGACGAAAGTGCAGAGACAGTGAAAATGCTACTTAGGCTTGTTTATCGGACTGGAGACGCGCAGGGTGCCGAGCCATGGATATAGAGCAGGGAAACGCTGAGGCGTCGAAGCTGGCTGTGGCAGTGCCGACGCGTGCTTCGTACTGGTACAGAAAGTGGTGCCTCAGCCTCTCAGCAGGACGCGCAAAGGGCTTGCCACACGTCGCAGGGGCAACGTGGCTACGAGGCTCCGACGACAGTCGATTGACGGCAAGTGGAAAAGCAAGTCTCGAAAGCACCGGCGCCGTGACCGCCTTGACAAAAGTACGCTAAAAATGTAAATCTTGGCGACCCTACCAATTTTCGGATTTTCAGCACCAGCCTTCACCAGGTGCACACGACACCCTCGCCCAGCTCCTTCCCCGCCTTTTGTCGAGCCCTTCCTTGCTGGAAGATTGCATGCCGAACGACTTCACGGCTGCTCCACCTCCAGAAGCGGCAACCATGGGTGACGACCTCGAGGCAAGCAGCAGGAGCCTTCCCCGCTTCAGTTGCACACGCCGCTAACACCCATAGCAGGCGCGATTGAAGACGCACCAGCGGGCGTTCGAGGGCTTGATGTCTTTGATCCCTGCCAAGGACTACTATGGCAAGGATGAGAGCATTACCAGCGTACGTGTGCCTTGCTGCCTCTCCACCGCACATGCGCTAAGTGTACTATAGACAGAATGGACCCGTGTGGGAAAGAAGCAGTCCAAAGCAGAGCGACAGGCCGCAAAGCGAGCGAAGCTGGATCCAGCGAATCACAAGAGCGCCCTCGACGTGTTGGAGGAAAATGCACGGAAGCGGAAGCGGGAACTCGAGGCCGAGGCCGATGGCAACGACTCTTCCGACTTAGACATGGACATTGAGAGGGAGAAGCCGGGTGAAGGCATGAGGACACTATCGGCCAAGGCAAAGAAGCAGAAGACCGCCAAAGACGACGCCGACCCGACGCCGAACCAGCAGACAAAGGACGAGGAAAAGAAGGCGGCCAAGGAAGCGCGAGTCAGGGCCAAGGCCGACAAGAAGCAGCAACAGCGTGAGAAGAAGAAGGAGAAACAGGCGCAGAAACAACACCACCAACAATCAAGAAAGGCACAACAAGAAGAGTCCAGCAAAGCATTGACCGACACAGGAGAGACGGCTGATGAAGATGAAGAGGCTTCAGGCTCGGCGGATGAAGAAGAAGAGCATGACGATGACCAAATACAAGCTATGGATGTGAGTGGGCTGGTCGAGGAAGAACAGTCTACCGCTACGCCGTCTGCCGCAGACTCCACTGCCTCCACAGCGTCCGTGGCCTCCAACGTCTCGTCTTCATCCTCCATGCCACCACCCTCCGACATTCCACAAAAGAAGGAAAAGAAATCGCTTGTACCTAACCAACAAAAGCACGAAGAATTCCGGGCCCGGCTTCAGGCACGGCTCGAAGAAATGCGCGCCAAGAGGAAAGCCGACGGTCCCGACGGAAGACCGGCAAAGAACCGCGCTGAGCTGATCGAGGCTCGGCGGAAGAAGGAAGCAGAGCGCAAACAAGCAAAGAAAGCCCAGCGCCAACTTGCGCAGGAGGACGAAGAGCGTCTGAAGGCAGAGGAGCAACTTGCGCGGATACGTGGTGGATCTGGTTCCCCCTCTATCTTTTCACATCGGTCGTCGCCCGACCGAGAACGAAATCTGAGTTTTGGTCGGGTAGCGTGGAGTGATGGGAAACAGCTTGAGGGTGACCTCTCTGGGTTCCGGGAGTCGAAGAAACAGAAAGGCAGGTCTGATGCCAAGACCGCTCTTGAGGCCGCCAAGAACAAGCAGGCACGTCTCAATGCGCTTGACGAGGAGAAGCGCAAAGACATTCAAGAAAAGGATCTGTGGCTCAACGCCAAGCGACGAGCTCAAGGCGAACGGGTACATGACGACCCTAAGCTATTGAAGAAGAGCGTTAAGCGCCTGGACCAGGCTAAAGCCAAAAGCTCACGAGAATGGGGTGACCGTAAGGAGGCCGTGGAGAAGGGCAAGGAGACCAGGCAGAAGAAGCGCGAGGAGAATTTGCGGAAGCGGAGAGATGAGAAGGGTATGAAAGGTAAGAAGAAGGTTGGAAAGCCAGGGAAAAAGGTGAAGAAGCGGGCCGGGTTTGAGGGCACGTTCAGAGCGAAATAAGCGTGCTCCAAAGGGAAAACCTATGTGTATATTGGATTAGCGTAGCATTTTTGGCGTAGCGGCTGATGAATGGATACCTTCTGCGATTTCACACTCACATCTCAATCAAGTGATGTGGCGGAGCCTGGTTGGTGTTGTTGCTCTTTTCGTAGGACAACCACAGTGTATCGATGGTGGTTAGAGAGTTGCGGGATGGTACCGGGTAGTCCTGTGGATAGATTAAACGTCATACACTCATAATTCTCTTGGGTTTAGGTGTCATTGATATATCCGATCATTTCTATGTGCAATGTTCTGTGTTAATTTTGTTTTTCGGTGGTGCTTTTGAAGCTGCAGGACGTCCAATCTGGATACCTGCCAAATGACAGAGATGCCACAGAACCAAGATGCCACAAATGAAATTAGAATTGCTGATACTACACTCTTCCTCTAATATTTACACATTTGCAACCCCTCTACTCTTACCGTTACCGGTATGGTGCATCTGCACGAGCGGCGGCCGCAATCTCCGGCTCCCACTTGTCACCATTTGCCAACAGCTTCTCCTTGTTGTATAGGAGCTCTTCCCTACTCTCCGTTGCGTACTCTGCGTTGGGGCCTATGCGGCGTTAGCATTTAAGTAGGCGTAGTGTATGGTTCTTGGACTCACTCTCCACAATGGCATCGACCGGGCAACTCTCTTGGCACAAGCCGCAGTAGATGCACTTGGTCATATCGATGTCATATCGCGTCGTCCTCCTGCTGCCGTCCATGCGCTCTTCGGCCTCGATGGTGATAGCCTGCGCCGGGCAGATGGCCTCGCAAAGCTTGCAGGCAATGCATCGCTCCTCGCCTGTAGGATATCGTCGCAGCGCGTGCTCCCCTCGGAAGCGGGGTGAAATTGGGCCCTTTTCAAAGGGATACATGATGGTGTACCTTCAGCACCGTCAATAACGTCTTTCTGTGCAAATTTTCGCGCTGTTCAGCGCCATTTGGGCCAACTCACGGAGGTCGGAAAAACTGCTCTAGCAGGATGTACATGCCGCGAAACATCTCGACCAGCAAGAAGTATTTGCCGGCACGGTCCAATGCGCCCTCTCCTTCATCCCATTTCTTAGGCGGGGGTAATCGAAAACCGGGCGGTGGTGGGCCGGCTGGGGTGGCGGCTCGCGGGAAGGTAGTAGAGAAGAGGGCGACGGTGGCGGGCGAGGGGAGGCGTCCAGCAGAGGGTCTGAGCAAAGTGGCAGCTGGGCGCGCGCGCACCAGCATGGTCAATGACCTGGTACTGGCCATTATGTGTGTGTATGTGTGTGTGGTGGTCGCGGCACTGGGGGTTGTCGAGGTGCGAGGTTGTGATGAAGACGGAGCCGCAGGAAGGGTCAGTTTGTTTAAACGGTCTATGATTGGTTGCGAGATTCACGACGTGAAGGCGGCAAGCAGTCCGGAGAGGTAAACTTTCAGCCGAGACAGTGGAAAGAAGCGATTTCGATGGTGCATCCGGTAATCAAAGAAGACTGTTAGTGTTTTTGAACTTCTAGCTCTACTTGCGCCCGATTGCATTGGCATTGCTGAGAGTGAGGTCGACACTCTCGCTTAGTCACCGAAGCTCACAAGGACTTTGAGCTAACGAAGGACCGAGCATCAACTCTGTCCACCTCAGTCTCGACATCCTCCGCCCCAACACCTGCAACACCCTCCACAATGTTCCGCACTGCTCTCGTCAGGTCCGCAAGGCAAGCCGTCCGTGCCGCCCCCCGGTGGCAGGCGCCAATTGCTCGTCCCGTTGCGCGAAGCTCCCTGTTCCTGGCAAAGCAGACCGCTCCTTCCGCGCGCTTCCAGGCTGTCCGATGCTACGCCTCGTCAACCGGCCTATCGAAGGATGAGGTCGAGGGCAGGATAATGGATCTGTTGAAGAACTTTGACAAGGTAACGGTGCTTTGATGGCTTGCGAGAGCTTTGGCTAATTCGCGATAGGTCACCGATACCTCGAAGGTATACAGCACAACATTATAGCAAGTCGCACAGTAACTCACACAATCCAGTTGAATGGCGAGTCGCACTTCCACAACGACCTCGGGTTGGACAGTCTCGACACCGTAGAGGTGGTTATGGCGATTGAGGAGGTTAGTGGAGGAGCAGGAACATATTTTGCGAATCAATGGATCTGACGGCGTCACAGGAATTCAGCATTGAGATCCCGGACAAGGAGGCGGATGCTATCCACAGCGGTAGGTCAATTGGCCCCGTGTGGCCAAGCCAGTGCTGATGATATCACAGTCAAGCAAGCAGTCGACTACATCCTGGCCCAGCCCGATGGTAAGAAGGCCCAACCAGGTTCGAACCAGATACTGGATTGCAGTGGCTAACTGAGTGCAGCGCACTAAACCAAAGAGGTCGAGTGGGTCGCAATATATCGAGGACATGGCTAGGAATTGGGTGGGCGGAGGCTGCCCTGGCGTTGCTATATATATTCCTCCGCATGTATAACAGTCGCCTGGAAGGCATCTTTTGTATTTCGTGATAGAAAATGGATGCTACCCACTTCTCCACCTTGCAGCGCAGCAGCTGGCGGTGCGCGTGCTTGCGCGTTCAAAAGATTTGGGCGCGCTAAGACCGTCGTGTCGAATCCCACCTAGGCACGTCTGCTCCTCCGTGACACAGCCCCGATTAAACACATTTGCATCTTCCCTCTCTGCTCACAACAAAGTCCGCTCGCTCCCACTGCACCCGCCGTGTCGCGTCCGGCCAAAGCTTTCCTCGATACATATGCAGCCCTAGCGACGACCCCTGCGCCTCAGAGGAGCCTCACCCCCAACGCACCCTAACAAAGGCTCCGACCACCCCCGCCCGTCTCACGCAAACCACCTGATGGCTACCACGACGTCTGGCCTGACCCGCCGGAGAGGAGGAGGTGCGGCTACCGGCAATGGCGACGACGAATCCAGCCGCGTCTCCAGCCCCGTGCCGAAGCGCAACGACGACCGCACGCCCGAGACCTCCTACGAGAACTCAGCCAATGGCCACAAGATCGCATACGACCCGCGGGACATTAGCGAAAATGCAGAGCGAAGCAAGCAGCCCAAGCTGACGTTGATGGAGGAGGTGATTCTTATGGGACTCAAGGACAAGCAGGTGCGCGCAGGCAGACGCTGCGGCGGACCATGGGCTGACCATGGAACAGGGATACCTATCATTCTGGAACGACAACATTTCATACGCATTGCGAGGATGCATAGTCATAGAGCTGGCCTTCCGTGGCCGCATCAGCATGCAAAAGGACTCGTCGCGACGGAGGTTTCCTCTCGCAGACCGGGTAATCGAGGTCGTCGACGACAAACTCACAGGCGAGGTGCTGCTGGACGAGGCACTGAAGATGATGAATACCAGCGAGAAGATGAGCGTAAATTCGTGGATTGATCTCATGAGCGGTATGTGACTATGTTGCCGGCGACCCAAAGTTGGCACGCGGACGCTGACATGCGGTGTAGGAGAGACTTGGAACCTTATGAAGATCGGATACCAGCTTAAACAGGTGCGCGAGCGCTTGTGCAAGGGCCTTGTCGATAAGGGCATCCTGCGCACGGAGAAGAAGAACTTCCTCCTCTTCGACATGGCCACACACCCGGTTGCAGATGGAGGCGCAAAGGAAGAGATCAGGCGACGGGTCCGGAACGTCCTGACCAGTCGGACCGTTGTTCTGGGTGCGAGCCAGTTCCTCCCTGAGGAGCTAGAGTTCAGATACCTGCGGACGATTGTCATGGTCTGCGCTGCTTATGCTGCGAATGTTCTGGAGAACGCCCTGACCACGCTTGGGCATGAGGCAAGGGAGCGCGCTTTTGCTCAGGTCGACGAGTTACTTGCAGAGTACTCACAATGGCCATTCGCAAGACGGGCGGGTGGCTCTGGTGGCGTCGGCGCAAACTTGGGCCAAGTCATCAATGACGAGGTCAACAACGCCAAGGATAGGGAGTTGCAGCTAGAGGTGAACTTTGGCCCTTCACCGTACGTTGACATTACTAACAGTGACTATAGGTGGTTGCGGCGTGCTTGAGCGTTTTCACAAGGCTTGACTCGCTCCTTTAAGCCTGTTCTCCTCAGATGCTGACCAATTACCAAGAATATCAGGAGCTTTAGGCATGATCAAGAACGATATCCGGTCACTAAAATGATGATCTCACTTTATAAAGGCACAATGCGGCGAGCGATTGGGCGTGCAGGGACCTGGATGAGAAACCGGTCATGTCATTCTCGTTATCAATTCGTATCTCTAGCGTTTTCTTTGATGGCACTGGGTTGATCGATTGACGAAAGGGATCGATATCGGGCAACGGCGTCTTTCGGGCCATAACAGTATCACGCTTCCTATGGGTGTATCCGGATGCAAGCGGAATTCTGTTCTGTATTTCCCTGGCTGGACTAATGTTACAATTTGGAATATGTGTGAGCCTCTATCCCCAGAGCGGACCCCCATACTGTTACGAAGAAGTGCTTTTGTTTCTTTGCCACAGCAGGGCATATGATCGAGTACCCGACTGCTTCCTAATTCTGAGCAGTTGCAGCCTCTATTTGGCCTCTAATTGGGTGGAAGACTGCTGGTCGAAACGCTGCTATGAGCTCGCTGAGCTTGCGAAATTTTGTCACAAGAAACCATTGTAGCACGCTAAGTAGCACATGTTTAGTTGTTCTGGACCTTGACTGCCCTGCTCATCCTGTGACTGTGCCACAAGCCTAGCCAGTACCGCATGGACAAGAGAACGTCGAATTCCTAAGATGATGTGCCGCTCCAAATTGCCAAGCAGACCTGCAGTATTTCAGCGCTTCCTCTTCAATTTCCGGAATCCTTACAAGCCAGACATTACATACTCAATACTTCATCTTATTCGAACCAATTATATCCAACCGTTCCGTCACATTCATACAAATACTTTCCAGACCAACCTTTCCGAGTATAAAAACTGGCCGACAATGGGAACAGCTTCCCAAGTGAAGCTGATCACCAACCCAAGTGAAGCTGATCACCAACCCAACATTGGTGGTATAGGCCTCGCCGTCCAAGGTGCAGACGACAGCAAGATAAGAGGCTTCATACCACGACAAATGGAAGACATATAGATGTGCGTTTCTGATGAGCCTGACAGTCAAGAAACACGGTCCTTCATACAGGCAGGAGCCGGACAGGTGAAGAGCAAGTTTCATTGACTATCGTTACTAGCGACGGTGGCGAAAGGCCCAAGATTGAAAAGCTTACTTGGGGAATAAACCATGATGACATGAGCAAAGAGAGGCGTAAGCAATGGCAGTCAATGTTCACAAGCACTTTTTCAATTGCAATTTGCAGAATGCATGAGGAAAGATCTGACGATACTGGGTTATATCTTCATTGATTGAGGAGCAATACATATGAAAGACCCTGAATATTCTTAGTAGTAACAGACTGCTTTGATGAATATTCCACATGTGAAGGTGTCATGTCTTCCACTATACGTGGCAAGCTCCTTATCACTATAACAGTTCAGACAGGTGAATTCAATAGCATCAAGCGGTCACATTGTAACTCGCGCTCTCTATTCGAGGTCACTATACACGAATGTCCAGCGCCATTGCCCCTACAACGAGTGGTAATCCTCATGATGTTCTCTATCACAACCATTTCCTAAAACCTTAGCTATAGGTGACATCAATAACATTTCTTCCTTACTTAGGTAACAACAAACATAGGGGGTGAGCGTAACCCTGGTAGAGTATAGCTACTTAGCGGGTTGCTAAGACATCTTGGACCGTTCTACTCTCCTAGTAATGGAGCGTGTCGCATGTAGTTGGGTTTAGACTTCACAGGTAAGCTCGGCCAGGCCACCCGTGGAGCCTTGGAGGCACGCATGTCACGTGAGTGGCGCTGCGCGGGCGGTTGCTCGCAGCTCGACAAACTCTCCGATAAACAAAAGCGTACCTGGATCCTTGGCAGAAGCGTACAGATCTGGCGATCCGGAGAAAAGAAGACTGGGAACGACCTCAGACCCGCAGCTGTCAGGAAGCGCTCCAGGGCTGTATGGGGCAAATTCGGTCTGGGCGCTGAAAACGAGGGTAGCGCCGTAGCGGCGCATTCTGCCTGCTGGCTTCCTCCACTCTACAGACCGCATTCCGAGCAAATAAGCCGCCCGCGCCCGAACGGCGCCCGGCACTTGTAGCCCAAGGAAGCTTTTCCGGAGAAGCCAATATTCCGCCTGCTGAGCCGCTCTCGCGCGCGTCTGCTTGCCCCGAACTCGTGACCTCAGGCTCCGATCGGCACCATCTACCTACCCACCCTCAGCCAAACAGAGGCCCAGCCCCAGGACGCGCAATTTGCATGACCCATCGGTATGTGCACCCTCTGTTTCCTTGACTTGCGCTCGCGCTGCCCTGGTGATGCGCGACGTTGTCGCTGCTGTCGCGCTGGTCTCTCTGCGCAGCCCCTGTCGGCGCCATCATGGCCCTGCGCTCCTGTACGCTAACCCACCGTGCCTCACAGCCGCCACGAGTCGCGGGTTCCTCCCTCATCGCTCGCTGACCTGAAGGCTCGATATGCCCTCCACTTCGACCGAGTCCCCTCCCGACGCGTCTCCCGCACAGAATGGCGTGAACGCCGTCCAGCAGCCCGACGTGCCGACTGCCGCCCATGGTCCCGCGTCCGATGAGAACGGTGCAATTCGCGAAGGAAAATTGAAGGCCAAAGCAGTCCTCGCAGCCTCGGGCGTGCAGATGGACGCGACTACTACGGAGAAGCAAGAGGGGCGGACTGAGATGGGCACACCGGCGCAGGGCGAACGGGTCAATGGCGCGTCGCCGAGTCGCAAACGGTCGCGCTCCGGCTCGCGCAAACCATCACAAACTCCCACGCGCGAGGCCCCCATGAACGAGCAAAAGCAAAAGGCTCTGCTGGATCAAATGATCCAGCGCGACCTGAGGGGCGCGTCATACGTGTTGGAGAAACGGGCCCTCGGCAAGGTTGCTACCGACGAACTCATGGACGAGATCAAGTATTACCAGGAAGTACGCGCGCACAATCCGGCGCTTGTTTTCGGCCCTGGATACAGAGGTTACGGCAATGGCATCACTGAACTCCCTCCAGTCCAAGGGTTCGCCCTCAAGTACCCCGCGCATTGCAAACCACCGGCAAACCGTAGAGCAAGACGACTGCCGCTGATGAAGGGGAAGGTCGAGCTCCAATCAGATGTCGTAGAAGAGCTAATTCCTGTACGGTTGGACATTGAGCTGGACAAGATAAAGCTGCGAGATACTTTCACATGGAACTTGCATGACCGGTACACTACTTCACAGCTATTCGCTGAGCATCTAGTCGAGGATTTTCGAGTTCCTCTCGAGATACGGGAGCCCGTGAAGCAGCAGGTCAACCGCGAGATCCAAGAGCAGATCCAGGACTTTTACCCGCATGCCTTTTTCGACGATGACGCGCTTGATCTGACTCTACCGTACGCTGCGTACAAAAACGACGAAATGCGGATATTGATCAAGCTGAACATCGCGATTGGACAGCACACACTTGTGGATCAATTCGAATGGGAGATCAACAACCCGCACAATTCACCAGAGGAATTTGCGAGACAGACTGCGGCTGACCTTTCGTTGTCTGGAGAATTCACAACAGCTATCGCACATTCGATACGAGAGCAATGTCAGATGTTCACGAAGAGCCTGTACATCACTGGCCATCCATTTGACGGGCGGCCCGTTGAAGATACGGACATCCGAGACAACTTCCTACCTTCCCCCATCCCATCCGTCTTCCGACCGATGCAGTCCGCAAAGGACTTCTCCCCATATCTTTACGAATTGAGCGAGGCTGAGCTGGAGAGGGCCGAACTTTCTATCATGCGCGAGCAGCGGCGGCAGAAACGTTCGGTGAACCGGCGCGGAGGACCAGCGTTGCCAGACCTCAAGGACAGGCAACGTACTGTCCGCACTCTAATCGTCTCGTCTGTTCTGCCTGGTGCTGCCGAGACCATCGAAGAGAGCCAACTCTTCAAGGCTGTGCGGAAGGCTAGGGAACGTCGCCGCGGCATGGACGATGATTCGGACGAGTCAGAGAGCGACGACTCTGCCCCAGAATCTCCTGCACCTTCCATGTTGACTGGTGGGACGGCACGAACACGAGGCATGCGCGGAGCGGCCACTGCAGCGCAAGCGGCGATGCGCTCGGCCATGGGACGGTCAATGACGCCTGAGATTTCTGCTCTACAACAAAGTCAGCATGAGTCTAGAACAGCGAGACAACTACGATACGATGCGCGCGATGAGAGTGTGGCATCAGAACCTAACAGGCTGATTGTCAAGCTCAAGATATCACCAGCCAAATTCCGGGAATATCTGCGGAACCCGAAAGCTTACCTCCAGAAGCCTACGTCAACACCACTGATGGCACATACACCCACGCCTGCCCGTAGCACACCCGGTGCGAATTCGATGCCACCACCTCCTTCACCCGCTGCGCCACCCCGTACTACTCCTGCCCCTGCAGCTTCGTCGGTTGCGACTTCGCCTCAGCCGCCCTCTACCCCAACTCCGACCTCGCAATCGAACCAAAAATGGAATTATCATCCTGATGGTCGAGCGGACGCGCCGTGGCCGATGCTACAAGGGGCGCAACCTGTAAGTTACGAACCATATGAACACAGATTCTAGAAACTCATCAACCCAGGCTCCCCCACCTCCATGGCTACAGGAAGCACTCAAGGAGCTGAAGCAAAAGAACCCTGGCGATCGTTTCGAAGCGACCATGCGATATAGTATCATTGACCAGAACACTCTGCAAAGTGTCAAGCCTGACTCATTCGCGGCATCAGGATCGCTGCCTCCGGGCCATAAAGCACAATTCGTTCCTAAAATCCGTTGCCTGGATTGTCCCGGCAAATTGTACAATTCTGGTCCGGGGCAGACGGTCGGCAACTTTCAGACACATTTTAACAACAAGCTGCACAAGCAGAACGTTGAGAAGCGCAATGGACCATGAGCTGGAAGGTCTTCGTCGAAGCGTTATGGCTACTTTGGATCGACTTTGGCTTGGATCATCTACCTGCAGGCGTTCTTATGTAAATGAAGAAGATCCATCCGCGCTATTTGTACAAACAAGAAATCACTTACCATTCTTAAAGCGGTTTTATCTCGGTCAATCGTCGTTTTGCACTGAACTGCAGGGTATTTGCTGGAGAGGATCAAGGACGAACGTGGGCGTGGGTTGACGTTTTCATTTGCCAAGCAAGATCCGCGACCAAGGTGCGGACGGAATTGGAAAGTGGCTAGATCTCCAATACTTCTTGGATCACATGTGGGCGTAGTATTCCCATCGTATGGTGGGAAGTTAATCGGCAATTAGCATAGCGCCCTCGGTGCTGCGGTTCCCTGCATTGCATGGGGGCGCGGGTCGACTCTCAATTCATGATTATGTTTATATTAAGGCTGGTGCTTTGACCGACGCGAGGTTCGGTATCCGTTCCACCTCGGTGTGCCTTGATGACTACGTCTGATCTCTTGAGCTTCGATTCAGACAACAGGAAACACCTTTTAAGATGCTTCCGTTCTTCTTCAATGGCCTGCTCCTTACAGGAGCATTCATCATGAGGGTACAGGCGGACATCCCAATCCGCATCATCTCGCACAACATCCGATACGCTACAACGAGTCCGTTCACCGGTAGGTTTCTTCCACAAATGAGAATCAGGTCGTAGAGGGAAAGCGCTTTCATTGAGAGCAAGTACCATTCTTCGCTCTCACCTTTGTGTCATGCCTGGCAAAAGCTTCATTGCTACGATCTTTGACTTACCTACAAACAGGAGAGAAGCCATGGACGGACCGCAAAGCGCTATTAATCAATGAGCTGAAGTACGACACGCTGTACAACGCCGAGGCATTTGTGTGCTTGCAGGAGGTGCTGAATGCTCAATTGACAGATGTTATGGGTGGGCTGGGCTCGGACTGGGATTACATCGGAGTGGGTCGCGACGATGGAAAGAAAGCTGGAGAGTACAGTCCGATCATCTTCCGGAAGGCAGTATGGGAGGTCGACACATGGAAGACTGTCTGGCTGAGCGAAACACCCGACAAGCCAGGAAGCAAGGGCTGGGACGCCGCCTCCGTCCGTATTGTTACGGTCGGCACGTTCGTTCACCAACCCTCTAAGCAGAAGGTTGTTGGAATGTGCACCCATCTTGATGACCAGGGCGCAACCTCCCGCACCGAGTCTGCAAAGCTCATTCTCAAGGTTGCTAACGAGACCATTCACAACTCTACTGCTTCCACGCCTCTGCCTGTGTTCCTCGGCGGCGACCTCAACTCTGAACCATCTGGGTCGGCATACCAGATACTGAATGGGAAGAATTCGGCATTGCAAGTGGTTAAAGAGATGGCGCCATGGAGGTACGGAAATGTAAAGACATTCACCGGTTTTCAAGAGAGTGACGCGAAGACGGAGCTTGATCATGTGTTTGTGAATCGCAGAGCGGGAACATGGGAGGCGAAGGGGTTTGCTGTACTGCCAAACAAGTTTGACGATTTGATATACGCCAGTGATCACAGGGCTGTAGTCGGAGATGTTGTGTTGAAGGTGCAGACATGATCTCAGTGCTGCCGTGGGAGGATTGGCCGGTGATTGCAAGTCCTAGAAAGTTTGCTATTGCACGCTCCCTAGCATCTAAACTTCGTAACATGTTCTTGTATGCGGGATTGATAGAAGCTCGACTGACGAGCTAAACACTTCCACATTTCGAATGTACACAATGGATGAAAACGGTCATGGCGTAGATTCACTACGTGACTACGTAGTTGCTGCTAGTGGAGCGTTAAGCGACTCGAGCCCCGCAGAGGGGCAACGACAAAACAAGCAGTGCGAGGGAAACGACACCTCAAACCCAACTCCGCACCTTGGTCCACCGCGCTCATTACACCATCAAGATGGCCGAGGACACCGCTACCGTCGGTAAGACGCCCAATTCTTTCGAACCAAGTCGCGCAATGGTTGTCATTTCGTTACGACGTCTCGCGCGGCTACTCCATTGATCGATGAGCCGTGTGCTAACTGTGTGCGCCTGCTAGATTACACACTCGCGAACCCCGATACCTTGACCAAGTACAAGACGGCCGCTACAATCGCCGAGAAGGTCCTCAAAGAAGTCTCAGGTGCGTCGGAGTAGCGCACAGGCGCATCACATGCGGTGAGCTGACCAGCTGCAGGATGGATCAAAGCGGACGCCAACATCATCGAGCTATGCGATCGCGGCGACAAGCTGCTAGAGGAAGAGACGGCTAAGGTGTACAAGGGCAAGAAGATCTCTAAGGGCATTGGGCACTGCACCACCATCTCCCCGAGCTCCTACATCACCCCGTACACGCCTCTGAAGTCTGACGTCGAAGAAGCCGCAACTACCCTGAAGGAGGGTGAGGTCGTCAAGATCCAGCTCGGTGCTCAGATCGATGGCTTCCCCGCCATTGTTTGTGACTCTGTCCTGGTCGGTGGTTCTGACGAGGTCAGCGGCCGTGAAGCAGACCTCTTCCTGGCCACCCACTACGCGAACGAACTGCTCTTGAGGCTTATGGTCCCTCCCAGCGTTGCCCCCACTACTGGTACTGAGGAAGAGCAGAAAAAGGCGGCTGCACGGAAGCCCTACACTCAGTCCCAGATCACCCAACTGCTCGAGAAGGTCACCTCTGCTTACGATACCAACCTCGTCGAAAGCACCACTATCTGGCTGTTCGAGCACAACGAGATCGAAGCTAAGAAAAAGATCATCTTGGCACCTGGCGAAGGCGTCAAAGGGGAAGGTCTTCCGGAAGTGGGTGAGGTATGGGGTGTAGAAATGGGTGTCAGCTTGGGCTCTGGCAAGGTCAAGACCGTTGATAACAAGCGTACAACTCTTCACCGCCGTACCGATCAGCGATATGCCCTGAAGCGTCCGACCTCTAGAGCGCTGTTGTCCGAGGTCACGAAGAAGTTCGGCACGTTCCCTTTCAGCTTGAGGCAGCTTGAAGATGAGAAGGCTGCCAAGGTCGGAGTCATCGAGTGCGTGCGTGGTGGTGTACTTCGCCAGTACGAGGTTGTTGCCGACAAGAACAACGAGCCCGTTGCTAGACTGTTCTCCACTATCGGTACTTTGCGCCCTACCACTCGGGTGTGCTCCGAAACTGACTGAGTCAATAGCTGTCACCAAGAACGGCATCACACGTCTTGCCCAGCCGCCCGCAGTTGACGTGTCTAAGTACAAGACCGACAAGAAGATCACCGACGAGGAAATCCTCAAGATCCTCGAGCAGCCCATCGGCAAGACTTCGTAAGTAATACCTTACCCTCAAGCTATGAGTTGGGAAAGAAGCTCTTCTCGAGCGGGCGAGGAAGAGGATGACGATCCCTGCTACTATGGCTTCGCCGAATTTCTCGAGGCGTGCAACGGAAGGGTCAACTGAAGTTCCACGAGCGCACCAGTTCTTCACGAGATTCATAATCTGCCTTTACATTGCACATCCTGGAACAATGAGGCTAGAGCATGAGCGTGGCGCGTATTCGATGCTTTTTGTCACCCGTGTCTCGTTCACGCTACACAGCTTGGGATATCCAGCGCCATTGTATACAAGGCTAACCATCACTCAACTTTAGATCCAACAAGAACCGAAAGAAGAAGAAGAAGCCCGCCAAGAAGGCCGCCGCTGCTGATGGTGCTGAGGAGGAGGAGAGCGACGAAGAGTAAACGTGCTTTTCCGCGACATAGGGGATGATCCAGGCCCATGATCAGTCGGACCCGCCAGCCTCCCGATTCAACGCAAGCCATATCACCAGCTGAGGGAATCCTACTACTGGCATCCCTTGGCATACACTCGTAGCGTAGGGTTTCTATCTTCGTTGCATCAAGGGTGGAGCTTAGGCTTCAGTTCGCGGTTGGCCTTCGGGTTGCTATTGTGCTTGTCCATTCTCTGCACTCAGTAGGCATGACGAGTAGGTAGCTGAAAAGCTTAAAATATGAAAAGTACTCTGGCATCATATCTCCCTTTGACAGTGTACGATGGATTGTACAGTGGTGGGGAGCCCCTCCATGGCGAGCCAAGTCTCTGGACATTCGTAGGACGATCGTACTTGTCTTTAGCCAACATCTGCCTCCCAATAGCTGCGTATACACGAGACAGCACAGGCTTTAGGCGATAACTTTCATTTCTCTTTGTGTACGTGTTCAGTCAGTGAAGGGGCGGCACAGTAACGGAAGCGACGATCGGTCTCACCGCGCGACGGCGACGGGTCATGTCCACTGTGCGATCCACGCCCAAAATTACCTAGAGAAGATGCATTCTCAGCCTGCTTCGGCTCGATAATGGACCAAGAGAGGCGTTGGAGACGCCACGGCTGTATCTCCATCGTGCGTTGCTCGTCTCTTGAGGTTGACTGAACTAAAGTTGGCACCTGGGTGCTGCACTGCGCTTTGCTACGTAGGTATAGGTACTATTAATCCTGAAGCAGTGCAGAGGACATGCTCTTTGGCGGACATGTCAGGATAATCTTCGCACACTACGCGTACAGTGACTACAGTATGGGAACCCCTGAGCGTGAGGCTGCTGACTCTTAAGTTGCAAACGTCAGAAGGGAATCTGACGCAAATGACCACTGCTTGTCTTTCTAGAAGCTGCGCGGCGAACCGGCCTCGTATCTTGTGTTGCTGGTGAAAGTGAAGAGCTGCAGGCGGAGTAGTATATAACTGCCGCCGCCTCCCTAGACAACCTCGCCCTGTCTCCTACACCCCACACCCCTCATCATCAAAACTTACTCAAATCGAGTTTTCCACCTCTACCAGTCAAATCCAGCTATTTCCTTTCTTTTCTCTGAGCGCTAGCGACATTTTTCTGGTGTCGTGTTGGTGAAGTAATCAGGACAGGGAGTGCGCGGTCCGTTTTGGCGAGCGAACTCCAAGTTCCGTCCGTCTTTCTACCAGTAACCCAACCTCCTACGCGCGGCGCGACGCACGTAACCTTCTACGCGCTGTCTGCGGCCAAATTTTTCAGATAGCACGCGTGGTAAGTATTAATTAAGCTCCCCCCTCGCGCAGCGCGTCTAACAAGCTTGCAGTGGTCCACGTCGCCATGCCGGCTGTCCGCAAGTCAAAATCGCGAACCAGCACTCCTACCCTCCACGGCAATTCTTCGCCCTACCAGGCGGAACCACGGAAATCAAAGATGCAAAGTTCACTTGACACCTGGGTTGAGCCCGCGCCTCAAAACCCTGCTCCCTCCTTCGAAGAGCACGGCTTCGCGCGACACGGCGTCCTCGAAACCATGGCAGCTCTCGGCGTCCCTCCTACCACCCGCGTCAAGCAGAAGGCCCGCAGCTTGGGTGAATCGCTTGCGAAGGGCCCCCTCCTGGGCAGGAAAGGCGCGGCTTTTGGTGAAGAGGAGGGATCTACCCCGGAATTGACGCCCGCTCCTGAAGTCGAACGCGACGACTCCGAGCGCCTGGAAGAGGACGACGACGTACCAATGCCCTTCCTAGAGCAGGACGAGGATGAGGACGACGACTACATGCCCAAGCCGGGCCCGAAGAAGAAGCTGAAGACTTCACATGGCACCAAAACACCTGTCAGGGGTAAAAGCACTGCGCAAAACAAGCCGGCCAGCAACGCAAAATCACCGGCCAAGAACGGCATGAGCAAGAACACATCCGCGACTCCTGCGCTTGCGGACACACATGGCAACACTCCGGCTCACACCTTGGATGCAGCACTGATGCAGACCATCGAGATCGCGGTCAACGATGCCCATGCTCGTTCTATTAGGGATAATCGACCTAATGTCGGCATCGCTTTGAGGAGAATGTTCAACAGCGGCAAGTCTGATGTGACGCTGGCGCATGCTTTGAACGGAATTATCCATCAGAAAGAGTCGGCCGAGGACTGGTCAAATTTCCGCGGCTTCATCAAGGCAACCAAAAAGACCATTAAGCGCGAGTGGAAAATTCAAAAGGCAGAAGAGGCGGCAAAAGCTAAGAAAACGCACGCTTCGTCCGAGTTCACAGCGCGCGATGAGTTCGATTTGTCCTCACCAGCTGCTGGAGGTGAAGGCGCACCCCACCCCACCAATTTCGAGGTCCAGCCCGCTATTGTTGCATCCTTCACAAAATCCCCTTCACTTGATGCTACTCGATCTCCTGCAGATAGTTCTGATGGTATTGAAGTTGATGGACCAACCCCCCACCCTTTTAGCACTGCCCCGGCCTTCCCGGCAGCTCAAGCATCAACCCCGCCCACTCCTCGGATGGGATCCACGTCGCCTCGTAAACGCACTGCGAACGGCACTCTTGCTCCTAGTAACGAGGCAGATGCCGCCTCTACTGCTGCTCCTACTCCCGTTCCCAAGTCGCCTACCGGCAGTGACTCGGGGCTATCGGAAGTTGACGAGGAAATTCTCCACACAGGACCTCCACAAGCTACCGCTCAGGTAAATGGCAATGGTGCCGCAGCATTCAACAAGAAATTGAAGAACCTCTCGGGACGCGGCGGCAAAAAACAACAGGCTTCTCGGGCCAGCTCCGAAAAGCCGCCCCCCAAACCGCACCGAAAGTTCAAACAGAACGCGCCGCGAACCGCAGAGCAGCTGGTCGAAGAGGCGGAGATCGAGAGGAGGCGACATGAGCTAGCTTACGACCAGCAAAAGCGCTTTGGTGAGCAGCTGTCTGGCTATGCACAAGTGTCCGACATGCGCTTCGACGACGACGAGACAGCATCCATGACAGAGTCCATTGCTGCCATGGGCCCGCCAGGCGACATCAATAGGCCACGAAGAACAGGCCGTCCAACTGCGCGCAACGGCATGTCCATCCAGACCGGCGGCATGAAACGCGGACGGGAGAATTCTATCTTCTCGTCACCGCACCCCGACTCGGCAGCGACCAGCCGACCCTCTACGCCTGCAGCCGTCAGTCACATGCCGAGCAAGCGCTTGAAGTTGAACAACGGCCAGGCTGGGCAGGGAAGCCAGGCAGCGAGAACGAAGAAATCGTAAGTATCCCCCATGTTCGTGTTTTCGGTCATCCTTGTCATGTTGTGTTGGGGTGCTGGACGACGCCAGTACCCGTTTCATGCAGGGATGCGACCATCGACTGAGCAAGCTCAACGTGGTTTCTCGTGTTTGCATCACCTCCACACATTTCTGGATCAATAAAGCAAACTAACGTATTTTCGTGCTTAGGCCGGTCAAGAATCGCGATGGGCCTATTGCCGGAATCCCACATACTGGCGGTGGCGGTTCGAGACAGTCGGGGCCTGATGACAATGACCCAGTAAGTGCAACTCAAATTCCCGCTCCACCCAACCACACCATCTTCCCTCCACCACACAACTCGTCAACAACAACAACCCACCACATCACCCATGATCTTCACGGCAGGCGTCACGCCTCTCACATATCCATACTCGCCTCCGAGTTCAACTTTATCCCCTCCTCTAACACCATGCCAGGACTCGCCACCATCGGAGAGCGATGACCTTTGTTCAGCCTGCAGAGGCTCTGGCGAGTTCGTCTGCTGCGACACTTGTCCACGCGTGTTCCATTTCTTATGCTGCGATCCGCCGCGTCTCGATGCCCCTAGGGGATCTTTCTTCTGCCATGTATGCGCGAAACCTGCCGAGGATCTTCCCATAGACACGCCGTTACGACCGCTTTTCCAGACGCTTGAACACATTAACACGCGCGCGTTCACGCTGCCAGCCGATATACAAAATCACTTTGAGAATGTTGCTGCGCGTCCTGATGGCTCATACCACGAAGACGTCAAGAAGTTCCCTCTGTAAGTGTGACGCATGTTTGCTTGCTGGCGTAATCACTAACAGTGCCGCAGCTCCAAAAACAGTGGCTATGGCTACCAGAAACCTGATTACACAAAGGTTCTTGATGGCGATAAACCAATTTTGTGTGCATCATGCGGACTGACTTCTGGCGGGAAACGCCAGATGCTGAAGTGCGACTACTGCGCGGCTTACTGGCACCTGGACTGTCTGGATCCTCCCATGGCAAATCCACCCCACATCAACCTTGAGTCCTCGCATCGTGACGCGTGGCGATGTCCGCGTCACATTGAGCACGATTTCCGCAGCGGAAATGTTACACAGAATGATATCAACGGCGCACAAGACGATGTCATGGTCGACGCGCCAACTCCTAGGCTTGGCCGGAAGGTGCGCAAGCCTAGGCATCCTCAGGTCATCCAACCTACTTTCTCACGTGGCATTCGCAACAATGGACTGATCGATGTCTTGAACGATCCCGACGACGACACTGATGGCGAGGGTAATTACGTGTTTGGTGGTGAAGAGAAGGACAGTAGCTCGAGCGTCTACCGTGTGCCGGAGAAGGGCCTCATTCTCGATTTTATCGACAAGGTCAAGACGTACGTACCCTCATCTAGCACTAGTTGTCTCTGCAGTACTGACTTATCTCGCAGCGGCCGTATCAACAAGGCGGCAAAGCTTGCGCAGAGCCGTGCGCAGAGCAAGGCATCAAGGCAGAATTTTGCCGCTCGTCCGATCCAGCAACAACAGGCTGCTCTCAACCTGGCGAAACTGGCCAACAAAGAAACGGACATTGGTCTCAATGAGAGCAGCGTCGATGCGCTTATTCTGAGTCTCACGGTAAGCTTCATCCCTTTCTTACCCGGGATGTTTGATCGGCGCTAATACCCGTGAAACAGGCCGAAGCTCCGAAAGACGTCGTCACGGCCATCGACACTGCTGCACCGCCCCCGGTTTCCAACGAGGAACGCGAAATGCTCCTGAAGTTGCAAAAGCTAATCAAGGCTCGTCTTGATGGTGCCACAGCGTGATAGGATCCAGTCAAATAACGAATGCGTTCGCCCTCTGTACCATTGCCGACCTCTTCAGCCCCTCATGTCGCCATCGTGCGCGACAGATCTACTGCTCTCATCGCTTGCCCAAGCTGGTCTCGTGTCTCTCGATCACGGACCCGTATGCCGCACGACCCTTCGACCCCTATATCGTCCGCTCCCAAACGATTTCCTCCTGCGCTCTAACCGAAATCCTCGCCACTAACGCGCCTCGCCCAACCACCTCTTTCCTGGATATGGGTTTATAAAAGCTTTGCTCTTCTTTACGCCCGATGTTCGATCCAATCTCGGCGTCTGCGCGCTCGGCGCTTTCCGTTCCTATATCCCTCTTGAACTTGAACTTCATCGAAAGTTCGATCCAGTGCGTTTGCGCTTGTAACATTTGTTTCCTTATCCTCGGAGACCCCGGATTCATTCTCAGTTTAGACCTGCTATGGCGGTTCTCTTTTTTTGTCGAACCAGAGAGCTCCTGTCGTGCGGCCTCTGCACATCACTGCATAGCGTGGAGTTAGTAGCCTAGCCGGCATTATGGGAACATGCTTATTCGTGGCTTCCGGTGTGGAGCTTTCAGCCTGGCGTTATTACATGACCACTACGAGACCCCTACATTGCTGGTCGAGGGCACTCTATATCATAGTTGGTCGAATTGGTTATTTGTGTTTTTGTTGGGTTATGGTTCACGGGTTGTGCCTGGTGGAAGGACAGACTGCAAAGATTGGGGGCAAGGGGTTTGATTTGCATATCAGTCAGTTTTGTGGAGATGTAGGCTATGAATCAGAGTGGGATTGAAAGTTCGCTATGGTCGGTAGTCGACTAAGTGTGACGATGAGCTAGAGTGACGATGTAAGAGTGCGAGTCGTCTTCTCCGAATGCTTTGAACATGCACCTTACCATGGAGCATCCTTCACACAGGACCCCGAAACTCTGTACTGCGTCTCATCCCAGGACACACAATTTGAGCAAGGCTCTAACATAGCTCGAGACGGTAGCGCTAGCATGGTTTCTGGGCATTTGACGCGCCCACATATTTTCCATCTCTGGTCTTCGCTATATCGCAGAACCATTTTAAGCATCGTTGCACTCCCCAAGTGCTCAGCCTCGGCATACGTCCGGTCAAGACACCACTTATTTCAATACTCGCCACTGGCAACTTACCTTTCATGATGAAAAGCAGCAACGACAATGAGCGGCAGCATCCAGGGAAGGCACAGCTTTAACCGGATCCATATCCACGTCCCTGGGCTGGCGTGAAAGGAAGTGGGGAGTAGCTTGACACGAACCACGCACCTTGTACCAAACAAGCAAGCAGCGCCATGACGAATGCGGTCAACCCGCACCGGTTGCCTGGTGCTGATGCGTGCTGATGCTGCAGAAATAAAGTACGTACGACGAGACAGAGAACATGATACGGCGATGGAGGTAGTGCAAAGGGTGCCATCTGAGTCATGGTGCTATAGGAGGACTGGAGACACAATGTTTCATGGGGCTGATTGGATATGATTCTGATGGATTGGCCACGGGGGAGACTTGTGTGACACCTCTTGAAATAAGCTAGGAGATTTGACGAGCGCTATCCTACGTGGAGAATGCTGCTGTTTCTATGGTCTGGAAGGATCTCACTCGATGCTGGACAAGATCGCAAAGGGACAAAAAGGGAGAAGGACAGAGAAAATTGACTACGGCTTGCAGCGACCGAAGTAGCGCGGGTATAGGCAAGTATCGCGGACAGTGTGCTGCTTGCAGAGCCATGCAAGAAAGCGCTCGAGACCGAGACCGTAGCCGCCATGAGGAGAGCTACCGTACCTATAGACATGTTAGCGAATGTGCACATCGAGACAATATTAATCTCAGACTTACTTCCGCTGATCTGTATACCAGTAGTAACTGGTGGGGTCAATGCCTTCCCTCTTGAAGGCAGCCATCAGCTCCTCGTGCTGGTCAATCCTCATGCTGCCGCCGACGATCTCGCCAACACCGGGCATCAAGCAATCCACACTCTCAGTCACCCGCGGGTCTTCCTTGTCCTTGAGCATGTAAAAGGCCTTAATTTCGGTTGGGAAGTGCGTAAGGAAGATGGGTCGGTTGATGATGTCCGTCATCTTCCGCTCGGCAGCTTCGGCAATGTCATCACCGAATTTGTGAGGCTCGCCGTCCTCGTTCTCAATGTTGTGCTCAACTAGCCAGTTGATAGCTTCGGAGTACTTCATGCGCATGAACGGTCGCTCAGGCATCCGGAACTCGGGGTTGAGGTCCTTCACGTACTGCTCGATGGTTGGGTCCTCCAAGGCGACCTCTAAGACACGACACATAATACTCTCCAGATGTTCGAGCAAGTCGTCGAAATGGACAAAGTCCAGCTCGGCCTCAACGTGAGTATACTCTGCCAAATGCCGTCGGGTCAAGGATTTCTCGGCACGGAAAGACTTCTCGATACAGTAAACATCGCCCATTGACGGCAAGCAGGTCTCGAGGTAGAGTTGTGAGGATTGCGTCAGGAAGGCTTCTTCGTTATAGTACGGGAGGCCGAAAAGAGTGGCACCGCCCTCGACCATGGTCTGCACGAGTGCTGGAGGGCTGACCTTGCGGCTACATTATATTAGCATGAACAGGGGTATCTTAATGAGACCAAAACATACAATCGAAGCTCCTTGTAAGCAACGTGGAAAGCCCACTCAACAGCATCTCGCACAATCAAGACCTTTGATGCTGTCTCGCCACGAAGAGTAAGGTGTCTGAGGTCCAGCAGTGTCGCATGCTCGGTGTCCTTGGAGACACGGTTGGTGATGGCATCGTCGCCGCCAGCTGCCTGCCAGCCGGGATGGATCACGTAGTAATCCGCATGCAATTCCCGGCCGTTGGGTGCGTGTGCTCCTTCTGGAACCTCCCTCAATTCGCCGAGGATCTCCATGCTCGTCTCGCGGGTCAGTGTGAGGGCGTCGTATGTCTTCGCAAGTTGGCCCTGGAGAATGACCTGCATGAAGCCATAGCCATCCCTCAACGTGATAAACATGTTCTCTTTCTGTCTTCGCTCGCGATGTACCCTGCCGAATACGCGCACCCTCGTTCCCATCTTGTCTTTGCCATCGCCTAGCTGAACTTTCTGCGGATCTATCTCATCAAGCTTGATCTTCACGGGTGCAGGCAGGCTCTTGTCCTCCTGCAACGTGATTTTCTTCGCCTCGTCCAGGACCTTGGTGCGATCTGCGAGGACCTTTGCCTGCTGTGCCTCCAGCTCCTGTGCCTTCTCTGCCTTCTTCTTCTGTGCTTTCGCGTAGTTGACGGCCTTCTTCAGAGCAGCTTTGGCGGCAGGTTTCCAGTCCAAACGTGCCGAGGAGTCTGAGCCTTCCGTAACCTCGCCGGTCACACTCTTTCGCGTGAGAAACGTGTGCGACTCGCCGTGGGTGAGGACTGCGAAGCCCAGCGACTTGAAGGGCAGGCTCTCGTCGCCGGTCTGGGTGTCGATGTCCTGGCCGACGTCTTCGTCGATGTAGTATGTGGATTCCGCCATGGCGACTGCAATTGGCGTAGGCGAACGCTGCGCGGGGATTTGAGATGTAGCTGGAGTGTGTTGTTGCTGTTCACGGTTCTGCAAGAAATATGTTAATAGCGCGGGGTGCAGTGCCCCTCGTGTGGCTATTCGAGTGACTCAGCCGGTCCCTCGTGTGTCATTTGTGTTTACGATGAGCTCCGGCGGTCACTATGTATGACTCCTATATTAGACTATATGTATGAAAATTCAAATCTCCCCATTGTTCTTTAAATGCTTCAGAAGTCTCTGGTCGCGTGTGATTTGCATAGCCATCGTGTAGGCCAATGATCGTAACTGTGGCGCACATCTGTGGCGCACGACGTCTTCGAAGACACAGGGTCGAGTACTTCAAGGTATACGAGTCAGAATCGCATTTGTTGAGATCTGCTAAGCACGTGTGAGGAGATCTTTGCAAAGCAACCACGAAGCAAGTGAACGCCTTTCGGAGGTTACCAATGGCATCATTGCTAGGGTCAATTCCGCGCTTACAAACGACAGCCACATGCTTCGTGTTTTGCATCATTTCACGTTTGGACTTCTACACGAAAAATGGTATTTTAACCCTTGAGCATCTATTCAGTAAATATCTAAAACGCAAGCAACATGTCGGAACCCTGGAACTACACCTATATTTCGCCTCTAGAAGGCTATCAAGGCCTCGAGCCGCTGCCAAAGTGAGCAACATCGGGGAAGAATACAGATATGGCATTGTGAATACAAGTGTAGAAGCTCTAATCATGTGACAGTGAGAGAGCAGAAGATGGTAAATCCTTCATCAACCCGCCTGCGGAGAAGAAAAGCGAAGCCTACACCAAGTTCACGTCACCCATCATGAACAGCATACGCGGGGGCTTCGAGTATGTTTAGATCCAGCTTTTCTCATCGCTAGGCTTGCTAAGACTATATAGTATCCATATATATTTTCTCCAGACAAACGCTGGCGAGACCAACTTTGCCAACGAGCTGTGGGAGCGCATACGAAGAGAATGTGAGCATTTACAAACTCATAGATCCAATAGTACAGGTTCTGATACCCATGCAGTTCCTGAACTACGCATCTATAGAGTTTGGGATAAGCCGATCGGTCCGCATCCCCTAGCGATGTTCGAGGTGAACCTATTCACGCCTGGTACGCTGAACTCCATGTGCATTGCATAGTATACACTGATTAATAGCAGAGCAATTCGGTGCCTTCATCCCTTGGCTCGTAATCAATAGAGGACCGCTCTCGGCGCTGATACACCCCAATACTGATGATGAGCTACGGGATCATACGCAGAGAGCAACCTGGATGGGCCAACCTCTGCCTTTATACGTTGGGGGGAATGAGGAAGAAGCAGGGCTGAAAAGACATGGGAATTCCATCTTTGGTTGTAATTGATCTTAAGGTTTGTTTCGCTAGTACTTTCACGTAGTGTAGTATCATGCTGGTTTACTTGCTGCTGTTACCTTGCTGCATTAGCCTTGGCTGTTGCGCCTCCTCAACCTTGATGTTCGGGGCCTATAGCTCTAGGCTGTGGCGAGCATGCTCGGCAAGAAAGCATGCCTCTTTCCCCCTCTAAACCTTCGTCTTCTTCGCTCTCGGAGGTAGTACATATCATTCCGGCACTGCTTCATCCCTTCGTTTCCACCGCACCCTTCTTCTTCTTCTTTCTGTCCTTCTTTCCACGCCTATCTCTCTTCTTCAATCCGCTCATGCCAGCCTTACAGACCTCTGCGTATTGCACAAAAAAGGCGTCTAGCTGATCTGGCTGCACTACCGTTGATAGGCTGGTTCTGGGTATGATGTCCCTGTCCGTTCCACTTCGCTTAGAAGACTTGTTGTTATGCGCCCTGATGAGTATCGGGAGAGGGTTCTCGGGATGTGTATCCCAGAGTGGGTCGTCGGCGACCTTGGTGGGTGTCTGGGGCTGGCTTTCGGTGTCGAAGGCCAAGCGCTTTTGCGAGAGATAGACGGTACCATGGCCCTTTTTTGCGGTTGTACTCAAAGAGATTGTTCAGCTGAGCAAAGAACTATATGCACTGTCAGTGCCGACGCGTTACGGCAGAGTGCAGCAGTATGCATACTTCATCGTTGCTCAAATGCTCCCTGCCCATGGTGGAGTGTAAAAACGTCTGCGCAATATGTGTGCTAGGCGATTGAGTGATGTCTGGGACAGCGCGCGTCCGAGATCGCCAAAGTGCTCACGTGCGCAGAATGTCCAGGTGCCTGGATGAGTCTGGCGATGGTGAATTGGAGGATCGTGTGGGGCTTGGTGTGTGCGGCATTGTGGCGGAGGCGGGGGTCGTTAAAGTCCGCAGCTTGTAACTTTTTTCCATTGGGTCCTCCAACGTTCATTCAAGACAATGCGCCAGCGGCAGTTCAACGGCCCACAGCTGCCCAAGGAGCTTCGCGACCAGTTTGGCGGAGGTAATAGACCGTAAGACTATGTTATTGTTAGACGTGCGTGCTGATTTTGTATAGATCCTGCCAATCGAAGGCGCGGCGGTCATGTGCGCGGCGGCTCGCTGAATCGAACGGATCGTAGGAAAGCAGAGCGGGAGGCGAAAAGGTCACAGAAGCAACAGAAGCCGAGTCATCCTAGGATACACAATGCGCAGTCGAACAAAGGGCACCGTGAGACCAAGCCTAAAGATGAGGAGGACAATATGGATTGGAGCGAGGAGGACGAGCCAGCACCACCTCCGGCACGAACTCCCCAAGTACTAGCTAAGGGTATTCTGAAGAAGACGCAAGTATCTCCTGTCCGCGTTACCGAAGCGTCATCTCCGCCACCCTCTGTTAAGGTATCTCGGGCTGTGAAGGACAAACTCGCACAAGACGACGCGAAAATCGCAGCTTTAGAGAAGAAGCTGGGAATGAAGCGGAAGAAGAAATCAGAGGGAACGGGTGACGGTCTGGACGACATCTTTGATGATTTGGGAGACTTTGGTAGCGACGAAGATGGCCTGAGAGCCAACCCGTCGAAACGAAAACGAGATCAGGATGACGAGTGGTTGGCAAGCAAGCGGCATAAAGCACTTGGCGAACCAGCGCGAACAACACCAGACGAAGTCTCGGATATTGCTGGCTTGGACTCAGATGCTCCAGACTCCAATGAGGAATTAGATATTGAGGGGGACAATGATGGATTAGAAGATTCAGAAGATTCAGAAGAAAACGACGTGGATGGTAGCGGATCAGATTTCGAAGGCTTCGACTCCAAAGAAGACGTGGACGAGGCACCTCGCGTACGAGAAAACCCCTACATCGCGCCAGTACCCGCGGGTGCCACCCCCGCTAGATACATACCCCCAGCGCTACGAGCACCGCCTTCTTCAGATGCCGAAGCCCTTGCTCGACTACGTAGGCAAACTCAAGGTCTCCTCAACAGGCTCTCTGACGCCAACATGATGTCGATCCTGAAAGACATCGAGAAACTTTACCAGAACAACCCCCGTGGCTATGTTACCTCTACCCTTGTAGATAGTCTTATTGGCATCCTTGCAGACCCGACAACGTTGATCGACACATTCCTGATCCTGCATGCTGGCTTTATAGCGGCCCTATATAAGGTCATCGGTCCAGATTTTGGTGCCCAGATGTTGGAGCGTATAATACTTGACTTTGACCGACAGTATCAACCCAACAAGGAGGGCACGGGAAAGCAAACTACCAATCTTATTTCCGTCTTAGCTGAGTTGTATTGCTTTCAAGTGGTTGGATGCAAGGTAATCTTCGACTACATCAAGCTTTTCCTTGACGAGCTCTCGAGTATTAACACGGAACTGCTGCTTCGGATAGTGCGGGTGTCAGGCTCACAGCTCCGGCAAGACGACCCTTCTTCGCTCAAAGATATTGTCATACTGCTCCAGAAGTCCGTGGCCAGGGTGGGCGAGAAGAATTTACCCGTACGAACGAAATTTATGATCGAGACCATCAACGATCTCAAGAATAATCGTATGAAGACAGGTGTCGCGGCTTCGGCCATAGTGCGCGAACATACCATCAGTATGAAGAAGCAGCTGGGAACCCTCAATACGAGGAACTTGAAAGGCAGTGAGCCTTTGCGAATAGGTCTGGCTGACATTAGGGACACCGACAAGAAGGGCAAGTGGTGGCTCGTAGGAGCAAGCTGGCGGAGCAACATGGCTGAGAAACCCCAGGAACCAAAAAGTCAGAAAGATGAAGATGAGAATGAGCAAGTCGATGGTGAGGTTAACGGGGACGATGGCGAAGTTGATCTCTTGCAACTTGCCAAAGAACAACGTATGAATACGAATGTCCGTCGAGCCATCTTCGTAACGGTCATGTCGTCTAGCGACTACAAGGACGCGCATATTCGCCTGTTAAAGCTCAGGCTAAAGAAAGCAGAAGAAATGGAGATACCTCGGGTTATCTTGCATTGCGCAGGCTGTGAAGATGTATACAACCCCTACTACACCGCCCTGGCACGGAAGTTTTGCACTGATCACAAGTCGCGGAAGTCTTTCCACTTTGCGTTGTGGGATATTTTCAGAAAGCTAGGGGAAAAGAAACCTGACGACGATGCATCGGATGACGAAGAGGACTTGGAAAGCGACATGTCTCTACGCCGCATCGTCACGCTCGGCAAGCTCTACGGCACGCTCATCGCCAATGGCGATCTAGCCATCGTTGGTCTGAAAACGCTCAATTTCCCGTACTTGAAACCGAAAACGAAGACACTGATTGAAGTACTTCTTGTGACGATCATACTGGAATCACAGAAGGGTCACAAGGGCAAGCGCAACGAGAAGGCACTGCTGAATATCTTCGTCAACGTGGATGCGGTTCCAGAGATGGTTACTGGCTTACAATATTTCCTGAAGAAAGTTGTCAGTAAGACGGAAATCACGGCGAATAACAAGGAGAAAGACACGGTAAAATGGGCATGTAAGATCATCATGGGGATGCTGGAGCGTTTGATGGCGACGACCACGCTCGAGGAGGATTGATGGAGGGCAGAGGACCTTTTGTGACGAGGGTTGTGTATAGTGTACTTCGAAGTAACACAACTGCAATTCGGATTGCACGAGCTCGCCGCGATAAATCAACGGTGTAACGAGAGTCTGCATAGTAGGTTTGACGGGACAGTCGGAAGGCTCAATTCAACGGTGACTCTCGTGTCTTAGAGGAACGCATTTGACTTGTAGACATGGAAGCGATTGCAATCGAAACCGCTACCTCGGTATCACTGGCAAGGTCGCGACGACTTAGTACACGAAGCATTTTCGACATTGTCATGCACTACCCATCGCGGGAAGCACTATCTACTGTGGGTAACCGCGATTTGCATTGAACAGTTCGCCTCCCGCGCGGTTCTAGCGAAGGCTGTAGGATCGATCGCGTCAACGAGGCGGTCATCTGACGTATCATCTACCTAAGGTACCAGGTTCGGGGCCAAGGTAACCGCCGATGCTAAACAGCGAATGTATCGAGGGGAAAGCGTCATCGGAACAGCGCGGTGGCTTCGTGCAGCTTGGTGAATTGTCAATGCAACCGCAAGACAGCTGCCCTCGTTACTATCATTGATGCACGACGCTGGGTGCGCGCATAGTGCTTCCATGGTTCTTCGTCCGCAGCACGCAGGTACGGGTCCCTCGCAGCTAGTGTTTGGACTAATCCAAAAGTGGATGGTGCACGTGCGGCACCGTCATCGCCGCCCCAGCCACCATTAGGCTGCACCTTCAAGCTTCCCGGAGCTCCAGACATCACTCTACCATCACAACACAGCTTCATAAAGGAGCTTTTCTTCGATCGTCGTCGTCACTATATCTGTTGAGGCGCTTGCCTACCCGTCGTCTTCATGAAGACCTCCATTCTCCTCGCTGCGGGCTCGCTGATGGGCGCCGCAAGCGGCGCTGGCGTGCACAAGATGAAGCTCAAGAAGGTGCCTCTATCGGAGCAGCTCGTAAGTCATCATCGCATCGACCGGATCTAGCTCGCACCCGATTGCAAGATTGATCAAGGCGCCCTTTGCACCGCTCGTGCTAACCGTCGCAGCAATACGCCAACTTCCAAGAGCAGGCGAAGGCTCTCGGACAGAAATACATGGGCATCAAGGCCGAGACGCACGCTGAGCAGGTCTTCAAGGCGCCTTACGTCGCTGATGGAACGCACCCGGTGCCCATCACCAACTTCTTGAACGCACAGTGTATGTACCTTGTTAGCTTATCAGCAACCCCCGAGCAGCTCCTGACGAACCGCAGACTTCTCCGAAGTTTCTCTCGGTACGCCTCCGCAAGACTTCAAGGTCATCCTCGACACTGGAAGCTCCAACCTTTGGGTTCCGTCGTCTGAATGCAGCTCGATCGCTTGCTACCTGCACACCAAGTATGACTCGTCGGCATCGTCCACCTACAAGAAGAACGGCTCTTCGTTCGAGATCCGCTACGGATCGGGCTCGCTCAGCGGTTTCGTGTCCCAGGACACCTTCCAGATCGGCGATCTGAAGGTCAAGAACCAGGACTTTGCTGAGGCTACCTCCGAGCCTGGTCTTGCTTTCGCCTTCGGCAGGTTCGATGGCATTCTGGGCTTGGGTTACGACACCATCAGTGTTAACAAGATCGTCCCACCATTCTACAATATGTTGGACCAGGGCTTGCTGGATGAGCCCGTTTTCGCCTTCTACCTCGGAGATACCAACGACGAGGGCTCCGAATCCGAGGCAATCTTCGGTGGTGTCAATCCGGACCACTACAGCGGCAAGCTCACCAAGATCCCCTTGAGGCGCAAGGCCTACTGGGAGGTCGACCTCGACGCGATCACCTTCGGTGACGAGACCGCTGAGATGGACAACACTGGTGTCATCCTCGACACCGGTACCTCTCTCATCGCTCTGCCTTCCACCATTGCTGAGCTTCTGAACAAGGAGATAGGCGCGAAGAAGTCTTTCAACGGACAGTACACGGTTGAGTGCGACAAGGTTGCCAGTCTGCCCGACCTTACCTTCACGCTCACTGGCCACAACTTCACTATCGGCCCTCACGACTACGTTCTCGAGGTACAGGGCTCTTGCATTTCTGCATTCATGGGCATGGACTTTCCGGAGCCTGTCGGTCCTCTCGCCATTCTCGGAGACGCCTTCCTCAGGAGGTGGTACTCTGTATACGACCTCGGCAACAGCGCCGTCGGTCTTGCCAAGGCGAAGTAAGGTGTACCATGCTTGGGATAAATTGTAAGGTCGCCTTGGGATAGGAACGATGGACGATGGAGTTGGAAGGTTGTAAATGGCAACGCTGGGCTGAGGCTGTGGTATCATAATGAGCGTTATTGATCTCCTTTGTCTATGGTATTGCTGCAGTCATGTACAGATATCCAGAATAAACTCCGAGCTGAGCAACGAATCTTCGAAAGTACCGCAATCCGTTTGCCACGACCAGCTTCAGATGTTCGTCTTCCATGTGCACTGTTGAGCCGTTGCTGTCCGGGGTAGCGCTAGACGATCGGCGCCCGAGGCGCACGCGATTTGGTCCCGTTATCGATAGCTTAGGCTGACGTATCTGGCGTGTGCTTTGGCGTGGCCGACGGGAGCTGGTTCAGATGTCGAAAGGAGCCAAACAACTAATGTCATGAATGCCGTGAATAAACCAAGGGTGACCGTTGGCGGCCTGTGTGCGCGTGTGAGACAATTGCCATGCATCATTGGTGCCTTCTGACTGCATGTTGGAGCTTATCAAGGTGGGCACATGCGGGTTACAAGGCAACGCCGCTAAATCGAGACGAACGTCAGGTGAATCTGTGGCCCAGCGCGTCTGCTGCTCGACTCGCGTCGCCAACATGTAACAACCCACGTTGTCGCTGCCCCAAGCAGATGTACCGCTTGATCTCAGACCAGCTTGGTGTTCTCCAAGCGTTGTTGTGCAGCCACCCTTTGAGCGCGACACCCTAACCCGATCATCCTCCGCCTCCGTCACAACCGCTTTCTCTGTCCATCGAATCGCGAGCACCGCACCCTTTACGCATCATGGCTGCTGATGAACGGTCAAGAGAGCGGCCTGTCCGCAAGCTCACAAAGAAGCGCAAGGACTCACGGCGTGTGTCCTTGGACATCCCAGAGCGATTTAAAGATGCCGGCGATGCGGACGAGGATGTCGCGGCACCGAAGCATATCAACGCAATATCCATGCACCAGTCTATATTTTCCATGATTTCACGAGCCGGTCATCACTCGCAGACGGATCTTGGCCTCACAGAGGAGGTGGACTCGGGTGACAGCGACAATGAGGCAAGGCGGAATATCAAGTATGGCAGTTTGGATGGTGCAGCGAGGATGAGCCGCCTGAGCTCGATCCACGATTTTCACAGCCCGCTTGAAGAGGTGGAAGAGGACAAACCGCTGAAGAGCAAGCACCGGAGGGCCCTCTCGGAGCACAAATTGCTGCGTTCGCTGCCCAAGCTGAAGATGTTAGGCAGAAAGGATTCCAAGTCGGAGGCCCAAGCAGCCGACCCAATGTCTTCGTCGCAGTTCTTGCCCTCGCGTCCATCGGAAGATGAACCATCCTCATCATCTCGAGACGAATCCCTGGTCACTACCAAGCCCAGGACGGTATCCGGACAAGACTTGCGTTCTGAAAAGCGTCGCGGCTTAGACCGCAAGAGCAGGCACATAGGAACAATGAGCGGGCACAAGGGCAAAACAACTGTTTCGCTTGCAAACCGCTTGCAGCAGATCTTTGAGTTCGAAGATTTGGAGGAAGTCATTTCAGGTTTGTCAAACAGAAGACCAGGTGGAACCTGGCTAATTCGTACAGAATACCCCTGCTGGCTGTTGCAAAGCATTCTGCTCCAGGGCTACATGTATATCACCCAGAAGCACATCTGCTTCTATGCATATATACCAAAGAAGCATGTATGTGCTCACATTCTAATTCTTTGTATCAAGCTTACTTGGGCACAGCACGATGTTAGTAAGACCGGCTATCTCTCGAAACGCGGCCGGTCGAAATATAACCGATACTGGTTCGTATTGAGAGGCGACGTTTTAGCTTACTACACCAACCCCACAGAGTTGTACTTTCCCCGCAACCGCATCAACTTGCAATATGCAATATCTGCCGAGATCCTGGATGGCAAAGACAAGCACAAGGACGAAACCACCTTCGTAGTGACCACAGACGAGAAGACCTTCCAGTTCAAGGCTGATAGTGCGGTGAGCGCGAAAGAGTGGGTAAGGTCTATACAAAAGGTCATATTCCGAACGCACAATGAGGGCAATAGCGTGAAAATCTCCCTGCCCATTCGAAACGTTCTCGAGATTGAAGAGAGTACCATTCTCGATTTCGCCGAGACGGTGAAAATTCGTGTGATTGACAATGATGAAACATACGCGATAGACGAGGTAAGTGCCCCTTCTCCTTACTATTGATCAAGTCCCAAGCTAACAAGCGACAGTACTTCTTTTCCTTCTTCAGCCAGGGTCAGGATGCTCTGAATGTTCTCCGTATCATGATCAATGACAACGAACACCACCAGACAGCGCAGCAGCAGGGTGACCAAAGCGCGACAATACCAACCGTCCTGGATCTTCCCAGTAACCATAATGCAGGCACAGCTCACGACAGTCCCAGCCACGCACCGTATATAGAAGAAAATGTGAGAGCAACCTTATCGCCATTGCCTGGTCCTGCTGTTGGGCGTTCAAGCATGAGCGCAGATTCTCGATCTAGTCTGGATGTGCGAAGGAGCCTGGACGTGCGACGTAGTATGGACGCAAGCCGCTCTCTTCGACGACCTAGTCATGAGGCTCGCCGCAGCTTCAGCGGCAATCGTTACGATAAACAGTCGAAGGGCCGACCGGGCGATAAGTCGCCGTTGTCGCCCAGACTGCAAGATACTTCAGATTCGGCTCCGAATTCTGTAGATCCAGGTAACGAATCATCAGCCCACGTACAATCCATGGACGAGAGCAATGCGTCTGCAAGTCAAATCCTCGACCGCTCAGATGTATTTCGCGCCCCAACAATTCACACTGGCCAAGCCACTACGTCTGAAAGAATTGATGATCTCGCACGAGATTCACAGGATACGACGCGTTCGTCAGGTAGGCGACACTTTCACTCGAAGCCATCGCGCCATTTGAGCAAACACACTAGCGGCACAGGCCCCGCGCAGACAGGCATACATAAATCCGACATCGAGAACGACCCAGAGGCGACGACCACACGCTTGTCTACTTCGTCAACTGCACTCCAAGACATCGCGTCATATCCACTTCAAAAAGCTGCCGGCTTAGCAGGTTTCTTACGCACCCGGTCAAAGAAGATGGGTACCCTACTTTCTACCGAGTCCATGGGGTACTACGAGAAGGTATCTGGGATGCTAGCCGGCGGTCGAAAACACTACAATGTGGCGGACGGACTGCAGCCCAACGACCGGGTGCACGATCCTGAAGAAGACGGGGATGCTGCTAAGGCAGCGCAGCACTTTCAGGAGCACTTCGCCTTGCCCAATGAACAACTTCAGTCTTCTTACTTTGCTTACCTGCAACGCATCCTTCCCAATTACGGGAAAATTTACATCAGCGATCGCTCCTTCTGTTTCCGAAGTCTTGTGCCTACTGTGAAGACCAAGGTACGTAACGCCTTGCGTTGGCTTTGTGACTTGACTTACTCGTGTAGATCATTCTGCCAATGCGGGACATCGAAACGATCAACAAGGAAAAGGGCTTCAGGATGGGCTATCACGGACTGGTTGTCGTTATTCGAGGGCACGAAGAGCTTTTCTTTGAATTTGCCAAAGCCGAACATCGCGACGAGTGCGCCATCTCGATTTTGCGCATCCTGGAGAGCACCAAGTACATCGAAGAAGAGCAATCATCTGATGGTGTGGACAGCGAGGATGAAGCGGCCAAGGCGGAGCATGACCTGCTCCAGGCAGCACGGGATACCGCCGAGGGGGACGTTAATATACCGACTACACCCGTAGCAGAGCTTGATCGCATCCCGCTCATTTTCGACGACCCATTAGCTTCGATCGTGGACTTTAAGCCGTCCGAGCCTTTGAATATAGTCTGCCTGACGATTGGATCCCGTGGCGATGTTCAACCTTACATCTCCCTCTGCAAAGCACTAATCAAGGAGGGGCATCAACCCACCATCGCCACCCACGCCATGTTCGAAGATTGGGTTAAAAAACATGGCATTGGCTTCGCCCCCGTAGCTGGTGATCCTGCCGAGCTCATGCGCATCTGCGTACAGCACGGGATGTTTTCTTACGGGTTTCTCAAAGAGACAAACTCGACGTTCCGGGGTTGGCTAGACGAGTTGTGCGATACAGCTTGGAAAGCATGTCAGGGGGCCGATGTTCTTATCGAGAGTCCATCCGCCATGGTTGGAATCCACATCGCCGAAGCTCTGAAGATCCCATACTTCCGGGCCTTCACGATGCCCTGGACACGGACTCGAGCCTATCCACATGCCTTTGCAGTAGGACCGAACAAGATGGGCGGCGCTTGGAATAGTATGACATATCTGACCATCGACAAGGTATTCTGGGTTGCGATTGCCGGCCAGATGAACAGGTGGCGTCGGGAACAGCTCAAGCTGCGTACCACGTCGCAGGCCAGGATGCAGGCGAATCAGCGACCATTCCTATATAACTTCAGCCCGCATGTTGTGCCCCCGCCATGCGACTGGCCCGACTGGATCCGCGTCACCGGATACTGGTTCCTGGATGAGGCCGACAAGTACGAGCCGCCAGACGACCTGCGTCAATTCATCGAGAAGGCCCGAGGCGACGAGAAAAAGCTGGTCTACATCGGATTTGGATCCATTGTAATTCAAGATCCGGCTGCTCTCACTAGGACCATAATCGAAGCGGTACAGCTCGCAGATGTTCGCTGTGTCCTCTCCAAAGGTTGGTCAGACAAATGGCAGGGTGACAAGGCTACCTCCAAGGCGGCATCTGAAGCCGAAATTCCACTTCCGCCTGAAATTTTCAGGATCGACGCTGCGCCGCATGACTGGTTGTTCAAGCAAATGGACGCCGTTGTTCACCACGGCGGCTCGGGCACTACTGGGGCAAGTCTTCGAGCAGGAAAGCCGACTATCATCAAGCCTTTTTTCGGAGATCAATTCTTTTTTGCCACGCGCGTGGAAGACCTTGGTGTAGGTACGTACCTGAAAAGGATCAACACCAAGATGCTGGGCAAAGCATTGTGGGAGGCAACCAACAGCGAACGGATGAAGGTCAAGGCCAGGATCCTTGGGAACAAGATCCGGAAGGTAAGGGTGCGCCCCCTCTCATGCAGTCTTGGTTCTAACATGTCTGCAACAGGAGAACGGTACCCAGGTCGCCATACAAACGATCTACCGCGAGCTTGACCGAGCCAAAGCTCTGTCTTGTCGGCAGACCGAACGAGCAGAGGAGGAGGACCACTTTGGTGAGGTGGACGCCGACTGGACTCTGATTGACGATGAGGGCGACGTGCAAGACCTTGACCTTCCTCTCGAAGCCATGTCTGGGATGCATGAGCAAGTCACGGATGGGTCGGAGACGGGACCGGCAACTTTGGCGCTGGGCGGCATGGTCATGTCGTCGCAACAGCACCAGGCTGACTAGGAGCCGTGTGTGCTCCCCTTTGAGTTCTTTGCAGCGTTTTTCGCTGTTTCTATTAGACTGTTGATCTGTAACATGGGCGTCTGGTATGCACAGGCTGCCGGTGCAAGGCGGGCATTTCACAGAGGGACCGGTTTTGCATGGTTTGAGCGCGGAGTTGCATAATAGGAGGCTCGATTGACACGAGGATACTTTGAGACGAATGCGCAGGTTGCTTGCCTTTGCCAGTTCTGCTCAGCTGCGGTGAATGCCTCGGGTGCCCGCAGCTTGCTTGATACGTCAGATGGGGTGCGGGCGGTCGCGGTTGCCTTGGAGCCATTCTCTTTCGACTCGACCACGCCTCGTCGCCCAGCGTGTGTCTCTTACTCGCTAGCTATGCGACAGATGCTCCTTTGTCTGCATGCTGAAAGCCGTCGAGGGCGTCGCGTGCCAAAGACGCTGATGGACTAGCCTAGGCGGCCCGCTAGGATGGCTGCAGGCCAGGGGTCTCCGGCCCAACTACAAAAGGAACTGACGCCCCTCTTTCCAAGCTGCACAAAGCTTTTGGTGCGCTGCGGGAGCCGCATTGCCCACCACAACCCACCGTCCCTCGACCGTCGCGTCGCCCCCACGCGCATCCACGCACCCGCCCATCTGCTTCTCTGGCTGCACTCGGCTGCGCGGGCGCCCGTTAGCTAGCTGTGCATCATTGCTCGCTTCGCTACAAGCCCCAAGCTCCTGCGTCCGAGCTCCTCCACTCCAACCTCAGAGCTCCCGCGTACCGAATGCGCCGCCATCCATCGTTAGCCCACGCAGCTCGTCGCCATGGATTCGGACACGCACACCGAGCCCATGAAGATAGGCGCGCCCAATGGCCTGCACTATCCCATCACCGTCACCGACATTGCCAAGCAGCAGGGCGACGACGTCGCCCGCTTCCAACCGCTCTTCCACTACTCGTTCGAGAGCCTCCGGGAAGAGACGAACAAATGGGGCGACACCAAAGAAGTTCTGCATAAATTCTTCGCCAGCTTCGAGGCTCCGGTAGACGGTCAGATTGAGACATGGCACATCAAGAAGGATCAGGTGGTATCCAGACCAGGGTAGGCCCCGCGTCATTCCCTCCCCTCGACCACTTCTAACAAGTTGCTAGCACCCTCCTGCTTGAGATTACAGAGCCATGCACCCACGAAGAGCAGTTCGGAGGCTTGTGCACCATGTGCGGCAAGGACATGACCGAGGTCAACTACCTGACCGAGAAGCTCGACATCACCCGCGCAACCGTCAACATGACGCACGACAACACTGCACTGCTTGTCAGCCACAAGGAAGCTAGGAAGGCCGAAGAAGCTGCAAAAACGCGCCTGCTCGAAGCGAAGAAGCTGACCCTGATTGTCGATCTCGACCAGACCGTCATCCACACAACCTGCGAGCGCACAATCGCCGAGTGGAAGGACGACCCGACGAATCCGAACTACAAGTTTGTCAAAGATGTCGAGGGCTTCCAGCTGGCCGACGACAACGTTGCCCACATTGCCGCGAACTGGTACTACGTCAAGAAACGCCCAGGGCTAAAGGACTTCTTTGATAACATGTCTCAGCTGTACGAGATGCATATCTATACAATGGCAACCCGCGCTTATGCGCAGGCTGTGGCCAAGATAATCGATCCGGACCGCAAATACTTTGGCGATCGCATCTTGAGCCGCGACGAGAACGGTACAGACAAGGCCAAGAGTTTGCATCGGTTGTTCCCAAATAACCCTGGCATGGTGGTCATCATCGACGACAGAGCGGATGTTTGGAATTACAGCCCTTATCTAGTCCGCGTTCCGGTGTTCAACTTCTTCCCCGGTGCGGGTGACATCAATGCTAGCTTCTTGCCCAAGCAGCTAGAGGTACCTGCTCCTGCGACCGCTCCTGCGACCACTCCCAAAGACAGGGTCGAAAATAAAGCCAGAGTTGATTCTGAAGGGATTCCTTTTTCTGTTGCCGGGAAACCCCTCCCACCTAAACCTGTGAATTCAGATTCGGGAGACACAACAAACGGGGTCGAAAATGATCTGGAAGAGCGAATGATCGCTATGGGCGCTGGAGAAAGTCAAGAAGCTCTCGAAGAGCGTGTGAGAGAACAAGAGAAAATCATTGTTGCTCAACAAACTGAGCGACCCTTATTGCAACAACAGCTTACGCTTGAGAAAGAAGATGACGAGGAGGAAGCCGCGAGATCCGACATTCCCGAGCATAGCGAGATACAGTCCACTGAACACCACAAACACCACCGTGCTATATTAAACAATAGCGACGATGGCTTGGAAGTCGTTGAAAAGAACTTGCGGCGCGTGTATGAGGCATTCTATGATGAATACCAGAGGTCAATAGTGAAGCCTAGAGGTAGTCGCGTTGCCGAGCTCAAGGGGGAGAAAAGCCCCAGGAAACCGCGTCTCGAGGGGATGGTGCCTGACATCGCCTACATTATGCCACGCATCAAAAGTGAGACTCTTGCTACATGCGTCATTGTATTCTCCGGCATAATACCGCTAGGCATGGATGTTGAAACGTAAGTGAATCAGATCTCACAACTGTCTTAAAGCTAACAACAACAAGCTCCGACTTCGCGCTGTGGGTCAAGAGTTTCGGTGCGCAGATAGCTCTCAACGTTGACAAACGAACGACACATGTCATCGCGAACCCAGACCGGAAGACATCGAAAGTGAAAAAGGCAGCGCGGATCCTTCACGATGGAGGCAACATACAGATTGTGACAATCCAATGGATGACCGAATGCTGTACCCGATGGGAACACGTTGAGGAAGAGGCCTACTACATCGATGTGGATGATGAGCGTGGGACCCCAGCGCCTGCAGAAGAGCTGGAAGAGGAAGAAAGCATCAATGGGACCGACGAAGATGATGCCAAGTCGCCATTATCTATATTCGACATGCCCAATGACGACTGGGACGCAATACAAGCGGAGATCGAGGAGTTCGAGAATGAATCGGACTCCGAAGGTTCTCGGGCCTCCGACTCAGAAAGCGTACATTCCACAAACAGCGCAAACACAGAGGCCAACGGTACCAAAGCCGTCCGGCGGAAGAGGAAGAGGGGCACGGAGTCTGATGCTGAGTTGGAGGCAGGGGACAGCGATTCTAGCGTCAACAGTACGTCCAGGTTGCAGAAACGAAAAAGGCGCACCATGGAACGAGTCACGTCGCTGACGAATGTGGTCAACGCAGACAAAGAGTCTTCGGGCCTGCCTAGTCCCGAGACGACGGGACCTGAAGAAGACCAAGGTGATGAATTTGATCCCCAGGGCGGAGGTACGGACCTCGCCGGGGACAATGACCAAGATCTGGAAGATGATATGTTGGCTCAGTTCAACGCTGGATTTGAGGACGACTAGTCTCCATATGATTCTGTTCCAAATTTTCGCCGCTTTCGAAGTCATCGTTTAGGCTTGGATCTTCTGCATAGCGAGGGGTGTTTGGGCATCACGGCGTTTGTTTTGATTGTTCATTGTCATTTGATTTCGTCAGATTGGGCTTCATTTGGGTGGGATATTTTATGCCTCATGGCGCTTCATTGGGTGGGCATCAGCGATTGAGTCGGACTGCCTGCATCCCAGGCTGAACATTTATGATCTTAGGTAGGTGGTCGACGTGCAGTTGATCGGACAGGACAATGGAATCTGATACCCGTTCTTCATGTTCTGTGCTCGCTAGACACTTGCCGATGCTGCTACTGTACAGGCTATCAAGAGGAGATCACTCGTACACGCCTCACAGCTCCAGAGCTCTATACGAAGACCCCCTAGCCTTGAGCAACTCCTAAACGCCCTATATCCAGATATACAACGCCGCAAATCAATATTCTCATGATGATTCGCCGCTCTCCGCCCTCGGCCTGTTGCCACCAGACTGTGTGAACGGCCACGGTCCGGCTCTAACACCTTCCGTAGGCGTCATAGCCCTCCTCCTCTCCAGTGGGCTCCAATCCATAAGACCCGCAATCGTCGCATCATCTCTCGCTCTCTGTCTCTCTCCACCCACATCTACACCTACTGTCTCCTGGTCAGTCACCAGCCTCACGCCCGCCGTCCTCTGCTTCTCGCGCTCCTTCTCCAGTCTCTTACCCTCAGCCTTCTTCTTCTCGAATTCGATGATCAGCGTCTTGAAGTATGCTTCTGCTGCGGGCGTCGCGGAGTAGTGGACGGGGGTTCAGGAGTAAGCGTTTGAGGCAAGCGGATTGGCGCCATACTGGAGGAGCATGCGGAGCGCTTTGAGTTCGCCGGCAGCGGAGGCGTGATGCAGCGCCGTGTTGCCGACGTGGTCGTAGGAGGTGAGGATCTGGGGTGCGTGGAGGAGTAACGTAGGGATGAGGTGAAGGGTGCCTGTGCCGCTTTTGCAGGCAAGCATGAGCTGCTTGGGTTTTAGCTAGGATGTGCGGTACTAAAGGGATGGATGAGAGGGTAACACGTACGGCGTCCAGCCCAGTTCTGTTCTGCCACGCAATACATCCTGGAAACCGCTTTGCCAGCATCACGCCGACTTCTTCCTTGCCTGCCATGGCTGCCAGCATGAGCGGCGTCTCGAGCTCGTTGTTGCGGCTGACAAGCTCGTTTTCGTGGCCGGCTCCAACAAGGAATTCCTGTCATCACACTCGTATAAGCTCCTGCCTCCCCCTCGGGAACGATAGGCCACGAAGGCATGACGTACCGCAATCGCGGTGAATCCATTCTTCGCCGCGAGATGCAAGCTTGTATTACTCTTGTCGTCGAAGTCCGGGTTCTGTAGGTACAAGGGGTTGTTGCGCACGATGCGCTTCACAAGGTCGAGGTCGTTGAGAAGGATAGCACGGCGCAGACGTCGCGGTACATCAATCCTATAGACAATCTGTTAGTCTGATCCTTCCTCAGATTAGCAGGCTAGTTTAAGTAGGACTTACATGTTGGTAAGCGCGAAGCATGTTTAAAGGCGCGAATATAGCATTTTTTGCACTGTTATATGCTACTGTTATCTGTTGATGCGGGGACTATGGGTGGTGACGCGGGGCGGAGCTTCATTCACGGAGATTTACGGATGAGGCTAGTGCGCCATGTGCTTGATCTGCGTTCGGCAGACTTGGCGTTTTAGCTTGGGATGTCCACATTCCAATGTCTCATTATATTACCGAGAATGTTGTAAAGGCATTACAGAAGGAAACATTATGGCCTGCAAGGAAGAGGACCCAAGAGATAGCTTGCTGGAAACGATGTCCTGCATCACACCGACCGTAAAGATTGCTGCAAGCATGCTAAAGTGCATGGGAACCAGCTGGACTAGCTGGATGTTATTGACGAATTACAAGCGAGAGCTACGCAGGCATTGTAAATTTCAGTACTCGTGATAACATGCTTCATTATGCTTGCTGCTTCAGCAGGCCGATCCATCGATGTTCGCTAGAGACGACTATCTTACACCCAAGACAACGTTGAGTCCGAGCCGGCCAAGCGCCGCCATCTAGTCATCTACAAACCGTCAAAGTCGCCCGCCGCATCGTCATCATCAAGATCACCCTCCTGGATCTCCTTTGCAAGCTCCCGCTCCCGCTCTCTGGCCTCCTGAGCATTCTTCAACTCTAACCGATGCTGATTCATTGGGTAGCGCATCGCCTTGACACATTCGTCGTGAAGTGTCAAGCAGGCGCGAATACGCTCGTGAAATGCCTCGCCGGGCTCGCGCGTGGCGTAGATATCGCCGGCCTGCTTCGTTTGCATGAAGCCCTTCTCGTGATCAATCGAAGCCTCAATGACACCATCGCGAATCGCCTTCGCAACGATGTATTCTGCCGACTCCTCACTCTCAAGCCCGAGGCGCAGGCAGATATCTCGTAGGGAAATACGCGAGTAGGAGAGCGAGAGCACGCGGATTCCGGTTTTGATGACGTTTTGGCGGAGACGCAGGATCAAAGTGTAAGTACCATCGCGGTGGAAGGCCTTTGCGGAGTTTTGGACAATCTTCAAGAAGCTTGGTAGGTCGCCAGCGCGTACTGCCTGGACCAAGCGGAAGTATGGCTCCAGAGTACGCTCAAGACGGGGCTGGCTGAACAGCTCACGTTCTGGAATATCACCCATGAGCAACTCTACTACTATCAGGAGCTTCATCGAGGCCTGGTAGAAACCTGCCGCGACGGAGTTGGACGGTGCTTTGCGGGTAGCGCTGATCAAGTGCTCGTGTGCGTCGGTGTATGACAATTGAATGGCCCTTATGCGACCAAGATAGTAGAGATACCTGGCGACTTGGTTGTTTGGTGCATTCTCGGGGAACTGTGTCTGCGCAACGAGCAGATCGGCTTGCGTTATGTCGGCGGTGGAGAGGTAATTACGAAGGAGCAATGTGGTGACCGAAGCCTGAGTGTCCAGATCCTTTCGGAGCACGGCACTGCGGAGAGCCGCGAGCAACTTCCCTCGAATGGTAATGACCTGCGACTGTTTGGAAGGCGGTTTAGGGTCGAGCTCCTCATGGAAGAGCGAGAAGTAGAAGTACGCTTTCGCGGCTAGGGAATCCAGTGTCCGCCGGTTCAGCTCCCGAATCCTGTCTACTAGTTGAGTGGAGAATTCGGCGCCCTCTTCATAGTCTTGTTGGTCGTAAAGGTACACCTGGATAAGTCAGCTAAAAGCAAGAGAAAAGTTGCCACATGTGCAAAGCATGATCATGTCGCAGCAGATACCAAACACGTCATCCGCTGCCTCAACCACGTAGATAGCCTTGCTTGGAGCAAGACACCAACATCTCCACCCTATTCATACATGTACGTACCTGAAGTAGAATGCCTATGTAAACATCCACCTCCGGTAATGGCTCCTTGGTGCTATTCTTCAGCGCCTGCACCGCATCCTTGTGTTGGTCTGCCACAGCTTTGAGATCCTCGGCCTCCATCCCCACCGCCTGGATAAGTAGCCGCGCGGTGGGGTTCTTCGCCGAGTACGTCACAACGATGACCGTACATAGCACGCGATCGGTGAGCTTCTTTCGGAGCGACGATATTGAGCGGAGTGCTCTCAGTGTAAACCGGGTATCAAACTGGGCGACGGCGCGCTCCAGCAGGGCGAAGTTGGAGCGAATCTCTGCAACAGCCGGGTTAGTCTCCCAATGTGGTCGAGAAGCGTACGCGCGCATCGCATCCGGACAAATGCGACCGGTCTGCGGCGGCAGCCCGCCGAAGCCGCAAGCGCAGGTGAAAAGATGCATGCTGGATATTCTGCGTTGTACATGAGGGCTTACCAGAGACTGTCTTTTCCTCCACGTTCTCGGTGTTTGGCTGCTCGACCTCCGTCACGACGCCTTCCATGCTCTCCGCCATGGCTGCTGATCTGCGTCAATTCGCGGGACCGGGAGAAAGTACGGGTGGCGATCGAGAGTAGATAGAAGGAGGGGCAATGAGCAGATGTTGGGGTGATGATGCAGGTGAGGCGGGAGCTCTTTAGGTCGTAGCTGCCGGCGGCGTATCGTCGTATCGTCGGAGCGGGTTAGCGTTTCCCCGACCGTATTTACAGACCTACGCAACCAACACGCCGCATTCGAACAGTCCAGTAGATAGATCACACATGTCAGCCATGTCGCTCCTCGACGCGCACTTGGAACAGATTTCGCTCTGTGCGCAGTCCATTGCCGAGCTACCGTACGTTTCAAGCCTCTGAACCTTCACTCTTAACTCATGTACCAGGTTTCCCCCGCCGAAGATATTCACAAACGCGCTTCTCCAGTCTCACGATATTACGAGTTTGATCCGCGATACAGAATCACACGAGAGAGCGCTTTTTTCTGTCCCGCCGGCCGCTGCAGCCTCCAAAGCTCAGGAATCTGTCGGGGGTTCGAACAGACGTAACACGATATTCAACCCCACCGGCGCCGCCGCGGGTATCGCTGGAGGAGGCGCGAATGCCATGAGAGCACCCAAGAGAAACACGGCCGTTGCGGCTGTTCTGGGTAATGAGCTCGTCGAGCGAATACGACAAGGAGGTGGAGGTGGGGCTGGCAGCGGCCTTGGATACCGAGCATACGATGGCGGCAACAAGAATGACATAGATGTGGAAACACTGCTGGAGGGAGCTGAGAAGCTACTGGGCGTATAGTATGTGGTGTCGCAAGTCTAGCGTCATGTGGGGCTAATAATTGCAGTCCAATACCTGGAGCGCACGATCGAATTACCTCTATGCGTCAGCGACATAGCCGACTCGAAGCGTCGATAGACTATTATGAGTCGCGTATTGCAGAACAAACAACCCAATTGAGCAAGCTTAACCGGTCACGCGAATATGTCGATCAAGAGCCAGGGGAGGCGGAGATTGTGGCGCCTGTCATGACCGGAGAGGATCTTCGACGTGAAGAGGAAGAAGTGAGGCAACTGGAGCGGAAGAAACGGGGACTCGAGGATCAGGTGAATTCAATGGGAAGGGACATATCTGGCTTTCTGCGTTGAATGACTTGCCGTGATCTAGATGACACCTGGGCAGCGGGTAGATGAGGATACGAGAGTGTCTTGGACGCAACCTTCCCATGCGATCTCTGAAAACATGGATCGCGGAGGCCAAACTGTGCCAGAACGGTATTGCTAATATACCTATGCGCTTGGTCTCTGTATGAAAAATTCTGGATCAACACATAACAGGTGGATTATCCGAGAACTTGCGTCCATTGTGAAGAGACGAATGTCTCGGGAGTCGTCGTTGCTTACAGGCAAGTGGGCATGCCGTAACAGTTGAAGATTAGTTATACAGTAAGAGTCGCTATAGTATTTCCACCCCGGAAGTGTTGCTGAAACGTCACAGATCAAGGTTTGAGTAGTTACTATGACTGGATTTCAAGGTCTGCTCTCATGATGCATTACACATGAGACTTTCTCATTCATCTGTAGCATATGTACATGCTTCGTCTTCCCACCCATGACGCTCCTACTGAGCCTTCCATTGCGAGATCTCCGCCTCCGTAAGCTCCCGCAACTTATTCACATTAGGTGGCTGGCCTGTTGCAACACCCTTGGCCAGTTCAACAAAGCTTCCGAGCGTTGTACTGTTCGAAACAGCATACGTCGCCGTACTAGCCTTCACACGGATGATGCCAATGCGTGGATCTTCTGGGCCACCATCGTGCTTGCCGTCACCGAGATCACCGATCCAAGCCTTCAGGGCGGGTGAGTAGTGCTTCTTGACGACGTTGCGATCGGTCTCGATGGAGGCATGGCCCGAAATGGACGCCCACTCGCCGGAGTTGTTGATAAAGCCGATGTTGATGGAGGGGTGGGTCTTCAGATCATCTGTCTTGCCGGACTCGGTGTTAGTGTGGAAGAGAAGGTCGAAGCCATTGCCCTCCTGCGTTACGTTAGTACCGTAAGTCATGTCGCGTGACTACATGGGTACCATACCTTTGCTGCCAGAGCCATGGCTCTCGACGTGAGCAGATCGCTTCCCGCGGTTTGCGCAGTCATCAAGCAGATTTTTGTCTTGTCGATGAAGCTGAAGAGATCCTCGACCTTTTCCTTGAGAGAAGGATCCTGCTTGTTCTGCGAGGTGTAGGGGTCGGCGGGCTTGCTGCCCGTGTCTGCATTACTGAAGGACGACATGGATGACGACTGAGGTTTCGATGCAGGAAAAGATTGATTGGGTCTATGGAGACTACCTACAGAGCATTAGCCAGTGATTATGCAGTGAGGTTCGCTGCGCCTGACCAACAGGACTAACTCGACTGCAACTGTAGCTTGCTCGGATGCAGCGGTCCACGGTCGAAGGCAGGCGCACACGCCGAACGAGATTGTACATACCTGAGTGGAGTTGTATAATTAATCGAGCGAAGTTGTCGTGAGGGGCAGAGCGGATAAGAGCGCGAAGTCGCGTTTACTTATGATTGTTAGTCCATGACGTCAAGCTTCCGTTGTTACGTTCCACAGCTCAGGAACCCCACCTATTCTGGGGTAATCACGATCTACTACATACCATGATTGCTCTCGCAATCGTGGCACACGTTTTGGGACATGTGGGGCTTGGGAGAGTAAGACGCCCTCATACCACGTTGTGCGCACGTTATACAGCCGGCACTTTCAGGTTGAAGATTTCGAATAATGTAGTTTTATTTAGGTCTAGCCGTCTACTTCGTCATTTAGTTGTAGATTGCAGCAATCCTACAGTCCAAATAATATACCACCTGACATTGCAGCATGAATACGCTTGCGAAAGGATGAAGCAGGACCAACCAGAGGTCCGATTCGATGGGTGCTGTAAGCAATTTGCGACTTTTAGAACCCCGTTATGCTCATAGTACGGTGACTGTCCAGCTACTGGATAAAGCATAAAGATGATGGGTGCAGAGCTTCTTACGACTCGGGAGCCTCGTTGTCCTCAATCTTCGCCTTCTCGAGCTCCTCAGCCACGTCGGCTTCTGCAGCCTTCTCCTGTTGAAGTTCGGCTGCCGCCGAAACAGGGCCGCCGTTGACAGCCTGGTTCTTCTCGGCTGGCTTACGCGCACTGTCTATCACACCCTCGGCCTCCTCAGCCTCCAAGCGGTCAATTTCCTTTTGCGCTTTTGCGATGTTCTAACAGGAGGTCAGCGTGATGGTCCAACTAGCATTGTGCAGTGCGCGGCGATTCTTCTGGAAGCTCCCTGCCGGCCACATCCTCCTGCAGTACCCCAAAAAGGATAGTATAAGAAAACTGCATGCAAAGCAATGCCTAGTCTGGGCGCCGACTCGTACACAGTCTGCTTTTCCACAGTACATCGCTGGCCTACACACACCGAGTACATGTTCGCGAAGTTTCGTGGAACTTTCGATGCTCTAACGGATAGTTACGTACCTCCTTAGTCTTTGCGTCCTGCTCAGCCTTCCACTTCTCAAGCTTCTCCTTCAGCTTCTCGACGGTGGCGGGGACATCTGCCTGGCCGGACGGCGGGTTCACTCCAACCTTGGCGAGCTCATCGAGGATACCAATGTTCAGATTGAACTTCTCAGATGGAGGGGCAGCGGCTTTCCGTCCTTTTTTATTCTTCTTTCCGCTGGTACCAATAAAGTAGTTCTCTTCATCATCGCCCTTCTTAGAAAGACGGGTTCCCTTCAAACCAGAGTCGTCGACAGTCCGCTGGGCAGAAGCAGCAAACTTGCTGGTCGTTGCCGTCTCCTTCGCGGGCAGTGCCGATGGATCGAAGTAGCGTATCAAGCCCTCCGAGGCGAGGATCTCATCCTGGTATGCAGGAGCGCTGGCTTCCTCAAGACGTTTTGCAGCCATTTCCTTCCGTTTGTTGGCCTGGTACTCTGCTTGTTCCTGTCGCTTGCGCTCTTGACGGGCCTTGCGGGCCTGGAAATCATATTCAGCAAACGCGCGCTTCTGCTGGTAGTACTTGTCCTTGTGCTCCTTGATGGCTTGGAACTTAGCCTGCTGGTCCTCACGCGCCCTATCCCGAGCCTCCATGAGAGTCTTCATGTTCTTGAAAGCCCCGTCCTGCTCCGCTTTGAGCTTGTCCAGCTCATCCTGAAGCTCAGTATATTTGTTGCTGAGAGCCTTTTGCTCGGGGTCGTCGAGGAGCTTCTTCTGCTCAGCTATTTGCGCCTTGAGATCGTCGATCGACTTCTGTTGCGCGTCGAAACCCGAGAAGTTTTTGCGGGCCTTGTTGAGGTTCGTAATCTCATTGAGTGCCTTCTTCTCGTCAACGATCTTCATGCGTCCGGTGTCTACCTCCTTCTGAAGGCGCGCAATCTCGCGGTCAACATCCTCAACGCTCTTGAAGTTCACTTTGCCCTTGGCCGTCTTGAGCTCGCCGATGCGGCCCTTCAATTGCTCGTCGAGGCGCTTGATCTTGTCTAGGACGGCCGTACGCGAACTCTTTTGGCCCTGCTGCGTTTGACGGATCTTGGTGAGCTCCGCCTTGAGCTCTTGCTGGCGTACAGCGTTCGGCGAATCCTTGTTGTTAGGGCGGGCATTGTCGAGCTTTGCTTTTGCGGCGTTCTACAATGATTAGCATGTGTGTTGGCTGTATGTAGCGCCCGCAGCAGACAGGCGGTTGGAACGAATACACGCAGGAGACGTGACTCGAGCACGCGCACGCATCACAGCATTATGAAGAGTGCAACAACACCAAGAACGTGCAGAAGGACAATGCCAGAGGAAAAAGAACTGCAAACTGCTTACGAATTTGGCCTGTGAATCAGCATGGGTCTTTTCCAGTTTGTAAAGGTGGTCCTTGTAAACGGTCTCGTCGGGCTTCTCGGGGCGCACGAATTGCTGCTTCGCATCGGTCTCGCCCTTCGAGACGGCGGGAGCTGCGGCGGTGTCGGCCATGTCTGTCGCTGCCGAGATGCACTCGCGGTTGAGTGGGACTAAACGATGGATGATTGAGTGTGCGAGGCGAGGTTATGTAGGGACCCTGAACCAAGGTATTCAATATTCACCCACGAACCACGTTTCGCAGGCTTCGGCGCGGCGCACGGGCAGGGCAATTTTACCCGCAGCCCACCCCAGCGGTCTCGCCCACTTACTCGCTTACATCTGCCCCAGCATGGCCGATAAACCGCGGAACGATCAAGAGAAAATACCTTTGCTACTGCTCAAAACCAAATCTACGCCGACCGACGCCTACGACGAGTATTTTACCGCTTTGGACGACGGCAAATATGAGCCCGTCTTCGTGCCCGTCCTGGAGCACAGTTTCAAGCAAGATGCACTCAACCAAGTTCAGCAGCACATTGAAAAGGGCGACTTTGCTGGTGTCCATCCCGGCGGGCGGCCCAAGTATGGTGCTATCATCTTCACCTCTCAGCGCGCCGTGGAAGCATTCGCGCAAATCGTGGAGAACGTAAGGAACAGGAAGGATAGCCATCTTCTCGAGGCCTTGCTCCCCAAGCACATGCCACTGTACGTTGTAGGTCCGGCTACCGCACGCAGCCTGAAGTCAATCAACTTGCATTGTCCCATAGTAGGCGAAGAGACGGGGAATGGCCAGGCTCTTGCAAAATTCATACTAGACCATTACAACGAGCTATACGAGGGCGACGATAAACCTCATGTCTTGTTCCTTGTTGGTGAAAAGAGACGGGACGTCATACCGAAAACGCTCCAGTCCCCGGACCTGCCCACAGGACAGAGGTTGGTTGTGCAGGAATTGGAAATTTACGAGACCGGTGAGATGCAGTCTTTCAAGTCGAACTTCACGTCGATCTGGCAGAACAATGCAGTCTTGGGCAAGATGCGGCAGTGGGTAGTAGTCTTTTCACCTACCGGCTGTCAAGCTATGCTGGAAAGTTTGGGACTTCTGAGTCCTGGGCCGGGCAAGTCTACAGCATCGAGCGCCACCCCAAGGGACGTCTCGATTGTCACAATCGGGCCGACCACCCGCGATTACCTGATAGAAGAGTTTGGATTCACCCCAGAAGTTTGTGCCCCAAGGCCAAGCGCAGAAGGGATAGCCGAGGGCATGCAAAGCTTCCTATCGCGTTCGGGTTGATGCTCTGCTACCTGGCCGCTAAGCTTGAAAGGTGTACCAGAAGATATTATGTACCGTTGAAGATGATCAGAACACTGCAACGCAGCGAGGCTGTGAGCGAGAAGCTCAACAACAAATGATAAGCAACGTAATGGGGAGGCACTGCGCCTTGCAGTCTCGTTCCCATACGATGTATGTCCTAGAGAATCTGCATCAGTCATTCTCCATGATGTTCTCGCTGTCGTTCACAAGTGTCGTCGGCATGTCTCCCATGAATGACGTCACCGTTACCTACGCGTCACTGTCGCGTTGCAGACGGCGCGCTAGGAAGTGCAATTGTTAACCCAAACGTGGGCAAAAATTGACTTACCTCCTACATAGATACATCGCTCGTACTTTCACATCTATCTACGTTTCGTGCCGAAGCAATCGACTTCACACATCTAACGATCACTTACCTGTCGCCACCCAGTATGCCAAGTACACGAGCATCAGCGCGCAGTGGCTCCAGCCCGGAAAAGGAAAACGCGGCAGCTGGATCCAAGAGGAAGGCCGACACCAGCTCGCCCAAGGGCAGCCGCAAAGCTGCGAAGCAGACCACTATTGAAGAGTCCCTAGCAGGCGACAACACTGAAGATCCGCCCCGCAACCCTGATGTGGATACTGGGATGAAAGAAACCCCGGCCGATGATGGCGACGAGAAGCAGGGTGAAGAGCCAGCGAAGACAAATACTGAGCCCAAAGAGGAGACAGCGAGAGCCGAAAAGACCAACGAGAATAACGGTGGCGACGATACTAAACAGACAACAGCGAATGATGACCCGGTGCAGGAATCTTCCCAGCGCGAGAAGAAAATTGCGTCGAACATTCTCGAGAAGGGAATTGTGTATTTCTTCACTCGCAATCGTGTGGGCATCGAAGACTCCGACAGTGTCGGTGATCTTCAACGGACGTGGGCAAGCCCCTAGGTACCTGGATGGGTCTTCCGGGCAGAAGGAGATCTCTTCCTTGCTTGGTCAAGACAATCATATGTACCATCACCACTATTCCTGATTCACACTGATTTTGTATAGGTATTTTGTTCTCCGTCCTCTGCCCATTGGGACAAAGCTAGGTTAGCGAGAGCACCCTTCGCGTCTGATCATGTTGACTTAGACAATTTGCAGGCCAGGGAGCGCTTCCCGACCTCGAGAACAATCGCCTCCTGGCGTTGCCGAAGAAGGTCTTTCCCAAGAGTCACAACGACCGCTTCATGGCATTCGTCGAGAAGGCGAACACAACCATACAAGACCTCAAAGATAACTTCTTCAAGGGTAATGAGTACGAGACAAAGACCCAGGGTACACGCCGCGTCGAACCAGTCGCCACCGTCGCAGAAGGCGTGTACTTCATTTCCCGTACGGAAGATCGTTCAACACATCTTGTCTACGCCATTACTATTCCTTCGGAACTAGGAGAGGTGCAAGAGGACCTTGGCTTGCGATCCCAAGGCAGCTTCGTCATAAGTGTCAAGAACCCAGAGCGGCCGGGTCCGGCCTACTCAAATCTGCCGCAAGGCCCTGAATTTCCCAAGGAGTACGTCAGCACGGAAGTGTGATACCGGCATCAGAGCTGACTTCCTTAGATTCATCGAAGAATTCCGCGGTCTTGCGTGGTCTGAGGTAAAGCCGAAGTATCTCGATTACGCCAACACGCAGATCCTGCTCATCGGTGAACACACTGATAAGGCTGTTGAAGCTACCAAGAAGGATCAGAAGCATGACAAGAACACTCCCAAAGAAGAGCTCGAGAAGCTGGAGCACGAGGACGAACTGCGCGTTGAGCATCTACACGGCAACGATAGTATCTTCGACGATCTTGATATCAGCCGTAAGGAGTACTCTCAAGTTCCTACAACGTGGTAGACAGGACATCTATATCAAGGGGGAACAATACCTTGTGATGTATAAACGTGTAAGATAGCAGGAAAGGTCAAGTCATTTACAATCGGGGTTAGTGGCGAGGTTGCAGGCATTGCAGTCCTTGCCTTTTGGATGCGATAACGTGGCCACGTCCCGCGTACTGTAAACTAATCAATATATGATCAAGCATATCATGATGAAGCCTCCCCATCTTTCTTGTTGTAAGAAATATCAGATCATCCAGCACCGCGTGAAGCTCACAGGACTATATGTTGTCGATAGTTTGTGTGCCATGAGGAAAGACATTGTCTCCCTAGAACGCTCGGCACACTGATGTCGTATCTTGCAAAGTCTAAGGACGATTCATGTATAGTACCACATCGAAATGCCAAGCGACTTCTACCTGCTTTCAAATGGACGAGCCTCCATCAATGCACACGTTCAGCCCAGTCGCACTGCGACTCAATGCAAGAGTCCTAATCTGATCTGCAACATCTTCCACCGTAGCCAGTCTCTTCAGCTTCGTATTCTCAATCGCTTTCTCCCTCTTCGCAGCCGGGAACTTCAATCCCCATTCGGTCAACATCATCCCGGGACTCACGCTATTGACTCTGATTTTAGGCGCCAATATGACAGCCAAGCCTTTGGCAAGATGTATCTGCGCAGCTTTGGTGACGCTGTATGCCAAGCTGGAGCCCGACGGCTTGACACCTGCGACACTGGCTGTTGTGATGAAGGTCCCTTCGGACTCAGCCAGAGCGTCCTTTGCTGCATATGCGAGCCATAAGTGTGTTTTGACATTCATGGTGAAGCACCGGTCCCAGTCTTCATCTACGTTTGCCTCGTCTATGTTCAGGAAGTTGGTCATGCGTGTCCAGCCAGCATTTGACACAACGACGTCGAGACGACCCATGGTCTTGATTGCATCCTTCGCGAGGGTTTCCACGGACTGTTTCGAGGAGACATCGGCTTGGAGAATGTGGAAGCGCGGTAAGGATTCGCTTGGATGTGTGCTTGGGATCTTGGAAAGCTCGTCTACTAGTTCGGACGCGCGCGAGGCATTAGAGGCATAGTTTATGACCTAGAAGTGTTAGTAAGTGTGTCAAGCAGCAATCGGGAGTGGTAGAGCTTACAATGCGGAAATCAGGAGCGAGCACACGAGCTACTTGAGCTCCTAGACCAGCCGAACTGGCCGTGATGAGAGCGACTTTTTGGACTGACATGGTGATTGAACACTTTGAGAGAATTGCACAGATAGAATGGAAACGACATTCACAAGCATGCGTTTTGTAGAGCGCTCTATGTACTGTATCGTTCTGGTGCAGTAGTGGTTTGCGGGGTAGCTTCCGGTATGTACGGAATGCTTCCGCGCCGTAGTCACCATAGGTATGGTTGGTCACTGCGCGAACGCAAGTGACCAAAGGTAGGCCGTCATCGCCGTGGAAAGAACAGGTAAAGTGACATTCGGCAGAAGCGTGTCGAGCATTGGCGTCGTTGTCCCAGGATGATGCACATGTAGAAGTTAGCGAAAGACGATGCATGGATAAGACGGCAACGCCCGTTTCGTACAACAACGTGAAAGCCCCCTCGCGTCGCGTGTCCCACGAAACACAGCATGGTATCCCTGCCAGATAAACGTCGTCGGACATCCGACCGGAGACATCAAACGCTGGGCAGCGAAGCCAGCGCGCACGCGAGGGAAAGCATCCTATGTCCCGTTGTTGTCCCGTGGCCCCAAGGCCAGCACAAGCAAGGGTCCTGAAACGGTTGGACAAGAGCTTTGCGGGCGAATCACTGCAAATGGAAACTTGGCGAACGTACGGCCTGGTAGCGGCGGATGGCAAGTTTGGGGGTGAGAAGTCGCGAACGAATCTCCGCACCGGGATCTAAACGGCGTGATAAGGGTGATGAGATGGAGGGTGCAAGCGTGCCGTAGCGGACATGTTACGGTTGTAGCTGACATGGATCCTATCAATTGATCTTGCGCCGTCCGTCCAATCAATTGCTTCGCTGCACGCCAACACCTTCTCCCCAATGTCCACTGTGCATCGCAAAGCACTTGGACAGGAGTGATCCGAGTCAGCTCTGGATACCCGTACGAGCAACCAGGGGACACCAAGACCTCACGAAACGTTCCCGATGGCGTCGGTGGCTGCTGCACATGTGTACTGTAAGCGAGAACGAGGCCGCAGACGGGCTGCAGGTTGGCGCTACGAGAGCGTGGCAGCGGGACAAGCACCAAGCGCTGTGGCGTCTTGGTAATTTCGCTGTGCAAGGTCAATACTATGCCCCTGTGAGCAGTGAGCTGCGTGAGTCTATGTTCCAGCCTTACGATCGAACTGCTGTCGCACTTTTAATTGATCATCAAGCCCAAGTTCGAAAACCTACAGCAGCCGCATGACATGTACGACCTGAAAGCACTGAGTCGAAGCATAGTAAGGTCAAGATTGATGCTAAGGGTGAAAACCATGTCAATTATATCTGTCGACTTCTAAAAGTAGCAAGTCTATGAACAAGAGAATCCACCAGACCACACACAGGTTCCTCTGAGCTGAACATTGGCAGTAGCTCGTCGACCAAGCGTAATATTAAATTGTACAATCGAAATGCTGCAGCGCAGGAGCGTGCGGTTTCACGGCGACGACTCCAGAACTCCAACCCCGCCATGTACACACGATGAAGCAGAGTCGCTAGCAGTCATCAGCCATGGCAGAATACAATCCTTTTCCTCAAACCACCGACGCCCTTCTTCTCGTCGAACCCCAGGACTAGACAAGCCCAGAGATCTTCAGAGAAGCTGCTTACAAGAAAGCAGCGAGGGCACCAGCAACAGCGAGCATGGAGAGACCGGTCTTGCCAGCGGCACCGGGGAACTCAGTAGCCGGGGCAGAGGGCGAGGGCACGGCGTAGCTGCCAGTGGCGGAGGGGGCGCCGGGCGCAGTGCCAGCCGGGTAGGAGGCAGACGGCGCGCTGGGAACAGTGCCGTTGGAGGTGGGATAGGCCGGTGCGGACGGAGCAACGGGAGCAGGGGTGTACTCGCCGGCCGGGGCGCTGACCGGGTAGGAGAAAGTCAAGGTAGTGGTCTCAGAGCCGGTGTAGGTGAAGGTGTAGCTGGGTCCCACGGGGACCTCGGTAGGACCGGAGCACTCGACGGTGGTAGCAGAGTACTCAACGGAGCTGGAAGAAGCAGCCGAGTAGGAGGGGATGGCGACAGGGGTGCTGTAGGCCGGGGTCTCGACCGCAGAGCTGGTGTTGTAGGCTGGGGGAGCAACCTCGTACCTAGTACGTTTAGTAATGGTCCGTGGAATCTAAATGTTCTGGGGAGAACGAACTGAGGAGCAGCAGCCGCAACGGCGACGAAGGCAGCGATGGCAAAGGACTTCATTTTGATTGTGGGGTTGGGTATTATTACGCTGAGGTATTAAGTATAGGTCGTTGAAAACGAGTGAAATCGGTGAAGACCGGTGTATTAAGTAGTGAGTGTGTGGTGAGGAAAGAAAATGTGTGGATGGGCTCATAGCACTTTATATCCACGGTGCACAACATGGCTGACTGAGCTGTCAGGGCGCCCGACAGGGGGAGCAGTTCGCATGGTTGCATTCATCTATTCACTTTCGGGAGCCTTGGCCATGCCGCCCATGCGTGTGGCGCTGAGGGCAGATGAGTCGGGCGATACGGAATAGGGGAAGCCTGATAGCAGCCGGTACAGGGCACCAATCCTGGCTTGTCTATTGATGTGAGCGCTACAGGGTACATCCGAAGTGGCAGACGGTAGGAGAAACGAGATTAGAGAGCTGCTTTTCCTTGCCAGTAGCTTTGTTGTGTCAGCCATTCGATGTCTCGGCCTGTACCACTGCAGCTCCAGTCGTCCTTTGTGCACAGATTGTGCAGCTCGAGTGCACAACCGCCAAGTAGCCCAATCGGTAAGCTCTCACTGAGCCGCACGAAGGGAAACATTGTTGCTGGCATGTTTCGAAGGCCGTGGAGCCAGGACACGCCCGGTTGTGGTGCGGTGCAAGCAGTCGCGATTCTCGGTTGATGCTCCAGAGTAGCATTCGCTCGCGATCCCGCCCTGTTCACGAAGCAGAGGCGATCAACAGTGGGGAAGCTCATATTGCCAAAGATAGGCCGGGGCTCCATGATTGAGGTTTCGATCTTGTGCGGGTTCCTGCGTCTGGACCGCGCACTAAGGCAAACCATGCAGTCAGCTGGGTGGCAAACGCCGCCCAATGTCCCCCGATCAGCGAGTATTTTTGGTCGCCTCTCCGTGACGAGCGAGACTTCGCGGCGTAGTTGCGCTCTGTGCATGGCAGTAATTTGCGCTTTCGAAAAAAGAAGCGCCGAGTGATAAGTTTCGATATTGCTTGCCTTGTTTGCCGCCTACTCGGGGCCGGGTAATTTCGCTCGTGAAGTCTTGCAGCTTCCCATTCTCCCAATCTCCTAGCGCACGCCCTGGCCAACGGCTGATATTGAAATCATGCAGGAACTGTGTCGTGTGCTGGCCGCTCGTGGCTGGAAACAACGCGTCGCGTGACTCGACGGGAGATCCGCCAGGCACGCGAGCGAAATCTGCAGATGCTGAGCCTGCCAACAGAACCTCCGCATGCGGGACTGCGGACAGTCAACCAAGGTGTCTGCGGTGGGCTGTAGGAGTTGACGTGAAGTCGAAATGCTCTTTTTCGCGCCCTGCCTGTAGTTGCGTGGGCAATCCTTGGTGTGGTAAGTCGGGGTCGTTAGGCCGAAAACCTCACTCTACCTGCAAAACCGACCAACACAGCGAACCACCCTCCATTACACTAGATCACGAACGCCGAAAGCACACCGTTGCTATACGGAACACTCTTCATTCCGGGCCTGCGAAGACATAAAATACACATCTTGAGGACCTTTGAAGGATACCTAGGTACTAAACTGACTAGGCGAACCCCCGCGACAAGCAGCAGGGAACTACAGCCCTCGGCTTGAGCGCATTTGATTCTATCCTCGTCCTTTCCTGTCCGGACAAAACCCAGGCTCCAGTGCCTTCCTTCTACACGCGATGCAGACGAATCGAAAAAGCAGGTCCTCGAAAACGTTGCGAGCAGGAGGCCCTGGTCTCCCCAAAAACTGGCCGACACATATCCCCTACCTGCGGCTACCATGTTACTCAAAGGGACTGACTGAAAATGCCATGGGCGTATTAATTTTGGCGAAAGCTGATCTCCCATCTGGGGAACCATCGCGCAATGTCGTCGCTCCTTATTCGAACGTCAAAATCACTCCGATCGGAGATGCTTCTCACCCTGCGAACGGCCAGCACGGTCTGTACGCGACTAACCATCTTCCACAAGGATCTTTCATTTTACCTTATTTGGGCTACGTCCACGATCGCTCTGAGACTGACGAAGCATCTGACTACGACCTGTCACTGGATCGTGAACACGGTATATCTGTGGATGCATCAAAGATGGGCAATGAAGCAAGATTTGTCAATGACTACAGAGGCGTGTCAAGTGGACCCAATGCCGAGTTTAGAGACACATACATTGACGTGGGCAACGGAAAGATCGAGAAGAGAGTCGGGATATTTGTATTGCCTTCTGGCAAGAGCGGGAAAAATGCAAAGGGCATCTCTAAAGGTTCAGAAGTCTTGGTCAGTTACGGAAAGGGGTTCTGGAACGAGCGTGCAGCGACACAGGAATGATCATAACGGCTACCGGCACCAGCGCAAGAACCATCGTGATCTTTGACAGAATGAAACAATGGACGGGTTACGTATTCCTCGCGCGTCTGCCACTGCCCCAAGTTGTGTCAAATCCACGACTTGCAACAATGGAGTGCGTCTGCCGGCCATAAATTTGCCTCATGATGTACCTACCTTGACGGTGGCGACGTTTAGCGCAGGCCTTCATACCTGACATCCGGTTTACATGGTTCGCTCGAGCACTCATGCGGGAACAGCATGAAGTCCAGGATCTGTACAACGCCATCTTTCAGCTGGTGGCCCTCAGCCGCTGCCCGCAACCTATAAGCTAGGATCGTCTGTTGTGACCGTTATTGTCGCTGAGGCGGTGGGGCTTCGGGTCAAAGTCGATGCTTGAGGTGGAGAGCAGCCTACTCACATCAGATTCTAACAGAGTCTTATTTCTCGTGTCACCGCGAACACAACAATGAAAAGTACGCCTTCAGGACTGGTCTCACGTTTCGATAACTAGCCCCGCAGCCCGAGGTTCATCATGCTATGCAGTCTTATAATTTGCTGATAGGGAAGCGGGCGCGCTCGCGTCGCTTCGGTAGGTGTCGCATTCAGGCCTGCAGGTGACTTGGTGATTGCTCGCTCAATCGCACTGTCCGCCAGCGCTTCAGCAAGTTCGTCTACGACGTCGTTTTCTGTTGGAGCTTCATCATACAGCGAAGTGCTCTGCGAGGCGGGTGTACCTTGTTTTCCTCAGATGCATTCGTCCTCCTTATCGATGGATGAATTGTCTTCTACGTCGGCGACGCGCTCATCCTCTTCCTCAGCGACAAACTCATCCCTTTCGTGCGAGCCGAAGTCGTTATATTTGCGGGTGGCACACTTGTCCTGCTCGTCCGCCGTAAACTTGTTAATTTCCATAAGGCGCGAGCTCGTCGTCCTCCTAAGACGTGAATTCGTACTGTTCTTGAAGGATGAAAGAATCTCGTTCGCCGTCACTTTTAGGTACCTCAAACGGGTCTTCCCAGAGGTCTTCTCTGCCAAGCTGTGCGGCTCAAATGGGTATTCGTAACGCACTCACCAGCAACGTTAACGTAGAACTCGCCTCCCGCTCTGGTCTGAAGCCGGGGGAGTGTGCGTATCGTACCCATCCTACTTATCCCACGCTGACTTTATGCTGGCACATGTTCTGAGTGCAACATAACACTCCCCATGAGGGATGCGCAAGATCAAGCGCAGACGCATCACTCCACGCCAATTTCACCGTACTTCTGCGCACACTGTCGGCAGGTTCTCTACAATGAAGCTGGCGTCCTCGAGCATATCCCCCACGCTTTAAGACGAAAATTAATACAATATATCTTCTTCAACTTACACATACACTTAAAGGCCAACTGCAGGAACTGAGAGGATTTTCAAACGTTCAATTCCTTCACACCAGGTTGGAGGCAGGAGGGCTAAAATCCAGATACTTCAAGGTGCAAGTTGAGACTAGTAGTGGAAAAGATCTTGAGGATCTTAACGCGCTGCTCTTCAGCTCCGCTCTCGCCGACCAACTGTACACGAAGAGGAGCAAAGTTCCATAGAGAGAGGTCTGCGGAACTGGCTGCAACTAATGGGCCTTCAAAATGTGTACGCCTGAGCGAAAGGGGGCGCTCGCTGCAAAGGGGAAACTACGCTGAAGCAAGCATCGTGAGCACCATAGCCTCGCTACTCGGGGTTCAACAATCATTGGAGCCTCTACTCGACTTTTGCCAGCAACTTGAGCGAGGCCGCCAAACCATTTTTATCACTGGTGTGCGACGAGTGCTCGTACCCTATTCCCAATGCCTGGGTACACCTAAGCACGCACCTTTGGTTCGTCCACGACAAGAGGTCTGGACATGACGATGATGCAAGCGACGATTACTAGGAATGCTACGTCGGCGGAACCATGGCCTTTGGTTAAGAGGGAGGTAGAGGTACATCCATTACTACACTAGAAGGTATCTACCCTTCATTCTATCTAGCTTCAGCTTTAACATCTAAAAACCCTTTTCTCCATTGTTTCTCGCAATGTCCAATATCTCTCTCTTATACGCCATTGTACCTGCCTCAAGTTCCTAGCGCGTGCGACCCACATGGTATCATGATCCTCGGTCTTTTCAGCGCTTTGCCACACGCAACTCCCGCGAGAGAGAGCGCGCTTCCACTTCGCCGTATAATCCCGTCCTAGCGGCTGCATTGGCACCGACTTCGTCGTCTATCTCGCCATCTCAACAGAGATGGATGCCAAGGACAATCTAGAACTAGTGGAGGAGGCTGTTCACTGGGGGCGAGATGCGCTTGTACAGGTTAAGAACAAAGAAGACGCTATCAAGATGACAGAAGCTGAGAGCAGTAGGACAGAGACTAGAGATCTTTTTGACCTGTGCCTGGCCACCGCACGACGTAAGGGCGGTTTGCCAAAATACCATCCAGAGTTTATTGTGAGAGCATTCGTTCAAGGGATGTTTATCAATGACTGAAGCTCGCCCAACCCATTCAAAATTTGCTAAGAGACTAACATTAACGAGGTCTATCGAAAGATAGGCATCTATGGATTAGTCGGAGTGACTGAGAACGCGCCCCACTCGTGTAAGCCTCCAGAGGGAGCGACGCGGGTTGAAGACATGCCATTTTACCACATTCTCAACATCAATCATTACCACCGCGACGCCTGGGAGGGAGGGGAGTTGAAGGATGTTACTGACGCCTCTCGGGTTTTTTATAACATGCTGCCGACAGTGACAGTAGATTGGGCTTCGTTACATACCGTAGACTGGGTCAAGGAAATCAAGCGCGCGCCTCGAAGTCCAGATCAGAGTCGACCGGTATCGTCATGAGATGGACAGATGCTACATAACGTTCTCCACATCTCTAACACTTCCTTACCCTCGCGTCTAGATACGGTCAAGATCATCGGCATGGAAATCTACCCAGTAGGCGGTAGAGACAAGTACGGAAATTCGGAGCGTATAAGAAGCGGACGAACGATTGCAGGCCAAATTTAAAAGTTGCCCCATTCTTGTTTGCCAGGATGCCATCTTTGTCGGTCTCAACATAAACTTGTGGGATCTAGGAACAAAGATATCGTTGGTAGGGCAAGTGAAGCAGTTCGCGGACCTGTGGTTCGTAAAGCACTTGCAGGCAGGAACCGAAATCGACTATGCTGCACATACCCGAGGGAAGTTCATGCGCGCTCTGCAGGGCAAGAAGGGCACTATAGTAAACAAGGACAACCTCGCAAAGTGGTGAAAAAAAAAGAGACCTTGGACGATGACGAAGAGACCGAGACATGGTATGGGTTAAGTGCAACCACATGTCCCACGTGGGATCTCATGGGACGGAAAGTCAGTTGGTTTCCGTGCTCTCGAAGGGTCCAGAATGTTTTAGCAAGATGCGGATGGTGATGCTCGCAGAAACAAGACTTCACCATGAACCCGAATACCCGGCGGCGTGGAAGATTCCACCAACGTCACGAGTAAGCGTAGAAGCTAAACCTGAAGCACGAGAGGCGTACGGAGGCCCGACGTGGGATGCACAAGCCACGTAAACGAGGCTGAGGAGAAACCTGTTTCTCTTTTCCGTGCGCAAGGGGCTGTAGTGGTGCTTGCGAAGCAATCAGAGCGCGAGCAGACGTCGATCACTCGAAGCCACACCTCATACCAGAATCAGCAAGCTGTAAGACGCGCCCGGTTGGAGGCACGAAGTTGGATCTGCTGAGCTCGAGCGAAGGTGACGTGGGAGGTCTGACATGTACTTGGTGAAACGGATCCTCGTGAATCTAGGCTCATCAGAAAAGACGACTGCGGACCAACGTCACTGTGAAATCAATGTCATCAAAGTCTGCCCGTTATGCGCACATGGTGAAAAATCATCAAGCATGGTGGTGGTGTGGAGAGGATGGCTTATCGGCGAAGAAAATTGCAGCGAAGGCTACCAACCGTGTGCATGCAGGTACGCCGCTTAGCCAAAGGGGTACCAGATCTTCAGGCACGACGGGTTGTGGTGGTGGTGGTGTTGTGCCGCGATCGCGATGCTGCGGCGCATCAGGATCGAAGAGTGACGAAATGCGGGCTTGGCGGGTGTCGCACGGCTTCAGGCGGCGACGGCCCAATCACGCGTCGCAACGGCCGCTGGCAGACCCAATCAAGGGGGCTGTCTAGCCTCATTCGGCCGTCCAGCGCCCCCGGGGCCCATTTGCTTTCACGTCATGGCCCGACGTGGAATGCATCTCACATTTCCTGATAAAGCCCCTACAGACGTCCGCCAGGAGCGCTTTGCAGCCAGCAACCCATCACTCCATACCGCGTACTCGTACACTCTCTCACGTGTCATTGCCCACACGTCTCCTGAGCCTCGAACGCTATCGCGAGGACCCGTTTCTGCTATCACCCTACCACGACGCTTCCGGCACCTCCCCGCCAACCACAGCACGCGCTATCGGCCGGACCTCCCCATTCGAACCTGCAGTTGCTTGGGAGTCTAAGCGCTTTCGTGCTCACCGTCAGCCTGCATCTAGCTATCCATAGCTTCCCCGCACCGCTTGCTCCGATTTATTGTCCAGAGTCTCGCTGCGGGCTTGGAAACCAGCTCAGAACCCAGCTCAGAAACCAACCCAACACAAAACCGACAAGCAAAGACAGCATGACACCGAATCCTATGTTTCCAGCAGGCCATGTGAGTATTCTCTACCGCGAAGCACATCTGACCAACGAATTGACACGTACAGCACGACGCTATACAGAAGTACATGCTTCTCTCCTCACAACAAGAGGTTGTCAGTCGAAGACTATCGCTCCACGTTCCCTGTGGTGCTCCAATGACGACTGCATCACCCGAATTCCGATCACTTGCATCATCACCCCGAACTTCTTTCTCTTCGACATGGTCGCCCGAACCAGAATTTATTTCGAACCCTATCCCAGTACAGCAATCGATCACGGGACACCGGCATAGCATCGCGGATCCTGAAGATGCCCACAGGCTCTTCGAGATCAACAAGGACATCAAGGCTACGCTCACCGAGCTTCTCAACACCGAGTCTGTGCGAAGCGATGAAAAGTACCGTCAATGGATCCAAGAGCGCCTCATGGACGCTGAGCAGCAAATACGACGTCAACGACGTCGACGTTCAAGCGGCTCGACCACGGGCCGAGAGTTTGCTTCGTCTATCGCTGAACATCTCGACATGGGAATCACCTTGAGCAAAACCTGGACCTGAAGTAACCTCCACCATCTTCCCACCTAGGATGCTAGACGTCTGCGTTCGACTGATTCAGGCAATCTCGCCGTACATCCGGCATGTACGGTTTGTCAACCGGTGTTCTTACGAAGTCTCACGACCATGTACTTTAGTGTTTTTGCGTCTCATTGCTACGGAGTTGAGTCGGAGTTGAATGGGAGGGCGTCGGCGCATGGTGTGCACGCTGATTACGAAGTGCTCAATCAGAGACACCCATTATGATACCCAACAGCATACATGCAAAATGTAGAAAGCGTAGCGTATGCGCTGGGCACCATTCGCGGTCAGCCTTAGCAAACATGATTATTCCATGATTTCTTCCTTTGCATGTCTTCCATGGGTCCACCTGCTGTTCTGGACCGACCTGTGATTTCATACTTGCGGCACCTGAAAAAAAAAAAAAGGTTCCAGCTGTAGTGGAGAGCAAGGCTCCACCAAAACCCGACTTGCGCTACTCATACAAGGCTCGCGTAGACGTTCCGCACCGCGCCGTTGCTGGTCGCTTCTCGGCAACGGCTGCCGTTTCTAGGCGCAAAAGACATCTTCACGAATTAGCGTGCACATGACGACTACCATAGTATCATCCCACCCGACATATTGGTCACACTTTCATCATGCTGATGTCCAGTCCCCTCCCTTGCTCGACGCAGGCAGTTGTGCGAAAACCTTTCTCAGGGGCACAACAACACCACAGCACACACGATCGCAGATATTTGCAAGGTTGTTGTGCCTCCGTTGAATGAAGCAAGCGAGACCCGGCTGCGTCCCAACAGAAATCAACTGTCTGTCGGCCTGCTTGCGGATCGTAGCGGTTTGTGTGGTGGGATCCGCAGTGAGGCGCTAGCGCTTCCTTGGGCCCATCTACAGCGCACGGAAGCAGGTCGAATTCTGGACGTTGCAAGTGCGAGTGGCTGGCTCCACATTCACACAGCAGACCGACCATCTGATCTTCCCCGGATATGAGCACATGGTTTGAGGGGAGACGCAAAGACGCGGTGAACTAGAGGACGATTGATGGATAGGTACCTCACTAACGACTATCAGCTATCTGTCAGCCATTGGGCAATGGTATGCTGGTGCATATACGCTCATGCCTTCCCCTCGTAGTCCCTCTTCCACACCTGCCCAAACGTCTCCTTGTTCATGGCAAACTCCTCCAGAAAATCCCTCTCCAGGTCGTGCGTCCTCCGCCCAAGCAAGACCAGACTATGCAACGGCTTCCCTAGATCAGCATCACACAACTCTCCCAACGTGCCCGCCACAATCTTTTGATCCTCTGCTCCAACCCTCGCAACGCCCACGGCCAAACTCTCTTTCGAATAGACGCCCTCCTTCTTGACGTCCTCTTCGATCTCCAGCATCTGCTGTGCGCACTGGGCAACCGTCATGTACCGCGGGGGTTCGTAGATCTTGCGACCGCGGGCCATATTCTCGAGTGACTGCTCCTTGACCTTGATGTCGAGCAGGACGAGGGTGTGCAGACCAATGGAGGTGTTTTCGCGGATGCGGTCGTAAAAGGAGGCAGGCTTCCAGTTCTCCAGGAAGAAGACCATGGATACGGTCTGGCCAAAGTTGTAGAGCTGGAGGCCGGTTGCGCCGATGGAGGTGAGGATACTGGCATTCGGGATGGAGCGCGTGGGGATGGAGAGTTCGCGGGCGCGGAGGACGAGGTCAGTGTGTGTTGTTGCTCTGTACCGTGTGTTAGCAGTAAAAAGGGTGAATGTGTAGGTGTATGTACCCGAACGGGTCGCCCACCACGAGGAATGCGACGTCGACCTTGTTTGCATCTTTGAGGATGTCGTCGCTGGAAGACTCGACCATCTCGCGGTCGGCTACGATGACTTCGCGGCCATAAAAGGCTTCCTACTGCCTCGCAAATTAGCTGAGGTCTCATGTAATTCCCCAGTGAAGACTCACCAGCGCATCCTTCTCGACGAGCAGGATGGCCGTGTAGGCCTCGAGATAGACACGCTCCGCCTTCTTGACAACCTCGAGGCCCTTGACCGTGATATCCTTCTCGTCGGCAAGACCGAGGCCCACGAGGTACAGCATAGTGGCGCGTGGTGTGTGGTGCAATTGCAGGTGCAAGCTATTGAACAGTCTCTTGGTGGGGTTGTCGCAAAATTCGGGCGGGGCTGCACGTCGCACACTTCGGTAGGGCTGAGCCAAGCGCGCATCTCTCCCGCGCGTTTGTTCCGAGGATAGCCACCCCGACAGCGCGCCCAGGCAGTCGTACATCCACTTACGCCTCCGCACCACCCTTCCACCATTGCTACACTCGACAGCTGGCTGTTGAATCCACTTTCCGTTGCATGCACCACTTTTGGCCACGATAGCAGCGCGCGCCAGTAGGACAAGGGCACCATGTCAGACAAGGACAAGATGGCCAAGTACCGGACCGAGATCCAGCAGGTAGGTAATTTCTCACTCTACATCACTGTCTTCTGGTCTTGTCTCGCCGCCATGGTCACTTGCTATGACCGTGCCCTGACTGGCGGTTCATCGCTGCAAATGGTCCGTCACGCCGAGTCTCATGGCATATGGCGGAAGCCTGCACATCAAAAAGCCCTCCCGGGCATATGTTCTCCTTGCACTCGTCACTTTCACTATGTTTCCAAGTCTGTCCTCACATTCTTCCACTGTGGCACTATGCTGGAACAACAGTATCTTCCATTTCGACCACTTTCCGCACACCTTCACGTCCACCCTACGCACTCTCTCTTGCATTACAATACCCGCCCTTCTACGATTCGACTCATGCCTCACGCATTCCCACCATCCCCCGTGCATCCACTACACTCATCCACAGCAATGTTCCTCCTCGTCGATTACCGCTCCCCCATCAACACGCATGGCCACTCCCTAACAACCTTGGTCCAGATGATGTTCGTCTCTGGCGAGACCGGTGAGCCTTCTCCTGAGACCACGACTCTGATAGAGTCCATTGTCCAAGACCAGGTGCAGCATATGCTCCGCGAATGTACAACTCTCGCCACTCGCCGCGGCTCCAAGTCGATAGGTACAGACGATCTCTTCATGCTCATCCGGCATGACCGCGCCAAAATCTCCCGCCTGCGGCATTTCTTACAGTGGAAGGATGTCCGCCGCTCCGTCAAGGACAGCGACGATAAGGGTGGCGACGCAGGTGCGGACGTCGCAGCAGGAGACGCAGACCTCGCTGCTGGAGTCGTTGGAGCAGGACCTGCTGCGCCAGGTGATGCGGGAAAGAAGGCGAAGCGCGCAAAGGTGGACCTAGTATGGGACGTGCAATCCTTTTTCGCAGAGAACCCACCCTTGATGGACGATGTCGAAGACGAGGAAGAGGAAGAGATGAACTACGCGACCCTGCAACGTCTTAAGAACGCCGACGAGCGCACCAAGAACATGACCAGAGAAGAATACGTTCACTGGTCTGACTGCCGACAAGCTTCTTTCACTTACCGCAAGGGCAAGCGGTTCAAAGAATGGGCTGGCTTTGGGTTGATCACGGATTCGAAACCAAGCGACGACATCATTGATATCCTAGGTTTCTTGACATTTGAGATCGTGCAGACCCTCACAGAAGAGGCGTTGAGGGTTAAGGAAGCTGAAGATCTGTACAAGAAGAGCACCGGGGGCGGCGCCGAAGCAAATCGGCTGAAGAGGAAGAGGGAAAGGGGTCTTTTTGATCCACCGGAAGAGGCTAGGGAGCCAGTGCAGCCTGGGCATGTGCAGGAGGCGTATCGCAGACTCCAGCGGGGAAACATGAAATCCAGAGCGATGCTGAACTTTACGAAGAGCGTGCATCGCGCGGCACTGAAGCTGGTGAGTTTACTTCCTGAATATGGAACGATGAGATGAGCATTCGTTGACGCGCAGCAGGTCTAAGAGAGCAAGCATTGATGTCGCTATGCCTAGTCAAAGGTTCAGGACCAGGCAGCGTTATTTTGCGCATCCTGGTTTGGCACCCTGCACACAGGCTCTCCACGCTGTGGCTCAGTGCGTTGACGCGATCGTGCGCAACCTTCCTACAAAGACGGCCATCTTATGTCGAGCCGTCGAGCGGCTTCCTAGAAAGTTGTTTAGCATCGTGAACGGGACTATACCCACCATGAATAGTCGGGTGCCATTGCGTTTGTCGCTCAACACGAATGCGCAGATAGGGATGCAATACGTAGCATATTGGCTCGGAGAAGCCGGTCTAGATGTGGCACGGCGTTTGGGCAGAGAACACGGCTTTGGCGTTATGGCTACTGCTCGATACCCACTGGCGGGGAGGTAATTGCGGCGTTATTGATTTTGACAGCTCCAAGCATGATTGGCATTCTTTCAATGGGGAATTGGTGACATCAACCTGCACAGTGCTAGAAAACATCACTTTTTCAAAAAAGCCTGAGACTAGCGACCACCCGTTTCTAACTCAATGCTCCCATTACCCTTTGTATGGACGTCATGCACTGAGTCAGAAGGCGGCCAGGGCAAGTCGAGCGTGCATGGAGAGAAGAGCTCTTTTGCAGACCCGGACGTACATGAAAACATGACCGCATATGCCCGTTTAGACTGTGGAAAGGAGAAAGACGCCTCCTTTGCCGGTAAGAAAGCCCACGCCAGAATGTTCATGCCACATATCGTCCCGCTTACTCCTCGTCGCCACCCGCCAATGCCTGCCTCTTCTGCTGAACACGCTCCTGCCTCCTCTCGCGCGCAGCCTTGGTCTTCGCGCGCTTGGCATCCATCTCCTCCTTGAGAGCCCGGTCGCGAGCCTTCTCGGCCTTGGCCTTGTGGATCTGGAAGCGGTGTCAGTCTAGTGAAGTGCAGCTGACGAAGACTATGTCGTGAGTATGAGCAACGTACGTGTTCAACGAGAGCACGCTTGTGCTTGAAGGTGTTACCCTTGGAGAGGTGGTACAGCTCGTGGTAGAGGTGCTTGTCGATCTTGCCAGCGGCACGGTACTTGACAAGAAGACGGCGTAGGACACGGAGACGGCGCATCCAGAGGATTTGGCTAGAACATCACGTCAGCAACCATCCCGACGGCCACCTCATGTGGTAATATGTGCACAGCGAGCGGTGCGGTTCATCTAGGCTGCATACCTGGGCATACGGGCGTCCTTGGTACCCTTCCTCTTACCGAAGCCTCGGTGTCGGCCAATCCGTCGGGCGGCAGTCAGCTCTCGGGCGCGGGCACGGGAGTGCATAGTGACGGGCTTGCGAATAATGAGGCCATCCTCGACGAGCTTGCGGATGGTTTGGCGAGAATTGGCGTTGGAGATCTCGCTGACCTCGTTCGGGTCGAGCCAGATCTTGCGCTTTCCGCAGCCGACAACGGACGCCGCAAGGCGCTTCTGCGTGCGGAGGTTGACCCTAGAGGCATTGAGCGTCAGTATGTGAGTTTCGGACGCTGTAGTGGGCGATATTGAACAAGTTGAGCAAAGAGGGGTCGTCGCCACGCTGCAAGCGCTTGTCCGGCGATATGGAGACTCGGGAGAGGTGTCGATAACCGTACTCGTGCTGATTGCGAGGCAGAATGGTATTGAGATGCGCGGTTCTTACATTTTGGATGGATTGGTTTGTCGGCGGCGGTCGTTGGAAGTTGGAGATAAGGCGGAATCTTTCGTGGACAGGTCGAAATCAAGCGAGTGTGTGCCGCCAAGAACGAAGCTAAGCTTGATACGGTACTAGTGCAAAGAACGGAGGGGTGTCCTCGTGCAACACCGACCGGAGAAGGTTCGTATATTAGAAATTGTCTTGGACAGACTTGGAGTTGCAATTCTCCAAGGTATAGACATGACTTCATATAGCGCGCTCTGATATGGCTCTGTTCTCACAAGCTACACCACTCTGTCCCCGGTCACGAGAATATCAACCAATTAGCGCAATTGCAACATCATGCTTGGTGAGCACGGCGACTATTTTGATCTCTTATTATCGCATTGAGCGCATCTACCAGAAGCTTTGGAGTGGCGACGTGAATCGATATCTTCTTTTTGGTCTTTGTTCCTATGAAGCTTACATAGAACGACTGGCGCAATATGCACTCATCGCGATCCATACTTATCGGCCATGTGCTTGATTCCATTGTACGATTACGCGACACATAGCGTAGTCAAAAGTCCCAAGGAGACTGGTGGCAGGAGCAAAGTCTTGTCACATGACTGTCGTTGTGTAGACCCCCAAAGTACCTGGGCATTTGTCGTGATTAACGTTGGTTCGTATCTTGTGTAACATTGTAGAGATGCACAGATGAGATGTACTGTCAATCCTAAAACACTCGTAGTTTCAATTGGCTACATCGCCGGAGGCATTGTGTTACTTTACTATCTTAGCCTCAAATCTTCTTCGTTGAGCACACCATACAGCTTCTCAACCTCCCGGCCGATAATAGCAAGGTCACGCCCCAGCTGTCCAGTCACAAGAGCTAGGCCACGGTCAGCAACTCTCCTTCCTCTCGCGGGAACAGAATATCTACCGTATGTGTAGAGCAGCTCGTAGTCCTCATCCTTGGCAGCCACCTTGCCAAGACCGGACCTTCGAAATTCAAAGACCTTGGCCAGCAACCGATCTCTTGTGCGTTCTACATTCGGCAATACTGCGTTGAGCGGGTATTCGAGCTTCATAGAAGACGCCATGACTAGAGGCTTAGTTTAGATAAATTGGTCAGAGTATGGTGAACTTACCCGAGAATAAATGACTGATACGAAAACTTAACTCAGTCCATTCCGTCTTCGTGTACTTCAAGATCTCTTTCTCGCCCTCGGTAGCCTTCAAATTCTTAAGAATGATAACATTCATCGCGTGGAAACTATCCAGCATATGACTTGTTGCTTGAAGTATGATATTGAACGTCTTCGCAGGGAATGGCCCCTTCAGTTCAAACTCTGAGGAGGCCGAGCTTTGTAGTGACTCGAGCGTGTTGAGAAATCGGCGAAGCTCGATATCCTCACTAGCCGACATGTATGAAGCCCCGGCATGCGGATCGCCATTCTGCGATTCGTAGAGTACGCGAAGCGGTCCACGTTTCCATATAAGACCCATCTTGAGCCAGAGCAGGGAGGTACCTTTCTTGATCTTCTTCCGTGCAGAGATGGGCCAGATGACTCGCGTGACGATGATGCCCCATATACAGCCTGTCATAACTGCTACCACACGATGGAGAACGATCTCCCAGATCTCTGGCGAGATTCCTCCTTCGTCATCGTCATCTTCCTCATCTTTCACAGAGAGCGAGTAAGCGTATAGCGCGGAGAGGTTATACGTGAGCATGATGAACCGTCCCATTGGGCCTTTTCCCTTTCCGACAATGATGTAGAAACATGGGAGAGACACAAGCCAGCCAAAGAAGCAAAGGGCAAAGGGGTTCTCATGGGCCACGATCCATGCGATGATCGCACATACAGCACCCAGACAAGTTCCGAAGAAACGGTGGAAGCCAGTCGTATTGGAAGCACCGATGGTCTACAATACTATGTTAGGATACTCCGAAGTCATAGCTTGAGCACGTACCATTGAGCAAACCAACATGTACGACAAAAGCCCCCATTCGCCACGCCAATGCCCGTAGAAGTCTCTCGTCGCAGGAACAAAGGCCCACATTGCGTACAATACTGCGCCAATGCCAACTTTGAAGGCGTAACGGATGTCGTCTTGTCGGAAAACGCTCAGCCTGAGCCACAGCCGGTACGTAAGCGGCTGCTCGTTGATCGACTTATCCGGGTTACCTCGAGTCGATTTTCGGTAGATCGGCCTCCTGATCTGCCACAGGTCCCCTCGATCATCAAGCAAACCTGTGTTTTCTGAGGAACTCAGCAAATACGCCACACGAAGGGTTGAATGATAGAGCTCACCAGCGTCATCGGTGAGCTTTGAGCTCCTATACCAGCTCCACTTTCGCCAAAACTTCAGCCACGTCCAACTCCGTTTGCGAGGGGAACATTTTGCATTATCTTTCAGTTCCTCTAGAACATCCAGGAAGGTCACCATGTCCTCGGCAAAATCTTGCAGGGACGAAGAGAAGTAACCACAACTAGCCGCGACCTCTTCAAAATCGGCAGCAACCTCGAGTGACCCTGTACTTGTGGTTATCTTGTTCTGATACACCGTCGCAAGCGCTTCTTTCCTGGCGCCCTTAAAGAGCGCAGTGGCATCTATCAGACTATGGCGGAAATGTTCGTTGATGGCCATTTCGTATTCAGGGCCTGGACCAAATGGAAGTTCATCGAGGACATCTCGGAGAGTGTATGCTAGTGATTTCTGTACTCGTCAGACATGGTGACTGAGTAGGATGAGACCATACCATAGGAGGACCCAGATGAGCTATAAAGATGGTGAACATGTCAGCTGGTGTGAGATTGCTCTGCATACTCTGTGGTAGCCGAAGAGAATTTCCATTCACCCGGCCTGTCTCATTGTCTGAGGCATCGGCCGAGCTTTCAGGAAGCTCGTCGATTGATGCGAGGATACTGGATCGGCGGTCGGTGTGACTCAATGAAGGTGATTGTATAGGCGAAGGCTCTTCTATCAATGATATCGTTGCACTAACAGTACTTAAATCAGGCGTTTCCACCCTAGCGTCACCATTCAGTGCGTTTGTTTGTGCTAGCAAAGTGAACTGTGTCTCAGCCGCGCTTCGTAAGCCACCGATGCTTTGCATCAGCTGTTCCAGACACTTGACCAGTCGAGATGCTATGTTGTACTCCTCTTCGGTGCCAAGAGCATAGTGTTCGTACTTGGCTTCTACAAGGTTCTTGACGAGCGTCTTGTAAGTTGACTTGCTCTGATCGGATGCTTTTAAAAAATCGAGCGTCTTCAAGTCCGCTTCAGATCCAGAGAGGAAACTGCGCGTGATATGTGTAAGCATTTCGCCCATGGCATCCGTGGCTTTGATGAAGGTGTCTCGAAACTCAGTTCGAGCCGACGATGGCCGGATAAGCAATGCGACCGCAGAGGAGGCAATAGTGCCCATGATAATCATCTTGAGTACCTGCCACACCTTGTTGTACGAAAACATAGCAGCCTGAACAGCGCCTTCTTTAGTAAGGACTGTGATCAATGCTAGGGAGGCCAAGGAACAGGCGACATTGACCAGTGGATTCCCGAGCTTCTGCTTCGTCCATCCGACCAGACCTAGACCACCACCGCAGAATACAATGAGCACTATGACGTGTCCGACCAGGAGGAGGTGTTGACGGCCGAAGAAGACGCTTACGGCCATGCTCGTGAACGAAATGAAAGCGGCATAGAGGAAGGCAGCGAAGGCGAGTAAGATGGCTTCGATCATGCTCCCGACAGAGCGGGCTGGGTGGAAGTACACCGTGACTATTAGGACGATTAGTCGTCCTCGACTCGGTTTGCCAGGTTGCGATCGCCTCACCAGTAGCCACCATGTGTTTTCCATCGTTCCGCCCTAGTAGACTTGATATCGGAGGCACAAACGTTGCCAGGCTGCCCAGAATGTATGCCAGTGAGCATTTTAGGATGTTTATGCCTGTGGGTGAGGTTGCGAATCTATATGCTACCTGCACTCTGCCCTTGCATTGCTCTCGAAACCGCTCTATCCTTCCCATGTCTCTGTGGCGGTCGGGGTCAGAATGGCCCGGCGCAAGCAGAAACTCGGTAGACCCATGTGATCTCGTGCGTGGTCTGCGGAGAGTGAATGTCTTCTTGATGCGCTCGCCCGTACTGGCTTGGATCATGGTAGCCGCTCTCAGCTGTGGCTTGTTGTGAGCTTCGAATGAAAAGCTTTAGAGGGCTTGCACTTACATTTCGCAAGCGCCGCGGCCTCGCCGGGCGTTGCGGAGACTCGCTCATGGTTGCGGTGCGAAGAGAGGGTGTGTCTATCGGAAGACTTCGCGCATGCTGTAAAGCAACGGATTCACCAGGGTGGAAGCTGTAGAGGCAGTCGCGATGGGCGCACCGCCAAGGCGCGGAGGGCGCGTCATTCTGCAGATCATCCTACGCGACACCTCGAATCTTCGCACAGCTGACAACGTCAACGTCGAACCTCGATTCATGTTATTCCATGGATTGAGCAGCCGTACGTCGGGTCTGAAGGACTCGCATTGTTGATCAGGTCACATGTAGGGCGAGTCTGCGGATATGGTCTGTCACTACTTTCGTGCTATGTGCAGACCTTGTCTGTATATTGATCTAGTTTGTAGAAGGCGTTTCACTAATTGCTTCATCAAGTGCAGACAACGTCTACCATCCAAGCACTGTACATAACGCGTTCATTGATGATTCAAGTTCAGCCATGAAGTGACCTTTGCGGGTCCTGGCTGCGATAACATCTCAATCGTAGAGCTTAAGTCTACATCACTCCTGACATAGTAAACGATCATTGTCATACTTCTTAGACACAACCTCGTATCAGTCCAGCATGTTGTCTACTCACGAGCTCATTTTGAAATTGAAGTCGCCGCTGCCGCACGCTGATTGGTCACCGCTTTCGCCTTATCGATACCATCGGTGTGCCTTCGAGGACCCGACACAATTCGCACCCAGCTACCTCAACTACGACACGACCAGTATGGATAAAATGGATGGCATGGAAGACGATGACGTCGCAGCCGCTATGGGCTTCTCGTCCTTCGGCGGTACCAAGAAGCGGAAGTACGACCAGACGAATTCCCCCAAGGCGAAAGCCGATGCGAGCGGAGCCAATACAACACGATTAGGTGTAAGATCAGAGGCCAAGGCAGACAATTCACAAGGAGCGGTCATCCATGCGAGTAGCAACCCCGCAACTGAGTCACTTCAGGCATCGGTCAGACCCCAGTACAAGCAGAATCCAAAGCAGCCTGCAGCCAGCGGCCTTGCGGCGTTCTTGTCGAGGGGTCAGGATCTTCCAGAACGGCCTGCCGCAACAGGAGAAGACCGTGCTGCCGGACCGCCACCGCAAGACAGCTCTAACGCCTCGTGGATGGTGTCCTTTGGCGGTCCGGCAATCACTCAGGCCGAGTTGATCGCTCTCCGGAACGGTGTGCCGGACGAGAATGGAGACAAAGCTTATTTCCTTCCAAGCTTTGTTGAGGATCCCTGGGAGACGCCACTAAGAAGCAAATGAAGTATTTCATGCTTTACAGACGGCTTTCCAAACCAGTGTCGACATTCAATCCGTTCAACAGGGAATCCTCCAATTCTATCTCCAAACCATTACGTGCTTATGAAGCCCTGCAGCACACGGACGCACGTCCTCAACGAGCCGGATAGCTTGAAGGGTACATTTTCAGTGAAAGGCATCGATTCACAGTACTCTTGCATCTGTATCTTCGTCCATGTCTCATAGTGAGCATGCATACAGCCATGCGAAAGTCAGATCTAGCTGAGCAATGCAGCGAACACCTTATCACCCCGTGCAACATAATGTTTTGCCCATGCCCCAAGTTCCACACAGATGATCCTTCCGACCGTCCGCCGCCACGGTGCTACGAACGGAACACGCAAACCCCTTGACCCTGTCTTCGGCACACCCCGCACGTTCAACTCCGCCCCTACGTCCTTGAAAACGCTCCTACGTGCAGATCTTCCAAGCTTAACGACCTCGCGATCCTCGCATCGGCTGTCAAAATGTTGCACTTGGGCCGCAATGCCGGTCTGTACCTCTGTTACACCAGATATCGTGTCATATCGGCAGCGGGAAGCTGATTCACATCGGAAAGGCTGTCAATTGGAGACGGACTGTAGTTCGGAGGGTGGTGCGATGCTCGATCCTCGCTGATTTCGATGTCTGTGTGGAGGGTGTTGCATGGTTGCCAAATACGACATTCAGGCCTTCGATCTGCGCTGGCATAGGCCTATCAGGAGGGAACAGGTTCTAATGCACGTGTACGAGCAAGTCACCATAGCTTAAATTAAAGGGATTGGCGCTGCAAGATACCTTTCCACTACATGGATCCGCAGCAACTGCAGGTGTCCTCCAGCGTCCTCTAATGTGGGATCCTGTTCAGCAATCTTTTCGACTTCATACCCCCTTTCACAGCGCATCGCGTCGGTCACTACATCTGCTTCCTCAACACTTCCCTTCCCCTATGTCATGTTTCCCAACTCGCTTCTTTTGCCCTAATTCCACTAAGGCTCTTCAATCGTTCAAATTGCCTGAACTGTGCTCCAAAGGCCACAATAAAACAGCACATACCTGTTTCAACACGCGAAGCGCATCTGCGCCATCAGCGGACTTGACAGTAAATGTGTTCTTACCGACCAGCTCTCAAACATATGTAGCATGTGAGCGAAGAGGGCTTGATCTGGCGTCAAGCCATGATCGGATGTCTAAGTCTCGATGTAAAACATGTCGCTCCCGCCGTTGTGGTTCTTGACGTCAATGGACCCACGTTGAAAAGCCCTGGTGTAGGCAGATTAGCCACTACGCGGATACATGGATCAATCGATCGGGTCAGGCGACAAGACCACAGCCCTCGAAAGGTACGTACACATCCTTCAGCCAACAGCACAGAAGTTGATGTCAAACACGTCACGAAAACCACGACCTCTTCCTCAGACTGTACAATGGAAAATATGCAAATATGTGCAGGGGCTACCTCGATCAAGCATAGGTTTCATTACATCAACAGGGCGTGTTAGAAGGCTATAAGAGCGTCGTGAGTTGACCGTTATGTAGACCGTTACACATCAACAATGGCCCTGGTTCAAGGCCTACATCAAGAACAAGATCCCGCGTCATCGCACCAGCCACACAGCCTCCTTTCAACGGCTGGCACACCCATTTCGGAGGGTGCAACCGCGCAAAAGCCCCGGCACCAGGCACACACCACCCATCCGACTTACCCGCGCTATCCGCTCAGACCCAGCAAATCACAGCTCTCCGGGGTCCAATCCCAAGCAAGACGAGCGAGCAGAACGAGCCACACGGTGGGGTGGTGAGCGTGAGCGCCTGGTCCGTCACCTCGTGCATGAGCACCTTGCAGCGGGCCGATCCGCCGTGCGCGAACCGACAGGAAAAAGCGGGAAAAGGCAAGCGCGCCAGGTTGGTCGCTAAAGCGGCGAGAAGTGTCTTGCTCCGACAGACGTAGGTGGGAGGTTGCGTTTGCTGGGACGAAGAGAATTCAGAAAAACGTGACCGAGAAGGACAAGATAGGGAAAGGATGCGCCTAGAAAAGTTGCTGATATAGTAATACCGGGTATGAGGAATCGTGAACGTGAAATAAGAATGCCGCCCGCTGGTTTGTGAGGGAAATCGACGAGTTGAGTAAACCGAAAGTTATCGTGTATCATCCACAAGGCGCCGGTTCGATGAAGCCGGCTTTAGGCGCAGATGCCTAGTAGTCAACAGGAGCGGGATATCGGCGTTGAGCTGTTTTGTACTGTTCGGGGTATTTGCGAGCTGCGCGGTTGTTCAAAGCACTACTAGTGTTAATTCTTCCTCCAGCGCAAGTGCCGCACTGAACTCACTCAACACGCTTTTGCGTCCACTGCAGGTCCTTTTGCACGTCCTTTGCGGCTCTCATGCCATCTGCAAAGTTCACCCGTGCGCCAGCTAGTCGCCGTTGAGCCATAGCCTGTAGCTCCAGCAGTTCTCGGTGTTTGGCGTTGAGCTCGCCTGATCTGCTCGCCGTCAGCTTTTGCTTCTGGTACACGGAAAATGGACGCTGAAGACTCGAGAAAAAGGCATCTCACGTTTGCGCTTGCCTCGCTAGACTGCGATCCAGGGGCGTTGGGTTGAATGAGCCATTGAGTCGATCGCCCATATATTCCATCAGATCCACGCCTGTCGTCGTTCCGCTGGAGTCATAGTCACTCGCACTACCAGCGTAGCTGCTTGAGGTTGCCGATGGCTCGTAAGACGGGACTCCAGACGTGGTGACGCTCGCAGGAGCTTCTGGTGGTGACGCCGATACGCGACCATAAGCATGTTGGGGGTGAGGGTAGTAGTAGCCTCCCTTCTGGGGCATGTTGATGGGCATGGGCCCAGAAGGATAGGAAGGGTAATAAGCGTGTGCGGCAGACATGTTTGCTTGTTGGTGGGGTGTAACACAGGAGAGGAATGGACGGTAAGCCAAGGTTGAAGAAGTTTGCTTGATGAAGTATTGTCAAGGTTGGATGAAGGACCAGTGACAGAAGTGGATGACCGTGTGCTGTGATGCTGGGGATGGAAGAAGTAAGTAAGCCTGGTCCTTGGACAATTGAGAGGAAAGAGTCTTAGAATCAAAAGCCTTCAGCCCACATCATGGCCTCCTTTTATACCTTTGAGGGCAACGTGACGGCAAGCATCATGTCACTAGGGGCATGGCTTTGACCCCAATCTGCCGACTCGGACTTGTCACCCCGCGCGGCCTGTGATGGGACTGCATAGTCCTACGTCCACTGAAACTGCTTTCCGCTGGATCCGAAGCTAAAGGGCGTCATTGGAGCTGGTTCTGGTAGATAGCCCCCTAAGCTGCATACCGCAGCCGATCCACGATGCCTGGACGGGATGGACTGGCCGGCGCAGTGCCATTGACCAATGGCAGACTGCTAGCGGAGCAGCTATACAGCCCGTAACTGCAGAGAGGCAAGGTGGAGCGTGTGCTGCGTGCAATTGAAGAGAGGTGGGATATCCAGAGCAGTGCAGTTGACAGCCGGCAACGACGCAGGGCTAAAGGCAGCAAGGCATGGTAAGCGCAGCAGACGCGGAGGCCGGGCTGGGGGCAAAAGCAGCGAGAGCGGATGCTGTAGGCGTCTGTAGGTGCATGGGTAGTATGACTGACGGACATGCTAAGTGCTGTCAAAGGTATGCGCTGGCTCGACAAAACGCCAACGCCTTGAAGCATGCAATCTGGAAGGGCATGCGGAGGATCATGACGGTCGGCTAGGCGCTGCAGGCAGCAGCCCGGGGACAACGGTGCAATGTGTTCGCAGAACGGGCGCGCAGGCGCAGAGGCGGCGGCGCGGACGAGGACAGCATCCCGGCGACGAGTGTTGTCGTGGCTCGTTTGGGGTCAGGACGAGTGCAGTCGAGAGAGGGCTCGCCATCGGGCCGGCCCACTCTCGGTGCGTCATCCTCGCCGCATTGGCTGCGTTTCGCCGGGGTGCTTGATGCCCTACCTTCTCACCTTCTGTCCTCGCACGACACCACCATGCCAATCGCAACCCCCAGCGTCTGCACCAGCGCCGCGTGGTGGCGGTGAGGGCACATCGCGCTTCATGTGACCGTTGCTGCAAGCCGCACGTAGGCGACCCCTGACGCTCCCCTCTGCCATCGAGGCCTTCTTCTCCGCAGGCGTCCCGGCTACCAGAACACAGAGACAGTGACCGAGCGTCGCGGTAAGTTTGCATATCCATCGGTGCCAGACCAATCGCCCCGACGCTCAACGGGTGGCACCGCTGTCATGAGTGCATGCAACCCGCATCGAGACCAGCTGGACCATGGTGGTACACGGCAACTGCGCGGGCTCAGGGCTCAGAGAACCCGAAGCAGACCTGCGCATCGGCGACTGTCAGATGTTGAGTTTACCACGCACAAACTATGCGCCGGACCCACAGACCGTCAACATCAATCAGACTCTTTGCACCGCAATCCTCGGTGCTCTAATTCATCACTCCACCAAGCGCAATACACGAGTGACTGGTGGGCACATCTTTAGGTTCTACGTGTTGAAGACCGCGCTACCTACCTCTGTGACTCTACGTCTTACGCCAAAACTCTATACTTTACAAAAGCGCCGACATTCCGATACTATCTTCAGGTGAACGAGCTCCTGTTGGCTGAGATCGCACTCGACATGACCCTGGCGAAGCGGCCAGGAACGTCCTGGTCTTCCTTCGCCGTCTCAATGGCCGTCAACACCTTTTTGATGCCCACGCCCACGTCGGTGCTACCCGTAATCTCTTGGATCTCGCCAATGGCTCGTTGTTGGTCACGTTCCGAAAAGGCGCCTGACTGTTGCAACACCTGCGCAAGCTCGGGTTGCGAGTTGACGTTGGGTACCGCAATGTCTGCATCGAAACGGCTGAATAAATCCAGCTGAGTGAGCACTGAACGTTCCGTGGTCGTCGCGAAGATCAACAGGCGGCGGTCCTGCATTTCATTAGCGCGGGATTGGCAATAGGTTGTGTTACACCAGAGAACACAGGACAGTGTCGAAACTCACCTTTGGTGGTTGTTTCGCGAGCAGGACCTTGAGCGCAACCAACACACTGTTACTAAATCGAGGTCCAATAGGCACCCAATCAACGAGCAGCTCAATGTTGTCAATCACGATGATGCTCAGGGCACTCTTGTATGCATCTCGAAACGTCTTGTCAAGCTGCTGTACCTTCTGCATCTCGCTAAACCCAACCATGTCTTCTGGTGACACAAGCTTGATGAACGGGAACTCGGAGTCCATGGCCATTTTCGCCGCAAGGGCCGTTTTACCACTCCCGGGAGGCCCATGCAGGGCAACGGAGAGTACAGGAGTCGATCCTTTCCTGACTTGGTTGATGAAAAGCCGAGCCTCGTCCAGTATCTCATTGATGAATGGGGAGAAGTGGATGATTCCGCCGCGAACCCGCTGCCCAAGCTCCTCCTCTGCAGCACCAAACAAAGGCTTCACTTCTTCGAGACCGTGTAGGAAGTCTTCGCGATTGACCTTCATATTTTCCACGTCCGGGTTAATGGACGCCATTGTGCCGACCTTAATGTGTCGACTGAACGCATATGACGAGGCTGCCTTTACCAGACCGTTGATTTCCGCACCCGAAAAGTTCTTCGTGAGTTTCGCCAATTCCTCAACGTTGACGTCACTCTCGATTACATTGTTGTTGCGCATCTTGGTAGTATGTATCTTGAGGATCTGTGCACGACCAGCTTCATCTGGGAGCGAAATCTCCATATGAACTTCGAGACGGCCAGGACGAAGAAGAGCTTCGTCGATCATGTCCATTCGGTTGGTCATACCGATGAGCAAGATATTGTTCAGCTGATCAACACCATCGAGCTTCGAAAGCAGCTGGTTCACAACGCTGTCACCAACGCCAGTGCCACCGGTGCCAGAACCTCTCTGCTTGCAGACGGCATCTAGCTCGTCGAAGATGATGATATGCAGGCCACTTTCATCACCCTTTTCTTTATACTCTTTCTCGGCGTCGGCGAACATCTTCCGGATATTCTCTTCAGATTGACCGACGTATTTGTTGAGCACTTCAGGACCGTTGATGACTTTTGGCTCCCTAGCGTTCAACATCTTACCAATTTGCCGAGCTATGAGTGTTTTACCAGTTCCTGGAGGACCGTAGAGAAGAATACCACGGACGTGCTGTATACCGAGCCTCTCAACAAGACCAGGGGGGAAGATACGCGAAGCGAAAGCTCTCCGGAAGATAGCGCTGAACTCGTTGTCCAATCCACCGATACCCATGTCCTCGAACTTGAACCCTGGCTGAATGATGGAATTGGCAGCAGGACGCCGGCTGGAGGCCTTGATTTTGATGTCGGTGCGTGCATCTTTGAAGAAATCCACTTGAGTGTGACGCGTCAGAATTCCGCGAGCACCAGGGTCTGTCAAAGTAGCTCCGGATGCAGATTCTGCCTTTTCCATTGAGAGATCGACGAGTTGGACGGTCCGTATAGACATTCGTAGAACGATACTCTTGACATCCATAAGTAATTGCTGTCCGGGCGCAAGAACTTGGTTCTCGAAGTTCTACAATATTTCAGTTAAGCGTTGCAAGCAACATGCCCTGTTTCAACATACCTTCTTGAGGATAGCTCCAAGCTCCTCCTGGTCATATTGTGCCTCTGTGGTCTTCCTTGTAGCAAAGCCAACCTCGACCTCTAGATTCCCAAGGTATGACTGCCCGCCCTGGCTAAAAGCATCGTAGTGTTCGACCGTAACAACATCCTGAGGACCAAGCGAGATGCCAGCCCACGTACGTTGTGCATCCGTTAGGCCAATCTCGCCGGGGCGGCAGCCTTCAGTAGGTCTCGCCGAGAGAACGTAGTCGCGGTTCACTTTGATGTAGATGTCAGACCCATCGCGCGAGGGTGGGAAGTCCTGCGGGGACACGGCTACCCTATGGTTCGGTCAGCGACAGTACACCGTATAAGAACTGGCGCGCCCATACAAATTGCCAAAAGCATAAGCGTTGCCCCCAGGGCTTTTGATGGGACGCAGTTGGAGCGCTCGTCCAGACTGTTGGGGCTCGCGCACCGGCATGCGCTGTTGGCCGCCTTGGGCAGGGTAACCTGGAGGTGGCGGCTGATCGTATCCGCCCATCATTGAGTCGTATCCCGGTGACCTCTGTGGCGGAGGCTGTTGTTGTTGCGGTGGTCGCCCGTAGCCGTCGTTGCGCTGTGGAGGACGCGGTGAGCTGCCCGGAAGGCCAGGTAGTCTGTCCCGGTTAAACATGATGAGTGTCTTGGAAGAGTAGGTTAGGTGTGTCGCGGCAACACTACATATATCCAGGAGCTGCGATGGCCACGTATCGTAAGAGCGTGGGCGAGGGTGATTGCCTAGAGCGGACCGTGTAGGCGGCGATATCGAGTAGAAAGTTCCCCAGGTCAGCTCAAGACACGTATTGCAAGCGAACAGTGCGCGATCTTCCGGGCTTAGGAGGTATGATCAAGTTAATCACTCGAGGTATTGTATCAAGTCGGTTTCATTCATGGGCTTGAGGCTCAGCAGCAGTACGCGGGGAAGCTTGGACCCTTCTTGCCCCGCCACGCAACTCCGCCAGCCATCCCTGCCGCACGCAAATGACCACATGGCAGACTAAACAGCTATACTCTATTCTTGTTTTGTACCCCTGGATGCCTTTTACTCATAAGCATTGCGCAGGACACAGGACCGCACATTTCACCCAACCTCTTGGTGTATATTCCAGCGACAAGCGTGTCATCACTCCAGGGCTTGGTAAAAACATCAACTCTATGTTGTCTTCGTTACAATCTATGTATCTCGCTGTAGCTATAATGTCGCAAGTGTATTCAGTGTATCACGACAGTCCTTGAGGCCATTAGAAGCCCTTGCCTTGATGAAGAGAATCGCCCCCGCCATACCTGTGGAAAAGAGTCAGTCAGCGCTATGCTTGATATCACCAGCAACGATATTGACCGCGAATTTCAGCTTACCAGAGCGTACCCATGCCTGTCATGATGACGAACAGTCAGCAAATGTTCCGGTGTCTTTCACGTCTTTATTAATGACTCACGGCAATTGAGGCCCTGCTCCTCTCCCACTATCCAATCTGCTCCGGGCAGCACTTTACCACCATTGTGCTCCGGCCAGAACTCCTGTTCGAGCCATGCGTTGATCTCCTCAACTTTTTCGATGAATGCTTGCATCTTCTGTGGGTCATAGGTTCCCTTTCCGTCGTTGAAATCGCTCGACTTGATGAAGCGCCCAATGGTTAGATGGCTGGACTGTACCAAAGAAACAAATCAGTTTGTGTTTTCCAGCAGAATGCACCATGATCGACTCACAGGCACAACGTATCTCGAATCGACAGCGACTCCAATTTCCTGACAGAGAGTGTACAAGTCACGCCGTAGATGATGATATGTATACTTGTCATCTTGTTTCGTCCTTCCCAACGCCGACGGTTCCCCTGCTGCAGGCACGAAGCTCAGCGCTAGCGCTGATGCGTCAAATCCGATCATGGGTTTGATCAATCGAGCTCGATGATGGAAGGTGAAGTTAGTAATGGCGGGAATCTTGTCTCCTACGGAATCGACGATCTGCTGAATCTCCTCAGCCTTCTTTGAGTGAGTAACTTCCAAGGCAGTGATATGTAGGCAATCCTGGGGCATGACCCAGAGATCTAGAAGGCGTTAGGCTCAAAGAGCATGGTATATGAGAAGGGAGACCGGTCCACGTTTCGTCACACTCACTGCTGCCTTCCATGCTGACCTACGTATGTATACATGGTGCTCTTGCCCAGATTCGGCATGGTTCTATTTGTCTGCAACAGATGAAACCAGCAGAGAAAGTGTCACAGTGGCCAGGCTCTCTTCCATTAAGTGCGGCATAAACTTACTTGGAGCTACTGCAAGCAATTCCTGCTGAACACGGCTGATCAGGTTTTTGACCTTGTCGCTTGGACGTCCCCAGAACACCAGACAGTGTCTTGGGTCAACATAGCCTGGCTCTACAGTGACATCGCTCAGCCTCAGTAGAATGGGGTCAATGTCAGGTCCAGAAAATTCCTTGTCGAGCATCTTGGCTTTCTGCTGACTGTTCCTCGTGTTCCTGTGTGTAGTGTAGCGGGCTTGCATTTGGATCTGATAGATTACCAACATGAACTCAACCTTATGAAAGAAGTTTACATACAGGGTCATCCTCTGAAGCCGAGATCAAGGCATCGTAGGGGTTGCTGAAGGCGGCTGTCGCTACTCCGCTGAGATCCTCGAACGTGTTGCCAGCGGAGGAATTTGGCGCAGACATGGCGATTCACACAATTGAAACCGGATCTGGGTGGCGAAGGGAGTTTTGTAGTGCTCGTCGTAGGTATTGGGTGCAAGTGCTGGAGTCAGACGTGGTACGAGTGACTGGACCCACTGCAGTGTGGTGCAACGGTACCGACAGCGAAAACATGTTACGCTTACCCCTAACGGCATCCTATCCGCTCAAGACCGTTACAACACACGACCTGCAGTGACCTTAGCAGCATTGGTGTAGCCCCATCTACTGACTATCCACACTGCAGGCACGAGACGCAAGGTCTCAAAGCAGCATATCACGCTTTTGTATCACGCAATGGCAACGTCCTCACAAACCCAAGCACTGAAATAGGCTGTGACGGCAGCAGACCGAACTCCACCGCTTCAGCATAGTACACAGTAGAACGGTCTCTGTGAAGGATCGCCTTTCTTGCTGCGATGGCGAGTGGTCGAGTCGATGTGGCTATACATGGAGCTAAATAAAACTACAACATTCTATCATTTCAACGGCTTAGCCTTGCTGGCCAGCTCCGCAGCCTTCTTCATAGCCTCCGGATCCCTGATACCAGCGTTCTGGCCTTGCTGCACCCGCTTCAAGGTCAGTGCTGCAATCAATGCCGCACCCACACCGCTACCGTCCTCAGCAGGTAAAATCTCAACCGGATCACCCTTGCCCTTGCCCTTATTCTCCGGCCAGTCCAGGATCTCCTTCAAAGCCTGCGCTCCGCGTATCTTGAAGTGCGGGTACTTATTGAAGACTGAGCCGTCGGCGCCAACGTGACACGTCTCCCAACCCTTGTGCTTACAGATGGCAGCAACACCGCAGGCGGATAGGCGCGCGGCACGGGTTCCAATCAGCTCGGCCAGACGGCGAAGGAGTTCGAGTTCAGGCTTTGTGCACGAAATGGACAATTTGTTCTGCATCAGGTCCTGTGTCTCGCTCAAGTTCTCAAAGGGATCCTCCTCAATGGCTGACAGGAATCCAGCATCGAGTGAATACGCTTTCTTAAGCTTGTTGATATCCTGACCCGCAAACACCTCGCACTCCTGGCTTTGATGCAAGTCGAGCAAAACAAGACGGAAAATCTCACCAAGGTAGAGACCGGCGATCATCTTCTCAAAGGCTTGTTGACCAGGTCTGGGAGATTCCTTGTCGATAATGATGTCATAGGGGGTACGAGGAAGAACCTTGTGCTCGTTGTCGAAGGCGCCGTATTCGCAGTTGATGGCCATTGGAAGGGAGGGATCAAGGTTCATGTGCGCAAGCTTGGGAATGGAGCCACAGTCTTCCATATAGGCGGCATTACAACCGGTGCCGAAGATGCAGCCAATGCGCATAAGGGGGTCCGTGTACGCGGAAGCGATCATGGTGCCCGTGGTATCGTTGACAAGTGCAGTGAGCTTGATGGGTAACCCACGTTCGGCGAGAGCAGCTTCGAAAGGCGGAACGACATCCTTCCCCTCTACGCCATCAATATCAAAACCCTTCGTCCAGCGCTGCAGGATACCGTGATCAATGTGGTTCTGCGTTGCAGGGTAGGAGAACGTAAAACCGAGCGGCAACTGCTCGATCTTTTCGTCGCCATGGTGATATTCGATGAATTGCTGCAGGCAATCCGCGACATAGCCCCATAGCTCGTCTGCCGTGCCCGTCTTCAGCTCTTCGGGCATGCGGTATTTGGATTGTATGATGTCAAATTCGCCCTTCTCTTCGGTGAGGGTAACTTCGCAGACACGTAGGTTGGTTCCACCCATATCGAGGGCGAGGAAAGTGCCGGTTTCGTTGCCGTCGGGAAAGGCCATGCACCAAGTCGGGTTCATGGGCTGTTCACGATACTGTCAGTGCGGAAAGCGTATGGTTGAGCACAGGAACGTACGATTGTGGCATCGTCCTGGCCAAGACCTCGTCGCAGCTCGGACACGAACTGATCGGTTACTTCCTTGAGCTTCTGGGTGTCTACGATGAAAAGATCCTCGAGCTTGTTGATTTGATCCAGCAGATCCTTTGGCACATCGGCCATGGAACCTAGCACACACGTTATTCCTGATGTTCCGTTGCTTGTTTGTGGGGTTTGCTGAGGTTACGAAGGCTCAGTCCACTCGAGTGAGAGAGCGCAGGGCAGGAGGAAGGAGGCAACCGTACCCTTCCGCGAGGGCGTTCGTCGTGCACCGGCCGGCATTATGATTGTTTCTCCTTTCGATTGTTTCCAAAACAAATCCAGATGGCGTGGCTATGCCTTGAAACGATGAATGTGCGCGACCGAGGGGAAGACGATTCAGGTTTTGCTAGTCTATCTATGATGTAGTCAGCGATTGAAACCAACACGGGACAGGCTCATGCAGTTGCTGGAGCGTTTACAAAATCAGCAAGAGGACGACAAGAAAGACATGCATACATTTGCTTCTGTCCGCGGAGTTTTACAGTTGCTTTTGCGCAAAGAAAGGAAGATATTGGACGACGGGCTGACAAAGACGTTGTGGTGATGCTAAATAACGAGCTACCCCGCCAATGGTTAGAAAAGGGCGTGGAGCAATTGGGACGCTATCCGGGCCTCCACGACGATTTAGGGGGTATGATGAGTTGCCTCACAGCGGCATAATCTATTGAAAGCATTCAGCACGATGCACAGTGCACAAAAGTACAACGCTTGATTCAGAATCCAAGGCTGTTGAGACACAGCCGCTTCCTCCGATCGGTGCGAGGGGTAGCTGCAAATCCAGGGGATGACGCACGTGGTCGTTCAGCGGCTTGGCTGAGGCAGGCATGTTGCGCCTTCTTTCGGGGAAAAGTAGCGCCGCTCCGACTGTTTACATGCACCCTAATGCTGCGTTTCGTCTTCCTCTGTTCTTGCTCAATTGCAATGCCAGCCTTCCTTCACCGTTACTCTTACGGCTGACCTGTGTGGCGGCCAAACTCAGCCAAGTTAAGCCGCCCTGTTGGAAGAAATGTGCATTCACTGTCGACCGTCATGGCCACAGCCGATGGCAAGACACTATGAACAAGGAGCCGATGGTCTTGAACCATGATACCAGATCCGGCTCGGTTGTGAAAGTTCGGCAGCACCTCTACAACGCCTTTTCTATCTCGAATGTCTGTAGACCTAGGTCAGCAATGCAGAAAGGTACAATACTGGGAGAACAACTCCACAACGCGCACTTCAGCATTGCAACCAAGCGACGTTTGGACTGCTTATCGCTGCTATCCCTCACTTGGATAATAGTGCAATGCTGTTTGTCCGCCAAATCCGCAAGCTCTCTCCGTCACCTAGGAAGTTGAGCCACGGTAGGTACGTCGGTGAAGCAGATCTTGAGTTTCCAATGATAAATATCTTCGAGCACCCTGAATTCTTCGCTCGGTCCTCATCCGTCGTTTGGTCGTCGCTTATTGAACATTCGATGACTATACTAACTGCACCAGCGAACGATCTCGGCGCCAATCGCGCAATGCAGACTGACTTCGGAGAAGACCTCAAGCCCGGCCAGGAAGAGCTCACGTATGCCAAATCCATGGAGAAGACAAAGGGCGTCGGAATGAAGGAGAATGTTGACCAGCTCGAGTCTTCACCAATTGACATCCCAGGTCTCAAAGCGAAGCGGTCCATGATCCCAGGCGCCGAGGACGATAGCTTGTTGCGCAATGGGTAAGTGAATACAGAACCTCATGATTTGACAGCCTCTGATAGTCCAGCTGCTTTGGGCAGCCCCCTAAGCCACCCTTTCAGCCTTTCTTCAATTTCGACCTGGACTCTCGTACGCGCAGCCCAAAGTTCCGCCATGCAACCGTCGCTGGGAAGCCGGATCTCAATAGCAAACTGGCCGCTACTACCATCCTCTACAACGGCCATCAGCATCTTCCGTTAACACTGAAGAACATCCGCCGTCTATCCGTCCTTTGGAAAGGATCTACACCTGTTGCAGACGTTGGCCTCTTCATACGACTGATCGTCAATGAGGACATCAATAGCACGCACGCCGACCATGTCCTTGATGCTCTCGAGTTCGTTGGACACTATTGCGAACACCTCGTCTTTGCAGGACCTATCAAGGTCTCCGAGTTCAAGGACGTTTTCTATCGGGAGGAGCTCGACATCGGCACGGGAGATGATTGGGCTAGGATGATGGAGAAATTCCCGAATGTTCAGTCCATCTCATACGAGCATCATCTGAAGATCTAAAAGGCTGCTTTCGCCACGCTCACGACTTGACGATGAGATTGATTAGGCGAGCTTCAGCTCTACTGTACGGAACCGGACGGGATCTTGGACACGATGTTTTGCTAGGTCGCCGTCATACCTGCTGATAACTATACATCAGTGTGATGCTGAAGCCTATGTTATTTGGGTGCCCCTGGACGTATTAGGATACTACCCTAAAACAATGATATGCAAAATCGCAGTTTACGGTGCAACGACTCAAACAATAACCCCTTCTTGAACGGCATTGGGCCAAGTGAGACGTGGCAAGCTGTTCTCCCAAGTGACAACGAACTTCGTTCTGTGTAGCTGACACGAAGTTGCAAATGGGCAGCAAATGTACTGTGTAGATGCTATGTTCGGTCTGCGGAGGCACACTGCAAGATCGGGCATCGCGAATGCGCTAGGCTTAATTGGGAGCCATGTGGGGTGAGACTAGACTTGCATCACTCCACCTCATGCGGCCATTGATCTCTCAAGCGCACATGCGTCTGCACGCGATGACGAAATCAATACGCCTTTCCATCCGGTCAACAGTAATGGTGAAGCTGCAATGTAAGCGAGCGTCAGGAGAGCTGTCGCGGCCACCACCGAGGAGTTGTCCACGATCGTGCCGCGTCGGAATCCTGTGCCTCTGCCATTGAAAGAAATCGAAAGTGTATGCGGCTCCTGGTGCTGTATCCGCTTAACCAACTAGCCTTATTTCCTTGTTTCTGTAGGCTCGGAAACCTCCACCACTCGTTCCGCCGAGTTCCGATCACTAACTACATCATCGCCACGGATCCTTCTTCAAAAGCTGCCAGTGGCGCCTAAGCTTCAGACATTGGATCCAACCAACTTTAATGATGGCTTCCGACGTTGGCAAAACGGGCGAACAGCTCGACAAGACGAGTCTGTCGCCGTTTGGCGAAGCGAGGGCGACTGTGAACGACAATCCGCTCAGCGAGGACGAGGTCAACAAGCTCACCGAGTATTTCCATGCGACCCTATATCTGTGTCTGGGAATGATCTATTTGAGGCAGAACCCGTTGCTTCGCGAGCCCCTTACTATCGACCACTTGAAAAGACGTCTCCTGGGTCACTGGCAAGTCCCCGAATGTGTTCTTTCCGTCGAGCAGAAGCGAGATCTGCTTTTCGTCTACTAAGTCGTAGATGTGGATCTTTCCCTCAGCTCAGCTGACATGCAAACGAATTCCCATCACCGCATTCATTCAGGGCATCCACTGACTCTGTACTTTCGAATTTAGGGGCTCGGATGCTGGGCAAAGCTTCACGTACATTCACATGAACCGCCTGATTAAGAAGTACGATCTGAACGCGATCTTCATTTCTGGTCCTGGCCATGGTGCACCAGCCGTTCTTTCGAATTCCTACCTTGAGGGCACGTACTCTGAAGTATATCCGGACAAGAGTGAGGATCTCGATGGTATGAGGCGATTCTTCAAACAGTTCTCGTTTCCTGGTGGCATTGGGTCGCATGCAACGCCAGAGACACCAGGAAGCTTGCATGAGGGTGGAGAACTCGGATACTCGATATCACACGCTTTCGGCACGGTGTTTGATCACCCTGATCTCATCACTCTCACGATGGTGGGCGATGGTGAATCTGAAACCGGTCCGCTTGCAACCAGTTGGCATTCGACAAAATTCCTAAATCCTATTACCGATGGAGCAGTCATTCCAGTATTGCATTTGAACGGATACAAGATCAACAATCCCACTGTCTTGTCTCGCATAAGCCACACAGAACTCGAGGCACTCTTTATCGGATACGGCTGGACTCCTTACTTTGTTGAAGGGAGCGATCTGCCCACGATGCACCAGGCCATGGCCACCACCCTGGAGAAGTGCATCACCGAGATCAGGTCATATCAGAAGAAGGCCCGGGATTCCGGCAAGGCTTTTAGGCCGATGTGGCCGATGATCGTGTTGCGAACCCCGAAAGGTTGGACCGGACCGCGCAAGCTAGGGGACCATTTCTTGGAAGGCTTCTGGCGGTCCCATCAAGTTCCCATCACCGATGTCCTGAAGAACAAAGCCAGTTTGCAGAAGCTAGAAAAGTGGATGCGGAGCTATCGGCCAGAGAAGCTATTTGGTCAGGATGGAAAGCTCAGACCTGATCTGAGGGAGCTCGCTCCCACTGGCACCCGCAGGATGAGCGCCAATCCAATAACCAATGGTGGTGTGCTCCGCCGTAAACTCAACTTGCCTGACTGGCGCGACTACTGTGTCGAAGTGGAGAAGCATGCTACCTCCAAATTTGGGAGCATGGGAAATTTCGCAAAATTCTTGAGAGATGTTGTCGAGAGAAACCAGGATCAGTTCCGTGTGTTTGGTCCGGATGAGACCGAATCTAATAAGCTTAGCGCTATTTACGAGGTACGCGAGGTCAACCTACATACTGTAGTATGCTAATAGTATCACTAGGGCGGCAAGAAAGTTTGGCTCGGAGCTTATTTTGAAGAGGATCAAGACGGAGGCAATCTTGCCTTCAGCGGACGGGTCATGGAGATGCTTTCAGAGCACACGGTTGAGGTATAGTCAGGCTCCGGCACTGCACGTTTCGATAGTCTAACAAACATAGGGTTGGCTCGAGGGATACGTCCTATCCGGTCGACACGGCCTGCTCAACTCGTACGAGCCTTTCATTCACATCATCGACTCCATGGTAAACCAACACTGTAAATGGCTCGAGAAATGCCTTGAAGTCGACTGGAGAGTAAAAGTCCCGTCGCTGAACATCCTTCTCACGGCAACAGTTTGGCGTCAGGATCACAATGGCTTTACGCATCAAGATCCAGGTTTCCTGGACGTAGTGGCTAACAAAAGTCCAGAGGTCGTACGCATCTACCTTCCTCCAGATGCGAATTGCCTGCTTTCCACTATGGACCACTGCTTTCGCAGCTCGAACTATGTCAACGTACGGCACGCTCATGTACGAAGTGAACATTCTGATTCTGACTGGTATTGTAGGTGATTGTGGCCGATAAACAGGAACACCTCCAGTTCTGCACCAAGGAGCAGGCGATCGCTCATTGCACTAAAGGTGTTGGCATCTGGCCATGGGCGAGCAATGACCAGGGCGAAGACCCTGATATTGTTATGGCTTCGTGCGGTGATGTCGTTACTGCTGAAGCTCTTGCCGCCACTGCTCTCCTTCGTGAACACCTTCCCGGGTTGAAGATCCGCTTCGTCAACGTTGTCGACTTGTTCAAGCTCATATCGCCAGACGAACACCCGCATGGTTTGAAGGACCACGAATTCAAAGCCATCTTCACAGACGACAAGCCGATCATCTTCAATTTCCATTCATATCCGGGCATCATCCATCGCATGACCTACCGTCGAAAGGGCCAGCATAATTTGCACGTACGTGGCTACAGGGAAAAGGGCAACATAGATACTCCACTTGAGCTGGCTATCCGAAACGGGATCGATCGGTTCAGTCTGGCAATCGATGCCATTGACCATGTTCAAGGCCTTGGCAACAAAGGTGGATTGGCACGGGAGGCGTTGATGGATAAGCAGATCAAAGCGAAGAACTATGCGTATCACGAGGGTCTAGATCCCGAGGACCTTGAAGCTTGGACATGGCCGCAAAAGCTCAGCAACCCGGAATCTTGAGTATACGGTCAAGCAATGCAATTGGGGTATTATAGGCTTCCTTACTGATGAATTTTGATGGTGCGATAAAGTAAACTATTCCGTTTCTTGTTGTGTAACAATATTCTTCAACATCACATGGCTACGCTAAACGAAGTAGATCAAGTGTGTTATACTGCAATATATTTCAATTTGCAGCACTGTTGAGGTTCACTAATCTACGTTACGGTCGAAGATGACTTGCCACATCACATCTTTCGAAATCAGCAAGTGTATAAATATTGCAGAATTGAACTTTCGCAGACCTGCAAGTAAGGTGACCTGCAGTATAAATCTGAGAATAATACAGTATGCGAACCAAGCATCTTTCTCGCACCCTAACACAAAACCTGTTATTCTTGTCGACCATGCTTCCTATAGGATTCGAAGGAGCCTCTACGACAACCGTTATCCTCACCATAACACAAACAATCATTAAGGGCATGACTACAACCGCTACAACCAAGAACACAATACCCGCTCCAAGCGCCAAATGCGACACTATCTTCTCACCCACAGTTCCAGGGCTTTTATCGGCAACCCTCACCGCGACGCATCCCTCGCTATTAGCGATAAATTCGACACGCTCACTTGATCCCAGTGATATCCAAGGCGACGTTCCCCGCAACCCGAGCACAACATGTTTGCACACGATGACGCACTTTGTTCCCCCAGGCCCTGAACCTACCATGACGATGCTGCCATCGCTGCCAACGACTCATGTTCACGAGAGCCTAGATGGCTGCATGAGTATTCAGAGTCTCAATCTTCCAGCTTCTGAAACACCTCTGATGACCTCCAGCGATGCGAACGAACTGGCAATTGCCGCGACAGCAAAGACCACAGCTGCGGAGGACGAAGACGTGACTGCGTGGTCTTACATGGATCCTGCAGGTGGAGAGATCGGGGGCCCGGGTTGGGTGAAAAGAGTTCTTAGGTGGTTAGGCGGATATTGACTTATCGTGGCATTCTGTTGGTGGCAGCACTACTGACTTGAACAAACCTACGCCAAAAGTCTTAAATTCTAAGTAACCTTGACGACAACGAGTTCCCAGTTTCTGACGCAGTATTGTGCGGAGTGTTGCTCGGATCACGAGCTGTGAGCTTGATTGACAAGTCGCATAAAGAGCTAGCGTCCTGAGCAGACTGTTCCATTCACAGTCAGAATGATCGTTTCCGTCACAGTTTCGTCTCTGGAAAAACATAGGGCAGCAATCTAGCATAAATGGGATGCGTCAATTGGTGCTTGAAGTCGTGTTAAGGACTTGAGGCTATTCATGCTGACAGGAGAAGTTGGTAAACCTGCCAACTGGCCCTAATATCGGATGACGGCCCAAGCCGAATCCTCGCCGCTAAAGCCAAAGCATTCCTCCCATAGCAGCAATCCTTGCCGTTCATAAAATCATCATCTCTTTAACGCCAACCCATGTAAACGATTCCACAGCCACTTCGCAGACAGTCTGGCGTCGCGCCAGTCGCAGTTGCGGCATCCCTTGGCCACTATTGGAATCTGCGGCTTCTCCGTCAATGCCGAGCTCGTCATCGAAGTGCGCGTCTTGGTCGGCGTTCGGTTTAAATGTACGGTATTGAGGCCCACACGAGTATTGATATTGCTTTGTTCTCGTGCAGTCACCAGTCCTGTGGGCCTCGCCTCATGCTAATCGATACCGTGTTGCTTTTTCAGCTTTTCTAAGTTCTCCTGGCGCTCTGCGAGGTCGTTCGCTGCTTTTATCATTTTCTCTGGCTGGTGATATAATACTGTAACCAAGGTGAGCAGTGAGAGCGCAGAGATGGGATGTGAGAACGGACCAACGAGATATCGATTTTGGAAGTTGAAGCCGTTTAGCTTGTCGCAGGCGGATTTTGCATCCATGACATCCTCGTAGACGACGAACGCGGTGCCCTTTGTGTTATTGGCGATACCTTGGCGGATTTGACTGCTGTCGTTAGCTTTGCGGACTCAAAGCACGGTCGGAGGCGCATGCATACCGCACAGGGCCGAACTTGCCGAAGAGGTCGAAGAGATCCTCTGGGGTCACGTTGAAGCTCAAATTCTTGACGAACAGAGCACTGCGTGAAAATAGGTCAGCGGAGGTCGTGTGAGGTGGCCGCGGCAGGCGGCAGACAAAGGCTGCGCAACATACCGGTTGACTTCCGGGGCGAGCTTTCCGCCGCGACTCATAGCTTGGCGACTGGAGGTGTGCTGGAAAAGACTGGCTGCGCAATGCAGAGAGTTGCGATGAAGGTGGTGGAGGTGGATGCGGCGGGAGCGGCGTGAACGTCAAGTCTTGGAGGGCGAACTATGCACGTGATGCGGAGACGTCCACGGGTGATAGGCTGGCGACACTAAGCCGAATTTGGCCGGCCTGATGGTAGGAGGGCAGGCGCAAGCAACCGCGCAGGAACGGCGAGCAGACATGGAGCATCTGGAGGTATGCAGAAGCCGTCTGGAGATATGCGTAACAGCATTCTGGAGCAGGCGTCGCGGGCGGTGCGTCTGCGGAATTGGCAGCTTGTCTGGTAGAACTGGCGGAGGATGCTGGCGGACCTTTGCTGCTCCAGCGAGGGCTGTGGCCTCCTCCCGCCCGCAACTCCCGTGCAAGTGCAAACCGCAGACTTGTCACCTCCGCGCTGCGAATTACACATAAGCTGTGCGCCATCCCTAGGTACGCACTGCGCGAGACGGACAACGCGCCTGCGCGGAAGAGCCGTGGGCGCTGCAGTCGCTGCTGCTGGATTGTCCCCGCGCCAAAACTACTTTCACTCCACTCCACGTCCGTCCTTCAACGCCAGACCACCACCCGCACAACCACCACGCTCGCTCGCCGCCTCGTCGCGTCAGAACTGCCCCGGGACATGTCTACTGCGCCCAGCTGCTTCGTCTGCTCTCACAGCGCCGCCGTCCCATAGCCCACTGACTCCGCGACGATCGCGCCCGGCACGGCACCTCCGACGAAGACGCACCCCCTCCAATCCGCCCACCGCGCCCCCATATATCGCGATGAGGGTCTCTTCCTTCAAGTCGCAGCCAGGGCAAGCTCCGCCGCGCTCTGCCACCCCGCCGCGGCCTGTCTGGGAGCCGCTCTCCCCCATCCTCCGCCCGCAGCAAGCGCCCTCAGCAAACCCCGCTGGCAGCGTCGCCGCCCCTGCGGCCAGCGGTAATGCCCTTGTCAATGCTGCTCAGCACATATTACAACACAATGCAGGCTTTGGCGCGCAGCTCCAGCGGGAGCCTGCGGTGGTGACGTACGAGTTGCGATCCGCACCGCTGCCACCACCACGAGGCGCTCCATACTCTCCGGTCTTGGGCTCGCCCATTGAGGCGCTCGCAGATGCCGCCATAAACTCCCTCCATGATGGCTCGGCCTTGGTCGAACCTACGCATCGCTCCGGCCAGCTACCGTCCGCCTCGCCTAGCACCTACACCCAACCGCCCGGCCACCGCGCGCCAAAACACACTTATGCCGTTGACGGCAGCCATCCGTACACCGAAAGACCTGCAAAGCGCGCACGGTCCGATCACTTCTCTCCTTCTCAACATGGGCAACAGTACTATCCGCGGCCGGCCACTAGCCATATTCCGGGTTGGTCATACAATGTGGAGCAGATGGTGGACAGCGGCCATCGCATGTACCAGGAAACTGCTCGGCCAGTCCAGAATCCCGACGAGAACAGTATGAAAAGGCTTTCAGATGCGCAATTGCTGATGGACTTTGCCGCCGCCGCGTCGAGCTCGACGCCTCGGCGCGATTCTACGGCCAAGCGATGGAGCATATCGCACCAGGAAACCTCCAGTCCGTACGCCCGTCAACAGCACGGCGAACCGAACAACACGTACGTTGGAGCTTCCCTACTTTCTCCCCGTGCACATCATCATGTCTCGCCACCCGAATACAGGTATACACCCATTGTACCACCCGCCGCATTCGAAGCAGCCCCGGATGAAGTCAGCACACAGACAGAAACGCCTCCGGATGAAGGCACGGCACGAGAAGATTTACTAAACTTGAACGCTGCTGTCATTGGTACGGACACGAAATCGAAAAAGCATCCAGGGTGGCCGAAAGGCAAGCCTCGCGGATCGCGCATTGGCGCCCCCAGTGGGAAGAAGAAGAGATCCACACCCAAGCCAAAGCCTGCTTCAGCTGCTGCTCACGAATCTGCGAAACAATTGCAGTCGCCGCAAAGTCTGCCTGCGGAGCGAGACGATCATCCCGTGGGCGAACTTACCACAGCCCACGCGCCGTTTCCCGGCTCTGATGACCCTATACCACAAGCCCGTCGCTATTCATTTTCTGACGTGACGTCTACTGCAGTCCCCGATAAATCGACCTACGATATTTCGCGAGCCCTCTCAGTTCCTCTAAGTACTGCCACGCTTCCTGCACCGCCATTGGCTCGTCCCGCCCCCGACAATACGGCAGAACCAGTCACTATATGCGCCGGTTGCGGCTCGTCTGATTCCGAGACGACTATCGGCGACGGAGAACAGTGGATAAGATGTGATGGCTGTAAGGGGTGGCATCACTATGTGTGCGCTGGCTTCCAAAGCGAGCGCGAAGTGCGGGACGTGGACAAATTCTATTGTGAGCGATGCCAACCAAAATTTGGCAGAACCACGAAAGTCAGAAAGTCTACCAGAGCGCACACAGCTGTCGACTATGCTGGACTCAACGAAGGCATACTGAAGACGTCGGACGACAACCCCGAGCATCACTACATTGCTGCCTTCAAGAACGGCGACATCGAGTTTACCCCAGAGACTTTTGCGCGTCTGCCTCCAGAGTTAGTGTCCGCCGACTTCCTCGAAAAGACGAATGGCTTCAAAGAGCCTATCCTAATTCCTGCAGCCTTGAACCCCCGACCAGAATATCCGGGCAGAGCATATCCGGATGACGACAAGCCGACCACGACGATTGAAGCAGTTGCAGATCCATGCTACGCACTCGAAATGTTACCTGACGATGGCCAAGACAAATTGGATATGGTAATTCCAGAAGGTCTTACCGTCCGACGCGTTTCGGAGCTTTATGGGCCCCAGGAACGTGTGCCAGTCATTGATGTAAAAGCCCAGGAAGGGGAGGACAAACGATGGACAATGGCGAAATGGGCTGATTATTACGAGCAACAAGGCGAGAAGCCCGTCCGAAATGTCATCAGTCTAGAGGTTTCCCGGAGCCGCTTGGGAAGACTAATCCGTCGACCAAAAGCAGTGCGAGATTTGGATCTCCAAGATGCTGTTTGGCGCGACGACGACAAGAAAGCTCCTCCGGCCGTGCAATTCTATTGCCTCATGTCAGTTGCGGACTGCTACACGGATTTTCACATTGACTTTGGGGGGTCCTCAGTCTACTACCATATCGTGAAGGGCAGAAAGGTGTTCTTCTTCATACCACCAACAAAACAGAATCTGAAAAAGTATGAAGATTGGTGTCTCTCCCCAAGGCAGGGTCACGAGTGGCTAGGCCACCAGGTCAAAGAATGCTACAGGGTTGATCTGTATCCTGGAGATACAATGCTGATCCCCTCTGGTTGGATCCATGCCGTTTGGACACCGGAGGATAGTTTGGTCATCGGCGGTAATTTTCTCACCCGGATTCACTATGGCATGCAGATTAAGGTCCTGGAGATTGAGAAGAACACCAAGGTTGCCCCGAAATTTCGATACCCATTTTTCCAAAAGCTCATGTGGCTCTCTTTGATACGCTATCTCGAGGAGGACCCTCTCCCGGCACAAGTTGAACAACTTCTGCTCAGTGGTGGTCAGTTCTATCGCGATGTCCCAACATATTGCGAGACCGGAAAATTCGGACACAACTCACATCTTGGTTCGGAGAACTACCATAAACGATACTACCCGAAAGCTGAGTTGGATGGCCTTGTCGAACTTGCTAATTATGTTTGGAGATCTGTTTTAATTTCGCTCGGCCGGATCGAGGGCATAGTTGAGAAGGTGCAAAAAAGTGTCACCAGCTCTATTCCTAAAGGCTTTGGAGACCCGCTTGTACTTGCCAAGCGCTTCGCTATGTGGATCGCATGGAAAAGAGGGAATGAGTGCATCCCACAGTGGGCACAACCCGACGCCGTACTCCCCGACACTCAAGAGGCGGAGAAAAAATTAAGCGCCGCGCAGGTCAAGCGCATGGAGAAACAAGCGATGGGTGAAGGCTTGAGAACTAGTTCAGAGAAGCAATTCTCAAGGACTAGAGCAACCGAGACACCCTTTACAAACGGCATGGAACACCACAGCCCGGGCCTGGTTACACCACTGTCTCCGCTACCAATGATGACTGGATTTCTCCAGAAGCCGGATCCGTCGCGACCACAAACTACACCCAAGACATCCCAACTGGGTCCGAAGCGCATTGCCTGTGATGCTTGTCGTAAACGAAGAATACGGTGCAAGCATAAAGACGAGATCTTCGACCCAACGAAACCTGCTGGCATGGCTGGTGGCATGAATACGATCGATTTATCTGGCTCTTTAGGCTTGTCGGTCAAGCGTCGTTACAGCGACTTTGGTGCTTCTCACGGGTCGCAATCGAGCTCGGCCGACAAGAACATGACAAATGGAGGACCGCTTCTAGCGGACGCCAATGGCGATCCATACGCATTGAAGTCTGGCCGCGTGAAGGCTTGTGCTGATTGCCGCAAGAGCAAGGTGAGCAGTTTGATGTCAATAAGATCGCCAAGCTAACAAACTCAGCGTCGCTGTATTCACGACGAGTATGGCAATGTCGACCCGGTCAAAGCAAACGAAGTTCCCATTCCAAGAGGAGCTGCGGCCAAGAAACGTCGCATCAGCGATGAAGATCCGATTGCAGTTCAAAGAAAGCTGAAGAAGGAAGTTACAGCCGATGGCTCGTTCTTATATGCCCCTTTTCATCACCGGAACTCTTCTTCAGGGGAATGCATTATGGGTGGCCATGCTGAACTCCAAGACTTAGCATTCTCCGCCCAACAGTTTCTTAACCACGGATCCAATGACGATATGATGCCAATTGACCCAGCTTTGCAGTCATATGAGCATGGGAATGCCGGGTTCGCCGCGGACGCTTCTCATGCGCCGGATCAAGATACGGTCATGTTCTCGGTAGAAGACCTAGCCAACGACAGAGTGGAGACCAGCTTGGACGCACAAGCAAGACCTGTTTTGGACCCTGTCAGCCCGGGTACTATCCCTAACGGTTTCCATGCTCAACCCAACGGGTTTGCGGAAGATTCTCCACCCGCTCACGCCAACCGAACTGGCATACAATTTTCCCCGCTAACCCCTAATGCGCAACGCTCAGGGTGGCACTGTCACAGCAGCAGTAAGCCCAGTCAGACACCTCACCGGTCGCACAGGAGGAGCAATACGCCGAAGACACCTTCGGATCGAGGACGCGACTGCAGAGGGTCCATCAAGTTCGAGCCACGGTCTGAACCGAAGGCGCGCGCTACATCATCTGCTGTAATTGACAGCGAGGAAGATATGGCGAGTTTAGCTCTAGCGTTGCAGCTGCAAATGGAGGAACATGGCTTGCGACGACGGAGTATGGTATGAATATAGGTAGTTTTCCGTCTTCAGTTCAGTCTTGCTCTCTTATATCATCTGATTCAATGGCGTTTACTGATTTCAGGGTAATTGCATGGGAAATCGCACGGCATTGGTAGCTTTGGTCATTCTCTCACGTTTTGCAATATCATCCAGCGAGCTGGTGGCTGACGTTTTGGCGTTTTGGCGTTTACCGAAGTCGGCACCCACGCCCTTTATACCCAGACTTCAATGGTACAGTTCTGTATTTCTGCAAAGGATGTTCCATATGGCGTTATTTTCTCGGAAGAACACTTGGGACGCGGATGACGGGTTCCAAGTCTTACTTGTTGGTCAGCAGGAAGTTGCAGCCGGTTATGTAGATGTATCACAGATGAACAAGCAATTATTCTCACTTATTCACCGATAAGCCCAGTATAGCTCGTCACAGACCAACGTAAGCCAACCGAACCCAATCCCACGACCTAATTCAGGCTAGGCGTTCATTAACCCTTCCCTACATCCACCGATGCATATCTCCAAAGGGAGGATATCTCAGCCTGCTTCGTCTCCTTCCATCACCGTTTTTCCAATCTCCAGGTCCGCTAACAACACTGCTCACGCACTCCCAGTCCCACGGTACCTCCCTCCCCAAAACCTCATATCCAGCAACCCTCCTCAATCTTCCTCTGTCGGGCCGCACGTCTCTTAGTGCCACGCGCGTTGTCTCCCTTAGCTCAGTCTTGGCTGGCTCCACGATCCGCGTTCTGTATATCGGTTCCCGCGGCGAAGGGCACGAGGATGGACTGCGCGATGGCGGTGGGGCGGAAGTCGGAGGGGCGGGATTGCGCTTCCTGCCATGACCATGAAGCTTCCACTGGTGATGGTGGTGGTGCGGAAAGTGGATTGGATGCATGTGCAACGGGTGAATATGTGGATGGTGATGATGGTGATCCAAGTGATGGTGGTGCTTCTCAGACTCAACTGGGGCGAGTATTCGGACTTTACTATAGCGGGAATCATCTCCCTTTTTGTGGACTCGAACGAGCTCTGCCGCAGACGACCCATCGTCGAAAGGTTGATGTGGATGGTGGTGGTGCCGTGCGGATTGGGGGGTGAGGGTTATCCAGCACATGGCTGGAATAGGTGCTGGGGAAGGACGATGGTAAATAGCGGATGCGCAAAGGAGGTGCGAGACGATGGTGTGCGTGTGAGGATATGGGAGTATAGGCGTGTGAGGGTCGGGTTATTGTATGTGAAGTCCAGTCTCGATGAGACATGCAGTAGTAGAATAACTTGGAGCAGATGGAAATATACACGAGGACGTTGGAAAGAACAAGCGACAAGCATTTAGACTTTGCGGGTTTGATGTGCGGATTCGATGGACGTAGCTGATATGGGAGACCATCTGAGATATACCAACGACAAGAGCATCATGCTGTGCTTGTCACGCAGAGGTTGCGCCTCTTCACGCGCCCACTTGCACGGTGCGAGAGAGCAAGACGAAAGTACTGAAGTGCGAGACAAAGGGTCCTTATGACGATCGCATACTGTAGGAAATGCGAACATGTGTTCGTGTTGGGCGTCCGAATGACGGAGGCTGGTGGTTAGAAGTGGCACATGGAGAGGCGTGTATGTCTTAAGTGACCTTGAAGCGCAGACGGAACACATGACGACGACCCATAGGCTGTCAGCATCAGTATCGACAGAACGCTGGTTGCGAGGTGCATGCGAACAATGTGAGCCTCATGAAGGAAGACTGTACGCTTGTGCTGTGCATGCATGGTGAAGATGCATGTGGTAAGCGTCGTGGAAAGGCAGCAGCGACGCGAACAACGCCAAGCCCGGCGACACAGCAGCTTGCCCGGAGCTCTAACATCACCGCGTCAACCACCGCAACCCGCACCCACACCCCGCCTGCTCCGCCCTCATACCCACCGCCGTCCTCGGTTGCGCAAACATTCAGACCCCGCCATGGACTCATTAGTTGCACAGTACACGCGGCCGGCGTTCAGAGAGGAGGGCCAGACGCACGAAGAGCAGCAGGAGCTGTGCCAGGTCGCCCCAGAGCTGTCCCTCAAGTTTGCCCTGCCGCCAGTAGCTCAGGTATGCCACAACTTTCAGGGCCGTCCTCCAAAACTGCTTTGCGCAGGCTGCTGACCACGGGTCCAGTCCGCCTCATGGCTGCGCGCAATGACCGACGACTACTCGAACCCCAACTGCCCCATCAAGATCGCACACGGCACCACGACGCTCGCGTTCCGCTTCAAGGGCGGCATCATCGTAGCGACAGACTCGAGGGCAACAGCGGGCAACTGGATTGCCTCGCAGACCGTCAAGAAGGTCATCGAGATCAACAACTGCCTGCTGGGCACCATGGCCGGTGGCGCTGCTGTAAGCGGGAATTGTCCCCCATGGATGCGATGGAGGTTTGACAATCAGTAGGACTGCCAATACTGGCTGGCGTACCTGGGCATGCAATGCCGCCTCCACGAGCTCCGACACAAGCGCCGCATTTCCGTCGCTGCAGCCTCCAAGATCCTCGCCAACCTCGTCTACTCATATAAGGGCATGGGCCTGTCAATGGTACCATCTCTCTCTGCGTCCTTCCGTGGCAGACATGCTAATCCTAGTGTAGGGCACCATGTGCGCAGGCGTCACGCCCCAAGAAGGCCCCGCACTCTACTACATTGACAGCGACGGCACGCGCCTCGCAGGCAACCTCTTCTGCGTCGGTTCCGGTCAAACCTTCGCCTACGGCGTGCTCGACGCGAATTACAAGTACGACCTTTCAGACGAGGACGCCCTCGAGCTCGGCAGGCGGAGTATTCTCGCTGCTACCCACCGTGACGCGTACTCTGGAGGTTTCATCAACTTGTACCACGTCAAGGAGGATGGCTGGGTGAAACACGGCTTCAACGATACCAACCCGATCTTCTGGGAGACCAAGCTGAACAAGGGCGAGTTCTCCAATGTGACGTCGGAGCTGGTATAAGGTCGTGGAGAGATGAGAGAGGAGTACCAGGCAGAGAGTTACCCGCGGACAGGTAGTGGAGAGGAAAGGGAAACCGGGCTGTAGCTGTAAGATGAGTGAATGCTGCACGCCCAAAGCGTGAGGGACCAATGAGATCTTCACGAACGCTGTAAATCACAATTAACGAACCAGACACGCTCCACGATACGACTCCCAACACATTGTGACCCTGAATTACGGTATTAGAGCACAAGTGGTCTCGATATTATATCATGCCAAGTTACTCCAGAATACACTATCTAAGGATAAGCAATCCACAGTATATACACTTCTGAACAAAGACGACGCCTCCCGCTGGCCCACATCCCGCACGTCTATAAAGACCTCGGACGACAGCCGCAACTAGTGGATGGACATGCAATCAACGTGATAGTATTTCGATCATGGTCTAAGCTCATAAGCTGCTTCACCATGCGGTCCATGTCCTGTCCTTTGAGGCAACACACGATGCAATTTCCCGGTCCGGACATCCCATCTCATCGTGCAATAATCTGCTAAAGTCAGAATGCCCCAATATACACAACATATAGACCGTATTCAAGGTGATGGCAACCCGACTTCAACCCAGAGTCTTCTCCTTTTGCCTCTCCATCGCCTTAAGCACGTCAGTCGCACTATTTTTATCCCCCTTCTTCTTTTTCGGTCCCCTCTTCCGTTTCTTCTCGCCTCTAGCGCCACCCTCCGCATCTTCATCATCTCCAGCTCCGATGCCTTTCCACTCCGAGAATTTGATCTTTTCACCCTCTCGCTCCATCTCCTCGGCGTCGTCAAACCGTGACCCACCGAAGCCCATGTCCATATCCTCCATATCGCGATCGGAAGCGGCGAGCTTGGCAAGTCGCGCCTTGAGGCGCGATTCTTCAGAGTCTGCGTCGTTGATGAGGGTGGAGTTGGAGTCGAGGGTTCGCACTTTCTGAAGGGCAGCACGGACCGTGACATCCGCAGTAGATGATTCAGAGGGTTGACCAGGGTTGGCAGGTGCAAAAGTCTTGCTGGAGGCGAAGTAATTGCGTTTCGCGGTAGGATTCTGGACGGTGGTGGTGGGCCTGGTAGAAGCTCGGTCGGGATCGTCATCGTTGGCAGTGGTCTCTTCGGAGGTTGCATTTGGCTTCTCGAACGATGCTGTGGTGTCTTTTGTTTCTCCTTCCTCCTCTGACGACTCGTCTTCGCTGTTTATAGTTGCAAGAGGATTAAAATTGGAGCCGACCCCTTCGAAAATGTCATCGTCTTCTGACTCCTCCTGCTTGTCCTTTGCAGGAGGCAGATCGTGTGTGTTGATGGGCTTCTTTTCGTCGTCTAGATCGTAGCGGACTTCAGGCGCAGGTTCCTGCACTTTCTGCTTTCGAACCTTGCGCTTCTCTTTCCCCTGGGCGTCGGTGATGATGAGAACCTCTCGACCTTGTTTGTCGACCTCGATCCTGGATGACTCGCCTTTCTCGCTGACCTTGCGAAAGCCTTTTCCAAGGCTTGGATATTTCTTTTCGTACTCAGCTGCCGCGGCCGCGGCCGCCTCTTCTCTCTGCCGCTTGAGTTCAGCCAAGACATCTGCCCTATTCCGCTTGACGCCAGCTACTGGCTTAGGGGGGGCAACCTCGCCCTTCTTCTCACTCTTCTCTCTCACGATGGAGCCAACATCCTGCTCAGCCAACTCGTCGAACTCCTCTTCGACAACCTCAATGTCATCCTTCTCCTTCTCCTCCTCATTCGATGACACATGCGCGAACACATCCTCGCCTTTTCTTACGCGCTCGAGGAGCTTCCTGTCCAGGCCCTTGACAAGATGCGTAGCAGTAATGTCTCCGCCTGTGATCTCCTGCACCAACTTCTCGAACATGTCCCTGTCAATTTGACCAAGCTTCGTCGCCTCCTCGAGATTTTTGATGCGCTGTGCCGTTTCATCAGCATCGTCGTCGGTGCGCTCTTTGGTGCGGTCGGTATAGCCTGCGGCGAGCTTGCTGCCTTTGGGCGCAGCAGATCGAAACTTCTTCGTCGGGTTCGCTTTAGCGTTGCGCTCAGCGAGCTGGCGGGCAAAGTCGGCTTGTATCGAGTTGCGGCCTACTTGACGCCTGTCTTGCGGTCAGTCGACGTGCATCATACGAGCAGACGGAGCGGTATCTTACGGTGTCATGGGTATACTCGCGTTCTTGCGCGCCCCCAACACGGCACCTTGTGTCCGTGTAGACTGCTGAGACTGGCCTTTGCTTGCGTCGCCATCTTTTTGTCCCGGAGAGTCGACCAGCAAGCGGCGGAACTGCTGGTTGTTCATGGCGGTGGTGGTTGACAAATGGGCGCTGGGTGGTGGAGCAAAAGTTCCTGCCAAGTACGGCTAGGGCTGCGGTAAGGTTACATTGCGGGGAAATTAAACCGCCTCTCATGTTCTGTACTGTGTACCTGCGTCATCCAGTATGTCGAGGCGGTATCGCTAGTCCCTGATCCAACATGTAATTAACAAGTAGACTAAGCATGCTTTTCCCTTGTACTTATCCCTCTTCCCTATCGTAACCTGCCCTTTTGTGCACACCTTCACGCCGCTACTGCTCTTTTCTACACGAGTTCCTTGCCCATGTTCAAGCTTACACAGTTGTTGCTCAATGCAACGTTGGCTATCGTAGCATGGGGCCAGTATTACTCCAATACGACCACCTACACAAACCCCATTTTGTCTGCAGGTGGGGCGGATCCGTGAGTCTTGTAACAGTGCCACGAATCACACGGAAGATCCTAACCGGTCAGATGGGTGATACGCCATGACGGTTGGTACTATATGACCTATACCACGAACGACGATGTATCTCTGCTTCGGAGTCAGATACTCACGTGAGTTCCCGTCCATCACGGTCATGACACTCTAAGGCTGTTCAGTTGTTCATGCTCTCGTATGGGTTTGAAGGACTGAGCGCTTAGCACGTTTGGCATCATGTCTAATCTCTTCAAGTAACTCAAGGCTTACGTTACCTGAGCGCAAAACCATCTGAGTATATGTACTAACACTTCTCAGAGATTGGAACAACGCCGAGTCAAAGGTTCTCTTCACTCCCCCGCCAGGCCTGAACTACTCCACCGACTTATGGGCCCCGGAGCTCCACCAGCTCAATGGGACCTGGTACGTCATCTTCACCGCGGACCCTCGTAGCGATTCTCCTTCGCCTGAATTAGACATGTTCTGCCCGTACAATTGCCCAGCCATTCACCACCGCATGTTCGTCCTCGAAGGCCACGGATCAAACCCTTGGAGCGCAAGCTTCGTCTACAAGGCCCAACTCAACACCTACGACCAATTTTCCATCGACGGAACCTATTTCCAACACTCCTCTGGTCTGTACCATATTTACAGCTGCTGGTACACCCAATACGCCGCCTGGCCTGCAAACCTATGCATTACAAAACTGGAAAATCCGTGGACGGTGGCAAGCCCGTTTTCTGAGCGGCAGATTATATCTGTGCCGAGTTTGCCGTGGGAGAAGACGCCGTACGGTCGAGCTGAAAATGATCGATTAAGCAGTAACGAAGGGCCGCAACAACTCACTAACTCGCGCACTGGTCAGCAGTTCCTCATTTACAGCGCCGCCCGCTCGGACAACCGCAACTACTGTCTTGGGCTGCTGGAACTCGCTCCCAACGGCGACCCCATGAATCCGTCCGACTGGCGCAAACACCAATATCCTGTGTTCTATCAGAATCCGGCCGAGAGTGCGTATGGCGTGGGTCACGCAAGTTTCGTCAAGAGTCCCGACGAGACGGAGGACTGGATCGTGTATCATGGCATGCAGGACCCCACAAATGGATGGTCTGCTCGAACCATCCGAACGCAGCCGTTCATATGGAACGAAAATGGAACACCGAACTTTCCCAAGCCGGGCTACGGGCCATACAAGGTCCCCAGTGGGCAGTAGCTGGGGGCTGGTGGTGTTTCCAGTGCAACCAGCAGGCCAGCGCGTATCGTCATACATAGTGTCGCATTAACACGTCCCAGCCTGTTCGTATACATGCGTATCCATGATAAAACTGAGTATGTACACAAGCCATGTGCCAACTTGATTTGTGCCCGACCGTGTTCATCTCCGATGGTCACTAATCCAGGTAGCCAGTATCCACACAGCATAAGTTGACCCATTGCGCGCAGAACGACGCAAAAAACATCAAACAGCAGGTATTCACCGGTGCTCATGAAATCAACTACTAATCCGCCGGTACATTGCTTGTATGTGGCTGAGCGGTCAGGAAGCCTAGTCTTCAGTGTCCTATGGTCGTATGTAGTAATTGACCATGCCGTGTTCCTATATGTACAATTCCAGTCAGAGCACACTCGACCTACCATCCTACTCAGAACGCGCCTGCAATCAAGATATCAGATTATGCGTTGATCTTCGTGTGCGCTGTATGTGACATTTATTATTCAGACGAGGCATGTCATCAGGCTGTCTGTCCACGTTAAGAAGTACGGTCCGGGTGCCCCAGCGAAGTTTTTCACACAGCGCTTTTCCCCCTCGCTCCCTTCCTCAACCTACTTTTTTCTGTTGCCTCCTCAATCTTCGTCTTGCGCCACGTACACTCCTCCGCGAAATCACACATTCGACACTTGAAAGCTTCCTCTATCTCAACGCCTTTAGCTTCTCTGTCGCCTTTCCACCACTCCATTTCTCTCTTGACATACGCATCGATAGTATCCGCGCTGTATGTCGTAAGCTCGTTACCAATTACCTCTCCTGTCTTCGCGTATCTAAACTCTGCACGGAGGATATCGCTGAGGGTGGGGATGGTTTGTTGGTACTCGCTAATCATGAGAGACCACAAGGACGAAAGATTCGGGTGAGATATTAATTCGTTGGCCTGAAGAATGCTGTAGGGGTTTTCGGGGTCAAAGTCTGAATAGGCGTCTCCGAAAGCCCCGCCACCAACTATGAATGCCTCTGAGAAGGACTCCAGAGGTGCAAGACCGTATCGTGCAAATATCGTTTCCGCGTCAACCGTGTTGAACAAAAGTGACTCAAGGAGTTTACGATACAGCATCAGCTGCATCCAAGTTGGACGCAAGGAGGCTCCCTTGGGCAGTAATCGTCCACCGCGTGTCTTCACGTCCGCGATGTATACATGTCGGTCTCTTTCCATAATACCAAGCCAAGCGCTCGCAGATGTGTCTGGTAGATCCGGCCTGATACCGCCGGCTTTGCCGAAGGCCTGTTCAATGCTTAGTTGGCCCAGGGGAAGCGTCCCACCGCTCTGTTGCGCCCGAGAAAACTCGAGCTTTCCCTCCATCTCCGGGTCTGGACATGTAAAGCTCAACTCGTCAATCACACCGTTGACCACTTGCCCCTCTACTGTTCCCCAGATCTCAAGCTCTCTCGTGAGCCCTGTTTCTCGGAGACAACGAAGTCCTTGGATCGTGTTCCAGAGCTTGAGACCGAATCGATCTTCCTTGCTCACAGTCTCTACGGGTATAGTGGTGTGAACTTCGTCTTCCAGCGCTTGATGTATCTTGGAGCCCGTTTTCATGGCTTGCGTACGCGGCTTACGCCCGAATTTGGAGAGGGTGTAGGAGTACTGCAGTTCGCACCATGCTGGCGAGACGAGGTCCGTCACAGACAATGGCTTCTTAGGCTTCGTGCGAAAGCGTTCGAGTGGTGTTCGCGAGTCACCGGCGAATGGGTTGGGCTCTGTGGTCGGCCGTATCTGAGACGGTTGCGTTTCTTTGGGTACTAAACGCTGTCAGTTGGTCAGATGCAGATTGCGGCGCGATAAAGAATATAGGTTAGGTTCGTACCGCTGAACGCCCGCCGTGACGGGGCATCGTACTCGAACTCCATCGACAGGCCACTCGCCACGACAGGTGAACTCTGTATGGCGCGCCCTTCCAGGTGCACCGCCAGAGGCTGGCGCCATGGTTGGGGGACCAAACCAACATCCTGCGCGTCCTTTTCAATACTAGGGTATATTTCGTTTGGTGCAGAGGCTGCGAGCTTGTTAAGCAGGTTGCTCAGGGCCGTGTCCTCCTGGATGTCGGTCAGATCTATGTCTGAGCCGTAGTCGCTCAGTGCTGTAAGAGAGACATCAGAGCCGTATTCGCTGGTTGCTGCTTGTGATATCGCAGCTGCGACGTGGTTGTCCATGGTGCCATTTCTGGGGCGCTGGTGGGCGTCTTCCGCGGGTAGACGCGTTGGTGTAAGTCGCGCTTCAAGCTGGCGGGGGATCGCGTCCGGTCGTGAGGTCATCTTCGTTCGCGCGAATCGGGGTATTGTATCAACAAGTGCAAACACCAGGAACATGGCCTGGGGGGAAAGTAAGCAACCTTTCTCACGTACCTTGACAGGGTTTATTCATTATTCAATAGCAAGGCGCCTTGAGGGTGTTACGCAGCGCCACTGGGTGGCCAATCATTCTACAGACGCGTGCACAGTGAGCAGTGCCGTGAAGCTTCAACATTCCATAATCGCACCTCACTATTTCCACAATGATTTGGTGGCGTCGCCAAAGTCCGGCACCTCGTCAGCACTCGCGCTTGGCTTGCTCCATGTTACCTTCCCCTTCCCATCGACTGCAAAGCTTCCTGAGGTTTGCCATCTCGTGCCGCTCTCTGTCGGCCTGTTATATATGCCCTCTTCCTTACCCAACTTATACACAGAGAGCAGACTCCAAGGATTCAACACGTGCCAGAAAGAAGACACGCCGAGGCCCCACTGAGCGTAGACATTGCGCTGGTCGTCCACGATGACCTTCACATTGCTGTTTTCTGAAGGCTCTGGAAGAGATGCCAGCCAGTGATTCGTGGAAGAGCGATCGCTGTGGGACACGGCGACGAAGTGGATGTCTTTCTGGTGTCGTGATGCGGCACTGCGCATGTTCAAGAATGTTTTCTCTGCGACTGTACACAGTCAGCAACAAATGAACAAGGCTGCGAAGACTGGACGCCTCACATGGACACCCGCAGTGCCGCAAGAAAGTCACTACCATCGGCTTGCCATCTGCCGCGGGCAGGATCAACCTGGCAGAAGAAGGTGCCTGTTCGCCGACGTCGGGCGGGTGAGCTGTCTGCAGGCTAGTTGGGAACATCCATGATTGTAGCTCTGCCTGCCAGGACATGGTGATGGCTTCGTGACAAGAGGTTTATTAGATGAGCATCACATACGTTTTGTGTTATGGTGCGTGATGAAGTCGTAGCTTGTACGGCGTCATAAGCGGGGCTGCATCCTCGTTATCTATCCCTGGATAGACCAAAGCCTCATGCGCTACATACACCACCAAGTCCGGGGCAAGGCAAGTCATGGCTAACGACTTGCATTCATCGACAGCAGTAGCTAGAGCCGCTGTCCACGCCACGAGCATTCATTTCATCGTCATAGGGGCCATCACGGGCAGGTTAGAAAGACGTCAATTGAAGATGAACCGATGAATTCGTGATCGTGTTCTCAGCGTGCTTCACTGATTAATGGTATACTACATCGCACCACTTCCAGTGCACCACCCATAACCCATGATAATTGAAAAGCCGAGACCATGAAACCCAAACGCCGAAAGACCAAACCGGTGCTCACATCACACTGAGCGAGACCGAATCAGGCGGGGAGAAGAGGAGGCATCTAGCCACGCTCGCCACGGAGGCGGCGCGCGAGCTGGATGTCCTTGGACTGGATGGTGACACGCTTGGCGTGGATGGCGCACAGGTTGGTGTCCTCGAAGAGGGAGACGAGGTAGGCCTCGACGGACTCCTGGAGAGCGCCGATGGCAGAGGACTGGAAACGAAGATCGCTCTTGAAGTCCTGGGCGATCTCACGAACAAGACGCTGGAAAGGCAGCTTGCGGATGAGGAGCTCGGTGGACTTCTGGTAGCGACGGATCTCACGGAGAGCGACGGCTAGAAAATGTAAGCATGCGATGGCAGTGCCGACGAGACGACGAGACTTACTTCCGGGCTTGTAGCGGTGAGGCTTCTTGACACCACCGGTAGACGGGGCGGACTTGCGGGCGGCCTTGGAAGCAAGCTGCTTACGAGGGGCCTTGCCACCAGTGGACTTGCCTGCGGGGTACCGTTAGCCATGTTGCGTTGCGATGCGACGCGTGGGTGTTGAGGCGCGCTGAGGCCAGCGTGGCGGGGCGAGCGACCGCGACCACGACCACGACCGCAGCGCCGATGCGACGGCTGCAGTGCGATGCGACGGCAGACAAAGGTAGAGGAGCAGTGACTTACGGGCTGTCTGCTTGGTACGGGCCATGGCTGATGATGGACTTGATGATACTCGGTTGTGGTGGTGAGTAGCTGTGGTGGAGTAGTGGAGTGGGTGAGTGTGGTGAGAAAGAAAGGCGAGTGGGCGGGCGGCACTTATATGGGCGGAGGGCGGGGGCGCGGCTGCCTGGATCAACAGCAGTTGCTTTGGCGCTAGCGAAGGACAATTGCGCAGCTGGAAAGCGAGCGTTTGTCGGTCGCAGAAGCAAGCGGGCGCGCTGCGACGGCCTTGGCACAGAAAACCAAACTTCTGATCTGATCCGCCCGCGACGCCGCACGGGCCCGGTGTGATCTGGCGCGCGCCCTCGCCTCATCTAAATACACGGCGCGCCCGCCTGCTTCTTAACACCATCATCCCACAGCGAGCAACTCTCCAACGCCTCTTACCCACACACAACTCTTCCACCTCCACAAACCCCCCCAACACTCCATCACAATGACTGGTCGTAAGTCTTGCCTGCCTCTCACTTCGGTGCCATCCGCTTCGGCTGCCTCCCGCGGGCCGCTCGTCGCGTCGCCGCTCACTGCTCCCCTCGCAACAACATCACGTACTGACGCGCTCTCCAGGCGGCAAAGGTGGCAAGGGTCTCGGCAAGGGCGGAGCCAAGCGCCACAGGAAGATTCTTCGCGACAACATCCAGGGTATCACCAAGCCCGCTATCCGCCGTCTTGCTCGCCGTGGCGGTGTCAAGCGTATCTCCGCCATGATCTACGAGGAGACCCGCGGCGTCCTCAAGACCTTCCTCGAGTCGGTCATCCGTGATGCTGTCACCTACACTGAGCACGCCAAGCGGAAGACCGTCACCTCTCTCGACGTGGTCTACGCGCTCAAGCGACAAGGCCGTGAGTGCACGCGCGCCTCATCTCTCCGCAACATCACTGACATGCCTCGCAGGTACTCTCTACGGTTTCGGCGGTTAAGCGCTTTCTTTCCTGCATTTTCTTGTCACGACTTTGGCACGCGCCTGATACGGCACTGGTGCTTCGTGGAATGGGCTGGGGTTCATGGTCTGCCTGTAACATAGGCTTCGGAGTTCAACGGTTGATCGGCTTATCACTTGAGTTCGATATGGAATGATACCATAATTCTTCACACTCTGTCTTGTGCTGATGGGGGCGTTTCACTGTGACTGCTTCTGTGACGCGTTCCGCTACGGGCACGCTTTGTTGTCGTCAAACGCGCTGGCCAGTGCTTAATTCTAGCGTCAAGGCACGCGTCAGTGGGTTTTGATGTTGTTGTGGTGAACATGGCGCGTCGCATCGGAGAGGACGTTGTCGAGGCTTCCGAATTCGCTCTAGCGTGCCGTGTCGAACGACATCGGCCCTGTAGCGCGAACTTCCATGGGTGTCGCGCATCATCAACTCGGTCTGACCAGACTAACAGTGATAATGTCCACGTGTCTAGAGCACCCCAGGCGTGGCTCAGGACATAATGTTGCGGCATTGAGGCTATGACTGATAATATACTTTGTCTCCATCCAGCTCCCCTTCGTTCTTCTGCGATCATCGGAGGCGCCCGCATCGTCGGGTGGCGCCCCAGCTGGTACACTTTGATCAAACCCATATCGGGTCATTAGTTTTGAAGATGGCGTTGCATTTGTCTAGTGTAACTAGTCTTTACTTTTCACGGCGCTTGCGTTGCATGTCTTTGTTGGAACCTTCGGCCATGTCGCGCCTGCTTTCGGTAAGCACGTCTTACAGTGCGGCGGGCCTTCCATGTCAAAGCAGCATCATTCGGGGGAAGCTCCTGCACATGTGAGATGCTGCAATGTCATGCCTCCTCGTGCACGTCTGGCTTCTTCATCAACAGCTACCATCAGCATGCATTGAAGCTGCTGTTTTCCCTGCTCAACGTCCGTCGATCGCTTTTCCGTGCGTATGCGAACTCGAATGACGTCGGCCCCTCATGTCCTTGCACGCAATACCGCTGGGTGCGCCAACACCACTTCCATCTCTACCGCGAATTATCACAGGAGTCACCATGGCCCTTACCACGCCTCCACGAGCGCTCTTCTTCGATGTGTTTGGAACGTGCGTCGACTGGCGGACAACCGTGACGCAAGCCTTGAATACGCACTCACATGCAACGCTGAACTCTGCGACGGCATCGCTCGCTTCGAGGGTACGGCTAAAGGCTTCTGATATGACGCTTGCGCATTGGGGCGACTTTGCACAGCAGTGGCGGAATGCGTACAAAACATTCACGCGCAAGCTGGCGGCAGACCCAAGTGTGCCGTGGAAATCGGTCGACGATCATCATCTTAACTCCTTAAAGGAATTGCTCGCTCAGTGGGAGCTGGAAGGCCTGTGGACCGACGAGGAGGTGCGCGCTTTAAGTCTTGTGTGGCATCGACTTGACCCGTGGTCGGACTCTGTGCAAGGCGTCGCCCTGCTCAACCAGCTGTTCTGTACGTCACGCAGACTTCTCGAATCATTATCTCCACTCGTTGTAGGCAGCATCTAACCTATGCAGGGACCGCCACTCTTTCTAACGGGAATGTCTCGTTGCTGTCGGACCTCAAAGTGCACACAAAGATTCCCTTCACGCACCTGCTAAGCGCTGAGCTTTTCGGCACCTACAAGCCATCTCCAGCTGTCTATCGAGGTGCTGCAGATAAACTGGGTCTTCCCATCAAGGAATGCGTCATGGTCGCAGCACACTTAAACGATCTCTGGGCGGCTAAGTCTCATGGTATGCAGGTCGTCTATGTTCAGCGCCCTGGTGAAGAGGAGTGGTCAGATGATGAGGTTGACAAAGCGAGAGGCGAGGGATGGGTGGACATCTGGGTTAGTCTTGGTGAGGGTCATAAAGGCTTCGTGACCGTGGCAGAGAAGCTGGGTGTCGACCTTCCTGTGGGACATGCGAGGAAATTGAGTTCCTCTGCTTGATGGTGATCGCTTGTAAGGGGCGGGTCGCAATTCTCACATTAATACCAAATTGTTCTCGGTCTATATTGTCCGTTCCAAACTGTGTCATGGTTTTTACGTGCACCATGGCTTAACTCGTGTTTGCTCTGTCGTGCTCGGACTGTCCCTTTCCGCCCGATAGTGGTTAGGTATTGTGCTGTGCACATGTACAAGCGGGGCTCATTTAGATCTATATGTAGGCTTATGTTCTATAGAGTTATAACTTACTCTTGCAATGTGAGTGAAATTTCGACCTTTTCCGTACATAGCTAACACACATCATACTTCCGAGAAAATCATTACCCACAACCACATTATCAGAATCACCCGAAACTGTTAATTTTTTGTGCATACACATGCGAAGAACACATTGCAATCGAAAAAAACAGCGAAAAATTACAATTTCCGCATGTTGACAGGGCTGCGTTTGTCGCATGGTCATCTTCGCGATGACGCATGCAGTACGAACAATGCACTCCATCGAGGCAAAGCTCATTAACCCGAAACACAGAGGCCCAGATCCTACTGCAGAGGTAACAGTATGAAGCCCTGAAGACTGTACGTTTCGCAATATCGAAGCAGCTTTTTGGAAGAACCATCTGAAGATGCAACACCAAAACACAACATGGCGGGTAAACCCAACACACGACATCACAAGATCCATGTGTCGTATGTTCAAGAAGAAAGCACACGCACTCGGTGAGCAAAGATGTGTAGGATCAAGGCCAGTATGGCGGCTGTTAATGTGGGCTACCGTTGACACCTACTAGGCTATACCAAATCGTGCGCACCTGCACCAACGAATCAAGTGCGAGCCTAGATCAATACAACCATAATTCCGCACTTTTACTTGCCACCGGATACTTTTTATACACACACCCATTTGTACGGTCACCATATCGACAAAGAAAACAACCTCCGCTACGCCGACGACTGTAGAGGAGGACATAAAACGAGGCTCGTCCGGGGTGGTTTAGCGTGAAGCGGGGGAATAGTAGCGTCCCCAGCCCCGAACCGCTCCCTCGGCTACGGATGCCCAGATGGCGTCAACCCGACATTGGACCTATATCTATTTTAATTTGCATCCGAAGAACGTTCCATCAGTCGCATACGGTGACAAAATCGAGCAAACGTAATCAAGGACTGGCGGCGATAACACGCATCTGCACTAAAACCATCACGACACGTTGAAAGGACTGCAACACCTTGAAATCGGTGATCGTATTCTTACCCGTCTATGCGAGCTGTCACACCAGCTACGTCGACCTGAAGAGCTGCAAGAGCCCGTGCCTAAGTCATCGGCATTGCGAGATTTGGACACGAACAAGACCGGCATCCGATACAGACAGAGGCCACCAACGAGATGGTATTGAAGCATGCACAAGATCGTGTCTACGCACGAGCAACTGCAAACCCACGTACTTTCTGGAGCACGCAGGCTGAAAGTATACACTGGCACACGAGACCGCACGAAACCCTTCATAAGAGAAAGAAGTTACTGAAGAGTGGTGTCTCGCATGACCATTGGACCTGGTTTCCAGGAGGAGAAGTATCCACAACGTACAATTGCGTGGATCGTCATGTCAAGAATGGTAACGGAAACAACATTGCCATCTACTGGGATAGTCCAGTGACGGGCGCGAAAGAGCAATTCACGTATAAGCAGCTCCTCGAGGAGGTGGAGACGCTGGCAGGTGTGCTGAGGGAAGAAGGCGTGAAGAAAGGAGACGTCGTGCTGGTATACATGCCGATGGTGCCCACTGCGCTTTTTGCGATGCTCGCTATCGCACGCCTAGGCGCGATCCACGCGGTCGTTTTCGGTGGCTTTGCGCCGGCTGCCCTAGCACAACGTATCGAGGCGTCCCGTCCCAAAGCGATCATGACGGCGTCTTGTGGAATTGAAGGCGCCAAAGGTCCGGTAGGCTACAAGAAAATGATCGAGGAAGCCGTCGAGAGGTCCACTTACAAACCATACAAGACCATTATCTGGCAGAGAGACGAACTGCGGTGGGACCCAGTTTTGAGAGAGAGCGGTCAGCGTAATTGGCAAAGACTGGTGAAGAGTGCAAGGAACAGGGGGCTCAAGGCCGATGCCGTGCCCGTCAAGAGCGAAGACGGGTTATATATCATTTACACCTCGGGTAAGACTCCCACTAATATGATCGGCACGCGTGGACGGTCGGCACTGGACTGCAACGACCCAGCACACCACCGGCTCAATGTGTGACCAGAGTCCTGAGCTGCTGCCTACTGTTGTGGCTCCAACAGATGCTGACTTCTGCAAGGTACAACTGGCCTACCGAAAGGTGTCGTGCGAACAGCTGGTGGGCATGCTGTGGGCCTCAACTTCTCCATCAAATACCTCTTCGGTAAGCAGATAAACTCGTGCTCTTACGTGCACCCCAAAACTAACAGTGTAGGTGTCCACGGTCCTGGCGACGTCATGTTCACCGCAAGTGACATTGGCTGGGTCGTTGGTCATTCCTACATCGTGTATGCTCCCTTACTCATAGGTGCTACTACGGTACTCTTCGAAGGCAAACCTGTTGGCACTCCGGATGCCAGTACCTTTTGGCGGGTGGTAGAAGAATACAAAGTCACGACCATGTTTACAGCACCAACGGCACTGCGTGCCATTCGTCGCGAGGATGGCGACAACGAATACTTTGAAAAGACGTACGGCGAGAGGGGTGGGCTGAAGTCATTGCGAGCGTTATTCCTCGCTGGCGAGAGGAGCGAACCGAGTATTGTGGAAATGTACCAGAAGCTCCTGACAAAACATTGTGCGGAAGGTGCCCTGGTGGTGGACAATTGGTGGTCATCCGAATCTGGATCACCCATATCTGGTATAGCACTTAGCGCGACTGCGGGAGAGGATTTTGCGACACGGCAACGCGAACAACCACTGCCAATAAAGCCCGGATCTGCTGGGAAAGCTATGCCGGGCTTCGATGTTCAAGTTGTAGACGACGAAGGGAATCCAGTCGAGCGTGGTCAGATGGGCAACATCGTCATGTCCATACCACTTGCTCCTACAGCTTTCACTATGCTATGGAACGACGAGGAGAGATTCTATCGAAGTTATCTGAAGAGATTCGATGGGAGATGGGTCGATACAGGTGATGCAGGCATGATCGACAACGATGGATATAGTAAGTAGCACCGGGGTACAAAGTGGTCACGTCTCAGACATTGAGACACGTCCTTGACCCGAGTGTCTTGATCTGGACTGTCTTCTTACCCGCGCGTCTAGTTTCCATCATGTCGAGATCAGACGATATATTGAATGTCGCAGCCCATCGGTTCAGTACTGGTTAGTTACCCTGATGCTTTCGATAGTCTAGCAGAGAAGCTGATGGGAACAAAGGCGCCATAGAACAAGCCATCACGTCTCATCCCAACATTGCTGAAGCTGCAGTGGTAGGGATCCCGGATCAACTCAAGGGCCACCTCCCCTTTGCCTTCGTTACACTATCCGGGCACCAGCACCCCGACGCAGCGGTGCCAGACGATGATCTTTTCAAGGCGGTGCAGAAGCTGGTGCGCGAGCAGATTGGTGCCATCGCAAGCCTTGGGGGCATGATCCAAGGCAAAGGCATGATACCAAAGACGCGCAGCGGCAAGACGCTCCGCCGTGTGCTACGGGAGCTGATCGAAAACGCAACTCACGACCAAGTAGAGAAGGAGGTTGCCGTCCCCAGCACGATCGAAGACAAGGAGGCTGTAGAGGTCGCAAGAGCGAAGGTGAAGGCGTACTTTAGGCTGAAAGGGAAGGACTTGCACAAGCCGGCAGAGGCGAGGGCGAAGCTGTAGGGCATTGGTTTGGATGATGGCAGCCAGCTTGGTACCTGTATCTTAAGTGAAGCCTGGGCATGGTCGACGGGGAACGGACGAAGGCAGGTGCGGTGGGGGTGAGGGAGGAGCCACGGACTGACAAGGGCGCAGTAGGCGCTCAGGCAAACATTGTCCCATCCAACATCCAACGCGTCCATGGTGCCCGCTCTTTGCACGTTTCCCTCACGGCCCTCACGGGCGCGGACTTTGCTCGCGCTGCATGTCAGATTGATAAGGGACGGCGCAGCAGGGCGAGCAGGGCGGCGGAATGCGTGCCTGTCAGATGGCAACGGCCCGCTGCCCGTGGACACGGAGTCGCACGCGAGCATGGCCACGGACAGTTAGCGTCACGTGGCGTCTCGTCGATGCGGGTGAAGCGACAGTGGACAGGACACTGCTTCGCGGGTCGCGGCTATCAAGCGCAGACCAGACCAGGCCAGGCCAGCCGAGCAGCAGCTGTGAAGTGAAACAGCGAGCAGGCCCGGCGCGACAGCTCCAAGCAGCCGAGGCCCGCCGTGCCTGCGGGAGTGGGAGAGGTTCCGACACCGCGAAGAGTGCTCGCGGCGTCTGGCCGTGTGCATCCATCGTGCATCCATCTATTCGATCTTGCATGCAGCGAGACGCCAGATGCAGACGCGGCAGGCAGCTTCTTGGGGACGGGCGCGCAGCAGTGCGCACAGGAGAAGCGTCGCCGACATGCCCATGTCTCTCCACAACAGACGGGGATGCACCATGGGCAGCCGCCGCGAGTCTGGCCGGCCTGCTCCTGGCGCCTTGTCGACGGCGGCCATGGCACACGGCGCGGCGACACGGCTTCACGACGGCAGCGAGCAGCGCTGCACTGCATCCATGGCCGTGTGGGCCGTCGCCGGCAGCGCGCAGTGGCACACGTTCGCCCGCTGCGTCTGGCTGCAAGAGGCTGGGTGCCGCGCCTGTTGGTGTTTGTTGCTAGGCTGGGGCGAGAGAGTTGCTGTATCTGCGACCCGCCCAAACCAGCGCCAGCGCGCCAGTCAGGTCAAATGTGCCCGCCGTCCGCATCCACCGTTGCTTTTCTCCTCCCCCCCAGCGCTCTTGCTCAGCACCCTCACCCACGCTGCACCTGCACCCCACGCCGGATCCCGCGTTGATGCGACGCGCAAACGAGACGCTGTCTTAGTCGCCGCCGTCTTCACGTGGGCGCACACGGCCCCATCCTGTCCCAGACGCTCCGTTGCCATCCTCCCAAGAGAGAGCCACCCTCCTGCAGCTGCCCACGCCCAAACAGCGCTGCACACGCTTCCCGTTGTCCTGCCCTCGTCCCACCCGACGCCGTCCTCTCCAGCTGCGACTCCGGACCGCTGCCTTGCTGGCTGCTCCCCTTTGCACCGGCCCTCTGCGACTCGCCCGCGACCCCCTGCCACGCTCTCTCCGTGCCACCCTGTGCGCCGCTCCCCGCCTACTCGACGCTTGCGAGCGACACGCACAGCCTGTGCCTCGCCCAAGACACCTTCTGCTCCGCGACCGCCGCTTCTGCGCCTCGCATCCGTCCCGGATCCTGCCAGCCAGCCTAAGCTGCCCGCTGCCTTCGACCACAACCCCCCAGCCTCCACCCTCCAACCTCCGCATCCACCCAACACAGTCCCAGGAGACGCCGGCGCCATGGCGGGGAAGATGACTCTGTACAAACTGGTGGTTCTGGGTGACGGCGGCGTGGGCAAAACAGCCTTGACCATCCAGGTGAGCTTAGCGTGGCTGGACGTTGCGATTCACGGCTAACACTCCACCCACCACAGCTCTGTCTGAACCACTTTGTGGAAACATATGACCCGACCATTGAGGACTCGTACCGTAAACAGGTGCAGATCGACGGCCAGTCGTGCATGCTCGAAGTGCTCGACACGGCCGGCCAGGAAGAGTATATTGCACTCCGCGACCAGTGGATACGTGACGGCGAGGGCTTCGTCCTTGTCTACAGCATATCATCGCGCTCGTCCTTCGCTCGCATCCAGCGCTTTCACAACCAGATTCAACGCGTCAAGGAATCGTCCCTCTCAGGCTCACCAACCTATCCCGGCTCACCCTTGACTGCCTCGTCACTCGGCTCTACCTTCGGCGCCGCCCCTGTCATGCTGGTGGGAAACAAATGTGATCGCGTGACAGAACGTGAAGTATCAACACAAGAGGGCAGTGCCCTGGCTAAAGAGTTGGGCTGTGAGTTTGTAGAGGCGTCCGCTAAGAATTGCGTCAATGTCGAAAAGGCCTTCTTCGACGTCGTGCGCCAACTACGCAAGCAACGACACCAGGGCTCAAGCCGTGACTCCAAGCCGCCCCGCGATCGTACTCATGTCCGTCCCGGCCCTACTCGCACGGCCAACGGCGAGAAAGCTCGTGGCAGAGGACGTCCCGGGCCTCGCGACAAGAAGGGTCCTAAATGTGTCATTCTTTGAGTCTAAAATCCCTGGCATGCTAGGATCGTGTGTTCTTCTGGAGTTTACGGCCTGTCCCTTGGCGGCGCAGTGTCGTCTGCGCATGTCTTGAGCGTTCACCAATACTCATTCCCTTTACCTTTACGAATTACGACGCCGCCTCCGTCGACCACTACCTCCCTTACGAGCCCTTGCGCGTCCACCACCACGAACTGATAGAGTCCCCAGTCATAGGCGTCGGCATGGGAGCGGCGTTTTCGCTTGAAGCAATGGAAGCATTTGGTCTCTCGAAGACCGCGGAGTTTTGGAGCACAACTTTGGTTTATGAATAGCCGACGTCCAGTCTTATGGCGATGCGGCAGGCAGGCATCCTACATCTTCCGTCATCAGTGGGCGCACATCTCCCTTGCAGCGAAGGTCTGGTCCGCAGACGCAGTATTGACCAACCATGCACGCCACTGGACGTTTGCGACACAAAAGCACGGAATCGTCAGATTGGTGCCATTATTCATCCTTGTCACTTTTTGTTCTCCTTGGCTTGCGGGCTCGGGCTTCGCCTATCACAATCGAGAGTCGAGTTATCACGAACGTCCTTACTTTATCCTGCATTTGAGCTCGAATCTATTCGAGAAAATGGATTGGGCTTTTTCTTGTTGAAAACTGAGGAGATGCTTTGTTTGTATCGAGGAATACCCGTCTTGATCGGTTCTCCATAGTGCACGTTATGATTAGACTACTCTTAGCCTCTACTTCGCTTCGTGTGTCCTCCTTGGTGTGGTGTCACTGTGTGTGTATATGCGCTGGTGGAGTAGCTTGAGAACTTGGATAAAGCCCCACATAAGACATTGTCGGCCAGGCGTGTCTAGGATATGCCATGTAGGTCGTGCGCACTCGTACCGAGCTTGATGTCAAGTGACCAGTGCGCCAACGCGCACAGCCCTGCTCTCTTTCTCGCGCCTTGAATATCAACCATCATAACAAGGCGTTGGACGTAATGAATCAATTGATACGCCTGCAGCCTTAGTAACGCGTCTAGCTCCTTTTAAACAAACAGGCGTCCGGTACGCAACTGTAGCAGTTCTATCAATCTAATCTCTCTTGGACCGATCAGCCTGCATGGTCACAGAGGCGGAAACGACCTTTGAAAGCGAAGAACAGTGGAAACTACCACATCTTGGGAGGGAATGGATCCGCTTCCTCAATATGGCGCTTACGAGATTATGCCATATCTCGATTCTCGTGCAACCCAACAGTCGGATGCCTTACAGAACTTTCACATCAAGACAACATCCACATGGACATACAGTGGGCCACTCCTTACGATCTCCACGCTCCCACCATCCTTCCACACCTGGTCAGATCATCTGACTTCCTCTCCATCGGCGCTGCTTTCGCGATTTGACCCTTTGCTTTGCTTCTTGGAAAAGTTTCTTTCTGAAGCAGGTGTGCGCCATTACTGGCTTACGCTGCGTGCAACGCAGCCCACGTCCGAATACGACGTCCCACGGTGGCACGTAGATGAGGATTTTTTTGCAGCGTCACAGGATTCCGGAAGTCCTGGTCTTTCGAGAAGGGCATCAGCCAAGGAAGCTGAGTCGGCAAGCTGGAAACTCTGCACGACGCTCCTCGGACCCGGAACGCTGTTCCTCCGCTCTGCCTCCAATGCTGCCGCCCTGCAAAACCTCCGCCTCCTAAAAGCTGCAGAAAGTGAGAAACGCACATCTCACACATGCACCTCCATCCGATGTGCAGGCTGCTTCGATACTAACGCCTCAGTACGGCGCGCCCTTGCCGTTTCCCTTGTAGGGGAGGAAATCGTACAGCCAGCGCATGGAGAGATGGCATTATTCCGGATCGGTGAAGACAATGGAGCGGTGCATTCTGAGCCAAGGTGTGATGTTGATCGGCTCTTTGTCAACGTCGTACCTGGTACTGAGCAGGATTTGAGTATCCTGATGAGGCGATATGGTATGGGATTCCCGAGAGCATGGTGCTTGGGCGTGCCTGGAGGAGTAGTACGTGCTGATGAGCTAAGCGATGTGAAAAGACTTTAAACGTGTAGGTATTAGTCTTTTAACTAAACAACTCCAGATGCATTACCTTTTGCAATACATTATAATGAGTATTATCAGCTAGTAGTGTACGCTAAGACTACGTTTGTAGTCGAACCTTGGTTGTTGTTAGTAAGGGAGGCACTTGTATTAAATCTCAACTATTATGTGTATGTACAAATGGGTGATCTGAGCTTTAAAGTAGTTGGACTTATTAGTCATGGCCGTAGAGCAATCATGTAGTGCGGTGCTTAACTTATAATTATTCGGTGGACATACGCACATGGATGACTACACTCGTGACCAGTCGTGGGAAATCGATGCTACAGATTGGTATAAGGTGATCACAGAGAAGTACCACGCCCCGTACTAGCCAACAGTGTAAGAGAAGATCAGCATGAATTTGACTGAGTTGCAGTCGGAGCAGGGCTGGGCGAGAGGGCACATGCGGTAGTCTAGAGCGTGTGGCCGGTCAGTGGAGTTCATGGGGTCTTGAAGACTCTGATAAAGAGCCACTACCTGCCTCCCAAATGATGATTCTCGGACAATCACGCAGTGTTACTCTGTATGCACACAGACTGAAACAGACTGTGTGTAGATTTCGACCGTGTTCCGTGAATTGCGAATGACCCATGCTCTCCAATCTTTACATATCCTTTGTACTGTCTTGTAATCTTTGCTGTAGCTGTTGCACTCATAGCGTTCACGAGAAGGACTTCTCCATCCTTGGGTGAGGAAGACAATATGATCACTCCATTGAGGACCTGTCATCTATACCAATGAATCCGCATTCCTGACACTCGCCATTCTCTCCTCCGTATCCCACCTTTCCAGAGTCACAATCCAACGTGCTCTGGCTTCCCTCACCTTCGAACCCTTATGCGTAGTCGCTAATGCAACGACGCGATATCCGGCTGCCTTAGCTGCTCTTCTACCTGCAGGCCCGTTCTTCAGAACTGGCATACGCTGTGGATCCGCAGCCTCAAAGCCCAGACCTAAAGCACCAAATAATAGGATGCTGGGTCTGGCTTGCCGTTGGCCAATTCTTCGGCCGTGACCATATAGCGCGGTTTGTGAGGTTCATGAAGTCGAGCCAGCTGGTAACGAGGGGCCGAGTACCAGAAGTGACAATTGCTCAAGGGACATCGGTGTATTCAAGGTAGTCGAGGAGTGAGCGCGAGCCGGGGATCTCCGTCGCGTCCAAGCCGTACTTCAGCGGTATTTGTCCTTCGATTTTGCAAACATCTATCGTAGAAGACGTAAGACGATATACATTTCCTTCACAGTTGGCAAATATTATGGTGCTAGACGACGGGATTAAAGTGCGTGCATTCCCAGTTTACGCGTCCCTGGCACAGTAGTCTGAGCACGTCGATATTTCTGCGACCGTGTGAGGATTTCAAGATCACTGGAGTGGGCCCCGCTTAGCGGGTTTTTCTTTCTTCTCCTCATGTTCCTTTTTTGCGAACTAAGGATCGGCACGTGGAGGCTCACATACCATCGCCATTAACTCCAATCTCCTTGCCAATCTCTGCCAGTCCCTGAATGATTGTGCCATCCATATCGAAAAGTAGAGCAGAGAAATCGATGACCTCCACTGGCGCCGAAAAGTTCTTATCCTCGTGGTGAGGCATGTTTGACATCCTCATCCAATCGTGATGTTGTAGCGTTTCTTGGGCTGTGATATGACGAGGAGGGTTTTGCGGACGCCGAATCGGCCTTCATGGCAGAGTAGTGCTGGAAATATCGGGATGAGACGACTTGAAGAACTCTGTCGGTATGTAGTCCAGAGAACTTCATTCAGAGCGACCCGAGTCGCTGGGTTGGAGATTTGCGGGGTATGGTGCATGTTGGGTCGGCGGAAGCGGTCGCCGTTTCGCCGGACTCCGCCACGCCAGCGCGTCGTGAAGGCGTACTCCAACGGCATTGATCCACATGGGCCACTATTGCGTGCTGCTGCCGCTACCGTGATAGCCGGCCGCTCCATATAGAATCTACTATAAGTACTCCGCATCCGATGTCGTAGAGGTTTGGAATGAAACGACCAGCTCACCCTCACCCATATTCGCGCTTTGCAGAAGGCTAAACTAAAGCTGAAAAATAATGAGAGCTGTTTCGCTTTCAGCAAAGGGGAACCTCTCAATCCCATATTCACCCACAAACCCAGCGCCATCTTCCGCCCTACGGGTGTTCTCCGACGTCAAGATACCTCAACCGTCCCGATCTGGGGAGCTGTTGATCCGCGTGAACGCGACCACGGTTATTAGAGACGCCTTAACTTGGCCCGAGACCTACATTGAAGAGAAGAAGATACTAGGCCATGACTTTGCCGGCACTGTGGTTTCGGTGAACGACGAGTCTCATGACATGCCATTCAAGGTTGGGGACGAAGTTTATGGTATGACGGAAGGCTCGCGAGCTGGGGCATGGGCCGAATATATGGTCGTCAACACGGAGGAAGCATGTGTCAAGCCCTCGCGCCTTTCCTGGGTCGAAGCTGCGGCCGTGCCCCTAAGCGCACTGACCGCTTACCAAGCACTATTCGAAAAAGCCTCCATAAGAGCACCAGATTTCACGAGGCAAGGCCGAGCATCTGGAACGCACCAGGTCACGGCGATGAAGGAAGTTCGGATACTGGTGATTGGCGCATCTGGTTGTGTTGGCAACTATCTTGTGCAACTGGCGAAACTCGCCGGAGCACATGTGACTGCAGCGTCCAGTTCGAACGAAAGGAACAAAGACTTCTTGTGTGCTCTTGGGGCAGACGACGTTGTTGAATACAGCGATTTGACGAGCTCTGGCAAACAATACGAGGTCATTATCGATACTGTAGGCGGGAGCGTCCTAAAAACCTGCTGGTCTCTCGTTGCGGATAATGGGAGCCTTATATCTGTTGACAGTGCCAGTTGGAACTTTGTTCGAGAACATAGGGACTCTGGCGTAGCTCAAGAGGAGGGCAACGTCAACGCGTTATTCTTCATAGTTTCTCCTTCAAGGAGGAACCTCGAACAGCTTTCTGCAGCATTGGACGACGGGCTCCTCAAAGTCTTTGTGGCAAGTACTCTACCTTTGGAGGATGTTAGACTGGCTTACGATATGTCCTCGAGATTCACTAGTAAGCGAGGGAAAGTCGTGCTTGTGCTCTAGTATAGACTTATATTTTTTTTTTTTTTTAAGTAAAGCTACTATTATTACTTATAATAAACGAAGTGAGGAATAAGCTTATTATAGTAGAACTTTAGAGGCTAGTAAAACTTTAGAATTAAATTAGGAAATTAAATTTTATAATTTAATTAGTGGGTCTAGACCTAGATATAGGCCTATAGAACTATATAGAATATTTATAATAAAAAAAAACCTTTTTCTATTTCTTTTATACTTTTCTATACTAATATACTATAAACTAGTAGTAAATTAAATACTAATATACCTTCTTAATATATATTATCTATATATTACTAGAAGGGGTTTTATAGTAAAAGGATTTAATATCTAAAGCTAAATATAGGTCTAGACCTAGATCTAGGCCTATAGAACTATATAGAATATTTATAATAAAAGAGAATTTTTTATTTCTTTTTATACCTTTTCTATACTAATATAGCACTAACTAGTAGTAAATTAAATACTAATATACCTCCTTAATATCTATACTAGTTGGCTAGGTTAGGGTTACTAGACGTAGATCTAGGTTAGGTTATAGGTTATATAGATACTAGGTTAAGGTTAGGATTAAATTATACTAGTATAGGTATAGGTTAGGGTAGGGTTACTAGTATACTAGGTTAGAGTTAGGTTAGCTTATATAAAACTTAGTACTTAGTTATCTCTATTTAAATATATATACTAATATTACGGCTACTACGCCGTAATAGAATTATAGGACCTACATTAATAATAGTAGCGACTAATTAGATTATAAGGGGGAAGAATACAATTACGGGTTAGATACTAAGCATAATATAGATATATAAGAAAGTTACGTAATTAGATCTATAGATCTATAGAATAGAGCCATAGAGCCTAGATCTATAGGATCTATAGGTAGAGCCTATAGAGCTATTATTAGATAGTAGTATATAGAGATAATAGATTACTACTAGGTAAGCCTTTATTATTAATCTATAATATAGTTCTCTATATCTAGTTTCCTTATAGAAGATTACTATTAAGTCTTTAGTAATATATTCTTATAGTAGTAATTAATTAACATTTATATTATATATAATCTATACTACTCTATACACTACTTATCTCTTACTAGAACCCTAATAGGGCTATAACTAGTAATATAGTCCTAGAGGCCCTATTATACTTTAATAATTATATCTTAAGAGTTTCTATAGGTATATACCTAGATTACTAGTATTAATAATAGCTCCTATAGTAAACTAACTAATATTATTAGACCTAATAGACCTAGTCTAGATAAAAGAATAACTTAACTACCTTAATAAGGAGAATACTAGGGCTAAGAAAGCTTATAAGTAATTAGTTAAGTAAGTTAGAGTTATATTAGAAGGAATAGGGGGAGGAGCTAATAATATAATAAAGAAATAGATCTAGTAGATAGAACTCTAAATAAGGAATAGACTACTAAAACTTATAGATCTAGAGAAGTTTAATAGTACTTAAACTAAACTTAGGGGATTCTTAGCCTTAATATCTCTTTACCTAGACCTAAATTAAGAATATCTTAGAAATAAAGACTAAAAGGTAGCCTATATAGCTACCTACTTTACTAGAAAGGTAATAGACTAGTTTAATAGTTACCTTATAGATTAGAGGATAAGCTAAGTTAATAACTAGAAAATAGAAACTAACCTTATCTTTATAAGCTATACTTACTTTAAGGAGAAACTACGGTTAACCTTTAGTAATATTAATATAGAACGTATAGCTAAACAGAAACTTTTAAAACTCTAATAAACTAAGATAGTAGCAGCTTATATATTAGTATTTAAGTAGCTAGCTAATAAGGTCTTAGACTATAGAGAAAGGGCCCTAATATAAAAGTTCTATAAAGGACTAAAGTTAGATATTAGGTATAAAATAATTAGAATAGAGAAGCTAATAACTCTACCTATAATAATTAAATAAGCTATCTAAGTAGATAATAAGTTATTCCTATAGAAATAAGATAATAAGGGAGGAAGTAGATATAGCGTAAATAGCTAAAACTATAAAACCTATAATAAAGGGGACCTAATAGTCTTAGATACTAATAAAGAAAAGGGATTAAGTTAGAATATAATAAAGGAAAAGTAATATAAGGAAGGCGCCTACTTTAGTTATAGTAAGAAAGGTTATATAGCTAGGAACTACCTAAGTAAAGGCTAGAATAAGTCTATAAAAGGTACTAAGGAGAAATTAAGAAAGTAAGAAACCTTAAAGGATACTAAGGAAAAACTAGCTAGTAGTAAGGAATATAAGGCTACCTACTAGACTAAGTATTCCTAAGATATATGTATATTGCATATAAGAATAAAAAAGAATATAGGATATTAGCTAATAGGTAAAAAGTTAGTAGTAACCTAAGAAGGATAAATAATTCTATAGCTTAAGGAATAAAATACCTAAGTTCTAGGATTCTTTACTATAAGTAACTTAAATAGTAAGTTAGATAATAAGAGATAGAAGAGTAGCTTAGATAAATTAATTAATACCCTATTCTAGTTAACCCTCTAAGGAGAGGAACCCTTCTTCTTATTACCTATATAGGAAGCACCTATATCTCCTAGAAAGAATATCTATATTAGAGGAATAGAGTACTTCTAGCTAGAAGAACTAGCCCTTAAGGTAGCTAAGATAATTAGGTTAGCTAACTTTAGATAGTAAATTAAGGGAATATACTTTTACTATAGAAACTTATATAGGGAAATAATTTATAAAGTTTATAAGGACTAGAAGATCTAGTTCCTAAGAAATACTAAGTTTACTAGCTTTAATAAGTAGGTTAAAAGAAATATAATTCTAGTAGTAGAGATGCTAGATAGTTAAACCTAGGCTTAAATAGCTAATAAAATTAGGTAGGTAGATAAAGCATATATACCCTAAATTATAATAAAATACTAGATCCTAATAAAGGAAGAATGTTTAGAGAATAAAATTAAACCTATAGAAGAGGATAACCCCTAAATACTAACTAAATATCTAGCGTATTATAAACTCTTATAGATATTATATATAGTAGATAACTATCTAATGCACCTAGTACTAAAGAGGAAATACTATACCTTCCTAATCTAAATAATAGATAACCCTTATAATAATCTTATCTAAAGGGATAAAGTATATAGATAGCATCTAGAAAAGAAGGTTAGTAGATACCTAGTACTAGCTTTAGAACCCCTCCTACTATATAAGTGTATTAAAGGATAACTATAGTATAAATACCTAGAAAATAAATACCTAAAGCACGTAGTAATAAAAATCTAAACTAAGTGTTAGCTAAAGGGTAAGGAAGCCCTTAGAGAGATACTTAGGCTATATATAATATTTAATAAAGAATACTAAGGGAGACCTATCTAAGCTATAATTAATAGTAGAGCTACCTAGAACTTTATATTAAAAAACTTTATAGAGGAAGAAGGGCTCTACTATATAAATAAAAGAGAATAATAGACCCTATATAATATTAAGGGGCTACTATTCTAGGAGTAAATTAATATAGAAACTACGCTAGGAACCTTCCTATTAGATAGATTAGTAATTAATAATTTTATTATAGATTTGGCTAAAATAGATAACTAATAGGATATAATTCTTAGGATACTATAGCTAAGGTAAGTTAATCTAACTATCTATTAGGGAACTAAAGAAATTAAGTATCCCTATTAGCTAGCTACTAGTAAGGAACAAATTCTAGGTATCCTAGAATAATACTAGGAGTTTATAGACATCTTTAATAAACTAGAAGGTTATTTACTAGAATATGTAGATTAGGATTACAAAATTAAGCTAGAAAAAGGAAAATAACCTATATAGGGACTAGTTTATAAGACTATAAAAAAGGAATTTAAAGTTACTAAATAGTATATTAAAAATAACCTTAAATAAGAATATATTTAACCTTCTAAATCCTCTATAGCTTATAGAGTTATATTTACAGAAAAGAAAGATAACCCTAAACTATAATTTTATATAGACTTTAGAAAAACTAATACTATAACTAAAAAGGATTAGTACCTATTACCACTAATCTTAGACCTATAAAATTAGTTATAAGATATAAAGATCTTTATACGCTTAGATATTAAAAATATATACTACTAAATTAGGATAAAGAAAGGTAAGGAGTGGAAAATGGCCTTCTAAACTAAGCTAGGACTTTTTAAATATAAGGTTATGCCCTTTAGGCTTACTAATACCCTAGTAGTATTTTAATAATAAATTAATACTATCTTAAGAGGATGCCTAGAAGAGTACGTAATAGTATACTTAGATAATATACTAATCTATTTAATAAATAGATAATAGCATAAAGAGCACGTTAAGGAAGTACTTAAATAAATAAGTAAGGCTAAGCTATACCTTAAGCTTAAGAAATATAAGTTCTATATAACCTAGACTATCTTTCTAAGGTTTATAGTTAAACTAGAGAAACTTAAAATTAAATAAACTAAACTATAGGAGGTCTCTAAGTAGGGAACCCCTAAATATATTAAGAATATTTAGTTCTTTCTAGAATTTTATAACTATTATAGAAAGTTTATCCTAGAATAGACTAGGATTATAGAACTACTTATAAGGTTAACTAAGAAGGAAGTCCCTTTTAAGTAGATAGATAAGTACTAATAAGTAATAGATTAGCTAAAAGAAGAGTTTATAAGGGAACCTATTCTATAAATCTTTAATCTACGCTATCTAGTAATACTTAAAACTAATACGTTAAATTTTACTATAGGAGTATATTTACTCTAGTAAGATCTAAAAATAGATAAAAAACACCTATATAGCTATTATTCTTAAAAAAATAAAGGCTACAGAACTTAACTATAATATCTATAATAAGAAAATATTAGTAATAGTTAAAGTCTTTAAAGAATAGAGAATATATCTCTAAGGGGCTAAATATTAGACACCTATATTCTTAGATTATAAGAACCTAATAGGATTTATAATTAATAAAGCCCTTACTCCTAGAT